GTACTAAGTGGTTGCAACGCATATTCCTGCCAGATACTACGCCCTCAGAGGATCGCTGGAGGATGCTGATTTTGGATGGCCACGGCAGCCATATTGACCTAGAGTTCCTGTGGATCTGCAAGCAGAATAAAGTTAGGCTTTTGTTTCTCCCTGCTCACTCATCTTACGTTCTACAGCCCCTAGATCTCTCTGTTTTCTCAGTAGTGAAGCGATTCTATCGCCAGCAGATCCAGGAGTTATCACACCTCGATGATGCCGCCCTAGTCAGAAAGGAACGCTTTATTACTGCCTACCATATCGCTAGAGAGGGCGCAATCACTGAGAGAGTTATTCGCGCTGGATGGGCTACTGCAGGTATCTGCCCGTTGAATATTGAGCGGGTAGTCAACTCATCTCAAGTTGCTCAAAGGGCTGCCACTCCACCTCGCCAGGATCAAGCTCATCTCGCTGAGAGCTATCTATCTACCCCTTGCGGCCCCCGTTAGCTTTTTATAGCTCAGCGAGCGCTTCACAGAGAGCAGAGTATCAGCCGAAAGGCTCACCAGCTCTTTGAGAAAGCAGGCAAGGCAATTGCAATAGCAAATACACGCTCAGCAGCGCTAGAAGCAGAGAATAAAAGATTACAGAGTTAACTTGAGGCTCTTAAGCCTCTGCAGCCACGAAAGAAAGTTCGTATAGATCCAAATCAACGCTTTGCTAGTATAGATCAAATTATGATAGCAAAGCAGGCATCTGCCCTTCTAGAGCAACAAAACAGTAGTCCTGATAAAGAAAAAGAGGCAGAAAAGCTAGCAGCAGAAGTAGCAGCTAAAACCCTACAATCTATGTGTAGTAAGTGGCAATTGTAGTTATGCTGAATCAATTATCGCGATTTTTTGAGGGGTGAAGGATTTCTGCGCGGTGTCTCATATCCCCGGGTGTCTCGGAACCCCATGCGCTAGCTTAGCGTAAGTCCAATAAGAGTGCCTGAGTGGCGGTGCTAGGATTGCCTATAGCGCCCTCACTAAAATATCAAATAATCGTCAGCCACAGGACCCGGCGTGTAGAGATGAAGCATGTCGATAAATCACGCAACGCGCGCGCAACGAGGAAAGGCCGAGGAGGACCGAATGCTGCTTACTGCTGTACAGCGGTCCGGCCGTAGCATCATGTGCGACGATATCATAAATACTCCTACCTGTGGACCTTTCCAAGCTTAACTTGCTGACTTTCTCTCTATTCCTTATTGAACAAAAATCATCGCAACCACTCCTAGAAATATTACCCAAAATCGCCATGGGCTTGCTTAACAACTTGGTGGACCAGTTCACCCATCAGGGTGCTCATGGGCATAGTCAAGGCCAAGGGTACGGCCAGTCTCCTTACAGCCAGCAACCATATGGCCAACAACCCTACGGACAGCAAAATGGCCAGCAACAGTCCGGAGGGTATCCTCGCCCGTCTTATATGAACGACCGACCAAACCCCCCTGAGCCATGGATAACTGAGTGGGATCTTTCAGCCAATACTTGGGTCTTCATCAATAGGCAGACTGGACAGCGAACTCACGAGTTTCCTCGAGGCGGCGGCAATTGGTATCCCCCACCAGCTCACGGATACGGCGCTGGAGGAGGCGCTTACCCGCCGCCTCAGCAAGGGTACTCTCCGGGCCAAGGAGATTATCCTCCTGGGTCACAAGGCTATGGCCTGCAAGAGGGATACGGTGGCCCACCACAACAGCAGCAATATCAGCAGCCGCCATCGCAGCAGAAGAAGGACCACTCTGGCCGGAACACAGCCCTAGGGGTGATGGCTGGCATTGCTGGAGGCGCTTTACTAGTGCACGAAGGTCATAAAGTTGGTAAGTTCATGCTTTGAGACGCCTGCAGATAAGAGCCTTAGTCATTTCTAATCTTGTGATGACAGAGGAGAAATGGGATGAGGATAAGTACAGAGCTGAGGAACGCTTTGATGAAGAGAAGTATAGAGTGGAGGACCGTTTCGAAGAAGACAAGTATCGAGCGGAAGATCGATTCGACGACGACAGATACAGAATGGAAGAGCGGTTGGAAGATTTCCCTGACGATGCTGCGCGCTGGACTGGTCGGAAGGTGCGGGAGGTTGAAGACATTCCGGTAAGTCACATCCCGCTATTATATCCAAGCCTGCGAAGCCGCGAGAACCCAGATTGCTGATGGTATTTCACCATAGGCTGATGTGGCTGGTTGGGTCGGGCGTAAAGAAGGCGACGTAGAAAGATTCGGGGATGGGATTGAAGATGCCTATGATGATGGTAGAGATGAAGCTAGGTACGAAGATGATGACGACAGGCGAGACAATGATAGGTGGTAGGAACATCGCCAGCAAGCGCGAGTTATAAATTGCAAGCGACGATCTGTGAGTCTGTGTGATTTATCGATACATGGTGTGGCCACCTCGGCACACATGCGCCGGTTATGGAGGAGATCCTCTACAGTATGTAACTCAAGACGTTCGTAATCCTGATCATCCCGCTAGACAGCACTTCCAGCGGGTTTCACCGGTAGCGAAATGGCTACGCCCTGTAGTAGGTGCAAGCAGCAGGATGGTGGACATCACCCACTCGAAGCGCTGGATGATGGCCTCGCAGGAGCCGCAGGCTGGTTTTGAGGACCGAACAAATGGGGTCAGCCGGTTTTTGCACAAGGGTGAAGACACCAGAGTGGAGGAGGTGCAGAGTGAGGGCATTGATATGCCACTCGTCACAAGGCAACGGTCGAGGAAGGAGCGAAGGAATGACTAGAGCAAGAAGATGTTGAGCAGGCACAGTGGAAGCTGGCGAGGACGCCGAATGGTGCTGGATAGTCGCATGCATGGTAACGACCACGACTGAGCGGTTCGTGAAGTCGAGCGCTCTGGATTGGTGCTTTCGCATGTATCTGCAGGAAGAGAAGAGAGCCAAGACAACAAGAAAATTATGCAAAGAATCCCACAGCTCTCGACGAGAAGACGGTGCACTCATGACGAGTGATGAATATCAAACTTTGCTAGATGTTGCCAGGCAGTACACCCAAGTGTGGTGTCGCGTCCAGCTGGCGTCCGAACGTACTCTTTCGTAGCCAGTCGTTACGGGAGATGCAATGCAGGCCGCTTAGCGCCAAGCCGCAGGCTGCCAAAGAACACACGGCAAATGCGACGCAGGGGTACTTGTACATACAGATCTCGAGGCCATTCCACGTCGATTGGGGGGCATTTCGTGATCCGAACCCTGGTCTTCCTATCCCCCCAGCACGCACAGCACTCCGGACTCGTCAGACAGCGCGGCCCCACTAATTATTTCCAGAGTTCGCCCCGTTGCGATTGGAGACGTCGCATGCGGCTACACTAAAAAGACGACCGCACCGCTCCATGTCCAGCGGCGTCGACGTACGAAGGTCCCGCCCTGGTATCTGGTCCTACTTCCCCTTCTCGGGCCCCCGACGCCGCATCTCCGTGTCGCTCCCTCGCAGCGAACCCCCTTCCACTGCCCGCGACGACCCCTACGAGAAGCCCGACCGGCACGCGCGACACCGCTCCACCTCTATGAACGACTTCAAGACGGCCGCGACTATGAACGGCGGCCAGCGGGCGCGATACCTCAAGACAGGTGGCTTCATTGCCTTCGTCCTCCTGGTGCTGTACTTCATTGCGCCCAGCGATGGCCTGGCGAGAGCGGGTGGTATGTGGCCTGCAAGCACGACAGGGGATGTCTACTGATTGATCCACAGAATCCTTCTCCAAAGGTCAGGGCCAGACCGCTGCGCCGGGCTCAGCGGCAGTAGCATGCACAAAGTCGTACTCCAAGGACAAGCCGCTCATCCAGTATGCCCTCATGATCGATGCAGGTAGCACCGGCTCCCGAATCCACGCATACAAGTTCAACAACTGCGGCCCTACGCCGGAGCTCGAGCAGGAATTCTTCAAGATGACGGAGAAGAAGGAGGGAGGCTCTGGACTCTCGTCATACGATGCTGATGCCGAGGGTGCCGCGGCCAGCTTGGACGTCCTGATGGACTACGCACTCGAGAGCGTGCCGGAGAGCTACCGTGCATGCTCGCCCATTGCCGTCAAGGCCACCGCTGGTCTCCGCAAGCTCGGCGAGGAAAAGAGCAACAACACTTTGAAGGCGGTGCGCAAGCGTCTGGAGACCAAATACCCCTTCCCCGTCGTTTCGGAGGCCAAGGGCGGTGTCGAGGTCATGCCTGGCGAGCAGGAAGGCGTCTACGCGTGGATCACCACCAACTACCTCCTCGGCAAGATCGGTGGCCCAGACAAGACTCCTACCGCTGCCGTCCTCGATCTCGGCGGCGGCTCTACCCAGATCGTCTTCGAGCCGACCTTCCCCAAGGAACCCCGCGGCGGCCTCCCCAACAAGCTCGCCGACGGCGACCACAAGTACGAGCTCAGCTTCGGCGGCCGTGAATTCACCCTCTATCAGCACTCGTACCTCGGCTATGGCCTCATGGAAGCCCGTAACAACCTCCACAGCGCCATCGTCGACTCCATCTACCAAGAAACCAAAGAAAGCGGCGACCGCGAATGGCTCAAGAAGCCCATCATCAACCCGTGCATCGCTCCGGGCATGAGCCGCAAAGTCGACGTCGCCCTGCCCAAAGACCACGCCCTCGGCGCCACCGTCAGCGTCAACATGACAGGCCCTGCGACCGGCGCCCCCGCCCAGTGCCGCGGCTTCGCTGAGAAGACACTCGAGAAAGACGCAGAGTGTAAGGTCGCGCCGTGCGCCTTCCGCGGCGTCCACCAGCCCTCCATCGAGAAGACGTTCGCTCGCGAGGACGTCTTCCTCTTCAGCTACTTCTACGACCGCACAAAGCCGCTCGGCATGCCCGACTCGTTTTCGCTGTCCGAGCTCAAAGACCTCACGCACCGCGTGTGCCACGGCGAGCAGACATGGGATGCGTTCCAGAGCGTTGAGGGCGCGACGAAGGAGCTGAGGGGCCGCCCGGAGTGGTGTCTCGATTTGAACTTCCAGCTTGCGCTGTTGCACACCGGGTACGAGATGCCGATTGACCGCGAGGTTAAGATTGCGAAGAAGATCAAGGGTAATGAATTGGGGTGGTGCTTGGGTGCCAGGTGAGTCTTCCTTCTTTTCATTTGTAAAATGCAGAATGCTAACACACTTACAGTCTTCCACTTCTCGAGAAAGAGTCTGGCTGGCAGTGCAAGATCAAGCAGATCCAGTAAGGTCCTTGATCCTGCCGCAGTTTGCCATGCATACAGCGTTCAAGCCTTCGATCTAGGGACATCAGCGATGCGCATTTGGTGCCTGCGATGATCCAATACAGCTTTGTTGTCTGCATTGATGGGTGTTGGGGCGTTTTTGGGTTCGCCGGGCTGCAACAAGAAAGCGCAACGCATGGATTTGGAATGATGTAGCGAACATCTATCTTTTGTGTAGAAGGACGGTTGATTCTTTGGTGAGGTGGGTCGAGATGGAACGGAATAGAATAAACAAATACCCTTTTGCCTCAATGCCTCGTCGCACTATACCTTATATGTGGTTCATGGTCTACCTCGCTTGTATGCAGGAAAGGCAGGCGCGACGCTGTCGGACTCAGTCACTTCACACCTCATCTAATGCTCTCAGAGCCCTGGGGCCTGCCGACTGTTCTTCTGCAGGTGAACTGAAGTAGAATGACAATGCCATCGCCTTACTCCTTCCCCTCTCACACCGTTCGTTCGCGTGTATGTATGATTCACTTCACTTCACTCGTTTTGCACTCAAAAAGGCAGGCACGTTTGCTCATCGCCCACTCATAAAACGCGCCCCACCAAAAGCAACTAAAAAGTGGGACACGCCAGGAATCGGACCTGGGCCTCTCTCTCCTGATCCGTCGTCAGCTGAGGTCGTCATCACATTGTGAGAGTGCTCTAGCCATTGGACCACGTGCCCCTGATTGTTTGATGGTAGTACGAGAGATATAAGCGAATATATAGGTGAGAACTGAGACATCGGTTGGTGGGAGGTAGAAGTAAGAGGTAGAAGTAAGAGGTAGAAGTAAGAGGTAGAAGTAAGAGGTAGAAGTAAGAGGTAGAAGTGAGAGGTAGAAGTGAGAGGTGAGATGTGGAAGCGAAGATGGTGAGCGAGAGGTAAATGACCCTCAGCCGCCCACATGCAGGATACAATTCAATCAAAGCTGTGTAGCATAGATGGCGAAGAAGAGTGGTGTAATCCATCACACAGACAGACAGACAGACAGACAGACAGAAAGAGAGAGAGAGAGCGTGTAAGCGATTCAAATAGGTCGTATCTCGAGATTTTGCTATCCTACCCGGCGCAAGACGGGTTTTCTTATTATGCGCGCTTTCCTTTCTCTTTCCGACGGGCTGTGTATGTGACGAAGGGAATGGATGATGTAGATATCAAGAACAACAAATGTATTTGCGGACTTTTCAGTCCTGCGGCAGGTCTCACATTGGCGCGGGGAACCAATGTCCCCTCCGGTTTCGACTGAATGAGGTGGTGCTTTTAGAAGGTGATCAGCCACGTGTTGTGTTGAGTTGAATGACTTTTGACTCTTTGTCTACGTCGAGCAGATCTGATCTAGCATTCCTGATCTGGGCGATGAATAGCTTTATGGTTCACTGATCCCTCAGAAAACTGCACATCGTCGTCTTCTATTGCAGAGCCGCGACTGGAGATACCTATTATCTCGGCAACGTGAAATTTACACTCAGCTAGAATTGTCCAAGTGAGGCAAGCTTTCGGCAGATCTAGATACGCCGGATGGGGTTCCTTGACGCTCTGCTCATAGAAGGCTTCAAGACCTTCTGGTAGTTGTTCAACTTGACCAAAGTAGGCTGCAGATGCTCTCGGAATCGAATTACTTTACAGACACGGGATTCTATGGATCAAGTCCCTTCACCTCTCGTCATCGATTCTCTCTTGAAGGTGTGGTCGATGGCGAAGCATCAGAAAACAGATCGGCTCCGTAGTTAAATAGCCGTTAGTTGACAGCTGCGTCCTGCAGCCTCATGTTGGGAGCCAAAACTGACCCGAGCTAGTAGGTGTTGACCAGATGCGCCATGCAGCCACGTATTGAGCGGCTTGTTGCTATTGGATGAGAAGTCGTTAAATCGTTACACGAGCTGAAGTTCAGCTCTGAATGTTGCATGTGGTGAATGTCCATTTGACTAATGCGGAAGGAGGCGAATTGAGTGTTTCGTAACAGTGCGCATGGGAAGGAGGAGCCCCTGCAGCACCGGGTATGAGTTTGATGCTGGACGGCGTCACTGAGGTGACTCTTAGACGCAGCACACGTGCGGGACCGGCTGAGAAAAGGCGGAAACAATGGTCATTCGGGCCTTCATACCAATAACAGTATCTTGTCGCATGGAGGGGATTACTGGCTTCTCGTTTGTGGATGCGTACAAGATCAACGTATTCTGATAGAACGAGAATGCTGCAGACTGTCAGTAAGTCGGAGGACTTGGGTGCGTTGACGTGTTGGTGCAAATTACAAGCAAGGTACGGGATACAGGCAAAGAGCCCATAAGCTAGTCTGTATTGTTTCTGCCGTCAGGCTCCAGGTATGCATACCCGTTTTTCAACTTGCTAAGAAACATGAATGCTGACATACTGGGCTCTATGCAATGCTTCAGATTCGAGGAAAGGGTATCTTAATGTGAATCTACGCAAAAAAGTAGATGTCCGGACATGACAACTGAGTATTTCCAGCTGCATCAATGCAAGCTCCCTTACCCATCGTCGTCTCGGATGGTGCCACAGCGCGAGTCAACTCTCAATTGCTTAGAACGACCCAATATTACCCCTTGTATACATGGTCTGCCTCTTCCTCAGCTCGCTCTTGCTGCGATGCTTGTGCCTATTTCCTCGGTCTTCCTTTTTTAGGCCCATGGCAATTCCAATGCCATTGTGCACACCCTTTCGCATTTCTACCAGCGGTCCGTTCTTCCTCCTCGCCTCGCGCAAGTTGAAGCCAGTCTTCCACTTTTTGAATTGACGCCATATCCGCTGGCTCATCAAAATCAGCATAGTCGCTACCATGACAGGCACTGCGATAACCCAAAAGAATTGATCGCTGTGATTCTCGATGCCAGGGAATACTTTGAAGTTCTGGCCAAAATAACCGACCAAAAAGGTGAGCGGGAGGAAGAATATCGTGACAGCAGTGAGTATCTTCATGGACTCATTTTGGTAGGCGCCCATCATATTGAAGATCAGATCGATCAGGTTGTCGGCTGCCCGGCGCATCTGATCGAGAGATGCGGTGATCATGATACAGTGATCCTCCACATCCCCAAGGTACGTGTGCGCCAGGGGCGATATTGTAAGCGAAGCTATGGTCTTCCGGGTGGGTACGGTGAAGCTACTAGCGGTAGCGACAGGATCAGACTTGTGATCCCTAAGGGCATTGATGAGGGAAACGATGGGCTGGATCGTGTTCCGGAGGATGGCGATTTCTGAAGTCAGGATGTAAAGCTGTTGCGAATGGCCAATGTCAGGGTCGCGAAGCACATCCAGTTCTAGTTCGCCCATTGCATCTTCGTACGCAGCTACTACCGGGATGGCAAGATCGATGATGGCATCGATGATGGCTTGGCAGATCATGCTGCCGTCTGCGCTGCGGCGGAGAATCGTGTCTTCGGTACTCAACCGTTTGATTATGGGTTCCTCAACCTCGGGCGCACTATGCTCGAAGAATGAGATGACCGTGTTGTCCTTGCACAAGAAGATGCTGACTTGCTCAACGCTAACGGCAAGCTTTCGGCTGATAAGAGAGGAATGTTGCTCCATGTAGATGGTTCTATCTAGATTGGGACCTCCTCGGTATCGTTGTAATGTACGAATCTGTGTAGCATGCTGACCTTTCCTACGGTAGTGAGGAGGACCATCCGTCTCGCAGCCCTTCTCCTGATCTGGATAACGCCACAAGTGGCCACTGGCGGTGGGGTTTTCTTCGCTCTGCGAACCAAATCGAGCTCTGAAACGATCGACAAAGGAAGATTTTCTGCTCCGTGGGCGGGTATAGTCGTCGTCGTCCTCGCAATCTGAGTCACTGTCGGAGTCGTCGTCTGGTAAGCGAACTAGCTTCGAGAGGGTCAGTAGCAAGAAGGCTTGATCCGCATACCAGTCCACCTTGGTCCGGCCTCGTGTGTTCATAAGATCTTCGATGGCCAACCTATGCAGCGAATGCGTGTTTCCCAGAGTGCGAATGACGTCGAAACTTAAGCCGTTGACGTTGATCCATCGGCACTGATTTGGGTCTTTGGGGTAGTCTCGCAGAAACGCCTCTAGTGTGTCGTTGTCCAGCTCTACGCAGTTGTAGCCCTCATCGGAGAAGTCCACGACGGTTATGTCGCATTCCGTCTTCAAGTTGCTGTAGTTGTCCTCGGGCTCCTTCTTTGTATCGACACCTGGTTCTGCACCTGGCTGTTCCCATGCACGACGCCCGGCGTGGTGAGGGCTCTGGTAGTGTCGGACGGTGTTTGAACGGGTGGGTCGCCGTCGAAGCGTCGAATCGACCGAGACAGTGGGCGAAAGCACACTGTTGCCGTCGGCGCGGGCAGCTGTCGCGGAGAGTTGGCTGGAGCTTCGTCCGCGGCTCTGCACGTCTACCTCAGTGTCGACCGTGAGGCGTGATATGGCCGGCATGGTCTCCGTAGCCGATGCATCGCTGAATCGTGGACGGCGGTTCTCTTGCGTCTGAGGCGGCGATGCTGCTGCGAAGTCGAGCACTTTTGGGTTGTTGTCGGGCTCGGTTGGGGTTGCCATGGCGGATGGGTTCGACGCGGCAGTCGGTCAGAACTTCGCGATGTGCAAGGTATCCAGGGTTAATTCAGATTGAAATATTCGCCAGGCTGTGAGCCATGAGGCAAGGAGTGGTGTTTGCGGCGGGTTGGCTCGCGGTTTTGCGCGTGTTACAGATGGATTTCGATTGCGTTGGGCAGTCGCGACCGCGGCACAAATACTTGGGTGGAGTCAGCGACAGCGAACAACTGGAGGGCAACGAAGCACGCCGCGGCCTGCGGTGAAAAGCCCCTATGTGCCCGCTGCATGCAGTGGAACTGCTCCAGCCCACGCCCGAAGAGGTTCAGCTGAGCGCCGCTACGATGCCTGCCGTGGGGAGTGGGCCAGCGCTTGGACGACATTGCTGGGCAGTCGTCGCAGCACCGTCGTGCAGCCTATCAACGGGCCGCGAAAATAACCAACGCAACGGGGCCTATATTTGGGTGCGAGGACCACGAGCCGGCAGTAGAAGCGTCTGTAGGCCCAGCCTTGAGAAGGCGGGCCGAGCAGCTCGTGAATGTGGCATCCTTCCCGACACGACGGTCGGCTATGGTATGCGTGCAACCGCGAACTGCACGTTCGTTGACAGCGCGTCTACCCGTGGCTAGAAGGCGTCGAGGGCTCGCCGGCCGGCGCAGCGCCTGCAGCTAATGAGGAATTCTCCTGCAAGTGAAGTCTCCTCCCAGCTGGCTGCCCGCGTCGCGCAGCAAATTTGCCTCGTCGAGTCCGGATCGGCGCGACAGGGTTTCAGAGGCGCCACGATGGTTCCTTTGTCAGCGGCGAGGTGCTGCGCAGCTGCTAACGCCCAACGCCGCCGCGAGAGACGCGCTCGCAGTGAGAGCGGCCTGGCTGCAAGACTGCCCGCAGCGCGCACAGGATGCGAGCACCGGGCGACGCGCCTCCGGACATCAGGGTAGCCTGTCTGAGTGGCCTGGGTGGTGTTTCCGCATCAGATAAGGGAGGTGAAATTGCGGTAGCTTCTCTCACTGCCCAGACCCAAGCACGCCGGCTAGGCGCCACCTCCACTCCACTCACCCACCGCTACTGGTGCTTCTCCTCTCCATCCATCCCAAGCAGCTTCATCGACAACATACATAGCCTTGCCCTCTCCGACCCCGCCTTCGCCCAGTGCGAGCCCACCGCCGCGCTCTGCACGCTGCCCCCGCCACACGCTGGTTGCGCACGTCGGACGACTCGAGCGACGCTGCATTGCTCCTGCCGTGGCCTGCGCCCTAACGCATAGCAAACACCTCATCTCCCGCGACCGGCCATCAAGACACCCCTTTCAAGCCTCATAAGAGTCCGACAGCCTGTGGGCTCACCCACGCACGCGACTTGGCGACCGACACGCCTTTTGACGTCCATCCCTCCCATCTCGTCGCCTGAGCTACGGCCAGCCTCCGTCTGCAACGACACCGAGCCGCAACCATGCGTGAAGTCAACTTCTCCATCCCCAACGCCAACAAGGCCTCTGTCAACATCACGACTGCGCTCTACGACCGCCGTGCGCTCGACTGCACCTCGACCCTGCCGCTCATCAACTCCCTCAACCACCTGGCATACCTCACCACATCCTCGGCGCGGATACGCGACATCCTCACCGTCGATGGTGGCATCGAGCGGTTGATATGCATCCTCAAGGAGGGCCGGAGCAAGGACATGATGGACATGTGGAAGTGGAACCTTGCCTTCCAGTGCATCTTCAACATTGGCGTACGTGGCTCGGAGAATGTCCGGACACGCGTGGTCGAGGCCGACATGGTTCCTGTCATCGCTACAATCCTCGACAACTACATCAAGGTAGTGGACAAGTGCAGAGAGCGAGCGGAAGCAGAGCTGCGAAGGAACGCTCGCCTTGGCACCTCCGGCCGTCACCACTCCTCCCGCTCCGGCGAGATCGCATCCAGCTCAGGACACAGGGCTGAGCGTACACGCCGTGCCATCCCGCCTCCCATCGAGATCCCCCAGGCGTTCAACCACAGCCAGGTGCCGCTGGAGTCACAGAATGGCGACATAACCCCTACGCCAGCCTTTTCTCTGAGCTCACCGCCTGAGCGTACCTCGTTTACTCGCGGGCGCCCACCGCACCACCACCATAGGAGCCACGAGAACAGAGCGCAGCTATTTGGTCCTGTCGGCACGAACACGCGCAACATTGGCCAGCCGCTTGTGTCTGCTCTACCGACCATGGAGACGACCGAGACCTTCACCTTGAGGCCAGTGCGCGATGCTGATCGGTTGCCCTCCATGCTCCCCGCGTTGCAAGGGGAGATCACTTCCCAGCCCGAGTCTCCTACCACACCAGGCGCCGCACAAGCTCGCCAAGGCAGCCCCCGCGCCGCCATCACACGTGTTCGACGCCGCCCCTCTATCCGACACCAGTTGTCCATGTCTGGCGAGTCTGATCTCGATGCCCAACAAGATGACATTGCTGCTGAGGCAACCACAACGGCTGGTACCGCTGTGAGCGAGCCGATCGTTGGCATCCAGAACAATGACATTAACATGTCGGATATTGTCGACAATGCAGAGATGTTGGATGCAGGAGCTACGCCAGTACCCATTGCAGCACCATCCGATGCCACTGACGAGAATCACGAGACATTCAACATTACCCACCGCCCTGCTCTGGACGGAAGCTTGATAAACCCTACAACGCAGGCGACTGCGCCCATTGGTGGTTTCTCTCCGGTCCAACCCGCAATCAACGTAGTCAACACCAACCCCCCTCCACCGTGGTACCCTCGCTACACCCAAGACCGAACATCAGCCACAGCCGGTGCATTAGCCGCCATGCCGCGAGACGAAGACGTTTTGATGTCCCTGCAGTTGCTGGCCTACGTCTCAAAATACTGCAACTTGAGGTCCTACTTCCAAAAGTCGCACCTTGTTCCCAAACTCAAGATTGGCAATGATCTGCAGCTGCTTGACGGAGAGACGGCGAGCCCTACGCCGATGGCAGAGGACGAGGAAGATTTGGAAGAGTACGAGCTGCCAGATGACTTCAACATCTTCCCTCTTGTGGAAAAGTTTACCGTACGACACCACACGTCCGACATGCAGTACTGGGCTAGTGTTGTCATGCGGAACCTCTGCAGGAAAGACGATTCGCGGGGAGGCATTCGTCAGTGCGCGTACTACCAGTGTGGCAAGTGGGAAGAGTACACACGACAATTTGCCAAGTGTCGACGCTGCCGACGCACAAAGTACTGCAGCAAAGAGTGCCAAAAGAGCGCGTGGGTCTACCACCGACACTGGTGCGTAGCAGCGAATTAGGCGGACGGACATTACTTCCTTTTCAACAACATCATCATCACCGGATGCACCATTTTATCTAACCGCATATTGCACGGCGCTCGTCCTCATATTCTCGAGAATTCGTATTCCATACTCATACCTAATGAAGCGTCACGACTCGGATACCACCTCATCTTCTACATGGCAGATTACAGACTGCGCTAGGCCTTTGGACAGGATGTTTATTTTGGAGTTGCAGTGGAGTTTACGAAGCTTCTGGGCTTTTAATAGGAGGCGGACAGGATCGATGAGCTGCATCGATTGGGGACATTGCTAGCGAAGGAGACAGAAGAAGATGAAAGACTCTTTTGCATAGTTGAGTAGCCAAGCTTGCAATCGAGTGTCTTTCCGCGCATGGTAATGTGGCTGGCCGCTGTTCCTCGTTTCTTGATTTGCGAAGGAAAATTACTTTGGATGCGATGTGCAGTATATGTTATCACTGCCCGAGCAACAGCTTCCCTGAGGCGAACTGTTTGCAGGTAATCATGGAAGGCGTTTTTGTCGGGTGCATACTCTTCTGCATAGCATAGTTTAGCATTGATAATTGTATTGAGATCGACACGCATCATCCATCTGATTGACGACCATGGTTACGGTTGGGCAGGTCAGTGTCAGTGTGAGAAGTGGGCTTCTCCGCTCATGCGCATGAACATGGATATTGCGGGTGTCCGGAGGATTGTTGGCGGATGACTTTCCGGTAATATCAAGTGGCACAGCCTCCCGGGTCGGACAGAAGCAGACGCAAGACAGCACGTGCGGGTGAGACGCGGGACTGCGCAAGAGGAGCTTACGCGCGTCTGTTGAAACGAGGTGTCGATTTGGCTGAGAAAGATTGGGAATATTGGAGACGTGGGGACGCGGCTGGCTATGCCAGAGGAGGACGCCCGTCAAAAATACGCATGGAGCATCGCGTGGTAGCCAGGGTACGATGTGGAGCTGAGGAAGTGAGCTAGAGAAGGTGGCCCGTTGCGGCCCCAGACCGACCGCAGGTGCAGCTTCACGACGACATCCAGGCTCGTCGCTATTGTTTCTGCACCGTTGCCGAAGCCGACGCCATGCTCTACGCCCAGCTCGTCGCCTCTGCCGCGTAATACCTGACGCGCCCAGTCAACAAGCCCTCGGCAGCCCACCAGCCAGTCTCGGTCGCCGCAGCAGTCCACGGACGACTTCCTCCACCTGCAGCCGCTGCGCAGACCGGATGATTCTTCGCCATGGCCGCTGGCGACGATGGCTCGGGCGGAGAGATTCGGCGACGGTCCACGACCCATCACGTCGACGACGTTGACGGTGTGTCAGCTGCTGACATGGACACGCCCGCCCAACACGATGCGCCGCAACCCTCAGCGACCAACGCCGACGCGCCTGCCTCGCAGTCTTCTGCCTTGGAAAGCTTCTCAGCGCCTTCGATATCGCGACTCTCGACCGACAATGCGCCGCGCGTCCGCTTCTCTACCGACATCGAACGGCATGCCCCGGCGCAGCGATCGAGGCCCACGACGGCCACCTCCGCAATTGGCGAGGCTGCACACGCGGGAACGGCGGGGGGAACGAAGAATCGCCCTGGTACGCCAGGCCTCACAATCGATACGCGCGAGGTAGCTGTAGGAGCATCGTCTGCTGCAGCACAGAGCCCTTCCCCCTCGCCTTCTGGCATATCACCTCTGCCGCCGCGCAGTGCTCAGTCGCCCCTGTCACCGACGAGCCGCAACCGCGGCTACTCGCTACGCAGTGCGCTCTTTAGAAGGAACGTTCACGAACAAGCCCGGTCTCCTGGATCCTCCATTGAGCTCCAAGAAACCTCAGGATTCTCAGCAGGAGGAGCTGGCTCTAGTCAGGTGGATGGCGCGGACAACACAAACACAACCAGTAAAACCTTCAATACGACCATTTCAATCACTCCCGCCCATGTCAACTTTGCGGAGACGCCGTCCTACCTATCCAACCCACCCAAGGCAAAGCTCGGAAAGGGACCCATCGCACTTCCAAACTACGACACATGGCTGCAAAACAAAGATAAGGGCTCAGGCTACATACAGCAAGTCAAAGCGTTGGGTGTCAAGGCAAAGAAGTTTATCTTGCGAATCAAGGACATACCTCCCAGCAAAGATGGACGCCACATCGATTTGGACCCCTCCCGGAAGGAACCTCTGACGGATGAGCGGACGAACCAGCCGTTCATAACCAACTGGATCCGCTCGACTCGCTATTCTGCCTGGAACTTTGTGCCCCGGCAATTAATTGCTCAGTTTTCCAAGCTTGCCAATTTCTACTTTCTGTGTATTAGTATTCTGCAGATGATACCCGGTCTTAGTACCACCGGAACGTACACTACCATTGCTCCGCTCCTAGTTTTTGTTACCATCGCCATTGCCAAGGAAGGCTATGATGACCTGAGACGGTATCGGCTCGATAAAGCAGAGAACAACCGGGAGACTCAAGTCCTTCGTGCAAGTAGGACCACGAGCAGTTATGCAGATGATTTGGACCGGAATTCCACAATAACAGAACAGCTGAACTGGGAAATTATCAAGTGGCAAGATCTTAACGTTGGAGATATCGTCAAACTGAACCGCAACGATGCGGCACCGGCTGACCTAGCTCTCCTGCATACGAGCGGAGAGAATAACGTCGCGTTCGTGGAGACCATGGCCTTGGACGGAGAGACGAACCTGAAGAGCAAACAGACAACAGCCTCAATGACGAAGACCATTCACAGCCAGGCGGATATCCTTACCTGTGCTGCTCACTTTGTTGTGGAAGATCCAAATCAGGATCTATACAGCTTCGAGGGTAAGGTCACAGTGGACGGCAAAACGGCACCTTTGACCCTGAATGAAATCATTTTCCGAGGCAGTATCCTTCGCAACACTCCGGATGCTGTGGGCATGGTCATCTACTCAGGCGAGGAATGCCGCATTCGCATGAACGCGATTAAGAATCCTCGCATCAAGGCGCCGGCACTACAGACTTTGGTCAATCGCATAGTCATACTTATCGTGGTCTTCGTCATCCTCCTTTCCATCTTCAACACTGTCGCTTACAGGATATGGCGAAGTAACGAGGCCGATGCTTTCTATCTTAACGGGAGATCTGTGTCGTTCTTTCCAAGTTTCACGGCGTTCGTAATAATGTTCAACACCATGATTCCCTTATCGCTCTATGTCAGTCTGGAGATTGTCAAAGTATTCCAGATGTATTTCCTTCACATAGATATCGACATGTATGATCCGGTCTCAGATACGCCCTGCGAGCCACGCACATCAACCATCAATGAAGAGCTGGGACAGATCAGCTACATCTTCTCGGACAAAACCGGGACGCTTACCGACAACTCCATGAAGTTCCGCAAGCTGAGCGTAGCTGGAGCTGCGTGGTTGCACGACGCAGACTTGCAAGAGACGCAGAAAACAAAACTGAAGCACAAGAAGAGGAAGAAGGGCAAGCAGCCGATCAGGAAGAGCATGCGATCAGCCAAAGACGTACACTCGCCTCTTGAGCCTCCGACAGCAGTTGCAGAAGAGGCGGATCCGATGGCAGGTGCAGGCGACGAGCCACAAGAGACGCAGTGGAAGTCGTCAGCACGACCTACCAAGTCCCAGCATGAGCTACGCACTCAGGATATGCTACGCTACATCCAGCGTCGACCACATACTCCCTTTTCGAAAAAGACCCGCATGTTCCTCCTATCGCTTGCTCTGTGCCACACATGTCTTCCCGAAGTGCAAGAGGATGGAAAGACACAATTCATGGCTTCTTCCCCTGATGAACTTGCGCTTGTGCAGGCTGCGCAGGACATGGGTTTCCTACTCATCAACCGCGACGTGCACACTATTACCCTCAAGACCACGCCCGCAGGGACAGATGGCGAGCCGGTTGTGGAAACCTTCGAGGTCCTTGACGTGATCGAGTTCTCTAGCAAACGTAAACGAATGTCAATCATTGTGCGCTTCCCAGATCGAAGGATATGTATACTGTGCAAGGGCGCAGATTCAATTGTTATGCAACGGTTGAAGATGGCAACCCTGGCGAACAAGAAGATGGTCGACATTGAGAAGCGTGCGAACAAGCGGAAGAGCATGGAAGCACAGCACGCAATTGCACGCATGAGCGAACAGATCGAACGCAAGAGTAGCGTGGGTGGCCGCAAGAGCTTTTCGCAAAACGTACGTGCTAGTATCGCGGGAAGGTCCTCGCTAGGGCGTCCCAGTCTTGGTGGTGTAGGTCGATCAAGCACTGGCAGGAGTTCTCTCCAGCAGGTGCGTGATGTGGACCAGTGGTTGCGTGAGCGTGAGAACGATCACTATGAGATCGAATCCATCGACGAGAACTCGCCCATGCAAACACCACGCCAGTCTTCCGTTGCCGTTGGCAGAATGTCTTTGGCTTTCTCCGAAGCCAGGAGCTCGCTGCAATTAGAAGAGATGGATGAGATGGTGGATGAGACTGTCGCAGGCGATGAAACGGCTGTCATCGAACGGTGTCTGCAGCACATAAACGACTTTGCTACCGAGGGTTTGCGCACTTTGCTCTACGGCTACCGTTTCCTTGACGAGGATGAGTACGCGACATGGAAGAAGGCCCACCTGGATGCAACGACGAGTCTTGTCGACCGCGCAAAGCTGATCGAAGAATCTGGCGATATGATCGAACAGGACCTCGAGCTGTGCGCTGCGACTGCTATCGAGGACAAGCTGCAAAAGGGCGTCCCAGAAGCTATCGACAAGCTGCGTAGAGCGAACATCAAGATGTGGATGCTGACGGGCGACAAACGAGAGACCGCCATCAACATTGGATATTCCTGCCGCTTGATCAAAGATTACTCCACAGTCACCGTGTTGGATCATGAGACCGGAGAAGTTGAGCAGAGCATGGGTGCGGCTGTGCTAGCCATCAACAGCGGAACCGTACCGCATTCCGTTGTCGTTATTGATGGACAGACACTCGCCCAAATCAGTGAAATTGAGCCGTTGAAGCTTCTCTTCTATGACCTGGCTATCCTAGCGAATTCGGTGATTTGCTGTCGCGCCTCGCCATCCCAGAAGGCCAGTCTCGTCAAAGGCATCCGCAAGCGCGTCAAGAAGAGTATCACCCTCGCCATTGGTGATGGTGCGAACGACATTGCCATGATTCAGGAGGCACATGTCGGCATAGGAATTACTGGAAAGGAAGGCCTGCAAGCCGCTCGAACCAGTGATTACTCGATCGCGCAGTTCAGATTCTTGACCAAGTTGCTGCTTGTGCACGGCAGGTGGAACTACCTGCGAACATGCAAGTACACTGTCGGCACGTTCTGGAAAGAAATGGTCTGCCCGCTCACACCCACTACAAAGTATTGTTGCTAACAATTCATATAGTTGTTCTACCTCACACAAGCTCTCTACCAACGCTCCGCAGGCTACACTGGAACATCTCTCTACGAATCCTGGTCCCTCACCACCTTCAACACACTCTTCACCTCGCTCGCCGTCATCTTCATGGGTATCTTCGAGAAAGATCTCTCCGCTTCCACGCTCCTCGCCGTACCAGAGCTCTACACCAAAGGCCAGCGCAACGGCGGATTCAATTTCAAGGTATACCTGGGGTGGATGTTCATGGCAAGCGCCGAAGCTATGGTCATCTACTTCTGCATGCTGGGACTTTATGGCCAAGCGCTCTTTACGGAAGACAACTCCATCTTTGCCCTCGGCAGCATCACCTTCACCGCCTGCGTTGTCCTCATCAACACAAAGCTCCAGTATGTGTCCTCCTTCCCAAGCCCTCTCCTCAAACCCATCACCTAACGTATCTAATCCAGATTCATCGAAACCCACTCCAAAACCACGACCAACCTCATCGCCCTCGTCCTCTCCATCGGAGGTTGGTTCCTCTGGAACATCATCCTCGCCACCGCCTACCCCATCGGCACGCCCATCTACTTCGTCCGCGACGCCTTTTTCACCTCCTTCGGCCGCTCTTTCACCTGGTGGCTTACCCTCCTCCTGATCCTCTTCTCCGTCCACGTCTTCGAATTCGCAGTCGCGTCCCTCCGAGCCGCTTTCGTCACCACCGATGAAGACGTGTTCCAAGCGCTCGAGAAAGATCCCGAGGTCAAGCGCAGGTTTGAAGAGGCGGCTGCCGAGGAGCTGCAGATGGGCTGGGACCGCGCGACGAATGAGGAGAAGAGGAAGGAGGATGCAGTTAAGAAGGTAGTCGATCAGCTGAAGCGGAAGGAGGAGGATATCCGCGAGGAGCAGGTTAGAGAGATGTTGAGGAATAGGGAGAGGGGGCCGGGAGAGAACGGAAGTGATGGGAGGCCCACGATCGGTGCGGAGATGGAGGGCGAGGAGGTCAATCGCATTCTGTCGAGGGGGTATGGGCATGTGCGAGAGGAATAGGGACCTCAGACTGACGGGGCGGGTGATTTGCGATTGGTGAGAGTTAAGGGTTAGGCTGGAGCGAGATCTTTTTCCTCGCGTGGAATGGTGGGAGGCGAAGAGGGGTTATGAGTGATGATGGCATTGCGTTGGGCGCAGCGGTGTGGAAGTATTGTTTGCGGCGTTCTCTCGGGCGGCTTGATACCATGGCGTGGCGTACATGGTTTTGTTTTCGCGGCGCGTTGCACGGCTGCGCTGTTTGTGCGTGGTCGCTCATTCCTACGTGTTCTCATGACTGCGTGTGCTCTCTCGAAGCGTGGCTCGTGACTTGTGGGTGTACGGACCAGATGTATTGCTCAGACATCGCAAATGCTAGACTTGGATCCCTGTGCACATAGGCAGTTGTTAACCGCATCCCGATATCATCCATGTCTGAATGCCAGCACTACATTTGGAGCTAGCTTTTTCTTGCTCCTCGAATCTTTCAGGTGTCTCTTTAGTTCACCACGCAAATGATACAGACTCTGAGGATACGCGGTCTAGTGGTAGATACGGTTCCTGGCGTGCCCCTTACTACTACCAGTGCGTGTGTGTGTTTTTTTTTTTTTTTTTTTTGCGTTACATGAGTAGATCCAGATTCGAGCTGCAAGGATACACACTAAGCACTGCAAGGATACACACTAAGCAGCAGTCTGGTGCACCCACTGACCTTCCTGAACGGTAACACAATACGGCATCAGACCATACCAACGCCTTGACATACCTCCCCAACATCAATGTTCATGATCATGATGATCATCTCCCTCCCGCTCGTCCCACGGATGTCCCTGCCCCACGCCCTCCCAGATGTCTCCCTCCCACGTGCCCCACGTATAATGCTCTTTCACATTCCCCGCCAACTCCCCACACCTCCTCGCCTCCCAGCTGTCCTTCCCAGCCACAACCCCCCAATGCACTTCCGCCCTCTCCGCCCACGCTCTCGCCCTCCCCTCGCTCCCCACCGCACTCCACGCATACGCTAAAATCTCCTCGTACATCCCCAACTCGGCGTATAGTCCCTCTTCCTCGAGCAACGCCACCAGCCGCGGGATCAGCGCGATGTACTGCGGGATGTCCTCCAGGGATGTCGGCAGTGAGGCTTTCAGGCCGGCGATGTCGGACAGGCGGGTGTCGGAGGCGGAGATGTTTGAGGGCGTAGAGGAACAGAGAGCGCAGGTGCAGGTGAAGCCCCATGTTTCTTTTAGCGCGGCGGTGCGCGAGGTGAAGGGGAGCTGGGAGAAGCCGTAGCTGAAGGTGAGTTCGGTGCCCGGAGGGATGGGGGAGAGAGAAAAGACGGTCAGGGTGAGGGACGCGTCGGAGAAGCGGTAGTAGGCGTTTGGGCGGCAGGCATGGTTGATGCGCTATCCCATCTACTGTTAGCGACTCTCTACAGGTGCATTGATGGATTTGCCTTTGAGAGCAGTAAGAGAGGAAGGAGCATACCGCAGCCTCGGGCACCACAATCAGATGGCTCGTCCCGTCCCACACCTTCGCCCCCATCGCATTCACATTCACAATATCCTCGACCTCGCTCTCTCCTCCTCTCCGACTCAGCGCCATAACCATTTCCCGTGTCTTTTCCGGCAACTGCCCCACCGCCTTCTCAAGCAGCACCCTCCTCCGCGAGTGACTCACGCTCCCCAGCACCTCCCTACTAACCACTAAAACCGGACTCTCTAAGATTATCGTCTCCCCAGAATCAACCAGCCGCTTCGCAAACAGTCCCAGACCCTTCCCTTCCACCTCCCTCGCCTCCCACAGCCCCTGCTCCGCTCGTCCTCGCCCCAAGCCTGTCTCCCATACCTCGGCCGCGAGCTCGGCCGCGCTCTCCGGACTCGTGACAATAGAGATGCCGCGCCCATCATTGAACGCTGCATTCGTGAACACGCAGTACGTGCTGTGCCGTCCGCCGTGCTCTCCCGCGGGCAAGACGAGCGGGAGGCACGTCGGCGCATGCGTCCAGGGGAACGTGGTGGATGTCAATCCGTCCTGCACCACAGGACACGTCGTTGGCGCGCGGATTACGAGGCCATCTTGGATCTGGGGGCTTTGGCCGATAGGGTCGGGCTCAGTGGGGCTTGCGGCGGCGAGCGCAAACAGCAAGGGCAAGAAGACTGCTGCGCATCGCACTGAGAGGGGTTCGGAGTGCAGCTTCATCTTCAACGAGACCCGGGTGGACACAATGAAGGTGGGCGCTTGCAATGCATGGTGACGACTCGGAGCGTTATGAGGGTGTGTGCTGCACGAAAGCCACGTTTCGCCCGCGCGAGCGTGACGTTATTGGCATGCTACTATTGCTATATTGCTGCTTGGCCTGGTGAGGAGTCGGCATCGGCTCTGGGAGTTAGGTATAGTGGGCGGAGGTCAGTGTCGGTGTTTAGATTGGATATGCGCCGGCTAAAAGAGGGACGAGGGTGGTGTATCCCAGCACGTGCCGGATGTGTGCTAGCACAATGCGTATGCAGAAGGCACGACCGCCGTTAGAGGCCAGAAGAGCACTTGCACCACGACGGAGTAGCGAGGCAGTAGTGAATCGTACTAGAACGGAATCATCGTGTGAAGGAGATATATAGACACATCCAACTTTTCCTTGACGAAACATTGTCCCCACCCTGAACATAACATCATTACTAAGACATCTTTTCAAACCCTAGGCTTAAACGGATTCATCCCCTTAAGATCCCTCTTCGCACTCGTACTCCTCGGAAGAGCATCCGTACAGTCCACCATCCCGGCGGTCCCACTACTCCCAAACATAACCATCTTCTCCATCGCATCCGCAAATTTGCCATTCCACTTCCCAGCATTACCAACAAAGCCCTTGAACTCTTTGCCTACGCCCGCATAATTCGCAAGCTTACTGTCAGAAGGAAACACCACGACACCTGGGGGAGGATTAAGTGTCTCCGAGTAGTACTTGACGTCCCACACACCGGGCGTGGAGTCCTGCGAAGCACCTTTGTTTTCGAGGTCGAAGTTGAACTGGTTGGACGAAGTGTGCGCGCCCAGGAGGGCAGCGAGATCACGGTCGTCGAAGCCCTTGTCGACGAAGAGTTTCGAAAGGGAAGCTGCCGGGGCATTGACATCCGGGAGGAGGCCGTTGGGCGCAGCAACGCTGCTGGACTTGCGACCAATCCAGGTCTTTGATCGCGGGCCGCCGGGGCAGGTCACGACAGCGTGATTGCCGGCGAAGACGACGAGATCGGCAACAGACACGCTGTACTTTGTGGCCATGGCCTTGATGTCGGCAGCGATCTTCTCCAGGCCCTTGTTCTCTGCGCGGCTGCCCTCTTCGGCGTTGAGCACTAGGCTGCCATCGCAGCCTCCTTTGGCGCCTTGAGCTTTGTTCCATGCTAGGTCTTATTAGCATCCATGTTCGCAGCAAGGGTAGGTTCACTGACCTCCACAGTCGTGGAAGACGAGACGGATGGCAGCCCGGGCGTCTGGGTTGCACTGCCCTCCTGTAAGGAATTTCTGAGTGAGCTCCTTGCTGATGGATGTCCACACGGCGGGGCATTGGCCGTTGCCCCCTCCGTCCCCAGAGCTGCCGCTGCCGCTGTTGCCGCTGCCACTGTTCCCACTATCTCCGTTCTTGCGGGGCAAGAACTTGACAAACTCCGTGATATCTGGGAATGACAAGGCCGTAGCGGTGGAAGCAAGGAAGAGGATGAAGGCGAACCGCATCTTGGTGGGTGATGTGTTGCGATAATGAGCTGAAATGTATTTCTTTGAGAGCTTTAGATCAACTCTTGGATCCTTTTAGATAGTCTCAAGAAGGGGAGAAAGTTGAGCAGCAATACTCTGTGGATGTACCTGCTGTCTTATACACTGTTGCTCCACGTTCGAGAAGAGTCCGGATACACAGCTGGCCGGCGACTTGGTCTGCATAGTCAGCCACGAAAGCCGGCGTGGGACTTTCTCTATCGATGCTGCAAGCCACAGGCATACGATCCAGAAGCGAAGCATGGACCTCGCCGTGAAGACGCATGCTCAGGCGCGTTGGGCGGTGCATATTCGTTAAGCAAAGTGGCCGTGCAAAGAGGGCGAGATGCTGGCATATCGGCGAGCAATAGCTCGAGAAGCCTAGCGCGGGTCACAGGCCTACTGCGCGGAGATCCAATAGCGCTGGCTCTTGAGGGTTCTTTATACCTCGAGCTGACTTCTCCTCAACACCACGGTCGGAAACCAAGCTTCGGCTCTTCCGCAACGGTGTTTGCCGTATCTGACCACTTGTCTTGGTGGGAAATGAAATGGGGAAGAGCAGGAAATGGGAAAAGGATCTTGCCTTCCGAATTCGACCTCAAGATATTGTTACCTGGAGCAGCACAACATGGCTTATGGATTCGACTGGATGACGGACTTGAAGCAGTTAGGCCATCGTGATATTCGTGATCAGCTTTGAGCGTTTCGAGCCTCCGATCGCAGGATGGACCGAGAGCAGGGTCTAGATGGCGGTACATTCCGAGTGAGGTGTAGCGAACATGGCGTTGAACGCTGAAAGACAACGTGCTATGGACGGATTTGGTGAAGTGTCGAGCCTCAGCTCTGGGACCACCCAAGACCATTGGACGGTGAACGAACAAGCTTCAGCTCAAGCTTATGCTGCTCAGCTCACTGGGACCGTATCTTGGCTTGTGGCACTGAGACAGCCAGCTGTCACACCAACGTGGCAGTGATCCTAACGAGCAAGATACTGTATCTATAGCATTTGGAATGGTCCGAGTATCGCATGGTGCAATACGGGCACCGAGTGACGGAGAAGTTGCGGCGGAATATTCAAGCTGGGCTGCTGGCGAGGAGACGATGTACAACGGCTGTATGCAGCTGGATGAGCCACGACCTAGTGTGGCACAGTCTACAGAGGGTTCCAAGCAACGGCGATAAGAGGAGCATCTTCGAAGACGGCGTTGCAACATCCAGGTTGTCGGACTAGCCCCCAGATAGTGATGGCGACGGCAGGGTCCCAGGCTCCAGACAATGTTCCTCGCGTGAGCTTTACGGGTACTCAGCCATGTCATGGCCAGTTGGGGCCTGCAGGGAACCTAAATCTAGGCAAGGCAAGCGAGAACAGGAAGCGATGGGTACATGGACCTGAGTCGTCGCACTTGGGGTTGGCTAGACGCCACGTGTGGCTCTTTGATGGATGGCCGTGACATGACCTGGCTGTCGGGAAGGACTATCGCCATTGGAAATCGCCTGCCAACGGGATTCTCTTTACTCTAGTGTAGCCATGTCTCCGTCTCCGCTCTCTTTACTGGCAAAGTTCCACAGTCGCGGGGCGGGTGCACGACAAGAGTCGGAGCGTGCATGGCGGACTCGCAGGACTCTTCGCCTCGTGCCCATATGAATCCACCGCCAAACGGGGTCTTGCTCACGGCCAGCAGAATCTTGTGCGAACGGGAAGCTGGACTCACAAGACGGGCTCAAGAGGTTGTTGCTCGAGGCAGGGTGCGCTCAGTTGTGTATTCTTTCACGTGCGGCAGGGAAGGGCGCAAGACGCGCGTCAATGAAGCACACGACGCGACTTCATCATCGCCCTGGGCACGCATCACCATCCTGTAGCACATGCCCGCGGTGCACGGGATGGCGGTGGACGCGGTGTATGCGTAGGAGGCTCGCGCGCCCAGCTAGCGCCGCGCGCTGCAGTGGATCGTCACGGCGCGCAGAAAGAAAAAGGCACACACAACTGCACCCCGCCGTTCCTCCACGCTGGCGCCTTCCCCCCGCGTCCTCGCCTTCCTCGCCAGCAAGGGCCGCCTGCCCGTGCCCGCAAAAGCCGCGCTGGCCCTGGTTGTTCGCCCGCAGCGCGACAAGTACCCGCCCATGCCCGAAGACAAGTTTCCGTGGGTAGAGCCGCCCGCCGTGGCCATCACTCCCTGTGACCCGTGGCCGCCGCCTTACTACCTCGAAGACAACCTGCGCAAGGTCACGCCGTACCACTTCACCTACAACACCTTCTGCAAGGAGCGGTGGCGCAACCGCGAGATCCTCGACATCTTCGCGAGCGAGTTCAGGGACCGCCCCACCGAGTACTACGAGCAGGCCATCGTCGAGGGCAGAGTCGTGCTGAACGGCAAGCCCGTGCCCTCGACCAAGACGCTGGTGCGCAACGGCGATGTCATCTCGCATACGCTCCACCGCCACGAGCCGCCCTGCAGCGCGAAGCCCATCGGCATCGTCCACGAGGACGACGACCTGATTGTCATCGACAAGCCAGCAGGCGTGCCCGTGCACCCCGCGGGACGCTACAACTTCAACTCGGTCATCGAGATCATGCGGGCCGACAGGGGTTATGGCTGGAACCCGCTGCCGTGCAATCGCCTCGACAGGCTCACCAGCGGCATCATGTTCATAGGGAAGCACAAGCAGGCCGCCGAGGACATGAGTGCACAGATACGCGGCCGCACTGTCAAGAAGGAATACATCACCCGCGTCGTGGGCGAGTTTCCCGAGGGCGAGATCGTGTGCGAGAAGCCCATACTCCAAATCAGCCCGAAGCTGGGACTGAATCGCGTCCGCGCAAACGGCAAGGAGGCAAGGACAGTCTTCAAGCGAATGGCCTACTACCCGCCCAAAGACGACAAGGGTGGCCCCGCCCCCACCGACGGCGAAGCCCACGAGGGCATGGAGTGGAAGACGAAGCGTGGCTACTCCATTGTGCGCTGCATGCCCGTCACTGGCCGCACTCATCAGATCCGCGTTCACCTGCAATTCCTCGGTCATCCCATCTCCAACGACCCCATCTACGCAAACCAGCGTGTCTTTGGGCCCTCTCTCGGCAGAGGCCACTCGGAGGAAGAAAATGACGATGACATTATGACTCGCCTTGCCCGCATGGGCAAGGAAGAAATCGCGGACGCTGTGGCTTACCATGACGAAATGGTCGATGCATACAACAAGAGGAAAGCCGAGAAAATGACGGGCGAGAAATGCGACGTCTGCGCCACTGAGCTTTACAGCGACCCGGGCGTCCACGAGCTGGGCATCTACCTGCATGCACGCAGGTATCGCTGCGAAGAGGGAAGATGGGACTACGAAACTGGTTTGCCAGATTGGGCTCTACCACCACCTGGGTACGAAGGTGCCACAGAACCGACGCACGAGTCTGATCCGCTGGCCGTCGATCTCAAGAAGCTTGGCATCGAAGACGGCGGAGATGTAGGAGATGGGCAAGGGAAACCACTAGGAACGGCCCATGCGGCTGAAGACGGCGGCGACCACCAGCTGATCGCCGCCGGCGCAGGGGCGTGAAAACGTGGTACAGAACTCCAGGAACGGGTACGCCGTCGGCGCTAAGGCGGCCTTTATGCTGGCAGCTGCTTAAGCTCACTTCAAAACCCGCGCTGGTCACCGGCATCACATGCTATTTGCGTCACATGCTGCAGCTTCCAATATATCGTTGACGGAGATCCTGCAGCCGACACCGTCTACATTACAAAGTTCTGTACTCGGATTTCGTAGCCGACGTCTTCTGCATCCTTCCGCCACGCCCACGGAGGGACCTGCGCCAGGACCGGCGACATTCCCAATCCCCGTATCAACCCAGCAGCATCGCAATCTCACAACTTGAGCTCCACAGGTGCTCCACCCTTCTCTCCGCTCTGTAACATCGCCTCAAGCACTTGCAGATCCCTCAGCGCCTCTTCAGCGCTCTGCCTCGGGTCCGGCTTGCCCTCACCCAACGCTTTGCCCCAAGCTGCGATTTCCTGCTTCACCCCGTTGCCCTCCTCGGGGAACTCCTTGGTCTCCTCCTTTCCGTCCTTCACCACCGTGACTTTGCCTCTTGATACAGTCACGGTACCCTTCTCCGCAGCAAAGGTATACTCCGAGCCTGTGAAGGTAGTCCCGAACGACAGAGAAATAGTCCCATTGGCGCCATTGCTCAGCTTCACCGTGGCATCCACCGTGTCCACAGGAGGAAGGTGTTCCTGCAGTTGTGTAGAGAAAGCACTGGTCGTCACAGGCTTCACACCTCCGCTCTCGAGAATCAGCCTTGTGGCAGCGACGAAGTGAACACCGCCATCCAGCAGAAACCCGCCCTGGTACTCGGGCTTCTTGCGCCACGCAGTCTCAAAGTACTTACCGCCCTGCTTGACGAAGTTCTGCACGCGCACGCGGAACCCAAGTACGCGGCCTAGTTGCGCGAACTGCGCCGCTGCGTAGTCGTACGACGCGAGAAAGCGGAAGTTCTCTGCGATGCTGAAGGACGGCCCGCTGATGTTGCTCTTGTACCAGGAAATCAGCTCCGTCGCCGTCGCGACGTCTTTGGCGATGGGCTTCTCAGCCAGCACGTGCTTGCCTGCTGACAACGCTTTCTTGATGTACTCGGGCTGCACGAGGATTGGGAGTCTACACGGCATTAGCATTAGCATCGATGATACCCTAGCATACAGATCCCAGAATATCAACTATAGAATACAGAAGCCATGACTTACGCAATGACCACCGCCTGCACGTCGTCCCGCGCCAGCAGCGCATCGTACCCCTTGCCCTCCCCGGAATCCTCGCTATACAGCTCCACATCCCCGGCTTCGGAAGCCAGTGACTTTGCAGAAGCGAGGCTGCGCGAGTAGATTGCCGTGAGGGAGAGCGCCGAGGCCGCCTTGATGGCGGGCAGGTGCTCTTCTTTGGCGAAGATGCCGCTGCCGATGAGAGCGATGCCGATGGTCATGTTTATGGTTGCTTCAGGGATCGATAATGCGGGTTTATGTTGTTTGGAATGCGAGACCGGTGGTACGGTGTGTTCGTGGTATGTACGTGAGTGGAGGGGTAAGGGTAAACTGTATAGACAATGACGAAATGCGTTCGGGGGTGGGGCGGGGACGGCAACAATCGTACAGACACTGCTGCTTCTTCCAACGACCAACGCGAGCCTACCGCCTCTCTTTATACTTCTCTCCTTCCGCCCTTTTCTTCAGGGTTCTCGCTGCCGCCTTGCAAGATGCGTGATGCGTCGTGCGAGTAATCGGCCCGATCAAGACTGTTAAAATTGCCTGTTTGGGACGGCGATGGGTGCTGGTGTAGCATTACAAAGCGGCTCGCGGAGTCGCGGGGATAACATGGCATGGTATGGAGTGCGACGGTATGGCATAGCGAGTGTATTCGGGTATCTAGCAACGGCATCATGTGCGTGAATAGGACTCGTTCGCTCCGTAGCTCAAAGGTTTTCTTGCTTCAGCGGCGGCTGGCAAAGAGCCGCCAACTGCGGAACAGTATAGCAGCAGCAGCAGCAGCATATCCTCCCATCAAAGGGATGAGGGATGCCTACCAAACCCTATGAGTCTCTCAAAACCTGCGTTAGGTCGAACACGGCATCTCCCCGGCAGGCTGCGCGATGCAGGTCCTAGCAAGGGCAGCTGTCACGCAACATTCGCCTCCCTCCTCAGCGCCCTCTTTCTCTTTTCCGTGACCCCAATGAATACGCTCGCAATCGCCATCCCCGTCGCACTAAACGCTACCGCAAACCAGAAGCTCGCCCGGAACCCGATCAGCCTGATCGCCATCAACTCAGGGCTCTCATCACTCAGCGGCGGCGGATGCACGATGCCCGCCTCCTTCGCCGCCGCCTGAGTCACATAGCGGTCGATCGTACCAGCCACGCCCAACCCGCAGCTGATGCTGTAGTTCACCATCGTGGAGACGAGGCTCGCGGCGATGCCCTGCTTCTCCCTGGGCAGCGCGGACGAAAGTAGCATGTTGGCCGCCGGGTAGGACAGGTTCATGGCGCCGGGCATGATGAGGATGGATAAGAAGGCCTGCAACCAGTAGCTCTGGTGGATGGGCATGGTGGCAAGGAGCAGCACGCCCACCATGAAGCACGTCATGGCGATGAACATGACATAGCTGACGCCGAAGCGCTGGATCAGCCAGACGGTGGAGAACGCGAAGAGCACGCCGGTGATGGCGACGGGGGACGTCTGCGCGGACGTCAGGATTGCGGAGTGCCCGCGTAGCTGCTCCAGGAAGAGGTACAGGTAGTACGCCCAGATACCATGGGAAGCCCACCCGGTCACGATGCATGTGAGTGCGAAAATGGTGTCTTTGCCCAGGCCGCGAATGGGGATGAGTGGGTCGTTTGTGGCGTAGAGCTCGACGAAGAAGAAGACGACCATTAATACGCAGCCGGCTCCAAGGAGACAGCTGACATAGGCCGCCGTCCACAGCACGAGAGGCGCCTGGTTGAGAGCAGTGTTGATGAGCACGAGGCCCGAAACCCCGGTTATGGTCCCCCAATAATCGAATGTCGGCGGCTTGGCGTTGATGGGTCCTCGGACTGGTTCCATTCTTTCCTCGGGCAGGATCATATACGCGAGACCCATGACGATGAGACATAACACTGCGAGCACCCAGAACATCCATGGCCACCAGGCCAGCTCCGCGAGCAAAGCGGAGAACACAGCACCGGCTGTCGCGCCTAGGGGACCCGAAGCACCAAAGCATGCAAAGCCGATCATGCGTTGCTTGCCCACTGGGAGCGTTCGTCCGATGAGAGCCACGGCATTTGGGACAAGCAGGGCTGGCCCGATTCCTTGGAGTGCCCGGCAAATGCTGAACATGACGTGGTTTGAGGTGTATGCGAACCCTGTAATGATAGACCAGATGGCAAACCAAAGCCAGCCGATGAGGTAGATCTTCTTGTGGCCGTACATGTCTCCTAATCGCCCTGAAACCTATGAATCATGATCGAAGTGCTTGGAGTGGGCGGTACGTACCTGCAGGAAGTATGAATGTCCCCACGCTCATGCTGTAGGACGCAGAGAACCAGCTCAGGTTTCCATAATCTTCGACTCTGAAGTGTTTGGCCAGTACCATAACTGGTGAAACTGTCTGATTCAAAGCACTAAGGGAAAGGAATTGCGCTATACACGTGATAAAGATGAATGGCAATTCTTGTCTCCAGTTCTTCGAGGGCGGCGAAGGATGTGAGGCGGTCCTCGGTGGCTGGCCCAGAAGTACATCGGAACTGTTGGCAGTCGAAGGGTAGCTTGCTGTACACGATTCGTACTTTTCGCACTTGTATCCAATACAGTGAGCAGATGTTGGTATTGAGAGGGACAGCGATGCCTTTTCTAGATCCTCGATTTTTTTAGTCCGGGTGCTGAATGTTGAGTCGGATGACAGCATAGGGGTACTCCAGCGGGCGGACATCGAGCTGCTCTACCGATCGATGGATATAGCTGATAGACGCAATGGATAGAATGGGCCAGAGTCTTTCTTGTGTATCGTTTGTCCTTTGTTCCTCGAAGAACATCTTAAAGGAGAATCAGTGAGTGCCAAAGTCTCTGGACACGCTCCACGTGGTCTACTAGCGACCCAGTTATGACGACGCGGCCACCAGGTCCTGCATACCCCACAATGAACTTTAAAGGCAACTAAGAATTCCATGGTGTGGAGAGCCGAACTCGTGTCCCCATATGCAAACATCTAGGGTCTCAACATCGCGTATTCAGTGACTAAGTGCCTATGTACGCATGCAGGAAGCGGTTGATAGCCATCAACTATCAGAAGCCGACTGGAACAATACAGGTAAGCGTAAATCACCACTTTTTAGAAGCGGCTTGGGTGGAGGATGTCATCCACTGTTGAGCAAGAATGCGTATTGTCTTCACTGTGGCTGAATCATGCTTGTCATCCGCCAGTTGCTCTTGATCTGCCTGCCAAACTCAGCTGCTGGATGAAATCATTGAGAGTGCTTGCAGCGCCGTTGTTGAAACGTACAGGCATTTCGTACAGCGCTCGACTCAGGTCCCCTAAATGCAATTCCCTTTGTATGGCTGTTTCCGGTTGAATCGATGAGGCGTACTGTATGCAGCTCTAGGCCAGAACCGAACAGGCAGCACTGTCCTCGCTGGCGTAATTATCGCCGGTGAAGGGTCGAAAGAAGAGAGCAAGAAGGAGTAGATGTTGTCCGTCAGACTTTGATTGGTAGATGCGTGAGAATGCGCTGCCTAATTTTAGTTGTTCCGAGGCGCCGGCTGGACGAAAGCGCTCGAAGCTCGAGTTTGCGCTTGACTGAATGTGGCTGCCAGTCTCGGCACCCTCCCGCTCCCACGGCCTCATCAGATATAAGTTCCCATATATGATAACCCCCGCAGCGCATAAGTAGCCTTGGCTGAAGCCTCTCTTGCTGCTGGATCAGGAAGGCGCTCGATTGTGAGAGCTAGCGGTGCAACTTTCGAGTCTCCTCATCCAGCATGTTCCCAGGCGAAGGTATTGAAGCTGACGCAGACACCGCGGTGACGCTTGACAGGCGCACCTGAAGACGTGAGGTGCGGGCCGTGCGGCATCGAGATTCTGGTTGAGCTTAAGTGTGATGCTGGAGTTTGCGTAGTTGTGCGCAAGATCCCCAAGACGGAAGCAAAACACAGTGAGACGAGTCTGCTCTGCTTCCTCTACACAAAGACTTGATCGCAGAAACAGTATGCAAGTTACCAGGAAAGTACTCCATGTGCTTCGGTTTGCCTCATGTCGCATGTCGCTTGAGTCTCTTTCCTCGAGGAGTCTCCTCGGAAGACGAGGACGAGACAAGACGCATCAGTACGTCGCAGTAGTTTACCACCGATCTGCAAACAGTCCGGTAGAGATGGTGTCTGGCTGGTTTCGGATACGCATGCGGGCGCTATGGTGGAGCACTCGGCGGATAGCGTATGTACCTAGGCAGTGATGATCGTATCGAACCCTGGGCCACAGCTGGGAGCCACCACCCACAGATTCATCCTACCTAAGTACAACCCGTCACTTCCCTTTCTAAGGTTGCCCGTATGGCTTTTCGAATTGAGACGTGAGATTTTCGGCTGCCCCATGAGTCTCTGCTTGATCCTTTCGAATGAGGCTTTGGTTGATCATCTGTCATACCGTATTCCCTCATTGCTGCAGATATTCGATCATCGGCTTGGGCCGCCTCGTTCCGGCCACGCTGCGGCCACGCTGCGGCCACGCTGCTCGCTTCCGTGCTATTTGTGTGGTTCCTAGGTTCACGGACACACTGAAACATGGGTGAGCCGTAGATGGTATACGCTTCCTCGTCAGCAACTCCTTAGGGCTTGACATATCATCTTCCGTATTGCAATCAACATTATACCGCGGTGCATTACTAAATCCACGTGTTTAGAGGGTTCTTGAGCCTTGCCTTTTGACTTCTTGAGGGAACGTCCTGGGCCGATGACTAACTGAAATTCATTGCCTGAGGTGTAGCATCAGATTCGAGTCAGTTAGGGAAGGTTCGTGCATTGTTGACGCATGCGTTCAGCAGACATTTGATATAGCATCAACAGGCGTGTCGAGAGTCATGGTAAAGTTGAGTTATGAGGGTTGTGTTAGGCTGGATATACTTCAATTCAGTATACGTAGAACATGTGAAAGCCGCTATGGAGCACATCGAGACCCAAGCCGTTCGCTGCGCTCTCTGCTTGAGGAACTTTGAATTGCTTCCCCAGATGTTTCAGTCGATCTGCGGCATAACTTTTTGCAGTCTGAGGTGCTAGTGACTCGGCTTTTACAACCGATAGAGCAGCTATGAGGGTCGCGACGCGTGCTTCGCGTGATGCCTCGATACCGATAGTATCGTACTTCGCCGGATCCAAAAATTGGGGAACAGTAGCGCAAATATCTGTAGCAGCATCTTTGATAGTTGCGACCGCACGTTGTTGCGCCCATTTCCCTTCATGAGATAATGGCAACTCGCGCAGGGCGCGGTGAATGACACTGTTGAGCATGATGCGCAACACCCTGCAAGCGTTCCACAGCCTAGCAGCATGGTGATGGCCGTACTGGTGTATGATGCATCCGTAAGTATCCCACCCAGATTTCAGTGTATGTTCCGTTGTTTGATGAAATTCTTGGTATCCATAATCCGATGGTAATCCCCTGGTAAATTGTAATACCCTTTGATCCAGCGACAAAGCTTTTGCCACTTTCGCTGATGGGAGCAGATTGATGTCCCATAAGACACATGGTGGTTCCGATATCTCCCCAACCAAATTGACGAAAGATATTCTGGGGCTTTCCCAATGCAGCTGTTGTGCGATTGAAACAAGCTCCAATAGGTCCGGCGGCAAAGGCATTTTACGCATCATCGTGTCGAAAGTCAGAATGCCACACATCTGGTCAAATAACCGACGACCTAGTGCGCTGCGGAATTGATCTTTCCCACGTAGCCGTAGTAATGCCAGGGCACCTCGAGTGTGCGCCGCCCAATTACTGGAAGCTCCTGTTACCTGGCAGGCCAAAGCCTCGAATAAACCTAGAAGAAGAACCGATACGAGAGTACTATCTCGGGTGGCTTCCCCAGGTCTGATGAGGGCAGTGTTCGTATCAGACAACGCAGTTGCATATAGCCGTCTCGCAGGATGCAGAAGACGAAGATCTTTAAGTTTGGAAGCAGCCATAGCAAGCGAAACAGCCCGTATATTAATGGACATTAATCCTTCTGGGTCCTGGTGCGTGCTTATTTTTGATAGATAGTCGAACGGACTTTGTGGTATGTAAGTAGTCATGAATTCTGTAACCGCAATCGTGTCGAGGTGCAGTGACGGATTGTGGCATAATGCTTCCAATCCCGTTTCGAGGGAGACTTCTGAACCCAAAGGTGTTGTCACGCTCGACGTGTTGGACGAACATGTATTCGCCTTGATTCTGCGGCGCGATCCTTTTCTGTAATTCGCCTCCGCCTTTTTCATAACAATTTCGCTTTGGTCGCGGTAGCTTTGCTCTATAGGGTCGGGATAACCCGGACAAGGTATCTCCATACGCGAGCATTGACCGCATCCCAATTGATTTTTATCGCACTGCGGTCTTATCAGCATCGAATCGTCCAGCTCATATGGTACATGTTGTGCGATCCAAGGGTAAGTGAAGCACCCCCGTTGCGGGTGTTTTCATGACATTGAGACAGACTCAATCGCATCGGACCGCAGCGGAACGAATGGACAACGTTTCTAGCATACCTTGATTCGTCTGCCGCGGCACGCAAAGCAGGCCTTACTAGGTCTACCCCTAAACACCATTTTTTAATAGAAGTCCAATGTGTCAACAACCTCCTAGAGGTAGCTTCCTGTCCAGGAAGAGAAAAAAACACTCCGAGACGGAAATTTTTTATACTCCACCGCACAAGAAAGCGGACGCAGTGAGATAGACACTGCATTCCATGGCTACGAAGTGTAAGTCAGCTTACCCTCGGCACGTCCTTCCGAAGGGCCTTGCGCAGCACAGCCACACGTGCGAGGCAAGCCGAAGCGGGTGTCTTATCGATACGTGAATAAACAGGATGATCGGCAGAAGATCGGCAGGAACCCAGCACGCCTCGAAAGGCTGAACCCGGCATCTAGTGGATCTGGGCTGTGATCCTCGACGACCTTTCATCGCAACACAGGCGTCTCGTGCATCGTCTGGCGCAACCCGTGCGCGTCCGTTACGCGTTAATCGAGAGCGGCTGAGGAGGCAGGAGTTGTACGCACGCTTGCACTCAAGAGCCCTTTACGCTAGACGTGTTTTGGATTCGCACGAAGCAAACAACTGGCGACAACAGAGTTTTGCGGCGGATACACCAGAAGCTGGCATGCGCGTGGTTTAGGATTGCCTCAGGCCGTGCTCAGCTTGTCAGGGGAGCTTTCGAAGGGGGTTGACGCCCGACAATTGCGATTCAGGGAGTCAGCCACTTCTCTCCGTTGCTGAGTCGCCCGCAATTGTGTGTACGATTTGCGCGGAGGGTCACCGAGTGTTCTCGCGCAGTGTTGCCTCTCAGTGGTCGATCCATCCGTATCGCTGCGGGTCGTGTTGCACGGCATCTGCACACCCCGCCCCAGCGAAAGGCCGAACAACATCAAATTCGTCATTGTCCAGGGCACGCGTAATCGGGTATCCCATGTGTTGCTGCGTGCGCTATGGTTTCAAGACCCGCCGTCTAGCAGCTATTGTCTGTGTGGCTCTATATGTTTAGCGTTGACATCGGCCGGGCCCCTGAGCTGCTAGACCAGCCTCCGTGCGAACTTTGGCGTAACCTTTATCAGCCTCGGATTCCCTCAAGGATCCCGTCACCCTGCCTGCGGGCAATATTGCCGATGTTATGGATCCACCGGTCAAAATCACCTTCCAACTGGAGGACTTTCCAACCACACCCACTGGAACCGGAGACGGACTCTGCCAGGAATGTTACGATTCATTCAAACCTGTCGGACCAGCGAGGCGGAAAGTACCGCGCATCTCGAGTTTGCGAGTGTCCAGCAAGAGCTGCCAAGGCTGCCAAACCCTCCTCGATTTCTTTACAGCTGCGCAACGTCAATCTGTCTATCCGGTTTCTGCATCAAACCCCGTGGACCTCAAAAGAAGTTGGGCGTACTGGGTATCAGAATACTCTCAGAAGAAACACACGAACGAGAGTCAGGCAATCGCTCTGTCTGGTTTGATCACTTTCGTGCAGGATCTAAAGAAGGATGAACCACTACTGGGGCTTTGGAAGCAAGAGCTTGCGGAGGGTCTCCTGTGGGAAAGAGGGATCTGGCATGAGCCAGCACCGCGGAAACGTATCGCACCATTTCCATCATGGACCTGGATGAGCTTACCAGGAGCCGTCCAATACCCAAGCTTCCGCCTCACTTCGAAACACATCGAGCTTATCCATCCCCGCATCTGCTGGTCGCAGGGTGAATACGACTCCTCTCTCGAAATTGCCGAACTCTTGCTACGGGCGAAAGTGCTCAAAGGAACGCTGACCTACCACGGTCGCGAATCGGCTCAATCTTCACTCTATGTCGAGATCGGCTCCTCCAAGGTTCCTCTGTTCGAGCGCGTGGACATTCCGGATTCGTATTACGACAATACTACGGTCCAACTGATTCTTATTGGAGGCACGGATCGACATTGGTTTTTCCTTATCGCAAGCAACGTTGTCAACCCAGAGAGGAATCCCTACGTTCGGATTGGGCGCGCTTATAGTCCATGTGACCGGGCCTTCAAAAAACTGGAGGAGCATTTCAAAACCGTCAACTCCCAGGTACTCAATCTGCGATGACACCTTCGAGCTACATGTTTCACCTGCAACATTGCTTACAGGGCTTTCCGATAAGCATATCGAGACTTTTATCATGGGGATTTCGATCACGAATGAGCCCCCACGATTCGACCCCGCCATTCAGGGTCGTATCTCGGTCTCGGTGCACTCAGCCTACAGCCTTGGAGCTAGATTGTTATCACGTATATCGACGAGGTTAAGGCCGGTTGTAGGCGTGTTCACCAACTCTAGCTGCTTTAATCCGGCTACGATAGCCACGACGATAGTTCGATTACCCGACGTTCAACATAGCCAATGTCGTTCTGTAAAGCCTGTTACCCCAAAATCAAGCAGCTCTTCCGTTGAGTCTACGGATGTGGTCATCCGAAGAGCTCCAGTCGAATCACGAGATGACGAAGGTCTCCATTTGGAGATGATCATCCGGTCAACCACAATCGCACTCTGTTCACGCAGTACACAAGTTCAATGAGGCATGGTATCTCTAGCCGACTCATCGAGTAAGACCCAGCATCCGTTCGAGACTCCCATGAGGGAAGGCTTAACGCGAGGCACTCACGTCGACGTTGCACATGGCATTACCCGAAGAGGAAGGTATCGTCAGAGCGCTGGACTCCTGAAGACCCTTGCAAACTCCGTCCAATTGCAAGGTCACTCGACTATGTACCTGCAGCATCCGGACCAGTACGTCCTTGTGTGGTAGGATTTGATGTTGAGTAACCGCAGTCTACCATTGGGTCATGTGAACAATTCGCATGCACTCCCAAGAGATGCTTTTCGGCTGAAGGGCTTACCCGGACAGCCAGCGTCAACACCACGTTTTTCGCAATATGTTAGATACCCAATTTGAATACTTATGCTAAGTCAGGGTCGCGATGCCGCAACTGTAACAAAATCTGTATCTCACATTCTCTGTGCTTCGACATTGGCATGCTTGGGTCACGTACACCCACTTGTCATTTCGTATGTGAGATATGGCGAGGCTACGGCCCTCATTGTAATTTTGCTTGCCGGCTGGCTGTCCATAGGAGGGTTGTATCAGCCCAGCCTATACCCGCAACATACCCTACACTGAGCTCCAACCTGCCACCACTTCTAAAGCTGAGTTACATCTACGCTCACCTCCCCCTTGCCCCCGCACCATCAGAGAGAAGGACTGTAACCTCCTGTCGACCTTGTAGACGCTTGCTTTCCGCTCACCAATCGAATCGCATCGTAACCCAATATTTATCGGTGCCAGTACTATTCACGTGGGAGATAAGAGGTCAGACCCATGATACAGTGTTCAGGCATTATTGCACCCGCACTGATATAAATACTGCCTTTAAGCTCCATCAATCGGTTCTTAGGACACTCACGGCACCACATCCTTAGAAACTTGTCTACTTCGTTGTACATATTCTTACCATGGGCATAATTACATCCCTCTCGATCCTTTTGACCGCTGCAGCATCTGTTCGCGCAGGGTTCAATCCTGCTAGCAAGTCCAATGTCGTTCTATATTGGGGACAGAACTCTGCCGGCCAGCAAAGCACCCAATCTCGTTTATCAACTTATTGTGCTGGTGAGCTGATAAATACCACGACACTATTCATGTTACTGACTCTGTTAATGCAGATGCTAATGTTGATGTACTTTGTTCCTGATAGCCTATCCTCGAGAGATGACTAACCGTTTCTGAAGGTCCTCCTTTTGTCATTCTTGCTTCGATTCAGTGGCACTGGAGGCCAGCCTGTCATGAACTTTGCCAACCAGGGCGACAAGTGCACCCTCTTTTCCGGGACGGAAACCTTCTCTTGCCCTGAGATAGAGTAAGTACTCAACTGAACTTCGTGTCTGATTGCCTTCTACTCTACATGTCATGCAAGATTTCGTCCTTACATCCATTGTTGGGCTTCGCATGCCTGTCACACAGGCTTAGACTGACTCGCATATAGGGCGGACATCAAGACATGTCAGGCCCAAGGAAAGACTATCATGCTTTCAATCGGTGGCGATGCGTACACTGAGGGTGGGTTCACTTCGGCTGCTGCCGCAACAGCCGGCGCGGACAAGATCTGGGCAATGTATGGCCCCTTACAGTCAGGAAACAGCGCTTTGAGGCCATTCGGGTCTGCCGTCTTGGATGGATTCGACTTCGATTTTGAGGTAGATTTTCTCTTCACATCGCCTCTTCAGGTAGTTTGCTAAGTCTGTAGGCGAACGTCTCTAACATGGCCACCTTCGCCAACCGCCTTCGCACGCTCATGAATGCCGCAGGAGGGAAGACATACTACCTGAGCGCTGCACCCCAATGCCCCTACCCGGACTGGTATAACCAAGATATTCTTAACAATGCGCCCATGGACTGGGTCAATGTTCAGTACGTCACCTCTGCACGAGCTCGATCTGAAGAGCACGCACTTACCACTCGGCTTCCTGACATACGCTAACACATTTCCTTGACTAGGTTTTACAACAACGGATGTGGTGCCTCTTCGTACGTTCCAGGCGCAACGGACCAATGGAATTTCAACTTCAACCAGTGGGACACTTGGGCCAAAGCGTCAAAGAACCCAGCTGCGAAAGTCCTTTTGGGTGTCCCTGCGAACACTGGAGCCGGGAGGGGCTATCTTTCCCCAAGCGCTCTACAGCCAGTTATTCAGTATAGTGCGCAGTATTCGAGCTTCGGTGGAGTGATGATGTGGGACGCTTCTCAGGCTTGGACTAATTCTGGGTTCGTCGCCAGTGTGAAGAGCTTGTTGAGGGGATTAAGCAAGAGGGAGATGAGATGGGGTGCGCGACAGGCGTAGAGTCCGCAGCCCAGTGCTGGAGAGCACCTTGGTTGCTAGGGTCCTTTGGTCAGTGCCACTTTGTGTATATGATCGTGTTTCCCTCTGGCTGTCTAATCCGCAAGGGACCTCTGGGACATGCCGCCATGCTTCGTGTATATATCTACCTCTTCTCTTCCTCCGGGAATTGCGATATTGATTATAAATTGCAAAGCTTTGTTTTTCATCTGTACTAGAGATTGAGACATCTGGCGCATTTCAATTAGATTGCCAGAGTGAAGACGAGACGTAGAGGCTGAATCGATAAATCCGCAAGCCCACCAGCTTCCGTGGCTCTGCTTAACATATCCCCGACGTGGTATACAGTTTCTCAGGTGCTACAGCCAAGCTTTCCTTTATCTAGCACGTGTCTTGGAGGTGAGTCGTGACGTTCGCTCCACAGTACCTCCACGGTTATGGAAACGGTTTAGCGTCATTCGATCGGTGGCGTTCCCGCAGCTCAGCTACCACCCGAACCATCCACTCCTTGTTCTCCACCTCTTCATGTCTGATCCCGAACGTGCTACTGCTATCTCTCGTGCGCATCTTGTGGCTTGGTGCAGTCGCTGCACATGCCAGGCTGGAGGCGCTGATATCCATTCTGTCCTCCCATGATCGTAGCTAGTGGCCAAGGAAGGATGCGCCCATTCTCTTCCCGTTACAACTCTAGAGAAGTCGCTTGACGACGGTCTTGTCGCCGCGTGACGAAGCTTCACAGCATGTACGAGACATAGCTTTACAGGCTGCTGCATGGAAGAAGTGTTCTCACAAGCGCTGCATCGTAGCCCGCTATGATTTTCCAACAATAAGGCCGGTGAGCCGGCAGCCCCATGGACAGACCCAATCAACGGCAGTCGCAAGTACGAGTAATGACCATAGCCTGATAACAACCTCCGACCATCGTATATGGATTTCGCCGCCTCCGCAAATGCAATTTCGACGACCCCGGCTGACGGAACGCCCGGCGGGCATGCACCCAGAGCATGAGCGCGTGTGATGCTGCACCCCTCCTCGCCAGCGGCGCCTGGGTCAGCCTACTTGAGATCGGCAGCTCAATTAAACCCATCGTTGTCGGAACCAACATTGATTTCCTGAACTTAGATCTGGAACCCCCTATGGCGGATTTCGTACCCACCACCTATTGTTCTCGCCGTGTAACGCTAAGCTCGATGGAGCAGGTCAGCAGTCTACACAACGGGCACCTTCTACACAGTCCAACACTGGTCGTTTGCCTCCTCCCGCAATTTCGTCGGCCTTCAAGTACCTGCATATCAGATAACGATGAGCATTGCGAAGCCTTCCTTGGCAAGCGCTTATCCTGCCTCTTCAGCACAAGTACCTCCTAGCTACCCTTGTCCATGGACATACCCACCTTCCTAAAGCGTTCTCAATGGGCTCGTCCGCCTCGCCCCCGGTATACAGGTCTCACGATGTGCGTCTGTGTCGCGCGTGCTTTTGATTAATACCTTTCTCATCGGGTGTAGTCACGAAAGACGCCTCAGCAACGCAATGGCGAAATCTGTATGCGCCATCCCGGGGCCTGATCGCGCTTGGTCGCGTCTGCCGAGACTTCTAGATATATAACCATGTAATATCTCCCGCTGGACACATCTTCATCCAACGCGGATCCTTGCGTCCTTCGTTCGCTACTTGTTTCCTTCTACTTCGTTTCGTTTCTGAGTTGCCCAACATGGTGCACTGGACGTCCTTTCTCCCCCTTCTTGGGGGTACCTTTGCCGCTGCTGCCGCTTCTACCTCGAAAGAGGCCACCGCGCAGGTGGTTCCGGGGGCTTATATTGTCGAATTGGCTGATAACCATGTAGGTAGTCTGCTTCGCAACCATTTTGCTCCCATGTCTAATCGTCGTAGAACTCGGATACCTTCTACAGCACGCTCGGGAGCGATGATGTTGCTGTGAAGCACCGCATGAAGCTCGACTACAAGCTCTTCAAGGGTACCTCGTTCCAATTGAAGAATGTTTCAGACGTGGACGCTGCCGCCGCGAAGATCGCCAACATGGATATGGTCAAACAAATCTGGCCCGTCCGTGTCTTCCATGTGCCCAAGGATGAGGTTGTTTGGAAAGGCACCGACGGCCGCACCGAATTCGTGCAAGCTGCCTTGAAGAAGCGACAGTCGAACGGGACTGACAGCGACACCTTCTCCACGCACGTTATGACGCAAGTAGACCGTCTTCGTGAGAAGGGGATCACAGGAAAGGGAACCAAGATTGCAATCATCGACACTGGCATAGATTACCTTCACCCTGCTCTGGGTGGTGGTTTTGGCGCGGGCCACCTGGTGTCGTACGGCACTGATCTTGTTGGCGACAACTACGATGGTTTCAACACACCAGTGCCTGATGACGATCCGATCGATGAGTGCGAAGGCCATGGAAGCCACGTCGCTGGTATCATCGCCGCACAGACGAACCCATATGGCTTCACAGGCGCTGCGCCTGATGTCACACTTGGAGCCTACAGAGTATTCGGATGCGGTGGCTCCGCAGGAAATGACGTCCTCATTGCGGCATACAACCAAGCCTTCGAGGATGGAAGTGACATCATCACTGCATCAATCGGTGGAGCTTCTGGATGGACAGAAGACCCCTGGGCGGTGGCAGTACAACGAATTGTCGAGCAAGGAGTGCCCTGCACGGTATCGGCCGGAAATGATGGCGACCAAGGTCTCTTCTACGCCAGCACGGCGGCAAACGGAAAAGGAGTAACCGCCATCGCTTCTGTGGATAACACGGTGGCACCTCAGGTCCTCACCAACGCAACTTACAGCACCAGTAACTCATCGGCCGAATCATTCGGATGGACTCCTGGTAGCCCTGCAAACTGGCCCAACATCAGTCTTCCGCTGTGGAATGTGAACAACGATGCCACAGATACCGCGAATGGCTGTGATGCATACCCAGCCGACACTCCTGATCTCTCCGAATACATTGTGTTGATCCGCAGAGGATCATGCACATTTGTTCAGAAGGCGACCAACGCGGCCGCTGCCGGTGCTAAATACATCCTTTTCTACAACAACGTTGCAGGACTCATCTCCGTGTCTGCCGTCGTAGATGGTATTGAAGGAGCAGGCATGGTGACGGCTGAGCAGGGTGGGGAGTGGATCGCCGACTTGAAGAGTGGCGCAACCGTCACTGTCAACATTGTCGACCCCAAGGTTGCCCCGATCTACATTGTTTCTTCGCCGAATGTTGCCACTGGTGGATTCCTCAGCACCTACACATCCTGGGGTCCTACGTACGAAGTTGATGTCAAGCCTCAGCTCGCAGCGCCAGGCGGTTTGATTCTCTCGACGTACCCGCGCGCGCTTGGCGCCTACGCTGTTCTTTCCGGTACCTCGATGGCGTGCCCTCTTGCGGCTGCCATTACCGCATTGGTTGCTGAGGTTCGTGGAACTTTCGATCCGGTAGAACTTGAGAACGTCCTTTCGGCAACTTCCAACCCGAACCTCTTCAACGACGGAGCCTCAACCTACCCATACCTTGCTCCTGTAGCCCAGCAAGGCAGCGGTCTGCTCCAAGCCTACGATGCTGCATACACCAAGACTATCTTGAGCGTTTCGAGCATTTCCTTCAACGACACGGCGAACCTCCTCCAGACCACAAACTTCACGATCGAGAACACAGGCGACGATGAGGTCACCTTTGATCTCGCGAATGTGGTCGCAGCTTCCGGATACACTCTTGAGGCAGGCACTATCTTCCCCAGCGTCTTCCCCAACGAGCTCACTGCCACCGGCGCTACTCTGAAGTTCAGCGAAGACAAGGTCACTGTCCCCGCTGGTGGCTCTGCTGTGGTCTCCGTCACTGTGACGCCCCCCACGCTCGACGCATCACGCCTCCCCGTCTACAGCGGCTACATCACGCTGAATTCCACCAGCGACTCGCTGAGCCTCCCCTACCTCGGCGTGGTTGGCAGTATGAAGAACGCCACCGTCCTCAGCGCAGACGAGACCCACCTCACGACCACTGCCGACCCCAACTCGGCACCCATTCGCGGCAACACAACCTTCACCATCCCCTCGAACAACGGCACCGCCCCCAACGGCACCGCCTACCCAGAGGTCTTCCTCGGCCTTGCGCTCGGCAGCCCCTACGTCAAGCTTGAGGTCATCCCCCAGGGCGGCTATGCCACCAACACATCCTCGCTCGGCAACATCTTCGGCTTTCCGCAGGTGTATCTCCCACGTGGAGGATCTCTGCCGGAGTTCAACGGTCAGCTCGAGGATGGATCGTTTGTCCCGGAGGGCACGTACAAGTTGAAGGTTAGCGCGCTGCATATTTTTGGCGATGCGGCGAAGGAGAGCGATTACGATACCGTGGAGACTGTAAGCTTTGGTATCAAGTACATATAGAGGAGGTGTAGAAGGGTACTGAGATGCCCATGACATATGACACAATGTATGATATCTTTTCTGAATCCTCAATTCGCTTGCTCGTATATAGATGCCGTCTGAGCCAGCGCTCAATCTGCCAATTGGAAAAAGAGTTATTTTGAGCACGTGTCTCACAATCCAGCCTTCAGATTCAACCATTTCGGTCTTTCATGCGGGAAGTTCTCGAAATTGGGCTCCGGATACTCGTCGAAGATGCCACCCTTCAGAATGAGCTTCGGCGCATCCGGTCCCGTGGAGGAATATATAGGACTTTGACGGGTTGTGAGCGATCACTGGTACAGACACCACTTCGCCACGGAACACTAACCTCCCACAATTGCTACAGAAGGCGCGGTGTATAGTTTTGCCACTCTTCGTGTCGTTGTCTTGGTAGGTTTTGAGAGTCGCCTTGGGATCGTTGACTGTGACGGCGGAACGGTCCAATACTTGATATTGGGGTTAACGCAGGCCCGATTCAAGACTTGGACGGAGCTTACGTACTGTACACTATGGAGCAGAGACCTGATCCGGAGCGCTTGCAGTTCGAGCTACACATGCCTATCAGCCCGATGTCCTGCACGCGTGCGGGAAGACGAACCAGTAGCAGAGCGCAGAATTGGACGGAAGTTGCTCCAGCGTTACGGTGATGCTGGAGCAGTTGCAGCGACCTGTGGTAGGCATGTTAGAACGACACTATTTGATTCCCTATACTTGATGAGGATAGAGTGATGACCCTGATGAAGCGTCCGCACGGCGTAGATAAATCAGCTACCTACATAGCTCCCGCGATTCAGGTCTGCGGGGTCGCGGCGGCATGGCCTCGGTACTGAACGGGATGCGTGTGGAGTTCCGCTTCTCTTTTGGGAAAGGGCGGCGAGGTTGGAGTGCGGAATTGGTTCCATGATGTCAGCCGTATGTTGACAGCAACATGGACACATTTTCCAATGGGGATAATGGTCGTCAACGAGTGCTCGTACTGTGTAGTCATGCAGATGGGGGTGTAGAGATGCGCTTTGCTGCATGTGGCTAGCGTGTACATTACCTAACGCTCTGTTTATCCTGTGCTCGTGTGGGGTGCTGGTAGACTGCTTGAGGTTGAACTACATGCCACTTGGATCGCGCAATCCCACGGCATAGCTGGACACTGGAACCATACTAGTCGGCCATGGTAGGGACAATTCCTTGCGCGCCTCAAGCCTCGCTAAGATGACAGTCGCGCGACTCCAGTGCAACCTACCTCCACTTCCACGCCTCGCACCACGCCGACCTCCTCGAAGACTTCACCCAGTCGATCAACCAGCTGCCCGCTGAGGAGATTCTCGTACCGCAACACCTGCAGCCGCTGAACCCCGAGGACGAGGACGATGTCGTGCCGGACCAGCACGCTGCATTCGGCATCCAGTGCGCGACCCAAGGCAAGAAAGAGATACACTGGCGCGATCTTGGTCTCGAGGACATAGCGAGGAGGGCACACGCGGACGGCACATCTAGCGGCGCCAATACTGGGCCCGCCGGTGCAGGTCCGCGTGCGGCCGCATCGCAGACGCGTGACGAGCCCGTGATGCTCGCGCTGAGGAGGCGGCCCGGTGCTGGAGCTGCAAGCGCAACCGTCGCTCTCCCAAATGCAGCTGCGCAGGTGCCCGCAGGAGGAGGTGGCAACGGGCTTCCACGATGAATGGCCCGCACCCATGGGTCGAAGTCAACATCACCATCCCATCACAGCACGATGGGGCCGTTGCACCATTGTCGACAAGGACATCATTATTCCCACTAGTATCTTCTACGGCGCCTCGATAATTCCTCCCTCTACCACCATCCCGACCACGAAATCCGGCATCGCGTTGGTAAAATTCGGAATGTCTGCCATCAGCGGCCCCATCTGCTCAGCGTCGCTCGCCGCCTTCTGCCATCCTTCCAGCGTCTTGAATCGGATATTGATCATATACGCGTAATCCGAATCCGGAGCCGCCTGCGAAACGGTACATCCTAGTAGACCGTGTGGTATCCAAGCTTTATAGGCCATGGGGATGTGGGTTTTCACGAGATAGTCGGTGTCGAGCTTGAGGTCGGGTGTGCGCTTGTAGATGATATTTATGACCGTCTCGTACAAGGAGCTTGGAGCGGCCATCTTGGAGTTGTCCGGCGGAATGGCGGAACGTTGGAAGAGCTGTTGGAGACCCCGTTCGGATCAATGTTGGAGAGGTTGACAGCAAGTGACTAGACGTTGGTATGAGTGCAATTCGATAATGACAGCGTCTCAAGGATCCCTTCTCCTCTTATACCGACGACGGTGACCGACCGCAGTCATCCGTCACCCGTTTCTCGTGACATGCCGGCTCAACAATTCACCCGACCCTATTTAATCCGTCGCCACGAAAAGTCGCAGAGGAATTCCACGTCATGGGAGAGTCTAGTGCGTGGAGTTCCACCGAAAAATCGGGAAGATGTAGGAAAGGGACCAACGCTTAGCCTTGCAGAGTTATTTGGCCCCAAGATCGAGCGTAAGCATTTGCAACACCGTGAAGCACACTAGCAGTTGTCGAGCCGGCCCGCCTCCGACACACCGATGCGGCGAAACTCGCGTAACGCATCGTGTAAGTTGCGAAGAGGCCCCGCGGTCCCAGGCTCGTGACGAATTGATCCATGTCGCTCGTCATGTACCTTCTACGAGAACCCATCAAAAAAACATCCAATTGACCTCCATACACGAAGGAGCCTTCTTGCGTTGGCGGATCGGGCCTGGAGAACCGTGGTTTAGACTCTGCGTTTAACCTCTTGGAGATTCAATAACCCCACATCCATGACACACCTCGCATCTTCGTTCTACCTAAGGACTCTTTTGATCTATCTTTTCCTAATCCGAATAGTACAGATCCACACGCTTGTGACCACACAAGGCGGTCTGTCAAGATGCTGAAGAATAGCGCGAAACTAAGCCATCTGTCGGGATTGGCCCCTCCGAACTCCGCCTTGCTGTCAGCCCCATAAATGCAATGGGGCTACCGTATCCACGACTTGCGGGCAACAATCAATTGGGCTCTATCTGCGATGCCTAAAATCATACTCTACGACTTCCCCAGCAGAGAGCCATGCGCGGCGTGGCTCCCTAGCGCCTGGAAAGGTTGGCAGCAACCAAGCGCTGGTAGCACGAGCGGAAATTCTGACGGCATACAGCTCGCATGGCGCTCAATTACAAGAAGATTGATTATGAAACGCAATGGGTAGAGTACCGTACGTCGAACCTGGGAATACTGTTTCGACGTCCAACGCCGATGCTAATACCTCCGCAGCGGATGTGGCACCCCTAGCAAAATCATTGTTAGTCTGTCTCTTGCGGATGCCAGGACCAAGCACTCAAAAATCGCAGAGGTATCCCTCCGGGTGAAGGACCAGGCCTGCCGTACACAATCCCGATCATGACGACGGCTGGTGGGGAGCATATCATGGATTCCAAGAAGATCGTGTATGTATTCTACACTCCTTGCGATAACGAGATATATTAACATATCGCAGGGACTACCTTGAGGAGCATTACGCCCCGCCAGACTACCCTTCTTTGCACCTCGATAGCCCAATCCTCGCTCGCGTCACAGAACAGATGCCGGGAATCATGCAGCGCTGGGCATCGTCTGTTTGTATGTCACGAGGCTCTAGAAGAGCAAATCTCCTGGTTGACCGAATATATAGTGTATCCTCTAGTTCCCCGAAACCTCCTCAATCCAAGAAGCGCAGAGTACTACGAACGCACGCGCAAGGGTTTCTTTGGTATCTCGCTCGAGGAATTCGGGCGCCAGAAGTCCGGCGAGGCATGGGCTGAGCTGGACGCTACGTGGGGCGGGCTGGCTGCGTTGCTGAGAGCAACAGAGGGACCGTATTTCATGGGCGATATAGGTGAGTGTGACAATCGTGGTGGTCTTCTTACATTGAACTAACGTGCATTCACAGTGTCTTACGCTGACTTGCAGCTCGTCGCAATATTGCATTGGGCGAAGCGGGCTGACGTGAGTGTCTTTGAGAGGCTTGTCGCGTTTGAGCCGGCGTTTAGGATGATTTACGAGGCGGCTGCGCCGCTTCTGGAGCAGGACACGTAGATCTATTGGAAGTAGAGGAGAAGTTAAAGGGAACATGGCAGAAACTAGCCTTAAATGATATCGAATGTTCCGCCTACCAGCTACAATGCTATGCCAGGACACCGTTGCACTGCCGTCCCTGTAACATGTTCGTCCAGCGGAGCCCTATCAGGTGATACTAAGTGCCCAGAAAGATGCAGATTCCGACTGACGCAACCACAGCCCCGCAACCAAATGCTGATCAACTCAAATTGAGGATATGTTCACCGCTTCATGACAACGGTGGAAGTAAGCCCATACCCGACGGTCTCCTCTCCCGGCGGCCAACCTCAACCTCCTCCACCGAATCTCTGATCGAAAATCTGCGGATCATCACCGCCGGCACATCAGCAACAACCCCATCATGTTCAATCTCTAAAAGCGGCGCAGGCCCGTCACTCCCCCACATCTCCTTACGCGACCCCACCGAGCCTGCACTCTCCGCCGTCGCCGCACTCCCCTTCCTCACCTGCCACCTCAACCCCTCCCCATCTCTAGCTCCCACATACTCCCTAGGCCACGAGCTCAACGCCACACTCCTACCCCTCGCTCGTACCGCTGTGCTGAACAACGAACTCAAGAACGGCAGATTCGCAAAGAGTACCATCAGCGTGACTTCTGCGGTGTACCAGTGTATGTACATGGGTGACCGCGGCTGCACGAGTACGTAGTACCGCGCCAGAATGCTGGTGCCGAGGACGCAAGTCCCGAGGAGGAAGAGCGAGGCTTGCAGCGCTTTACGGGGCGTGGGGATGAAGGCGATGGGGAGGACAAAGGCGAGGAGGATGGTCGTGGTGTCTGCTGCGAGGACGAGGATGGAGTGGTGGTGGTAGGTGTGGCACTGCGCTGGTGTTTGTTAGTTAGCGTGGGGTGAGGTGCGGGCGAGGCGTACCGTTTTGCGTGGAAGGGTTCCAGTAGTTGCGCATCGGGCTGCACCAGAGTGGTAAGAGAGCCTGGGTGAGTGCGTACGATGCGAGACAGTAGACCGAGATACAGAGTAGCAGTCTTCTTTTGGCGCTGCTTCTGGTTGCGGGACTGCAAGGTCTTAGGACCGTTCTTTCCATGTCTTGATAGGTTGGACTCACAATATGCGGCGATACAGGATGAGCAGGCAGGCTTTGATCAGCCAGACTGTTGTCATCTGAAGCTCTTCTAGCAGAAACCTCATTTTCAGTCTTCGCGTTGTGTCTTTGGCTGAAGTATTTGGATCGAAGGTCTGGTTCGCAGAAAAGACCATACCGGTGAAGGGTATCTGATATCATCAGCGATGTCCTCGCGATGCTGCCAATTAACATACGTACAACGGCAAGAATTATAGTCCAGTCGTCGAGCTGAAGCTTTCGGATGGATCCAAGAGTCGAGAGGCGGGAGATGCTGGGACGCGATCAATGTCAACGTTACACAGCCATCATGGAGCGAACTTACAGTCTCGCAAGAACCAGACCCACCCCGAGTGCATACAGCGTCCATGATTCTGCAGCGAAAATTGATGGATGCATACTGCATTCATGTGTTCCGGATACCATACAATGAGCGACTGAGGGCTGAGCAGAGAATCCTGTCTGGTGAGTGTATGGAGAACCAGATACATGTGCACATTGTCTGCATCCCGCACGTGCATGAGACATCCAAGCTCAGCTTTGCGCCATATGGTGTCGCGTCTTGATCGACAACATGCATTTTGACAGGAAAAAGCATTTCCCACGATTGCGTCGCCGACAGCATCCATGATGGGCGATCATCTTCATTGTCAAACGAATACACTTGCAGCTGTACAGTGGGGCAGGCATCCAGGGCATTGGGAGGAAAGGTCTGCGCGAAGCCTATTCGGGTGTACCTCACGTAGGCCCAGATGGTGGGCAGAGCGTCGCAATGCAGGAGTGGAGATTGCGACCCAAAGAGACCAGTACCCTGACACTGGCAGATGCACGGACGGTGATTAGATCGTAAGAGACCCCAGACATGGCCTTCGACAGTCATCAGAATCGGCTGCGTGAAGCGACACGTTGCATAGCCAGGAGCTGGCCCGCAGCTCGTATAGCCCACGCGGGTGGTCTCGGATCGAAAACGTACATATCTCGACTTCGATGAATCCATACTCTGCCTTAGATAACAGTGATTGAAGACATAACCCTTAATTTGGTTTGCTCAGCTCAGACCAGAGGTAACTGCAAGCAAATCACAGGTGCACTATCGCATTGTAGAGATGATCATGGGTTTAGCGCTGCTGCTGTCAATTGAGATCGCACTCGTACTCAAAAGCAAAAACCGCCACATTACCAACACCTTGGATCAAGCCATACGAATGCTGACTGTCCTCACCGAGACTGATGTCGAGAGAGACCTCGGCAATTCATTCAGCAGCTTCGCTCTGCCACCCCTCCAAGTCAACCGCTGCAAGCATAATCACAATTACTCGTTGTCAAAAGAAGAAACATGCAGGGCAAGTTAGAGCTGAAGATCGCCTAATCAAGTGCAGCCAGCTCGAACTGTTATCGTGGCTTCAGCCGCTCATGTCGATCTCACTATAGGGGCGCGTTTCTTTCGGCTACCAATGTTCCATAGCCAAATCCGCCGCGATGGCAACTATGCATGAGCCACGATGATTTGATCCGGCGTATGTAAGACTGACAATGCCAGATCTGATTATACAGAATATCGCCATAAAGGAACATTACTTTGACAGCAAGATCCGCTGGATGCAGACAAATCATAATGACAGTCACTGCAAAAAGAAAATATGTGCCCTTCAATCCTCTCCCCTGCGCCAACTGTCGGCGCAGCGAACGAGTCTCGAAGGCGTCATCGCCCTTAGAAGAAGGTGGGCGATGACTTTTTACTCTGGCTTCTATGTCCACACTCGTTTCACCGTAGGGCATAACGTATTGACGAGCTCTAGCAATGTAGAAGCGAAATGCCGCAATGCGACAGATCAATCACGATCTTTGGTTGTGGTTGTCTCACTGGTCCGAAACCGGCTGTGAGCTTCCAACCCACGTCCAGGCTAAGAGCATGAACGGGATACGGATATAGTTACCCCCAGATACCTCAAGGAAAGCCCCCCAGTGACCACCATTGTCGATCCCATAACGGAAAGACTCGTCCATATAACGATGATTTGGCGTGCGAAAATCAGTAGGAAGTTCGAGCTCATCGATGCTACTCGTCTGGATTGAGTACATGGTCAAGTACGTCGGATTTCATGCTTTAGTCCCCGAAGCATGGACCCGTTGCAAAGTTGACCGCTTCAACTGTGCTGTGATGCATCATGGCACAGAGTGTGCTAGCTTTGTTGGTTGTTTTTCAACTAAACGCCAAGGGCCTTTCGGCCTGTCAGAATCGCCAATAGCGCTTCCATGTCTGTTGGCTTCTTTCACCAAGGCTATGCATGTCGACTGCTGAGGTTGCGCCCAGCCTCGAAATGCGCAACTCACTCGGTGACGGGGGACGCCCCCTGTTGAAAGGTCTGATGTGATTGAAATTACCGAGTCTGCATCGCTGCTTGCGAATGTGACGCGTATTCAAGAGATGGATTCTTCCATGACTTGTCTCTCACACCTCTGGCTCTAGGTGTTCCATCTTCTCTGGCTGCATTGTTTGTCGCGTGCCTGGCTCCGAGTAACACCTCTGGCCTCTAACGTGGGAATGACTGTCACTGGCTCTTTGTGAATTGAGCGTTTCGAAGAAGCCACTAGCTCTGGGTGGGATAGTATCTCGGGCCTACTCCGCGGACATGCGCTCTGGACAGTGGTTCGCAACTCTCGCGCTGGGTTGTTGCGGTAGCCTATTTGTAGCCGGTACACTAGGCCGTGCCCTATTTGCGGCGGGGTCGCATCGCCGTTCCCTATTTGCGGCCGGTTGCAAGGCCCGATATCCCTATTCGTAGCCGGGGTCGAAAAGCTTCAGTGATCAGAGGGTTGTAGCCTTGTTCATTCTTCTGGACTCATGCTATTCGGGACGTCTCCCAGTATTAGCGTGCGAGGCTCTTCACGACGAACGGTCGCTGATGGAGCATCTGGCGGATAGCCAGCCTTTAAAACGTAGTTCGTCGGACGTCCTTGCGAGCGCTTGGGTTCGTCAAGAGCTATTTCAGAGCTCGATGAGTGTCTGCACATCGGTCGGGTCTGCATGATTTCATGGCATCCTTCAGAGTGCGTGCTTAGACGAACATCCGCTAGGAGTATGTGTGGTTTTGCAGACCTTGCAGCCACGCTGGAGGTGCTACTTTCTCGACCAGGGCAACTTGGCATCCTGGATGTGGTGTGGAGCACGGGCAGTGCTTCAATCGTACACGATCGACATCGTCGTGAAGATCGGACAGGGAGGACCGCAAGCGTGTACCATAGAAAAGGCGTATGTGGAGGAGGGGTGATGATGAGGAATAAGGGAGGAGCTTGACATGACAAAGAGGCGTCAGGAAGAGGAAAGGGGAGTTATTGTCAAAGAAACGATTCGGGCAGTAAAAGGCACGAGGAAAAAATGCCGTGCAAGAGAAGCCTTAAACGTTGATGAAATAAGTGCGAGGAGGTTGGGCAGAGCCGCAATTTTGAAGGAAAGACGTAGCGTGTCGCGCTAAGAGAAAGGCCTTGGCAGAACCAGCCGAGGCGCGTCATCGACCAGGCGATCGTGTTGGAAGGACCTGGTTACGCGCAACTGCGCTCTACAAACACATTGCCATGGTCCGTATGCTATATATTCCGTAGAGAGAAAAAGTATCCCTACTTATAATAGTAGCCTCCGAAACGACGCGCACCTCCTTCACGGCAAGCCGCGCCCAAGCGCCCCTCCAAGCTCGCAAAAGAGCACGGCTTAACCGCAGACCAAGAAGCCGAGATACGAGAGGCATTTGGGCTGTTCGCGGTGCAGCACCCAGACCATGAAGATTCCAAAGAGGGTGTACTTAGAAGAGACGACGTGCGCCGGTGCTTAATGTGCGAACGTTTCCATCATCGCCCTCACGACATCTAGGCTCACGTGTTCGCAGCTCTCTGAACCTGACACCCGAGAAATCCGAGCTCCCCGAGATTCTGTCTACTATTGATCCTCTAGAAACTGGCTTTGTGCCGTTCGAACCGTTCTTTGCCTACGCCGCTATCGCCATCCACTCCAAGGACGACTCTGAAGGGGAAGACGACGACAATGAGGACGAAGAGGATAACTACCATGGGGAAAATGACCAAGTACAAGTCAATGCCGCATTCAAGCTTTTTACCCACGGCGGACCGGGACCCATAACACTTGCGCACCTGCGACGCGTGGCGAAAGAACTGAAAGAAGATGTGCCGGACGACGTGCTGAAGGACATGATCCGCGAAGCAAACGGCGGAGCAAAAGGCAAGGGAAGGGACACTGGTGGGGTAGAGGTCGAGGAGTTCGAGAGCGTGATGAGGAGAGCGGGCGTGTCATTTGGTTGAGTTAGGAAACGATGATGGAGAACGCGATTTTGATACCCCTGGTTATGGACGAATACATTCTGTACGTTGAATTCACTCTAATTCGCGCATCCCTTCTTCCAGTTGCCACAATGAGCTGCTATCTGCCGACCGACCTCCCACCATGACCAGCTCGTCTCTTTCCAGATTTCCCAGCAGATACCGCGATAACTTTGAGGTGATGAAGAGGACGTTCAGGTTGCCATGCCGTAACATGGTCGTCAGTTCAGCTATGTAGGTAGATGTACTAAAGTCGCCAAGCCATTGCATACCGTCGATGACGCAGTACACCTTTCCCACTAAGACGCTCTGTATGTCTCGAAAGAGGGACTTGAGAGCGGTCCACGTTGGGAGAGTTCCATCGAATTCCTCGAAACGTTTCCTAGACATGTCCCTGCTGGTCTCGAACTGCAGAGAGAGAAGCTCAATCATCTGACGCAGCAGGCTGTATGTCAAGGAAAGAACTCCTTGAGCTTCCGCGGTATTGTCTCCACGCAGCTTTTCTTCGCGGCGTAGCTCGCAGAAGCAGGAGATTACCGGGACGTTGGAAGACGACGCGAAATCTGTAAAATTCTACGCCAGCATGGACTCCGGACTGCTCATCGCCTGAGAAATCGTTCGATGCAATGTATAGCACGCGGTTCAGCGTTAGATCCTTTGTCCGCTCAGCGCGTGCTGAAACCACACCAGAAGGGCTTGACGTAGCGCCGAAGGAATAAGGATCTAGCCGCACGTGGTCGCGAGGAGAAGCTGGTCTCGGCTTACCATCGCGTCCTCACCAGAGACACTTCGGATCGTTGATCGACGCTTGTCACTCGAAGAACCACCTTCGATTGCCAAGGCAGGGACTGGCGCTGATTAGTCCTCGAGTGCGAGAAGAAACGGAACGCACCTACTGCTCTCGATGTTGGACTGAGCGGTGTCCGTGAGCAGCTTGATCCGGCTGTGATATTACAAAGCGTTGTTCGCTCGCTCCTCCCTTTGCTCTCTTCTCTGCGCCTCAAACCGATCCGCAAACTGCAGCGCGTAGTACTTCATCTCTGCATTATCATTCCAAATCCCTTCCAACCCAAGCCTCAGATCTTTACTGCTCTCTTCAAGCGTCAATCTAGTGAAGCGTTGCTCTGCCTTGGACATTTGAGTTGCTTTGCGCTTGATTCGCTCAGACATTCGGACGATGTTTTCGATCTCGGCATTGAACACTTGGAGGAACTTGTCGTTCATGGAATCAAAGAGAAGTCTGCAATGCTTCTTTGTGAAAAACGTCAAGGTGTCGTTTAGGAACAGGAAAATGTGGGCGTACAGGTCTGCGATGGCGCGTTGCATCTCTTCGGTTCTGAAAACACACCATTTCCGTCTCGCAGCCGGCGATGTGCTCGACGATTGTGGAGAGAGCTTGAGACAGTTCCTCGGCAATTGCTTCGCGTTAGCCTAGACTGGGAATAACATACCTTGATGATTATGGTCATTGCGCCTGCAAAAACCGATGCATACTTGTTGCCTATTGGTGCCACCTCAAGGATGTTGATATGGGCGTCTAGCATTCCCCACAGTCTATGAAACTAGCCCATCGCTTTCCCTCTCTCCCCTTCTTTCCTCTTACTCTGCATGTCTTCTCAACATCTGCTACCATGCCGAGCACTCCCGCAATCGTGGGCTCATATTTCTTGAATTCTAGTTGGTCCTCTTTGAGTTCTATTTCCGGAAGCCTAGCCATTTTTGCCTGAGCTTCTCTGCTTCTATGGCGAGTGTTTTGGTGATTGGTCGCTTCGGTACGTTAGCCATGTACGTTAGAGAAACCTGATTCTTAAAGAAACCTCTCATCATCGGATGGCTCCCAGGGTTCATAGAACAGATACCATGGCTGGAGTGTATCCGCAAGAGATGGTTTCTGGTCTGTCAAGACCCGTCCTAGCCGATGCGCATAACTTTCAGGAGGGGAGCGATCCTGGACTTGCCAACTATATACTCTGACAATCCTCCTTGGGTCTTCGGTCTCTTCGTCCATGTCACACACCTTGGCGACGGGGACTGCTCAAGCCCTGATCTACGTGATTCCTGAAGGTGAAAGGTAGGTTAGTCGGTTTCCAGCAGGCACGACGTATTAGGCTGAGTTGCAGATGCAATGCAAGTTGCTCCAGGCTGACGTTTGGAGTTGGCAAAGAAAGACATGAGGGACGTTTGCGTCGTGGCTCTTTGGTTCGCCACCAAACCTAATCTGTCCGCAACTACTGTCGTGCAGCATATATGATTTAAAGCAGTGTATTCATACACTGGGGTGTGCATCCGCGGCAACACGGCGTGAAACTTTGACCCAGGCGAGCGAGGCTAGCCTGATACTTCGACACCCCATCTGTCTCGCTCTCCCATTCTGCCTGTCACACACGATGGTGCTATACCGTTCATATGACATGCCGACTGAGGCGTCGTTACTGAGACTATCGTTGTCACTGTTCCAAGTGGAGAGGTAGCAGAAAGGGTTACTGAGAGCTACACGCCAGCGCCCCACAAACCGTCTGGGGCCGCGAGAAAACGCATAAGATACCTGTTAGAACGTGTGGAGATTGCGTTTGGAAATGTGCTACATCGACAAGAGATGAAGGGTCTGATTCTTGATGACGAGGCAGGATTGGACGGTGCTGGAACCGTCTTCGAGCTGGTCACCACGATACGCACAGTCAAAAGAAGGCGGTTGAAGATGTGTCGTTCAGAACCACTCGCTCTATCAGCACCACTTCTGTCAGCATGCATATCTATTCCGGCTCCATTATCCACGCACTGAGTAGTGTGGTCCATTACTATCCTGAGCAAGATCTCTTGAGCGATGTACTAAGGATAGATTCGCCTTACGCAACTCTAAACTCTAGTACGTCACTACGATGCTGTAATCGAATATCGCGTAAAGGTCAAACGAAGCGTCGCTTGAAATGTTGAAATTTGACAAAGAGATCATTCCTGCTGTGGAGGCAGAACGCGCACGCAACAAACGGGGTACATATACATTTTACATGTATTGGGTTATGAAGAAGCCAGAAACAGCCTTCTTGGTGCGATGGCTGGAGACGGGTGACTATGATGTTGGGATCGTGTATGCTTTGACAGAAGGCACCTTCGCAAAACCTTCCGAGAACTGGATCACCAATTGCTGGACGCTGAATTACGAAGCGTACGCTGCTCGCATCCTCTCAACATAGCGACTTACCAAGTTTGACGGCGAATACAACATGGCCACCGAATCGCTGGATCTCAGCCAACTGACGGGTAACAAGGCAGTAGAGAATCTGATCGGCTACGGGAAGCTATACTGAAGCCATCTTGCACGAAGATCTGAGACCTGGTGATAGAGAAAAAGACAAAACCTTTCGAGAAATACATATCTATGCCACCCAAAACTAGGAATGAGCTCGATGACGACAAATGCCTCCTGCTTCCCTCTCATGTGTACTGGAACGACCATACGAATCTGAGACATGAGATAGACTGTAGGCCCAAAAAATTCAGTTTCCTCATTTATACATACGTATTTGTGAGTATCGAGCTGCGCCTCTCTGAACATCGTCGCCATGTGATGTTCCTGGTCCCACATTACCGTAGTGCTTGCCTCGCTTCTGAAAGAACACCTAAGTGCCCTCTCCGCTTTCGGCGTGGCGCAGTTAAATCAGGCAGCCTCAGATTCACACCGCTTGCCTCGCCCTTCAAACACACCAAAGGAGGTCGAACACAGTATCAACCATAATCTCCATTTTGAGGGTACCATATCCCATGCTATTCGCCAGGTTGATAGGGCTGGCCGGGTCCAATAGGTGCAGTTTTTCGAGGCCGCCCCGTGCGACTTTCTCGAACTACCCACCGTATGTGAGGGCAACCTGAGGCGGGAATCATACATAGTGCTTGACGCTGCACACCTCCAGCCTTGAACGTACGGGTCTTGCTGATCGGGGCATGTAGTTTAGCGCGTGTCCAGATGCAGCCTCGCGGACTTGCCCTTCCTCGTCACTAGTGACGGACCTCTCATACATCACTACTAAGGGCGTCTACTTTTGAATGCAGAGTTAGGATAGGAGTCAAAGATAAAACTTTAGCTCGTGCATATCATATGATTTACCACAACCAACAGTGGCAAGGACTTGCCGAGACTTACAGAGAGCGCGGAGGACAAGTGATGGCAACTGGAGGTTGAAACGAGGTTGAAACAAGGTTTTCGATCATCGCTGCAACTTGGGAATTACGTCTCAGCTCGTGTGGTTAGTAAGGGCATCTTCCAACTAGCCAAAAGCCGCGCGCTTCTCCAAACTCCAGCCTTGTCAACGCGCGCGTTTGCCTAACTTCACCGCCAGGCTAGATGTGGCTGAAGACTAGGCGGAACGTCAACGAGGCTTGCCCCATGCTTTCGCGTCGTCATCAAACTATGGTAGACTTTCTTCCATTGCAAAATCCACATTCATTTTCCAACTAGCCTCCACAGCTAGAATCACGCGGCCGTTTTCCACAGCTATGCCACGCCAGTCTCCACTTTCCAACGTCCTTCTGTAACCTTTCACCGAGTCACCTTGCAAGCAAAGCGAAGCAACGAATACAAGTCCTCCGAGTCCCCAAATGATGTTGCTATGTTTACTGTGGTACTAACAAAAGGGCTCCACTTCGCTCAGTCCGAAGTGAGAGGAATAGGGCACAACTTCGTGATGCTCGCCCCTCTGTGGCCTCAATCTGAGAGATGTACGATCCGCTACTCACTTTCGTGTCCGTCGTCCCTTAATTCTCATATAAGGTGTACGCGATTATGCCCTTTTCCTCGCCAGACAACAGCTCTGTACACAGTCTACAGAAGAAAGTTTTGAATTACTCCACCCCTCTCTCACAACCAATACATCCTCATCGTATTCTACCACCGCTAGTTCCTGACACAGCGATCACTGCAGAGCCTCAACTATTCTCCGCGCAACTACACATTGGGAGGCCTACAGTTCATCAATTGTCCTCTCCGTCTACACGATAAACCACAAGTATCCGACAAACACCTTCACCAATCGTTGAAAAGCATGTGCCATTTTCCATCCGAAAACTTCTCTTACCCCAACACGTCTCCTATCTCCGCCAGCCACCCAAACCAACCTCCAGACACGTGGTATTGTCCAGTGTGTGGGGGTCTCAATAGCAGCTGGTATGACCTCTGTCCAGTCTGCGGCCGGGGAAGCAGGACAGCGCTATCACAAAACGCTTTGATGCCCTCAACTCCTTACGATATTACTGCTCCTGGCGGCGCTACTTTCGGTGGCGCAGGATCGCCAGTCACTGGAGTATGGTACTGTCAGCACTGTCGAGCTGCGAACTCCAGCCTCACACCAGACTTCTGTCCGGCCTGTGGTGCACGGCGTTGATGATTTTCTCTCTCACATTCCAACTTCCTACCCAGATCTGCATGTACCTAGCCCTTGGTTGCATTTGGACTTCGACGATGTTTGGTCTCAATGACGCGCTACTGTTCCTGCTCATCTTCATTTTATCTGTCGATTCGCCCCCTCATCTTCCTTTAAGGTTCTCACACGCCGGGTCAGTCGGTATTTATTCGTTGGTCTTCATCTTGGCCCAAATACAGTGCTTGGATTTCTCTCTTACTCTATGATATACAATTCCCTTAACGTATTGTTATGAAGATACCCACCCTTCACTGTAATCTCCTTGACTCGCCTTCTTCTCTGGAGTTTCGGTTTCTTTGAGTCGCTCATTCTCTACGTTGTGTCTTCTTTTCATCACATGAGACGTTTGTATCACGAAGGAGCATATAGCGGCCAGAATACAAGAAATCAACTAGTATTCCCATAGTCCTTAGCAATGATCCTCTGAGACTGTTCGTATCCTAATATCGTTGTGCGCGCTGATTAAGAGCATTAAATGCAAGGGCCGCTACATAGTATCCCAGCAGCATTCCATCCTAGCCGGAAGATTACTACTTTGAGAGTCGAATACACCGAGTTCCATGAGCAAATTACATGACATGCAGCCCTACGTCTGAGAAGATCCGTTAATCTTTACAGTCGATGAAAACTAGACAGAATGTACTACGTATTCTTCGTGTGAGAGGAGACTGTAGCAGAGGCTATGCCTTCACATCGATGGCGGGACCCGGCTCAGCCCCTCCTTTCATTGCATTGCTGTGAAGTTCCGAAGGAGGTATATATACACTGTTCCTGCCTATCTCTTGAGGCGGGAGTGAGGCCTCATGTGAATAGATCTCGTGCTTTACGTCCTGAGTTGGAAGCTCTTCAGGTGCCGTACCTGGTGCGTGTCCCTGGGCTTCTTCCTGTAAACGTCGATTCCGTTTAACAGAGAAAATGACCAATGCAACAACAAGTGCTAAGGCAACCGCACCACCGACTATTCCACCAGCGATAGCTCCTGTGTTGCCCTTACGCGAGGTCTTCGGAGTGCTGTTTGGTGTCGTGGCCGACGTGCTAGTCAACGTAGTGGATGACGTGCTTGACGCGGCAGGTGTGCTTGTAACGTGCAATGTGGTCGACGAGGACCGTGTCTCGGGCGGGTCACAGAAGTCGATGCTGAAGTAAACCCAAGAGGCATTGTAGCAGGCGCCGATGCGTGGGAATTCGAGCTGTGTCTGCGAGGAGCAAGACGACTTAGGGTCGCTATCCTTGCCGTAAAGGGTCACTTTAACAGTCAACAAAGCCCCTTCAAGCTCTGTTACAGCTTACCACTACATCCTTCATCAAGGCCGACGACCTGGAAGCTCTTGTACGCTCCCTTCTTGTCTATTCGCGTGCATGTACCGTTGGGATACCCATTCGGTCCGTTGATGTTCTCTTTCGAGTCTTTACACTTCGCGTCCTCGAATGTCGCTATATTCGAAGCAAAAGACGTATGTACAAGAAAGTACAGTGCAAATCCAAGAAGCGCTTTCAGAGAGGCCATTGAGGCACAGAGAGATGTAGAAGTGCTGACGCGCGATGCGATGGCACTGCGGTGGAGTAACACTCGACGCTTTCCACTGGCGGAGGCATAGCGCTGAACTGCGTAGCTCGGAATGAGCCTCCCATATTGGTTTTGGGGGCGAGACTCGTATATGGTATGCATGACGAGAAGCTCGTCCAATGGTGTACGGACTTATTCAAGCCACTTTCTACATCCGGCGACACTTCAAAACATGCAGGATGTGTAATCACGCCCCAAAGCAGCTCATCAGAGCCACTTATAACACCTGCTTAAAACTAGTGGACATCGCTGACTACCACATGACAAGATTGAGGAAGAAACTTCACACGACTAGACCGCAATACGTGCCCGTTCTTAATTAAATAGAGCCGAAACAGGTAATTACTCGGCCTTGATGGCTTATGTGGGTTCCAGATCGCTGATTTCGGCGACTTTGGATTGTAGGCCGCTGGGGCTGAAGTTACGATCCGGTAGCTAGATCAAGGCAACTGCAGGCGGTGTAAATAGCAATATACGGAGTTCGACCATGAGGCCTGATGGAACAAATGCTATAAAGATGCTCTGCAACGTTCGATTTCATCTGCAGTTCATCCTCTTCTCCTCGAGATGCGCAGCTCAATCCTTGCAGTACTCGCTTCTCTTGGTCTCGCAAATGCAGCATGCTCCACCGTTAGCAAGGTAACGCATACCTTCTACGGCTACCCGGACAACGATCCCCCTGGGCCCGCGACTGCCTACGACTGCGGTCGCGGCTTCAAAGCTGGAGGCACTGGTACATACGCAGATCCCCTGACGTTTGCCTCCGCTCAAGGAGAGTTCAAATCATGCGAAATCATCTACGACCCGTACCTGCGCAAGTACTTGCGCTACGAGGACTATTGCCAACAGTGCACCGAAGATTGGGCTGCCAGTCCGAAGATTAACCACATCGATGTGTGGACTGGCAGTCCAACGGTCAACGGCGGACAGCAGCAGATTCAATGCGAGAACGACCTCACCCCGGCCGACAGGAGTCAGAAAATCGTTCGTCAGCCGGCGACGAACCTTCCCGTTGATAGTAAGTGTATTGCTCCCTCTCTTGAGCGAACAGTCTAACAGAGCTTTCGGCACTGCGCTCTATGTGAAAGGAGCAAGTCCAGCCTGCAGGACCAGTAAGGTGTTTCCGAATTACAACATTGGGGACTATTGCAAATAGCCGACTGCATGATTCAGGTTGTCCTGGACACAGTGAAAAGTGGTACTTAATGGTCGCTGTGTGCAAACATGGAGAGAAGTGGCCCTCCTTCGGAGCAAACTAGGATTAGCGCGGGAGTAAGGGACATCTGGACGCTCACTGATTAGACAATGTGTTGCGCTCGTTAGTGAAGGAAGAAAATCTGCAATTTGACCCTCGTCGCCTACGTCAGTGTTGATGGTCGCCAATAGAGAGGTGAATTGAATATGTGTGAACGCCATCGATGTGGGAAGACTCGCTCCTGCGCCATCTGTTGTGCGCTACGTCATACGCTGACACGAGAATCACCACCCAGCCAACACCAAATTAAGCTTCCACCATCTCACCATCGATCGGCGTCAGATGGCTCGGGAGCGTTCGCGTAGAATTAATCCTATTGGCCTTTGCTCGCGGCCAGACTCTGTCGCCAGCTGTTCCCCTGGTTTCTCGACCCTAGCGTTGGGGCCAAAACGTGCCCTCATGCTTTCCTTGCATTGATGTCGGGGCTCTCACTTCGCGAGCGACGATCCTGCCGCTGTCGAGCGAATGCGATTTATGAATTAACCACACCTTGTTTCGCGACTTGTCTAGGTCAGGATCACAACCGTTGATCATGAGAAGGTGGCAACGGCCGCCGTCTCCCGCAGGCAACGATTATAGATACACAGTCATACAAGCTATATGCTTTGGGCTCCGCAGAGGCTATGCTATCTGTTTTCTCCTAGACGTTGCGCTGCTTGCGCTGAAGAGAGATATTCCCAGCTGCTCATGCCAGCCCTGGAATCCATTATTTGCTCAAGCAGGTGTTATCTCTCAGTCCGCCTATCGACATGTCCGGCCTTGTATATTACGGTTCCTGGATCAATTGGAGTCGTGGAAAATATGGCGGGGCAACGATAACTCTCACACCGCGCAACGCCGGCATCCTCGTCGCTTTCCTGGCCATCTTCGTTTCGGTCGCTGGTGGCAGTCTTTGGAGGATTATCGCATTCTTTCTTCATCAACGACGAGTCGCGAAGGACCCTAGGGATGGACTTCACTATCAGCAACAGGTCATTTTGAGAAACGCAGCGACACCGGGCGTCGCTTCGTGGCAGCTACTTTGGCTTGTCCCTTCCTGGCGGACGATATCACGACGGCCTCTCTGGAAATCTCTCCCAGTGGTCCTCCTTGCTGTCCTGAACCTGTTGGCATTCTTCACTGCAGGTGTTCTCGTTGCTGAAGTTACGCGGACCGCCGGAACGGAGGTCCTTGTGCGCAGTGCAAACTGCGGTAATTGGACGATAGATGACACGAGATTGGTTTACGGCTTCACAACAAAAACCCAGAACGATACAGTCAGTGCAGCGACATACGCACGGGCTTGCTATGGAGGACCCACCGACGCTCTCGAGTGCAATCAGTATAAGGTGAAGGCCTTGCCATACTCGATCAGCGAGACGGAACCGTGTCCTTTCGACAAGGATTTGTGTCTGAAAAAGTTCCCGGTCTTGTCATTTGACACTGGCAATTTGTACGTAAGTTGGGGGTATAAGTTCTGGATGCTATCTGCAAGCAATGTTAGAACGTTTCCAGATATTGCTTGCACACTCTAGCCCATCTTGGTACTCTCTTCTCCTACCAATATCTTATCCTCATACAAAAGGTGCTAATCACTAACCTGTAACCCTAACCTTAGGTCGTCGCACGATCACCTCGGCATCAACACACAACCGAAAGATCGCATATTTTACAGAAGGAAGACAACTTGTGCACCTATCATGGACAAGGGCTACGTCACTGCTTATAATTACACTGATGCCGTCAATGCATCCCTTGGTGAATTCCTTGGTAGTGATGGAGATGTTCTGGATTTCTACGATTTTGGTGGTACTGTACACCTCGACGGTAGCAAAGCCAACAACTTTACTTTCGCGTACAATCGCCGCATGGCCGCTATTGGCACTGGCTACGGTTTATCGTGAGTCCTCTCACTGAGCCTAGAAATGACTGCTAATGGAGAGAGTAGTGCTATCGATTATAGTAATGGTTCTCAAAATCTTTGGCAGCCGGACAAAGTCCTCCGTCGCGATGACGGAGATTTGTCGCTGATGTTCCTCATGGCAAACGATATCCTCTACTATGGTATGGTCGAGGACCCCATCTTTCAGGCATCGATAGAAATAAAGACGATCCTTGACGCCGGTCAGAATGTAACGCTGTACTCGTCCGACTACTTCGTGAACCCTTTGGCATGCATGGACCAGCACCAGTTCTGCAACCCCTCGAACGATAAATGCACGAAGCTCGATGCATACGCGCAGGCTATCGTCGCTGCACAAAAGGATCTAGCTTACAATCCCATGCAATATGGTACAGTCTCAACTCTGTCGCTTGAGCTATATCTATCGACGATCTCGCAGAGTAAGCTGCCTATACATCAAAGTATTGAATCGTCGCTGAATATTTGCAGGTATTGGCGGACGAGGTAGCTCTGCGCTCCGAGCACAAGAAGTTGTCTCCGGACTCTTCTCTGGGCCATTGCCAAAAGACCAATGGAAGAAAGAGGTGAATGCCCCAATAGACACTTCAAACCGCGACATACTGACACGTATAGGTCGAGTACTGGTTCACCATAGGTCTCAGCAAAGTGCAGAAGTACTTTGTCGATTATGCTTCAGGCCCAAGCAACGTCTTCAACGGTACCCACATATCGAAGCCTTACGATGCGCCATCTCGCCAACTTTGCGAGAGCCAAATCATTAAAGCGCCACCGGGCTCTAACGCCACGTCCTTTAGTACCCTGGGTGTAGCCATCATTTTGACGGTTGGTGGACTGCTCATTCTGACGCACATGGTTCTGGAGTATATCGTTGCCAACGTTGTCCCTACTAAGAACTACAAGTTGATACGATGGGCCTTGGACGATAAGCTACAACTCCAGCGTCTTGCCTTCGAAGGTGCAGGCGTGGGCTCATGGAATGCTGGACTCGGCACTGTTCCTACAACCAAACGCACGCAGACCTTTGGCATGGAGATTGGCGGAGACCAACGGCATCCCACCATGACCTTTACAGATGACGACGAGGAAAAGGGGCCCGGCGCTGTCATGCTTGATGATGCGGGGTCGATTAGATCTCACTCGTTCTCTACGTCGAAAGAAAGTGGAAGAACCTGGCCGACAGCAAGCATGCAAAGGGTTGAGTCGGTCCAAATACCGCCAATTCGGTTGTTCGAGGACGATAGGGAAGTGTGGCCGTTGGTGCGGGATGCGAGAGAGAACCCCTATAGTTATAATGTGGGTGCAGCCCGCTTCGATTCTCGATGATTTTGGATGAGTCACTTTACGAATCGACAGTGTTGATAGGACCTGAACTCTTTGGGCGGGATTTCCTTAATCATGATACCACCCTTCACTATAATTCTACATAAAACATGAGTTGTATTTCCCTTTGTGAAACATATGTTGAATGAAAATGAAATTGTGAACGAGGTGCAGGTTGCTTGGATATCTCAACTTTTCGCAATTGGAGCCGAAAACCTAACTGGATGTAGGCAGTAGACGTGTCCCGGACGGAAGGAGTCCGTTACAGGGACGCTTCCAAACTTTACAAGCAAAATTCAGTCATCTTCGTCATCGCTATCCGCCTCATCATCGCTGTCGTCACCACCTCCTCCTCCAGTAGTAGTTCCTGGGGGGTTTACAGGAATAGGTGTCGTCGACCCGTTACTCGCAGCGCCTTGTGCACCAGCAAGTAACGCCCACTCTCCAAAAAGGGGACTTCTGGCTTGGCTCAAGAAGGCTGTGAACTCATCGAAGCCTAGAAAGTTTAGTACGATACATTTAACGTAACTCAATAAACCTACCGACATTGTGAAACCCCAACACAGCAGCTGGGTCTGCAGGGTCGCTCACAGCGGTATCGGCCAGCGCCCATCCCATCCCAAAGTCGCCCGCTGTATCCTGTGCCGTGAATGTAGTCCGGGAATCACCTATGCAGTTCTTGCATAAGAAGGTGAAAGTCATATGTGTATCGTTGACAACAGTGCCCTGGTCGATCTGCACTACGCTGAAGTTCCCCGTCACTACGGGCGGACTGTCGTCCTCGTTCTTCGCCACACGGAATGTAGATACGACTTTATCACCGTTGGGCCAAGCGCACAACAGCAGCGGACCCTCCATGTCGTCCTGGAGAGCAACACCACCCCAGCCTTTCCGATTGGGCATGGGTGTGGACATCTGACCGATGAAGTCTGTAGATGGGTTCTGGGGCAAGGCTATGCCAAAAGAGAACCCCGTTCTAGCACCGAGAAAGCGTTGGAAGGTTATACCCGTCAGTGGATCGGCGAAAGACGAGGTCTGTTGGTTGGCAGCGTGTGCTGAGCTCGCGAGAAGCAAGATTGGTAGGAGGCTTGAAGTGACATTCCTCTTCCCGGATCGCCTCGAAGGAATACGTCTGGCTCGGCGTGTACGGCCCAAGTTACGCTCTGTCGAGAGGATGTGAGGCATTGTGTGTCAAGAAGAGAGGTATCTTGATAAATAGTGAATCGACAACGAAGTTTTGAGCTTATCGAGAAAGCAAATGAGCTCTGGAGTAGCTTTTGACTTGGGGTATCCTTTGGTGAACAAGCGCCCATGTCCTCTTATACACAGTCTGCGGAACAATCGCATTGCAGTGGTTCTCCACATTAGGCGTCTTCAATCAGGCTTTAACACGCCTTGACACACAGCCTTGCCGCTCCCGAGCGGATACCATCCTCTCCAACCTGACGGAAGTTGAGACTTAGCGAAGCCAGCCAATGAGACGGTGGACGTCTTCGTTGACGGCTCAGCCTTGAGCCACATCTTGCAAGCCACGGGAAACCGGCATGATTTCAAACAAGCCATTTACCGCCCGCTTTCTGCGATGCAGCAACCATGACCTCGCGTGCAGCTCCCGTCACAGCTGTACCAAGCTCTTGCAAAGGCTTGACAGCATCTAATGGTCTGTGCGACGATTCATGTAGTCGCTGAACATAGTAATCAGGCACGCGACAGTGGGTGTGACCATTTCCAACCAATCAGTCTATGCGATCAGATGATATGGAGTATGAATGTTTCTTGGCGTCTCGAACTCCGCTGAATAGTTCGTTTCGAGATACCTAAGGCATTGTAAACGGAAAGCTTGGCATGTCAGAGAAACTGGGGAGGTTTCGAGAACTTTGCCCAAAATGATTGTGTTGATACATCTGCAAGCCTTTTAGATGTGACAGAAGGTCCAGGGCTTCGGACCCAAGCCCGCCTGTGGCATCAGAACACCGTCCTCGTTCTATCGCGCGTACGCGCCAGGTTCCTGACGAAAGGGCGTCGTCGCTTACTTTTCTAGACTCGTTTCAATGAAATATCCAGTGGATGTTAGATAGTCTCTGCGTAGCGGATGTTTTCGTACAACTTTGCTTGGTTCGTGTGATGCGTTGAAAATATTGAAGCTTGAGATAGAACTCGCCCAGTAACAGCTTCATTTCATGATAATTGCCACTATCACCGGCGCAGACTGCGTGGAACAACTCGAACGCATCAACGTAGGCAATATACTCCGATAAGGTTTTCCTGGGGATATATGCAAGAATTGTTAGTTATTCTGGGGGTCGTTTCAATGGTCGATAGAGATGAATGTCTTCGGAGATCTTGAGCGAGAGGAAGAGCTGACCCCGTGACTTTCCCCGCGTTACGCCATCCTAAACCGGCAAGGACTCCTTCAACGCGTCGTCAACTGTTTCCACGCGTGCACATGCGTCCTAGCCTTGGACGTGAACCCTTTCTGCTCATCATCAATCTTTTAGAAACTATCAATTCTCCTCCTCCTCAACAAGAACCCACCAAAATGGCAGAAACTAAGCGAGCTTCCGAGCTTCTCGGCGCCATCCAAGCTGCTACCCCAGACCGGCTCCGCGAGGTGTTGACTGCGCTCTGCCTTGAGCAACGTGCCACCTTCACGGCGACCTATCAGAAACTCCTCGTGGACGAGAGTCAGCAGCTCGATGTGGGCGACTCAGAGGACGATGCTTCAGCATCGGAAGCTGAGCTCCCGCCAAAGCGGAGGTTCCCCATGCCGGAGGGCCCGGCTCCCCAACTAGGAAATAAACGTAAACGATATGAGGTCTGCAAACAGTGCGACAAAGAGTATGATTCTTTGGTCAACACTAAAACCTCATGTATCTATCATGACGGTAAGCTGCTAAGTGTACCTGCATCGAGCACAACAATCTGAATCTTCTCACACAGGTGAACTTGAGGTAGACTGGGAGGGAGATATTTGGGCAGACCATGACGAGCGCTGTCACGGAACGATAAACACTGAAGCCATGCGCAAAGAGTACCCGGAGGGTTTCCTGTGGAGTTGCTGTGACCGATTTGGGGACAAGACTGGGTGCAGGAAGGGGCCTCATCGACCGCAAGAGGCTAAGCGGAGGAGGTATTGAAGAGTGAGAAAAGGCCTAGTCAGATGAGTGCCCCAGTGTATGTCGACGCCAAAATCAATGGCGCGCTCGCCTCTTCGCATTTCGGCTCGCAATGATCCTCCATCCATCATCTCCCCTGCTTCATTTATGCGGTTCCACCTTACACTCAGGCCGATTCACTTCCGCTCCACAGCACGTCCAAGAGAACCCTTCTAGCGTTTCCTGACGAGCTTCTTCCGTATAAGTTTCGAATTCTTTGAATTCACCCCCAAACGTCGACCCATACATCTGATGACTCATCGAACTCGCAATGACTTGCGGTCAATCAGTTGCCATGTGTCACGCCTTCTTTGCCATTCGCTACGCGCGATATCTATGCGATAGATAGGAAGAAATGTACCTGGAAGCCATTTACAGCTCTGAGGGCCATGGTTCGCTGTATCGTACTCTTGTTTACACTGGTGGCATACAAGAAAGCGAACCGTAGCTTGTGAATCGCGTTTACGTTTCGAACGTGTTGAAGCTTCGTTCTTGGCGGATGTAGGAGGAGCGAGCAGCTCTGCTGATGCTAGATCCCGCGCTGTGTCTGATTGAGAGATGATGTTGCGGAGTACGGTGCGCAAGCGTTCTGAGCTGCAGCCATAATCGCCTGCTCAAGTGTATCTCGGCCATGGTGGTGGCGGTGAACGTAGAAAGAGGTGTAGAAAGAGGGCAACGCGTCCATGGTTAACTAAGCCACTGTAGAGCTAGCATGTCCCTTCCCAGCGCAGTATCAAAAATGCTGCCTAGCTATTGATAGAAAAATATTGGGTAAATTAAGTCGAGGAAGGGGGAAAGACGGGGGAGTGAAGACATATCGGGGCGTAAGCATATGTTAGCAAAACATGCGTTGCCATTCCAAAAGAGACCCGATGAGCGCGTTTTCGAATGTCAAATGTACAATATGAAATTCCGGAAAGCTGAAAAGCGTCTATAGCCACGCACTACTGTACATCGTTTCGTGCACAGGGTTCAAGCGCCCTGCTTCACCTTACTCTCTCACGCTCGCACTTTTCAATCTATGGCCTAATGACTCGGAGTCCGTCCTTCGGGGGTGCCGCTGCCCTCTTGAATGACTGCTGCATATTAGCTTCAAGAAAGTTGCTTTGCATTGTATCCACCTACGCCGTCGCATTCCTCCCAGGCCCGTCCGGCACCGAAACCGAGGCCAACCCATGCGGGCCAGGCGCGTCGCTTGAAGAGGAGGACGGAGAAGACGACACCGAAGCCGACGCCGAGTCCAGATCGAATGAGCATAGAAGAAAGGCAGCGATCCCACTGTAGACATTGGTTAGCATGCGATTCTAGTACGGAAGGTAAAGCTCCAAGATCCCGAGGATGGAGTCGCGTGAGCTTCACAAGGCCGCCATTGACGCTCGGGAGGCCCTAGGCTGGCATGAGAACACTCGCGCAACTCCAGGCCAGTGTCGGAGGAGGATTTTGATAATGGTCGGCGCGGGTGTAGTACCTTCTCGTTGAGAAGAGCTTCACTCATAGGGCGGGTGGTGCGCGGGATGGGCGCAACGGGCTGCGCAGTGGGTTCGGGGGTCTTGTCGGCCATGACGATTGTGGAGTCGGTCAATTGAGCTTTGCGGTGCCTTGCTCGACGTGTTTGTGAGAGATGACGCGGGATGGGGGTGCGTTGTGCCTGGCGTCGGTGCGGAAAAGCTTCGGGAGAGCCCGAGCTGGGAAGGAACGAAAGCGTCCGTGCGCTAATTTTTCAAGAGGAAAGAGCTCCCCGCCGCAACCTCTGCGTCGCGACACCACCTTCTTGACAAAGGTGAGAGGATAAGATGGCCACGGCGACCCAGGTTTGTTGCCAGTCACGTTATGGATTCTCATGTTCTAACAGTATGTCACAGGCTCCCACGAGCCTCCCGGCGCCGACTCGACCGCGGTTGCAAGCCATCAACCAGACCTTCTCCGATCTCAACGAGCAAATACACCAGGCCACGCAGATCATTGGCCTTCCTGATGACTGGGACTCGCTTACAGGCGAAGCGCGCTCAAAGATTGCCAAGCGCATTGTTGGCGCAAGGGCAGATTGGGTTTTGCGGTGGATCCTCGAGAAACTGAAAGACACCGCAGATGGTGGCGCTCAAGTGCGGGCGAGCACGAAGGCATGGAAGCTACTTGACTGGATGATCGAGGTGCTTCCGGTGTCACGGTGCGCGCCGCATCTGAGAGACGCAGGGTTTTTGACCATCCTCGAAAGAGTTCTCGAAGAGAGATATAGTGACGATGCCGTGATCCAGCCAGAGCCGATACCACAGGGAAGCCACCCGCGAGACGACTCGAGCGAGACGGTACAGGAAGATCCGCAGCCCTCACGCAAACGGAAACGCGGCTCTGGCGCGAGCACACCTTCCAAGAGAGCTGCCCTTGAGTCCAGCGGCTCCGTAACACTGTTTGAAGCTCTGGCCACTACAGTGCGCTCGATAAAAGACAAAGGCAATGCGCAGGAAAAGAGGGAGGAATCTATCCAGTCGGAGCACATGAAAATGGTGTTAAGGGCGGAGAGCGCACAGGCAGCGAGGGTCCTCAAAAATTGGCTGAATGCTGTTTTGCGGATTCACTCATCAACACAGAGGACATCTGCTCACTTCGATCATTTGGACTTATCTTTGATTGTGGACATCTGGGAGCTGCGCGCCATCGACACCAAGGATAACACTGGCGCGTCCGTGGACCAGTTCTCGACAGAATGCTTGATACCGAGCCTGCTTCTTTCGCAAGCATTACACCAAGCAAGAAAGAGCGGGTCTGACTCTTCCAATTTCAGTAACACTTTGTCAGTTCTAGATCGGCTTATTGCTAAGCATGTTCTTATTCCCTCGCGGACGGCCTTCTTCAACGACCGAAGCGGAAAAGACACCCCGCGGCATAATGGGAAGGCCGAGCTTCTTTCCAGCAGTCTGGCACCGCTCAGTGCTAAGTTGCTGCAGGCTGCCCAAATCCAAGATAGCGGCGTGGAAATACCGGTCTATTTTGCGCCCTTATTTGCCGCTGTCCCACACTTGCTTCACCTTGTCATACGCTCGTCACCAGCGCGCTCGCCAAAAACTAGGACGACAGAAAAGCCATGGATCCAGGCTTCACTAACGACTCTTTCTCAGTGTGTAGGGTGCGAACTGTCCCCCCCAGAGTCCGCAGCTCCGAGTGCTTCCATAGCCACAGTTGAGGCGTGTGTTACTATCTTGGCTTCATACGATGTCAGCATAGATACGCAGGTTCTCAGGGATATCTTTTGGTTCCATTCTGGTCTCAAATACCCATTACACAAGGAAACATCCGTAAATTGGTCTCTTATTGCAGCCCTAGTAGAGAACGATTCGTCCATATTCTTGGCCGACCCAAAAGCAGCGAAATCGTCTTCTGAAGAAAGACCAGATGATCTCGCCGCGTTCCTATTTGAGCACATCTCCACGGCCAAGTTTGAGAGTCCTGAGCTACACGATGACGATGGGATGGAAGTCGATAACGATCAACCAGTGATTGCTGCTGCAGTCCAGAAAACAAAAGCTTTCTCAAGAGAAAACGCGGTGAAAAAGATCATCGTACCTGTTCTACACGCGTTCTCAAGGAATCGTCAGCTGCTAGGGTTCATAGAACTGTGGGACACGGAGCTGCGCAGAACGGTGCTTGCCAAGCGAGACCCACTGGCAGAGCTGCATCCACGAGTTTGGCAGGACCGGCACTTGCTTTTAGCCTTGGCCGAAGTGTTCGAGCAGTCCTTAACGCTCACGCAGATCACGACCCTGTTCCAAAAGCATGCTGAACGCTTAGAGCAATACACAAAGAAAAATCCAATAGAAGCTCTGAGCAGTGCTGTCATCACTCAAGCAATCCTTCGATCCATCAAATCGGACGAGGCCATTGATGCATTACAGCCAACAATGCTCACGGCGTGGAAGGTCTTCCAAGCGTGGGTTCAGCACGATGGTCCAAGCCAGTCCACAGCTCTTGAAATGTCTTGGACAGCTCTTTGTTTCCTATTGAGGCATCTGTGGCCGATCCATCTGCACGGCTCTGAAGCTCTTCAAACAGAGTTCATCGAAGCTTTGCTGGACAGAGCAGCTAATGATGTTGACTCAGCGCGCAAGGAAGACCCCAACAGACATGTCCCATCGTCTTGTCGGACGGCTGCTGCCATCTTCGTCTTCGTTGCCTGCGACTTCCTCCATACCTTGCCAGACACGAGAGACGTTATCCAGAAGAGGCTGCAAAAGACGTTGAAGGCCATGACCCCTGGGCAGATGGAACCACAGCAGTTGAATACAACTATCGAGCTGTTCTGCATCGAGTATGCGCAGCTACTGGCTCCTTTCGATGCGGACACTGCCCAAAAGATCCTATTTCGCTTGGTGGAAACCGTGTCAGGGTTCGATATCGAACTGGGCGGTCCACTCATTGAGACACTCTCGGTCTCAATTTTTAAGCAGGGCAACGCTGTCGTTGAAGCATCTTTTGTTTCCGTGCTCTTGAACGCCCTAGATCAGTCGGGCGAGAATTTACGCGCGGCCTCTTTGGGTGCTCTTCTACATATCTCTCCGTCATCTCTCTCACGAGAGCAGAGAGAGGCTGCACTAGACAAACTTCTGGGGTTAATTACAACCTCGCCCAGCATTGCAGCGTCGATTCTGAACATCATGGTCAACTTGATGCAGGTTCCAAATGCCACCGCGAAAATATCGTCAGATGGAAATGCGCTCTTCAACATTGCACAAGCTCTGCATAAAGTCGAATTAGAAGTGCCTCCCGCTATCCAGCTACTACAAAACCTGGTAGAACTCACGCTTGGCCACCTCCTGCCGAACAAAGATCAGGCACAGAACAAAGTCTTCTTTACGCAATACGAAGAGAAGATCACTGCTTCCTTAAAAAAGCCAAAGACGTACTCGCCGGCAAGGCTTGCTGTGCTTAACGGAACACTGCTTGCAACACACGCATCAGAATCCCTCATCCCTCTTTCGCAGTATCTGGAATTTCTCTTTAAAGCCCTAAGCAAGTGGGCTTCCTCGCAAGAATTTGTGTTACGTGCTTACAATCAAATACCTCTGTCAGTGTTGCGCAAGGACGACACACTGTTCGAAGCAGTACAAGAGAACCTTAGACGATGGATGAATGACCGATACTCTCTCGACAGCACACTCAAGAAATCTTCGACCGTCTCCGAGGTACAAGACAATATGTCGCCTACCGTGCTGGTCACCATAGCCAAGTTTGACCTCCACAAGCTCAGCGGTGGCACGCCGAGGCTGTTCGAGCTTGCTGCGAGTTTGCTCTGGAAACAGTCTTCACAGACAGACAACACGCATGTTCTGCAATGCCTGAGAGACACCCTGGCTCCTCTCAATGTCTCGGAGAAGTTACACCTTGCGCATGGCTGTATCTCGCTTGCGGATGACGACATCCCTCCTCAAATCGCTTACCAGCTGCTTCACGTTGTAGTATTTGCCATGGATGACAAAGAGGAAATCGAGTCTGATCTGAAGGCGCAACAGATGGCTCTGTTACCTGAGATCTGCGCTCGACTGAACGAGGTCCGAGATGATGCAGCATTTAACACGCTGCTCGACAACGTCAACACGATCCTTCTCCACAAGCCCAACATGACTTCACAACACAACATCGAGTGCGTCCTCATGGCCCTCCTGAAACTTGCTACAAGAAGCAGCTCCCGACTCTCACCTGCGCACGCGCCCGCAATATACGCGCGCCTCTGCGAGACAGCGCGCCTCGTCCTGCTCCTCCACCGCAGCCGTCTTGGAGGCCGCTTCCACCTGCTTCTGCCCTTACTTCAGGGGCTCCTCCTCTGTCTCTTCATCCCCAACCTCAACCGCGGCGCTGCTCTCCCTCCCTGGCTCGACTCCCTATCGCCCGCAAACCCCACTCGCCTTACGGCCACCAACGCAGCACAGTACACCCACCTAGTCAGCACGCTCTGCTCGCCAACACAATCCTCTGTCCAGCGCACGCGAAGCGCAACGACTCTCAATGACCCTATCAAGGCCGCGCGCGAATACGCTTCGCAGTACGTATATCCGCTGCTCAGCTCGTTCTGTCGGTTCCAGTTGTACGGCAGGCTGGATGCAGAAGTCAGAGAGAAGCTTATGCCCGGTATCTGGGAGATTGTGAGTGTGGGACAACTGAACAAGGATGCTATCGATGGTATGTTTGCGGGACTCGGAAAAAGTGAGAGGGATGTTTGGAGGGGCGTTTGGGGAGAGTGGGTGAGGGTGCATGGACGGAAGGAGAGGAAAGTCAAAGAGGAGCGGTGAGACGGGACAGTACTTGCGTAGTGTGTGAATGCGCTTATTTCCTGCGCAATAGTAGGTTCCACTACGAAGGTGGCCAACAGGCCTGGGTTTGTCATACTTTCAGTCTCTATACAGAACAATTCTTTCAGTTCTTATCCTCGCTGAATATCTTTTTCCTCAGCGCGTCCTTCCCACTGCCACCCGCCATGGTCTCTTCATCATACCGCCCCTCCTCATCACTAGCATTTGCATTGAAATCATCGCTAATCAAGTCCCCAACCTCCAGCCATGTATGGCTCGTCGCCGGGATCGGCGACATCTTGCACAAACTCCAGTACACCACCGCTGCAACACCAAACCCGCAAAAATAGTTCAAGTCGTAAATGTGCTGCGCGGCAACGGGGACCTCGCGGCCGATTGCACCCGCAAAGCCAACAACATTGATAGCGATGCCCGCGATGTACGCCGCGTACGCGCGCCAGTGGACTCCGTACGTGAAGTAGTATGGCGCGGTTTTCTTGCCGGAGTACAGGTCGTGGATCTGGAGGTAGCCCTTGCGCACGATGTAGTAGTCGCACACCATGACGCCGGCGATGGACGACAGGAAGACGGAGTACGCGGAGAGGTACGTGGTGAAGTTGTTGCTGCTGGAGAGGAGGTGCCAGGGGCACATGACGAGGCCGACGAGCGCACAAACGTAGCTGCCGCGGCGGATGGTGAGCCAGCGGGGCGCCAGAGCTGTCATATCTGTGCCTGCGGAGACGGAGTTGGCGGCGATATTAGTGCCGAGTTGGGCAAGGGTGAAGGCCGCGGCGATGAGGAAGACGCCGAAGCGCTGGGCGGAGCCGCCGTTTTCGTTGAGGAAGCTCTCGAGGAGGTCGAGCGGGTTCCAGATGGGCTGGCCGCCGAAAATGACGGTGGAAGAAGAAGAGACAATGATGCCGATGAAGCTAGTAATAGCGAAGCCGACAGGAATAGTGATGAGCTGGGGCAAAAATGCGTCGCTTGGTTTGCGGGCGAAACGTGCGAAATCCGGGTCGTTGGCGATGAGGGTTGCGAAGTTTGCTATGGCAGACATTATTCCCCTGATCATCAACCAAGCGAGGGCGGAGCCATGCTTTTCTCCTGGCTGATGTACGATTGGACCGATACCCTTTGCGCGGACAACAGCCCAGATGAAGAAGGCAACGCCTGCAGCGGGCACGAAGAAGGCCTTGACCGTGAAGAGATGGCGAATTTTGTGCACTGGAAACCACAGAGCGGGGAGCGAGCCGGCCCAAAAGAGGAAGAACGAAACAAAAGCAACGGTGTTGGTACCTGAGTTGGGAATGCCGTTTTTGATGCCACCGTCGCCAGTATCATCGCGCCAATCGTTCCAGATGCTGCGGATCATCAGGTAGACACAGGTTCCACCAATCCATCCTTGCACTCCGTACCAGATACAGGCCATGGCTGCTCGATTGAAGACAGGCCATAGCGCACCCCAGATCCCAAAGGATGAGCGACTGACCACCGGGAAGGAGATGTGATACGTGGCACCGATCCGGCCTGTGAGGCATACGAAGCAGGCGGCGATAGAGTAGCCGAGCCACACGCAGATCCAGCTCTGCCACCATGACAGTCCATCCGCAATATTGCTGCCACTGATCATCCATGTGTTGATGTTGAACGAGTCGGCAATCCAGAATCCTACAAAATTCCAGGCCCCCCATTGCCTCCGTTCGTGTTCGACTGGCTTCAAGTCATGGTTGCTGTGTAAAAATAAGTTCACACTCGTGAGATGTATGCGTTACACTTACTAAAGCATGAGCTGCGCGGTAGTCAGATTTTGATCATTCTCCACAGCGAGCTTGTTCGCCCACTGAGCAAACCTAGATCTTTTGACTTTCTCCATGATGTTCCAAGGGAGGCACGTCGGTTCGTCGCTGTCGTGGACCTCATGTAGTGCAACGACTGGTGCGTTCTTATATAAAGAATTGCAGCTGCTACTTCCGCGCGATACAACCGAGCCATACCCCCTGTCGTTTGCAGTAAGAGAATAACGTGGGGGAAATGGTCCTGAAGAGCCTGTGTGGGGTTGTTCTCTTGTTTCGCTGCCGTTCAACAACGGCTCGTGCTCTGGTGGATCCATATGGGCCCCAGTAAGTGGGCTAGTAGGCTACCAGAACGAAATCGCGATTTAGGAATAGTAGCACTGCAGTAGATTATCATGGGTTGACCTGGGGTCGACCTGGGCTGGATGTGCTTGCTCCACCGCATATTTGACGTGAGGTGTGCAGATGCGACAGATATAACAACAAGCGGTTGTGTACGTTGAGGCATGATAGTGATAACGTGGACGCTGGTCTCGGGTCGCATAACGCGGAGCGTCCCGCCAGCCTTATCGGACGAGTGATAGTGCCCGCCAGCACTCCCACGAGGCTCGCTTTGCCGAGAGGCAGAGCAGATCCGCCCGCTGGACCCTGTTAGTACATCCTGCAGTTCCGCATGCCTCATGACAATGTCAGCAGATACGATGTCGGCGACGACACAAGGGCTCTTGTGACTCGATAGAAACATGTCAAAAAGCCCGTGCATATAGGGAAGAGGCTCTCTATCTAAGATGGCGCGTTTCCCTGGGCACCGCACGCGCGATGTTACACTTGGGACGTGAAGGGCTAATGCGCAACAGGAATAGCCCACGATAGGCGTTGTGGAGTGCGTCGCGGCGATGGAACAGCCAGTAAGAAGCCGTTACGAGTGCTTAGTATCTATTTGACTCGATGAGATCTCGTAAGGAGCTGCCACACCAAATTATCTAGTGGCAGGTGGGGCGCAACAACAATGCTCGTCGCGTTCCTATTCTGCGGGTCTCTTTTCCAAGCTTCTCCAAGGCTATCTATCTTGCGGCAGTCTCTTGCTCAAAAGGAAAATCATCTCGGTCGCACCCACCACTGAAAGCCGTCGAGCATCACTATGGTCAGACTCAGGTAAGATCGATAGTCTCGATATCCAATAGAATCGATCGAGACGTAATCCTTCCTAGATTTGCTGGTGGTAGAGCGCCTGTCATTGCCGAAGAACCTTGATCAGGCCTTATTATTGAGGGTTTGTCAGGGCCGAAAAATCGTAGGCGAGCCGCTCTGATATCTGCTGCACTTGGCTCGTGAACATCTTCCGCAAGATCAACTGGAAGCAGCACGGCAGTCGAAGGTGGTCTCGTCTGACCACTACGTGGGCCATCACTCACGGGTACCCTGCTCAATGTCGATTGGATTTCGCTAGCGGAGTTGGATATCCTCGACTCTTTTCGAAGAGGTGACTGTTGAAAGGAGTTCCTAGGCGCAGCCTCCCTCTCCTCCCTCGGCAGACCACTGCGCCCACTGCGCCAATTTTGTTGGTCTGGCAAACTCATTGCTTTCAATAAATCAGATTCCTGCAGACGGAGCCGGGTTGCTCCAACCAAGTCTCCATCGCCATCTTCAGAGTCTGGTTGAAGGGCACCGGGCTCTATTACACTTGAGTGCCCTTGCAGTGGCAATATCTCCTCTTCTGAATCTGAGAGCAGGCTGACATACTCAACGTTAGAAGGCATCGAACGGGGAATCGGTCGGTGTTGAACATGCGTTGCCTCTGGCAAATTGGATCCACCGCTTGCAGGGGCATCTAAATATGACGGAATCGAGCCTCCCCTTTCTGTGATGATCCACCTGTTCACGGATGCGGGCAATCTTCTAGATGCAACAACGGTCGATGTGGTGTCCCTTGCATCATCTTCCGCTCGTCTCTTGCGCTTGCGTGGGGTGCTCTTTGGCGCTGGTGGCGGGTCTAGCACACTTAGGGGCAAAACCCTCTCTAGGAGATACACTGGAATGTCTGCCTTAACGGTACAATCCGGCTCGAAAGGGTCTTGCATCTTGCTCGTCCAGTAGCCGGCTCGATCACCTTCAAAGTCTTTCTGGATAAGAGTCGTAAGAGTAAAAGGAGAGAACGCTAGTGACTTCAGTAATGGTGGCGCAACGTTTTGAACGATGTCTTTCTTCGCGCCCTGCTTTGTAATTTTGATCTGATGCACATTCTCCTTTGGCAATGTCAAGTCTCGGGAGACCAAGTATTTGGTGAGAAGGACCGGCCCGACCCAATTCATATAAAGCTTGCCCCAGATGTTGAAGCGGGAGCTAGTCAACTCTAGTAGTTTCATTTCGTCGATAGGAACATTCCAACCATGTCGCAAGCCGCGCAGGTTGCGAAGCTGATCATCCGTCGAAATTTTGGGCCGGTTGTACTTGTCCAAGGTTTTGATATCAGGGAAGTCAGCAGGGATCTCAGGTTTACGGCCTCTCTGTGTCTGGAAGTAAGCTGACAGCTCGCTCCGCCACAGAACACAGTGCGTCTTGGTCCGGCATTGGCATAGGGAAGTGCCCAAGCCCGCGCGAACTGCCCCAGCTGCCATCGCTGAGCCGCAATTCCGCAGCCCTGTGATGTCATAATCTCCGCCACTTAACATGGCGAAAAGGACAAGCCCTTCGCGATCAAATCTGTGTCTCTGTTGGATCTCTTGTCCATATATGACCTGTAGTGGTTAAGTAATCTAAAAGTGATACGCAAGTGACCCTCATGGGCACTCACTCTCACAGAAGTTCCGCTCTTCTTGGTGTTTTCCTTGGATCGGTTATTGTTTCCTTTTTCTTTCGCGACGCGATCGTCGCGGACCAACATGCTACACCCGAACATAAGCGTATCCGAATCCTGCGAGAAGACAGCATCAACAACGCCCAACTGTTGTAGACGAGCGCATTCTGCTTCGGCTTCACCAGGCGCCTCATGATGTGGGATCCGTAAGTAATTGAGGAGCTCTTTGAGCAATCTTCGCTCTTCGTAGTTGATTCGACCTTGTCCGCGACGTCCACGCTTCCAAGGTCTGCCTGGGCCGTCGAACACGAAGAGCAACTGTACATTCAATGTGAGAAGACGGCAGATGCGGTAAAACATGGATTTCTCGATACCTTGGAAAGCCGGTTCATTGGAGGCTGCACTCTGCTGTCAGCATCGAAACTAATGTTTCTTGTCGACTTACTCTCGCGTATCATGTAGACCTGTTGTGCAGTAAGATTGTTAAATCTCCAATCGGCCTCATCGACAGCAATCCGTAGGGGACGCTCATGTTTCTTGAAGTGAGCTTCGGCTAGCTGAGCGATTGGCACACTGTGATCCTCGGCCTTTATCACGTCCCAGAGTGCAGTTATACCCATCAGGTATCTTCGCGGGCGTCCTGTGCGTGAGCGACGAAGCGCAAAGGATGGCAATGACGGCTGTGCAAAAGCGCGATTGAGGATGTCTTCTGTTTCACACAACTGGGCGGGATAATGTTTATACACAGTACAAGCTAATAGATAGGAGGAAGTCGCTCGGTGCGAACTAGGGAAGCCGCCACGCGGTTCTCCCTCCAACCCCTGCTAGCGCGGGTTCTCCTCCTTACACGGACACGCGACCTCACATGACCTGTTCCGCGCCGCGTCTCGCCCCAACATCCATCATTCGCAACGTTCTCGTCAGGAAGCTCGCTTAACCTCACTCCTTCCTGCAATTTAATCTGGCGTGCTCGCGGCGTTCTGACATCATGTCGCTGCAATCTCAAGGGATCCAGACTACCATGGGTACACTGCAACCATCTCGTGGACGCTTCACCCAGCACATGCTACTGTGCCTGGCACCGCGCTAGGAAAGAGACTATCGCCTCTTTCTACCCCAAGCTCAAGCTCCTCGGTAAGCAAGTTCGCTGCTGAGAGTGCTTTGTCTGACCTTTGTCCAAGGAAGCTCAAAGCTTTGACACAGTTCCCAGCCCGTCTGAACGCGTCGTCCTGGCCAAGGTTACCTACGTTCGGCGCTTTCGCAGATTCTATCAGCACAGCGCCGGCTATTGCAAAAGCGCGCACGAGAACGTCAGACCAGGGTTCGGACAGGAGCGCTCCTTGTCCTATAGAGAAAAGCCCACTCTTTGTTTGTGACAAGATGCCGTTTTCTTGCAAGCATGCGCATCTCGCAATATCTGAGAGTGAGCGGCAGTTGTCTTCTCTGAACCGGGCGATGAACTTCAACGAATCTCTATCACGGCGTCTGGATTCGAGGCCAGACTCTGTCTCGTCCATGGTTTCTATCAGGTCTGCCAACAGCAGTGTGGCTAGATGCCAGTGGCCGGCCAAACAGACGTACCACGACTGGACTCTCTCGGAGAGCTCTTCGTGGTGCTCAATGCAGTCTCGAAGGAAAGGCGCATAAGCTCTTTGCCAATGCTCGTATACTTCTAGCGCGCTGTGTACGGCTGTCTCGATCTTGTCGCTCTGAGCATGACGAGCTAGTAATGTTTGGATCCGTGTCACTTTGCGGAAGAGTAGAACTTTGATTGGGGCTGCTTCGCACAAGAGCGATGCAGCTTCGTCTTCAGAGCAAGGCCATCTCACATGTATACGTTGCTTTCGCATACGTTGACGTCTGAACAGCAAGTCATCCCAGAGGTCTTCTGCTCTCGGATCTGAAGGGATCGGTGCTCCTGGGCTGGACTGACCGTCGCGAACCATGGTCCTAATTGCTGGCAAGTCACTATCCTCGAGTGCGACTACTAGAGGCCGCTTGTGCATCGCTGAAGACAACGTGTCGAACATTATACCAAGCCAGAAAAGCACGTCGACAGTCGCTCGATCAGCCGCTTCGAGTCCACTCGTTTGAAGATGCTTCCAGCATCGTGGTTTTTTCTTCCTACGACCTCCAAATGCCCCCGCCATTGTCATTCTCGAACGTAGCGAGTGAATAAGTCTGAGTCCCTGCTCAAGATACAGGGGAGGACCATCATCGTTCATCGTTAGGTCCAGCTTGGAAAAAAGGTCTTCGCATGCTTTCATGTCTACATCTTCGTCTGTCTTTGCCTTCAACAATGGGTCAGTCGTTTCGCTTCCCGGTGAAAATTTGACATGATCCGACTCATCCTCTGGCTTTTGTGTCAACGAGAAGACGATATGCGCGAGCACTACTCGGAAGGATTCAATATCCGATGCTTCGTGAACTGCTTTGCGAGCTTGGTGCCATGCATTGAGCTGAAGAGAACGGTTGAATTCAGTCTGAGACGAGGATGTCCGGTGAGGCTGTCTGATACAGCCTGTCCTCTCATCAATCTGGAATGGATACCTTGCTCTTGTTTTCGCGTCTGGTACTGCCCATTGGGATGCAAACGAGAAGATTGCCAAATTCAAAGCTCTGGATGCAGCTCGATCTTCCGGCATAGTCAACAATCTCCCTCGCACCGAAGGTGATTGGTCCAATTTGAACACTCGATGGTAAATACGATTCCAGTCTGGGCCACAATTGCCCGGGAGAGATACATCGCAGTCTCTGCTGTACGGACATGTCTTTTCAGTCAACCAGCAGGATAGATGGGTCTCAAAGCTATCATGGTAAATTCTGAGCAGGCCGTCTGCCAAAAAAGCCGTGTTTGCCGACGAAAGTAAGTCATTTGTGAGAGCTATCGAAGAATGGGAGATTGCGCTTGTCGCGGAAGAACCGCGCCGTCTCCGTTTGCGAGGTAAGCGCATGACCTCGTGCGGTGATTTCGAATCGTCGGACGAACCCACGCTTGGACTCGACTCTTCGCTGTTCGGAATTGCGTCCCCTGGTGAAGTGGTGTGGGTGGAAGAGCCGTTTCCCGAGTCCCACTCTATCGGAAGAGCATTATGCGGTTGTTCTGGGACGTTACAAGGAGGGATTAAGTCAAGCAGAGGCGAGTCATCCCATACGAAATCGGTCGGCGCATAGTCGTATTGAAACTGAGAAGTCAAACTGTCGCTGAATTGTATGCCACAAGGGAAATCGGCGAAGGTCACCCCAACGTTGATGGGTTCAGATTGCGGCATGTAACTTGCTCCATCACCCAGACCCGAACCAATGGACAGCTGTGGGGCTTGCTGACCACAGGTCGGGTCGATTGCATCTTTGCGATCTTGCAAGCTCTTGCTCGCGGTGCGCCGTTTCTTAGCTGGTGGTGTTGGGTTTGGTTGCGGTGTCGTTGCCTGCAGTATTCGCTGCGATCGAAGCCATTCAAATGTACATGTCTTCTTCGTCTTCTCACAGTTGCCACAGGGAGCAAGGGGCCCGAACACATCTGCATTGTTAAAGGTCTGCACGTGCACTGATCAAGAGAGTCATACCGCTGTAGTGGAATGTGGTAGGAGTTTCTCCGTTGCCATTCAACAAAGCATCTTCTAGGATGGACGCATCGCATGCTCTCTTCCCTTTTCGACTGTAACTGACATCAGCGCATGCTCAAGATCGTATGTAGCGCCGCATGCGCAAGCTTGCGATAAACAACCGGTGTGCTAGTGGATATGTGGCGCATATGTTCAAGAGAAGTGCGTCTTCTTGAGGTTACATACCACTGGTCGCAGCAACGATTCTGCTTTCTGTTCGTCCTTGTCGCCGATTTCGGCCCATTCGCCCCAGCTTGAGCAGGCGATGTCCACGCGTAATCGAGAAACGATGTGGGTTGAATGTCGACAAAATTCATGATGGCAACCCAGGATACGATGGCGAAAAAAGGGAAGAGATGACGCTCGCTAGAACGGTCACAAATAGGACTGCGGCGGAGGGGCTTGTCTGACATGCAAGACGACCCCGCACGTGCTTGTTAGCTCCACTCACCATCACACATTCGGACCGTCTGGTATTGCGGGGAAAGGGGAAATGCAGGGTCAAGAATCACCCGGACGGTTCTCCTCGGGCCATGCAATCAAGGACGAGTGGTGTGTCAACAACAGCGAAGTCCCATTTTACTTTGGCCTTGATTAAGCCAGCGGAAGGTTTCGTCGGGCGGCACTCTTCCGCACCATTTACCTTCCCGCCTGCGATAACGCTAGCCCCACTAAATAGAGGTCGCACTAACAGTTCATAGTACCAGCCATGCTTCCCGGCCTCACCATGAGGCTGACGGGCGCTCTTCCATTGAGATGTGTCTGGCTACTTCGCTTATGTTTGCAACAGAAACTGCACTGCCAGCGTAGCGCCTGGTAATGAGATTTCTTGCCCGAACTCCTGCGTGCGTACTGGCAGAGAAGGGACCAAAACGTCAGAAAGGCTCTGGAGTCGTACGTTAGAAGTCGATGATCTACAGATCAGACTCAGCTGGCTGCCACAATGAGTTTAGGTATGCTATCCGGCTGCTCCCGGAACATGGAAGAAAGATTTCGCGCCTGCACGGACATGCGCTTCCATGTTGATCCGGCTACAATAATGGTGTCAAATGTGTTCCGATAATGTTTAAAGGTGTACCACGGAACCCTGCGGGTGAGATTCAGCGCATAAGCTGAGCGGCGTCGATCTTCGACTGCCTAGGTACAATTCAGCATGAGCGACCAGCAGAACCCCATGCGGCAAAAACCAATTATTCAACGACTACCAGTCCCGTTGCGGCAAGACTGCAATGCTATTGTCAATTCAAAACACCTGGAGGACATCGTTGCTGCGCTAGATGGGGCTCTCGGTGAGCTGTGATCGTCTATAGCCAAGCCTTTGACCCCTCGACACAAGTCGTTGCTACCAATTCAGGAGTCAGTGCATATTCGCCATATGAGGATGTACTTGATATCACAAATTAGGAGACGAGAACGATGCGGAGGTGCTCATCAGCATTGACTCTAGTTTATCCTCGGTTGCATGCAAGATCGCGCGTTTGATGCACACAAACTTGCCATCAAATAATTACACTGTTGACAGCATGGAAGGGCTGGTAGACCCAAAGAAGTCAACACATCAAATTTGAAAGATCCGAAAGTTTAGCTAATCGTGGTCCCAACAAGTCTGAGCCCAAGCGAGTGAAACCACATCAGTTCGACCTCAAATCCCAAGACGCATAAGAAGCACCACTTCCAAAACGAGAACGCTATGCCGGATCCCATTCTTTCTCACCCAGAAGTTGCTGCGACTGCTTCGCGGAAGTTGTGGCTATCATCTGGGATGAGGGGAGTGGATCACTGCCAAGAGACGATGTGCAACAAGACATGCACGTCAGAACCAAGCAAGCACCCGGAGGGGACTCTAGCTATATTACTGAAAAGAATGCAAGAGTGCGTGGAAGGAGAGAACCGAGAGGAGCTCTTGAAGGAGGTAAGTGAATACTGACTCGGCAGCCGAAGCGCCATGATGGGGCTCCTGAAGGACAAGATCCCAACGGGGCCATCGCATGCTATCGGGCATCAACTCGGAAGTAGATGTGGTGTCATGCTGCGGTCACTGCCTGTACTGTGTTATCCCCTGTCTTGTGCCATAGCGGGGGTAGGGAGATCCAACAAGCTGAACCTCAGCGAAAAGTGTTGGATGTATTGAACAATGTTCTGCAATGGAACGAGCAAACAGATGCAGTGAGAAGCTTCGTCAGAGTGCTAGAATTACCAGATCCGCCCAAGGCGGTCGATCTTGGGTGGGGAGACACGCTATAGAAGGTTGTGGCGATGACAATTATAGATGTGTGGGGTGGCGTTACAAAGCAGATCGAAACGAAGCAGGAGATCCGAGAGATCTTGGGTTGGTAAGAGGTTGAGTATACGGCTACATATATGGTATATGTAAGTCCGTGATAGCGAGCATTCAAACAGAATTATCCATTTGGTGGCTGTGGTATTTGTGACGGCGTTTTTCCTCCCATGCTTGGCCGACGGCTCACCGGGCCCACCAGACCCCTATTATTCAGGTCCGCAAGTCCAACGTCGAAAGCTACATCACTCCAGTCGTCATGCTCGCGCAAAGCATAATCGGACCACTTGCGCTTGAAACACGTCGCCGTTATTGCGGGTGACCCACTGGACGCCCTCGACCTCAATACTGACAAGCCTCGTAGAGAGATTGTCCGCAAATGTACGCGCTGTTTCCGTGTTGGCCAAGTCCATGCCTATGTCCCATTCCTGCCGTCATGACGGCTTCGATAGGAATAGCCGACCACATACGGACAGCTCGAACAAGCCCTTGGCTTTCAGATACCTACGCGTCTCCGTCATCACTGCCTCGAGTAGCCCTTTATCTGTGCGTTGCAAAAGTAATTGTACCACTTTACCATGCAAATATAGAGCTTCTCTCCGCTCATGACTCGTGGATTGTTGACACATCGCTCCCTATAGGTCAGTTCACTGTGGTACGCTTGTTTTAACCTTTTTGGGTTCTATTTTAGCTTATACAGGGCACCAAAGTGTCAAAATAAGCGAACCACGGTGAATTAACCAATGACAGCTAGCAGCATGTTCGCAGTCTCCCACGCCGCTCCGACTATCATGGAATCCCACAACGCACGCGCTCTCGGATTGCGAGTTCCCCCTGCTTACAAAATCTATGGTGTAGATGGAACAGTGGAGAAACGCTGGCTCACAGAAGATTAGTGGCTCGACTATGATTCACTGTAAGCTCACCTATATGAATGTACGCTGGCTCTCCCTGATCAAAGCAGATGGGCTGCCAACTATGAGGTCATGATGAACAATTTCGACGAGACAGGCTGTCTTAACGCGTGGGGGCCCAACTCTGAAGCCGAAGTTGCAGTCGTCAAGTCCGGTATTGAATCTGCGGCGTGAGCATCTGGCTTAGACCATCAGTTCATCCTTGCGGCCATGAAGCAATAGTCTGACGGTTTTGTCCGCGTTCCCACATCAGTTTCACCGAATGAGAAAGTCCAGAACCCAGGTCTTTTCGAGTGTGCCAACGGAGACCATACCTGCAACGAGAATGGCAATTTACGCAATGTGAGCAAATACTACAAAGCTCTTGTCCTGTACAACTCGGGTGTCCTCGCAGAGTCTGGCAACCAGGGAGATGGTCGCGCTACTGCTTGTTACGCGAGCAATCTCGCCAGTCGTTTGATGGGATGGACCGGCATTGGTAGGACTTGTGACCCAGACACTATTGGCGATTATGACGGAACCCCAGCTGAGCTCAGGCCTACTGGTACGTGCACTTCTGATCCTACTCCTACTCTAGGCGGAGATAGTTGCTAACCTATTGGAGAGAAAAGTTCGAAGGTGCTCCTGCGAACTGCAGCCTCTGGTATAAAGTGCAGCAAGACGACGGTTGCCGTTCGATCGAGGAAGCTCAAGGGATTGCATTCGGAACAATCAAAAGGCTAAACAAGGAGATGTATTTTGACTGCAGAAACTTGAGCAACAACATCAACTACTGCTTAGCTACCTCAGGCTGAAGCCGGGCGCATAAAATTGTCCATAGGCCCAGAAATTGATGTCCAGTCTATCATCTCGCCGTGTGACAGTGTCAGACGAAGTTCGACCTCTAACCTCTTACTTATTGGTTTTTTACGTATCTCGAAGCTTTCTATAAGAGCTTAGAGTTGAATCCGCATCTCTTTTACACTAGTGATCACATACATACAAAGTAGATGTATGACCAACGTAATTAGACGTAAGCCTGGTTCTCCCAACCCAGCTTAGCCACGATTGACAACAATGCCACTGCGCATTTACATATCGGTCGAAGGGCTTTGCCTTCAAAGTCTGAGCATTGCAATTGATAATTATTGAAAAGAGGTCACATGTACAATTTGTTGGGAGAGCCCTGTTACGTATCGTGCCGTATAGTCGTATCGGATACGCCATGAATATACGCTGCGATTGGAGGAAACCCCGAAACCAGGTCCACATTTACCGCCGCACAGGGAGTCCCCGCCCCATGAAGTTAGCCACTTGCACCATCAGACGAAAACATTATTGGCAAACGATGCTAACCATATTCCCGCAAGTGGAAGCATGTACGGTTCGCTCGAGATGCCACTCGTCTTAATCACAATTAGATCAGTAGTACTCAACATCCACAGGCAAACCCAATCTCAAGACCATCCTACGGCATATCAGAGATTCACACTGTACTGAGCCATCCTCTATTAGGAGTCCCTGAGATATAATCTCAATGATATTCAGCGTATGATTCAATTAGATATTCGTACCACATGGCTAATCAGTTCGTCGGTGCGAAGCATACCTGGGGCCCCGGGCAAGAAATGCAGAGTCCTTACGGTGGCTTCCCCCCATTGGACACGCACGCCGCACAAGAACGCTCCCAAGCATGGTTGAATATTCAATTCGATAACCTCCGGTTCCCGTCGTACCGAGGAAAAGGAACTACGAATGCAGTCTGGCCATGGGCATACAAATGGAGATTCACCGCCCACACATTGAAACCCATCGCAGCAGTCATACTTGTTGCGATGGTACTTTCTTGCTTCTGGCCCGGCAACACGCATTTCCCCACTGCTCTGATGTTTCTGACGACCATTGGTGCGGCTGTCCCAAGTCAAATCAGTCCTCCTCCCAATATTCCTCCGCCTCCCGCTCCGGAGCCCATTGAGGTGTGTGAACTCCCACTACCACCGGTGGCTCCCAGCGACGACGTGGGATCCTGTACCTTGCAAGTCAATCCCAGGGGCACAGGCTGTATACTGCGTGTCTTGGATGGATTTCAAGCAGGCGATTTCACAACCGACGGAAACAACGTCATCGTCAATGTGAGGTTTACGGGTGCACCCGCATCACCTGATCCTGCGAGCATTTACACGGGAGATCATTTGATATTGGTCAAGGCCGACGGGACGACTTTCGCACATGGAGATCCTTGGAAGTGCCTCAGCTGCGGTGTTCCGGGAAGCCAGCAGCAGTTGCGTGACCCTCAACTAGACTCCCCACACGTGTTCCGTAGTGGCGACAAGGCATTATGGGGCCACAAGTGAGTTCACCGGGGTTGGAATTCCCGAATCCGCTAACATTTGTAATCAGTATTCTTGATTGCAATGGGACTCAGCTAGCCGATGACGAGTGCACGGCAGAAAGGACCAATATTTACCCGATATACTGGGCTACTATCAAGAACGGTACAGATGTGAACGGTGCGCCTCGAGAACTGCGTCTGCATCCGGACGATACGCACCTCGGCTGGAGCTCGTTCACACCTTCAGGAGGACAGAACACGTTCTTCGGTCGTCTCCGGTTCAACCCTGAGCCAACATCCGGCGATGTTTTGGCCCCACGGTACGAGCTAGTCGACGTGAACCTACTACGTGATCCGAATCGTAGCGAGCACCTTACCGTGGAAGAAGGCGAACTTAAGTTTCATGATGATGTGATTGCCGTGGGAGAACTACGTGGTTTCTCAGGGACAGGCGATGAGATTGTCTACATTGGCGAGACATATGAAGCCAACAACATCGATGTCTCGGCTGTGCATGTCGTTACCGGAGCTGTTCGTCGCTTGACCGAGCACCCAGAGTACACCGATCCGATATCCTTCTCAGCTGACAATAAGTGGATCGTTGCGCTGGACACACGTGGAACTAATCGGCAAATGTTCATGTCCGGCTTGCGGCACATTCCACCTCTCATCGACCTTGTCACTGTGACTGTCGCGTCATCAACTCGCAACAACGGAAACCGTCGATTCTTCAACCCGATCCTCATCGACGGTTATGGGGATCGTGGCGACTACTTTGGCCAACAGATCAACGCTGAAGGAGATGGAGGTAATGGGGCGGTGAACGACCCGAACTGGAATGCCCGCGCAGACCCAGCGTTCTCGCGCGATGGTACAAAGATGGTATATTGGCAAGCTATCGTTACGGGACGCGAATGCGGAGGTACCAACCCCCTCCCTTGCCCGGTACCCACAACACAGGGTCAGCGTGTTTATAGACTCATGCTCGCTAAGCTGACAAGCCGGGCGCCACAAGAAGTACCGCCTGTCTTTGACGTACCCGACCAATTGCCTTGGGCAACACCTTTCCCGCCAGGCACACCTTTGCTCAACACTACTCGAGGACCCGGCGCTGGAAAATACACTCTGCGCGGCAAGATCTCTGGTCTTGCTGATGTGGAACTCTCCAGTTCCTCACAAGACCAATCTGGTAGCTTCGATAGCGTCGCTGTGACCTATCGCGACTACGCTGACGTAGACGGATACGTACTCAACGGCTGGGAGAATGTCACAAGTATTATTCTGTGGCCAAACCCCTGGAACAATCTGGTAGATTGGTATTCGGACATTGAACAGACGGGTGTGGTCACTGCGTCCAAGAAGACTGGCTCAGACGGGTTTCATTTGCAGATCGATGCGATGTTGAACATCTTCAACGCGACAGGGACATTGACAACAACTGTTGATGAGGTCGTTTATGAGCAACCTGCAAATGGAACCTAGAGGATCATTTGATAGCAGGAGTAATTTTCGTACTTGGTCAAGACTTGTCGGCTTCTGTCCAACTCTTGACCGCAACTTCTTCTGTCTCTGAATGTAGCATCAGGATCGCTCGGAACGGGCAGCAACTACGTCATAGTTTAGAAAGGTGTTCGCGCCGACACCGCATGCTTGATTTGGTGCATCGTAGACAACGAGAGACTTTACTATGCCGAGGCAGGATGTGGAGTCAACTCGGGTCTATCTATGGTAGTGGGCTAAACATCTCCGCGCAGCTCACCGCCGAATTCAGTCGCCGTCTCGAGGTTCGTTGCTATTCGGTGGCTAGTATTTCCGCTTAACGGTCGCAAACGCTTGCCAAGCCCCGAGTAGGTGAATTGAATCGATGCAACGCAGTTTCCGATCTGAGAGTATAGCCTCATACAGGGTCATGCTGGTTTCAAGTAGTTGACGTTGTCTGTCAGACGTCTTTAGCCTTGCGATAAATCTGTCGCAATCGTAGTGGGGTTCAACTGTGGGGTTTTGTAGTCTCCGATCTGTCAACTAGCGCAGATCGGCGGCACGTAGCGGTGAAAGCCTCAATTTGTAACTTCCAAGAAAGATGAACGGAGTTTCGACCGGACCTTTACAGCGTCCAAGTATTCTTCTTCTGTTGAAAATTTTGTGCGTAGACACGTGGACGCTCCGTCGGGCATCGTTCTCACTGGGATGAGGCGGTTGGTTGATTACGCGTAAAACTTGGAACTTGTCAGTTTGGTGACAAGCAAGGATCTCCTTGAACACCAAACTGTTGCGCAACTCTAGGAAAATCTTTTGCCCGACGTACCATTGTACTGTACCAAAGACCTTGGAGAGACTTACCCACGTGATCTTCAATTTAAGCACTCACAAGGCCACATTAGCATAGATAGCGAAGTCGAAGCGCAATCGGTCAAAGTGTATATGGTGGCGAATCCTACGATGAAACGAAGGACGAGATGGTGTTGTGGCTTGCTGAGCTGATAATGACCGACCTGAAGGCTGGGCAAGGCGGTCTAGATGGCTTCACGCAACCCTGAAAGCCATATTACTTCAAGAAGGCACCAGAGCGGGTGCTGATAAGCGAACGATCATTCATGCCTTGTGGGCTTAGGAACAGACTTCTAGCTTTCGTTGCGAAAATGCGAACAGTAATGAGGTTGGCTGAAGTTTCCGGTCGGAGCACACCGAGATGCAGGGGACGAAGGATTGCAGGTGACACAGTGATAAGGTTCTTACCACTGGACCCTTGAATCTGGGTACCGGATCGCGCTTCACACGACAAGAATATACCGGAGAATCGCCTCACAGACAGGCGGTGACTCTCGTAAGCTGGTTTGAAGAGGCATGGTGTGGGGTGTAAGCGACACCGATCGTTGCCCATTACGCCTGCAATGGACCGAAAAGGATATAGTGGAGATTATGGTGGTAAGAAGCTGTGAAGAGGTGGTTGCCCAGGAGAGTATCGAAGGAGAAGCTCAGGTGGCAGTTGGGTCGGTGGCCCACTCCGCAGAAGCTGAATGGAGAGCTCGTGTATCCCATGACCGGACCGTAGAAGGAGGTATTTGTTCCCTCCTGTGGCCGCATCCACATAGCAGAAAGTCACGACAGACGCCCTCCGGTGCTCTTCAGGTGATGCTTTGTCCTCAATAGCGGCTTCCAAGCCCCAGATGGTGTATTAGATGATTGCGCGGTTTGAAACATATTACTTGCGCCGCACAAGGCGTGCAAATGTGACTCGCAACATGGAGCCGGGGGCGAATGGGAGATCACCGCCTGCCAAACTAGTGTTCACGCAGTGTGCAGCCGTCAGGCTCTATAAGGGAAGGTGCACGACTGGCAGTCAGCCGCGAGCAACTGAAGCGAACAAGGAGTATTGGGATGTGTAGAGCGAGCGAGCTAAGAGGTGCGACAGTGAGGCTGGGATGCAGTGGTGGTGGTGAAGGCGCCGTAGAGGCTGCCTGCCCCGCTATGCCCCGCTAATTTCGCCGAACTCGACCTTGATGCCATCACGCCGTCTGGCGCTGCTTGCTCAATTACTGCACACCCGCGCCAGCCCCTGTTTTGACGATCGACAGGCCTGCATTAACGGCCGTCTACACTGCAGCGCCGCGGACATATTGTGGGCAGTGTGCGGCGTGCGACTGGCCGGGATGCAGGGGTGACTTCGAGGCTGCAGATGACCCATCACCAGCCTTTCTCAGCACACCATCAGAACGACTCCTAGCCGTCATGTGTCGGCCCAATCCCCACGCGGCCTGTCATCCATCCCGATTTGCCTTGGAATTCTGCCCTTAACGCGTCCACGCTGAACTAAGCTTTCCGTCGACTTCCGCTAACGTAGGATGGCTGCAGCGTGCAGGTTGCACGACGGGCTGCATGAGCCGCCGATTGTCCCCCACAGCATCTATATAACTACTACATGTATCCTCTCTCGGGTTCTCATTGCCCAATGCTCTTGGAAGTGATCTTGAACAGGATACCTCAATCCTAATCAGTCTTTATTGCCATTCTTCCCATTAGGCAACGGATAGGCACCACCATCTCTTGTCTCAGTTTATGATTCATTACCCTCCGCCTACTACGAGTCCGCTGCGCCTCGGTGATAAGAACACGCGGCTCTTCGAGAGGCCGTATGCAAGAGTCACGTATATAACCCCCGCGCACGCATCTCGATCCAGTCTTTCCAATCCTGTTGGACCTACTTAACCCCGCCGTCGCTACTGCATCCTCGATCCTCCAGGTCCCGAAGCATCACTGCCTCAGGTATCCACCGGCATCCAAGCCGGATAGGACCGAAAGCTTGCAACCCGTTGCCGTCATTCAGACTGAGCCGAACGCCACCTCGTACATCAAGCGTCTTCTCACCTGCTTCATATCAGCCAGATCTATCCTTTCAGCCATGCCATCCTACCTCAGGCAGAGTCAGAGCTCGAGGTCTTACTCCTTCCCTCCATGCCTCGACAGCCTGGACTACTCTTCACAGTCTGAGAATGAACTACCCGACATTGATGAGGAGCCCTTCGCGCACTTTCTAACCCCACTCACGGACGAGGACGATCCCTACGGCCCACTGTCGTTGAGTGCAGGCATCTTCGCTCCCAACACGCCTCGCACATCCAAAGCCTCAAAATTCAAGTCCAACGTGGCCGACAAGTGGGCTCGCTATGTTAAGGGCAATCACACACAGCTGCATAGCCGTTACCATGTCCCTCAGCTCCAGACTCTGGACGAGGACGATGAGTCCTTCATGCAGCTGGAGGACGATCGCCTCAACGACACACCACACATGGTCACGCATATCGCAACACCCAGGATCACCATCACCGAGCCCACTCGCGGCCGTGCACAAGAGCTTCTCACTCGGCGGTCGCGCCGGCGGTACTCGAGAACTCTCTCAGGCCATCGCCACTCGTGGAGGGAGCCGAGTCCAGACTTGTTCACCGTAGACGAGTCAGAATCAGAGGAGGACGACATGCCAGTCCTCCGTCGCACCAAAACAAAGAAAAGCAGAGACAGCCTCGGAGGACGACGGTCTTCGCGATCACGCGTCCGCTCCGAGATTGCGGAAAAGTCCAGACTGTGATCATGGGACGCACACAAGAGGGGGCAAGAATGTGACACAACAGGGCGTTTGGAGGGCACGAGTTGGGATATCATTTGCATTGGGCGGCGTGTCGGCGCGCACTTGATTTTATTGTGGCATTTCTACGGCGTTGGTGGCTTCGCATTCGCATACTGAGCATTTCTGGCGGCACGTTTGACTTTGGCTATTTCTAGGTTGCATTCGTGCATTGCATCGAGCGGCGTTGGGGAGTGAGCATTTTACATATCTTGGGTTTACAGACGCATCGTGCGCAAATGGCATGCCTTTCGCTATACACCGAGACCATCGTCCTTTGCAGTCGTGCCTCCGTTTCCATTTCGGCGCCTCTGTGTCACCATGGATGTGCACAACCCACGCATTATTCGAGATCATCGCAAGACCGCTCGTCAATAACCGTAACAGGTTCCCTTCACCTTTGATAGTCGTATGGCACCCCACAGTAAGTGCTGCTAGCTGCGAACGCTAAAATAGCTGCAGGGCATGGTGCCCTGCGTCGCCAGTGTCTGCTGCATCGTGACCTCATCCGCCGAAGTAGCGCCTTTCTACACATGCGATCGCACAGGTGCAGCGCGCTTGCCGCGCACACGTTTACTTCTCGATTGTTCGACGTGGTACTATCGCGCTGCATGCCTCTCCACAAAAGTGCTTTTCACAGGTGATCTTCTCCACAAAGTTCACGACGGACGTTGGTTTTTGGAAGGCAGGCGTGGCGGGGTACGGAGATCTGTGGATCTTTCACTGCTGGAGCTTCACAGCGGTTAAGATTGGGTAAGTGGGTCGTCCCGAATGCGGAGGTCTATGCGTCGCAATGGCTGCATTTGTCCTGGGGTGTTTGACTAGAGCTGCATTGTTCGAGTAGAGTTGTATGAGCAATGGCAGCGAGTGAGACACCGTAATACCGGACTGTGTCGCAAAAGCGGACAGTGTGGATGGAATATCCATCATGCAACACGTCCTGTTGAAACGTGTCTCGTACCAAGCTTATCGTCCGTCAAAGTTGCTTCGATCGTCGAGATAATCACAATCTCTCCGCAGTACTGCCGTAGATGTGCGAAACGGATACTCGGCTGCGCATCTTCTCTCGGTAACGAAACCAGCCTTGCAGGAAGCAATGATCTTCCAGTAATTTCCCCCACGATTCGTAAGAGACGATTGTCCAATCGAGAAAGTACGTACATGTGTTATAATGCGGATAGACATCATTGAGGGATTGCACCCATGTTCTGACAGCTTGCCCTGCATGTGTACAGGTGTGGCGTCGGAAGAAACGGCCTCGTGCAGCCTCGTAAGCCTCGTGCTTAAAAGCCAAGATTGATGTAGTCGGAAGATGATCGCTAGGCCTCAGTGGGTAATACGTGCATGGGGTGCACTACGCTTGCGCCGGGACGATGCACTATGATGTCCACACCGCTGTATATTGCCAGGCGTTCTGCCTATAAGTATTTGGATATACGTTGTACTGAATGCCTCCGCGGCCTCCGCGGCCGAGTGAGTGAGGACCATGGTGGGGGACATGTAGTATTACGTCGGTATATGTACCCTGGGTATGCATGATGCGCGACTCCGGAGGCTTTTGGACGCTCATCTCATTATCCCAAGTCGACCCTTTACTGTCGCTTCGTATTGTGCATACCTGTCCGCTACCTCCCAAGTATAAAGAGCTAAGCCTGTGTTCTTCTCTGTAGACATACTTTTGCCAGTAAGCCTGCACATAGATCTGATATTCATTCTTGATCGTTGCGTCTGGTGTGCTATGGTGATTCCAAGTGACTTGATATCATACAGATGTCCAGAGCATTGGAAAGGCCCCTCACATAGTCTCTGTACCAAGGAAGTCATATGAGAGCGCCACTAAGTGCAGTGCTCCGTCGTTCTTACCTTCAAGGGTTACACTTGCAGACATGGCAACGTTGTTCGTCACCTCTTTCCAGCGGACTTGTCTGGCTGCACATCAACCTCATAGAACAGTGCTGCTAATAATGAGCTCTTCCAAAGTCTGTAACTCTCCACGTCGCAAGTTTCAATCATCACCAGGAACAGGAATATGCCAGTAAGCGATATCATAATCACAGGGAATGTGATCCATTTCCACCGTACCCGCACGCAGTTAGTGGTGTACCACATATTTCCTTGAGCGTGCCGGGATAGGACATTGCTGCCGCGTGTGCGTATCAAGTTGGTCATCGTTCTTGTGACTTCCCCCATCTTCGCGTTAATGTGTCCAAGGAATCGCTGCCTGGGTATCCCAAGGCGAGTTACCCGTCCTCGTCTTCGTGCAGACCATAGAGCTAACGTAGTTGAAGTGGCCGACTCACAGTCCTTCGCCAGTAGATAAGTCTTTGACGGTCAAACAGGCTCTAGAAGGTTCTGTGGATTCCTTCGGTAGGTCCTTATAGAAGGACCATATGCAGTCATCAGGATAATGCCAGATCGTGTCGTGGTCATACATCAATTTCCGTTGCCTGAAGGATCTTCGACTAACTTCTCGCCGATCTTCTTGTCGAAAATCTCCATCCCTGGCTGTGGATCCGGCGAACCTGTACAAAGCTTCTGAGAACTATCGCGTAGCATATATGTTGTTGACATCCAAAATCCATCGAATGCTTCAAGCTTGGAATCTCCAGTATAGTTGCCGCCTTTCATATCGATGTAGCTGACTCCTGGTATTCGGGTACTGTTGACGATCTCTTCTTCCAGTACTCCGTTCGTGATATTGACTCCATAGGTGTTCGCAGAGGGATACAGTTTACAATGCGCAGCGGAGTATTCGATACTGTGTAGTTCTTCCTGAACAACAATGTGAAATCCGCAATATGACGAGGCGAACTCTCTACATATGCTCATGCTGTGGTGGACATATCCACCACGGCGTCGCCATAAGTCGCTAGGAGCTCGCCCGGCTCATGCGTGCGGAACAAAAGTGGCGTCAATTTTTTTTTCTTGATTTCCAACGGTTATAACAGGCACGATTTCGTTGTGTTCGTTCGTGATACTGAGATTATTCATGTACGTGGTCACGTCTTCGCAGCCGTGGCTGGATAAAAAAGACACTCCGTCGGTAGATGAAAATGAACAATCACCGCTTGAGCAGCCTCGAGAAAAGACACTAATCTGGTCTCGGACAAGTTGGATGAGACCAACGTTCACGGCAACTGCCAACGGATTGTACTCATCATAAAGTCCTGGAGCAATTTCCATCCTTGAAGCATTGGACAGATTAGTCTTTGCCACAGTCACAAGTGTAGTATCATTGCGCTGTGAACATATCTCAAACTGAAGCAGCTTCTGTGCGAAGGAGTCAGTGAGAGACACCATGATGGTTACAAGGGCCCCTAATACAGCAATCAAACTAGCTACAATAACTCTAGACCCTAGGGGAGTATAGGATACATAATATGCTCGCTTTGGTCTGAGATTACAAAGCATAAGGATGGAGCCCCAAGGCCCTCGCTTCGCTGCATCGAAATGCACCATACCATTCAGACGCCGTGACTGGCGATGCCATTGCCATTTCGATTGGCTGATGCCTAAGCCTATTAGACAATACAGACGTGAACAACAGTATAGTTACCTTCTGCAAGCACAAGGCTTATGACCGCTCGCATGGGTAGGGAGAATAGAGACACAATGGAGTTGATGGTGACAAGCTGTGGCCACTTGGGGTTGGGCTTATTCTGATGAGCCATGAGCGTGGCCACGAGCCCAGCAAATGTCAAGACTGAGAAAACAAGAATATGGGTCTCAGCAGTCCAGCTCTTTGTCCACAATCGTGCGCATTGTCAAGTGAAACGCTTCCCCGATGTGCCTATACAGCGCCAATGGAATTTAATGAACGCAGCTACGGCCCCAAAGACTGCGCCTGGTTTCGGTAGGCGGTTTCGGAACCGTTGAGGCTAGAGAGCCTCAGAAGTAGCAGGTGGTGCAGGATGGGGTCCTTGAGTAGAGCTACTGACCTGTTCGCCTGTAGGGTCCATGTTGAGCAGAGGCTGCGCCGAAGGCTCGCGTTCGTCCATGTTCTGATAATGAGGACGTGTTCGGCAGTGTGGGGCAGTTTTAAAGGATTTTATTTGGTTCACAACAACCTTTGAGCTTCATATTATATGTAAGATGTTTGTGTGAAGAGGTCTGCGAGGTAAATATACTCTAGGGTTCTGTGCATCGTAGCCCTTTGAGCACGAGCTTCGATAGGCTCCTTTGGTCGCACAGACTGACTTGTTCCGTACGTGGATTCCTCGAACGGATTTCAAAAATGTACCAAAGCCTGAGGCTTTCCAAAAGACCTTTCACTAGGCTGGTTCCCTCGACCAGCAATGCGGAACATGGCAGCGGCTGGTAGACACGATGATGAGAAGAACATCTCGCCTAGCTCAGCGCGAACACGTAACGACCAAGACCAAACAGTCATCTGTAGACTGTGCAAGGCCGAAGGATGAAGTAGCTGAGATCAGGGCTATGCCTTGTGTGCAACCCTTGGTGACAGAGTAAATGTACGAGCTACTCTGAAACAACGGCATGCGCGATCAGTCTTTGTCCACCTTGAGTTTTTTAAGAACCGACGCAGTTTCGTCAACCACCACGCTTTCGGCAGTATTGTAGTCTTGATCAGCCCCAAATGCGATACCTTCGCAACCACCATCATCGTCGAAATGTACGTCGATAAGTTCTTTCGCGACCCAATGGGCCGTCTTCGCGTGTAAGCTTGGTTCCAAAAGAACTTCTTTCCTCTTCCCACCGTACACGTTGCTCTTTCCTACAGCCAACGCCTGGAACACTACAAGCTGATCCCGCATGTACTCATCCGCACATCCTTCATGGTCCAGCTCCTCGATAAGGTCGTTGAAGACTTTCTTGACGATGCTTGAGATGATTGAATCGATCTTGCCCACCCTTACAACATGGTCATATAGCCAGTCACGGCCAAGTTTGACTCCAGTCGTTGTAGTCGCAACTAACAGAAGGTAAAACCTCTTCTCATGCATCGAGTCTTCGAAGGTAATTTGCACATCTGGCTGCGTGCTCCGGAACATCCCTTCCTCCCGTCGCTCAAACATGACGTCCACCTCATCGCGGAACCGCTGCTCTGCTTCCTTTGGCGCTATTATGGTCGCTCGAATACTCTTAACGTCGCCTCGTTCGAATAGTTGGAACGCCGGGAGCGGCTTGGTTAGCGGTGTAATGCTGTACGTGACGCTTCCTAATCTCGCACCGCCCTGTGACCATCCTCGTGAATGGATCTGGGTTTCGATTGGTGGAATGCCAATGAGCGATAGCATAGGTGCCAGAACTTGCTCGACGTAATCGCAACTTGGTGAATTCGACACATTCGTCCCTCCTGTTATCTTCACTCTGATTTTCTTCTTAACTTTGGCGTCCGCACTGCCGATGTTTGCAAAGAGTATGTACGGTAAGACGGCTTGAAGCACCAGGTTGACGCTACCGGGCGTGTTCTGTTTGATGTGAACGTCGCCGCCGTTCCGCCACTCCAATCCACTTGCGATTCTACTTTGAGGCGTGAATGTTATCTCCTTGCTTTTCAAACCGACGCCAGACATGCGGGCGTTGGAGGCATTTCCCAGCCATTGCACGGAAGTGAGGTGCTGCGCCTTGAGACCGCCACCACCGAAGCGCTTGCCACGGATAGTGGTGATGTTTATGGGTGTGGATGTTAGGGCGGAGAGGCAGGTTGCGAGTCGAAGGAGTTGGCCGCCGCCCTCGAGGGTGGTGCCTTCCAGATGGATTGGATTCGCCATTGTGTTTTGATCAATAGATGTGCACTGGAAGCGTGGACAAAAGAAAGTCAAGAAAACGAATGTATTAAAGAAGTGGAAGAGGGGTCAGATGTGAGACAGACTCGCTGACAGAATGTGAGTCGAGATAGGTTTGACAGACGAACAGTCATAGATGTGGCTGTGGCTGTGCCTGGCAACCACAGCAGGCGCGATTGCGCATACTATGCCTTTTCGCATAACTTGAGAGACGAATGCTCAAGTGGGTCTGGACAAAGGTTTTGATTTTGTAGCCTTGCCTCTTCAATCGTCTGCTCCGCTTGTTGATGGGCGCTGTGTTTGAGGCCTACAGATGGCAGGCACCAAGGCAAGCACACAAGTTGAACACACCTGCCAATGGCGGTCTTTCGAAAGTATTACCCTAGGCCAAAATTCGAAGTAGTGATGTGTACAGCCTGCGAAACCTGCGCGATCTGTCCCACGCGTCAATACAGACGAGCGCGTCAAGCAATCGGCGCGGGCAGACCCGACGCCGGCGGCCGCGGCTCACATCAAATCGTCATCCCGTATTTTCACCGAGATTCTGCTCGGAGCTCTCCTGTCATCGACCCCTCGTGTCTGTCCACGAACAATATGTTGCATGTGCCTACGCGTTCTTTCCTTCCATCCTGCAGCAGGTAGAGCCTACCCTACCGCCCCCCCGCGCGCCATGCGCAACTCAATGACTTTCGCGGCGAAGGCCTGGCACGGTGCCGGCAACGGAGCTCTCTTCGCCCAGATACAACCCCGGATACACGCCGCATCGCCCGCAACATCACGATCGCTCGCATCGTCCTCGAAATCCTCGATCCTCTCGCGCGCTCTGCGCCTCGCACCACCGCGAGCGCTTTCGCTGACAGCCGCGGCTACCACCCGGAACAATGGCCTCGACCGCTCGATCCGCTTTTTCTGTGCATCGCGAGCGCTGCTCGACGTCAAGCAAGATGCAAAGCCACCGGCTAAGCTGCGCAAGTCGTACAAGCAGGAGCTGGCGGACAAAGGCGTGGTGGATGTAGAGGAGCACGAAGGCGAAGCCGAGGACATGGGCTTTGTGAAGTCGGAGAAGGCGAATGCAGCCGCGAAGGTCAATCTGAGCGCAAAGCTCTCCAAGGAGGGCGCGACGGCAAACAGTGCAGGAGGAATGAAGGAGATGTGGCGCTTGATCAAAATTGCCAGCCCCGAAGCAAAGTCGCTGGGCTTCGCCTTCGTCTTCCTGCTCCTCTCGTCGGCCGTCAGCATGTCGGTGCCTTTTTCCATTGGCAAGATTCTCGACATTGCAACGCAGCCCGAAGGCTCCAAGGAGCTGCTCTTTGGCATGGACATCAACACTTTCTACGCAGCCTTGGCGGCAGTGCTTGCAACCGGCGCCGCGTGCAATTTCGGTCGCATCATCATTCTCCGAGTCGTTGGTGAGCGCATTGTTGCCCGTCTGCGATCTCAGCTCTACCGCAAGACCTTCATCCAGAACGCCGAATTCTTCGACGCGAACCGAGTCGGTGACCTCATCTCCCGTCTTGGGTCGGACACGATCATCGTTGGAAAAGCCATTACGCAGAACCTGTCTGACGGCCTCCGCTCCATGGTGGCCGGCGCCGCTGGTTTCGCCATGATGGGCTGGGTTAGTCTGAAACTCACGGGTATCCTCGCAACGATTGGTCCTTTTGTAGCAATTTCCGCCTTCGTTGCTGGACGACAACTGCGCACCCTCAGCCGGAAGATCCAAAAGAATCTCGGTACTCTGACTAAGGTTGCTGAAGAGCGATTGGGCAATGTTCGAACTGCGCAGGCATTCGCTGGTGAAGTTACCGAAGCTGGACGCTACAACCGTCAAATCAAGAGGATATTCGCGCTTGGAAAGAGAGAAGCTTATGTCGCCGCCACCTTCTTTGGTGTGACTGGTCTTATGGGCAATCTTACCGTCATTGCTGTACTTTACGTCGGAGGCGGCATGGTCAAGTCTGGAGCTATCACCATTGGTGAGCTGTCCTCGTTTCTGATGTACACCGCATACGCCGGATCTAGTATGGTTGGCCTTTCTGGCTTCTGGGGTGAGATGATGAAGGGTGTTGGAGCCGCCAGCCGTCTTTTCGAACTGCAAGATCGCAACCCTACGCTTTCGCCCACGAAAGGCTTCCCAGTGAAATCCGCAAGAGGGCCTATTGAATTCAAGAACGTTACGTTTAGCTACCCGACGAGGCCTGCGGTCAACATCTTCAAGGATCTTAACTTCAAGATTGAACAGGGCACCAACGTTGCCATCGTCGCACCCAGCGGAGCTGGCAAGTCTACCGTGGCTAGCTTATTACTCCGCTTTTATGTACCAACTGAGGGCACCATTTCAATCGACGGACGCGATATCACAACCCTGAATGCGAAGCAACTGAGGAGGAAGATAGGCTTCGTGGGGCAGGAACCTGTACTATTCTCCGGAACGATTGCTGAGAATATCGCATACGGGGTTCCCAACGCCACTCGTGCCGAGATCATCGCCGCTGCTCGCAAAGCTAACTGCACGTTCATCGGCGACTTCGTAAGTAACTCCCAGCAGTGTCGAAGTGGATATGCTAACTCGTTATAGCCTGATGGTCTCGAGACTCATGTTGGTGCCCGTGGCACTCAACTCTCAGGTGGTCAGAAACAGCGTATTGCTATTGCGCGCGCGCTTATCAAGCAGCCTGACATTCTCATCCTCGACGAAGCTACAAGTGCTCTCGACGCCGAATCCGAGACCTTGGTCAACCAAGCATTGGGTAAGCTTCTGCAAGAGAAGAATACTACTATCAGCATCGCGCATCGTCTCTCTACTATCAAGAGGTCCGACCGCATCATTTGCATCAACGCCGATGGGCAGGTTGCTGAGGAAGGAACATACGAAGAGCTTACTTCCAACCCCACCGGCGCATTCAACAAGCTCATGGAGTGGCAGCTGAGCGGTGGAGAACCGCACCCCCGTATTGAAAGCCCGAGACCCACCGAGGTGGAGGAGATCGAGCAAGAGCTAGATGAAGCCGCAGATGAAGCCGCAGACGAAGAGGAATCGGAGCGCGTGAAGAGACGCATATAGTGCATGCCCCGTCGAAACATTTCGAGATGATACGGAGCATCGGAGGGTGCTGCACGAGTAGTCAGTTGTTGAGGGATGACCATGAGGAAGTCCACTTTTCGCAATTTGTCGCGAGGGGTTACATGCATCGTGGCATCACGAGCTGGCCCATCCTTGACAGCATGTCAGGAGATCGTTCGGCACCTCCCGGGTTCCTGCAGCGCAAAATCAGCTTTTGGAGTTCAGCAGGAGTCAGAAGACTACTGCTACTGGGGTTTGACATGAGGTGGCGCCACATGTAGCTTGGCGAGTCACACCACCGCCTGCATACAATACTGATGCGCGCAACACCATCAGGATATCCCTCACGGCGTTTTGAGACTACGGTGGATCATATAGACCAGGTGGAGATGTTTGCATTGTATATTAGTCCCCTCTCCCTCTTCGATACCTAGCATCAGCATCTTCATATTATTTCGTAAATACCAAATTCACTGCAACACCTCTTCGAGTGTACCAGGGGTGAAAACACCATGTCCAGCTTCGGTTACTACGCGTTTGGTGGCGCCTACGGCTCCAATTCGCAAATGCTCGACTGCACGCACACTCCGCACATGCACTACTATTCCGACGAGATATTTCATTTCAAGGAGTGGTTGCACATGCCGTCGTCGTTGCGAGCGAGCAAAACAACAGCGGTGAAAACCAAGGGCTCGGCCAACGAGCAAAGTAAAGCGTCACGCCAGCAGGTAGGCTGCCAACGCTTTCCAAGTCCAACCTGGGTGACTAAGAGCCATGATCTAGAAAAGTTATTAGGGATGCGAGCCTGAGCTCGAGAGTGCGCGAGGCGGTGGTGTGTCAGCGGCATAAATGTGGATGGTGATGTCATGGAGATATCCAGCTCCAGACGCGTTCGGCGCACGTAATAACGACGTGACGGTAATAACGACGTGACGGCATTGTCCAGATGCGCGCATCTGCTCTTACCCAATCCCATGCCCGCGTACAAATACGCGTAATCCCCAGTTTGTAACAAACCTACCATGTTCAGAACTTCTACAACCATCGCACAACGAGCGACTATCAGCTGCAATCCACGCGCATTCCTACTACCGATCGCAAGCCAAACCCGTTGTTTCAGTGGAAGCAGAACGATGTCGGAGCAAAGCAAGGTCCAGGAGTATAAGCAGGCGGGCAACAGGGAGAATAAGCCGCCGAAGCATGAGGCGGTGTACTTCAAGAGGTTGATGAGCGAGAAGAGGGCGTTCGGGGATTTCAGGACGGTGTTGCATACGGGGCTGTATTCGCAAATTGTCGCAATGGAGGTCCCTGTTGGCGGAGAAATCGGTGACGAAGTATGCTTTCTTCCCAGTTCCTAACCTGCACTTGCAAGTCCGTGCCGTGCTCGCGTTGTTGGTCTGTGAAAGTTGATGTGTGCTAACAGGGCGTGTTTGCAGGTGCACCTCGTCGACCAGATCCTCCTCTTCACCTCGGGCAAAGGTCTGGCGACCGTGGCAGGTAAAGATCAGGAAGTCAACGCAGGCGACGTGGTCGTTGTGCCGGCTGGCACCCAACACCAGTTTGTAACGCGCGGAGACCAGCCGCTGGAGCTCCTCACTGTATACTCGCCCGCCGAGCACGACCCGAAGACGGTGCACAAGACTAAGGAGATTGGCGATAAGGAGGAAGACGAGGGCAAGGACGAGGCGCCAGAATGGAGCAACGCGAGTAAAGACGAAAACGAGAAGAAGGGGTTGGTGAAGGAGAGCGGGAAGTACTAAGCCCGCGTGGAAAGTGGAGGCAGCGTTCTTTGCATGCAAATGAGCCTTGGCCGGTCAGGCTATCGTAATCGTCGCCATGAATGTATATACTTGGGGATAATGTATAACACTATTGACATCACAAATGTGTGCTGGTCCGTGTTTGTGACTTGGCCTCGCTATCAGATCGCCTGCGATCTGATTGTCTCGATGTAGCCCATTGGATACCCCACAGTTACCGAGAATGAGAACCGTTGGGTTAAGGTCCTCGCGGAGCCTACTGCGCGTGTCCACTTGAGCCGAGAACCAGCCACCGATGTCGCACCGCACTTGTTGGTGGGGCGAACAATGAATGGCGCATGTATCGAAGGCATGCAAACGCCGATGGGTTCTGCGTGCTTGTGAACGTGGGTGCTCCTGCCCGTCTGATCACGATGTAATGTGCCACCCTTGTGCGCTGCCAGATCAGGGAGTACCCAGCGCCATGGTATGACTCGATCTGATAACTTTCTGTGGGTAACGGGATTCCACGCCGAGCATCATGAGATCAGATAAGGGTGGGTCCCACACAGCTCGCGAGCTCTGGCTCGCCGAACAACTATGGTACGCCAGAAGAACCTTGCGGCGGCTTCCGCGTGTCTTCAGGGCTTAGCCGCGGCGACTCCGCGGCAAGCCATCACGAAGGAAACATGCACAGGTTCATACCGACACCGTGTTGGAGACAATGGTACTTGAATGCAACAAGCAATAGAAAAACCGCCGATGGAGAAGGGTCACGGCAGCGTCCATGATGGTTGTGGGGCCGCTAAGCTGTACCCCAGGGCTTGGAGAGTACCCAAATAGCCAGCAGCACAGGGCGCTGGTACGTGGACGTCGCGGGAAATGGTTGTCAAGTCATGGCATGATGCTGTGCTGTTTCGAAACGGTGCGCTCGGACCGACGCGAGGCAGTGGTCCGATTCGACGCGCCACCGTCTTGCGTCGTCGTGCGTCGACTGAGCGGTATGCTTTGCGGTGAGATGCAGGGCAGGGCGGCGAGAGCTGCCCGGTCGGGATAGTGGACCCAGCAGCAGTCGCGTCGGGAGGAGCAGGCCAGAGGAGCAGGCGACGGGGACGGCGAGCGATTGCTAAGGCATCACTAACAAGGTGTGCGTCTCCGGCCACTTCCATGGAGCTTCTAGAGCGCGCGGGAGATACGAGCGTCACTCGGGCAGATGCGCGGTCTGCTGCGCATACTGCCGCGATCGAGAGCCAGTCGGCAGCCGCACGCATTGTTGGGCGCACGCAGGCTCTGCGCGGAACAGGGAGAAGGCGGGAAAGCAGCCCAGCTCCGCGGCTCGCCTCGCGGCCGATGAGCCCTCTGCTTCTGGTTCTGCCCATCTATGCCGGATGCAAGAAAGCGAGCGAGGGCCCGCCACGGCCGTCCGAGCTCGTCATCACCAGTCACCCACCCCATTCTCCTCACAGCTACTCCTCTTATAACACCGCCAGCACCCCAGCACGCCTGACGAGGCCCTACCACCGTGTCGCCAATCCATCCTTCCCACGCCTTGTTGCGGCGCCTGTCGCTCCTTCACCCCCGTTTGCCACTGCGAGGTGAGCCAATCCCAATGCGCCCCACGATCAGATAACAAAATTATCTGATTCACATCTGCTGCACGGTCCGAGGGCTTACCCAAGCACGCCGACCCGATGCGCAATCAATTCACCACCTAGGGAGACACGCCTGCCGAAGCTGCTGTTCCCTTGTTACTGAGTCAGGCTTGCTAACATGGCCCACGTTAGCTCGCGTCAGTGTCGCGCCTTCAAAAGCGCTCCTCCTCCGCCTGCCTTCCCGCCTTCTCGCCCACACCTCGCCCGCAATGGACACACACAGCCCCATACCGACGACCGCAACCTCGCATCCCGACGACCCAATTCCCTGTGAGCCACGCAACGTCCCTGAGCTCACCCTGAAGCCCTCGAGCCCGCAACAACACATCGAGCACACGTCGCCGCAGTCGCTCGGCGAGTCCATGATATGGAGCAACACCAGCAGCGACGACTCCGAGGCGCCATTGACGCCCAACACTGAGCCGGAGCGCCAGATGGACGAGATCGTCGACAAGTTGCAGGAGTTGCCCGCCGCGACCGTCAATTTCAACGAACAGCCGCGCCCTCGCCGCGCCTCCACCACCCTCATCTCAGAGAACCCCTCCGATATTCGGAGAATACTAGGCGATGGCGAGACTGCCACCCAGCTCATCAGCCAATGTTGTGGAGGCGGGTGCTGCTTGCTCAAGACATTGGCACCCGATACCGCGTCACCCAACTTCCTGCCCGTCGTCATACCGGACAACAAGGCCTTCAGAAGCTTGAATCTGAAATTGGGACCCCTGGCACTCGACAGCGAGCTCACAGATACGACGCCGCTGCCTCCGGTCAACATGTCTTTTGATAAGCTGCCCACGGCAGAGACCAAGCATGTTTCCAGAGTCCACAAAGAACCTCCCACATACATGAAGCCGCACCCGCCCTACGACGTGTACTCGGCGCCTCTCTACCACGCCCGCGAATTGACCAAGCCTGGTGCCGAGAAGAGAACCTTCCACTTCGACATCGACGTCACAGATTACCCGGATGAGGGCGGTGTCGAGTTTAAGGTCGGAGGGGCCATTGGTGTCTGCCCGCCAAACTCGCAGGATATCGTCGATGAACTTTTTGACGTGCTCTGCATTCCAAAATTTGCTCGCGACAAGCCAGTCACTCTCAAGACGTATACTGGTCGCTGGCCTACCATCTGGGGAGATGAGAAAGCACGCGAGCTTGTCACCACGCGTCGAGAGCTACTCACCTGGTGTGTAGACTTGCAATCGTTCCCTCCCACCAAGCACCTGCTCCGGCTCATGGCCGAACATGCTGATGCGCCAAACGAGAAGAAGATCCTGATGTACCTGAGTTCGGCACAGGGACAGGCCGCCTTCTGCGATCTCCGCACGACATCTCACCTCACCATTGCTCAGCTTCTCAGCGCCTTCCCATCTTCCAAGCCTCCTCTACCCGCGTTGCTCTCAAACCTCAATCAGCTCATGCCACGTTTCTACTCGCTTTCGAACGACCCTCACGTTTCCGCCGCTCGTCCCGGCCTACCAGGAAACCGCCGCCTTATCGAGGTGGCCGTCACTATCCACGAATCCCCCGACTGGCACGCTGAAAATGGTACTCGGACGGGTGTGGGCAGTGGCTTCATGGAACGCCTAGCTCTTCAGTTCATCAAGGCAGAGAAAGAGGGAATCGACCCAGGCGTTCTTGATCTCCGCGTACCCATGTTCCGTGGACTCATGTCCAACCCGCTCTCACGCCAGTTTGGTGGAGACGGCCCAATGGTGCTCATTGGTGCTGGTGTGGGCATGGCTCCCTTCCGTGGATTCATCCTCAACAGATTGAAGAATGCCAACTGCGCAAACAAAATTTGGCTCATTCAAGGCGTCCGCGACTCCATGGTAGACGAGCTTTACTCTGGCGAACTCGGCGACCACGAGCGCGAAATCAAGAAGGTTGTCCAGAGCCGCAAGGTCAAGGTCGGGGCAAGCGACGCCAAGTACGTCCAAGACGAGGTGCGTCTTCAGGCCGACATTGTCTGGTTTGTTGTCAACGCCCTCGACGGTCGTATCTTTGTATGCGGAAGCAGCAAGGGTATGGGCGAGGGTGTGGAGCAGGCTCTCGTGGATGTGGCCATGCAAAAGGGTAATCTCAGTGAAGCCGAGGCTCATGAGTTCTGGAACAAGAAGAAGGAAGACGGTCAATACATCGCGGTAAGTCCCCCTTACTGGCTCGTGAGAACCTTACTGACAATTTATAGGAAACTTGGTAAAATTGACTGACTCAACTATCGACGCACGCCGCAACGATCGTTGGAACTGTAAATACTGTATTACAATGCACTGTCGCGCCTCGCCCGCGCCGATACCTCATACGCGTAATCATTTTGGGCATTTTTGGAGTTTTGGAGAAAGAAAAGTAGACTAGAAAGCTCAAGCTACCTGCCGTATTTCTTGATATATACGTTCGTTGGGCTGGGTGGAACCTGCTTCTCTGGACTATCGATTTGCATGTAATCCATGGCATGGCGTTTTAGGTTGGCATGGCGGAGGTGTTCTTGGTTTTGATTTTGGGCGGATTTCGTGTAGCGTCTGCTGGTACAATGAAGACCAATCGAATCATGCTGCAGCAATTTGGCTGAGTGCTGTCATACTGGGACTTTGGATGTTCATCGGAATAGAGCGCATGCCTCCGGGATGACAGGGGCACGAGGGTCCACCTGCCATCTTTCGATAATTTCCACTTGACTGTCTCCATTCGCGCTCCCCGACTTGACATCTAATCACAACTGAGAGGCTTCCACGTGCTAGCTGAGTAAAAAAGAAAATCTATGTTCCCAACCTGCCGCGTCGCTATGGACTTCAGCACCTCAAACTAAAACGACGCGACACGTTAATCAATCAAGATAGCTGTTCGCAGACGTGACCCCGCCGAGAGCAAGCCAAAGAATATGGAGAAATGTGGTTACCTACTAGGTCTGTGTCCGCAGAGGCTTTTAATCGACCCGCTTGTGTAACCGCCCGGCAGTGTGGCGGCTCACGGGAATGTAAATGGAAGTCGGCGAGGCGGGCAACTAGACAGGGGCACCCAAGATGAACTGTTTCGGACACCACGAGAGATCGAGATGCGCCATCAAATAAGCAGACCCATCGCCGTCGGATTTGACGTTCGGATACTATCTCAACAAGTTTCTTGCTTCTCTGACTCGTCGAAGGCTTGCTTCTTCGAAGCTTCCTGAGGGTTGCGACCACAAAGTCAGTCAGCTACTTTCATCACCAACTAGGTTATCCTTGCGACATATACTAATCAACGAGATCAGCTCTCCCTATCTCCTAACATTCGCACAACCGCCACGCTGCCAAGATCGACGTACCAATCCCCCATCCTGTGTGACATTCCCCCAAGGCTTCCGGTCGTTACAGTCGGTGGCGGGCACCCCGTGTATCCGTGATCATGGCCCTGAGCCGCTGGCATGAAACATCCTCTGAGGATAGTCCTCCCGCATGTTAAAGCTGAGCGCATAGCCACCCGCATGCGCGTACGGTGATCTTAACAGACATTCTTCTTTTTGCATGGCATCTTAGCGCATCGACCGTTACAAGGTCTACTGTACACGGCACCATGACTCGCTCAGCGATACTATCACCAGCGTTGCTTCTCGGAGCAAAGGCATTCGCGGCATACGACAAGTTCCACTACACCACCGAGGCTTCAAATTGGCCTTGTCCGGGAATGTCATGGAGTTGCATCGCGCCGTCGATATGCGCTCACGATGGTCTGACCGATCTGTACAACTGCTGCGATACGGATGCGGAGGATGCAGTCTGTTGGAACAACGCGACACCGTGTGAGGGAGAGGAGGAAAAGACGCCGGCTTCAAATCAGATTGGGTGCTCGAGCGGCGCGAATGCTTTCTGCTGCTTGAAGGGAAGGTAGAATCTTGTACAACACCATCGGAAATGTTCAGCGCTAATCAACCCAACAGAGAAGAATGTACACAACGGTTTAGTGAGTGATTTGAAGAACATGGCTTCATTAATGTGTATCGCGAACAAGAAACTAACCTACTTTCAGATCAAATCAACGTATGCTGGGAAATAGCAGACGATCCATTCCGCAATGTCAGCCAGGCGAAAATGAACGCAACTTTCTCGTCACTAAGCTCTGCGAGTCCATCAGCAAGCAAACTTGCCGTTACCGACATTGCCATCCTTACCGCGACCTCTACATCAATTGCATCAACAATTACTTCAACTTCCACGCGCAAATCACGAGCCCTGTCCGCAGCAACAGACGTCTCCACATCGTCCCTCCTGGCAAACGCGCTCAACACCGCGAGCGCAGAACCCGAAGAACCCAACCCCAAGACCGGCGCCTCAGGAGGCACGATAGGCGGCGCCGTCGTCGGTGCAGTAGCCGGTATGGCGCTCATCGGCGGCGGGTTCTTCTTCCTCTTCCGCCGGGGGCGAGAATCGGACTCAGCACCGAAAGGCAGCGAGCTGGACTGTCACGGCTCGGCGAATCCTTACCTTGTGAACCAAACGCAAATGCAGTCGGTGCCACAGGAAAAGTACGCGCATGAGGTTGCGGCGCAGGCGGATTCAGAGTATCCGCCGCAGGAACTGTCGGCGACTAGTCGGCCAGCTGAGATGGATGGGAGTGGGATTCAGCCGAAGGTGCCGCATTCTTTTGCATAGAGGCGACATTGAGAGAGACGATGTGTTCTACAAGAGTACTAAAGATTACCTTCAAAGGCCTCGGGGTCATATGTTACGCAGCTAGACTAGGTACTGTCAGATGGATTTCCAGTGTCTCTAGGGCCAGCATTACACGGGGTATATAAGAGGCTGGTACTATGAGGTCTCTTCCGAAATCTCTCCAAGAGTCGTGACATTTCAAGACGCCCTTGTCAATGGAAGCATGGCAACGCTAACCCGTAGAGGCAAAAGACACGCGTGAAATCGGTTCATGCGCTTCATTACAAACCGCCAAGTTCACAGATATACATCAGACTCGATTCATAAATTCTCAGAAGACACTGCTTTCCCCTTCCAAACCCTTCTCATCGACATCCGCAATGCAATCCATCAAAACCCCCCTCTTGGAAATCCATTACCTTTCCCTCGGCCCACCGACCGGCTGGCCCGTCATTCTCTCCCACGGCTTCCCCTACTCCCCCCACGCCTACGCCAATGTCGCACCTCTCCTTCAAAAAGCCGGTGCCCGCGTCATCATCCCCTACACACGCGGCTACGGCCCGACGCGTTTCCTCTACCAAAGCACCATGCGCAGCGGCCAGCAAGCCGCCCTCGCAACCGATATCGTCGCGCTCATGGACGCCCTTGGTATTTCAAAGGCCATTCTTGCAGGGTTTGATTGGGGCGGACTCGCGTCCTGCGCGGCTGCTGCGTTGTTTCCTGAGCGCGTGGCGGGGCTGGTGAGCTACGCGGGGTACGACGTCGCGGACGTAGAGGCGCAGAAGCATGCTGTTGCGCCGGCTTTGGAGCGCGTGATGTGGTACCAGCACTTGTTCCAGAGCGAGCGGGGGAGAGAGTGCCTTTCCAAGGACAGACGTGCGCTGTGCAGGCTATTATGGGAGGAGTGGTCGCCGAACTGGGGCAGCGTTGACGAGGCGTTTGAGCACAGTGCGGAAGCGTTCGACAACGAGGACTGGGTTGATGTGGTGATACATTGCTATCGTTTTCACTTGGGGAAGGAGGGTGGGGATCCGGCAATGGACGAGCTGGAGGAGAAGCTGGCGAGGAAGCCGAAGATTGATGTGCCGACTATTACGTTGGATGGATTGGAGGATCCTTTGAAACCTGAGGGGTCGGCTAATCATGCGCAGTTCTTCACGGGAAGGCATGAGCGGTGGGAGGTGCGTTGTGGGCATGCGTTTCCTCTTGAGGCTCCGGAGGAGTTTGCGTCTGCCATCATCAAGGTACATGAGTGGTCTGAGAGTGATCAGTAACGGGATATCGTTGAGCAAACACACAATCTGTGGTCGAGTTGCCATCTCAAACATCTGAGATGCCCAGTGGATCATTGTTATCGTCTGTGGCATTCAGAGTACATGGCGGGGGTTCTCTCCGCGGTGTATGGTGAGCACATAGCATAGATCTGCGACAGTTGAGGGAGTTTTCAAGAGTCTTTATTTAGTTCTACTCGTTTTGATTGTTAGTGCGTACACCGAGGTTTGGGGGTAGATGATTGCAAGCCTAGAAAGTGTTGCCACGCGCTGTCTTAGTCTCGAGTGACAACTCACCTTGCCTGAAGCATATCTAGCTTCTAGGTAGTGTGACACAGTTTGTGGAACCCAGCCTTCTTACATTCTGTCGCGAAGCACGGTGTGTACCGGATCAACTTGATGATGGTAACCTGTACGTTCTTATATAGACACACAGCAGCTTCCGTCTTGAGACCCAAAAACGTAGATCCAACGCAGAGACACTACCACAGTCAATCAAGCAGTGGTGCGGTGCATCGGAGCCGATGCAAAAAGCAATAACCTGCAATATATATGTCAAAGTAGCTTATTCTTTCACATACGACCATAGGACACTGAAAACTAGGCTTCCCGTCCGCTCAGCCATATATAAGCAGTGTACCGGCGGATCAGTAGTTAAGTCGGTGACGATTAGCGAATCCCCGCTGTTGTATGTTTTTGTTTTTAGTGGTAGAGTGTGTGGAGTGGGTCTCGGAGCTTAGCGAGGGATGCTGGATATGATTTCTTCCCCACTCCCTCTAGCAACACTTTCAATATGGGCCCTTAACGTGGTATGATTCTACAACAATGCTTCTGGTGGTCAATGGGTGAGATCTCAGGAAGTCTTTTCCAGATTCCGCAAAGATACAGCAAGATTACCGTAATCGGCCGGTAATACATAGATGTTACCTATAGCAAAATATAACAAAGCTACCTTCCCCTTTACGTATTGTTATGCATATGGCTTGTATTCTTGTATGAGCTAACGCTGAGCTGTCAAAGTTGATGCCTGTACTCCGGGCAAAAGTGTTGCAGAATTGCCATCTTTTGATCTGCCCCCTCAGTACACTGAAGGTACGCAATCTAACATTCAGCCACTCTACCTGTCGCCCACAGCATGGTTCTGCCCGAGGCTTCTCATTTCTCTAGCTTTTTCCTCGCTTGTCGACAAATCTCCTGTGTCGCATCCATCTTGACCTTCGCTTTCTCTCCCTGGGCGACCAAGTCTTCTAGAGCCTGAACATCCTGCTGCACCACCTTGCCCCCGTGGTGAAAAGCATTGAATTCATGATACGCCAATGGCGATGCCCCTTTGGCCGGGAACTCAATCATCTTCGCCGTCACCCAAGATCCAAGGAACCATGATAGTATCCATCCAGTCCATCCAAAACGTGGCAAAGACAGGATCTCTTTCTGTGCGCGAATCAATAGCGTCCATGACTCGCCACTCCTTGGCAAGCGTGACCACTCAGGCCAGCCCTCAATGTGCCAGACAACCAGCTGCACCATGGCAATCATGACTATATCGCCGACAATGGCAGGCTGTCGTTGAATCTTCAGGCGGCCATTCTGGTTGTACACAGCTTCGATCTTCTTCGTGAGCTCTCCATTCTTGTTGACAACAGCCAGCCCCCCGTCTGCGCCAAGATGAGAATACAGCATATCCGCCTGCGCAACTAAATCTCGGTTTGCAGTTGGCGGGATGGATATCATTGGTGTAGGCTGATGTGCAAGCATACTGAAGGCAAGCACCAACCGTTCTTTTGATATGCCCATCGTGCTGGCGTAGTGCTGCTCAATATCAGCGCCAACGGCATCGTAGATAACAAAAGTCTTAGGGGCATTTCGGATCAGATCTCCGACGCTCTTCAGCGTTGCAACGCCGCCTTCGGATTGCGCGGTGTGCCCGTCGAGTGTGTCAAACACGCAGTAGAATTCCTCGCCTGCAACGTCCGTAGTACTTTCGATGACACGATAGTTCTCGAAGGTGTGAAGCTTGTCTGTCTTGTAGTCGTAGAGGCGTTTGGGTGGCGCAAAGGCTGCAGAGCGACCTGGGCGGACGAGGTAGGTTATCTCTGCACCCGTGGAAAAGTGGAACCCTTGAGAAAGGCCCACGGCGCCACAACCAACGATGAGGACCTTTGGGGTAGGCATGGTACTGGGTATCTGATTCAGTAGGCTTCGTTATGTAGTTGTCCTGCGCATTCAATTAGTTATATCAGGGGGACGCAGTTGTTGTGCAACTGGTCCGGGCGATGCGAAGTTCGTGCAGTTTTATGGCCGATGCGAAGTTCGTCCGATGACACGGCAAATGCATCAGATGATCTTTGCCCGATTGGTCTAGTCGCTCTCTCAGGTATCGAAGCCTCAGTCGATGTGAAAGTTTTTGCTGACAATTAACTCGAAGCTAGGCTACAGCGAGCTCAATGTTCCGTCTCATGTGTCGCTTCCGACGCGTACTTGGGGGTTCTTGACCCACTGTTCTGGCGGCGAGTAGCGACGTCGGGGAACAAGCGATGGTTGTGCATCCTCTTCTCGACGTAAGATCAAGATCAACAAAAGTGCTATATCCGAATACCATGTATTTGCTCTCATCTAGCCCTCCGTTGTCACAGCCACAACGTCTAAAATCGGCAGATGGCCTAGTTTGAAACAAGAGACACTGGCTAGCATCAAAAGGTGGCATCAATGCGTGTCTTTCCACCCGGGGCTGGTTTACAATGATTATTGGAAGTCGCTGGGTATCGGTGAGGAGAATTTCCACGACGATAGGTAGTGTCCCCAATGCCTGATGTGGTAATAGTCTGCTGATGCGTGCAGACCAACTCACCGGCTCATTCGCGGTCTAGACTGCGTGTAAAGAAGCTGCATTTTGACATGAACGGACTGTGTGGTGCTCGTGGTATGCAGAGCAAATGGTGATGGGGGAGTTTAGAAGCGTCTCGATGAGGACTTTTACTTTCTGAGGCGGACGGTTGCGGGATTGAATGAAAGGAACTTGGCGTGAGTGCTGTAAGGCGTGTGGGTATCAAGGACGTCTGCGAGGGAAGTGACGGTGCGGATTATTTTGCTGATCCTGCCGTTGGTATTGCGAGTAGTACTTCGGATGCATGTGGTTTGATGAATGAATCGAATTTATTTGCCACTTGCTACCCAAATACCCCGAGTGAATGACCATATTGCAGTATGCTGCACCAGCGACCTCGTATTCCCTGATTTTCTACGCTCGAAGAAGTCTACCGGGTGTTGTTGCTCTACCGCTACTCTGTTGAACTGGAAGAAGCAGGACCCTCGCTGAAGCACGCCCCTGGGGGTGGGAAGCAGGATCTCTCATACAGCCGAACACTTGAGTCTGGAACAAGATCACCATTCCCGCTAACTGGCCTGTTGTAAAGATAGCAACTACTACCCTGCATGACGAAATATTGGCATGGTTCTGAGTTGAAGCAGAGCTGTTTGCAACCATCCAGAGTTGTGCCTTGAGTCATGAGATAAGTGGCAGCTGCGTTTGCATTTCTTGGGAATCCTGGGTAGTTGCATGTGCCGGAAGGCTGAAAGTCGGGAGCGGGAGTGCAGGTTGGGGATGCCACAGGTGTGGAGGAGACAACTGACGGAATGTCCGAGCTAGCAGACGACGACACTACAGGGGTCGAGCTGGAATCGACAGAAGAAGATGGCACAGCGGAAGATGCAACATCCGATGACACTAGTGTAGGTGACGGGACCACGATGCTAGAGCTTACAGCGGGTGTCGAAACTACGCTGGTGCTTGAAGAATCGGAAGAGGCGACCACAGACGAAATGATAGACGACGAGGCAGCTGGAGTTGAGACAATAGCAGATGAGCTGGCAGGCGAAGAGGCAGCTGGAGTCGAAACAACCGAGGACCTGATGGGAGAAGATACTGGTTGACCATCACAGTGACCAAACTGGGACTGGCATCCGGTTCTGCAGTAATCTTTGGAGGAACCGCAATATCCGTATTGACTGCAGCAGTTTCCAAACGATGAACCGCGGCAAGTCTGACCCTTAGGCGAAGCGTTGTTCTTAGTGCCACATCGAGCGTTGTGGGAGACAGGTATGGCTGAAGATGGGGAGGCCACGGGGGCTGACGAGACGACGACTGGTGTAGAGGATTGAGCGGGTTGATATCCATCGCATTTTCCAAATAATGGGTTGCATCCTTTGCCGCAGTAATTTTTGCTAGAACCACAGTAACCATGTTGACTAATTCCTTGTCAGCATCTGACCGATATCAAACTTGATGATGAAGCCTACCTGCAGCAGTTACCGAAAGAAGATCCAAGGCAGGTAGTGCCGCCATTCTGACCACACGAGCCGTTCTTGGAGACCTTGGGGCCTACAGGCTTGTTGCCGCCAGAAGAATTGCACGTTCCCCAGCCAGACTGGCAGCCATCACCGCAGTAGTCTTTGCTGGACCCACACCAACCAGCTTTTGAGCAACAGTTGCCGAATGAGCTGCCCTTACAGGTGAGGCCAAAGTTAGCACCACAACGGGCAGTATGGCTGACACTTCTTTGAGGTGCAGCATGTGCTACTTGGACAGCAGCCAAGGCCGCGAGGGCCCAGGTAGCAATACTAGGCATAGTGAATCGAACAAATATTAAAAGTTAACGGCTGCTTGAGTATGTATGACACAAACAAATAAACGTCTGTGGAGCTCGCTTCAACAACAAGGGCCTGAGGACCGTCTGAAGAGGGAGAGACATGATCTTATACCAAGATCTGAATCACCCGAAGAAGTTAATCCAAGGGGCGAGGACGCGAAGGTACGATAGAATTTTTTCCCTCCAAGTCAATTACAGTAATTGAGCTGATCCAGTGTCCCTAGGCTAGGCGAGGCCGAACAACATAGCATCCGCGCTGGCTACCGAGTGCCAGAGCTGTCTTAGCTGCCCTAAAATCAGCCACAGGCGGGCAGGCTTAGGCTAAAGTGGGCATACGGTAGTAGAGCAAGGGCAGACGATACAGACAAACGAAGCGAGAAGAGTAAAGTGTGGAAATAACAATGGAACTAGGACACAACCGCACATGGCTCGCGTGGCGCTAGCGCAAAGCTAACCTCACATTACTCTAGAACTCCTGGGTGCAAGGCTTTAGCGTGGTGATGTGAATCATCTTCATTGTCTGCTTGGGATGCGGATTATCGACCCCTATAATGTTTATACCTAACGTTCTCTGCATCGATAGCGCTTCGCGACCACGTCTTTGGTGGCTGATCAACCGTGGTCTTGTTCAACTTTGCACTTACATGATGACTAGCTTTTACGACCGACAAGTTGAGCGTAGGAGCATTGACCGACATGTAGAGTCAAGGGCAACTATCATTCCTATTCTTGGGATCAGATCGCTTGCGTGCATCGTGAGTGTCAGGGGTAAGCGGCGCTAGTGGCATCTAGACGGCGCGGCAAGCCAAATCCAGCCAGATGATGAGTGGACGACAATCAGTCCTGCTATAAGCTTTTAGGCGTTCACCTTGGATTCTCAAACTGCGGTGGACATTTACCACATATTTGCTGTGTTTTATGGACTTCAGCATACTGTGAAAGCCAGCTACGTTATTGCGAAGCTTCAGTAATGCTTCTCGAGCTGAAATACCTGAGTGTTTCGTCACCAAGGCGTGTCGTTGATGCGGAGCTATTGAAAGTAAATGCGTTGTACAAACGCCTTCCAACCCGTTCTAGACGTCACACCCATGCACAACACCACGGCCAAGATACGCAGACATTATGGAGCTCACCGGGAATGGATGAAGTCAAAATGTCTGCGTTCGCGCCCGTATGTATCCTGTAAGAGATTACCCCATCTTCGCTACCCACATCGTTCTGTCTTTACGCTTGCCCGGCCTGTTGCCGTCACCACAGTTCTTCTATGGCAGCTCTGTATCTTCCCAAATACGAGGTGCCTTACGTTGCAAGAAACTCGCGATACTATGACTCGAGTCTTCCAGTTCACCCTGCTTGCATTGGTGATGATAGCCTTGCAAGAAGCGATCTGAGGAATCAACGCCAGTGGTATTCAGGTGGATAATCCATGTCTTTGCATCATCAGGCTGGGAGCTAACTCTCAAACAATCTCGATGATACCTTCCATCTGGTAGCGATTTCAGAGAGTCGTTGGGCTGTAACTCTTCTGCTTGTTGGAAGAAGGCATCGTTGAGGGCCAGCTTTTTCGTATGATGCTATCATTCAATCACTTAGGCCTTGTCACGTTCAGGATGCGCTCATGGAGAGACGATTCCGTGCTTACCAACTGTGGGTCGTACCAATCATACCTGAACGCGCCGACCCTAACGTATTGTCCACGCTGAGAGGTTCGGTATAGAATAATGTCAAAGATTTCGACTGAAGGATAATTGTAGAGTCCTAGGGGCATCAGGTAAAAGGTCCCATCCGACAATTGGACCCGATCTCCAGGGGCTAGTACACCACATCTCATCATCTTGAAACTCTCGATTTCGAGCGAGCAGAACTCCCAATAGAGATCCGTTTGGTCCCCAAGATACATGTGCTCAATACTCTCGCTGTGAGTCGGAATATCCAACCTGCGAATCTGCGGAGGCCATACTACCTGACACAAGGAGCGGCGCAACCGTAGATGTCCGAAGGCAATCTTTTCGAGGATTTCGCCATTTTGGGCGTCACCGAGACTACGATATCATGGGTAAGCGCCTTATTATTGTCATGTCAACATTTCAGCCAAAAACTGACCGGCGCGCCCCTAGATGCCCATGACCAGGGTGGCGCTATGTAAGTACCAGCTCCCGTGACTTCTTGACTGGTCCAATACAAGCAGTATGGTAGATCCGGACGCCAACAGCCCGCGTTGTAGTCTTCAGCATGGAATCCGCCTTTTGCGCAGAAGTAGCGAGCTATCGAAGATATCGCAGGTAGTTGATCTGCTGGAAAGCTCAACCGAAGCACGGAGTAATGCTCCACTGAATATACCCAGCGCTTGAACGCCTCATCCCGAACAAGTTCACCATTTCAAATTTGTTGAAATTGTCAAGATGTGGGTCCCTATCCCAAACGCGATCAACAGACTCTTCCGAAGCAGCCTGACTGAAACACTCCCAGTAGACCTGGTCTCGAGCGAAGGAAATTACTCGTGGTGATAACATGCGTTCTTGAGAAACCCAGTCGCTTTTATTGAGCGGAGCTATTGAACGGCCGCTTCCTAACGGCCCGTCAGTGAAGCAACGACATGAACAGTGGCACCCTGATTTTTAGAGAGTGAATACTCTTTGCCAGGCCTTAAAGGTTTTCGCTTGTAGTCTGCTGCTGTGTTTCCGCTAGTTGCTGAGATATTGAGCGTACTGTTCTTGTATATCTGATCCATCAAAGAATTTTCGCTAGCCTTCTCAGAATCATCGTCCTGATGTATACAGATGGTGTCAATTCAAAGATAACGAAACCCGAGATGCCGTGTTACTTCGATCACGTCTCTAAAGGTTTTCGATCCACGCATACTCAAGAGCGATGAGGGAAAACCTTTGATGAACAGTGGGAGGGTGTCGTTGGAGAGACGCATAGTAGGGACTGAGACTCATCGATGACTCAGTGACAAATACTGCGTATCCAATGGTAACCCCGAAGAAGAGCACAGGATAATATCAGGCAACGTTTTTGAGAGTTGGAGTATGTCATTGCCAAGACGAGGCAACCTGGACACCAAGCCTATGATCATCAGGTCGGATGTATGTGAACTTCACCTCGCTTCGTTTGTGCTGCGATACTCTGCGATTGTTTCTGCACTCCATCCAAAAACAGAGCGCAGAGATGGCAGTCGGAAGCCAGCACTGAGCACTCCCATGTTGCGAAAGGCCCGTAACCCATGTTCGGTAATTTGTTAGGTGGTGACCCATGTTTTAGCCACGCACTCATATTGCGAATACTTCGTCGAATACTTGGTCACATTCGCTGCAGGGGGCTTGTGCGGCTATTGAGACGAATGATTGCTGGTCCTTCCGCTCGCGAACGCGAAATGCATGGTGTCAGGAACTCAAAGTTAACGGTCCGAACATATGGCAGGAGAAAACAAGATGTACAGCTCGTGTGGGACGGGATGGGCTCTGCGGGCTCTGCCCCTCCTTCCTACTTTCCGCTCAGGCAACCATCATCCACACAATCTACGTAATTGCTGCCTGGCTCGCCAGCAGTAGTTCAGATTACACTCCTTGAATCAAACGACCGCATCATTTCACAACGTCAATATTAGAAATGTATTCCATAAGTCGTACAGTGCGGGTTCTAATGCTATGGTACCATGCACAGTCCAAGTCCCATGCTGCACACATGGCCGACTTCACAAAGCATACCTAAAATGCGTCGCCTCCTTATCCGTCTTGTCCTCAAAACCCTCCACAATGGCCCTCTCATCCTCTCCCTGTCCATACTTCCGATCCCTACTCTTATTTTCCCACGCCATCCAGCCCCCCAAGAATCCCGCTACAACCACCATCCCGCAATAGCAAGCGATAAGTCCGGTCAGCGCAGAGTAATACCTTGGCGCCTCTCTCGCAAAGAATATATTCGCTCCCGCAATATTTCCGGCCGCGTAAAACACGAACCATAGCCCGTTGGCGGTGCTGCGCTTCGTATGCCCAGATATGTTTGTAGTAAGGAGATTCCAGGATAAGATGACCGGACCGCCGATCAGGTACTGGAGCCATGTACAGCCAACGAGCGTCCAGCGTTGAGAGAGCGACGTGAGGCGGATGCCAATGAGACCGCCAAGCGGTGGGAGACAAATCAGTGCGAGGAGCAGGCAGCGCGTGTTCTTGAAGTAGGACGCTGCAACGCCGCATAGCGGGACTAGGAAGAACTCGAAAGCGCCGGTGGGCAGTTGCAGGAGCGTGGCATTGATGCCGGAGAACCCATATCCTTTGATCAACGAGGAGGCGAAGTTGGAAACCCCGCCATTAACAACGCCGCATCCAAGCGCTATGAGACTGAGACAGTGGACCTTGATGTCAAGAGCTGCCTCGAGAGCTTGTCGCGGCTGGAACTGCTTGGTTTTGACGCCGATCATGTTGGAGGCAATGCGGTCGATGGCAACGATACGCTGCTTGTGGGTGAGGAACTTTGCGGATGAAGGCGAGTCCGGCATCACCCAGAGGAAAACCCAGCTCCATACGAAGTTGATGAGTCCGATGACGAGAAAGATGAGTTGCCATGTCTTCAGACTGGTACCGTGCGCATGGCCAAGGCCGTAGCCCAACAGTGCGCCCACCATCGTGGCCATGCCGTTGAACGCTAGGAAAACGCACATCCTTAAGGGCTGTTCTTCGCGGGTGTAGAACATTGAAACGATGTTCATTATAGCCGGACTGATGCTCGCTTCAAACATGCCGAGCAGGAATCGTAGGGCCAGCATTCCAGCATAGTTCTTCGCCGCAACGTGACAGAGCAGGAGAAGCGACCATACGAGAATCATAGATCCCGTATATTTAGAGACGGGGAGACGTTGAATCAAGTAATTTGCTGGCAATGCCCAAAAGAGATAGCCAAAGTTGAAGATGGCAGCTACCCAGCTGTAGCGTTGACCTTGGAGTCCAAGATCCGGAATGAGGGTGTATGCTGAAGCATAGTTCAAGCTGAGCTTGTCCAAGAACTGGATCATGTACGTGAAGCATATCTGACCCTCATCAGAATGCAATGGAATATCTTTTCGACGGATCGCTAACTCACCATCGGCATGATAACCCAATCAATCTTCCTCAACACAACTTTCCTTTCCGAATCTAGCTCTTCTCTCGAATACTGCTGCACTTCAAGGTACAACTCTGCGCCAATATCTCGCATCTGCTTCTCGGCAGCGAGCTGGCCTTCGTCCACGCTTGGGGCCGCATCGATGCCGTGATCTTGATGTGATTTCTTGCTCATCTCGTAATAGTGGTTATGGGATCGGAGCGATGTGCTGGTTGCGCCCTGCGGAGCAGGGGTCGATGAGGGGTACTTGTGGTACACCACGCTCTGAGGTGGTGGCCAGAGGATGTGGTCTGCGGGTTTGGGACTTGATATGATGACAGAACTACAGAGGCATATCCGCTTGCTGCCCACTACTCAACGGATACTTGAACAGCTTCCGGGATTGTGGCTTGCAAGGGTCCAACGATTGCTTGGTGGTGATGTTCGATACCGAAACCCAGGCCGTCGAGGAGCAGGAGCCGGCTGCTCTAGTTTTAAACTCAAATCCCACCTTTGACTCCATCCATGGGGTGCCATCAGATGTGGAGCTCTTATCAACGTTGAACGTGCCTATCGGAGCTTATGCAGGTATGGATGTGTAGCACGCACGCAGATGGTACCGTTTTAACCTCATTGGTGGAATACCTGGTTATCATTCTCTTGGCGAAAACCATCTTTAACATAGACCATATTTGACGTGGACATGACGATGTATTTGACTGTCCTCCTGTTCGGTGTGATCAACACCAGGAGTCGTACTCCCCCTATGTATGCGGAGTGTATGTGCTGGGCCGTCTCACGCTCCGAGTCCGACTCCCTCTATGCAGTCGTTTCCTATCGCTATCAAGCCGAGAAAAGCCAGCTGCGAGATGCTCTCCTACGCAAGTGCCGAAGCAACTTCTACTTCCAGAGGCCATAAGGACCATTGGTGAACTTCCAGAGCTTCACGGTACCATCCTCACTGCCCGTTGCGTACAGCTTGCCATCAGGCGAAAAGCTCGCCGACCAGATGGGACCGTGGTGACCTTTGTTCGTCTCCAGCTCCGTCTCGGCATCGAAGTCCCAGACTCTGACCCAGGTATCGTTCTGGTTGCTCCCGCCAGTAACAAATCTGCGCTGGCCACTATGCAATGCAACGCTGGCCAGCTCGTAGGGCGTCTTGATGCTCTTGATGAGCGACGCAGGCGAGTTGCCGTTGAAGAAGTAGACGCTGTTTCCAGCGGCTACGCTCAGCACGCCGTCCGAGGTAGTGTTATCCAGCTCGCACGTGCCTACAGGGCCTTCCACGGCATACTCGCCGATGGTCGACTGCGTCCGCAGGTCCCACCACCGTATCTTCTTGTCCTCAGACGCGGTGACCAGGATGCTGGGGTCTGCTGTCCACACAATGGACTTGATGGTGTCGCCGTGAACGCCGCCACCGATCTCGTAGGGCTGCGACGGGTTGTTCAGGTCGAAGATGCGCATCTTCTTCTCCTTGCCGCCAGTTGCCAGAATCTGGGGTTGCTGCTGGTTCGGGAAAGCAACGGCGCGGACAATGTGGTCGTGGGTGAGGGTGTGGAGGGCTTCACCAGTGTGTGTGTCCCACACCTTGCTGCAGGAGGTCTCAGCATATGTCTTCGTCCCGGGAGGAAGCTGGAGAGGAGTACGTACGCAGAGAAATCCGCCGAGGCGGTCGCAGCCAGCGAGGCATCTGAGGACAGGCGCGCCTGCCACACGGCGCCCTTGTGGCCGAGGAAGGTGCCGATCCAGTCGCCCGTCAGGCCATCGCGAAGCATGGGGTTTCCATCCTTGCAGGCCGAGATGATGTAGTACTGCTCCTCATCCTGCAGCGCAGAGAAGTGGATGTGGGGCACCGGTCGCGAGTGCCCGTGGCACGTGAGGGGCACGACCTTTGTGGTGTCGGGCATGGCCGCGTGGATAAAGCTGGCAGTCGCGAAAAGGCTCGCGGGTCGCCGCACTCAGAACTGCTTTGTGTAGAATGCGCTGAAAGCTCCAAGTCAGCGGTGCAGAGCTGTCGAATGGCGCGCAGGTCGGTGCTCGAAAAGAAAGCGGGAAACGGGAACAATGGCACAATGCAACGGGCAGCAGACTGGCAAAAGGATCGTTATGGGTCGTAACTTCGTAAATCTTTGGTGTCTCACGGGAGAAACACGCCCCTCGCTGCAGAAGGGGACCCTGGAGGAGCTAGTCCCGTCCGCCAAGCTAAATTCGAGCCGCGGCCCACCTTCCACAACGGCCCTCGCCTCGACGCTGCTGCGCGACTCACAGCACACAGCCTTGGTCGTGATCTATGAAGCTGCAGAAGCAGTGGTATGGACTGACAGCGTCATCTCCGGGTAATGCGTTCCATAAAAGACAACGTTCGCCCTGAAGTACATTGAACAGTTCTCCACATCCTCGAAATGCAGCTACGTGCACCTGAAGAGCGACCAACTCAAAGGAACGACCAGCATTGTCAGAGCATAATTTGCTGAGGAACGGTGCGGAATTTGCTGCTTGTTCAATCACAATGTCTACATTGTTTCTCCAAATCTCTCTCAAATATATGTTTTGCGAGAGGCCCATACACAATCCAAAGAACCTCAAAACTTCGAACAAATCTTGGACAACATATCAAACATTAAGCAACCTGCAATGTGTTTCTTCCCTCAAGTCACACATGCCTGCGGCCATACGACCTTAGTCACCCATCCAAAAGCCATCCGATTGTGCCCTTACGCCCTGCGGTTTTGTACGCAGGACCTCGACCGCGCCCCACCTTGCTGCACACCCCTTGGTCCTCATGGCCGCGATGATCTATACAACAAGGACATCATTTTTGCTATAATCGAGGATAGTTCACAGTGCGCAGGTTGCCACGCCACTGAGTCAACGCCAGCTCGTGCTGTTCGTGTTGCTCAGTCGAACCAGTCATGGGAGACCGAGGAGCTTCAGGGCCTCAAGTTGAGTCTGAACAAGGAGATCGAGAATGTTGAGAAGGGATGTCAAGTCGTCGAATTTGACCAGAAGATTCGAGCCATCGTGAAAACCATCATTCATCCTTGGCTGCGGGGCATGCTTGAGGTCAATGGTGATGGCTACTCCTCGCTTGGCGAGGTCGTACTACATCGTGTGCGCAACGTGCAGCGGTTGGTAGATAACGTGCTTGCTATGTGTAACACAGGCGTCCCCTTAAACTCCCTTCGTATTGACTTCCACGCCGCAGTTGACCAGTACGAGAAAGCTTTCAACTTGATGGATCATTTCCAACAGATCGTCCGACTGCTACATGACCTTGAGAATCGCGGCTCGTATCAAAACGAGCTCTGCAAGCAGGCGGAAATGTGCCAGTTACTGCTTCAAGGTCCGCAAGTGGCGCCACACGATCTCGCATACCTGCAGTCAGGTTTCAAGACGCCGAATGCATTCCAGCCGAAGCGCGATTCTGGCGTTGTTCCTGGCACGTATCTTTCGAGCCATCACGCTCTAAGCAAGAACTGGTATGCATCGGCTTTGGTGAACCTGCTGAAGCAAAAGGATGTTCTTCCTTTTCGCCGTGAGTTCTACCACGGTCCGTCTAGAAACACGAACAAGAGGCGCCGAACTCCACCGGCTATCCAAATCATCGTAAGCGACGAGGAGCGTGCTAAGTTTCCGAAACCGGACATGAAGTATTGGAGCCATGCAGCATAAATGCCTGGGGGAAGCGGCGAGACTGTGTTCCAAAACTATAGCAGAGAAGAGACATTATCGATGGTGCTCTCTCTTTTACTCTACAGACCGTGACATACCATTCTATAATTCCTTGTCAGCAATCACATTATATTGTTCATCTTGCGGATATTCTTCCGATTTCCGTTCAGTCTTCCTGTTACTTTGTTTCTGTCCACTGTAAAATCTTGATCAGAATCCATACCCAGCATGGCTACATTCATATATACATCCGTCTATCCTCATCTGTAGCGGCATTTGAGTCCACTGAGGCATATTTATGCGTGACACAAAAGTTCGTGAGAAATCAGGCAAGCAACATCCAAGACAGTGACATATCCGAAGACTTTCAGCTTTCAATCGACGTTAAGACCATTTTAATATTTTAGCCGCTCCTCTTCATCCGAAGTCTCCCGTAAGTGCCCGCCGGTCTCTTTCTAGCTTTTCAGATGCACAAGGATGGTCCGTCACTTCAGAGGATTTCTCCAGCTGTGTGTCCAACAACATCACCAAGGCGATGAAGGTCTCCAAAAGCCGTTTTCATATGCAAAGTATCTCCATGGAATTTAACAAACATGAATTTCCGTACAACTACCAACATTAACTACCAAACTTACAGTATAATGCCGACTGCGCAGTAGAGAAACCGGAGAAGCGACCGGAGAACCAAAGAGACCAGCCACTCCAAGGTTAAGCACGAGAATGCTGACAACAAGCCCATAATCGTTGAATCTTCCAACAGTCAACGGACCCAGCCCAAACAAAGCGCTGCACGTCCAATTCAGCACCAAGCCCGACGCTACGTGGGCTGACATGATTCATTGGCAGAGAATGGAAGACGAGATAGAGGCTGCAGCTTCGGGGGCAGGCGACAAGAGTAACTACGCCGTTTACCTTGCGTACCAGAAACTGGGCAGCACGCCCCTCGGGTCACACAGAATGTACGCCTCTGGTGAGTAATGGTCTCGATGCCGTCCACTGGGGCTGTCTCGATGCTCGATGTTGGTGGACATGGAATCTGGCGGGTAAGGGTTGTCCACGTAGCCTTTACACATCTTTTCGCTCATACTCAGTGTTGTGAATTGACTTCGTCATGCTCGAACGGGTCGCGGTCGATACTGCATGGTCTAGTGTGGTGAGGGAGCTGCTGCACGTGGAAGCAGGGGGTTTCGCGTAGCTAAGCTCTCCCCACAAAAACGGACTTGGGCCCTGCGCACTGACTCTCAGCCAAAGACACACGACCTCTCCCTCGCAGCTTCTTTCAACTTCTACCTCGAAAGACAGCATTGCAATTCAACTGGCAGAACCAATTGCATAGCAGCTGTCTGTTTTTGCCGCTGGCACCCTCGATTCACACAAGGTGAGTGCGCCTCTGCCCATTACCCCACCCATCTGCTGAGCTCTTGTGAACACGGTAGCTAACAGCTCCCCGCGTAGCACAACCCGTCACGTCGCCCCCGCCACCCACCATGTCGCTTCTTGAGGCGAAGGTCAAGAGCGTCCTCTCCGGAGACACGGTCATCTTGCACAATATCAACAACCCCAAGCAGGAGCGCACCCTGAGCCTGGCCTATGTTACTGCCCCGCGAATGCGGCGGGAGGGAGACGAGGTAGGATGCATTCCGTTGTTCATTTCTCTGCACACTTTACTGCCCACATGACTCTCCAATCTACCAGCGATTGAATTCATGAATCCATCCGAACGTCTACTTTGGGTTCTTGTAGGAAGCCGCGACGCTAGCGGGAGGTGGCATACATGAATGGTTGTACGGAGGCGTCTTTAGAGATGGAGCTGACCTTTTCAGCAATTCGCCTTCGAGTCGCGCGACTTCCTCCGCCGCCAGCTTGTCGGCAAGGTCGTTCAATTTAAGATTTTGTATAAAATCCCCACAGGCGCCAACCGCGAGTATGGCCTCATCTCGCTGCCAAACCGAACGAACTTGCCTGATCTCGCCGTCGCCGAAGGCTGGCTGAAGCTGCGCGATGACGCAGGCCGCAAGGAAGACTCCGAGGAAGCTGCTGCTATCCTGGAGAAGCTCCAGGTGTACGAGGCACGGGCAAAGGCCGAGTCCAAGGGCCTGTGGCAGGAGTCTGGCTCCCGCATCAGCTCGTCTTCCGAGTTGAGCGATGCAAAGCAGTTCGTTGAAGACAACAAGGGCCAGGATCTCACTGGTGCGTACAGGCAACGGTCCTCGAGGAGCGCAACATGGCTAACTTGGCACAGCGATCGTAGAAAAGGTTCTCGCTGGCGACCGCCTCATTGTGCGCTTCCTTCTCTCGCCCACCGAGCATGTTCAGACCCTCATTCTCCTTGCGGGTATCCGAGCCCCGGCTACGAAGCGAACCAGCCCCTCGGACGGCAAGGAACAACCCGCAGAGCCTTTTGGCGATGAAGCACAGCAATTCGTCGAGACACGGTTATTGCAACGAAACGTTACTGTCAACGTATTGGGAACCAGCCCTACCGGACAGATCGTGGCGACCGTCAGACATCCCACCCAAGGCAGCATTGCGCCCTTCCTGCTCGAGGCAGGTCTGGCCAAGTGTACCGATCACCACACCACGCTACTCGGCGGAGACATGGCTGCGCTTCGACAAGCTGAGAAGAGGGCAAAGGACTCCAAGCAGGGCGTATACCAAGGTCACGTTGCCCCGAAAGCTTCAACCGCTGGTCAGAACGAAGCCACCGTGAGCAGAGTCCAAAGTGCGGATACGCTTTTCTTAAGGAACAAAGCTGGTGCAGAGAAGCGCATCAACCTGAGCAGTGTTCGTCAACCAAAGCCCACCGACCCCAAGCAGGCGCCATGGGTACCAGAAGCCAAGGAATTCCTACGGAAAAAGTTGATCGGAAAGCATGTCCAGTTCCGCATCGATGGAAAGCGCCCGGCCACTGAAGGCTATGATGAGCGCGAGATGGCCACCGTCACATACCAAGGCAAGAACGTCGGTCTGCTTCTTGTGGAGAATGGTCTGGCTTCTGTGATCCGTCACCGCCAAGATGACACCGACCGTAGCCCTATCTACGACGACCTTTTGCTCGCCGAGTCAGCTGCTCAAGAGGCGCAGAAGGGATTGTGGTCACCTAAGGCTCCTTCGGCGAAGCAATATGTTGACTACTCCGAGTCTCTCGAGAAGGCCAAGCGCCAGCTGACACTCCTTTCACGGCAACGCAAGGTTCCCGCCATTGTTGATTTCGTGAAGTCAGCATCTCGATTCACCGTGCTTGTCCCACGTGAGAACGCAAAGCTCACCTTTGTGCTCTCTGGCATCCGCGCGCCACGTTCTGCACGCAACCCGACTGAGACGGGCGAGCCCTTTGGTCAAGAAGCACACGACTTCGCTAACAAGCGTTGCCAGCAGCGAGATGTTGAAATTGACGTAGAGGACTGCGACAAAGTCGGTGGCTTCATCGGCGCACTCTACATCAACCGCGAGAACTTCGCCAAGACCTTGGTTGAAGAGGGTCTTGCATCAGTACATGCCTACTCTGCGGAGAAGTCTGGCAATGCAAACGAGCTGTTCGCTGCCGAGAAGCGGGCGAAGGACGCGCGGAAGGGAATGTGGCACGACTACGATCCTTCGCAGGACGAGGATGCGGAGCAGGCCGATTCTGGTGCTGATGTCAACGGACAAAACGGCGACGCGGCGGTGGAACGCCGGAAAGACTACCGCGATGTGCTCGTTACCCACGTTTCCGATGAGGGGCGATTGAAGCTGCAGCAAGTCGGAACAGGTAGCGCCGCCTTGACCGAGCTCATGAACGCGTTCCGCAGCTTCCACCTGAACCCTACAAACAACCAGGGTCTACCGAACCCTCCCAAGGCCGGCGACTTTGTGGCTGCCAAGTTCAGCGCAGACGATGAGTGGTACCGAGCTCGTATCCGACGCAACGACAGGGAGGCGAAGAAGGCCGAAGTCGTCTACATTGATTACGGCAACTCGGAGACTATCCCCTGGTCGCGCCTACGCCCTCTCTCGCAACCGCAATTTTCTCCACAAAAGCTAAAGGCTCAGGCCCAGGATGCACAGCTCTCGTTTGCTCAGTTGCCCAGCAACCCTGAATACCTTGCGGATGCGATTCACTTCATTTCACAAGAGACGGCCGACCGCCAACTTGTCGCTAACGTCGATCAAGTGGACAAGGATGGCACTCTCTGGGTGACCCTATTCGACCCTAAGCAGAGCGACAAACCCGATGAGAGCATCAACGCGGAAGTAATTAGCGAGGGTCTTGCGATGGTGCCAAAGAAATTGAGGGCGTGGGAGCGCAGTGCAACCGATATCCTTGGTGCTCTGAAGAAGAGGCAAACCATCGCTCAAGAAGAAAGGAGGGGTCAATGGGAGTATGGCGATCTTACCGAGGACTAGATGCGCACGTATGTCGTTATCAGTTGCTTGCGGGAGGTGCGGGCTCTGTGACAGGAGACATATGCATGTCGGGTGGCACGCGTTGCGCCCTGTTACGAAGAGACGGCCTATGAAGACGGACTACGGAGGGAAGTTGATCTTGCGGCTTGGTAATCCTCTCGCTTTTGCCTAGTTGTTTTCTTGAAGATGCATAGCGGAAAATGAGGACCAAAAGTATAGTTGCCATGCACAATAGGATAAGACACGATCATGGATATAGAGATCCGCGGCCAGGTGTGAAGCGAAAGTTGGAATCGATTCCCGGCTCCGCCCGCGTGATGTCGGCTCCAGCTCTCATGCAGGCCGTACGATGCTCTGCAGCACCCTACATAGATTCGTGCATATGGCTGTCTGCTGCCTACGCTAACTTGATTGCCCTGCCTTAGCCGTGAGTCTGGAGGACTTCTGCTCGCCACCCATCCACTCTGCTAACCTACCCCTCACACGCTTACACACCACACAGCGCATATGTTACTGTATCGTTACAACGCTGCAGGGCGATAGCGCGCTGGCTGGGCCGCATATGCCAAGGGATTCGACCGGTGAACAACGTGACTTTGATATTAGTCGTGTCGGCCTGCGAGCCATCGATCGGTCGGCAGAAGGGGGACGACGGACGATGTCTGGACGGATGGGGAGCCCGGCGCCGTGCGATTGATGCACGACAGACGGTCAGCCGGTCAGCGAGCACGCCAGCGCAGCAGCGTTGGTCTCGTCTCGCCACCCGTTGCTATGAATTGCACGAGGGCCGAGCCAACAGCCAGATGAAGGGAGATGAGGTAATCACGGGACTGCTCGCCTCACCTCACGCAGTAAGCTTAGTGCCCTCGAGCTCGGGCCCCGAGGGACTAGCGTTCACGTGATGTAGACGTGGCCTGGGGGTGTTTCAGAGTTGTTGACGCTGAGTGGGCGAGCAGATACGTGGGAGGTGGTGTTTGCGATCTAAGCGGAAGGCAAGTGGCACGGCACGGCAAGGTGAGGGGAGGCGGGCGGGGCCGCACAGCGTACGGTCCTCGGTGAGACATGGATGAGGCTGCTTCCGTGGCGAAGATCGCGGTGAAGAAAAGAGGGTCTTGTGGGGAGGGACTGAGGTGGAGAGGTTCTAGAAGCGTTGGAAACGTGGAGGGCGCGGGTGTGTTGCCGCAGGATGAGGTTGCGCGCCGGAGGATTCGATGCTAGGCGTGAACGGCAATGCTATAGCCAGTGAACAATGCGTCCATTTGAATGACAAAGAAGGCACACAGTGAAAGGGTTGGTTGTGGAGCTGGCAAAGGAATCGTGATATTTCTCTCGTGTACCAAGATCGTATATCCGTCCTGTCTGGCAATTTCCGCCTCTACATAGTCGCCCATCCACCTTTTGTGCAGCCGTGTGGCCTATCCTCATTACATCATAGCCGTCATCAACTCTCATGCCTCATCTTCTCATCAGCTATCTGTCAAAGAAATCCGTACACCGAGTCGTAAAGTAGGAAAAAGGGGGTATTCAAATCCACCAAGCTCGCGCTGCAATGCCTCCCGTGAGGGAGCAGGTATCCGCGAAACGAAGATAATGATGTTCGAGGAAAGTAAAAGAAAACGTATCGCTAACGACCGATGGAGAAGGCGGAAACAAGGATATTGCTCGAATCGCTCGCTCAGAAGCTCTACATAGAATAAATTGAATCGCGCAGAGTATGGAAAAGCGACAGTCGTAACCGATCGTACAGTCTCGTTCCATCGTGAGCCTAGGAAGCCCCACGCATGCAAAACAGATGTGTTGCGCGTGAGCGTCCGTGTCTAGCAAACAATACCATGTGTGACCTGCACTGTCGCGGAAAGGGGGAATCGTGCGGGGAAACAATAAACTAGCCTTGTGGGCTTTCCAAGGCGCGGAATGGAATGACGCCCAACTTTTAGACAAAAAAGCTTTTGGTTTCACTCCGGTCCGCCCAATGTAAAGTCCAAAGACACAACAAGCGGGTATGCGAGAACTAAAGAAAAGCGGAATGGCAATAAATGCAAGCCGAAAAGATATGTGTCCAGGTTTCGTAATGGATGCTGCCTGAGTGACCGCGCTCCTAGTAGTACCTGGTCTGGCGCCTGAGAGGTCGTCTCTCTGCATCCCGGTCGCGGTCTCGTCGGCTTTCGATTTCAACCTCTCGGTCCCGTCGGCCCTGGCTGCTGCGTCCACTCTTGACTGAGACTTCTTCGGCTTCACGTCTGGCAGAACCCGCGATCATTGACTTCCTGCTGCCCCTAACACTACCTCTCTCGCTACGGTAGACATCATCTTCCCCGCGTTGGCCACCGATAACAATATCGGCCATGCCGTCTTCCGCGGGGTTGATCTGGAGGGTACGACCTTCCATGTCCCCGTTGAAAGAAAGGCTCAGAGGGGCAGAGGCATCAACACGAAGGCGGATCTCGCCGTTGTTGTTGCCGTTAGTAACCGTCGTGCGGGCGGACTGGCTGATGCGGGTCTTGCGGTCAGGGTCCGAAGGTACACGTGAAGCACGCTGTTTAGCAATCTTGTGGACCTGTTCGCTCAAGGGCTCGTAATTTCCGCGGGTGCGTTGCTGGTATGCCTCCACGTCGTCCATTACCCTGGCCGTCTCTTTTCCAACGACGTACTCGGCGCGTTTGACGGAAGCATCTGTGCGGCGGCGAGCGGGTCGTTCGGTTACGACGATGGCATCGTCTTCGTCGGCGCGGTAGACCTTTGAACGACGACGCAGACGGCGTTCCTCTTGTTCGGAATCATAATCGTCTTCATACTGCGGCTCGTAGGCCCGCTCGTAAGCCTGGTAAGATTGACGACGGCTACTTCTGGGGTTCTCGACTAGCACTCTTGCACGAGGCGTGTCATAAGCCGACTGTGTCACACGCTTGGGTGGCGCGGGTCGGCTGACGGAGATGGACCGCGAGGGTGGTGCAGTGCTAACCCGGGAAGTTCGGTTATCTCTCTCCCTGGGACGTTCTGGCAACGTCTGAGACTGGGATACGGACTGGCGACGTTCACGGCGATCATTGTAAACTTGGGTGACTTGTGTAGTCTTGGCGTGACGAAGCACAGGCCTCTGCTCTTGCTTCGATCTACTCTTCATCTTGGGCGGCGGCATGAGCTGCTTCGGTGGAGGGGCGACAGGTGCCTCTTCCTCGTACTCGGAATCGTATTCCTCGGAGCTCTCGGAGTCGTGGTGCGCCGTTGGCATGAGTGCTTTCATGGGAAAGCGCTCTTGCCTGGCACTCTGAGGAGCGTTGCCGTAGCGGGCGGACGGCATAGACTGCTCTGCTTTATTGTTGTCGTAAGTGACCAGCGCACCTCCAAATCCAGACACGGGCCTGCGTGCGGGAAAGTTAGAAGCAGTACGAGCCGAAAGCTGTGGCCTTTGGTGCTCATAGGGTGGTGATGTTTGGGGCATGTGCTGAGCCTGAGCCATTGGATGGCCGCCCTGGTAGTAATGAGAAGGAGGCGTGGCATTCATCATGAACGGCGCCATCTGAGGATGGTGCTGAGGTTGTGGCATCGAGTAGTGAGTGGGCATGGCGGGCGGTGGACCGTATTCATGAGGCGGGCTAGGATACGGGGCGGGCATGCCCGGCACGAAATAGTTCTGTCCTGGGTCTCCGTGGTAGCTCATGGGACGGCGAGCAGTCGACGAGGCCCTTGGACGTGTCTGGGCGGGCTGCACCATGGTTGAGCCCTGCATGTAGGGAGCGGGCTGCCGGTTATAAGTCGGAGAGGGCGGCGAGGCATATGTCGAGGGTGCGGGATCCGAGCGCTGCGAGCGCACGTCGGAAGGGGAATAGGAGACGTCGAGGCCAGAGTCCATGGCCAGGGACTCGCGCCTGCCACGTCGAGGAGGAGGTGCATTGGGCCCACACGTCTTGCAATTGGGGTCCCTGCACTCCTCGGCCTGCGCGAGGGTGGGTCTCCGGGTGACAGCCGGTCGTTGTCTGGAGGCCGTGGAGTTGTTGCGCTGCAACGGCTTGCGCGGGCTCTCGGTCGTCTTCCTGCGGTCCTCGACAACGGTCGGTCGTCGTCTAGTGGCCGCGGGACTGGGAGGGGGCATGGAGGCAGCGCTCGAGGGAGCCGTGGAGGTTTGCGACATCTTCGCACTTGGGACCGAATCAGCGCTGCTCATGGTCCCGGCGGTGTGGCTGGAATACCCGGAGTCGCTCTGGAGGTCGCTGTGAAGCACCTTCTCCTTGTCTGGCTGGGCCTTATCGGAGCCCAGGTCAGACGGATGAGAGCGTTTTGCAGCGACGTTGGCGGCGGGCGAGCGCCGGAACGACTCGAGGACGGGGTCCTCGCTATCGTCGGAGTGGTAGTCCTCGACGGTCGGGTTAAGGTCACGCTCGCTCGTCGAGGCGGCCATGGCGACGGCGGGTGTCGCTGACAGCGGCAGGCTGTCGTGGTGGAGTGGTGGTTACTGAGGCAGGTGCGGGCGCCCAGGGCTGGGACGGGGTCGATATCGATTACGGCTAATGAAATGTGGCCCGGCCGATCATTCACGGGGCAGCCTCGCGTGCGGAGAGAAGAGAGGGTAGAAGGATGCGTGGGATTGACTCATAGCAGGTAGGATAACGCAGTGGAGGGCGGGCTGAGGGCAGAGGCAGGCAGCAGAGAGAGCACTGGGGCTGGCGGGGGTGCGAGGGAATGAAGAGAGGAGAGCAGGCAGCGCGTGCAAAAAGTGCTCAGGCTGGAATGACGACGCCGGACTGCGACAGAAGACACATGCAGGCGGGCCGCCGAGTTTACGGAATTTTTCAGTACGGAGGAGCATTGGGCTGAGCGGCCGGGGTGCGCATGAATCTAGTTGTACTCTAACAGGAGCGGCTAGTGGAGGGTTGGGCAGCGAACCGCCGCTGAGCTGCAAGGTATGCTATGGTTCACTGCGCAGCGCCTGCGACTCCACTCCACTCGTCGCGCTGCCTCGAGTGCGCGGCCGTCACGGGGCGTCTGGCGATGAGAGCCCGGCTGGCCGTGCGGTTGTCTGGTCGCTGCTTCTGCTGGCCGCGCAACGCATTCCAGAGGATGCGGCCATGTGGGTGACTCGGCAGCAGCCCTGCAGCCGGCGAACAGGCTGTTGCTGGCGTCTGGACATGGCAATATGGATGCCATGGGCTTTGATTGCCGACGACTGCGGCGCGCAAAAGCCCATAGTCCCGCGGTGCCCTCGTTGCGTGTGCTGAGACGACCCAGGCCCGCGCTCTGCTCTGGCGCCGCAGCAGTGCGACTCCCTGAGGGCGATCTTGCGACTCATCGCGATGTGCGTAATATTCGTCTGCTGGCTCGATTGGCCCGCGCGCGGCTGTTTGCAGATGAGGTGCAGCTATTCCACTCGCCAATGGCCGTCGCATCGTGTCGAGAGGGGTGCTCGCCGCCCCGAATGGCCCTCGAACACGCCTGCGCTTGGCCACACCTGAAACCAAACCCTCTCTCGCTCTCGCTGCTGTTCCGGGACTGCCCGCCCGCCGTGGTGACGGAGCAGTGCTGCTCGCATCCACCCAGACGCGGTGCTCACCGCCTCTTGGACGTCTCCATCTGAGCTTACAGTGCGCTAAGACGTGCACCCTGGCCCCTCCAAAGCGGCAGCTAGCCTTAGCAGACGCCGTGCTGTTTTCACGCCCCGCAACTCCACCACCAGCGACATCCGTCCGCGCATCGTGTGCTAGACTGTTTCCCGTATGTCGTCGACTGCTCGATCCGCCGCGCTGGGTGGCGATGCTGGCCGTTCCTTCCACGTCAAGGCCACTGCACGTGCACCCGCATGAAGCAGGAACGAGCGGTCGACCCGCTGACAACTCACCCCCAACCTCGTTTTAATATCGCACCTCTGTCTAGCGGACCTCTCGTTCTCGCCACCCGCCGGCCGCTGACAGCAACCTGCCACACGTCGTCTCGCGGGATTCCCCGCCCTTTCGTCCGTTTTGTCGCCTACTTAGCGGGTCGGCATCCGCTGCAGACCAACTATATAGAGACACCTGTATCCCGTGTAACCCGCCTCGTCTTCACATCGCTCACTAGACCGTACCCTCGCCGAACCTCCGAACTGGTCCTAGTCACCATTCGTGGACTTCCATCCCAGGAATGCCGGTGGCCATCTGCAATAGCAGCGCAGTGGCACGCGCCGTAATCAGTGCCAGCTATCCATCGCCCGTCGCACCGCATTGGCGAAAGACGTTATCGTGAGCTGAGGTCAATGGCGCCGCTTCAACAGGCTTGATGCTTCTACGTCCCGGTGCCCTAAAGATGGATGCTGCGTCGCTCAATGCAGTAGCATTTCCTGTTCCAGCCACGGGCATCTGGCACATCTCCGAGTCAACCTCCACCACCTTTCCTCGACCCTGCCGTCGTGCGAACCAATGCCTTACTGGCGCAGAAGTGCGCAACTCGCCGCGCCAGACTGTTTTCTTGAAGGGGCGCACATTCACAATCACTGTGCTCACGCCCTCTGTTCTGTTATCCTATGACATCGCTCCGTGGTGCTACTGTGGCTCCCCCGCGGTGCAAGCACTTGACGACAGATCGTTGGCCTCCAGAACATGTACGACCCGAGCTTTTCACCCACCTGCGCCCACAAAACAATTTTCGCATAGATGTTGTGAGACCTGACGATTGATTAAGGAAGTGACTAGTACCGTGGACCCCCGCCTGTGCTGACTTCAGAAGAATACGGAAGAGTCCAGGAAGACACTGTCTGCTGTTGACTGGTGCGCTGAGATTGACGACCGTCGCCAGTGATAACAATCATCTCCACGGCTTCAAGTCACAAGCTGGAGACTCACCAAAACTATTCCGCCATCGACCCTCTAGGTTAGAGGAGATGAAGATATATGGCTTAAGCCACGATCTAAGCCACGATCGGGTTTGTCTGCCTCTTCACGGCGATGTCGGCGTTTCGTATGACAACAGTATCCCGGCACATTTCGTTCTTAACAACCAGGTGGGCGGTGATTTCTGACCGTCACGTATCTGAAGAGCCACTTTTTCCTGACAGGAAGTAGATCAAGCAAGGTTCCACGTGGAATCCCTGGAGGTGTGTGATTCTGAGCCGTGTGCTGCGCCTGGAAGAGAACTTTGGACGAGGTTGCCTTCTCGTCATGACACTCACTAGAACTGAAGTTAACGTCGTGTGACCAAGAGATGCTAAGGAGGCACGGATTTTAGGGCTGAACCGAACAGCCCCGCCAACCATGTCACGAACGAGTGGGCCTTTGTTCTGATCAAGTCTACCTTTACCCCTCTGGGGCAACCTCTCAGAGTACACAGCTTTGCATGTACAAACTAGTGTGTACTGCCTCCAACATCTCCAAAAAGAACCCATTCCTGGCTACACTCGCACCTAGCATCCGTCTGACTCACTTCTCTTTTTTTTCTTTTTTCTTCCAACTTCCCAATTCTCGACGATCTACTAATGTCGCTGCCCGAATCAACGATTGGGTTCCAAAAAGACGGGATGAGGCTCCGTTGCAGCCCAGCGATATCCACCCAGGTGCATGATGTGCTCTGCATCAGCCCAACATGGACCCACCCGGCGCCTATTTTGGGCCGCTCCAAACCTGTCTATGAGCATCAACACCAAAAGAATATTTCCCGCCTCCATGCCACATCACCACGGAGTCACCCAAATTTACCCCGGACGGGCACTCCCAACAGGGCTCAAATCTGGAGGATCTGCACCGCGAAAGCGGATTCGGCCTTGCGCGGCACTTGCGCGGCCGGGAATTGGGCTGTCCCCGAGGCGTCGGACTTCGCCAAAACGTGGCAAGAGTTTCAGATCGAGCATGCGTATACGCAGGCACGAGATGTATGATTAAGACGCAGGGTGTCCGTTTTGCGAATCCCGAAGTTTTGGCTCTTTTCACGGTGGGCATGCTTGGCGATGTGGTCTGGCTGACAGTGGAGCAGGATAGGCATTTGCGGAGCGGATTATCTCCACTCAGTAAATTAAGACGCTGCGAGCCTGAACGTCTCAAGGGTGCGGTTCTCTAAGCATTTACCGTGGGTACTGATGATAGAGGATGTGAATTGGGTCGCGCTTTCCCCACGTTGCGATTTTACCTTATCAGCCTTGAAAAGTGGCACAGCCCTGTACAGGATTTGAGAGCATCAATTTGAATGCTTATAAAAATGTACTGCCGTTTACCAGGGTCAGTTTCTACGAGCAAGCATGATGGGCAGAGAGCAGAATGAACCGACGTTCACCACCTCTTACAAGAGGGTTAGGCACTTTACAGTCAGAGACGCACGTGCACGCGGTAAAGAAAAGGTTTGTCTCCAAGCTGCCGGGCTTTTCGTGATACTAGGACCCCGATGCATTGTACCCTGGCTTCATGGCGTCGTTAAACGACAGGTTCGCATGCCTACTTCAACGTCAAGTGAGAGACGGTTGGCAGACGACAAACATATTCGGTTCATCGTGGTGCCTCTACTAGATCGCTGAGGGTGCATCCATTACGCGGTGAGCTTTCGTGTCGGGCGACAAGTATGCTCGCTCCACCAAGTTTTTGAACAAGTGTATCGGCACGTACGTATATCACGTAGAAGACAGTAATTAATATCCACCCTTGGTATTCAGTGACTAGGTAGTCATGCCCCTCTCACCTTTTAGCAGGCGTAGATCCATACAAGGCTCCTCGTGTCTCTCCGATCCACTCATCAGGCCTCCACAAAGAATAAAAGACTACTAGATTACAAAAGAAGGGTATGGTATGGAACAGAAGCGCTAAACGACGATGCACATTTCCTCCGGCCCAGTGAAATTCCTCACTGCAGCTCATGTCTCTGATGCACTTGCGCAGCGGCGACCTTCGTATCCGATGGCTGTATGTCCATCCTGTGGTTGCCCCCGATTTCCGGCGGCTCGGAATGGGCCTCGTGAACTTGGGCATACTTGACCATGCCCGCCTCGTCGTACCCGGGAGGCGGGTATGGGTTTGCCTTTCGTCTGCGGAACAGGAACCATCCAAACACCAGACCGAGGAGCAGTGCGCAGGGTATGCCGACACCCATACCGACTTTGGCACCTGTGGAGAGTCCCCCCGAACTCGTGCCCGACTGTGCGTCTGTCACAGCGCCCGTGGGCGCCGAAGTACTGCTGGCCGTTCCTGTGGTCTCGGAATGCCCAGTCGAGGTAGGGGTTGAGAGGTTGGAGGTCGATGTTACTGCGGCAGTGGGGTTTACCGCCGCTGATTTGAGCATGGCGACGTCGGAGCTCTGGAACATTACTACTATGCCGTTCGCGAAGGCATGCGATTCGGCTGTATACGAGCCTGCAAGACGACATGTCAGTTTCGATACCTTGCTGATCACGAGCTGGGGACATCTTACTGGTGCTCACGGGGCCGATCTTGAGTGTGCCGAAGTCGTCATTTTGGGGAACGACGTACTTCACAGTGGAGCCGTCTTTTATCGCTGAGGTACACACGTGTCCCTCTGTGTAGTACCGGAAGCCGCTGTGAAATGAGTCAGTTCTGGTGTCAGTCGGCGCTCAGGGTGTTGGGTTTCACTCACGAAGGACAGCAAAGAATAGCAGTAGTACTTGCTGACACAGACAAAGTTGTCAACATGTTGTTATGTGGTATGCCATCGGTGAATGTGAGAGCACGTGCCCAATCATCTGGGCAGGCAGCTGGGCTGTCTACAGCAGCCTATGATTAGTTCAATGAGACGATGTTGCTCGATGTGAAGCTTACAGTAGTACAACTCCCACGAGCTTGCGGGCTTTATGTCGTCGTATTTCATGGTCCCCAGGGGGTAACACGCGGAATCTACCACACCTGCAGCCCCCCAGCCATAGTACATGTTGTTGTCGAACGACATCGTCTCCGAACATGATGGTGCCGGCTCCCAACGCTTTGTGATCGGTCCACGATTGAAGCTGTCTATCGATGCCTTGTTCGTGATCATCGACGTCTCCGGGGCCGTTGAACTGGGACTTAGGTCTGCCATCTTGAACTTGAGTTTGCGGCGCGTACTCGTGGGACTAGTAAATCGCAGTAATGACAGTGTTGAGGATGGATCAGTATCACCGTTTGATCGAGTCCTGGGGGATCGTATCCAGGCGGGCGAGAGAGCGAGTCTGCAGAAAACCTCGAGACCAGTCGTACGAGAGCAAGCGAGGGGGATGGAACTTTCCATGCAGCAGCACGCGAGGTATTGATTTCTCGGGGCAATGTGAGGGAGCAGGGGATCTGGGGCTGTGCTGACCATAGGATGGCCAAAGCGTAACGGGGCGTAACGGGGCGGACATCCTGCGCTTGCCGCAGTTCGCGATAATCACCCACCAATTGCTCCAATTGCGGGTGCTCGGGGACGTCGAGTTCTCCGAGTATGCTTTAGAAACACTGACAATCTCCTACTCAAACTTCATCAGACAACGCATCTTGCCAACCACGTAGCGGTGCAAACACATACCTTGGGCATGTGTACACACCAAAGGTACCGTAGAGCTGCTTACGGGCGTGGCGTTCTGCATGTGTGAGAAAAGAGAGAGAGTATCCGTGGCGCTCACGTCTGCGCCTGGCCTGAACCCTCCCCCATCCTTACCACATGCATAAGCGGGTGCACATTTTGACTGGCGTGGCACACGTGTTACTGCTTTGGCCCCATACTCTAACACTAGCGAGTCGTCCGATCTAAGCATACCCGAAAGAGTTTCGGCTACTTGACATAGGGTAATGTTAGCGAAGGCTGGAACCTGGGTCATCCGGCGGGTACTCAGTGCACGGGCTTCACTGGGTCGATTGCGAGATGAGATAAATTCGAGTCATGCCCAGATGGGTACGCTAGACTGTCGTACATATCGATCACTTATAAATATGTTCGCCGGCCTGGAGCCGAGGAAAGATGCAATCCAGTCGGTGCATTTCCACAGACCGTAAGACTTGAGACTTGAGAGAACGCTCCTATGATTGAGCGTCAGCTTAACAAGTTCTACAGGGTTGCGGTAATGCCTTTGTCGGGGCGTACTGACTCAGGATGCCAAATACCAGCACGAACCTTTAGTCTTGGGACGTGCGCATGACCTTGTAGGCAATCCTGCCTTACTGTTTACTGTGGTATCAGGCATAAGTAGTGTACATGGTCCGCGCACTGCAGGGGTGCTGCCAAGATGATCACGCGATGACTCATAATCGCTCTATTGACAAAAATACATCTAATTACCTATAATTACGTACTGAAACGCGTGTACCTTTGTCCTCGCTGCCATCCTGAAGTCATCCTCCTCCCACCCACACAATGTCACCGCCATCAACTCCACCTCGCCATCGATACCTCTCCCGCGACGAGCGCCTGCAAGCGCAAACCCTGCACCTAGCAGGCCATACGCAAACTTTTATCGCCAACCTATTAGGTTTCTCTCGCAGACAAGTCGCCTACGCGATCGCTAGCAACCGCGTCACGCCAAAGAAACGTTCTGGTCGCCCTCGCAAGCTCACCGATGCCCAAGTTGATGAGCTTGAGGCCTATATCAAGTCCTCGCGTACAGCCAGGCAGATGAGCTATCAGGCTCTTGCAGAGGGACCTTTTGCAGAGTGGGAAGTCACACAATATGCTATACGGACTGCTCTACGCAGTAGAGGGTATACACGTCGGGTTGCTCATGCGAAACCTCCCCTAACTGAGAGAAATCGACAGATTAGAGCGACGTGGGCCCAGGAGCACCTCCACTGGAGCGCTGAACAATGGTGGCGTATCCTCTGGAGTGATGAAACCTGGGTTACTGGTGGCAGGCACCGCAAAGTCTGGGTTACTAGGAGACCTGGAGAGGAGCTTGATGATACCTGTATAGTTGAAAAGGTATGCAGGAAGCGTGGGTGGATGTTTTGGGGCTGCTTTTCAGGCATTACAAAGGGTCCTTGCCTATTCTGGGAGAAAGAATGGAAGACTATCAATAAGGAGAGCTACTGTGAGAGGATTGTTCCTATTGTTGATGGCTGGTTACGTATGAATCCTACTTTGAGATTCATGCAGGATGGGGCGCCAGGTCACTCTGCTGCGTATACTCGCAATGAGCTTCATGAGCGAGGTATCTATCCTATCTACTGGCCAGCCTTCTCCCCAGACCTCAACCCTATCGAGGCTGTTTGGAATAAGATGAAGGACTATATAGAGCTGCACTACCCTGATCAAGAAGGTGGGAGGCAGCCTACATATGACGCTCTACGGCAGATTGGACAGGAAGCGTGGGACTCGATTTCAGTGCAGGATCTAAGGGAGCTCATTGATAGTATGCCAGCTAGGTGCCAGGCGGTATTAGATGCCGAGGGTGGTTATACAAAGTACTAGAAACCGTATACAAAACAAGACAATACCGGGCTTACGTTACCTGACTCCTGCCAAGCTGCATCCCTGCAGTGCGCGGGCCATGTACACTACTTATGCCTGATACCACAGTATGTTGCTTCCTTCGACTTGGCGGCGCGTATTTGTATCCGAGTGTATTCGCGAGCAGGTGCCAAAATGACTTGAGGGCCCAAACGTACTCTATTATAAAGGTGATCATTTCCTTTGTCTTGAGGATTTCTTGAAAGCTACAACCGTTTAGAGACTACACATAAAGGACAACTGATCCATATGCTCCAGAACACACTAAACTCTAATTTTAGAGAACAGGATCAAAGCATCCAGATGCGAATGCGGGCACTGTATATGGAGCCCTAGAATTAACCAGCTAAGATGAATAGTTCAAGGTAAGTTCGGATACTGAAACGTGAAAGCTAAAAAGACGGCGATCATGTCGCGCTATTTGGAATTGTTCCACAACGCGCGCCCGTGGTGCTGAGCTATGACCTACAGGAAAAAGATCAGTGTCGTTGTAAGATCGGACCAAGGCACAAATTTTCGGCACAGTCGTTGTGCTAGCGGGGCGAGGGGACCCTACAGTAGTAATAGTTAGCACATTGTACCTACTCGAGAGCCAAGCCATCTTTCGGCCGTGCAAATGAAATGTTGAGAAAGTGGTTCGAACGGCCGCACCGTCTGATCTTTTCCTGTCAGAGTTCGAATGTGACAAAAACTAAAAGCCACTTCGAAGCCCGGCTCAAAGAAACCAATTATGGGCTTTTTTTCATTTGGTGAGATTCTTTGCGCAAGAAGAGTATAAATTAGGATTAATCTGGGCGTGCATACTAAAGAAGTGTCTGACAGACCGAAGTGCGCATCTGCGGCAACTTATAGTACTCAAATTCACTGTTCACCTCAACATTGAGCAGGCCGAAAAGTCTTAATTGTACTTCAGTAATCGACGCAATAGCCTCCATACCGGGTATATGTCATGTCCCCCTCTCCTGCTGTATATTACGGTGCCTGATCGACATCTGCTCAATGGAACTTGTTCTGCTCAGCACCGACATCATTTTCCAGGAACACCTCGATCTTATCATTCATCTTATGCCCAATATCGTTACAAAATAGACAAGCGATGATAGCACACACACCAAAACTGAGCGAGCTCAGCGCTGTTGTGCGTAGCCCAATGACATAGCTTTGCGTGAAGGCTGCACCGGCTGCTGCAATGATCTCCGAGTTGATTCCTGGAACTTTGGCTAGGGCATCGGCACCTAGAGGTAGAGCGGCAAGGAGCGCGGACGCGGAGGAAGGATCCAGACCGGCGGCGGCGGCAGCAGCTGGGACTAAGCGGGCGGCATTGGTGGATTGGACGTTGGTCAGAATTGTTGTGTAAACTTATACTTGTTAGAAGAGTAACCTCTAAGCTGTCATAATGCACCACGATAATAGGATAAGGGCCCAGTATTGCGTGTTAGCTTGGGGCAGGCAAATCGTAGGTCGATTGTACTCAGACTTTCGTCCTGGTACTGTAGGCGAACCACATGGGTTTCCAGATTTGAGACCGCCCGTGGCTATCATGTGACTGATCTTGGAGAAGCTTTGCATGGGATACGTACCAGAGATAGCAATCGCACCACCAGCGAATCTCGACACGCCTGCCAATCCACCGGAGATACCCAACTCAACTTGCGGCACACCGAACTGAATGAACGCAATTGACAGATATTGCGCCCATCCGAATCCTGTCATGGACAAGAAGACAAAGGCCAGCATCATGCCTTTTCTCTCAGGGTTGCCAAGTGCAAGAAGCGCACCAAAGACAACCATGACAGTCACCGAAGCAGTGAGAGTCCACTTCCAGTGGCCTATCTTGCTGCCAAATATCGTCAAAAGGGCGGCTCCGAAGCAGAGTCCTGAAAACGTCAGTCATGAACTCAATATCGCGACGAGACGACAATCTCACCCAGGTTCTGCGGCAACGTCAGCAAGATACCATATCTGAAGTCCGTAGTCGCATCCGTGAAGAACACCGAGATCATGGTTGGGTAAATCACATTAGTAGCATAATAGAACATGGTGACCACAAACCCCACGATGAACGGGAATGTCAATTCTCTCCCCTTGTCCCTTGTGAACACATGCGGAGGCGTAAGCGGCTGCTTGAGCGGCGCAAACGTCTCCCACAATGCAAACGCGACGAGACAGGCGAAGCCGCTGACAAGCGTGCCGATGACCTTGGGGTTTTTAGAGGGAAGCGTGGTGGTGTAGACAATGCCGACGAGAATGAGGGTGGCGGCGAGGATGAAGAGGATGGCGCCAACGTAGTCGAGCTCTTTGAGGGCTTGCTTTGTGGGGAGACCTCTGGGGTGCTTCGGAGGGAAGTAGTAGAGATAGAGACCGAGGAAGCTGAAGAAAACGGCGATGGCCGGGGCATAGAATAGCCAGCGCCACTAGAGAGGGAATTAGATGGGTTTCTGATAGTTTGAGAAGATCAACTCACCGAGTCAGCGTTTTGTGCAGCAAAACGACCTGCTACCGGGCCAACTACAACAGCAAAATAAACACCAGCGTCTTCATCTCATTAGCATACAGGGCTATTTTCGACATTTTCGGTCACGTACCAGCAAGCACAATGGCTGCCGCGCGCCACTTGTTGGGCAGTAACTCTGGCAGTGCAAAAGCTGCAAGCTGAGCATTTCCAGCGCCCTATAACACAGTTAGCCTTGGCCATCGAGGCATGCTCGTACACTCACGAATCCAATCAAAGCCATGGCTGCCAACATGGAAGTGTTGTTCTTCGCAGAACCGCCCACAATGAACCCAACGAACATGATGACGTTTCCCGCCACGATGAACCACCTTCGGCCGAACAAGTCACTGTTGGCACCGCAGACCATGAAAGCAATGGTTACAGTCATGGTGTACAAGCTCACGTAGAAGGACGCGGCGCTAGGATCACCAAGTTGGGTGGCGGTTACGGTCTGACATGCGCTGATGGCGGGGACGATCCAGAAACTGATGCCGTAGGAGAGTGCGAGGATCTACTATGTTAGTACGCGCTTCAATGTAAGAATCCTTTTGCCTGAACAATACTTACGGTCACAACGCACCATGTTTTGATTGTGACGTGGTACTGGATATCTGTCTGCGGATGGTGTTCTATTGCTGATTTCTCAACGTCTTTGGTTGTGAAGTCTGCTGGAATTTTCTCTCTATCTGCGGGATTAGACTGCCGCTGCACGTCTGGTTTCTCCTCCAAGGTCGTCATGGTCAAAGATGGATGGAAGTTAAGATGCTGCAAGGAGGTCCTGAGTTGAGTCTGGCAAACCTCGGGTGGGACGCAATCACGGTCTACATAAAGGAATGGGAGAAGTCCTAAAGTTATATCGTCTATACCTTTGAGGCATTGTCGCCTGACATAAACTTTTGCGGCAAGCGCACGCCAATGGCTAGTCCAGCCTTGTACCGCTCTTCTGCACGTTTTACCCTGCTCGTCCGCAAGCTAAGCTGCATCTCAGCGAAGTAGTACATTCTGTTCGGCTATAATTGTGGTACGCAAAGGTTAGCCGAACGTATCGAGTCGAGCTGGCAGGCGCGTGATGAGTTCGCATTGACGATCCTCAAGGATACGCTTTTCCGGCTCCCTATCCCCGGGAAAGCATCGGTCGCAAATGACGCCTGGGGCATGTGGGGATGCTGTTCGTCGGCGAGGACCATGACTTCTCTTGTCGAGAGTCATCGCGAGACCCTTGTTGATGCTGGATGAGTCGCGCGACCTTGGTCAGTAGGATGGAAGAGATTGCGACAACGTTGATACGTCAGCTGAAGGGGTACAGCATGTGTAGGCACGTATAAAGACATCCAAGCTACATTTGAGGTCACAGAAAATATGAGCTACGCTGGACAAGCCTCGGTAGAATGCGAGAGGCTCATCATTGGCGTTGGAAAGGGTCTATGAAGGCTTGCGGTACAACTGTCCCTAATACGGGCTAGCGCGTAGGGTCCCACGACTGCAGCACCTCAGTGTTCACGTCAGGCAAATCTCTCTTGACATCAGCGCGTCAGGTAGAACTGTAGACGACAAGTCGTGATTTGAGCGTGAGATTTGGTCGAGAAGTCGGTGCACATACTGGCTATCGCGATGCTGGGAATGCACAATGGGGTAGATTCCAAGAGTACTCGTCGAGTCTGCTGTTCTCGCATGCAGTGCATGTCGCGCTCCACCGTGATATACATATGCCAATAACGCCCGTCCAATGCATGGTCTTTTAGTGTACACATCCTACAAGCCGTCTCTGCACGGGTCTGCGCCTATCTGAAGCTGGCCTGGCCGGCTATGTCCTTGATCTCCTCGAACTTGGTGCCCATCTTGACAATCGAGTAGCGTATCAGGCGCGGGTCCAGACTCATTGTGCGGCGGAGGGAGTGCTGTGTGCGGGCGCTGGCGTCGAAGCGCATGATGAAGTGGTGGCCGACGTTGTGCGACGACTGCAGCTTCTTCGCGGGCTTGGGCAGGAGGAAGGTGCCCCAGTTGGTGACGCCGCGGACGACGCCGTTCCTCTCGAGGACGATCTTGCCGGCCGTCTTTGCGATTCTGCGGACGGGTCAGAGAGCGCGGCGGCAGGGGGAGAGAGGAGGGCTACTCTTTGACTTCGGAGAGGCGGCCGGGGCGCACCTGCAGCTGTCAGCATCGTCGTCGCATCGCGGGTCGTCGCCGGCGGGGGCTGCGCACCACTCCGATCATTTCGTACAGCATCGTGGCGGGCTGTCGCGTCGGGCGTGTCTGGGGGGTGGACTGGACTGAAGCTGCTCGGAGGGTTGCCCGACGGCCGACGGCCGCGCTGCCATATTTTTCTGCTTCGGTCCTAGCCCCAACGCGGGCGGCCCGCGTCATTCGCTGCTAGCTGGTGGGACAGCTCCAAGCCCGACAGGCACAGCGAGAGCGCGCGAGCGCTGCACCGAATCCTTTCTCCCTCACCCTCCCGCGCCTGCCATTCACTCCCACGCACACACGCACACACAATGGCCGCCCGCTTCTCCGTCGCCCGCGCCGCCCGCCAATTGACCTCGTCTGCCGCCCGCCCGCAGGCTCCCCGTGCGTGCCCGTGGCAGAAGGCCAGCAGCCAGCAGCCGCGGCTATTCACGGTCTCCGCGCAGGGTACGCGCTTTGGTTCCCGCGCAGTCTGGCGAGCGTTGCTGACGGGTGCGCAGTCAAGGAGAAGAAGTACACCGAGGACCACGAGTGGATCGAGGCTTCGGCCGACGGCAAGACGTGTATGTCGCACTGCACTGCGCCCATCTCCCCGCCCGCCGCATGCTCACAGCGCATCCAGTCACGCTCGGAATCTCTGAATACGCCGCAAAGGCCCTCGGCGACGTCGTCTACGTCGAGCTCCCCGAGGTCGACCTGGAAGTCAGCTCGGGCGAGGCCATTGGCGCCGTTGAGTCGGTCAAGTCTGCCTCGGACATTCTCAGCCCCATTGGCGGCACCGTCACCGAAGTCAACGACGCCCTGCAGGAGAAGCCCGGCAACCTGAACAAGGACCCGGAGGGTGACAGCTGGATTGCCAAGATTGCCGTGACCGGCGAGCCTGAGGGCAAGCTCATGACCAAGGCCGAGTACACTGCTTTCACCGAGGACGCATAAACTGCTTTTGTTGTAAACTACAACCTGCACATGAGCCCAGCACTTCAACAAGCTTGCGGCTACCTTTTGAAACTAGATCATGTCCCTGAGAGTTGTACCCAAGAACAGGGCGATGCAGGCTCCCGCGTCGACTTGGACACTGGCGATTTGCTACCAGGTCGATACGAGAGGCACGCAGACACATGAGTCACCCTAGGGTCAACTTGATCGTCTCGGATTAGTGCAACTGCAGGCTTCAATTTGACCTTCGCATTGAGACGAAGGCCAGTCTATGTTTACAAACAAATAAGAAATGTACATAAAACTTTTTGCGACCCCGCCACCATCTACTCTTCGTCCTGCGCAATCTTGATCACCACTTTGCCCCTCGCATGTCCCGTCGCCGTCTTCGCAAACGCTTTCTCAAAGTCCTCCATCTTCCATACACTGTCCACCCACCCCTTGACCAGGCCCTTCTCGATGAACCTCCCTATGGCTGCCAGCTCGCTCCCCCTGCTGTCCATGACGAACCACTCGCTCCTCACACCTGCCGGCTTCCCACCATCGGGTTCCCGAAACCCCGGCGTGACACATATATAGGTGCCGTTGTCCTTGACAGCGTTCCACCCATCCAACATTGCATTCCCGCCCACACAACCAAGCACAAGATCAAACTTTTTCCCTTCCTCTCCTCCGACATACTCCTTCAGGCTCGTCGTCGTGTAGTCAATCACCTCCGCCCCCAAGCCCCTGACGAACTCGTCGTTCCTCCCGGAGGCGGTTCCTGCAACGTACGCCCCCGCGAGCCTTGCGAACTGAATCGCCATCATCCCCACACCCCCAGCCGCGCCCAGCACAAGCACCCTCTTCCCCTTGGCCAGCTCCGCGCCCTGGATTTCCCCCGCATCCGTGACACGCGGCACGCTCGCAGGCGCATAACTGCCGGTCAACAACCCCTTCTCAAAGACAGCCTGCCACGCCGTCAACGCGCTCATTGGAATCGCCGACGCGTCCTCCAGCCCCAGCCCCTCGGGCACCAGCGCGGCTTCCGACGGCAAGAGCGTTGCGTACTCGCGCGCCGTCCCTTCGCGCCCGGCGTGCACACGGCCAAAGACCGCGTCTCCGACCTTGAACGGCGAGCCTGCGACCTCGGTCACGACAGTTCCGCTGACGTCGTAGCAAGGGACGTGGAGTGTGGGCCAGTCGACGAAGGGAGCCCAGGTCAGCTCGCCGTTCGTTATGGCAGTGCTGTGAACTTTGATCACGTGGCCATCGTGAGGGGACGGCGTCTGGGCGGCAGACGTGAAAGACAGGGCGTCTGTGGTGGTGTTGAAGATTACGGCCTTTTGCTGCTGGGGTAGGTTGGACATTGCGATAGAGTCGGGTCTGCTTCTAGGTTTCGTTTTGATTGAGCGTTGGCTTGAACAAGGATTGCAGATTCGTCTTAGTATGCTGTGGTAAAGCGGCCTGTCTCAACTCTCTACCTTTTCGTATTTATACGCACTCTGAGCACTCTGAGCCTGCTCGAAACACTAAGTTTCCGTGCCATCCACCGCCGAGAGACCGATGACCGACGTGCGACGCATGATGTGCAAAGTCAAGATATAGTAAGCCAGTAGCCACTATCCAGCCAGTGTGATGACGACCTGCGCTATGCACGTCATGCTTTAGGGTTCCGGACTGGTGCTTCAACAAAGAGCGAGTCTGCGGCATGTCGGCTGCCAAGGCTCGGTCTCTCGGATCGTTTTGCCCAACAGGATACACGATACCACAGGACCAAAACGGACAGAACAGTGCAATCCAGACGGTGTGCAGATTTCAGAACGTGTTCAATGTGACTAAGTACGGTTTCATGGCGGGAATCTTTGAATCTATCTCCCTGGGTTTTGCCGGTGATGCAACCCTGCTACGAAAACATATTCTGCCTCGCCTTCTGCTGCCTTGATGAGTCTTCAAACTGATTCTTAGTTAGTGCTTGGATCGGTAAAGTCACGTCTGCTTGCACATACCTCTAGAAATCCGGTCACCTCTACCAGGACCGTGAAGCAGTCCACCAATTCGCTCAAATCCTGTATCAAGACGCCATCCTGTCCAATCCCGGCACCAACATTAACACTTCGCTTGAAAATGGCGACCATACTGTGTCTGCTCTCTTTCAGAAATTCGCGAGCCGCAAAAACCGTCTGATCATTCTGGCGTCCACGCGCCAGCACCGCGGCGTTGATGACACGCAGCACAGCAAGCATGAGCTCGTAGTACTTCTTAAGCGCGTCGGGGTCGTCGAATTCGAGACCAATATCTGGATCCACACCGAAGATGCCCGATTCACGGGTGGAAGGGAATAAGCCCGCATTGAGTACAGATGTGGCGCCAGCATGGGTTTGGCAGATCCGGAGGAGAAGTGCAAGGCTGGCATCGTAGTAAGACAGTAGTACAGCTACTTGAGGCCCGGTGGCTGCTTTGAGTTCCTCAGGTATGTGTTTGATATTGTCGACGAGCACGCCAGTGAAATTCAGCGAGCCGAATGTGTCTAGCATGTATTTGGATTCCTGTCGAGTGGCTACTGCGACGAGCGCGTTAAGCAGAAGCAAAGCCGAGATGCGGCACGTCCGTTCGCCGCTGTATGCATCGTCGCATACTACCTCCAAAAGCTGGCTGCCACAGTTCTTAATTGTAGTCAGCGTATGCCGTCCCAGCAGTGAGCCTCTGGTGGCCTTCTCGAAGGTGCCATGGATATAGCGAAAGCAGATTTGGTAGCAATACTCGCGGAGACGAGGGGTTGATATAGGGCTGTAGACTCCAGCCAGAGCTGCGCGGAAGAGCTGCGAGAGCCGGTCGTTGGCCAGATCGCCATTCCTTGTATTTTCGAATGCGCTGGATTTGAGGTCTATCTTTTCAATGAGAGTTTCTGAAAGACTGGCTAGCTGCAATGCTGTGTCTATGTCGGTTCCGTACGAAAGCTCGAGCTTCGGGAGGATAACCTGTAACGCTTGGAGGATGAATGCTGTTCGTTCGCTGTCATCGAATTCACCTGCGTGAAGTGTAACGATCAACAGCTGGACCCAAGATCGCAGAATGTCTTTGTGATAGCGAGCAAGCTGTGTGCGACGGTTCCAGTCCTCAAAGAGCTCGAGCAGCATGTCGCCCTCTTGTACTCTCTTGATCTCTTCCTCGCCATCCAGACCTTCAAACTTTCTCCAGTATTTCATCTTCAGTAGCATGACCTGTTCCAAAAGTGGTATTGAATACATGGCAACACCGTCCTTTGTGTCCTGACAGGATGTCAGATTGACTCCGAGGAAGAATTCATGGTGCATTTCGCCTGGCTCGGGGTAGGACAGCTCCATGAAATCAAACAGGTTGAAGATGTCAGCGGTGCGTACAGGATCTTCGCCGGGTCGTATAGCTGTGCCGAGCAAAAGGGACTGAATCCTAGTTTTCAAGCTAAAAAGCCCTTCTTTTACACTGTATCTCAACTCTCGAGACTCGTAGTCCAGAAACGCGGCGCGACGCTGCAGGAAAAGCTGGAGCGCAAAGGCTGGTTGACCGATGAAGAATGACGACATCGTGCCCGCCGCAACCTCCTCGAGGCCCTGCTGAAGCGACATTCCATCCCAGAGGGTGCGTAGGTCAACGACTTGGAGGCGCATCGCCTCCTCAAAAGGCATACCGAATTCCCGCATCTGCTCCATGACGATGCTACCGGTCAATGGTGATCTCCATAGCCGTTGAAGGATTTCCCAGCATTTAGTCTTGATAACGGACATCCACGCAATGTGATTACCACCATCTTCAGCAGGATAGTGGTAAGCAAGTAGTAGTATTGCATGGAAAAGAGAACTTTCGTTGTCGAACAGGCTGTCGGGGGCAACTTTAACCGTGTTGTTTTCGCAAGACAAGCCGAGGAGGATATGGGCAATTGTAGGCCTTTGAGACACAGCGATGAGGCAGCTGTTGAGGAACTCGAGGATGCGGAGCTTGATAATATAGCCAGGTGCTTCTTGCAGAGCGTCAAGCTCATCCACATTAAACTTCAGAAGGCTGGCCAATGACCGACCAATACGTTCAGCTTCGTTGTCCTTTTCGAGTATACCAACGATCTTGCTACGACCAGTACGTTGTCCAAAGCTGGCTGGAGATACTGCAAGCTTGCGCGATGATGCCATCTTTTCCAGAAGTTGGAGAGAGGCTATTGTAAGCGACTCGTGCCCGGTGCCGCAGTAAAGGCCAAGATCGACAATGATTTGGAGGTTATTGAGAACAGCATCCTCAAATGAAGCCAGCGAAAGATTCGAAACAGGTGTACGCTGCATCAAGTTTTGCTGCTTCAGCAGCGGCCGCACAATGTCCAAGTAAGTGGCCTGCAATTTCATGACAAGGTCCATCACCTCTATGCTCAACATCAACGATTGAACTAATGGTGAATCGGCGGGAGCGGCATCGACTTCAGCAACGTTGTGATGTGATGATGCGAAGAGAGCCCTAATGACCTTGTCGTTGAAAAGCCATTCCATTACCCTTGTGAAAGGATGTAGGGTAACGTACGCAGCCAGAGACGAAGTTTCGATGACTTCGTCGACCGGGATGTTCGACTTGTTAGCAAAGACAACCAGGTTCTCGTTGAAAGTTTGCAAGCAGGTAACCATGAATCTCAGACAAGTCCATCTCAGCACATGCCGCTGCAATGGGTCCTGTACTTCCGGGCTTCTGTCTGCAAATACTCGCTGCATGACAAAATCAATGTAGTTCTCTATACCAGGAATGCGTCGATTCGAGCCCAGAGATTCTGGGAACGGAAGACTGTCGTTCAGCGTGTCGTTGTCCGGATAAGGCTCAACTAAAGCCTGTAAAAGGCGGATGAACGCAATCGACTCGTCGTACCCATCAGCAAGCGTAGCCCAGAACTCATCACGGGGGCTGGGATTTAGAGCGCTAGATTGCTTCGAGCTGACATAGAACCCGGAAATTGTCCACTCGTCCAAAGTGTTCCACGTTGCGGTTGACCGTTCTTTGCCCTTGCCCACAAGTAAGGCCGATGCGGCATCAAATGCGGCTGCGCGAAGACCAGTGACCACTTTGTCAGTGCACAGCCCAAAGCAGATACCTGCCAGGTTGTATTCTGGATGCTCTAGGAGATAATGGCGCGCCAACGCAGACTCACGGCAGAGGTGGGCCAGCAAACGCAGATAGCTCTCAAGCATCGTTGCACTTTCAGGTTCCACGATCTGGTCCACGGCATGCTGTGACGGTGCATACAAGCCGCCTTGTATGGTCTTCTTCGGCTCGTGAATGTTGAGCTGGAATTCGATCAGCTCACTGAATATGTGCGTATAACTGAGAGAGCTAGTCCTGCGAATCTTCCCTGTAGAGGAGGCTCCTTCTTCCAGCAAAAAGCGGTGTGCAGAGTCGGCATTCGCGTTTCCGGTGGAGATGGCGCGGAGCATCTCGCAAAACATGGCAATCCGTGGCGTGGGCTGACGTTTGGCGGCCCACTGAAGGAAACCGTAGAGATTGCTTTCCTTGTCGGACCAGAAATCTTCAGCGGCATCTGGTGAACCATCATATGCATATGAGACCACGACAAGGAATCGCTCGAGATGTAAAGGATATTCTCCCGTGGACTGTTGGAAATGTAGTTGCAGGCGCCTCCGCTGGTCGTCTTCTTCCGCTTTCAGCTTTCGCAGCGTATCGGGCATGTTGGTAATGAAGGAATCGACAAAAAATTGCAATTGTTCCGTGACGAGTATCCGGAAAAAATCTTCAGGCTGAGGTGAATCAGGAGCCAACACGGCCGCATCCTGCAACAATGACGATATCATGCTAGTTTTCTGGGGGTCGTACCAACGCGTCGGTCGCACGTCTTGGCTGAAGGAGAGCATGAAATGGAATGCGCCGTCGTCGAGGGTACGCATGAAAGCCTCGGAGCGAGCAATGGCTTCTTGGTCAAAATCCACACCATTGAGATCAACATCCTGATGGTTCGGATCCGTGTATCGCCCACTGTACTCGGCCAACCACCAAGCCAACGTCGCTGCATGCAAGCTCCGTTGTGCCCATGGCTCATTATCTCTGGCAGCAAGCAGCGAGCTGTGCAGCGCTCGCGCATCCCTGGTCACCGTGTTCGCCTCGGAGGCAATGTGTGCGATAAGGCGCATCAGGACTGGGACGTAGTGAATTGTTATGAGATCATGTTTGTCGATGGTCTTTGCTCGCGCGATGAGCGCCTTAAGGTTTTCCATGTTGGCGAATCCTTTTCTAACCATGTGCGTGCAAATGGCAGCGAGGTTTTCGTGCTGGCGGGTGAGACTCTGTAGCTGGTATGTCATGACCTCATTGAAGCTCGCAGATTGAGACTGGCCAACAACTTGGGCACTCTGGAGGCGCTCTGCAATCTTTTGAAGCCATTTCTCGATGTCGCCCATGCTCTCCAGGCACTTTCCCCAAAACTGGTACGCCGAAGCGAAGTTGTTGGTTCCATGTACGCCTACGATGAGGTCGACAGCTAATTGCAGCCTGTCCTCTTGGGCAGTCTCGTCTTCGCTGCTGTCGAGCGCCGCCTTCATCAAGATACGCAGGCACAGGAGGATGTATTCGCGGTGCCGATGGAAGCGGATGATGGCAGTCTGCGCCTGCGGGCGGTCGAGGTCCTGCGCCTCTTGCTGGGCGCCCAGGAAGCATGCAGCAGCTTCCAGCTCGTCCAGGTCCAGCTCTTCGGCGACATTGAGCGCCTCCTGCTTGAACTCGTCGTTCACTTCGTACTCTTCTCCGTCGATGGTGATCTTGCCCGAGCTGAGCGCGTTCCTGCTCTGGTCGTTCTTTCCGCGTTTGTTCACGAGCGCCTTGAGGCTGTCGAGGTGGTCCTCGAGGTTGTGGTACAGGCGATCGAGCACCGGGAGGCGGTTGTCAATGAGGGCGCATAGGTCGCGGTGCAGGGCCTCGAGGGCCTGGAGGCCGTCGTCGTCAGCCATGGGGGATTTGCAGGGGGGCTCTGCGCATCATGCGCGGGGCGAGGCGGGGCGAGGAGCAGGTCGTGGAGGGCGCGGTGCTGTCAAAGATTCCGTCAAACGGTGCTGGACGCGCTTGCGCTTGCGCTTGCTGGGAGCTCGGACGCGCCTTCCCTTGGCATTCACCCTGCGTGCGGACCCCCGAGGGCAGGCGCGTCCGGCGTCTGGCGGGGCACCACTACGCGCACCACGTCCACCTGCACTGCACTCCAGCTGGCCGGCAGAGGCTGGGTGATGCTCTCCACTCGCTGCCCAACTCGCCCGGGAGTGCACTGCGCGCGGCCGCTAGCATGGGCGTCACCAGCATCCAGGACGCGAAGGGTAAGACACTGGGCCGGGCGTCGCACGGCTGGGCTGGGCTGACGGCTCGCAGTTTTGATCGCGTCGACCAAAGTCAAGGAGCGCGGCGCCGGCCTCAAGGACCTGATCCACATCCTGAAGCACAACCATGGCAAGGCGAGCCTCGAGACCATCACCAACAAGGCGTACCTGGCGCTGTGTGAGACGCTCTTCCAGTGCCTGCGCGACGAGCGCTCGACGTACCAGCACCACCTCGCCGGCAGGACCAAGTCGGCCCAGACCCACGCGAACCTCCTCCAGCTCGCCGCCGTTGCCCTGCGCCATGTCATCAACTCGGCGCTGCGCACCATCAAGGCCACCACCGTCGAGCTGATCGTCGAGACCATCATCGAACTGCTGCCCGACAAGAACGGGAGGTTTCTCGGTCCTCTCGACGAGCTCCCCAAAGCCCTCCGCGCACTGTTAGAATACCAGCCCCATGTAGAGCGCATGTCGCACGACTGCTGGCACGACACTGTCCAGTTCTGCACCGAGTCTCTGTCCACCATCTTCGCTGTCGCAGAAGAAGAGCCGCACGACAGCTGGGAAACCACCGTCTCTAGTCGCGCTCGAACCCCCTTTGAGTCCACCGACGGCGCACCGAGGCCCAGTCTGCGAGGCAATGACAGCGCACCAAGAGCCACCCCACGGGGCACCGCGTCGCGTAGCAGACGCTATACTGACGGACAGACGATTACGGCTGAAGACCTAGTTCAATGCCTGCACATGCTTGCGAAGGCTTCTAATGCCCCTATCTTATCCTGCGCACATGCTATTCTTGATGCCCTCATCGCGTTTCTTCAGAAGAAGACGGGCCGTGGAACTCCCGCGGCGCTTGCAGCAATCAATGCCATATTGCCTCGCGTCATATTGTCCAAATCCCAACTCAGTGAACAAGTCATCAGGGAGCTCCTCCCGCTGTTAAGATCGCTGTGGTCTGACCCTGTCATAAGGGACGAGGTCATGATTACCTTGACTTACGTCGAAGCACACCTTCGACACCTTGTGGCTACTGACAGTGATGGTGTACTTAGTCTCGATGCAGAAGCGCTTGTTGAAGCCTTCTACAGCGACTACAGGCGCAGACAGGAGACCACAGCGCATCAGTTTCTAGAGGAGGATTATCTCTGCTTTCGCAAAGCAGGTGGAGTGGCTGCCAACGTTCATCCGCTGTCGACGCACACGTTTTCCATGGATACTGAGAACGTCCGTTACGAGTCCTTGTGGGCTACAGTCGCGTATATCGCAAAGCTATCCGCCATGCTGGATGGTAGAAAACACAAGCTGGCCCGTGGAAATGACCGTGATGATGAACTAGCCACGAAGCGTCATCGCATTACCCACCATTTTGATGAATACCTTCGACATGTCTCCGAGACTCGTTCCAACGCTAAACGGTCTGCCCTCCAAGTTCTTGCATTCATGGTGCAGGAAATTCCACTTGATGAGGACCAGATTTTGGCTCTATTGGACAAGCTAACTGTGATAATCTCGGCTGAGAACTCCGTACACTCGTCCTGGGCCATGATTGCACTAGCAGCGTAAGTCGTCTTACTCAAGCTTGTGATTGAAATCTGACGTGAACAGAATCGCTTGCCAGCAGCAGGCTACCAAAGATGCGCTGAAGCCCTACTGGTCTTCAGTCTGGCAATCTGCAACTCGAGCCGTTACGTCTCTATCCTCGTGTCGTGCAGCCTGCCATTTGATGGATGTGTTGTTGAAACTCGACGTTGTCTCTTTCTCAACCGTCACCGCTAGTGTACAAAACATGCTGTTCTCGATTGAACTCAGTGGACCAGCATTACTTACAGAGACAAGCGCGGCTTTCATGACTACATTGATCCGTGAGAGGGTCAAGGAGAACCCTACTAGTCACGATGTGACCGCTGAAAGGATTCTCAATTGGCTGTTTGGCAAATGGACCCCACGTAAGCACCTGCGTGAACTCATCGGTGACTGGCTAACCAAATGAACAGACCTTTGGGCAGAACGAACGTCGACTTCTCTCAACGCACATCATTGCGATGCTCGTGACATACTCTCTCTGCTACATGCGTGTCTGGATCGTTCTGTCGCTTCTGTACGACCTGCCGTTTTCCAGATTCTTGGGCCCATAGCCCAAGCTCGTCTACGAATCGCTAATTTCGCCGACCTTTCTGCGTATCTTCTACTCCTTGAGCCTCAAGAGAAATTTATCCGAGAGCTGACACTAGCATCTGGTGCTGTCAACTCTACTCCATCGAGTTGCGCCATTCAACTTGAGGGCCGCATAGTGAACTTCTGCATAAGTGAGCTAGAGCGGACCAAGTCACGGTGGAAAGATATGTCACAACAAAATCCACAAGGTATTACTTCAAACATGTGGCGCGTTATCACCAATTTTTGCGTTGTCACGGCGGCGCTGAGCGCTTTGCTTCACCGCAACGACCGTCCTGTAGCGGCACTAGATGCTGCTACAGACAGTGCCGCACAATCGTTAAGTCACTTGCTCGCCAAACCTCAGACTGAGCAATACAAGATGGAAGCGGTTCTCGAGACGTGCGCTGCCAGCCTGCCCGATATCACCTCTATAACAACTCTCTCCTCCACTGTTTTTCATGAGGCTGGTGTTTCATATTTGGCAACGCACCTGCGTCGTGCTCTTAACAGCAGGCAGGAGACCAAGCGATCTTTTTACGCTGAAGATGAGGATCTCATGGATCTTGATGGTGGTATGGATTCGCAAATGTCCAATGGTACATCTACAAATGAAGTCGAGGTGCCACGCCACGACCTTCAGGCTTCCGGAGAAGCAGGCGCACTGCACGCATGCAGTGCTACCTATCTCCACCTTATCTCGTCGGTGGGTGATCAGCTCGAGGATGAACGAGATACAATACCTGCCGAGTTCATTGAGCACTTGGTTTCTAAATCACAGTCTGACTTGCTCCGTTCTCGACAACTACTCAAGGGGATACTGTGTGGTCACTTCCATATGTCAGCAGCCGATTGCCTCAAACTCTTGGAAAAGCTTATGGAAGCTTTGATTGATCCAACTGCGCGAGAATACAACTCATCGGAAGTAGCCAATTGCATGATGGTTGAAACTCTGGTCGGAATGACAAAAGTGTGGAACTCAGAACCCATCGATCAGGAATCAGAGGAAGTTCAAGAGCAGACGCAAGCACTGTACGAATATTACACCAGGGACATGGAAAAAAGTGGAGTTCGCGCATCTCCAAGTTTGCAAACACGTGTTGCTGATTTCTTGCACGGTCTGCTATCGTGCTACAATATCTCCAACGACGCGAAGTCGCCATCAGTACGAACAAGACTCTTCCAACTACTATCAAAGGGGGAGATGACTGTCAAATACCACATCGCTAAGAAGCTACCAACCGTTTTCGAGGTATGGTCTCTTTCTACACATGACGATATCTTGCAAGACGTTGACAGCCACCTTCCCGGAGACGGGGAAGACCTGGAAGGCATCGCGATACGTCTGCTTGTTTTATCTAAGCTCGCCTCGCGCTGGCATACTCTGCTCAGGCAGTGTGTGTACCGTATTTTTGCAACCGCTGGTGTTGTTTCTACCGCAGCGCTACATGCAAGCCACTGCATATCTGAAGTGGCGCGTGCTAAGAAACTCGGCGATTCGACGTCATTATTCCGGTTGTTTGCTCCTCAAGTTATCTTCACCTGGCTTGATCGCAAACGGAAGTACGCAGAGATACCATATACGATATTCGGCTACGACTCACTCGCACATTTGCTGCGTGATGTCGAATCAGAGGCTGTCGGACAAGCAATCATGCTTGGCATGGAGTCGGAGGTCGATTACATTGCCCAGGAGCTAGGTGTCAAAGTATCTGAATTGCTCTCAAGGAACATCAGCAAAGCTGCCGCTTACACCATATCCTGGGATACGTGTAGAGGTTCTGGGCGGAACAAAGATTTACCAAGCAACGAACAGCTGTTGTGTAAGCTCATCAGCAAAACCGACCACGAGCAGAAGGTCGGCGGTGACAGAGGCAACATGAAGAATGGCCATGCTACAGGGCCTAAGCATCTATCCTTAGATCAGAAATATTTTGCCCTAGCGCTAGGGCATCTATTCCAGACCGTTGATTACGAAGAGAGGATAAAGAAGTCACTTGAGAAACGTAACTCATCCGACCCCGCTCTCCACGCTTTGACAAGGATGCTCAACAACTCTCAGTCATCTGGAGACTTCAATGTCGGCATCGAACCATCCTTCTCTGCATTCTACCTCCCAGATCAGGTTGACCGGCTCTGCCGCCGCGCATTTGGAGGTATAACAAACTTTTGGAATCCGGCCACGTACACGCTTGTCCTACGGATGCTCCTAGACAGGATTCATCCCGCTCTGGGCTCATTGTACGCCCGATCAATGATCCGCAAGATCCGAATCGTGGTGGCTTTCGCCGGTTCAGTAGCGTACCAAGGATACCCTTTGCAGATGACGCTGCAATCACTAAGGCCCTTCCTTACAGACATTCAGTGTGCAGAAGATACCATCGGCATAATACAATACTTATTCGAGAATGGAATGCAGTACTTGAGCGACAATCTCAGCTTCGTTACTGGCATCGGCTTGTCCATTTTGATCTCACTACGGAGCTTTCTTGGCTCATCCCAGGAGATCATGACGCAGCAATCCCAATATTTGGCTTCTATGGACTCGGCCAAGGTGTTTCATACATGGCTCACGGCCAAACTGAAAGGATATTCCGAGGGTTTAACAGTCAACGATCCATCTTCAGTCAATGCGTTCAAACTCATTACAACAGCGGCTTCCCAGGTACGTCTACAGGGTAATTCCATACGTGACAGTGAAGAAAGTAAGCTCCTGCTCGAAATATTGGAGGACGTTAGATCAGGTCGCAAGCTCTTGAACACAACGTCTCGAGACGTGGCACTCAATTTGCTGTGCCAAGATTTCCAACCAGCATCGACCGCCGCAGAGGACATACTTGGAAATGATATAGATGCTGCGGGGTATGCACCTTTCGTGTGGGATTCGTGTCGTCGTGGCAACGTTGGCCATGGCTATCTTCGTTGGGCGGCACGAGTACTGGGCCGTGCGTTCAGTGCGTTCGGCGGTGTCGAGCGAAGCTCGGCTCATTCGCACCCATGGTCATCACAGGATCCTAACATTAGAGACATTGTAGGCCGAGCCTCGCGAGAAGCTGTTGTCCAAGACATTATAGACATGCTCTACAGCGACGACCGCAATAATGTGAGCTTAGCTGAAGACGCTCTCCGGGTAATAGTCTCTCGACTCTCCAGGCTCCGTCGAGACGAAGCTGACGAGGTGGTACGCAACATTCCCAGCCACTTAGTGGAAGCACTGAAAGGAGATTTGTCGCCATCGACAATTCCGGTGTTACCCAATGAATCATTAGAAGACGCTGTCGCCCCTACATCACATACCAAGGCAGCAGCAGAATGGATCAAGGACCTCGCTATCGCTTTGTGCAATGCTGCCTCTCAAGACCATGTACTCGGTGCGCTTCCCAAACTTCTTGATGGTATGAGTCACATGGCCGATAAACTGTTTCCCTACATCTTACATCTCGTTCTACTCAAGGACGCTGAAGGAGACAGGAAAGTTCGCCAAACCATGTCCGCGGCGATCATGGACTGGTTCTCAAAGCACGAACCGTCACACGTACCATACGTGCGCAGTCTCCTCCAAGCTATCCTGTATCTCCGCAGCCAGCCAATTCCTAGGGAGATGACGAGGGTAGATCGAGACAGGTGGTTAGAGATTGATTGGCTGCGCGCATCGGAAGCCGCCACAAACTGTGGTATGTTTCGTACAGCGTTGATGTTCGCAGAAACATACTCAGGGACACCCACTGTGAAGAGTGTTTCACGGAGGTCATCAATAATGCAGGAGGCTCCTAAGCTGCCTGTCAAATTACAGCTATCCATCTACAAGAACCTGGACGAACCCGACTCATTCTATGGTGTCGATCAAGGCTCCAGTCTTTCATCAGCCATCGAAAGGTTCGATTACGAGGGGGATGGCCTCAGCAGTATGCTATTCCGGGGAGCTCGTTTTGGGAGCCAGATGCGCCGCTCGAATGTTGTGAATGCGACTGATTCGCGCGGCTTCCTCAACAGTTTGATCAAGCTCAACATGGACAGTGTTGCCAATGCCCTGCTTTCCACCGATCAGTTGCGGGACATTGGAGACGAAGCGGTAGAGTACACCTTACATACAGCACGAAAGCTTGGTAAATGGGACATCAAAGCACCAGAGCTCAATCATAGCGAGTCCAGCACTCTATACAAAGCTTTCCAAGGTCTTCACTACGCCACGGGCGAAGCCAGTGCCAAACTCAGCATTGACAACCAACTGCTTGCGACCATGGAGTTTCTGTTCGGGCGCCAAGACTCCACATCGTTGACCAAGATTCGGTTGCGTACTTTAGCAGCATTAACTGAGGCCGACGAGCTCATCAGCTGTGGGAGTCCCGACCAGTTGCTCGATTCCTGGGATCGAGTGAAGGGACGAGAAAAATGGATGCAGACTGGCGAGTAAGTCCAAGATTTGAGGGCCAAGACTTAGGGCAGAGCTGACTAGAACTCAGGTTTGAAGATGTACGTCAGCTGTTGTCGTGCCGGGAGACTCTGTTGAGTGTCATGGGCTCCAATAATGCCCTCCTAGATGCCATACACACACGGGCCGGCACACTTCGCAGCATGGAAGTCGAAGCTCTTGTATCTACTTCGACTATTTGCAGAAGACATGGAGCGCTACAAGAATCCCTCACAAGTGTTACATACCTGAGCGACATCGTACAGGACTGTAAAGCATTTGGACTTGATGTCGAGGCCAGTGCAAAATATGAAGAAGCCAACGTCTTGTGGGACCATGGAGAGCAGGAGAAATCCATAGGCATCCGACAAGAGCTTGTCGATTATGGCAACTTCGACTCCCAGGACAAACAGATAAGCCTTCCGGTGTTATTAGCCAAGCTGGTGAGTCTTTCTGGCTGCGTACGACAGCATTTGCTAAGCTCTTCAGGGTCATCACCTAGCCGAAGCTCGATCGGCAACACCGGAAAAGATCATACAGAACTACTTGAAGCCAGCAATCAGAGAGCTCAAAGGACAAATCCAAGGTCCCGATCCTGGACAAGTCTTCCATGAATTTGCCCTTTTCTGTGATAAACAGCTGCAAAGCCCGGAAGCTGCCGCAGACAGGGACCGTGCAAAATCTATCATGGATCGAAGAGCTCAGGAGATCCAGGATTTTGAGAGACTGATTCGCCAGGAACAAAGCAAGCAGACACGCGAGACTTACAAAAGATCTCACCACAAGGCACACGTCTGGTACAAACTTGACCATGCTGAATATGAGAGGTTACGCAAAGGCCGGGAGGAATTGCTGCGCCAGTGTTTGGAGAACTATCTCCTGTCGCTGCAGGCGAGTGATGAGTACAATAGTGATGCACTCCGGGTGTTCTCGCTTTGGCTGGAGCATTCCGAGACAATGCTTGCGAACTCAGCTGTGCATGCACATATCGACAAAGTTCCCAGTGGGAAATTTGCGCTGCTGATGAACCAGCTGTCATCACGTCTTCAACATGATCGATCCGACTTTCAGAAGTTATTGACCAACCTAGTCTTCCGGATTTGTATAGAGCATCCCTACCATGGCATGCATCAAATATTCGCGATGCAAATGAAGACTGCAAATGTTACGAGAGAAGACGTCATCAGATCAAAAGATGAGGCTGCCAAGTCTCGTCAAAAAGCTGCAGCTTCCCTCGCGGCTGAACTGGCCAAGGACAAACGCTCTTCTATAATTTGGAGTTGTCTATTCCGCTCAAACGAGATCTATCACGCGCTCGCCATGTTCAAAGACGACAAGGAGCAGCGCCAGGGCCGAGACATCTCACTGGATAGATACCCAGAGTCAAAGGCTTTGATGCACAAAGTCCCGACATACAAGGTTCCACCAGCCACTCTTCAAATCGAGGTTCGCGCCGATATGGATTACAGTCATCTTCCTAGAATTGTTAGGTTCAAATCTAGGATGAGCATCGCCAACGGACTGAGCGCACCGAAGATTATCACAGCTATCGGCTCTGATGGGCACACTTACAAGCAGCTGGTAATTATCATCTTCGATATTTCAGAGGCGTTCTAACCTTGTGTACAGTACAAGTCGGGTAACGATGATCTTAGACAAGACGCAATTATGGAGCAAGTATTTGACCAAGTTTCTCGCTTGCTCAAAAAGCATACTGCAACACGGCTGCGGAACCTGGGTATCCGTACCTACAAGGTGCTTCCGCTTTCAACTCGGTCTGGTCTTATGGAGTTCGTGCAGAATACAATCCCGCTTCATGGGTGGTTGATGCCTGCACATGAAAGATACAATCCGCACGACTACAAACCCGATAAATGTAGGAAGGACATTGGAGCGGTTCAGCAAGAAACGCTACAGGCCCGCGTCAAGGTTTGGAATAAGATTGCAGAAAACTTCCATCCTGTGATGCGTTACTTCTTTCTCGAAAGGTTCCAAGATCCAGATGAATGGTTCGAACGCCGCTTAGCATACACTCGGTCTACAGCTGCCATTTCCATCCTAGGCCACGTACTTGGTCTTGGCGACCGCCACTGCCATAACATTCTCCTCGACGAGAAAAGCGGAGAAGTCGTACATATTGACCTGGGTGTCAGTTTCGAAGCTGGACGTGTCCTACCTGTACCGGAGGTTGTACCATTCCGCCTCACCCGCGACCTGGTCGACGGAATGGGTTACACTAAAACCGAAGGCGTGTTCCGCCGCTGCTGTGAGTTCACAATGGACACACTCCGGGAAGAGCGTGAGTCCATAATGACACTCTTGAACGTGCTGCGCTACGATCCTCTCGTCAACTGGAGCGTAACCGCTACCAAGGCAAGACGCATGCAGGAGCAGCAGGACACGAACGCTGCTCAGCGTTCCAACACTGCCGGTCCAGAGCGTACGCCTGTGCCATCTGGTATCTCTGCGACAGACTTGGAGGTGCAAGGGGACGACAAGAAGAAGGATGAGCAGGCGGGTGAGGCTGGGAGGGCTCTCAGTGTCGTGGAGAAGAAGCTGAGCACGACGCTGAGTACGAAGGCGACAGTCAATGAATTGATACAAAGTGCGACTGATGAGCGAAACCTGGCAGTACTTTATATGGGATGGGCTAGTTACGCATAACATCGTCTATTGATGGTTGGCGATGGTCTGGGATTCCAGGTGGCGACGGATGAATGGGGATAGAAGGAGATGTTTACATAGTCAGGCAGTTATCCTGAGAACATATTTCTACACAAACCGGCTCCGGAAATTCAGTATCCAGGATGGGGAATGTGTGGTGCGGAGGGGCCATTCATCGGAAAATGCTGGAAGCCATTCCTCGAAGCTGTCTGTACAAATTCGTCCTCTCGCAAAAGTGCCTAAAGCTGCATGTGGATGCCCTGCAGGCAAGCCATCTAATTAGCCACTGTGAAGTAAGCCAAGTGCGCTTGAGCGTCATAGCTATCTGCCGACCCCGACTCCTCAGCCGGCGTGTGAAGTATCAGCTCGCCAAGCTGTCACTATGTACTAAGTCTTCGACCCGTTCCAATCCGAATGAGAGGTATACCTCTAGCGGTAACTCCGAAGACCTGTTTTAGCTCACCCCCATTTCCCCGCACCCCGCAAAGCCTAGTGCCAGCGCCCTTTCCTCTTCATAACTAGCTCTCAGCGACTTGGACCGGAACGGAGACTTCGACCATGTGAACACGCCATCCCTCCGGAGCCATCCTCCTATCCGATGCGTCATGATCCGAGAAAGAACTGCCGTAGGAGGCTAGAACAGAGAGGCCCAGGAAAACTTATCACCACGACGCCTGAATGTAGCCACCCATTCCCTTTTTCTTCCTTACTTCCCAGTCTGTAAATCGTGCATGATATGTTGACCCTCGAGTCTGCCTTTGCGAATTCAGTCATCACCAGTGACTTTACAACAACATACGCCGAGTCATGCGTGCGGCGAGATTTTACGGGAAAGAAGATATCAGAGTGGAGGAGGTCGAGGTCGACCCGTGCGGAGATGGCCAAGTTAGAGTGCGCAGGTTCCCTAGATCATCCCCCCAACAAGTAGGGCAGAGCAAAGAACTCACAGCTCATCCAGGTCGCACCGAGCTACGTCGGAATCTGCGGCACGGACCTACACGAATTCCTCGGCGGACCCACATTTGCTCCCGTAACACCACATCCTCTAAGTCACGATAGCGTCCCCATCACTCTCGGCCACGAGTTCTCCGGAGTTGTTAGCGAAGTCGGTCCCGGCGTGTCGCAGTTCAAACCCGGTCAACACGTTGTAGTGCAGCCGACTTTGTCATGTGGTAGCTGTTCGGCGTGCAGCTCCGGAGCAGAAAATGTTTGTGAAAAGGGCGGTTTCATCGGATTATCGGGTGGTGGAGGTGGGCTCAGCGACTCGGTGGTCGTCTCTCAGGGATCGGTGCTGAGCTTGCCTGAGCAGATACCGCTCAAAATTGGCGCATTGGTCGAACCTCTCTCGGTTGCATGGCACGCCGTATCAGCTGCTTCTTTGGTCCCCGATTCCACCGTCTTGATTCTCGGAGGAGGTCCTATCGGATTAGCCGTGGTGCAGTGCCTGGTGGCATTGAAGACCAAGAAAATCATCATGAGCGAGGTGTCGAAAACTAGACAGCGGTTCGCAAGGGAATTCGGCGCACACCATGTTTTGGATCCGAAGACGTACGATTTGGTAGCTATTTCTCGAGAGCTAAGTGGGCGGGGCGGCCCTGATGTGGTTTTCGACTGTGCTGGTGTACCTGCGAGTCTAGTGACCGCGTGTCAAGCCGTAAAACCGCGAGGAACTGTCGTCAATGTTGCAATCTGGGAGAGAGAGGTACCGTTCCAGCCTAACATGTTGGTATTCAAAGAAGCGCATTATACTGCAGTTCTTGGCTATCAGAGAGAGGATTTCCAGGCTGTCATCGATCATCTGGCCACAGGTATGTCCATAACCATTCTGTCGTAAGTATTTGTCGACCAGGCTGACGATTGCAATTGATAAAGGGACTTTAAAGCCCGAGAGGATGATAACAAGCACTATACCATTGAATGACTTAGTGGAAGGAGGTATCAAAGCTCTGATCAATGACAAGGAGAGTCATGTGAAGATACTTGTGGAAGTGGGAGGGGGATAGGGCTATGGGAGAACAGCCCATTTTAGAGCTTTGCCGCTATGCCGGCGAAAATCATGAATGATATCCCTCAACTCTTTCAGAAACGGCGCTATTCATCATGATGGATTCTATAGCTTAGAGGCGAGTCTTTTGGTACTACAACTCAATTCGATCGTGATATGTCTGTGCTTGGTACATTATATTTTGCAGAGATTTATGCAGATCTTCCCAGTCAGCTACAAAGGATTGTTAGATATGGACATCCGCGGCTTTGCAGGGTTTACGATACGTACAGTGTAATTAAACCGCATTCAGGTCAATTCTATCACTCAACGCTTTCCTCTGTTTAGTAGTTCTAGCTCTTTTCGTATCTGCGATAGCTCTTCCTGGTGAATTTCCTTCATATTTTTTAACATTTTTTCATGTTCATCGGTCAACCTGTTGAACTGTGCTTCTAACTTTTCGTGCCAGGGATAAAGAACGAAGACCTGAAAGCCGAGCGCGGACGAGCCAATGACGAAGTTGGTGAGGGAGAAGCCGCGTGTGATCAACATTGTAGCTATCCAGATAATGTCGTGGCGGTAGAGGTCGTGCGAATAGTACTTTGGATCGGAATAATAGGAAAATGATTATGGGAAAAGTGCTGTCCGGTGGTATCGAAGAAAAACAGATTGCGAAAGCAGAGAATATGCGAACTTGGGCTGACAGGCGCGTAAACCGAGCTGAGAAGCAATGTTCAGCGTCTGCCACCAGCACCAGTATCGCGATTTTTGCATGGGTTCACCCGAATCATTACCGAGCTTCCTACCGTGTCACATGCACTGCCCTAAGTTTGTCGTACGTTAACGTCACGTTTATCAAAGAAAGTGGAATGACTCTGTCCTAATCAGGCTATTTGGGCTTAGTACAAACCTACACATCACGCGATGCGGCAGAGGCCTTCCGTCCATCCATATCGCCACAGCGAAGTACCTTTTTTTTGTGTCCCCATTTGGTCAAATTCACGTTCTGTTTTATCAACGCCCACGGTCGATTTATTCGTCCAAGCAATTCGGAATATTGCCTAAGGACATCAGATCGGATCCTCATTGGATGTTCATAACCACGCAGTAAATGTTTGAATCAAGATCTACACCGCTTCCTGTGACGCACAGAGATGAGTTCTTCTCAAGCTATAATACCGAGCCCAGCATCTAGCTTCCACGCAAAATTACGCTACATTTCGAAGTCATGATAGCTTCTTCGGTCACACATATTCTGTTTGGTCTACATTTCACGGCAACGCGATTCTTTGGAGATCTGTGAAGATGTGATTGGCTCTTGTCCGATGTCCATCTGAATGAGGAGAGCGTGCATATCATCACAGATTCCTGAAACGAAGGAGAGCTACGGCGGAGCAGTTACCGAAGAGTTTGGACTCGGGCCGATCTCGGGTTAGAGATCGGTCGACTGTGCTCCGAATGACGCTAAGCGGTATGAGGCTTCGCGTCCACGAATCATACAGGTATCAACAAACCATTACACATGTGAGAGCAAAATGGACAGGTCTGCTTCGCTGAAAATTCGAGTGACAACCCGAGAACATAGTTTGAGCATCCTAGTAATCGCGAAGAGCATTCGTCGAGAGTACCAATATCTGTTCGATTAAACCTGCTGCAATCTTATCATAAAGATCAATACCACGATTTTTACTCTGATCGGGGATCCAGTTTCGGAGCTTGCTTCAACAGCATCAAAAATGGCTAGCGCACCTAGAGGCCATGACCTCTTAAATAATGAGAAAAGTTATCGCCATCGTTGGCGCTTGGAAATCCACCTAAATCGTCAAATATATCGCCCAAGTCATCCGAGCCGTTTATGAACATGTGCAGTGACGGGTCCGCAGCCATCATCCACGAGTCACCAGCTATATTGGTCTCCAGAGGGAATTGAGACAAATCGTTGGATCCCATTGAGCCTGGCAGGTAGCTGTGAGGTTCACTCAAGCTGTTCTGATGAGGGATATTGAATGTAACGACAGATTCTGGTGCCTGATCGGCCGTGAGATCGTCATTAGAACAAGTGATCGTATTTCGATCTTCTGGGTATCTTCTGTTGCTTAGATGATCCAGTAGCTGGCAGACACGAGCAGCTGGCATATTAGTCCGGCTCAACTCCCGCAGACAGTTGCGTGCGCGAGTAATTATCTCGGGCAACGCATCTGGTAATTGCTGATTCGTCTCTAACAGCGGTGACTTGTCTTCGAGATGCACTCGCTGGGTTTCTATAGCAAGCAGACATTGGAGTAAATAATACACCACATACCAGGTAAGTCCATGGTGTAATAGAGCCTGGTTTCGTTCGCAGAAATTGCAAATTTCTCGGCCCGATTCACTGGCGAGCTGACAGATCTTCTTGGTCATTTTCCGATGATAACCTGCATGGGCAGAACACTTCTGGCTTGTGACGAGAAGTACAAGACGGATGTTAGATGATTTCCACAGCACCATGGCGCGAGGTCCGAGGAACCATTCTGGTACTTCTGACGCCGTAAAATACGCCGGCAAAGCTTGCTTCCAGTCGTTCAAGGCTTGCTCCATGATCAGTGTCACCTGTTCCAGATCACGTATGCCATTGACAGACTGGAAGGTGCTATGGATCCTATTCGCGATGATTGCGAGACAGGACTGAGCAGCCATGGCCGAAGATCTGGTAGGATACGATACTTGCGCGGGAAGCGCAGAATTTGAATTGCACTTCGAGTCATCGATGTTCAGGGGCTTCTTAGTGTCGATGAACTCGTCTGAAACCATTATAGGTCTGCCGGTAGTCAAGCTGAAACCGCTATCAAAACTGTAGAGTGTCCAAAAAATCAAACGTCTTTGTTGCAACGCACATGTTTCTGGCGCCCGATCCAGCCTGATTTCGCGATGAAGGCCTAGACCAAGGGCAACTCTGTAAGCGATGCCGAGGAAGTTGTACGCTGTATTAGGTCTGTCGGTCTTTTGGAGGTAGTTACTTAGGAGGAGCAACGCTTGAACAGTGTTCATTGTACCGGCCTCCATGATGTCCATGCTTAATCGAGAGCGTGCGGCGTCGTAATACATCGACAAAGAATCCTTATTGAATCCGCTGACCCACTCTCCAATGGCTAGTACCATGAAGTAGACGATATGCCAGGTTGAATTAGGGGATATCGATGATCGTTTTTCGCATGCTGTTCGGAAAGACTGTTGGTGCAGTATTGGATAAGATGGGCTGTAGGCACGAAAATAAGCTTCGATGAGACTTTCACGCACGACAGAACTGCTCATTCCGTGTGCTAATGCCAGTCTTTGCATCTGTAAGTCTGGATTATATGCGTGATGACGGGGAGTTTTCCAATCCGGTGGTATGTGTCTGGGGAGCGTAGATGTCAGTTTCTCGAGAAGAGAAGATCCTGAACTGTTCCCTACACAACATAAGCATATATTTCTCATGCGATTCACTGTTCTTACCAAGATAGCCGCGTTGTCTATCGCGGAGAGTGAGCGAGGCCATGCCATCGCCAGTATGCTGAGTGTCGCCACCGGGTGTATTTTGGCTTTCATTCCAGTCAAAAGTAGTCTCAAATTGCTCAGAAGAATCATGCACGTCAGGATTCTGGCCATCGCTGGCAACTATGTTTGAGTTCTCAGGAGCAATGCTTTCAGACAGCGTTGAAACCGCAGGCGCAGCCGGAGTTGCGTCGTGAGTCAACCTGGCCAGCTGTGCTTCGAGGCCTCGGCATCGCTTCTCGAGATAATCCAGGTTCTTCCGCGTAAGTGGTGTCCGTGACGGTGGGCCACTGAAAATGCACGTCTTGTTCATTCGGATGCAGTGCGAGCATGACGTATGGCCCGGCTGCAGGCTACAACGTGTTTTCCGAGTACGGCAAGCAACGCATGCTAACTCACGAGCGTCCGACCGCTTTCGCGATGCGGCACGCATGTTGCATGTCGGAGAAACAAGGGAAATTGGAAAATTGGCCTAGCAACTTCAGATTCCCCACTATTTGGTTTAGTGCCCAGGAGCCTCTCTTATCACGTGACTCACTAATGACGGCAAGCCTCAATCTTGCAACCGTTTCGTTACGAGGGCGCGCGTCTATGACGGGCAATTAATCATTGAATATAGGACCTCTCTTCCGCTCAAGGAGCCTATACTATTTGGTCCATACCTATGATACATTAGCCTGGCTATGTACGGTAAAGTTGAATTCGGTCGTCTGTTGTCCGATGCGCTATACCCCGCCTCGCCATCCTGACCTTCGCGTCTCCCCGTTACTTCCCTAGGCCTGTCATATATAAAAAGCCAGCACATTGACTCACCACTGCTATCTCGGTTTGTGAATTTCCAATATCGTTGATTTGCCACTCCACGAATCGCTGTCAGGGATCCTCTGCTCACACGCGTCGACTTCAGTGCACTCTCTATTTTCAAAATGTCAATGACAGTTGAGGAAGCCGGCGTCGAGCGTCCAGGCTTCCCAAAACCATTTCCTAATACCCCCAGCAATGTTTTGGAACAATTCCAGATGAAGGGCAAAGTTACTGTTGTCAACGGGGCGGCCGACGGTATTGGTCTGGCAGTCGCATACGCCATGGCCGAAGCTGGAGGAAATGTTGCACTGTGGTACAACTCCAATCACGCGGCCATTACACGAGCAGAAGAGATTGCGAAAGAATTCGGCGTCAAGACGAAGGCGTATCAGGTGGCTGTTGAGAACGCTGACGCCGTGGAGAAGACTATGGATGAAGTTGTCAACGATTTTGGCAAGATTGATGTATTTGTGGCTAACGCCGGAATGGCTATCTCAAAGCCCATCCTCGAACAGACATTGCCGGAGTACGACAAGCAAATGTCTGTCAATGGTCAGACCTCTCGTTCTGCGTGCGTTGGTTACAGTATTGATATATTGCAGTTAACGGCGTCGTATACTGCGCCAAGTTCGCTGGTCATCACTTCAAGCGCCAGGGCTTTGGCAACCTTATCATCACCAGCTCAATGTCCGCGCGCATTGTCAATGTGCCTATCGATCAGCCCATCTATAACGGAACTAAGGCTTTCATCAGCCACTTCGGAAAGTCACTTGCCCACGAGTGGAAGGACTTTGCCAGAGTGAACATCGTCAGCCCTGGATTCTTCGATACTAAGATGGGCGCGGGAGAGAAAGTCATCAACGAGGCGTACAGGATGACACCACTAGGACGACAGGGGCATACAAAGGAAATAAAGGGGCTTTACTTGTATCTGGCGAGTGATGCCAGTACGTATATGACCGGGAGTGACGTACTTATCGATGGAGGTTATTGTCTACCTTGAGTTTTTGAAGCCTGTCACGGTAACCTTAGAGGCTACCTGACAAGCATGGATATACTGCTGGCAGTAGTATATCTTAGAGATGTCGCGCGCTGGCAGCCAGTTAACAGATTATTAGATGGGTGGCCCGTCTGCTAGCTGATTGGTCAAAGCATGGCGCTAGCCACCCTTGGCGAGGGCGTGCGACGAAGCGAGAAGATAGATCCACGCTGGATAGGGGGGACAGGACCTTTTCTCCTTATCCAACGTCTTGTACCTACACGTAGATACCGAACGCAGTATATTGATCTAGCCTACCTGGGCCTCAGACATCTTGCTCGTTGCTCTCGTGACAAAGCCTTACTTTGACGTCCCTACCATAGTAAAATATATAACAAGTATTTTTATTTTACCTAGCTATGAATCTACCAATATGATGACTAGAGGCACCTAGTATAAAACTAGCGAGGTTATAATTTTAGTTAGCAAACGTTGCGCCCGCAGCCGTATTGCAGATCACGTGCATGTATGGAAGTTCGGCCCGATTATAGCTTATCTCAGCCGTCTAAGTTCAGAAGACTTCGACTGCCCACCATACGACTGATCTCGAAGAACGTCCCTATTGGCATCTAATCGTATTGACGTTGCATCAGCCAGGGATGTCAGGAATCGCGCTGCCGCCATCCGGCGGAAATGGAGGCAACAGACCAAATCCCAGAGAGCGAGGTAGTTATCTACACCTCCGACATGCCTAACTAATTCTTACATCTCTAGGGTGCTTCCAGTGCTCTCGCCGTCGGATCATTTGCGACAAAGCTGAGCCTTCGTGTGGCAAGTGCATCAAAAAAGGTATTGAGTGCTCCGGGATGAATCGTATAAGATTCACCAAGGGCGTCGCGAGGCGAGGCAAGCTGAAAGATTGCACGATTCCAGATGTAGGCAATGACGGCACAATTCAATTGCCATCATCAACGTCATTTCCCATTATCAGATGGAATAATGAGAGGAAGAGGGGGACTAAACGAAGGCAAGAAGATCCAAGCCGAGGCGACGTTCAATCAAGAGCAATGTCATCCGATCAAAGACAGGATATTACCACCAGATCATTCAGACCCATGATGGCAGAGCAACTTCAATCATCTTCAGATACTGTCGCCTCACCAACACAAACTTGGCACGATCGAAGCGCAAGTTCAGAACTCGAGGATGACGTGGAGGGGATGGAGCGTGTCGAAGGTGCAATGATGAAGCTTCCAGCGGAGCATGGAAGCTTGCAACGTTGGATATCGCCACTTAGTGCCGAAGGCCGCATGCTGTTTTCTCACTTCTCCGAAGCCATTGCGCCCGTAATGGTAGTATTTGATACCAATTCTAATGGGTATCGCGAGCTTCTTCTACCCATGGCCCTTGAAGATGAGGTACTGCGTCGAGCAGTAAATGTCGTCGCAGCTCAGCATCTTAGCCGTGAATTTCCGGGCATGAAACATGCTGCAGAAGCTGGCCGCGCAGCGGTCATTTCTCGCCTCAGAAAAGACGCGTTGTCCGCTACTGAAGACCAGATCTTTAGTAAATTCACCTGGGCAACGCTGATTGTACTGTTGGTAGGCGAGACGGTTACAGGCAGTGAAGATTGCGGCTTTCTGATCCAGATGCTATTGTGTCTTTCAGCAAACAGCAGGGCTGAGACTGGAAATACAATCGTCAAATTCCTTCAGAAACAGACAGACATGTAAGTCCAAGAAATTTTAGTGAAGCTTAGTCACTGATGCGGCCCCAGGTTTGAGCTTCTTTGTCTGCCACTACTAGGAGAGCATACCGGTGTTTCTGCAATCCAAAGGTCCTTGCAATCATGGTACGACTGGTTAACGCCCGAGCAATTTGCAGCTGGGTCGGAAAACCATCAAAATCTCAACGGAATACGCTTCTGTTTCGATGCTGCATTCACTATCTACACACGGCGTGCGACAAGCGAGAATATCAATTCTTCAGTGGATTCTCGATCACAGTATTCCAGGCTTCAAGCTTTGACGATACAAGAAGTCGCCCAACGCCTCTCTCTTATGCCACCTCATACCGACGGAGCTCATGCACTAGTATGGCCCTGTTTTGTAGCCGGCGCAGAGACGTCCGACCCAGATCAAAGGGCTTTCTTCGTCAACTATATGGAGAGCATATATGCCCGCACAAAGTTTCGCAACATCCCCTTGGCCGTGCAAAGCTTGCGGCGTTTCTGGGAAAGCAAAGGAGAGAGAAGGTGGACTCAATATCTCCCGGAATATTCAAAAGTGCTGGTCATGTGAGTGTGCATCGCTTTTTTTGACTGGATGCATCCATCTAGGTCTGGTTGCATCGACGACCTTCTTTAATCGGAAAATTCCAGCCTGGGTCCCTGGTAATTCTTCCGGGCATAGAAGAACCAATTCAGGGTCGCAAACAATGCCATAACGGCAATGACAGCACTTGCATAATCTATGAGATGTTGTTAATATGGCTGAGGGTACAAAGTTCGACATACTTACTCATATTACTTCCTGACACCGGCATCGCAACTGGGAAGCAGTATATGACGAGGACGAAGATGGCGAAGCCAACTGTGGTAACGTTCGCCGTCCATCCCAACCATGAAGGTAGCTTGAAGGAACGAGTCTGTGGCAACCATGCAGATGACCGCCCCCGATACATCAGCAATGCTGCGGGCATGGCATAAGTGAGATGCTGCAATATTAGTCCGGTCCCAATGAATGCATTGAACGCGGATGATGATCCGAGATATATGCATCCGATCACAAACATGATGGCAAAGTTGAAGACCAGGGCAGCGATAGGCACATCCTGCGTCGGACTGATTTTGCTGAGCCAACGGCTGCCGAAGATGGCATTATCGCGGGCGAACGACCATGACAATCGTGAAGCTGTTTGTTGAGCACCATTGAGCGCGAAGAAAGCCATCAACAGCAGAAATACGAGATATACAGTCGCCGCGGCATCTGAGCGTGTCGCTTGCCGCCAGATTTCGTATATCGGAACACCTATACAGACCGATCAGCCAAGCCGCAGTACCGCAAGGGACTTCAGGACATACTGGTTGGGGTTGATACTGCAGCATCAAAATCATTCGTGCAGTATACCATGACAATTGCGAAGACGAACGAAGTGACAAACCCGATGGCGATCGTACTCATCAACGCACGCGGTACAACCATCGCCGCATTTTTGCATTCTTCTGCAAGATGTATGACACCATCGATACCAGCATACATGTAGTTCGAGTTGACCAGACCTGTGAGGAAGGCGACGGAGTCGACCCAGCCGCTCTGGTTCAGGAACGTGGTCCAGACCACCTTAGCTGGCTGGAAGTTCGGTGCCGTACGAGCGAGACTAGTTATCACAAGGGTGACAAAGCAACTTATCGAGATGATAACTGTAGACGAGTTGTGTCAGCAAGTCAACTACGCACTCTTTGGTGTTACTTACAGCCAACATCGTGAATCCACATCGAGCGCTTCAGGAGGTATACGTTGTACACAAGGACCATAAGATTTCCCCCCTGGTACAGAATGAAAGCGTGCCATGTCTGTGGCACGTAGCTGGGATTGTAAAACACTGCCATCCCCATGATCTGTTGCGGAATTATGATAGCGATGCCCGCACATATCGCGATCCAGGCGAAGACATTGGTCGCGCCGCAGCAATAGCTCTGGACAAGGGTGAGCAATGTGCTATGCATGTTTCGCAGCCAAAACTCACCAATCCTCGACTCGAACTTTTTGGCGACAGGATGCTAGTCCAGTGGTACTGCCCGCCAGCCGTGGGATATACGCTCGCGAGCTCCGCTAGAGTCAATGCACATGCCCCGACGAGCAGGAACATGATGATAGGCCCGTAGATCAGGCTCACTGGACCACCTTGGGCGATGGCAAGCGCAAAGGTTGCTGCTATGCCAACCCAACTGTTGCAAATCACCCAGCCGGCAGAAATCGTCTCATATCCAGACATGGCCCGGGCATGCTCGGATTGTACATTGAGGCCAACGAGGCGGTGGGATACATCCCGCACTTGCCCTTCATCGTTTGTAGCATCTGTGGCATTGTTCAGTGAGTCGAGACTTCTGGCAGACGGAATGGAATGCTGGCTTACGGCGCTCAAGCTCTGAGGAAGATTTGAACTCTTTCATATCGCCCATCTCGTTCGTCAGAGTGTTTGTTAAACGAGAACGATTCGCAAGTCGCAACCTTACGCTCTTTATGAACATGCGATCACATCGCACACGTATAGATACGTACACCAAAAGCCAATCGATACCGATAGGCTTCCGTGTAGATACGATAGGTCTCTCTTTCATTGTTATCGCTGGCTTGTGCTCGCGCCGACCATTGTGTCATGCCCAATCCGGACGGTAAAGTGAGAAACGCCACTGCCATAGGTTCGAGCAACCGGCACTGCTGCGCATACTCGCTGTGTGCGGGATTGCTACCCATTGTTTAGGACGGTCAAGGCATGGCGGCGAGATAGTAGATCGACTAGACATCACGTAGTATCTCCAGATGTCCTTTGGGGTTTGGAAGGCGATCCTAGGATATGGCATGGTTTTCTCACTTTAGCAACCCAATGCGGTAATCGCGATCCCCGCTTTCGGTCCGGCCTTGCGCGAGGGTCCGCCACAGCGTTGGTCCAGGCTCAAGTGTGAGATAGCAGACACAAGACATACCAAACTAACGATATCATGCGAATCGGCTTCAACTTCGCTTTTCGTCTGTAGAAAAGGTATACGCATGTCTGCGTCCTCGGAGTTCGTCGAAGTTCGAGTTCCAGTAGCGCCGCTCCCTGAATTTCTAGGCCACTCTGCAGCCCGACTATATATTACGCCTTTTTGCATCTGTCTATATTACATCGAATCAAGAGTACCAAGCATCGTGGACTATAGTGCGACGCGTGAGGATCCCAGGGTCTACACAAACTCAGATACTGGAAGCGATCTCAAAGGCGGCTTTATGGTTTCTCATTTTAATAACTGGATACGGTAATTCTAGCCCCACTTTTAGCGGCCACGCAGATCTCACATTAATGCCCAGATATGGTAATATGGTCTGACCATTCCATTGAGTAATGGAGACGCGACGACGAAGAAAAATCGCGGAATCGACGACAGCGGGCATGCCCGCTCGACAGTTCTATAAAGAGGACTGGTTATGGACTCACACGTACCCTTTATCCCAGCCCTCTTACATTTCCAGTCTATGAAGCAGTCTGTATTTGCTCGCTAATATGACTTCCCGCGACGGCTTCACCTGGACACCTTCTGATGGTCTGAAACCCGGTGTGCCTTCCCTCGGTGTCATATCGCCATCTTCAAACATCAGCAGCACACAAGTCGAGTACGATGTCATAGTCATTGGCGCTGGTTACTGTGGCTTAACAGCTGCTCGCAATGCCGCACTGGACGGTCTCAAAGTCCTCCTTCTAGAAGGCCGTGACCGGATTGGAGGACGCTCATGGTCGAGCAATATCGGCGGCTACCCCTTCGAAATGGGCGGCACTTGGGTCCATTGGGGACAGTCGAATTCCTGGCGCGAAATTACGAGATATCGCATGGAGAAGGACGTTGAGATGAGTTTTGATTTCGCGAAGGGCGTGAAGCACTTCGAGCTAAACACACCCGAGAGCTCTGTGACTATGACACACGACGATGAAGTTAGCGAGTCAACTTTTGCCAAAACTTGAGGGCCATGCTGACATAAGATCAGGATATACTCCTCGACTCGGCCCTAAAGAAATTCACAAATATTGACGGTTTTTACGGTCGCAAAACGATCCCGCTTCCATATACTACTTTCCACCAACCCTCTTCCATCCCTCTCGATTCTCTCTCCGCACTCGACCGCATCAACGAGATCGCGGACACACTATCGCCACAGGAACGCGCGGTACTCGAGGCCTCAATCCTGCTCGCCAGCGGTGGAACTCTCGAAACAACATCCTTCCACGAGTTCATGCACTGGTGGGCCATGTGCGGCTACACATACCAAGGCTGGCTCGACATGCTGATCACCTGGAAATTCCGCGACGGACAGTCCACCTTCGCCCGACGCTTCTTCGACGAAGCACTCGCCACCAAGCGCTTATCCTACGCTTTCAATACGCCCGTGCAACACATCTCCACCTCGCCCTCTGCTGTCGAGATCACCTCGCGATCAAACACCACATACCGCGCCCTCCGCGCAATCTGCACAATCCCGCTGAACGTATTATCCGACATCAAATTCACCCCGCCTCTCCCCACAGGCAAACAAGCAGCGATCGCAATCGGCCACGTCAACCAGACCGTCAAAGTCCACGCCGAAGTCAGCAACAAGGACCTCCGCTCCTGGACCGGAATAAACTACCCCAACGAACTCCACTACGCGATCGGCGACGGCACCACACCAGCGGGAAACACACACATCGTATGCTTCGGCGGGCAAAACAGACACATGGACCCTGAAGTCGATGTGGACCGCACAAAGCGCGCTGTCAGCAGTCTTTTCAACCCCGGAAACTACGCCGGGCAGAATGTGCAGATCGAGCGCCTGGTGTTTCACAACTGGAGCAAAGACGAGTTTGCAAAGGGCGCGTGGTTCTTTGCGCCGCCGGGGCTGCTGAGCGAGCATTTGGATGATATGAGGGGAAGGCATGGGAATGTTGTGTTTGCCAATTCAGACTGGGCGCTTGGGTGGCGGAGCTTTATTGATGGGGCTATTGAGGAGGGGACGAGGGCCGAGTTGGAGGTTAGGGAGGAGGTTGTGGGGTTGAGAGGTGTGAAGCAGAAATTGTGAGATTATTGGAAAGAGAGTGTGCGATGTTTGAGGCCTAGCACCGTATATTAGGGTAAAGTGAGACTGGGAATGTATTATCGAGCAACACTAGGGCTCGGCGTCGTTGCATCTAGATGTGCTCAAGTCCAAACGCTCTGACATGCCGAAACCTTTTTGAGCACATTTCTCGCCGTGAAAGCCCAGGGTACCCGAATCACACATCTCACTCCCTGCCGCGCCGTTTCCGGGCAGCTTCCACCTCGACCGCGGCTCCCCACGTTTCCCTCGTTCTTCTGTTATCCAGCAGCGGCAGCTCTGTTCGCTGCTGGGCTAGATTCGTCCTAATTGTAGCTTCCCTCTTATATGGAAGATGCGTCCGGATTTCCTGATTGCAGCTCCGACATTGCTGCGTCAACGCCCATTTGGCCTCCGGCCCCTCGAAAGTCTGCACTATGAACTTGACCATACCCTGGCTCTCTGACCCTATCGTATGCTCTATATCCTCCTTCGCCATCTGCGTCTTGACACAAGACTCTTGAATCGCATTGAAGCACCTGTTGCGCTTGCGTCCTTCGTTCGAAGCTCCACTGACTGCCAGCTACAAGAATATGCAGCCACAAGAACACTTCGACGTCAGGGTGGCCGCCGGGATTCCGCTCGTCTAAGTCCTGCTGTAGCCGTTTCGAGGGTTTCGGCGGAGGGAAACGTGAAGCCGCAGGGCATTGGTCGGCGACGCGACGTATCGTTTCGAAAAGGCAAGTACCACAAGCAGCGGTTTTAAGACATTTTTGTATTGAAATGTGACGGGATGAAGGTACACTGAGGCCCGAAAATGCGCTCCAGGAGACAATAAAGCCACCGAGCAGTCGATTATTCACAGAACAGATGTGATAGCTTCTGAATGTATTTTCTGCATAATAGTGACCAGCCTGAAGACGGTGAAGTATACAGAGCGTTGATGCGTGATCCTTCACAGCCATCCCACCCTCTACGCCGTAGCAGCACCCCACTTTATCTCCCCAACCAGCTGTTCCATTGGCCCCTCATACTCGATGCCCCTCTCAGGCCACCCCCCAAGCGGCACCGCGACCGCCGTCAACTCAGGCCAATAATGCATCCCGAACTCGCGCATCATATCCAGCCCATTCAGCAGCGCGCCGCTCGTCCAGATCTTCCCATCGTGGTGAGAGCGCTTCTCAACCCACGTTGTGCGCGGGTCCTGCTCGCGGAGCATCGGCAGCATGAAGCGCGGGGCAGTCGCGGTATGACCCGCGAGCAGGCCGGCGAGCTGCGCGGGGAGGATGCCGCCGCAGATGGTTAGAAAAGCTGTACAGTTGTCGTGCGCCTTGCGGATGAAGGCCAGGTCCGCCTCGGTGGGTGTGTAGGTGGGAAAGTACGCGCCGATGAGGACGATATCGAGCGGCGGACACGTCGCATACGAGTCCGTTGCATTCAGACTAATCCCCGCCGTCAAGCTCGCGGACTCCCCCTTCTCCGTCACCCAATGGAACTCCATGTCCAGCGCCTTCGCCTTCAGCTCGTCGGAGATGGGCATCGCGTGGATGAACTTTGGCGAGAGGGCGTGCAGGAAGTCGATCGGGGCGACATCGAGGATTTCGGTTTCGCCCATAAGGATGATGCCAACGTGGATTCTTCGGCCGGGGTTGGAAAGGTCGAGCGGCATGGTTGCGATACTTGACAAAGTCACTTGGCTATTGGTAGAGAGATGTATGAGTGCTGAATGCGGTGGTGTATTCTGTACTGCGCATTCTCGCTATTTTATACGCGCCTGAGCAGCATTGCAGGACATCGACGTCCCATGTGTCTATCTGTTTCGTGCGGGAAGGTGCTGCGACCGTGCGGCAAGGCCATCCCATCCGGGGCAAAACTGCTCATTCATTGTTCGTTTCGATTGTCTTCGCTCAATCATGTGGCAGAGAATTGTGTAGCCTAAGGATGCGCGGAGGTGGATGTGGAGTCGTGGTTTGCTCTTTGTGGGTGACGGTCGGATCGGAGGTAAGGCTAGCGCCGTGCCGTGCCACGGTACGGATGCTGGTGGACGGGCCGACTATGGGAGGATGTACTACGGAGGTAGAGGGGCTTTAGTACGCTAGCAGAGCGTAAATTTGCTCACAGTATGCGTATGGGGTTTTTGTGCGAAAGAAAGAGGCTTCTTCTGCTGCTCAATCCGCAATTGATTCGAGCACAGGGCTCTCCATTGCTGAGAGCACAACGAATAACGCATGTACACATTACCATTATACGCGCAGATGGTTTAAACAACATGTTTCTCGAATAAAGATCCTTCGGTGGAATGGAATGGACTGGATCTACCAGCTAGAATCTAATTGCTATATACAATGAAAAAGTCGTTGTCTTGCTGGAGTCATGTTTCGTAGGGATGCTTTGACCACCCGATGTAGTTCTACTTTCATGCCTCATGGCCAGCAGGAGTTCCACCTGCTAGTCAGAGAGCCCCAAAGTGATCTAACAAGTATTCAATCCGGCTTTACGCCTTCTTCCCAAAGCCAGGGAACCCCGGAAACCCACCAAACCCATTGTCCGCGCTCGAGGACGCAAATACGAAAGACACCGTACTCAATGGATCTTCGCCAGGCGTAGGCAGCGTCGCCGGTGCCGTTGTCGCGGGAGCTGTCACACCCCCGGTCGGAACCGCACTGTTTGAGGGAAAGACCCCAGCAACAGAGCTAGGCGTAGGCACATCTGAGAAACCGGGTAGCTCGAAAGTGGGCGTGGGCGCGTCCGAGAAACCAGGCAGCTCGAAACTGGGTCCGCCTGAGCCACCTGTAGGGACTGTGGCAGGATCTGTGGGAAAGATGCCGGAGGGGAATTCGAGGGTGGCAGTGGGGAAACTGCCGAAGCCGCCATCTCCAGCGCCTCCAGTAGGCAAACTGCCCCCGAAGCCGGGCAAGCCAGATCCAGATCCAGCACCACCTGTGGGCAGTGCGCCAAGTAGAGAGGAAAGCCAGTCCATCAAGGGGTTGGTGCTGCCGCTATCCGCCACAAGACCGGAGGCGCCCTGGCGGTTATGCGGGCGTGCCTGAGTGGTGCTAAGGATGGCGGCGAGCGCGACAATAGTGGAGGCGGCGAAACGCATGGTGAATTTGTGTGTGTAGAAGGTTTTGTTTGCACAGCAAAGAAGGATGGAGAAAAGAAAGTGACTGTGGCTAGCACAGGTGGTAGCAAAAGACGTGCGCGAAAGAACCAAGGGCCGGTGGGTGAAGGTGCGCAACACAGCGCCTGGTGCTCCTTTATATCTACATAGATGTCATCTTTTTCAAAGTCGCTCGTTTCATAGGTATGATCTCCCACTGTGGGTCTCAGCACCTCTTGAATCAAACGAACAGCCGCCCCCATTGGCCATCGTCTTAGTGAAATGCACATGTTTCCCAGCTCGAGGGCGCATCCCCGCAGTCGCGAAACGCAGACAGCGGAGCGTTTCCTGATGTTTTGAGTGTCGTGTTTCAAGCGCGTGCTTTGCCGGGGTGCGCCAATTTATGAGAGTAGGGAGGGTGTTTCAACAGGGGTTTAGGTGCTTGGCGATAGCCTCAGGAAGAGTGATGGGTGGTTCCTGGGCAGCGAACAAGAATGCGATGTCTGGGGAGGCAGATGGAGAGATTATGATCGCTCGCTTGGAGGGGTGCATCGTCATGCGTCAATGCGTTGGTGAAGGTGCATGCGATGGATAGCTCGTTGGATATTGGACATCGTCATTTGCGTGACTGTTTGTAATTGAAGTTATCCTATGGTGCTTGGAGTGATGCAGGCTGTCAATCGCTTATGCTGCTCGACTTGATGTGCCTATTGGAGCTACTAGCGCTTCCTGCGACAAGCACGTCGGCTCTCGTCCGGAGCTTCACCTGGGTCGATGGCGATCCTGGACTGGCGATGAACAGCGCCAACGCGAGCCGGCAATCGTGTTTGACGCAAAAAGTAGGCAGTGATGATGAGATGCAGCTGTCGCATTCGACATGCCGTCACCTCTATCCCGAACCCTGTCCTTACCACTCAAGCTTCAACTCGGTCCAACTCGCGCCCTTCTCCACCTTGAATGCCTGCTCTACATTTCCCCGGCCAAGGTCACCACCGTAGAAGTGTGCGAACACCCCTCTGCCAACCTCCTCCCACTTGATCTCTGCCTTCCCATCCGACTTGGTCTCCCCATCGCCATCCGTCCCGCTCGCCAGCGTCTCATATCTGATCTTCAACAACCACAACTCAGAAAACTCGTTGAACCACTTGTCTGCGGTGCCGGGGACTTGCTCCGAGGTGGAGAGGTGGATGTAGCCGTCCTTTTTGTCGAGGTCGGAGAGCGGGAGGCGGTCGGGGAGGGGTGAAGGTGGGGCCGAGGGGAGGATCTTGTAGAGGTATGTTGGGAGGGGCGAGGGGGCGGTCATATTGGCTAGCGTTCTTGTGGGGTTCGTGCGGCGGGAGAGGATCGAGTTTCGGGTCGAATAGCGAGAGGACGGGGGCGCAATTGCCGTGTATAGGTGCGGGGAGGAAGACGAGATGTTTGGTGGACCCCGGATCTTGGCGTGCATGCAGGGTCGTCCCTAGCGCTGATGACGTTGTCGTGTTTCCTGGGAGCGCGTGTGGGTGCACTCAAGAACAAGAACCAAGCATCTTGCCATCGGTAGCAAAGATGCCCCGCCTCGACGAAACCACGCAGCAGTACCTCCAGGATGCAGAGCAGGGTGTGCGTGCCCGCACTGCCCGCGCGTGGGACAGCTTCACCAACTTCGCAATCCGCGACAACGTGCTCGAGGTCGCCGTTGGCCTGATGTAAACACGCTTTCTCCTTTCCTCTTCAGCACCACCTCCTTCGATTTCTTGTATCCACAAGCAGAAGAATGTATTGACTGACTTTGAAAGCCTCGCCGCCTCCTTCACCGCCGTCGCAAACTCCCTTGTAACCGACATCCTGCTCCCTCTCATCTCCCTCCTCCCCTTCCTCGCGCGCAACCTCGACGAGAAATTCGCAACCCTCCAGCACGGCCCCAACTACAACGCCACCATCGCCAACGGCTACAACACCAAAGACCAGGCGCTCAACGACGGCGCCATTGTCTTCGCTTACGGCAACTTCCTGGACAAGATTGTCCGGTTTATGTTGATTGCGGTGAGCCTGTGGGCGATCGCGAGTCTGTATAGTAGGGGCAGCGGTGACAACATTGTGAAGAGGCAGGTCAAATGTAAGTATTGCCGCAAGTGGAAGAGCGAGAAGGCGAAGCGGTGTGTGAATTGTACGAGTTGGATGGACGGGCGGGAGGAGAGGTAGACGGATTTTGTAGGATGTGGTAAGGGGTGGACGGTATGTGTGATGGGTACACTAAAGTACTGCATGCGGGGGTACGTGGAAGTCTAGTACATACTAGGGCTACTGAAGATGCAACCGTGTCACAAGGCACCATCTAATCCCACGCATCGCCGAAAGTTCCCTCCACCTAAGGAGCATCCTCCTCCTCCTCCTCCTCCTCCTCCTCCTTGTCCCTACCCATATCATCCCGCTCGACCTTTCTCTTCCTTTCCTTCTCTCCACTCAGTCCTTGCGCTCCATCTCGCATCTTCCTCTTCCTCCCTCCGAAAACTATCTTTTTCACTGGCACCTCCGAATCCGCATTCCTTGTCGCTCTAGACGGATCTGCAACGGCAGTCATACGCTCCTCGAAACCTCTCGCATAATTCACATCCTCTGGCTGTCTGAGCCGGTTCTTGGTGCTTTCAATGATTCATCTGTATGGTTCTATCGAAAGCGCGGGTTATATAGTGTGGAAACCCTCCTTTCGAGCGCTGTCTGTGGCTCGTGGTTGGTTTTTGGTGACAGTGTTTGTGGTGCAGGTGAATGTTGAGTGGTGAACACAATCTCCGCATGGGAATTTGCGAGTAGGGGGTTAACTGTAGAGGGCCACAGTGGCTCATAATACGATAAACTTCTTGTAGTTATAGCGCGTTCCTATCTAAGTAGTTTAAAAAAATATTGCAACTTGAAAGCTCTACAAGCGTGAGGCAGAACAACCTGTTGAAAGATCAATTCTACCCTAATAGTTCTGCAAGTACAAAATAGAGTGTTACTACAAGATGCGGTCTCATCCCGTTTTCGTTTTGTGTCAACTACTGTCGACAAGCGATGGCCCATAGTCTGCCGGCGAATTTGGTAAGGAAAGGACAGTGTGGTTCACTACAATTATATTGTTGTATGGATCCTGCTGTAAGACTGGGATCTTTCCTGTACGCATTAAGAGAGACGCCAAGCATTCTTCGACATGGATCGCTGTCATCTGCTTTGAGCATCGTTTTGGCGTGCGAGAGTCTGCATGTGCAGACAAATCATCTTGATTAATGCTAATCATTTTGGCATGTGGAAGTCCTCCTTAGACTAAGAAACAGTCCGTAGATAGCTAGAGGATTTGAATTGCCGCCCTTCAAATGTGGAGTTCGAGTCACTGGTTTGGATTCGCATGCAAGGGCAGCAACTTAGTACACCACGGCGTGGAGCAAGTCAGTGTTGCTAGTTCGAACACACAAAGATAGAAAGAAAAGAATCCCGGGGTATATAACACTATCTAAGAAGCAAATTCACATATCACTAAAGGAGTGTCTTTCGGCTACTGTACTGAACCTTTCACATACAGCCTACAGACCTCAGACCGCCAATGTAATCCCGACTACTCAGTCCTACATGCATCTAGGATGAGGAGCTGCCTGAACTTTGCTGCTGCGAACCTTGAAAGGTGAATTGATTTGCCGCCTCCCTTCCCGGCGCGGTCATGTCCGCTATATATTCATCAGATTTCCTGGAGGAAACGTGCTTGGTCGGTCCCGGGTTCTGGTCAAACGTGTCTGGATGATTCTCTGTGACATGTCAGCGAGTGACCAGCAAAGCTTGAGGGATACCTACGATAGACCTTTCCTGTGTTGTTGGATACTTCAGCGGACTTTTCTGAGTTTTCGGGAGAAGAGAACCGGTTCGAGTCGTCGGAGGGCCATGGGCTGTCATCGTTATTTATCGTGTCCTTCGGGCTCTGTCCGAAGTCGGAAGACCTTCCGGACTTCTCGGATGCTGGGGACTTTGCAGACATTTTTTTCCTTGGCGTGAGTGGCCTTTCTAGGGGCTCTGGTGGATTTGGTGGCTGCTTAGGAGATGTAAATATTGGTTGCCGTATGATTGTAAGGTTCTGTGCTGTGTGCTGTGCTGTGTGCTGTGCTGTGTGCCCGGTATGAGCATAGTAAAAGCATACGAAAGTGCTTTATATACTCGTCGATGAGTCGCTCTCTTGGTGTTGAACTTCGTCTCTTGCTCATACCTTCCAGGTATGATACGAACATCGTTAATTAACGTGCAGGTAGCCGTGTTGACGAGTGTGGTTCGCACAGACGACAACGGAGGAACTGAGGGTTTGGTAACTGCTGTAGTATGCGACGCGAATGTGTCATTGTAACATACTCGTAGCACGAGGGGTTGATGCGGGCGGCCCTGTACTTTGACGAAGTGTGCCTGAAGAGAGAATCTGGGCGTGGAAAGAGCATCTACTTTGCTGCTTGTAGAAGGGACACTACTCCGAATAGACGCGATATTGCGGTTATCGTCATGCTCCTGTTGGATTCTGGTCAGTGCTGCTCACATGGACCGTGATCTAGCGGTGTGACTGAAGACGCTTCGCGCTTGAATGTGTTGTCGGGTGTGACTAACCAAAAAGTGCGAGCGAGGTACAGAGCCCACGAGGAGAATGGTTAGACTCAGATAAGTAGGTGTTACCGATCAGCTCCGAACTTGCCTTTTTGGCTGGGGGACCGAGAGGAGGACCTGACAAATCTCTGAAGGCAGCATACGTATTTATTGGGACACTCTGGGTGTGTAGCACTGCCTGTCCGTTGGTAAACATGCATCACGATGAGTGACTGAAAAGTCCAGGCTCATCGTCGTTGCTGCTGTCATTCATGTTCCCTGGGAAAGCGACACTGGTAGTGACAACCTCAGGCGATGCCGGTGCAAAGACACATTGAGCATGTGCCACCTTCGACTGGCTCGCCATGACTCGGTGAAATGCTTGACAAGCGGCCGACGAGTCGGAGTGGTAGTCGCTGGCGATGAGTGCCGTTGATGCGCGTGGCTGAGTCACCTGGCTTGCGGAGCATCAGCTGATTGGCTCGGACATGGCGACGCATCTTGTGAGCTTGTCACGACCATCACGACCGCTTGACATACCAGAACCAAGAACTTGTTCTTACATTAATAGATGCTGAACATATCCGGGTGATATCGATGCACGCCAGCGATCAGGGATGGGGACAAGGCGGCCGTTACACAATACGCAGGACGTCCACGGTCGAACTTGTTGTGACCGAGTAGGGTTGGACATGCTTTCCTGGTAGTATTCAAGTGGAGGTGAGCTGGCGAAGCGTCTGTGCAATATCCTTTTCTCGCAAGACTCAGCACGCCGAACGCTGCAAGAGCGAGCAAACGACAAGGGAACGAGAGTGCCGACAGAGTGGTCTAGAAGTATATAAGTAGCGTCCTAGTACTGTGCTGAAGTAGCTGTGCAACTTTGATGTGGCTTACACCACAGTAGCATTATGTTCCTCTGTTCAGGTTTGTACAGTTTGTATAGGAGTCCATGCGAAGGTACTCGCCAAGGCAACCCCACATCAGCCCCGGATGTTTTAGCGTCACCAGCCACAACGGCAACTGCGCCACGGAAAGAGGGCTGAGCGGCGTTTAGGCAGCTGCGAAAGCGACTGACGACGCTTTAAGGCAGTCGCGATTCAGCGAACTCTCATAATTACTACAACCTACCACGCCTGACGTTTTCTTCCGCACATTGCTTCATGCGGATTTTGGCCCCCGACGTCTAGCGCATAGTGTTGCGCATTTGCGATCGAAAGTCACACGATAGAACATGGAGACCATAAGTAGACTCCCCCGGAGACTCACTCAGCTATACACAGGTAAGTTCAGCATCCTGCGGCACCAATTCCGGTACTTGCGACTCGCCACATGGAACTTTTAATAACGGCAACACAGATACAAAGGTCTCTTGCGAAGCCGTAATAGAACAGGACACCACCGACACGCAACCCGAGATCAACGCACTGCACCGCAAATATCGCATACAAAAAGACCGACTCATAGCATGGGGGCTCGAGTGGAGTGACAGCACAAAGGGCCGTCAGGATGACATTGACGAGAGCGTGGAGCGCGCAGGCCTGACGGAGACTGTGACAAGCGTGCTGGGCACCATCAAAGATATCCTGGACGAAGCGGAGAGGATGCACCCGCCTGCTGTTCTTGCAGGTGGCAGGATGCTGTCAGGGGAGAAGACTCGCCCCCCTGTGACTTCCGCGTGGGCGGCTGCCGACAGGTCACGGTACGAAGACCTCGCCAAGGACCTGACCACTTCCATCGACATCCTCTACGACTTGTCTCGCACGCGGCGGACTCAGCGTGAAGCTAGCCGCGGATCAAGCCCCCACCACAAAACTGTTCCTCCACCACCGCGCAGGGCTTCAGCTTCAGCTGTATTCTCCTCGTCACAGTACAGTGCCTCCGACCTTACACTCATCAACCCCGACACCATCCCAGTCATCGCCCACGAACTTGCCAACATCGCCACCCAAACCGATTTCCCGCCCAAGCTGAACCCAGCAGACTTGGCACTGCCCCAGGAAGAGCCTCCACCCTATGAGAGCGTAGGAGCTTCCTCCATCCGCGTCATCGGAAGATTACGGACGAAGCACACCTCCACCAACCCCTGGAAGACGGATGGTGCTAAGAGTGTGGAGACGCCCGTCCTGGTAGAGTTCGCTACGTACGACCCTACCTATCGATCTACCGGAGTTCCAACACCTACCGACCGCCTCGAAACACTCTTGTCCATCCTAGGGAGGCTGTCAACCAACCAGTCGTTTCACGGTACATTGAAATGTCTTGGATACTTTGAGGATCCCACGCAACCGCGTTTTGGCCTGGTGTTCGAGCTTCCGTCATTTGTCTACTCTGGAGCAGCTGATCTTAGCAAGCCCGTGGAGGAGCTTCGTCCTGTGACGCTGCTTAGCGTGCTTCAGACGGGATCTAAGTCGCTACACAACTCCAACAGCGCCACCCCACCCCTCGAAGACCGGTTCCGCCTCGCCTTCACTCTCGCCCTTACATTCAACAAGATCCATGGCGACGAGTTCGTACACAAAGACGTCAACAGCAGTAACATTCTGGTGTTTCGCAAGAACAAGCGCCAGTCTGCGAATAGTCGAGCATTGCAATACGCCCTGCGTTCTCCTGTCATTTGTTCCTTCGACCTCTTCTCTGAGTACGACATTGAGCCGGCAAGCACAATGCCACCCCTGAACATATATCGCCACCCGGAAGACCCCAAGTTCACAGGAGTGAAGGAGAAGACCTACGGCCCACAATTCGACCTCTACAGCCTGGGTCTGATCCTTCTTGAAGTCGGCTTGTGGCAGCCTCTCGCGGATTTGTGGAAGCCCAAGTACACACTCATCGACTTCAAGCAGCGCGTTGAGGATGTCTATATTCGGCGCCTGGCATCCAAGTGCGGCACTGCGTACATGCAGGTAGTGCGCGACTGCTTCTGGGCTGCCGACCGCATCGAATCTGGCGCAGAAAGCCTGCAGAACTTTCCGCAGCTTTACAATCGCATTTTGATTAGGTTGCAACGGTGCTGCCTTCTCGACGAGGTCGACCCTGGCCTCGATTGGGGCGAGTTGAGTACAGGCGCACCGCATCTCGCTGGCTCCTCCCCACTGAAGCGCAAGACCGCGAGTCATGTACAGCCTGCCGAGTTACCTTCGAGTCCATCATATCGAAGTGCCAAGCGCTGGGCTCTTGAGAAAGGCTCGCATGTTCTTGAACGATCGCGCTCACTTTCCAAGACTACACAGTCGCCTAAAAGCTCTCCTAATCTGCCTGCATTGTCAAGGCACGGGTCGCAACGGTCACAGCATTCCATCCGCAAGTCTCTATCGCACTTGATGAGTCCCAAAGAAGAACCCTCTCAGGAGGTGGACTGGCAACATAGCAAGACTCTTCACATGGACACCCCGCCTGATTCGCAAGAACATGGTGATCTGGCACTTGTGAATGAACACCACCGGGCGCATAGCACGGGGGACATCCAGCGTTCCCGAGGTTTTCAACCAGAATTCGGCACACCGCCAAGGTCTATGACCCACAAGGATTACAAAGACAAGATCACGCTCATACAGAACCTGTGGCGGCAACGAACACAGAGTCGAGCAAATACCATCGGCGCGTTGATAATGGACGGAATCGGGCACTGGCCGCAGGCTGCCATCGGATACCCAACGCCAGAGCCCGAAGAAAAGCCCCAAGACCAGAGTATGACGCATTCAATTCATATCCAGCGCCACCCGAGTCAGAGCGTTAGCCCACGAGACTCCACGCTGGAGATCAACACGAATGTCGAACTCCAGTCTCGCCAGAAGCTACGCCTCCACCCTGTGATGTTTTCAGAAGAGATTGTCGATGAGTGGCACAAGAAGATACTACCTCGGCTAGAACGGGTTCTCGAACGCACACTGCGAGACTCGGACGAGACTGTTAGTATTGATCTTGTAGCTGTGGGCGAGACAGCAGACAAAACCCGTCCGACCATCTTTGTGACTTGCAGCAGCGTGCCCAAAGTCAAAGCTGTGTTGCAGCGCAGGTTCAAGTACGATCCCAGTATCTTTGACCTCAAAGTTCGACGTGGCAGGGTCCGGCGATCGAAGCTCAATCGATCGAGCCGTAGGAGGAGACCACCACACCGATCCATGGCGAACACGGATGATTATGAGGGTGACATGCATGTCATGAACCCATTCCATCAGGAGCGGCCAGTTTGTGGGGCATCCATTGGCGCTTTTCGAGGAGAGCACCTCCCGCCTGTCTCTTATGGCGGCGTCGTGCTCGTCGACGACGAGCCTTTGGGCATGAGTACGTACTCTTCTCTTCTCACCTGTGGTTATTACTGCGAGTCACCCTATGGTTGAAATCGCACGTGGGCCTTTTGGAAACAGCTGCGCCGCCCTTGCCGGATACACTAGGTGGTGCGGTCGAGGCATCCCGGCCTCCATCGAACACCAAGCTTCACACGTCACAGTTCCGCTGACATCTCCAGGTGTCCATCATCTTTTGGATGCGCCATCCGATGACGAGAGCGACGCCGGGGACGAACCTGTTCTATCGAGTGGTGCGAATGGCTCAGCCAACCCTTGGCTCATGGGTATGGGCTCACAGCCTGGTGTTCAGATCGCACCCAACTCGCCCATGCCAATGTGGGAACTCGAGATATCCGACGATGAACCCTTAAAGAGCGATGACGAAGACTATGATTCGTTTGATCTGTCTGGTTCTGAATTCGACTCTGACGAAGAATCGGAGTCCGATAATGCAGATATCAATTCCATCGCCTCCAGGGGAACAATAGGGGACATAGATGGTATTGAATTGGGTGACGGTGAGGAAATCAAAATCACGCAGCCAGCCATCGACGATGTTGATGACGACTTTTTTCCTAACGAGGAAGACCGAGACGAGGACCACTTGGATTCGCACGAGCTCGGGCACGTACACGCCACTTCTGGTATCAGACGCTGGAAAAAAGACGGAATCATACATGAGATCGACTGGGCCCTTCTAAAACTCAACGACCAACGGCTGCAGCCCTACAATCTGGTCCAAGGAGGTCGCCGATTCTGCGCCACTGCCGCAGTCGACCCTTCCCAACGCGAAATCTCCGCAAAGCTCGAGCAACCTGTCACCCGCCGGCACTACACAGCAAATGAGGACGAGTATCCAAATGGCGTCGCTAGCGCCACAAGCCTAGGTGGACTCAGTGTCCACTGCTTCGGCCGCACGACCGGTCTTCAAGGCGGCATGGTCGGGCACGCCATGAGTTCGGTCCGCATCTACCGCCGCAAGACCTTCTCCCGTAGCTGGCATGTGGCCGGTGGGTTCGGCGTCGGCGGCGACTCGGGCGCGTGGGTGGTTCAGAACGGCACGCACAAGGTCGTCGGCCACGTCCTCGCGTGGTGCGAGCGCAACCACATCGCGTACATCTGTCCCATGGAGGTTCTCCTCGAGGACATCAAGCGTACGCTTGGCGCTAAACGTATTTATCTCCCTGGGTCGGCGGAGGAGGCGAGACACCGCGCGCGCGTGCAGAAGCATGCACTCAAGAGCGATAGTTGTGTTGAAGAGCTTGAGGTTGCGGTGGAAGGGCTAGGGATTGTGGATGCGCGTGTTGCGCCGCCTCCGCCTCCGCCGAGGAGAAGCCGCTTGCCGCTGTTGAGCGTGAATGGCGAGGGCGAAAAGGAGAATTTGCCAGTTTTGAGAAGTAGGGTTATGCGGGTTAAGGAGGTAGGTGGGCAGTTGGAGATGGTGGCCGGAGGTGTCTGAAGGTAATGGGGAACGTGCATACTCGTGGCATTTTCGGAGGCATTTTTTGATACCCTGGGATCTTGTGTGGTGGCTTCGGCTCGGTTTGAACTGGCCCAGCATGTGTTGTATGTTGGGAGAAATTATGACGAAGGGATACTACGTAGAAGATGGTTAAACCCATAACCAACCTATCGACTTAGTATCGATGCAGTGGTTCGATATTGCAGCTCTCTAGATAAAATCAAAAACACCATGTCATGTCACAAGCCCTTAGGAAAACTATCATCCTGGAATCTCGACGCCAAAGTCTCCAGTGTGATCTTCTCAGACAAGACCCCATCCTCCCTCACCACGCGCGCCCCCTCGCCGTCAACGACCCGCACAAGGGCAGGCCAGATAACTAGATTCCTCGTATTCAACGCGTCGCTCGCGTTTCTATTCAGACTTGGCGCTCGCTTCCCAAGAAACTCCCCTACCGCTTCGCCGTTAACTGCCGTCGCAAAGCCACACTCGCCAAAAGAGTCCGAGCACTTACTCGGTTCATGATGGTATTGGGAGGAGCTGCTCGGGACAGCCTGGCTCCAGTCGAACTGCCAGAAGCTGGGCTGGCCAAACAGCGTAAACGCGAGTCTTGCACCTTTCCTTAGAATCTCGCGGAGACTGAGGAGACGGCTGGCGTCGCTGGCGCCGGAGGTCACCGAGTACACGGCAAGCAGGGGGTTGAGGTCGCGCAGGGCGCGCTCGATGTTCGCGGTGCGCGAGTCGAAGTAGGAGAAGCCGTTTGTGACGTATGTTGCGTGGAGGAGGGTGGCGGATATTTGCTTCCAGTGGGAGAGAAGGACGAGGTCGGCTTCGCGGCGGAACACTGGGTCAGCTTCTAAACTTTGTGTCTTGTGCTTTGGTGTCGCGCGGGGTTTGGTGGGTGGAGCTGAGGTGAAAAGAAGTTTACTTACATTGGTACGAGCCATCGAGGTCCATCCTCTTCAGCCCCTGGATCATGGAAAAGCTCTGAAAGCACTCGACGATTTCGGGCGGGAGGAAGCTGCTGCCGGGACTGTTGCTCATCCCTAGCTTCAGCAGCAGACACCTGCTCAGCATGACCCATGCGATGCACAGGGTCAATATCTCCCGCCTGTACCGCGGTTTATGCAAAAGCACCCGGATCCTGGTCCATGGGATGGAGAGGCCGACAATAGCAGGTTCAATGTCCGTTTGCGACGCGGTGGCCCCGATGGACTCACAGCTGTAGTAGTTCCGGACGTGGTCGATGATGGAGGCGTAGAGGTCGAAGAAGTCGGCATGGATCGAGGCATCGGAAAGGGGACCGTTTACGCCGAAAAGGCTGGGAGATGGAAGGGGAGGTGAAGTCTCTGGCGAGGTGATGGAAGGGGACGGTAACTGTGTTTCTCTTCCGTCGGAAGGGCGGCGGCCTCTGTTGTGCAGTCTGTGCAAGAAGGACATCTGGCGTGATCGTTTCTGTACAGACTCCATAGCTGTGGTTGTAGGAGGTGATTGTACGCTTGTTTGTGTGGCTTGCATAAGCCTGTGTGTGTTGTTGCAGTTATCTATACTAACTTGAGCATCCGGGAAGAAGCAGGTATTCCACCGGGCGTTCCCGTTGTTTAGCTGTGCGGATCTCAACCTCGCCGTTGCAGATCTCACCTCGCCGTGATCACTCACGTCTTACTCTGTAGGTCCAGCCAGGTCCGGGATTAGCATGAGGAGACCCTGAGCCTTGTACCAAGACTTGATATGGAGTGATTCAGCTCACCTGGCCTTGAACATGCTTTGGTCCGAACCCTGCCTAGTCTGAACATGCTCGAGAAGCATCTCTTGGAACTCATGGAATACAGGCTAGCTATAACGCAACGACAACCATCCTCTCATAACTTGGGAACATAATAAGAAAATACTAATGCTTCTAGCTCAGAACCAAACATGCAGGCCTATCGGATAGGTCAGCGCTAATGACTGCCCATATCCGGGGACACGTTCACGGTGCCGGGAAGAAATTAAGTCACTGCCAACGGGGAGACGGGAAAGTGGGCAGTTAATCACGCTACACCCAGAGATCTAGAGCGTTCAGGCGCACGTTCCCGAGAGGCCGGGTGTCTTTGGCTCGCGTGCTGTGTGCGCCAATCGTAGCGCTCGATGAGGGTGAACGACCATGTGCGATTGGTCTAGCCAGTGCTTGGTTCAGAAGACCCTGTGGCTCTGCGTCTGGCTGAGACAGCGGGGTATGGAAAGACATGAGCTGATCGGTTCTTCTGGAAAATTGCCATTGGAATGCTTGGCAGACGCTGGTCTTTGTGCATATGTGGATGCCGCGTTTCCGCTTCCGGGTTGCTAACACGTGAGTGGCGCTATTCCGTAAGGGACAGGTCATATCATCTTATTCCATCCTTTCTCTCATTGAGATATCAGACGCAGTCTCAGGGCGCTGTTTCTGTGGGAGTATGGCAAACTTTTGGGAACGTTCGCGTCAACGCCTCTCAGTGTTGAGCTTTGGTGATGAGCCGAAGAATTCAAGAGTATGGATGCATCGTTACTGATTGCTTGACGGGCTCAAATTATAACAGAGTCGCTAATATAGAACCACCGTTTCTCTAAGAAAGTAATGTAGTCTTGGAGAAGTCTAAGTCGCAATTGCAAAACTCACCTCAGAATGCCATGGTAGAGCACAATAGTCTAAGTTTCAGCCGAAAACAACTCGATGCATCGGTTGCGCTTACGTCGTGGCTGGTACCCGGGCCTATGTCTGCTTTTAGAGTAAATGTTGACGAGTCGGACTGTAGCGTAATATATGAGATCGGCACTCGTGATGTCTTTCAGACTTGGAGCAATGTCAGAGGTATATGAGCTTTGGGCTCAGTTTCCTTGTCTCTGCATTGTGTGTGATATTTATTGCGAACTCGCATCACTCCCTGGAAATCTGCTGCAAGATGTAGTCTCGGGCAGAAGAAGTATGCTTCAAAAGAGTGGAGCAGAAAAATTTAGCGGTGTATGAGGAGAGAACTGTAGTATATCCGCACAGGACCGTTACATATTCGCTTGAATGGTCCCCAGCGCGATCTTCCGAAGCATTACAATATTATTCGCAAGTACTTGGAGAGGTCATATCCGGCTTGTGCTCGTTGCTCGCTTGAGAACATGACCGCTCAAGCCTGTTAGTTCGAAACGGCTTTCACCATCCCTGACCGCCGCCACGCAAAGAGCTCCACTCCGTGTTGCCCCAGTTCATCGAATCCATGCTCATTTCTGCAGAAGATGTGTCCTGCATATTAGACATTGGATCTGGCCACGCAAAGTTGTAGGCAGGATCAAATGTATCAAAACTCATCATAGGCATCGGAGCCGGTATAGGCACAGGCATCCACGAATCATCGTTGCTGGTTGTTCCTTGTTGTATCCAGCTCGGCAGGTGTGAGTAATCAGGTGTCATGCCTGCCTGTTTTCGGTTCATCATGGATTCGACAATGCCTGGTACCGTCCTGGAATCTGTCAGAATGTAGCTAGGGTTCTAAAGCACGGTACGAACTCGGTCTCAGACGGCACCGCCGCTCTGCGTGCTTCCCAAGCCTGCAGCACGATTCTGGAAATGATGTTCGCGAGCGGATTGTCATCGGACCCTAGCCAGTGCGTGAATCGTACAGTGTAGTTGGCACTCATCACCGCCCAGGCCCTTCCGGCTAGCTTGGTCGTCGGACGTCGAGCGAGGTCCTGCACAACATGGATGTATGCTTGGAACGGGAACTGCAGCACTGTCATAGTGAACCAAGTGAAAACCTTTGTCAGAGGAGAAGAGAGAAGCTTTGTATCGCATTCGAATAGCGTCAGCGCATACCCAAGAGCTAGGTCGCGCTGATCCTCGGTCTGCTTTGAAGGTGCTCGCGCATGTCGCGCATAGTGCGCAAGCATCCGATGTTTAGCAAGGTAGCCTCGTGCCATCCACACTATCATGAAATGTATCGGATTTGCTGGGTTGCAGAATTTGAGGTATTTCTCCTCCACCAAATTCTCAATAACAGCAAGCTCGTCGCCGGCGGGGGAAGATCCAACTGGTGGGCGGCGTGCAAGTGGCATCAAGCAAGGGTTGTTGAAGGCGAGCCAGTAGCCACTGTGTCGTACGAAGTTCGCCAGCTCACATCTGACAACTGCGAAAGTAGACTCGGTGATCATCTCATGTGGCGCAGGTGGCGTTTTTGTCTCCGTCCCTAAATCGAAGTCATGGATGTTCGATGGAGGTTTGCAATCCCATCCAGGCAAGAGAATCGAGCATTTGAAGTCTGACATCTCAGCCACACGCGTATCGAGAAGGACTAGTGACCACCAAATGCGGCGACGCATCTCTGCCTCTAGAGCAGTATGCTTCGAATTGAGGTCTTCACTATGAAGCCCCATGCTTTATGAGAGATATGTAAGCGAATCAAGGCAAGAAAATGGCCACCGGAAAGCCACATACTGTTGCGCGAGACGTATAGCCACAGCAAGATTGGTAGAAAGCGAGCGAGGTTCAGCTCTAGGTTTCGTCGAGAGCTACGTGGCGTGGTGTCAGGATCGAGTTTCCCATGAAATTGTGGAATGCGAGCTGCCTTCAAAGCACCTCGTGATTGTCTGACGGTATGGAAAGGCATTCAAGAGACTTACCAAGTACAGAAAAAGGGCCGTTAAGCAGTCACGGTCGTCTGTTCGCAATACTCCGCTTCGTAAGAGCGCTTGTCGACAACCCAACTGAAACTTTCGTAGCAGGTCTCCGCATTTGTTACCAAATAGTGTAATACACTCATCATCCGAAAGTGTCAGCATAGACACACAATAGATTCCAAACATGAGAGCCTGTAACTGCGGAGTTGCGCTTGCCAAGTCTGCTGCCGCCGCAATGATGCGTGTTTGCAGCGTTGGAGTATGAGTAACTTTGAGTAGCGGATTGACATTGTCAAGGTAGATCTGCCAAATCCTGATCATGTCGACTTGTGAAGGGTGGAGTGTTATGGGATCTATATCTGAACGAGCGCCGAAGTTGAATCTGCCGTCATCGTCATCTTCAAACAAATGCGACAGCGCCGTCTTCACGTTCGTAAGACGGATGTCAGCATGCAGTTCCTTATCGACATCATACTCGTCTACGTCGGTTTCTCCATCTTCAGAAGGTGATTGCGACTGAATACGTATCAGCAAATCGTCTGATGTTTTTGAAGAACGCAGTGAGGAAAATCGAAGCTGGAGACAGCACATACTCTCTGATTCATGACATGCCATATGTTACTAGTATATCATCAGACAGTAGATCTTGATTGAGATGGGCTGGTATGAGTCTCACATGGTTTTAGAATTGGGTGTGTCGTCCACATGTTCCGATTCGGGGCTTTCAACGCTGCTGGCGATATCGATTGCCTGGATCTTAGAGCTCAGCTCGAAACAATTACCTGTCGGACGAGGAGTGGTTAGAAGACCTCTTTCCACGAGAGAGACTAGGCAGGGATGTTACATACCCTCGGCTACTGGGTTAGACTGATCTGTAGTGCTACTTGGGTGCAAGGGTTCGAAGTCGATCTTGTTGTGGCGCAACAAGCCTTCATAACGGCGAAGACGGTCCAGTAGCTCGCGTTCGGGAAACCTCCTACGTCGCTGCCGCGCGATTGAGCCAGCAGGTACACACTGTGAGGCGATTGTTGCTTAGCGTCCTATCATTTCATGAAAGAGTTGCACTGTATCCTTACAGTTGCCCCAGATTTCACACAATTAGAGCAGGGAAAGTTCCGATCGCACTTGACCTTGCGGCTCTGGCAGAGGATGCATGCGAGCACCCGCTGTGGCTTCGCAGCTGCCGCCGGGATGTTTCGCGAAGGGGATGGCATGACGGGCGGGGAATTTTTTGGCCGAGTGTACACAAGATCTGAATGGGGAATTGTTGTTGAAGTGGGTGGGCGGTAGCCTGTTGCTCGGGGATCTCTAATATCCGAGATGGTAAGATGTCATCATCCACTAGACAATAGGGCTTGCTGCGAATCTCAAAAAGGAACTAGAGACCCCAATTAAGCTGGGGTATAAGACATCCTCTATGAATATTGACCTATACAACGAGCATTGGTATGTGGGAGATAAGCTTTCGTCTCGTCTCGGGAGCAGCCATCGTGTGCGACAGGGTCTAACCTAATCCGGATGGACGGGTTTAGATCTCAACGTGGCGCTTGCGACACCTTCAATCATGATTAATCGAACGTCATCAGTCACAGTTCAGAATAGCTCAGAATGCCTTTTCGCGAAGCTGAAGTTACCGAAGAAGTAATGTCCGCTTTAATCCAGCCATCTGGGCTGTATCTATGCCACTCTCGAAATGCATCGTCCGATCCTCCGCTCCATCTCCACGACCTCAGAGTTTCCTCCATCTAGTATATAAAGCTACACGCCCATTGGAATCATCTACAGGCACCATCCTGAGCAATTTTAGAGATAAGCCCGCTTCAAAAACATCCATTTGTTTTATTCCGTTTTCTCAAAATCACAAGCATCGCCTGGATTATTCGGAAGTCCTCTGAAATGTCGAAGCCGCACGCCCTCGTTGTGGGCGCCTCGATCGCTGGGCCCATGACGGCGTACTGGCTCGCCAAGGCCGGCTTCAGGATCACCGTAATAGAGCGCTTTCCGAAGTTCCGCCCCGGGGGACAAAACATCGACAGTATGTGCCACCTATATCGTGTTCTGTATTCAAATTAAGCCATGTTCTAGTTCGTACCTCGGGCGTGACTGTAATGCACAAAATACCCGGAATGGAACCCGCTGTGCGTGCCAAAATAATTCCCCAAGACTCGATCCAATTCGTCAACTCCAAAGGAAAGCCATATGCAACTATGAAGCCGACAGGTGACCCAAACCAGCAGAACCTCATCTCAGAGTATGAGATCTTCCGCGATGACCTGAGCAAGATACTATACGACCTGACAAAGGACAACCCAAATGTGCGATACGTCTTCGGCGAACAAGTGTCTGCGATCCACCAGGAAGAGAAAGGGAAAGTAACTGTCGAGTTCCAGGAGGGAAAGCTGTCCAGACAAGACTACGATTTGGTAGTCGCCTGTGACGGCGCTACGTCACGAACGCGTGCACTAGGCTTCGACTCCACCGTCCGCACGCACATGCACCCGATGAACATGTGGTGTGCCTATGCCTCTGTTCCAACAGACTATCTGAATGGTAGCAAAGCAGCCACAATGTACGGGTCAATTGGAGGACGAGCTGTAGCCTTTGGTCCAGACCCAACAGGCGGAAATCGTGTATGTGCGCTCGCCGTTCTGCCACAGAAAGAAGTCGATGCTACGCTGCCGTTCCGGAAGGCACAGAAGGAAGGCGATGATGCGCTCCGGAAGTACGTGGGCCAGCACTTTGCAAGCGTGGGCTGGAAGACTGCAGACGAAGTCGTCCAGGCACTGACGGCTGCTCCCGACTTCTACGCCTCGGAAAACGTGCAGATCAAGCTGCCGTCTCTGTCGCGGGGACGCTTCACTCTCGTCGGCGATGCAGGCTATGCAGCCGGTCCTACAGGTGGAGGCACCACGTTGGCAATGACCGGTGGCTACGTGCTTGCTGGCGAGCTGCTGCGACACAAGGGCGACATTGATGCTGGACTAAGCGCGTACGAAGCAATTATGCGGCCCGTCATCGACGATATGCAGAGGATCCCGCCAGGAGTGCCCACGGCGATTGCGCCGCAGACATGGTGGGGAATTGCGATTCGAGACGCTGTGCTTGTGGCAGTAACATGGGGCAACGCCATGTTTGGTTGGGTATTGAAGTATTTGGCACCGAGTTTTGGTGGTGACAACTACAACTTGCCAGAGTATGAGTGGGTAGAGTAGGAGCATTGAATACGATACCCTTATAGCGTTTGGGTTTGTGTGCATTTTATTTTGTCTCCTTCCTTCTCTTGATACGCTGGTAGCCATTCATAGACAACATGTTGGAACTATTCTTCAACCTCCTCCATTCAGGGATAATGACTTCACTCAAACGATATCACCCAGAAGAAAATGGAATTCAAGGCAGCAAAGAACGACATCTTACAGAAGACATGGTCCTGTTTTCCGTCATACCACGAGTGGGGTATGCGCGGGGTACAACTCCAACCTCGCGCCTGCGTGTCTACAGCCAAAACATTTCCGGCGGCCGTATCACAACACCACACTCCAACTCCCACTATTTCCGAGCCCCAATGTTCAAAATCGCACACTGCAGCTGCCCCAATTTCTGGACAACAGCACTAGAAAAAACCATCCTCAATCACCTTAGCATTCGAATACACCCACATCTCTTCAAACCACTGCGTTCATACAAACGTTGAAAGAAAAGAAAACCCTGACACATAGTACTCACAATGTCCATAAATGGCACCCCCATCACCGAGACCGAAGCGTCCAAGAACTTCACCATGACACCGCCTCTCTTCCACCTCTCCTCCAAAGTCATCGCCATCACCGGCGGCGCGGCGGGCATCGGTTTCGCACTGGCTTCCCTTCTGGTCGCACAGGGTGCAAAAGTCGCCATCGCAGACGTGAATCCTACCACCCTCTCCGCCGCGCACGCCTCAATCCAGGAACTGTGCAAAGACGGCGGCGAGGTGCTCGCCACGCGGGTCGACGTGCGGAAGAGGGCGGAGGTGGACGGGTGGATTGCGGAGGTGGTGGAGAAGTTCGGGAAGCTGGACGGCGCTGCGAATCTGGCGGGCGTGATTCCGAAGAGCATTAATGTGGAGAGAGTGGAGGATTTGAATGATGCGGATTGGCAGTTTGTTCTCGATGTCCGCTACCCCGGCCCTTCCTACCAACCACTCAACCCTTGATCCCGATTTCCATTTCACTTCAACGTAGGAGAATACCTTCACTAACAGCTGTGGTTGGGGATGCGTAGGTCAACATCACGGGCGTAATGCAGTGCATGCGCGCGCAGATCCCGTCCATGAACATCAAGGGCAGCATCGTCAACGCGTCAAGCATCGCTGGCTTGGGCGGATTCCCCAAGAATGCAGCCTACACAGTAGCAAAACACGGTGTCATTGGGCTCACGAAGACGGCCGCAAAGGAGGTCGGGGACAGACAGATCCGGGTGAATTGTATTGCACCGTGAGCTCTCTCCCCATCATACTCCTCTCTCTCTCTCTCTCTCTCTCTCTCTCTCTCAAAGTATGGAGAAAACGAAACAGGGACTGTGGTAAGAGGGTGCTAATGACTATAGTGGAATCATCGACACAGAAATGCACCGCGAGAGCGTGCGGATACGGGGCAAGGAGGGCGACTACAAGATCCAGATCCCGCGGAAAGGCAGGCCGGAGGAGGTCGCGGCGTTGATTTGCTGGCTGCTGTGCGATGGGAGCCAGTATATCACGGGGACAGTGTGAGTAGCGCGTTATCCCCTCTGACATCCAACACCTGGCTAACAGTATGCGCGGTAGGCAAATCATCGACGGCGGGGTCATGGCGTAAGACAGCGGTAGACATATCTGCATGATAGCAAGTAACATCGATCCGCCCATATGCCATAAACAGGCAGAGTTGGAATAGTAAATATTGCGACCGATGGCGGTGCTGTGCCATGTACGCTTACTCAACGGCCGGGGTAAGCACTAGCTATGCTGTACATTTGAACTTGCGCGATTCTGGACAATGGAATTGACACTGTGTCGAATCGGCTGTTTGTTACCTCCATGCATGCGTTTAGATTGCATTTGGAGCCAACGCTACAGAACCACCACAGAAAAACCTGGCGCCGTCCCCTGAATACTCTGTCGTTTATAGAGTTTGGCAGCTAGTAAGAACAAAGTGCGATTTGGGCTGCCCGTGTACCCAGCCTTGGAGTTGTTCAGATTCTCGCAAAGCATGGGTATCTTTGAGACGGTTGCGATACTGACAGCCACGGTATGCATTCCCACCCGCTGTGTTCAAGCGCCCGAGCGACAATTGACACGGCGATCAAGTGCCTTGCTGTGGCCCTCTTCTACGGCCTCTACAACCTCTACCTCCACCCACTGCGCCGCTACCCGGGCCCATCCCTCTATGCCGCCTACCGCCTGCCTTATGTAATCGCCAACATGCGCGGGAGGCTTGCATTCGAAGTCCTCGACATGCACCGCAAATACGGCCCCGTAGTGCGCATCGCACCCAACGAGCTCGCTTTCACCGAGCCCGAGGCCTGGAACGACATCTACGGGCTCCAGGGCGGCCGCGTACAGAACCCCCGCGACAAAGCTGCGTACACGCCCCCCGTGAGTGATAGTTTCGGCGAGGCGAAGGGCATCATCCATGCGAGTGATGCGGGGCACGCGAGGCTGAGGCGAATTTATGGGCAGGCGTTCACGCCGAAAGCAATTGAGGGGCTCAACGACATGCTGTTGAAGTATTCAAATCTACTGGTGGAGCAGCTGAAGATTGCGATTGGAACCGATCCGGTGCAGGACCTGTCGGCGTGGTTCAATTACACCACGTTTGACTTGACGGGAGATTTTGCCTTTGGGGATGCGTTCCACTGCCTCGACAGCGGCGGAAAGAGCCATTTCTTTCTTGATACGGTGCTCGCCGGTGTGGTCGTCGGGTGCCAGATTTGGCAGCTGGAACGGTACAAGCTCCTCACTATACTATCACCGCTGCTCTCTTTGTTTGCGGGCGACGAGATGAAGAAGGCGGAGATGATGGGCCGGTACACGCAGGAACTGGTGGATGCGCGTCTGAAGGAGGGCTACCAGCCTGATCGCAAGGACGTCCTGAATTATTTGCTTCAAAGTAAGAAGAAGGAAGACCAACTTGAGACTGCTGAGCTCTATGAAAATGCGCTGACGCTAGTGGTTGCGGGCAGCGAGACTACGGCGACATTATTGTCGGGCGTGGTGTATTTCCTCTGCAGGCATCCAGCTGTGCTGGAGAAGGTGCAAGACGAGGTTCGCGGCTCTTTCAAGCGAGACGTAGAGATCACGCCGATATCGGTCAATGGGCTGAAGTTTATGATTGCAGTGCTGTCAGAGACGATGAGAGTCTTTCCTCCCGCTGGCTTTGGATTTCCTCGAATCATTTCCAGTGAACACGGACAGAGCGTGGCAGGACGGTGGGTTCCTTCGCAGACTCGCTGCAACATATTCCATTATGCAGCGTATCGCTACGAAGCCAACTTTGCTCGACCAGAAGAATTTATACCAGAACGCTGGCTTGTCAACGCACCGGCCGAATTCAAGAACGATAAGAGGGAAGTTGTACAACCGTTCATGGTCGGGCCACGAGGGTGCATCGGTAAAGGGTGAGTTCTTCAAGTGCACGTGCATTTCTTTGCAAAGGCTGACCGAAGTAGTTTGGCATATGCGGAAATGCGATTGATTCTCGCGAAGATGCTCTGGCATTTCGATTTTGAGCTCGCTGATCCGACCAAGCAATGGCACGAGAGGCTGCGGTCCTTTTTGATATGGGAGCGAACGCCTTTGCGAGTTCGGTCAAGGCCGGTACGGCGATAAAAGTGTGAGCGCCTCGAACAGCGGCATCGTGAGCAAAGCAACCCTGCTGCGTGCAGGCCGTTGAACCAGAATCTGTGATATTGTTTTTCATGCCATCTGGATCATCCGAGAGTGGTGCACTGAATGCTCATGTCCTCGTGCTCTGCCGATTCGATTGAGACGAAACAGAGCGTATATCCGATTTCATTTGTATCAGCTCCGTAGCAGAGCTATCCTTGCTGACCCTCATATGACATGCGCTGTTTGCAACCCGCGTATACCTACCGCATCCTTAGACTAGGAATTGCCGGAGCTTATGCACCGCGTCTGAGCTACCATTAGGGTTCCCTCCCCGTACCAACTGCCCTGCAGGCCGCTGATCACTGCATAGACTAAGCCGTAGTGCCGGATCCGTCGTTTACTAGCATGGTCATGTCTCATCGAGTGCAGCGAATGATCAGCGTAGCGCACCAGAATAAAGAAACGTCTGAAGCCTCTTTCAGTCTCGTGAGCCGTTGCCTTTGGGACTCAGGCTGGTCGCTGTTGGAAGTAAGAAAGGCACTAAATGTAGTATGAGATCTTAGCGTCAGCACGGATCCAGGCCTTCATGTGACGGACGGGAAGGTGGTTTGCGAGCCTCATAGGCCATCGTATGTCGTGGGGACGGTGGTCATCGCATATGAACTTATGAATCCTGCTGCGTAGCTGGTAGGAGCGGGTCAAGGTCTTCGGGAGACTCGCTGGCCGCTCGATGCACTGCGTGAGCTGCGCGCAGATCCGGACATGTTGGGGTTGAGGCTCCTTCGCCGTTTTGGTCACACTAGTGATATGGAGATTCAAGTTTGTGCCGTTCAATTGAGGTCGGCTGTTGATCAGAAAAGATAGCGAACTGGGTTGAAGTTCTTCGCGATGGGCAGATCAGATGCTTCAGAGACGTTTACATCGGCGCTTGACGAATATCACAACGTGAGATTGACATCTGTGGCTCTGACAAACGATGGGAAGGGGTGAGTTGTTAGTAGCTATGCACAATGACAACCCAAAGCGCTGAACAAGTTGAATCGAACGCCTGAAGACCATCTGAAGCGTTTTTTTTGGCCTGATAGTGCTTCAATCTGCCGCTGCTCGAGCCCAGTGACACGTGTTGTGTTTTGTTAGCATGTTCTTGCGCATGTAGCAAAAGCTTCTGTCACTGAGCAAATCAGCTGTAGAACAGTGCGAATCACCACGAGTAGGGCGACTATGCTCTTGTTTTTGCACCGGCAGTGATGTGGAAGAGTAATTGAAACGCGCGAGTGCGAAGTCTCGGAGTACGGCTTCGCTCTGTTAGCTCTGTGCAACGCATGTCGACGAAACACGTCCACCGTAATTAGGAACAGACATGTGCTCAAGCTCGATCGAAAGTCGCGCAAAGCGAGACCCAGCAGTAGCGTCTTGTGGCAGGATCGATGTTGACTTGGAGCTTGACCTGCGGTGTGATGGAGTGGTGTTTGCTCTAGTACATGGTCATGTAAGAGAGTCGCTGCCCGAAGGCCGGCGGGACGGGACTAGACCGGCTGTAGTCCTGTGGCTTGGAGGGTGGCGTGCGCGAAGAAGTGTTGGTGTACGTATCTTTGAGCGCAGTGCCAACTCTCACCCCAGTTGTCTCTGGCACTGTCACGGAGTCTCAGTGACGAGCCCATCACAGTGACCCAACACCTGGTGTGAATGTGATGGAACCTCTCTGGTACCTTTTCAAGGCAGTTGGCGAAGTGCCGAACTTGGGCTTGTTTTTGAAACGCCTTCAAACGCGTAGCAAATCAGACTACGTTGTGCGGTTACACAAGATCACAACGTGTCGCCCGGAATAGTCCACAACGAGGGGAACCAGGCTACCGTCGGCTACACGGTCTCGGCTAGACCAAAAGTATGTGTTAATGATGGATGGATCCACGTGGCTGAGGTGCCAAAGTCTCTTCAAGTTGGGTTGAAGACACCTCCGTACTGAAGCATCCATTCATAACATAGAAGTTGAGGCTGATTGGAGCCGCTTGTGATTGAATTCAACCCACGGACAAGTTGGATGAGGATCGGGCAGCATCGATAAGGTTGGATGGAGGCGCAAAAAGCAAGGCCAGCCGCAGATCTCGTAATGCACGTGCTGCTGAAGACGGCACCGGGGACTCGCAAGCATATTTGCCCTGTATGAGGGGTATCGGATAGGCTGCAAGGTCGTCTTTTGCCCAGTGACCGGAAGAAGGCGGGCCCAGCATTCGGCATGCCGAGCAGTTCCAACGCCTGTCGCCGTGATTGGCGGCCGGGGACGCGCAGTAGTAATGCTCCAAGTGCTGACTAGGAGGCGTGAAGGAGATGTTTGGCGGCGTCGTGCAAGCCACTGGTACTGGACATGGCAGCCGCGCACACTTCCCAGCTCCAACTCCCAGCACACGACGCAAGGGCGCAGACGAGGGTGGCACTAAAGGCAACGGCGACGCAGACTCGAGTGGGACAGTCGCTCGCTCGCGCGCAGCGATGGTGAACGGGCGTTCGATGGCTTGGAAATCGGCTGGGGTGTTCCGACCCATCATGCAGCCTGATGAGGGATGGCTCAGGACATACTGTCGGTCTGATTCGCGGCGCACAGCATCGGCGCCGGCTTGCTGGGATTCTGCGTGCGTCCAAGGCCGTGAAGACGGCCGCCCGAGTCCAGCATCGTGGTGTGAAGGGCGCGCTAGCCCTGCCCTGTCGCTCCAGGCATGTGTCGACGGGCGTCCTCCGGCTTGCGTGCCTCGACCCAATATGTCCCGGTATAGCCTGATGGCAGCGCGCCAGGGGCCATCGCATCCGCATCCGCCGCCCAGCGAGACGCGCTGCGGCAGCCAGGCAGCCCGCACCTGTTGTGCTGTCGTGAATGTCGCGATGAGGTCGGACACGCAGCCCCAGAAGGCGCGTCGCAACAGTGCCCCCCACGCACGCGCAGCAGGGCGCGCCAGGGAGGCAGAGGCGGACGGCTGATGGCTGATGGCTGATGGCTGAGGGAGGTGTGCAGCGAGCCCGCGTCGTGAGCGGGAGGCCGCAACGCTCCCGGCGGCGTGTGGGCGCGGGCCTAGCAGGCGTGGTATAGGCCCAAGGTGCGGGCTCCAGTGCAGTCCAGTCCCGCCTGTCTCAGCAGCGCAGCGTCGCGCATCCGCGTCGGCCTCAACCCAGCAGCGCAGCTGGCATGACTGACGGCTGGCCCTCTTTCACAGGCCAGCGGGCCTGCAGCGGACGGGCAGCAAATCACGCGTCGCCAGTTCGGCGTCGCTCGCAAACCCAGTGGGCGGAGACTGTGCAACGCTCGGCGGTACTCCCACAATCACAGGCGGCCCATCTGCAGCCCGCGGGGAGGCTCCGGTCGAGCGTGCAGCGCGTTATCAAGTCGCGAACTGTCCACGGCCAGCCTAGCGAGCCCTCACCCTCGCCCTCGCCCTCGCCCACCTCCTCTCCGCGCTCCGTGCTGCCCGCCCGCCTGCGTCTCCTCCACCCTCACCCACACCGACTCGTTGAGAAGCACAGCCGCCCGCGACTCGCTCCCGCCCTGCACGCCTCCGCCCGCACCCGGCTGTTCGTAGACGACGTCCTGCGCGGCGTGCTGCTGTTCTGCCCTACCGCCTCCGCGCGCCCCATTGGCTGCCCGGGTGCCCCAAGCGCGGCCTCGAGTCCCCCAAAGCCCTCCCGCATCCTCGCATCATTGGCCTCAGCAGCACCTCTCCCACGCCCACGCACTCGCCGCTCTCCTGCCCCAATCTCCTCTGCAGCGTTGCTGCATGCGCTCTGCCCGACCGCCCGCGACCTGCTAGCGCCCGCTTCCTGTCGGCTGCCTTGTCTGTCTATAACTGCCCGTGCCAGCACCGCCGGCCCCCCGTCCGCCGCCGCCCACACACGCTGCGACGCTCCCACGCCGTTCGCTCGCGCGCCTCGCACCGCAGCCCCAGGCTCCCTTCGCGGTCCGCTGCATCGTGTCGCTCGCACGGCCTCACGCGGCCGCCATCCTTTTTCTCGACGTGCGCATCCCGTTTCTGCTGCCGTGCGCGCCAATCACCTGCCCGCGCGTGCGCCTGCCCTGCCCGTTGGCGCCCACCAAAAAGCGAACCGGGCATTACAACGTTTCGAAGCTGTTTTACCCCCAGAGTCGCCCTCAGCGCCCGCGACTGACATCTGCCCGGGCCGGAACCCTCTGCATCTAGCCTCCGCCGCCGCGACACTACACCTGTTCGCTTGCGACACGCCTCGACCGCCACGACCGCACCGCTTTGTCTCGCTCGCGGCCACTGCAATACCCCCCAGACAAAGAGAAGCATGGCCGGTGGGCCGAGTCCGAGCAGTACCAGTCCCTCGAACCTCTCCAACAGCCCGTTCCTGCACAGCTCGCTGAGCAGCTCCTCCTCCTCCTCCTCGCCGCCAAAGCATCTGTTCTCGTCGCAGAACACCATGACCGCCGACGTCTTTTCGCCATCGCACGCTTATGCCATGCCCGCGCCCATAGGGAAGAGGCGGGATCTGGACAAAAATGGGCTGCTCTCGTTCAGCGAGGCTGAGACCAGCCCTGAACCCAAGGGCGCCCACACCATCTTTTTGCGAAAGCTCCCCACCAACAGCGACAAGGATGCTGTGCGCAACATGCTCCTTTTCGCAAAGGATCTAATAGATTGCGAACTGGTCTCTGCACCGCCCAAGTCGCCTGACGACATGGGCTTTGTCTCAGCCGTCGCTCACTTTCGCACACTCGATAGCGCAAAGGAGGCGCGCGACCTCCTCAACGGAAAGCGCAATGCGACCAACGATGCGACCATGATCGTCGAGATGTTGCACGACAATCTGCCAGGCACCATCGGCTCTCGGCGCAATACAGTGGATAGCACAGCTATGCGACAGGGATCCATCTCCGCCACGAATGGGATCGCCGGAGCCACGGCAAACGGCCGTCAATCTTCGCGATACAATGGGACCTTCCAGAGCTTGGAGAAGATGTCCCCACCAAACAGCACTCCGGGCCTTGGCAACGGAGAATTTCCGGTCCAGAACCTCTTCTCAGCAACGTCACCAGTCAATACCTCGTTCCCGCATCGCATCGCTAACGTGGGAAAGAACACCATCAACGACGAGGCTGACGACGATGAAGGTCTTCTCAAGGAATCCATCGGATACGGCACGACCCCGGTGCAGAATGCAGTCCCGCGTAGGACTACCAACCCAAGCTCGGGCATGCCCATCACTAGGGGATTTGCGTCGCTGTCTCTGAACACCAATGGTGTCAACGGTATGAGCCCGCCGCCTATGCCCAACTATGCTTCGCCCCGTTCCACGGCTACCATGCAATCCCCCGGGACGGCCTTGTCCGCAATGTCACCCCACTCTTCTATCTCATCTGCTATGGGAAACCTGGGACCAAATGCGAGCTACCAACAATTTCAACAGCATTACAATCGGCCAACATATCCTCCCGTGAACCCGGCCGATCAGAATCCGCCATGCAACACACTGTACGTTGGAAATCTACCTGTTGATACTTCCGAGGACGAACTCAAGGCACTGTTTTCCAAGCAACGAGGATACAAGCGCCTCTGCTTCCGGACTAAGCAAAATGGGCCCATGTGCTTCGTCGAGTTTGAAGACGTGTCTTTTGCAACCAAGGCATTGAATGAACTTTACGGCCATCCGCTCCACAACAGTGTTAAAGGTGGCATCCGCCTGAGCTTCTCGAAGAATCCTCTTGGTGTGCGCACTGGCCAAGCTACTACGATGGGGCCTACATCTACGATCACCCCCACCACACCACTGCCTGGTTTTGGAGGAGGAAATGTTAACAGCCCTCCTGGGTTTTCCACCGCCACTGGGCCGCCACCCGGGCTTTCCGCTCCTCCAGGATTGTCCACCCCGAGCCATTCAAACGGCTCACCTGCCTTCGGCATGTACTCCAATGGCGGGTTTGGCATGAGCCATAATGATATGGCCAGCCCCATTCGCTCGCAGCCGATGCCCGCGCCTCTCACTGCCAATGGCCACGGCAACGGCTTCGGCGGGATGGGCGGAAACTACTCCGCTTACATGATGGGACGTTGAGGCCGATGTGTTGAATCGAAATGCTGCCATGATTGATGAAGATGCTGTTGGGGAGCATCGATTTCAGCATACATTTGACTTGACCTTTGATCCATTATTGCTGCGTTATATCCTGTCACTTCTGTCATTGCGCGGTGTTGTGTTGATTTTGGCTTTATTTCTCTTTTGAGCAAGGGCATGGGTAACGGCGTGGAAATCCTTCATGGCCGAAGCGTCTGTCGGGTGTGGGCTACATTTCAGGCATACAGCGATGATTCCCCCTTGCGCGTTGAATTGATATAGGTTTAGTTGGGAGGGGGCGTTTGGAGTACTCTTCGTTAATGCACATGGGCAACGCATCCATCATTACACCTGCTGGACTGGTCGGGATATCGGGATGGCAGATCGAATTTCTCGATCTCGACTCTGGACAATGACGACGACGACGACGACGCCTCGCTCGGGCCTGGCACCAAAGCCAGGCACGGCTACTTCGACTGTTTTGCGACGGAGTGCATCATTCATCGACTTTGCGAACAAACATGGTACGGCGCTATTACACATGGAAAGCATGGAAGGGCTATAGTTGGGTTGAGCAGACGCTAGTTCGTCCTGGGGTTCATTTCCTTTGCATGGAGGCTATTGTTGTCGGGATACCTGGGTCACATATGTTCTTTTCGGGGGTTTCGTATGCTTTTAGGGAATTTGTGCGCTTTGCTTAAGATTTGCTTCGTGGTTTTACGGAAGAGCGGACGACATCCTGTCATTACGGCATTTTGGGCCCTTGCTAGCATTTACTCGGAATGTTTCATTTGTGGTTCTTTCTTCGCTTCGATTTGCACTCTTTGGGTGTGGTGCTTAGACGATATTAGATGCTAATGAATCAGTCCAGTGGTTTTTCAGAGCACAGGCTTGAAGCAGTATAAGAGCGACGCATATAAGTAATGCCATTAATGTGAAACAACCCACTGGTCGTACGGTTACCTCGTGGACAAAATGTATATGAATCAAATGTGCTGGATTGAGATCTGGCGCTCCCCAGACGACTCGCTGATGTGATGTGAAGACGTCATGCAGCTTTGTCACCGTTCCTGAAGCTAATGTGCAAGGACTGCCGATCCTTGCTGGGCACTTTATTCTAGAAGCAGGAACAGGCGAGATCTCACGATGTTTTCGAAGCTATACTGGTTCCGAATTGATTGGACGAAGATTTCGTCACGTGCATGCAGCATCGCGCCTTCCGAACTGGCTTAGCGCAAGGCAAGGGCAATTTTCGAGATGGCCATTGGGAGCTCCATCCATCACCACTCGACATCACCACGCTCTTTTTGCGCTTCCAGCCCCATTGCTTCTAATACTTTAGGCGATGCGGTAGCATCTCTACCATTGTAACATGCCTCCACGATTGCGCTCCCCCAATTTCCCTTCCGTCTCCTCCTGTCCGTCGTTCCGAGTCCAATCCATCCCACAGCCCGCCCGAACCGCACGCGACTTCTCGCAATCATCATGTCGGCAGGTAACACTACGGCGGCGGAAATTCTACGAGTGGCTTAATGGACCTGGTCGGGCATTGAAGCAGCCTCTACCCGGGTCCACCAACTACCTCGGGGCGTACGATAAATTCGGCAATCTGGTTCGAGGGAACGTAGCTCCAGAGAGAACGCCCCAGAAACCCAAAGAAGGTGAAGCCGCAACCAAAGAGGGAGCGGACGGGGAAGCCTCAGTGACTGCAGAAGGTCAGGAGTCGGCGGATGCGCTCGATGAAGCACTTCGCCAGCACGAGAAGGAAGAACAAGCGTCAAAGAAGAAGGACGGTGTACAGAAGCTACCACCAGAGACGGCAGAGGATCTGCGACCCTTCCCGCTGAACAGGTTCTTCCGAAGTCAGCCTGTTCTCAGCGAGGAGCTCCGAGAAGCGATATACCAGTTCGTTGTCAACGAGGGAAAGACAGTGCCGCTTGCGAGTATCACCTTTGGCGTGAGCAACGAGCGCGTTGGCGCTGTCGTCCGATTAAAGCAGATGGAGAAGCAGTGGATCGCTCAGGTATGTATGCAGTCTCCTGTTCAATCGCGTCTGCCGTTTCATGATGATTATACAACATTCGATTAGTCTTTAAGACACCTACATGGTTACAAAAGTTTTACTAAACCTGACTTTGGCTACAACTTCACTGCGCTCTAACATCGCACTGTTGGCCTATGCTAACCGAAATTCCTTCAGGGCAAAACCCTCGCGATGCCATACTCCAAAGCTGTGCTTGAGATGGTTCCTACAACGCCTTACATCGACACATCGCTCCCCAAGAACGCCGGCAAGCGTCCAGTCGTTCACGAGCCGATCAACGACTTGATTGTGCATCCCGCAACCCGCCAACAGCTTTTCGTACCGGTGGCAGAATCTCGACACTTCACGCGTGAGGATGCTGGAAAAGCCTTCGACAACAACCTGCTTCCGGCTGACGAGCGTATCCCCCATCCTGAGCTAGTCAAGGTGGTACGTGATGAGATCGCCGGGTTCTCCAACGAAGAGCGCCGAACTCTTGCAGAACAGCGTTACAGGAAGGCCATGGAGGAGAAGACTGCTGCCGTAGAGGCCAAGAAGCTGCAGGAGCTACAGACTAAGAAGGTCGTGCCACAGAGGAGATGGGACTTTGTGTTCCAGGATGTGAGCGTAGAGGATGCGGGTAGAGACGGAAGATCACACAAGGGCGTCGGATGGAGATACGGCCTGCCCCACCAGGACAGAAAGAAGGGACAAGTCAAGATCCCGACCGAGGTGGAGGCATAGAGAAACTGTTGTACGATAATATTGTATCACTGTGTGTATGGATTTTGTAGCATAGCAGCGGGTACTTTTGGCGTGGGTAGTCGCTCGGATAGGAGCCTAAATCTATACCCCTTTTTGTGCATCTTCCTCGATCGCAGACGGTCGCGCGGTGTTGTGACTAGTGCGTCATCGCCTTTGTAAACCGCATACAGACGCGCAAGACGAGATGTCGGCGAAAGCAAACAAAAGATCTTTGACCTCTCGTTCACGCATCCATGGACTTTTCCATCAGCGGTACTGCACTTTCTGGCCGCCCCTCTTCTCCAGCTTGGCCTGCCTCTTGCTCGTTGCGGCTCCGGGCTGCGGCACGCCTGCAGCATCCTGGTACCCGCCCCTCATGCCAGAGTAGGTCGACCACGCCAGCCAGACACTGTACACAGGGATGATGCCCCAGAAAATCCAGGCCCAGTCGCCGAGAAAGGTGACGAGGACGAGGACGCCATACGTCCAGTAGGTGACGTCCCACAGATACTCGGTCAGGCCCTTGGCCTCGAGGTCCTCGCCGGCGCGCTTGATGGAGCCGTCGGGGGCATTGACGGGGCGCGATTGCTTCTCGAAGAGGAAGTTGATGAAGAGCTGCGGGGAGGCGAGGGCGAGGTAGAGCAGAAGCGACTTGCGGGTGAAGCTGGAGCGGAAGACGAGGGCGCGGAAGAGCCAGAAGACGAGGTGGATGCCGAGGGTGAAGGCGAGCGTGGTGTTCAGGCGCTTCGTGTTGGCTGCGGCCAGCGTCTTGACTGCTTTCTGGGGCAGGTCAGCACATACTGCTTCGATGCGCGCTTCAACCAGCGGCGGCACTCACTTGCGCCATGCTGGGCTGTGGAGGACGATCGGGTGGGCGCAGAAGTGCAAACGGGCATCTCACCGTGGTTGGCTCCGCGGTGCCGATGCTGGCGGCAGGCAAGCGAATGGCGGGTGGTCCCTGCCACCTCGAACTCACAACAACAGGCGCAGGCACAGGCGCAGGCACGCTCGAGCTCCTCGCAGACCCAGTCCCCTCCACAGCCAAACACCTCCGCGTGCCTGTTCCGCCGCACCCTACTACCGCACGCACGCGCAGAGCACCGTCGGCGGTGCCATGTGCTGATCTGCCTTCACCAGACCCTGCGCCCGCGAGTTGCCAATTGACTTTGTCGACCTCGCCGGAAGCGTTCACCTAGCAACGCTACCTACCGCACGCAACAACGACCTTCACCGACCCCATACCGTCGTCTCCCTGCCCATATAATATGAAGACGCCGCCCCCGTAGTCTGTTTACATAGATCCACGACTGTTTGCCAACGCGACACGACGCGCCCCGACCCGCGACGTGAACCGAGCCATGTCGCCGCCCACGGGCGTGAATGCCCAGCTGCGGCATCTCGTCCACTACCACCTCGACAACGGCCTTTTCGAAAACGCGCTGTTCTTCGCCAGCCGCCTCCACGCACAAGAGCCGCGCAACGGCGACGCCGCGCATCTGCTGGCCCTCTGCAGTCTCCGGCTGGGTCGTTACAAGGCCGCCTTCGACTATGCCAAACCGAAGGGACATCAGCCGCAACACCTAGGCTGCGCCTACGTCTTCGCGCAGGCGTGTTTGGGGCTAGAACGCTATGACGCTGGAGTCCAGGCTTTGGAGAAGTCGCGCGGGCTATGGGCAGGCCGCAATCACTGGAGTAAGCACACGGCGGTCAGCGCTGCGGCGGGCTTGATGTTAACGTTCAGCAGACAAGCACTCGGACACTTTGCGACGACACGTACCGGACGCGGCTGCCTGCTACTGCCTGCTGGGAAAGCTGTACGGCGCGCACGGCGACACAAAGAAGGCTATAGAATACTACGTCGAGTCGCTGAAGCTGAACCCTTTCATGTGGGACGCATTTACTGGACTCTGCGACATTGGCGCTGTAGTGCGCCCCCAGAACATCTTCAAGGTTACTCCGGAAATGCTGGCGTCGATATCCCACTCGGCTACGAATGGACACGGGCCTACTTCGTTGGCATCCCATGACAGCTTCGATGCAAAGAATCCGTTTGTGTCAACCCCGGATGTTGACCCTTTCAATAGCTCGATCCGACCGAATGGCGACGCAAATGGCCTCAACCTGGGAGGTCCAAGTCTGTTCTCCAAGCTTAACGGAAGCATGCCTCCAGCTACCTCGTCATACCATGATGTAGAAACGCCGACATCTAACGGTCAAAACATCCGCGATGAGGATGTCATGATGGGGGAACCTGGTGGGCCCGTAATGGAGGACATGATGCAGGAACGGCATGCGCCAGACGTACCGCGCGCGCCAACCAGGAAGACCAGGATGCAGAACCTTAATGCCCCAGATGACCCGCCTAGAATGCGGCCGATAACCACCAGGAGTCGATTGAAGCCAGCCTCTGAATCGAATGAAAGGACAGAAATACCTCAACCCCAATGGCAGAACGGACATAAGCGGACCGTGTCTGGACACTCCATGCACCACCCTGCACCCACTAACGCACAACCAGCAGACCCGTCAGCAGCCCCTCCCCGGCGGAGCACAAGATTGCAAACTGTTCAGAGTGGTGCACACAATATGATTAGTGGAATTCGCTCCCTGAGCAGCAGAAATGCAACTGCGATGAGCAGAGACCCAGACCTGAAGGACCGCAGGGAACTCCGAAAGGTCAGAGCAACCGGGACCAAAGGCAAAACGAGTTCCGTCGGAAACGTCGGCAGAGTTGTCAGTGGTAACCGGAAAATGATTGTAGATGTTACGGAAGTTACGAAGCATGATTCAAGACCACCCAGCGTGGCATCGACAGCGCCACCACCAAAGATGCCCCTTCCGACCGATACGTCACGAGAGCAAGAGTCTCTGAACTGGCTCCTGGACCTCTGCCTGAGGATAGGATCGGGCTACAGACATCTTAGCCGCTTTGAGTGCGTGAAAGCTGTGGAAGCTTTCAACTCCGTCTCCACGCACCAGCGTGAGACCCCATGGGTACTGGCGCAAATTGGCAAGGCGTACTATGAGCGGTCAATGTGGGCGGAAGCCGAGAAGGCGTTCTTGCGGATACGAGAACGGTGCCCCTCCTACATCGAAGACATGGATGTTTTCTCCACAGTGTTGTGGCAGCAGAACAAGGAAACGGATCTCGCTTACCTCGCCCACACTCTGAATGACCAAGACCGGTTATCTCCACAGACTTGGGTTGCTCTCGGAAATGCATTCTCACTGCAACGTGAGCACGACCAGGCGATCAAGTGCTTCACTCGGGCTACTCAGCTTGATCCGAAGTTCGCGTACGCATTCACACTTCAAGGACACGAGCACATTTCCAACGAGGAATTCGACAAGGCGAGTTACGCGTACAGGTGCGCCATCAGCGCGAACAACAGACACTACAACGGCTGGTACGGACTAGGCAAGGTGTACGAGATGCAGCACAAGTTCGATGTCGCCGAGCGGCACTACAGAGCCGCCTTCTCCATCAATCCAAACAACGACCTGCTAGCGATGAAGATCGGCTCAGTAAGCTCTCCTTTCAAACGCACTTTCGAGCTAAGCTAACACCCGCAGGTACTCGACCGGATGAAGAAAACAGAAGCAGCCCTCATGCAGTACGAGACTGCGATCCGGCTCAATCCGCACGCCCTCCAAGCGCGTGTCAAGAAAGCCCATATCCTCCTCAAACTCGGATCTGCGGAGGAGGCGCTGCACGAGTACCTCGTTGTGAAAGATGCGCAGCCCGGTGACGCGAATATTCATCTTCACATTGGGCAGGCGTATAAGCGGCTTAGGAATAAGAGCGAGGCGATCAAATACTTCACGATTTGCATGAATTTGGATCCTGTGGCGCAGCGGTATGTGAAGGAGGAGATGGAGAGCTGGGATGAGGAGGTTGGGGGGTGGAGTAGCGATGAGGGGTAGGCGGTGCGATTGATGATTGGAGTTGTGGGGACCTGCGTTGTTGCGGCCGACACATTCATAACGCGCCTGGCGATGTAGGAAGGTGGAGACGTTTGGATGGAACGCGGTATACCCCCCTTGGAATTCTTCTTCTGGCTGCGAGGTTGACGTTGAGTCGGCCTATTATACCCTTGTTCGCTTTCTCTTCGCTTCTTGCTGGTCAACCACCAAACAACAGACCAAGGCATTTTCGGGCATGGCAGCGGGAGTGGGAGCATTGTTTTGTTTTGGTTTGCATTTTGGACTGGCGTCGGTGGGTTTTGGATAGCATGCATGCATTGATGGGTATGGATCATCGTCTGTCATGATGATGAGGTTTATGATTCAGCGTTTGAAAAAGCGGGTAGATGTGTGTACGATGTAGACGGATTGGGGCGAGGGGACGGGTAATGCATGAGTATTGATTGATTGAGCTTAACGTGTTGGGTGTGAAAGTGATGGATAGGGTGTCAACTGTGAAGTGGCATGGTGTGATGTGAGAACGAGGCAGGAAGTGGTCGAGTATTTGTGGAGTGTTAGAACTTGAAGCAGATGAAGCAGTGCATTGAACACTAGGAGAGCTAATTGCGGGTTGGCGGGGAAGGTGTAGAAGTATGGGATTGCCTAGGATCGTATGTTTGTTGGAATAATTGAAACAGTGGTTCGGACTAGCTTTGAAGGGGTGACAGCACGGGTTGAATGGATTGGGAAGGTCGCGCCGTTTGTGGTAGAGGACTAGAGGTGCTATGATGACTTGTGCACAGACGTCGCGGCGGTTCATGACGCAGTCGTTGGCTGGATCGAGGTTACTGATGTGCTTGGACGGTATGCGATGTAGTTGAGTTATGATGGTTTCTAAGATGTAGCCTGGGGAGGTAAGAGCACCCTTCTTTGACGGTGATATTGAGCGTGCGGTTTTAGAATTCGAGCGAAAAGTCTCATGGGCCGGTGGATATATCGATTTCTTGATCTTGGTCAGTTTCATCAATCTGTCAATATCGAGGTGAATGTTCTGGCTCACCAGGAGCACAACTCTACGGTCTTTCGTACTGGCAGGTATACTTGTTTTTCGACGCTTTTTCCTAGAGGTCAGGGATTGTATGGTTCGTGGTAGACAATTTCGAGTTCTCACACTGCTCAGAATAAGTGGAAACGCTCATTTTAGGAGGACTGGAACATTGAGAAGAACAGTGGACTTCACTTTTGTCTCACGAAAATGGACAACGAAGTATGGAACGTGTATCGGCAATGTATGTCTGCATTTCACAGAATAGACGTATAGTCTTCAGTAGTTCTTGAATTACGCTGATATAGCACGTACTTCATTCGGGTCATCGGACATCCCTAGGTGTCAAACTGGGTAGGCTGGCAGGAAAGCCCTTCGCAATCACAGATATTTCATCACGGATGCTTCGCTCTCGTGATCGTGAGGCCAGAGTGCACTCAAGTCGACGGGAACACTGAACCCTTACGAGAAGTCACAGTTCTTTAAAAAGAAATTGGAGGTCACGTTGGATTCACACGAATATCAACCATCTAAAGCTTGCTTTGGCGAACGCATCACATAGTTGAGTTGGAGGGAGGCCGTCAATACGAGGCTGCGGACAGCTGCACACCGCTTACCGGTACCGGTAAGTGAGGTGATCCAGGCAGCTCTTACAACCTCCAACATTCCCCAGGTGCGATGCTCATCGGCAACTTCACCACAATGGGGCGCTCGCAGAAGTCCCGAACAGGATTGGGGGCAGTTTTGCTTACGCTCAACATGGACAACTACTTCTCCGAGAAACAAGTGTTCCCCATCTGCAGGAAAAGCTAAAATGGAGAAGGCGGGCAAGCTCGAGTCTTCCAGATCCTCGTGCAATTAATCCGACTATATTGACTCTGACCTTGAAGCACGCCTTCCAAAGGACGAACACACGCGTTTTACGATGCTGATCTCGGCGAGGTATGATTGCACCAAATATATAAAGATCTTCTTTGACGTTTGAACAGTGCTTGCTTCCAGCTTGCGCTCAAGACTTTCGAAATCGCCTCATCACCGTATTGGGTAAATGAAAAACAAGCTCGTACAGCGCTGCAGGAGCAACAGAGGAACAAAGGCATGATTCAGTGCTCGGGCTGCTATGCGATACTACGTGCCACAAGAGACACAGATTCTAGTCCGTTTCTACAAATGAACATCTACTAGACTACAACCGCTTCAATCCCATGGACATCTTCATGCATCGCAATCCACCGATAAACTCCCCAGAGATTGAGGAGTTCTGGCGATCTCTCATTGAAGTGGTGGATGCGCTTAGAGGAATCCATGACTTCAAGACACAAAATGATGGCTACCACGGGTCAGTCCAACCAATTTTCAGCACATCACATACGCAAAATGTTGATTCTCCATAGATTGTACAACGATATCAAGCCGGAAAGCATCATCACGATGAACGATAAACACAAGCTTGCTGGTCCTGGTTTTGCCAAATTCAAGAAGACACTCGAGCAGGATGACGGAGAGTCTTTGAATAAGATCATTGCCCAGGGTAGAACGACGACATATGGTACGTCTATGACGGCTGCCCCCAGGAAATCTCCATGCTGACCATATAAGCTGCCCCTGAACGATACGCGCGGAAAAGTGGCGAGAAGATGCCAAGTGTCACAGAGCGTAGATCTATGGTCCATCAGCTGCATTTTCTCTTTGTCAGCTACCTGAATCGTCTTGGGCCATCAAGGCATTAGGCAATTCGATTGTATATGACAACGCGCCGTTGGTGATCTCCTCAGCAAGCGCGGAAAGAGGGCCGTGTGCCTATCATAACGAAAGGCGATTTCTGACCTGGGCGTAATCAAGAGTGACACTAACAGCTTCAATCAGTTCGCAAGTATTGAATTCATACAGTTCGGCGATGATCATACCGGCACAGAACAACTTCGAGCCCTTGACGATGGCATGGAGTTCAAAGAGTACCAGTAAGTCCACTTGTAACGGACGAATCTTAGCGTCGCTAAAGTCAGCTTACAGAAACATCATCGATCATGAGATGTTTTCTGTTAAGGGCGATGTGAGGAAGATGTTGCTGGCCAATTTCAATCCGTACATGGACGAGTCTAAAAAATTCCTCCTGCTCACGAAGACTCTCAAACTCCAACGAAGCAGCCATCGCGATACTCGATGCCACATGGATCACTGGATAAAGCTCGCCTGCATGAAAATCCGCAAATTTCTAACGGATCACCACTGACACGTATCCACATGCCAACCAACAGCACAGGATCCTCAGGATAGCACACTCCCCCAGACTCCGGCAACTCGCAGCGATAGAACTCGTGTTTCTATGATTAAATTTTCGGCCGCATTTAGTCTGCAAATTCGCAACGTAGTCTGTTATAGCTTTGGCATGGAGCAACCAGTGGAGTTAAGTTTTCCCACCTCATCAGTACTCGAAATGTCCTCCCATAGGCATCACGTACTCTTCCCCCCCTTCAAATCCCTCCATACTTCCTCTCTCATCCCTTTCCAATTCCCAACCTCATCTCCGCTCCTCCGCCTTCTCACAAAACTCCACCCACGTATCTCCACAAACCACACCGCCGTCCAATACGCACTCACGACTAACATACAAGCCCAGCTCACCCACGCAAATACCACCACGGCGCTCCCCTCGCTGACGAACAAACTCAGTGCATCGCCTAACCCTCCAACAGTGGAAACGACGGTCTTGATCAGGGCTGTCAAGAGTAGGGCAGCAATGAACGCCGAAAGAGTGGAGAGCTGGGAAAAGAAGACAACTGTGTAGACGAGGAGGCGCGATATGGGGAAGAGCGCCGAAGGAATGGCGAGCAGAGCTGCCAAGCCGCTACCGATCATGCTGATGATGAGGAACGCGATAGTCGCGCGGAGAATGGTGCCTGTAGTCGAGGAGAGGGAGCCGACAGTCCGCGTGAGCTGTGCGATGATTGGGATGGAGATGTTTGTTCGGCCTATGACGATGGAGGATTGTATATTGGGCAGGAGTGCGCTGAGACCTGTTGGTTGGCCAGTGTGAGCATGGAAACCTGAGTGGATGGATGGGATGATTGAAAGGGGAGGACGTACCCCCGGAGGCATCATTGTATGCCGTACACCTCGCGATCTTCACGCCGTCCGCGTTCCCACCCGCCCTATCCGTGGCGTTGCCTTCGCATACGGTGCTGGTATACAGGTAGTAGAAGTCGCTGAGCCCAGCTAGATCTACCAAGCCTTCTATAACTTCGTTCACAGCATCGCCCAGTACATCGTTGATGCTGTTCGTCAAATTCCTTATGATAGGCTCGAGCGAGTCGTTCAATTGGTTAAGGGGGTTATCCGTATTGCTCGGGCTCAGAGGACTGGATGGAGAGAAGGGGTTAAGCAGGTTGAGAGGATCTGATGAGGAGGTTGTAGTGGCCGCAGGTGCAGCAGAAGCTGTCGAGGATGCGCGCTCGAAGCGGATTATGTCTTCTCCGATGTGCGATGCGTTGAGCTGCTGGATTAGAGAGAATAATTAACAAGACATATTATCGGCTCACTTTCAGCATGTATTTGTCTTCGAGCGACCCTGGTCGTTTGCCTGCCAATACGACAAGCAGAGTAAGCACGAAGCTCACAACCGCGAGAGCCAGCGTCAGCAGCGCTGAGACCCTGACTGTACACATATCGCTTTTTGGTGAATTCTGTGAAGTGGGTAGTGGTTTGTGCATCGAACGTTGCTGGTCTTCGATTTCAGGCTCCGGTGGAATCATCTCGTGGAAGTATGAGCCGGAGCGCTGGAGCATGGGTTTTGTTACGATCGAAAGCATGACGATCGGTCGCACGGATCAAAGGATGCCAAGATGCTTGCGAAACTGGGGAGGCAAGTAGGTATATGCCACGATCGTCTTATGGATGTGTGAGGGTCTTCATAGGGCTGATAGCGTGGGTTGGGGAATATGAATAGATTGAAGTGCCATGACTTATCTCTATTCCCAAGATGTCCGAACCTGAAGACTGGAAATCTGGTTGTTTGGGTGTGCTCAGTGTCTCGACGAGGAAGTGAGAAAGGACCGTTTCGCAGCCGGCAAGGGTACATCTTGCAGACGTGGTCATGCGAATCGCTTTCCACTCACTTAGACCCTTTCAAACGAGAGTATATTCATTTTTAGCATGCCCAATCACACTCCAAATACATGATTCCGGTACACGTCGGCTTGGCCTCCGATAACAGTCACACACCAAGTAGATCTTTGGATGGAGCGATCAATGCAGCATTGCATCATTATTGGGCTTCGGAAAGTTTATTGCATGTGATACCTACAAACAGACACAGGGAAAAGAAACAGAGACGAGTGGTCGATTGGTGCTGGCGTTGCTTTGCTGTCTGCCAAGACTACACGTTCTAGGGTGCCATGGTGAAGCTGAAACAAATCAAGCTCGGAAGCCGGAATCCACTCTGCCGCATCAAACAAGCCTGGTCACATCTTGTTTGGTCTAGGAAGACTTTCGCACACGGTCGAAGAAACCGCAAGCTAGCAAACATCGAAGATGATGGTAGGTGCAACCGAGCTCAACCAAATCGCTCGACGTCGGATGTGATGCATCCAGGCTATATTTGCCGTTTTCATTAGTCTACGCAACAAAATACGGGTTTGCCACAATCGTGCGCATATATCGTCAGAACACCTGGTAGTCTCTGAGACGAGCTTTCAATCCTCAGGGAATTCCGGCCGAACACTAGTATCACCGGACCGAACATCATTGTTGACATACTGAACTCTGCAAGGCGAGTTCCGGACAGCTCCGTACAATATCCAACGTCCTAGTCAACGAAGAGTGTTAATTGGTGATTTTGTTTTCTGACTGCTCAACCAGTCAGCAGGCGGAACTCCACAGGCGGAGTTGCACCAACGCCGATCGTCCGTGACATCCATATATAATGCAACGTACGAAAGCGTTGAGCAATCCACACTTTCAAGCTTTGATCTGACTCCTATAGTAGTCTCTTTAACGAAGACTCGTACCGTAGACGCAACCCAGCGAACATAATGCCCATCTCCGAACTCGTCCTCGGCACACTCCGCCCCGAGGTCGCCCAAGAAGGCCTCTCCCACATCCGCAAGAATCAACCAGGCATCTTCAGCACCGTCGAAGGAAGCCTGTCAAACAGTGTCGGTCACGTAATCAAGCACAACGGGAAAGACACCTTTTCAGAGTACACGCCTATCCTAGCGCTCGGTAAGTTGTATCTTCTCTTCAAGCCCTCAGTCCAAGCTAACAGCGCAAAAGAATGGAATCGCGTAGAGTCGTTCCATAACTTCTACCCTGCTTCGGCAGCGTTCCAGTCATTTATCGGCGTCTTCGGGCCTTACGCGGGAGGGAAAGCCCAGCCGCAGCTTTTTCAACCCTCGTCTGGTTCATCATTTTTCTCTGACCTCGTCGCTCAAGGTGCGGCGCTGATCTTCATCGCGTCTGCTGCTGCGGGAAAGAAGGAAGATATTTCAGCGACGTGGAATACGCTTCTACAAGCTGCGAAGAAGGACGACGCACTCGTGGGACAGTGGCAAGGGTGGGGTATTGAAGGAGATGAGGGGACGTGGGCAGGTATCCTGAGTTGGAGGAATGTGGATGTAAGTCTTTTTGAGTACCCGAGCGTCTAGAATGGGAATAACGATGATACAGACTCTTGAGCGGTCCTCGACGGACAAAAGTGTAGCCGAAGCGGTACAAAAGCTGAAGGCGCTTGTTGAGCTTGATGAGTATCTGGTATCATTTACGTCGACCACAGGTACCGCCGCGTAGCTGGTCTACACTTAGGATATAGTTGTGATAGATTCATTGATAAACACTGTGGAGATGATGAACGACATTCGAGGAATTTATACTGCTCGGCGAGTGAAGGAGAGAACGTGGAGGGAAATGTGTGGTTTCTGTGTACGAGATAAATGCTACTCAATGTAATGATCGGATATTTCCAGCTTCCGTGGACTTGATGCACTTCGTATCTGAGAGGTTCTCAGTTATTGGTTTTTTCCTGGTGTGGCTTTGTCGGAACTGTGACCATCGAATAACAACGCAGAGAAGAAACGTACGCCCTCATCTCGCTGAGGTACCATCCTCCTCAAGCTCGATCAGACCTCGCTCTGTACTATGGTGTATCAGCTCAGACCACACAAGAAAATGAAGATGGACTCTGCACTGCATGTATTTTGCTTCTCCTGTTTTTCCGTTGTAAACCATCAGGCTCTCCAATGTCGCCCCAGCGTCAGGGCGTGGCATTTCACCTTCGGGGCGTATTCTGAACAGAATGTAGATGGAGCGGAGATGGCGCAATGTACGTCTGATGTCGAAAGATTCTTGCATAGGCTCGAGTAATGGCACCCTGAACGTGCACGCAGGACCGCCCCCCCGAGTCCCATATATGCGTGCTCGGACTGATCGTGGAATAATCCAACCGAATGGAGCGAACATATTCGAATTGTGTCCGTGGTATACTATGTGAGAAAGCGACCTAGCGCACAGGATCATTGAGAACAAATTGTTTGAAGGAGTACAATCACGGGAGCGCTTCGCTGTACGCAAGTCAGCAGGTCTGAAGCAAGACTATGTTTAAGCGACGGGACTTCATGGCACCCGATGCGCCATCATGCAGAGTGTTCAGACCCGGTTGCGTGCTGGAATTCGGCAGGAATTGCATGGCTACCAACTTGTGGAAGCTATATCAATCATCTGTAACTGGAACTGTGCTAATCCAGACGGCTCCTGTGTCAGACAGGGCATTATCATATATCTGAATGCGAATCTCGTAGGGTAGCTTGGCGAAAAGTGGCCACAGAGCTTGGATGGATGTTCTCTTCTGTATTTTGAAGAAATTGGGGACTTTCCCACAAGGCTTGTCGATAGAAAGACTACTCCGCCGACGGAACTTGCGTCTCTGTTGCGCAAAGTGCATGTCGGACATGCGTTCGTTCACGGGTGGGCCGTCGTATCTCATGTCGCTGGCAAGATGGTCCCTCAATATGGTCCAGCAATAGAAGCATCTATAGGTGAAGGGATACAGGAGAATATTTAAGCAGATGAACAGCCTCCGCCATCTGTATGCGTGATATTGGAGCTTCAAGTCCTTGATTTTGTAGGGCTCTTTCATTGCAATCATGTCGAGTTGGTAAACATTACAAGACTACACACGGTCGGCGATCGCACTCATAGGAGATCGCGGAAGTGGAAAGGTTATTGTATCAGCCAGACAGAGGTGAAGTGTTGTTCCTTATCCCTGCTGTGTGGCGCAGCGGGCGGAGCTGACAGCACTCCTTCCATCATTAGCATTTTCGAAGAACGAGTGTGACGGGAATGATTGCGACGGCGTTCCACAGCGCGATGTTGGATTGCGTTTGTCTATGCGACGGGAGTGGTCAAGTCTGGGGGCTGGCGTAATGCGGAGGATGGAAGCGTCTGATTGGGCAAGTGGGAAAACGCCAGGACAGCCGGCTTGGGACTTCCCTTAACAGACATCCGCCCGCATTGAAAGGCTGGGCAAGTAATTGGAGTCTATCAGTGGTAATATGCACTCAAAAATCTGCTCTCTTCATCACGTTTCTCGCCTTCTCACGTTGTCTTGATGGCTGACTCGATAGGTGCCAAGGCTCGTATTCCGTACGGCTGATCATGTCGCCAGCCTCGTTCGTCGCGCCGCTTCTTGCCGGACGTACTGCCTACCATCATACATCGTCGTCCGGCCAGCTCCAGCGTATTACTTGATTGTTTGCCATGTCGCAATTCCCATCTTTACCCCCGCCAGGACCTTATGTCCCGCCTAACAACCAGTCCCAACAGCTTCAGGGTTCCTCTCAGCAGCAACAACCCCACTATGGCTACCAGCAGCCACAGGCGCCGTCTCCGTACAAGGCGCATGCTCAAGACTACAATCAGCCAGCTTCGCAGAAGCCTACGAAAGCCTTTGGGCAGGTATTCAACCAAGCCGTAACCCAAGGCAAGCCTATGTTGGACAAGCTCGGCAAATTCATTAGCTCCAAGCATTCAAAGCCTGTCTACAATCCCCAATCTGCACCACAGGAGAATTACCAGAGTTACCAGCAACAACACCAACAGTATGGTCAACCCCAAGTTCAACAATACCAACAGGCTCAGCCGCAAGGCCACCATAATCAAGGCCAGCAGTTCAACCCTCGGCCACAGAGCGTGTATCAAACTCCACTGCAGTCACCATTCCCACAGTCAGCATACGGGACCCCTGCTTCGGGTAATCTGGGACAGGGTAACAACTATTTACCCCCTCAAGCACTGCCAACGCCACAACAACATGCTCCTCAGTATCAGCAAGCTCCGCAGCAGGCTTCCTACCAACAAAGTAACAGTTCTAGCCATAACAATCCGGGGGAACAAGCCCACGGACATAGCCAGCCACCAGGTCAGCCAGGACAGGGACAAGTTTCCCACGTGCATGCTCAGGGAGTACCACCACAGACAACTTATGGGCAAGCGCAGGGCCAACAGACTGGTATCATTGGAGGCACGCAAATACAGCCACCGCAGAATTTCCAGCAACACGGGCCACCTGCAAATGTCTTTCCTCCTGAAAAGCAGCCTCAGCAGCATCAATGGGGAGCTCCAGCATCTGTAAACCAACATAATGCTTCGTCCACACCTCAATCGCCTGCTCCGTCTTTAGGAGGGCAGCAACAACAACAATGGGCACCGCATCAGCAAGCTTCTCCCGCTGCTCAGTCGCCAGTACATTTGCAACCAACGCCTCCGCCGCAACAGCAGAATGCAGCATCGCCCGCCCCAGTCCACCCAAACCAACAACAAGCCCAGCAATCACCACAAGCTCAGCATCAGCAATGGGCCCCTATGCCGCCTGTAAGCCCACAAGCACAACAAGTGCACCAGTCCCCAGGTGCGAACTCTCCGGCTCCACAAACGTCCGAAATCCACAAGCCCGCTAGCCCTGCCCCTGCTACTTTGCCGCAGCACCAATCTCAAGTCGAGCCATCGCAGCAGAAGTCAGCTCAACTCCCCGCAGCAGCATCACAGAAAGGCCCTTCGAATGCTGGTCCCATGGGATTCATTGCCGAGTTGCCTGCCGAGTTAGGTAGCATGAGTCCTGTCGAGGGTGCCAAGACAGAACAGGTCTCGTCAAACGCGTCACAAGCTGCCCCATACCGAGCTTACAAGCCAGGGCCGGGGCAAAATGGCTCCCCTGGACCCGGTTATACGATCGCTCGGCGTGCTGTGAGCACGAGCAGCCTGCCTCTGGCAGACCCATGGAGGTTTGCAGATCCGGTGACTGAGGTACCAACGCGTGAATTTTACATTATTGCAGACCTTGTGTTCGACAGCATAGACAGAATGTTCGAGCCTCAGAACACGGGAATGTTGGAAGCAAACAAAGTGTTGGAAAGCTGGAAGGCGCAGCAACTGCCTGACGAGGCGGCTGGTACGTCCCAATCAATCTCAGGACGAGCATGTTGTTGACGATTACAGACCTCTTCGCGCACGACTGTTATAGCGCCTTTGGCAAGATGTGGAGTCTTGAAGGCGTTCCACATGTCATGGTGCCGAGTCAACCTTCGCTAATGCCAACTTGGAACTTTCAGCAGCAGATACACTCGGAGGAACTGAAGTTGCCAGACGAATCAACCTCGGTGTCTACTTACCCCACCTACGTGCCAGCTCTCAATCGCGCCGGATGGTACAAATACTCGTTCCTCAATTGGCTTCACCAGCCGGAAGATGTAGAGAAGATGCTGTCAGCGTTCTGTGCAGACACGTACAAGCCTGGCATCCTCAACCAGCCTGACATGCAGAAACGTGACAAGAACGAGTCGCCGGCCCTCGTGTCGAGGGCCACAAGGATCAGTACCACAGCCGTTAGCCGCGTGTGCCAAGAAGTGGTTGCGCAAATGCAAGGCAGCGCACGAGACGGCAGGCAAGGCGGTGGTCTACGAGACGCAACGCAAGGAGCGCCACAAGCACAGCACAGCGGGGATGTGAGCGACCCAGACGCATCGCTGAAAATGCACAGTTTGCAAATCCAGCAGCAGTTCAACGCCATGATGCACCACAGCACACCCTCAGGAAGTGCCTAATGCGGACCGGACGTACCGTGCGGCAAGTGGGATGCCGGACAGTGGGGGTCGGGGGTGAAAATTCGACAAAGGGTGCGACGTGTGCAACCATGGTACGGGCCTCGAGGCTCAAGAACGGGTGGTCTGGTCGCGCCGTAACGCGCTGGATTTGCACAGTCTGGTCTCTCAACGGGCGTCGGTGTGGGGCGTGTGGCGCGACGCCACGTTTATCTTCAATTCATGTTCGGTCTCGATGACGGGGCACGCACCGCGGTGATGTCGTCGTCGTTGTGCCCGTCCGCGGGCGCACCTGGGCAATCCCACGTCCATGTGCTTGATGCGGTCGACGAGGACCGGACCCGGGGCAGCGCGCATCTGGCAGGGAAGCCAACCTGCTTGCAGCGCGCCATTGTCGCTCCTGGCGGCATGGTCAACGCCAGCGGCAGGAAGAGTTGCTGGCGGGCTCTAACCGGTCGCTAATGCGTCATCCGCAATCTATCTCAGGGGTGCAGGCTTGGAAGCTGCAGGCTAGCCGCGTGCCTTGCCCGTTCGGGCGGCGATAGGCAGGCACGCCCGCCTGTCAATCGCCGTTTCCTTGCTGGTAGCACAACATCGACTTGGACGCGTACCAGCCTCGCCTGTTTTCTGCCCTCGCACCCCCATATCTTCTCGCACTGCACTTTTACGCTCACACAGAGTTTTGGCTTTTCTCTTCCCTGGCATCCCATCACCTCTCGATTCATTCTTCTCTCGTCAGCGTTCGCCCCGCAGCAGCATCTGTATCCCTGCACAACACCACCTCCACAATGCGCACGGCCTCGATCCTCGCCGCGCTCTCTTGCGCGGCCACGACCTACGCACAGGCAGTCGAGGTTGGCATCGAGCCCAGCTCGCCTGCACCCGAGGGCTGCGACCGCAGCCCCAAAGGCAACTTCACAATCGGATACATCCCCGCGTCCGCTGTGACGAAGCGCGAGACGGCTGTAGCGGTGCGTTTGAGCTGCCGGAATGACGCCACGATGCGAGTGCTGACAGGTCGCTGCTAGGATGCCGATGGCTCTCTCTACCTCACGCTTGTCGACGGTGTGCTCAAGGATGGCTTCAACCGAATAGGCTCCGTCGTCGCCAACCACCAGTTCCAGTTCGACGGCCCGCCCCAGGCAGGCGCTATCTACACGGGCGGTTTCTCCATCTGCCGTAACGATTCCCTCGCCATCGGCGGCACCACGCGCTGGTGGAACTGCCTAAGCGGCGACTTCAACAACCTTTACGACGAGTCCATCGGCGCACAGTGCACCGAGATCCGCATCGTAGCCACCTTCGTGGACCAGCCCTCCTCATCCAGCTCGTCTGCCGCGGCATCGAGCACGGCAGGATCGTCGAGCGTGGTTACCAGCGTCACCAGCGCCAACGGCACCTCCTCCACCATCACGAGCTCCGTCGCCAGCTCAAGCACACTGTCTGCCATCCCCCTCACATCCATCAACGGCACCAAGCCTAGTGGGTCCGTCAGCCGTGTCTCCACCGCCACTCCCACCGCGACATCCTCTGAGACTGGCTCGCCCCAGGCCCCTAACGCCCCTGGCGCTGCGGCCCCCATCGCCGTCTCCACCTTCGGCGCTCTCATCGCTGTTTTCGCGGCCGCCCTGATGCTGTGAGCGAAGCTCTCTTGCATAGCGAGCATTTTCGAACCGGTTCCGCCAGCAAACAGTTTTAGCGTCCGGCTGTTGTGTCTGTATAGCATTCGGCATGGGAGGACTGCGTATTGGTAGCGTGGCACCGCAGATAAGGCGTTTTTGGGGCGGCAGAAATGCGGCATCTGCCCTGCATAGACATTTCGTCGCTATTCTTTGGTACATATTCTGGGGTCTGCATTGGGTTACTGTTGTTACGCAAGTGATGACTTTGCGATCATGGGGATGTTTGGATCGGTCGGTTGATAGACGAAGAATGGTCTGACAGAGCGACCACTTATTAATGATAATGCATGAGGGTTCTTGAGCAATTGTTCATCTTGGTTGATGTGGCAGGAACTGGGTTGGTGATGAACTGATAAAAGTGCTGGGTGAGTTTCATGTGTGGAGGTAGATGCAGTGGACTGGTGGTCCGGATTGAGCGCGTTGTGTACGATGGTGCGGTGTTGAGTACGTAGTGCGTGGACGGACTCATTGCGTAGGCGTTTGGCATGAGGAATCGAGAGGAACAAAGTGGTGCGTGGGTGGACTTGTTTTTTGGGATGCGAGGCAGCATTTCTTAGGTGAGAGTTGGGTCTCGGTGTCCGCCTGGTTGTAAGATGCAAAGTACGAGAGCCAAAAGCCAAAAGCCAAGATTAAACCAGGGAGCAGATCGGATACATAAGCCGGGATTCCGAAAGAATGGAAAAGGTCTGCCATTGTGCTTCTTCACGCCTGCTGGAACAGAGGAGATCATGACAAGATATGACACCGGAACAACGGCAAACCACAATTCGCTCGACCTTGCGAGGAAGCTAAACTACCCTATCGATTTCAGTACCGAATCTCAAGACTAGTTCAAAATGGCGGACGACAGGATCGTTACATCCGTGGGACGCATCATGGCCGATGTCGCTTTCCCGGGAAAAGGAAGCAAAGACAAGGGGGCGTGCTACTTCAATGTTTTCCAGAGCCTTGCGTTTCCTGCTCTGACTGGCGGGGCTTTTCTCCACGCGACAGAAACACCGTCCAGATATACTACGCGCTTAGTCAATTGACCAGATGTTCAGGGACAATTATCAAGACGGTGCTCTGTGGGCGAAGTCACCAACGAAGGTCGGTGCCACATCAACGGGCGCGTGGCTGGTGCCCACGCAGATGCAGGAGCTGAGATTGCTCCCATCAGTGCTGCCTACGCATGGCAAAGCCGTTGGAGATCGAGCCCAATCGCGAAAAACGTATGCTCGCAGATGGCTCCACTGCGTATACAATGGGCGTCGCAGATGCACACTTCAGGCCCATGGCAGGGCTTCAGGACAGCCAAGTACGTGTTCCCGTATCTTTTGGCCTCCAATACCATGTTCTCTTGTGCGAACAGATTATGGACGACTTTGAGCTGTTCAAAGACACGTCATGCCGGCTCATCCCCTGTGCGACGGACAAAGACCCCGAGCATCGCCACAGTCATTCACGGGGGAAGTAAACTTGAACAGGACACCGCAAGCGCAGGAGGAAAAGTGTGAGGCTGGACAAGCCGTCCCTATACGGCTGAAGTGCAGGCTTCGCACACTCAAATCACGTCGTCTGATGGTACGGCTGCACCCACGCCTGCAGGCTGACAGGGCGCCGACGCAACGCAGCTGAGGAGCGCAAAGCTTTCAAAGGAGAAGCCCAGAGAAAGGAGAACTGCAAACTCAGACAGCGCATAGCCGTTCCTGTGCATGGATGCGACAGACATAGGACTTGGGTGTCCAAGGACACGACGAGGGATTCCTTGTCAGATGCAGAAGTACACGAGGAAAAGGACAAGCTGCAGCTGTACCGGGGACAGATTGAATTGCTCGGTGAGCAAATGGGCGCGTTAGGCTGATATCTATCATAGGCCAGGCTCTTGCGGAGATGGCGGTCGTCGGGCTTAGGGACCGAGAGTGTGGAGTTCTTTAGGATTCAGTGCACCTAGAGGATATCGACTGGGGCACTGTGTGCGATCAACTTCAAGGGTACCATTAGACTGCCTCGACAGGATTTCTCTCACATTTCCCTTCCCTTCCCTTCCCTTCTGTGCCTGCCCTCCAGCGGTCTAACACACCAGTTCGTTGGCCCCTTCGCGAATCTGAGATCGTCTGACGAAAAGCCTCCCCCTTGTTTCGTGCGGACAGCGCTGAGCTGGAGGCGAGTGCGGAACCAGTGTAGAGGCCGCGGGGATGGGAACAATGAAAATAGCGGTACGACATCAATGTGGAAGATCGCATACGGAATTGTATATTATAGATTGATCGCATGTACTGATTGTTGCCTTACCCTATACAGAAATCAAAACCCCCCCGGCACCCGCTGGACTACTAAATGAAACATACCAACTAGTCAAGAAATACACACGCCTGTCTGAAACGTGCAAGTAGACAGATAAACCCACCCGTCAGAAAACATGATACAAAGAAGAGGAGATATTACGACACAGGCACCGTCCATTCTTTCAACAAGAGATCAACGATATCCTTCCCCTTTGCGCCCTCCACGGACTCCCCTTTCGACCGCTTCCGCTCGTGCGCCGCTCCGCCCTCTCCGGCATCGTTCTGTGCGCCGGCCTTCCTCTTCCGCGACGTCTGCGCCTCGGCATCGGCATCGAGCGACGTGCGCGGTATGTGCGCCGTAGACCGCCCCTTGTCGCGAGCCTTGAGATACGGCGAAGGGAGATCCTCCTCGCTATTGTATTCCTGGACGCGCGGCTGGTTGCTAGCGACTACTGGTTGGATGAGCTGCGAGGGAGGCTCGGCCATCGCGTGGCGCGTCATGGCCGACATGTTCTCGTAGAACTTGGGTCCTGGAGGACCGGTGTTAGCACTCACCAAGTGAGCGGGATGAGCAGACATACTCGCGAAGGAACATTCGCCTGCATACTTCGTCGTTGCGCATGCGGTGCAGGATGGCAGCTTGCCGTCGCATCTGATGCTGTACTCTCGGCATCTTTCGCAAGGACTGAGGCTGATCTGCGGGGAGACCGCTTCTGTAGTGTCATCTTGCGCCCCAGGCTGCGGACCCTGATTTTGAATGTAGCGATTGATGGTGGCGAGGCTGTATGGCGATTCGGGTTCTGGGCTTTCAGGCCCGCTTGTAGCTTTACCAGCTGGAGCATTCGCTGGCTCAGAAACGCCTGTAGAAGGGCGCGAAGTGGACCTTCTCTGGGCTAGAGATGGGGACAGCGCTGTGGCAGATTGCACACCACGAGGCGAAACCACTTGTCGGGTTTCGGTTCGACTTGCACCTAACAACGCATGATCCCTGTCATCTTGTGGGGTTACAAGGCTAAGTGAGCGGCTTCCTGATCGAGAGCGATCAAGAAGGTCAGGGGTCCGATGCGCTACAGGGCCGCTTCCACGGTCGTCAATCCCACTGGATTCGCCGTCGGTTTGGCTTACAGTACGATGATGCTTTCTTTTCCTGTACGGCTGTGCATCCGTCTCGGCCAGTCTCCAATTGACACCCTCTTTGTCAGACGAAACTTTGCCAGACTCGATGTTATGGTTAGCCGCATGACCGGGTGTGCTTGCTGGGAGACTACGCGACACGTGGCTCTGGTCCGAGTATGACGTTACAGCAGACCCTGATCCAGTAGAAACGACTGGAGAATGGGGTCTGTGGGCCGACTGATGGAGTTCGTGCTGAACAGCGGGGCTGGCAACAGCCTTGACTGCTGCCTGCACTGGTGGAACCATGTTGGGCATATGCTCTTGCGGATAGTTGGCATTTTGATGTTGGGAACTTGCTGCGCCTGGAGCTGGAAGAATATTGCTGTAGCGCTTTTGGGCCGAGGCACCGTTAGCTGTATCGGCTCGTGGCTGCAGCTTCGGTAGGCCAGGATGTGACTGCTGTATGGAGGGCGAAGATGCGTGGGCAGTCGTATTTTCGAGCTGTCTCCTCTCCTGGGCATTGACCGTCTGCCAAGCATGCGTACGTTGCGAAGCCACGTCCTCTGGAGCTTGAGATATTGCTGTTTGGGGTTTTCCTGTTTCCCACGTAGAATGCGGGCGTGGGAAGACAGTTGAAGACGCTGTTGCTGATGCTTCTAACGGGGTTGGCGCACCGCTCGCACCACTCGAATTAACGGACCTGCCGCCAGGGCTATGTTGCGAAGGTATGACATGTCTAACAGTTTCCGGCGTAGGTAAAATGTGTCGATGATGCTGATTGTCGGCTACAGGCGACGCGCTCTCTGTATTTGACGCAAACGTCGATCGGTAAGTTTGATGAGGTAGGTCCTTATGTCGTTCCAGATGGCGCTGGAGCAAGTCGGCCCGGAAGAATACCTTTCCACACAGTTCACAGCGCACTTGGTTTGGACCATGGTTCTTTTGATGGCGTCGTAAGTGCTCCGCTCTTGTGAATGATCTGCCACACTCTTCGCACACGTGGACCTTCAGACCTTTCTTTGCTTTCGAGATTCGACCTGTCTTCGTGTAGACAACTGGGCCATGCTCGTGGGACCCGTGATCACCATCGCCATCGGTTCCACTGTATCTGGCATCATGGTCATCAATAGGCGACATCGTGTCGTTGGTTGGACTGGCGCGACTTGCGCGTGGAACAGTGGAAACAGGACTGATCAGAGGGGGTAGTTGGGGGCGCCTTCCTGGTCCTAGCGGCTCCGACGAGATAGTCCAAGCAGGTGCCGCAGGAGCATGTTGCACCTCTACGGCTGGTCCCGCAGTTCGTGTGCTGTTTTGATGAGGCTGTGAATAACTCTGGCTATGGACAACTCGATTTGCAGCCATGGCGGAAGGGTCTGGTAGAGTCACAGGTGTTTGTTGAGTTGGCGGCAGTGGGTCGCGGGCCGCTTCGTCGGGCTGCACAAGCTGGCCGTGCTGATGAGTATATTGAACAGGTTTTAGCGGTGCGACCGTAGGGGTTGCACTCTCATGAGCAGACATAGCTACTTCGAATTTGCGGCAGAATCGGCGATACAACTTTAGCACCCTATTGCGAGGGAAACGGCCATTGGAGTGCGCATTGCCAGCTTGCTGTAACGCTGTGATGCGCTTCGAGAATTTCTGGGCGCGATTCACGCAACGAGCGAGCTCGTTGATGGTCAGGTCCTCGTCGTCATCGGTCACCGTCTCGTCGCTGTTGTCGCTGTCAGATGTTTCAGGTTTGTCGCCTAACGCGCTAGGCGCTTGTTCCCTGCTCCTGTCAGGACCAGAGTTCTTTCCATCCGATGAAACACCGCGCGCGGATGAATGGACCAGAAAGTTGATAGTCGGCACACGTGATGGGGCGGCGGAGCCATTGAGTGTTTCATCGTCAGAAAAGAAGACGTCGCCGAGGTTGCTTTCCAGAGCTTGCAGAGCCCTGAGTGCGTCCTGTTGTCGTTGGTGAAGTTCTCGAATCGCATCCCGCTCTTGCGCGATCAAGCTGTTGTCGATGCTTCCTTTAGCCTGTGCGTTTGCTAGCTGCAGGACGTGCAGCAGAAGCAGGATGCTGTGCTTTAGGCTATCCAGCCGGCGTCTTAACAGCTCGGTCTTCTGCTCTTTCGACTGTTCGTGCATCCGCGAAGCCTTAGATTCGTCTTGGTCTGGATTTTTTCGTTTTGCGATGAGATCTTGAACATCGCCAAAGACGGCCTCGCATCGCTTGGCCAAGTCGCCGGCTTCGGAAAGTGCTGTATTTGTTACATCATGAATGCCATCTTCTTGCGCGACGATCCGGGCGACGCCATCCAGGGCGATGGCGGTGGTTTTGACATGATCGGCAATGTCAGCTACCTCTTGCTCTGCGCGCGCGGCTCCGCTCGCAGATTCGTACATGGCAGAGCTTAATTGCATGCCGCTGCTGGCGACTTGCGCGATGCTAGCGAGAAAGCCTGCGATCTCGGCCATTGCTGCGGTCCTGGTGCTATAGTTGCGAACAATGAGATGTCATGTGGAGGGCGACGGCGGCGCGTCACTGGAGCCCATCGAACGTGGAGGCTCACAGCTGGAGATGCGCTAGCATTGAATTGCCCAGGACATGCGAAAGCCTCCGGCAGGATGCGCAGAGAGCAGAGGGGCGGAGAATGAGGGGGCCGTGAGGGTGAATGGAGATGGGAAGATGACACTTGTGGGGGCGCGTCCGGAAAGTGCTGATGCGGCCAAAGTGGCTGTGGTAGCGGGAGTGGCTGTGAGCCGTTCCACAAGCGTGGGTACATATTATACTTTCCCTTGATGGCATGCTATCCGCAAAATAAAGTAGAGCCATGCAGCGGACGTCGCGCAGCACTGCACGCAGCGGCGAGCCTGCCTCTACATCCACATATGTTTAAGATGCAGTCTAGGCATGCATCAGGCTGGATGATGAGCGCGAGGCTGAACCGTCGCCTGTGTTCTTCGTTCCTTCGGACCCCACCCGCACTAGCTGAATCCGAAGCCCAACATTCTTGCCCTGTTTGCGTCCCATTATTGCGCACGACTCCACTGCATCAGGGGTATCGGAAGGCGCTCAAGACAAGAGCGGTTGCCCTCTGGCCCGATATTCTTCGGCCATTCAAGCGTCAACGCGCGTTGCCACCCCTATATGCCCCCGCTCCCATTGGACATGCCCACTGGTCGGTTGCGCAAAGTTCCATCTAATCACGAGCAGGCTTTTGGGCATATCGCCTACAACGAATCGCCTGTTCGTCACGTCCTGGTTAGCGTCGAATGCCCTTTCACCACTCCAAAGCCGACGCACACGTGGTGGGAAGAGCCTCTTTGCAAAGCATTGCACCCTCGAGATCACGAGTAGTGGCTTGCTGCTGGCCGTTGAACCGATGTGCCTTGCAGTCGTCCCAATGCGGCGCTGCTCGATTAGCGATGCGATCTTCGAAAACACCCGGTGGTTCTCGGCCACTACCCAAGATCGACGCCGCCCTGGCGATCAACCGTTGCGGCCGTTTTCGCGCCTCAGGCACTAGCTGCCCAGGTGGTAACTCTGGCATGTGATTAAAACTTCGACCTTATACAAGTCGACATGTAAACAGGATGGCCCCAAAATCTACGACACTATCAACGTGAAAATATCCTATCGTAGATGTGACGTCATGTCGACAGCGATATTCGAGAAGATGGCAGGCGCGAGTAAACGATACCAAATCTGCATGAATGACCACGTTCAATTCACTCACACTGCGGCTGGCCTCCTCTTCCTCCCAATTTCCTCTGACTATCCCCTAGCATCTCATTCGCAACTCGTCGATGCAGTCTTACCTGACCAACAACCACAGCGACCCCCGGATCAGACTAGGCCAGACGTGCGACATCTAGAAAAGGTCGGGTGAATAAGACCCTGCGCCTGCGCAGAAGCTCAGAACAGTCCGGAGAACCTGAAATTGATATGTCTACGCACGTCGAGCAATGGGATCACCAGCACCAAGAGACGGATCAGTTCAACAGGCTTTTGAAAGAGCATTCTGCTAAGGATAATATGAACCTCACCAACGGTCTACCCGCGAACGATGGCTCCAACGATGAGACTAAGCCTTCGAACGATGTCTCCAGAACCGCAAACGAGGACTCGCGGCACGATTGTGAGCATTGCCACCACGGGGGCCACAAAGCCAAAGACTGCATGTGGATTGAGAGCAGACCCAAAGAATTGTTGACGGAAACACGTTCAAGAGAAGACGTGCTCATACGGTCCATCCGGCCGGTCCCCATCACCATAAAGCGAAAGCCCTTCGTCGCAAGACCCGACAGCAATTTACGCAACGCTGGTAATAAGATCTCTCGTCCACCTGGAAAATAAAGCTAATCACCCGCAGGGACTGCCCGGGCATACGTCGCCGCCACCGAAGACAAGCCCTACGGGACGACGCACCGCGATTGGACGCGCAACCATTCGCACCAGACCGTCCTCCAGCAACACTGCGAATTCTTCGACACAGACCGCGACGATATCATTTGGCCGCAAGACACCTTCTACGGCTTCCACAAGCTCGGCTTCGGCGTCTTGCTCTCCCTCCTTGCCGTCATCGTCGTCCACGCAAACTTGTCCTACCCAACCCTCCCCTCCTGGCTCCCCGACCCCTTCTTCCGTGTCTACGTCGCCAACATCCACAAGGACAAGCACGGCTCCGATACCGGAACGTACGGCAACGAGGGCCGCTTCGTGCCGCAGAAGTTCGAGGACATCTTCGAGAAGTACGCCAACGGTCGGAACTGGATCACGCTGTGGGACGTCGGGAACATGCTCAAGGGGCAGCGCTGCATCGTGGACCCAATAGGCTGGGGCGGCGCGCTGTTTGAATGGCTCGCGACGTACCTTATGCTGTGGCCGGATGACGGGCGCATGATGAAGGAGGATATCAGGGGGATCTATGACGGGAGTATCTTCTACAAGATCGCTGCGAGACGGGCGTCGAACAGGGCGTACGGCTATGAGTAGGACGCGCAGTGGCGGCTTGTGGTCGAGGTCTTCCGGGACTTGTGGGTGTATGCGCTGTAGGTCTACTGGGCGTGGAGGTGGCGAGAATTGATGCTGTGGTCGTGGAGACATGGTCCCTGCAAGTATCGCATCTGGACCTATCGACCCTGGAACTAGAGCATGCGGACTTAGTACCCCTCTGACTGTCGTGTCTGGATTTACCAATGGAAGCACCGATGGTGGACAATGGACGCTCCGGGGTTAAGATATCCCGACTGGTCGACGCATTGGATCTCAAGCTGTTGGACATCAATTTCCCAGACATAAGCTCTGCACCTCACACCTTTGGCTTTCAAATCCCCAGCTTCTAACGTCTTAAATGCCATTCCACTGCATAAGCCTCGCGTTGACATCAAAACTTTGGACATCACGCCCTCGTTTGTCAATTCCTCTCCAGCCCTTGGCGCTTTGGACGTCATACCTCTTCAGAAGCCGCATATCGACGTCCAAGGGCTCGACCTCAAGCCCTTGGAGGTCAAAAGCCCTGCTATCAAGGCTTTAGACCTCCACCCACTGGATAGCTTGTGCTGGAACACGAGCTAGGCAGCGTTACGTGCTCATAAGGTAACTGCAGCTTCACCTGCCATGTCTCGACGTGCATGCTCGTGATCCGCTTAGTTGTCCAGAGCTTGATTGATTTCGGAGAGAGGCTACTGGGTAGGTGGGGTACAGGCTAAATCTGTGAGGGTGAGGATGCGTTAGGATTAAGAGCTTATAGATCCATCACATCAATTGTTCGAAATAGGCGACTAGCGAGTGTGTGACTTTTATCTATTGTCCCCGCAGAGCCAGCTAGCTAGCAACCCTACATGTCAAAGATACATGGCCCCACTATGTCATTCTTTACTTTATGTTGACTCGTCCGCCAGTCCGTGCTGTACGACCGAAGTCGACGCTACTTCATGTCTATGCAAGACAGAGCAGCGTTTCGCATCTAGGACGAGATGCCGATGACTCCGCAGGCAGGACGTGTGCCAGCGTTACCGGTCTTCTTGGACTCGGGGTGGTCACTCTTGCCGAGGTCGTCAGTGCCGCCGTGGACGACGATGGTGCGCTGTTCACTTTTGTCAGATTCTTCTTCTTCTTCTTCTTCTTCTCAGAAGAGGGAGGAAGATAGAATGTAAGGGAAGAGGGAAACGTACGCCAATAACGCTGTCCTGCCCGATGAGCTTGATCAGCTTGTCCGTCACAGAGCCCTTTGCGTTGCCCTGGCCGTCCGTCTTGAAGTTGCCTAGGTCGCCGACGTGGCGGTTCTCGTCTGAGGGGGCGCCGTGCTCCTTGCCGTAGGGGTTGACTATCCGTACCTATTAGCCATTTTCGTTCTCGCTCTCGCCCTCGCACAGGTGCGGCATGCAGTCAGACTTACAGTGGGGTCCGGCAGACGTGCAGCCGTTGGTGTTGTCGCCAAAGGCGTGGACGTGCATGCCGCGCTCAGCGTTGGCGTCGTGGCCGGTGATGTCCCACGAGATGGAGGTGGGGGAGCTCTCGTTCTCCTGCTCGAAGGTGACGGTGCCCTTGACGTTGGAGTCACCACGGAGGACGGCGACTGCGCACGTGTTAGCTCCTACATCATCTCATGCCAACATCTATCCCGCTACACAGAGCCGTCCCGTCTCGTCGTTGGGGGCCGCAGCTGCCCATCAAGGTCTCCCAGCGTAGCGTAGCGATTGGCGAAAGCTGCATGGCGGCCAGGAACACCCGCGCCTCCAGCATGGTCCTCGCAGCTACTCTCTAGCCCAATGGAGCCGCCAGTCCTTCCTCACATCACCGAATGAGTGGTGTAGCAGCGTACAAAATGTGCTCAATCTCGCTCGGACAGCTCGGACGGGTGCCCCGCGCCACGCTGGAACGGCAGCTTCGCCCCCCACCCAACCAGTTAAGACCCAAGGGAGCTAAACGTACCGGCTTTGACCATTGTGACGGTTTGTGTGATTAGGTGGATTGGGAAGTGCTAATTGTTGATAGTAGTGGCTGGAGTTGTGTAGACGGTAGTGTAGAGAGGGAGAATGGTGCGTGGTAAGCTTCGGCTCCTCTTCGAGAGCGGGGCATTGGTGACCACTGACGCAACTGAGCTGCTGGATTCCGAACTTAGCTCCGAGTCCCGCCCCAGCAGATGATTAATGAATTCAGCCCCTCACTCAAGCAGAAACAGCTAGCCAGCTGTCGCCCCATTCTTCACACACGGCTGTTGTCGCCGGATGTGATTGGCACAAGCAATCCGTTCCAAGTTGCAAGGTTTTCATGCCTGGTCTGAACTCGTGGTACGCAACTGCGAGAGTATTGCAACGCTTCTCATGTGTCTTAACGCGAAAACATGTTCAACGTGAATCATTGCTATTTTCGTAACTACACTGGGTGCCAATTTCTCGATGTATTTCATTGCACAATCAAGAGAAAACGACAGATATCATTACTTCCTCCTCTAAGCCGCCTTGATCTTCTCCTTGAGGATGTCCTTGAGCGTCTCGGCATCAGCAGCGAACTTGGAGATACCTTCCCGCAGCTTCTCGACGGCCATCTGCTCCTCGTTGAAATCGAAGCGGAAGAGCGCCTCGTCGTTGATGTACGACTTCTTCTCGATGTCGAGCGAGTTCGCGTTGGCAGCGTCGAGCTTCTTGGGCACCTCGTCCTTGGAGTTGTAGAGCTGCTCAAGCAGGTTCGGCTGTTGAAATTAGCAGTTGCTTTGGTCTTCGTTCCCGGATGACTCACAGCAATGGTCAGGTAGTCGCAGCCAGCGAGCTCAGTGATCTCGCCGATGCTCCTGAACGAGGCACCCATGACAATGGTCTTGTAGCCGTACTTCTTGTAGTAGTTGAAGATGTTGCCAACAGACTTGACACCCGGGTCCTCCTGGGCGGAGTACTCCTTCTTGGTCGCGGCCTTGTACCAGTCGAGGATACGGCCAACGAAGGGAGAGATGAGGTAGGCGCCGGCCTCAGCGGCGGCAATGGCCTGCGGGAGGGCGAACATGAGGGTCAGGTTGCAGTTGATGCCGTGCTTGGACTGGAGGATCTCGGCGGCCTTGATGCCCTCCCATGTTGAGGCAATCTTGATGAGGACGCGGTCCTTGTCAATACCGGCCTCCTTGTAGAGCTGCGCAGGTTAGCATCCGCGGCATCCGACTGTTGGTGAATCACGGAGCACGTACGTCGATGATGCGCAGGGCCTTGTTCACCGACTGCTCGGTGGAGAAGGAGAAGCGCGCGTCCACCTCAGTCGAGACCTTTCCAGGGATGATCTTGAGGATCTCGCTGCCGAACTGCACGAGCAGGTTGTCGAGTGTGATGTCGACCTGGTGGTCGAGGTCCCGGCCATGCTCCTTGCCGTACTTGACGGCGGCATCGATGAGCTTGGCGTACTCAGGCTTCTTGGAGGCGGCGAGGATGAGCGAGGGGTTGGTCGTCGCATCCTGGGGCTTGTACTTGTCGATGGTCGCGAAGTCGCCCGAGTCGCAGACGACCACAGTGCCGGTGGCCTTCAATTGATCGAGGGAGGAAGACATGGTGAGTGGCTTTCGCGGCTTAGTTTTGGGGTGATTGGAGAAACTGCTTGGAGGAGACGGGGGGAAGAGTAAAGAAGGGCAGTGTGTTGGGAATGATGCGGGAAGCTGCGTTGTTTTGCTTTGGCAGCTGCTGCCCCGCCGCGTGGAAAAAGCGCCCCGCCGCAGCGTCACAGTGGCGACGAGTTTGCGATTGCGCCGACCCTACCAACGCGGCCGAGAATCCAACAGCAACGGCCACGGCGCGCTCTGGGCCCGCCAAAACCCATCGCATCGTATCAATCAGCGCCTTACCATGCCGCTACTAAGCACCACCCTGGCCCTGTTGCCCGTTCTGTGTCGTTCCGACCAGCATCGCCGCTGATGCAAGTCTGATATCCAGCATTTGCGCCGCGTACGGTAACCCTCGCCTCGCCTCATCCAGTGTCTTGTTGCTCATTCCAGAATCCCAAGTTCAAAATCTCAGCAGGTCACGCCCGGCCGCCCAATCTCAAACGCCGCTCCGGGCCGGCAACTGAGCGAGGTTCACAGGCGGCCTTTCAGCCTCATGCAGCCTATCCGCGCCTAGTTCCGCAATTCCTTCTACACGAGTCCACCGTCTTCCCACTCCCTGCGGCTAATAACGCAGCACGCTTGCTTCTTCCGCCAATGGTATTCCGCATCTCCGCGCACGACATCTCCGCAGCAACACATGCCTTTTACCAACAAATACGCCGCGTGCTGTGCTGCCGGACGCTTGTCGCCCGAAGCACGCACATCGTGAACACTGATTCGGAGAACAATCGCTCCGAGGGTCCAATGGCTGTTAGCCATGATTCGGGAACAGCCGCCCAGAAGGCTCAAAGGCTATTACCCATTTGCTGACGGATACACAGCTCTAGAATCATACTTGCCGTGTCCGACCTCAAACAAAGGGAATAAATCCATTTCTCCGATCCTGGGTCGAGCCGCCACACGTGATACGACACATCAATTGGTCCTACTCCTAATCAAGCCTCTCAACTCGCAACCTGCAACATGGTCTACAGCTCACCTCTCTTCCAGTCTATCCGGTTCTTTCCCTCTATCCCAACCCCATCCACCTAAAACTGTCAATACCCACACCATCGCGCACACCCTACAACTTCGCCTTCACCCTCCCCCACCCCTTCGCCCCTAACCACCCAAACACCTCCTCATAGCTCCTCTCCAAATTCGACACCGTGTGCCCCTTCCCACTCGGGCCCGGATCATTAAACTGCTCCACCTTCCTCGTCTGCCCAGCACCCACCTCCAATACCGTCCCCCCACCCAATTCCCCCTCCTCAAGACACCGCACCATTGCATCCGCCACCTCCTCCGGGCTCGCCCATTCATCCTGCGCCTCGTCCAGAAACGTAAGCTTCTCCGGATGCTCCGTCCACAGCGGCGTCTTGATGACACCCGGGGCTACGCCATTGACGCGGATCCCGAGGCGCTCGTCTAGCGGTCCGAGCGAGCGGATGAAGCCGTTCATCGCATGTTTCGCTGCGACGTAGAGAGGTGTGTTGAGGTTCGAGGCTTGGCCTGCAATGCTGCTGATGATGAGGACGCGCTTGGGGTTCGTGGGGGAGACGGCGTCTGCGAGGAAGTGCGAGATGGCGAGCTGGGTTGTGCGGCAGGGGTGTGTGATGTTGATGTCGAGGGTGGCATAGTGGTTTGCGTTGGGCGCGTCCTTGGATTTCGGACTGCCCGGCGGGTGCCAGAAGTTCGTCCAATGGGGGTCGTCTAGAGGTTTCGATCTGTTCAGCTTGTCTCTCATTTCTAGAGATGGAAGGGAGGATGGGTATGACTTACAGATGCCCGCCCCCGGACACACCACGTCCACGCTTCCAAACTCTCGCCGTGCCACATCAAACATGCGCTCTAGCTGCGTCCATTCCGTCACATCCGTCTTTACAAACACCGCCCGCGGGGACCCAGTACTATACTGCTCCAGCAATTTCTGCGCCTCGGGCCGCAGCGCTAGGTCCGCGATCAGCACGTTGCAGCCTTTTGAGAGCAGCAGCGCGGCGAAGGCGAAGTTGATGCCTGCATTGCAATCTGGTCAGTGTCGTGGCAGGGACACGATATCCTAGGAAGGCAGATATCAATGGTAAGCAAGTGAGGACATACCTGAGCCCGCACCCGTGACTATGGCCGACTTGCTTTTGACGGAGAAGGGAGCCGAGCGCTCTGTGACATCAGTGACGCGTTGCTTGTGTGCTGCCATGGTGCCTGGCTGGTAGCGAGGACCAATCCAGATACAACCAAAACGACGTTATAGGCTGTGTCGACTGAAAAATTGTGATAGTGCTGCTCAAGGGTGTGTTGTGGTATTAATTGATACGATCTCTCTCACCATGAGGTTATCGATCTTTGAACGCAATGACGGAGTTCAGCGTGCCAGTGATAGCTTTCTACAAGCTTTTAAAGGTATTGAATATGATGTGTGACACACGCGTCTGCGTCTCGCATCATCACTCGTTTGGGGCTTCGGTATACCGCAAGCAGTGGGTGAGGGGCACGCGGGGCTGCGGGGAAGGAGGAGCTCGGGATAACACTTCCACCGCCGCGCTTGCTAGACGCGTGTAGGCTGCCGGAGCGATGTCGGGAAAATCCAAGAGGGTGTCGATCATGGACAATGGGTTTGATGGGTGGGAGAGATTGGGAACGGGATGGCTTGTCACTCATCGTGCAGCGGTACCTTTGCGGTTCATGATACACAGGTCAAGGAATACATGCAAATATTCCAGGAAGAGTAAAAATGGCTTGAGCAGCCTGTTGGCTCGCCAAAGCGAAACCAAAAAGGATGCACGATGCAGCGCCTGCCCGCCCGCCTGCCCGCCGCGTGGATATATGCCATAAGAACGCCCCGGACGCCAATGCCTTGCATGCCTCGGATGCAACCAACTCAACACTCAATTCCGCCTTCTAAGTTCGCCCTGCTCGTCCCGCCCCGACGTCCTCGGCAGCGGCACGCCGTTCCCCGTCCCACTAACATGGCTCAGCCTCACCAGCTCCTCAAGCATAGCATCCCTCGTCTTCTTCATCAGCGCATCCACATTTTCCGCGGTCATGCCCTTGGTACTAATCGGCGGGAGCACGCTAACGTCCACGACGCCTGGATTGAACTCGCGCTTCTTGACGTTGAGAACGTGCGCGTAGTTTGCGACGACGATGGGGACAATGGGAACACCGGCCTGGATGGCGAGGTGAAAGGCGCCCTTCTTGAAGGGCAAGAGTTCGGGCTGTTCGGCGTACGAACGTGTGCCCTCCGGGAAGATGAAGACGGATTGGCGCTGGGTGCGCATGGTGTGGGCGGCGGAGTCGAAGGCGGCGCGGGCGGTGGTGCGGTTGGCGCGGTCGATGAAGACGGTTTTGGAGAGGGCCACTGTGGTGAGTGGGTCAGTTGGGTGTAGGGTGGGGAGAGGGAGGGGGAGTCGTACTGAACCAGCCGAGGAAGGGCGCCCATTTCAACGACTTCTTTGCAGTCACAGAGGTGTACTTGGGGAACGTGCAGCCGAGCATGAGGACATCGAGTTCGCTGCGCCGTGTTAGTCTGCGAGCTCGCTGATGTTGGGCGCATCCATGAGACAGCACTTACCTCTGGTGGTTGCCCAAGAACACAGCCGGTCGCGTCAACAGCGCTTCCTCCCCGCCGCTGTTCGTCACCTTGAAGGTAACCCCAGTGATCAACCACATGCTCCACTTGAACGCTCTCGCGACGGTCCACTGGCTCAGCCCTCCGTACCCCACGGCCCGCAGGAGTATGCTCGCGAACACGCCGTACATGGCGCACATGCTCATCATGATCATGCTGGTGATGAAGAATGCCGCGAACGAGGCTAGCTGCGCCAGTTTCCCGGGCAGGACGAACGACAGCGCGCGCAAGAAGACGATGAGGATCGGCGGGGCGGCCATGGTGTAGAGGAGCCAGCTCATGGCGGGTGGTCGTGCGGTGTGTGCAATCGCGGGGTGCTATGTGGTCGGCCGTAGCATTCGAGAGGGTTGTGCGATCTGGTTTGCAGTGCAGGTGGAGCGCGGCAGGCCGAGCGAGGACCGCACGTGAGGAGGCGGTGAGGGTTGGGCGTCGGCGGGCGCTATGGCGGGCAACTTTTTCGATGTTGAGGTCCCGCTCCGAGGCTCGTTGGTGCTTCCTCGCTTAGTGTCCGGAGTGGGATGTCACGCAAGGGTGCGATGCCTGCTGAGCTTGTGGAGCTTGTGAAGCTTGTGCTGAGCTTCGTATGATGAGACAGATGCTCTACTTTTTTGCAGTATGAAGGTGTCAAGTGTCGTGATTGCTCTGGACAAAGACTGCATCGAGGAGGCGCCTGGAGTTCCAGCGAGTTCAGACGCCAACAGGTATAGCACGCGCGAATCAACGAGGATGCATTCAAAGAAACACGATCGTGAGAGCATTTCTGTCACAAGGCCTTCGAAAGTACCCATGCACTTCCAGCATGATTCACGAAGGCGCGCGTGATGTGAATATCCTCCAGCTACGAGTTGCCCAGGGGTGCGCCGCATGTGAATGCGGGTCCCTTGCGATGTCGGCGTGCTCACGATGAAAGTCTGGTGCACAAGAAGCTTTAGGTACAGCACTACATTACTATTCACTTTTGAGCCCGCGTTTGACTAAAACAGGTCCTCGACACTTGCGAAATAAAACTAATCGCTAGGTTCAAATGGCGAAGCAGGCACAGAGCGCACCGAGGTTCGACCCAGCTACGGCCGTTCCATCGCGGATGGCCGTCCCAATCGTAGTAACTTCAAAAGCTCGTCGCTGACCGCCGACATGCCTTTGGATCGTCGAGCATATTATACGTCGTGCTACTCCTCATCACTTTTCCTCAACAGAATGGATGCTTTGGCGGCTTGGGATCCTCCGCTGCCTGATCATCTCCACCGTCGTAATCACAAAAGTCAATACATCGAGTAAAAAGATGGGGATAAGGATCCACTTCCAGGCGACCATATGCGTGACAGCTGAGCTGATGCTACTGCGATGCTGCTCCGAAGCCAGCGGCAGTTCCAGCACAGCTTTGTACCAGTTCTCGGGAGTCCACCAGTGCTCGGGGTAGGGAACATTTGAGCGCGCGACCGATTCCAGAATGTGCTGGTGCTTCGTCTCGTTGGTGACGATAAAGACGAAGATGATGGCGGAGAGCGTGAAGAGCACCGAGAGTAGCTGCAGGACAAACACTGCGACCAGAGTCTTTGAAGGAGGCTGCAATTGCCGTTAGGGAGGGATGAAGATGCCAGATGCCTAACGCACCTTTCCCGCCCGGTGTCTTTGACGACATGCCACATACATTGCGATGAGGCCCAGGAAGAATCCGTAGCCAGCCACACCGTTCGACATATGGCCTTGATCAGTCCATAAGTTTGCCGGATGTGTGACGAGCTGTACAGTTTCTTCTGGCCAGTTCACTTGATACGTGACGATTTCGTCTGTCAACAAATATCAGTTTGACTGTTGTTGTAGTCTCCCACGTCACATACTTTTCTGGTGAAGGATGAAGCCCACCATCGAGCTGATTAGACCCAAATTTGTAATTGAAAGAGCGGAGAGACAAAAGTTGGAAACGAACATGAACCAAAAGGTCCCCTTGCTTGCGGATGTGTCCATTGTGTCAAGAATTTCTGTATACTGGCACTGGAGGAACGAGCTTGCGAATGAGAAGGTCTGCCAATCTCTGGAAAGGTAATCTCTTTGTCTCCAGAACATGTTGCCAGTCGAGCGCGCCAGACATGCATTTATAGTTGGCTCATCGGGCTGATGGTCGATTATCTCAGCACGTTTAGTCAAGTTGGAGAGTTCAGCTGTTGGTCGGTCGTTCAGGGTCGTCAGCATACTAGTGATGGCGGAAACCCAAATTTAGGACGCCTACCCCGCGAACCACACAGTGAAATTGGTACGCATGCAAGCCATCCATAAATCTTTCCATGAATCCCAAAATCACCAAATGGAGTGGAACGGGGACAGCTCTCTATTTCGGACTTGGTCGAGGCATGCACCTCGCCCATGGATTGCTCTCGAGCCTTTGATCGGAATTAGAGGAAGTATCTCTTCGAGTAGTCAGCGTTATACTTGTAGAAACGATGCGGAAGTGGTCTGAGCAGTCTGAGCAGTCTGAGCAGCTTCGCATGTGACGGAAATTCCCCTCTAAAGTTCAGCAAGCGGGAGGGAGACGTTGATGTGGCAACTTTCGTTCGTGTCGTTGCCTGTGAGTTCACTGCAAAGAACATGCGAAGGTGGCTGTTAGAGGGGACATCTACGAAGGTGCAGATCCTATCACGTCGGAACCCTCATACCGTACAGTCAGAGAATTGGGGGCCACGTCCCGCAAAGCGATAGAGAGTTAGGCCTCCAGTCAATTCTAGCGGGCGAGCTGTCACGCTCGTGGTGTCATGGTCGCCTCGATTTTGGAGCGCATCATGACTATTGGGCGACGATAAGGTAGATCATACTGCGCCTTCGAAGTTGTCACAAGTTGGGCTGAACTGATGTTGCGCAACGATGCAGGGGGCTATGCATGCATCGTCGGTAGGCTATGTCGTTGCAGCCGATCGCGCGTAGTCCAGATCGAACATGACGCTAAAAGAGGATCAGACATCATGAGACAATTATTCAGCCTGCAAAGGGACTATACAGCGATCTGGGATGCGATGGAGAAAGATTGATGCGAACGTCAGACGTCATACAGAGTGCTTCTTGGCTTACTAACTAGCCTCCTTCCCGCGAACAGTTGCCGTGACGATGCGCTTCAGCGCCTGCTATTTCATGCGACTTCGCAATTTGCATCGCGAATGACATACCCATGAGATATATATCAGGTCTCTGAGATTATTCCAGCACCAAAGTGCTGCTTGAAACCTCTGTGTCGGGCGTGGCCCATGTCCTTGACACGTTCACCTTACTTAGACGCTGCTACTTGAGTGCATTCCTCTCGGCTTTTCGCGCTCAATCTTCTCCAACGACTGTACCGGACAGCATGTAGCCCCATGTCTTAGCCTTGACATCGAGTCTCTCTAGAAGCGCTCTGCGCAAAGTGATTTGGCTACCGAAGCGGTGGCGTCGCTTCTTAGCCGGAGCCTCTCGACAACTGTCACGGCTTCGAGGTTCACATTAACGCGAACCTCCTATCAGTTCCATAAGCATATGCGGCTGAACGACCCAATAGGAATTCCGCCACTGCGATGGGTGGCGGCACGCACGTTCCACCTCCACGACAAGAGAGAGTCAAAGCCAATCAATATCGAGGGCCCCAGCCTTGTCGGGGAAATGTAGAGCTCGCTAACTCTCATCACACGGCACAGTGAGTATAGTGAACGTAATCGCAATCGCATTCGAAGGCGATACCGCAGTATGCACAAACATGATACGCTCGGTTTGTACCGCCCCTTTCATCGTTGGGAGGCACAGCGGGCCTAGAACGTCTCACAGTCTCGCGTTGAGATGTACCAGTCACCCCCTGAAGGTATACTGTAGTATTCAAATACGCGTCGAGATAGCCTTCTTAGTTTCAACATTGCCGACCAGCCCACGATCACATCGAACGAACACACCGAGCGCTGATCTTGTACAACTTTGGAATCTATGCGATTTCCTGGCCGCTCATCAAAGACAACCCCAACGCCAGCTGTACCGAGCATCCTCACATTATTTCCAGTACTCGATGATACAGTGCTTGAAAAGGCACCGGTGACCCATCGGGCGGACAATTGTGTAGGGTACGGACTCGAGGTAGTTCCGATCGAGCGGTGCAACACCTCCTGCGGCAAAACTGTTTCCCCGGATACTCCAGAGAAAGAGGTGCTCTACGCGACACTCACCGACTGGAACAGGCGTTCGAAGCCTCTACCACCGCTTCCAAACGCTGCCTGGAAAGTGTTAGTCAAACGCAAGTGGTATCGACTACCAGTAAAACAGCGCATTGCTGTATTGTTATGTGTAAATAGTCCAACGCGAAAAATTCCGACCACTTCCACGCTGACCGCGCGTCTCAGGTGCAACTCGGTCTCTTGTTGACGATTTGTCTCGGCCTGTTGTCAGTCAAACCACGCCTGGCCAAGCGGTAAGTCAAGTTCTTGGAGAAAATGCTATACTGTTGCTAAAGTATCTGCAAGGGAACCCAGTGAGCAGTCTTCAGATGTAGCGACTTCGCCAATTCGGCCCTCTAGTCCTTCCATCCCCTTAGATACTTTCAGTCTGAACCTCAGCACCCCTCGCCAGCAGAGTTCTGCTTGCCTTTCTGACAGCGATGACGCCGATTCATGGCCATGCACCTCACAAGCGAAATTGCATATTTCTGTCTCTTCCTCAGAACGTCCACTGTCGCAGCTGGAACTGACTATTCAAAAGACGAGTGGGACGGGCACGAGCAGTTATGGACAGCAATTTCCACCGACCATTTCAGCTGAATTCGATCCAATCTATCCTATGAACGACTCTGACGATGAAGTGATATGGCATTTTCAAGCATCATACGATCGCATTGTGCTACTGGCAAATGATGAGTTGTCATTTCACGGCCAACCTCAACATGAAGCCGAACGAGAGACGAGTGGGAAGATATCACCTAACGATAGCCCCTGGGTCTGCTATTTTAACAATACCATCATGGAAGTGTTCGTCTATGCGTCCCAACGCGCAGGTACAGCGACCAATTCCACGCAAGGAGCGAATAATACTACCGAGACGTCTTCGTTGCCAGCTTTTCCCTTTGTGATACAAATCTTCGAACAATGGATTCAGAACGGAACACGTGCCTATTGTGAACAGCAAAAAGTGTCGGAACGGGGAGCTCTCCGCAAAAGCGATGCACCACGATACTTTCTCAGCACAACTGACGCGACGTCCGTCTACGCCTCCTCTATTGATAAGAAAACCAAGCAGCAAGCAGGCGTTTCTGATAGTGCTTGCCAATGTCAATGGATCGTGCAGTGAGGCTGTCAGAAAGACACCCAGATTCCACTTCGACCACTCAGCTTCCACATGTCACTCTGACCCGCTAGATTGGTTTACAACCTGGAATTGGTTGGCTGGATGATTGGTCGCGGCGTTGAGGATCTTTCTGGATTTCATCTTTGGAATGCAAGGGGTTTCATCTATTGCGAAATCCTCTGACTCTACGACGTAGTAGCTTCCCTCGTCTGTTTAAATTCAGCGATGTTCATAATTATAAACACGCTTTACGTATTGCGGCTCAGGAGATCGATCATTTCCAAAAGACATTTCCGTTTCTATCATTCCTGCAGCGCCCATATGTCCCTTTCCGTCTTAGTTGCTGGTTCGTTGGGCAACAACCTGAACAAGTACGGACCCGCCACGGCCAGGAGGGCGCCTAATGCACATGTCGCCATCAGCGTCGCAAAGACCAACAAGTGCTGCGGTGCATTCCCGCTCGGCCAAAGATAACTTCCATAGATAACAGCCAAATGCCCGCAGCAATTCACCCACGCATTTACCACCGAGCACTTCTGGTCCGGAAAGGAAATCCTCTTGCTTGTCCAGTTCAGCATGAGCGGGAGTCTCGTGTAGAGACCAGCCACCAGCAGACACATCATGATGTATTTGGCGACCACAGCTTTCACCACAGCGGAAACGAGACACTCAATGGCGCTGAGGCAGCAGAGCCCAACGCTGTGCCACCTGCGGTCCTGCAATCTGTCTGACGACTAGGGTACCGCGTTGTCAAAGTCGAACGACCGCACATCGATTTCATCAAAAGTGGGGGCGGCGTGGCGAAGACTGCATTCTATACCCATGGGAAGGAGGCCGAGATGGTATGGATCCCATCTCACTTGTGTACACCCGAGGTTTTCTTGCGCGTTTCTAATATGAACTTAGATATCCGGCGTGCATGGCGCAAAAGGCGCATACAAATACACCGCAGCGCATCTCTAGCCGTACAAACTGATCCACCAGATGTTCACCGCCGCGGTATCCCACCCAAACGTCAATCTCCAAAAGCACACCCCCGCACTCGAAATCCCCTCCTTACAGCTTCCCGAAGGGTCATGGGCCGTGAAAACACCTCGTGGACCGATTCGTGCACACACTGTCATAATGGCTACCAACGCCTACACCGCCGCCCTCCTCCCCGAGTACTCGGATAAGATAATCCCTTATAGGACCATCTGCGCGCGCATCATCACACCCCCTTCCCCTTCCACATCCCCACCCTTGCTGGTCAATTCATATGCCTTGCGATTCAACGACTGGGACTTCCGACTACCTGATCCCTCTCATAGACGGCAGCATCATCGTCGGCGGCGCGCGGTGCACCTACCTCGCTGACCGAACCTCCTGGTACGGCAATATCGACTACAGCCGGGTTTTCGAGAGCGGGAGAAGCTACTTCGACGGGTACATGCAACGCCATTTTCGGGGGTAGGGAGATAGCGGCGCGGAGATAGGGGAGCTTTGGTCGGGCGTCACGGGGTACTTGGCTGATTTGCTGCCGCGGGTGGAGCAGGTACGGGGACGGAGCAATGTGTTCATTATGAGTGGGTATATGGGGCATGGGATGCCGCAGATTTAGCTGGCGGCGAAGGCGGTGAGTGAGATGATGTTGAGGGGTTTGGGCGTGGAGGAGACGGAGTCGAGGCAGAGGCTGGAGAGGAGGGAGAACATGGTGCTTGATATGCATCGAATGGTTAGGGACAGAGGGGTGAGGTTTTGAGTGGTGAGGATGGGAGGGTTCTCGGGCTGGGAAGCGGAGTTTTTGTTGGTTTGGCTGGGGCGGCGGTGTTGATGGAGCACTACTATATCCAATGACCTGTAGATCAGTGACGTTTGTGACGAGACGCTGCTTGATCACATTGTACCACCAAACGCATCGCCAAAAGCCGTGGCATATGGGTTCGACACGTGAAATCTTTGGTCGCTCTAACATGCGCTTGCGCTTTTGATATTTCCATCCTTCAAAACTCCTTGTAATATACATCTTTCGCCTTAGAGCATCGCATGTCCTCTTGAGATTCTTGCTATCCTCGCTCATCTCATCCTCTCCTTTCGTTCATACCTTCACACCTTCCCCGAACATCATGTTCCATCCTTTTACATATACCGTCTACTGCGTCTTCTTCGCGCTGTTCGTTGTCGGCGCACTATACAACCACAACGCTACAAAGCCCACCCACGCCACAACCGTGACCCAAATACCGCCAATCCACACCCAGGCCCCGCTGATCTGCCAACTCCTCGGCCACTCGTCGTGCGCAAAGTGGCGCACGGTAACCTGCCTCTTCTCATCGAGGTTGGTGAGGAACGGGCGGCGGAAGTTGATGCGGAAGTTGAAAATGCCGTGTTGGTCAGGGGTGCGGAAGGAGACACCGAAGATGGTCGCATTGGCAGTTTGGGAGAGAGGGGTGAGATTGAGGCGATGGAAGGGGGAGAGCATGCTGAATTCGAGCTGGAGGGCGTCGTTTTCGGCGGGGAGGAAGGGGACGAGGTGGTCGTTTTCGTACTCGGAGACTTCGATTTGGAAAGCCTAGGCGGGTCAGTGTGGATTCAGGAAAGTATGAATGTAACGGGAGACTCACGACGTCCTCCTTGATGCGGTAGATCTTGGGGTTGTGCTCTGGGACAGCAACGCTGGTGTTCAGCTTCTTGCTGGCGCTCTCGTTGTTGTAGTGCAGCAGCTTGCCGATCTTCAAGACACCAGTCTCCTTGAACGTCCAGGCAGTGACCTTCTGCGCGAAATCGCGGTTCGCGGTCTTGACTGCCTGGCCGTTGAGCGTAGCCTTCTCCGCGAACCACTTATTCTGCAGCAATTCGGCAGAGCCAATGACAGTCAGGCGCGCAGAGTTGTGGGCCTGCAGCGACGACACAATGTTCAGCTGCTCGCCGGTCGCAAATGGATCCTCGACGACATCAGCCTCGTCCTTGGGGTTGTAGCTGTATGCGGTGCTCGGAGCGCGGAGAACGGGCAAGATAAGCGGCGATTCGTTCCCAAGTGTCTGACCCACTGCGCGGGGGACCGCGATGAGCCCCTCGCCGGCGAAGTAGTTCTTGACATCGGGCCTGATCGCCTTCGGGAATGGCAGCAGGAGAACATCGTGCTTGTCCGCCGCGGAGGTAGAGTCGTAGTTGAAGTGATCAACGACCAAAGCGCCCTTGTCCGACGGAACGTGGATATCGAGCTCGAGTAGCAGCGACTGGACGGACGAAGGTGTCGCGTGGTCGCTGGAAAGCGCAACAATGACATTTCCTTCGTTGTTCATGAAATCGAGGAATTGGTTCGCAGTGAGGGCGGGACCGAGGCCTTTCGATTTGGCGGGGAGAAGGATAACGTGGTCGTACGCGCGTGCACCATGTCGGAAGAGCGAGAGTTTGTCTGATTTCGGAGACTGAACAGTCGTATGGAAGCCTCGACCTGTTGATTTGATTAGCAAGTTGCCTGGTAGTAAGGAAGCACTGCGAGCTCCGGAATACGCTTTGAGTTCGAGCAAGATAGCGGTTCAAGAGCTGCAATTCGAATTGGTCTCCCAGTCCCAATGCCGAAACAACAGCTCCAGAAGCACCACGCAACCTCTCTCAGCCCTCAAACTCGCAATCCAAGCAGAAAAGGTGCAACATACTCGACAGATCCTCAAGCAGCACACTGTACTTCTCCCGTTCGCCCTCCTCCTCGAGAATAACCAGCAGTCTCTGGCCGGAGGAGCTCAGCGCCTGCACCGCACCCAGCAGGGCCAGCAGCATACAAGAAAATAGCCACCTCATGTCTGCGTTGTGACGGAGGGGAAGCTTGAGCAGCTGCGTTACGCGGCGGGAGCGCAATTGGAGACGTATGCTTTGCCAAGAGTCGGCGCCTGCGTTTCTCCGCGCTCCGCCCGCAAGCTAAGCTTCGACCCCATCACTGCACCTGTGTAGTGAACGTCGAGCCATTGCGACTGCACCATTTGCGCGGGACACAGACGGTGAGTACACAATCGGTTACTTGGGAGGTACATAGTGACGCTGATGCGCAAACAGGCCAATATGTCTACCGCTCCCTTCTTCTTCAAGGAGCCCTTCCGCTACCTCCGTTGGGCCTCCATCAACAAGCCCGCCTACTTCTACTCCATCTGCATTGGCCTCGCTGGCCCCGGAATCATCGCTGTGGCTGTGCCGACCAGGAAGTACCTGGGCTACGAGAGGATCGCAAAGGTGCCGCAGACATATCCGAGTACGTGGATGGTGGGATCGAGGCCAGGGAACGACATACTAATCAGGCGCAGTACCCAAGGGACCGAGACCGCGGCCGAGTGGGTTCGAGGATGAGTAATTGGGAGTGAAGAAAGGACGAGGGCGAGAGCTGGGTATAACAAGACCAGAGAGATATCACAATGCATGGGTGGATGGATTCAGACACATGAGGACCTGAGTACGAGGTCGGAGTACTGTCAGGCTGTATTGTACATAGTCAACTTTTTCTTCAACGCCACATCGTTCCAACGCCCGAGGTCTGCAAAAGGTTCCAAGTGAAGATCCAGCCGGGTATATCTTAGCAACGCAGATTGTGCCATAGCATACGCCAGAACAAAGCTGACCAGGGAATCGCCAACAACTACTGCTGGATCCGGCCACGCTTCGGGGCGCGCATGGGCTCTTCCTCCTCGTCCTCCTCGTCAATGACCCCATCCTCTTCGCCGAAATTCACCTCCTGATGCTGCTGGTGGCGCTTGGCCGCCTCCAGATTCCGCTGCGCGATGTCATTTCCACCCGGCCGCTTCCCCTTCCTCACCGGCGGAGCTGGCTGCTCATCCTCCAGCCACGGGAAATCCGCGCGCTCAAACTCCGTGCACGTGATGTAGCTAACGGGAAACTGCTCAATGTTGAGCTGGCAGTTGCTCTTCAGCAAGCCCGATTTGACGACCCAGCTCTGCATCAGCTCCTTGATCTCGCACACGTGGTTCTCGATGACGTTGAGCGCCTTCTTGGTGATGGGGAACATGGCGTGGAACTGCGAGAGGACGGCCTTGTCCATGTATGCGTCACCGCCTGCGCCGATGGCCTCGTAGAGTGAAAAGCCCCCATCGTCGGCGTTGTAGCCTTTGTTCGCAATGATCTTGTGCGCAAGCCATTGACGGAACCAGCAGAGGGCCATCCAAATGAGGATATCCTTTGCATACTCTTCGCGCTGTCTCGGGTTAGCTAATGCGGCCATCATCATGGATGGAGTAGCATTACCTTGACAGGGAGGTCTTCCTTCGGTGCCGCAATCTTGGGGGGATAGTGTGAGGCCAGCTTGTTCTCCAAGGCACGCGATCGCTCGAGGAGACGACGGTGGTACTTCTCAGCTAGTCGCCTAGCCTCCGGCGTCTTCGTCAGCCCCTGCAACGTGGTGCGATTCCTCTTCCAAGTGTTCCAATTGCCAGCGAGATGGATGATGGACTCGCGGAAGATGAGCTCGGAGCGAATGCGGAAGCTCATGTTTGCCCATCCTTGTGGGTTCGCCTGGATGGAGCGGAAGAGAACTTGACCGTGCTTGAGGAGTGCAACTTCTACTGGCTTGCCTGCGATGATGGGGCATCAGCCTGCCGGTACTGATAGCGCTGCATTATCTCGGGATGGGACAACTGAAACCTACCGATCAAGTTCACGCAGCCCAGGTATTCCGCGACTTCGATCAGGCCAATGCAGTCCACGAGCGCGGCGCCCATATCATCGTCGGCAATGCGGATCTCTGTGCCGTAAAAGGCGTATAGGACACGCTCCCAGTACTTGAAGATCTTGGTTGGCACTCGTCCGTTCTCGTTCAGGACGCGGCCAGCCCAGCCGTCAGCTCGCCCGCCATTTGAATTGAGTTCCTGGAAAACATGTCAGTTCTCAAACAACATCGTGAGCGCCGACGCTTGAATAGTTAGCCGCGGGTAACATAGCATGTACACTGACGATGAGCTCCAGCTGACCAGCAGGGTACTGGGCGCTAGGCATCTCTATGAGCTCTATGAGCCAGCGCTTTGTGACGCCGGCGTTCTTCGCCTTCGTGCTCAGCCTCGCGGCACTCGTTTCCGTGAGCATGCTCGCGAAGAACACGCTGCTTCGCGCGAGCGTGCTTGCGTGGAAAGGATACTTGCGGTCATGGCTGAGGATGATTTCAACGTCGTGCGGCTGGTTCATTGTCGCGAGTCGATGTGCCGAAAGTGTCGTGAGTTTGGTCTAAAGAATGCGAAGGAGTCGGCGGATTTTATATGTCCTGCGATGGCGTAGAGTAAGTGGCAAGAGCGAGGACTTTTGGTTGCTGGGTCAAAACTGAGCTAGATTGGACTTGATAGGTGAAGGCGGAAGCAGATTCAACCTCCCGCCTGTTTTCACGGTAAGACAGGCAATTAGTTCGCAATGCGATAGGGGCACGCAAGGAAGGGTGTAGATTATTCACGTCGTGGACCTGTGGGAGCAAGCAGGACCAAATGGGGCCAAGAATGCACACAGGATACCATCGTGATAGTTGGGTGTAGAACAGGATAATTGACTTCAGTGGATCGTAATCTACATGTTGACCAGCGTGTCATGACTCCGCCTACACACTCTTCACTCACACATAAGTAAAGGCGAACGTAAACATGTCTAGGGTAAATTCAGTATCGATTTGATTGACACACGTAAACGCTTTTGAGCGTACTAACAGTGGACTACCATCCTGACAGTACGTTGTCAGGGGTTTCACGTATCCGCTACACAAACCACAGAGGTATTTCTCAATAACATTGAAATCATAAGAACGATGAACAACTCAATAATATGATCATCACTCTAGTGCCCTTCTCCCCGCAGTAAAATCATATCCCCTTTTGATGTTTCTAAACTCTTGAAATTGGACTGAACATACGTGTTTGTTCTCGTCTTCCATGAAACGAAGCACAAAATGATTACGAGAACTCGACAAATCTTGGTGGTGGGATACATTACCTCCATGCTAAGAGGAACACTCTGGCACGTTTGCGAATTGAAGGCGTGATATGCGACCTGACTGGAGCAGCGAGTAACGACATTTGCCAGTCATCACATGCACTGTCATGCTTGTGTGTATTATATCTGTGTCCATCAGACAAATTCATGACGAACCGGCCAGCGTTATGCAATCCTGTGATCTCATGACCCAAACGCCGTTCCCAAATCAAGCCATTATGCGTTACATGCGCAGCTCTTCAGCGCCGATCAAGCAATTGCCGCCTGTTGCTGCTGAGGTGGAGGCGGAGGAGCCTCTAGCCTTGTGTTCTCCGCCATCATCCGCCCGAACATGATTCCAACGCCCTCAATAACCCCAATGAGCACACCGCACGCTATAGCGTTGTTCCTCATAGCCTTCGCACCACCTCGAACAGCGAGGGCGGCACCCGTGCAGAAGCCTCCGAGAATCCCGTTCCACGGGTCTTCCTTCTTCCTATATCGGCCGTCAGTTCGCGTCGTTAATTTCCAGCCAATGTGCATTCCACACCTGATGCCTTTCACGGCACAGTCAAATGTGGAGAACAAGCCGCCCCATACGCCGAAGTTGCCGCCAAGGACAGGTGCGCGTGCCTTGATGGCTGTGACTGCGCCGATGCGCCGCTCGCCGTACGGTGAGTTGCTACAAATTCTCAGTATGCTGAAACAATCCTCGGATGCTACATTACACTTACCGGAATCCCTTGACACCGTGCCAGATGGCTCCACCCACGGCCTAGAGGTATGAATCGTTAGCACGTCAATGACGTAATTGGCCGACGCAGACGATAGCTAGACGTACGCCCATGCAGAACGCTCCACCGAAGTCATTAAGGGCTACCCATGGGCACGGATCGCGAGAATGGTCCATGGTGAGATGACATTGGCAACAAGATGTGGAGAGCTCGGAGCTGGAGGTTGCCAGGGACGTTGGCTGCATGTTACACGCGGGGTAAGCGCAACCCTGAAAAGCCTGGTGCACGTGATTTGCAATCTGCCTAGGCAGGTACCTGGGCAGACAGCATCCATTTGTAAGCGTCAGGCTGGGGACGGAACCATCATCTTCGTATCAGAAGGATTAGCTACAGGAGAGTTTCGAAGCTAGCATGGAGTATGAGTTGCTCAGCATTACGATGAAGTAGACTGCCAAGACTATCAAGGTACTGAAGTCCTCTGAGCTGATATAGTCTTGGGCAAGACACGTCTTAGAAGCACTTCTACGTCAGGCATGTGTTCAAAGTGATATAGAATGTCAATTGGCGCGATGTAAGCTTTTGTTGGATACTTTGCGCAAAGTGGCGTGCTCGCGAACGATGTGTGACTGCATATGTACCCCGACGAGGTCAGTACAAGTTCCTTTACATCTCTCGCATGCGCGCGCATGCGCGATGTGACTCTGTGTGATATGCCTGGCTCAGATCCGGCGGTCTGCAAAACCCTTAGGGGCTTGAGCGGCCCGTGGACTGGATGAGGCGAAACTGTTCGAGACGCAATGGGTGTGATCGCATCTTTCTGGAAGTCGCACTGCTTTTCATGTATCCACAAGCTATGGAGGCGAGCAAGAATATGCTTCAGTACTGCTCGAGGGCATTCTTGAGGTTTCCCGACAGATCTGAGCCCTCGGAAAGGGGAAGACAAATGTGAAATGTGGCGAGTAGGATTGTCGACGTGAAGCCAGGAGATATTACCAATCCTCTTTTGACATTAGCGCCCCTGGCACGGTTTACAGCGAGGCCAACACGTGCATGCAGGTCAACGTAGAGACCCAGTCCCTCCCAGCAGCCTCCCACTACCTCTCTGATATCATCGGCGCACATCTTCCACGTACAAGAAGCGAACTCTCCGAAACGCGGGGTCCATTTGCCGGAGTATTGGTGATTTGGCAACCCCGGAGCCACCTCATTCTGCCAGCGTGTGCTCTTGGCGCCCGGTGGATCTGTAATCGCGCGGTTTGACATTTGACTGCTCTCCCACCGAGACCCCGCGCTGCGACTGGTATACTGGGATATTCCGTTTGGACAGGCTGCAGCAGGTAGGCATCCCGAGTGCGTGGCACAGCGCATCCACCGTCAGCCAGCTGCCATGCAAGCGAGGGGCTTTCCAGACTCCGCTAACCTGCCACCAGTACCGACACCGTCTGTGGCCCACACCATACTCTCCAAAATAGGTGCGTCAACCTCTTCCACGTCCCGCCGACCAGCATGGCACGCGAGCAGTCGCATATCGGATCGCATATCGGATCAGGGAGCTTGCGGTGAATATTTGCGGTGGCTGAGTTGTGCTGATTCGGTGCATAGAACTTGGGCTGGATAGAAGCATCATTGGACTTTTTGCAAGTGGCGGCGGCCTTCGCGACTTTGTTGCTGTTGGACAGGAGCGGAGGTGATTGCCAATATGGCAGCGGCGACGGCTGGTAAGTATGGGGAAGGTCCCTGTTTTTTTTTTGTTTTCCCTCGACACCTTCACCCAGCATGCGCTCGGCGGGCATTCTATCGTCGATAACGGCCTATCTAACACTGCCCCTCCGCTTCGTAGGCTACGAGTGGAACCGCTCCTCGCCGCTGCGCTCGTCCCCGGACACAGCGTCCCCTATGTACCCCGACCGGCCCATTCGGCCTCTCCCCAAACGCCGCCTGCGCGATCGCATGTCGCCCGAGCAGGCCGACACTATCATATACCCGCCGAACCCACCGTCGACCGGCCCGCTTTTCAACTTCCCGTACTCAACCGGTGAACGGAGCAGGACGTTGAATAGGGAGGGCGCGAGCGACCACCACACCTGTCACTGCGGGCATAACCATTCCGAGGTGGAGAGCGACGAGGATGACGAGGGCTTCACGGATGAGCACGGTCTGCCTCTGCCCTCTTCACCGAGCTACCACTACAGCCGAACTCTGCCCGGCAGACCAGTGACAGGCGCGGTGAGCGCATACCACAAGCCCGGATCAACAACGTCTTCGGTGGACGGCTACGAGTCTTTCGAGAACACAAACAACAAGAAGAAGCGAAAAATTCCCAACATGGGCGGTGCCAGCACGCATCCCACGAGTCTGTCCGCAGAAATGGCCAGCATGGGCATATCGCATCCCGATGAACTCGCTGGTCTCGATGGCAGGGAAGTGTCCGCAAATTACTACACATCCGCTCCCTCGACTCCGCAGCACAACAACGCAGGCACAGGCATCTCGGGCGCAGGCAGAGGGCGATTTGGCCGCACATCATCTGGACGGTCGGAGCGGCGTGTTTTACATAACTCGACAAACATCGCCAATGCCAAAACGAGCAGCAAACGTATGGATCTCACTTCGGGAAATTGCGTCTGTTACAGGGAGTCCGTGCGCTGACTATTTATTTCTAGGACCTTCAGATCAACAAGGTATCATCTCAACCGCCATCGCCAACGCACAGGCAACACCACCGCACATCGGAAACGAAAACGTGAGCCTGCTACAGCAGGAAGCCGCCAAGCCGAGTGCAAACAAGACACAGTTCACCTTTACGTGCGGCTCCGACTCGGCGAAGAATATGGTTTGGCCGGGCCAGGAAAACGGCTACCCGCAACCCCCTGGCGCATATCCTACATCGGCAGGTGCACCCCCACCCAGCAGCGGTCCACGCGCACGACCGCCTGTACGTCCTGACAACCCCGTTGTGAACAATCAAGGCACGCAGACTAGCCCCAACATGAACGGCGGGGTCCGCCGGAGCAAGCCTTCCACAGGTGCAGTGGCGGACCAGCAAGCACCGGCCCCACGAAAGCCTCGCCGAAGCGCCGCGAAGCTGTACGCCTACGCTGCTCGTAAACGTCGGATTGAACAAGAGTACCAAAACTTCCACAACCCGCCTGACCCAGCGTGGATCTGCGAATTCTGCGAATACGAGGACATCTTTGGGAGACCACCAGTGGCTCTTATTAGGCAATACGAGATGAAGGATCGGAAGGAACGCCAACGTCTGGCTGAGAAGCGTAGGCTGTTGGAGAAGGCCAGGATGAAAGGTCGCAAGGGCAAAAAGGTCAACAAGAAGGCGCAGCACAACGCCAACAACGCCCAGAACCATCAAAATCCTCCACCTGGTGACTACGATCGGCGTCCAGAAAACGAGCCGCTGGATGGTCAAGAGGAGGACTATTATGATGACGAGTACGACGATGCTCCAGCCAACACCGCTGTGCAGCATCGCCGTTGCGACCACCCTGGCTGTCACCATCACCACCATCATACGCCCGTCATGCCTCCTGGCGATTCACGTGGCAGAGAGGCCAGTAGAGCCTAGCTTCCGGACAATGCGGGGTGGGCCGCTATTGTTCTCTCGTCCTTGTTTGTTCTTGTACTTTGCCTTTGTCATTCTACCCTGGCTGAGGTTGGACGTCTGTACCTGTTGGCCGAACAGCTACTCGTCGAGTCGATCCTATACTTGATTGGCATGTCTCTTGTCGAGGGATTCGTCTCATCCTAAGCTTCCCGCCTAGCCCCCGAGCGTCATGCGACGGGTTGCCTTCCCTGTTATCCCTAGTCAAGATCTCGCCAGCCACAGACCGCCACCCTGACCAAAACCTCTTCCAACATGATCATCCTACTTATTTCAGCATCTCAGCATCCCATACATCAAACCCAGCATTGCACGGAGCCTTATGTCTTGTCTTCCTGATCCATTCCCATGGTCTAGCGAGCGCGCAATTAAGCGATTGGCTCAATCGTACCCTCTTCCAGCCTTCGGCATGAAATCACCACCCCACTCCGAACCAACAACCCATTCGAACTATTTCTGGACGATCCGTCTTTGAGCCGAATCAACGTCTAGGTCGAGGTCGTCCTGGCCTAGAACAATCGAATGAGACCGCAAGGTCTGCTACATCGAGAAAGAACTTGCACACACCATTTGATACATTCTTGCATACAGAAATGGTCACCGCGGAGTCGTAGTATGTAGCACTTCAAATGTTATAACGTGTGTGAGATTGAATGATTTCTTGGGATGTTTTATATCAGGGGCCATGTGATCATTGTAGATTGAGCCGTAGTTATTCCTTGCTCAAGGGCGGCGAAGCCGTCGACGGACCAATGAGAGGACGAGCTTCTCCGACCCTGGCACCCCCACTTACATCGCCCTACATCATCACGCCACCCGAAGGCTGAGTAGCAACACCTAAGACGCTCTAAAGCTTCCACACAGCTGGTTTATGCATCCCATAACCAATTCCTAATTCCAAGACATCATAGCATGGGTGCATCAGATATTCACAAGTACGGCACTGACGATGGATGGCACGGAAAGATTGAAGAAGGCGGAGAGTTTCCGCCTGAGAAGGATAGGTATCATCTCTACATTGGTACGGAAAGTTTCTATGTCTCCAACGTGTGCATGTTTCACAGATCTATCAGGGATATTTATCCAACCAAACGCTTTCTATGGACAAAGGACCTCGGTGATTGCATCGCCAATCACCCAGCTGACGTTCCAATCGTGCAGGCCTCTTCTGTCCGTTCGCTCACCGAGTTAACCTTGTCCGCCACATCAAGCACCTGACTCCCTACATTACCCTAGATGTTGTACGGCCATATCCCAAAGACGGCGGCGGATGGCGCTTCCCTGCCTCCAACGATGAGTACCCCGGCGCTACCGTCGACAGTCTTTTCGGCAGCAAATTCCTAAGTGAAGTCTACTTCCGGGACGACAAAGACTACAAGGGGAAATACAGCGTGCCCCTGCTCTGGGACAAGAAGGCCGGCAAGATCGTCAACAATGACTCGGCAGAGATGCTGCGGTGGCTCCCAAACGCATTCGACATTTTCTTTAGCGACGACGATGCGATTAAGAAAATCAATCTCTACCCCGAGCCGCTCCGTGCCAAGATTGATGAGATCGGCCCCTGGATGCAATCCTACATCAACGCCGGCGTCTACAAAGCCGGCTTCGCCCTCACGCAGGAAGCCTATGAAGCTGGCGTACTCCCGCTTTTCGCGGCACTCAACAAGATAGAAGCCCTCCTCGCATCAATCGGCGGACCGTACGTCCTTGGCATGCAGCTGACTGAGCTGGATCTGCGCCTGTACGCCACCGTCATCCGCTTCGACACTGTGTACGTGCAGCATTTCAAGACGAATCTGGGGACAATACGACATGATTACCCGACACTGAATAACTGGCATAAGAATTTGTACTGGAATGTTGAGGGGTTTAGGGAGAGCACGGATTTCAAGCATATCAAGGAGAATTATACGAAAAGTCATGGGGATGTGAATCCGCTGGCTATCACGCCGTTGGGACCATTTCCCGAGGTGGAGGAGGGATACGATGAGGATTGGAGGAAGGTGAGGGTGGGCGAAGTCAGGCATCCGGCTGTGCTGAAAGAAGAAGCTGTATAGTAGTGCGGAGGCGCGGTATGAGGTCTCGGGAGGCTTAGGTATGATCATGGATTTCAGATGATGTGTTAGTCGATATTTCCATGAGCAGAAACGCGACGCGGTTTTTTTGAGATCTGCTAGGCAGCAGGAGTGGCCAGACGATAAGACCGCACTACACGGCGCGGCATAGGGTGTGGGTGACAAGTGACAGGCGGCATGTATTGCACCGTTCGAGACGCTACATCAGTCCACATATATGAAACTCCACCCACTCTATCTAAAATAATAATTTCGACATTAGACTTTAAGCCTCATGCATTCGCAATGCGCATCTCCCCTTTACCGCAGTTCACCCATGAAGCGCTTAAGATCAACATATGTATGTGGTTCATCTGCTTGTCATGATCTCCCGCTTCCTTTTCTTGGACTTCCGATGCATGTTCACTATAGATTTCCGTTAGCAGGGGTGGAGGGGCTGGGGAACTGTATTTGCTGCGCATCCATGGTTCGTTCTTTGTAAGGACAATGGACTTGATGGTGCTGTTGGCATTACATGGACCATGGCGTTGAAGAAGAGAAAGAGCAAAGAGAAGCGAAGGCGCTCTAAGTGCGTGTATCGAAGTAAGCCTATAACTAGTGGGTAACACAGATGTACGAGTGCGGCAGGAATAGTGACGTCGAACTATTTGGTATGGCTTGTGGTCAAGGACGCCTACTTACTTATGGTAGTATTCGAGCACGCACAGGACCACATTCGCGAATGGTGATGCTCCGGAAAATTTTACAATAACACGTCAGCGTCGTTGAACCAAAAGACGGCACGCGAAACGTGATCTAGAAATTTGGGGGCCGCAGAGGCTGTTATATCCAGAGTTACATCCAAGCACCCTTTGAGATGAGTATGATATTTGTAAGGGCCCAATCGTGCATGTATTTGGCGCAGCGCCATGTCCGTGATCGGCTAAGGATACGAGTGAGCTCCGGGGTGTGACTTATTCAGCAGCAGGCCGATCATCCTGCAGATGCCCCGCAGGACAGCCTTGCTGCATAACCACCTGCTAAGTGAGAAGCTGATCTCGTAATAAGAATTTCGGTGCCCACAGCTATTACATTATATAGTGCTCAGTACTGCACTTCTTTTCTCATTGCTCAAGCCGCTATGGACCCGGCGACTGCGTTTGCGCTGGCGGCGAGCATTCTGCAAGTCGTGGACTTCTCCAAAAATGTGTTGTCAACAGGCTATCAGCTGTACCAAAATGGCTCCACGCTTTCCAATTCCGACTTTATGTTTGTCGCCGATGACCTGAGTACATTGAACGACAAGATCAAAACATTTGCGCGCCCAGACCTGTCAGTATCGGGCCCACTTGCGGCTGAGAACCAGGTAAGCTGAACAACCTAATGGCAGCTCATACACATCTTCCGTATCCATGAAAAATGACTTGAGACCAGGCACTGGAAAATCTCGCTTCCGAACTCCAGAAGATTGTTGATGAGCTGATCATTATTCTACTTCGTATCCGCAACAAAGGGGAAAGAACGGTATTTCGAAGCTTCAGGCAAGCAATCGTCACTATTTGGAACAAGAGCAAAATCGAAGAAACAGTCAAACGCATGGACAGTATTCGAGAAGAGGTTCAATTTCACCTCATCGTCTCCATGATAGAAAAAGTTGACAGAGTTGAAGTGAAGGCGGACGCATCCTTACAGTCTCTTGACAATGCGACCAAGTCTATTGTCGAGTCGATTCTTCAAGGGAAAGTGGATCTGGCTGATATTCTTGCGACTCAAACATCGAGGTTTATGGAACGAGAGGACGCCAGAGAAGCTGCAGCAATTGAGAGGCACAACGACATCTCGGCCAAGCTCGATCAGTTAACACAACAACCAGTTGTGGAACTTAGACCTCAAGGTGCCGTTGGCAAAGAAATAGAAAAAGACATTCTTCGCAACATTAAGCTTTATCTGAGCTTTTCCATACAAGAAGACCGGTACGACACAATTAAAACCGCGCACGAGACGACATTTGAATGGATTTTCGATGGTTCTAACAAAAGAGACGCTCCATGGGATAATCTCAACGATTGGCTGCGCAGTAACTCAAGCCTCTATTGGATATCTGGCAAGGCGGGCTCGGGTAAATCGACACTGGTGAAGTTCTTAGCAGAAGACAATAGATTCAGAGCAGCTCTTGAGCTTTGGGCTGGCGAAATACCACTTATAATCGCTTCGTACTATTTCTGGAATTCAGGAGAGAACCTGCAGAAATCCCAAGAGGGTCTTCTCCGCACTCTCTTGCTCAAAGTAGTGGAGCAGCAACCTTCGCTGGCGCCCGTGCTCTTCCCGGACCGTTACGAGGAGCCAAAAATCAATTGGAGGGGTTCACCGACGCTTCCTCAGCTTCGTCGTGCACTTGGGAAGTTGATGACCCAGACAGTCGGTGTGGCGAACGTGATTTTGGTTGTAGATGGCTTAGATGAGTTTGATCCTACCGATGCGTCATACGTAGATCTTGCCGACATGTTCATCACAGCCTCACAATCTCCGAATATCAAGGTCTTACTTTCAAGCAGACCTCTGTCGGCATTTGAAGCATCTTTCGCGGACTACCCCAAGCTGCGTCTCCACGAGTTAACCAGAATCGACATCGAGACATTTGTCAACGACCGACTCAGACGCCATAGAAGAATTGCGGACCTGTCGGAGGAAGATGCTCGTGGCGTTGAAGCGCTTATCTCAGAGATTGTGTCCGCTTCTTCCGGGGTATTCTTTTGGGTCAAACTCGCAGTAGACTTGCTACTTGAAGGTTTCCGAAATTTCGACACACTCGAGGATCTGCATTACAAGCTCAAGACAATACCTCGCGACCTCGACGATTTGTTTACGCGTATGCTACGTCAGATTCCAAAAGAATACAAATTCCAGTCTTCGAAGATATTTCAGATACTTCGGTGCATGGACGGTCATGCGCAACTGGCAAGCACATCCGAGCCCGGCGGATGCGAGAAGACTGCATCTGTACTGCACTTTGCTGAAATAGACGTGGAGAAGGTGCTAAGAGTTCCAATCTTCCCAGCATCTCCAATGGAGCAGGAAAGGTTCAATAAAGAGATTGAGGGAAGATTGAGGAGTCGCTGCGCTGGCCTTGTGGAGCTTTCCAGTGTCTTCTCTATGCACGGTAAAGAGCGGCCCTACGATGGATCTCACAAGCAACGTTTCGACTTTATATGGGTGGATCGCCGAGTGGATTATCTCCATCGAAGTGTTGCAGATTGGATTCAAAAGAAACACATATGGGACGAGATCTCGGCGCATACAGCACATACGTCTTTCGAGCCAAGTGTCTCAGTTCTCCAATCTCTGGTCGTACAAATGAAATGTTTTCCAGCCGCGGAAGTTGACAGAGATCGTTTCCTACTTATGCAACGGACACATGTAAATGCGGCTCTGACTTTCGCTAAACAAGCGGAGCGGTCGACAGGCCAAGCGCAAGTGGCATTACTGAACGAGCTCAATAACGTTATGGAACATCACACTGGTCGGCCTCGCATGATCCGAACTCCACTGGAAGACTCAGTACAAACACCTTGGGAATCGTCGAGTTGGTGCGAGTCTATAAAGATAAATGAGGGGTATATAAGGCCAACACACTGGCACGACGATTTCCTGGCTCTCACGATTCGCCATGGTCTGAATCTCTACGTCCAGAGCACACTTGAAGCCCATGGCGACACATTGCCGAACAAGAAAGGGCGACCGTACCTCGACTACGCATGCAACCCAGGACTTTTCACTGGATGGCAGCCCGAGGGTACTCAAGAAGCCATAGTCAAGGCTCTCCTTGAGCACGGTGCCGATCCCAATGAATTATTCGACAGATCCAGTCCTTGGCATACTTTCCTATGCCATCCGCGCGTGCCACGTACCCAGGAGGTCTCAATACCGTGGCTAAACATTGTTAGACTATTGGTCGAGCACGGTGCGGACATAGACACGCACGTACACGAAGTTAATTTTCAAGGCAGTGTCAGTGAGGCCATTCGGCACTTTTTTGAGAAAGTGGAGTGGATTCCTGCTGCGCAACGGGCAGAAGTTCTGGATTATGCCGAAGAACTCGAGAAGCTGAGCGTCAGAGTGCAGGGGAGCGCGGCTCAAACAGCTGACAGCACGAATAAAATGCAAGACGTCAGCAGTCAGAAGGGCTCTTCGGGATACATCGATGTGAGACCCATTGCCATCGTCACCGACCAAAGTTCAGAACTTATAGGCTGCTCCACGAGTGAGCTGCCTCGTCGGGATGTCCAAGCCCGAGAACTTCCAGATGGCGCTACGGATAAAGCGAAAGCAGCAGGGGTAGAAGGAAACCTTACGGGAGAGAAGGCAGGGAAAGACAAAAGCGTGAAACGAAGCGGGAAGCTCTCTTTGAGAAGAATTTTCAAACGGTAGAATTGCGCTAGTTCTCTGAATGGGTAATGATGAGACAGGCTTGGAAATGTTCAGATCGCGCTATCACTATCGAAAAGCCTTCTACTTCTTCCGAGAAGTGGTGAAAGAAGAGAGTCACCAGACCGCGTCTACTTCTCTCCTTTCCGTCCCAAAACTATTCACTCCATACTTGTTACCACTTACACGCTCTGCTAGCTTCGTCGAATTCCTACTTAGTTATTGAGATGCACAAAGACAAGTAAATCACTCAGGCTAACGGCCGGCTTTGTAAGCTGTGCAACACTAACGCGAGGTTAGCACCAATTTATATAGTTGAAAGACCAAGGGCAGGAAAACCGTAGTTAAAGCAAGAATCTGATTCAGACTGAGTATAAGCGGAAAACCTCTAGGAATTGAATTGTGTCAATCAGGAGAGACAGTTATGTGGACTGTAGAAAATATTCATACCACATATCATGACTTGTCAGTAATGATCATGCCGACCAGCCTCATTTTGCTTCGTCCACTTCTCCATCTCAAACAAAAGACTATCCTGAAACTTGAATGTGCACTTCGCCATCGTCTTGATGTGCTCCAACGTAAGCTTGTCGCCTCCCGAAGAGCCCAGACAAGCTGCTGAGAACAAGACATTTCGAACCTGGCGGCCATTAAGCGGTTTGAACCATTCCTTTGCATCGCTGTCCTCCTCGAACCATTCAATTATTTTCTCACGCCGTTCTATGTCGTGCCTATTCTCCACCCTCATAAGGAAATCCTTGAAGATGGCCAACTTGTCCCTGTGTTCCAGCGGTTCGTATTTGATGCCAAGATTGACACGAGAAAGGACAGCGATGTCGAACTGCTTAATACGGTTTGTCGTGAGGATAAGGATGCCCTGGTAATATTCAAGTACGCGTAGAAGGACGGACACCGTTGCATTGCGCTGGAGGTCCGAATTATGCGAGCTGCGAGACTCTAGGAATACATCGGCTTCGTCGAACAGCAAAACGGCGCGCCAATTAGCTGCTAGCTCGAACAGGGACTCCAAGTTGTGTTCTACGTCTGTGGCGTCAAGGCCGATATCCGAAGGGCTGACGGCGAACAGAGGCTTCCCTGTCAACGAGGCGACGCTTTCTGCCGTCAAAGTCTTGCCCACCCCCGGAGGACCATGCAACAACATAACAAGACCTTTGCCCTTGCCTCGAACAATATCTTCCATCATCGGCGCTTTCTGTGTGCTGCTCGTGTGGCTCTGAACTAGCTTCTTAATCAGATCCTTCTGTCTTCCATCCAATTGCAGCCTCTTGAAAGCGTCATCATTTTGAATTTCCTTCGTAATGAAGTGACGGATGTTAAGTTCGAGCCAGGTTCTCGTGTGAAGATGATACCCGAGTACTCGGGGTGGACACAACAAGTACTGCTCGTCGCTTGTGAATTCTCGATCAAGCTCATACATATCGAAATGCCGGCGTTGGTTCTCCCGAAGAGGAATGTTGCTCGTGCATGACCCGCAGTTACATTCATCGTCTTTGTACGATGACATTATGTCACCCATAGGTGCCTGTGCACCCATGTTGGGCGCATGCTGGAGATACGAGCTGAAGTCCACCATGACTGGGCCAGTTATCTGATACTAATGAGCAACTCATTCCTTCTCATTAGGTACCTACAGCTTACCTGTCTTCTTTCAGACGCCTTCGGCGGTGCTTCTTTTCTGCGACGGCGTCCAAAAAAGGCCATGTAGAAGTCGTCATCTGAGGAAGCCTTAAACAGTCCAAGTTAGTATCGGACGAATGAAGGCTACTTAAGAAAAAAAAAAAAAAAAAGGTGGTCAATCTTCGTACCTGCTTTGGCTTGTTCCTCAGTCTCTGGAAGCCACTACCATGAGATATGGTTTCACCTTCGTAGTAAATCATCTGCTCTCCAGTAGTCCTTGCACAGAAGCTCCGGAAAAGCCTCCCTCGCTCAATCAATCTTTTTTCAAGCGTTTCGCGTTCAGAGTTGGGGTCACCCTCTGGGAACTTGAATCGTAATGGGTGACACTTGAGCGTGTCGATGACTTTAGCCCCTGCAAACTCTTCGAACCGAAACATGACAGGTACACGTGTGAAGTGTTTTCCGTCCCAGTCATAACTCCAGCAATGTAGATCCCAGACCTTGCGGGTGTCCTTATTTGTCCGTCCAGACTCACTCATATCAATGGGGAGGATGCTGCATTCCTTGACAATGAAGATTTGGCTTTCCTTCATGAATGGCGTTGCGTATACCAACTCTCCCGGAGGAAAGATGGTCCAGAGATTATCGAAATGAATCGTGCGATTCACGTTCGCTGTCCGGATGGCTGAAAGATACGTATCGATGTCAGGCGAGGATCTGACGCGCTCCAACAGAGCACCGAGATCTGCTCTGGCCTTTTCAAGTGTTTTCTTTGGATCTGGTTCGACAGAAGGCATGTGACTCTTCCGCTTCGTCTCTTGAACCTGAAGCAGCAATCCCTGCCATTTTGCATCCTCTGTTGGTGTCCTCGTAAGTGTCTCCAGATCATCCCATTTGTGGAGGAGCGGACCAAAGGGGCTGATCAGCTCTACTTCGTTCCTACTTTCCTTTCATGTATGCGTCAGATTCATGCGACAACATCTGCCTAGATAATAAAGACTTACCGTCGAAATATGCATTCTAGGATCACCAGCAAAGAGTACACGGAAGATGTCGCGCAACTCTACCCCCAAGAGTTGGACCTCGGACCTCACATACTTCTTGTCCTCATCGAAACGTCGCGTCCAAATGATGTCGTCCGCATCCTTGGGTTTCGCAGCATGATCAACCTCTAAAGTCTCGTTCTCAATCACGTCTCGCGCTTCTTCAACACCAGTCGTCTCATTGTATCGTATTTCACGGAAACGGATCTTGGTCGCGTGGCAATGAGACCCGGTATTGGAACTGAGGCTTAACTTCCTGCTATTCTTGTGATTGTCTTTATTCGCAAGCAACTGTTAAATATCAATTCCGATACACCAGGAACACAATTTGAATAGAGACCGACCTCAAGGTGCTGCTCAACCCGATCGTTCGAGGTTAAGTCCTTGGCGCCAGGCTTTCCATTCTGGATTTCCCGACCCTGCAACGATCAATACAGCTATACACAGGCCGCACGCATTATCACTTACATTGTTGGGAGGCTCCTTGGTAATCCGCTCCAAGTCGACTATACGCTTTTCGAGAAGTTCGATGTATTTGGTTTCCAGCAGGCGTACGCGTGAGACTGCAGCCTCTCCATTTTGTCCATCTTGGTCCATGATGGTGGCGTTTCTAGTGCGCTAGGTATAGACTCCTGAAATGCCGGTAGCCGTGGGAGAAGGTCATGTCAATCTATATGTCTAGTGAGCCCCAAGGCTGAGGTGACGGAAGCATCTTTCAGCGCCACAGTATGCCGTGAAACATCCGCTTTTACGTCCATTCAGTGCTGTGTTCATTTTAGAGGATTCTATTGGCACTGATAAATATTAGCCTGTTTGTTGTGATAAGGCAGCCGTTCACAGCCTTGCATGCGCGAAACTCTGTGGCAGCAACACCTTGCAGGTAATTGGCCAACACCTGTTACACCCGTATTGTTATATCGCGCAGGAGTTAGCTTTGACACAGGCAGCATTGTCCTAATGCAGCCTATTCACGGTCATTGGGAAGATCTTGCGGCCCCGATATCTCATGTGACCTCGCCGGTGTCAATACGCAAGTGTGGGTGGACTCTCGAAGTACAGGGCCGATAGATATAACGCTCATAGTCTCAGCACATGACAGTCAAAACGGTCGAGTTTTTACCAAGCATGAATGCAGGATCCACAGCACTAATCCAAGAAGCTTCTCACTGACTGCATCAATACACGAGCACGTAATGAAGGCCGTCCACTACTCATTCAAGGACCCTGATGGACCATGCAAGCCTGTCGACGTGTAAGCTGCATGTGCCTCATGTACCCGTGCCGTGCAGTGCGAGGGACCGCGGAGATTATACCGATTACAGCAGCCGTACCGCGGGGCAGGTGATTGGGAGTTTGGGGTTCTCGTTGTCCCCATCCGCACCCCAGTTGTTCGAACACCCACTCTTCCCGACGATGGAGATAGCTAAGGTGGACACCGCCTCCAAGCCAGAAAAGACGACAACCTTGTTAAAGCCCGTTTATGAGGCATCCACGGTGCAGCTGTTCTGGAACGATACAAGCGAGAAAGTCAATAGGTACGCGTGTGACTTCGTAAGTGCTACCAGATCACTTCGACTGATCCGTTAGAACCGTGAACGCCGCAGCGTATGAGCCACGGACCAATGCCTTAGCGAAAAAATTATCGAAAAGGCTGTCGCTGAAACAGAAGAAGCTGCTAGATGGCTCCTCACTTGAAGAACTGGAGAACATGTTACAACTGAACCTTGACCGCGCCATCGAACAGCAGACGGCCGACAGGACAAGTGCCGCAATGCTCGATCGTGCCGAGCGGAAAACCACTCGTTTCTTAAACTCTTTTCATAGCTACGTTCAAGCATACTCAGGCGTGATCCAGATAATGAACGGTGCGCCTGGAGGGGGTGGATATGGGGATGCCGCATATGGTGCCCTATCGCTCTTCCTAATGGTATGTACCCTGTTTGAAACGTCCAAATCGTTTTGCTAAAACAAATTGTGCCAGTTCGCTGTGAACAAAGCAAAGACCGACGAGCTCATTGACCAAATGATGCACAAGCTCCACCAACAATACTGCAGGATAAAGATGGTTGAAACGATCTACCACACCGACCGTATGAAAGAGTTTACAGCCCAAGTGTACAGACTTGGTGTCGAGTTCCTTTACACTGCGACTCGATTTTACTCAATGAGTGCTATCCGGAAGATGTGGCATGTTGTGGCACAGCCGCCCAGCGTGCAGCTCACCAACAAAATCGCCGAGATTGAAGATGCTATTGAAGGCATGGCGCAAGAAATGAGGATCCTTGATGGAATCAGAATCGCAAATATAGAAATGAATCTCCACCAAACAGCGGCCCAGGTCTCTAGAGTTGCGGGACATACAGAAGGTATGAAAGTAATACGCGGTTGAGTGCCACTTTTAACGATCTCAGCCTTGCGAGCACACGAGCAACAAAGGCAGCTTGACAGCATGAAGTCGCTGTTGGGAGTTGTATTGGACAGAGTTGATCCATCCCTGGATAAATACCTGGAGCTTCTAGAGGAGAGATTCGATGGCGCAAACATGGCTACTTTCGACGTGGACGCTCTTTATCGTCACCGTGACTTTGCAACGTGGCGCAATAGTGACGTGCTCAATCTCCTCATCCTGCGAGACTCAACACTCGTACCAGGTATGAGTGATCTGAGTTGGCTGTCTCCCGTTCCGGTGAGAATCGTTCAGGACTCCAATGAGCTGTTCCAGGAGCATGCACCTCTCCTTTTGCGACATTTTTGTCGGTTCACTGATGATTGGAGTAGCCGAGATACCAAAGTTGAGGCACAGAGCATAGTCAGAAGCCTGATCTTCCAACTTCTGAGGAACCGACGCAGCGGATCTCTGTTGCTCAACGATGCCTTCTACAACAAGACAAAGCGTGACATAGAACACGTTAATGGGGTGGACGCGGAAAGACCTTCCGAAATCTTGAAACGTTTATTCCGCATCCTGGGATCCATCATGGAGATGGTGGGTGTTGATCGACTTCTCATAATCGTTGATCGGCTGGACGAGATGATCGGAAGCCTGGATGCGTTCTTTGAGCCACTGTCAGAATTGATTGCTAAACACCAGTGCAAGGTGAAAGTTCTTTTGACCTTGGGCAGACAGCGTTCTTTGGACGAAGGCCGCATGAGGCGCGCATTAGGAGAAGAGGGGTATAAGATTTTGGATTGGGATCAAAGCGACTGATTCAGTGGAGTGGAGACACAAGGTCTGATGTGAAGCGTATTGACAAGGTTCAACATTGCCGTGCATGGAAGATATGTTAGAGTTGCAAGTTGGTTGGTCCAAAAGTATGACAGAATTGCCGCTCGAAACAGACATCGGCAACGCTCCGAGGAGGATTGTACGCTATACTTCGTTGTCAGCTAATAGGGTGTCATTCTCGTGGGATGAGCATGTGAAACCAATTTCTTGCCAATCATGCATTCATTTCTATCATTATTCCAATCGCCCTACGCCCAGAACAACTCCGCACCAACCAGCCTACTCCGCGCTCATATTTGGTATCTCATGCAATGAAAAGTCGTCCCCGCCGATCGTACGAAAGTATATCGCTGGCCGCGGATGTCGCACTACTTCTTAACCACGCCATCCTCGGCGTTGAAGCAGTCCTCGAAGTTCTTGGAATGTTTGTTGGAGGCGTGCTCGGTGAGCAACTTGCGCGCGGTAGTGCTCTGGAAGGTCTGGAAGCACGTCTTGCACTTGACGGACTGGGCGCTGGCGTTCTGCATACACGTGAGCAGGCGTACAGGGACCTGAAGAACAGTGATACACACCGACTTCAGCTGGCTCTTTGCCTCCTTGGGGCCCTTGTCGGCGGCGCGATCGCGCTTCTGCTGTGCCCTGCAAAGCTGTCAGTAACCCCGCAATGGCGACAGCGCGTTATTGCCTCGCACTTTGCTCCGTTGCCCATTTTGGAAACTAGTTGCTGGTCGCTACCAAGTTAGTTGGAGAGCGAGGTTTGTAAATGTGTCCTGCGTGGGGTGGGCTACAGCGTTCGGGGAGTGGCAGTGAGATTTTAATGGAGAATGAGTCTGGCCGGAAGGGCGCCCGGCTGCACTTGCCCGCTTCGAGAAGCCCGACCGCGCGGTCACGTGGACCACTCAATTCCAAGGTTCCACGCCATCCTTCCAAGAGGTCTGCCAGCAAACGAACGGGTCTGAACACTACCTGGCGCTTTACCTCTCGAGCTTGGTCAATCAGACGCCTGTACGACCCTTGCTACGCCTCTAACTACCTGGACCAAACCATATGCTACATCAAACCAGGACTGGCGCCTAGCAATCACGAAACCATTGCATCACACCGTCCATCGAAGCGCTCTCCATGACGCACAGAGGTGTCGTCCGTTCATCGCTAGAACAGTCATTGCTAGGAATCACTCGTGGTCTCTGAAGTCTGCGACGCGAACTTTGCCCACCTTGTTTCAGCGCGAATCGATATGTTACCAGCGATATGTTATCGCTTAGTTGCCTCTCGGTTTTATTTAGCCAACTGCGCCATCTGACATTCCCACCTTCTGTTTACACTTTGTCCCTCACGGTGCTCTATAATCAATCAATGTGCTAGCAGTCACAGCCAAACCCTCGCAATTAAATTAGACTGCAGAATCCTTTGGGTACTCAAAATACTCTTCTACATCTCCCAGCTACTCCATTGCACACGACTGTTCAACTTCCTACTGCCATTTTTGCGGATATAAACATCAAACCGAGTCTCGGGCTATACCTGCCGTGGCGCTACGAAGCACAGAAAGAACGATCATAGAAAGAACGAGCCCAGAGACAACTCGTGTAGGAAAGAACCAAGAACAGGTTCAAGCTTCACCATCGGGTCACGCACCAGGTAACCTTCTCATTCGCAATGGCGCACTTCCAAATTTCGCGCAAAACGCGCCTGAGAGCAGTCATTGCGATATCGGTGACTTTTTTCCTCGCTGAGATATCAAGTCAGTCGCTGTTCCCCGTTCGCTACCACGACTAATCCCATACAGCCGGCTTCTACACCAAGTCCCTCGCCCTTGTAGCAGATGCATTCCACTACTTGACGGATCTGATCGGCTTTATAGTCGCTCTCGTCGCAGTCCACATGCAGGAGCGCAAGGACGCACCAGTAGCGCTATCGTTTGGTTGGGCGCGCGCTTCCCTCCTCGGTGCCTTCTTCAATGGCGTATTCCTCCTCGCGCTTGGTCTTTCAATTCTGCTCCAGTCTGTCGAACGTTTCATCGACATTAAAGAAGTTGAAAAGCCTGAGATCGTGCTGATCGTCGGATCTGTGGGTCTGGCACTGAATCTTATCAGTGGGATATTCTTGCATGAACACGACCATGGCGATGGCCACGAACACGGTCACGGACATAGCCACAGCCACAGCCACGGTCATGGACACGAAGCCAGCCACTCTCACGATGAGGAAGCCGTCCACATTGACGAGCTTGCCGGCCTCAATCACTCGGAGCACAATCACCACAACCTCCTCGCGTCTAAGAAGCACCGCGATCTCGGAATGCTCGGCGCAATGATCCACGTCCTCGGAGATGCCTTCAACAACATCGGCGTCATCATCTCTGCCCTTGTGATCTGGCTCACACACTCGCCCAAGCGCTTCTATATTGACCCTGCGATATCTTTATACATCGCTTTGATGATTCTTGGAACCGCTATCCCGCTCACCCGCCGATCGGGAACCATCCTCCTCGAGTCCGCACCCGACGGCGTCGTGCTGGACCACGTCAAGAAGGATCTCGAGAGCATCCCTGGCGTACTGGGCGTCCACGAGTTGCATGTTTGGCGGCTGAATCAAACTAAGAGCCTGGCGAGCGCTCACATCGTCGTGCGGGATACCGAAGTCCGAGATTTCATTGGCCGTGCGAAGATCATCAGCGAGTGTCTGCACGCCTATGGAATCCACAGCGCCACGCTGCAACCGGAATTGGCTGATGGCAGTGAGGTCGAACCTGGAGGAGAGGCACAACAGACTGAGGGAGTAGGAAAGTGCACAATCACGTGTGGCACGTTTTGCGAACCGCTGAAGTGCTGTAATTAGAAGGATAGCGCCTGAGGCGGGATACTGTAGACACGAGTGGTGTCAACATCCCCTAATCGACATAAAAATTCAAAAACATAATGCGAATATCCCACAACTGCTTCTGAGATGCATGTTCTGTTGCGAAACATCACCCTTGTCCGCAAACCGTACACAGGAAGCCCAGGTCATCACGCCCGACGCCGAACGGACGAAGACAACAAGACGCCGTTAGGTATCTGCAAGACTCTCTACTCAGCGTGTCTATAACAACTTTGAGAGCTGAATTAAGGAGACAAGCCAAATAAGAAAGTACCTTAGTGCTTGAAGATCGACGAGCGTGGCCACATTCCGGCCGGACCTAACACTGGCAGATATACACATCAGTAAAAGCATACAACAGCAAGATTCAACGTTTCTCGTGAACACAGGAGCAGAAGATCTTGTATTTCCTAAGTCTTTGTTTACTATAAGCGCGCTAAACCCTTGACCTAGAGCGGAGACGCCTGGTGAACGCGACCAGGCCCACAAAGCAGCCATATTTTGCACAAAGCGACACCGCGAAGATATCTATCAGTGACGGACGTAGTTACCCATTTCTCAAAAAAAAATTACGCAGGGGATCTTCTATCAAGCCATACATGAATGACTAGCTCGATATTTCAATACTCTATGTTAGGCTTAAAGTCGCACGCTTTTCAAGCCCACCATGAAAGACCCACCTGATCTGGTTATACACTACCATTTCCCCTTCGAACCCTATTCTTTTCGCCATCGTATCTGCCATATGGCCTAGCATAGAAGAATCGCCTTGCTCGAATGCTCCCTCGATCGAATCCGTCGCCATATGAGCGATCGTAATATTTGTTTTTCGTTTTTCGAAGTTGGGAGATTCGACGGTGACGGCGCACTGAGCTGCTCAGTAGCGTAAAGCGCCCGATTGAGTTTGTTGGGGTTGCCTTCGTCGCGGTAGACAATCGCACAGTGAAAGAGTTCCTTCCATCATGGTGTAGTGCCTAGAGCCCAGATGGCAAGTAGGTGATGAGCAATATAATCTCAAGAAGCAGGTCAGTTACAAAATCAGAAACCTCAACCAGCGACTATGCTCACTGTGAAGCGTGGCCTTCCACCGCGTATGGTATTGCTGATGGTTGAGCGTGAGAAGCTCTAATGTCAGTTTCGCGCTTTCTTCGACTAGGTACTCGGGGTGAGTGTATCCGAGAGTGGTACTAGGAGTCAAGTTGACCTTGCTCGGCGTTGCAATTTCGTTAGCCATCATGTTGCCACCGATGATTGAGAAGTCTTGTGTGGGACTCGTATATTATTGATACACCCCTCCCTATAGGTGATTTCACTGTGGTACACTTAATTTAACAGTTTGTGCCCTAAATAGGCTAAAATAGGGTCCCAAAAGGTTAAAATATGTGTACCACAGTGGATTAACCTATAGGGAGGGATGTATCAGCAAGCTATGAGTCATGAATATATATAAAAGTGCCTTTAACCCATGGAAAGGTGCTACAAGAACTTATGGAGAGCACCGACAGCAAAACTGATTCTAGATCGAAAAGGCGGCAGTTTCTTTTTATTAACTACTCACCATGATTTTCCAGGTCGACATGATGGAGCGGCATGGTTCTCCTACCTGCCTCGGATCACTTCCAGCAATTGGGCTCGCAACGCGGACACGATTTGCGCGGTAGGATCTATTTCATACTGTACAGTCTATGTTACATTGGCCATCTTTATCTAATCATCCATGCTCTTGTTCTGAGGCAGTGCATCCAACTCTCTCAGTTTATACAAGTTCTCGTAGAAGTATAGCAGCGGGCATGTATCATTTCCGTCGTTATCATCCTCGTCTTCGGTAGGGGTGGATCCGTGCTCATGCTGAGGTTTTTCCGAGTCTTCAGAGCGCTTCGAAGAAGCATGGGATTCGATGCTGGGAACGCAGCACATCTTCCCAGGCTGGAGCGAGTCGGGTGGGGTAGAAGCGTGAGAGGGGGTGGGGCGCTTAGTCGGCGCTTCGGGTTTCGCCTGGGGGGGGTGCGAAGCCCCGCGAGCTTGACAAGCGTTAGCCAGATATATTGATAGGCAGATCGTGCGTGAGTATATAGCATACCTTTCCGAAGTGGCTGGCTACTGGTCTGCAACGCATCGCTTGTTCGTGGTTCCCCAGCGAAAGGGTTGCCAGCGGCGACACTGTCTCGACCAGTCTGTAGCGCTTGCCGATGCTCTTGATCAGGCATTCCTATACATTATCAGAGCAATGTTCCCGACTGAGAACCGACCAGATTTACTGCTCGTCAACCTAAGCCAAATGTCTTTTGTGTTGCTCTGCTGAGACATGTTGGACCCTAACGAAAGAAAGAAAGACAAAAGCTCAAGCGAGGCTGCCCACAACTCTTGTGGGCTTTCCTAATTTATAAGGAAGACGGTGCAGTGAAGTGGAAGAGCGCGATCGAAACGATAAAACTCGAGGGGGGAAAAAGAAACCACACTATCCCTTGAAAGTTCACCTGTGTACCCAGATATGACAGCTCAAGATACCATGAAATTCGGAGAAGTATCAGAGGGTCGCACAAGATCCTGCAAATGCCGATCTAGCATGGGTCTTGTACTGACGCCGAGAATTAGGAGAACGTACCCGTAGCCGCGGAGTATGCGCTCCGCCTCGTCTGCTGCTGCAGATGAGCAATGGGAAAGCAAGTTCTCGCGAAAGCATTAGCCTGTGCAAATACTGCTAGACGATAGAGCTCGTCGGAGGAGCTCCATCAGGCAGTCACGTACTCTTCATAGCCATTTTTAGCGCTGGATTTGAGGTCGCAGCCTCAGGCATAGGCCCCTGTTCAAGCCAACCCTCCCTCCGAGATTATGATTTGACGCACTGGTACAGGTAACCTTGAGTGGCCTATGAGCAGTCGCTTCCCCGGTTCCGCCCGTTCACCGTGGGCCGCGACAACTTCCACAGTTGAGATCTCGTAGCCATCTGGTATATGTTGAACCAGGCTCGTGCGCACTGCAGGTCACCCAGCAATTTACACATTACTCCAGGACGACGCTCGAACCAGCGACTAAAATCTTAGCTATACCAGGCTCAAGGAATCTCGCTTTGGAGCCCAGCGGGCCACTCATCGGGACTAAGGTATGACATGGCCGGCACAAGGCTGGTCTTGACAGCTTGGATGCTGAGCTAACTTCGATAGGCACATTCCTTCGAGGTTTCAGCTCCCCTACATTAGATTCCGAAAATTCGACTCTTTTGTAGCGGAGTGGGGCGCTCAGCTCGCATGTATGGATATGAAAGTTTGTCCCGGTACAAGTCATCAAGGTTGGGAGATGTTTACTGAGCAGAAGTCATTGTCTACGGAACCTGAGTATGATTACTCTATTCGAATGTTTGACCGGACACAAGACCTGCCACTCTTGCTGGCATGAATCAACTCATACTAGATGCGGTCCGACTGACTTGCTGATGCGATCATGTTTCAGCGCAATCTTAGTCAATTGCAAGTACATAGAGGTTTCGATTCGCTATAGCGTCATGGATTAACGCCCTACACATGATGCGCATAGTTGCTCGGGAAGGAATGCGGCGGTCAGTGAAGTAAGTGATCGTCACTTCAAGATAACTGGCTAGACGAGCAGACCTTCGAGCACGGTTATTCACACGTAGACGGAGGCGTGAGTCAGAGCCTCTTCGTCTTGGCATGGGACCAATAAATCAGGCCACAGCAATAGCGAACAAGTGACTGCTTCCGAGTATGAAACAGGATCGAAGCGTGACGCGGGTTCAAGGGGCGAAAGACTGGGGGTTTCGCGCTGTTCGGCCTATTTCGTATGAGCCGATATTGGCATGTGGCGTAGCCAACAAGGTCCCAATTGTCACCCCGGGAGTGCCACAGGCCTTCCGCACAGCCGTCAGTGCATGCACCCTGGAAGCGGGAATGGCTCCCCGAGGGTATCACTCGCCGGGAATACGACGTCTGTCCCTGAACCTCGCTTCCAGAAGCACTTTCTCGCCCCCACACATCATCACAACCGACAGAGCCGTTAGGACGCCACTTCGCGTACGCATATGAGGGCGATCAGTAATTTCGATCATTTACTTCTAGAAGATTCTTCAATCCCTGAAGTCTCTCATGCATCACGCAAAACCCTAGCTCCCGCTCTTAATGCCATCGCTGTTGGCCTCGATCTCGGAAGAAACGCCAGTCCAATATTGTGTTCCTGCTTAGTCTTCCTCAAAATGACGGCCGTTGGAGAAGACGTGGTTCCCTGCTTGTCGGACATTTGCAGAACATGGTATGACGCCCCTTTACTCCCTGCGTCCCATTCGGATAGTGGAAATGATAGGCGAGGGATGGGTCGTTCCTCAAGCGGTGTAAAAGGGTGCTCGCTTCCGCTGATTGGAATAGGCAAACGCCCAATGCTTTCTCGCAGATATTGAGGGACGTCAATTACGTTAGGAGGCGCCCAAAGCGAACCTTGCTTCATAAGCACTAATGCAGCGCTAGACTAGCATTCACCACGTGGTGGGACCCACTTATTCACGGCTTCAAGTCAGATCAGCGTTTAACGGCTCGTTTGAAATAGACCCGGAAAACCAAACGCGCTAGGGCGGACAAACTAACGAGCACAGTGGAATTCCATGGACGTACGCCTTCGTCAGTAGTGCATTCTTGTCCACATCCTCGACAATAGGCAGAGTCGCTGCCTGCGCAAAGATACACGCCACGATTTTCACGATCTCATTTACTGCATTGGTAAACGCCTGGTCGCCGACGATGCTTATACCCCCACTACTCCATTTGGAAAGATCCCATCCCAGAATCTCCCAGGATCTCGGATTCCTCTATTCAGCACGACACATGCCCTCAACATCATCGTGCATCGTGGATTGGGCCTCAAATTTCAATCAAATCGCCTGGATGAGGATCTTGCACAACATGAGCACTGATGAATGTGTCGTAGCACCTCCGTATAGTTTGTAGACGATCTCGGTGTAAAATGGCCTTACAAATTCAGTATAGTCTCCTTGGGTCAGAAGTGCCCGAGATATACATACCTTTCGTCAGCCTGCACCATGAATCCTTAGTCTCCTTTCCTCGAGACATGCCGTTGATATGGCTTCGACAAATGGGTATCCTTTCCCTTGAATTGATTCTATTCGAATTTTGCGGGTAAATTTATGATTGATGTGCCAATTACAAGCCTGTCCACTTCTAATCGAAAGAATAACCACTAACCAGTTTCCCGAATATTTCTGGTGTTACGGCGCAGACAGTGTAAAGACGAAGCTTTCAGAAGTGGGAAAGGCACTTTATATAGCGAGTCCTCACCAACTTCTAGTCATTTCTACCATGGTCTCCTTCGTGAATGGTGTCGATTGAGATCGGGGCGTCGTTCCAGCCACCGCATCCAAGACGATTAACGGGAGCTTAAGAGCCAACCGACTCTGCGTAACGGTGGATCCGTTCTAATGCAGGTCCCTGTAAACGTGTATGTGCATGCCAACGGCTCTAGGGCCACCATGTTTTCCTGGCCCAGAGGCCATCAACACCCTGCTCTAGTTGTCCACACACTGCATGTGTATGTTGTTGATTGGATGATCTCGTGCAACGACGCGTCCATATCGCGTCTCAGGATCACAACAAACATGCACCAGCCATCCCGTTATACTCCCTGGGAAGTACCCTATGAAACGAGGAGGTGTATAAACACAGAGCGTGAGAACAGATCGCTTGTCAGGCTTTGCCAGGTCAGATACCAGCATTTGCTCGTCTGATAAGCGACGTTTAAAACGTTTACCAGCAAATATCCGGGCAATTCCCTGATGGCGCTCTCCAATATCCTTGACAGAGAGGCATATTCTGCTATTCCCAGATTTTCCATTCACAAAGAAATTGACACACAGTATGCGTTGCTCCTCAAGATCAGAGCAGCCATTGTAAGTATCTTCATGTGGAACAACCCCCCTAAACCACCCGACGCTCTCTGTGCTGTCTCTTCCCATCCTCCAAGTCCATTCACGGACCCTCATGCAGGCCGTCCTAGCTCCTCGAGGCCGAGTACCGTGATCAGTCACAATCCCTGTCCGCTTCCCAAATTAATCCAAGGTGCGTCCTCTCCTCCTCATCCTCCCAAGTGACATAATCATTCCTCCAGTCCATACTCAACTCCGCCCCAGCCAGCCTCATCACCTTCTCCACAACCTCGACCTCGACCTCCCCGGCAACAACCTCCGGGAAGGTGCCCACCCACCGCCTGAACGCGCTGCCCGCGACACCGAAAGCGTCGTGCAACTTTGCACCCTCGCCCATCCGCCGCCGCGCCACGACTTCTCCGAGGTTTTGAGCTACGCCCTCGAGCTGCGCGCCGATTTGGGAAAGCAATCTCGACGCGTAATCGATGTCGTGCTCGACACTTCTAAGCAGAGATTTCAGCTGGTGGCGCTTGAAGTGATTGTAGTCGATATTGAGGAGTGTGCTGATGTCGACGAAAGCGTTTTGGACGGTGCGCCAGTTGCTGAAGAAGTGGTTGGTAGTCCGCGGGTGGTCAGAATTGAAGATTGAGTGGAGAGATTGGAGGATGGCGGGGTTGATGGGCAGGACAGCGGGTACAGCAGAAGAGATGCGTAGGTCGCTTGGAGAGAGGCCACGGGCGCGAGGATTAGCGGGGGTGGTCATGGGATCGCGGAGGTAGAGGGGTGTCTCGTGGCTAGCATCATCTTTAGCAGCTATTTCGCACGGCAAACAGAAGTTGTGCGTTCTGGATTGGATGACATACTACTTCAAGCCCAAACGGCGGTATTCCGTTTCGTGCAGCTCAAGCTCCTTCTCGAGGCACTTCAGAACGCTTAAAGCCCAGTTCAGGTAGTCTTTGCACAGCTCAGCCGTCTGCTCCGGAGGGACTTCCGACCCAACAAGCTGGGTGAGATCAGAAGGCATTGAGGACAGCCATTTGAAAATACGCTGAGCTTGCGGACAGTCGAAATCGATTAGCTCGTCTGTGTGGATATCCGTGGCCCGGGTCGGGTCCATTGCATGGCGCAGCCGAATCAGCCTCACGGCCTCCCTGGTTCTGTAGATATCGCGTTGGGTGGAGGGCGATATCGGCATTTCCCTGAGGAGTCAGCTTGAACTAATTCTTATAACGACGAGCGAGGGCGAGGGCGAGGGCGAGGGCAGGGTTGGTTCGACGATTCGGAGAGAGGGTTTCGCGAGGCCATCGCTTTGGCCAGGCAACAGTGATGGGGCCTTGCGCCGTTTGTGATGCTGAAGGACGTTTCTGTCGTTGGTCAGATGGTGTGGCGTGGCGAGGTGAAAGCACAAAAGATCCGCAGGAGTCATATTCACACAATTTCCCCAATTTGTGTGGCCTCATTGCAAACCCACAGGTTGGCTCAATTAATTCGCGCTTACAGGTTATTTCAAACTCGCCTTTTGCGTGGCTTTGATGAGTGTTATCATGTTTGCACGCACACTCCTGCTTCCAGCTGGTCCTAGAACATGAACCACAAATAGGACATCAGCAGTAGTCGCAGCGCCACAGTGGCTGTAAGAGAGAAAGTGGGAATATAGGTGCGTGCATTATCCTATATCAATTCAGTCTATTATACATTTGTGGACTCATTGTGTAGAGCGTGGATGCCCACAGTGGGGTCCGCCTGGAGACTTCTCGTCCTATTGTCCACCACCGTGGCGCTGCGATGCTATTTCGCTTCAGGAATTCTATACTGCGCAAGAAAGAATGAAACAGTATTGGAGTAGTATTGGAGTTGTGACAGATTGAGCCCAAAGATTTTGTATTGTTAGCAACTATCGAGCGAATATCTTTCAATGATGCCGCTTAGGTCAGTGAGCCTCAACACGTGTCTGTCCTCCCGCGGCTCCAACACTGCTTGAAGAACATCCTTCTGCTCACGACCGGCGCAAGACTGAGCTGCCGTCTCTGGCAAACAAGAAGCCCACGTCAACAAGGCATCCGCATGTGCCTCTTGCTGCCCCCTCGGTGGCACGAAGCCTTCACGGTGAATGGTCGAAACGCGTAGCTCCTCGAACTTGGCGATGTGGCCCTCCAAGTCGTGAATTGTTCTTACCATTTCGCATAAGTGCTTTTCACCTTCGTAAGACGCATTGATCGCGTGCTGCAAGCGCGTGCTGTGGTCCAGACTGCTATCTCGCAGATCCCTTTTTGGGACCTTCATCTTCTCTCGGAGCAGATTGCAATTCTGGTAACATTTGCGCTGTTCCAAAGGTGTCGAGTCGTGGAAAGCATCTGCGAGAGCACGGGATTCTTCCGAGGGGACGTCCAGGTAGGTGCCTGCATGCGCGTACTACGATCGAAAGTATCGGCCTCCAAGCTCGCGGTAGTCATGGAAAATTAGCAGAGTTCAATGTATCGCGAGAAAACTCACTGTCTTCAAAGTCAAGTGACCGCATATCAAGTGAATCAAGAATGGCTTCGGCTTTTGCCCGCAGATCCCGTTGCCAGCGGGTCAGGTCTTGCTCCTGCTTAAGACGGGCACGCTCGGGGAGGGGGGCGGCTTTTCGAACCATTGTAATCTGGAAAGCTAACGATAGATACAAATCTTGGCTGGTAGCGATGGTCACCCAGCGATGCGGAGTGTTGAAGTCAGCCTGGTGTTACTTGAGGTGAACAAGACACAAGTCGTTTGTAAACACCGCGCCGTTAGTCCACATAAGGTTAGCGTAGTCTGCTCCTGCAAACGAATTGATTCACATTGGTGCAGTGAAACGCAGGTGCTGTCACCTTCCAGCCATGGCGCGCAGCATCTTCCTGGTATGCTCGCTTTGCGTCTTACTTGTCATCTCTTTGATGCGCACGCGCGCTCCATCAGGCCAGGCACTGGCGGCCTTGATGACTCCCTGGAGCAGACCGAAACCTCAACATCATGTCTACTCCATCAAAGCGAGCGGACTCGGGTGCGTGGTGAAAGCGGTATACGATAAAGACACATACAAGTCATGCGCTGCGTTGCCTTTTCCTCATCGCAGCGATCGAGTCCATGTGGAAATGCAGCGGCCGAGAGCAGCAAAGGATGCCCTGCGCTGGCCGCCATGACATGGCAAAACCATCGGCAGAGGACCGGTGACCGTTACACCGATGGAAGGGAGTGTAGCGGGCGCAAGTCGCGTGCGCATCGAAGGCTGCAGGAACCTTCCTATCCGTTGCTCTTCCCCGCATCGAGTGGTATCTTCCCATCATCCGAGACACCACGAGCATGTACCGGTGCTGTCATCTCCACCCTCCTCTATACCCAGCAAGACAGTCCGGCGCCAGCCTGTGCCTGGGCTACTGTGGCTTGTCCATTTTCCATGCCGCCGTGCTGCTTGAGGTCGCCAACTGGCATGTCGTCATCGGTTCTGCACCTAATATCCACGTCTTCGCATTGCAAGGCCCAACAGAAAAGGCCCGGCTTGTATGTATACACGCTCGCCCCGTACCTGGTTTTGCGCTGCGCTAATGCCAAGTTCGCATGCCTGCCGCGGTGCCACGAGCCTTAGCCGCGTGGCTTAAGGTCCTGGGGATCTGCCGCCTCGGTTTCCAGGTGGTGCAAGATGCTGCGCCCTGATTGGGCTGCTGCTTGGATGACCTCAAGCCACTTCCGCTTTGGGCGGCCCGTCCAAAGCTTCCCTGTGACATCAGTCAATCGCTCTGGGAGCCCTGCATTCACTGTGCTGTTGTTTTGTATTTAATCAGAATAGCGCTCCCGAGTAGTGTTTGTCCTACGCCAGCTACCAGACTTCCTCACACCTCTTGGTGCCTTCCTTGTCTATAGTTCTTTCTTATCGATACTTGCATCCTCGTACCCGCATAGCATTGCATCATGCCATCCTTCAAGAACATGATCGCCAAGTTGCGATCCCGCTCCACCCGCGCCGCTACCGGCAACAATAACCGCGCTGCTACTACTAATGGCAATGCCCCAAAGAGCGCTCCGGCCCAAGCTCCAGCTGCACAGGCAAACCAACAAGTCATGGCATCTGCTACAGCCCCCACGCTCACGGTCACGCTGAGGAACGCAAGTAACAGCAGTGTCGTTTATGTCTATGTCACGGGTATAGCACTAGACAGTGGCAATCGTGCCATGTTCCTTCAGTCGGATGGTAGAACCATCTACTATCCGGCATCTCCGAACACTGTCGGCTCGCCATTATTGCAGGACGTTGCTATCCAATTGGGTGCTCCCGGAACGACTAAAAACATCACCATTCCGAGGATTGCGGGTGGCCGTGTGTGGTTCTCCATCGGGGCTAAGCTTACATTCGCGCTGAACCCCGGTCCTGGTGTCGTCGAGGCAGGGTTGCTCTCATCTTGTGTGGTAGCAATCGCTAACGTGTATTGCAGCCTTCCGTCTCGAACCCCAGTGACCCTAATATCAACATCGACTGGGGGTACGTATGCTATTTCGAACTAGCAATGAGCTTATGACTGACGCTTGTCGACAGGTTCTGCGAGTTCACCTACAACGCTGACCAGCTCTTCGCCAATATATCCTGCGTCGACTTCATCAGCATTCCAGTGGCCCTTACGCTGACTAGCACATCTGGCAATGTCCAGTCCGTGCCAGGGCTGCCAGCCAATGGTTTGACGACTATCGTCAATGGCCTCAAACAGCAGGCCGCTAGTGATGGGCGACCATGGGACAAATTAGTCTACCCAGCGACAGGAACACCACTACGTGTGCTATCACCCCTCAAACTTCTCGACAGCAACGGGAGTGCATGGGACGGCTACTGGGACGCATATGTGAACCAAGTCTGGAACCGCTTCAGCAGCACTGACATGACCATCAACACGCAAGCAGCGGCTGGCAACGTCACGGGACGCGTTTCCAACGGCCAGCTGTCCCTCGGTTCTGCTGGCACCTTCAATAAGCCCAACGCGCGTGACATCTGGACCTGCTCCGAGGGACCTTTTGCCACCGGTGACAATGCCGCACGCAACGCTGTTATCCCTCGCCTGGCTGCCGCATTCAATCGTAGTACGCTCCTGGACGCAACGCAATTCCCGAACGGTAGCTCCCCGGCGAACTACTACAAGAACGTGACCACAAACCACTACTCGCGCCTCGTGCACCAGACCATGAAGGACGGCCGTGGTTATGCATTTCCTTACGATGACGTCGTGCCAGATGGCGGCCAAGACGTCGCTGGTACCGTCTTCGACGGCAGCCCAGCCAATTGGACTATCGCTATCGGAGGCAGTTAGTGTCCGCCTCCTTGTCCCTTCCGCAATGAGCCAGAGTATCTCGCGGGATCATCGGGAACTTTTGGCGTGGCAGCTGTTGAACCGCGACCTCAGGCCAGCGGTTCGAGGTTTGGATTGAGGAACATCCTCAGTTTTTGCGAGCACGAGTGCGGATTTCCATTTTGGCCGTAGCGTATAGATTTCCTGATACCACTGGGTTCGATATTCCCTTTGTCAGTACACCACCCTCGCTCAAGCGTACTTCTTCTGTAAATATACTGCTTATTCCTAATATTCATACCTTCAGCTCTGTTTCCTGAGCGTCTTATTGACCAACCTTGAGGGTGACGGTGAGAGTGAACTTGCTGCTGGGACACTTCTTTGGGACCGAGCTTTCACCACGAGCCCACCACGGGTGTTCACTTCAACGGTCCCACCACGCCCACGTTCTCAATTCCCTTTATTCTGGCACGTCATTAAAGCCCACAGCGCCCTGAAACGACCCTCTCCACCCTCCATCACCACGCCGTCGCGACAAAGCTTCCACGTTCTGTACAACTGAAGAGACTGCAGCACCCGCGCACCCAGAGTCTCAACGAACTCCCCGTCACTCACGTTCACAGTCACCCAGGGCCTGCAAGAGTGGGAATCCGCCCCGCAGCCATGAGAAAGCCGTCCATCAGGAACTTCAAGTTCCTGAACAAAGCCAAGTCTAAGACATGGGCACCATCGCATTCTCAGCCGCAAACTGACACCGCAGAACTGCAAGACACTGAGCCAGAACACGTGCCAGAAAGCCAGCCAGAGCTTCTCGCACTGCCGTACGAGGAGAGTTCGCTTCCAAGCGAGGAGCCGGCAGGCCCAAAGAACCCTTACGCGTATCATCGGATAGCAACAAGTCTTTTGCCCTTACCTGCGGTTGTGAAGAACGAGACGGGAAGAGACGAAGCGAGCACGCTGCATTCATCGGCCACGGTGCAGTCCCCGAAGTCACCTTCCACAATCATCACGCCGAAGTCACCAGAGCCTAAACGCGTCAACAGCATCACGAAAATGACGTCGTTCCTGCGTCTGAAGAAGGCGAAGACGGAGCTCACAGACACATCTCCTTCACTGGAGCAGATATCCGAACCCGCCGAAGAATCGACCCACGACTCACCTCCCACCATCAATAGGGGTAGCACCGTCGTCGCCCAGACAGTCCCCATCTCCCCGACCAGCAGCACGCTGACCCCGCACACCGCAACATTCACCACCTTCACCTCCGCATCGTCGGACCCCGACACACGTCCTACGCCTTTTCCGGCACTTGACACCGATCCGCCCCTTGACTCTGAACCCGACCTCACAGCTGTCAAGCAGGAGATCCGCACCTTCAAGCTCGCCGACGTCCACCGCACCCGCACCGCCCTCTCCCTCGCCCACTCAGCCCGCGAAATAGGCCTCTCCACTTTATCCCGGCTGCGAACCCAAAACGAGCGTCTCGCGAACACAGATATCCACATCCACGAGGCGGGCGTGCAGAACCGGATTGCGTCCCAGCAGATCCGCACGCTGAAAAGGGCGCGGAGGTTCCTGCCTGCAGCGGGGAATCCGTTTACTGCGGGGCGGCGGGGGAGGCAGGGCGATGAGGCGGCGCTGGCAGTGCATCGGAGGGAGAGAGAGCAGCGAGATGCCCTTCGTTGGGCGCGCTGGGAAGAAGCATTTCGCCGGCGTGTCACCGTCACCGTGGCCCTCCCTGCCGAAGATGGCAAGCTCGCGCGTCTGGTGGAAAGGGCCAAGTACCAGTTTGAGCCTGACAGCGAGGATGATTTGTTTGAGGGGGAGATTGAGGGGAATCTGGACAGGTTGGTCGAGGTTGCGCCGCAGCTTAGGGAGATCGCTGTGGAGATGGGGCGGGCTGTTGAGGAGGGGACTCGGAGGCTCGAGGGGATGATGGAAAGGATGGATGCGGTGGATGATGGGCTTGTGCGGAATCGACATGCGTTGGGGCGGGTACATTGAACAACGGCCCAGGATCTCGCAGAAGATGGTCGCGAAGAAGTATCAAGTGGCTGTTGACACAAGCATCCGCACGTATCACGCGATATATCTGGAAATCCGCAATTTCGATGGATTCGCGCCGCAGTGATGCAGTATGGTATATGGTATCTAAAATGTACAAAGAACAATCGTAATGGTCATGCACAGAATCCTGTGAGACCCGTCACCAACACCTCTCTCCGCTTACTCTCAATAGAACCCGTGACTTAAGCAACGAAGTCACGAGCGTGGCTGCGCCAGTGCTCCTTGCCCTCGCCCCAGCCATGGTACCCAGTGTTAGCCTCGGCCTCGCCGTCGTAGTTCTGCTCCTCGGTATCATCGCCTTCAGAATCATCACCCTCGGAGTCGTCGCCCTCGTCATCGTCTTCCTCATCGTCGCCTTCCTCGTCATCACCCTCGCCGTCCTCCATGTCATCGCCCTCCTGGTACTCGCCCTCGCCCTCAGGAGCAGGAGTAGCCGCAGGCGCGGCAGGGCTGGACGCAGCGGGCGCGGCACCGGTGGCAGTGACGTAGGCGTATTGGGTAGCGGTAGCAGTCACGACAACGGCGTTGCCAGACGTAGGAGTGCTGGCCTCGGGCGCGGACTCGCTGTCAGGAGTAGGTTGAGCGGCGTAGGACTTGGCTGGGGTGGGCTGAGCGGCAGTGGCGGAAGACTCAGCCTCGGCGGCGGGCTGAGCAGCGTAAGAGGATTCGACAGGGACGGCCGGGGCAGCGGTGGAAGACGGTGCCTCGGCGGCAGCAGAGGAGCTGCCAGAGCCAGAGCCGCTTCCACCAGCACAGGGTGCAAGAGCCGGGCCCGGCGCATCGAAGGTCTCGCCGGCGTCGTGCTGGTAGAGGTCGAAGGTGAGCTGCTTGTCCGAAGACGAGTAGATCTCGGTGGCCTTGATACCAGCAGGCATCTCAGCGTTGTCGTTTCCGTTCTGGATGGCGATGTTGAGCGCCTGGGGCCAGAACTGTCGCTCGGAGACGGCGCCATTGTTGTGTACGGACGCGACCTCGGTGCGGAGGACGTAGTTGCCGCTGGGGAGGTCCTTCGGGATGGTGACGGTCTGGGTGTTGGCGTTGTCGTAGAAGATGGCGTCGGTGCCCCAGTAGCCGGTCTGCTCCTTCTCGCCGCCCTCAGCGTAGCGGGAGCCGGCAGGGTAGTCGATCAAACCAGACTGGTGGATCTTGAAGAAGCTGAGGTTCTCCTTCTGGACGTCCTTGCAGTCGCCGTTGCAGGGTGCGAGCCAAGTGGCAGTCCAGCCGTGGTGGGAGCAATCCCAGCCGACCTCGTTGCCACCGCACTCTCCGTCGTGCTGCCAGGTAAACTTGACGTCGCTGCCGGCGTCGACGGGGGCAGTGAACGGCGAGGGCTCGGCATCCATGTGGGCGATGATATCAGGATCGTTGATCTTGTCGCCGAAGACGGGCTGGAAACCCCATCCCTGGTTCGTCCTCCAAGCAGGCGAAGAGTCATCACCGCCGCTCTTGTCAGCGGCGTAGAATCCAGGGTAGGTCTTGCCTCCAGCCTCAAATTCCTTGACATAGGTGTGGGCGGCGGCCTGGGAGATGAAAGCAGCCGCAAGCACGGCGGCAGTGTTGGCAATCTTGGACATGGCAGGCATCTTGAATGGTGATCTTCTCGAAAGAACTGTTTCTCGGAAACGTAGTTGGGAAGGAGTGTGTGTAAAAGAAGGACTATAGCTCCAGAGCTATCAAAAGAATGACTGGTCGCGAAGGCGAAGGGAGTGACTGAGAACGAACACAAGAAGCTGCTGATCAGACCGACCAGGGCGGACGTCCATGGCTTATGTAGCTGACATTGTCGTGTGGGGAGGCCGTCGGAGGCGGCGTTCAGCCTCGTGGGAACAAACGCCTTGAGAGCTGATCATCTCCGGCTTGTGGTGGTGGGCGCTCTGATTGGCGGCGCTAGCGTAGGAACAAAACACGGGCAGGGGTGCTGCGCGTGGTAGCGGTAGCGCAAGCGCACCACCGAGGGGTATTCCTTGGCTGCTCAGGAACTCCGTTCCGCAGCAGTGGCTTGTCGCGCGAGTAGTCTTGACGACCTCTCGAGTCCGGACGCTACACCACGGCAGCTGTTTGCAATGCCACAGCCTTCTTGCACTCTCCGGTCTCGTGCGGGACTTGGCTGTGGATGCTCGGCGTACTGGCATGGTGCCGAAGTCGACATCCAGAAAGCCGTCAGAACACTGATCCACTCCTCCCCACCGCACTCTCATTCAGGTACCAGCGAATCACATCCTCATCACGCATCTGTGATTTGGCTTGGGCGCGCGTGCAGGCTGGCGCCGATCGGATCAGCGCGAAGGCGTCAACGGCGCGGGCAGCAGGGTTCCACCAGGTGATGCCGCTTGTTTCATGTTTCCCGGTCATCCTTCGCGAAGCCGCCTATCGATAAACAACTGGGGCGTGTAGGCTCTGGTGTGGAGTTGGACTTGTGAAAGCGATGGCGATGCGCGCAATGTTTGCAGTCGCTTAGGGGATGCAAGTTTCCTGGTACGCTTCGGTTGGCTGCCTGCATACCCGCGCTGCCGAGCGCATACCACATGTAGTAGCTCATAACCTCATGCTGTATCCCAGAGGCAAATTACAGTCACGCTCTACGCAGCACAGTGAGAAGTTTACGTACTGGGAAAGCCACCTCAGTGCGTGCTCGGATCCTTCCCGCACACGCAGGTACCTGCAGAAACAGAAAGCGAACAGCGAGCGACGAAAGAGGTAATCTTGTTTCGGCACCCCTGCTTTCTTTTCTTTTGCGTGTTTCGAAGCTAGTTCTCGGCTTCCTTATAGGTACAGAGCCTAGAGGTGACCATTGCTAGATCCTTTCGCCTGTTCTGCAATGTCACTTCCCGCTGCACTGGCAATATCACTCCCGCCGCAATGAAAACGGTGGCATATGATTGCAACGGCTGCCAGCAAGGTCCAGATGTGGTGGAAATCCGGTTTGTTAATAAGGTTTGAGTAGTGTCGTGTCACCAAGTCAGTGCCTCGCAATGGTGAGTTCACTATCTTAACGGGTCAGCAAGTGGTGGCGAGTTTTGTTCATGCGCCCAGAAGACATTCGGACTGCTGTTTGCCCCATAAATGCTCTCGTGCGATAAGAACTCGATTTCGGTCATGTTTCTTGGAAGAACCGTATCGCGAGGCTTGTACGGAGAGGCGTCGCGAAGTCACCCCCAAGAGATAGACTGAGGATCATCGGTCTTTCTCCAGTGTAGAAAAGGCCGCCAAAAACACGTCAAGAAGATTAGACTTCGTGATTTAATGGTCGACCAGCATGCGACGCCGTCCTCAACATTGGGCAGGAACCCCGACAGGTCTTTCTTGCTAATGACTCCACTTGTCAACCCCACTGACCAATTACTCGGCCCCGTGCCAATTTTCGCGCCCAGGTCCGCCACTGGAAATCGTACAGCGGTTTGCCTCACCGGTGAGTCGGAAGCTCGCCCTTCTAGATGCAGTCCATTCGTGCGCTTTCCTAGCAACGGCAGTGGGTGACAGGCCGCGAGATGTGCTGAGTGGTTACCAAATGCAGGCACACGGAGAGAGCAACCTCGTCCTACAAGTTCGTAATGTTGTTGAATTATGTGTGCAGGTTTAGGTCAGATTCTCAAATGTTGGAACAGCTGTAACGTCCTGCACCCGTATCCCAAGCTCTTGCAGCTCCTCCAATGGCAGATTCGCAATTGCTTCGACATCTAGTCTCGCGAATTCGATGCGAAGGCACCTCAGATAGAGCACATGTTTCCTCTGATTCAAAATGACCATCCAACAATCTTGCCCTGCCATATCCGGTCCCGGGATTATGTGTAGCTCGCAAATAATACACACAGACTTTGCTCTTCTGCGGTTTGGTGCTCCTCCCGGTCAGGCATGAGAGGTTCACACACTCCTTCAGTGTTGTCCGGCCTCAAGGCAAGATCCAGCCCCGCGAATTTGGTGGCAACAGGGTTCTGAAGCAAAGCAATCATGAGCGTAACGGCGCGATGACAGCTCCGATTATACCTGACACGTGGACCCGCACACAGCACGATTGTAATGTAACGGTACGCGGCTTCCAGAGCCGCATTGTGGAGGGCTCTAGACTTCCATGCGAGTGTAAAAAGGTCAGAGCTGTTCAGATAGCACATGTACTCAATGGCCAACTCGGTGGGTAGGTTCGTGAAATGTACCATCACTGCACTTCACGTTAAGGGCGCACAGGTGCCGACGTCGGAAGGACCGGAACCGTGAGGAGATTGGACAATATCTACTCGGCAATTTGTTGTACAGGCTTGATAGAGGGTTGGGCTTCAGTTCTTTGGAGAGTGCTTCCCGTATTGTAGATGTGAGCCTGCATTGTGTGGAGGTTGTCGTCTGCATTGCCGACGCGTCTCGCTTCTGCTGACCAAGGCAAGGGTTACGGCCGACAGTCGCAGTCACGACCTGCACATTGGCGACCCTCTTAGGTAAATGTGCTCCTCTATTACATTATCTATGTCACATTATACGTATACAGACGTTATCGCTACACTCATGATGATACACTTGCTCCCTACTTAGGTACCTATTATTCTCTCTCAACACCATCGAATGCACGAATCCTTCTGCTGTTCTCCCAACATCTTCTCGAAGAGCTCACAAATACTCGTCGTCCGACTCGCCTTCGGCATCGACATCTGCTCCCTCAGTATCAGCATCCGCATCAGTCATGTCGACATCCTGCGTAGTAGTCGAGGGCGTGGCAGCAGGTGTAGGTGTAGTAGTCACCATGCCCTCCCGCTGCAGACCGGGATTCGGATGTGACGGTGGTCCGATCTCACCGGGGGACCTGTCTCTAGCTGGGGACGCATTTGTCATATTTTGCTTCTGCAATGCGTGCTTGACGATGGTATACTGCTTCCTCACGTTGCCAAGGATCTGCTCACCGGCAGACACACCGTTACCCTGGGGCACCCCCTTGCACGAATTTTGCGCCTGCTGAGACCGAAGGCTATATTCGTTGTTGTACTCCGTTCGCCAGGTAGGTACAAGCTTGTTGTTGGTCTTCTGGCGCCTGACATGTTCGCCAAACTCATCGTTCTCGTCGTCAATCAGCTTATCGCCGAACACCGCCCAGTAACCTGGCAGAAGCTCATACGTGCCGTGTAGGGAGCGCTTCGCGGCTTGAGCAGTAACAAGCCAATCGAGGACGAGCTGGATCTCGAAGACTTCGGTGGTGTAAGTTTCACAGCGGCTGAAGATTTCTTGGGCGGTAACGCTGGGTTGGAAGAGGAGGGCCTGGAGGACGATGTTGAGGATGCGATTCCACCAGGGGTAAATGACGGTCTGTCCATCGATGGTGTTCCAAATAGGGAGAAGTGCGTTGGAGTTCTGTTCACGCGCGGGGAGCGGTGGTTCGGGCAATGGATTCCAGACGATCGGAGAATCTTCTGTCGTAGTAGATGGAAGTGACGTTGGTCGTAGGGGACTACCGTAGTCATACGAATCGGTGGGTACCACTGCAAGCGGCCAGAAAAGACGCTTTCGATCCATGAGTCGGTGTTGGTAGTCGCCTTCGGAGAAGCCCCAGACTGAAATGCGTGGGATTGGTGCATTGAAGTCGTTGTCGATGGGTGGCAGTTGAGGGACTAGCTTGACCTTGCCCTCGCTGGCGAGGGAGATAAGTGCCATCACAGTACCATTCTCAGCTGTCCGAGAAACCAGGAAATTGCGCTTATCTGGATCATCATTTGTGAATGCGGTATCCAAGTCTTTCTTGAGTTGCACGGCCGTCATGAAATCAGCCAGCTCAAACGAGCGTCGATAGTTCTTGGCAAAGCCAGGGCTGAAATGGTAATTGCGGCCAGGTAGGAGTCGTTTGATCTTACGTTGCCGGATCAAGCTCGCCTGGAGAAGGTCGTTGACTGAGCGTCCGATCACTGAGTTTGGAAGCTTTCTAAGCTTTTCATGAGCCAGTGTCTTTTCGTAAAGCTCTTTCGGGGTTGAGATGTTCGCACGTATCAAGGCTCGGGCCTTGAGGTCATCTTCATCTCCAGGTGCAGTCAGCTTGCGCTTCCCGTTGAGTGGAAGACCAAACGTATACTTGGCGAATCGTTCGTCACGGTTGATGTTTGCCAGGGCGGTGTTGTACCATACAGTCCGATCCAAAACATCGTAGCTCGAGAGGTCAAATTGACAATCATCTAGAGCTTCGCGAGCGAGGGGGAGCGGTGGTTCGACATGCGTGCAAGTCAGCAAGGCCCAACGCACTAATTTGCCCCAGTCGTACGTGTCCGGATCTTCTATTGGATCGATCTTCCCGTCTTCATATGCGCTCAGAAATTGCGATTGGAATGAACCAGTCATCCCCCGAAGTTGGGAAGCCATCCTCTTCTGTAACCAAGCCCAGGTCTTCTTGGTCTTTTCCAGGTTGAACCGAAGTGAATCACTGTACACTTTTTTCACAATGTCCCAATCAACGTTTCCGCCTTCTCCAGCCATACTAGAAGCAACAATGAGTGTGTAGCACAACTTTCTGAACTCGCTCAGTGGATCAAACGTTTCTGGATACTTTCTTTCCTTGACCGCAGTGTACTTGCGTCTCGTTCGATTCCTGCGTTGTCGATCTCGAGCAGTCCACGCGTGCTGCTTTTTCCTTATGACAGGCTCGTAGTCAGGCTTGTTAAGATCTCCCGTCAATCCAGCCAGGCGTTGTGCTATGGTGGGCGATTTCACTCCTTCGACATCATCCTGCTCGTCGTCGTCTTCTTCCTCGTCCGAACTCTCCTGTATTCTAATGTGGTGGCGCGCTAGAAAATCGTCTTCCGACTGCTTCGCCCGACTGACTTCGTTCGGACGGGACTTTCGAGGCTTTTTGCGAGAGGATTGGTCCACAGGTTGCTCAATCCTCACACGCTTGCGTCTCGTCTTGTTCCTCTTCGGCTCATCGACTTCGCTCGGTGCACTAGCGGTAAGAAGAGTTGAGAATGTGTGGGTAGACGAGTGGTATCCTATCTTTGGGAGCATCAACACGGCAACAGGGTCAAAAGATTCAGTACGGCAAAGCTCTTGAAGGACTGGCTGAACATCTACAACTGATGGTGTGACAGGTCCAATCGCGATTCGGGGACGTGGGCGCGAATTTATCAACGCTTCATCGTCGGAGGAATCAGTTGCAGAAACAGTCTTCTGAGGCTGTTGAGTAGGTAGCGGGGACTCGGCTGTCTTCGGAAGTAGAGTTCGGTTGCTTGCACCGGTGTGCAATCCATCATTCAGTCCTCCAAGCCTCTGCCGCTCCTTAAACAGCTTCCTACGAGAAGCGGAAATTTGCACTTTCTCTTGACGTCGCTGCTGTTTCTCCAGTCTCTTTTGTTCTTTTCTAGCTTCTTTATCAAGTCTCCGTTGCTCCTCCCTAGCTTCTTTTACTAGTCTGCGTCGCTCCGACCTCGCTTGTTTGATACGCGCGTCCAGTCTCCGGGACGCCAGTGGATACAATTCAGGGGCGAAAGAGTTGTCGACTTTCGGCCTCGCTGGGGCAGGCTTTACTTCTTCTCGATAATACTGCCGCACGCCAGGAGGGCAATATTTCTCAGGGTATGCTTGAATAACCTCCTTGACCACACTCTGAACCTCTGGGCTGGTGAAATGGAGATGCTTTTTGAAGAATACAATCCTCTGCTTGTTGCCCGGTACGTCTGCTCGAGGTACCGTGAACTCGACCTTCTTCAGATCCGAAGGAGCACGGCATAGATCCGTGACAGCTTTTCGGACAGTGCCTGCAATCGGACAGGTGACGGTCTTCGGCCCAAGCTCCTCCCAAAGAGAGGCAAAGACAGGGTACATGACCTCGGTTCCTGGGAAGACGCCTCCACAAAGGTCGAAGATATGCCTTATGATACGTGTGCGGGCGTGAGCAACACTTCCCCTACCGAGAATCACGCCTCGACTAGTTCTATCATCAGTTTCTTCCCGGGTTGATGGAGTGCAAATTGCCGCATCAGATCCACTTGTATCCTTGTGAGAAGGAGAACCCTGCGAAAGTTTCTCGGCTGCGTTGGGGCCCGCGTTTGTTACCTCAGTATGAGGCGGTTCTTGGGATGTCGCAGGATTATGAGGGCTTTGATGCGATTTGACGGGTAGAGGTGTTGTAGTTTGGCTCGCAGCTGATACACTCAGTGGAAATCTGTGCGTAGTCGAATCAAAGTGAGCAGATGATGTTTCTTGGGGATTGATAAGACTCCCACGTGATCCCTCAACAGATTTGGACGAGGCGACTTCCAAGGTTTCTGTCATCGCTTGGCAGTTTGATGCTTCCAGACTCATGCTTCTTCGCAACGCCGCTGTCGCATCGAGTATCTCGGAAGGCTGTCCACCAGCCCTCTGGGAGCTGTCTACAGGTCCATGAAGCTTGTTCATCCCCCCTCGAGGCGAGTGAACGGCGTCAGATGGGTGATCGAGGTCCATCGGTCTACCAATTTCGAAGGGTGCGGAGGCAGAGTCTGGCATTGACTCCGTTTCTTGCGTATCCATTGTGTCAATAGCAGACTCGATCTGCGACTTAGTAAATTTAAGAATTCTGATAAGCTTTGTGCTCCGACTAGAGGATTGTTGCTCCACTTCAGCAATCGGTGTCTGGATAGAGGGCGCAAGGCCTAATTCCAACTCGTCGTCAGCAATAGATAACGTGGGCGAGGGCACCGAAGTCGATTTCGTCTTCGAACGGGAGCTTTGTGCGCCTGCACGAGCATTGGGTGCGATCGAGAAAACTGATGAGTTACGTTCCTTAATCGCATCCGAAACGAACCAATCGAATTTGTGTAGAGTCGGCAACTTGAAGGTTGTCATAAACGTCTTCTTCGGCCTGCCACGACCTCCCTTACCAGGTCTCGTAGCATACGGGTTGAAGTATACACCAGGTTCTGTGCGACTGTCGTATCGTTCTATGGCTTTCTGGGCTCGGAGCTCAGCTTTGGTTAGTGGAACATTAGGTCTTGGCTTGACACTTTTTACGGAAGGATCCCGGTGTTCTTCCGCCGGAGGCTTCGGTGTCTGGGAGGGGATCAGAGGTTTACCAGTCTCTGTACTGACTCTCTTGTTGATCAGAACCGAGAACGGCGGGACATTGTTGCTGTCCGCTTCAGGTTTGCTTGCATCTAGGGAAGCCGCAGAGACATCAGGATCCATGTGTACGTCTTCTGAAGGCCGATCGTCTGCCAGTTCAGTGTCGACAGGGCCATCGACCAGCTCGATGTCATGTTCGTCGACAGACTGATCTTGATCCATGCCTCCCCGTTTGGCTTTCTTTTTAGGCCTACCAGCTTTTCTCCCACCTTCATTTAGAGGGCGTTTTCTGCTGCCTCTTCCGTTCCGCGGCGATCGTCGTTCTGCATTAGTATGCATGTTGTCGAGGACTGCAATCTCTCCCTTGCCTGTTATAGCCTCAATTCGCTCTTCCACATGCTGGAGCCGTGATTCTTGTCCACCTTCGAGCTCTTCTTCGCTATCATCTGTGCGTGCTCCATACACGACAGACGAAGAATCATCCACATCAAGGGAGTACTTCATATGCGTGAGCGGTTCATTGCGGCCTTGTTCTTTGAGTATTTGCTCCGTGACCTTGAAGGACAGGCGACCGTGTTCGGGCAGTCCCCTAGCCTTCCTCTCTTCTCGTGTCAAAAGCGGCGGGCCGGGTCGCCTTCCATACCTTGGCTTTGGCTTGGGTGCATCTACATTGAGACCCTTGACAAGTTTGTCGGGTAACGAAGTGGGATCACCAGTCTTTTCGCGATGGGCACGTATCTGTGATTCATAATCCGAGCCCAACCGACCCTTTGCAGGTAAGCCCATAATCAACCTCTCAGCCTGTGTGAGCAGCGGTCGCGGGGTCAAGTTGCTCTTGCGGACGCGTCCACGATCTCCTGAGGGTGATCTAGAAACAGCCGTTGCCGGTTCACGATCTGCAGTGGAGAGTGTCTGAACAGCTCTGTCTCCATTCAACAATTTTGCTTCCCAATCTCGGGGCCTTCCGCGATTTCTCACGATAGCGGCACAGGACTCTGCAAGAGATGATGTTCCCGTGGAATCATGGAAGTCGGCTTCGTTCAGCTCCCGAAAGCCCCAGCTATCGACTGATGATAGAGAAGCAGGAGTTGGCTTTTTGGGCCGAGCACCTTTCTTGTTCTCATCTAAGTCCAGTGCCTCCCAAGTCACCTCACCCGCATCGACCGCTTTTTGAAAGTTTTGATGTGTTCGGTAGAGGTAATGAACGCGTTTCTTGTCGGTTGACATCGCCGTATCTCGAACAAGAGCAAGATGGCGGACATGCATCGGCTGGCTCTTGTCCCAACCATCAGTCAGCCGAGTAACAAGGGACTCGAGGGGGCGTTTCCAGAAGAATCCTGTAGTTGTATCACGCAGTTTGGCTGTATCTGTCCCATCCGTACCAGTTGCATCGACAGCATCAATGACCAGGTTCGTGAGTAAGCGATCAGGCGTCCATTGGGGCGGGATGCGGCGGTCAGTATCACCATCTTCATCTGCATCAGATACATCGTTCATCAAGTCTTGTTCGAGATCTTGCATGGATCCATCGGCAGTGGTCTCGGTCTCGACCGGTTCCTCATCAACTGCATCGGCAGCAGTCGACCCAGCTATTCGCTTGAACTTTAGATTCTGAATGTCATCCTCCAGGGGCTCCCTGAGACGCTGGATGCAAATAAAGTGGTTCGACATTAGATGCGAATCGCGCGACTGTTTCTCCACAGTGAATCGCCTGAGGTATCCTGTCTGTTCCAGTCTTATGAGTGCGCCACGAACAGCGCGACCATTCCACCGTTCTACCGAAACACCCTAACGAAAAGTCAGCACATACATCAGAGTATTTAGTTTCGCACACTTGCCAGCTTCTTTCTGAGATTGCGCACAGCTACGACGGAAGTAGTTTCGAGGAGCTTATTCAGCAATGCAAGCAACCCAGTCAGACTGAGTGTATGAACGCCAAATACATCATTGACACCTTTGGGCTCTTCCTGAACATTCCTCAAGTACATCTTATGTGTGCAAAGGCTAGTTCGAGCTTTTCCCCATTGGATAGGTCTTTTGTCAATGTAGCCTTTCTTGTAAAGTGAGTCAGTTCGAGCAGGCACAGAGCGCTTGTCCTGTCCGCTAAGCTTTTGTAACTCCGGTTGAGAGATGCCCTTAGGACCAGACGTTGCTATGATTGACAACAAGACAAACTCCGAACCGGGCACCTTATTAAGGTCGATTGGATGGCCTGTGATAGCTATCCATGTTTGATTTTGGCTCGTGCATAGTCGAGGACCCTGCACGGAGGCATCTGGCGCATCGAACGCAGGTTGAGACACATGAATTTCCTTTGGTATCTTGCGCGACTCACGCACCTTTGAAGGTGGATTGGAGATAGCATCGTTACCAGGAGGCTCTGAGGCGGATTCCGACTGCAGTTTCAGCTGATTGCTAGAAACCCGACCTTCCTCTAGTAACTGTTGGCGTAGTGAGCTACCGAGAGATGCTAGTTTGCGAGACGGTCGTATCTGGCCAGGTGCAAGTGATCTGTCCGCCGCGGGGCTACCATCCCGGTGACTAGAGTTTCCATTATCTTCGTTAGACTTCTCTTGGGTCTCCAACGCCTCAAACTCGGACAGTGAAAGACTTTGCGCTTCGCGGTTGTGGTAGATGCGAACTTCTGGGTGTTCGGTGACCCATTGCCACACTTGCTCATAGAAATTACGGCCGAGGTCTTTTGGACGTTCGTCAGACGTCGGCTCTTGTTCTTTTCTCTTTTGCTGATAGTAGTCGTTGATAATGCGTCGGAAGTCTGCGCTGCTTGCACCTGAAACAGAGGATTAGTCGCAGAAAAAAGGACATTTCGCAATGTAAAGAACGCAACTAGTAGAGCTTGAAATAGAACTTCGAAAGTATTCTGAAAATCAAAGTACGGAACACGCTGAACCAAAATGCAAAAAGAGCAAAAACACAGCAGATGCGCGATTTGAAGTGGCGGGTCCTCTTACCTCCGAGTCCGCAGATCGCGATACCCGACAGCAAAAAATCGAGCAGCTCGTCGGAGCCCGCCGTCATTGTCGCGCGCGTCCCCTTGCCCTAGCTGACGGACAGATAGACATAGATTATGTGGCCGCTACCGGACTCGAACGCGCGCCAAAGCGTTGTTTGCGATGTGGTCGACTGGGTGTAGGGCAGCTGGGCAGCTGACCTGGAAAGCTGCAGACTCGGGCGGGGCAAGTCGTGGTGGGATGCAGAAGACGCGGCTAGTCTAGTCCTGAAAACCCTTAGCGTCTTCCATGCACCACACGGAGCACGTGAGCCTAAATCCAAACTCGCTGTTATCAAACTGAAAGCGGTCTTGCACTCTTGAAGACTCAACACAATAGAGAGAATATGCTGTGCCGCTCGACTAGATAACGCGCGCCCGATGATGCTTCACCTCAGTCCACAAGCCCACCATGTCTTTCTCCTCGCCTTTCGCTGCATCGACCGCCAAAGCAGGCCATGGCTCCATTAAGCTGTCGATACTACCGCCCGACACGCCCGTTCTGCGCGATGTCTCTTACCAATATCCGCTCAAGCTCGTGGCACCTGATCCTCTGCCTCCGTCTGAAGACAAAAGCAACGGCCATGCCCCGCGTCTCGTACATACAGTATTCCTTCTCACATATGGCGGGGGTATAGTAGCTGGCGATGCCATTGACTTATCCGTGAGTCTCGAGGACAGGACGAGGCTGGTCCTGCTCACACAGGGCTCAACCAAGATTTTCAAGACGCCAGACCCAAGCCTGGTTTCCAGGCAGCACATGGAAGTAACGCTAGCTGCCGGCGCTGCACTGGTCTATCTGCCGGACCCCGTGCAGCCATTCGCGCAGACGGCCTTCTCACAGTCGCAGATCTATCACATAGACGGCGAGAAAAGCAGCCTCTGCGCCTGCGACTGGGTGACCAGCGGGCGTTCAGCGCGCGGAGAGAATTGGGACATTCACGAGTACAAGAGTAGGAACGAGGTGTGGGCTAGCGATAAATCAGGAAAGAAGAGATTGCTACTGCGGGACAATCTGATACTGGATAAGCATGGGCGGACTGGCATGCAACTTGCGGAAAGAATGGATGGCTACTCGGTGTTTGGCACGCTCATCCTCCGTGGGCCTGCGTTCTCATCGTTGGCACAATACTTCATGGTCGAATTCGAGGCTCTGCCTCGCATTGGCGGCAGGGATTGGGGAGATTCGGCACCGCTGGAACTATTGCCACATGAGCAGCGCCGTGTGCAGAGACAGATCCGAGAGAAGAGAGATGGCCTGGTTTGGAGCGCAGCGAATGTACGGGGGTTTGTTTTGGTCAAGTTCGCCAGCAGAGAAGTTGAAGGATCGCGCAACTTTTTGAGGGATATGATCGCGAATGAGGGCTCGGTAGCTACATCCTTTGGCGAGAGAGCGCTGCTATGCTTGAAATAGACTCATGAACTTACTGGTGTCTTCTTGCGATTCATGCTCCAAACGTATTCTATCTCGTGTCTCCTGATCCCCAAATAGGGCTACCCTGAGCCCCACGCGGAACCCCTGTCTAGCGCTAGACTTGGCTTGCTTGTGACGGAGGTGACGCGCCGCCGAACAGCATTCTTCCAACAACGACCGAGTCCTTATCACACCCCTATCCGCAAACCTATGCGCACCCTACAGGCTACTGGCCCGAAGCTATCAACATGAGCGGCAGGCTCACCTCCGCACGCCTTGCCCAGATCGCGCGCCGAACCCCCGCGAACACGCCACGCCTGCATCGTCTCTTCTACACGACCAACAAGCTCCCCAGCGGCGGGCTTCTGCGGAATGGCGCCGGCGCACGACTGGCCCAGCGGAGGGCATGGCCTCTAGGAAGCTACGCACTGCACAACCTGCCTGCCACCCGGTCGATCAGTTTTGCGAGGGTGATTCCGAAACTCGTTACCAAATTCGCAACGGCTGGGGCTGCAGCTGGAGGCGCTGTCATTGCAGGAGTGAGCTACATACAGTACCAGGCAGGACAGGCAGGGAGCTGGGCCGTGAACATCTTCAACAAAACCTACGATGGGGCCTCTGAGATTGCAGGTGAGGGCGTGGACACCGTCTCTGGTATCTTTGGACGCATCTCCGACGGCTGGGGCAAGACCAAGGAAGACTTGCAAAAGGTGGAGACGCCAGAGTGGCTGCAGCGACTCATCGCTAAGGACGAGTCTGGCGGAGACGAGGGCGGACACGGTCGAGGGCAGGGGCCTGAAGAGCCCAAGAAGGGCGGCGCTGCAGCGGCTGCAGCAGGTGTAGGGGCCGCTGCGGCGTATGCGCCCGCAGATGAGGACGAAGACAGGACCGAAGAAGAGAAGATTGCTCGAGATGAGCAGATGATGATGTTGACCAAGAAGATGATCGAGATCCGGGGCCTTCTGCAGACGGTCGGACAGTCGGAATCGCTCACCCTGCCCTCAATCGTCGTCATTGGGTCGCAGTCGTCGGGCAAGAGTTCAGTTCTCGAGGCAATTGTCGGACATGAATTTCTACCCAAGGGCCACAACATGGTCACTCGTCGTCCAATCGAACTCACTCTGGTCCATACTCCGGATGCAAGCGCCGAGTACGGAGAGTTCCCAGCGCTGGGCTTGAGCAAGGTCACCGATTTTGGCCAGATCCAGAAGACGCTAACTGACCTGAACTTGGCCGTCCCTGTGACAGACTGCGTTTCCGACGACCCAATCCAACTACGGATTCACTCTCCCAATGTTCCAGATCTATCATTGATTGATCTTCCCGGGTATATTCAAGTTGTTGGAAGAGACCAGCCTCCTGAGCTCAAGGAAAAGATCGCGCAGCTGTGTGAGAAATACATCAAGCCACCGAATGTAATCCTGGCTATCTCAGCTGCCGACGTCGATTTAGCGAACAGCACCGCCCTGCGCGCCTCCCGAAAGGTCGACCCCAGGGGCGAGCGAACGATTGGGGTCATCACGAAGATGGACCTTGTTGACGCCGAGCGAGGAGCAAGCTTACTCAGTGACAGGAAATATGCCCTGCGTCTAGGGTACGTTGGCGTTGTCTGCCGCGTTCCATCCAACGCTTCCGGTTCGAAACTCTTCAGCCGTGGTAATGGCAACATTACGAATGCTATTGCCAAAAATGAGAACGCTTATTTCGGCTCGCATGCGGAATTCTCGTCAGACTCGCAACTTGCCGTTGGCACATCCAACCTCAAGAAAAAACTCATGTATGTCCTCGAGCAGACCATGGCTGCCAGTCTGAAGACGACAAGCGAGGCGATCCAACGGGAACTAGCGGAAGCCACATACGAATACAAAGTTCAGTATAACGAGCGACCTTTGAGCGCTGAATCGTACTTGGCAGAGTCCCTAGACGGTTTCAAGCACTCATTCCGGGGCTTTTCTGATGCTTTTGGACGCCCACAAGTGCGCGAGCTCCTCAAGCACGAACTCGACCAACAAGTCTTGAACCTGCTCGCCCAGCGTTACTGGAACAGGCCATTCGAAGACCTCAGCCCACCTTTACCAGAAACCGACCCGCTCAGCAGCCTCCCAAAAGCCGACCCGGAAGGCGAACACCAAATTTGGCAAATCAAGCTCGATAGCTCCAGCGCCGCACTGACAAAGCTTGGTGTTGGACGACTTGCAACGAGCGTCGTTGCTAACGCCATCCAAGCCCACATTGACCGCCTCGTGGCTAACTCGCGATTCGCTGCCCATCCTTTCGCCAGGCAAGCTATCACCGAAGCTTCGACTTCGATCTTGAAGGACCTGTCATACGACATTGCAGATGAGCTGGAGATATGTATCAAGCCATACAAGTACCGCATAGAGCTAGAAGATAACGAATGGGCACGTGGCCGCGAGAATGTCACCGCCGTCCTCAAGGAGGAGCTTAAGGTGTGCGAAGCCGCAGCGAAACGATTAGAAGACCAGGCTGGCGGGCGAAAGAAGGTCAGAGATGTGATGGCATTCATCGACCGCGTAAGGAACGGCCAGGTCGTTCTGGAGGGTGATGGCATTGGTGGTGCTGGAGGCTTCAGCGCCCCTCTTCTCGCTAAAGGTAACCTCTCTCCCTGTTTCCATGCGAATCTTATTGACCACAACGTAGGTCGCGAAGCAGTCTTCCTACGTGACCGTACCGACGTTCTTAAGATGCGTCTCCTTGCTGTCAAATCAAAACAGTGCGCGAACAAGAAGAACAAATACCACTGCCCAGAAGTCTTCCTCGACGCTGTGGCAGACAAGCTGACCACCACCGCCGACCTATTCCTCGACGCAGAGCTCCTTTCAAAATTCTACTACAACGTAAGGCCCCCATCTCCACCGCCTGACCAGATTGCGGGTCACATACTAATGTCTCGTCAGTTTCCCCGCGAACTCGACGCTCGCCTTGGCCGTGGCCTCTCCCAATCCGAAATCGACCGCTTCGCCCGTGAAGACCCCAAGATCCGGCGCCACCTGGATGTCGTGCGCCGCAAAGACCTGCTTGAGACCGTGCTAAAGGAGATGGAATCTCTACGGCAGCTTGAGGCACGAGAAAAGCGGTCGATCCGGCGAGAGCCGAAGGAGGAGCGGAGGAAGGGCGGATGGAGCTTGTTCTAATGTATAGCGCTTACGATAGGCTTAGATTGGCGTTCTGGGTGTTCTGACAAGAGGGTTGTTTGGTGATACCATGTATGAGGCATCGCTGCTCCAGAGCTAGTGTGTATTTTGAGTATTGTACATTGTATGGACGACTCTGCCCTGAACCGATAGTACACTATGCGTCTACTGTGAACAGGAAGAACATGGGCTCTGACATGACTTGATGCCAGAGGATCGCATGTGATGCTTGTGCCCAGCTCGCCGAAGCGATCAACAAAAGCAGTCGTTACGTCATACCTGGGCGCAATAAAGTGTATGCCGCTGCTAACCAACTCAGCGGGTACAGCGGAGTATCCAAGCGCTTATTTGGTCGGGCTTCTGCATGCGTGTAAGATTTGCGCCTTCTTTCGTACGTCCGATGCTCAATTGATCGGTACCCCAGACCATGAGGCGCTTGCTCGGCGCACAGCTGGAGCCGTGCAGACGCAGTCGGACGAAGCTAGATGCCCTCTCCAGCTAGCTGTGGCGCCGCCCAACGTTCATGCGGCTAACACCTCGTGCAGTGTCCAAGCCGGGCCAGTTTCCAATGCTGCGGGATCGTGGCACTGAACGCCATGAGCGGAGGCTGCGAAGGACGCGCCGGAACCGCGTACTTTAGACGTCGCTGCTCGCCCGAGAGCTGGCCGGAACCCTTTTTCATGATCGTGTAGAAACTCGACCTCCGTCGGCGCCAACCGCCAACACCAACACTACCAGGTTCCCCGCAGCCCCTCTATCATATGCTCACACTACAACGACAGTGGATGAGCTTCTACTTGTGTCGTTTCGGAGAACCTTGCACGCGCAGGCCCGCCGACCCGCGACGCCGCCGCGCCTCTCCCGATCACGATCTCAAGCACCCAAGTACACAGGCAACCACTCTGGCTCTCGCCGACCCACACATATAGGACGCCATGCCGTCCTCGGGGCCAGCTCACGCATCGGCTCCGACCGCAGACTTCCAGTCGCCCTTCCAGTCGCCCAACGCCATTCCCCCGCGCACATCCTCGCACGGCATCGCCAACGGCGTCAAGCACCGCAGCTCTGTCCTGCGTCCGCTTTCTGAGATCGACTGGATCAGCCAGAGCAAAAAGAGCAAACTGCTCCACGAGAACCAGACCCCAAATCAAGACCAACACCAGCTTCCGGCGCGACCTGTAGATACACACAATACCATGGGCGGGGAGGACGAGAAGCCTGCGGCGCAGCAGGCCCCCCACCCGCTTGCGCCGCCGCAACCGCCGCTCGAACCGTCCAGAGACATCGGCCACGACCTGATCTACGGGCCGCGCAGAGGTTGGTCAGAGGAGAACGAGCGGATACTGTTGGGCCCGTACGACTACCTTGTCGGACACCCCGGCAAGGACATTCGCAGCCAGTGCATCGCCGCGTTCAACAAGTGGCTGAAAGTGCCTGCAGAGCGCCTAGAAGTGATCACGCGCGTGGTGGGCATGCTGCACACGGCGTCGCTACTGTACGTTTCCCGCCCACTCCCCGCCCTTCTTTCCAATAGGCCATGCTAACACACGCCCAGCGTCGACGACGTCGAAGACTCCTCCGTCCTCCGCCGCGGCATCCCGGTTGCAAACTCCATCTTCGGCGTCGCGCAAACCATAAACAGCGCGAACTATGTCTACTTCCTCGCCCTCTCCGACCTCCTCGCGCTCCAAAACCCGCACCTCATCCAGATCTACTCGCAAGAACTCCTCAACCTCCACCGCGGGCAGGGCATGGAGCTCCACTGGCGCGACTCGCTAACGTGCCCCTCGGAGCCCGCGTATCTCGAAATGGTCGACAACAAGACCGGCGGCCTATTCCGCCTCGCCATCAAACTCATGCAAGCCGAGTCCACGCTCACGACAGAAATCGACTGCGCGCCCCTGGTCAGCACGATCGGGCTCTTGTTCCAGATCCTGGACGACCACCTCAATCTGAGCACCACCTCGGAATATCAGAGTCTAAAGGGCATGTGCGAGGACCTGACTGAGGGGAAATTCAGCTTCCCCGTCATCCACGCCATCCACGCTGACCCGTCCAACCGCGTCATCTACAACATCTTGAAACAAAAGACGGAAGATGACGAGGTGAAGCGGTATGCGGTGCGGTATTTGGAGCAGAAGGGCAGCTTTGAGTATAGCAAGGGTGTGATCGATGGGCTGAGGGGGAAGGCCGAGGGTTTGATTGCGGAAATTGAGGCGAAGGTTGGTGAGGAGGCGAGGGAAGGGGCCGAGGGGTTGCGGAGGTTGCTTGCGAGGTTGGTGGTAAGGTGATAGGTTGTCTTGCGCGACGAGAGCGTATGTGGCGCCGATATGACGGAATGACTTTGCATGCATGGAGGATGTGTAAACAATACCTAATAGATATCCTTGATACCCTGTGCGCATATTCACTGCATGTTCAAGGAACTCAGGCTTTGTGCAAATATTTGATAATGTATTCATAACAACATGTTCCGTTGAAACGCTATAATGTTCCCCATGAAGATACTCTCCACACCATGCTCGTCGTAATGTCATGTCGTCGTATTGCCGGCCGTGTTCGTGCAGGCCTTTGAATGTCCGTGATAATGCTGCAGCCGAATAAGTCCTCTCCGTCTCAAAGATGAATCATTGCGTCCCTCTGAACGGAGGCATGTTCACTCTCTTCTCAATCTGGCGAATCGAATCCGTGCTAGTTGACTCTGTCATCCACTCGCTCAACCTCTAATCCTCTCCATTCTCGCGTTCAGCAACTTGCTCAGCTCCTTGCGAAACCCCTCAATCTGATCGTACTCCTTGAAGAATGGCCTTGCCCGGTTTCCCCACCTCCGACGCCTCCCCCAGTAGAAAGAGTGAATCGTGCCCGAGTCCGGCACCATGATATCGATGATATCCAGCGCCGCGTCCGTCTTCCCCTTTGCTGCACCGACAGCCTCAAGCCACGGAAAGGCATCGCGGTAGAAGATGGTCGCTCCCGCCTTGGGGGCCTGGCTCCAGCTGAGGATGCCGTGGAAAGTGAAGCGCTCGAGGTTCGTGGCGGCGGAGAGCGCAGTGAAGCACGCGTGGTTGTAGGCTTTGTGCACGCCGCGGCCGAACCCCCATTCGCCGAGCGTGATGTTCTTCAGGTAGCCTGCTGCACGGGGACCAAGGTCGACAAGGAAGGAGTGCAGGGCGAGCGTGTCTTCCACGAAGAATTGATGGGCGTAGAGGATAGGCCGGGCTTCTATGTTTATCTGCTTGCAGACGGCGAGGAGAGCGGGGGCGAATGGGCGGAAGGAGTCGCATGGCGGGTCACGGTGAAAGGTTCTGGCTTTTTCGTCGTCTGAGAAATTGCCATCGTCTAGTTGCATGGAACTTCGTGGCAAAGGTGGATCTGCGGCCGGACCAAGGAAGGACCGCTCGCTACCCCTGCATACGGTGCGGCGGAACTTTTGGGTGGTGGAGAAGAGGTAGATGCCAGCTGGGTCGTGAAGACAATAGGAGTAGATCTCGTTCCTGATTTCGGCGGGCAGTCTGAGGAAAGGGAAGATCTTCTTCTTCGGGAGAGGCTTGGAGGATGTGATCTTGCGCTTCTGAGAGGTGTGAGCATACACGGGCGTCGTTGAACGTACGAATGACTGCAGGAGATGCAATGCACGAACCTTTGCTCGAGATGATTTCTTGACGTTGGCCTCCTCCTCCTGCTCTTCATCCACGTCGGGAATATCGGGCACCTCATCGTCGCTGGCAGGCTCCTCGTAGTAGTTGACCTGGGCCCTCTTGCGCTTCGAGGCACGAACTTCCGGCGTGGTGGCTTCGGCCATGGTGAAGTTGGTGCAGAAGTGGGAGATTGTGTATGTGGGAGGGCACGGTGGCCAAGTCTTGGTTAAAGAGAACATGGAGACGCGTCACTGCTTTGAGAAGGAACGCGAGAGAAACGCGCTCTCACGCGACTTCTTTATAGACATGTGGTACGAGCGCTGTCCGCCAAATGAGGTAGTGGCGATGCTTAGCGTAGGCAGCAACGAGGCGATGTAGCATCGCGTAAGGCATCAACACGGCAGTGCACGTCGTGTGGCGGCATGCTTACTCTTCACTGGACAATCAATACCAACTCGATATCACCCACGCTGAGCGATACGCACGTGTTATAGTCAATGTGTGGAATTGCGTGAGCTCAAGTGTTGGTACGCACGGAAAGATCTGCCGAAGCACTAACCAGTTCGAGCTTTCTTCCCACACAGTCCTTGACGTCTGAGAGCTCCAGAGTGATTTTGCATCAATTTACAGCCTCGTACTGGAATATCTTGGACACCCTGCGATCCTGTGATAAATATAATCTGTGTCTCTTCTTGGTGCTCACAACTCATGGCAGAGATCGAGCTTTTCACCGAAATCACGCTCGATCGACGCCCGGATGTCATCAAATTCTGGCCACACAACGACCAGTATGCGGTAGTCGGTACATACACGCTACTAGAGGATGGGCCTCCTGAAAAAGAGGAGCCAGTCAGCCAGCAAAGGGTTGGTAGCCTGAACCTTATACAAGTCAAAGACGACAGAATGTAAGTCTCCGGACATAGTGCGATTAGGATCACTCCAGTGCGAGAGGTTTATAGCCCCGTCTATTTTTTGAGAACGAATCTTGAACTTGAAAATTACAAGTATCATAGTCGTTACTCTCACCATTTTTGAGCGCTAACGAAACACAGCACCATTATTCAATCATTACAAACGCCATTTGGCGTCTACGACCTCCACTTTGCACCCATTGAAGAGATTCGAAATGGCAAAGAAAATCCAGGGTCGTTTGCCGTGGCCTCTTCCACTGGCTCAGTCGCTCTTTACCGGCTGGTTCCCAGCGAACAAGATGATGCTACCTTTCCTCACCCAAAGATCTGGCACACGTACACTGTCCAGTACTTTTCTGCAGACATACTTATCACGTCGTTGGATTGGCGCCGCCACGATCTCGTCGCGATGACACTGTCAAGCGGACAAGTATGCCTTGGAAAAGTGCGCGATCCAAGTGTGAATCCTATCGCCTCTGTCAAGCTGATGCAGCACGATTTCCAGGCCTGGCATTGTTCATTTTTAGTTTCAAAAGATGTATCTGAGACGGGGCTCGGGCTCCTAAGCGGGGGAGACGACGCTACGCTGCGATTTACTCCGGTTGAAGCTGATCATATTCTTGATCTGGGACTTGTGGATAGCGAAACGAACTCACTGCCGGCTATACCATGGGTAGACCGAAAAATACACCAGGCCGGGGTTACTGCATTGATGCCGATTTTAAGCAGTTCTACTGGCCATCTAGTCGTTACGGGAAGCTACGATGACCATATCAGGCTTTTATATATTCCTAGTATTGGACGGCGAGAAGTGCTTGCAGAGGAATATCTTGAGGGCGGCGTCTTTCGGATCAAACTTGCGACACAACTTCGCGAAAGCAACTCAGGCTTGAGCGAGATTGAACAGAGTTATGGTCTCATCGTAAGTTGTATGCAGGCAGGCGCTCGCATAGTCAATCTTACCAAGACTGGAGGGGAATGGCGCTTCAATGTCAAGGCAAAGTTCGAGAAGAACGCAGGCACCTTACTTTATGCGAGCGACTGTCAATCCGTAGGTGCGGATGGCAGGCGCATCATTGTGTCTACAAGCTTTGAGGACCGCAAGCTATACCTCTGGAAAGCGGACATCTCCCCATGAAAGAGAAACCCCATAGCTGTTACCTAAAATTGAATGCTTCGATTATGACGTGATTCGATTCCGCTGTTGAATAACTTAACGAGTGGTGTGGTACCATTAGGGAAGTCACCCTAGCCAACAGTAAACAGTCGCGGCTTCTACTCTCAATGCACCAATGTTTTTACTCACACCTCAGCACTCAATTTTCTCTGTTCCCAGACACACGCGCTCACAATGGCTCGCGGCCGAAAAAGGCGTACACCAAAGCCAACAGCTGCCCCCACCGCAGCTGACCCTGGTCGCGGCAACAACTACAAGAAATAAAAAAGGTGTGTCCAGAAGCGCAAGGAGCTGAATATCGAGAATCAACCAAAAGAACGCCGCACTCTTCGCAGCCCTGTACGTAAAGCTCTCCGGAAGCAGACGGGTGCGAGTCACGTCCACCCGTGGGTGCGCAAGAACGCGGCGTATCGATTCCAAAACCGAGAATACCCCAGCGCATCTCTTTTCGGCTTGCCGAAAGAGTTGAGGCAAAGTATTCTGCATGTGTGCTACCTGCTTCCCGAGAACGATGAACCTCCGACAAGCTACTTTGCGAGGAACGACCGGCAGGCCAGATGGACAACGCTACGCAAAAGGTATGGGGAGCTGTGCTGTGTGAGTCCAGTGCTGCACGTCGATATGCAGTATGTCAGGATTCAATGGAAAGAAGAGCTACGAAAGGAAGAGGAAGCGAGGCAGGACCAACTGGTCAAGCATGACGTGATCGATCTTCCTGCCATAGAGTTAGGATATAGAAGCAAGGTACAGACGGCGAAGCAGAAAGTGGTCAAAGTGAAGCGAGGGAAGAAGCATAGAAAGAGGAGCAGGCCGCCCAGATGCTGGTATTGTGAGGAGAGACATCCAAAAGGAGGCATTACTACCTAAGAAGTCTACACAGCTCAAGTCGGCCGTCCGAATGCGAGCTTGGCCTGTCCTTTCTCAACGTTCCTCCCACCAGGCGGTCCCCCTCTGCCTCTAGATGGTTTCGAGGTCGGCGTATGCCTCGCAGCAGCCATCATATTCGGTACAGTACGCTCCTCCGCCCTCATTTCCTTCGATAGCTCCATCGCGAAATGATAGTCGTCGTGTTCCGCCTTTTCGCTCACAGGCAGACGCATATTACATTTGCTGCAGAAAAATGTGTCTAGTGATTCTTGATAATGTTTAGGTGGCCGAGGTGGATCGGGTTTACTCTGTTTTGGCAAGTGCGACTTTGGATCGTCGTGTGTCTGCGGTTGCGCAGAGGGAGGCGTACTGGATATATACAATTCGCGTTCCGGTATTGGAGTCGTCGGTTGCTCTTCCGACTCTTCAAGTGGCGGCGCACCAAATTCATCAGCGTCATCTTCTTCAACATCGTCTGTATCTTCTTCTCGCATCGATTTCTGACGTGCCATCAACACTGTCCTTGCTGCATCAAAATCCCGTTTCTTGTCACTGGGTGGACCGAAGAAGTTCTTTATGTTTCCTTTCGTTCTTCTTCGTTTCGCCAGCGGTTCTCCACCGCTCATTGTTGATCTCCCGCTCGACATCATCGCCTTCGCCTCGTCACCCCTCACGAGGAAGCCACCGATGCCCTTGTTATTCGTCACGCCATCTTCAAATCCGCTGACGCTGAGAGAGAGGTTTGCACACGGCCATGCCCGTCCATCGACTACCACCTGCGCCAGCAAATTCTTTGCCAGGTCAAGCAGCATAATCTCGCTCAGCGGCTTGCCCTGCGGAATAGCACTCGACCTACTCCTCGTCTGTGAGCCCTGTCGATGATGCAAATTGATAGTGCGTGGCCTCCTCTTGTTCTCCAGCACACCCTCTTCGACACAACGCGAGAAGATATCTGCGACAAAGATGCGCAACCACCGGACGCCCTGCTCGAAGGAGTTGATTGCAGGCCGGAACGACTTCGCAGACAACATGCTCTTGATCTGCGTACGGGGATTGACTTCGCTGTGATCTTCGCCGCGGATGGTGTTGTACAGCCAGGACCCAGTGTCGTCGCCCAGCCGCTTCAACTGATCGAGCGGCTGCCCCAACAACTCCTTGACCTTATCCGTGCCGAACATGGCGACTACCTCGTCGCCCAGCTTCCCGCCCAGCATACGTATCTTCGTGAACTTCATCTCGCCCAGAAAGTGGCCAATAGCGCGATTCCTGATTACAGTCTGCTGATTCGGCTTCTTATATCCCGACCCCAGCTTCGACAGCATCTTGTTCTTCGCCACTCCCCCCGAGCATGTATATCCAAGAGTATCAAACACCGCCTGCCGTACATCCCGCACGACCTCCGATGCAACCATCATAACCACATCGTCCCAGTCCGGATCGCATTCCTCGCCGTTCTCCTCACCGGTCTCCACGAGCGCATCCGCCTTCCAGTCCAGCACCGTCGTCGGCACCTTGGGCAGATACTCGCTGGGGTCATCGTACGGCGGGGGGCCTCTTAGCTCAGGAAACCGCTCCAGCAGCACGGAATGCACATGCGCGCTCAGATCCATGAACACCTCATCTATGCTCGCCTTCTCGACCCGCTGCAAGTCTTTTGGCAACACCGTCTTAATACACGCGAGAATCTTCCTACTCTCCTGGCGATACGGATCCAGACTGACCTTTCGCGTCGCAATCTCCTTGAACGCATCGGGACTGTACGTCCAGCTCTCCTCGCCCTCCTTCCACGTTGCCACGTGCTGCATTATTAGCTCGGGACACAACTTCAGTGCCTCGGTGCTCGTGACGTGTCTGTTAAGCCCGAACGCCCGCGCGGGGTAGTTTATCGCGATGAGGCCCTGCCACTGCTGGACGGCGAGGGGCTTGGAGGGGTCGAGGCCCAGGCGCACGGTCTCGCATTGCGCGTAGAAGGCGTCGAGGTCTACGTGGGCGATTACACGGAGGGGCGTCTGCGTTGAGTAGGATTTCAGCTGCTGCAGCTGCTTGAATGTGAAGCGGGATTTTGGGATGCGGCGGGGCGAGATGATGGAGAGGGAGGGCGAGGAGGCGAAGGCCGGCGCGGGGGAAGACATCGCGGGGTCGTTCTACGGCATGTTCGGGTTTCGTGGACGCGTGCAGGTATGCTGGGCTGAGGATGTGTTTGCGGTGGGTCGGCGCGTGGCGCGTGTTCCCGCGGTCCCGTGCTGCGCGTCATTCACCCCGATTGCACTTTACCCGTCTAGGCACTTGGAGATCGGTTTCGACGCGAAACGCACGACCAACCACCTCTGAAGTCCCGACATCCAAATCATACTAGTGATTCATGGAACGAGGTGTATTTTGAAAACTACACTTCTCCATATTGTCCACTCCGTGTCGTCATCGATTTGAACGTCCTAGCCTATGTCGTAGAAGAAAGTAGACCCAAGGTACATGTCCAGCACAAGCTACACCTTTTCGCTTCCACGTTATACAAAAGTTACTCTTCCCACAAACACATCTGCCTGCCATACACACCCTCAACCTGTCTCCAACCCACGCACACCGCATCCTACCATGTCCACCTTCTCCTCCGTCCTTCGCCCAACCCTCTTCTCTACCCTCTGTAACGCCATCTTCCTCGGCGGCGCCACTTACCACCTCAGCACGCGCATCGACCGCAACCTCGAAGAGCAGGAAGCCCGGCTGGACGAAATCGAGGGGACGCTGCGCGGCCACATTGGCTTGATTGAGGACGCGCTGGATCGGATCGAGGGGAAAGCGAATCGAGGGAGGCAGGAGGAGTTGTATGGGAAGAGGGGCAGGGATGAGAAAGAGCAAAAGGGGAAGAAGGAGTGATCGGGGAGAAATATGCTGTGGTGTCAACATCTCAAGGCACTCTACACATCTGTCTACCAGACTCGGGACTCACGCGCTCACCTCGCATCCCTCACCTTCTACAGCGCACCTCGGGACAGACTTGCCTATTCTTGCCACCGTCTTCACAGCTCGTATCACGCCCAACGTCCCGGACGCCCTCGCGGCCCGGCACGACACCGGCCCGCCCTGCCCTCTCCTCCTCGCCGATCTGCACGTACGCCCGAATCCAAAATTACTCCGAGAAGCATCTACGCCAGCACGCATACACGCAGGCTTTCGCGCGAGCAGGCTCAGCAAGCGAGGCCGTGTATGTGCATGCCAGGGCCGGAGGATCCAGGGCGCTGGGCGCTAGCATGTGAACGTGCTTAGGTTTGCTTGGTGGCGTGCTCATGCATAATGTGGGAGGGGTGCGGAGTACTTATTTGTCGGTACCGCGCCGCAATTTACGACGTATATACGTAAATGACTGCTCGGTGCGAGTACCTGAATCTAGGCATGCCCGAGAGTTTCTTCTGAGTATACGTGAGGCTACATGTAAGTGACGCTTGCAATGCATACATATTGCACCTGAGGATCTTCCTGTCCACCCATGCATTCGATGTCGCGCTCGCATTGCAGCTCATGCGCGTCATCCTCGCGCGCATTGGTCGCTCGAGAGAATCTGACCAGTGAAGCGCGCAGCAACGCTGTGTGGATGGGCTGTCTACCCGCAGAGTAAGTAGATTGGTGCTTTGGTACGCTGCGGTGCTGCTTCATCGTGCAGGGTCCGGCGCACTGGGAAATAGATACGGGTGCAGATTTTGCGCCGGGCACGTAAGCGGGTGTTGGTGGTATTGGCTTCAAAACAAGAATCATCTGCTGATATTGCGACCTGATGACTGATGCGAGTAAATGAAAGCGTGGGGTGTATTGGCAGAACGTGGGAGAAGTGGAATATCCTGTGGTACGTACTCCCAACAAGAAAAAGTATTTCATCTGTGGTTGGGACTGTTAGATTGCGGCGGCTCGAGGTTGGGCATCAGTCAGCTGAATGGGGAAATGGAAGACTGGAAGACCGTAACTGGTTAATCATGCGAGGTGGAGATTTCCTTGGAGGACATGTATACGCGACTGGAGATATGCAGTCTGATTCGAGCTGAGCATGTTGCCCACCCCCGTCCGCTATGCAAAACAACAGATGGCCATCCGGTCGTAAAACATCTCCTTCGTGGTAAATCGTACGAGATCAAGGTATATACATGCGTAGATGCGAAACGCTCATCCGACGTGATGCAATCAAAACGCTCCGGTTACGTAAATAACGAAAGGGGTGAGAAGCCCAGGCAAAAAGAAAATCGCGTCCATTCCGGTAGGACTCCTTCTGCGGGTGGATAAAGACGTTCGTGGCCTTGTAAATCCATGTCCTTGCTATGTGGCTTTCCTGGCAGTTTGACACACCTCGCTGGACAACGTACATTAAAAGTTGTTGGCGGAACTCCGGCTCCACAGGAAGAGACATATGCTGGCTCCCGTTTAGAATCTCAGGATCGACTAAAACAGTTAACTCCTTGGCCAGCTTCACCACGAGCCCACTCTAACCGGCCATTTTTGGGAACGTAATCGAAAATCAAACACTTGGAATGAAAAGGCGGCCATTAAAAGGGGACAGCCAGACTCCAGACTCATGTCGCGCAAAATGGTAGGGGTATCTCCGGACCAGTATAATAGCGGAGGAACAGACTGAGTACCTGGCGGCCATGGGAAATCTACCTCCGGCACAATGGTATGAAATGGCAATCCGCGGAAGATGGATGTGTCCAGGACTTACTAACCTCTCCGGCGGCCAGCCGGTGGTGGCTGTGGTTGTTGAGGTTGTTGAGATAGAGGGTATTCTGGTGTTTCTGTGGTCAGCCTTGAGCAGGAACCACACAGCAACTTTACTTACGTCGGCCATCGGATGCAATGTAGTAACCTGGCGCGGCAACGACACTGGCATGGCTTAGTGATAATCCGAATAGTGTGGTTCGAAGTAACCAAAATACCTTGGAGTAGCATGCGCGTACTGTTGTGTCGGAGCGCGTCCGTACGGATCCTGGACAGGAGGCTGGGAATATGAGTACGACTGCGGTGCAGGTGTGGATGCATAGGATGCGTGCTGGCCATAGTAAGCAGACTGAGGGTCCGTCCGAGGCTGCGCGGGATGCGCTGAGTGCGGCGGAGCCTGGTAGCCATGTGAACCATACGGAGCCGTGGGAGTAGTAGTATAATGTGGAGATTCACTGTTTCCATACGTGGGCGTGGAGTAGCTCGGTTTTGAAGGGGCAGCATAGGAATCTGAAGTGGTAGGGCCGTGGTACTGGCGCGAAGCATGGATGGTGGAATCCTGATATGCCACTACAGAAGCGTCAGGGTGTCTGGTCACCTTTTTATCACCAATGTGAGGAGTACCTCCACCGCGTCCGCGGTCTTTCTCAGCCTGCCAACGCTGCGAGTCTGATCGCAAGTCCTGGATCATTTGCTGTCGCCACTGTCAGCCGGGGGTCGAAAGTCTTTGCGTCTCGCGCGCGACGTACCGATGTGAGAGTCCGGTAGGCAGTGATCCAATATCCTGAGCGACCCTGCTTAGCCTGTCAGTACTGTGGACTCGCAAAGGCGGCACGTGAATGGAGGGGCGCACCTCATATTCGCCAGTGCCTGTGCCGGGCCTGACGAGGGCGTCGGGGCCGAGGTAACGCTGGATGTCGGCGGTGATGACTTCGCGAGCGATGCCCTCACCGGGGACGAACCACTGGTTCATGCGCGACGACATGGTGAGCAGGACACAAACGTATGTGGGTGGGAGAATGAGAAAGAGGACACTGATGTCAGTGTCGAGGGCCAAGCAAGGCTGGCGCTAGAAGCGGGCAACGAGGGGCTCCAGGCTCCGAATGATAACGGTCCAACACCAAAAGCGTCTACACGGAAGAAGGTAGACTGGTGGAATGGCCGCGGACTGGGTGTCAGCGGGAGAGCAGTCCAGAATGGTTGGGGTTCAGCAGGATCAGGCAGATGCGGGGGGTGGACCAATATACGGCACTTGGGCTACGGCTCCCAGGCGCGGGCTGTAGGCGTGCTGCGTGATGCTGGCGGCGACCTCTTTGGGGGCAGCCGGGGGCAGGGGAGGCGACGAGGGTGGCAGCTGTGCTGAGTCCTGGGATGGGATGGGTCCTCGGAGGGTTGCAGCTCGGTCGGCTCAGCTGTCAAGGGCAGGTACCTCACAAGTCACACTGGGTCGGGTGCGCAAGCAACACTGCAGGAATACGCGGTCGGACAGCGGCGCGGACGACAGGAAGGATACCTGCTCACGGCGCGCTGAGGGTGTGCGGCTCTTTAGAGAGCAGGCGCGGGCACAGCGGGGAGTGGAGGCTGCCTCAGACGAGGCGCTTCGATTGGCGGGGGGGGCTGCACGTCAATCGGTCGGGCAGCAAGCTGGGGCCGATGCGCAAGTCACACTGCGACTTGGGTGCTGCGTGCTGTGCAAGGCGGCACTGGAGGCTCTGGGTCAAGAGGTCGCGATGGCGACGGCGACGGCGACGGCGGCAGTGGACGAGGAGGGGAAGCAGGAATTCGGCATCAGAGCGGCGGGCGCTGCCATGTATTTGACGGGCAGGCGCGGCCCAGCGAGCGCCAGGAACCCGACGAGCCAGCGTCTGGCCGGCTTGGGTTGCTACCGCGAGGCTCGCCGTGTGGAGACGTCGGTCGTCTGCAGTGGCGTCAGTTGGGCAGCGATGGAGCCCAGCGCTGCGGCGCTCCGCCAGCTTCGCGTCACCGGTCGTCGAGCGCCAGTCAGCGGCTTCGTCGGCACACGTCCGCCCTCGGCCTGTGGCTATCGCACAATATTATCGCCATGGGACCGCCGTCGACCGCGTCCATCTCACTGCCCTCACCGACTCCCGCCAGCGCGCACCGGCGACCCTGAGCGCAGACTTTGCACGTCCCGGCCACCGCTAGCCCCGCTGCGCATTTGGGCACGACTGCATGCGGCGAACGGCGACAGAGCTGCTGAGAGCGCGGTGGGTCGACGTGGTGGAAGTGGAAGAAAATGGGTCGCAGTAGCCTTCCCCCACCGCAGGCTCCATCCTCGAACGCCTGCCGCCGAACCACTCACTGCTGCCCGCCACCCTAGAAACATCTGTCGTGGCCCCTCCCAATTAGCTCACACATCGGCCTGCTGCAGCGCGCTGCGATGCATCCCCGTCCAGCCCGGAGACAGACGCTTCGCCCGGCCTCAGGCACCAAGCACGCGTCGTGGCACCGCGATGCTGCCACTCTCCATTGCTCGCATCACGCTGTGCCCAAGCTCGGACAGCAAAAACTACTCTGAATTGCATCTGCGCTACCCTGCGCCCTGTCCAATCGCCTGGCCAGGCCAGCACGCATGCACAGTATCACAGCTTTGTGCCACCCTTCGCCGCGTTCTTCTCAACAGCCGTCATCTTGAAGCCTGTGCGCGGTGCATGTATGCGCAAGCCTAGAGCTCCCTCCGCCATGATCGTCACCTCGTCTCGAGCTAAGGCAACTAGCCGTCCCGCGTCGCGATGTTCGCTGCCCCAGTCCGAAGGGTACATCTCCACAAGCGTGCCGCGCTCGACTTCCTGGGGGTCGTGTTTGTCGACTACATCTTCAGCAGTCGCCTGCTGACTCTCTTTGAACGTCTTCATGTAGCTAACTGCCTCGTCTCCATTCAAGGGAACTGGTTCTGAACAAGACGCGGCAGCATCTTTGAGGGCATGCTGAAAACGCGATATCCAGGCATACACCTTGGGAAACAATTCCTCCGACACGACATGGGACGGCATGTTCATGCTGGTTGCCCAATCGACTGGCCAGATTGCTGCGTTTCGAGGTTAGCCTGGTGCCGGATGACGCTTTCCTGCTTCAATCCACCGCCTTTCCGAACGTCCGTCAAAGAGCCCATGCCCAATGCCCGTCCGAGTCTAGCCTCGCTGCCCGATATCTCTCAATATGAAAACGGCCATCCTTGCCCGGCGACCGTTGTACCACAGTCACCCCGTGGGCAAAGATGATGATCGACCGTTGAATCAATGGAGGATAGATCTCACCTTGTATATCCGCCAACGAAGGCCGCTCGGTCCCAAGAACCCAATTTCGCCCATCGGCCAGAATCGTCGTTTCCAGCAAGTCGAACAAATTCCGAACGAATACCAGACTCTCCGGTCGACCTTCATCCAGCTCGTCGGGTGTCCAATTTCTGCCCAAGAACCCCTTCCTATCTTTAGCAAACGAAGGGTCTTTGAGAAACGCCGATGGCACCAGTCCTGCGGTTTGTTGGAAAACCGGCCCTTCGACCATGTACTTATCCAACAGCTTCTCTATGAACTGCTGTTCCGGTTTGTCACTGCCCAGCTTACCATCCGGGAACTTCTTCTCCAGCGTCCGCAGAATGAGCCTCGTGTCGAGATACACATCTCGACCAATCGCCAGAATAGGTATTCGCCGATACTTGACGCCCAACTTCTCGAGATCTGTGCGCGGCATCATGACTGGTTGTTCCTGGAGCAACTCCGTTAGCCCGCCCAATGATACCATCCGCAAACCTGCTTACTTACCACGAGGGCATATTCGATTGCCCGCAGCTGCAGGTACCACTGTATCCTCCTCCCGAAGGGCGAGGACGGGTAGTTGAACAGCACGATGTCATTGGGCACAACTGTCGATCCCATTTTACTTTGTGCAGGTGTACGAATGCGGCCACCGTGTGTAGGGTCCAGACTCCGGGGTCTCGTGTCATTTGAAACAGGCACTGTAGACGAGCTACTTTTGTAGTATAGATACCGGTCCATGACGTATGCGGCCGCGGACCTTCTCCGACCCCACTTGGATGGGCGATCGACCCTCGGATTGTTCGTGTCATGCTAGCCAACTCCATGCCGAGCGCCGTGTTGACAGGTCGAGTATCGTGATACCCTAGGTAGGCAATGCGTAGGACAAATGTCTCTAGACCGTCGATTGCACTACTTTCATCACTGTTGGCCCTACCTGTAGTATTGCGAACTGCGGGGATTACTAGTACAGCGAATATTGTTTGCCCATCATGACACGAACGTTGCTGCCTTGGTTGGAGCGCACCTTCCGTGTATTGTGATGTAGGCGAGTGCTCTCCCGACATCGACAGCTGCGCTAGATTTGAGTAGTGCGCCTACCCATCCAACGTCGTCCATGCTCTCGCTCCTCACCAAACGAACATCAGCACGCCCTCTCTCTCCTTGTGGGTATTTCCACAACCTGCACAAGACGCCTTCTTCGAGCCCAGGAACCCCGCATCAGCCTGTCGCTCAATGGTCGTTTCTCTGTTCCAAACGAAGGATGGCCAGTAATAGAACCTTGAGAAGGAAGCAGCCGACCCGAAAGTGCACTTACAGTCACGTCACACCAGACACGTTCCATCCACAAATGAGATATCACGGTCATTCACTTGCATTGATTGGTCGTGGTACACTGGTGAGTTATAGGTTGATCCTGAACGTGGCACCCTCTGGCCATGGTTTGGTACAGTCTTTAGACTTCCCTCGTAGGTCTCCCGACACGTAAAGCCCGCTCGGGATCTAGAGAAGAGGGACGATGATCATCTCATCTCGAGAGCGTAGATCCTTCAAGAGCAGGAAATTTGTCATCGCACTCTGGCATTTGGCTCTAAAAAAAATGATGTGGAAATGCTGAGGGATGTGCCTGCTACAGGTGGGTCTGTCGCTTCACCTTCTAGTACTGCTGGTAATTTGGACGGCCCCGCCCGTGTTGTCGGGTGCGAGAGATGTGCGAGGCCGAAGTCACATTGGTGCAGAGTAGGTATGCGTACAGCCAACGATCAGAGTAAGGTCGAGATTGCGAGAGCGTCGATGGGCAGAAAGATCAGAGACTATGGCGAATGCCGTCGACTGAGCGATTTCCCACTTATTGCACAATTCGACAGACAATCCCAATTTCGACGGTCAATACAATACGACAGGATTGGACGCCCCAGAGCGAGGAATTACCAAGCACATCAAAATCGCTTCAAAGCACGTGGACACAGTCACGTATAACACACGAATGCTAGTGAGTACTCAAGACGTCAGTACAGTTTCGTATGTTCTCGGCCGAGGCATCGGAGGACTCATTTTGCAAAGGTAGAGGGTGGTGGAGCAGCGAAGGTCGAGGTCGTCAGCGTAATGTTGATGCAATATTAAAGATTCAGCAGCGTAGTATGAGGTCTATGGTGAGAGGTTGCCGATATTTGATTTCTTGAGAACCAACATGAAACTTGCTTTTAGTCAGCGTCTCACAGCTATTGTCAGTATTTCGTATGGAAACAGTGCCAAGTTTAGGAAGCCGCCCACGGTCGTTCGAGCGGTACTCATCGCTTCGTATCTACCATATCATCATCCTAAGAAGCCACCATCCAACGCCACCGCCCACCTACCCCTCAAGTGTATTCCTCCTCACCTTGTCCTTCCTTGGATCCCGCCTCCCCATCGTGACCTCCAACGCTTGCACTAACCCCTTCTCGTCGTACCTCGTGAAACCCTCGCCCTCCCCGCGCCTCCCATATACCTTGATCGTCTCGATCCCAATCTGCTTCAACGCCTCCCGCTCCACCGCCGGCGTTCCTGGCCCCGTCAAATGCACCACGTGCGTGACATAATTGCAATACTCTTCTTTCCCGACCTCCCGGGATGGCGAGATGGACTGACTCTCCGCACACGCCTTGGCTATCGCACCGACAAAGTCGAGCGCCGAGAAGGGGGAGCTGGAAGGCCCCGTCTCGCGGTCGTTTGTGCTATTCAGAATCAGGATTTTATACTTGATGCTGGGATTCGCAACCGCGGCTCCCACGCCCTTTAGTATCAGCGACGGAATCAGCGACGTATACAGTGAGCCGATGCTGTATATTATCGCCTGTGCCTGTCCTAGCGCCGCCAACACGGCTGGATTCGCAGCCAACCGGATTTCCTGGCCGTAGGGATTGATGTACCACAGGCGCTCGATGCGCGCGGGGAGGTCGTCCTCGTCAGTTTTGCTGAAGTTGATGTATTGTTTGCGGAGGGTGGGGAGGGTGCCGGGGAGATTGGCGTCTTCGATGAGGTCATGGCGCTCTGTGTCTTCGTGGGCGGTGAGGGGGGTAGTGTCGAGCGCCGTGGTTTCGGAGGGGTGCGAGATGGAGTTTTGGCCGGTGATGATGGTGCCGTTGGCGAGGCCGGCGGAGATGTGGTGCGTGAAGTTTGTGTTTATGGCGGGCAGAACGGAGGTGTGGTTGGGGACGGAGCAGATGCTGGAGAGGAGATAGATTGCGGATTCGAAGGAGCCGGTGAAGAGACGAGCGCTGGGTTGATCAAATATCAATGAAGTTGTCTTGAAAGAAGGCATGGGGAATGGCTCACCCTGTCAGAAACAGATTCCCGATACTCGCACCAGAAAAGTCAAACGTCGAGCTCGGTCGCATCCGCTTCAGGATCTCGAAATTGACCGAGTTGAGGATCGCGCGCATGAGCTCCTTTTTGGCTGTGGAGATGTTGGTCCAGAGGCTGTGGCTTGCGTCCACGATTTGCATCCATTCCTGCCGGGCGGCGCCTTGGTCTTTTGGCAGGCGGTGGTTGAAGAAGATCTTGATGGCGGCTTTCTCGCTGTCGTCGTGGTCGGGGTCGTCAGGAATCAGGCGCACGAGACGACCTGGGGATATGGGTCAGTACCACAACAAGGAGATTGCACGATGCCACGTACTGCGGACATCGCCGATTCCTAGACCATGTCAGCAATAGGATTTTATTTTATCTTGGAAATGGCCTACCTGGTCCTCCAAACACCCTTATCAACTCAGACGAACTACCGCCATTGTCGCTGATTGGGATCACATAGCTCAGCTGGCACTTCTTGTCCTCTCTGACAGCCTTAAATACATCGACGAGGTTATTCGCAGCGCTTCCACCGGAGAAGACGACGATGCCTTTAGGCTTGTTGCTGGCCATGGTTCTGATTGGAGGAGGTGGAGGAGTAGCAAGGTCGGCTTGGCAGGCACGACACAGTAGTGACGTATCTTGAAGCTAGGTCGACCACGAAGGCCACATACCGGCGGCATATATATCAGGTCATTTTGAGGTGGACACAGTGGCTTCTTGGTAACACGCAAACGCTAAAGGTGTCTGTTCACAATGGGAGATGATTTGAGGCTGGAGAAGGAGTCATCCCTCTGGCAGAATTTCCAGATCTGGACAGCTCCCGCTTTCCACATGGAGCATGCCGGTCATAGTAGCTGGCCATCCCCAGAATCGAACGTGACCCTCACAGTGACTTGAAGCATGCATAGTTCAATTTGGGTGATACTTTTGGTGCATTGAGGAATTTGTACACAGTGAGTCCTCGGCTCAAGGAGTCGTAAAGTACATTAACGCCCACTATCACTTGCCGCAAAACGCGTACTCGTCCTCCGCCAGCGTCTCCTCGCAGTTGCAGCGTAAATAGCCCAGCCGTACACGGCGGGACGCGTATCAGGGCGAAGACGACCCTCAAGCTCTCGTCCAGTCCCCACGTTCAGCTTTCGACATGCTGGGTGTCTACGCCTCCTGGGCCGCAGCCTCCTCGCGCTCCTTCCTCCGCGCGCGCTTCTCGAGCAGGGCGTCTCGTCGGTCGGCCAGGACCCTCCACTGTCGCTGCTCGACGCCCATGAGCCAGTATCCAAAGCTGCCGCCGATGCCTGCGAAAACGGGGTAGACCCAGAGGGATTCACGGTTGAAGAGGGGGCGCATCTCAATGCCGAGCTGCCACAGCCTCACGCCGACACCTGCATTGTGTCAGTGGTAACTCGAGGTGGCATCCGGAGGGGTGGAGAGAGGCTCACCGAATCCGCCCCAGAAGAGCACCTTGTGGACCATTGCGGGCGATTTGGAGCTTGCACGTGTGCGTAGGGTGACGTGGTGGCTGCAATTGGGGGGTTGCAGATGCTATCGCGATAGCTCAGGGGCGAGGGGTTGTGGTGTTGTGCGGTCGCGTTCTGTTCGCCCAGCCGGGATCTGAGGCCTGTTCGCGGCGGAGCTCGAGGTTGCAAGCCGCCGGTGTATGTCACGTGTGCCAAGACGCAGGGGGGCGCAATGCGCCATCACTTCACCTTCGCGTTTTGCGATGCAACTGCTTGGAAACATGGCGTTCGCAGCGCCCGTTATATGACTGCGCCTACAGACGCCCGCGTAGCTCTGCTAACTCTGTGCGCGACCAAACACTGCGCTGCGAGCTGCACCTTGCCATTCCGTGTCTCGCACACTTGCATCGTGCGCGCCTACAACTCAACCGCAAGCCGCCCTTCGCTGCACCTTCGCACCCACCACTCGCTATGGCCGACGTAAGCCGCAAACGCGCGCTGGACGGCGACGCTGCGCATCGCCCCTACAAAAAACCAAAGACCTCCGAGCTTCCCCTAGAGCAGTCCAAGCGCGCTGCCATCGACCAACTCGTGCACACCTTCCGCAAGAAGGGCGAGTTCGACAGTATTCGCAATGCCGTTCGCGCGCAGTTTGAGGCCAGCGTGAGTCCGCTCTGTAATGTATTTTACCGCTTGCAGTCGTTGAATTGGAACAGCCGGCGAAAGCCAACCTCCTGGAATCTCTCGCAGACCTGGTCGATCGCGAAACCGATAAGAATCCCTCGTTGCTGTCAAGAGATCCGAACATGGCAGCGGGACTAATCGAAGGCGCCGGAGAGCGCAGCGACATATACAAAGCAGCACGCGACGCCATCGAAGAAATGGTCAACAACCTCATAGAATCCCAAGGCCGCGACAAGATGCGCGAGTATCGTGTCGCTGAAGTCGGCGAAGAAGTTGCTGCCGAGGAAGAGCAGCGGGGGAGCAAGAGCGAGGAGGAGTGGGCTCGTGAGGCAGAGCAGAGGCGAAGCGAGCGCGAAGCTGTGAGGGAGAAGGAGATGGAGGAGGAGCGCGCGCGTGAGAAGGAAGAGAAGGCGAGGAAAGAGGAGCGCCGTCGTCGCGAGCGGGAAGAGGACGAGGCTCGTGCAAAAGAACGCCAAGAACGTGCGGAGAAGAGGCGCCAGGAGGAAGAGGAGCGTCGACGCCTAGACCGCGAGCGCATTGAACGTGAGAAGGAAGAAGAGAAGCAAAACAGGGAGAAGGAGGAAGCCGAGCGTGCTGCCCGCCTTAAGAGGATCCGGGAGGAGGACCGAGAACGCGAACGGAAGTTCGAGGAGGAACGGCAACGCGAGCGCGAACGAGAGCGCGAACGAGAGCGCGACCGCGACCGGGACCGGGACCGCCGTCGTGATAGCCGACGCGAGCACCGCCGCGGCAGTCGAGCACGCAGCAGGACTCCCGATCGGCGTAGAGACCGCTCGAGGGATCGCGATGACGACCGCGCGAGGACCAGACGAAGGTCGCGCACAAGGTCACCCGAGCCTATCAAAGATGTCAAACTAGAGGACGTCAAAGTCGAGGTTGACGATGATTTGGCTCTCAAAGCTTTGCTCCAGGAAACTGAGGAAATGAAGAAATCCAAGTCCCGTGGCCCTTTTCTCTCCCGCCGTTCGGTATCACTTGAGCCTCCACTACGGAAAGCACGCCCACCAAAGTCGTTGGTGCCCGAGGACCCAATCGCCGCTAGGCTGGCCGCGATCGAAGGCAAGTCACACTCGCCAGCAACAAAACTGCACACCAAAGCGGAAGACAGGTCTGATGCTTCGCCAGCTCTACCGACTACTCCGAAAGACCACGGTACTCCTATGGAGGAAGGACTCATTCTCAAGTCAACCGAGTCGGAAGCCAAATCACGATGGGACCGACCACCTGATAGCAAGCACGACAAATACCGGGGCCGCTCGCGCTCTCGCAGCATCGCTCGTAGTGTGAGCATACGCAAGCACAGCCGAAGTCGCTCACGCGGAAGCCGTGTCGACAGACGCGCCTCCCTCATTGAGGACGATCGCCGCTCAAAACGCGATGACGACAAACGTTCCTCCCGACCCCGCGACGACAGCAGACGCCGTGGCAGAGACGACCATGACGACCGGCGCTCCCGCCGGCCCCGAAGCCCCTCCCGAGAAACATACTCCAGCCGCCGCAAGTCCCGCCGTAGCCCCTCCCCCGACGACCGCCGCAAAGACCGCCCAAGATCTCGCTCCCGCTCCCGCTCTCGCTCCCGTGGCGCCGCACGAACCCGCGATCGCTCGCCCGCCCGGCGCCGCGGCGGTACCCGCTCTCGCAGCCCTGACAGAGACCGAGGAAACGACCGCTGGGCACCCGGTGATGGTCGCAGACGCGACGACAGTCGCGACAGGAACGATCGCGATCGCACGGATGACAGGCGACCGCGCCGGGACGACAGAAACTTCCGCAGAAAAGACTACGATCGGTACGATGGGAATCGGGAGGGGAGGACACGCCTGCAGGAGTCGGATAGGTACCTTCCTGGGCGGGAGGCCGCGGGGGATGACCGCGGCAAAGAGCGTGAACGGAGTCGTGATCGTGATCGTGATCGTGATCGTGGGGGGAGGAGGAGGGACAGAACGAGAAGTCGGAGTCGCACCAGGAGTCGCACCAGGCGCCGTTAGGAGCGGGGCCACCATGGACGAGATCGCGGAGACGGAAGAAGGGGAGATCGATGACCGGTCAAATTCGAGTAACGTGGGAGAGACGGGAGGAGGTGAGGTGAGGTTTGTAACGCCGTTTCCGAGTGGAATGAAATGAACAGGCATTTGTGAGATCATCAGGGAAGAGGGCTAGAGCGATCTCCCGATTCGCCTGCTTCAGTGTAAGACGTCTTTGATACCCGCTTCCCCTAAGTAGTACTATCATTGTAATTCTATCCAATCGATCAAGCACTGACGCCACACGGCAGGTGGGCGATTTTACACAATCTCTTGCCTCTCAATCGACGCGTGTAGCGTTGCAGCGAGGAGACCAATTGTCAGCCTCAGCTGTGCCTGTCGCCAGGCAATCTTACGCGCAAGTATGGGATGAAACGCACCGCTGTAACACGAGTGAACACTTGACTGCTGCTTTTTGATCGTCTACCGTGGTATCAATCCAATCCGATTCTTGTGCCGCACCGGTACCCTGCCCTACCGTACCCTACCCTCCAGAGTGGTTGATACACCACCCAAGCTTAAACATGCTAATTCCAACGCCAAAGATATGCAATACACCGCGCACGAGACACAAAAGTCTACGCATCTGCCTCCCCACTCTCTGTCACCCGCTCCACGACGACATAACCAAACAACGTCGTCATTCTCGACCCAGCAGCTCACGGGCAGCACAGCGTGCTCGCAATCCTGATCTGACCCTCGATGTAGTTGAGAAATGGGAACTCGTGCCGGTCCTACATGCGTTCCACGGGGCTCAGACCCAGGATGCGCATGCCGTTGTTGAGCGTTTGGCGGGCGGCCGTGTACAGCGCCAGACGCGCGAGCATGGTCTCGCGCTCCGAGCCCAGGATCTGGAGGTGGTCGTACGACGAGGAAAGGGCGTGCGTGAGCTTGAAGCTGAGGGGGCGTTAGCAGTTGCTAGCTTAAAGAAGATGATAGAAAAAAGGGAAGACTTACAGGTACGTTAGCACAGTGGTAGGCTCCTGCGTCTTGAGCGTGTTGATGAAGATGTCGGGCCAGGCGGCGAGCTGGCGGACAAGATCGATGCCCTGGGTCTCGGTGATGAGGGTGAGGTCCGCGGCGGAGGCGAGGTCGATGTTTGCGATTTCGGGGACGGCGGCCGTGACCTTGCGGGTGATGCTGCAGAGACGAGCGTGCGCGTACTGCAGGTATGGGCCCGTGTCGCCTTCGAAGCTCGTCATCCGGTCCATATCGAAGGTGTAGTTGTTGATGCGCTTGCCCTTCATGTCCTGCACCATGACGGCGGAGATACCTAAGATGTCGGCGGTTGCCTCGGGGTTGTCGACCTGCTCGTACTTGGCCTGGTTCGTGCGCATGACTTCGTGCATTTTCTCGGCGACGGTCTCGAGGATGTCGTCCAGGAACTTCGCGGTTCCCTTCCTGGTCGACATGCCCAGCACCATTCCGAAGTTGATGTGCGTGCAAGCGGCAGCCAGATCCTTATAGCCCATGGCCTCGAGAATCTTGAAGAGCTGAGCAAGATGGAGATCCTGCTGACTAGCCACAACGTAGATCATCTTGTCGAATTTGTACTTCTCGTATCGCTCCGATACGGCGGCGATATCACGGGTAAGGTATAGCGATGTGCCATCCTTCTTCCTCACGACTGCCTTACCCAGCTTCTTTGAGTACTTGGTGAGATCGACAATGATAGCGCCCTCACTGTTCTCGCTAACTTTCATCTCCTCCATCACCTTCGCTGCGTGGTCCATGCTCTCGTCCTTGACTTGCGATTCACCACTGTAGTCGTCGTAGCGGATGTTGAGTCGGGCATATGTCCTCTTGTACTTTTCGATCGAAAGATCCCTGAAGCGCTTCCAGATGCCTAGAGCAACGGGTTCACCCTCAGTCATCCTCTTGAAATATTTCCTCGCCCCCTCATCCACACCGTTATCGGCGACTTCTTGAAGCTGCTTCTCAAGTTCGGACGTATCCTTTTCCTCCTTCTTCAGCCCTTCGATCTTTGCCTTGAGCTCCTTCATCTTCTCCTCCTCGTCCTTTTGAATTTTCGAAATCTTCACGTAGACGTCGTAGAGGTGGCCGATGGGATTCTCGACGAGCTTCTCCTCGGATCCAAACAGGTCGAAGCCAATGGCCAGAACACCGTACTGCTTGCCCCAGTCACCTAAGTAGTTCATCCGGGTAACGTCCCAGCCACCAGCATCGTACAAGTTCGCGAGGAAACCGCCAATGATTGTGCTTCGCAGATGACCTGCGTGGAAAGGCTTTGCGATGTTCGGCGAGCTAAACTCGACAATCATCTTCTTGCGGCCCTTGGAGGGATCGGCGGGGTCCCGGAGACCCTGGAAGTTATTGAAGCCGTACGACTTGCCAAATTTCAGCACAGCTGGGACCACGAGGCTGGTCAATGGCTGGGCCTTGAACCAGAACATCAGGAGCGCGTCCATAACAACGACCTTCTCAATCAACGGGGATCCTGGGAAGCCGTTTGCGATCTCCTGTGCGAACTCCTTCATGTCCTTGCGCTTCTGGCGGAGGGCTGCCACGGCCATTTGTAGGTCGCCATGCTCGGTCTTGACAGTCCTCTGCAATGCGGGGCATATAATCTTGGTATCGATGCCGGTGGATTTGGATAGCAGCTCGGCGACGTGCGAGCGGTATAGATCGAACGGGTTGAGCGCAGGGTACGTGTTAGGCTCGGCGGGCAGCTCATCGATGCCGAGGGTCTTCAGCTTGCCCGTCAGGGCCTCGACGGCCTGTGCTTGCGTAGCGGCGTCCATGTTCACCAACGGAGTGAAGGGTCGTGTGTCGATCTGCGTGTAGTTTCGCGTAGATGCGTTGCGCCTGGGCTGGTGCTGTATTGTGTGTCCGGGGGTGACGCAGGGGAGCTTGCGTTGACTATATGCTGCGAAAGAGGGTGCGTGAGTCACCAAGGTGTGAGTCGCCCGCGGCCCCAGCAATAACACGAGTGATGAAGAAGAGAAAATGTTTGGCAGCGGGCGGATTGGGCGCTGCATGCGGGCGGAAAACGAAGGTGGGGCAGCTGGTATGCGTCAATCAACGAGTTGCAGCGCGCGCTCAAAATTTCCAGCACCGCCGCGGGGCTCGCCAAGCATCGGGCCTGAGCGGCGCATAGCCTCATGTCGTATGTCTAGAGTTCTTGACGACGTTCTTAGCAAGGGTTTGGTCCCGATGAATTGTGTTATATGATGATTTCATCTTCGATACGCCCAACATTGGCTTGTCCTGCTCTGATCACTCGATGCAGGTTGCTCTCCGAAGATTCCACTTGAGAATTGGAGCCTTGGGAAGTTCGACATGGTCCAAAGACCTACCCCAAAGCTAGTGCATTCACCCGGTACTCCCCTATTCATGCATTGGATCGAGGAATTTGCAGGCTCTCCCGTCTCAACAACGTGTGATGACTCTTTGGGACACCACAGGCAGGAGCTAGCCAAATGCGGTTACCCGGTTGCCATTCTGGACCCATCCCAAAGCTCACTCGTACATGTACAACGACACAAAAAGGCAAGCTCGTGCAGCCTTTGGTGCATCTCGCCGCATGCTCAATATCACTATGGTTTGGCCCCTCCAAAGCGAATCCGAAGTACGCAGGGTATGCAGCATGAAAGTACGTTGCATGGGTCCCATTCTCGGTCTGTTTGCACTACCACAAACTGACTTGGCATGCTGTATTCAGGAAGTCGAACTTTCGGTCAGTTACAGGGCCGTGCATGTCACGAGATGCGCCGAAAACGAAACATGGTAGCCATGGTTCCGGCCGGTGAGGTGGGAGCAATGGCTTTTATCATGGAAGCGAGATTTGAGCAGGAGACTATCGTGAGATCATCCGCCGAGGTGTGCCGCGAGGAGTAGGCTCCGTGATTAGCTCAGACATTGTTGCTTGAGCCTTCAAGGCTCCGAAAGCGGACACAGCATACGTAACTGCCATGCAGTCCCGTTCTGTGCTCGCGAACGCCACCCTGTCCGATGATCACCCTCGTGCAGCACGCTGTCATACCAGGCATGTTATCGAGCAACCTCATTCCAGACAGACGGGCATCCGACACGAGACGGTACTAGGTGGCAAACTCCGAGACCGACTTAGTTGAGGATTGAAGTAGCAGACAGACGCCGGCAGTGGACAGTCTACCATGGCATTGGGACCAGATCCAGCTCACAGCTCGTGTCCACGAACCGTCGTTTGTACAATGGGAGTACATAGAGCGCAGAAGACCGCAAGGCGCGCCTCGACTTCTCTCGAGACAAGCGAGGCCAAATTGGGTTTCTTGGGTGCGCCCCGGTGCCCTGGATACAAACATGACGGTCCCCCAATCGGTATGCCGGTAGGTGTGTCCGAGCATGTTGTGCGCCTCAACTGAGACAGGGTCTTCTTGCAGCTGAGTTTTTCGAGACAGTCGAGAAGATCGTAAGAGGTGGCGGTATGACGCGTATTCGCCAGTGACTTTGGCTGAAGACCGGTGAGATGAAAGCGCGGAGAGCGCAAACTCTTTCGAGGCTTGCATAAGGAACGGGCGGTCATCACTGTGATTCAGGTTACGTCGTCGCAACAGTAGAAGGCGCTACGCTAATCGCAAACACCGATCAAGTGCAGTTGTGCTCGTCTCCTCATGCCAGCCTAACGTGTCGTTGTGAACCCTGTCGGGCAAGTCCAGAGGTACGCATTGCGAAAGTTGGGTTGAACCGAGATTATTTGAGCGAATCGTGCCTAGCCATGCTGTTCTGAGACACCTGGAGTAACGACCACCGTCGCTACCCGGTACCCATTCTCGACTGGAATGTAGGCATTCACAAGTTTTAATCTCCGGTTTAGTGATGTTGGGGAGCGGCAAACCCTGCAATGAAGACAAAGCGATCTCTTTCACCTCATGCAGACGAGAGTAAATAAAGGGTGCTGGGCCGCGGATGCAGCGGAGCAAGATAATTCAACGCGAAACGACCCTAGTAGTAGACATGCACAGTCCCGAATGATTAGATGAATGGCCATGCAAAGGTACAAAAAGAACACAACTGAAGTGACAGGCCTGTTCGGGTCCTGGACCTCGGACGCCGGCAGCGGCTTCGCTTCCGCAAAAAGCACCGTGGTGCAGTCTAGGATCGATACGAGATCTGGCACTGCCTAACCAGTACACTTGCAGGAAGTATCATGCACTCTGCAATCGTGCCTACGGATCGTGCCAAAGTGAGGCTGAACAAAGGTTTCCAGCACGGTTTACAAGTGTTCGAATTGCTGATTTATAGAATATAGATTCAAATGACATTAGGCAATTCGTTACTTTCCTTCTTCAAAGCATTCGTAGGTCGGCAACAATCGCTTGAATGGGCTGAAGGATGAGAGCGGTTAGCCCATTGCTTCTGTGAGCCGAATCAGGTCAGCTGTTGACACTTGGGTGAGGCCAGCGCCTAGATTCAAAACGACGTGGCTGATAGGCTCCACAACGCTTGGTAGCCAGAACCGAACCAAAGCCAAACACCATATACAGATGTCGCATCGATCACCAACGTTGACGTCGAACGTCGAACGGCTGTAAGGCGGTAACGTTTGGCTCTTCTCCTCGGGTCACTATGAATTATGCATGCAGGAAGGCGTCAATCCAACGATGCAATTACAGCCATGTGGAGCAGGGAGATTGCGCGCGGAGGAGTTCGGCGTCTGCAGCTATGTTTAGAATGAGTACACCGGGTGTGATGATCGGTATAATCGCCACGGGCGATAGATCTCAAGAGATCTGCCCGCCACGCGGCGTTGGGATACATAGAAGGGGAGCGCGATTCTATGTGGCTGGCCTCCGTCCAATTTTGCTTTTCGAGACCAATGAGACTGCGTTCCAGTAGGAGGCTCTGCAGTGGTACAAGCATAGTCCTTGTGTCTATGGAGCCTGGCGGTCGGTATTGGTGGCTTCCTCGTACCCCTGGCGTGAACTTGGAGAGGAAAGCACGTCGACGAGCAGGGCAACAAGTCCCAGTTTTTGGCTCGGCAATCGGGTGTAGGCCGCGATTGCAGACGTGTGGGGAAGTCAGTGTAGGGTGCGTCCATGCACGCCGCCGCCGGTGACGCGCCTGGGAGGTTTAAGGAAGCTTCTGGATACGTGCATAGACGGCTGAGTGGCTTTTGCAGGCGCGTCGGATCCGTCTGGTTGGAGTAAATGAGTCGTACTGGTGAGGCTTTGTGTTCCTGCCTGACACCCTCACGAGCCCTGAGGGAGAGGCCAGACAGGCATACCTCGTCGTCGGACGATTCAGCAGGGGGAGGAGCATGTGGGATGACCGCGAGAATGAGGAACATGTCTTCGAGACCAATGGCGGATGGGCGGGACGCCATTCGAGCGAGATGCAACCCCCACCAGGAGTGGCAAAGAGCAATATGGTGCTGGTACTGAGGAAGAGTATAAATGGGGCGGAGGCTGTTCTGTACAGGCCACCGCCGTTACAAAAAGCGTACTGCAGCATCAGAATCGCATGCGTTAGTGCTGGGTCCAATTGCGCCGAGACAATCTTTCTACCTCCATTCTGACGTTCTGTCGAAGAGCCGGGACACAACCCAGGCACAGAAGGATCCATTGTCGAGACAGTGGTCGATCAGGACGGGTCGGTCGAACGAGCTGGGTTCTGAGGCGAGACGGTGAGTCTGGCGGCAGCTGGAAGACGAGCGGCCTCAGTGTTCATGCCGGCGGTTCACGGCGGACGCCGCTGCTGGCTGCTGCTCCTGGCGCCGAGGGGAAAGCATGGCTAATATATCGATGGCAGACTCCTACCCGCGCCGGTGCCGTCACGAGCCCCCGAAGAGCCGTGCTGCCGGGACTCTACTCAACATCGCCTTTTCGCGCAGCACGCTTCGCGTTGAGCTGTCGTCGGCCCATCGCCGCTGCGAGGCTTCTCGTCCCAGGTCGTCGCCAGGCCGTCTGGGCAAGCATTGGCGTTCTGTCCGCATCCGACGCGCGCGCAAAAGAAAGCACGCAGGACGGGCTGCTGTCACCACCACCAAGCGCTGTGTGTGCGTGACCGCGTTGCTGTGAAGGTGAGCGTTCAATCTCGCTTCGCTGCGCGTTCCTGCCCGCTGTGTCGCGAGCATCCCTGCCACCCACATGGCGCGCCGGGAAGCGACGACGCATTGCAGGCAGGGGCCCCGTCAATGCCTGCCCTGCTACACCACACGCTCCATGTTCCCCAACTACCCCGCTGTCATCCACCCATTTCGTTGTTGTTGCGCGCTTCCGTTGGCCTTTCCGTCATTCTCTCCGCTCCGTGCATGCGAAAAGAGACACCCTTTAGCCTAAGGCGGCGCCTGGCCAGACCAATCGGTCCGCCCGCCAGCGATCCGTCCGTCACTGCGCGTCCCGTCCTGTGGGGCCGGCAGCCGTTTTTCGAACCTCACCTCATCTCACCAGCCATATCCGTCTTCACATATCGCCTCGCCGTTTTTCGACGCATCTGAAGACGGCATGGTGAAATTAAAGGGCGCCAGTGTAGGGCCATCCCGCCCGAATGCTCTACTGTACTTGTCCGTCCGTCTAGGCGTTGTGGACGGCATATGGCATGCTACCCACCAGAAACCTATGATCGAAGCCTGACTCGTGGCTTGAACTCATTTCCTTATCACTGCAATCAACTTCCCGCCAATCCTACGGTTCATCGCGCTGCTATACATTGCCAGCGTCCGACGCCTTGAATGTCGATTTGTATCCTCTTCTTCCATTCGTTTTGCCAGATTCCTTTGTTTATACTTCACTTTAGTCGTCCCTTCACCCGTCCGGCATAACAGCCCAAGCTGAGCATTGCCCAGCGCTGTTAGAGTTACCCTGCTAAGCGAACACAGGTTTATCCTTCAACTGATGCAAAGAGGCCGTGGAAGAGGAAGAGGTAGAAATCCGAATCCTTCCCGGAGCTCGTCGAGGAGAGGCGTCAGATCTGTTTCCCGCATCGCCACTTCAAGAAATCGCAGCAACGCGTCAATCAGGCGGTCAGCTCGCATAGCAGAACTTCTCAACGGCGAACTCAACGGTGAAAGCGAGTCATCAGCAAACAACTCCATGGCTCACGTTGCGCAACAGCCGGCGTTTGGCAGATCTACTGTTCGCTCCAGACACGATACCGGAAACAGGCGGGTGACGCGGCCAAACCGGACGTCTCTTTCGCCCGAAGAACGTGGATACGCAATGGACATTATTGTGCAACCTCCTTCAAACGCCCGCGCCGGCCACTCCATCAATGGGACCATCATTGTCCGGTTACGAACCAACAACCCGAATCCAAACGCAGCGACAGAGGATGCCTTGAATCTTGCTGCCATTGCGTCTTTAGTGCCCGGGCCAGGTTCAACGGCCCCTTCCGATCCTGCGGTACTCAACACATTGCTCTCTGGTAGACGTGTCGATAATATCCATACACTGGCCGACGACGAAGCAGACGGCTCAATCGCCTCCATGGAGTTAAACGATTCACAGGCTGTTGGGTACATGCGCTTCTCCGGCCTCGTCATCCGCCAGGCCGGCACTTACCGGATACGCATCACCCTTCTCCGGATGCGAAACTCAAGCTCAGACCCACCTCCAGCCTCTGTTACAGGCGCAGCGGCGGTCCAGGTTGTCGATTCGAACCCAATCGTGGTGCAAGCCGGCGGCCCGACCGCGTATAATGGTAAGTACCTGGTGGCCAAATATTGAGACATACTTTCGGTTCCTGATTCGTATACTTTCCTTGTTGTACAGGCAACGATCAAGACGATGAAGATGACGGCGGATGGAGGACGGTGGTCCAATCCATAATCAACAATACAAGAAACTCGTCCTGACGTTGCACAAAGCTCTTCGATGCACATCCTACACTTCTATCACTGTCATGGGTCGGCTTGTAACAACATACTTCTCGTGTCGGTGTACGACCATACTTTTCTTTTCTCTCACGGGTGCGTGTTTTGGGAGGACAGTGTACGATCGGACGGCGATGCCAGCATAGCAGCTTGAGTGGATAGATGGGCGGCAGGGTTCTGGGTTGTTTTCCTAAATGAATATCGACGGTATCCGAGCGCTGGTATTGAGACTGAGGCAGAAATATACCGATTGTTAAACTTTGAACGTCGAGGTGTCCGAGCGTGCACCGAATGTGAGACTCTGTATATCGAGGTAGTCTAAGCGTGCAACCAACGTCAGTCCTTGAATACTGATGGTATCCGAGCGCGAATATTTAGACGGACGTCAGATTTGCCCAGAGTTGAGGTCGCGATGGAGACATGGAACTTTCTGTCTTCTATGCGTCAATGCTTGTGGGTGTTAATACATGGGTGGTATGCTATACTCTACGTCTGACAAGTCTGGTCTGCTTTGCCCACGCCCTACCCGCAGCCCTACCACCATCCGTTCCGTTCCGTGAGCGCGAAAAACATGATTCACCGTATTCCAAATGTCCCCTTCTCGAACAGCACTGAACATGTTTTCGTTCTGTTCGCCGGAGAAGGCATTCAAATTCCAAATACCCAATTGTCAATGCAAAACGATTCTCGACGCTTCTGCATTGCTTCCGCGACCCGTTGGTTCGTGGGGCGCGCCGGATCGCCGTTGCGCTTTGTCGGGCCGCAGGGGTTGGGCTGGTGCCTGAGGCGATAAGGCAACTTTATTGTTTTCGGGTTCGATGTACTATGTCTGATACGCTAGCTTAGGCCGGTGGGTGGCGCGAGTGCACTGGGGTGAGGTATGGTCCTTTGAAGCACGGGCATAACTTGTGTTTGTGACTTTCACCCTGGGCCTAAGGCTGCGTTGGGATGGAGGTGGGGTGCGGCGTGTTGTATGCGATGCAGACAGACTAGGGCATTGAATGTTGGATGTCACCATCGTTGTGATCGATCATGGCAGAGGATTAGCTCTTATGGTAGTGTAGACATCACAGCATCAAGGAGGCAATTTTGCGACAAGATGTAGGAACATATCACTGGAACGCTCAAAGTAAATGTCGTCAAGAGTATCGATTCTCCAGCAAGCTATGTACAACCTCCTCCACACCCCCGATGCAATCGATGGAAGCAAAGACAAAAGAAATGCTCGGCTCGAACTTGGTATCAACGGGCAGGTGCCACTTAGTTGAACTCGACGTCAGCGTCGACGCTTCCAATGCCGATGGTGTCTCCGGGAGAGGTTCCGCTACGCACTTGCACGTCAGTAACTCGTTACGTGCTATTTTGGTATTTGTACCTACCTCTTGGGCGTGCAAGGCTGCCACGAAACGTGCACCTGCTGTGTGAACGCAATGGTAGCATCATCGTTGGAAAGCTCGCCGTAAGCAGACGAGTTCGAGGACCGCAGGCTGATGCGGTTGTTCACGTTGAGGATGCCGTTGGTGCCGCACGGCGACCAGACGACCGCAGTGGTCTCGACGTTGTCCTGCTTGGTGTACACCTGGCCGTTGGTGAGGGCACCACCACCGGTGGCGGACATGCGGGTTGTCGATGTCTTACCCGCATCCTGCGAGAAGTAGTAGCTCGTAATGAAGTCGCCGGTGACGCCCTTGTCCATACGCGCCCAGCCGTGGTAGGTAGCGGACACGACGGCGTACTGGAAGCCGCCCGGGTACTTGAGGTTCAGGTGCAGCTGGCAGGCGCGAGAGTTGTCCTTGGTGGGGATGCCGGGGCCGATATAGGTCTGGAACTGGTCGAAGCCATAGGTGATGACCTTGTCAAAATCGTCAAAAATAATTTCTACTATGTAGCCTCGCTCGCGCCCCTTGTGCCACTCAGCGGCCGAGGTGGCGAGACATACGGTATGGAGTGCTGGGTTCTTACAGTCTTGTCGGTGGAAGTACTCGTGGAGACGGAGCCTTGCGGGCAGCCGTTACCGGAGTAGGAGGAGTCGATGATGACGATCTGGCTTGGGTCGGGCGCGGTCGCAGAACCTTGTGCTGGGACGGGGTTTGCAACAGCGAGGAGGGGAAGGAGAAGAGCGGCGATCTTGGAATACATTATGCTTTCGTTGCGATTGATACCGTGGGGTGGGTATTCGGTTGTCGATCTTGAGAAGTAATTGGACACTGACGATCTGTGTTGATGATCCCCAAGGAGAGGACAATCACTGACCTTTATACTTCTCACCAACTCGCATATTTCAAATATACCAATCCCCGGATCTAGACATTCAGCATCGCATACGGATCGTTGAACACCCAGAGTCCTCGTGGTCAGCCATCTGGCCACTTCAAGCGCCGGTTTGAACCAAGTCACCGCTTGCGCGCATCGCGAATTCCGTTATCCGGCTAGTATGCATCTATTATTAGTTCACATATAGCTACTCAGTATTAAGGTGCCGTGGTCTTTTGTGACCTGGAATACCTCTGGGTGATCCTTGAGTAGGACCGTACAGCTCCGTATATTGGGATGAGGGTCTAGCTGGTCAAGTCAATGGCAGGAAGCTCTAGGCGAAGCCGATTGAGATGGCAAATACGAGCCAGTACCACGAGAGTAAGATGAAGGTTCAGGAAAAAGATCGTCACATGCGGTGAATGCCGCACGGGATCTGTACGCCGCCAGTGCTGGTAGGTAGCGTTGGATCGATGAGTATAGTGGGAATACGAAAAGCTTCGACTTCAAGGTTGATTGCAGTGGACCTGCAGCACGTCTCGCCTTAGCCTCAAGGTTAGTCGTTGATCGACTTCCCAAAAATAACGGTCTCAGTGTCAAAATAAATGACCGTTACCGCCGTTGCTCTGCGGAGTAGATTGGGTCAGGTGACATTGTGGCGACAATTACAATACAGCACTCGGGGTCGACATCATATATTCCGTTGTAGGAGATCCGACATCCAGGTACTCAGTGCTTACAAGATGAGTCTCGACCTGCATTTTTGTAATTTATTTTTGCTTGGCGGTCGTTGCGGCGGTTTATGGCTAATATGCGCTCGTTGTTTCCGATGGCTGGCGAGCGAGCTGGCGAGCTGGCAGGGGTTGTCAGACCACGTTACTAAGTGCCCTTGCAATCCGCAATTCGGATAGAAGTCGGGAATGTCATAAACTCGATAGTTCGCACTCAACGTACCCTTCGTCAAATTGCGACCAAATGAACCTTCATTAACAGGACCAGCGCGCTGTGACTTCGCCTCAGACCTAGACCTTGAGTGCAGGTTGTCGGCTGGATATTTTCGGAATACGACGAAGACGGCTTTGAGGCTGCAATTGGCTTTGTCTTGGTGACCAGGGAAGGACCGAGCAGACGGGTGCAAAATTTGTGCACATTGAAGGTTTACACCATGCCATTGCATTCGACCTGGTAGCTTTGGAATAGTAGAGTTGGTACATCGAGATGGGTAGCTTGGTCTGCATCATCACTGAGCGCAGCATTGCCTGGTCTTCGATACCAAAACTCAACATAATGTTTTTTGTGTGGTCAGGACGAGTTCGTTTCGGTCTTCGAGTTATTAGCAGGCGGTTGTCAAAAATACCCAACCCATCTCCTCGGAGGCGTCGCTAAGTCACGGCGAGCAGATCAGCCTGCATGACGCGAAGCCTCGGTCAATCCCTGGTGCAGACGCATGTTCACTGCTGCGAGCAATATATGACTAACACTGGAAACTCGTAAACTGGGCGAAGTACAGTGTTAAAGAACACACAAAGAAGGGAGCCTCCGACGACCTCAAGCTTGGGTCTACGATTTCGCTGAGGCTACTATGCGTTTTGTATCTCGCATTAGTAGGAGACGTCGAGGACCGCATTGAAAAGTTCGAGAAGTGATCGAGTGCTTTTAGCGAACATGAGCGTTCGTTCGCCCTGATCTTTCCCACATACTAGGCGTCAGATCTGGTTTTAGAATGTGGGATAACTTTGAAGAGACCAACCACTCGGCCTCGTCAGCTATCTTCTTTGTTCTTTTCCGGGGGGGCATCGTGGCTCTCGTCGTTTTATCGCGTGCCGTTTTAAATGAGCTTCAGATGTCATTTGGCAGACTTTCGACGTCGTGATCCAAAGTCGCAGTTGATGGAACGAATAGCATTAAGAAGAGGCCTAGATGCTACCGAACAGAATAGTTGAACGCGTAGATGGTAGCAATAAAGCTGAGCTGGTGTCGTCTGGTCCCCATCGCTTCCGCCTTCCTCGACGCTAAAATTGCCCTCGCTCATCCCTAGCCAATTACACCTCCTCCACGCTCAACTTCCAACCTCACGCCTCAGCCTCCACCCCCAGCGGCCGTTTCCACAGCCGCCCCAACGCGCCTACGAATGCGGTCGCCACTGGCCCGCATCTATAACCGCCCCTGTTGCGCACGAGATCGCCGGAATCAAGGCGGGGGCGATGGGGCGAGGCCACGGCACAAGGAGACGTGCTAAGAGTCTTCGTAGGCGTTATGTGCTAAGGCTGCGGCGGGTGATGTTGATATATATATCTTGTGATGGAGATCCACTAACTTCGCATATGCATATCACTAACTAAACACGTTCATTATGAGATACGCAGCTTGTTTCTACCTGGTCGCCTGCGCAGCAGCGCAACTGCAATATGGGCAGCACACCGATGCGCCGGGCTCGAACTCGCCTGGTTCTTCTTCCGTTATTACGTACATGTCTTCTGGTTAGATCCCACGCCCCAGAACCGATTCAAATGACGTGTTGTATTGACCAAAGCTGCGCAGTCTACACGATATCCATCTTCGACCCGTCCAACGCACTCACCTACGGCGCGTCGAAAACGACCATCAACCGCCCTTCTATCGAGACGACTGAGAGCGCGAGACACTCGCATTCTTCTTCTTCACACAAATTAGGTTCATCTGCGGTTACGAAGACGCAGGAGAGCAGTTCCGCGACTGCGCCTACGCTAGAGGCCTCCGTTTCTCCGTCATCGAGTGCGGCCTCTTCGGTTCCTCCGGCGCCGGCTGAGCAGACTATTGGTGCTGCATCGCGGATATACTCGTGTGGAGCTGGGGTGATGGCTGGATGTGTGCTTGCGTGGATTGCTTTGCTATAAAGGTGGACATGTGCATGGGATCGTTTGAAGGCATTACACGGCCTCACGGGGATGATGTTGTTTTCACTATGGTAAAGCCAGATATCCATGAGAAGGCGTTGCTGTTGCATTTTGATGGGTTGTAATCATATTCTGATGGGACAAATTCAGGTGTATTTTTGGCTTCTTAAGGAGCTTGGTATAGGACAGGCGGAGCAGATACTAGTGCCGAGGGGTAGCGCCCTAAAGAACTACTCGAACAGTCGTTTCAACCCATGATGCTTTGTTCTGAATTTATTGCTTCCAGTGCAGTACGAGAAAATCATTTCATTGGACTATACGCATCGCAGTCCTTTACATAACATATGATTCTTTATGGCATCGAGGTGTGCAATACATCGCGCCATTCTACATTCTCAAATACCATCAAACGATGCAAAGCAGAGCAGGTCATTGCACCCCTAATTTTAATACAGCAAGGATACACTTGTGTATGCCAGCGCTCAAATAGGTGAGCCATAATAGACGTGTCAATCTATGTGTTATGATGAAGCACAAATCTAGATTCCCAGTTGCTGTTTAGTGTACGGACGTACGATAAAAAGCAAGCTCGAGTATCAAGTATTTGCGGAATACGAGTAATTTTACGTAGTAGAAGATTCGGCGTATCTAAGTTATCATCACAGTTGTGACGGAATCAGTGATCTGCTCTCCATATGTTGTGAGTCCACATGGCCAATGTATCTGTGCTTGATGGAGATGATCGGGCGTACAGCAGTGAACTACGTAGTAAACTGTTTGCCTACAAGTCGAGTGCCATGATGTTATTTGTCATTCTGTTGCGGCACTTGACTTCAGTTTGCCCGAGTTCTCGGTTTAGAAATGAATGAACTAAGCTGAAAGTCTAGTTGATCTTCTATGAGTGTCTCCGTGCACACCGCGAGATCAGGCTAACCAGTGCTCGAAACTCTCAACCAACCGTGTTCGCTCACTCGCCCCTGTGAATATAGAGGCGATCGGTCGCTGTGCTAGTTCCGTCAATTGGGTGCGGTCCAACCCGAAGTGTACAGCCGCTAGATAATATTCCTGAGAGAGCGGACTACAGAAGATGCCCACGTCGTCTGTCTGGTGGTTATCAGTTGGAACATATTGAATTGGGAGTGTGTACTCACACAAAGAGCTACAGGAACATTAGTGTGCCGCCAGAACCCAAAATGGTGGTCAGAGAAGGTCCCAGGGATAAGCTTAGCGTGGACATTGCAGCTCATGCAGAGCTCAACGCCTATGTGTTCCCTCTTGATGCGTTCTTGGAAAGAGGAGTTGACGTGGATGACATGTCCAAGTCGGTCAGGTTGCCAGGACAGCAGCGTATTGAGCTCGTCGTCCGTTCCAGACTGCGCAATCTCTGCAAAGTGCAATGTGATTTTCAGTCCTGCTGCTTTTATCCGGGTGAACGCATCCGTGTACAGGCTAACGTCTCCTTTTGCGGGATTGCCACAGAGGTCGACACCCACGACGCCCTCGCTTCGGTATTTGAGCGCAAGGTCGACTACCTGTTGTGCTTCGGTAGCTGTGTTTCGCCGGTCTATGGATAGAATCAGGAACGCTCTCATGGTGTTGCCAACCTGGTCATTGTGATTACGCAGAACGTCGAGAATGGTTTTGACATAATCGTCTTCCGTTATGCCGCGATTTGGAATTGCCCTGGGCGTTGTTCGAAGCTCGACATAGACCACGCCATCTGCCTGGAAGTCTTCTAGCACTCTCTTTGTCGAGAATCTGCTAGATCGTCAGGCAAATGATCATCTCATGCGACGACAGAGGTCTGTTCGTCGCGCCTGGGCCTCGGCAAGACGGTCGATCCGTGCACCGGCCATGATATGGTCTTTACGTACTCTATACTGGGAAGGTCGTCACAAAGTTTGTAAATGTATGACGAGAACAGTGGGAAGAATCTAGGGTTCTTGTCAGCATCTTGAGTGCTACCAGCACGACGTTTCCGACAGCGGAGCGCTTCCGTAATGCCAAAGATGACCCGGCTGCACGTGCTCGTGACTTTGTGGTTTCCAAGATGGACAGGCTTCTCCTGGACACAATCGGAGAATTATAAATTACGCTTGGGCAACAGGCCCAATGACAGGTCGACGTGCGCGCGCTTACGGCACATCCAACGGAGAGTAACGATCCATGGGAACAACGGAAAGACTAGAGCCTACGTTTGAACATCGTAGTCGACCTTGTCAGGAGGGATGGCTACAAGAGGGTCGTCGAGCTGCAGCTCCGGATCGTGCTGGCGGCGCGTCTCCCAGATGTCGTGGAGACAAGCGCGACTGATGCTTCCCGTCAAATGGGCATGGAGCTTGGTCAAGTTAGCCGAGCAGTGGTGTATTGAAGCCCATGCACGCTACTTGGCGCTCGCGGACGGGGGCAGCCACGTACTTCGATCTTGGGCAGACGGCGGGCAAAGGACAGATCCACGGGCGCTGCGTTTGCCATGGTGCCGACAGTGGCAGCGCGCTGGCGTCGGACGCAGCCGTTGCGTGAAAGGCGCGGCAAGGCGACGGCCACGGCTCAATCGACGCTCGGCCCTGCACGGCGCTAGGTGGCCAGGGGCTAGCGCGCTTCGAGAAGGGGAGGAGCGACCAAGGAGATTGCAACTGACGAAGAAGGCGCGAGGTCGCCAGCGCCTCCTCTCTGCCTCCTCCGTGCTTCTGCAGCCGTCTTCTAGAAAGCCGCACCCCGCGTTGCGAGCCCGCTGTCTGCCTCCTCGTTGTGCCCGTCTGCGTGCGTGAATTGCGCTGCCTCCCGCTCGGCATCCACAGGACGCTTCTCGGCTAGCCTGCGCCCAGCTCTCCAGGCCGCCCCGTACCCAGATCCTCGTCTCCAGCACCTCTGCCGCAGCCCTCACCCACCAGACCACCGCAACCGCCATCCGCAGCCTGCGCCGCCCCGAAGCGCGAGCCATTGCTGCCTCTCCGCGCGCCTCTGTTGCTCTCCAGCTTCTCTGCGAGCCTCTGCATTGCGTGCGTGCCGGCTGTGCGCTAGCTGCGAGGCCCCTGGATCCCGCCCACCTCGCCCGCGACCCCTACCTGCGACGACGCCCCCTTCCACTGCACCTCACGCCCCCAGAGCATGGCCGATATGAGTGCCGAATCCATCCAGCAGAAGATCCAGATCGCCCGCCGCGATGCCGAGGCGCTCAAGGACAGAATAAAACGGAAGAAGGACGAGCTTGCTGACACCACCCGTACGTGCCCACTTCCTCCGCTGCGTCGCAGCCGTCGCAGCGCGAGCTAACCTCCCAATGCAGTCCGTGATGTTGCCAAGCAGCGCGTCGAGGCTCTGCCGCGTCTCTCGATGAAGACCAAGCGCACCCTCAAGGGCCATCTGGCCAAGATCTACGCCATGCACTGGTCGACGGACCGCCGACATCTCGTGTCCGCCTCGCAGGACGGCAAGCTCATCATCTGGGACGCCTACACCACAAACAAGGTCCACGCCATCCCCCTGAGGTCATCGTGGGTCATGACCTGCGCCTACTCGCCCTCTGGGAACTACGTCGCATGCGGAGGGTTGGACAACATCTGCTCCATCTACAACCTGTCGGCCCGGGAAGGCCCCACCCGCGTTGCCCGAGAGCTGTCCGGCCACTCGGGATACCTGTCCTGCTGCCGATTTATCAGCGACAAGCGCATCCTCACATCCTCTGGCGACATGACCTGCGTGCTTTGGGATCTGGAGACTGGCTCCAAGGTGCACGAGTTTGCCGATCACTTGGGCGATGTTATGAGCTTGAGCATAAACCCGCTCGACCACAACCAGTTCGTCTCTGGTGCTTGCGATGCTTTCGCCAAGCTGTGGGACATTCGCCAGCAGAAGTGCGTCCAGACTTTTGCCGCCCACGACTCCGATATTAACGCCATTCAATTCTTCCCCAACGGCAACGCTTTCGGTACCGGCTCTGACGACGCTTCGTGCCGTCTGTTTGATATCCGTGCAGACCGCGAACTGCAGGCCTACACTGTACGCATGCCCTCGGTTGTTCGCTTACCACTTGCTAATATGTCAGCAGATCCCCGAGCCTGTCTGCGGTATCACATCGGTCGCGTTCTCCGTGTCCGGTCGCTTGCTGTTCGCTGGTTACGATGATTTCGAGTGCAAGGTGGGTATCCACTTGTCCCTCGTTACACGACATATCTGACAAAAGCATAGGTGTGGGACGTTCTCCGCGGCGAGCGAGTAGGCACACTACAAGGTCACGACAACCGAGTCAGCTGTCTCGGCGTGAGCAACGATGCCCTGAGTCTTTGCACTGGTTCATGGGATTCGATGGTATGTTTCGTATGCTGCAATTTCCATCCTGCTTGACTAACACACACGCAGCTCCGCATCTGGGCATAATCGACCCATCCCGGCATACCATGCAACATATGAACAATGTGCGACGATGCAAGTCTGAACGAAGAGTGCCCTGACTTTGCTTTAATTACTGGCGAACGACAAAACCTTACATGCTTTCACACCATACCCCTTCCTACCTCGACCTTTCTTCGGCGCCTATAAGCGTCGAATCCCGCTCGACATAATAACCACCCTACCGCAATCGTGTTATCTGAAGGATACGAGGTGCTTGGAATTTTTTTTGTTGTCATTTCTCCCTCATACCACCTCTTCTTTTCCTTTTGACAAAACGAGCCATGCTCGCGTTGTTCGTTACCTCCGGAACGGCTGTTTCGCGAACAAGTGAATAGTAGTACTCGCGTCTTCTGCTATTCGCCTTTCTACCCAGCTGACCTTACCCCGGATAAATCTTTTGTGTTCGTGTTCGGTACTCAAAAAGCACCAATCACCACTGTTTTGCACCCCAAGGGAGAAGGCGGCTTGCAAGACGGGCGAAATCTGTATGTTTTTCTTTTTTCGAATTATGGGCGATGCAGGGAATTGGGTCCAGACGCCTGATGGGGATAGCGGGGCAGAGTGGAGAGGCGGTGGATGTAGCGGAGTTTTTCTTTTCTTGTATGATGGATCTGCGAGGCGGCGGCGGGCATCTTGGCGTGATAAGATATGATACTAGTTCCACATACCTCTTCTACCTGTATCTTTATGTGCAAGTGTTGTGCTGTATGCCGGTCTTTTGTTGCACGAGATTGGCAACGTGGATAGTTCTTGTCTCATTCAGGTACCGTACTGTCCTTGACTTGTGCGCTCTGTGCCAACGTAGTAGCGAATAAGTCAACAGATTACACACGATATGCAGGCTCACGTCGCCCTTACGCTGGATGAAGCATGTCAACCGACGACCGCTCACCCAATCTGACATATCCATATTACAGCGGGTATACCACCAAAACCAATGAGACAATCGACCCAACGCACAACCCAGAACCGCATAGTGGAACCTGTCTTTACACGCTCTGCGAGTCACACAACATTTTACTAGTGGTTATACTTTGCGATCCTACCGTAATCTCTTGCGCGCGTGAGCGTTGCAGTGCAGTACAGTGCTCACTTGCTACTTCGTACCCGGCTGTAACATAAACGCATATAATCTAGGACTTCACATGGCACGGTCGGAATATCTCCTACGCGTCACACGATCGCAAATCCCGCCCGCCATGATCCTCCCGCTCCTCTTCTTTGCATCCATACTATCAGCATCCGCCGTCACCGTGGCGGCATCCCTCACACCACCGGTCCCCATCCGGGAGTGCTTCACACAAAGTAACAAAACTGTGGTCTCGCTCATCTCTCCTTTCGCCACCCTCATCGAGTCCGAACCCCCGCACAACGTTCCGCCCTTCCACGACAACCAGTTCGGAACACACCTGCGCCGAACCATCTCGGGTGTCTGTCTGGAGCTCCTGACCCTAAACAACGACGTCTTCTTCCCGATTGCCGTGGACGGCGCCGGCCTTGCGCACACAGCGATGGGCATTGCGGAGAAGTGTGGTGGACTGGGATGGGGGTACTATACCGATCGCAGGACTGGAAATACGTTCCATGGGGAGCTATACGCTGTGTTGCAGGAGTGCTCAGAGTGGTATCCCAGGTCGGGCGGCACGAGAGTGATTTGTCCGACAGATACGACAGGGGAGGAGAAACATGATCCGAAACTGCCTTGTCCGGGGGAGGAGGAGTGATGGATGGGGACACGGCGTTGGATAGCGTATAACGCGGCTGTGCCATGCACAGGTAGTACTTTTCACAACAACATTCGCGTTCTGACGCCTCATACCCCATCCACCCTCTCCGCCTCACCTTCATCTTTCCGATCTACCTTTGCCCACTCCAGACTGCTCTCCGCCAACTCCCCCATCACCAGCCCCTGCGCCTTCCACACCGGCTTCACCTCAAACAGCCGATCCATGCGGTCCAGCGGCACGCTCTTCGTCTCGGGCACCAGGAAAAATGTAAATACCACCGCGCACACAGTCACCGCCCCGAAGAAGAAATACATCCCAAACCCATTGCGTCCCATGCCAGCCACCATGTTCGGCGTCACCCGCGCGATGACGAACGTCCATAGCCAGTTGGACATGGAGGCGCCGACTTGCCCGACGTTCCGGGAGGCTTGGCTGAACATCTCTGCGTTGACGACCCAGGGTGTGCCGTTCCAGGAGGTGATGTAGACGCAGGTCCAGAAGTAGATGACCACAATAGTAGCGATGCCTTGGGATGAGAGCGAGGAATTCGTGGTAGAGGAAGAAGGGTTGGAAGCGATGAGTGCGCCGATGACGAACATACAGGCCGCGCCGACGGTGCCGCCGAAGAGGAAGAGCGTGCGGCGCCCCAACTTGTCGATAAGGACAGTTAGCCAGAGGATAGTCATGATACATTTTACAACGCCGAAGAGGCCGGTCATAAGGTCGACGGTTTTGATGGACGTGACGCCCATGGTTTCGAAAATGGTAGGGGAGTAGTAGTTCTAGGCTTTGTCAGATGGAAACGGGTAGACGGGGAGAGGGGAACTCACGATGGCGTTGATTCCCGAGAAATTCTGCAGCACGAACAACATGTGTCCCAGAAAGAGGCGCCAGAGAACCTTGCTGTCGGTTAGGGCGAGGCGGATCGGCTTGAGGAAACCGGACGGCAGGCCCTGGATCTGGAGATCCATCATTTCGATTTCCTCGAGGATGTACATGTCGTCAGGTTGAAGCTTCCGCAGCCAGCAGAGGGTGGCTACGCCCTCTTCGCGTCGGCCACGCGTCCACAGCCAGCGGGGGCTTTCGCGCAGAAAAAGGAGACTGCCGATGAGGACGATGCCTGCAGGGATTAGTTGCACGGCGAAGGGGATAAGCCATTGATTCCGGCCGTAGGGCAGACTTTGTGTCATTCCGTAGTTGATCCAGAAGCCGACCTAGGTACGAAGTCAGCTAAAGTAGAAGATCATTGGGGAGCTGTGTGTTTGTCCATGCGTGAGACATGCACCCAGTTTCCAGAAACCACATACCAAACCGCCAATCTGCCATCCGAGCTCATACGTGCCCACAAGACGGCCACGGATAGCCGGAGGAGCGATCTCCGAGATATAAATCGGTACCTGATCCCCGTAAGCCATACGTCGAAGATCACCATAGCCATCCGACTCACAATCATCGTACACCCTCCAACCCCAAACCCGGAGATCACGCGCCCCGCATACATAGGCCCAATGTTGCCCCCAATAGCCGCAAACGTAATACATGCCCCCACAATGAACATGCTAACGAACGTCCACAACGTGATCCTCCGGCCAAGATAGTACGCCGTCGAATACGCAAAGATGGACCCGAAGAAGGCGCCCGCCTGGAATAGCGAGACAATATTCGCCTGTATCAGACTCGCCTGGCTCGCGCTCATGCTGCTGAGGCCGAACTCATCCTTGAATGACTTGAGCGAGACGGTGGTCCCGATGAAGGAGGTCGTGTAGCCGATCATGCACGAGGCAAAGGATGCTGTTGCGGCGGAGACGTAGACGCGCCAGTTGTAGACCTCCTAGGGGGCTAATCAGACACATCTTCGTAAGGCAGAAGATAATTTCACCTTCGGCGTTGGCCTGTCCTCGATTTTGGCGAGGATGCCCATCTTTCAGAGAGCTTTAGGAAAGCACTTCACGGCACGCCAGACGTAATCCCGGATGGGAATGTTCGCGAGATGGTGAATGGGATGGGAGACAAGATAGTGAATGTATAGTGAATGGATGGTAGAGAAACGCTTCATAAGAACACCGACTCCCCAACCGGACCGTGGCGATGACCCATCGCAGCGGGGCTCCCACACTCTCCGTCCACGCAAAAAAAACTTCCTCTGGGGCCCCAATTCCCCTCAGGCTCCATACGGGGCTCCTCAATGTCGTCAGGGCACCTCTCAAAGCAGCATCCCGACTCCTCGCGCCGTTGTGCAGCTCGGATATCTCTTACTTCCGCTAGAGCATGGCAATATGAACAGCGTGGGCACGCTTGGATGAATCTTCTGCCGCGGATTGATAGGTGCGGCGACGCGCGAGGGCAACGGTGTGGGTCGCGATGGAAGTAATTTTAAGCCGCAAGGCTTGATTGAGTGGTTCCCGTATGGTGGCCCACGTCCGATGCCGCACAGTGATGTAATTCGCTTATGGTGGAAGTTCGAACGTCCGGAAGGGTCCGACGACACTGTTCGATAGTTTATATCCGTGTGGTAAGCAAACGCTTGGTCTTGTGTACAATGCTTATCCAGACGAAACCCAGGTCTCCATACTGCTGTGACCTGCTCGATTGTTGGGTTAAGCCGTCACTTGAACCTCTCCACCACTCTTCGGCCCTCGGCCGAGCATCTCAGTGCGCCAGGAAGAAAGTTGCGCTCGTATGGATTCTTCCAGCGAGGCTCTCCTTCCACAAGAAAAGCTTCACTAGCCAATATTGCGCCTCAGCCGTTGATGTTGAGGCTCTGCTTGCCGCAGCCGCAGCCGAATAGTGCCCGGGTGGCTGCGCAGCCAAGCAAGTGCCCATTGAGCCTTCCAGTCCTTGGATAAAGACATACACGCCAGCGGTGAAAACCGTCGGACTGCCCGGCGATGCGATGCTAGGCAGGCGTAAAGGAGCAACGTGTCCGCTGCTGGGCAGGTTCATCCCGACGACGCACCTCATGCCCGCACAAACGCGACTTCCCCTTCGCGCCCATGGCTTTCTCGCATTGTGTTCACTTCCACGGGCTGCCTCGCTCTCAGTCGATGCGTCGCCCCAAGTATGAGCGCATAACGGTTCGAAACAACGCGCACCAACGCACGCACCTCCATCGCATAGCGCGAGTCGAAATTATATGTACCTCCACACAGGTTCGCCCATCCTGGTCGCCTGACAGCCACGGACGGACCCTTGGTCTGAGAGTAGAAGGAATGGGGTCTGCTCGCCATAGAGGTGGTCTGGGCTGGCGACTTTTGTCACATGTGGTGCCATATGAATCACATCTTATGGGAAGAGAGATCGTCACATGCCATTGGATTCGCGTGGTAAAGGGAAGATACTGTGGAGTAGTATAGGGAGATCACCGAGTAATATGGCAGAACGCAATCACACTCATAGTAGTAGTGTGGTGTATGTGCTCCACAGGAGACTTCGTGACATGTCAAGGACTATTCCAGGTTCGTCACGTATTATAGGGAAACTTTTTCGCGTAGTGCAAGGAACATTGGTCACCTAATACGAGGTACACACCTGCAATAGCAGGACTCGGTCACCCAGTCTGGGACGACAACGAGGAACATGCTCTTGAGGGGAGACGCTGGTGTCGCGCCTGTTGAGTTGAAGGGGCGGGATGATACTCTAGGGGCCAGATGAGACTCTGGTACCGCTCTTTTGGTCTGTCCTCGGAAGTGTGGCAGCTGTCTGTTTCACAACGTTAAGCCACGATGGCTACCTATGGTACACTTGCTCCCTCGAAACGCGCTCTTCAGGCCAGCGCAAGGCAAGTACATCTCTGTGACGACGACGAGTCACATTCAACGGCATATGACCGTCATTGCTCGACCTCGGCGCGAAACCCCAGTCGTGCTCTCAGACGCCTGGTGGACAAGAACAAAATCCCCGAATGAGGGCTTGCTAGCGGACCGGCGGCTAATCCTGGTCCACGTGTCCGTAGAAACGCGTGTACAACTCCGTGCATAAGCGCACTGCTCGTTCGTTTCCCGCGTTGCATGTCCGTTAACTGTCATTTCGTATTGGCGTTAAGCGCCCGAGAGAGAAGGTAGCTGCTGTGCGCTGCGCCATCGCTGTCTTATTGACAATGAGGCTGGTGGTGCTCAGGGCCGGGATATGCTGGCCAGTACAGTGTCCTATTGACACGACAATGCATACAGAGTTGACTAGCCGCTTTGGGAAGCATGTGTGATGGGAATACCAATCGAGTCGTAATGGGCCATGTATAGCAAGGATTGTTGGTGAATCAGCACGATTATAGCCAACTCAAGTGCTCGGAGACTGTGCGTTTGGGACCTTGCTGCGCTGGATAGGCGTGCGTCAGCGGGCCTCACCATGGGCTCGAGGAATGACCTCGGGACCCATTCCTGAACATGACATTTGCTGTTGCTTGCCGAAGTGGAAGAAAAGTGATGCCTCTGTAGCCGTCCGAACGGACCACAGTGCATGTGAAGTACATGGAGTGCTCGCAGCTTAAGATTAGTCCTAGGCATGCTTGACAAGTCCGTACACGCTGCAGTGCCTGTGCCGGGGGCCTGAGTTATTCGAGGCTGGATACGAGCATGATTGCATACACGCACGTGGCGTAGAGTAACCGATCGTACATGGCGGGCCCGTGCTCCCTATTTTTATTGCGGTGGCAGTGTGGGCGGCGACTCAAAGGAGAGGAGTCATCGTCCCGATGCAGGCGGCTTCCAGAAGCAGCAGGCTTCTGGCAAAAGCAGATTTGCGCTGGGGTGGGCACAAATGCGAGCGGCTCGAGGAGCAACCGTGCGGCGAAGGCCCCCTTTTGGCGTGAATCGGGCGACGTGGTCTCCGATGCTCTGGCGATGGACCGGCGAGCGCATGAATGACATGCCTCAGCAAAGGCTCCGCAGCAATGCCGGGCACTGGAGTGGTTGCTGGCGTGCGAGGCGTGACGTGCACGTCTGGCCATGGTGCTGCGCTGAGGCGCGTGTTACAGCAGCCGTTTCGGACGCGCACACGGCGGCGAGGCCACGCAGCGCGCGGCGTGGGATTGGGCGGTCTGGCAGAAACAAAGCGTTGTGTGGCCCGATGTTTCGGCGTCGAGGTGCGTTTCAGGAGGCTGCCCGTGCGGCGGCGGGCATCTTGCAAGGCCCTGTCGCGTGGCCAGCCCTAGCATGGGTGCTGCGGGGAGGCCCTGGCATTGCAACGCCGACTCACCCAGCAGGAACTCGCACCTGTCCTGATCACCGCCGCTCCAACACGCTCAACGCTCGCACCGCCCAATTGCAGCCCTGAGACGCCGCCAAAATAGCAGCCGGCCACCCCTGCCAGCGACCGAGCTCGTCTCTGCCCTACAAGGCCCTCGTGCAGCCGCCTGCCCCGTACACACCCTCACCGTCATCCTACTTATAGAGACGGCCGCCCAGCTGAGGCACCCTTTTCCACTATGACTTCATCTGCCGCCCAGCAAGAATACAACGAACTGTTCCGCGACAAAGACGTAGACACACGCCATCCCGAAGATAGAGACAACGATAGTGACCGCGACGAGCCCACCAAGGAAGAGCACTATTACGAGCACGACGACCCCGCCGACGACACCGACGAAGAGCTCGGTCTCACAGAGCCCTCCGCCATGCGTTCCAATAACTACGTGCTGCCCTCGATCCGCTCCGAGGCCAACACCGGGCCCAAGGGCGTCATTGCCGACGCCGCCGCCTTCGAGAAGGCCAAGAAGCAGGCCCGCCGCTTCACCTGGAAGAAGAACCAGCAGCCCACATCCTACACTGTCACCGCCTACCACGACGAGAAGCTTTCAGACGACGATGAGGAGGACAGCTTCATGAAGCAGTGGCGCGAGGCACGGTTGCGGGAGCTACAGAACGCCGGCCAGCGGATACGGTCTCGCACAACGAGCCCTGCCCGCCGCATATACGGCAACATGCCAGCTGTCGACGGCGAGGGCTTCCTCGAGGCCATCGAGAAGGTCGCCCGCGACACCGTGGTCGTGGTCTTCATCTACGACCCCACAGTATGTCCACCTGCTCTCGCAGCATCCCACAAGCCACTAACAGAAACCAGTCTGAGATCTCCGCCATGATGGAGGAGCAGATGCGCGAAGTAGCAAGACGCAACGACACCACCCGCTTCGTCAAGCTCCACTATGAGGACGCTGAGATGGAAGTCGCCGGCGTACCCGCCGTCATTGCCTACAGGAACGCCGACAAGTTTGCCGGCCTGGTGCCGCTGATGGATGAGTTCCCCGAGGACTCTGAACTCACAGCCGTGAGCATAGAAACAATCTTCAGGCGGTGAGTTTTACCCTACTGCACCGTCCATGTGGCGTTGGTGGCACAGCATCAAAGTGAAACAGACCTGTCAGCTGACTCAACACCCGCAGCCATCGCATTCTAAATTAAAACAATCGGCCCGCACTCACAGGAAGCTGTGCTTCCGGCCACTCTACGTTCTGTTCGACTCTACGCCATGCCTTCGCACCTCCCTCGAGCGTGCATTGCATGGCTAGCGTTCCTGCTCGTCGGCTTCCGCGAGCAGATTTAGGCCGCCGCCGCCGCACCCACCACGTTTCAGCTCGCAGCGCTGGAATGTCCGGGCACGCCCGCAGCCACGCACGACTCCGGCTCCGCGAAACATGACCATGACTGTCACCTACCTCATATCCCTCGTGTCTCGCACTCGCGCCCACAGCGGACTTGCAACATGCAGACACATCTCGTTATCTCTTTTGTCATCTCTCTGTACTACTATACGGTATGGCTTGCGCACAGTCGCACGCTAACGACTCTGATCATGCCCCGATATTCTGCTTCTGCGCCGGCGTTCTATCTAGACATGTTTCTTCTCGGGAGGAATTTGTGACTGTTGTTTCGAACCGCACAGCAGGTGGCGTTTTCCTTTTTGTTCGACTGGCCTGGGCGGATGCTCTCCTATTGAGTGAGCGAGCGAACTGCACACAAATGTGCACCTATATACATTACTTAATACCCCGATATGGAAATGTTAACAATATTGCTGTTCGGTGGAACGGCAGACGAAATTGATGCAACATAGTTGTCCAATTGCAATCGTAAATGTGATGTTGGAACTGTTTGCTTTCTCCAAACTCTATCGACTGTCTTCGTCGCTTCGTCCATCTGTTCTCTGACCAGGTCTTGCTTCCTTTCTGGCAAGTCTGCTTTCCTGCAAGCCTGCTTCCTTGGCGACCCGGCAAGCAAACATACCGCCCCACACCCACCAACCGCCTCACGCCACTGCGTCGCCGTCGTGTATTTTCCTGATCGAAATCGATCGTGTGCGGCACAGCGTCTCGTGGAAGTGGAGCGACTGACATCAGCACGGCAGGCAGGCAGATCTGTTTCCGCATCGACGAGGATGCGCGGGCGCCACCTTGTTTCAGCGTCGTAGGGCTAAGCCTAGGGATCGACACGTTCCGTACGGCAGGGTTTACTGCACTTTACTTCGTACACAGCGGGGAGGCAGTGAGCAACATGGTAGACAGCCAATACATTTCTTTTGCCTGGAGAAACGGAACGGAAGCCCCGGTGGTTGAGTGGTGCATGGCGCATGTTTCACCTCTTCACGGCAAGATTGAACGAATTGGGACGGTGGTAGACGCCAGGCCCCCATGTATCTGCATGTACGCAGTGAGATGTATATCCCCTCCGCGCCGCTACGTTGCGTTTTGTTTGCGGGCTCGGAGTCCGGGCAGGCACGTGGCGGGGGCGTAACAGTAAGCCGCGTCGCATTGCATTGCATCTCCATACTTGGAGTGTGCGTACACTGTACGCCTGTGCTCGCGACTGGGGACAGAGGAGGTGGTGAGATGGTGGTGCGTCAGCGCAGGCGATTGGACAGGGCGTGGTGCGATGCGATGTTTCACGAAACACGGGCGGTTGGGGCTAGGGCGGTGGCGGCGCAGATGCGGAGCGAGAAGATCTGGGTTGGATCTGGTCTCGGTTCCGGGGGGGTGCTTGTTGGCCGTGGTGAGGTGAGCGGTCGTTCTGTGTTGTTCTGTAACAGGTGGACGTCTTGGGCTGCGGGGAGATCGCTTGGTAAAGGGAGGGATATGCTTGGGGCAGATTCATGCTGTGTGGTGAATCTGCCTATCGGCCGCGCACGGCGGGTGGTCTTTGTGCAGTGATTATCGTTTGAGGCAGTCAGGAGTCTCGTATGCCGTTGTTGCACCTACCTGTCGCTGGTTGTTCGAAACGCATGGGACGAGCTGTAGCGGTCCGCGAGTGATCGGCTGGTGCAAGAGCCGCGGTGAGTGGCTTACGCGAAACAATTGCTATGCTTTGAACCATGCAATACCCATGAGAAGGTCGTCGTCATGCCCCATCTTGCCTGAGGTTTCAGCAGCCCATCGGTGCCCTTGCGCTGTATGCTGCTCACATTGTTTCTCAAAGGTAAGAACTCGAAAACCCATGATTTGCTAGCTGATGATAGGCTTGTGTTTGACGGCCTGGTGTCTGAGGCTGCAGGATCGTCTGCTTCCACGACCGTGGATGTGAATGAGCTCAGGCCAAATGCGGAGCTGTCGTCGACACTGTCAACAATTGCGGACTTTATGAGCTCGAAATGTCAGGGACCTGTCAGAGTTGACAGATTTGGGTTCTCTATACAGTAAGGCTTTGGGTGGGGTCGTCGTTTCCCAAACATAAGGTCACATTTCACGTGACAATAGACCGACCTCGGATCGCAACTTCCAGCCATATTGACTTCGACTCTAATACTACACCACAACGAAACCTCGTCAGGTATTCTTTCAAGATCGGTTCGGCCTGCCTCTACAGGTCTACTCTCTTTCATGAAGGTGCAGCTGCTACCAAACACCAACGAACGGTTCTACGGGTCCTGCTTAGATGACATATATCGGATCACCTTATTCACTTAATTGTAGGGAAAATTGTATCAGCTGGCACCCATGAGCCTTGAAGAAGTCTCTGTACAAGATCTTTCTGTACATGTTTGCAATATTGCTGATTTTACTATGTGCGTTTAATGGTTTCCGATCAAGTGGTATCGGAGGACGCAAGGTGGTGAAGCCAGACCCTGTACCAAGTGTCTCCTGTGGAATAAGCCCTCCAATCAACAGCTTGACGGCTTGGTAGCTTGACAGCGAGTTGTCAAGCTTTATGAAAATCCGTTACCAGGTTGCTCAAATGTCTCTCAAGATCTTTCCAGAAAATCTGATGATCGTACGGATTATCTAGGTTCAAGGGTCGCAAGACGTCTGCAACATTTCGACGGAACGCCGATGGACGGCCAGGAAACGCGCCGCTTCCTTAGCCAATACAGCTCGACGATTGGTTCTTACCGGCAGAGGCTTAAGGAAGACCTAAAATATTTCAAACACACGCAAATGAAGCTACCACCAAAAACATCTTCGCGACCAGACTTCTTGGTTGTTCCTGGCCCTGGAGAACCCTCTTGGCTCAACATATTGGGTGGTGTTGATCTTGTTGGTGTCCGTTCTACGGAGTCGTATGACAGAGGAGCAACCAAAATCCAGATACGAGCAAAAAATCCGTTGGTGCCACATGCGAGTCGAAACGGAAGACGTAGAAATGGAGAGTCCGACCGTCACATGGCGCATTCGCTGATTGTTCGCCAACTTGCAGCTATGAAAGGCATGAACCACGCACGCTTCTTAAATATTCTGCATTGGGGCAGAAATCGATTCACTCCTCTTCGAATCATGAAAGGTGGAGACATCCATGGCGTCTCGCCTCCTAAGTATTACTTTCGCAACGAGTTCAGTTCCGCCAATGAGTGCAGCATCGACAACGACACAGGCGATCAAACCAAGAGCCTCAGCAACTGCCATGAATTTCTCGATGACGATGTAGATCCTGTGCTTAGAAAAATTGGGTTACTCTATTCGGGAAATGGATAATGAAGAGGATTGGGAACCTAATGGCATGGCTCCCTTCGTCTATTATCTCACGGAGCAATTCTTCTCATACAAGACGATCAAGCGAACAAACCGCCTCTGGTGACAGCACCGCAGTGTGGTATGAAAACTATTTGGGCGCCTGAAGAATTCGCTCGTAACGAAAGCTTGGGCTGATGAAAGCTGCTTTGCCAGATGCAGTCCCAAGAACTCATATGGATACTATAAGCGGAAAGAGATGTTTGCTCTCCAAAATGATCTATGTCATGCAGTCTGTGACGACAAGACAGAGTAGCGGGCTGAAGGTCTTTACGATCTGGACAATATGAAGAGTCTTGGGGCCGAAGCGGCTCCGTGGAGCCTGAATAAGACAAACATTCTCAAAGTCTCACACGCTGCTTACATGGAGCACGGTGCAGGAGCCTTGATACCAGGCTTTTTGAACCTCAACTCTTTCGATGTCGTCTATGAAGACATCGTTCCGACGCTTCCTGTTTGTCGAAGTGAGCTCAGCACCGTCTCGCCTTCCAATGAGTATCACAAAGGGGCTGCCACGTACCCATGTACTTGCGGTGACAAATGCGGCAATGAGACTCTGGCATTCATGAAAGCCGCACCGGCAGGCGGCCGTGGACAACCACAAGAACTCTGCTATTAATATGGGTCTCGTGCTTGTTTTCTGGTGGTCTGCCATTTGGACCAAAAAGCATAGTGTCGACTTCAGCCATGTCAGCTCCGTGGTAAGGAAAGGCGGTTACCATCCATACGAGCATTGGTAGAAACACGATTGCGACAAGGGAAAGAATTGGAGGGCATGTGGCATGCCTTGTGGTGACTATGGTTGGGAAAAGTGTCCAAGTAAAGTCTAGCTTGATTCATCACTTTGTAGCCGCCTTGCTGTTTACACTATGTAAGTACTCTACCTCGTGTTGATTTACTCTTTCTTGACTGAAATGAGGTTCTCGAACTTGGTGTGATGGATATCACAGAAACGAGGTTCTTGCATTCGATGTGATAGAGGTCACGTTAGCGTCCAAACTGATACTAAGTTGTCCCCCGCAACCTTTTCATCGTTCGCCCCTATTCTTAATAATATGTCAAGTCCAGTCTAGCTAGTCTTGATAAGCCATTTGATCTCACAGTGACGAAATTGTGAAGGTGGAAGTTGTGGAATTCGCAGTTTGCTGTAATGAATCTGAACTGGCCATGAGTGACCCGTGGCAACCCTATCATAGATTGCCTCTACACAGCAAAAGGCCAGCGTCGCAGCTCAACCATTAGTGAGGGCTCCTTCCTTGGGAGCTGCGAAGCTCTGTATTGCTATTGTTGCCTAGGCACTCACCTTCACTGTTGCCGTTCACCGTTGGCCAGCCACCTCGATAGCGGCCAGTGAATCACGGCATAATAGCCTCACGAACACAATATCAGCGACTATAGCTTCTCGTCGCCCATAAATTGCGTTTTCAACCGTCCCCTCTTCTTCCTTTTTCAACTAATTGCCATTCTCGCAAAATGGCCTCCAACGCTCCCACATTCTCTTTCTTTACGGGAGAGACCTGGTCTCTCCTGTACGCCGACTTGCAGAAGCAAGTCAACCAGCTCTCCACCGACGTTCGGGTCAGTTGGAATACTCTTTCATGTTCCGCGTTGTGGCTAACGTCTGTACTTAGAGACGCTTCAGGCGGAGCGCGAGGTGGCCCGTGCCACCAACGACACGCTGATCCGGGCAGGCGCGGCGGCTGAGACCGCCAAGGCCAAGGCGGAACGGAAGCTTGTTGTTTCGGAGCGGTTCTTCAAGAGCATGCACGAACACCACCGCGCCTGCCCCGGCAGCATGGAGACCACCGACCATGCCTGGGAGTATGGCCTGCAGATCCAGAACGAGAACACCCGCCTCGGGGAGGAGGTCAAGCAGCTCAAGGACGACCGGACCCGCCTCGAAAACGACCTAGCCGACAAGGCCAAAGAATCCGAGGCCAAAGAGCAAGAAGCCGCGACTCTGAAGCGTCGCAACGATGAGCTCACCAGGCATCGCGACGAGCTCAAAGCCAAGCTCGACCAGGAGACCAAGGACGCCGCCGACATCCGCACCAACCTGGACACTGCGTACGCCGATCTCCAGCACAGGATCGATGAGCATAACAAGCTGCGCAAGCAGAAAGACGACACCGACGCCGACTTACTTGACGCGAAACTACAGCTCCAAGATGCGCTCGAACACTACCAGCACTCTCAGGCGCGCATTGAGGAGCTTGAGTCGCAGAAGTCCGCCATCGAAGCGCTCGAGCGCGAGACTGCGACGCTCCAGGCCGACATGGACGGTATGCAAGAGAAGCTCAACGATCACGATCGCACCGTCCTCGTCAAAGACGCCCGCATCGCATACCTTGAGACCCAAGTCCAGAAGGCCCTCGAAGCAGCAGCTCGTGCCCAGGACGAACAGAACAAAGCAGATGCCGCCGTCGACCCCACCACTGCAGAGCCGACCTCCGTCACCACCGGTGGGAGCCTAGAGGACGAGCTCAACGATATCGACGAGGAACTTGACACCGAAGCCGCATCTCAGCTTGACTTCAGCCTCGAACTCGTCGCCGCTTTCACTGCTGTTGAGATTGCGCCTGTCGATGAGTCCACTACGACTTCTTCAACACAGACAGCTGTGTCGTCTGCTCAAGGCGTTACGTCCTTCACCCAGACAGACGTCTCTACAGCCGGCGAGATCATCCCCGTCGAGCCCTCAGCGACGCTGTCGGAATCCGACATTCGCGTACTTTGGAAGTCCAGGATCGAGCCCGCACTTAGGAACCTATCTACGCCTTCCTCAAGCAGTATCGACTTGCGCTTCATCATCGAGGCTGTGCAAGATCTGACAGGTTCCGCGCTCACGACAACATCCACCCAAACAGAGGCAGTTGAAGAGAAGGAACCACAGCTCAGCTTCTCCCTCGAGACGGTCACTCACATTGCGCCGGCCGCATTTTCGCTCGAATCATCCGCGACGCAGACAGAAGCTCCGAAGCTGGCGCACGCCGGTACCTCTACTTTCTTCGATCAGCCGCCAGTCGTTTACGAAGAGCGGCACACACAGACTGACACTCCGGAACCTGTCGTTCACGAAGAGCGTCACACCCAGACGGACACTCCGCAGCTTACGCAGACCGGCACCTCCACTGTCCTCGACCAGCCGCCTGTCTTCCAAGAAGACCGCCACACACAGACCGACATACAGGCTCCGCCGACGGGTGTCTACGCTCCCAAGAAGCGCAGTTTCTTCAGCCTCTCTACGGCACTCGCCATCTTCTTTGCTCTACTAGCCATCCTCTACTACACTGAGCTTGAGTCATGGAAGAACAGCAGCAACCGCGCTGGCGTCAACCGTCTGTACAACTCTATGGGTTACCAGCGTCGCGGTCGGCACCTTTTCGGAACCATCCCAGTCTGCTATGAGCGGGGAGAGACGTGGCTGACCGAGGCCCTCTGCCAGCAATTCGCAGCCGGCATTCAGAAGATCGAGGCCCAGATCGGTATCGAGTACCCTTCGCGCTGGTAGTAACGGCGCAAGACCCCTCTGCCGTGCGTTCTCCCAAGGCAGACCGCACAAAGGCGGCCACTCTGGCGTTTTATCCTACGAAAGCATGGCGTTTTTCTTTACCAAACTCAGATTTCGGCGTTTATGGTATGGCCTGGGCGCTTTGTTACGATACCCCAGATACCCACTTTTCTCTTTCACGATTACATGCCTTTTCCGATACCCTACCTGTTGTCCTTTGAAGGCCTCGCGACTGGCATTGCAAAGCTACCTGCTTCCTGGTCACGGCGTTGGATGGACAACCTTTACTTTTTCTGATGGAGGATAGTCCCTGTGGACCTCCGCAGCCACTGTCATTGTCTTTTCAATGGCTCTGTTTTGTTTCTGATGTATCGTCTCTACATAGAACCCTTGGCTGCTTATTCCGCCTGGGCGTCCCTCTGGGACTGAAGTTCAATGCAAGTCTTGAAAACCTGAAATACGCTTCTGTGACGTGAAACGCCATTGGGCAGCTCCTCTGCGGAGCTCCCTTGTATGCTTGGGGAGCTTCCTGTACGTATATGGCTAGTTCTGCGCTTAGACCTGGCAATATCTCTATATATGGAGCGTGGGAGCTCTCTCCTACACTCCAGTGATAATACTATAGATCACCCTGAACTGCTTGCCAAGCTCCCTCCAACAGCTTCTTGAGTTATCCTTTGTGCATGTTCCTCATGACAGCGATGGCGCCCCGCGATTAGCATTGGAATTATGAAGATCATCTGCACAGGGCGATTGAACATGATGGCCTTGAAACACCGACATCGACCCCGAGTCGCTCATCGCAGTGCACAGCCGCGCTTATCAAACACGGCGCGCGAAGCCGCGATGATGATTGTCGGTTTTCAGACCAGAATAGTACACCTTGCGAGGGGAGGATCGTAAGATGATGATGCTGCCCACACACGGAGCACTCGGAAGGTCCTGGAGCGTCTCAAACACGCTACAATTCCCATGGGCTGATCTGACGATGCCAGTATACGCTCCCTACACAGTGGTTGGTGAGCCACAGTTGTCGGATCGATAGTGTGGTACGGGCGAGCAGGGGTGAGGCATTGCACGGGGTAGCCACAGTTTGGATGTACGCGGTGGGCAGTGAGATGCTGCGGAGGAGGCTCCGGATGACTCCGCCCGCCGGGCTGCGAGAACGCCATTGGCGGTGCAGATGCTGGTGGATTCAGCCACGCGTCCGGTCTGCAAGATATACTGTATCCGTTGCAGTATGATTGTCAAGTCGCACCGTACGTAGATCCTCCAGGCACGCTACGGGCGCAGAGTACAGGCCAGCGATCCAGAACGCTCCCTGGTAGGTATTATTGGGCAAGCGAGACATGTCTACGGTAGAAGGCAAGTGCCAGCGAAGCTTGTTCCGTCCGCGCTGCTTGAAAAAGGCTCGTGGGCCAACGTTTGGGAGACGTTTGCGACTTGGCCGCCCTGTGACAGATAGCCCCCAATTGCACTCGCTCGACGTGTGGCTGCTACAGCGAGTGGGCAGGGCGCTCCCGGAACCCAAGACCGCCAACCCGCGTATCGACCCTGTCTACAAGGACGCCAAAAAATCATCCCCCAAGATCCAATTGCCAGATAAACTGCGGTAGGCTTCTACTTTGCCCTCACCGAGTCTGTCTCTGGCATCCCCAGACGCCGAAGCGCACGACCCTTCCGATCTCCACAGGGAGCCGACACATTTTCCTTCGTTGCTTGCGACCAGCGGCCCAGTGCTACAGTTGCCGTTTGCGGACACGCTCCCGCAAAACTCCTGACCCGCTTGGACGGGCCCAGAAGCCTGAGCCTGTGCCGCATCTCAGCTAGAGTGTGACGCCCTGCTGGACCCCAGACCGCGCCAACGCGGATCACCGTGTCTTAAGCCTGCGACTCCCTCTCGCACGGCCTGGGCTCCCGACTTCCAACTCAGCTACGACGCCGCAACGAAAACTTCACTCGGAGAAACGCCCCGGCCAGACCAGGACCCCAGGGCCCGGACGCAGCTGCGGGGTGAGATAGGCCAGCATCCCCGCGAACTCAGGGTCCAGCGCTAGCACGCCATTGGCTCGTGCCTGGCAAACATCACCATGGCTGCCCTCGATGCTGGCAAGCCTCTCCTCCTGGACTACGACTCGCACTCTCCGTGCCCTCTTGACAGAAACGCGAAAGTGGGGTCGTTGCGCGCGCTGGAGGACGGCGAGGACGAGTTCGAGAGCGCAGAATCGAGGCCTCTGGGGGGTGTCATTGAGAGGCTGTTGATGGCAGTGCGGCGACGCAATGTTGGGTTTGGGAAAGAGGAGCCGTTCGACAGGGTGCGGTTTCCGCCCGCGGGGAAGGAGAAGAGTGTGCGGAGGGAGTGGAGGGTGAGGAGATGTGGAATTAAGACCGTGCTGGGGCTGCCGCTGCTCGTAATTGTCTTTTTGTAAGTGCCCGTTCCGCAGCTTCCGGGGGACTTGGCATATCTTCCCAATCTTGCAACTTGCCTGGGACGTGTGTATGAGGGATTGGGCTAACGCGAACAGTGGCATCGTTCACATCTCCAATGTTCTCATGAGCTTGGTGAACCTCGTCAGAGATGACGCTGTCACCTACTCTCGCGACTTCCTACCCCTGGAGCAATATCAAGCAGGGGACTTCACGGGCCTTACTCGCAATGTCAAGCCCATTCATTGCCATTCCCACAACGACTACTGGCGTCGTGTGCCTCTATACGAGGCCCTGCGCTGGGGCTGCACCGGCGTTGAGGCAGACGTCTGGCTCTTTCCCGAGCGCTCTGACAAACTATTCGTCGGCCACAGCACGCGCGACCTCACCATAGACAACACCTTCGGCTCCATGTACGTCGACCCTCTGATGCGGATCGTCGACCAGCAAAACACACCAAACACCCCCTTCGAGACCGTCTCCAAGTCTGGACTCAAAAACGGCGTCTTCGAGATGGACCCCACGCAAACCGTCGTCCTCCTCGTCGACTTCAAAAACGACGGCCACGCCCTCTACCCCGTCGTCTCATCACAACTCGAGCCCCTACGCCAGAAGGGCTACCTGTCATACTACGACGGCCACACCATCGTCCCGGGCCCCATCACCATCGTCGCCACCGGCAACGCCCCCTTCGACCTCGTAACCCGCAATTCCACCCACCGCGACATCTTTTTCGACGCACCCCTCGCCGGGCTCTCCCCCCTCTCCTCACAAACCACGGACCACGCGTCCAAGCGCGCCGGCGGCCAGGGCACCGTCGGCACCACGCCCCTCTCCACCTTCGACCTCACAAACTCGTACTACGCGTCCGTCGACTTTAAGAAGGCGGTCGGGTGGTGCTGGTTCGGGCGGGTGTCGGCGACGCAGAGAGAGCTGATTCGAGCGCAGATAAGAGCAGCGAAGGAACGTGGGCTGAAGAGTAGGTATTGGGGCGCGCCAAAGTGGCCGGTTGGCGTGAGGAACATGGTTTGGAGAGTTCTGGTGGAGGAGAGCGTGGATTATTTGAACGGCGATGATTTGAGGGAGATGACGAGGGGGGACTGGGGGGCGAAGGTGCATGGTAGCTGGGTTGGGTAGAGGGGTTGATGGATGTCATCGTTTTTCGGTGTTTAGGACTGGGTTTGGGATAGGCGATAGAAGTCGCATGAGATACCCGGGTGCGGCGATTTGTTCTTTAGCGTACGGTTTTTGGCTTGGGCCATTTAGAATTCAAAGATATCTAAGGCCCATGTCCTCGAAATGTAAAGCGTTAACCACTAATTCTAGCAAACTGCACCAATACAACGGAAATAGAGCCTTAGTTATAATGCGCAAGTACGGTCAACGTAGGGCACATGGCAGGCGGGGCTGCAGATGCCAAGAACCATGCCTGCCCCACGCTCTCCAGACCACAGATCCCTGCACAACTTTTTTGGCGTCGCATCTTCAGGATTGCAGTTGCACCACAGTAGAATCCCACGACATCACCCACCGCCACCATGCCTCACAAACACAAGCGAAAAGCCGAGCACGATGCGAACAAGTCCGTTCCGCTCTGACGACCTCTGCCTATGAAATTGCTAACACCCCCTAGTTTCGACCTTCCCCCCTCTGTCCGCGCCGCACCTCTCCCCGTAGGCAAAGTCCGCACGACACCCGCGCAAAAGTCAAAGAAGCGCAAAACAACGCACGTCCAAGGTTACGGCACTGATGACACGCCCAAAGCCTTTGCGCGCCTCATGGCCTTTTCCGCGAATCCAAAGCGCCGCTCCGGCCTCGACGACGGCAAGAAGTCCAAGAAACCCAAATCCACGCCCAAACCCACACAGGCCGGCGCTGCCGCAGACACAGAACAGAAACCCGCGCCAAACAGCGAGGCACAGCCCGACGTCGCAGCGCCCGCGCTGAAAATCATGCCCGGAGAAAGCCTATCTGATTTCCGGCAGCGCGTCAACCAGGCGCTGCCGCTGAGCGGGATCAGCAAGAGCGGCAAGAAAACGCCGGGCCTCGGCGACCACAGAGTCACGAAGCACGAGCGGCATCTCAAGCGGCTGCAGGAGGGGTGGCGCAAGGAAGAAGCGCGGATCCGCGAGAAGGAAATGGAGGCCGCTGAGCTCGCCGAGGAGGAGCAGGACGAGCTGGATGCCATGTGGGAGGACAAGACGCAAGACTTGGACGGGCTGACCGCCGGGGCGGGCGGGAAGAAGAAGAAGGCTAGTAAGAGGGGAAAGAAGAGGCGTGTGGTGGGCGAGGTGAATGACAAGGAGGAGGACGAGTGGGAGGCGCTGCGGCGGAAGCGGGAGGAGGGCGACGGGAAGCGCAAGGGGCTGCACGATGTGGTGCAGGAGCCGCCGAGTTTTACAAAGGTGCCGAGGGAGATTTTCAAGGTTAAGGGCGGCGCGAAGGTGAACGTGGGGAATGTGCCGAATAGTGCAGGGAGCTTGAGGAAGAGGGAGGAGCTGGGCGAGGAGAGGCAGGGGATCATTGAGACGTATCGGAGGTTGATGGCGCAGAAGCGGGGGGAGCAGCAGGCCGAGTAGAGAGGGTAGAGGTATTAGGGTTTCGCAGACGAAGCTATTGTGTGAATTGACCACTACATACTATCCTGTTCCCCAAAATATGATCTTACAGCAAGCCCAACCCCGTTCTCTGTGTAAACAACACCGCACACTCGTTTCCTCACGCACGCGCACTGCCACGACGCACCGGCGGCGCCGCAGCATGAGCGAGCCTCTTCGAAGGCGCATCCAGCTCATCACCATCAGTCCCTTCACAAATCGTTAGTCATCTCTCCTCATCCTCGCAGAAAATCCAAATGACCAAAGCCAACTCAAATCAAGAAAACAAGAAAATCCAGAACGCGCAGCGCAGGGCAGGCAACTCAGGTATTCGTACTCAGCCGATGAACCACGGGCACCGAGCTCGGCGGCAGACTCCCGTATTCCGTGATGACCATGTTGATGTACTCAGCGGGCGTGACATCGTACAGCACCTGGAGGTGGTGCAAGTTCTCCGAGCCCTCGACCCACTTGAGCACATCCAGAGGACCTGATTTTGCGTCTTCAGCTGTGGACTTGTCATTGTCCGACTTGTTCTTCGAGGGGTGCGTGGTCGGGAGGTGGGGTTCGAGGGGAAGTAAGGAGGCGCGCTCGGCTTCGGAGAGGATCTCGTCTGCTGGTGCGACCTCGTTGCCGACGATGGAGTCGAGGGCGACTTTCTCAGTGAACTTTACGGACTCGCAGAGCACAAGGACGGGGAGAGAGTGCGAGCGGGCGAGCATGGAGACGAGGGCGGTGCCGACGCGCGAGTAGAGCCGCCCGTTGGACATCATGGCGTGCGCGCCCAGGAACACCTTGGAGGCGTCTTTGACGGCGTGTGAGGCGCCCGTGATGAGGTAGTACCGGACGGTGATGCCTTGGTTGGCCAGTTTGCGCGCGAGCGTCTTGCCTTCGAAAAGGGGCTTGGAGTCGACGACGACGACGGTGAAGGGGACGCCGGCCTTGTGCGCTTGGAGGAACGTCTGCTCGACGATGGAGGACGAGGCGTACGTGAGAATCACGTCGCCCGGCAGGATCTTGGTCGCGGCTTGGTCACGGATCAGCTTTTGGGCGGCGGTGACGCGCTCGCGTATGAACATGTCGATTTCCTCCACGAGGTCGCGCTTGGCTTCTGCTTCGGGGGTGGAGGGATCGATCTTGATAATGACTAGGTTCACGGGTCAGTAGAATGTTTGCCATGAGATGGAGCAGAATTTACGGTCTTTGAGCCATCGAATAGCGTTGCCCATGCTGATACTGAGCGGTCTGCATCCTCGCAGGTAGTCAATCTGTGGGCTGAGATGGTGGTTGGTGAGATGCCGCGCCAGACTGGTTCCAACGGGCGTCTGGTATGATTCGATAACTGCTTTGAAGGCCAGAAGCATAGCGACCATTCGCGCAGTACTTCCACAGATCACGTAGCTGCTGTATTGCAGACCAAGGGCGAGAATAGCAGGGTGGACGTCTTTCGATGCTCCGACCATGGAATGCTGTCTGGGCTGACTATATAAATGGCCAAAGAAGAGTCCGAGGTTCTTCTGGTCCCGCTTCGAATCTCGTTTGGCGTGCTGCTGTGGCACCGCATTGGACTGTGAGGGTCTCCTCCGGATTGGCAAAGGTCTGGCTTCATCTTTTTTCTGAGACTGCTTCTGCTCTTTCTGCTTCTGTTCCTTTGGAGGTCCGCTCTGTTGCGTCGCTGCGGGAGCAGCCGCCTTTGCTTGAGCTCTCTTTGCTTGCTTCTCTAGCTGCTTCTGCTTCTTCAATTCTGCACCTGACAATTTTTTTGAAGCGCCGTCTTCCACAGGCTTTGCATCCTTAGGATCAGCCTTTGCCGGAGCTGCTGGGATTGCTTGATCGTTCGGCGCTTGCAGCGGTGCAGCCGGGGGGGCCACCGCTTCGCCTTCAACTAGTCCACTCATTCCGTCGGCAGGAGCTTTAAATCCTTGCGCGTCTCTTTCAGTCCTCAAATACAATATTTGCAATTGACGTGCAGTTGTTGCCGAAAGCGGGGGAAGTTAGGTATTGTGGAAGGTCACAATTGCCGGGGCGAAGGCATAGGTCTTTATCGGATAGTCACGTTATTGTGTTCAGTTGGTGCGGATTCGGGGCGCCAATCGTGGTGGAGGCGTGTGCGAAATTGATAGAGAATGTCCGACCCCGTTGACTCACAGAGTGGTTCTAGTCGTGGGCTAGCGCGCCAAGATCCTCCGCGCACCCTTGTTGCTGGCGTCATAGTCCGGCCCTATATTGAAGCACGACTCGCGTTCATCCCCCGCAATAACGTACCACCAGAACCAACAACATGGCTGAATCAATCAATATCACGGAACTTCCGCTGGACATACTTGTATTGGTCTTTCCCTATCTTGATGCCAAAAGCTTCCTCGCTTTTTGTAGTACTTGCAAGGCATTTCAGCAGCCCTCGATTCGCTTGGACCCTGCATATTGGTCCTTCCAGAGCCGCAGTAAGTCAAGACTATGCACCTGAGCGAGCCGGGACATTTCCAAGGGATCTCGCCATACATTTCTGGCATACCGTCTTCTCCACCACAATGAGGATTGCTGACGCCTGTAGGCACTTTTCGCATACCAAACCAGCCAGTTGTGCAGCATGATGGAGTTCGCTGGCAGAAGATGTACAAACGCCTCTTCACACAGACCCGAGTGTATACATGGGGAAGCGAGGGAAACAATCGTCTAGGTCATCAGACAAACGCCCGGTCATGCCCGTCTCCTCAAGAAATGCATGGAGCTCGAGAGATGGGGGTCATCGCTGATTTACAAAACGGTGGATGGTCGACTACGATCCTCAACTCTAAAGGGACATTGTATTCAGTTGGACTCTTGGATGGCGAGCGAAGCTGGGGTGGTAACGCTGATCCAAAAGCGTTGACTTTCCCACCCGGATACCCACAATCACCTGCTGCCGCTGCGTACAACGAGCCCACAATCGCAATACGTCAGTTTTCTTCTGGGCGATCACACATACTAGGTCTCTCCGACAGTGGTCGGATCTGGTCTTGGCACAGTTTTGATCACCCTGCTGTTCAGATCAAGTTCGTCAATATAGATCTCAAAGAAGATTCTTCTGGTGGTTCAAAACTGGCAAACAGTTCGCTATTTGGGACAGTGAAGCAGGTAGTCGCAGGGTGGAGTTATAGTTCAGCTTATATTCATGGTGTCGGAGTCGTTGCGTGGGAGCCGCTCCGACCCAGAGCAGCCCAGCATGGTCCACGGCGAGCTCGCTCAGTCCCACGGCGGCTCTTACAGCGGGACCCTGAGCCTGACGAGCCTGACACTATGTTGCTACTTGAGAATTTCGAGCTTCCAAAGACAGGGTACCAACGCCCCAAGGGAGCTGTCCGAGAATCAGACCAAGACCGGGCTCTTGGAGAAGAAGTTGGACAGGTGAAGAACCACATTGTTCTTGAGCACTTCGTGGTATTTGTCACCGATATTGGCAAAGTGTTCTGCAGTAGGCTGGATGAGAAAGGCAGGGCAGACAACATTTTGGAGCTTTGTGCGTTCGGTGGTGAGATTGGAAAACCGTTGGACGTTCAAGGCTCATTCCGGACATTCGCAGTATTCAGCAATGGCAGGGTAGTCATTGCGGAGCAGGATTACTTAGAAAGAAGTTGGAACGCGCGTACTACCAATCCTAATCAGACGGAGATTGCAGGGTTGAAGTACATACCGGCTCTGCAACACAACAACGTTGTGTCGATAGCCTTTGGTGATTGGCACTTTCTGGCCCTGCACTCGACTGGAAAGATAACCGCGTATGGCAAGGGAGTGGGGTTCCAGGAATCTCTCGGGCTAGGAGCACTACAGGCCGTTCGCCTCCGTGGTCTCGATTCCCCGAGCTTCGCTCGAGACGGTTATACGAGAGGTAAAGAAGTATGGTTCCGCAAAGAACAGCAGGAGTGGCTGGAGCTCCTTCATTCTGGCGGCAAAGACGTGCAAGAGGCAGCAGGGCGATATGGTCTGTACTCCGGTGGGAACCTAAACATCCTAGGTGAGCTGGGCGAATGGATCGAGCAAGAGGCTAAAGTCTGGGACGAGGTATGTTGGATTCCCCTCTATCATGATGCAAACAGACCCTTAGAATCAGCCCTGTGCTGTCACATTGGGGGATTTCCACCGCTCTTTGATGATCTAGAAGGTATGCATAATTGCCTAGGAACGCGCTAACAAATCTATAGGATAAGGGCGAGGATGGTCTCGGTGCTTACTTTGCGCTCAGAGTGAGTGCAGCAGGTCATCATTCAGGTGCTGTGCTCCTGGTGAACGAAGAGCTTGCAAAGAAGGAGATCAATTATGATTGGCGCAACAAATCATTCCCCCGTCTAGTACATGATGGCGAGGAGATGCCAGGCTCAGTTCCGATCGATGAGTGGCGGGAGGGCAGGCCTGAGCTTTAGCTTGGTTAGGAGAATACTTAAGCGCACAGCATGGGCAAGTGGCACTCAGGCTCGGAAAATGACCCACTGATCATGAACGAATACGTCAATGATGTAGCTATACACCCTCCTATCATGCGAAGTACTTGGCGTGTTATCCTTATGCAGGATGTACCATTTGGGTGATCAATGAAGTCTCCTCAGCAGCTCGTTCAGTCTTTCGATCGCCTCCGCACGTCTATCAGCGATCTCCATAAACTGCTCCCTAGAGCTCGCGCCGATGCTTCCAATGTACACGTCTTTCTTCCCCTCTTTAAGCTCCGCCCACGTCTCCTTCACAAATTCCTCTGCCGGCATACCCATCTTCTGCCCAGTCTCAGCACCAAACTCATAATCATGTATCTCTGACTGCACAAGCGGTGGGGAGATATGCAAGATGTCCACGCTGCTGTTGCGCAGCTGTTCCCGAATGCACTGGACGAAGGCATCCAGTGCGGCTTTCGACGCACTGTATGCGGGCCAGGAAGCCCCTGGGACAAGCGAAATGTGCGTTCCAGTGTAAATTAGTGCAGTAGGATTGGAAGATGCGAGGAGATGCGGGAGGAAAGCGTGTGTCAGAGCGACGAAGGATGTGAAATTCGTGGTCATCTCTTTGTTGAACTCGGAGAGCTGCACTGTGGATGGCGAGGCGAAATTGAAACGGCGTTGCTGGCCGGCGTTGAGGAAGACGGCGTCGATTGTGGGATGTTGCTTGATCGCGCTGTGATGGTGGTCAGTGATGACGCAGTCGAAAGAGAGAGGGAAAACGTTACTTCTCAGCAAAAGCGGACAAGCTTTCCAAGTTTGAGATGTCGGCGGCCAGGCTGGAGGCTTTCGAGGAACCATGGGCCGAGACAAAGGCATCGAGACGGTCTTTGCGACGCCCAACGGCTGTGACATGGATTCCTTCCGCGATAAGTTTGTCTGCCATTGCCTTCCCTATTCCAGATGTTGCTCCGACCAAAAGAACATGCTTGTATGGGAATGACATGGTCACGCCTGATGACTGAAGGTTATATCAAAAACGTGTGCTTTGCAACAGAGAATTCGGGTGCGTTGTGCTGTTAGAAAACAGACAATGAAGAGTTACTTTATATATTGCTTGAATATATAAGTCCGGATAGTACTCCAGTAAAGACGGCATTTGCACATCTTAAGTCCATGGACTTCTGCACGAAATCGATACTCTTTTGGGAAGTGTATACCCGTGGCAGATGCGCCCGAGACTCATGGAACAAAGTTTCGGATTTAAGCCAATTTATTGACCTTGAACAGGATAGCGAAGGCGACGAGATATCGGACACTGTTGCGTCAGCGTCGAAGTGCATACCCAAATCAGACTAGAACGTGGTTTTTCATTGGCCCGACAAACAACTCGTTGGGCGGTCACTCCGACGGTTTAGCGTCAACATCACTGTTCATCTCACGCCTTGCTTTCTCATCCTTCCTCGAGCCAACATCACCCATGTGAGTGTTAATGTCGCTTTTACGGTGACAAGACGCGCAAAAACTCAGACAAGAGAATCCTCCTGTACCACATGCTACTAAGAAAATAGCTCTGACCACTCTCATTCCTCGGGTATAGCAAAGGAAAATCAACCGTCTGTGAGCTTATTGTAGCTATCTCCTCAAGGACCTAGTATGGTTTTTAGAGGTAAACCGTCAAAGGCCTGTCAGAGATGTCGGGACCGGAAACTCCGAGTACGCCTACCCTCGCCCGTGGGCCGTTCCATCCTGTCACTAAACGCTAGTAGTGCAACCTTCAGCGGCCATCCTGTAGCTCCTGCCTGCGAATTGGAGTCCGGTGCTATGGATATCGTGATACGGACGTCCTGCGTATCTCGAACGAAACCGAGTTTGTTCATATGAAGGCTATTTCAGCCGAGAAGCGAGTCATGACACCAAAGCGGGCCAATAAAGCGAGCTTCAAGCTTTCCCACTTGCCTTTAGATCTCCAAGCCCAGGCGAGACAGCTTTTCTTTGCGTACTACATTGCGGATTTCAGTCGAGTATGGGATTTCTTATACCCCCATTTCGATCCAAAGACTGCCCCGGAACACCTCTCCCTCAGCATAGATGCTGCAAGTCTAGCGTTCTTGTCACACCACGTGAACTCTCCTTCTGCACAGAATCTAGGGAGACAAAAGTACGTTGGCGCGCTCAGGGAGACAAATAAGGTGCTGCAGGATCCGACCACCCTCCCACAGACAAACACACTTGAAGCCTCGCTGCTACTAGACCTCTTTGAGAGAATCACAGATTCTAGACCCACTTCTGTTGTGTCTCAGCGAGCCCATGTGGATGGCGCTCTGGCGCTCGTTAGGCTTAGAGGCTTGCAGCACTTCACAGACCCGGGTGGCTTGAAGGCGCTCACAAGGCTGGCACTAAACTCCGTCGTCATATCAATAACCAACCGCGAGAGTATACCGGAAGACGTTACAAAGATCAGAGAACATACAGCAAACTATACTGACGTCTCGCATCCCAAGTGGTTGTTGTCAGGCATCACACTGAAGGTCACTGACCTCCTTTCAGAGATCACTAAGAGTGTCCTGACAGCAGAAGAGAAAGTGCGGCGGTGTGTTGTATTGGAGAGACAGCTTGAAATCATCGACAATGAGGCGCCTCCGAAATGGTCGTATGACCGGATATATGTTACAGAAGAGCAAGAAGACACGACTTTGGATGGTTACTACGATGTCTACGCCTCCCGCGTAGATACACAGATGTGGAATGTCCTCCGGTTTATAAGGATCGTTCTCTGCGATGAGATTATTGAATCCTGCGCCAATACTAATGACAAGACCAGCCAGCACGCAATGGAGACCGCCGCCTTGGTAGTCCGAGAAGTGTGTGCCACGGTCCCTCAGATGACCGACTGCAATGGTCCTGCTAGGCACAAATTACCACCGGGATCCAGCGCAAATATGCACACTCATACGCTGTCACATTTTCTCGACACGTACATTCTCCTATTGGGGCTGTATGCCGCTGCATGGTCCCGCGGTTGTCCCGAGAAAGCAAGGATCTGGATCATTAAACAGCTTGATAGGATTGCTGAGCACTTTGGGGTGAAAGAAGCGGCGACAGTGGCGGCAATATTGAAAATGCAGGATGCGAGGGCTAGGACAGGACCCTGGGACGTGTATCGGCTTATTGGAAGCTATGCATTCGCAGCATAGCAATGTCCCTTCGAGTCAGAAATCAAACCTGGGTTCCCCGACTGCACGGGAGCTGTTCAAGCGGTGCATGTATCGAATGCTCGTCAACAGGTCACAATAGGATACTGTTGCGACCCGTCACGCGCTATCCGTTCCTCTGGTCGTTTCCGGAGATTGACAGAGAGCACTCCTACAAATGTGATCCTAAGATGGAGTCTTGGAGATGCTCGGCAGCTCGTATAGCAGCACCTACGCTCAAAATATCAATTGCCGATACATATGTATGTAAGTGCGGAAGTAGGAGCGGGTGTAAGGGCGGACGTTGTATCCATAGTGTATTCCCGCAGCTGCCACATTGGTAGACTTGCCAAGTCGTCGTTATGGTATTTCCTACACATTCGTACGCCAGATGACCAGAAACCTGGGTATGCCGATCCTACGGACAGGGGCCGATTCGTGCCGTTCCGTTGCCTACAGGCATTTGATCCTTGCGGTGCAGATGGTCCCCAGCATTCCGCCGAGGGAGTGGGCAGCGAGATTGCATGCCGAGAATGTAGTACCGCCTGATCCTAAAACATTACAAGCATGTCTGCAGGCGCAGCACACCGCGTGGCAGCCTCCTCGTTCTCCCATGGGGTCCACGAGTGTTGTAATGGAAGACTGGACCCTGAGGCTCGGGTCTTGCCTAAACCCAATTCGAACGATAAGAGGCCGATATCCCACCGTGATCCTGGACTGCCCAGCCAGTCCAGACCTCTTCTTTCTCTCGACTCCATCCCAATATCAACCCCGCACATCTTCGACGCTATTGCCGTGGAACACTTTTAGTTGCAAAGATGACTTTCCTAGCAGCACACGCTCAGCGCCGCCGCAAGAGCGCCTCTCTTGGCAAGAGCGGAACGCCAAGAAGTTTCTATGCACGCCATCTCAGCTGGGAGGCTCTAGATCAGCCACATTAGGCGGACTCTGTTACATCTCACCAATCTGGCTCACACACGATCTCTAGCTCGGTGCCTGCATCGTTCGCCTCTCGCTTTCCCAGTACAAGGATCTGGCGCCTGTCCAAGGTTAACATACGGAGTAAAAATAGCTGAACGTGCACATGGAATCCTCGTATCGATCAAGTCGCCCTACGCGGCATTTTGGAAACAGAGTTTGCAACCAGGTCTCGTGTCTGGCTGTCTATTGTATTCTTAGTCGTCTCTAGGCATCGACTTTGCTTTGCCTGTTCTGGAGTGTCATGATTCTGGCTGGGACACAGTGATTTGCCTCTTCCGCTTAGTCCCGAAGCTGAAAAGGACCCACCTCCCAAGTTACCCGGAGTAAGAGATCTGACAAAGTCTCGCCTCTCGAACCCAATGATGTCCCTCAAGCTGTCAGATGAATACGAGCTAGGCTCCTTGGGCGGTATCAGCCGCTCCCGACGTCCTGTATCGGCTGTGAAAAGACGAAGTACGGCGTAATAGAAGTCCGGGGACCCAGTCTCTTATCCATCGGCTTGGGTATGCTTCGCGAGAAGCTTATTTCAGTGGCTTACGAACCTTGAGTGGCTTTTCGCCGTCGCCGCAACGAATGGCACGCGTGCCGATGGCGACCTAACACCTCTTTCCGGCTTGTATTCTCTCCCGATGCGGCTTTAAGGGCTTGGAAGTATTGTGGCGGACGCGGAAACATTTCGTGTATGCACACAACCTGGCGTGACTGAGCAAAAGCTCTACATCTGGGCTTCCAGACCGGAACGATGCTGTCCACGGAGACATAGTCGAGCGGGGGTACACCTCCAGGTGCTGATTCTAGGATCCATACCCCAAAGCAAAAGGCCTAGGTCGATAGCCTGTGCACATCCTCCAACCCACCGTAGAAGTGCTGAGCGACGTGTATATAAACCTCGCCTCTCCACGTTGTTTTCCTGAGCAAGACACTTCCTTTGTTGTCCCATCCAACCTAGTCATGACTCGCCTTACGATCCTTTCCTCCCTGCTGGCGCTGGCTTCCGGAGCTTTGGCTGCCACACCCATTCCAGACATATCACCATTGGGTGTTGTGGGCGCCTTTGGCGGGTTAGTGTCCCACTCCTTCGTAAATCTTCAGCCACTGACAGAGTTAGCTGCTCTGTCGACCCCAGCGACTCCAACTATGCAGGATCTGTCACAGTGGATGGCTGGTCTATCAAAGTACCAAAGAACCTCATCGTCCAGTTTCCTACTATTTGGGTCCCCTTCAAGAACCTCTGCGGGGCTGGTATTGATGGGTACGAAGTCACCGTCTTTGGCAACATCATCGGTTCGACGCCAACAGCCGCACAAATCATCGTTACCGGTGGGTTCGAACTACGATCAGGCGTAGGATACATTGATTCAATCGATGTTGCCGATGGTTCATTCAAGCTTCGTGGACTTGGTACCAAGTTGCGACTGAGCGACCCGAACGGTGTGTTTGGAAAGGAATCGAACCTATCACCATTCTTCCCAGTCGACGATGAGAACCCAAGCATCCAAGCATTCTCCGGATTCCCTATGTGCTTCCCACGTTCATCCAGTGATGATAGGTGCCCCTCCTCAAACCGCCCAGCCGGATCAACGAACTTTGCGGCTCCTGATCCTCTGGCTATGGTTCCTTTCCTGGTCGGCGACTTCATTACATACACTGCTATCCCCAAGAGTGGCGAGCTCCTCGTGTTCGAGATGTCGGCCACCAATGTGCAGGTCACGACTTCAGCCTCTAACACAGTACCCAATTATATCTTCATTGAAGATGCAATTATTGGAATCACTGACGCTGATCCCAACGTCGAGGTTGCTGATACTCGGGTCAGTTTTTCGTACCCAAAACGGCATTGCCTGACTGACTTTCAACTAGTTCATTGGCTACCTTTCCAGCTGCACTGGCGCCTCAGTCCAAATCTATGCCATTGAAGTCGACCCATGTACAGGCGACGAAAACCTCCGCCAGGTCGGCTCTGCCACGCCCAGAGCCGGCGACGTTCGATGCAAGTGGGAAGCCCGTGTCGCAGCCTCCACCCCGTACACCCGCGAATACGTCATCAAGACGAACACCCCCGTCGTCGAGACCAAGGACGGATTGAAAGCCGGACAATATATCACACCCGTTACAGAATGGATCCAGCCCGAGGTCAACGTCCCTGGCGCCGAGCCCCCAGCACACCGCTTTTCCGACATTCGCGGCCTTGTGCAAGGCGACTTTCTCGACGGCGAGCAATATGGCCCTCTCTCTCCGTTCCCCGGACCGACGCCGCCCTCCCCATCCAAGACTTGTAGCCCCAACGATCCCAGCGGACCCGTCGCGGAGCCCACCGCCACCATCGCCCCCTTCTCCGCCGACCAGCGCACAGGCGCAACCATCCAGCTCGTCGTCCAAAACAACAACACGGACATCCCCAACTCCGCGCTCGAGTTCAAGTGGACGCAGATCGAGCCCTCGGGCGTCCCCAGTGCCTCCGTCACGCTCGAGTCCCCAGCCGCGCAAACCGCATCCTTTGTCGCGCCCAAGCTGACCGCCGCGACCACGCTCAAATTCGAAGCCACCATCAGCCTCAAGTCAGACTCGTCGAAGACGTCCAAGGCACAGGTCTCCGTACGCGTATCCGGCACTGTGGCTGACATCGTCACGCTCGACACGTACACGTGGGAAAGCCGGCAGAGTGGGACGATTGGCGTGACATGCCACTCGAATGTCGCGAATGGGGATGTCAAGACGATGACGCTGGCGCTAAACAACAATGGCACGCGGTTGGCGATGAGTAGTTTGGGCAGTGGGAGGTTCAGTTATAGCGCGCGGAGCACGAAGCAGCCGACGAATGTGCAGTGTTATAGCAATCTGGGTGGCAAGAGTGCGCTGTTAACTGCGCCGACGAAGAGGAAGAGAGATTTCAAGAGGACGGTTGTTTTGGAGTGAGGGTTCTTTGGGATGGGAGGGCTGGCGCGATGAGGGATTCTTGTCTTGTGGCGTTTGGATGGGTTGCGTATGGTGCGCGAGGTAATGTCTTCTCTTCGACTGTACATAATTTCTTCTTCCCCCGCAGAGGGGCTTTGTCCCACCAAGTCAGTTTGACATGGTCGTAAAAAGGAATGTTATCAAGTACTCTTCAAGACTGAGTTAAGCTACAAAGCCGGGGGGCATAGCGTGTCCTCGACGCGACCGTGGACTGAAGAACCGACTTCGCAACGCAGACAGGGTATTATTAGGGCCGCATAATGCCAAATCTATAATCTATCATGCTTTTCGCTCGCAAAAAATGCTTTACGACGCTCGGAAGAACTACGCTCCTTCTATGCCGAAACCGTAGCCTCAGCCGTCGGCTGGGGCGCTTCTGCAGTTGCAGTCGGCGTGGGCGCCGTCGCGACACTGCCTTCCTCCCCTCCCCACAAGTATATTTCGCTCTCGCCGACGACCTTGCCGGCCTTCTCCCAGCGTTCGGTGCGCTCTCTCCTTCGCTCCTCAGCCAGCTTGGCGAGCGCGGGCCAGTACACGCTGTGGTCGTACTCGAAGTCGACTTCGCCGCCGGCGTTCTTCATGAGCTGCGAGGCGGGGATGTGGTCGGTGAGGGGCTCGTTGTAGCGCATCTTGGTCTTTGTGACAGGGTCGATGAAGGGGGAGATGAGCTTGAGGAAGGTGGTGACGTACCAGGGCACTGGCGGGGATTAGCAACTCACACATAGACTCAACAAACATGTCGAGCGCGGTCATGCAAGCTCACAGTGCGTGATCAATGCCCTGCCCAGGCGCTCCGGGTAGTGGTTCTGCAGGATGCTCAAGACCTGTCTGCCTGTGCCGATGCTAGGCTGGCTCCCAGCACTGCTGTTCCGGAAGTCGATCAGCAGCGCCAGCGTCTCCTGGCCCGGCGGCGAGATGTCGAGTGTGCGCTCCAACATGTAGACCAAGTGCTCGACCTGCTTCGGGCTGTTCTTCGTGTTCTGCTTGTTCGGAAGGAGGTAGAGGCACGGCCTGCCTTCGTTGTCGTAGCCGAGGGCTACCTGTTTGCCTAGAAGGGTATCATGAGCGCCTGGCTAATTCGGACGACGTAACGCTGCTTACCCGTGGCGTTCTCGTCGGAGATGTAATCAGCGGTGAAGGAATCGGTCCCGTATTCTCTCCGCCAGATGACGGTATCTCGCAGACGCTGGGTGGCATTCGGCAGGTTCCATTTGGTCGCACGGAGGTACCGCAGAAGGCACTCGCGGGTAAGCCACATGCGCTCGGGGTCTGCGAGTGCCTCCTCTTCTGCGCCTTTGGCAGACGCCTTCGGGAGCGTTGTCCATGCCTTCACAGTCGCGAGGAGCTCGTCGTACTTTTTCTGCTGGTCGGCGGTGAGCGCGGGCGGCGCGGCGGGCTTCTTGCCCTCCGCTGGGTGCGGGAAGGGGCCAATGGCAGACATGGCTTTGCGGATTTTATTCGGAGGCGAACAGAGGCGGAAAACAACGTTTCTTGCTTTCCAAAGGAGGACGCTGACGAGGCTGCTCTTCTGGCGAGCTGGTGGACCCTGATCTCACTACGCCATAAACACCGTACCAATGGCGCGGATCGCTGTACGGCCAGACTCGCTAAGGGCCCCCTTCGCGGCTAGCTTTGCGGCTGCGTGGGGTGCTCGACGCGTCCGAACGCGTCTCGAAACTTTGGAGCGCGTGCGCATCGTCACCATCCCGCTTCGGACCGCACACTCAACAGTCACACTCCGTGCATTGCTGTGCTTTCCCATATTTAGCCATCCCAGCAGCGCACTCCAAGCGCCATGGACGACACGGCCGAGCTCACCGAACGCTTCGAGCGCTATTGCGCCACAAAGGACAACGACGTCCCCTCCGAAATCCTCAACGAACTGCAGTCCATCCAGCGCATATTCTCAATCTCTGCCGAAGAGCTCGACTTCAAATGGCAGGCGTACAATATGAAAATGGGCGGAGAGGAAAAGATGGACTTGAAGACGGCGAGAGATTTCAAGAAGGATCTGCAAGACTCGCTGGAGAAAGAAAGCAGAGGCAAGGTGCAACAGAGGGGCGATGCGAAGCGAGTGGCACCCACGCCCAGAGCGGCGAAGGGTGGGGACATGTATGATATGTACGTGGTGTTTCTCGAGGACCGCATAGAGCAGGCATGCTAATACACCCAGGCTGGATGGCATGATTGCTACCCCTCGAGCAGCCCCTCTGGGCAGCGCCGCAAAGCGACGATCCAACTTCGATGCCCCCGCCGGTAAAGCGCACAAGAACCATGAGATGAGCTCTCCAGCAGGCGGACAGACACCCAGAGGCGAAGTTGGCGACGCATCGTACGTACATACCTCGGAATGCATAGCATCGATTAACGAAAGACCAGTGTCTTCGACTTCTCCTCTCGCAAGAACGCTGGCGACATCGCCGAACAGTTGAACGGGCACATCGCCCTATCCGATGCTCCGGAAGAACCCCCCTCGGAAACACGCATCAAGCTAAAGGCCAACACCGACATGTCCAAATTCAACTACAAAACCATGGCCATGAAGCTCTCCGAAGCCTCCGAAGTGCTCGACGACCGCATTGACGAGTTCCGCCAATTGCTGCAAGAACACCTCGATCTGGAAGATAGTGCCTTCGGCAACCCCTCATACCAGTCTCCAAACGAGGTCATCGCAGTGGGGCGTATATGCTCCGACACGAGCGAGGGCAAGCTCAACGCTGCATCCATAGTACTAGAGGGCTCTCGGCGATGGGGTTCAGGACGAAGGGTCCCTCTGACCCTGGACAAACTAACATCATACAACTTCTTCCCTGGACAGATCGTTGCCCTCAGAGGCATCAACGCGTCGGGCGAGAACTTCGTCGTCTCAGAAGTGCTTTCGTTTCCCCTCCTCACCCAGCCCGCCTCCACCCCGGCAGAACTAGACACCTACAACGCGCGGTACCTCGACACCCCCGAATCCGACCCTTCCACGGTTCGCCCCCTCACCGTCCTCATAGCCTCTGGCCCCTACACCACTGACCAGAACCTCGACTTCGCCCCGCTCCACACCTTCCTCGACAACGCCGTCTCCGCCTCCGCCGACACCATCGTCCTGATCGGCCCCTTCCTCGATGCAGAACACCCCCTCATCCGCTCGGGCGACTTCGATATCCCCCCTCACCTCACATCCCCCGACCAGGCCACCATGACCGACCTCTTCCGCCACTTCATCTCCGCGCCCATCCAGACCTTCACCAGCCGCCTCCCCACCTGCAACGTCATCCTCGTGCCGTCCCTGCGCGACGCACACCACCACCACGCGGCCTTCCCGCAGGACAAGTTCGCGAAGAAGGAGCTCGGCCTCGGCGCCGCGGGGAGGCACGTTCAATGCGTCACGAATCCCATGACGCTGAGCATGAACGAGTTCATCGTGGGCATGTCGAGCCTGGACGTGCTGCACATGCTGCAGCGCGAGGAGATTGCGGGCGGGAAAGCAAGGAGCACGCATCTCTATGAGCGGGGTGCGAAGAATGTGCTTGAGCAGCGCAGTTTTCTGCCGGTTTTTCCGCCGACGGGGAGGGACAAGTTGCTTGCACCGAGTGCGGTGGAGGCGGCCGTGTTCAAGGAGGGTGTTGCGGATGGTGACACGGAGGAGGGCCCAAGTCCCTTCCTGCCACTGGGCACCATGGTAGATACGAGTTATCTCAAGCTGGGCGAAATGCTGAATGTCCGGCCGGATGTACTCCTCACGCCCAGCGTTTTGCAGGGCTTTGTCAAGGCATGTTTCCCCTCGTGCATCCTTTTACGTCTGAGTGGGAGTGCTGATTTACGTGCTGTAGGTTGTGGAGAGTGTGCTGGTCATTAATCCGGGAACGTTGTGCAAGCGCAGGGCAGCAGGCACGTATGCGAGGCTAGTAGTTCGGCCTGCGGATGTGAGTGAGGAGGAGAGGCAGAGGGGGGCTGCGGTTGCGCATAAGCTGTGGGAAAGGGCGAGGGTGGATATTGTAAAGATCTAAGTGCTTTGGGTGGGCGTGTTTGGCGTTTCGGAGCGGAGTTGGCCGCGACGGCTGTACCAATGGTTGCATTGGGCTTTGGTGGTACATAGCATCTGAGTAATCGACGATAACGTTTTGCATGCTGAGACTCTGACCTGCTGTTGAGGCGCGGATGGATTTTCGGCTCTAATTGGGATTCGCTCTCTTGTCCGTGCTGGATATCATGGTCATGCTTCGATTCTCACGCTGATGTGTCATACGTTCATGCAGCCACACGGGTCCAAGGTTTGTGAATTCAGGACTTGAATTTGTTATCGATCCGAACCGACACCTCCCATCCCTGTCTAAAAGCAGGATAGGATAACCGAAGAAGCCCAGCAATGCATGCATGCCATATCCGATGTGAGGCTCCTCATGCCCTCGTATCCATGTTCGTCACATTGTCATTGTGTATAACCGTCGCGCCTTTTCCTCCGCTACTCCGACCGCCAATGCTTGGGGAATTTATCGGTGCTGTTGGGCGTTAGTTAGAGTCTGCCCGTATGTATCCTTTACGCGTTGCAGGGTCTGCAGTGCATCCAGGTGCAGCGGCGCGCGTGTTACGCAGGGCATGCGTACCTTGACGAAACCAATGTCGGCGCTCTTCTCGCGGAAGCACTGACGGCAGATGTTGAGGCCGTACTTGCGGATGAGACCGGCAGGGTGCGTGCAGACACGGCTGTATAGGATCCAGTTAGTACATGTTCGATCCACTCAGGTGCTCGTTCGCGTATGCCATTTCGGGCCCATGGTGGCCATCATTGTCCTCCTTCCCTGCCACAGATGGCCGGCGCGCATTTATATAAGAAGGGTGGACGTACCACTCGCGGGAGCCCTTGCCGTAGGTGCGCGGGCGCGAGTACCAGACGGATTCGTGAGACATAATGTGTGGTTGAGCGAGGTCGAGGTGGAGAGGTCGCTGCTACGGGTGCGTTAGCGGTGCCATCTTTGAACTAGATAGTAGACGTCGTCCTCAGGGCGAGTGGGACATACTGGTTAGGAGTCGTCGGTCTGCGTCGGGGCTGTCGTTCACGAATGTCGCTGGGTTTGGAGTTTCGAGGAATTTCGCAACGCACACTGCCAATCCTTGGCAGTTAACCGAGCGCTAGCTGACGCTAGGCCGACTCGGGTCACCCCACCATCCTTTCCCCGTCCGCGCCGTCTTCGGTAGAACGCCAACACCTAATCTCGCGAACTTTCATTGATGCGGCTGTCGTTGTTCGCAACACTTGCCCATTGGAATGAAAGACGAAGAGGAGCTAACACTTTTATTCATCATCATGTCTTTGCTTTCTTGCTACCCATGACGAAGTCACCTAAAAGTAGCCCACAGATCTCATACTGGTCACATCTGCTTCCGCCTCTCCACTCCTCAATGCCACTCTTGCAGCTCTGAATGTTCAGCAATGAGTGCCGAGTCGATCCAAGCCTGCCAATCCTCCCCAGCGTCCCACTCCATCTCGGGGTCCCCGTGCCATGGACCCAACGCACTGAACAAGCTCTCCGCACCCACGACCGCGGATTCTCTGGCTACCTCATCCGTTGGCTCACTTGTTGCATAAGTGTTCTGATCCTTGAGTTCGTGGTGAGCACTGTATGTGAGAAACCTCAACGGATCATCGAGCGCCGCATCCGCCATGATCTTTTGCGCGCCGTCATCGAGACCTACAACACGACGCCATCGCTGGAGAAAAACCCCTTCCATCCCAGCAGTAGGGAACGGAGCAGGATGCGAACCAAAGGATATCTTCCTATCTAGCATTTCCAAGTCACGCGCAGCCTGCGGGTTCGCACGCAGGCGATGCAATTCGGCTTCCCGGTGTCTCTGCACGTTGCGAATCAGCTTTCTGATAGGAAACCATATCTGCTTATCTTGGTCCTTCAGTGCTTTGGAAGGAATCAGCCACGGACTATTCAATGCTACCCATGCCCGCTCCACGGTAGGACTCCACTCCCTTCTTGGTATTTCCAGCGCGAGGTATACAGACGCATGCCAGTGCGTGCATGTTTGATATATCCACCGCCAATTCCTGCACGCCTCCTCTGCGTTCATGGCGTGGTTGTACTCTGCGACCTGGATTGCTGCGTGGAATAGCTTTGTGCAGTGCATGTTGTCCATTGATGGCTCGACTCGCGAATTTGGAGCCCTCCTGCAAATGACGGGTGCAAATGACAAGAGCGTAAGTTTCGCCATGACGAGACGTGCCATGCATACCGACACCCAATAAGATAGGCCGCCATCAGTCTCAGTCGTATGCTGCAAGTATTGCGATTGGAACTTTTGGAAGACCTCTTCGATTAGAGAGAGCCTCTCCTTGAAACTCAAGTGAAAGCCAGACGACAGTAGCTGGCGGTGGACGTCAGTCAAGGCAGCACCGATACGTGCGAACGATACATCTGTCACGCCGTAGCGCTCGGGTGGGGTGACAGTCGTTTGCGGACTGATGTCTGCATCGTTGATATTAAGAGGGTATTTTGTGTCAAAGTCTAGTGACGCGTAAACCATATGTGTTCCCTGATCTTCAGACACTTTTTGATCGAGAAGGCACATCGCCCACCACACCCTTCTGCACATTTCGACTTCGAACACGGTACGGTGGGGCGAGCCTTCTCCATCTCGATGCAGCCCAAGATACTGCGCCATCCTTGTTAACAATCCGAACATCATCCAAACGAATCTAGGGCTCTCACTCCTGCGATGCAGAGCGAGGAAAAGGGTCAGAGCCTTCACCGCGGTAATGGTGGGGTTGTTGAGAAAGTCTGCGCGAGCAAGGCAGGTCTCGAGTCCAAGACGAAATTTTGTGGTGAGTGCGGCTCTCGAGATCCCAAAGCTAGATTGAACATCTGAGTCCTCCATCGAGGCTACTGCTGCGTAGTAAACCCCAAAGAACAGTGCTTCATCGGAAGGATCGATGTTTGTCATGGACCCTGGAGAACGGGTTGTTTCGAGCAGCGTCGGCATATGTATGACGCGGACAAAGAAGTTGACGTTGCGCTCATACACCTCCAGGAGGTATGGTATCTGGCTTGGTAAAGGACGGTATTCGCTCAGTGGGGCGTTCGAGCTGGTTCCAAAGAGAAAAGCTCCGGGCTCTGAGAGTACTGGTGTCGGTGATACTATCGCTGTCTCTTGGGCCCGAAGCTCATCTTCAGAACTGTCAGAATCCAGTTCTGCGACACCGTGGGTGTCTGCTCGAAGCGCGGAAAGCTCCTGATCAATCTTTGCCCAGAATGTGCTGGTCACATAATGGGAACTGGCCCCACAAAACTTCCCATTTTGACTGAGGGCTGAACTGAACCTTACTGCGTTTTGGGACCCTTGACTTGACGACCACTGTTGCGTAGCAGTGTCGATCGCACCATCGCGACCGCCTGCACTGATTGGAGTGTGCACAGATGCATTGGCTTCTTCAATCTCACGTTCGAACTGCTTCACCAACCCTGCGAGTTTTTGTAGCCTTTCCTTGACTTTGGTGATGCTTGGCGTAACGGCTTGGGGCGTAGCACCTGGACGCTTCTCCAAGTTGCGAGCCCATCTTGGAGGTCCCTCTGTGGAAGGCACGACGCATGCAATACCCCCACGGCGGCAGTTTGAGCAAGGCGACCTTTTGTCACAGCGCACTCTGCGGGTGCGACAGGTGATGCAGCTCCGCGGCTTCGTTCCTGCAGGTTGGCGTACTGGGTTAGGTGCGGTTGAGAACGCAGACGGGCCCGCGGTGCTGTCGGAAAAAGAGAGTCCGTATTCCATAATCGGATCCAAGGGAGATGAACTCGCGGCCTGTTGATTACCATCAAGTCGACCTCCCTGGAGATGTCGACCCAAGGTGTTTTAGTTCATCCTTTTTAAGCGCAGAGAGCTTTGCCTACTTTAGGAATAGTCTGGAAGCACCTTTCAACGGAGCCACCTTACACCGTTTCCTTATTACATTTGCTATACACATATACTACGAGATGTGTAGCCCTGATCAAGCGAGCCGGATCGCAACACCTAGGACTGAACGTCCTTCCTTTTCCGCTGTCAAGGTCTGCTTTCTCGCTTACGGCCCTATTTGTTCTAGTGGCGTCGTTATCTAGCCTACCAGCTACTCGCCATCTCATGGGAAGTTGCACTCGAGAGCAAGGCGCCCTTCTGTAGCCGCCTAGCCTCTTGGTAAGCTACACGATGCTGTGCCGAGCGCAGTTGCTCTAAAACTAGCACGTGGCTTGTGTTGGAGGGGACGCGTACGTGCGTTTTACAAAGGGGAGCTAAAGAGATTTTGGCTGGATTATTAGGATTGGCCAGACTCTGATCTGGCAAACCCTTAATTACGGGTAAGTCATGTTGGACACCCAGTGGCTTTACGCCTTGTGTCGCCGCTTATGCTTGTGGGATACTCATGATTCCGCCCAATGGATCTGCTTGCGATTAGGCAGAAACTACTCGGGAGGGTTAAGCGCTGCTCGGACCTGTGCCTTTGTTATGGGTGGTCGAATGGTGGGGGGGGCGGAGTATCCGAGTCGCGAGGATTGCGCGAGAAGCGCGCGAGCGCTGTTATATATGTTTGCGCTCCCCGAACCCAAATGCATAGATCCGCTTATCCTGCTTCTACTCGAACAGCACCAAGCTGCGAAGCCTCGCTAGATTCAGCAAACACATTGTAATACCATAGCATCGAAATGAGTTCGTGCCCGTGGACCAATAAGAAGGAGGAAGGAAAGGAAACTGCATGCGTGGAGTGCATCAGTGTAGGTTTTTGATACTCAATGTACAAGCAACTACAAAACTCTGACAGCTCAAAGGGTACCATTCATGCTGGGCTCCCACAGGGAACGATCGAGCCGCTCTACGGTCTGAACACCTATATCGTTGGCAACAGAACAAATCCACGCGCCATTATTGTCATTTACTCCGATGTCTTCAGTCACAACCTGCCAAACAACAAGCTTATCGCAGATTCATATGCGAAGAGTGGAGAGTACCTCGTCTACATGCCTGACTTCTTTGAAGGTACGCTGGCAAACTAGCGTTGTTAGACTAAGCCTGACAAATTCAAGGTGATCCTCTAGGTCTCAACCTCGCCGATGTCCTGATCCCTACCGATGCAGCAAAACAATCCGTTCTCTCAAAGTACGGGGGTCTACTAGCCGGCATGCCAGGTTATTTGATGTGGATTAGCAGACACGGAAAGGACAAGACGCACAAAGCATGCGTCGATTGGCTACAGAAGTTGAGGCGATCAGACGAGGTGAAGGGAAAAAAGATTGGAATGGTTGGCATGTGCTGGGGCGGCAGATTTGTGTTTCGTGCTGCACGCTCGTCTGAGTCGATCCAACTTGCAGACGGCAAGAAGGTGCCGCTCATCGACGCCGGAGTGGCTCTCCACCCTTCCAATGTGGTGCTTCCGGAGGACGTCGAAGGTTTGACGGTTCCTGTGAGTGTCGGTTGGGGTGAGGTGGATATCGTTACACCCTTCAAGCAGAAGGGTCAGATCGAAGAAATCATGAAAAAGAGGGCAGAGGCCGGGGACCCTCCCCCAGAGATGGAGCATAAGGTATATACGCCAGGTAGGCACGGGTTTAGCGTGAGAGGAAACCCCGAAGATCCGGCTGAGAGGAAAGCGCTCGAAGACTCGGTGACGCAGGTCTTAGATTGGTTTGAAAAGCGACTTTGAGGTTGCTGACACTCTCGGTGATCCTTTAAGCATGATACAGATCACCGGGCCCGCCGGTTTCGGCGAACGTGGTTTTTGCGGTCTGTTTCCGTAGCCGAGATTAACGAGCGAGGAATATTTGAGCTCATCGCAGACTTATTTTCGAAAATTGAGCCCATTCTATATGATCTATACACTCTAATTTCTTACTTTCCCAACGTCTCCGCCAATGAAAGTTCAATCGCCATGCAGCAATCACATCCCCCTTACTATTTCAGCTCCACGGTTCGTCTACACTCGCCAAACCTGAACATTAGTAAATCTCTTGACCCTCTGCCACAAGCTTTCTTTCCACCTCAACACCCTCTCATCCACATCAAAGCAACTCACTTGATGCCCATCCGCACAAAGCGGGTATAACTCCCAAAAGGTACCACAGGGAATTGACCTATAGGGAGCGATGTATCAGCAATATACGAGTCATGAAATGACAGAAACTGCCTCTGGCCCATGGAAAGGTGGTACAAGAACTTTTGCATGGCACCAATATAAGTAATGGGATGGATCAAGAGCCCAAGCTATCAGAATGGGTAAGTGGAAAGCTTTACAGTACTAGGATAAGAGCCTGAGTCCAATTCATCCAGACATGGCCCAGCCTGGGTCAACACACTATACTTAGATCTTCGTCCACGTACTGTACCATTAATACATGAGATACAAAAATGGCTATGACACATGCAACACAGCACAATATCCACTTTCCTCATAAAATTCGTCACTTTAGTTTGACTGACATCCTTGATACCCATAGGAAGGATTCCTAAACTTGGAAGTTGAGTTCGGGAGAAACCCACCTCAGATGAGCGAATACTTAATGTATTCTAGTGCAGGTACGTCGTTCAAAGCCTCAATGGAAATTCTACATTTCTCCTTTCGATCTCTACCTTCTCACCCATCATCATTCGCCACCATTTGTGACAGTCGGTCAGCGAGCCATACAAACAGTCAAGATCTCACGACTAATTTTGGTCTTCCCGTTTAGATATCTCCCAAGCAAACACGTGAAACGTCTTCAAGGATGCGCGGCCGAAGACCCCAACATCAGCTAGCTACAAGACTGGCCCGACCTTACTATTCCATGCACTTACATTTTTCCAATGCAGACGGCCAAGGTCACCAAGAGTTTAGGCATTACTACTTCGATACCATCAGAGGGCCGTCATGCTCATTTCTTATGTTGGTCGAGAAGTCATGTCACGTATTGGCACCTTCTTCGTTTGCAAGAGCGCTAGTGGCGCTACGCCCTTGCTCCTGGAACAGCCCTTTTCAGCGTTCGCAACCGAGGTGTAAGTGGCTGCCTGCTTCCAACGTGAGATCAAAGACATCTGCCTCTGGAGACCACAATATCCCATAATGCGCGTGGAATCCGTACGACGAGAAGATCTCCCCGAAATTTTCGAAATCACCCATCGGGCACTGGAAAAGGATGAGTTCTTCGGTTGGCTGAATCCTGGGCGGGAAAAGTATCCGGGTGACCTCCGAAGGAACCAGATTATACGGTTGCGCTCACGCCTCGTTGGCTTAGGTCAGTATGGCTACGTGGCTGTGACCGAAGAAGGCGATCAAGATTGGAGTGGTAAACCTGAAGTCGCTGGTTTCGTGTTCCTCCATCGAAGTGCAGGCGATGAAGCAAGCAAGAAATGGCGCGCAGATACACTGTTCAAAAGTTTGTCTATTGGGTCCCTTATCAGAGCGTTCTTCTAATAGCGATTGCAGAGGTTGAAAGGAAACTCTTAGATTGGGAGATCTGGTACGATACCAAATTTTTAAACCGCGCGGAAGATCCCAAGCGCCTGGCAGAATACATTAAATTGGAACCCTGGAATTCCTTCACGGCCATCAACCCACGCTGGCATGTAGGGCTCATTTGCGTGTCACCAAAATTCCAGCGTCGCGGGGTTGGAAGCATGCTGATACAACAAGCACAGAAATTAGCCACGGACGAAGGATTGCCTGTAACATTGGAGGCAAGCATCGTGGGGAGATTCCTGTACTTGAAGAGTGAATTTAAGGTTGTAGGCGAGGTGAAGCTCTGTGAAGAATACACCGATGCCCTAATGCTTTGGGAGCCACGAGGGCTGGAGGGGACGTGGCTGGAACAATTTGAGGGCGACAAGGCGAAGATGAAGGAACGATGAGACCATGTTGCTGATGCAGGCAATTGTCTATATATTCCTTGGAGGAGGCGATAATCTGATCCCCATTGCCACTGGGTCCGCAGTTTCTCTTTCTTGGGCTCCAGCTATAGTGACGTCACGTGTTCTCGCGGCGCGCTAATATCCGCTAAAATCATGTCGCCTGTGGACCTGTGGTGCAGGCCCCACCTGTTCGCAACACTTTCACTTGACCACTTGCAGGTATTCCTTCCTCTGGTAACTTTCACTTTACTTTATCCTTTTTGATGTTGATCCTGGGATCACGGCGGTTGGACTAAACCTGCCTCAACGAGGACCCAAGAACTTGCGCGACCACCGACGCGCTTGTGCCAGCTCGAAAAGCAGTTGACTCTGTCGCGATACCTATACGATGCCTGCGAAACGATCACTTGCGCGCACACGCCAGACCAAGCTCAACTTCTCTCCTGCGTCGAATGCGTCGCCGAGACCCGCGAAGCCTACTTTTGTCGTCAGCAGTGAAAGCGATGATGAACCCTCTCCGAGCCGACCAGCAAAGCGCCGGCGGCTGGAACGACAAGCAGAGCGCGGGATGAAGCAGGGTGTCCCCGTCAATCAAAACAAGCGGGGTATATTTGGCAGCTCTGACAACGAGATTATCATCTCTTCTGGCAGTTCCTCAGAGACCAGCGAGGGCTACGGCGAGGCACAGGCAGCACCCTCCCCAAAGAAGGGCACGAAAACTTCCAGGAAAGCTAAAAAGATGGCCATTTCGGACGATGAGGCGGAGATACGCCCAAAGGACAAGAAACGGCGGACTGCTCGAATAGCCTCGAAGTCAACGGAGGGCCCGTCAGAGCAAGATACTGAAGGCGAGGCAACTGTTGTTCGACGAAAAGACCAGCCGAAGCGGGGGAAGACTTCCGAAAGCTCGGAGGAGGAGGAGATAGTGCGTCCCAAGCGGAAGGGGCGTGTGCCCGCTCCACAGCCATCGAAATCATCGGAGTCTGAAAGTGATGGAGAGGTCACCGTTGTGCCACGAAAGAATGGACGAAGACGATCGAAACCTAGCGGAGCCTCGGAAGACGGAAATACTTCACGATCTAAGAAAGCGAAACGTCGTGAGAAGCAACCTGCTCCAGCTCCAGCCGACTTATCCGGAGACGACGAAGATGAAGCGCGTACGACCCCGAAGAAACTGACGAGGAGGCGCAAGAGGGCGGCCGACGAGTCACTAGAGGATGAAGCACCTCGCACAGCACAGAAAGGTCGCCGGCCCACACAACGTGATTCTACACCAGAAGACAGCGATGCTGAAGAGTTGGACGCGGGCTCTGATGTAGAAGCCGACGAGCTGAAGGAAGAGCTCGCTTTCCTTCAATCATCCCCCCTGGGTGTGAGCAGCACGCAGAATAAAGCCAAGTCTGCTCGTGAAAAGGCGCTGGAAGCGATGAAGAAACGACGCGCAGTGCATAGTGATCCCCCATCGTCTTCAGCTGCGCGCAAAAAGCCAGTCGTTGTGGACTCCGATTCGGATCTTGAGATCATCGCTGAAGCGCCCGAGGAAGATTCGAAGGAAGAGCAGGGAAGCGATGAGTCCGAAGACGAAGAATACGGCACTACCGCACACGAAGTCCTGTACGGCGACGGCGACGACGAGGACGAAAGCTTCATTAACGACGACGATGCGCCCATCGGTGTTCCAGCAGAACATGTTCTACCACTTCAGTTCAGCAGCCTTTCGAATGCCAAACCTCGCGACTTGTTCAAATACGCTATCGACTGGATGGTGCAGAAGAAGATCAATCCGGCTTTCAATTCGGAGGATGAGATCTACGAAATGAGTTTCAGAAAACTTGACGATGAGGTCAATGGTCTAGCCGGGTCCAAGTACCATTCTTCAGTTTGGACAGCTGAATTCACTAAAGCGATCAAAGCGAGACCAGATATTGTGATCAACGACATCGATCCCCGCACTCGCGCAGTCATGGAACCCCATTGCGAAGCGTGCAATCGCAGAAGCCATCCAGCTACATTTGAGCTATTCTTTACCGGCCAACCGTATCACAAGGAGACTCTTGAGCCACTTGCCGCTAACGCTTCTGACTCTGATTCTGAATCTGGTTCGGACTCTTCCAATGCGTCATCTACTGACTCGGAAGAAGCGTTGAACGGTGAGAAGCGAACGTACGATGCACAAGGCGAGCGCATTCCCCCTGAATCGAAGTCTTTCACACTGGGGTCTACGTGCAAGGCCAACGCTCAAGTTGCTCACACTCTGTATCATTGGCGCTACCACCTAAACTCCTGGGTCATAGACTATCTTAACCGCCAAGGTCATTGTACGTCTGAGGAGCTCGTACGCCGAGACAAGTTGAGCCAGCGAAAACGGCAAAAGATCGCAAACAAAATCGTCGATGAGATGGATAGCAATGGCGAGATAAAGAAACTGTACCGCCAGTACAAGGAGCAAGTCAATTTCGCGCTCGAGGCGGAGAACGAGTACAGGAAAGGTTGGGGAAGGAGACGTTAGTATGACGCTTTCAATACCTTCACTTTTCAGCATGGTTGGCTTGCATCGTGAGGAATACTCAGCTCTCCCATCAGGGTGCAAACAAAAATTCGGGTACGAAGTGATGTCCGGCATGCGGCCTCGATATTTCTTTGCATGCTGCCGATGAAGTTTGGATATCCAAGCTTTTTAAGGGCTCTTGCAATCTCCCGAACCACCAAGTGGTTGATTGGTCTGTAATTCTTAAAATCTCTTTTTTTGAAGGGACTCAACACTCATTTGTGTACTGATCTACCTGAGCAAAGAAGCTACTGAAAGCGACGTTGCCATATTTCACATCAGTTGTATACTGTGACGACTTGTGACTATGGCGGTGTGTACACAGCAAATTTATTGTCGACCTCGGCGTCCAGACTTCTGTTGTCATGAGCAAAAGCAGTTAGTCGGATCTTGGGTAGTACTCAGCTGATGTGTTAAGGGACCGGAGTCTCTCTGGTGAGAGCTGAAAGGTCATGCATGCTCCGCTGAGGAACACCAAGAGCTTGAGGTATCCACATCTTAACCTGGTGCTTAGGCCTATACGTTGTAGTTTGCTACAATAGGCAAACACCGAGCACAGTGGATTTCAAGACCAGCTGTATGATCGTACGAGCGACAACACTCTCACTGCTTCTCACATGTGACATGGAACCGCATAACTATAAGACAATCTGTATATAAACCATGACAAACTCACCAAGGGAGAACCATCAGCTCAGTAGCAAGGATCTCAAATACTTACACAGATATCTTCCACCGCAATCCAACCTTAATCATCCATCAATCAACACCATGAAGCTCCTCCTCCTTACCCCTCTCATCGCGGTCGCACTCGCGACTCCAGCCCCAGCCGCCGCCGCCGCCGCCGCCTCCTGCGACAAAGGCCAAGTCTACTGCGGATGGTATCTCATCGACCAGCTCGGTACTTTCCCCTCCCTTCCTTCTCCATTTCTCCACGCATTGAACAACTGACTAAAAGGATAGGCTGGGACTCTGCTAAGCTCCGCGCCAATCTGTGCAGCACGCTCGGGAAGTGCGATTTCAATAATGGGGATGCGTGGAACTCCCTTTGGTTGTGCACGGGCTCCGGGAGCGCGGTGCCGAGTGCGGTTTGCGGAGGGGAGGGGAGCTGCAAGGGGCCGGCTGCCCATTGTGCCTAGGGAGCTCTAGGATCTAAGGGTGGGGAGGGATGAGGGTACGTGATTGAGCAGTGGGGTGTTGTTGAGAGTGGTGGGAGTGCGGTAAGGTTGCGACGGGTTCTTGGAGTGTCTGTCTTTACCGCTAGATGATGCTATGCAATCATGAAATGGAAGTATCTGGGAAGCATTAAATCACATTGACGATCAGAGATGGGGTGTCGGTGATCTCAGAAACGCGAGATGTCAACAGTCTAGAATAACATACTTTGAGAGCTCCTCGGTCCGTGTCAAAACGACGACCCAACGAAGACCGAAAACTCAAAACATATGTTCATCTCACAAAAACTGCCCGAAACTGTAGTCCGGACAGGGAGCTCGGCATGACCGCCAATTCGCACCCTTCTTGCACGATTTCTTCCACCAGTCATGCGAATGTGTTTGCAACCACCATGGTTCGACTTGGATTTAAGTGTTACTAAAGTCTACGTCGGCATCTATGTTCTGAACGCGTGTTCTATGACACCGAAGCCCATGAGCACGATCCAATCGTAAAGGCTGCCTCCACCCCACTCGATATGTCGGTGGAAGTCGGTTGCAGAGTAAGCCCAGATCTTGCAGATGCCATCATTCAAGACATAGTCTCGTTCGCTTTTGTTCTCTTCGTAGAATCCCTTCACAGTCTCACACATGAACTAGTTCTATGTTTGCGTGGAGTTGCGTTTGTTCTATCGATGTGTTGTCCCGCTGCTGGAGTGGGACGACCGCTAACTTTGGCTCGAACTGGTTCAGGGCGATGAGTTTGCCCGATCCTTCTCTCTGGCATGGCCAATGCGGTTGGGAAACACGTAGCGCTGAACTTGAGCGTTAGTGGGATTGTCATAGCTTGGCGTGTCAACATAGGATGGGATATCAGCGGACCCAAAGCCTGGCGTATCACAAGTCTTCTCATACCGGGAGGAGGACCGGTATTCGCGCACGAGCTGATAGCGCAAGACTACAAACCTCTCTACCACCTAACACGTACTTTGTATATGCGCCAATTGACCAGTTGGTATTATGAAGTCGTTATGGAATAAAACGCTAACGATAGATGATGGCCCACCAGCCGCGACATTTGACAAGCTGCATATCCAAGTAAACCCTCGGGAATGGATCGCAGCCGATTGGGGAAACTGTATCCCAGAAATTTCATCTACACCTACAGGGTTACCGCGAGTGTGTTGAGAAGTCGTTGATTGAACTGCCTTTTGCCTCCCTTAAGGCTCGCACTTCCGGCTTGAAAACATCTCACAAAGCCCTTGGTCAATCCGTGTGCGGCTGCCTTTGTTCTGAAACAAGCACAGCTTCCACCAACCACTTAATCAGACATAGCCATGAGCATGGCAATCATCACGGCCATGTAATTTTTCCTACCATTGCTACGGGCCTATTTGCAGCGAAGATAACGCACAGCTTGCGCGGGGGCATTAGAATCACCACTCTTAGACCTGTTGCTTACCAGCCCACATCCCCCCTGGCCGCAAAACCCGCTCCCGTCCCTCCCTCCACAACCTAACAATTCGCCGTCTCTACCCACTATCAGCCAAGCCTTCATCCTATCTCGCTCCCTCCATCTAGTTATAACGTTTCTGTCAGGAATACTTACCACACTTTGCAAACGCATCCCCTTGGCACTGACTAACCGGTACCGTCTCACTTGGCGCAGGATCCTTACACTTATCAATTCCCTCCGTCTGCGCGCAGCTCACCCATCCAGCCACGTTCTTGCAGCTGTCAATATTACTCGGGTAGCAGCTGAACGCGCCGGGCGCGCTGGAGGAGCACTCCCAGCGCTTGGCAAGAGGGGTGGCTGTGGTGGATGTTGATGTTGCGAGGAAGAGAAGGGATGTGAGAAAGGTGGGAAGGTGCATGTTGGGTGTCAAAAGGGCTGGATGGAGGTGGATTGAGGACAAACAGTGGACTGAATGTTTCGGAAGATGAGTATGGCTGGCGTTCGACCTTCAATTGGTGGCGAGGATTATATACTCTTCTTTATTTTCTCCGGTGGAGTCCTAGAATTGTCGACGTCACCGTACTGCTTGCCACAGTCTCGTCCAGGTACCAGCGTGGTGACAGAATATTTACCCGTAAAGTGCAACTTGAGTGCATACAGGAACCCAAGACGGCCCCTGCACCCCCGCATTTGTCTCTGCATCTTGGAAACACTATGCGGGGGATCGACAAGGTGATTTGACGCCATCCAGGAATTGTAGAGTTCAATGGGCACGTTTTGAAGTGATAGTCGAGCGGGACTTATCGAGCTTCATACCGTGTTGCCTGGCCAAGATCGAGTGATACCCAAATTGCCATTATTACCAACCTACATACTGAGATACCAATCCGTCTCGTTGCTCGCTAGCCTACCATATCGCATGCCTCCCTCCACTCGACCCCCGTTCAAAGAGACCTGCATAAATCTCTCTGCAGAACGGTTGAAATCCGCAACAGCAATGCCGTTGTGCCGGAAAGCCGAATGTAGTCGAGGCACGTACCAACGGTCAAACGTTATCGAGCCTTTGCTTCTATGTACGAACCGAAACTCCATTTGCCTCGGACGGCAAGCGACCTAACTCCAAAGGTATGCAAGGGGTATCGATGCTCAAAGTGATCCAAACAAGAAATGACCCACGTTCCGTGGTTCCACTGCATACTGTGCTGATTTTACGACTGCCGGCCACTAGGCTAGCTTTGGGGGAAGGCGAAAAAGGAAGAAAAGGTTATGTCGAAGACAGACACTGTAGGCCGGTTAGGGGGGACGAGAGTCGAGGAGGAAGCCTATCAAGTCTGCCGCCCTACTGAGGACCACCCGATTTTTTTTGCCATGCCCAAATGAATCGAACATGCGGGTGTCCTTTCTACAAGGTCATAGATTGACCACTCTCGTGTCATCCTGGAGGAATTGACGACGATAGTTGGCGATCTCCATGGCGATGCCATTCGGGTCTTTCGTGTTCTTCTGCCGTAAGTCCTTCAGTACGCCTCGCAGACCATCATTCCAACGCTGCCTCTCTTCAGGCGTCTTTCCAGGATTCGCAGTTCCAAGCTGAACCAAGAGCTTCTCACCTAAATGTCGTGTTCATGTCAGTCTGCGTACAGTGGGTACTGAATACACACGAAATTGAGGTCGCTGCTGGACACGCACCGCTGATATTCATGTCCCGGAAATGCTGGAACGGGCAATCTGCGTCAGTGCAATCATGACCTGACGCCTCGTGTTCACAGAGCGGCTTCTCTTGATCAATCTGGTGACTAAACGTCGTGGATAAGAACCCGCTAGAGACGTCCTGTGCAAAGCGTGGGTGGTAACGATAGGACTTGAAAAGTCTGAGGGGACTTTCATATGGCACGAATGATCGTAGGTTAGTAATATCTTCCTCTACAGCCTTCTCGTTGTTAGCCGAGAATATAACGGGACGTTGTGCTTACTAAGTCCTTTGTCACTGAAGGTCCTGCTAGCTCTTGCGATACCGGTGCTACTGCTGAGACCTCGGTTTGTAATTCTGGTGCTAGATCGTCAGCTACAGTCACAGACGAACCCGGATTCTTGCTACTAGGTGCGAAAGCCGGGCCATTAGGCTCCTCTTCGGACGACTCTGATGAGGTGTCGGAGTCGGAATCGGAGTCGGATGAAGTGGACATGTCCATTTCTTCCTCTTCAATGTCAACTTGCTGAGCAATTGAATTGAGCTCAGCGGTTGAAGCACTAGGCGCAAGGTCCACCATTGGCTGGTCAACATCTGGCGGCTCGTATGGGTCTTCGTCCTCGTTTGCAGGTGTAGGTGGTCCAAACGACGAAACTTGAGCGTTCACCAAGCTGGCATTCTGCTTCATAGTATGAGCTTTTGAGACCAACGCTTGTGCCAATGGCTCCTGGGCCTCTTCAGGTTCATAGTCTTCTTCATCGGACTCTGACATGGCCATTTCACCCTCTTCTGAAGGAGATCTAGCCAGCGCTAGGGGCCCAGTCGTGATTTCATTCTCGTCGGCATTTAGATCAATGTCGGCGGGTTCGGGAGAATAGAAGTCTTCTTCGTCGTCAACCGGCGTCGCTGGTTTGCTTGGGCCGTTGGAGGTCGTACCATATACGGAGGATATTGCGGGATGTTTCGCTAACGTGACCTGCTCCGATTGGATGGTAGATGCCAGCGCAGTGCGAGGCATTGGAGTCCGCTGGCTGGTCGTAACGCGAGTGTCCGTAACAGTCGATGGCGAGGAGGCTAAAGGGAAGGACGCGTTAAGACCAGGAATGCCTGTTTGAGGGACAGACATAGACATCTCGGGCGACTGCGAGAGATATTGAGTGGCAACTCTAGAGCTCAGCCCCGTCTCTAACGATATCGGCGCAGTAACTGCAGCTGGTGGCTGCGTCACAGGTGATATGGAAGGCAGATGGGTGGCGGCCGTCAGCGTTTCGAGAGTCGCACCCTGCTCACGTTCAATTTCATCCTTCTTCGCCTGGAGCTCCGCGTGCGGCATGCCTTCCGTGTCGATACCAAGACTCTCCAATTCTGCTTGAAGTCGTTCTTTGTCAAGTCGCATCTTTTTGTCATTGGCAGTGAGCATCTCGAGTTCCTTCGTGATCTGCGCCAACCTGGCAGCATTTTGAGCAATATCGACATCCAAAGCGGACTTTTCTGCTTCAATGTCCGCTTTCCGCCGCCGCTTCGGTTCCCTGGGTGCTTCCTGGTCACTGCTAGGTTTTGGTAGTAACGAAGGCTGATGTGGCAATGACTTCGGGGAGTCCTGCACGCTTGCTAGTCGCTTTTGCTCCGCTTGTCTCTTCTGCTCTTCAATTTTCTTTTGCAAACGCTCTTTGAGAGCAGCCTGTTTCCTCGCTTTTTCATCCATCTCTTGACTACGCGTGGCACCGGATGGCGTTTGAGGCCCTGGGGTGCTCATCCCAGAAGCGGACGGGTTTGCGGACGCAGGTCGAGACGGAAATCCATACGGCATTGGTAAAGTCCGAGCACCTTGCGAACCAGTCTGGACGGGAGTCGTCTGGGTCAGGGTCGTAGTCGCATCCTGGCTGCCATCCACCTCCGTCGCTTGATTAGTCATATCAGCATGAAGCGTAGTGCCATCTGTTGCGGGAAAGGATAGTTTTCGTTTGGCAAAACCAGGAGTAACTGGAGGCTGACTGGGTTGAACAACCTGAGAAGGGTTCATGAACAGACCTGGAATATTCCCGAATGGTGAGGGAGGAATAGCTTGGGTTGCATAGCTAGTAGGGGTGGGCGGCAATGATTTGGCAGCTTTAGGAAGAGGACTGGCGGAAGCACCAGTGGTGGAGCCAGTGACTGAAGGCTTGGACGGTGCAGCGCCCGCGGGAGAAGACGAGTTCTTCTTCAAAGCCTCGATACGTTTTCGTATAAGTTCAGTTGTCTTGGCCTTCTTCTCTGCTTCTGTGAGTTGGCCGTTCTCAGTAGTCCCTTTCGAAGCAGCCGCAGTCGGTGGCGGGGTGTTCTGGGGGGGAGTAAGCTTCGCCCCTCCCTGCTGTCTGGCCTTTTTCGCCGCTTGCAATTGCGCGAGGTACTCTTTACGGTTGGCCGGCGATGGGACAGACTTAGTTGGCGGAACGCTCGTGTTGACTGCAGTGACTGGCTTGGAGCCTACGGTTGGTGGTGATGGACGAGCCGGAGCGCTGTCTCCGTTGCTCAAGCTGCTCGGCGCATTGCCGTTAACCTTGGGAGCAGACGGCACAGGCTCGGGTTCCGAGGGCAAATTCAAGCTTCGATACAGTTCTCGTAGACAGCTCGCATCTAGAGCCTCAGCAGCCAGCGCGTGGTATCCTATGTTGTTATTATGCAGCAGCTTGATAAATGCCTTTGCATCGCTTTGCTGCTGCGTGATGGTATCTGCAGTACTTTTGGCTGGTCTTGTTGTGTGTTGCAAGGCGCTGGCGCTCGTATGTCCTGCAGAGGGCTGGTCCGGGTTGTAGACGTCCTGCTTATTCGAAGAGCGAGTTGACGGCAAAGGGACCGACCTTGGGGGCTCTGTATAGGTGCGGCCATTGACGGCTGGAGAACGGGACCCTTCGCTGACTTCTCCCTCTTCCTTGTCGCTTTCCGTAACATCGGTGATGCGGTCGTTCTGGACAGCTTGCGGAACGTGATCGGCATTTGTAGGCGCGGGAACGAGGTGCGGTGGCAGCGCGGGGAAAGGATGTGCGGGTGTGGCACCTAGAAAGGGTGGCTGAGACGGCGCGTTCGAGGCAAGTCGGAGGCCAGGAATCGGCGGTGGGTTCTGCATCATGATGAAGGGAAGCTGCTGCATATCCACCTGCATCTGGTTCCACTGGGCAAGCTGTTCCGGTGTGGGGAAGTGGGCTGGCCATGCTACGCCGCGTTAGCAGTAGTTACAACGAACGCGTCGATCTGGGCAGAGACAAGTGAGAGGCTCGGCTGTATGCGTGGCTTGTGGCTCACAGGGTTGGGATGGTTGGTGATCTTACCAGAGGCGAACTGTGGCTGTTGGGCGTTCTGGTTATGCGCCTGAAAGTTTAACCCAGGTATGTTCGCAGCGTTCCAGGCCGGCGGTGGCACAAAAGTCGCGGGCGGCGGCTGGTACGCGTCGGAAGGAGCGTCCTGGGCATCCGGCTGCGCCTGCGACTGCTGTTGAGGAGGAGGGAATGGAGGAAAGGGCAGGCCGAATGGCGGCTGCCAGTTGGTCGCCATCTTGGGGAAGTCGCGAGGTGCGCGCTCGTGTGGACTTCTTTACATGCAGCGCATAACTAGCCTATAATTCAGTGGGCGCGTTCGTAGGTAAAGGGCAGGGACTAGGCGGCGGGCGGGCGAAGGTGGTGTGGAATGCGGCGGTTGGGCTGGTGATAGATGCGCTCGAATGAGAAAGCTCGAGGATCGCCATGCACGCCGCGCACAAAGCCAAGTCACGTGCGCAGATAGCGTCAGTGACGCGCCCGCCCCAGATCCCGTCGTTAGGGGAAGGCTCGAGCGCGGCTAAACATGTAAACAACACAACCTCGAACGCATCCCGCCGTCACCCAGCAGCTGGAGCCGCCACTTTTCTTCGACGTCTGGTCGCTGCATCCTTGTACATATTTGTAATTCGGGCTTCGAAGACGCGTGCGTCTTTCTTATTGTTATCCATCTTGCTCCGCATGATGCGCCTTGCGGATGCGTGAAGGTAACATTGTCGCACCTGCCCCGACACCCACATACACGACAGAACCATGAGCGCACCTGCGCCCAATGGGCCACGATGGCGAAACAGCCCTTTCGCAAGGAATTCACAGTCGCCCGTAGCGGCACCCGCACCGCTTAATACTCGTCCGAAGTCTGCTCTCGTTTCGTCGCCGCTGGCGGATCAACCGACCGCCATGGTCCACGCCCGGAACCAGTCTCTCACCCAGCTGAGCAGTCCGTTTCTGGCCCGAAACGACTCGACTCGCCTACGCGCAAATTCGAACCGAAACAGTACACCTGCCGGGACGTTTGCGCCTCAGTTTATAGCCGACGGCACGCAAGACCTACCCGAAGTACGCGGCATCGAGGGCGAGAACGACTTCTCGGGCAAGCGATATGTCTGGTTGCGAGACGCAAAGACAGCCTTTGTGCGGGGTTGGGTAGTAGAGGAACTCCCAGGAGGACAATTACTCGTGCAATGCGACAATGGGGAGCAGCACGAGGTGGACTCCGAATCCGTGGACAAGGTCAATCCGGCCAAGTTCGACAAGGCCGATGACATGGCTGAGCTCACGCATCTCAACGAGCCCTCAGTCATCCACAATCTGCACATGCGCTACCAAGCGGATCTAATATACGTGCGTTGCTGCAGGTAATCTTGCAGACCCTTGAACTGACGGCATTCAGACATACTCGGGGCTGTTTCTCGTAACAGTGAATCCATACTGCCCGCTTCCTATATACTCTCGAGAATATATCAACATGTATCGAGGGCGAAGCAGAGAGGAAACCAAGCCGCATATCTTTGCGATGGCCGACGAGGCATTCCGCAACTTAGTGGACGAAGGTGCCAATCAAAGTATCCTAGTAACGTACGATAGCCAAACATGCTACCCAGACCTGTATTGACGTATTTCAGTGGAGAGTCGGGTGCCGGTAAAACAGAAAATACAAAAAAGGTCATCCAATATCTTGCAGCAGTTGCAACCTCGGATAGTCCGCGCGGGAAGTCGGGTGGCAGACAGCACTCAAACCTCTCCGAGCAGATCCTCCGCGCGAATCCAATCCTCGAAGCCTTCGGTAACGCCCAAACCGTGCGGAATAACAATTCGTCCCGTTTCGGCAAATTCATAAGGATTGAATTTACACGCACTGGTCAGATTGCGGGGGCCTATATTGACTGGTATCTGCTCGAAAAGTCGAGAGTCGTCCGACTCAACGGGAACGAGCGTAACTACCATGTCTTTTATCAACTTCTTCGCGGTGCCGATGACCAGATGAAGCGGGACTTCCTCCTGAATGGTTCGGACGCAGAGGACTTTGATTACACCAAACATGGCAATGATACAATTTCAGGTGTTTCCGATCGGGATGAGTGGAATGCGCTCATTGAGGCTTTCCATGTAATGAACTTCTCGGACAAGGAACAGGCTTCGATTTTGAAGACCGTTGCGGCTGTCCTTCAGCTCGGCAATATCAAAGCTATTAAAGAGAGCCGGCGAGCGGACCAGGCCGCGTTTGAACCCGAGTCGATCGAGCAAGCACAAAAGGTGTGCCAGCTTCTTGGAATCTCCATGGAAGATTTCGTCAAAGCTCTGTTACACCCACGTGTCAAGGCAGGCCGCGAATGGGTAGAGAAGGTTCAAACCCCGGAACAGGTCAATCTTGCCATTGATGCCCTGGCCAAGGGTATCTATGAGCGAGGCTTTGGTGATCTTGTGGACCGCATCAATCGTCAACTGGACCGCACAGGATCGGGCGGTGATGATTCTCATTTCATAGGCGTTCTTGACATTGCTGGCTTCGAAATTTTCGAGGAAAACTCTTTCGAACAGCTTTGCATCAATTACACTAACGAGAAGCTGCAACAATTCTTCAACCACCACATGTTTGTTTTGGAGCAGGAGGAGTACGCTCGAGAGCAAATTGAGTGGAAATTCATTGACTTCGGCCGCGACCTTCAGCCGACCATTGACCTCATCGAATTGCCAAATCCGATTGGTATTTTCTCTTGCCTGGACGAGGACAGCGTTATGCCAAAGGCTACGGATAAGAGCTTCACCGAGAAACTACATTCTCTGTGGGATCGTAAAAGCACAAAGTACAAACGCTCTCTGCTTACCCAGGGCTTCATGCTGACGCATTACGCTGCTGAAGTTGAGTACTCTACGGAGGGCTGGCTGGAGAAGAACAAGGATCCTCTGAATGACAACGTCACCCGCCTGCTCGCTGGCTCTACAGACAAGCATGTTGCGACTCTATTTGCAGACTGTGCAGATACCGATGATGGTCTTGGAGGAGCTCGAAACCGCGTTAAGAAAGGCTTGTTCCGGACGGTGGCCCAGCGCCATAAGGAGCAACTGTCCACACTGATGACACAACTCCACTCAACACACCCCCATTTCGTGCGCTGCATACTTCCCAATCATAAGAAGCGACCAAAGCAATTCAGCGCGCCTTTAGTGCTTGACCAACTACGATGTAATGGTGTGCTAGAAGGAATAAGGATTGCCCGCACTGGCTTCCCTAACCGACTTCCGTTCGTAGAATTCCGTCAGCGCTACGAAGTCCTCTGCAACGACCTGCCGAAGGGTTATCTTGAAGGACAGGTTGCCGCTAAGATGATCCTTGAGAAGCTTCACATGGACACTGCGCTCTATCGTGTTGGTATCACTAAGGTTTTCTTCCGAGCTGGTGTTCTAGCTGAGCTAGAGGAGCAGCGCGACACACTCATCCGCGACATCATCACTCGATTTCAGTCATCGGCCAGAGGTTTTATCCAACGTCGCATTGCCCACAAGCGCTTGTATCGAGCCGAGGCCACGCGAATCATCCAGCGAAATTTCCAAGTCTACCTTGACCTACAATCCAATCCTTGGTGGAGGCTCTTTGCTCGCATGAGGCCAATGCTGGGCGCGACTCGCCAAGCTGCCGAAGTGAAGAAGCGGGACGAAATGATTCAAAAGCTAGAAGAGAAGATGCAGCAGGAAGCGGCAGACAAACTCCGCGTTGAAGATGATCGTCGTCGTGCGGAGATGGACATCCAGCGCATCCAAAAGACTTTAGAGAGTGAACGTGCCTTGGCTCTCGACAAAGAGGAAATCTTCAAACGCCTTCAGATTCGCGAGGCCGAGCTCTCCGAGAAACTTGCTGAAGCCATTGAAGACCAGGACAAGCTCGAGGATCAGCTGGACGTTCTAATGGAAGCCAAAAAGAAGGCCGAAGAGCAGGCCGAGCTTTGGCGGAATGAGCTCGAGCAAGCGGGCCAAATCATTGGCAACCTGGAAGGCGAGAAGCAAGACCTGGAAGATCAACTTACAAAACTGGATCAACAACTGGTCGATCTCGAAAACGCGAAGTCTGAACGCAGTCAAGCCGAGGAGTCGCTGAACCAAGAGGTCAAGATGTTGAAGAGCCATCTATCATTGAAAGAACGGAAGCTCCAGGATCTCGAAACGAAGTTATTGAAAACTGACCAGGACCTGGACATTAAGCTCGCGGCATCGAACAAGGAGCTGCAGAATACTAAGCAGCAAGTCAAAGAATTGCTTGACGAGAATCGCCAAGTACGTCAACAAATCGCCGACCTTTCATCTACTTCAACGAGCTACGAAGACTTGATCAGACGGAAAGAGAGTGAACTAGCGATTCTAAAGACTGATCTCAAGAGCTATGAATCCGACCGCCAGCTATTTGATAGCGAGAAGAAGACGTTGGCATCGAAGCATGATGATTTACAGAAACGCCTCCGTGAAGCAAATGCAGAACTTGATGCTATGCGCTCCCAAAAACAGCAACTCGAGCGCGAAGCTGCAGATGCTAAGCGCTTGCTAGAGGAGAAGATTTCCGAAGACGCCAAGTCTGGCGAGGGAAGGAGACTTTTGGAGGAGCAAATTGAAGATCTTAAGAGTCAGCTCTTCGAAGTCCAACGCGAGCTCAGTCGTGAGCGTCAGTCCCGCGACGACGTAGAGCTCCTTGGAGAGCACAGATACGATACACTGAAACGCGATTTTGACGCTTTGAATGAGTCGAAAATCACCATTGAGAAAGAGATGTACGCTCAGCAAGACGTCCTACGAAGAGCTAATGAATCTCGGGTGGCGGTAGAGAAGGAGCGTAAGGACTATCAAACCGAACTGCGCAGCCTTCGCGAAAAGTACTTGAAGCTGCAGGAGGAGAAATTGGATGCCGACGCTGCGGCAGAGCGCACGCAAAGTAGGCTTGCGATTGAACGACAAGCGACCCAACTCAAGGAACTCGAGGCGAAGGATCAACAACTGGATCAGCTTGAGGCTGAAAGAAATGATCTCGCTGAACAGGTCCACAATCTAACGCAGATGCTTGGTGATTCAGAATCCTTCAAACTCCGTAACGATCAGCAAAAGGAACGTCTTGAGCGCGAAGTGGTCACAATCAAGGGCCGCTTGACTGCATCTGAAAACGACAACCGGGCCCTATTGAACAAGCTTCAACAGAAAAATCTAGACATTGCACGGTCGAATTCCAGGGCTGGGGACTCACAACGGTCCCGCATTGCGCAGCTTACCACCGAGAAGAGCAAGGTTGAGGAAGAGAACAAGCGCCTTACCCACCAATTAGAAGATGCTCAGTTGACCATTACATCCCTCGAGAAGCAGAAAGAAAAGCTCTCTCTTAGCTTGGAGGACCTCAACCATGAAATAAATCGAGAGCATAAAACCAGCCGCAATGCCGAGAAAACATCCTCCACCGTGGCACTCCAGTTGGCAGATGCGAATCGAAAGCTCGAAACCGAACGACAACTCCGGACCCAAGCCCAGACAAACACACGCGCTGCTCAGTCGGCCTTGGATAGCAGCAACAGCGAGCTTGAAGAATGTCGTCAACAACTTGTTCTTCTTCGTAAGGTTTTCAATCCCGATGCGAGTGAAGGTGCTGTTACCTACGAGGCGGCCAAACCGGACATCAGTAGAGCTGTTAATATGGCCGAACGCTTGGAAGCTGCCAATCAAGCCCTTCGCGTGGCCTCGGAACGCTACTCCCGAGCTGAGGCTCAGCTGAACGAATTGCGTGATAGACATGAAGACGAGCTTCACGAGATGGACACTCGCCACGCCAACTCGAAGCGTGCTTTGCTCGAGGAGATGAACAGTAGCCAAGTAAACGGCCGCCGATCACCCTCTCACCAGCGCAAGGACAGCGAGACCCGTAAGCAATTTTCAAGAACGAACACGCCTACCAATCAGAGACATATCAGCAATGCCACGACCACCTCTGCAAAGTCTGATCGCACACTCGATACGGTCATCTTGAATAACCGTATGGACCTTGCTGCAGAACTTGAACAGGTACAGAACCAACTGCAAATGTCAGAGATGCGTAATCGTCATCTGCAGAGTCAAATCGATCGCTCCCCTGTTCGCAATGGCTGGCAGGACGATAGCCCTTCGGTCAGGCGCGTACAGAAGCTTGAGCGCGAGAACTTCCGTCTACACGATATGCTCGATGACTCGGCAAAGAAGGTCTCCTCCTTGGAGCATAGTCTGAGGTCAGGAGAACTTTCTTATAAGGAAGTACAGACAAAGTCGCACGAAGAGCTGTTCGATCTTTTGACCTCCCAAGAGCAATCTAGGAAGTCGTTACTTCAGGCGCACAACGCCACCGTCAACGAACTTGCTGAAGCAAAGACCACGTTCGACGAGGTCAAGCACGCAAAGGTCTCTCTTGAAGTTGAGCTTCGGGACACGAAGTCGGAGCTCGATGAGTTATATGACGAACGAGAGGAGGAACGGGCAAACCACGACCATCTTCTCCAAGAATTTGCGGATCTGCAAATACGGTTGGACAACGAGACTTCCCGTTTGGTCGATGTCACTTCCAGCCTTGACCTGTACAAGAACCGCGCGGATGAATACTTCAACAAACTTGAACAGGCTGAAATATCTGTATTGAAGGCGTCTCGTGCAGAACAATTTGCGAAGACCCAGGCACGAGAAGCCGAGGAGCAGTGTGCCACGATCATGGCCGAGCGGAAACAGATGGATGGCATGGTTGAAGACCTGCAACGGCAGGTGCAACAGCACGAAGAGCGCTTAGAAGATCTTTCTACTGACCTCGAGAGTGCTCTGCAATCCAAGAAGCGTCTCCAGAACGAGCTCGAGGACTACCGGAACCAACGAGAGCACGATCTTGAGGACACGGAAACCTCGATCGAACAGACGAGAAAGAAGTATCAGAATGAATTGTCATCGTTGACTCATGAGCTTGATCTTGAGCGGGAGAATGTTCTCTATGTTCGCGAAGAGAACGGTCGCTTGAAAGAGGAGATCGAAGAGCTAAGGAACAAATGGGATGACGAAGTCCTCAACTCATCCACATGGGCAAAGGAGAAGAGCAGGCTTGAAATGACCCTTCAGGACATTTCGAATTCACGCGACGAGGCAGCAAATGCCCACAACGAGGCGCAATCAAAGATCGTCAGCCTGCTCTCGCAAGTCCGCAATCTCCGCACCAACGTTGACGACATCGCTGCCGAGCGCGATTCCGCCATCGAAGAAAAGAGGCGACTTGAAGTGCGTCTTCAGGAGGCTGCCGGCAAGCTTGAAGATCTGTCAAACTCGGAGTCTCCAGCTATGAGGAACGCCGCCACCTACGACCGCGAGCTGCTCGAGCTGAAATCCGGCCTTGCTCAACAGGAAGATATCGCCGCCGCAGCTGTCGGAAAGATGCGACGTGCTGAAGCACTCGCACAAGAGATCCAAAAGGACATCGTCGCCGAGCGGGAGTCTAACGTTCAGTTGCACAAGGAGAAGGCTGCTGTCGAGAAGAATCTGAAAGACCTCCAGCTTCGTCTTGTTGATCTAGAGACTAAGGGATACAGCGGATCGGCTGGCAAAGACGTCAGGTTCTTACATGGTCGCATTCAAGAGGTATTTTACAATTGACTGAAACATAATATCATGTGCTGACAGCCGCTATAGCTCGAAAAGGCTCTTGAGTCATCTGAGTCCACGCGTCTTTCTGAATCGCGCAGCGTTCGAAATGTCGACCGAACGGTTAAGGACCTACAGAACCAAATTGAACGCCGCGACAAGCAGAACGCTTCTGTCATCGAGGACCTGAATAAGGCACGCGACAAGATCTCCAACCTCCTTTCCACAATCGATGAGCTTCAGTCCTCCGACTCCACCAACCATCTTGCCGCGAAACGTGCTGATCGCGAACTTCGGGAGGAACGGGAGAAAACACTCCGTCTGGAGCGCGAGCTTGAAGGTTGGAAGAATCTCCGAGTCGAGCGTCGCAGTGCTCTGGGTGTGCCAGGCGCGGGCAGCGAAGCTGGCGACAACCGCAGCCGTCGAGGTTCATCAATTGGCCTCTTGATGCCTGGCGAGTTTGGCGAGTTGGCTCCGGGCGAGAAAGCTAACATGGGGAGTGTGCGAAGCATACGTGGGTCACGACGTATTTCCGGCCAGAAGGGTTTTTTGTAGTAGGTGGGACCTCGGTGAGGGGATGGAAGAGGTCCGGGCACCTGAATCCAACTGTTGAGGATATAGTTGAGGAATCTGAACTAGAACGGGCGGATGAGGATGGTGATGAGAGGACGCTCGTCGACGAAGAGGTGGAGAAAGAGATCGAGATCACAGATGATGAGTTGAGCGATGTCGACGAGAAGGGTGGGCTTAAAAGGAAGCGGACTATTAGGGTTATAATACGGTCTAGGGCATTTTTGTGAGCGTTTCGTACTTGGTTGGTTGGGGGGCGGGGGGGCTGTCTTTGGACGCATGCATAGTATAATGGCGGCATTAGTCACGGGTGTTTAGGCTTGGGTTGGAACATACAGCGCTTGTTGTATTTTCCACGCGCGGTTTTCGCTTGGTTCGGAATTTTTCAAGGTTTAATGACATCAATATATATTCACTGCACATTGGACTCCTGTTGAATCAACCGCGTGATTGTATTGGTCGGGCTGACGTTCACTTACCCTGTACAGGCCATAGAAATTACCCACCTAGCACAAGTCACTGGCAACAGGCCCCGCTGCTCGTGTCTTCCGCCTCAAGATATGATCGCCAACGATTCATGGGCCTGTCCACCATTTCAGCACTTCACCTAGCTCCGCGATCAACCCAAAAGGTACCCACGCACCAAAATAAATTCCAACGACAAGCCCAAGGATGAAGCTTCCACATCCACACCCAGCTCCACGAGGGCCACCACACAACGGACATATCCGCTCCACGCCTTTCCCGACAACTTTCCAGCACGTCTTCTCAACGCGCCCCCTCCGTCAAAATGAGCTCCTCAAGCTCTGGTCTGCGCATGCACAACCTCGCGCGCCCGCCCACGCCCCGCGATAAAGCCATCGCGGAATAACGCATCGGTGAGGTACGTCACGCGGAGCGCAAGGAGCTCGAGGCGATGTAGGGGTGGTGGTTGGTCTTCACTTCACATGCCGTATGGCCTATATATATTCTCGAATTGACGATCTCTCTCGAAAAACACCCTCCTGCTCTATTGTTCCCTTGTGACGAGCGCTTAGAGTATCATGCAGCGATATAGGGTTCAGGGGTAGGGTTGACCGTGTGTTCTTCTTTCCGGTCGGCGGGCATTCGCTTCACCGCGTCGCTATTCTTTGGTTCTGCATTAGGTTTCCTATCTTTTCCACTGCTTACGAGAGTGTCACGAATCAGAAATGTCATATGAGAAGTAAGGTCCGAGATTAGGGCGTTACAGAATATGTGTTGAGTACAATGATGCACAGTGTTGTCTATGGTAGAGCTTGGATACAATGTAAAAGATGTAACCAAGAGGTCCGCAAAACAACTTTGAAGCTTCCCTGAGGAAAACGCGTCCGTTGCTCGAATATCGCCGATGCTCTTTCTTAATCTGTTGATTCTTCTCATCTGTTACCAAAAACATTGATGGATCGAATGGTGTAAACCTTTAGAATGGTAGTCATTTTAAAAAGACTGCGTCGCGGAAACGGGAAGTAAACTAGCGCATTAAAACAAGTAATGCAAATAGCTACTCCAAGGTGATGCTAAAACAATCGTAGCCGAACTGACTGCCTTGACATTTGCCGAGTGTCTAAATCGCACTATGATTCGTGGATTACCACGGATCTAATAACCCCCGCAAGAGAGCTTTTGGCATTAGGGTGACGTTGCTGCCTGTGAGGAACCAATAAAGGAGTTTCAGGCCAGTAGCATGGCTGAAAGCTCCTCGTCCCAACGTTGGTCACGCGGGTATACATCATTTAGACTACCCCAAAGGAAGTCCTCTACTCAAAGCATCGTACTAAAGTTCTTCCGACGGAAGAATGGCTCGGTACCACTTGATGCTGGTATATGAAGGCGCCTTCAGACATCTCTGAAGTCCAATGCCTCGTTCAGTATGCGATTTTTTCTGACAATTCTGACAGCTGCTAGCTCAGCTTTTGCTGCAGCGGTCTTGCAAGATCGTTCGAGCAATTATGTTGGCTATTTGATCTCAACCTTCACGGATGCGAATCCCAAGGCAAGTCTTGCGCAATCGACAGTCTAGCAATGCTAATCAAATCCTCGTAGGTGCAATTTTATCTTTCTAATGGCAACTCGCCATCGTCGTTTCGGTTCCTGAACAAAGGTCAACCAGTATTAACCTCGACTGTTGGTAAGCTTCTAGAGGTACAGGTTTGAATCACCACTTATTTGAGAAAGGAACAAAAGCTGTGCGGGATCTATTCCTCGCTACAAATAGCGCTCGAAATATCTGGTATATGCTCGGCACTGGTCTGTGACTTCATTCTATGCAGGTCGTGAGTTAAGAACCATAGATCTCGATGTATACGCCACTGGGTTCAGCTGGGAAAAGGTTCAGACCCACGGTAGCAAGGCTCTGGTCATTTGGAGTTCGACAGATCTCGTTAAATGGTCTTCCTCAACGCTCGCGACGTGAGTATGCCCGAGATGTAAGGACGCCACTGAGTGTAACAGCGTTGAAGACAACACAGCCGGTATGGCGTGGGCTCCCTCTGCCGTTTGGGATGATTCGACATCGCAATTTTACGTCTTTTGGTCCGCAAGAACCTACGCTGCGTCCGATCCTGGCCATACAGGTAGTCCGAGTCTTGACAAGATACGCTATGCTACGACCAAAGACTTCAAGACTTTCTCGGCACCAGCGGACTACTATACGATTGCTGGGACGCCCTTGATAGATCAGGAATTCCAATACCTCGGGACAGCAGGACATTGGGCGAGATTTCTCAAGAACAATAGTGGCAGTCACGTGAGTTATTCCCGCACAGCTCTGGCCAGTAAACTGGTTTGGACTGTCCCTTAGTCTCCTCAGGCATTCGATGACACTACCTACAGGTTTTGGAAGAAACTACAACAGGCGGCCTCTTCGGGAAATGGACGAGGAAGCCGGGCTACGTCACAAACGACCGTCCTCGCGAAGGTCCCGTTTCGTTTCCTGATCTACAGACTGCAGGGCTTTACCATCTGTGGCTTGATGATACTACGACGGGTTATCTGCCATATCAGACCTCGAACATTGATGGGGGCGCTTACACGAAGTCTAGCTATACGAGTTTTCCGGCAGGGCTCAAACATGGCTCGGTCACGCCTCTGACGCAGAGCGAGTATGATGCTGTGCTGGCGCAGTTTCCACCTGTTTAGAACGGACATGTGTAGGTCCTGGAGTTGCTAAAGAACAAGCAGGAGGTTGCTCGCGTGGGTGCCTAGAACGACGGTAGCACAGTAAGACTTGGGCGCTCCAGTGTACGTATAGTTGTAGTCAGGAGCTCGTCGAAAGGAGCGGCATGATCAATTTAGAAGCAGAAGTGGCAGAAACGCAGTGAACGGCGGTAACTAAGGCTGCTCATCGCGAAGCAGACATCGTCTGACGAAATCAATAGTAACTCTGTAATCATCGATTTTCGAGTTTCTCGCGTGGACGCCTTGAGCCGATGTTCTCAAACTGATTGGATGCTTTGAAGCGAAGTGGCTGCATTGCCGCGATTCAGTGGCAGGCAACATGCGTAATTGCAGCTAATCTTATCAGCCTACAATTTCTGCATTCCGACAAACACCAACCATGGTCCCTTCAAAGACATAGTGTGTCCTTCAAGGGTCGGTTAGCCCGGTGATAACTATACATTGAGATAAGATCGCGAGAGGGACTTCCCGGCTACCATAGTGAGCATCAGCTCTGGTGTGGTACGATATAGGGGGGTACAACCCCTGTTAGTCCTCCAGTAGCCTAGGTCGGTCTATTCATTGATCGCTCGAATACTTTAATGTGCAGACCTTAGCGGACATTAAACCTAATCCGGGACAATAGGTAGGGATATGACGGTGCGTGATCCGTGTTCCGGCTCAGTAAAAACATGGCGCACTAAACATAGCCGGGAAATCATTACTGGGACGATGGTAATGAGGCTATAGGCGCCCGACTAGAACCGTTCTCCGGTTCGTTGGCCTGCCTTCATAGATACGTTACATGGTCGATGACTATTGATAGTTTGACTTTCTAAAATCTCGCACAGTGCCCCAAACATACTACCTTTCATTAGTGTCAATGAAAATGAACCAAGCACCAGGTATATCCACAGGGAATTATCACGCCTTGATTTTTGAGCTTGCAACATATAGCCTCGAAGACTTCCTCGAGGATGAAAAGTGCTACCAGAGATTCGTCGACAAAAGTTTGGTGCTCACGAGGCTTGCTGATATCGAAGAGGCGTTGTATTGCCTGCATGTCAATCCCAGATTCCTTCATCTCGATATCAAACCTGGTAATATCCTGGGTTTCGTCGAACCAGAACCAGTTCCCTCGAGCAGCAACCGCGAGAATGGACGTGAACTGATATGGAAGCTCAGCGATTTTAGTCTGGCACGGGAAAAAGACAATACAAGGGAGAGAACCGGACGCCGGGTATTCTCGAGTCTATCTTCGTCCCATCCATCCAAACTACCAGGTCGAGACCTGCCGGTGTGTATCAGGCCCCTGAGATCCAGGAAGAAAACTCTAGTCAAGCAGACCTTGGTAGCGACGTCTGGTCTATGGGTTGCGTCAGCCTCATGGTGTTGGCGTTCCTTCATGCCGGGCCAAGCGAAGTCAAAAAGCTCTTCTCAAAACTAGAGGTCACCTTCAGAGCGGGTAGGAGCCAGTACTTGTTCTACGTAAGAAGCGACTCACGTCAGTAGAAACAGATACACAAGTATGATTGCGAATACTTAGAGAACTTTAGTCCGAGCACTGGGACTATTCCTGCCACTAATTCTAAACTTGAGGCCGCTGTACATCCGGATCTGATTAAATGGCCGAATGCTCTATACGAATCTCGTATACATGACTCGAAGCAGCCTCTTGTAAAAGAAATACTGGAGATTATTTTCCGTCGCGTCCTTCTTGTCACACGCAAGGAAAGGATAACGACAGTCGACCTGCATAAGCTTTTGAAACTGATTCCAAAACGATGGGAAGCAGAATTGGACATTCATAGCGGGGAGGACAACCAACAACAGGCGACGCTACAAAGACAGCTACCACCCAAGGCTAAAAGAATGACAATCACTGCACGGATTAGACTTCACGTCCACTGCACTATACCCCTATATTCCACAAGCAGCCCTCACAGCCACCCAATTCCATTTCGCAGTTTGAGGAAGAAGGTGTACCACCTCGCGAACCTGCAATTATCCGCCCTTTGCGATGCCTTGAAGCACGACAGAGCCCACGACGTACAGAAGGAGCTGAACAAAGATCCTGAGCTAGTCGGGAAAGCTTGTACCAACCCCAATTGTCAAATGCGTCCCATACACGTAGCTTTGCGCAACTTGAGCCCGGGTAAGGCCAACGCTTTCGATGTAGTCCTCAAGCACGCCGATCCTGGTGTCACCAGTGCCAGATGTTTTCACTCTGGTAATCACACGGCGCTTGAGTAAGCATGTGATATTGCGGGTGACTATGCTGCTCTGAGCGTGTGCCAGAAGAACTGGGAGGCATTTGATATCAGCAAAGACGAGTACGATCGTTGTAAGAAGAATGTGGGACGTAAATCCAGGCAGCTGCTCGAGCAGCTATACAAGAAACCCAATTGGCGGTCTGAACAAGCGAATTCACAGCCCAGACGATCGAATTCACTAGCTAGAGGAACAAATCCACCATCCCTTGGTGTACTGTGGAGATGGACGTCCAAGTGATCTCAGACGTCCAGTGAGGGATTCGCTGCCAGGCCGCCGGACACAGGTTCTTACCCGATACGCTCATATTTGCGCTGGAACGAAATAGACACGGCAGAGATGGGTCCATGCAAAGAGAATGTAATGGGTGTGTAGCCGCGTTTTCTTTCTTCTGTCATTGCGATACCTCGCTTAAGGGCGGAAGTTGCCCGCCAGTTCACACCCGGGAAACCTTTCCCAAAGCGATGCAAGATTCCGCTTCCGCTACGGCGCCGAGTTGAACTGCATGCGCAACACACGGTGAGGCCTGACAGTCAAGAGGATTCTTGCTCGGATAAAAGCGACATCGCAACACGACGCACAACAGCTGTCGGTCGCCGGGCGCAAACCCGCTGTTGCTCTGCCCAACAAGGCAACTTGCTAGGCCACTCGCTTCGCGCACCTATCGCCGAGGGGTGGTCTGATCGGCGGCCTTTTTCTCGCCCTCATGCGCCGAAGCGTGCGCGATGGACCCTCTGCCTGCCAACAGTACCCCACACACCGCCCGGTTCCGCAGCGGCGCCTTATATTTCCCCTCGGAGCGCGCAATTGACTGCCGCCCACGCACGTCAACACCAACAGTCCGCCCGCCGCCTCGTACACAGAACGCTCGTCACCATGTCGGGCCTCTTCGCAACCCAGTACGTCCAGGGCGTATACATCCCCTCGGCGCTGCTCATTGTTGGGACCGCAATTGTCAAGAAGGAGTGGCTGCCTTTCGCCGCAGCTTTGGCTGTGATCTTGGGAGGCTGGAAGGTGTTCAGCAACGGTGAGGACAAGATTCGGCACGGTTTTCAAGCTCGCCTGCTGATTCTCAAAAGCTCCCCGCAAGGTGCTCAGGCCCAATGAGTTCCAGGAGTTTCCTCTCAAGGAGAAGACGATTCTGTCGCACAACACAGCAATGTACGCAGCATTCTTCCAATTGCTCAATGTCGCGCTCTGTTAACGCTCCCCAGCTACCGCCTCGCACTGCCCCGCCCAACAGACATCCTCGGTCTCCCCATCGGCCAGCACATCTCCCTCGCCGCCACCATCGACGGCAAGGAAGTCGTCCGCTCCTACACCCCCATCTCCTCCGACGAAGACCACGGCTACATCGACCTCCTCATCAAGTCGTACCCCACGGGCAACATCTCCAAGCATGTCGCCTCGATGGCCGTCGGCCAGACAATCAAGGTCCGCGGCCCCAAGGGCGCCATGGTCTACACGCCCAACCTCGTCAGACACTTTGGCATGATCGCAGGCGGCACCGGCATCACCCCCATGCTCCAGATCATCAAGGCTATCCTGCGCGGCCGCGCTGCAGGCGACAATACCGAGGTCGATCTCATCTTCGCGAACGTGAACCCCGAGGACATACTGCTGAAGGAGGACATCGATGCGATTGCGGCCAAGGACTCTAAGTTTAGGGTACACTACGTGCTGAACAACCCGCCCGAGAAGTGGAACGGCGGCGTGGGCTTCGTCACCGCCGACATGATCAAGACCAAGCTCCCCGCCCCTGCATCGGACGTAAAGATCCTCATGTGCGGACCCCCGCCTATGATCTCTGCGCTCAAGAAGGCCACCGAGGGCCTAGGATACCAGAAGGCGCGCCCGGTCAGCAAGCTCGAGGACCAGGTCTTCTGCTTCTAGGCGCTGCATCGCGAGTAGGAGATCCATAGCTTGGATCACTGAAGATAGCGCGCTTTCTAGCGCGGGGAAAACTCGGGGAGCGTTTGCTTGCGAGGTTCGGCGTCTCATGTGTCAGCTCGGGTACTAGACGAAAATGGCAATTCATGGCGACTGCGGTATATCCACATTTCTGCAACAAGAGCTTTGGCATCTCCGTATCCTCATGGGATGCATTTGGGGGGTAATACGATCTCACAATAGAGACTACAATTTGATGTACATAATGCGTGTACTGGCCCCGAAGAGTCCAGAGAAACTTCCGATGTGCCTAGGACAATTCCATTACGGCACAGTGTTCGTGTGCGCTTTTCAATGCTGCGGAACCATTCCGCCGTCCACGGCAATGACCTTGTTCGTCACTGGAGTTGATTAGCTGATGGCTTGCGTAGGCGAGGGGTGCGTCTCACCGTACGACGTATTAATCATCCACAGAACTGTTTCCGCGACCTCATCCGGCATCCCCAATCTTCCTACGGGTACCACTACGATGTCATTAGCGCTGCTCTCCTCCTGTAATACTACGACCCACTCTTCGATAGCTCCTCGTTGCTTCCAGGCAACATCTTCGTCTGTTCGATTAACGCTGGTGCCACCCCGTTGACCGTAATCTGCAGTCGCAATCAGCTCGCTCATCCATTATCACGCCAGGGTTAGACCACTCACTCCCTTCTTCGCGTACGTATTCGCGAGCCAATGAATCAACCCATGTAGAGCACTCTTTGCGCTCGCATAATGCGGTCCAATTATCCCGCCGGTAATGCCCGCTACGCTCGATACAAAGATGACCCGCCCCCAGCCCTCGCCCTCCAAGGCCGGCATGCAAAGCTGGGTCAAGAGGTACGAAGACCCGCAATTGATGCGCCAGGCATCCTCAAACGCAGAGATAGACACCTCGTCGATGGACTTTGTACCTGTCTGGACAGTAGCCCCATGGTTGTTGATCAATATATTAGGCGGACCCAGCAACGCAACGATATGCTCATGCAGCTCTCTGACCTACATCACCATCAGCCATCTCTCTCTTCTCCATGACTAGCAAAGCAAATAGCTCAACATACGCGCACAGCTACTCACCTCCTCATAGTTCCCCAGATCCGCCCCATAGCACACAAACTTGCTCCCAAAAGCATGCATGTAGTCCTCCTTGAATTCCTCTAGCAGCGCCAGCGCAGCGTCTTGATCAGTGTTGTAATGGATCCCGATGCTGCATCCCAGCGCCGCGAGCCGGCGGCACACGGCGGTGCCAATGCCGCCTGTCGCGCCTGTCACGAGGGCGATTTTGCCCTGCAGCGGTGCTTTGAGGTGGCCGGTGGACATGGTGCGGTGGTGTGTGGGAGAAGAAGTCAAGGGTTGCGGAGGGGGAGGTGCTGCGGCGGATTGCGTGAGGGAGGTTCGGCGCTGGTGCATTGCTGGGAGACTTCGGGATTGGGTTTGGGTTTGGGGTGGTGCCTTCTTTGTCGTATGTGACGTCGGCGTGGTAGTGGTTGCGGTATGCGGTTGCAGTTGATTGGGCTGGGGGAAGGTGTAGCCGGAATGGTTGCTTCCCCGCTTGTGGTTGCCCCGCGACTTCCGTTTGGGGGAGCGACGAGCTGCTGATAGCGGCGTGGCTCGACTTACACGGAGGTTCCTGTTGTTGCTGCGGTTCTTTCTTCTTCTTACTCTACAATAATTCTGAATGTCCTACATACTGTGTTCCTAAGCGTTCGAGCGTTGAAGCATTCCTCTCCGTACAGGTACCCTAGAGCCTTGCAGTACCTACCGTTGGCACACACCTCTGCATAATAAGCTCTCCGTTCAGCCTATTCTTGGCTGTTTCTGCACCCCTCTCGGCCTGGGAGGAATCTCTGTCTCCAGACTGACCAGCTCGTTCAGAACGGACACGTCATCATGGCGCACCTCACACGCGAAGAAGTATTAGCATCTGGAATCGTGGCCAGTGACTATCAAAAGGTACGCCGGATCCGGAGGTAAGATGAGAGCTCAAGTTGACTTACTCCAGGCCTTCGAAACACGCCCCGTTGATATTAAGGGTAATGACTTCTTCGAGGTTCGGGCAAGCCGCGCGAAACATCTCCAGAAGCTTCGCTATTTGTATCCTATCCCCGGGCCGATCCCAGACGAAGTCAAAGAGTCGATGCATGACGCGTCTGCAAGGGATGGCTACTCTATCCGCGTGCGCGTGTATCAACCTGCCAAGGGCCCCCCCGAGGGCGGCAGTCCGCTTGTAATGATGTACCATGAGGGAGGCTGGAGCATGGGTGATCTCACAGACGAGGATCTGAATTGCAGAATGTTCGTCCGCGACTTGGGATGCGTGTGCGTGAATGTGGAATACAGGTGGGGTTTCCTCGACCTGATCAACGACCAGTGTGTAGCTAACTTCGAGACTAGACTCGCGCCTGAACACCAATTTCCCGTCGGCGTCAACGACTGCTGGGACGCTCTGAAGTGGGCTCTCGATAATGCAGCGTCCCTCAAAGCGACGCCCACACAAGGCATCATCGTCGGCGGCGCTTCTGCAGGTGGAAACCTAGCCGCCATCCTTGCCCTCATGTCCCGCGACACGCTCCTTTCTCCTCCTATAACTGGTCAATATCTCTGTGTTCCCGCGCTTCTTCCCGAGTATAATGTCCCGGAGGCTTTGACTCCATTTTACCGCTCTCGATACGATTCCCGCTCCGATCCTGTGCTGAAAGACTTGCAGCCAGGCATGATAGAGGCTATTTACAAGCCGGAAGAGAAGTCGCCATTGTGGGATCCTTTCAATCACCCGGATGGCCATAAGAGCGTGGCAAAGGCTTACTTTCAGGTGGGTGGGCTGGACCCGCTGAGGGATGAGGCAGTGCTTTACGATAGGAAGCTTAGGGAGGCTGGGGTGCTGACGAGATTCGATTTGTATGCCGGATATGGCCATATGTTTTGGACGAACTATCCGGAGATGGAGAGAAGCAAGGGATTTGTGGAGGACACCCTCAAGGGGGTGAGATGGCTCCTTGAGAAGTAGGATGCATTGCATACTGGCGAATAGAGGCTGAATTTGTGCTGGCAATGTATTAGTTTACTTGCTTGCAGCCCAGGATAACTTTAAAGTCGTTGCGGATTGGTGAAGGCTACCAGAAAACGTGCTGTGGTTCTATGGCGCTAGTATCAGTTGCCCACAGCACCACGTGATATTTTCACGTGAGTCTCACAATGATTTCTGTATTCAGTTGCAATGTGTTCTATCGTGCAAGGAAGGCCGTAACTGTAAGACCATCACGCACTAGCTCGCGCCATTTGTCATAGCAAACCAACCGCACTCGGAAGTAGCTCCGCTGTCTTGGACACTTCACACGTCCTCCCATGAACATGTATCTGACGCAGACCCAAATAATCATCATCGTATCCGAAAACACTCCTTGACACAAAAGCAATAGCAGATCGTAACCCGTTACATTTGATCGAAACCATGCCTCAAGCCACCGTTCACCTCATCTCCCTTCAACCCACCACCAACGCCTCAAACTTCATCTCCGAACTCAACCTAGTCAGCTTCGACTCACCACCATATCTTATCAAAGGCCGCCCTTGCGGCTGGGTCCAGCGTCCCCGCACCCTCAACAAGGACAACCTAACAGCCCACGAGTGGGATATCTTCCTGGTCACCAAATCCCCGACCCTCCCAGCCGGCATGGTGCTCTCGCTCGCAGACCGCGTATCCGCGACCATCGAGATGCCCCAAGCGCAGTACACCGCCCTGCTCTCCGGCGCGGGCCAGGATGCCCAAGCAGCGGGCGACACGCCGCCACTGCCGGACAACTGGCAGCCCGATGAGGTGCAGGCCGGCCGACGAGGGTCGAAGTTCTACGGCCTCATTCCCGAGACGGAAGTCCTAGGTGCGCTAGACAGAGAAGAGAGACCCGGTGAATTGAGGCTTGATCACCCCATGGCATGGTTCTTGTCCACTGCGGAGCCGGCGGGTATCCGGGGGGCGCCGGTGTTGTTTTTCAATTTGTTCAAGTATAGGGGTGGCGATAGGTCGACGCATGATGAATATATGCAGGGGTTCAAGGAGAAGTCTGGAAAGGCGGCTGGGGCTCAGGTGAGGTTTATGGGGGAGGTTGGGGATTTAAATTTTGCTGTGCAGGGAGCCAGCGAGGGTGGGAGAGGATGGGATGAGGCGAACTTGACGCAGTATGACAGCGTCTGGCATTACGCGTACATGCTGAGTACGGACGTGTATAAGGAGCTGAATAAAGAGAAGGTAAAGGGGCTGGAGGATACGTGTATTCTGCTTGTTAGCGAGCCGGCGCTGTGAGCAGTGGATATGATTATTTGCGGGCTTTCATGAGCATCTTTGGAGAACGAGATGTACGATACTAACTATAGATCCTTCCCAAATCCAGAGTGTTCTGGAGTGTATCTACCAGGGCTTTCCCCACTCTGGTTCTAGCCCCCGCCCCCACAGACATAGATGGACTGTGATGCCATACCCACAACATTGCATACTTACGAACAAAGGCTGAAATCCAAGCCAATCGAGCTTGACTTGAATATCGCACATATATACGACGACGTCTCTCCGAATCACAACATATATTAACTGTGCAGCACTGCATCTTTCACAACATTGGAGCGCTTGACCCATGCACGCCTATCATGCAGTGGCGACTTCCAAATATTGTTCACCTATACATCTCGCTCACTTCTCTCCGCGCGAGCCACAATCCGTATCATAGCATTTTCTTGGAACCAACACCCACATCATGTATCTTGGCGCCCTGACAACAGCCTTCGTCCCCGCTCCCGGCTGCATCGACACCATATATGGCGAGATTTTCAGCGTCGGTACAGTTCGCGACAAATGGCACAGTCTCGGGCAATCCGACAAACGATCTTGCTACCCGTCGGCCTTCACCACCCCGGGGAAATACTACTCGCCGGGCATATGTCCTTCAGCGTGGTCGTCTGCGTGCGGGAATGTGACAGAGACGAGGATGAAGTGCTGACCGGTGTACTTTCGCAGTCATACCTCATATGTCTTTCGTCACAAAGGAAATGCTAATGGGGGAATGCACAGCGGCTACATCTGCGCCTCATCGCAAACCTCCTCGTCGGACACCTTCTCATGCAGCCGCCTCTACACTGACCCGCCGAAGATCACCGTCCCGCAGGAGATTAATGGGAAGACGACGTACATGGAGACCACGCTTGCCGCAGATGGCGGACTGTTCGTCGTGTACGCGAACCAGATTGAAGTGCGGTTTCAGAAGGGGACTTCTAGACTGCGGCATCGATGACGAGAGGATCGTCGTCTAAACCGAGCACTCAGACAAGCGCAGTGCCTTCGAAGACGAGCGGGACGGTAGAGAATACGAGTACCGGGCTGGGAGCGGGAGGTGATAGTAGTGGTGGTGCAAGCGCGGGAAGCGGGGAGGGTGGAGGGCATCCATCTAAATTGACGGCGGGATCGTGGGCGGGAATTACGGTTGTGGTTACTGTGGTTTCGGTCAGGCTGGTTGGGTTGCTGGTGTTTCTTGTGCGGATGCGTAGGAAAAAGGGTGAAGATGAAATGGTGCATGAAAGTTGGACGGACGTTCATAGCACGGCTGAGATGGTGAACTTGACGCCGGTGTGTGAGGTAGGACCCAGGGAGGTTGATGAGGTAAGAGGTGATCTGGTCATGTCGGTTGAGCTGGATCCGAAGGCTCGAGTGCACCAATTAAAATAGTGATTGTAAACGTGATATGAGTACTATTAAGCTGTCACATGCACTTGTCTACTCGATCGTTCTCGAACGGAGACGACATATTGCTCCTAGGCTCGTTTCGCTCTGCTATCGTCCCCTGTGAGACACATGACCTAGAAAGTCATACCCAGCCCAGCCCCATCAAACCCCATGCCATCCCACCCCAACCCCGACCCTCCCATCACAGAACTCCATCCCATATCCAGCGGCAAGAATCCCGACCACAACGCCGCCTCATCAACGGGCCCCGTGGCTCCACTCCCGTTGATAGCGAAGTCGCCAACAGCTCCTAGATCTGTCCATCCGAAATCACCCATTTGCTCTGTCATCGCGGGGCTCTCAGCCGTGCCCACGCTGCCAGAATGGGATGGCGAATGCGCAGAGACGCCGCTTTGGCCTGTGAGTGGAGTGTAGCCTCCACTTGCACCGTGGAGCGAATGGCTCGCTACGTGCGTTCCCGGATGCCGGAAAGTGGTACTGCTGGACTTGTCTTTACGCGGTGCTTTAGCCCAGAGCAGCCGCAGCAGCTGGCTGTAGCGGGAGCCTGGGTGCTGGATTCCAATGTTGGCGCCAACGCTGCTACGCTGGAGACGAGCGATAGTTTCATTGATCATGGCGCGGATTGCGCGATCTTCGTCGTTGCTGATTACGCCAGTACAACGTGCTCGGTAGAGGAACACACCAGCATAGACTAGGTAGAGGTAGTATCGCAGTGGCATGTAGCGAAGCGATTTCTCTGGGTCGACGAAATTGTTGGCAGTGGTTAAGATGGCTTTTGCAGCATCGAGACCTTCGTAGATGAATCTGGCATCTCCAACTGCGCCGACATTGTTAACAAAGACGCGCTGTGGGGCATGCATCTTGGATCCGCGGTGATCACTATGGCTGCCCGAACCTTGAGCGTCTGCGGAGCCATTGGCAGTAGGGAGCGCGCGGAGAATCGTCGCTTGGAAGGCGAAAGCATTGATGTATAACCGTAGATAATCATAAGACATTAGTAGACAAGCCTTAAGGGGTGGTGAGCAAGTCAGTGTCCCCCATACACTTTTCCAGCCGTATATGGCTGCGCGAAAGTCGTCGATAAATTTGATGTAACTTCCGCTCATATGCGTGCGGAAACTTGACCCTGGGTTCGAGTACAGTGTGTCGTGGACGTTACTGAACAGTTGTGTGAGCTCCAGGTTGGCTAAGTTCATTAGTGTGCGCGCCCAAGATAGGATTGGAATAATTAATTACCTTGGAAGATGCTTGCATAGTCTTCTTGGTTGGTGTTGCTTGGAATTAGTGAAGGATAGTCCTCACGTCGCAGCGTCGTGAGCGGACCAGGACCCCTCGACCAAAATGCCTTCCCTATGCGTATAGAAATATGTCGGTCCGAGACGTAAGCAGAGGTCCATAAGAGTCGCTTGCGGTCATGTTCAGGATCTTTGTCCTGGTCTACGAATCGAAAGGAGTACTTGTCTACAGCCAGGAAGTAAGCTATCCGGAGAGCCAAACCAACGTGCATCCAGCTCTCTTTATCTTCTTCGCCTTTCCCAACTTTGCCTGAGCTTCTTTGTGTGTAGGGAGCCCATTCAGCAAGAATCAAGAGAGCTTCCACTGCTTCGACACCTGCGTCACCACCAGCAGCCACAGTAGATATTAGACTCTTCATATGCCCTGAACAGGCTTCGTATATATAAGGCTCTTCGACAAGATCTTTGGAGGCGATGACAAGTATGGCCGTCAGGAGATGTGGCTCTTTCTTCACAGTGTAGGCCAGCCTGGTGGTGTCAAAGGTGTCTACGCGGGCTAGTGGATAGTATGGATGGTAGTTCTCCTGGTATCGTGCAAGTAATTGGTTTACCGTTGAAATGGTGATGATTCCTTCGTCGAGTAGAACATAGCCATATGTTGCTGACAATTGCGTTCGCACTGGTGGTATTGTGCCCGGCTGAGCTGTCGGTAGAGCATTGCTGTTCGGTGCAGTCTCCTCCGAGCTAGATTCTGCAACTCTAGCAAGAATTCCAAGAGCATCAGAAGGGTTCTGTAGATTGGGAAAGGTCATCTCATCAGAAGTTGATGTTTCAGACCTTTGTAGTTGGTTCTCTCCCTCTGGCAGCTGAGGTGTAGGATCGGTCCGCATCCATGGTGTGGTGCCAACATTTCCCAATGGGAAGCTACTCTCCTCTTGATGGTAATTCGCCAATGAAGGTAAAGTACCCTCAGCTACAGTTTTGCGGCGGACTCTTCGTCCGCCACGATTGCTACCTCCGAGTACACAGTCAAGGTTGTCTCGCTTACAGCGAAGACATGGGACTGATCCATCGTTGTCTCTGAGGTTCGCTTGTTAGTATACAATGCGACTGTGGGGCTGCAAGGCGATCCATACAAAAGACATCGGCTCTTCCTCTTGCGGCAGTTCAAGCATGCTTGATGCGCTCTTTTGGTCTTAGGAGGTTCATCCCCCTGTGCGGCATCCGGGGCGGCCTCTGAAGGCGCGTGTGGGGAACTTATCGACTCCATCCGACCATTCCGTTCCGTCCAGGATGGTGGTGTTGAAGCGGTCCGGAGTGTGGGATGCTGTCGGCTTTAGGTTCGGAAGCCGAGCGAACCATCGGCGATGGTCTCAAGCACCGCTATACTCTTATAGGTCGATGGAGGCCTTCTATGGCATTTAGTACTATGTGTTCCTCAAAATACAGACAGTACTTCGAGAATCTCCAGCCTCGCGAAATGGACAATGGGGTCGACCATGCGGAGACGCGACGATGAACGAAATATCGGGCCGCGGTAAAGTGCGGCATTTGAAATACGAAAGCGGCTAGGGCTCCATCGTACCACATATCCATTACTAGAGCCATACTGAACACTTGAATCGGAATTTTCCAGATGTCCACGATGGTCGCAGATGTGTTCAACTCGCCACGGAATTCGGGCTAAGTTTGGTCGTGTAGGTATGCTTGTGTCTCGTGCCACGGCTGGAACAGCCCGGCCTAATCCAGGGGCATGAAGGCTCGGCAACGTACAATCCGTCGCACAGGATGGGTAACAGCTTGCGGCAATTCTCCCACAGTGACCAGTGACACAGTGGTGTTCACATCTAGCGGAGAGGTGTTTCTTCGGGGGCTGAAGACTCCGTGTCACGCGATCGCCCTGCTTGTTGGAGGTGACTCGCTATTGTAGCGTCCAGGCACCGTGGGATCTGCGCTCGAATTGTGGGACCTCCACATTTCCTCCATCCTTCCCCGTAAACACCAGCGCAATCTCTCCAACATGGCGACCCCTATGCTCTTATCTCAAGCGCCCGAGCATGATGCGCGACAAATTGCTTGGTCCATTGCAACTTCCTCTTCTTGCCAGACACCCCGCAGCCCGATTGACAGTTGTTAGCGATGTTTCTGGACCTCATCCAAATGGGAAGGTCGCTGTGCATGACCAAGCCACCATCGTTTTGTCTTCTCCAGCCCACAGGAGCTACGCGGATATACTGCACTTAAGGTTGTCGATAAGCCTTGTGCCCAGACTCATCGGCGGCACGAGCGGTGATCGCCACAGCCTATGAGGCGGTTACAGCCACTGGTTGCAAGGAAATGTACGCATGTAGCCCAAGGTAGGGCAGCGCCGAGCGAATTGTCACGCGTACAGTTCCTTCTATATGCCACTTTTTTAGATTAAGTCACGGCGAGATACCATTCGGCTGGAATCTGAACTTCCTGGACGGGGCACATCGCCCGTTCATCATCTACTCGTTACGGGCAGGTGTAAAGACCCCAGAAAGATCTGTCTGATCTACATGCTACGCCAGACCGCTCAGTGTAGCCTATAAGTACTACGGTAGGTGGTCTTTGTTTTTGTTTTTTCACGTCGCCATACTTCGTCAGGACCAATATGAAGTTCCTCGCTCCTCTCCTGGCCACCTTGGGCCTGGCATCTGCCGCAGCCGTCAACAGCAAAGTTAGCTATGACGGCTGGAAGGTTTACCGCGTCACCGTCGGCGCCGATTCATCCAAGCTCAGCTCGGTGATGAACAAGCTCCAGCTGAGCACATGGAAGGGCAAGGTTGGACACAGCTCGGTCGTTGACATTCCCGTTCCTCCTCTCCAAACCTTGGAGTTTGAGTCGGGAATCCAAGGCTACAACTCTTTGGTCATGCACGAGGATCTTGGTGCCTCTATTGCCCAGGAAGAGATCTTCGAGACTTATGCCTGTATTTATCCCTTGGCCCACTGCAATATCCGCAATGCGCTAACGATACATCAGCCGACTTCTCTGCGAAGGCCGCCGCTGCGGCTCCCAATGCAACCTGGTTCAATGCTTACCACACCATTGCGGAGCACACGCAGTGGCTGAAGGACCTCGCCGCAGCCTACCCAAACAATGCAGAGATCATTTCAGCAGGAAAGTCTTTGCAGGGACGCGACATTCAAGGCATCCACATCTGGGGTTCCGGCGGCAAGGGCTCGCAGAAGGGTGTGGTTTGGCACGGAACTGTGCACGCCCGCGAGTGGATCACCACCATGACGGTCGAGTACGCAGCCTACCAGCTCCTCACCTCTACCAACGCGGATGATGCGTCGTACAAGAACAAGTACGACTTCTACATCTTCCCCATCGTCAATCCAGATGGATTTGCCTACACCCAAACCACCGATCGCATGTGGCGCAAGAACCGCAAGACCATCACCACTTCTAGCTGTGTCGGCACTGACATCAACCGCAACTGGCCGAACCACTGGAGCAACGCGGCTGGAGCCTCCACCAACCCCTGCGCTGAGGACTACAAGGGCCAAGCTGAAGGCGACACCGTTGAGAACAAAGCGATCAAGGCTCAGCTGGACAGCATTGCGTCAAGCGCCCAGGGAGCGATTCTCTACATGGACATCCACTCGTACAGTCAGCTGTGGATGTACCCGTACGGCTACACGTGCTCTGGCACCGTCCCCAACTCTGCTAGCTACGCAAGCCTTGCCAAGGGTGCAGTCGCTGCGCTCAAGGCAGTCCACGGCACTACCTTCACTACAGGCCCCATCTGCTCCACCATCTACCAAGTTTCTGGATCTTCGGTCGACTACGCGCTTGAGAACGCTGGTAACAACAAGGGTGTGAAGTACTCGATGACTGTTGAGCTTCGCGATACTGGTGCGAATGGCTTCGTGCTGCCGGCTGCTCAGATCAAGCCCAGTGGCGAGGAGACATGGGCAGGATTGGCCTACCTTCTCAAGAACATGACCTAGATGTTATGGTCAGATGAAAAGAGAATGGCGCGTATAGCTTCGTGTGTATAGCTATAGTGAAATAGTGAAGTATAATGAAGAAGTGAAAACCATCACCACTGTGGCCATAATTCGAGCCCGTGCCACAATTTTAATACGTTATCAGGGAGCAATAGAATTCAACCGCTACATTGTCTTGCGCAGGTTGCTACTTCATCGCTCTGTCGTGTCGTATATAACGTCCAGACTGCATTACGTCATCGCTTGTATTCCGTAGCCAGCCAATCAACCGACCCCGCAGCGGGCCACACACGTTGCGGAACAATCCCCATCAGCAACCACAACCGCAACGATGACATTCTCAGACGATGTTATGAACCTACAGACACCTCCAGCATGCATAGCAGATTTCTGCATCATCCCGCTGGGTACGCCAACGGCATCCGTGTCGAAAGAAGTAGCTGAGGTACAGCGGCTGCTCAAGAAGAGCGGCTTGGAGTATTCTATGCATTCGGCAGGAACTACTGTTGGTGAGTGGTACATATTGACTTCCCGTCTCCTAGAGTTGTTACAGAAGACACGAGAGGTAGGTTCTTGTGAGCACCAGGCTAATGGATGCGCAGAGGGCTCGTGGGACGAGGTGATGAAGGTGATCGGACAATGCCACGCACTGCTGCATCAGAACGGCGTGGTCAGGATCCAGAGCGACATCCGGGTTGGGTCGAGGACAGACAAGAAGCAGACACACAAGGACAAGGTTGCGGCAGTGGAGAAGCTGTTGAAGGACGATGCTGCTTGAGGGACCTGGCCTTGACGAGGCAATTGAACTGCACACGACCATTGAACAGGGCAACTCTGGCTTCATGAAACAAACCCAAGAGCGCGGAATCTGATAGCTGTCAATATACTGGTGTTCCGTGGGTGCTCTAGGTCTTCCGCTGCTTCACGTGCGACTATTTTCACCTGCACCAACCAGACCCTTGCATGTCGACGCGTTTTGAAACAGAAGCATCACAACAACACAACAACGATGTTGTATCATGTACCCTGGAGGCCAAAACAAAGGCCATCGCGTGTACCCCGCAAGCGCCATGCTTGATGCGCCCGCCAAACGGCGATTGTGAGTCACTCACGGCTATGAATGCTCTGTTCGTACCCGCCCCCTTTTCGACGATTCGCCGGGAGGGTGCTCGACCTGGGGTTGCTAGGACGCGAGAGAGGGCTGGCGATGTTTTGGGAGTAGCGACAGGTTTGCGACGGGGATGCGCGTGCGGGAGATTAAGGAGAGGCCTGCAACGACTGGGATCGAGGGTGGTCGTGTTTTGCCCGCCAACACGTTAGTGGGAGAAAGCGAGCAACAAGTACATGATAAGAAATGATGTATTGCCGCTGCTATCGATTGACACGATACACAGCGGTTGCAATTCAACTCTGATTTTCTCCAGACTGCTAGCCTCGTGCTGTGCATTAGCCCGAGTTCATCCGAGGCGTTCGCGGCCCCTGCTCTGAAAAAAGTTCCAGCCGGATCCACTCGTCCGCAAGGCGTAGCGAGCTGCATCCTCTGCATCATCACCGAATCCAGTCTGCCAACTTCCGTCGCTTCCTCTCTCCCACCACCGTCACCTGCCCATCGCCTTGCACGGCCGACCATCGCCTGCATTTCCATCTCGCCCGCCGCAGCAATTGCCTCCAACTTGGGACGGTGCATGGCAACGCACTGTTCACGTGGGAACCCGGAGGAATGCACGCGACCCTTTCACGAGCCAAACCGAGCCGCACATAACAACACCCGCCCATCGCATCCCGCCGCGCAACCTCGAAGCCCCCGCCCCGCGCATCGCGCGCACAGCAGAGCACCATGGCGTTCAACTTCAACTGGTCGCCGCTCATCGCCGACACCTCGAGAGCCCGGGACATGCTGACGACGGCGCTGAACAAAGGCCCCAAGCCGCCCATCATCGTCGACGACATCACCGTCACCGAGCTCAACCTGGGCTCCACCCCGCCCGAGCTGGAGATCCTCGAGATTGGAGACCTGGCCGAGGACCGCTTTCGCGGCATCTTCAAGATGACGTACGCCGGCGACGCCTTCCTGACGCTCAAGACAAAGGTCCAGGCCAACCCGCTCAACACGTACCTGTCCACCAAGCCCGACTTCGCATCCCCAGAGCCGCTCGCGGCATCCGCCGGCCTGACGATACCACTGCAAATTACGCTGTCGGACATCAGACTGTCTGGGTTCGTCATACTCGTCTTCTCGAAACAGAAAGGCGTCACGCTGGTCTTCCGGAACGATCCTCTCGAGTCGCTGAAGGTCTCTTCGACATTCGACTCGATACCCTTTATCAAGAACTACCTGCAGAAGGAGATCGAAGGCCAGCTGCGTGTGCTCTTCATGGAAGATCTGCCGGCCATCATCCATCGGTTATCGCTGCGGTTATGGTCACCCGAATTCCAAGAGCTTGACGCTGAGACGGAAGAACGACTGGACAGCTCCAAGAGCACCATTGCCCCTATCGATCCATTATCAGGGCCGCCGCAAGACGCCGTCGATGAGTTTGGCAATCCCATCGACGCGTCGCAGATGGCCACGCTTGCGCTCGACTCCTCGTCCGAAATACACGCATCATTTTCCCAGAAGAACATGCTGCGACTCGCGTCACTATCACAATCCCAGCACACCCTATCGCTCTTCACCCCAGGCATCCGCGAAGCCGTCTTCCGCGCCTGGGCCAGCAATCCCGACCGTCCAGAATCCGGCTCCGCAACGCCCGCGCTTACCCAGTCGAGTCTCTCCAGAATACAGTCTACCTTCGCCAGCGTCAAGTCGAATGCTTCGTCAGTCGCCTCCGGTAGCACTGGGCAAGACACCAACGCATCGCGCCCCACCCTCTCCTCCGCCTACTCCTCCGCTGCCGGTCTCAGCCTCGGCGCAAACCGCTCGCGCGGCCACCAAATGCGCAAACGCAAGAAGCGCGTCGTCGACCTCCGCAAGAACCGCGACGCCGCAGACTCGTCGGGTCTCTCCACCGAACCCACCACCCCGCTCACGAGCACCACTGCCTCCGAAACCGCGAGCGTCATCCCCGAAGAGCCGCACCGCGTTGACAACAACGAGCCCGCGCTGTCCACCCCGCCGCGCACACCGATCAATCCCCTCCATAGCAGCGCCCTCGAGCCCGGCTCACCAACCCCACGCTTCCGCGAGACCGAGAAACCCGCCCCGAGCGACGCCCTCCTCCCGCCCGCCCCGCTCCTGTCCGACCCCCCGAAGCCAAAAGCCAAGCTCGCCAACGCCACGGTCCACGACTTCGTGCAGACGGAACAATCGCAACGACCCAAGCCAGCGGGCCGCTCCTCCTCCTCGCGCCCTCCGCTATCGCATACCCGCCTCCGCTCCACACAGCAAGCCTCTTCCCCGCTCCTGCGCTCCCTTTCCTTCGACAAGATGCCGTCTTATCAAAGCCAGAAGAATTCTGGTGCGCTATCACCGCCGTACGCGGAGAGCACTACCAGCTCCGCCGGCGGGATCCTCGAGCAGGCATGGATGCTCAAGATGGCGAACGAGATTGCACGGAAGGTGAGGGAAGAAAAAGGAAGGTGTGGTGGGAGCAGGAGTCCAAGTCCACCTGAGCGTCAACGCGGGTCTTTAAAAAGACCTCAGGGCCTGTGGGACGGCGCCGAGGAGTGCATGGATGCGCCGCCAGCCTATGTCGCATAGCGCTCAAGAAAGAGAAGGAGAAGAGAGGGAGTAGAGGACGATTTTACGATACCATGTGCTACGACGGCGTTTCTGGGGTTTGCTTTTTTTCCTTTGTCGCTCGTTCGCGCTTCTGCTTTCTGCTTTGTCGTTAACTTTCGCTTGGGCCTCTGTTTTGTTTTTGGGTGTAACAAAAGTTCTTGATACGCGTTGGAGCGTGCGTGCGTGCAGCATTCAGCTCGGCAGCATGGGTGTAATCGTAGTATCGTAAGAAGCAGTGTACAGGGCGGACGTGTATCATAAAGTCGATCGAGGGGTGTACATTTTTGGCGGTCCGGCTGGAAGGGTGGAAAGAAACGGAATCAAGGCAGTTGGATCTTGCAGCGGATGTTGCACTGCACTGCACAGGCGTATACCCATTCCCTGCTCTACGGATAGTGTCTGAGGAGATAGGTTAGGATAGATAATCATCGCTTCGTTGTTCTCATCGATCTATGCTTTTGTCAGTGAAAGGCTCTGATGTCATGCTGTTGATGCTCGTATGATAGCACGCCCGACGCAGCGGCCAAAGTGTCGAATTCGAATGATGAAATTTCATTGTCACAGCCACAAGAGTATCGATAGCTCTAATCCTTAACCTGTAGACCCCATATTCGCAGAGAGCACATCACCATGCTCAAGCGCTAGTAATGACTTGACGTTTGACTACCGATGCCCCCGACTGTAGCTAATCCGGCCGAAAACTAGAAGCATCAGGTACAAACAGTACGATGAGTCATGCTTTCTCGCCATACCTCCTGTCCGTCCATCACTAGCCACTTTTAGTCGAGCAGGTTGAACACGGGCGCAGCCGCACGCTGCTCGCCTGCCTTCTCCCCACTCTTCTCATTCTCCTTCCGATCAATAGGACTTGTGATATCTCCCACATACGAGAACCGCTCCCTATACGATACGCGTCTATCGCCAGCTTTGCACGGTGTCGATGATGCCGGCGCAGACGCAGACGCAGGCGCAGGCGCGTCGTTATCAAATAAGTCTATCAGCAGCGACGTGTTTGCGGAGGTTCCCGAGACCTTCTTGGGCGAGATTTGTATTAGCTTCCCTAGCGGAGGCGGGCTGGACGCCGTCGAGCCGTTCGAAATAAGTTCCTTAAACTTAGCTGTTTCCTTGCGACCCTTCTCTCGGGCCTGCGCGTCGTCAGCTTTCACACCACCGTTGGCGTAGGCCTGCCACTGTTTGGGCGTACTGCCGGAATCTGAGACGGTGTCTACCACCATATTTGGCGTTGCCACTGTGAGGGCTGGACCTGAATAAGATACTGCTGTGGGAACCACAGGGATTGCCGGAAGCGCAGTGGAATGAGTATGGAACGGGGGGCTTGGTAGTGCTTGCTGGACCGTCTTCTGGAGCGGCTTGATCAAGGCCTTCCTACCGCCCATACGACGGTCGCAATAAGTGCATTTGCAGGGGTCGGGGCAGCCCTGGCTGCATGCTTGACCACACGTGGTGCAGGGCTTCTTGCACTGCTGTCTGCAGACGATGCGGGTGCTGTCAAACGGATGGCAGGTCAGCATGCACCTGTGCCCGCAGGGTAACAGGCAGCGACAGCTCTCGCCACATCCTCCGCTCAAGTGCTCCCAGTCGTCGGGCTGTTCGATGAAGATCTTGTTGCCGTGTCTCTGACAGGTGAGCGGGAGATGATATCCTATGCGCCTTGGTGGACCCGATGTTGGAATGTCCTTCTTCGTACCGTGTGCCCACAGGATCTTTACAACAGCTTCCCAGGTTTCGCTGCCGCACACTAGCTTCTCCGCGTTGCCAAACAGGTAGAAGCCTCTCCTGCATTCTTATCAGCGACATGTAAGTACTGATTGAGATTGTGCAGTCTGCATATGTCTTGAACACTGTAGAGTAGTACAAAGAAAATGGGAAGAGCTTACCGAGCTCGTGAAAGGGCAACGCAGACCCTGTTGTCGACTGATAAGAAGCCAATGTTGCCGTCTTTCGGACTTCGAACAAGGGAAAGTAAAACGATGTCATTCTCCTCGCCTTGGTAAGAATCCACGGTGACGACCTTCAGCGATTGGCCACAGAGGTTCTGGTGGCGCCTAAGTTTCGATAGAAGGAGCTTTCGCTGGCCATTGTAGAAAGTCAGCACGGTGATCTTCTCTGGGTCAATCCTGTTCAAGACAAGATAATCGAAGAATTCGACAATCATCGCAGCTTCATGCTCATTCTTGGCTGAGTGGTTGTTGTCCCGAGATTCAGGCCAATCATGAGTGAAAAAGAACGAGTTCACGCCACCCATACCTTCGACGGCGGGTCGATTGTTTTCGCTCAGCACACTTGGAAAGTCCTTCAATTTGTCGCCGTAGATCGGTTGCAGTAGACGGCGTATCTCGGGAATCATGCGACGCTGGCGTCTCAGTGTATCATGTTCAATGTTGTTGCTGACTAGGCGCTCGAAGAGCGACACATTCATGTTATATGCCTCCAAATCATGCACATTACAGTGAGGACGCAACTGTCGGTGGTCTCCAACTAGGACCAGGTGCTCTAGTGTTGGAAAACAGGCCGCCGTTACAGGAGCTTCAAGAGTTTCTGCGGCTTCTAAAGAAATTGTTACCTTGAGAGACTAGTTTAATCCAGATACTTAAAAACCAACCTTCGATTAGGACCACCCTTGGTCTCAAGCTTGAGATGAGAGCACGGTACTTGCTCAGCGCCGTGGTAGTCATCCCGATGACACGTTGATTCAACAGGATGCCTTGGTCTTCCTCCCATTGTCCGATCTTTTTCAAGTGTACTTGCTCCGAGTATTGCTTAGCAAGGCCACGAAATTCTCGCAGTACGATCTGCTTCGCTTTGCGTAGCAGATAGTTGTATATAGCACCGCGGTCTGGCAGAGGGACTGTGGTCAGGTCGTCTGTCTTGTCCAGCCTCTTTTGAACGTCAGCAATAGTTCTTAGCGATCCACCCTTCAGACCCCGGAAATTATCACATATAGCTGAGATAGGGCCTCTGAGGGCTTCTATATCTTCATCGTCATCGCGGGCGACCGCCTCGGCCTCGATCTCTTTGATCTGCTCTGCTTCAAAATCCTCTTCTTCGTAGGGCATTCCGAAGTCATCGGGTTGGTACGGGTGATCGCACCGTTCAAGACACCTTCCAAGCCATTGCTCCATCTGGATACTTGGAGTGGTCTGAGGGATCCCCTAAAGTGTAAAGTCAGTATGAATTGATACCGAGTGGTGAATGCCCCCTTGAGTAAGAAGTAACACTTCCTCCTGCAAAAGAATCGATGCACTCTCCTGCCATGTGGTTCACTTACCATGACAGACTCTGTATCAACTTCCAAAGATGTAGCCTGCTTCTCAGTAAGCAAACCGAGCTTGACGAGAAGACGGTGGTCGAGCGGGCCTTTATCTGGGGCCTTTTCGAAAGGAACGAGGAGAAGTTGCATTTTTGCTGCCAGTTGCCTCAACGCACTAGTCGCGCGATTCTTGCGGCTGCCGGGAATTTTGGGTTGCACGAAGGTTGATCGAACTTTGTACAGCTACTCGAGTCAGACTGTTTTTCCTTGCAATTAATACTCCGCCATCTCGGCACTTCGTACTTACAGTTCTCTTCTTGATCTTATCCTGGTCCTTCGTTTGACCGCCCAAACGAATGAAGTTTGGCTCAAATTCAGCGATATGTCGTAGAAGTTGATCTAACGCATGATTTGTCTGGCAGGTAACAATAATTGGGGGATCTTCTCCGCGCATGTTCTGCAGCATTGTTTGGAGCGCAACAACGGAAACGTATGTTTTACCAGTACCCGGGGGACCCTGTACAATTGCCAGCTTCTTAGTCATGATCCGATTAAGTGCCTTAGACTGGGAGCTGTCCAAAGTCAAGTTATCGCCGGATGGCCATTCCTGAAGAATATTCACGTCTTGGAATCGATCGGCTTCGTCTAAGCTGACCAGTGGGCTCAAATCTGTATGGGGGCTAAGTCGGACATACTCTGGCGGCTCGACTTCTTTCTGGGCGTTTACGAGATGCTCTGACAAGGGGAATGGCTCCCGCATCATGTGCTGCAGAGCAAGGAGCGTATGACGACTCGCTTCGAAGAACGATGATCGCGACTCGACCATGATCCATTTACGTGCAGGGTCCCAGTCCTAAGGTACGGAAAAAAAGTCAGTGTTAATTAAGGTAGGGCACTGCCAGAAAGACACATGCTCTCATCACCCGACGGTATGCTTACATATTGCTCTGGTTCAACGAAGAACAAGTCTATCTCGGGAGGGTTGTTTGACTCGACAGCAGTCAGAGGCCTCGCACCGACGATCGCAAGAAGGCACTTTGAAGGATCCTGGAAGGCATCGTCTGCCGGCGAAAGCGCAACAAGTGTGCCTGTAATAAGATGATGAGTGCTTGTACTGCAATAGTGGAAACTGTTCACGCGCTCGTGAAGAGGAAAGGGATAGGAGATCGGTGACCGTTCATTTTGAGTATGGCGTACCTGTAATGAGACGTTTGGATTGACTCCACCGAATGAGCTTCTTAACGCGACTCAAGGAGAAGGCGACCTTGGCAGAAAGCCCACGGAAAGAAAATTGCACCGCTTTCAAGTATACCTAGAGTGCTGTGTTAAAGAAGAAAACGGGGGAGGCTCTGCTTCGATCGTTGACTTACGGGCTCGTAGATTCCGATCCCACTGGACGGAGGATAATCTGATTCATCTCGCCAGGGATCCTTTCTAACCTCTTCGACTGCTTGCCGCAATGGGCGGATAGCGTCCTCGCGGAGTAGGTCGTATTGTGTGCCAAGGTATTCCTCCTTTGACTCGTAGTTGCCCTCCACTTTGTTCGGACGGAGCTCCTCGTTGAGGTTGATGATTTGTTCGCCGACGGTAAAGCCAGGGGAACAGGATCCAGGCAAAATCTCAGATGGCGTCGGGATCTCTGGTTTGTTGACCCAGGAGCCAGCGTTGACCGGCGTATATTGTGACGCGTTCTGATAATATTTCCAAATGTCGCCGTTGATACGTGAAGGCCTGGCCAGAGGGGCGACATCAGGGTCCGGATAATCGTCTTGTGGAGAGCATAAACGCTCTGAGAGATGTTTAATCATGCTCGCAGAGTCTATGGGTCAGATGTTAATCAATGATCTATTGAGTGTGCGAGAAATGCAGTTCCGTGGGTGCTTCTCACCCACCGGGAACAAAAGACAGTGTGTAATTGACGACTCCCGACTTTTGTATTGCGCACGGAGGGGAAAAGTATGCTGCTCAAACAGTTGGCAAATTGCTTACCGTACTCGTCGCCGCCAGCTGCAAGCGCGCCATAAATGTTGGCGCTGCAAGGCCGCTGGCCTGCTCGGCCCCAGCCTCTCTTCTTCGGCATATTGAGAGATTTACGTCGTGTCGTTCGCGTGATTGCGCAGAGAGAGCGTGGCGGCGTGGAAAGCTTTGGCTGACGGCGTCGAATTAAAAGCAAAGGTGGAGGTGGAAACGCGTCGGTCTGGTAGAAGGTGCGCTCAGCACGAACGGAAGGAGCTGAACGTCAACAAAGACAAACGGAAAAAGGGGTCTCGGCTGAACAAGACATTATAGTGGAGAAGTTTGGAGATGAAGTGAATAGCGACAATGACCTGGACGAAGGCCAATTTGCAAGAATGGCACAAGCAAACAGAGAGGTGGATTGGACACGGAGGTAGAGATAAGGAAACGAACATTTGTTAATAGAGATGGCGCCATAGAACGCAAAATAAGATAAGAGACCCTTTGAGCACGAATATGACAACTTACTTGTGCGGCCATGTGTGTAGATGTGCCGATTTCTCACAATTTCATTTATCCTGGGTTTCCGTCCTCCACACAAAACAGCGCGGTTGAGTTGAGAAGCCACCACATACACACCGTCACAGTGAGAAGAGTCACAAACAGTCACAAACAGCCATGAGAGCCAACAATCTGGAGCGCAGTCCCCGCGATGTGCAGCGCAAGACAAGGCGGGCTCCATGGGATTGGTTGGTGTGAAGCAGAAGTAATATCGGTGTAATTGATGGATACTGTTCGACAGCTGCTACAGATGCAGCTCTCGATGGCAAGGAGTATCCTCAATTCCCGGAATCGCCGCAGTGTACGTTGACGTAGAATTGGCATCAGTCGAGGTCGAGACCGATTGTCGAAGTTGCGGTTCGTCCGCTCTCTGCTTGGCGGACCGCTGTGGAGATCCCTGGCCCGCTCCGCAGCTCGTAGCCGAGAGCCCTGGAGCCTCATCGTAGCACGTCTTCGAGCGCCGCGACCGCGACCGCGAGCTTTCCGGCTGCATGCGCATGCGCTGATCACTTTCCATGCCTTGTCCGTCTCCGTAAGCGAATTGCACAAGCTCTAGCACACGTCGCGCATACGGTCATAGCTGCAGCCCCGCAAGCGGCGGCCAAGGTTCATGTGAGCAGCATGAACTTCGACGACGAAGATGACAACGGAGCAGGTCGCTCTCCCTCCACCTGAATCGCACTCATAAGGCTGACCAAAAGTAACAGGCTCCCAAGATTCGGGCTCTGAGAATGACAACGACGAGGTCATGGAAGACGTAGACGACGGCGACGCAGATGGCGACGCTGACGGAGATGGGGATGGAGACGATGGAGACGACGATGGCGATGACGGGGATGGAGACGACGATGACGCGAATGGAGACAACGACGATGATGACCAGGACGATCCAGACAGTCCCTCGCAACGGCAGCGCAACGGCTCCTCTGCCATGCCCGGCCCCTTGAGGTCAGACACGAATCCCACAGTTACTCTCACGTCTCCTTCGCCGCGAGCTGCTGATTCAGGCGGAGGTTTGCCATTTCGACCGAGCATACGCCAGGAAGCCCTCAATGCGCCCGTCTACGACATAATCCCTACCATCGCAGCCCCGCACAGCACGTCTATAAACGCCATTACCGCAACGCCGGACATGCGATGGGTGTTTAGCGGAGGCGCAGATGGATATATAAGAAAGTTCAATTGGATCGATACTGCCAACGGCAAACTGGCCCTCACCGTGGCCCAGCGCCATCCGTTCGTCGACAGTGTTACCAAGGCTGGGGTGCTCCTGAGCTACTGGGAGAACGAAGACTCGGACCGCAACGAAGACGCCACCACTCTCTCGCCCGTCTACTCACTCGCCGTCCACCACCAGTCCCTTTGGCTGTTATCTGGACTGGAGTCTGGAGGCATAAACCTACAGTCTGTGCGACATGAGGAGGGCAAGCGGATACACACTCTTCGACAGCACACCTCGGCCGTGTCAGTTCTGACACTTGCCCAAGACGAAACGTCGGTGCTCTCAGGAAGTTGGGACAAGACTATCAACGACTGGGATCTCAACACTGGACAAGTGAAAAGACGCTTTGAGACGAGCGGCGGTCATCAGATCTCTGCAATCGAGCAACGCCCAATGTCTACATTGCCTATCCCGCAGGACACAGACATAGTGCCCGTCTCCAACGGCACATTTTCGTCCAATAATGCATCCCGCCCACAAGCTAACGGTCTCTCCAACGGCCTTGGGCCATCCAGCCGACCCTCAGCCACAGAAACGAACGGGAATGAAGACGCTGCGGGCTCGCCTGAGGACTCGTTGTTCGGGGACAAAGACTCTCTGTTCGGTGACGACAAGGACCCATCTAATGGCCCTTCAGCGCTCGCGCCATTTGGTGACGATGAGGAAGACGAGTTCTCAAGAGCCATTGCCAATGGTATTCAACAGGCAGACGAAGCTGCAAATGCCGGGATGGATATGATGGATCTTGGCGGCCCTGTCCAAGCCCCCGCCCGAGAACAATCGCCCGAGACCCTGAAGGAACCCGCGGGGCCTGCAGAAGCCGACATCATGGTCAATGGAGTAACCGACGGTGAACCGAGCACGCTTGTGAATGGCCTTCCACACTCTGAAGAAATATCAGGGTTAGTCGGTACAAGCGCAATGCAAGCTGAACAACCGGCTTCCTCTGAAACAACGTTTCTCGACGCGGGCATTGATGGTACAATTCGCATCTGGGATCGACGGCAATCGAATCCAATCGCTCGCATAGCGCCCTCTCGCAATACTCCCCCGTGGTGTATGAACGCCTGCTGGTCACCGGACGGCAACTTTATTTACGCAGGCCGAAGGAACGGTACTGTAGACGAATACAGCCTTCATAAAAGCCTGCGGGAACCTCGAAGGACCTTTAAATTCCCTGGCGTCAGTGGTGCCGTGAGCGCTGTGCGGACGATGCCCAATGGGCGCCATCTTGTTTGGTAAGTTTGAAATCGCTCATTGATAACATAGCTAATCTGGTTATAGTGCTTCGTACGACATTTTGCGATTATACGATCTTCATGAGCAAGAGAACAAAAATCTCGCTGTACCTTTCCTAATCGTGCCGGGCCACCGAACAGGTGTAATTTCGCAGCTGTACCTTGATCCTACATGCCAGTTCATGATATCAACCGGCGGCAACAGAGGCTGGGAAGGGAGTTCGACGGAGGTGTTGCTCGGATACGAGATTGGCATTCCATCTTGATGTGCTTTTGGTATACCCTTGGTCGCGGCGTTGTGGTATACTTGGTTTTGGTTATGAACCGATGTTGCCTGGGACAGCAGCATCTTTAGCATTGCAGACATGTACCTATCAATCCAATATAACGTGTTTTACAAGCGAGCGGCGCGTACAAGCGAGCGGCGCACCCCACCAACTTTACGCACCTATCTCATCTTAACCTACAATGGCTCCACACAACAATGCTCAATTACCTTCAAATGAAGCAGATATTCAGCTTGCTATCTTATCTATCAATACAAAACAGATTCAAGGCAATCGACCTGCTGCTGCAGTCTACAATGTACCCGAAACAACGCTCCGCCGCCGACGCGCTGGGAAGCCTGCCCGACGCGATTGCCAGCCCAACTCAAAGAAGCTCACTGAGCTAGAAGAGGAGGTGATTGTTAGATATATACTTGACCTGGATCAACGTGGATTTGCGCCTACGTACGCGGCTGTACGCGATATGGCTGATAAACTGCTGGCTGCGCGCGGCGCTGGTCAGGTCGGCGTCCACTGGCCGCGCAACTTTGTCAAGCGCACGGATAGTCTCACAACGCATTTCAATCGAGCCTATGATAGGCAGAGAGCCCTGTGTGAGGATCCGATATTAATCAGAAGCTGGTTTGAGCTCGTAGAGCAGACAAAGACCAAGTACGGCATCTGCGATGACGATGTCTATAACTTCGACGAGGCTGGCTTTATGATGGGCAAGATTATGACTCAACTCGTTGTAACAGGATCAGAGCGGAGAGGCAGGCCAAAGGCTATCCAGCCTGGCGACCGTGGATGGGTCACAGTGATCGCTGCAATCAACGCTGCTGGCTGGTCAGTCCCACCGTTCCTTATTTTCGCTGGCCAGTATCATCTATCTGCCTGGTACGAGGAAGCAGAGATCCCACGCGACTGGGCGATTGCAGTCAGCGACAACGGCTGGACGAACAATGAGCTAGGAGTAGAGTGGCTAAAACACTTTAACGCTTATACGAAGACTCGTGTCGTTGGTGCGCGTCGCCTGCTCATCCTTGATGGCCATGAGAGCCACCACTCTCTTGAGTTTCAAGAGCTCTGCAAGGAGAATAATATCTATACTCTTTGTATGCCACCTCACTCATCTCACCTGCTACAGCCGCTTGACGTTGGCTGCTTCTCGCCGCTGAAGCGCGCGTACAGCCGTGAGATTGAGAGTCTAATCCGCCACCACATCAACCACATCACGAAGCTCGAGTTTCTGCCAGCCTTTAAGGCAGCCTTCACGCGATCATTTACGGCAGCTAATATCTGCTCAGCCTTTCGAGGCGCAGGCCTTGTTCCTCACCAGCCAGACGTTGTTCTATCAAAGCTAGATGTGCAGCTCCGTACGCCTACACCAGCTGCTCTACCAGAGGCTCTCTGGGAAGCCAAAACGCCGAGCAACGTACGTGAGCTTGAGGCTCAATCAACATTAATACGTAATCGTGTGCGGCGACATAAGAGCTCATCACCAGCCTCAATTATCCAGGCAATTGACCAGCTTAAGAAGGGAGCTGAAGTGATGATGCTCTCAGCTGAGCTGATGCGCGATCGGATCACCAGCCTTGAGAGGGCTAATGAGGCAGCAACAAAGCGTAGGCAGCGTAAAAAGAGGCGGATACAGAAGCGCGGGACCTTAACAAAAGGAGAGGGAGAGGATATACTGGCTCAAAAGGAGGCTGACCAGCAGATAGAGCGTGAACAGCGTCAAGGTGGAGAGCGATCAGGCCTCAGCCGCCAGGCTCTTGCGCGCTGCAAGAAGTGTAGAGAGACTGGGCATAACTCCCGTACGTGCAAAATAGATAGTTTAGATACTATTTAATCTACTATATTAATATCTATACATTGTTCTACACGGTTGTTAAGATATACATCTGCAGAGGTGCGCAAAGTTGGTGGGGTGCGCCGCTCGCTTGTACGCGCCGCTCGCTTGTAAAACACGTTATGCCTTACGGGCACTCGCATCATCAAGTACGATTTTGTGCCTTGCAGGGCTAGTGTGCTTACATAGGGCGCTGAGAGCAGGGATCTCAGCCGTGTTTCCTGGCGCACGCGCGCCGCCTATAAACCAAAATCATCCAATCCTGGTAGCGAAGTGCGCCGCCACGAAAACGAGCCAGCTCGTACCGTTAACCTTTAAAGGCCGGGCCCCCGAAAAGATGGGCGACGGTATTTGTTGCCTGTATCCGTCGCGAGTTTTGAGTGGCAAGGAACCTCACAGACGCATTCTTGAGACTGCACGCAACACGTTCTTGGAGGACGCGCGCACCAACCATCCATGGTACCAGCGCGACACAGAACTCGACGTTGGGAGGTGCGGTGCGCTGTATGATAGACGGAGTACCGAGGCAGGAACGTATTAGTGAATCGTGCCTTACGGCTGCGGAGCCTTCAACAAATCGAGTTGACCCTCTGGAACCCTGGTGTCTACACACCTCTTCCGCTATCACAGATTACCACGAAGGAAAATATTCGTTTCGCATTCGTTAATTATACGCTGCATCGTTGAACATGGATTTCGAGGGTCCCCGACCAAGCCTATCCGAGGAGGAAAACTCAGACGCAAAGAGCGAGGCAGCGCAAGAGTCTCATGCAGCTTCGCCAGTATCTTACGAACCTAAAATTCGCTGCCGCCTGACCAGAGACCAAATTACCAGTGAGAGTTCAAACAGCGTTCGCTTCGAATTCCTCGCAGAGGGTGCGTAAACCACCGGGTACAATGTTGATGTGTCTTGCCTTTCCCTTTTGGGTGAGACATGTACCATCCTGTTTTGACTCACACTGACTTTGTACCCTCGTCTTAGGTGCCGCCAATACCGTCTTTCGGGTGGTCCCGTATTCATTACAAGATGGCAAGGAATCATTCGTCTTTGAGGATGACCAGGGCAACATACTGGCGAAAGAAAAGCTTGCTAAGAACGTCCTCCGAATGAGCAAAGGCAAACCCAAGACGCTGAAGTACAAGGAAATCATGGAGGGCTTCGAGACAGTAGTCAAGCCATTGTTTCGCAAGACCGAGCCATCGGAGGAAGGAGCCTCAAGCCGCAGCACTGCCATCAAGCTTTCGATCAATGAGTCTTTCGAGGAATTCATCATGGATCACGAAGGGGTCGCGATAACACCCGAAGCCATTAAAGCACTGCTTGCCGAGATGCACACGCATTGCCCCGACAACAGGCATATAGAATCTCATCACCTAGAGGAGAGGGGCATCCTGCTGCCAGACATGTCCTCGGTGCTTGGTTCGGTCACCACCATCGAGATTAAGCCCAAGTGGCTACTTCAATCACCAAACGCACCCCGAGACGCATATCTTTGCCGAACTTGCGCGCTCCAGGCCTCGAGGCAATCCAAGAAAGCCATCAAAAAAACCTGGATATGTCCGCTGGCCCTTGTGGCCGGAAACAAAGCTGCAATCGAGCCATACATACGTCACAGATCGCTTTCTACGATGGCGGAGAAACCCGGCCATCACGTCCTGCGTATGTATACATATTTTTATCCAGAATACTCTTGTCCTGCGCACCAGTGGATGGACATATTTGCATGGTCCACTTCCAACAGACAGACCATGATGTTGCTTCAGCATATGGCCCGAAACTACAGGATTCGGAATATAGCTCCTGAGCGTGTTCATGGTTTGTTCTACCCGAGTATCGACAAGTCAAGCCCTAATTCCCTCGAAATTATCACTAATGCATCAACAGACAGACCCTCGAGGGACGAAGAAGCTTTAAATCAACACTTGGAGGACGAAGTAGAAGCCGTCGTCCAACGCGCGGTCCCATATCTCACCACCGGCCCCGGCCACCACATCCTCCAGCACATCCGCTACCTCCAAGGCCAACTTGACCCGGCAGGTGTGCTCTCTTGTCCTTTATCATCCACTGAGGAGGACCGCCTCCGCCTTGCCATGACGCTGAGGGACTGCTCGCTGTTCATCCGCATCCCGTGGGCCGACCCGAATGCGCCGATCGAAGCGAAACTCGGCGATTTAGATTTCAAGTCGCGGGGCAAGAAGCAGGATTGGTCGATGAAGGAGGAGGGACTGTTGCATGGGGGGTGGTATGTGGATCTGGAGAGCCGAATGGACGAGTGCTGGATTGCGCAGGGCTGGAAGAAGTATGCGCCGCATTATTTCTGAGATTTAGTATCATGGGAGAGGATACGGTGGCGTGTCTAGGCGCGTTTAATTTGCTGGGGATATATCCATACGTCGTTAGGTTCCGTAATGTAGTAATTAATGCACTGCTGTGCCTTTTGTGGAACGCGGTATTCAACTTCCTGTGCAGGGCCTGTCCGTTCGAAAATTCGTGTGTAGGCAGATGTAATAAGCATTCTCCAAGAACCTTGGTATCTGCTTTGTAAGATGCATTGTACAACTCTCGTATTTCGTGGTAGGTAAACTCGCACAGGCCACGCCTTCGATCTCGCCGCAGCGAACAATACCCGCGACTCATCGTGAACACCAACTGCGTGCAGGACGGTGCATCCTAGCCTATCTAATATCGAACGATCTTCAACATGTTCTGATCGGCCCATCCTGCCTGCCCTACGACTGTGTGTGCGATTGCCGCGACGCATCCCTAACTAGGATTCTCGATGTAGCGGGCCGGACTACTGCCACAGGTTTAGAACCCTTGTGAGAGTACCGACATCTGTGTCTACGTTCCCGCCTCATTCGCCCGCGCGAGAAATGTGAGCGGCTTGCCGACGCGCTACCCGACGATGCGCTGACAGGGTGGGCGGCGGCAACCTCATTTGATACTGCCGATACTGCTTTGACTCCCGACAAGTTGAGAAGGTTTAAAGACGAGGTGGAACAGGGAGTATCTACTGGGTGGGAAGATGGGCTAGGTACATGGGTAAGGTTAAGTATGGACCTCAAGTTGGGTCAGATTAGGTCTGATAGAGGGTACCTAAGTAGGCCGGGTTTAGTCAGGGCAGGCAGCTTACCTGAGCCTGCATCTTAGCTCGGCATACACTGGCCCCCTATCCACGCACAAGCAGTTATGGGCAGTATAGACCGAGGCTAGACCATCAGATAAGAGCTAGGTCAGGTCTTGTCAGTCGAAGTGTCCAGCTGCATCGGTTACTCAAGACCAAGTTGTACGCATGGTAAGCTCCATATTACACCTGCTGCCGAGTCACTTCACTGAAGACTTGAATTGGATGACGGCGAACAGACTGAGTCAGTTCAATAGATTTACTTGACTGCATAGTGACTCCAAACGATGTGGACGATGGTTGATCACTACCACGGACTGGGCGTTGAAAGTTCTTACATCCCGAGTTCTCCCAGTGCTGTTACCATTCCCTAGGTGCAGTCCAACTTCTGCCCGCCTCGAACTCCTTGATCAGTGCAGTATGTATGTCGCTGTGGCGCGAGTCATGTTGTGGGCTGTGACTGGAGGATATTTACGACTCGTTTTGGTTTCAGGCTACCCATAGCAGGATTATAGACACGCGTCTAATGTACGCGAAAGATGAGGCTCCATATTGTGAAGTGTGGGTGCCGATCTTCTAGTTACTCGATCGGTACCTGCAGGGGAATGTCATTGTCGCGTATGTCCGATGGCACCAGTACTTCGCTCAAGTCCGGTCTTCCTAGCCAAGCTCTTCTCGATAGGAGAGATGCATTTCGAAAGTCTACAGCGTTGCCTCGAAAAATTTCCTTCGCACGAATCAAACGTTTGCATATTGTCTGGGTATTTCCGCCTCTTCCTTCTGCGCTCATGCGAAGTGATGTGTTGATGTTCCAATGGCTGAAAGATTTGGGTATTTGTGATAAGATGCTCGCGAGAATTCTCTTTTGGCGGTTGAAAAGCATGTGTGGAACAAATAGTCCTAGACTTCGCCCCCACCGAGAAAGCTTTGCGAAGCATTCATCAATTCCATGTGAGGTGAGTTCAATTGGTGATTACTATTCGGTAATAAAGGTCGCCTCCAAGTCAATTACAAGAGGAGTCCTAGACGGCCTTATCTAAACCCAGAACAGAAGCTAGGATCCCTTCCGCACGAGATACTCATCACCTCGCCTCACAAACTCATGCTACCGCCTACCTTGCGGTTACACTAGCAAACCTTTGCCGAAACGATCAGTACCAACATGAACCCTTGAACTTGGAAGCCGCGCAGCCCCATCAGCCATAGCCTCGACCGTTGTCCGGAAGCATCATACTACTCTCGGCAACTGCCATAAGGTAGCCGTTTCACAGACACATATGGTCTGTGGGAGGATTATTGACGTCTGGCTTACGGACCTACGTATGTTGCACAGATCACCCTTGACAAGGCGAGGCCGACTCTATGTGATCCTGGGGGCATCAACAGGGTGGAGGAGAAGTAGTATAAGAGCGCCTCAAGCCACCCCTACCTCATGGAGCACCATCGACAAGCCAAATACAAGCCAAATACTCGATCTCCTCCACCTTAAAGTGCCATTCGAACCCTTTCAAACGCAAAAATGCGCACCCAGTCTATCCTCGCCCTCGGCTTCGCGACCATCGCGGCCGCAGCTCCCAAGCCCCAGGCCGACACGCCGATCGACTTCGTCGTCAGCCTCTTTGAGACAAATCTCACTTGCGACACCTCAACGACAAACGCGAAGACCGTGTTCGGCACCGGCTGCCAGAACCGCACCTTGCCTAAGGGTGGCTCTGCCCTCGTGCGTTCCTCGGTCTCCTCTCCCGGCGGCTTCGTTACTGGATACGCGGAGGTGGACTGCAAGGGCGAAGTGCTTGTTGTATTCACGCAGATTGACGGCTGCACGAGCTTTGATGATGTGTCAGTGAAGAGCTGGATCGGTGGAGCGCCTTTCGACGAGAGCGGCAAATAGGCGATGGATCGGTCGTGCTGGAGACAGACGTGCATTCGATAGCTCTTTCCACGCTGCCACCATGTTGTCGCTCATTCTTCAATGTATATATAAATGGCATGTATCGACGCAATTTGCCTCCGAAACCAGTCTGGCACTATGAGGTGGGTCCTTCGTGCGTCAAGTCAAAACGATGGTGCACAATTGAAGCGTAAATTATATACGCGCATGAAGACAGACGGTAAGACATTGCGATGCTTCGAAGGTATTGTAGTTCGGTATGCATTGATGCAACTGTCTGTGAAGGAATCGTCTAGAAGGTGCGGGTGACGGACAAAAAGCGGGCAGTCGTGGCGCACGTGCTGGCGCGTTTGCGGGAGCGTGGTGGCGGGGCGGCGATGGGTGTTGTACGTCAACAGTAGCCTGCCATTGACAGTCCCATAAGAACATCTACTCTGCGCAACAACTCTCTGCATCTGTAACTGCTGTCGCTCACAGCGCATAGCACATATACATATTCTAACAACCGCGATCCGGGTGCAACTACACCGCCGCTCTCATGTCCCGATAGTTTGTCAGCATCTAAAACTGTAAATCAATACGTTCACGATGGATGTACAGCTGTACGTGTATGACCTGTCAAAGGTAGGGTTCTCTCAGATCACTTCGCTGCTACTGCTCACGAATTATAGGGTCTTGCACGTTCCATGTCTAGACAATTTCTCGGAATACAGATCGACGCCGTTTACCACACCGCCATCGTTCTTGGAGGCATAGAATACTACTTCGGACAGGGTGTACAGACCTGTCGCGCCGGTGCAACTCACCATGGGAATCCCATGGAGGTCATAAAACTGGGCCGAACCGAGCTACCTATCGAAGTCATTCTCGAATACCTCGAAAGCTTAAGGACAGTTTATACACCTGAGTCGTACGATCTGTTCGCGCACAACTGCAACAACTTCTCCAACGACTTCGCGATGTTTTTGGTGGGGAAGGGAATACCGGAGCATATCACAAATCTGCCCGAGACCGTGCTGAATACGCCTTTTGGGCAGATGCTGAGGCCGCAAATTGATGCCGCCATGAGGCCTGTCACCCAGGCGCCGACACCCCAAAACGGTGCTGTCGCGCCCTCGGCAATCAATAATGCCGCTCAAAATGGCACGCCGAAGCCTGCACCTGCACTTACAAAGGCGGCGGTTGAGCTTAAGGAAGCCACCGGTCGGGTCAATAGTGTCACGACGATACAAGCGGTGGACAGCCTCTTGGACCTTGCGAAGGACCGTAGTGCCATCATTTTCTTCACCAGCTCGACCTGCGGACCTTGCAAGATTATGTACCAGCCGTACGATGACCTTGCGGCGGAAGCTGGCGACAAATGTGTCTTCCTTAAGATTGACTTCAGCTTCGCCGACCGATCGATTGGAGCTCGCTTCCCTCACGTTCGCGCAACCCCAACATTCATTACCTTTGTCCGGGGCCAAAAGCGAGATGAATGGAGCGGCGCTGACCCACGCCAACTACGGAGCAACGTAGAGCTTCTGCTCAACGAAGCTTTCCCAGTACATCCCCACCTTGCAAAGAGCCTGCCAACGCTGCTTAGCCAGAGCCAGCGACCTATTCTGTACACCAAGGTACCTCCGTTGGAGAAGGTCGTCGCGAAGATGGGAAATGCTGGCAAAGATGAAGCTGTTTCCTCGATTCTTTCGTTTATTGATGCTCGTGAGCGCTTTGGTGCCATGGAAGCGCCACTCACCAAGCTGCCAAAGTTCGCCGACTTTCTACGACGAAGCACATCCATTCTGCCCCCGGAGCTTCTGTTTACATCCCTTGATCTGCTCCGCGTTGCTTTGACAGACGTACGCGTTGCTGGCTTCTTTGCGGAAGAACATGTAGGCGCTACTGGGACGCCCGCGACGGTGGCACATCTGCTCCAACATGTCAATAGCTTGGGAGACTCTGCGCCCTATCCATTGCGATTGACCACGCTACACTTGTCTTGCAACCTCTTCAATTCTCCTCTATTCGTCCCTCATATACTCTCACCACCACTCTCTTCGACTCTTATCTCCATCCTCACCACCGCTCTCCTGGATGAGAAACATCCGGCGCTCAAAGTTTCGGCCCTCAGTCTCGCCATGAATATTGCTTCCTCCAACCACAAAATACGCATGAAGAAACACAGCTCCAACCCTTCTGCTTCGCTGCCCTCCGAGTCCGAGCTGGACGACTCAGAACAAGTTGAGTTGCTAGCCTCCTTGCTCGAGATACTTGGCTCCGATGATGAGTTTAGCGAGGTGAAGAAGATGACGGTGATCAGCACTGGCTGGCTTGCATATTGCGCAGATATGGACGGGGAAGTCAGGGACTTGTGGAGGGCGATGGATGCAGCCGGCACGGTGGCGAAGTTGCAGGCCAAGGTGTTACAGGATAGGATGTTAGTCAAAGAGGTGAAGAGTTTGTTGGAAGTCTAAAGAGAGAGGATGCTATTTTTTTTTATCAATACCCATATAGACCAATATTATAGATACATTCATCGGACATCTCATACGGAGCCAAGACTGTGGAGTGTAGTTTAATAACCGTAGTCGCATCAAGTACCCCCACAAACAGTCTAGCCTTATCGCGCTTCCATAGTATATAGTCTCGCTGCAAGTCTTGTTATCGAGTTGGCAGTACCTATCAGTGCAAAATACTCTGCCTCTTACGCACTATCTGTTATTGTGCACCGCAATTCTCTCCCATCGTGAGGTCATAATTTCGTGCTACCCGCCATGGCTTAGGACGCACGGGAGCTCTTGAGAAGATAACGAGAAAGCCGTGGTCAGAACAGCCTCATTCCGATTGCTACTATCATCCTTTGAACACACTCATCAGCTATCTCCGGACCCGTATAGTAAGACCTTGGTCACGGGACTTTAGGTGCGTGCAGAAACCTCCACGAACGACCCTGCAAGCACGTTGCCAACATCACACCGCCTCGCTGCAGATCTGGACCCGAGTCAAGAAAGCAGAACGCATGTTTGACGGGAGGCACTCTGTCGAGCTTCGTAATCCGAGCGATTTGTGTAATGCTATTTTCGCAAGCGCTAAACCAGCGACAAGGCTGCGGTGGCCGCTTCCATCCATTAGCACACTGCAGGAGGGTTTGGAGAAATGATATCGAGAGCGAACGTCCGCGTTCTCTGCTCGCAATGCGGCTCCGAATGGTGCCATTCGGACATTTCGTAAATGGCTCAGTGTGCCTCAAGCCGCACCCTGTCGATCGTTAGGTGGAGGACAACAAATCACCCGATTCGCTACACACACGCAGGTACGGCTACACCAGGCACGAACATCTCCTCCGACATGGCGACATAGGATATGGTGCAATATGGACGTCCGGGGAAATATGGGGTAGGAGCGGTCGCGACAGTGCGTGACAGGGCTCGCGACATATTGCGTGATCGTGGGTTCTAACGCGGAATTCAGACGCTGGGTACAAAGGTACATCCATACTTTTTTGTACCTACGACAACGACCTCTCCAAAGACTACCCAAATTGAACAAAGCCATTGAGATCGTACAATTAATCATTAGAAAGCCTCAGTAACTGGACACCGGAAGCACACCCGAACACTGCGAGCACGACACGGGAAGGGTTACACTAATAGATACCATTGCCAACTTCCGGTACGAATTGACGGAAACGTCAGTACGAGCGCAATGGCACCGGGGATCGATATATCAGTTCTAGCAGGCAAGGTGAATGCGCACAAGTTCACCGTCCCCTCAAAAGACGGCGTCAAAATCAACCTCTCAAGCGTTACAGACGAAGCCGAGCCAATCCTGGATCCCGCCTCAATCACCCAGGATTTTGACGAACTCCGCTTCGAAGCGGCAGCATCCCGCCAGCTCGAAGTCCTCTCCCCCACCGCCCCACGCTCCTCCCAGCTCATTTCCTCTCCCTACAACAATTGCGGCCACTACCTCGACCTGACCACCCTGGACACCCCCAACCTCATCTTCGCCAAAGCTCTCACAGCACTCAAGCCTCTACGCTCGGACTACGCCACCGCGCCGTACCTGACCTCCCTCTCCTTCCCTGCGGTGCTCTCACTCGTGCGCTCGCTTTCCCATGAGGCTGGCTACACTTGGAAGAAGCATGCTTTCTACGTCGTCATCTTCCGCTCGCAGCTCAAGGCTGACATCGACAATGATCTGCTATACAAGCTAGATTACGAGAGCCACCGCGAGGCGTGCGAGTCCGGGGGATTACTGAAGTATTGGTTTGGGAAAACGAACGGGGAGAGGAGGAACTTGGCGACATGTGAGTTTCCCTCCTTTCCACATAGGCCGTGACATAGAATTGGGAAGGGTAGTGCTAATGCGTAGCAGGCTTCTGGCGATCAAGGGAAGATGCTCATCTTGGTGGCCTGGGCCCGTGGCATAAAAAGGCGAGGGCCGCGGGGAGGACGATGTATGAGTCTATCCGGTTTTCGACGCATCGATTCACGATCACCGACGGGGCGGAAGAGATTGAGTTTGAGGACTGGGAGGAGGAGGAGAGGCAATGAGGTTGTGCTGGGATCGGGCGAGCTCAGATTCACTCTCGGGCTAGCATCACTGAAGAACTGGCGTACATGAGGGCGTTCGTGGGCGTTGCGTCTCTACCAAAGGCAGCAATAGCAACTGCTTGTCACAGGGAAGTATGTGATTTTCAACTTCTACACGGGGATGGTCAATGGGCGTCATCAATTAGTTAGCATAGCATCAGCAGGGCGCCATGTGGCATTGTATTCCTGGGCATTCCATAGAAGGCACAAACAACATTTCCAAGTTGTTGAAAACGTTTCCTCGTGTTTAAGAAGTCCTGGGATCGATATCTAACACTTGGACTTCTCAAGAAAATCAGAGTTCCCAGATTACCACAAATATCGCATTGATTACAGTCATGCCATCTCGATCCAGACTTAGCTCGCTTCGAACTCCAATGTTCCAGGCCGAATCTCTTTTCCTTTCACCTAGTCAAACAACATTTATATCTTGCCTTTGAGCTCTCTAAGCCTCCTCTGCTTGTTCAAACATCTTCACAAACTTGCCGTCCCGCAATACGATCTTCGCCTTCGGAGGCGGCTCAAGCTGCTCCGCAACCTCGCATTTCTTGCTCAACGCTGTCACCTCCTCCTTTTTGAGCACCTTTTTGAAAGCATATTCAGCCATCCTCTCCAGCAGTCTTCTCCGAGACTCAGCCCGCTCCAGAGAATCGTACTCTGGTCTCTTGATATCAGGGCCGACTTTGAGGATCGCAAGGCAGTAAGGCTTAAAAGCGTCGCAAGGGACCCGAGTATGTAGATCCAGTATTGATTTGACAGCATTGAAGTCCAGAAAGTCGAATCTATTGATGCCCACAATGTCTTTTCCGAGTACAATGTCGAAATAGTCAAGATTTTGGTCCTGTGCGTGGGGGAACGAACCGATGACTTCCTGGAGCTCTGAAGCGGCCGTAACAGCGCAAGAGTCAATCTGATCCAAAGGCATATTTTCCAGGATTTCGCACATGAAGCCCTTACTTTTCAAGTCTAGAGCTGCAGATAAGAAGTCGCAACTCGTTGCGAAAGAATCGGCGTCGAGTACTCAAAAAGTTCCGAAGCTAGGATTTGCGCCAGTCGGCAAATTCGAGCGACACGATTCCTTTTCTTCTCATTTTGTATCCTTGGCCTCGCCATAGTCGTGTCTGACCTAGTCGCAGAAAATCAGCTGATCTTCTCAATATTCTCTGGTGTTCAAAGGTCTTAGTGCGAGATCAAAGAGTTTCGTATCCGGGCATCTAATACATTGTGCGACCCAAGGAATTGCTCGACCGTATTGTTGTACATACGGCTGCGAGGCAGAAGCCGCTAGTGTCTTGGAAGTGATCAGTCCGATCAGGGCGGAAGAAGAACAGAATGAATCGGTCCAATACTAGTGGGTACTGGTAGAACTCTCCGTTCTTCGCTGTATTCCCACCATCAGTTGGTGCGCCGAGTGCTTGTCGTTTGTTGCACTTGGATGGGTGGTTGAGCTGTGTAGGGTAAGCGTTCGGCTGAAAATAGAGGTTGAGCGATATTATCTCATACGGCAAGATGCTAGCAGCAGACCAGTATTGATTAGGTGGTACGTATGAGGGAGGGAAATCATGAATTTGAGAAGGTGCACAGGCTAATATCATCAAGGGTTTTCACGTGTTTGAGAGAACTGTTCTTGCCTTGGTCTTGACTATGGGCAGTCTCAAATACACGGCTAATGACAGTCCCATACTTGATGCGAAAGCAATGGCGGGCTCTGTTCATACAGCTTTCCCTCAACCGCATTTCAAATATAAAAGACCTGTCGTAGTGAGAGCGCTGATGTCATTGCGGGGCTCTGCGAAAGTACGTCTTTCTCCAACACCTCTAACCCACCGATAGCCTACTTATAGCCTCTCTGATCACCTCCTTGCTCCTGGGATCCGGACTCCCATTGCCACTCCCCTCGCCGTTCACGCGCTCCTGTAAAACAACTTTATCAGGGCCCGTAATAGTCTGTCCTTTAGCTTGGGCGAACCCAGCAGACCGAGTATGTGCGGGATTTGGAGAGTAAAAGTCGTCGATAATGGGATGTATCATGACGGTCTGCTTGTGAATGGTTACGGTGGAATTGGTCGGGACAGTGACCCAGTTGTCTTCAGAAATTAGTCAAATCGCCATGCTTGAGAGAATGTGACATACCTCTTTCAAATGTCAAAGGCTCACTCGCAACGAGCACAATGTCGGAGCCCTTGTCCCGACGCTCCATAACATAGTCCTTCTGCCCTGGCTCAGCAGACGGTTTAGTCGATGCGCTCGACTCCTTCCAGCTTGTACCACTGCTCCAGAATAGGCTTGCTGCCTCATCCGTCCGCGAACTCACATAGCGCGAACATACTACGCTTTCTCCGTCTGTGACCGCGAAGTTTAAGAGACTCCTGCTATCCTCTTCACCCACGAGGTCCCGGTCCACTACCTCTTTGATCAGCGCATTAATCCGCTCGATAGTCCTTAAAATACCCTTTCTCAGCACTGAGTGCCCGAATCCAGCATCTGTATCCGGGTCATGGCCGGCCTTGTCAAGACAATCCAGGAACAGCGCAAAGGCCCACTCCGAGTCTGTCGAGCCCTGCACCAATGTGAACCAACGCTCGTTGAGCGACATGGCAAGCTTCATCTTGATGCGCTTGAATGAACCGATGCCCCCATTGTGCATGAACATCAGCCGCTTGTATGAGAACGGGTGGCAGTTCTGATCGCTCAGGTTGCCCTCGGTGGTGGCGCGGACGTGTGCAAAGATCAGGCTGGATGTAGTCTTGGACGCGATACGCGAGAGGTTGATGCAGTTCCATGCTGGAATCGTGGAGGTGAACACGCAGGGCTCGGGGCCTAGGGAGGGTGAGGTGTAGTAGCCAATGCCGAAGCCATCGCCGTTATGCGGGCGGCGCGTATCCTGTGGTACATTAGGGCCGCGCGTTTGGGCTTCCGGAGCGGAATAGCTTACAAGGCGCAGGCGCGAGTCAAAGGACTGTGTGAGAATTGAATGAGTTGGGTTGAGAATGAGCTCCGAGAGGAGAATCTCATCCTTGCCCTTGTATACCTGCTTTTGTGAGCGCTGTTTCCGCAACGTACGTTATAGTGCGTACCATGAATCTACACATAATGTCACTCTAGCGATGCGAAGCTCAAAAGAGCGTGGATCCAAGAATGGGTGACTAATGCCGCGTCTAGGAGTTTTGTTCACGGTTGCTGTAGGAATGTTGTCGCGAATGGCCATGCGGTGAGTCAAGGCGGTGAGATCGCGCCATTCGAGAGACATATGGCGAGCCAGTCCATCCGCGAGCGAACTTTCTATGCAGGGAACCGTGCCTCCAGATGGAGACAGCAACGTGTACAGCAGTCTAAGGGCTGCTATCAGACAACGCCCGAGACAAGATTTAAAAGCCCCCACGCGGAGTGCCCCGTATGGTTCACGTTATCGTGGGGTACTCTGCGCCAAGCACGATGACGCATCGCGCCAATGCGGGGCTTGCAGGGCTTACTCGTACAGGGTGCGGCCGGCCCGCATCACGCAAAACAAGGGTCACGATGGACATGATTGTTTGAACAGTAAATTGCATTGAGCTATTGGCCATGTATGGATGGAATACAGGCAAGCAGGACATCAGCCGCCGAACTCTCTGTGCTCAAATAAGGCTCATCATCCCACCGCATCGTGTTGCACGTCACCGTCCTTCCACCCACCCAACCACCCATAGGCCGTACAAAAACAGGGGAGTGGAACTCGCAAAAGCAAACTGAGAACGCCGGGGATATGATGCGGGTTAAATCCAGGGGGCTACAAGACGGTGTATCATACGATGCTTCATGGCTTTAACATAACAAGGGGGTCGGCCGCTGGGAATCTCGGGTGTGACTAAATCCGTCGGAAAAGGAATACTCTGTCCCATATAGACGGAAGGATTGTGGAAGCGTGTCGTATATTAAACAGTGTAGGAAGGCCTTGCTGGATGTTGCAATCCAAGGGTAGGGCAAGCTGGAGGGAGCTTTCGGGCTGCAGTTCGTGGGCACAGATCTGACGTGGCTGCAGCAAGAGGGAAATACTTTTGAAGGTCCGAGTCATACGCTCGCCGCTCACATCTCCATGTCACCGCCGTTGGCGAAGTTGAAGTTCTGCTGCTGCTGTGCTTGCGGCTGCCCGAAACCGAAGTGACCGTCCTGGGTGACCTGGGGACCGGCACCCTCCATGTTTTCAGCGTCGCCGTCTTCATCGGAAAAGTACTTTTCGATGATGTTGTACGCCTTCATGTAGATCTCCTCGTTGGCGTTGTTCTGGCAGTCGTGAATCTTCTCCATACCGCCGACTTCTTCGATGAAGAGAGCATAACGATTGATCGGCTCGCCAGCTTCGTTGCCAGACTCCTTGTCCATCTCACCGACCTTTAAGATGTTCTCAAGGCCATCGAGAGCCACCTGGATAATCTTGTTGTCAGGGCATGCGAGCAGGTCGCACAACGGCTTGATGCAGCCCATCTCAACGAGGAAGCGAATTTGAGCGGGCCTTTGGAGACCGCCGGATGTGGCGTTGGAGATAGCCCAGCAAGCCTCCTTGCGGGTCTTGAAGTCGCCGTTCTGGAGGAGATGTATGAGCGGCTTGATGATGTTTGCGTCAATGACCGCCTGGATCTGAGTCGAATTTCCAGCGGTGATGTTAGAGATAGTCCAGCAAGCCTCTTTCCGGATACCATCCTTAGTGGAGCTGAGGAGAGACAAAAGGGCAGGAAGTGCGCCGCAGTTGATGATGACTTGAGTCTGCACGTCGTCGCCAGTGACAATGTTACCGACAGATCGGAGCGCGGGGGTTTGCACGGAGGTAGAGGCGTGCATCAGCAGCTCTACAAGACGACGGGGAATGCCAGCCTCGATGACAGCCTGGATCTTGTCGTTTGCGCCATCGGAAAGGTATGAGATAGCCCAGCACGCGTCGATGAGGACCTCATCATCGAGAGAGTAGACCAACTTAGCAAGAACGGGAAGCGCGGGAGCGATCTGCTCAGCTCAGGTCAGCAATGATACTGTGTCTTTGAGGGAGGTGCACTAACGGTCTGCCAGTCGGGCTGGGGCGTCTTTCCACGGCAGAAGTTGCTTAGCGTCCACGTAGCGTTCCTCAGCATGCTAAGCTTGCGGCTGTCACCGAGGAGGTTGATAAGCGGGCGGAGAGCGCCAGCCTGGAGGACAAAGTCACGGCAAGGGGGGCTGTCACCGGCGATGTTTCCAAGCGCCCAAACAGCCTGCTCTCGAACATCCGGCTCATGGCTGCTGAGAAGCTCGACGAAGATAGGAACGGCGCCGGCCTCGATGACAACCTGCGTCTGCTGGGCAGAACCAGAGGCAATGTTGGTGAGTGCCCATGCTGCCTCAAACTGGACGAGGGTGTGCGGCGACCGGAGAAACTCGACGAACCGGCTCACGACGCCGGTCTCAATGACCCGCTCGATGGGAGGGTTGCGCTCCTTGGACAGAAGCTTCCGGAACTTGGTGGTGGCTTGGATTTGCTCGTCAATCTGCTCGGAGAAGACACCCTTAACCATCTGCGGCAGCTCCTCGTTCAACTGTCACATGCGTTAGCTACAGGCGATACAAAGTCGCGCAACGTGCACGCGGGGCAGGTGCAGGAGGGGTAAACGTACCTGGCCCTCGATATTGGTGCCCTCATCGTCGCTGTCGGGGGCGGCGCCGAGCGAAGCGCCGGGCTGGTCGCGGCCGGCGATACCTCGTCGCTTTGCGAGGTTCTCTTCACGCTTCGCCTTGCGGATCTCGACCTGCTGCTCCTCGCGGCGGCGGCGGAGCTCGTCAGGCTTGAAAGCGCTCTTGGCCTTGAACGTCGTGCGACGGTGCTCGGGGATGTATTTGTCGGCCATAGTGTGGTGCTGTCAACAGGGCTGTGGTTGGCGGCGGTGAGAGAGTGTGGTGGGCGACAGGCCTTTTGTTTGGAGGGGGGATTATATTGTCGTGGGGCACAGGGGACGTGAAAAGGCGGAAGCGGCAACATCGACTAACGCCGCTTCGGGCTACGCGCTTGGCACTGACCATCGCTCGTCGCGTCTTGTGCTCCCAACATCACTCACAGTCTCGACACATCGTTCGCACGACCCTCTTCTCCATTTTCGTGCTTACTATAGCTTGACGTGAACCGATGCCCGCGCGAACTTGATCTGGCAGGATTGAGGACGCACTTCACGACCCAAGTCGCATCGAGCACATGTGCATGCCTGAGGCTTGCTCGCTCGCGTCTACCTGCGCGCTAACCAGTTCCAGATAATGGCTCAGCCCAGCCGCTTCCTCCCTATCCGCGATGTCCTGCAGTGTCAGGATGATAGCTGCTTTATAGGCGCAATTTCCAATATTCAAGCGCCTAACCAGGTCAACAAAGCCGGCGGAGACTACATACTTAATTTCACGATCAAGGACAAGTTCCCTGGTGATGATAAAGACAGCGTAGCATGCATTCTTAAGCGCGGAAACATCGAGCATCTACCAAGTGGCGCTCCTGGTGATGTGGCTATTCTGCGAGGCATGAAGGTGGAGATCCTTGGGACGCCGGCGAAGAAGACCCTTGTCAACTGTTCAGAGCGACGATCAGAAGCACTATTCTTCCCTGCTAAGAGCATACCAGAGCCACAGTACGGTCAGGCCTATTACGTCGGAGGCACCTCAAATCTCCTCTGCACATGCATGCTTGGTAGCAAACCCGCGAGTCCTGCCGACCAGACGGCTGTCATCAATATGAAGGCGGCAGCAGCTCCGCTTCTGCAGGAGTTACAAAACCCCGGAGCCATGTTCCTGGCGTCAATCGGATCAAATAGGGCAAATTTCAAGAAAACCAAGCGGCAGCACCCTCTCAGCTCATGGACGTTTGGTGTATTCTACGATCTCATCGGTGAAGTGGTCAAGACGTTCTGGGGAACATCCGACTCCGTGGACCTTTATGTTACTGATTACACTACGAACACGGAACTTTTCCTATACGAGGAAACGACTGATTGTGATGTCTTTGGTGGGGGTAGCTCTAGAAAGCCCTGGCCTGGCCCATTCGGGCAAATGACAATAGCGATCCGCACCTACGAACCTCATGCTGGGAAGGCTCGTGAACTCAAAGAAGGGGACTTCGTCTACCTTCAGAATGTCCGAACAAAACTCTCAGCCATGAACAAGCTGGAAGGCGCTATGCATGCCGATCCCCAGTATCCCGAAAAGATCTGTGTCCGGAAATTAACTCATCCGGCACAGCTTAGTGCTCTCAAGGAACGAAAAGAAGAGTATGAAAGAAAGTGCGCTACAAATCGAATTGCTCAAGATGAGCCTACGAACGTGCCTAAAAAGCCTTCAGCGATAGCCTCACATCAGAAGAAGCGCGCTAGGAAAGAAAAAATGCGCTTGCACAGGGAGCAAGTGCAAACGGGGCCACAGGAGAAAGCTGACGCAGCCGAGACTGTCGTCAAAGGACTTAACCAGAACAGTGAGTGCCTGTGTTGGCTTCACGACACAATACTTATGACTTCTAGTCTGCACCGGAGACAAAGACGTTGGCATCTCCACAGTCGACGAGATCGTGAACAACCCATGGCTTAAGACTACTGTACCAGAGACTGAGGGAGAACTGTTATTGCCCTTTGTCAATTCGAGATACCGAACGCATCTGCGAGTTGTCGACCACTACCCTTTCAAGCTCGAGAATTTCACCCGCCTCACAAATGCTCCAGCTAACAGTCAGCCATCGATCTCGATATCCTCGGATGGATATTCGCAGTTCTCAGAGCATGGTTTGCCACCTGTCAGATTCGCTTGGCACTTCTTCCTTTTGGTGGAGGACGCAGATGCGCCTGCGGGCACGACACCCATCCGCTTCCCTCTCACTATTGATACCCCGCGAGCTCAATGTCTCCTGAAGATGGAGCCTGTCGAGTAAGTTTGCGCCTCACTGGTATACTTTACCACTATACTTATTCTACCACAGTCTAATTGCGCATCCTTCCAAGCTTTGTGAACTGGAGCAGAAGTTGTTCCTTCTTTGGGGGAACCTGCATGAACGCAAGCTCGCGCTCAAAGAGAAGGGAATCAACCTGCCATTGCCCGTAGGAGATGAGACTTTGGCTCTGAGCAACATGCCCTTTGAGTGTTGCGTTGAGGAGTACGGCGTTCCCGTCAACGACAAAGGCCTGCCATATACAGATGACGAGATTAAGACCCTGATCAAGGAGTTGAGCGATCCGGAGTCCGAAGAAGGCAAGCGTGCAGTGGATATCCTTGGAAACCCAGAGACATGGAAACGGGCATGGAGCCCGCACAACACCATCATCAAAGGTCCTTGAATGGCTTTTTGAATGGCTTTTTGAATTAAGGATTTTGTGCAGTCTTTTTGGAGTTGGGTCACTGTAAGCGATTTAAACATTCCAGGGCGCTTAAGAATGGTTTCTTCGATGCGGGCTTTAGATACCATTGATCGTGTACTATCAAAGATTCCTAAATTCGCTCTGTGTTCGACCATGCTTTCCTTGTGCTGAGCCCCACATTTGCCAGCTGCCTAGGTATCACAGTGCATGTCACAGAAAGTTATGACATAGGCACCCACTTGTCCTGTGTTCACGTGCTCTATTTGTCTTCGTACCCGTATGTAACTATCATGAAGTATCGTGGATATTTATGATAGGGTGGATTCTCATTCCTAGTGTCGGCCACTAGTAGTTTGGCCGATGGGGAAACAACGATACCTATTCCACATCTCTGAACTCTTTGCACTAGCATCTTCTGACCTGCATTCCTACGTCTCTGCCTTGCTCGTCCTCTTTGCAAATTATCATGGTCCGCGATCACGGTCCATATTGTCCTCGCCGATCGAACCATTCCACGAAGGCTACCTCTGTGAGATGCGATGCAAGAGTTGTGCTGCATCATAGTCCAGAACCCATTATACTGGGACACCAGTTGTGGAGAAATACTGAAGTACTAAATTACCTGATACAGCGATGCGATGCTGCGCCTTTCGCCATCTAAAGCTTGGTCGCCAGATGATGGTGCGATCTGGCTGCTATCGTTGTCGTGCGTGCTAGCTTGTCGAGGCTGCATAATGCAAGTGAATGCCAAGACATTAAAAGTGCTGCTGTGATTCATTGTTGGGCGAGGCAGGCAGTGTCTTTCAGCAGCTCCCGCTACGATCACGAATCGCTTGGGTTTCCAAAAGCTGGGTTGATGTCTGTTACTTTGAAACTCGTATATTGTCTTTGGCGTATTGATATCATTGACGTGTAGGTCTAAGCTCCGGCTGACCCTGGTATACCGGTATCTAGCGTTATCCGCTATCGCCGCACCTCCGACGACGAAGCTGCGTCCAAGTCGCATCGTCACCAGTTCCCCACCTTCCAATGTCCTCAGCGGCGGCAACCCAGGCCGACAAGAAACGCAAGCACTCGGGCCGGACCATCAAAGAGCTGTTCACCTCGCAGCACAAGCCAAACGTCTCCGGCTCAGCTCCCCTCTCGCCTTCGTCGAAGCGCCCCAAGCTCGGCAGCTCCCCAGTTGCAGTTAGCACGACCCCAGAGAAGGCTATGAGCACCGCCAACATGTACCACTTCCCGAGCAAGCGGGGCGAGCCCGAGGTCATCGACCTAGGCTCGAGCCCAGACAACAGCCCCGCGCGAATGACGGGCATTCGGAAGGCGACGCCCAACTTGAGCGCAAATAATGGACCGAAGAAACTGCTGGTTAAGAACTTCAGGCCGACGCGAAGTGTCGACCCCAAGGCGTTCCTCGACCAAACATGGCAAAAGGTGGATGCCGCGTTGGACACGATCTTCCAGCAGGGCAAGATCAACTTCAGCCTCGAGGAGCTCTACCGAGGCGTCGAAAATATCTGTCGCCAGGGAATGGCCGTGGAAGCGAAGAAAAGACTGGTGCTAAAGTGCAAAACGCATGTGAATGGACCCTTGAAGCAGCGAGTCGAAGAGAAGTTGGAGAGGCAGAACATCGATGTATTGAGGGCGACGCAGCAGGCTTGGGCAGATTGGAACGAACAACTGGTATGTCGCGACTGACTTGTGTGGGCCGGCGCAGGAGGATGAGCTAACTTTGCGCAGAAATACGTGGACTGGATCTTCTGCTACCTCGACCGGTCATTTCTGCTGCCCAAGCAAGAATCACTCCGCGACATCACCGTCAAGCTGTTTCGCACCAATATTTTCGAGCATCCGAAGCTCAATTCCCGCATTGTAGACGGCGCATGCGATCTCATCGCGATCGATCGAGCGGGCGAAGATCTCGACCGGAAGACGTTTTCTCAGGCTGTCGACATGTTCCATGATATGCAGGTCTACACCCATTACTTCGAACCGCGCATGCTCGAATTTAGCCAGACTTTTGTTAAGGAGTGGGCGGACAGGGAAAGTTTGGAGCTAAGCCTCCCTGCTTACGTCAAGAGTGCGCTGTCGCTCATGAAGCGCGAAATCGCACGAGTGGAGATCTTCCGGTTAGACGGATCAACCAAGCGCGACCTTTTGACTTTGTTGGAGGACCATATCATCTCACGAAAAGAGGCGAGGCTCACCAACCAAGACGACTTCGCGGACCTACTCGAGGATAACGCAGTGGAAGACCTTCAGCGCCTGTACACCCTTCTTGAGCGACGCAAGTTGGGCGTAAACTTGCGATCGGCGTTCATGAAATGGATAGAGGACACCGGTACTGCTATTGTCTTCGATGAAAAAGATCAGGATGGCATGGTAGTGAAGCTTCTAACAATGAAGCGCCAGCTAGACGCCATCTGGAAATCATCATTCCATCGCAGCTCGGCCCTGGGACAAGGCCTGCGCGAATCGTTTGAGGCTTTCATGAACAAAACCAAGAAGTCCAGTGGAACGTGGAATACAGATAACTCTAAGCCTGGAGAGATGATCGCAAAATATGTGGATATGTTGCTGAGAGGCGGAGCCAAGGCCATTCCTGCGCAGTTGAGCAGAAAGACTGAAAAGGCTGTGGATGTGGATGGTGAAGAAGACAACGAGGACGTGGTTTTTGACGAAGACACTGAAGTCAACAATCAGCTTGACCAGGTCCTCGATCTTTTCCGATTCGTACACGGCAAAGCGGTCTTCGAAGCTTTCTACAAGAAGGACCTTGCCCGTCGGTTGTTGATGGGCCGAAGTGCCAGTGCCGATGCTGAGAGGAGCATGCTATCACGATTAAAGACTGGTAAATATCCTAAGCTGTTCGCTGCTATACCAGTGCTAACATGGCGTCAGAATGCGGTGCTGGCTTCACGGCCAACCTAGAGCAGATGTTCAAGGACATCGAGCTGTCTCGCGAAGAAATGTCTTCCTACAAGATGATTTCGGAGGAGCGGAATGAGAAGCACGCGATCGATCTCAACGTCAATGTGCTCTCAGCCTCCTCATGGCCAACTTACCCTACAGTGCCTGTCATTATCCCGCGGCAAATTAAATCGGAGATTGACAAATTTGAGACGCACTACAAAGCGAAACACTCTGGCCGAAAACTAGATTGGAAGCATGCGCTTGCTCATTGTCAAGTCAAAGCTAAATTTCCCAAGGGCAACAAGGAGTTGGTCGTCTCTAGTTTTCAGGCGATCGTTCTCTTGCTGTTCAATGGCTTGCCAGTTGATGAACACTTGAACTACGAGTACCTCAAGGAAGCCACTGGATTACGTAAGTCTTTGTACAGTCGCTTCGCTGCTTCGATTGTTCTAAACCTTGTGTAGCACCACCGGAACTCAATCGGACGCTCCAATCGCTCGCTTGTGCGAAATTGAGGCCACTGACTAAACACCCGAAAGGCCGCGAGATCAACGAAACCGATACGTTTACTCTCAATGCTAACTTTACTGATCCGAAGTACCGGATAAAGATCAACACCGTTCAGCTCAAGGAGACCGCTGCAGAGAACAAAGAGACACACGAACGCGTTGCAGCGGACCGCAACTACGAGACGCAGGCCGCTATCGTGCGCATATTGAAGGCGAGGAAGAGAATCACCCACAGCGAGCTAGTGGCAGAAACCATCAGGGTGACCAGGAATAGAGGAACTCTGGATGTGTCAGGCATCAAGAAGAATATCGATCGCCTGATCGAGAAGGAATTCTTGGAGAGGGAGGACGACGGGATGTACGCTTATATCGCCTAAGCTCGTGCAGCAAGACAACTGCAAGGTCTCCATACTGTAATGGGTATGGGATCGAAGGTGTTGTTAGTATACTATACGTAGGCGAGGAACAAGCGACTACGTCACTACCGCTGGAATACATATATTCGTCTTCGAGCTGGTCCAGGATCCATCACAGTAGCCAATTGGCGTTTGACAGCAGCGTATGGCATGCAGCCATCCCTGTACGTGCATGCTACGACCAGTCCCAAGTGTTGTAACTGCAAACCTCGGTCTTTCTCTTCCCGACGACATTTTTCCATATCTCTTTAGACAAAACAGGTATAACACTTCACGTCGCTCACAGCGCAGGACGGAAAGGAGGCATAACCCCACCATGCCAACCCCACTCTACATCCTCGTCACCGGCGCAACAGGCTTTATTGGCGCACATGTAGTCGACGAAGTAAATTCATGCAATTACTATAGCACTTGTATGAAGACCACTAATTCATACCACCGCAGCTTCTGCGCCGCGGCCATCGCGTCCGCGCCGCAACACGCTCCCTCCCCAAAGGCGAGCTCATGAAGATATCGCGCCCGCAGTATGCCGCGCAGCTCGACATCGTACAAGTACCCGATTTCGCTACCTTGGCTTCCTTCACAGACGCCGTCCAAGGCGTCGACGGCATCATCCACGTCGCCAGCCCCTTCACCTATGCCACCACCGACAACGAGAAGGAGCTCGTTAAACCCGCCATCGCGGGAGTAAGAGCCGTACTGGAAGCCGCTGCGCAAGAAAAGACAATAAAGAGGGTCGTTATCACAAGTAGTTTTGCGGCAGTGCTGGATGTAGGGCGGAGGCCGCCGCCGCGTTTCACATACACGGCGGAGGACTGGAATCCACTGACGTACGAGGAGGCCGTGGCGAAGGAGACGAGTGCTGTGGTCGCGTACCGCGGGTCGAAGAAGTTTGCGGAGCTGGCAGCATGGGAGTTTGTGAGGGAGCGCAAGCCCGGATTTGACGTGGTGACACTTTGTCCGCCGATGACGTTTGGGCCGATAGCGCACCCTGTTGAGCGCCTCGCTGATCTGAACGAGAGCAATGCGATGCTGTGGGCGGTCGCGAGCGGGAGGGAGATGCCTGTCGCTCGTGTGCCGTTTTGGGTTGATGTGAGGGATTTGGCGGTTGCGCATGTGGAGGCGCTATGCAGGCTTGAGGCAGGCGAGAAGAGGTTTGTGGTGGCCAGTGGGGAGAAGTTTTCGTATGGGCTGGTGAAGACGGTCGTGGAGGAGGAGTTTGAGTGGGGCAGGGGGAGGGTCGCGAAGGGGGAGCAGGAGGTGGATGATAGCTATGACTTGGATGGAGAGACGGCGGGGAGGGTGCTGAGGGTCAGGTATAGGCGGTTCCGGGATACGGTAAGGGACTTTGTGGAGCAGGCTGTGAAAATGGAGGAGAGGGAGAAGAGCTGAGATGAGCTCACGTGTAGGTATGCTTCCATTTCGCTAGAAAAGATAGTTACTTCAGCCCGAAAGATTTATCATCGCTCAAGCCCCACCAAGTATCCTGATACACCGATTTCGTTCAATGAGACAATTGAACTCGATCTCGATTAGACTCCGCATTGATCGATTACCGTCCAAGGGCGTTGTGCTTTCGGCTCCTTACATTTGGGCGGGGACAGGAGCAACGTGCCTTGCCTCATCCGTAAGTGGCGGCTGCAACACAAGAAAGTCGCGACTAGGGCATTTATGTCTTCAATGAATAACGCACTACAATCCGATAGTTGTAACCATGAGATGCCATGCAACGCGACGTAGAGCGGGCGCTCAGTCGCACGAAGCATGGGGCAATGATGTACAGGAAAAGTCTTGGCACAAGACGCACAGGCAAAGTCGCGTCTACTGGTCCCCGCCCAACGCGTAACATCAACATCATCCCCTCATAATTTATTTGCGACGCGCATTCGCGCCGGCCTTACCTCAACCCTTTTCGCGCAGCCACAATGAGCGCAGAGGTCGCGTCACCCAGTGCTGCCGACATTACATCCTCCGCGCCGTCGCGGCGCAAATCCGGACGCGTGCCCACCCAGCGTCAGCTATACTCCCCTACCGGAAGTGCGAAGAGGAAGCGTGGTGATGGAAACGATAGCGATGTTGACAGTAACACGCCTTCGTCCGAAGAAGAGGACTCAGAGAGCATCTCAGACGAAGAAGAACTGAAAGAGCGCCGGAAACAGAGCAGAAAGAAGAAGAGCGCGACATCCGCAAGGAAGCCTCCACAGAAGAAACCCAAAACCAATGGCGAAATTACGGGTCTTGCAATTCGCCCCGCGACGGGCGCGAAGAAGAAGGCAGCGCGACCACGGAAGGCGGCCCTTCGCAAGAGCGCGCTAGTCGAGCAGGATGCTGACGGCCTATATGGTAAGATATTGGGCTAGACTCCCGTGTATGACGTGGATGTTCACACTGCGATAGCTGAGATATTTGCGCGCGGAACGCGCCTGAACGACGTCGCGGCGCAATGGATCAGCCGATTTCACGAACACGAGGCAAAGGCTGTGGCGGAAATCGTCAATCTTGTCATTCGGGCAGCAGGATGCCACGTTCAAATCGATGAGGAGGATATCGCCGACCCAGACAACTGCCCACATAGGCTGGGTGATCTTCAAGATGAATACAACGCGGTACGTGCGATGGAAGCGCGGCACACGCTTTTCTGACAGACTGCAGGAACAAGTAACCGACTACCCACTCATATCAAAGGCCAGAGGCGCTGCTGCTTTCCGAAACGCGCTACACGGCTTCTTTGTCGCCTTGACTCAAACAATCGCACAGACTGGCCTCATGTACGAGGAGAACCAACTCATGGAGAATATACAGGTGTGGATCTGCACCATGACTTCCGCCACCAACCGCCCTTTTCGTCATACCAGCACAGTGGCGGCGCTAGGCGTTACCTCAGGATTAACTCGAATCGCAAGCGACATCGCAGAGAGCACAGCAAAGATGATGCGACAGAAGGAAACCGAATCGAAAAAGGCGCGGGCAAACAAGTCGCGCTTGGCCACAATTGACCAAGAAGTGGAGGAGCTTAATCAAAAGCTCGAGCATGTGAAGGCCCTCATTACGGATTGGTTCGATACGGTCTACGTCCACCGATACCGCGATGTGGACCCTAAGATCCGGGTTGAGTGTTGCGAGGCGCTGGCAGATTGGATCATGACATATCCTGACAAATTCTTCGACGGACAACATCTGCGATATCTAGGCTGGATACTTTCGGATACTAACGAGGGCACTCGCGCCGAGGTTCTCAAGCAGCTTGCAAACCTGTACCATGACAAGGACAAGCTTGCTGGTTTGAAGACTTTCACTGAACGCTTTAGGGCTCGTATAGTCGAAATAGCAACTCGCGACGCGCACACCAACATCCGGGCTAGCGCAGTTGAGCTGCTTGACATACTACGTGAAGCCGGATTTTTGGAGCCTGACGATATCGATACTGTAGGCAAGCTCATCTTTGACTCGGAACCGAAAGTCCGGAAGGCTGTTGTTGGCTTCTTTGCCGAGAATGTGAACGCAGCCTACGAAGTTCAAATAGATGATATGGGTGGACAGGAAGCGCTTGACGAGGCGCTTGCCGAGCCAGATGACGACGAATACAAAAACCCCAGGCTCGAATGGCTAAAGATGAAGTGTCTTGTCGAGCAACTACTTTCTTACGATGAAGATACTGGGCTTCCTTCGCAGATCGAGCGCGTCACCCCTTATGGTGCGGAGCTGGGTCTGGTCGCTGCGGGAATAGAGTCGCGTTTCTCTCTCGCTGCTCAGGCGCTGTATGATGCAATCCCCGAGGTCCGGTCTTGGGAAGTGTTGGCAGGCTATCTCCTTTACGATCACTCGCAGACCTCTACTGATGTTGCGGGCGACGATGCCGAGTCTCTGCTGCGACGGAATTGTAAGCTGGAAGAGCATGAGGAAACCGCGCTGCTCGATATTTTAAATGCATCTGTCCGGATACGACTACAACGACTAGCCGAGACACAAAAAGACAAAAAGAGGACAAAGGCGCAGCGCAATCAAGACCAGATCGAGCAAGAAGACACGGCGAAAAGGCTGACGACTCTCATACCGGAACTGCTCAAGAAATTTGGTGCGCTGCCAGAAGCTGCTTCATTGTGCCTGCGTCTCGAGCGCGAGCTCAATTTGGATGTTTTCCAGGAATTACGGCAGAACACTGCTCTGACAGCGCTACTGGACGATATCAACAAACAGTTCCTCACCCACAATAGCGAACGCGTTCTCGGTGAAGCAATTACCTCGATTCTTCACGCTTTAGGCAATGACGAGCTCCGGGAGCTTGTCGATAGCAAGACCCAATCTCTATGGGATGACCTCTCCGGAACATTCGACGCATTGCGACGAGGGCGAGATCTCTCCGCTCGTGGGAGTGTGGAACAGAACATTCTTGCCGGCATCTCCAACATCGTGTTGAAAATGTCGGAGCTTGCAAAAGCGTCAGAGCCCGGAGTCTTGGACCAAGTACCGGCACCGACAAAGGCAAGGACGAAGAATAAGAAAGTTGCTCAACTAGACACCCCACCAATTTCGGCCCTACTGGAGATTCTCGAGCGAGGTGTACCTGTGGATGGCGTGGACGCCGAAGTTGATGAAGCCGAGAATGCTCTGGTTCGCCACACCATGTTGTTGATGCTTCCATATTTCCTCTGGAAGTGCAGGAATTTTTCGACACGCATTGAGGCAGGCACACGGATACCTGACGATGAGCTTACGATGGTAGCAGAGCGACGAGATGTCTGCATTACTGCACTTATGCGGATAATCGAAAGTAGGAAGGGTGCAGACGAGCTTAGAGTCGAAGCAGCTGACCTCTTGCTTGATTTGTACAATCTGTTCCGAGCACTGAAGGCTATACAAGCGAAAGCCAGCAAGAGTGCAAAGAAACCAAATGGTCGCGCGTCTAATGAAAACGACGACTGGGAAGCCTTATGCCAGGAGATTGACGGCAAGACCGTGCGATTGCTTCTACAGATTCTGACCGGCCTGGAGAACAATCTTGCAAAGCGTCTCCGCAAGCGCCTCGAAGGCCCAGACGTCGACGACGACCCGATGGACGATGATGAGGATCCCGAGAGTAGCGACGACGAAGGCGACGACGAGCAAATCCAGAACCAGAAGCAAATCCGCGCTTTGCTTGCCGAAGAGCGCCTCTGCACCTTCGGCAGCCGCGTCGTGCACAGCGTCCAAGTCGGCTCTCTCGATGCCGACAATGAGAAGACTGTGCGCACGCGTCTAGAGCGCAACAAGGCCAAGCTGACGCCCAGTTGGAAGGAAGTCGTCGGTCATCTCGACATTAGCAAGCAAGTCAAGGGCAAGGGCGGGAAGAAAGCCCCGGCGGCAAAGGAGTTGGCGAAGGCTGCCAAGAGCAAGACTATCGTTGTAGAAGATGACAGTGAAGATGAGGAAGTGCAGGACGATCCGATTGAGGATGACGAGATGCCTGATGCGGATGCAGAGGCGGGAGCGGAGGCAGAAGGACGGATCAACGGCGATGCGGAGAGCGCGAATGGGGATGTGGAGAGGGAGAGTGTGCTGGGTGATTAGTGCATTCCGCGTTGTATGAGCAGAGGACGAATCCGGCTTTTGTGGGTGTGCTTGCTTGTTTCTGCTCCTGTGGTGTTTCTTTCGTGCGCATAATTGTTCAAGAGGGCTGTGTGGTTGTGTCGGTATACCTCTGTGTATGGCGTTCTGCGGGGTCATGAGGGCGTTCAGGACTGGGAAGGGAATTGTTGTGAGGGCTTGTTTCAGAGATAGTGTGTGTATGGTTGTGGATGTTTGAAGTGTATGCGTGCTGTTCATTCTGCACTGGTGTCGTGTGCCTCTATAGCTGTTGGGGCGATCATCTGCGTTATCTCAAGCTTCACTTGGGCAAATGAAGAGGAAGTTGCAGTGAAGTCGGCATCTCGCACTAGGTATCCGCCGCAAAAATGCAGGGTCACGCATTACAGTTTTCTATGTGGCTAGGAACCAAGAACACGTCCTCACATTGGTTCGTTAGTCACTCAGTGCCCTCGATGTTTGGTTCCGCACACCGTTGATTAGCCCACCTTCACGCCTTGATTCCTGTCCAAAGCGTAATTGACTCGGGTATTCCATTATAACATCATCATTGTGAGCCCATTCGGTAACTATCGTCGCCACGAGACTGTGTCGTACTTCACATTGTATGACCGCGCTTTCACAATCGATTTCTGGTTACGTTACTACAGGATTACATGCATCACAAGTAAGACAACGGAATACTTCACATCGTGATGACGAACACGATGGCAGTGGGGTATAAACCCTCTGCCACGCTGTCCATAGGGCTTCTTTCGACAATCTCATGAAACACACACATATACGTACACAGGATCTTTATTCAAGCAGCAGCATAACACCCACCATTAGGAAGACATACAAGATACCGATCCATCAACAACTACATATATATATCCGATACGAGAACACGGGAAGCGAAACCAGAGAAAGAAGAAAGAAAACACACAGTCCACCACCTTGTTTCGGTACAAAGTCCACTTTCAGCGACTTTGTCGACTTTTCAGAAGCCGAACAAGCGAACAATGAGTCCTGAACATTGCACTTTGAGATTGACATTCTGATGCCATTTCTCGAAATCCGGTAAGCAGGACGAGACATGGTTATATGATATTGTGACAATGGAAAACCCAGGCACTCGGAAATGTGTCAGCTGTTATCTGAGCAAAGCAGCAGGCAATTACCTTAGATCAATATGCAATACATGCTTCGAAAGTGGTATGACTTGCGATTATGACTTCCAAAGACACATCCCGCAGAACGTATATGAGGGAAACCTAAATCCTACGGACTATTCTTCAGCATGGGCGTGGAGGGAAGCCAAATCCGACGAAAAGAACAGAGCATCGAGAGCGTTACTTGACGAAGGCGAGGACAACGAGGACGACGAAGACGATGATGGAGATGTTGGAATAACCGAAATTACACAGAGCATGCAAAGCACTTCCTTAAGTGCATCGGGAGGCCCGTACCGTAGACGGAGAATTGTACCCCATATCGGCGAGTCAATGGCCAATCCAAAGAGAAGGGTTATATACAGCAATCGAAAAGAAATGGATGCATTCTAGAGACGAAGACTAATGCTGTATGTCCCTAGTCATCTGGCCGAAATTATTGAAAGAGCGTAGAACGTCGTTAAGCGAGGGAGTAGAGCATAAATGAAGCTACCAGACTAGATGCAGTGCAATTATACCATAGATAACTGAAACGAGTATACTTACAAAGACGGGGTTAACGCGAAACTGAAAATATGAGTATGACAGCCTTTCACCTGATCACGTCTTGCGCAGAAGGACTGGTACAATTCAATATGCTATTGTCCCATTAACCAGTGCAGCAAAGCTACCAGATTCACGAGTGGGTACATACCAAGCACGCAGGAATATATGGGATATGTGATGCAGAGCTTGAGTGCGCTGTGCGCTACAAAGCTCTACGCACGCGCGTTCATGTAGCTCTGGTACCTTAACAACAGGTCACCTTTATTACATCACTACACTTTCAACTGCGACGACTGGGCTGCTGCCTAGCTCACGCGAACAACACGCCAGAGCAAAGCACGGAGGAGGTCCAGATGTCTGTTCGCAAGCGACACAATCACGGCTTCCGCTAGTGATCGGCGGCGTGTTCCTTATGAGAAATATACCGTACCTATGGTAGTTTATTACGGCTTCTTCTTTTCTTGCCGGATGCATGAGTATCTTAGTACAGTGTGGTGAAGATTGGGTGAACAATTTGTTCGGAGGCGACATGCACTTCGGAGCCGCTCTTTCTACGTTTCTCGCTGCTGAGAATGTGCGAGGAATTCTGGTCACGTTATCTATTGAGGTTCCTTGACTCATCGCTTCGTGGGTGGGGTCTAATTGTCTCAGGCATAATCCTAGTTGCAAGTGGACCGTGCGAAATGACACATTCATGCGTACATTCTCCGACCACCGTGGGCCAAAACTACCAGTCAAAGCTTTAAGGGCTTCAAGGCGAATCAGATTCGAAGATCTCGTTTTAAGTGCTTTCCTGAAGCATGCGTATCCCTATGCGCAACGTCTCCGCGGTGGAGACGAGCATCCATCATAATGGACTGGAACCATTATAGAGACCAGATGTGATAAGAATGAAGATTTTCAATCCACATATCAAAGCACTGAGGACGTAGGTTCCGATAGGGCTCTGTGTCTAAATCACCCCTTTGTAAGGTAGCATACTACTGACCCTGGTCGAGTTCTACTCGCCCGATCACGTCGACGGCGACGTTCGAATACATGGGATGCACGCTCTGCGGTAGTGGGCTCAGATTCTTGATATATAATACGATGTATTTACTCTCCTCGCATGCTCCTTACGCGGATCTCTTACTCGCCCGTCCCTAATCACTATTCGTCTACATTACAAGAGTACATATGCCTTTTTACAACATGGCAAAGAAAGTACCTACCGTTGAGCCCGTATCGGTGACGGACGAACAGTCGCCCAAAGCATCAATCGAGCCTAAACGCCCGGGTACCAGTGGTACAGAGCTCCTCTTGACTACCAATCGTCGCACAGCTTCTCAACAATACGCTGCCGCGCAAAGGGCAGAAAATGCGTACAAGGCCAAGAAACGATCAGCGAGCGCACGTCAACATCGTTCTGAGGCCGCATCCCACTTCAAGTTGTCCGCACACCACATGAAAGAGGGCTTCAAGAGCTGCTGGAGCATGGTAACTGCAGTGCCGTGGGTGTTTAAGGCATGGAAAGAAGATCGACAAGCGATGAAAGAAAAGAAGGCGGTCGAGAGATACATGGAGAAGAAGAAGAAGCTTGAGGAGCGCATAGCAAAGCAGGAGGTTGCTCAGGAGAAGGAGAAGGAACCGGAGGCGTGAGGTCACTCACCAACCGATCATCGACTTTGCTTCCACCATCCCATATCCGACATATTTCCTCAGCAGCGAGTCCCAAACATCACCATTACCACCGCAACAAAAACTATTGCCTCACTGCTCTAAGGAGCCGCCTACCCGGGTTCCAAAATCCGGAGAACCACCTCATCGCCTATTTTCATTTGTCCTGAATTATTTGCATTTAGATCTACACTCTCGCCAGTCTATGGCCTCTCATTATGTTTCTTTTATCCCGCTCAACCTATCGTCGGATTTCTTACTGCTTCAGCGATTGTGTGTCTGTCAGGTATACCCAGGAGTTTGGCAAGATTCAGGATATTGTGCCGTTTTACGAAGACGGAACGATATGAACCGAAAATCATGCCTATCCACTCTGGTTCGAACGCATTACGAAAGCGTTCGTATCTCCTGAGTGACCAACACTATATAATGTATACAACAGCGTTCCCTTGGAACTACTCTATTGACTCTCGCAAGCTTTTGTGATGCATGCAATGGGTTGGTTTTGTGAAAAATGGTCGCTATAGGTGACACTGTTCATTGGAAGAATCGTGCTAGCCACAGCCCCAGGAGGTAATACTTTGGCAATGAACGGTCAAACACTGTGCAATCGAAGCCTTGTTTGAGGAGCATGCAACGGATTATCCGCACGCTGGCTATTACGAGAGTGCGGCACTTCTACACTTCTTTCTGTTGCCCACGTTACCTTCTAGCTAGTGAAGGGGCAGCCACGGCAGGTTGTTTGACGTCTTCAATGCGAGGAATATTTAGATTACCCGCCAATGCACCGCATTCACTCATCTCTGAAATGACCGTCATAACAAGGACTTTTAAGATAATAGGCCAACAGTCACTCCCAGCTTCAAAGGGACACCAATGGCCTTGATTATAACCTTAGCCAACGGACAATACCACAGCTTCCCTAGATCTTCACTTTGCCCACTTTAAAGCATCGCCACTCTGTCACCTTCCTGATATTTACCACCCACCTTACTCTCTCTTTCTATCAAATTGACAACGCAACCCATTTGATATCGATCCCTAGGGTTGCTTGATGATACCCCACCAAAATCCAGTCATGTCGCAACTACGGCGAACAAGGAGCTGTGCGTGGGCTCTACTATTACGGCTATAGAGGAAGTTGCTGAGTTGGCGGCAGAGGAGGACGATCAGGGTGAAGTATTCGATGAGAATACTTCACGAAAGGATTGGGAGATGGGGCAGGACGAGACCGATAGCGAGGATGACATGGAGAGCGAGGACAAGAACGAGGACAAGGAAGAACAGGGTGAAACAAACAGCGAGGATGAGGTGTATGACGACTATGTAGATGAGGAAGCATAATCGCACTACGCAACGAAGGCAAATCCCATTGCCGCAACAGAGCTGGATGAGCGCAATTTTGGCGATGGGCCAGCAGACATCGTTTTGACTCCTTTTTAAAAATCGGCAACTCTTGGCAGTGACCCAGAAATGCTTGGTCGGCGTGGGTTTAGCCTAGATGAAGTTTCTAGCCCTTTATTGTTTACAGTAAAGCGAAGTGGCAGTGGTCAAAGTATTGTGCTTGATATCGGTGTGTCTTCTGAGCTAATATGCATTCCCGCTGTGGCACTGAGCCTAGAGTAGAATAACAGATGGACACGGCTCAGTACAGACGACGTAGCAAGTTGGAAGCATGACATTCAAAGCATACAGTCCCCCTAGTGATGCCATCCCTGCCCTCTTAACGCTCCCCTCTACTATTTCCTTCCCCTTTCCCCTTCCGCACTCTCCCCACCGACCCTACCACCACCAAAACGGGACCCACATCCCTTTCAAGCAGTTCTGCCCCAGCGGCCGCACATGCACGTAGCTCGGTACCACCAAGCACACCACTAACCCCAGCAGCACTAAAACAGCATAGAAGACCACAAAAACAGTCAAGAAAGCGATCAGCGTAAGGAGCAGGGTCCTCAGGTGCCGACGACTTTCTGGGCGGTATCTAGGCGCGGTGGAGGAAGGCGGTGGTAGACGGTGGCCTGGACATGTTGGAGGGGCCTGTGGATGGTGGTCAGCGGTGGGATAGGGCGGAGGCGGAGGCGGAATGGGGCTAGAGGCAGAGTCGGCGTGCTTGGTGTCGTGAGGGAGTAGTGGCTCGCGCTCGGAGGTGGAGCGGGTGTTGTAGGGGTTGATTGGCGTCATACGACCGTAAGGGGTGGCTGTCGCCATGGAGGGTGCGGAACACCTGGTTTGTGCGGCGACGGAGTGGGTTGTTGATATATTTGCTGTATCGCTGCTGCCTAAGGTTCGGGTAGGATCGTTGACGGCACCCTGGCTGTGCAGGCTTGAAACGTTTTCGGGCATTAATTACGAAATGTTGCTCGCCTTACATCAATTGATGTGTCGCTGCTTCGGTTAAAATGGGTTTCATACAATACTAAATTTACAGCTTCGCTCTTGCCCAATCCTTCACGACCTTCGCGCTCCCTGTCCCACTGTCGCCCTTGTACCCCAACAACAGCTCCAAAATTGGCTCCATATGCGCAGCCTTCGGCGTAACGACCACGTTCACGCGACCGCCCTGTTTCCCGTAGCCCTTTGTGAAGCGCCTCGCCCACTCCTCAATACCGTCAAGCAGGATCTCATTGCCACCAGCCCAGACCAGCACCTCGCCAACCACAGACGCTGTAGCTTCCCACCATGACGCCGGCGCTGTGACGGGCTCGTTGTAGAAGTCACCGGCAAAGGGCGAGTCGCTGCCCAGGAAGGCAGACGACCAGCGCTCGAGCGCTCTCCCATCGAAGCAGTCCTTCTCGGCATTTGTCTGGTAGGCGCGTGTATGCGTGTTGAAGGAGCACCACGGCGACAGAAGCAGCGCAGCGTGCAGTTTTGTGGGCAGGGGCAGCGCTGGAATCTCGGGGTGAGGGTGCGCAATGTGCGATATAAGCCCGAGGCAAAGGTTGCCACCTGCCGAGTCGCCGCCGATGCTGATGTCTGAAGGGATGCGACCGGTGGTCTTCACGAGATATCGGAGGACCTCGACGGCTTGTGTCAATTGCGTGGGATATGCATTCTCAGGGGCGAGGCCGTAGGCGAGGACGAGGACGGCGGTATCGGAGCCTTGGGCGTTGAGCGTGTCTTTCATGTCGACCAGATACGAGAAGTGACCGGCACTTCCAGCTAAGACGTAACCACCGCCTGCTGTCGTTAGCCTAAGCAGCTGCATGTTTCTGTAGCGATCGCACCATGCAGCCAGAGGAGGACCCTCTTCGCGTCCTTGTTGCCGAGCCAGTGCGCCTGGGTGCCGCTTGGAAGCGTGACGCTCGCGGGGGGTATGCCATGGTCTTTGCAGAAGCTGAGGTAGGCCTCGGTCGTCGGAACGCGCGTGTACGTCTCCTGGTCAATGTTGATGTTGCCCAGCTGGGTGCGCATCAATTGGAAGACGACGTCCTTGAAGTAGTTGTGTGCGCCATGCTGGCCCTTGAACGGCGACGTCCAGAGTCGAGCAGATGCGGCCGTCACTGGCAGTCGTGTTAGCGGAGCCCTACTGGAGACGGATGCATGCGGGGACGGACTAGCTTTCAGGGTCGTCGACGCAATGCCGACCCTGTCGCCGAAGGAGATGGTCTTCGCCTGGTCCGCCATGGGGACTGGATCAACGAGGAGTATGGAATGGCACACAGGACGGTCTTTGGGGAAGACGCCCCATCGACCACGGCTCCGGTAGTACTTGCATGATCACGGCGGCCGCACGCGATGCTCCCCCATGGGCCGTCTCGGTCGGGCCATGGGTGGTAGCGCGCAGGAAGTGGTTACCCGAGGCGCAGGCGCACGTCTTCCCCGCAAATTGTCGCCAGCATGACTCGACCTGCTCAGCATTTCATGCACCGCACGACTCTTGCCTCACAACATCCAGGACATCGCCCCAGATTGGGCCAGTGATAAGATGGCCGGGGACGCCCACAGCCCGGCCGACGATGGCCCAGCCGATCATACCGATGGAAGTGCCTCGCAGCCGCCCGCGAAGAAGCGCCGCACTGGCACGTCGTCCAGAGGCGTCGCCAACCTCACCCCCGAACAGCTCGCCCGCAAGCGCGCCAACGACCGCGAGGCCCAGCGCGCCATCCGCGAGCGCACCAAGAACCAGATCGACACGTTGCACCGGCGGATCCAGGACCTCGAGAGCCAGCAGCCGTACCACGACCTGCAGCTGGTGCTGCGCGAGAAAGACCAGGTCGCCGCCGAGCTCCACGAGGTGCGCAAGCGGCTGGAGAGCATCGTGGCCATCGCCTCGCCCGCGCTGCGCGGCCCCAACGGCCTGAGCGGTACGTGCAAGCCCGCCGAAGCAGCGGCCCATCCAATGCTCCAGGGCAATGGCACTCACGCGTCGCAGAACTGGCAGCCGCAGCAACGCGCTCGCCCCTTCCCGCTCCTCCGCCCCACCCGCGCGCCCTCCACGCCAAACTCGGCGACATCGCAGCTGCCTCTCCCCAGAATGGCGCCCAGTCGCCCGGCGCCGCTGAGGGAGCGCGCCACTGGGGCTACGCCGGCGAGCATCCCCCCAACCACGACCGCCACTGGGACGGCGCGCAGTACCACCATGAACGCGGCTCCCACGGGACGCCCGAGATGCCCTTCGACCAGATGCCCTTCGACAACGACAAGAGGATGGGCGTCAACTTCCTGCTCGAGAACAACGGACAGTCGCAGAACCTGGACCCGAGCCTGCCTCCTCCCCCGCCAGTCACCATCACCACCACCAGCCTGGGCAGTGGCCTCGGGCACCACGCGCCCATTCTGGTGCCTCATCTCACCCTACCCCGCAACGTGCCCACGACGTGCCCGCTGGATGCAATCTTGCTTGACTTCCTGACCGATCGCCAAGGCCGTGCTGCACAGGGCGATCATATCAAGACCATCGTGGGGCCCATGTATCCCAATTTCACGCCCATAGTCCATCCGGAACGCAACGTTGACGCTCATCCCTTGTCCAAACTGTTCACCGACATCCTGCGCACGTTTCCGGACATCTGCGGGCTGCCTGAGCAGGTTGCCATTGTTTACATCATGTTCCTGGTCATGCGCTGGCAGATCGAACCGTCGGCAGAGAATTACGACAGGCTGCCAGACTGGGTCACACCGCGAGCTTCCCAGCTCTTCGTCCCTCATCCCGTCTGGAATGATCACCTGCCATGGTAACTTTGCGTCCGCTCACCCGTTCATCAGCCATGGCTAACAGATGCACAGGCCCAAATTACGCGACCGCTTGATCAATTCCCCGACGCCCGTGCCGTTCGATGCCTTCTTCATCCCCTTCACGACTACAGTCTCCCTGAACTGGCCCTACGAACCACGCGACTGTCTACTTCCGGCGTCAAAGCTCCACCCCTCGTCGCTGTCTGCCACGTCTTCCATCCCAGCCTCGAGCCCATATTCCACAGCCGTGAATGCCGGCTCACCTGCAGGACCGCACACGCCCCACACCATCAGCACGCCCGGCGTGCCCAAGGAGGACGAAGATTGGCTCATCAACCCCGCCTTCGAGAGCCACCTCCGCAACCTCAACAACTGGAGCCTGGGCCCTGCCTTCCGCTCCGTCTTCCCCGCCTTCGGCGATGCGGTCCGCATCAAAGAAGGACGCTAGCGCGGCCTGTAGATGTCTGCCGCGCGCGGCCGGGTCTGGGGGCGTCTGGGTGCCTTTTCAAATATACTTATCGCGAGTATCTGTATGATTATTTACAACGGCCACGTCACCATCTTGCTTATTCACAGTATCGGTATGCTATCATGACTTAGTATTCGCCTGAGGATGGAGTTGGGCTGGGGTTCAATGTTGGAGAGATGGGCCGGCCGAATTACGACGACGATTTAACAGTGTATAGATAGGCTTCGTGCATCGATAGTAGCCCATTGGGGCTCGTTATACCAACGAATTAAGGAGATTTGTTCGCTCAATGAGATTAGTCTTGGACGATGCTGTGATGCTCCGCGATCCTTGCAGGGCTTGATGGTCATGTGGTGTCTTTGACAGAAGAATGTAATTATCTTCGACGCGCGAAGGCCGAGAAAGGGAAGAAGTGTGATGTGCGAGGTGTTCACTTCCGCACGATCAGGTCGAACTGCCAGTTCGGGCAATTTTGACAAGTGTCGATGGCGGGAGGACTGTAAGTTTACTGTAAGCTTGCTAGATTAGGAACTTCCGCAAGTACCTTCGATGGCGCCAATGGTCAGCTTATCCTCAGCGACTCCATGATTCGGGAGACTTTGCGCAATCGTCGTTTAGGTTCTCAGTTATTCGATTGTGAGTGCATCGGACGAGCAGAAATAATACATGGAATTCGAGAGCTTATAGCCAATAGATTCCAAAGCTCCGGGAAATAATACTACAAGCCTTTATCACCCAGGGCCACGGGTACCTTAGCGTGTGATCGATGTTCTACCGCGCGACCAAGTTTAGGACCACGTCCATACCAACCTCATCTATCCTCTTCCCGGTGACATCCAAGCTTGTTTCTTCCTATTCGCATTAGAGAATCTGATGCGCCTCTACATTCCCAATGTCGAGCCCAGGGCGGAAACGCAAAATCCTTATTTACTCGATGATTTTCTTCGTTGATAGGGCCCATTGACTGAATAACAATCGCCTTCCACTGAGATAATTGTGTTTGAGTGTGTTTGGTTCTGAAGTCATCGCATGCAAGAACGCGGGGGAAGTGCGGGCGCACGATTGTCCCTTTGGAGACAGAAGACGCATTCCGCGCCCGTGAGTGAGGCGTCACTACGGTTTCGCCAGGTTGGCGCGCCGACACGTGATCTGAGCAGCACTCCATGGATTGCTCTCCGTTGGTGGTTGGGGTCTGTTAGTGCATCTCATCGACCAGCAGCTTGTCACAAGGTAAATTCAATGGGTTGGGGGTACGGCAGAACGCATTCTTGCAGATGATGACACGAAGAGCAATTGACAAATATGATACCTGAAGATTTTCTCTGCTAACACGTAGCCGCTGTCTATCAAAGACGGAGAGCTCGTTCCCCGACAATAGGACGCTACTGCCACCCTTTACGAGATCCGATCTGATGCACGCGATCTGTGAGATTGTTTTCATGTCTCAATCCTGCGCCTTCGGCTTCAGCTCCACATAGCATTTCGTGATCCTCTGCTGCGCAGGCGCAAACAGCAGCTGCCCTTCTTCATCTTTGAAAGTGCCTGTATGGAACTCACTAACAATGCCGCCCTTGTACGGTGCAGGAGGGTCCGACCATACATGGGTCACAGCATCGTGTACGCATTCAATCTGAATGGCCCTGAAACCTCTCGCATCCGCCTCGCGCATCAGCCATCTCGCCATTCCCGCCATGATCTTCTCGCCTTCATAGTCGTGCCGCGTAGCAGTCGCGTTCCGCATCAAAACCTCTTTATGCGCCTTTGGTGCCCAGCTCTCCTTCTCACGGGGGTCGAGCACCTCCAAAACGTGGTAGAGAGGGCCAAAGTGCGGCAGAACAGCCAACAGGGGTCCCAGCTTCTCCAGATCGAGTGGATCTGCGCCGTCGTAGCTCAGCGCGACGCTCACAAGGGGGAAGTCCATCTGCTCGAGCAAGCGTTGACCTTCCGCCTCCATTCCGTTCTCTTCCTGCACACTCTTTTCGTTGCGGTCCCAGTACAGCTTACCGCCGGTGGCCTTGCTTTCCTCGCGCTTGAACTGGTACTCGGTGTCGAAGACACCAAAGGAGTGTCCGCTGTCGATCTGGTGGTTGACGAGGTAGCTGGCGTTGTCAAGACCCTCAAATGTGCGTGCGTTGAGGCCTTCGGGGTACAGGACAGGCCAGACTGGCGAGTGGAAGAGGTTGCTGTGGATAACGATGGCACATGCCCATTCTGAATGCTTTGGCTCCAGTTGCCGGATCTCATAGCGGGGTTTCAGAGATGAGGGGTTGGATGGGTTGGGTGTCTTGGTGTTGTTGTTTTGAGTCATGGTTTCAATGCTTCTTCGAGAATGTGTTCTATGGGATGTATTGGAGACTGGTTCGAAGAGCTGTTTAGAGGCTTGTCGTTTGGACAGGTGGGTGATACGACCTTGGATGCAGGTAATTCGACAAGACTACGCCGCAGCGAAGATGAATTTAGGGCTTGGCAGGCGTGGATTCGAAAACACTGTGCGTCAAAAGGCGGATCAGAGACCGATCAGAGCTCGATGAGAGTGCTACGAAGTGGTCTTCTCTGCCAGGGCGTGGGCCGTTCAGTATGCTGAAGTAGAGTGTAAGGCCTGCCCGCCGTGTTGAAAATGTTTTATAGTCAACACACTGTAATGGTTTCGTGGACGACAAGGATTCAGAGAGTTTCCTAGGAATAAGCTTGCACTAAGTATGAAATCAATCAAGGATAAACCGTAACATTAATGACAGATTGCAACAATCGGTACAATCTCCACGTGTGCCGGGACGACCCGTGGACACGCAAAGAGCATCAGCACCTGTGAGATGCAGGGGGCTATTTCCAGAGCCATACCGATTTGAGGTATATGGCATGGCTTGATGCAGGAGGTGGTATAAGCGCTTTGTGATCGATGCAGGTAAGATTAGTCTGATGATGCGATTGGTCAAACCAAATTATTGAAGGTGCGAGTATATATGGCTTTACGTACTGACGGCAAGGAATGAAGTGCGAACAAGAATATTAGCAACATTCAGATCTCTCTCGAGTGTGATACTAGTTGACAATCTGAATATACACTATTGTCGCTCCAGGCGAAGCATACACAGTTCCAACCAACGCTTCTTGGTTTACCGAAATCTTGATGCAAGCTCGCGTAAGCTTAAGGTACCCACTCTTCGTGGACTACTCTCCGAAAGGCGTGAATCGCTCCAAGACCCTCTCTGCATCAGCAAGCTCCCTTTTCAGTACATTCTCGTGCGCCTGGCTTCTTATTCGGATTTCACATTCAAACTTTCTCGGTCGAATATTGAATCCTTCAGTATATGCAAAGGTATCGTATCGTACGCCTTTGAGCGGAGCGATATCGAATGCCCACAGGATCTTCGCCAGCGCGATGAACAGGCTGTTCGCTGCCAAGTCCGCACCTGGACAGATGCGTCGTCCCCACCCGAACGACGAGTGGCCAGCCTTTGCGGGGTGCGCTTTGCCAGTTTGTGGGGTAGGATTCTTTGCTTTCTCTGAGAGTGCAGTGTCGAGGAAGCGCTCAGGGTTGAAGTGGTGTGGATTAGGGTAATACTCTTCGTTGAGGTTGATGGCCCAAGAGTTACCAAGAACTGTTGTCCCGGCGGGGATATAGTAGCCTTCGTAGTGATCATCTTCTGTTGATGCATGAGGAGTTCCTCCAAGGACAGCGACAGGCCGCCAACGAAGGACCTCTTTAGCTAGAGCGCGGATGTATGGGAGCCGTATTTCGTCTTCGAAAGTGGGTGTTCGATCTAGTCCAATGACGCTGTCCAGCTCTTCGTGTGCAGCGCGCAGAGTCTCCGGATGCGTAACAAGTCCCAGAAAAGCTGAACATAATGTTGATGCGGTCGTATCAGAGCCAGCGCCAAACAATGATGCTGGGATATAGGAAAAGTCGCGGTCGGAAAGAAGATTCTCTTTTTCACGCAACTCCAGGAGCAACTTGCAAAGCGATTCCGGAATCTCGTCACCGCGTGTGTTTGCGCGCGCAATGTCAGAACGGACGAGATCGACTAACTGCATATTAGCTGCTGCCTCTTCTTGCCCGTGCTTCTTGATCTCGACTTTCCATGGCGCCAGTACATCCGGAAGGTGCTTCAAAAATGGAAATGATTCCACTTGATACTTTCCAGGAACATTCAATGACGAAGCATAGTGCATGAATTTGAAGCGTTGACGGATGACTTCGGCGTTCAGAGAGTCGATGCGGTGACCGTATGCCACAGCGAAGACGATACTCGAAGTGAAACGCTCGAGAAGTTTTTCCCAGCTATCTGGCGTTTCGAGAAGCTGATAGCACAAACGCGAGGCCTCAGCAGTCTGGGTAGGTTTGTACAGCCTGAGTGCCTTTGGCGTCATAGCCTGGTGCAGAAGCTTCCTCCTTATACTCCATTCTTTTCCATAAGGTTGGACCAAAATACTCGCACCGTCCCAAAGTATTTCGCCCATGGCCACCATACGTGGCCTCGAAGAGTACTTCGTGCTCCTCTTCTCCATTAGCTCAGCCGCCACCACCGGATCTGAAACAATAACTGTTGGTTTCCTTCCGATCCATATTGTGAAGATTGGACCGTATTGTTTCGACCACTTCTGGAACTGTAGCCACGGCTGCGATTTTGGGAGCTGATGTTTGTTGCCTATAAAGGGAAGTGGTGTTGGTCCAGGGGGCATTCGATACCATATCCAGGCATCATGGAGGAGTGTAGCAGCTGGGAGTATAACCAGGAGCGACAGCCACAAATAAGGTGACAGCAATATGGATTCTGTCGCCATCGTCACAAGGTGGTGAAGGTAAGAAATTGGACAGTGGAAGTAGCAATCAAAGTGAAGTAGGTCGCCAAGGGAGAACGAATTACTTACACGAGTTTAACAAGCTGCAGCCAAGGCTTTAGAACAACAAATGTGAGCTTCGGCAGTTGCTAGATCGTTGTGTTTGTCTGCCGCGGGGTTACATATCCTCGCGGGCTGTGTGGGGTAGTTCACATTATCAGAAACACATGGGGGAGAACAAGGCTGCGTGCATAGCTCCGCCCGTTTGCAAGATAGAAAGTAGCAATCAAACTATTGATAAAGGCCTCTGATCGGTAATACCCTTGGGCGCTCGTTGTATGCTGGTGACAAGTGGTGCTTGGGAGCGCTCGGAGGGATAACAACCGAACCGTGTGGTGCGGGGCACATTGGGGAAGCAAGGCCACCCCCCCACAAACTGGCGCCACTTCGCCACGCCCTTACTACTTGAGTTGCTGACTTGTAGAGATGTATATCAGGTTTGGCAGCCACTTTCCCGGGGTCATTCTTGGGTACAATCACACTTCCCTCCCAGATCTCAATCATTAACCTTACGAACGAGGATATTCCCATATCCTAGTGCACTATTCAACCTATCTGTGCATATTCTTGTTCTTAGGATATTATCACCATGGGCAGCATGCCTACGGACCCGCTCAAGGTTCTCATTGTAGGCGCAGGGTTTGGTGGTCTCACGGCTGCTATTGAATGCCGCAAGAAGGGCTTTTCTGTCATCCTTTTCGAGGGTAACACTAGCCGGCGTCAACTCGGCGACATCATCTCCTTTGGCTCAAATTCAGGACGTATCTTCCGTAGCTGGCCTGGCGTCGAGGAGAAGCTCGATCCAATATGCCATCACAGCGACGGCCTCGACTTTCGCACCTACGATGACGAATTCCTTACCCGCCAGATATGGGATGCGGAAGCGAACTGGGGAAAAAGATTTAATGGTCATCGAGGAGAGATTCATGAAGTGGTGTGGAATCACGCAATCGACGTCGGTGTAGACATTAGGCTTGGCTGCAAGGTACAAGAGTATTTCGAGACAGAGACTGAAGCAGGTGTGGTAGTCAACGGCGAGAGGATAGTGGGTGACGTTGTTCTCGCTGGGGATGGTGTGAGGAGTCTGGCACGCACTATCGTGTTGGGATTTGAAGATAAGCCAAAGAGCTCCGGATATGCCGTGTATCGGGCTTGGATGCCCACTGATGGGTTGAAGAAGAATCCATCGACGGCATGGCTCGCGAATCCTGAAAAAGATCTTCACGTGGGCTGGCTAGGTCCTGATGTACATTTCCTGGTGGCGACACTCCAGAAGGGCACTGCTTGTTCCTGGGTACTGACGCACAAGGTAAGGTAGCACACTTACCCACTTTCAGAGTTTCATTGACACATCACAGGATGAGGCTGATGTGGAAGAAAGCTGGTCGGCACCTGGATACGTCGATGAGGCCATCAAGGCAGTTTCCAATTGGGCACCAGTTGTTCACGACATCATTCGTGCGACCCCCGACGGAGCTTTGGTGGACTGGAAGCTTGTGTTTCGTGATCCTCTACCTACATGGATAAGTCCTAAACGAAGGATTGCGCTTATTGGAGACTCAGCTCATCCATTCTTGCCAACTTCCATACAGGGTGCTTCGCAATCAATGGAGGATGGTGTGACGGCTGCCGTCTGTCTTGAACTTGCAGGCAAGCAAAACGTACCAGAAGCTATCCGTGCATACGAGAAGATCAGGTATCCCCGCGTACTGGCTACGCAAAGAACTGGAGTTACAAATCGGGATGCATGGCATAAGGCGGATTTTGACTATGTCAGGAAGAATCCCGAGAGCGTAAAGCTGCCACGTCTGGACTGGGTCTTGAACTTTGACTGCGAAAAGCATGCTTACGATGTGTACCAAGATACAGTTGAGTCGTTGAGAGCAGATCCAGGTTGGAAGCCAGATACCACGTTGTGACATTAAGAAAGTCCAAAGAAATCCAACCCAAGTTACTCACTTTCCGTTCTTGAAGCCTCAATATATACGAGCCTCTTGACTCCCGGGTTCCAAAGCCTCATTAACATATGAACCCTCCCTCAGGACGCTGGCCGACCTTGTACAACAAAAAAATCAAGTCGGGTACGAGATGTCTGAGAAGTCAGCTTTGTGTAAGCTCATGCACCAAACGTATTCCGAGTGGTCGAGTACAAGCAGGCTAAAACATCGAACCACAATCTACGCTCGTGAAACGTCTTCTACGTCTATCAAGCCTATGAACGATCGAAGTCACTACAGCTGCCACGCAATTTCCTTGGGTGGCTTTGTACGAAAGACAATCATATCACAAAAAATGGTTCTGCTGGAAATAGTCTCGCAAAAGTATCTAGCAACAAGCAGGACATCGCTTTGCATCGGGACTGCCGTAGCTGCTAGGTTATAGCTTCGCATGAACTTCCAATACATTTTGATAGTGCCCTCGTCGCGCGCAGGGACGATATCTACTCTTACAGAACCCATGATCTCGTCCGAACCTCAGCTAGCCCTTGAAAGACAATCGACAGCCTGAATGGGAGTCTTTGAGTTCCCAAAGTGCGACTGTAACTATCAGTTTACAGCTTCATACTCGTATTGTCGCTCTATATTTTGTGATACCATGAACACGAGTGTGGTCCTGAGACAGAAATGTCAGCTTCATCGACTCCCGGGGCATGAAATGCGAAATACGAAAGGCTTCCAAGCACTCCTGTCTACTGAATTTACCTCCACCTGTGCATATAAAGTCGCGGACATTTCACCTATATGTGCTCACCAACCATAACGTCCGCTACCAAAACACTTGATCTACAACCCATTTCCGCTCAGCGCTATGAAACCCTCAACCATCAGCAGCATCCTCACCCTCGCGGTTACCACCTTCGCCACCGCGATCCCCGCGCCCGCCGCCCACAGCGACATCACCCTCCGCGACACTCCCGACATCACTTACACCATCCCCAGCACCGAGCTCTCCGCCCTCAGCACTCAGCTCATCGGCGTCTCCGGCACCCTACAACTTAACTTCGTCAACGGCAATACCATCAAATCCTGGTACAGCGTCACGGACACCAAGGGCGACAGCCACTCCGTTTACATGACTACTGTCGTCTACGACGGCAAGGACGACGTGCTGAGATGCAACAATAAGCTGGGGCACGACCATACGCAGGTCTGTGGTTGGAGGGAGTATCATCGAAACAAGAGGATCTCGTATATTGCGCCGAAGTGGTGTGTGAATATCCAGGGTGGGCCGGATAAGTGCGTTACAGGGCCGAAGTTTCAAAACCCGCGCCTGTAGGGGTGGATGTCTGCCCAGAAGGCTGCATTCTCCGTCATTCTTTGGATGCCTGCAGGATTTAAGAACAGGCGGGGCTTAGCAGGTAGGTGTTTGGGGCTGTCGTCCCTCGTTTGGCATGTTCCCAGTGAAGGTGTTTGAGTTCGTGTGAATATTGATGGATCCGGTGGTAAGGAACGTGAATTGTGTCTGCAGGCTGGATGTTGGAAGTTGCTACACTCGCTTCGTTGCTTCATTTGATCAATCGTGCTCCACTGAGAAGCAGAAAAGGCCCGATCGAGCTTCGTTCGTGATCTATGTTAAACAATGTTTGCAGATGACATTCATGAGTCTTTTCGGGCAGGCGCCGGGGAGTAATATATCTCCCTTGTAAGACGAGATAAAAGCTTTGTAAGCTTCTCAGTTGCTCATCCCTACCATCATAAACAGGGACTGAGCTTTCACTTCACCGCCACGTGCGATAGGCCATAGTACTCTCAAAGACGTGTTGTAGGATATAAAGAATGCGCGTGTGTGCACTTATAGATGAGGAACGTACGTTGTCCACGGTATGCCGTCTAAACGCCCAGTGGAACTTTAGTAGTAGTCGCAAATGCCTGAGCGACTCCAGCTAGTAGAGGGCAAAGCCACCTATTGTTCCGTACCAGCTCAGGGTACTGTCCCAAGGTCCCGAACGGTCTGCATATACTTCTAAATCCTGCAACAGGCTGAGCTAGGTAAGCACTGTGAGAAATCAATGATTACTCTTTGTAACGCTGCTATGTCATCTTCCTCTCCGGCCGTTGTGATCATGTTGACCCTATCGCAAAGATTAGACTGAGAATATTTTTACTTCATAGCAATACGGAGCATAGATTCAGGCGTGATCAGCCCGACTGTGTACCACTTGATGATTCGAAAGATCTTGTGATAGAGCTTCTTCTTGTGCTTGCGTGGTATATTGAGGTGAAGGCCGTGTAGGCGCACGGACGATCGTGAGCACACAGTTCTTGATCAATGATACAGTATCGCGCCGTCGATCTGGAGGGACCATGTTGCAGTTCCGGTGACATTGGAATAGTCGAATGCGGACACACATGGAAAGAAGTACGGGATCAAGCGCCATAGGCGGCCCATGGCTAGGCGACGCGAGCCTGGAGCAGCGCTGGTGTCGAAGACTCATGGGTAGACTTGGGAATGGTTGTCCTTTAGAGTTGGGGCCTGGGCAGCACAGGGAGAAGGTGGTGAAATCGCGCAATGTAATGTTGATGGTAACACGCAGGAGCACGAGCTGTGGCTTCCCGTGTAGCCAAGTGTCGTCCGGTGACGAGGAAGGTAGGCGCCACTTTCGAAGCCTTCGTCCATCACCAGATACCGATCGACTGTTTGTCAGGAGAGGTTTTGCTTCAATGGCTTCACGTGAAATATAGCATGCGATCGTATACGATTTACCGTTAATATTGGATGATTGATCACGGAATCGCGATCGCGACCATCAACCTCCCCTTTTTCTAACCACTGCAAGGCTCCATGTGGCATGATGCACACAAGGGCAATAAGCATTCGGGACAAGGTACGCGGACGGCCACGAGAGAGGGGACATGCGATCATCGAGGATACGAGAACGATTCACCACAACTGTCCAGAACAGGGAGCTGCCGCGTAAGTATGATTGGCACGTCATGCGCATATACAAGAGCATAATATTGCTGTGAACAAAGTTCGAGCTATGAGTAGACGTCTGAGTTACGTAGTCGCAGCTGGGGTTGTGCTTGCACCAGCACTTGTCAGCGTCGACACTAGCGTGCCATGTCTACCAAACTGAAACGAATTGAGGATAGCCATCGGAGGAGTGGCATCCGAGGCGTTTCGCTTTCACAAGTTTCGATTCGATTCGCCTGGCAGTGCACTGTTTCGTGGTTTGCGATGACCGAGGCAGCGTGTAGGTTTGGTGGGCGAGTGCTCGACCTTGTGCTACAGTTAGAGAAACTTCCTTCGCGAATCTTGATCATGTGAGTGGAGAGCGGCTGGAAAACCTCTGAAAGGGGTATATTGGGCGCGCAAATCTCGCACTGAAGACTATAGCATACTGTAGCTTTTCCAGCCCTGCGCCAAAACGCCATGTAAATGCACTTCGTACCATGCGCACAGGCGTTACTCCTCCATCGCGTTGACTTCAGTCACGTCCTCCGCAGCCGTCGAGTAGTACGCCTTCATATCGATCTTGAATTCGGCCATCGCGACGCCAAACATCTTCAGCAGCGCCGTTTGGTGGCTGTTCAGCACCTGGCCCTCCTTGCAGACGGTATACGGCGCATCCAGCACGACCTTGCCCTTGTCCAGCTTCGTGGGCATGCCCCACTTTCTTATCGTCGTCTCTTGGCTGTGAGGTAGCGCAACGTCGTCTTCTGCCGCTTGCTGTCCTCCTGTGGAGTAGACGACGCCCGCAGGTACTGTGAAGGTCTGGTTGGCCGTGACACCGGCGCGCGCAAAGTCTGTCTGCGAGTAGGCGGAGAAGTATTCGAGGACCTCCGCGGGCTCGCGGTTAGTGAAAAAGAGACCAACGTTGCCGACGAGGTAGGGCGCTAGTTTCGAGAGGTTCGTGAGGTGCTCTTCGGCGGGTGTCTGGCCAAGCGCCTTCGCCATGACCTTGGTCTTGCCAAAGAAGAATCTGCACGCATATTAGTGGACGGAACAGCAGCACGTCTGGGTGATTTGCGCGCACCGGCTATCGGAGAACTCAGCGCGCACTTCCTTCAGGTACGAGTTGCGCATGTTCTCGACGGCGAAGACGAAGATGAACTGGAAGTTGTCGGCGGCCTCCTGGACATTGGCAAAGAGCTTCTGCGAGAGCTCCTTGCCCTTCTTGTCCGTCTTGGACAGGTGGACGACCTTCTGGCGCTTAGACTTGGGCATGGTGGGCGTGGAATGGCAGAGTGATGCTTATCGATTTGCTGCACAGAAAAAAGTTCGGAGGGCATTTTAGGCGGGGACTGCCTTCGCTACGAACGGGCCTTAGCGCCTCGGCTCAACTGCGCGTGTCCTGAACACTGCCCGAAGCTCTGCGACTGCATGTCAGGTACCTTCGTACCGTTATGAAGCCCCGCAGACGAAGACATGTTGGATTTCATGGAACATGTGCAACTTGCATTCTATGATGCTTCGCATTGGAATTTGGACAATTCCTATGGCACCTTGAACGCGACTGCGCGCGGTACGTCTCACTGCACATTCCGTCGCAAGACATCTCTGACTGTCTGCGCCAGCATTGCTCGACTTCCAGACACCCAGAGGCCTGAGACTGCAGATCTCGTCCCTTGCTGCCCCCAACTTTGCGACGTCCTACACTCTGGGCAATGTGGGGGTGGTCGACGGCTCTGTGTCTTACTTGTACTCGTCCCTGCCGTTGGAGCGAAAGTTGAAGAGCTCAGAGCTCGACCTGCATAATGTCATTAGAGGCTACAGGCAGCTGCGAGAGCTGCGTCGGCCTGACGAGGATTGGTGGTGGGAGATTTGGCACAATGGGAAGCGTGTAGACCGGAGAGGTACGCACTGGCTGCCCAACAAGTTGCGCAATGGCTGATAGTCCCAACGCAGACACTCTACTCTACGGCCGCATATTCCTCCCGCAGTCTAGACTCGAAGCACTATACGTCCGTCGCCTGACACCGACCCGGCAGCTGCGCGTGAACGCAGTTAGCGACTCAAACCTCAACAACGGCGGCACGATTCTTACGCTGCTGCAGAACGACCACGGCAAGTATAGTACCGAGTACATGTACAGCACCGATTCTGCTCTGATTGGGTTACGTGGACTCTACAACTTTGGCCCCGACCCCAGAAACGCGCCTACGGCACCCACAACTTCTCAGCAGGTGGCTGAACACATGCACGGCCGCTTCAGCGCCGGAGCGGAACTTTATTACGGGTTGCTGAACAAGAGTGGTGGCATAAGCACCGGCTTACGCTTTGCGACCTTACCAAACCACCACGGCTTTCCGTATACCATGACACTGACGTTGAATCCGTTGATGGGCAATCTTTCCTCGACCTATGCGGTCAAAGCTGGCCCTAACCTTGCGCTCTGCACACGGTTCGATTTCAACTTCTACTCCTATGAAAGCGACCTGCAGCTCGGTTGCGAATTGTGGCGACGCCGCAGCAACACCGACGTCGAATGGGCGCTCAAAAAGCTACGCCCAGACTGGAAGAGGCCTACGGTCGCACCCGATGACGATGTTTCCGGCATCCTGAAAGCCCGTGTTGACCAGCACTGGCGCGTTGGAGTGCTGTGGGAGGGCAGGATCAAAGACCTGCTATTCACTCTCGGCGCAAGCCTGGACCTCAAAAAGAGAGAGCAGATATTCCGGGCTGTTGGTATCGAGCTGCAGTACTCCTCATGAACGAAAACGCAGCCATGCTGTTGGGTATCGCTCGTCGGCGCTGCACACTTCTCGGATGCCGTGACCGATCACGGAACATGTTTGCATCACGGTCTGGCCTGGACGAACCAACCGCCTCCACACGCTGCCCAAATCGTGTTCTATGCATCCACTGTTGGCGCGCTCGTGCGAGGTCTCCGCGCGAGGCGACTGCATGGGAAGATTGCTTGTCAATGCATGTGGATCCAAACTCGATGCCACGCGGTTCTTGTTCCTGGGGACACGGAAGATATTGGTATCCCTGCTTGTAACTTGCAGTCCATTGCGTGTCTACTTGCAGTCGAATCGTTGCGGGGAGCATTTGCTGAAACAAGTCGGTGAGTGGGACAGAATGTCTGGGGTCAACCTTGGCATCACCTCAAGCGGCACCATGCTGCCTCAAACTGTTCCAGACTTTGTTCTCAGCAGGAGTGGGGCGCTTTTCGAAAGCAGCGACGGCATTGAGTGCGGGTGGGGTCCAAGGCTGATGCGCGATGCTTGGGCGTCTAGCGAGCAGCCACGGTCGGTGGTCACGAGGGAACTGAGCTAGGAACCAGGAACGACTGGGACCTGGGTTGCGGTGCTGCCGAGTGAGCCTTGCGGTATGTAGGGTTATGCCAGGGACATGGACAGGGAACGGTAGTGCGTCCACGACGACTGGTGGACGATGACCAGGACACCAGTCCGCTGTGGTGCCGCTACCCGATTGTCGAAGAAATGGCAGATGTTCTCTCGAGTTTTTCCAAGCTGTAACTTTGTCGGATCGAGGCGTCACAGTGATGCATTGAGCGTGATGGAACGGAACGGGCGTCAGCGCTCGGTTCTCGCGTCTCGCTTCATGCGAGCGATCAGCGACGGGGGCGCGTCGGGCACAGTTCTCACGATAGCGATACGATGCGGTATAGCCTTGCGCGTTCCCGTCACAGAGTCAGCAACGGACAACCGGCGGGCCCCGGTGTGTGCGGCTCATGATGCACAATCAGACGCAGAGATGCGCGTGCCAGTGTGAATCACTTGGCGAGCCATACCGCATCCATTCCGCTGTGTGAGGCCGCAGTCAGAAGACAGAGGAGAAGCCGTAGAAGGAACGGGCCCTCCGGCTGAAGCAGGCGGGCGGGTTCTTGCCTTCCTCGGCCCCTTCACCGCTGTGTGCGTAGCGAGCGTCAAAGCGAGGCTTCTCGAACGACGATGTGCTCTATGCGCCGTTGGCCTGGCCGTGCACCAGAGGGCGGCCATTTTGCGATGGTCAGAGCGTGCGGCCAGCGTTTGCGGATGGAGGACCGTCACGGAAGTCTCCTGAGGGCTGGGATCGAACTTGACACGGCATCGAGGCACCGCTCAGCAACCCTTGTCGCCCAGCGATGCGGTGACAAGGGCTCACTCCGACGGCGGCCTGTTGCCACTCAGCTGTGGGCGGCGCCCCCTGGACGACGCGCGCTGCAGCGCCGTTTGCGAGGCAGCTGTCAGGCCTGTCTCGCTGGCGACTCAACAGACGCAGCACGACGTGTGGCCGACAAAGAGGAGGGAATGCGCGCTGAGACCGAGAGCCGCTGGCGCCAAACGGTGGCGCGCCGATGTGCTAAGAATGGGCGTGAGTCTGGTGTCTCTGTGCTTGGGGGCGCTTGGGCCGGAAGGCGCGTCGAGAGGGTGCCAGGAACGGGCTAGCGCGCCCACTCGCGCGCCTTCCCCCCTACTGCTGGCTTGATGGCCCCTTCCTCTAATCTCCCCTTCTTTCCCTCTCCAAGTCACTCATTTACATCCGCCCGATCTTCCTCCTCCGGATTTCGCATCGTGACCTCACCCGGTGCGATCTTCGTCGTTCCCTTTTTGTTGTGCTTCTGCGACGAGCTGCCACTCCTTTCGGCTCTCGCCCACGTTCCTTTCATACCCACCTCTTAGGCTCCGCCGTCCACTCCTTAGGATTCCCGACCTACCGCGCTTCTCCGACTCCAGTATCGCCCCCGGCCGATCTTCTTGACCCTCTGCTCCCAGGTAGCAGCTTCTTTCCTTGACCTTCGACCGCGCGACTGGACCGTGTATTCGAGCCCGAGACTTGCGACGGATATCGCACAGCAGCCTCCGGGACTCCCTCCTACATTCGAATACCCATCACTATAGCCTGGGACTATTATTTCACGACACCTTACGACAACCGATAGACGACCCCCGGTCGATATTTCCCCTCTCGACTCCCCGACAGCACAGCGTCCCAGACCGCAGCCATGCAGTCACCCGAGGAGACGACCATGGCCTCGCCCACCGCTTCTGTCGCCACCCCTACACACGGCTCTGCACCGCGCCGACCACCGCGCAAGAGCACCCTCACACAGCAGCAGAAGAATCAGAAGCGCCAGCGGGCGACACAGGACCAGCTGGTAACGCTCGAGGTCGAATTCAACAAAAACCCCACTCCCACCGCGGCCACAAGGGAAAGGATAGCCCAGGAAATCAACATGACGGAGCGCTCTGTGCAGATCTGGTTCCAGAACAGGTACGTCGATGAAAGGTGTGAGATTCTTTGACGGACCACTAACTCAGTCTAGACGTGCGAAAATAAAGAACATCGCGAAAAAGAGCATTGAAGACGGAGGCGATTGCAATGACATCCCAGAGTCAATGCGTCGGTATCTCGCACTCCAGGCCATGGAGTCGGGCAAGTCCATTGGGACGAGCTTCCTTGGCCGCGCTGGTGGATCAATGGCCCCGTATGGGAGCGGCATGCTGCTCAATACGGATACCAGCTCTTCCAAAGTTGGTCAGTTTTAACCCCGAATGAAACACTCTGAATCACAAAGAGTCGCAGCTAACCTTTCTCAGTCATCCACCACTTCGCATGTCGCTCTTTGAGCATTGGCTCCTGGCGCCGTGTGGGCCAGAGTGCGATGGATCTCGTGATCTTCTACTCGCCTGAGAAGTGCTGCGTCACCTATTACATCAACAATGACTCAGCAGGCTACAAGATCGAGTACCCCTTCTCGTACATTAAGAACATCACGCTGGAGAATGGAGACATGAACGGTAACGCTGAAGGTGCCTCGCAGCGACCAGGAGGCCTCATTGTCGAGCTTAATCGTCCCCCGAACTTCTTCATGGATTCATCTGGCTCTGGAGGCTTCTTCCAGTGTGGTGACTTCACCGAAGAGCAACAAGCATCGACAATGATGGTGCATCACCTTGGCGGCCACCCGAAGGTCTTGAGTGGGCAGCTCGCGAAGTTGGTTTCATTGGAGTCGTTCCAGAACCGACATAACATCTACGACCACAATGCTCTCGCCGTGTCCGCACCTGTCTCACCGATTAACCACCGCCCTGCGTCGCAGCCTAACCATATGCAACATCCTCATCTAGGTCATGGCTTCCACGATTCACCTTTTGCACCTGGTGGCTTCCAAGCGCGTGGCCACAAGCGACAGCGTAGTCGTTCCGTGCCTGTTGCGGTTGACTTCTCGCTTCTGCGCAACCCGATGCCTTCATTCCTTATCCAGCCGGAGCCCTCACCGTATACGCCTAATCCTGAGATCTTTGCGCCTGTACCTCAGAGCGCATCAGGGCCCATTGGGCCCAACCTGAGCATTGATACATCGGCTGGATATGGTATGGAGTACCGCCAATACCCTATGTCTGCTACCACTGCCAACTCGCCGTCCGAGTTTGGCACACCGGCCTTTTTCACTTCAGGCCCGCGGACTGAGAACGTACCGGCATCGACATTCGGTCAGCAGTACAACATTCCCCCCTACTTGCACACTCCTATGGGCCCGCCGCCTCACTCAGCTGCGTCAACATCTCCCATGCCAACAATGTCCCACCAGGACCCGATCATTGCCAATCAGTCCCCGCCGCTGAGCTCGTTTGGCCGCTCCAGCTCAGCAGATGTGTACCCAATGTCTCACGAGAACGGCATGTCAGAGGAAGCTCTTCAAATGACTGACATGTATGCAAAGCAAACATTGAATCTTCCGTTCCGATCTCCGTTAATGGAAGAGCACGGTGACGACTTCGATATGCAGAATCTGGTTTCTTTTGGCACAATAGATCCAGCCAGCTTATCGCCCGAGAATCACCATATGTAATGAGCGTTTCGTTTTTCACCGTTCATTATATCATACCCAACAGTTGTCAGCTCAAGCACCTTGCTTAGCGAGCATATCGCGACCTCGAAAGAGGTCATGCGACCGCCGCCCTGGCCTGCATTGCGCCCGCCACACGTAATACAGCATGGCTATTGCTTACATAAAGCGGCTCTTTCTGTCCGAAATATTGCATCCTCAATCCCCGGCTTCTTTCTATTTGGCTTTAGGCTGTTCCTCGATGCTCTCACAGCACTCGATTTCGTCAACTTTTCACTGCGTAACGCAACTCAACGACTCTTATCGGAGAGGGGTTCTCCTCGGCGTTACAAGGTGGGAAGTAAAGGCGACCTTTTCATACAAAACAGCGGACTGGTAGAACCTGCGCTGCTCCTCGAAAGAGGTAGCGCGACCTGTGGGGAGGTTCTGAAGCTGAGAGGTTTGGTTGTGTGTGGCACCATGTGTTTGTTTTCTTGTGTTTATCTTGTCGCTGGTATGTTGGAAGTCTTCTCTGCTGCTACAGTACTGCTATGTCTGCTGGTTCTTTCTTCCATTTGTTGTTTGGACACTTCTTGGAGAGGAGAAAGATGAGGAGAGGATAAGATAAGAATCCGAACCTTTTTTTTTTTTTTTTTGTGAAAATGATTGGACCGCTGAGCGGACTGGACACTTTTCCATAGGGTTATTTGGTTAGCATCCCGTTGGCTCAGATCGGATAAGGAAACATGACTATTTCAACTTCATGCTGCTGTGCCCTGATGAGTTTGTTTATGACATCTAGAACGTATATGTGGACGTTTTGTGGACTGAGTGGAACCGACGTTTCCTGTACTGCAGCAAGCAAGTCTAGGGTTGACGGGAATGATGTAAAACGATGCTTGCTATTTGCTGGAAAGTCTGGTCAATAAGCCTTGTACTGAGCGAAGTACCATCTAGATGTCGATGCTTATTGCAGATCTGGAAGATTCAAGAAGTATCCGAAGGTTGCTGGGTAGAGGGAAAACTCCCGCGTAAGATGATCAGGGATACTACGATGATTTGGAGAGCGAGCTCATATTCTTGGTATAGATGGATGAGCGATGCTAGCTTAGTCATGGTGAAAGAGCAAAATCTTCATAACTTCTAGGAAGCTTCCTTCAAATCCTAGTGAGACTCATACATGTTGCCAAGTTGCACAACCTAATTTGGGCTCCAACACGAAGTGAGCGTCAATCAAGAAGTGCCTGCGTAATAGCCCTGTTGATGACCTTAACAGCACCAACCACACTTCCCTCGATTCTCGCAGACGGGGGCTCATGCCCCCCCCCCCCCCCCCCCCCATGCACAAACGTCCACACATAATCGTCGCGTACCAGAGCTGTCGTTGTTGTAGCCTCGAACTTGGCCGCATCCCAATCATTCTCACCCCACACCATTGCTACTGAAAGGTCGATCTTATTCAGGTTACGAGGCATACTCGTGAGTGGAACTGACGTTCCATTTCTGATCCATTGGCCAAGGTCGTAGACGCCGACCCTCGAGAAAAGGACCGCAAGCTTGAATGGCAGAGGAACGTCAGGATACAAGTGCTTGTGACGTATGAGATACGTAAGTGCGAGTCCAGCTCCTTGACTGAAGCCAAGCACACGGTCGAAAGGACCATTCATTTGGATGTATGTCTCCAAACACCGGAGCGCTCGTAAGTATGAATGAGCGTTGGGATCGAAGTATTGAAAGTGAGGGGCGTCTGGGTCGCATGGTACAATAGGTATAATGAGAAGGCTGAAACCTAGCCTTGAGTGCCGCTTGAGTTGGTTACCTACGCCTTCAATTTACCTGTATTTGTGCTTCATGCAACACATTCTGGCAGGAAATAACCGTCTTACCGAGGTAGAGGATTATGGGCCTAATGTTGAGGTAGGCGCCGCGGGGAGGTATCACAGGAAGCTTCCCGCAAATCCTTTTGTTCATTTCTTTCCCGGTCTCCCCATCCTTGCCGAACGCTTGGTGATAGATCTACTTTCCATTTTCAGTATAAATCTACGCAGACTCACACACTTGACGGTGACCAATCTGCTGGGAATTTGGCCCCGTGGGAAGTTTTGCAGACTTGGTGTGATCATGTCAACGTCTGCAGTTGATCGCATAAATGCAGTACTCTCAATCTCAAATTGGTTTTGTTGTTTTAGGTTCAGAGTCACCATTAGCTACAGAGATAGTTTAGGCCTTCCGGTGCGTTGTAATATCGTACCATGCACTCTGAACTGAGCTCAAATTTGACCTACAATCTCGCGGCAGTATATTTAATGGACATGAAAAATTGTAGTTTGAAGGATTTGGCCGCGGCCAGCTGATCTCTCGGGACGTAAAACCGTTGCCTCACACCTACGGTGGATCCGTTAGAAGTGGATGCACATGTCAGCATAAGACTTTGCGGCGTAGACAGAGAGCAACATGAGCATATCCCTACCAGCCTGCAGAACCCATTCAATGCCATATACGAGCCATTTAACCCCTTTAATTGTCGGTGGCACGAAAATCTCCTGCTCTCATCATGCGTCGACAGGTAAATATCTTCGTAACACTGCTACAAGCTATTCGAACATACCTCTTGTATGCATAATTTATGTGCATATAATGTAGGAGGTAGCGCTTGTCTGAATTGGCCACACTAATCCATAGCAAGGATCTCGTTCACCGGAGATTCATGGTCGTCGCTACGGGCAGCTGAAGGGACTCCTATAAGTACTTCGGAGAGCATGTACAGCTAATATAGAAAATCGATATGGTCTGCCGTCAGGGTCAATCGCATATCCGCACGCACGTCTCTGGCACTCAGAGGACTCGGTAATTCAGTGAGAGGTAGAGCGTTGTGTGGACTGGTCTGTATGTCAAATTCGAGTAAAGAACGAAGTATAAGTTTATTGGCAGAATGATCTCCCATAGCGAACGAAAGGAACATCATCGATGATAACCTAAGCCACCCAAGTTGGATACATTGGACCGACCCATTAGCCAGTAATCCATTCTTTACCCTAGTCTTGGCTTGAAGCGGAGGAACGGCCCAGTCTTCATAGAAAGGTAGATGTCCTTGACATGGTAAACAGGGGGGCATGGCTGGTCCAACGCATCACCATCTGTATCGTCACTCGACGAAAGATTGAAGTCCAAGGCCCAGACCGTTTTCGCAAGAACCATTTGCAGTTCCAGGACGGCCAGATTTTGGCCCGCACAGTTCATAGGACCAACGGAAAATGGATGAAACGTACGTCTGAGCTTCAGAACCTCGGCGTCTGTCTTTGAAGCATTGGCATCGTCAGACGGGATCCAGCGTTCGGGCCGGAAAACATCGACGTCGTCTCCATAAACATTCTCATCTCTACCCATTGCCCAAGCAGCACAGCCTACCAGAGTACCCGCAGGGTAGTGCTCTCCGTCAATCACTGCACCGCCTGGGAGCACTTCTTGGGGTAGTTCGCTCGGCGCCGGATGCGCGATGCGAAGCGACTCGTCGATGCAGGCACGCAGGTACTTGCAATTGCTCAGCTTGGCTCCCAGCTCTATCTTCTCGCTAGACTGGAAGGTTGTACGAATTTCGCATGGGAGCTTAGCGAGCACATTCGGATACTGCGCCAGGTAGAAAAAAGCACCGCACAGCGTCGTGGCCGTTGTATCAGTGCCAGTCAAAGCGAGAAGTCGCGTCTCAGAAAGGATGTGGCCCCGATCGCTGAATGCAGGACGATCCGTGTCGGGATCAATCACAGTGAGCAAGAAGTGGAACATATCCTTTTGAGACCCACTTGGATCAGCTTTGTGCGCAGCTATGCGTTTCGTGACACTGTTCTCCACGAACTCGTTGTACGCCACGACCTCCCGTTTCCTGAGCCGTGCAAGAAGTCTGTTAAGGCCGCGCGGCTGGAAGAAGAGAAACAAGTTGTAGAAAGGTGACTTAGATAGCTGTGGCAGCCGTCAGCGCCTACATCATCGTCAGGGCAACATTACATACCTTGTATCCGAATGCAACTTGGTTCAAAATCTGACCCGTGACCTCCTTCAACATGTTCGCCCCAGGTTCCTTGGTATTGAAGCTCTCTCCGAAGCACAGTTCTCCTAAGATGTCGAAGACGAGGTACTCCACACGCTCGGCCATGTCGACAGGCTGAGACCAAGCCTCAGTATCACCGCTTTTCGCATCGTGTACGTTCCTATTAGAGCCTACTGTGCTACTCAGCAGGAATATCCACCGATCAATGTGCCTCGCTATAATAGGACTGGTCGCCTTCAGCGACTGCTCCGTAAACGCAAGATTGAGTAGTTTTCTCCTCTTCGCATGCAGCGCAGGCTCCATAGCGTTCACCGTATGTAAATCATGCTCGTCACATTTCCAAGCTTTGTAGAAATTGCCACGAATGATGTTCGCGCGGGTGCCATGAATATCCGTGTAAGCACGAGGGCTGTTGAACAGGACCGTGTTAGGAGCTGCGCGAAACTTATCACCTAAGATGTGTTATGCTTCAGAAGTCGCGAGGTGAGGTGAGGCCCGGCTTACCGTAGATCCTGAAGTTTTGCAATATCCAAATGTGACGGTCGCCTTTGCATGCATGGTAGAACGATGGCAGTGAGCTGATTCGAGCTAAAAAAAAAAAGGACCTGGAACACAGGAGAGTGGATGAAAGAATACATTCCGAATAGTTGTCGCTACAAGGTAGCTTACGAAGAAACCTAAAGCGAGGTGAGGAAATGCCATCATCGATAGATGGTAGAATGATCGGGGAGCATGCTATGTTATCATGTGCAGCATATGCAGAGCTTACCGCCACGCCCCATAATTCATCTATTCGGCTGCGCCGTGCGGTATTGTGGGTTGGATTGTAGCCTACTGGGCCCGGAACCTTGACTACGCCACATTTCGAAGATTATCTTGCACGGCTGCACGTTGAGCACCACAACATCCACGGGCGATTACGGCTATTTAAGGAATAGTGTTCAACCAAACGAGCCAACCGCAGGGCTATGTTGCAATACTTGGACCGCGCCATCTTGCCCTCGCTACGAAAGATGTTTGGCTGAGATACATTCCACTGATTTGCTGATCTACTAATGTGGGTTCCAAGCTGCCGTAACTTAGTTCCACCCTCCAGTTCTTGCCGCGTACGCCAACTCGCACAGCTTTCTCATCATTGCTGCTGCGAAGCTGGATCCCATGGGTACGAAAGCTCCAAACGAAAGGAATCGAACAGCCGACTCCAGAGATGAGAGTCCATTCACTGTCATGAAACGCGGTGGAAATTTTCTGAGACAGATCATGAGGACACTGCCCGAGAAGAAAGTGTTCATGAAATCGTAACATGCTTGACAGAAACAACGAATGGGTACAGGTGGCTTACAAGATCATCCTCAACGCTTTTATGAGAACGACAGAGCCTCCAAGGAAAGACTGGTTCTGAGTTCTCTCGATGTGTAGGATTTAGCCATTCCCAACAAAAAAAAGGCCACTAAAAAAGGCGCAATCAGAAGTAGTGGTAAACCAAATGCTGAAGTCCATGCGTATCCGATGGCAGCTTGCTGTAGCCCAGTAGATATAAGTAAACATGTACCAAGCAGTAAAATAGACCCTACCAGGTCAAGTCGACGAAGCGAGGCAATGCTCAGATCAAGGCGAGTCACCGGTTCATTCCAAAGCTTGTTGGGAAACGTGACGAGTCGCGAGCTTCTCTCCAAAAAGGTTTTCCGCAATAGCATTGATCAATGTCAAGCCCATATGGAGACACTCCAGTGCCCATGGAATCTCATCGATCATTTGACCGAGGGGAAACAAGCTTGCTCCGTTAACGACGCGCAATACAGCCAAGTGCTTACGACCAGCATCCAAGTAGCTCTACTGGATCTGCTCTGTTGGCTAAATGTTCAGCCGACAGTTATTGGCCATTCGTCTGGGGGGTGGGCTGGGGCATACGCTGCAGGTTACCTCTCGCGGCTTGATGCAATGAAGATATCTTACTATCGTGGTCTCTTAGCAGCAAGACTCGAGCGCGCAACGTTCTTTAAAAAGCGGCAAAAGTTACGGAAAGGTGGTCCTCGAAGTGAACAAAGAAGTAATTGTACCGGTAAGGCTAGTCCGCCGAGAGTTTCTTGCGAGACAGATGCTAATATATACCAGGTGGTCTAAGGTGTCGATTCTACCTATCATTTTTTGCCCAACGCTACATATCTTATTACTGGCGGACTTGCTGGTATAGGTCGGAGCATGGCACGCTAGCTTGTACGACGTGGTGCTAGGCACCTGAGCTTGCTCTCTGGATCTGGACCGAGCACAAAAGGCCAGAACATGCTGAATGAAATGCGATCCGTGGGTTTGAACGTTCAGTGTCCACGCTGCAACGTCGTAGACGTTTGTGCGGTGCAAGAAGCGGTGGGCCAATGTTTGCAAACTATGCCAAGGATCCATGGATGGATACAAGCTGCTATGGTGCTCAAGGTGAATCGCAATATTGCGGAGTTCATGAGGCGTCGTCTGACCTCTGTAGGATGCTTTGTTCACAAACATGACGTTCGAACAGTGGAGTCAGGTAGTAAATCCGAAGGTGCAAGGAACGTGGAATCTACACCAGACCTTGTCGTCAGATATGGACTTTTTTGTCCTGCTGTCTTCCTTTGCAGGCGTCATCGGCCACACTGGACAGTCCAATTACCGTGTTGTAAACACGTATGAAGACGCCTTTGCTCATTACCGAAGTGCAAAGGGCGAGAAGACGATTTCCATTGACCTCGGCGTAGTGCTAGGAGAAGGTTTCGTAACCGAAAACGACAAGGTCATGGATCGCTTGATGAGGCTCAATATTCCCGGCCAAACAGTCTGGACGACGTATTCTCTACAATGGATTATTGCTGCGATCCAGAGTCGCGAGAGGTGTCGCCATTGCACAGCCAGGTCATTACCGGCTTCGAACTGCCATTGGACAGCTATGGCGTGGAGTCTCTGGTAGGACTGGAGCTGAGAAATTGGTTGGCAAAAGCGCTACATAGGGTTATAGGGTGTTCTAAAGACAAAAGGCCTGCCTAAGAACATGCCAACTCTCCGTCATTGCGACTAGACGATGATGAGAAAGACCGGAAGAGGCGTCTACTAAAGTATACTTTGGCAATGGAGCGCGAGAGAGGAAGACGTTAGTTGGATGTTGCAGTCAATGACGAGCACCGCGGTACGCCAAGTCCAAGCCATGCACAGGCAACGCAGGATTGACTCGCGCCAGTGGATAACTCTGCGAGATCAGCCGATCGTAAGACAAGATCGAACTCGAATCGATGTGACAGCAGTGCTGGTAAGGGTTCCCCGGATGCCGTTGCTAACGTGGAACCACATCCACCGCCATATGCGGGTGGGCAAGGACTGGCGTTGCGGCGATAGCGGGTGCGTGTTCGATGCAGCGATGACGAGATGATGTCAGAGGCAATTTCCCACGTGCTTGGGGCGTCTGAACCGTCAACGAGCCTTGGTGTAGGCGTTGGGTCGTCCAGATGGTAGGCGACGGTGGCCGGGCCGGCCAAGGGAGCTAGAGGCTCAGTGTGGGAACAGCCCTGACCCGTGCGTTAGTCATACAAAATATGGTCGATGCAAGGGGACGAGTTTTAGGGCTGATGGTCGCACGGGTGGACTGGGAGCTTTGAGCACAAGAGGAATTGTGCGGCCTCGGAGGGTCGGGGCGTTGGTAAGCTGCGGATGGGCGCAAGCAGAGCCTCTTTGAGAGCATGCGATGGTGCTCGCGTGCAACTGGAAGGCATCGGCGTGTCACAGTGTCAGATAGGAGTGCTAGACGGCTCAATGCGGACTCGCGCGGGTGGGCTGACTTGTGCATGAGGTGAGCAATTGATGCCGGGCAGCTGTTGAAGACGGTCGTGAGCAGGTTGCGGTCAAGCGCACAGGACGCAGTGTCGCGTCAACAATGGCAATTTTCACAGGCGCACAATGGACGGTTCCACGGTTGCTGTGCTGGCCGGTGGTCGCTCGGGGCTGGATCGAGATGGGCTCGGCCGTTGGAAGGCATGGCTCGGAAGCGGCTAGCGATTGCTGCCGACAATGCCAGGCACAAAGCGGCCTGCCCCTGACCGAGTGGCGACGGGGTGCACCTCATTTCACATCCCAACCATCACAATTTTGCTCCCTAATAAGGCCTGTCCCCTAGCTCCGAGCTGTCCCGCTCCCTCTTGCCCTCGGTGACTTTGCGCAACCTTCGACACGCCAACTTTTCGCTGGTGGCGCGGGTAACAGAGCACGCATAGCGACGTCAAGTGCCGTTAGTCCTCGGCGACAGGTAGCGGCTCTGCGCCACGAGAAACACACGTCGGATCCGTGGGAGCAGCAAATACGCGGCATTCAGCGCACCACACGAGCAGACCAGCAACGCCCGCTGCGAGGCCTTGTGTCAATTCAATCACAGCGTACGTCAGTCCATCCAGCCGCTCGTGCAGCTGCATCCGCGCCCTCCGCAGCTTCCCATCCGGCGGTCCCCGGCGTCTATCCAACGTCTAGCGCACCATGCGCCTGCATATGCACACCACCGCGGACGCAAGAGGACGCACTTATAGCCCGCGCGACCACCCACCTCCGCGCCCTCCGTTCCCCTACGCCGTGCCTCTCCATCTGCGCTCCTGCTAATAACCCCCCGCAGCGCCCCGCAGTTGCACCTGCCGCAGTCTGCACGCTGCGTCTTACCGCCCGCGTCCGACAAAAAGCTCTCTGAGCGCTGCCGGCTGCCGACTAACCACCTGCACGAGCACCAATTCCTCGTAGCCGCCCAACGCACTCGCACCTCCTCTGCCATGCCTACTCGAACCATCAATCCGTTTGCGACCGTATCCCCATCCTCCTCTACCCCTTCGCTCGACGCCCTGAACGAGAAGAAGGAGCAGCCGCGACGCTCTTCCTTCACCAAGGGCAACAAGTTCACATCGCTTTTCGGCGGCAACACGCCTAGGACCCGTGGTGAGGCTGCGGCCCTGCGTGACGCCCTTGTTGCGCAGCAGCAGGCCCTTCTGGACAACCCTTCGCCTCCGCAGCAGATCAATACCGCCTCGATTTCCCTCCCGACCATCAACCTAACAACGGCGACCGGCGAGAAGATGCCCACCACCGAACCCAAGACCCTCTTCAACCCGGAAGAAGCACGGCGGAAAGCTAGAGCCGATGCCCAGTTCGGTCCCATTGGATCGCAAAAGCACCGGTACACCAGCACATTCGAGGGCGAATTCGGAGACCCCGTAGAAGACGAACCGCCTTATTACTTCTTGCTCACCACCTACATCAGCTACCTAATCTTAATTGTATTCGGCCACGTTCGCGATTTCTTTGGCAAGCGTTTCCGGGCCGCACACTATAGCCATCTGGCCGAGAGGGATGGGTATGCGCCTCTCAACAGCGACTTCGACAATTTCTACACCCGCCGACTGAAGATGAGGATCAATGACTGCTTCTCGCGACCAACCACTGGCGTTCCGGGACGATTCATCACCCTCCTCGACCGCAAGTCTGACGACGGAAACAACACTTTCAAGCTCCTTGGTTCGACCACCGAGACTTTGAACATGAGCTCGTACAACTACCTTGGTTTCGCACAATCTGAGGGTCCCTGCGCCGATGCTGCCGAGCAGGCAGTCCGCAAGTACGGTGTTACCATGGCCAGTCCTCGCGCAGACTCCGGCACATCCGAATTGACCGTCGAGGTGGAGGATTTGATCGCTCGCTTTGTGGGCAAGCCCGCTTCCATGGTTTTCTCCATGGGTTTCGTCACCAATGCCACCGCTTTCTCGACTCTGATTGGCAGGGGCTGCCTCATGCTCTCGGACGAGTTGAATCACTCTTCGATCCGGTTCGGTGCGCGTCTTTCCGGCTCCATGATCAAGATGTTCAAGCACAACGACATGCGGGATTTGGAGCGTCTGCTCAGGGAAGCCATCTCGCAGGGACAGCCTCGCACACACCGTCCGTGGAAGAAGATTCTCGTTACCGTCGAAGGCCTTTATTCGATGGAGGGAACCATGTGCAACCTTCCTGCCCTGATCGAGCTGAAGAAGAAGTACAAGTTCAACCTGTTCGTTGACGAGGCTCATTCCGTAGGTGCTGTTGGTCCTCGCGGTCGTGGCGTGTGCGACTTCTTCGGCATTGACCCCTCTGAAGTCGATATCCTCATGGGAACCCTTACAAAGTCATTCGGTGCCAACGGAGGTTACCTCGCAGCTAGCAAGGAAATCATCGACAAGCTACGGACACAGAACGCTGCCATGCTGTTTGCCGAATCGCCTGGTCCACCAGTCCTTGTTCAAATTGCTTCGTCCCTTCGCATCATCAGCGGGGAACTGGTTCCCGGACAAGGTGCGGAGCGCCTGCAGCGCCTGGCTTTCAACTCCAGGTATTTGCGTCTCGGTCTCAAGCGACTCGGCTACATTGTCTACGGCCACGACGACTCGCCTATCATTCCCGTCATGCTCTACAACCCCGCCAAGATGCCCGCGTTCTCCCATGAGATGCTCAAGCGTAAAATCTCGGTCGTCGTTGTGGGATACCCAGCTACGCCCCTCGTCTCGTCAAGAGCACGCTTCTGCATATCTGCAGCCCACACCAAGGACGACCTGGATCGCATGCTCGCAGCTTGCGATGAGGTCGGTGACCTTTTGCAGCTGAAGTTCAGCAGCGGTGTCGCTGGCGGTGCAGACCCAGAGGAGCTTACCACGCAAGAGAAAGACAGCCTCAGCATTGTCAAGCCTCCCAGGTGGAGATTGGCAGACGTGATCAAGCGTGGAGCGGAGGACGTTCAGCTACCTCTCAAATAGCCGCTTCTCCGGGCTGGGCTGGCACGTGACGGGGCAACCAGAGGGACAGGGCGCAACACGGACTGAAGTGAGGCGGGCGCGCCCTGGTCTTCGTGTTCGCAGATCCTTTCAACAACGCGTATTTCACGGATCCCGTGAGACACTAGGATCGACGGGACATGTGCAGGTGCTTGAGGCGCGAACTCGTAGCCTCGTCGTCCCGAACTAAGACATCGCCCTTGCCCGGTTGCCTTGTTCGTTCCCCGGCGCTACCTCCACTGCTTCTCCGCCCTTTTGCATGCGTGGCGCTGTATGTCTGTTTTGCGATATTGGGTCCGGCGCAACTGTCTTGATTGGGAAACTGGCAAACGAGCATGTATTCTTGTACGATATCCTTCATACCCTCGCTGTATTGAGTTAGATTCTACCATTTTATTTTTTCTTCTGTCTGATTCTTGTCTTCTCGTTTAGACCTCTGCATGGGGTTGTCTTTTGAGAAACGGGGGGGGGGGGTTGAAGTGTATTCAATTGCTACCTGTGCGATTGAGCGCGGCGCATTGGTTGTTGGTTGGTTTTGATGGTAGAGGAACGGATTCGATGACACTGGCACAGGGTAATGGTAATGTCTGTGGTGTGAAGGTGTATATAGAGAGAGGTGAGTTGATGGAATGAATGAAAGGAGTGAAGAAGTAATGCGATCTTTGTCGATCTGCTAGTGATGATGTGAAGGGAGCGACAAGGGTGAGGCGCAGAGAACGAATCTGACATAGGTAGGGGAATGCAATACTATATTCGACCATTCTATTGAATATAGGACTCTAATGTACAAAGACCCACCCGCCATTACTACCTCCTCATCCCGCTTCCCGGCCTCACCAATCGAACGCGTCAATGTCCCCAGTCCTCGCGCGCTTACCTACTGGATTGATATCGTCTTTGTTTGAGCATGGCTCTTTGCGCTCTGTCACGCGCAAAGAATGAGCTTAGGTTTGACGACTGCGCTCGCTGTCCGAGGTCGAGCGCCGAGAGGCTGTTGATTTGCGGGCCTGATTTCCATGGGGTGGTAGGTGCAGCGGCGAAGTCTGGATTGGACCCATTGTTCAAATTGGCCTCGAATCCAGTGTTGAAGTGCAAAGTAGGGTCGCTGCCAAGTGCAATGTTGACGTTGAGTGCGGCCCCGTTGACGAAGTCTGGTCCGGGGCCATTGTTGAGAAAATGGCTCAAGACCGGTGAGATGGTATTCAGCGGGTGCAGTGAACAGCAGATCCGAGTCCAGAGCTGAAATTGTGAAGAGAGCGGGTGGGTATGAGTAGTACGTGTCTTGATCAGTGTGAGCTGGTTCGAAGTTTCCAAAGACGAGATCAAATCCTGCTGAGTAGTTTCTTGTCGCTGGCTGGCACAAGGGATCTCCAGCGATGCAGATCGCTTCTGAACCTTGGCTTAGTTAACATGGGCAGCAGCAGGTGGCAGATATACTCACTCGGAATCACTGCGGAACCCGGAAGGCGCCAGTGGGCTGGATCCTAATGACTCTGCTGTCATAACGCAGAGGATCATGTGCTCGACAGTCTGTGGGAGTCTTCCTTGCGCTTTACAAGAAATCCCATGCATTCCTTCCTTCCAGGCATTTCGTGGCTCTGGTGGCAGGCGTAATGGCGAAGATCATATAACAATGACTTCATATGTGTACGTGGCATCTTCAAACCTGTCAAATGCTTGTGAAAGTAACCCAGGCCGATGGAGATGAGGCCCAACATCTTTCCCTTCTCCGAAGCAACAGCTAGGTCCAGCAGGTCTTCTAACGCTACTGGGTGCGAAGGATGTGCGGCTGGCTCTGACTTGAGCATACCGAGCATGTATGCTTCGATGCGCTTGCAAAGTGGGCTTATAATCTCAATAGACTGCGGACATATAGATGCATGGCCACATGCTTACAACTTGGATTGGAATGTGCAAGAAATTCGTTACGTGTTTTCAGTAGACCTCGTTGAGCAGCAGGATCATCACCGACAGGTCGGTCTATGGAGCGGCTATCTTGATCACGACGTGGGCAATCTATCATCTCACGAAGAGGGCTTGGTGAACTGAAGGCACTACTCTTTAGGCCAGCCTCAGGCGTTGGAATGTGGGTCAAATCAGAGTGAGATATGGCCATAGGCATGGCGCGCCACCCAGGAAGTAGTAGGAGAACAGTTGAGCTTCCGTTACATCATAATTTAGTGTTGCTAGGTTCTGTTCACGTACGTCTGTGCGGACACATCGGCATTCGTCGACGTGAACAAGACGGACTTACCCTTTTGTGATGATGACAAGGACGTGAATCACTTCCCTCCAGCGTCCGCCCACAGTATGGCTAGGGAATTATACGCCGACTTATCATTTCTGCAAGCTGAGGTGCTGAACGCACAGGATCGATGTCAAGAATGCCTAAGGCAAATGCTTGACATGGCAAAACAAAGTCGCGTCTCCCATCGCCCCGGTACCCGTATAGTGTGTCCCCAATTCTAGCCGTACGGTCTGTGTGTAAGCTGAGTGAAGTGCCCTCTGGAGCCTAGTACAGCCACCCGGTCGTGTGCAACGCGAGACCTAGTTTAGCGAAAGATCGTGTTGGTGTTCCACATGCGTGGATATTGTCATACAAAGTGTTTTTTTATAGATGCGGTATTTCTTTTCTGGCACTGCATGGGCGCTCAGGGCTCCAAGTGTGGCCCCGCGGTCCAAAAACATGGGTGAGGCGGACCAGCAAGTCGCAGAGGGCAACAAACGTGGCAAAATGGACGATACAAACTGCTTTTGGCGTAGTAAGTAGTACCATATGGCGGAGCTGTGTCCACGATGCAGCTCGACTTGTATGGTATAGATGGTATTGCCAATCACCTATCTTTGGGGTGGCAATCAAGCTGTAAGGCTGAGATGATCAGTTGTGCAACGGGTAGAGGGTTTCCAAAAGTGACAGCCATCTTTGAAAATGCCAGACTTCCAGAGAAGTCAGATGAACAGATTAGTACAGGCTATCCACCTAGTCGCCTGGCGTGGATCCTGATTGCCTGCGCATGTCGCCAAAGGTATCGACTGTTCTCGAAACAAGAAGAGCCAGCTTGCCCTAAGAACGATCACCCAGTTTCATTTGTCTTGTTCTTAGCTGAAACAGCCCGGCATATAAGCTGCGAAATGCTGCCCTTGATCCTCGATCGCCTGCAGAATCCTTCCGATGGTATGACGATAGATAGTCCTGCAACCCTGGTCGAGCAAGGTAACATATCAGCGTTGATATGGAGCGGACGACCAAAGGCATATCCCCAGCCCCGGTGAATAATCGAGCGGGATGCGGAGAGCGGGGTACAATGGGGCAGTGTTTAGAGCTCTGGAAAGATACAGCTGCTGCGTATCGAGTCAAATTGGAGGCCTTATACTACAGGACAATGTAACAATGTCGTCGCTTGTTGAATTTGTATCTTTGAGAGATAATTTCTCTCCCTGCAACGATCGTAGACGGGCTCCTCTCCAGCTGGCAACGAAGATCATCAACTCACAATAACGTGATGCGCTTCAAGGACGAGTGAGCAAAACAGTTGCCTATTCTGATTATGCGCTTCAAGCTGGGATCCTGAGGAAATGCCGATTGCCACGCGTACGTCCTGTAGCCGACTTCCCATCAACATCGATTACTTTTTCTGTAGCATACGCCCCGATGCAAACGCAGGAATAACAGGATAATCCTAGACTTAGACAGACAGCATCGCCGGATCTGTCATAGTATCGTATATCAAGGGTAACGACAGTGCTCTTTCTTGTGGCGTTGTCTCAGCCCACACTTTCAACGGCCCTGTTGCGCTCTTCGTATTGCATCGTTCCGGTCGCAGCGCCCACATTAGCTGCATCATCCCCAATGGAAAATTCTTGCTGGTTCCACAGATCCATGATCGGTTGTAGGCTTAGTTGCAAATACCGAAGCGGTCGGTAACGCGTCATGCGTAGAGTACTGCTGTACCGGAAGAAGCAGATGCTAATGAATATGGACATGGGTTAAAGCACAGTCTGTAAGGCGACTGGGTTGGGCTTCCGTATCGTGTATGTATCGTAGTTTCGCCGAAGAAAAGGACCGGCGAACATGTGTCAGATGCGGAGCTTCCATCCGGTGTGAGTCTGTCCCGCTCGTGATAAGGATCGTGTAAATCAGCGTCCAGGCGAGCCTCCAATTGAACTTGCAGAAGAGATCGAGCCTATAACAATGAGCTTGGTCCTGATCCTCTCTCCTCGTCGAGTAACAAGCTGGCGCAGTCCACAAGGCTGAGGACCGAACGTGTCATTTGACATTCTGCATGCGCCACGTCCGGTGTAGCTCTGATTATCTTACCAGCATGCAGACCCCTGCTCGGTATGCGGAGTTAACATTGGTCTTTCTGAAGCTGGGACTGGTCCAGCATGATCAGTTGCAGATGAGGGCGTCATGTTGCATGTGAGGCCTGTCTCAGACGCTGTAGATCCATCCACGCATACAGTACATGGCCTACGCGATCCCATGGTTCAGAGCCGCATCACATGATATAAGGCTAGTATGTTGTTTGTTGTTCGTCTTGTGCTAGGCCCGCAATACCGTAGTAAGGGCGTGGCTAATGAGGCTGTACCTGCCGAGAGTCGGCTGATAAGTTGGCTGGCTGGCGATAAGGACTGTTGTACTCGGGTGGTATATACGGATAACTGCTGCTCGATACAGGGAGGGACCTTCAAGTAACGAAACAGCAGCCAGCTTCGGAGCCTTCGGAAACCAACGCATCGAACCAAGAGACAAGGATGACGCAGGACGAACAGTGAGCAGGCCACGCTTCAGGAATTAACGAGCGGGATGGACAATCCTAATGCGCGATAGGAAATAGCAAGCGGTTGCCTTGTGCCGGTGGGTAGGAGGAACACAAGTGGCCCGAGTAGGTGCGCCACCATGCGCTTTAGCGTAAACACCCGTTCGAAGCGACGATCCCCTCCTACCGCGCTGCATTGTGCCAGCAGCTTTGTCGCTCCACTGGCACTGTTCTGCCGCCCATCGGATAACGCCCATCGATACCAGGTGCAGGGTTTCTGCGCGTACGCGATGCAAACGCAAGCGCAAACGCCCTCAGCGTGCATGAAGGACCCGGCTGACAGGAAGGTGTCGACCGGCTGCATTGCAATTCGTCTTACTCGTCCGGTCAGTAGCGAGCCGCACAAATTGTCCCGAGGACGCGGCTTGACTATGACTTTGCCCTGGGAAACTCCTTTTTGCCTCGTTCTGTCCGGTAGCCACGACGGCTTGAGCCGGTGAACATTAGATTCAAACAACAATTTGGGGCTTGCATACGCCCTGGCCAAGATCCAACGACAACCTACACCCCCCACATAGCTCAACCGGGACTTGCCATGCTCGCCTAGATCTCCCGCATTTGCACTTGAAACGTTACTGCATGGACTTGCCGAAATGCAGCACCCTCAATCCCCAATCCCCAATCGTGTTGCACACGACAAGAGTACAATTTGGCTGTCTATATAGCTTTATCGACTCCTCGCATTTACCTCACACTCTCGAGTCACTACTGCCTACTTAGTCGCCCTTCTCGTACAACTTCTTTGCTGTTTCGCGGAGCTAGGCTTCTATGTTCTCTCATACTCAAGTCAGCCCAGCCTAAGGCCTACTGTCACCACATATCTTTTCCACAAATGATGTCTGGTCAGCACTCGACGAACCATTCTCGTGGAGTACAGAACACCATGAGACACCAGGGGCTCCCTAGTGACCAGCAGCATATCCACTTACTTGACCAAGAGCAACTAGCGTTCTTCTCCATCCATAAGCCACTGAACGTTTCGTCTTGGGATGATGTTACGCCAGTACACCATCGTCTCTCCACCTCTGACATTCGAAAAGCCTTGTCCAAGCTGCACCAGAACCCAAGGAATACAGTCAAAGACACACTGATGAGCCTCAAGTCAGAATCTGCTCGTCGACTGATCAATGCACTTGTACAAGAGCAAAACGAGAGGGAATCCGACTCAAATATCGAATGGATCATCGCAGGGATAGACGTCAAAAAGGAGATCGTCAAACAGTGGCCCAGCCAGAAGAAGGTCATTAAGAGCATCGAGGTCATCTTAAAAACTGAGCCAACACATGACTTTAACGATGACTCCTTTGGGTCTCCCCCATTGCGAGGGCCCTTCGAGGGAGGTGTTACCCAGACGAATCAATCACATCGGAACGTGAATCAACATGGTCCCGGTATGGGGCATGTGCAGCCTCATATCATGCATCAACAACCTCCTATGGGTGCACAACCAATACAGGTGAATGGACATGAACGAGGAGAGCATATGCACGGGCGTCAAGATCTTCCGCACCCACCACATTATGTGCAAGGGGGCTCTCATTTTCAGCAGCCTCATAGCATGTTACCCGTCCCGCAACATCCAGGAGGCGGCGTGGGCATACCACCACCTCCTCCTCCACATGGCGGACCGGTCAAGCAGACGCAAGTCGTGCAACCGCCATTCGATCCTCAACAGCAACCAATGCCTATGCCTGGCAGCTTTCCGGAAGTCAGGCCTGCCCCCCAATTCATGCCTCAGCCCGAGATTCTTGACCCCCGAGTGCTCAAGCATCAAAAGTCCAAATCCAAGAATCTCCGCCGCGAATTCCAAGAAGTACCTATGGTGTATGCGGGCGAGTCTGACTCTGATTCCAGTGGCTCTGATATTGGCTCCCAATTCAGCTCTAGATCGGTCGAAGACGGCGCTTATGGATTCATTGAACGTTCTCGCAGTCGGGGCAGGAACAGGAGTCATGGAATTGTTGGACGTTCTCACAGTCGCGGCAAGGACAGAAGCCACAGCAGGGGTCGTGAACGAGGTATGCCCAAGATTTTCAAAGTGAAGAAGTCACATGGCCGAAGTCGATCCGACGTGGAAGTCATCCATGAAGGCAAGCATAGCCCTTCGTCTAAGAGTAGCTCGCCGAGGTCGTCTGCATCTGCTCTTCCCACACAGCAAATCTTCAACATACACATTGACAATGACAACGATCGTGAACGTGAACGAAAGGATGGCCACGGAAGAGATGCGCATGCTGCCAATCATGATCAAAGACGCAATAACAAACCTATGCACTCACCGGGCTTCACCAACCCAATTTACACCAAGCGAGACAAGTTCGATGTCCATCCCATGTCGCGACACTCATCGGTCGGCGGAAGCGACACCGGCTCCTCAGTCATCGACGGCCACTCCTCGATCTACACCTCTGACGACAGTGTCTTCTCCGAACCCATACGTCCGCGCATGCACAGTCGTACTACTTCTGAAGTAGGTGGGGGATTACACCTTCGCTCACGCAACATGCCAATCCCACGCCATGACGCCTTCATACCTGCCCACCAAGAGTCTCACCGACGACAGAAGCGACACTTTGAGGCAGACGATTACCCTCATCGCCCGAGAGGCTCTATCTATGACGGCTATGCAGAGCCCCCTCACACTCCTTCCTTTCGACAACCACCTATGGCTCCTCGTCGCCACAGCGTGCAGCTCTCCAACCCTTTCGACCCAAGACACCCAGCTCAGCCCTCCCGATCATACACCGACTACGCCACGCAACCTTTCCAACAGCGATACATCACAGATAACGCCCCCGAGCCTTTCGAGTTCCGTGCGATGGCTGACGAGCTGGGCGCGATGAACTATATAAACCAGTCCCGCCGCAGTGGCCTCACGCAGCGGCGAAACAGTCTCAGAGGCCGGGGGGCTCCTGAGGTGGACGAGTGGGCTTACCGTCCACAGGGAAGGATGCACGATGCATATCGACATATGTACTAATTTTCCGGTTTTCTTACCGTATGTTTCATAATATTCGGTCCACGTGGTGTTCAGCTCATGTACCTTGGACTAACAGGTGACCCGCCGCCAAAAACTTGGTGTTTGGTTTTCTTCTGACTGGCGTTGTGGACATACGTTACCAGAATTCGGAGTTCAGGATTGGGTTTGCTCGCCATTACATCGATTCTCCTGCTTGTGTTTGGTAACTATTTGGTATGACGGCCTCAATACCGTTCTGCGTCTCGAAGGACGCACCTTGACTTCAACGTGCCGATCTCTCTGCAAGTGATGATGACAGTCCCTGCTCATACTCCCGTCTACCAATTAGTCGTGGTCACCTTATGCAGTATTGCACCCGAAGTTCGAACATCTCCAGCGCTACTGATACTAGACAGGTGGATGTGAAAGAACGATCAAAGTTAATAGCGAAACACTCGTCCTTCCATTTCCACCCCACGTGCACCTCTCCCATCCGCTCGGCGCATGCGTTCGTTTCATTGCATCCGCGGAGTCCAAGCGCGCAAGCACATCTACGCCGCAGCCACAACCGTCGGATCTCCCTCCCGAAACATGTGCAATCATCCAAAAATGCTGGTGTGATATTTACCTACCCAGGTCGAGCCCAAAGCACTACCGTAGCTTCCGTCAGCACACGTACCATAAGCCGTCAGCACTTCGAGCAATGTTGCAGGCGTGCCATTACGCGCTTTCAACTTCCCTCGGGGATAAGTATATTCGGCTCACAGGACATCAAGCACAGCACGAAAGCTGATGCCTCAAGCGGAAGACCGTGTCACATCACCCCGGACAAGCAAGTGCTGACCTCCCCATCCAGTCCAAGCGTACGCCCAAATAGATTGTCCGGACTCCGCCACCACGACCCCAGACGCTTGGGTCGCACCCGCTGAGCGTAAACGCACGTCTACGTGGGCGCGGCGCGGGAAGAAACCGACTTGCCGCGGGTGGACGTTGGAAGCGCGACTGGGACTGCGAAATGAGACACATCCCTTACAGCACGAAAACCACACCCAAGCGAAGCAGCACAGCATGCACGCGCAACTCAAACGGCGGCCACCCATCCCAACCACCGCTATGAGCAACTCAACTCCCAAGTCCCATCACCTGATGCTCTCCTGCCACCAGCAGCGCGCGCCCAACCCATGTAGCTACCCATCAAGTACCTTTATTTACCCTCCATCGTTTCGCCACCTGCCTTCCCTCCCAAATCGTACCGCACCGCATTGCACAAAGCGTTGCCACGTCACTTTTGCACCACGTCCACTCGCACAGCACGCAACTGAAACAAGAAATCATTTCACTACATATCTTATATCTCTGGCCAAGATTCCACGACAGTAGCCTCCCTCCGCCCCAAAAAGCTTTGCCACACACAGACTGAGAAAATGAGAAAGAAAATGGTGCATCCTGCGTCCACAGACACGCCTCCCCTGGCCATAAGCAACAGCAGTGCACCACTTATTAAAAACAAACATGGATGATATGACAGGATGGTAGATATAGTAGCAAGCTTTGGCTTCGCTTCCCACAACAATACAGCGTAAGAACATAAGGTGAGTAGGTAGGTGGTAAAGAAAGCGATTACCAATGCCTCGCCTTTTGGTAACAGTAGAGAAGAAAGATTTGCTTACGACTATGGCGAGTTGGAAGCCCCGGCCCACGCAGGGTATCAAAGAGAAACTTGGGATGAGGCAGCCACTCCGCCAAGTACGGCTGATGAACAAGTCTGGTCGAAAGGTGCGACATAGAGGTAGGTTAAGGAAAAGCATTTTCACAACGCCGTGCATGAATGTGGCGATGTCCTTCGTCATGAAAGGCATACATCCCGTCACTCGACTCTCAAGTAGAAAGCCTTGAAATATCCAGGCGCAAAATTACACATTGTCTATATCAGACCGCACAATCGGAGGTTCTCCTGGATTATGATGTCTACGTCTCGTTAGCCGACGTCGCGCGTCTAAGGAGCAGAACAACGTACCATTCACAGCAGCCATAACGAATCGGATCTGCATAGTGTCCGTGGCGCATGTGAAATGGGTGTAGATTTGCTTGGTCTCGTGCTGGTTGAGCGACACGAATCGGTTAAGAATGTAGTCGCAGGCCGCTGCGTAGTCTGGGCCACCTATAGGATGGATTAGCGTAAGTTGTGGGAAGAAGCAGGGCAGGACATACCCTCGTAGTCGGGGAAGTAGTTCTTCATGGGGCTGACGGGCAGCTTCTCCTTGAATCGATCGATCTTGTTCAAGAATAGAATAATCGATGTCTTTACAAACCACCGCGAGTTGCAGATGGAGTCGAAAAGGGTCAATGCTTCCTGCATACGGTTGACCGTCTCGTCTTCGAACAGCAGCTGGTCATACTCGGAAATGGCCACGAGGAAAAGAATCGTCGTGACGTTCTCGAAGCAGTGTATCCACTTCTTTCGTTCTGATCGTTGACCACCAACATCGAACATGCGGTATGTGAGGTCGCCAATGATGAAGGTAGTTTCGGTGATACCGGTGGTCTTGACACGGGATCGAAGCACGTCCTGGTCGTTAGGAATGTAGTCGCCGGCCGCAATACGGTCGATGGAGTCGAAATAGCTTTAGCAGTCAGCATCGGCGGTCAGATACAGAAGGCACGGATTGACTCACTATTTCGCTGAGTCGTTGAGCTGGTATTCGCGCGAGCGCTGGAAGCACTGCTGCACGCCCGCGTCTTTCCAGAGCACGGAGATGGCGTTGCCAACCTCCGGGGGCAGGCTGTCGCCTTCGATTTGTGCGGGTTGCATGAAGATGGTCTGGACGTGGTACTCGGCGCGCTGGTCGTCAAGAGGTAGCTCGAGCGACTCCATGGCCTCGAGGATGACACGCATCGACTGGACCGTGTTGCTGAAGATAATCTCCTTGAAGGATTCGCGCTCGTCGCGCGAGTAGCCACCCTCGTGGATGAGCTTCATCTGCTTGAGAATCGTGGACTTTCCAGATTCACCAGCACCTGCGCCATGTTAGCATGCGGGTTGCCGGCGCCCACAGCCGAGGCGGGTACTGACCGAGCAACAGCATCTTGATCTCGTTGCGCTGGAGCATCTTGTCGCGCTTGAGCTGGTTCTCAATCTCCTCGTTCCTCTGCTTCCCCTCCTTCTCCTCTGTGCTCATGCCGCAGCCCATGGTGACGGTTGGGCGAGGTGTGGTGTATTAGGTAGGTAGATGTTCCGTACGAAGGCCGGCCGACACGGAATCTGCACGCAGCAAAAGTCAATATGGGCTCGAGGGGTAGTACGGCAGGGCCCTGGAGGCTGCGGCTGCGGTGTACGGCGCTGCGTGGGTTGCGGCAGTGGTTGAGGAGGAAGCTGGAGATGCCGTGCGTTTGCTGCTTCGGGGAGCAGCGACGCGCAGCAGCGGGCGGCAGGTGCTGAGGTCAATGGCGGGCTGATGGGACTCACGTATTATTACAAGCACGCGAACTCGGTGCCGCGTTTGCTGGCGGGCGTGCGGTGGCGCTTGGGCGATGGATGGCTGGATGATGGAGAGGGTGCGATGGGGGTCGGTCCGCCCGGGGCGTGGTGCAGCAAGGTGCGCGGTGGTTGGAGAAGCCGGCGTGGGCTGCGTCGGGGGCCGTTCAGGTGTCGCAGCGAGAGACAGACGCAGCGAGAGGGGGAGTGGCACGGCAGCACTTGACAGGAGATGCCGACAGCACGACGAGAGTGCGGATAGGAAGAAGGCCTGGGAGCAGGAGGCTTTTGGGTGGTGTTGCCGAGAAAGGGGAGATCCCGGAGCGGCCTAGCTGCAGCGCACAGGCTCTTTTAGAGCGTTCGCTCCCTCCGCCTTTGATTTAGGACGGCCGCACACAACAGCGCGCTGCCCTCGGCCACCCGCGCCCTAAGCTGCGTGCCGATTAGTTGATTGATTGATGAGCAAGGCCGGCTCGCAGTCCACCGCCTGCGCGCTGTCTCTACTTGGTGTTGCGTTGCTGGTACGGCCCAGCTGCTGCTCCCCCGGCAGGCAGGCCGCTCCTTCAGTCTGCGCTCCGGCGCGCCCCAGCGATTCAACTCGCCACCGCCAGCGTGATCAGCAAGCGAGCCAGCGACGGGCCCTGTTGCACACCTGTTCCACTGACTAGCAGCAGCCAGCTCTTCTAGAAGCTTTGTCGAAAAAAGGGGCGCGACAAATAAAGGCCCGCGCCGGGGCCAGGTTGCGCGCGCAACACCATCCCAGGAAATCTCAAACGCTGCCTCGTCGTCATCAATCATTGCGTCGGAGTCGCTGCGTGCGATGCGGATGCCCTTTGCCAGTCGACCAAAGAGCAGCGTCCTCCGCCCGTCGACCCGCATGCAAGGTTCCACGACGTCGCTCGCTGCCTGTCCTGACCACGACCCGCCTCAGTTGCTCCGTTCCTTGTCTTGGCCTGTCGCTCACGCCAGCCTCCAGCGGCCTAGCGCTCTCGCCGCAAACTGTCGTCGCAGCTCTAACCACGGCGCCTTCATCTCCTTGAGTCGTGATCCTCCTCTCGCCCAATCAGCGCCCCTCGACAATCCTGCATCCTGAACCCTGCGCGCCTTGTTCATCTTTTTTTCTCCATGCCCCTGATTGCGCATTCGGCAGCGCACATTTCTCTTTCCTTGCTGCGGCATCTGTGCTGACGGATACCCTCCACATCTCTCTCATGTGTTCGTCCAGGATGTCGCTTGTACTTACGGTCCATGACCAAACACCTAACGACACTCCACCCACGGCTGTCACACCACCTGCTACACTCGACAACGTTTCATGTGCCATTTGCCAAGGTTATGTGCACTTTGCTCGGGGCGCGTGCTTGGGAAACGCGTAAAGCATAATCCTCTCCTTCTGCTTCGGTAATCGCGATTACAGACAAGACCAGCTTAGAACATTGGAACAATTAGAAACACGTGATCAACCCATGCAGGCTATCAAACCGTTGATGCGACCTTAGTTAATCCACTATTGCAAGGCTATCAAACCAGCTCCCCGACTAACAAGGTGGCATACTTGTCAGTCCATGCTCCCCCCCTCCGACTCCCACTCGGGACCGTTTCAGCATGTACGTCGGCAGTCATTCTTACGCTATCGATGCTATGGTTCGGACCCGTGCTTAATATCCCATGATAATGCTGCACTTTTGTACGATCACAAGAAGGTTTGAGTACCAGACTGCCATGTGAAGTAGCTCTTGTGTATTGTTCCAAATCCTACTCCGAGTACTACAACCAGTCAGGCATGTTTACAATATTTAAAGAGTGCGACTTGTCCTGTATGCGAACCACTGAAGCTACAACACTCAAGACGTTCGGCAGCCACGAGGAAAGGGAAGAAGCACTGCCTAGCGGCGATATTTTGACGACAGCAAGCACGTCTGAACTTCGATACCAAGAGCATGGAGGCCATCTTAACTGTCTCATCCCCAAAGGGTGCTTATCTGACCATGCAAATCGATCTCTTAACTGTCCGTGCCAGAGTTCATGTTCAACTTACCACGGAAACCAATTGCTCCGGATAAATCGTGGACACTGCGTGCTATCAATAAATCATACACTTTCACACACGACCATGCGGTGTGGCTATGGCTATGCTGTGTGAATACCCGGGGGCCTAAGCTCATCTGACATTGCCTCTACTGGTAAATCAGAGCATCCTCACCGAAGCACACATCTAGGGTTGTCAAAGCTCAACACCCTAAAATCCCACCATGATATCTGTCTCGCGACATTAGCACCGAGATGTAGGTAACAGGCAAATGGTGATCCATGCTTTATCGATTCCAATCAAGATAGCTGCTCCTGCCTGCAAGACCTGAGGCTGAGTGCCGTCTCCACCCTACCGGATCGCCATAAGCCTCAACCACGGTACCCCGCCGCCTTACTGTGAGCGGGAGCGGATCGTGCCGAGCGGATCTAGTTTTATTCCACGATGAAAGATTGTGCGAACAAGAGGCAAAGTCGATAGTCCTATCGAATTGGTATGGGTGACCACGTGCTGCGTGCCTTAAGCCATCGAGCGGAAAGGCGGACGATAGAAACACCATCCTACTACCTGGAAGACAGTCGCAAAGGCCCAGAGGCGACACAGACGTACGCCAAGTTCTATTTTCACTTCAGAAGGGAGAATTGGCCATACATTGCATATCTTCGTGCTAATTTGGTGGGCAAGCGCTTAGGCTAAAGCCCGATACGGGAAGGCGCGATCTCCAAGCGCCAACAACCCGAAGTGGTGTAAACTGACCAGACTCTCTACGAATCCCTCGTGCATCTTCCAGTGATATGTTCCGAGCGCCAGAGATGTCTACACCAATCCTTTCAAGGTGTCCTGCGAACCGACGCCTCGGCGGCTGCCCATGCATACGTCAGACGCAGCGCTTCCGACGGATCCTCCTACATATTGGCAACATACTGTCCACTGGCGAGTTTCCTCTGGATGCATCAAAACAAATCTCATGAGACTGGTGCTGTGTGACGAATCTCCTTGAGTCTCTCCTTGAATTTCTTTATTCCGAAGCTGCTGGTTCAGCGCCGTTTCCCTGATGTTACTCTCGTAGATTCCCTCCGGTCCGTCAACGTTCTCCGCCCCACAATGCAGAATGTCGCTTACTTCTTCATAGCTTCTGTACAACTATGTTCCTCAGCCACTCCAGCTGGCTATGCATTATATTGCCTACCCTAATAGGAGCCACGCCTCACAAGACTGCACCGGCACGACCCAAGCGTTCGCTACCCCCAAAGCTTCAACAGCAGGTACCTGCATGTGCACAGCCATGCCTGCGGACCTCGCTATCCGAACAGTTTCCTTTTGCATGTACTACTCCCGTGGATCTCAGTTGCCTATGTTCTCGATATAGCTTCAACGGCCAGGCGCTGGGCGAAGTGGCTGTCGGATGCATATATGCATCCTGCTCCACGTATCATGGTGCGACTTCAGCCTACAACATTTGTTTGGGACAGAGTTATGCCGTTGCACCAACATTGACGGCTCTCACGATTGTGGCAATAACCTCTTCAACGCCCGTGAGCATGACTACCTCCCGTCCTATCACTATTACGACTTTTCATACAACACCAAAAACATCCTCAAAACTCCAAACTCGGACCTCCCATACAGAAACGGTCATTGCAGATTCTGTCTCATTGATTCCATCCGCGACTTCGACAACACCGCCGCAGACGACAACACCGCTTCCTGCTTCAGAACCCCCCAAGACAATGACACCTGCTCAGATAGCGGGACTGGCGGTCGCGGTGGGGGCAGCCTTCGTCATCGCTATCGGACTCATGGGGCTCACAATTTTTCTACGAAAACGAAGAGAGCGGAAGAAGGGTGTCCTAGTAAACGAGAAGGAACCGTCATCACCGGGCCCAAGCACATACTCATCGCGCTATTCGCTACCTTTTGTGCCGCAGTCCTCAATGCCAGATCCGCCTAAGCGATTTCTCCTGCCGCCCCCTCCTGTTTATAAAAGGTCCGGGCAAAGTATAAGAACTCAGTATGAAGCAGATGCACTACCTAAGCCATTGAAGTTGAACGGCACTCGCAACCTCGATACAGGTTCGGAGCAGCCGGTTGCATCATCCAATGCCAATCCAGGCTCGATACATCCGCTCCTGCGCCCTGATCCGAAGACTCTAGGAAATGCATCCAGCTCATCCGTACCACTTGAGGAGATTGGCCTTGCAATCACCGTTGAGCCACCCCGACCGGCTACAGGTCAAAACGAGCAGAAAACACAACCTCCGATACAGGAGAAGAAATATGAACGTCCCGCTATCTCTCGACGCAATGCCGACCTCTCACAGCGACCCGATAGTGTTATGACCCAGACTACCCTGTTCGAGGAGGACGATTTCCGCAGGGAGTCCAAATTGTTGCCTGCTTTGCCCCAAGTGCCTATTCCACCGATACGTACATTCCAGCCTTCGAGACCCTTGCCATCTACGAGCCCAATCCAAGCTGCAATGGAGAGTATAACGATCCGGCGGGTGCCTCAGCAATCTGAACTGTTCTTGGACATTCCCGTCAGATACTCAAGATCGCAACTTTCGATCGTCGCAACATCACAGTCGTTACCATGTGGCAAGCGGGAGTCGGCTGCTGCCCTCCATAAGCAGCTGCCCTCTGCTTCTCGTACATCAGAACACGACCCCAGGTCTGCCGAATCGGAAATCAATCATGGTGACATACCGGACTACTACTTCACAACTTATGATCAGCCCAAGACAATCCACTCAGTCTCGCCTGGCAACCAAGGGAGACGATTGCGATCGAAAGCGGACCAGACATACGGAACTACTAAACCAAAGCGCTCCTCCAGCACCGTGTCACGGGCAACTTCACGAGCGTCAACGAATATTCGTGACTCTTGGTCGTCTCAAACGTCTTTCGAAACAGTAGATCCTGAAGATCCCACACCAGAAGATGATGACGGCGATAAGCGACTTCAAGACGGCAGGCTCTCACCAGTAGCAGAGTCTCCCATCCATAAGCTGCGATATCCTAAGGTCCCTCGTACCTCCAACCAGCTCGTCCCACGCAGTCCCAAAAGCCCGCAGAGTCAAGCGAGTCAAAATAGTCCCCGTTGGCAATCGCAACCATCGTCACTGCTCGTGAAGCGCAAAGGCGAACAAGGTGCCCTCAAACTCGGCAGTCCATTCCGATCGGGTTCACCAGATGCGCGGACAGCGAGCGAGATACGCAGGTATCGGCACCACCTTCGTAGCAGCAGCGTCGAAGCCTTCAGCCCCGCGCGAAACAGCGAGCGGTCCACTCGTACCCAAAGCAGTCTTTGGCCTAAGAGTCCCGCCATGTTCGAGCCAGACGTCGTGAGACCACTTACTATTCGCAAGACGCAACTGCTGCAGACACCAACAGAAGATATGCACGCGCTTAAGAGCCCGGTTTGGGTGCCGAGACTGACGCCTACAAGGCAAGGCGACGATCTTTTCATCAACGTTACTTACTCAAAGCCAGGTCAGCCCAGTAGTGGCACCTCTTCTTACATTCCCTAATTCCACAACTACTCTCTTCTCTTCTCATTCTTTCTTTACCAATTTGTAATAACAACGGGCATTGACTGCCTCTTCCTGTCAATACCGCGGTGTCTTCCATCCACACTATATCTCTCCGTCAAGACTTGACATTCTCTTATCATACTGTGTATTGTACGATACCCACGCGCACTCATTAAAATGTTTCTTTGCATCAGCATGGCGTTCAGTCTGGAGATTCTGGAGGAAATGTACTATAGTAGAAGTGCCACAGGTATATACGAAGACTACGCATGGCTAGACGTAGAATCGGTTTTCGCACCCTCGGCCCCTGTGACTTGATCGCAACATGCCGGAATTTTTATGCCTTCGTGCTCTCAACCGCTCAAGATCAGCCAGTGGTTGAATGGGCGTCTCGAATGGCCGTAGCACGTGGTGTCATTTACCCGCCGGTGCTTTTATCGGGGCTATGGCGGCTCGCAAGATATTTTTAAGTCGCGAGCATCGGAGATATCTGCGCGCGCCGAGTTCGCAGTCGATGCACCGGAATAACCTACTTTCATCGCCCCTGGAGTTTCCTTGATAAGATGTAAGCTCCAATTTTGTCTACTCACGGAATAACCTACTTGGCGTGATGGTTTCTCTGTGCAAAGATGGGTGCCTCGCATCGAGGCACGCTCACAGCTAGCCATCTTTGCTGGAAAAGAAGCGTGCCTTGTGAACCTACATGCTTTCCGATTATTGCCATGAGGAGCACTGGAGGATTTTCTTATTCAAATGTCTTTGCACGATAACTGGCACCGGCGGCGTGGGTGGCTAGGGTTCGCGTATGTAAAAGGTGTTACATATCCGCCGGAGATTGAACCGAAGCAGCCATGTTCGGGTCGGCTTTTGACGAGAGAATTGATGCAAACAATGGGCTCTCTTCACCCCACTCAGGAAGAATGAGCCAGCAGAGCTATTGTATGCTTTAGGAAAGAGAAGCAATGGTTGTTGGCGAAGGGTTCGCGTGAAGGCTCGGTCAGCTATTACGTAGCTTTGTCATTGCACAGTCACGATTAATGTATGAGAGAGTGCAGGCAAGCTGCGGCGAGGGATGCATCGGGCTTTGGTCGGCGGCGTGGGCTGGTGTGGGGCTTGCCAATCGCCAGGTGCTGTTGTCTTACCACTGATTGATCCGCACTAATACGCCTGTCACCCTGCCTACAAAACTTATCCCGTCCCAACACTCCTCATCTCTTCCCTCTTCCTCCCTACACATTGCTCATCATGCCTTACGACAAGACGGACGAGCTCGCCATCAACACGATCCGAACCCTCGCGGTACGTTATCACCCCTGCTCTGCTTACCCCGCCATGACGACAAGCTTGCCCCGCCATCACGGTTTTTCTCTCAACGCGTCGACCCGCTGTGTCTCAGCGCATTCAGCGCTCTGTACAGTGTCAATTACTGACTGCAATCGGTATCTAGGTCGATGCCACGCTCGAGGCAAACTCCGGTCACCCGGGCGCGCCCATGGGCATGGCTCCGGTGGCCCACGTGTTGTGGAACAAGTTCATGACATTTAACCCAAAGAACCCCGACTGGGTGAACCGCGACCGTTTTGTTCTCTCGTATGTGCTCTCTATTTTCTACATCTCCGCATCGGTCGCATCGCATATTGTTCGTTTCTCCGAGCAACGCGCCGGTAGATCGCATTCCAGACAGCTATCTCCGCGGGACCATGTAGCTATCAGCAGGACTTGCTTTTGCCGACCCAGGAAGACCTAGTCTCATGCCAGAACCAGGCGAGGAAAATAGCATTTCCGGCAAGCTCCGCTGTTTTGCAAGATCTGCGTGGACTTTTTGCGGGGCATGATGCAATTTATTCACTGACTCCAACCTTAGCAACGGCCACGGATGCATGCTCCAGTATGCTCTGCTCCACCTGTTTGGCTACGCGTTGAGCATTGACGACTTGAAGAACTTCCGTGTAAGTTCTCTTGGTGTCGCGAAGGCACTCTTGGGACACTAGTACTGATTGGTGATTACAGCAAGTCGACAGCATCACCCCTGGCCACCCTGAAGCTCATGACACTCCCGGTATCGAAGTCACCACCGGCCCGCTCGGCCAGGGCTTCGCCAATGCTGTCGGTCTCGCTATTGCGCAGGCGCATACCGCGGCCGTTTTCAACAAGCCCGGTTTCGATCTGATCAACAACCACACATACATGTTCTTCGGTGATGGCTGCGCCATGGAGGGTATTGCCAGCGAGGCTGCCTCTACTGCCGGTCACTTGCAGTTGGGCAACCTGATTGCTATCTACGACGACAACCACATTTCCATCGGTATGTTTTTCGGCGAGTTACTTCAGATGAGACGCTAATTGTGGGTCGCAGATGGTGACACCAAGTGCGCATTCACCGAGGACGTTATGAAGCGATTCGAGGCCTACGGCTGGCACACCCAGCACGTCGAGAACGGCGACTCTGACCTCGAGGGTATCGAGAAGGCTATTGCCGAGGCCAAGAAGGTCACGGACAAGCCCTCAGTCATCAAGCTCACCACTACCATCGGTTTCGGTTCCAAGCTCCAGGGTACTGGTGGCGTTCACGGCAACCCCTTGAAGGCGGATGACGCTAAGCAGGTCAAGGAGAAGTTCGGTTTTGACCCTGAGAAGACCTTCCAGGTTCCCCAGGAGGTCTACGACCAATACCACAAGCACGCTGCCGAGGGTGCCGCTGCTGAGGAAGAGTGGAACAAGCTTTTCGAGAAGTACGGCAAAGAGTACAAAGAGCTTCACGCTGACCTTGCTCGCCGATTGACTGGTGAGCTGCCAGAGGGCTGGGTTAGCAAGCTCCCCACATACAAGCCTTCGGACCCCGCTATTGCGTCCCGAAAGCTCTCCGAGAGCGTCTTGGAGGCCATCTATGAGGCCGTCCCTGAGCTTCTGTCCGGTTCCGCAGATCTGACCGGTTCAAACAACACCCGTTGGAAGAACGCCGTTGACTTCCAGCCCCCCAGTCTAGGTATTGGTGAGTGGTCTGGTCGCTACCTCCGATATGGTGTACGTGAGCACGCCATGGCCGCCATCATGAACGGTCTCTCTGCCTATGGTACCATCATCCCTGCCGGTGGTACTTTCCTCAACTTCGTTTCATATGCTGCCGGTGCCGTCCGTCTATCCTCGCTTTCTCACCAGCGTGTCATCTACGTCGCTACCCACGACTCCATCGGTCTTGGTGAGGATGGTCCCACTCACCAGCCTATCGAGACACTTGCACATTTCCGTGCTCTGCCCAACATGATGGTGTGGCGCCCGGCTGATGGTAACGAGACTTCGGCTGCTTACTACATGGCTCTGACCTCCAAGGGCACTCCATCCATCCTTGCTCTCACCCGTCAGAACCTGCCTCAGCTTGAGGGTTCAACACTGGACAAGGCCATCAAGGGTGGCTACGTTGTTCTTGAAAACGAAAAGGCCGACGTCACTCTCGTCTCAACCGGTTCGGAAGTCTCGCTCTGCTTGGAGGCTGTCAAGGTTCTCAGCGAGGAGGGTCTTACCGCACGCGTTGTGTCCATGCCTTGCGTTGAGGTCTTCGACGCCCAGTCCAAGGACTACCGCCTCTCTGTCATCCCCGACGGTATCCCCACCCTCAGCGTGGAGGTAATGTCCACCCTTGGCTGGGAGAAGTACTCGCACGAGCAGTTCGGCCTCAACAGGTTCGGTGCTTCCGGTCCTTACAAGAAGGTCTACGAGGTATGTTTCTCTATGCCCAAATGAAAAGTTTGATCTAACATTGGTATAGAAATTCGAGTTCACTCCTAAGGGCGTTGCCAAGCGTGCTAAGCTTACCGTGGACTTCTACAAGGACGTCAAGCCCCTCCGCTCGCCCATCAACCGTGCTTTCACTCAGCTTATCTAAGCTGTTGATGTTTGCTAAAAGTTGATTGCAGGCAGGATGTTCACTGTTACGATTTGCTATGACTGAATGGAAGATGCGAAGAGCGCGCTTTGCTGGCTACGGCTACGTCATGGAAAAGGAAATAGGTGTATAGAATTCGATATCTTTGTTTGATCCAATGCTAGCTTAATAGACGACCGTGCAGTTGCCTAGTGCGTTTCGTTTGACGGTCATACATACACTTATGCAACGATCAAGATTCTCGTAGTCGATACGACAGCTGGTGTGACCAAGTACACAGGACAGGACTCAACAAATAACATTGAGTTTCTGCGGCGCCTGGCTAACATCTTGGGCACCGCTCCGCATGCGTAACGCAACGTACTCGATTCTCAGTATGGGTAACGCAAGAGTGGCAGGACTGGTTTGAGTGCCAAGCGTTCCGAGCCGTAAGAAGAAGGAATTCGGGTCCTCATCACGTCCGAATTCCTGCCCTGCAATACAGGTTATCGGATCTGATGAGGAGGTGAGCTCCGTTCGATTAATTTCTACGTGAAGGATTAAGTTGCACTTGCATCACTCGAACTAACACCGAAACACCGAAACACCGAAACGAGATTGGTAATTGAGATGATGGGATGAGCATGATGTACATTAGCTCTCATGTGGGAAACGTGTGATAAAGTGCTACCGTCCTTATTCCTTCGGCATGACACAATTATTCTGAATTCATTGTCTCCTATTTATCCCACCAAATGGTTACACCTCCCCGTTCTTCCACAATGTCCAAACTCCTCGCCGTCTTCGGTGCCACAGGCCACCAAGGCTCCTCGGTTATCCACCACGTCCTCCACGATCCTATCCTCAGCGCCCAGTACACCATCCGTGCCCTCACCCGCGACCCAACCTCGCACGCAGCCCAACGTCTCAAAGCCAAAGGCGTGGACGTCATCTCAGCCGACGTCCTCGACCGCGCCTCGCTAGACCGCGCCCTGCAAGGCTCACACGCCGTCTTCGCCATGACGCCGCCATACTCCTCCCCCAGCGCGCCCCGTGGCACCTCCGCCTTCGCGTTCGAGGTAGAAAACGGCAAGCGCATCGCCGACGCGGCGCTCGCTGCGGGTGTACGATTCTTCATCTTCAGCACGCTGCCCTCTGTGCGTGAGATCTCGAAGGGGAAGTACACGGCGGTAGCGCCGTTTGACGGTAAAGCGGAAGCGGAGAAGTACATCCGTGGGATGGAAGTGGACGGGATGAACAGCGCTTTTATCTGTCCTGGAGCGTTTATGGAGAATTTTGCGGCGCAAGGGTGGGCGAAGCCAAGGCGGGAGGTGGAAGGGGAGGAGGAAGTGTGGACGCTGTGTAGGCCGAATAGTTCGGCGTTTAGGATCCCGCTTATTGCGGCGAGGGAGGATGTGGGTAAGTTTGTGGGCGCGATGTTAAGGGATCCTCAGAGGTTTGGGGGAAGGCGGGTGTGTGCTGCCCAGGGCAGGTATTCGTGGGCGGAGGTTGCGCAGTGTCTAGGGAAAAGTGCGGGGGTGGAGATTAGGTTTAGGCAGTGTGGGTGGGAGGAGTGGAGGAAAATGGCGCCGGCAGAGGGGATGAGAGACTTTTTGGAGGAGGCGTATCGGTATGCTGAAGAATTTGGGGGGTATTTTGGAGAGGGAGAGGAGGAGGGTGTAAAATGGGCGGTGGAGAGTGTGCGTGGAGAGGGTGAGTTGATGGGCTTGGAGAAGTTCTTAGAGACGGAGCCTTTTTGACGTTGCGAAGTGAGTAGAGGCGGGTGAGAGGGCTGGAGGAAGGGTTCATCGGATGATCATCTGAAGCATGGAATTCATTGATCGGAGTAGGTAGGCCTTCTTGCAGAGGAGACTCGGTGAGCCGGTGGTTGCGTAAACCTTGCCATAGGTGTATTTCGTTTCCGGATTTCCAATTTTACTGGTTCAAGTGATGTCCGGAGTGGCTCTGTAAAACAGTAACTCGCTGTTCCATACATCTATCGGCATACTCTCTAGGCACTTCGCAGCAGTCGCTTTTATTTGTGCATTGAGCGGAACGCCATTGGAAGGGCATACATCGGTGCTCGAGTTCTATGCTGAGTAAGTGACACATACCGTTGCAACATGATTCAAAAGGGCAATCAGGACTACACGGCACAACGTTGCCGTGGTGTTGTGCTCCTTCCCAGAGGCACGGGATCGGCACGGAAGGTCGGTAGGATTTAGCGACATTCTGGGACCCGCCCGCTCCGCTCCGCTCCACGGGCACCATTCTGTGATTGTATGGCATGACGCCGCCACGAAGGCTTGGGTCTAGGCGGCGATGGTTGGTGGATGTCTGGTGGGCTGGGCGGCCCACTTGCGGATCTCCCATGCAGTGCATGCACGCATACAGCAAATTACAGATGCGGCGTTCCTGAAGTGACATGGTGTATATCGGCACTTCTTTACAGTACATAATTACACAGTATACGCAATAACCAACAATAACAGGTATACTATCGGGGTTGCACCGCCACCACTCGTTGAACCGATGCTAAAGGGCTGAAGGAGATGGGGCAAGTAAGACGAAATTATCATGAGACAAGGCTGAGTATCAATTCGATCGTCGCCGGTGCTGATGTGCTACGCCAGCCTAAGCCAATCGAGGGAGAAGTAGCTGTCTCGCTCTGGGCGGCTTCTCGTAACATGATCCATGGCTGGAACAAACCTTGGAAGCCACATGAACCGAGTATAGGTGATGCGGGCGGGGGATGTGTTGGGCCGCAACTGGTGGCTTCCCCAAAGAGCTTTCATGTCCAGCTTCCCCTCTAGATGCGGGATTTTCCTGCGTGTGACAGGCCGCGGCCGGCCGGTCGAGGGGACATGGACAGGAGGCGGTACTGCCAGGAAATGGATCTTGATCTGGTCGGTGAATGGGGCCAAAGCGGCCTGGGATCGTGCTGTGACCCTCGCTTTTGGCGCCGCGAATTAAAGACAGCGTTTCAGGAGAATCAGAGCGTCGCCGCAAGGCGCCAGAGGCTCCAGTTTGCTAAATATACAAGCCTGCGCGTCAGGGAGGTCGACACTGTGTTGTGCCGGGCGAGCCATTGCTCTTCATTGCCCATTCTCCTGCAACAGTCGCAGATTCCTCAAGAACAAGCCGCACCTTCCGGCGTGCCCTGCGTCATATCTGGAGCGCGTTCCACACCTGGTGCAATCAATCGCAACAGCCGCCATCAATCGCCCGCTCAGCCTGAGATCCGCTTTCCCCGTCTGCGCGAGCTCCTCGACGGCGCGAGCTAGTAAGAGGCACGCCTCGGCCCAAGCCGCAATCCCCATCCTCGTACTGTCCCATCTGTCCTCTCGGCTCCTCGCGAGGACGGGCATACGACCCTCAGCTCACATACGTCGCCTTCGTTCCGCTGCATGTATTGATCCGCACTTCCCGAGTCACAAGAAAGCTGGCGCGAACCAAGCGTCCTTGGCCACCACACAGCCACCGACCCGTAGGGCCCGTTTATGCGGCCTAGTTACGTCGACAAGCATGCCGCGTCCAGCCTTTACGACCAAGCTGTCGCTGCCGGTCCGCCTGAAGCACAACAACAGCACAAACTCGGCACCTACGAGCGTCCCCACCAGCCGCGCCGTGAGCCCCAGACGCGCCGCAATGAACGAGAACAGCAAGCCTGGCCTGGTGCTGCGCGCCAATGTTATTCAGGTGTGCACTACCCCGCGGAGAGCTGCACCTGCGCTAACCACCGCTGCAGGGCCGCAACCTCGCTGCGAAGGACAGGAGCGGCACCTCTGACCCTGTAAGTGCCTCCCGATGGCCAATTTGTGCGACCCGTCGCAGTGCCAGCTGTAGCTGACCGCGAGCCCGGCAGTACCTTGTCCTGAACGTCGGAGACGCGCGCGAAGCCACGCCACCCATCAACAAGACCCTGAATCCAGAATGGAACACCACGCTCGAATTCCCCATAGTCGGCACGCAGAGCATGCTGCTCGAGGCTTGCTGCTGGGACAAGGACCGCTTTGGAAAGGACTACATGGGCGAGTTTGACGTCATAGTCGAGGATGTCTTCCAGAGCGGACAAGCAGTGCAAGGGCCCAAGTGGTTCCCACTCGAGTCGAGGCGTACTGGAAAGAAGAAAGCAGTGGTCACGGGCGAAATCCAGATCCAATTCTCCCTCGCCGACGCGAGCAATCCCAATGCCTCCAACGACGAGCTCATCCAGAAGCTCATGGCTTTCACCTCGCAGACGCCCAGCCCCGACGATGACGACGACGAATTTTTGCTCCGAACCGAAAGCGCAGAGAACGATGAAGAGGCCGACGAGGAAGAAAGTTCAGACGAGGCGTTCGACGAGAGCAAGAAGGCAGAGAAGAGAGAGAAGCGGCGCAGAAAGCTTCGATTGGCAAGACTGAGAAAGAAGGCGAACAAGCTCCGCAGCTACGAGTTCTCGGAGAAGACTGAGGTGGCGGGTGTGCTTTTCTTGGAGATTAGCAAGGTCACTGATCTGCCTCCTGAGAAGAATGGCAAGTGCACGTGTTGCGGGCGAAAATCATAGGCTAACGTGCTACAGTCACTCGCACCTCTTTCGACATGGATCCGTTCGTCGTCACCTCGCTCGGAAAGAAGACTTATCGCACAAAGACCATCCGCCATAACCTGAACCCCGTGTTTGACGAGAAACTCGTTTTCCAAGTTCTCAGGCACGAAACAAACTATTCGGTCAGCTTCACAGTCATAGACAAGGACAAGTTCTCTGGCAATGACTACGTCGGAACAGTCAACTTTCCGGTCGAAAAGGCGGTTTCCGTGGCCCCCGAAGCTGACCCTACAACCGGCCTCTACAAGCTGCCCGAGCCGTCTGATTCTCCGGGCCTCTCAGCAGAAGCGAGTGAAGCTAGGAGATCGCGCTTCCGGCTTCCAATGTCTCGATCGTCATCCACTCATAGTCTTTCCCGCCTTGGTCGACCCAGTCTGCGCAAGGAGAACTCAGCCGGCTCATTATCAGGGAAGGATTCAAATGGTAGCTTGGCGCCACCTCCGACGAGCGTTCCGCAAACATCTGGAGCTGAGAATAATGGACAAGCCGCTCCTAGCATTCCCGCAGTAAACGTGGATCCAGCAGCAGTAGATGACCAGGACCTCAAGATGTACACTCTGCCCTTGGAGATGAAGAACAAAGAGCGTTGGGAGGCGAAACATAGCCCTACCTTGTACATCAAAGCTAAGTATCTTCCTTACAAGGCGTTGCGTCAACAATTCTGGAGGGCTATGCTCAAGCAGTATGATGCTGACGACAGTGGTCTGATCGACAAGGTTGAGATTACCACCATGCTGGACACTTTGGGCTCGACTCTCCACGAATCCACGATTGATGGCTTTTTCCGGAAGTTCTCAGGAGAGCATAATGGCGACGAGGTGCTCACCTTTGACCAAGCAGTGATGTGCTTGGAGGAGCAGCTGCAGCGCGTCGAAGAGCGAGACGCTAAGAAGGGCTCGTTTGGACACCTTACAGCTTCAAGCAGCGACCTATTTGCATCGGGCACACAAACGCCTTCTCTTACCTCGGGCACACAAACGCCACTAAACGCGCACCCCTCTCAAACATCGATACCAGCACTGGAAACCGACCACCTTGGCGTTGAGGGAGAGGAAGGCGACGTCCTGCCCGGAGATGACCTGGCAGATGAGAAGGGCGAAGAACATGTCATTGAGATCCGAGAATGTCCTATTTGCCACCAACCACGTCTGAACAAGAAATCAGATGCCGACATCATCACCCATGTCGCTACCTGCGCTAGTCAGGATTGGCGGCAAGTCAACAACATTGTCATGGCCGGTTTCGTTACTGCAAGCCAGGCGCAGCGCAAGTGGTACTCGAAGGTCATCACAAAGATCTCCTATGGCGGATACAAACTCGGAGCCAATTCGGCCAATATCCTTGTTCAGGACCGCCTTACGGGACAGATTAACGAGGAGCGCATGAGTGTATATGTGAGACTCGGTATCCGTCTGCTCTACAAGGGTCTCAAGGCGAACAATATGGAGAAAAAACGAAGTAAGTATCCTAATAAGGTGCACACGGGGAGCGATGCTGACCTCAGCCAGTTCGAAAGCTGCTGCGATCCCTTAGTTTCAAGCAAGGCCGGAAGTACGATGATCCTGCATCGGCGAGAGAGATTGAGGGCTTTGTTGCCTTCCATCAGCTTGACATGTCTGAGGTTCTGCTCTCGATCTCGGACTTCAAGAACTTTAACGAGTTCTTCTATCGAGCTTTGAAGCCCGGGGCGCGACCGTGTTCGGCTCCTGAAGATCCTAGAGTCATTGTTTCTCCTGCGGACTGTCGGTCTGTGGTCTTCAACACCTTAGATGCAGCTCAGGCGATATGGGTCAAGGGTCGTGAGTTCACAGTTCAACGATTGTTGGGCGATGCCTACCCTGAGGACGCGAAGCGCTATGCAGGAGGATCTCTCGGTATCTTCCGCCTCGCACCGCAGGATTACCACCGCTTCCACATCCCTGTCGATGGTGTCATGGACGAACCAAAGACCATCGAGGGTGAGTACTACACCGTAAACCCCATGGCTATTCGCTCGGCGCTCGACGTGTACGGCGAGAATGTCCGCGTCTGTGTACCCATTGATTCAGTAGCCCATGGACGGGTCATGGTAATCTGTATTGGCGCGATGATGGTCGGAAGCACCGTCATCACACGCAGCAAAGGAGACCAGGTCAAGCGAGCTGAGGAATTGGGCTACTTCAAGTTTGGTGGAAGCACACTTCTGTTGCTTTTTGAGCCAGGCCAGATGCGGTACGACGAGGACCTGGTCGACAACTCTAAAGCGGCTTTGGAAACTCTCGTAAGTCTTTTTATTCGTGTTACAGAACCTTCAACTAACACATATAGGTTCGTGTTGGCATGTCCATTGGTCATAGCCCCAACAGAGCTTCTTACACGCCTGATATGCGCAAGGAGAACCCTACGCACGAAGAGAAGCAAGACGCAAAACGTCGTATCGAGGGCAGTCTGGCGCCAGAGGGAGTCCAGGGTCCGATGCCGGGCGCAGGCTTCCAGTAGTTGTTTCCTTAGTATTGCTTAGCCGTAGGGGGGATATTTGAGTGTACAGGCGTAACGACATGATGAAGGCACACACGATAGCATACAGGATTGACCGCGGCTTTGGGATGCTGCTCTCTCCGGGCGTTGGGTACATGACGGCATAGCAACCTTGGATAGCTGTAGTTATATGTTGAATTTGAAGCTGGGCCTGCAGCTTTTCTAGACTTGTAACAACGATAGGAGTGTTGCCCAGAGCGAGAAAGTGGTTGATTTAGTGTACCCACATGGTCACGTGCATATTCCCCGGCTAGTCAGCTGACCTAGGCCGGCGCCAAGGAGTTTGGTCAAGGAAGCCGCCCGTGTTTACACTTGACGCACGCCCACTACAATCCTAGCCCGTGTGCGACTGCCGACACCACCCTTTGACGCGCCCGAGCAGTATACGCATTATTCGCCAATTCCTACGCCCGAGCCATACGAAACGATCGAATATCATATCCACGCACCACCCGAACTCGCCGACGTGCGCGTGTTGTTGCCGCGCACAGCCCATGCACGCGCTTCGCTCTCCGCACCCACCAACAACCACGTAGCAACCGGACTCATGACAGCTGTGTTCGCGAGATCTCCTCTGCAATCGCTACCGATGGCCACAAACCGCGCGACTGCGCGACGGAGGAGCGCCAGAACCGCATTCGATGACGACGATGCGCCTGTTGTGAAGAGGGTAAAGACCGAAGTGACCGCAACGGCAAAGAGGACCAATGGCGCGACAAGGAAGGCTGCAAAAACAGGTGAGTCGGGCGCATCTGTTGCAAAGCAGAGCGGGGTGTTCCGGGCTTCAGTTGCGCGCAAATCGCATTATTCAGCTACGAATCGAGGACTATACAAGCTAACAGGAGTGCAGCATACGACGAGGATGACGACGGTTTTCAGTTTACGCGTCGCACATCAAGGCGTACCACCAAGACCCAAACCGCGCCCGAACCAATACTCGAAGAACCAAGCAAGCCTCCACCAGCGCGTAGGAAAAAGTCACTCGCTGCGCCTGAGCCCGAGCTCGAGCAGTTGGCACCGCAGAGGAAAAGGCGGTCGGCGCGTTTGTCAGGTGACAAGGACCACTTGGACCAGATGGACGGCAGCGCAGACACAGCGAAGGCCGCGCCAAAGCGAGCAAAGAAAACCGCGATAGTAGAAAAAGTGAAGAAGAGACAGACCACTCCTGCGCCGGAAACGCAGCCAGAAGGGAAGGCAGCGCCTGCTCCTGCACAGACACCAAAACTGGACGGGCTCCATGTCGCAAAGAAGCGCGACGGGGCGACTAAGATTATGTTGCCCTTCGCCGACACACCTGTGATCAATCGCAACAAGGAAATGCGGAAAGGTGGCAAAGATGGTCATCGGCGGAGTAGCACGGGGCTGAGAGGAAGGAGAGCCAGTTCCCTTATCGACAGCGGAATGTCCAATGGTAAGTGTCCGCGTGAGCACCTGCCCTGAAGGGCTCATACTGATTTGTGCCAGCGTTACCGCACTCTGAGGTCGAAGTTCGCGATTTCTATAAGTACATCGAGCAAAGTCTGCCGGAACCGCGGCGCATGAAGCAACTTTTGACCTGGTGCGGCTCACGAGCGCTGCCAGAGAAGCCTTCAGGAGATGTCAAAAACGCAAATGCCATCATGGCTGCACGAGCCATCCAGCAAGAGCTTATAGACGATCTCGCGAGCAAACCGGAACTTTCGGATTGGTTTAGCAGGGAGGAAACGGCACCCCTGACTGTGGTGAAAAAGCCAAATCCCCAGAACGTTAAGAACCAGGCAACGCTCGAAGAGTTTGAACAAGAGGTCAAACGGTATGACACCCCCCTAAATCTGATAATTGTGAATCTTGACTGACACTGAGTAGCCTTGAGGAAGAAAAGGCCGCCTGGGAAGCCTTAGCCGCGGCTCCAAACGCCTTACTCGCGCCTCCATCAACACAAACAGGAACCCCCACATTCGCCGATATCGACGCTTCTCTCCTCGATAGCGAACAAGCCGCCATACTAGCCGCCCTCCAAACTTCACAACCACCACAACCCGCAAAAACATCCTCCGAACCTGCTTCCTCCACATTCTCTTTCACAACACCCGCCGCATTACAATTCCACCTCGAGAAGCTCTCGCTCTCGCTAGAACCGAACATCGACCTCTTCGCAGACGGCGTGCACAAGATCGAGCAGTACAGGGGTACCGCTGAGCGGGTAGCGGACCGCGTGCTGGGCACTGCGTCCAAGCGGCTGGAAGAGCGCGACAAGGAGAGCAAGGCGAAGGTCGGCAGTGAAGGGATCGGCGTGGGCGATGTACTGCGGGGACTGGCGGGCGTACTGAAAGAGTCGTAGGGCGTCTCTAGGACCGCGAATATGGTGCAAGAGTCGTAGGAAGTCTCTAGGCCCGGCGACATCGTAACTGTGACGGGAGTAGTACCACTGAAAGAATGTTGCTCATGACTGTTGATGCGGCGTGCTGTGGGCGTTCTTCTGTATCCGAATGACGTATGTGGAGTCTGTTATTTTGGGTGCTCTTGCGGTGGTTTGGTCTGGGCTAGGTTGTCATGCATTTCAGGCGTTGGTGTTGAGAGGAGGACTTCGGGTATACCATTCTGTGTTAAGTCTATGCAGTTACAGCTACATTACAAGTCAAGTTACCTCGAGCAAACCTGTCTGAGTATTGCCATCATTTTGTTCATTGTCGTCGCTCTTCATCGGCTTTCAAATCCAAGATATATCTCCCCGTACTTGTAATTTTGCGGTCTCTCATATCTTTACACACCAAACAACCAGCCTGCCAATCTCCTCGCTCCCCAGGTAGATCCCGAAGCCCAACGTCAGGCGGAGGAACAGGAGCCGTTGTTCAAGATACTTGATGACGTCCAGAGAAGCTGTCACGAGCTGCTCGGCGGTGCGGCCGAGAAGCTGTTCCCACGCCGTATCTGAAAAGATAAGCTTTCCGGTGCTGATTGTTCCGGTCTCGTCAATAACGTCACCGAGCTGTGGTTTGTTAACGTTGGAGTTGGACATAAGAAAAAGCAAATGATTATGAGATATCCTTGTGTAACTCAGCGGGGCTTACTATTCGAGGATTGATGCGTAGCGTACACTCCCTGTCGCACTGGCGGCACCTAGCCTTCACTTTGCTCGCAAATATTGGCTTTCCGCAGCATTCGTTGCTCATAAGCATCTCGCGCTTATAATTCGTAAGTATGTGGAGTTCTGTAACGATAATACTCATGTATCCGACTGCTTTCTCCCTTGGGTTCGTCCTTGCGAATTCGTCGATTTCACTCAGCTTATACAAGACCTTGACTGTAGACAGCTCGGCCTCCTTTGTGTCGAAAAGGTCGTAAGGGAATGGTGGATTGACATGCTCTTTCTTGGTCAGACGCTGAGCGAGTGCCCTGAGATAGCGAGCTTCAGCTATGGAAGGGTCGATAAAAACTCGTGTGTTTGCGTTTAGAGATAGCTTTGCCGTTTTGTCGATTCGCCAACCCGGAGCGGTGATCAGCAGGACGGTTGCATAGGGCTTCCACGCGGATGCCGATCCTGAGACTGAGCCGTAGAGAGTGAGGTGACCTTCGGAGCTATCGTCAAATACAACAGCAGTGATCAGGTCTGAAATGCTGCCGTTCTTGTTGGTGTCTGCCGCGAGGTTAGAATCAAGTACTAATGTCGAGCCTATCTCGCCTGTATGTCATCCAGCCAAGGGTGAGGTATAACTTACACTTCTTCCTCGGTCCGATACTCCTCACACAGACCATGAGCTTGCAATCATCAATATCAAATCCGCCGTCCACGAAAGACTTCAGTGTCATGAGGCCCGGCAACACCTGGCTATCACGCGCCCCAAATGGTCTCTTGAACATTGACCTATCATCACTTCGATCGTGGATCATGAAGTGGCAGTTGCGTTCGTTCTCGGGGAAGATACTGGTGAAGAGCGGCGCCGCACTCGGTGCGAGTCCGACTTGGCCATCTCCTTGACTGATGTGAATTGTCCAGAGCGTGACGAGTTGACCTAGCTGTAGCGGATAGGTGGTCTTCGCATACCATAGCCGTACAAACATGGTGCCTGTATCGTCCGCTACCATGATCTTCACCAACCCTTGGGCCGCCTTCGGTCGCTTACTAGGCTTAGGCATGTCGTAGAAATTCACGACGCGGCCCATCAGGGCAAGATGGCGTGGGCCAGGCTCGAGAGACGCGATGTCACTTTCTTCATAGTCGAGCGTAGGCACCCATGTACTCGTTGGTGGGGATACCTGCAGCTCTTCGGGGGTGAAGCCGTCCCCTGGTGTGACTTTGACTGGTGAAGATGATGAGGCCGGCATTTTCTGGGGTAGGTTGCACTGAGAATATAGCATGTGAGAAGGCAAGCGCCACCAAGCTGCGACCAACGGGCCACACAGGAGGTGTTGTCTAGTGGGGTGTGGGAATTGGTGGGTGGAATGGACGAGTGGGAGCAACAAAAGGTTGCAAAGTGAGAGTCATGCATTTAATCCCGAGATCAAAGAAGAGGAAAGAGTGTGATGGCAATGGTTGAGATTTTGTTGAGGTTATGCAAGAGTGGAAGAGGTCGCGAGGCAGGCGCGCTGTGACAGTCAGTCACTGTAGCGGCAGGAGCGACCATTTGCTCCGGAAGACATCGAACTCGGATCGCTTGAACAGCGCATCAGAAACTGGGAAGGATAATATGAGAATGTAACGACGTGCACACGCAAGATGGCATTGTACTGCGAGGAGCATAAAGCGCAAGAAGTAGCGCAATTTATTGCATTTTCACTGCTGCTATAATTAATTAATGACCAGAGGCAATTGCCTACCCGCCAGGAAAAGCAAAACCAGCCATGAGTTGAATCATGGACATGAGCATCTTGGGGTGCTCAAGTACTGCCGGTCACATACACCGATAACACATTGAACCACCTAGCAAACTAGAAAGACAGATCATATCAGGTAATCTAGAAGAGCTTGTGCTCAAGAGTCATGTCACTTTCTGGCTCAAGGCCAACACATGCCCTGAAGATGTTCGTCAGGGCAGCACGCTGCTTGGCGAGGGAGTTGATGACAGGTGTGCCGGGAGGCGTAAGGGGAGCCTACGCGAATCAGCAACATGAGCAAGATAGTAGGGCAGAGAAACTCACCTTGAGCATGTAGCTCAGGATGCTGAGAACGCTGTGAAAACCGGCGTACTTCGCATCGGCAGCATCGGCACCGTGGGCCTTCCATTGGATACGTGTCATCATCTCGGCGACGAGGACCAGGTCGATGATTAAGGGGGAGGCCAGAAGCGAATCCTCGCAAACGTTGAAGATGCTAATCGTTTGGTGTCCCCCCAGGAAGATCTCGGCATAGTACTCATCGAGAGCACGCTTGTCGTCACCAACAGCAGGCATGTACTTGATGACGACGGTGTGGTCTGGGTGCTCGCCCTCCTTGTACAGGACAGTGTTGGCAGCTACCATGTCGTCGATAACGTTGGACTTGGAGATCTCCTTGGAGCGGAACTGCTTCTGGGAGCTGAGGTTCTTGCCGTCGTTGTTGCCGAGATGGTTGTAGCTAGCAACGGATGTGAGCTTGATACCCGCGTTGATCAAGAAGTCCACGAGAGCAGACTTCATCTTGGTCTGACCGGACTTGAAGTCGTCACCACCAATGAAGGCATTGTGCTTCTCCGCGAGCTGAATGGCGCCAGGGACGAAGGTGTTCTGGGGAGAACCGTTGATGAAAGGAACCTGGTCCAGGATACAGGCAACGGCAAACATAGTCGACGGAGAGACTTCCTCGTGACCATTCTCGATAGCCTTGAGAAGGTTGTCGGCAGTGTCATTGACTCCAGGCAGAATGTCGGCGAAACGCTCCGTATTGGCAGTCCACTGGACGATGACCTTGTCAAGGTCATTGGCAGCCTTGAATTCACGGATGTCCTTACGGATCTGCTCAATGTGAGCCATGGAAGCCTTGGACCCGGGAATGAGGTTGTCGGCACGGTCCTCCTGGTTGGCCGCAATGAAGTCGGGGTAGTAAATGCTAGGCAGAGGCTTCATCTGAGCCATCTCTTTGCGCACCAGAGACTTCAGAGTTGGCTCAAGCACCTTGGCACGGTCCATGGCTTCGGCCAAGTTCAGACCGCTGATGTCCCAACCACCGATAACAAGATCGTTGGGGTGCACCATAGGCATCAGATCGTGGAACGGGATGTTGATGTCCGCACCCGTCTCGCTGTCGACACCGAGCTTGGTCGTAGATCCCATGATCACAGAGCCATAGTAGTTGGCACCCCGCTTGCCCTCCTTGGTCTCCCACTCGAGACCGCGGCGGTTGGCGAGAATACCAGCAGTCACAGTTGTACCGTTGTTGCCACCCAGACCAATAAGCATGACACCGAGCTTGGGGATCTTGCGGTCGACCTTGAAGTCGTATAGAGTCTCCTTGGGGACAGCCACATACTTGCCGTTGGCGTTCTTGGAAACGGCCGTGGTACGGTAAGTATACTTCGACTTGATGGTTTCGTCGGTGTATTCGACGTTCGGAGACTCCACAACAAAAAGATCCTTGGCTGGTGTAGCCGCTGTCCCACTTCCACCGTTCGCAAAACCGACGGACTCCTCAGCGTGAGGGGCCATCTTGATGAAGAAGTTGATTCGGTGCCTTTAAGCTGATTTGATTGCTTAGAAGGCTAGTATAAGATCCGATGCTCCTCCTGAGGGAGAGGTGCGTCGGCCTGCGAAGGTGTTGTGGGACCTAGTTCAGTTAGCGTTTGTTTTGTATAGCAGAATTGAAAAGAGCGTGGGCCACATACGAGTTGAGAAGATTGGAAAACGTGTTGACTATCTGGGCAGTGGCCCTACGATACTCTTTGGAGCGATAGGTTGAGTGAGGGGTTGGTAAACTGGGAACCGAAGTGCCTCAAAACGTGTAGATAGCGTGTGATTTTGGAGGGGTAAGTTGATATTTGGACGAGCGAGATTGAGCGGGGCAAGTTTGGAGAGTATAAGGTGAGGAAGCAGTGGACTCTCTGCGAGGAGGCGCTTTATAGGTAGGCTCGGGTATTCTCGACCGCGCACAATATCTGCTCGCGGGAAGGCGCGTTATCGCTTGCGCTAATTGAAGCGCCAACACCCACGACAGTCCGCAGACACCCGGACAGCACAGGCTAGACACTAGACACCTCTCCACCGCCTTTTCGAAAGCGAAGCTCGTCCGCGTGGAGAAGGCCAATCGAGACGCGTTGCGAGAGTACCAGCCGTCAGGGATGCAAAGATTGAATGCCTCTGGGGAACAACGGCACCATCTCAGCAAGCGGCGGCAGCAGTGGCAGCGCCGGGACTTTATCACATAGAACAGAAGGAAATCTCCACGTTAAGCCCTAGAAGAGCCATATACAGTGCTACATAGTCTTTCAGAAACTCGATGATGGCGTTCGCGGGGTCGAGCTCCAGTTTCTCCACTACAAGCAACCTCCTCAGCCCACCTCATTAAATCACTCGGACCAGCAGCTATTCTTCCGGAGCGTCCCGCGCAGAAGGATGCCAGCTGTCTGACGGACTTCATGTCGGTGCTCGTGTACTTGGGCAGGTAGCATAGCGGTGCGTTGTCGCTGTTCTACTTCCTACTTCCTGTTGGACATGATGCAAAGGGTACCCCGCCATGCAGGTCGATGTTTACATGTACAGCCGTGCCCCGCTTGGCAGGAACACGCCTCCGACTGGTCGATTATGAACCGTTGAGCACGCTGCGTCTTCTAAGTCGGTGTTCCGTTTGCACTGCACAGAATAAACGACCTGTGTTTGTCCCTCGATCGATCGGTGGTTGTTTCGAAGCAAACCTCTCTCGTCACTGCAGCCGGTTTCCAGGACGACCTTGAGACCTCGCAGGCTTCAAGACTGTTTGCAATGCGAAGATGGCCAAGCACGCCAATGCAGGGCGGCTTGATACCATTCCAACCCCCGAGTGCAGCTTGGGGCGATTCGCTGGCTGCTGAGACGAGCTTGGCTGAAGGATTCAACGGGATTTCACGAGAGCATCATTCCAAAGTGGGCCATGGCAGTCGCGAATGGAAGGTCGTTCGCATCGGCCAGCAAATTGTCTAGGAGGTGGCCTGCATGCCCGCGCAGGGTCCACGGGCTCCCGCAGAGCCTAGGCGGTTGACAGCAGCCTGCAGGCACAGCAATAGCGACGTTTGTCAAGACGGTCAAGACACCAGGCCAGCGCCGTCACGGCCGAGAGAAACATGTCATCGACCTGCAGCGACCTCGGATCTCTCGTCGTCAGAGTTTCACGCTCGCATCCGCCCACCAGGACGTCCGAAACCTCGGGCGCTAATACAGGCGCGCGGCGCACCTGAGACCAGTTCGCCGTGTTCAGTTCCGCCAGATCTCGTGCCATCGGCGCACACGACAAGTTGCGCAACAGGCGGCGGCCTTTCATGCAGGAGGCGTTGTCCCTTCGACGACGATCGCGCAAAGAGGCAGCGATCTGCCACACTTCCAATCATACCCGAATGTTATATCGATGGCTTAATGATTATGGTTCTCCTGAGCATGGACGCTATCCCCCGGCTGTGCGGCGTGCTCGGCTCAAGTCAGCTCGTCCAGCAACGTCTTCTATGTCCGCCGCGAAAAGCCGCGAAAATAGGCGCGCAGTCTGATGACACACACAGCCATTGCCATCAGCAGTGCGTGCGACACACAGCGCGGCACGAATCCGATGGGCGCTGTTTCATCAATTCTGGCCCAGTTTCTGGCGCGCGTGGGCCGCCGCATCATGGGAGCTCCGTGCACTCCTGAACACCTATCCGGCAAATCACAAGCCGTTATCTGAGGACATCCAACGCCACATTCAGGGACAAGCGCGGCTTCCTTGCAGGGCTCACAAAGTGTCTCGAGTTGGAGCTTGTCTGTGGTCGCCTGCTCGTTCGTTTTTGATTGCCTCGACTCAGGCTTTTGATAGTGCATTTGTCTGGTTTTCTCGCTACCACATTGTTCACTTCATCATTCGTCGGGTCTAACATTGCGAGCATCGTCCACGGGGCTAAAGACTTTCCAACCAGGGTGTCGTCCGCTAGACGTCTTCAGACCGCTCTGAGGAGTTCCCGCGGCCGTCTTCACATCAGGCCCGCTTCAAGCATCATTTCCGCATTGCCCGTCTCCATTCAGCAAGTCACTATCCGCTTTAACACACTTCGGCTCTTCGAATGCTCAGGGATTGGTCTCGGCGCGCACTGTTACCGTAGCTGCCCTGACTCGGCGTTGCAAGCGTCTACCCAATCCATGATCCTACTCCCAAACACTTTGTCTTCTAGGAAAACGCTGGACGTGGAAACACATATCCTCACATACTTTGCGCGCGAGCTACCATCAACTGAGGGATCTCAATCTCGAGAAGGGCAGCTATGGCTACCGATGGCCTGAGTTTTCTGCCGACCATAAAGTGCTCAGACTGCGGTATCGACATCGAAATCTCGCAACTGGCTGACCATGTCTGCGCTCCCGCTTCTCTCAGTAAGAATAGCCCGTAGATAGCTTGAGGGTTTGACTCTAATCATTATTCTAGAAGATGAAGGCCCGGCGTCACCGAAGCTGGATCGCGCAGCTACGTTTGGCGGTTCATCATTGAACCAGAAACCGGACCGTCAGTCGCGATCCGCTCGCATGCCACCGCCTCCACGAATAGACCCTTTTGCTGCTAGTGAGTGCTTGAATATACGGTGTCGCAACTACCGAAGGCATTGCTGACCTCAATAGATAAACCCTTCTTAGGCCCAGGGGACCTATCGCCTGACAGCAGCTACAGCGACCCTAAAAGTCGATCGGCTCTTTCAACTGGATCTGGAAGGTCGCCTTACCCAATGAACCGCAGCGCAACGAGCCCTCTACCACAACCCCGTGTTCCTTCGCCTGAAGAACTGTCGTCCAACCTGGACTCCGCCTTTCCTCGTTTTCCGACTGCCCGCAGTGCTACGCCACCGAATGCGAGACCAAAGACTCGCGACAGACTAGAGCCTTCACCCTCGTATGATCAGAACTACGCACAACCGAGCCCTTTATTTGCGCCGTTAAGCCCACGTATCAATGGAGGAGAAAGCATAATGAAGAGGATGGATACTATTGCGCCTGGTCCTTTCACAGGTGATCGTAGGCCAAGCACATCCAGCGGCCCATTTACAGGTGACCGCAGACCAAGCACATCCAACGGCCCGCGACCAACTAGTCAAGGTCGGACACCTTTCAGCCACCAAAGGACGAACACTCAGGGCAGTGTCAGGAGTAACGGCATAGCATCGAACTCCAGGTTGTCAACAACGTCAAGTGCTTCGCGCGGTTCAGTGTTCTCGAACGGCAGCTCAGGATTGCCTTCGCGACCTAGACTTGGTGCGGGACCCTTCGCTGCGATGCCACCACCACCGCCGCCTCCACCAAAAGATGAAGAGCCTGAAGGCATCGATGCTTTCCTAGCACGTTTACAGAACGAGACCCTGGCGCCGGCGAAACTCGATCAGGATAGTCGATCGAAGACTTTCCCCATGCGACAGGAAACGAGAGATGCTGTGGATCCTCCAGCGCGACCGGCCGACCGTATACCGCCTCCAAGACGGCCTACCGATATCGACACTCGAAACGACTATACACTCTCGTCGCGCAGTTACGAGCCTTCGCTATCGAAACCCCCCGTTCCAAACTACGCTCGAGATTTCCCAAGCGACGCTGTGCACACACCTTCAGATTCCGGATTGTCGGAAGATTCCTACGCCAGCTCTGGCTTCAGAAGCGTAGCAAGCTCCAGATCCAGCCCACCTATATCCGAAGCCAGCCATTCGCGTCAGGCCTCGAAGGTTGGTCGATTAGAGTATCCCGATGACGAACCCGTTCGCAGAGTTCAGAGCCCCGAAATGTTCCTGGATCCGAGGCCAGCGCCACCCCAGCCTGAAAGCCGCAGAGGCAGGAGCCCCGAACGCTACCTACAAGCACCGAAAGTGCCTTATATGGGCGCTCCAGAATCCCCCATTGATCCCGCGATCCAGAGGGGGCTTTCTTCCACCGTACGAAGAGAAGAGCCGCGACAGATCCGCGATCCTGCTCTCAACACCCCAGGCTTGACGAACCCACCCCCGCGAAACCTAGGACCCGAGCCACAACGCGAAGTGAACCGTCGGCCCACGACCGCCGGCAAGGGGAGGTGTCGCGGCTGCTCCGAGCAGATTATCGGCAAATCAATCAAAGACTCTTCTGGGCGTCTCACAGGCCGCTATCACAAGGCCTGCTTCGTCTGCCGCACCTGCCGCGATCCCTTTCCCACCGCAGAGTTTTACGTATTCAACGATGCCCCTTATTGCGGACAGCATTACCACCAGCTCAACGGCTCGCTCTGCCGCGCCTGCAATCGTGGCATCGAGGGCCAGTACCTCGAGACCGACCAGCGCCTGAAATTCCACCCGCGCTGCTTCTGCTGCAGCACGTGCCGCATCATGCTGCGCGACGACTACTACGAGATCGGTGGGCGCAACTACTGCGAGCGCCACGCCTACAGCACCGTCAACCAGCGCAACAACTACCTTGGGCCCGGCGGCAACAACAGGACGCAGAAGCTCGAGAAGCGCCGCACCAGGCTAATGATGATGAGTTGATCTTGAGTCGAGTCGACTCGAGTCAAGCGCACACCTACCCACACCGTACTACATTACACCATACCCACTCTTTGTACCTAATTTTGGTTCCACCCACGGCTTCTCTCGGCGCTACTCCGTATACCCCCCCTTTACCTCTAGCATCCACATTTGCAAGCGTTCATCCTATGCCCTTCACAATATCCCGGTTTATTCAATTCACGACGACGACGGTCGCGCCGCTATTTTTACCTCTTCGTCTTTACGTTCTTTATACCTCTTGGATACCCACTCCTTACGGCATTGTAATCACATTTACGTCACGCCACGATACGGCTCGTTGGCTTTGGCTTTGTTGGCGAGATATACCCCCCTTTTTTTCGCTTTGGATGTGCCTGTGTTGTGCTGCCTCGTAGGGAGGCTGGCTGGCTGGCTGGCTGAATGGATGGCTTGATGGTCGTTGACCAAATGTATTACTTATGTCACTCGTAATGGATGTTCTTATGTGCATGAGTCAAGTTGTTCGCTTGTGATATTCGTTTGGAGTACACTACTCTACATGATGAATGGATCATGCTCGTGATATTCGTCTTCTGCTACTCGTGAAATCATGCACAGGAAACCCAGCCGGCTCCCTGGTGACCGCAGATCGTACAGGACCTTTGGTCGATCGGTCGCCTGTTGCTCCACGCAGCGTCCAATGTCGTTGGTCTTCTTGTCGCTCCAGAGATTGTCTGCTTCAAGAGCACGCTCGCTCAGTGCGCACGCTTGCTCTTGCGCCTAATCACTGTGCCCGTCTCGTTGGTCTCCTCGTCATCGCACTGTGCGTCAAGCTGACGAATGAAGTCTCGCAGACCGCCCATGTTCTGGCGGGCTTCAACCTCGCGCCGAGGCTGCTCTGTAGTTCCTCGCGCTGTTTCGATATTCTGCCTCGCACGAGCGACACTGCCAGGCTTCTTTGGAGCCTGCGTAGCGGTCGTCATATTCTGCCTAGCGCGGGAAACACTGCCTGGCGTATTCGTGAGTACAACGTCTGAGACCTCCCCGCTCAGCTTCTTGTACGCATCTTGCCGATGGTACTCCTTCTCAATATGATCCTCGACTTCTGCCTTCACCGTTTCAAAGTCTCCGAATGGGCTCAAGGGACTCAGGGGACTGATGCTTGGAGGCTCCCGGGTCATCAGCAGGGCTGGAGAGGAGACTGTGGACTTTGGTAGAGGCCAGTGGATCGTAGCATTCGAACGTCGCGAATGGAGAGTACTGCTGTCGTTCTCTGTGGACCAGGGAGGAGAGCTTGGGGCATAAGATTGTCGAGCTGGCAAGCCGGAAGGTGTAACGTTAGAGAAAGGCTCGTCCACTGTCTTCTCCAATGATACTGGGCCATCCCTATCAGGGTGGGTAGACTTCGAGTAGTATTGCAATCCGATGTCGGGCTGCTCGCCATTTGCTTCAAGATCTCCAACGGGGTGGCTGCCCTCACTCCTCGGGGGGGTGTGCCATCCATCATCTTCATCCCGACGATAAATTGGGGGAGCCAAATTCAATCCTGTGGGAAGCCGCGGCCCGGGGAGCACTCCACGGTTTTTGGGATTGCAATTGTCTCTGCGGGTCTTCCAGCGGCGAAACAACAGGTACAGCACCAGGATCAGGAGAGAACCACCCGCTATGGCACCGGCGACAATTTTTCCAATAGTACTTCCCTCCATTGGCTTGTGATCTTGTAAGTCGTCGAATGAAAGAGACGGCACTTCCGTGGTTGAAGACCGTGGAGAGACGGCGTGAGCTTCTGTAGTGAGGGTTGGCGAAGATACTGCAGTAACCATGGACGCAGATTTCGCGATTATGGACGATGGGGATGCCGTGGTATATGCCGTAGCATACGACGTAAACGTTGGAGTGATTGTTAGGAGCGTAGCCGTTCGCGTTCGCAGGTCACGGACGGTTGAGTTCATCCAGGTCGTTGCATGTGAGGGGGCAACAAAGCCTGTATTTGGAGGGTGTAAATTGGATACAGAGATGCTAGCGATGTAGTTGGTGCTGAATGGTGAGCAGGCGATGCTTGTCAGGCACGTTAGACTGGCCTCTTTGATTCGGCTGCACTGGTATCAGTGTATATAATACCGAGACCGAGGTCGCTTTATACCTACAATCCACACCTGCCTTTGCTGAGCTTATACTCTACGACCTCCTTGGAACTGGGACGTGGTCAGTGTCGCAAACGGTGAAGGGAAGGCGCGCTCCACTCACCGTTCGCAGCAAGAAACCTCGCCCACAAGTCCCGTACAATTGACGGAACCTGCACAACTGACTGTCACTGGGCTTTAGTGCGACGTCTTCCGCCAGTGTGTGAATTGAAGCTCACATAGCCCATAACCCTCGATGCAGTACCCCGCTGGCGCGTCGGCACCAAGGCCTATGATGGGAGACCAAGCAGGGACACTCGCCGCGAGAAGAGGCAGCAGAAAGGGTGTAACGACTCGAAGCATTGAGTATTGCGTGCGCGGGCTCGTCGTGCCTCAGGTCGAGTGTGCGTCAAAGCAGAAGGAGCGAGGGAATTCGTTGGTAAAATTGGCTGGCCAAAAGGCGGCGAAGCTGTGGGTGTAAAAAAGGATCTTTGAGAGAACTGAGGAACTGGCAAATGTGGTGTCTAGCGAGGAAGTTGGAATATCAAGCCGTACCTAATGGGTTAGCTCCACGTGCGCGATGAAGTGAAGATGAGGTACACTGCGAACGATAAATGGGCTGGCTAGCGCACAAACGCATCACCAAGTTCCCAACGCCGTTGTCAGTGAGGTCCCGCGGGACGACTGATTCGTACTGGTGGTAGGCTTACTGCATAGCAATGTGTTCGTCGCCCTTGGTCGTGCCTTCCGAGGTACTGGCTGAATTGACTCCCGTAAGCCACTGTATAATAAACATGATAAAAATAGCAATACAAGCTCATCGATTCATTGAAAAAAAAAAGAAGATTGTAATACCTTCTACCGCATCTATACCAGTACCGAAGGTATCAACTGTACCATGATATGACTAAATGCTCCAGCCGGATCGATAGGGAAAATTCAAACACACCACAGATCCTCACGGTATTGTGCAAGCCGCAAGGCTCAACCGTCGCGATGCAACTTGAAATCGTTGCTTGCTGGTACCTCATTGTGACACGCTCGCTTTATCTCCACTGACGCAAGTCTTCTAGTTCAGCTGGCAGAGCTGATGTCTACACAGCTACGGATGGCGCAGGAGGAGACCAAGAACTCTCTTTCTGTCGTCTAAGCCTCCATATGATATTCCTAATGAGTTACGCGGAGCTCCTGTTGGTACCATTTCTGTGCCCGGTCATTTGACAGTCCCTGCACCTGGCCATCAACGGAGAAATCGAATAGATTTCCATATGTTTCTACGACCCAGTCACAGAACTCCGCCCAGGCGGTTCTGAAGTGTCCCTCGGCTATTTCCTTCTCCTTATCCTTGAGACAGCTGTATTCCAGACTCCACAAAGCGAGCTGTTTCCAGCTGTGTACTGACATGGTAGGCGAGCCCACCATGATCTGATAGAATTCATGAGACATTGAATTACTAGAGGATCAGTTAGCACGCAGGTTGGAGAATGACAGCGCAGTGACGAACCTGAAAAGGGAAGGATTGTCGCTGTTCACGCAGCAGGGGATACCTGCTGCAAGAAGTTCTGGATAAGGGTGCTCCTTGATGTTTCTACACAGGTGCAGGAGTTCGTTCGAGATAGGGCACAATTCAATGCATATGCCTTTGCTTGTCTTCGTTCGCTTGAACTTTTCCACGAGATGCGGATGCTTCATTAACGCAAAGCCATGCCCAATTCGTTTGGAGTTCAATGCCACGGCATCGTAGAGATTAGAGTTTTGGGGATCGCTTGATCCTCCGGTATCGAGAAGTGTTTCACCAGCATGGAACATGAAGGGTATTTCGAGATCCTTCTCCTTGCATTCCCTTTGCAGACGAGTCAGCTGTTTGTGATAGAAGCCGATGTGGTTGGGTCGATCCTCTGCACCGACTAGATCGAAACCTAAGTTTTGTCAGTGGGCAACACTGATGCTAAGTGTAGCTCAGCGTGGCTCTACTACTTACCACAGATCAAGTCCTTAAACTGGCTCTTCAACTTTATGCAGTCATCGATCTCTCTTTCCATGATCTTCTCTGGAATAGAGCGTGGTGTGCAATAGATGATTTTAAGACCGAACGGGAACAGATGCTCCTTGTTAGCCTTTCTGAGCTCTGCTTGCTTTTGCTCTACGGCTTCCAGGATTAGTTGCATCTGTTCTGCATTCCTCACTTCTCGCCCTCCATCATCATCTTCAATGAATTTGTCCAAAAGCATAGGTCGAAGCTCAGCGTACATGACCTTTTCGTCAATCATCCGGTCGATCGCTTTACCGATATACCATTCGTACACACGTTTGTAATTAAGCAGACCCTTGAAACATCTCGTAGCTTGGTTGAACCGAGCCCAAACTCTGGAACAAAGCGGTCAGTAAATAAATCGCATCAGCGCAGGGAAACCTGCAAGATCAACGTACCCGTTAACTGTTTGCGAGGGTTCATATGCCTCTATCTCACTCAACACCATCTTCGATAATATCCAGTTCTCTGCTGGGTCGAGTGGGACCTTTGCCGGTTCCTCGCCGATGCCGTCGTCGGTTCGTACTGCCTCCTTCTTGTCATATTTCTTCGCGAACCTCGCCGGGAAGGTTTGACGGAAAGTTTCCCACTTCATCCATACCCTGTCTGAGTATTCCGGGTGTCGCCAGTTATCCTTAACAGACCCGTCGACACCTTTCACCTTTCCTCTTCCCTGATATTGCTTATCAAAAATATTTGAATCCTTGGTGGTTGAGGGTACAATTTTGAACACGATCTCGGTCTCATCTAGGTCTTGTTCGGTAATCAAAGGTCTAATACTCCAGACATACATATTATTCCTCATCTCTCGAGCCTGCTCAAGTAGCCGTTCAGGATTCAGTTCTGCATTGAAATGTAGGTGCAATAATGCTCCTTTCGGGACCTTCTTTGAGATCTGGAACACAATGCTTTGTTTCTCGATACGACTCTTGTTGGTGAGAAATTGACCACCCATATCCAAGGTCCAATCTGCGGGGATTTCTTCAGATGGCATGTTTCCAAAGATGTATCTGCGCTCGAATTCTCGAATCAGGCGGATTATGTCTGCAGCTTGCTTCTGCTTCGGAGCGAGGTCAGATGTACTTGCAGCATAGTCCCAAGCTTCCTCGGCTTCCGTTTTTATCAGGGCATTGCGAACTTCTAGATAGGTGTCAAGTTCGTTCTTATCACTGGCCGTATTCTGCGACCTGGTTGAGGCCATTGTTTTCTTGGAAGGGCTGTTTGGATTGAGCGAACTCCTTTTCCTCTTTTTCTCACTTGAGTCAGCAGAGGGTTCTCCTACGCTGTCCGGCCCTCGACTAGGGACTCGTCTGTCACGTACAGATCTATGCATTATCAGCAAGAGTTCGAAGAGGAGCAACATTGTTGTTGCTTACAAGGTAGGCAAGCACCTGGACAGCCACCCTTGAGATGAGTTTTGAGACTCGCTCGACGACTTTGAATCGCTGTCCGCAGGCATGCCGATAGCTTGTTGCATTCGCCTCTATCACCGACTTCTCATACCGGTACAAGGAGTGCACAATACCGACAAGCAAACAAACCCGGTGATTGGGAACACTTATTTGCGCCACCGACTGTGAATGCAATACTGTAGCCTGGCCCGCTGGTTGGTACACCGGTCAAGGAGTGATGATACAGCTGTTTCTAGTTCTGTAACGGGTTTGAAAGATCCACAAAAAATGGTAGCCCAAGGCTGTAAATGTGAAGCTAGAAGTGGAAGGATTGTCCGGGGGAGATAGACCAAGATATTCTGGTATAGTCGGGCTCGTATATTGGCCTATTGCAAGTGTGAGTACATGATCCACATGGCATCCATTGTGGAGATACGAAGGACACAGTCATCGATGCTGCGCCCCACGGTAGTGCTAAAGGCTGAATCACAAGTCTGGTGCCTTAAGAATGTGACGGCGGAGGAAACGAAGGAGGCGATTAGGAGAGACGGTCTGAACAGATGACGCTATGGAGAGATGATGGCACAAGCCGCCTGGGCCTTGTTGTGGGTCGCGATAGCACATGCGCTCGAGGGGAGAAGCCCAGATATCTGGACAGGGGCATCGCGTGGCTGAAGATCAAGAGAAAACGCAACGAAGCGCCCACATACATCAGCGCATGGTCACTGCGCGCACTGGACTCCTCCTCCGATGACTGCAATCACGCTGGCGATGCGCGGGACTTTGTCGCAAAAGATGCTCGGCGGGCGGTGCGGTTGTGAGTGTGTCACGAGGCTGGCGCGTGCACCCAAGTTGAGGTTTGGGCGAGGTGTAGGGCGTGGGGTAAGCAGCGCACGCGCGGAGGAAGCTGCGACGGCCTCACGCTTCCTTCCTGTCGCGGAAACTTGAAGGCGCAGTGGTTTCAACGATGATGCGGCAAGCGCTGGTGCAAGAAAGATGTTCCAACTTGGGCCTGCAACCTGCTCTGACTTCCGGTCACAGAATTGAGGCTATGCCTGCGCCTCGCTCCAGCCCATGCCGCTTTCCTGTAGCCTAGTCGTACCTCTTCTTCCCGGTCGCCAGCAATGCCCCGCCAGCGCGGATGCCTCAGGCATCATACTGTGACTGGCCCGCATCGGCGCTAGGACGCTGTTGTGTGAGGCTGGAATCGAGCAACTGGACCTCGAGCACTGACCGGTCCGCCTCGGATCGCCGCCCCCAAACGTCTGTGTGAGGCCCTGTCGTCTTGGTCCTCTCGTGTTTCCCGCCACTTTTTCCCATCAATCTGTCACCAGTATTCCTACTTACGCGTCCATTATCGCAGCCTCAGGCCCTTGGTTTCGTTATATACCCTCGTTTCGCTGCGCCATTCCTCCAAGTCGCTTGTTCTGACCCATGTCTGTTCTTCGTACCCGCCCGGCGCTTTGACTTTTCTCCGCAATCAGTTTTTCCACCGCCTCATCCTCCCAGGCACTATGCTCTGGCTCCAGGCCGAGAATGGAGAAACCGTACTGCAGCAGTTGCAACTTGATATTGTCGGTTTCCTCGCTATCTTGGGCGAGGGTTCCGTGCTTGCCAATGCCCAAGTCTCTACTCTCTCGAAATGGATCTTCCTTCCACGCTTAATCCCGGCTCCTCAAGCATTGATGAGACCAACCAGGCCTACTGTACTCGAACCGGTCCCTGGGCATATAACTGGTATTTACTCAGGCAACTACAAAGATACGATCAATCACATTGGCAACATTGTCTGGTGAGTGTTTCTCTCCAATCATTCTTTTCCGCAAGCATTGGAAGCACTGTGAGGCGTATTCACTGCCACATGTCTTGGTAGATTCTGCAATTCTTGAAATCTGGCGTCAACTGAACTTGAGCTGATTGAACTCATGCAGTGATGCCAACAGCCTCCCAGCACACTCCGTGCGCGTTGTCCGCATCAAACGCACTGGAGTAAGCCTTGTGAAATCCCGGACCATCGCCCCCCTCACAGGCGTCCTATTCCTTGGCTTCTTCCTCTCGTGCGTCCTCCTTGGACTTTCGATCTGGCGTCAGGATGGCATGTCCCTAGTGGCCACATGTCTTCTCTCGTTCTTGTCCTCCCTCATCGGCTACGGCAACAAATGGGAACTCAAGCTGCCAGAACGCAGATCGAAGAAGGGCAATGTTCCCCCGGGCGACGTCGTTATACGGTATCCTAAAGGCAGCTTCCTGATCGTTCGGTGTCCTGAGGAAGTCGCTCGAGAGTTGTATTTCGCACCGGAGACTATCCAGTATCTCCTGCAGCATGGACCAGCCTATCGCCTTCTTAGCCTGGTCGGCACCATCATGCTCATGGGCGGCGTCATCTGCCTCGCCAACGCCCAAATCGAATCGCAGATAGCGTGGGCGGCATCGTATATGCTGCTGGGTTCATCGTATTGGATAGTCGCGGCTTTGCCGGCAAAGCTGCACTGGGATTACTCATGCTACACCGTCACCAACGAGCGCCTTTCGGACTCGAATCAGTCAGCCAAGGGTTTCCCTTCAGAGAGTCCTACTTTCACACAAGCTCTGTGGAAAGCAATTGTCGTCTCAAAGCAAATAGGCTGGGTGCGGCTGAGCAATGCCTGTCCAGATACGCCGGCCTGGCAAAGGTGGTTGAAGCAGGCCGAGCAGCAAGCCAGGACAGTACAGCTGGTAGAGAGCAAGACAGAAGAGAAGGTGACGACGTGGGAGATCCCGGACTGGGACGCGCAACAGGCTCTGGTTGCGCTGCTGAACGAACAGGCTACGGACGATACCGCAAGCATCAAGAACGCTGAGGAAGTGGTGGTACGGAACATGGAAGAAGCCTAGGATGGCATCATGTTGAGACCGCAGCATTCTGACATCGCAGCATTGAAATACATATGGCAAGGCATTTACGACTTACGACCTGATGATTTAAGGACATTTGGATTTGCAATCGCATCGTATGGTTTCAGCGTTCAGCATCTTGAAAACGAAAATTAGCATGTAGCGTAGCATGGTTGCCTCAGGCATCTTTACCATATCCTTAATCTAGCATGATTTCTTCCTGCAGCTGATCTTCACGTGTCTCATGTATAGCAACTATGCGAAGCTGCTTCAGGGCATGCTCCTCGCTCGTGCTACCGATCATTCCCGACCGGTGCAAGGCAGCAAGAGCTCCGTAGCCAGCTGTAGCCAGTGTCAAGCGCATCCTTCTTCGCTGATTACGCATGCGCTTCATTTCGCAGACTTCCACCGCTGCTCATGATCCACCTTGGTCCGTACGACACTCCGCAGCCAGTCATCCAGGTTTTCTCCTTCCCTACCGTCCACCTCCATGCCCTCCGCCAGACCAACACCACCGTCTTCTTTGCAGCACACTTCCGCAGCCGCCTCAGCAGCCTCTTCCCACTCTTCGTAGCTAAATGTGCCGTCGCTCTCATTCAGTAGCATTTTTCCTTCTCCAGAGAAGGCGAAGACGTGGGCGGAACGTATAGATTTTGCGCGTAGCAGCTCAATTGCAGTAGGCGAAAGCAGCTGCGTGGACGCTGTGGGGGTGTTTGTAGAAGGAAGCGCGATGAGCACGGCGGTGAGGGTTGTGGACAGGGGTATGGACGCGCTGAGGAGGGCGAGGAGCGCGGTGTGGAGGAGGTGCGGGAGGAGTGTGAGGCTCTGCGTTGCGTTAGTTTTGGTACTCTACGTAGGAATGGAATGTAAACTACAGGGCTGACACCAGTGGAGCTGTCTTCGTCGGGCAGACTGCGTACTTGGAGGGTGATTTGTACGAGCGTCCGTGGTATACTCCGCGTCAAGATGACGCTGCGCAGTGTGTTATGTAGTAAGGTCTCGAGATGTCTCTCCTTTGGACCTTTCCTCATCATCAGCGGCGCAAGCACCTAGTTCCTGCGTATACGCACTTCCAACGCCCACGGCCGGCCTCACGTTGACCTCGACGGTCGCTTCCTCGGGCATCTCATCGCGCCGCAGCACCTCGATGGGCCCATTGACGGCGCCAATGATGCAGTATCCGTTGTGTGTGTAGGTCGCCGACCCGTCCGCGCGGTGCAGGTGTGACAATACGGCTTCGGGCGCCATCTTCTTCGGTTCGTTGTCTGCGCTTTGCGACTGCTCGGCGATTGTCGCTCGCTAGCTCTTCGAAAGTTTGGACAGGGATCAGTGACGGAGGCGGGGTCCGAGCGCGGTGCACCACGCGGTTGGAGCGCGGGACCGAGGCTGGGGGCTGGTCGCTGCCGCCGGCGAGCATCTGGCTCTGGCTGACCTTGGGCGCGGCTCGGTGCTGCTTTGCACTGCAACCTTTGCTTCAATTGTCGCGCAGTAGTACTCCGGAGAAGACCATGGCGAGCTCATCGCGCGTACAGTCGCCAACCAAGCGCCTGCTCACGGAGCTGCAGAGCTACCAGTCGGACCCCAACGACGCGCTGCTGGAGCTGGGTCCCATAGACGACGATGAATTGATGCACTGGAGGGCCGTCATGAAGGGCGTGCCCGGCACTGCATACGAAGGTAGCTTTCCCCTCCCCTCCCATGTGCTTCGATATCCTCTCTCCTCCGTCTCGCAATGCCTATCCCTAGCTATCGACCATCGTCCTGACAACCCCCAGGCGGCCGCTGGGCCCTCGATATCCATATCCCGAACACATACCCCCTCGCGCCTCCCACCATCCGCTTTATCACACCCATCTGCCACCCGAACGTCGACTTCAAGACCGGCGAGATCTGTCTCGATCTGCTCAAGACATCCTGGACGCCCGCGTACACCATCACCACTACCATGACGAGCATACATCAGTTGCTCACGAGCGCTGAGCCGGATAGCCCGCTGAATGTCGATATTGCGCAGTTGTTTAGGCAGGAGGATTATGTGGGTGCCGAGGCGCTGATTAGGTTTTACACCGAGACGGAGAGGTGGGAAGGCGGACGGAGGAGGCAGTAGTTGCTATAGGATGGGAGGACGATTAACGATGGACGAGGAGTGTATGGTATGGTGGATCTGGGAGGATGTTGATATGGGAACTTGTGAATTAAGCGTGTGTGGTGGTAGCATCGTTGCATGCCCTTTAGCGATCGGGAGGATGAGGTACACATGGCCGATATGATATCCAGAGTTCAAACGTATACTTTCGGGCTCCGCAACCAGATTGAATTGAGGGTCGCGTGGAGAAACCGCATTTGAGAAGCATTCCCACTGGGATATCTTAGCTGACACGCATGCAGAACAAGCATATCATTGCTTATGATGCTGAAGCACGACCGTAACGCATAATCGCTAGGTCGGAGAATCAATGTGCGTGCGAAGTAAGGGAGACCACAATCAGCTCCGGGTTTATCCGATTCGGATACTTTTCGAGCAGGTGCTGACCTTCGAAGCCCCACGTCTTGAGGGAGCACGACGAATTACGACGTGAGATGGATTTCAGACTCACACGTCTAAAATTACATACATTGCACTCCTGGTTCGCCCTCGGATAAGCAACCCTACCTTTTCCGCAGGCCGGAAAACTACTATAACCCGGCTCTGTGACGTAGTATACAAAGGCACTGTACAGCCAGTCATCGTGCCAGGATATCTTCCAGCAACAATTCTTCAAGATTATCGCATTTCTTGACCAAGCACCAGGAACGCTATTATAAACTCTTCATCCTGCTATGATGACCACCCGACAACCCCACCAACCCAAACCCAAAGCCATAATCTTCGACCTCCTCACCGCCCTCCTTGACTCCTGGTCCATCTGGGACGCCTCCACGCCCACCGGCACCTCCCTCGAAGGTCGCAAGTGGCGCAAGCAATACCTCGAAGTCACTTTCGGCAGCACCGTCTACGGGCCGGGTAGCACCTACGAGGAGCTCGTTGCGCGGTCGGCAGCGGAATCTGGACTGCCAACTTCAGCACCTGAGGCTCTGCTTCGGAATTGGACGGATTTAAAAGCCTGGCCGGAGGTGGGGCGCGTGTTGAGGGAGCTGAGGGGAAAGGGGTATTTACTTGGGGTCGTCACGAATTGCTCGAAGGAGCTGGGGCATGCGGCTGTGAGGAGTGCGGAGAGGGCTGCTGAAGAGGAGGGAGAAGGGAAGTGGAAGTTTGACGCGGCGGTCACGGCGGAGGAGACGGGGTGGTATAAGCCTGCGGTGCAGGCCTACCATGGGATTCTACCGCTGTTGGGTGAGGATGTGAGGCCTGAGGATGTGCTTTTTGTGGCTGGCAGTGCGGGAGATGTTGTAGGGGCGACGAAGGCGGGGTTTAGGGTTGTGTGGAATAATCATGTGGGTTTGGAGAGGAAGGGCGATGTGCTGCCGTTGAGGGAGGGTAAGAGCTTGGATGAAGCGTTGGCAGACTTCTTGTGAGCAAAGAATCCAGCGACAAAACATCCAAAGATACATCTAGCATTGAAGAGCGGCCTCTCAGTCGTTAGCATAACACATTCAGCAATACGATTAAGGCAGCAAGTGATGGATTCATGGTAGTAACTACGTGATATATTTCAGTGACCGAGAGCAAAAAGTTGGGACAATATCGCGCGATCGTGCGATATACTCTCTCTCTGGACGGGTAGGGGATCGAACCCTAGACCTCCCGCATGCAAAGCGGGCGCTCTACCACTGAGCTACACGCCCCTAACAACTCCTACTGGAGTGGTTGTTGTCATGTGATCAGTTCCATTTATAATATCTATATAGCAACAAAAAATACGTCTTCTCCAGAAAACACAGCTTCAACTCGGCACGCATACACTCCGATTTCACTTTCAAAAAGGTGTTAGGCCAGCAGTGGACGGGCCAGACCCATAATACTAGCCTCACCGGGGTGCGCACTACCCGCGAAGCGAGACCATCCATGTCTTCACCACCTACCTGCACGAGTTGACCATCTCCGCAGAACAACAACTGGAGAAGCTCTGCATATGGTCAAACTTCCCATCCGATATTGATCAGGAGGTATAGTCACATTGATTCGTTAAGCAATATATTGATTGTATAGCACATGCATCAGCCAGCCTCGCAGTTATCGAACCCAGTCATACAACGCCATTTATGGGGCATGCGACCCTACAGAGCAGTACCTCCACCCATAGCCCACCAACGGAGTTCCAGATTCCAAATACGATCGTGGAATCATCCGCGCATCTAGTGTGCACGCGACTCTCCCGCTATCCGCTGCGAGTAGGTGCTCGGGCTCGAGCTGGGCCGCCCCACTTCTTCAGCTAGTCAGCGGAAGCCACCTCCGGCGAAGCAACAGACAACATGTCGCTTTGAGCCCACGCTTAAGCGAGTTCAAGAATAAGGGCCTGAATGCATGTGAGACTGCAGAATGCGGAGTGTTGTGGGATTAGTGGCCCCAGATGACGTGATATGCGGCAGTGTGGTTGCGGCGCAAACGCACTCCATGACTCTGCTCGGCGATGGTTGTTCGATCGGTGATTTGGGCGTTTCATTCTCCAGAAATGATCCATTGGTTCCTTCTCCAGCCTTGCGAGGATACGGTCACTGTGCCGCGAAGCGTACCATTCTCAGATGGTAGACTATTCAGCGAGACGCGGCGAGTGTAAGAAGCTGCGGCAACGTCGTGCGATTGTTCGACGGAGGGGTTGAACGAATGACGCCGAATGGTCGGTAGAGGGTACAGTCGAGGGTCATATGGTCCGGGCAGAGGTTGAGGTGGAGACGTCCAAGGATATGTAGGCTTGAAGACCACAGTTTGCTGAACCTGGCTTCCTGTTGACGCGTTTGAATGCATATCCGGTTGCGGTGCCTCCTGATATGGAAGGCAGTATTTCTCGGTGATACTGGCGTCAATCTTCGAGTCGGGCGTCCTCCTCTTTCCTGACGAGTACTTTATGACAGCCAGTCGCAACCCGATCACGACGACCAGCAGTAACAGCAGCCACTCTGATAGCATGGCGTGTCCATATTGGCAGGTCGCCGAAAGGTTGGGGATGCGGTTTCGATCCGAAATTATCGGTGGTTGAGGAGGCATGAGAGATGCTGAAGAAGACAAGGACCACACAGAAGCTTTGGAAAGATCAACTGTGCATGCGGGAGGTGTGGTGGACTGCAAGTATCCGCTCTGCCAACCAGTCAGTGCAACGGGCACCCACGCGCTTTCATACACTCACATGAAAAGACGGGAGAACCGTTTGCATAAGCACTAGCCTTCTATGCGCCGGTCAGAGTCAGCACAAGTATTCTTGCAGCGGAAGGCCTGTCGGGTCGATACAGGGACGGGAACGTGGTTGCCGGAATAAGATGCGGAGGAAGCAGCGTTCAGGTCACATATACATGGTGAAAGCTCCACACGTCCCCGTAGAGCTACCGCTGGCGTCGCAGTGCCGCCACTTTCCTGAACGCCCGGCTTCCTGTTACATGAAACATGATCAAGCCAGCCTCTACTGCGATGCTCTGACCGCGGACTTGCGACGTGAAGCGGCGACCACACTTGAGATGTTACGCGAAAAATTAGGACTTTCAGCTCCCTCCGCTTGCGCCGCAACCATGTTTTCTAGAATAAGTCTGGGGCATCAGACCGTAACCAGTATAGTCGATGGCGGGTTCAGCGCTGTTGCGCGTCTTGTGGTGACGGTCGGAGGCCCCTTCAGCTGGTGTGTGGACGATGGCGTTTTTGACAGGGTGCGCTAGGGCCACCGAATCAGGGTCGAGCCGAGATCCGACGCAAGGTGGAAGCAACGGCGAGCTGGAGCTCCAACTCGCATATTCTCCTTTTGTGCGCCCGCCACAGAGACAGAGCTCCGCGCCCGCGCCCTCATTGCGGAGACGCGGTGGCACTGATGCGAGGCTCTCAGCTACATTGCGGACGCCCTGCCAAGTTCCCGAAACCTGAACTGCATCCGCTGGACCAGACCCGAGATGCCGGGACAAGACCTCGTCTGCTGTCAACGTACGAGCCTGCAGCAGTAGACATGGCGTAGTGGTTTCCGCCTGTCAAACTAGCCCGATAACCGCCGTGGCCCTCGCCCTCGCTCCGATCTTGTTGATGTTGTCCCGCACTGTAACAGCGCCGAGGCACCATCTCCACAGCATGATGTACATGGCTTCTCAGCAAACGCGCAAGGCGCTCGCGGCTTAGAGCTGCTAAAATAGTGCAGATCTCACATCTCAAATAAACGTCCCTCGTCCCGTGCGTTCACCGCCGATCATGCGCGTGATCACGGCCCCTTGACGATCGATTGAGGGCCGTCGCCAGAACCTGCAAGGAGAGGCGAGCTTGTAGCTATTCACAGCAGCCCGCCGCAATGTGGAAATCTGGACCCCTTGCTAATCACCAAAAGAGCACGAGGTCGCCTACCATAGGGCTGAGGCGACAGACAGTGACTAGTGCGGGGGAGGTTGAAACGAGTTGCTCGAATTAACACTCGCTGTCACTACTACCAGGAAATCAAGCTCGTACTGGCATTATTGTGGCATTGACCTCCGGGTTGGCATAATCGCGACTCCAGCACATCAGCTTCATCAAGACTAGCCAACCAGAGGTCACTCCGAACTTTGGTCATCACGGCGATGCCGAGGACGTTGTTGTTGACTTCATACGGCGAAGAGGTATAGGTTAGATCCGGCTTGCGCGCCGCCTTGTCGATCTGGAACGACACTCACCACTGATTGCTTGCGGCAAATTGCACACTCAATAGAGCGTGCTACCACATGTGAGATTGAATTCGCGGACTCCGAGTTCCTTGGACATTCAGCTAGCTCAACCAAGTATTACGAAGTCCTACGGAGAGGCCGTCGCCACCGTCACGTGACTAGGGAGTAATAAGTCTTGGCCAGGATAGAACTTACGCTACTCCTTTCTACATCTTCAGCCCAATCTACTGAATGGTAGACGCTGAAATCTGGCCTCCAGCACTTTCGCACGCGACTGGATTGCCAGGATATGCATTGGATTTGGCGCTCCATGCACAGCCACATTCACACCTCGTATCAACAATCGAGAGGCCCACAAGCTAGTGCAGATGAGCTTGAGATTGCGTCCTCCATAGCACAGCCATTCTCTGTTTATTTGACCGGTATTGCTGTGAACGCTGGTCCCACTAATGCATCGCCTCTTGCTACACCGGTATCTGCATTGGGGGATCTCGGGGCTAACATTACGCAATGACTTCCAGAGTGAAGGGATTTAGGGGCCCTGATGGAGGCGCAGCCCTCTTGTCCCACCGACTGTTATCGGCCTCAAATAGTGTACCGGTCATGTCCTCTTCAGTGTTAAATCATTTTGCGCGCATGAACTGCTTTGTGGGTGCAAGACATCTATTGTCTCTACTATCATACTGACACAGCGCAACCATTTCCGCCATTTCCTATATAGTGAGTAGTCACTCAGGTTGCACCTTCCACTGTGGTTGTCACAAGACAAACAGGCCTACATCAGCACCACGATTCGCATTCGTATCCCAAGATGGTATAGAAAGGTGTGGCTTTGGCTAAGCCTGCTGGCGCAACCCCGGCTTTCGTGTTGCAAATTCACAGTATCGTGATACAAAGCTCTTGCGAGCTGACCGCAAGCTATGCTCCCTCCATAAAGACCTGGAAGCTATTTGCCCAGAGCTGAAATGGAAGTCGTGTGGTAGTGTGATATGTAAGGGCTTCTGGTCAGACCTAGCGCCACCCGCGGCTTGTCGCGCCATTTTTGCTTTTAGACTCTGAGATGGACGGGGGGCAGACTTCCAAACAACGAGTGTACACGGTATGACTGATGCGCAGCACACATGTGTGGAAGGGTAAGAGTTTTGGGGGATAGTATGATGTAGCCGAGTGTCAATTCTGTGATACCCATTGCCGGTACCATGAAGCCCATTTCTGCGTGTTCAGAGACACAGGCAATCTATATGCCACCTTGTACAATGACATGTCGCCAGGACATAGTTTGAATTAGCTTGACAACAATTTTCATCAGCTTGAACAACGATTATTCATAACTCTTAAGTAAGAAACGTATTCAAGACGACCTATGTCTCTGCTCAACATCATCGTTTGCTCGTCTTTTGTAGCATCATGCACGTTTCCGATATATGCCTGTTGCAGCAGTCGGCATGACTTGTGCTGTTTACTATGCAATTCTTTGGTTAGGCCCGTTGGGAACGAACATCAACGATCAAGAAAACAACTATGCCAAGATGACGGGGATGTCTGGCGGTGGTGTTTGGCGGAGGTGCAGTGTGGAGTCGACAACGCTAAAGAGCTCGGGCCATGCTGCCGTCTTTTTGACGATGAACGACAGCTACATCGCCATCGCCATCGCCATCGCCATCCCGCCGGCCACCTCACACTCCCACCAATATTGTCATGGCTGGAATTCCGCAGTCCATCTTCCGCTGGGCCGTCCCGGGCGCTCTCGCCATCAGCTTCGCGCAGGCCTCTATTTACGATGTCAAGGGTGGAACTCGCGCCGTCATCTTCGACAGGGTATCCGGTGTGAAGGAGCAGGTCGTCAACGAGGGCACACATTTCCTAGTTCCGTGGCTACAGAAGGCAATCGTATACGATGTGAGGACGCGACCGAGGAATATCTCCACCACGACCGGTAGCAAGGACTTGCAGATGGTCACTCTCACGCTGAGGGTGTTGCACCGTCCCGAGGTGCAGCAGCTGCCCAAGATCTACCAGGTGAGTTCGTCTGACTCGCCTTCAGTATCAAGGCGTGCAAGCCGAAAACATCGGCAGCCGCATAGGTGCTTGAGGGTGGCGGATCTGAAGTGCAATTGCTAATCGCCGCCAGAACCTCGGTCTCGACTACGACGAGCGTGTGCTCCCTTCCATTGGAAACGAAGTGTTGAAAGCTATTGTCGCCCAGTTCGACGCCGCCGAGCTCATCACCCAGCGTGAAGCCGTCTCAAACCGCATCCGCAACGACCTCCTCAAGCGCGCCGGCGAGTTCAACATTGCGCTCGAAGATGTTTCCATCACGCACATGACCTTCGGAAAGGAGTTTACCAAGGCTGTCGAGGAGAAGCAGATCGCACAACAAGAGGCGGAGCGCGCACGCTTTATCGTTGAGAAGGCAGAGCAAGAAAGGCAAGCGAACGTCATCCGCGCAGAGGGTGAGGCCGAGGCTGCCGATACCATCAGCAAGGCCGTCGCAAAGAGCGGTGATGGCTTGATCATGATCCGAAGAATCGAGACGCAAAAGGACATTGCACAGCTGTTGGCAAGGAACCCGAACATCTCGTACCTGCCAAATGGCGGCGCAGGCGGCGAGGGCAAGTCGGGCGGAAGCTTCCTCTTGGGCTTGCGGAGTTAGGCTATTGTCGAGGGACGTACCGGGTAACCACTGGCAAGCATCTAGGGCCAGCGAAATTTGGCGTGTATAATACTACCTGTGAGCATATGATATTCACTGTAACGTAGGGTATAAGACTCCTCTTTTGTCTACATTCAGAACAGGCGCTCCACACTCGCATGCAATAAGAAATATCGGTGCACTTCATTCCTTTCGTGGCTCCCGCGCTTGTCATCACATGCGAGAACGGCCTCTTTTAGCATGGATTGAGCCAACATCGTGAACCCTCCACCATCAGTGCATATACTTCTCTGGAACTTACATCATTTCGCTGAGTGACATGTCTGGTCATCGCTACACCACTGGTGGGGAGTATTCCTTGCCACGATGTAACGCGTTGATCCATCATTTCTCCAGCTCCATCGCGCAACAGGTTGAGTTCTACATTCATATAGATGACGTCGCGTCCCTCACCTGATCATCCGTACCGTTTGCAGTCCAATAATACATGTCTCGAAACTTGGCGCGCCTTGGAACAAACTTTAGCTCGCCTAACTCTCCGCGGAGTCCTCCATGTCTGCACCCCAGCAAATGAATTGCGCCACGATAAAGTTTTCAAGACTCCACATACACGGCCTTTAAACATATCTTTATCCCACATATTCGTCGTCGTGTAGCTAGATCCTGATATACCTCCGGGCCCCCCGCGGATGTCCTCCCAAAACCACTGTCGTTCCCGCGGAAGCTACCAATCAGTACCATTGTACACACGTTCACCCTAGGATCGCCTCTCCTTCCGCCGTCTACAATTGACATATTCAAGACACACGACTCGCGCATCTGATAGTCATGACGGACATCAACCCCGAATACGCTAACACCAAGCGACCGCTCAAACTAACCGGCGCATGCTACTGTCGCCACCTCACATACCTCCTGAAGCTAGAAGACAGAAAAAATGCCAAAACTACGCTTTGCCATTGTGCAAATTGCAAGAAGGCGTTTGGTGGCGCGTTCGGGCTGACGACGAAAGTACCCATCCAGGCGTTTCGGTATGATGCTGGCAGTGGGAAACCTACGGTATGTCGTACAAGATCTCGCGTCGTGTGGGTGCAGAGTTGCTGGGTAACTACTGACGGGAGTTACGGTACAGATACATGCCGCAGATAACGGAATGGGTTCGACAGTCTATCGGGAGTTTTGCAGCAAGTGCGGGAGTTATATTTGCGAGTATGGTGTATGTCATACATTCATACTGAAAGATGTGGGACATGATACTAACATACATTAGGAACAGGGAAAAGATACCTTTCGCTCTATCGTTTTTGGCTCGCTGGACGAGCCGTCTGCGCTGCCGCCCAAGGGAGAGTGGTTCTGTTCTCAGCGCGAGGATTGGATGCCAGTAATCCCAGGTAAGCTGGCTCAATTCCGTAAGCAGTGAATTGTACGTTCGTTTGGCGTTGTTTAATGGGGGTTGAGAGGTGTTATGATACCCGGGAGGAGTTAGGTTAGGGGCTGAAATGTTACTTCTCGAGTCTTGATATTGCTTTAGCAGAAGGAAAAAGCTGATATGTGCAGGCACATTCCAGAAATGGATGAGCGAAGAGTGAAACAAAGTGAATATATTTCATTGTAGATTGGCCTTGCTCGGTTCAGAGGGATTTTCCGTTCATCATACCGGCGTTCGAGTTTCTGGGTATTAGTTAGAGGCAAGGACCCCATCATGGCGTTCGAGGAAATGAAGCATCGTCTGGTTTTGGTGATCTTGCTCACCCAAGTACGCTACTGACTGAGGCAAGCTGCCACTTCCAATCAGAATCCTCAGGATCTTCGGGCCATGGCTTGGAAGAACTTGCGAAGAAACCGAAACCTATCTAGGATTGTTCTCCGCTTCAGAGAAGGGCCCTGTTCGATGTACCACCGATTTTGAATCTGCACGTAGACTGGCGACAAGTCCGAGAGGTTTCCTAAAATTGTTACATATTTGCGAACTACAGAATTGCCGTCAGCAGCGAGCTTCTTCGCTGTGCTACTTCGTGGTGCTTCGAGCCTGTCTTACCGGGTATCGCACAATAGATAGCCCTCAATCGAATCTCAGCAGTATGCTACTCGTAGATCTTAAAATCGGTTCAAAATACTGTAAATTTGCGTAGGATTAACCTACTTTCACTCAGGATTGAACGAAAAGGAAGATTACAACATAGTTTGTGTTACTTGGAAAAAGTGTTGGTATAAGTCAGGGTCACCACCCCAGCTACTTCGAAAACGATATATCAAAGGTATGATTTATCAACAGCAGGATCATTCCCCCGGCATGCACGGGTCTTCCAAGTTTTTTGTTTCACTTACTCAGACCTGCTGTGGCCCCCACTTCTTCCACCACCGTTCGTTCCTCGCACTCCCAATCTCCAATTCCCTACGCCTTTTCCAGAACTTGGAACCCTCAGCATTCATTACGAGTGCCATCGTCCGTGAACCCCCGATTGGCCCCGATTAGTGTCCTTCGGATATTAGAGCGCCAGGAAGGCCTGGAATCTGCTTAGCCCTGGGCTTCACGGGCTCTTCCGGTTCATTGTGATAATTGAGTCACAGTGTGACTGGCATACGATGCCCCTCTTGAAGAAGAACATTCAGAGTTCCTGCAGGACGCGCCGCGGACGGCCGCGCACGGTGACATCAGACATCGAGGAATTGCAGGGTAGTGCTTTCCCGACATGTCTTCTCATGGGAAGATAGGATATTCAAAGTTGTACTCCAAGCCAACGAGAAGACGATCTGGATGATTCTCTTGGGGCCGTTCGGTGCTCCATCTCTCGCCTTTTTACCACGTATAAACAAGCCCGTTGACAACGTTGCTGAGAGCGTCGGACAACAATAAATGTACAACGCTTGCTAGACTGGCTACCGGAGACGGACCATGTACAGTAAGTGTACTCCTAGTTGCCTTTACCGCCGGGATGCGAAATTCCAGGTATGTGGGCGTGGAGAGGATCAATATAGTGTTTGTGTCGTATTGTGCATTATGGTTGGCAGCGGCGGATACGCGAATAGGATATCATATGTCAGATGGGAGACGGCGTGGACATTCATTTTAGGGAGAAATGACGTAAACTGTGCCATGGCGTGGTTTGTGGGTACCACTTTGTGTATAAATATCGTGAAGGTGTGGGAGCTTGAGGCAAAGCGTGCAGCGTCCAGAAAGATCTTGCGGCACGTTGACACTAAGGACAGAGTGTGCGAGGTACCCGCTGCCTGCCCCACTACTGATTTGTTGTCTTATCTGTATAATTTCTCGTTCAATATCCCTCTGAAGGTTTCCTTGACAGCCTGCTTCTCGACTTCTTTGTCTACTTCGTCGATCTCGTCTCCAGGGATAGTACCAGAACCTTCCCACAAATACCTACAGATCAAATTCCACACCTCAGCTGGCAATCCACTCGCACGATGACTTTGCGTTCGCAAACGCACCTTATCAGCCTGCCGTGCTCTTGGTTCTGGTCAATACACTCCCTGCTCTTTCATCTGCCACACCCCGCGTCCATCGACGTAATGAAACAAAGCCTTCGTTCAGGCATTCTGTACGATTCCGAGGCTCTGCTTCTGATTTTCTGGCCTTCCACCAGAGTTCGTTCCCATTGCAAGTGATTCGTCCCACGGCAGCCTGATCGCCTACCTCTGTCCAACCCAGCACATCGCCACGCCAGGCACCAATGCATGCGCACAGCCCCTCGATCGCCAGCAAGCATTCGTAACACCGCCACACGTCTAATTAAACTTCGACCACCCACCACCTCCCTCATCGGTTATCCTATCATGGTCTAGCAACGCATCCTGTTTTCCGGCGGGGAAGCAGGGAAGAGAAGAAGAAATCTCATACCGTGCGCACGGCACAGCCTACAGGCAACGACCTACACGTAACACGTCCCCATCGCGTACACGCCCACACGGAGTCACATGTTACGGTAGCGCCAATCAGAACCGCCCCCAGCATTGTTGGGCAAAGCGGCGGGAGGCAAAGAAACTATGACTCCGCCGTCGCGAAAATCGCTCATTTTGCTCCAGCGCACCAAAGACACCTTGGGCCTGGTTTGAGAGGTCTACGATCTGAGATACGTAGTAAGGTGCGAGAAGGGCGGCGAATGTAAGCCGGAACCCACGGGTGGTGACCAACTACCTTGACGGAACCCTGGGTGCATACAGGCCACTAGCCCGAAGAGCTTGGAGTGCGTATATGTACCACGCACACAGGGTGGCCGAGCCTTTGCCTCGTCACCGGCCGAGGGACCATGTGCTCCGCCTTACTTGGCTAGTCGGGTGTTTTTGTAATGCTTAAATGCCTGTTCTACTACGTATGCATGCTTCTGGTGATGATTTTGCCTTGTGAGATTGGCAAATTCGGATGGCGTAACGTGGAATAGTGAACACGAAGAGTGTGGAGAGTGTCAGCCTGGATAGGCAGCTACGGCACGGTAGATGGAAAATTGCGCAATCAGCCTGCAGGTGTGATATTGGTGTCTGTGGTTCCGGATCCTGCCAGGCACCCGAAGGGCGTTCGCGGCTCATACATACGGGCTGCATCAGGCATCGAGGACTACAGGAGGCTGCATTCCAGACTTGAGGTTGAGATTTGATTGCAGTATTCGATTGAATTAGCGAGTGGCCAACAAAAGCACTATTGAGTACAATAAGCGTGGTAGAGTTGTTGTGTATGGCCTATCGTAATGCCATCTATTCTTCCCAGTCTAAGTGAGTGAAGTATGTTCAATTTTTCGTAGAATTCGTCAAGATGCGCGTAACCAGACACGCTGCCTCCCACCCGCACGTTTATTCTACCCACCCAATACCAATAGACAAAATAAGCTAGGCAACTATGTGCATGTAATCGAGACGCTCTCTACTATATACAACGAGCGTCCTTCTTCCAGAGAAAGTGATTTGGATATCGGTCTGTGCATAAGAAAAACAATACCGCTCTGTGCAAGCCAACCTACTCGCGCAGTGCTGAAAGCCCGGTAGCACCGGACAAAAGTACATGAACGAAAGAAACAACAACAGCTGTGTGGTCCATACTGTCGTGAGACAAATGGCCCACCCATTCTAGTGCTTTGTGAAGATGAAACGCGGCGCATGTTACTAACGTTGTTGGAGCGCCATGACCGCTGCTTCGAGTTGGCGCAGCCTCGCATCTTTTTCTTCCGCTTCTCGTCGTAGCCGCCTCAGCTCAGAGCGGAGATCCATCTCCTCTAGCTCCTCGGCTTCGGGGCGTTTGCGCTTAAGGGTAAGCTGGGCCTCATCCTCTTCGACAATGCGTTCATATTGCTTCTCTGCCGGCATGCGAACATCTGCAGCAAGGCTTGATTGTCTTTGCTCCCGGGGGATGATGAGGTGACCTAGGTCGGCGGACATGCTTGTTCGGCGATGCACACGACGGATGTGCTCTGCGAGATTCTCCTTCCGCGTGAAGCCGGCCCCCGAGCTGCGCTTGCAATCGGCGAAGGGACAGAAGAGGGACTTCTTGGTGCCGCCATGCATCTTATGTACCTCGCGCTCATGGCGCAGAAGTCCACCGCTATATGTGAAGCCTTGCAGCTTCTCACACCCCTGAAAGTTACACTTGTAGGGACGGTCATGCTTGTCCATGTGCTTGCTATGGTTTGGTTAGTAAAGGTTTCGATAAGAGAATATGGTTCACTCACCTCCACTCGCACTTGCGGTCAAAAGTTTGACCAGCGCATTCACTGTGCTTGCATATCATCTTCCCATCATGGTTCCTCGGCGGCTCCTCGGCCCTCTTGTACGCATGGTTCCTCCTTGGTGAATCAGCGTCTTCAGGATCGCCCTGAGAGGATGTGTCCTCAGATTGTTGTCGAACGTGACCCTGAGAGCTGGCGACAGAGAACCTCCGGTGGCCGTCCGCAGGCGACAAGAGTGGTGAATGGGTGTCAGCAAGGCTGATGGGCGTAGGCATATTAGAATTAGAATGAAGAGAAGACGTGCGCTCGTGTCTGTGTGCCGAAAATCCGTGTGCAGGATGTTGCTCAGTTATGGTGTCGCTGCCCATGGCGAAATCGGGAAAGTCGGTGTTGATGTTGATAGAGGGGGCCTGAGGCGATTGGGTGGAGGATGGAAATATATCAAAGGCCGCGAAGTCTAGGTGTGGCGCAGCGTAGCCTTCGCTTTCCGCGGTCCCGGTGACTCGCACGCTTGGGATACTGGTCGTCAGATGACGCGCAGTCCTCTGTGGCAAAGAATTGTGCGGAAAGTGTTGCCAAGTGTTGTCGAAGTTATGGTCCAAGTGCTGCTGAGGAAAGACGGTTAGGGCGGTGGCGTTGCCTTGGATATCGGGCAACAAATTACTAAGGTTGGAATCATCTATCGGCGAGGTGGCTGGGAACTGAGGGTAATAAGTACCCAGGCCTAGGCCATGTTAGCTGCACACATTCGGAAGCTGCAGGCTGAAACCCATTGTATGGTGCAATGTGAAGCAGGCAGAAGAGGATGTGAGTCAAGCGGCCCAGCGCACTTACCAGCTAATCCCTGCCACCCCAGTCCGCTACCCACACCACGTGATGCACCTCGGCGAACCTGAGGAACACCAGATTCCAAATCCGCCGGCATCCAGGTTTCCGCGTTTCGCAACCTCAGGTCGACACCACTGCTGAGGCCCACGCTATTGGCAGGCTGGGGACGCTGCGGCGCTCCAGGTTGCGGCTGCGCGCCGACGAGCTCCAAGCCAAAGTTTCTGTCTGTTTCCATTAGCACCGAAACGCTATTCTTCACGACAGCCGGCGGGCACTCACACTCTGTTGGTTCGGGTCGTCGCCAATCCGGAAGATCGACATGCTGCAGAACTGCCTCACTCGGTACTCGACCGTTGTTTGTCTGGCTGTTGGCATAAAACATCCAACAGACACCCCACAGCACAGCCAGCGACGGCTTGATGTCGAGCGATGTTGAGAGGGGCCGAGGCTTGTCAGAGAACTCGGTGAACCAGCTCAACAGCCTGTATTGCCTCTTGTCATAGCCACCGAGAAGCAAGAGGTCGAGCGCCTTGCGGGAGAGTGCATTCACCAGCTGTGAATGCAGCCTCATGAGCAGATGCTCGTAATTTGCCAGAAAGGCTACATCGAAGTTGATGCCTGCGTCATGACCTTGCGCCACGAGCCATTCATCATCGAACTGTGTCCGGCAGCTCTGGAGGACATTGATTGCATCATGGACAGTGATCAGCAGTTGGGCAACTTCGTTCAGAGAGCACGTTTCGAAGCTGATATCGGTCTTCTGTTTGAGGAAAAGTTTGTGGTCGCCGGCAGCGGCGGACAAGGGACTTCCGCAAATGCTAACCTTGGTGTCGATAGAATTAAGAGTCCTACCCGAAAGCTTAGCGGGGTGATCCAAACACAGCATTGCTTCTGAACCTACTGTTGCACCTGCATCCCAGACTTGTTTCGAAGCGAGGGCTTGTCGTCTCCTCGGATCCGCAGTTTCAGGGATGGTCGGCGCTTCCGCTTGTTTTGGTTCTTGTAAACACCACTTGCAGCAAAAGTTATCTTTCGATTATGCGACCTTGACCGCGGGCACTCCGTTTGGAGCATTTGGAACTTCTTCGTGTCCAGACTAGCGCAGATCTGAGCACCAAGAATAGCAGCATGGTCCACAGTTGGCGGCCCGGGCCTGAGGCGCCTGCGAAGCTGCTTAACGAATTGAAGAACCTTGAGGGTCAGATCGATGCCAGATTGCGAGCGCGATTTCTGGATCGCCATCGCTTCCTGATGTGGGAGTCAATAATGAGGACCTGTCGTCGTAAGTTGAGGCGCAAGGAAAGGTCCGATAGAGCGCCGGAGAGCTTGTATTTGTCTTCCTCATCATGGTGGCAATGTAATGCTTGACGGAGGAGCCTACAGAAACCCCTGTGTTTGTGTTCACCGCCAGCTTCACCAGGGTGCTTGCCGCCACACCCACCTGTGATTCGCTAAAGGCCGTCACCGCCACACTGTGTGGCTGGGTAGCCCTCCACTGGGCCTCCAGAACACCCTCTTTACGACGCTCTCATCCTATCGTCATCAAAGCTTAGCGGAATCCGGTCTACACATGATATCAAGAGGAGGCGCAGTCGTTTGTTGTTGAGTACGGCGCTCACGTAGGCGCACAGCTAGGTCACTCGTGGCGCCACTGACCATGATCGTTTTGTCGTTGCCTTGAGATAGTGCCTCTTCATTCCCGTTGCGCTCAATTTGTTCATGCATTTGTCCGGGTCGTGAAGTTCCCTCTCGGATCGCACGATTGTTGAGGCCCTAGCCAACCTCAGCCTTGTGGTGAAGCAGCAGTTGGTGCCTCGGGCACGATGAAACACGAAGCAGGCAAACAACGTCTCGGCAGTGTTTGTTGGCACCCCTGCCTCTAGATTGGAGTTTCTTCTGCCGTTTCTTTCTGCAGTTTGGTGAGTTCCTAGCTATTCCGTTGTTATCCTGGGATGCATCGAGCGCATGAACCTCGGCTTGCAAGGCTGAGGAGTGTTTGTAACGAGAGCGGTCCATCACCGTATCACAATCCAGTAATGCTTTAAATATCTTCTGGCCTAGCTAATCACTTTCGCTGATAGAGTAGACTGGGCCTAGATACTATCTTTGGTTCGTGATGGAACGCGAATGAAGATGTATGGTTGCGAAGCTCAATGGTGTTGGAAGTCTGGATATGGCTGCTACACTTGAGGTTGCGCAAACACGGAATGGGCGGAGCTTCTCACGCGAACTAAGAGCGCATTTAGTGCTTCTGTTCTGCTAATCTCTCAAGGCATCAATTGATAGTGCCAATGTTCGATGTTCGTCTAACCTCGCCCTCCTCTTCTCCTCTCGCAGTGGAAACCAAGCACCGACTCCAGAACTCACTATCGTATATTGCTACTAGTGAACACGGAAACATCTAGCGTTCACGTTCCTCATGCGATCTGCACTCATCTAACAGTAGCTTTGATATCGAATAGAACCTAGTAATACCCTCTTCGGATTGATGTTCCCCGCCGCGAGGATGAATTCACTAATGCACTAAATCTTGGAGAACTTGTTTCTACCCCGTGGGCATTAATAAACACATCAGTGACCATCAAGCGGCAAACCGGGGAAGGGTTTCTCCGCAATGTTGCCAACGTTAAAGTACTAGCAGATTGCGTTTGCCGTGAAACTTAGGGAAGTTCCTATCTCGCGTCAGGTGCCACATGCATGCTGATCAGCTCTGTGCGTTCCTGTAGTGGCTGCATACTCATGGCATCGCATGGCAAGTACATAGCGACACAATGGCAACATCAGTCGTCGATACCTAGAGTTATCACAATGACGTCAGAGCTTGTTAATCGTCTGAGTGTCCGCAGGCGGGGCATAACATTGACAGAAATCTATCCACGATACTCTTCTGAGCATGCACAAGCCGCAAATGTCAGACATGGACTCTCTCCCTGTGACAAACAAGACGACGGGCGAGCCCGAGTCGTTTAAGAACAAGGCGCTCGAAACAGGCGCCGCTGCAGTTCAAGTACATCCCACCTTCGACGCGTACTCAACCGTATACTAACGACACCAGAACTTCGAGCCGGTACAACGCATCTGCGCACACTTGAACGCCTTCCACGCTTACGCTGACGATCCCCACCGCGGCCCTGTAGAAGCAAACCACTACTGCGCGCACCTCAACGACGAAGTCCGCCAATGCATCCTCTACGACTCTCCCAAGCAGCCCGCGCGAATCATCGGCATAGAGTACATGATTAATCCCCGGCTATACAGCACATTGGATGAAACAGAGCAGAAGCTCTGGCACTCGCACGTATTCGAAGTCAAGTCCGGCATGCTCATTATGCCTAAGCCGCCCGTCGTGCCCGATGCCGCATGGGAACTCGCAGAGAACAGGGAGATGGAAGAGGTTGTACATTTATACGGGAAGGTGTACCATTTGTGGCAAACAGACCGCGGCGATACACTGCCGTTGGGAGAACCGAAGCTGATGACGAGCTACACGGAGGCACAGCAAATGCCTGGCGGGTTTGAGAAGGTCGTTGATGAGAGGGATGCGAGGTTCGGCAGTGATTGGAGAAGAAAGAAGGAGGCCAGGTCACATATCGAAGAGCCTGAGATTCATGAAAATGCAGATTGGGTGTGGAAGGGCAAGAAGGCGGAGAACGTGACGGGAGAAAGAAAGACTGATGTAGGCGTGATTGGAGGAGTCTAAGGGCCTCTTTGGTGCTAAGGTTTTCTGTTCAATTCAGTTTGAAAAGTGTATATTGCTTTAGGAGTAACTCACGGTATTGCTTGACGCCAGGAGTGTATGGGCTGCTGCAAAGGCTGAGAGCATGGTATGTTGCAGCAGCTACCACAGCTCTTTTTTTAATATCCAATCCCTTCGCGCTCGGGCTCAAGTTCTGCCTTGCGTGTCCGTAAGTTCTTCAATGCCGACTGACTCTGTCGGTTTTCCGCGACCCATGAGCTTGCCTAGTACGTCTTTCTCCCGATCTTGTTGCTCAGCATGACCGCCTGCGCTGTCGTTGTCCGAAGTTTCGAGCGCACCTTCGCCTACATCGTCGTCTTTCTCTTCCAGGACGCCTAGACCTAGGTTCTATACAAGTCAGTAGCCATCCGAGCATGCAGTGAGGTACTGCGCGCCCTAAAGCCCAAGCATGCACGCCAAAGGAAGCTAGGAGCTCACCAATTCAATGTATTGTTCCTCGCCATCTGCTTCTTCATCTCCAACTATCTCGCTAGTTTGCAGCGTTCCTGTTGCCTTTTGCGCTTCGAGCTCTTCGTTTGCCGCCTTAAGTTTTGGCAGAAAGTCCTTCAGGAACGGTCGTATGTCGTCCAACTCTTCCTCTTCAGGCAACTTGAAGTCCGGTCTCTTCCCTCTGTTGGCCCGTAGATTCACTACGTCTTCTGCGCCTAGTTGTGCGTCCTCTTCCATCTCATCAGTTTGCTGCCCGTCCTCTTCTCCAGCCTCCGAGCTGTCCTCGCTACTCTCATCGCTGGGCTCCTCGCTCGACTCCGACACCCAACTCTCGTCGTCGCTATCGGCTTCGCTATTCTCTCCAGCACTCGTCGTTTTGCTTGTCGGAATTGGTTGAGACTCGTTGGGTACGGTCGAAGGCGCAGAGTCGCCGGTGTCAGAGCTGATTTTCAGTCGCTTTGCGCATTCGTAGACGTGCTGGACAGCGTCAATTTGCCTCTTGTACGGGTTCGAAGGGCTCGCGAGCGGCGCCATGGTGTGACTGTTCAGGTGCGTGGTGGCTGTTCCGAATGTTCCGCTGTGGCTCGAGAATTTGGTATCGTGTCGGCGCCATCGGCAGTGGAAGACGCGCCCCGGGCCTCACACGCTTTGCATGCCGCATGCAAGCGCGACCGCCTGGGCGGGTCGCTTCTTGTTGTAGTTTCCGCAGTGCACCTCAACAATATACGATAAATCTGCTCATACTTTCACATACCATAGAAGAAGAATATGCAACGTCACTTGCGAGCGATTGGGGCCCCAGGCCACGCTTGCCCGCGGTGCCAGCAGGGGTCGTGAAACTGGGGCCACAAGTCCATGAAACACACCCAACGGCTGGCGGCTACGGCTCGAGCTGACTTGCCCTGTTCAAGCATGGCCTGCGCTTAAAGTTCAAGGAGTCCGCAGTCCAGCTTGCACTTCACCTCTTCTTCCACGGTGCAGTCAAGCCAAGAAGGTCTTTCGTTAGCCTTCGTATACCTGTTCTTGGGTTCAACTGGAGCGTTCGAGCGTTGCCCCTCCTTTCGTACGATTCCCGGTAGCGAGCGTGGCATATTCATACACCTTGCAGGTGTATCGAGACTCGTTGTAGAAGGTACGTGCATAGCCATCTAGTACTTCTCTGCCTTTTCTTTTCCACCATCTACCTGTGCTTCTGGTCCTATTTCAAGAGATGGAAATGCACGGCACTACCTCAAAACAACCCGCCTCAAGGCTGTGTTTTCCACAACCATCATGACTCCCAGCCGGTAGACAGCATCTTTTCACAAAGTCTCTGATTTTCCCGTTCTTTACGTCTTGTCACCAGAGATCTCGGGTCAGATTGGTGGGGCTTGGAATGCCAGGCCCAGCTGCATTCACCTAGCTGTTCACTATGGCCTCACTCTGTTCATATCCCAACCTCCCAAAAGGCGAACAATAAAGAGCTCTCAATAGCAAATGTCCTATTGTGCGCGAGCTTTTATTGTGCGCGGGCTCCAGTCTCGTCCCTATGAATTCCGCTCGGCTTGCTTCCTGTTGTTCTCCTGTCTCCCAGACCACTTTCAACTTTCCATTCCACCCTGCTATATATCGATTTCCGATTTCTTTCTACCTCGCTTCACATCACTTTTCACGTCACACCTGCGACCAACATGTCTGAGACCGCTCGACTGATCGACATGCTCAAGGTCTCCAACGCTCAGCGTATCCCGTACGCCCAGTCACTCGACCTCAGCCTTCTCGAGGATCCGGTCGTAGTCTCCACAAAGACAGGCAACAACCATTACCAGGTCATATATCAGGCTCCAGGCACGTTCTCCGAGGCTCTCCAGTTCATTGCGGACCGCAAGCCGCTTCCACCGCCACCCAACGCCCCTCTTGGCAAGGATTTACAGACTCGCCTCAACTTCGTGATTGCTACCCTCAACAAACACACAGTCAACACCATCGCCAAAGCCAAAATGGCCGGCCGTCTTCCAGCACTGTCCACCTCGGATCTCCCTACAGCAAGCCCAACTGAAGCATCCGCAACCGCCTCCCCAGCTCGCGGCTCCGCAATGCTCAATTCGATCTTCAAATCCGTGCGCGTCCCCGAGTTCAAGTACCGCTGGCAATTCTGGGCCGAAAAGGGCCAGCAGCAACCGCCCCCAAAGACGACCTCCACCACCGCCGGAGCCGAGGAGTACGCCAACCGCCCAAAGCCGCTTGGTGAGCAGATCGTGAGCGTAAAGGACTTCTACCAGCACTTCAACAACATCCCGGTAGAGAGCCTAAAGCTAAGGGACAGCATCCACCTATTCCACCTTGGCGTGAAGCCTCTGTGGGAGGATCCGCGCAACACGCGTGGCGGCGCTTGGTACTTCCGAATCAGCAAGGAGCAAGCCGCGCAGTTCTGGCATGAGATCTGCCTTCTTGCGGTTGGTGATGTGCTCCAGGGTGCTGTGGAGACGAAGCGAGCTTGTAAGTACATTCCATCGTCGTAGACACATGAAGATTGGTTGAGCTTACATCAGAACAGCCTTCAATGACGACATCTGCGGCGTCTCCTACTCTGTCCGCTGGAACGCCGTGCAGGTCGCCATTTGGACCCGCGATGCAGACAACGAGGTCGGCAAAGAGAAGCTGCTTCAGACCATCCTCGAGAAGCTGAGTGCTGAGCTGCAGCCCAAGAAGGACAGCTACTGGTACAAGGCGCACAAGGAGCACAAGGGATTTGCTGGGGGCGAGTAGATGCTAATGCATCCATTGTGAAGGATATTGGTAGCCAGGAAGGATATTGAGGAACGCCAGGCTGCTCAATCTTAGGTGGCATACAGTGTTTTCGGGTGGATTGCGGACAACAGATATGTATCATGGATTGATCTGGAAAGTGTTATGAGTCGCATGGAAGTCATGATTTTGGTTGACGGCATCTGCAGGGACGTTTGATCCCACATAGAATATATCATCACAGTTTCCTAAGCAACAGGCCATACCAGACACGAACCCCAACCCACTTCAGCCCCCGCTCTCCCACCCTGCCACTCTCGACATCTTCCTTCGTCATTATATGGTCCCTGAGAATCACGAGGTCAAATCCTGCTTCGATCGCTGCGTCCTCAATCTCCGAGTTTGTGTGCGCAAAACTCGTCCCCCTGACCTTTAGTCCCTCAGCATTGACAAAGCCTGCTTGGGAAACCTTTCCCATATCGCTGTGCATGTTCGTCACCAGTGCATACCCACCCTTCTTGACCAGACTCGCCACCGTAGCGAAGTAGTCCCCCAGTGGGACATGCTCCAGCACCAGCGTACTGATGACCCCGTCCACGGCCGAGAGACCGCTCACGGCGGGCACCGGGCTCGCCTCCTTATCTTCAACCGTAGGGAAGCAATCTGCTTGGCTGATCTGTAATCGCACATTGTCCTTCTCCAACGGCGCCAATTTCTCCCTCGCTACACCCAGCATCCCGGCGGAGAAATCCAGTGCCGTCACCTCAATGGGTGAGTGGGGACTGAGGTTCCATGGATAACTCAGTAGTTTCGCAGTGTTACGTCCCGTGCCACAGCCCAGATCCAGCAGCTTTATGGTCTTGTCTGCAGCAGTGGACTCCACCGATGCTAGAAACTCAGGTAGGAAGGTGGAAAGCTCCACATCGTCGATTGCCTGCAGCATGTTGCCGTCAGTATCGTACACCGCAGCCCACGAATCGTAGGCGTCCTGAGTGGGAAGGTGCTGGACAGGTGTGAAGGGCTTGAGAGGTGGCGTAGGGACGACATCGAGCTGCACGGAAGTTCCCCCTGTGGCCATGGCATCTGCCTCAGAGGGATCTGATTCAGTCGTCGAGAAGGATGTGTTCGGGTTTCTGGTGTCGACCAGAGAAGTGTCGAAGGTCATGTTGACGGATGGCCGCGTCATTGTAGTGCGTAGTCTGGACTGTTGGCTTGATAGAGGATGTCGTGTCCAGGGACGAAGATTAGGCGATGTAGTAGCTTCCCAGGGGTTGCGAAGACCCAATTTGATCCAGAGGAACTCGGAATAGGGAAACGAACTCTCAAGTGGGTGGCGGTGGAGAACAAAGGATAGCCTGTCGAATGATCGTTATCGGGGTGCTTCATTCGCAATATATACATGAACTGTGATGCGCCCTGCGACTTCTCCTCATATCCGGATTAGGCAATGTGTAGTGCAAGGCGCGCGCCAATGACTCACATCTGCATGCCATTGACGCCAAGTCACGAGTGAACGCGCCATCCACCTGCATAGCTGCCGTCCTTCGATGAACCTATTGGAAATGACAGGCTTAACCATTCCTACTCCTTATGCATGCCAATTGAGCACAGCATATGCGTGGATACCCCGGGCATGCTTGAAATAAGATGTTGTACAGAATATGACCTAGCTGCACCTGATAATGCTGCTATGCGGCTGTTACTGTAGGAATCTACCCCGCAATGCCCTAACTTAAAATATATGTGCAAACACAAAATCAAGTGTTTGACTCGCGTGCATGTGAACAGCACGGTTGGCGCTAAACATAAAAGTGATTTACAGGGTATATAGTACACATAATCTACCTATCGAAGCAACTCGCCCGTCCCGGTATCTGGAAAGTATGATGCGACTATACGTTCGCGGTGCCTGGTGAGATACTTCCGCTTGAGCAGGGCGTCCCGTAGACGAGTGTCGGTCCAACCATTGCCTAGGTTGTCATCCATAAGCAAATGGGTGTATGAGAAAACGCTGGCGTCGAAGAGGCCCGGCTGAGACGCGCCGAAGAACCAAGGATCGTCCCCTAGAGCCGTCTCAAGCGCCTCAAAAGCCTCCTCCGCATGTCTGTGTAGCTCTTCTGCATCGATGATTGCGGAGAACTTGAGAAGCTCCTTCTCGGCTGCGCGGCGCAGATCACCGGCGATTGAAAGGCGCACGAACGGGTTTGAAGAGGTGGGCAGGATGTAGAGAGGTTCGGAAAGGGACGTAGCGTTCGAGGAAAGGTAGACGCTGTACAGCTGCAATCGAATTAGCCAATGCCTCAAAACTTGGAGAACTGGACATAGCGCACCCATGCCCTTCTAATTCGATGGTCCAACAACGAGAGGTAGGCTTCGTATCGTAGGTCCCCCGGCTCTTCAACCGCTCGGGCGGTGTTGTTTATGGCCCACCGTTGCAACTTGGCAGAGACGACGGGAGGCGGAGGCTTCGAGGTCTCTGTTGACGCCGGTAGGAGAAAGGGAAGGACTCCGCTAGGAGAAGCATGGTTGTTTGAAGACACAGCTTGGAAGCTGATGCCGGAGAATTTCAAGTAGGCCTGTATGAATCCACAAATTAGTTACCGAAGGACAGAGTCGCAATATGCCTGCTTACCTGCCACTTCAGACACGCTGGATTGTATGAAGGCGCGCCATCTGCCGCGTCCTTCTCTCCTGCGAAGATGAACAGTGTATGCGCATCGCGATGCCGCGGCGCGCGTTGCGGAAGGTCGTTTGGGGAGTATGTGAGGAGCGGAAAGCGGTCGAACAGCTGTTTTATCGGCGTCGGTACGGCAAAAATGCTTCGCGAGGGCGTAGAATGCGCCCGGCGGGTGCTCTGCGACGCATCTTCCTGGTCGCTACGTTCGGCTGTCATCGTCCTCTGTGAGACGGGATTGCGCACCAAAAGTTCAACCGTAGATGCGGAAGTGACGCTCTCGCCTATACTTGCCGAATCTGTCACCGCGGGAAGATGTACCGATCCATATCTCTTTCGAACGTGTACCCGTATAACAATTCTGCGTGCTAGAGATGGAGTGACCCGAGTCTTTGCATGATGTTCTGACTAATGCACAGCTTGGTAACTCTCTTGGTGTGGGTATGATTTAATACAGGTATATGGAGGACTGGACTCGAAGGTCCACCGAGTTAAGGCGTGCTGAGAAAGCGCTGAATCCTGCTCAAGCGCATGTAGCAGGCTTCCATAAATTGTGTTCCCTAGCTACGGGTTCTTGCATGTATTGATTGTAACGTTTCCGCCAGATGAACCCTGTCGAATTTAAAGCCAAAGGCTGCACCGTCCACACCACCTCAGAACTACCAGAGGCCGTCCGGTCCCCTATCCGTTGACCTACTCATCTTTCGGAGTCTTTGACTTCAAAATATAGATTCCAGTGATTCTTGCAGCCTGGATTGAAGGCACCGGCGCACCTGGTGCAGACTGATCCGCTTTTCAAGTATTCCTCTATTGTGAGTATATGCTTGCATTTCCCACATAGAACTGCGCTTTCACCTCGCTTCGAGATAGGCCATACATCTGATGCGTGGGTCTCTGATGCGTCATGGCAGCTAATGCAGGCATAGAACTTGCGGCAGCAGAAATGCTGGATCGCGATGATGTCAAGTGGAGACGACCAATGTACGCAATGCGTCAGTGAGTTTGTTGCACCGTAGACGTGAGGAGACTCTGAATTGCCTGCATTGGGAGTGCTCATATCGAACAGGAGAGCAGACGTGCTCACGGAAGGAGCGACGGTGGCTCGGCGCTATCCTGTGTATGTATGCTTGAGAAGCAGCAACCGCCTGCAAACCCGATCTTGAGCTTCGAGTGAGTGATACCGTATCAATACGATGTCCGGAAGGAAGTACGGCTCATGCTTCGAGTCCCGGGAGCTTTTGAGTTGTCGTCTTCCAGGGCTTGGAAAGCTACAGGTGACGTCCGGCCGCGCGTGAAGATGGAGATGGTCACCAACAGCCTCTTGGACGCAAGGGCTGGCCGAGAACAAGGATAGATCGAAAGATCCTGCTGCATCTCCATTCTTTTTACTCGGCAAGGAACCCGAAACTCGGCGACTCTTGGGACTCCACCAACAGCTCAGCTCAGCTACGCCATAGGGCCCCTCGATACCCCGCCAAAACCCGCGAAACTTCTACCCAACTCAACAACGCATTGCAGCAACACCACTTGCATTCATCTTACAGAGATCTTTCTACCTATACACCTCCCCATCTCAAGAACGTAAATTACACAAACCGCCAACATGGGTCGCCAATTCTTCATCGGAGGTAACTTCAAGATGTACGTAACGAGCCGAGCTGTAAGTACAGACGACGCACACAGCCGGTCTGACAGAGAGTGAAGGAACGGGTCGATCAAGTCAATCACAGAGATTATCGACAACCTCAACAAGGCTAAAATTGATGAGAACGCTGGTATGTACATACGCCTTGGATGCTTCTGTGAGGATTGAAAGCTAACCCTGCCGCAGAGGTTGTCATCGCTCCTCCTTCCCTCTACCTCCTCCTCGCGCGCGAGCACCTCCGCAAAGGTATTGAAGTCGCTGCCCAGAACGTCTTCGACAAGCCCAACGGCGCTTTCACTGGCGAGATTTCCGCACAACAACTGAAGGAGAGCGGCATCACCTGGACTCTCGTCGGCCACTCTGAGCGAAGAGTTATCCTCCAGGAAGACGATGCATTCGTTGCGAGCAAGACCAAGGCGGCGCTTGACGGTGGCCTAGGTGTCATTCTTTGCTGCGGAGAGAGCCTTGAGCAGCGTGAGGCAGGAAAGACCATTGAGGTGGTCACCAACCAGCTCAAGGCCGTTGCGGACAAGGTCAAGGACTGGTCCAAGATTGTCATCGCTTACGAGCCTATCTGGTACGTTACACATTGCCGGGCGAAAGTTCAATCTCGTCTAACCGTATGCTAGGGCTATTGGCACTGGCAAGGTCGCCACCACCGAGCAGGCACAGGAAGTCCACGCTGCGATTCGTGAGTGGTTGAAGAAGGACGTTTCCTCCGAAGCCGCTGAGAAGACCCGCATTCTCTACGGTGGCAGTGTGACAGAGAAGAACAGCCCGGAGCTGGCCAAGCAGGCTGACATTGACGGCTTCCTTGTTGGCGGTGCCAGCCTGAAGCCCGCTTTCGTCGATATCATCAACTCCAACTCTGCTTGAATACATGGTGGGGAAGCTCGTTTGTAGCAACAGGAATACTTCGGAATGGAGTTGCTGGACCAAATGAAAAGGACGTGACTGGGAGGATCACCACATAAATGATATAATGAAGCCATCACGCAGTAAACGCACCCCACAGAACTTTCGAATCGTGTGTATTGATACAGTGTTGCACACATTGGTACATGTTTGTACATACCTGGCCCAGAAACGCCTTGCAATGCTCTATACAATCAAGCCACCATATAACGAGATATGCTCGAGATATAGCTGCCACCCCACATTCCATAAAATCCTTTATATCTTGATCTTCGCTCCATGGAACGGATCCCATATACCCCTGACGTTCTCGTTGATACTGGTGACGGGCTTCGCTGGCACCCTCTTGTTCTTCTCAGGGCTGGAGTTCCGCAGTAGCTCGAGCTTCTCCCTTATCTCCTCCGGTGCCAAGTTCTTCACGTTGACCGACCTTTGATGCCCGTTGAGGTAGTATGCCGTGATCGCTGGGTGGTCATTGGCCTTTTTGTAGACCTGGATCTCGATCTGAGGGTTGCGCTTCGCAAAGAAACCAAGTTGGGTCTTGAGGTAGGCGTTCATGCCTTTCGAAGAGCCGGCCCAGTCGCAGTATCTGAGGGTAATGCGCTTGCAAGGGAGAACGAAGGCGCCGACACCATTCTACGGGGGTCAGTGGGAGATCGTTCGCAAGCGCAACACGCCGCATTGGCGGCGGATGGAACCTGGACTCACCTGGGCCGTCGCGACCTTTTGGATTGCCGACAGCGGCATGTTGGGCGGTGACAGTTGCGATGTGGTACCTTCACTGTCGGGTGAACTGCACCTGCGCTACTTTTCGTGAGGAAGACGCCATCACGTGTTAGGCAGGCGCGCGCCAAGGCCGTCCTGATGCAGCTTTACGCGGCCAGTTCTTCACCTTCGCTCTCCCTCGCACCCGTCATCTACAAACAACTCACATCGCTTTCTGGCGCGCAGTCCGGAACCCAGCTCGCGATGACGGACAAACTCCCACCCATGCTGCTGCAGCTGTTCGCCCCGCGGCCTCCGTTGCGCTGGGTTGAACCTTCAGACCACGCGCCCGAGAAGCGCCAAACGCCCAACATTGGTGGCATTGGCCAATACATGCAGGCGCTGAGAGAATACAAGGACAATGACGGATACGTGCCTTCCGACAGCTGGCTGCAGAAGCGCGACCGCAGGAAGCTCGAGAAAAAGGAACGCCAGGAGAAGCTGCTCACCGAAGGCGTCAAAGACTGTACGGCATCGCTAACTCGCGCATGTTGCTACAACACGCGCGCCCCTCATGTTAAATTTTAAAGCTGACTTTCTTGCAGACAAGCCTCACGACGACCCCAAAGTTCAGGGCGATGCCTTCAAGACGCTCTTCGTATCGCGCCTCAACTACTCCACCACCGAAGAAGACCTGGAGCGCGAGTTCGGCCGCTACGGTCCCATCGAGCGTATCCGCATCGTCGAGAATGTGAAGGCAGCCCCCGATGCACCACTCAAGAAGCGCAAACGCGGATATGCTTTCATCGTATACGAGCGCGAGAAGGATATGAAGGCTGCATACAAGGAGACGGACGGTATGAGGATCAAAGACCGGAAGGTGACCGTCGATGTCGAGCGTGGTCGCACCGTGTCCGGCTGGCGACCCCGCCGCTTCGGTGGTGGTCTTGGAGGCCGGAACTACACTAAGCAAGCTGCTGCTCGCTCCGGAGGCGGAGGCTTTGGTGGTCCTCCAGCTGGTCCAGGTGGCTTCGGTGCACGACCAGGCGGCTTTGGAGGTGGCCGCTTCGCTGGTGGCGGTCGGGGAGGTGGCTTCGGAGGCGATCGAGGTGGCTTCCGCGGTGGCTTCGGAGGGGGTGGCCGGGGTGATCGCGGCGGTGGCTTTGGAGGCGATCGTGGTGGCTACGGGGGTGACCGTCGTGGCATTGGATTTCAGTCTAATGGATACGGCCCTCCAGATGGCGCCCCAGCCGGACCTCGCGGTCCCCGCGATTTTGGCGGAGGCAGTGATCGAGGCGGTGATCGGGGTGGAGGAGGCCGTTATGGGGACCGAGGCGATCGACGCGACTTCGGCGGCAAAGGATCCAGCGGTGCGAACAACGAGCCGTTGGGTAGCCGAGATCGATACCGCGACCGTGACCGCGATGGTGGGTATGGCGGCCGAGAGGATTCTGGCTCAAGGAAGCGTGGCTACGAAGGCGACAGCTACGACGATCCGCGACAGCGCCGCAGGTACTAAGCTTGAGCGCTATGGTTTGTCAAAAGGTTACATTCTTTATCGCCTTGTTATCTAACCCTTTCGCATCAACAAGGGTAAGAACAGCAAAGTAACCTCGCGGAACGCACAGCAAGCTCGTCATTGTCTGCAGAGGGTAAGCAAGCATGCAACAGCGGACAGTCAGCTGTCAGGCTTGAGATCATACTCATGGACCAAAACAAATCAACGCACTCACCATCACGTACCATCAATATCCGGATGGCATTTTTCCACCCTTTGGTAAAAGGCCACTGAGCTCGGCATACCTAAAGCTCACCCGCTCAAGAGGGAAACTGGCATATCCGACTATCATCACCAGTCTTATGTCGACTGGCAAAATCTCACCACATCAATCACATCAACGGATCTTCAAGGTAGCGGAAGGGGTAGGGTTCAGATCGACTTCGATACTAGCAGTTTCATCATTTTCATTTCTCTTTATGGGTAGGTATAAGCTATGTGTAAGTTATCTGCGAGCACGTTTACGGTGCTTCCTCAAGGTAGGATTAAAGGTAGGGCTTTCCTTACTTGGTCTTACGTGGACATGCCGTTGGTGTGAATTTGCAAGCTGCGAGCAGTGATACCGAAGAGCACGCGACATTGCTTACACTCATGTACTGTACAACTTTCGTCTATTTTAATCTCATGTATATGTGTACATTTCCTATAGACGAGTACACTCTCAAAACGTTTCTTTTAACTGCGATCACTTTCTTGATCCAAGCTTCGAATGGATTGGAGGATGTGCCCACCCAGTGACGACTCTTTCACTGATGCTTTACGCAGCAACCAGTAATTGCCCCACTAGCAGCTCAGCACTAAGATATGCCATCATACTTCGACCATACTTGACCAATCCATTGTGGTCCGTGAACCAATTCAAGAAATCCGAATGTAGATAAGTGGAGGTTCATCTCCAGACAGCCGATCTCCGGTTTATTCAGCAAATGTAATAACAGCACATTGGACTTCCTGCTGGCTACAGACTACTCTTGACACACACAATTGCCTCCCGAAATCAGGACCGCCATCCACTCAACGCACATTCTTGCCAATAAACTCCTGAATATAATGGTAAGCCTCCATGGCCGAATAATGCAAGTTTAGCCCATGGCCCGTATTTCTGGCCAAATACGCCCCCGTTGTTTTCGCCCGAGGATACAGCAAGGGGAACACAGCCTCCGCCTTGTTAACCGGAGCACTGCAGTTGCCAAAGCAGAACGCGAGATCCTCGTCGCCATTGATGACCGCTACGGGTTTCGTCCAGTTGGCCGCCGGCCTCGTCACCGCCGAGATGGAGAAAAACTCGCCGAACGTGGCGGTGCCCTTGGTCGCTTCTGCGAGACTGAGGATCTCGGGGTCGAAGCCGGGCGCGTGGAAGAAGCAGATCTCACTGGCAGTGGCGCTGCCGTCGACGAGGTAGCCGTTGTTGAGGGCGCCGAAGCGGTACGGCTGGTTCTGGGAGGCGATGGCTAGATTGAGGGCGAGGGTGAAGGGCGCTACACCGGTTGAGTTGGCGGAGAAGCCAGTGAGGATCGCTGCATCGATGGCCTGGGGGTACTGCGAAGTGACGGCTTGCGTGATGATGCTGCCGAAGGAGTGGCCGGTGCCGATGACGGTGGAGAATGCGTGACTGCTGAACGCTCCGGCTCGCAACTTCTGCGCGAGTATGTTTGCGATTTCGACTTCGAGGGCGGCTTGTACGACGTTCAGGGGATCGGCTTTAGTCGACTTGCCTACACCGAGACGATCGTAGAGCAAGGTTGCGTGGCCGTATTGCGCGGCTACATCGACGTAGCTGTATCCTGGCGCGAAGTCCCAGTAGTACCTATCGAAGCCAATACCATGCGTTAGGAGCTGCACTTGGTCGGGAGTAGTATTATTTGCCGGTGTACACAGTGTTACGCCGATCTCATACGTTCCACTGACGCTCTGTGTCCCGCCGACCAGTTCTTGTGCAAATGGGCTGGGGTTGCTGAGGAGCTTGAGAAACGTATTCGTTACCTGGGACTGGTTCTGGGGTAGCTCGAAAGTAAACTTGAGGTTCCGAGAGGTGCTCGCCTCGACAGAAACAGTGCCAGATACGCAGACTGCGAGGCCGCCACGAGCTGGCTGAATCGTGGGGTTGTCAAATCCGGATGTGCTTGGTGTCTTGACTCCGGCTGGCACTGCACCTCCTGGGTTAGCGGGTAGGAGCCATTCTGAATATTGTGCTGATACGCCAGCGGCAAAGGCAAGAGCAGTGGAAGCGCGCATCTTGAAAGTGAACAATGTATCTACTCACTGAATAGAAGTGGTAGGAGTACGCGTTTATGTACAATTCACTCCGAAGCCATCTAGTCTGCCCAAGGTAGAACTGGCTCTCCAATATTGGCTTGAATATGGGTACACCTCGTCAATTTGAAATCGTACACGGTCGTTTGAGCATGCACCTAATCACTATCCTCAGATCGACTATTCCGCTCTGGCCATTGCGAAGACTCTTGTTCCTTCGTGTATTGAATGTGTTTGTGGTGATTTGTCGAATGCGCTATGTGAGCAGGGTCATCCCGCGTCAGCAAGAGCTTAGTGAGCCTAAGCCCCTGCTTATTTTCTGATATTTGGAAGGGAAGACTTTACATCATTTGGAATGTTGAGCGCGACACCGGCATGTGTAATGCGAACGATCGCAGTAAGCGCCGCCCTAGCGTAGCGTCTGTTCAATATGACTATGTACGAGCTTCCGAGATGACATATGGGCACACTGGAGATTTCCACGCTCAGCTGAAACCTAATGCGCTCACATCCACAGTGGCTGATAGTAAATTCTGGACTTGATGGCTATCAAATTTCCGGGTACACTATCAGATCATAGCTCTATGACCGTATTACGCAGTAATCCTACAGGATGAGGTGTGCTACTCTAGTTTTGTAAGTCGGCCACTATGATCAGCGGTAGCTAACGAAACGTAATAACACAAATTATTATCACGTATTGACCTTCATGTCTCTGTTATCTCTTTGATAACACGCTCTCATCGGCTCTACTCATTAGCTGACCTGAAGTTGACGGATTGTGTGACTTTGTAATGTCAGCCTTTTCTTGCGCTTCGAAAATCGATCTGACAGTACCAGATCACAGATCTGAATAATATAAAGCGAGCCACCTAACTATACACAAGGCATTTGAAGAGCTACCTATGTATGGAAGCTGCGGTCCCTAACGTGGACGCGAAAGCCAGTGCCTACACCAATTTTCACGGCCGCAATGAGCCGAGTTACAAAAACGAAACGACCTCGGCGTCGCCAGCAAGGCTTCCTGTCCAAATAAAACTCTCGCAGTCGCAACAATACTGAAAACCCCTACGTGTTCCTCTCATCCCCCCGTTTCCCAAGTGATGTCAGGAAACCGTTAGCCTCGAGTCTTCGTTCCAGCTTTTTGTATCGCTCATAATTCTCCTTGTTCTTTCTTTCCTTATCCACCTCCTTTCGCTTTGCAATAAGGCGCTGAGCTTGCGCACCCTTTGTGCGATTGCTGTGCCATAATTTGTCTCTGGGCTTACCTGGATCCTGTTGGTCAGCCACCTTCTTAGAGGGCCTCTTCTTAGAAGCGCTGCGGATCAAATTGAAAGGAGTATGGCGAAATTTGCGAGGGGAGGCTGCAGAAGTGAGAGACGCCTCAGGAGGGACAGGAGGCGATGGACTCCATTCGCAAGGAGCGAACCAGTTGTTGTGTTCCACATTGACGACAGGAGCTATACGCGGGGCTTCGAAAAACAACTCATGCTGACCCGTGGAGTATGCTGACTCGCTCTCCGTTGCTATTCCCTCGCTAGATGCTGTCAAAGACAGGCGATTAGCCTTTCGAACCGTGTGAGAAGACTCTGCAAGAGAGCTCATCTCCAATTCCAGGTCCGCAGTGTAGTTTGGCATCGACGCCGTACGTGGAGGCAAGGGAGCAGGGCCGTGAGAGTCCATAGTCGACGAAGATCCAGATGAGGTGCTCCTGTATGTTTCCAGATCAGAGAAAGCGGTAGTCAATGAATGCGTGCGCAATGGGAGAGATGGGTCTGACTCCATGGTAAAAACTGTTCGCGTGATTATGGTTTGCGAGTCACCAGGAGGAATGTCAGTAGAAGCTCGCCTTCCAGATACAAGGGATTCTGAAACTTCAAGGTGCCTCTCAGGCTTCGATCCGCCCTGACTGTAGTGCACCGCGACTGCAGCGTTGGCGCTCTCGTGATGTTCCTTTACGAACCTTTTCACAACATCCCATGCGTGCTTCGCTTTTTTTGATGCCTCCGAGGAAGTTGCCTCGGAGCTTTTCCTCTGCCGACCGTGGCTGGATTCGGGATTGGGTAGCCTCTCACCACGGATTGAAAGTGGCAAGGGGGCTGATTGTCTCCAATTCTCTGTTAGTAGAACGGATACCGCGGGCTCGTCTGGCGTGTGTGAACTCTCTGATGCTGTCTTCAGAGTGCTTTGTGAGGACCCTACGCCGTGATGTGGCCCAGACGCAGACTTTGTTTGAGAATCCGCTGGGGTCTTGTGTGGAGGCGTTGTTGTACCCGATGGTTTGGTCTCGACTTGTGAGATGGTCGATATGCTCAAATTTCTGACTGGCGGGTTCGCCGGTGAGGGTCTTCTCTGTGAAGTCGACCCAATCAGGTTCTGTGACGGTTGATCTTTCTCGAGGGTTTGTTTAAATATTTCGAAACTCCTATCAGAGACCTTCACTCGTTCTGGAACGGGGTCTGACAGGTCTAAGAGCCACTGAGGAACGCGATGGAAGTGTGGCATGGACTTGTAGTTTCGGTGGAGTGTGCGAAGATTTTCTCCTGTTACACTATGCTCTACGAGCGATCTCCGAACTTTTGGAGGGTTGGCCGCCTGAGAAATTCCCATCTGCGTGCTAGTCCTTTCTGAGGAGAAATCACTCCTCGATGCCACATATGATTCACCGGAGGGTGTCTCGTGGAGCACAATCTGCTCTCTACGTTTCGTTTTAGGATCGTCACTCCTTCCGATGCGCGCCGTATCTTCGAGGAGCTTCTCCCGGTTATCTTCCTATTGGGAATCAAATCGCGCTACATGGTTACAAAACGATCTTGCCAGATCCTCCATCCCCATGACCTTGCGCAGCTCCTCCCTATCTTTCGAATCTAGTAGTGAGCTATCTGTATCCTTGAAACAACAAAATTGCAGATCATGCAACGTATCTTGCCATATATTACAAACCTGTTGCGTCCTGACGATCCATCTATGTGGGCCGGCAGGCTGAGGCTGCCACAGGTCCAAAGAATGACTCAATTGAGCGATGGCTCCTGCAAGAGCTCGATCCACTACTTCCAGTACGTTCGGGGTCTCATCATCGGTCACTATTGTAGCCAGAAAATCCATATAATGTACGAACGCGGACCATTTGTCGGTTGGAGATTCGAGGTGAGTTGTAATGTGGTTGAGAGATTGAAAGTGAGGCCTGAGAAGCTTGAGGATTTGACTCATGAATTTATGGTGGGATCCGCTCTCTGTTCTCGTGGTTTAGAGCTCCTTCAACAAGCGGTTGATTCGATCTTGGGACTGGGCGATGCGATCCATGGAGGAGCCCGGTTTGCTTTGTGTGGAGGAATGCATAGATACAGTTGACTGTTCAGAGACCGACGGCGTGCAACTGCTTTCTGTCACGCCGTTTTCACCCTTTTCTGATAATGACCAGCAAGAGGTAGCCGGCTCAGATATTTCTTCGAGAATGTCAAGATTAGTGACGAATCTGTCATCTAAGAGATTGTCAGTGCCCATCCCTCCCCGGCCCTTGTTAAGTGACGTCAGGTTAGCCGTAGATATGCGCTTCAGCTTCTGGAGCTTGTAAAAGCCATCTTGTTCGTCGGCGTCGTCCTTGTCAGGATAAAGAGCGGTGCCCATTGCAGTAGACAGAAGCCCGGACTTGTTTACTCTCTTAACGATATTATTGAGCTTAAATTCGGGCAAGGTAGAAACACATCGCGCAATGAGCTATTTTCCGAATACCTAGGTGTGTCATTTGAGTCGCGCAGGCCTAGGCTATAAAGTTACTCGCCGTTTGAGGCAAATAATTCGAAGTGTTTGAACTTGTAGAGTAATGACTTGACTCTCTTCACAAGGGAACCGTTGATTCGGTACTCGAGTTTACATTTGAAGACGCCCGAAAATTCGCATATTCAGTAGTCTCTTGCAAGTCAAGTTTGATTGTTATTTCTTCACAGTTTGCAAGTTCTACCACCACACTCGGTCATCGTATGCACATACCTCAACTTTCCATTCTCCAGTCGAAATTCATGCGAGTCAGCCGCATTCATCTACTACAATTAGTGAAATCTTCAATAAAAGCGTGGTGATTTTCAAACTCACCATGTGCTCCCACACACAGAAGATACTCACGCTCCCCATCTCCTCATCAATGACGTATCGCCTCCTCGTATTCGGCGCCTGGTTGTGATTGCTAGGGATGCCTGGCTGACACGAATCGTTGGGCTCCCCTTTACCCGTGTACGCACTGCCCTCGAGCCTCACGCACGGCGTGCCCCACGGCACCTTCTCATGTGCATGTGCATCACTCCACATATCAAGATAGGCATCTCCAGCAGCTTGTATGAGTTCTCTCGATGACTGCGCTGACACAGGAAGCGGTTTCCACCCTGCGTCCTCTGCCTTCACGTACTCGAGCGTCTTGGTTGCGTTAAAGAGCCATGATCCTGTTGTGCTTGCAATCGTATCTATGCTGGAGACTTTTCTATCCGTGTTGTGTCGGATTTGCGTGCCGATAACATACGGTCCACTTGCGGCGACTACCTCAGTGTAGGTAGCGCAGGTGACGAGATCGTAGCTCGTGCGGTGGTGGTCGATGGTAAGCTTCTTGGAGAGGACACTTGAAGAGGTGGAAATGTTCTTATTGTTCTCAGTGTAGATCCATGATGTCGCCAGAACAGACTTCAGTGGATCGAGAGAACCAGCTGTTTGTGCTGCAATGTAGGCATCTGCGGCTTGAGCAAGAATCGTGCGATCGCAAGCTGCTTGAGCAAAAGGAGCAGCGCTAGTGACAGATGCTAAAACATTGATAAGGAGATAGAAGCTCGACGCGGGGGCCATTGTTCGTTTGAAAGCCATTTGACTTGTCGTCGTCTTTGGTGGCTTAAATACCTGAGAAATCTAAAACTAAGAGTACATGTCGTAGTCATATATCAGAACTGATTCAACAAGTTTCAAAGAGTTCGTCAATACTATTTCGGTGTGACGAAGTGCCGTGATTGCATTATATTGAGCCGGGATCCTCTGGGGAACACTCTTTGGGCGGCAAAATCGCGACCCCACATGGAATATAGACTTTCAGATATGCCTAGGCTACAAGTCTTGACAATCTAAAAAAGCTGTTCAAACTTTCGCAGTGCCCTATGCGCTTTAATTAAATCATGTCCGTACTCTGTTCATTTTGGTTGTGCAAGACTTGGTAGCTGTCTCCGCCGAGCTCATGAGCAGCCGCCAGCATTAGTTGATGCAATGCAGACTCTGCATCCTCCACATGCTCATCAGGACCGATTTCTTGGTCCAGTCTTGTGTCTCTGATCCACGCCCCGTGGCCATCTTTCCGCCAGCCTTGTCCTCTGTTCTGTAGCGACTCAATGTACTCTTCCACCTCTTTAGCCACCTCTTTTTCCCCACAGTCGTTGCTTACAAACTTCGATCCATCACCAAACTCTTGCGTACCCAATAGTCCAGCAAGTCCGCTGTAACATCCGTTCCACTCTAGCCAAAGGTCCGAGGATTGAGCTCTTCCTAACCTTTTAGGCGTGCTGAGTAGATCGTTCTCCGGGCCTGGTGCGAGCTGGACCTGTATCTTGCGTAGAGTCGGTATCTTTTGCAACGCGTGGATGATAGCGTTCATGTTTGTGTTGAATGGAAACACGCCTATGAATGAGAACGAGGTAATATTGCAGCAATCTTGAACTTCCTTCGCTAGGCGAAGAAGAGTCAGATATAACATCTTCGGTGATTGTTTGAGATGATACTCATAGGTGCTGTATGCTGTGATCGAGGAGCCTTCGTTGTAACCCAGGTGCGTCCAAGGTTTGCGATGAACAAGAGCGTTACCCCAAGGCCGGCATTCGGGGTTTCGATGAGCTGCGCGTTGTGGATCCTGCTGCAGAAATTCCACGTAGTGCATTTTCATGTCGAAAGCCCAGGCGTCAGAACTTAGCATCTGCGAATCCAAAAGTGCAGAAAGCGTGCTCGGCGGTGCAGCTACCACAACACGATTCGGATCAAGGTTGGAGAATACTTGGTCCCATATTTCGCGGACTGCATGGGCCAACGGCGCATCTGCAGTCGAGACGTGTCGAAGCTGGTATTCTTTGTCTGTATAAACCACGATATTCTTAATATGGTTCTTCAGATCATACTGCCATACGAATCGTAGGAACTGTGCGAAGCCCTTGTTGAGATGTGGAAACCATAGGATGTGTGGCACACCTTTCAAGATGTGGTCATCTTCCTCTATTCGACAGAGGTTGATGAGGACGTCATCGAATGCCTGGTCGAAGGCAGAACCGGTACCAGTAGCTTTAAACTTGCTCATCATGCGAGTATAGACCTGAAACTCGTGGGTGCTCAGCTTGGTGAGCTGACCTTGCATATTGTCAAGAATCCTGGCATCGATCGGTACCCATTGCGGGCTTGGGTCTAGAGGAATCCTTGAGTAGCGGAAAAGGATAGGTAAAAGGATCCTTCTCCATCGCCATGAAACTCGCGCAAGATTTTTAAGTGGGGTGTCGTCCGAAATTGTCAACCGTGCCGTTGGCTCATGAGAGAATTTGGAGATTGAAGGCGCCTCGATGTCTAGATGAAAGGCGATGGAGATGAGTAGCTCGTTTGGTAGTCGTTCCATGGTCGGCTATCTCAACACCAGTCGGCGCTCGACTTGCTCAGCGGTTGGATCGTTTGGGCAAATTGTACAGAGTAGCACGGTATTCAGGAAATAATATCACAGGGATGGACAATCTAGTCGAACAAAGCAAGATGAGGGCTGAGGATGCGGAGTATCGCGGCAGCTCGGAGGTCGCGCTAGCTGTTTACGATGGGATGACGACACTCGGCAGCAAATCACTGGGTCAGAAAAGCGGCGCATTGTAAGCGCTGCGACATCTCCACTTATTATTCTCATGCCTCGCAATTGACTATACGGAAAATTCAAGTTGCGAGGAGGTTGCGCATAATGCACTGCTGCCTTTCGTATATATTGCTGCAAAGGTGGGTGGGCGAGTATTCGCGAGCAGAGCTGAACAGCTTGTCGTTACCTAGTCGTCGAGGTCCCAGACTCGTATGCTAACGTGTGAGGCGACAATCCTTTCAAATTTGGAGAATTGCTTGACTTCATGGGTGGTGAGAAGAGCAGCGCATTACTAAAATCTCAAGCTTGACACAAAAGAACGCAGATGCAAACGACAGTAGCGACACTGTTGGATTCGATTGACAGATTTACCAGCTCACAGCATTCGCACAGTCGATGATCTTTTCGTCGCCATCGATCAGCCTCCCTCCTTGGCTCTGCCTCGCATTCTCGCCCAACAAGCTCACAACCCCTCAACTAACCACTCTTTCCTTGCTACGATGTGCTACCTAAGCGCAAGTGACAATCGCACTGACAAATGGAGAATTGGCCTGGACACATTGGCCCACAATCGCGGAATAAGCAGTGCCAGTGCAGGAAGAGGTCGTGTACAACTTGACTGTTCCCATCATCAGCAACCAGTAAAAATCGAGGCTTAGATGCCCCTGAATTCGTTTTCGTTAATGGAGAGCAAAGATTTACCGGAGCATCCAGCGTTGACCTGGGCAAGCTTGTAGCTGTTGATAGTGATGCCAGGAGTACTGAAACGGTTGAGAGCCGTGCAGGCGTTCGAGACGTAGATTGGGTCGCCGTAGATGAGGTTGGTGCATCCACCGCCGGAATACTGGTCACCAGCAGCGTAGAAGCCGCCGCCGCTCTGTCGGACTTCAAGATCTGAGGCCGGGGCAGCAGAGGTAAGGGCTGCAAGAGCGGTGAAAAGGGGAACGGTGGTGAACTTCATTTTGGGATTTAGACTGTTGACAAAGTCGACAAAAACAATGGAGGTATCCTAATGTCAGTGGAGATGTCTACTGGTCTTGGGCGCTGGGGAGGACTATCTTGAGTGCGTAAGCCAGCCTCTTTTATAATCTTCTCATGTCTGCTCAGACCACTCTCTCGTCGAAGCTCTTACTCTAAGCCTTGAAGCCATCCGGAGAAGCGGTCCTATTCATCCTGTCTCTACATCCTCACTCCCCGAATCATATCGCTCAATTCTGTCATGAGTCGTGATAGCGTCGTATTTCGCTGTGCCACTGAGCCAGTGAGCGGATTGTTCCGGAGGATGATGACTCTGGACAAAAGCCACGATATTCCTGTGATCATATCACGATGCTTGTTGTACCTATGGGTGTCGACATATAACTCCACACCCCCGATTAGACAGATAGAGCGAGCCGCTGTAAGCTTACCTCTACCTTAGATAGCTGATGATGTGGCTGCATGTGGCGGTTTTCACATCTCGTCAGCAACGAGATTGGTCAACTTAGACTTATCCAGGATCGGCTGGAAATCATAGTTTACGAGCCGGTAAGAAGGATTGCCAGAGGCTGCAATGAAATCGACGCCTGGGTCATTGAATACAGACACGCGGCAACGCGATATTCAGGATTCCCTTGGAATGTGCGGACTTCCATATACACAACACATCGCTGTAGTAAAGGCCCTGATGAAGTACGTCACGCGTCCTAGATCATGACTAACTGGATGTGAATGCGGGCGGTACCCGCACGGTCCGATCCCTGGCGTTCGCAGCCGTTTTGGAACGCACGTGGCTCAGTTTGGGGTCCAAAATCAAGAGACTCCAGCACAACCATCTTCCTCGATGACGGTCTGATGCAGATGACCAATATTAATGTCCCTTCTTTTGGCAAGCGCGAGAGCTGTATGACATTAATGAATACCTTTCAAGCACGCTCGATAGGCTTCAGCAGCATCCCCTACACGAAGGAAGGATCTGTGGCGTGCCCCAAAAAGGAGGTCATCTGGATTCACAAAAAAAGCAAACAGCATCCTGAGGGCACTTCCCGCAGAATAAGCTTTACCATCCCAGATCATCCAATCATGAAGGTGGCCTAGGAGAGATTCTCAACTTACCAGGCCGTCCACGTTGTGGCTAGCTTCGAGCCGGGGACACATGTCTCCTTCAAAAGGCAGATCCGAGATGATTGCTTACTCACTGATGCGTGCAAGGGCAAAGCAGACTTACTGGAAAGTCTATTGATCGTATCATTGCATATTGACGTGTCCTGTTTGAGGTAAAACAGTATCATGCTTACCATATACGAGGTGAAGCAACGCGACGTCTGCAGCTCGGCTGGATAAGGATGCTTCAATGACCAGCAAAGTCGCATCCATTCCTTCATGTCCGCCCTCGAGGTAATTCCAACATGATGGTGTCTAGTCCGGACACTCTGATAGTGAAACATTTTCTTCAATCTCAAGTGCCCAACGATACAACACTTTATCCCATCAGACGTTGTTTAAAAGCCTGATCGCACAGCGCCCTCGAGCCATGCCACACCGGCTACAACGCCATCCACAATCCTGACCCTATCCCCGTCGTCTGCACCTAGCTCCTCAACGCAAGCCTCCCGGACCATCGTATCCATGCCTGCCATGCCAGCGCAACCAAGACAAATTGCGCCGACCTTGCCATTCTTCAAAAGTCTCTTCACCGCATCTTTCATACGCTTGCGCACCTCCTCGGGAGGCGCATCGTGCAAGTCTGTCGCATTCAGACCAGTGGTCTCCACACCAGCGAATCGCTTGCCCGCATCGGATCCGGTGCCCAGGAAGTCCACAACAGCTTCAGAGAGTATCGTCTCCCAGACCTTGCCCGTACTCACAATACCAAACTTCTCGTCTGGGTGAATAATCTGCAGGCTTGTGCTCACACTTGCCTCGAAGATGCCAGTGACCGCCTTGCGGCCAGATCTGATGGCCTTCTGTTCCTTCAATATCGGCACCAATGGATGTTTGGAGTAGCATGCCACGAGAAAGCCATCGTGCTGGCTGAGCACCTTCTCCAACTCGGGTAGGCAGTGCTTCACGCTTTCGGCGGCATCGTCTTCGTTATTGATGCTCTTTGGCCCTGATGGTGCGGTAAAGTATTCGTAAGCGGTCTACTAGCTGCAGTTAGTTTGCTGTAGACCTCTAGTGAGTGGTGTTGATGAACATCTTTGAATCCCAGTTGATCTACGAGCGGCTTGAGCGCGTCGGTCATAGACTTCGTTGAATTCGGCTGGACGATGAGGATTGAGCGCATCTTGTTGTATCTTAACTGACGGTATTCTCCCATTGAAGGCGTGGTGTTTAGTTTTGTTGCGGGGGCGGGGCGGGGCGGAGCATGCGCCACTTCAGACCATTGCTATGACATCATACCTGGCACAGCTCAATTAGCAAATGAGATTTATTCGTGCGATATATGTTGAACAGAGTATTATCAACTGGGCAGAAAGACGATGAGGACGCATGTTGACTTGGAAGGACGTGTGATTGAACTATGTAGGACCCTGCGTATGCCCGCAGTTCAGCGTGAGAAACTAAGAGCTGTAGCTGCACCAGAGTTCAATTCTACACTGGCGCCGCCATCCCATTTGATACCAATCCTTCATGTTTGCTGAATCGCCTCCGCCGAGAATGGGGTATTAGGATGCAATAAGTAAAGTGATGAATCGAACAGCTGGCTTCGACGAAAGTCAGAACGTGTCTTGCGTCTCATGGTGTGTGTACGTACAAATTCGTGTAGTCGTCAAAGGTAGTTGCAGCCTCAACGGAAGCAAGAGAAGCGACCGCAGCTGATGCGGAAGGGAGCGCGTCGGGCGCCGTGCTTGTCAACAATGACACCGCCGCCTGTGTATAGTCAGTATGGTCTACAATTCTTTTCAGGTACAAGCTCCGGCTACTTACCACCATGACGTCCGCCGAAGTGCTTGGTCCACATGAGAGGCATTGTTTTTGTTGCTGGTGGAGCCGGAGAAGTGATAAGGTGCTTGCTGGGGTGCTTAATTTCGAGGTAGATGATCGAGTTTGAGAGAAAGCTTCAAGGCCTCACGAGGATATATACCGCAGGTGTGATTATGCCCAGGGAAACAAGCAAATGACTTGTTGGGTCTCGGCCTCGTCATAGCCAAGATGGTTCTTGCTTCAAGGGCGCTGCACCGCCACATCTAAGTGTGGCGTAACAACCAAGCGTGACATCATTGCTCATCAAACGAGGTGTGGGTATCCTGGCGTCAACAGAGTTTGAGCTAAAATATATTTGTGTGGAATAGTTGAAGAAGACTAACTCGCATTAACGCAAAGTTCTTAGCCAGCTCTGGCGTCGACATTTGTATGGGTGAGTAGCTGGAACGCTAATGGTGTCACAGGGCCATGTGCTACCCAGAGGTGAAAACTGACCTCTTCTTTTCCTGTCATGAACGACACTAAGCACATTGAATGAGTGACTATGGTATCATGGCACACTAGGGGGCGTCGCGTCTTTCTCCAAGCGCGGCATTCTGTCTCTCGTGGCAACATGAAGACTGGATACACACTGAAAGCCTTCGCCAGTCAAATATTGGATATTTATTACAAAGTACCTAATGCTACTACACGAGTCTATGCACTAGGCCTGATACCGTATCGCCGGTGTTTCACTGTCCTGTGATGTACCTAATTTCTCAATCTCGTGTCGCGTAGGGCGTTGACCAGAGCGTTCTCATGTCATTGCCTCCCAACATCGCAGGAAAGTAACTCGACTCTTCTGAGTTAGCTAAACACACAATACTCGCTGCAGAAGCGTTTGATGGCCACTTCGACTCCACAGCTGAAGGGCAATCGATCTAGGATGCGACAGGGAATTATGGTCGAAGTGTTGAGAGGATATCGTTGCGCCTATGACCCAGATCCAGCCGCTATTTACTCGTACATGTTTTCCGCGTCCCTGTGTGGCCATCCAAGTTTCCTTACGCAATGCCTCGACCGAAATATATCAAACGGATGCCAAAGCCTTCCAGTGAGTAATGCCAGGCAGTAACGAATCGTTCATAACAGATATGCGCATGATCGTCGATGCAAAGTCGCCTCTTCGTTGTCTCCGATTACCGACCGAAACCACTTTGTTGTCCTTGTGCCATTGCAGCGTTCTGCTCCTGGAACCGGTCGCCCAAGCGCTGTGAGCCCTTCATGTGCTTGTCAACGCATTTCATGATGCATCCTTCTTCCCGCGAGGTGAGCGACTTGCTCTCGAAGCCGTTAACGCAGTTGTCAAAACATTGCTGCACGAGGTTGGAGTACATCTAGAAGCTGCATCAGCACTACGTGACGCGGAATTGTATCGGGAAAGGAAACTTCGTACGTTCATGAATTCCTTCATCTGCTTCTTCTCCATGCGGTTCTGCAACTCGCGCTGCTCGGCGGATGAGAGACTGGCGGGCGATTAGCAGCGTCGCGGTGATGAGAGTTGCTAACGTACGAGTCCATGATGTGGCGTTGGTATTGGGTTGGAAGAAGTGATGGTCGGCTGTTGATGGAAGCTGTTGTTCGGAAGGTCTGACCGCGGAGTGACGGGAGGAGCGTTCTTGGAGCTATTTTTCGAGGAAGGAGCTAGGGCCGTAAGCTGCACTCTCCTCCAGAGCTAACATTGACAGCACCCCAAGAGTTCGTATATATCTGCTCCACGGCTGTTCCTCGTATTTGAACAGCTATTCTCCTCGGAAAGCTGAAGAGAATGCATTCTGTAGACTATGGCTGCCTACGTCACGCGTGCCCATGTCCAGAGCGAGTTTGCGGCCCCAGTCGTGCCGCGCGCGTTTGGACTTGCACGTGTCAGTCAGCCCCCGAAACACCTAGAGAGGCTTGAGATGTCACCGCTAGGGAAGAAAGGACAGACCCAAGTTGCCAAAGACATCACTGTGCATGCCCATGTATACTCATGCCTTGGTGGTCTTTGTGTGCATTCATTGTGAACAAACGGAGCCGAGCAGGCCCCAGAGCAGCTTGCCAAGGCGTTGCTCTCTATCTGTGGACGGACAAGCAAGCGAGACTGCCCACGCAGATCCTGTTAGGTGGTCTATACGGATACACGGCGCTCGCTGATCGTGTGGCTGTGGCTGGATCTGTCTGACGCACTCGCAGTGAGGGTGCCGCCTTGATATCACGGCTGCCAAGCCAATACACTGCATCCTCCGTCGTCAGTCGAAGCCACATGCAACTTCCGCTGGCACGCTCCCACTGCCGCCCTCGTCCCTGCATGCCTGTCGTCTCAAACGGCCCAGCCGCCTCGTCACGCACCCACGCCAGTTCGTGTGCCGCCGTCCGCTGTTCTTGAGCGCCGCCCTGCGTTGCGCTCGCGGGATCTGTCTGCCGTCCAAGTCATCTCCGAGCCGTTGCTCTTGCGCCAGCACCTCGCGCCCGCCCACTGAGCCCACCCACGCTCTCTCTCTCTCTGCCGCACACGCGCGATAGCTGCGCTGCCCGCTGAGTTGTTGCCCAGCAGCGCGTCCTCTCGCCTGCTCCTCGCGACGTCTGTCCCCCGCCGTCCCCGTCACCGCCCAAGGTTGCCCGACGCGCCCGCGACACCGCGCTACTTGCAGCCAGCGACAGGGTCCGTTGGAGAGCTGCGCAGCTCCTGCCGTTGCCCGCCATGCCCAACGGCGCTCACAACTCCCACGGCGCTTTTGCGACACCTCGAGTGCGCAATGGAGAGCCCCAGCCCGCCCCGGTGACGCCCATCGAGCCGGGCTCGGCCAAGCGTGATCTCACATCGTGGTGGAAGCAGTTCAGCAAACGCAGCGTGAAGAAGGAGGAAGAGAAAGGTACGATACCCGGCGTCTACGTCTCTTGGTTCACCGCTTGAAGGTAACTGGCGTGTACGCAAATTTGCCGCTATAGCCAGCTCTGGCCACAGCTGGGCATCCCCCCACTGCTGTCTTTTCTCATGTAGGCGCTGACATGTTCCGTTGTAGAGCCTGAGGTACCACGCGGCATTTTCGGTGTACCTCTCATCACTAGCATACCGTATGCGAATGTAGCCATTTCGCTCTTCAACGAAAGCGGGGAAAGTTATATTTACGGATACGTCCCCATCGTTGTGGCCAAGTGCGGCGTGTTCTTGAAAGAAAAGGGTATGCGTCCGCGACTGTCAACACGACCTAATCTAATTCGCGTGCAGCTACTGATGTAGAGGGTATCTTCCGTTTGGCCGGTTCTGAGAAAAGGATTAAGGAGCTCAAGGCTCAATTCGACGCTCCACCACGGTGGGGCAAAGGCCTCGATTGGTCGGGCTACACTGTGCACGATGCTGCCAATATCCTTCGACGGTATTTCAATCAGCTACCCGAACCCATCATTCCTTTACAGTACTACCAACCCTTTCGTGATCCTCTACGCGGCCACCAGGCAGAGGCCGTTGGTCACATTGAGGGTCAGGGTGCGTCCCTTGGGGGGTTTGACCCCGATGCTGCGGTCCGCGTATACCAGCAACTGATCAAGGAACTACCATCTTTGAACCGACAGCTTCTTCTCTATATCCTCGACTTGCTCGCCGTTTTCGCAGCAAAGTCTGATGTCAACAAGATGACCACGTCCAACTTGGCTGCTATCTTCCAACCAGGCATTCTTTCCCACCCTCAACACGACATGTCTCCTCAGGACTATAGATTAAGCCAGGATGTTCTGATATTCCTGATAGACAATCAGGATCACTTCTTGATTGGTATGGAGGGGACCGCCGTCGATGAGGGTACCGTCAAGCATATCGAGAGTGGGCCCTCGACCCCACAAGCTAGGACTCCAACCACCCCTGGTCGAAACAAATCTGGTCTTGGTCGGTCGGCCTCAGCCGCCTCGAGTGCTGCAGCGGAATCTCTGCGTAAATTTGGGGGCGTTCGAAGGAATGTCTCCACATCGTCGAGGCATTCACGGCATTCGGGGGCTGTACCCAGTCCAACAACGCCTGCATTCACTCCCAGTTCTGGAGTCCATCGAAGTAACACGCTTCCTTCCAAGCGATCACCAGCCCTGACGGCATCGCGTTTCCCCAGAGAAAGGGGTTCTGATCCTCCCACACCTGCCGCAGAAGATCCGAAGACCCAGCTGCCAGCAGTGACACCAGAGATCCCGACGCCAGATGCGACAGCTCTGGAAGGACCACCTACGCACATCGACTTGCCTAAGAAAGAAGCCACTCTTCCCGTACAACCTGTATCCGAAAATGTCCAAGCCGCCCCTCGGGCACAGACCTTTCCTATAGAAAGGCTTGATGTTGCCAAACCACAGCAGCCGCCCCCAGTCGATACGTCGAAGCCGGCACTTCCCACTCCAGCTTTAGATAAGATACCCGGAGCATTCCCGCTTCCATCTCCTGGCCTCATTCCACCCACGCCTGATGCTGTCACGCCCAGTGCTGCGTCAGAAGCAGCTAACATACTGGCGCCCCCGGCTCAGCAGATTCTACAACGCAGTCCTCGCACTACACCAAGGCATGAGAGGTCTGAGTTTATGGAAGGAGCGGTAGACTCCGGGCCTCCGGCTGAGGCTTCGTCCGTGGTCCGAACCTTCACCCAGATCTTAGCCGGAAGCAGAGCCTCTCCTGCTAGTGACGAAAAGCAACCAGGACGGAAACCTAACAAGCTTCAGAAGAAGCGGATTACAAGTGCAAACCCCAGCGCGCATAGCTCAACGCATTCGCTGACGGGTTCTCAAGCTGGTTTCGATGGCCCACCGTCGCCATTACCGGAAGCCGCATTTCCTCTAACACTGCCTGGTAGTTCAAAAGATGCACTACAATCTGCCAACTATGACACGATCTCTTCACGTAATTCTGGTGCAACCCTCAAGCCAACTATGTCGCCTTCGGCGTCCTTCAGATCACATTCAACTGCGACTGAGTACTCTGAAGCCGAACAGCTGGAGGAACCACCAAAGGAAGAGAAAGAGAAGCGGTCGTTCTGGAAACATACGCGCGGTGGGAGCAAGGCAACACCCACCGCAAGCCAAACAGACCTTCACGGATCAGTTCCTGGTGGGGACAAGAGTATGAGCTCTTTTGGGAGCAGCTCTGGGTGGGGCGGTGGAGGACGCCGAAGTCTGCAGTATGATTCTCATCAGAGCTCGGATCTCTCTGTTCCATACGGAGAGTCGAAAGAGGCCGCCGAAAAGAAGAAGATCGGGCCATTAGCCTGGCTTGATCGGAAACGGCAGGAACACGACGAGCGTAAAGATAAGAAGAATCGGGCTAAGAGCCCCCCAGGAAGCTCTTCTGAGCTGGCAACTCCTTACGGCTTGTTGAGTCCAAAGCTGGAACCCACTGCTAGAGGTCGGTCGATGGATGCCCCAAGAAGCACGGGCAGTAATGAGCCGAGATTGAGACAGGACTCGAGTGATATCACGCCTACCGGCACAACTCCGAACTCTCTGACTGAGACTACAATGCAGCTTCCACAGCCGCAGTCCCCGTCACATTCGCCTCTACAAGCGCCGCAGGAGGAGCAGGAGAAGCGATCGACGGCACCGCCGCCGCCGCCGTCGCAGCAGCAGCAATCACCCGAGCCAAGCACCTCGCAAGCGTCGCCACCCACTGAACAACGTCCACAGCAGCAGCCCGCGCCCGAAGCTGCAACTCCCCAGCCCGACACGACTGTAGATGCTCCTCAGGAACCACCTCGCAGACCGTCGCCCAACAAGAGCGGGCTTTATCCTTTGGATGCAGATATAGAAAAGACTGTGTAGGTCTGTGTGACCTCCTTGTAACATTCTGCATCGACCTTGTCCGCGGGGTGTGCGGTCTTTATTTGCTGGATATAATGACGATTGGGTTGCACAGATGGATTTCTTTTAGCGGGCTCCGCTGGCCAGTCGCCAGGGTAGGCTATGCGTCTTTGTGTTATTTCTGGATATAGTGAATGTGCGATGTGCGGGGTACAACCAACGTGCCAGAGGACTGTAAAGTGATGGAGGCAATGCGTAATATAATCTCTTTGGCTCTGCTGAGGTATCTCCTTGCAAGCAGGTTGTTTGTGCACACGTTTGAGAACTGTAATCGGTGAGGCATCTATTAGGGCACACAGCGAGCGCGAGGTAAATGTAGACTCTATAACGGCGGTTGCCTAGCACACGTATTTTGTGCCCGTTTTCCGCGTTAGGGACGTAGTGTAGCCGCAGTAAGATGTCCGTATTGAGGTGTGACGAATCGATATTCCAGCTTCACTCCTCAGGCAATAAGCTGCTGGCACTGCGTACACTCCAAGTACACAACATGGTCCAACCACTGCATACCTAGTTTCTTGCCCAAAAACTTGTAGTGTTGATGTTCTCCGAATCCTCTGAGATGCAAACCGGGTAGACTATTGAAACGTGCTGTAGATCATGAAACGATAGGTCGACCCAGAGCCATGTCTGGTACCCTAAGGTAGCGATTGGCGGGCCCTGCACCACTGTAGCGTGTGGCGAGCGTCTTCTCAACACCAGACCGACTGCTATCTAAATATATCCCATCGAGACTTTAATCGATGGGATGACACGGCCAGCGAATGGTGCACGCACGCTAGAAGACGACGATACGTGTTGATGACTGTGGTAAGGCCGGATGCTCCAACGTGTTAGCTCTGCACAACGCCCGCCAATCCTTTCTCCTCCGGTCAGCACTCCACCGCGGCTGATGTGCCACTAGACTTGATGCCCGCATGCTGGCGCTGGAGATGTTTCGAATCACTTGCGGGTGTCTTCTCAACTATGTTGAACCATTGTGGATTTACACTGCGCAGAAGCAGTTCATGGCATTGAGCAGGATAATATCTGCGCAGTTTGGAACCTCCTTTTGATAGTAAATGATGATGTCAACTCAGACTCATATGTGGATATCGATATCAAAGCCAGTGGCCCCGGCGTATCGTTTTTTCGTGCCGAGCCCCCAGGCCGATCCACACATGACGTTTTGCATGGTGCGGACAGGGGTTGTCGCTCAGCCGATACGAGCGCGAGCTCTCGCTTCACGAGGTGGTGGTCAAACGCAGGGATGCATGGATTGCTGGCACGCTGGGGTATCGTCAAGTTTCAGACCTCATCCGCGACGTGGAAGAACGGTCATCAATTAATAGTACGTTTGCGATATGGAAGAGTAGATGACGGGAGAAGGAGCAATGCCATGGATGGACAAAAGCTGCCTTGAAAGTTGGTGAGATGAAGCATGGGGACGCCGTGATGCGACCAGCTTGGAGTCTTGCATGACCGGAGCAGATGCACTTGTCCTCGGAGGGCAGCCGAATGGGATGGAGTGGAGTCGTGATAGGATAGTTCGGCGGAGAGGTGCGTGCGGAGGGGAGCTACCGAGCGCTGCGAGAGCTGTGGTGCGTTCGTGTTAGGCCGGGCGTAAGCTTGCTTGCCGTCGCGCCCGTCGCCACAGTCTAAGCACTGTCTCGGGTGCGTGTGCGTCTTTTCTGGTCTGATCTTCACTCGTCTCCTCATTTCATTCCTCACTTCTCAATCTGCACATTCGTTGTTGCGATTATACCGTCGTTCAGCCTGCAGTTGCTTACTCCCCAGGGTTGCTGTTCCACCACAGACGCGCACGGGTTTTCTTTCGCGTAGACAAAGCAAGCCACCAGAGCTCGCTGAACTTCTGTGTAAGCGGAAACTACCTCCGACACCTGCCTCAACACAGCTGGCGCCGCAAGCTTCAGCTGCCTGGAAAAGCACTTGTGCCCTGCCTGGGCCCAGCATGGGCGACCAATGCGTCCTTGCTTTCGCCGTGTGATGCCTGGCTAACATCAATCAAGTAAATAGCTTCCCTCGCTTCTCTGCTTCTCGTCTATACGCAACGAAGGCGTACATTCGCTCAGCCCGCCGCCAGCCTGACAATGCGCTCTTTCCGCCAGCTCGCCCTCTACGGCCTGCCGCTACTCGGTGGAGTGGTCGCCAACCAAGGTCCCGCGTCGCCATCTCCCACCAAGAGCGAGGTCCAGAACGCAGTCGAGGCCGTCTACGCGAACGCCAACGAGGCTTTCCAGGACCTGCTCAACGCTCTACCCGAGGAGTCTCTGCACGTGGCCTTGAACAGCCTCAATCATTTCCGCGAGGGCGTCTTCGAGTCGAACAAGCGTGGCGTCGAGCACATCCACCAGGACAACCCGCCGCTTGCTACCAAGCTTATCGTTGCTGCCGTAAACGACCTCAAGAAGAGACAGGCACCTACCTCGAACAATGGAACCGCTCCCACATCCCAGACCGAGCAGCCTCAGAGCACAGAAGCCCCCCAGAGCTCGGACACCCCCCAGAGCAGCCAACCCCCCCAGGAGAGCAGCCAGGCCCCAGAAAGCTCTGCCGACCAACCGCAAAGTACTCGTGCACCGGGAAGCTCCAATGCCGCGCCGCAAAGCAGTGCCGCTCCTCCGGAGAGCTCCGCCGTCGTCGTCCCCATCGCCGTGACCACCACCGATTCAGAAGGCCGCACATCCGTTGCATCGTCCGAGATCCTCTCGCGCCCCACCGCCTCCGTCGCCGTCCCCGTGACCCGCACCAACGCCCAGGGATCCACTGAAGTCGCCACCGAGACCAAGCCCGCCGTCATCTTCTCGACCACCGACTCCGCCGGCCGCGCCATCGTGACCACCTCCGCCGTCGACTACGCGCCGACACGCGGCCAGGTGCTGACGCGGACGAACGCCGAGGGCAGCACCTTCCTGACGACGTACACCCCGGGCAGCGGACGCGTGAGCAGCATCGTGCTGCTGACCACGACGGGCGCGGACGGCCAGCAGAGCGTGGTGACGAGTTACACGTACGTCGACCCCGCGGCACAAGCCACAGGCGACAGCTCCGAGGAGCCCAGCAGCACGGCGAAGCCGAGTCTGCAGAAGGGTGCGGTGGCCGGATACCGCGTCGTGGACGCTGCTGTGCTCGGCGGCGCTGCGCTTGCGTGGTTCATATGATACGATTATGGTACACTGCCATTCCAAGTGAAGGAGAGAAGAAAGAAGAAAGCAAAAACACACATAACGATATCACGACTCTCCTCATGCACGCTCCTTACGGCCGACTGTACAACGTCCTGCATTCGTCCCGACATGGAACTGTCCTTATCTGAACATTAGCGGTGCATTGGGAAACAGGGAATTCTTTTTTGGGAGCAAAATCTGGGTTTCAAATGCATAGTACACGGAGTCTTTGGCTCAGTTTCTCTCCTTATTTTTGCAATGGCAAATGTATAATACATATTTTCCTCGGTCCTTTTGGGAGGTACATATGGGATGGGATGGGATGGGATGGCACTGCGAGGTCTTCATTGGGAAGGGGAAGGAATGGGCTGGGAAAAGAAACTGTGAAGGGCTAATCAGGGTCAGTTGACATGCGCATGGGGAAAGCCCCATCAAATCACCGTGTAGTGGTCAGCTCATAGCTATATCGTGCAGACTGAAGCATTTGTTAATCTCCAAATGTCTATCTATGGGTGCACAGTGTCTGGTTCGTCAAGTCACTCCTGGATCAACCAACACGCTGAAAGGCTTCCATTCAGCCTAGAACGATACCAGCCCGCTTTGCTTAGAAATTCTGTATGTCCATTCTTACAACACTATGTACGTCTGCACCGAGACCGAAGTGGTATTGATACACCAGACCTCCCCTGAGGCCCTTCCCAACCCAACTCACAAACCAAACCAAACCATCCTGCAAAGTATGCTACACTACGCTTTGCTATCGCAAAACGACCGAAGTCCAGAAAACATATGCAACAGGAGAAGTAAATGCGAAGCGCCAGAAAATGCCGGAAGGATATCAACGCGCTGAAGACCATGGCCTCCACACCAACTTCTCCCGCCAGCGAAGATAGTTCTCATAGCGTTCGGCGAAACCCTCGTCGAATAGGTCCTGCTTCAGCAGACGAAGCTTGCGCCGAAAAGGCAGCTTCAGACTGTTCTCGGCTACAGCGCCGCACATGAGAAGATTGTCGAGGATCTCCGAGCAGAGCTTCCTGCGTCCCCTCCGCAACCTCCGCCCCTTCTAGAGCTTTGGTGTGAACTCTGGTGCCTTCGTCATAATGTAGTACTCAACACTGCCTACTACGAGAATAGTGTTTTAACGCGATTTCGTCATGATGAAGTACTCGACGCTCTCACCCGCCCAGCTCACACTGCCCGTGCCCGAGTCGTACCGCTCCTCGTCAAAGAGGTTGGCGATGCTGTTCTCGTTCCGCACGCCCTGCTTGCCGCCGCCTCCACCGAAGCTCGCCAGACTCACGACTTTGCAGCCCAGTTTGAGATCCAGGAATTTGTCAAGCAGTTGGTTGTTCAGCTTTGACGGGAAGACCTTGTTGTTGACGAGTACCACGTCTGCGCGACGTAGCACATCGTCAACCTGTGGTGATTCTAGGAAGTCGCCGTGCAGCAGGTTGATAGGACCGAGGTTGATGTTCCAGAGCTTGGAGCGCGCACGGAGTTCGTTGGCTTGATCATTCGCATACTCGGCAGGTTTGTCCATGATCTCAATGCCGTGGGACTCGGCACCCGTCTGCAACGCCGACTGCAACACTACGTTGCCGACACCAGAGCCTAAGTCGATAAAGATGGAGTTGGACTTGAGGCCAGTCTGCTGGAAGATGTTATGTACAAAATTTGGGAGGAGTTCACCGTACGTGGTCTCTTTTCCTTTTACACGCTTCAGAAGATAAGCGTACGGAGAGACGGTGCGCCAGTAAACCTGTGCCAGAATGCGCTTAACAATACTAAGTGGAATCGCGTGTTTGGAGTCGAGAACGTTGGCAATGGTTTTGTCGTCGAGCTTCTTCTTCATCGTCGCATTGAAACTCTCGACGATGCGCTTGAATTCATCGGGCTGGTTTTTGAATGCGGCGCGCTTGAGCAGTCGGACAGTGCCATCTGCTTCGGAGGATAGCTCGGTGGCCAGATCAACAGGCAGATAATGCTGGACGATTTCTTCAATCGTGTAGTAAATGTCGTCTAGCGGGTTGAAGTTGCTAGCGTCCTTTGGGAGGGACAACTGGAATCGCTCAGGGGCCGAGTTGCTGGGGTACTGTAGCAGTACGACGGGTGGCTCGGCTGTACCTGGGAAGGCGGCCTTGTATTCCGAGGCGAACCTTCTGCAGATACCTCGACCATGTATCATTTCGGCCTTGGTGCCTTTCTTTGCTTTCGCCAGCGCGCTGCCCTTCTCTCGCTTTAATTCCGTTGCTTGTTCCGCCTTTCTAGGTGCACCGTTCTCCTGCTTAACAGTACCGCTTCCCTCCTGTTTGATCGTTACGCCATTTTCCTGCTTGATCGATGTCCCATTCTCTTGCTTCACTGGCGCACCGTTCTCCCGCTTCACGGAGGTCTGGGCTTCTGCTACCGCGGCTGTGGGCTCTGGTGACGGCAGCCGTATGCGCCGGTTTGGATCGGGCTCCAGGCAGCGGTTGAAGCCCATGGGTTCCATGCTACTGCTCGTCTTCTGGCGCTTGCGCCCGTCTGCGGAGGAATCGTCGTCGCTGCTGTCATCGTCGCTGCTCAGCGGCGTGTATGTCTCGGCCTTGCGCTTGCGTACGACGCTCTTGGCCGTCACCGATCTGCGCCCGTCGCTTGCGCTCGCGTGCGCCGTCGTCGGTTTTGACCGTGGCGGGGAGGATAGTTTGTACCGGTTCCCGGGAGCCGCCGTCGTCGCACCGCTTCTCCCTGTCGCATGGCCGTTCGACTGCGCCGGTTTCGCGGGGTTGGGCGCCTTCCTGACGGGCACCGCGACAGTGCGCGTCTTGACCTTGGGAGGCTTCACGCCGAACATGGCGGCGGAAGAATATGGAGCGAATGCGTGGTGGGTCGTGTGAGCATGCGAGACGCGGGCGCGGGCGCTGGCGCGGGACGTGAAGTGCGGATGCGCGCTGCTGCAGGTCCCTGGATGGAAAGAGCGGCGTGGGTAGGAGGGGGAGGAGCGCGGGACGTGGAGGAGAGCAGGCAGGCAGTCACGACCGGGCTCCGATCAGCCACGAAGAGAGATGGGTCCAAGGCACCATAAAATGTGACCTGGATCTCGGTTTCCTACAGGCTGCGCGCTCCAGCGCCACTGCACATGCAGGGATCACTAGGGCCCATCCTATCAAAGCTTGGCGTGTGGCTGATATTCACCCGGCCTGCAGGTCCCGCTAGCCGTCCCGTCGACCTTCCAGAAGGACACGTGCACGACAGACGCAAACATCCATTCATCGCATGCAATCTTCGCGTGCAGTCTACGGAAGCGTAGCGAGAGCCTGCCCAATTTCCTGCGCCTGCTGACTGTTCAGTACGGGTTGCACCTAGTCTGGTCGATGCTCGCCGTCTCCCGGCTATTCTACTCTCGCTGATTCCGTTTCCTGCTCCCATCTCACCACATCCAGCACTGTCTCCTTGATACTGTTGTATGCGCTCTCCCAGTCCCTCCCGAAGACGACTTCACTCTTGCTTGTGTCAACCTTTACCAGCTTTGCCTTTCTCCCTTTGGATCCTTCTTCGTCGATCCCCACATCAGGCAACCTATGCCTCACCTCTGCATACTCCTTCCTCATCCTTGCAACGACGCTTCGCAGATCAACCATCTCCGGAGAAGCGAGAAGATACCTCTGATTCCCAGGCACCTTCTCCCGCTCAAGCGCCAGCACATGCGCTCGTGCGACATCGTCTGTGTCCCTAGAATAGATCAGCACGTACACTGTACATCTTCCTGACTACACTCACAAGAATATGGGAAACATAGCATCCATGTCTTCGGCCGTCTTGCTCTCAAATAAAGCGTGGTATACACGACCAATTCCGCCCGGCCCGGGTCCAGGCTGAAAGCCAACTTGCGGACTCCTCCCCGTGATCATCGGCGGTAACAACATCACAATGTCAAATCCCGTGCCTTCTTGTCCTCCCTGGTCCTCATACCACGCCCAGGTCTTCCGCTCAGCATTCGTCTTCGAGAACATGTATGCGTTTCGCCACGGCCCGGCCTTTGCTTCCTCGAAGGTGGTGCTGTTGTACGAAGTGTCCGTGATCGTTGTTGCTGGGTCAAACAGGTTATATGGACCAAGAGTCTGCAGGAGGGTGCCACATATGATCACGCGTTTGATGGTGAGAGACTTCTGGGCTGCTGTGAGGATAGAGTGGTCGATGGTCCAGGTCGGCTCGATCATATCTTTGACCCAGTCGGTGTCGCTCCCGACAGGAGTAGCACAGTGGATTATCGCACTCGCGTAGGCTGCTGCTGCGTCGAACGCCCCTGGGGTCGTCATGTCTGGAATTGACGTGAACGTGAGACGACCTGTTGAAGCTTCGGACGCATACCTCGCACGGAAGAGAGGTATCTGCTTCGGAGCATTTCGCAGGACAATGTTGACATTGTAGTTTGTCGTCTGAAAGAGGTGTTCGAGGATAACACCACCGACATTTCCAGTTGCGCCTGTGAGGAGGACGGTCTCTTCTTGTACCATAGCGACTGTCCCAGCCAGTCCCGTCGCAAGGACGTAGACACCTTGTCAGCACTCTTTCAGAGCTCCTTATACTCTTTCGCAATTGTCTTCCCTCGTTCGTTTACTCAAATCCCAATACCAGAAACGGCATGCGGACCTACAGAGTACGCAATTACTCAAGTCAGACCTTCCAGGTCGCTCCAGTGGTAACAAATGAACTTTTCGGTGGGCGGGTACCGGAGACGCGCTGTGTTTTCAACACCTGCCACAGAGCGAAGTGTTCCCTAATTCTGTTCTGGAAATGGAGCGCAGCAAGCTTCGTAAGATTGAATGCGGCAGGGTGCTGTAATCCCAAGCGAAGTGTTAAGAGTAATATAGTATACTCGTGGGGTCGTGGGGCTGCCACACTGTGGGAAGATGGTGGGGTATTCAGGTCGCACAGAGTGCTTGGTGCCGAAGCTCTTAAAGTCGTGTTACCGCACAGGCTCACAGCTTGACTGAGCGTATGAACAACTGCAAATTCAGCTGCGAGGAAGTCCGAAGTGGAGGTAGTGGAAAACGTTGTGAAAAAAGCATATCTGCATATTCAGCAATCACATACCTATATTGTACGGGTGTATTGCATGGAATTATCAATTAACTCGATGAATTAATGTTACCATAGGTATCTGACACAATATTCGCTCGAAAGCAAACAAAACCAGAAACAGTGCAAGGCCAGGGAGCATACAGGATGGCATCTAAAACTCCATGATCCAGATTCGCTACCCTTCATGACACCTTCGCGCCAGTTACATAGCACCTCTTGTAGCTATGCCGTGATAGCGATAGAGATGGAAATAGTTGAAAAGCATAAAAGCACAGAAAAATGATGCCTTTAGGAATCAGGAAGGACAACGAGGCAATAGCCCCAGTATTAACGTCTCTCTCCATGCCAATAAGCCATATTCAGCGGGCGCGGCTAGTTCAAGTCGCCAATCCAAGCAGCGCGTTCAAGAAGTTGCCAGTCGCAGGAAGCAATCATGCAATCTCCCAAGGCAGCCCCAAGAAGCAGTCCAGGGACAGTTCGTCGGAGAAATTGTATGACTCAGTACATGAATTCCTCGTCGCTCCGCAGGAATCGTACGAGAGCAGCTTCATCCAGTTCTTCCGTGCAGTGCTCATTACGTTCGTCTTCATTGATGTCCATATCGAACAAGTCGTCGTCCGATCCCTCGGCATCCGCGTCCGAGCCCTCTTGGTCTAACTCGCTGGAGTCCATGTCGATATCATCGCCCGCATCAGAATCCTCCGAATCCGACTTAACCGTTTCCGAATCTTCTGAGTCGGAGCCGTCAGCGTCAGACTCTTCTTCGTCAAAGACATCGGACACCCCTCCTGGGTGTATCCTCTGCCGTGGGTCGCAAAGTCGCTCACGATCATGCGGGCATAAGTTGGCATTGTCCATGGCCGATGCGTTTACCCACTTGTTCAAGCAAGACCCATGGAACAAATGACCCTTAGAGCATCGCGCAGCCACAACAGGAGAATCAGGGTTGGCAAGCTCGTCCATGCAGACAAGGCACGTACCTCGGACAGGGTGTGGACCTTGATACGCAACGCTGAACGCACTCATGGGTACCGGGTCACCCGTGGTCTTGTACTCTGTGGGTGTGCGATCTGGTTCGAGTTGTACAGGGCCGTGGACATCTGCGGGGCCGTATACCCAAGGTGGGTAGGACCAAGGGTCTTCACGAGCTGCGCGAGGAAGTCAGCTACTTGCAAAGCTGCACGGTGTGGTCTGAATAGAACTTACCTGCGTCCCAGCCACCTCGTACACTGTAGAGTTCTTCATGGTTCTCCTCTGGGTCATCTTCGTCCTCCATCCACCACATCTCCTTGATCGCGTTGTCAAGCATTGTGCCGAACATGGCCTCCTTCGCTCTGATCTTCTGCTCGACCTTTCTATCCGTGAGAGGAACAGCGGCTTTGGACAAGTACTGAACTTCAACTTCTTCATGTATCAAATTGTAGAACTCGAGCAGTTGTTTCGGCTTGATGTATTCGACCACCCCCTCTGGAACCGGGCCCTGGCCTTCCTCGACTGGACGGTCTTCGCGATAATACCGCGCTCTGAGGGCTTCTTCGATGAGGTGGGACTGTCTCTTCGGGAATTCATCGTGGTTGTCTGTTAGATGCAGGATCCTCAGAAAAGAACGAGGGTCAGTTTCCATGAAGCCGTAAATGTACGATATAGGCATTAGAACTTACAGGCACAAGACGACGTCGTGTACGCAGCCCGCTAGCCAACCCATTTCAACTGGATCATCTGCACTATTGAGGCTGTTGATCATACTCGGAAAGATCCTCCTGAAGCACGTAAGATCGCTTTCGAATGTTGGAAGGGTGCTTGGGTAGACAGGTTCACTGCGCTCGTCGTCGCTGATGTCGCTGTCGCTGTCGGAGTCTGAGAGCGGATCGGGGCAGCGCTCTTTCGTGCAGTCGGCCTTGCCTCTGCGGCAAGAAGAACACGGCGCCATACTGAGTAACTAATGTCGAGCAGTGTATGTCCGCGCAGGATATTGTCCAGGTCGTCGTTTCTGTGGGATCCGGCGAGCCTTTTCAAGTCATGTCACTGGGTGCCTAAAACAAGCCGTGAAGCAGTATAGTAGAATTAGGTGAGAGTTGGAGGACAACACATGAGCCACAAGCGCGTGAACAAGAATTTTGTTAAACAGACAGTGTTTTGATGTTTGTCCTAACGTTCACTGCCGCAAAGGCTGCATTCACCGTCGCACCCAGTGCCAGCGAGACAATCGGGCTTGACTGAATCGCGAGACTTGCTCTCAACTGCTTCCGAATCCACCCAGGCCGTAGCGATATCGGAAATCATATGCCCACGGCCGTCTGAACACTTCTGGGTCTCTTCCTGGCATCAATCAGATCCCACGTGAAGCGCGACCTTCGAAAGCGCCGCTTGCCGAAGCCGGCTTTTTGAGAGCTGGAGGAATGGTGAGTTTCCATGGCTATACATTGCGAACGGAGAGCTGCTGACATCGAAGCAGGACACAACCAAGCGGCTAGGTGTTGACGGCAATCTGAAAACTGGGCAGGTAGTCTTTGGTGTTACGACTGACTTTGAGTGCTTGTCTCGACACACCGTGCTGTCGTATAGCATCGCGGAAAAGTCCGCTCACAGCTGGTGATATTAGTCGCTTGATTTGATTCACGGTGCTGAACGCTGTCGGTAGAATGAGTATGCTCCCGTCGTACCGATGTGAGACCGCATTGTAGCACCGAAGATAGCTGCATCTCCAAAGGACTGAGGCGGAGACGTATGTAGGAGGCGCGACAGGAATCGGCCAGTTTTTGGTAGAGGATCTCCTCTGCCTCTTCGTCGCCCCAACCACCTCGGAGGGAAGGTTCTATTACGGGAACAAGGTCAGCCACCTGCAAGCAAGATCAGAACGAGATGGGTTATCTTGACTCACGAAGTTCTGAAGCTGTGTTGTCGACTATAGCCTCCGAAGGCGAAGCAAGCGGGGCCGTGGTCGCCGCTGATGCATGCTCTTCTACATGCAGGGCCGACATATCTGGCTCTCCGGGCAACTCCGCTGGGACGGTCTGCTGTACTTGGCGAGCACGACAGCGAGCAACACTCTCTGCGAAGACCTGTCTTTCCTCTTCGTTGAAAATATGCTTCAAGAATAAAGACTCCATCGACTTTTTGTCCAGCCCATAGAAACTCTGGTCTGACACTGCATGTCCCGATAATGCTGAACCGTTGTGACTTTGTTGCGCGGCCTCGATACGTGCAACTCGCTCTCCGAGGCGTTTCAGACAGGATGTCATTTTCTCAAGTTCGGCTTTGATGTCGTCGATTCCGATAAGAATCTCATGAAGGGTCATGTTTGTCTGTATGAAGTTAATGGAAGTAGAAACTAAGCTTGTTGTCGTGCTGATGGGGGGCTGGCAGTTGGCTCTGAAGGGAGGATGCGTAAACGATTCGTGCAAGCTAACCATACTTGATAAGTCAAGGGAAGCAGGCGTCAGCGGGAATACCGCAGGTGGAGCTTCCTCGCATAGCTCACCGCATGCGCAGGTCTACTCCTGCCCTATCAAGTAGCTTTTCATTTGTTGGAAAGCTTCGGCAAGCTCAGACCCATCGTACTCATCTTCCTCTTCGATGAATTGGAATCGTGAACCCTCAAAATCTTCCTTCGTAAGGCCACTCGATGGCATAATCTCCAAACGCAGCACATTGTGAAGCCTCGTATCTTTCATAGGACAATTTATGGCCAACCACCTTGCTGCAAGCGCGATTCGATGCTCCTTCGTCTTCTGTGAGGCCAAGAATGCCGGTCGCCAAGTTACCCCTGCTTGCTCAGAGTTGATCGGAAATGTAAGTGTCTCCAGATTGGGATAGCGATCCAACAGCTCCGTGCTCTTATCTATAACGTTGGGCCAGAACACTCTCCTGTATCAATAATCAGCCAAGGCGCAGAAGAGAGAACGCGTTATATACCTCCACCAGTATGACATGACCTCCAAATTTGGTTTGTAGATTCCTCTACCAGCTTCAATCGTGAAAGCAACGTGCCGCACCAGGTGAAACGAAGTTGGAGCAAAATTGGCGCTGCTCATGTACAAGCGGAACACGTTCTTTCCGTACAGGACCTCGGCACCTTCTGCGTATATTTGTTTACCTGTCAAGAGCAAGTTCGTGGGTAGCACGCCGTCTACTCGTTGCGGTTCCGATGGCCCCTGGTTCTTGTACTTCACGATCTTCCCTCTCAGTACAGATCGCCATGCGTACGGATCAGTGCAGTAAATAAAGATTGCGCCAGGAACCTGGAAAGCAAAGTCATAGATCATATTCCTCAGCTCCTTTGGAAGGTCCAGAAAGCTCAGCCTGTTAGGATCGTCTTTGCGAGACTGTGTCCATCCGATGGCAAGTGGCTTTTGTAGAGGTAAGTGAGCTGTACGATAGCATATCCGTCACTAGAGTACGCACTTCTCGGCTCATACTGTCAGGACCCGCGGTCAATCGTCAAACCATGCAACGAGTTGCTGCCTATCTGCACAATATCTGTACAGCAGGTGCTATTGCTTTCGCAGTGTCCACGTAGGAGGAAAAGGCACGGCCCAGGTGCAATAAGCTCGTGCTTCCGGCGGCTGAGCCCCCGCAAGAATAAATTGACGACGAGTCGGAACATACGCCCTACACGTGACAGGTAAGACGCGGATCACAGCTTCCTCTTGCGCACTAGCGCGGATCGCGAAATCCTTCCCCCGGATAGGTCCTTTTGTGTAGCATCAACGCAGCACTGTCGAACGAGCGAAACGAAACATACGTTTACTGTCTTTAGGGTTTATACGAGCCTCGGCCTGACAAGCGCATATAGGTAGTTGTCCGGTCGCGGAGAGAGTATAGCCGAAAGTGAAAGTGGGGAGCACCTGCCTGATTGAACCATTCAGCGACCGCAGAATAGGAATCTCATGTAGGAACACACGGCTGGATTCTACAACCTTATTTTGACATTTATTGGTAGGAATTCGAATCGGCGCAATGGAAAACCGGCGTCCTGTGAGCCGTGTAAGTAATTTTGGTCGTGGGAAGTACCAGATTTCCTTATCATCAGCACTGTCTCGCTCATCCCTATCAGTGTAGAGCATCGCATGCTGATAGCTGCATCGCTGGACAGGTAGACTGAATAAGACGCGATGCGATCACGGGACCCCAATATGCGACCGCTGTGTCCAAAGAGGTACGCTGTAGAACATTCGAACTCCCTAGATCAGCGTTCACCCTACGCAGGAATTCCGGATCGCTGTTTCTACCACCCTGCTCCGCTCACCAAGCGCAATACTGAAGATGACACCGGTACCCATGTAAAAGACACATCAGACGTCCTTCGGCCTACCAAGCGAAAACGAACATCCAAATCGCTTCCCGGGCCTGACGCACCCTCATTTTATGCCAACGACAAATTCGCTGATGCCGTTCCCATGACTACGAACCAGCCAGGCTACTTAGGACCGACCAGCTATTCCGCAATCCTTCCCAAAGATGAGGCCAATGCAATTGTTCATGATGGAGAAGCATCAATAGCTTCTGACGGATCTGATTTTGAAATGGCTCACCAGCATCCTTTAACCAAGTCCATGCGCATGCAGATGACTACAGAGGTGTTGAAATGCCTGCGGCACTACCCGCTCATACAAGAGGTCATCAACGTCCTTCGACAGTTTGCACAGGCTTGTATAGTAAGTCATCAAAACTCTGCAATTTGACGTTTCGCTGACTTTAGAGGTACCGCTACCTCTGGAAGTAGATCTCGTCAACGGCCTAGGACCCATAGTTGACCGGTTCAATCTCATGCACTCTGTTCCAGATCCTAGGCTCGTCGCCCGAGTCTTGGATAACAGCAGTCGGCCACTAGAGATACCTGATGACATGAAAGCTAGCGACTTCCACCAGATCTGTTCTGGAGACAACATCAGACTGGAGGTTCTTGGCTTTATCCTCGCAAGCGCAGGCAGATCAATATCCTACGGTCTTTGCTCGTACCGTTTCTCCGATCCAGCAAATCCAAACTCAAAGTCGCGATTGATCGATGAGCTCCTCCGAGCAAGCACGACATGCACAATCCTTTGCACCGTTATAAGCCCGGTTAACCACATATTCATATGGATGCTTTACGAGAATTACTCATTTACCATCATGGTCAACGGGTTCTCCGGAGCCCCATCATGGCGACGCTTCGGAGAACTAGCATCACAGCTTTATGCTCTAGGTGCGTAGGATCCCATGGTGGCTGACACAAAAAAATGGGAATAGAGCCACGCGCCTTATTCTGTCACAACCCAATCTATCATACGTTTGTGAGCTATAGTGTGTTAAGCTAGCTTGATCGTTCATATTAGGGTCTGCGTCCAAGATTCCCATTTCATCGTCGGCTACTGTGTCCCACAATATGATTGTAAGTAGTAACACGATACTGACATCCTTTAGGCCTCCACCGAGAACCGACCATACCCAATGTCCCAACCTGGCTTCTCGAGACGCGCCGAAGAGCTTTTAGCACGTGTTTCCTGCAGGACAAAACGCTCTCCACATTCCTTGGCCGGCCTCTGCGTCTAAGCAAACGACACACCGACATGAAACCGCCTCTCGACCTCGACGACGATGACATCATGGCCAGCGAAGAAACGCTCCACCGCGCAATCGCCGCCCTCGACGAAAATGGCTGGAACACCGAGCGGCGGTATTTCCGCACAAGCTGGGTCCGCCTCCGTTCCATCTCCGCCACGTACCGCGAGGAAATCCTCGACGTAGCCCTCTCGAAACTAGACGAAAACGTAGAAAGACAGCTCCTCGACATCTCTCGCCGCATCCGAGAGTCGTGGGACAACTTTCCCGAACACCTCCGCTACTGGCCCAATTGCTGGAACGAAATCTCCTCACCCTACATCTGCCTCATGCTCGTAGTCGCGCACCAGACGCACTGGTACAACGAATTCATCATCCGCAAGCTGCTGGACCAGGGCCAGACGCCAATCACCTCCAACCTCGAGCTGCTCCGGGTGGCGACGTCGTTGCTGAGCACGACGCTGACGCTGGGCACCATCCGAGACCGCCTCTACGACATCCACAAGGAGTTCCTCATCGAGGTCATCCTCTGCGGAATCCCGTCTGCCAGCGTTCTCGCCACCGCGCTGCAGGAACAACACCGCACGAACGCGGCCTTCCCGCCGTCCATCTCCCGCGCGGAGACTATCCGCATGTTGTCGGTCCTGATTTCGCATCTCGAGGCTGCTGAGCACACGGACTCGTCGTCCGCGCGGCCGGGCGAGGCGAACTACAATCTCTGCAAGAAGGCGTGCAAGGCGTTTACCAAGATTGTAGACCGTGTGTTGGAACCAAGGGCGGCCGAGGAAATCACGCCCAGCACGGCGGACGGGGAGCTCGATTTGGATCTGAATCTGGATCTGTTTTCAGCGCCGGGGCTGGATGCGTTTGAGGGGATGGAGTTTGCGGCGGGGGACGACGGGAGCATTGATTGGGGGGCCATGACGCAGTGGACGCTGTGAGTAGTTGTCCTGGGGCTTGATGGTCGGGAATTGCTTGCTGCGAATGTGCCTTTAGGAGGGCGCTGGGTGATAGAGGGGTGGACATGTTCGGCTTCTGGGTACGACTGAGACTAATATGCTGATCAACGCGTCTTCATGCTTCTTTTCTCATTCCCTAAATTCAACGTGTGCTGATACGCCGCCTCCCGCACAATGCTGCTCCTCTCGCAGCTCTCGGGGTGCTCGACATGTCCATTCCACTTCAGCTCGGTCTGCGTCCACCATCTTGCGCACCCAGTACTCCATACACGATCATCCGTCACTTCCAACACATGGACGTCCTCTTCCACAATTTCACGTCGAACTTTGCAGACTTCTTCGAAACGTGTCACGGTGCGCCGGGCGGGCTGCGACGTGGGGATGGAAACGAGCGGTGTGGGTAGGGTGAGCATGTGAGTCACAGTGTCTTGGGCGTGGTAGTACTGCGGGGCGTAGCATCTGAGTGATCCGCCATCCATATTCGGATTATACCGGATGTCCCGATTGTGTTGGAGCGCGATGATGCTTTGGTGGGGGAAGTACTGGATAGACGCCATGGGATATAGTGGGGTTGGCAGTGGGGACTGTAAAGTCTGGATTGGTAGTAGGGACTGCGAAGTTTAGCGGTTGATAGTAGCTGACATCGAACGGGCCTGTACAGCTTTTGTGATTACCTGAAACTTCTTTGTGACCGGATCAGGCAAGCGCACGCGCATCAGGGAGAGGAATGAGGGACGTGACCACGCGAGCGCGAAGGAGAAGCGCCGCAAGCCCGCGGAACGCCTGGGATAACACGACACAGGCACAAAATATATCGAAGAAGGTTGGCTGTTCGCGGGGCTGTGCGACATGACATACGTAGATTGGATATCTAAACACTGATGGTTTTGAACACGCTGTTTCACCGTTAGCTGTCAGAAGCACGGACGACAAGACTGGGAAGACGTACCCAAAGCCGGACCCACCCGTGGCCATGACGGCGCCCGGAATCTGCGGATGCCAGTGAGCCTCCTTGACCTGCTCCATGTAGTGCACGAAGAGCAGTTGCGGTGGCACGTCCGGGACGCCGCCCGTGTCTCTGCTCTCTTCGTCGTCAAGCTCGACGGCGAGATCCCACAGGGTGAGTGTGTTGTCGCCCGCACATACGAGGACGATACTGCTGTCGGTCGGATGCCACTCCACGGATGTGATTTGCTCCTTGTGGAAGTTGAAGTTGGCGATGGGTGAGGGCTTTGCGTTTGAGGAGAGGGAGGTGGATGGCTTCCACTGCCGGAGATCCCAGACGGCCCATTCACCGTCGTCGGCACCGGAGGCGAGGAGATGGGCGGTCTCGTGCGACCACGATAGGACGTTGACGTCTGTCTTGGAGACCTGGACGCTGACGGCAGGCTTTCTTGACTTGGAGCGCGCATCCCAGATCTTGACTGTGCCGTCGTTGCCTGCAGATGCGAATACGGTTTTCTCGCTTGGCGACCATTGGAGCTCTTCTACGGTGCCTTCGTGACCAGTAAAAGGCGTGGTGTCGGTGACAAAGCCGCCGCCCTGCGTCCGTGTGGTGGTGAAGATCTTGCCTGTGATGTCGCCCGTCAGGAGCTTGCCCTCGGGTACGAGTGGTGACCAGTCCAACGCATATCCCTCGTTCGCCTTGTGTGCTCGTATCGTGCTGACGGGCTTGTTCTGTGCCGGTGTGATGGTGGAGCCGGGCGTGTCGAAGGCAGTGAGGTGCGGGGTGATGTCGTGGATCAGGACCTGGCCTGACTCGGTCATGGCAGCGGTAAGGGTGGTCGCGGGCTTCGCTGATGTGCTCTGGGGCGCCTGGTGTACGCGTATCCGGTTTGTGCAGCTGGTCATTGGTATTGACTTGGTCTCGAGGATGGGGTCTGAGCCTTCGTCGTCGGAGTCTTCGTCTTCGTCGTCGTCGTCGTCGCCCTCCTTTTCCATCCGCGACAGACTGCTCATTTTCATGACCATGATCTGGTTCTCCTTGTCCCGCCCTTGGGCTGCCTGGGTGCCGGCCACGGAGTATACAGTTGCAGGGTACGTCTTCCGCTCGGTGCCCAGGTTGTCTGGCACAATGTCGCAAGAAAGACAGGGCCAGGGGGCTTCTAGTGTGTGGAGCATCTCGTATGTGGACAGGTCGGGCGCGAGGGTCTCTCCGGCGGAGAGCTTGTGCCGGCCTGGTATGAAGGTGCCCTGGTCGACCTCCATGGCGTCTGGCGGGAATTAGCAGCTGGGCAGTGTGCACATGGGACAGCACGCACGCTCTTTCTCCTCTGCTTCCCGCTCCTCGTCTGGCCTGCCGTCCACGCCGGCCTCGAATATCTCGTCCTCGCTCTCGAACTCATCCTCGAACTCGTCCGCAAACTCGCCGGCCTCGTCCACGTCCACGTCCATGGGCCGGTCGCCGTTTTTGACGGCCTCGAGCTCCTTGTCGTCTGCCTCGGCGGGTCGCTTGGCCATGGTGGGCGGCAGTGCGTGGTGTTGTCGCGTGTCAATTGTCGCTGCGACCTGTGCTGCACAATTGTCAAAAAGTTCTGGCGGGGCAAAAAAGCAGCGGTGCTAGCACGGGCCTGCAGCGGGTCGCCCAGCCAGCCATCATCGTCGCCCACCGCGCCTCGATCGGCCGCACCCTGGTCCTCAGCCTCAGCGACGCATCAACAACCGCGTCAGGGCCCCAAGCCAACACCGCACCCCCATCGCCAGGCCCATTGTCCCGCGCGCCCGACTGCCCGCACGCGCAGCTCCCGCCGCACCTGAATAGCATGCCCCGTGCGCTCGTCTACACGCGCGTCGGCTGCTGATCCACCACCCACGTCAGGCGGGGCCGCAACAGCGCCTGGTCTCGGGAGCCGCAATCCACACACCCTCCTATTCGCCCACCGCGACACGCCGCGACCCGAGTCAAGACACACCGCACTCGCAGGCATGGACATGCTGCAAGAGCCGGTGCCCGGCGAGCCTGTCGACGCGCAGAAGCACATGGACCAGCCCATGGACCAGCCCATGGAGCAGCCCTTGGAGCAGCCCTTGGAGCAGCCCGTCGACCAGCCCATCGACCACGCCGTCCAGCCCGTCGACCACGCCGTCCAGCCCGTCGACCAGCCCGTCGACCAGCCCGTCGAGGGCGACGACAGCAACAACACCACCATCACCGCCGCGACCGTTGCGCCCATGCCCGACCTCCAGCAGAGCAACATTGGCTATACCAATGGCTACTCGAGCGACAACCACCACCGCCCCCAGACCTCGTACTCCGACACCGCCTACCAGTACAGCGGCGGCCACGGCGGCGACGGCTACCACTCGCGCTTCAACACACCGTCTGACGCAGACACACCGCCCCGACATGCCTACTACAACAGCGGCAAGGAGACACAGATGGGCCAGCCCAACTCAAGACCAACTTCGCAATTGGGCCGGTACTCAAACTCCGAGGGCAATGCGCGGTCGTACAACCAGGACCAGGTCCAGCGCACCTCGCAGCAGGACGCGACCAAGAACCCCAGCGTGGTCATCAAGGTCGGCATGGTCGGCGATGCCCAGATTGGAAAGACGAGTCTAATGGTCAAATATGTCGAGGGTAGCTGGGACGAGGACTACATCCAGACCTTGGGTTTGTCGCTTTGTCGCCTTTCTAGTGAGTGCATCCACTGACTATTGCAGGCGTCAACTTCATGGAGAAGACCATCTCGATCAGGAACACGGAGATCACCTTCTCCATTTGGGATCTCGGAGGCCAGCGCGAGTTCGTCAACATGCTGCCGCTCGTCTGCAACGACGCCGTCGCGATACTCTTCATGTTCGATCTGACGCGCAAGAGCACGCTGAACTCGATCAAGGAGTGGTATCGTCAAGGACGAGGCTTTAACAAAACCGCAATACCATTCTTAGTTGGCACCAAGTACGATCATTTCGTCAACTTCCCGCGCGAGGAGCAGGAGGAGATTTCCAACCAGGTAGCCAACACGCGATCCAACGTCCACGCCGAAGCTAACGCTGTCAGGCAAAACGCTTCGCCAAGGCGATGAAAGCCAGTCTCATATTCAGCAGCACCAGCCACAGCATCAATGTGCAAAAGGTAAAACCCACGTCTACGTTTGTTCCTTTGCACCCACTGACTTTGTTTGCAGATCTTCAAGATTGTCCTCTCCAAGGCATTCGACCTCAAGTGCACCATTCCCGAGATAGAAAACATTGGAGAGCCACTCCTCCTGTACCAAGCCGTATGATCGCTGTCGCCTGGCTTATGGGTGACTGATAGACGGAGTCAGGGGCGACCCAGCGTCCCACGTGCGATGTTACCAACGACGAATGGCTTTTCACGACTTTTGTTTGAGACGGGAAAACAGGCAGGACTTGCATGGCTCGGCGATCGGAGCAATCTTGGGTTTGGTATTGCGTGCAGTTGCACCAGCGGCGTTGTCAATTGGAGCGGCAAAACGCGTCTTTTTCGTAGAGGCACTGGAATGCGTCTATCTTCTTTCCGTAATCGCACGCGGGCGATGGAGGCGCCCGTAGTTGATCTTGTAAACAAGTATAGTGTAGTGTCTTGTCAAGCAAAGAGAGTCGCTGAGTTGCGGTATTCCTCATTCTGCTTCGTTCTATTGGTCTACCACCTTGACCATGCATCGTCCTTCCGACCCGCCTGATTTATCTACTTCTCATGTCCACATCCAGACATGCCGCACACCTCATCACGTGGGAGCGCGATGCCCCGGTTCAGGTCCAGGATCGGTACCTGGATGGATGACGCAGATACAAAGATTGGCAATTTTAGCCGAGCTAGCTTTGATAGCAAAAAGTTCCCAACTCCCACAGACATACCCACGCAACTCCGTACCCTTCCCCCATACCGAACCGCGCATTAGGATTCCCCGTAACGTTCTACTCGCCACAAGAAACAAATCGCCCGTCCAACCCACCCTCGACTCGCACATACCACGCTCCCCTACCACAATGGCCCTGCCCACGCTCGCCCTTCCGGGCACCCTCCTCGGCCCAGCCACCAGATACGCCCCCGGTCCCGGCACACACGTCCACGACTCGTCCATCTACGCCTCGATAGCCGGCACCGTCGCCTCCAGCCCCTCCCCAAACCCTACCATAACCAAGCTCCCGCTCCTCTCCATCTCACGGCCCGGAGATGCCAGCCCATCCTCGGCCAATGTCCTCCCCGAAGTCGACGCCCAAGTCCTCGCACGCATAACCCGCCTAGGCGCACGCTTCGCCTCGGCCGAAATTCTCGTCATCGCACCCTCCAACGCTACATCCATCTCCGCCGACGCCGCGGTCTGCAGCACGCCCTTTACCGCGCAGATCCGGCGCGAGGACATCCGTGCGACGGAGAAGGACAAGGTCACCGTGCAGGACAGTTTCAGAGTTGGCGACTTGATCCGCGCCGTGGTGATCAGTCTGGGCGACCAGGGTGGGTATTATTTGAGCACTGCCAAGAACGAATTGGGAGTCGTGGTCGCGCGGGGAGAGGGGGGCGAGGTGCTGGTGCCGGTCAGTTGGAGGGAGGTTAGGGATCTGAGGACGGGGAGGCGGGAGGCGAGGAAGGTTGCAAAGCCTTTTTGAATGGTGGGGAAAGATGGTCACGGGGATGGCCGGAAGACGGTGCAGCTAAGGGGGGAAACACGACGGGCATGATCTTGGAAAAGAAGAAATCGAGATACAGCATGGGATGGTACGGATTCGGTGGCCAGGCGTGCAGTGCGGTGGAAATGCCACGCACAAAATATGATACCCATTCAATGAACTACAAAGTTTGCTACAAATCGTCTCGTACACCATCGATGAGCGAATCGCCTTAGTCAATCAACCTCGCCGCAAAACACAGCGCCCCGCTATCGTACATCTCAGCATCATCACCCGACAAGACCCTTCCGTTTCATCTCCTCGACAACCTTGTTCACAAGCTCCTCTGGCGTCAGCGGCATTTGAACAGGCTCTCCAGATTTCGGTACACCCTTCTTTCCCCCTGAGACATCAGCTAAAAGAGGTGTGGTGGGATAAGGTAGAGGAGCAGCACCTGGTCCAGAGTTCGGTGTGTCTTTCGCCGCGTCGTCTGGTGTTGGCGGAGGAGTAGCTTCTGGAGCGGGTGCTCCATCGTCGGCGTGACTCTTCGAAGCTGGTTCCGGAGGGGCAGCGGCGGGAGTATCGTCTGCAACGTTACCTGCGGTGGGAATAGAGGGCCTGTCGGCATCAGGCTCAGCAGCACTGCTCGAGGGCTCTCCTGCGTCTACAATTCCTTCAGCTCCAGAAGCAGGAGCGTCTTCCGAGCGGGACCCCTCATTGCCATCCTGGCTCGTCTCCAGACCGGGTGTCCGTGCCGGCGATACTGCACGAGCAGAATCCACGGCTGGCGACCTAGACCTTGTGAGCTAGCAACAACGCATATCTTTTAAAGACTCACTCATCACTAATTCCCACGTCCACCGTCACCAAGGCAGCAGCCTCAGGCTCAGCATCCGTCTGCACCTCCTGATCCCTCGTCTCCGGAACGTACGACTTCCCACTCTTGTACCCATACATAGCCATACCCAGCAGTCCGCCCATCCTCTTCTTCGGCTTCATGCTGTTCCACGCATCGACCGTGATGGATTCGTTCGGCCTCCTGCCCGTAGCGCCAGCCATGTAGAATAAGGATGCTGGAATGCGATTGCGTTTGGGTTTGCCGCCGCCGCGGAGACGGGGAATTTCGGTCGTGGGATGCATACATATATCGAGTTTGTGACCCTCTGGGAAAACTTGGCAGTGGAAGTAATCCCGGGGCTGTTGACCTTCGTCCAGGAGAGTCCTTTCATCCCCGTCCGAGACCCAATCTTCGTCCCAATCCACACCTCTCACAGGAAGCGAGAAGTAATCCTCCCACTCGCCACCACCTCTCAGCCTGGGCCCCTGCCCCACCCCATTGACCTTCCCCCTCCGTCCCATCTCTCTCTGTTCTTCGTTTTCATCCCTCGGCATCGTCCCATGACTCCACTCCCCACTACTACCACTACTCCCCCCTGCAAGACTCTCCGTACCATGCTGTTCACGCAGCGGACTCGGTACTCTTGGACGATACCCCTCCCCCTTCGCGCGATACACCGCACTATGCCCCAGCACGCTCTCCCAGCCCGACTCCGGCGCACTGCCTACCCTTCTCCACTCTCGCGCCGGCCGCAACACGGTCCTCGCCGGCAGCGCAGGCACGAACGGCGGCTGGTCCAGCCGCGACACCAGCACGGGTCGCTGCACGGGCGCAAGCGAGATGCTTTCCCCGTGGAACGGCGAGCGCACGCGTGTGGGCGACGGAATCTCCGGGGGCGGAGGCGGGAGATATGCGCCCGGGGTGCTGCCCTCTGCGTACAGCGCGGTGGCGGAGGCGTCGCGGCGGCCGGGGGCGTACGTGTAGCCGACAACGTCTATGGCCCTGCTACCCCGAGCTTGGTGTTCCAGGGCGGGGGAGTGGCGGCCGGTGCGGATGGCGGCCTGGTGTGCGACGACTTCGCTGCGGTGAATAAAGGATATGTCCGGGGAGAGCTGGTGGAGGCTTGGGGCGGCGACGTAGGGTCTAGGCCGGGTTGCGGCGCCCAAGACAGCTTGAACGAGTTGGTTGAAGGTTTCAGTGGGCGAGGAGGTGCAGCGTCCCATGCGCTCTGGTGATCGGCGGGAGGTGTCCAAAGTCCGCGACGCTTGGAGCGGCATCTGTCTGAGGGATTTGGAGGTTTGGGCTTGGCGGGGTGCGCTGTTCCGGAGGCTGAGGCTGGGAGAGACATTGGTTACTGGGCGGTTCGGGGTACCGGGTTCGTTGGCGGTGCGTGTGGAGCTTTTTCGTTGCTTTACCCTCGAACGGTTTCTGGTGAACACCCTGGGACTCACATTGATGTGCGCACGTTCAGTACCTTGGAGGCAGTCATCGCATGGAGTGGAAAACTGCCGTCTCGTGGACCATGGCCATCCGGAGCTGAGACCACAAAAGGAGGTGGAACCCTCGAAGTTATCAAAAAGATGTAGCATCGTTGGATCGTAAGGACATCGCTGCTTTGGCTCTGCACCCGACGACCTAGTGGAACCATGGGCACCATCAACACGGAACTCCCAACGGATGGGTCGCAAAGTCATAGAATTGGGATTCGGCGGTGCTGTGTGTGGGCGATAGTTTGCTAGCGGAGTAGACAGCCTCCGTCCCATCTGTACAATGCGTGTAGCCAGAGGAATACTACTCATTGATATATGGTTGTCAGGCAGGCTGGGGTGTGGATTTGGGGGCGTTGAATATCGCACGAGGGACTGCTCTGTCGTAAGGTTGGGTCTTGTCGTATTTCTGCTTTGGAAGTTCTGCCAGAAATGTGATGATACAGGTGCTGGTACTCTCTCTCGAAACCGTTGCATCCATGAGCTTCGTCTCGGAGCGGGCTGCTGGACGTCTGGCGAAGTGCTTCGACGGGAGTCTAGGTTAGGAGGGGACATGCTTCATTTACTGGCTTAACCAGTTTAGGAGAAGACAGACAGTGGTGATTGAGAGAGTAGATGACCAAGGCATCAAACGTCAGATACGGAGAAAGCAGATGAAGCCTGTATATCGAGGAGCTACAAGCTCGGGCGTTCACACTATACGTCTTCCAGCATTTAGTGTTCTAAGAGATTTACGTCTGCGATGCACTATGTGAAGAACAGCACCGACGTGACGTGGTGGGCCTGCGAACGGCGGGCAATGAACGATGCAGGGCTCACTGATTGTAAACAGTTCAACGACTCCTATTGTACAAATGTAGAACGTGACTCCAGCGAAGAATCCGACGTATGCGATGAACAGCACCCACTTCTCTAAAAACGCGTCGCGATTGACGACGGGGTGATGTGCAAGCACAGTCTCTCCAGCATTTGAGGATACTAAGAAGTGCCGTAGCTGAGTAATGAGAGGAGTTGTGTTGGGAGTGATGCTGCTGTGAAAGGCATGACGTATATGCCTCCGGTAGTGACACCATGCCTGATAGCGCACCACAGGACATCGCTGATGAATATGGTTCTCATGTCGATACACGTTTGGCATATTGCTCCTTTGGAAACTCATTGTACCACGGCCGCTATATGTCGAGCCAAAGCCCATACTCCTCTTCTGCGTGTCTAGGTCCGACTTGTGATCGTGCCATGTAAGCCCAATCGTCATCTCGTTCATGTCGGGAGTTGTTGCCGTATTGCTCGCGCTTCACTCTTTGTAATGGCGTCCAGGCTAATGCTCGAGAGCCGCATGATGCTTTGGAGCCGCAGCGATCGGTCAAGTCGCTGCAGACCCGACCTAAAACAGCGAGCTTGCCATAGATTGCAATATTTGTGCCTTCGGAATACCAGCCATTTTCGACCCCGCACTCGAGACAGAACCTGGATCGCGCGTCCGGTGCGCTACGGGCGCGTGTGCCTTTCCTCATATCGTCGGCGAATTTCTGCAGGCTGCGGAAGCGAACGCAGCCTTTGCAGGTGTAAAGCTGCTTCGACACCGCCCATTCGCTTGCTTCAGCTCTGAGGAATTCGAAGTGGGTTGGAGCCGGCAACGTAGATCGAAGATAGCGATTTGTCATGGAGAGTCGAGCTTGGTCCTGTATCTCCAGATAGTCCGTGATGTTTCGAAGCATCTCTACGGGCAGTCGAAGAAGTGGGGTGGAAGCCATTTTCGCACGGCCGGAGCTTGCGTTGTCTTGCCCTGATCTGGCCTCGGGGGAGCCTAAATCTTATTCAAGTCTTTGCGCGGATCCTGTCAGAAGATTAGGCAAGTGATATGGTGCGCAATGGCACGGCAAGCGCGGGTTGAGCGCCTCCGTTAGCACGGAAGCATGCTGCACGGCTTCATCTTTGGCTTGATGTAATATGAGGCACGTTTACTGGCAACGTTTGAGTGAATGAAGGGGAGTCCCCGATGTGTGCCGGTGAAGTGATCCGGAATTTTCTTTTCAAATTTTGCGCGACAATGTCACACAACACGTTTAAGCAACCAGTAGTTGAGCTGAGACCTTAGCTTGACCGGCAGAAAAGTACAGTCGTCCTTTGTGCTCCTCAACAGGAGCCGGCGCTTCCTTCTGCGCCACGGGCGTAGACCGTACCTCTGTGCGAGTAGTTCCGCTTCAATGCAAGGTAGACGACAACTGCGTCTTTAGTATCTTGTGACCTCGCTGACACCTTCGGAATCCGGCCGACCGATCATGAATGCGACAGATGGCGACCAGGCACCGACACTATAGTGTTTTCTCCTTCTTCAGATCGTTCAACACCATGTATCGAGAGACGGTGATCCAACCCCATCGGAACCATCTCATTTGGCTCTCATGTGCAGTAGTCATAGCTTTCTGTGCCGTTCTGTATCCGACCGGTGAGCTAGCGAACACGAGAGGGGTCGGAAAGCCACCGAGCTCCTTTTTCCGTACAACAGCGCCAACCATAGTGGCAGGAGCATCCAGTATGGAAAGATATTTACGCAGAATGGATGTAGTGGTCAACGTGTAGAGCTTGATTGGGCAGTCCCAGCCACTGTGACGGTGCATGAGCGCTTTCAAGAACGCGTGCGCGCCATTGTACAAGGATACGTGGTTAGGATGCGAGGAGATACCATGAGCATCAAATGTGATGATAGCGTCAATGCTGGCTTGTGGAGCTTGCTTTGAAGATACAGAGGCCATCTTGGGCGCAAAAGTTGCGGTCAAGAGATTCGAGATCAAGCGTGGATGCCATGTTACGGCCATTGAGTCTGGAAAGTTGCTGTACAGCGTTAGCAAAGTAGAGGTAAGCAGCGAGGAGCGACACACGAGTCCTCTATAACAAGTATGTCGTCTGCTGAGCGCAGTCCAAGCTGCAATCCGCTTTTGACAAGCTCCTTCTTTCTGGTTTCACCCAGCCCATCAGCATCGCCTACGAACGTGTTGTTAGTTGTAAGACATGGTGGAGCGAAGGATCGATCATACCACTGCTGAGACACAGTATCTTCACGTGATTCCCAAGCTCTGGACGCGTCAATGCCAGCAGAGTAGGCGCAAAGAACATGGCTTCATCATCTGGATGGGCTATGAGGAGCAGTATCCGTTTGCCCTGCAGCGTCGGAAACGACCTGGCGAGCTGCGAGGTGTAGAGCCACATGCCGAAGACGAAGATGGGCACAACGGCCCAAGAAAGCCAATCCATGCTGGCAACACGGTCCAGAGGGCCTCGTTGACGCAGGAGTGTAAGCAGCTTCGGCTGTACGGGGTTGCTGGTGACTTTGGGGTGGCAGCGGAGCGATGATGCGCCCAGGAGCTTTGACCCGGACCCAAACCTGCAGCCGCAGAGCCGCGCCTTCCTACACGTTCTCCCCACACTACGCGACGGCCCTCACTCGTCCACAGCCAGCGCCATGGGGGGCAACCGCAAAGAGCGGCGTGCAGCCGGGAAGGGGGCAACTGGCGGTGCGACGACCACGGGGTCGGCGTTCCAGGCGTCCAACGAGATCGACGAAGAGGGCATCAACATGATCCTCCAGCACCCCGACCGCTCCGGGCCGAAGGGGAAGACGCTGTTCGAGCTCGCCGAGGAGCGCCAGCGCGAGCTGGACATTGCCAATGGCAGGAAGCCGCGGTGGGACATCAACAAGGACAACACGCCCGATGGCGAGCGCCCGTTCAATGACGAGGAGCCGCTGGGCCCGCTGGCCGTGGGCGTCCTGTACTCGGTGACCATGGCCGTCATGCACCTGACCGTCGACATCCTCGTCTACAGCCAGTACCGCGAGGACGTCATCTGGAGTGAGATATTCCAGCGCGCAGGGACCGCCCTGCCCATCTTCTTCCTTCTCGTCTACCTGGCCCACGTCGACATTTCGAACCGCTTCCCGCTCCTCCGCAACCTCGCCTTCTTCGCCGGCGCCATAACGGCGGGCTCCTATCTCGTACGCTCGGGGAACAAGCATGGCTACTTCTTCGTCATGAAGACGGCACCCCCAGTTGCTACACTGTGGGTGTGGAGCACTATCGAGATGGATGTCCAATACTCTGCTCTCAGCGCTTTGGCTGTGCTGGGCTACTCGTGGTGGAACGAATTCACTTTCTTCTAAAGAGTTCTCCTGGACCAGCCTCTGTCACATGCCTTCAGCCCGGCCGAGACCATACCCGACAGTTTCCAATCAAACCTCATGCTCAATGTTCTTCACTCTGGGCAGCGGTTCCAATGTCACGCCCGCAAATTCAACAATTCGCTCAGCCTGCACGCTAAGTCAGCACTATTGCCTGCCAGGTAGCTTCGACTACTCACGCAGCTCTGAATTACCTCACACTCCTCTGGTGTCAACCCCATCCTTCTACAGGCCCTCAGATGCCAAGCCGTCATTCGCGGCAAATTCTGCGCAATCATACCGCTCAGCACGACCAGCTCCGTCTCCACGCCATCCAAAATGCGGTGATCCGAGAGATACAGACCGTATGTGATCTCCTCGGAGATCCACCCGAAATCTCTCTGCGTCTTGAATATGTCTTTGATAGGGTCCAGGTTATCAGAATAGAGTTGCCGGAGCCACCTCGTGCCGCGTTCGTGGTTCGCTTTGTCATTTGTCCAGTGCTCGCGGGAGAAGCTGCTGTCTTTATCTTCGGGACGAGTCACGGCATCTATACACATGATCGCCTCCAAAGGCCGAGCTACGCCAATGATGGGGACCATTTTTACCAATGCTTCCCGGACCTTACGCATAAGTTTTTGACGCTGATTGGGCGTCTTATGGTGTGGGAGCGAGATGAGATACGAGTATACATCAGCTGCGAGGCTCGGCTTGCCGCTGGCACACACAGCTGAGAGCGCGAGGATCCACCATGACTCCGGGTGAAGGTTTCCTGCGGTGGCTTTAAAACGGGTTTGGGTCGCCGTAAGGAGGTCTTGGAAGTTGGACGAAGGCGCCTGTATGGCCATGGTACGACACCAGCGGATATCGAGTGTTCGCCGAGATAGCCAAGGTGGTGCGTAGTTAGGTCGAATGTTGAGTGGTGCAAACTGATCTTGGCGGATGTGGCCTCGGACGCCTTTACGAACGAGTTTTCCCGTTGACCACATTTAAGAACGCATGCGAAGCGCTAATCACAATTACAATACAGCGAGGTTATTCACCAAATTCAGTCCGCTGTAGTTTGCCGTCTTTACGTCGCACGACTCGCGATTATAAGATTATGGTGTTGCTTATTGATACAAGCATCCTTGCCTGAACCGTCAGCAGTATACCCACTCAATTACAAACTGAAGTCACTGGCGTTGATGCTCAAAGTGATTTTCCTGAGTAAGCACATAGTACGGACTCTGTTTCGCATACGCCCTCTGCGCCAGTTCTTACCCATCCCTCGGGCGTTGTGAGCATCGCTACGAGCTAGAGCAGATCGTGGTTATGTAATCACAGACAATATGGCTTCAGCAGATAGTCGAGGATATATCCTTGTTCCATTGTACGAGACCTTGACGGTGCCTTGGAATTTTGCATACCATTACCCTTGTGTTTCTGGCGTCGAAGGGAAATCTAGGCAACCCTGTATACAGGAGAAAGCGTCACCAAGCGAACGCCTTCGGGGCATTCTAGACGGTATTGATGCGATTGTGAAGACCTGGATGTAGCTGCAACAGCGTGGGTAGACTTGCGATTGGTAGGAGGTCGGAGGTGGTACCGACACGACTTCAGACGATAATGACACATGCACCCTCGTTGTCGACCCTGGATCTCTCCCTTCCCCACCACACACATCAGCAAAAATCTTAGAAGAGCTTGAACAATCCATTAGAGCACGGTGGCCGGCGCGTCGCGATCGTTCACGGCTGCTCTCGCATGCGCGCTTACCGGGAATACGAGATCTCTGATCACAGTGCTAATGGCCCGATCGCATCGAACGGCTGCACTGGAGATATATCTGGCTAACGGGCCCTCAATGCCAGGCGTGGCGCAGCCTGGTGCATCCCGAGGTCAACGCTAAGTGCCCCCTCCTGTTCACGGTTGCGCATTAGTCCTGAAGACTGCATGGCAAGTCAAGAACCGCCATGCCACCATCGCACGGCACCCCAATGCCCGAAAAATTCCGTGACATCACCAATACGATGCATACTCAGCTCTATATCCACACAACAAGGTCTGCCTGACACAGGCGCTTTGAGTCTCACGCCGTCCTTGGGTGCTTGTGTCGGGTTTTTGGGCGCATGGCGCCTCTAATTGGTCCGGTGCCGTTCTGATGATAGTGTTGGGGCTGAGGATCGATGAGCCATTGTCCAAAATTGGCACAGAGGTATGATGGACTGCGCCAGCTCCGTGGACATAGTTATGTCTCCCCAAATCAGTCTTGATCGCTGTTACGGACCGCGCTGTTTCTTCCCGTACCTGTTCTAGTGTTCGATCGTTCCCAGCGCAGACGCGATCATACCTTTTACCAATGGATTCGGACGAGAGGCAGACGTTGTTGAAGATGGAACCGGACCTGATACTGCGAGGGGATAGACAACAAACGGGCATAGACAGTAAGCGACGGCTCCAGCGGTTCTCCATATGCCTATTTCTCGTCAGCTGTTCCTTGATCGGATTCTACTTTCACCGGACGAGGCTACCATTATCGACGATGAACGACCATTTGAGCGAGTCAACCGCAGAGAGCATACCTCCACAGTTTAACTATACATGCCTACCATCACAACCTTGTTGGCCAACGACGAGTCAATGGGCTACCTTCAACAGAACGATCCATGGAAACCTCAAGCTCACGGTTCCTTGGGCAAACCCGTGCTACACTGGCTCCAGCGAGTGTCAACATGTTGTGGCCAATTACATGAACAGTTCTGCGAGAGCGTCTCAGTATGGTACCATGGAATTCCTTGACTGGGAAACGTGCGGCCAGTCGAGCTGCATGCTCAACTCCTTGTCGCCTTCCGCGCCTCTGAACGGTGTCTGCTCGCTTGGGCGCCTTTCGACATACCACGTAGAAGCTCATAAGAGTGATGATATCCAGAAGACATTGAACTTCGTTCGAGCCCATGGTATCCGCCTGTCGATCAAAAATTCGGGCCACGACTACTTTGGCCGCAGTAATGCGGCCAATTCGTTGGCAATATGGACCCGGAACATGAAGAATGCCCAATATCACAAGACGTTCCGGCCAAGAGGCTGCGAGAGCTCCGTCGAGAATGTCGGCGAGATCGGGGCTGGCGTGTCCGCACAAGAGGCATGGGAATTTTTCGAGCCGCTCGGCATGCTTGTCACTGTCGGTGCTACTGGTTCTGTTGGTATTGCTGGAGGGTTTGGACAAGGAGGTGGGCATGGACCGCTTGGTCCAAAGTTTGGACTGATGGTCGATAATGCGATCGAGTTCGATGTGGTCACCGCCGATGGCCAGGCACGAACGATCAACGCATGCAGTGACCCCGACCTCTTCTATGCAATGCGAGGGGGCGGTGGGGGGACCTTTGCCGTATTGACGTCTTACAAGTTCCAGCTTCACCCAGCCGTGCCGCTGAATGTATATAGCTTCCAAGCAAGCTTCCCTTTGCCAGACGGTCAGCTCGACATTACGGAGTCCGCTGTGCACCGCGGCGTAATTCGAGCTCTGGCCTCGAACCAAGCATCATTCGCTTCGCAGGGTGTTGCAGGCTACAACTTTATTCTGCCAGATCACATGATTTCTTTACAGATCCTCCCTTCTGATGATACGGAGCTTATCAGAACGATAACACAATCTTGGCGCGAGTTTCTTACCAACTATTCTGGTCTTAACATCACCGAGAATACATATTACACATTCTCCAAATTCTCTGAGTGGTACGCATTCACGCAAAATCCCGCAATCGCTCGCAACGGTCCGGTGGGCGTAGGAATTTCCGAGTCAGGCCGCTTCTTGCCGAAGAGGCTCTTCTCCGAGCCCGAGGAGATTGAGAAGGTTGTGGATGCCGTTGTGACGGCAATGCAATTTTCCCTTACAAACAAAGGTGGCGGGTCTGCACAGCTTTACGCCACCGGGCCGTTGAATCAACCCGATAATAGTAAGACAGGTGTCAATCCTGCATTCCGCGAGGCAATGTGGGAGGTCATCATGGGAGGCATCTGGACGAGTGCAACACCAGAAGCAGTACGACGTCAGATACGCCATACAATTTCTGCGTCTATCGAACCATTCAAGGCCCTGACACCGGGAGGAGGATGCTACATGAACGAGGGCGATTGGACAGAGGAGAATTGGCGGCAGACATTCTTTGGCAGCAATTACGATCGATTGCTGGAAGTGAAGAGGAAATTTGACCCGACTGGTCTGTTCAACTGCTGGAAGTGTATTGGTTGGTCTGGATACGACGAGTAAGCCTACCAGGATCCGGTTACATGTCATGAAGGTCTCTAACATGGTGTAGTCCTACTTATTCGTGCTACTCCCAAAGCTTGAGGCATCCTATCCCTACTATACCCCTTGGACCAGTCGAATAAGGAGCTGATAACGGCTAATTATTGTAGTAGTGATCTCGTTTGACGACGGTTGCTGTACATTTACCGATTTCTGCTCTTTGATTATCTACGCATTTCTTTTCGTCACGCATTCATGGTAACTGCCTTGTTGCAGGTTGTCGCACGAAGGACTCCGTTCGTCCGCCATTGTGCTCATTTCTGTGATCTTTTGTGGGTGCATTACACAAAGAAGCCTTGTTCTCAAGATATTGCTTTCCTCTTGAACGAACACGTCCAACCAGGCCTCGAACGTACAATCGTTCGGATACCTACAGACTCATGTGTGCTCAGGATACCATGCGCTACTCAATATGTTACCCATAAAGCAATGGTCGCCCTAGTCGATCGGATCTGACCTATCAGAGCCCCGCACGGGAGATTGCACGGGAGGACGGGCCAACGACCAGCGGTGAATCGCACGTTTGCCGTGGTGCCTACGAATAGTTCAAGATGGAGAGCGAGGGCTAGTGAATGGAGGAGATTGTGTCACAAAGTTACCTTCGTGGCAACGCAACCTCCTGATCCTCAACACCAACGCTCGCACGACCAAACACGAAGTTAACCAACGTAAGGCGACCACGTTCCCTCGACGCCGTCGTCGCCATTCGCGATAATCTCCGCTTTGACCACTGTGTGTCGCAACCTACCCCTGTGGCACAGCACGCTACCGAGGATCGGTGCGTCAAAGGTATATACATCTATTCCTGTCCCTCAATTTGCGACTTTCCCACTGCCCGCATTCTACCTTCAACCCTCGTTTCCTAACCATAGTCACTCATTTGAAGCGCCAAACGACAACATGGCGATCAAACTTCTGAGTGGGCTCTTCATCATCCATGCGCTGGCGCTGCGCGCAGCGGCAAGTACATGCGCTATTATGGTCACGGAGACAGTTTATGTGACCGCAACTTGCGCTCCCGGCGAGTGTGCCTCTGCGACTCCAGGAACTTCTAGCGTCGCGCTCAGCTCTTCTTCGGTTCTTGCTTCATCACCTGTGGTTGTGCCGCCTGCACCACCCTCATCTTCGGCTCTTGCTTCGTCACCTGTGGTTGCGCCGCCTGCGTTACCCTCATCTTGGGTTCTGGCATCGTCACCTGTCGCCCCGCCGCCTTCGCCGCCCTCACCTTCGAGCACTACTTATGACGCGCCCGCACCGCTTCCGTCAGCGCCGGCGGCCAATGGAGTCACTTTCACGAGCGCCAGCAAGCCGCAGCCGACCGCCGACTCTTCGCTCTTGTGCCCACAAGTCGAGATTCAAGCTCAAGCTGCAGGTCAGCCAATCCCTCCTATGCCTGTTGGCGCCGATAGAGACCCAAGTGTTGCCAGCTATAACGCTTTGCCGACGCTTGCCGCAGCGCTTTGCAAAGCTCCCGACAACTTCCACCAGCTCACGACAACACCAAACCATGGCTCTATCAAGAACTCGTGCAACTACGAGGTCTATGTCGACTCTATGGGCTGCGGTAAGGGCGCACAACATCAAATCATCCCAGCCGGACAAACCTGGAGTGAGCCTCTCCGATCCTGTCCCGCCGAACAAGGCACCGTTGTCTACAAAGTCACCAAGGCAGATGCTCCTGCAAAGCCCATCCAATTCGAAGTCGGCCTGAGCATCGAGCCCGGCATGGAGAACTCGGTCTGGTACGATATTAGCTTCCTGGACTGCATGAGACCCAACACAACGGATCTATCCGGCTGCCCAGGCTGGGAGGGCGGCGTTCAATGCGTTCCGGGAAAGCAGGGTTGCCAGGTCTTCGTGTGCGGTGCGGGTGAATACTGTGACGGCAGTACGTACACTGTCCCTGAGTTCGGCATCATCGTCAGTGGAGAATACAAAAACGACGATTGGAGGGTGAAAGCTGGATCTCCTGTCACGTCATGTGCCACCAGGCAGGAGGGGATTGCGTTCGAGCTCTGTGCCGCGACCTAGGAGGGACCTACTTTCTCTGATTTCGCCGTCAAAATGAGCTGTTCCTGTTATTAGTTTGCGATCCGCCTCGGGGTTGTTTAAGGAGAATTTCTTGTGGTCACGGTTTGTGGGACGGTTCAAGGGATTCTGCAGAGGAAGCATGTTCCCGGTTCTTGTCTGGAATGCCTGCATCTGGATAGGCTTCGTTTCTTGTATACCATATCAAACATGACGCGCACGGGACGTGCTGGCAACCTTCGATGTACATTCGGTCGATGGGATGGGCGAAGAATATACCCGGTTCTCTGTCTTTCGAATCCTAGTCCTTCGATGCTAGGTGGCGCGTGCTAAGTCATGGGTGTATGTTTGACACACAGTGCAAGCACTGATACCAAGGTTCATATCTGTTCATTAACCGAGTCTGCTCATGGCCGACGTCTATTTTTCCACGACTGCAATCCACTGACTCGCCTTCATACTAACATTTCCGCCCTCGACTGTCGTCCCAGGCTGCTGCTTGAGCACCTCCGCCAAGCGATCAACCTCCTCATCCCACTTCTCCGCATCCACCTCGTGCCACCCGCCAATCCCCGCAAGGTATGCCCACGTCTTCTCCACCCACTCTCTGAATTCGCCTGCGGGGACCACACTCTGCACCTCCTGACGCTCTAGCCTCAGCTTCTCCTCCGTAAAGCCCGCCTCCAAGATAACTCTCCGAAGCTGCTGTCCATCCGTCCAGTTGACCGGCGGCGCAGGGAACGCCGCATCTCCGCGGAACTGCTTGTGCACCAGGAAAATGGGCAGCATCCATGTGATGGACTGCCAACAGTTGATCAGCGCGGTCCCACCGGGCTTGAGCGTCCTATAGACTTCTTTTACGCCATCCGCGCCTCCGCCTGTCCAGAAGATGACACCGATGTTGGTGATGTCGTAGTCGAAGAACGCGTCGGCGAAATTCGTTTTCTCCGAGCGCTGGTTGGAGGCCTCGACGGGCCAAGAATTCCGTGCGGCGTCTTCGGAGAGCACGTCTAGGAAGGGCTGGTCGATATCTGTGGCATAGATTTTGACGTCGGGCTGCTGTTGGAGGATGAGCCGCGAGACGGTGCCCGAGCCAGTGCAATTGTCGTGGATGATGGAGCCGGCGGGGATCGGCGGGATGAGGGAGAGGTTGTGCTGTGCGAACTTGGCGGTTGTCTTGCCGCCGGTGGATTCGTAGGTTGTGACTTTTGCTCGACCGCTTAGAAGGGCTTCGGCTTGTTTGGGGAGCGCCTTTTGTGAGAGTGCGTGGGACATCTTGTGTTGATTTGAGACGTTTCAAACAGAGGTGAGTGCGATGATTGAATCTGTGAGATAGGCCGATTGCTGTATCCAGCTGCCCGAACGTGAATGAGGATTTGGATGCTTATGGTGCTCTGTGGCACGGTCAACCCCCGGCATCTTATACCTCAGCCCATGGGTGGGGTTCTTAGCGTGCTGAAGGGCGTAAAGGAACGAAAAGAGAGTAGCATAGCCACAACCGTTGGCATTGTAGGTTCTGAAGGAAAACGACCCGGCTCTTACGCAACATCGGCGCGGCTTTTCGGCGCTGTAGCGCCGTCCCGAACCTGGCACAATCCCTAGGTTGCTTGAAGAGCCTCACAGGCCGACACCGCCGAGTGTGGGGGCGGGCGTCGCCCGTGCCTCAAAAACATCTCCGAGTGCTCCTACGCCATCTCCGCGCTGGATCTCGCGCGAGTGAGCCGGCCTACTGTGCAGTACAATTGAGCCCTGCTTTTGCTCTAGACCGAGCCTGAGCATAGTAAGACATTAGGTAATCGAAAACATCGTTTCTCGAGCATAAGCCAAATCCAGACATAGAATAGGTATATACCTAGACTTTCATCATGGCGAGTCTGTACCCCGTGATTGCTGCTCGATCTTTCTCAAGGGGCCAAAGAACTTTGAGTCATTCGGTAGCGACTCAAACTCCAAAGCGCCCGTTGAAATCACAAATCGTGAAGTGTTGACGCAATCTGACGGACAAGTGGAGTTGCATATATAAACCTATGAGACACACCCGAGCACGGTTGCTGGCTCGTTCCGGACGTGCATAGCCGCTGGGTCTAAGAATGGTGGTGTAGCTTGAGACCATGGATCTTCTGTCTGGTTTGATGTATGGAAGGCAAGCTCGAACATGAAAGGGGCTGGCTCGTGAGAGTATCGCGATAGTAGGCCTGAGCATGTGGCAAGTAGTCAATCGCTCTTGTCTCCCACGTCCGGTACATAGCCATGTACTCTGCATTCGTTCCCACACTGTGATAGTCTTTGCAGCCATTGCCTAGTAGTATGCCCTCATTTGAATGATTTGCTAAACGCACCTCATTCTGTATATCTGAGTGCAACGAGTGCGAAAGATGCGTGAAGGTCCAGACGACAAATGTGAGGGTGACCTGCGTGCTTTTCCAGTCTGAAGACAAGCGCATGCCTAGAATTCACTCTAGCTCGAGCTTATGACGTCAGCATACATCTACGTATCGCATCTTTCACCCCACCACGATACATGCTTTACATATCTTCATGGTCTGTACAACAGTTTCCACCATATTCCTTTATAATCCGGCAGGCTTGTGGCCAATCTTACATTACTTCTCCTCCCACTGCATCACCACTTGAGCAGACCAAGATGGGCATACCTTATTCGCGTGAGATCAATGCCGCCTTCGAGCAAGTCACGCCGCTCGTCGGCGCCGGGTTCAAAGTTCTACGGACGATGAAAGACATCTCGATCCTGCTCGCCGTCATCCAAGTCCTGACCGTGCTGTCTCTTCTTCTAATATTGTTCGTCTTGATACTACTACTGTACTCCGTGAATCCAGATCTTGAAGTATGTCGCATCTCGAGTCATTATTCACTTGCCATGCCAGAACATGGTATCGCCAAACACCAGACTAACTCCCCCATCCCCCAGCACGAGCGCCAAATCCTCGTAACGCCCCTCCTACGCAGCGCCGCCTCCCTCACCCTCTGGGGTGTCTTCAAGGGCTTCGTAACTCCCCTTGCGAGCATCTCCCTCGTGTTAGGCCTGGCATGGTGGGTCTTCCGGCTTGAGCACGCGGAGCAGCACGAGCTCGAAAGGACCGCCGATGAGGATGCAGACGAAGCGTTGGAAAGCATCTCTAAGGATGCTCCAAAAAAGAAGAAGAAGAATGGTAAAGGGAAGGGTGCGAAGGGTAAAGCTGGTCAGAATGAAGACGGTGGAGAGAAGGATAAGGATTAAGAAAAAAAAAAGTCCGAGTTAATGCCAATTCGTAGCCGCTCATGTAGAGGGCGACATGTACGGCGCTAGGAAAAAGTCTGAGTACAACTAGCTTACACGTAGCTTACCCTGGGGTACGATACCATAGTAAGATCTTCGTCTCGGAATTGTACGATTTTGAATTCCACAATTAGAAGCGAGGATCAAACTACTGCAGACAGAGGAACGAAGTAAAAGGAGAATTGAGATTCTATTATCAACCTCAATGTTCATGATAAGCTATCGGGGTATCTTCTGTTCCATCATGCACCGTGAGGCAACTTATAGCCTTCGCCATTCAACTCGCCTTTGTGCTTTTCGTGTCCAACTAACGAATGACGAGGGTCTTAACCACACTGCAATCAATATCATGGAGATTGATCGGGAACTTGCAAGACTCGCCAAAAACGCAGTTCTTACCGCCCCTAAGCTGGTTCGCCCTAGGCGGTGGGGCCGGGCAGCGATGGCCATAAATACACTTGATATCTTGGCAACCGCTTCCGTTCTGGCAAGGCGCCATGCGCGCGACGAGACGAAGCGTTGCTATCTCTGCCTCGGTGGGCTGGTAATTATGACTGAAGGCACATCGAGTCAGTTGCAGGCACAGCCCACAATGGGATCTGACTTGGCTTACAGGTGAGTGCAGTTCCCCCCAAAGGGACACTCATTACGAAGGAAGTGCACATTACACATCTTGATCTTCTTGATACGATCAACCTCGGCTTTATCAAAGTCGCGGCATGGAGGATCGACACGCTGACCGATGCGGTTACGAGCAATGACTTCTTCGCGATTCATATGCTTGTACGTGGTTACCGGCTGCGTGGTTACAGGTGGAGGAGGTGCAGCAGCCAGTGCAGCCCAATTCTAAAAAGAGTTAGAGCCGACGAAAGTGCGCTGACTTCAGTCAGGATCCACTGTACCTTGGCTTTATTGACCGGCGCGGATTCGTCTAGAATCAAAGTTGAAGGCGTATGAAGTACACCCGACGACATTGGTCGAGAAGGCGGTGAATCAAAGCTGGTTGGAGGCGGCGGCAAACGAGTCGGTAGTCCGTTCAGCACATTGTAGTTCTTGACTGCTGGTGAAGCCAGTCCAACTAGAGTAGCTAGAACATTAATCTTAGTCTCCCGGAATAAACCGTCGAACTTCTTGGTCTTGTATGGCAGCCCGAGAAGCTCCTTCTCGAAAGGCACTCCTTCCAAAAGTGTCACTTTGGAGATTTTGGTGTCGTCTCCTAGGTACTCTTCGAGAGGTCGAGCAAAGCCGTTGTCATGCGAGCAACCGAAGAAAATTTGTCGGCAGTGGAAGTCATCGAGGAAGAGTTTCAAAGTCTCTGTCATGACCGTCAGCTATCTGACTCCAAGCTAGGCTCTATGGTACGGAAATTCAAAAGCGAAACTTACCAATAATCTTGTCGTCCGCGCGGTCTTTTCCAGGGCCTACATCAATGAAGTCGAAGAATGTCCTTCCATTTGTAAAACCACGGGTGAAATCTTCAAACTGCGCAGCTTTATTCACGATGCCAGCGCGTACGAGAACATCGGCAAGACCCTTCACGTTTGCGTATATGCGGCAGAGAACGCGGGATGTGGGCGGGATGGTCCTGGTTTCTCGCTCGATGTAGGTGGCAATTGTGCTGTATAGGGAGACCGCAGCTTGCTTGCCACCAGCCAAACCCTTCTGAAGAAACTCGTTCTCAAAGATCATGCCGTCGCCGTCAATGAGGATCAGCACAAATGGGTTGCGCTCCTGTGTGGCGTCAACGTGTAAAACGAGCGAGTGTGGCGCAGACAAATAAATGTGCCTACCAGAGCTCCTTGCAAGCTGACCAAGTTTTGCTTCAGCTGTTGGACCTGAAGTACATCGCCCTGCTGGCTAGCAAGGCGCTGATAGTCCTGCGTCATGTATTCGTAGCGCGTCATGAGTTCCTACGATTATCAAGTCAACGTAAGGTGATGGGACGCGTGGACAAGTTCCCAGCCGGAATTACCTCGATCAGCTGCCGCTTTTGTTGATCGTGCTGGAGAATATCCTCAATACGTGCCCACATAGTCGCCGATTCGTTAGACATGTTGCCAGCCAGGCGACCGTTGGTACCGTTGCCGTTGGCGTGGTGGGCAGGAGCGCGCACTTGGGTGCCAATGGGTAGTACGGGCGAAGCGCCGTTGGAGTAATAAGACGCGGGCGGCATAGTAAAGACAGGGTTGGAAAGATTGTATGTCGGGGTTTTGGAAAGTAACGGGCAGGAGAAAATGTGTGAAAAATAGTGGCACGGAGAGGCACACGGTCGAAAGCGGAAGCGAGGGTGAAGGAGAGTTTATGACAGGAACAGACGCCAGCGACAGTTGACCAAGGAAAAGAAGGCGAAAGCTTCGCAGATGTACTTGAGTTGGTCGAAAGAGGAAATGTCGGTTGGTGCAACCATGCAAACACGCGCCGCGGCGTATAGAGCACGGCAGCCACGACGGCGAGCAGGCGCAAACGCACCAATCAGGCAGGAGCAGGCAGCTGCGCGACGAGGTGCCTATTTGCGACGACTGCTATTCTTTGTCTCATCGCAGCGGCGCCGTGATACAGAAGACGAGCGGTCGCCCGCTGTCACAGGGTAGACGGCCGGGATGCGCGAGCCCGGCACGGGTGGTGTTTGCTGGGAAGCCCGTTCCGGCTTAGGCTGCACTGCTCCACGGGTCCACCCCAGCGTGTAAGGCCACGTTCAGCCTCCCCTCAGTGCTCCATCCCATCTCCCACCTGCACCCATCCGCCGCCTTGTCTGATCCTTGTCGCCGCCATCATGATCGCCTGGAAATTGTCTACGCTGTTCCTATCCTCGCTGTGTGCGCTCAATGCTTTTGCAGCAATTGAGGTGAGGCCCTGTGTTTTTGACGCTGCATGACATCAACCGTTAACCCATGTTACCCCAGGTCGAGAACGTCGAAGAAGTCGTCGGCGAGCAGCCCCAGACGCCCAATCTGAAGGTCTCCATCTCTGCCAGCTTCCCGCAGTCTGAGATCTTCGGTGTCAAGCTGATCAACGGGCACGCGACCCAGGCTCGCCTGTCCATCGACAACCAGGAGCCCGAGGCCGTCACCGTTCAGATTGTCGGCGGCTCTTTGATCAAGGATGCGGGCGACCAGACGCAAATCCTGCGCAACCTCACCGGCCAGCGCTATGGATTGGAGATCCCCGGCGGTGAGGAGCAGACGCTGACCTACAGCTTCGCGACCGAGATGCACCCCCAGGACGTCCGCCTGCAGCTCGTCGCCGTGATCCAGGACAAGAAGAACGCTTTCTACACCATCTCCGCCTACAACGAGACCGTCTCCATCGTTGAGGCGCCTACCAGCATCTTTGACCCGCAAATGTATGCAGCTTTCCGATTGCAATCTCCCTCATTGGAAACAGCCACTGACTGCCTTTAGCATCTTTTTGTACCTCGTTCTTCTCGGCGCTTTTGCCGGCACCGTCTACTTCATTTACAACACCTGGATCACAACCCTTTTCCCTCAGCAGAAGCGCGGCGGCAAGGGTGGAGAGCGCGCGAAGAAGTCTTCTGGTGGCTCCAAGAAGGTCGACCCGTCCGAGCAGGTTGCCGTTGTCGGTGCCGACGGTCCCGCCGTTGCTGCTACCGGTTCCAAGACCTACGACGCGAGCTGGATCCCTGCCCAGCACCTGCAGCGCCCCGAGGCCAAGCGCGTCAGGAGCGGCACCCCCAAAACCAAGGTTAAGAGCTAAACGACCAAAAGCATGGCACGTCGACCAGGTGTCTGTTGTATACGATGGGTGGAAGCCATCTTGGATATTATGAAGAACTGTATTCTTTGCACTGGGGGCGCGTTACACTCTGTAAGAATATGTAAGAGACGGTCGGTGCGGCATGGCATGGACCCGGCGGTTAGAAGGTCATGGCATATCACAAAAGCATTTATGGTACAATTACGCAAACGAATGGACAAATCTTTGCTGTCTCGGGTATCGCCTCTAAAGATGAATAGTCCATTGATAGTTAGTTGCGTGACACAGCTCTCATCACTCTTGCTTCCATTCCTCGAATTCCTCATCCAGGTGCTCCTGCAGTGCCCTGAACTTGTTCCGGAAATTCTTCTCACATCTCCAGCATTTCATATCCCAGCTCAGCCAATCGCCTGGGTGGAACCTTGGACTGCCGTCCTTTAGCGGGAATTCATCCAGCCCTACGAGAAAGCTCGAATTGAAGCTCAGATAGTGATTCTTCTTCTTCAGCCATGGGCTATGCATGTCGCGCGAAAGAACGTGTATGTGCAAGTGGTTCATAGATGGATGCGTGTGCACACCCGACATTATCTCACGAGACCAGTCGCGGCCTTGTGGAAGGAGCGAGTCGCGCTCCTCTGGAGATGGGGGGTCTGGGCTGCTCATCAAGTCTTCGAGGGCACGTTGGTAGGGTGCGTCTGACGCACTGGACAAACCGTATTTGCGGCGGAGTTCGCGCGCTGCAAGGAGTTTCAGACGCTCGACACGGGGCTTGAGTTTGGCGAGGAATGCGGGGTTGTTTGAGAGGGTGACGAGCGGATGTTCGAGGGTCAGGCTTGGGTCGCGGGGCAGGAGAAGGAGGTGTACGCTATACGAGACTGTCAGTGTAGGTCCGAAGTGGCATGTGGAGTAATGCAAGACGTCCTACCTTGCCTTTGGATACCTATCCTGTATTACTACGAACTCATCGTCGTATTCAATTACTCTTCCCTCGGGGTTACGCTCCGGATACTGTACATATATGCCTAACCCGTCTCGTCCATTGAAGTTCTTGGAACTGGAAGCAGGTCGCGACGAAGGTTTGCCCTTGTTCCTGGTCTCGTTGACGGACTTTGCGGGTGGTTTCGATTTGGACATGAGCTCTGCAACTAGACCGTTACTTTAGGTATCGGTTGAAGTGTTTGAGAGGGTTGAGCTTACAGGCATTTCCTGGTCCTTGTGTCGTAGGCATGCCACCGTGTGCAGCTACCCGTGGTGCGGCGTCCCCTGTGATCTCCTCAGCAGTGATGGCCTCATCGGAGGCATCGTCTGCGCGTATAATTAGATCTTTGGAGTTCATCTTCGGGTGGTGGTATGGTGGACGCCTGCGTGGACGCTGAAACTTGGAAATGCGACGCGATAGGGTCTTGACGGTTTCGGGTGCAGGTTTTAGTCTTCTAGAGGAACATAATGAGTTAATACTCATAGAACATGTGGTGCAACCATAAAATGATTGTGGACGAGCGCATCGCGACGAACGGCAAATGACGTTGATGTTGCCTTCGGAACGTTCTGGTCCAAGCTTCCGAAGTTCTCGCCAAGCGTCGGAACCTGGAATTGTACGAGGGGTGGACGGGCCCTGCAATGGGCTTTCGCTTCAAGATGAGTACAAGAGCGATTGAACCAGTTTCCCCCTTGTTTATTCGCGTCCCCAAGCGATTGCAGGTGCGACCAAGTGATTGAGCCCTTATCCTAGCAGTTTGCGCCCTTCCGAGCAGCGCCAAACCGTCTCACACAAATTATTTTTGACGCCTGCAACTTTTGTTCCCGCACTGCATCTTTACGACTTCCCTCTATGGAGACGTTAGAGCCGCAGTTCACATCCGTTCAGATTCAATTTCAGTTGTGCAAATATGCCGAACAAACCTCACGCCCCGCGCGGGCCGAAGAAGTCTGTCCCGCCTGAAGAGGACACGAGTTTCATTATCTTCGACGACGGCAAAGGCAAGAAAAAGAAGAAAAGCGGCAATGCACCAAGCGCTGCTGCGGAAAACAGCAAGACTGATGCCAAAGGCAAGGGTAAAGCTACCGCAGAAGAACCTTCCGATGCTCCCAAAAAGCCAGACACCAGGACACTTATTGCCGGAGCCTCGTGGACCGGCAAGCTTCCCGTGAACATATTATCCGAGTATTTCCAGAAGCAGAAGTGGAACAAGCCAGACTATCGGATGCGAAATGAAGATGGTGTCTACTCTGCACACGTTGTCATATCGAAAACACATCCAAAAACCCGGGAGACAACTGCACTACCACCGATTCATATACCATTAGAACTGGCCAAGAAGGCTCGTCAGCCTTCAGCTGTAGAAGCTCGTAATTTTGCTGCTGTTTACACCCTTTTTCGGGTCGCAAGCGCAAAAAACATGCATATGATGCTGCCACCAACTTACAAGGATCTCTGGAAAGGGGAGCTCACCGACCTCAAAAAGCAAGATGAGATGATTGGCAAAGCGTGGATGTATGAGGCCGATCCATTTTTTGGGCACGCGGAGCGGGAGAAGGCCAAGGAAGTCGCAGCAAAAGAACGTGAAAAGAAGGAAAGGGCTCGCGTTGAAGCGGCAAAAGCGCACAACCTCACGCCGGGAATGTCCACACCCAATGCGCAAGGTGCACCTCCTAGTCGAAATATCTTGAAGGGTTGGGAGCGCGTGCCCAAAATCGAGCTTGGAAAGAGGACAAGGAAGCAAGCCGAGCGGCTCATTCGACGAGATGCGGTCTGGAATCCAAATGGTATCGTCATGGATCAGAATGCTCGCAAAAAGGTCGTGGAAGAGGTTACAAATCTAGGATTTCGCCAAAGTCATGTTGAAGAGGCCGCAGAGATTTGCAAGAATCGCGAAGAGGTCATTGAATGGTTGCTGATACACGTACCTGAGGACGATCTTCCGTCTTGGAGTCTCCCGGAAGGCTACGTCGCCGGAATCAGCATGGCAAGCGCAAACTTAAAGCGCGAGGGAGCTATAAAGCGCCTCGCAGCCGCTGGCTACGCGGTAGAACTCTGTGAAGAGGCGTATGACAGCCAAGGTGGAGACGAACGGAAAGCAGCGGCGCTTCTACAAAAGCACCTCCTTCGCCCTTTGGATAGCGAGGATGAAGTTGCACAAGATCTTGAGCACCTCGCAGTGACGGACAGCGCAGAAATAGAACAGAGCATGGATTCGTGGGAAGAGGAGATGTCGTCTCTGGAAGCAATATATGACAAGCTCTTCTCGCGTCCTTCTTCAACCATGTGCCGGATCGAGCTGGATATCAAGCAACAGGGGAAGCGTTTGATACTTCAAGTTCATCAACCGTACGGACCGTATCCCCTGATAGTGCCAATCATTACTTTCGAGGCTGCTATTCCTGCCTATATCCGATTGAGCATTATCCGAAAGGCCCTGCTGCACGCAGAAGAGAACTTCCTCGGAATGCCGATGATATATGACATCGTTGACTGGCTTCAACAGAATGCAGGGGATATCTTCAAGAACCCAGGGAGACTCACTGACGTCTCTGCTGGTCTATCAGCGGACCATCAGACCTCGAACCCGCAGGCCTATACGAAAAGCAAAGGCAGACCACGCCGACCTATCGATTGGAAACCAGCAAGCCCCCAGAGCCAAAAGATACTAGCCGATTGGGAAGCGAAACAAGAGACGCCAATGCAACAAAAGATGATGGCTGCGCGCCAGTCTTTGCCCGCGTGGAGACTTCGCGAACAGATCGTTAAGGTTGTAAATCAGAGCCAGGTCACCATCATATCCGGTGAGACAGGTTCTGGAAAGAGTACGCAGTCTGTGCAGTTCGTCCTTGATGACTTGATTCAGCGAAAGCTTGGGGGCGCAGCGAACATCATTTGTACCCAGCCGCGCCGAATTTCTGCGCTTGGTCTAGCGGACCGTGTGGCGGACGAGCGATGCTCACAAGTTGGGGACGAGATCGGTTACACTATTCGAGGAGAATCCAAGCAGAAGCCGGGTGTGACGAGGATCACTTTCGTCACCACCGGTGTACTTCTCCGGCGCCTGCAAACTTCGGGTGGCAGTTCGGATGATGTTGTAGCCGCCCTTGCCGATGTCAGCCATGTCGTCGTCGACGAGGTCCACGAGCGTAGTTTGGACACCGACTTCCTCCTTGTCCTCCTGCGCGATATCCTCAGACGTCGTAAAGACCTCAAGGTCATCTTGATGAGTGCTACTCTTGATGCAGAGGTCTTTGAGCGATATTTCCATGATGTGGGCCCAGTAGGACGCGTGGAAATACAAGGCCGGACATTTCCCGTGCAGGACTGGTACATGGACGACATCGTGCATGCCACGGGCTTTTCGGGTGCAGCTGCTGGATTCGAAGAAGATACTGGAGCCAAGCAACTTTCCGGCAACCTCATGAGTGTTGGTTTCGGCATTAATTACGACCTCATCGCCGAGACAGTGCATTATATTGATCAGCAGCTCGGCGAAAAAGACGGTGGGATTCTGATATTCTTACCTGGAACCATGGAAATCGACCGAACCCTTCAAGCGCTGAGGAACTTCTCCAATTTCCACGCTCTTCCCCTACATGCTTCTCTCATGTCTGTGGAACAGAAACGCGTGTTCCCCCCGGCGCCTCCTGGAAAACGCAAGATTATCGCTGCCACCAATGTTGCGGAGACTTCAATCACTATCGAGGACATCGTCGCCGTCATTGACACTGGTCGTGTAAAGGAAACCAGCTTTGACCCCCAAAACAACATGGTCCGACTCGCCGAAACGTGGGCTTCTCGTGCAGCTTGCAAACAACGACGTGGGCGTGCTGGTCGTGTCCGGGCTGGAGAGTGCTATAAGCTCTATACACGTAATGCTGAAGCCAAAATGATGGAGCGACCTGAGCCCGAAATCAGGCGCGTGCCTCTGGAGCAGCTCTGTCTATCAATCAAAGCTATGGGTGTCCAGGACGTTTCGGGTTTCCTTGCCTCGGCACTGACCCCCCCTGAAAGCACCGCAGTCGAAGGGGCTGTCAGACTTTTAGGTCAGATGGGTGCCATTACGGACAATCAACTTACTGCATTGGGTCGACATATGTCCATGATCCCTGCGGATCTGCGATGTGGAAAGCTGCTTGTTTATGGTGCGACATTTGGCTGTCTTGAAGCTGCTCTTACCATTGCTTCGGTCTTGACGGCCAGAAGCCCGTTTCTCTCTCCCCGCCAACGAGACGAGGAGACACGAAACGAGTTCGAGCGGATTCGATCTTCGTTTTCCAACAATCAAGGCGACCTGCTCATCGATGTACGCGCCTATGAGCAATGGTCCGCCTTTCGCAGCAAAGGAGCGTCTACACGCGACCTTCGCGCATGGTGCAGTGCTAATTCACTCTCACCACAAACCCTCTTCGACATAGCTTCCAATCGCTCGCAATATCTCTCCTCGCTCAAAGAGATCTCGTTCATCCCAACAAGCTACACCTCCACCAACCCACAAACTCAAGGCTCGTACAACAAGCAAAATCACAACGATGCACTCATCCGTGCCCTCATAGCCGGTGCATTCAACCCGCAGATCGCCCGCATCCAGCTGCCCGAGAAGAAGTTCGCAGCGGGTATAGCGGGTGCAGTCGAACTCGATCCGTCATCCCGCGAGATCAAGTACTTCAACCAAGAGAACGGACGCATCTTTGTGCATCCTTCGTCCTCGCTCTTCTCTGCGCAGACGTTCCCGTCAAATGCCTCCTTCATCGCGTACTTCACTAAGATGGCTACCACCAAGATCTTCATACGCGATCTTACGCCGTTCAATGCGTATAGTCTGTTGATGTTTGCGGGTGATATCAGGGTTGACACGTTGGGTCGGGGGCTTGTGGTGGATGACTGGATTAGGCTGAGGGGGTGGGCGAGAATTGGAGTGTTAGTTAGTCGGCTGAGGAGCATGTTGGATAAGGTTCTTGAAAGCAAGGTTCAAGAGCCGGGGCGGGAGCTTGGGGAGAGAGAGCGCGATGTTGTAGATGTTGTTAGGGGACTGGTAGAGAGGGATGGGTTGGATAACTAGACCCGATAGCGACTTGGCAGGCTGTCGTATTTCTGGCGCGTCTTCTTGTGGCTTTAGCGATTGGAAAGCTGGACTGGGCATAGATGGTTGATTAGACGGGAGTCATAGCAGCATGGCAGTCCTCTTCGCACTCTACTTTATCTCTCGATACGCAAGACTTAGGCTGATTAGGCTCAGGTCCAAGAACAACTTGGATGAATGTCAACATGGCAACAACTGTTGCGAAGCTGATTTTCGCTAGTCAATTTCCCCATTGAGACAAGGGAGCGCACCAGAAGGTCCAATATTGGAGCGTGTCTCGCCTGTCTCTGAACAATAACCATATAATCCAAGGCTTTGCTGCTTGCAAATGTTCATCTAGCTCAGCGACACGAGACCATAAGCACGGGAAGAGTTCTTGTGTCCGGTCCGAAGCTTCCAATCTATTCATTAACGCCACAACGGATCATATTCGCCTTGACAGTCACTCTTCCGAGCTCGAGTTCTTGTTTTGGGCTTGTGCGCACACATCTTGCGGTATATCCGAATCATGCGAGCCCTGTGACGATGAGTGGAGCAAGGCCAGCATCAGTAAAATCTGTGGATACCTAGTCAATGTCAGAGTCTCGCATGTTTGGGTGGATTTGGCCAGGCGTTGAAAAGTATGCAGTAAGATTCTTGAATTTCCTGTCGCAACTCGGACGAGATACCCACCGTGTTTGCCAATGGCGGCGCATTGAGAGCGCAGGGAAGCGCAAAGATCTCGAGAACGTAACGTCCACCACTGCGCGAAAGCAGCATATACTGAGAGATTTTTTAGGTCCATCGTATCTTAACAGCCGCGAGAACGTTGAGAGTGTGAAGGTATTGACGCGAGTGGCTTTGATTGAGAGCGACTCGAGTGAGTCCATGACATTCATGGTCTCTGAGGATCGCTCGAAGCGTTCCTTATTAAAACGTTCATGTACAAGCTCTTACATTGACTCAGTAATGAAACGAGCTTCGTGGCAGTGCGCAATATCTCTTCCTCGGATTCAACGTGCGCAAGTAGCGGCTGTGTGTAAGGGCTAGTTAGCAGAAAAGCTTTGCCGGATCAAGCCCACCAAGTCCTCATCATATGCCTCTTTATGGGATCTTTCTACCCCAGTTTGTAGATTGTATGCCAATGTGACCTTTCGAAACCCATTGGGAGCTTGGACGAAAGAGCCCAGCAACATTGACCAGCAGCCGACGATATACGACACAGTATCCTTTACATATTCCTTCCTCGAGATACCATCGGCCTTCGTTTCCGCAAAAGTCGCTTCGCGATCAGAACAGATCAGAGGTCCAGGAGCGCACGAATACTTCGTGATCTGGCGGAAGGCTGAGCCGGTTTCTCAGTATCGGCGGAGAAGTGCTTGAGCACGCCTACGACAAGATCGAGATTCTCTTCAAGCGTACCGCAACAGATGTATCGGTTCGCAATGTATCGTACGCGCGGCTCAGCACTCGCGTCGTTTGGATAGTAATCGTAGCCTAATGCGTGGGTAAGTGCAACGTGGTGGTGCTTGGGGAGGTTCGCACGCCTGGGAGATATTGTAAGTTGCTAAATGCTTAGTGAAGTAGACATGAATTGCGATAGCAAGACGAAGCACTAGAAATGCTTCCATTTTGCCTCGATACTCAAGGCTAAGGCTGTGGTGCATTTACGACCTGAGCTATTGTGGGGGTTACAAGGCAAGTCCAGGGCGGGGATGGGCTAATCCGCTTTGAGACGAAGACCGGAATGGAAAGTGTGGTTCACTGTGGGAACTAGTGTTGATAATAGCGTATAATTCAATCATACTAGACATGGACATATACAGTGCAAAATATACTCACCAGCATACTCGTCCGCTAGCTGCGGGCCCGACTGCAGTCCGCTCACCTGAGGCGTGAGGCCTCTCGTATCCCCACCCCATTTGCCTGTCAGGTCAGGCTTACACGTCTGCAGCTTGCTTCATTCTGCTCGCTCCATGTGTACATCTTCTGCACAGTACCTAGGCGCCCAAGACGAATTCACAGTTGGCGCACTGTAGGAGGCATTCAGCCATGTTCGCGTGGTTCAGGAGCCTGTTGTCTCCAAACCCTCCGATCACCAATCGCGGCCGACAAAGGGCATTGAAATCTCGGAGACGCAGCCTCTCTGTCGATCGGAAAGGTCGCAAGATGAAACGACAAGCCCAGTCGCCCCTCTTCTCGATGCTGCCACCTGAGATTCGATTCATGATTTACGAAATGGTTCTCTGCGAAACGTCACAAGTGCATATAATCGTCAAGGGCAGCAAGCGCGGGAGCGATACGACTGAAATGTACGGCAGAACGTGTGCTGAGCCAAGAAGATATTGTCCCCCAGGCTCCAGGTGCAGAGTGCAGAGTCAGCTGCTGTTGACCTGCCGAATGGTGTAAGCATGCCCTCTAGGCGTTGTGGCAGCATCAGGAATTGACCCGAAGGCAGATACTGCGAAGCCATCGATATTCTTTACTCTAGAAATGCTTTCATATTCCAGAGCGAGTATGACTTTGTACTGTTTGGCCGGCTGACAGTTCCACACCATCTTCGCAAGATCAAGAAGGTGTGCATTGGCACATTCGATTACGAAGGAAAGCCGCAGTTCAAATCATTACCTTTGGAACTACTTGATTAAAACGTATGAAACACTTGTCGCTTCTCTATCCTACCAATGAGACCCGAAAGCAGAAACTACCTGTGGTATGCATAATCACAACAAGACGCTGACTGTTTGGAGAAGCAAATGAATGGCGGTGAATTCAAAAAGACCAACCAAGCACCTATACAACACGCTTGCAAGAAAACCTGTATCAATGCAATGCAGTTGAACCATGGCAACCATCGGTAGAAATGCTTTTGGGTAGTACTAGTGGTCACCCACCACAGAAGCACACTATTAACGCGAATTGTTACAAGACCCACCACACATACAAAAAGAATATAAAAACATACAACAGCGGGGATTCCGAAATTGTCACCAACTTTCGTACTAATCCGCCGGTATCCTGCTTAAGTACCGCTGAGCGAACGGGAAGCGCTGTATTCAGGATCCTGTGGTCGTATGTGGAGACCACAGAATGACGTGTTACTTATATACCTAGTTACTTTGACCGTTACCTTCTATCACTTAGTTTGGCCCACGGCTGTATGCACTGTGGGTTGCGGCGCTCTCCCTTACTAGATGATGCTGTTCGGTCTTGCAGCTCAACATCGGTGAAAACAATACATTGAGCATGCATCGCGCTGCTATTACAAAACCATGTTTCTGATCTTCTCCATCTATTGTTACGAATCAAAGGCGAGTGTGGGTATCATTTTACTCAAAGGAAATCATAACCTCGTATGTTGCCAGGAGCTTCAGCATCACATTGCCTATCCCCGGCCAACGTACCATACCTGTTCTGTTTCTCCCTCAAACTGCTTGCTCTCTTTGCATGCGCTTTCGCTCATCTACCTCCTTACACCTCTTCAATGTATACTCCTCGAGCTCTTTGAGGTTTGCAAACTGAGGCCTTCCGGGGGCTGCTCCCAACCCTTTCCCGATGCCGAAAGAAGTTTTGAACGTTTTGTTTGGCTGTGGTGTTCCCAGCGGGGTCGAAGGTGCGGAGAATTGGGCTTTCAAGTCTGACCTTGCCTCGGACTCTTTGCTAGCCCACGCGACAGACTCTAGGAAGGGGTAATCGACCTTGCCGCCAGTAACAGCAGCCTGCGCGCTGTCGAGGCGCTCGTAGACGACGGTCACAGTAGCCTCGAGCCTTCTGTGCTTCTCTCCGGGTACCTTAACTTTTTTGTCGCCGCCTATGACCACGGCATCGATATGCCCATACCTCTCAAACATGCTCGTCAGGATATCCTTGTCCCAAGTCGCTGCTTCTCCTTCTCTCCGAAAGCGCACCTTGACTGAGCGGTCCAGCTGTGCCTTAAGCTCCTCATCCTGCTTCTCCTTCTGTACTCTGTCCTGGTACTCCTGCCTCTTTTTGCGCCCCTCTTCCGCCAGCCGTGCGATCAACTGGTCGCGCTCGGTCGCTGCCTCTCGTTGTCGCTTCAAGTTCTGTACACCTTCGCGCTCTGCCCTTTCCAATTCTTCCACCATCTGCCGCCGCTGCGCACCCAGTCGCCCTTTCTCAAGCTCCCTTTCCTGCCGCCGCTGCCGCTGCCTGTCATATTCGCCTTTGAGGGCGGGGTCGAGAAGGATATCACGAGCGATTCCGAGCAGAATGAACTGCTCCGCCGCTTGAGCATTGTCTGGGTTTTTGTCAGGATGATATTTGACCGAGGTTTTGCGGTATTGGCGTTTTATGGCTGATTCTTCGGCGAGGATATCGACGCCGAGGAGCTCGTAAAAATCTTCCGTGGTATTCTTCGCAACCTCTTCGAGATCTTTGTTGTCAGCCATGCTGACAAGGTCTCTTGGTTAATAGAGCTGATGTCCGGTAAGGCTATATTGTTTCGCTCGTTCGACTAGCGACGAGGACGCGCGTGCGCGTACAGTAAGTGGTTGACGGATGTCAAGCGTTCGAGAGGTTCCCGTGGTCGTGCGATGCGTGCGCGTGGCTCGAGGAGCTTGCGCGCAACTCGTTTGCGCAGACAGCAAGTTGAAATCTGGGTCACGTGGGTGATTGGCCGCCCGAGCGCGCTAAATCGGAACATTTCCGTCAACCGTTCCTGCAGCTGCACGAAGCCGCAGAAAGTGCTCCCCGCCCATGTTCAATCCGCACCTTCTCAAACGCACCACCATGGCTTCCTCGCCGAAAGAAAGCCAGAAAGTACTTGAGGGCATCTTTGGTAAGCGATTTTCCATAACCTCGCTCCACCCCAAACTTTAGCTACAGGCTCGACTCGAAAAGATAAAATGAAGTGACTGAAGATTGTATAGCTATCAACAAGCCTCAATGGGCATCTTCTGCCGGCGTACTCCGCGATCTACAAACGCACTTCGACAAATCGACCCTGTTCGCACCATGGCTCACACACACCAAGCGCGCGATGGAGCTCTCCAACTCCAAAAAGAAGCATATCCAGAACCTCAAGGTCAAACTCGGACACGGCGGCACCCTCGACCCCCTCGCAACGGGCGTTCTTATCGTCGGTGTAGGACGCGGGACCAAGTGTCTTTCGCGCTTCCTCGAATGCACCAAGTCGTACGAATGTGTGGTGCTCTTCGGTGCTGCAACGGATAGCTACGATGCTGTGGGCAAAATTGTGAGCAAGGGCGAATACCAGCATGTCACAAAGGAGTTGGTGGAAGAGAAGCTCGCTCAGTTCAGAGGGAAAATCATGCAGAAACCGAGCGTGTTCTCAGCATTGAAGGTCGACGGGAAGAAGATGTATGAGTATGCCAGAGCGGGCGGGGATATCCCTGAGGTGCCGGCAAGACCAGTGGAAGTAGAGAAGCTAGAGCTTGTAGAGTGGTTGGAGCCCGGATCGCATGAGTTTGCCTGGCCGAAGGAGGAAATCGATGGCACAGAGAAGGTTGGCGCGGAGAGACTGTTGGGCATACGGCAAAAGGATGCAGACGTTGCAGCGTCACGAGGCAAGAAAAGGTCGCGATCGCCCGAAGATGCGCTTGTCACAGGCGAGGACCCGGTGTCCAAGAAATCCAAGGACGACAGCGAACATTCCATGTCAGGCGCTCTTCCAGTAGAAATAGCCTCAACAGAAGCATGTCTCGAGGAAGCTCCAGTGGAAGCAACCCCTACAGAAGGCCCTGCAGACGAAGCTCCACCAGAAGCAAGTTCTGCTGACGGAAAAAAGACCGAACCTACAGAGGATGTGCAACCAATTGAACCATCGCCGGCGCAGACCTCTTCACCACCCAATCCCCCGGCAGCCCGTCTCCGCATGACCGTAACCTCCGGCTTCTACGTCCGCTCCCTCTGTCACGACCTCGGTATAGCCTGCAACTCGCTCGGTCTGATGTCCGCTTTGATACGCACGCGACAAGGCGATTACGAGCTGGAAAAGAATGTGCTCGAATACTCTGACTTGGAGGCCGGCATCGATACATGGGAACCCAAGGTGCAGAAACACCTAGAAGAGTTCATGGAGAAGGAGGGATGGGAAGCGGAAGAGGTTCTCGACGAGGAGGAGTGGAAAGAGAAGGCCAAGGAGCAGCGGAGAGACAACGATAGGAACAAGAGTTATCGTGGAGGTAGGAAGCAATGGAGGCGGTGATGTGATTCGTGCTGCTTCACTTTGATTCCTACATATCTTTGAGATACCCCTTCATATTTGAATCATGTTTGAAGACCGAGTTCTATTCAACGCCTTGCCTATGCAAATTGGTCTCTTGGGACCGCCGGACCGAACAGAGCACCCCCAACGCCTTGCATGCTAACTGAACGCGAAGCAATCTTAGGAACTAGGTTTATACGACGTCGTTGCGCAAGCTTCTGCTGCTTCGGATACTGTCCCTCCGACTTCTCACGCTGTCTCTCCTGCTCGAGAGGCTTTCCCTGACACTGAGAATCGGCTCCGCGCCTTGCATGCCACTCTCCTCGTCTTTGGTGTCCTCGTGGTTGATGAATAAGAAAGAGACAACCATGACAGCAGCGCCTACCCAATACAGCGGGCTGCTATACTGCTTGTCCAATACCATTTGCCCAACCAAACTTAGCGGGATGGTCAAACTAAGACCGACAGTGATGATTAGCGGAGATGTGAGCAGCATCGAGTACGCCCAACAGAAGTCGGAAACTAGCGAAGAAGCCGAGTTGACCAGTACGATGGTGAGAATCTTGCCGGTGGGTGGCAGCTGGAAGGGCTCGATACCCGTGAGATGAAGAACGACCATGCCGGGCCACAGAAGAAAGACGTTGAGTGTGCCGACTAAACCAAAAAAGAGCGGCATATTGACTTTGCTTTCGTCACCGATGCGCTTCTTCATATAGACAGCGTAGAAGCCATATAGGACCGCGGAGATGAACGCCATGGCGTCGCCGATGGCGAGCTCGCGAGGTGTCTTGTGTGGGAAGGTACCGCGGTTCTCGTCGGTTTCGCCAGAGACATCGACAGAGGAGATGAGGATCACACCGGCGAGGGAAGCACAGACGCCGAGGAACTTGCGCAGAGTAAAGCGCTCCACCCGCATGAGTGAGCCGCAAAGGAGCGTCCAGATGGAGGATGTCGAGGCGAGTATCGTGGAGGAGGCGACCGTCGTGTATTCCAGACATGCGGCGGCGAAATAGTTGGCTAGGAACCATAGCAGGCAGAACTCCAGGCCAAGCTTCACTGTCTCACCCAGGGTCAATCCTTCTTCTGCATCCAACATTGCGCCGACTTCCTGGCTTTCGCCCATCTCATGGCCGAGAAGGAGGGAGGTTGCGCCGGAAGCGCGATCGTAGCTCGACTTGGAAAATATAGAAGAACCAGACGATGATTCGTGGTCGCGGAGGAGTTTGTAGCGGCCCACGCGGCGCTGTAGGAGGTTGCGGATCTGTATAATAAACGGCTGCTGCTTGATATTCTCTCGGTCGTCCCAAGCATGCTTTAAAAACATAGGAATAAGGGGTATCATGAAAAATGCGGTGTTGACGTAAGTGACGAAATAGGGTTTAGAGTAAGAGTCGTCGGCGAAGATGGTCTATCCCGTAAAGTCAGCAGTTGTTCACCTTTCACGATGCTGAGGACGCGATAGGATGGAGACGCACACTAGCCAGGAAGTTGGACGCCGTCCATAGGAACACTGTGGCCAGCAACAGTAATATGCCTACGGCGTGTCTCCATTTCGACTTGGTCGGCTTTTTCCCCTCGCTCCAGACGCTGACCACGCTCGCCGGGCTCTGTATCGGGCTGGCGAAGTCGCTATCGTAGTGTCTGTCCTGGGTGTCTTCGCTGTCTCGCGGCGAAGGAGCCGGGTTCATAGGCGGCGGAGGCATAGCGCTGTGTGCCAAAGGCGCGTCGCGGAGGCCGGGACTAGGGAGGCAGGCGGGGATATGATAAGAGAGAAATGAAAGTCAAGGTGCTCCGTTGTCGCGCAGCATCGAGCGGAAGGGTTCCCATGGAAGGTTGGGACGGATGGCTCGGCGAGACTAAGGCAGCAGTGAGTGTGGGAGTAGAGGAAACCTGTGACCAAGGACGGATGTTTCGGAGCCCTGAGCCCTGGGGGGTATCTGGTGTTTCTGGCACCCACCTCGGCCTTGTACACTAGCACAACGGCGCGTGCACTAAAGCCACACTTTGTGGCGGAGGATGACAGCCGCGCCCGGTCAAGCGATGCCTTGTTGCCCCATCCGCTTAAAGGCGACGCACCATGTCATCCCATGTGAGCTCACACGGCACGCTCACCCGTATGTAGAACCCATGGCGAACCACGTCCAATCTGCCTCGGTGAGCCAGCATCACGGTACTAGTATTAACTCAGGGAGGCACGGTCTTGTGTGGGTTCAACGCTGCATCTGGCCAATAACTCATGCTTCCTACTATATTGCACTTTGGGTACTATGTAATCTGCCAGTGTATTGCGTACAAGAAACGAATCGAGTGAGAAGAAATTCTCTCGTCAGAGAGATATGCACGCGCCAGACACCAAACTCCGCAACAGACTCAGGTAGAATATGCAGTCGCCGAAGCGCTGGATGCACAGAACACGCCCAAGACTAGCAAGCACAGCTGCCGTCACCTCCAGGCTTCAGGTCAATCGGAATCGTCTCTGGGAAGTCAGAGTTGAAGTCGCCCACTTCCTCCTGTGCCAAAGCTTGTCGCGCGATGACTTCAAACGCTTGCTCTACGTTGATAGCCTCTTTTGCGCTCGTCTCAAAATAGGGAATACCGCCCTTGGATTGGCAGTAGGTCATGGCACGCTTTTGCGAGATCTGCGCACGATTAGACGACCCCAAGTACAGTGCATCACGAACTCACCATTCTCTTGCTCTCCTCCACATCGATCTTGTTTCCGATCACGACAAAAGGGAAGCTCTCCGGGTCCATTGGGCTAGCTTGCACCAGAAACTCGTCGCGCCAGCTGTCCAGTGTGTCAAAGCTCTTGGAGTTGTTGACGTCGTAGACGAGCACGCAGCAGTCCGCGCCGCGGTAGAAGGCTACGCCTAACGACTGAAACCTCTCCTGCCCGGCGGTGTCCCACAGCTGCCTCATGTCAGCGCCATCTCGTATCGCCCGGTTGCTATGCCGTACCTGCATCGTCACAAGGCGGTCATCTACGAGCACCTCTTTGGTGAGGAAATCGGCGCCTATTGTGGCTTTGTAGCTCGCGCTGAACTTCTTGTTGACCTGTCCATGTATAAGACTGGGCTATCTACGGTACGTGTCGATGCGATTGAAAGGAGGACTGCGTCGGCGTACATATTGGTTCATTAAGCTGGTCTTGCCGACCCCGCTGTCACCGAGGATGATGACCTGTTCGTCGTCAGCCAGGAAACGTGCATGCGCCTGCCGATTCATCATACCTTCAAGAGAACCTTCTTTCGTGATGCCATGATGCGTGAGGGGAGGTGTGGGTGGTAACGTAGGGCGAGGCGCGCGATCGATGGAGCACTTGGGACAAGGGCCCGCGGTTAGCGCCTAACACAAGCTGCACGGAAAGGATAGGCCGCGAATGTGGCCGTGGAGGTATGGAGAAGCAGGAGTTAGGACTAAGTATGGGCACAGAGTTGTGGATCCTCTGCGCAACAGGTCAAACAGCAGGTAGGTTGAGTGTTGTCCAGAGCTGGGCCATGGAAGCGTTGACGTCGCTCGCCAAGCACGCGATAGCTGTGAAGCTTCGACCAATCACTGCCTGCCCACCTGACGCTCCTTCTGCCGCCTTTCGTCTCTGAGAACCCTGGTTCTCAGATTCGCAGCACCATTCATGTATACGTCTTTGCGAATGTGCGCCGCACCACCATGATGATGTCCACCATGCTCTCGACGCCAGACAGGTCAAGGACATTGCAGCTGTGGGTCTGCGATGACACTTGAGGTGTTGGGGATGAGAATCGTCGCAGAGGAAGCCTCTCGCGGCTTGGTAGCGGGAGCAGGAGCAGTTCGCCTATCGAGCGCCTTTTATGGTAAATCGCTCGCGCACCAACTTGACTACTTCCCTCATTCGCCAGGAGCTCTACGTGGTACCTGAGTTATATTGCCGCTATCGCCGGGTTCTAGTTCGGTCCTTCTGTGTGTCGATCCAATCGTCCAATTCACTAGCAAGCCCATGCTACGTTCGCCCTTCACGATGTTTGCGCTGTCCAGTAGCACGGTCTTTGTCATCAGCGGCGCCTGCTTGTTCGGGACTTCGGCCAACAAGATCTAGGCCAGGCTCATACGAGACGAACGCCCTGTGACCTTCAAAGCAAACTGTGAGAAGAGGAGATGATACCCCCAGGAAGGAAGGCGGCAAAGCAAGCCTCGAAGGTGAGGCTTGACAAGGCTTGGTCTGCACTCATGCTTCGATAGGTGCCTTCCTGTTGACGATGCTCCGATGACAGCGGACCTATCAAGTCTACAGGACTATTAAGCTTCAAGAAGCCTCGGCTCTAGTGCATAGCGCAATGCTTATCTTTCTCTAATCTCTGCAGCGTACCAATCGCATCCGCATGCACGGCTCTCTGTAATAGGGAGCCAGCTGCTACGCCATTTGCTCGCACCTCCAGACGGACCTCTTACGATTTCAATTGCTTCGCGCTGATCATCATCTGTTTATGGCTTATAATCGTTGCGATTGAAACGCAGCTCACAGTTACACCCGTTATTCTACACTCGAGTCTCAAGGCTTGTTGTGCGTGATCAATCTTATTCGGCCGAAATAGATTGCAGCTCTCACTGATCCTGGCACCTTCCCGGCTTGTCAATCCTCCCGTCGATGATGCGAGACCATGCCCAGGATCATTTTGCCGATCAGCAACGCACCGAAGCGTGATTTGCCCGCAACCACAACTACCCAAAGCCACCTACTCAATACGTTATGGCTGCTACACCCGCCTATTTGGTGTCGTCCCTCGCCTCGTAGACACAGCTTATTTCCTGTCAGGATGTTGACCTTAGACGACGTATATAAATGGCGAACACTGGCCAGGTCCTGATGAAGCAGCGATCACCTCGCTCAATCGTCCATCATGCGTTCGATTATCGCGTCTCTTCTGGCTTCAGCCGCCGTCTTCACCGGCCTCGCGATAGCTGCTCCATCTGTCAAGCATGACAAACGATCTTTGGTCGAACGTGACGGCGTAGTGTACAATGTATTTGAGCATGCTGCCACTGGAGCAAAGATTGAGTTCGTGAACAACTCCGGCATTTGCGAGACGACGAAGGGCGTCAACCAGTACTCCGGGTACCTCAGCGTCGGCACAAACATGAACATGTGGTTTTGGTGAGTCATTCGCTAGTCCTTGCTATGACCCCTCTGAAAGCATAAGGTTTTTCGAAGCACGACAAAATCCGTCCACGGCCCCTCTCACTGCGTGGTTCAATGGAGGTCCCGGCTGCAGCTCGATGATCGGCCTGTTCCAGGAGAATGGTCCATGCCATTTCCCCTATGGCAGTTCGAGTACCACGCCCGTCAACAACACGTTCAGCTTCAACAACTATGCCAATATGTTGTACATCGACCAGCCCATCGGTGTCGGGTTCTCCTACGGCACCGATTCGGTCAGCTCCACTGAGACTGCGGCCCCATACGTGTGGAAACTGATTCAAGCCTTTTACGCATCATTTCCTCAATACGAATCTCGCGACTTTGGCATCTTTACGGAGTCATATGGTGGGCATTATGGGTAAGTCAGTTTGAGGCTCTAGTGATGTTCAATTCACTTCCGCTTGCCTGAGCTTGACTAATGCATCTTCCACTCCCTCTAGGCCCGAATTCGCCAAGTACATTCTAGACCAAAACAATGCCAATGCTGGAGAAACGATCAATTTAATTGCTCTGGGGATCAATAATGGGTGGTTCGATGCCAAAATTCAAGAGCCCGCATATGCCACATATCTGTACAACAACAGTCACAAGCCATTGATCAGCAAGAGTCAGTACACGTCATACATCAACGCTTTTAACACCAAATGTCTTCCGGGACTAAATTCATGCGCCTCGAGTGGAAGCAACTCTGCATGTAGCAGCGCCAGCAATGCCTGCTACAATGCAATTGAAGGGCCCCTCTCGCAGGTCGCAGACTTCGACGTTTATGACATCCGAGCACCAAGCAATGATCCGCAACCTCCGGAGACGTACGTCAACTATCTTACATCGGCCGCTGTTGTGAAGGCTATCGGAGCTAAGTCAACGTATCAAGAATGCTCTGATTCCGCGGGCAACAAGTTCAGTCCTACAGGTGACAGTGAGTACATTCCTTTTGGTCGCAGAATGAAATTTTCCACCTTAAATCTGCATAGAAGTCTTCGTAACTTGTTTGCAAGCTTCGATGTCGATGTGGAAACAATCAAAACAATGCTCGATGATTCCCATGTAATCAGTACCACGGCTAACACATGCAGACCCGCGCTCATTCCTTGACGAGCTCAGCGACGTGGTTTCAGCAGGCGTCACTACGTTGATCTGGGCAGGCGATGCAGACTGGATTTGCAACTGGTACGGAGTGCAGGACGTTGTGAACCAAGTTACGTATTCGGGCCAAACTGCGTTCAGAGCGAAGACTCTTAGCCCATACAAAGTGAACGGAAAGGAAGGAGGGCAATTTAAGACTCAAGACAACCTGTCTTTCTTGAGAGTTTACGATGCCGGTACGTTACGCCCGGGTGCGAAGAATCTGTTTGTACACAGCTACTTTGTACTACTCCCCTTGCTCCTCTCACTTACACTAACTTCGTATCCACACATATAGGTCACGAGGTGATGTACTACCAACCTGAGCTGGCACTTCAAGCTTTCGTACAGACGATGAAGAAGGGTGCCATTGCTTCGACGTAGAAGTGTGGAAGCGCCGTGTTATAGCTTACAGATGTAAACGTTAGAATGGATTGAATCTTCATCTGGTGATCCACTTTCGTCATTTGGCCAGTACCTTTGCAAGATCTAGAGCTGCGCAGCGCTAAGAATGAGGCTCAAACGGATCGGATAATTAATATTTGTCGTTAGCGTCAGCTGCGCCCACGCTAAGATGGCCGGAAACGGCCCGTTCGCGGCTTTGCTCCCTGGACGCGTCACTTGTTCCAAGCAGCCATGACGCGGCATGAACCTTCAATTTGACCTTCGTACTGCCACGCCACAATGCACCTCCTTATACATACAGTGGCTGTGGCGCAGAGCTACTCTCGGCCTTTGATCTGGCGCCCGAACCTGTGGCTGACCTGATCCGATGTACGAATATCGTCGCTGAACCATGTAAACGCACCAAAATAAGAGACTTGGCAAAGAGCAGGTTTGTACGATTGTAGGCACAGAACATGCGCGACCAGGTACCTGGTGACGAAAACCTATGCTGTGCTTGAAGAACATCTACGCGGCCTCTTCAGGTGAATCTCTACAAGAGCTGCGTTTCGTCGGTAGCCAGAAATGTTTCTCACCACCTACCTTCGCTTCTCATTCGCTTTCTGTTTCCAATTGTCTCCAACATGCGTCACTCGTTGTTCACAACACCGCTAGCTCTGGCTGTGGCCACTAGCGCGGCTACTCTCGAGGATCTCTGCACTGTGGAGAACGTGCAGTCCGCCCTTCCTGCTGATGGGACTATCCTAGGTATCGACTTGCTGCCCGATACTGTCACCGCGGCCGCTGTATATAATGCATCAACTGGGGGAGGCATGATGAAGAGGCAAGCTGGAGGGTCGACCAGCAGCGCCACCTACTCTTACTGCAACGTTACAGTGTCTTACACTCACACGGGCAAGAACGATACGATCCCGGTAATCTTTGCTCTGCCACAACCTTCCGATTTCAAGAACCGCTTCTATCTTGGCGGTGGTGGAGGCTTCTCACTCTCTAGCTCTGCTACGGGTGGCCTCTCCTATGGAGCCGCATCTGGTGCTACCTCGGCCGGGTACGATGCGTTCAACAACGCCTACGACGCGAAGGTCCTCTACGGCAACGGATCTATCAACTGGGATGCCACTTATGCCTTCGGCTATACTGCGCTTGGAGAGCTTACTTCAATCGGAAAGCCTCTATCACAAGCATTCTATGGATCCGGTAATGGCACGAAGCTGTACACATACTTTGAGGGCTGCTCGGATGGTGGCAGAGAAGGAATGAGCCAGGTCCAGCGATGGGGAGAAGAGTACGACGGTGTGGTCGCTGGAGCCCCCGCTTTCCGCTTTGCACAGCAACAAGTTACCCACGTGCTTTCATCCGCCATTGAGCATACTATGGACTACTATCCTCCGCCGTGCGCTTTGAAGAAGATCGTCAACGCAACCATCGATGCTTGCGATTCACTTGATGGGCGTACTGATGGTGTCGTGTCTCGAACAGACCTTTGCATGCTCAACTTCAACTTGAGCTCCATTGTGGGCGAGGCCTACTATTGTGCTGCGCAATCCAGCACTTCCCTCGGCTTCGGTTTCAGCAAACGTCAAGCAGGCCCAGCTGGTAGCACTACATCGTATCAGCCTGCGCAGAACGGCACTGTCAATGCCAACGATATCGCTGTCGCACAGGGCATCTACGATGGGCTGTTCAACTCTCAGGGCCAGCGCGCGTATGTTGGATGGCAGATTGGTTCCGAGCTCAGTGACGCCACCACAACTTGGGACAACGACACCAACTCCTGGGCACTCAGCATTCCCTCTACGGGCGGTGAGTACGTGACCAAGTTCGTACAGCTACTCAATCTCGACAATCTTTCGGATCTCGAAGGCGTCACGTACGACACGCTAGTTGACTGGATGAACACGGGCATGATCCGCTACATGGACAGTCTCCAGACCACGCTCCCAGACCTCAGGCCCTTCCAGTCTTCCGGTGGAAAATTGCTGCACTACCATGGCGAGTCGGACCCTAGTATTCCTTCTGCTTCCTCCGTGCACTACTGGCAGTCCGTCCGCTCGATCATGTATGCCAATGCTACCGACGAGGAAGCTCAAGAGGCTATGTCCGACTGGTACCAGTTCTACCTTATCCCTGGGTACGTTGTAACCAATTTTTCCATTCCTAATACAGAGAACTAACATGTGCAGGTACGCTCACTGCGGCAGCAACTCGCTTCAGCCCAACGGTCCAGCTCCCCAAGATAACATGGCGACAATCATCGACTGGGTAGAGAACGGCATCAAGCCAAGCCATTTGAACGCTACCGTGTCGTCGGGCGACTATGCGGGTGAGGTCCAGAAGTTGTGCCAGTGGCCTCAGCGGCCGAAGTGGTCCGGCAACAGCACCGACTTCGAGTGTGAGACCGATGAGGCTTCGATCGAGAGCTGGACGTACACTTTCGATGCGTTCAAACTGCCTGTGTACTAGAGCTCGACTGTTGACGCCATCGGCGCACAGGAAAGCATGTCAGCACTGTTCGCTTGTGTGTGGCTCACCCAGACGCAACACGTAGCGAACATCTCGGTCCTGGATGTTTACTGAGCTACACGAGAACCCATCCATCTTGTCTTTCTGCATAGATTTTCTTCCACGCCATTTTTGTTCTACCCTACAAATTTATTTTTACTTGTAAATAGTAAGCTAGGCGCCTGTATATATACGCTCTCGCTGCATCATGGCCATACACTGCGAAATACCAAATCAAGTCTTCCGTTTGCATGCCACGCATTCGCATCGTCCATGTGTCTTTCTTGCCTCACCAAATATGTCTTCCGTGAACAGCATACGTATACTAGCTGCGCTGTGACATGATGATCGCAAATATTCACGGACCCCATTGGTAACATTGCCGTGTGAATTTAAGAGTCCCTCTACATCGTTAACCCTTGACTACGAGGACTGCACATGGTGTCATTCTGTGTACATGTTATTACCTTGCAGAGGCTATTAGTCTAGCAGGAATCGAAGAAGCTCCGCAACGTAGAGAAATGCTCAACGCCCTGAACGCCTATGTAGTACACATATCAATACATCCCAAAACATGCAGAATGAAACCAACATGAAACGCTCAAGAGATCCAAAGGCTCTTAGCGACAGAATACAGTACTTTTACACCCGCTTCACGACGCCGTTCTCGAGGAACTCGAAGCTGCTATTGGCCTGCCGCTCCAGCTCTTTCTCTACCCAAGAAGTAATTCCATTGGCTGCGTCGTCAGCGCTGTCCAGATGCAATTGGAAGAACCCCTGCAACTGCGACGGCGTGAAAACGTTGTCTGGGATTGCTTTTGCGAAGTTGCGTGCAAGGTCTCTGATATCGTCCAGATCGACGACGTGGCTACGCTGCTGGATGGAGCTCGGGATTGTATCACTAGTAACCATCTCGTCGGGCGAGAACATGCGGACGAACATCTGCTCAGCCGAAGCAGGCGTGATGTTCCCCAGAAAGACCTTCATGTCGACACGGCCAGGCCGGACAAGTGCGGGATCGAGCAGCTCAGGTTTGTTGGTCGTCATGATCACGATGCGTCCTTCCTGGGAGCCGACTCCATCCAGCACGTTGAGCAGGCCCGATAACGTGCAATTCGCGCGACTGTTCTCTCTGTCGCTTCCGCCGCTCCGTTCGCTCCTCCGGTCCGGGGAATGCGAGCGCGAAGTTCGTTCGATCCAGACGGCATCGATGTCTTCAAGCAACACAATACACTGCGGCGGTATCTCCTGGAACATCTGCTCCAAGTCTGAGTCCGATGCGATGCTGGGGATTTTCACCTCGTAGAGATCGAGGCCGAACTCGCCCGCCAAAGCTGTCGACAAAGACGACTTTCCGGTGCCTGGAGGGCCGTAGAAAAGGTAGCCCCGGCGATAGGGCATGCTGCGACTCTGGTATCGACGCTGCGTCCGCGGATCGAGGTACTTTCTGATGTCGTTCAAGAGCTCCTGCTTGACAGTGTCATCGAAATGCACTGTATCCAGTAATCGAATTGGCTTGCGCGTTTTGGGTTGCCAGGACATGCCGTATCGATCGCGTCCGTAAATTATGACAAAGTACTGCGTCTGACGGTCTGCGAACTCGCGGGCTACCTCGATCAGATTTTGGATGGGCTCAATGGACCACCCGAAACAGCTGATGGTTAGCTGTTCGCCACCAACCCCCTCATATGCTGGGTCTGACATCGCGGAACTGCTAAAGTTGTCGCGGCTTGCGACAAACAGCCGGCCATGGTGAAAAAACCACCTGGAGTCCCAGTGAGGTGCGTACTGGACACTTCGTCGGGTCTTCTTCAGGGAGGCCGCCCGATCCGTCGCATCGCCACGGCCCATCTCTGTGCGGCCGGTAAAAGCACGATGATGCCGCGGCCTGTGGGAGACAAGCCATTTTATCAGATTGGAATTGACGGGATCACCGCCTGGCACGGTAACAGAAGCGACAAAGAATTGCCGTATCCAGCTATAGGCTTCATACCAGGCGCTGCGTAGCAATCTCCAGCCGGCAGGAGCAGCACCGACGATGGCAATAAGGGAGCCCGCATGGGTGACATCGAGGTCCGTGAAGCGAGTAAGGACTGCTCTCATAATCCCAGTTCCATGATTCCACGGATCAATGAGGAAACGTTCCCCATTCAAGTGGGTATGGTGCAGCAGGCTCATGGCGAACTAATGAAGACTAGCTGTTCGACAGGAACAACAAATTGAAATGATATTCAAGGGAATGATTGAGGGGTTAGACCCCCACGTGGCTGTTCACGGAGCCAATGGTGAAATGAAAAGAAGCATGAGTGGGTAGCGCAGAGATGCTGACGTGCTGGCCGTTCCCAGAGATTAGTGGCCGCCCGAGGCGAAAGGGTTCAGGCCACGGATTTTATGCAATCTCGAGAGCCATTGGTGCCTGGATTGAGCGTGTTGAAATGAACGACTGATGGGTAGGCTTGAACAGCAAACGGAATCGAACGGTAAAAGTTCATAAATGAGTGCACGGACTCCCGTCCCTTCACCCTAGCGCGCCCTACCTAGGAATAGACCGACGCATAAGCAACTATGGACATTGTGGACCTTGGAGACGGCTTCTCGCTCAACCTCCAGATCTGCCTTGCTCCTTTCTATTGATACGTGAGATCGTGGTGGAATAGCTAGACCTCAGACAGGTTGGGAAACATCGACACAAGATCACTTCCTCTACGCATGGCGCATGCTTACAACATCTGGTTTCCCTATGTACACATCCCCCTCAGTTATCCGTACCACACCAATGCAAAACCAAACTATGTATGTGTACAACGTAACTCCAAGCCTCCCGAACTCAACAAAGTGGAACCGCAAAGAACGGATAAGCGTAGCGCCTGCGTACCGCTGTCGGATGCATTGCGAGACAGTCGTTTCAAGGAAATAACAAAGCTTAAGACACCCCCACTCCTCCTGAAAAGCCCCAAGCCAGCAGAATAGTATGAATTGTGATAGGGAAAGCGAAAAAGAAAACGGCAATAAGAGGAACATCGCAGATGCAACAATGCTCATGCGTGGTAGGTAGAAGCCTGAAGCAGAATGATGAGGGAAATGATACAAACAGAGTCCTGACCGAGCGCGCCATCGTATGAGAAACAGGAGGGTGAGCGCCAAAGAGCCAATCCGTTTCAAAAACCGTCCCAAACCCAACATGATCTTTTCGAATATAAAGGGGTATACTTCCACAAAGCGTCATCGTACATTAAAGCGTCACAACAGCTCTCCAGTCTGCGTTTCAGTGTCATGCCACGTCGTACTACCTGCCAGTAACAGGACTCGATCCTTTATCTGATCCCGACACCGACCTCTTCAGTCGCTTTTCTAACAGCCCGTTCAACAGTGAGTCAAGCTGGGTGCTCAAACCAGACACGGTCTTCGTTTCTTCGACGAACAGCTGAGACATGATGGGGTGTTCGGGACCAACTGGGACAACGCCTGTGGTGTCATTGATTACCAGTAGCATGTCCCTGATGTCGCTTCCGTCGTCGAGGTATGTACGTAGCGAATGGTCTGACCACGCAGGTAAAGCTGTGCTTTCGGAAGAGTTGGGCGGCGAAACGTCCATTGCCTTCTCTGGGACAGGCGCGGGTCGCGAGGGCGGCGGCATCAACGACGAAGCAGATGTGGGTTCCGCAGGATCCGGCGATGTTGCAGCTTGGGAAGTCGCGATGGTTGGTTTGCTCGGTTGCGTTGTAGCGGGACTGTCGTCAGGCGTCGGTGTAGATATGGGAGAGCTCGTTTCTTGACTAGAAGTGTCACCTGTGAGGCCTGGAGGTTGCTGAGAGTCGGATTCCTGATCTTTGTCTTGCGTGTTCTCTTTCGCTGGCGGCTGAGCGTCGGCTGCCGACACATGCACGGGAGATTCGGAGAGTCTTCCGGTTGGCTCTGGCTCGCTCTGTTGGGCTGACTGCGTTTGCATTGCCGGGTCGGCGAACGGGTCTTTCTCGTCATCAGAATCGAAGTCATCCAACTGTACACGCTGCTTGGCCTTCTTAACCTTCTCGGGTTTCGTCTCTCCGTTCTGTGAAACTTTGGTAATGTTAAGAGGGTTGAGTTTCGCGACTGTAGTATTCAATGGCGAAGGTTTCTCGGGCGAAACCGCGCGCTCTTCGACAGAAGGTTCTTCTGAAGGTACCAAACGCATGGTCGAAGTGGATTGTGTGGCTGTTTGACCGGCAACCGGCTCCTTTGCCGATGTTGATTGCATTGCCAAAGGCTCAGGAGTGTCCATCTTAAGGATACCCTTCACTTTGGATGGTGATTCTTCCCTACCACGGTTTGGTTTCTGTAGCTTCCCCTTGCTGGACTGTCTCGATGGAGCGGCACTCTGTTCGGAGGATGCACGTTCCGTGGAGAACTCATCAGAGGGCTTCGATTGTGGTGACTCGCGACCGTACTCTTCTGATTGCTTCGAAGACGGTTCTGCGTCGCTATCGATGGAATCCATACCAACAACTTTGCCCTTCTTATCTTTGCGCTTAAAAAGCCCACTAAGCATTCCAGGTTTCTTTTCCTTCTTCTTCTTATCGTCTTTCACTTTGTCCGCGAACCCGTTCTTCTCCAGGCTTTCTAGACTAGGGCCACGTTCCCTAGAACCAGTAGTAGATGTACTTGAGTCATCCCGTAGCAAGTTCGGTGTGAGTGTGATCTTCCGCGTTTCGGTGTTTTCGTCTTTGAAAAAAGAATCTGTATTGCGCATTGTTCCGTTGCGAGAAACCTTCGGATCCAAGGGTTTGTCAAAGCTCTCATCACTGCTGCGCTGCTTCTCCAAAGCACCTTTCGCAGATTCGTCCGCGGGATCACCCGTCTCGGCCTCCGATTTGCCCTGGCCATCCTTTGAGCCATTCACCTTGAGCGGTTGGACCTTGAGATTGTCGTCTTGTTCTGACTCTTTTTCGGCCGAGGCTTGCTGTTGCTGCTGCTGTGCTGCTGCCTTGGTTGGATCCGCTCCACCGAACAGTTCGTCGCCATCATCTTCATCCGAGGAATAATCATAGTCAGACGGTTCAAAGTATTGTGGCTGTGCAAATTGCACGGTCTTGGCGTTCCGCCGTCGCATCGCCTTCTTCAATGGATTCTTAGTCTTCTCGGCCGTATCACCAAGCATAGTCGCAGAGAGGTCGATGTTCCGGTGTTTGTTCAACCGAGCCAGTCGTTCGGTAGGGGTCTCAATATGCTCCGCGGGAAGATACCCAATGCTGTTGTCTTTCACGACACGAACCAGCCACTATCGAGCATCAGCAAACTCAAGGTGGTTTGGCTAGGTTGACGCACCCAGTAGCTGTTACTGTCATCAAGCAATACCATAGTGTCGCCTTTGGTAGCATTTGCTTGCCCTTCAACAGTGGCAACAAATGTATGCAGGGAGTATACGAATTCGAAATCGATGTCCTCTATTTCACGTAAGCACTCTCCACCCCAACCGGAGTCGACAAAGCGGGGATCGTCAGAAAAGGTCAAGGAAATGTCTTTGGTATCATCATCGTTGTCCAGGTGTGCATCCCAGCTGTCGGCATCGCTGTCATCTGTCCAGGAGTCGTCGTCATTTTCACTAGAAGTTAGTGGTGGATTGTCGTCTTGGGCACTATGGTCTGCTTCCTCTCCCAGCAACGTCCACGGCAAGTTGCTGGTCCTCTTAGGTATAACGTAGCTGCTCATCTTAGGCTCATGGAACGGGTCCTCAAGATTGCTGGACAGAGGGCTAGGAACTGGCTCCAGCGTACATTGCACCGCTTCATCGTCCGACTCGGAAGTTAGAGATCCCAAGGAATCCAAGCGCATATGCTGTAGTCGATGTTCCACTCTTGCAAGATGCTCCGAATCTGGACTTGGGCTGGGCCCTCGGCCGGTTCCAGTGGTGGCGTGGTCCTGGTCATTGGTGGCTCGTGGTCCGGCATACTCACCGTGATGATGATCCGCTGACGGTGTCGTGTGGCTATTTTGAGAAGGAAGTGACAGGGGTATAGGAGATGGTCGATAGGAAAATTGGGTTACTGATCTTGCGCTGCCAGCTGGGACATGGATGGGTCTTCGAGCGGCGGCCAATGGTATAGGAAAATGGATGGGGGTTTCTGTGAATGGAGAGGATTCGCAGCCTGCCGAAGACGACGGCGGCGATGCGATTGACGAAGAGCTTCGACTTGGGGATGAGCCGGGCTCCTGCCAGATGGAAGAATGAAAAGGCAACCCACCATCGGATATCGAGGGTGAACTCGAGATGCGGTCCATGTCGTCCAGGTCTTCCTCGGCGTCGGCGTCTTGCATGTCTGCATCGTCGCCTTCGCCACTCATGCCGCCGTTCAGCCGGACAGCAGCATTGTCGCCTGCGTGGCCGTTGACTGCGACGGTGCTCTCGTCGTCGGAGGCGGGGTCATGCTGCAGGCCGTTGGTGTCGCCCTGCATGGCATGTTGCAGGTGCGCCTCTTCGTCGGAGCGCTCGTCCTCGACACGACGCAGCGAGGCCTCTTGGTGCGGTGCAGCAGGGCCGATGCCGAGCGGCGCTGGGTGGCTGGGCTGGTTGGTGTGGTCCTGGGCGGTCGGCGACGACTTGTCCTGGAGATCCAGCGTATCTGCCACGGTCAATCAGTGCAATTCCCTCGCAGCGCGCATGCGGGCGTACCAGCTCTGACGATGTGCGGGCGTGTCATGCTCGCTCATGTCCTCCGCGCTCGGCTGCGTCTGCGGGAGCGTATGTATTTCGGGCGTCACGATGTCGCCAAGCCAGCTGGGGCGTGGTGGAGGCGATGCGAGGGGCGCAGCGGCGAGCGCGAGGCGGTCAAAGGAAGGATGGGCCGAGTGTGAGGGAGTGGACGTCGTCCAGCGGCGGCAGAAAAGGCATGCAATCGGGCACACACATGCACTTGCGATTGCGGAGGCAGGCGCGCCTGGCAGCGGAGAAGCTGGCGGAGTGCGGTCGGTCGTTTCAACAGCAACAGCCAATGGCAGGCGGCGCGACACGGATCGCGGGTGCGCACGTCGTAGCAGCAGCAGCCCGGAGCCTCTGGAGGACGATGCGCACTGCGGCACTGCTGGAGGACGGCGAGGGCGTGGGAATGGGCGTGGGCGTGCGAGGAGGGCTGGCTGTGTGCTGATGCGGACCTGGCCTCTCAGCAATTATTCTTGGGCACTTCCCGTCGGTCGGCCCCCTTGCCAGCAATCGCATCGTGAAACACTGCCGAGCCGGGCGTCATTGGCTGCCTCGCGCGCTAAGTCGCCGCCATAAAGGGGCACAATCGGAGAATAGGCATTGATCAGTGCTCAAAGATGCCCGTGTGCCGCCGCTGCGAACGCCTCGTGAACCAGACGTGAGATGCTACACCTCTGCACGGATTGAAACGCATCGCCCGCACGCGTTTCAATCTATGCCGTAGCCTGTGTGATCGCCAGCGCGCGCCGCCCCGCCCCGCCAGCGTGCACTACGGACCCGCAAGCCGAATGCTCAGGTACAGAGTCGTTGTGAGTAAGCGTGGAACGTCATGAACTCCATTGTCCGCCAATGGCGACGCAAGCCTCAGGCCAAAATCGCACACAGATGCAGAATCCCGTAGACTCGTTGCCCTAGCAGCGTCATGGGACACAGAAAACCAGACACCAGCGCGAGGCAAACGAATGCATAGGACAACTAGAGAATAATGGCTTGACTAGCAGACCCGATGCGTAGAACGATAATCATTAGTCTAGTCTGATTACAACGTGGTATGAATGCGACGACTTGCGTCAAATCGTCTCTTGGCTCAAAGCAGTAGAACGCCATGCAATGCTACATTGAAACGCCAGAACCCAAATGCAGCGCCGAACCTCCAACGCAAGGAAACGGGGTATCGTGAGAAACAACGGCGAGAGACAAGAAAATCGCAGCGCAGCGCGGGTCCCTGTCCCGCCTTGTGCTTTGCGAATCAAGATGCGAACTGTCGAGATCCCCAAGCTGAGCCTCGCCCGCAACATCCAACGTCCATACCCTCCACATGTCCTGTTCAGATCTTCCGGTGAATTGCTGCCGGCACTGGAGCTGCTAACAGGGCCTTGACTCGATCGATTCTACTGACAGCCTTTTCCAGTCTCTCCAGCCTCGCCATCTTGTCCTTATCTTTCTTCTCCAGAACCTCGACTCTGGCCTCCAGCTTTGCCCGTGCTTTTCTCTCCTGTGCCACCATCTCGTTCGCCTGACTGAACAGCTGCACACTCAGCTCTTCGATCTCGCTGTCGACCATGCGGGCCTTCTCTTCTGCTTTTGCGCGCAATGCGCGCTCCTTCTCGAGCTGTTCCAAGAGCTCTGAGTCGGCGGTATGACTTGGGGAATGCGAGGTGGTTGGGGGAATGGGTGGGTTCGGCGAGCCTCGTCGTAGGAAGGAGAAGCGGGACTGTCGAGCGGCAGAGGCCGAATTCGCGGTGGTAGGGCGGGCTTCTTCGTTGGAGGTCCGGTTGTATTGCAGCGAGTCTTGCGTGTCTGTTCGTAGGAGGCCGTTCTGTGTTTTGAAGCCGCGAAGTTGGTCTTCGTAGTCGGCGCACTTGTCGACTGTTCTCAGCGTCAGGCCTCGTCCTCGCAACAAACATGCACTGCACAGCGCAAACGTACCAGCAGCAGTCGCCTTCTCCGTCAACAGCTCAACCTGGCTTTCCAACTCTTTTATCCGCTTCTGCGCCTCCTCTGCTTCGCCCATGTCCAGATTCGCGCCGCAGCTCAGACAGCTGCCTCTCTGCATGCGCTGCGCGGTTATCGACGGGGCGGCTGCTTCGTCAACGAGGGCGGCTGCCATGTCTTCTGCGCGCGGCGCGCACACAGTATGCTTTAAGCTTGCGGCGTCACAGCCTCAGGCTCGATGACGACGAAACGGCTGTCAGAAGTCGTAGTAAGACGGTAGCGGGCGGCACGGTGGGGTGCACGTCAAAGAGGCGAGGTCGAACGTGAAACCCGGACGGGGCTGCATTGCAGATCAAGGGTCCGGCGGCTCGCTTTTAGACACGCGACCTGCTCTCAAGGGTCTATTCTGGGCCACGTGCGCGAACGTTCACTTCGCCATCCCGCCTGAAGGCACTTGCGCTGCATGATACAGCTTCTCATATAGATGCGTTTTCAAGGCACACACGTGTCCCATTTCGGGCGTACAAGGGTGCGAATTTATTTATCAGGCTAGGAAGCTGCAGCGAACGGCCTAAAGCGGCATCTGAGCGCTCTGTAGGTGGCTTACTTACCCATAGTGGCCTAAGAGAACCCGTACCGGGCCGTTTTGAGTAAGCTACCTGCGTAAGTTACGGAAGATTGAGTCAGTTGGTCCACCTGCGCTTTCATTATCCTGCATTCGCGGGCGATCCTATGTCACACTACAACGTTAAATCACCTCCCGGCCATTGCTGATACCGACGAGTCTAGCATGCCGTTGCTGCCTCAGGCATTTTGTGGGTGGTGGGTCCTAGAACCGTGGTTTCGGGTTGTCAACCATAGATCGTACCTGACTATTTTGACTACGTCCCATCCCCATGCGAAATTAGCAATGAGCGACTATATATGCCTTTGATGATGAGACACAGCACAGCTGCATGATTGTGAAACACAGTGTACCATTTTCTATCTCTAGATAGTTGCTCTGTCCCCTTGACATGTGCGCTGTCGTTTCTCGGCTGTGCCTAATCACAATCTATATGGTATGCTACACTAGAGTGGAACCGTGGGCTGGAATGAATTTTATGTGGTGGCACTAAAGCACATGGATCGTGTACCGTAAATGAGCTTGAATGGACTCGTTACATCGTAGCTGGCCCGCTTCATTGGACTGATATTGCACTTTACGCCACGTTTGGGGCAGGAAACTTGTTGAACTTCAGTGAGTCGAAGGACTCACACCGTTACCGTTGGAGCGCTCTCTGACGCTTTGGACGTTACCTGCTACAGCAAGAACGGTGTGTACTGTCAGCAAAACAAGAGTGGTGATAGGCTCGGTCGACGAATTTCAATGGCACGTTATGTGTAGACACTCCACAACCACCGCTCAACGTTTGAAAATTTCCACTTTCTGCCTGGAGGAACCCGAAATATGATGGTAGCTTGTGTACTTAAAGCCGTACCCGATTCCTACTTTGGTACATCATCGTTAAGTCCCATTTTAGTATAGCTCTCAGAACAATCCTCCCTGTTAAACTCCGTCTTGACATACTATCAACCCAACCTTTCAAACCACCTCCACTACCACATCAAACCAACTCTCAATGGTTATCAAGATGGCTCGCCGCTCCAGATCCAGCCCGCCCACTGCGCAAAGTGAGATCGACAAATACAATACAATTAAATCACATCGTCGACTCGGCTTCACCTTTGATGAGCTCGAGATGCTATACTTTGGTGAAGAGGGCCGGGGATTCCCGGAACCTTTGCGCGTCACGCAAAGAATCTGGAAGAACCAAAGGACTTTCCACGGCGTCTTGGAGGTCCTAAAACGATACGCCAACAAGCGTCCGGAGGAGGTTCGCGTTTCCATCCGAAACTTTGAGAATCAGCGCGAAACGGAGCGACGAATGCGACAACTTGCCGAGGCTACTGAGCGACTTGCTCAGGCTATCATGGGACCGATTCCCGGTGAACTACCTATGGACCAGCCACAACAAGGTGGCTTCGCCAGCAACTTTGGGGACCAGCACCCTTTTGGTCCGCAGCCGGGGTACCAATGGAAAGGCCCAATAATGGGAAATACAGCGGTACCAGGGCCTTTCATGCATGGCCAAATGGCCCAAGCCAACGGTGCGGCAGGCAACCTTCTTCCCTTGGGCGTCAATGCCGGATTAGTGGATGCATTCGAACACCCCGCCACGCTCACCGCCCAAGATAATCTCCATGGCGGTACTCCTACTCCTATGGAGTTGACTCCTGCAGAGCGTTGTGACTGGCTCCCTGAAGTGCCTTCAGATACTCGGCTCATCGCCCCTGCTCTTACTCCCGACGTCTCTTCCCGAGAGATGTCTTTCGATGCTATTTTCCCGGAGAAATCTCCAGATTCTCCGCTCCTTCCCGCTGAGAATCTCAACGAAGAACAATCTCTTGGCGACTCATTTGCGTTATCTTCTCTGGAGTATGAACTATCCAACAGGGGTAGTTCATCAAACGCGTTGGACACAGCTGGGTTCAATCTGTTCGACGATCTATTTACCACGGAAAGTTCATCACATAAGTTGGACACAATTGACATCAACACGTTCGACGAGCAAGACAGCCTCATCATGGAGGCCATAGGGGATACCCGAGGTGCAGGTACAAAGTCAGTGTGAGCGGAGGCAGGGTGGAATATGTCTTAGCGAAGGGGAAAGGAGACAGATGTGCTTTTTACAGGCACAAATTCAGTGTGACTTAAGACAGGATGATGTATGGCTTGTGTGGGAGTTTGTTATTGCAGCTGGATCATCGTGTGCATTGAGGTTGTCGCTTCGTATCTGTTGTCGCATTTCTCGCCATCGATACCCAAATTGTTATAGGTAAAGCGCGTACAATCGTTCAGTAATAGAATAACATCTACAAAGCTGACAGTTGTAAATGACGTGAATGTGAGAGTACAGGTGAGGTGCATTATCGACATTCAATATGGCGTGGAAGCGCCTTTGTCAAGCACGGGCCAACGATGGCGCTGCTAGGTGCCCGCGTTCCTCAAAAGACATTCACTTCCCACGCCACAATCTGAGGCCCTGCTCCTAGCTTCTGCCTGCCGGTCATCCATGTCGTGGAAAAACCCCAGCACATCGTGTTTGCTCCGCCCATCGTTTGCACGTCGTCCCAAGGGCTGAAGAATAGCCCGTCGCAACACAAGTTCAAGACAAGCGTGCACCCTCCCCACCCAACACAGACACTGCGCGCGACTCCTGCGCACCGGCGTAGACGACCAATCCGGCACAGCGATGGGAGATTTCCTCGACGACGATTCCGTATTTCGTGCTTTCAACGACCGAAGGCTCAACGCGGACTCGCGGACACCGAGCTACGGGTCAGTGGGTTTGCTTGTTGCAGCGGGGCTGTACGCCTGCCTCAAGGCGCTGGAATTGCTCGGATACCCAGTGTGGTGGTGGTTCTACATGGCACTCGAACGAGCAAAAGGCATCGCCTCGCGCGACGCTTCTTCAGCAGACGCTCCGTCCACAGACGGCGACACGACGATGCCGAACGGCGGAAGCATACTCAGCAGGACCTTTGGGCTCAACGGCACCAGTCTGCTGCAAAAGGGCGTGCGCGGAGTCGCAGGTGCCTTGTCCAAAGGGCCCAGCGAAGTCCCTCCCGGCTTGGGCAACTGGGACAACTCGTGCTACCAGAACAGTGTCATCCAGGGCATGGCGTCGCTACCCTCGCTGCGCGCCTATCTGGCCAAGGCAACCGCAGAGTACGGCAACCTGGACATCGAATCGACCAACGGCGCCTTGTTTGATATGGTCTCGAAGCTGAACGACCCGCGCCACCACGGCCAGAACTTCTGGATCAAGGGCAAGCTCAAGAGCATGAGCACCTTCCAGCAGCAAGACGCGCAAGAGTACTATTCCAAGATACTGGATGCGCTAGAGAAGGAGGTGCAGCAAGAAGTGAAGAAGAGAAAGCCCAGTGACGCGTGGGCTGACGCTGCAAAGGTGGCTGCGAACGCGGCTGCGAAGAGCCAGGCGCAAATCCCTGAGGAGGCTGTGAGCAGCGATCAGTCGCCCAGCAGAGAGATGGATGATGCGACACCATCAGAGCAGCCCAAGATTATCCCCAACCCTCTGGACGGACTACTGGCTCAACGAGTGGGGTGCATAAGATGCGGTTACGTCGAGGGCCTCCAACTCATCCCCTTCAACTGCATCACCGTATCGCTTGGCAGGAACAGCGCCTACGATATCCGCGAATGCCTCGACGATTACACTCACCTGGAGCAAATCGAGGGTGTCGAGTGCGCAAAATGTACTCTCCTCAAGAACAAAGCTGCACTTGCGCCATTGGCGGATCGTGCGCCGGCGTATGCAGAGAGGCTTCAGGCCGTCGAGAATGCGCTTGAAAACGATGATTTCGACGACAAGACATTGGTTAAAAATTTCAAGATTCTCAAGAAGAACTGGACACAGAGTGTAAAGTCGCGCCAGGCGGTTATTGCTCGTGCGCCCAAGGCGCTGGTGCTGCATGTCAACCGGAGTATCTTTGACGAGATGACCGGTGCTATGTACAAGAACTCAGCCAACGTCTCGTATCCGAGAAAGTTTGACCTGGGTAATTGGTGTCTCGGTAGCGATCTGGCGGGAGGAGAGTGGCCGAGAGACCCGACCAAATCAATGCTCGGCGATGCGAAGGCAGAGCCTACAACAGATTCACCATTTCAGTACCGACTGCGAGCGGCTGTCACGCATTATGGGAGCCATGGAAATGGACACTACGTCTGCTACCGGCCGCATGCTCAGACGCCTGCCGTGGAGCGTGATACAGAGCAAGAGGAAGTTGCTACCACTGGCGAGCAATGGTGGCGTTTCAGCGATGAATCCGTCTATCCCATCTCTGAGGCACAGGCTCATCAGGGCAATATCTTCATGCTGTTCTACGAACGCATAGATGACGAGACCCCGAATCGCGACAATGTTAAAGAAGCAACCCGGTCCACCATTGCGCTAGACAATAATATTCCTCTGCCACCTGGTGGCATTAATCTATCTCGGACGCTTGGTGATGACGCTGCAGCGATGATCCCGCTACCAGACGACGATGACTTACTCAACGACCAGACGGTTCACCCTACTGGTGAGGAGTTAGCTGCTCCTGGAGGCACGGCACCCCGCATCGAGACGGGTGATGGTGCCGGGAATCTGGTCGTTTCACCAAATGACTGCGGAGAACCAACCACTGTAGGCAGACCATCCCCAGAAGTTTCTCAGTCTATTGTCAAAGTTGCACATGTAGCAGCGCCAGCCTCCACAACGAACAGAGTAAGAATACCGACGTCGTCGAATACGGATGTTGCATATCCTACTCCACCACCCGAATCACCATCCGCAACAATATTCGACGACACTGAGACATCGGAAGCAGGCTCTGACGATGCGCCATCTACATTGCTCACTTCAGACGACGAACCGGACATTTCTACATCGAAGACAAACATCAAACCACCTCGCAGTCCGCATTTAATGCGTACGGCTGGCGAGTCTCCCAACCGAGACGGCGGCAGTAGAACCAGCTTGCCCATGGTCACTGCATAGTCTGCAGCCGTAGCAAGCGGGTTTATTTCTTAATGGGGCATGGAGCAAAAGCAGAAAAGTGATACGCGACGTTGTGCCGCTCTCGGCATCATGGTAGGAGCTTAAGGGTTTTGGCGGTGGAAGACCGACATGAGATGTACGAAATGGGTGGCTATGGCGTTGAAATCCTGTTGCCCTCAGGGTCAGGTGGGCGTTTGGGATTGCTATTGCTTGTTCAATTAGATGAGCTTCGCATACGACTTGGACACTATTGTGTTATAGCTTCCGGGTGTTTTCTGGTGCAGTGATCTGAATAAATCTTCGCCGTTTTGTAGCGAAGCCCCGTCATGCCAGGCGTCTGGTGGCTTGTGTATAATTGAGTCACTTATAGCATGATGTGTATGATAATAAGTCGTTGCAAGTCGTGTGATTGTTTCATAAGGGTTGTACCTCGCGGAAGACGAATCACATACCAAGCAAGACACATAATAGGACTACTCAAGGCTCCGTCGCGTTGATCGCACTTCTGTGTTGCACTTAGCAAGTGCGCGCTCACTACCACCCATTTGGAGCGTTTCGTGTGCCATGTATTATATTTGGCTGCGACTGCGCATTGCAACAGCCCGAGTGTCGTTTGTCGCAGTGCGGAAGACACGCCATTTCGTGCAACTATTACGCCACAACCACCCAGTAATATCAGCTAAAAACTAATGACGCTTATCTTTGGAACCCTATGAGTGATATTGGGCTCTGCCAAAATAAAAGGGAAGTTCAAGGGCAAAAAGAAAGTCGGATTTTGACCGTGCCAGGGGTCGAACCTGGAATCTCTTGATTACAGATCAAAGTCGTAGTCAAGCGCCTTGCCATTGGGCCACACGGCCGATCGATTTTATGCTTCGATGGAAAAAAAGCTCGTTATATAGTATATATATCAGCTTAGATGCACCCAACCGTTGAGTTTCCAGCGCAATCTCGTGCATTCTGTGCAACGGGTAGTGGGGTAAAGAATCAGACACAAACGCTGGGAATGGGCTGCAAGAATTTTCGCTTGGGCTGTACGCTAACCGGCACGCATCCGCTTCGTATCTGCCTCCGGCCTTGGAACACAGAACCAGTCAACAACACAATTGTACCATCTCAACACTCTCTTGGTACTGCCCTGCTTGATCATCCTTCATGGGCACGAGGCACCCTACCCCAGTGATGCCAGGCGGGCCTAGGCACCTGGCATCCGATTGAAATTATCACGTGCACGTCTTGTGGCACAGCCGCCTATCTCCAGTTGCACATGCGGAAGGACTGATCCAGGCCATCACTCGTGTCTGTAATATATCGTTCTTCCTAGGTCCGCGTGGTGCCCGGCTCGATTTGCAACGAGCGGGAAGTCAACAAGAAGGGTATCAATTCTGGAAGTAGCTGGTCGATGGGAGCAAGGAGTCGTGCAGCTTGTTCAAACAATCTTCAGCTTGCCGCTGTTTACAAACATTAGCGTGGCGACCGCAGGCTATATATCAGACTCATGCTTCAAACCATACACAACATCTCGGGATCCATCAGCTCGTAACCAGGTATCACTTCAGGACCTTTCCTAACTTCGATCTTCCCTGGGTCAAGAATGTTTCTGTGAGTTATAAGCTGGCTAGTGTTGGCCTGTTCTGACAAAGCTAGGTGGTGCCATCGATGCGACAGATCGTTTGCAACACATCGTGCTAAGAGCCAGCATTTACAGAACTCACCGCGACACAACGAATGCCCCGAGTGCGACTTCGATGGCGAGACGTGGGACGAGCTGCTAGATCATATTCGTGAGGAAGACTGCTGCAGAGTGTGTGGAGGATGCAACGGCGGGAGAGGGGGCTATTGGGAGGACGACGATGCGTATTGGGAGCATGTGGAAGATTGTCACGTTTGCACCGACTGCGATCGTCATTTCGAGAACGCCAACAACCTGGAGCAGGTAAGAGCACTGCACTTTCTCACGATGACTGATGGCTAACCTGGTGCAGCACAAATTGAGTCATCGCACCGCGCAGGTTGAATGCCTCGGCTGCTACCGCGAGTTCAAAACTTACGGTGGCATGGTGAGTGTCCAAACATGCTCTGTGCATACACAAGTCTAACTGTGTAGATCATTCATCTTGAGTCTGGTGCTTGTGAATCCAGTATCGACCATCTGGATCTCAACTCCACAGCTGCGGAATGCCACCTGTGGACTCAATTTGTTTCCAAAGACTATCGCGATGGTATGTTGGCCAAACACGATCTCGGGCGCATGTATCAAGGAAAGGTGTACCCCTTCGAATGCCCCAAGTGCGACTCGGTTTTCTCCAAGCTCTCGGGTCTCTTTCAGCACATCGATTCATCGGCTTGCGATCAGACGTTGTATGAGGGTGCTATTAAGCGCCTATGTCGCTTTCTGCGAAGCCGATATGGTTAACGCCACGATCAACCTCGACCACGATAGGAGTGTTTGGTGATTAGGCGCCGGTATATTCGTTGTATAGGTTTTATCACTAGGAAACACACAGTGGCTAACAACAAACTTGGACCATCGGCCTTATGAACGTGCGGGTTAGGCTATCGAGCTGTTATTTCATGGAGGTATTATACAATGTGCGCTTTAACATCGAAAACTTTGTGTCAACCCCGTGTCTTGAATTCTGCCAGGAGAAGTGCACTAGATAACATTTCCCGTCGAAAATATTCTGTGCAATGTCTGAAATTAGGTGAGGAAGCACAAATGGACATGCCTTCTTGAATCGCCGACGCCGACGCCGACAGTGAAGGAATATAGCACTTCAGTATCGTGTCAATGCCATTCTCCTGTAGTTCCATCTGTGAGGATACGCTGGCTTATCATACCGAAAGGTAAGATGCCTACAGTAACCACTACCATATCGCTACTGCCCGGCCAGTGTACGCACGTAGGCACCGCGCGTCTACTAATTATCGCGACGTTTTCAATATTTAGTGCACCTGTGTAGGGTTATCCTGCTGTACGTGCGGTGATATAGATTGCTTAGGTTGTCGCGCGAGCCCAGGTGATATGCCGGAGAAGTGCTCCGGCGCCTGACTTTTGCGGGCAGGCGTCTTACTTCGTGCCGTGCCGCAATTTGCGCTTTCTACCAAGTCCACTGTGTTTCAAGTCGGCGAGCGTGACCTCTGCAATCAGCGTTTCATTGCGATCTTCTCCTCCTAGCACACTCCCATGGACAACTGAATCATCGCGCTTCACTTGTCTATGGGTCTTCGCATCCACGCCGCAAGATCTGCATTGTCACATCCTTCGCGCGAGTCGTGCTGCAAGAATGGAACGACTTACAAAGCCGTTAGCTGCCCCCACGGAGCACGGCCTCGGAAGAGTTCCCCTGAGCACGCTTGCCGGCCGTTGGACATTGGTCATGCGTCGCAGGTCTGGAGATTGCCCAGGAAGAGTATGGCGGAGTCCGCAAGCTGTCGTCTGAGTCTTCTCGCTTTACTTCTCTCTCGGACATCAGTAGGGGAACACTGCGTCTTGAAATAGCACGGTTGTGCCCCCGCTTATGTCCATCAACTGATCTTGCTAGTCTTCTAGAACCCTTCTTCGAAGAACTGTTTGATCACTCGGGAACTAATACTACTGAGCCGGGTGGGGCCCTCTCGGTAGAAAGCAACAGGGACGGCCTGGCAAAGGAGAACGGGCGCAATTATTACCATATTGTGTCAGTGCTCCGTACGGCCCGCGTGTGAACATGAGGCGGCGTTAGCGCGTCTCCAAACTTTCCCGCGAGCCGTTCTGGGCACCTGGTCACAACCGATCGTGCAGACACCTGCATGCCGTTCCAACATTGCGGTCGTCCCTCTCAACATTTGCTGACCCGAAAAACCTTGCGAGCGGATCTGCGACCCTACTCAAGCGTGGAGTGCATGAACATGGACTCCCGCCAGCCGCGTCCCCTCCCGTTGCCAGGATTCCTGCCGCCGATAGCGCCAGGACTAGCCAAAAGTCTTCGATTGGATCCCATGCGTCAAGCGCGCAGGCCACTGACCTGGTAGAATCCTAGGCGTTGTCCAAATCGAGCGAGTTGCGTATGAAGGATTGGTCTTCACACTCACGGTGGGCTGAGGAAAGGCCGTGCATATTTCAAATCCTTGTAGGCCGCACTGCCGCTGCCGCGTGCAGGGGGCCTGCGGGGAGTGTCTTCGACACGCTGCCTCTCAGTTTCCTTACATTACCCGCGCAGAGTCTTACATCGATACCGATTGTGCTACCGTCCAACCGTTTCCCCCACGACCGCCACCGCCACCGTTACAGCCGATTTCGAAACAGAACACCGCTCATCATGGTTCAAGCCCTTATATGTCTTTTCAGCAAACGAGACGACATTTCGTTCCGAGAATTCAGAGATGCCATGGAGAATCGATTTGTGCCGCTATTAGAAAAGCTCACTGGTCCTCTGTTCCCTCTCACATACACACGGCGGTACATCGCACAAGACGGCAATGATAGAGAAAGACATAGGTCTGGCCCACTTGGACTTCCTTCGTTAGTAGTTGGAGAAGCGGACTCAATAACCTGGGTGAGTAAGCTTTTCCACACCTTGCGACGGTAAAATTGTCACCATTCGCTATCTCTACTATGCCTATATGAGCCTATATCAGATATTCACGTGCAATCAATGCTAACGAGCGTTCACTGGCTATAGGATGCCCTAGTGGAATCGACTTTCGAGGACGACCTGCACCTACAGCAGTTCATGGCATTCATAAATGAATCCGAGGCGGCAGAGGAACTGATGGAGTGCGAAACCAGCTTCTCGGACAGCAGTAAGCTTCGCATCATCGTGATGGAGAACAACGTATCTGTCAACAAAACACGGGGACTCAAAACTTGGGCATAACAATGCGCAAAACCGTTGAGAATGAGCATAGCATCAGAGGCGTTCATGAGGAGGTCATACATTGGGGAGCGACGCAGGCATTTGAGCGATCTGGGTCCTAAGTAAGCGTGTCCTTTCGAATGATACCACCAGTTTTCGGCATCGGCGCATATTTCTTTGGACACGGAACCTTCAATCGGACGGGATAAGGCACAATTGTTTTTGAGGTTCATTGGATTTGATACTCTGATCGGCGATATAATACATATAGACATCTAAAGTATCTGCCTCGAAGATGGCGCCGTGGGTTACATACAGTACCTGTGATACGGCACAAAAGCAGAGTTCCCTAATTCTACTACGATTCGTCTACCCTGGGGTAACACACTATCCTCAAACTCTTGCCCCGCACTGGTGGTCCTTGCTCATGGTCTTTTCGTAGGGTAGGGTTGCGCTTTGCTACGGGATCTTTGCTCAGGCAGAAGGCAGGCTTAGCAGACAGAGCGCGAAAGAGTCAATCAATTTTGTTCATTGGCTAGGTCCCTGAGCCAATTGTTCACCCTCCTATTTGTCTTTACTCACTTCAGACAGGTCGCTGAATTAGACTATTTTTACCCTCTTTGTTTCGAATACATTCGCATAACGCCAGATCACCCGCGGAAGTTCTTTTACGTTAAGTTGTGCGGCAGATTCCGCCGGACAATTGGATCTATTCTGGTACGGGACAAAGGCTTGATAGCGAGGGCTACATGTACCATATAAGGTCCGTCCCTCGCTACCACACGGCACACCTCAACAATGCACTAGTTACAGCAAAGAAAGCACATTCTCTTTGACGTAGTATAGGGTCGGTATGGTACGCTCATCCATACATATGCACAGATAGCTTTCTACGCAGCTGTATACGGCTCCAACTCTTACGCAGAACTGCCAATCCCAATCATCAGACCAAAGATCAGCATGAGTCCAAGCAAGAACCCCTACGAACTGCTAGCCCAACTCGATTTGAGAGGCCAAGAGGAGGAAAAGGAGGAAGATGAGCTTGTTGGTAGAGATCCCAATGGTGACGAGATATGGAAATTCGAGGTCACGCCTTTCAATATCGATGACTTTGAGGTAAAATACGACAACTGGCGGATTATCACCCGAGAATTTCTTCAACAAATCGCAAAGAATAAGGAGTTGACAGAAACAGCTGTAGAAAACAAAGAGAGGCGGACTATAATGCATTGCCCCTCGCAAGGGGAACCAGAATCTGGTGAGCGATTCTGTGTGGTGGACACGGCTGAGATTGAATACGGCCGCGCAGCCGAAGTTGGTGTACGGTATCTAGTCCGTGTTGAGCTACACCGCGACTTCCAACAATTTCGGCAAAACTCACTCTCTGTTAAGTTACTGAGGTACTACAACGACGATCCTGACGATGATGTAGACTGGATACCAGTGCCGTATGTGCTTAATCTTGTCAAACACAATAATGGGGAATCTTATAAGAGCGTGGAACATATGGTAGAATGGCGAAACCAATTGCAGCAGATCAAGAAGCTCTAGGAGGTCAGTAAGGCTTGCAAGCAAGTAAAAGATCCCATCTTCCATTACTCGAAACCCGCAGTATCACGCATAGTATGCTTTGGGTTGGGTACTCTGACGCGTAAAGAGACAAACTTGAAATTGATCCCCGATCGAGTGCTACAACGTTTGATGGTGTTTCGACTTGCCGAAATGCTTGATGACTCCCAACGGGAAAGAGATTCGTCGTCGTCACATGTAGAAGTCTTCCTGCAGGATCCTTCGTACCAAGAAAAGGACAAGCAGCTCCGTCGGGAACTGCATGCAGGTGTCCACTTCGAGGAGGACCCACACGGTCTCTTCAAAGTCAATTGAGACACCTTAGTGGTCGCTGCCTTTGTCCCAACGGCTTTTCCAGTCTAGCAAATCATAGCGGATATGTTCGAGGAAGGCCAAGGCCCAGCGGGCTTTTTGATCGATAGCGTTCAACGAAGGTGGCCAGAGGACCCAGGGATGTACAAGATCAATGACCGATCATCACCGCGTGCAGAGCGCATGTTAGAACATTGCTCCATCTATGCGTGGTATGAAGAAGATCGGAATAGTTTAGAGGATTCGGAAGACTCAGATAAGCCTCACAACTTCAAAAAGAGATGCTGGGCGAAGAGCTTCAAAAGCAGCTTGAGGGATATTCTCACTATTGGATGGAAGCTATGGAGCTTCATACGCGTATCGACCCACTGACTTCTGAAGGACGAGCTGCACCCCAGTAAGGATGTACTCGAGGTATACTTGTCAAATGATCCGTATAGGGCTGTCATCTGTACGGCACCAGGGCGCGTTATCTTACATGCAAACTTGTTACTAGTTGTGACTTTATCTGAACCATACGTGTGCGTTTGTATTCTGGTGCGGTCTTAGATTACTTGAATTTCAACTCAAGGAAGATGGGGGAAAACGGGCCCCCATGTACAACGAGACTACCTCCAGTAGTCACGGAGAAGGAAGTTAAAGAATCCAAGCGTAGGGCTAGCACGAGGTCTGCGTAGAAGAGCGGTAGGGATGAGTGAGGAAGGATGAAGATAGAGATAGGAGTCTGATTTGCAGGAATATGAAGAGTTGGTCAAAGTAGCAAGGACTGGGAGGTGAGCTCGGGATGCATGGACTGACGTTCACACATCAAATAGAATCATGAATGAAGTTTGCATTCGTGTGCTATGCAATTTAGTCATCATTCAGGGCTATCACAGGACCCACCATGACGCATTGAACTGAGATGTATAAGAAAAACGACCGATTATTACCGCGTGCACATCGCATGCCGGAGAACTACAAGAGAACTAAGAAGGCCAAGAATATTGAGCCCAAAGACATGGAAGAATCACGTATTGATGTATCGCTGGTGTCAGTGTTCACGCGAGAAGCTAGCTTGAAAATCGTAAGTCTTTGTCATACAAAGAATGACTCCAAGCTTCGGCTCGTCGCTCGACGAGCCGATACTCCGTCCAAACGCACATATGTAACGCTTTGCTGCTCGACATACATTTTGTTTATGATCCGTATCGGATGCACTTTGAGTGTACTATCTCCTGTAAAATACTCACACAATGACAACGCCTTGCTTGACAGATCACGAGTACGTTCAACCGCGCTCTCGTTTACAGCAGACGGAATCCTCGGATAGCTGCGGCGTACTACACCACGATACAACTGCTGGCTCGCCATGCTCTAATCCACAGCAGTTACCGAAATGGCTTATTCAGGATCGCCAGGGTGGATGGCGAAGGATAACACAGAACTTTACGCCATCATGGGTATGTACTCTTACTCGTCACTAAGACCTGACGTTGATGTTGACCAGTTTGCCATCAACATGGGCACTGGAATCGTGTCGATACTACTCCACACGTTTGGCACCATCTACCCAAACCACCAGGCTTCCCTCCACGTTCTCAGCATTGTCTTCTTTGTTCTCAACATTTCCCTGTTCGTGGCGATACTCAGCGCCTCAATTCTTCGATATGTGCTTTACCCAGCAACTTGGACCTTGATGCTCGATCATCCTGTCCAATCTCTCTTCCTTGGCACGCTGCCTATGGGTTTATCCACCATAGTCAACATGTTCACACTTGTCTGTGTGCCCAGATGGGGTGGCGCGACACCTCAGGTCGCTTGGGGCATGTGGTGGCTGGACGCAATCCTCAGTCTGGCGTGTTGCCTTGGGTTACCTTATCAGATGATGACGAAGCACAAGACCCGGCATGACACAATGACAGCAGCATGGCTGTTGCCGATTGTCGCGCCGATTGTGGCCTCTGCCTCTGGTGCTCTTGTCGCCCGTGAATTACCGAACCCTCACCACGCCTTGATGACCATCATAACGAGCTATGTCCTTTGGGGAACTGGCGTACCCCTCGCATTCATTGTTCTCACAATATATTTCCACCGTCTCGCAGTCTACAAGCTTCCACCGAACGAAGTCATCGTGTCTGTTTTCCTGCCTTTGGGCCCGATGGGCCAGGGTGGATATGCGATTATGCAGCTTGGCAAGTTGTCGATGAGGGTGTTTCCGGAGACGCAGACGTTACACGTCTCTGCTGGAGATGTGCTGTACATCGTCGGATGCGGTGTAGCGATTCTCATGTGGGGGTCTGGCCTTGTTTGGCTTTTCTTTGCACTCGGAGCGGTTTTGGGCAGAGGAAGGTTTCCTTTCAACATGGGCTGGTGGGGTTTTACCTTTCCGATTGGGGTTTTTGCGATGGCCACACTCACATTGGGCGAGGAAATCCCATCGTCATTCTTCCGGGTTGTGGGCACCGTGAGTCAATCCTAGTGTTGGTTGTATGACTCGCTGACTCATTCCAGGTTCTTGGTGTGAGCGTTTTGTTGCTGTGGGTCGTTGTTGCCTCCGGCACTGCGCTGAACATGCTGCGTGGCAAGCTGTTCGAAGCACCTTGCTTGCGGGAGCTGGAGAAAGGATGCAGGGCAAGAAGAGATGGAGGGCAGCGAGATGCTTAGCTATTGGCGTATTCACTGGCTTCGGGGGCTGATATAGACATACTCCGGGTCGATGGCGTTTGAGGGTCTAGTCTCTGGCGGGAACATGGACGCCGGCGATACAGTATCACATTCGAATCTGAATACCTGCAACAGCTCAAGTAACCCCAAGGTTGACCGACAAGAGAGCGTACCTCCGACGTTCACCTTCTTGTAAGAGGAGGATCTAGTGTATCGTCACGCTACCGGTACTGCTTATCTTCGGCTATCAAACAATGCCCGGTCGGTACCTTGCATGTTGCGCTTGACATCTACAGCTGCAACCGCGATGTGCCCGAGCGTGTAGAAAAATCAACATGATGGATGTGATAGACTGCTGCAATCGTCCCGACGGGCACTCCCTCCAACTTGACAAAGACCTTTCACTAGCCGCTACATGCTAGCGGCGCGTTTCGAGGCCAGACACATGGCTGATGCAGAGGCGGCGGGCGAAGGCCATTTCACCGCGCAAGTCGGTCGAGTGGCACACGGCGCTCTCGTTACTGGGGCGGCGGCAAACGCATGGCGTCGCGGGCGGGCAGCCTGGGGACACGGTGGTAATATCCGCGGCGACGGCGCGACGTATTGGTGAGCACGACGACCGAACCCAGGCGAAGGCGGCGGAAGGAGCACGGGCCCGCTCCAGGCAAGCACGGCTTGGCACCGAGCTCTCACCAACATCATCGCCGCTAGATCCACGGTCGGTAGCTCATATAAACCACGTTGCCCTCGCCCCAGCTGCCCCATTCATCACCACCCATCACCACCCCAACCCGCCTCTTCAGCAGGCCTCTCACATTTCCCGCGCAGAAGCCAGATTCTGCACCCACCCACACTTTCATTTCCACCCAGTCTACACAGCGCCCGCCCACCATGTCGGCTGAGCCAGATCACGCGAAGCCCAAGGTCGACTTGTCCAAGTAAGTCTGCGGCGCCTCTGCCTCTCTCTCCGCTTGCAGCTACAGCTACTAATGTGCCCAGGGACCCTTCTGGCGCCGAACACAAGACGGTAGGCAAATGCCCCGAGAGCCCAGCGATGAGCGCCACTAACCCGCCACAGGAGGATGAGGTAGCAACGGCCATTCTCAAGAAGAAGAAGAAGCCCAACTCGCTCATGTAAGGGAACCCCGCATCTCGATGTATCCCGAAAGAAAGAACTGACAGCGACGCAGCGTCACCGATGCCGTCAACGATGACAACTCCATCATCGCACTTTCCAACAACACCATGGAGACGCTCCAGCTGTTCCGTGGCGACACTGTGCTCGTCAAGGGCAAGAAGCGCAAGGACACGGTTCTCATTGTGCTGGCAGATGACGACCTTGATGACGGCTCCGCACGGATAAACCGCGTTGTACGCCACAACCTGCGCGTCAAGCACGGCGACGTAATCACCATCCACCCATGCCCAGACATCAAATACGTGAGTTTTCAGCCCAGTCGAGCAAAATTGACGTTTCCACTGACACCTTGTAGGCCAAGCGAATTGCTGTCCTCCCCATCGCCGATACCGTTGAGGGCATCACCGGCTCATTATTCGACGTTTTCCTCGCACCATACTTCCGCGAAGCATACCGACCTGTACGACAAGGCGATACCTTCACAGCCCGCGGCGGTATGCGGCAAGTAGAGTTCAAGGTGGTGGAGGTCGACCCGCCGGAGTTTGGCATCGTTGCGCAGGATACCGTCATCCACTGCGAGGGCGAGCCGATACAGCGCGAAGATGAGGAGGGCAACCTCAACGAGGTTGGCTACGACGACATTGGTGGTTGCCGCAAGCAGATGGCCCAGATCCGAGAGCTTGTGGAGCTTCCGCTGCGACATCCGCAACTCTTCAAGTCTATCGGTATTAAGCCACCCCGCGGTATCCTCATGTACGGTCCACCCGGTACCGGTAAGACGCTGATGGCTCGTGCTGTCGCCAACGAGACTGGTGCGTTCTTTTTCCTGATCAACGGTCCCGAAATCATGTCCAAGATGGCCGGTGAATCGGAATCGAATCTCCGCAAGGCTTTCGAGGAGGCAGAAAAGAACTCTCCGGCCATCATCTTCATCGACGAAATCGATTCGATTGCCCCCAAGCGTGAGAAGACGAACGGTGAAGTCGAGCGCCGTGTCGTTTCTCAGCTGCTCACGCTCATGGACGGCATGAAGGCCCGTTCCAACGTGGTCGTCATGGCTGCCACTAACCGCCCGAACTCCATCGATCCTGCGCTGCGTCGTTTCGGCCGCTTCGATCGCGAAGTCGACATCGGTATCCCCGACCCCACTGGTCGTCTTGAGATCCTTCAGATTCATACAAAGAACATGAAGCTCGGTGACGACGTTGACCTTCAGACCATTGCCGCTGAGACTCACGGTTACGTTGGTTCTGATTTGGCTTCCCTCTGCTCTGAGGCAGCCATGCAACAGATTCGTGAGAAGATGGATCTCATTGATTTGGACGAAGACACCATCGACGCAGAGGTCCTTGACTCTCTCGGTGTTACTATGGAGAACTTCCGCTTTGCTCTCGGCGTTTCCAACCCCTCTGCTCTGCGCGAAGTCGCCGTTGTGGAGGTGCCCAACGTTCGCTGGGAGGACATTGGTGGTCTCGAGGAAGTCAAGCGCGAGCTTATCGAGTCCGTCCAATATCCCGTCGACCACCCAGACAAGTTCCTCAAGTTTGGCTTGTCTCCCTCCCGTGGTGTGCTCTTCTACGGTCCCCCTGGTACCGGTAAGACGCTGCTCGCCAAGGCCGTTGCCAACGAGTGCGCTGCCAACTTCATTTCTGTCAAGGGTCCCGAGCTGCTTTCTATGTGGTTCGGTGAGTCCGAGAGCAACATCCGTGACATCTTCGACAAGGCTCGCGCTGCCGCACCTTGCGTTGTCTTCTTGGATGAGTTGGATTCCATTGCTAAGTCTCGTGGCGGATCTCAAGGCGACGCTGGTGGTGCCTCGGACCGTGTCGTCAACCAGCTGCTGACCGAGATGGATGGTATGACATCGAAAAAGAACGTCTTCGTCATCGGTGCTACCAACCGACCCGAACAGCTGGACAATGCTCTTTGCCGACCTGGACGTCTCGACACTCTTGTCTACGTTCCCCTTCCCGACCAGTCATCTCGTGCTGGTATCCTGAAGGCTCAGCTCCGCAAGACCCCTGTTGCGCCCGACGTTGACCTGGACTTTATTGCCGCCAACACCCATGGATTCTCCGGTGCTGATCTTGGTTTCGTTACTCAGCGTGCTGTCAAGCTTGCTATCAAGCAGGCCATTGCCACTGACATCGAGCGCCGAAAAGCTCGCGAGGCTGCTGGTGAGGATGTTGAGATGGGCGAAGACGATGAGGACCCCGTTCCTGAACTCACCAAGGCACACTTCGAGGAGGCCATGCGCTCCGCTCGTCGCTCTGTCACCGATGTCGAGATCCGCCGGTACGAGGCTTTTGCTCAGTCAATGAAGAACTCCGGCGGTTCGAGCTTCTTCCGCTTCCCCGATGGTCAGGATCCCGCCAACGAGCAACAGAACACTTTTGGTCAGGCAGGTCAGGATGAGGACTTGTACAGCTAGATGGTTGAGCCGAGCACTTTCTGAGTTTATCTGTCAGTCTTCAACACGGGTTACGGAACATCGCCACGATGGGTTAATGTCGGCGCATCTCTTCACACATGGAATGATAGTCTAATTCATGCATGCTGGGTAAGGTCATCCGCCTTCCTGGCTAGTCATGGGATATTGGTAGTTTGGAGAAGGGATTGTGTGGAGGGAGATGGCTACCGATTTCCAATGAAGAATTTATACGAATATGAAATTGCATGTTTTAGAGTTCATACCTGTGCTCATGGGTTTTGTCTATTTATGTATTGCACATCCGCCATGCTAACACTGTTTATGTACTGACCAAACTTTTGGATGCATCAGAGTGACCAACACAAAACTGGGAAGCCTTGAGGGGGACCGAAGCATCACTGTCCATGCTTATTAATTATACTTTGGATTACAAACATACAGTAACGCAAGTTCATATAGATGAGGTGCGCGAATTGCAGAACCATAACCACGCGCACACATCAGAATTCAAGTCCTAGGGTAACTCACGATATATAACACGTGCAATCCTATAGTGGAACATCTTAGCTAGACACAAGAGGATGATACTTTTTACATGCCGTCCAAGAATAGCGGGATCACGGACTTCCCCATGCAGATACGAGCGAACACTATCAATGCTCCAATCCGCATGTGGTGGTAGTATCTACTACCCAAAGCGTCGTGCCACGCTGTTGTGCTACTACCCATACGCTTCTTTTGCCGCCCGCTTCCTGCTGTGCAACGAGGCGGTCCCGCTCCGCGTTCCTGAACGATCCCACCATTTCCAACGTCCGGGGACCGCGCTGCGGGCGTGGAGGTATTCTGGTCTCGGTGCTTGGTCCGGCGGTCTTGGTTGTGGTGTCCAAGCAAGGTAGCCGCGGTGAGGGTGGATGGTGAATGTCGCGTCGTGAGAATGTCCGGGAATAATGGGTTGATGCGGGAATCAAGATCATGCTGTCGATGTCACTGGATTTATTGAGATATAGTACGGGCCATGCTACTGACAGGTTGCATTGGTTATCTCTTTCCGCTCGTGGCTTTCTTTTTACTTTTGACACTGCTATTCCGGTAAGGTACTCGAAGTGTGACCTGGTAGGAAACGGGACCTTGATGTCCGGTCCAGCGTCTGTTGGGTTGCTCAATATCTTCTGTTGGCCGTGGTGCAAGCACCACACGCCTCTTCACTAGAGACAGCGATGCACGGATGTCGGTGGAATCTCGGAATATAGCTTTCCTGTGGCTGATGTGGCTCGTTGAGGTGAATGGTTTGGAACGAGCCTTCCATCATTCGATCGAGCCGTGGGGTCCCGTTGAAAGATGGAACCCCCCGGAAGGAGCTTCTCCGGGCGATCTTGGAGGCCGAGGATGTGTTTCTGATGGTCCCAATGCTGGCTGAATCTTGTCCTGATGCATGTCTGGCAAAGACATCAGCAAAGGTTTGCAAGACCCGTGTACTGCGAATCACTTCTCCTCAGCAGTGATATCGCAGACTTTGTCGAGCTCCTTAAGTACGGCCTTGGCACCCTCCTTGGAAACGCTGGTTGGCAGGGCGAGGTTGTAGTCGTCGCCCTCGCTGCTGTGGCCGTTCACCCCATTTACACCGTTGGCGGCGTCCTTGTTCTTCGCGGCCTGGGTGTCGTGCAGGACCTTGGCTTCGACTTTTGCCATGATTTCCGGAAACGTGGCCACGCCTTCGACTCGCAGCAAATGGTTGACGTAGGCCTTGAGCGTGGCCTTGAAACCAGTTGCTTGCATCTGGTGGTTGAGGGTGTCCTCGATGTTGCGGATGCCGGACCCTGAGAGCAGCGCAGCATAGATGTCGTTGCGGACATGGTCCGGGAGTCTGTCCTGGGCCTGGGAAGAGGACATGGTGATAGGCTTGGGGCTGGACATGGGGTGGAGGGGCCGGAATTGGAGATGGGGGTGAGGGTGCTGGTGTGTGCGTTCCTGGACGGGCGTAGGCAGCCGGCTGGCAACGGTGCGATGGCCAACAGTGGAAGCGAGGCGGGTCCCGCTGGTTGGCGAGCCGTCAGGATGTCGGGGGTCGCGCGCTCGGGCTGCCGATCGCCAGGCGGTGAGGGTGCAGCGTGCAGGGCGAGGAATCTGGGCTGCACGGGGCGATGGTTGGCTGTGGAGGCAGGCCTTTTCATCCAAAATTGCGAGCCCACACGGCACTGGCTAGCGGGCGGCGTCTGGCTCTGGGCTCGGGCAGGCTGCAACGTGCAGGCGCGGAGGGACAAAGGCGGCCGCGCGGTGCATTGGGAATCGAAGCCAATACTTTTGTTATTGGGAGCTCGGGGCAATGCTTGGCTGGCTGCTTGCCGCCGAGGGACACTGTGCATGCAGCATCCGTATCGTCGTCTGCTGATGGCTCCCCAGAAGCTTCCTGCCTGCTACCGAGCTACCTCACGCTGTGTTCTGGCCCGGCCGCTGCTGTGCTGCTTGCCCACCCTCTCCCTCTGCTGAACGCGCCCCACGGCGCTCTCCCGCACGGCTGCATAGATAGGAAGCAGACGCGCAGAGCTGCACTAGCTGTGCTCCTCCACGTCCGTCGTGTGCCGCCAACCGCCCTTGGTCGCAACCACCACCACGCCCGCATCGCCGCCCACGCGCCCGCCGCCCACCCACGCTCGCCCGCCGGCTCCCTCCCCGCGCCCGCCCTCGCTACCGGCGCATGTCTATCTGACACAGGCCTTCGAGCGTCGACGTTGCAGCTGCAGCGAGTGTCAGGCCGCGAAACACGCCTAGTCAATCTCGCTTCGTCTCAGCAGGCCGTGCATGCCCAGCGCGAGAGACGTAGCGCCGGGCCCTCGACATCGCCATCCATCCACGCAGAACGACGGCGGACCGTAGCCTGCTCCAGCACTGAGCACCACCTCCAGCCCGAGGAAGACGCCTTGGCGCGCCTCCCGTCCTCCGCACCGCACCGCACCGCACGTAGCGCCGCGAGCTGCGACGACTCCCCCGCCTCACCCCGATGGCATACACGTCCAAGTACCACGACGACTCGGACGAGGATTACGAGGCCAGCGACGAGCACGAGCGCAGCGTCATCCAGAGCCCGACCCTCCCCGTTGACTACGCTGAGAGCTCGCCCACCTCGTCCGGGCCCATGAGCACCGAGCACACGCCCACCACCTTCACCCACTCGCGAGACAGCAAGGGCAGCCCCACCGGCCTGATCACCGAGTGGACCAAGGAGCAGGTCGCCGACTTTGTCGCCGGCCTGGGCCTGAAGCAGTATGCAGACACCTTCATTGGTACGCAGCACCCCGTGGAGTCCCCGCCAGCAGTCTGCTAACAAGCGATCAGAGCACGAGTTCTCGGGCGAGGTCCTGGTTGAAGTCCAGCATGCCGAGCTCAAGGAGATCGGCCTGCACAGCGTCGGTCACCGCCTCACCATCCTCAAGGCCGTCTACGAGATCAAAGTAAAGCAAAACGTGCCCATCGAGCCTGATCACTATGTCCCACTGTGTACGGCGCCCAGTATCGGATCTAAGGCATATGCTAACTTCTCGCAGCCGCGGACACGTCCGCCCAAGATGCCCCACCCACACAGGAAGACTTCGCCAAGGTCATACGCGTGGTACAGGCACGCGACGAGCGGTTGCATGCCAGCGAGATGGAGATACGGCACCTCAAAGAGGACCTGAACCGCGTGCTCGAGGACTACAAGAAGCTCCGCGACGAGACCCTTGCCATGGCACGCGCATACAAGGACAGCCAGCAGCCGCTGCCCACGCCCCACGACCATTCTGTCACGTCGCCTCCGGCTGCAACAGGAGGGGGCGTGGGGAGCAGTCTGTCACGTAAGTTCTCTACCAAGAGACTTTTCCTTGCCTCCGGCGGCCCGAAGAACCCCTCTCCGACTATTCCGGAAGGGCGCGCCTTGGTCGACAATTCGTCTCTCGATCCCTCCGCAGCAGCTCTGGCAGCATCCTCACACCTCACAGCGTCAATTGCCGGCGGCCAGCAAATGTCACCCAATGCCGTTCCGCAGCCCTCTCCTACCTCTCCCGCATATCAAACAAACAACCAGAACCGTTCCTATAATTCTCGCAGCGCACATCCAGATCATGATAGTACGCAGAGCTGGTCTCGGGACAACAGTACTTGGTCCGACTCAACGATGACATCAGAACGCGCGCGTAATACACCTGCGCCGCTCAGGGCACCGATGCGGAACGCAGCACCAACGCCCAACCCTGACGATCGCGATCCTCCACTCTCCGGTGGTACCATGAGCTCGACGCCCTCCGCGCAGTCATCCTCAACAAACCCGCAAGTCGAAATTTTCAAATCGTTCCGCGTATCCATCGATGATCCATGCCATAAAGTTCTGCCTGTTGCACTAAAGAAGTACAACATCACTGCCGATTGGCGACAGTACGCATTGTACATTGTACACGGCGACCAAGAACGATGCTTGGGCTTAAACGAAAGGCCCTTGATATTATTCAAGCAATTAGACAAGGAAGGTCGCAAACCTATGTTTATGCTGCGAAAACACGCAGCCCCTGCTGAAGGCCACGTGAGCACTGTTGGCGGCAACGATATAAGAAGCGTGGGGGGAGGAACCGGCAGTTTTGGATGGGATGGGAACAACAGAGGGGTCCAATTACCTGGCGGCGTTTTATAGGACCTGAACGAAAAGCTCGAGCGACGCCGCAATTTCCATTCGCAGTATATTATATCTACTACAGGCTTAAGAAGAAGTGGATTGAAGACGGGAAAAGAGAAAGCATTGGATAAGACGACTCACATGCTCAGCAGCTGCAGCATTACTCTCGCCTTGTATGGCTAAGAGATATCCGAAGAGCAGTAGGGACAGGATAGGGAAGAATGCTGGGAGCCTTGAGGCAATGCCCACAGCTCACATCATTTATGGAGGTCTCTCGCCGCAGAGACCCGTCAACGGAGAGCTGCTCCCGATGGTTGGGATGTGTGGGTTGAGCGATGGTCAGTTTCGTTGTATAGCACCGTTTGGCGTTGATCTTGTTCGCTTTTCTATGGTAGCTCTATCGTGACAGCTTCCATCGCCATGTTGTCAAGATTGGAAGTTTTCGTGCACGGTCGGGACCGGAGAAAGGGAGACAGTCGTGTTGTACGTGAGAAGCATTTTGGCATGATCTACGGCTGTCTTGTTCGAATGATGTGGCGTTCTTGCAGCGTCTTTTTCTTGATGGCTTGCATAGCGATGTCTCTGGTTTGCGAGCAAAAATTTGAGTTTCGTGTGGATGGTGCTTTGGGATTGAGGGAGTCAAGAGAAGATGCATGTAGATGGGCAACGATGTACCGTCGGATATGAGGTATTATCTACAATATCAGCATTGCGAACATTCATGTGCACGTTCACACATGTCCAGTCACTCGATCTACATGACTTGCTGAGGTGGCTGCCAGTGCGCGGTGGTATCTATCACTGGGATCGACGCAACGTTAGACTTTTTGAACACCCTGTTCCTGTATCGACTCGCTCTATAATAGAATCATACAATGGAAACTCGCTGTTGCATCCCAGATTCTTACAGCTTGCAGTCTGGGTTCTGTTGTCAGCCACTATGCGTGGTGTTGTTCCTGCATAACGGGCCGGGGGTACGTTGCGCTAGGCTATGGAGAATGGCACACTTTCAAGTCTGGCTGGTGGGGCTCAATCGTCTACTGGTTCGCGAAGCCGGTCGTTTCTGCGGTGTGATAGAATTCTCTTCATTGTCTCCTCACATAGGCTGATATATTGTGCTGGACAATCGAGGCAGTACGTCTAGGCGAATTGTAGTCTCAAAGTTGTATAGTAGAGTAAGTTAGAATGGGAAGGTGTGTACTCAAGGTCCCGTTTTTGCGTCAGCTACTGTGATTCGATTTATATAGCCCACAAACAGCACATCGTACAATTAATTTACAGGAGTTTCAGAGGCTTATCATTGCTTCCTTTACTTCCTCTGCTGGGGCTCTGTTGGTGCCTCCATCCTCTTCTTGTCTTCTTCTTCTTCTTTCTCTTTCTTCAGCGCTTCAATGCTGTCTTTGAGCAGCGCTATCTCCACATCCACCTTTAGGATACGCTCCCTCATCATCTCCTCATACTCCTCGTCGCTTAAGACTTTCATAGGGCTCCACTTGCTCTTCGCTATCCTCTGCATAAACGTCTCTTGCACTTCGCCCCTCTCTTTCATCGCCACCTGCTCCCTAGCCTTTCCCGACTTCCTTGCATCCAGCCATTCGTAAGCATGCTGTCCTCCGAAGCCGAACAGGGAAAACATAATGGTACCCGGAATGACATTGCGTGGCCCACGGAAAAGAAATCCTAAGCTGAAGCCGGTGGCAGCGCCGGAGATAGTGGACGCGCGGATGCGGTCTGAGTGGGAGGGGCCATGATCCGGAGCAGGTAGGAGAGGCGCGCCGCGGGTGATGTTCCACCAGTTTCGCAGGCCAGTGGAATTAAGGATTGAAGTGCGAATGCTGAAGAAGGTTGTACCAAGGGCGAACCATTGGGCGCCCGAGACGAGGGAGAAGAGGACCGGAGTTTGAGTGCGTAGTGTGCCATAGGTCGCGCCGATGAGAAGGCCGGGAACAGCTACTCAAATTAGTCCAGATGCCTTGCTTCAGCAGCAAATGAACAGCTGCCTCGGGAAAATCGAGATAATGAGGGCTGATCCTTGCGAGATATCAATGATGGATCATGAGGGAAAGCGCAGCACGTGATATCGCTTGGCACGCGCCTATATCCCTTACTGAAGCCCGTCTGCCGAGTTGACACGCAAGCAGCTGTTACCGGACGCTGCCGAAGGTCTGACCGTAAACTGTGGGCGGTTCTCAAGCAACAATGGCTTGGACTTGATGAAGCAGAAGAAATGTGGACTCACTACAACCGACGCCCATCAGGGCCCCCTTTTTGGCCACATGGAGGGGATGTGTGATCACAGTCTGGTCAGGCGATATGCTCATTGCCATCACATCGAGAGATGCAAACGAACCTCGACTGGAAATGATACAAAAGGCGCAAAATCTGGGGATCGAATGAACTACGGACTGCCAAGCCTTTTAGCGTCAGAGAGAACATTAATCGCACTTGCCTGCCCGCGATTTTCTTCAGGCAGGTCCCCTCGACTACACCCCACATACTCCGGCGAACCAACAACTTCTCCCTACGCAACCTTTCTTGAGAGCCCACATCGCTCTCAAGACTTACACGGCAAACGCGCGGTTTCGACAGCGCGTTGCCTGCTAACCGCAATCATGGGTACGTTTGCCTCGCGCACTCGGACGACGTCAAGCAGCGCCGATACGCTACCCCACCTTTGCAGGACCTGCAAAGCTTCAGGACATGTGCAGCTAACATGCGTATTTTACAGGCCCCAAAAAGCAGCAGAAGATGTCCCTGGGGGACTTTCTGGGCGACCAATGTAGGTTCGACCCCGCTCTGAGTGGGGGACCGGAAAGGCTGACGCCGTTGTAGCACTTGGATCATGGGCTGATGAGATGGAGGATACGCCCATCGGTGGTGAGTAAATCCGCGCCTAATTTGCGCAATCTTGAGTACTGACTTTACTGCAGCCGGAAGTAAATTGCCCCGTCTCTCGCTTCGCGAATCCCCAGCCAATGTTGTACTAATTTTCGTTTAGGCGGCGGCGGCAGCTACGGAGGAGAAAGGCGCACTTTTGGTGCTGGCGGCGGCGGCGGATTCGGTTCCGACCGTGGCGCAGGCGGTGGTGGCTTCAGTATGTCGACTCCGTGCTTTATTCTTACATATGCTGATCGATTCGACAGGTGGTAGCGACCGCCTCGGAGGCTACGCTGTGCGCGAGGAACTTCCCCTCCCTTCCAAGCCCCCGTATACGGCCCATCTGGGCAACCTCTCCTTCGATGCTACCGAGGGTGATGTCAACGACTTCTTCGCCGATTGCGAGGTCACCAATGTTCGCATTGTGGAAGACAAGCTCGAGCGAAAGCCGAAAGGCTTCGGATACGCTGAATTTGGCAGTGTTGAGGGCTTGAAGAAGGCACTTGACTTGTCTGGCTCGCAGTTCCAGGGTAGAAATATTCGAGTTAGCGTTGCTGAACCTCGTACGTGCTACATAACCAGATTGCTGCCTGTATATGGATACTGACAATCCATAGCCAAGGACCGCCCCGAACAAAAGGACATGTCTGACTGGACTCGAAGGGGTCCTCTGCCCGATCTTCCCGGTCAGCAGCGTCGCCCGTCTGACCGTGGCTTTGGGAACCGCCAGTTCGACGAGCGTGACGATGGAGGTGGTGAGCGTAGACGCGCTCCTCCGTTCAGCAGCGATGGCAAAGAGCGCGACTTTGGCAACTGGGAGCGCAAGGGCCCGCTATCGCCTGTTCCCGGGGCGGGTCCACCGAGAGAAGGCCGCGTGCGCAGCAACGACGGCCCTCGCGAGCGACGACAATCTCCAGCCTGGGGTGAAGGACGCTCCAACGATGGTTCTCGGCCCCCGCGTCGCGAATTCTCAGAGCGACCTCAATACGACCGCCAGCCCACTGCGCCTGAAATGGACAACCAGTGGCGATCCAAGATGCGTCCGGACGCTCCAGTCAAGTCGCCTACAGCCACACCTGATGCTAGCGTACCATCATCTCCCGCGCCCCAATCTGCCGCACCAGCAACTCGCCCCAGGCTTAACCTCGCCAAGCGAACCGTCTCCGAAGCGCCTGAGACTCCTGTGGCTGCCACCCAGTCTGACTCCAAAGCCAACCCATTTGGCGCTGCTAAGCCCATTGACACCGCCGCCCGCGAGCGTGAGATTGAAGAGAAGAGACAATTGGCTATTCGCCAGAAGAAGGAGGCTGATGACAAGGCTCGCGAGGAGAGGAAGGCCAAAGAGTCCGCCGAGAAGACTGTTTCGTCTCCAAAAGCTGAGGCGCCATCCGCACCTACAACAGAAAAGAACGAGAACGGAAACGAGGATAAGCCGCGTGCCAACTTCGAAATTCTCCAACGTTCAGAAGGGGAAGGTGATGTGCCTCCAGAGGTTGAAACTGCCGAGACACCTGAGAACGGTGATATTGTTGAGGACAAGAATGTAAAGCCAAAGGAAGTTGTACGTGACCCAAAGCTTGACAACACCTGGAGACGAAAGTCCAGCACACCTGCGGCATCTACCCCTACCACCACGGAGACCATGGACGACGATGGCTGGAGTACCGTCACAAAGCCTGCGAAGAACGCGAGGGGTGGCAAAGGACGTGGTGGCCCAACTCGCGCCATTGCGTCCTAGAGCATGGACTTGTCGTGGATTCATTACACTGTCTCTGCAAGCGTCTATCGATGTTCGCAACGCTGCGCAATTGTCCGGACATGAGTGGTTCTCTCCATTCTATGGCTTCGATATTTGCTTGCATTCGTGAGCTCTTAGATCTTGTTTGCAAATTTACGTCCTCTGTCGTATTTTGGCACATCTCTTTCAGCATGTCGGTTGCTTTGCCTGTATTTGCTTGGCAAGGCGCTGTACTTTTGGTGCAGGCTGGGTCCCCTTGGTCCCACTATCATACACGCTTAACGGCTCTCATGTCTCTTCGATCATGCCCATCTCCAATTCTACGTGTTATGCGCATCACAATTGTACTGGTTCGCTCTGTTTCAAAAGTTTGACGTCTTTGGCTTCCTTCAGGTCTGGAAATACTGCTTCTTCTGCATCTACACCTCCCCTCTTCGTCGGCGTATGCTAGCTTTGGAATGGGTCGGATCGTTTGCTCGCGGGCTGAGGACTGGGCGCGTAGGCTCGAAATTTCCTGATATGGAGGAAGATTTGTGTCATGTTCTGTTCGCGAAATGATAGACGATCTGGTGCTCGGGCATGTATTTAGCTTTTTCCATGATAGATACGCAATGAGTGTTCTATCTCCTTCAGCGTTTGAAGCACAGTGTCATATACAAATAATGGAGATAACTGACAGGCGCGCATCTTATCCTGTACTAACTCAGTCTATCGTACGTTGATGGATCTGTTGTATCATGCGTCATCGTGGATGTTCATGTTTTCGGTTCTGCGTCAAGGATTCCTTCTTTCATTGTCGGCCACCGTCAAAGGCCTCTTCTTTGATGACCCAAGGGTTCTGACGTGAAGGGCAAGGTTTAGGGCATTTTCCCTGCAACCGGAATTTTCGCCGGCAGAGGTTGCGTTTCTCCGCTTGCCCACTGCAAGCGAAAGTGATGGGAAGACTTGTCGTGCCATACTAGAGACCAAATGTTGTGCGGGTGTCACGTCTGCGCTTCAGTGCACTGCTCAACAGATCGTTGTGGGCAGTGACGGATACAAAAATTGGAAAATCTGGCGCACACTCGATCCCGCCTATACTCACTCTTTGGTATTTTCGTTAACTTGTAGTATTATGACTCAGCGTGATTGCTCAAAGCGGTCCTGTTGCAAGGAGTCAAACTATTCTTGACACCTACTACCTATGTTATGGAGGTATCCTGCCGCTTACCGCGCTGCTCAGGTCCATGTAGCTCATACGTCGTTGAGATGAGAGGCGCGCCTCTTGGAATGGTGTCCCAAATTCTAGCTCACAGCTCTGTACGCGGGCAGTGTGCATCTTTGCTTGCGTCGCTTTGGGTTTTGACGATACACCTCCAGGCCTAGTCCAGGATGTTGAAAAAACGCAGTCGTGCAGACCGCTTTCTGGAATGTTTAGCGGACGGCCTGCGAGGCATTATGGATACTGATGAATTCTGCGTGAAACTAGTTATTACAGAGCATGACAGTGTTATACTTTCGACGATGGTTCTGATGTAGTTCTCGACGCCCTTTGCCGATCGCTCCCTTACGGGCCTAGCTTGGACCCTGCACGACCCTAATACGTCAGACGTCCAGCTCCCGACAACCTTGGTTCAACTGAAATCCACAGCAGCCTCCTCGACAAGTATCCTCTGTCTTGTTTCGCGTCCACATTCGGCGCCTGAGTTAAATATTGATGAACACCATGTCATCGAAAAGCCAGTCTCCTGGTCCGAGTGTAGCTACGTCACAGCCGAAGCAAGCGAAACCGAAGAAAGCTGCAGTTTCGGTTCCGGCTGAACCGAATGTGGCTGGGAGGGCGGGTTCAGCGGGCGGCGTTTTGCTAGAGAAGGAGCGTACTGCAAAAGGATCAGGTTCTGGCCCGATTCAGAAGTCGACTGCTAAGCCTACAGCTTCTACGTCTGCAGAAGTCAAGGGTAAAGACGCAGCAACCGCACCGAACGCAGCGGCTTCGATAGGTCCAAATCGACAAAGGAGGAGACCTAGAAAGCTCAACAGAGATGTTCCCACCCAGGATACACCTCCTGCTGCTGTGGCGACGTCCGTTACGCCAGCACCAGCCACCGAGCTTGAAGCCTTGAAATCTCGTGTTCGAGGGCTCGAAGCAAAGGTTGAGGAGCTTTACCACTCAGCAGAGGGGAGGAATCGCTCACCCCGCCGACGTGGCAAGAGCCGTAAGAACTCGTCCACCCACTCAGTTCCCACAATCAAGAATACTTCCGCTGGGAACGAACAAAGCGAAGAAGAAGAGGCGGATGAAGAGCTTGTCCGAGTTGAAGAAGAGCTGGAGAGTGCAAGGCGGGATCTAGAAGTATATCAGCCTCGGAGCAGGCCCAAGGGGAAGAGGACCACATCGGGAGAAACAGAATACATTGAAGAGATCCCACGAGGCGATGGCGAAGGGATCCTGAACAATGAAGGACGCCAAGTCACCCTCAGCGGTAGCTACCGTATTCCACTCCCTGCTACACTTGACATGAAAGATGTGAAGACGATCCAGTCTGGTGTTTCGGCAGCACAAAACGTGGCGAGATCATTCCTTGAACAACGCCGAGCTGCTCGCGCGACGTCGTCCACTCAGCCTGCTCCAGGTGCGGCGTCGACGAGGCCGACGAATGCTACGCCCAAGCCTAGCAGAAAGACGAGCAGTATGGAAGTCACAAAAGAAGCAGATGGGAAGAGCTGGAGCGAGTGGTTTGGTGGGTACAGTGTGGCCATCAGCAGGGCAGTGAAGACCATTGAGGCAGAAGCTGCGGTTGAGAGTCAGAGGGTACCAGTGAGTGCACCAGGGACGGGGTCGGGGACAAAGAAAGCATCGGGGAAGAGACCGACTGCGAGGGGCCGGCAGAGTGATGGTATTGCTTGAATCAGCGCATGGAGTACACGCAGGCTGCATCAGCGACGCGGGATCAATGCGGACCAGGCTCTGTGCTATGTAGCGTTGCGGCTTGTGCTACGATACGTATAATAAGGGTACGAGTTATGTATGATTAGGAGTCCTCGGAGGCGTTGGTCAATTCTCAAGGTTATGCGCATGGTACCAGGTCGAATGAGTATTGCCCCGCATTGCTATCCAGCGGTAAACACATGTACTCAAGCCTTTGACAAAGCACGGTAGGTTTGTTGTTGGCGCGTCTTGGACATGGAATCTAGTAGCATGGAATCTTGTAGCCACACCTTGTGTCTACGGGCATGGACATGAAGTCGCTCTTCGCGGAGGCTTGTGCAGCTCTCATGTTGCACACTAGCGTGACCTGCATACCCTTGACCTATGTATTGCTCATCCAGGGGCAGACCAATGGTGATGCTGGCGCAAAGCGATGCGAATTGCCTCTCCACGGCCTATCCCGCTCCGAGCCCGTGGTACGAGCAGCAGCACGGTCGACTACAAGCTGTGTGAACCAGCGGTGTCCTGTGCACGGATGGGTTGCTGGCCGGATGCCAGTGCCGTGGCCCCTGCAACGCCAATGCGCATGCACATCTCCCGCTGGTGCCGCTCGTTCCAAGGCACACGGATGCGTGCGTACCAATTCAGAGACTTCAGATGTGGCGTCGAGGCGCGCGATGATGGCCGTCGAGACGATGGCCAGAGCTAGGCAGGCAAGGCTGGCAAGCCACGGCGGATCCGCAAATGGGCAGGCGAAAGAGGTTCTTGCAAGGTGGTGAGACTGGCAACAAGGAGATCGCGTCATGGTGACCGACTGCCATGACCTAATCCACGACGCCACAGCAGCGCTAACGGCAGCCATGCAATGTGGGTCGGACGTCTGGACTACGGCGCAACGTGCTCTCGATGCCGTCGTGTGTTTGCAGACGCCGCTGCGGCGTGCCTGGCGTGGCCTCGCAGCTCCGCTTCGTCAAAGGCAGAGCCCGGCCGCACGAGGGGCTGCGCGAGCAAATGTACCCCTGTCGGCGACGGCGACGGGCATGGGATTTGGCGCGCGGGATGGGATTTGGGGAGGCAGTGTGGCTTGACGCGTCCAGAATGCGATGACGCACACTAGGATCAACGCGTGCATGATGCATCCCCGTCGACGATCTGAGACGTCAACCCAGGTCGCGCCGTCAACATCCGTCATAGACGGGCACTCTGTGGCCTTCTTTGGGCGCAGGCCAGCCCCAATGCGGGCAAAGGCAGCTGCAATTGAGTGCTGGCGGCGCAGGCGCGGCGATTGCGGCCTCGCGAGCGCACGACTCGCCCTGTGCAGCGATGGGCACCGCAAATGACCGCGGGCAGACTGCTGGCCCAGTCAAAGAGTGGCCCAGGCGGCTCGGGCGCGCGTGCGGGGAGTAGCGAGTGAAGGCTCATCATTCTGCGTGGTGCCAACAATGACGTCTGCACCAGAGCGCAGGGCAGGTTTCGTGCCACGACAACGACGACCCAGCCCAGCAACCAAATAAAACGCGCCCAGCGCTCCTGCTGCCTCTGTCTCATTCCCATATACCTCCTCTTTTGATACCCCAACCACCCCACCCGCCACACTCCACCTAATCGCTGCTTAGCACCCGTCCGTTTATTTGATACCCCAGCATACGCCTGCTTGATATTTGTACACCATGTCGTCCTCCAAGGCCGTCAACGTGCCGGTCAATGAGAAGCAGAAGGAGAAGGACGTCAACACCAAGCTCCAGCTCTACGGCATCTTCCAGGGTACGTTTCTCTGCGTCGCGCCGGCACAAACACCCGCGCGCGCCTTCGTGCGTGACAGCAGCTGACAACCACTGCAGCGTTCGCCAACGGCAAGGTCCCCTCAAACAAGCAGATTGATGTCGCCCTCAACTCGGCATTGGCCTCAAGAGCGCTAAGCTCGCCCTCCAAGAAGCTGTCCGCCGATGGCCGAACTCTCGTTGCCGATCTCAAGGACGTCATTGAGCAGGCCAAGACGCTACTGCTCACCAAAAATGATGGTAACCTCCTCCAAGATTTCATCTGGCAGACGGAGCAAATCACCGGCGGCAACGCGCAGCTTCCTCAAGCACCAATCGACAAGGACACAGCCAGGCAGCATGGCAATGAGGCCCTTGAGGGTCTCCGCACCCTCGGAACCCTCATCATCTCTAACGGCCAGTTCAGGAAGCTCCTCTCGGATGCCACCATTCTCCTGCGAGACATAGCCGGTGATGCTGCTCAAAACACAGCCAACAAGGTGAAGCCAGGCGAGGACCAGCTCAACCAGATTGATCGTCCCGCCGACGACAACACCTGGCACGAGGTGCCGGACCTGTCCAAGGACAAGCTGAAGTCCCAAATCAAGCAGTCAGCGCCCTTCTCCAAGGGCGATGCACAGAAGGCCGCGGGCGATGTTACCCAGGCTGCTCACCCCGGGGCTTCGCGCGACCCCGCTGATGTTGCTCAAGCTGGCGTCACCGAGGCTCAGACGGGCCAACCCACCGGTTTGGACGCTCAGAACGCTGCGAATGAGGCCAAGCGCAAGCTCTCTGAGAATGTCCCTGAAGAAGACAAGGAACGCGTGCGTCAACAGCGCGAGCGCCTGAACAACTACCTCAAGCAGAAAATGCCCGAGGAGCGCCGCGAGCAGACAATCTGGCGTCTGAAGAAGATGGTTGTCGAGATTCAGGGTCACCAGGATTACCAGCGTGCTATCGACACCCTGCTTACTTTGGCTGAGCGCTACGCTGGCCACGGTCGCGATGTCGCCCAACAGGGCAAAGGATCCGTGCAAGGTGCGCACCAGGATGATTCGCTGCAGATGGCCGAAGCTGACCTCAAGGTGTGTATTCCAGGTGTACTTCGCGATAATGCAGACGCGCTAACAAGTATCAAGACTCTCTTGGAGCGCTTCGCTAACAGCACTTCTTTCGACGATTTGATCGACTCCGTCAACCAGATTTACAAGGATGCTGACCGCGACCCTGACCTCAAGAACTGGTTCAAGCACCTCGATGCTTACGTTCGCAAGTGCTTGAAGCAGCAAGGCTTCATCATGGAGGATCGCTCTAACGAAGAGTGGAACCGCTTATACGATGATGGGCATGCATTGCTCCGTGGACGGTACCGCGGCCACACGGACCGCATCGCTGATGAATTCAAGTTCCTCGGCCAGCAATTCGACTCTGATCCTCAGAACAGGGCCTTTTCCAACTCCATCCAGAAGTTGTTCAACGACCTCGGCCATGACGAGAACGGCCAGACGGCCTTCAAGCCTCACCTTGTTAAGGACCTGACGGAGGTTATCCTGCCCGCCATTTTCGAGAACATCCGCTATGTTCCCATTCCCCGCATTGAGTACTCTGACCCTATGGTCGATGCTGTAGTTGAAAACCTGGTCATCGAGGGTGACAACCTTACACCTAACGTGGCTGAGTTTGGCTCCGATAACTACTGGCGATGGGGACGCAAGCACGTGTCCAGCATAAACAAGAACAAGGTCATGTTGTCCGTTAGCGGTATCCAGATGGACCTTCGCGATGTTTCATACTACGTGAAGCGCAAGCAAGGTTTCCCTTCCATCACCGACAAGGGTGTCATGGACATCTTCATGGGTGGAAGTGGCTTCAGCTTCAAGGTGGAAATGGAGAACGCCGAGCGCTCAAAGGACAGCGTCCACTACTTCAAGATCAACAAGGTCACTACCGACATCGAGAACTTGCACATCAAGCTGAAGAAGAGCAACCACAAGCTTCTCTTCAACCTCTTCAAGCCGCTCTTACTCAAGGTCATGCGCCCGGTCATCCAGCGCGTCCTTGAGAAGCAAATCAAGGACAACGTCAACCAGCTCGACGCTCTTATTTACGACATCAAGAAGGAGGCTGACAAGGCTGTTGAGGATGCCAAGCGTAACCCTGATCCGGAAAACATCCAGAACATCTACCAGCGTTATGCTTCTGCAGCCAACCAGCGTATCATGCAGGGCAAGCAGAAGAAGGAGCAACTTGAACAGCGTGCCAAGGACACTCACGTCAACGTGGCCGTCACTCAGCATGACAGCATGTTCCAGAACATCCAGCTGCCTGGCGGTATCAGCACGAAGGCCACCGAGTACAAGGACCTTGCTGCGAAGGGCGAGAAGTGGGAGAGCCCCGTCTTTTCCATTGGCGCTGCCAAAGAAACTTCGGCTCTTCCCAAGATTCCTTCCGTGCAGCGCAAGCCACATGGCCGTCCCGAGGGTTACGGCCCTGACCCTAGCATCGGTGGTCCGGGCGCTGGCCTCTCCAGCTCCCAGGGCGTTGGGTCTGGCTTCCACAACGAGGCTGGACAGGGCGTACACCAGGCCGGCTATGATGGAGCTAGATATGGACAAACCAACCCCACCGGCGCTGGTTACGGACAAGCTATCCCTACCGGTGCTGGAGCTGGCCTCGCAAACCAGATGGATGGTGCCTTCAACGGCGAGTCCGTTCCCGCCGGCGCAGCTGTCCCAGGCGTCGCCGCTGCTGGTACCCAGCCGGGCCAAGGTCAATGTAAGTAATGCCCATTATCGCAATTTGTATTTTTGCTAACAGTACGATAGTCAACACCATGCTCGGCGCCAACAACCCGGTCCTCCGCGGTGACATCTGAGTGGCTCGCATGATGAACGTTGCTTTCCTGTATGATATACCAGCGTGATTCTTGTTGTCCACGAGTTGTGTTTTGTTTTGCTCGGTTTGATAATGGATGATACCACCCCGCCAGGTTGGCGCATGAGTATACGGATTTTAAAAAAGGGATTTGGCGGATAGGTTTGCTCGTAATGTGGAAGATTGAGCAAGGGGATGGGTCAAATGCGATAGCACGCAAATACAATTTTGATTATCATTCAATTTGGATGTAGTGGGCCTCACAGCCTGCGTTCCTATGCATGTACTCCTTCATGTAGACGAACCGCTCTCGTTGAGACCCGTGCCGCGCTCCGGGGAGACGGAAATCGCAAAGCAGCTTCCAAGGCATACTCAGAGCAGTCATGTGTCAAGGGCTCACGACCACATTGGCCCAGGCGACATGGAAACCAAACCACGGCGCTGCGATGCGACTAGGCGAACCAGGTGCATCGCGAAAAGAGCTCCGGTCAGATCTACTTTGACCATCTCATCCGACACTCAAACAGACAGAACCAGATCAACCGGACGTGGCCGTACGGCTGCGAGCTTCGGCGGAGGAACAGGTGCCCTTTGACCTTGTGCGGCTTGAAGCTGAGAGTGCGCTAGAGGCCCTTGAGACCGGAATCGAAGAGGCGGTGGGGTTGGCAGAAACCTCATCCTGTACATGGTAGTCGATACGCACCTCATCTTGTGGAAACTCGCTGTGATACGGTTATAGAACCACAACTTCTTCACATGCTGGTTTTCATGCAAGGTCGACACAGTATATTCTGCTCCGTGGGAGCTTTCTTTGGTCTTGCAAGCAGCACGCCGGGCTGGCCATAGCGCTTGCGATGCCCCAAGTTTTGCGTGCTCGTGGGTGGGTAGGTGAATTTGTTATGGGAGTTAACATTACGACCGTAGAGGACTACTTTCGGAGCCTGTGGAGGGCCCGAGGTCTATGCTACACAGGTTTATCTGATACATATTCGTACATGTAGCGTACACATCAAGTGAGTTTACAAGCACTGTTTGGTCAATATCACCACGAACGACTTGTGACACACGCCACTGCCGTCCAGCCTACACTCCACCTCACGCTGCCCATGACCATGACAAGAACGCATATCCCCGCGGCGATACTAGCGAACGCGTACTTCCAGGCATGGCTCCGCTTCAACGTGTCTATCTCCAGTATCCAGGTCGACACGGTCGTCAGACAGCCGTCGAAGCCGTCCATGATGCCTTGCAGTACCTGACATCCCGCCCTGCCGCCTCCCACGCCCGATCCGCCGATCTGGACGTGTTGCAGATCATACGCCATGCCTAGCACAGCCGTGCCAAAGATGTTGACGACGAAGGTTCCCAGTGGGAAAGACGGGCTGATGGGATTGAGCTTCAGTGAGACGTAGAAGCGTAGAAGGCAGCCGAGGGGCGCGAAGACGCATGCGAAAACGGCTTGGCCACGCCAGGTCTCGTTGGAAGCGTGCCGATCGGGCGGCCATATCGCCAGAAAGATGGCGCCGAGCCAAGCGCCCCAGGCGATGAGGACGACGATGGGATCGACAACGGTGCGAATGGGGCGGAAGGGCAGCGTAGGCGTAAACCTGTCGAGCAGGAGAGCGATGTGCGCGCCCACTTTCAATGCCGAGTAGCATACTGCTACCGTGATGATGATGACTGCGAGGCCGGCCATGAAAGAGTAGCCGTCGTTGCGCCCAGCTGTCGCGCCGATATCGGGATACCGGAGGTCGTTGAGAAAGGCGAGGAACACGTCACGCATGAAGCTCGAGAAGCTCGTGAAGCTGCCACAGAAGCCTGTTGCGAGGCCAATGTACAGCGGTATCGTCTTCTTGACTTTGGCGTGCGAAGCTGCTCTGTTCTTCTGCTCGAGGGCTTTCTCTTCGTCGGATGGCGGTGTACGTGGTGGCGTAGGGGCGCGTTGGCCCCATTCCTCGCGGAATAGGCGGCGGTCTTGCGAGAGGAAGCCCATGAAGAGTGTGCCGCCGAAGTTGGCCCAGAGCACTGGGAAGGTGGATGGTGCGCCGGGGTACAAGGCCAGCCATTGGACACCCAGGCGTGCCAGCGTACCGAATATGGAGAAGATGATTAGGTAGGAGACGGTGTAGAGCTCTGTAGCCACCGGATTGTGCGAGGGGGTTTGGTCAGGCCTATGGCGGGCTATGGCGGGGAGGGCAGTGATGGAGGACGGGGTGGCACGTCCGGGCACAAAGCTGTGTCTGCCAAAAGGCCGGGTCCTTGGTCGGGACGCTGAGCGCTCCTCCTCCAGGTCGTGATGGACATAGCGCGGGCTTTCGTGAGGGTTCTGCACAGGCGCCGGCGCCGCAATTTCGTTTAAGCCAGTGCCATCAGGGTCGTCTTCGTGCGCGTCCAGGAACAACAGCTCCTCGATGGTCCTGCCTCTCGTGTTGCCCCCAGCACTGCCATGGCGGCTTCCCGTGCCGCTCCGGCTTCTCGTCCTTCGCTTGTCCAGGCTGTGCTTCCGCTGGGGAATGCGCGGCACGTTGGGCGCGGGCGAGGAGCGGGCGGGGATGTCTGGGATGTCTGGGATCGAGGTGGGCGTCTGCGGGGGCGACACGTGGTCGCCGTCGAGGGTGTAAGCGCAGGCCAGCTGGCCGCTCACGGGACGTGAATGCGGGCGCGACTGTGGGCGCGACGGAGTGTGGGATCGCTCGGAGCGCAACGAAGAGCGCTGCTGGTTGTAGTGCGAGTCGCGGCGGCGCGACGCATCGTCGCTGTCGGCCATTGCCTCCTTTTCTTTCTCTCTTTCCGGGGCGACGCAGCACGATCAGTCCATGGGGACACAACGACGGCCGCGCAGCCTTTTTGCAGAACGTGGGCGGGCGCGGACGGCAGCGGCGGGCTCTGTGGCGCCGGCGGGAAGCTCCAGGACCAAAGTTGATGGCAGCAGCCGTCGCTCGCCGAGCCAGTCAGCTCAGCGCGCTCTTATACAGGCCGCGCTCTGGGATGGCATGGAGCGCAGCGCGGCGGCGGGGAGGATTTGGTTCTGTGATGGCTAGGCATGGTGTGACAGCTGCACCGTGACGGTTGTCTGCACCTGGGCCTGGGGCCTGCAAGGAACAGCGACAGCGACAGCGCGCTCGGCCGCTCGGCCGCCTCCGCCTGCTGCGCTAGCCAACAGCTTAACGCCATCCCTCTTATCTCGGTCCCGCCCGCCGTGCAGCGACGACGGAGCCTCAAAGCTCCAGCTGTCCCCTCCGCCGTAAAGCTTTAAAGAGTAGCCGTAGCAGCGTGGCAGGAGCTCGCCGCGCCTCCCACACATAGACAATGGCCAATCTCCCCAAAAATGCCCACGTATCGCAGCATCCGTGCTTGCAGGCGAAGCTCTCCCAGCTGCGCTCCGCCAGCACAAGCTCCAAGGATGTCCAGTCGCTCGTCCACGATATTGCCCTGATGGTCGGCTACGAAGCCCTGGCACAGGGGCTGAAGGCGCAGCAGCAAGGCACCGTATGTATCCCGTTGATATCTTATCCTCACCCTGGCACATAGTCGTGCATCGTTGCCTCCGTCGGCGCGGACACTGGTTCCCCGCACCGCTCTGGACCCCACTCATGCCGTCTCATCACAGCGCAACCTCATATCCTCAATGCTATACGCATACATATGGAAGCGCCAAACGCTAACCCTGGCAGGACAAATCACCCCTCGGTTACACCTACAACACCACCACCGTATCCCCCCACCCTACCTCCATTTCGCTGGTCCCCATTCTGCGTAGCGGGCTGTCCATGGTTCCCGCCCTCACCTCGCTTCTTCCCCAGCCCGTTGCAGTCCACCATCTAGGTCTGTACCGCGAAAAGTCCACACTGCAACCTGTCGAGTACTATAACAACTTGCCCTACCACGCACCCACCACATCAAACCCCAACGCCAGCGGTCCATCCGAGCTCGCCATCATCGTCGATCCCGTCATTGCCACAGGCGCGACTGCCTCTGCTGCCATTGACAGCCTGAAGGACTGGGGCGTCAAGAGAATCATCGTTGTCAGCGTGCTAGCCACCGAGGAGGGTCTGCGGCAAGCCTGTGGCGAGTGGGAGGAGGGCGTCGAGGTGTGGGTAGGTGGCTGTGATGGTGAGGTAGATGAGAAGGGCATGATCAAACCTGGGCTGGGCGATATTGGAGACAGGCTCTTTTTGACCATTGGAAAGTGAATCGTGGGAAATTTCCTCGATACTGGAGAGCACCTTGGATGCATCACACATGTCATTACCAACAATTTACACAAACAATGAAAGACAGATACATTCATGCCGCCGGCCACATCACAAGCATAGAGCTTTTTCCTGGAGACTTTCGTCAGTATACATTACATGCAGGCCCATCTATTTATGCTTTCCCGACATTCCTTGGCCTGCTTGGGACACCCCAAACATAACCGTGATTTGTTTTCTTGAGTATGCGCACAGTCACTTCATGAAACAGTCCCAATCAATCCGTCCGAGTCATGTCTTGCGCTCGCGGTCCAACAGTAGACGTTGTGGCTCGGTTTCACCTCAGCTCAAGGCCGCTGTAGGCACACGGCACACTTTGTTATGCTTGCTATTGAAAAGAGCGCGCAAGTAAGACGTCGTTATTACAGTCTCCAGGTGTTCTGAGTTGTGACAAACGCGTGGTCTTAATTGGCCAGCAAACAAACCCGTTGGCTTGGGTTCCCTAATTGGAGTCGAGCCGGTGGACCAGCGTTCCACTGCACCTTCCCCTCTTTTCGCAGTACGACTTGGTGCAGCGTGGATCGAGCTGCAAAGCTGAGCTCCCCACCTGTGCGGAGGCTCTTTCACAGTCCTACGTGTGACGTGGCGGTGCGTTCCAGAACAAGCGATTGGCGGCGAGAGGCTGAGGCACATTCACTTCAGGCGGCAGGCACGTTTGGGCCAGCTTGGCGCCTGCCAACCTCTACCACCTTTACATAGTATACCGCAGCTACACTCCCTCCGATCGACACGCTTTCCCCCACCAACACCTCTATGGGAGTCGCGTTATGTGCCATGTCGTTTGCAACGAGAATGCAAGCGTCAAAGTCCAAACCCGCTACCTTGGTGCAAGTTTCCCGCTTGCTAACGTTACCTGACGAGCTCCTGCTTTCCATAGCTCAAAGAGTACACAGGAACGTCGATCTTTGCCAACTCTCACTCTCTTGCCGCAAGTTGAACACTGTGTCACAGGAGACGCTTGTGAAGGAGGTTTTGTTGCCCTCAAACCGCATGCTCCAGCTGATACGGACCCTGTGCAACCGTCCTGATCTCTGCGAGAAAATCAGCAGCGTCGACCTCGACGACTACACCAAGACAGGACCCCCACAACTACTTCCTTGGATTGCCGAGTGGCGTTGTCTCAAGAGGTGTCGCAAAATTGTCGCCGCGGAAGTTTTCGACGAAATCGTTAGCGACGAGCATGCAGACGACGTTCAACTACTATGGTCCAAGAACCACCGCTTCCTCCTCGACGTACTCATTGCGTCTTGTCCCAACATAAAGAAGCTGAGCCTGAGGTTGCCTGGAAGCGAACAAGACCCGCTATTTATCATCTCCGGTGAGTTTTGACCACGTGAGGAGTTTGGGTCAGCTTATGCTTTGCTGCCTGTCTCAATGTCACCGCCATCTATACTACGGCGTTGCGAAACCATCAATTTTGCTTGCTGACCTTTTGAAGGCAGCGAAGACATAACCTTATTGGACCTGTTCTCGGGTGTGTCTCGAAGATTGCTCGGTGAACAACTCCAGAGCCTCACGATCCGAGAGACGGACAGTCACACGACGCTGTTCAGGACACCGAACGTGACCCTAGCATTCTTCTCTAACCTGACGCATCTCAGCATACCTACAGATGTTTTGATTTTTATGGATCGAAAACCGACTGCTGTGAGCCAAGCGCTACCATCAAGCCTTCGCCATCTGCATATCAAGCCTTGCAGTCTCTATGTTTCCCTCTGGTTCCCGAGCTTTGCCGCAGCATGTGTTAAAGGTGTGCTCCCTAGATTGTGTCACGTTGACTTCCACTTCCGAACCAGCCTGAAAGACAGCTTGATTTGGATTGATCAGGGCCGCGGTCTTCTAAGTTCAATGAGGGACCTCATCGATCTCTTAAAACGCAAGCATGGAATCTCTCTGCGGGGCTATAATGAATCTGGCATTTGTACAGGCGATCTTCTCGAGGAACTCGACGCCTGGTCACACCTCTCCACTACCGAGCTGTGGTATCCAGCGGCAAAAGACGCGGAGTTCTCTTCAATTGTTGCAAGGTCGAAGGAGGGCGCTCCTCGACGCAGGACTGAGGAGGAGATTCGTACATATATCAAGCGCGATCGACTTTCTCAGAAGTTGGTATTCACACGCAAATACATCTTCAAGCCTGATGTCCAACTTCAAGTCACTGCACCGAGATCATTTTCCACCAATGTGGAGGAGCTACCAAAGATAGTGACGCCGAGGTTTTCGAACGAATTCGCACGTTGGCTAGCTTCCGTTGCAGCTGCCCAGCGAATGTCTGAGCCGACACTTCGCGGTGCGCTAGCACATCTGAGTCTGAGCTCACAATTCGAGGAGGAGAAACTAGGTAAGAAATCCTTATATATGGTTGCGGTTCTATTTAAATTAGGGTTCATCGGACGTGTGCTGATTGAAGTGCAGCCATCACCACAGCGGTCACATTCCAAGCATCCAACCACTGGCCCCTCCCTCGTGTTGCGTTTGATTCAAATCAATGGCTTGGTCTAAAGTTCTTCGAAAACGTACGATCAAAGATGGGTAAAATATCGGTAATACCCAAACGCAAGAGCAATCACAAGAGGGAGCACACGGTGGCGCGACCAAGCAGCAAAGTTCGACGTGTGAAACCGAAACTGTCGGATTAGAGGCGGTGTTTACATTGAAGATGGACGGGAATGATGAGACAAAAGGGAAGTAATGAATCCTTGGTGATAGTCACAAGAGCCAAAAGATGAGGAACAGTGAAAGACTGGGACGCACGGCTGCATGTTATCAGCAGACCCTACGGTGGACCTGGAGGAGAGTGCATTATGGCAGCATAGTCGCATGTGGAACGAAAGTGCAGAATGATATTTCCGTCGAGTGTTCTCGGTGACACTCGTTCATCACGAGACTTTTCTTTTCCGCCCCAGAAGCTCCCGTCATCACGTCCGTAGCAACGATCTAGGCCCTTACTCCGACAGTATGGCTGCATGTCGCAGGATTACAGCAATGACATCAGTGGCGTAGCGGCTGTGCTTACCCCCGCTGCCGCGCACATACCCCAACCACCACACTATGCATACTGACGTGGTGAGATCGCGATCATTTCAGCTCGCAGTCCGAGTCTAGAGCTTCCATGTACATAACATAATCCAAATGGAGGACACGCCTACACGCAAGCTCGCAGAATTGCAAGGGTAGAAGAGGCTTGGAGTTCTAGAACATGGGCGCTGCATCGTCAGAAGCTGAACATCATACCAGTGCGCCCTGTGACTACATGTGTGGGATATATTGGATTTTATATAAACACCAGCGTTTTCCTCCAAACACATTATACCTCGACCTGCATACTGCCCATAAAAAAGGTAACCACGAAATCCAAGACCGTCGTCTGCGACCATGAAGCTGCCGAAGGCAACCGCAAAACTGGATCCACAGTCCATATTGCACATCGACGAAAACTCTCACCTTATCATCACGCTCCACACGACCTCGACAAGAACGAAACCACGCCGTGCCGTTCAACGCGCAGACAATGTGATCATCGAGACCCCGAGATATCACTCACCGGGCCAATCGCCCCCACCCACCGTCTTCTTGTTCCGCCCCGCCCCCGTAATCTTCCATCTGCCCAGCACAGACGCTAGAAGCGAGCGCAACTGGAAGAAGATGCGAAAGGGGGCGACGAAATCGCCGTGGGCAGGGCAACAGCAACCGGTCCCGACGACATGAGAGGACCGGACTGGCGCGGCAAAATGCTTTCAATAGAGGGAGGATGGCAAGAGCGAGCTCGGAATGGATAGTGGTTCAGGGTCAATCAAGTCCTGCCTTCAGGCCCGGGGATGGATTAGCGTCGGCAATGCGGCTCACGTCGCACAACCCTACCTTCGTCGTGGGATTGTGCATCATCTTCTTCGCTCCCTCGCGTCGTCTCACTCGTCGCCCCGTACATGATGGCATTGAAGAAGAGGTCAGCATCTGGTGTGTCATTTGCGCGGAAGGAACCATCACCACCACCACCATTTGTCCTATACTGAGCATTTGGTTCATACTGAGAACGGGGCCACAACGACAATATCCGGAATGCGAAGGCCACTCATGTTCGAAGCACGCAATGGAACGCGCTGCGAGCACGATCGTCGAGCACGCCCCAACATCGACAATCTCGCCACCACGCGTCCAGGAGCGAACATTGCCCTCCTATCATGTGGGATCGAAAGCCTTTCCACCGACAACTTCTCTTGGACCCATAGTGGGGAGACCTTGCCGAGCTTTGAGTTTTATTGGCTATGAGATGTTATCTTCGTTAGGTATATAATACCGGCAGCTTGGGCTTTCGCGTGGCCAAAATCTGCCTGGCGAAGGGCTGAGCTGATATCTAGCCTTCAGATCGAGACTGGGCTTTGCGCTCATTATAGCTTGTAATAAAATACCTCCTGTGATACTAAATACTCATCTGCGAATCGATATGGTGTTACTGAATTCACCTTATGGAAATATGCGAGACCTGTTGGTCCCGCTCAATGTCGCAATGCCTCCAGTTGTCCACTGTCATTGGAAGACATAACGTGTGTACGTGCTCTAACATACGCAAAATCACGATCGTGTGGCTTTTGTTTCCGAAAATTCGGCATCTTCTGTTGCGATGATTCGGCAGTACTAGGTGTAATGGCAGTCATGATAGCGATGAGGTTGTTGTTGTTGTGAGGTCCGTGTTTCAGGGTCTCTCACAAGCTACGAGCCTCGGATATCCTTAGCTCCAAATGACGTCTTGACGGGTGACACAAAGAGCGGAGCTGTCTACAACATCACCTCGCATCTGACTTTCTCATCCAGCCAGGTCATTGAAGTCAATTTCCCGTTCAGTTTTCTCTATCGCAAAACGCCCGCCGGGCTTTTCCTCCGCCATGGCGTTCGCCTACAATTCGCAGCTTGTAAGCTTCACGCCCGTTCCATAGTGCTGCGAATGCTAACAAGCATAGGATGCTTTCACACTGTACCATGTGTCAAATGAAGAGGCGTCGCGTAAAAGAGTGATAGGGCCCGCGCTGCCGGCACTTGGCCATGCTACTTCCGGTGCCTTGGGAACTGCAATTTCCAAGCTCATCACCTATCCTCTTGACCTGGTGATAACGCGTCTGCAAGTGCAGAAGCATTTTCAGACCGACGACCGTCAGGCGGATTACGAAGGCGTCCTCGACGCGGTTGCAAAGATCTACGAAAATGAAGGAGGTATTGGAGCATTCTACACCGGTATCTTGCAGGAGGTCGGTAAAGGCGTGGCGGACAGCTTCTTGTTCTTCCTCGCCTATTCCTATATTGGTGAGAAGAGAAGAGTGGCGCAGGGCTCGCGCAAGCTATCAGCATTGGATGAGATCGGTGTAGGCGTTATTTCAGGCGCCTTTTGCAAATTCTTGACAACGCCCATACAGAATGTCGTCACACGGAAGCAGACCGCTGCAATGGTGCACGCACGAGATCCCACATCGTCATCTTCACCTAACTTGAGCGCCAAGGATATTGCGTTGCAGATCCGAGACGAGAAGGGATTGCAAGGTTTCTGGTCGGGTTATTCTGCGAGTCTGGTGTTGACGTTGAATCCCTCGATCACGTTCCTGCTGCACAAAATGCTGCTACGGCTGCTGGTAACGAGAGACAAGCGATCGGACCCTGGAGCTCGGATCACGTTCCTCATAGCAGCAGTCAGCAAAGCGCTCGCGTCGACTGTTACATACCCGTTCTCGCTCGCAAAGACGCGCGCTCAAGTGTCTTCGCAAAAGCCATCCCAAACTGCAGGTCCTACGTCTGAAACAGAGAAGCTCGGAGATTTCAGCCAATCCCGAGCAGTACGAGCACGCCAACGAACGGTCTTCAGCACTATTCTTCGCATAGCTAAGACGGAAGGTCTATGGGCGCTCTACCAGGGTCTGGGTGCAGAAGTCATGAAGGGGTTCTTCTCACATGGGATCACGATGCTCATGAAAGATCAGATCCATACCGCCATCATCAACATGTACTACCTCGTTCTGAAATCGCTCAAGAAGTATCCCAGCCCGGAAGATTTGGCAAAGATGGCCTCCGAGCAGGCACATGATGCATATGAGCAAGGCAAAGAGCAAGTTGGCGATGCGTATGCGAAGGGCGTCGAGGTCGCCGGTTCTGCAGCAGCAAAGTTGCAAGAAGTTGCAGCGAGCGGGTCGCACCAGGCCGAGGGGTTGATTGAGAAGGGGAGAGAGGCAGCGAGCGAAGCTGCGAAACAGGTGCAAGAGAAGCTTGGGGGTGAAAAGTGATGGACGGATCAAGTTTTTGTATGTTTCAAGTGTGTATATACTAGGTTGTGCAGTAGTTGGTTTCCGCATGTATAAATTGCGTACACACTTCACATGTAGATTTCGAGCGGTTGGGTACCGCATGAATATCATAGCGGCTGAAAGATGTATAAACGTGAGTCGCTCGTAGTTTATTATTCGGGATGACACAGTACATTGTAGGGTAACTCGTATTAGCATACGCGTTTAATTCGGTATTACAACAGGACCTTCAAGTGCTAATCTTTCTGTTCGGTCTCTGTGTATCATGTGTTCCGTTTTCGGCGAATTGGAAGACGGCGGGCCTTGTGTGGCTAAGCGGATGTGGTGTTTCAGGTTGATCCGGATGAGGCGCGAAGCTCGAAATGGGACGGAGAATTTACGTTGGGCGCTGGCATCGTCTTTTGTAGTGTTGTGCAGCTGTCGCCATGCTAAGCGGTAAGGCGGCGAGGTATTGGGGTGCAGACAAGCGTAATGCTGCATGTGTCACTAGTGCAACGGTAAAGCAGAAGGCTGGCGCATAGATCAACAAACCGACCCCTCGACAACAGCACCACCACAACACATCCACTCACTCACCCGCCCCGGCTACTAACCACTAACCCGCACAGGAACAGGATCAGATCTACACTGCGACGCCTTGTGCGACGCAAAAATATTTGGCTGAATCGCGAGACGGCGCATGACTGTTGTCCAGCACCGCATGCTCCCGACGTGAAACATCGCTCGAGGCCGCACAAGGGAGGAACGACCGCCTCTCACTTGCTGCTACCACTACCGCTACCTCTGCCGCGCAGTGCACCCGCGCCTCTGCTCACCGAATTTATTCTTCCCGGGCGTCCGGGCGCCCCCCGCATAGCGACAGCGACACCAGCGCTTGCTCCCAAGCCGCCGCAAATAACGCTGACGTCGCAGCCGCACCATGGCCGACGGCGCCTCTTCGCCCGCGCGAGGCGAGTGGAGCAGCACCGACGAAGAGCTCGCGTACTACAAGACCCAGTACGAGACGTTGGAGGTCGAGCTGCAAGAGTTCCAGGCCTCTAGCAAGGAACTGGAGGCGGAGCTTGAGAAGGACATCGAGGAGAGCGAGAAGCGAGAGCGCAGGCTAAAGGAAAAGGTTGAGGCTCTCGGCTTCGAAGTGGAAGAGTGGAAGGTACGCTGCCACCTGCCTAGCCTGCGAGCTGCGTTGCACTTCATACTCACATCCGCATACAGACTAAATACAAACAAAGCAAGATCGAAGCCAGCAATGCACAGAACAAGCTCCAGAAGGAGATCACCGCTCTCCGCGAGTCGCAGCGGTCGCTCCAGATGCAGCTTCGCGATACTGAAGTTCAGAACGACGACCTCGAGCGCCAGGGTCGTAATCAAACATCGTCGCTCGAAGACTTGGAGTCCAAATACAACGTCACCCTAGAGCGAACCGTCATGCTGGACGAGGAGATCAAGATTGGAGAGCAGGAACGTGAGGGGTTGAGAATCGAGACCCAGAGGCTCCGTGACGAGTTGTCCGACCTGCGCATCGAGGCCGAGATAGTGCAAGAGAAGTTGCGCATCGCAGAGGAGACCATCGAGAACCACCATCAACGCAAAACATCGAATCTGCTAGCTGGTGATTCCTTGCGTCCCCGCTCACCCGTCTCGGAGACATCCACGTCCGCCACCACACTATCTTCGCCAACGACGGCTTCCACTCCACCTCGCTCAAAAGCCGATTCTATACTGCCCGACGCCACACCGCCTTCTCCACCTCTATCGGAAGCCTCAATCGCCGCTAAGCCAGTACCCTCCACCCCCATGCCAATGCGGAAGAGCTCCATAGCGCTGGATCCTTCCGCCACGCCCCGGCCTGGCATGTACTCTTCACGCCCGACGCGGCACTCTCGTGGCCCAAGTATTCCAACTTCGATGAAGCCTACAGCCACACCCAGCGGCCGGGCTACGCCTTCCATTCGGACAACCGCCCCGGCGCAAAGGAGTACCCGGCCAAGCGTGGGAGGAAAGCCAGCGGGTGGTCTGCCGAGGTCTGGTTCCCTGTACCAAATTCGAAATCTGATTGGCAACATGCAGAAGCTTGAGGAGCGTGTACACAACGTGAGGTCGCGGCTGCCGGCTCCAACGCATACCCCGCCACGAGCCAGTCCACGAAACGCAAGCGCCATGGGACATCACATACCGAGCACAGTGACGGTAAGGAGAAGCAGTAAGCGAACATCACAAGCTTCTATAAACGCCGCTGGCGATTCTGGAGTGAGTCGTCTGTCCTTCGGAGTGTCGCGCGAGCCTAGCAGCAGCCGCCCAAGCAGTCGGGCTTCCGTAGCGTCCCAGAGACCAGGGAGCAGGAGCAGCACGCGGACGCCACTGGGTCACTACGCCTCTTCGTCTATCAGTGGGGTAGAGGGGCGGATTCCGCGCCCCCGGAGCTCGATGAGCGGACAGTCTAGTGCCCACAGCCATTCTCATTCCTTGTCTTTGTCGGGCGCCATACAGGACGACCCAGATGGCCTCAGCGATGGCAGCAGTTCAGCCACTCCTATAGGGCGCCGCATGTCGATTGACAGGTCGGGCATCCCCACCCCGAGCGGCATCCCTCGAAGACAGAGTGCAGGCAGGAGGACAAGCTCAGAAATGGGTATGCATGGTATGGGTCCTCCTGCGAGACCGCGCAAAATGAGCCAAGTAGAGGAGTCTTTCTAGGAGTAAACACACACGTGTGTAAACTGGGCAGGTTCCTGCGATGACGCGTTCTCTTCTCAGTACATGATTCGGCGGGCGTGTTACGATCTCTTGCATTGGCTTGGAGTTGGGGCATCTGCATGAAGGCGACTGGTGCTCAACGATTGCATTTGGAGCACACTGCACATATGGGATGCGAAGTCTATTCCTTAAGTCGCGATAGAAACGCTGCTTGGAATTGGCATTGTTACGCATCTCATTCACATAGTATAACATTTCATTTGTTTCGGCTGAGAGGATACCCGATAGTGACAGGTAGAAATACCAATCTCATCTCAAATATGACCAGAGATTAATCGTGGGTCCCACCATATATTAGTGCGCGTGGGCATTCGCTCTCCACGGGCATTACTAAGTTGCATGGTGGAAGCAGGGCACATGCAACCATGCCGAACCGTCTGCAGGGGGTTTTGCACATGTCAGCTCACGATGTGCACGCGAATCTGCGCAGAAGTTTACGAAATCAGCTTTTTCGGAGGTACAAGCCCATTTCATGCCATTTCGGGTTTCTGACAGGTTCAGCACGGATGGGGAAATTTGTATGGCAGGCAGCACGGGCCTTGGTGTTGAAGCTGTCAGCTGCAAACATCAGACCACTTTTGCCGCTATGTATGGATCGGACCGCGACTGTCGACACCAGACCCTGGGGATCGGATGCTGAGCTTAATCTTCGCGTCGGAGCTCCTACCGATTGAGATGGAAGCGCGAAGCTTATCTAATGCAATGGGTTCAGTTCAGTACCATGCTCATGCTCGTAGGCAGACTCAGCGGAGCATGCGGTAGAGGTGGGTGGACGAAGCAGCGCGACCGCGCTTCGGCTGACTGAGGGTCGCCGAGCGGCTCCTGGCTGGAACCGTCTTTTCTGACAGCCCTTGGATCGAGAGTAGCCATGCAGATGACGGGCACACAAAGGCGACTGGATAGAGCGGTAGTCGCAAAGGTACCGGACGGACTCCGAAGGACTGTGAGTGGAGAGCCGACTCGCTCGTCCCTTGAATACTCGTGCGGAGCGCTGGTTAGATGTTGACGTGCGCACGAATGATCGGAGCTGTAGAGGGGCGCCGGCAGCGTGAGACAGTCGGCGGTGCAGTAGCTGTGTTGGTGGAGTGTTGGACAAGTCAGGGTCGGAGGCACAGGCGCGGCGGCAGGGAGATGACGGGCAGATAGCAGGTGCGAGGACGATCTAGCGGGTCTTTCTCGTGGTGGAGGTTGTCTACGGCCTGGACAGCCCGTGGTGCGCTCAACCAGCGAGGGCGCGACTGACGTTGGCCGATAATGTCTCCGACTACTGCATATCTCGCTCAACAAGGCACAGGATCGCAGGCATCGCATTCCACCGCCTCGAGGGCAGGCCGCGCCCAACGCTGCGCTGCTCGCGAGCGCCCCCACCAGGGCTTCTCGCGGCTTCCACGGGCGCAGAATGTGTTGCAATGAGGGCGCCGATGCGGCCCTCGGGCTCCGGCGCGGCTGTCGAGGTCGGTCGCGCTGGGCTGCACAGGGCACTCGGCGAGTCCAGGGGCAGTGTTTGGTAGCTTTTGGGTTGGGGGGCGGCTTGCATTAGCCTCCTTGGGGGTAGTTGACGACGATGCGCGTGGCCTGCGCTCAACAAGAGCTTCGGGTCGAGCTTTGGGGGTCCCGTAGAGAGAATTTTAATAAATATCTAGAGAGCATCCGCCCGCCCTCGCTCCCTTCTCTGCTCTGCTCTGCCTCCGTCTCTGATACCCGCGATACCCTGCATCCGCTCATTGTTCCTTCCTTTCTTGCATTGCAGCGAGCGAGGCAGCTCCTCCGCAGCTCTGCCCTACACGCACTACGCACCCGGCGTCTCTATAGCTTTGCCCGCTGACCGCCGAGCGGCCTGCTGCTGTGCCCTTACACTTACTCTACTAATACACGAGGCACCGGCATCTCCCACCGGCGCCTTCTGCATCATCGCGAGGCGTGCAATTGGCTGCTCCCCATCAAAACCCGCCGAAGAGAGGCTCCGGTAACCACGCGTGGGGATCGCCGACGCTCTTATAAATTTGTCCCGGCCCACCTCCGACCGCCCTCACCGCAGTCCCTGCACGGGCACATTCCCCTCCCCTCACCACCATGGCCGGAGCTCAGCACAATGGCACCAATGGCTCTGCCAACGGTAGCCCGAGCTCTTCGGCCGCAAAATACAACCTTGCGCCGCACTTCATCGGCGGAAACCATCTTGGCGCTGCAGCGCCCGGCAAGGTCAAGGACTTTGTCGCCGCACAGGACGGCCACACCGTCATCACAAATGTGCTCATCGCCAACAACGGTATTGCCGCAGTCAAGGAGATCCGCTCCGTGCGGAAGTGGGCGTACGAGACCTTTGGCGATGAGCGCGCCATCCAGTTCACCGTCATGGCGACGCCCGAGGATCTGGGGGCGAACGCAGAGTACATCCGCATGGCCGACCAGTACGTCGAGGTGAGTGCCCAGCAATGCAAACTGTGATTCGCGAGCGAAAGAGCCATGGCTGACAGACGCAGGTGCCTGGAGGCACAAACAACAACAACTACGCCAACGTCGAGCTGATCGTCGACATTGCCGAGCGTATGAACGTCCACGCCGTGTGGGCAGGATGGTGCGTACTCAGTTCCCTTGCAATTGGTTTGAGATGGTTGCTAACCCTGAGTCTAGGGGCCACGCATCCGAGAATCCCAAGCTTCCCGAGTCCCTCGCCGCCTCGCCGAAGAAGATCGTCTTCATTGGCCCCCCAGGGTCCGCCATGCGGTCGCTCGGAGACAAAATCTCGTCAACCATCGTTGCACAGCACGCCAAGGTGCCTTGCATCCCATGGTCGGGAGAGGGTGTGGACACAGTCGTGGTCGACGAACATGGCATCGTCACTGTCGAGGATCACATCTACGACAAGGGCTGCACAAAGTCACCTGAAGAGGGTCTGGAGGCAGCCAAGAAGATTGGCTTTCCTGTCATGGTCAAGGCCTCGGAAGGTGGTGGTGGCAAGGGTATCCGAAAGGTCGAGCGTGAGGAAGATTTCATCCCGCTGTACAAGGCCGCCGCGTCAGAAATCCCTGGCTCGCCCATCTTCATCATGAAGCTCGCAGGCACCGCACGGCATTTGGAAGTCCAGCTGCTCGCTGATCAGTACGGCAACAACATCTCGTTGTTCGGTCGTGACTGCTCCGTTCAGCGACGACACCAGAAAATCATTGAGGAGGCGCCTGTGACGGTCGCGACCCCAAAGACCTTCCACGAGATGGAGAAGGCGGCTGTGGCTCTCGGAAAGCTTGTCGGATACGTCTCTGCCGGTACTGTCGAATATCTGTATTCGCATGCTGACGACAAGTTCTACTTCCTTGAGTTGAACCCCCGTCTCCAGGTCGAGCATCCCACGACTGAAATGGTCACTGGCGTGAACCTCCCAGCTGCTCAGCTTCAGATTGCGATGGGTCTTCCCCTGCACCGCATCCGCGACATCAGACTGCTTTATGGCGCTGATCCCCACACTAGCACCCCGTTGGACTTTGATTTTGACAAAGAGGGTAGCGTGCAGAAGCAGCGACGACCCACTCCAAAGGGCCACTGCACTGCTTGCCGCATCACGTCAGAAGATCCCGATGAGGGCTTCAAGCCTTCCGGTGGTACGATGCACGATCTCAACTTCAGGAGTAGCTCCAACGTTTGGGGTTACTTCTCCGTCAGCTCCGCTGGTGGTATCCACAGCTTCTCCGATTCTCAGTTCGGCCACATCTTTGCCTACGGTGAGAACCGACAAGCATCACGGAAACACATGGTTGTTGCACTTAAGGAATTGAGCATTCGTGGTGACTTCAAGACCACCGTTGAGTACCTCATCAAGCTTCTCGAGACCCCTGCTTTCGAGGACAACACTATCACAACCGGCTGGTTGGACGAGCTGATTTCCAAGAAGCTTACTGCTGAGCGTCCTGACCCGTTGATCGCCGTCATCTGCGGAGCCGTCACGAAGGCGCATGTTGCGAGCGAAGCTTGCATTACCGAGTACAAGACAAGTCTGGAGAAGGGCCAGGTTCCTTCCAAGGACGTTCTTAAGACTGTGTTCCCCATAGATTTCATTTATGAGGGTTACCGCTACAAGTTCACCGCTACCCGATCCAGCATCGACAGCTTCACTCTCTTCATCAATGGCTCAAAGTGCTCCGTTGGCGTGAGAGCGCTCGCTGATGGCGGTCTTCTTGTGCTTCTTAGCGGAAAATCACACAGCGTCTACTGGAAGGAGGAGGTCGGCGCCACTCGTGTCTCCGTCGACGGAAAGACCGCGCTTCTCGAGCAGGAGAACGACCCTACTCAGCTCCGCACGCCGTCTCCCGGTAAGCTGGTCAAGTTCACTGTCGAGAACGGCGACCACATCAGGAAGGGACAGTCTTTTGCCGAAGTCGAAGTCATGAAGATGTACATGCCGCTTATCGCCCAGGAGGACGGTATTGTCAGTTTCATCAAGCAGCCTGGAGCTAGCCTCGAAGCCGGAGATATTCTTGGTATACTCGCACTGGACGATCCTTCCAAGGTGAAGTCCGCTCAGCCATTTGTGGGTCTGCTGCCCGATCTTGGCCCACCACAGGTTATGGGTAACAAGCCGCCTCAGAGGTTCACCTACCTCTTTGGGATCGTCACGCACATTCTGCAGGGCTTTGACAACCAGGTCATCATGCAGAGCACGCTGAAAGAGCTTGTCGAGGTTCTCCGTGACCCAGAGCTGCCATATGGCGAGTGGAACGCACAGGCCTCCGCTCTCCACTCCCGCATGCCTCAGAAGCTTGACACCATCTTGTCAGAAGTCGTCGAGCGTGCCCACAAGCGAAGCCTAGAATTCCCTGCCAAGCAACTCTCCAAGGCTTTCCAACGGTTCCTCGATGACAACGTCCCCAAGGCCGATGCAGACCTGTTGATGGCTGGTCTGTCACCATTGACAGAGATCATCGACCGCTACGCCGATGGGCTCAAGGCGCATGAGTACACTGTCATGATCCGGCTTCTCGAGCAATACTGGACGGTAGAGAATTTGTTCTCCAACCGCGCTGGCCGGGATGAGGAGGTTGTCCTCAAGCTGCGTGACGAGAACCGCGGCAACATCATTCCCGTTGTCCACACAGTGCTGTCCCACACCCGAGTAAATGCCAAGAACAATCTTCTCATTGCGATCCTGGACCTTTACCGGCCGAACAAGCCCGGAGCTGGCAATGTTGCGAAGTACTTCAAGGATGCCCTCAAGAAGCTTACTGAGCTCGAATCCCGACAAACTGCCAAGGTTTCTCTGAAGGCTCGTGAGGTGCTTATTCAGTGTGCCATGCCTTCTCTCGAAGAGCGAACTTCACAGATGGAGCACATTCTCCGGTCCGCTGTTGTCGAGTCTCGATACGGCGAGAGCGGATGGGACCACCGTGAGCCTCACTTTGAGGTCATCAAGGAAGTCGTTGATTCGAGATACACTGTCTTCGACGTGCTACCTCAGTTCTTCGTCCACCAGGATCCCTGGGTAGCCCTCGCTGCTTTGGAAGTGTACACTCGCCGCGCCTACCGCGCCTACCAGCTCAAGGACATACACTACCACACAGACAACGAACAGCCGTATCTCCTTTCTTGGGATTTCATCTTGCGCAAGGTTGGTGAGCAAGAGTACGGCCTCCCCGTTGAGGCTTCACAGCCCGGCACGCCAAGCACACCTGCATTTGAGCGGCCCCCTCGCATCCACTCGATCAGTGACATGTCTTACCTGAACTCAAAGGTAGAGGGTGAGCCCAGTCGCAAGGGTGTGGTAGTCCCTGTAGAATACTTGGATGATGTTGATGAGTCTATTGGCAAGGCTCTCGAGATCTTCCCTGCCCTTGGCGCGAAGAAGAGCGCTGTCAACCTCAAGGAGAGCATGACCTTGAAGCGTACTCCTACTTCCGGCGCGAACGTGAACCAGACTCCTGATGAGCTTACCGGAGTCCTGAACGTTGCCGTTCGCGATGTCGAGAGCTTCGACGACAAGGAGATCCTGGAGCGTATCTTGCCGATCGTGAAGGATTACAGAGACGAGCTCTTGACCCGTCGTATCCGCCGTCTCACATTTGTTTGCGGTCATAAGGATGGAACATACCCTGGATACTTCACTTTCCGTGGCCCTCACTACAACGAGGATGACAGCATTCGTCACGTTGAACCTGCTCTCGCCTTCCAGCTTGAGCTTGGCCGTCTTTCCAAGTTCAACATCAAACCGGTCTTCACCGAAAACCGCAACATCCACATCTACGAAGCTGTAGGCAAGGGAGCTGAGAGCGACAAGCGCTACTTCTTGAGAGCAGTGGTTCGTTCTGGCCGTCTTCGGGAGGACATTCCTACGGCCGAGTACATGATCTCGGAGACTGATAGGCTCATGACCGATATCCTGGACGCTCTCGAAATCGTCGGAACTTCTCAAGCTGACATGAACCACATTTTTATCAACTTCTCTCATGTCTTCCCGCTTGCTTTGAGCGAGATTGAAGAAGCCATCGGTGGCTTCTTGGATCGTTTCGGTCGTCGTCTTTGGCGCCTGCGCGTTACAGGTGCGGAAATCCGCATCATTGTGACCGATCCCTCAACTGGTGCTCCTTACCCTCTCCGCGTTGTCATCACCAACACATCCGGCTATGTTATCAATGTGGAGATGTACGCCGAGCGCAAGTCCGAGAAGGCTGGCAAGTGGGTTTTCCACAGTGTCGGTGGGACGACCAAGATTGGTGCTCTCCACCTACAGCCCGTCAACACTCCCTACCCCACCAAGGGAGCCCTGCAACCGAAGCGTTACAAGGCCCATCTCATGGGTACTCAGTATGTTTACGACTTCCCTGAGCTATTCCGTCAGGCCACAGAGAACTGCTGGAACCTTGCTGTTGGCAAGCATGCTCATCTGAGCGAGAAGCAGCCCCAAAAGGGTGAGTGCATCGAATATTACGAGTTGGTACTCGATGACAACGACAACCTGGCTGAGGTGAACCGTGAACCTGGCACCAATACCATTGGTATGGTTGGATGGATCGTTACGGCCAAGACACCAGAGTACTCGCGTGGTCGTCGTTACATCATCATCGCCAACGACATCACTTTCAAGATTGGTTCATTTGGGCCGCAAGAAGATAAATTCTTCCACAAGTGCTCCGAACTCGCTCGCAAGCTTGGCATTCCCCGCATCTACCTATCTGCCAATTCTGGTGCTCGCATTGGTCTCGCTGAGGAGCTCATTCCTCACTTCTCCGTCGCATGGAAGGATGCCAGCAAGCCAGAATCAGGATTCGATTACCTATACCTGACACCCCAGAAGTACAAGGCTTTCATTGACGGTCAGCGTGAGGATGTCATCTGCGAGAAGGTCACAGTCGAAGATGAAGAGCGATTCAAGATCACCACGATCATTGGTCGTGAAGATGGTCTCGGTGTTGAGTCTCTTCGTGGATCGGGTTTGATTGCCGGTGAAACCTCCAGGGCTTACGAAGACATCTTCACCATAACTTTGGTCACTTGCCGTTCGGTTGGTACGTACTCCTATATCTGACTTCCAATGATAGCAATCGCTAACAGTACATAGGTATTGGTGCCTATCTTGTCCGCCTCGGCCAGCGTGCTATCCAGATCGAGGGTCAGCCTATCATTCTCACCGGTGCCCAAGCTATCAACAAGCTTCTTGGTCGCGAAGTGTACACGTCCAACCTCCAGCTTGGAGGTACTCAAATCATGTACAGGAACGGTGTTTCTCATATGACCGCTGAGGATGACTTCGAGGGCGTCTCTAAGATTGTCAAGTGGATGGCTTACGTTCCCGACAAGAAGGGCAACCCAGTTCCCGTTTCCCCTACTGCAGACGAGTGGGACCGTGACGTCGTCTATTATCCCCCTGGCAAGTCTGCCTACGATGTAAGGCATCTGATCGCAGGCAAAGAGGATGAGGATGGCTTCCAGGCTGGACTGTTCGACCGTGGGTCCTTCGAGGAGACTCTCGGCGGTTGGGCCAAGACCGTCGTTGTCGGTCGCGCTCGACTCGGCGGAATCCCGATTGGTGTTATCGGCGTAGAAACCCGCTCCGTTGAGAACGTTACACCGGCTGATCCCGCCAACCCCGACTCTATCGAGCAAATCACGTCGGAAGCCGGTGGTGTCTGGTACCCTAACTCCGCTTTCAAGACCGCTCAGGCTATCAAGGACTTCAACAATGGTGAGCAATTGCCTCTGATGATCCTTGCCAACTGGCGTGGTTTCTCGGGCGGTCAACGCGACATGTACAACGAGGTCCTCAAGTACGGTTCGTACATTGTCGATGCCCTCGTCAAGTACGAGCAGCCCGTCTTCGTCTACATTCCTCCCTTTGGCGAGCTCCGCGGTGGATCTTGGGTCGTCGTAGACCCCACCATCAATCCTCAATACATGGAAATGTACGCCGATGAGGATTCCCGGGGTGGTGTGTTGGAGCCGGAAGGAATTGTCGGCATCAAGTACCGCAAGGAGAAGCAACTCGAGACAATGGCCCGCAACGATCCCACCTATGGCGCTCTGAAACGCAAGCTGAACGACCCTGCAACGCCCCACGATCAACTCCAGAGCATCAAGGCCGAGATGACGGAGCGCGAACAGCTGCTTCTGCCCGTATACAGCCAGATTGCTCTACAGTTTGCCGATCTACACGACCGCGCAGGTCGTATGGAGGCCAAGGGTGTTATTCGCTCGTCCCTCAAATGGCAGAATGCGCGTCGGTTCTTCTACTGGCGTCTTCGTCGCCGTCTCAACGAGGAGTACATCCTCAGGAAGCTCGCCACGGCGGCAGCACCGTCCTCTGCCGAACACCCGTCGGCTAAGCTGGACCCTACTACCCGCTCGAAGGGTCTTGAGATGTTGAAAGCTTGGTCTGCGGTTCCCAAGTTCGACCAGGACGATATGAGTGTTGCGGTGTGGTACGAGGAGAACAGGAAGACTGTACACGATCGCGTAGAGCTCCTTAAGACGGATGGCATTGCGCTTGAGGTTGCACAGCTCATGCGGAAAGACCGCGAGGGCGGTCTCAAGGGTGTCATGGCGTTATTGAGCACCCTGCCAACGGGCGAGAAGGAGGAGGTACTCAAGATGTTGTCGAAGGCGTAAGCGTACCACGCTCTTGGTTGGCTTTGGAATGTACGACTAGGTGGTGCTTTCTCTTTTCTTATCCACGGATTATCAGGAGGCAGGTGTACAGGATGCTCCATTTTTTCGTGTTTGTAGTGGGTGCTTTGGGCGGAGTTGTTGCGCAGCGACTTTGTTTGCTTTTGTGACGCCGCGATGTCTTTCATTGTGGGATGAGTCAAAAAAGAAAACTGGATTAGACACATACATCTATCCGAGACTAGCTACTTCAACCATTGAATCTAATCCATCGTGGGCATAGTGATGATGCATTTGTGAATGTATGAAAAAGGGCCAAGAGGTGGGTTGATACATAAATGTCGACCTGCTTCCCCGGCACGCAGTGAGTCTCTGCCATACCCATAGGCAATGAGGCGGTGGGATGTCCTGGTCTTACTTGATACCATTATGCTAGAAGAGGGGCTGATGGTTGTTTTTTACGGGATCCGCTGCGGGGCCGCCGTAGGGCCGTGAAAGTTACGTCACCATGGGGAGCAAAACGAAACACCCCTCATCAGTTGTAATCAGAAGACACTACATATAGTCAACTTGGGAGCCTCTCCAAGAAGCCTCCTTTCGACTGCATAGCGTCTCAATTGTCAATTCCTCATTCGCCTTCATCCGACACACCGATAACAAAGACAGCCAGTATGGTCTACACTATCGTGGTTCACCTCTACGCAAAAGAGGACGAAGAGAGTATCGAGAAGCTCAAAGCGAAGCTAGTCGAAGCGAGCCAAGTATACAGCAAGGATAAAGAGACATTGTCGTGGTTTGTCATGCAGGATGTAGCGGATAAGAGAAAATTCACGATTGTGGAGCGGTACCTGAAGGAATCGGTACGTTTCCCTCGGCCATTGCCCCGATTCCCTGCCTGCTGTTTATCTGTCCTGCTTCATTAGTCTCGGGAAAAAAGGATGTGGGACCGGGCCGAGGCGAGACTTTCGAGATGAGGTCGAGGATGGTCCCGTGGATAGAACATGGTACTGACTCGTCGTGACAGAGCCAGAAATATCACCTCGAAAACCCCTACTGGAAGACTTTCGACCCCTACGTCAACCCTTTGCTGGACAAGCCCATGGACCTGAGGCGCCTCGAGGAGTTGGACACTAGTGGGAGTGCGGCGTCCGCGCACTATCATGACGATGCAAAGGGTGATACTACCGTGGCGAGCATGTACAATGACACCGTTTGAAGAGGGGGGAGATGAGGCCTATGTGGTGAACCATTGTAATTGGGCCGCAATCACCGTTCTCGTACGTCTCTTCCATTGGAGCGGTTGTGATGGCCAACCCAGGTTTATGCTGAGGACAAGCTTTTCGTAGTATCGCTCGTATTTTCGTGTTGGGTTTTTCATGATGATTTGGAATTATGTGCAAGGTAGTCGGGGGAGTAAACTGAGTTAATCAAGTTCCTGCATAATCACCCCACCTAGCACGCGCTTGATTCGCTTCAGATATAGTGCAGGCTCAACCACGCAACTTCTACGTCGGGAGGTCTCTCTGCGATCGTTCACGAGGTACTGAAACTTAAACCCTGTGGCCTTGCAGTGGTCATTGAGTTCAATCGTGTCGACTGCTCTGTTCCATGTGTGCGGCTCGGCAACGCGAATAACAGATGCACGGGCTTCTAGGAGACGGGATATGTCACGACTGTAACCCAAAACGTTCTACGAGAAGAGATCGGAAGTATGAACGAGCACTAAGGTTCAACACTGTGGACGGCGACTTTGAATGCAAGTGTAGCTGCGACTCTGGATTGGGATAGTTGGTTCTAGCCGATGCTGCCCATACACATGTCTATCTCGCCACGAGGGACTTAGGCTGTGAATTCCACGCCCTGGTAAGCCGCAGAGCCCGCGATCTTGAAGTCAACACAAGACTCGTACGTCTGCTTTGCAGCAGTGCCCAGCCACCACCACTGCAGCACCTATGTTGGGATTAACAAAAGATTCTTCTCTGGAGATCGATCATCGACTTACACAATCACCAGCGTTTGCACAGGTGGTTTCCAGCCCACTGGGAACTGTAACACTGAACTCCCTTTGCGAGAGGGGAACGTCGTTTGTGCTTTTGCCGGGTGCATAGCCTGCGGTCCAGAGCTTCAAGAAATCTCCAACCTTTTTGTTCTGCTTCGTGCTCACGATGCTCACGTTGGCAATTCCCTCATGCGGGATGCGCAGCCAGATCTTGATGGGCACGACATCCCCAGCCTTCCACGTCTGCACGTTGGCACTGTTGTCGGAAAACTGGAGACCCTTGCACAGGTAGAGGTCGCAGGCGGCGGGGTTGAATTTGCTGTCGGCGCTGGCTAGCTTGGTGAGTTGCTCGACATAGGACGTGTTGTCGGACTTAATCGCGGAAGTGATGGCTTGACCGCAGGCGGTGGAGATAGCGGGGCCAATGGCACGGGAGGGAGGAGTGGTGATGATGCCGTGTGAGAGAACGACGGGGGCCAGAAGGAGACCGGTAGCTATAGCGGAAAACATTGTGTAGGTTGCAAGTACGATTGAAGGATAAATCTGGAGGAACCAGATGGTGAATGGGTAGAGATGGCATTTATATTCAGTATCATGATACTCAAGCCCTGATGGTCAAAGGTCAGGGCTCTTGCTTGTAAATCCACTTAATCTGTGTTCACTCAAAGGCAGCTTAATTTCGAGTGATAGTCCAGTCGACTTCATAAAGTGGTTGCCCCTCTATCGCATTTAGGCGAAGTGGTCCGGCGCTGACTCGTGAGGTCGAGTTGCGGTAGTGCAATGTATACAACGGCAAAACTTTACTGTTGCTCTGCGAGGCGGGAATGCAGGGGCACCGACAACCAGATTTCGGAGCATACTTAAGCAGGGGTCAGCACTCTGCATCGATTATTTGCCATGCCTGCCTGGTGTGGGACGTGAGGGCTCAGCTGGAAGGAGTTGGAGGCTAGAACACTGCGATTTGACGTGGTATGCACTCAACGTGGGCGGGCTCGCAGGCAGACGTTGCAGTTGCACCCCGTTGAAACAGACCTTGGATTTTGCTAACAAATAGATGTCGTTCTGATGACGGTTGAGCATGTGGGATGCTCCGGCACGGCACGGACTGCGGGCCTGCTCGGACTAGCGTGTCGCGTATCAACAACGACGCTGCCGGCAACCGTGAGGCTATTCACGACATAAATATTCAGGAAGGCCCGTCGCGCTCGCAGGATTTCTTACTCCGCCTTCATGGGCTTCCGTTCTTCTTTCAAACGACCTTACGATGGCGCCGCTTCCGAGCCTAACAAGCAACAGAAGCAAGAAGGCGCCATCTACGCCGAAGAAGCTCACACATGCAAAGTGCTTTACGAGATTTGCTAATTGTTGGCCCAGCTGATTTCCCCACCCTCTTTTCCTTCCAAGCGCTCCACGATGGACATATCAATAGTTTGCACCATCGATAAGATCCAGGATTGTTTGACGGTGGCAAGGAGAGCAATGCTTGGCACGAGTGTACTGAGCTCGAAAGTAGAGATTCACCACATGATGAGGTATCAAAGCGAGGTTGCATTATGGTAGGCATTGTTCCTCTCTGACCCTCCGACACCGAGTGGTTCGTATACCATTTTGTACCCCGGTCCCGCATGCCCTCGATCTCAACCATGGTGCAACTTTGCCCTTCTCGCCGCCGCATTTGTGATGACAATTCCCAATATCATTCCGCAGAGGAACAGTACCATGAATACCGACGCGACCATCGCACAGCAATGTCGTTTAGCCTCCCTTCGCTCTCGCCTCTCAGTTTGCCTGTCGCATTCTTCGCAGTGGACGTGCGGCTTGGGGCGGAACACGCCAGCGATGGTCTGCGCGAGGGTTTCCTGGGGTCGCTGCTGCGTGCTTGGTGCCAGGCCATGGTGGTCATGGGTGGGGGCGTCGTGCTCGACATCGGTCTGGGGCACAGCGGCATACTGCAATCAGTTAGGAACATGTCTTTAGCATCGCCCTCCGTTTCCGCAGTATGGACTTGGTCCACGTAGCGATTTTCGGTCTATGCCGCTACCACCAATCTAGGTATCGGTGTTGCCCATGGTTTGAAGCATGATCAATACGCACCCAAGGCGCGGCACGCTTGTCAAAACGCAACGTGAGAGATTTGAATGCTTACGCCCGAGGATGAAGAGTGCGCGAAGCCATGCGCAGGCCCGTGGAGATGAATGACGTCGTCATATGCTGGGGCTGCTTCATCGGGCTGGCCAATGCCCGTGCTCTCAATGCGCTTAAAAAGTTCAGGCATCGTAACGTTCGTAGGTATCGCGAGCTGTTTCTGCCAGAGTATTAGACAAATCAGCAGACTTGTCCCGTCAGCTGCTCGCCGTGTTGTTATATGGCTGCCGCGCTGACAGAATCGGATGCCTTAGGCGTTGTGGCTGTGCGTGCCGCGTAAGCGATGGCTGATGGCTCTGCCGGTCAGCCGTAAGCGTTTAGCATTGTTCGTATCCATCACCTTCGTACCAGACGCGCGATGCGAATGTGGCGTTTATACAAGTATCTAGCGGCTTCGGCTGATAGGTTAGGTTGTCTTGTTGCCTTCTGAAAAATGCGCTTGATATTCTTCAATCCACCCGCCGATTCGCCACGTTGAAATGCAACCTCTCATGCCCTATTCTTTGCATTCTGTCTGGACATCCTAGGGATTTGTTCCATGACGCGAATTGAGAAGCGAAGGTCAGAAAGATGGGCGCTGTACTTGTTCAAAGTATGGAACATCTTATGTCTTTATCCCATCAGCGCAAATCGGTCAACCAGAATCAAGTCATGGACAGTGACGTGCTTTGCGGTTTCGACTGCGCGCAGTCCGCCCAACGGAGACGAGGAAACAAACAGCCCTCACCGAGCAACATTGGCAGGTCGCCCGCGACCATGAGCATATGGTGCGGTATTCAGAGCCTGTTCAGAGAGCGACCCACGCCGTAGGCCAGCGCCGTAGTAGGCAGTTCCGGAGCGTAGACAATCGCTGTTCAGTCAGGAATCTATAACTTACAGTACGTTTATAGTACAAAAGATTCATGCGCTAGAGCCGCGCGTTCGGCCCGCAGGAATAGGCCAATACTGGGAGGCAAAATCTATAGATTTACCTACACACGGGAAGGTAGTCTGGAGCACCTCGCGCGAGCGTAGATTACAGCTATTCGCTCACATGCAAGACGCGGAGGATTCTACGCAAGGGAATTGGACGTAGGGATTTAGCTGTATATAATGTTACTCTGTTCCGTGGAGCCGACAACGTACCATGGGTAACGTTTCCGGAGGAACCGCAGCCGAGTCAGCCGAAATCTACTGTGGTACATGGATTTTGAGCCAGATCTACAAAAGCTGGGTGATGCCATCGCCTGGTACCCACCTTCCTGTTCCGTCTGTGGACTCCACACGCCGCGAAAACCAAGCTTCGATAAGCTCCGCAGCCGAGGCTTGTGTCTACACGGAAGAACCGGATGCTTTTTAATGAAATGGAAAAGAGGCATTGAACAGTTGGACTCCCCCTTTCCTGCCGGGCATCGTGCATATCTGCCATGTCCGATGCACTCTGCAACGCCTAAGAGACCGAATGCTTGCGAGGCCTCGCGGGTGTCCTGCGGTTCGTACCTGGTACAGGGCGAGAAGCTGGTCCCGCGCACGCGATAAACGGCAGCGTTTGAGCAACCACTCGCCTCGCTAGCCGCCCCAGTGTACCCCGGGCGAACGCATTTCAGCCATATCACCTACTGTTCCTGGTAAGCAGCCGCACCCCAGGCTGCGATGCCGTCATGCTTGAGATATTTTGGTATAATTGGGTCCCTGGGACCGTACCTCTTGCCCTGACCAGCTGCTGCTTGCTCGCGTCCTCTCTTGTTTCAACATGAAGCTCTCGCTTTTCAGCTCGCTGCTGTGCGCTTCCGCCGTTCTGGCTGCAAGTTCGCCCCACAAACGCAATGTGTTCCACAAGAATAGGCCGACCGTCGAGAAGCGTGTGGCGAACCAGCCTTTCCAGCACCCCGAGTTGCAGAAGCGAGCATCGTCCTTCCTGAACGATAAGACGAAACGTACGTGAAGCCGAAATCTTCGTGGCTCAATCGACACCAGATCTAACTCCGATTAGAATTCGCTGTCAACGGCTCAGGCATTCCTGAAGTACCCTTCGACATTGGCGAGTCGTACGCCGGGTTGCTACCGATTTCGGAGGATCCAAACGAGTCTCGTCAGCTCTTCTTTTGGTAGGTTCCCAAAAATGCCGGACATGGATTCAAGGCTTACACCTGCCTAGGTTTTTCCCATCTACGCAGGTGGAGACGCCCAAAGAGGTTGTCATCTGGTAAGATTTTCTGCAGTTATGAGCTAGAAAATTGCTCATACGACCAGGCTCAACGGTGGTCCTGGATGTAGCTCTTTGAGCGGGTTCCTGACAGAGAATGGTCCTTTCACATGGGAGGCTGGGACCCTTGCCCCCGTTCAAGTGGGTCTTATCCTCGATCGTGTCCGTTGCGGGAATTCTTGCTGATAGTCATTACTAGAATCCGTATTCTTGGACTAACCTAACCAACATGATCTGGGTTGAACAACCGGTCGGAGTGGGATATTCGCAGGGAACGCCCAACATCACGAACGAAATTGAATTGGCAGCTGAATTCCGCGGCTTCTGGAAGGTATGTCCGCTTAAACTTGTGAAATTCCCGCTTCCTTTTTGTTCATCGCAGCTGACCTTAGACTCTCCCAATAGAACTTCATTTCGACCTTTGAACTGCAGAACTGGAGTGTCTACGTCACCGGAGAGTCGTACGCAGGATTCTACGTGCCGTATATCGCCGACGGCTTCATTAGCGCTAACGACACTGAGTATGTTGCATGACAAAGTCGTTGTTTCACGGCGACGAATGCTAACCGTGCAAACTTCAGATACTTCAACCTAAAGGGCATATCAATCAACGATCCCATCATCGGCGACGATACGAACCAGCAATTAGGTATGAATCTCGACATGCAGAGTTGCCAAGCTGACGTCCTCAAGTCGTTGCTTTGCCTTACGTCGAGTACTGGCAGAACTTGATCAACCTCAACGAAACCTTCCTTAATCAGGTGCGGGAGGTTCAGGACCACTGCAACTACTCTTCCTACATGGACACATATTTCAAATTCCCTCCACCGCAGGAACCATTTCCGGTCCTAGAAGGACCAACCCGTCGCAACAACTACAGCTGCGACCAGTTCGACAACTTATATGGTGCTATCCTCGAGGTCAACCCTTGCTTCAACATCTATCACATCACTGAGACTTGCCCGCATCCCTTCGGCCAGCTTGGGATAGTCAACGAAGGCGACTACCAGCCACCGGGTGCTCAAGTCTACTTCAACCGTACCGACGTCAAGGAGGCCCTCCACGCGCCTATTGAATCGAACTGGCAGCAATGCACTGACGTGAACGTCTTCGGTAATGGTACCGACGGTGGTTCCGACACCTCTCCTGGCCCAGCCATCGACGGTACCCTTCAGCGCGTCATCGAGTTCACCAACAACACCATCATCGGTTCCGGCGATCTCGACTTCCTGCTGTCTACAAATGGAACGCTCTTTGCCATCCAGAACATGACTTGGAATGGTCTGCAAGGCCTGCAAAAGTACCCAAACACAACTCTTTACGCGCCATACCACCCCGAATACAACGGAGGGGCGCTTGCAGGGTCAGGCGCACAGGGTGTGTGGTCCTCCGAGCGTGGTCTGACGTTTTACACGGCGCATCTTGCAGGCCACGAGCTTCCAGGATATACCCCTGGTGCTGCGTATCGTATGCTGGAGATCTTGCTGGGGAGGATTGACAACTTCAGCAACACTGCCAGCTTCACCACGCAGAGTGGGAATTATACGGGAAACAGTACCATCTATAAGAAATAGAATGTAGTTCTTGAATAAAAGAGGTTTGGCTAATCGAGAAATCCGATCCCACGATCTGACTCAACTGGTTCAGCCAGACTTTTATCTTCAATGTACCTGATCAATACCTAATGACAAAGACGAAATTTCGCAAGTGTATGAACCTGTGGTGTATCACACGTGTGCATGACAACACCGATTAGTGGTAAACAGGAAGGCGGCAGTGCTACGTTTCTTGCTGTTGAATACAAAACTAGGCGCTCGAGAGATGAGTTGTGATTTTGATCAGAAGATCGCGTGTTTGAAGTGTTGTCATACTTTTCAAAAGGTAGGCAGGCGGTTCATTTCTATCTCAGCCATTTAACTAGACTTCATCAGCACCTACCATCAGTAAGACTATGCTGCCTTACGGCCCACAACCACAACGGTGTCCATCGTGATAGCAACGCCTTGTCCGATTTCCTCTCCAGCATTCCTCCATACGTCGTCCCAGACCTTGTTCGTTTCAATCATCTTACCGTCGCGAACACCACTTCGAGCGACATGCCGGTGAATCATCAGTAGCGACACAGTCATCACACTCCTCAGCTCTTTCTTAACCTCCATCCTCTGATACTTGACGAAATCGAAGCCGCGCTGCTTGAACGGCGCATCTAATTTTCCTATCCAAGAATTCTTGAGGTTCATAGCCACCTGGGATTGCATCGAGGTAGCATTCATCTCTTGTGCCGCGGATGTTGAATTGTGGACAATCCTGCATCGAATCCAAGCGGAGTAGCCTTGAACGAACCAACATCCAGCTCATCCTATTCCAGATAGGTTCCAGGCTTGAGCCCGCGGTAATTTTTCAATGACCGGGCCTGGATCGTTGCCCTTGATTATTGACGTGAATGCTCGGATACGGACGACATCATATTCTTCGGCATGCTCGTCTGGCAGGTCCTCAGGAAAATTGTCTAAGATACCGAGCTTGGAATTCGAGGGCATATTTCCAGGTGCGGGGAGATGAGAGTCCTGGATATTGAATCCGATGAACGAAGTCTTGTCATATTTCCCGCTCGACTCGGACGGGAGCGACACCAGTCAGGCACTGCGACGAAGGATCAGTAAGGGAGTACTAAAAGGTATTGATATGCCCACCCATTGCCACAGTCTTGGTCGGATGGAGGTCCCAACCAAGTTGCATCCTCCACATCCACTGCTGTAGGTATACCCTATGTCTTTTAGTACAGAATCCTGGACCAAAACATATTTACAAGGATGAAATACCTGCCGAACTCGTCATAGCCATTAGAGACTGCGTAATTCTTTCGGAGATCAGCCATAGTAACGATGAGATGATGAGTAACTTGATGTTGTGTTCCAGGCTGGGTATATGATGTCGTGAATCATGTAGGAACACGCCCTCTTTATAGGCTCGACCATCTAGGTAACAATAAGATGGAAGACATATTTGCATGGCCGCCGCAGGACATCTGCCCATCGTGTAATTACAGCATACGATACCTATGTGAGACATGACGCGAGGCTAGTATAGGTTCATACCGCTCGACACCTGCAGGATGCTTGGGAGATATGGTGTCCTCCACTTTTGACATCCACCATTTGATGTATGAGCATTTTGGGCGTATAAAATTTGGTGTAGATAGTTTGTGAAGCTGTAAATTGTATACAAATCCCTATACAGGGCAATTTTATGGTGTTAAGGCTTACCGGCGACGCGTTTTTACGCGAACCCTAGGGACACCTCTCCACTACGGTACTGCAGCTCATGTATGCGCTCCTGTATATGGTTCTGCGTAACCTTTTTGCATTCCTCGTGGAGCGCATTTTTTTAGCTCTACAATTGTATTTATTCTAAAAAAGACGCCTTCGTACCCGTTCCTTGATGATGAGCTATATGCCCTTAATAGGGTCAAGGTCCGGAGAATTGGCTGGGTGCGGGATACTCTGGATCCCATTTTCTTGACGGAAAATTGCAGGTAGTGAGTCCTTATTGCGCGTGCCATGAGGAGGATCGTTATCCTCCATAAGATACCAATTAAAACGATTCTCAGGATTTATATGGCCGCGCAGCTCGTCAGCGCGCGCGCGTAGCTGGCGCAGGGCGTCGCGATATCTAGGGAGAATCCGGTCAACGTAGTAGCTTGCTCTCACAGAGTTTCCTGGTCGAATAATCTCTGGTATGCGCGCCTTCTCAGCGTCCCAGCGAGCAAGCCGCTCCTTATAGCTATCCTCAGTCTCTGTTGTAGGGCGCCGGTGTGGCTTTGGGAGAGGCTTTAGAGCCTGAAAATCGTTGTATTCATCATTGTAAAGGTCAGATCGTCAGCCTTAGTGTAGTAGTTGATCCCGGCGGCAAAGTGCACGCAGGCAGCTGTTTTGTTGGCCTTTTTTACTACGTTTTCTGCGTTATACCTCTCTCCAAATACCACTAATATCTACGCCTCTGGGAAGTCGTTAAGGCTCATGTGCGCTTCATCAGTATAGATTATGCCATCCCAATAGCCCTTAAGGGCGTAAAATCGGAGCTCGCGCGTGTACTCAACCATTCGCTCAGCTTGTAAAGGTGTAATTTCTTTCATAACAGCAGCCTTACGGTTACAGGCACTACACCTACTAGACAGAGCACGCTATACAGTGCGCTGGCTCCCTTATATCCTAGCGTCCTCTATTTGCAAGTTGAGTACTTTCTGGTGGGTTTCCTTGCTGGCATAGATCATTTGCTTGAGCTGATCATTTGTAACAATAGGACGGCGCCCTAAGCCTGCAGAATCGCTTGCTTGTTGCTTTAAAGTGCGTAGATATTTCCGGCGGAAGGCAATTGCCACGTACTGAGCTCTATCACGGAGCTATTCGTATGCGGTGGATGTGGGGACCTCAAGCCCTGCAAGAGCCTCCGCGCTTGCATCCCGCCCTGAACCTTCTGAATATCGTATGCGTCATAGAATCGGCTGCGCGCAACAGTATCAAAATAGGGTTTCATAGGCCTATCAAGCGTGCGCCCGCGGCTCCGGAGATGCATTATTGGTAACAATCTGGCCAGAATTGGTGTAGTTGTGGGGTGTGGAAATATAGGTGTTTTCATCCAGCGGTATTTTGGGGAGGCTGCTGACACATCAAAAAAGTGTTCGATGTTTCTGACATGAGGGTGGTAAGGGCTCGTAGGTGTATAATAAGGCGTCATCGGTGGAACGGGGTCAGGTTACATCATCGTACTAGTGCCTATTAGGCTTAGAGCCCGGCGGAATAAAATTCAATCAATCAGCCTAGCCGGGCATAGCTGCGAAATCGCGGCTGCAACCGTGTAAGAATCAATCCATTAATCAATTGAATGCAAGGTCTCGCAAACCTCCGTCATTGTGCCCTCGTCCCAGCTTTCGTTCTTATCTATAATGTACTGACTTACCTGAATGATAGACCTTTTCATCGGAAATATGGATGGAAGAGTAATTACTCTGGAGAAACTTGCCAAAGCCGAGAGATTCGGCGACTTCATCCCAGTTTATAAGATGGATGGAAGCACCGTCGTGAAGACTTGAGATTCCGTGCGATTTGCTGAAGCCGAAGCAATGAGACTGGTCCGCGACAAAACCACTATTCCGGTACCCAAGATTTACAATGCCTATACCGACAGTGACAGCGGCCATGTATGCATTGTGATGGAATTTATCGAGGGTGACTGTCTCGCAGATGTCTGGGGAAAGCTTGATGACAGCCAAAAAGAAGATGTTATCGAACAACTCCGCGGTTTCTTTGCCCAGCTTCGCGAAATAAAAGGTTCGTTCATCGGATCTGTGGACGGTACCGCTTGCGAAGATCAGCTTTTCACAGACGAGATCGGTGCATATGGGCCGTACAAAGACGAAGCGTCTTTCAACGAAGGAATCATCACTGCGCTCAAGAATACCTCAACCGGCAGCTGGGTCAACACGGTGTCGGACATGGTTCTCGCGCTGAAGAACCATGTGATCGTGACGACTCATGGAGATTTCTCTCCAAGGAATATCATTGTCTAGGGCAGCAAGGTTGTGGCCATTGTGGACTGGGAAATGTCAGGATATTACCCAGAGTACTGGGAATACGTCAAAGCTCTCTACCGGCCTGCATGGGAGAGTAATTGGATCAACGACCGTGCTGTAGAGAAGATCCTGGTGCCCTACTCGATGGAGTTGGCTGTGATCATGCATGCACAGACTATAGTCTGGTAATGGCAGTGGCGATTTCTGAGGGCAGACCTTGCGCAACTAACATTAATTACCCTCGCTCAGGGATCCTCGGCCCCCGAGCGACCTCCTTTGTCAATACCATCGGTGTCAGCTGCAAGCTCTTGGGCCGTGACATTAGGCCGCTCGTACCATCAAGTGCCGTTGATTCCTGTTAGCGGCGCCTACAAGAAATCGCGAGAAGCCAACAATGGCGGATTCACCATGACCGACGAAACCCGAACTAGACCGCCCGTCCTTTATCGACCCACAATCCCTCACCCTCAATGCCCTACCCACGTTGCGTTAGATACAAGATATCGCCAGCGAAACCGATAACTACGTCTTCACAAAGTAATACTCCACGATATGGCTTATGCACTACAGAGCATACGGCTTCCGTTCGACAACGCGCTAGACATGATACAGCTTGTGCCTGCAATCTATCAGATCTAAATATAAGAAGTAGGCGGCGTCGTCGACTTTCGGGTAACTGTTTCCGTAGTCCGCGTCTCCTTACGGGCCAACCGATTGGTTGTACATCGTCACGAGGTATGCACTAGGAGCATCCTCAAAACGCCACTCCCGGCGATGCACTATCTCGGAGATCAGCGAAGCCTCCTATGTCGGTGTTGTATCTCGTTGATGGTGAGGCACCAAACGTATAAGGGATCTTGCGCCTAATGTCTTTACAACTGGTCATGAGCAGCAACTGCGGCGTCGAGATGGCATGAGCGGTGAACATGTAGCATTACGGGAAGCTCGGTTCACAGACGGAATACCTTCGTCCTAGTAAACCACGCTCATATCATCTGTGAACAATTAAGATTACGGGGATATTCGGCGGGATCTCACTCACTTCGTATGACGCAACGAAACTAAACCGTTGAAAATGGACCTCAACCATAATTCAAAAGTCTACTTACGCAGGAGTTCGACTTGGTGCGACAGATTTCAAGATTCAATTTCCGCTTCACAATTTCCACATGAGTGCCTAGGTGTCTCGGATTTACATGGTATACTGAGTGCAACTATGAATCTTCGCTGAGGCGACCGTATCATGCCGCAGACGTTTCTGGCTCCTCAATCCCTCAATGCCCTTTGTGACAGCTTATCATCATGCTCGACAGTATATGTGTGTACCGCGTATATTTGGTTTGCGTTCATAGGCTTCGTGCTGTGGTCAGAATCGCCATCTGTGATGCGCTGCCACTGCTCATCTGAGCGTCCCCGCACCGTACTCAAGGAGATTCCCAGATCCTTGCTGCCTTCATTCTTGCGCAAGGTGGTCGGTCCGTTACCGACGGAGAAGAACCCAATTGGTCCGCTGCGTTTATCGCTGTATTCGTGGGTATTGCTTCCTTGGCTACGCTGGGTGAAATGTCTCAATGAAGGTATCGATGAGGCGATGCAGCCGATGCCGGTCTCAACGTTGGAGCAAAGGACGATGTGGGAGACCCAAACTATCTGAAGTCAGCTATATGAAATGGTAAGGCAACCAAGGGGCAAGGGCGTACATTGCAGATCTTGCTGCTCGCGAAACCTGTTGATGTATGGGATCCGCAGCATGGTGATGATGGATGCCCTGTCAGATTAATTGTTAGCTCGACATCCACCCGAAATGTTGACCGAGACACCTTTACTTACACAGAAGCGAATGAAAGCAATGCCCATGCCTGGAATTTTGCCTGTCGTTTCATTTGCGTCTCCCAAAGAAGCACTCCAGGTACCACGACTAGGGCCAAGTCTGTCAGAATGGTGGAGACGGTCGCGGTGTGGGCGATGATGATGAAGGTCTCGGTCGAAGCGCAGTAACCCTCACCGCTCAGGATCAACATCGGCGTCCAAACCGCCCTCACGGGCTGGCAGTAGAGCAAGGTGCCGATGAATGTAATGCAGAAAGAGCACCACGTAATGCCGAGAAGCACCCAAACACACATGCGCAACGGCTTTTTCGTGGTCGCAATGCGTAGGATGGTGAGGCAGACAGAGGATTTGATAAATCCCAGCGCGACAACGTAGACCAAGATCCAGATGATGTAGTACTTCATAGCGTTTTCCCACTGCCATTGATTCAAGTCGACCTCTTTCCGACCGAGCCCAACGAAGTGGCCGTACGAAGACAACCCAATAACAACCATATATAGGACCTTTAGAACAAACGTTAGCCATGTCACAGCTCTGCATCTCTCTTCGGGACTTACAGCTCCAGCAGCAAGGAAGGCATCATCAATGCCGAACATGTGTCTGGACAACCGGATATATGACCTCAGTCCCACAGCGAGCACCGACAGCGCAAGAAAGACAAACGAAATCGCCAACACCGTCAGCGGAAAGCCATCGGGCTCCATGTATCTCCCATTGGGATCCAGCGTCTCTGACCACATCGCGTTGTCTCAATCAAAAAAGCTGCAGAGATGGAGGAGGCGGACTCGATCAGTGCTGCGCGGGTGCTGCGCTTCGGAGCAAGTTTAGGTGCCGGTCGTCAGGGATGAGCATGAGATTAGGTGGACCGGTGAAACGGTAGGCCCAGTAGATGGCTGAGAGCGGTATTTGTCTTCTCGTGTCCGGGCCGGGCAAATTCTCCGACGACGTCGTGTATTGTGCTTTTCTAGGACAGGGAGGTGCTTCACCACTAACTACCCCATGAATCGATGAACATAATGTACCTGCGCCACTATTGGATTTGGAATGTGAGAATCATTTCTTGGCCATGGGACATCCTTGAGCGTGCGCCTCTCCACAACTTGGTTTCTGCGATGGAGAAGGCTTTCTTTCCTGAATCGTCAAGAAACCTGTCTAGACCATGGTGCAGGCAACGCCGATCGCTGCCGCGTCACTGCGGTGCCTGCCAAGTGACGCCGTTATACGCCGCCACCTGGAGACCGGTTTGTTAACTACCATATGCACTTAGAAGTGGGACTCGAATGAAATGCTCCTGAGCATTATTCACACCCAATGCGCGAAGTCTTTTAAAAATGGCTGCGTTGATTGTGATATATCCATCTTATTATCAAAAGAATGTTGGAAAGTATCTATTCCGTTAGATGGGCGCCATGCGTGACGGACTCTGGGAAGTCCCGACTTTTGTGGGCTAAGGGGAATCTCGGCACTGTGCCGTTACCCACTTGGGACGGCCCGAATACCAGGGTCCAACACGACGTTGAAACAGATCGCGGGATCTTGGAAGGCTAGCCACAGTAGTGGGTGAACGAATAGCCGGGAGAGCTTGGCACACTCTCCCACCAGACCACTCCCGAGTTTTTTCTTTTCGTTCTTCCACTACTGCAAGCTAGAGAATATAGGTTACCGACGTGGCGTTCAACCCGCGTGTTCTGATGATGTTCCTGCAGAAAGAAGTGAAGTCACTCGGAGTTGTATACATTGTGCTGCTGCTTGTAGGGGGCTGGCTTCTGTACCAGCTCCTCAAGGCGCTATACAATGTCTCTCCTCTGCATCCGTTGAGTCACTTTCCTGGGCCGAAACTTGCAGCAGCGACCTACCTGCCAGAGTTCTACTACGATGTGGTCAAATTCGGCTGCTATACCAAGGAGATTGGGGCGATGCACGAAAAGTATGGTAAGTGGGCCAGTGCCATTGTCAGTAAAGTTCGATCGAGGCTGGAAGCTAAAGTTTCGACAGGTCCACTCGTTCGAATCAACCCCAACGAGATCCATTGCAACGACATAACCTTTGCCGATGAGATATACGCTGTCGGTGGTCGCAAGCGTGATAAGCCGATCCATCAGGTCAACGGCACAGCGTAAGGTCACAATCATCGTTCTGAAAACCCATGCTAAGTGTCCCAATCACAGGCTCGGTCAAGCAGGATTTGGCACGGTTGATCACGATGTTCATCGCATGCGACGCAGTCCGGTGGCTAAATTTTTCTCACGCGCCATGATCGCGCGTCTAGAGCCCGACATCCAAACTTTAGTCCAGAAGCTTTGCGATAAGCTATTGGCCCAGGCGAAACCATTCGATGTCACTATGGCATACAGCTGCTTCACCTCGGATGCCATCTCTGGATACGCTTTCGGCGAGAGTTTTGGGTTTCTTGAACAAGAAGGGTGGTATCCGAATTTTCGTGAGCCTACCGCAGCTGTACTCCAGCCGGTGTTCATCTTTCGCTTCTTCCCGTGGACTAAAGCCAGTGCTTCTCTCGGAAAGCTGTTTGTGGACTACTTGCCTAAAGACATTGCTCTGATGATTCGTACTCTACAGATTGACCTCCCTGGTAGAGTTCGAAAAGTGAAGTCGAACATTGATGCAGATGTTCAACCTGATCGACCCAACATCTTCGACTCGCTCTTGCGATCTGATTTGAACGCTTTGGATAAAGAGCCCCAGCGCTTGACCGACGAAGCCGGCGCAGTGGTCGCTGCAGGCACGGAGACAACAAGCTGGGCTTTGGCTGTCATGACATATCATTTGCTTAAACAACCACAGCTGTTGGCAAAGTTGACGCATGAGCTAAAAAGCGTTGTAGATGATGCCACCAAGTTACCCGACTGGACGGTCCTCGAGCATTTGCCATACCTCAGCGCAGTTATCCAAGAAGGCCTGCGATTGTCGTACGGTGTCTCCGCCCGGACTGCTCGGATCGCAACCGAGGAAACCCTGATTTATCGTGGGGAATGGAGTAAGAAACCGATCGAGCTAGTTGTTCCCAAGGGCTATGCTGTGGGAATGTCAGCAGCCGTCACACACCACAATGAAGGCACTTTTCCCGATTCAAATGAATTCGTACCTGAGCGATGGCTGGACGAGCAAAACCAGCGTAGAAAAGACATGGATCGCAGCATGCTCGCCTTCTCTAAGGGAAGCCGCTCCTGCCTCGGCATGAAGTAAGTCGGATATTGTGTGTTGAATCGCATTCTTGATGCTGACGAATCCAAGCCTGGCCTTGTGTGAACTGAATCTCTGCCTCACAGCCTTGGTTCTGCGAGTACTGCCCCACATGTCGTTACATGGCACGACGGACGAAGATGTGGTTTACCACCATGACATGTTCATTCCGATGACCAAGGACAACCGAGGAATTCACGTACAAGTCCAGCAGTAGTGGCGGTTTGAACGCCCTAGTTCTTGAGATCACCACCTCGCTGTTTCCTTATTCTTTCCAGTATACCCCACTATAGACCTTGCGATACTGCTTGCGTAGCCCATGGTAGTACTCGCTGCAATTCAAGACTTTGCACATGTCGGCTGATCCGTGCAGACCAATGTCCTCCGTAAATATGTCTGCGGGCTGTGATGTACCGCTAATTGCACCGACGCTGAATTCCTTCCAAACTATCGCACACTCCATTGCATCATACCCAGGTACATTGAATGAGAATCCAGTGGTCCATGCCACGGCGCCTAGAGCCACGATATACCAACGACTAATGGCATAGGAAAGCCTTGGGAAAGGGCCAGTGGCTTATCTGTGTGGTGTCGTGGATGGACTTTGAGATAAGCATCCAAACGCCAGCGAAAATTCCGAGGTACATATTCGTCAGTGAGTAAACTCAGCCACCATCTTAGCGGAAAAGTTTCTTCGATTGATCAAAACTTTATCTTCAAATCACGATAAACTTTGCAGGGTTTGCGTGGCGCGCTACGGCTACTCCCGTTAGCGCTCTATGTGTCGGGGAACACTTTAGACGCGTATAGAAGACCGGTTGCTTGTACGCAGTCGCAACTTCACCAAGCACGAAAAAATCCCTTTGATGATCAAAATGAGAGGGCGCACGGTGAAGTCGACTGATGTACGACAGACCTATCGAGCCGCGTGGCAGAATTCGGGACGTAGTGCTGGAATGGTGACGGGAAGGTAATGCTTTCTGTGTCGCCCGTAGGGCACATTACAGACCATTCTGTCAGGAGATGACCTGATTGCTTCATGCCCACTTTAATCTGGGGTGCAAAATGAAAGTATAGCGGTCATGATTGGCATTAAACTAACATTCTGTAAGGCGAGATGATCTTCTTTCGTCTGTAGCTGGAAACTAGTTGCGGTCTCGAGACTGCGGTAGAAGTCAGAAGGTTTGAAAGAATATTGGTGATTCAATTCATATGGTAAGTGACGCGGAGAAAGTGTTCGCCGTGCAAGCGGAATGCGACTGCACCTTGTTTCAGAGAATCAATAGAAAAGATGCCGTAAGTCGATATGTCACAAGGAGTCTTAAAAAAAATTTCAATGGGTTCGAAGAGCACAGCCGCGGGCCGAGCTAATAGGTTTACCTGCAGTTAGCCGCAGCTATGCATGAACCTCATCCTGGGTGTTCAGACACCAGACGTGATTCACTATCTGTTTTAGTGTAGTAAACTCCAGTAAATTTTGGCTCGGAATCTCGGCACTGATAAATTGTGGCTTTCAAGCATTTAGGTAAGTGTTCGAATATATCGAAATGGCGGGTGTTAATTGCTGTATACATGGCTATGAACAAAGGCCATCTCCTCGATTTTATCTTGTCTGTGACCCATCTTGTGCGCCCTTTCTACCCATCAGATCCACCTTTTTCTATGATCTTGAGGCTTTAGGATGGATAACACGAGGGTTGAGAGATAACGATACCCAGAGCCACAGTTCACACGTGACTCCGATTTCCCAACACTCCCTCGCCCTCGCGAGCACCTACAGGCACCCACGCGAGCGACACCCCGCTTGTTCTTCAGCGCCCCCGGGACCCAGGCATTTTCTCCTGATTCACGAACAAAGTGCCTGCCGTAACAATCTTGGGGTGTACGAGGCCCACAGGAATTGAACTTCTACTCCATTCTACAATTATGAGGATTAGAAATTATGTATTTGAAGCCTTCCGCTCCCAAATCAAAGTTCTCTGTGAATAAGTCGTGCTGCTCCACTTTCTGTGTCTCACAGCAAGTATACACGTATAACAGATGTACCACAAACCATTTGCAGGCAGGAAGGCATCACTACAGCCGGAGCACAATGAGGCTCATCCCGTTAGATAGTTGTTGTAATAGCCATAATTGAGAGACTCTCATGGTGAGCGCTCGTCAACGAAAGCCCTTATCCTACTACTACGCTGAGAACCCCTATTATGGTAAATAATACAGTGAGCGAGAACCCAGTGAGCGCGCGTTGATTGCGGGACGATGTAGCTCCTGCGTCCCCATGTTTAGTGCTGGCATTAAAAGGTTCAAGCCCGTTTCCTGTCTCGAGCAACAAAATGATTCCCTCGCATGCTGGGTCATTGAGTCCGCCGGCATTGTTAAGTGTCATGTTACCGTCAGTCTGCGCATGGCATTGCCGTATAAACAATCGCTGCAGCAATCATATGACTAAGCAGAGCCTTCTGCACTTATTCTAAATATTGATAGAACTCGCGCCCTGTGTAGCACTGCGACATTTTGAATTCTGCATTATGGACAGTAGGGATGGGGAAGACACACGTTTTACAACTGGGTACCTGCGCATCGACTCATTACGGTTCAGTGTTTACGTAGGCGCATTGCGAGCGCGTAATATTGGTCATATCTGCATCAAGGGGTTCTGGGACTCGCGATTGTACTACAATCGCCACCTCATGACCAGCTAAAATATGCTCTCGTTTCAAGAGCCGTAGCTAGAACACTATCTCTTGGCAAGGATTGGAAGCGCGATGGGGAGCGTTTAGAATACAGGGGGTGGAAAGCAGGGGGAGCACCTCGACAACAATAAGGCTGTTCTGGCTATGTGATAGATCTTGCCCTGAGAGTCGCATTGAAGGCCTAGATTGCCCTAGACTTCCCATCTGGCAGGGACAAAAAGACGTCGCCAATCGGATACACGCAACACAAGTGTTAACGATCGCGTGATAGAACTATCTGGGCTCATGGGCGAAGTCAAAAGCGAGGCCCCCAGTTGTGACGTACAATGCTAATCCCAAACCCCATCGACATCTCCTGCGCAGACAAGACGTCCGGTCAAGGCGCTGATGCAATCCGTCGCGATCAATAGTTGCCCCCATGTGCTGGCTCACATCCAGTGCTGCAGTGATGAAAAGCGCTCTGTAAATGATAGTGCTGTCCAGGATAGACTGGCTCGTGTTATTCGGCGAGTTGCATGGACCCTCAAAGGCGTCTCAACCATGGTGCTGCAGTTACTTGCGGACAGTTATCAGCCTGATGCCGGATCTTGTGATCTTCACGCCCCCACATCTACGCCCTGAGACACGATGAAGCGACTGGAAGATTTGATGCTTGACTGAAGGTACTGATCAAGGTAGCTCAAACGCAGACTGAGCTGTGGTTGACAAGGTCACGATATATCGGTATCTGGATAAGACCGGAGTTTTACCATAGGCCGATGCTCACAACCGTGGCAAGCCGTCAATGCCGAGACCATATTTGTCGCTCGAATATAGCTCCATCAAATAGAGATTCGTCTCGATACACCTTCTAGCCATTCAGCTCGTTGCATCTTGCTCGGAAGGTCGCATTTCGGAGAAAAGGTACGTAAGGATAACGTTGAAACTCAACAATGCGGAAAAGAACGGCTAGGACTACGCCTCTAGAAGTTATAGTGGCATCCAAATAAAGTATTCGACGACACACAATATCCACATGGCAGGAATGAGTTTGCTAAGAGTTTTCGTCCAAGCCCGCTAGCGGATAGCTCAGCCGTTGAGCGCATTGCACCAAGCCTTATGGGGCTAAAGCATGCCTCATTGAGGAAAGGTAACCGAAGCAAATCGCATGGGCCTGCATGCCTAGTTACACCCAAAGCTTCTCGAATCCTGCTCACCACAGCACCTAATGGATCGTGAGCTCAAAGTGAGGCCGACTTCAGGGACGCTCAGACTCGGCCTAGTTCGTCGTCTCCACGTACAGAGATAACAAGATGATTTATGTCAAATCCATTACTCCGGCCAGATTGCGGGGAAACATGCTTGCATATATGTACCCATGGGGCACCTGGGATTGATCCACTGAAGGAACGACAGAAATTCATCCTTGGATTTTTGCGGAAACATTGTTAGAGGATCTTGCATTCGCTACCGGCCTTCGACCACACCTTATCTTTCCCCCCACACCTTCTCAGGAATTCTCCCAGCTCCTTCCACATAATGGCCGACGCCATAACCAGTGCCGGCGCTCAGCAATACAACAAGGACCGCAAAGCAAACTACGCAGACTCGGATGATATGGCGGACAACAACATTTTTGGCGAAGTAACGGATTCGCAGCGCATCAAGAAGATTGCTGCAGAGGGAGATGCTCATTTTCATCGCCTCGGATGGAAACGCCTTGCAGTCGTCACCATCGTCGAAGCGATCGCCCTCGGTGCGCTCAGCTTGCCCCAAGCCTATGCGACACTAGGCATGTTTCCCGGAGTCTTCCTCACCATTACGCTCGGGTGCATCTCAATCTTCACGAGCTATCTTGTCGGTCAAGTCAAGCTGAAGTACCCAGAGATAGCCTCATATGCGGACGCTGGACGACTCTTGCTCGGCCGTGTCGGCTACGAAATCTTTGGTGCTGCGCTTGTCTTGGAGCTACTGATGGTTGTCGGTTCGCACGCCTTGACTGGAAGTATCGCATTGATCAACCTAAACGGAGGACATGTCTGCTCTATCGTCTTCTCCGCAGTCTCCGCTGTTATACTCCTCATCCTAGCCATCCCGCCTTCGTTCTCTGAAGTTGCAATCCTGGGCTACATCGACTTCGCGTCCATTTTCATCGCCATCGGTATCACGATCATCGCAACTGGCGTTCAGGCCACGGACTCTACCGGTGGTATGTCCTCGGTGAATTGGTCTGCCTGGCCCAAGGATAACTTGACGTTCTCTGAAGCTTTTGTCGCTGTCAGCAACATCATCTTTGCCTTCAGCTTTGCGATCGGCCAATTCTCCTTCATGGATGAGATGCACACTCCCAAGGAATATATGAAGAGTATCTGGACTTCTGGCGCCATCCAGATCACGATTTACACCATGACAGGCGCACTCTGCTACGCATTCATTGGCATGGACGTGCAATCTCCTGCTCTTCTTTCTGCAGGTCCGCTTGTGTCTAAGATCGCCTTCGGCTTTGCTCTGCCAGTCATTTTCATTTCCGGATCCATAAACACGACTGTCGCACTTCGATACATCCACGGCCGCATGTTCAAGAACTCCGTCTTGCGTTACATCAATACGGTTGCTGGCTGGACATCTTGGATCGTTCTCGTCATCATCTTCACCATCATTGCATGGATCATTGCCGAAGCCATCCCAATCTTCTCTGATCTCCTGTCTCTCGCATCTGCCCTCTTCGTGTCTGGATTCTCGTTCTGGATCCCAGCTGTTATGTGGTTCTGCCTGCTGAAGAAGGGCAGCTGGTATGCCAAGGAAAACCTGATCATGAGTGCAGCATGCATGTTGGCTTTCATTATTGGCATTGTCACACTCGGTGCGGGAAGTTATGCAACCATTGCGGACATCATCAAGCTTACGAGTACGGGAACTGCGCATAGCCCGTTTACCTGTCGCTCAACGTAGGCATCGTAGTAGTATTTAGAAGTACAACACATAATTGATTATTTTATGTTCAAAGATTCACTAAACATTGCTGATTGTTTTCCCATCGCTTTTGATGTAGTGGGCTTTCGCCATACTGGCTTTTAAAAACGCCTGGTATGATTCAACGGAATTAATTGTAGCCAGGAGCACAGATGTTGCGTCGTGCGCAGCAGTCTCGTATTGCCCTATCAACGAATGTTTCATGAACAAGCTGCGTTGTACCAATGAGCTCGCTCTGCCTTGCGCCGCACAACCGCATCTGGACCAGACACTGCGTACATGTTCAGGATATACTGAATTTGCGCCCATGCATGCTCGGCGCTGAATTGTCAGCGCATTAATGATTAGATGCGATGCCATGCGCGGGGTCCTTACTGTTGAAGTTTAATCATAATGCAAGGATGGCCTACGCCCCAACCGTTCGTCTCGATTGCTAGCATCCGTTCGCTGGGGCTGGGGCACACAACCGAGGTCCAATCAGCCCCTGTACGCGCTGTACGCGCCAGTTGCATGAAACTCAACCTGTAGATCCCAGTAGCTGCGGCGGCAAGATAGATACGGCGCGTAATGCTGCAGATGTCTGACCGGTGAAATGGCCACAAGAAGCTGATGCGGGATACATATAGGATCACTGCAAAGCTACTCCGCGCCTCTTCATCAAAGCGTCTTCAGATCTTAACAATAATTTTCCGCACTTAGCCAGATCCATTTCCGTCTCAACAGCATCATGACCCCTCCATCACAGAGCAAAGCATCAGTTGTAGGCAGTGATCCCGCGGGAGACAATAATTCGGAGTTCTCGTTGGAGTCCGAATATAATGCCAATGATGAGCAGGAGTTGTTCGAAAGTACGTTGCTCACACATTGTAAGGGAAATACAACCCCTGATTTAGGTGTAGACTTCGATGACCATAACAAATACTTCTACGAATACATTCACAGGATGTTCAAGGAAAAACGGAATCATTCATCGGCACATACAGAAGCTACAAAATCGTCATCGCCCGCTAAGTCTGAGACCATTGTCAAACCCAAGCCATCCAAAACATCAGACACCAGTATGGCCAAGTCGACTTTCAAAGCCTCACTGTCTAAGAAATAGACAGACATGCGACAGTTGGTTTATTTTTTGTCCCAAACGACCAGGCTGCCTGATTGAACAGTCTGCGGGTGTGTCTAGGAAGTGTTGAAGGTGAAGACTAATGGAAGTAATTGATCTGTTAGTCAAGACTGGATACCTGGGCCTACAAGACATTCTGCCCTTGGAATGGGTGACGATGTCTTTGGATTTTACAGAAGAAACTTGCATTTTTCAGAGTCATAGTCCAATGATGGTGTATTGAAACTTGCTTGTCCCCAACCCTGATCATTGGTCCAAGCATGCTTGAAAGGATGACCATGTTATGCCATTACATTGCTGACCCGTCGAAAGTGGTCACGGGATTGAGTCAGATCATTTTGTAGTCGGACCTGGGCAGAGCTGCACGCATCAACCCTCTTGCATTGCGCCATATATATGCGCTAGTCCGATAATCCTATACGTATCGTTTGCAACTTTGCGTATCAGCAGAGGCGCCTTGACCCTATCAAAGATAACCACATCGTCATGTGTCATAGCATCTTCAGTTACATACCCGAGTAGCCCACCATGCAACCGGAACAGCGTTTCAGCGAGGCTGATTGTGCTGGCATCTGGCCCGTCTTTATCAGACTCGCGGCCTATGACTCTTCTTCAACGCTGGTAGTCGACTAGAACTAACATGTCTACTTCGGTCTCTAAATTTCTGAAGTTTTAGGTGTTGCTCAACGCCTCGAGGCCTTCACAGAAGCATAACTCTGCTATCTTCACGCTTGATCATCCTACTACGCGCTCTTAAAATTCGGCGATTACTCAATATCCATGCCGTAGATGCTGATACCGGGTTACAGATACGCACGGGCAGTATTTTCCATGTACCTCTATTCCTTCCCTAGAGAAATATCCTTCAGATACAACAAACAGGCTGCCCTGTACAGTTCCTTCTTTCAATCATGAAGCGAGCCAAGTAGCAGGAAACCTCTTCTGGGTGATCCTTATGTTTCCGATGTCCATACTGCTCATATTAAGCGCATGCTTATACTTTGAGTGCGGATAGGGTACAATGGTAACTCTCTGAGACATGCCTACCGAAGCCGTGTACTTATCGAACTTGTAGGAACCTTTGTACGACCAGTCATACAACCAGGATGGGAAGCCTTCGTCCCTAACACCACATCGAAACTTATACGGTCTAGACGTAACCAGAGACTCCAGAAACCCCAAGGAACGGAGAAAACGAGAGACAACGGTATAGACATCGGCAGTACTCAGTCCGTATTCCACGTATTACGTCTATAATATCGGCGAGACCTAAACGGGCGTAAATTATACTCCTAAGATCTATTGTTCAGTGTAGATGGTCATTAAAGTATGCTCCACTCATCACATCTACGAGGGAACATTTCTACATACACACGTTAAGTCAAGCAGCCCACGAAATGATTATCGAATCGAGAAGAAATAGGTCTATTTGTGTATCTTGTGGTGAAATTTCGAGACTATGAACAAACAAAATGTGTCTGTGTGATGTGTGCTTCACACCAAAATGGAAGGCCAATTTGCGAGCCCTGCCTATCTCTTGTAAGATCCACATCCTCAGGAAGGAATCATTCTGCGATAGAATTTTCGAGTACACCATCTCGTTGCGCAATGTTAAGTTGGGCACAGAGATGTGGCGTAGCGCGGCGGAGAATTCGGTCTAGACACGCTGCGTTTGGTTTGATAACCGGTGAGCATTAATCAATACTGTGTACCTAGGCGGCGTCCTCGAGAACCCAACTAGACGTGCATCTCTTTCGCTTGGGAGTATATGGACTTCATAAGCGGAACTTGCCCGTTCTCTCTTTCCTTTCATCCAATTCATCCTGTTTGATACAGAGAGCATCGGTCCAGAGCGTAATGCTTCCCCATATTTCTGTCGAAAGTGTCCTCGGGCTCTCGCTAGGCTGCTGTCGAAATCTGGAGGCAAGGTATTCGCGAACGCTTTTCTCATATCTGATGACGATGTCTGCTCGATCGTGGACAGGATGAATTGGATGAAAGGAAAGAGAGAACGTAAAAGTACGCTCCCTTCAACCCAACATGGCAAAGTGTTGCGCGGAACGGGAAATCAAGCTTGTCGGCTGCTTCAAGCTCTTGCAATCTGATCTCGTCACGTTTCCGCTTCAGCGGTCAATACACGATACTTATCGCTGTAAAGATAGATAGTGAACATTTGAGGCCATATGATTGAAGAAGAGCGCGGTTGAATAGGAGTTGTGACTGTGTGGATGCTAAATCAATTAGGTGATTCCTAACTACATTGCTATTGCAGATCCTCATGCAAATGCCAGCCTGAGCGAATAAGCGTCGGCCCGAGGTGGCGGGAACATGTATGGATCCCGGAGTCGCTGAAGAACAAGCGGGAGGTCGCTCGCGTGGGTGAGCGAGTGATCAGGTGATCTGGTTGAGTCACGTGTGAACCGTGGCTCTGGGTATGGTCGTCTCTTAATCATCGTCTTGGCCATCCCAAAGCCTCAAGAGGGCGGGACGATCCACGTTTACAGCGACACTTTAACTCAATTTCTAGTTGGGGCATCACACAGCTACTCATCGATGTTCGTCTCTTTAAGATGATGTGCACGGCGTCGTCGGTTGGTACATCGCTCCCTATAGGTCAATTCACTGTGGTACCCTTATTTCAACCTTTTTGGGCCTTCAATTAGCCTGTTTAGTGCAGTCATCTGCGTTGCGCACCGTGAACTCGTATCCAAGAAGCTTGATCAACGGAAGGATCTCATTGCGATATTGCTCAAACCATCGCAAGGAACCCAGTCCAAGAATAAGATGACCGACAGCACCCACTGCGGAGTACTTCAGAAGATTCCAAATCGGTCCGGGAAACAGCCAGGCCATCACTACGGTGATGATCAGGTACAGCAAAGAGTGTGTGTGTGGAGGAAGTTGAAGACACCGCGTACGACCATGGACATCAGATGGAACCATGTCTTGTAAGCAACCGCCATCATAGGGCGTATATCGTTCGTCCATAGCTCGTTCCAATATGTTTCCCAGGTTCTGTTTGCAATGTTGTCCGGAAATATGAGCACATTTTCAGTCTTGTTGATGTTCTTCTTGGAAACGATGCGTGTGCGTCCGTTTTTGTGTGCTGTCGCGACACTTGGGTTCAATAAGTCTGAATATACGGCGGAAGCTAGTTTTCAATACCCATCAGGTTATTCACTTGTGGTTTTAGTGGCTTGCATGTTCTTTTCGTTGCGAAGTGGTCGGTTGATGTGTCGCACGTGGCCAAGTCTTCGATTGATCACTTCCACTGGTTGCGCAATGGAGGCGACTGCAGCCTGGTTCCTAGCAAGGTGATTCATATGACCTGGAGCGACATCACAAGAGGTCGAAGCTCTACCAATTTTAGTGCAAGGCCATGGTCAACGTGAGCTGAATCTGACCGGCGCGTAGACAGCATTCACAGGTCAATACACTTGTCCAAAATCATGCATGTCAGTGAAAGTCCGCTTTTCACATTAAAATTTCTATTACTGCATGCGAAACCGAGCAAGGCCGTGCCTATTAATTCCTCAAGACCGATCTTTCATCTCGCGGAGCATCTTCATCACTTCAACCGGTTCGCCTTTGCCGACGAGTTTTTGAATGTCGGGATCGTTCACGCGCATAAAGACATTGTGTTGCTATGATTGTTAGTGATCTTGTTAAGGGGTTCGGAAAATAGCGCATGACCATAAAGCGTACCTTCTCATCGCCAATGGTGAATTTGCCTTGGGTCTCCTTGTTTGCCTGGGAGTACTCGTCAAGCTTTCGGATGGCCTCATTGTCCAACACCTTCTTGGCAAATCGCACGTTGCCCTTTGTGTACTCATGCCCTGGGTAGACCTTGGTGTCGTCTGGAAGAGCTGCGAGGACCTCGTTCAACGCTTTGTGCATCTCAGTTGCATTGCCCTCGAAGAAGCGACCGCAACCACCGATGAAGAGAGTATCGCCGGTGAACACAGCACGGTCAGTTCCGTCCTCGAAGTAGAAACAAATGCTGTCCTGGGTGTGGCATGGTGTGTGAAGCGCAGTCACCTTGATGCTCTCGCCTATCGTGAACTGCGACTTGTGTGCTGGAGTCTCCGACACTTGGGTGCAGTCCTTTCCACCAATGATTGGGAGCTTGTAGTGCTTGAGCTGTTTGACTGTCAGATGTATTCACAAAGGTGTCCCGATGAGCTTACGATCTCAGAGTTACCTCCTGCGTGGTCATGGTGGCTTGCAAGGATTAGCGCACGTTAAGTTAGATATGTAGATTCACCTACTGGTGAGTGTTTATTATCTTCGAAAGCTTGATCGCGCTACTGGCAATCTTCTCTTTCAACACGGGCAGGACTCTAGTTGTAATATTCAGTGTACGTTCCAACTCTAGCAGAGCTTATCAGACCTACTCAGGCGGGTTTGCAGGGTCAATGATAACTGATTCCTTAGACTTGTCATCGGTCACAAGGTAGGCGTAGTTGTTGCCCGTCCCTTCCCCTGCCGTTTGGTCAGTACATGCTATCGCTCTCCCTTACGATGCTCATACACATGGGAATCGATTGGATATGCATGGCGCGGGATGCAGTCGGCTTGATGACGTTAGCTCTTTCGTGAACAGAAGATGGCGACGGCGCAATCTACTTTGGCAATGGATCGAGCAGAGATTCTAATTGTAGATTGCCTGATACAATAGGCGAGCAAGCTCATTAGGAAGCAGCGTAGAAGTAATTGCGTCGGTGTTAGAGACATGCAGTCCGTGACCAATCCGAGAGATGACGTTTTGCGTACTATCGATAAGGTCACGTGGGTAATCTACCTCGGCATTAGGCTAAGTCTGCAGGCTCCAGGACCATCGCATCCGACATGCTCACGCAGGGTAAAACTCAGTAAGCAAAGTGCGAAGATACTGGCTTTTCCTCACGCTCCGCATTACCAGCGTCTGACAGCAGCGAGTGGGCACACACCGATAACAGGAACACTTGAGGAACACCATTTGTCGTGGACGGGAAATCTTGGATGTAATTACGCACGAATGCTGGTACAGAACCCCAATCCCATCACCTATATCCTTTCTGCGTCCAAGACCTAGGCCCTGCTCGATTTTGAGCCCTGCATCACAGCAGCAGCCGCAAGCAGAGGGCGACGCGCCATCCCGGCATTCTGCCTGCTTCATCACTGCTCACAGTAGCTCTCGAGCATGCTGTCTTTGGGCAGACTCAGCGCGCAAAAATCCCGGTGGATATCGAAACTTGTCCAGTGAGAAGTAATTCATAGCTCTTCTTGCAACTCCTTAATCCAAATGTCCAGTGACTGTAGTCTGCGGGAGGCTGCGAAGCTTTTTTGTGAACGGGATCAGAAGGTCTTTTTGGGCCCTAATAGACGAGAAGTGTTCGTCAAGCGGCTCCAGCATGACTGGCGGGCATGCCGAAATCGGAGCCACCTCGATATTCAACAACGGGGGTTCCCAGCGAGAAAGGTCGTATATCAATTCGAGATCCATGAAAGATCGGCACAGCAGCTCGACATCCGCGAAAAGCATCTTTACATTGCCAGGCCCCCCTATGCCATTTATAGGGGATTGGTCCTCCTCGTTATACCTGCAGTTCTTGCCGGTTGTCACACGCAAAGCGTAGCCTCGGAAAACCTAGGTCGAGCCTTTTCTCCCCTTGCCCTTATCCAAGATACCCTCATCGAAAGCCAAGATGTTGTGGCACATTTCCCATTTTGTAGCACCGCCCGTAAAACAGACATGGACGAAGTGGTTGATTTTGACCATAAATCGTAGCTTTTCATTGTACACCTGCGGTGCTCACGCGCTAGATATTTGATTTGGCGTTCCTTTTGTGAAATTCACGACCGCGCATTTTATCTTCGGGAAGTGGCAGTGTGCATAATGGATTTTGTAAATCATGTCGCATATCTCCCGTTAAGACCAAAAAGCGCGAAGGAGTCGTGCTTGCGGATGCTTCAATATCTCTCCCACGGATATCATAGTTGCGGATACCATCCGAGGGAAGTGGAAATGTGTACAGCAGGATGTCTGGCGGGAGTTCAAGCAAGCGAAAGGGAGTCATGACTGCTGGTCCTCCGTTATTGTTTCAGATGCGCGAGTACGATTCCAACTTGTAGACGTCACTTTCCTGAATACCTGATGGAATAGATACGGTAAATGGTGAGCTTACGTTTAGCGGGACGACGAAATTTTGAGTGTGTTTTGAGGAGAATGTGCTAATCAGGGCGAATAAATCAATTGTGTGCACTGCATAGGCTTGCTACTATGAGATTAGTCAGCCTTCAACCTGAATATCTAGAGGTAAGGTAGTCAATTCTGATAGCATACCCCTATGGTAGGTGCAAGGTTCAAGTTTCTAATTATCAATCTGACACGCATGTCGCGAGAGGATCTCCTAGCAAGACCCAGACTTGAGCACGATATGAAAGCCAGCCGAGGTGCGATTAGGAAGCGTGAAGCTTTGGTCATGTTGTATCGTTGGGGCTACTTGCGACGCTCGCACCATCCGGGAGTGGACCAAAGGTATCCTTTCACTGCTGGGAGACACTATGGCCAATATCAGCACAGCCACAGCCGCAAATCTCCCTATACTCATATTGACACTATCTGTCAACACCACGGCAAATTAGGACCACGCCACTTCGCCCGCGAGTACATCGACGTACGCCGCATGCGATATCTCCTACACGAGTAACAGATAATACACACTCGACTACCTTACCAGCAGCGTCATCACCACTGTCACCATGGCATGCCACGAAGCCAAAAACTCAAGCGTCAGCGTCCCCTCCCAATCAACCCCGACCACGTCCACAGCACCCACCCTTCCGAAGGCATCGACAACACTCTTCACCAACGCACAAAACGCCCTCCTCCCATGCTCCGCGACCGATATCTTCATAGCGCCCGTTCACGCCCTCACTGTCGCCCCGCGCGCCGTGCTCACGCTGTTCCGCGGCATCAAGCGTGTCGCGAAGGCCGTCGTGCGCCGACGCCACGAACCCAAGCAGAGCCGCTTGACCAAAATCATGCAGGAAGCGCGGCTCGAGATGCCGGAAGAGATTGACGAGTGGGAGGAGGTGGATGAGGAGGATGTTAGGGAGGATATGCAGTGGGATAGGCTGCGGATGAAGTGGGAGAAGGAACGCAAGGAAAAGAAGGATAGGGGCGAGGATGTGAATGAGGATGATGAAGGTGAGTTGACGTAATGGTGAGGCGTGCGAGGAAGTACTGATTGTGTTAGGTCCTACACCGTTGGTGACGAGGAGGAAGGTTAGGCACTGGGACGATGAGTATGAATCCGATGGCGAGGTGATTGAGATTAGCTGAGTGAGGTCTCAGCTTAGGTTTGCTTTAGGAGCGTTGGAGACGGAAGTTTTTCATGGTTGGAAATGATGGTCCCCGCGAGTTCTTCGTTGCCTTCTAGGTGTGTGGTATTGTATCGACCTCCATCATTAGTCCCACGATCATGGCATCTGTTGACTATCGTCTCTTGTTCCCGCAGGCGGTAACGTAGCTGCTTCGCTGGCATATTTTTGTGCTTTGTTCCGCCCACAGCAGAGCCCTTGCGCGAGCGGTCCCCACCCTTGTACCACGTCGCCGCGAATTCACGCATCCACTTCATTGTGTCTATCCCTTGCGCCGAGGACCGCTCATTTCTTACCCTTCTTTTTCTTCTTACCGCCACCGCCCACTTTCGGTTCCGCAGGCGCCCCGGCCATCTTCACGTCCTCCTCCACCTTCGGCGTTGAAACCCCCGCTGCCTCAGCTGGCGCACCCAAGTCCTCCATCCCCTCCGGTAACGCAGCCTGGTGTCTCCCTAACCGTCCCAGGCTACCGATCAACCGGCCAACCTCCGCAGCCTTGGTTGTCTGGTACTGCAAGCATGTCCCCGAGGCCGGATCATACGTCTTGAGCACAAACGTCGCTTTTGGTTCCAGCGCGCTGTCTGCCGCGGGTGCTTCTGACGTGGGCCGTGATGAGTCGGCGGGGCGCGCGGCGCGTTTCTCGAGGTACCTTGTGTGCTTTTTAATCTTGCGCGCGTTAGGCTTGAGAACGGTATATTTGGAGGTTATGTGTGTCTGCGCACAGTGAGCGGGACGCAAAGCGTGCTATGGCGATTTGAAGCGTACGGTAGTAGGGCGCGCCTTGAGCAGCAGCGACGACTGCTCGTACCATTCCGCGCTTGTCTCGAGATATGGCATTGTGGGAGATTTGCTAGGTTATCTTTGTCAATGAAGCTTGGGGTTACAGCTGGATAGATGTGGAGGCGGGGCGCGGAGCTCGGTGAAACCATTCGGCCGCACCCTTCGCCCTACAGGCCCTTTCCTTCCCTGAGAATTGAGCAATCGAATGTTCGGGCATAGGAGACCTTTGCTACCTGCAGTTCCCTACTGTATCGTCTCCATCGTTCTTCGAATCTATTCTTGTGGCCGATGCAGGAGCCTGGTGGCACTTGACCCACGGTTTTACCAGCAGCTAGGAATTCAAAAAATCGGGACGCGAGACGAACACCTCCACATTTGTGACTTTGAGTCAGGATCCTACAGACCTGAACTGTAAAAAGCCCCAAAACTCTACTGTTTTGTTTCAATGCAGTGCTTACAAAGCAAAACCGGTAGTCGACCACTCATTTCCGACCCACTACCTTGCACCCGCCAGATACGTTGAGTACCGGTACTGTCAGACTAGTTCAACGGAGCTGTTGAGACCAATTGATCCGCTACACAGCTCAAGTTCCACCAGGCTACTCTACAACCACGACAAAGTAGCGCAACCAACGCTACGGGCATCGTACGCAATACCTTGGACAAGATGACCGACTCGCTAGCTTCTAGCGTCCAAGCTATGGATTTGGGTGCACCCGATGTCGATGATCTTATAGAAAGATGCAAAACACTGCACGAAGAAGTCGAGCAATACGTCATAGCCGTAAGTAAACTGTAGGGCACAAAGTGAAGAAGGTGACACTTCTTTCACTCTTTGCTGGAGATACACCATCATGTCTTAACTTACACTGACGTGGTATCTTAGGTCGACACCAGCCAAAGGCAGGCCAAGATACCATTCCAGGTGGAATACCGCACCTTGCGAAGCGACTTCAAGAATGAGCTGGCATTTCTGCAAAAGTTGAAGAGCGCGAATCACCCACCAGAAAAGGCTCGGCATTACGCTGTGTCGTCTAATCTTCTGTACTATGAGGCGCTCTGGGCAGCCGCGAAAAGGTCGTCAGGTTTACTTGCGTTCCGTAAGTACTTCTATTGGAATCGACAGAAAGGACAGGCCAAGAATGCAACCAGCTCTTACAAAGGCGGCGTGTCCAAGGGGAAGACCTCTGCGCTGGTGGACATAGTGGCTGCCGATGGCATGGAATGGATACGCGTATCGACCACATCTGAAAAACGACTCTTGTTCGACCTCGCTAAGATGGGCTGGCAAAACGACTCCGACTCCGACTCGGAGATGGAAGACGCTGTTCCGAGCAACTGGGAGGACGAAGACGACGACGACCAGGTCGAGATTGTCAAGAGTGCGCGCGAGCTGGCTCGGGCCGCGCGAGCGAACCCAATGCGTGGGCACGCGCCAAAAGTACGCTACGTCCTCACGCGACTCGCTTCAGGAAGACTCAAAGAGGTGGACATGGTTCTAGACAAAATGAGAGCGGTCGGCATTATAGTCGAGTGTGCGAACGAGATACCAGGCACTCCATCAGTCCAAGACGCGCTTCCGAACCTGTTAGTCGATCGGTCAAGGACTCTTTCCAAGACGTTGAACATCGACTGTACCATTCTTCTGGCGTTGATATCGGACATCTCCCATGGCGAATGCGAGATATTGGACTGGTATCCCGGCGAAGTACGTGCCCAGATTCTCGAAGAGCAAAAGGAGAAGCTCCTCCCAACACATCTCTACCCGGCAATTGCCTCGCACCCTATGGTCACCACCCAAGAAGCTGCCGAGCAGATGAATGTCATTGTCGACACTCTCGCCACTGATGCTGAAAAACGCCGGGCAAATCTTCTCCTCGCCCAGCGTGACTGTCAAGATATGGCACCCACCGACATCCTCAAAGAGTGGCAAACTCTCTCCGATCACCCTTCACCACCAAGTTTCCAGCTCCCCATCCGCGTCTTCCCAGCTCATGTCTCCTCCCGCATTGACACACTCCCCGCTGCCGCGAAGAAGATGCAGACTGAATTGGGAGAGCTGAACGCGGCGATTTTTTTCTACGGGTGGGCAGAGGGTCTCACTACGCTGAGTAGCAATCGCGCGCGGGCAAAGCAGATAGAGCGTTTTATTAACGAGGTGGGACTGAAAGATGGGCAGTCAGGACCACACGTGTGGTTATGTGGAGAGAGCAGGAGTCTGATTGCGAAGTGTGGACGGAGGAAGTGAAAGTGCAGAGAGGGTGACCTGAGTGCGGGTAAAAGCTCAGTGAGAGTTCGGTTAAGAACGGCTGGGCGAGAAAGAGTTCTTTCCTGCTAAACTGAGACATACTTTACCTTGGCTTGACTCGCACTGATTTTCTTAGAGCTCGTCATTTGAGTTGTAAAAAAGCTGCTATGATCTACCAGCAATGTGGTGGTTCCCTGGCGCACCGCCCCAGGCACCCACCAGCTTCTCATAGAGGCCATGAATATAGACCAGGCCATTGTGGAGCTTTTCACCGAAACTTGGATGTAAGTAAAAGAAAAGCGTTCAAGCCAAGGACCACTCACGTCACGAAAAAGGAACACCGGATGTAGAACGGGAGCTGCGTGTCAAATTACTTGTATGCAAGCGCCAGACCATGATTCAGTCAGAGTTGTAAGAGCACAAGGGCCGTGCAGGTTGAGTCTAGCTGGTGGAGACAATGGGTGTGGGCGTCCCCAAACAGGTTCTCCAAGGTGGAGAATGCATCTGCTCCACTGCGGACATGGATGGGGCTATAAGATGTCGCGCAGTCGATCGGGCTAGATTCCGGTCTTCACGATCAAAGGGCACGCCACGCGTCGCATCGCGCCTTACATGGAGACGGTTGCGATGTGAGACTGAATCCTGTTGAGACGCTTCAGCTGCAATCGATGCCTTGCATAGCACAGATGGGCAGAGTCGCAAGAGCGAGCCGCCTTACACGCGAGTTGCGCAACGGTTGTCCTTGCTTAGTGCGGGCGCTGGGCGTCTTGATAGGCTGGTGGGGGATCGGTCGATAATGCGTGAAACAAGCGTTCTCGTGATGCGGCGGGCGGTGTTGGTGCTGTGCGGCTGTCGCCATGGCAACGGGGCTTCCAAAATAAACGGCGGATACTGGGCCGCTCGCTATCACCACCCCAAGCCATCTCCAACATTGCATCACACCCGGCACCCGCACTCACACACAATCTGAACTTCCTCGTTCCATTGCGCTTCACTGCACCTTCCGCGGCTCGACGTGCGCGGCTACGCTCTTTTACCTGCGCTGGAGGATTGCGCCTGCCACGACAACACGCATACGCTACATTCCTCGGTTCAGCAGCTCCCCCACCTGCACGCAGATCATTCGTGCATGCGCATTTCCAGACGACGATACTAGCCGGGAGGCTCAACAGTCACCATGGACACGAGCTACCTGGCCCAGCAAGTCACGACTATCATCGGCCAGCTGCATGGCCTGTTTGATGAGATTGGCGTCGCCAGCCATGAGCGCGACTCGCGCGAGGCCGAGGTGAGCGCACATGCTTCGCCGCAAAGGCAACAGTGAATGCTAACGCGCGCAGCTTTTCTCGGCGCTGTCGGAGACTCTCCATAGTCAGCTTAAGCAGACGACCAACGAGAAGCATGAGATGACAGAGGAGGCCGAACGCCTGATCAGGACAATCCGCCAAATGGAAGCTTCACTGGATGACAACAAGCCCAATCCGAATTACGAGCCTGGCGACGGCCTCGAGGTTACCTACCCCCTGACGAGGTGCCTCAAGGAGCTGAAGGAAAAGTACAGCGCCGTTAGCAAGCTCCACCGCGAGCGCTTCGAGCAAGTGCGGAGTACGTCGCAATTTTGCCGTTACATTCCAATATACTGACACGCCGCAGAACTCGCTGAAGCCCTCGAATCATACGCGTCGCACTTGGACAGAGACTTTGTGCAAGTCAAGCTGCCTCCCACCGCGCCAAACGCCGCCATCTCGCCGTCTTTCGACATCTCGCCGTCATATGTCTCCTCCCTCGATCGCGAGTTCTCGCGTGTGTACGAAGAGTACAATCGCCGCTTGAACACTGTCCAGACGTTGTGCCAGGAAATGATCCAACTTTGGGCAGAGCTGGGCACGCCCCAGGCACAGACAGACACCTCCGTGGTTAAGTACCACCGCGAGGCTCCCGAGCAGCTCGGCCTGCACAACCAAGACATCGCCGAGCTCAAGGCCAAGAAGGAGCGACTGGTCGAGGAGAAGCGCGCCCGCGAGCGACGACTTGGGCAGTTGCGCTCTACTATTGAGGACCTGTGGGACCGCCTCAACATCGATCAGGCAGAGCGCAAGCAGTTCCTAGCCAGCAATCGCGGCTGCGGTCTGCGAGCGATCAACGAATTCGAGGACGAGCTCTCGCGCCTAAACGAGCTGAAGCGCCAGAATTTGCACATCTTCGTCGAGGAAGCGCGAGTGAAGCTGCAAGAGCTCTGGGACTCGCTATACTTCTCTGAGGAGGAGATGCTTGACTTCACGCCTGCCTTCTCCGACGTCTGCACTGACGCGCTTCTTTCCTCACACGAGGCCGAAATCGCCCGCCTGGAAGCACTAAAAGAACAACGGCTGCCGATACTTCGCAAGATCGACAGGCATCGGGAGCTTATCAAGGAGCGCGAGGACCTGGCGCAGTCAAGTCAGGACGCCTCGCGTCTGATGGCAAAGGGCCAAAAAGGCGAGAGGCGCGATCCTGGAAAGCTGCTACGAGAAGAGAAGATGCGGAAACGCATCGCCAAAGAGCTGCCCAAGATCGAAGCTGAACTGAAGGCGACGCTCGAAGCATTTGAGGACGAGTATGGCCGGCCCTTCCTGGTCCTCGGCGAGCGCTATCTGGATGAGCTCTATGCCTGTGCTCAGAAAGCTCCGCCGCCACGATCAAAGACTCCATCAGCAGCACCTATGCCCACCAAAGGACACTCAAAATCCCAATCCATCAATTCAGTGAGTCGGCCTGCGAGTGTTCGTGGCCCGCCACCACCTACACGGGCTAAGACGCCGGCATCGAATTTCAGCCAGAGCACTATGGGACGCCATCCGTTCGCAAGCTCGACGATGTCATCAGCCACAGGGCCGAAGAGTCCCTCTAAGATTCCAGCTCGTGCACCTTTGAAGACCATGCCGCATGGTGGTAATTCACCAGAGCGCAGGATGGCTCCACCGTCTCGCGAAGACCTCAGGGAATCAACGATTCGAAAGATGCCTCCGCCAATGGCGCCTCCACCACGAATGAAGGACTTGTTCATCCCTCCCGAGCCAGTGGCAACACCTTCGAATCGGTTCGACTTCAACCGTGGCGAGCGCAGCGAAAGCATCGTACGTCACGTTCCCCCGGAAGATACTTTCGACGACCGCTCCTACCTGTCGCAGACTATGCGCTCGAACTACACGCCTCAGTATATTCCCCCGAGCAGACAAATATCGCAGACGTCGTCGACAGGAACGGGTGCTACCATGCAGTCTGGCTCTGAGAACTGGGAGACGTTCAGCGAGCAATCAGACGATCCTCCGGAGCGCGACGTCGACCTTTATTACCACCGTCAGCAAATGGCACGAAGCAAACGCTTCACTCCCGAAGGTGGACATGCCGCGTCACCCCGCGGGATAAACGGCAAGAAACTGCGAGGCATTCGTCCAGTAGACGGGCCCACCTATATGCTCGAAGATGGCGGTCAGATGGTGCGCGCAGTCGAAGGCAGCGAATGTGGATGGACCGACGACGGCGACGCGTACTAGGAGAACAGCAAGTCTTCCGAAGCTTTAGCCTCTCTCCAGGTCAGAGGAACACGCGGCGTTCGCGGTTCTTCTTCGACACCTCGACCTACTTCGTTACGATCGCATGACGTCTAACGCTTTACGTCTTGGATTCATCACGTCCTTTCCCTTTATCCACTCTGGACACGATTGGGATGTCAAAATATCTTGCTTGCATCGACGAACGACGCACGAACAAATACCTTCTCGAGCGCGTTGGCGTGAAGCCCGCCTTGTCCACTTGACTCCGCCTACTGCGGCCTTCCATTTTGTAATGTTTGAAAATCGGGCGGTTGTTTGCATCATTTTCGTCGTCGAAAAAGACATTCTCTCTTCTACCCTGCGAACGGGTGTACCGGTCGGGGCAGCAGGCCTGTCCTGCTGTGCTCCCTTCCCTTTCTTACTCAGAACATACTTTTTGTTGCTGGTGCCGTGTTGATTTGCGTGCTTTGCATCTAGGGACTGGCGTTCGGCGTTCTGTAATGGAAAGCAGAGGGTGGAGGTATTGTTTAGTATGGTAGGCAGTGTTGGGCTGCATGAGCAGGGTCGCGGGGTGTATTTGTACGACGACCTTGAGGAACGTGAGATGAAAGAACTTGCTACAACTATATTTGAGCTTATTTCATGATGCGATGTGAAGTCCAAGGATGAGTGGAAGCAAAATTACATGGCCTCCTTGTCTCCGCTTGCGATTGTGGTGCTGTGATATGCTGTGATATGCTGTTTCATGTTACGTGCGTCAACTATCTATTTGCTGCGTCTCCGCTTCTCACGGCGGTGCGAGGGGCGATGGGGCCTGCCTTGTCTATACGTTGGACCAGCGACCTCTTCGTCCGGCCAAGGATTGCAGTGCTATATGCAATAGCGGCATGTCTTGAAGACTGATCTGGGTACGGTTCTCCGCGAGAGGCCTCTTCACCAGGGCTAAAAATTGCCGAGTCGAGGAGCATCTTGTGCGTCTTACACCCGTTTGATGCACTGCGTTGGCACGTTCCGCGTCCTATCAGCAGAGCGACTGTGTCGATACCGAGCACATGAGCCATCAAGCATGCGATTGATTAGCTGCCGCGTGTTAGTGACGGTCGTACGTGGGACTTGCACTAGGGACTGCCGGTGTGGTGGATCATTCTGCTGGGTCAAAGGAGGAGTTTCGTTGGCCACAACCACTCTGCGTGTGGGCTAAAATTGCAGTGTTTCCATCCCATGTTCTTGTTTCTTGAAGTACTCGAAAGGACGACTTCTCATGCTCGATTTAGTAGGGAAGAGAATGTGGGAATGGCGAAGGTGATTAGGAATGAGTCTCGTTGCGTACAACGAGTGTGTCCGTCTTGACGTATATGATGCGATGCTCTGCACCTACATCTTTGCGGGATCGTGTTAATTTCCCTGGGCTCTACTTCGCTCTTCGCCGGTCCTTGTGATGTACTGTGGCCCCCCTTTTGCGCTCGAAGTGACAATGCCACATGCATTGTCGGCTCGCCGAAGTGGTACATGGGAATGAACAAGTGTTGTGTTCCGCAGAGGTTTGCTCGTCCAGGATAAGGATTGCAGTGCATTAATCTACCGGGAATGACGCCTCTGCTAGCTATGGACACTATCGATCGGGTGTAAGGTTGGTGATACCCCCTTTTGTTCAGTTTCGATGGCTTGGGTCGCGACAATCAACCTTCGCGCGGGATTGCAGTGCCTTTCGTCCCGTCTCTACACACTGAAACCTGTCAGATGAGTGGCTTGCCACTTTTCATTGGCTGCTCGGCCACGCCAGAGATTGCAGCGTGTTCATCTCATGTTTGCCCCGTAGCTTGGCTTGCCACGTACAGTCTTCTTGGCCACAGTGAGAGGTGCAGTGTCTACGCCTTGTCTTTCTACCCTGTCCAGCTCAGGAGCTCTCGCGTGATAGGTCAACGAGGACACCGGGAATTATTAACTCTAAAGTGGAGTAGTGGACTTTTCATTCTCTTGGCGACCATGTCATTTAGCTGTAAATGATCGTGCTGCGAGACAGAAATAAAATTAGGGTATTGGCATTAACTCGTGATGAAGTTGATCGTAATCAATAGAAAGCATGTTTATAGACATTATGGTTATGGCGGTGTGTACTAGGGACCTTCAACGTCCAGTGTGTATATCCAGCAACAAGAAGGGGTATCATCTATGCCAGTTAAATCCAATCCAATCCAATCCACCTTTCCACTCTCACTTCCTCTCCTCATCCATCGCAATCTCAAACATCTCCTTTGCCAACCCCGCAACCTGCCCACCCAACCCTGCCAGCCCCGCCTTGATCGTCTCCACCGTCTCAGCCCTCAGCGCACCCTTCCTGGAATACACATCCACGCCAGCAGGCGTGAACAGCGTCTTCGCGAAGAACGTGACCACGTACGAGTTGCCCGTACCCTCCTCATCTCCATGCGCCAGTATCTCCCACTTGGAACTCGCAATCACGAGCCAGCCCTTGCCGCGCCAGCTGTACGCCAGACTCGCTGCGGCCTCGCCCTCGTCTGCCGCAGCGGTATCCGGCACAGAAAAGGGCTTGTCCAGACCGTGCACAGTCTTCGTTTTCGCAGAGGAGAGAGGCTGGTACGTGACCAAGTCATCGAGTTGCGGCGGGGAGGTCGACGGGACGGGCGTATAGGTAATCACCACGTTCTTATTCTTCCTCCACATGGGCAGCGTGGAGTGCGTGACGTTCCAAGGGCCGCAGAGCCATTGCAGGGTTGGCGGGGCGATGGAGGGGGACGGCTCGGTCGTGGGAAGCGTGGAGGGCGCGCGAAGGATGACCATGGTTGCTGCGGCGTGTGTGGAGCGGGATGGATGTGGGTCGGACGCGCGCACAGTTGCGGAGCTGAGTTTGTGCGATGTGCGAGGGAGGCTGTATCGAAATGGGATGGCTGAGTGCGCTGCCAATGTGCGGTGGATCAAGTCGTCAAGACATCTCGAGAGGAAATAGTCGAAAGCAATAAGGAAACCACCGCGGCCATCTTTCCTCCTTTCATTTCAGGCGAACACGACCACAGCGCGTGCCGGGAGCCTCACACCCGCTACACCAAAAACACGCAAGGCTGAAGATCGCTGCGGCAGCCTGCAGCGCCGAGCGCGGCCGCCGCCAGGGTCCCTCATCGCTCCGCCTGACATCACGCCAATCCCGCACACAACGCGTCTCGCGCCACCATTGCCAGCGAAACATCGACCCCAATCGCGCGCTACGTCACGCCCGCCTATTCTTAGACGGCCGCGTCGCGTCTCAGGCAGTGGCGTAGTGCCCCCGGCTGGCCGCGCTGACGACGCCCGATGAGACTGGAGCAGTAGCAGTGTCGAGGGGGCGGTGCAGCGGCGTCTCGCATGCACCGTCCAGCGTGCGGCTCCACAGCGAGCACAACGGCTGTTTGCCGCTGACGGCCACGCGTAAGCCTTTAAGATTGTGCCGTGCTGCTGTTTGGTTTGAGATATTTTCGAGCTTTGTTTGCTCGCGCTGTGCCTGAGGTCGAGCTTCTTGTTAGTCACTGTCGCTTCAACCAAGATAATATACCATCTGTTGTCGCTGCACCAACATCCTCACCGTTCTCGTCGTTACCTGGGACTGAATCGATAGAGTTCTCACATCCACACCTCTTCAATATGTTCATCCGAAGCCTCCTCCAGGTGGCCGCGCTCATCCCCTTCCTCACATCCACCACCTCCGCACAAACAGCATGTAACAACTCGCCCTCATTATGTAGCCGCGCCTACAACAACATGACCCACCTCGGTGCTCACGACTCGCCCTTCCTGCGCGACAAATCGACCTCCTTCTCCACCTCAGGAAACCAGTACTACAACTCCACCGTCCAGCTTGACGCCGGCGTGCGCCTCCTCTCCGCCCAAGTCCACAAGAACAGCAGCGCCTCTGGCTCCGACAAGTGGCGCCTGTGCCACTCGACGTGCGAGCTGCTCGACGCCGGCTCGCTCACCAACTGGCTCAAGGAAATCAAGGCGTGGATGGACGCCGACGCAAACAAAAACGAAGTCGTGACTGTGCTCATCGTAAACTCCGACGACGCCAGCGCCGCAGACATCGGCGCGCAGTTCGCCTCCTCGGGCATCGATTCCTACGCGTACACGCCGCCGTCGACCACCGTACCCAAGACCTGGCCGACGCTGCAGAGCCTCATCAACAACGGCACGCGGCTGATGACGTTCGTTGCGAGCCTGAGCGAGACGAGCAGCCAGTACCCCTATCTGATGGACGAATTCACGTACATTTTCGAAAACGACTTCGAGAACGAGAGCCCGAGCAACTACACCTGCACGCCGAACCGGCCTTCCGGCTTGACCACGAGCTCCACAGGCGGCCGCATGTTCCTCATGAACCACTTCCTGTACTCCACCGCGCTGTTCGGGATACAGCAGCCCAACAGCACCTACGTGAACGTCACGAATGCCGAGACCGGACTCGGGGCGCTGGGCACCCAGCTGGATAACTGTACGAGCGTGTATGGCCAGGCGCCGCAGTTTGTGCTGGTGGATTTCTTCAATGTGGGACCGGCGATAGCGAGTGTGGATCAGGCGAATGGGGTGTCCAGCGCGACCGGACGCAAAAGCGTGACGACGGCGCAGCCAGATGAGAATGCGACGGGCGCTGATGATAGTGCGGCGGGGAGGAGGGGGGCGAGTTTGGTGGCTGTGGTGGTTGCGGTTGTTGTGGCGGTTGCATTTGGGTTGTAAGATTGAGATGAAAAGTTGCTTGGTTTGGCATTTGCATAGCGATGGCGTTTTTTCTTGGGTTTTGGCATGGCATGGAACGAGTGAGGATTGTCGCATGGTAATGCGAGCGGAGGCTTGCTGCCTGCAACAAGTAGCACTACGATAGCATAGCATAGCATAGCATATGCATCAGTTACGATCATCATCGTGTACACTGACTCATATCTGTACTCGTTTGCACACATCAGGTTTCCATTTCATTCATCCTCTTAAAGACCCACATGACTCCTAGTTGATAGATGTGCGTACCATAATCGAACGAACGAATGGCACAGAAAGGGCAAGCGGTAAAGACAGTGTCGCACAACAGAAGCACGAAACAGGTCTAATCAGAGCGAGGACGACAGAGGCAGTCAACACGACGGAAAGAAGGCCCAAATGGAAGCACTAAAGACAGATGAGAGAATATGGAGTTATCATAACGAGAGGACAGCGGGACTAACAAGAACGCAGCAAAGAAAGTATTACAACACAAGCGAGTAAGAGTCAATCCGTGTCAAGATCAGGAGCAAATAGCTCTTCGGCCGCTCTACGGGCTTGGCTGTGAGTAGCGACGACGGCGACGTGTGCTCCATTCGAATAGCCCCGGACCAGAAAAAAGCCAGTCGATCAAGCCTTGATTGCGGTTGTTGCTCCCGAAGTACGTTCTTATGTGCTTTGATCACTGATTTGGTCGAAACCGACAGGCACACCCGCTGTACCCATGGCATGGCTCGATGGTGCCCAAGCTGCAGATCGCCGGTTGGTTACGATTTCCGAAATCATCAGACACTGGATGGTGATTGAATTGCGGGCAGAGCTTTAGAGCGGCCATGCGCTGGGGCGCGTATTCGTGATAACGGCCAAAGGTTTGAAATGTGAGCATTAGGTTGCACACCGTAGTTCTCTACAATATCCTCCAGGACTGGTTTTGTCAACCAGAGCAAAGGCGCACCACTGACCCTCAGCTTTAGCCACTTCCTTGCTATTCTTAGAGGTCCGTGGCATTCGTTCGCGAAAATGTGGTACTGTTCGAAGTGGACTGCGAAGTCTTGAAGTTTACGCAATCGCAATTTCCACACTGGACAGATCACCTTTACACTCGTGGGATCATATCCAGCATCCAGGATAGCTTCAGAGTTGGCTTTCCGCTCTTCGAACCATGTTTGCACGTATGGTTTTGCACTTCTCTCATCGCAAGCCTCTCCGTGCTGTGCTTACATGCTGATGTAAGACGGCTTCGAAGGTGATCGAATCCATCATAATTCCGTAAAATAAAAGTCTTGTCCCTTGAACCAGAATCGTGGGATACCATGTGGACCACCAAAAGCATGAGTGGAACTCGAATGCGGCTTGTCGCAACCACCGAGCAAATGGCTTCCTCGGTATCGCCGTGAGCCGTCCTGAGATGATGTATATGCTTATCCGACTGGTAGCAGGATTTTTCACAAAACGACAGAGGGCTTTTCTCCCTCTGGTCATCCCGATGTTTGTTCATCTGACATTAGAGGTTGTACTTTCGGTTGAAAGGGCCGCGATACTTACACCCTGGGTGCTCGCATCTGATGCCATTGTCGGTTTTGATGTGAGATTCTCAAAGTATATCCACAGAATCTGATTGTGTGTGATCACCGTCAATTTTGCTGTACTAATGGCCTCCAAATCCTTCCTCCTCGCGAATGACTGCGCATCTTTTACAATTGCTCACAGCCTCTCCCTACTGCCCCCGGCCGCCCTCATCAACACCCCCGTCTGCATCGGCTTCTTCAACATCCACCTCCCCCGCGGCCTCTCCCCTCGCCCCAAAAGTGGCGCCTCCAACCCCTCCCAATTATGATACATATTCCGGTCTGCCTCGACATGCGGCTTCAAGCCTTTCGGACAACTATCCCCATCGCCGTTCAGCTGGTGCACCCAGTACCGCAAGTTCGCGACGTCGTCAACGGCCAGCTCGGAAACGTCTGCCCAGTCTGCCTCTTTCGTTTCGGAGAGGTGGGAAGATAGAGGGACAAGGTCGAAGCAGTGCCCGCGCCAGCGGCCGTCGTGGAAGGCGAAGACGAGCTCGTGGTGTGAGGGGAGATCGGAGTGGGCGGTGAGGGTGAGGAGGAGTTGGGCGAAGGTGAGGGGGGAGGTGGAGAAGGCGTCGTCGCTAGGACCGGGTGCTAGACTTTCCGGTGCTTTGTCCTTGCCAGTCTTCTTGTCGGAAGCGAACGGCTTCAGCATTTTGATGAAGGTGGAGGAGCGCGAGGGGAGCTTCGGGCGTGCAGAGTCGGAGGATTTGCGCGCCGAGGGGGTGAGTTTGTCCGAGCGGATGAATTCGGAGGTGGTGAGGTTGCGCAGTACCCAGGTGCGGGACTGGGGGTACGCACGGAAGAAGAGGTCGCGCTCAATCTTGCGCCAGTCGGCGTCCTTGATGACGGCCCAGCCCGGTGCCTGTGAGCGAGACAGGAACTTCGCGGCATCCAGGACTTCTGTCCAGCGCTGGGCCGCGGTGATGGTGACGTCGGAGAGCCGGCGCTCGTCGACATTGTAGGTTTCCAGGAAGTCTGGGGCGTTGGTCATGGCTGGTCGGCGGTCCCAGACTGACCGGCATTGGAAAACATCGTCGTCTGATGTGGGGATGTAGCCGTAGAAGCCCACCTCTTTGCAACTCCACAGACCTACGAAGCGTTCGTTCTGCTTGTGGATGAGGCGCAGGACATAGGCCCATATTACATTTGAAGAAAGACCCCAGGCCAGTACATCCCTCTCTTCATCCTGGATGTAAGTGAGCACCTGGTCCAGTAACTCATTTGGGAGGCGTTCTATTGGAGCTAGAGCTTTGCTTTGCTTCGGAAGGTACGACTGCGAGAACTGTGCTTCCGCAACTGGTCGTGCAAACGTCGTCCAAAGCCACGGTGCTGACCCGATCCAGGTGGGTGGACTCTCTTTTGGGAACATCTGCATGAGGCCCGCGTTGCTCGGAGTGGGGCACTGAAATTCGTCGGCTTCATGGCTCAGCAGGAAAAAGCTCCCTGGGAAGTTTAAGCCGCGTGTTGGTACTGGTCTAGGAGGCGATACCATGTTGACATTCCCGAGCGCTGCAAGTTGGTAAAGTAGGATGAAGCTCTCTGATAATGGGAACCAGGTTCACCGCCTCGAAAGAAGTTGGACGTAGCGCAAGCAGGCGATTGGCTCATCTCTAGCGGCTTGGCGAAGACTACATACAAAAATGCTAGTATTGAGAGGAGAGGCGGTGCTTGAGGATCGCCACTCAATGATAAAGCTGCGAAATTGCGTCGTACAGATACTTTTCAATATTGAATATGTATGTTCAAGAATGCTCTTCGTACACCTAGATATGTTCCCTATCCCCAAACGCCACGCTGAAAAACTGAGGGTATACAAGCAATGCGAGAAATGCTAGAACTCCACCCAAAATGCATAAAAATGTCAACCGTCGTGATCGTCGCACCACAATGTCATGTCTCACTGCACCTCAAGCTTACTCATCCTCATCATAGCCCTCGGGTGCGACCGCCCACCCACACTGCCACCTTTTTCCTTCTGCCTCTCCGTTCAGCCTCAGCTCTCGCGCCCTAGAGCCTTCATTCCATCTCCGTACACGGAAGTCGTCGCCAACACTGATCAAGGACCCGCTCTTTGTCCAAGATACGCTGGTTACCTCCGCATCGTGGCCACGGATCAAAGGTGTGCCGTGCTCGTAGATGGGAATTGTATCGGTCAGCATACAAGGAAACTTGCTTCCAGTAGACGCATTGCGAGCCAGCGTCGGGCGAGATGATCTCCTTAGCTGGGGGAGTTCTGGGAACTCTTCTGTCCGGGTGTTTTCGCGCTTGAGAAAGGTTTCATCGGTAGGGAACAACACTGGGCAGCCGTCTGTGCTTCCGACAGCCAAAAGCTCTGGCTTGTCGTCTGAGGCTTTACGAAGCGACGCCTTCACGTAGAAAGAACCAGCGTGGAAATTGCGATGTCGGAAACCGTAGATTGGTCCCAGGCCGTCTTGTTGGGCCCTCTGATGCTTTGACGTGGTGGAGGAGAGTTCCGGTGCCACACCTAATATAAGATGACTTGTTGAGTATGCGTAAACTGTGTTGTCTTTGCTGAGAGCATACAACCGGGCTGCATCGCCACTCAGGGTGAGCGAGTTGATCGCGAAGTGACGGTGCCGAGTGTGCGACTCGGGGTGTCTCGTAGTCGATATAGGCACAGCAGGTCCGCGCAGAGAATATCGGCCTCGTATATCCCACAGCTTGACACTTGTTGATGCATCCGAAGCTGTCAGCAACAGATGCTGACGACCTGTAGGCAGAAACGAGAGCGCAGTGACAGATACATCGTTGCGTCGGCTCAATGCTTCGCTTTTCCGGTTCGCCGAGCTCTTGGTGTTTACAATGGCGTCGCTGATGGGTCCAGGGTCTGCGTGGGCAGAAGCGAGTGACTTGATAGTGCTGGCGTATGGCACATCATCACCCCAGGCGGGATGTACATTGGTGTGACCGCCCTTGCATCTTAGATCCCAGATCTGGACAGCACCGTCACGACTCGAAGTGGCTACGATGTTGTCATCCCCTGGTTGAAATCGTATCTGTTTCACAGAAGATTTGTGCTTAGCCAGAACATGGACTGTCTGCTGGGTCCGAGCATCGATGATCTGCCCCGTCTGGTCGCCCGAGGCAGTCGCAATCCAAGAATCATCGGAGGAGAACTGGATATCCATGATCGCGTTGCCATGAGCCCTCCAGGATACATGAGCTTTTGAAAAGCCGGTCGGTTTGTCATCCTCGGAATCGAGCAGGTGGACCCATCCATCCTCATCGCCAACGGCGACCAGTGAATTGACATTGCATGAAGCGGTGCAGAATGGCGGGGCGCCTTGAGGTAGCTCATAATGATCCTCGGCTGAGCTGTAAAAGTTGACAGTGTGGTCCTGCCACGACGCTGCGCAGTGGTCGCGTCGAAGACCTCGCCCAACACTCAGTATACCGCCAAAGGAGCGAGTCAGCTTTCGCGAGGTCCCTCCCAAGCTCTTCAGTCGTCGTATTGGCTCTGGGAAGATAGGCACAGGCGGCTCATCGAATACGGGAGCATCCTCGAGAATGTTGAAGGGCGGCGGGGTCGCGTACTTGTGACGTTTTGTAGGCGATGATTGAGCCGGGGAGCTCTCTGGCGAGAGATACGGCGTCTTACGCTTGCGAGAGTTGAGCTGGGGGGTCTGCAGGCCCTTGTCGACCTCAATGTCGGCGAAGTTTACTGTCTTGCGGGGCGTAGTCCTGTGCGCGGCATTGCCGCGATTGATGGCAGCGCGCGTGATATCCTGCAGCTGGCGCCCGGAGCTGGAGAGCCGTGAAGAGCCGTGTGACGAAGTGCGCGGCGTAAAGAACTTCTGGAATCGTTTAGGGGTGATGGGCGGCGGTTTTCTGACCTTGCGGCTGCCCGCGTTCGCGACGTGTGCTGGTGGCGGCGAGCTCGGCAGCTCTGACAGGCGCGCTGTGCACGGCGACGACGACATAATTCCTATTATTACTGGCACATGTGGGACACAGATACAATTGGCGCGAAGAAGACGTGGACTGCGAGAGAGACTTCCTGTCTAACAGCGCAGGACGAGACGAATATAACGGAGCTGAGGGGAGAGGCTGGAACCAGCGCACGGCCGGTCCTCACGCGCGTGGTCGCGACTGCCCAGGTTTGGCGCGTTAAGTGGCCCCGCGCCTGCCGTGTCCGTCTTCGGGCGGCGGAAAAACCGGACCACCGCCCCACTCTTTTTTCTGAGAGGAAAGTTCGACTGGCGAAAAGTTCGAGGTGCGTCGAGGTGCATTGTCCACACACGCGACACCCGCAATGGGCGCAATCAAACGCAAAGCAGACCAGGGCACAGCTCCCGCGAAGAAGGAGAGGAGCGCCCCGCAGGATCGATCTGCAAAACGCCAGCGCAAATCCGACGCCGCAGACCAGCCGCCGCCCGCGAAAGCGAAGCCCGACATTTCCACGCAGAACAGCATCTTCAAGGACGAGGAAAAGTCGTTCCCCCGTGGAGGCGCCAGCGTCTTGACACCGCTGGAGCACAAGCAAATCCAGATCAAGGCCAACCAGGATGTGCTTTTCGAGCAGGCCGGAGGGAAGAAGCGTGGTGGGGACGATGGGATGAGCGACGAGGATGAAGACATGGGAAGCGGCGACGAGGATGCGCCAACGAAATCCAAGAAGCGTAGAGCGAAGAAAAACAAGAATGCGCTTGGCGAGGAGGAAGAGGTCCATAAGATCAGGGCCGAGGGCTTGACTTTCAAGGTGTGTTCAGGCCGAGCAATCGCATGGCGCAGGCTAATATGTGCAGAACCTCGCAATCGGCACTCTTGTTCTGGGACAGATCATCGACGTTACCGCACAGGACATCGCTCTCGCTCTCCCCAACGGTCTCGTAGGATACGTGCCCATCACCGCAATCTCCGACAAGCTCGATGATAGGATAGAGAAGCTTCTCAAGGAGAACGAAGAGCTGGAAGAGGTCGAGGACGACGAGGACGATTCTGAGGATGTGGACTTGAGGACCATGTTCACCGTTGGGCAGTACCTACGTGCACGTGTGACCTCTCTTTCCGAGGACGCTGCTCCTGGCGAATTCACAGCGAAGCGCAAGCTGGAGCTGTCCATCCACCCCCACGCTGTGAATCGAGGCATTTCGAAATCGAGCCTGGTGGAGAATCTTATGGTCCAGGCGTCTGTCATCAGCAACGAAGACCACGGCTTGGTTATGGATTTGGGTATAGATGAGAAGAATTTGAAGGGCTTCCTGGGCAAGAAAGAGTTGGGCGCGTCAATCGACCATGCCAAGATTCAGGAGGGCGCTGTGTTCTTGTGTCTGGTATCCGGTGTTAATGCTGACGGCAGGATCGTCAAGCTCCTGGCGGATCACGCCCAAGCGGGGAATCTGAAGAAAGGACACACGCTTACGGTTGCGCCCACGATCGACGTCTTCCTCCCCGGAACTGCGGTCGAGTTCCTCATCACTGAAACATCGCCCAACACTCTTACTGGTAAGGTGATGGGTCTAATCGATGCAACCGCCGACACCATCCATTCTGGAGCCGCCGAGAAGGCAACCGATCTCACCGAGAAGTACAACACAGGAATGAAGATAAAGGCCAGAATTATCTTCACAGCGGAGGATGAAGATGATGTGAAAAGGGTCGGAGTCTCGCTCATCGATCACATCCTCTCCTTGACCACTCGCATGACTGGAAAAGCGAAAGAGCGGAAGTCTCCCCTGGACGTCGTTCCTTTGTCTTCTATTGTCGAGGACGCAAAGGTCACCAAGGTCGTTCCTATGCTTGGAGTTTTCTTTGCCCTTGGCCCTCGCGATGTCGCTGGTTTTGCTCCCTTGAACAGGCTTGCGGATGAAAGAGTTGAGATGCCGATGGAGGGTTCTGGTCCTTTCCAGTTGGCGTCAACACACAAGGCCCGTGTCATTGGCTTCAGTGCTTTCGATGGGATGTACCGACTTTCCCTCGAAGAAAAAGTCCTTTCACAGCCCTTCCTTCGCATCGACGAGATTAAGGTGGGACAGGTAGTCAAGGGCAAGGTCCAGAAGCTGTTCGCAGACAGGGATGGGTCTACTGCCCTCCTGGTGCATCTAGCGGACGGAATCAACGCAGCGGTTTCTGAGATTCACTTGGCCGATACGAAACTCCAGCATCCCGAGCGCAAATTCCGCGAAAACGCGCCTGTCACTGCCCGTGTGCTATACGTGGACGTTCAGAAGCATCAAGTACGACTTACTCTGAAGAAATCCCTTGTGAACTCTGATGTTGAGCCATGGTCAAACTACTCTCAACTCTCTGTTGGTGCTACTGGTCCTGGAACACTGGTCAATGTCAAACCTGCGGGAGCACTGGTCCACTTCTATGGTAGCCTGCGAGCCTGGCTTCCCGCCGCTGAGATGAGCGAAGCGTACATCGCAGACGCTACGCGACATTTTACCAGGGGTCAGGTGGTCAACGTCCGCGTCCTATCCGTCAAACCCGAAGAGCACCGCGTCGTAGTCTCGTGCAAAGACCCTGCGGCCGTTAACGCAGACAAGGAAACCAAGTTTAACGAGCTAGCAATCGGCGATATTGTCAAAGGCATCGTCGAGGAGAAGGGCGCCGACTCTGTTATCGTGGAGTTGGAAGGTGGCGTCAAAGGTACGCTTAGAATTGGTCACCTCACCGACGGCTCGGAGAAGAAGGACCAGTCGACGATGGCGCGCGTCCGTGTTGGGGGACCACTCGATGATCTCATCGTCCTTCAAAAGCACCGCAAGTCAAGGACTGTGGTTCTCACAAACAAGCCCAGTCTTCGAAAAGATGCGCAGGCAAAGAAACTCATCACGAAGATTGATGATGTTAAAGCTGGCTCGACCGTGCATGGCTTCATCCGCGCTATTGACCCTGACAAGGTGTTCGTTGAATTCGCTGGTGGTGTCAGCGGTCCCATATTCAAGTCATCCCTGTTGGAAGACATGCTGTCAAAGCCAGCTTTCGGACTGCGTCAGGATCAGTCCATTACCGCCCGTGTCACTCACGTGGATTTGGACAAGAAGCGACTATGGCTCTCTCTGAAGCCAGCCGAGTCGGAGGAGCCCAAGAAACAGCTAGCATCGTCAGCTATAGTTGCAGTCAACCCTGTCGATGAACACATCAAGTCCACCGCGGATATTGGATTCGGTACCAAGCTCGCTGTGCGCGTCCGTTCGCCGAAGCCTACTCAGATCAACGTCAGAATTGCCGATAACGTCGATGGTCGCATCCACATTTCGGAGCTGTTTAAGACCTGGGATGAGATCGTTGACAAGAAACATCCGCATCTGCAATTCCAAACTGGGCAGACCATTCAAGTCACCACGGTCGGCATGCATGATGCAAAGAACTATCGTTTCCTTCCCATAAGCCACCGTCAAGGCAAGAACAGCATCTATGAGCTGACGACAAGAGACCACATCAACATCGAGACCGACTTGTTGACCCTGGACAAAATTTCGAAAGGAGATTCATTCGTCGCTTTCGTAAACAATCACAACGATCGTTCCGTCTGGGTCAACATCTCAGCTACTATTCGTGGCCGAATTGATTTCTTCGACCTTACAGAAGATCTCAACTTGCTTGGAGATGTCGAGGAGAACTTCCCCATCGGCTCAGCCCTCCGAGTGCGTGTCAAAGATATCGATGTCAGCAAAAACCGTCTGGACTTCACTGCTGTGTCCAGCGACTCAGTAAAATCGCTTACACTGAGGGACTTGAAGGCTGGCCTAGTACTACCGGCTCGTGTTACGAAGCTTCATGACTCACATATCGTTGTCCAGATCAACGAGAACGTCGCAGGACCAATCTTTCTAGAACAACTAGCAGATGACTATGATCAAGCCAAGCCTTCCGAGTTCAAAGTAGGCGACGTCATCCGTGTATGTGTTACACATGTGGACCCAGCCAACAAGAAGATCAGCCTATCTGCACGCCCATCCAAAGTCCTCAGTTCCTCTCTGCCGGTCAAGGATGCCGAGATTACTTCCCGGAAAGATCTCAAGGTCGGCCAGGTCGTTCGAGGATTTGTCAAGAGAGTCGACGAAAAGGCCATCTACGTTCGCCTCGGCCCTGGTGTTGACGCCATGGTTGCGGTGGGCCATCTCAGCGATGAGTATGTGAAAGACTGGCGTGAGAAGTTCCAAGTCGATCAGATGGTCAAAGGAAAAATCACGGCAAATGACGACCAGCAGAGGAACCCGCTCATGAGTTTGAAGAAATCTGTCATCGAGGGCGACTATATTGCACCTCTCGGCTTCCAGGACATAGAGAAGGGCCAGATCGTCACTGCAACCGTACGACACGTTGCAGAGTACGGTGTCTTCCTTGTCGTCGACAAGTCGCGCAATGTTAGTGGGCTGTGCCATGTTTCCAAGATGGCCGACAAGGGCATTGAGAAAGGCAAAGTTAAGGAGCTGTACAAGGAGGGTGACGCGGTCAAAGCCAAGGTTCTGACGGTCAACCCCAAACTGAGGAAGGTTACGTTCAGCTTGAAGTACTCGGATATCGCGGGCAAGAAAGACAATGATGACGAGGATATGGAGGACGCTTCTGATGTCTCTGATGTGGAGGCTGAGTCACCGGACGAAGACGCGGACGAAGACGAGGATGAGGATGAGGATGAGGACATGCGGAGCGTGAAGAGCGCCAACAGCAACGAGGAGCTCGACGCCAACATGGATTCCGACTCCGACGATAATGATGGGGGTGTCTTTACGAAGCCCACTGCAGGCCTAAGCACCACCGGTTTTGATTGGACTGGTGCCACCCTCGATGCTGATGACACGAAAGTAGCTTCCGACGATGACTCCGACGACGGTGCATCGAAGAAAAAGAGACGACACAAGAAAGCAACCATCAAGGAAGACCGCACAGGCGACCTCGACGCTTTCGGGCCCCAGTCTGTAGCTGACTACGAGCGACTTCTCCTTGGCCAACCCAACAATGCCGAGCTCTGGGTCCGCTACATGGTTTTCCAACGCGAGCTCAACGAGATCGAAAAGGCCCGGCAAATCGCCCGTCGTGCCCTTGCTACGATGAACCCCCGCGAAGAGAAGGAGAGACTAGACGTTTGGACCGCCCTTCTCCATTTGGAGAACGACTTCGGCTCCGATGACCTCATCGACCAGACCTTCAAGGAGGCCTGCCAAAACAACGACTCACGTGAAATCCATGAGCGCATGATCAAGATCTACATCTCCTCCGGCAAGCTCGACGTAAGTTTTACCCAGTCCCTCTCTCGTCCCTTGTGCCGCATACTAACAGTCAAACAGAAAGCAGACAACCTTTACCAGTCGATGACGAAGAACAAGTCCTTCACGCCCGACCCCGCCCTGTGGCTCTCATACGCCACATTCCTCCTGACCACCCTCACACCTTCATCGCCCGCTCGTGCACGGGCTCTTCTCTCACGCGCAACTCAGAGCGTACCCGCGCCACAGCACCGCTACCTCACGCAGAAGTTCGCAGCGCTGGAATTTAAGCACGGCGATGCCGAGCGCGGACGCACCATCTTCGAAGGTCTCGTCGCGGCGTGGCCCAAGAAGTGGGATATTTGGGATGTGTATGCTAGTCTAGAGATTAGCCATGGCGGCGTGGAGAATGTGAGGGATTTGTTTGAGAGAATGGGACGGGCGGATATGAAGAAGAGGAGGGCGGAGCAGGTGTTTAGGCGGTGGAGGGAGTGGGAAGCCTCTGTCGGAGGGGATGCGAAAAAGGTGGATAAGGCGGAGCAGGCGTGGAACGAGAAGAAGGCGGAGAAGGGCGAGGCGGAGGAGTAGAGGGGATGTACTGCATCGTATAGCATTTGAGGCGTTATAAGTAGTGGGCAAAATGTATGAGCTTTCTTGGTTTGCGTACGTTGTTTCTTTGGTTGGGGGTGTGGGTTTGTGCCGCTTCGCTGCTTTCCTTGTCTCGTCGTCCACGAAAGGTCTCCTCGAGGGTGCTAGAATTGCAGTGCAATGCCCCACATGCACGAGCACTTGCGCAGGGAGAAGCATATCGGTTGTTTGACGCTGCTCTCGCTTGTACTACGACAGTGAAGAAGTACCATACAAAAGCGATAGGGGAGATCGTCCACGCGCAGGCTGCGGTCGGGCGTGATAGGCTGACATGCTGAAAGCGTGCACAAACGAGGGACGGTTGGCCAGTATGTGTATATTGTAGAGACAACCGCTAGGAGTCGAGTGAGGAGGATGAGATCGACTGCTTGTGTTGCTCCAATGTGGTGCATTACGAAGCTCGCTTTGATCGACTTGTCTATCGGCCTCGTAACAGTCCAGGCATTTACTTATAGCGATGTGTTGAAATTGTCGGGGGGGCGGAAAGAGCATTCTATGGAGAGAGCCCTGTTCGAACGCTTTAAGAGGTATTGTTGAGCGCTGTGGTTCCATAGCCACACCGTGAGCTAAATTCTACCGTAGACTTGATGAGTTGACTGAAATCGGGGGTTGTGCTTGCAATAGAAGCCTGTGCCGATCCTGAAGACGTATCAGTCTAAGACTTTCGCTTATCCATCAATCAGCAAGAGTAAGCACAGATCCGCGTTCAGAATCACTATAATCATCATTAGCATCATCCATTATATGATCCCACGGCTCATTTGTGATATATTTTCAACGCAGAAAGCCTCATAATCACCTTTGGACCGCAATGGCTCTACGATCCACTTTCTTCTTGATCTTGCTTTCGACCAAATCGTTCGCACAGGTTCAAGATGACTGGTCATCGCTGAACCAAAGCGTTGGCGGCAAGCTATTCGAAGCCAAACCCTTAGCATCACCATGCTTCTCCTTCTACGAGGGCTCACCGCACCAAATGGATGCAGCAGAATGCGAGCGACTACAAAAAAACTATACTTCCATGGACTTGCGTATCGAACGGTACGCAGGCTTTGCAAACTCCCAGGATGAGATGTGCATGTCAAACACCACCGACCAATGCCTGCTCGACAGCACCAATCCGTCGAACGCACTAGCCTACAAAAATGTATCGTGCAACCAAGGGAGCGTATCGAGTTACTACATCACTGTCTCTTCGGCTGAGGACGCCCAAGCCGCATTTTTATTCTCGCGCCGGACTGGGACTAAGCTCTCCATAAAGGCGACCGGGCACGACTATAACTCGCGCAGCAGCATCAAGGGGACGCTTGCGCTGTGGATGAGGGGCTTGCAGAACATGTCTCACGACCACTATTTCGTTCCGCAAGGCTGCGACTCTGGAGAAGCCGTTGATGCTATGACATTCGGAGCTGGCGTAATAGCAGATGAGGCGTACACTTTCGCAGATGCCGAAGGGGTGACTGTTCTGGGTCCATACGCATCTACAATCGCAATGTCTGGCGGGTGGCTCCAAGGTGGCGGCCACTCTGTGTTGAGTCCAGTGTTCGGCCTTGGTGTCGACCGCGTGGTGCAGTTCAAGATCGTCACTCCGGACGGACATGTTCGCATAGCAAACAAGTGCCAAAATAAAGATGTGTTCTGGGCATTACGCGGGGGAGGTGGAGGTACATTTGGTGTTGTACTCGAGGCAACACACAGAGTTGAAAGCAAGTCCGTTCCGCTGGCAGTAGCGAGCATGAGCTTCCCAACCGCTGCCGACAAGTCGAATGTCATGCCCTTCCTCGAGATTTGCGTCAACGAGTCCCTGCGATGGGGAAGGGAGGGGTGGGGCGGACACATTCAGTTCATGACTACGAAGCTCATTCACGTCACCCCACTGCTCTCGCTCGAAGAAGCGGAAAACTCCATGCGACCGATCACAGAGTTCGTCAAGTCACAGAAAGGAACAGCCATCATCGAGATGCTTCCGAGTTGGTACTCGTTCTACAAGAAGTACCTCATCCCCAACATCGCGCCAGTAGGGCAGACTCGCATCCTCGCAACAAGACTAATTCCCACGACCTTGTTCGAGACGGCCGAAGGCAGGACAAACCTCACTTTTTTCCTCGCTGACATTGTTCAGAACGGCCTGCTTCCTTATATCCCCGTATCAACCCCGTTCCTGGTTGACGATCCACATAACACGACCTCAGCAAACCCAGCATGGCGAGCTTCTTTATGGCATCTAGGATATGGCGCGATCACGTTGCCGTGGAACAGCACTCTAGAGCAGACCCGCATGGCGCTGAAGAAGTCTGCTTCGTTCGTCGAGAAGGCGGAGAAGCTGGCACCGAGCAGCGGGACATACTTCAATGAAGCATTTCCATGGACGAACGAGTGGCAAAGGGAGTTTTGGGACGGTAATTATGGAGAATTGTTAAGGATCAAGAGGATATATGATCCTGATATGCTCTTGAGTTGCTGGAAGTGTGTGGGCTTCGAGGATTCGGTGGATGCGCGGAGCTCATTTCGGTGTCTTGACGATGTACTAAAGTAGGACATCTTTAGGCAGAAACGTTATGACTTCAGACTCGTTGTCTGGTGTTCAAACTATACTAATTTTATTGGAATGAATATACTCCCTGAAACTCATAGACAAATTAATTTGCATGGGCTACAGGACGGATTTTCGGGCGAAGATTGCAGTGCAACGTTGTATAACACGACAGCGAGGCTACGAAGTCCCCGAGGTCGTACACGATCAACTCACGCTAGTGTCAAAGTGGCAACGACTCCTTCGAGTTCGGGTATGTGGTGTGTAAGGCGCCAAACTCTTGCATGAGCATGGGATGTTCTGTTCGAGCTCGTGGTTGAAGAATTGGTATATTCATGCGTATGATCCAGGAGATTAGCTGGTTCACAGTCGTGACAAGCCGATTATAGATGTTAATGGTGAGGGTATGTAATCGTGGGTGCGGGCGTGTTTCACGTGCTGGCGTTGAGAAATCCGGTCGGACAGAATCAAGCCGAGTATTACTTACGTCGACTGTAAGGCAGGAAGTCACAAAAGCTTACAAACTCTGGGGTCAGGCACGCGTCAGCCTTGCGGCGAGTGGCGTCGACTGTTCCTGATTGATGCAATAGGCTTGATAACACGACGCATTTAACCGGGTAAGCATACCCCGCTCAGGTACTCTCTCTACCACTTCCTGTTTAGAAGTGGGATACAAAAATTCGAACAGGTGTCTAGAAGTCCGAAAGTGTGGTCTCACTTCAGCTTCGAGATCTCAGTTAGCTGTCGTCATGTAAAGCATACTTTTACATTCTCTCCCTTGGACTTTATTCATGTTGCTGCAGCCGGAACTACTTTGGTATTGGCGGCAAAGTTTTACCGAGACAGCATGGCAATCGACTAATTAGATCTTGTGGCCGGTTACTGGTTCATTGAAAGTAAGGCCAAGTACTGATGAAGGCTTGAGCTGACACAACGCCCGAAGCGGACCGCCAAGGCACTGAGCTCCACATAATCAGCTAGGAACTATACTCGTACGCGATATGGTTCATGTGAATAAGCAAATGTCCCGTAGGTGTGACCAGACCCTTATTAGGTCTAGCCTGTTGAGCTATCCGCGATGCAACCACAGTATTGGCTGCATCTGCACGTGTTTACTTCTTTTTCTTCCTCATGTCCTGTATTCAGTAATAGGCTTGCAAGTGTCGTCAGCACACTATTTATCATGGCAATACGCTAAGATGCTGGGTACTGCCGTGGAACTCTGCACTTGTCATCTTGGAAAACACAAAGTCAATGTCGGTCTCGCTTTCTAGTATTTCCCACAACAGTTCCCCGGTTTCTTTGTAAATTGAATTGACGTCGTCTCAAGATGCTGCGCATAGATTTTTTGAGCTTGTCCTTCTTTTTACTGCAGATATCGGGCGCGTACCCCAGTCTCCCGGAAGTTGATGTCGCGGTGGTGGGAGCTGGTTTATCCGGTCTATCTGCGGCAAGAAAGCTACTCGACGCCGGCAAGACCGTCAGGATATTCGAAGCCAGAGACCGCGTTGGAGGCCGCGTACTGAACAAACAGCTAAAGAATGGAGGAGTGACGGAGCTGGGCGCTGCTTTTGTTGGGCCAACTCAAGACAAGGTACTTGCGCTAGCAGCAGAACTGGGCCTCGAGACATTCAAGGAGTATAATTCGGGCAATAATTTGGCGTACTTTGGCAATCGCAGAGTGAAGTTTCCCAGTACAAGTGTTATCCCTCCTTTGGACAACTTGACCTCGACTGAGATCGGTACACTTATCTTTGAATTCGACAGCCTCGCTGCAACGATTGATGTCGAAAATCCTTGGAACCATCCAGACGCTGCCCGATTGGACTCAACGACGCTTCGGGACGCAGCCCACAGCATCGTCACAACTCAAGATGGAAGAGACGTATTCGAGATAGCCGTGGAGACGATATGGTCGGCACGGTCCGACCAACTCTCATATCTGTATGCATTAGCCTACATCGCTGGCGCCGGAAACGAGACTGCCCCTGGAACATTCGAGAGGCTGATATCAGTCGACGGAGGTGGCCAAGAGAGCCGCATCACGGGCGGCACTGGCCTCCTTCCCAACCGTCTCGCAGACAAGATAGGCCGGGACAACATCCTCTTCGGCAACCCCGTCCAGTCGATCTCACGACAGACTTCAGGTAAATACTTTGTCCAGGGCACAAAGAAATCCATTCGCGCCAGCAAAGTCGTCGTTGCCATGTCGCCGCCTCTCGCCGCACGCATCACATACTCGCCCCCTGTGTCTACAAAGCGCCGACAACTCATGAACCGCATGTTTCTAGGCTCCATCGGGAAGGCAAACGCAATTTACAGAACGTCATTTTGGCGCAACGGCGGACTCACAGGCCAGATCATCAGCACATCCGACACCATTCGTGCTACGTATGACGACTCTGACGCCGCAGGCTCATACGGAGCAATCATGGGCTTCATACAAGCGGACACAATGAAAGCCCTCGATAAAGCCACCGAGGCCGAAATCCAATCGCTCGTCAAGCAAGACTACATTCGGTATTTCGGCGCGCAAGCGGCTGATGTCGATGAGTGGGTAATTTTTCGGTGGGATAAAGAGGAGTACTCCCGCGGGGGTCCAACGGCGCTGGCTGGGACGGGGACGTATGCGAAGTATGGTGCTGCCTTGAAAAACGCGGATGGGGAGATACATTGGGCGGGGACGGAGGCAAGTGACTATTGGCCGGGATATATGGATGGAGCGATCAGGTCCGGGGAGAGGGCGGCCGGGGAGATCTTGGGAGGGGAGTGAGCCTAGGTTCGGATAGTGCGGGTGATGCTTGTGGCGGTTGCTGCCTCGATCGTGACTCCAGGATGGACCGTTGATAAAGACGAACATTTTCAAGCTTGAGCTACTCTTATATCAATTAATTGCAAATGCTCCGTTTTGTTGATTGTTTGCACGGTCGCTGCTGCCTCATTTGTTCGTACCACGACGTTGCCTAGTGACAACCTGCCTTCACTTTTCACTCGCGCTAGTCCGCCGCAGCTGCTCAACTTCATAACATACAATATCTACCGTCTACATAATTTTCAGAAGTCGCAATCTTCACATCCTGAAACCAGCCCCTCGAGAGTCTAATGGCGCGGTGGTAGAAACTACTGCCTTAGTTTGCCCCTAAGTCCCTAAATTGAAAAATCGTGACGCCGGATCGAAGCCCAATCATGAAAAAAAGCTATTCAATTAGGTTCTTTGAACCGGGATTCCTACGGGGTGATGGCCTTAGTTTTGCTGACTTTTGGCAGACAGTAATTGAACCTTTTGTTCCTCTAGCAATTTGACCAGACCTGCCTACAGGCGACATTCGCGTGTAAGCTCTATCTCACTTCAAGTGTTTCTACTCGTTCTCTACTGACCTTTAGGTCTTGCAGTGCTTCTTTAGTACATACTCGCTTAATGCGCTGCGACCACTCTCTGAATATTGGAACCGCTCCGCTCTCGCTGTCAATTAGACAACCTGTTGGTATTCGCGTTAATGATCTGGATGGGTTGGAGCTTGTCTTCGCCAACGACAAAGATGTCGATCACACAATATTTGGCAAAGTAGAACCAAGCAAAGCCTATAGAGGTTTCAATTGCGATGCGTTTTCCTAGATTGAGATATGGGGTCTATACCTAGGTTGTGTTACAACTCCTGCACGGTCAAATGATTGCGAATGATGTACTCAAGTACGATTGTCTAATTGGCCAATATGGTTGCGTTTAGTTCCTACTCAGATGACGTTCGAGAAACTGTTGTAAATGCATGCTCGCTCTCCTCCTCCGCTTTCGCAACGTTACGCTTCACCGCAAGGAAGCTGCTAGGACTAACGGATATGGAATCAATCCCACACTCCACAAGGAAGGTCGCAAACGTCGGATCGTTGCTGGGTGCCTCTCCGCAGAGTCCAATTTTGCGTCCGGCTTTGCGTGCTCTCGATATAGCCTTTGCAATCATCCACTTAACCGCTTCATCCTGTTCGGAGAACATGGATGCGAGCTCTCCTGAGTCCCGATCAATACCAAGCGTAAGCTGTGTCAGGTCATTAGATCCTATCGAGAAGCCATCGAAATGCTTCGCGAATTCGTGCGCCAGTATCACATTCGATGGAATTTCGCACATCACGTAGATCTCCAGGCCATCCTCCCCGCGTTTAAGCCCATTCTTCATCATCTCGTTCTGCACCTTGATGGCTTCGCCAACGGTACGGCAGAATGGAACCATCACCACAGCGTTTTTGAACCCCATCTCCTTTCGCAGTTGCTTAATAGCCTTGCACTCCAGAGCAAAACCGTCCTTGTATTCAGAATAGTACCGAGAAGCCCCACGCCAGCCAATCATTGGGTTCTCTTCCTTGGGCTCAAAGTGGGAACCGCCAATAAGATTTGCATATTCGTTGGTTTTGAAGTCAGACAGCCGAATGATTGCTGGCTTTGGATATGCCAGGGCGCAGAGGCGGGCGAGTCCGAGTGCTAATTTATCCACGAAGTACTGCGACTTGTCTTTGTAGCCCACAGTGAGCGTGTTTATTTGTCGCTCCACAGCTTTGTCTGTGATCAGTTCATTGTGCACAAGCGCCATCGGATGGATGCGAATGTGATTGCTCACTACGAATTCCATCCGCGCCAAACCTATGCCATCGCACGGCAGTTGCCACCAGCGGCTTGCTGCGCTTGGGTCCGCTAGGTTCAGCATGACCTTTGTAGTTGTACATGGAAGCTTAGACACGTCGATGCTCTTCGAGACAATGTTGGCTATCCCTTCGTAGACATATCCTGTCTCACCTTCTGCGCAGGAAATGGTAACGTCCTGGCCACTGTGTAAGACATACGTGGCATTGCCCGTGCCGACTATTGCAGTGATCCCAAGTTCTCTACTGACAATAGCAGCGTGGGATGTCCGGCCTCCATGGTCCGTCACGATAGCCTTTGCTTTTGCCATGATGGGAACCCAGTCAGGATCTGTGGTTTCGGTCACCAGAATCGATCCCTCGATGAATGCGCCGATATCTTTGGGAGACTCAATCATGCACACGCGACCTGCTATAGCTGCGTCTCCAATTGAGCAGCCTGTGGTCAGAGTCTTGCCTTTCGCAGTGATCTTGTACTCCTTAAATGTTCCCACTTTTCGGGCAGAATGCACAGTCTCGGGTCGAGCTTGTACGATGAAGAGTTGGTCATTGATACCGTCCTTGGCCCATTCTATGTCCATTGGACAACCGTAGTGACGTTCGATTAAACATGCCCAGCGAGCGAGCTGCAGTATTTCGAAGTCCTTGAGCACAAAAAGCGACCGTTCCGCTTTCGAGGTCGGGACGTTTCTTGTGTAAGAATCGCCCGTGCTGTAGATCATCTTCTTTTCTTTTGCCCCAAGCCTTTTCTCGATGATTGGAACGACGCCAGCGTGGTAGAGCAAGGGCTTGAAGACTTGATACTCGTCAGGATTGACAGCACCTTGGACAATGTTCTCTCCGAGGCCCCAGGCCGCATTGATCAGGACGATCTTGTCGCATCCACTCTCAGTGTCGATGGAGAACATGACTCCGGAACCACTAAGATCAGATCGGACCATGTGCTGAATGCCCACCGACAAGGCGACTTTCATGTGGTCAAAACCTCTTGTTTGCCGGTAGGATATCGCTCTGTCAGTGAACAGGGAAGCATAACACCTTCGGCAGGCATTCAGCAACGCAAGCTCACCCGAGACATTCAAGAAGGTCTCCTGTTGCCCAGCAAAGCTCGAGTCTGGAAGATCTTCTGCTGTAGCACTGGATCGTACAGCGACAGCAAGATCTTCGACTCCGACTGTCATCGAAAGTCGACGGTAGGCGGTGAGAATGGCGTCCTTGGCTTCATTTGGCCAGTCTCCTCTGAGAAACAGGTTTCGGGCGCATTTGCCCGTCTCCGCGAGATCCGTCTTTCCTGACTGCCAATCTAGAATCAGATTGTTCAACTTTTCGTGAATTGTGTTGAAAGTGACGAAGTTCCAGTAGCATTGCGCTGTAGTCGCAAATCCAGGGGGAACGGCCACTCCCTCGATCTTCAAAGCACCTATCATTTCTCCAAGAGAAGCATTTTTACCACCGACGACGCCTACATCGCTACGTTTTACGTCGGCAAAGTCGCGGACCAAAAGATCATTGTCATTTGATGGTTTCGGGTGAGTCTCGTTGCTTGGCATTTTATGAAGATGCGATGTGAAATGAATGTAGACTGGCCTTGGTGTTGATGCAACGTTCGATCGGCTTTCGGAATGTTTCAGGTACGAGGTTGCCTACTTTGTACGATGAGGATTCTGGAACGATGTCACAATCCTCGAGCCAGATCAGGCAACTGCGCGAATGCGGCATCGTACCACATCCGACTGACCCTAAATCGTGGAATGATCTGGGATCAGTTAGTTTATGCATTTTAATTGGGCCAGCTATTTATCATGCCACAAATCGCAATGTGCTGTGACGCCACTATGTGATCCAGCTAGCGCGTCGAGGCCACTCAGGGTCCAAAGCCCTCTGGTGATCTTTTCGAGCCGCTGACTGTCGTCTAGCATCTGATTCTACCACACGTTCGATAAGTATGACACAAAATCGATATGTCGCCCTATGTAGACTAGATCTGTCAGGTAAAGGCATCCATAACGGCGGTCACATCACACCATGGTTCTAACACGCGCTCGCATCATGGTGTTCTGGCTAACGTATCTAGAATACTCTAGTCCCTCCGTAAGCTGAATGCGAACGCGCCTGAATGTACCATATACAAGACGTCTTGGGACGAGTTCCAATCTACCTTAGAACATCAGCTATTTTCCGAGCATCGTATCCTCCATGACTTCGACAGTGGCAATTGTAGGTGTGGGAGAGGTGGGCGGCGCAGCAGCTTACGCAATGATCCTTCACAATGTCTGCACGAACATAATGCTTGTCGATAAACGACAATCCCATCGAGACGGCCAGGTCAAGGACCTTAACAATTCATCCTTTAAAGAACAGAACGGAGCCCATGTCCAAGCTGCAACATTTCGAGAAGCTTCCCAAGCTGACATTATCGTCATCGCGGCCGCAGCCAAAAGAGGGATCGGAGAGACGAACTTGAATCACCTGTATCGGAGCACAGCAACCCTACGCAGCATCATTGGGGCAATGAGGCCCTTCAAAAAGAATGCGATCTTGCTTATAGTGACGCATCCGGTCGATATATTGACGAGCTTGGCCTATGAGGTCTCCGGTCTTCCGCCTGCCCAGGTGATTGGCACTGGGACATTGCTGGACTCCGTCCGACTCCGAGGGATGCTGGCTGAACAAGTTGGAGTAAGCCATAAATGCTATCCTCGAGACTCAAAAGCATTGCTAACGTCTCTATAGGTTGCAGCGAGCTCGATCGACGCCATGGTAGTCGGCGAGCACGGAGGATCCCAGTTCGTCCCCTGGTCACTCGTAGAGGTTGGTGGCGTCCCGATCGATGAGCTAGTAGGTCCGGATGGTATCAGCAAGGAGAAGGTCGTGCAACAGTGCAAGCATGAGGGAGAGTGCATTATAGAGGAGAAGGGCGCTATCACCTTCGGTATAGCTTCTGTCATATCTGTGATCTGCACGTCCATTCTTCTGGACCGGCGACAGATATATCCCGTTAGTCATGTGCAACCGGAGCACGGATGCTCCTTGAGCATGCCCGCCGTTATTGGTAGGAATGGCATCGAGCGCACTCTGCCAATATCTTTGGCGCCTAGTGAGAAGCTTGAACTTGAACATTCGGCGAGGGAAGTTAAGAGAGTTGTGGGTCAGCTGAGGGACAATTGGGATTAGCGAATTGGTCTTTTAGTTGCTCAAGTAGCACATCTTCGCTCATTGTATGAAACATCAATTCATTTAAGCTGTGGAACATATAATGCGTTCGTAGTGCTACTGTCTCGTAGACCGGAAATCGTAGCCCCCAACTTTACACTGTATGATATTGCACCGGACGTGAAGTTGTAAGGGAAGTAACAGTGACCATTGATCTATCTAGGAAATTAAAAACAGGATGATCAATAGAAGCTTTCATTGCAAGTATGTTACATATTCTACAGGACGATGTGGCTCGAGATGAATAGGAACTCCTGATGCGAATAATGATGTCGCTCAAGAACCCGCTACATCTCATCAATTTTTTCCGTACTCTTTCTGGATCTGCCTGTCGTGTATTCGTCAAAGGCGCATCTTCTTGAAAGCTTGTTTCATCAAGAATTCCTCGAGCTCGCCTTTCGGAATCCCCATGCTATGGCGTCCACAATAGATCCTCATCTATCCCATCAGGCGACTCCCTAATGATACAGTAGAAAAGCTTCGTGGCAACCTTCTGGCATCCCTCCCTGGGCACAGAAAATCGAACAAGCAAGCGTGTATTCCCAGTCCGAGCTTGATGCCAGCTTATGCCGTTTTGCTGATTGACGCACATGTGGTATCCTTCCGCAGGGCCTATAACAGGGTCAATCGGCGCTCGATCAGATATGATCTCCACATCGAACCAAGGTGCGCATAAAGGATTCTGCAGATTTGGATCGGTGAAAAATGTTATCAGCCTGTTGGACTCGGAGGATTGGAACGGGAAGATGTCTTCGAAGCCGTAAAGTACGGATTCAGTGTCTTTTTGTAGTAGATCAATGGCGCCGTAGAAAAGTTCATGGCGGCTTGACGGCGCGAGAGGCTCAGTGTTGTTTTTGGCCCTCGGATTCATCACTATCTTGCGCATGTCGCTGTCAACTCGGAAGTTTGCGATGAGAATGATGCATTGTAATCGTTTCTGGACTTGGGCTGTTTTCGTTTTGAGCGCTCCATCACGCTCGTCAATATGATGCTTCAGCCTCTGTCGAACGATTGTAGTACCACCAGTGCGGATGAGTTCAAACGAAGTCACCAGACCTCGACTGTCGATCAAGACCCTTACGCTAAGTACCTACCTGATCCCGTCAGCTTCGAAAAGCGCTTCAGCACTGTGCATTCCGATCGGTCCGATTCGATAGCTTACCCCACTCTACCGTACACTTCCTCAAGTGCTACACTAGTTTAGGAATATCCCGATCAGCCGATCAGTACACCAAAACGAGGAATTTGGGCTCAGGCAAAGCAACGTGAAGACAGCCACAGTAAACTGACGTGCAGACTAACATGTGAAGGACTATGGGCTGATCTCCCATCTGAAGTTGCGACCGTCGCCTCGCCGCGATAGAATGACTGGGTCGTCGCGTGATCTCTTTGATCAGTCATTTGATGCCCTCTGCAGCATTCGAGTACTCTAGAAACCCCCATATCACGCTGAATTTCCCTCTGCAGTCTCTCGTTTGCACTTTATCTGACTACTTATTTGATAAGCCGGCCTAGTTGTAGAGGTCCCGCCACTTACCCACCACCAACACCACAACTCACCATGCACAACGCAGACCCAACCCCAGATGATTCCACCCTCTACGTCGTCAAACGAACCGTCCTCGATCCTCGCAATCCGTCAGGTCTAACCTCCACGACCACCCTCCCCGCAACACTCACCTCTCTCCCCGCGGCGAAAGCCGAGGCCAAAGCCTTGCTCCCACAAGAGGGCTATGACACAGACTTTTTCAAAATCTATGAAGTCAAGAGCGACCCCGAGAAATGGAAGTATGGTGAGGGCGTAATGGTCTATGCTGAAGCGCCGTCGGGAGAGGTGTTCAAAGTTGGGATCGACACGGTGCCGAACCTAGCAGGATTGAAGGCGGGTGATCAAGGCAGGGTGTTACAGCCGCTTTATCATGTTGTTCAAACCCTGGTGGAGTATGGCGACGATAGGTCCGGAACGGAGCGGTATGCGGTCGTTGAAGGGACGTATGCGGATAAGGGTGAGGCCAGAGAACGGGCGCTGAAGGTGCTGCTGGACGAGAACGTTGGGAAAGAGGATTTTGTGGAGTACGATGAGTATGATGAGGATGGGGAGCGGCCATTCGGGGGGGATGTTGTGGTGCATGCGGTGAAGGAGGGCGGGGAGAATATCTTGGTGTCTGTGACGGCGGGTCAGTAGAGCCTACCGGCGTGTATATGTTCTGTTTTCTTAGTACAGGGGCTTCTCTACGATAATATTTACAGCCTGTCGATGAAATGAATCGACAATACAAACTCATCTTGAACTGTCTCATCATTGTACATGAGTTATGCGGGTCGCTTACATAACGCGTCCGTACCAGCACCTTGAAAGGTTGAAAATGACGTCCTTCGCCTCTTCTTTGCATAGTTTATCACTCCTAGCTATGCTGAGAGCTGTAGCTGTGCATCTTCAACGCTCTAGAAGGCGATCAGTTGGTGGTACACCGCCACGAATACTTCCAGACCTTTCAAGTGCAGCATGCCGCGGCCCTCGAAACAGCTCCGGCCGGCAAGCATCCGCGCGCCCTCTTCTCCTGACAGTCTTCCCTTCAAGCCGAATACGCACACGCTAGACTGCATGAAGAAGTTCAAGTGTTTCTTCTGCGGAGCTCAAATATCTCGGAGTTTTACTCCATCCCTCTGTCATCGCACAGCTTGAGACGAATAAATATATACCTATTCCAATTGCAATTCTTTTCCCCAAGCGCGGGCAAGACTCTTACAGTAAATAGACCGGGTCAAACCTCCAAATTTGCGCCATCCAATGCACATGGGCCCGCCATTGCAGTCAGGCCACCCACACAGCATGCTTCGTCAGCGTTCAAAGGTTGCGATTCTACGTCTATTGATTTCTTCAGATTGATAAGCAACAGCAGCTGAAAAGCCTACGCACTCTCAAATGCACAATATTTACAAAAACGAGCGTGATACCACGTTACGTCGGGGTATGAACATGCCAGTAGCATTCGTCGAAGTGATTGATGTTCCCTATGTCCGTTCCCCTCGTAACTTGAGTCTACTAGGTGAGCAACGCAGTATCCATACACTCCACTGCACCGCGCAGCAAAAGCTACAATACTACGATTCCCTACCAGCTAATAAATTCATTCCACGCCCCTCCCGCCCGCAGTCTTCTCGTTGGGGCTAAGAATTGCAGTGCATTCGATCGCGTGCCCCTGGGAGTGCATCACACAGGCAACTAAGCGAATCAGCACCGCGACTACGCGGCCAAGACATCCATCAATTTTGCCTTTGACCTCCTCGTCCAGGCTAAAGATTGCAGTGCCGCGTGCGGAAAGAGGCGCAGAAAGCGAGTGCGCCCGAGCAGATCTATACTTTCTCGGGCCCTCGCAACACTGCGAGTCGCCTACATCCCACTCTACGATGATTGGGACGCGCAGCCATCACGCCGGCTACTCTCGCCGGCGCTGCACTTGGACATCACACCAAACCCTTGCTCCCCATGACCAGCTAGGTAGATACATCTCCAGCCGAGAACCCGTCTTTTCGCCGCTGCACTGGGCTCAGTCCATAGGTCCAGTGCGAGCGCCAACGTTTGCGTCTTCCGGGTATCTAGCGGAGAACACTCGGAACAGACGATGGGAGCAGCGGATCATGTTGATGGTAGTATGATAATGGTGCGGAGACTGAAGAAGGCATAGTAGAGTTGGGCCTGGGGTTCGGTACACATATTAGATCCACGTATGGTCTTCGCGCGTGGCACTGTGAAAGGTGCTATGCATACATATGTGTATGCTAGCGTACTAGATCTAAGGTGGTACTCTAAACGGCGATAGTGTGGGAGTAGGCGAGTGATTAGAATAGGAGGCGAGGACTGTGCGTGGTGGAATGTAATTTATGCTCTGCCATACACATCTTTGATGCCTTGTCAACTGCTGCGAGGTGTTGATACACCAAATGCAATAATGTACAGTACAGTAATGTGGTGGAAGTGTTGTATGTGATGTATAAATTGTTTTTGTGCTTTGTATTTGTTTGACGTCTTGCCCTCGCAGCGCGGAGTGTTGAGCGCACATTCCCTCCCTCTCGTCCTCTTCCCACTCTATGTGTAATGAAAAGCAAGGGGACGAACACTCGCCCATCTATGTGTCAACGCCGAATAATGCAGATCCCATCCCAGTCCAATATCCAAGTGCGACGCTCGCTCGCTAAGCTGCTAATATTCACAGGCGCATGCAATATGCGAAGGCATGCAGGTATGACTCCTCCCATGCCATGACGCTCAGAATTCCAAACATAAGGGTAAAAAAAAAAATTCGTCGTTGCGTAGCGACGGAAAAAATACCGATCAGCGCTTGACCGACACTTGCGTTTCCGAAAATTCTCCTCCTCACCGACTCCCCTCGCCTCGCTCTTCTCCCCGTAGTCGTCCCCTCCGCCAAGCCATTGCCCCTGGTAAATCAAGGTGGTACATACTCCACCTCCTTCTTGCTTCATTCCGAGAGAGAGAGAAAAAACCCCTCGTATCCACCTTCTAGAACAGTGTAGTGCGCACACAGACGATCAGAAGTGCACCCGGAGCGGCGGATACACTTTAGGCGGCTCCCGCAGGCGCGTTGGCTGATGCGATTGCGTGGAGCCCGTCGCGACTCGGCCGAGCTGTGAGTGGCTACCGGAGGCACAGCCGCGCTGGCGTCTGCAGGAACGAGGCCGGGTTTGCGACACTTATTATCGCCCGTGTGGCGGCGTCGGAAAGCGCGTGGCTGGATTGTTACCCTGCTGCCGCTGTGGCTCCGGTGTGCGTGGAGCTGATCTGAAGTGAGGCGCTGTCGCGCCGTCGCGCTTTCCGACGGGACTATCCAGGCGCGTGGCCGATCTTCTTCGTCTCCTTCGCCGACCTAGTCCGAATGGGGCGTTATAAGCAGCGCGGCTCTGATTGGCCAGGGCCGAGAGACCGGTAAAGTTGTCCGAGGATCGCCCCCAGGGATGGCGCTAGGTGACGTTGATGCTGCGGCTCCCACGCGACCAAGGTTCCTATCCCGCAGTGATGTCGTGCCCGCGGATATTTGGCCACTTGCCAACGGCTCGCTTCAGCTGCATGTCTGCCCAACTCTTGCGCTACACTTCGTCGGCGAGAACAGACACCCATCTGTCCGGCACACGGCTCGCGGGGCTCTGAATGGAAGGTGCCTTGCTAGCGCCAATTTTCCTCGGTGGGAGCCAGATGCGTGCTTTGCCCACGGCCTTGGAGTCGAGCTTGCCGACGCGTCGCATGTTCATCTCGAGGACGATGACGCGGAGGAAGTCGCAGTTTTCTCTGGGTTCGCGCTGGCGAACGGTGGGATGTTCGGATTGCGCTCGGCTGGCATCCGGGGCTTCGGCGGCCTTTCTCCGGCCGCGTGAGCGGTTACGTCGTTCGTAGGTCTGCATCTGGATCATGGGTGCGGAGGGGTCTTCGTCGACGTTCATCGCGAGCGCGTCATAGAGCTGCATCGATAGTTCGGTCGGCGAAACGGGTGCGGGCGGTGGGTTCAAGTAGCGGCGAAGTTCTGGTGAAGGCAACCCTTGGATGTGTTTGGGGCGCATCTCGCTGGTGAATTTCGGTGATAATAATGACCTCGTAAGCATGTCGTCTGGCGGAATGCTTGGAGCTGTGAAGTTGGAGAATGATTTGGCCGCGGACTTTAGAGCTTGTAGTGAAGCAGTGAGGTTGGACTTGAACGACCTGAACCTCTCAGAGGAGGCAGGAGACGGGGTGACCGGATCTGGGATGTCGAACTTTGCAATCTCATCGCAGTCGTCGGGTGTAAAGTGTAGTAACGGGTGGTCCAACACGCAATCCTCGGCTGGTGGCGATGATACGGCCTTCCCGCGGCGGTCTGGTAATGATCTCTGATAGGGATCTGGTGTGCTCAACTCGTCCCAATGTGAAGCAAAAGACGGCGCGCTTGTGTCCAACGACGGTGGTGTCGTGTACAAAGAGTCGCTCGATATTGACCGGTCTGTCACAGACACTGCGCAATCCTTCTCTTGCTCCTCGCTCACGAGGCTGCCATACTCCTCCTCCGATTCGTCCACGCGTCCCAGGAGCAAATCCAGCGGCGAGCCGACTAATGATGCGGGCAGCTCTGAGTCGTCTTGCTTCCACTCCTGGATGAGCTCGTCCATGGATATCCGCCTATCCATGGCGGACCCCTTGCGGCGGCGCGGGGGCATCTTGGGAATCGCGGTGACGGCCAGGAGGGCAGCCACGGCTGGAGGAATCGCATCGGGGTTGTGGTTCTTGTGCGCGCGCTGTGGCCTGCCGGCGTTGTGGCCTCTGACCTTGACAGACTGGGTTGCGCTCGCAGTGCCTGGCCGGGTAGGCGTACGCGGCGGGATTACGACAGGCTTCGAGTGCATGGGAGCTTGAGACGAAGCTCGCTGGGGCTCCGGGCTGCGGGCGCGGTCCTCCATTTCTACGGTCCTGACGCGCATCGGTTTATAGTATGAAGCTGTTGGCGGCGGAGATCGCGCTCCCATCTTCTCTTGTTTGGGATGCTGCTTCGACGGCGACTGGAGAAGAAAAGGGTAGGACCTTGGCACCATCATGGCGGAGATTTTGACAGGCGCTGGATCGGCCTCGCCAGGGTTGGGGTCGGGCGTGACGTTGGTGGGCTACCAGGCCGAAGCTGTTACGTTATGCCTGGAGCGGGATTGGGCGAACGCAAGAAGGGTACAGTGTCGAGTTAACATGGAGCTGCAGGTGCCTGGCTCGCCGAGACCCGCCGTGCCTGAGCAGCGGTGCAGTATATTGCGAGAGTGCACAGAAGGACAGCAGCGAACGTGAAGATGCGAGGCTGGCAGACAAAGCTGGAGATGTTGGGGTAGACTACGGTATAGATGCGTGGTGGGTTCCGGGGGCGCGGCGATAAGGGCGACGACCGATGACTTCAGGGCCTCGGGGGCGCGCCCGCTGATAAAGAATGCCACCAAAAGCATCGCGTGGGCCGACCGGTCAGACAGCAGACACACAGCACCGCCATCCCTCGCTCTCGGTGCGCCGTGACACGGCGGGCCAGCAGCCCAGGCACCCGCTTGATCCAAGCACCACACCCTGAGATGACTCCCTGGCGCTGAAACGTCCACGTTGCGCTGCCCTCGACGCGCCTGCTGTTCACGGCGACCCCCGGGCTGCTTGCTGCGGCTTGGATCCTGCGGCATGCGGCATCTTTCCCAAACGGCTGCGATCTGGCGTCGATGCCGATTGGACGTGCTGTGTCTCCGCGATTCAGCGCGCAGGGCTGAAGATGCTCCCCCACGCCCCAGCTAATCCGCTATCGTCCTTACAAACCGAAAAGCACCCTCGTCTCCTTTTGGGCGCCAGCCTACGCCCAACCGCCGATAGTCTACAAGTGCCCGACTACACCTCGCGGGCTGTCGCGGATGTCAGACTAGAAGCAACACATGACGCTGCAGCTGAGGACGCAGCCCGGCCTACGAGATCGAAGAAGCTTATCGCTCTCACATGCACGCAACGCTTTCGTGCAGCTCCACACACCACCATCTTCGCCCTGCCCTGCATATCCGCCCTTACCCCACAGTGCGCTTGTCCCCATACGGCTGCTGGTCATTGTCCCAGCGAAAAGAGTACGCGCCGCAGCCGGGTCTCGCTTCTCGTCCCACAGTGCAAAGAAGAGGAGGAAAAGTGAAGATGCTCCAGCCGAGAGTTTCGCCAATATGCGTATGCTGTGCCGCGCAGCAGCGCCTGTCGCACAATATACCGTTTTGAAAGTATTGCTTCTTTTCCCGAAGACAAACACGTGTCTGCGCACGCTTCGCCCGAGAGATGCATATTCGCACAAACACTAGCTCACCGCACAACACCACCAGCGAATACTTCTTGCTGGGCAATTTCGCTAACGGCAAATTTTTTCGATGTACATTTGAAGCTAAGAGTTATGGAGAGTGCGCTGCTGAGCCGCTGCTACGACCACCTGCTCGCCGGAGCATACCTATCAAAGTGTATCAAAGACTACGTGCCTAGTACACAGCTAGGACGAGCACTACCGCTCACATCTTTTCGCGAGTCCTATCAGAGCGCGACGAGTAGTAGGCAACTCGACCGAGAGTCTAGAGTACCTTCGATAAGGGCCAGTCCAGCGCTAGAACATAGCACAAGACCAACAGTGTAATCTCACTGCAATGAAAGTTGCGGCTCCCGGCCAAGAGTCATGCACGAAAACAGAGCCGCCATCCGGATGCGCAAAGTGCTGTACTGAGGACCACACAAGAGGTAAGTACCTGCCTTCTTCGTAGGTAACTGAGCCGAGGTCTGTCCTCTTGCAATGCTAGCCCGCCGCATAATACTCAGGTCACAATCTCGCTACAGCAGCAAATTTTCAGCAATCCGCCAAGAGGCATACACGCGAGTACAACAGGTAATGCTTCGCCGAAAGCATACCGCGTAGACCAGGTACGTACCTACTCGATCCGTCGCTAGCGCGCCATCGTACCTTCTGCTTTCTGTCGTGCGCGCGGGTCTGTGTGTATGATCTGCATGGGCTAGGCTAGTGTATCATGTTGGCTCGTGTGAGAATGCGATCTGGCTAGTGCGGTGCTTGAGGAAAGAGTCTCCTGGAATATCTTTCTTGTGCGAGGGGAAGAAGTGAAAAGTGGATAGTGCTGTTGCGGGTATAATTCGAGACGTGGCTCACATTAGGAAGATAGAACTGCGCTGGAGATGAGTTGGTTGTCTCCAGTGTAGAGGTGGGTAAACGACGGCTATCCCATCCCGTAGGAACGTCAGCTCAGCAGACGGGATGCCTGATGGAAGACTGCATGGCAGAATGAACGTTCGCAGTCATTCAAGACTTCTTGTCTTTGAGATGATGCACATGGATGGAAAGCACGATGGGTGCGACCCACGCTGGCTTGGAAGCCGCGCATACGCTAGGACGCTGCCGTGGAAAGCGTGGCAGGAACGCTAGGAGCAAGGCTGTTTGAAACTACCATGAGCTTTCGTATGTTGATAGCGGCACCAGTGCGCATAGATCGGTTCTGGTCGCAGTCCACGACGCAGACAGCGAAGAAGCATGCGTCAGCGAGCGGAGTCTAGGAGGACTTCGGTGTCGTAGAAGACTGGACCGAGTACGTGTGTAAGCGGGATATAGGAAATGTAGACATGATTCATGTTCCCATTTTGAGATATGTTAGAAATTTAGGAATGGTTCTAGCTGCGCGAGAAGATGCCTTGTATTTCTCATGGGGCCGTCGGGTGCATTTCATCCCAGTCTCGTGCGGCAGAACTTCATATGTGAAATTGTGTCAGCAACACATTCAAGTTGGGTAAACGTGTCAATGAACAAAGATCATTTCAGCCTTGACTAGTTTTCAGAGGGCGACTGCGTATCCTATGCCATAGATATTATGAAGCACCTAAACAACGGAAATCGCTAATCGCGTGCTCAAGCGGAGCAAGTGCTGGTACTACGATGCCTTGGAGGTCAGGCGGGGCGTGAACGCAGATAAGCAAACATGACCACCAAAAATAATTCATTCACTCAGTAAGACGTCCAATGAGTAGGTGAAGGCATGCCGTGGAGCGGGACTTCGCTTGATTCTACAGCGTTGAAGACCAAAAATTCCGTTGACCGTCGTTCACATTCACCTTCCCCTGACTATTTCTGAGGCACGATTGTTTATATGAATTTCAACATTCCCCACGAACCTAACATGCTCACATTACACTACAACCAAAACATCAGCAAGACTACAATATGTCGTCCCCGAACGAGACACTCCGAGCATACATCCAGATGCTGCTCATCGCCATCGACAGCGAGCAGGTGGTCAAGCAAGGCCGCCCATTCCCCGTACTCGCTAGTAAGTCATCTCTGGCCGCAGAACGCCATCATGCCTCTGATTTCATCCGTAATCGCCTCCTCATTCATCTTCAGCGCGTGCATCGTCTCCAAAGTAGCCCGGTGTACCTCCTCCGCAAGTGCCATTACCAAATTCTTATCCGGGGTGTTGGGCTACAATAGCATCATGTATGTTCTGGCCGCGCGCGTTGCTAGTACGGATCATCACGCGCTTGGGCTCAGCATCGGGGCCACGCATGCTGCGGACAAGGCTGGTAATATTCTCTGTGTACAGGTACATCGTTAGTCCAAAAGCCGAGCAACTCTAGCCATGGGAGGATGGCTTGAGGCTGGTTCGAATGTGCTAAGGAACGAGGTGCGGAGCACATCACGGTCTTCTTCAACTGAGACAGACCATCCTGGCTAGAAAATTGGTCTCTGAGACGAATGTTCCGAACGGAGCACAAGGATTTGGTACGGCTTGTCACACACCTTTTCAGTGCCTAGCAAATTACAGCAACGTTAAGTTGGGAAGGGAACTCATACAAAGAGATGCTATTGAAAACGCAGACCTATCTTAATGAAAGAAGCTTCAGGGTTGCATTTTGCCGCTTTGCTAGGCAATGTCACTATGGTAGATGTCGTGATACAGGTTGGAGCCGGCCTTGATGCAATATCATGTTCCTGGAATTGACAGTTCGGGCTTGGCGAGGTCGATTGGACATGGTCTATTCTCTGTTGGAAGCCGGTGCGCATGCATGGGGTCGGACAATCTCGAATCACAGAAGGACGGTATATCGGGTGTAGGTACACGACCATCGCATACTAGCCGGTGAAATCCAGCATTGAAGGAAGAAAAACTCGGATCGGATTATTGCCAGCCTATCCGCATTATCATCGACCCCATGGATTTGGTTACACTGGAGCGTCATGTGCTTCCAGAATTGCAAATGTCCAGATACTTTGGGTCTTGTGAGACCTGCAAGACAGGATTCAGGAGCTGGAGCAACAAAAGTGTCTTAGGTATGTAGTTATCATATGTGCTAAGTCATTTACTACTAAGTTATGTTAAGCTTCGACAGTCCATTAGCCAGCGCGGCCAACGTACAGTACAGCCTCCGTACAGGCCTCTTGTACGTACTTACGGGACCCCCTAGCAGTGTATGTGCCGTTTCAAGTATACAATTGGCTTAATTGGGAAGGTGGCTGGTGTAGAGGTCGTCGTCGGCAAGCTGGACGTTGGGCTTGGCATCCTTCTGAGTGACGTGAGCTGCCAGCTTTGTAAGGTGACTGTGTACGGCCTCTCTCCTCAGCCAGTTCTTCTGGAGCTGTAGAGCCTCGACGACAGCTGGAGACAGTGAATTGCCATCGCACGTGATTGTTCTTCTAGCGGATGAGAAACATCTCTCACAGTCGTAGGACGTTGCTGGCACAGAGAGATGATCTATCGCCATTTTGTATACGACTGGGTAGCGTTTTTTACCTACTTCCGTCCACCACCGGTGTGGGTCCTGTAGGGGCTTGTAGAGATCCAGAGACGAAGACGCAGCTAGCTTATCGTCGTAGAGGCTGTCAAAGTACTCGTCGAGCTGCGACGTGCGTTTCTGCCGCTTGTACGTCTTCTTGCCTGTGAGCAGGTGGTCGTCGACGAACATTGTTCGGAGTCTCCGCTCGTTGGTCGCGTACGCTCTAGTCACCTTGCGCGTGCGTGGGAGCTCCGGAAGCTCATCGTCGCCGTCGCCGTCGCCGTCGCCTTCGGCAGCCTCTGCAGCTAGGTACTGCTTATAGACCTCGCGAATTGATTTCTCCGCTGCCTTATGCCACTGTGGGTGGAGCTTTCAGTGGAACTTGAACCAGGAGAGGCGTAGGCATGGGTGCATAGCTGTTGCCACGTAGTAGAGAGATGGCGCGTCCTCGAGGACCAGCTTCTGGAAATAGGTGCCAAGCTTCTCGAGCGCGAGCTTGACGCCGGAGACAATATATTCAGATTGTTCGAAGCCATCAATTTGATAGACACTTTCCTTGTCTTCGCCGTTGAGAAAGGCGTAGATTTCTTGAAGGCTGACTATCGTCTGCTAGAGTGAGCTAAACCCGCTATCAGACGCGTTGCCTTCTAGAGACTTCGTATTCTTGTAGAAGGTCTCTAAGACGATTGTTACAACGCGAATCTCGTCCCACTCATCGTCCGTCAAGGCGTCAATCGTAGGATTGCACTTCTCATCTATAGTGGAGCTGTCGGCGCGCGCGAGCTTGAAGAAGCGTCGCATGGGCTCGCGGAGCTCTAGGCAGCGCAGTAACATGAGATAGACGCTATGCCAGCGGATCCCGCCATCTTTAACCAAATTGAGGACGGAGAAGCTGAAGAGCTTATCATCTTCGAGCAGCGTCCTGTGTATTGATTGGAAAATCTGGCGTCGTTTGTGGGAGCTGCAGACGGCGTTAACAAAGTTGTGCAATTTGCCAATAGCACCATGCGCCTGGAACATCGCATATTGATCCTTAGGCGACGCCTTTGCCAGTTCGGATTCAAAATTGCTCACGCCGCTACCGTAGATGAGATATTTGGAGACAAGGTTGATTATATGGCCGGCGCAGTGTATACGGCGATTAGTGGCAATGTAGAGGTCTTCTGGGGTGACATTGTGGAGCTCGCGGAGGAAGGTTGTGCCATAATTAGCCGCATTGTCGCCCACAAAACAGTGCAATTTTCGGGTAAATCGATACTCGATTGCTACATCGTAGATAATCTGGGCCTGCGCAACGCCTGTATGGTCACAAAAAAGAGCTCGAAAAGCAATTAGTAGGTCGCGTTGACGGTGTTGAGAATCTAGAGGATGTGCAGGTCAGCGATGAGGATCCCTAAAGTCCAGTATTCGATAACACCAGCCGGATTAACTACTAATCTGGCCGAAAACACTGACTTATCGACGAAGTGGGCGACAACTCCAAGAAAGTCATAATTGTTCGGCGACGTCCAGATATCGCAACTTACGGAAACCTGGCTTTCTGATTCAGCCAAAAGCTTTAAAATCACCTCCTTTCTCTCCGCCAGCTGCTTTTTCACGTATTCTGAAAGTGTAGTATAGCTTGCCGGCAGCGCGCGGAGCAGTGGTGATCTGTTCCAGGTCAAGAGCCCCCTCGTCGACGGATCCACACACATTCTGAAGCTCAAATCGTTAACTATCACCCAGTCAACGTACGCCAGTTGCAACTCCTCTTCCTGCCAGCTGTAATGAGAAACAGAGCTCGACGAGCCGGCGGCGGAGGCGGCATATTCCCACGGAGACTGCGGCTGCAGAGCCTCAACAACTGGCAGCAACCCGACGTCGACGTCTATATTATGCGCCTTCCGGAGGTGCCTCTTGATATGCGCGTTGCCGTCGCACGCCCAGCAATCCGGGATCCTCTTCTGTTCATGACACTCCTGACAGAGCCACAGCGTCAACTTTCTGCCGTCATCCTCGAGATACTCAAGCTCAGCTCCCCATCGCCAAATAGCTGCGATTTTGCGCTTCCCAAGTAACTGTGCCTTGCTCTTGACTTTGTAGCCGACGCGCGATGAGACAAGGCGACGATTGCCGTGCCAAAGGCGAGTCCAGGCCATAGGGAAACATGTTCTGTAGGCTTGTAGGTCTCCCGGCCAGGCGTGGGGATCGACGATAGAGCCAGCTTCTGATGGCGAGTCATCCAAGGTCTCAAAGCTCTCCGCCATGGCGGTGGCAAAAGCTGCCGTACGCGATCCGGCATGGTGATACTGCTGGCTGGCAGGAGCCAGCTGAGTTGACTGGGACGACTGAGAGACGCGGGTAACAAAGCGATCCATGACAATATGCTAACAGCTGACGATAGTTTAGAGATGGAGGAGCAAACTCAGCGAAAAATTCTACTCCGAGAACGTTACACAAGGCACTATATGGCGAAGCCACGCGTAGCACAGAAATGCCTGAAGACATGGGATAACTCCATCAGAAACCTCCTATTTGCCAGCCAAAAAGTGGGCTCCGTAGTCCCGTACACCCGTACGTAAAGGCAAAAAAAAAAGTGTACGTACGGAGCTCTGTACGGAGCGAGGTGCCTGTACGTACGTACGGACCAATTCACTGTACTGTACGGCTGTATGGCAAAACTGTACTGTACATTAGCCGCGCTGCCATTAGCACTCGACACTCTCTACACATACCAAGGCAAGACTAGGCGCTTCAATGTGGCTCAACAGGATTGGTTCTTTGGCCGGCGCGCTACAAGGCGTTTAGGAGAGTTGGTGTCTTCCTTCAATAAGGCGGGAAGAATTATGGTATGTCGTCTAACAAGCTACTTCAGCAGAGGGATGCTACAATCATGTAGTTCACTTACGTGCGTAAGGTTTGAAGCGGCAGGTGTGCCTACCTCACTTGGAAGTCCAACAACTACGCCGCTTTTCCTTGCATCTTTCACGCATGCGATCAATGTTCAGGCATACTCATGATTTGGAACGTAATTTCGCATTTCTGGATCTCTACAGCATCTTATCGAGAGCTTTGAACTTGGCCTTCTGATGCGCTGAGAACAATTGGAATGTAAAAGTTACATCGGCTGTGTTTTGTTACCTCGCCGTATAGACTTACACAAAATGATCATACGAGTGAAAGGCGCATAAGTCAACCCATCGTCCAGCGCGATTGGTTGCGACTGAAACCGTTTGTCAGAGTGACTAGCAACTGACCCTTATCAAATTAAACTATGGAGTGGATAGAATAAGGTAATAACATCGTCCGCACATACATCGAACCTGTAATCTTATAGTCAGTAGATCTCAACGCCCAACGCCCATCCCTCCAACCCTCTCCACCTCGTCTTACCCTCCCATTCCCGCTCTCCTCTTCAGCAAACCCCTGCACCGCACCCTCTCCGTCCTTTGTAAACCTACTATGATTGTGCAGCACGACCCTCCTACAACTCCGATGACATCATCCATACGTCGTCAATTCAAACTTCACCATCGTCGTTCATGACTAAAGACTTCTTCCGCGGACTCACCGGCCGCTCCAAAGACATCTCATCCGCCCAGCTTGAAGAAACAGCATCGTACGCCGCGCACTGGAGATGCGCCCACTCAACGTCTTCTGCACCCCCGCGAAGGCATGGGTTTGGTGGACCGGGATCTGGATCTCGGGGGCCCTCGTGTGGAGGATGGGAGGTATACGTAGGAGTCTCGTTATACTCCCACGTTCGCCACGCCTTCTCCGTGAAGGGGAGATTGCAGAACGCGCAGGTCTCGCGGCTGGGATCTAACTTGGAAGGGTCGATCCAGCCCTCGCAGCCCTCGTCGGCGCGGTGGCGCCACATGCCCCAGCCATCTTCTGTAGAGCGACGGGAACGGGTGGTCGGTTTACCGGACTCTTCACAGTGCTGTCCTAGGTTTGTGGAGGGTGAAGAGGGGGGCCGAGGCAAGGGACGCTCGAGCGAGAGTGGGTTGTGGCGGAGGCCGATGTTGGATATGGTTGGGGGACCTTTTTCGTAGTCGAACAGGTGGCCGCGGGAGAGCTCGTCGGCAGCTGGGTCGTGGGACTTATGGGGCGGATAAGGGTCGAAACGCCATGCTTTGACACCGGTTACGCCCACAGGTTGAGGAGTGAGATGTTCACCCATGGCATTAGGCGCTGGTGCTGTCCCATACCCAGTGGGAAACATTGGGCCCAGCGTATTGGAAGGTAACGGAAGAGACATTGCATACCCTCTCCTCTCGCCCAGGCTATCTCCACGGCTTCTCGTCTTCGGCAACAAGTCCGTAAGCTTCTGCGTCGACCTAGCGCGCGAGATCTCGGCCTCGTGCTCGATTATGTCGATAAGCTCGCCAGCGTTGTAGAACTCGACCTCGTCGAGACTCCCCAGCGGTGATATCGTATCGACCAAGATGCCCGTATCGTGGAACTTCTCCTCGTAGATACTGGCTGTGGGCGAGCGTGACTGGGTATCATCCGCTGTTAGTGGCTTCAGACTATCAATGCTGTCTTTGAGCATGCGCTCATACTGGTACTCTGTCGGGCCAAATGTCTTGTTCCATGTCCCCTTGTATCCTGGCTTTCCGCTGGAAGTACTAGCGGAGTCTTGGATCTCCGGAGCACTGATCAAGACCTGTCGTCCGTTGCTAGTTTCAGGTAAAACAATGCCTGCTTCATCTCTGGCTTCGAAGATTTTGCGGACCTGTCGGAGGTGCAAATCCGTGTCTCTGCCTTCCATGTGGAAGTTTTGGAGCATTTGACGGACCCGTGCGAGGGATGTGTGCTTTGGGAATTGGAAGTGATGGAGGGGACTGCTGAGAAGAACGACCATGGAGACGCTGGGGAAGAAGTAGAAGGAGTGTGCCTCGACGATTGGGGTAATTGCTTCGTCTGTAGGCTGCGCTGAAGATGAAGATGCTGTGTCATGTGGTGGATCGCCTCCTCCACGCAGTTCAGCATTAGCTGATAAGTCACGCGTCAACAAGCCTGGATAACGTGCGAGAATATGGCGTTCGTGGTCGTCAAGCTCTGCGGAGAAGTTCACGACTTGGTTGTGGATCTGTTGTAGCTGCTCTCTCAACAGGTGCGTCTCGGCCCTCGCAAATTCCGCCATTCTCCCAGCGAGGAGCGTCTCCTCGCTTCTTTCCCGCAGCTTCTGCTGCAGATGTGTGATGTGGCGATGTGCTTGCGCGAGCTCGTTATCCTGCCACTCAACCGTACCCTCAACATCTTTGATGACATTCTCTAGTAGGCTGATCATGCGGCCGTGCGAAGCATTCTGCAACTGGAGAATGCGTGCTTGGTCTATCAAACCGTGCGGGTGCTCAACAGGAACAATTGGTTGCATTGGTGCGAATGGATAGTTATCGTTGTTATCTCTCAGAGTGCACGGATTTTGACTGCCGTAGGAGGTTTCAACTGACGAACTGCTCGAGAGGCTTGGGAGCGGCGACAAAGCGCCACCCCTCATTTGCGGTGTATCTTCTGGTTCTTTCCCATTTCCATTGAGATGGTTGGAAAAGTACTCTGGTCGGCCCTCATGATCCGCATCCTTCTTTGCTGATTCCAGAGTAGATGCTTCGCTTGTTTCTGCTATGTATGCAGGCATACTGTTACTGTTACAGTCCTGCTCCTGGAAGTGCACATCCCTCTTGCTGACGATATATGTATCTCCTCGCCCCTCCACGACCCAATCGTCACCAACAAGATCATCCCACTCCTCGTCTGTCAAAGTCTTCCGGATAGCGTTCTTGAGCTCCCACTCAAACTCATGAGTTCTCACACGGATGATGTTAATATCATCAATTGGCCCAATATCTTCATCGCCTACGCGGCCTGCAAATCCGCTGCGCAAGACATCAAGTAGCTGGTCTCGGGTACCACACTCTGGAAAATGAAACACTGCCGGTGGGGTCGGGAACATCAGCGAAGGAATCTGCGGATTGTTCTGAGCCTGCGGGATGGTAATTTTGGGTGGAAGAGGCATGTAGACATAGAAAGGGCCGGGATAGTCACGTTGGGAGGATGGAGGTGGCTGCGCAAGCATGAGTGGCGGACCAAGTCTCTTCACCAGATACTCGCGGTCTTTACTCTCCTGGATCCAAAGTGTGTTTTCCACCTCAGACAGCATGCTTGTCCTCCTCTCGTCCACGTTTCTGGCTTCTTCGGTTGCGAGGGCCAGTGGAGGTGGGTATGACATCGCTTGATCGTGCAGGGGATCCCCTACTTCTGTTACGTTGGAAGAACTCCGACATTTTCGTATCTCTTTAGGCTCCTGTTTCAAAGGAAGACTTTCGGTTCCCCATCTACTGCCATGGGTTCTGAACTCCTCGTCGCTCTCGTCAACGTCAGATAGCGTTCCTGGCCGGTTCGGTGGCGGAGCGCAATCAAGCGGCTGCTGGTTTACTTGTAGTTGGCTGAACTGGTTGTCGAGCGACTCCATCCTCGCAACTGCTCGCGACAGATGGCGGCTCAACTCGTTCCTTTCCTGCTCCAACTCCTCAATTCTGTACTCTGCTTTCATCAATTCCAGCCTTCGGTCCTCCAGCATTTGGCGCAACCGAATCCACGTCTCACAGTGCGCGCGACCTTGCCATGCCTCATGCCATCCTCTAGCACCAATAACTTCCAAAGCAGCGAGCAGATTCATCAGCTCGGCAATGTCTAGGCGTGCATTGTCTGCACAGGCTTGTCGCATACGAGCGAGGAACGCGGACACCGATCTGATGGGCGAGATCTCTGGTTCAGCGAGGTAATGATCAATGTCAATGGATCCTTCCAAGAGGCTGCGGAAGGTTTCGGGTCCATCATAGGAAGGGCTGTCTTCTTCCACCGACATGACGACAGGCTAAAAGGCAACAGTTGAATCTAGTCCAAGGGAGGGGTCAAAGTTTAGGCTTGGGCTGGCGAAACGGTCTGTAACGGTTGGAGTTGTCCTGTACTTTGCTGCAGTTTGACAGCAAGATTGTGAGGAGTCAAAAGAGATCTTCCAAGAAGGGTCAAAATGCGGTGGAGTGCCTATACTTGTACACCTGTTAGATATCTGATTGTGCAATGTGAAGTCCGCTCGAGGAAGATGTAAAAGCAAAGCATTCACAGGTACAGCCTCGTATAGTGCAAATAGCACGTGGAGCAAGCTCTTATTCCCGGAGCTAAGTGAAGATAATCAATGCGGAGAAGTAACGACGCAGTGATGAGGAGCAGCCACCCAGGCTACAAGGACACAGAAGGCGCTGCCAGCGCGCAGTACCAAACGTCAGCATCACACAAACAGCCCTCGCACTCTTGAAAGATCCGCAATTGCATGAGTGAAACTACAAATATTATATAAGTACTGTCGCGAGATGAACGCCCAATAATCTAACAGAGTGCAGTTGTCATACATGATGCTGACTGGGTATACCGTTTACTTTTGATTGCCGCTGTCGTGACGCCCTGTCCGAGAGAAAAGAAATGCAATGGAACGCCTGTGCAGAGTGCCACCGGGACGCTATGTACCGGGCTGTGACGTAAAGAAATGTTCGCTGCGCTATAATTATGTATCGTGAAGTATGCCGTCGGGGTTCGTAGGTCGCGATTGCTGTGCGAACGTCGACCAGAGCTGTTGTCGCGTGCACGTCATCCTACAACACACAACACCAACACCACCGCCATCACCGTACAGCTAACGTTTTCAGCCTTTCGTCGTCTCGATGGAACGATTCGAGCGCTCTTTGGCGGCTTGCGACATTGCCAACTCCCTCAGCGCAGGGTTCGCATCGTCAAGCAGAATCCGGGGGCTCCGTTGACCGCGCGTAAGGCTATTACGGCGCGAATTAGCCCGGCTGCCGGATTTCGAGGCAGGATCCGAAGGCGTGAAGTTCCTGACGCTGTTCGCGCGCGATGATGGCACGCTGGGTCCATCGTACGTGCTACCAGGGCCAGGGCGGTACTGAGTGCTGCGTGAATCTTGGCTGTTGCGACGAGAACCTGCCTCGCGCTCGATAGAGTTCGCCCGGGAGCCAGCGCGAGAGTTTGGGTGCGAGCGCTGATATTCCGGGTCGTCGGCTTTAAGCATATGGCGGAAGCGATCGTTCTTGCCAATGCACCACAGCTTGTACGGGCCGGGGATGAACTCGCCCTCTTCGTCCCAGCAGTTGACCCAGGCGACGCCGTCGTCGAGCTGAAAGAAGCCTACCTGGACCATGCGGCCTTTGGCGTTCTCGATCGTGCCGTACCTCTTCCGGACCTCGTAATCTGGATTGAGGAGATACTTCTTGAGAACTTTGGAGTAGCGCACTGGAACAGGCGAAGCAACCGGAACAGTCTCCTTGGGCTTTGCAGAATCGGCCCCTCCTACCGGACCTCCCTCCTTGGACGCGATCTCGACAGCATCAGACTCGCCATGCTCTTTGTACGTGGCGACAAGGTACCATCCACGGCCAGGAATATACTCGTACACCCCAGGAACTGGTGACTTCCAGTGCTCAGTTCTCCGCTGAGGCTTGTCGTTCGGCTTCTTGAACCATTTCCGCGGCTGGAAGACCTTCTGGGTCGCGACGAATAAATTCGGCGTCATTCCCACGATGATTCAGAAGTACAATCTCCAATAACTCTTTCTCGGGGTCTGATGAGCAGACAAAGTGGTGAGCAGCGGCGAAGATTTAACGAGGCGAAATCGAATTTTTGCGCGGGCTGACAGCCAAATCTGCTAAGGGTCCCAACGTTGCAACCGTGGAAAGAGGCGAAGCACGTGAAGTAGAGCACACGTATCCGTGATTTTTCACTGCACCGCCGCAGTTGAACCAAGCGTCGGTATGCCTAGGAAAGCCGGGATGTGCAATGATTTTCAGAATCACACGACAGAGGCCGGCGACGATCTCCTGACAAAGCGAGACAGCCGACAAGCGAACGCGGACCGCGCTCTCGTGCAAGATGCACGACACAAGCCGCCGAATCGACACGCACAAAGAAAAGAGTTTGAATCGACAATGGCACGAGCAGGAGGAGAAGAAGAACAGCTCCAGGGGAAAATGGCGAGTCTTTTACGGTAGCGGCGGGCGGCGGGAGCTAAAGTAGCGACGAAAGATCTGGAGACCACACGGGCTCGACCGTTGCGGTGAGAAAAAATAGAATTGTCTATCAGGAACACCAGGATGGACAATGGCGCGCGACACCGTGGGCACATCCATTGGCGCAGGACCACGGCATTGCGTCCATTGATAATGCGGCCTGGGGAACGTGGGTTGTGCCGCTGAGGCAGAGGAAAGAAGGGAAGGGTGCCGTTGCGGTGCTCTGGCAGATACATGCCCCTGCGCACGACGTCTGCTCCACTGACGCACGCTGCTGCAACGGGCGTGCAGCTTTCCAGCTCGCATCCCGGGCGGTTCTTTCCAAATCTCAAGCAAGGAAGATGCGCTTCGAAGTCGTCATCGTCGTCCTGTTATCTTGCACTCTGCGTCCAGCAGCAATTTCCCGGTTCTTTCCTGCCCCGGATCCGCCCAACACACCCATCCTGCACATCCACCACACAACATTGTCCCTTTGCGACACACAGAGCGTGCCTCGTTCCTACCTTTCCCCCTTCACCCAGATAGCCTCCCGGCCAATGAACGCCTCAGCATCCTCCTCGTGCTATCTGGTGCCCAGCATGCGAGATAACGCGGCTGATGTGCGACCGTTCCTACATACGGCACCATTAACTGCCCAGCGATGTCGGTGTGGACTGGACTGGACTGAGTGTTGCGCTCAGGCTCCGACATGCGCTGTGCTGTGCGCGGGGATGCGGCTGAGCGGCCGGAACGAAACGGCAGTGTGTTTCCGTTGTCGTCGTAAGCAGGCGCACAGGCTGAATGTCTTGTCTAGAGCGGTGTACACGGGCGTGTGGTGTTGAGCGTTTGATATGTGCATGCGCCACAACCGTGCAAGCAGAACGCGTCTTTGCACCCCGAAGGAGCGCCGTCATCATGAGTATCTGGCTGACCTGTTGCTCAGTCGGGCATGTGCCAGACATGTCCGGCTGATGATACCGAGATGATGCCAGATGCTGAGACGACACGCCTGCATCAAAACGTCGCACACCATCGCTCGCACATATCGTCTATCCACAACGCCCTATCTAGTTTGGTCCTGTTTTCCAGTCGCGTAAAGAGCGACGATAACCGTCGTGGCATGTGAAGAAGCAGGCTTTAGTGACATTGGTGATGAGTGTACTGTATGCAAACGTCCAATTCCAGACACGAACACAGCCACACATTACAATCTCACATTCGCTCGCCCGTCAATCTCCCGACGGCACCTGCAAGTATCCTAGGAGTGAGTCACATGCATATACGAACGTCTTGCAGTACTCATGTAGAAGTGCTGCGGCAAATCCAGCGTCGTTCCGACTTTCGTTACTAAATCACATGTGCTAATCCGCACCGCAACACCTCCGCCAACATTTCCCCCTCCCATCCAGTCACCTCTTTGGGTGAATTGTTCTCGCGTAAGCCACTATGCAAACGATCGCCATCGTGCGTTCGCATACTTTCACTTCCCTCGCACCTCATGTAACCCTACGCTGTTGTTACGATAACCACCACCACCATGCCCCAATCCAGCTACACCACAACACCTCCACCGGGATCCTCACCTCCCCTGATTGGATGCCCTCGCTAAATGTGGCCCCGTCGCGAACAGCGCGATGCAGTCAATCGCAGTCGCACGTACTTGTCCCTCCCTCCCTTTCCCTTGCAACATTCGGTGCGCCGCTGTTGCAATACTCGTGCCAAGATCGCATGTCTGAATCCACGCCACTACACGTCGCCTCATCCGGATTACAAAACTAGACTATCAAACGCACGTAGAGCGCGAGCAGAATCAGCGCATAGCCGCTTGTGAAAGTATGCAGACGCCTGCCAGCGACGATTGATTTGGGTCATCATTACTACATCACATCGGATTTCCCAATCCAGCCATGACCACAGCACGTCACCCTCGCGAGCGCGCGAGGACGGCGACGCTGGCTCGCCGACGGCACCTGCACGTGCCCAAGCGCCCATCACACGCGTGCGTAGGTATAGCGATGGAGACTGGGTGAGGGGAGGAGAGGGGAAGGATGATATGCTCCAGCCCAAGTGTGCTCGATCCGAGGGAGGGTGGCGGCGTTGTGGGTAGCAGATAGCCTCGTCTGCGGGTCCTCACCGTATTGTGCAGTATAGCGAGCTCATATACAGTGAACGGCACGTGCAGATGGTGCACAGCCAGTACGCTAGGATGTGCAATGTGATGCCCACGATACTTCGCTTAGGAAAGCTTAGTACGGCGAACAGATCACAGCGTGTGTGGCACAAGATGACCTCCCTTCCCAATGCTCACGGTGACGTAGTCCGCGCACATCGCATGCTAAGAAAATACCTCTCCGCTGAGCTGGGCTAGGAGACTGCGCGCCCTTCTCACCGCCAAGCCAAACCGCGGATTGCAGTGATACGTGACGAATTAATCAACGGCGCGGTGGTCTCACGGTGCACCGGGGTCCCTTCGTGCAGAATGCTCGTGCTGGTGCTAGAAGGCTTGTCGAAAGAGGACGGGAGTGTGTGGTAGTACATGTTCTGGGCTATGTGGAGGCACGGGGGAAGTAAAAAGGTCTGTTTGGCACAAGGTGAACGGTTGAACCAGAGGACTGCAGGTGAACCAGGCGTGTTGAACCATCCTGGGGCTCCTGTGGCAGCGGTAGATCTGCGGAAGCTGTATCGTTCCGGGCGGATGGTGTAGATGCGAGGAGTCTGTTGGGGTGGTTATCGTTTGTTCGAAACACATCAGTAGTCGCAAGCGTGGGTCGTCTGGAACACAGGGGAGGTAGGTGGAAGCGCTCTCGCACCGTCGAGCAGGCACCAGAACTGGCAGGTGGAGGAATTGCATATTCCTACTGCATACGTCTCACTCAACCATGTCTCTTTCCCACCACCAGCACACACCATCCTCGATAAACGTGAATGATGAGATTTTTGTGTTCGATCATGTTTCATACATGCCCTCGCCGCGGGGGCTAAGTAGGCTAAGCCAGCAACCAACCCCATCATCTGTCGTTTGCCATTGCGTGCCTGAAGTCAGAGTAGACGCCGTGTATGCCCCGCCTGCCCACATCCATCCATGTCTGTCAAAGAACCATCGTCCGCAAAACCATCTACGACTCGGTCTTGACGCGAGCCTTGCTGTTCGTAACCTTCACGCCCAACTGCTTCGCCTTGGCAATGATGTCGATGCGCTTTCGTGCAGAGACGGAGTGCGAGATCCTGTGCGGTTGTTAGCCGGGATATTTCTCATTCCGTATGGAGAGGCGTACTCGGCGGCGAAGGTCTGGTTGTGCATGAGGAGGAGGTCGACGTCGCGGGCGTTGTTGACGACGAAGGCCTTGTGGCCACTGGGCATCAGGTGGCGGGTCTTCTTGTTGGATCCGTAACCGATCTGCGCATCTGTCAGCCAAAATCCCAACCGCACAGCAACCCCACACTAGAGGCGATGTTCACGATGCGAGCCGTTCGTTTCCGTGGCGCGCATTGCAGCGGGCTGTCGTACCTTGGGCATAGCAGCCTGGCCCTTGAACCGCCTTCGGACGCGGTTGTCGATACCCTTAGGCTTTCTCCATGACGGGTCGACGCCTGTCCACAGTCAGAATCCCCATTCCTCCTACGTTCGGACACGGTGTCGCTCACACTTGAAGCGGTCGGACTGGTGGCGGTTGAAGCGCTTGGTGTCTACGGGCTGTCAGTCGCGATTCTCGAGGACGGCGGGCACGCAGGCGTACGCTTCTTCACGATCGGGACGTGCTTCTTGGCGGCGACCATCTGCAAGCAGCTGTTAGCATTGGAAGGCGTCAAGGTGCCTGGGTTCGACTCACCTTTGCTGTGTTGTAAGGTTAGTACCGGTGTTGTCGTGGAGGTCGGGTTGGCAATTGTGAGGTGCCAAAATTGTGCGTCGAGCCGAAGTGTGCGAGCTAACCGCTTTTTGCCGCTAGCGCACGTCGGCGGGACTTGCGCAGCGCACGGGCCAGCTCAGCGATTTCCAACACAGCAAGGATGTGAAGAGCACATTTTCGAAAGTCCATGCTGGTGCTGCTGCGTCCGACTACATTTTTGTTCCTACTTATTCGTGACCAAATGTACTCCCCTATTTTGTAATAATTGCACTGTAATGTTAGCGCAGACGAAACTTTTAAGATATGCCGCACACTTTTCCCTTCGGATTTCTCTCCACTATCTAGGCAATTGAACACGCGCGAATAGAACGATGTGCACCAATCTATTCTCGGAAAAAGCTTTTGTTGCTTCACTACGATCAATTGCATCATGAATTCAGCTTGGTCGCACATTAGATACCAGATGCACAGTAGATATCACACACCGTCCATGCTCCACAAAACACGCACCCAAATCATACAGCGACCTTCCCCGGTCTCATATTCAATGCCAGGCTAAGCTATCTAAAGAAAATGCATCCTCCGAAAATGTCCCGTCCACCAAATCTGTGTGGACGGAGGGTATGTGATGCTGCCCGCGAATGTAATCATGCGCCTATATCCGTCTACCGCCTAGGCCTTGCCCATCCCAGCGTGCTTTCGATCAATACCATTCGGTGAAGATACCCGCTGACAGAGATGCTTGTCACATGTCTTGTGAACGATACATTCCATCCTACTCCTCCATCTCGTCGACGGTGTCTTGGCTAGGCCGCTTCTCCTTCTTGACCCACTCCACGAAATCATCAATGACAGACGGCCACGACGACGACTCGTCCCAGAAGCTCATCGCCTCATCCTCGAGCGTCAGCTTGGCGAACTTGAGCGTCTCGTTCCACATGTCCTTATTGACGCTCTTCTTCCACTCAGAGTTGAGGAACTCGGTCCACCATTCGGACCACGGCGAGGTCGGTGTGGACCACCGCATTGCGGACAGCGGTGAAGTGAAGAGCAGCTCCCAGAAAGCAAGTGCGGAGTCGAGAGGAACAGCCTTGGCGCCAGCAGGCTTGCCGAGGAGGAATGTGTACTTGTAGACTTTGTCGAAAGCGGCCTTGTCGGTTGGCAGCCGCTGCTTGAGAGACTTTAAATGCGCCTTCTGCTTGTCGAGCGTGTCCGCGCTGCACGGACGTAAGCCTTGGACATACGCACAATGAAATGAAACTCACTTGAGTGACGACCAGCCTTCAACGAATCCTTCGCGGCCTAATTCTCCCATGGTAGGTGCTTGGATGACTTCCATGACGGCCAACGCGTCCATGCCTTCGAGATCCACGCCGAGCTTCTCGAAATATCCCATCGCGCCCTCAGGTCCTACAGTGTCGGGCGAATTCTTGTCGTCTCGTAAACTGTCGAAGAGCTTGTTGAGGTTGCTCTTCGTGGAAGAGGGGGCCCCTGAGCCTCCGCCACCGCTAAAGTATCTGTATCGAAATGTCAACAGTGCCATAAACGAAAATGTAACGCAAAAAGTAAAACGCAGTCAGTACGCTGTGCTATTTTTCAATGAATCGTAATATCCCCTCCTAATCCTTTTGTTAGGCGAGAAATTCGTTACGATGCTGGGAGCACTGTTGGACGTGGGCAGAGAACCCGAGGTTTGATGCCTGTGGGCGTAGTGAGATGTAATGCGGGCATCGTAACGCTCTTCAATAGCCTCAAGAGCTTCGTAGAGCATCATAGCTGGCACGCCGCTTGGCCGTTCTATCTGGACCCGCGCGTTGAGACCAGCTTTCTGGATTTCAGCAGCCCGGAACGCGATGATGTGTCTGAAATGCTCCTTCTGCTGATCCGAGAGAGCCTTGAACCAATTGCGCCTGTTCGTGGCCGAAAGGGAATCACTGTAGAGCCTTTAGTCACTTTACAACGCAACCGAAGTCTTGGGCGTCCAGGGACAACTCACCTCACAGGGCCCCAGGGGTCGCCACTGAAGCAGCGCTCAAACACCATGACATGGTGGACCGGTACATTGTTAATGATGGCGGCAAAACCGGGATTATTATAAGGCGTGATGGGTTCGTGCCACAAAGGACAGTTCTTGTTCTTAATCATCCAAGAATGCCAATGGAAGTAACCGTGTCCAGGCACGGTGAGGTCCCAAACGAGTGGACGCGATGGTACAAATGAGGGGGTTTGGTACAAGACAACGCTCGGCAGAGGCGCAGCGGGGAGGTACTGCGGTGCATACGCATGATTGGCCCATCCCTGACCATTTGCGTTCTGGGGGAAATCGATCCCTCTGGTCCTCCCTCGTCCGGCAGGTGGACGCGAGCCGCCACGACCAGGGTTGTCGGTGGCATCCGCAGCCGGTGCTAAACTGCTCGATGCCCTCAGTGGTGATGGATGGGATGACATGCGCCGCGGCGATGGATATGGTCCCGAGGAATCAATGGAAGCCTGATCCGGCGACTGCAACACTAGATTGGGCACCGATGGGTTGCCGTGGAGAACGTTGCTCAGATGCTCAGACTGGTACTTCTCCTGCACTAGTAGCACCCATAATCTGGCTGCGAAGCCATCCGCCGATTCATGCAGGGTAGATGAAACAGGAGAATGTGTGGAAAGATCTTTGAACAGACTTGAGATGTCGTGGATAGTGGCGTTTGCTTCGAAAAGATCGCTTTCGTGGCGCAGATACTGGGTCTGACTGAGAAGGGACCGCGTCGGCAGTGTATTAGGCGGCAAAGGAAGAGTGTCCGTATCAGGCAAGGTAGATTGACTGACTTGCCGAGAATGCTGACCGCTTCGTAGCGTATCCTGGGTCGCAGTGGGGCATTGTCTGAATCGGAGACTCACTCAGTACTGGCAGACATCGACCAGGTTATCTTGGGTTGACTACATACCCAAGTGTCTGTTCAAGTAGTGGATATTGCGGCTGAGGCTGGGTTGACGAGCTGACTGAGCGGCTACTCAGATAGGAACTGCCTGAGGTCTTGCGGTCTCTACGGTGGCGTCCTGCAAGCTGTCTGGCTCTATCTTGGGACGATCCAAACATGTCTGATGGTGCAGAGGACAGATCGTATCAAGGACGCAGTCAGAGAGCTGGAGGCCAATGTAGGGGGTGGCGCGATGGTTGGAAAGGAATCTTGCGGTGCAGGTGTTTGTTTGCGACCGAAGACCCTTGTGCTGCACCAAGAAGGAGCCGTGAGCATGTTTGTGGGTGCGTCCATCATAGGAGTAGCTGCGAGTCTTACACAAACGTCCACTGCCTTCGAGGTATAGCAGCACCTGCCATGTGTGCCGGTAGTCATGCCTTCTTGTTCTCGGGTTTCCATAGTCGCACGTATCCGCCACGCCATTATCCGCGTTCCTCCGTCTTTGTCTCAGTCCAGGGGTTGTCCGGGTCTTCTAGGGTCATGACCGGAGCCATATCGAGTTCGCATACGGTCGCTGTCCTTCGCACCGGAGAGCAGGGCAGGAGACATGCGCGTACAAGATACCTGTTCAGTACTAAAACAGTATAAAAAAAAGCACTTACGCGTTCACAGCAGCGGACGGATCCCATCCCGCGTTCTTGAGGTGCTGCTCAAAGATTAGCTCTTGGACTTTCCCAAGACCCTCGAGCGCACTCACCTTGACCGCCGTCTTCTGATCCGTCGAGGCAAAGCTCATAAATTGGCTGATAGCAGCCTTCTGCTGGGTATTGTAACCTGGCGGCATTGTGAATCAATGTCCTCCCACTCGGTAGCACTCGATGTCGCAAAGCGGGGAGCTTGGAGCGGGGTGTTGGCGGTGCCCGAGGCAGAAAAGTCGAGGGTGAGGTGTGCAGCGGGGCGAAGCAGACTCGAGCTGTACAGCTCTATGAGAGGAGGGAGGCGTGTCGCTGTGGTGAAATACTGACGCAGCGACCGTTGAGTTGGCGGCGGTAGGCTGCAGGTCGCGAATCACCCATGGTTGCCCACCCCACCATCAGCTGTGTGCCTGAGCGTTAAGGCCGCAACACCGCGGAGGTCCAAGCTCCCGCGCGACTACTGTGACACCTCCAGGCAGATAAAGAGTGCAGAACTCACCATCGTCATCATTCTTCTTCGCTCGCGAGTCTTTCGTAGCTTTAGCAGTGGTCTTGGTCTTCTTCGCAGGCGCAATCGCAGTCGCCGTTTCCTCGTTGTCGTCCTGGGCGAGAGCCCGCTTCTTCTTAGGAGGCATGGTCGTGGCGAGCAAAGATGAGGTCAAGCAGCGCAGGGGAGTGGCAAGGAGTTCTCTAAGCATACAGCAGGCGGCCTCTGCCCCTTAAGTGTTGCTGACTGGTAGATTTGCAGTTGGGTCTGCGGGGGAACAGCTGTGGAAGAGCGTTTGCTGCCGTGGAGAGTGATTTGCTGGCTGGCGTGGGTAGCTGCGTCGCGTGGCAGGTGCGTCTGAGGCTCTGAGCGAGGCTGCGCGTGGGAAGGTGGCTGATGCTTCTCTTTGACGTCTCGGATGGCTGTCTTGCTCTGATCCATACTGAGTGTTCTTGTCGCAGTCGACCTGTGATGTTCGATTTCTGAGGACGGATACTTGCTGGTGAATGTCTGGCCAGACTCACTTTCACCACTCCTAATCGTCCACAACTATAATTGCATCCTCAATGGATCACGAAATGATCCTGAAATGCACGTCACCGAAATAGTCATATATCAGGAATGATTTCCAATCTTTTGGAGCTGTGACAATTTTCTGATGATCTAGATATTTATCCCCAAATTGCAAATACCTGAAACATTTGCCTGCAAGGTAGCAACGAAACATTTACCGTCAATATGACATTCATACTCGAAGGACAACGACTGGGAATTCCAAAGTAAAAGACAGTTTTAGGTTGTGTGGAGGCAATCCGTTGCATAAGCCAAATCTCTGCTTGTTCAAATTATACACCGTCTGCTCGCATAGGGATATACCAATCAATGTACAGGGAGGGGTCCACCACACCACCACGCGCAAATCACATCACGCAACATTACATATGCTCATGCTGCATCATCGTCGCCTCGCCCCCTCCTGCTGCTCTCTTTAACACAACCATAAGCCAGCTACTAATCCCCCGTCGGCATCCCCTCCACCTCTTCGCTCAACGCGCGCCAATTCTCCGCCTGCAGCTCCGCATACTTGACGCGCTCCTGGCTCCAGTCCTGGTGCAACCGGCTAATGTGGTACTGGCTCTGCTGGAAGAAGAGCAGCTCGTCGCGGATGCACTCAATGATGAAGACGCCGCGCGCGTGCTGTTGGACAATGGATTCTTTGTCCTGGGATGTCGTTAATTTCAGAGGCCACCAATACGTGGAAGTAAATGTGGGATGGAAAGGAGCAAACTCACCCTGAAAATCGCATCCTCAACCTTCTCCGCCTCGCCCGGCTTGACGAACTCAGGAGCCTTACTCCTTATCCCCTGCAGCTTTGCTTCGTTGTTCGCTATCCGCTTTTCCAAGTACGGGATGTTATCCTTCGCATACTTGTCTCTCCGGTCAAACAAATCGCGCATGCTGACCAGCGTATCGCGCTGGCGCTTCAAATCCTCCAGCACGCCCTCTTCCCAGCCTTTAGCCTCGTCTTCCAACAGACTCCGCGACTGCTCCAGATGTCTCGCGGTGGCGTTCAAGCCTTCGTTGAGCATGGGGATCTCATTGGTGTCGACGGCGTAGGTGTCGCTGGAGGCTTCGGTGACTTGTTGGAGCGCGGTTGCGAAGCGGAGGTGTTCGGCGGCCATGCCTTCGTTGCGCTTGGCGAGGCGCTCCATCATGTTGCACAAGTTGATGTAGCTTTCTGCGGATCGCCGTACGCCGGAGCGGACGGTGTCAAACAGGTCGGGTAGGGTCTTCGGGAGGGAGTCCTCGAGGTCTGGCGGTAGCGTCTTTCCGGTGAACTCTTCTTGGACTGAGAGGTTTGCTTGCTTACGCCATACAGCGAGTTCCTTTGGGAAGATTTAGCATCATGATGGCTAGAGCTCAGGTGGAAACTAACCGTCGGTACAGTCAAAAACATAATGACCAGCTGCTCTTGCCCCAGCACGGGGTGCCTGACCAGCGCATTGGCAAATCTCGCCAGCCCTCTTCTCCTCTTCTCAATAAAACTCGAATCGGTGGCTATGTAATTACCATTGACTGTAAATCCTCAATTAATGCCACACAGATTATCAGTAAAGGATCACTCACTCGCGACCCTCTTCGGAGGCAACAACGGCAGCTGACGGAACGGATACCGCTTGTGCAGACAGTCCAGTAACCACACGAAATCGCTGTATCGGCGGACTACCTTGCTGTTTCGACGCGCGCTGGAAACTTCGTAGTTGCGGTGCTGGAACATGAAGACGCCCTCTTTTTCGGCGAGCGTGTTGACGATGATGACTTCTTCGGGCCCAGTGCTGGCGACGCGCCCTCCACCAAGAGATCTTCCGAGGTTGGCTGGTGCATTGGGCCCACCCTCTCCGGCCGCAGGTTGCCCGAAGCCTCCAGGCTCACGCCCAAGCGAGGGGTCAGAGAAGTTGGGCTCCGCGCTCGGATTGAAGCCTCCCCAGCCGCCTTCGCTTCCATATGAACTTGGGCGCTGAGGCGTCGGCTCGACGATTGGCGTTGTGGTCGTGTTTGCAGAATGGGTGGTGAATTGGCTTGTTGTTCTCGTCGCGGCGGGTACGGTCATGCCATTGGTCTGCGCAGGGACCGCGGTATAGCTCGAATGGTTGTGTCCTCTGTGGAGGTCGGGCGAACCCCAAGGATCCGCCTCGGGATCGCCAAATGACTGCTTGCGCATAGGGGCGCGCGACTTGTTCGGCGTTGTCCCTGTGTGCGTAGCAGGTCGCTGTTGGGGCGGGGTAGGCGGTGGTTGTGCCTGCGCGGAGGCTGGAGGTTCACTCGCTTTCGGTTCTGGTTGCGGCGGCTGCGGGAGCGAGACGGATGGCACGGGGAGGTCTAGCAGAAGACATGGCGTCAGTATGTTCAGACGGAAAGAGGCGGCATCTTACTTCGCTTCCTCTCATCCACGCTGTCTAGCGACAGCTCCGACGCGTCGTAGCCGTCCTGCGCGAGCCCAATCAGGGCGTACAGCACGTTGAACTCGTTCCTTCCTACGCCGGCGCTTTCCTGCCCGGGCTGCGACACCATCCCCAGGATCTTGGCCTCCTTGTCGCCGGGCAGCCCACTGCTTCCCAGCAGTTTCTTGATCTCGGCGACACTGATGCCGCTGCCCGCGCGCTCTCCAGACTCGAGCACCCGGTCGAACGCATCGATGTACGAGTCGGGCACGTCCGAAGCTGGCAGCAGCGACTTGATCAGTGAGCCCTTTTGTTTCTTGGGCGTTGGATTGAAGCCCCACGGTGAGTCGTCGCCCTGGAAATCGTCTGCGAACAAGCTGTTGCCGGTGGGTTTCTGATCGTCGTCGAAGAGCGATGACGACGATTGCTGCGCCTTGGGTCGCGAGGGCAGGTCGTCGTCGTCGCCGAAGAGAGCCATGGCGTCGAATCAAATGTTACCAAGACCTAATTCTACTCTTTCCACGCATAAACCTTTGCGATATCGTCCTGACAGCTCCGAATGGGAACGAGGCGTTGAGACGACGATAACACCCGTGGGCAAGGCGTCACCGCACGAGCTTGCTGGCCCAAGCTTCGAGTTAGGGTGGGCCCTGCGCCCTGCCTTGGCTTCGCCGCGCTATGGAACATCCCACCGCACACCAGCCGAGGCGAGGCCAACGGGGCAGTTCGTCGTCTGAAACAGTACAACTTTACCGCAATGTGATCACACATGGCCACCAGGCGAGATGGATTGCTCATTCGACACTCTACACATCACCAGAGCACACCTTGCTCGTACTATATACAAAGTCCAGCAATGCGCCCTTTTGTCCCGTCCTGGGCATCCCCAAATCAAATCATCCCAAATGTAGCTGAGCCTCGTAAATCAGCGGGTATCCATCGACTGCAGCGCAGCTCTATCAAAACAGAGTCCTTCCCAATGCTTCCTTCGTTCGCCATGTCCATGCAGATAAACAGTGCTTCAAAAACCCGCTGCTACTCCAATGCACCGTTTCGAGCCCGCCGAATATGTACCAAAGTAGAAGAGATGCTAATGTAAGAAATCGACATCATCTGTCGTGGTTCGTCGGATGTGAAGGTGTGGTTGTGTGATTGCGTCCTCGATGTTGCTCTTGTTCTTGCGATGAAGACATCTCCATGCTGTTCTCCGAGACTTCGTTACCTAGAGCGACAGAAGATGACGATGACTGAGGGCGTTCCTTATGCGCCTGTGGCCTGGCGTTTGGTGGCAAGAATGTTTCTGGTGTGAAACGTATGGTTGATGAACGTCCTGGGCTGCCAGGATCGTCGGCCCCATTTGGAAGGGGTGACGGTGTGTTCGTGCTTTGCGTGGTTGCTGGTGGTGATTCAGTCGGATTCTGACCGCCGCTCCCTTCTGAAGGTTGTGACTGCTGTTGCAATATTTCTGGCGACCAAGTTCGCCCACGCGGTTGCGCAGGGATAATGGTAACCGGCAGGCTTGCGTTGTCCTGCTGAGCAGGCCCCTTTCTGCTACGGAATCGTTCGCCTTGCTGGGCGGCGAAAGTACCCAATCGATCTTTTAATGCCAGTCCGGTGTAGTTCCTCTGAGGAATGTTGAGAGGCACGTCTTCGACGACTAGGGGTTCTATGACACGACCCCGTTGTAGCTCTGGCGGGGGGGATCGGCCCCTTCTTCGAAAGGGGTTCATGCTGGCAATCGTCTGCCAACTCCATTGTCCCCGACCTCGACCATCGCCAGCGTCTTCAGTCAGTACGGCACCTTTTTCAACATCTTCGACGGGGCTTTGAGAGCGTTGGCGCGGCGGTCGTTGCGCGTCACCACCTTCCTCGATTGCAGTTTCAAGGCGTGCTGCAGGTGGGGTGTCACTGATGGGATGATACCGTACAGTGTACACAGTGCTATCTGCACTTGCAGTATCGGTCCTGCTTACGGGAGATGCGACGTTTGGCGGGGGAGCTGTTGGGCTTTGTAGCGGCACGTAACTGTTTCTGTTGTTCCGTTGGGCTCCGCCAGATCGCCTAGCAGCCGGTGGCGGAGCAGGTATGTGGATGGTCCGCTTCTTGTTATGTTCTGGACCTGGCGATGGCTTCTTGACACGGTTCAGCCGGTGGGCAAGGTTGGTGAGACGGCCAGACGTGAAAGCACCGCCGTTGCCGCCGTCACCTGACTTCTTGACATCGTCGGATCTGGAGCTTTGACGTTTCGATCCGTGCCAGTTCAATTCCTGAGACGGGGTGGTATTGAGCATTTCGTCTCCATCGTATATCTCTCTTCCTAGGATCCCGTCTTTTCTCTCTTCTCTTTCTAATGCCTCGATGCGTTCCACCCACTCCCAGACAATAACGCTGGCAGCAGCAGCCCCCACCCACCTAAAATAGTCTCCCCATCCGGCGATGGTGTAGTTGGAAATGTCGGTGATGAAAAAGACAACCGGGGTAAGAACGGCGACAATGGAGAGCAGGGCGACAAGCGACATGTTCCACATCATCGGATGGTAGAAGGCATATCTTCTCTTGGTAATGGCGTAGTATATGACCCACGCAGCGTAGAGCATGCTGAGGGAGAGCTGGAATAGGTAGCTCAATGCAGGGATGGCGGTTTCAAAGTGCCGGGGGCTGTGGCCCTTGTTGTACGGGCCGAAGTTGTTGATGGAGTTGAAGACAATGTCGAGCAGAATCAAGGCAAAGCCAATCCACTTGATCATGACCTTTTCTTTGTGGCGCGGGAACAGGCGAATGAGGGTCTGGACCTGGGCGAGCCAGAGGAAGATGTCGGAGATGATGCGCGACACCTTGATCTCGGTGCCAGCCACGACCTCATTCCGCAGCTTCATGGCGTCCATGAAGCCCTCGTTGTACTGGCGCTCGGCGATCTCGAACGTGTCGGCCGTGGCGAGGGTCAGGGAGACGGCCACGGTCAGCGCGGCGACCTTCTGCAGCCAGGGACGGGTTCCCACGCCGATGACGGATCCTCCTCCCGTGGCTCCGCTGATCATGCCGCGTCGTCCCATGAGGCCTGAGCGTCCGGACGCGCCGCCGACGAAAAAGGTGCGCGGCGTGATGATGAGCATGATGACGAGCATCCAGGCCAGCACGGTCGCGGCGCCGGTCGCGTAGGCCTGGGGGGTGATGGAGGCATGGAAGGGGTCGCGCAGGTCAGCGACGCTCGTCACGTCGCTGTCGTTGCCGGTGGCGCTGCCGGCGTTGACCTGGGACTGCTCGGTCGGGGGGCACTGGGGCGTGAAGACGGCGTCGGCCTCGAGGGTGATGGTGTGGTCGGGCGAGAGCTGGATGGTGCCCAGCGAGGGCAGCTTGAAGGGCGCGCAGTGCTGCCGCGGCGCGTTAGCATAGCTGTGTGGTCGCGGGGAGGCAGGCGCGATGCGTACGCGAAAGGCTTCGTTGTTGGTCGGCTGCGCCCTCTTCCACCACGCCCCGGGGTCGGGCATCCTCGCGACTATACTGGTCCAGCAGCAGGCGTGCGGGCGGCGAGGGGTCCCATAGCAGATCAGACGGGCGTCATGAGCGCGCGCGTGGGGTGTCTCTGGCGGCGGTCGGGGCGAGGTGTGGTGTTGTCGGGTGCGGCAAGACAGGCGGGAAGGCTTGAGTCAACTTGGCGCTCTTGGGGGGCCTGCCAGGAGGGGCGGGCTTGCAACACTGTCTGCGTCGGCGCGCTGGGTAAGCGCTGATCCGGGGCCTCGATGCGGGATAGCGAGCAGCCGCTGCATCAGCGTGGCCACTCGCCGCCCACGCCTCGCTCCACCGGCCTGACCCGCGGCGAGACTCCTTGTCGCACGTTGCAGACCCTGCCGGCGTCCATTTGTCACCCAGCGCCAGGCCGCATTGCGCGAGAGCACGTCGACGGCTGGCAGCGCCTCTGCAGCGCCATTCACGGGCGGCAGCGCGTGCCAGCGACGGTGGTCCCGAGTGCGTCGAGTCAACATAGGCACCTACCCGACAACAGCACTGTTGGTGTCGGTCAGCGCGTTGCGGGCCCAGCTCCGCCTCCGCCTCCGGCACCCACACCCGAAACAAGCTGGATTCGATGCATTTCGCTCGTCCGTCGCGGGCACTTGCCAAGCACCGTCATGAACGACTGGCACCACCTCGGACTAGTAGGCCATCGCGCTGCCATCGCGCTGCTCCGCGCTCCCTCGACCGACCACTGCCATCGCGCGAACCATCTCCGACCACCGCCTACTGTGCATGCTCATCATGACCCGTGCAGTAACGCCTCCGACGCCAGACGCACCATGCGACAAAACAGGTTGCCGCATGTTTCGAGGCGTCTAGACCGCCAGTAAAGTTTCTGCCCATCCTGCCTACTAAGCCCCGCATGCCTGCCCGGATTGGCTGCCTTGGGCTCTTGTCCCAAAGCTTGAGCTGCTATATTCCCCGACCCGACGGTGCACCACACGTGCCTACGAGGCTGCACTGTCAAGCCTCGGGCTGTTCTTGAGTGCTCAGCGACACTGTCGCCCATCGGCCGGAACGAGCTTGACGTGCTGGCCTGCAATGATTGATCAAGAGGGTCATGCTGGGAGCATCTGGTGCAGTGACTTGTCAGTGTATCTGCATTTGTTCTTCTACCGACAATACAAAGGATCGACTTCGAAGGGCTTCATTAACCTCGCTACACACTCGCTGCAATCCAAAAACTACCTCCCAATGTCTTGTCAACTGCATTCATCGACTCGAACTTTGCCTTTCTGAGCCACCAAGCGGAACGGATCGTACTGTGAGGCATCCGGGTATATATTCTCGACGTAATGGATGGCTTATATGGGCAGTGCCAGGAAAGTACCAACGGGTATGCGGATGTCGGTGTCTCCGAGCTGGATGCCTGTGGGACCTAGATTCACGTCAGTATCTAATCTGAGCGTCGCAGCCTGCGGGTGGGCGAAGAAAGAAACTTGTCTTTCGTGGTAAGCCCAAAGTCCCAAATGAATTCATCCTCATGGACTCGCGGACAGCAGAGTCAACAAGTCGAAGCTCTTGAACGGCAGCGTGTGTCCATTCGCCACCTGCATGGCTCAGAACCCTCTCGCATTCTTCGCGCATACTTTCCGCGTATCTGGGTGCAGGATCTGCACTGAAGAGATCCAAGATGAAGTTTTGTGCCGTGTACGCTGTAGTTTGCATGGAAATATCGTTAACGAAACGTAGTCGCTGGCAAAGACGGATCAGAAGCAGCTGCGCTATGGGATCCTTACTCGCGCAGCATTCATCCACGATCCACTGAAGAGCGTCCTCCTAACAGTGAGGTTAGTCGCTTGATCCATAATATGGTTTGGGAACGCTCAGGCCATCATACAGGGGATTTCCAGTCGGTATCAGGGTTGGCTTTCCAGTCGGTATCAGGGTTGGCTTTCCAATGTGCCGTGTGGGAGGTCGTTCGATTCTCTAGAGCTAAAACCCGCCTGGAACCCCTTTCTGAAAAGAACCTTCCGCATCATCCTTCGCGCTGGTCTTGCGAAGCTTCTGGTGGGAAGCCGTGCCATACGATGTGATCGAGTCTTGGAAGTCGTATGCAAAGGTCAGGCCCTCCAAGTGTTTCATGAGTTGGACTGCTGCTGTGAAGTTGTCTAAAGCAGCAACAAGCGTAGCTGCGTCGGCTTTGACATGGTGTTCATGTATGCACATGTTCAATGTAGAGAGTGATTGCGTTTGAATGCGTAGAGAGAGCGTGGCACACTTAACGCCATCAGACGACTGTGCGACTGTGCAGCCTGCTCATTCGCAGCGTCCTTCAAGCTCCGTCCCTCAGCTCTTGAGGCTCTCTGACTCTGACGCTTCAGACTACAAAATTTGTGATCCAAGATCGTTGCCTGCACCCGAGTACATCGAACCTTTGCGAAAGGAGATTGAAATCGTGCGTACGCTTCTTTTGAGAAGGTCGCTAGTGGCCTTGCTCTCCCCGACAGCATCATCAAAGAATCTGCTCGCCTTACCTCGGTGGAGTCATGTATGTTTAGGCAATTTTAGAAAGACCCCGGGGGGTGAGCCTGATCGGCCGACTGCACGGTAGCGAGTATAAGAAGACAGGCTCTGAAGCCGGTCACCCTCTCCAGCGGTGCACGACTCTCCGCGGGATATTGGCTCTGCATGCCCGGGCCAGCCTTTATGCAGGCGGATATGCACTGCCTCCACGCGCTCACCTTCAACGGCTTGCGGTGCGTAGATTCGACCCCCTTTGACAAGGAGGACATGGCTCCAAGCGAAACTTTGCAACACAAGCCATCTAAACCAATGGATGTGGGGCATGCCTTTCACGTTTGGGGCACTGGAAGAATGGCATCGTGAGAATCTTCTATCATTGTTCCGAGCGCAGATCTGACCCTCTGCAAGCCCTGGGTGAGTGTACGCGCCGCTATCGTGAAACTTGTAGTCGTGCAGGTGATCACAAATCCGATGTCGAGCTTTGGACAAGCGACAGAAGCGTTGGGGGTTATGGGGATCGAGTATGCTTCCCATGGAGAGTACGGTCGTGGCATGCAAGCCTCGAACAATTTCTGAGTGTGGTGTTTATGTAAATCGGGTGTATCTGGAAAGTCGTTTCACGTAGCACGTCTTCGGGCACTGGAACAGGTGCCACCCAAAATCCTTGGTCTTCTCGGCAGTTCCTTGCTTATGTTAAAAGTGACCTCAGATCATTGTGTCGACGACCGGCGTTCATGGGTGACACGTGCTGAAGCCAACGTGTCGCTGGCCTCACTAGACCATCTGCATGCGCATCAAACCAAACAACGAAGACGTGTTCAGTACGAAAAGAAATAACTGGTATCATTGCGACGTGACTCCTCCCCTCCTCCCCTCCCCAACCCCTACAAAACCAACAGCGCAAACATCCCGCCTACAAGGGGCCTCGCGCGAAAGTTGATCCCCGTCTGCTCTCCACTATTCGTAAGATACAAGTCACTAAAAGGATTCGCACTCGGTGTCTCGTCCACCCACTTCGCATACTTGCTAATGAACATATCCCTCGTCTCCTCCGCCGCAATCGCAGCGCAGAAAATCTCCCAGTCGCCCTTGGTCCAGAACGCGTTGCGTGTATCGAGGTCCACGCCATACGTGTTCGCGACCGTGAGGTAGAACGCGCTCTGGTTGTCGTAGATGTGCTGCGGAACGAGGTTGGTGCCGACAAGCTTGTCGTTGTAGAGGTTGTACAGGAGGCCGTAGGTAGTCTCGTTGTTGTAATTGAGCGTGGCATGGGGTGGGTCGGCGGCGGCGTTGACGCCGAGGACTTCCCAGCGTGTGATGTAGTCTTTCGCGATGGACGTATAATTGTCTGCGTCTGCAGTCTCGTTGACGAGGGAGGCAATCTCCGCGAAGGCGGCAATGCCGATGATGCCTTTGAGGCCGAGGTTGGTTTGGTTCGCGAGGTGTCCTGCGAAGTCGTCGGTGGAGAGTTGTTCAGAGGGGTAGAGGCTGTCTTCTACGAGGTATTCGACCCACTGCTTGAGGATGGGGTAGTGGGCTTCTAGGTAGGCGTTATTGTTGGCGGTTTGGGCGTACTTTAGGACTGTTCGTAATCATTAGCATAACGATCTTTCATTGAATATCTCCGTCGGTACGATCGCTTACCCATGATGATGTTGTTCCCGCATTCCTCAACAGGCATGTGCTCATCATTGCCGTCCGCGTGGCCTGTGGCATTAGGGTAGTGTGTCCCGAGGTCATGAATAGCCCACGCATTGGGATAGTGGCCGCTCTCCTGGTTCTCGAAATGCGGGTCTAACATCAACTTGACAAGATCTGGGTTGGCGTAGTAGAAAAAGGGTGTGGCAGGGTATATCACATCGATCGTTTGTGTGTTGCCATTCGAGGATATCTCCTTGAGGAACAGGAAATGCCTGTCTTCGTTCCCAACCAGCTGAGTGGCTCCCATGACCTGCCGCGCAGCGAGCGTGGTGAGAATAGCATAATCGTCACCTGCGGCAGCCTTTGAATCCTTGTCGATCTGGTCGTCGAAAGCAGATGTGAGTTCGTTCGAGTTGTCAAAATCCTTGTGGAAGAAGGCCAACGCAGCGACGTCATCGGCGAAGTAGCTAGTCCAGAGGGACGGCAGGATCTCGTCGCCGTCCTTTCCAAGGAACTGGATAGCTTCTGTCTGGTACAGACCGATCGAAAAGAGGACGGAAGTCGCCTGTGTGCCGCCTACCGTACCGAGATCATTGGCGTAGCCAAACACGGGCCAGTCTGAGTTGATGGCACGATAGTTGGTATCTTTGGTGTTGGCAAGCTTCCCGTTCGAGGCGAAAGCGCCACGTACGTTCTTGTCCGAACCGGACTGGTAGGTCAAACCATCTTTGGTATCAGTTGTGTAGTACTGCGAGACTCAGCTAAGAAACTCTAGGACCTGAACAGCTCTGCTTACGACGTTGCCCCACTCAGCTCGATCGTTCACCTCATTAAAAGGCTGCTGGTCCTGCTTCCAAACCTTGTGATATGAGAGGTCGTCCGTCGTATCATACTCCCAGTGTGCCACCGCCGTGAGGTCACCCGAGATCCACTCTACTACAGATTAGTGCATGTTCCAAACACAGTACCACAGCGACCACCACTTCCCGTACAGCCGGTGGAGCGTAGCGCGTCCTAAGGTAGCCCGCTGTACGAAACCCGGTGGTCGGATTACTTTACGGTGACCACATACCAGCTGAGATGTCAGTGTACAGCTGCACTTCGTGATCGGACCCGTCTTTGGACGCGACTTCGACGTTCAGATACGAGGCGATGAGAGACTGGCGCTTGAAATCCTTGGGAGTGAGTGGCGAGATGAAGCTGGCCTTGATTGTCACCTTGTCGTCGATGTCGATGGTAAATATGCTTTTCGAGCTGGTGTACTCGTAGGCAGTCTGGTTTGCAAGGTCGCTGTCGACTTGTGGCGCACCAAGCCAGGTGAAGGTTTGGTTATCCACGCGGATGAGTCCGGTCCATGCTACAACTTGACCACTGCGCAGTATTAGTTTGAACATTGTGGGGAAGGAACGAGCGTCGTACGTGTAGAAGGTAGGCCACTGTCCCGCGAGATATCCTCCATTGCCGCCATTCTTCCCAGCAGGAAACCAAGTGCTGAGGTAGGGGCTCTTGACAGCTAAAGGGAGAGACGGAGGGCGCGCCGGGTTGAAAGTCGACTGACCAGCGATGAGGCTGGCGAATCCGCCCAAGATGCTTAACGATGAGAAACGCATACTCCCTAAAGATGGACTACAACCCCAAGACCGGTGTTGAGACGGCGGATGGACGTCTCTTGAGTAGACGAGAGCGATGCATTAAATAAAGGGCAGTATAGCGTGTGGAGACTGCTTGCCTGATCGACTAGGGCAAGGCGGGAGGAAGGTGGAAGCGCGACCACCTGACTATTCTCGGACAGTGACGACCTACCTGGTCAAGATGAAAGTAACAGCAAATCGAGCTAAATGCAGCGAGTGGTAGCAGTGGTGTGTAGAGACGTTTGCGACACGGGACACGACAGGATAATCGATCCCACCGGGCGGATCCACTGCCTCCAAGAGCAGTGCAGCCATTCACCAAGGCTGCAGCACTATGGCGTAGATGGGTATAGCGGTGCCTGCGCACGATGGCGGCATGGCGTGAACGTTTGACCTAACGTCTAATGCTCCTGTATAAGCAATGCCGGCATTAGGAAGCAGGTCTGCTGTACCCCAACGACATCCAGGTAATAGAGATCAGGGGTGCAGGGATCGGCTACATGCCGAGTTTGTGCGTCCAGAACGCAGTCCGGGGCCGAGGGTGCTACAGGAGCAGCACAGAATTTTTCGCTCTCACATTGTCGTTCAGACCGTGGATAGACTCGCAAAGCAGGTCATCCTGCACCGCATTCTTCAGGACACCCAAAGCCATTCTCTGAAACAAGCAAATCTCGGAAACTCCTACCTGGGGGCCAAACCAAACGGCGGCACATAGCCGCCCCAATCTGCGCGCCTAGTCCCGTAACGCTTCGCAGCACCTTCCCTCCCGCATCACTATCAGATTCAGGACCTCGACACAGCCTCACATGCTCTCGCACCTCGGAAACTAAGTCCTCTTCTCGAAGGCGCTCTCGTAATCAGTTTTCGGATCGTAGCCTGCATTCCCCGAAAACGCAGCATATCCTTCTGAGCCTGACGGAGGTGGCAAAGGATCACCATGTGATCTGCGGGGGCCAAAGCCGCAGCTGCACGCGGGCGCCGATCTCTCCGCAGAGTTTCACGATCCTCGTGATGATGTTGAGAAGGTACAGTGGAAAGTGGTGGTGCGAATACTAGTTAGCTCATTAAGCTTTCCATGTTCGTTGAATTCTGCCTGTGTTGCTGTGCACGAACGTGAGGTGCTACGCCGAGCTGTAGAGGCTGGAGTGTGATTATGTGTGGTGCGACAGCGACGTGCAACAGGCTACACGTGGCTCCGCTATCCATAGGGTGCGGTGCTTGTTGCCTTTGTTCGCATGCTTATGCTCCTTCATGGTCCGACTATCGCGGATTCCGTGTGCCAACTTAACGAACGCTGGATCATCTCTTCGTATGTCCTACCAACCTAACGCGTGCCGAGCAAAGGTGCTGACCATGATGGCATGTCACTGTACCCGCATGACGCGGGCTCGGTCTCGAGAGCCTGGAGGGAGTGTGTTGAAGAGGAAGGAGCACTGCGAGTGCGATGTAGCTAGCAAATACTCCGCGCGATGTTACGCCAAATCAATATACGTAGCGCTGGATTGCCAGGGTTGCAGCGAGCGATTTAAAATGCGGGTGGATGCAGGACCTGCTGCAGCGGTCGGCATGTAGGTGGACGGACGTGAATTGGAGATCCCCCAGATGGGGGCGTCTGCGCGGGGTAGCTAGCGGGATGCTACATAGGGTTGTGCACCTGCGGGTGCGTGCCTATCAGTAGAGATGAGACAGGGTTGATGCTCCGTGCTATTCAGAGCGGCTGCTGTTCATAGTTTGCTTGGCTTGTAATGTGAAATACTGAGAGCCCAAGTCGATGCTGCCTGCCAACTTCACCGTACACAACGCAGAAAGGCATTCCGACGCCGAAAATGGTGACTGAAAACAAGCAGGTGATCCGTGAAGGCAGGATCATTTTGTTGAAGGAGTTTTCTACGTTGTGGTATCCAAGTAGACTGGGCGACGAATTGTGAGGTCGAATGAAAGCGAAGGCGAGGGTTCGGTTGCCAGCTCCGGATCCGTCACTTCCAACACTTCCTCGTTCACACAAACCAGGAAGACTGACAGTGATAGTTACAGCCATGATCACATTCGAATGTATAATATATTGCACGAGTCCTAGAACCTGCTTTAAAAACTACAGCTCATAATGCAGCAAACCTGTGCACACGCAGCTCGCTGCAGACCAATAATTTCGTAAGTTTGCAAGACGGGAAACGCTGACCAGTCAGGGCACAAACCGATGCTGATGCCGATGCCGATACTCAACGCCATGAACGGAAGACACGCCATGCCGGGGGTACAATATCGTATAGCTCAGCTGCAGAAGAGACGGGAGCGGGGTATCCATAAACCAAGACCAGAGAAAACCGACAAAAAGACTGAACAGAGCAATGCAGAACCAACGGAAAGACAAGAACAGGAAAAGGGCAGCGAGCCCGCAACGCAATGGGTATCGAACCAATCAAATGGCCTCCTTGCCGTCATGTGTCTTCTCGGAGACAGTAGAGTGTATTTTGGGTGGCACATTTCACCACGAGTGTCCAAATTGTTGGCTAGACTCACGAGTCTGCGAGCCATTGCCTAGACACTTCTTCGTACAAGTCTGCGCAGCCAGCCAGCCAAGGGCATTCGAGGATATCGTGGACGGTCCAGCGTTTCTCGGCATCGAGAGTCAAACACCCAGTCACCAAGGCGATCGCATCTTCAGCGTCACTCTCCTGGAGTGCATTCGAGTCTCGAAGAAGATCAAGATCATAATCGCCGTTCTGGATCCTGATGGCTGTCCTGGCATCCAAGCCTTCGTTGAATGGTAGATACCCGGTTAGAAGCGCGTACACAACCACCCCAAAGGCCCAAATATCTGCAGCTGGAGAGAAGATCGGACCATTGGCGGTAAACAGCTCAGGCGCAGCGTACGGCAGACTACCCACGATGCATGTGCTCGTTCCAGAAGGCCCAATGTTGTGGTTTTTACCAACGGACTGCGGTTCAGGGCAGTCACGCTGGTCGCTGACGATGAAATCCGCCATGCCGAAGTCGCACAGCAGCACATCGCCGCCCTCGACGTCAGCCTGTGGCCCACTCATGTCCAGGAGGCAGTTTTCCAGCTTGAGGTCGCGGTGCACAACTTGGACGTCATTATGGAGGTAGCGCACCGCCGATGCAATTTGGTAGGTATAGCGCTTCGCCAGTTTCGGCGCCAAACCTTTCTTCTTCTTCTTGCGCATGTCGCGTACCAGATCGTAGAGCGTGCCGCCTTTGTTCAGCTTGGTGATACAAAATGTCGCAAAGTCGGTCGTGTACACCCGAAGAAGAGGAAGTATATAAGGGTGTCGTAGGAACCGCCAGATTTCCACCTCATGGTCGAATTGGGTCTGGATTTGGTCGTTCTCGAGCTCATCCTTATCTTCAACCTGCTTACGAACAATCTTGACCGCATTGGTAACTCTTTTGCCGTTCTCAAAGCTCATGACCTCCTTCACGAAGCTGAACCCGCCCCAGCCAATTTGCTTTCCGATGATGTACTCGCCATCGTAGCCGATGCCTTGGCCTTCGTCGTCGGGCTGCGGAGGCTTGAGTGGACCGTGGGTCTTGTAACTAGCCAAGAAAGACGCGGCCGGTGACATGGACGACAAGGAACGGCCAGTGCGGGTTGAAGCGCGGCGGCTTCCTCGCCGGAGAATGCTGTCGCCTTCTCCCACTTGATAGCTCTTGGAACGCCCTGGCGGACCGCGCCTCTTCTTTTCGCCCATCTGAAATCCAATGGGGGAGCTGGTGGGTAGAGGAGAGAGGGCATACTCGGAAGGCTCATCTCGAGGCGTGTGCACTTCTTCCAATGGCGATGCCGTCGTCTCTGAAGTCAGAGATGCAACATTGTCATTGTACTCTTGATCTGCAGCAAGCTCATCGACGGTGGTCTGGAGAAGAGGATATCTTGACGCGTTCTTTGGCTGCTGTGGACGTCGTCTATGACGCATCTGCATTTCCAGGTACTCGTGCTCGTTGGAGCCATCGCTCTCGAAACTACGCGGCGCCGTGTTCGACTTGGGCAAAGGTACTTCGATCGCATGACGATTCCCGCTGTCGAGGATGACTTCCTCGTTGAAGGTGATGGACTTTGCTCGTCGGCGGAACTGCTGCTCAATGTCTTCTTCGCTGCTGCTGCTGCTGGTGACGGCAACGGCGGGGTCTTGGTGGGCGTAAGGTGGGTGACCATTTCTGGTGGGACCGTCGCGCTTTATGGGAATGGCCTGAGCCTGATGGAGGTCGTCGGCATCTGCGAAGTGTGCCGACAGTTGGGACTCAGCGTCGCCATTGTGGTGGGTATCGCGCCGAATAGACGCGAAGGTGGAGGGAACGTGCTTGGGCGTCGAGGTATTGATTCTAAGCTTCTGGAAACTATGTGAGGATCCCGTAATTGGGGCCATGTAACCGGCAGACAGAGTCACTGTGGGAGCAGACCTCAGGTGTGCGCCGTGTATTAATATGCGGCACCCGTGGGGTGAGGCTGGCGGGCGGGAGGTAATGTGCGATGGTAATAGAATGTGTCGCCCTGTGCGACTAGCGGAGGTGCGAGCGCGATGACTGTCGCCGTAATGAGCGGCGATGCGCTCGGCGACACTGGGCGCAGGGTGCACTCGAGAGGGTGTGTGGAGAGGCAAAGACCGTCGAAGCTGGTGGTGTGTGCGAGCAGTGTTGAGGCAGCAATGGTCGAGGTTCTTTGTCTGGCCGGGCGCGGAGGACGTTTTCACTAAGCGACAGCAAGCGACCCCACGCCCACCGGAAAGCGCCGGGGAAGGCTTGGGGGAAACTCCAGCGGCACACGTGAGCCACAGCCCACGGTGATTCGTTCCATCCAGCTAGCACAGCGCCCATCGCAGGCAGCCATTGGTAAACTCGAGCGCGCGAGAGGATGGCGGGCGGCGAAGGACATGGCAGCAGCCGATCGTGCACCGGGAGTGGCGGGCGCAGAGCGCATCCATAGCCAATTCGGCGCGGCACGTGGGCAGCAGGCAGGCTCAACACCAGATGATTCGCAGCGCAGAGACTGGCGCGGGATGGCTGCATGCATGTGATGGTGGGGAGCAGCGCGTTCACTTGGGCGATATGCAGGGTAGCAGCGGATCTCGCCTGGGCTCCGCTGCCAGTGGAGCGAGTCGCGACGCAACACGACACCGGGCGCCCGAGCAAATGAAGGGCAGCACGCAACAAGGCCGGCGGGCGAGCAGCACCCGCGTCGTCGGCTGGCATGACGTCGCCGCCGTTGCTCCGCTCCGCAGCGCTCGTCATGCGGCCGCGCGTGGGCCTGGAGCTGCTGGCCGACGGCGTCTAGCGCCAGGGACGACGGGCCTCAGGTTGCGGCCAGGCCAGCCATGGAGCCTGGCAGTCTGCGGCGTCGTCGAGTGCCCGCTGGAGCATGCAGCGGCGGCGCCGTCGACGCTGAGGACGGGCGGCGAGGCGAGTGCGAGCGAGGCTGTCCATGTGGGCGCGCCTGCCACCCGCTACGCGCCCGAAGCGGCATAGGCCCGTGTCTGTTGTCTCGCAGCACGACCGTATCGCAGCAACCCTCTTCTCACCATCCAAACCCTGAGCTCGCAGCAGACGTCGGCGTCGCTGCACCTCCCCCGAGCTCCCCCTCGCCGCTCTACCGCCCGTCCCGCGAGGACTGGCTGCCCGGCCGCGACACTGCCCGCCATGGGGCTGTCCAACTTTGCTTCGAAGCTCTTCGCGACCTGCTGCGGCGGTGAGCTCCCCGCTGCGCCCACCCTGCCATCGAGCACCATCGCTAATCGCCCCCCTAGGCCGCTCGAAAGACAGCATCTATGATCCAGTGTTGGCGGACAGCGAGCGGGAAGCTGTGGCCGACCTGCTGGGCTTCTTGGAAAACGTCAGTCCGCCAGTGCTGCAGCCATCGCCCGTACTGACCCGCTGCAGCGAGCCGAAACCGATTTTTTCTCAGGAGCACCTCTCAACGCATTGAGTACGCTTGTATATTCAGACAACATAGACTTGCAACGGTCGGCGAGCTTGACCTTTGCCGAAATCACAGAAAGAGGTACCTCTGCGCGCCCGCTGCCCCACGCCTGGCGCTAACAGCTGCATGCAGATGTCAGGGAAGTCGACCGCGAAACCCTCGAGCCCATCCTGTTCTTGCTCCAGAACCCAGATATTGAGGTACAGCGTGCTGCAAGCGCTGCACTGGGTAACCTGGCCGTCAATAGTACGTTACCATGTGCGCGTCCCCTGAACGTCTGCTGACTGCAATAGCGGAGAACAAGGTCGCCATCGTGGCGTTGGGAGGACTGGCACCTTTGATCAAGCAGATGAACTCGCCCAACGTCGAGGTGCAATGCAACGCCGTCGGATGCATCACAAATCTAGCCACGCACGAGGACAACAAGTCCAAGATTGCACGATCTGGTGCCCTGCAACCGTTGACTAGGCTCGCGAAGTCGAAGGATATGCGCGTGCAACGTAACGCAACTGGCGCATTGCTCAACATGACGCATTCAGACGACAACAGACAGCAGCTCGTTAACGCTGGCGCCATCCCGGTTCTTGTTCAGCTCCTCAACTCCACAGATGTCGACGTTCAATACTACTGCACGACAGCGCTCAGCAACATCGCCGTCGATGGCAGCAACCGCGCCAAACTAGCCCAGACCGAGGGACGCCTTGTCCAATCCCTAGTCCATCTCATGGAATCGTCGTCCCCGAAAGTTCAGTGCCAGGCAGCGTTGGCACTGCGAAACCTCGCCTCCGACGAACGCTACCAGCTCGATATCGTGCGCGCTCGAGGCCTGCCATCTCTTTTGCGGCTCTTGCAATCGTCCTATCTTCCTCTTATTCTCTCCGCAGTTGCATGCATACGAAACATCTCCATCCATCCCGCGAATGAATCTCCCATTATCGATGCTGGCTTCCTTCGACCCCTCGTAGACTTGCTTGGCTCAACGGACAATGATGAGATTCAGTGCCACGCCATCTCCACCCTTCGCAACCTTGCTGCTAGCTCGGACAAGAACAAACAGCTGGTTCTAGAGGCCGGCGCGGTGCAGAAATGCAAGCAGTTGGTGCTCAACGTTCGTCTCACGGTCCAGTCAGAAATGACGGCAGCCATTGCGGTGCTTGCCTTGAGCGAAGACTTGAAGCCGCATCTTTTGAGCCTCGGCGTTTTTGATGTACTGATCCCCCTTACGGAATCCGATAGTATCGAGGTTCAGGGCAATAGTGCTGCGGCATTGGGAAACCTATCGTCCAAAGGTAAGGAATCAAAACAAAAGTCGATCCATGTCTCGTGCTGACTTGCAACAGTGGGCGATTACACCATTTTCATTCAGAACTGGACGCAGCCCGAAGGCGGGATCCACGGTTATCTTCGCCGCTTCCTCGCAAGCGGCGACCCGACGTTCCAACACATCGCTATCTGGACTCTGCTCCAGCTGCTTGAATCAGAAGACGACCGGTTACTCGAACTCATATCCAAGTCAAACGAGATTGTGCGCATGGTCACAGACATTTCCGAGCGCAGCATCGAATCAGACGAGGAGGACAACGAAGACGGCGAGGGTGAGGTCGTTGGCCTTGCTCGCCGCTGTCTCGAAATCCTGGACAAGACGCCGAAAACCCTCATGGAGGGCTAAACTTCTGAAACGCTCCATTATACCCATATTTCTGACTCTCATTTGACGTTCAACTCATACGGTTTTTCATCTGTCGTTCCCATGCCCCGCTCGGTGCTTGGATTGAAGGCGTTTTTGGTGCAAGTAATCAACATTAGTAGCGAGCATGGGCGGAGCTAGGTCTCTTTATTGTTTCGGCATACCAAGGTCTCATTGTATTCTGTCCGGCATGTGATATTGTTGTCTCGCAAAGATTGTAATTGTTAGTTGGGATGACGCACAAGACGCGCTCCGCACTTGTTTGTGAGTTGATGGGCACAGTAGAATATGAATGATTTATGTGCAGCCTCCGAGGCTTTGGACGACAGTTGGTCTGACAATGCAATTCACTGTGTCCACGATTGATGTAGTTGTATTCACGCGCACAATGCATGGATATATTTAGTGTAGAGGTCAGCTTGATTCGAAAATTAAAATGGTTCAGGATCTTGTAGAAGGGTCTGGTCGCTAAATGCGCAAGTGAAGTCTGACTGCTTGCTCTGCCCCTCAGGTAACGTTGACTCGGGCAAGTTTAAGCGAACCGATATCGATAAGAGCTAACATTTTCTGGAAACAGTTGAACTTCGAGTCAACATCACGTTCGCAGGAACCCAAACACGCAATGCCACCAAAGGCCGTACCACCGAGAGGAAGGGGGAGGGGACGAGGTCGGGGTGGAACTGCCCGAGGCGGCGCAGCGGTTCGACCTGCGACAGAAACTCATGCCCCGCAAACCGATCCCACAACTGCCCCCGCCGCACCGCCCGAGGCAGATGTAATACCAGATCCAGCAGCGCTTCCCAAGATCGAAGATGGTGCCAATTCCGATGCAGCTGTTGCTGCGACAGTGGAAGCCTCCTCAGCCGATCCAGTGTATGTGTTTCTGGTTCACCGCATTCCAACATTCCACTGATTTTGCGCCAGATCAGTGTCCTCCACGCCTACACCAGCCCCAGAATCTTCCGCAGCCCCGGTTGGACGAGTAGCCACGGTTCGGAGTGCGGGACCAGCATCACGATCCGCCTCGCCTGCTGTACGGCGCGGCGCCTCCACTCGAGGGAAGAAGCCTATGCTGCTACCTACAAATGCCGGCCGGAGAAGCAAAGAGGAACGCGAGGCGCGGGCTGCGGCGGATCTGCAGCGCGAACGGGAGAGGAACAAAGAGCGCGATCTGTTGGCTGCGAAGAAGCAGAAGGCTATCGAAGCTGCGGAGAGGCGAGAGAAGATGAGGAATGAGGGGAGGGGAAGAGGAGGCCACACTGGTGTTTCCTCGTTCTTTGGAGGGCATAGGCCGGGTAGGTTTCTCAAAATATTGCTGTGTGGGGAATTGGCTAACGGTGTATAGACAAGAATCGCGCCAGCGCCAGCGGCTATGGTGGTGTTTCTGGGTCCCGGGAAACACGCGTCAAGAACGAGGACTACGAAGGAGGATCAGGGGCCAGGGGCGGCGGAGGCGGCGGAGGAGGAGGAGGAAGTGGTGGTGGTGGAGGAGGCGGAGGCGGAGGCGGAGGCCGTAGTGGTGGTGGCGGCGGCTACATGTCATCAGACGACGACGACGAGCAGAACGCGGAGTTCCCGAGGAAAAACATCGACTTCATCGAGTTATCGTCAGACGAAGGCGAAGCAGAACCCGTACCGAGATCACATGGACACCTACCGATTCGCATTGGGAGGAAACCGCACAAGGAGAAGCTCTTCGGTATCAATACGGACGCGAGTACAGAGGCTAATGCGCCGCAAAACGCTGAAGTATCAGGTCCATCCACTGAGACATCTCACAAAGGAAAGGGAAAAGCAAAAGAGGTGGAAGTCACAGGCGAGAGCAAGTCCTACAAGGGCATGTGGCAAGACTCCGATGGCACAGACGGCGAAGTCAAGGTAAAACCCGAGCCCATATCCAGCGACGACGAAGGTGCCGCACGGGAACAAGTCGGCATCGCCGCACCCATCAAAAACGAGCATTCTCCCGAGCGCGAACGCAAGCCCAAAGTGCCCAGCGACACAGCAATCCCATCCTTCCAGACCGACGAAGAGCGCCAGGAATGGGAACGCATTCAGTATAACCTCATCGGCATGCGCAAAGAGCTCGGCCCCGGCGACGACGCTATGCAGCCTGACGTTGAGGGCGACGTGGCCATGATCGACGCCGCTGCCAACGCAAGCAAGCCCTCCGTCCGCGACGACCACACGTACCTCTTCCAACTGCCCCCTATCATGCCCGAGCTCCTGCTTCCCGGTAACCACTCCAAAATCAAACAGGAACCCCCAACCGACGCCGCCGCCGCCACCGCACCAGGTCAACCCCCAACCACAATCAAAAAAGAACCCACAGCAGCAGCCGAAGACTTCTCCGACCCGCGCGCCTCCTCTGGAACCGGGGCACGCTTCGCCTCCGGCCGCGTGGGCAAGATGCGCGTGCACGCCTCTGGTCGGACTACGCTGGACTGGGGCGGCACGAGCTACGAGATTGGCCCCGGGAATCCGAGCAGTTTTTTGCAGGAGGTGGTGAGTCTGGAGGTCGTGCCGGAGGAGAGGCGGGTGGTGCCTGAGGATGCGGGAGAGGCGTATAGTTATGGGAGGATTAAGGAAAAGTTTGTTGTTGTGCCCGACTTTGGGGCGCTTTTGGGAGGCTAGAAGGGGAAAGGGGTGAGGGGAGGGCATGCAGAGAGCATGGCAGGAAGATGCATTTATGGCGTTTGAAGTTGGGAGGTGTAAGCCTTCCTACCGGTTCACAGCTTTTCCAGAGAAGCGGGGAGTATCATGGTTTCGTATAGGTCCAGCCATATGACACGACACCCAGAGTACCTGACAAAATTAGAGATAGACGATCCAAACCCAAAAGGATATATACCCGTGCGTTAATCTACAAATGCTAGAGCGGCACTACTCACGCAAAGCGAGAGAAGGTCAGGAGCTTCAATACAGGAATTGATAGCTGGAGGAGAAGATAGAAGGGTCGCCAACGTGTGCATGGTCTGAGCCTAGGAGTACGCGTTATGGAGCATACAACGTACAGAGGATGACGCGCGTGCTAGAGGTTCGGCTATCCGTAGAGTCTAGTTGCATCACTCTGAATTTCAGACAGTAGAGTTGGAAAACGCGTCGCGAAAGCCTCCGTAGCCGTACCTGAGACATGGCCAAATCGGCATATGTAAGGTACCATACCAGGTACGCTTTAGGATGATGCAGAGGTTGGTAGGATCCACTGTCCCTCTTCTGGTCGACCATGGAGACCAGGCGCAGAAATCAATGACTAGCGTAACGCGTTTCACAACGCGTCAATCGAGGCCAAGGAAGCACGCAAGCTATGGTGTCACGTCTGCATGGGCCGGATCGCGGTGCGACGATGGTCCCCAGCGTAGTGGGGCGTGCGTGCATTGCTGCCTTATCAGATCGAAATTATCAGATGGAGTTGATCCGAGTGATCCGAGATGCAGCCGAGGCATTATGCGCGTGCATAACTTACGCGCCTCGCGTTTTGGGAGCTCGATGATCGGCCTTTTGATTCTGAAGAAAAGTACGATTCGCATTCTAGATACGAGGGCTTGAGAATCATGCGTTTGTGACTACACCTCCGGCAAGGCAGTTTGAATCGAAGTCAACCTGGCTCCATGTACCACGATCGACGGTTCACGCGTCTCGGACAACATTTCCAAGCAAGGCGGAGATCTGATTCAGCCGCCTGGATGCAATTGGAACTTGGCGCAGGACAAATACCTGCCTCTTCCTGCGCGGGGTGGCTTGTTGTTGTGGGTCTTGGGGCCACTCAGAGCGCGTTCTGCTTCAAACGCGTGCGCTCAGGCGCCCGTCGCGTCTAACCCAGCCTTCGCGACGACCATCTTCAACACTGATTCTTGGGTGCCATCCGAGGAAAATCGACGGCAGTATTGGTATCAATCAAAAGCGCAAGGTCCGTTGCCTAATATACTCGAGTCTGACAGGAATTGTGTGTCAGGCTGCAGTGCGATGCTCGGATTCCACCGAATAACGTCACGACTTCCGTCACACAAAGCATGGACCTTGCAAAAACTTAGCGTCCGCGCGCTAGCACGTGACCGTCGCGCTCGACATGTTTAAAGCACCTGAGCGCGTCTCTTGTGTTCACACATCCCACAACACCATCATCCACTCACCACTCTCGCCATAATTAATTACGTCTAAACTTCTACGTCCACTTCACTGAAGGACCATTGGCGCTCAAACTCACATTTTCCTCACAATGTCTGCTATCCAGTTGACACCCTCTAAGAGTGTACGCGTGCATTCATCACTATTATACACACGCGTATACTAACGCGTGCATAGGCTGCTTCGGCAATTGACACACTCAAGATGTCCGACTCGCCTGTAAAGAAGCTCAACTTCGAGTCTTCGGCAGACAAGGAGAACGTGTACAAGCCCATTGTCGGCATACCAGATCTCGTCGAAGACGATGCGCCCAAGAAAGCTTCGACCGCACCCACAATAAAGGAGGAGGAGGCACACGAGCCCCTCCTACAAGAAAACCCCCACCGCTTTGTCCTGTTCCCCATTAAGTACCATGATGTAAGTTGACGCGTCTTTGCACTTCTACACGCGTCATGTCGCGTTCGAGGAGTACTTTGACTAACATGTTGCCTTGTAGGTCTGGCAAATGTACAAGAAGGCCGAAGCTTCCTTCTGGACCGCCGAGGAGATCGATCTGTCCAAGGATCTGCACGACTGGAACAAGCGCCTCAATGACGACGAGCGCTTCTTCATCTCACACGTCCTTGCCTTCTTCGCTGCATCGGACGGTATCGTCAACGAGAACTTGGTCGAGCGATTCAGCGGAGAGGTTCAGATCCCCGAGGCGCGATGCTTCTACGGCTTCCAGATCATGATGGAGAACATCCACTCCGAGACATACTCCCTCTTGATCGACACATACATCAGCGAGCCTAAGCAGCGCACATACCTGTTCAACGCCATTGACAACAGTAAGTTACTTGGCACTCATACCCCGCGACGCGTATCTAACGCGTGTCACAGTTCCCTGCATCAAGAAGAAGGCCGACTGGGCTCTGCGATGGATCTCTGACAAGAACTCCACCTTCGCGACGCGTCTCATCGCATTCGCCGCCGTCGAGGGTATCTTCTTCAGCGGCTCCTTTGCGTCCATCTTCTGGCTCAAGAAGCGTGGCCTCATGCCTGGTCTTACCTTCTCCAACGAGCTCATCTCTCGTGACGAGGGCATGCACACTGACTTCGCCTGCCTCCTCTTCTCCCTCCTCAAGACCCGCCCTGACAAGAAGCTCGTCGAAGATATCATCACCCAGGCCGTTGTCATCGAGAAGGAGTTCCTCACTGACGCGCTGCCCTGCGCCCTGCTCGGCATGAACTCCACTCTTATGTGCCAGTACATCGAGTTCGTCGCCGACCGCCTGCTCCTGGCTCTCGGCAACACCAAGGTCTACAACGCGACCAACCCCTTCGACTTCATGGAGAACATCTCGCTTGCCGGCAAGACCAACTTCTTCGAGAAGCGCGTCGGCGATTACCAGAAGGCGGGCGTCATGGCCAGCACCAAGAAGAACGAGGAGTCGACACAAACAGAGGAGAGCAAGAACGTGTCTGGCGACTTCGCCTTTGACGAGGACTTCTAGACGCGTTCTTTTCTTGCTTCCCTCTTATTCCTATTACCATTTTCTAGATGCATACTTCTGAAGACTGGGGGCACGGGTGCTGGGTTACCCTCTTCCTTTTGCATATCTTCTCTCCGTCCTCTGCATTGTCGGAGTCAGACATGGCATAGCGGGCTGCTTTTGATACCTGGGGTTTTTCGTGCGCTTGATTACGTGGCGTTTCCATGGTGGGTGTTTTGCTTTGGGATGAAGCACGCGAGGACGCGAATGATTGTTATGGCTGGTGTGGGGTGGGCTGGATAGGATACGCAACTCGCGATTTCGATAATGAAGAATCTGAACTTCCAAAACAATTACGTCTTTTGCACACTTGATTGAATCGTGATGGGGTTGGCTCGGCCGGACTGTAGGGCTGCAAGCCCGAACGCCGCGACCGGGGTCCTAGTCTTTTATACAAGCATTGCATGTGCAGCCATAAGCTCACTCTCAGTTTCCCTAAATACATATGATAGACGCGAGATGCAAGAAAATCGATGTTGGTGATCGCTGCTACTGTACGCGCCCGCATGCATTGGGGGTTACCACGGTCGGCGCGAGTCGCCTGGGAGACGGCTGCATGACATCACGGCCATATGCTTCGGGGCGAACAGCAGTTCCCATTACCGAGCGCGAGGCACTGGGACTCTGAACCGCCACGTCTGCCAGGGCTTCCGTAAACACGAATAGACACTCAGACCAAACCGTCGACAACGGTCCAGGCTCAGACGGTGCCGCGGTACAGATTATAAAGACTATCGATAAGCTGTTGCCGCCTCCGCTCACTTCCGCGGGCATCACAACACTCGAGAAGTAAGACGCACAGCTCCCATCACCCTTGGCGAGGCGGGATTATACCATGCGCACGCTGCGCTGTATGCGCAATTGACAAGATACGACTGGTGGCTCCGAACAAGCATACCTAGAGGGTTTTCGCGATTGGGGTCTTTGCTGCAGGAACAGCGCATAGCTTCGCAAGAAACACGCATGGTACTTCTGGGATGAAGCTTGATGCGCATCGCGAACGCCAATGGCCGACGTTCTCCCCAAGATCAGGGCTTCCGACCCACCCACGGAAGATGCAAGTCCCCTGGAGCGCCAGGACACGGGAAAGTTCTCGGTGAAGGGTGACGGTACGTCGCGCACGACTTCGGATGCAACTCTTTGTGCCGCGATGCTGATGCTCCCCACCACAGGCTCCCTCGTTAACGGAACAAAGCTCGCTGCAAAACTGCGGAACCCGGCCACTACAGCGAGTGCGCAATCGAACATCGAGTCGAAACCGGGAAAGGATGCGAACACCGAGGGCAGAGGGCGGCCATCTCTAGACCCGCTCTCGCAAGTATGTGCTGTTTGAGGAGCGGTACGGCATGCGCAGGGCTGACCAGGCTGTTAGCATATCTTGCAGCGAACAAATACCGCGCTCACGGTGCAGAAGCTGCGCGCGCAGCATGCCGAGACAGGCGCGCAGTCACCCACCAGCCCGCAGGATGGAAGAACGGATACGAAGATCACGAGCGATACGCCTGTGCGGGACAGCACCAGTGGAGGCACCAAGGCAGACAAGAAGTGAGTACACGTCCCAATACGAATACGCTGCTGTACGCGGCCCCGCAACAATGTTTCCCAATGCGGCAGTGTGTAGAGTCGCAAGCATCACCCAATTGGTTGTCGTTCATTTCCTCGTTCATGCTCCGTCAAGTAGCGTGCGTAATGAGGCGGAGCACGCGCAACACAAAGGCCACCCGCTAACGTCAACATCAGGAAAGGCGTCTCGTTTCTGTCCCGGTTCATAGGCACCAAAAAGAAAGGCACCCTCGACGGCACCGACGACAATGGCTCGCAGGCGGGAGACTGGGACCCGCGACCAGAGGGGATGGAGGCACAGCTGTTCAGCCATACCGTCGACAACCTGGGATTTAGCCCCAAGCACCCACCCCCACCAGCGTACATCAAGATGCGGAGCAAGTACAAGAAAGAGAAGGAGTTCGATCGTGTGTTCCTGGCGCAGGAACTGAGGACCAAGACGGAAAAGAAGAGGCTGAGCGTGGGCACGACGAGCTCCACGACGCCGTCTGGGTCAGCCGGCGTGCAAAACCCCATCTGGGCGACAGAGTTCAGCAAGGATGGGAAGTACCTAGCGGCAGGCGGGCAGGATAAGGTCGTGCGCGTCTGGGCTGTCCTTGCAACGCCAGAGGATCGGAGAGCCCACGAAACCGAGGAGCAAGTTCCGAATGCGTCGGGGCATTCTACGAGACTCAGTGCGCCGGTTTTCCACCAGAAGCCTTTTAGGGAGTATCAGGGTCATACGTCGACGATACTGGACTTGAGCTGGAGCAAGAACAATTTCCTGCTTTCTTCGTCGATGGATAAGACGGTGAGGCTATGGCATATCAGCCGCAACGAGAACCTGTGCACCTTCAAGCACAATGACTTTGTTCCATCGATTCAATTTCATCCGCGAGATGATCGGTTCTTCCTCGCTGGATCTTTGGACACGAAATTGCGACTGTGGAGTATACCGGACAAGTCCGTGGCATATACCGTGTCTCTGCCGGACATGATCACCTCGGTCGCGTTCACGCCAGACGGGAAAACCTGTATAGCTGGAACCCTTGGTGGGCTTTGTATGTTCTACGACACGGAGGGGCTCAAGTTGCAGAGTCAGATCCATGTAAAGTCCACACGAGGGCAAAATGCCAAGGGAAGCAAGATTACGGGGATACAAGCAGTCTGCTGGCCGCCTGGTAGCAGTACTGGGGACGTCAAACTGCTCATAACAAGCAACGACTCAAGAGTACGAGTCTATGGATTCCGGGAGAAGAACCTGGAAATGAAGTTTCGCGGTCATGAGAACAACTGCAGCCAGATAAGAGCCACGTTTGCAGACGACACCGAACACATAATATGTGGGAGCGAAGACCGGAAAGCGTATATTTGGTCGACGAACGGGTTTGAAGGCGAGAAGAGGAATCAGAGGCCCATGGAGATGTTTGAGGCGCACCGCTCGATTACCACGTGTGCTACGATTGCGCCGCTCAAGACGAGGCTGCTGCTCAGCGCCTCGGAAGATCCTATATTCGATCTGTGCAATCCGCCGCCCGTCACGCTGGTCTCGCGCGAGGACTCGATGAACGGCTCGAAGCCGCCTACGGAAGCGGGGTCTGTCCAACCTACACCTACAGAGGCGAACTTTAGAAGGGTTGCAGAGAGCCCGGCGTATCTTGCACGGTCCGCGGTATGTACACTCATCACCAGCTTGAAGAGATCACGGCCGTTACTGACATGGTCTAGCACACCGACGGCCACATCATTGTAACAGCCGACTATACCGGCGCAATCAAAGTCTACCGTCAAGACTGCGCCTATCACAAGCGCCTCCGCGCCTCTGACAATTGGGACGCCGCCTCCCTCCTCTCGCGCCGCACAGGCTCTATGCGCCTCGGCCGCCCTTCTAGCATCCTCTCCGCCCGCACCGGCCGCGCCAGACGCGACTCCACGTCTACACAACCACCCAACGAGCGCATCATGAGCTGGCGCCAGGACCTCGCCCACGGGGGGTTTGAATCACCTCGCCGCAGCATCGGGCGGAGTATTTCGCCGCGCAAGTCCAAGAGCCGGACTAGCATGACGAGCACACGGCCAAGCGATTCACCCGCCCTGGGCCCATTGCCGAGCCGCGACACAACGCTCTCCGGCCCGTCCAAGACGGACCTCTCCATCGACCACAAGCACAGCAAAGACGACGCCGACTCCGAGACGCCTTCAAAGCCCGTTCCCAGTCCAAATCTCAACCATGACGCGGGCACATCCCCGCAGCGTAAACTCTCCGCCTTCGACCCCGTCAAAGCCCCTGCCATACAATTCTCACCCTCCCTCTCCAACCCGCTGTCCGTGTACAACGGCCAGTCGTGGGCGTTCTGGAACACGAAGCCCAAGATTGCGCAGGCGGAGCGGAATGGGTTTCTCGCGCCGCGACCGGAGCTCCAAGCGCGCGTCAGCAGCGCTGTCAGCCGGCTAAGCAGCGAGGTTAGTAGTCTTAGTGCTGAGGAGGAAGCGGAGAAGTGTGCGAGTTGTGGGGGGATGGAATTTAAAGTAAGGTGGAGGGGAACGGGGGGGAGGGAGGAGAGGATTGTGGTTTGTGGGGTGTGTGGGAGGGTCGTGGATTAGAGAACATGGAAGGGGTATGTGTGTGGGCTTTGTACGATTAGATGTTAAGCTGGAAGATGGAAAAGGGGTCCACGAATTATGAGTATGATAGCGGTCATTCCAAAAGTGCAGCGTATTCAATGCATCCGTCTGAAGCACACTTGGTCGAGGCGAACTCGGTATTAGGTGCACAAAGAAGAGCGTAGCGAATGAGTCCGACGTCCACCCAGCCACGACGATGCACCGGTCAAAAACTCCATATGCGCCACCCGACCCGCCCCTTTACTTTTCCTCCTTCTTCATACCCAAATCAACAACACTGCCTTCCCCGCCCCCCTTCAGCACACACGCCAACCCCCTATCCCCTTCCTTCTTCACGTCAGCTTCATCTTCGTCTTCATCTGCATCTTTACCCTTGCTTCCCTTTCCTATCCCCACCTCTCTTCCTCACCCAACTTGGCCCCTTACCATCCTCGTCAAGCCCAGACCTATTTCTCCCACACGCCCCCATACCCCACGCACATCCCTTTGCTCCACCCCTTCTCCGCAACAAAAACAGTGCTTACCGCGCGCGCGAGGAGTTTAGCACCCGAAGTGCCGCCGCTGTGCCAAGGGCCGCCGCTGCGGGTAAAGGACCCGTGAGCGGTGAGGTGGGTGGGTGGAGGTGGGATGGCGGTGTCATTGCTGGGTTTAGGTTTGTCGGGGTCACGTCTGAGCAGGCGGGAAAGCGAGTTGACCAAGGGGGTGAAGCAAGTCGGCATTGTGGATTGGCTGATTGCGACTGGAGTTGCTGAGGGTAGTGGATGACGAGTCTGGATGTATTTGAGATGGCTTAAGATATGGATGTGGTGTTGCTGTGCAGGACGGAACCCGCGCGGTGGAGATATCTGTTTCGAGGTAGGCGGGGAGTGCGCTGTTATATCATCTGATGGGTGACGAAATGAGTGAGGGCGTTACACGGCACCAGGAATGTGTTGTGTTGTGCTGCTCGTACAACCTCCCCCATCTTTCCTCTTTCGGGAACCGCCGGCCAACGTAACATGCCGTGATGCAACCCTTTCTGTCCGCACCTCCCACGCGCAATCTTGTGCATATCCACCACGTCAGATCTCCAACGCTCCCGCAGTAGTCTACCGCAACCCACCCCTCTTCACCCACATCGCCGGTACAGATGCAGTTGATACCGCATATTCTCCAGCTCGATTGGATACCTCAGCCCCGCGGGAAGCCGAAACCACTTGCTCTCTTCCTCCTGCAGCTTCTCCCAGCACGGCGAGGGATTCGCTTTGGCATCGCCGGAGGGGTTGAGCAGCGTGTGGTCCAGCAGCCACTGCATGGGGTACTTTCTCTCGGCGCCGTTGAGGCTCACCGTCGAGTAGCTGCCCGGGCTGTCGACGACAAGGAGGTGCGCGCCCGGTGCGAGGGCGGTTGTTAGGTTGAGCAGGAATTTTTGCGTGAGGGAGAGGGAGGTCGTGTAGAGTTCGTTGAGGGTGAAGAGGAGGGTGATGAGGTGCGCATTTTCTACGATATTGGCTAGCGTATCTGGTGATAGATTCAGGACGTCGTGCTGATGGAAGGTAACAGCGAAAGAGGAGAGGGATGTCAGGGCACTGTTTGCTGATTGTGCGGCGGCTGAGGCGTATTTTGAGAGTGGCGGCTTGGTCACGATACCTGAGCCGAGTCTTGTTACGACATTGGCCCAGTCTGCGATGTCGATGGCGGCGATGTTCATCTTTGCGCGGTGCTCTTCTTCCGTCGTTTTGAGGAGCTTCATTAGTCCGCCCAGAGCCACGATTTCGGCGCCTGCACCTCCACCCAGGCCCACGATCTTCCATTCCGCATCTTCCGTCTCTTCAGATTCGCTCTCAAAAGGCTTCAACTCGTCTCTTAGGTCGTGTAAAATTTCCAGATAGCATAGCGTGCGGCTTGGCGACCAGCGTAGGGCGTACGTCTCAAGATACTCTTCCTTTCCAAAGGCGGTGGCAAAGTCACGATTGTACAGATGGCCTTTTACTTCCTGGAGAAGCGGCTTGATGTCTGTTGACAATCTCTCTGGGAAGGCATCTCTAAAGATATTGAGTAGAAGTTGCTGCAGATCGACGGGCAAGGACGATGTTGGTCCTGTTTCGGACACCGGAGCTTTCGTCTTTGACGTCTTTGAATGTCCTTTTGACGGCGCTTTTTTCGCTGTCCTGTGCAGATTTCTAGATATTGGTGGCCCCATTGTGATTGTAGTTGATGCTGTGAAGGTACTGCTGAGTTAAGGTGGAGCCGGTGAGTTTTGACATTGATACGGAGCGTTTGTAGGGCTTGATGATTTAAGCGAGGCCGGCGGAAACTTTTCCGATGGTTCCGACCACGAATGGATCAATACCCTTAGCATATCCAGAACATGAAAAGCGAATGTCCGTCTTCTATGGAGCATAGCACCTTACTAAAATATTTGTATCTTTACCTGCTCAATGGCCTTGCCCGGAAGTGTCCCAGTATTAATGAATTGCATCAATTCACGACCAACATGGTAAAGGGAATTATCGCTGAAGAGGCTGAAATACGCGCCAGTCTTCAGCTAATGGATTTAATAGTCGTAAGATATGATACAGCAGTGTCTGGGGAAACAGCTCAAAGCCCACGTCTAGATGTTGTCACGATTTATCAAAATGGACCTTCAGTCTCCAAAGAGAGCCAAGAGTGAACATTGTGTCAACATTTACTGCGCTAGGTCCATTGCTATCAGTGACCTGCAACCTTTAAGTAAGGGATTTCAGCTCACGATGATTCTTGAAGCTCTTGAAGAGACTAGTCCTTCCTGGCAAGCACTGTGGCCGAAATTTCAGCAGGGTGAAGGCTGGAAATGCGGCGGGTCGTAGTTCTGGGCCTTGCTTCAAAACCAGCCTCCAGCCATGGAACTGGCCGAAGGATAGTGTTAGAGTTTTCCGTACCATATTTCTCCTTTAGCCTTCTCCGTGGTCCCACGCCACGAGAAGAAAGGCTGTTGAATTTTAGGCTTCACGCAAACCCCGAAGCACTGTGCGCCGTGGAGCAGTCGGTCGTTCCGTTTTGTCCCTATCACCCCTGTCTTTTTAGGCGCTACAGATTCTGTTTCCAGACAAGTGGCCGACCACAGATCCTTTCTAGACACCCTACATACTTCCCTTGTAGTCATCTGCTATATATAGGGGTTTTCTCCACCGTCCTCACACTCTTGGTAAAGACGCGCGCCCGGGACCAGCGAAAAGGCGCCTGCTGATGAAGTAGCCATTACATCTTTCTTTGTAACATCCAGCCGTGATCAACACAAAGGCTCCAAAATACCACTCCTCGCTTGAGCGTAGGGTGGTTCGTGAAGTTCGCGATGAGCCTAGGCTATTATAACGACGATAATCTTCGTGATGAATAGTTCCTTATGACTTAGGGAGACTGTACCCATCCTATTTCGTTCATGTCTTCCTTCTCCAAAGCCAAGGAAGCGCGGCAAGAAGTGCATGATCGTGGTGAGTTCTTAGGGCTCCACTGAACCTTCAAGTTCATCATCGCTATTCTGGCCTAGCTGTAAGCCTTGCTATTCCAGCATCATACTCCGCTCTTCGCCATCCGGGTCCTTCCCCGATTGCGCCAGTGAGTCAGGCAGCAGCTCCATGTTACAGCTCCACAATTCCCAGACGAACAGGTTTACGAAGCTGCTGTTCTACCATACACTGGCTTGTGTGACTGTAAGTCAAGCCAGGCACAGGACGTATCATTTCTTTCCTTGCCATCGCCTTTAGACCCCACCCGGCCTCCACGACGACTTGCACTCCTTCTCTACGTTGGCTTCGTCCTCGTCGAAGTGCGCCTGCATGCCGCAGGTCGCATCTGTCTCGAAGTACACGCGAACTTCCCATTTGGCGCGGGGGTTCATGGCCTTTAAGAAACATGTATTGGCAACTTGTCTTGGATGGAAATTGGGGATAAAGCTTACCATAATCAGACCACCGCCAGCATCTGCCGCAGGGAAGGAAGAAGAGACCTCGGGCGCATTGTCCTCGTTGGCGATCAGGTCACGCATGGCATTCTTGGCGGCGGTTCGGGCGGAGTCACCGTTGGTGAAGCTGCCGATGATCTTGGAGTTTATGGTCTGCATATCATCAGTGTGATGTTCGTAAAATGGTTGACTATGGCCGAGAATGCATGCTTATGCATGAAGATGTATGCCAATGGCCGTGAATGCAAAAAAAAAAATGCAACAAGGTGCTTAGGAATACTTACTCTCCCCTTCGCATTTGCACTCATTACCTTGCCGTACACCTCGCTGTAATCATGCAACATAGGCCCCGATGCCAGCACTGTGAACACTGGCTTCGGGAGCATGGCAAGGACCTCGGCTTTGGTCATCGTTACGACCTCGAGAACAGAGAACTGCGTCTCGTCGATCGGGTCCTTAACTACGAGCTTGGTGAAGCCCTTGGACTTGACGTGCTCGAGAGTCGCGAGTGCCGAGGGTGAGTCCCGGGCTACCTGCTGTGCGATGCGCAGGATTTTGGCGAAGAAGGGAAAGGGGCCGTGCCTGGTGCGTGGGTAAGTTCTTGCATATGTGCAATGGTGAGTGTGCGGGCGGTACATACCACTCCCACCCATCGGTGTGCGGGGTGCTGACCGTCAGGTAGAAAACAGTGCCCTTCGGGGCAGCGGGGTCAGAGAGGTCCTCGTCCGGCGGTCGGCTGGCAGCCTTCTTGCGGTTCTCGAAGTCGATCTCCGGCTTGAACGCGTCGTCGATGCTGAAGTCGTCGTCGAAATCGTTGCTCATCTTGCCGGCAGTGTGTAAAGTCGAAGGGCTGAGGACGTTGGAGGTTGCAGAAACTGTTTCTATATAAAAGGTGTGTGTTTGGCAACTTTGTTGGAGTGTTTGAGCTAGTGTTTAGAGCTCGAGGTGCCACGGTAGCTGTCTTTATAGACAACCCTCAGGGCCCGGCACGGGCTTCGAAAATTCTCAGTGAAGCCAGTTTCGAAGCCTGGGTGAAGGCGAATGCGGAAGGAATGATATGTTCGAATTGCCGAGTATACTCAGGCTAAGCTAGAGATAAGCGTCCAACTGAGGTAATGGACCCTGAGTTGCTCTAGGATCCAGCTGAAAATGGACGCTGGTGTACCTGTCGGTGTCTCTGGGGGATCAAGTGGGGGGTATATGTATTTGACGCAGGAGTTTGCGATGTACTTGTGAAAACCATTGTTTGAAAGTATTGAAGGTGTCGTTGCTGATGGAAAACCAGTGTCGTGGTCAGATGATCAAGACCGCATGGATCTCCGAAAGGGGGACTGCCTGCTTGAAAACTGCTAAGGAAACGGGGAAATTGATACACCCATGATCACAAGTTTGGACGTGTGATGAATGCTTTGCGAAGTTGTCACTTTGCTGGCGTATCATTCGATGACGGCGGCATCCCACTGCTTCATGACAGGGATCTGGATGCATCAGTAGCATGTGCATTAATGACTGGTGATGTGAATGGTATCATTTCCACTGAGCTACTCGCCAGAATCTGCAACTTCCCTCTTGAATTTTCCTTTCTCTTCATCCTACACGAAACCAAACGCCCAAGCGCCGATACATGCAATCAACAAAACACCCCTCCTGAACCTTACTTCTTATTCATCCGTCTCGCCTTGCCCGGTCTCTTCGCCGCACCCCCCTTCATCTTCTTATGCGAGAACCCCCGCCCATCCGCGCTCGACTGCGCATCGTTGCTCTTGCCGTGGCGCTTCTTGCCACCAAAGCCAAACTTGTCGTTCTTTTTCTGACGCTTGAAGTTGCCGCCCTCGCCACCGCGGCCGCTGCGCTCGGGCTTGTCGGATTTGTCGAGCGCAACGTCGAAGAGGTCTTCTTCGTTGGTGGCTGTTACGTCAGCGCCGGAGCGTTCTGGGGGATGTTAGCGTGGTGAAAATGGCATGGGAAAAGGACTACATACTCCGCTTGAGCTGGCTGATCTTATCCAGCGTATCCCGCTTCTCCTTTGCTCTCTCCTGCAGCTTCGCAACCTGCACCTGCTTTCCAAACTTCTTGAGATCGCGTTGTTTCCGTGCCTCAGCGCTCGCCTTCTTGCCCGCCGCCTCGTCCATCAGCTTCTGCTTGATCTTGCCCATGTGCTCGTCGTCCTTGACCATCTCAGCGAAGTAGTCCGCGGGCCGCGAGAACGGCGCGCCCTCCTTCTTCAGCAGGGCCCGCGCGTCCTTGACCGCGGATAGCGACTGCTTGTAGAAGGCCAGCTCGCGATTGAGGTCATCGTCGACGTCGGCGATCTCGACGTCCTCGTCCGTAGTTAGCGACATGTGTTCTGAGAAGCCGAGCTTCGCGTAGGGCAGCTTGATGCGGTTGAGCGCGGCGGTGAGGGCGGCGGTATTGTTGATGGTGAGTCGCTGGTGCGGGACGATGTCGGCTTTGTCTTCGTCGGCGAGCGATTCGATGTCGGAGAATGCGATGTCGTCTTCGTCCTCCTCGTCCACATCGTCTTCCTCATCCTCGTCCCCGCCGCCCGCGCCTAGCGCCTCGCCCAGCTCTTCGTCCTCTTCGTCGTCTCCGCTGACATCGCTCTCGCTGTCCTCGAGGCGCGAAAGATCGTATGTGGCCTTCTCGTCGTCGGCGCTGGCATCGTCCTCGCTGTTGTCCGTTTCCCACTCGGCCTCCTCCACCGGCGTCGCGACCTTCACACCGTTGGCCTTTGCCTTCTTCGTAACCTTGCCATTGCTCTTCGGGGTGGCCTTCAGCTCCACCTCATCCAGAGGCACACCGCCCTCTGCGTCGTCCTCATGGTCCCCTTCAGGCTTCTTCTCCGCCTTGCGCTTGCGTGCCTCCTTCTCCTGCTTGCGCTGTCTCTCGAGCTTGAAATTGCGGCCCTTCTCGTTGTCGAGCGCGGCCTTGAGTTTGCTTTTCGCCATGTCGTTGTCGGATTTCGTATAGATCAAAACCGGGCGGTATGAGGCAAAGTCGAAGTAGCACGACAAAAGCGTCGCGCGAAACGGGTAGTCCCAAAATTCAAGCTCGAAATCTTGGCGCAAAGAAAGTTCTGCCAGCGCTAGCGAAGGGCGGTGTGCGGCTGGGAAGCTGCGACCCACCACATCACGTGGCTGGCGCGGACCTCGAGCATTCACTCTTTCTACTGCTGTGGGATAGCGCGCTGCAGTGTTTGTACATACCGCTCGACTGACTGCTGCATACACGGGGAGAGTGCACCCAATACTATAAGAGGATCGTCGCTCACAAAATCACCATACACACACCAAACCCACCATGTCTTCACGACCCTCAGCCGACCGCACCGACAGCTCACCCTCAGTACTTCCGCCCTGGTCTCCTACCCTCTACCTATGCTGATCGTCCAACAAGGCTCTAAACTCCAGCACCGACAGCTCAGCCGAGCTCCAACAAGTTGTCGATGACCTCCTCACCCAGCTGCAAAGCAAGTTTACAAACGTCAGCAGCGAGTTGCTCGCGAAGAGTAAGTTTGTACATGGTGTAGGAGTGCTGAACGAATGAGGGCTGACGCGTTACAGTGGAGGACATGTCAAGGCGGCTGGACAATCTCGAGGCGACGATTCAGACGGGCGATGGGAAGGCGTCGGGGGCGAGCAAATAGGTGAAGATCCAACGGCGGATTGCGGGTTGCTTTAATTTGTGACGATGATGGGCTGTAGCCATCTTCACATTGTCTAGGCGTCTAGGCGAGGCATGGGGTATGTTCGAATTGCAGCACGCATCAATGTTCACACATGGGTTTGGAAGAATTCCTTGTAATGATTCGATACGTTATACGTTCAATCGTAGGCACTCCGCATTCTATCTGGTAAAAATGCTCCCCGAGGTCTGGGGCAGACCCAACTCTCTGCCAATGTATCAGGTCTTGAGACCGCTGCACAGCAGCTTTTCGCTACAGATGTAGATGTTTTCGCGTGCGGCACAGCGCCGCTGTTAATCGCACCCTGCACCAGTCACCGTCCAATCTCCCCCTTTGCTCCAAACCTCTCCCTTCGTTTCTGCCAGCACGGCTGGCTTAGTAATATCGTTGTTGCTCTACAACTCGCTCTTCTCGTCCTCATCACCAGTTGGGAGGAACCTCCTCAAAATGTTGCTCCGGCTGATCAAGTCGTCGAGCTTCTCAGCAGCGAGGTTACCCTTTCCAATGAGACCCTGCAGGCGCTTGTACTCCTTCTCGGCGTAGCCCTCATTCTTGCTGCTCTTCTCGAACACCTTGACATAGTACTGCGCGTATTTGTCCTTGAGGGTCTCGGCAGCCTTTCTAGCCTCCTCGAGACCGCTGGCGTAGGCACCCTTGGACTTGGTGACGATGGAGTCAAGGGCTTCGATAGTGCCACCAATAGCGTTGAGGCCGCCACCGACAGCACGGTAAGTGCCAGCGTTAGTGTTAAGAAATTCGACGAAGTCGGCCTCAGCCCGGGCGCCCTCGTAGGGAAGAGGCTCGGTGGTGCCCTTCTTGAAGTACTTGATGGTGGGGTATGACGAGACGCCTTGCTCCTTGGCGAGCGCCTTGCTGTTCTCGGCTTCCGCGTCGACCTGAGCGATGGTGACACCCTGCTCGTTGGCGAAGGTGTTGGCGAGCTGTTCCCAGACGGGCTTGAGATTCTTGCAGTCTGCGCGCGTTATTAGCGTCTTCCGCTCTACCGTCTAGATACTTAAGAAGCCCACTTACGTCCGCACCAGGGTGCCGTGAAAGCAACGAGCACATCTTGGTCCTTTCCGACTTTCTCCGTAAAGCTCTTGTCATCCAGAATGACGACCTGGCTCGGAAGCTTGGCCTTGACCTTTGCCCTCACACCGCTCTTCTCCTGCACGAACTTTGCCAGACTGTCGAGGTCCCGTCCGCTGTCATATTCCTTGGGTGTGTCACTCTTGCCATCGAACCACTTCAGTGTTGGGAAGCCCTGGACGCCGAACTTCTTGCCTAAGCTCTTGTGGGCGTCCGCATCGACCTTCGCAATGGTGACTTTGTCCTTCGCATGCAGGTAGTTGGTAGCGAGCTCTTCGTATACGGGCGCGAGGTTCTTGCAGTGGCCGCACCACGGGGCGAAGAACTCTACGAGGGCGGGCTTGCCGGACTTTAGCACGATATCGTCGAAGTTATCTGGCGTGAGCTCGACGACGTTCTCGGCGGCGACGAGGGCCGGCAGCAGCGCGAGGGCCGCCGGTAGCAAGCGATTGAATAGCATATTGGTGTGAGGTGAAGCTCCAGGGTTGAATGGGGCTTCTGGTGTTGTGGGTATGCAGTGCAAGCTCGAGCTGGAGCTTTGTGGCAGGTGTGGTGCGGGCAAGTGGCGGAGGTCTTGGCGTGGACACCTTGCTGAAAGCCTAGGATTGATAATCGGCCAACGACTCAAGATATCACACAATAAGCGGCAGATGGATATTATGCGCCTGAATATTCAGCACGTCAAGAACCAGTCAACTATCTGATCTCGGGAGAGACATGTGCACGTGATGATCATCAATGCGAATCCACACACGGCGCTCTTTCCCATGTCTTTGCTATAAAGATTAGAACTACCTCATGAAGCACGCGACATGTTCCAAGGGTATCAACTCAACCGGCATGCAATGCCTTCCACTAGAAGTCTTCCTCAAACTCAAGCTTCTTCTTTTCCTCCTCCTGCTCCTGTGCACCTCCACCCTTCACCTCGGCTGCAATGTTCTCCACGTTCTTCTTCAACGCCGGCGCATTTGCACTCCTGATCTCTTCAATCTGCTTCCCATTCTTGAAAATTAGAAACGTTGGGATGGCCGAGATCTGAAATTGCGCCGTAAGTTCTGGTACTTCGTCGATATTGATCTTGGTGAAGGTGACCTTGCCAGGTGCGGAGTTGGCTTTGGAAAGCTGCTCGTAGAGCGGCGCGATAGCTTTGCAGGGCGGGCACCAGGTTGCGAAGAAATCGGCAACGAGGTAGGTGTGGTCGTTAAGAAGCGTTTGGAATTCGGACTGCGCGCTGATTTCGGTCACCATGGCTGTAGTGGTTTGCTGTGAGAAGACTGTTGGCGAGAGTATGTCTTGGAGGAGACAGTGCCGTTCGTGACCAGAGGTTAGCTACGATGGACAATAACTAGCGCTTATTTTCTTGTATACAGTGATTGTGATGGCGCAATCGCGACGAAGCCACGACATATTTCTTTGATAGCAGAAGTTGATTGTGAATTGGGGTTAGGCTGAGGCGCATTTGTAATCGTAGTACCTCGAATAGCTGTCGTCCCCAGAAGAGGCCATACATCCTCTAGCTTAGATCATTCCGAGAAAAGACTCGTACGCCCAGACTTGGTAAGTCACAGGTACGCTCTTGCTAACGTACGGCCTGTTGGGACCCAATGCAGCTAGTGGCAGCTACCAAACGGACCATCACGTGACTAAACGGCACCCAAGGTCACGACATCCCTCTGCAATTTGCATCTACCTCTCTAGTATCTCATCATGAAGTATATGTTGCTTTACATGGAATTTCCCATCTCACAATTGAGAATTTACACGAAATGCTACGTGGAGTCACACTGATCTTCAGAGGCCATAAATGATGAATACCATAGGTACCATTCCGCTTAGGGCAGGTGCCCCTGAACTATAGATGTGCAAAGAAATCTATGTTACAATTCGATTACAAGCATGAGCTAACAGTACCGAATACTGAAAATATATATAAGCAAAGTGCTTCGAGAAAACCCTCCTCATTCACTCCGGAGATTGCACCGAGTCGTGCTTGCGAGTCCTGTACGGTTTCGCAGGGGCATCAATCCACGAATCCCTCAGTTCCATCAACGCCTTGCTGAGCGTATCATCCTTCCCTGTCGTTTTCGACGGCTTTTCATTGACTTTGCTAAACATGTCTTTCCCTAGTACCTTTGTCGCTTTGCTGAATGTGTCGCTTCTACCCAATGCTTTCACGCTTCTGTCTGCAGCCCTTTGAAGATGGTTTATAGCCTCGTCGTGATGGCCAGCATCGTCCGCCGCTAGAGCAAGATTTCGAATACTTTCTATCAACATGTACTCCTCGTCTTTAGTAAGGACTGGTCGCGCGTCTATGTCACGGTAGATGGATTCTTGCATCTGCTTTGCATCGGTGTTACGATGCTTGCTCCAGTAGATGGATCCAAGGTTGGTTTCGGTTGCCCATTTCAGGCTTCTATTTGCAGGAGACCGTATCGTTTCTTCACGAAGGATTTCCTCGAACAGGCTTTTCGCTTCTTCAATCGAATCACCAGCAAGTCCCTTACCGTTGGTGGTAGCACAGAGTTGATGCAGATGCCCAAGATCGTGTTTCAAGTGCAGGATTTCCTCAGTTTGGCACCCCCACGCTTCGGCGAGTTTCACGAGCGCACCACGCGCTACGATTGCCTTTGAGAAATGACACAAGTCATGCTCAATTTCTGCGAGCAGCCCGATGTTAAGGAGGACACGGGTTCGTGGTTGTATTGCGCTTGGTGTGTCGTTGTGTTCAATCGCTCTGAGGTCCTGGTAGACGGCTTCTTCTATTTCTCTTGAACCCCTTGCAAAAGCACCAGACCCACGACAGATCTGGAAATATAAGACTTCGAGTTGAGACTGCCTCGCATCTTGCAAATGCTCGAGCTGGAATAGCATAACTGCAAGGTCTTCGCGTGTAGCAATTACGTCCACATGAGCCCTTCCAAGTAGCTGATCGAGACGGTCGACAATGACTTGTTGAATCTGTATAGATATATCTTCGCCGTTGTGATAGCGAACAAGATTCCGCTCGAATTGTATGAGTAGTGTCTGTTGATGATGCATCCCGAGTCTGGTCTTTGCGAGTTCGAGTGCCCTTTCGAAGAGGTCCCGAGATAATTTTAATTGATTGCTTCGACGATACGCTGTGGCGAGCGCGTGCATGCATGCTATATCAACAAATACGCGCTGATCAGGTCCTGGAAAGGCATTCCTAGACTGACGTATCGCCTCCAGCTGGTCAAGAGCAAAGTCAAAATCGCCTGATATTCTCTCCAACTCACACATCGCGAGGCACAGTGCTACATCGCAAAAGATGGTGTAATACGCAGCGTTTTCAGGGATCAAATCCTCGAGTTGCAGCAGTCCATGTGTGGTGTAGTGGGATTTTCCAGTTTTAAATGCCATGCTTGAATCCGCCGAGGCAGGCCCTTTTCGGAGATAAGATCCGGCGAAGTGAAGCATCTGCTCACAGACGTCCATAGCGTCTCTCAAGGCACCCGAGCGATAGGATGTCATTGCCATGTTTACCCTTGCCCTCAGTGTGCATGGGTGAGTATTGCCGAAAGCAGACGTGAAACTTGCAATAGCTGCTTCGTGATATTCAATCGCCTTAGAAAACTCTCCACGTGCAGCGTATGTGACCGCCAGAAGATCCTTTGCACGTATAGATTGTGTATGTTCGTCGCGGAACTTTTCTTCACTCCAGAATATCAGTGACTGTGCGGCGTTCAGAGCCTCAGTCAACCGTCCTTGGCTTAGATAGATGAATGCCTGAATTTCACGTGCTGCCAACGTTGATGGATGTAGGCTGTCGTAGTCAGCGAGAAGTACACGTAAAGTCTCGTTGCAGCGTTGTTCTGCGGCTGGAATATCCCCGTTGTCGAGTAACATCTCACAATGCAAATTCGCGCTGTCAAGCACCCCTAAATGTTTCATCTGGAAGATTTTACACGTTGTTGTAAGCTGCTCATACTGATATTTCGCCTGTTGTTGGTTTCCTGCGAGCCAGAATACACGAGCTAGAGTTGACCGGATATGGCATAAGGAACTTAATTTCTGCCATGCCCCTCCGTCCAGGCTCACAGGTTCCGACTTCTGATAGCCTTGGACAGCGGCGGCATATGCTGACACTTTCCTTTCAGGTCTCATTGGGAGGTCTAGAGGTGGCTCTTGGGCTTCGGCGGAAGTCTCGCTTTCGATTGTACACAGTCCCTTGGCCCTTTCCCTCTCGTACTGCATCAGCTGATCTACGGCAGGGCTGTCAAGTACCTTGTTGCTGAGACTGAGGGCGCTTCCAAAGTCCCCTTTCCGGGCAAAGACTAATGCTTCTGAGCATGAGATTAAAGCTCGGGATGTCTCGTTCGCAATTCTTTTCGCTTCGGAAAAGTTGTGAAGTGCACGTTGAAGATCGCCCAGCTCGCAACATACTCGTCCAAGCCACCAATACACATCTCCTGACATGCACTGCAAGGTGGCAGCATTTGTTTCTGAATCCTCTCGCAAGTCTTTGGCTAGAGCTCGAAATGCATGTTCCGCACTCTCTAGATGGCCCTCCTGGAAATCGATTATTGCCAAACCCAAGCACACTGAACAGCGAAGATCTGGCGTTGAGAACCCCTCAAATTTAAGGGTGAGCAAAGTGTGACGGTTATGGGCGACCCCAAATTCATTCAAGATCCTTGCGAATGTACGCTTTGCTCTTTTATGATTCCCCCGGTCCAGCCATTCGTGAGCCACTTGTGTCAGTGCAGCCAACGAATCGGGGACTTCAACGTTCATTCTGGTCTTTTCTCCACTCGGAATTATTCCGATACCAAGCCCGCTACTCGGATATGCCGGCAACTGTACACCAATTCTGCTGGCCGTAGGCTGGGTACCACTGTTAAGCGTACGAGTGGCAGACTGTTCCTGGCTTGCTTTGGCCTTTCTATCAGCTGAAACCTGAGCTTTCGGCCCTTGCTCGGTGACAGAGGTGATGTTACGGCCTCCTTCAGCTTGAACATTATTTGAGGTAAAGGTCCATCCGGAGCTACGTTCCACGAGGGCTTTGAGACCGTCAGTCAATGTCTGTGGCGCCGGTTCTGGCGAAGCAACCTTGTCCCGAGGCTCTGGAGACAAAGACTTAGGCAGCAACGACTGCGCTCGTGTCTTTAATGATCTGGTTACATCGTGGAAGTAATTTCCAATGTCCACGCTGGGGACTTCGAGAACTCGGGGGGAATATTTCTGGTTGTCCTTCAATAAGTTAAAGTCGTGTTCAGTCTTGTTGAGTACAGCGGGATCAAGGGTGATTGAGGTAGAACGCCAGCCTTGGTAAAGGGTCTTCATCTTGCTGACCCAAGCGTCTGGACTTGGAACCTCCCAGAGGATGACACCGATCAGGCTTGTGAGCAACACTCCCTCATACTGACTGTGACAAGCCAGAGACCGCTGGATTACCCATCGTGCAACGTCATAGCCAATAAATATAAATGTTTGGTCTTCCTGAAGCATTCTCTTAGTGTTTTCCAGGACATAGTGTCTCAACCAATGAGAAGTTTGCGCATAATTCTAGCGGAGAACAAACAGAGAAAGATCAGATGTACACCAGTACAAAGAAGACTTACATTTGCGTTGAAGAGGCGCATTGTGTACTTGTGTATGCGTTCAACTAGGGCATCGAGTTCTTGCTCCCCTCCCTTCAACAGCTGCGCAGTTGTGAAAGCGAACACGTGTAAAGAAGCTGCCACCGGCCTTGCACCGCTCAAGAAGGCAGGAAGCTGCGTACGCCAAAGCCGACTCCGTATCCTCTTGTCATGTTTCAGGCCATGAGCAAAAATAATACTGCAGCAGAGTAAGTGTCGAGGAGTGGTCGCGGTGATTTGTGAATTCACTGACTTCACTCCAGACTTTTCGTTAGTTGGGTTGAGGCTGAGAGTTTCGAAACTGTACGATTTCGACCTTTTGTGCGTACTCTACGAGATGTTGTTAGAGAGACGAAGGGTTTGGTGTTTATAGTTAGCTTACTCTTGTCATGGTAAGAGTGCGGATACCGTTGATACGTTCGTTGCAGGGACATTCGGACACTAGGCAGAGAGCACAGCGAGCATGTCTGCATGATCAAATAACTCTGCAAACTGGGGCTGACGACGAGGCCTCGGCGCCCTCCACATCGGGTGGCCTTCCAAATCAGCCCCGGTTACATGTGCCCCGCGGCATGACATGCGCCCGTCGATAAGTAGTTGCATTGTGGCGCACCTGCTGTGCAATCAGCAGTCTCAGCTTCTTAGTGTCCGGACGGGGGTTCGTGCGCATCCCGTCCATCTCGGCAAGGGATTGACCAAACTACTCTCCAATCGTCCTGTTGAGACGAGAGCGACCTCTGCATGGGGCCAGATTGCAAGGCTGAGAATATTGTCATTTCGCGTCGCGATGCGGCTCGTAATCAGGCTCGGGAGCCTTCAAAAGCTGGCTCTGTGGCCGCCGAGGCTGCAAAAGGTGCCTCCCATTGTTGGTCTGCCTTGTCACCGGTCGCTCGGCATTCGGGTCACAACATCGAACTTGGCAAATTCCGGAACGCACCTTGCTTGCCATGGAGCACCTGACCCTATCCGTCTGCGACAATTTTGAAATCAGATATTTCGAAAATGCCAAAAACAATCGCTTGTTTAGGGAGGACGATGATTTCTTCGAGTTTCCAAATGACCCTGCCTTTCACTGGAACGAAGAATCTTGCGACTGCTCAACACCAGGAGCTAGTGTGAACCAGTTCCTACAACAGTGGCTGTTCTTTGGACTTCTGAGAACCGTCCTCCAGGATCGTTCGTTCAAAGAAAGCGATTTTACCACCACGCCAGGAAACACGAGTCGCACTGTGCACACCAAATTTCTAAACAGATATCTGGAGACTTGGGGTGAAGAAGCCAGTGTCCCTAATCATGAAACAACAATGTGGATGATCAAAGCCCAGCTAGCCCTTGACAAGGCTAGAGAGGTAGTCTCAAAATTTTCGTGGGATTGGAGCATAAGAAACAATAAGGAAGACAACGACACGAGATATCCATATATTGATCAAAAGCTTGCATTAAGCTTGATGGTACTCGGAGAAACGCTCTCAAATGTCAAATGTCAGATTGTGGAGCGTTATGGTTTCACAATTCGGGGTTGGCACGGAGACGCCAACGAAGGCTGGGGTATACCATCCATTGCCGTGACCACCATGATCGACATGGGGTGGTGTGAACGGACTGTGTACGTCTTGACTTGTCAGCTTAAGTCGCATGTGAGTCTTGTAGGAGCTTCGAGATATACATCGCGCATGTGCTGAATGGCTCTAGGCAACTGCTCTATTGGCTGCGTGGAATTCATTCAGAACTATTAACCCCAGTCAAGGACGAAACAGAATATTAAATCCATTCGGGCACTCGGAGTGCAATAAGCACAAATGCATTTTCAAATCAATACAAGGAAGCGACAAGGAAAAGTATAAGACACAACATCGGCCGGGCTGCAACGAGGATGGATGTCCCATGATAGGGCCCGAACCCTTCGACGTCGCCAAAATTATTGATATGGGCCAGCTACCTATATTGCGCTACGAAGACGGTGGCGGTAATCGGTCTACTGTGCATGTTAGAGCATACAAACCCGAATTCACGTACGCAACGATATCTCATGTCTGGTCCGACGGTTACGGAAACAGGGACGCGAGCGAGCTTCCGAAATGTCAACTGGACTTCATTTCAAGAGTTGTACGCGACAGTCCTTATAATCGAGAATCCCCCCCGTTTTTTTGGATTGATACATTGGCGATTCCACACCGAGACAAGTACCCCGAACAAAGAAAAAAGGCGGTGCAGCGGATAGATGAAATTTACCGCAATTCAAAATTCACCATAGTGCTGGAGCTCGGCCTGGATCAGATTTCCACTGGAAATCATTACCACGAAATTGCGATGCGCATACTTGTAAGTGGCTGGATGCGGCGATTGTGGACCTTACAAGAGGCGTATTTGAGCAAGAAGATCCTTTTCCGGTTCTCTGACAAACTTATGGACTTGGATGATATTGAGGAGATGTATCCGCATTCTCAAAATGACCTCCAAACTAATCTTTCTGCCTCCGCACAAGTCTACTTTCGCCACATCATGGGACCCGAAAGGCGATCACGAATGTTTGGGCTCGCTCTAGAAAATTCGCACGACCTCATTGCGAGTGTGTGGCGCTCTACTCAGTGGCGGGTAAGTTCTCGCAAGCCGCAATACGGAATCTAGAGCTGACTTCGAAAGACCATCAATTACGAGCATGATGAAGTGAAGGTTCTTTTCGCATTATTTGAACTAAACGCAAAGAGCCCCAATGGAACAACAGAAATGCCGGGTTCCACATCAAGTACCGATTATCGCCAACCCAAATCGTCGGAGGAGCTCTTCAGTATGATGAAAAGGCTTTGGGCACTCCTGGATGAGCAAAGTCCTGGATGCATTCCTTCTGGCATCATCTTCGTTCCTGGGAAACGACTTCCTCTGAAAGGTTTTGGGTGGGCCCCTGCGACGTGGATGTCCGGACAACATGTCGATTATCCAGATCCTCTGTCCCTGCTTCAGCAGGGCGCTAGAATTGTCTACAATAAGGGTCTTTCCGTTACGTATCCGGGTTTCATACTGCACTCGGATAGACCTGAAACGGTGTTCTGGCCCAAATTCCCCGATCCAATCCGCTTTCCTAGTGACAGCACACTTCTGGAATGGTATGAGGTAGAATGCGTTGACGAGGCCAAGCCCCCTATTGCAGGCAGAATATTGGACGGTATGAACTTCGCTATACTTCTCTGTAGACAGAAACCTCGAGAGGTTAAAGAGATCGCGTTGCTCGTCCATATTGCACGCAAGGTCAGCCACAGGATAGGCCTATCGAAAGCGACATCCAAGGTGATGGAAGCGCACATTGTATGTCGCGTGTGGATCAAACGTGACATCAAGATCGATCGTTCCTCTATATGGGAACAGTTCAGCAAGACTAGACGAAACAATCACGCGGACTTCATTTGCGCTGAAGAGCTGGACAACACTCAAGAATGGCTTGTTGATGGACGGAAAGATACAAACATCGATGAGGTAGTCGAAAAATCACCCGGCCAAAGCGATGAAGCAACCAGGACTCCCGTCAAGAAATCATCCGCTTCACCAGACGGACCTCCCGTGCGATCAATCAGAGTTTCAAAGACGCCTTTCGCATCGGGCCGGGGTGCACGATCAGCTCCTTCTGGCTCATCTGCACACACTATGAAAATTTCATCGGCTTCATCGCAATCCCGCTCAACCCCCCAAATCCGTGCCATAAAAAGCAACGGAGCTGTCAGAAACCCTAATCTCACTCACACTGGAGTGCCCAGTGTGCAGCCTGGCTCCCGTCCATCCTCATCTTCATCGCTTCGAGCAGAGAACAGAAATCAATTGACGAAACAAAAAGAGGCGTCATAATCAACTTGAACCATTGGAGGCGTTATTGGCGTGATGGCTGTGAGTAGAATTGTGCCTCGGCGGCGCAGTCAGGAATGCCTGAGGCGCAGCTGCGTCTGCCAAGTAGCAAGACTCAGGTTCGCAAAGAACTAACACTTTCAGAGAAATTGGTGAAAGTGATTTGGAAGGGTGACAGGTGTATATGATGAGCGCACGTTATACTTAGGGAGGACCCTGTTGGAGGAGAAGATGATGCGTGATGGGACAGGCTGATGAGGACATTCGTGCCGCCTTCAACGTGCCGTACTGAGACTGCACAGCCTTTCTTTGGTTTTGTCATAAGGTGTCATGACACAGTTCCGAATGTTTGTCGTTCTTCTGCAAACGACGTCGACGATGCCGGAAGTTTACCAGCACCGAATATCTGCATGACGCGAGGCGCCAAAGAATGCTTGCGCGGCACGACATGCATCATCTCCGGTCAAAGGACGTTATTGGTAGCGTGCTCGCAGCCACAAATGCAGGCCAATGTTATTTGAAACGGAAATCGAGCACAGTCAGCCGCAAGGGTCTGATCCGTGGCGGTTCCCAATGCTAAAGAGACGTGATTGTCCGGAAACCGGCGTCCTCCTGGTGTTCAGGATGTAAGCTGATCTTACAAAGGTTGCAAAAGCGTTTGCGTTCACTTTGATGAGTGCAAAATTCTCGCAGAGCCTCAAGGCTGAGGCGAAAGGTGGGCGCACCAACCCCGCTGCCTTGCATGAGGCACACGGATCGGTCACGTTGACAGGGGTGGCGTAGGCGACTCTCGTATTTGCTCCTCGGAGCGCTTAACCCAGATGTTGTCTCCTCTCAGCCTTGCGACGTCGCCAAGTCACGCACGTAAAACAGCATCGTAGCTTTGATTTTCTAGGCTTTGACGAGGCTCGATCAATCCATCTTGCTCACCGGAGTCAGCGAAGTCAATTATAAAGTCCCAAATCCGTCTCTGTGTCATGCCCATCCTATATACGGTCGGTGGTGAGCACCTCGCATAGCTCTTCGAAACTGATTTCAGCCATCATGATTATACCATCTTTCGACTACCTTGGGCTGCGGGCAAATGCGCAAACTTCGAGCATCAACACCAATGTTGTCGACAGCACTCAAAATCAACTATCTTCGCAGTGGAATAACCCCAGCGACGTTCTGTCCGTCCTTCTCATCGTCGGCGGCGATATTGTACAGAAGGCGCTAGCCCAGACATCGGGAGGATATTTAACACCAGTATGCTTTTCCTTCGGCTGGGTAGCGTACTCCCTTAGCATGATTGTCAGTATTGTTGGTGATGGGCGACTCCTCCCAGAGCCTGATCACCCGGTAAAAGTGTACAATCTGAAGAATGGGTATGTCCGGGAAAACAAGAACTGGACCATCGGCCGAATTCTGCGCGACAACGTCATGCGTCTCAACAAGAATGTACCAATCGGGGGTAACGCCATCCGCATCGCCATTTATGATGCACAGAAACACGACGTAAACCCGGCTATTGCTGGCACTGGACGTTTACGGTCGCTCAGTATCGCTGTGATGCTTGTTCAATTCGGAATTGCGGCCATACCATGTGGTCTGTACGATGAATGGGGCATACTGCTTATCACTGGCGCTGGAACAATGCTAGCTCTAGTCGCTGGTGCGTTGCCTCAATGGCGGGTTGAGAAATATCCTTCACAAACAGACTCAAAGAAGAATTTTGCTTTGACGTCTGGTAATGGCTCGCGCGACATCATGATCATAAGAGGAGCTGAGGGATGTATAGATCTCGAAGAGCTGGCTGCGCCTCAGATGGTACGATCGTCAAGAGTATGGGAATCTCATCCATTAGTATCGAAACCACTGATGATAGGTGGCATCCAAGCAGAGCATAGCAATGGAACTAAGTGGAGAGTGGCATACGAATGGAGAGGCATCCCTCTTGGCTTCTGGATCACTATGGTAGTTGCAGCCATTCAATTCATTTTGTGGCTTGCACTGCTCATTTCCGTTGCTGGTCTACGCGCTCACGTGTGGTACCTTCTGCTCGTCGGCGCCATTGGGATGCTTCAGAACGTTCTCGTCGCCGCATCTAGCCAGTCGCTCAAGAAAAGAAACCTGAAGCTGAGGCAGGCCGAAGTCATACTTACAAGAAAGGTTATGGATGGGCTTATGGACCTTGAGGTTGCATACAAGGGGTTTGGCGAGGCTTTACGGAATGAATTTTTCCCAGGAAAACTCGATGAGGATGAGATTCAATGGTGGGGTGGAAACACCGAACCTTACGATACCAAACGCGAAAAAAAAGCCACCAAGCGAGGCCTTCCGCGAAAATATCTTCCTCGATACTCCGAATCCACAACGACACTGGTCGAGAAGCCTAAGCCTATGGCCGAAACTCCCATCAAGAAATTAACCCCCCGCCTTCGCAATCTGAGCTTCCCCAGTACCATCCAGGAACGTTCAGAACCTCAAGAGAATGATCCTGACGCGATTTTGTCAGCCCCCTCGAACAACGCATCAGGCCGTCCTGGGAAGTCCGGTAACGACAAAATTGTAGCGCGGGAGCCCGGCAATTCGAATACGGTGCGAGATAGCGTGGTAAGTACGGAGTCCACTTTGTATTCGCCAACAAGAACGGATACGGGAATGTCAACTCTGGCTTACAAGAGATGACTGCGGCGGTTGCTGGTGGGATTTGTTGGGGTGTCAAATATCACCTGCTTACTTGCAAACTTTGAGACTTCAATATCCAAGGAGATCTTGGTGCTGGAATGGCATTCTCCATGACCATGCTTTCTCTCGCGATGCAGTCAGCTTTTCTCGATAATAAATGAAACCCATGCGTTTGTGCGAGATTCATAGAAAGAAAAAAAAAGCGCCCCGCTTTCGCCGCTTTCGGTCAGTGAAATTCTCGCCTCCTTCACTATTGAAAGTCACCAACATTTGTGCACTGCCGCAGTTCATTCAACGAAGCCAGAAAATATAGTGTACTTATCGTATGTCCCAATACGGTTAGTTCCTCTCAGCAGTTAGCGGCCGGTCGTTACAGTTTGGCTTCTTCAGGCACCCCTCTCCAGTGTTCCTTTACATCCACCTCGCCAGGACCTCCTCGTGAACTGCCGTGTTGTCTTGGTTTTGCATCTCGAGTGACAGCATTGCAAAGCGACAATCATGCAAGACCCGAAGAATGTCCGCACACGGAAGCATGCCAAGAAACACAATCGGTGACACAAGCCCGATGGTCTGATCAATCGAACATCATGCCTTAGGGACAGGGTGACCAGTATTTCCATTGCTGGCTCCATGGCATCGCATTGTATAAATCGACGCGATGCAATGTTCCAGTCTCCTTCATCGGGTGTGTCTTCTGCGACGCCTTTCTCGGAACGCATTGCCTCAGGTGTTTGACCAGGATCCCCACTTGCTGGTGGGCTGATGATCTGCCGAACTCCCCACTGCGGAAAGAAGCTTGAGCTTCGGGTCCCGGGCTTGAATCAAGCGACGAACATGACGGTGGAATGGTCCAACATGGAGCCTGGAGCAGCCACAGCGCAGCTTTCTTTCATGCAAGTTGTTCTCTGTGTTGCGTCCACTCGCTCGAGCAATTCCGACAGAACAGCAATCTGTGTTCGCTTTGTCGGACATGGCAAAGTGTCGAATCGCGATTCTCTTCTAGAAAAGCAACTAGCAAAGGCTGGCTTCCATGAAACGCGCGCTGCCTTGGGATCCGTACATGGTCTTGGCATACCGGGAACTCCCAAGCTTGTCACGGCACTTGAGCCCTGTCAGTTTTCCAGAGGACATGCGGCTGAAACCTCGATACTTTTCGCTGATCGCAGCCCCCCGGCATAGCGCGTTCTCATAGATGTTTCGAGCCAGAGGGACGCGCATCACTGCCTGGATGCCCTATTTGAGATGACCCTCCAAATGTCACGACAGCTCCATGAGCTGGCCTCGATCTTAGACTACCAGTCTCCTTCTACTAGAACATCCGCTCGCTTTTCCTCCTCGCTCTATTTCGATTCGTCTGGCTGCTGGCAGTCCTTTTTACCTTTCCTTTAGATCTGGCTCGTCCTCAGACAGTTAATCATGGGTCTCGGCGTCTTGAATGATCTGCATATGGCCTCGCCGCCGGGAACATACACCATTGGTGCAGAGAACAGTGAGCAGGCGAACGACAGCTCGCTCAAGCGCGACGGTGATATTATCCTTCAACCACAACCTTCAGACAACCCGAACGATCCGCTCAACTGGTCCCGAGCATGGAAGGAGAGTATCATACTCATTCTGGCTTTCGCTTCTGGAGTAACTACTGCACTTGGCCCGATGGTTACGCCAGGTCTCCAAGTCATCGTCGCAGACTACAAAGTCTCTATCGACCTGGCGTCGAGTCTGATCATTGGCTTCTTTGCGTTTTGGGTTGGCGCCACTACTTTCTTCACGGCCTCCGGAGCGAACATCTGGGGAAAACGACCTTTTTTGTTCATCTCGTCAGTGATCCTTTTCTTGACCTGCATCTGGGGCCAGATGATCGGTGCGGTGCATTCGTTCCCGCAACTCGCTGCCATGAGAATCATCCAGGGTATGGCTTCGGCACCGCTCGAAACGCTTGTCACGTCGACCGTATCCGATCTCTTCTTCGTCCACCAACGAGGCACTCGCCTTTCCATATGGGGTATGATGCTGGCTTCTGGCGTTCTCCTTGGCCAGACAATTTCCGGCGCCATCATCCAAAACCTGAGCTTTGAATCCACCTTTGGCATTACTGCGATCATGTACATCCTGATCATGGTCGGTCTCTACTTCGTTGTTGTGGAAACTACGTACAACGGCCCTCGCAACGGCGAATCCAAGATACAAATCGAAGAGAAAGGTTCCTTCTTCGAGATCGGCACTTCGGAGAAAGAGTCCTACCGTGACAGACTCCGTCTCTTCCGGGGGCGCCTATCCCCCGAGTCTTTTTGGAAAGGCGTCTGGAAACCCGTTCCTCTCATCGCCTATCCCGCCGTACTTTTCTCCACAGTTGTCTACGGAACCTACTTCACTTTCCTCCTCACCATCTCCGTCCTCGCCGTCACCGCGCTCTCCCTTCCCCCTTACAACCTCAACCCCGCCCAAATAGGCCTTACAAACCTCCCTCTCCTCCTCGTCGGCTTCATCGGATCACCCATCTCGGGTTGGATGGCCGACTGGGCTGCGAAAGCCATGGCGCGTCGTAACAACGGTGTCTTTGAGCCTGAATTCCGCCTTGTGCTCATGCTCGTCGCCGTCCCCTTCGCAACAGTAGGCTTCGTTGGTTTCGGGTACTCCCTCCACAACGCCGCGTCCATCTATCAGGTCATGGCCTTCTTCTCCATCTACAGCTTCTCCGTGCCATTCGCATCGCAGGCGTCTCTCACGTACGTGATTGACTGCCACCCCAAGGATGCTAATCAGGCGTTTGTCACGATCAACTTCACAAAAGCCATCTTCACGTTCCTGGCGACGACGTATGCGAATGGCTGGATGATGCAGGTAGGACCGAAGACGGTGTTTGTGGCGTTGGCGATGATTAATCTGGCGGTTTGCGCGCTGACGATTCCGGCGTATATGTTTGGAAAGAGATTTAGGAGCATGGTAAGTTCGCTGATGCTTCTTCGTGGGGAAGCCTTGCTGACACCCGCTCTTTAGGTCGCGCGGAGCAGCTTTGGTCAGAAGATGTCTGGATGAGTCTGTGATACGATCCTTGAAGAAGGGTCCATGGAAAGCATGCACACGAGGGTACACAATGATGAGTGTGGATATGCACACGAATGGGAAAAATATGCAACTAGTAACGACCATATCGATGCAAGCCCCTCAATGACTTGTCGCTAGAATGCGCTCCACACTCCCTTTTCGGTTCCATACAACTTTGGCGCGTCTGCTCTCAGATGGGAAGCATATTCCACTGTGACGTGATATCCATGTACCAAAATGTTCTTCTGCGGGTACAGGTAGATTGCTCTGCGTTTGGAACAGTTGTACCACTCTCTAGGTCTGCCGGACATTTTTTCCCGTTTCCCAGTTCGCAAGCATGTGCACAGGGCGGCCGTGCTCCCTTTTAGTATATGCGCCCATTGCACGATTTGCCACGCGACTTTTGCTATGCACATTCACCTCGGGGATCTTGCCTACGACGCTTCAAAATCTGTTTCTTTGACTGACTTAATTGTTTGTTGACGACACGAGGCCCCGAGCGTATCTCAGTATAGTACATTCCAAGGTCCTGCTTATCGAGAGTGGTGAGGCTGCATCTAATCGTGGGAGGGTCGGTACGTCAAACGTAATTCTACTGGAGTAAAAGAGACTCGGTGCGTGTGGTAGCTGCCACATAGCTAGTGTAGATGCGCGTGATGGCTCAGGAGTACGCCATCGCTCCATCACTCCTATGCTCAACTTCCTCAAATTCCGCCTGCGCGACTTTTCGTCGGATCAAGCGCCTCCAGAATGCGAGAATGCCAGGGTTGTAATATTTTAGGTCAGCCTGCTGATACTTGATGGTGATTGCAGATTGAATCGCATCCTCGAGCAATGGCGATGTTACGAAAGCGCCCCATCGCAACGTATGGGAGTCTTTACGGAAGCACCCTTCTGCAATAGTGGTGGTGGCGTGTGGCGAACTACAAGCCTATACCGGTGAGGGTGTCCTCGAATTGAATTATCAGCTTCCTGGATCCACGCACCTATCTGCTCCAATACTCTCTCACACGCCACTTTAACGTCCAGATTCATCGCGCTGTTCCAGAAGGCGTGTATAAGAACACACCTTGGACCAGGCTTTTGCCGAACATCTCCTATTTTATTCTTTTTGTCTCTGTGTGGAGGGACTTTTGGTCCTATTGTAGCATTAATTCCAAACACGAGGGTATGAAAGATCCAAAGCACAAATTTCATCGAACGCGTTGTCTGTTATCCTTAAGATCAGATAACGGGACGAGAAACACGTGCAGCAGGCTCCGTAATAGTACAGCTGGAGTATCACCGTCGTTCCAGAATTCGGACCGCTATCAAAGCAAAATCATCTTCAAGGTCCAGGAAGGAGTACAAGGAAAGAATTCGCCTACCGACAGTCAATAGCGTCAAGTACGTAGTCAGTTCTAGTAGTATAAAGATGTGGTAGTGTGCTAATGGTTAGAATGTAATTCCCACGTGGCATGTAATTGTCTTCACGACACACAACATGAAGCATAATGCACAGGAACTCAATGCATAATCGAACAAGCATTGCTCTCCAAGACACACTCGGATCCGAAAACAATACGATTATCAATTGGCAAACCCTTGCATTTCAGTCACTTGCAGTCATCCTTATTCACGATAATAGCTTTAAAACCACTATACTATATACACAGCACATCTAAAAGCTGTGCGTCGACGCCTCACTCAGACTAATAGGTCCGTTGAACGTCCTGCTCGCAGCCTCCTTCGTCTGGTAACCCCCAGTCGAGTTTCCAGCCTCTCCGCCAAGCACAGTGACCTCTTTGATCACGAGATCAGTCGCGTATCCGAACTCCCCTCCCACATTCAACTTGCCATTGTCGTAAGTGAAGCTGATCAGCGAAGTCTCCGGTTGATCGACAGCGTCGCCTTCGTCGAGGTACAGCGAGCCTTCTGCCTGCCCGGTGCTGTTAACAGCAACGTACAGCACGAAGTCTTTCTTCCTCAACTCGGTCGTCGTATTCGCTGCCTCCGCGCGCAGAGGGATAATGCTGCCCCCACGAATATGCAAAGGGATGGTGGTGAACGCGACATCCGTAAGATTAACCCACTCTCCGTTCCCGTCAACCCGCTCATGCGTGAAGAAGTCGTAGAAGGTGTCCTTGGGCAGGTAGATGCTGACGTCTGTGCTGTTCTCCTCTGTTACTGGACTAACCAACAGCGCGTCTCCGAAAAAGAATTGGACATCGATGGGAGCAGTCGCTAGATCCTCAGGGTAGTGGAAAAACAGGGGGTTAAGCAGCGGCAGCCCCGTTTCGCTCTGCTTGTGCAGCGCTGTGTAGATGTAGTCTAACAACCGATAGCGGGTGCTCAGCGCATTCTTACTCGCCTCCGTGACCGTCGGCCACATATAGAATTCCTGTGCGATAGAGTCGAAGCCATTGTGGTTGCGATAGAAGGGGTAGAACGCGCCCAGCCACGCCCACCGGCTGCACAGCGTCTCGGTTGTGTTGTCGCCGAAGCCGCACACATCGGCGCCGACCATGGGGATCTGGAAGATGGAGGCAAACTGCAAGATGCCGCTAATGGAGTTGCGGTAGTGGTGCCACGTGGACAGGTTGTCGCCGAGCCACTTTCCTACGTGGGAGCCAGCGCCGGCGTACTATAAACATGTCAGAAGCGTTTTGTAGACTCATGGTTCCACGACTTACCGTAGATCGAGTAATGACCAGCGGCCGACGCTCTGGCCTACGGGCAAGCAGAGCCTGACGCGAAGCAATCGACATCATCGTGCCGTACAGATTGTGAGTGTCGTACTGATGAGTGCCGCCGTAGTTCTCAATGTCGGTTGGCGCCGTCAAGTTGCTGATCGAGCCCGCAGCATTCTGGATCTTGTACTCTGGGTTGATAAGATCGCGTCCGGGAAGTCCAAGCCACTGGCCGGTGCTGTTCTCCTGGCGCGCCAAAAGACGCTGCGAGGTTCCCGTGGGCTGGAAGTCCTCGGGGAATCCTGCAATCGGGCGTCCAGAGTTCTCGCGTACCGGCGGGGGCTTAGGAGGGTTTCCTGACTTATTCGCGTATGCTAGAGGGGAACGTCAGGCTATGTGTACATGACCGCGAAGTGAAAAACGTACCATCGGGGTCTGAGCAGGGGTACGGGCAGAAGTTGGCCGCCTCGTTCATGTCGATCCAGAGCGCATCAATGTCAACACCCTTATCAGCATCAAAGAACTTCAGGAACTGGTCATCCCAGTATCCTTGAGTAGAAGGATGGAACCAATCGGGGAAGACTGTCGGTCCAGGCCATACCTAAGATCACCTTGTCAGTACAACCCGCCAGGAAGGATCAAGATCGAACGTACTGCGCCCACATAGATCTTGCCGTCTGGCGTCTTCTGGAAGATGTCACGGCTGACACCCTCGTTGTACGCCTCGTAGTCGCCGCGCCACGTCGCCGGATCCACCATGACAACATAATGCTGCTGGTGCTCATGCAAGTAGCTGACGAGCTCCCTGACCTTGTCGAGCGGAAACCTTTCCGGATCCAGCGTAAACACGCGGCGGAGCTCCATGTAGTCAATATCAGTCCACATAGTCTGCCCTGATTAGCACTGCGTCTCAACCACGAAACGAACCACTCACCTCAAGCGGAATCCCCGCAGCAGAATAATTCGCAACAACCTCCGCCACCGCATACACATCCCGGTACCCGTACCTACACTGGTGGAATCCGAATCCCCAGTAAGGCTGCATAACAGGTTTTCCGACTATCTCAGAATACTGCACGGCGACGTCCTTGGGTGTGGGGCCCGCAATGAAGTAGAAGTCGAGTATGCCGCCAAGCGCATTGTACTCAAGGAACTGGCCGTCCGTGTCGTCAATCTTGATGTCCATGCCGCTAGAGCTGAGCAGGAAGACGCCATGTGTGCCGTTGGCGCCGCGATGGTCAAAGTAGATCGGGTGGTGTCCGTACAAGTTGGTACCTCCGGGGACTCCGTAGGCGTCGCGGTTCCAGAGCTGGCTGGGTCAGATACATGTCTAAACGAAATCAAACTAGCGAGGCTTACCGTCCTGGTGTAGTTTGTAGTGTTCAGCTGAAACGGATCGGTATGCTCGCCCAAGCCATACAAATGCGGCGCGTCGGGCAGACTCGTCCGCACACGCAGGTACTGGCTCTCGAACACCAGACTCGCTGCCGATGTATCGAACAGCGTCTCATTCGTGCTCCTGCGCACAACCCGGAATGAGAACGGCGTCTCTGTCCACTGGAACGCCAGGGCTGAGTGGTCTGCTTCGCACCCCTCGCTGCCGTCAGGTCGCGGGAACACGCTCTCGGGCACCTGGTACACCTGCTCGTCTGCATCGTAGATCTTGACGTGCAGGCGGTTCTCTGTGCACTTGAATGTTAGCATCAGCCCATTCTCAGAGGAGCATAAAGGATGGTAACGCACCAGTCTGGTACTCGACCTCCAGCTTCAGGTTGGTCAAATCCTCGCCATACGCATTACACGCCGTCCCCGCAAGACTCAGATCGGCGGTAAGCCTCGCGCCCTCATCCTTCACATTGCTCGCCGCGTATCCAGGGCAGCTCTCCAGCGAGTTTGCCTGGCGTCTGGCAATGGCACTCGCACAGGATGACCCCGCTAGTCCCAAAAGGACCGGCGCCGTAGAGAACCTCATGTTGGCTCTGTCTCGATTCTGAGGGTCTCAAAAGAGTAGAGGTGGACTTCACTGCCGTACCATTCGCCGCTTCTTATACTGTTATTTTGCGCCGAGGACCCTCGCCTGCCCGCGGGCCTGCATGATGCAATTTGTACTTTAGGCCGCAGCAGCGCGCGCGCCATCTACGGTAGAGCCTCGCACCTGCCTCCGGGGTGGAGATTCCCCGCAAAGCGGGCAGGAAACATGCGCGCAGGCCTGTCGATCGTGCGCGAGGTTACAGAGGAACGGTGCGGGCGGGCCAGTCTGCGCGAGTACGAGTGGTGTGGTGTCGGTCCGAGAAGAGGGTGCCAAGGCACGGGCATCCACTTTCTGGGGTAGCGTTCGCGGGAGTATCGTGAGATTATTGAGGGAGCGAGATGGTCTGGGAAAACCAGATGCGCACGTGTAGCTCGCCTTGATTTTCGACGGCGGCAGCCGTAGGGGTTACGAGTTATGAGCTGCTGACTATGGACCTCTTGGAATGTGCTGCTAGAGCAAGTAGTCATCAGTTGACGGCCGACTTGTTTGCTGTTTCTTGTTCGACTGTATAAACATCTGCGGGCGACTGCCCCATACCCAGGTTTCTGGAAGATGGTCTCCAGGATAAGCCTTCGTGGGTGCAGGCCTCCCAGGACGAGTGATTGGTTCATTATCGGCGGGTGTCAAGCTCTTAGATGACAATCCCCACTACCATTGTCCATGTCGATGTCGGTCCGAGTAGTACGGCAGGTCCGCGGCGTGACCATGAAGTGGAAATGGACCGATATACAGAATGCCGCGGCACAGATTCACATGTAGAGACTCCCAGGTCGCTAAATAACCAGCTTGCTGTAATTTATGTCCACGGGACGGAGACAGATGCCATATCTTTGCTCCCAACAGCAGGAATCCCCTACACACAAGCTAGCATCGCCCTACCCTTCTCCGGGCCGTAATTTTTGATTGCTCCCTCTACTCCTCTGTTCGACATGCCAATGAGCATCTAATTAAGAGCCTCATTCCCTATGTGTCATGTCCAAACCTGCCCCATCCTAAACCCTCTTCTTTTCCGCCTTGTTCGCCCCCGCCCTCAAGATCCTCCTCCGCTGCTTCAACATGTACGTAAAAAGCGTGTAAAACCCGGGAATATACGTCGCCAGCACCGCCCACAGCGCCCACCCATACTTCTCGTCCAGCTTGCTCGCCGGTGGGATAGCGCGGTAAATCAGCCACGTTTCGCTCGCGACGCCGAGCGGGTACAAAATCAAGAAGGTGTTGTATCTGGGATCCCCAGCATCAGCTCACTTTCTTCCAAGTTTGGGGTGAGGAAAGGGAGGAGATTAGCGTACCTCAACCACGTCCACAGCTTCGGCACACTATCCGTCAGTGCGAAGACGAAGTAGCTGTATCGGATCACCTCAGTGATACTCCACGCGAGCAGCATAGAGCTGTAGGCAGGACTGTATTTCGTCGTTTGCGGGAACTGGTATCCTATGACCCACACCAGAATCAACCGGCTCGCGACCTGCATCGCTGTCGTGAAAAGCGGTGCGCGCACAATCCCTAGACATCAACAATTAGCATGCATCCCCATTTGTCAAGCAGGATGGAAACTCACCGAGAAGACTATGCAGCACCTCCAACCCCGCCCCCGTCTGCACCAGCCGTGTATACTGCTCCAACTCCTCATACACCTTCCCATTCTCCACGCCCTCCGCCGCTGCATGCATGACCACTCTTGCGAGCACGCCGAACCACAGTGTCGCACTGATGGCGTTATAGCTGATGAGATACTGCTTCTTCATCGTGGCGGCAGCGCTGGGCTCTCCCGTCGAGGTCTTGGGCGGCATCGTGGCGGATGAGAGGAAGCAATTTTTTGCTCAATTGGGTGGCCGAAAGAAGATGGTATGGGTGGGGAGGAACACCTGTTGACAAACACTTGTTTAGATGCCTCGGCGCGAGATTTCAGGCGCAGGGGGAGGGCTTGGCGGGCGCCCCACTACGTCTAAGCCCGCGGTATGTGAGGTCATGTCAAGCCGGATGACGAGAGAGGCTAGGCGTTGTTCCTGGCAGATGCCCCCCGAATGTAAGGCGAGAAGGGCTTGTTTGAATAAATGTTTGAACGAAAGGAGTGGGAAAAGCACGGTCGTTAAGACGGTTGACTGTAGTACAAGATCTTGGATAAGGTATGGATAGCTAATATGTATAGATGGTAGACATGCTCTTATCTACCAGGAGTCGTGAGATCCGCAATTACCATCCTCCCTCGCGTCGTAGCCGTGTCGAGCTTCAAGAGCTCCAGACAGAAGGCCTGTCATCTGACCGGTCGAGACTATAAGTCTACACCAGACAACCCACCACCGCCTCGGATTGTCCATCCTGGATGTAAGAAAGAGGAGAGAGAGAAAGCCGTCCTGAAATGCGACATGCATGAGGAGCATGATCTGGGTATCGCTAAAAAGATGCAACCCAACCATAACAGCGCCGAAAAGGTCGAGTCGAGACAAAAGTAGTATGTCGGATATGAAAAGTCGTAGCACAGTCGTGTCTGGCGGAAGCACCGCGCCACCTCACAAGAAGACCTGGATCACGGCGTTCTTGCTCGACACTCGTTTCTGGCAGCCCTCCACCACGCATTCCTTAAACGGCTTCGTGCGGACTGGTATTTGTTTCTCCTTGCCTTTTGCGCTCTTCTTCAAGTGGCGATTCATCATGCACTCGCCGCAGTAGACCTGTGATTGTTAGTGGCTGTGTTGGCTTGTGACAGATGATTGTACGTACGTGACCGCATCCCTTGACAAGCCAGACTTGTCGCTTCTGGTCCGAGTCGCCAGTGCACAGCTCGTCGTCGCAATTCGGACACAGCAGAACGTCCTCTTCTTGCGGACTCCTTGTGAATCCCTCGGGAGCCGGCGCGGGCGCGTTGTATGTAGGGGGAGGAGGTGGCGGTGCCTCGGGAGGCCCATCCTCAAATCCCATGTCGAATCCGACTGCTCCAAAATTCAAGGCCGGTGCAATGAATCCAACGTGAATGTGTCTGCCAGGGCCGTTCCTCTGACCAGCTTCCAACCGCACCGAGAGTGCGCGTGGTTCTCCTTGGTGAACACGAACTCCAAGTGGACGTGGAGTCCTCCGGTTTCGAGCCTGTGCAAACATCCGCTCCACCCTAGCGATCTGCGCATCCCGGGCCCTCCTGCGATCGCCTGCCATCTGCTGCTGTACTCGCTCGCGAAGGTGCCCAACGCGGGGTCGATATGCCGGGTCGTCGAGCAGGAACGCAATTTCCTCGTTGATGTCCCTTCGCCTCTCCGCTTCCGGCAGCGGGTTTTCGCGCACGAATTCCACCTCATCCTCATCGTCCTCGTCCAGTTCGTAGAGTGGCGGTTGCTGTGCAGGCTCGATCCGGCGCGAGGAGACGAACTGTATTTCTGGGGATGCGGGGGCCCCTGCTGCTCCGTTCGAGTCCCCCTCTTCCACGTCGATGATCTGTCGTCCGAAGCGCGGTGGGCGCGCGGACCGACTGCTCGACTGCTGCGGTTCACTTAGCGCGATGGAGGGCCCCGCATCCTCATCGGTGAGGTCAATGACATTGTCGTACGAGACCATGGGCCTGCGGTAGTCAAAGCCATCGCCTTGGAATCTTCGGGGTGTCTCGGCGGGCATGTCGCTTGTGCGAGGCAGGTGGAAGAGGTTGCGAGGGGCGCTGGGCTCGCGAGAGACGGAGAGGCGGTCGATGTGGCTCCAGGTGGGTGAGGCGGAACCATCTAGGTCCATGTGAGCCGCTGAACGCTGTGGCCGTTTGTCAGCTGCTTCCCGCGAGGGTAAACAGTGCCTTGCGCTGTCCTTGGTGGCGTCTACTGACCTTGTCCCGACGAGTGTAACCGAACGGCAGCTCCTCGCTGTCCATGCCTTTTGGTGTCGCAGGGAGAGGGCCAGCGGACGGGCAGGCGGTGGCCTGCAGTGGGAGAGAATGCGAGAGAAGGGACGTTGGTGTGTCTGGAGTCGAGGTGTCGCCCTCTCGGCGCTTGGTTGCAGTGGCCAGGATCAGAATCGCAAACCGTCCTCGGAACTAGCGACCTCTAGGTCCGGCGCTCAACTGACGTCGGTCAACGTCTTGAGCAGACACATGCACTTTCTCTCGGTGCTACCTGCTGCACACGTCTGTCGCCTCCACTGCCTTGTACTCAAACAGTTTTCTTGCAAAGCGCAACAGGAGGCACACCGCCAAGACCCACTTTCACCTACGGTGCACACAAAAGCAACGTGACGGCGCCGGAAGAAATCATGGTTACACAACACACGGAAAGGCGATATATACTACAGTTTGCATTCCGCTTGGCTCGCGCATTGCGTGATAGGCAGCTGGCCTTCCAAGCCCGTATCCAGTCCAGTTTGATCTCGTTCATTTCCCTCTTCTTCAAATACACAAGTGGCGTTCTTAGCCTACCGTTCCGAATCCGTGGACAGCAGAACGTCCTCGCCCAAGCTTCCCCGCACGCTCGTTCCGTTCCGGTGCAATTCTTGGCTCTTCATCAAACTGAACTCCTCATGATGCGCTCAAAACACTCAGCCCGCCCTCCGGAGTCAGAGCAACCAGAGATGTGGCGCTGGCTCCCCATGCAATGTCCCTCGCCGCCACCGCTTTCCGCACCGGCTCTGACCAGCTCTTCGAAGACTTGGTGTACTGTTGCACAGACACGCTTCCGGATCCAGCCGTTGCTAAGAATTGGCCCGTGTAGTCAAATCGAATGCTGTCAATCGGGCTCCCAACATCGAGCACCTTGATGGGCGACTGCTTCCGGATGTCCCAGACAGAAGCACTGGTTGAGCCCTTAACCGCTACGGCGAACCAAGTGCCGTTCTCTGAGAAAGAAAGTGCGCGAACCGGGCCGCCCGCCTCCATTACTGCCATGGGCGTGCCGTTCTTGACGTCGAAGATCCGAATGTTGCCGTCCGCCCCGCCGGTGAAGAAGAGAAGGCCGTCCACATGGAAGTCGGAGCAAGTAATCTCGGCCTCGGTGTAGACATCTGAAACAGGTTTGAAGGTCGCAAGGTCGTGGAATATGAAGCGCTTATCGACTCCGGACGTCGCCAAGATCGCACCACTGGGGTGGAGAGACACCGAGCTGACTGCACCAGCATGAGACCCAAGCTGTGCAACCTCGTTTCCGTCTTCGAAGATCTTGATAGTACCGGCGGAGGTGCCCACGACAGCTTTTGGACCCCACCATGCTGTAGTCGTGACTGCCGAACCAGCCTTCAACGCGTATACCAGCTTTTGTTGTGATAGAGAGTAGATGCCCGCAACACCATCTGCACCTCCAAATAGCGCTAGATCGCCAGACTCGTCGATGGATACTGCGGAACTGCCTGGGTAGAGAGGTTCGCTCGCGCTCGTGACTTCGAAGGCCGACACGTCGTCCCCGGTTGCCCAGCCATCGGGGACAGGTCTCTTGCGGCGCGTCTTGAACAGTCTACATGATATCAGTGGTGCTTTTGAAAATGATTGCAACGTGCACATACTCTTGCTGCGTCTCGTCCACCTTGGCGACCAGCTCATCTGGCAAGGCCTGGCTATCCACCTGCATCGCATCTCCATTGGCAGCACCCCCGCCGCTAATCGTCACATTCGACAGCGCCTCCCTCGCCTCGTCTCGTTCGCGCGTCAATCGCGCAATAACGCGCGTCGCAGCGTCATTCTGGTACAGTGCAGTGCTCAGCTCCTGCCTCGTCTGTGCGAGCTGCTGCTTCAGCGTAAATGTCTCGAGCACAATCGCATCCCACTCGTTCTGGAATGCGCTGAGCAGGGAGGGGATCGAGGTGAGGTTTGGCGGGCGGGGCGTCACTATGCGCGGCGACTTGAGCTCGATGAGGTCTTCGACGGAGAGGTCCTCGCCCGTGACAGGGTCGGTGTGGTGTTCGGTGATGTGCGCTTCAATGAGACGCTTTTCGAAGACGTTGCCACTCTTGCGCGAAGCGACGGGCGCCTGCGGTGCTTCCCCGGAGATTGCGCACAGCATTGTGGTGGTTGTGGTGTTGTGAGTATGCGCCGTGCTGCAGCTTGTCGCGGTTGGAATTTCTGGAGAAACAGCGCTAGTGTTAGTAGAGTTTAGGCTCCAGTTCTCACGTGCACCACGATTCACCGCCTGGAAACTGCGCGGCACCAAAATGCTCCGGCAAAGTGCGCTCGATAAGTTCAAAGAGCATTAAATATTTACAAGCGACTATACGAAGAGTTACAACTACTTGGTCCGTGAGGGCAGACCGCCACACATTGGGCTGTGATGCCAATGACATGCGCATTCCACGGCCTCGATGTCCTAGACCAATACGCAATTCGCCTCTGATAGAGAGTCTTATCAAGTAGGATACCCATGCGGTATCTTATTCATTACATTAAACATTTCACATCATGCCCATGAACATCGGCCACATTTCTGCGCTAGAAGCTCAAGCACCTGGCATCGGTACTTGATCTTGTGACACAAGACTGTACCCTCCTACACCATCAAAGCAGCCCAGCCGCCGAGGGCAAGCATAATAAATCCCCATCGGGCACTGACGCTCCCTGCCGCACTGTCATTCGTAGGTGCCGGCGGCACATTCTCTGTCGTCGACGCGCTCGATCCTGCAGTCTTGCTCGCCGACCCAGTCTCACTCGCACTCGCAGTCAAACTTGCTACAACGCTCGCTCCCGCCGTTCCGGCAATAAGCACCGTGCTTCCTCCCTCGTCTGTCGTCAAAACATACGTTGTTCCACTTTCCGTCACTGTCCCGCCGCCCGTCAATGTCTGATCACCAATCGTGAATTGCGTGCTCGCATCTGCAGTCAGCGTCGTCTCGCCTACCGTCACCACCACCGGTCCAGCTGAACCGGGAGTCGTGGGCTCGGGTGAAGCAGCGGGAGGCAGATTGACCGTCGACGATCCTCCAATAATAACCGCTGTGCCCTGCGGATCGAGAACAAGCTGAGTGCCGCCTGACACGGTGGGCTGCCCGTTGGGTAGAGTAGATGTGGAGCCGCCGACGGTGATGACGCCGCCTGGGGTCAGCGTCTGTGTGCCGATGATGATGACGGTGCTACCTGGCAATCCGGAGTTCGAAGGGGGGAGGACAGTGGGTTGGAGTGTAAATACTGGTGAGCCAGGGTTCTGAGGGCCGGCGTTGCTGGGGCTTGGGGCCGGAGTGTTTGGAGCGGGGACGGCATTGGACGGGCTTGGGACAGGATTGAGTGTGATGACGGGGGCGGATGCGCTGTGTATTGGTGGGGACGACGGGTTGGCTGCCGGAGGAGTGATCACGATTGTGGTGGATGAGCCTTGCGCGGGATCGCTGGGTGGAGACTGACTTGGCTGCGGTTGTGCGGATGGTTGGGGGTCGCTGGGAGCCTGGCTTTGTGTGGGACCTGGAGCAGGGGTTGGTTCGCCTACACTGGGATCCTGGGGTTGGCTTGGAGCAGGTGTTTGGGAAGCACTGGGAGTTGGATCTTGGGGAGAGGTGGGGTCCGCTTGAGTCGGGTCTGGCTGCTGGGATGTAGGCTCTGCCTGGGTGGGATCTGGTGTCTCCGATGGGGACGGACCAGCCTGTGTCGATTCTGGGTCCACTGATGATGTCGGGTCGGCCTGGGAAGGATCCGGCTCTGACGTTGGGTCAGAAGTCTCCGAAGCCGTTGTTGGGACCAATGCAGTTCCTCGCTTCAGCGTCTTTGGAGGGTCGTAAAAACCCCCATATATAGGCAGACAGTCGGACCACGCTGGCTGCAGTTCTTGGACTTTCGTCGGCAGCGCAATGACGGGGTGGCAGGGGTCACCTGCAGCATCTCCGACGGCGTTGGAAGGATTGTTGGCAAACCAGTAGTAGCCGTCAATTGTGCTGCAGTCTTGGGCTACATCTGCGACCGTCAGCTGCGATGGCGTCCGTGTCGTGACATCGTAGTCTGTTGTCGTGTATTCCGTGCCATCTCGACTAGTCCCAGTGATGGTGCATGTTGCCCTTGTCACCTGTGGGAACATAGTGCTGATCTCAGTGGGATCGAAGGCGATGGTCGTGTTGTAGATTTCAGAGCCGACAGGTCCACACCAATTGTGCGCAGTGAGCGAAGTGAAACCAAGGTAAATACTTGGTGAGGTAAAGGTGAATCCACTATCGTCGACATAAGTTCCTTCTACGATCGGCAGTCCTGTGACCATGGCAGTAGCATTCTCAGGGAGACCAGTGACACTCGGAGTCGGGTCTGCGGTCGCAGTAGGCCAGAAATAGAGCTGTATTGTAGGGTCTGCGAATGTGCACTGCCCGCAGCAGGGGGCATCCACCGTGACAAGATCAGCGGCGTCAACTGGAAAGGTGTAGGTCGAAGTCCAATATTCTTGGGTTACTACAACAGTGCTCAGGCTGCCCGTTCCGAAGGCACCCGAGAACCATGTCCGTGTGCTTGTCGTCCATACTGTGGTACTAGCGGAGCCTATACTTTCCCATGTGCTATCCCATTGTGCCTCGCAGTAGGATGCAAGGCAAGAGTCCGTGAGGTAATAAAACTTGTCATACACTGCGCGCGACTGTGCGGACTGACATGTCTCCGTGAATGTCGCGAAGGGGCGATCTGGGAAGTCTCCCGGGTAGGATGTTACTGGGCAGGTACCGTTGCCACTTGCTGAGACTTTGGGTAACGGTGCGGTCGTGATGGTAGCTGCGCTAGAGCTGGAACTGGCGGTGGCTGTCTGTGTCGATAGTGTGGTACTGGGTGCGAAGCTGGAATTGGAGACACCTAGGAAAACTCAGTGCTGCATCTCATCATTCATCAATTCCAAGGGAAAAAGGTGTTCAAAATACAATGTGCACAAGGCTGGAAAACATGAGATGTTAACGATTTACACATACCTTGTCGTGGGAGTACCGCTGGTTGGGGAATGCGGTACGCAGCGATGGAAGGAAGGGCCACCAACCCCAGTGAGATCAACCGGACCATGCTGGCAAAGGGCACCTTTGCGATTCACTCAATGATACTGAAAGTCGCAAACTTCGGGCTACCATGGGCACGCGTACCTTTATGGTGACTGGCGCTAGCGACCATGATTTGTGGCCCCCATCAGATCCAGGCGCGTGCCGTCGCCTAATGGTCAGCCAGACGACGAAAAACGTGTGATCAACACAGACTGTACATGCAGCGGCCGACTTTGCTGATGACGACCCCTGTGGGCTGTGGGAGATTTTTGGGGCCGAGGGTCTAAGAAGGGACTAGAGGCGGCACGATGGAGCCGCCCCAGCCCCCATCCGGAATAGATCTTGCATTAACGGTATGTTTTTCCTTGCAGGCGCAGATGAATCAGCATATAGGCATTGACCCTGGTTGCCGCCAGATGTCTATTGCGCCCAATTGTTCGTTTCGAGGCAAAGCTCCGCTCAGCGATTGGCAAATATTAAAATACGAACCTGAATATCGGAAGCAGGAGCCGCGCAAGCTGTCAGCAATCGCGTGGCATGCTCCGCTCGTCTCTCCGCATCCTGCTTGAACGACCCTATTCTCTGGCCAAGAGCGGAGTCTCGTGTCTTACACGGTACGCCCATAGGCATCGCATCCATCAACACTGCTCTGTCTTGCGATCGCTGTCGTTGATGGGGAGATGAGTGCTGGATCACAACGTTTTCTCAAGTGGCGTGAGCAACGAGGCGGAAGGAATACGCTTGAGCGGCGGGCTGAAAACAAAACAGCCGATCCGGTCAGTGTCAGGTGAGAGTTTTCTTTGCCACAGATGAATGAAGACTGATCGCTTCTAGTGTATCGCAATACTGGGAAGGCAACGACGGACCTTGGTCGTCCTTTGCGATCCAAGTTGGCAAGAAAGCGCAGGACGTTCGCGTTCTCCCAAGCACAGCCTCCCCGAACACGTGGGTCGTTTATGGTGAAGGCTGCCCCAGAGATGCGCCTAACAACTGCGCGGATTCCCGGGGAGGCACCTTCAACAACAACAATTCGCTTACCTGGATTCCGAATTCCATCTTCGAACTTGGTGTTGAAGAAAACCTTGACTATAATGTCTTTGGGGACTTCGGATTCGACACAGTAACTTTGGGCTGGCAAGGCTCGAACGGACCATCTGTAGAGCATTCTGTTGTCGCAGGTATAGCAGACACAACCTTTACGTGGATGGGAGTGCTGGGGTTAAATCCGCGCCCAACCAACTTCTCAACATTTCCGAATAGCCCCCAACCAAGCTTGGTGCAGCTGTTGAAAGACCAAAACTCTATTCCAAGTTTAACATGGGCTTATACGGCGGGGGCACCGTATAGATTGAACAAAGTCTTTGGCTCACTCACACTCGGTGGCTATGACCAAGCTCGCTTCAACAGACCATCCAAAACTGCTCAGAATCTCACCTTCCCCTTCTACACAGACATATCCCGGGACCTTCTCGTCGGCGTCTCTTCGATAAGAACAAGCAACACCACATCGTCGTCCTCAGAGTCTGCATTACTAAAGGATGGAATCTTCGCGTTGATCGATTCAACAGTTCCCCACCTCTGGCTGCCACAGTCGGTGTGTGAAGCTTTTGAAGTTGCATTCGGGTTGACGTGGAATTCAACCTCTGAGTTGTATACGCTGAATGCAACACAACACTCCACACTATCAAAACTTAATCCAACAGTCACTTTTGAGTTGTCACCGGAACTCCCAATATCAGGTGACAAGTCAATATCAATAGCGTTTCCTTATGCGGCATTCGACCTGAATGTATCGTGGCCATATACTCAAGATACAATGCGTTATTTTCCCCTGAAACGCGCATCGAACGACACGCAGTACACCCTGGGACGCGCATTCTTACAGGAGGCTTATATCATTGCAGATTATGAACGTCAGAACTTTTCGGTGTGGCCATGCAAATGGGACTCCGACACCACCAACGGAAATATCATTGCCATTTCATCTAAAGACGTAGAAACGAATACTTCTAATTCTGACGGAAGCAATGGCAGCAACGGCAACAATGACTCTTCACATTCGCCTCCAGTTAATGGAATAGGCGCTGGGGCAATTGCTGGCATAGTAATAGGCGTCGTGGTCATTGTTGCAGTTATCGCTGCATGGCTGTTCTGGAGACGAAGAAATCGCAAGTCAAAAGCCTCGGAGCTTGAAGGAAATCAAGCGGATGTCGCCCACGCACATAAGCCAATAAACGCCACCCTTGTTGAAGCGCCCCAAGACCTCGGCGTGATGGAAGCTCCAACGAATGACAAGCGATTCGCACCTCCGCCGGAGGAGCTCCAAGGTTCTAAAGTAGCACGCGGTGGCGAGCTGGATTCGACCCCAAGACATGAAATGGTTGGCCAAGACGGTTTCCCCCTTTACAGCGCTCAGGAAGGATGGGGAACTGGCATTGATGGGCTGCACGAAGCTGATGGAAGGAACTTGACTATCCATGAGGCCGACGCGGGAGAGAAGGGAACTACGACACAGAAAATGCCTGCAACATATGCAGACTCAGGGCAGAAGCTTGCACACTACAAGTCACCAGGAGCAACGGCTGGGCCGGTACCTGCCTGGTCTGATCTACCATCAGAGTCGGGAGGGACGCACCGGTAGTACAGCTGCTGGTTCTGCACTCACCCAGGCCGCCCCAAGGAACGATTTTGGACTTTATTTTCGAACGAGACCAAGCTTACACAATACCAATACACATTTAATCCGCGACCCGAGTTGACAGGTATTACTGGGTGATAGTCATACTGTGCCATTGATTAACGCTATGCCCAGATACGACAAAATATTCCTTACCTAGACTCATAACGCACTATTGCCGCGATTTATCGCTATGATACAGCAAGCCAACCAGGATAAACAGCGGCTTGAACGATACACCCATTTACCCAACGAGGACTTAATCATTTCTTGAAATTTCATCCAACCTCAAGAATCGGGCAGACTCTTACACCAATGTTCCAGCAATTAGGTCCTAGCCTACAGCAAGCCGTCCAACTCTTTCTCTGCATCCGCCTTCGCTTCCTTGAGAGCAGCATGCTCAAATTCTCCCTCCAATATCCCCTTCACATACTGCCTTCCCACCCGTCTCCGACTCTGGGCCTCCCCATGCAAACGCGGATCCGCTGACTGCTGCACCTGATGCCTCAACAATGATTGTCCCCAAGGGTTCTTCCTCTCCTCCACGATAGCGTGCATCTCCTCGACGGAGGTGTAGTCAATGTTCCGTCGCAGTCCTGCGTTAGGGTCCATTAAGACATGGTTGTCGTCCGTAAGCATAGCTTTGAGTCGCCAGGAAAATTTCCCTTTGAGATATCCTCGTGGACTGTGGAATGCGTCGTCGTTGCTGATTTCCTCGATTAGGATGCTGCGGTAACTACAGAGGCGCTGAGCTGCGATAGCTATGTCGTCCTCGGTGGGAGAGGGGTGCAAAGATGCAAAGGACCCACGTTCGGGGAGTCTGCGACGGCAAAGGGTTATGGCAGGAACGGGTTGGACGGGGACGGATGGAATGGTTCTGTCGTTGGCGAGTAGGCTTGTGCGGTTCCTTATGGCGAAGGCCAATCGCTCAAGGGCGTCTGCGTTCTTATCAGGCATGATGAGCAGAGGTTTGCGCAAGGTCCGGTTGCGGTGAGAGCAGGGGTGGGCGAGCATGTGGGTATGGATATGGATATGGGCATAGGGATGAATACCATGATAGGTTCAAGGTCTGGTCCCTGCGCTAGTGAATGCATCGTTAATGATCAATGCGGCTCAGGCGGAAATCAGACGGAGTTGAAAGCTTTCATTCAGTGGAGATCCAAAAGAAAGGTTCAATCTAGAGTACTACTTGGTCAGCCACAGTTTGTGACATGCGTTACACACTCCTTCTCATAGTGCAACTACAACCTGTAGCCCTCCAGTATTTCCTTCAGTTCAAGTGCCGATGCAAGCACGTCGAAGAAATTTGGAAGCACATTCTGCAAATTCTTGTCAAATCTGCTGCTGAAGATCTCACCTCGTCATTCTTCGCAAATCCTCCTTCGGACGTCTACAACAAAGACCTCACGCTCGTGAGCGTCTTCAATTATTACTCTTCGCCTCTCGCGGCTCTGCTTAGCCTAGGTCCGAGCGACGCCGATACGAAGGTTGAAGTGTATGGATGCCGGAGGCTTCCCGGCCATTACAGGCTTCGGAAGGCCGGTCCCTGAGTTCTCGAAGCGCCCTCGGATGCCAAAAATATTGATGAGATGCTTAGCGCGAGCCTTCCGTATTTTCTCACTGTCGCGCGGGCTGACGTCTTGGTTGTCCTCGTCGTAAATGCTGGCGCCACACGGTTCGATACCGCAACGAAGAACCGACTTCCCAAAAGGGTTGCTGAAGGGCACTGGATCATAGTGCGAAGCCGCGGCCCATAGTTTGATGGGATCTGCGGTTTCCTGTACAAAAGTTGTTGGCAGAGTACAGCGCAGTGCATTCTCCGTGACCTCGATAGATGGATATAGAACGGCGTCCGTAAAATGCTCTTGCAGACCGATGATATTGAAGAACGTCTGCGCTATAAAGTGCGCTTTTTGAGTGTAATTGAGCCAGAAGAGAATGATCTGTATCTTGCGCATAGTGATCAACGCGTTCTCGTCATTCATCCAACTCTCAAATTCCTGCTAAGATCGCTCAAGACATACAGCGATACGAGCTTTCAAGGTTGCCTTGTCCCGAACGATCGCATTCGGCCCAAGCTGGGAGTCATGGTCGCAAGGAAGTCTTGGTTTATCACCTCCAGTTACCTCTGATTGTTGAGTGATCTCGGTTCTGAATCGCGTTCTACATATCCGCCAGATACTTTGCGGTGATCGAATAGATAACCTTCACGGTTCTCATGAGGAGCACAGAATCCGGCGTGAAAGCAGTGGTTCTCTTCCCAAGTGATAGGATCCTCGATATTGGACCGGCAACAGGGTATATCACGACGAAACTTGCCATCCCATTTGTTTGGATCATATGAAAGCCTGTGAAAACTCGACCCATCCTCCAAGCTCGTCAAAGGTTTCGCGCGTTCGTGTGTTTTTCACAAGCTCGTCGAGCATCCACTGGAAGGTAATTTCTTGTCCGCTACGCTTGTTTCTGCTCATCTGCACATATCACAAGGCCGTCGAAGCCTGTCCCTGCCCAAGGCTTCATTTGAAGAGCCTGTTCGAGAATGACCATGAAAAGCTACGCGAATCCTGCAGCGCCAGTTGCCAGCCTCGTTGTCAGAGCGAGATAGAGCTATTAATTGATGTACTTCTTGTTGGATCCGTCCTAATGCGTAGTATTCGACGCCCTTCTGGCAGAACAGATCACATTTATACTTTAGTAATTGAGTCTTCGGGGAGAGACGTCGCATTGTACATCCTATGCTTGGTTCTTCGAGGGCAATGCCTAAGTTAGTGACGTCATCCACTGAGCCTGGCAGGACCCACTTGGGCGGAAAATATATGGCTACATTCAGCATTCAGACACGGTGAACGAGAGATGCAACTGCCGCTTCAACTTCCTTCCATCGAGAGAATCGAGGCTCACGTCAATAGCACGGTCATGCTGAGAGCTAGTGTGAAAATTCCTCCTTTCTGGAACGATCATCGATTTGCAACGATGTGACGGACTGGCCTAGTGATCTCAATGAGAGGCTCGATACACAGTCGCGATATCTGTCAATGACACTGGGACGCTGTCTTTGTTGTTGTCTAGGCTGATGCGGAAGTAAATGAACGGCATTGAATTGTGTACCTACGTATAATATGGTACAAGTAAAGATCTGACAGACAAGGCATCTGCAAAACAGGTTACTCTTGGACAGGGCATCGCGTAAACGCTTTCTCGGCCTGGCGCCGAATCATTGTTGCGGGGAACCCCATATGGCGGCGATTATCCGATCGTCTGGTCCCTGGGACAAGTCCGCATCTTTGCCGAGCTAGAATACCATAGGTATACACCAATTGCTTCTTATCTTATACCAACTAGCGAGGTGCATTACCCGCACATAGTGATCTTTAGCAAGCTATCCTGAAATTACACAATACTTCCCGCGATGTTCGTCTCGAATTCCTCTTCGTTATCTTATCTCTTGTGGTAGTTCGACAAGTGCCGTGCGCCACCTCGGGTAAAAACAGCCTATCGCAACAAACTAGAACCATAGCAGCGATCTCGCCGTGCCATTATTGCTAGCCCATATGTTCCGCACATGGTGGACAAAATATAGCCGGCTATGTTCAATTAGCGTCGGGTAAGGACAATGCGATTAAAACCGTCTTCATCGCCTGGATCTACAGCACGACTTCTGGACCGAAGTTGAGAACATCTTCGGTATCTTAACATTTTTTTTAGCACTTCGATCCAGCTAAGGTGTAAGGTATCATTCGCAAGAATGGCCATGTCGGAGTCGAAAGTTGCGGCCGGCGTCAATGAGGACACCATTGAACGAAACGATGCTGGCATTGAAGTCGGAATTGGCAGTGAGAAGCTGGATGCGCGAGAGATGCATGAGGTTTTCAAGAAGTCAGCCGAGGGAGTGGACTTCAGGACCGTCAGCTGGTAGGTAACGTGACTTTCTATCACACAGGAGATGGCAGACAAGCAATATCGCTGCCAGGCGAATTTATGCCTAGTCCTTAGGTGTAATATCGTGTCTGGTCTGCCTCAGCCTTTGCTTACACTGTTTTCTATTTTTAGGCCACGAGCAACTATCATCTTCCTCAAGATCCAGTTCGCAATGTCGATTCTGGCTGTTCCCGGTGCGCTGGCTACGCTCGGTGCTGTTGGAGGAGCGCTGTCAATCGTTGGCTGGCAAATCCTGAATACCTACACAGCTGTAATTCTCGGAGACTTCCGGAATCGCCATCCCGAATGCCACACCCTGGCCGATATGTGTGGTCTTCTCTTCGGTTGGATTGGCAGAGAGCTAGTTGGACTCCAGATCATGATAGCTCAAGTGCTCATCACAGCTGCCGGAATTGTATCTTGCTCAACTGCACTCAATGCACTCTCAAACCACGGTGCTTGCACTGTATGGTTCAGCTTTGTCTCCGCAGTATTGATTACTGGCTTCTCGTCAGTGAGGACATTCTCGCGCCTGGGATGGCTTACCTGGGTCGGCTTTTTTACTTTTTTTATCGCCGTCTTCATCTTCGTTGTTGCTGTGACGCAACAGGGTCGTCCGGCTATTGCGCCAAAGACAGGGCATTTCGAGCTTGGCTGGACCGCGATCGCCTATCCGTCGTTTGCAGCTGGCATCACTGCCAGCGCCAACATCTTCATCAGTGGAAGCGGGTCGATGATGTATATGCCCGTGGTATCAGAGATGAAAAAGCCGACGGATTATAGGAAGGCATGTTTAGTGGCAGGATTCTTCGTAGGCGTTCTGTATCTGACATTCTCGCTTGTTATCTACCGATGGTGCGGCGTTTGGATTGCAACTCCAGCCTTTGGCAGCGCGGGTACTCTTTTCAAGAAGATCAGCTACGGAATAGCTTTGCCTGGATTGGTGATTGGTGTTGGTGAGTACTCACGAAAAGCGCCCAGTGGTGGTTGTGAAAGAGGCACCCATTGACCCTCGCCAGGAATATACCAACATGTCGCCGCTAAGCTAATATTTGTGCGCATACTGCGCAATACTCACCAGTAAGTAAGACCAACTACTGAACTGAGTCTGTCAGCTGACACTCATAGTTTGCAAGAGAACACCATGGTTCATTGGACCACCTGGCTCGGTTCGAATCTGATACTGGGCATCCTTGGATTTATCATTGCAAGCGCCGTCCCAATTCTTAACTACCTTCTCGGCCTTGCTGGGTCCTTGTGCTTTGCGCCTTTCTCGCTCGTATTTCCAGCATTGCTCTGGATGTACGACTTCAAGGGATATAGATCCGGCGGTATATCCCAGAAGTTGATATATGGCCTCCATATCATCATTGTGCTCATCGGCCTGTTTATGGTCGTTGGCGGAACGTAAGCAGATCAGATCCTGGGATAGAAGAGAAGAACTAACTTTGACCAAAGGTATGGCGTTGCGCTGTCGATAAAAGAGGCATATGCGACAGGGATCATTGGGAAGGCATTTGACTGTGCAGATAATTCTGGATCTGTTTCTTGAACCTGATGCATCCAGTGAAGCGCCAGTAGCTGGATGTTGATGCGACCCGAACTTGATGTGAAGTAAGCATGTCTAATCTGATGATAAACTACCGATTAGTGTTCGGACAGTATCGGTACAACTCGATACTGAATATGCCACACAATAACGGGCCACTGATCTGCTTTTAATTTTGGGATATTTGAATGGTATGCTCCGGCAATAGGTTGCATTAGTTCCACGTCCATAAAATGACTGATAAATGGCATCGAGGCAGTGCAATCGCATTGTGCGACCTTCCTGTTCGGCGGGCCGATCGTCGTCTCGGCTACGTCCTCCCGTGTACCATCATTTCCGTCACCGTTCACACCTCAGTCGCCTGGGCATAACTTACTTGGCAGTGCTCCTTCGACGCCAATAATCTCAAAAATGGCAAGCCCAGTGTATTCCTCGCCAGAGTGGTATTTGAAGGCCCAGGACAAAGACGTCAGCAGCGACATAGGTCGGCTGACCATCTACCACCTCGGCTTCAAGCAGGCCGCGGGAGGTACCCTGCTATTTGCGCCACTGGAATTTTCCAGCGCCCCTCGAGCTGTGCTCGATGTCGGAACAGCAGATGGTCTCTGGATGCGCGAGGTCCAGTCAACAATTCCCGCGCCGCCTGAAGGCGACCATACATTCATCGGCACGGATATCAACACGTCGTTCTTCCCTTCTACGAGCATGAAGAATATCACATACGTGAAGCAGGACATCAAAGACCCAACGCCTGAGGTCTGGAATCATGCCTTCGACCTCGTCAATCTCCGCATGATTCTTATAGCCGCCGGCTCGGGAGTCGCGCAGCGCGCTGTGGTCAATGAGCACATCAAACTCGTGAAGCCTGGCGGTTGGATTCAGATTGGGGATTGCGATCGCGTTTGCCCGACGTCAGAAGCGGAGAATCCACGCTATCACGACATGTTCGCGTGCATCCGGGCTGTTTGCCAATCATCGGGGCTGGACCCCCTAGAAGCTCCAAAGATGAAATCGTGGCTCGAGGAAGCGGGGCTCGAGCAAGTACAAGAGCGGACGGCGATGCGCGCGGTCGGGAAGCGGAATGCAGATGAGGAATTGGGCAAACTGGGGATTGGGGCGGATCTGATGATCGCAAAGGGTTTTGCGGCTGGTGCGAAGGGTGAGTATGATATTTTTGTATGCGCCTGAATCCCGAATGGGAATACTGACAGCGACAGGGCTGAGTCCATCTTTCAAGCCACTGCCGGATGAGCGACTGGATTCGCTGGTGCAGGAGCTAGAGACTGAGTTGACCGAAACAGGAGCGTATTTTCCGATGCGCTTCATCTGGGCTAGGAAACCTTTCTAGATGTACCACGTGGTGGGTACGAGAGATGGACCTGGGGAAGCGGATATTTGCTGGATGGTAGCTGGGTAAGGATCAGGGCTCTGACGATGTCACGATTCGTGGGATCGAGTGAGGAAGTATGCCAAAATCATAATGCTTAGATATCTTGGGCGATAAAATAGGCCGTAAGAAAGATCACATTACCGCCCTAGTTTACTATGTACAAAGAGCGAACTCTATGCGATGTGACATCCCAACCTCGAGCCACATCGAAAAACCATCCTCATTCATGCCCCGCACCCACTGTGTACCCCTTCGATACATGGATCGCACCAGGCTTGGGGGCCTCAGAGCCATCCATATGCTCCGCTCTCGACGAGTTTGCACCTGCCATGTCATGCAATTGTATTATCTCCTCCTCATCAGCCCCTCCCTTCAGACGTGCCTCGTATTGAGGATGCCCACGATCAGAACCATTGGATGAGCCCTGCATGCGTGACCGCGAGCTCTTCCTGCTGATAATGCTGCTCGCGGCGCTCACGAGGCCACCGAATAGTCCGTTGTGTACCAACTCGCGTAGGACAGGGCGGATCGTCGGGGCGCAGGCAGCAAGGATACCAATTTGAATCTCAATGAGGGTCCACACGCACGTCGCGGTGACCCCGACTGTGAAGAGTCAGCTACAGGGTAGTTTCCATCACGGAGGTGCCTTACGTCCAGGGTCCATGATCTTATCTTTTGGAGCGAATTTGGTGTAGATGCCGATGTAGGATCTCGCAGCGCTAGCTCCGACGGACCTTTAAAAGTTAAGTCTAGGCCATATTAAAATTCTATGAAGGTACTTACAGCAATCCTACGAGGAATATCGCTGCGATGGAGACCTTGTCCGACATTGGAAGATGAAGGAGTGAGAATATCTTGTGCAAACAGTGAGCTATGATATGCAGGCGTTTGAGGGTTTCGTCATACCATCGGTAGAGGAATGAGAACGGTAATGAGATCAGACACAGTGCCAGATATCAGCACACCGAAGTCTAACATTTGAGTGGATCCACACTCCCTCTTCTGTACCGCGGGGTTCATGTGGCTTCGCGAAGAGAAGATTCCGTGATCTCCGCAAATGGCCATGAAGGCAGTGAAGAAGCTGATTGTCCATAGAGTCATGATGACGATCCATGCGATGATATATGGGCGATACTTCGGAACGCTAAAGATCTGGAGGTAGAAGAACGAGACAGAAGTTTTGATAAACCCGATGGCAAGAATGCCTGTGACAATAAAAGCATAGTTGTGCTTGGGAACATTTAGCTCTCTTACAGTAGCTGTGGGAGAATACTAACCATACGTAGTGTATAGAGAAAATCAACCGCGGCAGCAGGATTTGCCTTCTGCAAAGGGGCGACTCTCACTGCGAACAACCCATTGGCAGCGCCTGTTCAACGTATCAGAATGAGTATCGACTCTCACTCATGGGTTTCACAGTCTTCATTGCGTCCAAGGCGGCGCAAGAATGTGAAAGCACTCTGGTGGAATTTGTAAAGATAATGCATGGCCAGTGCCTTCTTCGGAAACTGCGATACGTACAATAAATCTGTTCTATTGCCAGAGCCGTGGACAGAATACCCGCAACGATGATGAGGTAGTCCGAGGTGTGGAATTCGAGGCCCTTCATCTTGTGCGACATGAACCGCGAACCGATCATCAGCAGGACCAGTACCTGCACGATGACGGCGGCCGCAATCAGGCCATGGGGGTTGTCATACGCCATATCGAACGAGGACCGGTAGGAAGTGACAATACTGCAACCTTGAAAGATGTCGCGTGTCGATGTACATTCCAGTCAGCGAAGCTCCGCGATAAATCAGAGCTACCAAGTTGCGTAGGCGAGCGCGGGAGGGTTCGGGGCACGGAAGGGAGGATGCGCACGGGTCTTGCGTTTGGGTGTCCTCGAAATGCAGCAATGCATCAACACGGGTCGGAGAGCTTGTTCTTCACTGGTTACCATCCAGCAGAAAGGGTCCGCGCTATATCGTATTCAGGAAGGAGGAGGATGCTCCTGCAGGTTGGTGTCCGGCGATTTGCAGGCTCACTGGCGGAGGCGCGACCCGCCCTGCCTATATCCGCGTCTTACGGACCAAGCAAATGAAAGTGGCTTCTAGATTGCGCATTCGCCACGCGAGCCTGGAAGCATAGTACAGGTCGCAACTCGCAAGACTCCCAGCATACAGACGGGTAAGGGCATTGTTTGCGTAACTGCATAAAAAGATTTCCCTTTCAGTTTGCGCGGTACTTAAGAACCGGACAACACTCCTTCAAAGCCAGCCCGTGGAGGTGCACTGAAGAATCCGCCGTAGTGCTTATCGCCACAGATTGTATCCCCAGTGATGTGATACGAATCCAACACCGTGTAATTATTGCCGCACGAATAAAGTGAGTGCTAAAACGGATGGGAAGCGGGAACTTGAGGGTGCTAGCTGTTATTGGATACAATCCCTGGCTGTGGCTGGCCTATTCATCTGACACGTGCATTAGCGCCAACAGGAGCCACTCGGTCGGTTTGAAGTGAACATTTCAGAGCCGAGGCACAAGCTGAGGGTCGACTTTGATATACTAGACATCACCCTGATATTAATACATGTTTCATAATGAAGAAATAATCTCATAAGGCTGTAAGCCTACAAGCTCGTTCAGTTAAATAGCTCACGTGACCCATTTGCCCCAAGGCCTAGACCTTGCAGGGTTTCTCTCGAGTATATATCTCCATCCAAAAGAGGAAAAACTTCAGAGTGCCGCGCGGTCAAACTACGCGCAAAATTAGTGTACGTCACAGTTTTTCCGATAGGTTGAAAGCTTACTCCCATAACGCCCATGCTCGCCTTTTCTCGGAGCGAGGCCTAAGAGTAGTCGACACCTCCGTCCGCCTGAATCGGAATGAGGACATTGTCTATGTCTGCAGCTATGATTCTTCAGAATAGATACTTGTTCGAGGAATGGAGAGATTCTTACGAACGGCTAGAGGTGCAGCAAGGACACCCGCACTCAGCACGCTGAACAGCGCAAAAAAGAGTTGGAGTTGCATGTTGTCTGGCGTTCGAAGGTATTCGAGTGGAGAGTTGGTATCAGGTTGGGTGAGATGATCCACCATCAGGAATCGCTGCTCTTATATCCCGTTGGTCCAAAATCTTGGAAAGAACATCACCAATCACAGCAATGATGTGACAGGCAACAGTACCAATGCATGTGCTATAAGACCGAACGTACCTTGATTACCACGATAGGTTAATGCGATGAGTTGAGAACAAAGAAATCAGAACGAGTCAGCCTCGTCGTGACGCGAAAAATCGGGCTTACACCCTGTAGGCCATCTACATGAAGCCTGGGCGTTCGTGTAGCAGCCAATCAGTACACGAAGCGCTCGGTCCGGCGTGCATTTTGTCTCTCCTCAGCGCCTACATGCGTGCAGCTGATGGCTGATGATGCCCATGTGGGCCCGGAGTGGCAGATAACGCATCGGATCACCCTACACATTTCCTTTTCAAGATCGAGCTTTGCTCAGCGGTGGCCCCGCTGCTCTCCCCATCTCTCAACTCCAATTTTTCTTGCACATTGAGGACTACACCACCGTCCAAAATGTGGAAGAGTCTTTACAAGCCACTACCCGAGAACGAGTTTGACTCCAGTGAGCCGCTGGTAAAGGAAGATCTTCCTTTGCAGCAGAGTACGACCAGATCAAATCGTATCGGCCGATACCTTCCCTCCTTTCAACAAACCTTCAATGTTGTTGCGATACTATACGTAGTGCTATCATTGCCGACGGTTTTCTTATTCTTGAAGAACCAAAGACTATATGTTTACTGTCCGTCATTCTTGTCCACACTCATACCCTGTTGAATTTGCTCTGATAATGACATAGCGCCGGTAAATCCACTCATAACATATGAGCCACAGCCCTTACACGAAGACCACGAAGTGCTTGTGCAGAAGGGGTTTGTGGGCCATCCAAACGATACTGAGGAACACTGGAGGCATCTTCTAGAACGTGCGTTATATGTCGGATTACATTGAGCATGAACTGAAAATATGCAGCCATGAATTTCCACGCTACGGAAGAAGAATTGCATAAGGCCAATATCAACATCGATGATAAAGTTGTCAGAGTTTCTGGCGGCGGTTATGTCGGCGTCTTGTCCGTATATCACGAGCTTCACTGCCTTGTAAGTTGCGCATGCCTTTCGTCGAATCATGCTGATAACTCGCAGGAAGCACTGAGAAGATCGACATTAAGGTTCGCAACCGCGTTATCATGACCTTTGCTACCCACTAATGTCTATAGGTCTCACTACTACCCTGGTATGACAGACAAGGGGCTAGATCATGAGGATCGCGTTGTCGAACATCTCAGTAAGTTATACTGGTGACGCTCTCTCAATATCAAAACAATATTCTAATCTTTGCAGCCCACTGCATTGAGTATATACGCAGGACCATCATGTGTCACGCTGATGTGTCGGTATACACTGCGGTCTGGATTGCCGATTCCCACGAGAAGCCTAACAAGGATCTCATTTCGGGAGGAGAGAGGGAATGTGTGAACTGGGATGCCATTGACAAATGGTCTCGATCAAGAGCCCTGAAGAAAAAGGTATACAAAGTGAAACCTGGGCCTTTCGAAAAGGACCTTCATCCGAATGAGAGCGATGTACTATGAATGGATTTGACCATAATCAAGTTTAAGATAGGTTCTAAGACAAATTATTCGCGTCCTAGAACCACTGGGCAAAGCTCTTCAGCCGAGCCGTGAAGCTCTATCCTTCCACCATCTTCCTTGGCTTCAAAATCGGTAATGGGAATCATGTGATATCATTTCTCATCATTCACTACTTCTACTTTCCTTGTGTAGCACACGGAAAGCCACTTTGATAGCGGTGCGTGCGAAGAGGCATTTACCGCTTTCTACTGGTTTTGACGGTCTCCTCGAATGGATGCCTACGTATCTGACAGGATTCACATCCTCCGCCCTCTTTGCACGTGCTATCATACAGCGCTTGATGGGAGACGATGTGATTTGACGAAGGTGAACGCTGAAGTGCCGAAGCTTTGGTACTCGTGCGAAGGATTACGTACGAAAAAAAAATTGACCACAGAGGTACCAGATGTGGTAGGTGGTACAACTAGGGCAGTTCGGTCACCGTGGCTGCGACCGCATCGTGCAAGATTTTGTGCCACATGACGGCAGGTCCGATCGGGGCTGAAAAGCATGGGTAATGTCAAGGGTCGGGGATCATCATAGCCCAGCCCCACCGCGATCTAAGAACCGAGAAGCTACCCCTCCAAGAGCGCTAAGGTTCCTATTATTTTCATGTTCTGCCAGAGCACATCCTGGAAGTGGCTCATGAGACAAGACGCCCTATACCGATGATCAGTCGACCCATTCTGTGATGGGTGATGTTGCGGGCTGTTGAGAGCAGAAGAATGAACCAGCTGCGACCATCCAGCATCAGCGCGCCGAGAGCCGGACTCAAGACAGCCCAGTTTAAGCTTTTAGCCAGTGGTCCGACTGGAACTTTCCGAAAACGGATACCGAATCATGAGCCAGTCAGGATTATCTGATCACTGAAACAAATTCTCAGGCCCTAAGGATACACTGAGATATCACGGCAAGTTTCAGGCCGGTAATTTGGGGTAGAACACTTTTCCAACTGCATTTGCTAACTGTTAGATGTTCGATTGCCTCCGAAAGAGGCGGATCGAGATCTTAGGAGACAGCATGCATATCCCTCTACATTGGAATTCAATGCTACAAATTCTGCACTTTGGGCTAGAACTTCCCCTGCGGCGTTAGGATAGCAAATTTCATTCGACATCAGGCTTTCAATCCGGCTTGTTCTAACAGTGCCAATTCTCTCCTCCAAACCTGCAGTTGGTCTGAAGCCAGTATGACGGCCGCCGCTGACTGGGTCGAGCCGCGGACAGGAATGGTGGCTGGGATGCCAGCTTTCTCAGACTGCGCAAACGCCCAGTTGATTTTATGCTGAGAGAAGGTGAGAACCCTTTTCTCGGCGATTTCCGCAACGTGATCTGCTAGCTGCAGATTCAAGGGGAAGACGTCCGGCTGGAAACGGGAAACTGAAGAAAAAGAAAATCGCCGGAACATTGTCCGGAGACTTCAAATGGCCGGACGAAAATCCACAACTAAGTCGGGAATACGCTACAGTAGGAATTCCTAGCTCGGCAGTGGCGGCAGCGACACCATTTCGAACGAGACCAAGGGTTGAAAAACTATGAGCAGTAAGCACGCCGACTTCAAGATGCCAAATAATACTACGTTGTGGGTAGGCAATCCTGGGGCACGACAAGGGGTCGGAAAAAGTGATACATACACAGGGAGAGCTCGATTCCAACACAAGCAATCTGCAACATCTTCGAAACAGCTAAAATACTGGACGCTTTGATTTTAGACAATCCAACATTGCCAATCTCCCCACTCTACACGTACTTCTCACACGCAATGAATATCACATCTAGTAGGACATCCAGGTTAATCCACCCGGCCTTGAAGAGGTCGATCTTCTTTCAGCCCTTAAGCTAGTTAATAGCTCCACCAAGAAACTTGCGCACGCCTTCTGGTGTGCCATCAGGAGATGTTCCGGCTCAAGCTGCCCGTTCACTACTCAGCACGACCTTTTCTGCATCTTTGTGAGACTTAGCGAAGTACTCGCCGAGTGAGACAAGACCGTTTGCCTCCGGTGGTTCACTGGTTTATGCCGTTATCATGTGTCACCTTGACGACTGTGATAGCATCCCCCGCAGTGATAGGGTCCTTGCGCCATGTCAGCCCTTTCAGAAATGTAAGCTTCCAATGTTTGTTCCCAGTACTATAGGGATACATCCATGACCTTACTCATGAGACCAAGCGCCAACTGGCCCAATCTATTTTCGACGATCACAGGCATGACTGCGCTTCCGTTGGTTATCTTGGCATTGTTGCAAATAATTTTATGTGAGAGTAGATGGAAGCTTTTCTGCAACCCACGCAAGTTGCCCGTAGAGCAGTTGACTTGCGTCAATTGAGATGCAAGATGCCTTTTGGAATGTTGCAATTTCGTGACACGAGACTGGACTTGATTGGGATTAAAGTCGCCCATCGCTTGCGTGCACGATTTCCCGAAAATGGATACGTTGACCGAGTCTTGCGCACATTGACGAATACCCCGCATGGCGATGAGCGTGAGTCTGACTCTGAATCTACGCCTTTATACCCGGTAGCCTATCATAGTGAAGTTGATGGCGTCTTGTGAAACCTGCAGCCTTGTCGAAGAGGATTTAACTTCGTACAGCCGTTCACCCAATGTTATCCATTGCGAACTCAAGGTACTAGTTTACAACGTCTACATTTGACTGCAGGGAATCCATGTATAGCAAACGACCAGACAACCTCGTAATATTATGTAATTAGTAACACTGCGGTCAAATTACGCCATGAGCTAGAATTATGAAATTCTTTAGATTATGCCCACTGCTAGGGCCATATCAATGCATGTTCACGTGCTCATACTACCAAGTTCCGGCTCGCAAGTAACTTGCGGCTATATGAACTTCAAAGGACGACCAATTAGATATCGATGCAAGGCATACAGCTAATTATGTTGCGCACTAGACTGCAAATTTGGCAAACTTTCTTCACTTCTAGAATTGCGCCGCACATCGCAGAGTCGCTGATGTTTGGCAATTCAATGTGCCAAGCTGTAGACGACCTAGATCTGGTATTAGTGCGAACTGATCGTATAGGCGGATGAAAGCCGCGCTTAGGCGTAACAGCTCTTCGTCTGATAATCTCAGATGATCTCCGCTTGCGCTTACTCATGATCTTTGACACTGCGGTATCTCGCCACAATTCTCCTACTAACTCCTCCAGTTCCTCTTTACCTTGCTTGTACTAACTGACTGTGTGTTCTATTTGCGTTCTTAGTCCGTATACATCATCACAGGCCTCAGATCTGTTCCGTCGCTCAATTTGTGCCATAAGTGACCACAAATCACGGAAATCTGTCCGTTAAATAGCAAAGTATCCAAGACTGAAGTACTTCGCGCCTTCGAGTGCGTGATCAAGCTGGATCTAAGTGAACTCACCATCAAAGGTACCATTCACGACTAGTCATCCATACATTCTGTATGTTCGATACCTACGATCTGATCATTTCCAGCAATTTGGAATGAAAGTAGCGATGTTCAACCATGTAAACAAGCCCTTGCTCATAAGAAAAGACTGATAGATGATATACGAGCCCGAGGGGATTGTGATACAAAGAACTATATGCACTGCTGGCAAGGCTGTTAGATTGAGAATCGACCATCAGACCGTGTAATTGTTTCATATCTCCAAAGATGGGCTCCGAAACACCACCTTTGAGTCAAATGTAACGAACCTAAATGGAAGACTCAGAGTGTATTTCTACCATCATCACCGTCAGCGAAGTTCACAAAATCAGCGCATCTCCTACAGAAGTTGATGCCTCCACTATATGTTTACAAGCCTCATGGATATCCAAATCCGTGAACGTATCGCAATGAAGTCTAGACATAAACATCTGCGAATCGCTCTCGTGAACAATCACTCCACATAAGATGGTGAGTGCCAGGTCGTTTGCTTTTCAAGGGCACAACTGTTACATCTTGAATTCAGACACATAATTTAAAATACTAGGTAAACCGACGCGAATGCTGATGACTCGTGTATGGAACAGGAGGGCATCATACACCTAAAGGTACATATTTTTTACGTACACATTTGAAAGGGCGCAGCAATTGGCTTGAGCTTGGTGGCATGCTACTTTCCAGTGACCACTCGGGACGGTGGCTGAAGACGGCTCAGTGTATCGAAGCGGTTACGTATCGACGAGTACAGGATTTTGACAGCAAAACGGACGATGAGGCATCTTGTAGACTCCGTAGACATGTTCTTGCAGCATGGCTAACACAGGATAAGCCTAATCAAATGTATACAAGTGATTCGCAGACAGATTGCAAAGCGTCTGGAAGTTGAGCAACTCCACATTAACACATAAAAGGACCTGGGGGAAGGATTTAGAGTTCGACAAGAGCGAATGTGGTCCGCTTATGTCAAAGTCTAAGTATGCTACAACTCAGCCATGCCACATGGGCGCATGAAGATGCTAAGCCGTAACGGAATTCGAATGGCAAACGCGAGAATGTATCCGAAATTGACAGCAGAAGAATCGAACCGAAGTCAGTCGAATCATCGAGGCATGGTTTGCAGAGAGAGACGATTGCTCGTATTTGATAGATATCATTATTGTGTTCTGTTCAAAACCTCCCGTTGAAGGTTGCACATGCACCCCCCCCCCCCGCGGGAACTCGACATCGGCAACTCGACATCGCTTAAGCCAACTGATCGAGATTGGTAGTGGCAGAGAGGTCCTTCCACGCCTCGATGCTCTTTGTCTCTTTCTCAATGACGCCAGTTACAAAGCCCACGGCATCGGGTCCAATCAACCACCTCCGGGGCAACTCGCGACCCTCCTCCCGGCCCGTGCAATTCAGCGCCTCGACAATGGGCTGCGCGCCCTTGACTGAGTCGCCGGGCTGGTTGCCATTGAAGGTCTGGAATATGCCCTTGATCGTTGCAAGGACAAAGTCGTAGTCAGCAATGGGATTCTTCGCGAGGGACTTGGAGCCAGAGGCGAGAAAGTTGGTGCGGAAGTAGCCGGGCTCTACGACAGTGACTTTGATGCCGAACGACGCGACTTCTTCCGGAGTGACTCTGCGATGCCGGCGACGGCAAACTTGACGCCGCAGTACAGACCGCAGGCGGCTCCGCCCTCCCAGCCGGCAATGCTTTCCATGAAGGCGATGGTGCCGCTCTTCTGGGCGCGCAGGTAGGGCAGGACAGCTTGGGTGACGGCGACGTGCGCGAAGACGTTGGTGTGGAAAGTTGCTTGGATCTCGGCGGTTTTGTTGCGCGTCACACGCGGGGCTATTAAAGGGTGCCATTGCTTTTAACATCATGGCCCACGTTTCAACCTCGCCTGCAAAGCCCTCCAAGGTGATTTGTTGTGGGCGGTGGCATTGCCGGACTGGCAATGTCTGCTCGCGAGATACTTCACACAATCCCCAACAATTACGTTTAGTCAACTGCTTCGCGCTGTTAGTACAAGCCTGTGTTGAAATAAGTATTCAAGTACCTCAGGTGCTTTTCGACCCTTCCCCCTTCCTAACTTCACTTTACTTTCCACGATAACCTCTCTTACACTTACAAACGCCAACACTCGAAAGACCATGTCTCCAATAACCTTGCTACCGGTTGCCGAGCATGTCTACAACCTATTACTAGTACTGCACGAAGGCGGCGATCCGAACATAAAGACAGAAAGCGATATCAAGATCCTCAAAAAGCTAGCGAACATCATCCACTCCCTTGTTCGCATGCCCGCCGTTCCCAGCATCAAATACGAACAGGTTTTGATACCATCCACGAGGCAACGTGCGGAGGGGGTTGCTGTGGACACAGCCAGTGTCCTTCTCCACAGAGACGACGAGAGATACATCGTAGTTGAGACCGCGACTCGAAAGGACGGCAGTAGACTGCATAGCGCCAGAAGTTTGATTCGAAAAACATTATGTTGTGCATGGCAACTAGAATAAAGAGGAGTAATTTTCAACCCGCGCAGAACAGCGTCCATGGACACAGACACCGTGATCCCAGCTCACAACATAGCAGTACATTGTCTCTCGAGCGTCCGACCACAAGTACATCCCCCCGATGCCGCCGTGCCTACTCGCAAACCATCCGACAGCGCCACCGGATGCTCCGAGTGTGCAGCACTCAAGAACCTCTCCATAGGTGACATCTCGCTCGCGGAGGTGCCTTGTGTGTGGAGATCTACAATGGGCATGTGGTACGGACAATCATACTTTCGGCGTGTTTTGGATACTTGGACTAGGAGACGATGTCAGTCGAAGGATTGCCTAGACGTGACGACATATTCTGCTTACTGGAGTAGGGTATCTCCTTCTGTGCAGGGACTGTCGGTGCGGGTGAACTTTGTTGCTTGACTGCTGTCCTGCCAGCTTTCTTGTTGCTGATTTGTGGTGTCCTAGTATCATGTTAGCGATGGACGCACGACGTTGTAGTCCTGCAGCGGAGGAGACTTACTGAGCATCTTCAGCACTGACACGATACGATGCAAGGTTAAACGACGCCATTTGGTCACGCAGGTTTACTTAAAGCCGTTTGTGGGTGGAAAAGTTTGGGTCGAGTGCTGTGCTGTCTCACAGGGCAGCCTTCAGCCATATATACCTCATGGATAGAGCCCTCAGCAGTGAGAAGGACCATGACAAACGCATCCCCACGCTCTAAGACGAAGAGCTAATGCGGCCTCCTATTGACCCGGGCGGGCTGAAACGGGCCTGGCAACAGAAACGGCAGGTACGGGCTAAGGTAGAGCGTATCAGCACGTCTAAAAACCGTTCGGAGGGGTCAGGCGCAAGAATTCCGGTAAGATGTATGTCGAAACGGGATCTGCACGGCCGGCTCGTAGGCTTGTCTGTGCATTGGCCCTTCTCCCGAGCGTTGACAACACATCGGTGCGAGTGCTTCTTGGAGACAATGCTGGCCGCGGGTAGGTTTAGTGTAAGCTTAGATTGGTCGACCTGACGCTCGGGGACGGGGGATAGCGGAAGATTTCTGAGGAAAGCTTGGTGGGCGACCCGTGGACCTGAGCCACTGCCGCACCGCTGCAGCGGGTGGGGGTGTGATCTGATAGCCCATGCGAAGGTCACATTCATGGCTTCGCGTAGTGCATATGGAACACGATTACTCATGGATCGCATAATGTGATAGGCTGATCCTCGTCGCTGGCGCCGACGCCGATAGACCGGGTCGAGGCTCCACTCAGGTCGTCTCCCTTGCTCTGGGGCCGAGCTAGTCAGGGAAAGGGAGAGCGTGCGTTGACGGGATAGTGTGGGCCCAGGGCTTGTTTCCATACTGTAACCGTCGGGGCGGACTGTCTTGTGCTGATATGGCGATGGCCGCAAGCATATCACCTCTTCGCGGCGGTCAACGGACATTAAAGAAACTTAGTTCTCATATAGTAGATTACGATAGGGAAGCAACGTATTGAATTGCCTACTGACGATGGCCAACTATTCACATTTCACACAGCCCCGTTCTTGCGGTGTGGCATGCGAGCGACGTATGCATGGCGTCCGGATGACCACCGGAAGAATGGGCAAAATCAACACAGCACGCATCTGCCCCTTGATGCCAAGTGTTGATGCCTGAGGGTATGCAGCAGGCGATGATGGGCGTGACCGTTGCGATACTGCATTAGCAGATCACGCCGACGCCACCAAGAGTGTGTTAGGCGGGAAAACCAAATGTAGCCCAGTATGCTAGTCATGATATGGAATAAGGCAACGAGGCGCTCGCTATCCTGGTAATTTCGGGTATTGCATCACGAGCAGATGACCGTCCACCACACGTTGAAACGGCCTGTCAACAACGGTCGAGCGCTGCCAAGGGTAGCACGGAATCCTCTGGCGTCATTGCTAAAGGGTCGCGCTCGTGGTATCTCATTATGCTTCATCAGGACTGACTCGCCGTCGGCCTATGCTCTGGGGCATGTGGGGGCTTTGCCAGCTGAGCGCGGGGACGCCGTTGCAGTCTGACAGGGCGAGATCTCGTTGCCGTCTCACCGGCGGCCCGCGAGTGGGGAAGTCAAAGTGGCGCTGGAATGACGGAACAAGACTTCGACCGTCCTCAGTAGACTTGCCGACCAGTGTTTGTCTGAAGAGCACGCAGGTGCCGGATCAGCGTTAGCCTGCATCGTCGCGTGGCATCCTAGGGTGGAGATGGGGGTGTCAAGTCGGGTGCACAACAGGAGGCGACGCCAGGAACAGTGCGCTGGGCTGAGCCGCGGGAACGGAAGACAAGATGTATGTGCCGCGATGCCACGCTTCATCCGGGCCCTGGCAGCCGTGTCGCATCGTGCTATTTACGGCGATCATCTAGTTGATATTCTAGTGGGCTACGCGTTTGGTAGCTCGCAGCACATGCTGTCTGTTTCCAGGGTGCTCGGTGGTGTGCTGACACGGAGGGGGTTGGCAAAGCAAGCCGCGGAGACGATACGGATGTGTCAATGAGGGTTTAGCGTCAACCTAGATTAGCATCTCTTCGCGTGCGCACGTGCCACCAAACGCTTGTGATGCTACGTCAATGGCAGTTTTCGGTGAGCGATGCTACGGCACTTTGCATCAACCGACATCCCAGATAAGTCTCGAGGAAGACAGAGTAGTGCCTGCTGTCTGGATCTGCGCCGAAATGTGCGCCCACTTACACCTACCTCTATGGTATTACGTTCAGTGAAGTTCTTTTGGAATCGTAGCGCACCAATCACCTATACAGGTACGCTTACTGGGACAATCGGATACTTATTTTTGTGGTGTGGCACGGTTCGTATACGGTAAGGTACGCAGTTTAGGATGGGACATGGAAGATGGGCTGAGCAATGTCCTATCTAGGTATAGTCATGCTGGACGAATCAACACCGAGTCCACTATGTCGATGTATATGACGATTTAAGTGAGGTCTCAAATATCCTGCTCGATCAAAAGGTCGCAAATAATGATGCTGGTTTCGGCGCACCCGTCAGTCCACGGCCGGATATGGATCATGTGCACAGATAATCCCTAAGAGGTCATGTACAGACAAGTATTGCCCGTCTTCGAAAGAGTGTGACACAAAGGATAATAAAAGTCTAGCAACACGTACTTTACCAGAGCCTTCATGGTGTGCATGCCTTCCCGCGGCATCTTCCGACAGTAGTAGCCTACGGCATCATAGGTTTACGTACCTTCTTCTCGTGTCGTTCGTATCAGTCGAAGTAGTACAATTATGTTATTGGAAGCATGGCCGTTCTGATTGGGGTTTTCGTTCGGCAATGAGTTGATCGGTGAAGGAGGCTCATTGGCCCGCCATTTACCGACTTTGTTGCATCCACATCTTTCCAAATATGGCGGTTGTGATCGGCCCTTCTGGGGCGTGGGGGTATGCATCTGCCAAAAGAACATGGAATGTACGACAGTACACGTCAGTGTCGAGAGCGCCATATGTTGGCTGTTCACTCGTCGTGAATCGTGATGCACGATCGATGATAAAGGCTCCGTATTCGATATCATGTCAGGTTCTGGTATACCTGGTGATCTGAACTCCGATACTCACATGTTCGGCGGCATCTGATAGCGCAGCAGGCCTATCTCCTCCTGTGTTGAGATGGGAAAGTGCTCGGTACTCTGCAAAAAAGACCTATGTGCCTATCGAGGCTGTGAGATTCTTTTTGTGAGCGGTAAAATTCCGGCCAGACGGAATGTTCCGCATGAGTGAGGTCCCCAATGGCTCCAGGCTTTTGTTCATTGTGAGAGATCGGACACCTAACCTGCCTGGATATCTTTCTCTCTCCTCTGCGCTGACTGCAGTGATGTCATTTTGTGTTGCAAATCGAATGTGTGGTGGATTAGATATGGCGTCCATCCGCGATTCAGGTAAATCGCTGGTCCCGGCATGGAAATTAAGTAGTTTTCTCAAGCCGGACCTAGAGTGTGTCCATCACAGCCGTGCCCGGTCCGGTGGCCATAGCCTACATATGTGTAGGTCGAGAAGAGACGATGCTCACAGCGGATGGGAGGTCGGTGTTGATAACCGAGGTATTAACCAATCTGGGTTGGCGCAGAAGATTACAATATGTGGGGATCCGGTTCCGATAGGCCAGGGTCCAGCTCCCCACGCCCCGATTCCGCGTCATAAAGCCTTTGCTATCCGAACAACAACAAAAAAGCTGCAAATTTCATGTCGCTCCAACTGAGACAGTCAAGCATGACAACGAACGGCAACCAGGCGAATGGTACGAATGGCACGGATCTGTCCAGTGGTCACCACAAAGGAGGGAAGCTGTTATGGCAACATCCGTCCCCGCGGTCTACACCAATGTTCGCATTTCTGGACTGCGTAAACAAGAAATACGGTCTGCAATTGTCAAACTACGATGACCTGCATAGATGGAGCATCGATCACATTGATAAGTTCTGGGGTCGAGTCTGGCACTTCGTCGGTGTCAGAGCAAGGCTTGAGGCCTCCAGGGTTGGTGGTAAGACGCGGAATGAGTACAACAGCAACTGACATACTTAGGTGGTGGATCCACACGCGCCGATGTTCCCTCGACCTGCATTCTTCAAAGGCGCGGCCCTCAACTTCGCAGAGAATCTACTCTTTCCCGGTTCGGAGCCCGACCCCGATAGTCCTGCGATCATCGCTGCGACCGAGACATCACGAGAGACCGTGTCATGGGACGAGCTGCGAAAACGTGTGAAGCACTGCCAATCAGGACTGCTAGAACTGGGTCTCAAAGAGGGCGATAGAGTGGCGGGATATGTTGCAAATCACACAAATGCATTGGTCGCGATGCTCGCTACTACCTCCCTGGGAGGCATATGGACTGCTGTCAGTCCAGATACTGGCGTCCACGCCGTCTTGGAGCGATTGCGGCAGATACAGCCCACGGTTCTCTTTGCAGATAACGCCGCGTTCTATAACGGCCGGAGTCATCCAGTACTGCCTAAAGTGAGCGAAATAGCGTCAGAGCTTCCTTCTCTCAAAGCCACCGTCATCTTCTCAACTGTAGCGAGTGTAGAATTCTCCACAGAGGCTCTAAATGTCGGTGCTTCGAAAGCATACGACTATAAGACATTCACGTCCTTGAGGACACACGAAGAGCTTACCTTCAGATATCTCTCACCCGACCATCCCGTCTACATCCTTTACTCCTCCGGAACTACCGGCGCGCCGAAGTGTATTGTTCACGGCGCTATTGGTACATTACTCCAACACAAGAAAGAGCACATCCTTCACTGCTCGATAACACCCGAATCGCGAATGTTCTATTTCACAACCTGTACGTGGATGATGTGGCACTGGCTTGTTTCAGGCCTAGCATCAGGCGCAACCGTCGTCCTGTACGATGGATCACCATTCCGCTATGTCGACACGAAGAACCCTGAGACATCTGTCCCAGACGACTTTGCCATGCATCGTCTTATCGATGAAGTGGGCATAACTCATTTCGGTACGAGCGCGAAATATCTCTCCATCCTCGAACAGAAAGCCTTGGATCCCAAAGCTGCCGGTCTATCTCTCGGCACACTCGAAGCCATTTACTCCACTGGTTCACCTTTGGCACCCTCGACCTTCGAATACGTATACCTTTCGTTCCCCTCTTCCGTCAATCTGGGTTCCATCACCGGTGGTACGGATATAATCTCCCTCTTCGGCGCTCCGAATCCTCTCATACCAGTCTACCAAGGCGAAATCCAGGCCGCAGGTCTCGGCATGGCCATATCAGCATACGACTATACTGGCAAAAACATCACCAATACTGGCGAGGCCGGGGAGCTTGTCTGCACGAAACCGTTCATCTGCCAGCCTGTTAGCTTCTGGGGCCCTGATGGCGACAAAAAGTACCAGAAGAGCTACTTCGACCAATTCAAGAATTACGAGGGTCAGCCCATCTGGAGCCATGGCGATTTTGTGCGGTTTAATCCTCGGACAGGCGGAATCTGGATGCTGGGCCGCAGCGATGGAATACTGAAACCATCTGGTGTCCGTTTCGGTTCCGCAGAAATCTATAACGTCGTGCTTGAGCACTTTGCAGAAGACGTTGCGGATGCACTATGCATTGGACGAAGAAGAGAGCATGACTCCGACGAAACTGTATGCTTGTTCTTGAAGATGGCGGACGGAAAGAAGTTCACCGAAGAGCTAGAAGGAAATATCAAGGCCGCAGTGAAGCAAGCCTTGAGCGCGAGACACGTTCCAGGTATTATTGATGAGTGTCCGGAGATCCCTATGACAACAAATGGAAAGAAGTAAGTTTATTTTACTACATGTTTTCAGTACAAGGCTGATAACGAGTAGGGTTGAAGGTGCAGTGAAGCAGATTCTGTGCGGCCTGAACGTGAAGACCTCGGCGAGCGTCGCGAACGCTGAGTGCCTCGATTGGTATAGGGAATGGACAAGAACACACTAAAGTTACTTTGCGATACGATTAGGCACGATTTCATATATCAATGGGCTATTGGCAAGATTCGGGTACGGACAACACTGATTGTGCTGCTTGGTTAATAGTTAGACTCACAGCCTCACCGGCACGAATCGGTCACACGGTCGTAATTGAGGAAGTACGGACTTGCATGTCGCTTCTACAGAAAGAACTACCAGATGTTGTATAATATATGCACGTGAAAAGTAGCAAAACGAAAATTGATCTTGAAATGGTATTACGACTGGAGCCCAGGCACCTTGCTGAGTCTATTATAGCCACTGCACAGCATCACCTCGGAACCAAGCGATCAGTCACCATGAGCACAGTACACCAGATTAGACAGCGCCTGCACCATCCCATTCAGAACAGACGGTCTAGTCTAACCCCTCAACAAGGATCTTCTCCCGCAGGTAAGTCGTTTTGTCAAGGACATAGGTCCCTGAGAATAAGTCTCCCAAATTTAATTTGGGATTAAAGGCAATCCATATTCTGTGTGTATACACAGAACCCGATGCAGACGACATCAACCCCATTCTCGCACAGAATGCCCCCCGCGGTGGCTTTTCATACTGCGTGACCCTAAGACGATTGCTTGTGTACTATGGCGCTGAAAAAACGACTGCCAGATAACGTTGCTTCCGGATCTGGCACATCATAGGGCGGAATTCTGTGCTGCATTATCTGTGTGCGGACAAACTATAACATAAGAAATTCTCTGAGAAAATTCGATGAAGCTAGAATAAGTACAAGAGCAGATATGTAAGTACCGAAAGATAACTCTTGTGAGGAACGATTTTGTCTGAAGTCATCTAGTATATGAATAGCCAGACAATTTACACAAGCAAAGGCATCAGCACTTGAACATTGAAAATAAAGGCCCTGACTTATCTATTCTAGAAAACGTACAAGGTGAAATGCTATCAAGCAAATGCATACGCCCGCAATTGCAGAATAACATTCCTTCATTTACCATGCACCAAGTTCAGAGCATGCCGCCAACAATCCTAATATTTGCGTCATTACTAGTTCAGGATCAAGTCTAATTTTCATCGTTCCGGCACTGGAAACCCATCAGTGAACATCCCATTCACTTATGCATGCCCAACAACATAGGCAAGCAGAAACAAAATCGTTTTCGCATTGGCTCGAGCGCGAATCCGTGCGACACGCGTACCTATTCTTTATGAGCTCACACTATATACAACATTTCAATCATCCATAACTCACTTCAGGCCTGTAAAGGTACCCTTGTACGAGTTGAACTTGGTGGGCGCCGGCGTGCGGCCGAAGATGCCCCCTCCGTGTAGGGGTTTTTGTTGGTCGTGAGGCCGTCCACGGCCTCGTAGCTGTCGTTGTAAGTGGCCCGGCGATTGATGCCATTGCCGAGGTCTTGCTTGTTGGCGATGCCCTAGTCGAAGTCAGGGCAGATGGCGAGAGTGGAGCCGGCGGAGGTGGGGGCGAGGAGATGGAGGTGAACTGCATCTTCATGGTGGAAGAGGTTGCGGACTAAATGAGGTGGGAGGATGCTTGGAAGGCTGCTGGAGTTTCTATGCAGAAACTTTGTAGTCGCTGTATGATGGTCGTATCCAGGTGGACTTCTGCCTGCTCTTAAAACGTAAGCTGATCCACTTATTCATTCAATCATCTGCGTATCATTTCAAGAAACATTTCTGTGCCTTCAACATGACGTCCTACGTTGTATAGTGGTTTATGCACGAATCTTAGGGATTGGAAAGCCTGCAAAACCTACAAGCTTACCTCCAGTGTCCGTCAGGGTAGCTCGGTTCGCCTGATCTGGAATGTTATGTTCATGTAAAATGTAGACTGGTTACGTGGCTGTTGCACGGATTGATTCCCTTTCCGAGTTTGAGGCTGAGGCTCCATTAGACTGAAGGAGAAACCGCATTGAACAAGACATCCAAATGATACCCAGGATTACCTTGCCAGTGTAACAAAGTTTTTCTGCTCCCTGTTTGGTGCTACGGCAATCGCCGGTGGATCTTCGATTCTTCAGGAAAAACCAGTTCGATGAAGCCTAGATCAACCTCCCCAGATGGTACTGATGGTCTATTTAACATTCAGCAATATGTAGCTAAGCGTTTGAGCGTATGAGAAGACGTCTGTCAACACAAATTCACAAAGAGATGTACGTCGCTGAGACTACGATCCATCCGAGCATGGAGATCAAAATGAGTTGATGCATCAACTAAACATAATGATGTAATGCAAAGAGAAAGTGGGGGCCATCACCGTCGTGGTTGCCTGGAAAAGATTGCTTATATAAGCTACACTAACCTGAGGAAACACCTCTGCAGGCGTGCGGCCTTATGATTGTTCACCGCACCAACACAATTTGGATCTGCTGATATACCGGCTGACTCCTTCTGGAACGATTACCGTGCTCGTCTGTAAGGTGCTCTTCAATTAAGAAGATCTGCCTAGCATCGAATTTCACGCAACACAGCAAACTCTCTACGATATCCAAGCACGTGCCGCCTGTTTGGATCCGTCTCTTATTCTGTCCTTGCGTACCATTGGCCACCGTCACCCTTAGGAGACACTTTGTCGACCACTTCGCCTCTACTTCCCAGCCAGACACCTCCCGAATTAGCTGAAGACCGTATCGAAACGAAAGGCATTGTAAATTTGCGCGAAATTTTTGACACTTGCACCGTTTACAGATAGGATGAGCGCATCATCCGAAGCAAATCTACGGTATGCCCAGGGACCGCATGAAGTGGAATTGGGTCGACAAGAAAGCTATCGCATCCACAGAGACCTCATACGCGAGATCATCGCCAACGACCACTTCGGTGGTGGTGAAGAGCAGGTGCCTGCAGGAACCGTCGATCAATGGGTTGCTGCGATAGAGCCTGGAAGTCAAGTTCCATTACCTCTCAACATCAAGGGATTTTACGGCGGCAGTCTTAGAGCTAGTATCCCGATCGAGGTTGCCCGCGGCTCATACAAGCACATCATCTATGAGACAGGAAACAAGGCGAAAGTGGATAAGTACGCGCGCCGCATGCTCATCGCACTATCTGTGCTCGACGTCGATGATCTTGCGCAGCGGGAACCGGTGCTTGGTGCCGCTGCATTGTGGCACGTAGCGTTGGCGCAGGTTCGCTTGCCTGAGTTTAGTGAGGCTTTGGGATCGACGCTACGGAGGTATGAGGCGGTGCGTCCCAAGGTGAATCTGACAGACTCCAAGATGCCTCAAGCTGCTCGTTTGAAGACACGTCTGATGTCAGTCGCCCAAGAACTCGACAATGAAGCCGCTTTAGCAACACTCAATTCATGGCTTCGCGACTCTTAAGTCCCCGCTCCCTGACATCGTTTCTTGACGGAGGTACTTCCTCTCGATCCCACGGATCTCATTGTCACCCTGTAAATCGATACCATCCTTCACATTCGCGATATCTCCCTCTACCCCAGCTATCCCACCATCTTCCAAAAATTTAGGAATGTCCTCCGCATTCCGTCCACCGCCGCCCGAACAGCATGGTTCCCTCAAGTGACCAAGCCCACCTTGCTTCGGTCTCCAACCTCCCGAAACGACAGCTGCGGATAACTCGTCGGCAAAATGACCTGGCATCCGCCCATTTAACGCCTCACAAAAGGCCACCATTCAGCTTCTTCACTTTACTATGCACCAGCACTGCTTCCGCACCCATGCCTTTGATGAGCGCCCCCATCGGCGAGGATTCAAGCACATCCGAGCTATATTTCAAGGTAGTAATCTCATTCTGAAATTCCTCAACCGAAACAAGCGGGTACCACCCTCCACTCCGCAAATCACTGTCCTTGAAAGATACTTTATCTTCAATAGCGGCCGCGGCCGCGCCCGTAGCCGCGAGTTCAGGGACGGCGTAAGGCGATATTCACAGCGTTACCGAGCAAAGGATGACCGAGGTCATAGAGGAACGCATTGTGTACCGTAGGGCGATGAACAGAAAGATTGAAGTTGAGATAGAAGAAACCAAAGAATAGGAGAGTCTTCAGCTATATTCCTTCACTTAGAGGATGTTGGCGCTACACCGCAATACAGTCGGGTCGTGGAGTGCCGTGTAGGCACTAGGCTCGGTCTCGTTATCGCGAGTGTCCGCGCGGGGCGCAAGTTGCATAATCCCAGAGCGCTAAAGGCTTCGTGGAAGTGAGTGTGTACCGCAGAGTGTGAATGTAGGCGTTTGGTTCGCTTCAGCCGCAACAGCTGAGACATATTCTGCAGGTGGCTCAACCCATCCACATTGCTTTTCGATGAGACTAGAACAGCAGATGCTGATTCTGAGACTCGCCAAAATCATTTTGCATTAAAGGCAAGGTGACAGAAGCCGACGCGTGGTGGCTCTTTGATACCTTTGGCATTGCGCATCCTCGTCTTTGCATGCTATAGCTCCTCTTCAAAGGGGCTCATGAGCAACGCAAGACTTATGCTCTTGACTAAGCAACTAACAGCCGAGTCGCAAACGAAACTATCTCTATCCTTTTCGGAACCATGGATTGCGAACTGCGAATGCAAACAGTGCTTGTACGCCAGAGGAATTGCGAACTGCGAACGCAGCTAGGGTAGCGCGGCTGCATTCAAACTTAGCAACCCTGGCCACGCCTTGTTCATACCGCGAATTCTCAGAGTCGAAGCAAGGCTGAAATTGCACAGAACTAGATGGGGCTGTACTCTCATGATCTCTGTCCCTTGCATTGTGCGAGCATATCACAGCACGTTGTGCGGTTTGACCAAAAAGCTCCGCCGGAGCTCAGTGTGACCGGATGCGCCCTACATCGGACTTCACTTGTTCGCAAGATAATATAATAAAGCACCTGCTACACTGCGTGCTTGCAGTAAGATGAATCGTGCCTTGATCTAAAGATGCTCGTTCGGCCAGTGGTTGCTCACATGTTATCATTCTTGTGGTCGGATGGTGGTCCGAAGGCCCGACGTGGATCGCTAGCCGCCATTCTAGCTGCTCGCACCACCAATAGAAATGATTTCAATCTACCCCACCAAAAACTCGCCCCTCACAAGGAGTTTTCTTCTCAGTTGTTGATAGAATGCGCGGAAAGTGACATACTCCACTCAGCGGCGTCGCTTTAATTGATAGCATTATATATTCTAACTTTCTTCAAGCCACCATCAATCACGGCTCGGTGGTGTAGTTGGTTATCACGTCAGTCTAACATCCTGTTAGGCCACTGAAGGTCCCGAGTTCAAACCTCGGCTGAGTCACTCGATTTCGATTGTCTTACATTCTGCGTTCGATTCGCAGCTTGTCTTTTTGCGCTCGTTGTAGAGCCTCATTTGTCTGCTCAGACAGTGTCTGCCTCTTCATGCACGGCATGTACAAGACGAGTGACACTCCAATACATAAAAGTTTTCTTGGGTTATTTATGTTGGGGTCTTCTCTTTTTGTGTACCGGAGCAGAACTGACATCGTCTTTTCCCCGGTGATGTGGGCCCTCTCGATCGCACGAGCAAGGCCCAATGATCCCTCTACTCTCGTGAATTCTCGAACCCCACTCTCTGCCACATCGTACTCCCCAATGGTGTTTGCATCGCTTCATTTGTCTCATCTTTCGTACCATTTGCCTTAATCTAAGCCAGTTAGTGTAGTTCAGTTCATACAGCAGATGACCTACACTTATCAAGATACACTTCCCTCTGTACCTCTCCACAACAGGCAGAGTCTCGACCTCAAACTTCGCAAAGCGCTTGTCAAATTTCTCCTCGCTGTACTCGGCATCTCGTGCTCGGCCTAAATACCATGCCCTCGCAATCTCTCTCGTAACGTCAAAGAAGAGCATGATATGCGGCACTGGTCTCATGCCGTCGTGAGAATCTTCGTTTGTCTCCAACGACAAATCGTTCCGGGCAGTCCCCATATCGAAAAACTCCAGCTGCTGTATACAGCGTGGATATCTATCAAACATAACACCTGTAACATTTGGCCGAGTAGTATGATAGCGCCTCTGATGGCATCAAAAAGGGTTGAGGTCTTGGAGCTCAGGAAGCCTTGGTAGTCCAGTTTGTCTTCAATACTAAGCGCGAGGTGAGTGTGGCGGTTCTTACGCGTCCACACGCGCAGGTTGTCGTCGACGGAGTAACGTACGAAGTTGAATTGTTTGGGAAGTCGAGTATACGAGATACCCTTGCCTGCTCTTGGGGCTCCTGAAGCTAATCAGCGACGCACTAAGTGGATGTGTCATATTTACTTACCCAAGACACATACGATAGCGAGTCTGCGAGTTGTGCGGATCTAATTCGGAATGGTGATCATTTCAAACTGTTGCAACGACACCTGGTAAAGCTTAATGCGGTGGTAGATACGCCAGACTAGCTGGTATTAGCCCTTCTTGCGCAGTCTTTGATCAAAGTTACAGTCGGCTCCGACAGTTTTATTTAGGCCACCGACACCCGCCGCGTGATGAAGGGCTTGTGGGTACGTGATGCTCAAGCGAAGACGTTGTTGAGAGCAAATACGTAAGACCTTCTGGATAGACATGACTTGAGGTTCAGGTAATGGAGAAGGTGCCGTTATGAGAGGTTCGGAAGGTGCGAACTAGTCTTTTGTGGTAGCACTCTTTCCACCATTTTGTTCATCCGCGCAACATACCAGTAATCAGCTGAGGTCTACGAACAAGTCTGAATGTGATTTGCTCCCTATTGTTCCATCACTCACTCAATACTCACTTGGCTGCCAGCGTGACCTGACTCCAGCAGGTGAAACCGCATCTTGCCAGCGCGTCTTGTTTATATCGCTTTAGGACTTCGCCCTTACTTGGCTACGGCATACCCGGACATCACTTAACACAACATAGTCCCAATTCCCAATATGGGCGTAGAAGAACAGGGGCGAATTTCAAGGACTTGGGCGCTGAAAACCATGTATCAACGTATGAATGGAAGCGAGATGAAGATTGTGAGGGGAAATTGCAAAACTCATGAGTACGATGTCATGTCGGGCTTGCAGGAGGTGGTGCGGGCGTAAGTCATGAATGAGCTGCCTTGAGATATCAAACGAGTTTAGACATCATGTAGCGAGGTATCGCGGGATTAGCCTCCCATACACGGAGATCAAAGCCTTTTTTAGATCGACCATAGTGATTCAGACTGTGTAGACTTCACAGCTCCCTCTAAATCTCAGAAGCCTCAACCCGAAACATACTCTCCACAACACCCCCCTCAACCCCATACCTCCCAACTGCCTCTCTAATCGCCTCCTCCACACCGATTTCTTTCACCCCACACATAGCATTCTCCGTCATCCCCTCCAAGTTGTTCCCACAGTCCCCCTCATAGAATTGATTGCTGATGGCGAACCCCCTCATCGCCGTTTTCACGTCGCCCCTCGCCAGCGCCGCCTTCGCAGCCCTATTGATCGCCGCGACATCCACGTGAGTGACAGTGAACTTTGCGTCTAGGACAGTCTCCAGGGCGGCAAGGAGGACGTTCTGCGTTAGAGCGCCGGGCGCGAAGGGGCAGATGTAGATGCCGCGGTTGAGCGCGGGGGAGGGGTTGCGCAGAATATTGGCGGCAGCTACGGCGATGGTCGGAAGGGGCGTCCACCAGAGCGGGTTGGTGCCTTCGCCATAGATGCGAGCTTGTTTGTTCTTGACGTCAAAGCCCGCGGGGCCTTTCATGAGCCCTGTGATCCTTGGTCAGCAAGTTCATCTCGGTACAGAGAGATAGCGTGAATGTAAGAAGCACATACACATATCGAAGAACGGCCCGCCGTTCAGCGCCGTCCACGCAATCTTCCCCTCCCCCACAAGCTGCGTGAGATACTCCCGCACCCTAACCTTAGCCCCAGCGGCCGCCTCAGGCAGCCGCTTGAACTGCTCGCTCCCCACATTCCCCGCGAACTCGTTCGCGAAGAAGAACTTCACGCCCGCGGCAACAGCCGCATCAATGATGCGCACCGAGGGCTCGTACTGCGTGGCCCCACCGGTGATGCAGTTTACGACCGCGTCCTGGCCGGCAAACGCATCCGTCAGGGACTCGAGGGAGGCGTAGTCGACGGCCTTGACAGCGATGTTGGATCCAGGGGGCGCCGTGTAGGTCGATGACGTGCGCGAAACAGCGGTTATCGTGAATTGGTCCGGAATCTTGCGGAGCTCGGCGATGAGAGCGGTGCCGACGTTGCCGCGGGCCTTGTTTGTTAGTATATCGTTGTTTTACCCCGTTGCCGATGCTCTTGACCGACATACTCCCAGAATGATGATGTTCTTGATCTCCATCTCTTCAAATCTTGAATTAAGCGTTGCTTTCGAGGTTTCTTGTCGTGTTCCGAATGTGTTGATGATGAAAAGTGTACTGGGAAACTCTTGAACTTATATGTCTGTAGGGCAACAAGATGGAACGAGGCCGCTGTGGGACTGTGATTGGCGCCTTGCTGCCTGGTTGATGCCTAGTCGTTGCCTTAGCCTGCAAGCCCGAACTTCGTCCGCACAGCAGCGGCAATCTTCATAGGATTGAATTCGTTGTGATTTGTCTTTTTGAGTAGCTGCCAATAACCTAACTGCCGTCCACAGTAGCTTTCCCTCCAGCCCTTGTGCGTTTGGTTTCCCGAAGGAGCATCCAACCACGCCGTACCTTCGCCAAGCCTACGAGGAGCTCGATCTACTCAAGAACAGCGCGACTATCGCTAACTTAGCACTGCACTGCATAACAACAAGATTACTTCTTCTTATTTACATAGGTGCAATAGAAGTAATTCTCTACCGTTGCCCTTTCATATAAGAAGTAGTAGCATCATCCTAGGGTGCACTGCCATGTTTGCGCTATTCCTCAGTGAGAACGCGCTCCTCGAAGTCCCCGCCAGCTCGCTTCGCTCGACAAGGCTGGCCCTGCCTAAAAGTGGGTCGAAATCTTGGCAAAACTTTCTGCCGTTGGAATTTTGGCGGGACCTTTACGCCCACCGTAAACACCATAACAACGCAGCCTCTTTTCGCTCACATACCACACAAATCTCTTAGATCGCACAGATAATTCCAGTGCCGGAATTCGCAGAACGTTGTCTCGCATCACGATCGAAAGAAACCACACCCACAAGCCCCCCATCAACCCGCCAAAATGGGCAAGACAGCCAAACCCAAAGCCCGCCGTACGTCTTCTCCCACTCTACCCCCTCCCGCCCTTCTAAATACTCCCCCGCAGAAATATCCACCCACTCCCGCGCCGCCCGCCGTGCCGCATCCCCCTCCCTCGATGCGCCAACAGCCGCAAAGCCCTCCAACCTCTCCCGCACACGCTCCACATCGCCCGACCACAAGACCACCAAACCGCACATCCTCGCCGCCTCCACCGGCGCCGGCATTAGCAAGGCCAAATCCCCCAAGGCGAAGCCCATGAAACGAGGACAGAGACTGAGGGCGCTCGAGGCGGCAGAAAAGGCTGAGGCGAACGCCGAGAAGCTCGCGCTCAAGGTGGCGAAGAGTTTGGGACGGGAGAAGAAAGTCAAGGAGAGGCGGAAGGGTTGGGAGGATATCAACGAGGCTAAACGTAAAAAGGCTGCCAAAGCCAACGCCTTCGGTGCGTTAGGCGGAGACGACGACGATGAGGTGAAGGGCGGTGGGGAGTGGGAGACGCTCGGGGACGAAGTGATGGATGGGGCGGATGCTGAGGGCGTGAATGAGGATTCGGTGGTTGAAGGGAAGGTGGATGTGGATGTGGCGGCGGGGCTGGCTTGTACGTCGAGGGAGGACCCAAAGCTGCAGGCGATGCCGCTGCCGGATGACGATGTTGACCCCGACCTCTGAAGCTGGGAGAAAGGAGGCGTCAGTACCGTGAGAAAGAAGTCATGAATTATGCCCAAACGGGGCAGAATGAATAAGAGCGGAGTGAGCGAGAGTGGACGTGCGATGGTGCTTGGTTGGAGAGCCAGTCGCATATGCATAATTGATAGATATCATGATACCCATTCCAATCGCCAAATTCTTGCTGAGCCTGCCTTCTAACCCCCCTCCTCATCCCAATGCAATGCTACCCGACCCATCAGATGCACATCTACAAGAACTTCCCAACTACTCCTGTGTATCCGGCAAGCTTACGCTCTCGCTCCCCTCTTGTGTACCAGCTACACTCGTACTCTCGCTCCCCTCCGCCGCCGGCTCCCCAAATCCCATACCAGCCCATCCATCTCCTGCCGTACCCATCACCAGCGTGCGATTCACTTCTGCGCCAAACCACCTCTCCCTCCTCTTCGTGTCTCTCGATCCGCCCTCGAGCGCTGTGCGCGCTGCCCTGGTCGTCCTCTGTCTCTTACTTCCGCTCCTACCACCCTCTGAAAGCAGATTACCCAGACGAATGCGCTGCGTCTCGATAAGAAGCTCGCTCGCGACAATGCTCCGGACATATGGCGCGAGATCTTCAGCGACGATGTGGAAGGTGCGGTCGAAGGACGAGGCCGTGAGGTTGTACGAGGTGCCGAGCGCGGGGAGTGAATCAGGCGGGAAGGCGAGGAGGTCGAATGCGCGGGAGAAATCAGGGCGTGACAGCTGGGTTTCCTGGGCTTGGCGGGCTTTGTGGGCGAGGATGGCAGAGGTGAAAGCTTGCTCGGTATCGGGGATAGACATGGCTTGTCTCGCGTCAGGAATTGGCCCTCCGCCGTAGGCGCGTTGGATCTGCAGTTGAGTTTGGGTAAGCATCCTTGTATCGAAGTGGCTAAAGTCGGTTGTATGGTCAACCTGCAGCACCGGCGCGGCAAGGGTGTAATTCATACGAGCTTTGTCGGTGAGACGCGGCAACGATGGATCAGTGCGTTCTTCAAAGTAGTGCGCGTAAGACGGCATTCCAGCGAAGCAGAATACGTCGGTCGCGCTGGTAGAGTCTATAATGGCCTCGAGGCGTCTGAGCTCATCCACTCTACCTCTGCTCTGGTCCTCGGATACAGATCCGACAGCATAGTGACCACTCCATTCGTTGGGTTTGACATCCCATTCTTCCCACGTCTCCACGAGAAGCTCCTCCGTGCGGTCGAAGCCGACGTGATCATGAGACTGAAACACGTTGTGAGAAAGGCAGCCCATGCCCGGCACGTACGTCCCTTCGCTGGCTACGCGAAGCGGTCGGCCGCTCTCATCCACGTCTTTGCCGGGTGGCCATCGTTGGTAGATCCACTCCAGCCCACCCTTCCGGTCGCCAACGGACATCTGACACCAAAGATTGAGCTCAGTAATGCTGGCTCGGAGATCACAATTCTTCAATCGATAGAGGGCGGAAACGGCGTCCCGCCCCAGAATATGGCCTTCGTGGCCTGCCATTGCGACCATGTAGTCGGTCGCGAGGGACACGGGAGGGGGCGACACCCGCAGAATCGCGGCCAGGGGGAGTTCATGCATTGGAATGAGAGTTTCATTTGTACAGGTGATGATGATCGGTCGCTTTGAGTGGGATGCCAGTTTCGTCACTTGCGTCCAAAATCCTTGGTCTTCATCGTACAGGATATCAGCTTCCTCAAATAGAATTAGCGACTGTTTCTGCGATTGGCGTTGCGACTGGCCAAGTGGTAGAGTAGCCTGTCCGGACAACGTTGCTTTCTGCGTGGGTTCTTTTGGCTTCATTTTCGGGTTTGGATTCTCCGCAACTGGGCCCTTAGATTTGAAGAAGGACATTGCAGTGCCTTGTCGTCCACTATTCAGATCTTTCTGCAGAGCATCGCTATGACGTTCAGTATCAGTGTCATCCGCTGGTGTCGCTTCTGGCCTCGCAAGTGTCCTGCTCCGGTTGTGGCTAACTAGATGGTTCGCAGTCATATCGCCGACCTTGTCTTGGATATCTTTGCCGGAACGGCGGCTGCCGGAGTGAATCTCGAATATCTCAAAACCCAGGTCTTTGGCCACAGCCTGGACCATAGCACTCTTTCCGCAACCGTGCGGCCCACTGATGAGCACAACGTTCTTGTTCCGGGTCCAACGAGCTCGTCTTTCAGAGGCCGGCGCGAAAGTCGTTTCATGGTTCTCCGAGTCCTCCTGATATATCTCAATCATTTCCTCCTCTTCCTCTTCGTCGCTATCGACGATGAAGTCATCTTGGACAGTCTTTCTCTTCTTTTTGGGTGGCTTTCCAACAGCTTTCTCACCGGAGTGCTTTCCACTTACAGCCAGAACAGTAAGGTTTTGCAACCAATCCTTCAGCGTTGCAGGCTCTTTGCCAAGCTGTAGAACGTGCGAGGTGATTTTTGGGGCGTACTTCTGGACCCAAGCAAGAGGTTCGCATTTGCCTAGATCAAACGCCGTTAGATTGTCCTGGATGCCAGCGAAGAGTGCGCTAACTGCCGGGTGAGCGCTGATTCCCCGTTCCGATGAGGTTGAAAGTGACGCAATTTGTGTGCGGATCCTTTCTTGTATGTTGACCCCCGTGGTCAGCAAGCGTGTGGGCAGGCGCACATCCTCGGGCGGTGCGAAATCGAATTGAGTTGCGTCGTCATGCTTGTGAATTGACGGTTCCAGCTGTGCTGCCAATCTCGATATCAAATTCTCTTCCGCTGAGACTGCGATAACCCTATTTTTCAGTTTGCGAGCTTTCAGAAGAGGCATTCCTAGCGATGTTGAGTGCTCTATTGGAGCGACGTCCAGATTGCGAACGTGTGCAATGTCCTTCGCCGGCCATGCCGCATCAATCAGGCCAGCTTGTTTTGGATGGCGATTAATTCTCTCTCCAAAGGCCGGCGGGCCGACCGAGGAGTGGAATCCTCGGCTCTCAAGCTTGAGCTTTCCGGGTGTCACCGCACTCTTTTTATGGGCTCCTGGAGATGGCAAAGGCTGGTTGACTACAACTTGCTCACTTGCTGCTTCGTCGGGTTTGGGCGCGGCTTTCCCGAGGAAGAAAGGATGCGTGGGTTTGGGCGGTCCGGAGGGCTTTAGAGGTGCTTTCATTGGTGTTACTGGACGAAGCGTAGGTTTCTCGCCCCTGAGAATTGCCTCGATTTTCTCGCCGATAATGCGTCGACTATCTGCGTTTCGTCCGTATCGAACAACCGTGACTGTCGGTATGGCCTTGAGCTTCGGTTTTCGGTGTCGTCGCTTGTTGGGGGGTGTTGTTTCCGACTCTGCCCCTGGAGGAGGACTTGACACAAGTTTTCCGCTCCGGCTGATCTTGATCTTCTTTTTCGGGCTCGGTCTGCTGGTCGATGGTTTGGAGACTAAGCCATGGGCACCATTGGTACTGGGTTCGAGCGCGGCATGGTTCGGCGGTATTGCAGGTCGACCGTGTTCATTTGCAGGAACGTTTTCGATATCGCTGTTTGGAATGTTTTCAGAATTGGCAAGTGTGGTCTGAGGTGCTGTAGACAGCCCTGCTTGGAGCTCAAGCTGCTGTTCCCAATCCAGTCGCGCATCTTCAGAGACCTGGTCGGGTAGAGTACCACGCTGTGTTGGAGACGGAGAGTTTGTCTTCCTTCGCTTCCGTCTTTCTTGGTTCGGATCTTCCTCTAGATTTGGTTCCTCTGAAATTGCCTCAGTACCCACTTGCGCGTCTTCTCCAGCAGGTTGACCGCGCGCCGGCTTTGTAAACCTCTCCATCAGCGACTGGCTTTTCGCTGCAAGGTTCTCTTTCTTCTTGTTCGCGCTGCCAGGTTTCCGCCCTCGCTTCTTTTGCCCTTTCCCCGCCTTCTCATGTTGCTCGTAGTCGGGGTCATCGTGGGCGTCATCGGCTGCAGGCTCGATCGCTGGCGGTTGCTGCTCAGGCGCATTGTGTTCTGAGCAAGTCAGTTGTTTTGTGGGAGTAGTGTGATTGCATGATACGCACTGTTGGCTTTGGAAAAGAATGGATGCACGTGCTGCTTCTCCTCCAGATTCATTGCGGTCTGCACCGCAGTGAGGGCCATTTACAAGTGATAGCTACCGGAGCATAGTATGAAAGGATCGACAATTGGAGGAGGAGGGTTGAATCGAGGAGGATGTGGTTATGCGTAGTATGAGTGCAGTCGAACTGTCGAGGTTGGTGAGAGCGGAAAGTGAAGGCATTAAGCAGTGGCAGTCGCGTTCCCGTACGCGACTTCCCGCCTGACGCGCTCTCACGCCCTTAGCGTTGCTGCACAAATCAGCCAATCACAGTGCTGCATTCGACTCTGAGAGGCAGGGTGCATCTCGATGATTTCACTTCAGCACTGAGGTACATTAGTCAGTTCCAGATCCATATCCGTGGGTTCTTCAGACGTTCTTTGCAGTGGTTGTTCGCATTGCCTCCACGTTCGAGTCGAGCGGTGCAGCGGGCAACCGAGCGCCAAGACTGCGGTCCATTTTCACCGCCGGCAGAAAAAGAGGCCCGCGATCTCGTTCGTCTGAACTGGAACTTTTTTTGCGACAGCTTGCGCACCGACTTAGCAGCGCAAGAACGACCCACGCAGACTCTGAGCGAGCTGCAACGCTCCGTCTGGCAAAACTATGTCGTCCGACCAGGAAATTGGCGCGCCCTTCACGCTGGCTTCATTGCCGCACTCAATAAGCTCCCGCGACGGGCGCACACATGCTGCCAGCGTCTGCAGCATCAGCGGCAACAAGAAGAGGAAGCGGACCGAGATTGCGATTGGACTGGACGGGGAGGGGATTTCAATCTATAGTGTGGGTGTGCACCATCAGCCACTGCGACTACGACTGACGAGCAAAGCTGCAAAACCCTCAATTAGTTACTTCGTACGCTCTGCCGCCGCAGACTTCCTTCGCATCCGCTCCGTTCTCCGTATATCACAAGGGCTCATCCAAGAGAGCCTCCCACCGCTACACGTATGCATTTGTTTCTCAGAACACACCGGGCGCAAAACCTCACCTCGTGTGCTTCGCTGAAGAGATCCGCAAAGACTCCACCGCGGACACAGTCAAGACAACTTATACGCCGTCGGACACCTCGCAGAGGATCGTATCTATCGATGTCGTCCCCGTCCCCGCTGGAGCATCTCAACAGAATACGTCACACGAAGTCCTGGTCATCTTTGGAAATGGCGATGTTATTTGCCTGTCATCCGACCTTGAGGTGGTGAGATGGGTCGCAAGCATCTCTAACCTCGCACTATCCTCAAAAAATGCTTTTGAGATTGAGCATGCATCCATCAACCCGGCAAGAGCTCTCACCCGCGGCTTGTTGAACAACCGCGGAGACATAGTCGCCGTTCTGAACCCTTCGTTGGACGAGAAGTCAGACCTTCTGGATCTCACTCATGTCATGTCTGTGATTGGCCGCGAGGCGGATGGTCGCAGGATGGTCGCTCTGTTCCAACTCCAACCTCGCTCGCCCGATCTCTTATCTAGCCGCCTACCGCCGCTGAAGCACCTCTCCGCTTGGGAACTACCAGCATCGAACTTGGGATCTGCACCTGAAGCTGGAACCCACCAATTTGTCATCCATGCGAGCAACGGAACTATTCACTGCCTGAGCAGCACCGGACTTGTTAGCTATGATTTCTCTGGAACCGTTCCAAAGATCTCATCCGAACTGAGCAAATCCACTCTCCCCGTCGACTCATTCCTGCGCATCTCACAAGACCTGTTGCTTACAACTTCGCAATCAGCTTGCCAAATCGTCAACGTCAAGTACAACTCCGTCCACGCGGAGCGATCGGTCGAAACGAGCACCCAAAGCCCTACAAAAGAAGGCCGAAAGCGAAAGCACACTGGACCCGAATCTGAAGAGTCCACATTGAAGGCTCCTGCATTGATTGCCTACTACGCTGATCAAGGATTAGCTGTGGGTACTTGGAACAGCGAGCTTGTTGGGTTCCAACTTGGCGAAAGTACCAGGCGCAAGCGCGTGAAATCGCAGGGCGCCCGGCTGATCGATTCGCTTGGAAGGGGCATTGCAGCAAAAACAGAAAACGATCAAGAGGACATGGCAAAATGGCGAGAGCGAGTTCCTAAACTTGACAAGTACGCCCGCAAGGGAGAAGTCGCCAGGTTTGAGGAGATTTTTGCAGCCGAATTAGGTGTGAAACTCGAACCCGGATCTGGAGCTGAGGAAAAGCTAGTCAACGGAAACGAAGTGAACGGGACGAATGGAGAGCCAAGCTCCGACCTTCCACGCAAGTGGATACTTTCCAAGATCCTTTCGAAGACACTGTCCGCGGCCAAGCGATCTCGACACCAACAGTATGCGGCATACGCGTTGAGCAGGATATTTGAATGGGTAGATTCGCCCTCATCACACGGTCCGAGCGGATACTTGAAGGTCCAATTCTTCCCTCCCAATGTGTTCGAATGGCTCATGCATTCTGGAAACCTTACGAAAGAATCCATCCGCCGCGCTCTCCTAGACGACCCCTCCACCAATCTTGGCATCACCACGCCCTTCCGCGATGGCGACATCGTTCGCGCTGTTGTAAATTTCGACCCAGAGCTACATATACTCTCAGCAATCTTGAACCACAGCCACTTTTTGCCGGTGGGCGAAGTGGTCCAGGCGGTGAAGTTTCTGATGCAGAGCCTCGACGACCAGCCCAAGCCTGAGAACACCAAGCTGCTCACAAATGGGGCCGAAGCGAATGGAACTTCCATGGACGTGGACATTGCGTCGGAACTAGACGCGGCATCGCATGAAATAGATCGTGCTTTGGCAATGCTTGACAATGGACTGGCAATCATGAGTGGCACACTCCGACCAGCGCTGATGCGCCTCCACACATTCTCCCCGAACGCCATCAGCTCCACACTACGTACCATGCTTTCGCGACACGATCTCGAATCGTTGATCAAGGTGCTTCACTACGAGCTGAAGAACGGTGGCTGGACCGCTCCCTACGACTTCGGCGATTCCGACGAAGTCGAGAGCGAACCCTCCTCCGAGGAAATCGACGACAGCGCAGTCGCCATCATCGCTTCTCTCCTGAGCTGCACCCTCGATGCCATCGGCCCAGCCCTCTGGCTCACCTCGGTGGGCGACACCTCGACCGACGAGCTCATCCAAGAGCTGCGCGAAGACGCCGAGGAAGCCCTCACCGGCTTCTGGGAAGCACGCTACATCCGCGGCATCCTGAGCGAGCTCCTACGGTACAGCTCGCAGCTGCCGAAATCGCAGAAGCCGAGCAGCAAGGCGCTTGAGAAGCAAGGCAAGCCGTTCGCGCTCGACACCAAGCTCAACGAACTGCCCATACTGCCGCTGGGCTCGAAGCCAGATCTCGGCATCAAGAAGACGAAGGCGGGCAAGGGCGGACAAAGAAAGGAGCGCAGCGCAAGGGAGATGGGGATGCTGATCAGCAAGCGCGTGCCCAAGTACAGCTTCGAGAGGATTGCGATATAGATAGACAGTGTAGTTACAAGGTGCATACGAAGACAGTGAAGATCCCATTTTCCAGCCGCTACATTCAAGGCCTTCCTTACCATGACACTAGTGCATACGAAGGCGCTCGCTTGGCCGCCTATTCAGGTAGTCGCGTGCGCCTTGCTTGCCGCATCTAAGTAGGCGGCCCCATACGGATGCTTAATTCCCCCTCTGTGGCGATCCCCTAAGCTTACTCACGCACGCACGGCAACGCTCTGCTCCAAGTGTCTCAGTCAGCCAGCACGGTGTTCACGCGCCCGCCGAGGTGATGCCGCGCTAGCATCGCGCACCCACTAATAAGGCAAAGGTATATGACGGCGGTGGGCGTCCGATGAAGCTAAATTAGTTTCGCTGGGACGTTGGACGGAGGGTCGGGCATCGCGTCCTGGGAAACCGTTTCGAGCACGGCGTGTATGCTGCTGCGCTGCACACTCTTTCCCTTACGTTTTCGTTCGCTTCTTCCACAGTCTTGTCTGAATAGTAGCGTTGGTAGCGCGATTGAGATGCGCGATGGAAGCTGTGGCGTCTAGCAGCTCCGAGAGAAACGGAAAAGAGGAGGATGTCAACACCACTGGGGAAGAAGCGGTGCGCGCGCGGAGCAATGCGAATGGCCACGCCACTGCGAACAGCAAGAGCTCGGAATCAGAAGACGCTCCGCAAGAGAAGAAACCCTCCATCCTCGCGCGGATCAATGCAAAGCTCATGCTGGACATCCCCACGGTCCTGATGATGCTCAAAGGCGGTTTGCCCCCCGTGATCGCCCTCTCCATGTATCAGGCCAGCGACATCGCAAAGACCTACGCCACGCTGGGGTATCTCATGGCCATTGTCTCCATCCTGGGGTTCTGCATCATGCCGCGCGCAAAGTTTATACAGACGATGACAGTCAATGTGATTGCGGTGTGCGTAGCATCGGCGATGGCGATGCTGCAGCTGTGGTCGGGCGTCCAAGCGCGCTTGCACACGACGCCGCCCGGGCTGCCCCCCGCGCGGTATCGCTACAATTCGTCGCAGTCAGCTGTATGCGGCATCTGGCTGTTCTTCCAGATTTGGATGATCAACTCGATCAAAGCGAAGTTCCCGCAGTTTGCATTCCCATGCGTGCTATACTCCATCTTCGCGAACGTGGCGAGTACCAGTGGCGCTATGTACCAAACGACGGCACAGGCCGAGGTGTTTGTGCAGAGGCTTCTGGAGGCGTTCCTCACGGGGTTTGCGATTGCGACGGCGGTATCGCTGGTCGTGTTGCCACTGTCGTGTCGGAAGGTTGTGACCAAAGAAATCACAGGATACGTGGGCGCGTTGAGAGGCGCGTTGAAGGCGCACAAGGGGTACTTCACGAGCTTGGAAACTAAAGATATGTTCAAGCAGACGATGACGAACCTGGAAGAGCCGGAGGATGGCAAAGAGAAGATAGAGGAGAAGATTCGACCCGAGATCACAGCGGTCAGGGCTGCGACTGCGGCTATCACGCAGCTGCACGGGAAGCTTAATGCGGACCTGCCATTCGCAAAGCGGGAGATTGCGTATGGGAAGCTGAAACCGGAGGATTTTGAGAGCATATCCAAGAATCTCCGTGCGATCATGATGCCTCTCGTTGGCGTGGCGTCTGTCATCGATATCTTTGAACGCCTCGCGGAACTGAACGGCTGGGAGAAGGAGCTGGAAGAGGAAATTAAGCAGAGTGTTATGGATGACTGGCACCACCTGATGACTTTCGCCCATGACCCGATGCAAAACATCCTCGACACCATGGACCAAGGCTTGGAGCACATCGCGTATCGCCTCCAGCTCGTCAATTCACCCAAGACGAAGAAAGGCACCGACACCGAAGCAACGGGGGACATGGTCCGTCCGGGAGACAAAGAATTCGCAGTGCACTTCGAAAAGCAAAGCGACGAGTTCTACAACGGCAGAGACAAGATCCTGCGCCATTGGCTCGAATCGAAGGGCTACAAAGTTGACGACAACTTCTTCGACGACCTGAAAGAAGACGCGGAATCGCAGAACCTGAAGCTGCACCAGCTGGACGCCTGCCACCGCGAGCAGCGCCAGCTTTTCCTCGTGCTCTACATCGTCTTCCTGCTCCACTCCGTCAGCGACGCCATCTTAGATTTTGTGAAATGGGCCGACGACCACGACCAGGCCACCGCGAAGAAGAAGTTCATCACACCCGGCAAGAAGCGCTTGAAGAAGTGGATCGCCAGCGTTTGCTCGACACAGGACTCAAACGACGACGACGAGAGCACGAACGTAGGCTTGAACCGCACCAACGTGGTCGTACACATGGGCGAGGCCTACAAGGGACGAAAAGATCCAGAACACGAGCCGCCTGAAAATGCCTGGGAGCGGTTTGGCGACTTCATCCGTAGCATCACGACGTTTCTGCGCTCCCCTGAGTCCACCTTCGGATTTCGCGTCGCGTGCGCCACAATGTCCATAGGTATAGTTGCGTACCTCGCCGACACGCAGCTCTGGTTTACGCGGCAGCGTCTCGTCTGGGCGATGCTCATGGTCGCCCTCGGCATGACACCGACGTCTGGGCTCTCCATGTTCAACTTCTTCTGGCGCATCCTCGGCACGCTGGTCGCGATGCTAGCAGCCTGGCTCGTGTGGTACATCCCCGACCGAAAGACCCCCGGCATCCTCGTCCTGACCTACCTCTTCATCAGCGCCGGCCACTGGGTCCCGCTAAAGCGCATCGACCTTGTCATCCCCGGGCTCATCTCCATGGTCACCTGCGTCATGATCATCGGGTACGAGCTGCAGGTGCGCAAGCTCGGCGAGGCCGTTGCCTCCTCCAACGGGCAGCCCGTTTACAAGATTATCGTTCTCGGGCCGTACCGTCTCGCCTGCGTGGTAGGCGGCATCGCCGTCGCGTTCTTCTGGACATTCATTCCCTACCCGATCACCGAGCACTCCACACTGCGCACCAAGCTCGGGGGATCGCTGTATCTGGCTGCGAATTTGTACTCGATCATGCACGAGACGGTGATGGGCCGGATTCGCGGGGATGGAGGTGACCCAGCAGACAAAGACTGCCCCGCGTATCAGCTCGAGAAGGCGCGAAACAAGGTCTTCGCGAAGCAGATGCTCACGCTGCAGGCGCTGCGGCAGCACTCGGCGATGGTGAACTACGAGTTTCCACTTGGAGGAAAATTTCCCAAGAAGGAGTACGACGCCATTATCGGCTGTGTATCAAAGTGCGTTCTCTCCCTCTTCCCCTCTCCCACCTCCCACTCCCATGAACCAATTCTTCGAGTGGAAAATGCTAACGCGTGTGTTTGTGTGCGCATAGTATAACCCAATACACCGCGCTTCTCAACCTCGCCTCCCGCACCTTCGCCCATCCATCATTAGTCAACAGCGACGAGAAAGATCCGACTCGCCTGCAATGGTTCCACGATTTCCGCCGCGTCATCGCCGCCTCCAACATCTCCTCCCACGAGATCACCTCCCTCCTCAGCATGTACGTAATCCCAAACCTGGCCCCTAAGCTCGCCATAAACCTTACACATGGCCCTGCCCCTAAACATTCGCTTTTCACATCGACCCTGCTCACTTCCTCCTAGGCTGTCCTCCTCGGTGACCAACTCCGTGCCCCTACCACCATACCTCGCGCCACCCACGGCCTACGCCTTGTCGTCAAAATTGGAAGCCCTAGACAGGGATATTTTAAGCTTGAAACATATCAGTGAACCGGGGTATGCGGCATTCGCGGTGATCCAGATCAGTACGCGGTGTATTCAGATGGATGTTGAGAGGTTGCTGGGGAGAGTGAGGGGCTTGGTTGGGGAGCTGGATTTTAGCTTCCATGTTGTTAGTACGAGGGTGGGTAGTGAGGAGACGCTGGTCGGAGGGCGGAGGAAGGAGGACTAAAAGCCCGGACATGCAATTTGCATCGTGCGTTTTTGATTCAAGCGTGCATTAATGAATATAGTGGGATTTACATATGATGGTGTTTTCTCAAAGGGTGCTGTTGAGATGGCTGGTGACGGTCTGGCGGTAGAACTGTACGAGGGATGTTCATGGACGAGGCTTGGAAAGACATGGGAGGAGCTTTTGTGATGCTATTGTGTTTCCTAAGTGTTGTGATCGTAAATCCGACCCTGCGTTTGACGGAGTCGAATGGGGTAATTTGTCTCTACACTGATAAGCCATGATCGTCACTTTCATCTTGCACGTGCCTGGTTCCATGGAAGGCGCGCTGACCCGATGTTGCAGGATTCAAATGATCGCGCTATCACCTTCCAGTGGATCAACGATCTTTCTGTTCTCACCTCTATGCAACTCATTTGCCCCTCTCTTACCATCTTATGCGAACACAAGGGCATCCGCCACAATTCTACAGGTGTCGCAAGTGCAAGAGCCGACACTGGCTACCAGTACAGCAGCGCTGTCCTGCGATGTAAGCCACACCGCTCCAACGTTTTAATCACTCACTAACAATCTGCGAGTAGGCTTTAGGCTAGGTAATCTATCTATCAGGGAACCGATTTCTGCTACTGAATCGGAAAAAATGAAACCCTTACTAAGTTTTACCTGCTTTAGCTGCGCCGGCGTCCGATACTACCTCTAAAAACGATAGCAACAATAGCGCCTGTATTAGAAGAAAGTGAAGACGCTCTTTCAGGCCCGGTATTCAAGAGCTACTTGCCGTTTCTGAAGGTTGACACCTATGCTGAGGACACTGTCAAATCTCTATCACACCATGGCAAACAGAAGCGGCTCGAGATAGGAGGGAGTGCAAAGGCCTGCTGCGTGAGATGTGCAGGAAACGCAAATACGACGCGGAACTCCCGGCTGAGATGGTGCGCGGTCTGGAACGTTTGGAGAACGAGGTTAACCGCTACCAAGGAGAGAACAAGGAATTGCGTGAACGCCTAAAAGCTGCCGAGACCGAGGTGACGACGCTCCAAGACCACGTTGCTAGCCACAAAAACAAGTTGAATGGCGGAGACAAAAAGGTTCGAAGCGCAAAGGACGTCGCAGGCAAGCAAGAAGAGAAGGCGAAGGATGCTGTGCGGGAGAAGCAAGACCGTGTCTCTTCTGAGCGAGATGAAGCAGAATCTTGATAAGCTCTCGCTGAAGTAGCGTCGCTTACCAAACTATGCGATGACCTACGAGCAGATCTTGAGGTAGAGCGAGCAGGCCGGTCAAACAAGCGAAAAGATGACTCTGCATCCGATATTACGGTCGCAGTCGTACCTGTGGAGCTCACGATCAGCCGTGGCAACTTCCTAACGCTTTCGGAGACGTTGGAAATAAGTCAAGCCACCGTAGCTATGCAACTACAGGACTGGTACGACGAGTGGATGAAGCCGGACGATCCGGTCAAGCAGGTGCTCGGCGCCGACTTTGTGGACAACGAAAAGAAATAGAATGCGCCTGTTGATCTCGATAAATTGTTTGGAGACTTGGGGGAACGTGGCCATCAAATGTGAGCCGAGCATAACGGTCTGCGCTCAAATGAGAGCCTCGAGGCGACTTGTCGTAGGGCTGAAATGCGGCACAACATTTATGGAACGACGTAGAGATCGATTATGTGTTGCTTTCGGGAGTAAGAATTGTCAATCCTCGTTGGATCCTTTCTGATCACTTACCGTATCGAAGCGAGCAGTCCTGACGAGGGAGCAGACCCCTTTCGATATGGAGACTCTCCCTTCTGGAGAGACTCCCTTCTGGAGAGACTCCCTTCTGGAGAGAAGCGTATATTGAACTGAATTTTGTTATGGAGATGATGGTCAGGTAGGTATCAGGGAAGCGATTCTTCTTGGGTGTTCCCCAGAGCTGAGCTAAGCCTTTAATGTATCACTGCCACTCGATCTCAACAGGGAGCTCAGACGCAATTAAAATCAAGGTTCTTTACCATTACGGATCATGGGTAGCATTACCAACATGTGGTCCCTGCCAAAACAATCCCAGCAAAAACGCCGCCCAATGCCCAAACGTGAAAACCCAAAGTCGCTCATGGTATCTCTGAACAAAAAGACAACAAAACATCCACGCTTCGCCCTCGAACCTGTCCTCTTTCACTTGGTCCATCTCACTTCTGCCCATTAACATACACCGGCACCCCGGGATGCATATTCATCAGATACTGCGGCCCGGGCATCGTCCCCCTCCCCATCACAAAGCTACCCTGACTGGTGCTCCGCTCATGTCCATATGGACCTCCCACTCCACCAGCCTCCCAACTCCCGTCGCTACTGCTCCCACTCAACTTCTTCCGAACTCCCCACCGCGCCATTCCCATATCTGCCTCATCCTCTTCACCGAGTCGTCGTCTGGTGGTCGCACGCGCATACGCCGACCCCCTCCGCCGCACGCAGAGCAGGATGAACGTGGTGAACGCCGCGACAAAGAGGGTGACGGCGACGTAAGCTAGGATAAGGGGGTTGGGGCTCATGGAGAGACGCAGGCCCAGACCGCCTGAGAGGACGAGCAGGGTAAACGTCAGGGTCGTGAGGGGCGTGTGGAGCTTGGGGATCCTGGGGCTAAGGGCGGCGAGTTTCTTCGCGGGGAGTACGGCCAGGAGGAGCGTGGGGAAGAGTGCCACGAACGCCAGAATCTGGTGCGGAGAGTGGTACGACTTGGACTGTTCCCTCGTATGTCAGCGATGGCCTTGGGTCAGTGGAGAAATGGCGTGTCATGACATACGCGATTGTACTGCGAACTCGTCGCAATCCCCAGCCCGTAACTCAATACCAGAAAAACGAGAATAGCCACGGATGCCCCGACGTGCAGCTTGATGTTCCTGAAGAACCCCGCGAGCACCACGTTGATCGGCCACAGCACAAACAGCGCAACGCATCCCAGAATGGCGTGCGCGAGATCCTTGCCATCCCTATCCTTCTTCATTCCCTGGATAACCGCACCTCGCAACTGCGGCTCCGCCTCCGGCACGCTTGCATCCCCGGACGTCGCAGCTGTCAAATCCATGCTGAACGTGCCATACCGCACGTGCCTGCGCAGCGGGGCGTTTCGATCATCAGACTGCTTTGCCGTCCCTGGTCCGAACGCGAACAGCATAGGAGCAGCCGCGGAAGACGTCTCTAGGAAGCCGTTGGGCCAGACGCGGCAGGCGTGGCAGACGGCGCGGAGGACGTACAGGTCATCGTAGATGCCGGTGCCGTTTAGAACATCGATTTTGATAGCTGGGGAGAAGGAGGGCTCGGTGTGGCCCGTGGAGAGACGCGGGGAGATGGTGATGTCTGTGAAGGGGGTGTTAGCGGCTACTAAATAGTTCTATATATGCATATGATAGCGATGTGATGCTAGAGATGGGATGGGCTTAGTGACTGGACTGGAGCAAACGTACTATCCCCCCTCGCATTCGCATACATAACCAACATCAAACTATTCTCCATGCTCGCGCCAAACCCTACGGCGACCCACGAGTACGCCGGGCTAGCAAAGTAGATGTACACATCGGCGGAATCATTTGCCAGACTCAGCGAAAACTGAGTTTCAGTCTGGTCGAGGTAGAATGTCGATGCCGCGGGTGCCTTTTGCTGGGCGTGGATACCGCTTGTGAAGACTGTGGAGGTGGGACGTTAGTTGGTGTGGAGGATGAAGGATAGGACGGGAGCACGTACGCGCGACCAGCAGCGCTGAGATGTAAAAACTGAAGCTGTGCATCGTGATCATAAAGAAAGCACAGTAGCACACAGGCAGAAGAAGAAGAGCACAAAACAGCTCTTCAAGAAGAACGAAGGGAGTTTGCAGTCAGCGCATTTACGTCTCGCAACGCAGCAGACATCCAGCAGATCAAGCCAGCCACCCTCCTTCATCCCAGGACACACACCCTATATCTACCCACCCACTCCGCCCTCGAAGAGACCTCGCGCCCCCTCACATCTGCCTCCCCAGCGCCTAACAGCCCTCGTCGCGCCGACCTTGCATCAGCGCGCGAAGCCTCCCGTCCAATGGTTCCCCCGCGCGTAGCTCACACCCCTGGCGTGAGATGCACGTCCCTAAAAATACCCGCCCGCACGCCAACGGTGAGGACAATGAGTCGGCGAAGCCACGCAGCACGCAGGCGCGCACGCATTCCTCCGATAGGACTGCCCGCGTGCGTGCGCGGCGCGGAGGTGTGGACCAAGCACTGCGTACAGATTGACGACGGCGATGCGGAACGCAGCGCCTTTGCTGAGTTTGCTGGGGCAGGGCCCTTCCGCTTGTGGCGCTCGCTCGCTGACGCCCACATGCGAGTCCGTTTGGGAAACCATTAATCAAGTGCGATATTGGATGGTGACGAAGATGAGGTAAGATACTTAATGTAGGTAAGAATTGACGCGCTATCGACGCTCATGCCTATCCAGAAGGAAAAGAGAAGCCAAGAGAAGAGAAAATAAAAAGACCATCATTACGCTCGAACACCGCTCGATTGCCCAGGCAAGGAGAACACCATGCAGCAGGCAGCGTGCGAGAGTGCAAAGCCCCTTGCTAATAGAATAAGAAGAGCAAATGCCCTCTGTTGCTCCAATGCTAGTCATGACAGTCATAAGTATGCAAAGTCCATTCAGCGTTCGCTCCATGCTCTGGAACATAACGTCCAAGCCCACTCAGGGCAGTCTGGAAATTTTGTCGTCATCGTGTCGTCCCTGTGCTGTGGCGAGTATCCGAATGTGCATTATCCGAAAAGGGCATGTTGCGCGAATGAGAAAGGTCGCACAATGTCCAATATCTCGGCCACAACGAGGAATGCGGAGGTCTCGTGCCAGATTGGGAAGCTCTGGTCTAGCCAAAGACCGAATACTCGTAAAACACCCCCCTTCACTGACTCCAAGCAAGGACGCGAAGCACTTTATGTGGAGAGCTTAATGCAGAAACCAGGTACAAGTCATCTAGCGATACCGGGTCCGCTGGCGATCGAGGACAAACTCGTGCTCAGAGTAGCGATCGTCCCATTCGCGCGGTCGACGGTCGCGAATCTCTTCACGCTCATACTCAATCTGGCGTATGCGGGATTTGCGTCGGCGGCGAATGTCGTCGGAAATCTCCACGAGTTGAAGAACATCCTCCTGCAGACTGTTAGCCGCAATCAGGAAAGCACGCAAGGGATCCACTCACGTAGCGCAAATACTCCATGACATAGAAGAAGTCATCCGTCTCCTCGTAGTCGTAACCCATTGAGTCGATGGCTTCTTTGAGCACAAGATCCTTGGTGATCTCTGTCCACATGTCTTTGGGCCTCCCCTTCACAGGGGCAGGGGTTCCAAAGTCCGTCGCAATCTCCTCGTCTCCGCTGATGAACTTGGAGCGGCGTACGCCATTGTAGCGTTGCCATGTGATCTCCTGCGCTCCACCACCAATGCCATCCATGCGGACGCGGTTGGTGCCTGGAGGCACATCTACGATGGCCCAGTCCTTGGTAGCTCCATTGTACGCCTCGCCCGGGAAACCACGCTCCATGGCCTTGCGGTTGTAGTATTCAGCCTCCTGGTCAAAGTCCGAGTCGATCGGTGCGGTGCGGGCGCGTCTTGGTCGACTGAGAGACCGCGACTCTCGCAGACTTATGTCTGTCTCGCGACCTGTTCGTTCGATGGTCTCACGCTCGTAAGTAATGTCTTCCTCAAAATCTCGACCGCGGCCACGGCTCCTATTTCGAATCAGTCTCATGTCGAGCAGTACAAGTGGTTCACATACTGGTTTCGTCTTATCGAAATCTCCAGGCTTTCCTCTCGAGGAGGAGATGGAGGAGGTGGTGGCGGGGTTGGCGATCTAGCTCGCTCGACTCCTGCAATGATATCAGCATGGGTTTTCCCACCGGCGTTGGATGAGCTCACCATGGTCAATGTGCCTGTGATGCGTGATGATCTCCTGGATGATGGGCGGTCGGATCTCCGGCTCTGGTGGCGGTGGTGGAGGGGGAGGGGGAGGCGGGGTGGGCGAACGCTCCTCCTTGCGCCGAATGATGATCTCGTCCTTGATCACTTCGCGCTCGCGGCGCGGTGGGGATCGAGAGGGTTCCCGGCGACGAACTACGAACTCCTCCCGCTCTCTGGCTATCATCTCCCCGCGCACGCGAGGCGGTGGCAGACTCCTCTCCCGATTCCTGATGACCAGAGTGTCCTTGTGCTCATCACGACCAGTGCGGCTGTCTTCGCGGTGCTCGTGCTTGAAAATGACATCTTCCCTCTCGGCTTCGCGGCGCCGCGGTGGAGAACGGTCTCGGAACCTCACCTCCTCGCGCTCAATCTCAACCTCACGAGGCCTGGGGGGCGCACCAGCACCTCGACGGAACATGATGTCCTCACGGTCAACCTCGCGAGGTGGAGGGGGTGCTCTCGGCCTCGACTGGTCCCGATGGCGGATGGAAATGTCGACCTCTTCGCGTTCGACCTCTCGCGGACGGCGGGACGGGGCCTCGCTGTGTCGGATGCTGATGTCGTCTCGTTCGACCGGGCCTCTCGCACTAGAAGGAGGGCCGGGACGGCTGCCACGGACCACGAGGGTATCCTCCTCGACCTCGCGGCCTCTGCGCGACCGCGTGTCGAAGTCCTCTTCGCGTCGCTCCCGGACTACCATCTGGCCGGCATTGGAGCGGCGGTCATAGTCCTGGTGCAGGAAGTCGGGCACGCTGCGACGCGGGTCTCCGCCGCGGCGGAGCTCGACATCCAGCTCATCGTAGCTGCGGTCACTGCGGCCGCCGTTGCGATAGAAGTCACGTTGGCGCTCCTCGTAGAGCTCGGCTGTGGGGTAGCGCCGCGACATGGCGGGACAGTCAGCGAAGGGACGGTGCTCAAGAGGGCGGGCCGGGCTGGAGACACCAGAGCGACGGACTGTGGATGTATGGGAGGAGAGAGGAGAGGAGAGTGGGCGTCGCAGGCTAGATACTAGGCACGGCTGCTCTGGCCTAGTGGTCAGGTCAGGCTTGGAGCCATGGAGGGGTCAACTGGGCTGGCAGGCGCGTCGCCTACGTCATTGCCGCAAGTCGCGAGAGAAGCTGAGCCCAACCAGGACGCCGCCCCGCGAGACAGACGCAAAAGCAATGCAGCAGCTCCTCCGGTGAGCGAATGTGCGCCTCACCGAGATGCTGCCAGCCGCTCCGGGCGGGCGGCGCAGTTTCCACAACCATACAAAGACGCTCCGCACCCGCCGCAGAGCACAGCGCCGGATGGAGCCATGTCTTCCACGGCCAACACACAACACATCTTGAGGCTTGGGTTTCAGGACCAGGCACGGCACGACCTCAAAAGCCGGAAGCCTAACCTAGCCCTCCCGCAACGAGGACCCCAAGTTCTCGCGACAGATCTGCCGATGCGTAGCTCTCCCGCCGTTCGTTGCGTGCCCAACCACGGCCAGCACGTCCGAGCGTTGCACCGATCCTTCCGTGAGAGATCGCCCTGAACTCGGTTGCCGGAATGATAATATTTCCTCAGCATCTGGCCGGCAGCACGAGTTCGAGCTCGCGATGCTTGACGTATGCCGTGACTGCCTTTGCATGTGCTCCGGCGGATTACCTGAATCACCCCTGTCGTGTTCGCGTGCATGATGACGTTCGCCTGTGATAAAACCATGTACGCAGTTTCAATCTGCCCAAGCCTTCGATTTACCGTGACAGGTTTCTTGGAGCCAGACTAGACTTGGAACACAGCAGAGGACATGTCGCTGTGCCGCTCGCTCCGAGGCGTTGCGACGCCCCAGGCAAACTGCTCTGACTGTGCCCGACGGCGCCCTTCAAGGCTCGATCCGTCTCTTCGAACCACGTGGTCTGAAGACTTTGATCAGAATGTGGTTACGGCCACCTTTTATCATTCGATTTCGCGTCAATATTAGGCCCCGCTAGATTACTGAGAAACTATTCGATGGTAGTCTGTAAAGCATCTTTATTAGCATGTGACAGCACAAGAATTGCATAGTCCAGATTGCGATGCAAGGCGTCGTACCCAAAAGCAACACGCACGCGCATCGTTTCCAGTCTCGCAGGATTAGGACAAACGTCTGTCGTCCCCTCTTCACAGATCATATGTGTAAGCTTCGAAATTCATGCAATCGCGGGATGGATGTGGAAAGCACCCAGCAAAGTGTAGCAAATCAATATGAAAATCGAGCAAGGGGCAGTTCAAACGATGATGATGAGGCACCGCAGATTCCACGAGCATATAGGCCAATCTGGGTATCTGAAGATGTGCATTGACTGTGGCTAGTCACACCGGCACGCATTCCGCGCAGCAGAGCCGACTCATCCTGTTCATGAGTTCATATCCATATCAAACGCCGAGAAGCCGATAACCAGAAACCATCCCATTCACAAAAGCGTGTCACGATACCCAACGCGACCTCACCGACAGCCGTGCGGCAATCAGACAAGGGCCGAGCAGACAATCGAGACGGAAGAAACTAGACGCTTAACCACCGAAACCGTAGAGGGTACGGCCCTGGCGCTTGAGAGCGTAGACAACGTCGAGGGAGGTGACGGTCTTGCGCTTGGCGTGCTCGGTGTAGGTGACAGCATCGCGGATGACGCTCTCAAGGAAAGTCTTGAGAACACCACGGGTCTCCTCGTAGATCACTGCAGATGGTTAGCGACGTGATGGCTTTGTGGTTAGGTGAGGATGCATACTGGCTGAGATACGCTTGACACCACCACGACGTGCGAGACGGCGGATGGCGGGCTTGGTGATACCCTGGATGTTGTCGCGAAGAATCTTGCGGTGACGCTTGGCTCCGCCCTTGCCGAGGCCCTTGCCACCTTTGCCGCCTAGGAAAACATGTCAGTAAGGAGCATGAAGACGATGCGTAGGCATCGACGACGTTGACGTCGCGTCGCGTGGCTACGCGTTGATGCGCGCTGCGTGGCGGTAGCGAGGTGGGGTTCCGGCGGATGCGGCTGAAGTGCAACACCAAAAGCCGAAGTGGCGATGGAATCGCGAACACCAGCACCCCATGCAGACGGCGGCAGCGATGCACGACGCGACAATCAAGTGCAGAGAGAGGGCAACTCACGGCCAGTCATGTTGAAAGTGTGATGGGGTTGATGAAGTTGTGATGGGGTGTGGTGTGTGGAGCTCCAAACGCGTGCAGCTGAACTGGCGTGTTGGGTGGTAGAATGCGGGTGAGAAGAGGAGAGGAAAAGGCGAGTGGGCGGGCGGGTACTTAAATATGAGCAGGGCGGGCGTGCGAGCGCTGAATCAACACAATAGGCGGCAGTCGTGGCTAGCCGCTTCGGGAGGGGCGGCGGCGGCGACAGCAGCACCAGATCAGGCGGGAAAGAGCGCGAGCAAGAAGCGCTGCTTTCCAGCACTTTCAAACACCCAAACTGCTGCGCGGGTTGCTGCTAACAATTCGACCTGCGGACGTGGCCCGTGCTCGCCGCGCTAGCAACCCTCCCACCTCCACCTCACGCACTGCACTGCGATTCGACAAAAAGTCGAGAAATAACGCTGCAGCATGTTGAATAATGTTTGCAATGGTATCCGAAGACGAATTCCAAAATCTGGACCCAAACGATCACAGATTCGTGGAGTAATCGCTCATTGCAGCACCTGCCACGCGCGTCGCGTCCGACCTCACGCGCTGTTCGACCTAGAGATCGTTCCCAAAGACGTCTTCTTTTCTGATTGCGATTCTGTCTTTCTCTTGGAAGCCAAAGCGTACAATATAGACGCTCGATGCCGTTGCATCGTACGAATTGATTTCAGATTTCATCTCACCCTGCGCAGAACCACTCTACTCAGAGACGCGCCGGCAGTGTTGCTGGAGTGCAAAAACTACATCGCAACAATATCACAATGAACAAGTTTTCCCATCTGATGAAACTGGGGATACAGCATTGTCTGTGGCGAAGTAGACCAGCATGACTCTTCAGGACGTTTTCACATCCAACAGTGGGAAGAAAGCCTCTCAGCGTGAAGGGCACCAGCTGCATACGAGTCGAGGTAACTTGTGACTCGCAACGGCAAGGAATGCAATCTCGGGTGAACGGACAGCATCGCACTCCTTAGTGTAGGATGAGAATGCTCGTCTCGAAAGACGGACGTCACTTATGGCACTGACACCATGGATATTACCAAAGGAAAAGAGCAGCAACATACCCCGCTTCGAGTATCCGTACAAGGGCCTGGCAGATGACCCGGCCGCGGTGAGTCACAGCTGAGCCAGTGCATGTATGCACTGCCTTGCGCGCAGAGGAGCCAGGCCTGCGCCAAGATCACAGTGACGGGCCCGAGACGCAAGCACCTGTGACAGGCTGAACATTGTCGGAAGAATCTCATGAATCCAAGTGGCGAGGCCAAGCAGATAGATGAGCAGTATGGTGACCTCACAAATGTGACAGACCGACGTGGAGAAGCACAGGTATTAGCACATGTACAAAGATCATGTAAATCTACCGAGTCACCAAGTACATGAAGCCGATCCAGAGAACGCCTCCAATCCGCGAGTCCCCCATGCACTGGGAATGCAATGCCGCCACGCAGAGTGCTATGCTGTCGGCTACCCACACAGCCCTCTAAAAGTCCAAATCCGCATCCACCAATCTTGAACGCGCCTTTTGTCCCCGCTCCAATCTACACCTAGTATCCCGTAGCGCCGGGAGCATTCTCATCTTTCCTCAGGCTTAACAGAATCTCCCGGAACCGCTGCTTCTCGCTGCCCGATGCGCCGCCCTTCACACCCTTACCGCTCAGATCCACCAGCTTCGCGATGCGCTCCCAGCTGGTGCCACCGGCTGTTGTGTCGTCGCGGTTCGCAAGGAACTCCTCAGCCTCATTCCGTGTCTTGGCCACCTCCTTGTCCTTCTTGTTGTTATAGTTCTCGTAGAAGTCGTCGATGTTCTGCCGTGCCTCGTCGATGGTCTTGTTCTTGCGTTCGGCCGAGACTTCGTCGCGGTGCTGGACCTGCAGATCGCGGCGCTCGCGCCATTCGCGGATGACATCGGGCTCGGGTGAATCTGACCGCACGGGAGTGAAGGTCGGTTGCGGCTGGCCGGGGAGGTAGGGGAGAGTTGAACCTGTGATGGTGCCGCCGGGCGCCATGTGCTGCATCCGTTAGTATTACTGCGAAAAGAAACATACACTTCCAATGTTCAAGAAGCCACAATGTCCTCGGGGGCTGTGCGCAAACTGGCGGAAACATGCATGCATCGTACCTCGTTGGTTGTGTCAATGGCTGGGAAAGAGCTCTCAAAGCCCATCATCTCCTCGTTGCCAGTGTTTGCTTGATAGGATGAGTCTCCACCGAGCAGATCGTCATCCCCGTCTTCAACTGTGGCCAGCTTGTCATTTCCGGTCGCAAACTCGTCCGCAGCATCACCGAGGAGTGCGCGCTCCCTGGCTTCGAAGTCGAGCTCGCCACCATCTTCGCCAACGAGGTTGATGTTGCCGTCACCGCGCGCCTCGGTGGCACCTGATTGTTGTTAGCAAGACAGCTGAACACGGCCTTGAATAGCTATCTCACCCGCATCGAACTCGTCTAAGCTCGGGAATCGGTCCGCCATGGTGTGTGATGATATGTGTTCGAACTGGACGATCTCTACGAGAGGGATTACGCTAGGGGTGTTATGGAGTGAGATTGTTTGTTGCAGAGAGAGTAGCGATTGTACCACTGGTGGTTGCTCCTTGGACGTAAACGGCAACGGCGTTTGGCCGATGCCAAGCTCCGCTCACTTCACCTGACACGCGCGGCGCAACCTGCCTCACACACTACACTTGCGGCAGCAACTCGGTGTGCACTCAACACGGTCGCTGGCGCACTCTGCAAGCTTTCAAGCTTTGGTCTACATAGTACGCGCTTCGGGTTACATAGTCGTTTCGCAGAGGGAAAGGCTCGCGTGAGACTCGTCCACGTTTGGTCGCGCTTTCAACTTTTGACAGCTTCAACGTGTGATACGGCGACATGGCGTTCACCGAAGACAGCTTGAAGGCGAAGCTTTCATCGTTGAACGAGACGCAAGACTCGATCTCGTCTGTTGGCCAGTGGATCTTGTTCCATAGGTACTGCTCTCTTTGACTTCACATCATGTGTGGTCGCGAACGTGCTAGATCACCACATTCGGCACCTCCAGCATCTCGATTCTCATCGCAATGCCCATTGTTTTCACTATATTCCATTTCTAAACCAGGACTCAAGCTAACTGCCATCCTACAGACGACATGCCGACAAAATTGCTGCACTCTGGTCTCAACGTGTCAAAGAATCGGCACCAAACAAGAAGTTGACACTCATCTACCTCGCAAATGGTGAGCTGAACACGGATCTATTTCCTAGTCAAAGCTAATTTCCACCAGAAATCGTCCAGCAGTCCAAGATCCGTAAGAAGGAGGAGTTCCTCCGCGCCTTCGATCCCATTATCGTCGGCGGTAGCACCCAAGCCTACAAGGGCTCTCCCCCCGACATCCAGTCCAAGATGAGGCGAGTCTTCGAGGTGTGGAAGTCGCGCCAGGTCTTCCGGCCACAGATCCTCGAGGAGCTCGAGCGCGGACTCGATGGTAAGAAAGAATCCTTTTCTCACTCCCGGGCGGACTTGCTAACAAGTTCAGACGTCGACCGCACGCGCTCAAACAAGAAACCCCTCGGCCAGCTCGGCGGCTCCCTCTTCTCTGGCTCTTCCATTCCCCCCGATCTCAAGGCCGTCGAGCCCTTCGCAACCGCTCTCCAGAAGGCCGACCTCGCCGCAAGGCCCCTCCTTACGACCGCAAACCAAGGCTGGGAGAAAATCACAAATCCAAACGCACCCATACCCACGCCACCCATACACGCCGCCGCCCTCGGTGCCCTAGTCCGGGACCTTGCAAAAGCAGAAAACGCCGTCGCAGACAGCATCAAAGCGCGACAGGCCCTCGTCTCGGGCCTCGAGAAACTCCTTGAGACAAACCGCACCAAGCTCGCCGAAGAAGCGACACACGTCTCGGAGATCAAGGTTCGCAAAGCCACCATCGAGACCCGCATGCGCGAGGTCGAGGCAGCCATCATGAGCGGCCTCGCGGAGACAAGCAACGGGGCCTCCGCGCCGCTGCCCTCCTTCGCGCAGGTATCGTCGTCCCACGAACGCCCCGACGTCGAGGCTCTCACCCCGCCGCCGGTGGAGAGTTTCACGCCTGTCGGCTCGCCCACCCTCCAGGCGACGCAGACCCCGCTTCCAGATGTGCCCGACGACGTCTTCCCCAAGATGCCCGCGCACCCAGTTGAGCAACCCATGGCAGCTGCCCCCGCAGGCACCACCACCAACGCCATCGCGAACTCGGAGCCCGCGACCGCCATTGGCGCGGTGAATACCACCCCTGGCGCAGACTTGCTGCATAGTCTTGCACATGCGCGACCGAGCGAGGAGAACGGCGTGTATGGGCAGGCGACGTACAAGAAGCGGAAGATGAGTCGCAGTGCGGCGGAGGATGAGTTTGCGGCGTTTGAGGGGGATGCCGCGATGAATGGGATTGATTCGACGCTGGGGGATTTGATTTAGGGGAGTTGCGAGGCGCGGGGAGAGTGAGTCACGGAGAGGAAGTACTAGATCCTCGAGATTCTCGCTGTTGTAGGGATTTGTAGTGCTGGGATGTGATCGGGGAGCTTACGCGAGGAGTGACATGATGGGAGGTTATTGTTCATGGCAAACTTCCTGTGTTTAAACATAACGCTGTATTTAGTGGATTGCAACCTCACAGATTATGTGCGTCTGTTGGAGACAATGTACTTTGTAAAGGGTATCTCATTGCTCGGTCCAGCTCGTGATTATTCTCCAGTCTCATTATCGGCCATAGCAAGATCTCTCCCCCTTCATCTTTCTAAGCAGAATGGTCAGGCCCCGATGGTGGTCATGTCTACTGCTGGAGCCGCGGTGTCACTGGGACCCTCGTAATGTGTTTAGAAGGGGCTGCCGGGACCACTCAATCAATCAACCTCATCCACTGCAAGCAACTCCTTTTCCTGCCTCTGCCCCTGTCCCTGCTCGGCCCCTCTATCCGGCATCTTCCTCGACCTCTCAATCTCCTCCATAACCCGCTGCCCCTCCTCTGTCGTCGCATCCACAACCCCCTGCTCCAGACTCAACATGCCCCCTTCCCCGAGCTTTTCCACCACCTCCTCCGCCTCATCCACACTCATCTTGCCCAGCACCTTGTTGACCTCGTCCAGCTTCCCGCTCTCCAGCGCGCGCTGCAGGCCCGGCGGGAACGCCTCAAAGATCTGGCGGGCCGCGACTTCGGCTGCGCGCTCGGCTTCATCGGTGGAGGTAGGCTCTTTGGGCGGGACGGCGATGTTGATCGTGGTCCCTGGGTCCACGGCGTGCAGCTGGATCTGCTCGACGCCGTCCTGACCCGCATTCTCTTCGCGCTCTTTCTTAATTTCGGCGGCACGGTCGCGAATACGACGATACGTGGAGTCGACATCATCATTAAACAGCTTATTCGCCTGGTGATCCTTGGTCTGCACGCGCTTGAAGAACAGCGCGACGCCGTCTCTCCCACCGAGCTGCCGGCAGTACTGCAGCAGTAGGCCCTGGTGCACGCATTGCGCGGCGTGCTTGGGCTTGCCTTCGAGCTCGGCGTTGAAGGCTTCGACGAGGAGGCCGTCGGTTTCTTTCTCTTTGAGGATCTCTGGGTGGGACGAGATGAAGGAGAGGCAGGAGGACCAGTCGCCGCGCTTTATCTTGGCGAAGTCCTTTGCTAATGGGGAGGCCTCGACGTCGTCGCCGTTGTCGTCGAGGGCGGGGCCGTCTTCCACGTCGGCGTCGGCGCCCGAGGACTGCCCTGTGTCGGCTCGCTGGGCGGTCGGGCGCGAAGCGGCTGGGTTGAGGAGCTCCGGCTCGGCTTTCTTGGGTGCGGTCGAGGACGAGGACGCAGGCGTCTTGACGTTGGAGTAGTTGAAGCCGTCGCGGATGTCGTCGCTGGTGATGTGTTTCTTCTCCTCGGCCTCAAGCTCGGCCAGCTTCGCCAGCAGCTGGCCCTGCAAACCCTCAACCCGCGCCTTGTGTTCGCCCAGCCCCGCGATGAAGGCGTCTAGCCGGTTGTCCGTAATCTTCTTTTCGTCAACCTCCTTCTTGACCGTGTCAACCAGGCTCGCCATCATCTGCGGGTACGTGGGCTTGTCCTTGATGTGCTCGTGAACACCTTCCGGTGCGGGCGGCGGGCGGTCCTCGCCGCTGGCCATCATGCCCTCCATCATGCTCTGGAAAACCAGCGCGTCTGTGTTGCCCTCGCCATCCTGGTCCTTGTGCGACTTGAGCGCCGTGACCAGCCGGTCGATGCGCTCCGTTAGGCCGTCGTTGATGATGCGCTCGTACTTGAGCGTCTTGATCTGGTGCCGGCGGTGGTCGCGCTCCTGGTGGATCTGGGCCTGCTTGGCGCGGATGAAGGACTTCTTGTCGACGTTGGGGTGCACTTCGATGTCGCTGTCGTCCGAGAGCTCGAGCGCGTCCTGGGTGCTGTGTTAGTGCGTTGCTGCGGGCGGGGGCTGACGGAGGTGGAGGCTCACCCACTTGCTGTAGTTGATCACCATCGTTCAGGTGCTGCAGCGCTGTGTTCTGGCTATCGTATTCTCAGAAAGTTCAATGTCTGCGGCGTCATGCGCGGGGCGCCATGTTGTAGTGGGGTCGCGCAAGCTTGGGCCTCACCAGAGGCTCGAGCGACCGAATCTTCGAGACCTGACCCGAAGACACTTCAGACGGACAGCACTCATTTTTGATCAGATGTCTTGCCACCTCTTTTCGACTCGCTGGAAATCAGCAAGTCATGCGATGACGGCAAGACTGACTCGCGGAGGAATAGTGCGTAGTATGGGTGCGCTGTTCACAGGACGGTGAATGCGATCATCACAAAACGCATTCCAAGCCACTACGAAAGGCCGGCAAATACCATTTGATCTGCAAATCACCCTTATCCCACCGGCGGCACCCCGCTCGTGGCGAGATGCGGGGCCTGTGAGCCTCATAACTAAACCAACCCCCAGCCACAAAAGGACTGCTTAGTTACATCCAAACCATTTTCGACACACTCACAAGAAACAACATGAACGGGCAGTGCGCTTGCGGCTCCGTCAAGTTCGTCACACCCATAGACAAACCTCTGAACCTGTTTCACTGCCACTGCATCGACTGTAGACGGCAATCTTCCTCAGCCTTCGGAACCTCCGCCATCTTCCCTTTCTTCCGCGTCGACGACAACCCAAATGTCTCCCACTTCTCGCGCGTCTGTGATAGTGGGCGGAAGCAGAATTGCTACTTTTGCAACAAGTGTGGTAGCAGGATCTTGCATGCCCACGTCGTTGACGGCGGAGACCCTCAGGTCGTTGCTGTCAAGGGGGGACTTTTAGAAGGATTGAATTGGAAGAATGCAAAACATATCTTCACGAGAAGTGCGGTGATTCCGATTCCTGATGGAGTGGAATCATGGGTTGCGGAGCCTGATTTTGGCAAGGCCAAGTAGAGTCAAGTACTGATATGAGATCTCCACAAAATCAATTGTGAAGATGGTGTCTTCCAAGCTCACGTTAGTAGGACAAATGCGAGTTGTGGAATCATTCCGTCTATTCTCAAGTTGTGAAAGAAGCCCACGCAAACTCGAACGACTAAGTAGTCCCACCGGAACTCTCTTCCGCCACCTTCGCTACCTGTGCCGTCAGGATCTCCACGAAACCACAGATGACGCACGATCGCGCCTTTAATATGAAGGCGTGGCTACCAAGCATTCGCATAAGTTCAATCTCACCCCACGACACCCGAAGCGAACGGACATGATCCCGGAGTGTCGCCCACAGTATATGGAACACACGTGCCGCCTGCCGTCCCGCAACGCGTAACCATCATATCTCCACCAATGACAAAAGTTTCATACCTCTTTGGTCTGTCCAATGCACCCCAGACCCGAGAACCAGCAAACCATTGCCGTCGGTAGTGCGCTTGCATCTTGCTTGCGCCTCGCTCCACTCCACCTACGTGACCTCCCGCAGCAACCGCCCGTCTCGTCGATCCGCCAACCATCGCCTTGCCCTCCCTGATCGCAAAGTTGTCGAACCGGCAACTCGCCATGTTTCCCCCGAAGGAAGGGTTCGGTGGTCACGGACCACACCCTTTTGCTATAGCGTGTTTCGTTTAATCTACACATCGTCCTTCATGATCGACACCAGATTGGACATCTCAAACAGTTCGCGATGCGACCCACATGGCGCTGTGTACTACTCCCCTTGTATTTAATGTCAACATGCATGTTGCTTAATATAAGAGACGGCGTTCGTTTTTCCAGCAGAGGTCACTCCAGGTCCAGCACCGGCTTCCGTTCGTTCTTTATTACTGCACTCTTTCCAGCTTGTGCATTCGCTTCATCCCACATCAACGCAGGATCGTCTTTCGTTTTCGATTAAAACATTTCAAGATGAAGTACCTTCTCCCAACCCTCGGCTTCGCTGCGGCCGTCGCTGCACATGGCTATGTCGACAATGCCACCATCGCAAACAAAGTATACACCTTCTACCAGCCCTACCAGGACCCGTACATCTCGCCCACCCCGCAGCGCATCTCCCGCCCTATCCAGGGCAACGGCCCTGTTCAAGACGTGACCATCGCCGACCTCCAGTGCGGCGGCTACTCTGAAGGTGGCGTCGTCGGGTCTTCGCCCGCAGCTCTCCACGCAGATGTTGCTGCTGGCTCTGAGGTTTCACTTCGCTGGACGCTCTGGCCTGAGAGCCATGTCGGGCCCCTCGTGACCTACATGGCGCGCTGCCCAGATGCGGGCTGCAACAGCTATATGCCTGGCTCTTCGTACGTCTCCTACCACCACCCCACACGGCAAGAAGCCGACTAACATTTTGCCCCACAGCGCCGTCTGGTTCAAAATCAAAGAAGAAGGCCGGACCGGCACCACCAACACCTGGGGCGACACCAAGCTCATGCAACCCGGCGGCGTGGCCACTTACACCATCCCCTCCTGCCTCAAGCCCGGGTACTACCTCGTGCGTCACGAGATCATCGCCCTGCACGCCTCCTACGCCTATCCCGGCGCGCAATTCTACCCTGGCTGCCACCAGCTCAAGGTCACTGGGTCTGGCTCGACGACGCCTTCTGGGCTTGTGGCCTTCCCAGGCGCGTACAAGGGGAGCGATGCCGGCATCACGTATGATGCATACAAGGCGCAGACGTACACTGTCCCGGGGCCCAGTGTATTCAAGTGCTAGATTGTAAGGTAGGAAGGGGTATGGGGACGGAATGTAAAAGGTGTCCCACAAAGGCCGCGATACCCAAAAAAATCTGGCCTAGTTTGGTGAAAGACAACGGTGATGTTCGATCACGATAGCGGAGGGATTGACCATCGCTGTTGCCATTTGCACACTTGATATCGGTTTTGTAGGGGATCCAGCCTTTGTTGGGCGGCCTCGGAATGAAGAACAGAAATGGTAGGCGGTGGGGAATGGGGGTTGCAATGTATATATTCGCTTCTACATTTGCTTCGTATGTGTCAATTTAAGCTTACGAACATTATTTCAAGGTCGAGAGGATGCTATGCTGCATGTGACTGAAGCTCGCGTTTGCACTACATTCGAATTGCCGAGTAAGTGAGACCTTTCCCAGTGCATTTACCGGCGGTAGGATAGTAAGCTTTGTAAAAACTGAAAAGACGTCCGAACCAAGTCAGATTGGAGACCAAGGCTGAAAAACCTAGCGATGTAGTTATTACGTAGTCCCTGATCAAGGAGAATATGACGGCGGCGATGCGTGGGTTGATGTCGTTGCTCGCACAAGTGTGAGATGAATTGGGACGCTTGACCGGAAGGAGTTACCGGTAGGCAATTAGGCTATCTACACAGGTCACGATCAACGCACACCACTCCCTCTACATCAACACCTATTCTTGACACAAGCCCCCCTCTGCCAAAGCATTTTGGACCATCCAGCGTTATGGCCTTCCTCTCGCACTCTATCCCATGGCACGTCCTCTCCACAATGTTGGAGTATGGAGAGCGCTGTGATATAGGTCCCCAGCATCCTGACTTGTGGGCGAAAAACAAAGAGGGTCAGCGCAAGCAGATCGAATACTTTACTCATAAACTACAACAGACACTCCTCGAGCATTCTACCACGGAGCGCCGAAAATATCGACTCACTCAAGACTACGTGAAGCGAGCAGAGAAATGGACTGTGTCAGAGCCGGCAGATATTGTTGCAGTGGAGCCACCTTCGCTTGAAGATGACCATCCCCAAGGAGAGATCATGGAACCCTCACTTAGAAAGCGCAATGCGGAGCGTCGCTCACTGGCCGCTGAATCATGGCCGGCATCCTCTCCAGAGCGACGCCTCGTTTACCCACCAGATTTCGCCACAACATACATGTCCTATGTACCCATTACATCTGGCGCAGCGTACGGGCGCTGCGGCATTGTCGAAGACTTTGCACGCATAGAAACGTGGATAGGATTCACCGCTCGCAACGCTCGCTACTCTGCGAATCGTGGCAGCGAGGACGAATACAACCGACTGTGGCTGGATAGAAAATCCTGTTCAGACATCATCCGAATCTCGATCATTGATTCTGCCACAACAGTAGACTCCGTGAGGAAGACGCGCATGATTGAGACGATGCTCCTTCTTGCGCATCACCCGCACGTGGGTGTTACCGAATTCATCAGCGATGGCATGAGCTGTTGTAACAAAAGCGTTGGTCTAACATCTCTCATTAAAAGCGTTGCCGTGCCGTTCATATATCTGAATATTCTCTGGTTGTACGTCGATGGGAATCCGTCGTCTCCGTTACTACAGCCACGGGAGCAACTGCAACATTATGCGTATGGCTACTATCGTAATTCCACCTTCGTAACCCTATTGCCGCGACCCGCATACATGAACACGCAAAGCTTCAACAACATGATGGCCACTGTTCTGGAGGAGCACGGCCATGTGGTCGAACACGTGTTCTTCAATCCACTTCTCGCTCCGTACGACAGTGGCAGACGTTCCAAATATCTGAAACTTTCCATGGCAGAGAGCCAACTAGACACAGAAGACCTCAGAAGAGAGCGGGATGTTTTTACCGACCTTCCCATGCTTAAAGAAGCGCTGAAGGGAATGTGGAAGATTCTGGTGTCCTGCGATATGCTGTTCAAAGAGATCGGGAAGCCTGTTAACTGGGAGTACGTGGTCATCGAGAGTATGAGCCTGCTTTTCCAGGATAAAGGCGGTTTCGAGAGATTGATGGGGACGGACTGGATGGACTATGAACTGGCTCGCAACAAGCAAGAGAGCTTCGGGTTTTACGCTGCCATTGATGCAGAGGTCAGGGCATCGTGAAGAACACACTTGAATTGGGTATTCCAAACCTTTGCCCACTAGACACCTATCGCAAAGAGTGGCCGATGTGCAGAGTGTGCGCGCAACGGCCAATCAAGACCCTGGCCAGGGTTTCCCGACTATGCAGCCTGCACGTTCTGCATTCTTTAATCTGGAGGTAGCCTTCCAATTGGATAGATCCTACCTTCAGTAAAGGAATCGATGGTACGCTCATCCTTGTGTAGTATGCGGCATTGCTTGTCGAGCTTATCATTCGGTCAAAGAGTCGTACAAAAAAGGTGCACCAGCGCAGATGGAGGCAAATATATAGACGCCTACCCCGCCCTTGCATTCACGTTCACATATCGAGTTCACAGCCCACTACACGCCTTGAATTGGCATGGAGAAGACTGCACTTTTGTTGGCCGACGAGACGATCCGGCCTAGTGGAGACAATGGTTCTTCTGATAACAAGGCTGGAACAGCATCGGATCAGGAAGCTATGCGACGACTTAGAAAGCAGCAATTATTCAAAACGCGTATACTCGAAGCGTACGTTCTGTATCAACCGATCTCAGCGCAACTTTGGGTTCGCAAACATCTTCCACTTTGCCCTCATCTAGATGGCAACATGGAAAGCTACCCTCGCCACCATAGCTTTCAGACTAGGAAACAGCGACCCGTCTGGATTGTTGTACACGTATCTTGGCCACATCGTTGCGATATCCATGGCTGAAATGGCTGAAATGGCACCGTACGTGCTCCATTGGATCAATCTGACATCGCCTTGATCCAGTGCGAGCTTAATGCACATAAAACAGCCAGAGGATTCGTTCCGCAACCATTGTTCTTCCGAACTCGCGCCGCGGGATTGTCAAAAGCAGCCATCGTAGATTGTTGGTTAGCTAGGGATCTTAGGATGGCAAATTGGAGTTACCATCGGAGCGTTCTGATCTGGTACTATCCTCCAAGGCTTGTTGATCCTCAGCTACCCGGATTAAAGATCTGAACGGTGGCATGGAACCTTGATGGAGATGCTGATTCCATTCTTCACCGCCGGATTCCACATGTTCTTTACCAACTGGCTACCTTTTGTCGAAGACGTCAGACTGATTATGCATTTCGTGGCCTGGCTCGTGATGCTGGTGCCGTTAAGGGTGCCTGTAAAGGCCGAAGTATGGAACTCGTTTGTTGATTCTGGGTAGGGAAACAGTAAGCTATCCTTCGCCGATGTATTGGCATGACGGCTAATTATCCATTCGCGCAGCTGGTGAGGCCTATCTTATCGGGCTTTCAACGAATGTCGGAGCCTTTGTCTGATCAGATACGCCAGCTCACCTTGTAGAAGAGTTGAGAGATTCGTCCAGGCTTCTTCCGCGAGTCATGTACAGCACGATACTAATCAACGGTGTCATGGGCTTCTTTGTACTCTTGTAATCTCCCTAAGAAAACCCGCGACCATGATTGGAATTCACTGATGATACCTATAGCGCATTTTGCTATACGTTTGGCGATATATATAAGCAGCGCTTACAACACCTACCGGATATCTGACCACCGAAGTATACTATTCCGCCACCGGTTCTACCCCCGAGCACATCCGGATTTGCCTCGCTCCTCATCATGCTCATGTTTTCCAAGAACCTCAGCAAGATGGCAGGTGCATCTCGCCAACTCCTTGCTTTCGCTCGCGACCGCGGCCTGCCCTCTTCCAGCTGGATGTCCCTAGTTCTCCGCATTTCGGCGTGCTTGTCAACGCCATCCTTATTTCCGCCCCGTTTTCATGCATTTTTCATTGCATTAACATCGGGCCTGCCACCGTTTGGAACATTATCATGTCTGTTGGTACTGGCGCTGGTTACGTCCAATATGATCTCGATAGGTTTTATCATATGGCGTCGCACGAAGAAGCTGCCGCTGCTGCCGTCTCATTCAGCCTCATACACAGCCTTGGACTCACCGTGGATGGACTTGCACTCCGCTTTTGTGTGTCGGTGTTTGTCTTTGCTCTCTTCCCGCCTGTACCGGACCCTCCTACTGTAACCATGAACTAGGCAATCGCGATGTATGCGAGCGTCCTTCTCATTGCAGGCGTGTACTATGCCATCTTTGCAAGACACCATTACGAGGAACCAGTGAAGTATGAGAGAAAGCCGGTCCGACGATTGGAAATATGGAGATGCATGCGAGAAGGGATTAGTGAAGGGCGCGCTGGTTCTTCCCGTCAGTAAGCGAGGGCGTGTGATTGGTCGGAGGTCTCCGACATCGTACCAGTCATCAAATTCAAACTCTTCTTCAATTGAAACCGAACTTACAGATTCTTTCCTCGGACTTTCGGAGCTCAGTCGGCGCAGTTGGCCTTCCAAGATATCACCATGGCCGCCACGACGACACAGACATTGGAGCCGCTATCAGCCATGGAGCTTGAAAACCGCAACCAGGATAACAGCTTCCACCAAGATGATCAGCTCCGAGCTCTGGAGACGGATCCCGATGCAGATGCTATCATGCACGCCTCTCTACTTGCCGACTCAGAAGTGCCCGATGGAGGTTACGGATGGGTAGTTGTGTTCTCCGGCGCAGTCATCACGTGGTGGTTTGTCGGCGCTGCTTACACCTGGGGCGTGATGCAAGCTGCGCTCGTCGAGCAGAAGAAGTATCCCCCGGCCACACTCGCATTCGTCGGATCTCTTGTCCCTGCTATGATTGCGATACTTGCTATTCCAAATGCCACGCTTATTAGGAAGCTGGGCGCCAGAACAACAGGGCTTACTGGCATCTTCTTGTTGGGGTTGGGTAGTATTCTAGCCGGTTTTGCAGTCGACAGTATTCTGGGCCTTTTTATGACTTGGGGTTTAATTTGCGGAATAGGAACGAGCCTTTGCTTCATGGTATGCAAGGTCCTCGCTAGACCGAACATGTTTTGAACTGACTTACCACCAGACTGCATCCATCACGCCAGCGCAGTACTTCAAGGCTAAACGCGGCGTAGCCAATGGTATAGTCTACGCTGGTGGCGGCCTCGGAGGTACCGCTATGTCCTTCATTCTCAACGCCCTCATCAAAAACGTCGGCATCCCCTGGGCCTTTCGCATCTTCGGCTTCATGATCCTAAGTACCGGCCTACCCGCCGCCTGGCTCATGAAAGAACGCGTGCCCATCCGCAAGACCCAGTTCGTAGAGTGGAAGCTCTTCAAAGACGTCAGGTTCCTCCTCGTCTTCGCCGTTGGCGTCATCGGCACATTCCCGCTTTTCGTGCCTCCCTTTTTCCTCCCACTGTACAGCAACTCGCTCGGCCTCTCCTCCGCCGCCGGCGCTGGTCTCCTCGCGGCTTTCAACTTCTGCTCTGCGATTGGGCGTCTGGGATCAGGGTTTGCGTGCGATAAGTTGGGCAGCTTGACGACACTTTTCCTGACGCTTCTGCTGAGCGCGCTGAGCCTGATGGTGATGTGGCCGCTTTCAAGCTCGCTGGGGCCACTGGTGGCATTTGTGATTATCAACGGGATGGCTAATGGGGGGTTCTTTTCTACGATGCCGACAGTGGTGGGGAATGTTTTTGGCTCTGCGAGAGTTGGCGTTGCCATGGGGATGATTGTCAGTGGGTGGATTGGGGGTTATCTTATGGTGAGTTGATTTCGGCCTGTTAATGACGCTTGAACATGCACTGACAAACCTACTCACTAGGGAGCACCAATCGCTGGCTACATCCTTGACGCAGCCGGCGGCGAGAACGCAGGAATTGGTCCCTATCGGCCCGCGATCTTCTACGCTGGTAGTATGGCGATTATTGCGACTGTTCTTTCTGCCATTGTTAGACTGAGGGTGGATCGAAGCTTCAAGAAAATGGTGTAAGGTTCATCTACCAAGTATTTTGCTCCAATACCGAAGAGACAACATGACATTCTGTCTCATCAACTGAAATAGAATGGACAATCCATATATGTGCAAGGGCTCTGATGGTTAAGAATAGTTCAGATGTGGTCTAACGTGGGGCATTCCTGTCCACTAGCTTTTGGAAGTGGCCGCTAGATACGTACGTGAGTCAAAAATCGCCTTATATGTGTAACTCCAGAAGGTCTGCGCTCCTCAAGCTATGATTTAACATCCTCTCCACCCATAGAAATAAGTCCCCCGTGATAATCCCATAGGTTTGGATTAGACAAGTACATGCCTACTAACAAGTGAGTATTGAATTGTTCCATGGCAATCAGCAAAGTCTTGTGACCACTTCATGCCAATATAAACAGTCCAGCCTTTTCAAACCGATCAGTATATACGATCCACTAACACAAGTCTCACCTCTGCAACCCTGCAAGATGTCAGACAACTCTCCAGATAACCCGACGAATGAAACGCATCTTTTACCTGCAGCAGCTTCCGAAAAATACAAACCACTAGTCAGAGCCGGTGACGGGGTGAAAGGTACGGCCTACTTGTGCACCCTACGCAATCACCAAGACACAAGTTCCGCACCAACAGATCACCACGTAGCGGTGAAGATCTGGCATGTATCCCTGGGAGCCTCAGCCCTGCCACTGCTGAAGCAGTGCCGAGCCAGAAAGTAATCTCAAGAAGCTGTTGTGCTGCAGAAGATAAAGGCCGAGGTCGCCGAACTTGATCTTGATCATCTTTTACCCCTTGTCGAGCTGGATTACCTCAAACTAGACGGGCCTTGGTACATTGCATGCCATCAAAGGATGTACTCTCGAGTCATTTTTAGAGGCATCTGACAAGAACGAGGTGATGGCGATATGTTTCCATGTCTTGAGAGGCTGCGCATCAGCGATCCAGTGGCTATATAACTACGATCTATTCCACTGTAATTTCACTTCCCAGAACGAAATGCTTGAGGCTTCTGAGCCTGGCAAACCAATGCGGGTTGTTCTTATCGACTTGGATGGCGTAGAATGACTCCCTGATGATACCATGCTTGGCATGCTTTTTGGTTTCATGAAGGTATACAAGAGTATCTTCCAGCTGATCTACCTGAGACTTTGGATTCATTAGGAATGGTGGACTTCTGGGGAGTAGAGTAGCTGCGTAGGATGGACGAGTCGTCTTGCTTTACGACCGCCTCCAATAGGTACAAGCCTAAGACCCAAGATGTTCTAGATTGGAAAGAACATATAGATAGGTTGATGGAGCAAGTGGAGGGATTTCATGACTTGAAAACAGTCAACGAGATCGCTAATGTAGTGAACGTTCTCTGGAGAAAGACAGAAGGCAAAGTCAAAGACATGGCTAAACGAATCGGCGATGTAGCGATCTTTGATAGTAGCAGCAGCCACCATTTCCTGGCCCCAGGGTCTTTCCTCTCGATAATTCTCCTGCTTGATCTGTTGAATAGTGGTCAATCCAGCGTGACTTCAATCATTACATATCGTGATTTCGACTTGACGCTTCGATAGCAGAATGTTCAGCAACACTACAGGGCGACCCAGCAGGATTCACCTGGTACAACAATCATTTGACGAGACTTCTTCGTCAATAGCAAAGGTCATGATCCTGCACAAAGCAGATCCATTCAATGGCCCATCTGTCGCTCAGGTTGCTGAAGCAGCAGACGTTCCCTTGAAGTTTTCCTGCGTGTAGGCGGATACCACGCCTTCCTCCGCCAAAGTCCGTAACATCGAAGAAACTTGTATGACAGGATGCGTCATACTTGGCTGTCTTGGAATGTACAACCACTAGCCCTGGTGGCGCACCACGAGCTTACCGTCATAGGTGTGGCTGACCCTTCCACGGTCCCACATATCACAAACAAACTCAGTTCTTTGGCCTGCATTCATATCATCACGATAAAAAAATCTAATTACCATTATAATACACTGCAGTGATGGGTTGTTTCTCGAGCAAAACCAAGAGCGAGGAGACGGAGATTTCCAGGCCGGCACAGACCGGAAGCGTACCACCAAGCATCCCGCACCCTGGGGCAAGCACAAAGGACGTTTCACCGGAAAATCAGACGCCCAAGCAGACTGGAGGAACTGAGAAAGAACCCACGAATCCGGAGAACCCAGTCGTGTTCTTCGACATCACAATCGGAGGTCAGTAGAGCGTCTTTTCACGCCCTGTAATCCTTCACGTGCTTCGCCATGGATTGCCAAGGTCATGTGACTTATACTCGTGGCTGATGTCACGAATCTTGGTTTCTTTTATCATTCTTAGGTATCGCTGACGACTTTACGTAGGTCGCAATGCCGGTCGAATCCAGATGGAGCTGTACATGGACGTCGTCCCTGCTACGTCAGAGAATTTCCGAAGATTCTGCACCGGAGAGGCAGACGGAAGCTACAAGGGCAGCATCTTCCATCGCGTCGTAAGCGACTTCGAAACCTTTTGATATCAGTCTTACTCACGTCATTTTCAGATTCCGTCATTCATGATCCAAGGTGGCGACTTCATCAATGGCGATGGAACCGGCAGCGCGACTATCTTCGGCAGCGAATCTTTCGACGACGAGAATTTCAACCTCAAGCACACTCGCCCTGGATTACTCAGCATGGCCAATTCCGGCCCCAACACAAACGGCTGCCAGTTCTTTATATTGACGGAAATGGCTCCTCATCTGGACGGAAAGCATGTTGTTTTCGGCGATGTAATCGGTGGGATGAATGTAGTAAGAGAGATTGAGAACACGCAGACTGGAGCAGGAGATAGGCCGGTGAAGGACGTTGTAATTAGCAACTGCGGACAGGTGTCCGGAGCGAAGGTAACATGATTATCGTTCATGTGGTAGGGCCCAGGACCTCGAGATCTTCATTAATGTGTTAGGAGAATATACCGAGCAAAAGCGCGTTTTTCATATGTTGTCTATAGTCTGTCTGAAAAAATAATTCATTTGAACTACATGGCTAGGCCCCACGATCCAATAGCTATCTGCTATCGCGATGATGTCACCAAATACTGCTGCCTGCTACTTACACAAGCCGTGTTCTGACGAAATTTCGCGCGGACGTTAGATATTCACGACGTCCAGCGACGAGTAGCGAAGAGGAGGCTCCCTTAACAGAACTGTTCGAATGCAGTGAAGGCGAGACCCCTACGACTCCAGTAAAGGAGAGAGAAAATATCAAGGAGCCCCGTATTCTTCCACAATCTGAATAGCAATTCGTTTTCGGGCCGCAGAAGTACTACTGGATCCGCATCGGTACTGCTTAGAGGTTCGCACCGCCAAAGACGTGTTTGGAACGACGTAGGCATACGAGGCCCGTTTTAGGCAGCATTAAAGCACGTCACGGGCTTCTTCGTAGGCGGCGAAGACGAGGAGGGACAGCCTCAAGTGATCCACAACTGGAACGATGGTTATCGTGAGTTTTATAGCGACCCATGAAGGCCGCGCAGAGAATGTTTTGAGCCGTCCGAAGTGACGAGGTTGACAGCTTCGTGATATCTCGAGATGCGTATAAACGCCTTCATGACTGGGTAGATCAAAAGCAGTTGAAAGACACGTCTGTCAGCATCGGGCCTAAAGGCAATTACTTCGCTAGATGCGGCGAGTCCTGGATTTCACATGGATTACCAAAAGATCTGCAGACCAAGCTGAATCGTACTAAAAACATGCTTACGCCAACCCATGTGGCCCTTGGACTACACGGCTCCTGGATCGTTCTCTGGTTCGATGGTAATCTATCATACAATCTGCGGAGCTCGTACCCTGGAATTGGCGAGAACATTGCTCTTACCGGGGGAGTTGGCCAGGTGCTCTTTGTCGCCTTAAACCCGTACGAAGAAGACGGATACTTCGTTGCTGAGAAAGACGGCTGTTCTTTCAGTACGAATTTGTCCTCGAAAACGGACGGGAGAGAGGTCCAGAAGATGATGGAAGACTACATGCAGATGAAAGCGAAGCGCGATAATGCAACCTTCAATGACTCTTTCATGATGAATGAAGTGAAGCAAATGTTATACATCACAACAACTTCGTATGAGCGACGTCGGGCCAACTCGCTTTTCGAGACATGGAAGCAGAGACGAAATTTGCTTCTCCAGCGGGAAATTATATCTCTCATAGGATCTGGGTCCACTGCCATGTATGTATCATCAAGTTACGCAGAAGCAAGCTCAGTCAGAGCGGCGGGCGCTGCGGCAGCAACTGGAGTAGGCTTGGCGGCCATCATGCTGAGTGGGATCGGCGATGGATTTCGTACATCTCTGTAAAAGTCTTCATTTCGAAGTTTTCATTCATGCATCGCGACATGTAGTGAATTCATAATAACCTACAGCGCATACTTGTGAAATGGGTAGGAAGTGCATCATAATTTGTATTGTCCATTTGCTGATTACATGCTTTTCCAGTCTTCTACGCAGGCTTTCCAGCCTTGATCAACGCACTTAACGTCGCGTTTGGCTTAGTGTAGGCCTGAAAGTTCGAAGGGTACTTCTCAACGAGTAGGTCGCTCACAATCCTTGCGAACACGACACCACCCCATGTGTTCAAATGGGTCCAGTCATTGGAAGCAAGATTGTACTGGCTCGCTGCAGTCTTGCCAATAGCGTTGACGTAGTTCTCGCTCGCAATGTTGAGGTCAATCCATTTGATGTTGTTCGAAGTAGCAACCTGTATGGTGATGTTGCGCTGCGTCGCAAGGTTCTCGAGCACTTTGCCATCTGACTGAAAGTTGCGGCGAGTCAAGGGAGTTACGAGGATGGGTTGACCGCCCGCGCTGGTGACTTCCTGAGCGAACTTCAATAGATTCGCTTTGTATTGGTCGAGAGTGACGCCGGAGGTCTCCTTCTGGTCGTTGTGGCCGAACTGCGTTCGTCAGTATATTGCTGCAGCCGGGATTACAGCACGTTTACTTGAATCGTAGTGTAAACATCGTATTTGGACTTGTATGTCCCGATATCCGTGATGACCTTGCCCCAGTCGCCGCCCGCACGGAATGAAGCAGTCGTAGCACCGCTGTGTCCATAGTTGTGACCAGTGGAACCTGAAGCGACGGTCGTGCTCAAGAAACCATCTCCCCAGCCACCACCAGGTGCCGTCGTCGAGTCTCCTGCAAGAAGCCAATAAATAGGCTTAGCTGCACGCTCAATCAGAGGCGATGCTACTGCAGCTGAAAAGAGCAGAGATGGAGCGAGAAGACGCATGTCGTATGTCAGACAGTATGGAATAGCGTGGCTCGTAGTGGATAGAGGCCATCAACCACATCAGTATCTCTGTCCTTATATGCTTTAAAAGACGTATATGTGGCGTCGTATTGCCTGAAGGTCAATTCGACCGAAGTACTGCGACTCGGATTTTATCATACCGCAGGATACACAAACGGTTCACGATACCAGAAACTTCCGTGAATGGGAACCTTGCCTCTTTTGACCACGTGAACAGCATCACCATGTACTTAAATTAATTACCCTCGAGTAAAGTGCAAATGCCCGTTGCGGGCCCGCTAGTTTGTGGGGATAGATCGATCTGCAGAGCTCGCTATAAATTATCCCGACGGGTCGCTTATGTACCCCAGTGGCTAAACTACAAATGGGAGGTCCGTCCGTCGGGTAGATGGCAACGCTACAACGGCGAAGTACTGATGGAGGAATATATGCGTTGCGTGTGCGAAGCTTATACCAAGTCCTCTGGACCCGTATAGATCATGCACGTTGTACCGGTGTAAACCTGTGCGAAGCAACCCACCTCTTCACACAAACACACCTGGCAGTAGTAGCCAAGGTCAGGCCAATTGTCTCATAGGTTATCTAGCCTCCTGAAGAACGGCATAATCGATGTGAATCACCATGCACCGATGAAAGACACGCCTGCGTTGCAGTTTGTACCGGATGTCGGGACCAGAACTTCCAATCTCAGTGGCTTCTTAGTCCTGGCTTCTTAGTCCTAGAGTTACACTCTCCAGGTGTTGAGATGAGTAGAGAATACGCGGTCTTGCGTCGAATTCGTGGACTTTCAACGCCAGTAGACCTATACATCCGCAGTCGTAGTGACGAGAGCCTTGATGGATGGGGGCGTCTCAGGCGCAACTCCTGAGCAAAGGCAACTCCGCGTTTTTCCTCAAGGCTGATGTGATTCGCCTTGCGTTTCGAAATGAGGCGGTTGTGGGGGGTGTGAGGCCATGGACAATGAGGACGAGTTTCTCGCGTTGGGGGAGATGTTGTTCGAGCAGAAACAAGGGTGGGTCATTGTCAGCCAGGCCGCGGCTGCATAGACCGATCGGAACTCATTTGATAACACCAATGGCTCTCTCGACAATCTGTTCTAGGGGAAGACGGAGGGCTTGACACCTGCAATGGATCGCTACTAGCAGCCGCAATGACGACAGGAAAGGACGCCCTCCATATTTCGATAGCATGATAATGGGAGAGCTGAAGCAGAACCATGTGTCCAAGAATGCTCTTCCCTCGTATGGTATCTGGAACGAATGTTATGTCGGCCTCTCCACAATAATTCTGTGGGGAATGCTAGCACCGTCAAACCGACAGCGTCGATGAAGTCGCACTAGCAGGTACAACATTTTTACCACGTAGTACACGTGTATTAGATGACAAAATGATGGTTTGGAAGCCTATTTATCGACAAGAAGGGCCTGCAGGTGTACGTGACGGCAACTGTGAGATTCACGGATGGCTAGCCTGAACCAAATTAGCCAATCATGCTAGCGAAAACCAGAATTATCACTACCGGTAATGGCACATTCGCGCTTTTCATGACTTGCACGCTCTCGCACAACGGCTCGTCCATTACCATGACCGCTTTGGCTCTCTTCCTAAACCGAACAGATGAATTCAAGATCGCGCTGTGTGTAGGGCAGTTGAGAACTCTCTGGAAAAGGCATGAGCTAATTTAATGTCTGAGCATTCTCACTGATATGCAATATTCAGTCCTTCAACCTATAAAATAGGTACTCAGAACAGGAAACAACGACTGTAAGCACAGCGCAGACTCTCAACCAGCTGGAAAAGTTTCCTTATCATGTTCATGTCGGGATATGGTCTCCAGGTCAACACCAGTTCGCAGATGTATTTGACCCTTGGGGACTCCGGCGCGGACGCGATCAAGAGGCGCTTCCAAAGTTGATGGAGCAAGCTTACGGTTGTGGTGCAGGTCATTGCTGCAACGACGACAACACCAAGAAATTAATCGCAAAAAACTAAGCGCACGAAGCCAAAGTCTTGCAAGGACAACGGAAGGATCACGACAACGTGCATCGAAATGAGCCTTATGTGATAATGACTGACGACGGACTAGTGGACCCACCAGCTGTTGCGCAGAGATTGTTCGTCGGCCTTGCGGATAATGAGCGTTATACTTCGCTGATGAGAGCGGTGAAGAGCGAACACTTGGAAGTAGTCGGGTGCCGCTTAAGCACGGATCAAGCATTTTGCAGCAACGAATGCTGGAGCCACCCCCCTTAATCAAGCCATCATGCAAGGTCGGTTCGATATCGTGCGAGCACATTGCAAGGAATAATATAGCGTCAGAAATGCCCATACTCGAGATCGGAATCTACAACAAGCAGCTGCTCGGGAAGGTCATCTTGAGATGGTAGAGCTGATGATACAGCTGGGTGCAGATGTGTCCACTCCTGTGGTGAAGGTTGGACGCCATTGTATAGTGCAGCAATCGACAGTCACTACGAGGTCTCTCAACTTCTGTTGTGTATAGGCGCTGACGTAACCGTACGTTACGAGGTAGCGAAACAGTTTTCCGAGCGAGGTGAGGAGCAGGAAGCCAAGATCGACATCAGGTCAACTCCTCTCGCGGAAGCGACCAGCAACGAACATATCAAATTTTTTGGTTTACCATTGAAGAGAAGTGCAGACCCAAATGGGGAGACTTAGGTTCAAAAGAGGATCCACCACTCCACATTGCATCGAAAATGAGGAACATTGAGCTGGCGAAGTTGTTCATCGAGCACGGGTCGACCATCGATATGAGGTCACATGATGGATAGGCGCCTCTACATTTCGCAGCAACATTAGGAAACTTGACAGTGGCCGAGCTGCTGTTGCAAGAGGGTGCGAATGTTGACGCGAATAGAGGCGGCAAAGGAGTACAATCATGCTTCAGAAGACTCGAGACTGTCAAATCCATAGTTGGAGACACATGCCGCATTACAGGGGAAGCTGCTGTTTCGAACTATGCATCTTGCGCCTAATGATTGGGCCGTATCCTTGAGGTGGGACTCCGCTAGATTGTCCAGGAGATCCATCTGCAAGCTTGAACGGCACATTTCGCTGGGCAGTAATAGGAAGATGTAGCTATGGTAGCCTATAGGAAGGTTGGTTAAGATGTATATGACAGGCACTCTTAGTAGTCAGCTACGTTTCCCACGGTCTTTTCGTCTTATTTGTTTCGAATGTCCCTACTTTTGGTAACCACATGGTCCAAAAGACGATATCCGAGAACTCGCGCGCCGTCGCATTCCACGTAGCATCTGGCCTCTCCGTTTTTGGCACCAAGGGATTCCTTTCCACCACTTCAAAGCCGAGTTTTTCGTACAAGGGTTTCCCTACGGGTGTCGCATTCAGCCAAAATTCGACTCCGAGCTCTTTAGCAGCATCGATTCCCCATTGAACTAGCATAGCACCAATTCCTTTACGGCGGTAACCGGGATGAGTAAAAAGTATGTTAAGGACTGCTTGAAAGTCAACAACACTTCTACACCACGAGCCAGAGCGAGACTGACAAACTTGCGGGCGAGTGGCCTTCTCCTCGCGGGGTCTGTCCATCTGCCTTATCGCTTGACTAACGAAGTCTCTCGAGGTATCATCCGGGTACCATTCTACAGCTTCTTCCTCCGGGTGAGCGAATGGATCTTCTTTATAAATCTTGTACCATGCAGCGCCAGCAATCCTTCCCGTGGAAACATCTTGGACCTTGAGCCAGCGCGCTTGTGGATCATGGCGGTCCCATTCTAGCATACGTTCAGTAGATTCCTTCAGCGAAGCTTGTCGGTCTCCATTGACGATGGGGCAGAAAAGCCGGAAAAAAGGCTGCACAGGCTCCTCATGCGCTGCCCACATGACGGCCATGAGCTCCTCAAAATCCGCTTCGAGGTCGACATCAGAAAGTTTGAACGACATGTTAGCAATCTAGGACATACACTGTCGCGGTGGATACGTCAATGTTCACCCGACCGTTTGTGCGCACGAAGACCTTCATTTCTCAAACCTCCAGGGTTGTCGCTGCTTCAAGTGCACTGGTCCAATCCGGCGTCCACGCGGGATGCACCTCGCCTGTTTTTATCCCGCACTGCGTACCACCTGCCTAATTAACCGCCAGCTGCGTTTTGCTAGCGCAACTCTGCAGCCAACATTTGTTTGGCCCGCATTTGCGCCACATGAGCTTTCGAGAACTTGATCAGGTAGTTTCCTCGAGCCTTCTTTCCATCGCCAAAACTCGAGATGTTAGCGCCGGGCACCTTTCTTGAAACCAATGTGCATGCTGCTTCATGGGTTTGTCCCCCTGAAAGTCGCCTGAGATGACTTGTATATGCAGAAACCAATGCTCTGGGACCCACTTTAGGCGTTACGAACGATGCGGCACAGTCAGGCGTCTAACACCGCCTAGATAGATCGGTCAACGCTGTGTTGCCGGTCCTCCCCAACGGTTTGAGACGACAACCGTGCAGTCGACCAGGGCGCCTGGCACACATCATGTTCCTCTTTCTGTTGGCCACTGTGGTCTCCCCTGCATAATGTGGCATCCTTGCAGGTAGCTATATGCGATACCATGAGGCGTTCACCTCTTTGTGCGTTGTTTGGCTTCCAAGATTATTGTGCCGCGTTTGCGTTCCCACGCGGCGGTCACCCTCATGTGGCCGGCTGATGGAGCTGAAAGCTGGGGTTGTCGCAACACTCTTTTTGCGTTTGATGATGCTGAGCTCTCACTTTAACTTGTGGCGTTTCCTCAGGTGATGTCAATCGTACATTTCACTCAAGATGGCGGATCAAGTTGTCGTTTCTGCGTCCAATCGTACACCAGTCGTGCAAATCGTTACCTGGTTTTGCCTAGTAGTGAGCGTTCTTGCGTTCCTCTCGCACGCTGGCGTCAAAGTCTACATCTCGCGATCATTGACTGTCGAGACTGGCTTTGTCTTCCTCGCTTTGGTACGGCTTCTTGCTCGGCATTTCCACGTAGCTCACCGTATACCAGCTTTTCGGAAGTGCGCAGTCGATCGCCGTGTCGTTACAAGCTTCCAATGGCTTTGGAAAACCCACGAGCTCGTTGAGCAATGAGCAATCTCAGGCAGTCATGAAGGTCAGTTTGTCTCTTTGATGTGGAGACTTATGGGACTGACTCTCGGCAGAGCGCATACGCTGCCGCGATCCTGTTCTTCTTCTCCATCGCTTTTTCCAAGCTAGCAATCGTCGCTTTTATCGATGGGTTAACACCAAAGAAACTGGATAGACGTTTGAACTATGCAGCGGGGGCCTTTGCGATTGTCTGGCTTGTTGTCGCTGTCTTTATTGCGGCGTTCCAATGTGGGCTGCCTCGTCCGTGGGACAAAACGTCAGGAAGATGTATAAACGGTGTAAGTGGCTAACATTGATAATCACACTCCCAGCTAACGTTTGATCAGCTGGAGTGGTGGGATTCAATCACAATTCTGAACATGGTATCCGAGGCGGCCCTTGTGGCCTTGGAGATGGGCATCATAGCTCCTCTTCAAATGGCACGGCAAAGAAAGGTCTCTTTGATCTGTCTGCTCACCTGCCGGCTACTGTGCGTACCTTCCTTGTCGCACGTATTCCTCCCTAACCTACTCACAGTGTCTCTATCGCGGCTGCCATCCAGCTTCATTTCTTTCACCAAGATGCTTCTGGTCCTCTGAAAGACGATTACGCGCTCGGATACTGGCGATCGACCATTTGCAATCAGATTGTGCAGTGTGTTGCCACAGTTACAACATCACTTCCCTATACAAAGATTTTCATGGAAAGTTTTGAATCGGGTCTGATTGGAGCCGAAAGGCCTGGAGGCAAAACGGAACGTTCGACAGAGGGCAGTGGACCCAGTGGGAGAGGTTGGGAACTGCTCGACGTTTCTCGCGGTTCTGCGACCAGGCCCATAGATGGCATTAGCAAAACTCAAACCTTCACGGTTGAGACGACGCGGAGGGCCTGAATATTGTATATTGAGCAAGTTTTTGTTCCTTCTCAGCACAAAATGAACACCAACTTGGGTCGAGCCAGGGACATTTGAGAATGGTAATTTGAGCGCAGAAGCGGAACGAGTGCCAAATGGGAATAGCCGTGGGTGCAGGAGCTCTAGATTGCATGCGGCCGTAGGGATACGGTTCGAGCGCGGTTCACGGGGGCTCTTCCGGTCGTCCTTCCCGTTGGTCTTCATTGCGCCGTGCGGCGCGGTCCGCTGGGGAGTTCTCCCGCGTGCCGATGTGGAGCACGACTACGCGAGCATGAACCCGGGAGGACGGTTCAGAACCCGTTCCGCGGGCCCAATAAGGTATCTGGACCGAGAGGAAGAAGCGCAACGCGGCCGCAGGGGCATTGGCGCAACCCGCGTTTAGCAGGCGCGATCGGTTAATTGTAAATGGCATATGGGTGTGCATGCAAGAATGGGTCTGATACGATGGAGACACGCTCTGCTTCCGCCCTGGGAACCCAATAAAGTAGGATCCTCGTACGAGCACACATGCAAGAGCAGGGTTCAATGATTTAGTGACACATTCCGATCCAGATATAGCCAATCCCTACGCCTTCATTTGCCATACACGAGCATTCTGCCAAATTGCCTACTTATCGCCGAATCGTGCCGTGTTCGCTCAACACTTGCGCCTTTCAATCGCCAACCGAGCATCGAGCCAAGCGACCCTGGACGAAACGTACCTCGTGCGGCTGAGACAAGGTCGCCTTGGTCCCTTCTTTTCTTCTTTCTAGCGTCGTACAAGAAGCCTACGTTGAAGTGTCGCGCCGTTGTTGTTGCTGCTACTGTTTCAACGATGGATGCTCAGGGCAAAGACGGTAATTACGAACTGCACGAGATTGGTGACAGGCCAAGGTCGTTGGAGAGCGACGATATCGCGCTTTCGCGGCTTGGGAAGAAACCTGTTCTGAAGGTAACACCGCCCGTCCATTCCGGAGTTCCTCAGCTTATACGTAGCCTACAGAGACGGTTTGCATTCCTGTCCATTCTCGGATTCAGTTGCACTGTCTTGATTACTTGGGAAGGATCGCTAATGTATGTATTCCACTCAATTGAGTTGTGGGTTTATCTGCTAACACGGCCAAGTCTTTTTCTCGTGGGTCTGCAAAAGTAAGATTCCACGATGCGCCATGGTCGACATAGCTAACGAGACGAAAGTGGTGGCCCTGCGGGTGTCATCTACGGATACTTGGTCGTATGGCTTGGGACAATCTCAACATTCATCGTGCTTTCGGAGCTGGTTTCGATGTGCGTCAAGAGGCTCAACGATACCGTGACCGAGATGGGACTGACAATGGAGCAGGGCGCCAACATCTGGTGGGCAGTACCATTGGGTAGGCACAATCCTCAAGCAAGACTTCGATAGAATCTAACATGTAACAGGTTTCTATGCTAGCACCTGCGAGTATTCGCAAAGGTCTGAGTTACATCGCAGGTATAGTGGATCCGATGCTTTCGACGGGATTCGACTGACTGATACAACCACACAGGATGGCTCACTTTGGCAGGATGGCAAGCCTCCGTTGGCTCCGGTGCCTATTTGACGGGAACTTTGGTCCAAGGTATGCTTATACTTACACAGCCGAGCTACGTCCCGCAGAACTGGCACGGTACGCTGCTGTACTGGGCCGTGGTGATCTTCTGCATCATTATCAATATCGCTGCTGGATGGCTGCTGCCAAAATTCGAGGGCGGACTTCTCGTACTGCATATCGTTGGGTTCTTTGCAGTCTTGATCCCGCTGTTGACACTTGGTCCGAAGGGCGATACGAAGGAGGTGTTCACAACTTTCTACAACCTCGGTGAATGGCCAACCCAAGGATTGTCATTCTGCATCGGGATTATGGGAAGTGTTTTCGCTTTCGTTGGTACGTCTTCCTGTTAAAGCAAGGTTGGAGCAATCGCTGACATTGCCTGATAGGTGGAGATGGTGCTATTCATGTATGCAATGAATTGTGAACAAGTGGCCAGTCGACTGACAAATCTCAGATGAGCGAAGAAATCCAAAACGCCGCTCTGGTCGTACCTCGATCCATTATGACTGGCATAATGATCAATGGCTCTCTCGGGTTCGGAATGATCCTTACTGTGTTGTATCGCGCCGGAGATATCGATGCTGCTCTCGCCGAGAACCCAGCGTTTCCAATCCTCGCAATCTTCAAGCACGCCACAAACTCCACAGCTGGCGCAGCAGTGCTGGCATCGCTGCTGTTCTGCTTAGCTACCAGCGCCACCGTCGGCCTACTGGCGTCATCATCTCGCGTCTTTTGGGCCTTTTCCCGTGACAAAGGTCTGCCAGGCTGGCGAACGCTCAGCAAGGTCAGTGAAACGATCACGTCGATTTCGAGGGTTACGCTTACCCATGAAACAGGTCAGCGAGCGAACATCAATTCCCGTGTACTCAGTGGTCGCAACAGCCTTGGTCGCATCCGTTCTCGCGCTTGTCAACATCGGCTCGTCGACGGCATTCAACGGTATCATCTCCGTGTCAATTGCCGGTCTCTTCTCATCGTACCTGTTGGTTGCCGGGCTATTACTATATCGTCGATGCACCGGAGGTATTGTACCGGCCAGCAGCGTGCCAATCAGCGGTCCGAGCGACTTTGAAAGCGCGAAGGTTGTGTGGGGCCCGTGGAGGATTCCTGGTTTCCTGGGTATTGCCAACAATGTCTTCGCCTGTGCGTACCTCTCTTTCGTCCTGTTCTTCAGCTTCTGGCCGAGCTTTTCAGCCGTCACGCCGCAGAATATGAACTGGTCGATACTTGTTACGGGTTTTGTTGCCATCTTCAGCGGTCTGTACTACATGATTTGGGCTAAGAAGACCTACCACGGACCGATTGTCGAGGTCGAGCCGAGATACGCGCATGATATGCGTGCTTGAGCAGGTACAATGACTCTTGTTTAGGCAGTACCGTATTGAGTGGACTGACCATATTGCTCAGCGCGCATGGTCTCTACTACCATCCTATAGAAAATACATAGTAATATTCAACTATTTCCGCACTCTATTCCAGCATCCTTACCAATTGGTGAACAAAAGGGAGCCAAAAACTGTTGTAACGCCCAGGAATGCTAAGATCATGTTCATGAATGCACTCCTTCCCAAGGCCTCTAGATCCGTTTCAACTCTTTTCGTGAATGCGCCTTTGTCGTTCGCCCGCGGGAACGGTGTTACCGGAACTTCCTTCTCGAGGAATTCGCATAGCGGTCCCCATCCATCTTCGATGTGCCATTCAAGCAGCCGTTCTTGTGGAACCAGTCGTCGGATTGTCGCACTGTGTTGCTCGTGAACGGTCTTGCCGAAAGGTTCCACGCCGCTTCGCAGTGAGCGATAATCGGTACAACGGAAAAGCGCGGGCCACAGAATCCGCTGGTGGATGTGCCACTGCCACCAAAGGTCGGCGTTGAACCAACTATGGTTGGTACAATTTAAAATCTGTGGACTAAGATGGTATGAGGGGTACTTACCAAAGAAGCCACTTGAACCAATCTTCATTCACAGCTACTATGTTTGACAATACGGAAGAGTGCCACGCATCAAGGTCTCTTCGCATGTTCAGAATCACTTTGGCGTCAGGGTATGCCGCAATCATCTCAGCAGCAAAACAATTTGCCGCTGCATCAGTCACCGCTACAGCATGACCGAGCAATGCATCGAAGTCCGTGGACGTGATTGGCTCAGCAGTGGGCGCGAAAAACTTCCTACGTGCCAATGCAACCCAGGCATTCATACGATGTGGTGATTCGTTCAGCATGTCCCATCCCTGGGTCTGAGCTCAGAACGAGTGTAGCGGCTCGAAGGAAGCGAGTACATACGTGATATGTATAGTCGTAGCCAAGCGTCAACAGGGCTTTCTGCAAAGACTCGGTACCAGATCGGGGTAATCCAACGCATATGACTTGCATTGGTCTCGCGGGGTCGCGGATCCGTGGGGGCGGATTGGGTGCGAATGATTCATAGAATGATTCGATGACGCGCCATGTCGGGCTGCTAAGGCTAACCATGTTGATGTGAATGTACTGCGGTGTATGGACGATGCGTCCAAGAATGACGCTCGTGCAAGTTGCAATGATGTGATGGACGTCTTGCATCTATATACGGTCCCTCTGCTGGTACCTGTCTGCGATAAGCGTGTGCTCCCATCCCTATTAGGAATGAGTCGTATACTGCTTCTTATATTTTGCTGATCACAATCATCAAGCCCTGGGCGTGTTGACCTCTGCCAAGCTCTTATGGCCACTCAAGTCCTCCCATCGTCACAAGGTAGTCTCGAAAGCGAAGTGAAAATTGGCAGTAATTCCATCCGAGACGCCGGCCTTATCTTCTTGAGTGTTACACAATAACAATTTCTCGGCTTCACATATGGCAGCCGTGTGCATTACCCGGAACACGCGTCACAATAATATATAAATACCCGGAACTGACCGGCTGCGCATTAACAAACTCCCGTTCGTTGTTGCCGCGGTCCTTATTGCCGAGAAGAACATTGCGTGTCAATCTGGACAAGAAACAGAATGCTGGAGAAATTGAGTGGCGCAAGCGCGTAGAGACTTTTATGACGATGGATGCCAGAAGGCAGGACGATTCCTTGTGAACTATGTCTATTATCGAGATGTACATACATGATGAAATGAAGATGCTGCCATAGTCAAGCTCGTGTGCAGACCGGCGACTGATGTGTACGCGGATCTGAACATGGAGCCCGTGTTACTACCTCCTTGCTGTAAATCAAGATAGCTTGCTTGGAACGTCCCTTTCTCTCTCACGCGCGCGGGTAAATTTGTCACTCGACAGAGAACGTTGCGCCCGAATGCAGCTTAATCCATGTGGTAGTACTCACGGCTGACCCTCTTACGTACTCGAGGTCATTGCGACACACAGGCAGGCTCGCTTGCTCGATCCCAAGCCTAGAATTGCGCATCTCTTCTTTGCAGTCTTCGTCTGGCAGCATAAGATCACCGGCCCCAGCGATTTCGTCCTCGTTCATTGCAGCTTCGAAGAGCCAGGAACCTATCGCATAGATTGGACCTCCACGTGCAAGATAATTCTTGCAATGCGGAGGCCACTCGCTCTCAATTTGAATGTGGAGACGTATGTTGGCTTCAGTCGGCAATCCTGCAGCACCTTCCGTCCGCGTAACCATATCGAAGCGTTGAAACAGATTGGAAAATCCCTGGCGCATGGACTTATTGGTCTTCATATCGTTCCGGGCAGGCAGAGGAACATACCGGAGGTATGGCGCGAACACATAATCAAGCTCGTCGAACATGAGCTCCACATCCATATCGATGGACATTCTGAGCATATCATGGATGTACTCAGCCTTGCTCTGAAGGGCGAAGCGCATGCGGAGACTGAAGAACCCCGCAAGGCATCTGCCACAGGTGCAACCGTACTTATAGCGCAGCTTCTTGATGTGGCTTGCCGTTACCTGGCCTTTCAGAGCAATTATACATGCTACTGTATTGTCACTGAAGCCCTCGAATTCGTCAGAAACCCTCAAGATGAGCATACCATGCTCACGTTTGATCCTGAGTTTTTCGTGAAATAAGTAGGGTGCATCTAACGATGTCTCGCCTTTGTCTTTTCGAGAATCCATGACAGTGTTCTAGGTTTGGATCCAATCGCAGCGTAATGCAGCATGGTATTGCCATTCGCATTCGCGACTTGCCGTTCCGGATCGTGAGGCGACTTGTCCTTAGGCAAACTTTTGAGTCGCTCATAAACAGCTTGGTCGTCCAGGTTGATACATTCATCGAATACTTCCGCAGTCTTCATACTGATGGTGCGTTGCGGAGGGGTTGGTAATTCGAAATCTGCTGCTGCATCTAGCGAATGGCACGGATGCTCCGGGTTGCTGGATAGAGCAAGCCACCTCGACGACCCAACTCTCCGAAAGCCTAGCGATCTAAAGAAACCTTCAGCAATTATCTGGTGACGAAGTTCAGCTTCTCTGACTAATGTCTCGGTAGCACCTTCCGTTTCTGCGTTGACAGCATCATTGAGCCATCCTGGGCCAACACCTGCGTAGGAGTTGTATGACTTGGAGCAAGTCTTGTCCATCACAGCTGTTATAAGCTTGCTTCCTATTCCTTGATGACGTTACGGCTCCTTGAGAGAGATTTTGCGATCAACAGCAAGTCGCCGTTGTCGAGCTCATCGCACCAGATCCCCGATCCTTTCTGAACGGTATGCTCCTTGTGATTGAGCTTCAGGCGGCCATATCGATCAAACAATTCGAATGCCGGCATGCTCGTCTCTTGAGTGGGCTGCTCTAAATCGCTGTAGAAAGAATGCATACGATTACGCCGGATCAGTTTGGCGTCACAATAACCCACTCGCAAGGTCTTCTTGGGGCTTGCTGGATCAACCTTGTCAACCATTCCGTCCACATGCTCTAGATAATTGAACTCAGCAAATTCATCGTTGTCCGAGTTTTGTCCACAGTCGTGTTCGGTATCATCTGCATCATCTGCATCATCATGAGAGGTTGTATCCCCATTTCCAGGTATGGGCCGAAGTTTCTTCGCTGGTCCTTTCGCTGGCGGAACATTCTGTACATGTTTGCTGTTCCAGGTCAGTATCGGTGCTCGAAGATCGTTTTTGCTGCTTACTTTGCTTCAATAGGCACGATATCAGGCGGTCCCTCCCCCTTCGCTTCTACATCGCGACGAAGTTTGCCCAATTCCGCCCAATATTGCTTCCAGGGTTTCACTGGCTTGTGGTCATTTCTTATCGCTTTAGATTGAGATCACAGCTTCACTTGCACGGTGAAGTCATCTATGATGTTTGTATCCTGGGAGCGCTCTGGAATTGTCATCTCTTCGTTGCTCATGTTGTCATCCGCGCTCCGCGCTCGCTTGTTCGATGGCATTGGAACGATGGGGTGTCGTGGCAGAGAGTTTTTGGACATGGCTTTGGCGAGAGTGAGCGTGAATTGGGATCAGCAAAGTCCTGGTCGTTATTCACTTGCCTTGCAAGGAAAGGCACGCGCTGACGCGCTTCTCCTGTCAGAAATGCCCGGCAAGTCTTTTAGACCTGTGCACGAATGGGGATAGCGTGGGTACAGCAGACGAGGCGGTGTAGTCATGTCTGAGGCTAGAGGTGAGCAGAGTCGGACAAATCAGTGTCGCGGACGGCAGGTGTTCTGACGCGCTCGACATGGCAGGAACACGTCATCACATGACCTCCGCAATCCGACTGACAGCATCTTACCTCTTATGCTTACAAAATGATTGTACACACCAATGTCGCCAACGCAATAAAACCTGAACTCAGGCGCGTACTTCATCCTGTTGCAACTAAATCTATGACTCGTTTATAAAGTCGTAGTATAATATTTTGCTTTCCAAATGTTTATGTCACTTTTCCATGGGTTTGTAGGTAAATTCTTGATTCATGACTCGTAGATTATTGGTACATCCCTCCCTGTAGGCTAATTCACTGTGGTACACTTATTTGAAAAGTTTGGTGCCCTAAGTAGGCTAAAGTAGGGTCCTAAAAGGTTAATTAGGTGTACCATAGTGAATTCACCTATAGGGAGGGATGTATCAACAATCTACGAGTCATGAATTGATAGAAAAGTGCCTTTGACCCATGGAAAGGTGGTACAAGAACTTATGGAAAGCATCGATAAGGCAATGTGGATATTCATTAAAATTCTAGGATTCCCATTTTGATCGCCGGTCACTGTGAATATAGATACAGTACTATGAACAATCTTTTTTCTAGAAGGCGCGCTCGAGGTGAAGCTACTCCAGAATTAGAGTAACTCCAATTTCAAAGCTGCTCCGCTCAACCCACCTTCTCTCACCCCACCGCAACCCCCTCCCACAGCTACCGAGGCATGGCATTGTCGAGGTCGCGCAAAGTATGCATGATAGCGGAGCGGAATGCTCACAAAGGGTTCAAGGGCTCCGCTACTGGGTTTCAAACTCGCAGAGCGAGCAAAGCCACCAAACAAGGTCAACCATTTTGTTTTATTTCCGCTTGAACAGTTCAATAACCCGTCCACCAGCAGGAAGTCTCACCGCTGCCAGAACGGTGAGCCTATCACCAACCAAGAGCAGCCGCGCCAAAGCCAGTGTCGAAGAATACATCAACCGAGAGCACAAGGATTAGAGTCTCCTGGACAACCTGCCCATGTCTAGCGACTATCATTGGGATCATATCGAGAAGAAAACAGCTCAACCAGCTAGGCAGGCTTTATTTCTCGGTGAGAGAGATGGAGTGCAATGCTGGGCTGTACTTTACAGTTACAGCAACAAATCTGATGCGGTCGAACTCGTCACTCTTGACGCTGGCACTGGAACGAGAGGCTCGCATCACTCCAAGGCAACTGGTGGTCTCCCTTTCATGTATCCGTTAAAGGTATTCCGGGATCAGGACAATGTCCACTCTCGAGAGTACCTCTCGCTTATTGTTCACTACATCTTCCTTGAGACTCACAAACCACTCGCAAATTCCCAGAGTCGGCTAAGAAGAAACTCCTCTGCTCTTCTAGGGAAATCAAGAGGAACCACGCAGCTCAAGGAGGTCAGTCACTGAATCTCCATATGGCAGCCGTTTGACAATTTTCGTTAAGTTAATATCCTTCTCTGGGAATCATTGCTGTCGAGGACTTTTAACATCCCTCCCTACTTCCTAGTGAGTGGTCTAACGCTCAGCCAAGTGATGAATCACCCTGAAGAAGAAACAATACTCCGGATCGGTCTTGGTGACATGCAGGGTAGTTCACGTCCTATCTCGGGTGCACGCGAAGCTCCTCGTCCAATTGATCCCGGTCTAGCGCATTCACGTCAGGAGTTCACCCCACCATTGCCGACACCGTGCTCAGCGAGCAGTTGGAAAGCATGGCCTTTCCAAGAAACAGAGGCGAAGACAGCTTCCTTTACAACAATTGGAAGGCAATGACCGAGGAGTAAACGAAACGCGGGATGAAAGATTTGCGATATGAGCAGCGCGCAAGGGAGTTGCAGGATGAGGAAAAAGACTCAGAGCAGCGCCGGAGGACTATGATTCAAGGGAAGTATGCAGAGTGGGTGGCTCAGCAGAGCATTCGCGCGAACATTCGCTCTAGGGAGAATTAGAGAGAGCCCACATATATCATGTTGAGAGGAAGACTCGCCCGGCCTTTCAGAGATGGAGTGGCTTAATGTATCTGCATGTCGAGTGAGCTAAATAGCTCGCGAAGGTGCAGGCTCGCTGGTGGGCGACAAGAGTTTCAAGTTCACGTCCTGCACGGTTTCTGTGGGCCTTCGTCCTACTGGTGACTCACTCCTCATAATCGATGAAGTCAGCTGGATGCATCCCAAAATTAGACAGCTCCTTATGATTCAAAGATATTAGCGGTGTTGAAGTCATCTCTCTTCCCTTTGAGTGCCTGCACAGCGCTCCCATCCTAAAGCAACGCTGACATGGCGCTTGTTCGATTTGAATGCATTTGCTTTTCCGGTCCTGACATCACTCACATCTGACAGTACCAATTGATGGGGTTCCGGCATTTTACCAGACAATAATCCTAGCATCTTACGCTCATTCTGTCCGGTTGCCGTTCTCTTTCGTACCTCTTCTTCGCTTCCGCGCCTTTGATCCAAATTTTCTCTGTTCCAGACGCATGCTTGATACGCTTTTCGCTTGCCCACCTGCCCATACTACAAGTTCTCTCTAAAACATAATTTAACCCGCCATCGGAAGTGGTTTGGTAGATAGTCAGTAAAAACTCTGGACGATGAGATGGCTACAACGACTGGTCATACAGCCCTGGGGGAAACAGACCATTTGATTCCCTGTCGCCTGTTCTCGGAAATTCCCCCTTAACGTGTTCGGTGGGGAATGCTGATTTCGTCAGTGGTTGCGCTAACACATACACCAGTACACAATCTCGGGATTTCCGGTTTGCCGAGGCAAGCCGGGAATTCCCCACGCCAACGATCTTTCAGACGCGTCACTGAGGAAATTGTGTCTACCTATTGTCGCACTGACCAACTACCCAATGATGTCAATTCAGCTTTCCAGCTGAAAGCAGCTCTGCGCGAGATCAATTGCGAACAGGCGTATTAGATTCACGTTGTCCACGTGATGTGTAAATTGATCCAAGCATCGAGTCGCAATGAACTACGAAATAGGTGTGAAGAATGCCGGACCCTTGATGCGCCTCAAACTTCGATAGTAGACATATCTAAATTAGAGTGTACCAGATGCAGGGACATGTCTCCTGCACCCCGCAACATCCCCACACTTTCCCCCTCATATCGGTATCCTACTCGATTAGCTTGCGCTGGCGTGCAGCTATACCTTACTGCGAAAGGCAAAGCAGCTGAAAATCCACTCCCCACCTTCCGCAGAGCTTGGTCAAATTGAGCCCCTGGCTGTTCGACCTACGGCTAGCAGTAAACAAGTTTCTCTTCGCGTCGGCCTTTGAATCAATGATCTTCAATTGCCGGTCATGATGCCTTCCCGAAAACGAAGCCTTAAGAAGCCAGCGGATTGGGGAGTGGACATGTGTGGCAACGTACATCATCGTTCTTACCTATACTAATTTTCTTGGTTCCCTGAACGCAGCAAAATGCTAGATCGGATCCTCGCCAGCGTGGCAATAGCCTGTGCTATTGCACCAGGCGCGGCAGGCGAAGTCGTCCAGCTGCAAGTACCAAATCGACCTCCTGTTGGGACCAATGTCCTCACCGGGTCGTTTCAAGGCTACTCTATGGAGTTTGCATCATTCCCAGCTATAGCGGGTAACTATTCGTAAGTCTATCCACGGCCCAGCATGCAACCCTGCTCATGCACAAAATTCAGTTCGCCCAACAAGCTTTCCTACCGGATGCTCCAGAATCTGAAGGATATTACGAAGAGCGCTGTCCCCGTTCGCGTTGGTGGCACAACGGCCAACCACGGAATCTGGATCCCTAATCAAAAGCAAGCCATTATTCAAAATTTTGCTACTCCCGGTGCAGACCAGCCAGCCAATTCGACGTGGGGCCCTTCCTACCTGGAGTCTTTCAAGGTCCTACCAAAGGGCACTCAATATACTGTCGGGGTCAGCTTTGATGACGGAGACGACGGAGCGAAGGCAACAGTCACAGAGGCACAGGCTTTTTACAGTGGCCTTGGCAATGACATATTTGCCTTCGAGGTGGGGAATGAGTTTGACGGTACGAACCTGGTCGCAAAGCCATATGTCATAGAAGCCTATACTAATGACTTGCAGCATTCCCGGTAGATCGCGACACGAGCACTTGGTCCATTAAGAAGTATGTGCCAGAATGGTTGGATCGTACAAGCGTTGTCGCGAAAAGTGTGCTCAAGAAGACGGACAAGAAGAGGTTTCAAGCCGGTCCTTTTGTTGCCCCAGGCACAGTTAGCAATGACACTACGTGGACGGCGAAGGCAGCTATTGACTTAGGGGTTGCTTCCACAGGCCTGGCTAGGACCTTCTGTACGCATCAATACTTTGGTGCTGCATGCACACCTGTGAAGCCAACCCTCGCAGGAGACCTGATGAACCGCACCAAAATGTTCCCCTGGATGGAGTATCACCGAGAGGCATCCTCATACTCCGTCTCCAATGGCCTACCCTACGTAATTGGAGAGACAAACTCAATCGCCTGCCAAGGCCTTACTGGCGTCTCTGACGTGTTCGGTGCGGCGGTCTGGAGTGTCGATTACGCCTTGTACGCAGCTTCACTCAATGTATCCAACATCTTCTGGCACATGGGTACTGGCTATCGTTATGCCGCCTGGCAGGCTACACAGAACGGGACCACGACGACAGGGCCTCGGCCACTCTACTATGGCAATGTGTTGGTCGCTACTGCTCTAGGCGACGGCAACTCCCAAGTCGTACCAATCGTAAACACAACATCACTGGCCGGATATGCGGTATACTCAAGCAAGTCCCGAAAGGCCTCGCTCCGCAGCATCGTTTTGGTCAACATGGACGTCTTCAACTCCACTAGCACTCCGGCTTCTTCGCGGCCGAGCGCGGAATTCAAGCTTCCTGCTGAACTTTGTGGCAAGAATTCTAAGGTCTCGGTGCAGCGACTGACGGCACCGGGTGCGGAGGTGCGTGATGGTATAACTTTCGCTGGACAAACGGTGGCGCTCGATGGGAAGATCTCAGGGCAAAGCAAGAAGCAGTTTATGGCGGGCGACACTGTAATTGTCTATGCAAGTGAGGCTGTTCTGTTGCAGATAGAATAATGTCCAAACTAAATTGAGCGTCTTCGACTTTATCCTCTCTCACACCCGAACGTGACTACCAGGGAGGACGTATTGAGTTGATTTTTAAGACACGTAAAGTAGTCTAAGTTATACTAGACTTGACTATGAAGAATCTAATTGAGCCTGACCATAGATCCATCATTGATGTTGGCGCGAGAATCTCTATACACTACCATGCGATCCTCGCCACAGGGCCCTTGGGCCACGTTCGCACGATTAACTTGCGAATTTCGTCCATCACCAAGATACCCATGGCGAGTGGAAGTGGAATTAGCCAGAATTCGATAGGAATCGATGCCGTTCCGAACAAGCTCTGGATTCCAGGCACTTCCGTGACAAAGATTGCAATGGCAAACGATATGAGGATCGACACAATGAGCCATGGGTTTCTTCGCTGCTTTCGAATAGGATCCGCTTGAAAAATGGACAGTTTCTTGTTGCGGATGGACAAGATATTTCCCCACTGCAGAATGACAAGGGTCACGAAGTAAACACACTGTCCAACGACGTTGAAGTGCGCAAGCTCGTCTTCGGTATAGCCGTGGAAGCCGTCAGTGTATCCCTCGAACAGGAACACGAGATCCCGAAATGGGATACCAGCTTTCTTGTAGTAGTACAAGAAAAACATCGAATGCGCACAGACAGTCTCCATAACGCCGATGAACAGGTATGACTGTGCGTAGATCTTGAGATTGATCAAGTGGTCTTTTTTGTGATTGCGCGGGGGCAGACTAAGCAGGTCGAATTCTTCTTTCTCCATGATCAGGCTCAAGCTGAGAAACAGATCTGTGAACACGCAGATGATGATCATGAGGAATGAGCTTAATGGCAACGGCACCCCAATGAAGACATTCATCAGCACAGGCCAGATCTCAGACCAACTGCCAGCTGGCAGCAGATACCCAATGACCTTCTGGAGGTTTTGGAAAACCAGCCTTCCAAGACGAACAGCGTCGACAATGGAGTCGAAGCGATCAAGGAGGACCAAGTCCGCTGCCTCCATAGCCACGTCGCTGCCTCCAGCTATCGCAATACCGACATCTGCTGCTCGAAGAGCGGGTGCGTCGTTGACACCGTCACCAGTGGCGGCAACAGCGTTTCCGCGTTTTTGCAGCTGGTTGACGATTCGAAGTTTCTGATCTGGAGTCGTACGACCGAAAACGATCTCTTCGTAGCTGCAAACAATGTCCCAGTCAGCGTCGGAGAGATCGTTGAGCTGCGGCCCTTCCAGGAGGAGGCTTTTGTAACTGTGCACTGACTGCAACTCATCGTTCGAAGAGCCATCCCGGACCTCTTGCAAAGTCTTGATGGTGTCTGGATCAGCTTCACCGGTGAAGATGCCCGTTCGGCGAGCGATAGCAGCTCCGGTTAGACCATAATCGCCGGTCACCATGAAGAAGCGTATGCCAGCTTTGCGGCAAGAAGCAACGGTCGCCGCTGTCTCCGGCCGAGGCGGATCGAGGATGCCAAGGACACCAACAATAGTCAGGTTCTGCATACCACGCTCCATAAGCTCGTCTCCCAGAACATTAGATTGCGCGGACGCCGTTGGGGTGTATCGACGTTGGCACAAAAGGATGACACGCTCTGCATTCCTGGACAAGCGGTTTTGCAAGTCGGAAAATTGCGCTCGCGAAGCTTCATCCAGAGGCTTGGTGCAGTCGTCTTCGTAAGACCAGTAGCTTGAGCACTTCGACAGAAGGACGTCCGGAGCGCCTTTAACAAGTACCAAGAACTCATCTTTCCGACTCTCATCGTTATCGCAAGGGTGCATCGTGAGCATCCACTTGTTCTTGGAGTTGAATGGGATGTGGAACCGCCTGGGTTGAGATTGCAGGGTCTCCTTTCCGGGCTTCATGGTCTCCGCGAATCTAAGTACTGCTGCATCTGTGCTGTTGCCTTGAACTAGTCGCTGATCGATTGGCACATGGATGGTTGAAGGGTCGAAGGTTGCATCGTTGCAAAGCACAGCCGCTTTGTACAGCTCAACGAGAGCTTTACGCGACTTGTTGGATTGGAACAGCTCCTCTGCCTCTTCAGTGGTCATGAAGCCATCCACAAAGCCAACTGACATTGCTGTCATATTGTTCTGGGTGAGAGTGCCTGTCTTGTCGGAGCAAAGAACGTTGACGCAGCCAAGGGTTTCCACCGTCGACAGGCCTTTGGGAAGAATGTTCACCTTCTTCATGCTACGAGCAACGATCATGAGAGTAAGTGCAACGCCGATAGGCATACCCTCTGGGATGAAAGCTACTACGCAGCCCATGACGTTGTTGAGCATCGCGACAACGTTCATGTACGAACGATGTTTGATGCGTAGCCATCCGACCCATGCGAAGAGGATTAGACATGCCAGGCAAATCGTCAAACCGACGATGATCAAAACGAAACGCGATATCTCTGCCTGAATTAAGGTCGGTTTTGCCTTTACGCCAGAGGTAGCCTTTGCGATGCGGCCCATGATGGTACTGCCCCCGACCAGAACGACTATTCCGACAGCCTGGCCATTTGTGACGCTCGTGCCCATCGCTGCGATGTTTCGGGTCTCGAGGAAGTTTTTATCCGTCTCAGAAACTGCACCTTCGACATCTTCGGTTTCTCCCGTGAGCATCGATCGATCGAATCGGACATCGCCCGAGGTCTCAACGAGACGAATGTCGGCAGGCACTTTGTTACCAATCTGGACCTTGACGACATCTCCAGCTACAAGATCGGTGGTCGAGACCTTGTTCCAATGGCCGTCTCGTAGGACGAGTGCGTCGGAGGGCAGGAGATCGAGGATAGATCGCATCGTCTTCTTTGTGGACCAGTCTTGAAAGCATGAGAAACTAGCTTGAAGTAAGATGACAATGAGGACGAGGATTGCAAGACCAAGATTGTATGCCTGTGGGTCAGGATCGCCGAGGGGCCTCCAGCAGATGAAGAAGATGATCACTCCGACCCAAAGGACGGAGCAGAACCCACCAAAAACATATCCAAGTAGCTTGCGGATGTAGCTCTCGCGAGGCTGGGGAAGAACATTTTTTCCGTCGCGTTGGAGACGCTGAGCGGCAATGTCCTGGCTGAGACCACTGTCGCGCGATACATTGAAACGTTCGCAGACCCTATCTTCGTGTAGGATGTGGTAGTCAAGCGCTTCGAAGAAGACACGGTCCTCTTCGCCTGCCTTTGGGGGCTCTTTGGCTTTCGGGTTGTGGGTGTCAACGGCCTGAGACTCCGAGATCTGGAACGAGAGTGCACGATGTTCGATAGGTAGGCCGGATAAGGCGCGAGAGTGTCCGCTTGCCGATGAATCGCGACTTCGAGAGCGGATCCGCTTCTTGTATGTGCTTGTTCCACGGCTCTGGCGAGTCGGGCGGATATCATCATCTTGGAAGACGATTCGACTCAGGACCGCTTCATCCGTCGAAGCTGAGGGTTTTTCTTTTTCAGGCATCACAATAGTGCAATTTGCTTGGATTTGGTGGTCTTGATAACGGTGGAACAGACTGGCAGAATAGGCTTGAGCGAGGTATGGTCTGAAGACAACTGCGCGGGCGCCAATGAGTTGGTGATCAATTTGGGGACCGATCCGTACTCATAGCGAAGGTATACTCCTGCAAGCGAGGCTCAACGCCATTGAAAGGCGCGCTACGGGCACGTGAACAGGAATATGGTCACAACTTGGCGAAAATGCCTCAGTGAGCCGCGGCCTCGTTCCAGACATGAACGCCACTAAGATGGACACTAAAACTCCACTCGCTACCTCAGTTAACATCGCTTTTGCCAGCGCCATAGACCTAATCACATTTCAAACCTCGAGGTTGTTCATATGCCGAGTTCCTTGGAGAATCAAAGCTCTCTTGTGTCTTCCCCTTTCCCTGTCCTTCGATTCACCAATACAAGCTGGGGCGTGCTGTCCGAGAACAGGACTGTGCGACTCTTAAAATTATCCAACTCTCATCTTACCTTGCGGCTGATTGAGATCGGGATCCTGGAAAATATGTGTCAATGTGCGGAGGTGAGTACACAGAATGAGGGAAAATGCCTCAATCCGCTAGGCTTGTTTCGGAATCTACCCATTGTCATCGACCAGCACCAGACATAGATTTGACATCACTCACTAATTTCGCACGCTCGCATATGGAGGATCTGCACTCTTGGGTGTGGACGGTGTCAGCAAGAACTAGAGCTAAGAAATGAGCTAATTCAGTCTCGACGGGCTATACTCTGAAGGCATTCCGTAAAGTGGTCATGTAGTAGTGTTAGATTTCTGCGCGTAAGTCCAAAGGTATGCGAGAGCGTGAAATCTCAGGGAAGAAAAAAATGAATTGAGTGTACTTGACATGCTTGGACCGTTTGGTAGTGCCTCATTACCACAACTGGCAGGTTGGTTTCTTCTCCTTGCACTTGAAGCTCTCCTTGAACTCGCGACTATTCGCCATGGTCCCTAGGATGCGTGCCCACTTGGGTGCATGGGGATCCGTGTATATGCGCTGAATTGCCGTTTCCTTGCGCGACTTGCCACACCACCAGTTCGAATACGTGACAAAGAAGAGCTGATCTTGCGTAAAATATTCCAGGCCCGGAAGATTCAAATTCGGCTTCTCGTGAGCACGTCGCTTCCATGCTTGGTAGGACGCCGACAAGCCACCTGCGTCAGCAATGTTCTCACCAAGCGTCAAGCGTCCATTCACGTGGAGGGGCTTGTCGTCTGGTCCAGGCACAGTGAAGTTGGCATACTGCTCAACAAAACACTCGGCACGCTTTTGGAATGCCTTGACCGTCTCGTTCGACCACCAGTCTGTATAGTTGCCAATCTGGTCATAGTGTCGGCCCGTAGAATCGAAGGCGTGACTCAACTCATGGCCAGCCACAGAGCCAAATGCACCATAACTCATGTACGCCGGGACGTTTACATCAAAGACTGGGAACTGCATGATTCCCGCGGGGAAGACGATTTCGTTTCCTGGAGGGTTGTAGTAAGCATTCACCGTTGGAACGGTCATGCCCCATTGCTCTCGGTCTACAGGCTTGCCAAGGGCAGACCACTCGTCCTCAACGGCAAATCGACGCATCGAGAGAGCATTAGCAAAGAAGGCCTCCGAAGATATGTTGACAGAGCTGTAGTAATCCTTTAGGTTGGACGGATCCATGATATCGGGACTTTTGGTAGGGTAGCCGATTTTCTGGACGATATTGTGAACTTTGTCGATCGCTTTTTTAGTAGTTGCCTTGTCCATCCATTTGGTAGCTTTGAGCTTCTTAGCGAATTCGCTTTTAATATCGGTAATGATGGTGTCGCCAAACTTCTTGGCCTCAGCCGAGAAGGCCTTTTCGACAAAGAAACGGCTCAGGAACCAGCCCAAGCCGTCGTCGACATGACCGACACATCTCCGCCATCGTTCGGGAGCAGAATCAGGGTCCTGATTGTATTAGCTTCACAGACTCGAAAATATTGCAGAAAATAACGCACTTTGCCAACGAGCTCGTTGGTAAACCTTTTGTAAGGCTTGATAGCGTCCGCCTCGATGTAAGCAGAAAATGATTGAACAGTCTTCCAAACGAAGTAGCTTTGAAGGACCTTAGCATCAGTTTCGTCGATGATCAAGGACAACTTCTTCTGGTACTCTGGGGTGTTCACAATGACGCGTGTGATGTCGACATCGCTAGGCGCCAGATCCTGTATGAGGGCTTTCAGGTCAACTTGAGGGGTTAGACTCGCAGCTTCCTCGATAGCCATTGGGTTGTAGTATTTGGTGACATCTTCACGGTCCTCGGTAGGAGGTGAAGCGGCTGCGAGCTTCTTTTCCAGATCAATGACCTTAGAATAAGCTTCCTTGTCCTCCTCGGGGTACAAGTTCCCGAGGACTTGAACAGCAACAGCGCGGTACTTCTCGACTAGCTTGTCGTCCTCATAGCGCTCCTTTGATGGGAGGCCAAAGCTCCAAGGAGCCGAAACTGACACAACAACAGTATCTGGGTCACGATCATCGGCACCTGTCCCTGCAGTAATTAGGGCTGACACCCCGTACTTGGCAAGGAGAAGTATAATGTCCTTAAGGCTTGCAGATTTATCGACTGCATAAGTATTCTTGATACGATCAAGCACATCGAGTAGCGGACCAGCACTGACATCCTTGATCTTATCCTCGTCAATGCAAGCATCGTATGCTGCTTTCATCTTGTCGAAGTTCTCCTCATCTGCAGACTTCTTAACGGCCAACAAATTCATTGGCGAGAAGTACGAATGCTATAGCCCATGGTCAGTTGGATGGTTCGTGGGTCAATGGTACCCGTACCTGAGAGTCTTTGGGGTACGGAGAGTCAAGAATGTGACGAAGCAAAAGTTCGGAGTTCTCATTCATGATGGTCCCGGTAAATGCGTCACCCTGATCGGGACGAAGATCATGCCTGTCTCTCCAACCGCCACACACAAGCTCCTCAAAGTCATCACAGGGATCGAGTTCCTTGTAGTTGGGTGACAGGTTGTACAGAATTTCCGACGCCGCGTGGACGCAGGCCGGGGTTAAGCATAGCTTGGACGATTCCACCTTCTCTTGGTTGTCCGCTGGTTTAGTTCGTCAATGGAGCACTCGCTAGCCTCGGTATATCAACCTTACCATCAGCAATGCTATAATACACAAGTCCCAGAGCGGCAGCGACGCCAAAGACCCTCAAAGCAGACACAACAGACAAGCCACGTCGCGGTGATGGATTGGCCCTAGTAGTGGGAGGTGAGAGCAGAGGCGTTTTTTCTGACATGGCGGGCACCGCCTGAGCTCAGTCTTTGCTTTGACTTGGTCTCTAGAACGGACTGATTGTTGGGATGCTATGCAGATGGAAAAGAGATGAGTCTGTTTAGGCAGCGGTCGGCATGTTGGTCACGATGCGATGATGCGGAGACCTGGGGAAAGGGCGCTTGGCGGACCCAGCCACCCAGCCACCCAACCAACGTTTCAGCCTCTGGCCTTGATCCCGAAAATGGTTAGCGTACAATCCCTCCAGAAAGTGCAAACGCCTCGGCGCTTAAAATCAGCATCCCGCTCTTCAGTCAATCCTGCAGTCACATTGATTCGAGCTAGTGTGCTGAAGCATGCAGGTGCTCTTTGTTCCATATTCTTATCTATGGGTGATTCCCCTACTCATGTAGCCTTTGATATGTTAGGCTCTACTTCATGAGCAAGCGAGCTCGCCACTCTCTTCACTCTCTGACTTTCTCGCTCTTGGGATTTCACTGCAGTGTGATCTTGTGAACTATTTGCTTACCAGCTGCAATTCGCAAGCTTAGTACACTTGCGCCCAAAAGTATCGCTTCCTACCTGCAATTTTCCAGCGCCGGCTACCATTTCCTGACATCAAAGGTCACGGCAGTATTGTTGAGGTCACAATTGTAGCTCACCGCATTCGCGCACTCTACTTTGCCCTTGGCCTCGAGCTTTCTCTCGAAATCACAACCATGTCCAACGCCTCATCCACGTCCGGCACAGCGTATGCCAACCTCGACTGGACGCAATACATACGCTATAGGCCCAGTTACCCACCTTCCCTACGCGAGCTCATCTATAGGTATCACACTCGCAATGTTCCCGGCAAGACTACCGCTCCAGATGCCAGCACCCACTGGGACTCGCTACTCGACATTGGAGGTGGCATCGGCATATCTTCTGTGCCATTCATACGCGACTTTCGCACTATGCATCTACTCGACCCGAGCCCGCTAAACCACGAGAAAGCGCGAGTCTTCCTGGCTGAGCACGTGTCGGTCAATAATTTGCAAACGAAGCTAGAGTTCACAGTCGCCAAGGCCGAAGAGTACGCCAACAAGCCGGCTGTCACTGCTGAGAGTGGCGTGTCGCTAGCTATATGCGCTTCCACTGCGCATTTCATCGATCCGGACATGCTTGTAAAAGCAATGTACAGATTGATGCGCCCCGGTGGAACGATGGCGATCTACAGTTACTGGCTACCAGTGTTTCCGGACCTTGACCCAGGACTCAGCGTGGTGTACACAAAGACGGTTACGAGAGCCATGAGATTATGTATTCGAGACGAGGCTACGCGGAATGTGTTTGCCGATGCGGTTGCTCGGCTCTGTACTGGTACTACAGTCATGGACGCAATCGCTGTCCCTGATGATTTGTTTGAGGGTATACAGCGCATCCAGATCAACCCCCAGACGGCGTTATCCCTAGATACCTTTCGCGAGGACCCGGCTGTGCCGTTTACACCCCTAGATTCGCAGGTCCGTGAGCACGACGGTAAATACACGTACGTTAGCGGGACGGATCCCGAGGCGGAAGGATGGACCATGTCCGTGGATCTGGACTTTTTACACGGCATGATCCGGACGATTCTGCCGGCGGATATCCAGCTAAGCAAAGAGCAGCACGAGGAGTTGTATGGTGACCTCGACCGAGCTTTTGTTGAACGGTGCTTGTCGGGATATACTCTAGCGATGTGGGGGCTCGATATGATTCTAGCCACGAGGCGAGGATGAAATGGGGGGGACTCCTGAGCTATGGACAAGACTAGAAGTACGCCGAGCAAAATGTTTGGGGTTTGTGTACTTCCCGAAGACTTTGTCGTGCAAGTCTCGTTTCTACATCGGTGCAAGCCCGAGCGAAGTCTCGATCTACACTCCTAAGCTTGGCGCTGCTGGAGAAATCTGGGACAGCCAAAAGTCCCAGGTCCAATTTTGTGAGTTCATGGTCGTCAGTTCTCTCACATAAACACGAACACCGACGACGTTGTGTAAGGTTCAGCTTCCAGATATCTATAGGAGCCTAAGTTGTGCCACGCTTCAGTATGGACACTTCCAGCTGCGTCTTTTATTACATCCGGCCTTGATGTTCATATGAAGGCCAACCCCAACGCTCTCAGCGTATCTAGAGAAAGAATGACAAGTGATGTGTCAATCCTTCGGTGAAATGGCTTTCAGAGAGCTGCCAGAACACATACCCTTGCTCATTGAGTTAATCTCATCGGAACTGAACGTGGCGGCATTGCATGATCTTCGGAAGTCCGGAATAGATCGCGCAACGATAGGTACTTCATACCTGCACTTTGGATCCGACCATCATGTCTTGGCCTCAACGGCTAGCCACCAATTGAGTAGAATCAAGAGGTCCAAGACGGACAAAGCCAATTTGGGCATGGAGACGCCAGCGACACCCAGGATTTATAGGAGAGCGTCCATCTGATCGCAAAGGACACGAAAGGTGACGACTGCTTGATCTTATACGATAGCCGAATACGCGCGTACGGTCTATACGACCGTTAATTACCAGGCCCTTTCATCATGAACCAATGGCATTGAATCCTGCTCCGCAACCTACCGAACTAGCCTCATCATTCTGCAACCAACTCAGCATCTACTCGGTATTAGCCCTCCTTACCTCACCGTTATTCCACTTGCGTTCTTGCGCGACACGTCTTAACGTACGTGTGATAGCGCGATCTGCATGAGATGATTAGGAACGTGCACCCATCTTTGAAAACACCCATAAAAGACACTCCGCAGTGCCTTGCGCTTGCTTCCAGGTCAGAGCATCCAAATATTTGTCCGTGATGGCGGGCACACTTCAGAGTATTCTCTCCAAAGCTCGAACCGCCGATTTGCTATCCCTCAAAGGCATCTCCGGTTTCTTGGCCTTCCTTTTCCTCATACAACTCGTTCAATCCATTGGCCGCGCAGTCTACAACGTCTACTTCCACCCACTTCGCAAATATCCTGGTCCTAAATTGTGGGCCGCCTTCGAAGTCACCAGGACCATCGCACGTGTCCGAGGCCGCCTCGATTTTGCGATTGTGGAAGAACATCGCAAGCATGGCGAAGTTGTACGTGTCGGTGTAGATGAGTTGTCCTTTATCCATCCGAGCGCTTGGAAAGACATCTACGGTCACGGGCATGCCGAGTTGCCGAAATATTTCCCACCCAAAACCATCAACCCGAATCAGATCATTGCTGCCAAAAGCGGTGATCATTTTCGCATGCGTCGGGCTTTTCTTCCCGCCTTCTCGGAAAAAGCGTTGGCGCAACAGGAACCACTCATGCGTGTCTACATGGACCTGCTTATACAACGGCTGTCAGAGTGCGCTGAGTCCGGCCAGCCTGCGAACATGACGAAGTGGTATAATCTCACGACGTTTGATCTCATCGCTGACCTGACGTTTGGAAAATCTTTGGGGGGGCTAGAGTCTGGGGAATCTAACAAGTGGACACAGAAGATCGAGACCATGTTGAAGCTCATGCCTACACTTATGCTTCTAACGAGTTTTCCACTTCTGGCAACCATTCTCAACTTCCTGTTCGGTCGCAAGATGGAAGAAGCTCGACAGAAGCATTTCCAATATGCTGCCTCACTGGCCATGGGCCGTCTCCAAGGGAAAGAGCAAGCTGATCGCGGGGACTTCATGGATTATATCCTGCGCTCGCGCGGTGAAGCACACCAAATGACGGATGATGAGCTTGTCCACAATTCTGACCTCTTCATGCTGGCCGGCTCAGAAACTACAGCAACACTGCTCCTAGGTGTTACGTATTACCTTTTGCGGAATCCAGAAATATACAAAAAAGCCACTGAGGAAGTGCGTTCCGTTTTCGAGCGTGCCGAAGACATCACTTTCAAGGAAGCCACCCAACGCTTGCCTTACATGATGGCTTGTTTGAACGAGGCGTTACGTGTCTTTCCTTCAATTCCACTGGCGTTATTCCGCATTACCAATCCCGGACAGATGACTCCAATTGCTGGTCATATGATACCGCCTGCTGTACGTGGTGCTGTGTTTTTGGCGCTTTTCATTGCCCGGCTAACTGTACCAGACCCGTGTCGGTGTACACCAACTCTCAGCATATCACTCGCCCCTCAACTTTCACGATCCCGATTCTTTTCACCCAGAAAGATGGCTTCCGGAGGTTTACAATGACCCCTCATCGCCGTTTCATAATGATCGGCGCGAGGTACACAAGCCGTTCTCTTTCGGTCCCCGTGACTGTATTGGGAGGAATCTTGCGTTTCACGAGATGCGTCTGATCCTTGCAATGGTCCTATGGAACTTTGATCTGGAGCTTGGCGATGGTATGGATCAGTGGCATCTTCAAAAGATCTTTGGAATTTGGTCGAAGCCGCCGTTGCAGGTCCGGCTTAGTAAGAGAAAAGCATAATTACGCTAGCTGTCGCAAACATTGTTCCTACAAGTATAGACGATCAGCTTGCTTCCACGGTCAGTCAACCAGTATTTAGATATGATAGATATCCAACCCTTATGCCACCATGAAATTTCGGTGCCAATTTCGCATTGAAAATGGGACCGCCGTTGAGCGTGCAGACCAAGTACTCGTACTTCGAGTGCTATCTATGATTAAGCTATTATCTATCACTAAACACCTGAACGATATCGTACTGAAGCCACAACCGTCGGACAGCCCCTATGCAAACTTGTTGAACCTTGCCAACTCCTCAGGATCCTTCGCCGCATACTTCACCGTCCACTCCCACAAGTCGTCCTGCTTCTTTACCTCATAGCTCTCCACACTGCTATCTCGCTGCTTCTTCCCCTCGTAATACTTGCCGCTCAACCCCTCCACATCCTTGGCAACCCCCAGCCTCGCCAGATTCTCCCCACTTTCCTTCGTCGTATGCACATTGTCCGTCCTAAACGCCACCCTCAGCACCGGAGTTATCCTCGGTAGTAAGTTGTTCCACAGCCACCTCATCAATGGCGGGTACTCTCTCGCTAGTCCGGAACCTGGCATCAGCCCCGGATCCATAGCAAGCACGCTGATCCCCTTCTCATTTCCGCTCTGTTCAAGCCGCCTATGCAGCGCGTATGTCCACATAATGTTTGATAGCTTCGCATTCACATAGTGCAGCCGGCCGTCTCCCTTTGCGATCTCAGCTGGCGGGTGTGCCAGATTCTCTGCGGACGTGTAGATGGGCTTCGGCATGCCTGTCTTGAGTGCTGGGTCGTGCACGCCAGACGCGGTTATGATCACGCGTGCCTTGGGCGCTAGGAATGGACAGAGCAGGTGGAAAAGCAGTGCGTGCCCGACGTGCGTAATGGCAAACGTCTTTTCGATGCCTTCGTCTGTAAGGGTTAGGTCGCCAGGAAATTGTAATGCCGCGTTCAGGAGGAGGGCTTGAATGGGTGGGAAGGACCTCGAGGCCCAGGTTTTGGCATAAGTCCGGACGTTGGAGGAAGAGGAAAGGTCGAGAGGGAGGAAGATAACGTTGTTCTGAGAGAGGGTGTTGTTGATTGTAGACGCGGCGTTGTTAGGGTCGGAGCGCGAGGAGATTACAACGAGGTATTCTGGGTGCTGTCGGGCGATGGTGAGAGCAGCGTGATATCCCATATTCATTGTACCGCCAGTGATTAGGACGGTGCGCTTGTACTCCATCTTGATATGTAGTAGATATGTTGATGTCCGATGTAGTAGAGTCTTTTATTTTCAACTCATTAGATGATCCGAGATTGAATGGGAGTAGACGCTATGTGATTCAGTGCGACACCAAAGTAGATATACTTGCCGCATACCATTCTAACCAATGAGAGATTCGATGCCTCATGGGGTTAGCATCATGGCATGGTGAATTGCAAGGCTGTGCGCCGACGCAGCACGGCATCCTTAGTTGCCAATCATCCCGGGAATATTCTCATCTTCGTGTATGCCATCTTTGATCGAGTCATAGACAACTGGTCCGTCGGACGAAATAATTTTGTTTCTTTTAAGATTCCGGGCATTGATGGAAGCAGCCAATGAGAGATTTACTACCCGTTTCGGCGTAGCGCTTCCCGCACCGGATTCGATCCTCACAACCTCTAGGCCGTGCTCGTAAACATCCGCGCGGACTTCCTGCATCCCAACGCTATGATACGTCTCCCATCCCCAGATGGAGATACATCTATTAAACAGTGTGAATGTCCGAATATCAGATCATCGCCGGAACAGGTTCTTTGTGCAAACTTGGCATTCTCCTATGACAGTCTCTACCAGAATAGGCTCACCCATACGCCGGAAGTGCTTGAGGCTGAAGAGCTTATAGCTCATGGAATCAAGGCAACAAGACTCGGACTTGAGGACGACGAGCGAATTCCAGAACGACGAGACATTTAGGTTGGATTGGTGTGATGGTGAACATGCGTATACATTGACAAGGTACCGGTAGCGTCCACACGTGATACACGCGCGCGATCGCGTCATCTCAAAGACACACATCTTCGCACAGAAGAATTCGAAAACAGCAGTTCCATCCAGTGATTCTGCACGAGCTCTACCACACCACCGCGGAAATCGCAATCCTACTCGGCGACGCGCAACTTCTGAATTCCACATCTTGAACTCACGCCCACACCCTGCCCCAAATTGTAACAAACAATGCCTTCGACCATCTTCCCCGCCCACCAGCCCTCCAAACCCGCCCAGCGCGCAGGCCCAACTTTTACCGGCACCGTCTACTCGGACGTCATCCACCGCGACGCCACCGTCTCCCTCGCAAACGTGACCTTCACGCCCTGCTCACGCACATTCTGGCACACGCACGAGGACGGCCAGATGATCAAGGTGCTGTCTGGCTCGGGGCTGGTATGCGACGCGGGCGGGGCCCCACGGCGGATCCAGGCGGGCGATGTAGTGTGGGCGGCGCCGGGGACGACGCACTGGCATGGTGCGGATGAGGCGAGTGTGATGACGCATTTTGTGGTTACGAGGGGGAAGACGGTGTGGGGGGAGGAGGTGGTGGGGGACGGGTGGCCGAGGGTCGAAGGGGCGGAGAGGGGTTGAAGGCGGTCGGGTGGGTGCGAAGGTCTGGGGACTTGTCTCGCGGTTAGACGAGGTTGGGCAGTAGACGAAGACACTCTGGGTTGCTGAAGATCCGATAGCACAGTACACCGGCGCGGATAAGCTAGAACCCAGAATAGTGTAATCCGACGAGAGGAAATGCAGTGGACTGGACCTGGCTCAGCGGTGCATGGTGGCTGCTCCGTGATATGCATGTTTACGTCCGTGGTGATACACGAGTATGTACAGTGGTGTCGTCTGAAGACCGTGTATCGATCCAGCTTGGCGCCAGCATGGCACTGGCCGCCCCTTCGCACTCATTATATATGGGCGAATCTCCATCATTCTGCGGTTTGCTTCTCTCCCTTCCTGGCCCGTTTTTCCCTCAAACTCTTCCTATGCCTTCACCGCGGCCACCACACCGCACCCGACTCGGCAAGATAGCTCTGCAGCTGCCCCAGCAACATCTGGACGTCTACAGTCTGCCGGCCCCGCTTCATGACCCAGCACCGCTCCCCCTCATACCGCGTTCTCCCAATCAGTGCCTCAGCCCGATCCACCCCCAGCATGTCCGTAAGGCTATACACGGCGACCTTCCGCCCGCGCCACCTCGTCGTGGGGTAGTCCAGAGGCGGAAACTGCGCCCGCGGCGCGAGACGCGGGACTAGAGGCTGGAACCAAGCTGGTGGGGGGTGCGTTGCTTTGGGCAGATGGGGGGGAGGTGTGGCATGCGGGTCGAAAGCCTTCCCGTAGCCAGTGCGGAAGTAATCTGTCCACTTATCGGCCTCGGCGACGATGGCGTTGGCTTCGTCGTGTATCTCGTCGGCGCGCGACTTCAGGCTGCCGTAGAACAGCACACAGGCAACGTCTTCCACGTCCTGGGTGTCGGAGGGGGAAGGCGAAGCTACGGGTGTGAGACGCCCACGCCACTTGAACCACCACGCCAGCTTATCCTCGACACGCGCCCGCAGCATCTGTAGCAGCAGCTCGGGCATGTCCTTCCGCCAGACCAACTGCGCCATTCCGCGCGGCCCCAGAAACGGGTAGAAGCGCTGGCCGAGCACTTTCTTCCATACTTCTTTGCGCGCGGTGAGGTGCGCGGCGTTGTGCCTGTGCGCGAGGAAGCGCAGGGGCGGGCCAAGATATTTGGGAGGATTGGGGGTGGAGAGGGAGAGCGGGAGGAGCCAGGGCTCGAGGGTCGCGGGGTGGGGTTTAATGTGCAGCGTCAGGAGGAGCGCCGAGGGGAGGAGTGTCGAGAGGGAGCGGTCGATGCGGACGGGGGAGGCGAGAACGTGGGCTGGGCAGGAGAGTCAGCATGGCTCGTCTTGGGGCACTTGGGAGGCACCGAAGACTGGCTGGGTCTGCCTGTTCAGTACGTGAAAAACACACCGTACGGATTCTCCAGCAGCTTCTTCTGGAAGGGCGTGGAGCCGGCGACATCGGGCTTCGCTTTCTGCTGCTTCCAGCGCGCCCGTTGTTCTACAACCACGGGGTCGAGGACGGGCGGCAGGGGCAGCTTGGAGCCATCATGGCGCAGACGGAAGGTCTGATGCTCATCCTGAACAACTGGCCCGAGGTCGTCGCCACGGAGAACTTTGGTCGCATGGGCGCGACGCTGCGCATTATGTGGTGATCGGAGGCATGATCTGACGCGAGGAACCGGTCGTCCTGGCATCAGTGGGGAGGACGCTGGTGAAGGTGAAGGGAGGCTTGCGCGTGCCGTTCCGACGGCGATTCCGAGCTTGGAGGAAGCGGCTTGGCGGTGAGAGCTCCAGAGTACACGCGCCGCCGACATTGTCGCTCATACACACACATCATGGCTTCGATAATACGGAGGGTCACAAGGCCCGCGGCCGCTGCAGCTTCGAGGCAGCAGAGTGCGCGCGCGTTCTCGGGCATGTCGATTCCCCCGCCGCCTCAGATGCAGACCCAAGCGCAGTATTCACAGCCGACATCATGGATGCCAGTGCCCTACGTGACCGAGACAGTGGTATGTGTCCCCTCCAGCGAGGTTTTCGAAAACTGTGTTGATGAGCTATCCAGGCTGGTGGCTGGAAAACCTCGGACATCTTCTCGCGCCTCCTCTCCGAGCGCATCATCACGCTCAACGGCGAAGTCAACGACCCCATGTCTGCCACCGTCACCGCCCAACTCCTCTTCCTCGAAGCCGACAACCCCTCCAAGCCCATCTCCCTCTACATAAACTCCCCCGGCGGCTCCGTCACCGCCGGCATGGCCATCTACGACACCATGAACTACATCCGCTGCCCTGTCACAACCATCTGCATGGGCCAGGCTGCTTCCATGGGCTCGCTGCTGCTCGCGGGTGGTAGCCCTGGCCAGAGATATATCCTGCCGCACAGCAGGGTCATGATACACCAGCCGAGCGGCGGGTATAGCGGCAAGGCGAGCGATATTGCGGACCACGCGAAGGAGATTTTGAGGGTGAGAGACCAGCTGAACAAGATCTATCAAAAGCACCTGACGAAGCCGCGGACGCTGGAGGAGATTGAAAAATACATGGAGCGAGACTACTTCATGGATGCGAACGAGGCGCTCGAGTTTGGCATCGTAGACCAAGTGTTGGAGAAGCGGGAGGCAGATAAGGAAAAGGAGTGAAGATGATACCCAGGGAGGGGGCATTTGAGTGAGAATGAATTGCGAGGAGGGAAGAAATAGAGAGTGGACTGTGGGTATCCTCTGGACGTTGTACGTGATAGGGACGGACGAGAATTGGTGAGGTGAGAAGACATGTACGATATGTTAATGCTAAGGAAGATATCCCACACTATTCTGCCTTGGTACTGTGTTCACTGTACCAGAAACGCAACAGTAAATAGATCCTGACAGTTTCTCAACCCCTTTGAATCTTTCTTCAACCACTCTCAAACTCAAATCAGGACTGCCACTTGCCTATGTCATTCCGATCTTCATTGCTTCTGCATGGGTTTTGTCTGTGGATCCGCAAGCTGTCTTAGCGCCGTTGCATCGGATCAAGTCCACAAGCAGATGTGCAATGCTGGGCTTTTGTATTGTTGATAATGGTCTGAAGCAACCTTACTTCTTTTTAGGGACGATTGCAAGCATACTCTGGTCGGGGTTCTACTCTTTTCCCTACCTGTCACGATCCTCAACCTCGTCCTTAACCACACCGCACAAATCTAGGTGAAAACCTCTCGTATCCATTCACCTCATTTTCAACATGGAACAGTGATTAATGTAAAGAATATCGATTGCCATCCTTACAGATATATGCAAGTGGGCCCACGCTGCTTTGCAGCGTGTCCAAATAATACCACGGTAGTGTCCCTATGCACGCAAACTAGAACACCATTGACGATCCCCTCGCAGCCCGCTAGGCCGCCTTCTTATACTTCTCCCTCAGCTCATCAATCTCTCTCTGAAATCGCTCCATATCATCCAGTATATTACTTGCATTGCTACCCTCCTTTTCGCGCCCTTGCCCTCGTCCGACCGGAGCATCCACACTTGATCCCTCAACACCAAGCCCCTGAGCATCAGAAGGATCCTCGACCTCCTCCCGCGGCGAATACAGCGCCTGATCGTCGGGCGCATACTCCTTGCTCAGCGCGGAACTCACGCTCGCGATGCTGCCCTGCCGCTTCCCGTCAATCGAGCTGCGCGAGAGCCGTTTGTGCTCTGTGCTTGTGTGTCGTGATCCAGCTGGCGAGCTACCCGGTGGTAGACTCGGCCGCTGCATGTCGAGGCTCGAGCGGCCTGACTGGCGGCGTCGAGGGGGTGGCGGTGGCGGTGGGAGATTGGCGTTGGCGTTGGTGCTTTCGCTCGATACGGCGCGGGAGGTGGTGCGCCCGGAGTGCATGGAGGGCGTGCGTGTAACTCCTGTGGGCGAAGAGGGCTCCGAGGTGAGCGTCGTGCGGCGGGAGGAAGGTGGATTTGGAGAGGATGTCGTGGGGCGAGCGGAGATAGAGAGCTCGGTAGTGGAGGAGTTCGCGCTGGATGTGTTTATTGTTGGGAGAGCGTTACCGTGGCGGCGTGAGGGGGGAGGTGGTGGTGGAGCTTTATGGGTTGCGGACGTTTGTGGGGATAGTTCCTGGGCGGAAGCAATGGGTGGGAGGTCGGTCGAGTGCTGGGATGACATAGTAAGGGAGGAGTTGCTGCGGGATCGGTTGCCTGTGGTGGAGCTGCGCAGCTGGCTTTGACGTCTTGCCAACGGAACTGGCGGGGGGACTTTCTTCTGTGGTCGGGAAGGTGCTGCTTCTGATATACTCGCCGTTTCGCTGTCTCTCGTGTCTGCTAGTGATACAGTGCTATAAGAGGCGTCTTGTGAAATGATGTGCGGTGGTGCTGATGTCGGGATGGGAGGCGTGGGAGGAAGCGGCTTGTTCAGGTCCGAGTTGGTTCTCTTGTGCGTCTTCACGTCTGGCGTCACCTCTGCGACGGTAAAGTCGTCAAAGGGAACTGTCTGCGGCGTCCGCTCTTTTACGAGCTTCCCGTGGCGATGTCTTGGTGCTGGCGGCGGCTTCTTCTTCTCTTTCTTGGGCGCTTCCCCTTGCACCAGACCGGCGTGTTCGTCGTCTGAAGCTGCCATATCGTAAGATGTTCGCGGTGACTCGGGATGCGGTTCTTGTGCTGTATCGAATATTGATTGCCGTGATATTGAAGAGGTGTCGGTGCTGCTGCTACTCTCGAAGACGGCAGGGCTGAGCGGGTTGGAGGCAGGAGCGACGGGCGGAGGCGCGGAATTGCGCGGACTGGTGATTATGCCTTGCATCAGCAAATTCTTGAAGCCTTCGACGTTCAGCGACTGTCGCTTGGGTCCGGGCGCGATTTGATCGGTAGCAGTCCGTTCTGTGACAAGCATGTCAGCATGGGAGCTGTGTTCTGTGCTGTAGAATATACACGCGGATCACCCCTCTCGACACATTCCGCATGTTCCGATGTCATCCAAAATGAGAGCCGGCTGCTACGCACCTTTTGGCTGCCCCGCCACGTCCCCGCCCTTCTCCTGCGGCTCGATGGTAGCCAGGGTGCGCGAGAAGGGATTCGCAGGTACACCGCTGGGTGATGTCGCAGATTGAGGAGCTGCGGGGCTCTTCCACGCACTGCCCAACATTCCGCGCCCATCCACGTCTCGGCCGGTGGGATCTTGAGGCTGTCGATCTTCGAGTTCATCTGCGAACGCAGCTGATGAGTCGCGCGGCGGCGACCTGGCACGACCGCGAGCCGTTGGGTATGTTATTTCGTTGTCTACATGGCCGAAGTCCGGATGCGGGGGACTTGTCTCGGTGGGCGATTCTATACGGACGGTTTTCTTTGTCTTCGCAGGTGCCGGCGAGGCTTCGAGCACTGTACAAGCATTACTCCCCGTTCTTTCACTTTTAAACGCGTGCAAACGGCGTCACGGAGCCTATACCAGAGTCGTCTTCGCGCTCGGCGGGCCTTTCCTCTCGCCTGCTGTCGCTATCAGCAGGGGGAAAGCTCGTCGGGGGTGCGGCGGCGGGGTGGTTCTGGACTACGAGCGAAGCGCGAAAAGGGTTCCCGGACATGTTTGAGGATTAGAAACAATGCATTGTCTTATATATACACGTGAAGATGGTCTCAGGGGGAAAAGGGACCCCGGGTTACGGCACAGCTGCTGTGTAGTGGTGCTGATGTTGAGCTGTGAGAATAACCCTTGCCAGCGCAGAGCGTCAACCCCCACATTCGGCCTCCCGCTTCGCAAGCTCCGTCCTCCGAGCTCAGCGAACGCCTTCAGGTACTAATGAGACGATGAAAACGCTAGTAACCCGCGACATCTCGAGCTATGGCGCTGCTTGTCACAGAACTCTGCGACACGCTCAAGCCTGTCAACCCATGGACAGTCTGGTGTCACTGCCCGCTACTGTACCACCGTAGGCGACGCTATGTGCGACAAAGGCTGCGAACGAGTACTGAGACAGCAATGTTATTGATCAATATACACCAGCCAGCCAGCATCCCGACCATACCACTTCCTAGCCAGCTTTCCTCCGCTCTCTGTGGGTTGACTGAAGGCCACCTCTTCCTTGCTAATTGTCATGCCGTACAGGAAATTCGCTCTCGCCAAGTTCAGCAGGATCGTTGCGACGCCGTGCTTTCGGTGCGAGTTTGACGTCCATATCCTCGAAATACCCAGTATGGCAGGTTTTCGCGCCTCGCTGACACAAATTGACGAGCTATTGGTATCCGCAGGGAGTTGACCGGGCGTTTCCGCTGCCGCGTCACCCTCCACAGGGAACGCCTCCTGAATCCGCTCCGCCAAGCACGCTCCCACGCACTTTGAGCCCTGCACGTATAGATACACCTTGTATCGATCGCTGACAGAATGATCCGAGTGTTCCTTTTTTGCCTGCTGCGCCTCTTCGGTCGCTAGCGTTGTCGAAGTTAGTGACTTGCGTATCTGGCTCCACAGAGCCTCGTCCGGAATTGGTACGGCTCCTAGTTCGGTATTGACGACTTCCAATACTCCCCTCGCCTTATTGCGCAGGGCGAGTGCGTCTCTGCGGCTGACGACCGCGACGAAGCTTCTTTCCCCACCAGACCAGACCTGATTCTGCCGGAGCCGCTCAGACATGGCTTTGCTAATGTCGACGCCTCCCATGTTCATGGCATGGAACTTGCGATGCAGTGCGGCGTCTTCAGCGAGTGACGGGACGTATTCCATGCCGCAGAGCTTGCATGTTTTGTTCGGCTCCGCGACCAGATCGAGCTGCATCTGCACCAACTTCTTCTGCTTCTTTGCGGCCCGCTGGGGTGTGTTCACGTTGATGCTTTTCTCCGACAGTGGCTCTTTCGCGAGCGCTGGTGGTTTCGTTTGCCGCTTCACGAAGGAGAACACTGGTCTCCGCTTGCACAATGGCGGTGTCGACCTCTGCCGTGTTGGAGAGGATGGTGGAGTGGACCGGGGCGCATCGTCAGAGAACAAGGCTGCCGCGTCTTTGGGACTGGACGGCAGCGCGGAGCTATCGCGTGCTGAAGAGCTGTCCAATGATTGCGGTACTAATTCTGCATCCCTCCCATCTCCAATCGCAATCGCATCTTCCCGATGTGTAGACGCGACGCGTCTGCGCTTCGCGGGCGACTCCTGTGGTTCTTCATCGTATAACGAGGGTTGCCGCCTGCGGGAGTAGGTGCGGATGACTTTTCTGCAAGATTGTTAGTTGAAGCAGATGTCTCTGAGTATGTGCACGTACTTTGCGCGCATAGTGGACATGGTGGCGCGAGATAATAAGATAAATGCTGGAGTTGAAGCATCAAGATCGCGCGACGCGTCTCGCGTATCGACCAGCCCTATCGATACCGTACTGCACGCGCTTTGACCTGCACTTCCGGCTACGAGGAGCTTGTCTTTCATGAGGAATAGCGCCAATTTGACACTGCACCACTACGATATCTACATTTAATATTAACATTTCTTTTCTTCATTGGATAAAAGGAGAGACTCTTCTCTATTATATCTAATTAATAAGCTATTTTATAATCATTGTTGTGTGAATCTTTGGGTGAGCTGTCGTGAGGGCTTGGCTATTCCTCATGGAAAACGAGCTCCTCGTGCGTAAGACCTCAGATCGGACCTTCGGTTCTCCCGTATACTCTCATCAGTAGAAGCGAGCCGCCGAATAGAAACAATTATGTTTCTCTTCAAACAAGTTGCACGAATAGCATGGCCGTAAAGCCATTCTCTGTACTACTTAAAGACCGACGTTGCACACTTTATTGCAGTGAAACCAGCATCTACCCCACTCCCCTCTCGGAGACTGTGTAGCCTCCGGGCATGTAAGCGCACCATGCTAAACACCGAGCCAAAGTACGTGCAGTGTGCAACCGCCTGTAAGAAAGGGCGAGATCAACCTGAATTGGAAGGTGTCTTGCATGAGGCCGCCGCCGTATTTCTCGTGTCTCGCGCGAATTTGACTCAGCGAGACATGACTCAAACATACACATATCCACTCTCAACATTTGCCATATGATATAAGAGCAAGAATCGTTTCTTGAATTCCACGAACCGTGGCCACCATTTCCGGTTTCTACATCCCAGAGATTCAGTTGAGAAGACTGTAATACAAGTTTTGAAAATGGGAGCACAGCCCACGCCCGCGCACCCAGCGACCATGCTCGCAGAGGTCCAGGCCTCAGACAAGCCGGCAGATTCACCCCTCCCAGAACCCCTCTTCAGAACCAAGAGATTGCTCGCAAGACCTTTGCACCCGCAAGATGCGGAGTCGAGCCAACGCGCGTGCGCGCCCGCGAGTATCACGAGGTATATGTACGTCCAAGATTTCAATCCCACAGCATGCACAACACGCCTTTCGCAACGAAAGCTAGAATCAGGTCGTGCGATTATTTTGATGATCGAGGCGCGTACTGACACGCAAACAGGTCCCTCGCCTTCGCGCACCCCTACACCCTCGAGCACTCCATTGCCTGGATAGCCATGCAGAAAGACGCACCGCACAGTCCGTCACTTCCCCCCCGCCATCTCAAAGTCAACACATGCTGACCAGCGAAGACAACCTCGCCCTCACCACGCACTCCGACCCACTCACCGTGATCGGCGGCATCGGCATCAAACCTGGCGCCGACGTCCAGTCCCACACGGGCGAAGTGGGCTATTGGATTTCTGAGGAGCACCAGGGCAAGGGTTTGATGAAAGAAGCGCTCGCCGGGTTCGTCGAGTGGACGTTCCTGCACCGGACGTCCGACGGGAGTAAAGTCGAGGAGGGTAGGAGCCGCAAGACAAGGCTGTTTGCAGCTGTGTTCGCCGAGAACACGGCGAGCATGCGGATTTTGGAGGGCTGTGGGTTTGTGAGGGAGGGCGTGCAGAGGGGGCACGTCCACACCCGGTACGGTGAAATCACGGACCTACATCTTTTTGGCCTGGGGAGGGGGGAGTGGGAGGAGCGGCGGAAGCAGGGAGAGTAAGAGTGGAGGAAGGGAGTCGATCGAACGGGACGGGGAAGAAGTACGGGTTAATGCAAAAAGAGAGGACGGAGGGCAGCTTGCGCAGTTATGGCTGGTGCTACTGTTGGCGATGTCGATTTGGTCTGGAAAGCATGCCAGACAGCTTGGTGTATTTACCGAGCGGGATAGACTTGACGTTTCCATCACAAGGATCCTATGTGGCCTAGGAAGAGCGTGGACTATGTGTATCACTGGGTAGATTTCGATGGTAGAAGGGGACCAGGACCATACCTAGCAATTCATTGCAGAAGAACGCAGAGAAATGTATGGAGTATCTCGCCGACGAAGTTAGGGGTCTGGAAAAAAGGTACCCAATTCAGATGAAAGGGTACTGTGTTATATATGTATACATCTACAATTCCCGGGTATCAAGATAAATTCTACACTCCCTGCTCCCGCTCTATCCTCGAATTCCGCTCAGCAGCTTCAGCCTCTCCATCGTGCTAACATGCGCCCAGCCATACTCCCCCAGCTCAATCAGGTCCCGTTTTGCCTGCAATATCAGGTCCCCGCGCCACGCCCAAAAGTATTGCTCGACGCGCCTCGCGGCCTCCACGCCCTCTACTTGCGCCACCAGCCGACACACCCAAATCGCCTTTTTCTGCGCCACGAACTTGTTCTCAGAGAGCGGTCTTGTGATGCATACGCTGACGACGGTGCGCGTGAACAGTGGCTGGATAGGCAGCTCGTGGATTTTTAGATAGAGGTACAAATAACGGATGGCGCGCCAGTTCTGCTGGCAACTGCGGGTGCGGTCCAGAGCGTACTGGTGGGCGAATTGGTGGATGAGATCGGCCTGGACTTCTCTGGGGATGTCCGGGGTGAGGTTGCGATAGGCGAGAGGGACGATGTGGGCGTCGTTGGCGCGGGCAAGGATATGGTTGAAGAAGCGGCGCGACTGGAGCTCGGCGATGCGGGTCTTGGGTTCGACTGTAGTTGCGTGAAGGGCACGGTGAGCGTCGAGGAATCTTTGGAAGGCGTGGGCGTTGTAGCCCAGACGCGAGGAGTCGTGCTGCTTGCTCACTTCTTCTAGGACTTGGTCGACATAGCCATCGAGGAACCTGATGTTGGAGAGCTTGGTCCCGCTTTTTGGTAATCTTTCGAGGAGGTTCGAGACCGAGTGGAAGCTCTTGTACTCGTCGATGTGGGGAATCATTAGTTCAAGAACACCGTGATTCGGTAACGACTTGTTCGCGAGATCGGACATCAGCTTCGCAAGCAATCCATTGAGAGAGGCTTTCTTCTGGTCCTGCTGCGCTAGGAACAAGACATATGACTCGATCCAGTCGAAAAGATCGAGGGACAAGTGGCCAGCAAAGGAGTCGTGTCCAAGCAAGCCGTAAAGCAGCCCGGCGATTAGACTAGAAGGAGGGTAGCGGTGCTCGAAATGCGCACAGACGAAAGTTCTAAACGCGAACTGATACAGCGCCGATTGGTGTTGTATACTAGCATTCCTTCGCATGTGTAGTCGGTAAAGCAGCTTGAACCATGTATGGACGTACGCCAGGCTCTTCTGGCCTAGTTGCGGAACAGTCTGGACTTCTTTTGCTGTGACTGACATTGCAGCAATCCAAGTGCGAAGCAAGGGTGGTGGTACCAATTCTAGGTACTCCAGAGCATACGGTGTCTTCGAATCGTTCTGCACGCAGCTGCCGATTATGCGACTAAGCTCAAGTGGTGCTTTCGTATAGTCTGAGATCAACGACGACCATGTCCTGCGCAATTGCTGGCCGAGCCGCTGGTCGGACAATTCGAAGGATGCCCAGTGTAGCAGAATCCCAGCACTTTGGCTTGAGGGTCGTCCCTGATTGTCTTCCACCTTGAGACGAACATTTTGCCAGTATGGAGACGTTCTGCCACGCTTCAAGCTCCAGTGTGCAGAATCCCAAAGACCGCGGATCAGGAGGCGCAAAGCAGCGTTACGGTCAAGAGCAGAGCCAGACATGAGTACTCTTTCGCGAGCCTGTTGAAGCGACGGACCCGGCTCTGGTTGGCTTTGGATTGACATGGCGAGTTTTTTGTAGATCTGATGGACCCCGGCAGTGCGTGGCCCGAAAGGGGCTAGATACGTCTTGTCCATGAGTTCCAGAAAGCGTAGACCATCAGGCTCGTAGATGCTGGGTAAGCGTACGGCAGGCTGGCCAAGTAGTCCCACGGTGTGCGGTCCGGCCCAGGGAGATTCCAAGAGATACTGAAACACAAGCAAGGAAAAGCGGGAGGCGCCGTCGCCTGACGGACAGCATGTCAGGTAAGCTTGGCTAAGAAAGTTGCCAGGTCGCGGAACCCCGCTATCCATCAGCGCTCTCCACACTTCCCATGATCCAATGGTCGTCTTGTCCCTCTCTGCAAACATTGCAGGAGTGGTACCGTGAACCATAGCCCGAAATCTGTCGAAATCCGCCTCAGGATCGGAGGAAACAGACTCTGTGCTCTCCACGGCAGCATCTTCGGCCGACAGTAGTTCAAAAAGCTTCGCATGACCTCCTGCACTGTCCCGCGCCCAGTCTTCCAGAGCGTCATCCGTCTTGAAGCTGTGCTCCTGTTTTATGAAAGCCGGGGCATCCGACTGTTCTCGACTGTTATATAGGTTTTGTACGGATCGTGCGATTGGGTCTTCTTCGATCAAATGTATGCTTTTCACGGCTGGTGCATCCAAATATTCTTGACTGGGAAACGTATTTGCCACGGATGGCACATCCAAGTTTTCTCCGTTAAGGTATGTGTTTCTCATGGACGGTGCATTCAAGCCCTCTTTACTGAAATATGATTTTTTCACGCTGATAGTGCCGTGCTTGGTCGCGGCAAAATGTTGATCGACGAAGTCGAGAACCCTGTCTTTCTTTGAGTCACCGGATGATGAAATTGGTTCACCGGCATCACTTTTCGCACACGGTTCGACCGGGTCACTGGGATCAGACCCCATTGCCTTCGTTGCCGTGACGTCCGTGCTGGTCGTGTCGCGTATTCTACCCCGTTGCGCACCTGCAATGGTATTCTCCGGTGACGGGGAGAACGAAGCTGATGGAGTCTCTACCGGGATAGTGGTGGTTGCTGTCGCAACAGGAGGGGGTTCCGGGGGAGGAATGGATCGAAAGTCAAACGCTACAGACTCCAGTCAGTCAGAGAAGCACACATTCGTGGCATGCACATACGGAAATCCAAAGGTGCCTCTCTCTTCAGCGACGGCGGCTCATATGTCCACTTCGGCTCCTTGGGCTGGCGCGAGCCAAACAGCGCACCAAAGCTGAACAGAGGCGGCGGCATGCCCGCGGCGGGATCCATGTTGGACTGCAGCGTCATCCTCCTCTTCGCGGCGCGCCGCCTGGCCTCCAATGGCCCTGGGACATGGCTGCCATGTCTTCGCTGCTGCGGCCAGGTGGTGCGAAAAAATGTCGCAATGACCTGGGAGAGGAGGTCCTCGGAGACCCAGACGTGGTCGAGGGCGGTGCTACGCGGCGGCGGCACTGCTCGGCAGCAGGCAATGGGCGGACGTCGCATCAAGCGTGGTGGGCATCGGATGGGCTTTCATGCGGCCGTCCTTCGCGATGTCGAGCTGTCTCGATTCGGAAGGATGAGCCTTGGCGGATGATGTGTCACGTGCACAAACCGGCACCTGCAAAATACTTCACGTGGATTCCCAGTCGGATCGACCTCGGGCCATTCACTGCTCCGCGACGCTTGCGGATGTACCCATGAGTCGAGCCAACGACAGAGCCAGGCGGCAAGGCCTTTCTGGCGTCCGTCGACGGATCTGTTCGGTACCGGATGGCGGCGCACGGCCAAGCGTCCGACAGTGGCGCCTCGTATGTGTCGCTGAGCGGCGCACACGGCTGCGACTTGATAACATGGCTCGGCATGGCGTGCAAAGCAACCCTGGAATCTCCACCCGCTCCCGCTGGCTGGCGGGATCCGGCGTCCACCACTGCCCTGAGTTTGTGCAGGCGTGGCCGCACCGAGTCGAAGACGATGCGATGGCCAGCTCGCTGGGCGGCAGTGCAGAAGTGTCCAGACGCTCGGCATCGGCGTGGTGACGTGGAAAGCGGCGTGGAGGCCTCGGATGGGGACAGGTGCTTTGAAACGACGATACGCAACGCCCACTGCTCTGGGTTAGGCGTTGGTCAGCCCCTGCCGCGCCGAACCAGCCAATGCCAGGCACCGCCCGCTGATTCGCCTGCATGCCCAGCGCAAGTTTGTGTACGTACGCACAATGCAGCGAGTGCAGTCGCGTGTGCACGCCTTCGCAGTGCAGTTCTGGTGCCCACGCAAGCGGCGAGAGGCCTCGAGTGCCGCCCGCAGTAGCGCACCAAAGTCCGGCGTGCGGCTGGGCCAATTTAGAATAGATGGCTGTCCTTGCGCGGACTTCTTGGGAGCCTCCATGCCGTGTGCTCGTCTCCCCGGCCCGTGCGCAGCCCTCATTTCCCACGAGGCCTCACTGCCTCCAGCCTGACCGTGACCGACCCACTGCCCGCGCACGCCGCCGTCTTCATCTCCATCACCACGCTCCTTGTCTCTACGACTTCACACTCCTTGCCCACCCAGCAGCCCCGACGCCGACACTCGTTCAGCCCGCAGCCTGCACCCGCAACCCGATCCTTGCGTCTCGCGGTGAGAAAAGGGGTCGAGCCGGCATTCCAGGGCGCTCGGAAAAACCCGCACGCGCAGCGTTTCAACCTCCAGCTCGAGGGCATCGCTGAGCGAGTCTTCCTCTGACAACGCGAGAAACCTTCTTCTCTGAGCCTCCACACGCCGCCCCCACACCCATCGCGACAACGGCACTCTCGCCCGAGCCGCCCACCCGCCCACGCCCGCTTGCACACCGCACCACCTCGCCCGCTGCGGCTCACCATCGCCAGAGAGCGTTGCCCGGAGAGCATTTGCTGCGTCTGCCTGTCCTCGTCTAGACCCAGGGTGCAAACTCCCGCCCGAGCGAATGCCCAACCGCCATGCTAATCTCGCACAGTGTACCCGCTCCGTCTCGACGCCTTCTCACTACCGCTATATACCACCCTCTTCACATCCACACACCATGTTTTCCATCAGATTAGCCGCTCTTGCAGCGGCCGCGCTCTTCTCAATGGCCTCTGCCGACGACTCGTCGTCTTCGTCGTCCAAGATCGTCTCCATCCCCACACCAACCGCGACGGTCGCGGTCAGTGCCATGTCGACCCTAGGCTGCTTTGCTACCGGCGTGCCTCTCGAGGACCACGGCAAGGGCAAATTTGTCACTGCCGGGTCGTGCCAGCAGATTTGTGTTCAACTCGACAAGAACGTGCTGGGTCTCTCCGATGGTGAACGCTGCTGGTGTGGAGACAAGTTCCCGCCCAGGGACACCAAGATCGACGACAAGAAGTGCACGAGCATGTGCTCGGGTGACGACACCACAGTCTGTGAGTAGGACCCTGAATCACACCCAACGCATGCGCTAACGGAGGTACAGGCGGTGGCGCTGGATTGCTGTGGGTAATGACGACCGGAAACACGCGCAACGTTATCGAATACGCGGACCCCATCGTTGAATCTTCGTCCTCTCCAAGCGCTTCCAAGACGGCTTCGCCAACAAGCAGCTCGGCCCCCGAATCCGCCGCCGCTAGCAGTGCGACATCCGAACCAGAGAAAAAGGGCGCCAGCACGGCCGGCATCGCAGCTGGTGTCGTCGTTGGCGTGGTCGTCCTCGCTGCTATCATCGGTGGTGTCTTCTTCTACCTACGGCGGCAGAAGAGGCAGGCGGTCGAGGAGGAGTACCGTCGCCAGGCGGCCGTCAACTCATTCGTGTCGGGAGGCAAGCTCCACACGAGCAACTCGTCCATGACGGATTCGCGTCTGGACCCAGAATTTATGGCCAGGAGGCAAAGCAACGGCAGTATTGCAGACAATGAGGACTACTCGAGGCGGATATTGAAGGTAGGTTGGATCGCGCAAGTGATCTATGACGCCCAGCAAGCTAACAACCTCTAGGTTACGAACGCATAAGCACCCTGACGATGGCTACCATGACCGACCGACCACCAATGCCACTCTCGCACGCTGGCCTTCGACGAGATACCCAACCTACTATATCCACCTCGCCTAATCCTCACCCACTCTTGTTACGTCCTGCGCACCGCGCGCACCCACATGCCTGACGAGAGTAAGATTTGCATCTATCCGCGTACTCAGCCGGCGTTGCGAGCACGCTTTCCACCAGCGGACCAAAGCCGTCTGTTGACTCTGGAGGGGCAGCCACCCGCGTAGAACAGCTACTCGGGCCCCGCACCGTCTCCAGATCCTTCTCCTGTGTTATATATTCTGAATACATCTCTGTACTGGCGTTGAGCAAAGGCAATTCAAACGGGTAACTATTGATCATCTTCCATGGCGCAAATGTTGGGGAAGCGTGTTGGAATTCACAACTTTCCTTGATTACTACTACTTTTTCTTTGTCTGGGCGGATGAGTGATGTTGAGTCCGCCCGCGCCACTCCTTGTATGTCGGTGACTTGATCCCGGCCTGTCTGTCTACTACTCTCTCCCGAACACTCAACATAACTACTCCACCATACCTACCTATACCTATACCTACCCTGTCCTAATTCTCCGACTTCCAGCCGGTCTTGAGCGAGGCGGCTGTGTGTCGTAAAAGCGAATTGGTTGTTTCTGCCATTGGTCTGCCTGCGAGTGTCACAAAACAGTTATCTTGACATCACAATCAAATCTTCTACAACTGTAGCGATACAATGAACATGGGCACTCCATCACACCAATCCCATTTACTACGATGCACCGCCTCCTTCCAAACTTAGCCCACATCATCTTCCCACCCCGCATCAGACTACCGAACATGCCCAAACAGCCTCGCACCGCATAATCACGTTTCACGCCCCGGGGTAGTTCTCAGCCCTACCCAGGATTCTGACGCAAACCTCCGACCCCGTCATGTTTGATGCGGTGCGCGGGGGAGCCAATCAGCGTGCGTGGGCAGCGGGTATCAAACGCGCATGGTGCTTGGGTGGTGTTTCATGCGCTTAAGTTCGGCGGGGGTGGGCTAGGTTGTTGTAAAGCTGAGCGGGTATGAAGGTGTGCCGGATTGCGCGAGGGCAATTGACTGGTGCATAATCATATCGTGAATGGTCGCGACTAGCGAGGTGGAAGCTCGCAACGCAACGCTAGAGCGCGCTGCAAGCAGGTGCAGCGCGGATATCTGCTCCCACGCACGCGCGATGGCGTCCGGGTCTTTTCCAACTGCACAGGCGCCGTGCCGGACTTGCAGTGCAGGCGCTCCTCGTTTGGGCGGCGCACGGGGCTGACACGACTCTTTTCGGCATTCGGGGAGAGGCGTGTGGCTGCTTTGGGGCAGAGGAGGGCAGGATGCACGCGGCAAAACTGGAACTGTCTATACGTCTATACTTAGCCCTCTGCGTTGTTCTTTCCGCGATATGCTTCATTGTGCAAGGCATGGCAGAGCAAAGTTGGAAGCGCTCGCTTTGCATGACTGGGATTTACCGTCGTGTGGATTTGGGCGCGTGAGGACACTCGCGTGTGTCGAATCTGCACATCTTCATCTCTCGGGGTCCACCTGCCTCGGTGATCTTCACGACTTCGCCAACCACATGCCTACCCCTCATATTGTCAAGCCGTTATTGTAGGCTCGAGTCAACGAATGTGCATCACGCACTCTGTTCCCCAGACTCGCGCGTGAAATGTGTTCCCAACTGTAATTTGAAGCATGAACGACGGGATTAGATGCGATCTGGATGTGAGACTGGAGATCGGGGGACGGCGGTTTTGCGAGGGGAAGGTGGGGAAATGATGTTCAGGGCAAGTGCTGGGCGTGATGCCATAGTGCTCGCGCGCACCTTGCAAGAAGAGAGAGGAGTTCGGAGGTGTTGCCTGTGAGAGCGGTGTTGAATATTGGTCGATATAGTGGGTGCAGGGAAGGTGAAGTCACGCGCTTTTGCGCAGCCCTGGGGCACTCCAATGCTTAGCGCAGACGAGTAGGCCAGAAAGCTATCCGATTTCAAAGTACGTGATGATGTCTGTGTGCAGTAATAAGTGGACTGGCTCTTCTCAGATGCATGGTAGGGTCTGCTAGCTTCTGTTGATTATATGGATATTTGTTCGATATTGAATCCTGCCTGCCTGGGCTTGAACGAGGAGCGGCAGATAGTTCTAAACCACGCGAAGAGCGAGACTACGAAAAACGAGGCCCGGAGTATGGAATGATTTTTGATTCCGTGGTACGCACATGCTGCAGCGTGACAAAACTCGCAGCGCTGCACAGCCAGTCATTGCTTCAAGGCCACTTGCTGTGCCAACCACTCTTCCAACTTCGCCTTCGTCTTCACATTCACCAGGCAAAGCTTGATAGGTCCCATCTCGTTCCACCCATCCTCCACCTTCGGCAGCTCCTTCATCCCACCAACCTCCTTCCTTCACCTTCTTCGCACTCTTCCGCAGCCTGCCCATCCGGAATCCAAACATCAGTTCCCCCTCCTCTCACTGCACCGGAGTCGTAGTACCGTTGCTCTTGAAGAGCTCGGGTAGCTGCTGGCGGTGTTCGTAGGCTTCGCGGTCGCAGCTGGCTGTTTCTTCGGCGTCTTTGATAAGGACACAGTGCGCGTCGCTGATGCGGGAGCGGGTTACTAGTAGATTGTCAGAGAGAACTTGAGTTGCATTCAGTGGAAAGTTGGCTCAGCCCATATTCGCGCTGTGCTGTGATCAGCTTGACGGTGTCCATGCGTGAGTGGCCAAAGATATACGTCCAGCGCTCGATCGTCTTGGGAGAAGTGTATTCGTCTGCGACCTGGAAATCAGCGGCGCCTGCGGTTTGGGCCATGCGCTCGGCCTGAAGTTAGTCAGTAAATGCACGAACGTTAGCCTCAAAGGGAAGAGATATGGGGTGGATACGTACGTAGATAGCCTGAAGATAGGGCGCAAAAACATCAGAATCTTCTTCAGGCATGTTCATCACGCGGTTCCCGGCTTCCTTTCAATCAAAAGACATTGCGCCGCGGACTAATTCCGAGGAATTGTAGAGCAGCTCTTCATGAACGACGAACTCACGCTTGCCGTCCCCGTCCCCGTCCCCGACCACGATGGTCAGCACCTTGCCGCCGAGCTACCTGGTTGAAAGCCAGCGAAAGTGAACTAGACTTGTGCGGAACGAAAGACTTAATTTCTTTCCTCACGGCATCGTGGGCTTCATTGAAGCTGAAGTGGGGATTTGTGGTAGAGAGTTGTTGAAGCTCCAATTCGGTGATCCTCCCAGTGCGTTGGGCAAGGGCACATATACGTCTTCGATATTAACAGGATAGAAGAAGGGCTAACCAGAAATCGGTGAGGTGACTACGAGGTGCAGTAGGTGGCAGCCACTATATATAGTATGGGTTCATGCCGTACCAGGGCATGGGCAGCGAAGTGAGAGGCACGTGTCAGTCAGGAAAGCGGGACTCTTACTCACGGGCGCAGTGACATTGTGGCTTGCTCTTATCTTGTTTATTGATGGAAAGATTCTGAGGTGAAGGGTATGCGCCAAGAGCGCAGAGGTCTTGTCCAATTCGTTTTGGAGGATGTAACTAACGGTGCAGGGTCATAGTGTAACGTTGATCTGGGTAGCGCCTTTATTGGGATAATAGACTGTGATCGGACGATTCCCTGCTACTATACACGAGCTCGAACCCAATACTACATATGGAACACTCAGGTGAAGCAACCTGCCTCTGTGAGTGTCACAAATCGGCCGCGCCCATTCGATAATCGAGGTTGAACGTGTCCTGTCCAACGGTTCGAAAACGATCCCCAGACGATTGATTGAGTCTCATGAGTGACATGTAGAAGGATTATATACTTACGAATCTGGCTAAATGGAGGCAATTTCCGTGCTAGTCTTGCTTATAAGTTGTGCGATCTCTCCTGTAAATGGTTGTAAGGTAATGCCAGCAAGGGCTCAACGCTGCTGTAAGCTCCAATCATGTCGTGTACACTCTGGAAATCTTTGAGTCAAAGGCTTTAATTTCAACTTGTAAGAAAATGACAGTATCGACGGCAATCAATCATGTTCTAAGGAACACTGATCCCCATTCTGTTACTCAACAGATCATGGAAACACTTATGCTTCCCTCTTATCAATGCACTCATCTAAAACATTCTTCACATAATCATCCGCATCGTTCCCGCCCAGAATTTCAATCGAAGAACACTCTGGAGCCAAACTAGCAAATTTCTCCGCGAACCGAGACAATCTTTCGCGATTCGCATCAGTCCAACGCTCCAGCGGAAAGCGCTCACCACACATAACCAGATTCAGCTCTGAAAACGTGAATTGAACGCCACTGGAAAGTTCTGCTTCCAGATCATACATCCAATCGACGTTGCATGATAGCTTCGCTTGCCAAAGCTTTTGGCAATGCTGTCCAAGAGAGACTACTGCTTTGAATGTAAGCGCCGACGCGTCGTCAATGTCCAAGCAGAAATCCGAGACTTCAGGTAAAGTACTCGTCAAATCGCCGAACAGTGAATCATTCAGGCCGTGTACAGCTGGATGGCCTCTCTCGCTTGATATATGGAACTTGAACAGTGCGGGACAATTGCGCGCCAGGTTGACAAGGTCCTGAGCGATTATGCAGGGACCCCTTGATGCATCGGTGCGCATCAAATGCACTTCCAGCGACCTCAGCTCAGTAAGCTGAGATAGGTTTATGAAAGCATCTGAAGGAGACGGACTGCCTCTCATTTCCAGCTTTAGCTCCACTATGCCCAGTCCAGGCGCCAGCTCCGTCAGCCGCCCAAGTGCTTCACTAGACAATGTAGTCCGAAGCTGGTCCAGCTCCGACCATCCAGCGCCAGTCCCGTCCAACCAGGATGCCTCGATGCAGGGAATGCACAATTGTCTTAGAGCTGTCATCTGGCAGATCGGTTCGAAATCTTCCTGAGACCACACTAACTGCGCAGGTGGAAGTGAAAAGCCATTGAGCTGCGGATGTATTTCCAGGAAGTTGCCCACATGCACAGTGAGTGAGCCCTTGCATTCAATGTTGACGTTCTTGATATCAGGACACCGCTGCGTCACTGTTTCGAGCAAGGTTTTGAGATGACCAGCAAATTCTCCCTCGAGCGTGAAGCTCTCCAATCTGGACTGGAGATAGCATTCTAGCTGGCGATCTTCGATGTCCTCGCCGGTTCCATATATCGTGATTGATTCTAGGTGCGGATATTTTAATGATGAGAGCACATCCAAGTACGCTGTGTCGAATGTGATCGGGCCGTAGTTCCCTTCTTTGCCTCCATCTTCAAAGAATCCGAAATGGAGGTACGTGAGTTGATTTGCGTAGATTTGCGCGCTTGCTAGATCTTGTCGGGCTATTTGGGCAAGGTGCCGGACACCAGGCGTATGATTTCCGCAACCTTGCCAAAGCACGCAAATCGTCTCGCTGAAGAATAATTTATTGACTTGTGCGCAGTTGTAGAGATCCAGGAATACGTATTCATCCTCTTTCCAATGGGTATAGAGATTCCTGACGATTTCAGCCACGATGTCTCGGCAGAGTAGCGCTCGATGCATCGGTTCCCGGGGCTTGTGAGGGAGTGGCAGGGATTTATGGATTGGCCGAAGTGGATCTCAGGATCGTGCCGAACGTGCCGCGGATGTCAAAATGTGGCAGGCGGTATAAGCTTGCCTTGAGAGATCTCAGGAACAGGTGTTATCGTGGTACTTGCTGACAACGAAGGCATAGTATGAAGAAGTCAAGGAGACCTAGAAACCGAGCCCACCTGGGCGGGTTGCCTAACCCTAAGTTGACACAGTCAACCCTTGCGCACGTTAGTAGCGTTAATATAATGGGCTATTGGGGCAGTTTAGTGCTTGTATTACACTTTCATCCAGATATTGGGGTTTCATGGTGAAGCACAAGTCCATGATGAGGGAATGACGATACTCGTGGCGTGTTGGCTACAATGGCAGCGATTTTCATTGCACAGAAGCCATTGTGCCGTGTACAACTACATCCATAGACCTCAACCCCTCCGTCTATTAGGCGCATTCAGATTCGCACTCGTAAATGTTGCGGTCACCTTGTCCAGAGCCTTCTGTCTCTGCTTCCCAGCAATACCTGTCCGGTCCGTTGTCGGTTGTGCTGCCATGAAACTGTCGAAGTCATCGTCGTCATCGCCAGCCTCGGGCGCAGACCCGCTGTCGTCGTCGTCGTCCGCTTCTTTCGAGGCTGAATCAGGCCCCGGCTCCGTCCTCGCTATGCGCTCAGGCTGCTTCTTCTCGTCTTCTACGTCGTCTTTCGACGAGGGATTTGCGAACGGCTTAGACGCCAGCACACGCCGCCGTAGCTCGGCCATTTCCTCCTCATCATCATCCGACTCGGGAAGGTTATACGGATTCTGCGCCGCTGTTACCTGTCTGTCTTCGGCGTCCTCATCCTCCTCATCTTCATCTTCATCGTCAGAGAAGTCAATCTGCCGCCTGTTCACATTCCCACCTGCCCAGATGTCGTCCGCCTCGCCGTCCTCTTTCTCCTTCCGGTCGTCGTTATACTCCTTCTCCAGCTTCGCTAGCCACTTCTCTTCGGCCGCCTTGATCTCGTCCTCATTGGCACACGCCGCATACCGCTTCAACAGCGCCGCATTAATATCGAGAAACGCCTCCCCGTACGAAAAACTAGACAGTATGTCCTCAGCCCAGTCCGCATGGCCACAAATGTAGTAGCATGCCGCGATCGCCTCGACGCAGTTCAGCCGCCACGGCTTGCCATAGTTTGTCTGGTTCGCGGCGACGAGGTAGGGCAGGAGGCGAGAGCAGGGCCCTCCAATGCGTGAGAAGGGAACTTCCTCGATGCGGTTCCAAGAGGCTTCAACGACGGCCGCGCCGTACTGCTCGAGCAGCGGCGCATCCTCCCGCGACACGATCTTCTTCGCTTTTGGTGAAATCACGACGCCCGCGAACTTCTGACCCACATGGAGCTCACGGAGGAGGCCCAGGCGCATGAGGCGCTTCCCCGAGCAGCGCTTTGCGTCGCAGTGGCCGAGATCCCAGCAGGCGGGTTTAGGGGCGCGCGAGGGGCGCGGAGCAGACGTGTCACCATCTTCGTTCTCGTTGTCAGAGCCGGAGGTGCGGCGGGGCGGCGGTGCGCGGTTGCGGGGTTTCTTGAAGTCTTTCTTGTGGCGTACCATGGTGGGAAACGAAGGTTGATCGGGCGCTGGTGATTGTGGAAAAAGTGTCTGGCAGAAAGCACTGAGGGGTGGCGGGTGAGGGGCGAGTAATGTTCGTGAACGAGAGGGGACGAGGAAATGTTTATCGATAAGGATGGGGTGGGTGTGCACGTGCTGAAACATTCACCTACTTGCTAGCTGAGTAGACATACGACCCTCGCTTCTCTGACTGTCTTGGACAATGCCTATGCCATCAGCGTAGCTTGTGAACAGGTGTTGACAGGACTACGTTTTGTGTAGGGTTTCATCTCCTCAGATCTCAACGAGAGCTCCACCCGTGAAATTCAACTTCTCGCGTGGTTTCGTGATCAGTACATTGAAGCAAAGAGGATTTTCTACAGCCGTCTCGAGACGTCAAGACACACCATGCAAACTGTGGGTGCTTTACAGATAGCAGCCTTGGCGACTGTAGCCTCGTTACATCTTGACAGCTTCGATGTCCATACATTGGCGCTAGCTGCTAAACGCCGTATACCGGCGGTTATACGAGTGCACACCGTGAACACGGACGTACGGTTTGCGGGGCTTCCGGTCGCCGACTGCTTCCTCCCCAGAGATCGTCCGGCGTAAGCAAAAAGCCGATGCGGCGCTAGAACTAAACTCATTGCATCACTGAGGCTGCCGCTATCCGCCGCAGGGTGTTAACTAATTATTCCACATTTTTGGTCAACATGACGCCCTAAACGACCCTATGTTTTTTTGAAAGTTTGGCCATCACTGTCGCATTCACTAAATACCCACTGAATTCCCATTCTCAAATCTCAACCAGGCCGCCATGGCAGACCTCACCCGCGTCGAGTCCTTCCAGTACCCGTCGGGGCATTTCGCGCATCTTTCAGACAACCAGCAGGCACAGCTCGACGAGTTCAAGCGCATATGCCAGGAACAAGGATACTACACGCCTGCTAGCGCAGACGGCGCGACGCAGGCAAGCGACGATGACGAGACGCTGCTGTGAGTATCGCAGGTTGTAGTCGGGCGGCGTACTGACGTAGTTAGGCGCTTCCTCCGCGCGCGTCGCTTCGTCCCCTCCGAGGCCTTCAAGCAGTTCAAGGACACCGAGGACTGGCGCAGGGAACACGGCATCAACGACCTCTTCCTCGACATCGAGGTGGACGAGTTCGAAGCGACGCGGAAATTGGTATGCTATGCCGGCACGGGGCTCGTTGCGCAAGGCCATAGTCATTGCTGACCGACAACCCCTCACAGTATCCGCAATGGCTAGGCCGACGCGACAAGCGCGGCATTCCCGTCTACCTCTTCGAAGTTGCGCCGCTTAATTCCAAGAACATCGCTTCCTACGAGAAGGAGCTCAAGAACGCCAAAACCACGTCCCCCAAGGTCGCAACCAAGAACCTCCGCCTTTTCGCGCTGTACGAGTCGCTGACGCGCTTCGTCCTCCCGCTCTGCTCAAATGTCGAGCGGAATCACCCTGAGACGCCCATCTCGCAGAGTAACAACATCGTGGACATTAGTGGGGTGGGTTTGAAGCAGTTCTGGAATCTCAAGAACCACATGCAGGATGCGTCTACGCTGGCTACGGCACACTATCCCGAGACGCTGGACCGAATATTCATCATTGGCGCACCCGCCTTCTTCCCCACGGTCTGGGGCTGGATCAAGCGTTGGTTTGACCCCATCACCGTGTCCAAGATCTTCATCCTCTCGCCCGCAAACGTACTGCCCACCCTGACCCAGTACATCGACATCGACAACATCCCGAAGCAGTACGGTGGCAACCTCGACTTCGAATGGGGCCAGATGCCGAATCTCGAGCCTGAGATCGACGCCGCGTTCAAGTGGGAGAACCCCAACGTACAGAATGGCAAAAACACGCTCCCCATTGGACCGATCGCATGGGAGAAGGGCGCAGATGGCTCGCTCAAAGCTGTCGCCGTAGGCCACGAAAACGGGAAAAGGCGCCACACAACCGTCTTCACGATCCCGCACCCCGTCAACGCGGCCTCGAGCTCCAAGCCCATCGTCAACACTCCCATCGCAGAGCAAGAACTTGCCCTCACCACAGCAGGCACGTACACGCAGCCCGCCGACTCCGAAGTCCCCAACCCAGACACCCTCAGCCCGCCCTCCGCCTCCGACAGCACGACCCCGTCCTCCACCCCAAAGCCAGATCAAACCGACCTCCCAATCCGAGGTGGCACCTCGGAAACGCGCTTCGAGCAGCAGACGCACACGCACGCCGCGGGCCAGCTCGCAGAAGGCACGCCGCACGCGGCCGTCAACGACCACGGGTACGGCGACAAGACGGTGACGATGGAGCCCGGCACCGTGGGCCAGGCGCCCAAGGACGTGTCGATTGCGCCGGCAACCGAGGAGCCCGCTGCGCCGGGGTATCTCGACCAGGCGAAGAGCCTTGCTGCGAGCGCCACTGCAACCGTGACCGCGGCGGCCGGGTCGGCGGCAGGCGCGGTGACGGGGCTTGTGGGCGGGGGTGCGGGCCAGGTCGAGGAGAAAGATGAGGATACGAAGCCGCAGAAGAGTGAGGAGGAAGAGGCTATGGATCGAGCGATCGATGGGAGGGGGACGGCGGACGTGGAGGGTTTTCTAAGGGAAAGGACTGCGACTGGAAAGCAGTGAGCGAGCAAGAACGTATGACTCGTAGTGATTTTTGATCACCAGGTGTAGTCTGTTTCGGTTTTCAAGCATTGAGCGAACAGCATCTGCTGCATTCATCTGCACCAGTCTCGTTTGGGTCATAGATTCACTTGACTTCATCTTGCCTCGTCTAGCCGCACGCTTCACCAGCACGAACCGCAGTAGCTGGCACAAAGTCTGGACTTCAAGGGCACCCTTATACGTTATCTCGTAGAAATCGCAATATGTCGCCGTTGTAAAACTGTTCTTGGATAGTGTATCCTAAGATCTCACAGCTACCAAACTCCAGTTTTATTGTCAGCAACTGTGAATCAATTCCTTCATTACCATACTCCACAAGCACTAAACTGCCTCAATGCCCCAAATTAACCCGATGCCCAAATATACTCCCCTCCTCGTTTGACATTTGAGCCAACGCCGCCTGTCAATGCATATAAGCAGGGGGAGGTAGATTCTGTGTATCCACCCGCTGTGTCCCGTTCGAATCCAAGCCCTGCAATTCGTGCTCATCTGTATGTGTGCCTTGACCAGCGGCCGTTTGATTCCTGCTTTGCGTTTGATAGCCCCCAACTGAGACAAGGTGATCGGAGGCGAAGGGCGGATCGAAATGCTGGTACCCACCAGCTGAACCAGGTAGAAGGTTGCCCGAGGGCTGAGGTTTAGTCGGTGTAACGCCCGCTGCCGCTGCTTGGCCATGCGAATGCAGGTTATTTGTCCTAAACACGGTCTTTACGCGCGGAAGGACATCCCGCCACTATGCGCTATGTCGGACAGCTTGTTTCCCGCCCGCTGGCGCTCCTCCTTGACCGTGGGAAGGCGTGTTCCTTCTTCCGAAGAGCCTCATCGCACCCCGGCCAATGTTCATGCACCATGCGCGCAATTCCAACCCCCCACGCCGCATCCAGTGTAGAAGGATTCGCCACATGGGTCCGAACATCTCGCGGTCACCTTCATACATAAGTCCATGCATGACGAGGCCACAGACAATCGCCAAGGCCACAGATCCGCCCACCACTACTAGCAGTACACGATTCCAGTAGGCAATGTCTTCTGGCTTCCTCCTCCCTTCTGTGCTCTTATCGTCTTCATCGTCCAGCTTGCGAGCAGCCAGTGTACCACCAGAAGCGGCGAAGTTCTACTGGCCCTCTGGTTTGGGAATCCGGAATGGATGTGCTTCGGTGTTGAAGACTGAAGTCAATTTAGTATTCGTTTTTTTTTTTTCAAATTACCGTAGAATTAGACTTACCGTAGTCATCCAGAGAAATAGTGTCAGGATCAGAAAAGAGAAGGTAAAAGTACTTGAGCGTTTCGGCCATCCAGAAAGACTACATGGATTAGTGGATTGCGCACGATAAAAGCAGCGCCGTGTCAAAGCTTTAGTACGTAGAGAAGCCAGTTTCCAAGCTTTCATGACGGTGCGGTATGAGCTGCTCAGATTTGACTTACCTCCATAGAGTCCGCCCTAGGCGGTGATTCAGCCGACACATCCTGAAGCGCTGAATTGCCAATATCGGTGTCCGTGGCCTTCATAATCGCAGTCCACATGTCCCATCCTGCAGCTTGCCAGCTTTGCTCGCCGGTAAGGCGGTACATGACGAACACACTCTCGATTGCTTCGGGGCGTAGCACATAACGCCTGTCACCAATCGCGGTAAATCCCATTGGCAAGCGAAGACCGGCGATGTTCTGTGTCGTGTCTTTCTCGGTGTTTAGATTTGCGCGGGAGGCTACATCGTCTTTCCACTTCTGTTCATCCCACTTGCAGTCGGTCATATTCTCACACTTGTAGAGATGCGACGTCTCAGGCATGATACCAGCGGGAGAGGACTTGTAGGCCCATACACACGTATCTGTGAGCTTGCGGCCAATCGAAATGTGATCGCTCTTTTCGAGAAACTTTCCTCCCAAAGCAAACATGCCGCCTGCGTAGCAAGACAGGTGCTGGAACTCGGGGTTCAGATATGCTTTGCCTTCTTCGGAGCGGACAAAGCCGGTACCGAGCATGTCGGGGTCGCCAGGCACCATGGGCCGGTAGAGAGTGTATTTGACGGCAGCGTCCATCGCTTTCTCATACATGCTCTTGTATGTGTCGTCAACGCCGCCAAGCAGAGCATAAGTTTTCAGCAGGTATTCGTAAGCCGAATCTGCCATGGAACCAAGCGAAAAGCCGGTATCTTGAGTGAGATCGGTCCTCCTTGGGTTTACGACAATGGGCCACATGCCAGGGAGCCTCGTCTTCATCTGGTCCTTCTCGAGAACCTTGACGACGCGCGTCGCAGCGTCGAACCACTTCGGGTCGCCTGTTGCCTGGGAGAGGCGAACAAATTCCATTGTGAATGAGCCCAACTCAGCAATGAGCACGTTTTCCTCGGCGTCCTGTTCCTCGCCCTGGCCTGCTTTGTGGAAGTCCCAACGCGTGAGAGGCATGTTGTTGCGTGTATCGAATGCATGATATAGCATCTCGCCGAGCTCCTTCGCCTTGTTAAGAATGCGGTCTTCACGGCTGAGTTCCCAGGCTGAAAGCAACCCGCCCAGGTGCCGGATGTTGGTCTCGAACATGTTGACCTTCTCCATGTTGGTGTAGCCAAAGTCGATGGCCTCGACATCTTTGATTGCAGAGATGAATTGCTCTCGCTCGCCCATGATCCACAGTGTGTCCAAGCTGTCAACGAGTGTAGCAGCCCATCCTCCGAAGTCGTCGGTGTACCCGCCAGCGATTGGGGTCATTTCGTCGTGCATCCAGGCCTTGCCGCGGTAGTTATTCCAGCATTTCATGAACTGCTTCTTGACCTCTGCTTGTCTCGATTCGCGGATCTGCTTGGTGGTGGCCGGCTCGCCTTGGAAGTCGTGCTGTACGCGCGGCAGTGCCTTTGGGGCAGCGTTGGGCAGCGGCAGCATGTCCCTGATGGGATGGTGCATAGGAATCTTGGCCCATTCGTAGGACTTGTGGTCCTTGTACTCAGGCTTCACGGCACCCTCGCTGGGCGGGCCCTGTCCAGGCTCATAGGGGAAGCTTAGCTGGTAGAGGAAGAACACGAAGGCCGCGGAGAGCACCAGGTAGGTGCCGTAGCGTCGAAGTAGAGCCATTACGAGTGTGTATCAAGGTATAAACGACATGAACAGAAGAAGAATAAAAGCGACTGGCGATGGCGGGCGATGAGTGTCGTTCGGAGAACCAAACCTTTGAGGCTGACGTCCGCAGCTACCTCTTGCATGCATAGTCCCTGCCAAGCCGGGAATGGAAGCCATTGAAGCCCCTGTGCGGACAGTGCACCCGCATAGAAATAGCAAGCTGCTCATCGCCCGGCAGCCCCGGTCTTGACAGCCTTTGTTCTGTTTATGTTTAGGGTAAGTGAGACATTGCGCGTCGGTCTTGGTAAGGCAATCACAAGTCTTGGCTGCGTCATGTTGATCGGCTGTCTGGACCACATTCCACCGACCTCAAACAACTGAGCAAGGCTCGTTCTACACAAATCACTGTGCCGCGAGTCAATGCAGTGCTCGGTCTCCCTGCGCAGGTCCGTCAAATCGACATCACAGAAATTCATAACTGCGGCACAACTGTCTCTAGCCACGTACAAAGGTCTCGCAGCTCTGCGCCACCCATAATATGCCCCATGCCGTCGTACTCTTTCACCGTCAAGTGCTCCTGCTTGACGCCGCAATCTAACAAGCCATTCGAACACAGCGTCAGGTACCGCCTGGGCACGAGCATGTCTTTCGTCCCTCTGGCGATGAATACCTGCACGTCGTGGTTGATTTTCTCGGGTAACCCGGCTGCCTCCCTCAGCTTCGGAATCCTTTCGATCAACGGTAGGTAACCAGACAGGCCAACAAGTCCACCCAGCCTGCCTGAGTATTTGCTGGATGTCAAGCCCGTGAACAGCGCCATCGCATGGCCTTGCGAGAATCCCCCCAGCACAATCCGCCTCTCTGGAACACCTTGCGAGACCAAGTCATCGATCAATGATACCAGATACTGCGCGCTGGATGTGATGCCCTCTTCGTCTTCCTCGTCTTCCAGCTCTGGTCTTGACGGTGGAAAGGGTGAGAGTCCTGTAGGCGCATACCAACCTGTAGACATGACGTCGTGATTGTGGAGGGCGTTAGGAAGGACCCATGACATGTACGGTAGCTTTCCAGCAGTCTGGAATTGACGCGCAATAGCTACATTATTATCCTTCAGTCATGATCTTAACGTGAGGATTGAATACCGACATTCAACACCTTCGGCATCGTCTCCAAGGCCGTGAACGAATATGAAAGCAGCGGATTTGGCAGGATCTTGTGGTGACGCGGAGGGAGCGAGCACGATCGGGGGTGTTCGTTCCGGCATTTTTGGACAATGTGAGCCTCGATGTGCACGATTTCGATGCCGGAAACGACTAGTGAAGAGACTGACGAAAGAACATCTCAAAATATAGCTCGTAGTGATTGACGAAGAGGAATATGTGCACTGAAAATACAAACCAATTGATGTACCCCGCATCTGTTCGTACCGGCTCCACGCCACGCGCGTCGTCCATCGCGTGATCATGTGAGCACCCCCGACTTCCACTTTCCAGAGCTTCGACAATGCTTTGCTCGTAGCCACCCCAACCATGCCGCACGTCGAAGTGCTCCCCAACTCGGCTGCTGCCATCGCACCAGGATGGACCTACGTAGTTGACACGGGCTACGACCCCTCGAAGATCGCCATCAACCCCAAGAACAAAAAGCGCGCCGCCGCCAACCCCAACCAGCGCAGCGAGAATGAGCTCAGCTCGCGACAGCAAACGGCCATCGCGCGGCGCATAGCAGAGCTGAACCGGGACAACGACCCGAAACAGAGCATCCCGATACCCGGGAAAGCCTGTACGCATCCACGCTGTGCGCGTTCGCGAGTAAGCAGTGCTGACTAGAGCTCTAGCTATCCCCAAGACGCAGAATGCCCGAAGAATCATACAGTACCAGCGGCAGATCAAGCACTGGCTCGACGACGAGGAAGCGCAGCTCGCGCTGGCGCAACAAGCACCGCTCCCGCGGTCCGCGACAGCAGCCTCCCGCCTCGCAGCTCAACCGCTGCGACGCTCGAGTACCATGGCCTCGGTGCCACCCACGCCCTCTGAGACAACGCCCGCGCCGCCTGCGCCTACTCCGACAAAGCCAAGGTCTTCGCGGATGGACCTCGACGACGACCCGCTCCTTGCCATCGACGACTCTCTGCCACCGCCCGTTAGTCAAGCCGACCTCGACGCTCTGCTCGCTGCCCCCCCGCTCTCGTACGCTGCTTCGCATGTTGCTCCTCCGCCAGTGGGTGGGCCGCCACAGCGGCACTTCTGCGATAACTGCGGGTATTGGGGCAAGATCAAGTGCTTGAAGTGTGGCGCAAGAGTGTGTGGTATGGAGTGTAAAGATGCCCACGAAGCGACCCGCTGTCTGAAGTGGGCGTGAGAGAAACGAGGCCAAGATCAGGAGATTGAGTCATGATCCTTTTGGACTTACAACACTCATACGAAGAGGTCAAGACCAGCTGGGATGCGACTGCGTCATAGGAGATGTATGGCTCTTGGCGTTATGGCATGCACTGTTTGAAGATACCCACGGGAAAGCCACGTCTCAATGAGACAGGACGCAGCTAGACTGCATCCAACGTGCGACTCACTGTCAGTATATTCGGTCCTTCAGCAACGCATACATTGACATTCGTAGAGCGCTACTACAATAACAACCAAACTGCTGTACCAGCACACTCACCACCTAAACTTGTCCCCAACCAACCCCTCACTCAACCTCCAAAGCCTCTCCGCATCCTCCCTCCCCCCCACCGTCCCCCTCACCTTCTCCTCATGCACATCTCCATCCTCCATATAAGTCCCATTCCACTCTGCCCCCTCCAGCCTCGGATCAAACGCCGCGGCCACATGCGTCGCAACCATCTCCTCCTCGGTCTTGACATCGAAGCTCGCGCCTTCCTCCCCAAGCGGATCTCCAATCTCCTTATCCAACTTCTTCAAATCCGCGAAGTCCTCGGCCTCCAGACCATCCGCGAGACTCGTGCTCATCAGCACGCCAGGATGCACCGCGAAGCTGCGCAACCCCCGCTCCGTCAATCCCGCATTCGCCGCCAGCGCCCGCGTAAACAGGATATTCGCCGTCTTAGACTGCCCATACGCAACCCACTGGTTGTACGTCTTCCCACCGCTGAAACCGACATCGTCCCACCGGATGCCCGACAGGCGGTGCCCGTCGGAGGAGATGTTGACGACGCGCGGTGCCGGGGCGGCGAGCAGCTTGCCCATGACGAGATTGGTGAAGAGGAAGTGGCCGATGTGGTTGGTGCCGAAGTGCATTTCCAGGCCGTCTGAGGTCGTGCGGTAGGGGCCTGCCATGACGCCCGCGTTGTTCACCAACACATCAATATAGTCCTCGCCGTAGGCGTTTACTTCGGCGGCGGCGCGGCGCACGCTGGCTTGCGACGCGAGGTCGAGGTCCAGCACGCGGGTCTTTATGGAGGGATTGAGGGACGCGAGTTTGGTCGCTGTGGCGCGCGTCTTGGAGGTGTTGCGCCCGGCGAGGATGAGCAAGGCGGGGCTGTAAGCCGCGATTGCTTCGAGGAAGAGGGCGCCTGTGCCGTGGGGGGAGACGCCGCTGGTGAGGACGACTTTGCCGGCGATGTGGGCGGCGTTGTCAGCGGCAATGGTGGATGCGGGGGTGTGTCGCGTGTAGGGGAGGGGGCCTGGCATTTTGGCTTTGGACGCGGTAAATTGGATGGAAATGATTCGACTTGAACACGGGAGTAAATGTCTTTAGGTTGAGTTGTAGAATGCAGACTCGAACATGTCAGCATATACAGCACCACTCCCTCCAGCCCTTATGTATCCGTCCGCCCCACAGCAGTGCAATCTATTTCTCAATGTCAACTTGCAAGCTTCGCACACTAATCCTATTCTCCCTTACTGACCCCATCGATGTTGCAGGCAAACATGATGCAATGCCCAGACCCTGGCGGCCATGGATGGAGTTAACCGGGCCTGGGTAAGCATGGGGGCGGAATTCCGCGAGCTAGGTTGACGTTTGATTAGCCAATTCGTTTGCAAGTGCCACTGTGAGGGAGTTTGTTACGAGCGCACCCAGGATTTGGAGGTAGGATTGGACAGGAAGACGGGGATAGTGGCGTGTCCCGAGTAGGCCGAAGGGTGTCGGGATAGGTGGGGTGGATACGGCTTGCTCGTAGGATGCTGTGGGTCTGGGACCTCATTCAAACAGACGTACGTAAATAGTAAAGGACTCCTGAACAAAGCTTCTTCACGCTCATTCGGATGTTCCCGCTGCCCAAGTTCACACATCCCTATCACACTGGTTCATACACGGAACGCACTCAAATATCTTCCTGCGCCATATATGTGCCTCATCTCTTCGCAGTCCCCCCCTTTTCCAAAATCCGGCTTCCATTTTCCTTCAAAAAGTGACTGGTCATCCGTTAATCAGGTATCTTGCCTCTCACAACGTAAACTCCAGTCTGTTTCCCGCATAGTCCCTACACACATTAGCCCAATCTCCCCTCCAACAATGCACTTCCAACATACCGCGCAAAGAACCGCGTCGGATACTCGACGCCCTCAGCGCCACTATTCTTCTCGCCAGGCCTGCAACACGCACAAAACATTAGTCTCACTCGCTCCTTCTCCCCTCAATTGCACTTCCCGAGAAGCTATTCGGGGATATACTCACTTGTCCGCCGCTTTCGGCGCACTCTCGCCACCCTTCTCGAAATGCCCCCACACCCTTTCCTGCAGTGCTTGTAGCTCCTCCTGCCCGCCGACCTTGAAACACGGATGCCGCGACGACGCCCACGCAAAGTCCTCAGCCTTGCCGAACGCGATGTGGACCTGCCTAACGAGGTACCCAAATCAGCAGCGAATTCCTCCACGTACCAGGGAGGCCGGAAAGCCAAAGTGCGAGTATTTAAGACCTTGCTTGCTTGCTTGAGGATTGGGGAATAGAAGAGAGACTGCAACTGTGCTGGGAGAAAGTCACGTACTGCCCTGAGCTCCCAATATCGAACCACGCCAGCGTCTCGCGTTGGAGCTGGGGCACCGCGCGCGGTGTTAGGCCGAGGGTGCCGCCGTAGAACTCGTTCGCCTGTGCCAACGTGCCTGGGGGCACGACGAGGTTGACGTGGTGGATGCCCGTTATCATTTTCAAGTTTTTTTCTTCTCTCAACAACGGGTGTAAAGGGGTGCAGGATTGGGATGACTGAAGGGTGTGGGAAGGAGAGGGCGGAAGCGAAATAATAAGGCGGGGCAGGCTGTTTGACTGGATGGTATATGGCTTAAGAGTTTATCCTGTGGATGGATGTGGTTGGAGTCATGATAGATCACGCGTGTTTGTAAGCTTGAGGGCTCGATGGGTGCGAGGCAAATCCGGTATATCCGAGGTTTGTAGATCGTGGCGTACCGGTACGATGGTGGTGCGGGGGAAATTACCCCGACAGCTGGATGTTTTTGCAGCGCTCACGAGGTTGAAAGATCATCTGAAACGAAGAACGAGGTGTTTGAAGTTTTTGGATTTTTCATCGGCCCTCTTAACTACGTATACAAACTCTCTGCTTCTCTAAAGGCGCAGCATACTATGGTAGCAATTGCATCGCTGTTGTCGTCGCGATCGCCCACCAACACTATGCTCACTTCACTCTTTGAAATCGTCAATGTTTTCCTGCAGAAACCCGTTCTCAGCCAGCATGCCGATCCAAGCCTGGATAGCAGGACCGTAGTCCCAGCGACGTGCCTCAGCGCGCTCATCCTGCTCCGAGACCACCTGCACCTGCTGCATGTATTCCAGCATCAGCCTCCGCATCTCCGCCACCAGCTTGCGGTGACGAACCAGGAGCTCCGGCACGTCCTCCTTGTCGATGGCGACCTTGATGCTGGCAGGGATCGGGTTCGCAGCGCGCTGTTCCTCGCTGAAGGAGCCCATGAAGCTAGGGCTCGGAGGCTCGCGGGTCTCCTCGTCCAAGAACTCTTTCCAGTCTGTGCTCAGGGTGTCCAGACGGCCGTCGACGCGCTCGATGGTGTTGTCGGCTTCACAGAGCTGGTTGCGAAGGGACACGAGAGGAGACTGCATGATGGCAAAGATGCCGTAGTCGTTGTCGCCTGCTTGGATGAGTGCGTTGATACGCTCGGAAACAGCAGGGATCCACATCTCGCCCTTATCTTCGTCGTACTCGCCCATGAGGGTAGGTTGCTTGTCCATACCATCGAGCTTCCAGACTTCGCCGTTGATGGGCACGAAGGCGATGTAGTGATGGGCGTTCTCCTCGAAAGCCTCGACGGAATCGCTGCTCGCATTGCTGTCTTCAGAGTTGCGTCGTGCCGTTCTAGAGCGCGACTTGGTCTGGACACTGGGAGCTTTCTTCGTCTCTGCAATTTTCTTCTGACTAGCAGCTTTGCTCTTCTGCGCCTTGGCAGCTTTTGCTGCGATGTACTTGTCGTTCTCGAGCATGTCCATCTTCTTGGCGAAGGAGTTGTGGATGCCCTTGACGAACTTCCAGCTTGCGAAGGTGTGGCCGCGTTGGAGAGGAGTCATGTCCTTGGTGAAGTCCTTGAACTGGTGCATGTGCTCGCCGATGTCGATATCCGGATCGTCCACGTTGAGGAGGGTGTGTATCATGGCGAGAGTCGCGCAGCTGTTCTGTCCCGGCATCTGATTGGCGAACCACACATTGTCGGGACAGGCTCCTTCTTGGTTGTGCTGATCGAACTCGCGATGACGGAAGAGCAAGACCAATCCATAGACAGGAGCTAGGTAGCTGAGTTGTTCCTGGTCTACCGTGAGGAGCTCCTGGACGTCCACACCTTGGATTCCAATGTCACGCAGGATCACTGAAAAGTAGGCCGGGTCGGACTCAATCTCGCAGTAGCCCTGCCAGGTTTCCTTGTCCACTGAAATGGCTGGGACATTGGAAGGGCTCGGAAAGCGCGGGGAGGGCTCCGGAGATTCCACCTCCTCCATCTTGGTCTTCTTGCTGAGTGAGTCCTCGGATGATCCAGGGAGGGATCGCTTGTGCGAGCTGAGTGACATCTCGTGAGCCTCATCGTTCTCGCGGGCCTCGGGGGAGGCTATGGGGGCAACAGATGCGTCCTCCTGGGACTCAATGGGTGCCTTCAAGGTAGCGGCGTCGCATGAGGGACCCACGTGATGCTGAGCGGACCCAGGCTTCTTTGGGCTGCTGGTATCGGCCTTGACTGAGTTGTCGACGGTGCCGTTGGGGGTGGAAGGCTTCTCAGTAGCCATGCTGAACGAGGTGTGCCGTATCACCAAGGGGAAGGTGTGGCAAGAAGCAGATGCTGCGCTTGACAGGAAAGCGAACGGATGGTTGGCTTGAGCTCAGGTCAGAGGGTAGTTTGTGGGATGTGGAAGGAAAGGAAGACGGAAGAGCATGGTGGAAAAGCTTCTGCGCGCGGACGGGCGTGTTGTGCGAGGCGAACAATAGCGAGAGCGGCTCACGGGGGTGCGAGTGAATGGTGAAGAGGAGGGTGAACGGTGCGGTGTTGATTGGAGATTGTAGAGCCGGGGCGGGCGGGCTGTGATTGGCTGGTTTGCGGAAACTATGACCTCGCGCTCCAACGCGCCCCAAGTTTTGTTTGGCAGCAGAAACAGAGGCAGCGACACACCCAACAGCACAGCGCCCCGCCCCGCCCACGCATTCGCCGGCTTTTCCGCCTGCACCACGGCCGACCTGCGCAGCTCTCGCCCCGTCCCATGAGCGCAGACAGCAGCGCGACCAGCGGCCACCGGGCACAATGAACGGCACACCACGACCGCGCCCAGGCGGCTTCCCGTCGACGCCGCAGCACCAGCAAGCCCGCTCGCCAGGCGCCCAAACGCCCAGCACCTCGTCCACCTCGCGCCGACCCAACGTCAACACGCCCCTCCCCGACGTGCCTCGACCGGCTGCGGATGCGACACACTCGTCGGGCCCTTGGATACCCGCGCACATCATCGACCCTGCGCAACAACGCCTCTACGTATGCTCGATATACATCGCACTCTGGGGATGGAAACTGTACGACTTCTACAACCTGGCCATCGAGGAGGACGAGTCGGTGTGGTCGTGCATGAAATGGTGCGGCCTCGACATGACCTTCTTCATGCTGGGCGTCCCGCTGCTCGACATTCCCTGGCTGCAATGGAGCACCTCGACGTCCTTCATGCTCTTCGTTGTCCATGCTGCGCTGGACGTCATGCTCATGTTCCGGATTGGCATACCTGTGCAGGCCTGGTTCATCTCGCTGGCTGGCTTCCTCTTTGACAGCGAGCTGGCCATCAGTGAGCGCAGCGTCAAGCCTGGGCCCATTCTGCACAATGCCTCTCTCATCCTGGGCAAGCAGATCATCAACATTCTTCCTGAAGGGTACGTTCGACACAAGTGCGCCAGCTAGGACCCCCGCTAACCGACCGTGCAGATCTGCTGTCTTGAACCCTGAGAAGCTCAACTTCTGCCTGAATTCCACCGTTACCTCCGTTGAGCTCCCGATTCTCATCAACCAGACCGAGCCCGTCGAGCTGGACCTTCTTCGCCTCGACTTCGACACGGACCAGAACGAAACCATCACGATCAAGAAGGGCGAGCTCAAGGGGCTGCTGAAGAAGGCACGCAAGGCCGCGAAGAGGACGGACCCGGACGACCCGCTCCTTCTCCGATACACTGTGAAGAAGCCTGGCGTGTACCTGCTCAAGAAGGTGGTCGATCAGTCCAAGCTGGAGGTGCGCCCGAGGAGCACCAACGCAATTGTCGTCAAATGTCCACAAGCCCGCGTGAAGCCCACCGGAGACAGGCGCTGCCGAAATGACCTTTCCAACGTTGAGCTCGAAGTGGAAGGCGTGCCGCCGCTGTACGTCAAGTACCGCTTGACCGTCGATCGTCAGCCGCGCGGAGGATCTGAATTCCAGAACTTGCAACCAGACGAATTCTTGTCTCCACTGTCACGACAGACCTCTCAAGCTTTGGTGAAGAGCGGGAAGGAAGACGTCTCCTGGGCGCGTTCCCACAAGGTTACCGTACCTTTGAATGAGACCCTGGCAACCGGCAGTGGTTGGGAATACGCCGTCGAAGAGGTGCATGATGGGCTTGGGAATCTGGTCAGCTTTGTCGGAAATGAGGAGGAAGACCACCCCAAGGCCAGGATCGCCGGCACTTATCAGGGTTTCGAGGTGCACGAACGCCCGCGCATCTTTTTCAACAAGTGCAACGCCCAGAACCCCATGCGGGTAGCCAAGGGTCGCAGCGAGCCTTTGCCTATTAGCTACGCATCCACAGGAAAGCATCGGGTCGATAGCCCGCATAAGATTCAGTGGCTCTTCACGCCAGAGGTCGACATCGTTGCGGATGGGCACCACAGCGCAAATGCAGAGACCAGAGAAGGAACCATCAAGCCGGGCGTTGGCAAGATACACGCATCTGAGGCTGGCCTTTACACGCTCAAGTCCGTCTCCACCGAGTTCTGCGAAGGTGACGTGCTTGAGCCGACTTCTTGCCTCGTGCAGAACCCTCCTATGCCCGAGATTGAACTGAACAGCGAGGATATCATCGACAAGTGTGCTGGAAATCCCATCGGTCTGCGCGTCGACATGGATTTCATCGGTACTCCGCCGTTCTTTGTCAAATACGTCGAGCAGCAGAAGGGTAAAGCTAGGGCGCAACCGCGCGATATCCAGATCGGCTCGCTCAAAGGTAGCATCGATCTCGCCCCGGAGAACACTGGCCACTACACGTATACTTTCAAGTCTATTTCCGATGCGGTATACCAGGATCGACCTTTGCATAACCTTGTGCTGCAGCAAGAAGTCCGGGCCCCCGCCTCGGCTCACTTCATCGACAACAGACGAACCAAACAGGCCTGCATCGACGATTACGCTGAGTTCAGTGTGCAACTTACGGGCGATGGACCTTTCAAGTTAGAATACGAAGTAATGCACAACGGCAAACGTGATAAACAGACGGTCGATGTCGACGGGGACTACTACACAATCAAAACACCAAAGTTGAAGAACGGCGGGGAATACACGGTTGCCCTGGTCAGCATCGTTGACAGCAGAAAGTGCAAAGACACGCTCAAAAACCAAGAAGTTAAAGTGCAGGTTCGACATGAGCGACCCAAGGCCTACTTCGGTCTGGTGGATGGTAAACAGTCGATTATGGCGCTTGAGGGCAAGAAGGTGGATCTTCCTCTTCGGTTGTCTGGAGTTGGCCCTTGGACTGTCGAGTACGAGAATCTGGACACCAACGAGAAGCAACGGGTCCACGTGTCGAACGCGAATGCCCCTCTCTCTATCACACAGCAGGGTACCTACCGCCTCATGGCAGTCAGTGACTCAGTTTGCCCTGGTTTTGTCGAAGAGAAGGCCAGTACATTCAATGTTGGTTGGATCGCACGGCCACAGATTAGCATCCCCGAGACATCCTCGGTTGTCTTTGAAAATGGCAAATACGTCAAGGACGCTGTTTGCGAGGGTGACGAAGACTCCTTCGAAGTGGCCCTGCTAGGTACGAAATATTTCCATGTGCATTGTAGTATACTAATTCTTCTGCAGGCAATGCTCCCTTCGAGGTCTCATACAAACAAGAGTACAAAGGCAAGGGTAAGACTGCTGCACCTCGCGATAAGGATATCCGGGCTGTGAGTGGATTGACAACCATCCGTGCCGACACGGCCAATGCGGGCACCTACGAATACACGTTCCACAAGCTCGCCGACAGCCGGTACGACCATTCGAAGAAGCATTTCCAGCCGCTTGTTGTCCAACAAACGGTCAATCCGCGCCCTTCAGCACGTTTCGACACGCCGGGCAAGACCTACAGCTACTGCAGCCGCGAGTCCGACGGCGAAGAGGTCATCCCCATGACGCTCGAAGGCCAACCCCCCTTCTACCTCGAAGTCGAAATCAAGCAAGCCGGCGTCCCCAAGCCCGAAATCAGCGTCCACCGAGATATCCGCAGTCCCAAGTTCGACCTCAAGATCGAGCACCGCAAGCTCCACCTCGGCGTCTCCTCCATCACCATCCGCAAAGTCCGCGACGCCCGCGGCTGCACCCTCAAGCCGTCGCCCGCCTCCCCCCGCGTCCAGGTCAGCGTGCACGACGCGCCTACGGCGACCGCCCTCGAAGAGCGCGCAGACTTCTGCGTCGGCGAGCGCCTCTCCTTTGCGCTCTCCGGCCAGAACCCCTTCACCGTATACTACACGTTCAACGGCGAGACGCGCAAGGCGTCCAACGCGGCGACTACGTTCCGACGTCTCGCGGAGCTGCCCGGCACCTTCACCATCACGGGCCTGCGCGACTCGGCGTCCGACTGTCTTGCGCCGCTGGATCTTACCAAGCACATCCATCCCATCCCGTCTGTGCGGCTTTCCGGTGGGCAGGTCAGTTCCGTGGATATCCACGAGGGCGGGAACGCGGACTTGCACTTTCAGTTTGAGGGGACGCCGCCATTTGAATTTACCTACACGCGGTCTACGAATGCGGCGCGAGGAAAGAAGAGTAGGGTGCTCGAGATCAAGACGGAGGTGAGCCATGAGAAGGAGATGTTTGTCCCTGTGCAGGAGGAGGGAACGTATGAGGTTGTTAGTATCAAGGACCGGTGGTGTGGGTTCGCGAAGCAGGTGGAGGGTGTTGAGGGTCGGGGTGGGCAGAAGTTGTTGCAGTATTAGTTAGTTGGTGAGGGGTGACGTAAAAAGCACGGTAGGAGTGTAGAGGGTGTAGGCGTGCGGGGCATGAGCATTTGTCGGCGTTATACTGTGGCTACATGGGTGGCTAGGTCCTTGTCTTGTCTTGTTTTTCTTTGGCCTGGGGGAGGGGATAGATTGATGGCAGGATCGGGTGTACGCTTGCATGGCCGTGCACAGTTTGGTTTCAGCGAAGCTTGTAATATCCATCCCATCTGGAATGCAATACCCTCAATCACACACGTATGCAGTAGGATACGACGCTGGCACAGAAGTCTGATTCACGTGTGATGCACCATCCTGTGTACCATCGTGGAAGTAAGACGAGCATTTGACTCGTGAGAGCGAAGTACACTGAGTGTGGGTATCTTTGAGTGGGACAAACCTTCTGTCCGCTGCTCACACGCCCATGCTCGGCGCGGCTGCGTACCTAGTCGTCGGGATACTCGTCCCGCACATTACTCACGAAAACGCCACTCCCGCCGTCCCACCGCTTGAAATGGCGCCCGGCCAGCTTCATCAGCGCAGCCGAAGGCTGCGTGCCCGGTTCACAGGGCGTGATGTTCTCTGCGGCGACGTAGCGCACTGATTTGTCGCTGACCCTGTAACAACGGCGTTAGCAACGCACTCTCAAACTGGATCACAGCAATGACTCACAGCACATGGTAAAACGGCTGTACCCTTCCCCCGGGCAATCTATCCACGCCCATGTTATGGATCCACTCCTCGCCCGCATCGCACACGGTGTCCCACCCGGTGACTACGCCCTCGTAGTGGTACCGCGTGTGCCGGAACAGCTGTCCCACGCGAAACACAACTTTCTCCGTGGCGCCGCCATCCCGCCTGGTCGGCCGCTTCGCCATCCCATCGACGCGCCGCATGCTCTCGACAAACGAGATCAGCCGCTGGCCCTCGGGCTGGTGGATGAACATGGGGATAACGTACTGCTGGAGCAGTGCGACGTCCCAGGGATAGTGCGTCTGGAAGTGCTCGAGGAGGTAGGGGAGGTACTGGCGGCGGCGGGACGCGGGGCTGGCACCGGGCGCGCCGGTGTCGTCGTGCGCGCCGAGGAGCAGCATCGCCCAGATGGTAGCATAGAAAGCATTGTCCATGTCCGGGTAGGCGGTGTGCCAGGTGCTGTTTATGCCGTGGAGGCCGGCCTCGGTCTGGCGGATGGTCTGCACGCTGTTCATTATGTTGCGCGCGGTGCGGAGGACCATGTCGCGCGTTGTGCTGTCCGAGAGGAAGGTTGCGTGTTGTGCGGTGGGGACGCCCATTTCGCGGAGGGTGCGCTGGAGGCTATTGGCGAGGACTTCGTCCGAGGAGCGGAAGGGGTCGAGGTACATGTAGTCGAGGTCTGTGGAGCTGGTGGGCTTGTAGGCGCCGTCGAGGGTGTAGTCTTTGGGCGCGTAGACAAGGGTGTAGACATGGAAGAGGAAGCCGCAGGGCCGCGCGTCGAGGCCGACGCGGCGGGCAAGCGCGCAGTAGATGGCAACGGAGATGAGGGGAAGGGAGTCGTGTGTTTCGGAGCGGAGGACGAGGCCAATGAAGGAGTTGCGCAGGGCGCGGTAGGACGAGTCGGCTACGCCTCGGAAGCCCTGTTCGCGGAGGAAGGATGCCAGTGTCGAGGCTTTCGCGCGGGCGCTCAGGGTGTGAAATTCGGGATACTGCCGATGGACGCCCTGTGCGAGTTCGTCCAGGTCGCGGGTAACCGTCTCGTAGTCCACATCCTCGCCTGTCCGGGTGAAGATGTCGTATGCCGCCAGCGCCTTTTCAATGGATACGTCCTCCCCTCTATTGAGCTTCACCCACACCTCCATCGCCAGCTCCCTCTGCACCCTTTCGAGAATCGCATTCGCATAGTATCGCCTCGCCAGTACATCCTCTTTCCCATCGTCGCACGCGCACTCTCTCAGCAGCACCTCTTTAACATCGTACCCAAATTCGGCAATCTCATTGATATGCCGGATACGATTTTGCTGACCCTCCAACAGCTTGTCCAGCAGCCTCAGCGTCTCCTGCTCAATCTTCACGCGTCGGATAAATACTGAGCGCCAGTCGACGTCCGACAGGGGGCCCGCGAATTTGGCGATGATGCCGTGCTGCGGGTCCCAGTTCTTGAAGTGCGTCTGGCAGAAGTGGCGCCATATGAGGGGCGCGTCTGCCGTGAGCTTCCTGACGAGGCGACAGGTCTGCGCGACGGAGAGGAGCGACGGGGGATCAAGGTGCAGGAATATGGCTTCGAGGATCTCGGTCGGGAGCTCTGTGAAGGCGGGCGCCATGGCGCGTTCACGGGCAGGGCAAATTGACGTCGGGAAGCTTTCCCAGTGTCTACGGGGCCAGGAGAAAGTCACCGGTCAGTGCGGTTAGTCAGTGGTGTTGACAACCAGGTTCATGGAAACAATCGCCGCCGCGATGTTGCCGCTGCCATCATGGAAGTGGATGTCGTCAACGAGATGACGTTCGTTGGTCGGCCCAGCTGAGTAAGCTGCCTCGGCATGTTCAACCCAACAATCCACCCACTCGTCGTTACTGATCACAGTTTGAGATGAGGGCAACGTCACATCAAACGAGCTGCACGAAGATGTGATGACGGGTCAAGAATGTGATTTTCATTTTTTCAACACCATCCAACACGCTCTTTATCCACTGCTTTTCATTCAACATCCCGTCGGGACTCTAGATGCAACCAAAACTTTTCTCTAAACATTGAGCCTCGCAATGCTGTACACCATTATAGGTCATGCTCCCCGGAGCCATGACAGAGCTTCGAACTACTCAATATATCGTGCAAGCATAGAATTCTACTCAGTGAAGCCCAAGCCGGCAAGCTCCTTGCGGATCGATTCTTCCGTGGTGATTTTTTTGACCTGCGTATCCTCGAGCTTTTCGCCTCCAGCCTGCCTCATCTTCAAATCGTCGATGGCACGGATCTTCTTCAACAGACTGCGGACCTTCTTGTCATGTGGGTTACCGTCTCCCGGGCTTGTCACCGTCAAGTCGGGGGCCGGGCCATGGTTCTCCGTCTTCAGTTGCGCTGGAGGCTGGCGGACGGGAGCTTCTTGTTGATGGTGTCGGTTTGAGCCGGAGCCAGCACGATGGTGATGTTGCTGGCCCATCTGAGCACGGTGGTCTCCTTGTTGACGGTAGTCTCCCTGAGCACGATGATCTCCCTGTTGACGGTAGTCTCCCTGAGCACGATGATCTCCCTGAGGACGGTGGTTTCCATCATAGCCTGAGCCGTCGCGTCGATGCGGGCTGTTTCCGTAGTTTCGGTGCTGGGACGGGCTTCTCCCGCCGTTATTATACGCATTGCTCTTGCTCCGGCTGCGTTGCTGATTGCGAGCATCACGTCGCTCCGGGCTTCGGCCACCATTGGCAGGTCCTGGGGCAGCGTTGACTCCATCGGCACCAAGCCCAGCAGCTTTCTCGGCCGCCTCCCTCGCCTTCTTGGCTTCTCGCTTCTTCTTATTCTTCAAGGCAGCCTTCGAAAGCTCGCCCTCTGCAGCTTCGGTGCCGGTGAGGCTAACACCTCCACCAGGAGCCGCACCAGGGGGTAAAGTGTCGACGGGTTCCGCACCAGGGACCTCGCGGCGGCGAGGCTTTCCGAACTTGTCAGAAAAGGATCCGTTGTTGGTGGAAATTCCGGTATTCGTATACGCTGCACCTCCTTCATCTTCGCGTTTGAAGAGCATCGGAGTGGTGGTTCCGCGAGCGCCTGGGGGACGATACGCGCCAGCTGGTTTAGAGGGAGTCTTCACCTTACTAAGGTAATCCACGGCTGAAGCATGAGGGCTATCCGCCTGGAGAGGGTTCTCCAACTGAGTGATCTGAGGCCGCCAGGTTACATGATACAACTCCGTCATATCCTCGTTGTACATCAAAGTACCGCCAATGTGCCAGAGGCGGATTCCATTGTCGACACGGAGACGGGGGCTCGTAGTCGCAGTAAGAATGTGTTTGCCGTCGGGGCTCCACTCGCAGTGCGTGCAATTGGACGCGACGATGGTATTGACCTTTTGGTAATTCTTCTCCAGGTCGTAAATGTCCATTTGGCCAGCCAGGTTTCCAAATCCAGCCACAAGAACAAATCGACCCTGAGGCGAAAACAGAATAGTGTTTCGCGGCGCAAGGTCAAAGCTGTGCTGCGCAACGGCGCGGGCGTTGAAGATGGTCGTCTTGGCAGGCATATAACCGTACACCACTCCAAACTCTTTCGAGTTTGGCGACCAGGAGACATCGTGAATGGGGCCTTCTTTGTCGAGTTGAACGCGAGAATCAAAAGAACCATTCGCACTCAGGATGTACATGTTCGTTTCGCCGTAGTAGCTTTTGTTGGACTTATCAACCTCGGTCTGGGCGAGAACAATGAGGCTGGTTCCAAGGTTATTCCACTTGAGTTGGACTTTGTCTCCCTTGTAGAAGGTTTTTTGCGAGACAGCCGAGTTGAACTGGGGTACCTGGAAGACCTTGACAGCGGCGGGCATGCCCTGTAATCTTGTTAGCCGAGCGCTTTGCCAGTACTCAACTGCGCAAACTTGCCTTTCGCTCCGGGACAAAAACAGCAACCGAATGGTTCTTGCCGGGCGACACCGCAAAGTCGGTTACTCCTTCAACGCGCAGCTTATTCCAGACGTTCCGTAAGTCATCCGCCTGGTAGAATTGCACCTCGTTTGTCACAACGCGCGCGCAAAAGGCCTCATCCGAAGTGTACTGCAGGTTCCAGCCCGTCTGTTGTTTCTGCACGTACTCGCCGATGACTGTACGGTTCTGTCCGGTCTCGCCGTCGCCAGGCACGGTGTGCCACACTTTGAGGTTTTTGACGGCGTTGCCCTCTTCATCCTTGGACGGACGCTGCCAGGTAATGATGTAGGTGCCTAGCGGCGAGAAGCCGAGCTCGAAGACATTGGGCGTAGGAAGCGCGGTGACGAGTTGGCCAGAGGATGTGTCGACAACCGAAACCCTGCGCGAACACGTGTCAGTGACGGTTGGCTAGGTAGCTGAGCGGAGCTTACTGTTCGGGTGATGCCCACGCAAAGTATCTGCTGTCAGGCGAGTAGCAGCAGCATCGCAGGTTGCCTTCCGGTCTGTCGCAGCGTTAGCAGCGCTCTTCGGCAGACGCGCATTGGCCATACCGGTCGAAGCCAGGAAGCGGCTCGTAGACGGGAGCTGCGTTGAAGACCCCGATGCCCTTTGAGGTGCGGTCTGCAGGCGTTAGCAACGAAGGGGCGCTGCGGGCCAGGTGCACGTACAAGCCAGCTGCGCGGGAGCGGCCATGACTAGTCAAAGTCACAGAGGAACAGCGAGCGAGGGCGGGTGCTGGGCGTGCGAGTTGGACGAGCGGCTGCCCGAGGTTGACGGTGTGGAAGTGGAATGGCGAGGACTGTCCAAGTCGGGGCGGATTCCAGAGATTGAGGGATTCCAGAGCAGGCACGGCACACGCAGCAATGCGGGGGCGGCAAGCACACGATGCGCGGGGATTGATGGAGATCGCGTGTGACTGCGGGCGGAGCAGGAGCTGGCGTAGAATTTCACCACCAGAGCCTCACACAAAAAGCACCCACGCCTAGCGCGTCAGAGCGTCACGTGGCCTGCGTCAGCGCCCTCGGCCGCCTTGGTGCACGTGTCGGCAGGCACCCGTGGGCCCCGGGCTCGCCACGGCACGGACAACGGCCCTTGACCACTCGTGCGGCGGGACGGGCGCGCATGGGCGTGCTGTAGGACCGATTGCGCACGCGCGCTGCGAGCCCGCGTCGACTGGGCATTCGAGAGCCCCCAAACGCGCCCTCCCCCTCGCTCGCTCTCGCGCGGCCGCGGTGCGCTGCCGTCGCTTGACGCTGCGATCGCCAGGACCGACGAGAAGGGAGGGCACGCTAACGGCCATGACAGCTCCCACGACGCAATTAGCAGGGGTGGGGCATCCCCGTACCAGCGCCAGCCGCGGCGCTCTAGGCTTCGTTGCAAGCAAACTTGATTGAAAAGGCGCCCCAAGATGCTCCGCGCAGGATCCCCATGAGACCTCGCCATGTTGTACTCGGAGGCTGCCCGCCAGCGCGATCTCCAGCGGTAGCTATGCCCCGGGGCCCTCGGCAGCGCCCCTCGTACTGATGCCTCGATAGCTACTATCAGCCATGGGTGGATGCCGCGCAGAACCTCGCCGAGGACTCCGACGGTGAGGAAAAGAACCTCGTGTACCGCGGGTACCGCCCCAATGCGAGCTGTGACAAGAGCTTGACTGCCTTTGCCCAGCTCATCGTGCTCCGCTTGAATGTGAAGCGTGCAATGGTGTCGCTGATAGACTCGACGCGACAATACATCCTTGCCGAAGCGACACGAAGCCTTTCGCTCTCGGACCAGAGCACCGACTCTGGCGACGACCTCTGGCTCGGGCATGCCATCATCGCGCGCAACGAGGCTGTCTGCCACCATACGTTTGGCTGCAAGTACACCGCCGTGGCCAGCAATGGCGAGGCATACACCACCGATGCCATGGTCATTCCAGACTGCCGCCTCGACATGCGCGTTTCGGACAAAGAATATGTGACAAGCGAGCCTGGCGTCCGGTTCTACGCCGGGGTTCCCATAACCACCAGAAACGGATATCGCATCGGTGTGTTTGCGGTTTCGGACGACAAGCCGCGCGATGCTCTGAGTGCTGCCGAGGTCAAGGCCATGGAAGACATCTCCGAAGCGGTAATGGAACACCTTGAGCTGGCCAAGGAAAGTGACGATCGTAGTAAAGGGGAGCGTATGGTTAGAGGGCTTACTGCCTTCATCCAACGGTCGTCAACTGAAGACGCCCGGGGCAGCACCAGCACGCGCCAGACAACTTTGGAAAAGCAGACCGAGAATGCTCGTCTCGAGGCCATCGCCGACGAACTACCAACGAACGGTGCAGTATCTGTCGTCAAAGAACCGCAATGGCATCGCAAGCCTCAGCACGAGCAAGGTAAATCACTTAGTCATCATGGTTCACGCACTAGTATGTTGCGCAGAGCGAACGTGACGCCACAGCAATGTCATGTGCTGATATTAAATGTAGAAAACGACAAGTCCCGGATCTTCCAGCGAGCTGCGCGTATAATTCGCCAATCAACTCGGGCTGATGGCGTGATTTTCTTTGACACTTCACAAGCTCAAGGGAGCATCCCCTCGTTCCATGATGCCACGCCGACCGCTAGCAGCGATGAGTACTCTTCGACCACTGCCGGTTCTACAACAACACACCGGAAGAAGAGGAACCCGAAGGGTTATACGTCGACGAGAAGCGAAGACAATGCCGAAGCCGCACCCGGTGATAGTCATCCGTGCCCCGTCGTCGCCCTAGCCCTACGGTCTGCCGAGCTAGGTGTGACTGACAAGGACTTCTTGTTCACGGAAGCAAACATGGAGCGCTACATTGCCCGCTATCCCCAGGGCAAATTCTTCAACTTCGATGATCAAGGATTGGGCATCAATTCTAGCGACGAAAAGTCTGAGAAATCTGAAGCCGAGCAATCAGACAAGACAGCTTCATCAACCACGACTGTTCGAAAAGCGCGAACAAGGCAGGACCGGTTCATCCCTAGTGAGCTACTCCGGGTTCTACCATCAGTCAGAAGTTTGATCTTTTTGCCTCTGTGGGATCCGACGTCGGAAAGGTGGACCGCTTGCTCGTTCATCTGGACAATGGCTAATGGCCGTTTGATGAACTCAGAAAGCGAATTCCCGTACCTTAAAGCTTTCGGGAACACCATCACAAGCGAAATTGCACGATGGAGTGCACAGAGATCAGATCGAGCTAAGTCGACCTTCATTGCTTCTATATCGCACGAGCTGCGATCCCCGCTGCATGGAATTCTAGGCTCGGTAGAATTCTTGCGTGACAGTGTATCCTCTCCCTATCAGCAGTCGCTCATCGGTTCTATCGAGACATGTGGAAAAACGCTCCTCGATACTATTGACCATGTTCTCGACTACGCAAAGATAAATAAGCTAAGAAGCGCGAACGCGAAGCGGAAGCAGAAAGGTGGAAAACGTAGCAGGCTCCCGGCTGACAACTCAATTCTCGGAGTAACAACGGTCTTCAACCTGTCCCAACTCGTGGAAGAAGTTTGCGACACAGTTTGTGCCGGGCACCAGTTTAGAAAAACCCACGACGTGAATCACTCCACGTTCCACGATCAGGGAATACGCTCGAGGGCGAACAGCAATGCCAGTGCAGAAGCTGGAGACGCAAGTTACTCGGGTGTCCGCACCGAGGATCGTGTCGTTGTGACGCTGAGTGTGGCCCCCTTCGTGCAATGGATCGTCAAATCTCAACCGGGAGCTTTACGACGTGTCGTTATGAACTTGCTCGGAAACGCCCTCAAATACACCGACGCTGGTTTCATCACCGTCTCGTTGGCGCAGGTCAAGGAAAAGAGCAACGCACAGTTTGTCGAATTCGTGATCACGGTAGAAGACTCGGGGAGAGGGATGTCGGCCGAATTCCAAAACACAAGATTGTTCGCCGCTTTCAGTCAGGAAGATCCATTTTCCAATGGTACCGGTCTGGGTCTCAGCATCGTAAAGCAGATTGTAGATTCGCTCAGGGGCGAGGTAAGTGTTGAAAGTAAGCTTGGCGTTGGAACGAAAATATCCGTCACCATGAAGTTGCCTGCTGGGAAGGCTGAAGATGCTCGGATGGATCAGATGCTGCTAGAAAAGCCAAAGGCATTGGATGGCAAGTCTGCAAGCCTGCTTTTCCCTGATATCTCCCTCGGTGGCACGGGGGAGAAACTCCGTTATGCGATGTTGAAGGCCTGTCATAACCTTAACATTGACGTCTCTGAAACTTTCGATTCAGACAAGGAACCAACTTTCTTAGTCACCGAACCTGACACGTTGATGCACAAGCTGCGGGAGAAGAAGTCGAAGGATTTCTCTCGGCCCGCTCTCGTCGTTGTTTGTGTGTGCACGGATGCAGCGGAGAAGACTTTTACTGAGGTATGTGGGCTTGCACAGATTATCGTTTTTGCATACACAGATCTAGGTCAAAAGTTCGAGGATACCTGGCCTGTGCATAGCCTAACCTCGAGTAACGCAATGTATTCAGACTTATGTCCTCTTTTTTGCTTCACATTTAAGAAGAACACCAGCTAAAACAAGTCCCAGAACCACATCCGTGAAGCATTCCAATACAACGGGTGGGTGATTGAAGTGGTTGCACAGCCCTGTGGTCCACTCCGGTTTACGAAGCTGCTCCTTGATGGCCTAGAACGCGCTTCGCAACCTGTCGAACACGTCGAGGTCCGCACACAACACGAACAAAACCCGCCGAAGGCCCACGCTCTGTCTGTACATCTTATGCCAACTGCCCACCGAAGCATCAGCGACCTTGGTCGCGGCGGCGATCAAGTTCCCTCCGCCATTGCCAGCGCGCATTCACCCCTCATCTCAGCAACCATGCCGACCGAAAGCGAACCACCCTCAATACAAGGACAGATTGCATCCACACCCAATAGCGAAGGCCAGTCCGAGTACTTCACCCCTCGCATCCTCCTAGTCGACGACAACGCCATCAACCTCAAGCTCCTTGTCGTCTTCGCACAGCGTCAAAATTTCCGTTACGCAGAAGCCGTCAACGGTCTGCAAGCCTTGGAGAAGTACAAGAGCGAGGCCGCCTCGACCACGCCGCCCAGCAAGCCTTTTGACTTCATCCTCATGGACTTGAGCATGCCGGTGATGGGCGGACTGGAATCTACCAGGAACATCAGGCAGTTCGAACAAGAGCAGAATCTGCCGCCGAGCACCATTGTGGCGCTGACCGGGCTCGCGAGTGCGCAGGATCAGCAGGATGCGATGGATTCTGGGATTGATATGTACTTGGTCAAGCCAGTGAAGTTTGGGGACATCAAGCGTATTTTCGGGGCCAAATGAATTTGGGTCTCGAGCATACGCAAGTATCGTTTGGCGCGTTCAGCGAGCATATGCATAGTTCTAGGTGGCGTTTAGCATGCATCGTTCTAATTGGCTCAGTCGGAATAGTTGTTAGTGGCAGCATCGGAGACATGGGTATTGTTACTACGCGCGCGACTCTAAATATTCAAATGCTGCATGGGTCTGGAACAAAAATGTCCCCAAGGACACATTGATGATCATGAGTCGGTCAGAGGGTCCCCGCTGCTAGCACGACCCCGGCCTGGCATAACAGTGGCATAGGATGAAAATCAACAATGCTCTGGTCCGCTGGTACTCGCAAGGTCAAGGCAAGAACTTCCGCAGTGCCAAAGCAGCCATTCCTCATGAGTTCGGACATGTCTTTGGCCTTGGGCATCAACAGTACGTAACCCCAAGTGAGTATGTGTCTAACACGTAGACGACGGGATTTCGATACCCTGATTTGAACGTGCTTATTGTCCATACGCCTAGTCAGCGAGAAGACCGCAACAGGTACATTCTCTTCGGCTGCACCGGCTTGAGCGGATACCCAGCAGCCCACGCTAAAGTTCAAGCAGCGCGAAAGGAAGCAGCACGAACAGCATGTCTTCGGCCTATACTTTCCCCAAAGTAGCTATGAAGTACGGCTTTGCTGAGATCGAAGCCTACAACGAACTCAATTCCGTCCGTGTGGACCAGACCGTCGCATACGAAGTGCGTCGTAGTCACGGGAACGTGTACGACTGTAACTCCATCATGCACTACGCGTCGGACATGGGCGACCGTACTACAACAAGCACGATCTTGCGAACGCTAATATCCCGATTCGACGCTGGATTAACGGTGGCCCAGGTTTCGTTCCGCCGCAGCAGGCTAACGCACAGTACCCGTACTTATACCTATGAATGAACGTCCTTCCAACTGGGACATCGTAGCGATCAAGGCTATTTAGCCTTGGTAGTAGTGTCTGTTGAAGGGGTTGATCTGAGGCAAATTAGAGCATCCTCTATACCTGGAGTAACCACAGTATGTGCAGCTTGAAGACCATTGAGACCGAATCGCATGCAGTCCACAACAATCTGACGTCTGACTGGATCATCTACAAGAGAAGCGGTTGCTGTAAAAAGTCGAAAATAGAATGACTGGCACTTTGATGCCCCGTCAGCTGGACACGTAGAGGGGCACAACGGTCGAAAAACATCGAAGTAGTTTAGCAATGAACAACTATGATGTCCTAAGTTTGAGACATCCATCAAGCTCAGTGTGTATTTTAACAAGGTTGTGTAGATGTCAGATTCTCGTACCATGCGCACCTTGGCTACAACATTTATCAAAGGGTTCTCACATTCGTCTCGGGTCAGCAATAAGCAGAAATGGAATATCAGGCAGTGCGTTGTTTGTCGCTGGAGCTAGCAGATGGTGCCATTGCGATGCCTGGTACCCCACGTGGCAAGTCGGCTAGCTCCTCACCATGAGCCTGACACATTGTTGTAAGTCTGCGGGTCCGTGGCCGCCTGCTGCTTCTCAATCTGCTGCTCGCCGCCATCATTGCTCCGAAAACTACCCGCGAGGATACCAGCGGCGGCCGCCGCCGCCTCAACACTCTCGTCTATCTCCACATCTTTCTGTTTTGTGGAGTCTTCGGCGATGCGGCCTCCCGTGCTGCCATAAGCCGATGGACGAACAAGGTAGTAGAAGTGTTCGACCTGGTCTGAACTAATCACCCAGTCGAAGTCATCCTTACAAAAGCCCCGAATCTGGTCAAAGGAGCACTTGTAGAGGTCCCTCCATACAACGATTTGAGTCATCTCGAGCTGCCGGGAGGGTGCCTCACGCACAAAACGAGGCTCGGAGTTCTTGAAGCTAGGTCGAGCAAATCCCTGTGCGGCCTTGTTCCGTCCAGTCTGGCTGCTGTTCTTGGCCGCGGTGCCGGAGGAGACCCTTGGCGCGCGTGGCAGGCCTCTACGGGCTTCAGCTGCCGTCGGGCGCGGGATTTCCGTCTCGTTCTTGAGGCCATATTGATTGTACTGCTCGTCGAGAGAAAGCAGATGGCATTTGCGAATCCACTCACTGCTGACCTTCCCCTCGGGAAAGCACTGCAGGACCGTGGCCTCATTGGCGGTCCTTTGGTAGCTTAACCCCATCTCGTCACAGACATACGTGATCAGCGATTCCCGGTAGGGCATCGTGCCATACCAGGTTGTAGGGTCATCCTCTTGAGGCCGCTTCTCTACATTAGTGCCCCTGTCTTGATATGATCGCTTCGGGATGTTGATCGTCTTGATCGAACGATACGGCAAGTTGTCGTTCACCCGAGCTTCCACTTTTTTTACCTCCTTCTCCTCATCGGTCTCTTCTTCCGCTTCGTCTTCGCTCTGATCCTCTCGCATGTCATTGGGCTCCGCATCCACCTCCATCTCTTCGACTTCTCCGGAACCCTGTGCTAGCTCGTCGTGCTCCGCGACTGAATGCTTCGAGTCCGTGGGGCGACCATCGACCGCGAGTTTGCCGCGCTTTCGAGATTTGCCAGCCGGGTTGTTGTTGACGCTGTCCAGCGCCTGCTCTTCGCTAAAGGGAAAGATGATACCTCCGTGAGCACCAGCAATCAACGGCCCAGCTGCACGCTGAGCGGAGGAGGAAGCGTTCGCGGTGGAGTTGGCAAAGTTTTGCATGTCGCTCAGGGCGAAGGATTTCAGGACTGCGTCAGAGCTTGCCGGGGCAAAGGTTGAGTCGCGATCGCCGTTGGGCTGGGAAAGGTCCCGGTTGGACGCCTTCGTTGACTCTCGCTGCGGAGACGTTGAGCAGCCGCCGTCGCCTTGATCGGCGGGGAGAATGGCCATCTTGTCGCGTCGGTAGATGTATGACATGATTCTGTGAAGCAGGATTGTCAGCTGTGATCGCTCATTGCGCATTTAGCTAGAGAGAGAGAGAGAGTATGTGTGTGTGTGTGTGTGTGTGTGTGTGTGTGTGTGTGTGTGTGTGTGTGTGTGTGTGTGTGTGTGTGCGGTAGCTCGCAGAGAAGACGTAACAGCTATTGTAACGGCGCTGCTGAGGACGCAGAGATAAAGGATTGCGCATTTGCTGATGGTTGAAGCGCAAGCTTACCGGTGTCTTGCAAGGTTATGTGGTATCAAACGCAAATCGGCGTGAGCGTAAACGCGGCTCTAGGTAAGTGGGTGAATTGAATTTTCAGGGTCGGCACGAAAGATATTGAGCACTAGCGGTCGCCTCGAGGAGCTTCTGATACTTACGATGATTTTAGTCAACGTGGGTGGAATGGCGGGAAGCTGCCGATGTATATCAAAGAGTACAGAAGGTCGCTGGCGAGGTCCTGTTGCAGCAAGGAACCTCTGAGAGACAGGCGGGGACTTACTTTTGAAACCGACGAGGTTGTGGTGGTGGAAGTGGTGGAGTGTGGTGTTGGAACAGTGCTCTGTAGAGGGGATATTTATACCGGGGGCTATACGCGGAACGAGTACGAAGCAACGGCCGACCCAGCTGCAGCACCGCTTTGAAGCTCACTAAGAGAGCACTACAGTCCACGGATATGTAGTGCGACTCTAACAAGGCTCTTCTGGTTCATAATCATAAATGTGAGCGAATTGGGGAGCCAGAGACGAGGCCAAAGTGCGGCGGGTCCGCGATATGCGTCAGCGAAAGAGCTGGTTGCTGCGGCCTCGCAGCAACATCGATCTCATCAGCAACATGTATAAGTCCTCAAGGTGTTCTAGATACGGGATTCAGCGCATTCGGAGCACTATATACTACGTTGGCTGACCTAGACAATCCCATGTTGCTTGCTGCCTGTCTGCGCATTCTACCAAACAACCCTACACCACAATCGCAAATGGACAAAGAATTTGGCCGAAAGCAAATCCTTTGAAAATCCAACATGGCCTCAAAAGGAAATTCACGTCTCAACGTCGCCTTAAGATGGCTACATGCCGGAGTAGGTGTTCATTACGGTTCGCGGGCCACTTGCCGCGCTGCAAGACTGGAGCCGCCGGATATGCGACCCTTTGGATGTTACAACGGTAACCGATCTGCAGATAGCGAATGAATAGCTGTTTGTCTCTGTATAATACCACAATGCTTGTGCGAACCTTCTGGGTCACGGTACAGGACGAGGCGTACCTGTGGCACAGAAACTGTGTGAGCACTATCAGGCCACTGGACTGGTCAGCCCCTATCTCAGGAAACTGCACCAGCGCGGTCGCCGTACTCGATGGGAACTTGATTACACTCCAAGATTGAGAAGCGAATGATCATCTTCAAAATGCGCTCTGGGATACACTCTGCGCTGATGGGGCATTGTTATCACAAGGCCTAGTCGCCACACGCGCTTTCAATATCTCGTCAGTGTATCAAGCTATTATCTCTTCGACATTGTATCACACGCTTCACTAAATGCGCACTGCGGTACGTGCGGCCCACCATCATCAGCAATATGGCACACAACACCGCGCAACGACAACACTACATACACCATTTTGCAGCCAGAAAAGCCATGCCAAAATTCACACTGGTGATAAAAATGGTGGGTCAGTCTCTGATCCCCAACATGGCACATTGGTCGCGTGCGCAGTAGCAACAGGCTTGCGAGTGTTCCGCAATGGCGAAGCCGTCTCCATTGGCCTGGCCTGCCAGCATGGGCGAAATTTGTTGTCCAGATTAATACAGCTCAATCATCCTAGCATTTGATACATCATTCGCATCTGGAGTCACACACTAATCTAGCATCTAGATAGCGTTGCTGCGACTCACCTGCCCTGTTTTTCAACTTCACATATCCTCGACGACCATAGCTTCAGGAAGATGCTGGGCCGCCGCTGATTGACCAAATATTCTACTGAACTTCAAAATACAGATGCATCCATCGGAGATCTAGCCGCAGCACCCTAATTCAGCGACTACGTACAGTAATGATAAACTTAAGCACAGCAGCCTAACAAAAGCGAGCGGAGGCCACTCCACAGTTCGCCATAGCCTTTGAGAGACCTCTATCTTGAAGCAAATAGAGATTCCATTGAGCAGCTTGGTGCGAAGGCTGCCCAGGGTCTGGTTTCACCAGTGATTGCACATGGTCGGGTCGGGTCGTGCCTACCTACTGGGTATTGACCGCACCTTCTTGAGTTACGAACCACCACCATTCGTTCACGCATCTTCCGACGTGCTCTTCGCTACGTTCTTCTCCAAAATCTCACCGCCCTTCCGTATGATCCAATACTACTCGAAGACGATGAGCCGATCTAAAGAAAAAGGAAAGACCGTATCGTAAGGTTCCCTACTCCTGCGCACAACAGGTGCTAATCAGGAGTTAGCTCCACTGCGTCAGGCCGCCCAACGGTAACAGCAGTCTGTGGTATTCTCAATACAGGACATGCTTGCGCCACAGTCTAGCCCAGCCGCGCAAGCATCGTTAACGCCATATATAATCTACTGCGGGTCCTGCGCACCTACCATTCCTGCCTTTCCAACAGGCTGCTGGCTTCACAGAAACTGCCCGTGCTGCTTTGCAGCAGGCTCGCGTCAGTCCAAGCTGCGGCTCCTCAGCTCAAGGCTTCAGTTTTTCTCCATCCTCCGGGCGTTGCGTAGAAGCAGTTTCGCGTCGGCCCTTCAGCTGTGGCTCCTCAGCATCAGACTGCATCCCGCGAGAACTTGGTGAGCGACCATATGGTCCGTGATCCGGGTCCCCCACACTTGAAGGACGTTGTTCAGAGTGGTGCTACGGTCTTGCTCGCATACTCCGTACGAAGACTGCGGCGCAAGCGACCCTTACAAAGCTCAACGACCCAAGGAGAAAATAATGAGACATAACTAAAATGTTTAGTACGGGATGCAGAGGTAAGACGCCAACGCGCTCAACGATCGAGGATGGCGCCGCATTCGAGTAGAAGACGTAGGCAACATGGTTTTCACCGTGCGAAAGGTATGCACAGGTACAGTTAAATATATGTAACAAATGCAATAAACGCACTGAACATGCGGAACTGCGAATGCTGTAAAATATTTACAAGTGATGTTTGACTCTTCATTATGATTCAAAATACGCCGATGCCATGCTATGTATGTACAGAATCCAATGCGGGTATTATAGTCCGCTAATGCGATGAGACCCTAGAGATATGAGCTCTCCTTTACTCAGTGTACCAGCAGCCGATGGGGCTATCGGTCTTGATGGCAGATGCAATCACACCTAGAACTCGTTGTTAGTAGTGTTCCGGATGATGATGATTAACGTTTATACGTACTTGTGCAGTTCTCGTTCCATCCAGGCTTGTCGAGGCCCTGAAGCCACAAGCTCCACGCTCCGTCGATAGAGCCGGGGCACGCTTGGAGCCCCGTACCCTTGAATTTGAGCTCGCCGTTGACGATTTCCCAGCCCTTGTTCTCTCCATTCCTGGGGAGAGGCTGGACTCCGGTGGTGTATCCAATGAGACCTTGGCCCATGCCGGAGCGGTCAACAAAGACGGTCTGGGGCCTGTAAGAGGTCTTGCTCTCCCAGAGGTGGAGCTCCTTCTCCTCGTTGATGTAGAAGGTAGCGAAGTTGGACTCGGCGTCGCAAGATGCGTTCTGCGACTTTGCGTTGACGAGAAGACTAGAGCGAGCGGCTTGTACACCGCTGTTCTGGATCTCAGAGCCGGAGCGGATAGTTATTACACCGAAACCCTGGCCCGTAGCGATGGGAGTCGTCTGAGGAAGGGCAGAAGCCGTCAGAGCGGCAGCTGAGGCGATGAAAGCGGTGGTGAACTGCATGTTGATGATGGAGTGAAGGTGTTGTTGGTTATTAGATTATGATTAGAAGTCGTATGATGAGAGTTGGATCGATGACTGCTGATGATGATAAGAACTGAGAGGACGTCTCTTGGTCTTATACGCTCCTACTCCGTTGCCCCTCTTAATCTCGGCGTCGAGCCACCGCGATCGAAATCGAGGCTGAGAGCTCGGCATGCAACGGTATGAAGTCACGCAACCTCATGCAGGCCAGCTCAGAAGGACCCGAGTGCGTGCTACTCCACAATTCGGAGAAAATCGACGCCGCGTCCTCCCGCAAGCCGAGCTTACACAATTAGAACACCCTTATAGCGACGCAGGGTCCGTACAACGTTGTTGTCCTATTGAAATGCAAGGGCAATGCATGAGAATGATGTCAATCGCCACCGGCCAATGGACGTTTGTAGATCAATAATGCTGGAAAGGGCTAGAGAACCGTTAGTGTCACGCTTGGGACAGCCTCCTATTCGTCAATATCGGGCCGAAATATATGGAAGGCGAGTATTGACGGTGGAGTTTGAGCGACATCACCTGGTCTTCTCTATTCTCTCCCCTCAGATTCTCACCTGCTTGTCATTACATTACCATTAGGTTCTCGCTGGCTCCCATATTAGGCACTGAAAGGGTCCCGCTCGGTGCCATTCAGAAAAATGACACGTTCGCTTCACCTGTTTCGCAGAGACCACGCTACCATATTATCCTGGATCTATCGGCTCTGAACTGTGGCCAAAGCAAAGGACCGTATACGTAGTTCAAAGCTTCTCGATGTTGCCTATGGTGACCAACAATGCTCGTCATTTCACACGACACATTGACACCTCCGATCTGGGAAGAACGTTCGTCAATAATCAATAAGATACCGGCGTTCAGAGCTATTTCAATATTTACTCTTAATAGGGCAACACAGCAGACTTCGCTCTTCCCTATTGAAACAGTATGCTGGTGGGTCTAAGACTGAGATTCCAGAAACATTGGCACATATAGGCCCTGTTATAAGGAGTTGTTGTGTATATCACATCAACTATAGCTCTGTTCATCGTCTACTTGACCAGTCCAGTTACCCGGGTAGTGGACGTCAATGCGGTGGGGCAAACATAGGATGAGGGACCCGCTTGCAGTTGCTCATATGAGGATCGAAATTGGCTGTTTCCCTAACTGACTATGCGCAATCAAAGCCCGTCTTGTTGCGGCTTTTTACTTCGCGTTGCCGTGGATGCGCATGGATGGACGAGAACGTTCAATCGTCCACAGTGCGTGTTACAACTCAACGCGCACCGCTGCGGAACATGCACAGTCAAAGCTGGTGAATGTAGCGATACCGTAACTGAGACGATGCTAGAATCGCAAAGGCTGATGAGGTTGGATAACTCTAAGATGCGATGAGAATGTGCGGTTGTGAAGGATGACATTGCCAACTACCATATCAGGACGCACGCTGCGACGCCAAATACCTCCTCCAATTGCCTCTCGTGCAAATTCGAGCATACTGTTAGCAAATCTTCACTGATGGAAAATCTAAGATGCGATTACGGGCTGTCAAAACATGTCAAACGTGGTCTTGGCCGATCTGACACAAGCGCCGTCGCAAGTCTTGGGCATGACGAAACGATCAGGACCACCGTGCCGCGATGTTGGATACGCGGGAATAAACACCCCTCTCATTACCGCCCACCCCCAAAACCTCAATTGGCTGCGAGGCGAGACTGTAAAGCAGGCTGCGACAAACTGCTGATGAACAGCGGGACGGAGGGCTCTCGATAGATGCAGTTTCACGGACCTTAAGACGTGCTCGTCGGGAAAGGCCGCCGTAGCTTCTGCCTATGAATTGCTTGATCATGTCTGGCAGGTGACTTGCTGAGCTCATGTGGAAGGCCCAGCACGCACATAATGAGCACCATCTGAGTGCCATCAGTTATCGATGTTCGAAATCTTTGGCTTGGGAGAATGTGTCGTATTTCCTTGAGTCTCTGGGTATCCGTTCTTAGCGTAGGTGTACTGCAGATGATGTTCTGCCTGTTATGATCAAGTCAGACTGTCACACTGGAACAGAAGAATATCGGTCGAGAAGCTCTACGAGGATAAGTTGGGATTCTAGAAACGAAGGTACGCTTTGGCCTGGGTCTAAGCGTACACGTGAGCTATCATAGCGCGTTTCAGCCTCACCTCGCGAGCGCTTTCCTAATCACTCTCTGTCGCAGCTTGGCGAAAGCTTAACTACAGTTTCACGATGCTGAATCCCGTTGTCGCGTCCTCCGCCCGCACTGAAGCAGACTTTTCCACACTCTCCGACTACGCGCTGGTAACCCGTCCACGCGTCATGACGACGATCCTCCGTGGACTAACCGCAAACAACTTAACAATGGTTCCTTGACGCCTGGCGTGGCACATGCGGTGCCTGATCGCCTTTTCGAAACCGGGGTTCTGTCCAGTGCGAGCGTTCTGTTGGATGAAAGGAAGAGCGATTATGTCTGGTAGCATTTCAGCCACCCGCTCGCTTCTGCATTGCGGAGAAGCGATGAGGAAGTATTGGAGAGCCCCGGGAGAAGGACTAGACGGTAACGGTATTTTGTGTGCACATCAGGAACCGCCCATAGGAGTACTTAAGGCAGTCCTCAACCCCAAGACTTAAGGCCTCATCCCACAGCTCAGCTTCTCTTCCGACCTTCACAGTCCTTCAATTTTCTATTCCATTCACTTCTACGTCGATTGACTCGACCCATTTTTCGATTCTTCCACACTGCAAGCAGTCCTTCGATATTACCACTTCGAAATTTTACATTATCCCGTCCTTTAGTCAACATGCATTTCTCCACCGTCACCTCTGCTCTTCTTCTCGGCCTCATGGCCACTACCCCGGCCATCGCCAAGCCTGTTGACTTCCATGCCCTGTCCGCCCGCGCCGAGGGTCTCTACGAGCGTGCCGTCGAACATAGCATAATTGCTCGCCACCACAAAGGAAGAACCGGTGGAAATGCAGGCCAAACAGCCAACGCCCAGGCTCAGACGAATACTGCTGCTACTGGGGCGTGTGCTCAGACCGGAAACCAAAAGCGACAGTGAGTGATCTTCAAGACTTCCCTGTGATCCTTTGACTGATACTTGCTTCTATAGCCACAAGGGTGCGGCGAATGCGGCGGGTGCGACTGGTGCGGCGAATGCGGCTGGGGCCAACAACTGTGCCGGACAACAGCAACAGCAGAATCAGAAGAGACATCACAAGGGTAACGGCGGCAAGGCAAAACAAGCTGCTGGAAACCAGGCTGCTGGAAACCAGGCTCAGCAAGCTCAGGCTGCCGGAAACCAGGCCGCCGGAAACCAAGCTGCTCAAGCTCAGGCTCAGCCTAATGCCGCCGCCGCGACTGCGGCAACGAACTGCGCTCAGACCGGCAACCAAAAGAGGCAGTGAGTATCATCTGAGTAGAGCATATGACCATCTAACTGATATCTTTCTCTTTAGCCACAAGGGTCAGGGACAGAACACCAATGCTGCCACCGGTGCCTGCGCTGGACAACAGGCGAACGTGAAGCGATCTCCTCACCACAAGGGCAGGCAAGGAGCGGGACAAGCTCAGCAGAACCAGGGACAGGCTCAACAGAACCAGCAAAACGCCGCCGCCGGCGCCGCCGCTGCCGGCGCCGCTGCCGCCCCCAACACAGGCGCTGCTACCACCGGAGCAAAGAACTGCGCCAACGTGAAGCGCCACCACAAGGGTAACGCCGGCGCGAACAACGCCGCAGCTGCCACCAACTGCCAGTAGACCATCCAGCGCGGGAGTTCAGACTAGCCTGTGCGGTTGAATTGAGGGTTCTCGGGGAGTCTAGCACTCAATGCTTGACTTGAACCAAGGGAGGTGTGAGTGGTTGTGTTTCAGGGGTTGCTATGTAAGAGGAGAAGTTTGTAGATATTTTAAACTATCGGAATGAAAAATTTGATGACTGGGAACAACGTATGCATGGTTCGAATGGAGTGGTGTTTTCTGTCACGTGCAAAGCCGGATTTTACACCCAGTGGATTGGGAGAAAGGTTTGTTACCACTCAGGAGACAGACCAAGAAAAGGTTGTCAGCGTGGTGAGCACGCTTCTCGCAGATCTCGATCTCGGTTCAAGCATTTGGATACCTGGGGCTGATCTGAATGAGCGCCGCAATGTAATGTTGTTCTAGTATGGCGATGGCTACTTGGGCTACAATGACAGAGAGTTTGTAAAATGAGAGCGAATAACGCTTGATATTGCCGAAATTTGCGTTGTCGTACACTCAGCAAAGGACAACCTCTTCGATCTCAAAACCTCCCCTCTCCGCCCCATCAAAGGCCTCCCCGTTCCAATACCCATCGACAAAGCACTCACCGATAACTCTGAACTGACCCGTCTCCCCAACAGGCCGCAGTACAAGCGGCAAAGATGACCCCTGCAAGACAAACACCTGATCTCCTCGTTCGACGTGATGCGGCGCCAGTCCAAAGTGCCCTGTGTCCAGGGTAATCAAGCATCGCGAACCGTGAGCGCCCATCACCGTCGCCACATCGAGCTTTATACGCACGGATGGGTACGAACAGTCTACAACCTCTGTATCGAAGTAGTCCTGGAAGCGTTTCCCCCCTATGCGGAACTGACTCATGGTTCGTCGCCAAAACTCGAACATGAAGAAATTGTTGCCAAGGGCGGTTTCCCACCCGCGAGCGCGCAACTGCGTGAATCGCTCTATGTCATCTTTGGTCAGGTTAAGTTGTCCGTCCGATGTGAAATAATCGACCGGATTTTCTCGCTGTGCAATCCATGGGATGCGAAAGAGAGCAGCGCCAACCGTATCGCCCCAAGTAGGGTTGCCAAAGAGGGTGTGTATGAGAGCACGAGCGACGGCCTGGTCGTCGCCGTACGGGTTGAGCGTGGAATTGGGTTGGATGGGTTCAGTACGGGTTAATGGGACGGGTGCTGTTGTCAAAGGGAGCCCTAAGCCATCTATTTCTCCTATGGATATACCAGAACATTTGAGCAAAAGGAGATCGGGACTGTTGCTGGGTATGAACGAAAATTTAAGCTTACGGCCCCCGTCAGCACGATAGAAAGATGAGGATTCGATGACTTTCTGCAAATCATCATATGCGCCGTCGAACTGGTCGTAATTGTAAAACACCCAATCGTGCGGGAATGTAGCGCGGTCAATCACCAGGCTCCAATCTGTCGCCCAGCTTGGCGCCATGGTTTGGGCAAAGCTTTTTGCGAAGATAACGTCCAAGTCTTCAGTAAAAGTGATGATTGCTTTCGAGAAAGCTGTGAATACTGTGGCAATTGGCAGATTATAATCGATGTACGAGGACATTTCGTCGCGAATAGGTGCTGGCACGATACCGAGCAGCCCATATACATTATCGTGCGGTTTGGTCGCCTGAGCGCTCTGGGCGAGCGTGAGTAGCGGCTGGCGAAGATCAAGGTATTTTGCTCTCGGCTCTAAAGCAGTTCGTTGCAGAGTACGATCCTTTCTTCCTCGGGTCGCCCACATTGATGTATAACAATGAAGCGTGATAGACATGCCGAGTAACTGCACCGCCTCTGGCGCGAATCCAAGTAATATGAGTATGCTCTCGGCGTTCAGACTCACAAATCTTGATACGGGCAGGATGTCCTCCAGATACATTTCCGAAACTCCACAGGCAACAGTTAAGCTCCCTCGACTCATGGCCATCTCTTGCAACACCCACACCCTTTGCCAATAAGGACGATTCAAGAGCCTCAGCATCGCTATATAAGCTTTCTTTTCCAGATCCGTGGCTGACATTCTTTTGTTGAACAGCTCTTGAACCACGCTCTCCACGCTCTGAGAGAGCGCCTTTGATGTTTTGTACATGAATTTGAACCCGAGATCGCTGTCTTCGGACTCCGCTCCAAGGTGAACATATACACTCGCCGCTTGACCGTATATATCTCTCATCCGGAGGATCTCTGCTTTGACTTCCTCCGAATCGGACTGATTTATGCACAATGCGTCCACCCAGAACTTGACGGGGATCGTTGTTGTGGTTTGTGCACCACGAAGTGTTTGTAACGCGGCCTCCAGGCTTTCAGTGACGTTGCAGAGATGGCCATCTATGTTGATCTGGCAAGACGGGTTTCGAGCATCCCATCCCCAACAGTATGAGAGCGCAATGTAGTCCCCCCAGTCATACCGCGGAACAGCTTCAGAGGACAGAGGCAAAGCGAAGGGGTAATGACGGAGCGAGCATCGGATGGTTTCCTTGCGGTCTGTGGTCTGAGCAGCCTCGATGGTGACAAGTCGAATTTCATCCATCTCAAGTGGTCGATAGAGGAGTTTCATATCATATGCCATTGCATTCCTAGCTTCTTCCACTGGTTGGTGCGACATTTTGAATGCTTGCGAAGGCCCGGGTCGTATTCTTGCGAGTCTACCGCAACAATGCAAATATTTGAATACAGCGGGCCTGTGGATACCTTGGGTGACACACTGAGCTGCAGAGTAACGACCTTGCGTTGTAGGCGAATTGTCTGCTCTACCACTGCACTGAGAAGATTTGCGAGTATTGGCTGTTCAAATGGTTTTGACAGGTTCAAAATGCATATGGATGCAGGAGCAAAGGGAGCGCCTGCTTTTGAAACTCCTCTTCAGCCCCGAGTTCGAATACGGTGTTTACCCCGGGCGCCACGCGGCTAGAACCAAGTCAAGGGAATGAGGAAAAGCAAAATGAAGGCTGAACATTCTTGCTTCTTGGCGCCCGCTAATATCGTAGTACGTTGTGCTGGTGATTAAGCGACGCCACCTATACGGGCGAGCTGAAACAATGTTCTTGCTTGACAATACATCGCTTGCCCATAGGTGGGGTGCAGGCAGTATGCCGAGTTTGCTTTTGGGATCGTGACCTTTGCATCGCGAGCGGTGTATTGTATTGACGGTCAGACTTATCTGACCAATTCCTCGAATAAGGCATCTCTCCTCCTTCTCACGTTGTCTAGCTCGATCTCTAATTTGCCCACCTCTTTCCTGGCAGCCTCCCGATCCGCCGGCAAGCCAGCAAACTCATCGACTTCTTTTTCCAGGCGCTCTACCCTTCGTCTCAATGCGCTCAAGGATGTTTGTTGCTCCAGCATGTCGGCTATCGCCTCTGCCGAGCTCACGCCCTTTGAAGCCGGCGTAGCCGCAGTCTTTGCCTGCTGATACTCCAGCGATGCCAGTCTGTCTTCATATTCCCGTATCTTGGTTCGCAAGTGTTTCGTTTGGCGTGCTTGCTCGGTGGTCTGGCGCTGCAGCGAAGGCGGAGCGGAAAAGGCAGGGTTGGACTGCAGCTCGTTGAGCTGGGACCGGAGGAGCGTGTGCTGCTTGTCGAGGTACCTCTGCAGCGTTCGCACATGTTGGATATTATTTGCGAGAGTTTGCGACATGGACGTATGTGCAATGAGCGCATGGGCAAGAGTTTCCGGGTTCGCACTTGTTGTGTCAAGTGCGACCGCGGTCGAGGCGAGGGCACGCAGGGCGTCTGAGCCTTCGGTCGAGAGGTGCGCTTCAACAGCCTCAAGAATCTTCACGTCTTCTGGATCGCGAGATTCCTGCGCATGGTCAGCGTCTAGCATTCGGTTGGCAATGGGAACGGCGAACCTCTCATACCTCATCCGCTTCCAGCTCCTTGCAGGCCTCTCGCTCGACCCTCTCCATGATCATCCGCTCTTCATCTGCGCGTTCGTTCGCCGATGACAGCTCCCTCAGAACCTTCAACGTCTCTTCGTTCCGCTCGAAGGTAGGCACGGTGCGGCCTGCGTATTTATATGACAGCCATGAGTCGATCTGGGCCCAATCGGCCGCCTGCGCACGCTGTTGCCGAGCTTTGGAAGGTGAGAACAGATCCTGAGGCGTTAGATTGTCCATGGCGTGGTGAATAGTGGGCTCATTGATTTGGTGTTTGTTTTCGCCGACCGACCCTGACGCGGCAGGCGCTAGGCGAGGCGAGTGGGGCAAGAGCTACCCCAGATTCCAGCTTCTCTATCACACGGTGGGGTGACTTCTTTGTTGTCATGACGCTCACTTCTCCGCTCCTCCATTGCAGCAATTCTTGCCTCATACACCGTCCTTGCTTGCGCGCGTTCTACCGGTCTAGGACTGTCTGCTTGATAGCGTTCAATCTACGACTTCAAGCGCTCCTGCCTCGTACATCCATTTCCCAAGCGTCACATCGGTGACCTCCAGCCGGATCAAGCTGCCTTTCTTCAGAAACTTCCTCCGCGGGGCACACACCCGCAACTTTGGGATGGCGTGGCGAAGCTCCGGCACGTCCAATGAAAGTCTGATCACCAATCTGTCACGCAACGGCCTCATCAGGTCGGAGCGCGTCAAGGAAGCTATGATGAAGGTCGTCATCCTTCCACACAGTTCCTCTTACAACAAACTAAGCTTGCACAGGTCGACCGCGCCCACTACGCGCCTTCTCACCGTGACGCCTACGAGGACTCGCCTCAGCCCATCGGCCACCACGCCACCATCTCCGCCCCGCACATGCACGCCTCGGCCTGCGAGTCTCTCCTCCCACACCTGCACCCTGGTGCCCGCGTGCTCGACATCGGCTCCGGCAGCGGCTATCTGACTGCCGTCTTCGCGAATCTCGTCGGGCCGTCGGGCACCGTCGTTGGCATTGACCACATTCAGCCGCTCGTCGATTTGGCGGCGCAGAACATGGCAAAGTCAGAAGCTGGTCGGGCGATGCTAGACTCAGGTCAAGTCGAGTTTGTAAAGGGTGACGGGAGGAAAGGCTGGGCTGAGGCTGCCCCGTACGACGCCATCCACGTGGGAGCTGCTGCGGCCGAGCACCACGAAGAGCTGAGCGAACAGCTGAAGGCTCCGGGACGGATGTTCGTTCCAGTCGAGGAGGGCAATGTGCAGCATATCTATGTCGTGGACAAGAAAGAGGATGGGAGCATTGAGAAGGAGAAGTTGTATGGCGTGCGGTATGTACCGCTGACTGATGCGCCATCAGCTTGATGTCGCGGACGTCGGCCGGAACGAAGCTATGATATTTGAAGGAATATATTGAGACACTGGGCGAGTTTTCAGGGCGCCATGCAAGGCTGCGCCATATATTGGAACGTAGCCTGCTAGGTATGTCGAGAAACACGATGTGGTAGAACGAAGGCAGTAGGCCACAGCTGCAGTAACCTCCAAAGAAATAGCAGTGAACATGAAGAACATCACCTATTGGTCGCATCATCTTGCGGAGTGATCTCGTGCAACAGCGAAGACCTGCGCTGAACCACCCTCGCCGTCATTTCAGATCCACAGTCCTCCCTGTAAGTCCCGTCCGCCATGACATCCCCTCATGTTCATGCTTCCCTGCGTTCCCTGGCACAGTCCTCGACACCACATTGCCCCTTTTTAACATACACCCACAACACCACCGCCACCGCCATCAGCATCGCTGCCACGCCCTTTTTCCTGCCATACGAACAGCAGTTCAGACAAGACCCCACGCTCCCAAACCTCCGACTTATCCGGTGAGCTGAACCGCATTACTAGTGGCAGCTGCGCAAGGCCCTATCTTTTCACGAAATAGCCTTCGTCGCCGCCACTGGCGTGGGCAGCCGTGATCGTAGACAATACGCGCCCGTATATGATGCACATTTGCACGCTCTCTTGTCCAGTCGTCTAAGGAGTCTTGGATGCTGCATAGAATATCGATCCATAGACAATGTAGGCCGATCTTGTGCCTGGTGATCACGACATCTTGGAAGGTCTTGGAGAGGTCACGGAAAGCGATGCCGCGTTTTCGGTCCGCGAGTGTAGATTTGGTTGTGCTGCTGATTTGTCTTGAACCCTAGCAGTGCGAGAGAGCCACGAAGACGAGGGATTGAGTGAGCCATAGTTGGAAGATGGCAGGTCCGCCGTCTCCAGCAGTCGAGGCGGAGTCTTCAGTCTTCCCATCCCCATCACCAACATCGATAACACGCATAGGCAGCCACCCCACATTGTCCCTCGCACAGTTCGGATGACCCGTTAAACTTTTTTTTTTTTTTTGAGCCAGAACCTAGCCATTACAAAAACTCGCCGCTGACTCTGTAAAAACATCCTCCAGCCTTGCACATTCCTATGACGTTTCAATAAGTGGACCCTGATCTTTCAAGCCCTCCAGGTGGTTCAGCTTCCTCGTGCTATTAATCGGATTTCTGACCGCCGTGCGAACGGACTTGATTGACATGGGAGTGTCAAGTATGGCCATCAGGGCGGGCTTTACCTTGGTCTTTTCGAGCTTGAGTAAGGTTCGGACGGCCTTAGTCTTAAGCGAAGCCCTGTCGCCCCAATCGATACATTTGAACACGCAGCGACATAGAGGGCACGGGGTATTGTAGGCCGCGCGTAGTTCGTCTAGATTGTGAAAGAGGACTGCTTCATGGAACGGCCAGTAGGTGTTCGGGCTTGGCGCCTTCTGCGGGCTTGCATTTGCGGAGTCTTTCCCTCCCGATTTAGGATGTCCGTGAGCCAGGTGGTATATGTTTTATCCAGAATCTGATGTCGTCTTGAAAGCGCTGGCATCGTTGACAATACATTCTCGGTGTCTTCTATAATGCTCAGGAATACAGGCGTTGGTACACAGAGTCACCGCCAACCTGTACGTGACCGTCAACCTCGTATACATGCTTGGCGGAGTAGCCTCATTGTACTTGTCTCGTTGATGTGAGCTGTTCTGTGCTTTTTTGCTGCCGTCAATAGCTACACGCGTATGAAAACGCAAAAGCTGCATCCGGAAGCAGGTGCATAAGCAATTGGAAAAAACGGGCCGAGTATGAGCGGGAGAGGTTGTCGCGAACTTGATCAGCCGACATCCGTGGTGTGCTTGCGTGTCCGGTCAAGGTAATCACAGCATCGTGTCAAAATGCTGAGTTGTCTTCATCCTGCCATTGTGTGAATTAGATTTTGTTCTCAATAGCTGTATAATTGCATGTCGTCGGCAGCCAAAGGACCTTCAAAATGAGGAAACCACATGATCGGAGCGTAGCTCCGGAGTCACCTAGTGGCGCTTCGGGGGTACCTAGTGGCTAGGCCCCAAAGAGTGACCTCCCATGTGATCAAGGCGAAACGGCGGCTCCTTCGCAATGAGAGACATCCCACTGTGGACGTCGTATGGCCGTTACAATCGCAGTTCATCGTGCCGGGCCTCTTTAATGCTTGGGTTGAACCCTCCGTTGGGTGGCGGAACAAGGCCTGCACGTCTCTCCACTCCTCGGCAGTTGCTCCCCCAAACGCCGGAGCTATTCACCCGCACTCATGACTCGAAGGCTGATTGGCTCCCCCGCAAACATCGCTCCATAATTTGGCTCGAGGTTCGCGCATCATAGCAGATCCTTGTCGTTCCGGCCAAGCTGGGCGCGGCTACTCGCGCAGTAACTGTTGTCATCCGTCCCTCAGTGAGGAGCCTCAACACTTTGCATCATACACTGCTTACCCTCACCTTGCCGGAAGACTGCGCCCGTGCCAAAATCCACACTGACCTCGGCTGGCGACACATTAGCTCGCGCTACTCACTCCATAGGCGGTAATAACGTAAGGGAAAGGTGCCGAAATGAAGAGGACCTACACCTGTCGACATTGCGCTCGAGTTTTCAAGCGCAGTGAGCATTGCGCCCGGCACGAGAGAGTACATACACAGGAGAAACCATTCTCCTGCGCCTATTGCGATCGTAAATATGCGAGAAAGTGCGTGTCTCGCGATCAATTACCTGGGCGCGCAATCTGAGCAATCGCATACTAATCCACTCCTAGAGACCTCGTCAAGCGGCATGAGCGAACGCTCCATGCCGAGCAATACAGGAAAGCGCACCCGGAAGAGTTTGGCTCGGGAAGCCGACTTTCGGAAGGTTCTGAATCACCACGAACACCTCACCCGCTCCCTCCTTTGACACCGCCGGATGAGTACACATTGAATCGCGACGCAACTTACACGCCTGTTGTCGACATGCACAACGCTGATCCAGAACTCTCATATGTCCCTTCAGCGCCTTTCAGATCGTCTTCCGGTTCATCATCTAGCGATGGCGGGAGACCATTGCCTCCAGGCGACGAATCAATCAACTTTGACTTCCCTCCCATGAATTTGGATTTTCATCAAGCTCCAGTGCCAGGTCCTCGTGCGGCGTTCCCGTTACATGTTGAGACGAACTTCTATCAGGAGCCGCCGACTAAACGGCAGCGAATCGAAATTGATCCGCTCATCGTTGGCACACGCGGAAACTCAGACATGCACGTAGTGGAAACACCAATTTCACAGCTCGGAGTTCAGTACAACGCCATCGATCCAAATCTGGAAGATCCTCATTTTGCCCCTTCGTCACTTCCACACGGGTCGCCGACCTGGGAAGATCTAGAACAGACTGATTTGTCCGCCGAATACTTGGCATTGTTCGATATGGAAACCGAGCAGAACAACCGCACAGACATGAATACTCAATCATCCCATGAAAGAGTACGAGTTCACTCTGAGCCTTGTGCAAATCTACGAAATCTGTACAATCTTCAGTTCACCGAAGAGATCCATCGGCGAATATGCGACGACATCCGGATGCGAGTAACAGGCCTAGGCCTTCCAGAGACCCTCTTACCTACCTTAATGGATCTGCAGCAATTCTTTTCTGGCTACCTAGAAGGCTTCCACCGCCATTTCCCCATTATTCATTTGCACTCATTCGACCCGTACCAAGTCCCCAGCCCCCTGATAACGGCCATGTGCAGCATAGGCGCGCAGTACCGCCTTCGCAGGGAAAAGGCGAAGAACCTCTTCGTCTTGGCGGGCACTATGAGCTCGCACGCACTCCATAATGGTCTCCCGATCGTGAACGGCAATCCCGAGCCGGGCCCGCTGTGGGTCATGCAGACGCGGGTGCTCCTCTCGCTATCAGGAATGTTCAGCGGCATGACATCGGTTGTGCTACGTACTGTAGAAAATCTCGGCATATTCACCATCGACTATCGTCTTAGGAAAGCGCTACTAAAGCGGTCGAACGCTGGAGGTCTGGACTGGGATGAATGGGTCTATCGCGAGAGCAGCAAGCGCCTACTCTTCGGGATGTATGTTGTTTCGAACTTGATATCGACGACATTCGGCGTCATATCTGGGTTCTCACATACGGACGATCTAGAATTCGAGGACCTGGAAGAGGAGCGCTTCTGGAATGCTACGTCGGCGCAAGAGTGGCTGCACCTGCGGCAGCTTGGCCCGGCCACATCTCGGTCACGCTCCACAGTGCGAAGTACTCTGAGTCGCATATTGCTCGATAAGGACCATGTTACGGGCGGACCACCTGAGGTATCGGTCCTGACGATGCTTCTCTTGATGCACGGCATGAATATCCACATAGAAGGTATCCGCCAGGTCATTGAGCTGAGCCCTGCGCACCTGCACAAGACGCTACTGGATCCGACCATAGCGACCCTGTCCGCTTGCGAAGATATTCTTGCGGCCGCGCGCCAGCGTAAAGATACTAGCACACCCTGGACCGAAGCTGAGGGCCCCCTGATGTTCAACTGCCAGGGCGTAGTTCACATGGCACATGTGCGCCTTTTCCTTGACATGAGTGCCTTCAACAGACTCATGCTAATCAATGATAATCCTGATGAGATAGCTGCGGCTGCTTATTCGTTTGCAGAGGCACCACTGCAGCGGAGCGAGGCTTTGACCGGGTTCATGAAGAAATCGTACGACAGACATCACGTGTTGGTGAAGTTGGGTCACAGTCTCTTGCGGAAGACGGCGGCGTTGAGCTGGAGCTTGGAACATGCCGTCACGGATTGGGTCGGAAGTAAGTGGCGCAAGAATCACGCCCTATTACACACGTTCTCGTAGAATGCTGACCAAGTTCCTCAGTCCTTCTCGTAACGAAATGGATACATACCGTGGAGACTTCTCCTAGCTCTCCGCCGGATGCTGACGAAAATGAGCTTCTCGGTGGCTACAAGCATCTGCTTGCCGAAACCGACTGCGAGTACAATGGGGACTCTCTTGCAAGCGCGGTAGCGCACTTCCGGTCTACGATGCTGAACGACGTCTGGGTATGGGGCGTAACGCCGCGTATGTCAGTGGTTCTTCAGCATTTGGCTTGCGTGTATGAAGATAGACATAGGGCGCTAAAGGGTACAAATCCTGGTTTTGGTTTGATGTAGACTTGTACCTAGATGGACATTTGGATAAGATTCGTTGACCTCTTAATTAGCGTGGAGTACGGCTACGGGAATTGTAGGATAAAATAGGGAATCTGGAGCAGCCTCGCCTCGTACACGAATACAAAGTCGCAACGGCTCTTTTTCGGCCTCTATAGTGGTGATTTGCCGAGTCATTCCTCTCGACGTCAGCATCTCATCTTGAGAAAATTTCTGCGGCTAGCACTCAATGCCACAACAAATGTTTCACTAGTACTCTTGCTCCACAGCTCTCCACTCAGGCCACCGGGAAATCCTTCTCTACGTATAGGGGATAGACACGAAGACCAAGAATGCTCATTTACTCATTGCGGTCAGCCTGTGCAATCCCATGCATTCGCGCCAAAATATCCATGCATTCTGGTTCGCTTAATCTTACTTGAAGTGGCAATGGCAATTTGCTTGCACATTTGAGCTGACTGTAGTTTCTGCTCGGCTTCGGCTCCAGTTGGAGCTCGGCTCAACACGAGCTTTCATACAGACTAGGGCAATGGACGAAGAAAGGTCAGATGGCTGTGCGACGCGACTTAAGGGCGGACCCCGCACCGCTAACCAATCAGAGTAGCGCGTGGTCCGAACCGGCCACTCGGCCACTCATTTAGCTCCTGAACGTAAGTTGCGAGGCAAGTCCATAAGCCCTTACATACCGGTACATGCTCTGTCAGTTTTACGGAGTCTCACGGAAGCAGCCTCTCCACCTTGAGAGCAACGAACTCTTGTCAGTTCGGCGTAGCACGAGACGTCTTCAAGTTTTGCCTTCCCTTTGTTCAGCCCTGACATTGTCAACAAGAATTGGATTCTACTGAACGATGGCGGACCTACTGCGTAGTAGAACAGTAGCCGCCGCGCTGGGCCTGTTCACACACTTCATCTTCAACAGCGGAGAATGGGACCACCACGTTCACCTTTTAGTACCAGGCGGATCTCTACTCTTTGGCGCACTAGTAGCTTTCGAATATGTGGCCGACCCTCGTGTGTTCACTCTCTTCCAGGCCTTCCAGGTTGTAGCAACAGCGGCAGCAGTGTACCTGGCGACATTGGCGACGAGCGTCATCATCTATCGTGCATATTTCCACCGCTTGCGAAAGGTACAAGTTCTTCTTGTAACCACCTACGAGGATACTTACTCACTGCACTAGTTTCCTGGACCTTTTGCCGCTCGGATCACGAAGTTTGACACCATAAGCCGTGTTATACATGGTGATTATCAGTTATACAGTAAGTGTTTCGTCTTGCACATTTGATTTAGGTCATGCTCTCTGATATTACAAATTGCAGAGATTATTGAGGGGTTCCATAAGAAGTACAAGACCGACATCGTGCGCACAGGTCCGCGCGAGCTCAGCGTTGCAAGCGCCGACGCTATCCCCCTCATCTATGGACCCATGTCCAAATGTAGAAAAGGCGTGTGGTATAGTGGTGCTTACCATGTTGAAGGTGCTTCGCTCCAGACTACGCGCGATCATCAAGACCACAGAGAGCGGCGCAAGGCCTGGGACCGCGCCTTTAGTGCTAAGTCACTCCGGGAATACGAGCCTCGCATCAATCGACACACACGTCTTCTCCTCGAGAAACTGAAGGAGCATGCCAAGGAGCAGTCTGTCCGCATATCGAGCTGGATTGGCTTCTTTGCCTTTGATGTGATGGGAGACATCGGCTACAACCGAGGTTTCGGCATGCTAGAGAAAGGGGAGGAGGACGAGATGATTGAGCTGGTACACAAGAGTATGGCTAACATGAGCACTTTCGGACACATTCCGTGGGTTGTTGGCATGATGCTGCGAACGAGCGTGGGAGCGAAAGACCTGCTCACGTTCATGAGCCTAGTGCAGGATGTTCTCGTCGAGCGCAAGAAGGTTGGTTCATTATCCTTGGAGATACGACAGCGCTGATACGTTGCAGATCACCCCGGCAGAGCCCGATGTCTTCAGCCACCTGATCGATGACACCAAAGAAGAGATACCATTGCAATTGAACGCGGACTCGCGTCTGATGATTGTTGCAGGTTCAGATACCACGCATGCCACGCTAACATGGCTCGTCTGGGAACTCTGCATGCACAAAGATGCACAGGCCAAACTCCGCAAGATCACTGACGAGCTCGCACCCAACAAGTCCTTCCTGGATGCCGAAGACGTTGCCAACTGCCCGCATCTCGACGGCGCCATCAACGAATCTCTCCGCCTCCATCCAGCGGTGCCCTCAGGCCTTCAACGAGAAACACCTCCATCAGGTATCACGCTACCTGACGGCACTTACATTCCCGGCGAAACAACCGTCTGGATGCCGATCCATACTCTCCAACGCGACGAACGCTCTTTCCCCGACCCTCTGAAGTTCATGCCCGAGCGCTGGACCGACGAAGCGCCTGAGTACATCAAGGACAAGCGCGCGTTTATTCCTTTCTCAGCAGGTGTATATAATTGTGTGGGTCAAAAGCTAGCGATGATGGAGATGAGGGTTGTGATGGCGAATTTGCTGAGGTCCTTCGAGATGGACTTCGCAGGAGATATGGGCGAAGCGGTCGTTAAGAAATCAAGGGACGCGTTCACGCTGAGTGTTGGTGCGCTGGATGTAAAACTTACGCCGAGATATAAAAATTAGGCTTGCAACGTGAGTTAATGGCAGTTAGTGCTTACTCTTGTAGAACCAGAGATTTGGATGTAGTTGATATACCTGAGGCAAATCTAATTAATGCGTCGGTGGTGATCTGCGCCTCGTGTTTTGGCGCAAGAGCGATCCAGATGCGAACAAGAATAGCCAACTGTTCTGTACCCGGAACTCGTCGTGTTCCGACATGTATTCCGCCCGAGATTCTTTGGTAGTTCGAATACGTCAACGCGTATGGGCCTGCAACGGTACCATTGTGATTGACGTGGTCCATGATGAGGCGCTCTTAAGCTACGGGAACAACAGAGGATTAGGGCGGTAAAGGAGGTACTTCGCGTATACGTGATCACGGATGATTCGCCGCAGCTTTGGATTGTCGCTGTAGAAGTTAGTTGCTGTGGGAATTCGGGGAACGACAAACTTACTATGCATGGACATGCCACTGCGTTCTGTTAGTTTCTTGGTCGTGATGCAAAGTGGATTCCTTCCAAGAGCAAGATACATAATGGACCGCGACTGCCTGCTTTGAGATCTCTCTTTGGTAGCATGAGCTGTCAGTGCTAAGACTAGAGTCGAAGTACAGCTCTTCTGCATAATCCTTCCTGTAAGGCACCGCACAGTACTGGAACCCGTAATCTAGAGTTGTAGAGAATAACAGTTGGCTCGTGAGTCAAACTGCACGAGTACTACCACTTTCGCACACGCGAGGGCTCAAATGCTTCCGATGAAGCACACACACACATAAGTAAATTGAGCCATCCATATGTCTCAAACATAATTCATGTCGTAGACTAGCGAATCGAGCTGATCAAATGTTTTCATTCCCTGTCTGAGTGAAGACTTACCGAATACTTTTTATGCGGTGACATATTTGCGTTAAAGTTTGCGCCCCAATGCTTTGCGTAATAGCATGTGCTGATCATTCGGGAACCGTAAGTGTGCTTTCGTGCATGCCAAATCCTCCAGTTTAACAAATGGCAAGTTGAGTCGCTCGCAGTCACCCACTCACAGTGCAACCATCCATAGCTTCGCAATGAGTACAAGGCACCCGATCGAGGTAGTTTCTCGTCAGCTCGTTAGCGCAGGAGCAGTGGAGGAAGATGGTAGGGCAGATCTGCAGAAGTGGGAGGGTAATCCTGCCCGTCTCATCCCTCTCTTTTCCACGCTTGCTCAAGAAACTTCGGGCGAGAGCGCGTGTTTGAGGACGCGTATGTATTGCGCATTTCGATGTGTTGGTTTTTCAGGCAGGACAAACGAACAGGTGAGTTGTACCGTAAGGTGCGTTAGGACGCAGCAACGAGACAAATCACCACAGTATTAGATGTCAGGCAAATTCGATCAAACCATTCTTAGATGCGGCATGTTCCTGTTGAAGCACGGAATTTACCCACAGGCATCTGCACAGTGATCGTGCACATGTTCTTTCGCTAGTGATGTTCTGTACTCCCACTCTTGGAGCCTTGATGGGGGCAAGAGTGGGATGCCACGTGCTGGTCCCGCATCGGCACACCTACCTGACAACCGCCACGACCCAATTGGAACGAACACCCCGAAACCGCGCAACGGTCACACGCTAGCCTCCACCATTATCTATAGGGGACAGGATCTCCCTTGTAACCCCATATTATGAGAGATAGGTGCAGATACCGAAGATGGAACGAGTGGGTCGTGATAGGGACGGATAGGAAACCTGGGGCTTAGGGCGTGGTCGAGGCTGCAGCTGGGCTGCGGCTGGGCGAGAGGGGAAAGTATAGGGTTGCTACGCTATGTAGAAGGCTATAAGTCGAGAGAAATCCTTCATGCGAGTTTGAGCGAAGGCACGGACAAGAGTGGTGGATACAATCATCTGAACACCGCTCTCTTCCACGGCGAACAGGGCACCGTCACGCTGGTATATCGTATAATACATCTGCGCTTCGCCGACTGCATTCACAGCGCCTCTATATCTATTATTCGAACACGCCATCGGCGTCCCAGGCAAGCACCGCCTCCGCCATGGCCACCGAGAAGTCCCACGAGGACATCACCGACATGGAGAAGGGCCTGTCGTATGACGATGCCGTGACCGAGGTCGTGCAGATGGGCATCTCTGAGCCAGTCAACAAGCTCGAGCAGTGGGCTAACAAACTCGACGCCATTGCTGGTATCGAAGCACGCGGCATCGATAGGATCCCAGAAGAGCTGCGTGAGCGCGTCCTCAGCACGAAGGACTACCTGAATATGTTCATCATGTAAGTCATCCTTTCTTCACAAAATGACTTCGGCGCGGAGTAGCATGCTGACAAGAATGATAGCTGGTTTTCGATGAACTGCACCGCGAATCAGATGACTATGGGTGTGCTTGGACCTGTTACATACCACCTCAGCCTGACCGAGTCGATCCTCATCTGCATGTTCGGCACGATCTTTGGCTCCGTCTGCACAGGATACATCTCGACTTTTGGACCCAGATCGGGGCTTCGCACGCTCAATGTCGCAAAGTACACCATGGGGTGGTGGCCGTCCAAGCTCTGCGTGATCCTCAACTTGGTTATTGAGCTGGGCTATGGGCTGATTGATTGCCTGGTTGGAGGGCTCCTGCTGTCAGCTGTGAACGGGGAGGGTATGTCCGTGATTGTGGGCATCGTCATTGTCGCCGTCATCACCTGGGTGTTCGCCACCTTCGGGATCAAGTGGTTCCACAAGTTTGAGGCGTAAGTCCTTGGGTCCTGTGATACCGCGTGAATTTATCTGTGCTGACACTCGTAAGCTTCGTATGGGCGCCCACCGTCCTCGTCCTATTCGTCTTAATCGGCGTCGCGGGCCCTCATTTCGACACCACAACCCCTTCCAAAGGCTCTGGCGCCACCCTCGCTGGCAATCGCATTTCTTACTTTTTCCTCACGGCCTCGGGCCCCCTCAGCTGGTCCTCCGCCGCCGCGGACTACGTCACATACTACCCCAAATCCACCAACAAATACCTCGTCTTCGCAACAACCACTGGCGGCATCGTCCTTGGCAAGCTGCTCATCGAGTTCCTAGGCATCGGCCTCGGCTCCGGCCTCCTCAAGAACGCATCCTGGGAAGCTGCCTTTGACAGCCAGGGCATTGGCGCGCTGGTCGTAGAGTCTTACGGCCCCCTTGGCGGCTTCGGCAAGTTCTGCTGTGTCGTGCTCGCGTTGTGCATCGCGGCCAACTGCATTCCGGGGACCTACGCGGCGGCGCTCAACTGGCAGCAGCTGGGGGCACCCTTCGCAAAGGTACCCCGCGTCATCTGGAGCACGTTCTCGTGCATCGTGTTCACCATCATTGCGATTGCGGGGCGCGATAGGCTGTTTGACATCTTCATCAACTGGCTCAGCCTGATCGGGTACTGGACGATTATTTGGATTACGATGACGGTGCAGGATGAGTTTTTGTTTAGGAAGGGGCAATTCGACTGGGAGATCTGGAACAGGAAAGATTTACTCCCGCATGGGTATGCGGCGCTGTTCACATTCGTTGTGGGCTGGGTCGGCGCCATCTTGGGCATGTATCAGACGTGGTATACTGGACCGCTTGGTGGGCTCATTGGTCAGGGTGCGGATATCGGGTTGCCCATTGCTTTTGCTTGGGCGGCTGTCATATATCCTCCCGCCAGGTGGTTGGAGCTCAAGGTCGTTGGCAGGTAGAGAGTATAGCGGGTTTCTTGGCCAGTTGCAAGATGCATGTACATGTTACTATTGTATGAAATTTTGACTCAGTCTTTCGAACTAAAAAGTACCGAGTCCTCGTTCACTACAGGCGAGTGTGTCTACAAGATGTTGCGGCAGACCATCGAATACTCGAAGCGAAATGTGGGTATCCAAAGGGCTTACGATAAGCTTTTACATCGGTCGTGGATCGGCCAGGATTGCAGCCTCTGTCCACTCCTTCCTACCGAATGCTCTCGGCTAACCCGCAGCCATTCACCTATTAACCTCAATCTTACTAATCAACTGCCCACCTAGTCTCTTTATCTCATTATACACAGCCTCCTTGTTCGCCACAATGTCCACACCCTTGCCCTCCTTTTCTTTTGTCTCCTTGCCTTTAACAGGTACACTATTCCACCCCGGCTTGACCTTGAACGTGCGCTGAGCAGCTATGGTCGGATTCCATAGTCCCCCTATGCTTGTCATACTTTCATTGTCCCAGAACCACAGTATGGCATCCCCGTAGATGCTCTGGATGTCCTCGGCGAACAACTGCGGAAGCGGCGCGGGCTTATTTAGAGAAGTCGACTGCTGCATCTCGATGTTCTTGAACTTTGGCTCTTCAGTGCGCTTCTTTTTGCGGGCTTGGGTGTACTTTGAGACGATGTGAATGACGAAGTCGAAGTCTTGAAGCTGAGGCATGAAGAGTGATTCTGGTGTAATCTGCGAGTCAGTTTTAACGTCAACGGCAGATGCATCTCCGGAAGCTCGAACGGCAGCCGTAGCAGCTTTGGCCAACCCCGTCATTCGCGTAGCAACCACCTTCTCAGGTCGACCTCTGTCCGTCCACGTATTCCCATCCGTGTCCTGGTTCGTGGCCGCAAAGAGCACAACACGATTCATGGCTGGGTCGATACGACGCCACGCTTCAAAACGGGTTTGAATCTTCTCAAGATCATCTGCCTTCATGCGACCGCTACCTGAAGTACCTGACTCGGCAGGAACATCTGAAGCGGTGGAAGAGAAGTCGACGATTAAGGGGCTGTGACGCCAGTCCCAGCGGCTGATCCAAGCGAGCGTGCGTAGGAAGCCGGTGGTGGCGCATGACGGTACGGGCCAGGGATGGTGTTGCAGAAACGTCCGAACTACTAGAAGCTCTACGAGTTCAGGCGCGATGTGCGGTGACAGAAGGTGCGAGTCGAACCACCGCTTCGTTAGTCGTATGGCTGGAGAAAGTGCTGTGTGCCGTGTGCACAGATTCTGTAACATTTGCGTGTGTGACAAGACACGAAGGAAGTCCCGGTTGTAGAGTGCAAGCGCTACTGCAGCTGACTCACGCGATTGTGCGTCGAGTGTCTTGTCCTTTAGCTGTCGTTCAAGCAAAGTAGCTTCGCGGTCGTGATGAACACGGAGACGGAATGTGAAGTCTGGGGCTCCTGCTTTCCCGGACCCAAGAGTGATATCGAGAAATGCCTGGTTCTGTGAGGGCTGTGATGGATTCTCCAGCCCCACCTGAGTCTTGTAATTTTTGTGGCTCGTGGATAACAATTCAGAAAGCTTCAACAGGAAAGCAATCTTCGTTCTTTGAATGGCGCACAGGTCGTCGGGCCATCGCGCGGATGCTTCGAACTGCAATACGATAGAGGCCGGCGTGACTTGCTGAACATCAACAGAACAGTAGCGTAGCTGAGCATCAGCGGCCCGTATATGGCGGACAGAAAGTGGGAGTTCTTCCAGTTCGCGGATGTCCTTTTCCACCTGCGAAAACGCCGTCATAATGGGCGTGAATGCCGAAACACCTGACTTCCCTTGTAGACGACCGAACGAAATTAAGTGAGCGAAGGAATCATACGTGAAGGTTGCGTCTTCGGAGATGCGGCCGTCGATGTGCTTGGCAAGGATGTACAGAACAATTTGCTCGAGGACGGAAGTTGACGTGTCTTTCGTCGACCAAACCACGCTCTCGAGAATGCTGCCGTCTCGGAAGCGTCTGAGTTCAGACTTCTCGCCCCAGAACTTGCGGAAGGACGCCGCCTCTTGCTTGTTTTCGGCAGACGGTCCATGGTCAACTGTCCGGTTAGCATTGGCAGGATCGGTCGCGATATTGACTACAAGATGGTCGTGTACATCGTCATTGGATCTGCTCGATGAGAGTTTCCAACTCTGCTTACTGCAAAGTGACAGGTTCACAGACGTGACTCGGTCGCTGAGTGCCCGGACCAAAGCACTATGAATCTTCTGGCACTTTCCTGCCAGTTGCTCTTCATAGTCTCCCTGGGTCGGGTCAAGTCCAAGTGCACCCAAGGGCAAGCTCAGAATTGCGTCATAGCGATACTTCTGCAGATCTGTGCGCAGAATGAAAGTGGAATCAAACTGGTCGAACAGCGCATCTCCCAAGGTCTCGACCGTAATCTTTGCCTCCAACTGTAGCTGCGCAAAAGACCAGGGCGTCATCTTGAACAGTATATTCAAACCCCGTGCGCCGTCAAAGAGTACCGGAGCGAGTCCATTTTTTGGGAAAGTAATGTCACGCGCCTGGATCGAGTAGGGTTTCTTGGAGAGGTCGTGCCGTGCTAGGAACTGAAGCGTGGCTTTGAAGAGCTGATAGCTACTGTAGCCACTGGAAAGAGGAGGAGCACCAGCTCCAGAATTCGACTGCAACAGCAAAGCCATGAGAGCTGCCCACTCGAAGTTGCCAAACCCTCCTTTACGAAGTGAACTTCCGAATCCTCGCTGCTTCAGCCATACTCTTCCTAATACGCATGCATCCTTGAATGCATCACAATTTGCAGCGCTCGAGTGGAGTAGTTTGAGGTAAGGAGTGATGGTTATATCGGACCGCAGGCTGCTATTGTAAAATGGGGTCGGAGTGAAAGTCTTGTGATCGGTCTCGGTGTCGTCGCCTTTCGGTCGTATGCAATTGGCCTTCGGAAGCAGCTTCGCATCTATGAAGACACCTTCAGGCGCTGCAAGGAGGATATTGATGCGGCATTTCGAGCTTGAAAAGTCGTCATTGTTACCGCTGCCGTTCGGCTGAACCACAAGTATAGGCTGGAGCTGGTTCCCATTCAAGCAGTCGAATGACAACTTAAACTTGTGCTCCTTCGACTTCTTTATGCCGGCTGCCAAACATGCCAGGTAGAATGCGCGCTTGTAGAAGTATCGGTAGTTGAGGTAGTCCTTCTCCTGGAAAATGACCTTCGGCATAGTCACGACGAGGTCGATTCCCATACCATCCTCTGCCCGTGTAGCAGTCTTGAGCGGATAGCTGCCAGCGGCGTTTATGCTCGCGGGTCGTTCATATTGGAACTTGTATTTCGCATCGGTCGGCGGATGTGGGTCTGGGAACGGTATCGCCACGTTGGATAACTTGAGGCTCTTCTCTGCTTCTGCGAGCTATGATTGTTAGACAATTACTGAAGTTGAAAACATGCTAGTAGCATACAAGTTGTGGTTCCCGGCTTGGAATCTGCTCGATCATACTCTTCAGCGTTCGCATGGCATTCTCAGCCGGAGCTTCTTTCTTGCCGTACTTGAGCTTGACCTGATCAAGAAGCTCGTCGACCTGAAGCTTGAAAACATTGGACTTGAAGGTCTCCGCTGTGTAAGCTCCATCTTGAAGCTGCGCATCGGACTGTTTACGCAGTTTCGTCTTGTCGCTGTCCTTGGTTTTCGCTGCGGTTTTCTGCTGCCTCGCGCGGGCCTCAATGACCTCCTCTTCTTCCTCGCCCTCATCATCTTCCTCCTCTAGGTAGCCGTCGGTTGCGCTGGCGTCATCGCTGGCATCCTCCGGATCTTCCATCGAAACGTCGTTTGCGTCGCGCTCATCATCGTCGCTCGAGAATGGGCCATTTACGATGTCTTCCGCGGAACTGGAATCGCTCCCGCTATTGTCCTCCTCGTGCTCCAATTTCCTGCGCTTCGTTGCGGGTGCCATGGTGGAGATGTTTTGCGCAGCTTCGCGCGTCCAGAAAAATTCGGAGGGACGTTGTGGCGCATGCCCGCGGGTGGCTTGATTATTTCCTTATCGATAGCACAATAAAAAGTTTGGGGAGGAACTACCGACGCCCGACGTCGGAGAACCACACTAGTGGCTCGGTCTAGCAAACTGACATTGCCTCATCGCCGGCCAGCGAGCAGTAATAAACCTATATAGACAGCCGTTGTCACATTTTGACCTACATTCCTAACGTTCTGACTGCCCAAAAATGCCCCACTCCACGCCCGCCGAGAACGACGTCGCAGTTGGGGAGTCGTTGCCTCCCCAGACGCCGCACGTGAGTCACTGAATCATCACCTCATATCAGCATCTCCTGACCATATGCACAGGCTGTGAGCGTTTCGTTGCCGACCTGGAAGGCGAATGTGGGATATGAAGAAGGGGAAGAATGGGTCGTTAGTAAGATGGTAACCGGATATCCACGGTTTGTGACATTTAATCTTGACATTGCTGGTAAAATGTCTAATACAATCAGGTTCTTCGTGCACAAAATCATACAGGCGTTTGCTACGAAGATTGCTGCCAAATACGGGCAGCCGGATGACCAAGCAATGCTCTTTCCCACCTCTGCAATTGCAGGACGGTGTCGAGACTTTTTCCTGCGTCAGGCGCCAGAATTGGAGGCTCAGCAAGTCTGGATCATAGATCTGGTGCCGAGTTCAGAAAGAGCGCGCTCGGAAGAATTTTCTGTGATTTCGCCTAGAGTCTCAGCGGTGCTCTTCCCTGAATCTCACTTCAAGATCGCGAAGACATTCTGGCAGCATTCGGGAGACGGCGTCTCAAGCCGGCGTGCTGAATATTGTCAAAGTTTGTTCGACGAAGGTCTGCTGGTAGATTCGAAAGAAACCCAAGAGGTGCCCAAGGTGTGCAAGGGGCCTCGGAGATACAGGCAAAAGACGTCCATTGACCTGACTGGATCTGGTGACAACTCGAACGGAAACGAGAACCATGATTCTGCCCAGTTCGTCGAGCAAAGGTTCGGACGCAATCTCGATATCTCACAGACCAAGAACGCGAAACTCGCCGTCCGGAGACGCATTGCTGGGTCATTGACTGCGGACGTTGGGCTAGAAAAGGCTTTGTCTGTGAAAAAGGACAATGACAGGATTCGAGATGTTCCTGGTTTTTCTGAGGACGATGTTTATCTTTACCCATGTGGCATGAGCTCCATATTCAATGCCCACAGAAATATGATGGCAACCAAGGCTCCAATGAAGAGCATTGTTTACGGGTATGCGTTGCCACTTTCCTCCTGAAGCAAACTGACGTCGGACGCTCCAGATTCCCGTACATCGACACACTGAAGATAGTCGAAAAGTTTGGTCCAGGATGCCAATTCTATGGACACGGCTCGGCAGAAGATCTAGATGACCTAGAAAAGCGACTGGAAGGTGGTGAACGATTTTTGGCTCTATTCACAGAGTTTCCCGGAAACCCTTTGTTGCGTTCTCCAGACCTCGAGCGCATTCGCTACCTCGCCGACAAGTACGACTTTTTCGTCGTCGTAGACGAAACGATCGGAAACTTCCTAAATGTGAACGTGCTGCCTCTGGCGGACATAGTTGTTAGCAGTCTCACTAAAGTATTCAGCGGCGACAGCAACGTTATGGGCGGAGGGTACGTATACCTTAACGTTGAACATAATAACTCTGACACTATTTTAGACTGGTGCTCAATCCCAAATCCAAGAACTACGATGCTCTGAAGCGGACTTGGGACGAAGACTACGTAGACAACCATTGGGCGGAGGACAGCATCTTCCTCGAGCGCAACAGTCGCGACTTCGTGTCACGTATCGAGCGCATCAACTCCAACGCTGAAGCCATAGCTGAAGTATTGAATGCACACCCAAGAGGTAGGAACAACGACAGCTCAGCCGGCTATATCGTTGTCAACTGACTTTCCTGTAGTGAAGAAGGTGTATTACCCCAAGTACAGTGACACCAGGCAAAACTACGACAAGTGCCGTAACCCCAATGGCGGCTACGGTGGACTTCTCTCTGCCACGTTCTACACCAAGCAGGACGCAGCCAAGTTCTTCGACAATCTTGATACCGTCAAAGGACCCAGTCTTGGCACGAACTTCACGCTCAGGTACGGCCGAACATCCACCTCGCCGACTTCGTTCGTCCGTATGCTAACTCCCCAACAGCTCCCCCTACGTGATTCTGGCGCATTACCACGAGCTCGACTGGGTAAGTCCCTTCTTCGCAGTATCGTTCCGTTTCCATCAAAGATTGATATTACCATTACGCCCCAGAATAGATGCTAACGTACGTATCCAGGCAGCATCATGGGGCGTAGAAGCGGACCTCGTCCGTTTCAGCGTCGGTCTCGAGGACACACGCAAATTGGTCGGCACGTTCCAGCGGGCTCTCGAAGCCATCACGGACACAGACAGTCACACGACTACTTAGCACCGACAAGACTCCTTAGCACCGACACGTCCGTCTCCGCGCCGCACTCAGCCGTTCACTTCAGCGTATACTAGTCCGAATGCAATTCCCAACCCTTCCCATATCCAAATACATGCGTGCGTGCGTTGTGCTCTGCCCTCTCGCTTTCGTTTTTGGACTCGTCCCCCTGTCTCTCCGTGCCAGCCTTACATCATAGCGCAAGCCCCTGCCCTGAATCGTCCTCGCCGCACAGTACTCTCCGACTCCGCACCGGCTGGCACCCCGAGAACTCACGCGGGACGCGTCCCCAGCGCCAAGCTGCCCGGCAGCTAAGCCACCGCGCAGTGCGCGTTGACGGCTTCCTTCGCGCGTAGCGAGCTCTGCTGGGATCGCCAGCGTGCTGAGGTATGTCTATGCAATGCGGTTGCTCTCCTGGGCTGTGTACTGCTCGAACGCGTGCTATGCCTCTCTTGGGGGCTGGCTGGCTGCTCGAGGCTCACGATCCGGCGCGGAAGGAGCGTGCTACTAGGCGAGGCGTTGAAGTGGTCTGGTAGGGCCCATGAGACTCCGCCGGCGGAGACATCTGGCGGCTTTGATGGCCGAGGGGTCATCGTCATTGGGTGTGTTTCAGCGGCGTGAGTGCGCTTGGCGGGATGCGATAGAAAATCCCATGTGTGCACTGCTCACTGGAACATTGCATGAATACAGGGTGACAAGTGGAATTTCCGCTCCAGGCGGACATTTTTTCGTCCCAGGCGGAGGGTTTGTCGAGTGGGATGGTTATTTTGGTAACGCATGAACGGAGAGTGCCGTTTCATTTGGTCTTGGGGACCTTAGACCTTGGAAATCACGTGTTCGTTGGGGTTCACGGATTGACTATGGTGCATACGAAGAGGATTAACTTCCGCTAGAGGCTGAGAAACAGAGAGGATACGTTACTCTTTTGGGAAGGCAGTTCGCATATGCGGGCTATTAGAGTCATGGGTGTTGCTTCCGTTCGTTATACTCGGTTTGGGATACCGCAAGGAAAGGCGCGAGCACCTGGAGCACCTTGGGAATGCGAGTGCGACTACAACTGAATACGCGTAATCCACTGCGGCACAGCGTAGGAATAGCTTCGCCTTGCTTGCACTGTGCAGTTCTGCTGGTAGGCTCAGTGGAACACGGTGCCGATGTCCTCAGGATAAGATGTATACGTGCGGCAGCAAGCATGCGGAAACTTTGCTGTGGATCTAAAATCATGTGGAGACTCTGTAGAACATTCGGAAAATTCGACAGTGGATCCCACTCCTGATAATTGCCAGTTCTTTGATCTATCACAGATTTACGGCCGTAAACGCGTTTGACGGCCCATTTTAGTTTTCCATTGTCAAAAAATGCACATGTTCCAACGATTGGAACGTCCAGCCAAGCAGATGTGATGGGGATAGCCCGGCAAGAAGCGGTGCTTCATCAAGCGCGAAGTTAGTGGAGTTCCATCCGCATTCCAAATCATACTTGAACGAATCATGGTCAATCACCAGCTTCTAACTATCAACTTCGCCAAAATCATATGGAGTATAGACAGATGTCCGAGGGAACTTGTTGGGGAAAAGATAGTACGCCAGGGTGGTTCGATACCCCAACGGCTGGTGTGCCGTGCACGGCAGAGCTAATGAAAGGCTAGACGGGTTGGCTCCGTGCAGTACTGCATCTCGCTTTTCTGGAGGCTCATATCCATCGCCCTGCTAGTCCTTCTCCGTGGGTAAACTTTGAACGGCGACTTGTCTTCACACCATATCATGGCAGTATTGTGGCCAGCCGCCTTGGATGCGGCTAAGAGGCTCGGGCCTCTGATGGGCGATGCCCGGCGCGGGCTGGGTTCAAATCCTTTCGTTTGCAGTATTGTAAGAGGTGCTAGCGCTAGAGGGAGTTTGCCGTATCAGTGGGTGGCTCCAAAGTGCCGGGACGGATTCGAGACAAGGCCGCATGCATATCAGAGCATGGTCAAGTCCCCGAGCGTACTACATGGCCAATTGTTAAGCGCTGGATAAATGAGCACCACGTACGTGGTGTCCCGACGGAGTTGTAGAGGATGGCCACGTTGTCTGCTCCCATGTACGTGGGCGGGCTCAAGAGTGCCCGCTCCAGAGTGGCATATCAGGTAGTTCTTCGTGCATCGTGATGCAATTACCGTACGGTTTGGAAAATCTTTCCCATACGGGCTATTGAAGTTCATGGTCTGAGCCACAGATTGACTAGTCAAGTATGGACTTGGTGTTGGGAGCGCACAGAAAACCCTGCTGCTGTCCATGCAAGTAGCCCCCTGTTTCATTACCTTGTGAAGGAAATAGATTCTGCATGCTGTCCTTTCATCCTATGCGCGATTGCAACAGCGTACTGGTCAAGATTCACATGAGCCCTCCATATGTCTCCACGTGATTACCCACTGTAAGCTAGGTGAGTCTTCCTAGTTGGGCTCATATTGCGATCAGGATATTCCGTTATTTAGACTATACCTTCTCGAGCAGTGATAACAATGAACAATCTCGCTTGATTCTACGCAACAGAGCCAAGCGCCCTCTTCTTTCTGGTTTCCTCGCAATGGTCCTAGCCTAACGGTCGCAGTTTAGGCCCCCCGCAGGTAGCAAATGGCCCAAGCGAACATGCTAGGATCACCAAGTGGGTGTAGGAAACAAACAAAGAGATCATGGCATTGGCTGGGTTCAAGCGGGCGGGGCGCGCAACGCGCAGCGCGCATCGATTCGCGCGTGTCTGAGCAAGCCGTCAGTGACTGCGCCTCCCCTCAGTCGAGGCTTTGACAAGACCAGAATCATGCCATGGGACGGTAAACACCGTTTGATAGCAATGCGGGATCGATCAAGGATCACGAAACCCCTGCCGCCAGCATGGGGAAGTACTGTGGTCGATGAGGCTGCGATCGTGGGATGAAGCTTGATCATATCTCGGTTATCCTCGCACATAGCGCCCAACACCTGCGTCATGGTGGTGCTATTCTCGGCCGCAAAGTCAATCTCCAGTGCGTGATCTATCTTCTATGGGGCGATTGCTCGGCCTCCTGGTGTCCGTTGGTTGCGTCGAGAACCGGATAATAAAGAGTGCAAGCGCATGAGAGGTTAACTTCAGGACCCACTGGGCCTTGAACACGCCGGCATTGGTTTGGTAGTTGGTCAGTAGGATCCACGATCCGGAAGGGCGGGCTTGTGGGCAGGGTGAATGTTGAGACGAATCGAAGAATGAACACGTGCGTCGGATACTGCTGCAGTCGTCCGAAAAACGGAGAGGTGAGCCAATGAGACGGGCAGCAACACAAGCTGCTGCATCACGTCAGCTGCAGCAATGTCCCAACTTGAAACACTCTTTGTGCGGGTTCGACGCGGCGGCATCGCCTGGCGACGCAGAGTGCAATCACCATGACGAGCGTCGAGCGGGCGACGGCCGGATAACGACACCCAGCACTTCGCAACGGGTCGACTTCGTTTAGTCGCGGGTCACGTGCAGTTCCAGGCACCAGGCGCGAGGCGCGCAAGTCGAACAAAGCGGACGCGGTGCAGCGCCCACAGGCCACTGCGCTGGAAAAGCTCCACGGCGTCTGCAGGCATGTCCAGAGTCGACCTGCATTGTTCTCGACCGCCCCCACGGACTAACGCACCGGCTCGGACTCGACACGGCATCGCAACCGGGGCCGAAAGTCTAGCGCGCGAGCAGAAACGGGCACAGCGGTGCTGCTCAGGCCTCTCCTCAGCCATTCCCCAAGCGGCCGAGGGCCATCTCGTATGACAGGCCCCGTTGCAGCAGCGCGTGGCACCCGCATCGCAGCAGGGTCACCGCTCGGGTGCTTCTGGAAGCTGCACCGAAGCGGCCGTTCCAGCATCCAGCCGGCGGGAGGACGCCTTCCCAACGGCTCTCCGGGAGGCATAAGACCATGGCCAGGCCAGCGGACACGCCCACCTCGTACACGCCGACTTGACCAGACCAGCGCGCGCGACTACGAGGCTTAGACGGCGCCGGCAGCATGCTTGACTGCTGGCGAGCGTGCCCCAGGGAGGCTTGGAGTCTGAGATGAAGCAAGCGCACGCACGCGCCTCGACCCCATTCGCGCGACCTCATCTCTTTTACTGTTTCCGCAGTTGAGTTTAGCTGCTCGCGCGGGCCCTGGGCCGCTACTGGGCAGGCCGGCAGGCCGCTATGGCCGCTATGCTCGAGCTGGTGCCAGCGTCGTTCGCCTGCTGTGACGCCCCATGCTCGCCACCAACAGCACTGCACTGAGCGGGAGACGCTCGACGGCAGCGGCACGCGCTCCTAGCCGTTCGCGGCGATGCTGAGTGACTGGCAGAGGACAGCTCACACGGCCACGCTTACTCCATGCACTCGCGGCATGCGGGTGAGGTCGCCGTCCTCGTGCGCGGCACCGGCACGCCGCACAGCTCAGCGGCGCCCAAGTCCCTCCTGCCAGCAACAGAGTGACGCCCCTCTCATCACCGCATCCTGGGACGAACTGTACCCGCTTCCCAGAGTCCTTGTCCAGGGCCCTCGCATCGGCAAGGGCTGGGCGCTGGAGCGCTTTGACACTAAACGGTCGGGAGCTTGGCCGTGCGGCCGCCTGGGATGACAATCCGTCGAGGCACCAACCAGTGCAGGCCGCTTTGCCGGGAATGGGGCTGTTGGCCTCGCAGATGTAATATTACTGGGCATCAGGGCCCTATACCAGTATATACCTACCAGCAACCCCGGGCATGGCGCAGGCGACCTCAAGAGATCAAGACCAAGCTCGCGAGTCTGCCTTGCGAGCTTTTGTCCATAGGGCTGCTCTATAAACCTCATACATAGACACAAACCAATGCAGGAACACAAATGTATGTTTACCCCCACACCGCTCGACCTTTAAACACATGACGCCTCCATCCTGTTGAACATGACCCCACGGTCTCCCACACAACAACCACAGCCAAAGACGACCACAATCTCACGACGACTTAGAAACCGTGCCGACCAGCATCTTTCTGTCCAGCCTCCCGAGCTACCGCAGCTGCGGGGTCTTCGCTCTCGCCGCGCCGCAACTCTACCTTCGAACCGCCGCACATCAACCAGCTACCCTGTCCAAGAGGCGTACCTCAACACCTGGAACGCCAACCTAGACAACATCTTGCAACGCAGTACCACTTCTCATCCAGCCGATCTAGCGCATTCGAACCTGCTTCTCCAGGAGGCTCTTGATATCGCAACTTATCAGTCGCCTAGCGACGCATCCACTGCGCTAGTGTCCATCCAACCAGGCGAGCCTGAAAGCTACCAAGTCCAACCCAGTTCTCCTGCCGACCTTCTCCCTTCACCACTGCCCTCGCTGTCAGGAAGTCATACGGCGACTGAGTTCGACTATTCCGAATCACCCCACGATCCTTCACTTGAATTACAAGACATGAGGTACGCATTCGTCTCGCGTAATTTGACCACAAGCTCACAGTTCTAGCACCCTGGGGTTCATGATGGCGCCTGCACCGTATGGTATGGAACACCACTATGGGTCTCCTCCCAACATGGAATCGCCGAGTAAGCAGTGGACCCCACCGTACGAGAGTCGGATGATTGACCAGAATAGGCTACCCGCCGATGAGCCAGTCTTACACCGATACTAAATCATCCACATCAGCCTCATATGCCCCAACTTACACCGCCAGTCCCAGCATGCATGGGCAACCTCAATCAAGAAGATCCACTGAGTCTTCAGTAATGCCGCCTTACCAACCCTCACTGCCGCGAAGTCCCTACCAGCAATCAATGGGACCAACGCGCACAAGTCCGACGCCCATGAATTACGGACCCAATTCTGAGCCATCACCGATGCTCAGCTCAGCTCCCCAGGCATACTCGTACCCTGCGGTACATTCATCTCTCCCAGCTGCGGCATTAGGTAGCAATACTCCAAATTACCCACCGTAGGCCGCGCTTTTCTCGCAAGCGAAGGTAATAGCTAACAATAGACCAGGCCTCCGCTATACCCACCAAGCAGTTACGGCATGAGCGACTACACACCTCTTCCGACCACGTTATACCCATCTACTACTTCACCAGCACCTTACCCTTCCTACGAGCACTCGCCTCACCTAGCACCGCACAGCGCTGGAGCCATTCCTGGATCCACACCCAGCCAGAATCAAACAAATGGACCCATGCCGCGGATTCTGAACTCGCGACCAAAACCGCAATGTTGGGAGCACGGTTGCAACGGGCGTCAGTTTTCCACATTTAGCAACCTCCTCCGACACCAGCGCGAGAAGTCTGGAACAGCTGCAAAGAGCTACTGTCCACGATGCGGTGCCGAGTTCACGCGCACGACGGCCAGGAATGGCCACATGGCTCATGAAAAATGCAAGGCACGACGGACGTCAGATTCGAATCGGTAAGCAGTTTGGCTGAGCATAACTGGCTCGGGCTGACCGCGAGCCGCATCTCAATCTGAGACGCATCGTGAGCATGACTGCTCGAAGGGGAGGTTTAATTCGGCGTCATGGACGAAAGGGCTTCACATTGCGGCCTCTGTGAGACTGGAGGCCAATATGATCTGGCCCTTCCCTTCAGCAAGCTGCAGCATGCGTCAGCCGCGCACTGGGCTCTTACCTCACCCACCTCACGTCTGCAATCATCAGATCTGCCTGAGATGCTGCGACGCCCAGGCGGATTCTGACAACGAAGAACACGATGTATGCATAGGAGACCGGAGTTTGTTATTTGCAGCGACATTCATCACAGCGAATTTGCGCCTGTGCGAATTTATTTTACTTCATGCTTATACCATTTGTATTACTTCAAAATCTGTTTTGGACTTTAGTCATTGCGGCGCACTGGAATCAAAATACCATCTTGGGCGAGGCAAACTCAGCCGCAGAAATATTTCAACCGAAACACGCTTCTGCAAAGAACCTTCTTCATCCTCCTGTCGTGGAACGATGAGGGAGTTCCTACGAGATGAACGGGCGCAAGATGAAGGGAAGGAAGCCGCGCGCATGGAATAGACCTGGAGGGGCCGTGTGGATCGCTGACTGGAGCCGCAGCGCTCGAGCACGCAGTCGCGCGAAAGGGGTCAGAATTACGGGCGAGAGATCGCTTACACGGTCGAACCGACAGCACCAATCGCTAGGCGCGTGCTCTTAGTGGCCTGCTCGTCTCTTCACACAGACGATGCGTAGTCATCGCTTTTTCCACAGCCCCGACGGGGCGGTTCGCAAGCGTTATGCCGTCGTTACATGTCGGCATGTTCCGTAGTCGTCTGGCCTGTTGGTTGGCAGCCTATCTGTATTATAGTTAGATACCCGTCCGTCCGCCAATCGCAGCACGAGGGTGTGCAAACACGCCACATCTCTACCTAAAATGTCTTCTTGTGCGAGCACTCACCCACCGTACACTTGGCCGGGAATGTAACTCCTTGCGCTCGAGCGTGGTTCCAGTGCGGTGTCACGCTAATTACTGCGCTTACAGGGTCCCCGTGAGTCTTTTGCTCCATCCAGTACCGCCCGATGTGACCTATGCGCTGGTACATACGGGAGAGAAGAACTAAGGGACACCCCGATGGGCTAGTGCACGCAAAGAGTGGCGTGCAAAAGGCTAAAGTGGGTGGGCAGAGGCGACTAGAGCATTGGCCGTGACGGAAAGCAAGCGCGGGCAAGATTTTCGACGATCGTCTGCGCTTCTCGCGCGCTGCTTCAGAGGGTCTGCGATGAATATATCACAACAAGTATCGACATACTGCCGAAAAAGGATATTCATCTGGGGGCGTCATGACAGGCTGCGAACGAGTTTCCCAATCAGAACATTACAACACTAGCGGCTGTGCAATAGAGACAGGCGCATGGTCGCAACGTGTGCAGCGCGTAGGGGAGGGTTGTGGCGGACTGTTTGGGGCGGGAAGCCTCGTATTGCCCAACATGGGAACCCAGCACCGATCACTTCGTTTCTACGTGAGACTCCGTGCGTGGCTGCGTTACTCCTGTGAGCAGTCCGAACGGCCGTCTGTACGACTGAAATGTGCTATGCGTCGCGGAGACTTGCGCAAGGCGACGAGCGCATCGCGTCGGGATGTCATCCAGGATGTCTTCTTCGCAGATGCGCCTCGTGCTCCGACATGGCTGCCGCATCGGCCAAGCCTCGCACCTAGGTCATCGACAGTGATGATCGATACTGTGCAACCTCCGCCGCGTCATTACTGCGACGGGGACGGGCCATAGTATGCTCCGGACGGTTATATACTTCAAGTGGCTTTGCCGTGTGTGGGGCACTGCCTTTCGAGTGCCCATTGCGAGGTCACGTTACTACCGGCGCGGCGTGAGATAAGGTACCGTAAGGAACCGGGCCCAGCGGTACCTTGCGCCAATGAAGCCGATTTCCGATGCGACGGGGATATCCTTTCCTCCCCACATGGCCTGGGGTCGGCAAGCTAAAATTAAAGTCGGCGCTGGGGTACCCTGAGAAGTGTGGTCGCGCTCGCGCTCGCGCTCGCGCTCGCAGATTGCTTCGAATGCTTGGAGGCTTGGTTTTGTGATGGGCCACTTGAGGTACTTTTCCCAGCGGTCCGATACGTAGCGCGAGAGACAACCCAGTTGCTCTGTAAATGAGCAAATGCCCCATCGAGAACTTCGAGTAATACTATCTAAATTGAGTGTCCGTGATGTTTAAGATTATAATTGTCTTGATCAGCTAGCGACAGCGAAGCCATCGGAACAGCAACATTTAAGCCTCCTTCACCCTGCTTGTGACTAAACCTCTCTGTTAGGTCAAGTTGGAGACGTGGACATACGGGCCGCGAGCACGGGACTTTGCCACTGCGGCCTAGCTCTTGGACGCGGAGCTCCGTCCGTGGCGCAGCGAAGTGAGCGTTCAGCAAAAGCGCTATAGTAGCTGGTATAGAATTCCCAAATATTTCATTTTCGAGTCGATCAACGGCACGCTCCACATGATCTAGAGCGGCATCGTGCCGAACCCGCCTGATCTTGGTGCAGATTTCTAGCCTCAAGCCATTCAGAAGGTACGCAGTATGCGGCGAACCATTCACATCTTACACCGCCCTTTACATGGCGACTGTGTGCCCCGTAAGATCGGGAAACATGTGTTTCTGGAAGAGTGTTATCTCGAGCGGTCTGCGACGTGAATGGCCCGTTCGTAGACCGTGCCGCCGTTACAACAAAGTTCTGACATGAGCTTGACGCATTCGTTGACAGGCACATGGGATTCCCGAAGGGGAAACCCTGCGGGACGGCTGTGCGGGAAGGATGGCATTTGAAGAGCTCTGACAGGGCCTCGAAAAAAATGCACGTGAACGAGGCAAGGTTCTTGCGACGCAAGAAATTGCGAGCGAATCAAATAGTTGTTCGTGGAGCATTCGATCTGGACTAAGCGAAGGCGGATTCGATATCGGACGGACGAGGCGCTCTGCGATTCCGGAGGCCAGAAAACAGATTGTAAGACAGCCATGCTGAAGCACGTTGTAGGGCTGCGTTTTTGTGTTACCATGGCGTACCCACGAGGCGGTCTCATGATAGTCTCTCCACAGGGTTGGCTGCAGTGTGCACATTTGTCTGGTGCGTCGCTTGTACGGCCCGAAGCTTCAGTCGAGTCATCGTGCATGAGTCTGACCACTTCTGCATTAGCGCAGTCTTGACCTGCGCTACCAGCGGTGTCCACGCTCATGGCCTCTGCAGCCAAGACACCACTGGGGGGGCCCGGTCGCATAGTTGGACCCCGGAGCGCAGCATGGAGGGCCTGAAGGAGGTCCAACCCGTGCGAGGGCGTTTAGGTGACCACATCTGGGTGGTGAGCGTGATCTTCATAACATCGCATTTACCTGTTTCAATTCTTCCAAGGTTTCATCATAATCACCAACGACAATAACGGAATCTAGCTTCGAGATGAAAGCACGTTGATATCGATACCACGTTCGCGTACCGTAAATAGCGCCATTTTGCCGGACTTCGACCGTACTACGGTCGGTAATTTTCAAAAACCGGACCATGGCCGGCTGGTGGGACCCAATTCACAGCCCAGGAACCGGCGCACGCCATTTATGGGGGCCAACGTCCGCCTGAGGCCACGCAACCGCCCACCCCCGCCATGCTCCTAGAACCTTCCTTGGAAGGACTCCACGGGAGGAACACCAAGATGCGAATCTAGATGATCCTTTAAAAAACCTTCAATCGACCGCACTCTGCAGCGAGACAGGCGACGAGACTGCACAGGAATGCACAGTCAGCGCCGTCAGAGCAATTTTGGGCGAGGCTGCTCGGCCTTTCCTCGTATGCTGATGGACCCGCGTCTGCGCCTTCGTTTGCACCCTTGTCGAGAGGTCGTTGCCCGGCAGATACGGATGTCGTCAGACCGCTTTGTGCGGGCTTGCGCATTCGATATGTTTCAAATTTAAGGTTCCACAGAGATGCAACTGCAGTGCTTATGTGGAACTATCCTTCATAAGAGTCGTGAGCGGGCTGGAGCTTCGCTCTGAATACCGAAGTGTGATGATGCGTAGGACAGACACGCTCGGCGAGTTTCTCGAGATCTCCTGCAAGCTCAGTAATTTGTGACCTTCGCTCAATAAGCAGAAGTGACGGGAGCGATAAGCGACATGTGACTCGGAACTTCCATCTTGCGCCTGTTCTACGGGCTTGTCAGCACATGTTGATTGAGTTGATTGAGTAAGATGGAACGAGCCCGCTATATATAAGCATATCCAATCTGTGGAAATTTACATCTCCATATCTGTTAATCATCTAGATCAGCAGCGACACTGCAAATGCTATCAAAATATCGTTCATGTGAACACGTTGATGGGCACGCCGAGAACGTATCGACCAAACGCGATATGTAACAAGAAAGAAAGCTTGAGTCGATCTTTGTCAGGTTCAAACTAGCGACTAGCGCTGTCGACTTGTAGTGTACATAGAAGTTTCGTTTATAATCTATTGACTTTTAGACTATTAGCAATTTGCCTCTTGCCTTTCCCAGCTTACTGAATTGCATGCGTTCAGAGAGCTGACCTTGCTCACTTTGGTCATAAACTGGCGCCTCACGTACGCTCGTAATCGTGCACAGGACAGTGTTACCAACACGGGTTCTAGTGTGGCCTGGGGGCTTTCGCGGGTTAGACCCCCACGCATGTACATCTGTAGTGCGACCGGAAATACTGAATCTGGGGAATGATCCCTAGTGTCGCATGGCACGGAGACACCCGTCTGGGCATCGTGTTGCAATCGGTCGGCGAGGTCGTGATCATAGTTCATTCGTCTCGTACGGTTCGCCCGAGTGCACGATGCGAGACCATGGCAGCCAGTCGATCGTGATCTTGCTGTGTACATTCATGCATTATTATGGCGTTCTGCCGTCTTACGCATGTAACTTTCGGAGAGCGCAAGAATCCGCGCATGCAGAAGCCTCATGGGTTCACAGGGTTCGTTTCCTCGCACGTGTCATTTCTTGGTGGAGTGGACACGTCAGAAGAGGTTGCACCCGCCAAAACCCTACTTAATCAAATGCACTTAGCTAGCGGAGGTATAAAATCGATGACTGTCTCCGGGTATCGCCTCTGTTCGTGAATGCAGCCTGTTGCTGTACCTGAGTCCCCCATGGCTTCGCTGAACGAAGAGCGCGAACAGGTGTAAGAGCGCCCTCCTGCCTAAATCCTCCCCTGTTTGGTCTATTGGAATCGACCACAATGGTGGTAGAAAGGGCGCTCAGTGACTCAACGGGTACTTAGAGTCACGACGAGATGCACGTGACCAGCCTAAAGTGGACAAGCCTTGGCAGCGGCTGCCCGCTCCGCTGACTCTTAAACCAACCTCACATCAACCACGTCAGCGAACGCGCTTATCATTCATCGAACCTCAATCGCTATCACGAACAACAACGTTACAATGCCTCTGATCTAGCTTGTATAAGCTGATCGCTTGCTCCAGCGTACGGTCTTCACCAGAAACTGTGTCCACATTACCTGCTTGACAACGAAACAGCCTGCGTTTGCGTCCAACATCCGTCACAATGTTTCCTTCAATGGTTGTACTTTTCCAGACACACTATTCGCACACGAACTCCCGATCATTAGAATCGTCTGATAAACCTTGTCATACACGGCGGCGGGACCACAGTCCTTAAGCAGCTAGATTGAGACGGCACAGAACCGTTACCTCAGAAAATCCCTGAATCTAAGCTACCATCATGGCCTCCATATTCACTTTTGATCCGGATCCTCCGCGTGTTTCCAGCCCTTGGGCGAGAGCAACTCCTCCTCCAGAGGAGCAATCACGTCCAAAACTCGCACAGAAAACGAAAAGTGTCGGACCGATTCTCATCTCCAAAAAAAGGAAAGACGACGATGCTCTGTCTACGCTAGATTATAGCGCTATCACGAGACTCGAGGCTGAGCCACAGGAAGGACCTACTGAGTATAAACTACACTTGCTGCTTCGCAAACGCAGGTCTTTCACGAGCACCAGTACCGGGGGCCACGTCTCTGGGTCTCTACGTCGGAATGATAGTTATGCTCCAGGCAAGCAATCCGTGCATAGTTTAATTTCCAATACACTGCCACCACTAGGCGCGACCCAAAGCCGGCAGCATCGTCTGGAACAACTCACTACCCAGATGCTATGGCGCCTTCAACAGTCGTGTCCACACCACGGCTCTTCCTCTACAGCTGGAGTTCAGCTTCAATTCCCGGACGAGGCAAGTCTCGCTGGCCCCGCGACGCCTCAACGACTGTATCCTGGGCTAGAGGAGAGCAAAGGTGCGCTATACGAAATCGGTGTCGCTGATGACGGTGAGCTGGTTGGACTTGCCGAGGATGAGATGGAAGAGTCGCTAAACAATCTTCGCGCTATGGCGTAAGTGAATATTCTCATTGAGAGCTTGTTGAGTACGAACCCTGCGCCGACTCATTCGACATTATCGGCTGGAGAATACCCACGAGGGATGGTGCTTCTTTATGAACAGCGCTGACTTTTTGCCCTATATTCAGTGCTAGTCTGGGCTGCCAGGTCGATGTAGTGCGCATGTTGGCCGTCGGTGACTGCAAGTGGGTGGAGGGCAGAACACCGCGACAATCGAAACTCCTGGTTGCCGAAGCATACGTACACCCAGACCATGTCTTGGTACAGCAAGAGTCTGAAGGAGAGAGTGACCAGAATCCGCGCGCGACAGCACACGCGTCTCTACCTCAGCTGCGTATTTCGCTTACAGGTGCAACGATGTCCGGCAAGTCCAGTCTCCTTGGCACCCTCTCGACGGGAACATTCGACAATGGCCGTGGAAAGAGTCGCCTAAGTCTTTTGAAGCACAGACACGAAATTGAGTCTGGAGTCACGAGCTCTATAACGCAGGAATTAATCGGTTACGGAGATCTACTTGATCCAGAAGGTATCCGGTCTCGGTCTCAGATCATCAACTATGGCTGTACAGACATATCGTCGTGGTCAGAAATTCATGCGTACGCGGAGTCGTTGAGCGAAGGCAAGTTGGTCTTCCTGACCGACTCTGCAGGCCATCCCCGCTTTAGACGTACCACGGTCCGTGGCTTAGTCGGCTGGGATCCCCATTACACGCTGCTGTGCATTCCTGCGGATAGCAATGAGGACGCGCCAGGCTCAGGCTCAGGCTCAAGGGAGAATCTCGCCTCTGCCGCCGATCTAGATTTGTCGGGTGAATTACTTCGGTTATGTCTGTCCTTGGAGCTCTCACTTCTGATTGTTATCACAAAGTATGATTTAGCCAAAAAGGCTGGACTCAAGAGTGTCCTCGCACGGGTGCTTTCCACGCTGAAAGATGCTGGTAGGACAGGACGTATCATTGCGGATCCTTCGACGCCGCCACTGAACGCCAGCCTCGAGACGATTTCGGCTGCTGAAGTATCGGAAGCAGAAGCCATCGCACAACCATTCGAAACAATGCCTCTGGCAACTGTTCCCATAGTTCTAACGAGTGCGCTCAGCGGGACAGGTCTGCGCAAGCTTCATGCGCTATTGCGAACGCTTCCAGTACCCACGACTACTACACCGCCTTCGATTCCTCGCAAACGCTTGTTCCACATCGAAGATGTTTACACGAATCCCTCGGGACGGAACGACGCCGATAAGCCAACCATTGTCGGCGGTCATCTGAGCTTGGGCGAGTTGAACGTTGGTGACCAGCTTCTGCTCGGGCCATATCCTATCGATTCGAGTGCAGATGACAGTGACTCTGGAAGTGGAGTGCCTTCCACACGCGACTCTCCAGTACCAACATCGAGATCGTACCCTGGTGCTCTACAGAAGAGATCTACTGCGCACATACATGCGCGTACCGGTTCTAGCGCGCTGTTCGAATGGCGGTCAGTTCGTGTCACATCCCTGCGCAACCTCAGGCTTCCGGTGTCCACGTTGTACTCTGGACAGGTCGGCACCGTCGGTCTGGTGCCTATCCACACTCCCATCTCAAGCCCTGCCATGGCCAGAGTCAGAAAGGGCATGGTACTCTCCGAGCAAAGTCCTAAGGCGCATAAAACTATTACCGTCCAATTCTCTGGCCCTCAAGCAGAAAGTGCCAAGGCATTGACCGTCGGCAGCGCCGTGGTTGTCTTCTTCGCTAGCGTACGGGCCCCATCGAAAGTGTTGTCGGTGACTCCGATAGCATCGACAACCGAGACTACGGCACCGCACGGTGATAGTGCGGGGCTAGAAGACGAAGGATGGTTCGGGTTTGATGAGGACTCGGCTAGTGATCTCGGCAACGGGGCTAGTGGAGGCGGTGCTACGCCTACGGCCGTGACCGCATGTGTGCAATTTCAATTCATTGGGGGCCGAGAATTCGTCGAGGATGGTGTGAAGGTGCTTGTCATGCCCGGTGGAGGGCCTGGTCTGAGTGGAAGCATCGAGAGGGGCGAGAAGGGAATTGCTGGGTTGGAAGGATTTGTGGGGAGGGTCGTCGACGAGAGCATGTGAGGTGACGTTCATGTTCCAGATACAGTCTGGGGTTATTGTTATGCATTCATTTTCTTCGAGCATTTAGCGCTTGCTTTGATTATAGATCGTTCAATGGTTTTGTTATGTCACGCTATGCCGATTTCTACCTCGACCGACCGATTTTCTCGTTTAATCTATCAATCTTGTAACATGCTTCATCAAGCCTGAACATCTGCAGTCTATACCTAGGCGACCTTGACGTGTCATTTTCCATGTCTCATGGCACTTTCATGGCATATCACAAGCCTTAAACCGTGGCACTCTCGGAGACACTGCCCCTCTAGTACTCTTAACTATTAACCATTCAAGACATAGTTGCCTCCCATGTCGTGTTCAATTCTGCTCGAGAACGACGCGTACCCTGAGGAACCCAGCCCCTACCTCATCCATCTAACATTGATATAAACCGTCACAGCAATCACTGTCCGCATGCGGTGCTGCCTAGCGGGCTGATTGGTCTCGCAGACACAGCACACGATGTGAACGTGCACTGTCTAAGTAGCCTCATCAATTCCTCACCATGGGACCTGGTACAAAGAGGTATGAGCAAAAACGGGGACCAAGTATCTATGGAAGAAACACGGGACTAGCATCGACATGCGCGTTCTTCAGCGCGCAGAGTGACCGCGTCAACGTCTGGAAAGTGAGAGGTCGCCCCTTCCCCATCCAGCGGCCTTTGCACTTCGCCACTCACCTCACCGCGCCTCACCACCACCATTCCACCCGCATGTCTAGCCATCCCTTGTTATAGCGCTGTATACCTACCTTAGGCCGAAAAATGTCCATCCTTCAACCGCCACGTAGAGTGTGTTAGCCTAGTGGACATTCCGATCCTTTGTCAGCCCATGTGGAAAGTGCACCGGTTCGAAGCCGAATCAAAACCTAGCAGATTTTGAGCCGGGCCTGCCGGTAAAATGGCTTTTTTGCTGGATTTTTGTGCCCTGGCGGGTCATAGATGTAAGCTCCTGGGATATTGGATGATAGCCAACAAAGGGATGTGAGAGACGCGTGGCGCGGGTGCTTCCGGCTGCTGTCGTACATGCCCCACGCCATAGTAAGGGTGCCTACCTGATCCGCGCTACTTTTGTGTTGTGTCTGTCAACTCGACCTGAAAGCCGTGAAGGCGCGGTACTTCCCGCGCAGCCTTTGAAATGAGGCTTCACATGCATGGCTGTGTAGATGGCTAAGACAAATTTTAGTACAGTCGCTGCACCTTGCAACTCTGTTTCAAACTTGTTGCTCGTATACGTCACAACTATCCGCCCCAGCGCACGCGCAAACATGACATTGCATATACGAGGCCTACAGCGCGGGGTGTAGGCATGTGCTACATTTGCTATCGTGTCACCGCTCTGGGTGATCGTAGGATTGGGGCCATATCGCGACAAGGTGTGCCGGTATAGCCGGCATACGAGACGGTGTTGGACGCATACTTGGGTGCGCACGTAGTGATGTGGAGGCTATAAATCTCGTATTGGGTCTGACACTAGTCATGGCCACCCGCGTATCATGTGCGGAATACTGCGTATCAGGAGGATGGTGCGGGGTGTATATTTCGACCCTAGTCAGAAACACAACGGAAAAGGGATAGAAAGATGCAACAGTTCACAAGTCTTGTACGTGTGCATCTGAATAGTTTTAACGTTCATCGTGACCGACATTGGGTATCTTCTGAGAACAATACATTACAGCTATTAAAATCCGCGCTCTGAACACAGCTCTCGCTCCATTACGGGTACATTCAAATATACACCGATATCTCCGGTCCGTATTATGACCACAAAGCATGTTTACATGGTGTCATTCTCATACTGGCGCTGAACAACCTTCTCACGGTGCAGTCTGTTCTGCCTACGCTGATCCTTAACCTCATGGAACGCCGCGGTAATAGCATGCAATATTCTATAAACTGTTAGCAAACACTCCAGAAGCTGCGGACGTCTCAATGACTTACGTGCTGATGATAGCCAGAATGAACGTGCCCCACGGCAGGTTGCAAGTATCGTCCTGACTGGCCGTTTCACCCGTGATATCACCCCCATTGTTGCCGCTCAATCGCTGAGGGTTATAGCAGTTCGCAACACCCGCCAGCCCGCCGCTCGGCCTGGTCAGCACACTGACAGCGATAAACGCACCAACGAACAGCACGTCCATCAGCACCCATATCCACCTGAGCGCTTTACCCCCCGGGTTCGCACTCTTCTTGATGCACCCGAGCAACGTCGTGATCAACGTATATAGCACGGCAGCAGCGAGTATGCCCTCCACGGCGCCATATGCGCCGTTGACGCCGCGCCGGGTCCTGATGCTGTTGACGAGGCGGTAGACTTTGTAGAGGCGGGAGGAGAAGACGCCGAGGGAAATGATGGAGGATAGGAATTGCAGGACGCGCGTGAAGCGCAGGAACCAGCGGTAGAAGCCGCCGTGCTTGAGCTTTTCAGGGACCCAGCGCGTGAGGAGGCCGGTTTCTTGGGATTTGTCGCGCGGGTCGGCGGGTCCGTCGTAGGGCTGGCGACGGGCGTCGTAGGAGTCGCGGGTTGTACTCATGGTGGATGTGAGTAGGGTATTGCTTATGGTATGGGATGCAATTATATATTTGATTAGTTGCTGTGCGAATTGGTCAAAACTCGCAGATGGGATTTACTCAAAATACCATAAAGTAGAGCTGTTTTATACACAACATCCACGCGCATCAATACGTGCAATCCGTATCCAGCACATCGTCACTCTTGGTCACCGCTACGTAGGACGCGATGGCAACAAAGAACGAGCCTGAAACGCAGCTTTGGGATGAATTATGACAGGCCGCAGCCTTGCATAGCCTTGCATGTTCATCGCGACGCCACAGCCAGTGGCAGCCTCAAGGGCGCGGGCCCGGGTAGGCGATCAACAGTGCTTGCGCTTGGGTAGCGTTGTGGATGTGCAAGTGCAAGTCCGGAATTCACGTGATGACGTCGAAATACGTCAGGCCCAGAGACGTCATTACCATGGCACAATATTCTCGCATTCAGGATTAGTCACGCCAATTGAGAACAACATCTTTTCTGCTATTGGCTCCTCAATGAAATGAGCTAGGGCGATATAGCTGTAACTCCTTGGTTTTCACCATCATGCGCATGTTTTATGAAGCCCTTTGGTCAAGGACTTGTTCCTTGTCTCGAAGAAGTTTTCGGATCGAGTTTTTCACAAATGCTGTAACACGATTCCGTATGGTACACTACTTTTCACAACTGTAGTCTTTTGCAGTTACCAGTCCAGCTACGCCAAAGACAACATGGTACCATCTGGAGTACGTGTGGGCGTAGATCCGGGGAACGACGTGCGTAGAGTGATTCGTGATTTCTCCAATCTAGTACAACCGTACACTGAGAAAGACTACGGTAGATTCGTTGATATTGAGGGAGATCTACATATCGCCCAGCACAGCCCAGGACGAAGCACTCACGGCGTGGACGGCACCGCTAGTATCCACCATCATCACTGCAACTCCAAGCGTCAGCCTTGGCATACCACTTTGATCGCCCTTACGGAAGGTTCCATTGCCTAATGAATCAGGGCATCTCTCTTCTCGAAGATGTCGACCAGGCCTGAGTCCTGACGCTCGCCGCAACGCTGCGCCCTTGAATCAGCCGGTCTTTCCCAGCACCTCTGCCTTGCTTTCTTACTGCCAAGATCAACACGATGATCTCAAGGCAAAATCATTTCACCTCTGGGATTTCCGCCCTGCCTTCTCGTAACGCCAAGCTAGAAACCTTGATCTCGCCGTAAATAACTTGAAATCCGTGGCGCCTCACTGCCTTACGTAGCCCCAAGCCCAGGATCCTAACGTCGTACAAAACGTCTCACCGCGCGTTAGAAAGATTGGCAACCCCAAGCAGCGCGTGTCTACAGCAGGAGCGTCACAGGGCTACATATGCATGCTCATGGCACAAGCAGAGAATGCCATGGCATGCCACACATCCCATCGATGAGCCGTCGTCGCCAGGCTAGCTGACCCAGCGGACCGGGCTCTACCAGAGACTCCAATCCGCGCAGCCACGCCCAGTCTTGCACGCTTGAACGTCCAGCTGGTTCGAAGAAGCACTGCAGCATGTGAACAGCAGCCGCAACAATCTCTCAAACCTCTACCTCTCGGTATAGATACAGAAGCATTTACCAGTATCACTTCAATGATCTGATCTGGTCAGATAATATCCACTCTGACAGCACTCCTTGAATCCCTCTGTGTTGGAAGACAGCCCGAAAGAGCATCCGTGTATGAACAGCTAGTGTGTGCCTAGGATCACGGCAAATCTCAGCTCGGGAAACTTTGCCGCTAGACGAGTTGGCATATGCAATATCTAGGTGTCTTTGACTTCCGCTCTATTCACGAATCGTGCGTGTCTATCCCTTTGATGCACACGCACTAACTTCGAATCATCGTTTTTATTGGTATGGGGAAGCATGTTGTCGGACACCGCGATGAACAAGGATGCCATGTCTGGATACCTATCTTCGGCAAGGTATGCCGCCAGCCAATGACCTTCGCGTTTTGACAGATGTCTCGCTTGCTTTCCAATTGGGAATGTCTGTTTGAGATTGGTAATGGTTGTATATATTCGATAGAGAAGCTATTCAACTTCCAATCAGCTACGCCGCGTCGCGGTGCGAGCTGCGCCTGTATATCTAAGATACGTTGTCCTTACGAAGATTTCCTCTCAATCCCTACATGAATGGAAGCATAGATAGGAAAACCTTCAAACACCCTCATCCCCCATACCTCATCAGCTAGCCCTCTACCCTTCCCCATCCCCACCACGACTGACTTGCCTGCCACCGACACCGCCTCCAGCACCCTCCTTCAGTGCACCGTGCAGAACCTTCTTCAACTCCCCTACCTGCCTTCCAAATTCGCCGAACGCAGCAAGGTCCATTCCAGTGGTCACGTCGTGAATCCTCTTAGCCACTGTCACGAGATTGTCGTGCCTTCGCTTGACCTTGAGGAACATGTTGCGCACATTTGTCGTCTTCGTCTCGTCAGAGGCGAGAAAGGAGGAGGAGAGTGTGGGTGTGGGTGAGAGAGGGTGTTCGGGTCTTGTGGGTGGACGGATGTCTTGCGATTGGGACTGGGATCCGGTGGGCGTATCGAGATGTTGTTTGATAACTTGGAGCTCCTGGGTCAACGCAAGGTTTCGCGCTTCTAGGGCTTTGAAAGAATCTTCGGAGGGAATGAGAACTTCGCGCTCCTCGAGGGCGGCCTTTGCCGCGGAAAGCTGACCTTTGAGGGATTGGTTTTCATCCCTTAGACCTTGATGCTCGGTTTCGAGGGCAGTAATCCGTCGTGCCTTCTCATCATCTTGGAACGTTGCGGTCCGCTGGATATCGTCGAGAAGACTTTTGGTCTCGAGGCGTTGAGTCTCCGCTTGAGACTTGAGGTTTGCCTCTCCATTCTGTCGCTCGCTCTCAATCCGAACTTCATAAAGTCGCGCTGCAGATTTATGCTCGAGTCGCATTATATCTACCGTAGTGCCCATATCCTGGCTCAATCGACTCAGAGTTGCTTCATGGTCACGCTTGAGGACATCGATCGCGGCCTCGCGGTCCCGTTTGCAATGCTCTAGCTCGCACTCTAGTTCAGCTATTCGAGTGGCACTTCGTTCGGAGTCCATAACGCTTTTCTGGTACAAGCTGAAGTTCTGAGAGGCTGATCTAGTTGGTCGTGTCCCTGCAGCATTGGGCGACAGCTCGACACGGACATCCTCAGCAGCGTTTGCGGCACTTGTGCCTGCGCCTGCATGTTTTCTGGAAAAAGACTTGCTGTTACCCAAGCCTCGCACTCCGAGGCCCGAGAAGAAACTCTTCCGTGGAGGTGCCTCTTCCTTGACCCTTACGAATGGAGCTCTGGACCAAGACCACAGTTCCGCTGGCGGTGTGTCATCATCCGATTCATCGAGGAGTATCGGCGTCTGAGATGAACCATGTTTTGGTGCGCTCGCGATGGAATCTATTGGGTCAGTCTTCTGCAGCTTGGGAGCGCGCTCGTCCTCGTCCGTAGGTTGCTGTGTGCTTCTCTTGCGCGGTATGACAGAGATAGTCTTCGCCGTCTTCTTAGCAAGGGCTTTCTTCAGCTTCGGAGTCGTTTTTTTACTCACCGGCGGCGCCATCACTTTAGCCGTTGACAGCATATTGTCTTCTTCACTAACGCTTCTGACCATGCGCCGGTATCGGTTCGTTGTGTTGCTTCGACTCACCTGACTCTTTGTCGCTGTGACCTCTTGAAGCTCCTCCTCACTTCTTGAGTGGGAATCGTCGTGGAAGCAAGCCGGCGTTTTGTTGCGACGATTACGCGGCAGGCGCGACCGTGACGGTGAGACAGGTAGGGCAGCGCGGCTTTTGAATCGCGGTGTCGGAGTTCTACGCTTTGCCCCTCCGGCTAGGAGCAAGTTGGTCCAAAGTGCAGGACCCCAGAGTGGCGTTGCAGTTGCAGTTGCCGATAAGCCTGGAGAAGGGCGTTGATAAGGGTGAGAGGACGGTGGACGTATGGAAGGCGTGCGAGAAGATCGAGCCAATCTCCGACCTGAGCGAGCGTTGTGTCTGTGGTAGGGAGAGGCCGGCATGTTCGAGGTTCAAACAAGTTCAAACAAAGTTCTAGTGGAAATTGTACAGACTATGACATACTTGACAACGGCTTCTTGACGCGGCGGTATGGCACGAGTTGCGACTCGGGCTGTGCCCGATGAAGTATCATGACTTACAACTTAGTGAGAGAAAGTGGTCATTGGAGGCAAGCGCGTTTGTGAGCGATACGCCGCGTGCCTTGCGATTGCGTTAAAGCTCGTGATGTGAGGAGGCAAAAGAAGAACTATTGTAGAACAGGAAAGGAAGCCAAGCAATGCAGTTGATAGGTTAAGTGGGTGAGTAATTGATGTGTGATAGGTTTCGACGTCCTCGAAAACTAGAGCGAAGTTCCCTTGCATTGGCGGTAGATATCCCGTGACAAAACACCACGTGCTTTCCTATGTCAACGCCCGGTCTTGCATCATAACCATCCCATTGTACTGTTCATGAATCCTACAACACTCAAACCGTCTCTTGAATCATTTAAAGCGCCCGAAAAGCCTACGCCTTGACTTCCTCGCTTCCCTGACAGAAATGATAATACATGATAACGACGACGCGCCTCATACTCATAGACATTACCCCACAAGGACGCCCAAAAAGCCCCATACAATGCAATACTAATACAGATCCTCCTCTACCCCGAGGTTGCTCCGACTTGCGCTCACGCTGCCCGCCATGGACTGAACGACGCTACCACTCCGCTCTCGCTCCCGCTCAAGCATACCCCGGAGCTCCGCGTTCTCCTCCACTTTTTGTTCCAGCCTCTTCCTCGCGCCGCTGCGATCCAGCAGCCGTGCTTCGCGCTCAGCCTTCAAGCGCCGCTCCAGCTCCTTAAGCCGATGGATCCACTTCTGCTCGTTATGCTGTAGTGGCCCGGCTTGGGGATACGGGTGGTCTGGCGTTTGCTTCTGGATGCCTTCAACCGCAGATGTGGAATGGTGGCGGAGCAGTGTGGCTGCTACGCTGGCGCGCTTGGAGTTGGGCGAGCTGGAACGAGAGCCTCCAGGTGAGACCTGGGTTGTTACTTGTATGGCGCGGAGGGTCTGAATCTCTGTACGGAGAGTCTTATTCTCCTGACGGAGTTTGTTAAGCTCCTGCGTGTTGAGCTCGACGACACCGCCACGGACAGTGCTCGGCCGACCGATGGAGTCTCGCTGCGCACGCACGAGCTTCTCGACTTGATCAAGGCGTTTTAATCTGACATCGAGAGTGTGTTCGAGCGTTTGATAATCGCGGGTAAGATCTTTATCCAGACTGCGGATTCGCTGACGGAAACCACCAACAATCCCCTCGACGTACTTTACAGCGAGGATAATGTTCTTGTTGAACCCCTGTATATTCTTTGATATTACCTCCATAGACGGCAATTCGCCATTGACGAGGCTGTGGTTGCGAGCCCATTCTCCACCACACAGAGTCGAAAGTCGGTTCCAAAGAGCATAAAGCAGGTTGTTCCGTTCTAGCAGCTCTTCGCGGTATTTCTTCTCCAAAGTATGGAGCTTCTGTCTGTCCTGGCTGCGGAGCGTTTCAAGCTCCAGTACCCGAGTCTCATGTTGCTGTATGGTTCGGGTGACGGATTGTTGCCCGCGTTTGACATTCTCGAAAGAAGCCTGGTCCTGTCGGCGGGCTTGCCTCTCCTTCTCGAGCATGTCGGAGAGACGACGACTTTCCAGACCGGTGCTCTCTAATAACGCATCACGATTGCGAAGAAGTCGATCCTTCTCCGCCAGGTCTTGCCGTGAATTGTCAAGTTCTTGCTGAGTTTCTTCAAGATCGCGCTGCAGTTTCTGAACGTCCTGTACAATGTTATTAGAGGACAACTTGGGTTAGCCGCGGCGGAGGGCCACTTACTTTCAACAAACTAGCCCTGGTACCGTTAAGGTTACCTAGGGCCTCCCGGAGATTGCTCTCAAGCTCGTCCAGCCGCTGTTTCCACTGAGCTGCTTCAACTTCTTTACTTGAGAGGCCTTTGCGGAGTTTCCTATTCTCTTCTTTGAGCTTCGCAAGCTGTGTATTGAGTTCAGTGATGACCTTGTCCACCTCTTGTTTTTCCTGACTCTCCAGGACCTCTCGTTGACGTCTTTCTTCTGCAATGCGTTCTTCTAGTTCACGATGTCGTTCCTTTTCGTCTTGTATTGTGATCTGCGCTGCATTCAGCGTCGACTCAAGCTCGCCAATCTTGATCTTGTCGCCTTCTTGTTCCTCACGTAGGAAGTCAATCTCGCCTTGGCATGATTCAAGCTGTATGTCGAGCTTCTCGTTCTTCGCCTTCTCGTCGGAAAGAAGCTTATCTTGCCTAACCAGCTCTTGGTTGGCGTCATCAAGCTCCGACTCAAGGTGTTGGATTTTGCGCATGCTGGCGTCCCGGTCGTCTTCAAGCTGCATCAGGCTCTCGCTGACATTCTTCATCTCGTGCTGCAGAGCGTTGAAATCTTCCGTGATGTTCTCAAGTTCAATCAGAAGACGATTGCACTCCAGTTCCTTCTGCTCAATCTCGGCTTCAAGCCTTTGGATTGTCGATAGAGCCTGTTGCCTGACGTCTTCGCATTCCTGATCCTTCTCTTGCAAGCCTTCAAGAATCTCGTCTCGTTCATTTGACAGCGCTTGTAGATCCTCTGTCGAAGCGTCAAGCTCTCTTTGAAGTTCTTGCACCTTGAGTTCGGTCTGCTCGAGCAGGTCAAGGTGGCCGACAAGCTGATCATCAAGCTCCTTATACTGGAGCTTCGTCTGCGAGAGTTCGTCGCGGAGGGACGCACACTTGGCTTCAAGATCGTCGCGTTCTTGATCGCGCACAGGCTCGCTGATCTGGGTAGCCCGCGTATCTCTACTGCCACGTGAAACAGAGCGTTGATGATTGCGGGAAATTGAGCGCTCCAGGATACTGTCCCCCGCAATAGACTGCACGTCGCCTCTTCGAATGGTAAGTTTGAGACCCTCATTCTCCTCCCGTAATCGTTGATTCTCGCGGCTACGAGAGGTGAGCATGGATGCTTGCGCATGGAGGTCGCGCTGCAGCTTCTCGTTGTCAACTTGTAAATGCTCTACTAGCGTACCGCTAGTGCCGCCCATGGAAGAAATAGCTTGTTGTTCATTGAAGTCCGATCCGGCGTTCGAGCGGGTGGTCATCGTCGAGCGTAGATGTCGATTGCTATAAACGTGCTTGATGTGGTTGTTGGTCGTGGAGTGATGCGATTGTTGCGAGAAATGCTCTTCACGAAGGCGCTGCACTTCTTTCTGAAGGTGATCGCGCTCAGCTTCGGCCTGCGCGAACCGACCTTCCGCCTGTTCGCGTCGGAGGCGTTCGTTTTCGAAATCTTCCTTCCACATGTTGATAGCCTCGCTGACACCTGCCGATTCATCCACGACACCCTTTTCATTCATAGTCCTAATATAATCGGCCATACGTCTGTTGTCGGCCTCCTTCTGGAGCGCTTCTTCCCTCCACTGTTCGATCGTCGTTTCTGTTGTCTCGAGACGTTCTCGGAGGAATTCGATCTCCTCTTCGAGTGCAGATCTCGACACATCACCGTCGCTTCTGTCTTCCTCGTCCCCACTGATTGTTTCTCTGCTGGTCGCCCCATCGTCCTGTGCTTTCAGTCTCCTCTCGAGATCCCGGAGTCTTTTGCGCAGTGACTGGTTCTCTTTCTTCTCGTTCGCAAGATCGGTTTGCAGCTGTACATTTTTATTGATCGTTTCCTGCACATTCTCATCCGATCTGTTCTGGAGCGCCTGATCAAGAAAGTGGATCTTGAGCTTGAGGTCAAAATTCTCTTTGCTCAACTTGTCAATCTTACTATTCTGTTCCTTGAGCGTCAAATTGTGCTTGTTTCGGGTGAATGGCGTCGCCGTGTGTCGCTTCTTTGGCGAATCGCCGTGTTTTTGCCGGAACTCGCGTGCAACAGTATCTGGGACCTGGATGTCTTGAACATGCCTGGCAATGACAGTGTCAGTTGGAGGTATGATCTTCACATTCGGAGCACGCGGTGTCTCTGGAGGGGTAGTGGTGCCGGGCGCTTCTTCTTCTAATGGTTCTAGATTGGGGTCCTGATGCAGAAGTGCTGATAAGGAATTTGAACTGATGCTGCGCATCCTATCCCAGGGATTAGTATCACTGTACCCAGACATTGAAGACGCTATGCTCCCCAGACTTGGTAATCTTGAGAGTTCAATGTTGCGTGGAGCCGAAGAGCGCGGCGCCGAACCGCCTGACTGTAGAGCGTAGTCTGCTCCAAGGCTGACAGTGCTTCCGTTGTCTCCGGACATGTTGGAGAGGTTGGTCATTGAAGAGAGTGATGATCGCTGGCTGGATGTACGATTTGACAAGAAACTCGGCCTCTTCCCGACTTTCAGAGCGGTTGTCGGGGCTTGCGACGCGGACAACCGCATGTTCTCGGTGCTGAGTTCATGGCGGTCTCCGAAAGAAGACTCTCCATCCCCACCGTCAGTCGCGGTAAAATCTGGTGGAGCCTTCACGGTAGAGGCACTCGAAGTCGGTCGGCGGGAATCGTCGTAGTCTCTAAGTGATCGCAGATCTGGCAGTTCGGGTAGGATTGAGATGTCTTGCTCGGATTGCTCGTCGCCATCTTCAGCCGCAGCTAACTCGTCCCTGTCTTCGTCCACTGATTGTCCCTGATCGATCGTTTCCGATGATTTAATGCGGCGCTTTGCAGCGTCGGCCGAGGGTGAGGAGGGCATGACTTCGGACGTGGAAACGCCAGAGTCCATCGATTCGTCATTTATATCCAATCGGCGTACTGCAGGTGTCTTGTAGGCGCCCGCCGGCGTTGGCGGTTCGTTCGACAGGACAGAAGAGTCGCCCTCGTGGGAGTCGTGGAAAGGAGTCGGTGGTTCGGCCCGGTTTTCTTCTTCGCCTGCTTTGGACGTTGGTCGCGAGTGCCCTGGGGAGCCACCGAACAGGTAAGTGTCGTCTGCTGCTGCCGGCGGAGGAGCGTCTGTGGTGACCGATGCCTCGGGGTCAATCAGAAAGCTGGACTCCATGTGCATGAGATGACGCTCCATCTCGCTGTGCATAAGCGCACTGTCGTTGTCGTGCAGCTGGGTGTCGGCCACGTTGTCGGCATGGAGGAAGCTGTCTTCGTCGTCGGCAGGCAGTGGAGGCAGGTCGGCGTCGGGAGTTTCGAAGGAGCGGACATCTTCAGCCTCTGATATGTCGTGCATGGTGCTCTCATGCTTCTCAAGGGCGTACTGCAGCTGAAATAAAGAGGGTTTTGTTTCTAGCGATTGTGTTCGCGGCGCATCAGCCGTTGACGGAGTCGCATCGTCGTGCGCGGACGCCATGGTGGGCGGCGGGGGGCGCCTTCGGTCGAGTGTCGTCGCGTGTGTGTTGGTATCGCAGGGACGTGACCATTAGCATGGTTGGAGGCGTACTGGACCTGGGAAGCTGCGTTGCGCTGCGGTTTCCCTGCCTGCCGTGACAGCGAAACGCGCCTCGTGTTGTTGTAGGTCCGTGCGGCGTTTTAGCAGAGCGTTGAGCCAGCCCATGGCGTCAGCTCCACTCGTCTCGGTTGCTTCTTTGGACCTGACAGGACTCCTATTCGTTTTGACCCGCATAGCAACAGCCGCATCACAATAGCAGATATGAAGCAAACGCCTAGCGCCAATGCACGTGGCTTCAGGATCTCCAAGGCGTAGGACAAGGCATTCTGGAGCGACTCGCGCGGAGCACGGACTGATACGACTGCAGGATGGATTGAGAATGTACGGTTCTCCACATCTATCTAACGTTCGTCCCCTGATAATGGACGGTTCTGTCTACAGTGGACAGGTGATGGAAATAACCACAGATGAAAGAGATACAAGCTTGCGTTCAATGCGAAGAGATGAATGCCCGCCCGGGCTTGGTATAATCCACGAGCCATCAAAGTGCCTTGCCAGCCCGTACCCCGAATCCAATTATATCCATACAGAGGCCCTGTGCACCGCCCTGTATCCCGCGCCAGCTGAGAAAAGAGAGTCGTAAATCGTAACGTCGTAAAGTTGAAAACAATGAACAAGAAATGCCAGATATATGGCAGGGACAAAAATCTAGTAACAAAGGGACAAGAGCGAGAGTGTTATATGGCTTTGCCAATATGCTTATCCGGCGTCGAACGCTCCGTGTCGAAAGGACTCGACAGCGGTGTTGGATGGCCGATGTCGTCCTTGCGCGACTTGCCCCTCCATTTTATGGAGTCGATTCTAGCGGGTAGATTGATCGCGTTCCTGATGGAGCTTGCGCTGAGATTTCGTGCGTGGCCCGAGGTCATCGTCCTGGACCGAGATGCCGCAGTTGGTGCCGCGAAACTCGAAGAAAGACTAGTGCTCCGTGTGGGTGGTGCAGATGCTGGTTTGGTATGCATGTAGTGTGCCCTTGACGAAGGCAGAACGCTGCTGAAGTACGGTTGGTTGGAGGGCTTGGTGGGTGACGTCGGTGATGTGACTGGCGTAGTAGAGGCCATCGTGCCACCCAAGCCTGTCCTCAGGGTCGGTGAAACCACGTTTCGTTTTGCTGTGATGAAGCATGTCGTGGGTGGCACCCGAGGATGTGGTGACATCAAGGCCGGGTTATGAGGAGAGCCCATGGCAATAACAAAGGGAATATTTGAGCTTGATGCCGTGCTTGGTCGGCGCGGTGGTGAGGCGATGGCACTTGAGCTTGTAGAGCTCTCGCGAGATCGAAACTGCAACGGTGCAGGAACCGCCGACTCGATAATCGGGCTGCTTGGGTCGCTCTTGGGCTCACCTAGAGGTGACTTGATAGTTACGAAACCTGACGGAGCTGGAACCTTGCCTGTGCCAGGCTGTCGGTTTGATCTTGCCTGGTCAGGAGAATTGCGCATTGCTTCTGCCAACACGTTTGTTCTTGGAGGCGTCTGTATTCGGAACGGGGTGCCGTCACTCAAGTCTGTGTCAAAGAGACCAAAACGCGGCCGAGGCGGTCGTTCCGGGATGCTCTTGCCTTTTGGAGGCTCGGGGGCGGATCCTGAGCGTTCTCGTGTCCCAATAGGTATGACGCCAATCTCAGCCTTTGAAGATGAGCTTGATTGAGATGACGACAGGGAGAACTGGATCATGGAATCGCTCATACTTCTACGGGCATGAATCGTTGGAGCCGCAGGCGTGTTCAGAGGAAAGTTTGTTGCCAGCTCTCCAAACTTTTCTTGGTCTGGAGACGGAGGCTAGAAATGGTTAGTACGCTACACTTACTGGGTTATCAGGGCAGGGCTGTGTCCCATACAGTAGGCTTCCGACGCTCTGGAGACAGCCGTGCTACCGACCGAGGTGAAATACCCGGATCGATATTATCGGCCTCGTTCGCCAAGTTGGCAGCCTTCATGGGAGGAGTCCGGGGAGTCAATGGCATGTTGATGTCGAGCGGCAATGGGACTCGCTTGATTGTCCGCTTGATTTTGTCAGTTGGAGAGGGCGCGGGAGTAAGCTCAGACGGCGGAGGGGTCATGCGCTGCGTCAATGGAATGGTGAGAGAGATTGGACCAGTGGAGACAGGGGATGGCGATGTGGAAGCCTCAAGATTTGGCGCAACCGACAGAGATTGTGTAGGTGCAGGAGTTTCCGCGGACTTGGACACCGAAGGGTCAGGAGACTCTACATCGTCGGGTCGGCTATCGTGGCCTCCCATTTGCGCAGCGATCTTCTTGAGCTTCTTGATGTCTGACTTGTAGCCCCTGCAGTCGAGTTTGTAGTAGATGATCTCCCGAACATAGAACTCGTTTTCTCGGCGGAGAGCTTCAATTGTGCTCTCATTGCCAGCGTTGCGGCCAAATTTTTCCGCTTTGTCTTTGTTGAGCTGCTTCTGAAGTCGTTCAACCCAGCGATCGATGTCGTCCTTTGAAGCCAGGGAAGTTAGCTCAGGGAGGGGATTGCCTTGAGCATCCGCGAGAAGCGTAAGGTTCGCATGGCGTCGGATTTCGGCTTCTAGGAGCAGTTTGTGATGGCTCAGTTGTCTTTCGGTTTGCTGCAGTGCCTTGCTCTTCTCGCCAATCATAGCCTCGCGTTTGATGATCGCGGTACGCAGCTCCTCAATATGAGCTTCATTTTGCTTAGCTTTCTTGAGGAGCTGATCTTGTATGTCGGACTGTAGATCTAACTCTCGGTGCTCGTTGCGCAACTTGTTGTATTTCATACGCAGTTGCTTATTGTCCGCGTCGAGCTCCGTAATCTGCATGTCCTTCACGCGAACCTGCTCCTGCAGTCGCTCGATATGAGAGATGAAGGCGGATAACGTTGTGGGCTCCTGGTCGTCTTGGCTGATTGGAGAATCGTTCGCAAATACAGTGCTCATGCTCGTGCGTGTGCTCTGTCGATGATCGGGGACTTGCACCTTGGGCGACTTCAGATCAAATGGAGTTCTGTGTGATTGTATGTTGAGCAGTTGTTCTTCTGCGTCCACCTTGTCAACATTGGCCAACTCCAGTCGATATTCGAGATGGTCAATGGTGTTCTGCAGAGCCATAGTACTTTTCTTCAGGTCTTCGGCCTTGCTTGCCTTCTCTTGCCACTCGTCGCAAGTCTTTTGCGTCTCCTCAAGCATGCGCTGCTGCTCACGTCCCCTTTCTTCAGAGTGGTTGAGCTTCTTCATCAGTGACTCAACTTGCTTCTGAAGTGCTTCGTTGTTTTGCTTGTATAGGTTCAATTCGCGCACTGCGTCTCCATTGCCAGTCTCGGGCTTCTTTGCCATGCTCAGCTTCTTCTTGAGGTTTTCCATCTCGGCATTGGTTCGCGATCGCAGCGGGGATCTAGAGTTATCGTGGGATGGTTTGAACGAGCGGATCGAGCCTGCAGGTGTACTTCCGGCTGAGGATGATGGGGTGCCTCGCTTTGGTGACAGCGGGTTATCCGTGGTATCCAACATGAATAAGAGATGATTGCTAGATGCATGGTGAAGACCTTTTTGTTGACTTTCAAGCGACTTCGTGTAGTCCTTCAGTGCTGAGACTTCCGCAGCATGCGCATTGACCTGACCTGTGTGAGTGCATGTATCGACGTCGACCGCGAACCGAATACTGACTAGGCTGTTGACATGTGCATCGTGGGACGCTCGCAAGCTCGAAAACTGGGACTGTAACGTTGAGATTGTTTGGTCTTGCGTTGTAATCGTTGCCTTGAGTTCATCTAACTGTTTAGTACGCGCCGTTGGTTGTTTTCTTGTAATAGGCTGGAAGTGGTCAGTACGGCCTCTTGGAGATGGGATCTGAGGTATGCGGGTTGCGCGCAGTCCTGACTTACCTTGATAGTCACTTCCTCCACAGTATGCCACTGCTTTCCTTCTAAAATCGTGTCAGGTCCTGTTCGTGTTTTCGTCGAATTAGCGCTACTCGCGTTGTCACTAGATAAAGTTGACAATGTTGTGATTCTACTATCGGTAGAGGATGGCGAAGCAATCATACTAGGTCGCTTCGACCGTTTCTGCAAGTCATTCGCACTTTTCCTATGCTGCGGCACCTTTGACGGGCCAGTCTTAGCGTTGCCCGAGCTCAAGGAGAACATGCTGCGGACACTCGTCACTGCGCTGCTGTGGACGGATTCTGCATCAGTTTCAGGTGGTTGGGTAGCTGGAGCCGGATGCTCCTGGTTGTCTAAGGGAAAGCACCCCGGGAGCTCTGCAGGTAGCGCTGGCGATGGCGGAAGAGAATATTTAGATGTAATGCACGTGGTAGGGCTCAGTCCAGAAGTAGCATGAAAAGTAGTGTCACCGAAGACGGCGAGTAGATTAGGTGCCGATTTGACCAGGACGTCATTCTGAAGCGCTGAGTCGGGACTCTGGCTAGTGATATAGTTTGGCGGTACGATGGAAAGGTTCTTTAGATTTCGACGCCATGTTGTATCCTGTGCAGATGTCAGTTGGCATGCAAGCCAATGGGAGATGACCACACGCGAATGCAGGATGCACGTCCAGCCCCTGTAGGGTGACACGTCGATGGTGGTAGACCAACGAGACGACGCGACCCAAGGCATTGACAGCGCATCGCCTACGACGGTGGGCACTTACCTTGGTATCGTCCAGTTCTACGCATTGCACGAATTGGTTCTTGGCTTCAATGTTCGTATCAATCTCCAAGAGGCCTCCAGTGCGGTAGTAGGTTTCCTGGGTGGATTGATGCCGGGCGCTCTTGGAGCCCCATGAGAAGAACTTGGATCTCGATGTGGGTGCCATCGATGTTGCTGGCGCTAAGCCTCTGGAGCGTGTATGGGGGCCGAAGTAGACATTAGATGATCAGATGAGACGGAAGGTGTAGGCGGCGCGAGAGAAACGACAGTAGTGAGGACGGCGCGATTGAGAGTGAAGCAGAGGAAAGCAGCCAAATTGCATTGCGCGCGAGAGTCTTGGAGGACCGATGGTTTTCTTGAGGGTTAATCCTGCGCAGCCACCACATTGCGGCGACTACCTATGGCGGCTATGTACAGCGTTTCCCCATTTGGTCCGAGAGACGCATATGGCCCCATATGCACAGTAAGACGGCGCTTCAGCATTTCCCCGAGCACGCGAACCGAGCCTGGAACGGTTTGGATTCGCTGATGATCGCCTTGGAGACGCGGGCCTCGAAAAGAGCCGCCCGAGGGCTGTCACGGTACCACACGCCTCCAGACGTCCTTGTGCGGTGCATTGTGGTGGTTGCCGGCGGGGGTGCACAAGTCGCGAGTCGCACCTCCCCGCAAGCCCCCTGGTGGGTCCGAGCGCGTAGCGTCATTTCGTCAAGAAATTGATTCGATGCGCGCAAGCTTCCACACAGTTTGCGCCGCAAACAACGTGACCAACGTGCGTCTTCACAACCGACGCGCAACACGGCGATGCGGCAGCACCGCGTCCCTGGCACTCCCCGCGCTTAGTCGACGCACCTCAGCTTGCGCGCTCGCCGACTACGCCCTACGGCGCGGCAACTCACCTGCGACCCACGCCCCAGCAACGCACCAGACCAATCCATGAACGCAAAACATGCCTGAACGTGAGCTTTCACCGTACAGCGCCCGTGTCGCGCTTACCCGGCAGCTGCAGCAGGGCCAGGGCAGCCAGTCTGCGCCGCCCGCCCAGCTCAACCGCCGGCCATGGGACACGCGTGGACCACCACCGGAGCGGAGGCACAATGGTAGCAACCACTCGCCAATGCCACAACGAGGGAGGGGGCGGGGCGGAAGACCTTCGCCACCACTTGTTCGCGGTCGGGAGGGACGCGAGGAAAGCGCGTCTCCGCCCCCAAGAAGCCGGAGGGACAGTCCACCACCAGAGCGGTCGCCCAAGGCAAAATCAAAGGACGCGTCAGTCGAGCCTGCCCGATCCGTACGCGATTGTGAGGCATCACCAGAGCCATACCGGAAGCCGCGCGAAGCCTCGACGGAGAGGAAGAGGGACCGTTCGAAGGACAGACATAGCAGAAGGGACAGGGATCCAGTGAAGGACCAAGATCGGCCACGGGAGAGGGAGAGGACGAAAGGCAGAGACCGGTCACGGGAGAGCTACAGACTGAAAGGCAGAGACCGGTCGAGGGAGAGCCACCGGTCGAAAGGTAAAGACCGTTCACGGGAGCGTGACATGTCCAAGGGCAGAGATCGCTCGAGGGACCGTCACAGAGAGAAGCGCCGAGAACGCTCCACCGAGCGCCGACGCGATGGTTCACGGGAGAGGAAACGCTCCAGAGATCGCGGCAGCCGACGCGCCCGCTCGCACTCTCGTGATAAAGACCGTCACCGACGTCGCTCACGCTCTCCTCTCCCCGTCACGCGCCGCTCCCCCTCGTCCTCCCCGCCCCCCAAACGCCGCCGCAAACACACGTCCTCCCCATCGCGCTCGCCCTCCCCCCACCCGCGTTCCAAGCGCCCCCTCCCCGACCAAGAAATCTCTTTCCGCGGCACCGACACCAGCGCCCTGCCCCCCACCAAATACGGCGGCGCCCCCGCCAACCTCGAAAAGCCCAACTTCAAGCCCACCGGCCTCCTCGCCAAAGCAGCCAACAAAGTCGAAGGCACAAAAATCAGCCTGAAATACCACGAGCCCCCCGAGGCGCGCAAGCCGCCCCCCTCCCAGGCCTGGCGCATCGTCGTATTCAAGGGCGACGACGTCGTCGACAGCATCGAGCTCGGCTCCAAAAGCTGCTGGCTGCTCGGGCGCGAGGCCAAGGTCGTCGACTACGTGCTCGAGCATCCGAGCAGCAGCGGGCAGCACGCCGTGGTGCAGTTCCGCTATGTGACGAAGACGGTCGAGGACGAGTATGGGGTGAAGAAGACGAGAGGGAAGGTCAAGCCGTATTTGATTGATCTGGAGAGCAGCAATGGGACGGTACTGAATGGGGAGCGGGTTGAGACGAGTCGGTACTTGGAGCTGAGGGATAAGGATATACTGAAGTTTGCGGGGAGCGAGAGAGAGTATGTTGTTGTGCTTCCGCCGCCCGAGGAGGCGAAAGAGTAGGGGGAGATGAAGCACGTATGCGGCTTCAACGCTGGGATGCTTTGTATTGGGAGTGGCCGAGTCATTCACTGCATGTTGGGAGTGACTGGGTTGGTAGATATTGCATTTTACAACGACATCCTTTTCAAACTTGCGTTCCAGCGATTCTTCCTCTTTTCGTATCATACACGTACTTACATTGAGCAGTACCTAAACTTCCTTCACCCCATTTTGCATTCCACCCTAAAATATCCATACAAAATTCTGCTCTTACGCGTAGTACCGCGGCTCATCGAAAACATGGTACCGATGCCCGCGCACACCCTGCCCCCTAAACAAAGCCGGGAACCTTAGTCCCTCCGGTACCTGCTCTTCCGGAATGATATCATTCGATCCCTCGGGCTGCCCCACGACGAACTTTCCAACCTATACACACACGTCAACACACTTTCGTTACCCACGCGCAAACCCCAAAGCAGCAAGAGGGAAAGGCGAGGGAAGGGGATAGCTTACCTGAATCTCCGTATCCGTAATCGTGCTCCGACTCACCCTTGCATACGCCGCCCTGCGCAACCCCTTATACAGGATATACTCGCACCAGCGGTCCCAGTCGGACGGATCGATATCCCGCATCCCGCTCTTCTCACCCACATACGTGTGGTAATTGCCCTGCAGCGGCTTCGTCACGAGGTAGCTTAGCAGAATCGCGGGGCGTGGGGTGGCCTTCATGCGGGCAGCCAGATACTCGCTTTGGAGCCGCCTGTCCTCGGGATCCTCCTCCTGCCCCGAGTGGAACACAAAGACATCCACCAGCTCGCCGTACGCGTCGATGGTGGCCTCGATCGCGGGCGCGAGTTCGCCCACCGGCGAGGGGAGGAGGTGGTGCGTGGAGTTTACAATCGGAAATTTAGACAGCAGCGCCGAGCCCCACGTGTGCTTGTTCGGGCCGGGCCCGAAGTCGACGTACATGCCCAGGTCCTCGGCGAGGAACTGCGTCGTGTCGCGATTGCCCATGATGATGCGCTGGAGGTCCGACTCGAGGAGCCCCATGACGTCGATTTCGAGCTCGCGGATCACGTCGCGCATGCGCCGCTCCGAGCTCCACATGTCATTATCGAGGCTGAAGTGGATGGTCCAGATGCCAGCGGTGATGCTCTTGGTTTCGGGGTGGTAGGGAGTGTAGTTGTACGAGGGGAAGCGGAGGTAGGCGACGGAGATTGCGAGGAGCTCGAGGAAGAGGAGGACGTAGACGTAGTAGGCGCGCTGTTTGCGGGCGGCGGGGTTGGGGGCTGTGGGCTTGCCTTTGGCTTTAGGGGAGGGGGGTTGCGCGGAGAGGCTGAAGACGCCCGCGCCAATGCAGAGCATCATTGCGCTCATGACCCAGTCGGTGTGCTCTCGCATGAGGGGGCCGCCGGGGACGAAGGCGTAGGCGACGATCCAGACGTGGGCTAAGACGAGGAAGTTGTACACGAGGAACCCGATGCCGAAGGTTTTGGCGGGAGAGTGGCGTGCTGCTTGGCCTAGGAGAACAGGTGCTGCGGCCATGGTGTACACTGCAAGGACGAGTGCGCCGTAGTAGCCGGTCCAATGCTTGGATGTGGTCAAGACGGCAGCGCCGACAGAGCCGATGCCGTAGAATACCCACGAACGAGCGAGCGACGGCGTGAAGAGACCGATGAGGAGACCAAAGCCCATGGCGAGGAGGGTGACGGCGCCATGGGGCACAGCAAGCGGACCACGAACGGGGTAGCCTTCCCATACCCAGAGAATCATAGTGCTGGAGTCGGAGAGGAGAGAGTGCATGCTGAAAAAGAGTCCAGCGATACCGAAAGCGGTGAGTGTTGCTGAGCCTTTGGTGGGACCCGGGGCCGGAAGGTCAGCTCCAGAGCTTGCCGTAGAACGAGTAGAAACCAACACGGCTACAACAGCCAAAGCCAAGCCAGTCTTGTTCCAACCGTCGTTTGGTCCATGCATTATAGGCCAGATGGGATTGTTGGTATGAAAGGCGAACTTGGCAAGACTGGAGAGGATCAAACCAATTGCAAAAGCCGAGATGCGTGCCTCAAGACGGTGAGTCTGCGACCTTTCTCCATAGAAGGTGGCAGCCCATGATAGACAAGACATCCACACACCGAACCCGACGGCGAAGAGACGATTGGCAGGGTCCTTGATAAGGTATGCGAGAAGGCCGGAGAGCGAGAGCAAGTGGCAGATGCGGACATATTTCGTGAAGATGTAGCGCAGAGGTCTGATGCTTAGGAGAAAGGGGGAAACTGTGCACATCACCAAGACCTCGTAGCCGGAGATGCCCATGTGCCATAGAGGGAAGTCTTCATAGTGTTAGCATTTCACTTCCCCAAGACTCTGGTACACTTACACCAGACGCACAATCCGAGGGAGGTCAGCATAGACCAAAATACGAACTGTGTGGGTTAGCACAGCAGCTCAAAGTGGGCACCACGGAGAATTACCCCAGTGTACACATCGGCTGCTGCATTGAGCAGGCCGAACCAGGAAAAGCGGTTGTCAAAGACAGCACGGGCCTCTCTATTTTTTCTGCTGTAGTGTCAATCGCATTGTGGATCGGGAGGGTCTGGGGACGTACTCCTTCTCGAGAATAGCGTCGGCGACGACTTTGTTGCCAGCACTAGAGTTCAAATCGCATCAGAATCGGGTCACAATATATTGCATTAATCAGCTATCTACTCGGGGAGCGGTCGGACATACCCGCGGCTTATGCCCTTGAGATCTCTGACCTGAATCTCAAAGTTCTGGAACTCAATCATAGTAACAGCGTCAAACCCGACGTCGAGGAGTACCAGCGCCCACTCGAAGAAAGAATAGATGGTGTAGGCTACAATCGTCAGACACTTTCCAAATTATACAGAGGGATAGACATACCTCCAGCCACATGGTGCACTTTGTGCTGTATGAAGAAGTAAATCAGCGGAAGAATTGTGGCGTAGAAAGTCCCGGAGAAGTATTTGCGGTATTGAACGGCTGTGGGATTCTTGGGACTCATGGCGATTACGCCGAACGTCCACGGGATCGTAGAGACCAAGTATGAGATCATGAAGATGTCGTGCCAGTCATGGTCATCGGTGGAAGTGATGTATGTCCACCCGCCGCATGTCAACGTCCGGAAAATTCCAACTCCAAGGATGAATTTCGGGAGCGTCGAGTTCGGTCGGCGGGTGAGAACGTACCACAACCCTACAAGGGCGAATCGCGGACCTATGCCTCGTCAGCGTGTTTTCTTGATGTGGCACAACTATTGTCTACCTGACGTTAGGGCAATGAACAGCTGGAAGATCGATCGTTCTGGGTAGTGATCTCCGATAGTGGCCGAGACGGACGGAAACCACTCTTGCGGCCAGCCCTACGCATTTGTTAGCCTGTATCAAGGCTACGACTTGTGTAGAGACTGACATAGAACTCATTTTGTACAATTTTGTGCCAATGGAGAGAGCTGGGGATGTTTAGACGAGAGCTTGCGGGGATGGTCGGGGATGCCTACAGGCCGGCAGCCAATGCACCGATAAATGCAGCTTCACATGAATTAGATTATAGCTTTGAGTGAGAGACGGTGCGACATACTGTACGCCACAGCGGTATGCAGCCACGAAATCCATTTACCATTGAACTGTGAGATGGTGAGCACTGACGGACCCGAGCTTCAAGGGTGTAGACTGCGTACACTTGCGACGATGTCGCTGTCTCTGTATTTTGGCGGCATGCCTGGGGAATTGCGGAACCTCGGATTGGGTCGCCGCTATGTGAAGAGAAAGAAAAGAACGAGCGTCGTGTGTTCCTCCACGCGTAAGCTGGCACGCTCCCCTGAAGTGTTTACCTGACGTCCGGTGCTGGGATCTTGGCAGGCCCAGGGTTCCGAGCCGAGGCGGGACCTAAAACGTAAACCTTCAACTTTTTTTTGTGGAACAACTTCACACGCGCAACGCAACCATGTCGGGACCGAGTGACAAGGCGCGCTTCTTTCTCGAGCAGTCGGCCGAGGAGCTCAACGATCTCGAGCGAAAACAGATTTTCTCACGAGTTGGTGGCCCAGATCCAGCCTGCGCAACCATGCTAACGTTCGCCAGGAAGAGATCAGCTCGATAGCAAGAAAACGCTCGGATTTCGAGCACATCGTCAATGCTCGCGGCTCACACCCCTCCGACTGGCTGCGCTACATCGAGTTCGAGAAGAATGTAAACGCGTTGCGGCGGAAGCGCATAAAGAGACTGGGTGTGAAATACCGTGGCAGCGGCCAGCGGACGATCTATTCCCTCTACAACCGCGGCACGAGGAAATTCGTGGGCGACTTGGGACTCTGGATGCAATACATCGAATTCGCGCGCAAGGACAAGGCTTACAAGAGACTAAATGAGATCTTCACCCAGGTTGTGCGCCTGCACCCCACCAAGCCGGAACTGTGGATCTATGCTGCAAACTATTTCATGGAAAGCCAGGCAGATATTACAGACGCGCGAAGCTACATGCAGCGAGGGCTTCGGTTTTGCAAGAACTCTGAGCAGCTGTGGATAGAGTACGCCAAGTTGGAGACGATTTACATCGGAAAAATAGCAGGACGGAGAAAGATATTAGGGTTGGACATGGATCGCACGAAGAAGCAAGAAGACCAGGATGACGAGGACATGATCGCTCTGCCCGAAGTAACGGCCGAAGATGTCAACCCTAGCCTGAAGGACGATGGCGTGGACGAGGTGGCCTTGCAAAACCTCGCCTCTGCACCGATCTTGACAGGAGCTATACCCATAGCAGTGTTTGACTCAGCAATGAAGCAGTTCGACGGCAAAGCCACAGTTGCAGAGAGATTCTTCGACATGTTTGTCGAGTTCGATCAGGTACCCAGCGTCACGCGCATCCTGCAGCATGTCGAGGGCTTCATGCGTTCAAATGCTGCGGAGACGGTCCAGGCCGCCGCGTGCGCTTTCCGTTTACCGTTCTTCGGATTACACCCGGCATCTCCCGAGTTCCCGACGGTGCTCGCAGGTGCTCTAGATACGCTCAACGCTGCCATTGCGCAACACCCGAGCCATAAGCGCCACTTGTCCAGCATCACCATCCGACAGATCTTGCAATCCTTTCGGGTTGCGCAGGACATGGACCCAGTGGTCAGGAAGGTCTTGTCTTCGCAGTTGCGAAAGTTCACTGGGTTTCTAGAGGAGACGGGCGACGGCAGTGGTGATAGTGTTTCTTCACTGGCGGAGGCATTGAAACGAGAAGGAAAAAAAGAAGATGCAAGATATTTGGTACAATCAAGCCTAAAGCGACTGGGCACTAACGAACGCCTGCAGCAGCTCCATGCTGCCTTGAACACCTGAGTGCGGCAGAGTCAGTGCGCCACATCACCGTCAATCCTTCGGTGGTCAGGTGACTACGTTGACAGCTGTCAAGATTACTTTCGGAGGTAGCAGCGATTTGGTGTCTTCAAGACCATGATACGAAGCGGAACCTGCATAATGAGACGCAGGGTCGACGGATGGCCTATTCAATCGTCGCCACGACCTCTTCGCGAGCTCTTCTTGGCACTATGCTGCTTCTTAGTCTTGATCCGCCGTTCGTTGTCAGACTTTTGTCTGCTACGTGTTAGCTGGATTTCTAGGTATTTTCATGGCATCACGAGGCCTACAAATCCTTGACGCGTTTCGCCTGTTCGGCCGACGTCTCGCCGGGAATGGCAGCGTGGCCCGCCTCGACAATGGCTTCATAGAGCCTCTTGTAGCAGCTGTGGGCATTGTCATTTTGCTTGCGACTGTCGTCAGCCTGGATGACGATGGCACTGGACCGCTCAGCGACATAGCGCGAGGCCCTTATCTCATGATGAAGGACGCTGGGCACGTGGTCCAGCAGGGCATTGAGGGGCATCTTCAGGGTAGCTTTAGAATTCACTCTTGAATCATTTTAGCGCCGAACGACACGAACTGATACTAGCTTGAGCATACTTGTTGACGTTCTGGCCGCCGGGTCCGGACGACCTGCTGAAGCTTAACTCGCCAATGCTTTTGGGAATAGTCTCTGCATGGAGCTGGGCGAGCCACCTGCGCGCAGCCTGGAGCTCCTCAGGACTCGCGTCGCTGGTGCTCCTGTCTGAGGCGAAGCGGACAAGCGGTGCGACGGGCAGCAGCGGGCGCGCGGTCAACGACCGTCTGGCGGCGGGGAAGCGCGCACGCAGCATGCTGTGCGGTGAAATCGCCGTGATGCAATGCTGCGGAGGAGAGCAGCTCGAACAAATTGCGGACCGCTGCAGGGCGCTAGCTGCTGGGCTAGAGCTGCTCTGGGCAAGGCTGGCCAAAGAAAAGCTGCTGGTCCGCGGGCTGCTCTCAAGTTCTGCTTGTGTCATCTCGCTCCCCACCACGCTCCTGCCCTCAACAGCCTCTGCGCCTGCCTCGTCTCTCCCACCTCACCACTGCCGCCCATTGCTCGCCTCAACCAGCTACCTCCATTCTTGCACGCCCGCAGCCGCCCAGCCTCTTCCTCTCTTCTGCACTGCGCCGCCCGTCACACTCGTCCGTTGCCCGCCGTGCCGCGTCCTGGCTGGCGCTCTGCATACTGATCTGCTGCTCGTACAGACACAGACCCCGCCCGTCTGCGGTGCACTGCCTGCCTCCCCTTCCTGTCGCTGTGCGCGCGCAGCTTTGTAGATGTATTGAGGCAGCGGCTCGCCGTTGACGCGCCTTGCGCCTGGGTCCGCATACATGCGATCAAGTCCAAGCCCTCCAGAAGACGCGCACCACTTTCGCGGCAACACCCTGACACCTGAGTCACCCAAGCCCCTTCACCATCCATCGCCCTCCAACATCCCCATTCTTGAGAAGCAGATGGACCCGATGCTCGGCGAGCCCGCACTGAGCATAGGTACTCCCGTCTCATACCAACAGTATCCGCAGCAGACACAGACGCCGAGCGCAAACTCTACCACGTCGTATTACGCCGATGCCTCGCAGAACGCGCAGAATGCACCCGCTGTAGGCGCTGGTGTCCCCCAAGGATTCGCAACGCAAGGGCAGACTGGGCAGCAAGATACTTCTGCAATGCACAATTTCACACAGCCTTCAGCCCCGTTTAGTGACGCAAACCATGCGCCTGCTCAAGACAACCGCAACTCATATGCCTTTAACCCCAACGCGTATGCCAGCCAGCAGAACACCCAAGCCCAGTCTTCCAGTGTCACGAGCGTCGATGTCCAGGCCTTGCTTGATCAGCTGTCAACACCAGCAAATGGCGCGGGCTCTAGCCAATATGCGCCACCCAATGTGCCTCCCCAGCCCTCCCAGCAGTCCACCAATGCTCCCTCATCGCTCCCAGCCGCCCCCAACCTGCCTCCACGACCGCCGCCGCAAGAAAAACCGTCAACCCATCCGAACTATAATCCCAATGATGACATCCGGTCCTTCCATCCACACAGCAGCCACCGAGGCTCCACCCAGCTACAGCCGTTAAACATACGAGGTGGCGGATCTGTTGGAGGCGCTGATAAGATGAGTCCAACGGCTACATCTGCCTCTTCAGGCTACGGTCAGCGACACAACCAAGACTACAGCCGTAGCGCGTCACTCGGAGATGATGAAGACTCTCGTTGGCCGCCCGAAGTGAACAAGAAGTACGAAGATTTCCTCGAGCAGGAGCGCCGATTCGTGACCGACGGACAATGGGATCAGTTCCCAATGGGCTCTAGGCTCTTCATTGGTAAGTAGACTGTCCATGTCAGGGAGATAGTGGAAGGCTCCGTTTCGTGTGCCGCGCCGGTGTATACAATCGAGGGGAATGTTTAGCAACTGATGCTAAGCTGATGTATCGTCTTTCTGTACACTCGTTAAGCACTGGGTCGACATGCTCCCGCAGTCTTCCCATCTTTTATCTCTCTGCAGCAAGCTGACCTGTTCGTCAGGAAACCTGCCTACCGAAAAGGTGACCAAGCGAGACATATTCCACCGGTTCCACCGGCACGGTGATCTGGCACAAATTTCGATAAAGCAGGCGTACGGATTCGTCCAGTTTCTCACTGCTGAGTCGTGTTCTCGGGCTCTACGAGCGGAACAAGGGCAGCAGGTGCGCGGCAGGAAGATGCGTAAGTCCTCTCCGAAATGTCACGGGCGGGCCAAAGTAGAACTGCAGTCTACTGTCCCCATTTGGGTAGCATGCCGTGGACTATCGCCCTTTAACTTTGAATTGTGCATAGGCTGACAGCACCAGACCTCGAAATCTCCAAGCCGCAAAGGAACACCAAGAAGGTCGAGCCAGGCCGCGATGCTGGCCGACGACGTTCACGCTCCCCCGAGTATAATCGCGGTGGTCGAAACGCAAACCCTGTTTCTCCCCTCGACAATCGACGATTTCGCGACGACTACCGGCCCACACGGTCACCTTCGCCTCGCAGGAACCAGGGCTACCGTGTGCGAGACTCCAGTCCCGATCGATATCGGCGTCGACGCAGTGGTTCCAGGTCACCCCGTCGATACCGCAGTCCATCGCCTCGAAGAGCCTCAACTCCTGACTTGCCGCTCCCATTTCGGGCCCTACACGAGGTTCCTGATGTGCAGGTACTTGTCCTTCACGAAGGGCTTCCGCGAGATTTTATCCGATGGGTCGAAGAAACTTTCGAGCGTGCGAGTCTCCGCGTCAATGTCCTCATTTTGAGTCCACGGCTTAATGAGAGCGCCGTCGTTAGAAGACAGATCATTGAGGGTGTTCTTGCAATCGTCAGGCTGAACAGTGCTTCCTTGGCAAGAGGCAAGATCGATGTGCAACTCTTCGACCGGAGTCGTGGAAACGACAACGTCCAGTTCAACGAGTACACCGATCTGGACCCAACTACGGCTGTTGCGCTGGTGGCCGATGCCAAGCAGAAGAGTCGTTCTTTCCCTGTACAGCAGCCTGCACCTCCTGTATACAGTCAGACGTACGGTGCTCCTGCAGCGAACCCTTATGCTCCCCCTATGCCGGCGACCAACTCAGCGAACCCACCTAATCTATCCAATCTCATCTCTACTCTGGACCCGAACAGCTTATCTCAACTTCTCGGAGCTATGTCTGGCAACGGTGCACAACAGGCACCACAAGCTCAGCCTACGATCACGCCCGATCTTGCGCGCTTGCTAAGTTCTGTCTCGACTCCTGCCGCCGCTCCTGCGTACAATCCGCCGACAGCACAACAATACGGTGCTCCCTACCCGCCTCAGCAGTCGCAGTCAACTGGCCAGGCACCGGTGAACCAGCCGGTCACCAACCAATATGCGATGCCCCAGAACACGCAATATGCTAGCCAATCAGCACAGGGGGCTAAGGTCCCAGACATGGCCGAGATCATGGCCCAGCTTGCGAAGTACCAACGATAGGAGCGCACGTTTGACACTTCGTAGCTACCCCGCTCCGACCAGCCTGCTTCAAAATCGCGACATTCTGCTGCCTCGGATTTCCGAACTTGTTGATTTTAACGTCGAGCGCTGCACTGTACCTCCATCCCAGTACAGTCCAGCCTTCGCGCACGACGGCGACCTTCTACGCCGGTTGATCATGCTACCTCCTCACACCTACCGACGTGTGTTCCATGCCATTGTCGCTCAGCAACTACCCGGTGGCGTCATCATCCGGAATTTAGAACAGCCGCGCCGAACTCGAGATCCTCTTATAGCGGTGGCACCACGTGGCGGCGACTTGGAAAAGTGCTCTTACGCAGACCACTTCACGGGTCCTGGTGTGGAGTGCGAACTCGTCGGCACTAAGGCCCCGGGCCCGACCCTGTCCCCGTCTTCTACTTCTAAGCCTGGTTCCCCCAATCCATCTTCCCTGAAGCTTCCGCAACCTCTGCGTCTGGCCCCCTAGGAACAGTCTTGGGGTTTTCTTGGCGTGGCTCGCTGGGCTTCTACTGTCTCTTTTTTTTGTGTTTAATACTTTTTTGTCTTGTTTGCGAGCGCGGCATTTGTATACTTGGGCGGCATTTCTGGCAGTTTTGTGCGGCTATTGCGTTTGACTCATGGGCGATAGGTGGACTGGAACGGCCTTGTTTCGGGGGTGTGGTGTGAGATCAGCGAGTGAGGCTGGGGGGCTATTTGTACGAGGAGCTTTCTTGAGAATACAGTGGTTTAATTCATCGCTTCGTGAACGCGAGGAATGGTTTTTGACATGGGTCACTTCGGCCCGGTGTATGATACAGTCAGCGTAGACACATCTCCAATCCAACTCCTACCAATCTCGCGTACCATCAAGCCTACAAGTGCCCATCCACCCTCCGATCCCGCATCTCCTTCCTTCCTGCTTCCATTTCTCTACCTACCCAAGGAATCGCCTCACCCTCCTCACTGCCCCGGTATACCCCATCCCTTCCACCACTGCTCCCCGCTCAACCCACGGGCCCCTCTCCACCCCCTCGCCCAGCACTTCCAGCCCCGCAAACTGCGCTCGCGAACCTAGCTCCCGCCGCCGCCGCGAAACATCCGCATACGCACCCTCTACGTACGCCCACTCCGGTGTATCCGCGCATCCCGCAACCAGCACCGTGGTCTCTGCATCCAGGCTGGGAAGCAGGTCCTCAAACGGCGCCGGGACGAGGATGTGCAGCTCGCCGGCGCGCGGGTCAACCCCGACGAGCAGAGCAGTGCATATTGTTTCCGTGGCGTCAGGGGAAAGGAGCGGCGGGAGGTGCGTCTCCGCGTCGTGTTCGTAGTACGGGATCTTGCTCTTCGGCGTGCGGCGCGGCGGAACGGCGGGAGGCGAGGTGGTGCGCACGATGTGCAGGATGCACCCGTTCGATGCGGTGAGGAGGGTGGAGGCGGGAACTTCTTGCTCGTAGAGTGGGAGGAGGGCGAGGATGTCCTGCGTCCTCGTTTGTGAGGGGGTGTAGGAGAGGGTCCAGGGGGTGAGTGTGGTAAGCGGGGAGGGCGTGTAGATTGGTTGGGAGGACGAAGGGGAGAGGGAGAGGTGGTGGAAGTAGGACGTCATGTGCATTGCCCTTAGTTCCGCTGGTGTGCGGGGCTGGGGCAGGATGGGGGCTTGAGCGGATAGCTCATGCAGCGTTGCGGACGTTTTTTGCGCGAGGAGGGTGAGGGTGTGCAGGTTCTCTGCGGTGGCGGCGGAGATAGAGGGTTTGGCGTAGAGATGGACTATGTGGGATGGTTTTGTGACGTTCAGAAGTGTTGTGAAGAGAGGGAAGTGCGCGGTGTAGAGGGAACCAGAGGTGTTGATGATGAGGGGCGGTGAGGGGCCGGCGAGACGGAGGCTGCGGTAGGTTTGGACGAGGTGCGAGGCGCAGGCGGTGAAGTGGTCTTCGTAGTTTGTGAGGTCCTGGTGGGGGAGCACGTGCGCGGCGATTGTGGAGTTGTTGTTTGTGCGACCTCGGGTGGTGGTGGGATGGGTGAAGGCTGGCCCGAGGTTGAGCTCGCGTACGAGCGTGAGGGAGATCTGGCCGTGGGGCGTGTACTCTGGGGAGCTGGGGTCGAGGTCGAGATAGCATACTGCGGGGACAGATTTGGCTGTCTTGCCAAAGCCGGTGAGGTAGCGGTTAAGTAGTCTTTTGGCGAAAGTCGACTTTCCGCAGGTTGGGCTGCCGACAATGAAGGTAGTCGATGCGGCAGTAGAGATGTCGTCTATTGAGCGAAGCCAGTCTTCTGGAGCGTGCTCTGGGACTAGGGGTCGTCCCAAGGGATCATCGTCGGTTTCCATCACCTGTCTAGACTTTAACGTTGCTCTCGAGGGGAACTTCGACCAACTTACCCCAGTGAACGATCTACTCTTGTCGCCGTCTCTGTCCCCACTCCAGATATTGGCGAAGAGCGGGTTAATATCTGCAAACGGTGTCGGCTTTCGACAACTCCGCAACTGAACATGGTTTGTGCGATCCAATCCTCTAATCTTGGTGATCGGATGCGTGGATGGCACATAAACACGATGCACGCTTTCCTCCTCTTTGCTTCCGTTCGACGTAGCGCCCAAGTTTGCGCCATTGATATGTACCGCCCCTTTCAGGACTTTGACATCAAAGCATCCAACGAACGAGGCAGTAGCATGCTTGTCCAGGACAATAGTCAACTCCTTTGTAGTGTCGGAGAGAACTGTGGACTTGGCTTTCCGCCACGTGCTGAGCTTGAAGTTCTGCGGAACGAGAGAAATGTCCTCGGGTTCGGACTCTGCCTCAGATGCCGTTGAGTCGGCAAGTGGGCTTGGTGGCGCTTCTTTCACACTGTCTGTGGTGCTTTTTGGAGCAGCAGCTTGTTCTAGTTTCAGTCTTGCAGCTGCAATGGCGCTTAGTGGTTTTGCGATGCCATTGTGAGGTGCTGTATAAGTGAGTTTTTGAAAGCAAAGACAGGAATGTGGCGCCTCATATTACCTATTTCCGGTATCTCCTTAGCAATTGCCTCGCCTCTCTTCCTTTTCCCAGTCATTTTCGATGTTGCGCGGCGATGCTCAGACAGGTCGCAGTGACAAAGTAGTTGCACTGTTTTCTTTAGCGCGCACAAATCGGGTAAGCGTGTTCCGCGCCGATGGGGCATCCCCGGCGGAATTTCAAAAAGTTCGAAACGCTGCAACTCCAACTTGCGCGCGCAAGTTGCTCTGAGATTCGCCATGAGCAAACCCCGGAAAACACCCGTGCCGCTGCCAGGCTCCAAGACGAAGACTCCCATACCAGCTCCCAGCTCCAAGAAAACTCCCATACCCGTGCCTACCCCGAAGAGTGCAAAACTGAAGGGCCAATTGAGCAATGAGCTGGTTGGCGACAGCGACGATTCGTCAGACGAGGTCGCAAATAAGCCGAGCGATACACAAAAGAAGACGTCGATCAACATCGCAGTCCACAGACCAAAGACAAATGGCGTAGCAAAGCCGACACCGGAAGCAAAGAAGAAGCAGAAAGATACCCCAAAGACAGCGACCAAGGACGCTGCGGTCTCGAAGAAGCCTGCGCCGAAGCAGGTCTTAACTGAAGAGGCGGGCGCCAGCAGCAGCTCGGAAGAGAGCAGCGATGACGCGGAGACGGACATGAAACAGGCACAGCAGCGGGAGGCGCAAAAGAAGCAGAAGGAGGATAGCGACAGCAGCACTGAAGTTTCGAGTGACTCAAGCGACGAGTCGGAGGAAGAGGCAGCTCCACCACAGCAGCGAGCGGACGCGCGGACCGCGCATTCACAATCGCAGACCGTCACATTCCAACAAGCGCGACCTTTTGTCCCGCCCGAGGACTTTAAGGCTGCATCTACAGAGCGCGCAGCCTCCTCGGCGATCACCAACATCTTCAAAAACCTCGACGGAAAGCAAATATGGCACATAACCGCGCCGGAGGGCGTCTCCTTGAAGGACCTCAGACAATTGGCAATGGACAAGGTGCAGAAGGGCGAGGCTGTACTTGATCACAAAGGCACAAGCTATGGCCTTGCGCCGGCAGAGGTCGGAGTTGGCGGGCGGGAAGTCATGATCCCTGTTGCGAACGGCTACAGAGCGAGTGAGTATTCAGTAATATCTCAGATTCGCATATCCTAACATCATTATAGTCCCCACGCAAGTTTCTCAGAGCTACCATATACAGCAAGTCATCAACCTGCCAAAGTTGACTTCAAGACAAGCCGATGTAAATACTGGGGGTGAAGCGGCCGCATCGATAACAGCGTCTACCATCCGGGCGGTGAAGCCTCAGGTCAAGGGTCTCAAGATGCGCTTCTTCCCGTCCGGCTTCGAGGACTCCGCGCCGACAACTTTGGGTGATTCGGACGACGAGGCTGATGCGCCCGCACCTGCTGGTCTCGCCGTCCCTCTCGGGCTTGATCCGCCTGCGAGAAAGGAGAAGAAGCGGAAACACGAGCAGTCCAATGCGGGAGAGGAGGCGGAAACGTCGGCGAAGAAGCACAAGAAGCACAGGTCAGCGGAAGAGCAGCAGCAGCGGGAAGATAAGAAGGCTAAGAAAGAGAAGAAAAAGGAGAAGAAATCCAAGTCTTAAGTGAACTTGATATTTGCAGATTCTTGATTTTGCTTCACGGCGGAGGGCGCTATATCGGCACGAGGATGTCTCAGTACAATGATGTCAAAATGAGGATCATCCAAGAGAGCACATGTGGTGCCGAAAGTATCTGTAGAATTACTGAAACATGAATACCCAACGCAAGCCAATTGATCAGGCTGGTGTCACTCCACATGAACTCTCCTGTTCACATCACATGCTTACAAAGTACAGTGATAAAATCTTGTACAAGTCCAAGGTGTCTAAAGGTGACAGAGTCAACGCACGACTCGCACAACAGACATAGGCGAAAGGAAAAAGGTCCTGCCATCTATCAGCGAGCCAATGGCCGGCATTGCGAGTCGGATTTGCTCATCGAATGAATTTTACGAATGCGGCCTAGCGCATTCGCGAAGTGTGATGACATCGTGTAAAGGAACTATTACAACGTGAACTGTGTCGCACGTTTCCCACGTCGCTCCTTACCACCCCGTACCCTTCTTGTATACTACTCTCTCGCTATGAAACCGCGACCTATACTGCACTTCACCCCCCCGACGCCGCGATCAATCTGCCCAGCATTCACAGCGCAATGCCACCGCCCTCTTTCTTACGCGCGCACCGCGCCCTCCTCAAACGAACCACAATCCTTTAGCCAGCCCAGAGGCAAATCAATACACAATGCCTTTGCTCTCCGCCCGCACATGCGCTTTGCCTCAACCGCCGCAGTCGCAGCCACCGCCAGCCGCAAGCCCTCCACGTCCAGCCCCTCAAAGTCCACCAAAATCGCCGTCTCGCCCAGATCCACCCCCTTCACCGCGCCCGTCCCCCAGGTCCGCGCAAAACTCAACCCGCCCCCCGAAACCTACCCACCGGACCTGCAACTCCCCCCGCGCGGCCCAGAACTCTACGTCAAGTACCTCTATCGCTGCGGGCGCTCGTACATCACATTCTACAAGCAGGGCGTGTCGAACGTGCGGGCGACGCTGAAGCTCGCGAAGACGCTGCGGGCGAAAGCGTCCTCTCAGACTCCGGACAAGGACAAGTGGCACACAGTGCTGACGCGTGCGGAGTGGCAGGTCGTGAACCGCAGCGGCAATGACCGCCTGCGGCTGCCGGCGTTTGCGGCGCTGCTGGTCGTCTTTGGCGAGTGGCTCCCGCTGCTGGTGGTGTATCTCACGCCTGTGGTGCCCGAGCCGTGCCGCATCCCCTACCAGCTCGAGCGCAGTCTGAAGAGCGCGGAGAAGCGAAGGCAGGAGCGGGAGCGCAGGCTGGCGATCGATGCGGCGAGGCTCGTGGCGAGGGATCGGAAGCCCGGGGTTTCTTCACCTGGCGTGATTAGACCTCAAACGGTGGATCTGGAGGCGCTGGATAGGGCGGATTTGTTCACGCTGTTGAGTCTGGATGCGAGGTTTGGGGTGCAGCCGCGGGTGTGGGATTGGCTGTTTTTGACGCCGCCGAAGGCGCTGCTGCGGTGGGGTTTGAAGAGGCGGATAGGGTACTTGCAGAAGGATGATGAGGCGATAAGAAGGGATGGCGGGTTCCAGGCGTTGGAGGTGAGGGAGGTGCAGAGGGCGTGTGTGGAGAGGGGTATCCGGGTATTGGGGAGGAAAGAGGGCGAGTTGAGAAAGGAGTTGGCGGGGTGGTTTGAGCGGTGAACTGTATAACATGGAAGATGAAGTTCAAAGCCGACGAAATGGTGTTGATACATTGTATGATGACGGTTGTATATGAGGGTAAAGGACATAGATGGGTCGAGTCGAGACTTGTAGAAGTACATGTACATATACACACATACGTAATCTCGATCGGCCCCAGTCGATCCCACTTCAGCTGGGTTTTGAGCATAAATAGAGGTCTCTTCGCGCTGCACATCTCTTCTTTACACACTTTTGCAGATTCGCCTGCACTCAAACAATTCAAGCTTCCTGAACGATGTGGCTTTCTCCTGCTCTGTCCAAAATTCCACCTGGTTCCAAGCCATGGAGCTCTTCTTCCCCGCCAAAATCTGATAACTTTGAGAACTATGAACTTCACGCTCCTTGTCTCCGAAAAGCCGTGCTCAAGTATATCACGAAGCACGTCTTCTTCCAGAATCTACATTAGTCACTTCATGGCCTCCATTCTCCTCGCCGCTACAAATAGTACCAAGAGCGAGTTATGGAGCATCTTTCCATCGAAAGTGGGGGCTAGAAACGCTTATGTGCTCCGGGGTCTTGCTCGCCCCGAATGCCTCAACGTCGGCACGATGCTCCTGTTCCAAACATCTACAGCCGTTCGGGAAATGTGCTCTCTTCTCCTCCGCCTAAAAAAAAAAAAAAAAGGAGCGGGTAAACAGGGGATAGAGCACTTCTTTCCCGCTCAAAACGAACTGCAACTAGCATGATGAGCTTCGCCACGAAGCTCCTCATGCTCCACGTCTCTACAGGTGTTTACTCGCACATTCATAATTCCCACAAAACTGAAAGCCCCTGATGGAGGAAATTTGTGGGACTCCCGTACTCAACCAAAACGCGCACAGCATCGAGTTGTGGAGTACTTCTTCCCTGCTGCTCGGAAGGAGCATATCAACCCTGATGTGCTCTGCTGGTCTTGGTGCTACAGACAGCTCAATGCACAGCTCATAAAGGGCCTCTCAAAACCCTCGTGCAAGCCAAATATTTAGCGTGCCCGTGGTCTGTCCAGAACCTCCAACACCAATCCTATGGGCATGAGATCCTTCTTCCCTCCCGAAGACACTTTTCTGGACAGTACATGTGACCTGGGGTGTGGTTTCCTCGTAATTCCAAAAGCCCTTGCCGCCACCGGAATATGGGATCTCCTCTTGCGGCTTTGGAAAATTCATAGTCAAAGAACTTCATGGAGCACTTCTCTTCTATTCAAAGCGGCTATAAATGTACTAATGTGGGACTCTATTCTGCGGTTGTCGCAAAATCTGTTCAAAGGTGGTACTATGGGGTGTCGTTCTCTGTCCAAACTTGATAATCTTCCAACCATTTGGGATCGCGCCATCATCTTGTCGAAAAGGGCGTCCTAGATGGAACCATGGAGCATTTTCTCTCTGTCCGAATTAAAGGTAGAACAGCATGATGTGGGATCGTCACTTCGTCTTGTCAAAAAACATACACTGGGGCAGTATATGGACTACCTGTTCTCTATCAAAAAGATGGAGAATTTCCCGAAATGGGATCGGATCCTCGGCTTGTCGAAGAAGTGATCAAGCTGAGTTCTGGAGCGCTTTTCTTCTGTCCAGCACGACAGAAAGCTACGTGATATGTGATCTTTCCTCTGCTTGTCGAAGAACATGCGATCCTGAACCATGGTATGCTGTCAAAAACCGTCATGGCAAAAGTTCGATGTGAGACCTTGCGCTCGGCTTGTCGCAAAAGGAAGTCAACCCCGCTGTATTTAGCAATTGTCACATGTCCAAGACAGATAGAACATCCAACCTAAGCGATATCTACCTGCCCCTCAGCTTTTCAAAGAACACGTACAATTAGTCCATGGACCATTAAGTCCCTGCCAAATTCAAATCCTTCGGAAGTATCCGATGTTAGATCCTGCTCTCGGCTTCTCGCAAAAGGTCATCATTTCCAAACCATGGAGCAGTCCTGTTCGAAAACAACCTGAACGACAGGAAGATAATGTGGCTTCGAGTCTAGCCCCGCTACACTCTTAAAGGTGGTGGCGTTCTACAAGTATGCGCCGCTTCCGCCCGTGCTTGTTGGCAAAAAGAGGACGTGAAGTCCATATGGGGCTGTCTTTGCCTCTCAAAACGGACATCAAAGCACCACATGTATTAGGGAGGCTAGCTGCGTATTTTCCGCTTGATTCAAATCATGACAGCTTGTTATGATGTTGTTTGTCTCCTTTGCTCCACAATATTCGAACTAGGAGTCAGTCACATGGAGACTTCAATACCGCGAAAAGATAGACTGGCTCGTCTTCATGTCTGTTGGGAGTATTCTTTGTTGAAATGTGGAAATGGCGGTCGTACGATGCGCTTTCCCCTCTCTCCAAGGCGTCGAGAATTACACGAACATGGTCGGATACCAAACCTTGCCCAATACTCCTCTCGGCCCAACGGAAAGGCCCATGGAATCATGTTGTCGCCTCTTCCTACGCGCCAGAAAAACGGAGTCACTCACGTAATGTAGTCCTCTCTTCTTGGGCCCGAAAAGGATATTCACCCGTGTTATGTAGTCCGAGGTCGACTTCCTGGGAAAAGGTTTCTATTGAAAAACACCAAACTTGGCAGCAAACCGCTTGTGGAGTGACTTCTCGTGGTTCTCGAATGACCAGCAACTATGAGCATGATATTTGGATTGGTTTTTGTGAACCCGCATCTCCTGGTAGTATCAATATGGTGGCATATAGGGTTCTATCTCTCTCTGTTCGAAGACAGCCCGTATCCATGCTATGGAAGGTTCACTGTCTTCCAAACACTCAAAAAAAAAAAAAAAAAAAAAAAAAAAACGATTGACATATTGCAAAAATGGTCGGGACCAAAGGTGTGCCAAAATTTTCCACGTGGAAATGTCTGGTTCGAACTCGGAGTGTGAAAGTCATATTAGGAGCCTTTCTGCTCACTCACTAAGATAAAGGATCAAGTCCAACCCGTACCATGTACCCCCAATCATGCCATTACTGTAGAGACCAGATCTCCTAGATCAAGCGCCTACGACAGAATCATCACGCTCCTAACGCAAGTACATCCATGTACTCTTATTTGTCGCTGTACCCGAAGACATCTATTCTACTTCGGTGGCTCGCTGCGCCGCCTCGTCGGCGAATTCGCTTCATCATCCCGATTTCCGTAGTAGTAAGCATTCTCCGACTCGTCCTTGTTGTGACGTGCAGCCTTCATATACTTCTTGAATGCGGTAGAGAGCTTCACGACCTGCGCGAGATGCTTTTCCTTGATCTCTGGGATGACAGGCTTCGAATTCTTGTTTCCTCGTTCGTTGGCTTCCTTGCTGTCATTTACGGCCAGTGCGACGGCTGTTTGGAAAGCTAGATAGCATTCGTTAGTGATGATCTCCTGCGAAGTATATTGTATCCCTGCTCACCATTTCTGATCTCTCTGCCGTTCCACTCCAAAGCCTTGACATCCTTATGTTCCTTGACGTACTCCTTTGCATGACGATGACTGTAGTAGGATGAGCTTGCGGACCCAACGGTTGGTTGGGAAACTCACTAATCGACCTGAGGCCCTCCTCGCTTGAAGTCCTCGTCCAATGTATCAAACATATTGTCCCAGATTTGTTCGCGAGCACTGTCGGTCAGCCGCTCGTATCCCACTGCCACGTGGATGCGTGTCATGAAGGCTTCGTCAAAGCGACCGATTCTGTTTGTTGTCAAGAAGAGGATGCCCCGGAAATAATCGAGCGCACGAAGGAAAATTGAGACTACTCCATTCCGCTTCAGATCTTTTTCTGATCGTGCTTCCAGGTAGACATCGGCTTCATCAATCAGTACTACTGCATCCCACTCATTGGCGTATTTGAAGAAACGCATTAGATTTGTTTCGAGCTCGTAGGCGTCTTCGCCGAGATCCGCTGGTGTAAGGTTGAGCAGCGGCCGCCTTGTGAACTCTGCAACTGACTCTGCAGGACAACGTTACACCATGCATGTCAAAACAAGTTGGAGAACGTACCTGCAGTCAGGGTTTTACCAGTACCTGGGGGCCCATGGAGCAGTAAGATCTGTCCTTCACCTTTACCGTATATAAAGTCCGCCTTGAATCTTGCACCAGCCTTGTTTTCCGTGTAGGTCCTCGCGATGGCTTTGATGACACCTTTGTTGACCTCATCCATTACCAAGCGGTTGATTGCGTCTTCTACTATGGTTGGCTCAGTCAAGCCTCCAACGTCCACAATATCTATCACTAGGTCAGTCATTTGCAGCATTTGGGATCCTTACAAGATTCATACCAAAATCTCGATCTTGGAGTATATGCGCATACACATGGGATGCCAGGAGTAAGTACTGATGATCTGACAGCCCGTCCACTTTATCGGGATGTATATCATCATAGTCACTGAACTTCGCTCTTCCCTGCACTTGACTCATGCGTGATTTGGTGCACTCCGTACATTCGCATTGGGGCGCTCTCAGTTCCTCGCCGAGATTGTTTTCGGTAATGTGCCGATCAAGATTCCATCCAAGAGCCTTGAACCGTTCTTCTGTCCAAGGTTTAGGTCTATGATCTACGACTACCCGAGTTCGCTTGTACTATAACAACTATGTTAGCTTACGTGGAACAGACCATTCGCTGCTTACCTTCAACCATCCATCTTTTAGACCAGCTCCGCTGTACTCCAAGAAGGTAGGGCTCTTGCAGTAGCTAAAATACTTCTTGCCTCGCTCGATCAGAGAGTCTCGTGTTGCTGAAGCGTCTGCGGTATCTTGGTATTGTACTGGGAAAAGTGGAAGCGAGGTAATATCCCGCTCTCCATCGAAGTATGGCACTAGAATCCACTGGCTTCTGCGATATATGATTTTACCGTCGAAATGGAGGTTCCAGACCCGAACTGAATATTCCGTGGCCCTTAAGGCCGCACTTGGCTCTACTGGGTAGGACACTCCTCCACTCACCTTATCAATCACAAAGGCATTTAGCTTCTCATTATCCTGAACGTATACATCTGTACAAGGTTTCAATAAAAGCCAGAGCCCGGCAAACGTAGTCATTGGCTTTGGTCTATTCCATATCATCTTATGCTCGGGGTATCGTATCGTCGGGTGGGAGTCCAGATACTGCAGGAGGATATCAATATGCTTGTCACACTGCTCATTGTACTCAGCAGAGTGTTGGCTTCGAGCCTTGTGGAAAGTCTTGTAGTCCTCGATTTCTGCACGATGTCGAAACAAGTCCTTGTAAGGAAAGAAGAAATCGCCGTTGGTATAATCATCAACACCCGTCGCGTACTGAATTATCGATTTCAGTACGTTCAGCAAGTAGTGTGAGTGGACTGTCAGCAACGCGCCGGATACGAGGTCGTGTTGTGGACGCCTCAATCTTCCTTTGAAGCCTGTGTCGGGCTTCCTCATTCTGGAAGTGATGGAAATATCAAGGATTTTTTTCTCTTCAATGACTGGCAAGTCACCCCTCGTGTCCATATCGTACTCAAAAGTTGTTGGGTTACTAGCTGAAACCGTCCACATATAGTCGTTGCTTCCTTGAGCATTCTTCCGAAAGCAGTCAATGCTGTATTTGACTTTGCTGTCGTAGCTCGTGGGTTCTTCGGGTGGTGGGGCGTCGGAATCGTCCAGAATCTCAATATCTAGGTACCATCCTGGGGAAACAACTTTATCGTACACTTCGTGCAGCGCTTTACCCATGAGACGGCCTTCTCCACTGAACGTAATGATATAATTATGCTGTGAGATTGCGAGCAGGCTTCTCTCGTCACTGGCATATACATCACGGAGAAACGACTCGAGGCGCTGGTTTTATTAGCGAAGTAAATTCACGATACGCCAAAGCACGCTTACTTCCAAAGTTGAACACCAGGTCCATGGAAGAGTGTAGAGCTTGGAATGTTTGACCAAGAAAGTTATGTGTTTTCCAGTGGAAACAACCGCTGGATCAGACTCGGCAGATATGATCCTCTTCTTGATCGCATTTTCGATAGCAGCATCGATCTTGTCGCTCTCTGAGGATTTCTGCAGCTTGCCAGCTGCGGGCTCTTCTGTGCTTCAAATAAGATGGCATGATATGCATAGCAGTGAGCAATCACGTACCTATCGTAGCATTGCCTTCTTTTTCGGACTCCACAGGGACCGCTGCATTTTTCGATGATGTACCTTGAGTCACATTCTCAAGCTCGATAGTAGCTGCGGGCACATATTCGTGCTCCTGAATCGCATCGGCGTCAGCTCTCGCCTCTGTTTCGGCCATTGGATCTTTAGGTGGAGCAACGCGCGCTCTTCAACTTCAATCCGACGTAGGTAATCGTGAGAAACCGGCGAGGCTGACGATTACCATTTGATCATAGACTTGCCGCGCATGTAATATGTATGTGTCCAAAGACTTACCAACTACTCTCCCCGCAATGGAACCTCAAAAGTCTCGTCTGATGCACTGCCCTGTTCCACGGCAGCGAATACGATCTAGTGGGCATGTCACTATCGATGGTTGGCTAACTCACCGTGTAACCAAGCTTATATCGAAGCGAGGGCACACTCAATTGGCTGAGCTTATGGATTATCAATACCTCCCTACCATTTCCGGCTTTTGTCACGCCTCAGCTCCTCAACAACCCCCAATCGGCCCCCAATGTCGAGCGCCACTGACTTCAAGGATGCCGAGCGACAATATGGGATTCCTGACCGGTCAAGTGGGCGTAAGCAAGGCTGAGCAGAACGCCCACTACGACAGCGCAGTCCACGTCCAACACTTCAGCCTCTTTAAATCTGAAAAACAAGGCAAGATTGAAATAGAGACAGGAGACTTGGTTCACTAGCCGCTAGAATGGACGGTCCTACGGGGAGCTTGATGGTCCGAAGATTCACTGATCAACTGGATGGGGGTACGGAGCTTGAGAGAGCTACCATTTCGGCTCAAGAACGGCTTGACGCAGAGGAGAAGAGAGCGCTAGATCTCAGGCTACAGAGTTACTATGAGGATCCTTCTGACCATTTGTAAGTAGTTGATTGTGCGATAATTGTTTTCCTCCAAGTCGCTAACAGACCACCTTGTAGGGCGCTCGACTTCAGCGCAGCAGAGATTGCTCGAAATGCCCTCCAGAAAACATGTACCGAGATGGCTAAAGAGATCAAGCCGTCAAAATTGGCAAAGATAGGGAGCCTGTTAGGGAAGCAACGTAAATCAGCGAAGTTACAGGCGAATGAAGTCATGGAGGGCTTTGTTGCGAGTAGTTTCGACGATCTGAAACAATTGGTGGAAGGCCAAGAGTCCCAGTGGAAGTCAAGTCACGGTATAGTGAGTGTAATATCATGTCTTCACATTCTGTGACTGACTAGGGCTTTCAGATTTATACAAATTTCCAAAAGCTTTGCCGCAACGTGGACGCCCATAAAAAGGTCTTTGAACTATTTCCACAGCAGAGCTTGTACGCTTCAGTACTCTGTGGGAGTCTATCGTTGATTGTACAGGTAGATATCGATGATCAGCTCTTCGGCAGAATGTACACTGATAAATCAAGGCATCTGTAAATCATGAGGCTGTTGCAGAGACACTTTCCAAGGCGGTAACGGACATCACTATCGAGAGCAGTCTATGCGTACGGCTTCTCGATGTCATACGTACCCCGGAAATGCGTGAGCAATTATCCCAGGTATATGCCCTGATGTTCCGATTCTATCGAGACGCAATCGAATGGTACCTCAGCTCTTCCAAGTCAAAGTTTTTCGGCTCGTTCAACGAGAAGATAAAGACAGGCTTTACCGACTCGGTAAGAGCAATCAAGGAAACTATCAGTCGGATTATTACTTTATGCCATATTGGTAATACAGCAAGGGGCATATCTATCCATAGAGACACGGTTTTCATCAAAGAGGAAGTCTTGCGTCAGAGACAGAATCAATGGGCTCAAAATGGGACTTTTATCGACCCGGGCGAGTTTATGCAGGCGCTACTCAAGGTAATGTACCAGTTTCAAGCGATAGAGAAGCCGGAGTCGGAGCGAATAACAGCACAAGCTGAAGAACAAGCGATCGAAGATACGCGAGAGAGCGTACCAACAAACAGCAGGTCAGACCTTCGCGAAATTGCACGGCAGATGGAGCCGTATGTCGTAGGAACCGAGGGCCACTCACTGTTAGGGTCCGGTCAGTTCTGGATGCCAGGCCCTAAAGTTGCTCCAGTACTCCAGGACTGGATGGCAAAAGCGGAGCTCCCTCAGACTCTCTGGGTATCTGGACCTGTCGTATCTGACACGGTCTCCATGACCAGCTCTAAAGCTGCAGCCATGAACGTGGTTCTCGCGGCTTGGAGCGTACATTCGCCGATCATATCCCACTTTTGCGAGAGACCCCACCACAGCGCTGACGGTCTCACATGTGAGCAGTCTGGAATGATTGGCCTAGTCTATTCTCTCATCGTGCAACTACTCCAGTTCAGAGTCGAAGACGACCAACTGGATCTTGACCTAGAAGACGTGAGTCGTCTGGACGGCAGCACTGCATCTTTCTCGGAAGCCCTCAAAGTTCTCTACCAATTGTTTGCTTGCACACCAGATATCAGGTTCTGTGTCATTCACAGCTTAAACGTACTTGAATGGGGAGGCGGAGCCGAATGGTGCCATGATTTCCTTGACGTGCTGTTTCGGGCGCAAGGAAATCGTCGCGCGTCCCTCAAAATTCTCTTAACCACGTCGGGGAGCTCAAGGGTGCTTGCAGACCGTATCCCTGCGCGAAGTCAGTGCTTCGCAGAGCAATTTGCGCACCAAGTGCCATTTCCGGTCAGCAGGTCGACCTGAATCTGGAGCGAATATTCTATTTGAATCTAGAGATTTATGTTGCCTGGTCTTCTTCAATGTCCGAAGAATGGGGAAGGCAAGCATATGTGAACTGGTGCATTTAGTCACGTGACGTATCACGCTCGGACGGGTCAGTCCCATTGTTCCGCTTATCTATGAGGAGATTTTGCACTACTTCAAAGTATGCGAGCAGCTAGAGGGTATGATTTTAATCTTTGAAAGACACGTCTGGCTACATAAAACGCATGTCTTCGTGCATTGTACCAAAATGAACATGGACAATCCTGTATGTCCGGAGCTGCCCACTGTCCAAAAATGGATGGTGTCCTTATATTAGCGTGCTTCCCTGTTTTTCAGGGATGTCGAAAAGAACCCAGTACAACTCCCGATGGAGAGCGGTGCTGCGGAAAGTCGACGACGACACAGTCCATCACTAAGGGATCGAGAAGTGGTGAGCAGGACAACCCATGTCTAGTTTTTTGCTTGCTGCTTCCCGCAGCTCGCTCCATGTTCCCTCACGCTAGAACAAAGAGATTTAAATTATCAGGAAATGTGCAGAGCCGTGCGCTAGCTCAGAAGACAAATGGTAGCTGGGCATGTGTGGTATGCGAGAAGTCGGAGAAGATCATGAACCTAAATCTCCTATAGCAAGCACTCAGAAACTTCTACACAAGTTTCCATGTCAGGCCGCGGGCTACGTTACAGTGCACACCCGCATCTCCCCTTTCTACCTCGAAAGCCTCAATGCTTTGAGACGTGCCTGGAGCTGTGCTTTTGCTTAAGAATAAGCAAAAGCTGCATAAATCGACGGCGTACTATCTGATGTCTGGACGGACCACAATGATTTCACAACAGCCGTCATGCGCTTTCTTGCCTTTGCCGCATTCTTGAGGTGCGTGCAGGTCGTATTGGACTGAGGTAGCGACGATGGTTGACAGCACCGCTTCCACTGGACAAGTCATCCAGCCTACATATATCTATGTATGTGTATGTATCGTCTAGTCATATCTCATAACCCATCCATCTATCATGCCATCTATTGCCCGTGTCTATACCCTCCATCTAAAACCCCAACTCCCCCGCGCACTCCTCAATCCCCTTCACCAGCCCCTCCACCGTCCCCCTCCTCGTGCTCCCATTCACCACAACCCTGAAAAACTTGCCCTTCTCTCCGGGCGCATAATCAATCATGAACCCCCTACTAATCAGCTTCTTCGCAACCTCGCTCGTCACCCTCCCGTTCTCTTCTTTATCTCCGGATAATTTACCATCCCGCGCCCAGTAAAAGCACACCTGCAAACAAGGTAAAGGATCGGGGCTGACGAATACAAAGTGCGGACTCGCCTTGATTAGGCTGGCCAGATACTCGGCCTGCTGGTACGCATTCGCCACAACCCCAGCGTAGTGCTGCTCGCCATAGTATTGTAGCGATAAGAAGAACTTGAGCGCATCGGCGCGCCGGCCACACTGCGGCGTCAGGTCCGCGAGGTCGTAGATGTCATCCACGCTCTCGCCTGCGTTGTGGAACAGATATCCTGCGGGCAGCGTCATGGCCTTCCAGAACTGGCGGAGGTCTTTTGCTAGCAAGAAGGAACTCGTCATGGGCACGCCGAGCATCTTGTGCGGGTTTACCGCGATGGAATCCGCCAATTCGACGCCGTCCAGCCGGCCTTTTGCGATCTCAGGATTGAAGATTACGGAGCCGCCCCAGCTACCGTCGACGTGCAGCCAGAGGTTGTGCGCTTTAGCGATGGCGGCGAGCGCGGGGAAGGGGTCGAAGGAGCCGAGGACGGTGGTGCCGGCGGTCGCGTTGATGAAGAAGGGCGTCTCACCCCTCCCTTTGCTTTCTTTCACCAACCGTTCCAATTCCTCTGGCACCATTTTCCCAGACCCGTCCACAGGGACAGGAATCACATTCTTGCTCCCCAGACCAAACATCTGCGCCGCTTTCTCGAGAGAATAGTGGCCATGCGCGGAAGTGAAGAGGGTGAATCGGCGGTCACCGTTTCCCTCCTCTTTGGTCTCAGGGTACAAAGTGTTTCGCGCGATGACGATGGCAGAGCTATTGGACGCGGAGCCGCCCGGCTGGGAGATGCCGCCGGCGTGCGAGGAGGTGTAGCCGAAGCGGTGGGCGAGGTGCTTCGTTGTGTGTTTTTCGACGAGGGTGAGCACGGGGGAGACTTGGTAGACGTGTGCCTTTTGCATATAGTTTATCAACACCTCACTCCCTTTACCGGGACAAAAATTTGGAAAGGGGAGGGCAATCTCACATTCGTGTTCAGCGTGGCGAGCAGCAGCTCCGAGACGAGTCCGACCTATCGTTCGTGCTTGTTAGAAGGGTAGTGATATGGAGAACGACTGACAACGGCATACCGCATTCGTGCTCGCATACAGCTTATCCAGAAACCCCTGGTCCCACGTATTGACGCTGTACCGTAGCACCTTCTCTACAATCTCCACCAACCCGTCCTTCCCGCCCGCCTGCTCCGGAATGCTCAAGTCCAGAATTTGCTCAAGTTTCTTGGGGGGATGGTGCTCCACGAGTGCGGTTCTGGGTCCGCCGCCCCGGATTGCCAGACCGTGACCGCTGTGCTTGGTAGCGGCATCTTCGTCTGCGGAGCGAATGAATGGAATGATCAATTCCTCGACTGCCTCGAGCAGCTGCAGAGCAATCAGCACCGGAACTCTCTAGTTACCGAGAAGGATGCGGGTTACCTCTTTGACCTCGTCTGCACGGTTTAGCGGGGCCTCGGCTCCGTCTCCGTTAGTTATACCAGTCATACTTCCGTCTTTGCAACAATAATGGGAAGGAGCGAAGAGCGAAGAAAATAACCAGGAGAACGAATAGGCACGGTCAATATGTACGCGTAAGGCAACACAAGGATGTCGACATCATCTTAAATATTTCCTGAGCGGAAGTACTGCCGGCAGAAAGCCTCACCGCCGCACCAAAGGTATCTAGATCGAATCAAAAGCCGTCCCAAAGTCCCCACAGAACGCCCCCAATGACTGCAAAGGCGCGTGCACCATACGTGCGTACCGCCAACGATGCAACTAGATTCGAAATTGTATAAACCACGCCAAAAGGACCAATCAATGCGCCGCAACGCTCGCTTTTGCTTTTTCTTTCCCTTTACTGCTGCCGTGCCTCTCGTGCTTTTCCTTCTTACTCTCTTTCTTGGCTTCCTTGGCGTCTCTCTTCGCCTTCTCGGTGTCCAATTTTGCCTTTGCCGCCTGCGACTCTGCCCACTTCTTGCGGGCCAATTCGATGGCGGAGAGATGGCCACCAGTCTTGCGGCCTTGGGACGGCGGCGTCATCTCGCCATTGCTTTCGGGGAAGGACTGGAAACCTTCGTTGCCGGCGGTGTAGCGAGCTTGCTTGACCCAGTCTGCGCGGCGCCGCCTGTACAGATCCATACGCCAGTTCCGCCATACCGCGCGACCGACGTGAGATTCACGTAGCGCGGCCTCGTTCTCTGCAAGCTCCTCGGCGATGCGCTCGCGGATGAAGGCCAGGCCAGCCGTGCCCTCCCAGATGGAGTCGATGACGTGAGATCCAGCGGGGTCCAAAGCTAGCTCACCAACATGTCCATAGAATTGCTGTATGACTTTTCTTCGGAAGATGACAGATGCATTGGGAGACACCAACGCGGCCTGCAATGTTCTCGACGCGGCTGGATCGCGGGCAATCCGCAGCGTCATGTAGTCGCCCAGGTTCGTGAACGAGTCGAAAATGAGATTCCCCAAAGGTCCCTCGACGGTCATCATGGTCTGTGCAAGCAACGATCCATGGACCTTGTCTGCCCCGGGCTGCTCGTGTTTCGCGTTGGACTTGCCGTCGTCTGAAGGAGCTTCGCCAAGTTTGAGTAAACGCGTGATTTCGAAGCCACTGGAGCCGCCGTACGCAGCTTGGAGCTGTGCAGCGATGGGCACAGTGTCTACTCCTCGCGCAACGCAGCGCTCGATAAGGGTTTTGATGATGGCTGTCCGGTTGCGCTCGACAAGGTTGGGAATCTGCTCGATGATCTGGCGGCAGGCTTCGTCGAGGTCGTCCTTACTGAGACGTTCCAGGATCCGCCCAGCAACGTATCCAGCAATCTCGTTCCGCGCAAGGCTGCCCATGCGCTGTTGGAAGAATTGTCTGTAAATGGACTTGAAGAGCTTTCCAGGGGCGTTTTCAAGGATCGTTTCCAACAGCCTGGAGCCAATAGCGTCGTATACAAGACCATTGATGAAGGATGCACTGGGGGTGTCTTCCTTGATGGGGTCATCCGGCAGCAGTTTGCGGATGATTGAGTTCTCGTCCTTTGCTTTTACTTTGCCGAAGAGGGTGAGCTCAAGCTTGAGCATCAACTGCAGGGTCGGGTTGCCGGTAGGATGTGTTGCAAGCATTTGAAGATAGTTTGTATCCAGGTTGGCCACACTGTCGTTGATGACCTTTTGTAAGGCGTCGGTGAAGGACTGCGGTACCTTCCTCTCGCCCAGAACGAGGTCCTGCTTTTCCGGCACCGGGACGCCGACCTTTTCCTTCTTTTTGCTGTGCAGCGTCGACTTGTTGCCTTGTCTCTCGAGCGGTTGGCCCGAAAGCACGACAAGCAGCACGCGCAGGACATGGGATGCGAAACGTTCTGTGAGGAGGTAGCCCAGGTATCCTTCCAGCTCGTCCAAGGTGAAGAGAAAGAGGTTCTCCATGGAGGCGACGACATCGTTGGGGTCCGACGAGGGCGGGGTGATGAGGTCGGGCTTGCGAGCTTCGTGCGTGACGACGGGCGCGGCTTGGATGAAGAGGGCCTCGCAGCAGTGCGAGGCAAAGCGGTGCTGGACGAGGTGCACGAAGCTGGCGACGTTAGTGCAAGGACAGACACGACGAACAGGTGGACTCACTGGCCGTTGAATTTCTGGAACAGGTCCTTCAGCTGCTTCGGGGTGGACACGAGGATCAGGCGCTCCATGAGGCGCGAGCACGACTGGCTGTTTGCGATTTTCAGTTCCTTGCCGTCGGCCTCACGGTAGACGCTCTCGACGAAGAGAGTGCGCTCGTCGGGCCCGTCGAACTGGTCGAGCTCGAGCATCTCGTCGGCTCGCTTGAAGTACTCTTGCTCGTCGTCGTCGAGCATGCCGTAGAAGGGCATGGCGCCGGGCCGCGTGACGCCATCGATGGCTTCGTCCTGGAACGGCTCGTCGTCGTGGGCGGGCGCCTCTTGGGCGGCGTCGCTCTGCCTGCGGCGCTTGGGCGCAGCATCGCCGTCGTCGTGGTCCCGCTTGCGCTTCTTGTCGTCGGCGCGGCGGCCGCGCTTCTTGAAGTCCTTGGGCATGGTGCTGGGTGCAGGCTGGGAGGACGGGGCTGGGCGGAAAAAAATAAGCAGACCCAGGCACGCTGGGCTCGGCTATCTGGGATGCGGGGATGCCAGATCGGAAGCCAGGCACGCCAACCTTGCAAGAGCGACGGCGCGGCCTTTTATGTCGGGCAGGCGGGCATGGGGCGCGAGAGCAGCGGCCGCCTCTGCGGTGCGAGCGGCACACGGCAGGACGACGATTAACGCGCTTTTCAGACCGTGGCCTGAGACTGTTTGCCACGAGGATGCTAAAGCGGGCTAGCAGCGCTGCAGACGACGGGCATGCGGTGTCAAACGGGCTGGCGGGCAGCCACCGAGCCTGTGCGCGGGCACGCCCATCGATCGGCGGATTTGGGCGCTGGCTGCTGGGCGGCCAGCCCTGAGGCGCCACGGCGAGCCCCACGCTGGGCACCGTTGGAGACACCGGCAGCTGTTGCCGCGGCCGGCACCAGCGCGCAGTGCACTCGCACGCAGGCTCGCATCGCAGCGCCGCGCACAGTACCGGCCACCATGGACGACGACCACGGCACCCGCGTCGCCGACTACCTCGACGACAAGCTGCAGACGCCCCAGGACCTCGACGCCCTCGCCGACCTGCTGCACAGCATCCACGCCCAGCACGGCCTGCTCAAGCAGCAGCTGCACGACGCCCAGCGCGACCTCAGCGACGCGAAGACGGCCGCCCGCGAGCACCACCACGCCCTGCAGGCCCGCGCCCGCGCCTTCCACGACGAGCAGGCCGACATTGACCGCCGCCTGCAAGTCGTCGCCGCCGCCGACACCAGCGACGACGCCGTGCCCCGCTTCGAGCGCATCCTCGACACGCTGCAGCGCCTCGACGTCGCCAGCGCATACGTCGACCTGCTGCGCGAGGTCGACGTGCTGAGGTGCGGCAGCGCGGCCCCTCGTAGACTCGCAACGCTGACACGCCCAGCCAAGAAGCCCAGTCGCAGCTCCAGACATCCAACGAGGCCGCCCTCGCGCCCTACAAGCAGCTGCGCGCCCTCCACACCCGCCTGCTCCGTCTGCAAGAGGACGCCGAGGGTGCTGCTCCCCAGCTGCTGTACCACGTGGACCAGATCACCCAGGCCCTGCGCTCCCAGATCCTGCACGCCTTCTCCGCCCATCTCGACAATGTCCTCGGCAAGCTCAAGTGGCCCGCGCCGAAAGCCACCATTACCAGCACGCTGCTTCCCGAGTGGGAGAGCGCGGTGCTCAAGCTGCTCGACCTGCAGCTCCCCGAGCTCGATGGCGTGCAGTACTCGCAGGCCGACGCGAGCAAGATCAAGCTCCCCGCCGTGCTCTTTCCCTTCCACGTCCTCGTGCAGCCCCTCGAGATGCGCTTCCGCTACCACTTTGACGGCGACAAGGCTACCAACCGCATTGACAGACCCGAGTACTTCCTCTCCCACATCACCACCCTGCTGAGCGACTACAGCGCTTTTGTTGTTGAGAATGTGCAGCCCCTCCTCTTGAAGCAGTTCCGCGGCACCGACCTCGCTTTGAACCCCGTCTACATTGATGCCATGTCTGCCTTCATCACCGCGCTGTTGCCCATGCTGAGGGCCAAAATCGGCACCCTTCTGCCCAAGGTGGCCGCCCAGCCCCAGCTCCTGAGCCACCTCATGCACGAGCTCATGAGCTTCGACACCACCATTAGAGAGGAATGGAGATACGACGGCGGCTACGGCGTCGAGGGGTGGAAGGGCCTTTCATGGGAGTTCCTTGTGCAGGGCGACTGGTTTGGGCGGTGGCTGCAGGTCGAGAAAGACTGTATGGACAACATGCCACAACCGCATTCGCATCGGGAACTGACTTCAGCATAGTCGCCTTGGCCCGCTATCAGAGTATTGTGGAAGCTCCAGATTTTGGGGATCTGGACTACGAGAGCGTCGATCCCAAAGCCACGAAGCCCACAAAGGGAGCGATCCGCGTCAATGACTTGCTCGAAACAATCACAGGTAGGGACGAGTGCGCCCAACATTGAGCTCACAGCTGATCAGCACCGTAGACCGTTACAGGCCCTTGACATCCTTCACCCAGAAACTAAGATTTCTGATCGATATCCAGATCACCGTGTTCGACAAGCTCGAGGAGCGGCTCCGCGGCAATCTGGAAGCCTACCTCACCCTGACCACGTCTCTAGGCCGTGCGATGGGCGGCGTGTCCAAAGAAGAGCAGGAGAGGCTGCTGGGCGTCGAAGGCCTCGAACGGCTTTGCAAGACGTACGGTAGCGCAGACTACCTCGAACGGGCAATGCGAGATTGGAGCGACGACGTGGTAGGTTGCCGTGCCGGCAGATCGACAGCCGACAGCTGACGCTGGACAGTTTTTCCTCGACATCTGGGACGAGCTGCAAGATCGTGCGCGCCGGGCCGGGAACATCGGCGCCATGTCTGTTGCAGACGTGGCAGAACGCACCTCAAAAGCCGTCGGCGGTGACAGCGACGGCGGCGCGCTCTTCGACGAAACCGCAGCGGCGTACTCGCGCCTCCGCATCCGGAGCGAGAAGATCATCACCGACACCCTAAACAGCAACGTGCGTGAGGCGCTGCGAGCCTACCGACACATGTGAGTCCCCGATCGGGCAATCTCAGCGTTGTCCCCTCCCAGCCCAGCCAAGTCGCCATGCTTACTTTTTCCCACCACAGCAACCCCTGGGCCACGCTTTCCGCTTCGAGCTCCGCGCTGGCCAGCACCGCTGAGCTCGACCCACTCATCGCCTATCTGACCACGACGCTGGGATTTCTCTCCCGCGCCCTCGCGCCTGCCCCGCTGCGCCGCATCGCGAGGAGCGCCCTTGCTACCGTGAGCTCCATCGTCTGGGACAACGTCGTCAGCCGGCACCGCTTTTCGACCGCGGGCGCCGCACAGCTGTCGTCAGACCTGCACGCCGTCTGTCATGTCGTCGACAAGGCGGTTGGGCCCGGCGTTGCCGAGGCTGGGCTGCGGCGCTGTCTCGAGGGCGCGCAGCTGCTCAACCTGCCCATCAAGGGTGGCAAGGCGCCGGCAGAATCCTCCGACGACACGGGCGACACTGGCTACGACTGGGAAGCCTGGGGTGCAGGTGCAGATGACGAGGGCGAAACGGGGGGTGGTACGGGGAGCGATGCCGGGGGTGGCGCTGTGCTTGGCGACGCCGACCTTGGGCTGTGGGAGGTCGAGCGGAGGCTGTTTGCGGACAATACGAGTGCGCGTGGGGTGCTGGAGGCGCTGGGGCTCGAGATGCTGAGTGAGAGCGAGGGGCGCGCGGTGCTGGGGCGGAGGGTGGAGCTCGCTGGGTAGAGGCAGAGGTCCGTAGAAGGTAGAGATAGACGGTGATGGGGACGTTTGTGGCGCGCGCAGAGGTTACACACACTGGCGAGCAAGACCCTATTCCATACAAAACGGCGGTCTATCATGACGACTGCATAAATGCTCTGCCCTGCAGTCTCAGCATACCCTCGGGGGCTCCATGTACCTGGAATCGTTCGCTGTCCATCAGAGCCTGATTGTCACCACTCGAAGCGATATGTCACTAAACACAGCGCCCAACGACCCGGTGCGGAGATGTTGTCCTGTCGTTCCTGCTTGAGTGATGCAGATCCATCACACACGGTGACCCTCGTTTACTCCAAATCTCAGCTTGGGCAGCATCTCAACTCACACGCGCCAAAGTCTAGCCCTCCGTCTCGCTCCGCGGAGCGCAGTCGCGTTTGTGTAACGCGTGTCCCGGGTGCTTAGCGGCAGGGAAATGCTCAGCGGAACAAGGACATCGGAGAGGGTACGGCGGGTGCGGGTGTACTTTGGCTGGACGGGGTTTGCTGTGTCACTGAAGGAGGTAGTACAACCAGCACAAAGATATTGTTGGCCAGCGTGGTGTTTTTCCTGCCTCGATGGCAAGCAGCGGGGAAGCGGGTTCAGAGTGTAGAGAAGGAAGGACGTCGGGGCGTGCAGGGCCTCTGGTTCTACGAACGAACGGGTTGGTGCAGTGCTGGAGTACCCCATCACATCCCACGGTGCTCAGTGCTCCCTCCCCGTCTGCGCGTCGTCCAGCCCTTCACTCCAGCTCGCTTCCCTTCCCATCCCCCATCGCCATCTCCGCCCCTCCCTCCTCCTCGCGCGCCCTCGCCCACGCTGCTGCATCCATGACCTCAAGACACGTCGCACATTCTCCGCAATTCGGACAAGCGTCCTTGACGAGGCCATTGTGCGGCTTTAGCAGGTAGTGGGCTACTTCCGGGGTACCATACAACGGACTCGTCTGCAGCTCCTTGTCTGAGGCGGGCCAGGGGAAGGAGGAGGTGTGCGTGCGCGGCGCGGGCGTGGTGCGTGTGTGGACCTGTATACCAGAGAGCTGACCAGCGCGGATGGCGTTGGCATACCAGCGGGGCGTGGTGAGGGAGGTGTGGTCGATGTCTTCGAGGTAGATGGCGCGGGGTGGATGCTGGGACGCGGGAGGGTTGTCTGCGTCCGCATCGTCTTCCACGCCCTCCTCAACCTCTTCCACGTCGTCACCATCCTCGTCCTCCTCGTCCTCCTCCTCGTCCTCCTCCTCGTCCTCCTCGTCCTCCTCCTCGTCCTCGTCCTCGCCCTCCACAAACAGCCTCCCCCTCTCAACAGACCTGATGAACCTCACCAACCCCTCATCGATCATCTCCGCCTCCTCCTCGCTCAGCCGCTCAGCCGCAACAAACACAATCGCTTCCCACTCCGGAATCCTGTCCCCAAAAACCTCCCAAAGATACGCCCCAAACTCGCTCCTCGACGTGCCCCACCGCCCCACAGCATCCGTCTTCGGATCCAGCCCATTCCCCGGCCCGCCCTTGCCCTCTGTCGCCGGCGCGCACAGCATCACGTCGCTGATGTCCACTGTGAAGACGGGCGTGTGGATTTCCTCGGGGTAGTACATTTCGCTGCGGTACCCCTGGACCTCGACGGCGCCGTAGAAGAGGAGGCTTCGTATCGTGCTGTCTTCGCCGGGCAGGATGCGGTCGAGGTCGAAGCCGGTCACGCGGCCGTCTTGGAAGGCGACGTGGCGCAGCACGGGGGAGGCGCCTATCATGGTGCCGATGAGGTTGGGAACGGCGTCGCCGGAGCCCGCGAGGGCGGCGTCTTCGATGACGAGCGAGTGCAGGCTGGGCGAGGAGCCGGGGAAGAGCGTGTCGAAGTCGAGGTCGTCGACCTCGTCGTTGAGTTGCTCCGGCGTGAGAGTGAGGCCGTTGAGGTAGAGAGAGTCGAGGTTTGGCAGGCGGAAGAGTGGGAGGGCTTGCTCGGAGAAGATGCGGTATGTGGATTCTGGAGAGGCGACGGCTCTGGAGGGGACGCCCACGGCGATGCGGGATAGCGAGGAGAGACCAGGGGACCAGGAAAACTCGTGCTGGGCTGAGATTGCGGCGACTAGGAAGTCTAAGCTGGACTGGTGGTGTCTGCATCGAGCAATGTAAGTCCTTGAACAGATCCCGGTAGAAAACGCGGACGGAAGCTTGACTCACCGGTACAGCTCCTCATCTTCTTCGTCAACGCCTAGGTCTGCGTCTGCGTCACCTCCCTCGCTGTTCGGCTCAGCATACTTGACAAACCTCACGGCCTGCAGGTTAGGACAAAGCGCGACCAACATCCCCTTCAGGGCGCCATCATCCCCCTCCTCGATCTTTTGCCTCCAACTCTTGCAGTCCTCAACACAGAGCCGTATCTTGTCATGCATGATCCTCTCGAGAGCATCCAGTTCATGTGGCTTCAAGACGAACTCTTCATCCGCTGCAATATCCCCGTCACCCGGCGGCTCTGTCCCTCCACTCCCCTCGGCACGTGAGTGATTAGGAAGTAGGATAGCAAACGGCTTCCAGTCATCCCAGGACACTCTCTGTCCCCAAAACTCCAGCGCCAACACATGGGAGATAGCAACCGGATCCTTCAGCAGAGCGCGACAGAGCGTCGGCAGCGTCTTGGGAGAAATGTCCGACGTTGCCCTGTAGAGGTCGTGGCACTTGCGGTGCCGTGCCATAATTCTCTGCGAGCAGTGCGCGAGATATCTGCATGATAGCGCTAATTGGAGGTATGCGAGCCAGTCGCTGAATTCGAGGATCTGGGTGATGAGCTCAGGGGAGAGGTCGGTTAGACGGGCCATCTTGCTCGCTGGTCCGTAATGGAGAGTGTGATGGATGGGGAATTTGTTTCGCCTCCGACATGTGCCAGTGTAAGGTTTCTTTCGCTTGAAATTCCAGTGGATAGGACGGCTTTAATAGGCAAGGCAACTGTAGGAGATACACCAGAGGATCGAGGAAAAGCTTGGACTTGGCGCTCGCTAAAACTAAATTCGTTCTCTTGTCTTGGCCCCTATTCCACCATGAAGACAGACTGCGTAGTCGAAATAGGATTGTCTCACCAGCGCTAGCCCCCACCACACCACCGCCACCTCGTTGGGAAGCAGCCAATCAAGGGGACCGGCGCTCGTTCTCGGAACATGAAAGCCCTATTTTATTTCACGCTCCTTGCGATCTCTCATGGCTTGAACTGTTTTCTTGATGTCGTCACCAGCGAAAAGCATGACCACAAAAGACGCCGACGGAAGAAACAGTATTGCAATCACAATGAAGACAACCCACCAGTGAGGCGTCCCACCGTTGATCTCTTGAATATTCATCCCGAAGATGCCTGTAGCGAGGGTTAATGGGAGGTAGATTGCAGCCAGCAGCGTAAGCTGGGTAGATCTCTGGGCCTGCTTCTTGTTGAACTCGGAGTCTTCGATGGCAATTGCGGTCGTCAAGGTTTGAAAGGTCTCGCAAAGCTGAGAAGACAGCTCTTCGGCTTGTTGCTCCAGCCGTGATAGCACGCGTAGTATGATTGAAACATCGGCCGAAAGAGAGTATTGCTCCTCCTGGATCCAATCGATCTCAGGATATTCGAGTTTGACTATCACCATCACCTGGCTAAGTAGCTTGTAGTTGTCGCTAGGGTAATTTTTTGTAACTTCTCGTAGCCGTATTACATCACTGAGCACCTGAAGGACCAAGCTGCGACCCTTGCTGAGGCGTTGGATGACCATTTTGCTTGGATTGGCGGTTGCGTCGGTATCAAGCTCTCGTGCAACGGTAGCCAACTCGCCTAAGTTTAGATGCCACGTCGTCAAATCCATCAGAACTTGGAAGGAGGTCTTCATCACCAAAAGATCGGCAGGGTATTCTACCATGGATAGCAGGATTTCCTCGGTTGGACGAAACCTTAACAATGCTTGGAAGTGTTCCATTGATTCGCGTTTGGAATTCCATATGGGCAAGTTCAATCCTGGCTTCCGTTGAGCACGAAGACCCGATTCATGCCGAGCCAGTCTGGGTAAGTCGACCACGTCTCGGGTAGTCGCCGAAGAATGGTCTACAAGAGCAAAGACTTTCTTCGTAAGCAGATGCAACAAGAGTATAACGCTTCTCTAAACATACTTATTCTTCCCTCCAGGGTGGTCAAAGAGACTTGCACAGCCCGAGCGTTGGGGGTCTCGTACGAATCCTGAACACTAACCTTGCCAAATTGCAAAGTACATGCTATAGACCAATATGACTGGGTCTCCGCTGTCTTTCCCGGCGGGTCAGAACTTTAGACAGCGCATAGATGATTTGCAAAGAATCCAGGCTCGATGCCGAAGCGAGAACCCAGTTAGCAAACAGCTTCGAGATCCACACCCTGATACAAGGCAACTCCACCAGTCTTGTAGAGACGATACCCTTTATTGCGATCGACAGCGTCAAAATGTGCCGTTTGGTCCTCGATTCCCTCGGAAACTTTGAAATTGAAGATACCCTCATTGCCTGAATGCTCTTTGTTACGGATTTCACTTTGCCTTGCAGAAGTAAGACCTCTGTCGCTGAAGTGCTCCTCGGTAAGGCGCAGATTATTGTTTTCACAGTATTCCCAAAAGCGCTCCAGGTAGGCTTCCCTCTTCTCCTTGTCCTTTACAACTCCGCTGTTACCGCAGCAAAATCAGCATCGGGCGCTGTTGCATCTGCCGTTCCGCCGAGACCTTTTTCCACATCGTCGTTCCGCGTGGTCATCTTGGAATTCCGTGGCCAAACGATATATATGAGAACGAGAGCCTCTCGTTGAAAGGCAATAATATTCTCGGCAGTAGCAGTAGCTGTGGTGTTGTTTTGTTATGGTCCATCGCAGATGTTAAACCTCAGCCCGGTTGTCAGCTTTCAGCCTTGCGGTTTCGTCATCATGCAGGTTTGAACGAGGTACTGTTACACAACAGTCGCTTCGCAGCCAATCTTCAATCTGGATCGCAGCAGACGAAATCATCAACAAAGACTGATATCAAGCAAATCACGCGTGTAAGTGAAGAAGGGCAGTGTAAAGGAGCAGAGTGAGAATGACAAACGCGGCTGAAATAGCTCTGCGCCTCATCCTGCCTCAAGCGCCGCCTCAGCAATTAGCTAGCTCCGCACCAAAAAGCCCAGGTTCAGCGTGCACTATCGCTGCTGCAACCGAAGGCACAGCATGAGATGATAAATGGGATTCAAGCGACGAAAAGGTGGCCGAAAATAAATTTAACGTTTGTTCATTCCACATCGTAAAGTCATTCGTACAACAGACAGACATTACTACATCCACCCGTTCAACCTCGCAAACATTGGTCGAATCTTCGTATTCCAGCGGGCGTCCAGCCTAGACCACAGTCCCGGGGTCTCTTCTCTCCCAGGTTTCTGCTGACGAATCTCATCTTCCGGCATCTGCTCAGGCACGGCTACGTCCTCGCTTCTAGTTGGAGAACTTCTCGGGGACCTTCTTGCCGGTCGCCTTCTCGAACATGTTGCGAGCGCCATCGGTCTGTCCCGCAAGTTAGCGCACAATTCTTCCAGATGTTATAAAGGGAGAGAGAAAGGGAGACCATACGATCTTCTCGTTCACACCGCGGTTCTTGTCGGGGTTCGCGCCCCAGGAGCCGCCGAACTTCTTCTCGGCGGCGTCGAGGCCCTTGTCAAGGTAGTCCTTGTTGCCCGCGCCGGCGTTGTTGGTGTTGGAGTTCATGGTTATCAAGTGTGCAGAGTGGGTTGTTTGTGAAGTGGAATTGGGACTGTCGCAAGAGATGGATAGGTGAGTTTATGAAGGGCAGGACGGGAGGATTATATAGCACTGGGGCTGGGCTGGGGACAAAGCAGCGCATGTTGGAGGCAGGCTAGGCTAGACGTTATCGGTGATGCCATTGCGACCAGTCGGCCGCGCTCCCCCCGCCAGCTCAAACCCTGCATCCTGGCTGCGCAGCGAGAAACTTGGCTCGAAGCTTGTCGCTGACGTCGGACGCAAGGGCGTGCTCCATGCTTCGCTTTTCAGGTTCGCTACAGATGATCTGGTATCGGACCGGTGCAGTGTGTTCTGCGCTGGAAAAAGGGTACTGTGACGTTGGAGGTGAGGGAGGTGACGTCATTGTATCGAGGACCCTGCCAAGAAGCGATGCGCGCCGCTGGCGGTGACGAGGAAATTGTGGGGCCAAGGTGCGGAGCAAGCTGGTGAAAGGCAGACGGCGCCGCGTAGTGAGAGTGCAGATGCATGAACCGGTGCTGAGCTATTATCCAACACGGCCTTTCAACAGGCATGCATGCGTGCGCCGTGTGAGCGTAGCCTTCGTGCAGGAGCGGGCCAATTGGTAACCACACTCTTCCTGGCCGGAGAATGGGAACCTTTTGATGATAGAGAATTGAAGAGTAGATGCTACGTAGCCCCAGTCTTCATCTACTTGCTCGGTAGTATCATGCACATGTTAAAATATAGTCTCATGTGTATAAAAGTAGTCAAACTGCCACACTGCCGCTTTAAGTGGGTCCAACTCACGACCTCACCAGGTAGCCCTGTGAACAATATCCACCAGTCTAAACACCATAGGAACACGAGCTACGCTGTAAAGTCAACAGCCTTCTACGAGTACACGACCACGTCCCAGAAGCAACGGCCAGTATAATCTATTTCCACACTCACAGCAGCCACCCAACGCTCGTGTGAACAAATTCACGAACAGATCCCCTTACCCAACCCCAACGCCTACAAGCACATACCTTCTCCCGCAGCAACAAGCTATGCACCCCTCTCATCCCACATCCTCGTGCATGCGCACGTTTTCCACCTCAGGCAGGCATGCGCTAAGCCGCGTTCAGTGCACCCACATATCTGCCCAGCCCAGGCCCACGTCCGTCCTGTTTGCTCGCCTTCCCAAAGCAGACGGCTGCCTTGAGTGTGAAATTTGCTTGCCAGGCTGGCCTTCAGGAACTCTCACCCACCATCCTCGTCGCTGCTGGTAGTTGCTGCGAATCGTTGTCTGCATTACCTTGTAAGAATATAAGCGATATGAAGATGAAGGGGCACGGCACCGTGATGGACGGAAGAGCCGCACGTACGACAAGCACAAGCACGCAAACGGGACACCCTGATGAACACACTTGTTTGATTCCTATTTTACTCATCTCTCACATCCTCCCACTGCTCTCGGGTATCTCGTCTCACCGGGTATAAAGCCTAACTGCAACAGCAAGGCCGCAGCCACCGCACGCACATGTCGAAGAAAAGGGGCCGTTAGTGTTTCACATTGTTCACTCAGACAGAACAGGAAAACGACAGAGAATAGGACAGGACAGAACCCACCAGGCCGTAAGCAAGCAACGCGCTTGGGGTTGACGCAAGCCTGAGCACCCAATCTACCCCGTAACGCCGATGCCAAAGGATAAGATAAGACAAGACCGAAGGAAAGGAGGAGGAAATCGCTAAAACGCAGGACGACAAAAACGACAAAAGGGGGTGTAGAATACAGACAAGAACGTCAAGCGTGGCACAAGCACAACACAAAACGGCGTCGCGCAGCTCTACTCTCCTCTCCGCTCAGACAGGTTTAGAACACCATCTACGCAGACGGCAACTGCCCAAACTGATTAATCAGCGAGTGCAACAAGCCACAGAAGATACCATGCAGCCAGACAAAAAAATCCTCCATGCCGACAATCTCGACGAGGTTCTTCGCCTTCATCACCTCGCTCGAAATTCGCGGGTAGCCGTCCGGATCGACCTTCTTTGCAGATAGGAACGACGAGACGGGCGTGATGTTGCGGGTAGCCGGCGAACTCGCGACGGAGGAGAAGGGGCGGTCCTTGACGGGGGAGGTCTGGAAGACGGGCATGGAGGAGGCGGAGGTGCCCAAGGGGGGTGTGGAAGTGGCTGGCCGGATGAGGGGCTGCGAGGCGGCGCTGTCTTTTTCGAGGACGCGGTCGGCAAGGGCGACGATGCGGTTGGCGATGGACTCGAAGACTTCGGTGATTTTGACCATGGCTTTTGTGGCGCGGAGGCCGTCGCGGCCGGCCATGGCGATGAGGGCGTAGGTCCGCATTGCGCCGCGGGCGCGGGGGTCGCGCAGCCGGAAGACGTAGGCGATGGTGTAGCCGGCGTGCGAGTCGCCGAAGAACATGGGTCCCGCGGCCTTTCCCATGGGGAGAGTTTCGGTGGACAAGGTGCGGATGCAGGTCCGTCGGAGCAGCGAGTATGTTGCTGGTGACTGTGGCTGGCTGGTCGAGACGTAGCTGAGAGTATGCGTATGCATCCCCCGCGAGTACATGGGTGAGGCAGGGACCGAGTCCGGGAACATCTGCGAGCGGTTGCTGTCGAAGGACTTGGACTGCTCGGTGTCGGAAGTATCCGATGAAGTCGAACTACTCATGTCGTCGCAAGCGCTGGAGCCGCGCACTGGGAAGTTATGCGAAGTCCGTAGCACCGGGCTTCCATTCCGACCACGACCATCTTTGGAGGGGCTTCCTGGTGCACCATCCGGAATCCTGGCACTGACCTTCTTCGGAACGACAATCTGGCAGTTGTCGCAGACGTCGTTGTCGGTGCTGTAGGTGCTGCTCGGTCTTCGGCCGCCGAAGCTGCTGTTGGAGGCGGGGAGACTGGGAAAGTAGGGATTGTGTGATGGTGATCTCGGGCTAGTAGGTGGGGTCTCCAGGGGTGATGTGAGCTGTGGTATGCGGCTGCCCAATTTGAGCGCCGACGGAGGCTGCTCATACAGGCCGTTGTAGGAGAGCTGGGGATGCGGCTCTTCGGAAGGTGGGGTCACGCAGGGGTTGCAGGAGCCGCATGGCGAGGGAGAGGCTTGTGTGCAGATGATGGATGTCGGGCCGTGGACCTCGCAGAAGTGTGCGAGCGAGATCTGGTTCATGTCAGTGGCCGGGTCAACAAGGTCACACGGCACGCGGGCATCCAGCAGGGCGGCAACGGCGCAGGCGGGGGTGCGGAGGGAGACGCGGGGGAGACTGACCGTAAAGTCCATGTTTCCTCCTCTGTATTCGCTCTACGGGCTCATGGTGTGCGGGTGGGCGCGGCAATGGGTTGGGGCGTAGGTGGCTCAGCTGACTCCGGGGTGCGCCGGGGAGCGTAGTTGGCGCGCGGAATGCTGTGGTGGGTGACGGCTGGTCGCTCTGAGTGGTGAAGGTGCGAACAGAGTCGCCAGGTACGGGTCCACAGGTCTCGGGCGTGCGAGGGGCGGCGATGTCGCGTGCGCGGGTGCTGGTCGTGGTGGTGTGGAGGAGACTCGGGGTATATCTAGCCGCAGTCGCAGGCGTCGGGCGGCGCAAAGTGCCGAGGACAAGGATGGCGGCGCAGGGGGATTTGCACGCAAAGAATGTCGCTCTGCGCTGCTTCGAGAAGAGAGACAGGCTCGCGGCGGGCGAGGGATTTAGATAGACGGGCATATGGGGTCGGCAGCAACTAGAAGGGCGCGGAGAGAGATGCACGACCCGCAGTGCTAGCAGGGGTCGATCTGGCGGTCAAGACTCCAGTCCTTCCACGCCGTCCCCATTGGAACAGCGCCCGCAGTAGTGCCACCGCACCGACATGTACCCACGGCGCCTTGACATGTGCGAGCGCATACACAGCGCCACTCTGTGCGGCCCTGGCGCACGGCCGCGTCTTCGAGTATCAACTGCCTGGACGTGCCCGTCCTGCCCAGCGGTTTGCAATAATATGCCGCGTTTGGGCTGCCATGGAACGCTGCTCCGCGTCGCTCCAGGACGCACGCCCCCAGCGGAATGTCTCCGAGGGCGCTCTCGCACCACCTGCTTTCTCTCCCAATGACGCAGCACCATCTCGGTGCATTCTGCCGGGGCTCGATGAGGCTGCACACGCAGTCCGCCGTCCGATCAGGAAGCGTGCAACGGCTGCATCCGGACGCGGATCGGCAGGGTGAATGTGGTAGAGCAGAGCCCCTTGATTGCATTCAACGTCATGCCTCGAAACACCGTGTCGTGTGCTTCGCGGCCGCCCTGTCTCGATCGAGCCACTTCTTGCTCGCGTCTCATCTGGCATCCGGCAGGCGACTCCGTAGCTGCTCATCAATACCTCATACATTCGAGAAGGACCTGGAAAGCACCAGCCCATCCACCATGGCCCAGTTCTGCTGCTTGCTGCTGCGTGCGGCGGTGCATTCGCAGGTACTGCCACTGCTACTGCACCTTTGACTGGCAGCCGCTCCAGACGCGTTGCGCATGCAAGCAAGAGTGGGGTCGATAGTCTCCTGCTACACCCAATCCACCCTACGACCGCGCCTCTCCTCGGACGTCGTAGTCCGACGAGTAACCCAGTGGCTGACGCCCACCCCAAGAGTTCTCTTTACGTGACGGCTTTCCACAAGCATTGCTCGCGCGATGAAGCTCCACCCCGCCAAGTGGGCCGCCACCTCCCACCTTCCAGGAACATTCTTTTGCATACCATCAAATCAACCGTGCACCCGGCCCTACCGCCCTCGCAACCGCTGCAGGGTCCGGAAGATTTAATCTACCGTCGCTGACACCCTGTTTGCGCGCTCTCGTGCCGCGAGAATCTTGTTGGACCAGCGTTGGTGGCACGCTGCAGTTGACGCTGCTGCCGCCGACCAGGATGCTGCTCGTTGTTGGTGGACCCGTAGTCGGAACATCAGGATGCAGAGAACCAGTCTGGGCCGCACAGAAACATTGGCACTCGCTTCTGAGCTAACAGTGGCATTAGTCCACGCCCATTGAGCTATTTGTAACAGGTGAAAAACGCTTTCGGGCTCTAGGCGCAGAGCAGAAGACATCTGGCCGAAGCACCGCACCAGGTGATCATGCACTTCAATCAACTACGGAGGCACCCTGGGGTGCCCGAAGCGTTCGAATTGGCCTCTCGTGCCCCCGCTGCATATCTCTGTTTGACAAACGTGCAAGGTTACTCAACATCTGACACACGGAAATTTCCCAAGATGCAGCTGCATGAAGACAGCTTACATCAGGTCTAGGTGCATGTGTCAAACGGGCGGCCAAGTGCCACAGTAGATGCATGGGCTCCGGATCTGGTAATTTCTCCTGTTGACACGTACAAATGCGGGCTACAAACAGTGCATTCTACATGTCGTCGCCACCTCCATCGTCCGAGTCGTCTTCGTCTGGAGGACGACCCCGGAGTATGTCGTAACCCATCAACTCGTTGAGAAAGCTTCGAGAAGCCACAACCTCCTCATAACGGTCCTTATCGTACGGAGTAAACTCCATGCTCTGTGCGCTCATGCCCTCGACGATCACCGGCGTCCAGATCTGGTCCAGCTGCGTTATACCAATACTGCTGCACGGGATATCGTCCAGCAGCGCATGCGATGTGACGCCCAGATCTCTCCAGTGTTCTCGCCATCTTACGTTCTCGTGCGGCGACAGCCGAGTGATGAAGGAGTGGAGCAGCCGTCGCCGCTCACTGTAATTTTCGCAGGCAAGCAACTTTGCCACCGCGCCTACGCCCCCAAGAATCAAGACAAATGCAATGTCCTCTACACACGCCGGCTTTCCGTGCCAGCCACGCAACACTTTCTCAACAGATCCAGCATACGTCGGTGGCCGCAGCTTCCGCATGAGCACCTGCAGGATGAAGCAGTACATGTAGAAGCACTGCAACCGCAAGGGTGGATCGAGGCTCTTCAGTATCTTGCGTTCCTGGCTTGTGATACCAGGCGTCGTACAGATATCATATCCAATGTGAGAGCGCGGGCGGATGCGCCCAAGATCCCGCTCCAACAAGATTCGTCGGTGCTCTTCCAGGAAGTAGCCCACACCAAAGACAAGCGGGATCATCTTCTCGTACACGGACGCCCACATCTCCTTTTGACGCTGATTGGTGTGCCTGAGCGTATCTTTCAGCACGAAGGTGGCCAATTCTCGGGTCAGCCGTATGGAAGCGATGTGTCGTCGCCTCATGGCCACTGTGAGGGATGAGCTTTCATCTTTTGCATTCAGTGTCTCGGTGTCACTCACACAAGTATTGCAGATGGGCCTCATTGGTCCTGGGAGGCGGATAGAGCTTGGTATGAAGCGATCCCATCTTGTGCTTCACCCAAAAGCGGACCAGAGCTGGCCCGCATGCTGTGACGAGTTCATTGAGCGCCCGTGAAGCTCTGCGAAGAGCAAGTATATCCGCAATGAATAGCTCGCACAGGATCTGGACGAGCAGCTCGTTCGGCAGAAGCAGCAACGCCCTATACAGCCGACTACACGATGGATCAGCACAACACCCTCCTACTGCGTACAGTACGCAGCACAAGTGGGCCGAGGTTGCGTACCTTCCATTCTGCGCTAACTCTTCTCCCAACCCACTCCGTCTGACGCTCCGGAACGAAGCAATAAGCTTGTGCTGGAAGCTCTCGGCCGCCCGTCCAAACCTCAAACTCTTCCTCCCGAAGGATCTGTCCTTGTCTCCACCGATCACCAGCGGCCGCCCGCTGCCGACCGGAGAGCTAGTCCGGCGAAACCTATCCATCTTTTTCGCAGCCAGCTCGGGACTGGCACTCGCGCAGCCGAAATTGGCCGATCCGATCAGATCACGAACCGCTGGTCAGACGAGGAAAGGGCAGCGCTATGCATCCGCCGGCCGCAAGGCATGCTAGCAGCTGCTGAACTGGCAGCCAGAGTCGCACGGCGGCAGACGAACACGAGAATGGAGAGGAGATGCGAAAGGAGCGGCAACGTGGACGCGCGCATGCGCGCTGCGGAGTTCAGTTTTAGGCTGGCATGGACGGCACTGGACTGGTCTGGCTGCGCGCGGGCCATGTCCATCTCTCCCTCCAGCGTGCCCGCCGGTAAACAAGCCGTACGCTGGAAGCATGACATGGATCTGCGGGACCGGGCTGCCCGCCTGCCACGAGGGAAATCTGAAACGCCGTGGCAGCTTTGCCGGGGCGGGCTAAAAATACGAACGCTAGATCCCACCACTCGCAACCGATTGCAGAGCGGACACGCGCCAGCCTGGGAAACCGCGTCAATGCTCTCGCTGAGGGTGCTGAGACACCGCTCTGCGTCTTCAACCAGGTCCATCGCAAGGTGCATGAATGTCTGCTCGACGGCTGCCCGTCACATGCCCTGCTGCGCGTACCGAGCGACATTCTCTGACAGCTGTACCACGCCCGCTTCCACGCATGGCGTGCAGGTGTCGGATGGGGAAGGCGGCGCGTTTTCGTGGCTTGTCGTTGTGCGTATCCGAGCTGTACAATCCAATTGCGCGCCTGGTGCGACGGGAGCGTCGGGAATGCGGTGTGAGGGGACGGCGGTTAGCGAGGGCGAGGGGATGGGTGTCAGGCTGTTCGAGTAATAGATGTAGGTGGTAGGGTGGAGAGGGCCGAGCGTAAGGGGAGTGAAAGTACCGTTATTGGGGGGTTGTCGTTGTGCGTACCGTATGCGAGCCGTACATGTACGATCCAATTGCGCGCCTTGTGCAACTGCAATGTCGGGCATGCGGTGCTCGCTGTAACGGGGCAGGGCGAGGCGAGGGCGGAGAGATGTGTACCGCATGCCTCGCTCAGCTTGCCCAAATGTTGAAGTCGCGGCGATGATCTAGCATTGATTCCCGTAGAATGTACCCATTCACAGCGCACGCATCCATCTCCACTCCTCCATCCCTCACCTTCTTATCCGTCTCTTACGCGCACGTAGCCCACACGCTTCATTACACAGAAAACCGCTATGACTTGGCGATAGCGTAGGATACAAAATGAACAGTGGAAAGCAAACCGGGGGCGCCAAGAGTATCGGGTACATTTCAATTAGATACCACAATGCACCGAAAACCCAGTACTTCAATCCGGCCAGTCCGGAACCGTGACCTCTACCCACGGAGTGAAGACATGGACGACGTGGTGTACACGGAGTGAACAGCAAACCTAGTCTAATCGCGAAAAGGCAACTCTGTCCACACCCCCTCCTCAACCCCCAGATAACCCCCCGCAAATCTTCCCCACCAGCAGAACAAGAGTAGATGGAGTATTTGTATCGTACCGCCCCGTCCGTCTTGTGGCACGTCGCACAAACTCGGACCCAAGCACAACGCAACTCACCCACACAGCATGGCCCGCCCCATCGTCCTCTCCGCCCGCGCCATACAAAACATGCCAGAAGAATCCTTCCCCTCTACCACCCCCGGCGGCAACGTCACCTGGCGCACGCTCCTCTCCTCCCCTTCCACCCCCAGCACCGCCCTGACAACCGGCCTCGCGCGCTGTGCGGCCCAGGGCGGGCAGTTGAAGTGTCACCGCCACTCGCACCCCGAAATCTACTACATTGTGTCTGGGCAGGGCGTTGTGAGTATCAAGGGGGTGGAGAGGGCGGTTGGGAAGGGGGATGTAGTGTTTATTCCGGGGGATGCGGTGCATGGGGTGAGGAACGATGATGAGGGTGAGGAGTTGGTGTGGTTGTATGTTTTTGCGGCGGATGGGTTTGGGGAGGTGGTGTATCAGTTTTGTGGGGAGGGGGCGGGAAAGGCGAGGCTGTAGGGTGGGGTCGAGTGGGTGGTTGAGGTCAGGTGTGCGTCAACTGCATGGGCATTGTGCGAAGGGCTGGACTGAGGCTCTGGGACTGGCGGCGTGATTGCGTGGCTTTTCAATGGTGGGTATCTAGTGATAGAGTAAAACGCTTACGCTTTGGGAAGATGCATACCGTTTCGTATGTGTGCATACTTAATCGTACATATGCTTACCTTTTGTCGATGTATAGGTCGAAGACCCTTTCTTCGTGACACGACTGAATAGCTTGACTAAAGGGTGGGTTACAGGTCGGTCAATAGGCAGGAACTGCGCAACGGAGACGTGAAGCGATTCCTTCTCACCGGTCATTGAAATCATAGAGTCCGCCATCAAAAGCAGCCTGCGCTGAGCAGATTGTTATTGAAATGATCAACCAGTGCCACTGGAGACCTTCCAATATCACCCAGTGCTCAAAGCAGGCCAGACTGCAACATCCCACTGCCAAGTACAACGGATACACCATGGGTTCCATTTGTCTGTAGGTGCCCGCAAGGAGGGAGTGTTGGAGAATCGGAGTCACTTGTGAACCGTGGCTCTAGGTATCGACGTCTCTCAACATCGTCTTAACCATCCCAAAGCCTCAACACGGGCTGGGACGACCCTCACTACAAAGATTCAATTTTCTTGCAAACGCGTTTCAAAACCATATCATTCCAACACACGATTGGTCTAGGCATCAGCTGGGACAGGGGAAACATCCACGGTGTATTCAAGGAGATAATCCATTCTTGTGACAAAGGAGACTACATGTTGCTAAGCCCCAAAAGCACGTTCTATGTACCACACTTATTCCTCCAATAGCATCCGAACAAAAGAGAGAAAGAAAAAGACAAAGAACATGATCGTGCGCACATACACTCCGACCCCCACACTCCCTCCCCGTGGGCGGCCCGCAGGCACCCACGAGCGCCTCCCGGATGTCTTCCACGGTGCCTGGATCGCCACAAGTCTTGGAAACGAGCAATGCAGCTTAAGATATGCCAGAAGTTCAACACCACCTGGCCAGCATAGACTGACCCTGCAAACGCTGGGCATTGTTGGGTTTCTCCCTCGGCTTCTCGTGGACAGTGCGCAGATGTCTTCTCAGACATGGCCGCCGTCTGTATGTCCGACCGCATACGCAGCATTCGTACAACCCTTCCGCGTTGACTTCTCTTTTAATTCCTTGCGTAGCAAAATATCCGCTAGCCCAGCGTTTGTTTTTGTCGCCTTCGTTGCGCGCTGCTACGTCTCGTGACTGCATGCCTGGGCCGTATCCATCACCAGAAAACAGCATTGCAGACTCCGTACTGTTTGTTATCGATCAGTCTCTGTGTGAGCCGCTGGGCTTCACTTACTCTAGCATGGCATGTGTTTGATGATACACATAGGAGGCTCCAGGAATCGCTGTTTCGGTATGGACTCTTCCAGTAACAGTAGTAGGCGGAGACAAGTCAAATCTGCTGCTACTGGTTGGATCAAATGCTGCGAACTCGCTATGCTGGCTCGTCGCGTACATGCCGCTGGGTGGCGCACAATTGGGGAGGTAGTCTGAGGCGGAGCTCATGCCGTACTGGACTGGGTTCTCGGATCTGCACGTATTAGAGCCACAACACTCTGGTAGACACGTACTTTTGGCGAATGTCAATAGACTTGTTCGAGTCTAGCAGGGGAGGGTCATCGCTGTGTCGCAAAATTCTTATACCGCGCTCTCACGGTACAAGAACGTTTGCGAGCAAGGATTAATGCTTACACTCGACATTCCATCAGAGTGCAGCGGACAGGCGGAGATTTTGCAACATCAGGTGCAAGGCCGGTGTGCGCAGGACATTCATTCTCAGCGCCTAGAAAAACAGTGGCCGTGTCCATATTCTTGGCCTGCATTCTCAGTCGAATGCAGTCCTTCCCACCTCCCCTGACTTTGCGCAGGCCCCATGTCCCATTTTTGGCGAAGGCGTTTTCGTGAGATGTTTTTCTAGGCTGGGACTTCACAGGTAGTGTCTAAACTAACCTGCCTCCAAGATAAGCTCAGTCCACGGGGGGGAAGTCTTGCGTTCGCTGCTATCGTCTTCGGCCGCGATCTTCCCCGGGACTGACAGTTTAGTACTTATAACGGGGTTGGAGTGCTTACGAAGGCCATATATGTTCATAGGTGGTAGGTATAGCAGGCGATAGATTATATCCCTGCGAAGCTACGTAGGTTGGATTCAGCGACCTGTCGGCGAGAGGCTGGCGTCCAAGCGTGTAGGCCTGGGTCTCGATAGACGCGGCATCGAAGTTTCCGATATCAGTAACAGGCGTATAGAAGGACATACTGATATGATCTGTGTCAATATTGTCAAGATCTCACGGTGAATAATTGTTTCAAGAGAGGATTTAGGTGAATTTATAGCCCTACCGGCGATTCCGAAGACCGAATTTAATACCAGGAATGAACCGAATTTGCGAGGAGTCACAGTGGCAGTGCCGGGTTGTTGTTCGATGTTCGATGTTCGATGTTCGATGTTCGAGGTTCGAGGTTCGAGGTTCGAGGTTCGAGGTTCGAGGTTCGAGGCTTGGAGCAGGGGTCTGTACGCGTCCCGACGCGTTCCAACGCGTCATCAGGTGCGTCCGCGCTGTGCTGAAAAAGTCTCGCGCTTCCCCAATAAACGTGTGTGTAAAGGGTCAGCATCACAGCACTAGTTATCCACTGTTCGTATTTCACTCCGGGCTGCTATGAGATTTTGTCTGAGGAATTAGTTCTGGGATTTACTGAGACTTAGAAATATTATTTCGTGTTCCCATCATCACCATCGCTGTGAGGCTGGATTAGGATTCTCACGATCTAGGATCTGCATCCTGCTTCAAATAATCTAGGCGGCACCTGCTGCAGAGAAATGGGAATTGGCATCCTTAGACTATGTTGATGCTTCGGACAGGCGGGAGACAAGATGCTCCGGTGAACGTGGCATTTACTCAACTCGTCCGAGAACTTTGGGCTATTGTAGGCGTTCCGAGAAAATCTCCTGAAGAAGGCGTTAATATAATCTTGGTCATGTTTCTGCTGTTTACTCAACAATATGCATGCTAGCCGCCCAAATCCGGTTAGCGAGTCTGGGTTACGTCCGCCATCACTGCCTCGGCACCTACCAACGCCAATAAGATAACCATTGTACACTGTTCCTTACTCATCTTTAAGAAGCGTACGAGCTGGAGATAGAGGAAAGTCGTTTAGTAAACACGATGGACACACTCACAGGAAAGCGCAACACCCTCTATATAAAGCACGTCTGCGCTTGCCAAATATGCAATACTAACCTCACCATCGTATCCACTCATTGGCAACAGTGGTCAACAGATACTTCCGTCGACTTTTGATCCGCACTTGAACTTGTATCCTCTTCTCCACCCACCACTACAATGTCCAAAGGAACAGTCCTCATCTCAGGACTCAACGGCTTCATCGCCGGAGTCACAGCAAAGTACCTTCTAGACAACGGCTACAATGTCCGCGGCACTGTTCGGAAATCCTCTTCAGCCACCGCTATCGTCGAGGGGCCTCTGAAATCCTACGCCGAATCAGGGGCCCTCACCGTCGTTGAGGTCCCCGACATCACCATTCCCGGCGCCTTCGACGAAGCCGTGAAAGGCATCACCGCCATCGCCCACCTCGCCTCCCCCGTCTCCTTCAACTTCACCGACCCGGACCCCATCATCAAAGCTGCCCTAAGCGGCACCACCACCATCCTAAACAGCGCGCTCAAAGCCGGACCACAGCTCAAGTCCTTCATCTTTCTCTCCTCCATTGTAGCCATCATGTCCGGCAATCCAGCACCCTACACATATACCGAGAAAGACTGGAACAATTGGGCCGAGCCCACGGTCGCAGCCAAGGGCAAGGACGCACCCGGCGCCGCCATCTACTGCGCCTCCAAAGCCGCCGCCGAGAAAGCCTTCTGGAAGTTCCGCGAGGACAACAAGCCTGCGTTCGCGCAGACGGCGCTCAACCCCGTCTTCGTCATTGGGCCGCCTCTCATCGCGCCTAAGACGCCTGCTGATATTGGTGAGACCATCCACGCCATCTGGAATATCTTCAGCGGAGGAAAATTCCCGCCCGAGGGACTCACGCCGGGCCTTGGGACCACCGTGGACGTGCGCGATGTCGCGGCGCAGATTGAGTATGCCATCGCGCACCCGGATGAGACGGATGGAGAGCGGTACCTCAGTTCTGCGGCGGTGGCTACGGCGCAATCGACCGCCGATATCTTGCGGAAGGCATTTCCGGAGGCAAAGGGCAGGATTGTGGAGGGGACGCCCGGGAAAGGGTATAAGAGTGACTACACGCTGTTGGATGTGGAGAATGTGCAAGCTTCGGATGGGAGCAAGGCTAAGAAGTTGTTGAAGGGTGGGGCGTACATACCGCATGAGAAGAGTGTCGTTGATACGGCGAGGAGCTTTGCGCATTTGGTATGACCAGATGGTAGTAAGCTATAAATCTGGACCACTACAGGGATAAATGTGCGTTCTAATTGTGCTGCTATCTCTCGCAATGCAAACAGTTGCGTACTCTGATGCGTGTACACCATTACGTGCATAACAACAGGCGAACAGCATATTCACTGCATCTTGCTGCATGCAACCAATTCTATGGAGCCACGATCCTGTCTTGTACTTGCCTGTGCTCTTACTGTTCACTTCTGCTCCCTGTAAGCGGCTCGTCTCCAGCGTACTATCCTGTAATATGCTACCGATTTCCACCCACACATATCTTTCTTTTCGAGACTGACGTTTGCTGCTACTGGCAGGCCCCTCCAGACATACCCACTACAGTGCAGTACGACGGGGAATTTCATCAATGGTACAATCTAATTCCATCTAATGACAGGTTCAGCCTAAAGTATACAGGTCATTTGCAGCCTGGCGCTTCATGAGGGCGTGGTGGAAACATTTCAAGGGTCTAAGGTGTAGGTAGCGGTGATGGGATGTGAGGCAGCAACGCGAAAATTTTGCTCACAGTGCCAGATTTCGTCAACTGTAACATACCTCACAGAGTGATGGAATGTCTTGAAGGCTCGAACGTCGGAAGAAAGTGAGTTGCGAGGTGCGAGGTATAAAACTGTTCCTGATTTAGGGCCAGCACACAAAAAAAAAAATCACTTGGTCTGAAAACCGGTCGCTCAGTTTAATTTAACCTCGTACCTATGGATCTTCCAGTAAAGAGCACTCAGAGTTAAGCCTAATACACTCCGGACACCGCAACAAATCCAACGGATACCTATGTGGCCTCCAAGCCCTTTCATTCCTTCAACACCGCCTATTAACCCTCCTCCGGAATCACCCCCCTCCTGGCACAAGAACCTCGCCATCCGATTCTGCTCCCTATACTCCCCATACTCGACCTCCTTCGTCAGCTGCCCAGGTCTCCCAAATGTCTCATGCCAGCCGCGCCGCGACCTGTCTTCCAGCGCCGAGCGGACAGCCTGGCACCGGCGGACCGATAAAGTCGTCTGTGCTGGCGACAGGCGAGTACGATACTTCTGCGTTCCAGCACCCATGTCACGGTGGGATTGTAGACAGGTGCGACCGTGGTAATGCGGCAGGAGAACGCTTGCACGATGGGATTGGTATCCAGATCAACCGGGGACGGTTCGCCATACCATACAACCACTCTCTCCGCCTGTTCATAGATATTCCGCATCAATCCCACCGCTCAATTCTCTCGTCCAAAGTTTCTTGATTGACGCATACGGCATCGATCCAATCATGGCGCGGAGTGAATGACCACCTGAGGCAACGCAATGCTGCGAACAGGTTCTCACGTACCGCACAAGCCCGCCCATCGATAATGATTGTTATGCGGCTCGTCGTTTCCCCACGTGTGTGAAATGCTTCGAACTTCGGGTGTTTTTGTAGGCTAACATGTCGTAACGAAGCATGAAGAGGCGCCGAGACAGAGCTGGGAGGATTGTAAGAAGCCGGATCTCTGTGGCTGCGGAATCTAGAGGAGCATACTTCGAGGACATCTTCATTGCATATCTCCTTTTCATTCAAACACGCGTTGTGATCTGCGATGCTTCCTGGCAGCACGCAGAAAGGAGTGTGAAGGTACGACATATGGGTGGGCGCCTGCATACTAATGTTCAGCTGTCCACCAGCTCTTCGCTGGTTAGTTCCGTTTCGGCTAGATGCAACTGCGAAGGTCCAAAGGGCCAAAAATGATATAGACAAATCGCGGCCTAGGTACATGCGTCCTCTGTGCTTCTGAGTGGTTGTTCCGAAAGCTCCTCCTCGTATTGTACCTGCCGATCCCAATCCACCACCTTGTTGCATGGACTGCGCATCCAGGCGTACAGTTCGTGAAGGAACAAGCGAGCATTTTGCCTCCCAAGGTACTCTGTCAAGAGATCTTCCGCATGGCCGTTGCTTGCTTTAAGGTCTACCTTTTTCAATATAGCCACAATATACGCAAGCAAAAACTCGGCATTGCTACTTGTAGTAGCGCCAGCAGACGGTCCATTTTCAGGATCAGTGTGGAGAAAAGTAAATACACGGAGCTCTCTTCGTATCCATGCCCGCGCTTTGGACTGCAGCTCAGGTGAATTCGAAACCATTTCCGGCGTTATGTCCTGATATCCAGAGATGGGGTTGCTCCCGACATGGAAAGAATAAAGCTTATGGCGATACACATGCCGGCGCCGGAGAATGGCGACATCTGGTTGAGGCTGCTCGTAAGGACGACGTGACGTTCTCGGTCTGCGTGGCAGGCTGTGGTGTGCATACGTTGGGGCAGGGGCGCGCTGAAGCGTCGGAACAGTATAATGTTTGAAGTCGGTCGGGGATCGCCAGTCATACTGAACGGCTGTGGTTTGAGCTTTGCCTGGTACAGCATTGGTATGGTGCGAGTACAAGAATATGACCCATGACTTACATAGTGGGCATGAGGTCCGCTGCTGGAGCCATGAGACCAGGCAGATGAAGTCGAAAGTGCAGTGGTTGCAAGGGACTGCGACTGCGCGTTCAGTGATGACAGAGAGACATATGACGCAAGTGTCTTCGTCCTTGCTCGAGCTGTGATCTGTGTCCATACGGTGGTGTGGGAGAAAGGAAGATGAGGCGTTCTTGATGCAAAGTCTAACTGCGCTCTCTGTGCTATCAGGCTGCGCTTGCGCGTCCCACGGTTCCATCCCAGGCACCAACCCGATAACAAACTCTTGACGTATCACTTCATTTCCAGGTGCACTCCCTTATGCCTACATCACGTGAAAAGGGTCGGGCCCGGGGAGGAGGTGCTCTGCGTAGAGGATTCCGATCCGTCGGAAGCGGTCCGGAGGCGAGTGGGCACGGACCACTGACGACGCGACTTCCAGCAAGTGCAGCTCGTCGTTTCCTCAACGACCCCAAATGTGAGTGCTGTGCGACGGCTGACTCTCCACTCACTCGCGCCTTGGCTGCGCCGTCTTCGACTCCCCGCGCACCACCTTCCACCTCACGCTGGCGTATATGCTCCTCGCAGCAACCAGGCGGGTCGCATCGCTCTCAACTTTTCGCGCTCTGCCCTCCATGCTCGCAACGTCGACACGGCCTGCGCCCAATGCAGGTCGCAACGGAAATGGAAAACCTGCCTATCACACCGTGACCGCGCTGAAGCGATGGTCATGCGACGACAATGATCTGCCTCCTATGGCCGATATCAAGTCTATCCACATCTACGACTTCGACAATACGTTATTTGCGAGTCCACTGCCGAACAAACAGATCTGGAACGGCCCTACCGTGGGTCAGCTTGCATCGCCCGATGTGTTCATAAACGGAGGCTGGTGGCACGACTCGAGCATCCTCGCCGCGACCGGCGAAGGTGCCGACAAAGAAGAAGTGCGCGCCTGGAAAGGTTGGTGGAACGAGAACATCGTACAGCTCGTCGAGCTGTCTATGCAACAGAAGGATGCGTTGAGTGTCCTCCTCACCGGCCGCTCAGAGCATGGATTTTCCGAATTGATCAAGCGCATCATACGAAGCAAGAACTTGAAGTTTGATATGGTCTGCCTCAAGCCGAATGTTGGGCCCGCTGGTCAGAAGTTTACGTCCACGATGAACTTCAAGCAAGAGCTGCTGAAAGATATTGTCTATACGTACAAGGACGCAAACGAAATCCGGATATATGAAGATCGCGTAAAGCAGTACGTTGAACCTACGGGCTTATGCTTCCCGCCTGCTAACTGAGTACAGCACGAAAGGTTTCCGCGACTTCTTCTTCCAATTCAATAAGGACTTGATGAACGGCCAACTTCCGACGTCGCGGCAGGCCATCGTTGCAGAAGTTGTACAGGTCGAAGAGAATGCCACTCAGCTGGACCCTGTCACGGAGATCGCAGAGATCCAGCGCATCATCAACTCTCACAATTCTCAGGTCCAGGCTGGCACCACCCCCCGGGGAATGCCTCCTTACCAGATCAAGAAGACCGTCTTCTACACTGGGTACATGATCGCAAGGGACATGAGCGACAGGCTGGCTTCGTTGGTGAAGCTGCCCCAGGGTACTCCAGAGGGCGACGTTCGATACCTTGCGAACAGCATCCTCATCACGCCGAAGCCCGCGCCAAAGAGCATACTTGATAAGGTTGGAGGTATCGGGAACAAGGTGGTTTGGAAGGTCACGGGCATTTCGTGCTTTGAGAACAAGCTTTGGGCTGCCCGTGTCGAGCCCATCCCCAAGACGACCAAATACTACTCAGAAAACCCAAGCCCTACTGTGGTCCTCGCTATTAGGAAAGGCGGACGACCAGCCGATGCGGCTCGGATCCAGAATTGGCACCCGGTCCCCGATGAAGAGGCGCACATCTTCGAGAGTGTGGTCGGCGAGAAGGTCGTATTGCGGATTGAGGAGGAGCACGCGAATGAGAGTCGGTACGAGAGCTACTTCCCAAACAAAGGACACAACAAGCGGGCGCACTCTGAAGATGGAAATGGCCGACCTCCGCAGCAACGACCAAAAGGCCCTGGAGGTTACCGTGGCGGCAATCGCGATCGCGGTCACGGCGGCTTTAGGAACTTTTCGACTGGCGGGAGAGGAGGTCGCGGCGGCGGTGGTCACCGAGGTGATCGCAGCGGCGGCGGACGAGGGCGTGGCCGGGGAGCGGGTCCGTCATCAAGCTACCGGAGTCTTGATGATGTCGACAGAAATGGACCGGGTCAAGCTGGTCCCGATTCGTACTACTGAGCGAAGTCACCATGGCGTCAATGACGAGCCATACACGAGGCGCGTACGTATGTCTATTCAATGCAGGCGCACCTGTTGGCATCCTCTTGCCTCGATAAGCGGCTCTGTACGCTACGAAGCTGGTTCAAGGATGTATGCTAAGACACGAGTGTAGGTCAAGCGTAGTATAGTTAACAGAAGATACCCAGGCATTTATTCATTTCTAGCAATCTCTTCTGCAACCGTTGTCTGGTGCGCTGAAATGCCATTGTAGGTTGACACCCAGTCTTTATTACTCCCTTGTTTCGTTTGAGGGATGAAACATTATGATCTCCGTAAGGCCAGAGGTCTTCTTGGACTGCTCAACCTCTCTTTCCTGTGATAATGCAATTAGTCAGCACCCCTCTTAGGCACGTCATTATCAACAACACCTTCGTACATTGGTAATCAAGTGGGGTACCTACGCCAGAATATTGATCCTATGCGTGAAAGCAGTAGTGAGAAGCAGTATGGCGGCAAGCTAAGAAAGACTCGAACATTAGCAATGTAAGTCGGCTTGGAAGCTGTGTTAATGCTATAAAACATCAAACCCAACCCTGAACTTCGACCACAGATAGTCATTATGACAACTTCCGAATCTATCTACCCCTTCAAGCTCTCAATCCCTTCATCCAATCTCGATGACTTGCAAACGCGTCTTCGCCTGACCCGTTGGCCAGACAAGGAGACAGTTACCGACTGGTCTCAAGGCGTTCCCCTTGCAACAATCAAAGAGCTTTGCGAGTACTGGCAGACCAAATATGACTGGCGACGATGTGAAGCACTGCTCAACTCGTACCCTCAATTCACGACGGCTATCGACGGTGTGGAAATTTACTTCTTACACATCCGGTCAAAGCACGCGGATGCTCTTCCCATGCTCCTTTCACATGGCTGGCCTGGCTCGATTCTGGAGTTTAGACATGTAATCGACAAGCTTATTGACCCTGAGCCTCACGGCGGCGACCCTGAGGATGCATTCCATCTGGTCGTCCCAGCACTCCCGGGCTACGCCTTCTCCAGTAAGCCCACGAAGGGAGGGTGGGAGATCGCTCGCACGGCACGTGCATGGGCTGAGTTGATGCAACGATTGGGATATGCAGACAGCGGCTGGGTAGCTCAAGGCGGCGATTGGGGTGCCCACGTGGCCTCAAGTTTGGGCCATCAAGCACCGAAGGGACTGAAGAGTATCCATATGAACTCGATATACCTTGAGCCGAAGGTACCATACGCATTCTGTTACATCGTACCTGGGCGACACATGCGCTAATCTACTTCGCAGAAAGAGGCTCAAACACCATGCCGAGATAAGACAGGCGCAGAACGAGCCCTACAGCGCGAGCGCCATCGGGAAAAAGGACACTACGGGTACTACGTCCAACAATCGACTCGACCACAAACCGTTGGCTACGGGCTTGCCGACTCACCGGTCGCGCAGGCAGCCTGGATCTATGAAAAGTTTAGAGACTGGTCCCACCATGACGGGGACGTGGAGATGGTGTTCAGTAAAGATGATATGCTCGACACGATTATGCTATATTGGCTCTCTAACTCTGGAACATCGTCTGCGCGTTATTATTGGGAGTGTAAGTTCGACTCTACCGCGTGGCCGATTGATATTCCGGTTGGTGTGAGCTGGTTTGCGGGCGATACAACGTATGGTCCGAGGGAGTGGTGCGAGAGATACTACAAGAATATTGTGCATTGGAAGGAGGTGAAAAGGGGGGGCCACTTTGCGGCATGGGAGGTCCCAGATCTTTTCGTTGCAGAGATATGGGAGTGGAGAAGGAAAGTCAGGTGATAGATCGTCGCGAGCAAGACGTGTGTACACAAGATTATGAGCAACATGCACAGTATGACTCTTAGTCAGGCTGAAACCGCTGTTTACAGTCCACTAAGTGCGCACGTCGTCCCCGACAACCCAGCAAGCACAGTAGGTGAAGAAGATCCCAGATGACCTATATCGGCAAGTACACACACAGTGGTAATCCACGTGTTGTCAGAACATGGTGCCACGAGAAAATCCTGCTCCCTCCGAAACCCCGTTACAACTAGACGGCCAAAAAAGTTAGAGAGTTGATCATCATGCCAAATTCATCTCGTGTAGCTTTTGCGTAATCCCGGATGCATAGATCTGTCCTTCTCGTCAGAAACGTGTTCGGCGGTATGGTTCTTTGCCTCGTGTATTCGGCATCGCCTGTCTAAGGGATCGGCGTATCACGTTGACCAGCTCAGCATGTTCGTGCCACGGTCTTGGTAAGTCCTACTCGTCCACGGGTATACCGAACGTGCCAGTGAAGTCGATGATGGTGCTACCCCTCCATTCGAGGGCTATTTGGCTATGCTCCGGCCGATACGTCTGCGCCGCTACTCATTCTCGTCATCACCACTTAAGGACCCGGCCATATGCACGTTGAAATACAGCTTCCTTAAGCACATGGCCAGATGTCCCAACGGCACGATGGCGGCCTTGCCCGGTGCAGGGTAATTCGCTAGTGGTCACCCACTTGACTACTAGTACCCTGCTTGTGTAAGGCTGCGCGGACGGGAAGCCTAACTTCCAAGGTCGTATGTTCGTATGTGAAAGCTTACTTCTTTGTGCTATGACGTATCCGCACTGACTGAGTACGCTTCCGTGGCCTCAAGCTTGCCGTAGCCTCTCGTAAACATGCGGACTCGACCGATCTAGAGCTGGTTGCGAGCAACTTTGTCGCATTGCTCGTCAACAACGATTGTTCCGCCGTGCTCCGCGTTCGAGCAAGATGGGGCAAGCACTCAAAATTGGCGACGAGGCTTAACGGCATCTCCCTACAGTACAATGGTGATATACGTGAGGGCCACGAGTTGAAACCACGCCAGGTCGTAGGTACGTATAAATCGCACGAAGTTGGATACAAGAGCATTTCAATCCAAGAAAAAGCAATACAAAGACAATCGTACGCTGCCTGTTGGTCTTGCAGTGTGGAAACGCCTGGTGTAGAGTCGCATTGCGCTTACGTAGAATACTAACTCGCGCGAATAGGGTACGTGCGCCGTCGACTGGGGTGGCTGCCTATTTAGTCACCTGATAAGGACAGCTTGCTTACGGGGAGACTTCAGTTTTCCTCACACATACGTTCAGTGCAATATCTCCGACTTGCGTTATTTTCGCACACGGCGCTCTAGTTCTCTTAGTCTCTTGCAAGCCCGAGGTCCAATTGTTACCTGATTCGCGTCTCGAACGTTACCAAAGCCATGTCAGAATACAGGATCACACACTGCGTTGTCGAAGATGGCCCGGCGATGGCGAAGAACAATTTCTCTGCGTTTTGGGAGGACCCTAACTGGTCTTTTATCTGTAAGTCAAGTCTGGCCCCGACATAAAAGTCAAAGCCTACGCCCATCAACGACTGCCCGTGACGACTCGCTATCTCTGTGATTAACAAACGCCACAGGGAGAGACACAACACTAGAGAACATCATTAGCCTCGGCGCAGACCGATATCCGCGCCAACTGATCCAGAATCGGGACACCCTCCGACATATTAAAGTAGTCGATTCCGAGACGGGAGCGCTCCTCGGCTACGCGCGCTGGAAGCTTCCGGAAAAGTACAGCAAGCGCGAGGACGGCAGCGCGGTCTGGCCGGAGGGACAAGTTCCGGACGTTAGTGACGAGCAAAGAGACGAAATCGAGAGGAAGGCATCAATAGCGCAAGAGCAGTGGAAACCGCTCGAATTTACCGGCGAAGACGACTTGGATGCCATACTTACCAAGACTGAAAAGGCCATTCTTGCTAAGAAGGACTATATCAGTGCGTTGAACTGTCTTTGAATCGGGTGGAGGAACTCTGGGCTAATGAGAGTGACAGAACTAGAATACATCACTGTGCACCCTTCTAACCAGAAGAAGGGTGTCGGTTTGGCGCTCCTGAAGCACGGGATCGAACAAGCACGGTCATTGGGACTCGATATCTTTCTTTTGGCCTGTTCGAGTGGGTTTAGGATGTACGAGAAAGCCGGCTTCAAGGAGCTGGACAGGATTATCCAAGACGCCACGCGCATTGGGGGAACAAGCCATTACGAGATCCGGTTCATGGTGTACGAGGTGGCGAGCAGTTGATGTTGTGTCGATATTCGTGGCTGATAGGCCTGGGTGTAGGTTGTTGTGATGAGGGGAATCTCCCCCCGCCTCATGCTATTCTGTCAACAGCCCGATATCCAGATCTGAGTGATCTTTCCAGATTGCCAAAGATGAGGGCAGAGTACTTTGGGCATGTGCCCCGCCATCTGATCCGGCATCTGACCAGAGACGCTAATCCCCAAGGGGCTGGCCCCGGCGATACCCTGCGTCTCAGGTACCCGCATCCGTCCCACGTGCATCCTTACCTCACATCGCCTTGCCACATCCTACTGGCCTTGGTCCCAGCGATCATCATCATGTCTGACACACGACCTTGCGCCTTAGCCTGCGTGACCTCTTGACGTGCGCTGCCTGGTGCTGCGCCCTGAGTGGCTCAGCATCTGGCATCTCTTTATCAAACGGAGCCCCTTCATCTGGCCATCCATATCTCCCGAGCGTGTCCTCGGCAGCTACCGCCTACCTCCTCCCGCTTTCGGACTACACTACGGTATACGACCAGCACCCACTCGCCTAAGGCCGCGTCGTCTCGCAGCAGCAATCGTCTTCCGCCAATTAGGCTCGAGGGATACGGAACGTTTAGAGTGCACGGCGGATCGTCCCTCGCGAAAGCTTGTAATACGCGCCGTCGATCGCGGACTCGCCGCACGCCTGGTCGTACCTGCTTCCTGGAGCTTAGCTGGGCGAGGGATATCGTGTGTGGTAGCCCTACCATGGCGGGCTGGCTCCATGCTATAAGAGATGGCGTGCTGCAGCGGGCAGCTCCGGTCACCTCCACTGTCGATTCCGCCGCAGACACAATGGCCTCCTCAGTACCCTCAATTCGGACGCTCTCGAAGCTCGCGGTGGGCGGTGCGCAGGTGCTGCTTGGTGGCGGGCAGATCGTACTTGGAGGGACGCCGGCGACATGCTCGAATCCCCAGCTGAGCTGTCATAACACGACCATTGTTCAGGATCTGTGCTGCTTCAACGCGCCTGGTGGACAGCTCCTGCAGACGCAGTTCTGGGATACATCGCCTGCGACCGGGCCTGACAATTCATGGACCATTCACGGCTTGTGGTATGTCTTCACTCCGCTACTCTCCATGTCCCTTGACAAGACCGCTAATGTTGGAGTGTAGGCCCGATCGTTGCGACGGCACCTACGACGCGAACTGCGATTCAACCCGCGTGTACTCGAACATCTCCGCCATCATCAAATCCTTCGGCAAGACAGACCTCCTAGACTACATGAGCACATACTGGAAGGACTACAGCGGCGATGACGAGACATTTTGGGAGCACGAGTGGAGCAAGCACGGCACCTGTATCTCCACGCTCGAGCCAGAGTGCTACTCTGACCACAAGCCGACTGAGGAAGTCGTCGACTTCTTTCAGAAGACCGTCGACCTCTTCAAGTCGCTGCCCAGCTACGAGTGGCTCGCCGCAGCAGGCATCACGCCCTCCACCACCAAGACATACACCACAGCTCAGATCCAGTCCGCCTTGCAAGCGAAGCGACCTGGCGTGACTGTCACGTTGGGCTGCAAGTCCGGCGCGCTCAATGAGATCTGGTACCACTACGACGTGCGCGGTTCCGTCCAGACGGGCGAGTTCGTCGCCGCGAACCCCGACGGCACAAAGTCCACGTGTGCCGCTTCTGGCATCAAGTACCTCCCTAAGAGCGGCGGCGGCAGCACGCCTACTACCACGGGCTCCGGTTCAACCCCCACAAGCACCTCTGCGCCGGGTACACCTTTCTCCGGCAAGGGCTACCTCAACGTCAACAATGACGGAACGAAGAAGGGGTGCATCATCTCCGCGGGCACGTGGTACACGAGCGGAACCTGCGCGACGTTCACCGCTACGACAAGCGGTGATGGGTTCACCCTTTCAAGCTCGAAGGGCAAGTGCGGCGTTGTGAGTGGTGCGTTCACGTGTGGTAGCGGTGTGAGCACTGCGACTGCGTTCACGAGCATTGATGGGAAGTTGGCGGCGGGCGGAAATGCCGCATGGAGTGCGGACAATGTCGCGAGCGGGAGCACGCAACAGGCGGTGTATGCGGGGGCGGACCACAGCGCTGCGTTGGAAATTGTGTGGCAGAGCGTTTAGAGGTAGCTTCAACAGCTGGCCACTAGGAATGGTGGCTAGGCAGTGATATATGCATGTTCTATTTCCATATTCGGCCTCTCGCGCAGTGACGGGTCTTGTGTATGACTCCCCGCGCAAACGCGTCTTCTATTGTCCTACTCAGAGCATCACGTGTTCATGGACTTACAAGCTGAGATGGGATGACCCCAGCCCATATAAACTTTCTCCCTGCGCCCATCTATCGTTCTCCTCACAGAGCTTGTCTCGCACAGCTGCGTGTGTATTAAAAGTTCCGCCCGTGCCTTTCATGGGTCCCACGTCTTTCTAAAAAGACATAAACTACGATTCGATGTCTCCTCGTCCGGCTGTTTCAAAGAGACCGAAGTCTGGTAGAGTGTAGACTTGTCCTGTCTCCCCAAAAACGACTGCGACTGGACACATAGAGTCCGTTCCCAAAATACCATCAGAAACGGTCAATGTGTGTTCGTCTTCTAGCTTTCCAAGCTCACAACAGTCGAAAACACGTGGATCTACGGCCTCCAAAAAGAGTGAAAACTATGGCGCATGGAGCAAGGAGCAAGGAGTTGAGCTTTCAAATCGATACGTTAACAGCAAATGCCTCGCCTGGCTTCGACAATCGCGGCTGATGGATGTCGAAGTCGTCGTCGCCTGGCGTCTATAAATCAAGTCACTTTAGCACAATGTGTCTTGCTGTCTCGGCCTGCAAGGTCTGAGCTCATGTCTCGCTATCTGACCTTCTCTCCCGAGTCCGAAAATGTCAGCCAAAGCCGAATATGTGTCGTCCTCGACCTGTTTCCATAGCGAGGACTACAGACCCTTGTGCCCTCCTCATCTCCTGCTTCCAAAACAATCCTCAGCTGTCGTATGTATCCTCATCTCCCAGCCTCCAAGGAAGGAGTTTCGAGACAACGATGTGTCCTCTGTGTCTAGCTTCCGAAGAATCCACGATGAATAGCAATCTGTCCTCCTCTCCCGTGGCACAGGAACCATACACAACAAACTGCGACGTGTTCCTTCCTCCCGGTGTCCAAAAGCAAACATCATCTCCTCTCCTCGATTCACAAACTGAAAATTACCTACCGCAATGTGTTCCCTTCTCACACCTCCAAAATCGACACTTAGTCCGGTGTATGGGGTCTCCTGCGCGTAAAGTCACAGATTAATAGGCAATGGGGAGTCCGTTTCTTCGAGAGGGTCACTATCAACTTTATGTGTGTGTTTTTTTGGCATCCAAAGATCTATTGCCTTTTACGAAGGTCCTCCTCCCCAGCCTTTGGAAGCATCATCAGTGCACTGCGATGCGTCCTCTCCTTGTCTCCCAAAAATACAAGCTCCATGCCGAATATGGGTCTCCTGCGCCCAAAACGACCCCATGGAGGAGCTATGTGGAATCCGTCTCCCCAAGTGATGCGCACCCAAGACCACGTGCCCTTTTCGTTCTGTCTCCGAAACACGACCAACGCGAAATCATGTGTCCTTCGGCTCATTCTTGAAAGAAGGATGCGTAGATGCTTTCGATACGCGGATCTACGTCGTTTGACTTGAATATGTTGTCTAATTTTCAACTTGATCTCATTGCTATTTCAATGATTGAATCTTATTCGATTACTTTCCAACTTCTCCCTGCCTGCGATGGCCCAACTCCATTCGACGGTTTGTTTCCTGGTCTTATTCAATTTCGGCAAGTCACAGACGCTTTCAGATGCTTATCGCAGTACCGTTTGTCTCTTCTGACTACGTTGAACGTAGCATGATGAATTTTCAATGTGCCAACTTGCCCAGGGACCCTGTTGAAGATTTTAAAGCTGTCCATGACGTTATGTATATATGGTCATAGTAATTGCACCCACGGCCAAGCAAACTTGCCGCTCAAGTTACAATATCGGCTTTCTAATCGAACTACACATACCATCAAGAACCACAACAGTCTTACATGAGCATTTGATGCCATGTGTTGGAGACAAATGATCCTGACATTCATGCAGCCATGGCAATATCGCGATCAATCCGTGCTACCCAATGAGTAGTAGAATAGGGCTGTGCGTATTTGGTAATAATAGCGGCCCCGGTATAATGCAGTCTCGAAGGGATGGATCCTGGTGTGCCAGATGTTTGATGTTGAGTCAAGGAGCAGCAATACGTTGTCGCCACTAGGACTACTGTTCGAGTAGCTTAATGATCACACTAGGGGAATACTAAAATAGTGAGCGCTTCATAACTAATAATATCCAGCTCCAGGAACAGAGCATAGTAGTATGTTGATTGAAAGGCTGATTAGACACTAATACCAGAGTTACCTCCATTCCTCAACTTGAGCATACCTCACCTCCCTCTTCCTCCTCCGCCCATCCACAAGTGTATGGCTATGCCAATCATAGCACTTCTTTGTAACTTTTTCGTTGCACAACGGCCACAACTGCTTGTGTATCATATCGCAAAACATGCTCTCCTCAAAGGACACAAAATCAGGACCGTACGATGTTGCACTCAAACAAAGCTCCCTACTACTGTGCTCGGCATGATGGCTTGCAATTATGCGAGCTTTGAATAGAACCTCTGCATCCTCATCATTCGCCCAAGATGAGACCTGCCTAACGCTTACCCCAACGACGCTTTTGACAAGGCTGAGAACGCCCACTGTATTGAGGAGCATCGCCTTGAATGACAGCGGTTGCAGGCTTGATGCAGGAGATATGAAGCGGTAGTCCTTGTACCACTCCAGCTTTGGATGGAGACAAAGACTTTTTGGGTCATCTGGGACCTGGAAGTCATTTGTGACACCGACGGGACCGAAGTCAGTCATGTGGGCTTTGAAGCCTGAGTAAGTGAACAGTGCGTCTGCTGTAGATGTTACACAGCTCGGAGCTGAGGTTTGGTTGGAGCCGGCGCCGGATTGGCGTTTCTTGTTGCTGTAGTATGAGCAGCTGGAGGGTCGAGGACCGCCTATCCAGGTGCAGTATGGCTGTTACTGTGGTCAGAGTGCGGTACTCACTGAAATAGCTCAGAGATGCTCACCTTGTACGTTCCATTCTTTGTACTGACGAAAAGGTTCGAATAGTACCACTGCGTGCCGCAGTACTTGCCCATGTCTCCCAGCCATCCCAGCTGCGTCCCATCAGCCCAAGTCTGCGCGATGTACGCTAAGCACACCGCGTCAGAGCCACCAGCGATCTCGAGATACGTCGGCTGCTGGAAGAGGTAGCTATCGTTATGTACCACCTCCACAGTCTTGAAAGTACCCGGCTGTATATCGCGAGATGCTGCTCCAATGGCGGAGCCGATCAAAACGCCTTCTTCATTCCAGACTCGGACTGATGGGATGGTCCCGCCCAGACTTTGTGGAACACTGGAATTCAGTCCGATCCCAAAGCGCAAAAGTGAATGTCCCTGCTGCAAAGGGGAGGTAGGGATTTCTGGTGGTGGGAGGAGAAGATCGACGATGCCCAGAATTCCGCCGACAAAGAGACCGAAGACCTCGAGGGCTACCGCAGCGGCCATGGTAATTGAGTGACAAAGAGACTCGCACAGCGTAATGCAGCAAACCTTTGCTGGCGATCTATCAAAGTCCTCAGAGTTTGAAATGAAGAGAATAGCGCATAGCAGAGCAGGCTGCATTTATCGATGTTTCCTCGTGGCCTAGGTGACGAGTTGTGGCGGCATCACAGCCATCTTCTGTCCCGAGTACGAGGCGGACCATTGGGAGAACATCCTGAGTCACTTAAGGCTGTTATCACAAATCAACGTTGGGCGCTCAATCGCGGTATGGTGGCGCGTGTGCCACAGGTACATGATTTCTGAGACTGCAGGCCATATACCCAGAAGTGAAGAGAAACCTTTTGACGAACAGTGACATGAGGATCTTCCTATGGACCTGCTCTCAGTTGCACAGTACTGCGATACACATCACCGGCCACCCCCAAAAACCGCCTGGAATGCGCCATTGCACATCAAGCCTTATGAGGCTATGTCTGGTCTAAAAACAATTCTAGGTTTTTGGGGGAGGAGGCAGCGGTCGCAAGGCTGAGGCTGACATTGCGTGATTGGGTAGAATATCGCTTTTTTCCAGCTTTTCGATCATTACCCAGCAAGCCACCAGGAATTTAGGGAAAGATCGGCAGGTGAAGCGAGCTGTCAAATATTAAATGGCGCTGGGGCATGTGAAAGGTTGTGTCGCTGTTGAAGCCTGCTGCCTACTGGGAATATTGATTACAACACCAACGGCCGTTATCAACTTCAAAACCTACTATTTCGAGTGCTTGTAGCAGAGAAAGAATGTACAGGATCGGTGTTAATCTAGATTGAAGACTACGCAAGATTGATGATGCCGAAGACACAACGCGCTAGCCCATCTTAAACTAGTAGTGAAAGGAGACTGGGCAGTTTGGGTTCAGGCCAACTCCCAACTGAAGCTCCTCGTTACGATAGTGAATGCCTTGCTGTTAATGTGAATCAACCAATGGTATTACCGGGCGATTACGCAGCAGAACGCGCGTCGTAAAATCCTGGATAAAACTATCGATTGAGATTATCATCACGACTGCGCAACATACTCCACCTCACCTTCCCTCCTCTATACTATATTTGCGCTGGTTTGACTAAGCCCTATGGTCTACATACTTGCGTATGTAAATTACCAATGGCACGATCTCTTCATCCCTACGATACCATATGCGGAGTCGGCCCCCAATTCAGCAGCAAGCTTTACAACGATGCAATCGAGCAGCAGACGATGTTTTTCACCTGCGCAACGTCTCCATCTCTCCACAGAATTTCTTTCGAGTTCGGGGGCCCAGCAGCCTTGAATTATCTATCGCAGCCCATCGTATCCCCCCGGAAGACTTAGTCTCCAACTCCTCAAGTGCTATAGCCGTCAAAAGCATAATATCATTTCCCACTCCCTTCACGTTTCGTTTCGAATAAACTGTGTAGTCCCTTCCAGTCCTAGCGCGTCGCGCGACTAGACCCGCGCGCGCTAACAGCACCCGTGAACCACTCATCGCCCTCGGCACCCTCGTTTCGAAACGCCCTAGCCCACCTCATCGCCCATCCACCACCCACGCCTCGCCTTACCCTAGTCGCAATCATCTCTCCAGGTGCACCTCCGCGTTCTCGCCATGTCGACCGCGTTTCACAGCCTGCCCGTTTCACACATGTAGCCGCCCCGTCGCTTCACGCGTGGACGTGCTGTGCTGTGTGGTGGCCAGGGCATGGGGGAAACATTGTGTATGTGGGTACGATGTTTCAACGAGACAGCGCTGAGTTTAGCGATTCAATAAAGGGCGTGTGAGGCCCGGGTGGGGGGCGAGGGAAGGTGACTTCTTGATCCTGTTGTGACTTTGGCATTGTGCGTGCGGCGCGTGTTGTGAAGCTGAGCTTTTACATTCTTTACTACGTTCATCCATTCATTCATTTTTAGAATTGAGGCGGGTCATATTCTTCTACATTCTTGAGCAGGCTCTAGTGTGGCTGAGAATCAGTATCGCGACTTGGTTTACGAATACACTCATTGAGCTCGCTCACACAGCATCAACATGCGCTCAGCAACACTTTCGCACGCAGCGCTGGCCGCAACCTTGACAACCCTCGCCTCCGCACAAGGCAGCTACGTCCTCAAGGACGACCTCTCGTACAACAACTTCTTCCAGAACTTCGACTTCTACTCCGGAGAGGACCCCACGAACGGCTTCGTCCAGTACCAAAGCAAGGAGGCCGCGACCCAGCAGAACCTCGTCGGCTACTTTGAAGACACGCAGAGCATCTTCCTCGGCGTCGATTATAAGACCAAGGACCCCAAAGGCCGCGCCTCTGTGCGTGTGGAGAGCACCAAGACGTGGAACCAGGGGCTCCTGATTGCGGATATCAAGCACATGCCCGATTCGACCTGCGGCACATGGCCTGCGTACTGGCTTCTCGGCCAGCAGACCGTCGGTAAAGACGACTGGCCTTTGGGCGGCGAAATCGATCTCCTTGAGGGCGTAAACCTCGACTCTGCGGCCGCCGTCACATTGCACACCTCCGCCGGATGTGCTGTCGACAACGCTACTTCCAGCATCCAGAGCCGCGCTGAGTCGGCCTTCATGGGCAGCATGTCGACTTCTGACTGCGACGTCGCTGCCGAAGGCCAAGCCAAGAACGTGGGCTGCAGCATCAAGGCGCCGAACCTCACGGCCTCGAACGGGATGGCGACATACGGCACAGATTTCAATGCCGCGGGTGGCGGCGTATACGCGATGGAGTGGACGTCCACCTCGATCTCGGTGTGGTTTCTCCCGCGCAACAGCACGGCATTTGCGGCGTCCACATCGAACGGCGCGCAGGCACTTGACCCGTCGACCTTCGGCACGCCGCTGGCCAAGTTTCAGGGCCAGGGGTGCGACTTTGAAGAGCGTTTCAAGAACATGCGAATCATCTTCGACACGACGTTCTGCGGTGACTGGGCGGGCAAGACGTGGGAGGAGTCGACGTGTGCTGCGAAAACGGGCGCGGCGACGTGCCAGGAATACGTACAGAACAACCCAGAGGCCTTCACGAATGCGTACTGGGAGATTGCGGGTTTGAAGTGGTTCGAGAAGCAGGATGGCGCCGCTATTCCAGCGCCGTCTTCTGTTCCCGTGGCTTCTCCTAGCCCGATATTGGTATCTTCTGCCATCCCTGGAACTCCTCCCAGCGGAGTGGCGACTCCCAACCCAGCCTCTTCCGCCATCTCTGCACCTTCCGGTTCCCTCTCTTCTCCGACTCCAGCGCTCAATCCTGTATCATCTGCCGTCGCCCCAGCATCGTCAAGCACAGCCGCAGCTCCCGCTTCTTCTTCCAACGCCGCACCTGCGCCCGGAAATGGGACTGGGGTTGGAACTGGAGCTGGAACTGGATCAGGCTCTGGTGGTGGCTCCAGCCCCAACATGGGTGGTTTCATCTGGCCAACTGCGCATGTAGGCGGTGGTAGCCCGGCGGCCTCGTCAAGGCCAGTAGTCTCAGCTTCTTCTGATGTAGCAGCTTCGTCAAGCCGAGCGGCATCCAACCCAGCGGCCTCCAACCCAGCGGCCTCCAACCCAGCGGCATCCAACCCAGCGGCATCCAGCCCAATTGCATCCGGGCCTGTGGCTTCCCCTCCAGCAGCATCCACTTCAGCAGCGTCCGTCCCAGTAGCTTCTCCCGACCCCGGGGCCTCGTCCACACTGCTTAACGCCCCAACGCAAGCCGTCAACCCCATAGCATCTCCCGTCGTCGACTCTCCCGTCGGTGCTGCCCCCAGCACAGCGACTTCTCCCGCTGCCACTCCACCTGCTGCCACGCCCTCTGCCAATGCTCCCTCCGCCAGCGCATCATCGGCGGCCATATCTTCCGCCGCCTCTTCGTCCTCTGCCGCCTCCTCGACCGCTACTGCATCGCCCACCACCGGTTCTGGATCGGGAAGCAGCCCCGGCACCGGAACCGACGGCTCGGCTCCCAACATGGGAGGCTTCATCTGGCCGAGCAAGCACCTCGGCAAGCGCACACTCGGCGTGAAGCACCGCGGACGGACTTTCCGCCGGTAGGAAAGTTCGGTTCCGACGGGTGAGGTTTTCTTTTTGTTGTTTGTTGTAGTTCTTCACGTACATATTATATACCCCTTTTGGTTTGGCCTAGCATTGTATTGGCGTTTGCGCAAATTTCAAGAGGAAATGAAATTAGTTTCAGATTTGAGGCTTGCATGAGCGACGTGATCGCGTTACTGTGAATGTGGGATTGTGTGATTGCTGATCTTGTTGCTTAGAGTCGCTGCGTTTACGACCTTCTTCCCAATGATTGTATGCCATTGAGTTGAGGGTTTGGGGCGAGATGGATGCGTACGGAATCGTCGACATGACGATGTCATCATCCTCGTCCTCGTCGTCGTTACTATCGCCGGACTCGTCTTCATTGTCACCGGACTCGTCGTTACTATCATCATCGGAATCGTCGTCATACCATTCCGGCTCGATGCAGTCAGCGAAAATCCCGCGATAGTCCGCTGGTCATCCATCCCAATCACCTAACCTCGGGATGATTGTACTGTCTATCCAACGCACACCCTCGCCCTCTGCCAGCCGGTGAATTCCAGCGCAACTCTCCTTTGTAATGATCAATAGTTGACCCGCACGCATACATGAACGATCGTTCTGCAGAGAAGCCTCCTAGATATTGGCCAGACCGTGAACAAGTCGCGGAATAGCATATGTGTATTCTGGCTTCGGGTGCGATTTGACACTAGGAATTCTGGGAGGCAGCATGCTGGCAACAGAATCAAGATCGTCTTCATTCCCGGTTGTATCTGCGAAAAGGGTGACATCCGTCTCCAGATTCTCCAGATCCATGAGGTTTTCAAAGCATTGGATAGCACGTCCAAGCCGTTGGAATTGATACACACACTGTAGAGCTCCCGTCTCCGCAGCTGAAGCGCAATGTAAACCATGTGCATCGCTGTTGACAAGCCCTGCTTCCAGATACTCGGAGTCTTCGAAATGGCATATCCAGAGGTGAAGTACACGTTCTTTAGTCCGGGTAGCTCAAGGAATTGTCGAATAAACTTCAAATTTACGAAGTTGTCGTCGGTTTCAGTCTGGCAGGGTAACAATGTTCCATCCTTTTCCAAAGGCCGACAGGGAAGCGAATACGTCCCATCAAGGGGTCGGTAGCGGAACAGCAGCCGTGCACTGAATACTATACCATACGCTATTGGCGACGAAGGGGTGTCTGCAAAACCAGGATGGAGTGCGAGCTCTCGGAGATTGGGCAACAAACAGAGGATAGTAAATACGCTGAAAGTCGCAAACTCGGTCGGCTCGGTCAGGAATCGGGATGAAGAGTCAATCAAAGCAATTGAGAGGGTTGCCCTCGGATTGGATCTTTTGGAGTCACCAGTCTGCGACAATAGATTGGGCTTGGGAGTATGCTCCTAGCTTTGTCTCGACCGTGGACATGACCACGTCTAACTTTTGCAAGTGCTTTCAGGTCCTCCAGTCTGCTCCTGACTCCATCCTCAGTCTTCTGATCTCCTCTTGAGGTCACCGGTCCCAGAAGCTGAGGGTCCGGCCATATCTCGCAATGAGCGGATTGTCTTCGATGGCGCTTAGAAAACAAAAGAGATTATCTCTTCGCGGCCCATGATTGGACCAGACGCTGGACTTTGCACAGTAAGATGGTGCTTGTCAAGCGCAAACCTGCACTTGCTGTGAATGGTCTTGCACGAGAGCGCAAACGATTCGATCGTGTCTGGAAGCAGATGGCTGAGGGAGCTGAGATCCGTCGAGAATCGTTGCGTTCGTCGTTCCTGGTTGGGGTAGGAACTTTGTCGTCTGGAAATGGCGACCGAGCATGTTGCACAGCTCATATTCGGCCTGCAAGAACACTTTTATGGAGATTTGCGGCCTGTATATCATCTTGTGAGATGTCAAGATCGTCCAGGCCACGGGATTACCCGCAAGTCGTTGCACGCCTGCATTTCGTATGCAGGGCCCGATTACAATTACAATACTATCTGCAACCAAGTAACAACAGCACCATAACGAGACGGAAGTTACGTACTCGCTGCGAGAATTACAAGTTCGCTTTCACGCTGCCAACACCAGCTTTGACCTGCACCTTTCCACTCGAATCTGAATCCACCATGACCACAATGCCTTCATCTGCGGTCTTGCCCGTTTCTAGCTCTATCTCCTGGCAGTCTTCAATACCCACGCCATTGGCAAATTGCACAACTACAAAATCGATGGGCCGCGCGCCGATCACCACCATAGGCGCATGCCACGTCCCTGCGCCGTACGTCACGGCCTGGTTCCCGGTAGCTATAAACGCTCGTATATTCTTCAAATCAGGAAGACCCGGCCCCTTCGGTCGCGCAGAGGGATGCAAGCGCGAAAACTGGCTCGGCGGCGGCGCGTTCTCGTTTGTGAAGGGACTTGGTCGCGCGCGGGCAAAGATGTCCTTGATGCCGTTCTTCTTCTTCTTAGGCTGAGGCGTCGGATATGGCGGCGGCCTCCCTGTGTGTAGTCTCGACGATGAGGCTGGCAATGTTGGCGCGACAATGACTAAATACTGCGTATGTCTCTCCTGCCCGCTCAGACCCATCGGGATAAACGTCTGGGTTGTGAATGGGTGGCGCTCGAGGATCCGCACGTCAAACAGCTCTCTATCCGCGTTGCTGTAATCGTCCTCGTCGAAGTCCAAGTCACCCCAACTGCTTGGCATGCTCTCACTCGGCTCGTGCGGTCTCAGGTCTCGCGGCGCGCAGACAAACATGTTCATGACTGCTTTTGCGGGCTTCTTGGACGGCGCGAGGCTGTAAAGGTTGGACATGTGCGTGACATCGAGGATCTTAAGGGCGGAGCCTTGATTTGCGGAAACGGTAGTGGGTAGAGGGCCGAGCTGCGAGCGCGGGAGCGGTGAATGCGCGGGGTTCTCAATCACAGTACCGAACTGGCTGAAGGACGTTTGGGTGAGGAGCTCAATTGGTATGCGTATCGAGGGTGACGGCATTTTGGTGGGCATTGTGGCGGCTGGGGGCACAGCTGCTCGGAGAAGAGTGCGTAGAGCTGGTCAGAGTTGCGGGGAATGGAGCTCGTTCACTTTCACATGCGGCGGCTAGCTCCGCATCGGACCACACTGAGCTAGACCCTTGCCCGTTTACCGCCAAGCAACGCGGGACAACGACCGCACTTCGAGCGCGTGCGGCGGGTCACCGAGTCCACCAAGAGGGCACCATGTCGGACGGCGAGCCGTCGTACATCGACTACGAGGAATTCCTCGACCCCGACTTCTCTGCGACAGCGTTCGCCAACACGCTGGTCCTCTCGACGAACAACCCCTCCGACACACCGCTAGACCTATCCACACCTCTCTCGCGTGTGCTCTTCGACGTCCAGGACATCGACACGCAAATCGACACGCTCACAACCAAGTCTGCGCTTCCGCTGCTAGACTACACGCGAGAACATGCAGCTTCCAGTGGACGCATACTGGAGGAAGTGGAGGGGCAGGTCGCAAGTTTGACCGAGTCGTACAAGGCGCTGGAGAAGGAGGTCATTGAGCGGCATGAGGTGGCAGAACAGGTCCGCCTGACTGCCGAGCGCTTGTGCCAGACGGTCAAGATGGGCCGGGCAGTCGCGCGCTGTCTCATGCTAGGAAGACAGTTGGAGGTGCGCATGACCGAGATTGGCGGGGTTGGGAGCGCAAAGAAGGAAGACCACAGAGCAATGGTGCGGTCGGCAGACACACTGCTGTCCTTGCGACAGATGTTTGCGGCTTCGGGCCCAGGAGAGGAAGGAGAGGGACTGGACAGAGTGAATGTTGTCAATGCATTGAAGAATGAGCTGGTCAGTCCTGGCGAGAGAAGCATCACCTCGAGAGCACAGCAGGTGGTCAAGGAGTTCTCCATGTCGTCACTGCTCACGTCGGGAGGACAGGCTTCATCGTCTACGTTCACGCAAACGGAAGACACAAAGTCACGGACAACATCTGCCCTGCTCACCCTGTATCTACTGTCGCCGGCCGCTGCCAACGGTGCTGCCTTTTCGCCAACTCTACTACTGAGCGCACTTCGGGACTACCTTGAGACACAGCTGAAGTCCTCACTGGCATCTCTCGCGCGATCACTGGCAACGCTGCCCACCCTCGACCGGACACTCCTCGAAATCTCGGCCCGATGTCAAAATATTCTGGCGCTTGAAATGCTCTTGGAGTCCACAAAACCTCCGGCGCACCCCCTGCTGCAACCCATTGTAAACGAGCCCTCTCACCCGGATAAGGCGCCACCGAACAATTTTCTGCAACCGCTTCTGCACGCGCTCGACACGTCGTCGCTGCCGTCTTACTTTTGGCGCTCGCTGGCGTCGAATCTTGCGCCAAGAGTGCAGGATATCATGCATCGTGGTGGGGTTTCCGCAAGGACCCTGCGCTCGAACAAGGACAGGGTTAGGGATGCGGTGAGGGACTGTGTGAATCGGGGGAGCCAGGTGCCGGGCGCACCGGCAGGCAAGGGTAAGGCAGGCGCGGCGGGGAATTGGGAGCGCGAGGCGGCCGTGATGGTGTCGTCGATCTCGGGTCAGATACGATGATGGATTCACCATGGCGTTCCTCAGCTCCAAAAGGTCACGTGATGCAAGGTGGTCTACGGGTGACGATGCATTCGGCACACCAGGTTCATGTACGAGCGGGCGTGGCAGGCTGCTGTAACGCGGCGACCCGCGGGGGTGCTCCTATAATAGAACAAAACATGTGGATGCAGAGAGCACGTCGAGGTTCAAACGACGGAGAAACAGGACGATGATTGCCCTGGGGCACGATTTATGCAATGCGTGTCCGATCTCAGCAGCGTGCGCGTCCAGGTACGAGCGTGCAGGCAAGGTGCAACAGGAGCGGCGTGATGGCTAGTGGGGGTCCATGTCTGCATCCGAGGGCACCTGCAATAAGACAGCACGCAGCGGAGGGTGCGCTTGTTCGACAGGCGGCGGGCTGGCGTGCACCGGCTCGCGAAATTGAAACAGGACCAGTGTCATTCTGGGTCAAGAGGCCCGGCTCGTAGCCTTCGACGGCAGCTGCGGGGACGGTGCCTCGCCCTTCGCGGGCTGCGTTTGGCCCGTCTGGGGCGTGTGTCTGTCAGAGCTGAGCACGGCGGCAACAGGGCTGGACGGTAGGCGTGGATGCGCCTACCGTCCCGGGTGTGCGGCGGTGCCATTGGCCAGGCCACAGAACCAACGATCTTTCCACCCTGCAGGCATTCACTGCCTCTCCACAAGACCCGCGGGACTGCGCTCACCTCACCTCCTCGCCTCACCCTCTCTTCGTTTCCTTCGCTGTACTTGGGTATTTTTCCGTCCGCTCTTCCTACCGCCGCCCATGCTCGTGCACGCCTGCCAGATATAGCCCCGACCCGTCGCTTCTGCCAGCCTTCACCGTGCCTGTCCCCTGATTCACCTCGCAATCGAGCTCCTTTGAGGCCAGCGGGACTGCAGGAGACTCGATCGCACCCAGCGTCGCAACAAGACCGACCACTCCACTCATACACTGTGCGACCCTCCCGCTCCTGGCATACTGCGAAGCCCGCCACTGACCACTTTGTCAGAATCTAAATTTCGGCCACGCAAGCCAGTGCCAGAGACGAAATGTCCAACATTGCCGGCAACCGAAACAGCACGCCAGAGGGCTCCAGCTCGCTGCGCCCGCCCAACTCGCGCAACACCATCGGCTCCACCCACCACCTGCGTGCTTCCGCCGACATGGGAGGCTTTTCCTCCCCGCTCGCCAACCGTGGCATTCGCCCAGCCTCCGAGGTCTACTTTGGCCGCCAGAACACCCAGTCTGGCAACCCCGACGAGATGGAGCGCGCCGCCCAGCAGTGGCTCGCCGACATTGACCAGTATGAGACCACCTTGGAGGAGATGGCGACCGCCACGCTCGACCAGGACTTCAAGGACGAGCTCAGCGCCATTGAGCAGTGGTTCCGCGTGCTGAGCGAGGCCGAGCGCACCGCAGCTCTGTACGCATTGCTCCAGCAGACCACCCAGGTGCAGATTAGGTTCTTCATCCAGGTGCTGCAGCAGATGTCCAAGAGCCTGCCCATGTCCAGCGTGCTTTCTCCCGCCAACTTTGGCGAGAAAGGTGAGTCGTCTCGGATTCTTCATCCATCGTACATTCTGATGCGTCCCAGATCCCATGACACAGAAGCTGAGCGACGCCATGAGCAAGTTGAGCACCAACGAGAACCGCAACTCGATGGGACTCGGTCGCCCGCCGCCATCCCCTGGTGCGAAGCGCAACTCTGGCCTTGACCAAACTACGATCAGCCGCATGTTCCCCGACGCTGCGGCTGCCATCGCAAAGCAAAAGGCAGAGTTCACCGATATTACCGGTATTGCCCCCGCTTCGAACCGTAACAGCACTGTGGGCGACCGCAGCTCGCTTGCCGCCCCGACCATCTCCGCTCCCGAAGACAAGAAGGAGAACACCGTTCCCGCCTCGCCATGGGGTGATGGTCAGCGCCCCAAGTCTTCAGGCCACCCGCAACAGCAGCCTGCCATGGGCCAATTCACTGCCCCGCCTCCGTCAGCAGGCCTGCGCTCGCCCCGCCTTCCGCTCTCTGGCGACGGTGGAAACATGCAGACCACCACGTTGAACGCTCCTGGCCAAGATGGTGCCATGCCTCTGCTCTCGCCCTCTTATGCGCCCGGTGGAAGCTGGGCCTCGCAGCTGAGCACACCCATGGTGGGTAACTTTGGTCAGACCCAGACGCAGGCTGACATGGTCGCCAACGCGACCGCCATGAAGCTTGCTGCCTTGTCCACCGTCAACAATCGCATCCAGCTCGACGACGTGCGCAAGTACCGTCGTGCTCGTTCGTCCGAGGGCCAGGGATCTGGAAACGGTCCCTTGTCCCCCGGTCTTCCCGGTGGAAATAGCTTCGTCATGACCAACGAACTCGGCCAGCTTCTGACGCCGCAACAAGCAGCCGCTCTGCAGGCCCAACAGCTTGCTGCCATGCAAGGCCGTCGCTCTCGTCCTACCTCACCCGGCTTTGCCATGCAGGGCGGGGGCCTAGGCACCGCGAACTTTCTCTCTCCACAGGCGAACGGCTTCCTCAGCGCAGATTACGGCAGCTCGCCCCTCGGAAACACTGGCATGGGTGCCCTGAATCTCGGCCAGTTCGGTATCGGCCTGGGTGACGGCCACGGCGGCTACATCTCGGACCACTCTGAGATGAATCGTGGCAGGTCTCCACGAGGACGCCGCGGCAGCTCGAAGCCGCCCGAGGACCCGACCGACTCGAACCTCCTCCAGGACATCCCGAGCTGGCTCCGGAGTCTGCGTCTGCACAAGTACACAGACAACCTCAAGGATCTCAAGTGGCAGGAGCTTGTTGAGCTCGATGATGAGGGCTTGGAGAAGCGCGGCGTCAATGCGCTGGGTGCAAGGAGGAAGATGCTGAAGGTGAGTCTTGTTACTTTTCGTTGTGAACGCGAGGAATATTGCTAACAAGATGCAGGTCTTCGAACAAGTGAAAGAAGCAAAGGAACAGGGCAGGCTCCGCACGTAGACGATCGATCGACTCGACTCGAACCGACTGGCTCCCGTACATTGTGTTTCGCGCGCGTAGTACCATAGATTTACGACTTTGGATGGCACGCGGCTGCTAGCCGGCTGTGCGCTCCATCCATGCCCACACCATCCATCATATTCCCAGACTGCTTTCTTGTTCTGCTTACTTTACGATACGTACGCTGCGATGCAATGTTCATGCATATACGGCTCGCTTTGTTTGATCTGAGTCGCTGCGCGCATGAGTGCGTGGGTGGGAGGGGGCATCGGAAAGAAAGGGGGGGTTAACTGAATTGGCTTGGCCTGACTTCGGAGATATATTTACCTTTGATATGGCATTTTGTGTTGTTAGCATGAGGGTGGGTTTGGTGTAGATTGACGGAAAGTAATGAGAATTTAGACCTGAAGAGAGTACTTCAACATGCATCGATTGTGATAGGTGGGTTGGGATGGGAGAGGGCGTGTGATGTACTGCTTTCCTCCACTGTGCTTGTACGCTCACTCCTATAAGCATTCATCAAGCCTCAGCCTCTAGACACCACTTACTCGATCCATCCCCAGCAACCGTCTCTCTCCACAGGCTCCACCCGGTAGATTGGGGACATGTCATGGCATTCGAATGTCTAGCGTGGTTTTGGTCCGATGCAGTACTTCTGTCAAGCAACGGTGACCTGCGAACAACGAAAACAGGTGCTTACCTCCTGAGCGTTTAGGATTAGCTCCGGATGGGATGGATGGAGACGGTCAGACCAAGAAGATGGGATGCACTGTTTTCCTTTTGCTATTGCACTGCACTGCACGGATGCGCGCACATGCCTCCTACCACGCCTACATGATGCCTTCACCACCCCTAAGTCCTGCTACACCACCTACTCCATGCATCCATCACTCCCGGAAACATCTCCAAAACACGGCCCACCTCCTAGATCTTATTCTCCAGCCTCCGCTCATCCCTCAGCTTGACCAGCTTCTTCACCACCTCATCCAGCGGGATGACCTCGCCCCTCTTCTGGCTCTCCTGGTCATCGCGATTGCGCACATTCGCCGCCTTGTTCTCCCGCTCCTCGGCGCCAACTACGATGATGAAGTTGTACAACGCGAGCTGCGCGGTGCGGATCTTCTTCTGCATTGTGTTGCCGCTGATGTCGATGTCGGCGTGGAGCCCCTGCGCGCGGAGCAACGCCTGGACTTCCTGCACGTAGGGGTTAACCGCGGGCATGACGGGGATGATCATGACTTGCCGCGGGGAGATCCAGAAGGGCCAGCGGCCGGCGAAGTGCTCGGTGAGGATGCTGGAGGAGAGGCGTTAGTATGTGTACAGGCTAAGAGGGGGGAAGGATGGTTAGCTTACCCGATGAAGCGCTCAAAGGAGCCGTAGATGGCGCGATGGATCATCACGGGGCGGGCGTAACCCGGCGGGGGCGCGGGTGTTTTCTTGATGACCTCGTTCTCGGCCTCGGCGAGCTCCTTGGGCCGATCATGCTTCTCCTTCTCCTCCTTCGGCTTTTCCGCCGCCTCCTTGTCCGTCTTCGGGCGCGCCTCAGACGTCATGTACTCGAGCTCGAAGCGCTGGGGCAGCTGGAAGTCGAGCTGGATGGTGGCGCACTGGAAGTCGCGGCGCAGCGCATCCTGGATGGTGATGTCGATCTTGGGGCCGTAGAAGGCGCCGTCGCCGGGGTTAAGTTCCCAGGCGCCGCCTCCCTCCGCGGTGAACTGGTTCAAGGCCTCGGTGAGCTTGGCCTCAGCCTTGTCCCAGGTCGAAATCTCGCCCAGGAAGCCCTCGGGCCGCGTGCTCAGCTTGAGCTTGAAGGTGAAGCCGAACTTGCCGTATACTTCGCGCAGAAAGTCGAAGAGCTGGGTGATTTCCTCGGTGATCTGGTCCTCTGTGCAGAAGATGTGGGTGTCATCCTGCTGGAATCGGCGCACCCGGGTCAGGCCGGAGAGCGCACCGGAGGCCTCGTTTCGGTGGAGGATACCGAAGTCTGCCATCCGAATGGGAAGCTCGCGGTAGCTTCGCTCGCGGTGCCCGAAGATGAGGCAGTGACCGGGGCAGTTCATGGGCTTAAGCGCCCACTTCTCCTTTTCGACCTCGAATGTGAACATGTCTTCTGAGTAGTGCTGCCAGTGACCGGAGGTCTTCCACAGCGCCGAGTTGTACATATTTGGTGATCCAACCTCCTGGTAGCCGCGCTTCCAGTACTGTTCCCTCAGATAAGCGTTGAGCGTGTTGTAGATGATCATTCCGTGCGGCAAGAAGAAGCAAGAGCCCGGGCTGTACTCGTGGAAGAAAAAAAGTTCCTGTTCCTTGCCGATCTTGCGATGGTCACGCTTAGCAGCCTCCTCGAGGTACTTGAGATGCTCCTGCATGCGATCCTTGTCTGGGAACGAAACACCATAGATGCGCTGCAAGCTGTCGTTGTTGGCATCTCCGAGGAAGTACGAAGCAGAGTTCTTCATGATCTTGAACTGCTTGATGCGACCCGTGTGCGGTACGTGGGGTCCTCGGCAGAGATCGATGAGCGGTCCATTGCGGTAGACTGTGGTGAACGTGCCGTCAGGGATCTTGTCCTTGATAATGTGCTGCTTATAAGGGTTTGACTTGAACATCTCAAGAAGGTCCTCCTTGGAAAGGCTCAATCGTTGGAAGACTTGCTTTTCCTTGACAATGCTGCTGACGATGGTCTCGAGGGGTTTGTAGTCTGAGCTTTCGACGGCAGCTTTTTCTGGCAGCGCCATCTAGTGTGTGTCAGTGATGTTAGATCTATAGCGAGGTGTCATGTGTCGGGTTCCGAATTCGTACCTCGTAGTAGAAGCCGTCCTCAATTGGCGGGCCAATGCAGAGGTCACAGCCAAATCTTCGCTCCGAGGCCTCGCCGAGAATATGAGCGCTCGAGTGCCAGAAGACCCTCTTGCCCTCCTCATGGTCGAAATCTAGGAGTTCCAGCTTGCAGCTCTTCTCCAAGGGTCTCTCCAAATCCCACAGCGTCTCGTCTGGTGTGCCGTGGTCCAGCCGAGCGATGACTGTGCGCTCGAACAAGCTCTTGCTGATACCGCGCGCAATGTCTGCCGGGCTGGTGACCCATGATTCTCCGACATGGACCTTTCCGTCTCCGAGAGTGATTTCGATCTTCTCGCGCGGCTTCTGGGCGATTTCCTCGTCGTATTTGGCCTTCAATTGTTCGAAGATCTTGACCCGGTGGTCGATGAACGCAGCGGGTGGGCTGAGTTCGAGCGGTCGGCCATCCCCGGTCTCTGCACCCTTTTTGGCCTTCTTCTCCTTCTTTGGCTTGGCCTCACCAGACACGGCAAGGTTCTTAACGTTGTCGGTGACCTCCTTCACAGCGTCTTTCACTGCTTCAGCCATGTTGCAACCTTGGACGTCTTGGAAGTATTAGAATAGTGCGAAGTTGTTCCTTGTATCGCGGACAGAATCAGCGTACAGTGAGTGCTCGAGAATTGGCGATAGTACTGTTGTACTGTTGTTGTTGTTGTTGTTGTTGTCGGTCGGGTTCGACCCCTCGCGCGCACTATATGTGAGTCTGTTTCGTCGTGAGTCAAAGTCGCACGGAGCGCTGAGGAGTGTGGCTGCTGACTGCAAGCACTGTGACTCGATCCTTCTTACCTCAGACCTACGGGGCTTTTTTCACCCAAACAACCTGATATGTCCGTCGAAAAAGCGAATTGAGCGTTCCTCGCATTTGAATCGCGAAGCAGCCCACCTCTTGGCGTCCCGCGGTGTGTAGTGGGGCAGGCGCTACCCTGGCTGCGGCGGAACAACATAACGCCGATTGGCCTGCAGCTCCTGGCATTTTCGATTTTCTCTTTCGCCCTGCAGGCGCAACAGCTCACGACGCGCAAGACGATTGCACCCCCAGCACAACTACACACAATATGTCGTTTCGCGGAACACCTCGAGGCGGCCGCGGAGGCGGCTCGCGCGGCGGATTCACTCCCCGTGGCGGTGCGTCAATCACAGCCGCAGAGCTCCAGTGCGCAACAGCTAATGGCTTGCAGGTCGCGGAGGCTTCCAGCCATCCTTTGGGCCACCTGATACCGTATACCGTATGTTCTATCACGAGCCGCGCATCTGGATGAAGGCTAACACGATGTAGCCATGGGTGAATTCATGCACGACGTCGAAGGCGAGTTGATGTGCACGTCCGTCAACGAAAAGATCCCCTACTTCAACGCGCCGATATACCTCGAGAACAAGACGCCTGTAGGCAAGGTCGACGAGATCCTCGGACCCATCACCCAAGTCTACTTCACGATCAAGCCATCGGAGGGCATCCAGGCAAAATCCTTCAAGAAGGGCGATAAGTTCTACATTGGCGGCGACAAGCTGCTACCATTGGACAAGTATGCTACCTTCTCCCTTCTCCCTTCATTCCCAGGATGCTTTTTATGAAATTGAACCTGTGTGTTGGGTTGTCGCATGCGATATTCCCCCAATTATGCAGCGATCCCGGAACCCAATCACTCCTTTGGGCCGAACGCGAGCTAAGACGTCAAACTAGATTCCTACCGAAGCCCAAGCCCGCACCGGGCGCACCGAAGGTGAAGAAGCCTGCCGGCAGGGGCGGCGCTCGCGGCGGATTCGGTGCTCGTGGTGGCCGTGGCCGTGGAGCGCCCCGTGGCGGTGGCTTCTCAAGAGGAGGAGCTGGTGGACGAGGAGGCTCTTTCGGTGGCTCCCGGGGCGGCTCCTTCGGTGGACGCGGCGGCGGCCGTGGTGGCAGCGGTGGTTTCTCGCGCGGTGGTAGCCGTGGGGGCTTCAGCCGTGGTGGAAGAGGAGGTTATTAAGCACGATCGCACGAAGGTGTCAGCACGACATAACGGACGAAGGCACCACACTTCTTTCTACTGGTACTGGCGCGAGCGCATCGATACCTTGTCATCTACGGCGTTTGGTGTTTGGAAGTGGCTTTTGGAAAGTCTAGGCTGCCTACGACTGCAATCACGGCGGGCCACGGGAACCTCGCATGCATGTATATTGAAAATTCGATCTTAGACGTTGCAAAGAGTAACGAGGACTGTACGAGACAGCTTCATGCATGTCTCTATCGATTATGACCTGAACTCGTATTCTGTCTCGTCTTGCGTAGACTACAGAAAGAGACAACCTGTGTCTCAAGACCTCCTTGAGATTTCAATCTTAGTCTACTATACGAACAAAGAAACCCGGTACAAATGACCAATAGCATTCCGTTCAAAAGCGTGTGGAGTTGCGAACGCACTCCCGAATCTTGGCATAGGTTCAGCCTTGACGTTCGCTAGCTGCCGCATATGACGTGGGCCAGCAGCTCCTCAAGAACCTTGAATAGTTTCCGCAATCCTGCACCACCTACACGTCGACGCGGGTACACACGAACCCACAGACGCACTCGAAATACCCACGTCTCTTTATCGTCTTTCTCTCATTACCCTCTCACCAGCCATACCTACGCCTTCCGCTGCCTACTCCCCACCTCACCGCTACCCCATCATGTCGCGAAGAAACGGCGCGCCCGCTGGGCCAAAGGACGAGATGCCCCCGTCAAAGGACCAGAGTATGTAGCGACGCAGAGTTGAGGAACCTCATAGTTAACGGCTTGCAGCGCAAGACAAGCAAGCGCGGCTCCTCAGCTCAGAAGCTGGGCACTTCTCGCTCTTCCGTGCGCTACACCTCGCAGATTTCATCACCGAGATGAACGGTACGACCTCCTCTCCCGGTCCCCCTACCACAGGACCTAAATGCTAATACGGGAATGGCCAGGCTTCTGCGGCGTCATGTCCATCTTCTCGTCGCTCCGCTACTGCGCCCAAGATGACCCCACAAACTACACAAACGCCTATATCGCGCTCAGCCTGATTCCCCTGGGCATGTTCTTTGACCTGTTCGACGGCAAGGTCGCGCGCTGGAGGAAGAAGGCCTCCCTCATGGGCCAGGAGCTCGATTCGCTGGCTGACCTGGTACGTTTCCTTCCCCCCTCTCACATCCAGGGTTAAAAAAAAAAAAGAACGAACGTGCTAATATTTGTAACAACCAGATATCCTTCGGCGTCGCCCCCGCCTCCGCTGCCTTCGCCCTCGGCCTCCGCACGCCCCTCGACCACCTCCTCCTCGTCTTCTTCGTCCTCTGCGGCCTCACCCGCCTTGCCCGCTTCAACGTCACCGTGGCCATGCTCCCCAAAGACGCCACCGGCAAGTCCAAATACTTCGAGGGCACCCCGATCCCCACCTCCATCGGCCTCGCCTGCATCATGGCCTTCTGGGCGAGCAAAGGGTGGACCCACGCCCAGCTGCCGCTTGGCGTGATGGGTGTCGGCCAATGGTGGGAGGTGCATCCTGTCGCGCTGGCGTTTGTGCTGCACGGGTGTCTAATGGTTAGCAAGACGCTACATGTGCCGAAGCCGTAGAGCGGATGTGGTGGGACTGGTGTGGTATCCAGGAGGGTTGCAAGAGGAGAGGCATGAGAGTTCGATGCTCTGGTGTTTCCGGACGTGATCCGCACTGTTCTCATATTCAGAGAGCGGGAGAAGATGCATCTATATGTGGCACCACCTCATCGTGGTCGATGCTTATGAGTACAAAAGAAAGAATTGATATACCTTGAACTAATTACGATGGCTAAAGGATACATACCGTGCGATTTCTCGTGGGCGATTTCTCGTGGGCGATAGACTTCTTCCCCATAATTCAAACGATTCTACTCAGAAACGATCGTTTTGCAACTGACCCAGATGCAATAAAGCCACATGTTATTAGACATCACAAAGCAACATGCGTAGTCTAGTCCGATGAAGCTACTGTTCAATTGTTGCTGTTACAGAGAAGGTACTTCCCCCGGACCCTCTTTCTCCCGCTTTGCCATCTCCACACCACCTAGGGTCCGTCTTCTATTCGCCATATGTATACCCGCGTCCCTCCCATCCATTAGGCAGCGCTTAGGCCGACCCTTCCCGTGTACTGTCCCCTCCGAACAACATCATGCAAACCGGATGCCAACAATAACTACCCAAAACTTCCACCAAGCGGTGTATTACGTGTCCGAAATACCAGTAGTATGCAGACGATGATATGCTGATGAGAAGATATCCTGTCTGTGGTCGGTAGTGCTCATTTGACGCCTCGTTGGGTGTCTGAAGGTGCGTTCCTTCGTGCTTTGAAATGATAGATTTGTCTATCGGATTATTCATCTGGTGATGATCAATTGGAAGCCGTCAAGCCACGCAGCGCTTGAGCCTGCTATGCCGCCGATGGTGTAGCCGCGAGGAGGAATGAGCGTGTGTCTGTAATCGTTAGCATAGAGAGATAACTTGATTTTAACGAAACGTACCCGCTGCCGCCGTGAGCGTTGCCAAACCACTCGCTCTTGCGGCCCAGGCTGGTCAAGATCTGGATTCCATCGATCCAGAGTCCAGCCCGCAGTGCGAAACCGAGTAGTAGCTCGCCTTTCCTTGTGTCTAATGCAAACTCTGTACCGCCGGGCTTCCCTCCTCGTTTGCCGAACAGTTGGCTTGTAGAATCTTCATAAAAAAATTCGAGACCGTCAACAGCAAGGCCGTGGTATACTCGAATCGATAAGAGAAGTTTTGTCGAAATATGAGCGCAATCAAGAATGAGCTCTTGCGGCTGCGAGCCCTCCATCTGTGAAAAGCCTAGTTTGCCTCCGCGGTAGCCCCACCGTCCGTCAGGCAGCCTCACGCGAGCGAATTTCTGGTTTGCGAGTTGGGAAAGGTCTTCCACCACGTGCTTGCCGCCACCGGCAGAAAATATCTCGAGTTTGAGTCGAGACTTCTGCTTCTCTTTGGGTAAAAGGTCGCGAAGCTCAGTCTCGTTCAGTGCGACCTGGCGTGGATACTGGTTCTCGAGTTCAGGCCATCGTTTCCAGTAGTGGCAAACATCGTCGCCCTCTGGGTACAATTCGACCCAAGCGATTCCAGATTTTGAAGATGCAATCACACCTCCTTGGCCGTTGTCGACCGTCCAAACCTGCACGCTTTCGTCCCCAGCTCCATTGTCCAAAGGTATCCGGAAACATGGGTGAAACCGAAAGCGGAGGGCATCGAGAATATGCCAGGAACACTCGTCAGATGGCAGCACTAACCTTTGCCCAGGTGATTTGGTGCGGGTGGCATACGGCTCGCGGGTCGTAAAGGTACGGTTAAGAGTGACGTAGTCACGCAACATGACTCCAGACTCCTGGTGAGGGCATCCGAACAAATGGCCGGTCTCATGGAGATGAGCACCTATCCCGATATTTGCCGATTCCCAATTGCTGCCAGCTTCATTGCAATCATTCGCCACGTGCGCGGTGTCTGTCCTCGTGCAATCGCCAAAAGCCTGCCACACTTCCTCAATGCTTGAAGGATAACTTTGGAGGGCATGCGATCCAAAGATGCCAAGCTGGATATCGCCAACCCCTCCACCTAGAGCGGCATGCCCTAGGATGATCTGGTGTTGGGGGTCCCAATGTGCATCAAGGAACAGGCAGGACACGTATTGCTTCTGTCCAGATTTCGTCTGGAAATAATTCTTTATGGCATCGGCCGCGATGCCGAACAAGTCTCCGTTCTTCGTGGCTTTTGGATTCTGTTGTGCGCGATCCAGGTCGCGAATCTCTGCGACGGTCTTGTCTGATCGAATGACGTGGATCTTGGCCTGGTTCCGAAACTGACCGGTGCCCCAATCTTGGTAGCTCAACGATCCCGGCTCCCATGAATCTTCGAAGCGAAAGCACCTCCTCCCAAAGCCATGTCGGTTCATCTGCTCACCAGTAAAGGCTTGCCAGAGGTATGCCGCCATGCGGAACTTCTTAATCGCAAGATCCAACCCGTTGCCTTCGCGCTGTCTACGTTCCGGTGTGGCGTCGTATGTTCCAGGTGAGTCGCTCCCAAGAATGATCGCAAGTTGAAGCGGTGGAGAGTCGGTGAGGGGAAGGTAATTAACATTAAGAAATGAGGCGTGTGGGGAAACGGAAGTGTTGCTGGAGGACACTTTCGGAGAGGTAAAGTCCAAGCGAAGACGGTTCCAGCCCGGCTCGAGGTGTACAAGTGCTTTGAAGTATGAGTCACATACCGGCCAGGCAGTGGGAGGGAAGCGCCCTTGATGATGATTCACAGTCACGGTGCCGTCCAGCGGCCTATGAGCCGAGTCGCCAATTTGTCCAAAGATCAGCAGGACCTGCTGATGCACCTGGGACAGTTAGAGAAGCATCGCTTGCGTAATGTAAAAACATACCCATGAACCTTCGGAGACGGATAGCACGCGCGGTGCAAGTAGAGAGGAGGGATTGGCAGCGAGCTGAGAGCTGCTGGAGGTCGACATGCCCTGTCCCACGTTAGTGTCCGCTTGTGTACCTGGTCGGCTGGCGAGCCTCACGTTCAGGCTGTAACGCTTCGTAGGGTTTGGAGCGGGTCGCTGAGGCCGAGTTGTGGGCAGCGGCGGGATATCGTCTTTGGGCTGGCCGCTAGCTTCTCCAGAAGTCGACGTTGCAGGAGAGGATGATCCAAGGGCGGAGGAATTCAAAGTCGACGACGACTTGCGCCGGGACACGCCATTGCCATTGTGCCCGTTCGCGTGGCCGTTGCCATTCACATGGGCTGGGGCAGGCTTCTCCTCTGATTTGACGTTGATCTTGCTCTTTCTCCGCAAGCTCGAAAGAAAGGAAGGCATGGCCGAGAGTATCGCGATCGTGGGCGGGTGCACTGTTCAACAGATCATAGGTGGAGGGCGAGAAACGAGGGACCGAATGTCGCGCAGGTTGGCAGGGACGCGTAATCGCGGAATACGTGCACAGCGCCGTATTGTAGAACGCGACGGGTAATCGGTTGGCAATGGCAGCTTTCTGGGGATCAAGGGACGGCCTGGGTGGCAAACGAGCGAAGTCAGAAGCGACCGACGAGAAACGAGGGTGGAAGAGTGAATGCGAGCGTCTCCGGAGTGGAAGGGCGAGTCCAGGTTGCAGGTGCAGCGAGGGTAGATCTATCAGTATCTACACTTTAGCGTGCAGGAAACCTGCATGGGCGTTGGCCTTGGAAAAGCGCGCAGGTCTCAAACAGGCAATTGCATTCAGACGAAACACCTGAGGCTCACGGAAGAGCAGGCGCGCGTATATGGGCGGGTAAAGAACGACACGGGGTCGCGAAGGCCAGTTTGTGTTGCACAGAGCGTCGTCGCGACTGCCCTTCGGTGGCAGGCATGACGTCGCTATGTTTTAGTCTAACAGTCTAAGCGCGGCGCCGCTTCCGAAGCGATTCCAGCCGCCAAGCCGTTTTCCAAGATTTGTCTGCCTTTGAAGCGCTGCGAAGCCGTGAGCCGATTCAATCGGCCGCTCTGTCAGACTGCCACGATCCAACAATGCTCGGACTGCACAAGAACGGGACGCATTCTGGTGCCAGCTTGGTGAAATCTCCCCGTCCCGATCACTTATGAGGGACGCGGATGCGGATGCGACGGATCTACATCTGCAGGGCCCTTACACAGTATTTAGCTGCCACAAAGCCACCGCAGGAAGATTGGAGAGCCGAAAGCCAGCCTGGCGTGAAGTTACACAGCGCCTTCGGTTTGACAGCCTAAGCATTCGCATCGAACGTGCCCTCGCCCTCGTAAGTGTGGCTGGTGACGAGGCGGATCGCTCTGGATCCCCGGCCCTAGGGCTTAGGCTAGACTAGATGCATCGATATGTTTCTCAGCGTACTGTACAGCGCCGTCAGCAGCCATTACCGCCTAGGTCCAACCCCTGTCCTCGCCAAACACCAAAAGCAATCTCGCCAGGCTGCCAATTGCCCGGCCAGCGTCGTTTTGCGTGATGGGCGTGTAGTAGTCACTGTCTCTGCGGAACTCTCCACTGCCCGAACTTGGCGCTGACAGTCGTTGTGAAGTCGGCCGCCTCGATTGCCCGGTGCCGGGGCCTGTGCTTTGGCAAGCTATTCCCTATCCCTCCGGAGCACTGTCCACATTCCTCTGCCGCTTCAGCTGGTGCGACTCCCAAGCCTGCAACCGCCGTTGAAACGCTTGCGAGAGCTCGTCAACCTCTGCTCCGCACTGCAAGCCTGCCCGCTGGAACCTCAACACCATGGCCAACGTCGACCGCAGTGATCAGCCCGCCGAGGTTGCGAGCAGGGTGTTGCGGAGGGCACAAGTCTCAAAGGTAGCTTCTTGCCGCGGGCCCCTTTGGGCATTGCATGCTAATTCCGTCTCTGTAGATGACCCGCACTTTGCAGAACCGCCTTGCGCTGGCCAACGTCAAGATCAAGCATGGATGGCAGGACCTGTCGCTCGACCACCTGGAGCCGCGGGTAGATGTCGAGCTTAAGCGGAAGCGCCCTGGCTCTAGTAACGAAACCATGTCCAACGCCTCGTCGGTGTCGGAACGCTTCTATCAGGACGGCGTCCTCGACTCGTCCCCGCTCGCGGCGCCCATATTTTCGGAGGAAATTGGCCGCTCGGGCAGTCGCTCAAGCAACCACAGCCATCACAGCCAGACCAAGCGGCCTCGCTATACCCAATCCTTCAACAACTACCCCGGCACTAGCAACCACAATCGGATGAAAGTGAGGACGACGACCACCGCATCTCAATCGTGGAAGAACAGCTTCCAGCTGCCCGAGTCGTCTCCCGTATACCACCGCCGCCATGCTCGCTTCGGTCGTGTGCAGCACGCACCCAGCCTCTCCTTCGTCTCTGAGACATCGACCGTCCCCGACCCTCGCTCGCCCCTCATGTCCGAAGATGACGACGAAGACCTGCCCGTATCGTCGTTCCAGATCAACAAGTCCTTCATGCGATCCTCGCCGCCGAGAGTCCCACGCACACCGCCACCTGGTGTTGCCCGCTCCGCACGCCTCCGTCAGAGCGGCTTCACAGCAGCCGGCGCCGCAAGAGAAGGACACAAAGGGGAGGAAGATGTTGGCCTCCTCATGCATTTTGCCACCTCACCGTCGCCAGCCAGGCCGGGTGATTCGAAACCACACATGCTCCCGCCCTCCACGCCGCCACCAAAATCCACTCCTCTACCATCTTCGCACATGTCCACACCAGGAGGCGGACTCAACTTCGGCTTTGGCCTGCAAACACCCAATGCTAATCTAAACTTCGCCGACTTCCTCAACATGTCCCCGAGCCCTGCACAGATCAACCAGTCATGGAACCGCACACCGATTGCTGGAAAGACGCCAGTTGCTGCACGAGAGGCCCGACGGAGACTGAACTTCGACACACTGGCACCACCCACAAGCGAAAGCAGGATGCCCAAAGTCGAAGGTCTCGGCATGGAATTAGGTGGGGAGCTCGTCTCCTAAAGATCAGAACTGCTGAGAATGTTGATTACGACCACCCTCGAGGGCATGACTGACGACTGCGACACGAGCTATATACATGGATGTATACACAAGCGTGTTGTTGGATCTACCCCACGAGGAATCTACTTTGTTTCACACTGTCTTTACCCAGCACGGCGTTTCACAGGCGGATGTGCTTATTTCAGCGGCGTCCCAAGACGAAGTGCTTTTTGCATCACCACACCAGTTTGCCATATGAAGACCGAGCAAACAGATACCATAGGCAGCCGATCTGCCCCTCTCCTACCACCCACCCAACATCTTACCCGGCGGCACCAGAGAGACTGGCTACCCAGCAAGCGCTCTGTGTCACCGCCCTCCTTGCATACCCTACGTACGCCTTCTGTATTATCTTGGCCCCCTGTATACTAGCAGCGCTGAGCCACTTCCCTTTGTTTATCTGTCCATCTTCTATAGCGGGTATAAGAGAACGTATGTATCGTTTGGGCTTCTCCCACATTTGGGGGCGAAATAGCTAGGCCACTGGCCCAGCTGGGCTGCAGTCGGAAGGGTGGCATGTCGACAGCCGGAAAACGCAATCAAACATTTTTAGCTTGAGTTCCTATTTGCACCTTCGTTTCCGCAAACTTGATTCAGGGCTGATCTTGCAATGCTGATAGGCGCTCGCTCGTTGTTCTGCACGAGAAGGGAGCGCCGACAGCGAATCGATGCGCCGCCACCGGGGGCGTCGCATATGCATGCACGAGGCGAGGAGGCATCTCCAAAGACGGCAGACGCAGACGAAAGACGCAGATGCAGATGCACACGTTGCCATTACTATTCGCAGTGACTGCGAACCGCTGTAATGCACGCGCAGACAGCCGGCGAACTTGATCTACGCAAAGCACACACACGACAAGAGCTGTCGTCTTATGCGCACATTGAGACTTGGGCCGGAGTACCATCCGTCCGCCTCACACCACCCACGATATCCCCGCACACCCTCTCCGCTACCAAACCACCACCACGCTACCTAACACTGTAAGTAGGATTTCATCGTCGTCATAGACGAACACGAATAAAGTAAACACAGAGGTCGACCGCGGACACGTCATGACGACAGAAAGTAAACCAAACAGTGGTGCCCGGCTATTAGCAGCCCCGCCCCTCTTTTTCGCAGCAAAGAACAACGCGAGCTGGCGCTGACGCGAGCGGACGTGTCAGGTTCGCGGTTAGCGGACAGGCTATGACATGTTGGGGTGAAAGTGTATCTGCGGTATTTTATCAGCCGTATTGAAACAGAGAATGAAGGAACGGGTGCACCGCCACAGGAGGAGTGTGGCAGGATTGAGGGGCTGGGAGATCGACGATGATTCGTGTGTACTTGCATGGATACATACGAAGTGCAAGTCTCCTCTCCACGTCGACTCGCCTTGACTGGATATCTCAAACATTTAGCAGAAATCCCATATTTGACTCTTCTGAACTACCTATTGCAACAACCGAAATGTTGCCTGCCTTTGTTCTCGTGCAGGTCCCGCCAGACAGATCGCGATCGCACCCAAGAAGACAGAGATAGCGCATAAACCGTCTCACTTCGCTTCTTTCATCCCGAGGAGACTTGCTCGCTTGCGCGAAGCACTGACACGACTACGCCGGTGCCATGGCATTTGCGCGCAAAAGCAAGATTGCCCATGTCTCGTTTTCGGTCCGGAGGCGTAGATAGCGGAGATGAGGCGGGCATTGGCCGTGGGGAGATGGACCGCCAGTGGCTGAGCGCCGGGTGTGTTGCACGGAGGGCTATGGAGAGGCAGACGACAAGACGAAGGCAGACATGGAATGTAAAACAACATGATGTTTCGTTCAGAGATGCATTGACCAACATAGCTCGTCGCGCTCAGAAGCAGCGATATATCCGCAGCACACTATATCAACGGGCTCCCCTTTTGCCTTCACAAAATCCCACCGTATAAGTTCCTCCAGCCAGGCCTTCGTTCCCCAGTGCCCTGTAATCCATAGCCCAAACACCCACCCATGCATATAGCGGTATCTTAATCACATCCTGTTAACGCCGCGCAAATGCGCCCATGTTCATATACGTCTGCATCGCATACATCGCATACATCGCATACATCGCATCAATAATACATTAACGAAACCGGCCGAAGGAGATGACATAAGACGTCGAACCACAGCGGCCCCTAGCCGTACTGGTTCTGGTTGACCTGGCTCGCCATGACCATGATCCAGACGAAGAAGACGGTGCCGATGATCCAGAAGGCGAAGGCGGCGTTCCAGCACTGGCCTGTTCACCATTAGCGTTCATCCTTTTGCCCCCTACTCCCCAGTGGGAAAGAATCGAACTCACAAATATTATTCTGCTGCAGCCACGCTAGCGTCTCCACACTGCTCCCATACTGCTGACTCGAGACATTGTTGACGTAGGTATTGCACTGGTTGCTTATGTTCGGGCCGGCGAAGAGGTTCAGTGCCGTCCCGACGATGCCCGCGATGAAGAGCACGAGCAGGATGAAACTGAAGAGCATGACGACGCCCGGGAGCAGGCGGCGCTGCGCGATGAGGACGAGCATGACGAGGATCCAGGCGATGGTCAGCGCGCCGACGGTGATGCCGTAGGGTATTATCCTGTGTACCTCGTTAACCACCGGCATCTAGAAAGGCAGAGGGGGAAGGAGCACATACCAAGGAATCGCCTGCTGCATCCTATTCTGAATTACTAGAAACTCGGCAAAGACGCCCAAAATCGTGCCCGCGGTAGCGAGCATGACGATGGTCCAGAAGTTGAGCTGGGCATCCGGCCAGAAGAACTTCTCGCGCACCACGACCGCGGAGCCGACGACTGTGCGCGCCATTGTGTTATTTTGCCTTTCTTCTTAAAACGCCCCTGCGATGCGATGTGGGGGATTTGAACTATGATGCGGTGCAGCGCTCGCGGAGAGAAGTATGCGCTGGTGTCGTCCTCGCCCGGTCTCGCGTGCTTCCCTCTGCTCTTAAACGTCCGTTCAGCTACCGTGCCTTTCGCACCAGTCCTTCTCGTGAAACTCCCTCCTGCAATTCTTCGCGTAGCAGCGGCCGAAGGCGGCGACGTTCGTTCCGGTCTCGCGTTGCGGGCGCGGGTTCAGCTTAAGCGAATGCGTGACGTGCTCTCGTCGCGGGGCACCAGCAAAAACAGCTTTGAGAAGCAGTCGTGTCGAAGCAGCAGAGACGTACGGAGGCTCGAAGAGCGTGGATGCAGCGGCACTCGACGCAGGGCGCGGTGCCTGGATCATGTGGTAGCGTTGGCGGCAACGCCGAGGATCCCGCTGCGAGGCTGGGAAGGGGTTGGGGTCGCGACACCACCCTGGCTGCATTGGAAATGACGACGTCTACATGTAATTGCGACGGCAGCACGTGTCCAGGCACCCTCGCGGGCGGGAGTCTGGACATTACAAAATCTTCCTGTGATGGTGATATTACGCATTAATTGTATACTGAACAAGTGGTGAGGTTTCTATAGACTGCCGAGTCGTGCTCGTCCAGACTCCACCATGCTTTCAACGCCGCCCATGCAAAAATGTTTCCAAATCCCGCAGCGTACATCAATGCGATGCGAACTCATTTGCTCCACTTGTTGCTCTTCACCACCTTCGTAATTGCGTGACGGATGGTGATACCCGCCTTTTCTGTCTCCTTCTTAGTCAGACCCGAGGTCACGCAGACCTTGATGGCAGGCGTTGGTTGCCATCCTTCATCCCGCGGGTTAGCACCCAAACCGAGAGGGTAGGCCTTGACCCGTGTGACGAGGACGTTGTTGGCAAGACACTGCTGCATGTCAACATTTCATTCAGTGAGTAATCAGCTATCATGAGAACGTACCTCGTCGACCGTGTCCTGCAACAGCTGTGCTTGATCTTTTGTACTCCAGCCCTTGGAAGCTACGACCTCTGGTTTGAGTATCAGAATCATGATCGGGTTATCAACGTTGCTTGTGCACTTGACCCAGTCGCTTCTGGGGTCTAGTTGGGCGCGCATGGCTTTGATGTTGTCGCGCAGCGCCGTCAGGATCTCTGGTTGTTCTTGAAGCATGGATATTGTTTCACTGGCGGTGGTTGAGAGCAGTGCGGGAAGCGCGGCGGAGTACGTGTAAGATGCGGACGAGATGCGCTGGTGCTCCACCACTTCTTCAGTTCCAGCACAAAACCCTCCTGCTGCACACAGAGGCCCCGAGAGATTTCCAATTATCATGTCGATCTCTCGGGCGTCCACATTCTGTGCTTCTGTGAGGCCCCGACCGGTCCTGCCGAGAACGCCATAGGACCAGGTCTCATCTAGAATCAATCGAAATTTATACTTGTGCTTGAGTTCGACCTGAAGTCACCGTGAATACGTCTCCCTCCAAACGTGAAGTGCATACAACTTACAAGCCTCGGCAGATCCGACACATCGCCAATATTCTCAAACATGCCTTCGGTGATGATGAAGCGCCGGGTAAGCGGCTTCTTTGCCTGTTCCTTGGTGACCTTCTGCAGCACCCTCTCCAAGTCTTCCATGTCGTTGTGCTCGTACCACCGTACCGTACTCCTGCTTATCTGAATGCCCTTCCGCGTTGAGAAATTCACGGCCTTGTCTGCGACAATGATATCGCCTCGTTTGCAAAAAGACGGGATAACGCTGGAGATGGTCGAGAAAGACTGCGCGTAGATGATGCAGGCAGGCACGCCCAAGTGCGCTGCCACATCGGCCTCCGTCTTCATATGCACGTCCTGCGTGCCGTAGAACCCTGGCGGCCCGCATGGTCCCACCCCGTACGTACGCAGCGTCTGGATGGCCTTCTCCTTGAGCATCTCATTTCCGACGAAATTGTAGAAGTTATAGGATGCGAGGTTCGTGACGGTGCGGCCGTTGGAGAGCTTTGACTTGGGCCCGGTAGGACTGCGCGCGCATCAGCATCGGTTCCGCGCCTTTGATACTGCGACAGCTTACCCGACAAGAACAGGTCGTTTCTCGTTCTCGAACTCGTCGGTAGGCGTCGTCGCAGCAACCAGCGGCTCTGGCGTCCACTCGTCCACCAACTCATCGATCTCCTGCTCCTGCGTCAGCCCCTATCCCGCCGGCCCTTCTGTACACCGCGAACTCACCTCCTCGGTCAGCTTGACCTTTTTCTGCGTGCTGTAGCTCGGGCTCAGCATATACCGCACCGCGAACAGAAACAGAAACAGCTCAATTGCGCTGCGCACGGGGTCGTCCTGGTAGCTGCTCTTGATGTACCGCAGTATGATAGCCGAGCCGGGCATTTTGTGGAACTGCGCGTTTGCGTCGTTGAAGAGGCGCACCAGCGTGTTCTGCGTCTCTTGGAGGTCCATGGTGGGTGGCGACAGCGGTTTGGTTGTTGAGTATTGCTCCCCCGAAAAATAGTGGTTCCGACTTGGGGGTCGCGGTTGCGGAGTGCGTCGGAAGAGAAGGAACACGACCACGCCCGCACGTGCCCCCGTAATCTCATCGGCACACGCAGCCCAAACAGACCACACCGGCGAGCATTCACACCTTCAGTCCCATTAAAACATCCCCTTCGACACCCCGTGGTCAGAAAAAAGATAGTCGAGATGATCAATGTCAATGATGAATCCAGACAACTCTTGCTCAACGTTGCGACGTCCCAACTGAGTGAGTCCATGACCAGCACTTCACATTTGCATGGGAACGATAGTAAGAACACTAAGACCCGTGTATTTAAGTCAATGCAAACGCTTATCTAACATATTCGCCAGCCAAATCCACCAAACCCCAGCCATTGTGTCATAGTATGTGCAGCCGCCTAAGAGACGGACGAAGTGAACAAGACAGGGCCTCTAGAACCCAGTCCGACACCCAGAAGACAAAAGTGACGCTTGCACCTGTTGACCGGCTCCAATATTACAATCATTATGAGAGACTCCAGTCTCCATGCCGTCATGCTTACGCCATGTTGTACAATGCAAGGTCAAATAAATCCAACTCGACTTCGTAACATTTTAAAAAGCCATGAATCGGCGGATCTTCGCCGAGCTGTCAGTTGAGGTTGCCACCGCCTCATCGCCACCAGGGCCAGGGCACGGCAGGTTGTTGATACAACTACCAGTGACCGTGGTCGTGGTATCGTTGTTGTTCAGGCCAGTAGGCTGGAGAAGATCCATGGGAATCTTGATGTTCAGCTTGAGGAACTTGCCAGCGACGACTGGTCCGACCATGAGGGCGATGAAGATGACCAGCAGGAGGAAGTAAAGGATAGCGTAACGGACCACTCTCCTCCTGCGAAGCTTGGTCTGCTTTAATGAGTAGATAGGAGGTCGAATTTGGCGACTACGGCAGTTAATATTTTGGAAACGAAGAAAACAAATTCAGGGTAGAACATACCTAGGTCGAAGCCAAAACAGCATGACCGAGTGGACCTTATCCGCCATGGGGATCAGGAGGGGCGGAAGCATGATGAACAGGATGAAGTGACCCAAAATGAAGTCGGCAGCGAACATGCCAAGCTCGGTGATCTTGCAGAGGAATTCACGGCCGGGCTGCGACAGAGTGTGCCAACCCATAGTGTACCACTTTCCGGTCCACCAGGCGATGTTGGCAGTGTCAGACTTGAACTCACGAGTGAGAGCAAGAGAGACAATGAGCTTGAAGAAGAATCGCTGGATCGCGACGACAGCAATCATGCCCAACAAAGCCTTGGTGAAGTTGAAACCCTCGAGGAACATCATGACTTCCCAGAATGCGAAGAGCATGATGACTGAGAGAGCGTGAGCGATGGCGGCCAAGACAGCACCGAACTTCTTGCAGCACATCCCTAAGAGAGGTCCAGCACAGCAAGCCATGGCGAAGAGAGCGGCCAGAACGCCTGCGTTGACGGCAATAGGACCGAAGGCAACGAGTGCCACACGGATGAGGGAGCTGGTCGCTACCGGATCCTTCCCGTTGTTGTTATCTGCCTTTACACCAGTCTGCGCGTTGATGAACAAGTAAGGAATCAGAGTGAGGGCGACCAAAACAAGGGGCCCGACGATTTCACCCATGAAGATGTTAGCGAACCGGGCGCGCGGAACATCCCCGGAGAGTTTAGAGGATGGGTCGCCAAGAGCCTTGCGCTTGTAACCAGTGATTCGTGTACGCGAAAGTCGGCAGAAGCCAATCCAAGAAGCGCTGTGCGACCGGGTGTTTCCGCGAGAGAGCCAGCGGAGGTACTCACGGTAGTCGATGAAGAAATCGTCCCAGGAGAACTGGTGAGGGTTGAACACGAAAGGCGAGATACACATGGCCAACAGGGATGCCCAGAAGTAAATCAGCCATGGACCCCAGACGGTGAGAGTGCCAAAGAGCAGCATCATCAGGGAACGAGCGCCGAGGTACATGGACGGCCCGGCAAATCTAGAGTAGAGAATACCGAAGGGGATACGTGCGGTAGCGAAACCACGTCCAGTACCAATGTAACGCGCACCACCGAAAGAAAGATCAGTGGTGATGGCATTGGCGTAAATTTGGCAGACGAAGACCTCGAACAGCGGAGATAAAGAAGAGAAGTGCTTGCCCAGACGGGTAGCAGCACGCCAGAAACCGCGCTCTGTCAACTCTTGCACCACGAGAGGCACAAAAGCGATGAAGAAAACAATGAAGATGGACAGAATGCAACGAGCGACCCAGTCGTAGACAGGAACCAAGTTCGCGCAACCGTTGGGCCACTGGGGATCCGTGATAGGGACGTCCTTGTTGTAGCGGCAGACAATGGTTTCATGCTTGAGCGCACCCAGATGGAGGAGAACGAACATGAAGCACTGCACCGACAACATGATGAACAAGTTGTTGATGTGAAAACCCGGATGAGCGTAGTAGAACGACAGGAAGCGATCCAGAGGCAGTTGTGTACCCAGGTAGTAGTACTCACGAGACAGCATTTGCTCGCCCATACCAGTACCAATCTTGGTGGTGAAATTGAGAATAGAGCCAAAACCAAGATCACGACCCTTACCACACTGGTAGTATTCGCAATGCTTTATTCTGCCGCCACGAAGGAGAGCGTTCATACCAGCGTAGATATCTTCGTTCAGGTGGAGACCCTTTTGTGCCTTGGAAACACCGCCACGGGTGGTCATGAAGATGCCGTTGAGGAAATCAGGATGACCATAATGGAGTTTGCCACCGATCTGAGCCAGAGTACGAGCGAACATAGTACCGAATGTCTGTTCCTTACCCGCGGCAACGTCACCGAGGATACCAATGTTCTCGGAGAAAATATATTCACGGGCTCCAAGAATTGCCACAGGGTTGAAGTTGGGGTTGGGGATGCCTGGGGTATACGGAGAGACGTTGTCGGTGGTCATTTCTTCGAACTCAGCAAGGACACTTCGGATCTTGAGACACTCCTCGAGGTAGTTGTCCTGGTTGGCGTCGATCAACTGAATGTACTCGCCACGGTAGAAGATGATGCAGTGGTTCTGGTTGTCAGACTTGCCGTCACCCAGGATGGGGTTACCGGAAAGCTGAACGCGGAACTTGGGTCGACGCATGCCGTTGTCCATGATTTCAGAGTGTCCGTCGATAAGAGCAGAGTAGATGCGTGGCTCGTCACCTTCATTGAGCGGTGGCTCCTCGTCAAGGTAGGCAATTTGCAGGTCGGGGTAGGCGCGGAGCAAGAACTCAGTGTTCTCGCGTTCCTCCTTGGAGAACTTGGCATAACGTTGCATAGAGACACAGATCTTGTACTTGCGCCTGGCCATTCTCTCCAGTTCGCGTTCGAGCTTGTCGGAGTTGCCGCCGAACATCTGGACAACCTCAGGGTTCTCAACACGGTAGAGAAGCTTGATGGCGCGGCTGTAGTTCATGAAACCGGAGATGGTACGGTAGAGAGTCTGCGATCGGAGAGAGGCCCAGATACGAGTGCGAAGAGTGTACTCAGGGGCTGCAGACTTGAACCCGATGCAGTAGAAGGGAAGGTCGTCAATCTTGCTCTTGGCGGTGTCTTTCTCGGATTTCTCCGTATCTCCGTTGTACTGCGAGGTCTCATCGGCGAGAATCTTTGTGTCCTTAACAAAGCAATCCCACTCGTGAGGGTGGAGCTGCTTAAGATACTCCAGGAGAGTAACGCGAGAGTAGGGCTCGTCCTCACGAATAATCTCGCGGAGAGACAATAGAATCTTCTCGCTGTAGTGGGGAATCATAACAGTGAAAGTAGGCATGTTGTCAACGGGTAGCGGCTCAGGAATCGGCGTAGACAGGGACTGTGCGAAGAACGAGATGCGACGTTCCGCCTCGCTCTGGGCAGGGAAGAACTCGGTCTTGAACGAGTGATCTTCCTGAGAGACGAAGAAAGTAGGCGCACGAAGAGTCCTCTTACCCTCCTGCTCGGATGGCACCTGGTGGTAGAGAAGCTTCTGAACGTGGTCGATGGCTAGCAGATGCTCGCGGTACATGGAGATAACGATAGCGTTCCAGATCTGAGAAATGAGCACCTTTGGCTTGTACTTGATCTCCATGTCGGTGGTGGCAAGAACCTTGGAATAGATACGCTTGGGAAGGCGAGAAAAGATGTTCCTCCAGGGAGTCCAAATGGAGATACCTAGGTAGAAAGAGCGCGCAACGGAGAAGATCATGTTCAGGATAATGTACCAGAGGTAAGTATCCAAGAAAAACAGGATCAAACTTGTGAAGTACATCAGGCCAAGTAGAATCCTGGGTTCATACTTGCACAGGACATTTCCAATAATCTTGTCGCCAGCGCAGTCAGGCTTCTTCATGTGGGACAGGATACGGATGGGGTCCTTCAGCGACAGGGTCAAAAAGAAGTAGGACTCGGAGAACTTGGCAGCGAAGACCATGACCCACAGACCGTAGGACATCCACATATCATTGCCCTTCAGACGCGGGTAACTGGCAGTGAAGGTCTGGCTCGCGACGTACTGACGGGAATTGCGCTTCAAGTAGCTGCCGAAGAGACCTCCCAGAGGCATGATGGAGAAGAAGAAGAACGTGATCAGGGCGATGATGAATTGCACAATGCCAAGGATCCGGGGAATAGTGCCTGTTTGTTTGTCCAAGACGAAGATGTAAACAGCAGGAGCAACGTTAATGACCAAGACGAGGAGAATGAAAAGCATCCGTTTCGTCAAGTGCTGAGCGCCGGCCCACTTTCGAGGAACGTATGCCCATTCGCAGAAAGTGGCCATGAGTTGGATAAAGGCAGCGACAGTACCACCAAGACCCACAGCAGAGAGCGTTGCGGCGGGATTGGGCTGGTTGTCCAGTTGCTGTTCGTAGTTCTTGGTGTATACGGGTTTCGAGTTGTAAGCAGTGTAGAACCAGAAAGCCGCAACGTGAATGACCCAAATACGGTTGAAGTTCACGATCATGTGAAACCAAGAGCGTCGTTCATAGTACGTCTTGAAGAACACCTTCTTCCAAACGACATCCTTAAGCTTGGCGTATCGCTCGGCCGGAGGCAGGTCGACAAGACGAGATTTGTCTTCCATGACGATACGCTCCAGACCCTCAGGGTACCAAAAGAGCTGGTTAATATCATCGTAACCGATGATGGCGGCGTGATCACGTTCCCGTCGAACGTACTTGCCGTCTTGGATTTCGTACCCTTGGTCTCGGCAGAATTGGTAGAGCGGGGTAATCACGTTGTTGAGATAAGTGAACTCATCGATGGGCTCGGTCTGCGCTTGTCCGGCAGGCGAGTTAAGCCAGTCATCGCAGCACTTGAAGATGAAGCAGAGGCACTCAGGCATATAGCGGACCTGGTTGGCCTCACCCCAGCAGAGAAGGTAGAGAGCAATCTGTCGCACACGTTCGTGTTGTGACATGCGATTCATGCGCGTCTTCCATCGGAATTCTGCGGCTTCAAGGCTGTTATCGCCCTCATATGCGTCCAGAACTTCCTGTTCGTTGCCAGGGTTCTCGGCAGCTGCCTTCTTGGCGGCCTTTCGGGCTTTGCGCGTCCTTCGGTTCGCCTTGCCTAGCTTCATGTTGGAAAAACCAACAGCGTCGTCCAGGTCAAGATGGGCAGCGAAGTACCAGCGGCGGTAATTGGCGTTTTCACCACCAATATAATCGGCGTGAAGCGAGAGGAGCGCCTGATTAGGCGACATCCGAGACGCTCGTGAGTCAAGCAGGGTCATGAAGTGGTCGTACACGTTCCGCATGCTGTCGCGTTGGAAACCGAACTTGGCAGTCAGCTCTAGAAAGATGTCCTCGATCTCCTCCTTTGTGCAAGGGATCTGTGCTTCAGCGGTCCACGCCGGGTAGGGCTCACGCGAGCGCTGACCGGCAGGAAGAGCATTGGTGTAATCCATGCCGTATATCGGCGTTGAAGCCCCTGACGAGCGGTTGCCGCCGTAAGAGATCTGTGACGATGGGGGACGGTATTGACCGCCACCGTTGTAGCTGTTGTATCTTTCATCGCCACGTCCATAGTAGTCCATGTCTGTTGCACGAGCCATGTCGGAGCGCATCGTGAAGTCGCTGAACGTCTCGGAGTCTTCCTCAGAGTCGTGCTGGCGGCGGGGTCTCGCTCTATTCAGCCGTTAGCAGTCGGCCAATTAGCAAACTCGAGTGAAACTCACCCATAGCCCTCCTGGCCATGGCCTCCCTGGTCGTAATACTGATCGTTGTAATACTCGTCTTGGTAGCCCTGCTGGCCATGGCCACGATCATCATAGTAGCCGCCATTCTGTTGATGCTGCCCTTGACCATCGTAGTAGGCTCTGCGGCTCAGTTAGCATGTGGATGGAGAACGCGCCCGGGGAAACGCACGACTCGTCGTAGTAAGCATCGCCGTGCCCTTGGTGTTGGTCGTTGTAGGCACCACGCTGGTCGTCGTGGTACTGGCCATACTGGTCGTCGTGATAGTAGGCATCTTGGCCCTGTTGGCCGTGGCCGTGGCCGTAGCCGTCATCATACTGACCACCTTGGGGATGGGCAGACATGGTGGCGGTGAATTAAGGTGCGTTGTAAAGCTGTCGGCAGGTGTCAACAGGAATGCGTGTGTGGCGCGGCGCAGGACGAGCCTGAAACACGAGGGGTCGGAGCGTGCGTACCTCAAACAATGGGCATCAGGAGCAACGGACTGAGATTAATTGTACTGGCACAGCCTCGATAATATGCGGCGGAGGGCGGGTGCGGAGTTGGAGGTAGCGAGTGTCGTGCGGGCGGGCGAGCGTCCAGTGTTGACGTGAGGAATTTGCGAGCGTGGAACGGGCCTGGTGCGGTGGTTGTCCCGGCGTCGAGGGTCGAGGGCGTGCTTGGTTAGGGGGCCGCTGGCTCGACTGACAAGAGGCAAAGGGCGTGCTTTGAGAGCGAGTGACGGTCCGGCGAATGCAGTAGGCGTTGCTTCGACAACAGCTATTACGCGTGGCAGGTGCGGCTAGCTCAACCGCAACGGATCTCCGCGCGGTGGGAAGGCACGAGTGGCACGCTGGCGTCCAGCAATGTCTCTCGCACGCAGCTATGCAAACGACAGACGGAAAGAAAAACACGGGTGGGGTCGGCGGGCTGGGAAGAGAGCGACGTGCAAGAAGAATGCGAGCGGGCAGGGAGCGGCAGGTTTATGGCAATAATGGGTATTCACTCAGGGGCTGGAAGGCTCACGGCTTGGCAGCGAATCCTCGCCGCCGCTTGCCCGCCTCAACGCTGGCGCTAGTGGCCCGATCCAGGATTTCCTTGACGGCGAGAAGCTGCGCACTGCATGCGTCGCCACTTTTCTCGCTCGTCTAGCAGGTTCATCATGGCAGGCCGTCGCCCATGCGATCGCTGGCCCGGCTGCGCGCGCACTGGAGCGAGTCTCGACTGGCAGCGCAGCCAGCGCGTGCTGCGAGAGTGCAACTGCATTCCCATTCCTCGCTCGTCGTGTCCGCACTGGCACCGACGCGGGCGTGGCGGATCGCCATGTGAAGCGCAGTAGATCGGCATTGTAAAAATACCACAGCCAGCAGCCGTCTGTCCCCGACGCCGTCCCCGCCCGGGTGTGCCTGGGACTCGCTCCAAACACGCGCTTCGCTTCCCACACGACATGGACGTTGCGGCGACTTGCTGGCGTGCTCCCAGAGGAACGCGCCGGTGCTCGCTGTCTCGCGGCTCGCCTCCCGCCAGCGTCCCGCCGTCAACCAGCGCCGCTGTTGCATCACGTCACCAATTGGCAGAGGGACGATTTGCGGTAGATGGGCCCGTCCGGCGATCAAACAGCACCAGCGCAAACAGGCATGGCGGCTCCCGGAAGCACCCAGCCCGACATGAGATTGGACATGCCAACTTGCCCGCCCCCTGGCTGTCGATAGCGATAGGCTTATCGCCGATGGCTTTCTCTCGTCGGTGGCGCCGTCGTGCATCCCTGCCAAACGGGCGAATGTCGCAGCGCAACGGGGCTGAAGGCTTTGCTCAGGAGCCCCTCAACACTTTGAGCAAGCGCGCGGACGGCGTGCGCGCTGCTGCCAATTGTGCGTGTCGCTTCTGTCAACCTGTATTTCTGCTGCGCCAACACACGGACCGCTGCTTTGAAATAACTTGTCCAGCGGGAGCAAGCATGGGGCGGTAGATGAAGGTACCTTTAGCGCTATCGCCATGGCCAAAACCACTTTCTGCGCTGCATGGGCCCTGGTTCGCAGAATAATTATCAGCCTGCCTTGGATTGTGAATATACCGTGCATGTCCTCCCATTTTAGTCTCCGCGCGCGCCGCGTGGCAGGTTGGAACGGTAGCCTACGCGGGCCAAATCGAGATTGCTGACCCAGCCACAGGACGACGCTTCAAGCGTGGTGCACGCTCGATGCGTGGGCCAAATAGTCGCCCAATGGAGCCATGCATAGCAAGCAAACGAGTGCACTCCGGCATGTCTTACGCAAGCTAGCTGCTGGCTTAGCCACGAGAATATATGGCGACGACCGACCCCGAAAGCGTCTCCGAGAGTATGTAGAGCAGCCTCGTCGGCCAACTTCCAGACCTGCCCTTTGCGGATGCTGCGGACATCTTTCAGCTGCGTGGACCAGGCAGCCCGCTGGGCGAAACAACACGTCCGTAAGGTACTTCTGCCTCGGGAGAGGCTTGACTGGAAACTCTATGCGAACAGGTATAATGTCTTCTGCCCGCCCCTTACACCAGTTTATCTGCAAGACATTGGTGTACATGTGCAAGACACATTTCTACCTTGTCCCGCGTCGTACCGCCAGCCACGGCGCTCTGCCAAAAAGGCCAAAGCGCCATGTCTCGTCACCAGTGGAGTTCCAGAAGCCTTAATTTAGGATTTTGACGCAGGCACGGGTGGGGCATTGTGTGTCGCATCTAGACTTGTGGATCGCTCTGCATGCACCACGCAGTACGGAGGCACAAGCGCACAAAATGCAGACTCCCAGAGACACAAAGGCAGACTTTAAGCTGGAGCGCCGTTCGGAACTCGACGCAGTCTTAACTGCTTGCGCTATGACTGGTCAGAGTGGCAACGTCCGTTGAAAGACAGAAGATTGCGACGGACATGGTATTGTGGAGAGTGTGGACGAGGCCTTGGCCGCTAGCCTTGTTTGGGACGAAACCCCTGAGACCCGAGCTTGTATGAGCTTCACTTCTCCCGCCAACACTTGAACTCCATACACTCTTTTACTCGAGTTGCTTCACCCGTGTTTCTTCCTTCTTTATTGTTTATCCACGTCGCTCTCTACATATACCTGTTTTCAATTCCGCCAAACACTCCTTCTGCCTCCGGCTCTTTCCTCGTGCCACCCCAGGCAAACACCACGTCAAACGCTCCTTCCGTGGTACACAGAGTGCCCTACGCCTTGCTCATCGCCGCACTCCACTGAACACCTACCACAAATCAGTTACACATTATGAAGTTTTCTTTCGCAGCCGCCGCGCTGTTCGCGGCCACTGCTGTCGCGGAAGTTGACCCTATCGTTATCAAGGGCAGCAAGTTCTTCTACAAGACCAATGGCACACAATTGTGAGTAGCCAAGCCTATGCCACGCCGAAGATCCCTTCTAAGTCTTTTTTTTAGCTATATGCGTGGTGTTGCCTACCAGCAAGGTGTTGGTGCCGCTGGCTCGACTAACTCCAGCTCTGATTACACGGATCCTTTGGCCGACAGCACGTCGTGCAAGCGCGATATCGAGTACCTGAAGAAGCTGCGGACCAACACCATCCGTGTGTACGCCATCGACCCCACCAAGGACCACAAGGAGTGCATGACCGCTCTCCAGGATGCCGGTATCTACGTCGTCGCCGACTTGTCCGAGCCTAAGACGTCCATCAACCGCGAGGATGCTGAGTGGAACACGCCTCTCTTCGAGCGTTACGCCTCCGTAATCGATGAGATGCAGCAATACAGCAACACCCTTGGCTTCTTTGCCGGTAACGAGGTTTCCAACCAGAAGAACAACACCTTCGCTAGTGCATTCGTTAAGGCCGCTGTCCGCGACTCCAAATCATACATCAAAAGCAAGGGCTACCGCACCATCGGTGTTGGCTATGCCACGAACGACGACGCCGACATCCGCGAGAACCTCGCCAACTACTTTGACTGTGGTGACAGCGCAGAATCTATCGACTTCTGGGGCTACAACATCTACTCTTGGTGCGGCGACTCATCTTTCACCAAGTCTGGCTTCGATGTGCGTACCAAGGAGTTCGAGAGCTATAACGTCCCCGTGTTCTTTGCCGAGTACGGTTGTAACGAAGTCCGTCCCCGTCTGTTCACGGAGGTAGAGGCTCTCTACGGCTCACAGATGAACGATGTCTGGTCTGGAGGTATCGTCTACATGTTCCACGAAGAGGAGAACAAGTTCGGTCTCGCTACCGTTAGCGGCGGCAAGGTCACCACCAACAAGGACTTCGACAATCTTTCCAAGGAGATTGCTAAGGCTACACCCACTGGCGTTAAGATGGCCAACTACAACCCTACCAACACTGCCGCCGCCAAGTGTCCCTCCGTTAACAGCAACTGGGGCGCTCCTTCCGACCCTCTCCCTCCTGTCGTCAACGTCCAGGCTTGCACGTGCATGATGGATACCATCTCATGCGGCGTTTCCGATTCCGTCAAGACCGACGAGGACGTCGGCTCTCTCTTCGGTGTTGTGTGCGGCATGAAGGAGGGCGAGTACTGCGCTGGTATCAACCGCAACGCCACCAAGGGCCCTTACGGCGCGTACGGCATGTGCCAGCCCAAGGAGCAGCTCGCCTTCGCGCTGAACGCCTACTACAAGGCCCAGAACAAGGCCGCCAATGCCTGCGACTTCAAGGGTTCCGCTACCCTCAAGCAGGCCGCTGCTACCACCGCTGCTGCTTGCGATTCTCTCCTCAAACAGGCCGGCGAGGGCGGGACCGGCACCCTCACCGGTGGAGCCGCGCTCGCTACCGGCGGTAGCTCATCAAAGTCTGGCAGCCAGGGCGCTGCGGCCGGTGGCCTGACCGTGTCCCACGTCTCAGTCGGCTACTTTGGCATCGCGACCTATATCCTCGGCGCCATCGCCTCGGGCGCGGCCATGATCTTGCTGTAAGCGCTGCCCAGCACGGAGTGCGAGCACCTTGAGCTAGTTGGGTTGGGTTCGAACTTTTTGCATAGCGTGCGGGAAGTGTTTGTGTATATCTTGTCTCTCTCTACGGCAGCCTTAATTCTCCCGCACTGAGAGGCGCTCGGCTTTATATCCATCCTTTGCTTTGTTCAGTTAGTATTCGGCAGTAGATGTGAATACATTCTGTGTATACTGAGATGAGTTTATCAATTTGTAATGTGCTTCCTCTATAGGTGCTGCCTTTCTACGACCTTCTCATATGTGACATGTACCACCGGGATCCAAAAGGCAATTTGTAATACCTAGTCTACCTGGTATAATTCTGCGAGGGCGTGATGTAGGCGCGCGTCCGCAGCGGAATGTGGCGTCTGCTGCGCCCCCTCGCTCTCCACCGGTGCCTGCTCATCTCACCTCACCTCACATCACCATACACCGGGGAAAGTACTGCTCGCTAGGTCTCGCTCCTTCGGCGATGACAGCGCGCTGGCGCCAGACCTGTTCCTCGGAAATGTAGACCGGACGTGGGAATGCACGGTGGCTGTGACTACCTCCATCACCGTGCGGGGTAGACTTGTGTAGCAGGAATGCTGCACATGTGAGGTGGGCGATGGGGATTCCGGGGAATGGGGGCTAGCAATGAAGCTAGCAATGAATCCTTTGGGGGATTTTCTCGGCGATATTGGGAGGGGTGGTATGGAGACAGGATCCGGAGACAGGATCCGGGGTGGTGGGATTGTGAGATTGTGGGAGGGTATGGATTGGAGTGGGAGGGGGGTTGGGTGGTTTTGGCTTGCGGGCGTCGGGGGTTGGATTTGGAGCGTGGAAGTAGAGATGAAGCATTTCTGGGGGTAGTTTTTGGCTGTGTTGAATTTCCTGGTGAGCTGATTCGCGTTTGGGAGAAGTTGCCTCGGTGGATTTTATACACGGTTTGCCGTTGCATGGAGTAAAGAAAAATTGAATATGTACTATTTTATTGGAAATTCTCACTAACGTGCATACAGAGCATCACTAAGAGGCTAGAGGAATATAGGTCACACTGCTTCTCTGGTGACAGGTCTATGACCTTGCGTTCGCTGAGGTGATGTTGAGTCGTGACTCTTGAGATGGCCGCAACTGTGACCACACCTTTTTCAAATACCGCACCAACGCTCTCCAGCAACAAAAAAAACCTGGACAGAGGCATATAACATGATCTTCTAGATCTGGAAGCCGGTCAAGAGTTGTATGGGCTATACCTAGTCTGTGTGTGAATAGCAAAGTACGCGTTTCTTTGTTCACCTAAGCGACGCCACACAAGTATGCACTCTCTTATACTGATTATGAACCATTGATCTATGTCTCAGATTCTGTTCTAATATTTAGAACACTGTTACTCCATCGGAATGGCCTTCTTTGAACGTTTCAAGCGCCGTCCCGATGGCAAATACACTTCATTGCTCATCGACGAGCACGAGCCTACACCGTCTAAACCACCCACTAAAATTTGTCAACAGGGAATGAAAGGACCATTTTGGAAGACTGTGACATCGCACTTTTTCTTCACGCTTCTTGGCATACTTTTCGGCATCGCCTGGAGCTACTGGCCCGTTGGTGGATTCTCCAATGATGGATATCTCTGTACGCACACCCTCAAGCCAACTTCTTCATCAGATAACTCGTACTAACGAGGCGATTCAGCACCATCAGGTCACACTCCCGAAGTCTGGTCGTCCGAGAATTTCACGTTCACTGGCGAGCCCTCCGCCCTAACCCAATCCGCCTGGGCCTCCCTCATCCCCAAAGGCAAAGGCTTCGTCGAACATCCGCACATCGCCTCCCCACCCAAAGCGGTCGCCGCATACCACCAAATTCACTGTCTCCACGGCATCCGCATTGCGTACTACTCTCGCGTCAACGAGCTGCACAAGCTGCAGGGCAAGCACTCGCTGATCAACCACTACATCGAGAATATGGGCGGAGAAAGGGGTCTGTATCATTTAGATCATTGCTTTGAGTATCTAAGGCATGCGCTGATGTGTGCTGCGGATAGTAATCTAGAGGATTTGGTTGTGGATGAAGAGACGGGGACCGCAGTGGCGCCGGGGTGGGGGACGAAGAGGGTGTGTAGAGATTTTGAGAGGTTGGGAAAGTGGAGCGAGAGATGGAGGGCCTCAGAGGACGAGACAATCTTATGAGGTGCTGTATGATAGTTTTTGCGATGGTTGATGCAGTGTGTTTGGTCGAGGCCTCTGTTCTACAAAAGTCATGCGCTACTGCCTAAAGTGGTTTGGGCTGCGTGGCCTAGTGCTGTATATCCCACATCAAGATTCTCTTCCAACATCAGACGACTGATTCTCGTTGTGCGTTTAATGGTTACTCTGTGAGGCTTATCAACTCTACCAAATCTCGCATCAGTGAGTGCAATCGAGTTCGGCGCTTGCTGCATCTTCGACCTCTGTGGAGCGCCTATTCTCTACCGGGGCTTCCGTACGCGCCGACGTCACAGCATCTGCGTAGTTGGCTAAGCAGCAGATTCATTGTCTAGGTTGTACGCACATGTACGAGAGGTGGGATATTTTGCGAAGCGTTTTTAGTCTGAAGTAAGTATGCCCCCGAGAACATGCTAGAGAACGCGGACTTCGTTTGCGCAGGCGCACCCGGCTTCGCGATGTGGTCTGATGACCATGTGCGCTTGAGTATGCGAGGCTGACGAACGAAGAGGCACCCTCAACACCCAACACGTCCGACGGGACGATAAGTATTCGATAATACTCATGACGTCTATATTCACATAGCGACAAACCGTGAACTAAATTCCTCCATCTCGGCATTTTGGGGCTCTCCCTTGCATGGCACGATGGAAGCTCCCCCTAAACCTACAGTCGACAGTCTACGTCACGTGGTGAACAACTTCCCAATCATAGACAACCATGCACATAACATCATCCAGCCCGCTTTGGTAGACACGATCCCGCTTGAGTCGATAACTACCGAAGCGCAAGGGCGGGCGATGAGAGATGCTTTCAAGTCGCTTCCTCATCTGAGAGCAGCGCGACAGCTACGCCGGCTGTACGAGTGCCCTGACGATGCAAACTGGGAAGAGCTTCTCGCCCAGCGTGAGGAGTGGCTGAGGACAGATCCAGAGCGGTTGAATCAGCAATGCTTTCAAGGAGTACATGCCCTGCTCATCGACGATGGCCTCTCCAACCCAGACAAAGTACTCCCGTATCACTGGCACAACCGGTATACAAAGGCGCCAAGCAAGCGCATAGTGAGGATCGAGACCGTAGCCGAGCGGCTCATGGAGAGCCTGCTAGTTGGGGTTACGGACGATGATCTCGACGCCGCTACGTTCTTCACAGACACATGGGTTACCTTAACCGAAGAGTTCGAAAAAGAAATCCAAGAAGCGATCCTAGACCCGGAAGTAGCCGGCTTCAAGACCGTAATCTGCTACAGGACCGGATTGGACATCGAACCAGATTATGAACGAGCTGCAAGAGATGTCGGTCACCCCTTCGAACGCTATGTAGAGCGATGTGTGCGAAAGAAGAAGTACCGCATCGAACGAAAAGCCCTCAATGACTATCTCGTATTGCGAACACTGGAAATTCTTTCTGAAGAGACTCCGCGCCTCGATGTTATGTCGAAGCCTTTGCAGCTACATACTGGGCTTGGAGACAAGGATATCGACCTACTGAAGTCAAATCCAGGATGTCTGCAGCCTGTGATCGAGAACTATACCAATGTTCCTTTTGTCCTGCTTCATTCAGCATACCCCTACACCCGAGAAGCCGGATATCTGGCCACGGTGTATAAGAACGTTTATCTTGATATCGGGGAAGTGTTTCCTATGGTGAGTCGAGATGGGCAGAAAGCAATATTGCGACAGGCACTGGAAATCACTCCTGGCAGCAAGTTGCTCTACTCGAGCGACGGGCATTATTTGCCGGAGACATATTGGCTTGCAAACGTGCAGTTTCGTGAGGTTTGGTTGGATGTAAGTAACCCACCGTACATTTGGAGCACGAAAACCGGCACACAGAAAGCTGACACGGGCAGCTGTTAATCGAATACGTCGAAAAGGAAGACGTGACGCCTCACCAAGCTATCGCAATGACCAAAGACATATTGTTCAACAACTCCAATATCCTTTACAACCTGCAATACGAGGCAGTATTCAACGATCTTTTCGTGCCACCAAAAACACTCACATACAACATCAAGTCGCCCGTAGAGTCGTCAACCTCTCCGAACGCTGCTTCAATGCCACCCGGCTTGAATCTACAACAACATGCATCGCCACTCGCGCCTCCGTATCCTTCATCAACAGCACCTCGAACACCGTCCGAGGGATACCAGCCTCCGCCGTTCCCTCCTCCACCGACGGAACCTCAGGTCTATGACACCCAGCTATACGATACCTTCATGCAACAGAACCCTGAAGTCAAGCTTGTGTACGTCCAGTGGCTCGACTACATGTCTACCATACGAGCACGCATGGTTCCAATCAAAGAATTTGACCGCATGATGCGCTCGGGTAGCAGAATTGGAATTTCGCAGGGCAACACAGGAACGCTCCAGAATGATGGTTCCACGCCTGTCATGAACCCAATTGGGCAGATCTACGTGGAGCCAGACCTGCGATCCCTTCGGCGGACGCATCATCGAGATGCAATCCCCTCTGCAACTGTGTTATCATTTTGGCGCGATGAAAGAGGCAACCGGATCCGGGAATGCCCGCGTGCTAATATGGAGCTGTTGATCAACGATCTGCAATATAATCGTGGAAGTAAGTGAACCTTCAGACAAAAAGATTCGCCTATGCTTATGATATATCTGTAGTCAAGCTCCTATGTGGCTTCGAGATCGAAGTCACGTTCCTGCGGCGGAGTGATGCCCCGCAAGACGAAGCCTTCACACCATTGACACGAACGCACGCATGGGGAACCATGTCGCCCGAACAATGGCTCCAAATCCCCTTGCTCGCGGAGATCGCTACGTCTTTATCAGACATCGGAATCGAGGTCCAACAATTCCACTCCGAGTCAGGCCAAGGGCAGTACGAGTTTGTCCTAGCTCCCCAGCCGCTATTGGCCTCCGTGGACTCCTTGATCCAGGCCCGGCAGGTCGTCGCGCAGATAGCAGCCTTCCATGGCCTACGAGCTACGTTGCATCCTAAGCCATTTCCTGGCATTGGAACCGCAGCGCACGCACACATCTCACTGGATCCTCCCGATAAAGACCTCCAATTCTTCGTCGGCGGTGTGCTTAAACATTTGCCTGCGATTTGCGCATTCACGCTGCCCGAAGTAGTTAGCTACGACCGTGTAGCAGACGACTCTTGGACCGGCGGCACATGGGTCGCGTGGGGCACGCAGAACCGCGAAGTGCCGCTTCGACGAGTTAGCGGTGGTAGATGGGAGATCCGATGCCTCGATGGCTTCGCGAATATGTATTTCGCCATCAATGCGATTCTCGCGGGTGGGATATTGGGACTGAAGAGTAATGTCGTGGACTTTCCACAAAGAGATGTACGGATAAACCCATCATCACTGGATGAAGAAGGGAGGGCGACATACGGTATCACACAGAAGCTGCCCGTTGGCTTTGCAGAGGCGGCATTCGCTCTAGTCCACGATGATGACTTGGTAGAATCACTTGGGCAAGAGTTCGTAGGGGACTACCTGGCGATGAAGAAGAGCGAGCACGAGATGCTGTCAAAGATGTCGGATGAGGAGCGCAGGGTGTGGTTGATTGAGAGGTACTGAGGATGAGCGGCATTTTAGGCTTGATGGGGATCAGGGGTTGCTTTCGCACGTATTTCCTCTACGTTTCTTAGTTCTAGCTTACGATTTAACGACTTTAGCGAGCCTGAATATGGGTTCTATTCATGAGACGATGTATTTCCAATTGAGGTTTGCATACTTAGCAAGGCAGCTGGTGAGTATATTGCAATTATCTGTACTTTGGGATAGGACTTGAACTGAAGGCCGTGTAGAATTATGTCATCTCACTCTGCTTGTGGAATGACAGGGCCGTTTGCATGACTGTCGATCTCGTCAACTGGGTGCCTATGCACTAAGTTTATGTGCTCTATTCTACTCGTTTTATCGCATAGCCACTATCCTGTTCCCTTTCCCAAGGGATTTAAGACGAAGAGTATGCCTTGAAATGCTCTGCACATGTGGTACACTTCACTTCCCCTCAGTTCTAGCCCGCTTCCACTTCTCGTACGCTGCCTGATCCCACGGATATAATTTCCTCACGAACGCAGCATCTTTCGGTGGAAACCCTCCCCCGCGCGTCCGCAGGTCCCACCTTATTCCCTTTGGCGTCGTTCTTGATCTTCACCAAAACAGCGGTATCCACGGTGACTTCATGGTCGACCTTATCCGTCCCCTAGCTCCATGCGGACATCATGACTGAGTCCATATCAAGTCCATCTTTCCCGTCAAGCTATGGCTTGGCGTTTGGATCGAGCCCGTTGCCCTTGATATAAGCGCCGTTGTCGTTGTTGCAGAGGTTCTCCTACGCTACATCCTCACTGACTTCCTTATTTTCCATGTAGTCTTCTAAAATCTCGCGAATTCCAGCGAGAATCTTGCAGCGGAAATTGAGGTAGTCGTCGCGGTCCCAGTGCTGGTGCTCGTGCACCATTCCGAGAATCAGATGTTGTTACTATACCTGTAGCAAGTGTGCTTATCTGATGTACGAACCGTGTTCAATCTCATGCGTGACGTCTACCGTGGAATTCGCGTCAATGTGCATGTAGTGTCATACTAGCGTCTGATCTTCATTGATACCCCCCTATAGAGCTCTTGCTGCTGCTGCCCGACTTCTTATGTTCTACCCAGTAAGAAGCGACCGCATAGGGGAGGAACTGGTCATTCTACGCCAAGCACTTTAAACCGGTGTCTCTATCATACTCGTCTTCTTCGTCCCCGTATAACTAGCGGCAGACAAAATGCGTAGGGTTTTTGGTCGAAGGCTCCCTTCACCTTGCGGGTGCGGAATGCTAGACCGTAGCCGGTGGCTAAATCTACGTCGCGGCCAAGTGCGACCTCCTACATGTGGATGCCGTCGTTGAAGAGGCAGTTCACGAGTTCGAGCTTGTAGTATGACCGCTCGTCGACGAAATATTCTGGGATGATGTGCCAATAGCCAGTCAGTAGCTAGGAGCAGATGTCGCCCTCAGGTCCGCCGGTAGTGAGCACCTTTTGGCAATGCAGTCAGCAACTGGATTCTCTTATGAAATTATGGAGTAGCCGCTCACTCACGTTCTGCTGAGCGCTTCTTCGTGAAGGGCTGACAACGAGTCGGGAGTACCATCAAAGCGTAATGGACATGCAGGATTCTTGCCGCGGCTCAGATTAAGGCCGAGGACCGCTTGAAGCGTGATGAGACACACAAGAACCAGATGGAAGGCCTTCATGTTGAACTGTCCGAGGTTTAGTCACAGGTATAATAGAAACGACTGCATAGAATCAGGCACGAGGGCAAGAAGCGCTTGCCTCAGCTCTCAAGATAGCGTGGCCAATGTTCAATCAGTATACATGCTCTTACAGAAGTCTTATTTAGTTCTGTAGATTGAAAAGGTTACGAAAAGACGCACGCGGGGAGTTAGTTGAGAGTCTACCAGTACGCTTCCTAAACGTGGAACCCACCCTTCCCATCCTGGTGGATACCGACCATAGCGCAGGACGTCTGCAAGGAGAAACCATCACATATCTCCGTCCAAGCGATCCGGGGTCTTTTACATTGATTGACCTTTGGTACCACACGCTATCAAAGGGGCCAAGATGTCAGGATTGCGTAGCTTGCCGAAACTTTCGGGGACCTCGCCGTTCTCCGCATGAGAAAATTGTTCAGTCTCTAGCTCCTTATCGGCAGTCACACCGACGAGTCTGTAATCGAAGCATACCCAAGTGGTTGAGAGGATAACATCATTACATAACTGAACAGGGCACAGAAACCTCGAGAGACAAAGCCTCACTTGACTGTGTTCTAGACCGCGTAGAACGCGTGTGCAAGTATTTTCTCGTGAACCCCAAACAGTTGTCTCCACTTGGAAGAAAATCTATACCTAGAGTTGGATTAGCTTGGGCGCGATGCACGAACTGTACCAAACCACAGCATCATTGACTCAATTCCTTCGAGCCTGTGATAATACCCGGACGCCTACAGCTTGCGAAGGCTTGAGCGTGCGCATAATTCCGATACTTTGGATATAAGGCAATCCTTGAAGGTCCCCACGGGTCAGAAGACTATTCATTCAATCAGTGACCCTTCCATCGGCCAACCGCATCTAGGCGTGTTTCGGTTGTCGTTAACGCAACACGCACACGTTCCCACTGTGCCCCACGCCACGCCTTCCTGTACTCAACCATGACACTCTCCACCATCTCATCCTCCATCTCGACCTTTATTTCGCCCACTCTTCTCTCAAGCGGCAATACCGGCTGCTCCAATCCGTCAAGCCTCGGCACCATATCCAACGCAAGCCCTTCATCATCTCCACACAAACCATCATCTTCTAGATCCATGACCCTTCTCATGACCATACTCATAATCCTACAGTCCCAGATCCCCTCCCTATGCAGCGTACTCTCCAGCAGCCTCACAGCATGCGATCTGATCTTCCTCACCCTGCATTTGACAGCGGTGTAATACAACGGAGGCACCCACCCGAAGTCGACAATCGAATGCGCCATGTTGAAACCAGCCTTATCGCATATTTTCTCCGGAGGCCGCGATTTCCAGAGGTGTATAGAATTTGCCAGGATGGCGAGGAAGCCAGCGGTGTGCGCGTCGTAGGCGAGTTCGGTGGAGAGAGACGTAGCGCACAGGATGGAGGCGAGGGCGTAGAAGTTCAGCATTACGGCGTTGATCACGAGGGTAGGCTCTTGTGGGTCGAGGTGCGGCTTGCAGGTGAGGTAGGTGGTGTGCCAGTGGTGGAGCGAGGCTTGGAGTTGTTGCTGATGTGGGATGAGCTCGCTGTCGCAGGTTCCGTGGTTTGTTGCGTGCGAAGCACGGATCTGGTGAGCGGGGACGTTACCTTTCAGGGCAACGATCTTGTAGAGGATGGCGTTGAGCTCGTTCCAGGCTTCCTGGAGGGTTTCAAAGTTTGAATTTAAGGAGGTAGTTGACGGCTGGTGCTGTAGGATGATGAAGGCCGGTCGGAGGTGCGTTCGATGAAAAAGTGCAACCTGCATATGTAGACGCTGGAAGGTCTCTATGATCCATTGGTCTGTAGCGTCTGTTGCTCGCAGGATGACTACGCCGTTCTGTTCGTTACCATATTCTTGTAGAACCCGCATGCCGCTTCTCAGATGCGTTTGCGCCGTCTTGAAATTACCTCTCAGGAACTCTAGGCAAGTAAAGACTGCGCATGCTATGAGAGCGACGCGCGTAGACGCTCTGTCTTTGGTCGTTAAGTGTGGTTGTAAATGATGAATCGCTTTGCTGTAATTACGAAGCATGAAGGCGTCTTGCTCGTTCAGCGCATTGATCTTGTTCGTGGCATTTTCGTCACCTCTTGTAGTCTTGTGGGCTGAGCTCAGAGTCAGGGTTGCGTGAAAGACTGCTGGCTCGGTCACGCTTGCTTGCCGCAACAACGTGTTCCAAAATCTGTGTGGGAACAAGCCCGGGATCTTCGGAACCGTTATGACATGGAACCAGTCCAGATATAGCTGTTCATCAAGAGTATAACGTGATACAGGAACGTTTACTAGCAATCGTGGGTGTTGCGAGTTACGAGATAATAGGGTCGCTGTTTCCCCAATTGCCTCGACATGGTTCCCACCGCCACCCCAGATTCCATACCCATCACATGTTCTGCCGGTAGAGATGCATCTGTGGCATGCAGGCTTTCCCTCGTCACATTTTACCTTCCTGGCTCTGCCTCTGGTGAGCCTTAAACGCGATCGCTCACACGATTCACTTACTTGCAGGTCAAGCATCCTGTTTTACACGTTCTCCTCCGCTTGGTTGCGTTCGAGTGGTTGGCCATAATGTCCGCATCGTACTGTGCGTTCGAAAGTCTGCGAGTTTGGCCGGTAGGGTTGAGGAGGATCGGAAAGCGGAGATAGTAATCGTAAATCCGAAAGAGAATGGTCCAATCATGTTGACTTCGGGGCTTACGGCCTGCGACAAACACACCTCATTGTCCTACTTTCCTTCACGTTCAAGTTTCTTGACTTACAACGCTACTCAAAACGCTGATCGTATGCGCAATCAGAAGTGAGAGTAAAGATATGGCAAGGACCGATATATCCAGACAGCAAGCCGAAGCCCCAGCCCAACGCTAACTCCTACGCTCAGATACTTAGAGGAACGATAGTGTACAGGCTTATTACAGCACCCTATATTAACGCCAACAAATCCGCCCCAGGGTCTGACATTCACATATCCTGCCAGACACTGCTCAGTCGCCTCCTCCTTGGCCCCTGCATCGCACTCCCCGGACTCATACTGCGACTCCTTATTCCCGCCATTCCTGCAAAACTGTTTTCCAGAATCGCATCTTCAAGATCATCCTCCTCCTCGATCCGCTGCATCACCGCTTCAGGCGGCTCTTCGTCGAACACCTCGCGGATCTCGGCGTGCACATCGAAGGTGCTCCAGAGGCTCCACTTTCCACGCTTGGTCGGCCCGTTGACAGTAGGTTTGCGCTTCGGCTTCCAGAGGTGGTGCCGTTCGTACCAAGCGATGGCCAGCAGAAGCGGGGCGTTGAGAACGCGCACCATGGTGATGTTGATCTTGTGGAACCAGCGGGGTGTTACGATGAACTTTAGGGGAAGGAGGAAGACGATGGCGAGGATGTTGGTGGGTGGGAAGTAGGAGAACAAGGAATCGGACTTTACGCCTTCGAAAGTGGAGACTGCGCGGCGGAATTGAATTTCTGCGGTTGCGTCGGCGGCGATCTTGGAGAAGGTGTTTGAGAGGATGGACACGAGGACCGTGAGGAAGAGGGTGTTGCCTAGGAAGGCGTAGACAACCATGAGCACAGGGCCGAGTACCTCGTGGAAGTTGGGCGACTCGGTGATGCCTGTGCCGTCGAGGCCGAACCATATCCAGAGCATCCACTTGGAGATTTCGATAGGGCCGGGCTCGTCGCCGAAGTTGTCCTTTGCGCTGCCCATGCTGAGCCACTTGAGCGATAACAAGAACCCGGCGAAGCACCACACAGCGATCAAGCTGAGGGCTGTGAATTCCTTCACCATAGCCCGCAGTGCGATGAATAGCATGTTTTCCGGCATGAGATTAAAGGCCAGTCTGGGAAACAGGATCGGAGCAGCAATGGCAAGAATGTCCAATGCTTGCCTCCCAAGATCGCTGCTGTCGACTGACCAGGCCCAGACTCGAAGACCTAGATACGACAAGTAGATGACCACAAACGTGACGTCCAAGAATGCCCATAGCTCTTGTGTGTGTACTTGCCAACCGTGCTCCAACATGGACGCGCACTCATCCACGACCCAACCAGCGCCATAGATCAAGAACACGAGTTCGGCTAGTGTAAATTTGTCGTGGTTCTGTTTCATCATACACCAACAGTACAGCGCGATCAGGATAACGAACCACGTTGCTTCCACAAAGGTACGAGTTCTGGGCACGATCAAACGGTACTGGTTCAGGAGGGGAGCGTGCCGTGGATCGTAGAGGGATATCGGCTTGTGCTTGTAGTGATCAGGAAGGATATCCATAAAGGCAGTTGGGGTGTAGACGATGCGGCCACGGTAAACGCCGTCGATGACCTTCTGTGGCGCTGAGCTGCTGAGGAACATTTTGCTCTCGGAAACGATTGCGACTTCCAGTGCAGTCAACTTGCCCTCGTAACCTCCCTGGCTCTGATACTCCCACTTGCGGTTCTCAGGGCATATCTCAGAGGGCGCGTTCTGGAACGGCGTGAACGGAGAGACTAAGATCCTGGCTAGTTGAAGTAGGCCTTGCTTCCCTGTGAACTCCTCATCGTGCCTTCGAAGAACTTTCATGGCAACCAACTCGCACAAGTTGGCTCGGGTTAGATTCACAGTCTGGTGATGATGCTGGAACTGCTGCTCGCGTAAGAATTGCATCCTGTTGACAAACAGGCAGTAGACTATATGTAGATCGTCAGTCAGACTCCGAGGTAGGAAGCAAAGCTCCCTTACCAATTGATATATCATCAGCATCAAAGAGCCGGTCGACAAGAGGCTTGACGATCAAAACATTCATGCGTGGTTCTTTCAGCTGATCCATGCTATACGGGTCCTCTATGCTCGCCAACACCAGCCGTCGGATCCGCTGAATGTTATAGTAAACATTCAACTTCGTGTTCGGATCAGTATAGAAGTTTTCCCGCGGTCCTGAAGCCGCATGTTCCCCTCGGACGCATCCGTCGGGATCCGCAAGTTCATCGTCGCCCAGCAACGTCTCCTGCTCCTGGTGGTTTCGATGCGAACGCAGCACATCGCTCAACGTACGGTTCTTGCCGGTCAGGTGCGGTCGATCCAGGTGCTTGGAGATTCTTATATGCTGTGATGAGGCTGCGCGCTTCGGTGATAGGTCTTGCGTATTAGTACTGCTATTGGATTCGTATCTCGAGTTGGGGAGGCTAGTAGGTCGCGACTCCGCATTGTTTGAGCTATTAGATGCCGAGATGCCAGCAGCGGCGGACATGGGAGGCCCAGCGGTATTAGGTAATGCGAATGAGGATCAGGTCAGGGTGGATACCAGCAGGCGGAAAAGCGGGAAAATGTCGTATAGTGAGCGGGTGAGGAAGAGGTCCCGATGGGGAAAGGACGACAAGCCTCGGTGGGGTACCGGTTCCGTGTGTACGGGTGGTTCGGTCGCGCTGGCTCTTTGTTGCGCACAGTACAATGGCAATTGGGGTCTTTGCGGATGGAAAATGCCTTGAAGAGCGTGCAGTAGCGCTTGCTATAAGGCGTAGCGAAGTGCGATAAGGGTGACGTCCTCTCCAGGACTCGCAAAAGCACCGAGACGCGGGACTAGGGTCAGAAACAGCCTAGCTGCAACAAGTGAAGCGCACGCCACACGTTTGAAAGGACACTCGTGTGCGGTTGCCCAGAACTTGAGGCCCGCTGCTATGAGAGCGACTCGGGAAAAGGCAGATAACTCATTAGGGCCCAGCCCTTGTGAGGTATTCTGCCTCCCAAACGAACACCATGACGTCATGCTCTCGAACAAAGTCTACTGTGTATCGTTGCAGATGCAGGTGCTTTCCGCGTGCCAGATCCCGGCGCGTGGGCGAGCCAACACAACTGACTGGACATATCGAGATTGTAAGTATTGGAGACGATATATACTTCCAAGCCACCTCCTACCATTTCCTACAATTCTACGCAAATTCATTAGCCGCGCGCCAGCGCCTATCTAGCGCGACACTCTACCACCGACTAACATGAGGGGCATCCCAGATGGATCCCAGTCCTCCGTACCTTGTACTTCAGTCACCACAAAACCTCTCACCCATTCAAACTCTCCACCCCCTCCTTCCATTCAATCGCACTTTGCCCAATTCCAGACCCCTAGTCCGGAAAACCATCACCTTCCTTTCCATCTCACCTCAACAGCACGCTTTTCCGACGGGACGAACCGGGTCCTCCTCGGACATTGAACCCCCGTCCCCCGTCACCCACGCCCTACTTAGTCACACATTCATATAAACACCCAGAATACATCTCGGTGGAGCCAAGTATAAGACTTCCATACCGCAGCGAAATCTGTCCCGCTTCAAAGCCTCACGCACGCCCTTTTTCGGCATCAGCGCACAGTTGCAAGCACACAACACCTCTGAAGGACCGGATACAGTACCAGCTCAAAAGTTCCAACACTACATTGCTCCTGGAGGAGTAGCACATCATACTGTACTCAGTCTTCTATCTAAGCTTTGTTCCAAAGCCAACGCGTCCACACCACATCAATTCCACATCCATATATCATCATCCGAAAGCAAAATCAACCGATCTCGCACCATGGACTACCCCTACGCCTCCCTCGCCCTCCCCTCACAAGCCTCCCTACAACTCCAGTATGTCGGGAAGAAGCTCGTCGACCTGCCTACACCCGCGGTGGTGCTGGACCGCGCGAAAGTGAGGAAGAACTGCGAAGCGATGCTCGATGTGTGTGGGAAGTTGGGAGTCGGATTCAGGGCGCATGTGAAGAGTCATAAGGTCAGTCTCTCTACCTTCCGTGGCCACTGGTGGACGCATATACGGTCCAGTGGGAGGAAAACGGATGAAAGCAGACGGGGTAAGACTGACACGTTGACCAGACGCTCGAGCTCTCCAAGCTGCAAGTCGGCCCCGCCCTCGACAAGCCCGCAAACTTCATCGTCTCGACGCTGGTCGAGGCGGAGAATCTGCTGCCCTTCTTGCTGGAGTGTCAGGCCAACGGGCGAGAAAGCAGCGTAAGCACTCCTTTCCGCACCGTCCCCTTCCCACATATATAGGATGCATGTTCACACTTCTCGATTCTGATCAGGTCCTCTACGGCGTCCCCCCGGCCCCTACAATCCTTCCCCGCCTCACCCACCTCGCCTCTAAACTGCGCCCAGGCAGTGTCAACATCCTCGTCGACAACATCGAGTCCTTCAACAAGCTCAAAGACGGGCTCGTCGTCGCCAAGATCGGCGTCTTCATCAAGATCGACACAGGCTATCAGCGCGCCGGCATAACCACCTCATCCCAGAAGTTCCCGCGCCTGATCAGAAAGGTGGTGGGAACCGTCGGCGAAGAGTTCCGCGGCTTCTACTCACACTTCGGCCACTCGTACGCTGGTAGTTCCGAGAAAGATGCTGCCCACGGTCTGATTTCCGAGCTGGAAGGGCTCGAAGAGGCTGCTGGGGAAATCGAGGAGAATTATCTGAAGCTGCTGAAGAGGAGAGTGGTGCTGACAGTGGGTGCGACGCCCACAGCGACAGCCGCGATGAACATGCTTTCTGGATCGCCGCGCGCCGCGGAGTTCAAGACGCTGCTGAATCGCCTGAAAGAGACGTATGCTGTGGAGCTGCATGCCGGGGTATATCCGCTACTCGATATGCAGCAAGTAGCGACGCATGCGCGGCCGGCCTCCGGGCGGGCGGCGTTGACGAAGGACAGCGTCGGGATAAAAGTCCTGCTCGAGATATCTTCTGTATACGATGAGAGAGAGAAACCTGAGGCGCTTGCGTCCGCTGGGTCGTTAGCGTTGGGGAGGGAACCGTGCAAGAGCTATCCGGGATGGGGTATCGTGACCAATGAGCTGGGAAATGATGGCAACATTGTTTACGACGAGCGAGGAGACAGGACTGGTTGGATTGTAGGCCGTATAAGTCAAGAGCATGGAATTTTGACATGGGAAGGCCCGGAGCACGACATGAAGCCATTAGATATAGGGTCCAAGGTCCTGGTATGGCCGAACCATGCTTGTGTGGCTGGCGCTGGGTTTGGATGGTATCTCATCGTTGATTCGGAGAAAGATAGTCATACCGTTGTGGATGTCTGGGTCCGGTGGCGTGGATGGTAAATAACCTGTTTGGTGTTCTTCTTGGATATGCGTAGAGATGAATAGCTTGGATGTGTTAGGATACTTTCCAAAAGTCTCATTACGGCATTGCTTCTTTCAGGTACACAATGACACAAACCTTTGTCCAAGCAATGCAATGCTCCTTAGTAATGTCCTCGTCGTCGTCAGTTGCGTCTTGCGGCCTATTCGCATTGCTCTCGCCGCTGTTGAGCCTCTGCCTCTTCCTGGAGACCAGCTCTTTCTCAAGCTCGGCATCTGAGGCGCGGCGTGTGTGCTTGAAGAGGGGCACCGTGGTCGCACCTGCCGCGGTGCCTGTCCCGTCGCCCTCAATAGTGACTGCGTTGGAGGGTCTGCACCTGCCCCCGTTCACGGGTGCCTCCCGTGTGTCCCGAATCCGGGCCGCTTGTAGCAGAACTCAACACGCTCCCTTTGCGCGACATCGTTGAGTCTGATGCTGTTAGTGTTGTCTCCAGGCGTCTTGATGATGACTCCGAGCGAGCCGCGTGTCTCGACGGGTGCTGTGGCGTCCAAAGCCGCCAGCTCACGCTTCAGATCGTGGAGGAGGCCGGCGATCCTCGCTGCAGCGCGAGAGATGCGGAGCACATCTGCCGCGCCGGGTTGGGTGTCACTGGCACTGCTCTGCGCGGACGGAGATGTGCGGTCGCGTGCGGTCTCCTCGCGCTCTGCCCCCGGCGACTGCTTGCTGGATGTGGACGGGAGAGCGCGTAGGAGGTCCCCAGTCAGGCGGTCTGGCGCCAGCAAGTGTAGGCGACAGCAAGGAGCGACGGGCGCGGCTCGCATGCGCGGGCTGCAGAGGGTGTGCGGAGCATCGGGCGCATTGGGCAGGGAGGGCGGAAGCTAGAGCTGCAGTGTCTAAACCGCACTGGGGCCTCGCGCGCCACGACATGCACCAAGCGACTCCTGCGAGGCTGGCGAACGGCCGGTACCGCGGCGGCGCCTGTTGATCAGGGCGGACCTCCTGGTGGAAACCCCTCGGGCTCCTTACCACGTGCCGTGCGCCGTCTCCTTGTCGTGCATCCTTCTCGCAGACGTGCCGCTGCGGTCGGTCCTCCCCCAGCATGCCCTTTTCCTCTGCCTGTGCATCCTCCCGGGGCCGTTGACTCCATTCACCCCTTCCCTTGCCATCTGGTGCGGTCCAGAGTGCTTATGCACCGCCTGCACCTGCCCACACCGCGCATCGTCTGGGCCCCGGTCCGTGGCCAAGCAGTGTACGACCCCGAGCCCGAAGCCAATCGCAAGAGACGTCGCGGGCGCTGCGTCTCTGGCGCCGCAGCCTTATCATCGCGCGTGCCACACCATGGTGCCCTTCCGGGCTTCTCAGCACCACCGACGAAGCCTCCGCGACCTCGATGCCGGAAACGACGCCAGCAGACTCCAACGGGAGGAGCGCAGCACCTACAACGTCGTCATGACCTTCCCAGTACATCCCCTTGGCGCCATGCAGGGGCCCTTCGAGGAGTCGATGCTCGATGCCACTGGAGGGACCGGCTTTGTTCCCTTTAAGAAGCCCAAAAAGACCATCGAGCAGCGCCAGCACATGCTCTGCCGAGAACATGATGCGCCAGAGCTTACTTGGAACTTCACTTACAACTGCCATTGGCGCAACAAGTCCAAGGGCAAATACCATCCCCTGTTAAAGACGGTCGCCCAGATCATCTTTGGTGTGCATTTGTTGCATCAACACCTGGAGAAGTCGGTTGCCGACGTGGCCGACATCTTGCTAAAGCATGTTAACGAGCTCGACAGCTTTTTGCAACGAGCAAACGAGGATATTGAAGGAAGCTTGAAGGATATGCTGTTCCGGAGAAAGTGCTTGAAGGTTCCCATGGAGCACGTCAACGAGTTCGACCGCCTTCTCGACGATCGCACGTATCGCTTCCAGCTTCTCGAGGGCAATGTCACCATCGAGCGAACCATCAATCGCATGTCGCAAATGCTCAACGATTACTTGGTGGACATTAATACGTTCCAGAAGGCCAACCAGCAGCTCGACGCCTATCTCCTTCAAATAGGACACAACTGGACAGCATTGGATGGAGACATTGGGCGTATCTACTCAGCCATGTGCGGGAATACTGGAGGCTGGGCACAGTTCCTGCAGAGTTTGGTTGCGAAAGCCGAAAAGCTGGGCGTTGTCCTCGTACAAGTGAGCAGCTATTGCAACGAGATTGAGAAACGGTGCGGAGCTGCTAGCCGCCGTAGTATGGTACGAGCCCCTTACGACAGCCGTCGGCCCTTTCCAAACATCTCCCCGTCGTGTTTCACCAATTTGTAGCGCCCGCTAATGTCTCTTGTGTACATAGGTGGCCAGCCGATCTTCGTCACGCAATTCCTCGAATTCGCGAGAAGCTGCACGTTCGTTCCGAAACATGGCGCAGAATAAGCCACTTCCAAGTGTACCTAACGAAAGGCCGCCGTTTATGACACCACCCTCAGCAAATGTGGAACTTGCATCCGGAAGTTCCTCGCGGCAGCAATCCCCTCCTAATCATCCTCAGATTCGGGTCGTTTCGCATGAAAGCTCACAAGAATCTCTTCGGGAGGATGAGGAAGAGGAAGAGGAAGAGGAGGATGATGAGGACCGACGACTAACGCTAAGGCAGCAGGACATCTACGTACCACCTTCTGGTACGGACGAAACATCTGGGCAGCATTACCGTAGCTCCTCGGGCGGCATTGACCGGCGATCAGAAGATGTACAAATAGTCCTTCACCAGGATATGTATGAGGATGCACCCGGACCCGCGTCTTTTAGCGATGAGAAAGAGGTGGTCGTGAGCGACGAAAAAGAAGTGCTGGTGCACAGCCCGCCACTGACGGGTAAGGACTCAGCCTATTCTTCTGTTTCCGGTACATCGTATGCGTCTCCAACGTCAATGCATCCCCGCTCGGCGTCAGCGCAGTCTTCATCACATCCGCGTGCGCAATTCGGGCTGTTCCCCAGTAGCGGTCCAAGCACACCTAAACATTCGATGTCAGGTCGCTACGGCGCTGTTTCCCCTGCGTTAACCGCTCGGCGGACACCCGAACCGGCGTCTCCCCTCGTTCCTCCGCGCGCTTCAACCTCTCTCGATAATCATCTTCCTTCGTCGCGTAATCTTTTGTTGAAGAAGTCGAGTCTTTCGTCGCTGAAGCGTCTGTTTAGCAAGAAAAAGCACAACTCTGTAGACACCATTGTAGAGTGATCACCCCATGTGTTTGTTTCTTTGAGCGGCATTTGCTTTTCCCCACAGCGAGTTGCGCAACCATATACCCCTTTCGGCAGACTTATTTGGCTGCATTCGCGCATCCTGAGCGTTCCAGGCGTTGGTTTTATAGTACATCTGTTTCCGTTGCAAGTGGTTACGATGCTTGTAGAGCGCGTGTAGAGCGTGGTTTGGGACGCGGAAGAGCCGTCCTCTCTCGTCGTGGGCTTCGAGCGGTGCGCAGGACAGCATAAGCACCGCGATCGCGGGGGTTCATCCGAAAGAAGAAGAGGGAGAAGAGAGGGAGGAAGAGAAGAAAGCTAGAGCGCCCGCCCGATATTGCGGCGCGCCGGATGTTTGGTAGGTAGAAAACAATCTCATTACTGAGTCACGCCTTCTCTGTCAAGTCCATCTATGTGTTGTTGCGTTTTCACAGCAGCAGAGGCAAGCGCCCCTCCGGGCGCAGGTGAGTAAAGAACGCGGTTGCCCTGCTGGGTTCTGTAGGCGGCAGCTCCGTCCGTCTTCGCACTCCCCCTAGCACGTCTCCCCTCCCCTACAGCGGCAGATTCTGTTCTCTCTCCACAACATCTCGCGGCCAGCATTGTTCTCCTCTTGTTGGCTGGTAGCGCGGGACTGCCGCCGTTGTCACTCCCTCCAAACCTTTTTGGCGTGCGTTGGAATAGCATCTCTTGTTTGCAGGCCGCAGCGCCACCTCATCAAGCAGTATCATTTAGCTGCTGCTAACCCGAGACGCCTTCTCGTCCCCTTCGCTGCCGGCTGCGGCACGACGGGACTGCCATGCTACCACCCGACCGCGAGCTGAATGCCTCTGGCCGCAATAGCCGAGCTTCAGACATGTCTGTGGCGTCACGCGGCCCGTCGAGGGGTTCGGCGACAGCAGCAAAGCATGACATGCATGACATGCTCGCTCCGGCGGTTGCTTCAATGCTTCGAACGTCAACCGAAATGGGCAACCTGGGAGCCTCTGCTATAGATCCGCTCATGCCGAACGTGCCGCGAGCACCGCGGAGAGGTGCTACTTCGCGGCTGTCGATTGCCTCATCACACTCCAATGCTTCGAATCGAACCGGCCCTCGCCATCACCACTGGCATTCAACGGCCTCTGCCGGGACTCGACACTCGCGAGAACAAAACTTGCCCCAGTACGTCCCTGATACCTTATCGCCCACGGTCATAAACATTTCGGGCTCTTCACCGCTCGTACCATTTGCGAGAGACCGTAGGGAGGGACACCGCAGCCTGTCCATGACCATGGCGAATAGCTCTGAGCCGACCTTTCATCTGTCAAGCAACCGATCGATGGCGAGTCTGCGCAGCCACGATCGCCCTCGACGCTCTAAGTCCCCCTACATGTATCCCACTCGACTTCGGAGGCCTGGATATCGACCCGTCTCGCCAGCTCTGAGCGACACCGCTGGTTCATACTATCGGCGTCGAAGCGGATACCCGGACAATGGCTTGCCGCCATACCCAGGACAGATGCGACTTCGCAGACCCTCGGAGACATCGATGCGTCGGCGCCCTAGCCGCTCTCAGACGCCGGTGTTTTATGGTGATCCACACCCAGATATCCCGCCTGTGCCGCCGTTGATGCCACATCGGTATGCTGCCCTAGAGCGTGAACGAGACAGGAAGTCTCGGAGGTCTCATCGGACTGCCTCTCACAAATCGGCGAAGCATTCCACCTCGAGCAGCTCCACAAACCGACGTTTTGATTCAGATGTTCCTTCTTCCGACTCAATGTCGCCTCCAACGCCGAAGGACGGCGACGTGGTTGTAAGCCCAACTGGTACTCACTCAATGCCCCGCAGCATGTCGGGCACAGTCAATTATTATGATTATAGTGAGCAATACGAGATCCAAGAGGGAATGGAACACTCCGCTGGCGCAGTGCCCACAGGTTTTGTCAGGCATATAAAAACCATTATCGAAGAAAGAGGAACACCGGAGCCAGTCTCCAAGGGCGGCAATGTCGCGGCTCCGGATCGTGCAATACAACACTCAGATGGAATCGTTCCTGACATTCCTGAGCTTCCAGCGTCACCAGTCCCGCGACGCATCACGCGTGATCTAGTTCTGGTAGGTATTGGACCCGAATCCTCGAGCGGAGAGGTGGAGATCTCTGGGGCAACAGCCGAAACCAGGAGTTCAGAGCGATCCGCAGGTCGCCCCCAAGATGACAATACAGCCTTGCGACGTGGTATTGGAAGCCGAGCTGTGCACCCTGCGCACTCAAAGGATGCCACGGATCGGCACAGTATCCTGTCGCAGGCAGGCTCGAGTGTGATGGAATCTTCCACGCTTGAGTTCGCTGTCCGGTGTTCCATACCCATGGTGGCTGATAAGGGTTTGACTCTGGACTTGGACAACGATATCACATCTGTGTATGCTCCTGACGCGGACCCGACTAGTGAAGATGGTATGACGGATCTTCTGGAAGGCTACCAGCGTACTGATACGAAAGAAGAGAGCGAAGAGGCTGCAGAGGAGCAACTCAACGATGAGGAGCGCGTGGAGAAGAGAAGCAACCACACAAGCAGCCATGCTGCCAAGCCTTCGGATGAACAGTCCTTCAAGTCCTGTACAGATGTGATCAAAGTCGCAGATCCTTCAATGAAGACTCCCGACCAAGCGACAGCAGAGTCGTGCGAAGATTTGCCAGAGCATGATCCACCCATCAAGGATTCAGATGCAAGATCCTTCACAACTTGCATAGATGCAGTCACTCCTGATCGATCGGCGCCGCGACTACCGTCTTCGCAGCTCGTTGCTTCAGAAGCACTCCTCCGAAGACCAATCTCCGAGATGCCATCGTCGTCGCCTTGTTTGCCAGAACGCCAAGCAACCCCTTCGTCAACGTCTGAATCAAGCATGTCCAGGGTCGTTGGCAGGTTCCGAGCAAACTCAAAGCCAAGCTTCACGCAAGGCTCTGCGGACGGGTCATCCCGATATTTGGAGTACGGAGCCCAAACCCCCCCTGCCGTACCTCCTAGAGAATCTAGCTCTTCACGGGAAGCGCAGCAGTCAAGAGGCGTCGCCAACTTCTTGCTGCGCTCTGTTCGCCAGCGTTTTGCCAAGGCTAGTCCTGGGTCGAATCTTAGACCTAGTAAAGAGGTCAAAACTTCGAACCCGCAGGAGCTGGACGATTTGGGTACTAATGCTGGAATTCCTACGCCACCTCCGATGAAGGAGAGGGTGTTGCTGGGCAACGGTATTGTATATGCTGATAGGCCTGTTCAAGCGCTGCAAGCGCCTCAGCGAGTGTTGACAAAAGAGCGAATTCTGCCGCACCGACAGAGCGAGACCATGAACATGCGTGGCAATAGCATCGCACCGAAGGGCGACACGTCCACATCGGCTTCGATTTTTACCGCCACTCCCGATGCACGTCAGAAGTTGGTCACGACCCCATCACCTGCAGTGCCGGAAGCCTCCTCGGTGTATTCGCAGGAAAACCTCACTTCTACTGGATCCCGTGACGAGGTATTTCCGGGTGCCTTTGTCCAGATACCAGGGCCTCATCGTCAGGACAATCAGGCCACGACGCATTTGAACTGGACCGGGGCCAACGGCTTCCATTCGTATTCCGTTGAGGGTGCGCGAGGTGGTAGAAACAGCCAGGAGGACTCCACGACCGATCTGAGGCTTCCTGGCTTCCGGCATGCCGTGACCCACCTCCCTGATCTGAAGGAGGAGTCGCATGAAGATTCAAGCCTCAACACTAGCGCCAGCAACTTTCGTCCATTCGGAGGCAGCCAGCCTGCTGTGTTCCGTATGTCCACCGATGGCCTGCCTACAGCTCGGAGACATCCTTCAGTCAGGTCGTCGCGCAATAGTGAACTCCAGCAGATGCACCTGCCCTCGATGAACTTTAGCAGCTTTGGCAGTTTTGATGAAGCTCTGGACCATCGCGTATCCCGGTCGTTGGACTTGGCCCCAGCTGCACTGGAGGAGCTGGTCCAGACGGTAATGCCGCGATCGGCGTCAGCGGGCGAGGATCGAGAGAAATACAAGAGTGTATTTGCCGGCCTTGATACCCCAGCGAAGACATCTACGACGCGTCAGTATGCGGGCGGTGAGCTTTGGCCGCGCAAGCTGCCAGAACTTCTCGTTAAAGAGGTAGATTCGTTGACCATTCCGTCTGTGAACGGCCTTACATTTCGATTATCGGAGATGCTGCCACAGTTAAAAGAAGCCTTGGGCCTTGCGCAGTCGGACGAATTTCTCGACGAGGAGGGTATCATGGAGAAAGCAATGGAGAGGCTCAACGAGGTAGGCTTTCCAGCGCAGAAGCGGTCTTCGGCCCGCTTGCGTCCTATCCCAGGTTCTCCGAACATGTTAGTCGTGGACGATGAAGTATTCAAGGAGATCACCGGGAAAGAGAAGAACGGAAAACCGTCAGGACAGTGTCACAACCGGGACGAGGCAGGTCTCGGTGCAGGAGTAGCTGGCCAAGGAGGTATTCAGACCCACGGTGAAGCTGCTGCGTTGGCGGGGAGCGGCGTCATCGCTCACGGGCCTGCACGTGACGATGAAGTAAACACAACGGGGCTCGAGGCACCTTCCCCGGCTCACCTTCGTCAACACAACTCAACTTCTTACTCCTGTCACAACTTCTCTTCTCCTTCTTCTCAACCTTCAACACGATCTCTTGGCTCGCGTGGAAGCACGACTACGGGAATTATCACTGATACTCGTCCTTGGAATCTCGACAAGAACTATCCTTGGGCGACAGACCCGTCTGTCGACATTTCGCTGCCTCACCCTTCCGCGTCCAAGCAGTCACCGCGGCCTGGGCCTTCACACCTCCGCAACCGCCTTTCCAGCGCCTCGTCAGAGTCAGCGGGTACGTACAGCCCATACGGTACGTCAGCTTCACCCCCAGCGCGACGAGGTCCAGCAGGGCATTGCTACAACTCTATCGTCGACGATAGGCGGTCTATCGAGCCATCAGCTGTTGGTTTTGACGCGAGCGGCTACCCCATCGGACCTGTCCGCGTTCGTGACGACGACCAGTCCCACGGCACAGGCGAGCGCTATCCTACGTCTGCTCTTCCACTTCCTTCGAATTTACACATATACCCAGGTCAGGCGAGCCACTTCTCACTCGAGACATCTGACGAGGAGGCCGAGACTACCTCGCCCCGGAAGACGTTGTTCAGCCGCCGTCCTCGCCGCAACACCCGAGCTTCTGTCAATCGACGCGACCTGAGCCAACGTCGCATACGGGAACTGCAGTCGTCGCGTGCAACGGACCACAGCGTGCAAATCGAGCCGGACGACCTTCCTGACCGCTTACAACGTCAGACCTTCGCAAACGCGCAAGGAATGTCGAAGTTCACTTTCTGTGTTCAGTCCGTCGGCGCCTTTTTCAAGAAGGGCTTGTACAAAATCTTCCCCTGTACTCGTCCGGAGACTCCCCTCGAGCCTGACTCGGAGCCTGTCACGGTGCCCGCCAACTCTCGCAACAGCTCCTCCAGCGACGAGACGATCCGCGTTCGTCAACACTCCCCCGTCCCGGTCATTCGTGCCGGTCCTGGTCATCGCTACACTCCCGGTTTCGTCATTTCGTTCCCTTCCCTCTCCGGCAGGATCTGCCACCCCAGCGAGGAGCCTGAGTCGCCGTTTCAATCCAATATCCAGCCTCGCAGCCGCCGATACGGCACCTCTCGCACCGAGTCAGCCGGTCCATCTACATTGCAGTAGACATCATGTCCCGTCTTCTGTTCTTCCGCTACGAGGATGAGGTACTCGTGGGAATCATAGTTATCCATTCAAGCGAGGCGCCCGAACGCTTGGTGGATTCTTACTACAACACTCGTATCTAATTTGAAGAAATTAGTCCTCTGAATCAGTGGATGGATGAGCCTGCACAAAAGTCTTATTCCAATTCAGTTAAGAGGAATCTATCGCGAGAGGAGATTGCCGGTCTGATCGAGAACATCTGGAACAATTAACCTTCAACCCTCATATCGCGACTCGAAGAGTGCCTGGACTGAGTGAACCGCATTCATGGTGTTCACGGTTCAGGCGTTGGTCCTCCGGCTCCAATTAGGGTTGCACAGCCTCCACTTCTCTTTTTGTTAGCTTGGGTTTCACTTGGGCAACCGTCTTTTGCTTACCAGGAACGACTTACGATTCACGACTTACGCATCACGCCTGCTGCCCAATACCCTGACTTTTTCTTTTCCAGCTTTCTACCATACGTTCCACAGCATATCTTTCGATGACCTTTCTTCCGAGAATTCACAATTCAGCACCATGTCTTTCGATAGCCCCTTTTCCAATTATGCAACATAACCAACCGGTTCGTGGAAGCTTCGCGTCAACACCAGACAATGCGAACACATTCAGCTATTCCGTTGCAACATGGCCTTGACTCCATTAGCAAAGCCAAGCTTCGTTTCTGGACGCCGCCTCGGAACGTTTCTCTGATATCGTACCATAATATGGCTTTTGGCAAACCTGCGTTTATCAACGTTTCATGCTTGAGCTTCAACTAATGCGGTAATTGGCTTACCAGCGTCTACCATCGTTTGGTCCTGGCTCTCCCTTGTACGGTACTTGTTCACCTCATTGACAACGGCTCCACTCGCCAGGAGTCTTGCAAAATGCCCTTGATCTTCGGCCTCGGACTCTTTTGGTCGATCGCTGGTCACCTCTTACCAGCAATGCTTTGCTTTATCCTTCGACATGTTCTGACTTATCGGTTGGTCATCGGCTGCCATTCACTGGGCGACCTCGTCTCCTGCTTCTAGCATTCGGAACTGGGAGCTGAACTTGGACTTCCTCAATTACCGGTCAACAAGTCTATGCGAACAACAAAGATGGAATTCGATTACCCTTCGTTCGCACTTTTCCTCCGTCATGGTATCAACGATTGCATTTTTGATGGATTTGGACTCTATTCCGGTAGAGGACTATTGGCGAACGGTTTACCCTAGTAGCGTCAAATGGCTTTTGTCGATAGACTGGTTTTGGATTAGGCAAGTCTTGCGATGCTTGCTCTGGCGGACCCTGGGGAGACCTTCATCCAGCTAGATATCAGCACAGCACGGTTTACTCTTCCCTTTTTTCTGACATTGTATTTATCGTCCATCACGACAGATATGGCAGCAGTTACACAGGGGCATATGTAGTCCAGGTGCCTGCATATGTGAGCAGCCCTTTATAAGGATTATATTTGCATTACCCTTGTGTCCGATGATGGTAATGGTGGTGATGTTGTGATGCTTATGAAACAATGCTCCTCTTGCAGCATGCGCAAGGTCGCAGCCTGGGTTGTCCCCGAGCCAGAGGCACCTTATTTTGTACGCTGGACAGCGTGTCAACTGTTGACATCCCATACTCCCCGTTGTTACCTGTGCCTAGCGTTGAGGTCAGCGATCTCATCCCATTTGCGTTGCTCTAATGACATTATTCCACCACGCGAGCAAGTTCCTCATCCGCTACGGCCGTTGGACCAGCGGCTTTGGACGTGCTATTTTCCTGAACTGGGTCTGGCAGACGTCACCCCAGCACGGCGGCTCCGAGCTGGGCTGGACTTCGTTCCCTCCCGTGGTACTGGTTCTGGCGCCACTGCAGGGATGACGTGCAGGTAGGGCGCGGCGCAGGGGCTACGGTGGTGTGAGGTACGGCGCGGTGCGGGCCGGTTGTTGGGTTTTGTATTGTAGATGGGGGGATTGTGATTGGTTGGTGGGACGGACGCGGGGGGATTGGAAGGGTCTGGAATTTGGGATTGATGGTGAACTTGGCTTGGGGTCGGATTTAGACTGGATTTGGGATTTTGGACGAACTTGAGACTGTGGCTGTGTGCGTGGGTCGTGTGTGGTGTGTGTGGGTTCGGTAGATGGCTGGCAGTGATGGTGGGGGGAGGGAGGGAGGCTGTGCTTGGGATTGATGAGTTGGGATGGGCGGGCGGATGAGGTAGGGTGTGGTATAACTATGTACTTGCGAGTCACTTCCTACAGGAGGGGTCACAGCCATTTCGGAGAAAGGAAACGGAGCAGAACGAACTGCTAGATACGCATGATGACCTTCACGCTAGACTACGCTGCCATGATCGACCCCGTCCACGCCAGACGGAGACGTGCTCGCTTGCCGCTGTAGTCGGCAAGTTCTGGAGAAAAGCGCGCTTCACATCGACGTCGACACCGACGTATATTTGTACACCCCCTGCTTCGTCTCCCCGGCGTGAGCCAAAAGAATCACATTGGCCCTCAAGCTGGCACTGTTTCTCCTTGACACGGCCCCATCGGCCGAATAAGAAGACGAGGACGGCGACGCCCACGCTGAAACCTGCAATAGCCGCGTCACCTACGGCTACAGCGATGTGGGAATGCAGGATCGATGCGCCGGAAGACGGTGTGGATCAAAGCTGGCTATGTTGTGCTCCCATCCTAGCTTCTGGCGTAGGCCCTTGATGCTACTCGGCATGAATTCGATACCCGAGCCGCCTGGTCCTCCATAATTGACGAGGATGTCCTGGGGATGATTCGATTTCTTCTCTGCAGGTGACTTCATAAAGTGAGTCGCAACAATGCCAACTGAGGCATCATCGTAGTCGAGCGGCACCCTTAGGGCCATACACTAGAACGAGTGGGCGCAGGGTTGCCATTTGGTGTCCTCTGAAGCCCTGAGCTATGATCGACATGTCAAGCTGTGAAGCAAAAGTAGCGTAGAGGTACCTTTCACCTATTTGAAGACCTCTCGTGTCCCGTACCGCTCGTCAACATTCGGCCCAAGCGGCGGCGTCGGCGAAGCCAACACGCCCGACCCAGCGCCCAGCGCCACTCCAGCCGCGAGCGCCGAGGTCCTCATATCGGATAACAGCAATGAAAAACAATAGCGGCTACGAGAAACATGCTGGAAACAAGTGATACTTTTGCACCGTCACAACAACGCCACCGCGACGCGTGGCCGATTGATGTCGCAGTAAGTATGGCGGGACCAGGCGCGGTGACATGACGAGCTGTGAATGACAGATGAAGGAGCTGGTGTTGTGCTTGGGGTTGGGATGGGAAGGCGCATCGCTGGGGTGAGTTGGGTGGCGAATGGTAGTTCTCGGATAGAAGGAGCGGGTGCTGTGTTCCTGTAGTGCTCAGAATGTGGATGGAAGCCTGCAGTTATCTCAATGGAGTGGTCGTGAAGACGAGATACGGAAAGGCCTGCACAGGAAATCAGCGAAAGCTGCCGCGAAATCAGGCGAAATGTGCGTAAATGGAGAGGCGCGCGATGTGAGGAAGAACAAGCGATGTGTGACTCCGATGCTTTACGAGGAGGTGAAGTAGGGAGGCGCTATGTGAGGTTCCTATTTGGAATGTGCCATTTACCCTTCCCACGATTCATATGTTCATGTACCCCATCCCAACCCCAAACCAGTGTGTATCTTCCCCTTTCAACCTACTCACGGGTATCTCTCCTCCCACAACATGTGTGTCTAGAACACCGCCCCCCCAATGATGAAAACCCTCTCCTCCTCCCGCCTAACCCACTCCACAACCTGATTCGCAGCCACCGCCAACGCCTGCCTAGTCGTCCTGCCATCCGCAACAGCATACAGCTCAAATAGCGGGGTACTCCACGCCAAACTAATGACACTCACACTCATCTCATAGTGTATCTTCAGACTCGCAGGTTTGTTATGAAGATGGCTGTGCAGCAGGGAGTACAGATTCAGCAGCCTGCGGCGATCGACCGGGGTGGCAAAGTGCGGGGAGAACGACGGCGAGAAGAATTGAACGTTGCCGCGTGACTTGTAGAGGAAGTGACGCAGGACGGTGCCGGGGACGAGGTCGGTGGCGAGGGGGCGGCCAGCGTGGACGGATTGGCGGATCGCGGATATACCGCCGTTGCGTTGTAGTTGCTGGGGTAGTGCGTTAGCGAGGGTAATCCATGCAGAGAGGAATTGGGCGAAAGCCGAAAAAGCGGTATGGAGAAGTGCGAGTGCAGTATTTCCGTGGAAGCTCCGCGGCGGACGGTCGGATGATGTCGACAGGCCGGTTCCGACACCCTCCCTATTACTTTCTTTCTTTACGCGTCGGCCTGGTGTTTCGGTCTCGGCCGATGCTGTCGTATTCGATGTGATGCTGGTCCTGCTGTTTATCCTGGGACCTGTGCGCCGCGCGGAAAATCGCGCGGTGTCCACTCGGGCCTTGCTCGGTGGTGACAATGCGAAGAAAAGACAAGACTTACCTCAACTAAGTCATCGCGCATCCCTCTCATCTCGAAGAAGCCCTCCTTCTCCGCACTAATAAGCAGCACCGCCACCTCATCCGGGTCGCCCTCGCTGCTCTTTGGCCGTTCCTGCATGGGCTCGCTCGGATGCTCTAGGTTCAGGAAGCTGACGTACATGTACAAGTACCCGGTGTTGTTGAAGCCTGGCAAACACAGAGGGATCCAATTCTCGCCGCCACCTGCTTTTACGCTGCCGGCTTCGAAGAGCATATTGAAGATGAGTTGCAGATCGCCAGGGTGGAGTGAATGTTTCTTGGGTCGGACCACCGAGACGAGTTTCCCCGAGGCGACGATTAGACCGTAGAGGAGATTCGGCGAGCGCGTCTTTAGCAAGGTGCTGTTGATTGTTTGTCGGTGGGATTTTCGCAGCTTGAGGCATTCGAGGGCTCCAAGTAGCGTTGATGGCGAACCACGAGTGAAGCCATCTGCCAGAGCGGACAGTAGTGTTTCAGTACCTTGGAGTGGCCGCCGCAGGTCGTAGTTGGCGCGCGCAGCAAACATGCGCTGCATTGATGGGAGTGTGAGGGTCGAGAGTATCTGCATGTAAAGTGCATCAAGCTGTGCGCGCAGCTGGGTGTCGCTTTCAGGGAGACGCGTGATGGCGACGAGATTGAGCGGGCCTCTCGACATGACTACGAAGCGTACATCGCCGGCAGTGAAGCCTCGCAGCGTATCGTTGGTAGACTGGTAGAAAGAGATGAGTGTCTGGACGACGCCCATGTAGTTCGTAATGAGCTGGTCATCGCCATGCCGGCTGTATATGGGTTTTCCGGCAGATGACAGAATAAGAAAGTGCTTCATCTTCGCGCGCCATACTCTCATGATTGATTCTATATAGCTATCAGCACGAGTCCGCCTCACGGTTGCTACATGCAAGAACAGGTGTGAGTGCCGCTGACCTTCATTCGAGTTATCCTGTGCCATTTCCTCAACGTCGTCGAATTCCTTGGCGAACGCTTCCTCGAAGACGGGGTCCGACGCGAACATGCTCGGTGCGTCCTGCGAGTTTTGCCCTAGCGATGCGAGAAGCGTCTTCTCGTGGACACCCATGCCCTCGCCCAACATGCTCTCTGCATCCAACCCAGCCTCTGCAGCAGGTGCGATGCTTGCTATGCTCGCGCTGTCCTCCCCATCGCTAGTATTGCCTGACGAGCCAACATTCAAGCCGAAATACGACCGCGGTTTCGGTGCCCGCGACGAGCTGGGTTCTCTCGAATCGTTCTTGTGGTTCGCTGATTCTGCAAAAGAAAGCTGCGTTGTTGCTTTGGATACCAGGCGCGGCCTGCCCGGCGTTATAGAGTGCGACGTGCTAGGGCGCGAAGCAGAGTCGAGCAGGTTCAGGTTTGGGCGCGGGGGCAGCGGCGGGGGTGTTCCTTCTCTTGACACGCCAGATGCGAGCGACAGCCCGGAAGTGGACGTTTTCCTGGACAAGCTGTTTATGATGTTAATTGTGGGATTGACAAAGTCCTGCTGCTCGACATGGTCGCTTTTCTTGGGCGCCGGCGCCGGCGAGCTTGGTGCATGGGATTCAGCGCCGGAAGCCGCAGAGGGCTCGGCGGAGGGCGTGTCGGTCATATCATCGGCATCTGTTGTCATCGGTAGTATCTACTACGGGTGAACAACGATCTATTAAGGTCGGGGATTGGAACATGGTGCAAGGTGCCGAAGCGTGCGCCAGCATCGTGACGTGACGTGCATCTTATCCCAGTGTGGACCGTGCACGCTCCGTGTATCGACCAATCATATCGATTCGTGGTGTTTCTTTACACTACTATCCCGACCGTCCCAGGTTCGATGAGATCCCGTGTAAACAGCAGGGCCGCTGAGATAGCACTTCTCGGGATGCGAGGAGTACGCGTCAAAGGAGAAACGGCGGGCCCGGCGGAAATATATGCAGCAGTGGGGTTACTACCGTAATGGATGGTGCCACGGTCAGCTCTGGTGCCCAGCGGTGGCAGATACTCGCTCTTGACACGGGGCAAAACATGCATGGAATATTGATCCGAGTATCTCATTTCGCTTGGATATCTACAGCTAGAGCAAGCAGAAGCACACCAACGACACCGAAGTGTGTGGTTCTATATTCAGATGAAATCTATGCAACCCGTCAGTCAATCACCAATGCCGCGCAATTGAAATGCAACAGAACAAGAAAAGCCACGAGCACGCAATTATGTATGCAGCGTCCGTCGTCCAAAGACCTGCAAGACCAGGCAGGCAACACAAGGGCCACGTTGTATCCCCGCCCTCACTCCATCTCCGCATTCGAGAACAGCTCAGCCTCCAGCTGCGCCCTCTCATCCTCGTCCCCTTCCCTGCCATACCCCGACTTCTGCCTCTTCAGACTCGGTCCCTCGGGCGTAGCGTCCGACCTGCGCCGCGTGACGCCCATCTTCTCGGCCTCCTCTTCATGCTGACTAATCCACCTCTCGCGCCAGCGCTCGCGGATAACGTCGTAGATGAAGGCGAGCTGCGGCTCACTCTGCACCATCATCATGCGCTGCTCCCTCAGGCGACTGACGACGCCAAACACGGGGTCTTCGGTGTCGGCCACCTCGTCGAGGCTGCCGTCGTCGAGCTCCTGCAGCAGCCAGTCCAGCGCGATGAAGGTCCCGCTGCGGCCGACGCCGGCGCTGCAGTGTACGATGCGCGGGTTTGTCGCGTTGTCTGCATTTTTCTCCCTGCTCATGGCGATCAGGCGGAGGAGGGCCGCGCGGTCGGCGCCCTCCGGGACGAGGAAGTCGGGCCAGCCGCCGAAGAGCAGGTGCCATACCGTCCGCGAGTCGGCGCTGCCTTCGGACGTCATGTGTAGTTCGCGGATCTGGGCGCGAGCTTCCTGGTCTTCTTCTAGGTTTGCGAGGTGGAGCTCGTGGATGAAACTGTCCTCGTATTCGTCCTGGGCGTTCAGGCGCATGGTCGGGGTTTCGAGGGATTGCGGGTAGTATGGGTAACATTTCTCGCGCGAGGCCTCGTGGGTCTGGGTGAGCATTACGATGACGGCCGGGGTGGTGGTTTCGTGCCATATCATGCGCCAGAAGTGCGAGTAGGTGTCGCTTTTGGGGCCCTGGCTCACGGTCAGCCAGGATGTCCATGTTCCCCTTGCGACCAACGTACCTGCGTTGCGATGTATTTCAGCACCTTGTCCGAACTACTCGATCTGAGCTCCACGGGCGAGGCATTGATGTAGTCGCTGGTCCCGTCTGGGACTTTTAAGCGAACGCGATTGCTCTGGTAGGGATCGACATTGAGGTATCTATTTCGGTCCCTTACGTCGTCGCCGATGCACCGGGCCCACTGCGAAGGCTGCTGCTCGGGGTCGCCATTCTGGTGTTGCAGGCCTTGCACCACGCGTTGGCGCTGCTCCCACTCCAGATCAACGAACTTCTGGTGTACGTCTGCGCCTAGTCAGCAGCCAGCCTTGTGTACAATCTGGAGGCACAGTCTACCTGCCTGGTCTGCTCAAGTTCAAGAAGGCGGGGTATGGTGCGGGGTCGTGCTCGAGGGGCTGTAGGTTCTGTGGTGTTTCGCCTAGGTTGGGTATGACGAGGCTCGGGGCGCTGGCCGAGGGCGTGAAGTAGGGCGTGTCGAGGGAGGTGGCTGCAGAGCGGGTGCTGTCTTTGCTGCGCGAGCGCTTCGAGGACGAGGGCGAGGGCGGGACCTGCAACGACTGGGAGGATGCCATGTTCGCGTCTGTCCTGAGGCCGCCTGCAAGTCTGGCCTTGCGCCGGAGGGCGCGAAGTTTATGCAGCTTGACGAGCTTGCGATGGGCGGCGCACGAGGCGGCCGCTTCTGGCAACGGGGGCACGACAAAGTTGGAGGGCGGAATTGTGACGGTATTGGGCAGATGGTGGCGTGCAGTCGGCGCGATGATAGGCTGGCGGCGTGGTTCTAGTCGGCAGTCTGCAGAGCAATGCGCGTGTGAGCTGTACAGCACATGGGCATGCAGTCGTATGTACGAGTAGCTCGCGGATCTCGCAGAGCGATCCGTAATCCGTCACAGCTGTGTCGCCAGGGCGAGGCAAGGTCGGCGTGATTGGGCACCGGTTCCTTGCGCGCTCGCTGCGTGCTCTGGACGCCTTTTGCAGGCCTTCTGAGCAGCGACAAGCTTGGGAGACCCAATTGTGCGGCCCACTGGGCTAGGAGGTCCGAGGCGCCGGGTCCGCGGCGAGTCGGCGGCCAGGGCTGCACGCGATCTGGTGGTGGGGAGCGCCCGAGCGTCGAGGGTCGAGGCTCGGATGCGGCGACGGGGACGCTGGCTGAGGCCGGGCAGGCAGGAGGGAGTGCAGTGCAGTGCAGGGAGCACGGGGGCATGCGGCAGTGGGCATGGCTGCTCTCTAGGCGGATCTGGGCGTGCGCAGGCTAGGGCCCGCCCAAGGGCGGTGGTTCGCAGCGGCCTCGCTCTCGATGCGTGGCATGCATCTAGCCGATTTAGCACGTCGCCTGCCAACGGCCGCCGTCGCTCCCTCACCACACTCGCCGCCGCCCGCACAGCGCCACCGCCAGCGGTTGCGCCATCACCTCTGACAGCGCGGAAGCGTGGATGTGACAGCAGCCATGGGCCTGCCGTGGTTCGCCTTGTTCGAAGTCAGTGTCCCCGCCCCGCCCTGTGCATGCACCACTAACGCCGCCAATGCAGGCCTGGGCAGTTGCGAAAGTATGCCATTCCTCCCACACGCCCTATTCGGCTCCCCGCGATGCTGACGACACGGACAGCTCATCCGCAGCCCCACGTTCAATCGCGGCGTCCAGAAGATGTACCGCAAGATCAACCGTATCCCCGACACGGAAGCCAAGAACGGGTTGGGACGTACGCATCCACGCGCGCCGACATACAGTCGTAATCGTTGCTGATAGCACACAAGGCACCGGCCCCTCCGCTTTCGATCACTTCCGAGATGAGCTGAAAGACCAGTTCCGCGAGCTCACCTGGCAGAAGCGCCCACCGAAACAATGAGTCGAATCGACCCACAAAACGAGCGTGTAATTCGCGGGTGCCGAATAGAGATGACAGCATCCGGCTGGTCGAGATTGCGCTGCGTGTTTCGAAACCACGACAGGCAGGGAAGGGCTGGATCACGGACATTATGCTGTCCGATATACCATGGGTGCCTGGCTGACGTAGACATGGCCCACGGAAACGCAAATCGCATCAAGAGCATACGTCACAATGGAGGAATGCATCCCACCAGTCGCGGCCCCACGGCTGTGGAAAGCTACAGCTAGTACACGCAACAAGTCGTGACTCGTCCACGACGTCAGGCTGTGGGATACATGTTAATCGGAAAAAGTAGAAAGACTTGTCGAACAAGAATAAGAATGAATTTCGATACTGCATCCTATAGAACATCTTCCATCGCATCCAGAACCCACAGGCCACCTGAGTATCCCTCTACAGGATCATGGTCCCCTCGATCCCATGTCGTACACCTTTGCGGACCCAAAACCCACAACCCAAGCATCCTTGCCCACCCGTGACTCCGACTTTCGTGGCCTGCTCTCAAATCTATACCTCTACTGCGCACTCACGCATAGCTGATGCTACGCGAGACGTGCGTCTCCGCACCATTCAGCTATACTCGAGGCGGAAAGGAAAGGAACGTACCGGATGAACCCCATTGATCAACGAGAGACGGGAAGGCAACGGGGCTGAGAATAGCGGAGTAGATATAACGAGCTCTTTGGTGCTCCAGATACTGCAGCTTTTCAAGACTTTTGACCTTTCCGTTGCAGCATGTACACATTTCAGATGGCCGGAGCGAGGGAAGGGGGCTGGTTAGCGCGCGTTGGCAGAACAATCATACAAATCTGATCATTCACTCTCAGAGGGATGGATGCCAAGGATTCTGCTCGTACGTCCTCCCGCTTCGCGCAGAATTCGCGACTGACAGGTATTGCTAGAGCACTTTGATCCTGCAGGAAAGGGCAGGCCTAGAGCTTGTCGCAAAGCTCGACTGTATGCGTCGCGAAAAATACAAGCTGCCGTTCGAGACGGACGATAAGAGGTGGCGGCCGTACGTGATCGATCGCATCATGGAACTCCTCGAGCTCAATACTCCAAACAATTTCAAAGCACAGGACTCATTCTCTTCGACTGTGTATTACCTCAAGGTTATGACCCTAACCCAATCACGGTTTCCACCGGGATCACAGCTGTCCCCAACAAACCATGCGAAGCTTCTGCAGAAGCTCGAGTCAGAAACTAGGTTACGACGATCAATTAGAGAAATCAACTTTCCCGAGGTGACGAACTACAATGCGATTACCATGAAGCTTAATCCGGACGGAACGAAGCCTGTGATGGACCTGAAGCTGGATGTGATATTCAACTCAATTGAAGATCCCATGCAATCAATGCATGTAATGTCGCAAGGGCATCTGGCTCACGATGACAAGATCGCTAATGGCACGCCAAAGAAGTCCCTCAAATCCATTCTCCAGCCGTATGCACACGCTGCAACATGGCAAGGATCGATAACCATTGAAGGCCACGGAATGGCTTCCCATAAAAATTCAATATTCGGGAATGCGCTGCGAGATGTTGGGCTTGGTTCTCCTGATCACCCAACAAAGAACATCCCTGCTATCTGATTCGATGAATTCGACTTCTCCCTTGTCGATCTGACTGCTTTCCAATCGATAGACTGGTCTAGCGCGAGGTCCCTCCACTTGCATGAGTGCACGGGGTTGATGGTCATCTTTTATCATATACTGACATCACCGGGCCGCATAGGTATCCAGGAGCTGGTCGTCGAAAACCGAACAGGAAGGGAGAATCACATCCCAATCAACCCCGACACCATCGATCATTTCCTCGGCGTTGGGATCAACTGCTCGCCATATCAACAATGTCCGTAAGGTCTCTGGACATGCTGGCGAGCCATCACAACATCACTTCAGTACATTACGATATCGTCGCATTTAGCATACCACGGCTCATTCAAGCGAACAAGGACTACCGTGACGCTGAGCAAAGAAGGTACGATGAAGGAAAGGAAGGTTCGGCCACGGACAGGGTCATCCTCGCCAAGTATCCGAAGCTGGACAGTCGACCAGTCTCAGCAATGAATCCTGGCAAGACGCCGCGTTACTTCGTGCTCCGCTCAACATACGGTCTGGAACGAAGTCTTGTCACGTAGGACGCTTCGTCTTCATCAAACAGTTCGATCCTCGTTTCAGCAATAGTGGAAGGATTCAAGACCTTGCTACATGCTACATAGGGCGTGCGTCAAGGCATCTGATACCACATTGGGTTGGCGTCGGGATACAGGCCGAGAGGGAAAAGCTTCCGTTTAGCGGGCAATTTTGCATCTGCGGGCGTCATACACGTCTTATTGTACAAACCGCAGGCACACTTGCGACGGGAAGGAGGGTTCACGTTCTTTGCTGCATGAGTATCCCTTCAGGATTGTGATACCGGATGAAATTGGCGATATTATCCCTCTCTGTGCTTATATACAGGCCGGAAAGGGATTGTTCTCTTTTGGTCTGGTGCTTTGCATTAACGGAGTTTAATACGTGTCTTCTTTTGTAGCACCACGATCAATTTTTGCAACAGGGAGAGGAGTTTTTCTGTCACTTGATACCCCTATTAGGAGTCTGATATTCTGTGTGTGATGAATCTAAACACAATCTTCCGAAGTTCACTTTTTCAACGTTAACATGGGAATGGTACCTAGTCAATGCCGTGAATCACCTCACCAGAGATACCCTATCTTCATCCGCCACAAGAACCAGAAAGCAATACTAATCGCATATTAAGTCAGTCCTCAATCTGCAGAGTGTCAAGGAAGGCGTAGCTCCGCTACGAAGCTGACCACCAGCGGTCTTTGCTTCTGAGGAAAAGTGTGACGATTTTAGGACCGTAGGTATCGTGCAATGGAAAATATTGAAGGTTCACTGAAGTTGCATTACTGTGATTCTAACTGAACTATATAGCCATAGTGAGGCGATCGTCAGGGGAGTTAGCCTATTCAGAGTTTCCTGATTCAGTAGCTGAATTATAACAATTGTCGCGATCCTCAGGAGTCCATGAGGACTCGGTCCGAATAGGATCGATAGTAACGTAGATTGAACTGCGACAAAAAGTCATGATCGGGTGTAACGTTGCCACATCTCGGCCTTCCCAGCAGACACATAGACCGGATATCCTTGATGATTCGATTGCTCAGTGTACAATCAAGCAGAAAGTCCCTAATGCACGGGCACACTCATACGACATCAATTCCAGAGTACTGCAAAACAGAAACACTTACAATTCTCATGGAGGCAAAGGACTATTTGTATGGAAGGAGTTCTCAGCAGTCTACATAAGCGGCGTCGACTTCTACACCTTTTCGCTCGTACACGTCATTGAAGGGCTGTGGTTTTCTTTCTCTGTGTTCAACAACTACTTCGACTGATCTAGGTCTGAATTGTGGTATGAAGTAAATGCGAGTGAGGTGTTGACGTGTTCATAGCAACGAAGCTCGCAGTAAGCGAAGTGTGAAATCCTATCATGAACTCCCGTATACACACAGAACCATGTTTTTTGTCGTGCCGCTAAAGATCGTATGTGATTTTCTAGTTTCCAATTTAGTTTCATAAGTCAGCATTTGCTGATGAGAGTTTCTAGTAACGACAAAAGGTTCATTGCGGTCGGGGGCTATGAAGGCCGTCGCTGTCGATGTCCAGGCTGACCACAAATCACAAGCGGAACGTGACCTGATCGGCATATGCTGAAGTTCTCGGTCGTCTATGACAGGCAGACTAGATCGAAAACCCATTGTATGCACATTCTCGTGCATATCCTAATTCCTCCAAGCCATATTCAATCCCCCACTCCATCGTTGCGATTGCGCAATCCGAGAGGGTCAATTACTTCCGGCACATTACACAGTGGTATTCTCTCCGCACATGGTATTTGCAAGTCCCCTTCCAATGTTAGACGTCAAACATCAGTCACACGATATGCAGTCACCTCACCGCTACCCAAAGCGAACTAGCGCAGCCTTATCTACACGAACCTAATCCCCATGTCGATCATCGATCGGCATCACTTTCGCACCAACATCATCCCCATCAGGCAATATCAGCCTCGTCTCCTGTCCAAGGCGGACGACCGCATCCCTTGCACGAGCAAGTTTTCCGATCCCCTACCCCCCCAAGATAGCTCCCGGGGATAAGTTTTCTTCCTGGACGGCGCACCCGAGCAGCGGCATGACGTCGCCCTGTCCCCACACACCGCGATCTCTCGCGTTCCAGAAAGCCCCAACATCGCGCTCGGAGTCGGGTGTAGCAGCACCCATGAGCCGAAGAGCCTCGCGTCGTCGCTGGTCTGGGAGACCAGACTTCGCGCGGGGCTGCGACCAGTGCCCTGGTTAAGCTCCCGCGTCCCACTAGGAATCCTCGCGCGCACGAATCAAGTTTGCTTTAGTCAGGCTCACGCCACCAATACCTGCAGATGATGGGTGCAATGCAGTCCTCACTGTCATGCCATTTGGACAGCAAGCCAGAAATGAGATAGGCGCGATCGATAGCGCGGGTGTTGGCATCTCGCGATGCGGTGCATTGAGGCTAGGTAAGACTATCCGTGTGTGAACATCGAGGTGGTGTTCCAATATTACGGCTAAGGGGTATTTGGGGAGGGGCATTAGGAGCGTTTCGCTGCAGCGTGAGCATTAGTAGTGAGGTGTCTGTGGGCTACTCGCACATTAGGAAGCGTGACAATGCACTATAAGTGCACTTACATATGCACAATACCAAGCCTTACACATCGACGAACATGATGTAGGATTTTTATCAAAGCTGTGGCTGCAAAGCTCACAACAGCGCCCGGAATTAACAATGTGCGCAACGTACCTTGTGTTCGGACACTTGCAATTTGCAAGTACTTTCTTTGTCCACAAGGTTTCCGCGATTTGCTGGAGCGCGGAAGTGAGCTACTGGGCAGAAGCCTTGGCACGTAGCATGCCTCTGCGGAGAATTTTTCTGGAAACGCCCATGTATGCACGTCGAATCCGACAGTAGCATCGGAAACGGGCCGCACACATCCAACGTTCGTCCGGATAAGGCTGCAAGGTTTTCGCCTCGCGCGATCAAGTATATGCCAAGTGGGACCGGCGAATAACGCGCTTGTTCGCCGAGCTGCCTATATTCCTTTGTTGACGGTCGGCCTAGAGCTCGTACGAACTCAACAACAAGCTTCATATGCGCAATTTCGCCATGGTATGATGGTTTCAACTGTCGGTAGCTTCCATCGGATGCTGGCCATCATGTAATGTATGAGAAATCCGACCAAAAGCCAGTAGATAGAAATAGTGCGTGGCATGATCTCAAGATCTGCTTCCCAGGAAAACTGTTTGAATCTTGATGATACCGCGAACCAGCAGATAGCTAGCTTATTTGGGGGAATAACCCTCGCCCGTAGTGGTCTTGTGTCGCCCAAAGGACCGAAATTGCAACGACTCTTATTTCCGTGCAATGCTAGTGACATCGTGTTCGGTATACGAAGTACGCAGTCAGGCCGACGCGGTCTCCATCAAACACTATCATACAGATGAAGCCGTCGCTTCTGAACATGTGATGAATGTACTGTACAGTGACGATTGCGTGTGGACTCGGATGAGGTAACACTGCCTTAAAGCACGTGGCAATGGCCACAGAGAGGTCTGGACTCATGCAGCTGCGGGGTAGCTTTTTTCGGCCAGCTGTGCACAGGTGACGCCGGTCCACCAGCATCAGATGCGGATCTTCGAGATCCGGGATCAACCCGAATTGCTTCCGCCATCTTCTGCAACTCACATCGACTCGAAAATGATTCCTTTGAGCCATCGTTAGACTCCAATTGTCAATCGAGTGGCGTCCAAACTACGCTCGTCATCTTAGGCCCGATATGTGCCGAATAGCCGCGTTGGCAATGAGATTGAATGTGCGCAAACATTGACTTTTAAAACGCATCGTGAGGTTGGTGTGGTACTGATGTCGTGCATTCGTGGCCGTGCAATCCATGTGGCCGTGCAATAGGCGCGCCCCGGCGGGCGGGACGAAGCGCAGGAGGCGGTCGGTGTTTGGTAAACGGATGTGTAGTCAAGCGGTGACGGTTCAGGACCAAACATCGCTCTGTGCCAACTTAGTGTAGGTTCACAAGGTCCAGAGCTTCGAGAAACATGGTAGAAGAAGGTACAGATTAACGCAAAGCATAGAATAGTATCACACATGTGAAAGAAAGCGGATACCACATTCGATGGTTGCGGACATCCCCTCGCAACGGCAACATAAATCGTGGTACTGGAACAAACGACTACTTTGTAAATGTGGGATGTCGTACGTTTTGATACAGTGACTTGCTTGATTTGCGGTAGATGCGAGGGCAGGAACCTTCTGCAATAACGACCTGTGATGTATTGAGTAAAGAATCCGGTTGTTGGACTTGATGATGCGGAGGTCGAGTGCAAAAATATGGTTGATTGGGTTGGCCACATGTTGGTAGATGCGGCAATTCTAGACTGAAAGTGTAGGCTTGTTGATGCCCTCAGATGTTCGCAATCTCTGACGAGAACCGAGTAAGAAGGCGAAGTGTTTACGCTTTCCATCCACGATAAACGATTTTGCTTCCGTATATCTCACCCTTCTTCAGTATTGTCATACTTCTGTACTCAGGCACATTGATAGCATTGACGTAGCGACTGGGCTCAACACAGAAGGCAGAGCGGGCACCACGTGCTGGGAGACTTTCAACAGCTGGAACATCAATGTACTTGCCAGTATAGAACTGGAAAGCTGGCTCGGTGGTGGCTACCTCAAGATGGATCCTGGACTCAGGGTGGAAGAAGGAAGCCACCGTTTGCAGAGCTGAGTCTCGAGTATCTAGTGGGACGCTGGCGGGGTTGGTGTTGACAACGAAACAGTCATCGATGTCAGGCTCCTTCTCGCCTAAAGTGAAGGAACTGTTCGGATTGACACCTGGGTAGTCCTCGATGGGTCCTGTAGGGATCCCACCATCGTCGACAACCTGATATTTGTTTGTGATCAGAGTGGCCTCAGTACCTGCGATAGTAGAAGATCCACTGAGATTGAAGTAGCTAAAACTGTGTTAGCCAAATCCTTTTAGATGCACACGCAACTGCTCTTGCTTACCTGTGGTTGGTGATGTTGATTGCGGTCGCAGGAGCGTCGTCGCCCACCAGTTCTGCTTCGTACTCGATATGTAGCACCTCCTTCTGGTACCCGTCCTCATTTAGCTTCTCCTGTACATACCAGACGCGGACCTCGACTGTGCCAGGGTACCCTTCTTCTCCATGTTTGCTAAGATACTTAAAGAGGGTAGCTTGCTTCCCGTTCCGATCAACAGCAAAAGGTCCCTCGAACTCGCATTTGCCCCATCCAAGATTACCCCCGTGAAGAGAGTTTGGGCCGTTGTTAACAGGTAATTGATACGTCTGGCCGTTCAATTCGAACTTGCCATGCGCCGTTCTGTTGGCAATCCTCCCAATGGTCTCACCGAAGTAAGGGGCATTGTGGGACTTGTAATGCTCCGCGGTAGAGAACCCTTGCACGATGTTCTTCCCGGCGACCTTGAACTCCTGGATAATGGCTCCTAGCGGGAGGAATGTGAAAGCCTTGTCAGTAGACATGATGTTGGCACAAGGACGATTTGATTGGATGGGATTGGCGTTCCGAAGTCTGAGGTTCTAGGGAATCTGCATGCGCCGTTAGCTTCACAGCACAGCAAGGGTCAAATACGTCATCCGCCCATATTCTTTACACGTTCAGCCTCGTTTGATCCGCTTTCGATATTGATCATGTAAGGTTTGCATGACGCTGATGGATTTGCAAGCGAGGAGCATACACACTTTAGGGTTCGCTGTAACAGCACCGTACTGTAGATGTCCAGAGGCGAGTGAAGATGTTTTCGTGCTGTAAGGAGGGGTGGCTGTTGTGGGGTTTTTTGGTTCAAGTACACAGAATCACGAGTGCGGGACCGTTTGATTAGCCTAATCAGGCGATACTAGGTTAATTTCTCCGTTCGTCCTCCACACACGGGCTATCGTTGACCATGCGGTATCCATTGAATTGTGGACTTGAGCGGCTACAGTGTTCGTGACTGGCGTTGTAGGCGCATCCTGGGTAAATGTGAGGCTGGAGCACACTGGGGGCAGGAGATAGGCTCAAGCCCCGCGACCAGGTAGTCACGTGGAACCCTTGCTACAGATAGCTTAGTTCGACTTCGCGCCACGATCACGATCTCGATCATCAAACAAGCAAAGAATTGCGGCTTCGACGCGATCGGATTTCGTACAGTTTGTTACAATCTTCGCTATCATCGATTTCGTCGCTGAAATTAACAACGACTTTGACTTGTCCAATCTCAAGCTCAGATCCCAGCCACGGCGCGGCGCCCCTGGTCAGCAGTGTGCATGTCTCCTGATAATAATCCGCCAAGGATTAGACCGGCGAAAATCGCCCACGTCATGGTGAACCTTACAATGCCTCTGTGCCGCCATGGCAGTCCTTTCATCTGAGATGTTCCCATATGATTAATACACACCTCCGCCTCGTTGTCCTAAACGCCGAAGACCCACAAATTCAAATCCGGAAAACCTCGCAGATCTTTACCCAAATCGCTTGAACGCTGGACAGAAGTATTGGAACGTAGGAGAGTGTGCCGGAGCCAATCACGCGCCCACTTGATTATTTATGAAGCTGCTGAAGTCCAAATCGTTCGGTGTGTTCCAGTCGGGCATTGCGGGGTCGTTGACTACGATTGGATCCAGCATCATCGCACTCTGGTCAAAGTTTCCATATGTGTCAAACCCATACATCGGTTTCCCGAAGTCGAGGGTTTCTTCCATGATCATGGTGTCCGTTTGCCAGTTCTGTCGCGACAAAGTCGTAGGATCCAAACCACCGGGGCTCATGAAACCGTTCGCAACCATCGGTGCTTCCTGCTTGATCGGTGATATGATCTGGGACTGACGCGGGAATGGGCTGTTCATCGGTGGTGTTGGCGGAGCGTTATGACGTGCGAAGGGGTCGGTGAAGGGCATCGTCTTGGTTGTCGGTGTACCGCTGAACGATGAACCGGATGAAGTGTGGTCGTGCTCTGAGTCGGAACTCGTCGATCCTCTCCGACGAGTGAATGGTGCGCCTCGCTCAAGCAACTTCTGCTGCATGCGATTACAGTCTTCCTCGAAACCTTCATAATTCCTACCGCCATCGTTGGAAGAGTGGAGCAGATCAAGCCTCTCAAGGATGTCATGGGTGAGCGGATGGCCACCCTGAGCTTCGCGCAACGGCGCACCTGGCCAACCCTGGCCTTGCTTTAACCTGGAATAAAGCTCTCGCAGGCCTGCGACGAGTTGCGACTGCTGCTGTTCAAGCATCTCGACATAGCTGCAATTGTCAGCAAGCTGCGCCAAAGACCAAATCACAACCTCAGCTTACCCCTTGGGATAGACCTTGTCTTGGGACTTTTTCCGCTCTCCAAAAACGCAAATTGCGTTGTCTGCTTTGCATCGACTGCATGGGCTAGCGCCATCACACTGATACGCCATCAGAAGGGCCGAAGACAAACCTCAGCGAATACATACCTTGGACTTTTTCAGACGGCATCGATCGCACGCCTTGCACACCCGCTTGCGGATGTTGTCTTGAGAAGCCTCCATGGAGTTCGATCTTTGTGAAGCCATGCGTCGGTGGCAGTGAGTTCAAGTACCTCGAAGATGTTATACTAGTCTTGGGCGCAGATAGGTGTAGCGAGGTATGGTGATGTTAAATGGTTGCTTAGTGGGGGGCCAGAGACATCAAGTGGGTGAAACCAGAGGACGTGGGCGGGAGTTGGAACCTAAATACGGCGTGGCCTGAGTGGGCACCATGGCATTATATCTGTTCACGTCAGAGGGCAGGTTCAAACGGACGCTCGGCCTTAAGGTGTGCGCTGGGGACGGGCAGAAGCGTGTAATAAAAATGTAATAATGCGCTCTTCGGGCCGGGCTACTAAACCACCCTTGCCAGGACCTGCTGCCTCGGCGGGCCACCCAGCGGCCGTCGGAGCGAGTTGGATTACTTTCGACCGCACAGGGGTCTAGGATCGGCGGGCGCTGCGCCAACCTTACGAAGACACTGGGCTCAGTCGACGAGAGAGGAACGAGCAGTGACAAAGCGCGCAAGCGGACCGAATGCTGGACGTTGCTGGGTCCACACTCGCAACCCAGAAGCATCGCAACCCAGGAGCAGGGGCAGCTACACTTGGGTACTGCAATGTCCGACAATGCAGCAGCATCCAACAGCCCCCGAAGTGTCCTATTAGAAGGGGCGTGGAAGAACGGCAGCGCCAGCGCAGGCGGGAGATCACCACGCAGAGAGGAGGATGGCTCGGATTTCGGAGCTACCCCAACGCCGGTGGTGCGCTTTCAATTCGGACGAAGCTCTCGACTCACCGCGCGAACGCGGGCATCCTGGCGTCCAGGCACGCAGCAGACCCTTTTCCTGTATCAGCATCGTCATACTCACTCGTCACTAATAACGTTAGCCCTGCGACCTTCGCCAAACAACGCTCGTGGGGCTTCGGCCGAGCAAAAGTTTGCGAAAGCGCGCGCTGTCCACATGTCAAGCAGCCCTGCTGTTCGGCCTCACAAGACGCAAGAAAATGGCTCAACGGCTCCTTACTGTGTACCCTGTTGTGCGGTTTGAGGCTTACTCGCCGAGTCGCCGAATGGGTTGTAACAATATCCGGCGAACTGATTTCCGAGTATTGTCCACCACGGCTCCAGCCACAACATCACCGCTATTAAACGACGGTTGCAAGCAGCAAGCGAAGACGCGTATGTGTAGGGACCGCGTCTGGTCGCCTGTTCCTAGACGCTTCTAGCCTCCGTTTATCACGCTGATTGAGCACCGCTGAGTGACTCCATTCCATACTGATGCTTTCTTTCAAGATTTCACAAACGAACCAATTATTTCCTGCAAGTGGCTGGGCGTTACACTGGCGAGATGTAGGTGATCCTCGTTGGGGCTGCTTATCAATGCCCTGCAGAAGGGAAACAAATGTCTCCGCTAGATCAGGTCCTTTAGCTCTGTCTGGACATAACTCTGCGTCGCTTCGAATCATCAAGAGTCGGCAGTCTTGAGCTGCTGCAATCCACTGGGGCTCATCCCGCCGCGCGTGCGTCCACGAGGCCGTCTGTTTTCGCTTCACGACGGTTTCGTGTAAGCTACTAATGCAAACGGTATCACCGCACCTCAGCCGCTCATCAACATACAGCTCATTTACTGTACTCGCAGTATTCGCCCTTTTCGAGAAGTAGATGATTGTCGTCGTAAGGCAGCGTGGCTCAGGCATCCTATTCCATACATGCTTGCGAAACGAGCAGCAATCTCTATTGGAGCGTATGCGCTTGGATCGTATTGTTCGCAACAGCCACTAAACGAGTACGAACACAGCTGGCTGTGCATATTCCAGAAAGCTTGTATCTCGCGTGTCACGTCAGCAACGCCAAACGGCTAGTCAGCAGCTACTGGCGAATGAACCACTCCTCCTAAAGTGCCCACAGCCATTTCCGTCTTGGGCAAATACCCTGCGAAATCACGGGGTAAGACTGTTCAAGGCTCGACAACCACTCCACCAGTGGATCGTGGCTCCTGCAGCGCATAGATTTACCTTGCATGCTTTATGGCTTACCAAGGAACAAGTGCGGGGGCTTTCTTTCCCAAGATCCCCAAGAATCTAACGCCAGATTGATATGCGATGTCACTCCACTTTTCGACTCCATCACTAAGCCCTAGCAACCACTTACACGGCCAATTCGGCTATGAGTTACCGGTCGGCGAAATGAGTAAGTTGCAATGCAGAGCTCGTTGATGGTCACGAAGCACACGCATGAGATGATAAAAAAGACAGCAGTTTGGGTCAGGCCCCGCAATGCCAACTGTCTCGTTCTGGACGCTTGCGATGTTGGGTTAATTCCATTCCTGTCGGAACGTATCCGAGCTTCCCCATTGGACACCAACGACATATCAAATGCGGAGAAGAGTCAACACCATGATCTGATTCTGGATGCGGGCGTGAATAACAAGAAGTTTGGAAAATTACATCTCGACCCCGCAAGGAGCCTCTGTCTTCTGCCCAAGACGGCCTTCATTCTTCTTGGCAGCACGAATGCGATCAGCCGCGAACCAAGATGACCCAGAGACTCGTGTTCAGTTGTCAAAGGTACCAAACTTAATCCCTGATGCCTTCAAATACTGAAACGGGTTGTTTCAGCGTTATTCAGTCTGGCATCGCAGACCACTGGCCTACGCCTCACTGTAGCGCACGTGTCATCTTAGCGGCCTCAAAAGCACCGTGTACCCTGGTGTTGATACTGAGGTACACCATGAGAAACTTGATTAACTGATAGCCAGCTGTCACTGACGTCAATGAAGAGCAGCGAACAGCAAATGCACTCTTCATGAAGCAGAGCATAGATCGCAGCTATTCTGGTTTCAAGCTATCGCCTGTTTGGTAATAAAACAGTGGACACCAGCCACTTGCGCCACGCCTTGCGTTACCCACTTCAGCCTTGGAGCCCAGCTTTGTACACGAGCGAGCAATGCTGCTGATGGGAACCTTGAGCTCACCAAAGTTTCGCGACGTGGATTCTGTATTTGTTACGCATCCACTGTATAATCTCCAGCCTCGAATACGCCTGCCGAGTCATATGGCACGCGCGGCCAACCAATGAACGCAGGTCCTCTACGACAAGAGACCAATGAAAATAGCTCTTCTACGACAAGGGAAGCCGCTCACAGGCTTGCGAACTTTCGACAGCTTGGCGAACCGCACCCCTCCAGCCTCAGCCTCAAGTGTGAGCGCCCAAGATGATTGTGCCCAAGACCACGCAATCCGATACATTTCACAGATCGTCCCTATCCCAATCGGCGATATTGAATGGCTTTGCTGGCAGATCTTCTCGCTACGATAACCCTGTTTCATCGCATTGGGCGGCCTTTGCACGCGCTTGCACCACCAAGCCCCTTCTTAGAACATCGACCAAGAGAAAATTGAGCCTCGCGTGGCGTCACGCGGCCATCTGCCATGAACACGTTTCGTGCGTGGCATCGAGGTGTAAGGCCGGCCCAGGAGCCCACCCTCTCTCCGCTCTTGGCAAGCAGCCTTGGAGGACGAATTCGCTCGGGACCCGCACACGCGGCTTCCCGTGTTCCCGCTTCCGCCCAGCCAAAACGGCTAGGCTTTTGGCGTTCTCGGGTGTCCGATCGTTGCGCATGCCGACAGCCTGCCTAGCTGCGGTGGTACGATTTGTACTGCCCGGTGTACGAGTCACCGAATCCCTGGCAGGAGTCAGGAGATCGTGAACGGCCATCGCAATCAACGAATAAGGGGTAGCGCGAACAGAAACGCAATCCGCACTGGTCGCGGGCATCAAGATTGAGGCCGAGCGTGGTGGGTCTTTACTGAACGCTGCCCTGTCACCGTACCAACCGTATTCGCACGCGGCCCCTGATCTTCCGCCCAATGCTTCAGATGATTTTCACCGGGCTCTGGGGACCGCATAGCAGAAGCGCCGAATGATTTACAATATCATGTTGGTGCCAATTTTGTGTCTCCCATGTCTTCGAGGCCCTGCGATCCTGTAAACACTCCCACAATTGAGGTCCCAGCATTACGGTACGCATGTCCATCGCTCACCACTGGCGGGCACCTGCATATCCAAATGACTAAGCCACACTGTGTTGCGAGCTTACGGGTGTCCTCTTTTGGGCATGCGATCTCGGTCATATCTTGTCGTTCTGGACTCGACCTTCCTGACTTGCTGACGGAGCCAGGATGTGAGCACACCGATATGTCTTCTAGAAAGCGGTATGTTCTTGGCTCTTTAACTTCCTCAGGATCTCTTGTTCACATAATACATCCCACGCGGAGTTCCTGGCACAGGCTTGAGAACGGCGCAATTTAGGATTATAAAATCTCCACCACGTGCAACCTGTTTTGCGATAACGCCATCAATTTCTGACCTTCTTCTGACAGATGCGTGAAATGCAAAGGTGCTTCTAATCAACGCAATCAGCGCAAGGCGCGGAACATTGTCCGCATTACCAACTGCGTCGATTTCAAATTCGACCATCCGCTCGGCTCAAAATTTCTCAATGCGGGACGCACACGGCACACTCGCGTAACATATGTTGGAATTCAACTACGGAAACTTGTCAGCCTGTAAGCATCTGCCGTTGGTGGTGGTTGTGGGCGGCCTTTCCGCCGCCCATCAGCTCCACTCCCAACAGGTAGTTAGATAGCTGACTTCCTCCGCCGTACGACAGTTCATGCTGGCGCTAAGACGCCCTACACGGTGGTGAGTCAAGCGTGAGCAGGTTATGTGGGATCACGAGCGGTAAAATCGCGAAATTTCTTCCTCTTACTTATCACCGACTATTCTCGACCGGTGGGTGTTTTGAAAACGCCGACTCCGATCGCATCAAGGAGTAGGACCCCGCAAGTACTGTGATTGTGGAAATACCCATCCTTTCGCTTCGCTTCGCTTTGAACGAAACGAACACGAACGGGAATATCTTCATTTGGAATCATCCAATCACTCAAACGGGCCTCAGAGTAAGCCGCATATGTGGCACGGGAACCAAAACACGCTGCCGCCTTACACGCCGTATATGGTGTTGTGGTGTCGAACCGTATTACTTCGAGTGTGGAAGTAAGCTCACGCCTTTGTTCTACGAGTGGGTCCCTTCTTGCGCCTCAAACGGCGTGGCTCTCTTATACGCGCGACACGTTGCACAGCGTAACTTCGCTGGCTGGAACTCAGCGCACCCCATTTGTTGGACAGTAAAATAACAATATTCGCCTGTACGCGTTCATCTGGTGTTTCGTCGATGCAGTCACGCACGCTCTCGCTCTCGCTTTCGCTCTCGCTCTCGCACTGTGTTCATACACCCTTCGCCTACTCATCCTTCAGCAAGCCATACTCACCACTTGACCTACCAACCCCTCAGCCTTGACTCCACATCCCCATCGAAGCCAACACCATGGCCCCGGTAACCGTCACTAACTTAGCTAACCTAGCCGGACGCACCCACGCGCAACTACCGGCCGAAACAGGCGTATGTTTCGCTAAGTCTCATCGCCGCAGCTGAGCCACAATATCGTGACGTACAACGCGTAGCTGCACCATATTGATTTGCTCCGCCTTGAACACTGCAGTGCTGGAATTCTAGGCTTCTACCGGTTCAAGGGTAATTGAAGGAATGCTGGCAACTCAATGGAGACATGCGGGCCCAGGGGTTCTGGGTGGGCGTTGCTTACTTCCCCTTTAGATGTTTGCTGGCGCGAGACCCTGATTCCGTATCCACCTGAAGTCGTTCGAATCATCGGGTGTCTTGTCATAATGCTACCAAGCCCCGGCTTCCACACCGGACACCGCTTTGTGCTGTTCATTCTGTCTTGTCGACTCTTCTTGTCAATATTGCGGCTACACCTGAGACATCAATGGCCAGTGCTCCCTGCCTTTAAGATCAGCTTACAGATAACGCGTCGGTGGGACCGAGGTGCTGAGGCGCCGAGGCGCCACACTACTGTCTTTCCTGGGAAGCAGGACGGGGATAAGGTGCTTATGCGAGATTGGGGCGAAGATGGCTAGGGTGTGGGCTGGAAGACGCGATGTAAGAGTGGGCCAGGAAGCGATGTTGTGATATCTATGGTTCGTATTAGTAGTTCCCGAGAGAGAAGAGAGTGTCGTTGATTCAGGTTGTGGATCCACTGGGGTGAGTGCATAGCTGAGAGGAACGACTCATTTTGCTTGAATGTTCGAGAGTCCATTTTAGAGCTCCTGCACGGTACGTGATCAAAAGACAACGCCAAAGCCCTTTAAAGAGCTCAATGCTAACTATGCTGCGGTAGAAGATGCTTTGGTATTGATATTGTCGATAGTGCGGTGTTTCGAACGGACAGCCCGCTGGGTTTGGAGTATTCTTCAATATGGCTTCAGAAACACAAAGCATAGCCGAAAGAACTTTCCAAATGTGCCCGTATATCCTAACAGGGTGGACAGAGTATATTCCTAACCTCCCAATGTCTCATCCAGCCGTAGGCGGGGTAGACTTGATCGCGGTCGTTCATGCTGGCAGGCGATCCATGGGCGACGCGTAATTTCTGATCGCACCTGAGGAACAAGTGCGACTGCACCGCCAACTCCTCGGCTTCTAACTCGGCTTTCCAGATGTCAATATTCCATTTGTTCTTTGCGGGATGCTTGTAGAGCATCGCTACCATCGAATCTCGAAGGATTTCGTGTAGGTAATAGCGCCAGTCCTCGTCCTCGAACCAAGTCGCATGAGCGACTGCCATGTATGTATCGACTAAGAAGCGTTTCAAGCGGTGCAATCCCGGCAAGTTGTCTACTGCGTTCACTTTGTAGCACCGAGTGATAGCATTTTCGTCCTCATACGTGCCGTACGCGATGGCTACAGCACCCTGAACGGGATACGAACCCTTGTCCTTGAACCAATTGAGCATCGCTTGGAGAACCACCGTACTGAACTTGACATCTCCAACGTAAAGAGAATAAATATGCATGGATCATCGGTCTGAATTCTTCCTCCTGAACCGCTTGATCGTACGTGACCTGTCCCGAGTATAGTCAACCCCGATATAACTCAAAGTCGGGTTGTCGCAGGCTCAGCAGGTGGATACCCTGGTTGTTGTGGCGATTTGGCCAGAGTCCGCGACACAGAGGGCACAGCCGGCCACAACCATTGCTCCGGGCAATCTTCGTGGAAGTTGCCACTGCACGTAGAGCAGAATGTTAACTGTTGGTTGCCGGTGCCAAGCTCGTCGAAAAAGATGGAGCAATGGCCTTCGATGGCCTTGCGGTTACCCTGCAACTTATTTCGAAAGTAGGGGGAGCTCTTGCAGATCAGGTCGGCATGCACAATGTAGAGGCGGCTTGATTCGCCAATGGAGATGTTCGCGATCTTGCTGCCGAAGCTATATCTTTCAGAGACCGAATCAGTGGTGCTGCCACTACACTTGCTATGGTGTGATACGCCTCTGAAAGACTCGGTTCCGGCCTGTGCGGCTGCATCCCGGAGGCATCTTGGGGTGACTTGCGGAGTATAAATTTGCAATCTTTGGTGGCCGTAAGCAGCGCGTGTGAATACTCAATAGCTGTGGTCAGCCGTGTATGAGAGCGTCGCGTGTCAAGATAGGACAATGCGAGTTACTGGGAAGCTTCATCAGGTAGGAATTTAGTGGAGCGGCGAAGGAGTAATCCAGCCGGGCGGGTTCCTTCATCCTCCCATACCGCTTGGAGTGAATGTGAAAGGTGAAAAGTGGCTCCGCATGAATTGTGTCGGAGCAGTGGTGACTATGGGGGATGGGCGGTGAGAGTCAGTGTAGCTTGATGAGTGCGAGAGGAGAAGTCGTGAGCAGGGGGGTAAACGGCCTCCGTTCGTACTAGTAACATCTTTCTCGTTCTCCTAGAACAGAGCAGGTGTGATCGGCTACAAAACTAATGGAAGCATTCACGAAAGATGGCTTTGAGGTCAGCTAAGTACAGGGATGATAGGATGCGCTACTGATACAATCTGGATTCTACACGGACCTGCCCGTTCGCACTCATGGATAACGTCGCACTCGATGTGATGTTTCCTGGAGCCAGGAACCGATACCGGCAGCTGAGCTGGACATTGTACGCGATCAATTGAACATATTCAGATCATACCTCTGGCTAGATGGACAGCGCGATCGCTTTACGCGTCCGCTGTTTCAATCTTAGTGTCAGCCTCCTGCATGTCTTCCACTTTCGATTGTCTTCCCTCAAACCATTTCCTTGCTAAGTCGATGCCGAAGCCGGTCCAAAGAGTCAAGGCGATCACCATCGCCAGAGCGCTTCCCCACCCATGCGTCTGTTTGAACTGCGGGGCCTGTCCACTTGGGAGTTGGTACTGCTGGAAGGGAATGACGACTGCCTGTCCAATGCTGACCATGATGCCCAGGACAAACGCACGCAGTTGCTGGTCATGACCGCACGTCGAGTTGACCCAACCTGCTAGCAGGGGAGTATAGCATCCATAACATCCAATAAGGATGAACACTGCCATCTTGAAGTCGTTGGGGACATTCCAGGCGGTAAGAACAGCGTAGCAGAATGTGAGTAGTAGGCCAACAGCAAAGCACACAGGGCCGCGACGACCGATCTTATCCGAGACATAACCAGTGCCGATCATGAAGAAGAAGTTGACTGCGCCTACGCTGGTGGGGATGTTGTTAATCTCAGGGACAGAGTAGATCTTCCGACTTTTAAGCCAGATGCCGAAGTATTGGATGATGTAAGAGCCGCAGGTTAAGGTCCAAAACGAGTAAGCGAGCGAGAAAACGTATACTTGCCACGAGCAGGCAATCCTCTTAATAATGGTCCTGTCAAGCTTGCCCTTCGGCGCTCGACCTTCCTCCTCGATCCTCTCGCAAGCCCTTTTCCGTTCCCACTCATTGAGGTAGAACGCTTGTGTCGTGTGCGGGGTATCAGGAAAGAAGAAGTATCCATAAAGCGCGACAGGAATGGCCAGGAGAAAGTCAAAGATGAAGAGCCAGCGCCATGCAGGCATCCCCCCCTTGCCTTCCATCCCACTGAACAGCGCAGCCTGAAGATACCCAGAGAACATCTGACCAAGAACTCCGGAGACAACGAAAAGCGCACTTCGGCGGGCAAGTTCCGACTTTCTGTACCAGCAGCCGAGCACGTACTGGATGCCGGGCCAAGCAGCTGACTCAAAGAGTCCGATGCAAAAGCGAAGGGCGTAGAATTGCCCCGCAGTCGTAGTCTTGAACATGAAGAGTACAAAGAGGGACCAGATGATGAGACAGCTGGGAAGCCAGATTCGTGGTCTGATTATAGTAATGATTAGGTTTGCGAAAGGTCCGCCGATGATCGTTCCAATGAGAAAGTAGGTATTCATCCAGCTGAGTTCATTGCCAGGACCGAAGTTGAGGTCTTCCTTCATGCCAGATACGTAGGCGTTAGAGAGATTGTTTTGATCAAGCTGTTTTATGAAGAAGTAGAGGCAGCTGAAGCTGAGGAGGAACCAATCGAGCTTAAAGATGAGCTTCTTCTCGGCAGTTGAAGTGCCGGGCTCGTGCCAATGGAACCAGCCTGACTTCTGGGGTTCCGTTTCAGGACGTTGAGTATCAGCAGAGCTGGCGCCATCTTGTACACCGACATCAATTGCAACCGCGTCTCTGTCCTTGGTGTCCGGCGCATTCGATGCATACTTTGAGTGGATGGCAGGCGTCAGATCATCCGGCGCGAGCCTCGGCGCGACACCAGCATTGTGAAGCTGGTTGTGTACGGTCATAGCGACAGAGTACCGCCCAGAGCCTTTAAGTAGATACTCGCAGCTTTGAATGTTGTCGAGACTGATGCGATCAGGGCAGCTAAACGATCATATCGCTACCGTGCACGTGGTAGCGTTGTTGATTGTCGGAAAGTCTACCGAGCAATGAGAAGTGGAGAAGCTGGGTTTCTACCAACTTTCAGCGTGAACACATGTACATATCTTATGATTGTAGCAAAGCATCGTCTCTATCACGCAATTGATCAATTAAGTATCGCTATCCGCTATCTTTGCTCTCCATCGTCAAAGGCGGTGCGGCAGACGGATTCCGCCAGCCGTGGCAAGAAATTTAAATGTTGAGTAACTTGTTTGGGTGAGTCTTGTCGGTCCGCTTGGGCGCAGTAGGACAGGCGGGGCCGACATCAATTCCCCAATGTGAGATAGACTTAAAGCTAATCCCGAATTAGCAGTGAGGCAACTTACGCGGCTTCTCCGCAAAAGGTTGACTCGTCTCGACGACACCATATGTCCGAGCGAACGGTCTCAATGGCATGCAGTGTCGCGCTGAGATCATTGAAGGCAACGCCATGGTTGAATACGTGCAGATCAACGGAGCGAAACTTGCGTATGTGATCTCGAGCACCGACGCAAGCAAGCCTTTATTCATAACGCTTCATGGTGGTCGGGGTTTCGGTACGTAAGGAATTGTTGAACTTCCGATTGTAGTGCTAATTGCACGGCGCAGGAAGCCACGAAAGTGACTACATAGCATATTCACCCTTGGCGAACAAGTACAGAATCTTGTCTTTCGACTACCGTGGGCATGGAAGCAGTTCTAGCACCAAGCCATACACGTTCCACCAGTTGGTAGAGGACATAGAGGGCATGCGCCAGCATTTTACTGGCAATATCGATGAATTCGTGCTGTGCGGGGGTAGCTTTGGCGGCTATTTGGCGCAGCAGTACGCAATCACGTACCCGCATCACATCTCACATTTGATCCTTCGCGGTACTGCACCCTCACATCATCGTGAGTGCCTCCACCAATCTGATAAGGACCTTATACTGACAGACTGAAGACGAGGGAGAAGCTATCAAAGTGCTCGAGAAGCGTCTCCACAAAGCTCCGAGTCTCTCAGTGAACCAACTGAAGAACAAGATCTTCGGGCGATTCGAAAGCGATGAAGAATTTCGGCTAGTTATGCATGCTGCAGCACCTCTGTACAGCGAGACGTTCGATGCGGATGCAGCCTTGTCGAATACGTTGAGGACAATGTACTTTGCAGAGTCGCATAGTAGGTGGATCATGGCAAAATCGTATTCCGAGCTAACACCGATAGACGATCTGTACTCGGAACGGGAGAAGTACTTCGACTATCGCGCAGATCTGAAACATATTGTAGCGAGAACGTTGATCATTGTCGGTGATCAAGACTGGATATGTCCACCAAAACAATCGGAGATTATAGCGTCTCACATTCCTGGTTCCCGCTTGGAAATATTTCGAGGCGCAAACCATAGCGTGCATCATGAAAAGAATGAAGAAGTCATACGGCTGATACAAGACTGGGTGGAAGAGTAGAATCAAAGATATCCCAATTCAAATTCCCAGTCAGTGATCATTGCAGTGGTAGCATCGGGCGATGGCCCAGTGGCCTGGCTTGTAGAACCAAACGACTCAGCGCCCTCCATATCTTCCCAAGCCTCGACGTCTAGATAGCAACTGGCGTTACTCAAGGCTCTTCGTATGACACCCGATAGATCGTCCCGAAGCCTAAGCATTCCAGCCTTGATCGAGCTCTGCAGCGGCGTGTGGCCAGAGTAATCGAATTGTAAGATTTGACGAGAGGCGTATGCCTCGTGGCTGGCTACAAGCTCTATGAATTCGGTCATGATGCCAGACGTCTGATGTGCAGAAAACCAGGCTGCAGGGAATGCGCGCAGTATCTCGATACAGCTCGTCAATTCTGCCTGAGAGATGTACGTGCGCGGATGCGCTACTGCAAAACAATGAAGAAGTACCATGCACGCAGGCAACAGTCTACCGAGCGTAATGTGGTTGAGCGGAAGTTGTCGTTGTTCCAGCAAGATACGATTGTAATTGGTGAACTTACTGACGTGAGACAGAAGTTCTTTTGTCGTTGCATATCTCGCTTGACTGTTGAAGTGACATGGATAGTACAATAGTACAAGGAGATTGTAGTATCGAGCGTTGACCCAGGTAATTGTACTGTGAATTGGAATGTTGTCGGCCTCAGGCATCGACACCAAACAAGCATGACTGTACCAGTCGTCTATAGCCGAACGTAACTCCGATGAGATGGCTTTTCGATCCGGTAGTGTGAGCTTGCTAAGCTCAGCATGATTTCTGAGATGGACCGAGAGTAGGATACGATGTTCCAACTGACGGAGTTGTATGATGTGTCGATTGAGCTGGAGTAGCGACGCATGCTTACTTCGGTCTTGCGAAGCGAATTCGAGGACTGTCACAGCCGGTTGCGGTACCGCCATGTTGTGATCAACAAGCCCCGCGTCATGCCCAACGGAGACAGCTACCATGCGGTCAAGGACGAAGATGCTCCAGAATAGCCGGTTTCGCAGCTCACGACTCTGGGGCTCGAGATCTGCTGAAGTCAGATTGATTCGAGAGAGTCCAAGTGCTGCGGCTTGACGAGTCAGAATGCCGACTATTGTCCAGGTTGATGGGCCTGTGGTGTCGAATAGAGAGTATAGTGACAGCAACGTAAGGACTTGGAGACCCTCCATCGTCGGACGTAAGAGGTACTTGTTCAAGATATTCGTATAAGGTACCGCGAGGTGGAACGAAGCGTCAGCCTCAAGCTTTCCAGCGCGTACGAGGGTCGTGCTTCCGATGGCCATTACCAGGTTGACAATGTCATCCGTCCAAAGTTCATAATGGGGCAAGGCCTTTGCCCGAGCCTTGATTTGGTGTTTATCAAGAAATGGATAAGCTCGGTGCACATGGCTGAAATACGCGTCTACATATTTTGAAGGATATCGGGTGAGAATTGTCGTGATGCTGGGATGTTGCTCTGGATCATCGGGAGTGTTTGGGTTTGGGAGTTCTGCTTGGATATCTCGACTTGATGGATCTTGTTGCGGAGATGGGTTAACAAGATCTATCTCAAAACTGCATTCGTACCCGTGCGCAATGCATAGTGCGCATGAAGGTCGTTCTTTCGTACACCTCTTCTTCTGTTGACATCTGTCGCATGACTGTACAGCAGCTGAACGCTTATTTGTTGGCGATGACGGGGATGCAGGTAATGGACGTTTCGCGACACGAAACCTATGAATCGTGGGCTTCATCTTGCGGTATACAATGCTGTCGAGCCAAGGTTGGGGATGTCCCTATCCGAGGAACTTGTCTTCACGTGCTATGGCGCAATTCCGACCGATTTTGCCCAATTCGTCCGTGGCGCCCCCCTTGATCTTCTCCACATCCAACGCTACACTAGCGTGTGGAAAGGGTAAACCGCGCGTGGTGACCATATCAATCGCACGCCATGTAATCTAAACAATGTAGTCAGTCATCTCACAGTATGGCTACCAAACGCTGAAGCAATCAGCCGTCTTGCCGCATACAATCTATCATGGCGACTACGGATATCGATATTTCCATCGGTAAGTGCCCCAAGCTCGATTAAGCGGATGGAATGCACAGCGCATCATCTCTCGAGACGCTACAGGATATGCAATACAACGAGGAAAACGAAGATGGCACTGACACGGTTGCAGACCGAGGAGGCACCTTCTGTGATGTTCTCGTACAGACACCTGGCAAAGGCGACTTCATTTTCAAATTGCTCTCGGTAGACCCTGCAAACTATAGAGATGCGCCGACTGAGGCTATTCGAAGAGCCCTTGAAGCGGTTGAGGGGCGAAAGATTCCCCGAAACGAGAAGCTTAATGCCTCAAGAGTCAGGAGTTGCAGGATTGGAAGCACAATAGCTACTAACGCGCTTCTGGAAGGCAAGGGTGAGAGATTCGCCTTGCTCACCACGAAAGGCTTCAAAGATATCTGTGTCATCGGTGATCAGACCAGGCCGAAGCTGTTCGAATTGGCCATAAAAAAAGCGAAGGCATTGCATGCTGTGTCTGTCGAAATAGACGAAAGAGTCACCGTCGAAGACTATGACTTGAATCCCTTTCCCTTAGATAAGAACCGCGAACTGATCGAGCCGGCGCTAGTCAGGACGAAGAGTAGCGAGATCATACGTGTGCTGAAGCCCATTGACCTAAATGAAGTTCGCCAGGTTCTAGAGGATCTCCGGAGCCAGGGATTCACGTCGCTAGCGATATCCTTCATGCATTCATACCTCTTTCCGGACCACGAAAGTCAGGTTGCAGGTCTGGCAAAAGAGCTGGGGTTCGCTTACGTGGTTTCATCGTCTCAAAACAGTCCATTAATAAATCTTCTACGCAGGACGAACTCGGCTTTATCGGAGGCTTACCTTGGACCTATCGTGCAAAATTATGTCAAAGAGTTCCAGGCAGGATTTGACGTGCTTCCCGCACGGGTGGATTTCATCTGTTCTGATGGTTCGCTGCGGGACGCCGGTCGATTTGGTGGGAACGATGCGCTGTTGAGCGGACCAGCCGGCGGTGTGGTTGGTATCGCAAAGTCCTGCTACGATGCCGTTGACGGCACTCCGATCATTGGGTTCGACATGGGTGGGACTAGCACAGATGTCTCCCGGTATGACGGCCACTACGACTATCTGAACGAAACTACCATTGCGGGACGCAACGTCACAACACCGATGCTCAATATTGCTACTGTTGCAGCGGGCGGAGGTTCTATTTTGTTTGCAAGGAATGGTCTTCTTGCTGTAGGACCTGAAAGCGCTGGCGCTCATCCAGGGTAAGTGGGCTCACTGCAGGTGGCGTACTTGTTCCCCTGTGATATAGCCCGTGACACTTCGAATGTCACTGAAGACCAACTGACCCCCCTACTAGGCCAACCTGCTACCGCAAAGGTGGCCCGCTCACCGTCACAGACGCCAACCTCTTCCTCGGCCGCCTAATCCTCACCTCCTTCCCCTCCATCTTCGGACCCGCTGCCAATGAACCCCTCGACCTCACTACGACATCGCAAAAATTTGCCGAGCTAGCAGAAGAAGTAGCATCACAAACCGGCCGCCGTCTTACGCCCGAAGAAGCTGCTCTCGGCTTCCTCGACGTCGCCAACGAAGCCATGAGCCGTCCCATCCGCAACGCCACCGAAGCACGCGGGTATATCCCCGAGGCGCACAATCTGGTTAGCTTTGGCGGCGCGGGCGGCCAGCATGCATGCTCTATCGCGGAGAAATTAGGAATTAAAAGGATCTTGATACATAAATATTCATCTATTCTTTCAGCGTATGGACTGAGTCAGGCCGAGCTGCAGGCGCAGGCTTTTGAACCCTTTGTGGGGGTGTTTAGTAAGGATGCTTTACCCGGTATCCGCGAAAATATTGCGGTAGTGAAAGAGAAGGTGCAGAAGGAGCTTGTGGCCCAGGGAGCAGATGCGGACAGTATTGTATACGAGGAGTCTTTGAGTATACGGTATGAAGGGACGGATACGAATCTGATGATCAAGAAGCCGGGGGATGAAGACTATGGGGCTGCGTTCGGAGCGACGCATCTAAGGGAGTTTGCATTCAATCTGGAGCGCAGGGTGATCTTCGACTCGGTTCATGTGCGAGGCGTAGCGAAGACGGCGAGCTCACCTGGCTCTGAAGGCCTAATCGCAACACTTACAAGCACGAGGGAGAACGCGAAGTATCAAGAACCTGCTGCGACCCAAAAGGTGTATGTAGACCACGCATGGACGGATGCTGCGGTGCACACCCTCTCGCAACTCTCCACTGGCGACGCAGTCTTCGGCCCAGCCCTTCTGGTCGACGAAACGCAGACCATATTTGTCGAGCCCTCGTTCACGGCGTACATCCTGCCCTCGCACGTTGCAATTGAAAAGCAGGAACAGATCGACTGCGCTCCTGGCCTGGCTCTTGCAACCACTGACGAAATCGAGCCCGTCCGACTCTCCGTCTTCTCCCACCGCTTCATGTCCATCGCCGAACAGATGGGCAACACGCTCCAGCGCACGGCCATCTCAACATCCATCAAAGAGCGCCTCGATTTCTCGTGCGCGATATTCTCTCCAAAAGGGAAACTAGTAGCCAACGCTCCGCACATCCCGCTGCACCTGGGGTCTATGCAGGTATGAGTCGCTTTTCTGCAGAAGCTTTCTAGCTACTGACCTTCTTCCAGTACGCGATACAATGTCAGCACGAAATTTGGCTGGGGAAGCTCCAACCTGGCGACTCAGTATTAACCAACCACCCCGAAGTAGGCGGCACACACCTGCCCGATCTCACTGTCGTGACACCCGTATTCGACAGCGCAGGCAAAGAGATATCATTCTACCTTGCGAGCAGAGGCCATCATACCGACATCGGTGGCAAGGGCATCACCGCCATGACACCCACCAGCAAAGAACTCTGGGAGGAAGGCATCCTCGTGCGCTCCATGAAAATCGTATCGGCAGGTGAATTCCTCGAGCAAGACGTCCGCGACGCATTCGCCAAAGCCGGCGAGTTCCCCGGCTGCAGTCCCACGCGTCGAATAAACGACAACATCTCCGACATCAAAGCCCAGATCTCCGCGAACCAGCGCGGTCTGCTCCTCCTGCAGAACCTCACCGCGCAGTTTACCCTGCCCGTCGTGCACAAGTACATGCACGCGATACAGGACAACGCGCAAGTCGCCGTGCGCGCATTCCTCCGCCAAACGCTGAAAGACCACCCCGAACCTCTCACCGCAACGGACTACTTCGACGACGGGACAAAACTGCAAGTGAAGATAACCATCTCGGAAGATGGCAGCGCAGTCTACGACTTCACCGGCACAGGCCCGCAGATGTGGGGCAACTACAACTGCCCCATCTCCATCACGCAGTCGGCCGCCATCTACACCATCCGGTGCCTCATCGCGGTCGATATCCCGCTAAACGAGGGCTGCCTCACGCCCATCACGATAAAAGTGCCCAAAGGCTCCGTGCTGAACCCCGAACCTTCGGTCGCGATATGCGGCTCCACGCTCGCCTCGCAGCGCGTCATCGACGTCATTCTCCGCGCATACGGCAAGTGCGCTGCGTTCGCGGGGTGCGCGAATAGCTTTGGGTGGGGGATGGGCGGCAAGGATGCTTTGACGGGGAAGATCGAGCCGGGGTTTAACTATGGGGAGACGGTGGGGGGAGGGTCGGGTGCGGGACCGGGATGGCATGGTGAGCATGCGGTACAGGTGCATTCGACGAACACAAAGATTACGGATGCGGAGATCGTGGAGAAGAGGACGCCGGTATTGGTGAGGCAGCATAGGATTGCGCATGGCACGGGTGGGAGGGGGCAGTTTAATGGCGGGGACGGTGCGATTCGCGAGGTGGAGGCGAGGATACCGTTGAGGTTCAGCATTTTGAGCGATAGACGCGTGTTTGCGCCGTATGGAATGGAAGGCGGCGAGCCGGGGAGTGTGGGGAAGAACTTTGCATTCAAATGGAATCCTGAGCGGACGGAGTTGGTGATGATCTCGCTGGGTGGGAAGGCGGAGCTGGCGTTGCAACCTGGAGAGCGGATGCAAGTACAGTCTCCTGCTGGTGGCGGTTGGGGGACACTTGAGCATTGAGTGGCCTTAGTGGCAAACTATGAGTACAATCATCTAGTCGAACCAAGGTTAGATCATCACCAATTCTATGTCATTGTGGAGCAGTCGTCGTGAGCTGTGAAGCACGACCATATGATGTAAGTATAGTCCTCATCCAAAGCCAATGAATCCAGGTGAGCTTTCAATCTAACGAAAAGCGGAGAAGAACTCTATGTTCCTGGTCTTCATGAGCCAAATAGATAGACAAGGCCACCGCGTGCTTTTGGCACTAATCATGGCACCGATGACAGCCCGGTCTAGGTCCAGATAGCAGTCATCGTACTCACATATTCCTTGGATAGCCTTGGCATAGACCACACCGGGGCCTAGAGGCTCTTGCATCCGAAGTTGAAGGTAAAGAAGGCGCATCTAACTAGGCTGAGCCCATGTCATCAAGAGCCGATGCCCTGAGGTGCAGAACGTATCGCTATCGTTTCTCAGGTCATTCGTTGTCCGTCAGCACCGGTGTCTTGTCGCAAAGCTCTATCCGGAAGAGGCGTGAGGAGAGTGGTGGGTGTGTCAGACTGCGCCATGATCTCCCTCTGCTGTCTCACATTGCTAGATCCATCCTTGTAATGTCCTGACATGCACCAACTATAGAAGAATAAGAAGAAGAATAAGAAGAAGAAGAAGAAGAAGAAGAAGAAGAAGAAGAAGAAGAAGAGGAGGAGGAGGAGGAGGAGGAGGAGGAGGAGGAGGAGAAATTCTGGTAGGTCTCCAATTAGTGCTCGATTTCCTTTCACCTGGCTACGAAAAGCTCCACCCAGACGGCTGTAGCTTCTGTTGCATCCCATGCATGATCTAACGGGCAGCTGAGCAGATACACTCCAAGAGCAGGGATCCCGGATGTTGCTGCAGGCCATACGGAGGTTCCATTCCCCCCGCCCCCCCGACGAATGGCTGAAAATGGACCATGTTAGCTTGTACCGATGCCATTCACATGAGGAGAATTCATGATCTCCGAGATTCGTGAGCCGTATGCAGATATTAGCTTCGGCGTTGGCGGTACAAGACCCTCCAACAAAGCTTCTTATCTGCGTGCAGTTTTGTGGGAGAGGCCTTCTTCAGCCTCGGTCCTTCGTTTCATGGAGAGCGTAGAAACGATTCCGTTGAACTCGACTGGCGCCTCCATCAGGACGAGAGAGAAATCAAACTTGATATTCGCTAGTGCGGCATAGTTCTCGGTTGATGCAGAAAAGATTGAGCCGCGAGCGGTAGTCAGTCCGGGCATGATGGGGGGTTGGGATGGCAGACGAAGATTCAGCCTTGTGGTGCGACGTCAAGGTGGCATCCCAACTTCTGGGTCGGATTACAGGTTTTTTGGCCTCGCGAACGCAGATTGATTGCGGTTCACCGGTACCTAGCGCCTACATGGCGGAGAGCTGCGCCCCATTATGCAATTGGTACACGCGTATCTCGAGGCTGAAGGTCGCATGCGCCGCCATAGCTGTAGCTACAGCCAAGATGCATCGGTTGCTGGCTGTTGTATCAATGCTTTGTGACAAGCTTTGGGTGCCTAGCGCAAGTCAAATTCAATTTTAGTGTACGATCTTATGGACTATGCGCATGCAGAGCTAATCCTTTTGACACAATTAGATGTAGAAGGCTTACGCTGAGTAGCGCGATGACTTACTGAAATGCAACGAATTGCATATATGGCGAAACGGTATTAATGACTTCAAAGAAAGAATGGTACAGCAGCCCATACGCTGCGTGCAAGAAAGAAAGGAAGGTTTTGTGTGATCGATCGGCTACAAAGGTGTATCTGAGTCACCTCTATGCGGGATGGTGTTTTCCAAAGATGAAGTGGCAAATTTTGGGGATATCACAAATCGACCTTTTATACCGTCGCAGAACCAGAGTACCCACCTCTTTCACCCAAATCCCAGTGCGCCGCTTGAACGCCTTGCCCATGTCCGCTACGTTAAGAGATGCTTTTGTCTTTCGTCATTATTCATGGAAAAATGAGATCGTGCGCCATCACGCGCCAATATACCACAGCTCCACGCCCAGCACCTCGAACTTCTTCCCCTCGTCGCTGAGTGGCTCGTTCCCGAATGTGGGACACGTGCTGGATACGCCGTGCTCGAGGTTGTCGTCGAGCCAAAGACCATAATGGCCATCACTGTACCCTATTAGCACCGTCTTCAATCGACCCCACCCACAAAGAACGTGTGAAACTTACCCCCCACCAACGCTCAGATAACTTTGCTCACAAAAAATCATATAATCATTCACCCCACTATACGGAAACGCCTTGAATCGTATCCTCTCCGGCGTACTCGTCCCACTCCTACTCGCACCCCCACTGGCCGGTGGACTCAGCGCGCCGCCCCCAGCCTTCATCTTCGTCGGACTCGCAATCGTTGTCATGCGCACCGCATGCGTAGTATCTGCACTAGGCGGCGGCGGCAGATTCGAAAGGTCTGGCAGACTTGGCAGCACCGACGCGCGCCACAAGAAACACTCGCCGTTGCCGAAAAAGTGTGATTGTGGCCGCGGCGCATCGGAGAGGTACGCGCCGAAGACGCCGCCGCTCGCGTCCCGCACGACGAGCACGAAGCCCCCGCGGCGCCCTCGGTATTCGTCTGCGCAGGCGTAGAGAGTGGCGAGAGAAACGCCATTCTGCTCCAGGCTGTAGACGACGGACCAGGTGTCAACGAGCTGGAGGCGGGGGGGCACGAGGAGCCGGATTTCTTCCGCAAGCCCGCGGGACAGCAGCTTGCCTGCTTCGCGTGTGGAGGTCTTGTAGCCGCTGAGGGTGAGGGGCGTGAGGGGCGGTGGTTGGAAAGGCGACGCTGTCCGCCGGGGAGGCTGGAACACGCTGTGCATGTCTGTGGCTTCCCCTTCTCTTGCTGCGCCCGGAGTCGTCTGCGAGCGCGCGTGCGGCGAGTGTGCGGGCGCGTGCGCGGGCTCTGAGTTGAGGCGGCGGAGGAGGCCGCTGACGGCGTAGGCGACGGGGTAGGTGAAGTAGGAGGAGGGCGGGGGGTTGTCCTTGTCTTGGGTGCTGCTCGGCATGGGCGGCGCAAGTCTTGCCGGGCTGATTGCGAAGGAGGAGCTTCGTCGGAGCGGTGGGGACGCCGTCGTGGTGGAGAGAGTATGTGCGGGCGCTGGTCGGCCTGGACAAGGTGTGGTGTTGACTGACTGGGGTGTGCAGGGCGGTTTGGCGAGCGGTGACGTTGCAGTGACCGGGGTGAGATGGGCTGACAGATCAGACAACTTTGACTGAATGAGAAGAAAGGGCTTCAAGATGGTGATCAAATGGACTCAATTGAAGAAAATGCGTGCCTCTGCGTTTGTAGCAATCAACTAGCCCGCCATGGTTCTGCTTGAAGACACAGGACGCCTCCTCCCTCACCTTACAAAGTCCTAGCGCTGGGCCAGGAAGCTTGTCTGCCGCTAGCCGATCCTAGGGCTGCTAAACCACAGCGCGCACGCGACAGCGCCAAAAGCAATATGCTTCAGGTACGCGTTTCAATGACTTTTCGCAAACCCAATGGTTCTAGTCGTTTTACTTGGACTCGTCGATCCGGATGTCACGTGAGACGATTCGTCGTTGAACATCCGCTTCCCATACCCAGTCCTCCAACAGTCCACCAGAGAACGCAGCCAAGTCAACCCATCTCGTAAATCCATCCCACAGCGCCTCTGAACCACAAATCTGCACCCATTCCATCTCATTGCATCCCCGATCCCCCGTGCCCATGTTCCCCTGACCACTGCGACTCATGCGGCTCAAACGACGGGAATGTAAAAGGTGGGATGACCACATTGCCCGGTCCCACCTGCGCGCTGCCAAACAACTTGTCCCATTCGTTCTGCAACACGTTAGCTTTGTACTCTGGGTAAAACCATGCGCACGTTAGGCTTTGGAAGTCTGGATAGATTGCGAGAGAGGAGGAACCAGCCATGTACTCACCCAATCAATATCATTAATCAGCGCATCAGTTGGACTCGTCCCCGACCCCCCACCCCCGGTCCCCGCCGTCTGAGCACCCCCCTTGGGCGGCGCAGAAGTCTCCACTCCTGCCCCATGCAATTCCTGACTACTCGTCCTGTATATCGGCGGCATAGGCGACGGCGGATGATTCGATGATGGCGCGAATCCGCCAAAGCTGTACGGCTCGGCGTTGGTCACGGGCGGCAGCTGCGAGAGATCCTGCGCGCTCATGTCGACGGTGACCCAGTCGACTTGCGGTATGGCCCCCAGGGGCCCCTTGCCCGGGTATGGAGCCCGTGCGGGCGGCTCGAGAGGGTGCGAGGGGAGGTACGACGGTGCGGTGTAGGGGCTGTCGTTGGCACTGGCGTCGTAGCCGCTGCTGCTGGGGGACTCGTGGGTGTGGTCTTGTTGGGGCTGTGGACTGGGCTCGTCGCGGTGCTCGGTTTGAAAGACCTGTTGGACGTACGGGTGTCGGTTGCCTTCGGGCCGGGGCGAGGAGCCATCTCTTGGTCGTGGACCGGCGTGGGGCATATCGCCGGGGGCACGAACGCCACGGAGCGATGAGTATGAGCCCGTCCTCTCTACCAATTCGCTCAACAGGAAGCGGATCTTCTCGTTCTCGCCTAGGCTTGGAGGTAGCTCGAAGGTGTAGTCAATGCAACGCCATATCCGAGCTGATAGCGTAGGATCGACGCGCGTGACATACATTTCCGAAAGCAGGAGCATGGCTGAGTGGTACTGATGCAGAGCGCCGACGTACCATGACCACTGAGACAATGCAGGTTGCTCTTCGATGTTCATGCTGTGCTCGACAATCATGATGCACGAAGAGATCATGATCTGCCGCAGTCGCTCTGGCATTTTGCGCTTGTCGCTCGACGCGAATGGGTGCAGTGTGGCGAGGTACAGCCGCGAGCTGAGAATGCCATACATTTCCATGGCGACCGCATGTAGTGGATTGTCTCTCCTCATCATAGGGAGATATGTCTTCTCCATAGCGGCTCTGAACGACTGTATGCGACTCAAAAGACCAGTGAGCGTCGTTTTCTTCTCGCCCGGTTCGGTTTTCCTTTGCAGCTTCGGTCGCTCAGTCCAGATCATTCGGTACAATTCGAAGCATTCTGCTCTCATGCGTGAGACGGTCACCGTAGTAAAGGATTTGCTGTCTTGCGTGACATTATCCCCACGCTGTGCAGCACGCTCGAGGTCCTCGTCTTCAACGTTGAGTGGAAACCGTGTGTCGTATTCGTCGCGTCTAATTTGCGGGCGCGGCCCTGTTGCTTCGCAGGTGCGAAGGTCGAGGAAGCAGATCTGATACCAAATCAGACGGCGAACTTGAACCTCGACCGGGTTTGTGGAGTAAGTTGATGGATCGCGGTGTAGACCCATGCACTCTGCGAGACGAATGACCGCACCCATCAGAGCAGAGTGAGCCCGCGAGACCTCTGCTCGACAGAGTGCTAACTGTACAACACGTCAGACGATGCTTAGAAGGACAGCTCTCGAAACTCAATGAGCTTTGGACTCAGTGGATGCACGAGCTATAAATCGAGGATGTTACTCACCAAGTACATAACAGTAGCCTGCAGAGTTTCAAGCTTTGTAGTACGTAGAAAATTCGCCCTCGAGAGCGCAGATTCCGCGCCTAGTCTGAAGTTGTCGACCAGTCCTTGCTTCTCCGCTCCAAACTCGGCCAAAGCCCCCTCTGTAGACATGGAAACTGCGGACTGCAGAAGAAGACCAAAGATGACTGCCTGGAACGACCTTGGTGGCTCGACGCCTGAAGCAATGTTGCGCCAGAAGGCATCATATTTGCGTTCGAACGATGGGCGATGGAGCGTTCGGACAATGGGATGCACGGCTTCCCAGTAGTGTGCGAGTAATTTGTCGACGAGGACTTTGTTTGGGAGGTAGGTCATCGTTGCAGTCTTCTCGACACCAGGGGCGAAGTAGAAGCCAGATGAGGGCGCTAGAAAGTCAGCAGATGGTGACATCCAGGAGCTGGGCGATTGGCCGGCGTAAGGGTTCAGCGACTGATCTACCTCAGGGACAAGTTTGAGAGCTTCGTTGAGTTCTTCGGACAGCCTAGGACGGACGAGACCGCCCACTCTCTCCGTGATTCGCATCTTTCCCATGGCGATGCCGAGATCAACGACATCGTCGTTGCCTTCGTCCTCATAATAGGTGGCATGCTCGGTAGCAATATCAATGAATTCTAGGTCTTTCGCGTCTTCCTCGTCTTCCTCGTCGCTATGGCCTGGTTCCTGACCAGGCAGTCTGGGAGCCTCAAACAAAGGCTTTGGGGTGCGCCGACGTGCGACATCGTCTTCAAGCGTCTTCTCTAGCAACCCCATCTTCTCCTTGACCTCTGCAAGCTTCGCTTGGGCCTCCGGGTCCAATGACGGCGCAATAAAGACACATGGTCGCGAAAATCGTGTGCAATTCGTGCATGGTTGCTGTTTATCGCACTTTAGTTTGCGGCGGCGACATTCCAGACATGAGGTGATTAATCGGTTGCGACGCCGAATGCGGGCATGCTCTTTGGGTCTCCTCTCGTGCGACGCGGGCGGTGATGCACCACCGGAGACACCTTGGGGAGGCGAGCCGGTAGGGTTTGAGTCTGACATGGAAATAACGCCCGTATGGTTGCTTGCGTGCGAAGGGTGCGGGGTCCTTGGGCTTACGGACGTAGCAAGTTAAGTACGCGCCAGAACAATAAAATCTTGAGGCTGCGGATTCGGAGGGTGCCCGTGGCTTGGGCAATATGCATGGGAGCGTCTCACCCAGCAGATTTGAGTCTGAACTCTCTGATATCTGGACGTAGGAGTTGGGTAGGTGGGTATGGGTGAAGTGGTGGCCCCCAAACCGTGACCAGGATAGTCGACGCCGCGAAATCTCTTTCGACTATGATGCCGGACCCACGCCAGGATTGCAGCGCCGCCTCTTTGCAGGATGTGTCCGTGCCTGGGAAATTACCGAATGGTCTCAAGTGCCATATGTACCCCTTTCAGCCATTCAGCGGCCCTTGGAACCTACTCGCGTAGCGCAATAGTGCCGAGCTCTCAGACGGAAGCAAGGAGCCGCAGCTGTTGTGAAGGTGCAGGGTCTTCTTCGAACGGGGTGTACTCATGAATGGCACAATGGTGGCTGTTGTCGTGAGTTGCACGAGGTACGTAAGATGGTTGGGTCTTTGTCAGCCGCTCGAGCCTTTTACACTTTGCTGACAGTTGCGGTAGTCGATACGTAAGCGCTCTCTCACACGCCTCTCCAGCTCACTGTGGTTGACCTACACAAGTACGTATATCGACACATTTCGATGCATGGTGTTACGGTTCCTTCGACATCGGTGGTTCCTAAAATAGCCACAAGTTCTAAGTTGGTTGGCGATTCGGGATCTCCCTTAGATCCTCGCCAAATGCGGCTAAATTTAGCGACTAGAATCCTCCCTACGTCAGATACCATACATTGCGCCTAGAGTACGTTTTTTAAGATTATCTATCTGCCGGTCGCTGGAGATCTGGGAGTAGAACCAGGCCACACTGGAGACCACACTCAAAGCGTCGCGTGCTGGAGCCATCGCTTGCACGGCGGAATTCCGCACTGTCGACACCGTGCTCGTTCTTCACAGTTGCTGCCTGAAAGGACACATTGTGATGCGTTCAAATCGGATCCGCGTGAACCAAGGCGCATGCTTGGCCGAAGGATTTGTTCCACCTACGGAAGATGGATTCCGCGTACTGCTCTGGTGCTCAGCGTTTGGCACTAATGTGCCACAACAGTCGGATCTCTGCGAGGGGCGATTTCGCCAGGTGGACAGCATTCGCAAGTCGTTCTCTGCTAAGATATACAGCCCTACGTAAGAACCTAAAATACAACCTTAATCTTACCGACGGGTCCTGCACAATGTCATCCTTTACTGTGTAGCTCTTGGCCGATGTGCTGACTAAATTCTGCAAGTTGGAAAGACAATTGCACGTGTGCGGCTCCCTCGTTCAGTCTATTCTAATGTTTACGAGGTTGAAAGGTATCGCTCCACTTGTAAATCTTGAGCGCTCATCAGTGAGTCCTCACCGGCGGATGCGTTTCCCAATAAACAAATACAGGTATTTGTCTTTCAAGCTTTGGCCCTCCGAGATGTGAAGTCTCTATGGGGGTTGGCGAACACTTTTGCGAGATGTATAATGTAGGGTATACAAACATGGGAATCTCAGGCGAACTGCAGGTCTGGAATCCCGCTTGGAGGCCTATCATATGTAACGCCCGTGCGGATCGAACCTGTCCATGAGCTCCATTGATTTTTCGTACCTAGATTTGATTAGCTTTGAACAATTCTTGTACCCGAAGTGACTCACATGGTGAACACAATGCCCCCACTCAAAATGAGTCGGCCTAGGCGCGGTACAGCTCCAGACCAAAAGGTAAGCACACCTTCGTGCTTGAAGATCTGTGCTGCGCAGTGGAAGCTGTTCTTGTACGTGCTCCGGGCTTCAAGCGATTGCATACTGTTATCCGAAACATCAGCACCGCTTCATCAAGCTTGGAACAGGAATACGAACCGTGTTTTGACAGTGTCTATAGGCATTGTGGTATACACGGTAATGATGCCAGCTAGGCCTCCCAAGCCAAAGGTGCTTGCAGCTCCTAGCTTCTCGCCGGGTGCGACGTATGACTGTGCCATCTGCTTGAGTGCCGTGTAACTGGAGAAGCGGACGGCAGAGTTGGCAGCTTGCCGTGCTGTTGTGGGTACGAAGCCCTTGAAGAAGCCTCGAATGCCCTGCTCTTGGGCTATTATTCTCGTTCCATGGAGGAAGCCGCGCATGCGGGGATTCGCTGATTTACGGTCGTCAATGAGTTGAGTCTTGATGCTCTCGAATGGTGTCACGGCGAGTAATGACTCCGTGGCGCCAGCACCGAATCCTGCAATTACGGTCGCAGGTCCTGAAACCTTGCCTTCAGCGTCTGCGAGCAGATTTTTGTACATGTCAAAGGCAACAAATCCTGCGACTGTCAGAGAGGGCTCTCGGTTGTCCGCGTCATTTCTACGCACGTATTCCAGCCTTCAGCGAGTTGCCAATAATCAGTGTCGTACATCCTGCATACCACTGCTTGCCGAACGGAGGCCAGGGTAGCTTCTTTCCGTCTGGTAATCGTCGGTTGAGCTGCGATCGGGTCTTGGCGACTGTATACGTTGGTCAGGATACGTTCATTTCGATTGTGAGGGCTTCGTTTGATCGCATACATTCGGCGGGATAGGTTATTGCTGCGGATGGGAGTCAGCAACTACTAATTTGGTGCGAACTTGAGGCATCTGTACATATTTCTACGGCGCCTGCTGTTGCACCTGCAAGAATCGATCGAAGAGCGCTCGGCTACCACAATTCAGTATGATTGTGTATGACGTCTTTGAGCTGAACGCTACCTTCTTCTTTTCTGATGGCGCGGTAGCCATGGCAAAGTCGCACTAATGCTCGAAGCTGCCTCTGCAAAGTTCTTCAAGTCTGTAGTCCGAACGTATTGCTCAATGGGTATCGCGTGCGTGGTCGGAGGCGCGTCACAGTCGCAGCTGCAATCGGAGCAAGCTCGACTGAGGAATCCTAGAGTCGGCGACAGCGACGGGAGTGTGCAATAAACACGCAACAAGACTTTTCGAGAGAAGCCCAGCTATGCGGTTCAATTGCGCAAATGTTCGAGCCGATAGCGGAAGAAGTGAGTCGCGCATAGCTCCCGCCAAGAGGTGGCACGTGCGTCTAAAAGTTGCGCTTGGGAAACATCACAAGCTCCGCATCCATCCCTCTCTGGTCCAACTTTTCTGCCACTTTCTCGTAGTTCTTCATATACCCCATTCCCCATCACAATGCTCGGTCTCAGAAACCTCGCCCGCGCGGCTCCGCGGTCCGCTGCTCGCCTCTCCTCAAAAGCGATCCGTCCGCAGTTGTCCCTTACTCGACCAGTTACTGCTCTCCCAGCGTGGGCACAATCCGCACCGCGTCTAACAGCTTCCTTCCACCTCTCAGCGATCCGGAGACAGGAATCAGATGGTGCGACCCGCGACGACTTAGATCCAGGGTTTGACTAACACAATACAGTCAAGGAGGAGCTTGTCGCAAAGCTGCAGAATGAGATCACCATGGAGGAGGACCTGAAGGAGGATGAGGATCTCTCCACCAACATCAAGGAGTACCTCGAGAACAGCCCCTTTGAGGTACGCGATTTCCAGGTTACATACAGATCAAGGCCACAACTGACTTTGACAGCTTGAGGACAAGCCGGGACATCAGGAGGTCACCCTAACTCGCACCTTCGGCGACGAGACGATCCGCATTACCTTCTCCACTTCCGATCTGAACAACAACGTTCCCAACGAGGACATGAACGACTCCGCCATGTACGACGGCGAGGTTGACGACATTATCGACGGTCAGTCCGGCGGTGCCAGCACCAAGGGCGCCATCAACCAGGGCAACACCCGCGATGGAAACCTCCGCGTCGCACCCGAAGACCGCATTGCTCCCGCCGACCGCGAGGAGCTCGACGACGAGTATGACGAGGATGCGGGCCAGCAAGGCTTCCCCGCCCACGCCAACATCCGCATCGAGCGACCCGGCAAGGGTGCTCTTGCCATCGATGCCACCGCTCAGGACGGTGATTTCTTGATAGAGGACCTGTGGTACTTCCCCACCGCCGATCTTGCGGACCCCGCGACCGCGGAGAAGGACTGGGCGAGGCGGACGCTGTACACCGGCCCGCCCTTCAACAACCTCGACGAGGACCTCCAGGTTCTGCTCGAGAAGTACCTCGAGGAGCGTGGCATCAACACCCGGATGGCACTGTTCATCCCCGACTACATAGACCACAAGGAGCAGAAGGAGTACATCCGGTGGTTGGAGAACGTCAAGAAGTTTGTTGAGTAAGCGCACGCTTACTGACGCGCAGCTTGTAATTTGTCGATGACGCTTCCCCTTTTGTATTATCTCCCATCTTCTAGCTCCAAGGGTTGCGGCGTCTGGGCTATGTAAAATATCTGTTTTGATGGTGGTCGAGGAGCATCTCCGATCATATGTTCTAGTGCGAAGTATGATGAAAGTTAAGATACCTGAAATGTAAACCGCAAAAAGCGTGATTCCACTCAAGAACAATCTTTCGATAACTCTTGGTGCCTGCAATGATATGTGGATGTACCTGATCTTGGGATGATAGTTCTTAGACTCGAATGCGGGTAGAGTTGCGCAGTGATGCTTCATCGCAACTGCTGTGTTCATTCACGAAATGTGAGCGACTACAATCCTTCGCTTCGTGTCATTTCTAACTATGCATTCGAAGTGTACGCTTGCAACGGAACACGCGGTGGCGGCCTATAGGAACCACGATGTGACACAACACAACAGGAACCCCGTGTAGTACTGTACTCTACAGCACACATAATTCGTCCCGGAATGATGTCGACCAAGTAAATATTGCGGCTTTTGCTTGCTCATACGTGCCCTCATCTTGCTTGCACATCGAGAGGTGACAATGTTGCCCAGTTCGAGATGGCGGCAACGTAAGGCATCGAGGTTGGGGGCCAACGTACTGCGGCTGGAGTAATGGACATATAACGCATTGCTGCACCGACGCGTATGCACCATAGGCACGGCTTACTACTGCATTGGATTTGACCAAGGGACTTCGTCATACTGGTTGTACGGTTCAGTCTGCTCACAGTACGCACCAAACGATGGCAAGTTCTACAAGGTGACACTGCAACCCCCTGTATGTACAGCCTCGCCAGTTTACAGACCGCACCATCCAATTAAAATCGAGCAGATACCGGTGGAATAGATCGCTGCAGGCTGTGTCGACTACTGAAACTCGTCGCATCGTGAACCCCGTGAAAAGAGACTCAGCTGTAGCCTGGCCCATCAAGAGACCGTTCGAACCTAATACTCTTCACACTTCTTGACCACCATGGAACCTCTGAGTGCCCTCTCACTCGCTTTGAGCGTTGTTCAACTCGTCGACTTCTCCATAAAGTTTATCACTAACGCAAGGGAGATATAGAAGTCTGCCGATGGTACTTCGAACGCTCATTCTTTCTTGTCAAGTGCGACATGAACTTTATCAGAGCTTTCCCAAACACTGTTGAATGAGCTTGGGAAGAACTACCCCGTGAACAGAAAATCTAATTGGTGGCGAGCAAAGTTCGAGAAGACAGGTCCTAACGACAAAGAGGGAAGGGCAATCAAAGCTGCCGACAAGCGACTTTCTAACCTTGTTGATCAAAGTCGTAAAGCTGCGGCGGCACTCCAATCAAAGCTGGAGTCATTGAAGCGGGCACCAAATGGTGGAAAGTGGGACGCTTTGCAAACATCGTTCTGCATCATATTCGAGCAGGGAGAGATCAACACACTCGCCTATGAATTAGATGCTATTCAGAAGCAAGTAGACACCGCTCTGCTAATCTCTCTTCGGTGTCTTAGGACCCCACGCAGGAACCCCAAGATACAATGGTGCCTCCGCATAGACGTCATGACATCGACAATACGCGTCTTCGTTGCTCAGTATAGTTTCCAGCCAATGTACAATGAAACCAACAGAGAGCAGATCCGTCACGGGGCCATTTGAGAACATAGGTACTAGGAAAGTCAATGACCAGAAGCAGGAGCTACTTTGATCTCTTCACGACCAGAGCCATCAAGCATTAGAAGAATTCCGGATGACAGAATTTTCGCTTGCATTCCATTTGGCGGTGGAAATGGATATCGAGGATCAGTTTTGCGAGATGATGCTCGCTCGATGTATTTCACTGACATGCCTGAACGGTACGAGGCCATACCCAAAGCCCACAGGGATACTTTTTGAGTGGATGTTAACCGAAGATCCTGCGATGGCCAATACAGAGATACTTGCCAGCTAATACGACTTGTTATGTCATCCGAACGCCTACTACTGCTCGAGTTGTGGTTTGCGGACGATGAAGACTACACCTCTACTATGGGACTTGATGCTAGGTTTTTCTCCCCGAATGAAGTAACAAACCGTATGGAGGCGATGCATCGTCGCATTCTAGCGCGCTGTAAATGCTTTTTAGAAGTTGAGGACTTCACTAACAGCACTGAGCCAGGGAATTGGCTAGCGACAAATAAGTTCAATAACATCCGCTATGCCTTGCCTGTAATTAGGTTGGCAGATGCAAAATCGCAAGTTCGATTCATTCACCGAACAGCTAGAGACATCCTGTAGTCTCCCAAGATGAGGGAAAACATACTCAATGGCACTGGCCACGATTCTTTCGATACCGAGCGTCGCTGGGCCGACGCTCACATAGGCATCATGAAAACTATTTACCAGAGCAATGACAACACCCACAAGTACTTTATCATGTGTATACAGTCTGCATTGCGCGTCGAAGAAAGAACCTGCACAACCCCCGCCACGTATCTTAATGAACTGGGAAGGGTGGCAATGAACCATGCTGAAGGCTATTATCAGTGGTCTATGATGGAAGACTTTGGCGATGCTCGGCTTCGGGAGAAACTTTCTTTCCACAGCTTCATCGACTTTGCAGTCTGGGGCGACCTCATTAGCTACATTAAAGCATGCGCAGGCTCCATCAGTAAAGACACACTTTCGCGGGCAGCGCAGTTCCAGCATGGCCGCTTCTCGAGTGGGAGAGTCGCCGACATGATCAAGGATTATGCGCCGACGTTATACAAGGCTATGAAGTCCGACCGCAGCCCCCTGATTTTAATATTGCGGGATGCCCTCGGAACTGAAAAGAAGAAAGCAGGTCGCACGAGGTGGAAAATAGCGAAACATGAATGATTCACTTGATGAAGTGTCGGAAGTTATAATCAAATATAGCCATCTTTTACACGTTTACTTCTGGTGTCATCTCTCGTTTCCTCTTAGCGCGCTCTTTTAGTATGAAGCATTGACGGCTGTCACATCTCGGTGAAGCTGGATCTCGGTCATAGACGAATTCTAGATCATCTTCAATTCTGCTCTTTCAGAAAGCGCCATACACCTAGCATTACCATTCTGTGCTCGCCATCGGGCCATATACGGACTGTCTACAAACTTGTAGAAAATCTTCCCGGAAGCCAGTCAAGAAGCATCGAGTCATCATAGCGCGTTTGGAATGAAATTTTTAGTAAACTCCCGAACAAACGTGGGTGATGGTGTTGCAGGGCACGTTTGCTCTATTGATAATGCGGAGAGAGGTCCGTCCCGTTTCACGGCTGCAGGACATCTCTATTGATGCGAACGACAATTTCCACGGAATGTAGCTATGTCGCACATCGCTCGATGTTTACATTGCTGGCATTCGAAATCGCGTGTTGACATTGCGGGGAAGCAGCGTCTCCTCGAGATGGATCAACGGAGCGCTCCATGAACAGAGCCCTTCACGAACCAAGTTCAATGTATGCCCGCAAAGCAAACGCTCTGCATCGAATCCGCATCGATTGCGGGTCCTGCTTCCCATTAGCGAGAATTCGACGATCTATTCCCGACGCTCCTTCTGTCGCCTGTTCCATCCCACTTCCACCGCTGCCCGGTCTTGTCTATATACAGATCAAGGCTCGCGCGCGTGACGATATTATAGTACTCCAGGTTACATGTTTCACAAAGGACTTGATCATCGACTTCTACTCGCTTTGCCGAAAAAATACGGGACCCGGCCCGGCAAATTAGATGAAACACCAATATCGCCCGCACCACATCTGCTACCATTCGAAATTGCAGCCCAATCAATATCTCTATCTAAACGCAGGTCCTTGGCATATATACTTCAAATAAGCTCGAGAGGTGTGGCAAGGCGGCTGAAGCGATCTCCAGATTTCGCTTGATGGCGGCACTGCATGGAGTAGAATGTGGAGGGCATGCCCAGCAAAGCCCAGGACCACAGGGCTGCTCCGCATTAATTGTAATGGCGTTTGCGCACGAATACTGCGCGGCCGATAGAGTAGCGAATCGTCATCGTGTGTATGCTAAGGATTGTCCACAGGCCTGGTGACCGGTGTCGGCAGTGAAGTATATAAGATGAAGCAAGCAGTACCCTAGAAGGTCATCGACTGCATTGTCGAGCAGACCATCGCTACCTTCCTCATAGACCTTCGCGGTCCATCCCATCATCATGAAGTACTTCGCCGCCGCCGTGCTGGCGCTCCTCCCTGCGCTCACCTCCGCCCACTGCGTCGCCCAGCGCGTCCGCGTCAACGGCGCTGTCAGTGATTTCACGTGTCTGATTCCATAACATACTGATACCATCCATAGGACCAAGGCCAACTCGTCGGCATCCGTACGCCCAACTCAAACAACCCCATCCAGAACGTCAACGACGGCAACTTCGCCTGCAACAGCGGCTTCCGCTCGCCCGTCTCCTCGACCGTCATCAACGTCAAGGCCGGCGACAAAGTAGGCACGCAGTGGGGCCATGTCATCGGCGGAGCGCAGTTCGCCGGCGACAAAGACCATCCCATTGCGGCTTCGCACAAGGGTACTCCCACCACTCCACCATTTCAACCAGGCTTTATGCTGACGACCTATCCAAACAGGCCCGACGATCTTCTACCTCGCCAAAGTCGACAACGCCGCCTCAGCCTCCGGCTCGGGACTGAAGTGGTTCAAGATTGGTGAAGACGGACTCGACGGCTCCGGCAAATGGGGCGTCGACCGCATGATTGCTAACGGCGGCTGGGTCGACTTCCAGATCCCGAGTTGCGTGGCGCCGGGGCAGTATCTGCTCCGGACTGAGATTATTGCGCTGCATTCGGCAAGCAAGCAGGGGCAGGCGCAGTTTTACATGGTACGTGACATGTCTCTCTCGTGGAGAAAGGGTTTTGCGGCCGGAGAAGAGTATGGGCTAACGAGATTACAGGGATGCGCGCAGATCAACATCAGCGGTTCCGGGAGCAACTCTGGGAGCCAGACTGTTAGCTTCCCCGGTGCGTATTCGGCGAGTGACCCGGGGATTTTGGTGAACATCTATGATGCGCAAGGAAACCCGACTGGCGGGGGGCGCCCGTACACGATCCCAGGACCGGCGAAGCTGTCGTGTTAGAGAGAGAATGAGATCTTTAAGGGAAGGCTGCGTAGGAAAGCAGTAGATAGTGAAGGAAAGATATTCATGTAACAGTGTCTTGCGTGTGAGATCAGCTACCACGGTACACTCAACTTGAATCATAATCCCCACAGGGCGTGAAAGGAATTTGGATATGGCAAGCTAAGGATTGTTGTTTGTTATGAAATACACCCTGGATTGTCGTGGTGCCCAGTGGGGGAATACAATACTGGCGGTGAGCCATTGTAGTCGAACGTCGCACAAGTCTACTCAGCTCCTCAGGTCGACCCACAAAAACTCCATCTGGAATGTGGCATGATCACAGGCCAGTATTATACTTTCAGCTTCAGGTCCTAGATCCAGGACCGGAGTAGAGATGTAGAGTATAAAGACAAAGCTTCCATCAGTTGTACTTGAGAATTCACAGAGAGTCACCAAAGTATCTTCGAAGACAACAACCGAAAGCTCCACGCCACTCGTAATTCACTCTTCAACATGGTCGCTATCTACACCCTCCTGGCCGTGGGCCTCACGCAGCTCGCCATCACCGCCTCCGCTGGTGACTGCAAGACATTCCAGATGTACTGCGGCTCCACTTTGAAATGGCGCGGTACGCCGTCCCCTTCTACAGTCGATTTATCCAGATCGTTCAAATCTCACTTCGGCCTACTAATGCAAGTCGCAGGCTGGACCGATAAGGAGATCCAGGGAAAGGTGTTGCAGGATGAATGGAACAGTGGCCAGTACCCTGGCACTGACCAGATTGACAAGTCTTTGTTTAAATGCGCAGGCCAGGGCAAAACGTTGGTGTGGGCCAATGGGCGGACTCCATGTGGGAACTGTGTCGATGGAGGGCCAGGAAAGCCTGATTACTGTGCTTAGGCGTCTAAGCGTCCGTTACATATGGAACCTCGAGAATAGAGGGAGCGCTGGAGGGAGATTATGGAAAGTGGAGCTATGTGGATTGATTGGGTTTTCGTTCGTGAAGTTTCGTTTTGGGGGCTACTTCACACTTTCCACGCTTCGAGTACTTGACCTTGTCTCATCCTGTGGTGCAAAGTGAACTATTTAGAGTATTAAACAATTCTTGCTTCTCTTAGATGCCATTCAAAAAGTTTCCGTGTATTCTTTGACATTTGCGGAAGTTAAGTGTGCAAGCAGATGATTTCGGTCATATATCCAACGGCGAATACTTCGAGGATTTTGATACGGCTGTTACATTTCTTAACGGTGGTTCGAGCCTCAGCACATCACATCATCTATACCGGAAAGAGAAGGAGAACTTCAATGGATGACGGAGAAGGACCCATAATCGACTCAATAAAGCAGGTTAGATGGACATATCAGATCTTGTGCTGAGGCTTCCTCCGGATGTGCACTTCCACGCAAGCATGCTTGCTCCATGCGGGGACCCCTCCCCCTACAGCCAACGACCGGAGAACGTGTATGTACAAGAAAGATAGACAACGACGACATCAACAGCCGTGCAAGAAAGACGTACCACCCCAACGCCGGGCAGAGATTTTCCTCCCACCCCGTGTCATGTACACGAAGCCCTGCCCATCAATCAGACCCCACCCCACCCATCTTAAAAGATGGAAGTATGAAGATCAGATCCTACCCGTATAGATCCGATTCACCCAGTATCGACCGTTACGTTAAGCGCAGATGAACCCATTTCGATAACTCTGAACAACATAATTTAAAGTAAGCAAGAAGATTAGATGACTAGGAAACAGCAAGCCGTGCGCAACACTGGGTATCGTTGTGTATGGAAGAGTAAAACATCTCCAGGGACCGTTCGAAAGGAATTTAGTTCGTTTTCCGCCGTGGATCATTAATCCGGTTCGATGCCTTCCTCGATCTTGGGCGGTATATCCATGGCAGGGCTAGTGCTATAGGCTTGTGATGCGGGCACATCCATGCGTGCAACTTTAGCGGCATGCGGGTTGGAGCCGCCGTCGAATTGGCCGTTGTTGTCGACTTTCGCCATGGTGGGATTGGACAATAGTCGGCCATTATCAGAGGAGACGTTTGGGGGCTTGGATTGCGCGTGACGCGGTGACGACGAGCTCTTCTTGCTCTTGTCGCTAACAACAGAGTGCGCCGAGGAGGTTCTCGGAGAAACACGACCTTGCTAGGACAATTGATCAGTTCTGAGCTACAAATCTGGATGCAAAGGCGGCTTACCTGCTTGGCCCATCGGAGACCACAAGAATTGCACAGATCCCTGTTCCCCGATGGTCCGCGCCTCCACTCGGGAGTGGTTCGGGTATGGCAATTCGCACAGTCCTTCTGCAGCTGACCAGCACCCTTCCTCCGCTTACGCTTCTTCTTAGCAGCTAACAGGCTCTGAACCTCCTCTGCAAGATACCTGTTGCGCTTCTCCATCTGGCGTAACTCGTACTGCCAACTTGTGCTCCTAGTGGTTTTGAGCTCGTCGAAGACATTGTCTTCTGAGGCTAGTGAATGATCTTGGTGACCTAGGGTGAGACCGTTAGAGCCTGAAAATGTCGCAGCTTGTTCCTCGGTGTTCGAGTATCGGAGGTCTGTTGTATTGGTCTGTGGTGTAGCGCTACCTGAAACCGATTGTTGCTGATGGGAGGTGCCAGTGTTCGTCGACACAAGTGACATACCTGACTCATCCGACCCTCGAGCCTTGTTGTTCTGGTATAGGGCAGGGCGTTGTGTATATGTGCTGCGGGAATATTTGAGCAGGCGGGTTTGGCCAACCAGGAAGGTAGGTTTGTGGCCGGCGGTGGCGTCGCCAGGATAGACGGTTGTGAAAGCCTGTAGCACTTGGCCTCGCTTGTTGATGACTTCGTGCTTGACTTCACCTTTCCGTCCTGTCCGTGCCAGCTCCAGTATCTTACCAAATTGTTGTTTTGACTCTTGGCGCATCAATGCTTGGATACTGGTGCCCACGAGTTCATCGGGCTGTCTGTCGAGCAAGGAGCGGACATTGGCTGACACGAACAGGAACATGCCAGACGTAGATAGCTTGGTCCATAACTCATTGTCACCAATTCCTCCGGAAGCGCGCAAGACTGTCTTACTGAGCGTGTAGACAGGTCGCTCTCGTCCGACTAAGATGATGCACTTGCGACCTTTACCTTGCTCAGTGTGCAGCGAGCCATGTCCTTCGAACCACATGTACCCGCTCTTCTTCCGTCGGATCCTGAACACTACATTCACCGAGGCACCGTTGCTTGTTTCCTTGAGCTCTCTAGTAACGGGGACGATGTCGGAAGGATGGCATACAGACGACAGGGCTGTGCCGACAAGCTCGCTCGGATCATATTCTAGTACGTGGTTGCTAGACGGAGATAGATAGAGAAACAGTCCCTTTAATGACAGGACATGGACCACGTCATCGGTATTCTCCAGAAGCACTTTGTCCCACAATCGTCGTGTTATTTCGGAATCACCAGTGGAACCGTAAGCGGCTAGGACGTTAGAAACCTCATCCTTGGAAATGGTCGTGCCTTGAGGCTCGGGTAACGCTTTGTGATCCGTGAAGACGTAGCTAGGCATGGACATGCCACGTTGATAATTGACCCGGTATGACCCGTCGGGATTCTTGTTGGTCATTGACTGTGGCTGCTCGACGAGATCGACCTGGAAACCCACGAAGAACTTTGTGCTACCTCCGGGTTCCCATGGGATTGGAATCATAGTCAGCAGATTCATGAACGGTTGTCCACCCCGTCGATAGTTGATCAAGCTGATCTGCGCTTCGGCACGCTCGCTTATAGTGTTCTTCAAATACAGGACCGAGTCGTCATCGACGTACTGCCGTTTAATTCCTGGCTCGACTTTCCCGTCCGGTGATTGGAGAAATCGGCAATTTCGACCTAGGATCATATGCTTACTGTACCCAGTAAGTCGTTCAAAGTTCTCGGAGCAATACACAATTGGTATGTCGTCCATTTCCGCGTCGCACACGACGAACGCACAGGATAGGTCCACGGCGCCAATGTTGATTTGGGGATTCTGTCGAGTAGCCACTCTCATCAAGACTCCTAGCATATCAAAGCCAGTGGACGAGTAGGCATTCTTGAACTGGGCCTTCGAGTGGGGGTTTCTATCCTTTGTCGACGGGAATCCACCAGTGGACGTAACCCACGGGAAGTTGTTCTTGGCATACGAGGCCTCCTCGTAGCGCTGTTGCGGGACCTCGCGTTCCGGGTCTAGCTGAATTGGCCCTTGGTTGGCTAACGATTCCTTGCTCATCTGCGATCCATTTTGCGATGGGATTTGGGGGTTGTGGGAATTCGGTCGACTATTGCTCCGTGGCCGTGAATCCGCGTGGCTTCCGGTGCGTGTGGGCATGTTCGAGTGCACGTTGGACGTGGCATTCGACGATTCGCTTCGAAAGTTCGCCGGCGAGGCCATGCCCATGTTGGAGTCTTGCGGCGCTGAAGTTGGAGGGCCACCGAAGTCTTGGGCGACCGGGGAATTCATCATGGAAGGACCGAATGCACTATTTTGAAACATGGTCATGTCGTTTGGCAACATGGCCATGGGATCGTTCACGTCGAGCGACATGGGCATGCCGCCGGGGTATGGGCTCATGTCCATGTCGAGCGATCCGTTGTGCTGCAGCGGGGAGGCATAGGCGGAGCCGCCGTTGGCCACGTTGGGGAAGGGCGAGTTCGGATTCGCCTGGGAGAACTGAGTATTGATGGCGAGGTCGGCGGCGGGCACGCGGTCGTTCTGCAGCTCGCCCGATGTGTGCGGGAAGGCGGCGGTGGGCAGCATGGCGTCCATGCCGGCGGCAGACATGTCGAACTGAAAATCGTCCATGGTGGAGTTGCCGGGCCCGCCAAAGTTCATCGACGAGAAGCGGCGCGAGTCGGGGCTGTTCATGTTCATCTGATTGCCGGCGTAGACGGGCATGCTGCGGCGGCGGTTCGCCTTGTCGTTGGACGACACGATGTCGTCGAGCGACTGGCCGCTGCCCATGGCGAAGGCGGCATCGAGATCGTCGCCCGACAGGTCCATGATGGGGTTCGCATTGCTTTGTTGCTGCGCGAAGGGCCCCCGCGACTGCGGGTAGGAGTACCCGTTCATGCTCGCACGCAGTCAGGCTCAGGGGAGGGCGAGGGCAGCCGGGAGGGCATCGGTTCGAGCGTGCGCGCGGGCGGCGGCAGTGCGGTGTGGTGTGGGGAGCGAGCGCTGCTGGGGTGGAGTGGGTGGAAGGCGAAGGAACAAGATCGCCCGGCCGGTTAGAGCTAGGCGCGGTTGCGTCGAAAACGAGACAGGACGCAGAGCAGGTAGGGCATCAAGCCTCGCAGCGCCGGGACGGGAGGACGGCGAGGACGGCGAGGACAGGCACGCTGAAATCACACTAACGTAGCGACAAAAGCCATGCGCAGGCGCTGCACTCGCACACGGCCGGTAGTGTCCAGGTCAGCGGGTAGCAGCAACACTTCAGCAGCTCGAGCCGGCCCTGGGGTTAGACTCAGACGCCGTGGCGGAGTGGGGGCATATGGCATTTCAGATGGGATTTTGGCATGCCACAGACGGCGTGCCGCATGCAGGGTAATCCAAGGGCCCCTCGAAACTGCTCCCTGCGGAGCCTCACACCGAGGAGCCATTTCGTATTGTCTGTCCTGTTTCGTCCGGTACGCGTTGCCCCCCGACAGATTGCACGAGCGCGCGAGCGCCGACACTGCGGCGCTTCTTCGCTGGGCTCGATGATATCATTCCCGCCCACTGCTGCACGGACGCTGTGGGCAGCTGGAGCGCTGCCTGAACACTGGCCGGCCGGCAGCGCCAAACAGTGTGCTCCAGCGTCGCAGCAGGCACGGGAGCACGCTGCACGCCGCGACGAGCACTTCCTACGCTGCTGAGCAGCCTTGCCATGCGTGTGTGGCGACATCAACCGTGGCCACGCTAGTATTTGTTTCTCTGCCAGGGCGCTGAAGGATGCTTGGCGGCGCTTTCCGCATTCGACCCGTGCTGGAAATCACATGATCCCGTTCCGACTTTTTGGCAGCCGCGACCGCGCATCAACAGACCACCCAGCCCATGATGATAATACGAAGCGTAGCCCGCGCGGGTAGGCCTCACACTGCTCCGAGATGTGCGTGCACCAATTGACAATGACTAGGCCATCGCGCTTTCCTCCAGAGTCCGTCGCAGCCCTGGCGAAGATTTCTGGCCACGCAGACCGACACCATCGAGCGGACCGCCGACAACAGCTTCAAGCAGTTCCATTCGCTCGAAGCCCAGTACGATGCTTCTGCACCGCCCCAAGAGGTCGTCCCGTCCTTCGACCCTCCGGCCGCGTCAGACCCAGCGTCCGCGCAGGTCACAGGCTCTGTCGCAGAGCAGTACCTCCGCTTCAAGCAGTCGCGTGCGTCGCAGCTTCCCTCTCACATTCAATTCCATTCTGACACAGATCAGAGGCCCAGATAGGTAAAATTGGTTCAGAGATCACGCCGCACTACCAGCCGCACACGCTGCTTAGCAATCCCCCTTCGCCCGCCGACGTTACCCTCGAGCTCCTCCTTGCATCTGAAGCCCACCAGGGCCACGCCACGTCACTCTGGAATCCTGCGAACGCACGCTACATACACGGCATCAGACAGGGCGTGCACATCATCTCACTCGAAGCCACTGCCGCCCACCTTCGCCGTGCCGCAAAGGTCGTTCAGGAGGTATCCAGGAGAGGAGGTCTCGTCCTCTTCGTCGGGACGCGCGATGGCCAGGACCGCGCCGTGGCGAGAGCTTCTGAACTGGCAAAGGGCTACCATCTGTTCGAGCGCTGGATCCCTGGCAGCATCACCAACGGACAACAGATCCTGAGCAAGTGCCGCACCAAGGTGGTTAACGCGAAGGACGAGGAGATACCTGGATTCGAAGAGCAGCTCGCGGATAGGCCCGTCCTGCGACCTGATCTCGTCGTTTGCATGAACCCGCTTGAGAACTACGTTCTACTGCATGAGTGCGCGCTTAACAACATCCCAACCATCGGTGTCATAGACACTAATGCGGATCCCACATGGGTTACCTATCCTATTCCCGCCAACGACGACAGGTGCGCTTCCCCGACCCTGTGCAGATTTCAAGCTGACATTATCCAGTCTTCGCTGCATCCAAGTCATTGCCGGCGTGCTTGGCCGCGCTGGCGAAGCCGGCCAGAAGCAACGTCTCGAGCTCGCCGAAAATGGCAGAGTCACATACCGCCCCGCCGAGAACCTCGTGCTCCCAGAAGCCATGCAAGAGAAGACCGTTGCTGCGGCTGAGCCAGGCGCCGAACTTGACCTCAACGAGAGCCTCGAAGACGCCGATGAGCTCGCGGACAAGCTCGACATGGCCAAGAACCGCGAGATCAGCGACCATGCGGCCCGCGGCATCAAGAAGATCGACTAGACTAAGCCAACCGGGAACGGCCTTGTACCAATCGTTTGTGTATACTAAGCACCCGAGCTGTGCAGATCTGTTGGGGCGCGTATAGTGTTGGATATAACTACATGTAACATAGGCACCTGCACGTCTGCATGTAAGAGCATTAGCGGCGTTAGAATTATGTACACCAATCAACCACTGAGAGAGAAACAAAATGGGAATCTAGATTTTCGTGTTACATCTTGTCCATTTCCCCATTATCGATGCTCATCGGCAAATCGCTGATTTGATATGATTAGTGGTGGGGCCTCACTCGGTGAACACCGCCACCACACCCTCACAAGCCTCTTTTCGCGTGCAGTAGTGTATGTATTCAGTACATATTTCTATGCATCTCAGACTTCTCTTGTGTACATTAGCTAGTGTCGATGTTGTCTCGCTCTACTTCGGCACGAGGCACACGCATGCTGGCAAGTCGGTGACGGGTACATGCAAACGTGTGGTTTAGGTGACGATCGTGCGCGCTCAGTGTGGAGCTGTAGACGGACGGGTAATTAAGTTTTTCTATGCACACATCTTCCCCCTACGAGGGCAACCTGGGCTGGTAGGTAGACTAGGAATACTCCTCGCCTTCAGTCGCCCATATGACCCTCCTGCCTAATCAAGATCATCCGCACTCGTCTCCACTGCGGGCTTGACATTCTCCTTCTCCCGCTCAGGGTAAAAGTTAAGCTTCCCGCCCTCCCCAATCAACCCTATCCGGTCATACAGCGACTTTGCCCGCACGTGCGGATCCAGCTTCCAGTAGTTCACACGCAGACTCTCGGCGACTGCATCGCGCTTCCGTCTCCGGTCGTCGAGCGACGAGCTAGCTCCGCCATCGGCCACCCACTCGAGGATCGTCTTTTCGTACTTGCTCACCAATTCCTGTCTCTCGCTCTCGAGGGCGGCTATGGGCGCCGCATCTCTCGCGTTCTCTCCCTCGACCGGCTCGGTGTAGGCGTACGTGTAGGGATCGTCTCCCTCCAACTCCTTCGGGATCTGGCTTTTTGGCACAAACTTCTCGAGCTCGGTAACGTTCTTGGCGAAGTGCACTTTGCCTGCGACCACAGGGTCGAGCCAGCCCTTGATGACGTTCCACACGGCATTGAAGATCCAGGGGGCTTTGTAGACGAGGACGGTACCAAGGGATTCCGGGTAGTTTGCCTCGAAGCATTTGATCATGAATTTTACGGGGGCATAGTCCATATTTGCCATGGAGAAGTCGGTCATATCAAAGACGATTGTCTGGCGATGTGCGTTAGTTGTGGGTGATCTGACTTGGGGTAGGTTTGTTTGTGAAGAGATGGACTTACAGCGGTGTCAATCGGGGCACGGAGGAGCAGGCGCGCTGTCTCGATGGTGTAGACGGTGTACCGCTCGAGACTGGCCTCCGACTGCTCGCCCGCGCGGTGTAATCTCGCACGTACAATGCACATTGGTCTGCCCTCTGCATCCAAGCCATGGAGGTAACTCTTGCCCATACGAAGCTGCGCGAGGAAATCCTCTCCCTCCTTCTTCACCTTCGGGTCGTCGCTCTTGCTCTCCTTCAGCGCGGCCTCCTCGCCGTTCTTCATAATGTCGTCGTCGACATGCATCTGTTCGAGCCGCCAGTGCATCGTCGAGATCATCATGATGAGCGCCTTGTCCACGTCCCATTTACGCGCGCGCAGGAACCGGAGCAGCAGTGCATCGGGGTGGTCCAGCTTGACCATGCCCCAAAATGCCTTGCGCAGGTCCTCTGGTGCCGTGTTCGCGATCGCGTCGCGGAAGTCCTTGTTCTGCCCGTGCTTGTCGTCTTCCAGCGAGATCTTGCTGATGTCTGGGGTTGACGTGCCGGGTGTTGAAGCGCCAGACGTAGTCTCCGAGTCCGCCTTGTCGCCCTTGTTCCGCCTGAAAACATTGAGCCTGCTCTTCTTCTTGTCTTTTTTGCCGTCCTTTTCTGTTGCGTCGTTGACTGCAGCTGGAGCCACTTCCGCGCCGTTGGCTTCCTCGTCAAGAGCTCCAAACACCTTCATGGTCGCAGCCCAGAGTTCGCGCAGCTTCCCCTCCTGCTCGGGCGTGAGCGTCCCGGGTCGCCCCACAGGCGTGTTTGGCGCCATCACGAGGTATGAATCTGTGCGATCTTTGTAGTCGAAAGTCGCCTCAGATTGGTACTCTTCGGTGTCTTTCGCAGATTGGTTCGTCACCCGTGGGTAGAGTAGTGCGCCACTGACAGCAATGCCCACGACAACGAGCGCTGTGGCTGTCGAACCGCTCTGTTTCGGAACTGGGGGCGGTCGGTACGCTTTGCAATGGTATGCGCGAGCTTCGGCGGGGGGGTATGGGCGGGGCGAGTCACGGATCCAAGAGTGTCGCTTAGGAAGGTGTCTACCGGGCGGGGAAGTGAACTTAGAAGCTGCTCTTGCTACGGCGCGAACACGACAGGACATGTAGGAGGATGGGTCAAGCGCACACGGCTAAAGGCGCTGAAAACACAGGCGCCAGTGACGGCGGGCACGGCTAGCTGGGAGCCGGCTGTAGGCGGAGGGGCGCAGGGGCTCGCGTGCTTGGTCGGACAGCGAGAAGGTGTGGCAGAAGGGGTGGCGGCGTGGTGCAACGCGAGGCTGATGCACTGAATGCGCGGAGCCCGTCAGTAGATGTCCGATCGCACTTGCAACGTTCCGCCGAGGGAACGAGCAGAGCACAGCGGGCACGGGGGTCCAGCATCGTCATTGGTTATGTGGGTAGTTCTTGGCGGTGATGCACCCCTCCAAAGTGTAAACACGAGCTCTTGCGCTTTCGCAGCGTACAGATTCCACATATCCTGCCCCAATTGGCACTCGTCGAACTGCGCATTGGTCCCGCGCATACCTAGTTGTCAATCACCGCCTCGACCTCGAGCCAAAACCCACGCTCCCGACAGCGCGTTCCCAAATCCACGGCTTCACTCCACCACAACAAACACCACACCTCCCATCTACATCCGCAACAATGGCCTCCACAACACCCCTCGCCGAGCCCCGCTCTACCTCGCGCACCCCACGCCCGCGCTCGAAATCACCTGGGTCACGTCTCTCCCGCCCAACGACCCCTCTCCGACCCTCTTCCCGCTCCTCATTCCGCTCCTCCGTCTCCCGCGGCCGCGCCCCCTACACCTCCTCCACCAATCCGCTTGAGGACCTACAAGACGGCTTTGCGGAGCTGTCCGACGCGATGGCCGATCTAGAGCAGAACTTCGTGCACCTGCAGCTGATGCACGAGAGTCTGGCGCGGTTTAGCGAAAGCTTCGCGAGCTTTTTGTACGGGCTGAACATGAATGCTTTTTGTGTGGATTTTCCCGAGGTAGGTTTCGCATACTCTACGCCCGTCTCAGGATTTCGCTGTACTCCTTCGCTATACTCCAATCTGAGTTCAAGGACCCGAGCTGACGAGGAGCCCAGGCACCAATCCCCGACTCCTTCAAGCGCCCGCTCCACGATCCCCAGACAAACTTCCGCACTTCGCAAAACCAGGAAGTACCCGACGTCGAAGCCACGTTCCTGACCACAGACACCTCCTTCGTCGAGAACCCGCCAAGCTCAAAGGTCGCCAATAAGTTCCAGAACCCCATTACGCCGGCGCCCGCGGAGAAGAAAGCTGCTACGCGTGGGAGAGGCGGAATTCCGCGTGCGGGTGCGAGAGGTGGGGGCATTCCGGTGAGGGGAGGAGCGGGCAGGGGGACGAGGGGGAGTGGGATTGCGAGGGGGAGAGGGGCTGGCAGGGGTACCAGAGGTGCGTAGCATTCATGGTGTGCTAGAGTTCACCTTCTTGCACATAGGTTTTGGGGCATAATTATGATATCCAGAGATGCACATGAGCACAAAACATCACATTCCACATTGTGCAATCAAGTCCCCTGGATCAATGACTGAGTGATTCCGTTCGCTTCCAACCATTACATCTACTCCCCACCAACCCTGCTTCCCGTATCGCAAACTATCCCATCATTAACCGCATACCTCATTAACATTACCATCCACTCCCAAAATACAACTGCTGCAGCAGCATTCCAGGCCGATCGCCTCCAAAAAGGAGGGGGGTATCACAGGAAAGTCGTAAAGCCGTGGATCTGTACACAAAAAAAGAGAGAGGCGACGAATCGAACAAGTTAGAGCAGAGGTAGAAGGAGATAGAAGGGGTATCGACTCCGGCGCTATGCAAGCAGGAGAAGGTGCAAAGGATGAGACCACCTCGATAGGATCGTTCAGGCGAGTACGCCGGCGCTTTCTTTGGCAAAGCGGCTTGCGCTCTCGTGGCGAGTTGCCCAGCCCTTTATGGCGACCACGACGACGGTCCAGGCCATCAGGAGCGCCACAAGGCCCATCGTGACAGTGAAAGTGAACATGGCATCGAGGTTGTACGATTCGAGCGCGGCGACGGTATCTTTGTTGCTGACCATGAACGTGATGCCTCCTGCGATGAGGCAGAAAGCAGTGATAACCTCGGTGGGTGGGCGCGAGGGCAGGTACGACATCGGCGGCCTGATGTAGAGGGTGATGTAGGTGAGCGCGCGGCATAGCGCAAAGCCCATGAACATGGTCCCCCATTGCGAATGGATCATGGTGGACAGCATCGAAGCTTGGTGGTGCGAGCTCATCATTTTGCCTAGCAAGAGAATGATGAGGCCAGGTATGGGGTTCATCGAGAAGCGGTACTGGCGCGGCTGCTGCCACGCCTCATCATGGAACTGTGATGGCGGCTGGACCGAGAGAACGGTACTGTTCAGAAGCTCTCGCACCCTCGACGATTCGACAATCATGCCCAACTAGGAAGGTGGTCAGTAAGCTTGGCGCTAGCTAAAAGGGTAAGACCAGTGAACACTCACCAAACCACCGCCAAAGAACATCACGGATATCGAGACATGCTCCAGATCCTGCGCAGTCCAGGCATCTCCCCAGGCGGCTAAGTGTTCCAGAAAGACATTGGTACAGCCGTACAGCCAAATGACGAACGATTCTGTGAACTCGGCGGAAGGTATAGCCGCACGCCGACGGCCCACAACCTCCTTCGGTGGCTTCACGTTCCATGCCCATCCAAAGTCGGCGAACGCTCCCATCCAGCGGCCCAAGGTGAGCAGACCGTACCCGAAGAAGATGCCGCCCTTGACGTAGTGCGCGAGGACGTTGAAGACGGCGCCGCCGTGCTGCAAATCATGGTTAGCGCGAGACGTGTCCATACGTCGCCATAAGTCGACTTACTCCAATACCTCCATACACCACAGTGCCGGACATGATTGCGACAAAGCCTTGGATGAGAATGGTACGATCAACTACGACGTACAGAACTCGGAGGACCTTTAGTGGCTTGCCAACTGCAAAGCGTGCAACGTTGCGCGAGAAAAATTTATCGACCGCATTGTTCTTGAGAAAACCACGCTTCTCGGCATCTATATCGATATCATCCAATTCATCGTGGGTAGCCCTGCGTGGCGGCATGTTGAATTGTCGCTCCTCGGATTCAACGCTTGGAGAGGTGGAGTTGGAGTTACCGTACAAAGAGGCGGAATTGCGTTCGGTCCCCTGGCCAGAATCGTTTGACCATCTTCCAGGGGATACGTCTTGCACGTCGTCGTGTACGCGATGATAGCGAGCCATGTTTGCGGCGTTCAAAGGCTCACCGGAATGGTCTTCAAGAGAGTATGGCTTAGCGCGCGCCGTGTACACCTGGACCAAGGCCATGAAGACCCATGCCGAGGCGATCCACGTTATGATCCATCCAATCTTGCTATGCGCATTGTTTTCGTACAACTCAGGTGTCCTGTGGTTGTAAACAAGGCCAAGAAGTAGCGCGAAGGCGTTGGTGACGAGGAAGATAAATTGGGCCGAGATTGCTAGGCGCGAGCGGGCAATACTGAGCATCACACCTTTAAGAGTTAGTGGCACCCTCAGGAGGCTGAGCCGAACCTACCGACTGGCAGAACAACCACCCACGCCAGGATCTCAAGTGCGATGTGCCAGTACATCAATGAGACGTGCTCGGACAAGCTCCAGTAGCTCTGGGGAGCTCCGTTGTCTACCGCTGGCGGTGGCGCAGCATCGTGCATGTCCATGTCTACAGAGCCGCCATTGTGCTCGTCGCCGTGAGCAGCTACCAGAGGAAGGGTCTCTAGTAGGAGCGCCGCGGTTGCTAAAGTGAGAACTTGCGCTCTCGTCATGTAGGATCGGGGTTATGCGGACTTGAACGATGCCCTGGGAAAGAAATAGTGACAGCCCAGACGTATGTAGTGTCTGCTGAAGATGCGATGCGTTACTCAAGATTCGGAGCTAGCCAGATGTCGCGGACAGACGATAGGAGCCGGGTCAGAGGTTCAAGAAGCAGCGAGGCGGCAGTACAAAGAGCTATAGGTTGCGCCACGATGGGCGGGCAAAGCATTTTAAGAATGCCTGCCTACCGGATGTATCGGAGACGAATGGCGGACTGGCAGCATCACACGAGGGTTTTGTCATCTCTGCAGCATGGCCGCCTCGCTCCGCGAGTTCCCTTCGAGGTTCCTGTGACGCCTGCGACTGCCTGTCAGCGCGCGAGGGTGGGTCCCGCCTGCCGGGCTGCACAGGCGCGCTTGGCGTCATTCCCTGCGCCCTTGCTCTTGCCTTACTCCTCCGGCACACTATTCCGCCACACTTGCACCGGGACAGGCCGCAGAGCCCGCGATACACTTCAGCCCTGCAGATTTAAGCTCGTCAAACCTCTGCGCGGTCAGTTTCTTTCTTTGACAACACCATGTGTTGGCGACGAGCAGGCGGGCGGAGGGGGCTGCAGGTGCCATGCATCGGCATCGGCCTGGCACGTCTCCGAGCGGCAGCGAGCTTCCTTACCTGACGCTCGACACCACACAACATTCGGCGCTAGTGCTGAGATGAAGAACTCGGCGACTTTTCCATCGAAGATCTCGCCTGTAAATTCGGGAAATTCGGTAGCCTACGAGCAGCATCGACAGACGACCTCGCAGAATCTGCGCCCTTGTCTCCGCGCTTTCTCCTTGTTCGCCCGAGCCTCCCCTGCAGTCCTCTGCATCCATCGACTCATCGCGATCGACGTCACGGCTCTGCGAATGGCGACAGTCTTAAGCTTTGTAGCGCCTTGGCAAATGTGCACCTCCCGGTGAGCAATCCAACGGTCGGTGCGTCTGCTGATCGAGGCTTGATGCTCGCAGGGCCACGCTTGCTGACTGTCGGGTGCCGGCCGCACAGCTATCCGCCCACTTCCGGCTGGGACATCACGGCACCACCATTGTACACCATAAGATAATTGTGCTAGCCAAGTCCCCAGAAAAGTGGAATGTCGAACAGTCTGGCCATCAAGAAAGGGTCGCAGCTGACGCAGGTTTCAACCATGTTCGTGCGCTTGACGTTTGGACACGTCTCGGCGATCAACATCAACGCACACATCACACCAACCAACATGATCCAAGCCTGGGCCTCATGAGTTGCGCATCGTGTCCTACGCCTCAACCCTGAGTCACCGGACCAGCAGGATGCTCGATTTCAACGCAAATGCAGCCTTGCTTTAGCGCTGCTGTTTCTGTTTCGTGCTCAGCAACTCACGACATGATTGATAATGCTCCGCCAGAACCAGTAAACTGTGCTGACGAGTGCTCTGTTCTTCCGAGGTCGAAGCATTCCGATTCTGATGAACACACCATGCCAGTGGACGATTATTGCCCACTGCGACTTTCCCCATGTCGATTCACATTGTGCGATGCACGTCGAGTTATGCAAACACACCCAATGGAATTCGGATTCATGACATATCCGAGCTACCTGCATTACTCCCCTGCCACGAGCTGGCCAGGATCTTTTAACACCGGTGCAGCCACCGACATCGCAATATCCATATAGCACACAGACCAGTGGCTCTCCGGCTGACACCCACCCTTGCTTGATCAGGCGACGCTCAGCCAACTCTATATAGACAACAACACACTCGAAGCACACCGCTGCGTTACCGTCCCGCGTATTGTCAAGGGCAGTCTTATTCCCGACCCTCCGTTCAAATGGTCTTCAGCCTGTGCATGGATCCGGTTTGTCTTGGCGATTCCGCCACGAGATATCGTATCGAACTCTCCAGGTCCATCGTCCTGCCATTGTGGATCGGTTGACCTGACCAAAAGCCGGCTTACCCCACAACGAAGTTTTGTACAATTGTAGACTCCGACGCACTTCGGTGTTTTCTTAACCAACACCCGGATCGGTAAGGTATGTCCCACCGTGCCGGTAAATTCGGTAAACGAAAAGCACGTCGTCGGCCGAGGCGCTTGGACAGTGGGGATCAACACGTTTTCGACCTCTTGCATACACATCGTATGCAACAGAAATGTTGCTTCCAAATGGTAATATTAAAATGACCACACCTAAGATCCCAATGTACATAGGTTCCCGCGCACAATGATCCAAGATGCTTATTCAACAAATAATGTTGCGCTCATGCGCATGTGTGGTAGACAATTTACGCGCCGACTTTCAAGATTATCTTGCCCTTCGCGTGACCTTCTTCAAGCTTCTTGAAAGCCTCTTCGAATTGAGCAAGCTCATAGACACTATCCACAACCGCTTGGCACTTCTTTTGCTCTAGCAGGTCCGTCACCTCTGCCAACTGAGCTCCATTGGGCTCTACGATGAACCAGACGCCCAGCACTCCTTCGGCCACTCCATCTTCTGGTCTCTTCGGATTTGGTGGCTCCGCGACACTGACAACCTTCGCTCCCTCTCTTGCACACTTCCAAGCGTCTGTTAAAGTTACTCCACCGATGCAGTCGAGAACAACATCGAATCCACGGGCCGCCCGGTCCACGCTGACCCACTCAAGTAGATCCACCTTTCTGTAGTCTAGGACAGTATCCACTCCCAGGCTCTTCACGAAGTCGACGTTGGATGTTCCACATGTACCAACAACGTCTGCGCCTGCCTGGTGCGCAAGTTGAACCCCCCAGAGCCCAACGCCACCGGACGCCGCTGTGATCAGAACACGCTTCCCTGTGTTCTTTCCTTCTTTCGGTGGCTTCAGCGCACCGTGTACGAATAGGCCTTGGTACGCACTTAATGCGCTCAACGGCACGCTCGCCGTCTCCTCCCAGCCAAGACCCTCCGGTTTCAACGCGAGCTCGGTCTCGTGAGCAACAGTTATGTCTCGAGCGTTGCCCTTCCAGGTAAATGTCGTGAGCGCATAGACCTCATCTCCTGGCTTGAACTTGTGTTCGCCTTGGCTTTGCGGGGCGGAGATGATTTCACCTGCGAGATCTAAACCAGGAACTGGAGCGTCGGGACCTTTTGGCTCGGCCCATGTGAGCTCTTCACGGGTCAGGGCGCACGCTTTGGTCCGGATGATGTAGCATTCTGGGTGGTCGTTGGGTGTGGGCTCGGGGTGATTTGGATCCAGCGTGAGGGTTTCGGGAGACTTGTCGCCAGTTCGGATGAGGGCGCGCATTTTAGGAGGGGTTCAAGGATCGAATGAAGATATCGGAAGGTCGCAATTCTTCAACAAAAAGATGTGGGCTTATACGATGGGGATCAATCGCAATCAGCCTCTATAGTAAACAATTTGGCAGCCGCGATCCTTATCCTGGCGGACTGCCGATAGCTTCGTCGCTCTTGTGCGGAAAAACACCGCTTCACCTCATGTAATATGGATTTGTTGACTCCCCATTGGGAACAGCTGCACCGTGTTTTATCTTGCTCGTATTCGTGCAACATGGTGTGCTGGCATCGGTGAATCGGCTACTCGGCGTTTTGGGCTCACCTAGATCGCCCAACGAGGAAGCTACAGCCGTAATGCCACCTGGTGAAACTCAAACGGCAGCTTGCGGTCTTCACGTGGTTCGAGATGCTTCAGGGCTCCATGAGGCTGTACAGACGCCACTACTGCATAGCGGTCGGAAAATAGTATGAGTGGAGCTGTGGCGCGAGGGTCAATCATTCCCCCGCATACGTCACGACGTAACGCAACCTACGCGATGTCGACGTCGAAGTTATTCACTACCCCACTATCGCGTGCTCATTTCGTAAATGATGTGAGAGGCTCATGATGTTATAGTCTCCCTGAGGGCCATTTTCGCTCTTCAGCACTTCTCTCTCTCACACAATTTGAACCCACACACACACAATCATGGCCAAAGCCCATCCAGACGCAGACCTTCATCCAGAGGCTACGGGGCCAGCCGCGCGCACTGTGAAGGTAAATACAGCATCATCTGGACCCCAAGACAACAAATTGTTCTCACTAAGACCACCAGGCCCACGAGCCCGAACACTCCCTCAAGCTCTACTCGGGCTGGTTCTGCCCCTTCGTTCAACGCGTCTGGATTGCCCTCGAAGAAAAGCACATCCAGTACCAATACATTGAAGTAAACCCCTACCACAAGCCCAAGTCGCTGCTCGACCTCAACCCGCGCGGCCTAGTCCCCACATTGGAGTACGACAACAAGCCGCTGTATGAGAGCACAGTGCGTAACCCACCGAGTACACAGTCAATGTCTCTTGGCTGTGCCTTTCAGCTGAGACATGTACCATCCTGTTTCATCTCACACTGACTTTGTAATCTCATTTCAGGTGCTCGTCGAGTTCCTCGAGGAAGCGTTTCCGGATCACACGCCGCACTTACAGCCCAAGGACCCGTATCAGCGCGCGAGAACAAGGATTTGGACGGATTTTGTGACGAGTAGGATTATTCCTGGGTATCATCGGTTTTTGCAGCATCAGGGGGAGGATGGGTTGCAAGAGAAGAGGGAGGAGTTCTTGGGCTTCCTAAAGGAATTCACGAAGGAGATGGATAGCGAAGGGCCGTACTTCAACGGCAAAGAGTTCGGGGCCATCGACGTGATTCTCGCGCCTTGGGCAGTCCGGCTCTGGGTTTTCGACCACTTCAAAGGCGGACTGGGGATTCCGGAGAAGGGGAAGGGAGGAGATGACGAAACCACATGGGAACGCTGGCGCACGTGGAGTGAGGCGATCCATAAGCGGAAGAGCGTGATTGAGACACTGAGCGAGCGCGAGCACTATCTGCCTATCTACCAGCGGTATGCGGAGGATCGGGCGCAGAGCGAGCTAGCGAAGGCGACGCGCGCGGGGAGGGGCGTGCCGTGAGGGCTTGGGGGAGGTGGGTGTGGCCGAGGATTCTCGGGTAGGATGAGTATATTGCTGGGGTAAAAGCGTAAGCGTACGCTAGTTGCGAATGTGGTGGTGGGGGTTGCCGTGTGGGTATCTGAGTATATAACAGCCAGTCTTTGTAGAGCTTTCTTTCTCAATCCCTCGTTAACACCTCTCTTCTTTCGACACTATGTCTTCCACTCCGGAAACAAAACCTGATTCGGAAGTCTCGGAAAGCATCCAAGCACCAGCAGCCGCAGATACCACTATCGAAGCATACGGCTCCTGCCTCTGCCGCGCCATTATTTTTACCCTCACCGGCGCCCCCCTCAACACCGTCCTCTGCCACTGCTCAAATTGCGGTCACGCTTCCGGGGTCGGCTTCATGGCAAATTCGTTCTACGCCGCGGACCAGTTACAAATCAAATCCCAACCCTCCTCCACCCTCAAAACATACATCGACACCAACACAGATAGTGGGGCCGTGCTGCAAAGGCAATTCTGCGGCGACTGTGGGAGTCCGCTGTTCACACGGAATGAGAAGATGGAGGGATTTGTAGTGGTGTGTAGTGGGGCTTTGGAGAGGGAAATGGGGAGGGAGTGGAAGCCTGCGATGGAGCTTTGGTGTAAAGGGAGGAGAGGGTGGGTGCCAGAGATTGAGGGGACGAAAATGTTTGAGGAGATGTTTTGAACAGGGAGCGGAGAGTATCCAGCCGTGTTGCATTGCTTGATGATATCTGCTATCCAAGATGCGCCCAGTGAAATACTGACGAGGAAAGAGGATCAGTGTGAAGAAATCGAAGACACAATTCGGTCATGCGCGAGTGTCGTATTCTCCTTTACCTCCTTGAGCTCACGGGTACCCATTGGCGATGACCCAAATCCGTGATGCAAAGCTGCCACCTTGACCTTGTTCTGGGGGCCCACGATCGAGAATTACCACTAACAAGGCCTCCCTGACCGCCTCCTAAGTTAGTGTGGCAATCGCGTATGCCATGCTCATACGACCTCTGTACACGGACATTTCCACAACAAGTCGTCATGCGGGCGAGCCGGTCACAGTGCCAACGAAGAAAACGTTTATCTGATCTCCAGAAGGATAACTGTGCCTCTTCGCTTCTATCACCATACAGTTGAGTACAACATCCCTGGACTTCAGGTCCATGGATTTCTCGCAAAACACATAGGCTTCGGGCCGGCATCACATGCCATATCCATAAGTGTAGCATAGATGGTTACTTGTGATGAACGGTCAATAGAGGGGCTGCACCGGTTGAGTCAGCAAGAGATCAGCATGAAAGTTTGCGAATTCTGGTCCCTCGTAGGGTCGAAGATGTTCAGGTGGAATCTTAGCGTAGATGGTTTCGATACTTCGGTCAAGAAGAGGCTGGAATGGGGCAACGGCGCCTAATGGTGAAGTGACTGTCCCACATAATGGGCCCTGGGACGTGCTAAAGGATCGCTTGAGCTATGATTCACTCCAAGAGTACTGCTTTCGCATATCAAGAGAGTGACGAACCTGGCTAACCAGAGCGCTGGCTCTACTACAAGGGCGATCCTCTGGCACTCCGAGAACAGGATGAATCTGATTCCGGATATCAACCCCCCCGAAAAAGTTCTGATCTTTGCCGCGGAACTCTACGCAGTCGGCGAGAAGATGCTTGATGAGGCATTCTCGGATGCTGTCCTCAATAGCGCACTCACCGCCAAGAATGACCACTACAATTCGATTTCGCAAGGGCTCTTCGAGGAAGCAGCCGCTATCCTGTGTGAGGGTGCTCTCGAAGAATCAGAGGTGAACGAGTGGGTGTCCGACTACTACGAGCTGAACGGCGAGGTATTAGCGAAGGTATGGCCCCGACAAGCCCTAGTAGATATGCAGGCAGTCTTTCCGTTGGAATGGAACTGGTAAACGCACAGACTTCCAAGGTCATGGGCATGTAGGACCCAGAGTTTAGTGATCTCCCAGCCATGGTGGGCCTGCAGAGCATGGTTTGGCGAAAATCGTGGTTAAGCGCGGCGGAGTCGGGAACGGTAATGGTACCAGATACGCCGCACAAGAGACATAGTCTTCTCTCACAGTGCGAGGCTTGCGACTTCGTCTCATTTTGAAGTTGCCGTACGGGCAGTCCGTATCTGGCTCTTGGAACTTTAGTATCAGGGTTGACTAGCTCACGGTTGCCAGCTCATCAGATGGCGGATGCGGGTATTGGACACAATGGGTTCTTTGAAGTGTACTTTTCGGTCGGATCAAGTCTGAGTCTAGCGTTCCGATGCCCGAATGGTATTTCGTCTCTTCGGCTTCGAGGTTCTTTCTGGCATAGGTCACGGACAGGCTCCGTTGGGTGAATTCTAAAGTTTCAAAAGGCAGTCGCTACCTTTCCTATCAGCGGTGATGATTTCCCTTCTTCGGATGAGTGATCTCGATAAAGATCTAGGGTGTTTTGGATGACGAAGTGTAGTCGCCCTGTCATCCCTCGCGCTTTTCCCTTTTTGCTTCATGGCCTGTGCACAAGATCTCATCTCACTTCAGACGCGCTTTCCAACACGGTCTGTCTCAAATTCCCACTTTATCTTTGTTCACGCGGCCGATCCAGCCCTGTCAACTTCCGCGGGAGAGATGTGCATGACCATTGCCATGGGTCGATGTTTTGTCACTAAGCCTGGCGCGTAGAATGTACCCACGACTCAAACCAGGACAGCGCGTTACGTACCCGCGATGCGCATCTTCAGTGTGTGCAGGCCTGCAAAGTAACGGTCGCCAAGTCTATCGTCATGAGCTGGCCGGTACCTCTGTCAATGTGATGCTGTTTGGCCCACCAACAGCCCAGGCCGGTACTTCGATGTAGTGCCATGTTCGAAGTCTCGTCGACTGCATACGCGCTCACCTGCGCACATTGAATCGACCAGTGATCGAGCTCAGATGGTGGACCCAGCCCCATCAGTTCATGCAGGCTACCCGAGTACCGAGGGTCGCAGTAAACGTCTCACATTGTTCTTGGTATATCCCAGAGACCGCCCTCTATACGTGGAAGACGCCGCTTCTAGAAGACTTCTGAATCCGTGTTCTTGCTTCGATGCGACGACTACTCGATTCAGAATGACTCGAGACGGTAGAGCGTAGCCCGTAGGCCAAGCACGTCAGCCGTCAGAGATGGCTCCACTAACATACGTAGACTGGTGCAGGACGTCGAATCAGGTCAAATCAGGTCGTACGTTGCTTTATTCCTAGTCCTTCATTGGTTGCATACACGATTACAAGACTGGGCAAACCTAACTCTAAAGCTTCCACCATGTCGTACAAGAGCACGGAGAAATTGATGGGCAAGCAAGCGTACAGATGAACGCGCAAGCTTGAATATGACTAGGAGCTGTCTTTATATGGCTCCTTCAGAAGTTGATGTGATACTAGAGCAGTTACAGCACCACCGCTTCGGGGATATCCTCGCTGGGTACTGTCCGTTTCACCTTCGACGGCCCTAGTCCTCTGCGTCCCCGCGGTAGGACCCCTGCCAGCATCACATTGTCTTCCCTATCGGGAAAGCACCTCAAGCCCACGCCACACAATGCTATCAACAGCAGGATGTACCTTGCGTGAATTCCCAGGCACCCATATGTGGAGGATGACTTGCCCTCATGTCGCACATACACTCGTTTTGCTATTCCCCATACGGCTCTGGAAGCCAGACTCTGGAAGTTAATCGGACCTATAGACTCCAGTAGCCTTTTACGTTACGATGAGCGCACCGGCAGCGCAGTACTCACCACAGTATCTGAACGAGGGCCACGGTCCCACGATCATTGCGACGGCATCATTAATGATCATTCTGTGTACGGTTTTTGTCGGGCTTCGCTACTATGCGCGCTACCTCACTTCGACTCATTCCGGCGCAGAGGATGTTATTATACCATTCGCATTACTGGCAGAAGTGGGACTATGTGTTGTCGGCATTCGTAAGTAAGAAGATTTCGCTAGATCCAAAAGTGTTCGCTGAAGTTCAAATAGTCATGGTGAAGGAAGCTGGAACGGGCCGGCATCTCGCGTTCAATATTCAGAGAGATCCTGATAGCTTCACAAAGCACTTTAAAGGCATCATCGTCAACGAGTTTCTCCATCCAGCCGCTGTAGCTTTCCCGAAACTGGTCGTGGTCATCCTCTACCTTCGGGTCTTTACGAACAAGCTGGAGCGTGGGGTCGCATGGGGACTTTTCGGGGTTATCATCGCCACATTCATTTCGTTCTTCGTAGCGACTTGTGTGCAGTGTACTCCGTTCGCTTACAGCTGGGATAAATCGATACCAGGAGGACGCTGCTTCGATACTGTAGCTTTTGCTTACAGTAGCAGCGTCCCGAATATCGTGACCGATCTGGTGTAGTTTTCCTACCCATACGTACTGTGCTGGATCTGAAGATTTCAACTGTAAGAAAAACCGGCTTGATGCTGATCTTCCTAACCGGAAGCGTGTAAGGACCACAGCCGGTAATCTGTCGACGCTGCTAAATTTGCACAGCGGCATCATAGCCTCCGTCGTTCGGACAGTGGTCTTCGCCAAGACGAATATCTTGGACGATATCACCTGTAAGAGTCGCCCAACAACTACATTGTAACTCTGCTAACGGACCAGTTACGAACGTGCCATTGATCAATTGGACTATCATCGAGCCAGGATTCTACCTCCTTGCCGCCTGCGCTCTATCATTCAAGCCGCTCTTCCGCATGGTAGCTAAGGCTTTGCACCTCGGTTCGGTACTCACACACACCAAGTCAGCACTCAACAAAACCTCCTTGCACAAGACAAATCAAGCACAGCAAAAAGACATACATATGGAGACTTTCAAATCAGGTAGCAGCGGCGGTTTCACGAAGCTGAGCGACAGCGCTGATGGGGAAGGCAATGATGCTGACGGCCGAGATCGGGATCATGCTGTGTGGTTCACGAAAAGTCCCGGGCACAAGAAGGGCATGAGTGATGGCGCGCTGAGTGTCGTCGTCACACGGACCATAGAGATACAGAGCGAAGATCTGGAAAGCGGGCCACAAGTGCGAACGCGCGACCATGTACACTACAACACTAAGGTTAGCCGGGCTGAGTAGAGAAGTCGAAACATGTGTCCCATGAAACATCTGGAAGTGTGATTCTGGTTGATCCAGCTCAGCCAATACGTATCGTGGGTCAACTCAAAGTGTTGGGACCGTCTATAGTGTGAATCACAAAGCCGTTCAAGGTAGGTAGGTCATGAAAAATAGCATTCTTCGGATGCGCATAAAAAGCGCCTTCCCTTCGCTGCCTCTGCTGGTCCTTTCATCACGGCTTCCACATGCTCCAAGTCATACCAGGCCACACTACCAAAGCCAACTTCTCAAACATCGCACTTCGGCACGCAGCTACGCGTAAAGCCCAATACATCGAGCCCTAAATTAACACATAAACTCTCTGAAATCTTGGAAATGACGACCATCTCCGTAACCCTCGCCCTCCTCATGGGAACTTTTACCTTCGCCTTGCCCATCTTCCGCTCCAACCCCACCACCTCCAACGCGACCAAATTTACCACACTCTTCGACACAAACATCTTCACATCTACAGCATCCGCCGACTCCGTCCTCACCACGCCGACCCCGTTTCAAGCGGAAGATACCGCCTTGACGGAAGCAAACGAGGCAATCGCCTCCAAAGACGCAGTCACTTCCACCGGCGTCAAGCCCACAACACTCTTCAACGCGCACATCTTTGGCGTGGAGAAAGAAGCGGAGCCGAAACCTACGCCGGCGCTCAACGCGCCCAGCAAACCCACTGCCTCCATGGCAGTGTACTACGGCGCGTCCCACTACGCCCCCCAAGACTACACGGAGGGTGGCGTGGTGAAGAGGAGATGCGAGTCCTTTGATGAAAAGCAACTTGCGTGGATTGGGAGCCACTCTGAGCTTGCGAGCGTGCTGGAGCAGTGTGAGAATGGGGAGTTGTATAAGCTGCCGAATCCGGAGGATGAGCATGTGGGTGGGTGCAACAAGTGGAGTATTGGGTGCTAGAGGCACTCCTGGGGTAACTTGAGAGGTGTCCGGTGGATCAGGTATTGGGTGTTGTATTTCTGTTTTATGGTAGAGCATGGTTGAGCTCGGACAGCTTCACGGATCAGCCCGATGCGAGCAGCACTAGTCAGGACAATGAGGCAATGTCTGCAGCATAGTGTTGGGCTGGTAGCGAAACGCGGCACCCATATTCTGTCCTTGTAGAATGCAACGTTAGACTTCAAAGCAGCACCGTAAGCTCTCCCCACAACGCCCCTCTCCCTCAATCCCATCCACCCCCTCCACCCCATCACCCCAAAATCACTCCCCCTTCCTCCCATGTACTCACCCACGAAACCCCAAAAATCGCCAAATCAAGCACCAACCACGCCATGCCCGTGCTCCACCCACCCACCACCCTCCCCACCAACACGCACGCATAAGCACCCACACACCCCATCAAAAACCCATCGAACCACTTCCGCCCAAAGCTCCTCCCAAATAGCACCCTCTCGCCTTTCATGCTCACAATCAGGTGCAGATTCCACGCCACGAAGAAGAAAAATAGGATGCTGGCGAGCAGATAGGGCATGTCGAGGGGAGACGTGGGCAAACTGGAGGTAAAGACAAGGTAGGCGGCTTTCAGCGCTTGGACGAGGATGAAGGAGAGGCGGCGCGCTTTTTCGCTGCGGGAGGGGATAGTGAGGTCGTACGAGGAGGCCATGGTGGACCAGGGGAGGCGAAAGTTGGGGCATTGGCGGGAGAAGGGGTGGTGTGGTTGCGCGGGCGCGTCGTAGTTGTTGATTGTGACAATGACCATTGTTGCGGGGTTTGGGCTAGGTGTGTGATGCGGCGTGGAGATGTGGTGTGTTTGGGCGCTGAGAGGATCTCAGATAGACTCTGGCGGTACGAGGCTGAGGCTTGGGGCTCGCCACGAAAACTTGCAACTTAGCCTTTTAATAGAAATGCTAAGGAATGAAATATCGCAAGAGTTTAATGCGAAATCCCTCGCTGTTAGATGCTGGCGGCCGTCCACGCCTAGAAGGAACTTCCGGCCCCCAGTGCAGCACGCCTGAGCCTTTGCAACCGCTGCGCCACATCCTCATCGTGCTAAATGAGGACCGTTCAACCTCGGAGGCGCCAAGCATTGCTGCAGTTGTACAAGGCAGCGAGGCGGTGCTGTTGATGTAATGCAAAGCGTCAGAAGCAAGGTAGGTGGATGAGAACAACTAACCATGAATCTCTGGGGAGTTCTTCAGGGTAGCTATCAAGTCAGGTACTGGACCGCAAAATTCGAAAGACACATAGATGAACACACAAACCCAAAACTCCATTAACTATCTGTTCGCCAGCCTACCCATTGATGGCCCAAAGACGCATCCAAGAAAGAGAAAATGCCATATCATTCAGTTCATAGAAAAAGCCTCTGTATCATGTCGCTTTTATCTCATGGTCTCCATCCGTTCCATTCATTCCATGCACATGATCCAACCCATCCCACTCAATGATACAGGGCGGCAGAACGCAGAGAGAAAAAAGAGGGAGATCAGATCGGGTATCCTAATTTACAACTCGTCGTGCACCTCAGATGCCGCAGACTTAGCGCTCTCGGTCGCCTCCGATGCAGCGCTCTTGACGCTCTCGGTGACGCCCTCAGCCTTGTCGGCGACGGTCTCGGCAGCGTCCTTGGCGGCATCAGTCGCAGCCTCAGCGGCGTCGGCGGCCTTCTCTGACGCGGCGGCGGCCTGCTCGGGGATCTCCTCGGGGATCTCCTCGGCGGCCTCCTTGACGGCCTCGATGGCAACCTTGACCTTGTGGGTACCGTTCTCCTCGATGAAGGCAGCGAGGTCCTCGACGGTGCGAGCGCCAGAGTAGTCGATGGGGGAGTCCTTCTTGCCGGCGGGGAAGAGCTTGATGGTGGGGAAGCCCTGGATCTCATCGGGAACGTCATTGGCGGTGGCGTCGACCTTGGCGACGGTGACGAGCTTCTGGAGCTCGGGGGAGGAGTAGAGGGCACCAAGCTCCTCGTACTTGGGAGCAAGAGCCTTGCAGTGACCGCACCAGGGAGCGTAGAACTCGAGGAGGACGTCCTTTTCGTTGTCGATGACGAGCTTCTCGTACTCGTGGGCGACGACAACGGTTACGGGGCCGTCGTTAGTCTCGGGAATGGGTTCAGACTTGATGGAAGGCTGGATCTTGTCGTTGATGAAGTCCTCGACGAATGAGCCAACGTCCTTCTCGGTGATGGACTTGGTCTGGTCGTACGGGTACTTCTGGTTCTTGTCCGTTTTCTGGATGGCGAAGGCGGGCCACTTGCCGACCTCGAGGTTCAGGTTGCCAGCGTGTTGGCCGAAAGCCTGGGCATCGATGGTAGCGAAGTTGATCTTGCCCTTGTACTTCTCAGCAAGGGGCTTGAGCTCCTTGGCGAGGGTGTCGCGCTCCTTCTGATCCACGCCGAAGATGTAGGCGAGGGGAATGCCAGCGGCCATGTAGCCGGAGTAGGTCTCGGGGCCGACCTCGCCGACCAGAGGGGTCGACGCAACCTTGATGAAAGACTCAATGGCCTCCTTCTCGAACGCCTCGGTGTGGGTGTCCTTGCCCTCGTCGAAGGACTTGTAGAGCACAAGGGCGGGCTGCTTGACGCCCTCAGCCTTTGCGAGCTCGGCGTCGTTAGTGGCACCGAAGAGGTAGTTGTCGCGGAGACCGTTGGCGACGGAGGTGAAGGTCTCGTTGGAGGCCTTGTCGTCGGCAGCGAAGTAGGCGACGAGGACAACCTTGTCGGCGGTCTTGAACTCGTCGATGGAGTCCTTGGTGACATCGGAGACAGCAGGCAGGGACTGCTTGGTCATGTAGGAGACGATGGCATCGGCCTTGCGCTGGCCGGTGTAGGGAACAATGTTGTCCTCGCCACGGAAGACCTTGAGGGTGGGGTAGCCCTCAACGCCGTACTTCTTGCAGAGCTCCTGCTCCTCTGTGCAGTCGACCTTGGCAAGCGGGATATTCTTCTCCTTGAGCGTCGTCGCCGCCGACTCGTACTCGGGCGCAAGCGCCTTGCAGTGGCCGCACCAGGGCGCGAAGACTGCGGGGAAGTTAGTATGCAATTGGAAGGTGTGTCTCGGTGCTGGACAGGGTAAAGTACCCTCCCAAGCTGCGAGCAGACTTACACTCAATCAGAGAGAGGTCGTGTTCCTCGACGAAGCCCTGGAGGGTGTCCTCCTTGAGCTCGTGGACATCGGAAGCCAGACCCAGCGAGGCCAGGACGGCAGTGAGGACAATGCTGTAACGCATGATACCTGCTATGAAAACTGAAGTCTAAAGAAAAGAAGGGTCGAGTTTAGCTACAACTCTGCAGGTGGGTGGAGAGAATTCCTGGCAGAGCGGCGGGCGGGTTTTTATGCGTATCGTTTCGTGGCGCGAAAGACCACAGTGTCTACTTCCACTGGGCTGAGCTCGGATGCAGGCCGCGGGCCCTGCCAAGACCCCTCCACACCGTGGCTGCGGGCCTTCACCTGCAATGGTAATTCTTCTGTACCCCGGATCGGAACACGTAGAGCACCCGCAGCTCTATTCCACCGTGCAGACGGATCCTACGAGCCCGCGTGGCCGCCGCCGCAGTCACATCTCCCCTTCACCTGTACGCCGCGCCTACTCGAAGCTCGCCATGCGTATTGCCTAACGCGGATAGCACCGCACTGACCCCTGCACACCTCAGACCTCCACATGTGTCCCCGACCAGCATTATTAATATATCCAGAGTACGAGCCACGGACTTCCAGCCCCAGGCCAGGTGTTCTCTCAGTCTGTCACTCGCACGTTATGCACCGGCGATCTCTCTTGTCGCTTTGCCCCGCTTCCACTAATCATGTGTGGCGAAGCTGATAGCCTCCTAGATCTGGCACGATGCTCGAAGCAGCCCGGCTCTAGCGCGTTAGCTTTCCTTTCTCACTCCCGTTATCGTACGCACGTGGATTCCCCCCATATAGCACATGACGTAGGTTGGGTTTACACAGGGAAACAGTCACAGCGGTGTTGACAGATGCATCTAAGGTAGATGATTGGCATTGAGAGCTACGGACGACAGACAGTCACGCCTGCCACGAGACCGGCAGTAAAACCGCCCTTCCAAATGCCCACAGCCCCAACCACGCCTTAAAGGGTTTGAATGTTTTCTGATGAATACGATTTTGTGTTTTCTTTCTACCAGGCTGCTGGCCGCGGTCACCCTGTCGTGCTTCTGTCGGAATCTTCAACAGTGTAGAAGCGATAGTGAGGTAACCGCAGGTGAGCGCCCAGACTGATCCGGTCCCAAAACCACGTGGGCAAAAGAGATGACCAACAATAAAAAGAGCCGAAGAGTAGCGCTCCGGGTCGCAGTCCAGAGAGGAGGGAGAGGAACTGCAGGAAATCTGATGCGTGCTGGCTTGCGCCAGCATTCGGCGAAAGAGAGAGACGCGTGATGACAAAAAGCTGATGAAAGCCAGAGGCTATCTTCGGGTTGGCGGACGCGATGAGACAGATGATGGTGTGGAGAGAGAGAGTCGTAGGAGTCCGACGTGGCTAGACGTGGCTAGCATGGTGTTCCGATGCTGGACGGCCATTAAAGTGCAAAGAGAATCGTCGGTGCCTCTATCGTGAAGGGACTTTTGACAATTACCCACCAGCGAGGATGCTGTAGAGAGTGAGAAAAAACATTGCATAGCCTGGACTCTCCGCCAAGACCGCAAATGGACACCAAAGAAGACTGGCTCAACAGCCGCAGAAGAGAAACCACCCAAGATCCAGGAACAGACCCAAGGTATATAATACAAATGACCGGCCCGAAATCGCAGACTCCAGTACGCGCCGGTGATTCGATCCGATGTCCGAAGATGACTTCAGGTTTCCCGCATCGATTCGTCGACAGCCGCTCATATAGTCGTGAGAAAGGAAAAACAACGAGCAAAAATGTGCACCCATAACGCAAACCGGCTCCTGAGCAAAGAGAAATCGTGACAGAAGAAATGACTAAACATCAACGAGAACTGCTCAGACAACCTACAACCCCCCTCATCGCCGTGCACCGTCCTTACGCGGGACCGGCGGGCTGGGGACGAGCGTTACGCTGCGGGTTGTGGCCGTTCTGGTTATTCTGACGAGGCTGCTGGCTCTGGTTCTGCTGCTGCTGGTTCGGAAGTCCGCGACCGCCGCCGCCACGAGGCTGGCCCTGAAATTGACCGCCACCACGGTTACCACGGTAGTTGCCGCGCCCATTCTGATTGCTGCGGGCGACATTGCCGTCTTGTTCCTGGCCTTGCCCATTGTGCTGAGAGTTCGAGATGGGGCGAGGAATTGTCTCGGGGGTCTCGTAGACATACAGCTTCTTCTCAATAACCGAGGGAATCGGCTGGATCTCAGTGCCCAACTCCTGCTCAATGCGGTACAGGTTAAAGCGGTCCTCCCAGTTGATCAAGTTGATGGCGAGACCCAAGTGTCCAAAACGCCCAGAACGACCAATGCGATGCAAGTACGTTTCGGCGTTCTTCGGGAAATCAAAGTTGATGACAACGTTGACAGCCTGGATATCGATACCTCGGGTAAGCAAATCAGAGCAGACTAGGTTACGGCAGACACCATTGCGGAAGTCATGGAAGACGCGGTTACGGTTGTGCTGAAGCATACGGGCGTGAGAATAGAAGCAGGAATATCCAAGCTCGGTGATCTTCTTGGCGAGCAACTCAACACGGTTGGTTGAGTTGCAGAAGATGATGGACTGGTTGATTTGCAATTTGTTGAATAGCGTGTTCAGGCAGTGGACCTTCTGTTTCTCTTCGACGAAAGCGTAGTATTGAGTGATACCGCGCAGGGTGAGTTCGTCCATAAGATTGATCTCGTACGGGGAGTTCATATGTTTGTCCTAAACAGTAAGCAAGGGGCGCCTATATGCGATTTATGCGGGCGCATACCTTGAAGCTCTTAACGACGATAGGGAATGTAGCGCTGAAGAGCATGACCTGCCTGTCCTTGGGGTGGAAACCAAGCAGCTGTTCTATAACTGGGGTGAACTCGGGGGACAGAAGCTTGTCAGCCTCGTCCATAACAAAGGTTTGGCAAGCGGACAGGTCGGCGACGCCTTTTCCTGCCAGGTCCAAAATCCTACCGGGTGTACCAACAATGATGTGAACAGGCTCAGACAACCGGATGATGTCGTCCTTTAGGCCAGTACCACCAGTCGAGACCATGACATTGATGCCAAGGTGCTTTCCCAGCATCTTGCATACCTGCGAGGTCTGTAGGGCCAATTCTCGGGTGGGGACGAGGATGAGAGCCTGCGTCTTGGGGTTCTTCGGGTTCACGCGCTCGAGGGTAGGTATAACGAAAGCAGCTGTCTTTCCGGTGCCGTTCTTCGCTCGCGCAAGTATATCTCGGCCGGTGAGGGCAACGGGGATGGTCTCTTCTTGGATGGGTGAGGGCTTCTCGAACCCCGCTTCGAATATACCCATCATCAGCTCGCGCTTAATGAAGAAATCCTCAAACTCGAGGCCTTTTGTTGCGGTGACATCCTAGTGAAGCGCGTAAGCTCAAGCTCGCCGACCTGTCGCGCACTCAGCGCCGCGCATACCTCTGTCTGCACTCGTGTGTCTTTGGAGGGTATCTTCAGCCCATCTTTCCAGTTTGCGCCTGCTGAAGACGATTGTTCGCTGTTCAGCGCGTTAGCATGTCATGAACCCCATGGGGAGGCATCGACTGACTTGAGCGACGTCGCCGCGAGTTGGTTGGTGATTTGGTCAGCCATTGGGAGAGAGGCCGCCGGCTGCGGTGCTGTTCGACACACAGTCGATGTGGTGAGAGTAGTGGGCAGCTATATGCGGTCGACTTTGCGACGGCAGCGAGGGTGATGTGCGCGGGTACAATAGGCTATGTGGGGTGCCCAGGCGGGATCCGGATCGCGTTTGCGCAGTAGGCACGATGGCAGCAACGCCGGAGAGAGAAGCGAGGGCGGTGCGGTGTGTGTGTGTTCCAGAGCGCCTGAGAATGGCGGCGACTCCTTGTGTATACCAGGCCTCGTGGTGGGGCTCAGTCGCTTGCTGTCGAGCTGGACGTCACGGGCAAGGTGAGCGTCGGCGGGGTGCAGTTCGCTGTGAGAGCAGCGCGCAGTAGACTATGGCCTGCAGAGTGAAGTGTGTCAGCGAGAAGGTTCAGGTGGCCGCAAAACGTATGTGGGGGGTAGTAAGAGAAGAAGCACGGCGTGCGTGTGGTGTTGGTGGAGACCAGAGGAAGGCTCAAGAAAAGGGCCCGAGCGACGATCCGTGCGGCCGGGTAGCGGGTAGCTGATTGGACGCAGAGTTGACGTGAACGCCAACTTCACACTGTTGCCGCGTCTGATCGCGCGTTATCGAAGCGCGAGTGTGTATAGTTGTGCCTTGGTGAAAAGGAACCGGTAGAATCGCTGTAAGATATCACGTCCTCCCGCGTGAGAGAGACGAACTGATGCATGGATAGCCCCAATTACACAACCGCGGAGCATCAAGGCACGTGCTTTCGTGCTCTATATTGCGAGCAAATAGCCATTGACAGGTGTGCCGACACAAACATCATGTCTCTCTTCCAGCGCCTTACGCGGACGCTTCGTCCTACGTCCTTCGGCGCCATATCCACCTTGCGCGCCACCAGATCAGCTCGCTCGCCAGAGCTAGGCTCCAACTTCTTCGGAAATGCTACACGTCTGGGTAAGTAATCAATTCAACTTTCTGTGTTGATGAATATTCCTTGTTCTCATTCATATCGTTTTCGGTCAAGGACGCATTGGATGGTTGCAAGAGCCAGACAAACGCGCCACTTGTAGCAACAGCATGACATCCCACTGCGCTCCAATTGCAACATATAATCCCATTATGTTTCAACTTCAAGACTGCATTCCACTACACATCGATTCTGCCCGTCCCTCCATCCTCTAGCATCCCACTGACCACCCTAGGCCTCCGTCACCGCACTTACAAGGCCTACAATGCCCCAGAAGACCACACCACCTCCAACATGCGCCTCATCTACGCCTTCATGGGCCTCAACGGCGCCATCTTCGCCTATGCAACCTACGTCCAAGAGCAGGCCAAGCAGGGCTACACCCCGGCCTTCATCCACTTCCTCCAAAACTGCACCCTGTCCCCCACCGGCTTCTTCAAAGAGGGCCGCTACTGGACCACCATCACCTCGGTCTTTTCGCATATGAACATCATGCACATCGCGGGCAACATGTTGTCCTTCTTCTTCATGGGCCAGATGCTCGCGACCACGCCGGGCTTCACGCCGGGCAAGATCGCCGTTCTAGTCATTGGGAGTGGCCTGGCGGGAAGCATCGGTTGGCTTTACACGACGATGAAGAACCGGAACTATCAAAAGCGTGCGCTGGGATTCTCAGGCAGTGTGATGGGCGTCGGGACGGTAGCGGCGTTCTTGTATCCCAAGGCGCAGTTTGCGATTTATGGTATTGTCCCAGTGCCGTTGTGGGCGCTAATTGCGGGGTATGCGGTGTACGATGGGTATTATTTGGATGATTCGAATAGTAAGGTGGGACATGCGGGGCATTTGGGGGGTTTGGCCTTTGGGATCGTGTATTACTTTGCTAGGGTGAGAGGATTGAGGATTTGAGGGGTGGAGAGGAAACTGCGGGGTGGTGTGGATAGACTTCAGATACTTAGGAGGTTGGTCGGGTGCCTATGTGCTGTAAGATAGCAAGAGCTTTGCTTTCCCATGTCGCAAGCTGTCTTTTTGAGTCGACCGCGTTGTCGCCGGCTACGCTGCGCATGAGCAATAACTTCACAAAGCATACGAAGATTCTGACGAGATACAGGTCCGTAGGTGGTTGTCTACCGATACAAATATGCTTGACCAATTACATTTTCAGAAACCTGTATCGGCGTTGAATATCCTCTTTGATGGATTCTATTATGTCACTAACTTCCGCAATCATCTAGGGCTCGAGGAGACGCTTGACGAACATCCGCAAGGGATAGAAAGTTGCACAATTGAACATCTGCTATATTTCGGATAAGATCTCCTAGGGAAGGTTCAAGAAGTCCATGTGGTTTAGGATCTGTCCCCAACTGCCATTTTCTCTCAATAAAACATCTTGTCAGTACCATCGTCTTCGCCGCGAAGCCCAGAATATCAGATACACATGCGTTCCTCTATGTGGCCATCTCCATCCTACAATGCACACCCCATACCAGAGGCCGAATGGACTTATATACCGCCTAGCCACAATGCCATACAAATGCCGCCCTCTCGCCATATGCGCCGAGGCGATGCGACGCCAACAAATATAGCATATCATAAAACGTAACAGAAACCGGGAAACCTCCTCCTTCTACGTATCCCATTGCATGTGTGACAATTCAAGCAGCCTCCAGCGGCGGACTAGGCCGTTGAACAACTTCGGCTTCCTCAGCAGCAGCAGCTGGTTTGGGCGCTTCTATGCCGGGAGGACCAGACAGCATGACCGCTTTGCCGCTGTCGTCCAGAGCCTGCAGTTCAGACGCGAGGCTGCGTCGGGTTGAGGTTTTTTCTGAGATGACTTCTGGCTCACTGTCGGAGTCCCCGTCTGAGCCGGAGAGCGAGATGACCTCGGACTTTTCAGGTGTCTTTCTTCGGAGTGGCGATGAGGCGCTCAAATTGATGAGATTGGCTCGTGGAGAGTTGGTGGGCGTTGTGGACTCTTGGACTGGGTTCCTTTCTTCGTGCTCGGGATTGCTGTTCTTGTCTCCATTGGTCGTTGTGGGCGCTACTTTATCTGCTGCTGCCAACGTCTTTTTGGGTGCTGGGGCTGGTCTCGCAGGAGACACCGCTTGGGAGAATTTCCCTGCCAAACCGGGGTCCTCGGTCGTTGTCTTCTCTTTCCTAGGCTTCAGTGCAGAGCTTTGATCAGACTTTCTGGGCCGGCCTCTCTTCTTGGGTGTTCTCTGCGCGGGGCTTGCGGACTCAATTGACTGGGTCTTCTGAGGCTCTGTCTTAATTTCCGACTCTTTGTGCTCCTCCGGGGCAGTGTCGAAATCATCTCTTACAAACTCCTCGGACAGATGTGATATCTTCCGTGGCTTGCGTGGCCTCTTGCCAGGGTTTGGCGTTGGGCTCTGCGTGACTGGCTCAAATTTCTTGTTCACCTTAGCTTCTTGTCGCTGTTGCTTTGCAGGCACTGAGCTCGTAGACGCTGGGCTTGCAGGCTCCTCAGACGGATCTTCGGCCGTTTGAGTGGACTTTCTTCGCCCGATTGTTCGCGTCGGTTGGCTTGATTTGACCTTGACTGGTGATTTGTAGTCCTGGTCCTCATCATCCGAAGTTTTCTTCCAGGCTCGGCCTTTGCCCTTGTAATGTGCCTTTCTCGGAGGCCGCAGCTCTTCGGGATCAAGCATTAATTCATCGCCATCATAGTTGTCCTCTGATATCGCGACGTCTTCCTGTGCCAGTCTCTCCTCTTGAACTTCAGGAAATGAAACCTGAGCCAGGCCGGTGAGCCTAAGTTTCTGTTTGGGTTTGGGCGGTGAGGGCTGTGTTTCAGGCTCGACTTCTGGCTCTGCTACTAAATCATCAAAAACCTGTGCGTTGTGGAAATATGGCCGTTGTTGGGCGGGCGTGCGGGTGCGCAGTCCTCGCCTCGAGGATGAGCCGGGGCCGTCGGGTGAAGCGGCAGCATTGTTTGGCGTGGTCATGGCATCAACAGGCACGTCACCCATTTCACCATCATCTTTTGATATGACTGCTTGCGACTGAGACAACGTTAGAACAGAAACTCAGTCGGATGAGACATTCCGTACAAGTGATTTCTTTTTTGGTTTCCTTCCAGGCTTTCCTTTAGGTGTCTCGGAAGTCGCCGCTGCGACCGGAGCAGGTTGGTCTGGATATCGGTCAGCTTGTCTTGATTGTGCAAACGATAATAGAAGCTGATGATGGTGCAACGGGTGATGATAGGTGGTCGTGTGCGATTGAGAAAAGTGACGGTGTGGGGTGGGGCACAAGCAATCTCAAAGTGCAACATACCACAAGTACCGGGCACACTAGGCTCGTTGGCAGTCGATGCACTGGCGATAGTTCTATTCATTATCATGGGATCCTCATCCTCATCTTCGGGCGAGATGATTTCTGCGGACTGGTGACATGTGTTAGTGCTGTGGTCGCAAATCCATGTCGGCGCAACCTACCAAATACTGCTTCTTCTTCCGCCCACCCGACTTCCGTCGCCCGTTAGTAGGACTGCCTGGTACATTCGCTACAGAAGACGGAGCTTCGATAGCGGGACTGGGTTCCTCGACGTCACTGACGTCTGACACGACAATGTCTTCAGACTATTGAAAGTTAGCTGAGCCCAAACAATCACAGACAGGAACCATTACAAGATAAGCCTTTTTGGGTTTCCTCTTGCGCTTCGCGGCAGCTGCCGCATCCTCTGATTTTGAACGCGCGACAGATGGTGAGGATTTACCGGGACCGCGTTTACTCTGACCGTTCTTTATTACCAACTTCTTCGGCTGTTCCTTTGGTGGAGCACGCGCAGTGAACGCAGGTGCCTCCGCGTCAGATTCTTCGTCCTATTGTCATCAGACATTTCTTATCCAAGGAAATCGCGACGATAAGTCTTACGCTCGATGAGTCTTCTTCCCACACATCCAGGGTCGTATACCACAAAAACGGGCCAAGTACGTGCTCTGATTGTGACCACTCTTCGTAGCTCAACGCATTAGGTGCTGCATCACGCTTGTATATAGCGTACTCAGCATTTCCGTAGACAGTCAGCCATGCATCTAGGGTCTGAAAACGAGGGCGTGAGCCGTCGTAGGTGGCGCGCTTGACAGGTGCCTGTGTTGCCGGCGCCATTGTGTTGCGTTGAAAGTCGTGATGCAAAGAGAATAGAACGTGGATTGACCAAATGCAATGACAGGCAAATTGCAGCCGATAGATAAGGGCGAAATTATTTTGAGGAATGGCAACACTTCGTTGTTGCAGGCTGGCCGCTGCGCGTCCTCAAGTGTGGCGCGCACAGTTGATGGTGGAAGTAAAAGGAAGTGTGAGGTGAAGTGACAGAAGGTCCAAATCGAGAAGAGATGAACCGTGGTCTCGTCGCACGGTTAGCTAAGACCCAAAAATGCCGACAAGAACAAAAGGAACCGACACGCGACAGATACTAAGCCCACACGATGGCGCGGGATGGAAACAGCAAACGCTATTAAGTGATTGGAGGTGTAAGAGGAATGGAAGATCGGGCGCAAAGAATCCGGGCGCTAGACATCACTGATAATTTCAGCTCGGCTATCAGAGTCAGGGCATATCAAGAACGTGGCCACGCAGCATTGAGCAAGTCTGATCAAGACTCTTGAGTACCTATCGTAGCGGATAAATCGTAGCTGAAGTGATGAACAATTTAGCTCTCCAGGACGTCATAGGCCACTTGTTGGTCGCTTTTGCAATGTCGTTTTGCGTGCCTGCACCATAAAGATGAGCCACGAAACCAATTTGCCGCTACATGAACACGAGTAGCTTGAACTAAATTACGAAGCGGAGTCTTCAGAACGATATCGATGCTTCGTCCTATGCTTGACATGCTGAACTCAATATCTTCTTTCACTAATTTGCACTGAAATTACACAAGGGAAGACGAGTACTTGCATCAAATCTGTGATCAAGTCGATATTGACAAAACTATACCTAGTCCGACGGCTCCACCTCTGTGGTCTTGACGATTTATATACAGAATTACGAAGCCAATCTTGCATGCTAACTCCCCTTTGCCGCGCCCAGACGGATCGTACCGCAAAATGCCCCAGGGACGAAAGGGTATACAACCTCAGACGATTCCGACCAACCCAGACAGAAACCGGTCCAAGTCTCCAAAGCGAGCCTGACCTAAAAAACGCCGAAATACAGATGCTCGTCGAGCCCGTTTGTCTGACAGATCCATTTGGTCCATCGGGTATCAGACAGTATAAGAGGAGGTTGTAGGGATATTAAAATCAGGCATCCGAGGGAGTGGTAGAACCGAAAGCCCGCGGGCAGTTCCTCTTACGACAAGTTTAACAATGAAATAATCGAACAGTAAATGCGACGCCCTATGCACTAGTCTAGTGCTCTATACTCGAATCGAAATGAGAAGTGCACTGCGCGATGGCAACGGCAGTGGATGCGGTGTAAACTTAAGCCGCGAGGATGCTTTCGGGGCTTATCATCCCCACAGCACTGCCATCATCTTTCTCGGGCTCGGCGACGTTCTGGTTCTCTTTTTGGGGCATCTCAAGCTTGAGTTTGCCCACAGGCTTCCCGAGTCCTTTCATGAAGCTGCCGTTTGCGGAAGAACCGTGATCGTTACCGCCAGTTTCGTCTTTTTCTTCATCCAACTTTCGCTTTTTCCGTGCCATCTGTTGTTGTTCTCTCAATGGACGCTTACGAGGACTAGAGATCTTTCCGGTTGGGGGAAGGCGAGGCTTGGGGAAGCGCTGCTTAGGTGGCAAGTCCTCGTCCTCGACAAGTGACTGATTGTCGTTCTGGCGTAACTTATTGAGAAACCAGGAACGCATGAGGCCAATCTCGTTGGTGACGTTTTGTACGCTGACAGGTTCGAACTTGGCGGGCTCTTCCATGAGAGTACCAGTGGTGGCAACATTGCTGGAGAGATGTTAGCTATCTTGCTGATAAGTGTGAGTGTGCAGGCATACTTGGTGTTCTGGGACTGGTATGCCTTGTGCATCCTATTCTGCAACAAGTGTAATGGGACGCTGAACGCCACTCCAAATTCTTTGTCCAAGCCAAGCTCCTTGAAGCCGAAGAAGTCTTCACCAATGTCTTCTGCGAAGTCTCCACCAACGAATTGTTCGCTACCATCGTTGAAAGCACCAGACCCATCAGCTCCAGCGTTGTCGAGAGCGGGCCGGAGAAGCTCAGCGTAGTAAGAGCGCATTCGATCATGCATGCCAGAAAGCTTGGACCCAAGTCGTTCAACATCCTCCTTAACATATGTCTCCAAGCTCTCCAAATCAACACCGTTCACTTGCAAGGAGTGCAGAATTGCTTCCTCTTGAGTAAACCGGGGGACCCATGTTGTGGGTGTACCGGTCGCATCAGGTACTGTTACATCGGACTTCATCTTTGGCATTTCTCGATAGAGTCCAAGGCTTGCAACAAGCTTCTGGAAGAAGTCCCCGGCTATGTCAGTGATCGCATCCAAAGCCGACGGCTGAAATTCTTCAAACCCAGCATGGTAGAAGATTTTGCCAACACTTCGTTGCAAGGCTGCGCGACAAACGTATGGTGCCATGACTGGCCCATCCTCCGACACAACCACAGGTTCGATATCAGCCTCGATGAAAGGCTGAGGATCGTACTTCTGGAACTGGTTCTGGTACATCTACGGCGGTCAGCAGATTGTCTAGCAATGTAGGAGATCCTCGTACCTGAGATTGTAGCTGCATTTGTTTGACGATCCCGATTTTGGCACAAATCTTTCTCGTCTCCTGCATCTGTCGCAAATTGGATTCCATCTTCTTAACCAAAGCGCTGTCCGGTGCAGTGAACTGTCCGCTGGGAACAAGGCGCATGTATTCTTCATGTTGTTGGATGACGTGTCCCTGAGAGTCTTCGATCCATTGCAGGCGTCTGTCCAGGTCTGGGATTGTACAAACAGGATCGTAGTAATCTGGAACCTGACGTTCCTCCTCTCCTGCGATGCCCTCGGCCAGACTTTGGCTAGTGGTAGTTTGCAGGCCATCTTTGACGTCCGCTAATGAAGCCGATGCACCTGAGGTACCCTCCTCGATAGCCTGTTTACGATGGCGTGCCCATCTTCTCATGCCCGCTTTGCTACGCAATATTGCAGGCTCATCTGGCTGCAGCTGATCATCCCGAAACAGTCGGTGCCGTTCGGCTGCAATAGTGGCTCTGTCCTTCTTGGTGACCTGCTTCCAAGTTTTGTACTCAAGATCATCCAGGTCAGCATCCTCTTCCGTGAAGCCGCTGACCGAAGCACCCGTCCCATCGGGCTCAGAGACATCTGCCTGGCTGCCGTGAGCACCGCTGCGGAGCAAACCGTTGGGTCCGATGGGGGTCAAGGTTCCAGGTGGTGGGGTCGAGAAACCATTCACACTTCCCTCCATCTCTGAGTCTGCGCGCAGGAACTCGTTCTTCAAATTGGACACGGTGTGGTTCAAGGTAGGTACTGCTGGTTTACTTTCCTGGTCCGGTGTGCCCTCCAGACCAGCTGGAGGTGCTTTTCTTGCTGCATTGCCACCTTTCCCGCCCTTGCTCGGTGCTTTGCGTCCACGAGATGCCATAATCGGCTCCTCGTCCTCGCTATCATCAGCACCATCTGCGTCGGCGTCTCCGTTGCGCATCCTGCGCTCCTCAGCCTCGACCTCTGCGCGATCGCGGACTGTTATGTCGGGAATCAGTGGCACAAGCTTTTCAGTCTCTTTCCGCATGTAGAGAGCTTTCTTGCGGAGAGGATGGTCCGAAGCGGAGTTGTACTTCAAGCAGTTCGCCCAGATAAGCATGAGGTCGTCTACAAACTCCTTCTTTGACTTATAAGCCAGCTGCTTGAGCTTCTTCATCATGGTCCCGATGTCCATCGGTTGTTTGATCACATTGTAGTAGTCGGGCGCTTCTCTCTTGTTCACGCGCTGCAGGAAAGGGTTGGCGTGTTCGCCCGCTTTGAGCTCCATAATGACCTTTTCCATACTCTCATACAGCTCTTCCTGTCCAACACGGTCTTCATTGGCCCACTTGCTGCGATTCTTGCGAACTTCGCTAATCAAGCTCCGTAACTGGGTGTCGCTCGCTTTGACTTTGTCTCTTTCTGCGTCTATACGCGCAATGAGATGCTTCAAGGTGAGACTGGATGCTCCCAAGTTGGTTGTGCTCAGTGTTCCCTGTTGTGGAACGGTGCTTGCGCCTGGTGCGGGCGTGGCTGCAGACTGGCCTGACATCTCCGTCTCAACTTGCCGGTCAAGCTCATCGAGTTTCTGTTGTTCCAGCATGGCATCCCTGTCGCTCTCGAGTGTGTAAAACATGGTGTGAAAGCTGCGCTTGGCCGCTTCCTCATCGGCCTCCTTGTCTTGCTGCAGCTTCTTGCGCACATCATCGGCTGATTTGGGTTGCTCGGCGCTCGGAGTGCCGATGCACTCGATGCCCAGTTTGCTCGACAGCGAGGATATCCGAAGGCTTGGCGCGTCGATAGGAGGGCGACCGATGCCGTTCGGGGCGCTCTTTGCAAGGAGCGGCGAGGTGCGGGTGTCATCTTCTTCGTCGGCGTCATCATCGTCACCGTAGTCATCTTCGTCAATTGTCCGGGCGGCTTTCTTGGGTGTCGCGGTCGGGCGCGCATCATGTGCTGCGGCCACATCCATCGCAGGCTGGTCAGCTGTTTGCGCGGCCTCTCCATCATCTCCATCATGTAGATGATCGCCCCCCAGTAGAGCGGTGATGCGCGCCTCGGTGCGCAGATAGTTCTCCCGCCAGCGCGCGACACGGGGGTCATCCTCGGCCGCAGTCTCCAGCCCCTCCGCCAGATTGTTATTGTGGGAACCGTTGGACATGGCCTCATCGCTCATCGAGGCATTGGGCGTACGCAGGCGGAGCGCGTTTGGTAGGGGGCGTGCATAGTTCTGGCGGTCGCGCGAGGAAAGTAGAGACATGAGGCCGGGTTGGCTGTGGGGAGGCTTGGCACGAGCAATCAGGATGGCCGCGACCTCCGCTCTGCGACCTCGTACAGATGTCGCGGCGAGGTAAAAGCAAGCATGGAAGAAGCTCGGCGATGTGTGAGATGGGTACCGATGGCTTTATGATGGAAAATGACGGTGGGCGTTGGCCTGAAGGGCCGCGGTGTCTGTCGTCGTTGTTGCGGAGCAGGTGCGGGTGGAGGAGGTGCTCCTGCTTCGTTCGAATTAGGTTACGGCCTACTCCCAAATGGGCGGCGGGCGCCCCAAGCCTAGCGCCATTCTCGCTACCCCAATATCAACAGCTTCACCGCGCCTTACATATTGTCTTTCGCTCTGTTCTAAAGGCTCATGTTCCGCATACGTATTTCCCCAATCGTTTCACTAACAATCCGCTTATACCAAATTGACCCGACCTTGTCTCCATGTTGGGCTCTTGCGACGCGATCAAGGACACCTGCCATAGCCTTAAAAACATACCATAAGAGGTTCGTTTTAGCATACAAAGTGCAGGCTGAAGGGACAGGATAGTGCGCTTCTCTCACAGGCATTTCTTTAGCATTATACTCAACGCATTATATTAATCTCGTCTGACGGTCCTTCTAAGATTCTAATGTACCTGGCGTTATCGAGGTGACTACTGTACCTAAGACTAACGCACAGAACGATTGGTATAAGCTGGCTGTTATCTGCAATACTTCTCTTTTATACTAAGGATCGAACCCTGAGGCAAAGGGCTACAAATATCACATATGCCCCGTGTCAGGGTTGTTTTAGTTGTACATTGTGAGGCACTTTAGAGATTTTGGTAGCATTTAAGCAGACTTGACCAACTTGAACTCAAATCTACGTCCTATTCTTTCACTGACTTTACGACACTAGGCAATCGACCACCTAGATGTATACAGATGATTTACCATCAGATACAAAGCGTGCTTAAGCTTCAACAGTCTTGAACACATACCTGCCGCTGAGTAGCGGCAAGTGCACCTACCGCTCCATGGCGCACAGTGTTCGACACAAAAGATAGGAACACAGGCGCGCACGTCATCCTATATCAACTAAGTCTATTATTGTATAATAAGTTAGCATAGAGGTTTACAACAAGGTTGCCTTATGCATTCCTATCTTGTACTGTCGGCCACCATGGTGCGATTACAGAATCATTGCCACGTGCGCGAATCTATCTCTTTCTTCTGTCATGACACACAAAGCTGCCCTCAGACGCCCGCGCGCTGGACGGAGATGCCTGAAACAAGTGGCTTGTCTTTTGTTTGCTTGCAGGAGCATCCCACGCCGCTTCCACATACCGTGGGAACTCTGGCGCGTATAAAAATTACCCTCAGACACCTCCAAGACGAGACTAGTCGGAATTTGAATATATTTCATGATCGACGTCCCAATGTTCGCTTCGGTATCTCCACTACGTTGCGCCTGCTCGCGTGCATACGTCGTCCACCAAAACAGGTATAGCGCGCCTACCAACACAGACCTGGCTCCACGTCCACCACATACGCTGGCCGATCGCAGCCGAGTCACCTCCTACACGCGCCGCTATACTATGCTACTGTCCTTCCGGTAGCCTAAATCGTTATCCAGACATGATGCGGATTCGAAAGCCGTTTGCAGGTATGTGCATGCCGTCATAGCTGGCGGAGCTGCGCCGTCTGCTCCGCCTGATGGGATAGCTGTTTTCCCAATCTGTACGCTCCAGGGCAGGTTGACTTGACCGGGAGAGCTCTACACGCCCTACTCCGCAGCACCAGTTCCCCGGAGCCATCCATCTGCGCAGTCGCAGCGGAGGCGCCAATCACAGTCCACGGCGATGCAGCACAGCTGACACACCACCAGGTGCCTTCGCAGCCCTCATCTTCATATCCGCCGCGGGCGGCTTCGCCCCGCCAGAATACAACGTCACACCCCGGATCAAGCAATCCGACAAAGCGCTGCACTTCGTTGCCTTCTTCCTGCTGACGCTAACGTTCTATTGGATCCTCGAGACCTCCCGCCGGAAAGTGATACACTTCACGCTCCTCATCGTCACGCTTGGGCTGGGAGTTGCGAGCGAGGTGGTGCAGGGAGTGTTGCCTGTGAGCACATATTGTCGGCGGGTTGGGCTGGGCTGACAGTCGCAGATTGGCCGCGAATTCGATTACTTCGATATCGTTGCAAATGTACTGGGCTCGCTGACCGCGCTTGGGTTGTGCAATTGGTACCATAAGCGCATGCTGGAGCGGAAGCGGGCTGCGCGGGGCTATGGTGCGGTCGCAGGCGATGATCACGATGTGGACATCGAACTTGGGGAGTCCCGCATCGAGAATGGGCAAGAGTCTGGCGTTGTCAGGCCGAACGTGGATCGGGAATTGGACAATTGGGATGAGAATGCGGAGGATTGGGAGACTACCGAGCCGGGAGATGCGATAAGTGGACAGGCTGAGGGAGGCGATCTGGGTGAATCCAAGCGGGCTGACTGAACTGTGCCCCTGTGAAGCTAACGGTACGATCGTTACGATGACATGGCGGGCACGCCATCTAGGATACCATGACGCAGGATTGTTAGACGAATGCATTGGACAATCATACTATGGACCATTGTAGGCAATGCTGAAATTCCATCACGATGCGCATTCGTCGTATCACCACAACCACCACACACGTCACAACAGGACCGGGAAGAGGCTGACGCAGATCGAGTCGGATATTCGTTTTACAAGCTCGTAACTAGCCCTCGGCGCTCTCGCGACCTGTTGCAGCAAGCTCTTGCTGTAATCATCATATTGGCCTGCCTAACCTCCATTGAATCATGCATGATATCCAGTATGACACCCATTGAACCGTACCATGCGCCATGAGTTCGTCAACACACCCCGATCGCTCTTGGATCGTTTATGCGGTGGTCTGCTTGGGGGCAGCCTGGTTGGGGTTCACCTTCTTTCCGTCCTTGTTGTACCTAACGCGCGGCGGGGGAGCACGGTTGCGGCGACCCTCCCTTGAGCGGACACTATGATGGGTTAGAACTTTCCGGCCTTCCTGGGTCCTCTTCTCAATCGTGACATACCGGACAATCTTGCCGTGGATAGCGCAGGAAACGCAGTACTGGAGCTTCAAGTACATCTTGGGGACAGTGTACTCGGGGAAGACGGAGGCATCGGAGATATCACCTGCGCGGTCAGGTCAGCCCATTGTTCCTTTCCCCAATTTCGTTTTGTGGTGTGCGAGGCGGTGGCGGTGACGTACGGATGGCGGCAGACTCGACCATGTTGCGGATGGTGAACCTCTTGATTGCCTTGTCCTTGGGGGTGCATCGGGAGCAGTTGGAGCAACGGATGGGCTTGACGTGGCCACGGCCCTTCTTGTTGCGACCGCTGGGAGCTGTTAGTCGTGCGTGGCTGCGGGAGCGTAGATTTCCATGTGTGCGTACTTGGATGCTCGCTTCTTGACCATGATGGGCTGATTCTGCGATGGGTTAACAGATATATTTTTCGAGGCCGTGGACAAGAGTGCGCACCAAAGATGTATGATCTAGAGTCAGCGGGGGTGAGTTGTCGAGGTGGTTGTCGTTAGATGCGCGGCGTAGACCAAGCAGTCCAAATCACTGTGTGGACTAGCTTAGCGAGGGCCGTCAAAATGGGCTTAGCTCTCATCGTGGTCCGAAGTTCCTCCGCATCTGATAAGATTGCTTGGCACTTCGACATATTGTGCCTCTCAGAAGCCCCGGTCAAACTGTATCCAGAGGTGCACATTGATCGGACACATGTTTTCACCATCAATCAGAGTTACTCAGTCACAAATTAACGCCTGTCAATTTCCGGCTGCTGCGATTGGCCTGCGCTTGGTGTTATCGCGGCTGTCCTTGTGACCCCAGCGACGGCTCCGGGGGCGCTTGGCCCAACTCAGCGTGGTTTGTTGTTTATTGGCCGCTCAGGTGTTGCTAGGGTCTCGCGCTCTTCAGTCCCTGCCATCCAACCCCCATAAGATACACTCTTACTGGGCCCACGCTTCTCTCTTTCCATACACTGACCGATAGCGAGAACCCCATCCACTCGTAATCATGTCTCACACCGGCACCATGAGGGGCACCCCTAAGAACCGTCCGAAGAGTCAGAACATTGCGCACTTCGCAGAAAGTCCAACGCCCTCCAGCATCCCTCGGCCAGCCCTTGAGCACCACATTTCCCAGAGCGATGCAGGCACTTCGACCCTTAGTGCCAGTCGGGCGAAGCAGACAAAGAGAGACGAGGTGCGCGCTGTGGACACCTCCTGGACAGGAGTCGGCCGTATGCTAACAATGGCAGGCTATTCGCCGCAAGATCGACGCGGACCTTAGCAAGAAGAAGAACCTTGGAGGCCGTGTACGCACGTCCAAGAAAGCTCCTCCGGGCACTGTTCTCGCTCTCAAACCAAGTCAGGCCCTGCAAATTAAGCCCAACACAACCGTCGCCGAAGCCGCCCAGTTGATGGCAGCGAAAAGAGAGGATTGCGTCCTTGTCACTGACGATGATGACCGTATTGCTGGAATCTTCACCGCGAAAGACTTGGCCTTCCGCGTCGTTGGCCAAGGTATCAAGGCTTCGAGCATCACCATCGAAGAGATCATGACCAAGAACCCGCTCTGCGCGAAGACGGATACCAGTGCTACGGATGCTTTGGATCTCATGGTTCGGAAAGGCTTCCGCCATCTGCCTGTCATGGATGAAAACCATGACATTTCTGGTATTCTGGACATCACCAAGTGTTTCTACGATGCAATGGAGAAGCTCGAGCGTGCCTACAGTTCTTCGCGAAAATTGTACGATGCTCTGGAGGGTGTACAGGCGGAGATGGGCTCCAGTCAGCCGCAGCAGATCATTCAGTATGTCGAAGCTATCAGACAGAAAATGTCTGGTCCTACGCTCGAGTCAGTCCTCAATGGGCTGCCACCAACAACTGTTTCGGTACGAACGTCAGTCAAGGAGGCTGCTACGCTCATGAAGGAAAACCATACGACTGCCGTTTTGGTGCAGGACCAAGGTCAAATCACTGGTATCTTTACTAGTAAAGATGTTGTTCTGCGCGTCATCGCCGCCGGGCTTGACCCTGCGACCTGCAGTGTTGTGCGTGTCATGACGCCGCACCCCGACTTTGCGCCAATGGATATGAGCATCCAGGCTGCGCTCCGAAAGATGCACGATGGTCACTATTTGAACTTGCCGGTTATGAGCGACGCAGGAGAGATTGTTGGCATGGTCGATGTATTGAAGTTGACCTATGCTACTCTAGACCAAGTAAGTGCGGCTTCGACCCTGACGAAGATTATCTAACATGTTCAGATCAACAACATCAGCACCCAAGATGGTGAAGGTCCGGCCTGGAACAAGTTCTGGTTGTCGCTCGACAATGAGACAGAATCGATGATGTCGGGCGAGGGGCGCAGCGCAATGGCGCCTGGCACGCCCGACCATCGCTCAATGATGTCTCATGATATGCACCGACCCCACCTTGCGGATCGTGGAGATAGTGTGCTTCCGAACGACTCTGCCTCGCACGTGGGGAATTCCCCAGATGCTTCTGCCTTAGGTGGCGTACCGCACACTCCCCTTGAAGATACCCCTTTCGCATTCAAGTTCAAGGCCCCGAGCGGCCGCGTCCACCGCCTGCAGGTAATTGCATCTGCTGGGATCGAGGAACTCATTGCCCATGTAGCCGCAAAACTTGGATCGGAAGACATCGAAGCTCTCGGCGGCGTTCCCACCTTTGAGAACGGAAAAATATCCAAGTCTGGGTTCGCGCTCAGCTACCTTGACAATGAGGGTGATACTGTGTCCATCACCACTAACGAAGACCTGGTCGAGGCAATCAGTCTCTCTCGTTTGGCACATCGAGAGAAGGTTGATCTTTTCGTTCACGATCCGAAGGACCCGCCTCTACCTGCTACTGTTGAGCCTCAGCCCGCTCTGCCCAAGCCAGTCACTCCTCCTGAGTCCGTCCTGCGGGAACGCAAGCAATTTTTTGAGGAAGACGATGAAGAGCAACCACGGCAGGTTCGACGTCAACCCACGGCTGGCAAGCAGGAAACTCCAGAGCTCATCGCTGGTGTTCCCAATGAGTTCCTACTTCCAGGTGCTATCGCTGGCCTGGCTGTCGTAATCATCGCTGTATTCGCGCTCGGCAGGGCGTCCGGGTCGAATCGATAGGAGGTTTGCAAGAGGTTAATGTCTGCTCTATAGATGCGTATGTATGAGCGCGTCGGTTGTTGCTTTAGTTTTTGTGTTTGATATCCCTGATGCATGGTTCTGTAGAGAAGTTCTGTACTCGAGGAAGGGGTAGTTTGTAAAGGTCCATTGGAATGTAATTATTTTAGCTTCTGATCAGCACGAAACAGTCTGCAACATCGAATCATGATTGTGAGAATCCCTAGTTGTTGTGAAATCGTCTCCAGCGTTTCGACAGCGTCATCCTGGACTGTCAAGTATCGAAACATATCCGAACCTAGGCGTATCAACAGGGCCAAGATCGCAACGGCCGTATATATCTCGAAACAATGCTCGTTACTCAATGTGCATAATGGTAGATATTCCAGAGTCACATAAATTTTTATTAGTGTTATCACTCCAAGCTCGCCAAGCCGCACCAACAACAACAACAACCACCTCCTCACACCACCGCCCTAGCATGCTTCCCCAAGCGACCGCTCGCTGGCGCTGTACACGCGACGGACCTCCGATATGCTCTCATGCTCTTTTGCACGCCGCACGCCACCGTCACGACCCTGCCAAGGCCGACCGGGGAACTTCTCTAGAAGACTTTTACGTGAAATGTGGATCGCGGAACGTCACGGTTCCCTCTCGTCACCACACTATTACTCACTCCGACCCACTCGCCTCATTTCAGCACCTCCACACTGACCTTTCAGCAACATTGGCAAGGGCGTTGAGATGGCTATCGTCGGTATACGGGTAGGCGGAGCCTCAGAATGGCAGTCTGGCTTCGTGCCAATCCCCCGCACCATGCACTCCGCATTGGCGAGTCCCTAGATTCTGTTCCAGGAGCAGGCCGAGGCCACCACGCTTCGGACAAGAGGTGGACCGGGCCTTTCGTTGCGAGCGGCGAGATCTTCAAGGATGAATAAGAAACTAGCGGAGGGTGCACGGTTGAGGCAAACCCTGAAGAGCTTGAGGCCGATATAGGAGAGTCAGTCATATCATGCATGATATATAGACATCCAGCTCGTGTCTGCTAAAAGTCTCCTTCTTGACCTTTTATATACTCTCACGACACCTTTTGCGAACGCTACCATGGGCGTCCTCAGTGCCCTCCATCGCAAGAAGGACGGACGAGAAACACCAACCGAGACGCCACCGTATTGTCCATCTGAGGATGCTCTGAGCGGCGACAAAGATGAGGAGTTTGGCCAGCAGCAGCCTATTCGGACGGGATGGACGGGGGACGCTCACGCTGGGGCGAACGAATATCCGTCGCAAGAGAACTATAGAACGCTGGGAAGATGGCGGGCATGCGTGATTCTGATCACTATTGAGGTTGGAATTGGAGTGCTCAGTCTGCCATCTGCGCTGAAAACGCTCGGTCTTATTCCTGGTATCATCGCCATCTTTGGATTTGGAGGTTTGACGACGTACTGCGGATATATCATGGTCCAGTTTTACCGAAGATATCCTATGGTCACGAACCTGGTCGATTGCGCGCTGTACATTGGAGGAAAGAAATTCGAGTACTTCCTCGGTGTTGCATTCATCTTCAACTTGGTCCTCATCTGCGCATCCGCGAACATCACGATGTCGATCGCTCTGAACACGCTATCTGGACATGCGCTCTGCACGGTTGCCTTCATGGCGTTTCCACATATTGGTAAATTCAACACTGTTCACGCGTCTGACCAAATACTAACTCTCAACAGCATGCTGGCTGCTCTGTCTCCCGCGCAAGCTCACCTTCGCCGCCGCTATGTCTTGGATCTGTACCATCTCCATCGTCGCCGCCGTCCTCATCGTCATGATCGCGCTCGGCGTGGCCGGCCCCAAATCCCCGCCCGGCTTCGACGTCCACATTACGCTCGTCGGCAAACCCACCTTCGTCGAGACGGTCAACGCGCTTCTCAACATCGCCTTCGCCTTCGCGGGCAACCAGTCCTTCATGAGTGTCATGGCGGAGATGCGCGCCCCGGAGAAGGAATTCCCCCCCGCGCTCTTCATGCAGAAGTCCTTCGAGATCGTCGTCTATGTCGTCGTGGCGTGCGTTATATACGGGCTCGCAGGGGATGCTGTGACTTCGCCTGCGCTGGGCTCCGCGCCCATCATCCCTGCGAAGATCGCATACGGCATTCTCATCCCGTCCGTTCTCGGCACCGGTCTCCTCATCGGTATAACCGCCATAAAATACATGTACATCGCCGTCATGCGTCAATTCAAGCCCGACCAAGTCAACGTGCATAACGCCTTCACATGGTCCCTCTGGGTTGGAATCGGCACGTTGTTCTGGGTGGTAACCTTCGTGGTCTCCAACGCGATCCCCATTTTCAGCAGCATTTTGAACATCAGCTCGGCCATTTTCATCTCGTGGTTTACGTTTGGGCTCACGAGCCTGTTCTGGCTGCATTTAAACTGGAAAGTGCAGTTCTCTACGCCCAGGAAGAAGGCCCTGGCGTGTGTGAACTATGCGATTCTGGGGCTGACGCTGTTTCTGAATGTGGGCGGATTGTATACGAGTTTGAAGGCGCTGATTGATATATTCAATGACCCTGATAGCACGCTGAATGGGCCGTTTACGTGTGCGGATAATAGCATTTTCTAGTTGGTTTATAGGGCGAACTGAATTGAGAGCAGGCTGTTTGGCTTGCTAGCACCACAAAAGCTGTTCTTCAGACTCCTCGCTACCATCTGCGTGAATCTTGCTTTCTGAAATCGGCTGTTGTAACCCAAGCACCATTGCGAAACTCAGATTGTACAGGCCAAGCTCCGGTACGCCCGTTGACGGCGGAACTCCACTACATCCCAAGCGAGCCCTTGCCCTATACAGTTAGAGCAGTTAGAGCAAACGGATGAAGCACTGTCAGCATAACGTTATGTACTCCACCGAGCTCTTTCCTATACCGTCTACATCCGGATATATATGCGGCAGGTAGTGTATAAAGTATAAGGCTTCCCAGAGCTGATTGTGATACATTGGACAACAACATATATCCGGGCTTTCCCTATTCCCCTCCGACGCATCCTGCATGCAAGAGCTCTCATAGGCACCTACGACCACGCCGCATCTCACCTCACTACCTTACCACAACACCAAACTCACACCCAAAAATGGCATCACAACCCCAAATTCACGTCTTCAACAAGGGCGACTATTCCAGCCACCGTCTTGTGACGCTTCCGCCCACAAAACTGGAACCACTCTCTCCTTCGTCCTTACGCTTGAGAACCAAAATCCTAGGCCTCACAACAAACAATCTCACCTACGCAAACATGGGCTTCGCCCTCGGCTGGTGGGACACTTATCCAATCCCGTCCTCCGCTTCCAGCCCATTTAACGACCGCGACACCTACGCCACGGTCGCGGGATGGGGCTATGCCGAAGTCGTCGAATCCAGCTACCCTGGGGTGGAGAAGGGCGCGAGTGTATTTGGATACGTGCACGTCGGGTCCGGCACCTGGGACGTCTCCGTCTCAGACGCCGAGTCTGGGCTCGAAGGGCAAGTACTAGTGACGTCCCCGCACCGCGCGCATCTCTGGACAATATACAATCGCCTGCAGATCCTGCCACCGTTAGCCCAGCTCGAGAAAGAACGAGGCAGGGAGACCTTGGGCTGGGACGCACTCATGCAAGTCCTCTTCGGCACGGGGTACAACCTCAGCACGTACGGCTTCGCGTGGTCGGACGCCCTCCGCATACATCCTTCGGGGGAGGGCGCATGGAATGTGGAGGAGGCGAGGCTGGATGGCGCGGTGTGCGTGGTGTTGAATGGTGGGGGAAAGACGGGGATGGGGTTTGCGTATGCCGCGAGGCATAACCGGCCGAAAGAGCAGCAGCCGACAACAATCATCGGGGTCGGGTCGGAGAAGTCGAAGCCGCTGCTGGAGAAGTGTGGGTTCTATGATGATGTGCTATTGAGTGGGGATGCAGCCAAGGTCGCGCAGCTGGTCAAGCAGACAGCGCCGCGCAAGGTGGTGCTCCTGGATTTCGGCGCGAGGCCGGGCGTCTTCGCAGCATATACGGAGGCGTTGGAGGATGCTGGCGCACCGCTCGCGCGGTTCTTCGTCGGTGGGGATAATCGGCCTGCGAAGCCGCAAGACTTGATGAAGGCGCGCGGCGAGAGGGGCGAGGGCGTCCAGGTCAATGCGAATACGCTGCGGGAGAAGGGCATCGAGGTCGGCAGGCAGAAGTACTTCGAGGATTTTGACAGGGCGTGGGAGGGTTTCGTGCATCAGGGTGCTATCAAGGGGACGAAGTTGGTGTGGGGAGAGGGGATGGAGGGGTGGGAGAGTGGGTGGGAAGCGTTCTGTAACGATAAAGTTGGGGGTAATGAGGGGCTGGTGTATACGCTTTGAGGGCTTTCCTCTGTTGGCCAGATTGTGTGTTGTCCACACCAGAGTACTGAGCCGAATGTGGTCGGTTGGTGGTACGCAGGTTGATCATGATACCTTGCCTAAAAGAAGTGATTGATGCGCGTGAGCATAGAAGTGGCGTGCCAGAACAGTTCCTAAAATGTTTCAATAACACATTGCTAAAGACTAGAGATGAGGGTATATATCTACTACGGAAACAATAGACAGACAAATGTACCTGTCGCCGGTCGAGAAACCTAATACAACATCAAAACTGTAGAAAGAAACCACTTGTATTCCCCCAGGCCCATCTTTAACCAATCAAAACATAAAATGTACAACCCACTCAAGGAGGCAAGAAAGGAATGCCAACGCGAGCAGCCAACGTGCTGGCTTTCAACCTCATGAACCCCCCGCACCATCTCACCCCTACTCCCCGGCCTCAGAGTCCAACCGCACGCCCTCATAGATGTTCTCGTACTCTGCCGGATTCCGCTCGTTACCGAAGAAAGTGGCGGTGGGGCCCGTGATCCAGTGCATAGGATACGACTCCTTGCGGTACTGCTCGAAATCAACGTTCGGACCCGCGCACTTCAAGATGGCCTTATTCAGTATCTGCGGCTCGTGGTCGGCCGGGTAGTACTCCTCTGAACTGACATCGCGGAAGTACCCCCAGAAGTTGAGCTGGACGATACCAGGCATCTTACAGCCGTGCAGGTGCGTCATTGCGCGCAGAACCGCAGTGACGCGCTCCAGCATCGCGGTGTCAGACTCGCTGGGCTGCTTGAACAGCAGCGGTGCCCAGGTGTAGTAATTGTAGAGGGTGTTCGGATCGAAGCCCTCGTACCCCATCTTGAGAAACAGCCGTTTCAGGTTCGGGAACCACTTGCGCACCATCTCCGCATCTTTGAGCCAATGGTACCACATGTGGTTCATATGCCAGTTGCAGGGCGAGGACTCCATCGGATAGAATATGTGAAGGAAGCGAATGTGATCGTAGGGCATACCTGGGTGCTTGGTGATGAAGAAATCACGGTGGCTGCCGCGGTAGATCTGGAAATAGTTCTCTTTATATGCGAGGGATGAAGCCTCGTGGTAGAGGCGACGGCATACGCCGAGCATCGCCCATGCATTGTCGCGGCCCCACTTGTGCTCCTCGCCGTGGTCCATGATGGTGGGATTAAGCTTCATCCCGATCACCTCGTCGCTGAGAACTACCTGGATGTAGATCTTGTTCCGGAGCTCGGGTGGGAGATCGAGAAAGCTACGTCGTCCAGCATGCTGTTTTTGAGGCTCCCTGTTCTGGATGGTAATGGGATCCTAAAGACTGTCAACGAAACCGTCAAAGGTACCACTGATATAAGACTCACGTAATCCTCCATGTACGGAAGCGATTCCAAGCTTCGACCCGGCGCCGTGATGCAGCAGCCCTCGAAGTGGCAACACTTGATGTAGCAGGCGCAGCTCAGCGAGTCTTCGGTAAAGCGGTGAACGAATGTGGCCGCCTGCGTGGCGGGAGGGAGTTGTTGGATGTTGCCGGCCATTGCGACCTTGTGGAGCACTCCGTGGGTTTGAGGTGCGGATGTATCGAAGTTATGTAAGGGCAAGACGGCTTACTGCAGATAGTTAGAGCTGGGACGACTCTGAATATGTACTATACGCACTGGCGGATCGTGATAGCCTGCGAGAGTTGGCAGGAGATTCTGATTCTTGCGTTTCCTAAGGGTGGATGGAAGGATACGGAGAGCATCATTGGGAGCAGGCGGGTGCTTTTATCTCCGACATGCGAGCTACTTGCGGGCTCAATGCACGCTTGGCAGCTTTGAAGGTCATAGCTGCAGTGTTGGTGAAAAGTCGACAACCTCATATGCGACTCGACACGGTTGAGACAATGCGGAGGCCCAAGTGACCATTGAACTGGCGGTTTCACCCACGTGCTGATCTGTCACCGGCCGCTTCCTCATGTTTGCTGGCAGCTTCGGCAGACCATATACTCGACTATCTCTTGCTTTCAACCGCTCTCTTGTTTGTATTCTTCTCCCGCGGCCAAAGTTATCAGCTTCGTGGGTATGGGGTTTTTCTTCCTGGGCTCATCCCCTTCACACAGCATGCTCTCAATTTTGTCTGCTGCAAACTTTCCGATGCGAGTCTGTTTGACGGACAAACCGCGGTTGTTCTTGTCCGCATCGTGTGCGCTAATCCATGTTTGAGCATACAAGCTGCGAGCGAGCTGCATACCTCCAGGAGACCCGGCGGATATATTCCCACCCAGATACCACGGATTCTCGACTCGGTCAAAAGAGTGTATGAGAGCAGTCAAGGGCAGTGCGGCCTCGTGCACCAGATGTGAAGACGCATATGACTGGACGTCTTCATACGGCACGCCGTGTGGGGAATACAGCACTGACAACGTCTTTTCACGGTCATTGTAGGGAGCTGGGACAATCGTTCGCGGCGATGATGCTATGGTGCGGAAAGATCGCGGCGATGCTGGTGGACTAAGAGGAAGCTCAGGAAGGTCCAAATACCGCCCAGGAGTAGCAGACAGGACACTGCAAGGTGGTCGATATGTGATTCCAATGGCATGATGAACGCTAGAGATGTCCCGTCTGGCTGGGATCCATGTAATTGTGACTTCTCCACAAGAGCCTCGCGGCGACATGGGCGGTATGACCAAGCGATAGATGGACTGCTTGTTGCTCTCATCGAATTTCGGTATAGCATGAACTAGCTCTTCCCTAAAGTGTTTCCATGAACGGATTTTCCTTGCGGCTGCTGGAATCGCCAAAATTGTCGATTCGCAGTCTTGTGGAAGCTGCCGTAAGGTCTCCTCATGGCAGTGGTCAGGTTTGTCTTGCGAAATGAGTATCAGGTCCGGCTCTTGCTCTAGCTCTTTCAATGACGAAATGCATGGCTTGTTCCTCTGCTCTGAGATGGAGAAGAAGCTGCCAAGGATCGTGGCTGGTCCGGTCAACCACGGATCGACAAGTATGGTGAAGGAACCCGGGAAGAGCCCTGGAGACGTAAGCAGCGCGACGGGAGGGCTAAAAGTGAGCAGAAAAGCCGTGTCTCCATTCAGCGACTTCACAGTGAGCGACATTGTTGCCGCAGGCAGATTCTGGAGGGGAGACGTACACTCAGGCAGCCGCCGTTGATGATGCGATTACTGGGCATGGAGGATTAGCGGCGGCAGCCTGTGGTGTTGGAGGTAGTTTTACGCGGGACGCTCAGACGCGGCTTCTTGTCTGGGGTGAATGGAAGCGACGATGCGCTTTCACAATAGCTGGACAGCCAACATCCACGAACACGTTCCACCTTCCGCATCATCGCCATGTCAAGTCATTTAGCTACTAACGAAGATACACTGACCACAGCATTCGCTAGAGCTGTTCCTCCGGCATTGCATTGGGTGCTGCTTGGATTGTCTCCGTCAAGGGCTGCATCAGGAGCGACTGGCAATCCTGGCTGCCATTGCCCTGACAAATCACGAGACGTTCGGCGATCGAAACAGGATCGGACGGCTTGCTCGTGCAGCGCCCATATCGCGTCGCTTTTCTGACTGGGGAAGCTGGCGGAGGGAAGGCGGAGGCGCAGGGCGGTGAAACGCAGCTGTCCTCATCAGTCACTCAGCAGCAGCAACCTTCACTGCCCAACAACTGACGGCTAACAACAGCAAAGAAGAAGGATCCGGCGCCGGGAAGGCGGGCTAGGTGCGAAGGCGAGTAATTTGCAGCAGCATGCCGGCGGCAAAGAGGCCGGCCGCGGATTGGCAGGCTGGCGGACGCTCTTGTGGGCAGGGAAAAGAGCTCCCTGGTCAGCCTGTCAGAGCTCACGTATTGCTGCCAGCTTGCTCAGGGACCTGGTGGCGACACTGCTGTCATGGCGGGAGCTCAGCTGCAGGGCGTGAGAGCGCACACAGCGGCGCAGAGCACAGCTGGGGCATCGCCCTCGCTGCCCGTGCCTGGAGCAGCAGCGCGCAGGGAGAGCTAGCTGACGGTGCTGCGGACTGGCCGTCGCCTGCTGGGTCGCAATTGATGTGCGGCGCTCGAGGTTCTCGCGGCTGCTCGCTCGCCTAGAGGGGACTCGGGCGGACGAGCTGGGCCCCTCCTCAAGCCCCTCATTATCCGCCGCAAACTGCTCCCAGGCCAAAGCTTGCTTTGTCCGCCAGCCCGCCCTCACCTGCGACCAACACAGCTGCCTGTGCAGAGCTCGCCCACAGCTCAGGCCGCCGCCGCCAGAGCTCCCTGAAGCTGCCGCAAGCTCCCTGCCCGCCATTGACAGCTGCCAGTCGCCCCGCCGCTGCCCTCCCACGGCGCTCGGCTCTGCCCGAGGGTAGATGCTGGCCGCGATGCCCCCACGAGCCTCTCTCACGGGGTCCTTCTCCGTGTCGGACGAGAACAATGTCGTCGTCTGCCCGCTGCGCAACCACGACGGCTCAGCCTGTCGCAAGCGCTGCACTGGCGTGAGTGCCCTCGCCCACGTCATGCCCCTCGCCCTCGCCCGCACTGAGCTCGCAAAATCCGTAGCTGACAGCATGGGCGCAGGAAAAACGATACCGCTCCATGCAAGAGCACATCCGCCGCGCGCACCCGGAGCACTACATCTCGAAGCTCCCCGCTACCGAGGAGAGCTTCACGCTGATGGTCAGCACCCCGCCACAACCGATACAGCAGCAGCAGCTCCCTCCCACCACAACTGGCCCAGGTTGGTGCCCACGTCTCTCCAGCTCAGCGGGGACTGACACAATGGCAAGGCTACGACGTTGGCGAGCACAATGCCTTCTTCCACGAGCAGTACGGCTCCATGACGCCTCGTACGTCTGACGAGCTGCGTCGCCCGTCCCTGCTACCCGCTGCCACGGCGGCTGCCGCGCTGGCTTCGCTGCACAACCACCGTCCAGACTACGATTGGGACTCTGACCAGGTGAGCCACTCTCCAAGACGTCCCCACCTCCTCCTCCCGACTGACGTTGTCGTCATAGGATGCCATGTCAGACCCCGACTCGAAGAGCTACCGACCGCGCGCTCGCTTTGCGCCCACCACCTTGGAACACCCATACAATGCTGCTGAAGAGCCATACTATACCGCTACCTCGTTGCAGCGTGAATTGCTACCTTCTTCGCTGGCTCGATCGCCGCCCGGCCGCTCTTCGACCTTGCCGCCGGCACCTCGCTCCATAAAACCCAACAGACCCCGCAAGTCTTCGGTGGGACAGAATGCTCGCAAGCCCAAGCACGAGCGACATAGGTCCAAGGATCATGCGCGAAGGATGAGTTATGACCGTAAAGCATTCTCAGCAGAACCACAAGCTGCAGCTGCCATTCTCGGCAAACGATGGGAGGACCTCATCGATGCCGCAGCTTCAGCGACTGAAGAGGACAGCAGAGACCTCACTCCGGTAAACAGCATGTTATCTGCATATGTGTTTTGCGCTAAGACGCTTAGGTACCCGGATCTCCCCACCAGTCTCCGCATATGCTTGGTCGGACATCACTGCCGCCTTTCGTTGCTGCTCAATTCAATTCGTATGCAGCGTCGCCGCTACAGCAAGCCCTGACGCCACCACCACCGGAGATGTCAGAGCTGCAGCCATTCCCTTCCGTCGAATCGTCCATCGAATCGACAGCATCAGCCGCTAACTTTCACATTCCCTCACAAGGCCTTTCGGACTCTTCCCCGACGTACTTGCATCCCGTCCAGATCTACTGCGCAGCATGTCGGAAATTATCGATTCTCAAGGAGAGCTATGCTTGCTCCGAATGCATATGCGGTCTCTGCCAAGACTGCGTTGATGTGCTCGTCAGCGAGCATTCACGGGGTCGAACCGCACGGTGTCCACGTTGCGGCGCCGTCGGTGGCAAGTTCAAGCCATTCCAACTCGACATAAGATGAACCATGATTACACGTACACACGACACCATTCCTTCTTTACGAACACTAACGACATTCTCTAACATTTTTCTGGCTTCCACATCGTTGGTAGAGGTTTCAACTGCAGGACAGCGGCGTTCGTGGGCGGTTTTCTGCATAGATCACATCATGTTTTTTGGGTCTGGCGTTAGTGAGCTTCAAAACTATGCATGGGATCATAGCGGCCGAGGCAGGCAGGCAGGCAGACATGTGGCAAACAGCCACGAGAAGTAGTACCGCCTGGAGTACGTCTTCCATAGCCCCGGTGAATACAACAGCACGCGAGACAGCTTCGGCATTTCTCTGCGCGTTTCTCTCTCGTCTATTTACCTTTACCGTCCTCTCTGGAGCCGAACCCTTGCTCAAGCGTAAATTCCACCCATGATGCAGCTCCTTCAGGGGCCGCGGTGCGGCTGGCAGCAGCTAGTCCTACACGTTGGACGGCGAAACGAACCACGGTTCAGGGTCCACGCTTGCGCTGCCGGACGGGCCATGACGCTGGCAAAAGGGAAGGTCCACCGTCTGAGCTGTCGTCGGCGGCGTAACGGCGCCCAAGGTACCGTGTGTCCCTAGACTCCACTGCTGCCGGTGCGAGCGGCGGGGGCTCTATTTCGGGGACGGAGCGCTGTGCCGCGGGAATACTGTATCTAGGGGATAGTGTGCTGATTGTGCTGTATTGATTGTTGATAGCGAACGAACCGAGCGGTTCAATGTGCGGAATCGATAAGTGTAGGGGTCTAGACGGTTGGAACTCGGGGAGGAAGATTCTGAGCGAGGGCCGTGGGATCAGCGGGTGGCATTTCGTTTCCCAAAATCCACTTCCACGTGAGCGAGCGGCTGTTGAGTCAGTATTTTGCGATCTGCGTTGCAGGCACAGAAGCATCTGTGGTAGGAGTCTATCGAATTTCCGTGCCAGGAGAGGAAGAGACGTCACACGCGCATCGCTTCTCTCCAGCACATCAAGTGACCCGGTTCTCTCCTGCGTTTCCTTCCCATGTGACCTTATTCTGGAAAAGGCGGTATGACCAGCACCCACGCCCAGCGGCTGTTGGCGGTGCGGTGCTGAGCAGCTACGCGGCGCCCCCATCCACGCACCGTGGTCGAGGGCACGACGAACCGAACGCCTCACAGACGCGATGCGCGCCCCGCGCGTTGCCCAAGTGGATCCGCGCGCGCATCGAAGTGCATCGGGCGGCTTGGCGCCCTGCATCTGGCCGATGCGTCCTCGTGCGCACGCGGGTCAATTCGATTCAGGGGCTTTTGCTTCCATCCTCGGGACCACCACGCGCAGGTCTTCGTTCCGCTTTGCCTGAACGGGCGGGTCTCCACATAATTGAATGGATGTGCGAAGAGGGAAGGAGACGCCCCTGGGAGAGGGTCTGGAACGTTTGACGTGCGGTCGCGTTTTATGACTTGTGGGGGGGCTTCGTTGTGTTTGGTTGGGGCTTTGTTTCGGCGTTCGGGGAGTTTGGGTGGGCGTTGGGCGGTGACGAGCGGACTTTGTGAGAGGGATGGGCGGGCGGTATTTGAGGGCTGGTGTCCCGTGGTGGATTTGCTCTTCTCCCTTTTTCGATTCTCTGGTTAGGACGTATACGTTCTGGAAGGATATATTTGCACTGCACGACTTTGAGATTGTAAAGGGTTCGTGCTACGTCACCCACACAACGCCACACCATACACAACCATACACAACCATTCATACCACAACTATCTGTTCATTGGGGAACAACTTGAAGAAACATACCGCCACATCTGTCAAGCACAACGGGAATTACTCAAAATGCCACTCCTCCGCAGCCTCACCACAAAACTCAAGACCAAACTCACAATCTCACCTCCCGCATCGCCCACAACATCGCCCTCGGGCTCAACAAGCAGCTTCGAGAACCTCGGCGGCGAGCGCAAGACGTGGCGCCCGCAGAGCCACATCCAGAGTCCCACCTACACTCACGGCCAGAACCGGAACCAGGACGCGGGCAGCAGTGTAGAGAGCTTCAACAATGACAAGAGCTTTGGACAGCAAAAGAGGCCGCAGAGCCGGCGCGCGGATACGGGGAGTAGCGAGCTGAGCTTCGGATGCGTGGGGATTGATGCGCGGGTTGCCGTGGAGGAGTTAGAGAAGGTGCGCGTGGGGAGGGAGGAGAGGAGGAGGAGTAAATTCCGCGAGGAGTTTTGAGGCTGAGGGGCGGAAAGAAAAGAGGTGGATTGACTGATCGATTGAATGTGGCTGAGGCTACGTATGGATCATCGGGGACAAGAGTTCGACAAGGAAGTCTTGCTCTGATCGATTACCTGGGTCGAAGACAAGACACGACAACTCCAGAAGCTGGTCAGGCCTCCGCGCCCGCAGGCTCCTCGCTTTGCACTGGGGTCGCGCTCTTCGGGGGTCCTCCTCGCGGCGGCCCTCCCACCTTCGGCGGCGGCGGCACGCTGCCCTCCCGCTTGGGCGCAAAGTCCTGCGCCGCACTCTTCTGCTCGCCCTCCTTGAAGTAGTCGTCCAGCCCGCCGCCCCCGGCCGGACTGAGCGCATGATGCGCGCGCTGCTTGCCTCTCTTCGGGGCACCGCTCTGCGGCGGCGGCGACTTTGACGGCAGCGCCATATTCGCGGGAACGAAGAGCTCCGCGGGAGCACCAGCCTGTGGTGGAGGCAGATTCCCAGATGAAGAAAGAGGACGCTTCTCGTCGAACGAGGCGCTCCCCGCGGAAAAGAACGTCTCTCCCGGTGCAGGCGGCGGCTCCTCCAGCTCCGCAGGCACGCGATGCAGCGCGCCGAACCCCAAGACGCAACCCAGCGCGCCCTCGCCGCCCCATCCGCGCGACGGCGTGATGGTTACAGGCCGCGTGACGCCGTACTCGTGGTTGTACACAAACAGGCGGAGCGGGCGGTTGATGTAGTCTTCGATGAGCTCGCCGAGGCCGGACTCGCCGCGGACGAGGCCCTCGGGGCTGCCGATGACGTAGTCGCCGTAGGGGAGCAGGCCGGCGGTGTCAGCGGGCGAGTTGGGCGCCACGTCGAGGATGTGCCAGACGTCTTCTGTGACGGAGAGTGGGGTCCATTGGAGAGAGAGGCCAAGGGTGGGGTTTTCAGCTGGGATGGGGATGTAAATTTCGCGAATTTTTTGGCCCTGTGGGGTGGGTCAGTTTTCGAATCGGAATGAATGAAGTAGATAAAGAAAATTATGTGTTGATGACGATGGATATCTTGAAAAAGGTGTTTTGTGGTCTCAAGAGTGAGGAAGTTGAGGCTGATCGAAGAATCCAACGTCTAAGTGCATTATGATCCTGAAAACTCGTGTGTATGCTGTACAAATTGGTGCAACGCAGGATAGAGCATTCCTGCGGAAACGCTCGGTCTTCCTGGTGATCCACCACGAATGATTTGTGACAGTGTTGCTTTGTATAACGTGAATTGAATGGAAATTTGACGAAAGAGGGAGGGGGAAGATGAAACGAGACTACCAAAGAGGGAAGACATGGCAAGGAAATAACGTAAAATCCATACCTTCGCGCTGAAGACCCCCAAGCTTATTGGGGAGCCAGCACAGTTGCGGATCTCAGTCGCGAACAGGTTCGGATCCGGGTTGTCCTGCTTCCACATCAGCTCTTCCATTCGTCGGTTCAAGGATTTCTCTCCACCGCATTCACGTACAAGTGTGCGCCCATTGATACCAATAATGAAGTCGAACCACGGGTCCAGGGGCACCTCCGGATTCTTGTTCCTGAGCACCTGGAAGCCATACGCGCCTTGCGTAGCGGAGTTCTGGTCCTCTGGCGCGGCATCCAGCCGCGAGATGAAGCGATTCAGAGCGCCAAACATAGTCGACATGATGTGTGGTCGATCGGTCTGATGTGTATCGAGGTTTGAAGCCAGGTGTTGCGGCTCGTTTGGGGTCAGGGTCAGAGCCGCGGCCATGGTCCAAGCTCCTGCTGATCAGCGCAGTGGTCTTGTATGTAGATTTGTGTATTTTAGGTGAGCTTCGTGACTGCACCCAAATATCATTCAGTTCAAGACTTGCTTGCGATTAGCTGTATGTGTACTGGAGCTTTGTATTATTGTTTTCGGATAGACCCAAAGATTGAACATTCCGCAGTGTGTACAGCTCTCAAGGCAGGTGCGCTATCTCAATAAGGCTAGCCTGCTTTCAGCAGAACCAGATCTCTACGCCAGGTCTACTTTCACTTCTACTTGCCCAAAAATATCTGGAAATGACATAACACGACACTGGTACTGAATTTCATTCAGCACACAAGCCAAAATGGATGAGAAACCTGATGAACAGGGTATTCACCAGTGGCTCGATGTAGACCAGTTTCCGGAACATCTCAAGAAGTAATATCATTGCTCACTCTCAACACCAAAGCTAATCCGGTACTAGGTACTGGTTCCAACGTCACAAGATCTGGCAAAGGTATCATGAAGGTGTATGGATGACAGAAGATGCCTGGTTTGGCGTGACCCCCGAGCCCATTGCAAAGTATGTGTTCGATTTTTCAATTCCATGCGCTCACACTTAACACGAATTAAAATCCTGCAGTAAGATTGCGACACATATCGCGGAGTCCGCCCCAAGAGAAAAGACCATAATAATCGATGCTTTCGCAGGCGTAGGCGGAAACGCTATTGCGTTTGCACGATCAGGGCGGTGGGAGCAGGTCTTCGCTGTTGAGAAGGACCCCAAGACAATGAAATGCGCGAAACACAACGCAGAGATCTACGGTGTCGCCAAGAAGATAGTATTTCACACAGGCGATTGCTTCGATATCATTAAGAGATTCATGGGCAAGAATAACATTGTTATCTTCGGCAGCCCGCCCTGGGGAGGTGAGGCTTTCTTCGGTCGTTCCCTGCGAGGGTGTTATGCTAATACAGGCCAGGCACGGAATACAACGCAGATAACGTGTTTGACCTCTCTATAATGCAGCCATACAACCTTGACGCACTCTACAAAAAGTTCTCGAAGCTTAGCAAGCATGTTGTGTTGTACCTGCCACGCAACTCTGATCTCAATCAAATCGCACGGTACGCACCGGAAGGTAAGAAGGTGGAGGTCGCGCACTACTGCATTCTTGGAGCGAGCAAGGTAAGCGAGCTGCATGTTTGGATGGTTACTGTAATGCTGATGCGAGTGTCTAGGCGCTGTGTGTTTTCTTCGGTGACTTCGACTTTGAAGGGGAGGCAGAAGAGCAGGAGGGCGATGTGACTACTTCGCAGAAAGTTGCGTCAGCTTGATGCGTTGGTATGTGTGTGTTTTAGCATCCGCTCTTGGTATTTCGTGCATTGAATGTGCTTGCTGGGTCTGCTAGTGATTGTAGCGAATACCGGTAATGTGCACCTATGGCACGGCTGTTCCTGTTAGGCCCAGCTCCAATGTGCAAGGGCTAGCATCACATCAACAGTGATTGAGACAACAATATAATCAACATATCATGTCATGTCCTTCACAAATCACCCACCATACATTTGTGCGCCTGAATATCTTTCCAGGCGAGGCGCCTGCATATTGCGTGTGCACGGGACCATATACCAAACTAACAGTAGCCTCGCACGGGCCAGACGAACGCTGTGTCTGGGCAGCGAGCTCTATCACTTCAACACCCCACGCCGCCCTGCGGGCAACTCGACCACGACGACCGGCGCCGACGCAAGACAGCATATATCGTGTATTCCGACGCTTCATACGCTGACGGGGATATATTGCGACGGAGAACGACCGCGCGCGCAGTGTGGGGTTGCGCGACGACTGAAAGACGTGTCGCGCTCGTAGAATCCGCCTCTGCTATCGCGCAACAGCTTCAACTGGCGCTGCAAACGATCGCGAACGCGTCGTACCTCGGGAAATCTCTTGAACTCGACTTCGCGACAGATCATCTGCGCGCCTCCAATATGGATCTGGAGGACCTCGCCGCTGAGGGCGCCGTCGATCCCACGGCCGACGATGACGACATGACCAAGGTGTTCGCGGAGGCGAATGCGAATCCTGACTTCTGGGCGAACCTCGCGAATGCAGAGATTGGGGGTGGCGAGAAAGCAGACGACGCGGTCGACTATGAAGACATTGGAGACGACGATCTGGCGAGCGATCAGGATGAGGACGAGAATGCGCAGCACGATTCACACCAGCTCAGCGGCACCACCATCCAAGATGACGAGGATATGGAGGAAGACGAAGATATTGATGCTTTGTTCAACGAGGATGCAGGCAGCCCAGTGGCAGAACGTCCCCAGGATGATGAAGCACAGGCATCGGTCCCGACAGTACTGCCCGGCGGCGCTGCGCAGACTGTGACTGCTACCAGCAACGTCGCTGCAGATGATGACGATGAGAATCCAGAATGGGTTGAGCAGAGGCGTTTGTTCGCCGAGGCGAACCGTCCTAAGGGCGAGCGTATTCCTCTTGCTCCGACTTCCGACAAGGAACTTTTCCGACAGCTTTACCCCGACTTCGAGAAGGGAAAGCCGCTCCGCTTCGCCAGCTTGATCACCCGGAAGCGCGCATACTTCAAACCTCAGGAGCCCGCCAAGGCCCCCAAGCCGCTCGCATTTGGTACGAAGATCAACTTGGATATCGCGCCGGACCAGGAGAAGAGCTTCCGTTTGCTGTCAACTAGCACCGCCAAGCAAGCCCGCGCGGACGAGGAGGAAGAGGGCGGTATTATTTACATCCAGCAGCGCGTGGAGAAGGAGGACCAGAGCAGCGACGAGATGGACCTGGATGTGTGGGAAGCCACGAATGACCATGAGATGATCGGAAATGTTACCTGGGGTGACCTCGAGGTTGCCTGTGAGGACTGGAACATCGACTCAGAGAGCGTCGCTACGTTGTCGGACTCAGAGGGAGCTAAGACGCCTGAGCTCGTCAGCATTAACAGCGCTCCCAAGCGGCGCCGGTTGGGTGACAGTGATAGCACTGTCATGTTCTCCGTGTACGACCACATGAATCTTCCCTCGTGGGACGATCCCGAGCTCGTCACCGCAAAGCTTGCGAAGAAGATCATCCTAGACATGAACGACCCTCAGTTACTACTCGACGTGCAGCAACCTGCTGTAGAGGAGCAGAAGCCCCGTACTATCGGTGTCGGTCTCAAGCGCGACCATCGTGGCAACCCTATGCTGAAGCGTTTCAACATCTCGAATGATGAGCATTACGACGCTCTCAAGGAGAGCAGCCAACAGAAGGTCCGCGGTACCATCGGCAATTCCACTATCGACCATAGTCTTCCCGCCTTGAAGTTGCAATACCCGTTTTACAAGGTCAACCTCTCCGATCGCGAATTGCGATCCTTCCATCGCCCAACCATCTCCTTCAAGCCTGGCGAGCGTGCCATAATTTCCCCGCTCAAGAGTGTCAAGAGAAAGAACAAGCGTCACCAGAAGCCATCGGAGGCATTCGCCGTTGCCGAAGACCTCAATGTCGGAGACAATGCGGACCTCCTCCTTGCAGAATACTCTGAAGAGTATCCTACCACGCTTTCGAACTTCGGCATGGGTGTCAAGGTGTATAACTACTACCGTCGTAGGACGGCCGAGGACAACAATCGGCCCAAGCCTGCGATTGGCGAGACGCAGATCCTGTTGCCACACGATAAGAGTCCTTTCGCCATGTTTGGACCCATCGAGCCTGGCGAGGAGTGGTTGACTCTTCAGAACGCCATGTACCGCGCCCCAATCTTCCAGCACAACGCAGAGAAAACCGACTTCCTCGTTAGCAGGAGCCACACTGGCGTTCATGGGTCGAAGTACTACATGCGAAACATCGATAACCTTGTCGTCGTCGGCCAGGAGTTTCCCTACACAGAAGTGCCTGGCACGCACGCACGCAAGGTTACTGAGGCGTCCAAGAAGCGCTTGAAGATGCTCGCCTTCCGATTGTATCGACGAGGTCAGCAGAATAACCATCGTCAGCCTTGGGTGAGCAACGAGATGATCAAGCACCACCTTCCTGGTACGGAAATTGCGCAGAACCGATCTAGGATGAGGGAGATCATGAAGTATGATAAGAATCTAGGCACCTGGGAACCCGTTGCCGGCGAGACTATTCCGGACGAGCCAACTCTGCGCACGTGGATCAAACCCGAGGACATCTGCCTGATCGATTCTATGCATGCGGGTGACAAGCAGCTCCAAGATGCCGGTATTAAGACTAGCGACATCCAAGATGATGAGGATAACGAGACCAACGAGTCCCTCGAACTCAAATTGGCTCCTTGGCACACTACGAAGAACTTCCTCAATGCCTGCACTGGAAAGGCGATGCTTACGTTGCATGGAGAGGGGGACCCCACCGGCCGCAACGAGGGCTTCAGCTTCATCAAGACCTCCATGAAAGGTGGTTTCAAGGACATTGGCGAGAGCACGGCAGACAAGATTGATGCTCGGAACAAGAAGGACAATGGCGGTCACAGCTACAACGTCCAGAAACAACAGCAGCAGTACGAGGACGCTATCAAGCGTATCTGGAACAAGCAGAAGGATAGCCTTCGCTCTTCCGCGATACCTTCTGACGAAGATCTAGACGTCGAGGCAATGACGCAACCTAATGCAGTCCGCGGACGTTCGGAGGTCTCGACCCCATACCCGGGCCTGCGAGGCGAAGATGAGACTATGAGTCAGTTTAGTCGTAACAGTGCAGGTGCGGAGGGTGGCAAGAAGCTGCGCATTGTCCGCAAGTTCCGTAACCGCCACGACGAACTTGAAGAGAAGGTGCAGATCGTCACAGATCCCGAAGTCATCAAACTATACATGAAGCGTAAGAAACAGCAGCGATTGCTGAGCATGAACATCGATGATATCAAGCCGACCGGTAATGCCGAGTTCGACCACCAACAGATGTTGAAACTAAAAGCAGAAATGGCGCGTCTGCAACGGAACATTGAGCGCCGCGAAGGTCGCGAAAAGGCAAAGGGCATCGCTCCTTCTAACGGCAAGAGCAGCTCTACTCCTCGAAAGTGTGCAAACTGCGGCGAAGTGGGGCACATCAAGACCAACAAAAAGTGCGCACAGACCGTTTCTTTTGCCCTTCCCCTCTACTAAACATGTATACCGCCTTTGTATCCCCTGTTCCTACGACTGAACACTTGCTTACAGACATCAATAGGCTTTGCCCGCTGCTCAATGGCTCGAAGAAGCAAAGCGATACTTTCCGGGATGCTGGCGCTGCGAGTCCCGTTACGATAGCCGGCACTCCCATCGCTTCGACACCAGGACCGCTTCTTCCTGGTGCTGGCTCACCCTTCTAATCATGCGATACCCCTTTCAACACTAACAATCTGTATTTATTTTTCACTCTGCGCGATACACCTGGAATTGGCTAGGGTGGAGGTTCCCGAAGTCGGTTTCGACATGCATAGCGATGGAGTTTTCGGACGGGGCTTTTTAGGCCAATGGTGCATAACCTGGTATACGGAATAATTGGGTGGCGTTTATTGCTTTCTCGACAGCAGATTGTTTGTAGAGCCTACAGTCGCTGTATGTTCTATAGGAGAACTGCCTGCGCTCCATGGCTCTCTGGGCGTCATGGTCTTGGTACGGCACATGCCTACAACAAATCTGTCATCAATTCCAACTCCAGCTTCGACAACCGTGTAATGTTAGTCAATCCAATGGAATCCTGCTCAAAAGCAAATTTTCTCCTCTTTGTGTATGACAGTGATACTCTATACAACTACAACGGCTGACAATAAGAACTGGACTTGCTATAATAGACTTTGGTTGTCAACACTCACGCGAGAAGATTGGATTGTACTTTTAAAAAGATATAGTAGAGTATGTTACGATGGAATCAGGTGCGCTCTAAAAGGTCCAGTTCTTCGTGTTGGTCACCGTGCAACCTGAATCGGGGTTCTCTCGGCGGCCTCGTGTTGGGCTCTGATGAGGGACAAGCAGTCAATAGGTGGCGCATGAGAGCGGACAACGAGGGCGCGCGTGGGAGAAAGATGAATCGGCAAGAACCTGGGAAGAATAGTGATCGATACCTCATGACGTGGCATGATAGAAAACAACGAATTGCATGTAGACGTGGAAGGCAGCGATAGACGGAGCGCGTGACACATCGTCGCTCAGCTGACATGGGTAGACATGCGCGACTTCAATCTTTTTGTTTGGTGAGACATGATGGGAAACTGTTGACGAGAAAGGAAATCATAGATAGATGGACAAGCTTCTAGAATGACAATAAAGCACGCGACGGAGCAGCGCTGAGGCGCAATCGAAACACCATCGTGGTGGGCAAAAATGACGCGTTGGCATCGCAAACGCGACAATCAAAACACAGCATCGAGAGTGAACTGCAACAGGCAACAACACTATGATCCAAGATTAAGGAGGAGGGGCGAACGACAGAAAGTAGAGCGCTTCCGATCAAGCATCTGTTGAGAAAGGCTGCGCCATACATTGGCCGCATGCGGAGAGCATCAGCGAGGACGAAGTAGGAGTGCAAGATGGCGAGGGGAGTGGAGGCGCGCGCTCGACGAACAGCGAGCTTCCCTGACCCCAACGTACCGCCTGGTATAGGCGCGCCGCAATCTGGCCGGCGGAATCTACGCCTTAGTCTTCGCATCAATTGATCTCTGGGTCACCTCTGGCATGAAACGAGTTTAATCCTTCCTAATGCGGAATGGGGTGTTGATCTGGAAGTGCACCTGCTGGCTAAGCGACGTATATAAGGGCCGCGCCTCCCCGCTCCGCGCTGCCTGCGCCGCTGTCCCATCCCTCCGAGCTTCCCACTCCACCAACATCACGTCGAATCACACGATCTGCCCTTCGTTCTAACCGTTGAGATTTCGTGCACAAGATCATACTACTATCATCAACAATGCCTCCCAAGAAGTCTACCACCGCTTCCACTAAGAAGGCTGCTGCCGCCGCCCCGGCACATGGCTCTTACATCGGTACGTAACGCGCCGTTGCGCAGCACCACGCTGTCGCCCGCCAGGCGCTTTGGTCCTATCGTGTTCGCGAGCGTTTACTGACTAGTTCTCGCAGATATGGTCAAAGATGCTATCATCAACGTAAGTCTGCGTTCCCCGGCGCATTGTGTTCCCCGCACCTGGTCGTGACGCTTCGACGCGCCGTCTGGTCGCAGCCCACAACAAATGGCCCGTACACTCGCAAACTTGCAGAACATGTTCACTGACGCGTTATCTCCACGCTACAGCTCAAGGAGCGCAACGGATCAAGGTACGTCGCCGCCCTGGAGCTCACTACGCTGCCGCCGCCAAGTGTCGCTTTCAGCTCATGTCATGCCGTGGGAGAGCAAACCGCTGACTCTTGCCCTGCAGCCGTCAAGCTATTCAGAAGTACATCAAGGCCAACAACAGCCTAGGCAACCCTACAGATGCCATGTTTAAGAGCCGCGTCAACGGCGCCATCCGTAAGGGTCTTGAAAGCGGTGACTTCAGCTTCCCCAAGGGTACGTGTGCTCTTCCCCTAAGCGTCTCCTTCACTGCGCTTCATGAACGCGCTCGTCGCGTCGGACTCGACGATCACTCTTACTGACATCGTATCAGGCCAAAAGTCCGGGAGCATAAAGCTTGCTAAGAAGGACGCAAAGGAGGCCAAGCCTGCCGCTGCGAAGAAGGAGAAGGCCGAGCCCAAGGTTGAGAAGAAGACTGCCGCCCCCAAGGCTAAGAAGGCCACCGCTACCGTAAGTTGCTATGATCTATCCGGGGCGAATTCAGTCCCCTCACAAGAACACCACTGACAGCCTCAACAGAAGGCCAAGGCCACCACCACCAAGAAGGCGCCCGCAGCTAAGAAGGAGACTAAGGCTACCAAGGCCGCTACTCCCAAGAAGGAGACGAAGACCAAGGCTGCCGCCGCAAAGCCTAAGGCTAACGCCAGCAAGCCCCGCAAGGCCGCCGAGGCACCTGCAGTTCCCAAGGAGGACTTTGCGGTCCTGAGCAAGACCAAGTCCGGTCGCGTCACCAAGACGAAGGCAGCTGCACCTACCAAGAAGGCACCCGCAAAGAAGGCGGCCAAGGCAGCACCTAAGAAGACGACCCCAGCGAAGAAGGCGGCTGAGACTAAGAAGACTACGCCCAAGCGCGCAACGCCCAAGAAGACCGCGTCTTGAGTGCGCTGAGTTGAGTCTGGATGGGTGTTGCTGCTGTGTATATCTTTGCTTCATTTCTCTAGGGAAGGGATGGTAGGGAACTGTGTGATATACCCGTTCTGGCACAGGATGGGATGGGCTGGGTGAACTTGAGGGGCGTATAGGCGTTCACGGATGGGACTGGGCATGGTGTACACTTTTCCTTTTTATTTTGGAGGGATCATGATCAACAATGAATACCAAATTTTAACTTCAAGGCGCGTGTTGGAAGGTGCTGTGCGTGTAGTCTGGATGATGTCAAAGCTGCAGTGTTAACGGGGGTTGGGGATGGACGCGTTGTTTTGGTGAAGCACGTTGGTGTCGCGTCGGGTGGGACGGCACGTGATGTGCCCCGTTCCCAGGCTAGGTCGGGGGCCGGATCATGTGTGGTCGGTACGTGATTGAGCATTATGTATGTTCTTCTCATGCTGTATGACATTGTCAACAGCAAGCCATGATGCAACTGGTTGGCCGAATCCCACGCAGCGCAGCTCACCAAGGTCTCACGGAACATTTGTAAGCCTCTAGAGGTACGTGTTCCACCAGTCATCCGGACAACCTAGTCATCCGGACGTCCGACCGAAATCGCGACGCATCCTCCACAAAACGCGCCATGCCACCCACCCACATCACTCAGCAATCCTAGAAGGAAGGCAGACTAGCTCTTTCAATACAGGCGATTCAGAATAAACAGGTTTCTAGCTACCGACAGGCTGAGCAGCTCTACAATATCCCTCGATCGACGCTACATGATCGCGTTCACTGTACTCTACCTCAGGCTGCTGCCAACGCGCAGAAACGAAAGCTACACCCTATAGAGGAGCAGGTTCTAGTAGAGTGGATCCTAGACCTTGACCGACGAGGATTTCCGCCCCAGATCATTGATGTACGACGGATGGCAGACAAACTACTCGCTGCGCGTGGCTAGACCCCTCCTCCACCACCTGTGGGCAAGAACTGGGTATCCCGCTTTATCAACAGCTAGCTAGAGCTACAGACCATGTGGAATAGGAAGTTCCATAGCCAGCGCGCCCTCTGCGAGGATCCTATCACGATCTCTACCTGGTACAAGCTTGTGGAAGAGACACGCCAGGCGTATGGCATACAGGATGGAGATATCTACAATTTTGATGAGACAAGGTTCATGATAGGGGTCGCTGCTACGTCTAAAGTAGTGACTAGCGCAGACACTGTGGGTAGAGCGATACACGAACAGCCAGGCAATCAAGACTGGGTCACTACAATCGAGGGCATCTGCGCATCTGGCTGGTCTATCCCACCACTTATCATCCTATCTGGAAAGCTCCACCAAACTAGCTGGTACAGGGGCCTACCTGGCAGTTGGGCACTCGCTGTCAGCGATAATGGCTGGACCACAGATCAGCTAGGGCTTGCTTGGCTAGAGCACTTCAACCGGCATACAGAGCCTCGTACAGTAGGCACCTGGCGGCTACTCATCCTAGACGGTCATGGCAGCCATGCTACCCCAGAGTTCGATACCTACTGTACAGAACATAGGATAGTCACCCTATGTATGCCTGCGCATACGAACCATCTCCTACAGCCTCTTGATGTGAGCTGCTTCTCCCCGCTTAAGGCAGCGTATGGGCATGAGGTTACTAAGCTTGCCCGCCGAGGTATCTTCCACATTAGTAAGGTGGACTTCCTACAGAGCTACCTACGTATTAGGGAGACTGTTTTTACAGAGCAGAACATTAAGGCCGGCTTTCAAGAGACAGGACTTGTCCCTCCTTGTCCTGAGCGCGTCCTATCCTCGCTTACAGTGGTTAGGACGCCGTCACCACCAGGGGCAGTAGTAGGTGCTGAGGCTACATGGACAGCTGAGACCCCTCATACTACTACTCAGCTTGAGCAGCAGGCTAGGATTATCCGTGATCGCCTCCAGCGACAGTCTCAGAGCCCTACAAGCCGAGCTATCGCCCAGATTGTTAAGAGCTGTCAGGCTGCGATGAACTCAGTGACGATCTTAGCAGAGGAGAATAAGAAGCTTCGGGCAGCCAACTATCGCCGGAGACAAAGGCAGGGTAGGCGCCGACAGTATATTGCCTCTGGAGGTGCTCTACAGGCTCAGGAAGGTCGATTGCTTGCTGCAGAGGCTGAAAGGGTGGCCCGGCAGGTGGAGCAGGAGGAGCGGGTAGTCAGACAACGAGCACCACCAACATGCAGCAACTGCCATATACAGGGCCATACTCGAAGACAATGTACCCAGAGATTGTAGCTATCATATGAATCTATCTGCAGCTTTTTTGACTGTCGCGTTGTAGAGCTATTGTGCAGTGACGCGTCGTGATTTTGGTGGGGCGTCTGGATGATTGGTGGAACACGTTACGGTGGGCAAGTATGACAGACTGCCCGAACACATTGAAGTCATGAGATAACGTAGCATGCTCTATAACGAACAGGATTCAAGTGCGCCATATCATCACCTCCGTAGAACATTCCATCCTCCAACAGAACTCACCCTTGGATCCCGTCTCGACATGGAGGTCTCTCAAGGAACAAACACCACTCCGTTCCTCAAATCACCACACCCACCATGGACTTCCTTACCTACGCCATCCTAGCCCACCCCTCGGGCGAAACAACCACCTACTAGCCAGTTGTAAGCTGGTATGGTATCTCTGGAGTCTGAATAGGTAAGTGTCTGGTTGGACTTGGAGTGCTTTATGAACGTCACGAATTTGATGAACTGGACGTCCCTACACCACATGCACCCATTAGTCTCTCCTGCGTCGTCGTGGTTTAAATTTACCGTGAAGTCGGCATCAAATTTACCCCCGGTCTCTACCGCTCAGTGTCACGGCATGACTATTTCTGCTTGTGAAGTGAGTGCGAATGCGAGTGCGACGAGTACAGTGTGTAGCGAGCCAGCTACAGCATTCTTCGGCATCAGTTGCCAATATGCAGCGGCCAATGCGAGGCATGTCTGTGCCGGGGGATCAGGGTCGACCATTGAGCGAGGTTGGGTCGGGCCCGTAGCGATCCGAACCCTAGAATGTGGCTAAGGCGCGCTAGGAACATTCAAGTGGCTGAGCGGGCCACTTTGAGCCACGGATGGACTTGATACGCGTGTGCGTACCGTCGCACGTCTTGGTGCTGTCAGCGGTCGGAAATTCCAATGCCGCCTAGGGGTTGCGGTGATCATAGCAGATCAGATCGACGGGCTGAGGAGGTGGTGACGGACGGGCGACGAAACCGTACACTCAGCGGTTTCAAGGGCGCACCGCGCTCGCAGCACCGCGCCTCATGCAGGCAGGCACAAGATGCAGCGACATGCTAGCAAAAGCAAGTCGACATATGATGCTATTCCTGTGCGGCGTGCAAAGCGTCCGCCCCGGCAGGCACGAGCGTTCCTGGTCGGAGACAACGGCGAGCGCAAATTCCAGCACAGCATGCGGCGCGTGCATGACTGCGGCCCGCTCACACGAGCTGGCGCGCAGGGCAAGGCGGCTCTCGGCACGAAGGGAGATTGTTTCGAAAGGGGGGGGGGGGGATGGCGGAGGCCGTTGGGGAGCTGCACTGTCGATGGGCTTGCCCGGCCGCACTGGGGAGAGGTGCGATAACGCCGGCCCGCGTGGTGAAGCGGAGGGCTGGCGTGTGGCTGTGAGGCTGAAGCTGCACGCCGGGACGTTTTTGTTGGAGCGGGCTAGCCACATACGGGCGAGGGCTCAGCCAATTTCACGACTCCTCCCCTGAGCAGCGGGCAGCGGGCAGCGAGCGCGAGAACCGGGAGCACGTCGCAGGCCGCTCTGCAGCGCACAGCGGCAAGCATCAGCAGCGCCCGCAATCGTGCCACGGCAAGCCTCGCAGCAACGCGCGCCGCTGGCTGGTGTCGTGGGCAGCGCTGTGGTTGGCGTGTCGCGGAGGCCCTCTCGTCCCGTTTGCCGGCGCGGCTGGCAGCTGTCTGCTTGGCGAGCAGGCCATCCACGGACCCTTGCACGGCGAAGCTGCCCAGTGCCTTGCTTCTGTGCTGAGTCTCTCTCGCCCATCCTCACCACCACCCAGCGACGATTGCTCGCCGTCCCACGCTGCACGCCCGTTCTCGCGCCGCCTCCAGCGACGGCCGCCTGCTCCCCCGCCTGCGTGCTGCTGCATCCCCAGCACGCTGCGCCCGCCCACCCGCCAATTCGCACGCCGAGCAACGCCATAGCAACCGCCCGTCACGACACGGCCCCGATCCACGCCCCCCAACCCACCGGAGAGCTGGCTGCCCACCCGCAACCCGCACGCGTGGAGCGCCCGCTTATGATTGCGACCGTTGTCGCGCCCCGGACGATGCCCTCGTTGACGGCCGACCAGAGCGACTCCACCCACGGCCACACCATCCAGACCTACACGCTGCCCTCGCGCACCCTGTCCGACAAGTCGCTGTTCCACGCCGACTACAGCGACAAGGTGCACCATGGCCCGCCGCACACGCCCAATGGCAAGCCCACCAACGGCGCCGTGATGCAGTCGATACCCAACGGCCGACCCGTGCAGCCCGCCCACGGCGAGAAGCGGACACAGCAGCACGCCGACGGCAGCGCAGGCCGCCAGCGAGCGTCCAGTGTGGGCAAGCACACGCCCTCAAGCACCGAAGCGCAGCGGCTCAACTCCGGCGCGCTATCCGGCAGGGATGATGGCTACTTCGCGTCCGTCTACAGCAGCGAGCAGGACGACGGCTACAAGACCACCCACGTCACCCTCAACGCGACGAGCCCGCCCCCCGCCCCCAAGGACGCCCCCAAGACCAGCACCGAGTCGCAGCCGCACAATCCCCAGAGCAGCCTGCAGATCCCGGGCTCCACCTACCGCGTCTCCTCCCCGCCCGCCTTCAACCACACCACAAGCCCTGCCGAGGCGCCCTACCGCCTGCAGCACCGGCACACCCTCGAGGTGCCCAGCGTCTCCGCCGCCCGTGCCCAGGGCCTCCGCGGCGGCAACACCACCGATGACGTCGTGACTGCCAGCGGTCGATTCTCTCCGGTCAACACGCCAACCCGCCGCCGGGGGTCAATGTCTCTGGCACGCCGCGCCACTCGCTCCATCCACTCCGACATGCATCTCGACGAGGTGCCCCAGGACGAAGACGCTGCGCGCTGGGCCGAGCACATCAGGCAGAAGCGCGCCAGCAAGCGGAAGCGGAGGGATGACGACGACGACGACCGTGTTGTTGTCGGCACCAAGGTTGACCAGAACCACGTCAACTGGGTGACGGCCTACAACATGCTCACGGGCATCCGCTTCACCGTCTCGCGGACCAATGCGAAGATGGATCGCGACCTGACGGATGCCGACTTTGACGCCAAGCACAAGTTCTCTTTCGATATGTACGTGCCGGAAGACTTCTCATTAGCCAACCTACTATTCCTATTCGATCTTTCGTGTGATTCTCCTAATCAAGCGGCATGCAATGTCCACCGTGCTAACCAGCCGACAGTGCCGGAAACGAACTTACGCCATCCGCAAAGTACGACTTCAAGTTCAAGGACTACGCGCCCTGGGTCTTCCGCCATCTCCGTAGCATCTTCGGCCTCGACCCCGCCGACTACCTCGTGTCGCTGACGAGCAAATACATCCTTTCCGAACTAGGCTCTCCCGGCAAGAGCGGGAGCTTCTTCTATTTCTCTCGAGACTACAAATACATCATCAAAACCATACACCATGGCGAACACAAGTTCCTCAGAAAAATCCTCAAGGACTACTACAACCACGTCCAGGAAAACCCAAATACCCTGCTGTCCCAGTTTTACGGCCTGCATCGCGTTAAGATACCCTACGGACGCAAGATTCATTTCGTTGTCATGAACAATCTATTCCCCCCGCATCGAGACATCCACCGCACATTTGATTTGAAGGGGTCGACAATTGGACGAGATTTCAAGGAGGAGGGGTTGGAGGCGAACCCGCGTGCCACTCTAAAGGACCTCAACTGGTTGCGGCGGGACCAGCACCTAGAATTCGGACCGGAGAAGAAGAAGGCGTTTGTCGAGCAGATGCAGCGGGATGTCAAGCTCCTGCAGAAGTTGCATATCATGGACTACTCAATGCTTATTGGCATCCACGACCTGGAGAAAGGGAACGAGGAGAACCTGCGAGACAAGACATTGCAGGTGTTCCAGCCGGGCGGTGAGGCGGCGGAAGACGCACTGCCCAACACGCTCACGCGGACACCGTCGAAGCTGGAAAGCGCACGCAAGGCCAAGGAGCTGAGGCAGATGATCAAGACTCAAAAGCCTGTACCCATGGACCAGACTGCGACCAAGATGCCCGATGAGCTACAAGGGCAGCAAAAGAACAACTACTTCTACGTGGATGACGGTGGCTTCAGAGCTACGCACGAGGACGACACACCAGGCGAGGAGGTTTACTACCTCGGAATCATCGACTGCCTGACACATGTAAGTGAAGATGTGGTCCTCAAGCAGAGCCAGAGACTAATGAATATAGTACAACCTCATCAAACGCATAGAGCACAGGTGGAAGGGCTTGATGGCCGAGGAATCACAGATCTCTGCCATTCCGCCCGAAAGATACGGCGACCGATTCCTAAAATTCCTCAGCAGCGTTACCAAAACACGCGAAGCCGCCGATCGAGAAAAGGCCGAGGAGTCTGCCCACGTCGCCAACGACCCCGTCCTCGCAGGCATAAACGACACCCGCAGCGAACGCGAATCCACCGAGAAAGTCCTCCACAAAGCCCATACTCAGGCAGAGCACTCGAAGCGCCACGGCGCGTCCGAGGAGGACATCCCCAAGCGCGAAATGCGAATCGTCCGCAGCCCGTCCGCCGAACGCGGCGAGCTCGGCACCACTCTCCCGGTCGTCGAGGAAGCACAGGAGACCTCCTCCACCGGCGGCCGCTCTGCACGCAGCACAGACACCAATCTCGTCGCCCCTCCGCTCCGCCAGGAAGACCGCGGTCTGGAGAACAGCCCCCGAGAACGCGACCAGAGCCATGGCCGGCCGCCGCCCACACCACCTAAGGACTCGGGCACGGGCGCGAGTGAAGAGCGCCCGCCCACGCCACCGAAAGACGCGGGATATAGCCTCAACCAGCGGCATTCGGGGCCGCCCACGCCGCCCAAGGAGGAGAGGGGCCGCGAAAGGAAGAATCAGGATAAGGAGTTGCCGCATTTGCCGCCGATGGAGACGGTCGTGAGGGTCAACTAGGTGGCTTTCACGACGGGGCAAGGGGAGGAGGTTGAGACGTAGTGGTCTTGTCGCTGAGTTGGTCGCCGTTGTTGAGTTGCGTTTGCACATACCCCCCGCATGCATGCATTCTTCTGCACTTTTCGTCTTTTCTTTCATCCCTTTCCATCATATCTCGACTTCCATAGTCTCCTTTTTGCCACTCGACCTTTCTTTTGTCAAACGATAGCGCGCTGGGATACGAACCGAGCGATGTCTGTGCTTCGCTGCGTCGCCCTGTGTTGTGTAGTCTTGTTGTATGCGTGCGTGCGTGTGCATGATACCAATGGCTGAGCACTTTGGCTTTTTGATCTTCTTTGTCAGGGCTATGCGGTGCTGGGATGTTGGCGCACAGGGGCGCTGGGGGTGTACTTGTTCTTTCTATGTGACGAGCTTGCGTTCTGAGGGAATAAGCAGTGCGGTTGTGGGTAATTGGAAGAGGGGAGTGTTCGCTTCTTGTAGGATAGATTTAGCCTTTTGGTGCGGACCGGTAGCTATTTAGGGATATGGGGTCGTGAGCTAGATGTCAGTAGATAGACGAATCAATTATGATCAAAGCAAATCAATTTGAATAGCCCTGGCTCCCGTTTCCTAGATCACACTGAGATGCTCGCTGAGATGCACAGTGTGAGGAATCGGATACACATCGCCATTCATCCAGACATTAAGATGTAAAACCGTCAAGTCTTCATATCTGCCGGACGGCTGAGGCGTTCTTGAAGCGTGCTGGATAAAGGTTCAAGTGGGAATTCTTTCTACGTGGAGTGGTATCGTAGCATACCATAGGTACCAGATCCTCCACTTGCTTTCCTCATCCAATCCATACTCGGGGCTTGGCCCAACTCTTCCCGTCCCTCACACCACACCTTGCAATCACAGTTCACTTATTTACTGTCGGCGTTTCGTTTGGACAACATCGCATGTCAAGTCATGCGACGCCCTTGGCCCAGGTTCACCGCTTGCATCTACTAGAACCCCTACGATAGAGAACAACGCATACGCCGGCGTTTCCGCTTGAGCGGTGGATGGTGCAGAGCCAGGGCCAGCCGGGAAGGACTACGATGGAACAAGCGGCTGAGGCTGGGCTGGGGCCGAGCGCATGGATGACATGGTAAGTGAAGGGAAAGGGCGGAAGCGGAACCCGACCTTTGGCATATGTTTGTTTGGTCTTCTGGAGAAAGGGCCGGGAGCGTGGAGACGCGCCGTCGCTCTCGCGAGAGATGAGATGGTATAGATATGCTATGTACCGGGTAGAGCCTCTCTCCCCCACCATTCAGCTTTTCTCGACAGAGGCTTGTCGCGGCCCTGAGACGGCGGTCTGAGAGTGCTGCGATTATGGCGCTGCTGAAAAGCTTTGTATATAGCTGAGAAATGGCAAGTGGGCGTTCAGCTTGGTGCGCTTGGCAGCTGGTCTGACATAAACCAGACCGCATGTACATATGGCGACGTTCAGCCTCATGCGCTGCAGAGCACGACCACTGGCGCGCACGACTCGACGCGACTGAGCGCAACTCGCGGTGGGAAAGGCACTGCGGCACTTGGCGTAGGCTTTTACGATTTCTCGGATGCTAATTTGGGAAATGCTAGGGTTCAGACCATCCTGTGAAGTGACATGCCTACACCTACCTAGGTAGTGACATGCACCTAGTGACATGTACCTAGTGACATACACCTAGTTTGCACCGCCACGTACAGCCAGGTCCGCTAGCCATCTGCACCCGGTAATTGCAAAAGACGAGGTAAAGTAATAGACAGTGGCATGACTTGTGCTCTGCCCTCGTGTATATAAGGGTGATGGTAGCTTTGGGCTCGTAGTACCGGTATCCTTCACGACTCCATCAGCCACGCTCGTCGCCTCAATTCGAGCATTTACTCCAACGTCCCACCATGCGCTCCCTTTCGTACTCTTCCGTGATGGGCTGCGCCATGCTCCACGGCGCCTTCACCTACGCAGCGACACCTGATACGAGTAGTTCCTGCGAAGCCGTTACAGTCACTGAAACTGTGACTGCCACTGGCGATCCAGTACCAACGACATCTCCTCCGACTCCCTCGCCAGCGCCATGCCGCCCGTCCTGGGACTCCACCGCAAAGGCCCCTTCCACCGGCCGTCTCCGCGCTGGTCTCATCTTCGTCGACTTCAGCGACACACCCGCCTCCGCCTCCGGCCAGACGCCCTCCGAGCTCTTCGAGCCGCTGCGCGAGCAACCCGCAGACTTGTACCGCGACATGTCGTTTGGCAACCTCGAATTCGAAATCGTGCCCCTCCTCGACACCTTCTACCGGATGCCCAACATCTCCGCGGCGTACGGCTTCGCCGACGACGAGGGCCTTACTGCCGAGGAGCATGGCCGGTACATCGCTGATGCCCTCGCCATCGTCGGCGACGCATTCGACTTCGCAAGCGTCGATGTCCTCTTCATTGCGCCGCCCAAGGACACCGACGAAATCAACCGTTCGGCGCAGTACAACTCGCCCGTCACCGCCCCCGGCGGCCGCGAGTTCGCCGCGGGCACCGTCATTACGTTCGGCACCGATTTGTACCCCGAGGGCGCATGGAAGACGATCAACCACGAGACGGGCCATGCGATGGGCTTGCCGGACTTGTATCCCTACGGCGCCGGTGGCAATGGCCTCTGGGTCGGCGGGTTCGACATGATGGGCATTGTGTGGGGCCAGTCGCCCGACTTATTCGCATGGCACAAGTGGCACCTGAACTGGATTGAAGAGAGCCAGGTAGACTGCGTCACCGAGGCCGGGACGAGCATTCACCAACTGGCTCCGATTGAAGTGGAGGGCGGCGTCAAGGCGGTCGCTATCCCCGTGAATGCGACGGGCTATGTCATGGCTGAGGTGCGCTCGACGCAGGGTATTGATCATGCGGCGTGCGAAGCGGCAACGGGCGTGCTTCTGTACACAGCGGATGCGGCGGTGGGAAGTGGCGATGGTCCGGTTAGAGTCATCGACGCGAATCCTGGGAGCGAGGGTTGCGACAGTGAGGCGAACGGTGCGGTTTTGAACGATGCGCCGCTACGTGGAGTTGGTGCGACGTTTGATACGGAGATGGGCGTGAAGGTGACGATTCTTAGCCAGAGTGGGGATGATTATATCATTCAGGTTGAGAGAGAAGTCTTGCCATAGTTAGAATCTAGCTCTTACAAGCGCTGCGATTATTATGTCCGCTCTGCAAGGTTTCATAGTCCACTCAAGCGATGTATACGTACTACCGACGTGTTCTGCTACGAGACAGTGCCGGCGTCTGCGCACACATGACGCTGCACTGCGCCATGCAAAGGCGAGCGATCATCCAAGGCCACTGATCGAGCGAAGCTGGAGAAATTTCCGGGGAGAGCTACCATTGTGATTCTAGACTTGATTAGTATGATATTGTACATACGCAGCAAAGGAATACCCGAAAATATTAAAAGCAGGGGCTCAACATCAAACCCGTTGCGTCGTCCTTGACGGACTCAATCCCAAGGACCGCAGATCTACCGTTGAAAGCTCCCGGAAGAGCTTGGACGGGATGTCAGGTGTAATACCGGATTGGGAAGGAATAGAGGTGGGCACACTTTCGAGTGTACGGCGTACATCACCGACACGAGTATTGGAGAGTGGACGAGCGAGGCTGGAAGAGACAGCGCAGGTGCGGTCAAGTGTGGTGGCTGCGGATGGATAAGACGGTGGTAGAGACCTGATCGAACGGACGCACGCGTTGTAGAGATGCGGTTTGCCATCCAACGCATGTACTAACACAGCACACCTCACCACGTAGCGTTCGGCCTCTTATACCCCTGTCATGACCCCTTTCACCTGGTTTCTGCAGCATCATCTCACTCCCATCCTACCCCGTCCACCCACAATGTCCTACAATATCCTGAAATCCCGCTTCGGAGCCTTCGAGACGGTGCTTTCAGAGCCATTACCAACAGTCACAATCCACCACCTAGCCGCCGCCTCGGACGAAACCACGGTGCCCTTGGTCAGAACCAGGCTGATCAACTACATCGTCAGTGCTGACGAGCTGCACCGCGCGCTCCACGAGTTTCGAACGGGCGCGGAGGGACAGATTGGGCTGCATGCGGCGCTTGAGGAGACGAGGCTGGAAGCGGAGGGTTGTGAGGCGTTGGGTAGGTTTGTGATGGCGGTAAAGACCCAATTGGAAGCTATGCAGGCGATGGAGCGGATGAGGAGAAACGAGGAGTTGATTAGGGGCGCGGTGGGGGAGTTGTTGGAGAGGCAGGTGCCTCAGGCAGCCTTGGAGTAACAAGAGTCATGTAGGACGTAACGTTGGAGAGTGTGGGATAGCGATTGGTCAAGAGGGTATCATTCGTATCTGTGCGTTCGCTCGAGGTCGTGATTCTATGCTGTGCCATGGCGTGCTACGCGGCCGCCTCCTGCGCCTGCTGTGCCGCGGACTGTATCTGGATGATCTGGCGGGTTGTCAGCAGCACTTCACCATGTCTCGTGCGTGGAGCATGCTGCCTTACATCCATCTTGACCTTCTCGCTCTTGTCCTGGACATCTTTGATCTGCTTCTCTATCCGCGCGCTGTCGTGATCCGTCAGCAATCCGGGCTCACGCAATGTGGCTCGATATCATCTACGCACATCTCCTTGTTGATAAAGTCGAGGCGCGCGCTGACGGACATGACGGCCTCGGTCTTGTCCTGCTTCAGCAGCACGGGGCCGATCTGCTTGTAGATGTTCGCATCGTCGGCAAGGAGGTCGAATTCCTGGGCCATAGTCAGCGCCACCCCCCCTGCGTGTAGCATCCTTGTGCGGACCTTCTTGACGGTGGTGTTTTCCTGCTGCTGCGACTCAAGCTTCTGGCGCGCCTCCACCGCGCCGGAAAGCTCTGGGGAACATTAGCCACGATGCTTGGCAGACAGGGCGTGTTACTGACCGCCCTGCAGGGCCTGGTAGGCGTCGGACAGGGCCTGCAGCTTCTTCTGCACGTCGCTCATGGCTGGCTATGGGAGGTGCAAGTGCAGTCGCGCGGGGTGGAAAAGTGCCGCCTGCTTCGAGACTTAGCGCGGATGCGGGGTGGTCTTGATCTTGGACCTTGCCCTAGCAACAACGGTACCGACCGTCCACACGTCCTCCAGGCCTGTGACTGCACGTCGCACCCCAAACCACCTCGTCGAGCGCCCGTGGACACAGACGGTGCCGAGCCATCTCGCCGCCGCCAGGAGCTTCGCTGAGCTGCCACCCGCTGTCGGCTCGACCCCGACTGTTTGTTGTCTGCCCCGCCGCCTGTTCACGCACACACACCGCCTCAACCCACGAGTGCGCCCGGGTCTCCACGCAAAGAATTGAGCCTTGAGAGCTGCCGAGGATCTGCACGCACGATGAGCAACGCCGACTTCCTGGGCCGCGCCATCGACACGGTGAAGAAGGCCATCGAGACGGACACAGCAGGCGAATATGAGAAGGCATACCAGCTGTACTACAGCGCCCGTGAGTTGGAGGCAGAGGCGTTCGCCGGACAAAATACTGACATGGGCCAGTCGAGCTGTTCATGCTCGCCCTAAAATGTACGTCTACGATACATGAACCGCCCGACACGCGATACTGACGAAGCAAAGGGGAGAAGAACCAGAAGTCAAAGGAGATGATACGGGGCAAGGTCGCCGAGTACATGGAGCGCGCCGAGAAGCTCAAGACACACCTGAACCAGAGCGACGACGCGAATCGCAAGAAGCCCGCCGCCATGGGCTCAAACGGCAAGGCAGCAGGAGGCAGCGGCAAGGGCGGCGGGTACGTCGTCGGCTCTCACATCCCCTGCGGCTATGGACTGACGACATGATAGCGACGATGAGGAAGAACAGGACGCCGACAGCAAGAAGCTCCGCGGCGCGCTCGCGGGCGCCATCCTCACCGAAACCCCCAACATTCGCTGGGAAGACGTTGCGGGCCTCGAGCAGGCGAAGGAGTCCCTCAAAGAGGCCGTCATATTACCCATCAAGTTCCCACATCTCTTCACCGGCAAGCGGCAACCCTGGAAAGGCATATTACTCTACGGCCCGCCCGGCACGGGTAAGAGTTACCTCGCGAAAGCCGTCGCGACCGAGGCGAACAGCACCTTCTTCAGCGTGTCAAGTTCGGATCTCGTCAGCAAGTGGATGGGAGAATCAGAACGGTACAATCTCATCTGTGCAGTCCCCAGCGCAAACTAACGTACAAGTCAGGTTGGTCAAACAGCTCTTCAACATGGCTCGCGAGAACAAGCCCTCCATCATCTTCATCGACGAAATCGACGCACTCTGCGGCCCCCGCGGCGAAGGCGAGTCCGAAGCCTCGCGACGCATCAAGACCGAGCTCCTCGTCCAAATGGACGGCGTGGGCAAGGACTCGCGCGGCGTCCTCATCCTCGGCGCGACAAACATCCCCTGGCAGCTCGACGCCGCCATCCGCCGCCGCTTCCAGCGCCGCGTGCACATCTCCCTGCCCGACCTCCCGGCCCGCATGAAGATGTTTGAGCTAGCCGTGGGGAGCACCCCGTGCGAGCTGACGCAAGCGGACCTTAGGAAGCTGGCGGAGCTGAGCGAGGGGTACTCTGGCAGCGATATTAGCATTGCGGTGCAGGATGCGCTGATGCAGCCCGTTCGCCTCATTCAGACAGCCACACACTACAAACCCGTATGCCACCCTCCCTTGCTCCCCAAAACCCATTATAGAAACTAACGCCCCGCAATCAGGCTTCCATAGTCGACGGCCTGCAGCAATGGACGCCCTGCTCCCCCGGCGACCCAGATGCAAAGGAAATGTCCTGGACCGACCTCGACGGCGCGCAGCTCGCCGAGCCCCCGCTGCGCTGCAAGGATTTCATCAAGGCCATCAAGGCGAGCAGGCCGACGGTTAGCAAGGAGGACCTCACGCGGAATGCGGAGTGGACCAAGGAGTTTGGTAGCGAGGGGGCGTGAGCTGTCCATGGACGTGGAGGGTTTCGAGGCGTTTCTTGTGCATAAGCGATTTTGCTTTCTTTCTTGGAAACGAACCGAGTATGGAGGAAGGGACTACCCGGCGTTGAGTTGATTCCACACGGTGTTTTGAGCAGATTTAAACGCATACAATACATACTGGACACATACTTCTGCATCCAACGGTTGATCCCATGTCACACACGCACGTCAGGATACATGATTACACGTGCCATTCCGGTCAGTCTATCTATCCATGTGCATTCGGGCCAGGGGGAAAATACCAAGGGGGGAATCTGTGATGAAGCGACCAACCAACCCAACATAAAGAAAAGAGAAACATATCAAGCCGATGAACACCCCCACCTCCATCTCTCACTTCGCCCATCCCCTCGATTCCACTCGCTCCCACCCTCTAAAGCACACTCTGAGGTGCCACGAGCACCTAGCCAAAGTACACCTGCACCGTGCGCTGCTGCTCCGGGCTCAGGCTGCCTGCGACCTGCGCGAGCGAGAAGCCTGTCGCCTGAACCAGCGCCTTGACCGCTGCCACGACCGCGGCGCCGACCTTGCCCTGCAGGGTCTCCGCTTCGAGGGCTTGCACGACGGCGATGAAGGGTTTGCCCGGGTTGGATGTGACGGCGGGGTTCTGTCTGTGCGGCGCGTTAGTCTTTGTATTTGATGGAAAAGTGGTCGTGGGCAAGGGAGAGGATGAGAAGAGGAAAAGGACACGTACTGTTCAATAAGCTGCGCAAGGAATGCGTAGGCATGCGGCGCGGCCTCCTCGTCGTTGGTGACGGGCAGCGTATCGACCCACGCGGCCGCGACATCCTGCCAGTTCGGCACCTTGCCGGGGTTGTAGTGTAACACCTTTGCGATGGAGGCGCACGCGTTCTCCGTCGCGAACACGTCGTCGTCGGCACGCGCGTTCGGGCGCTGCGTGATCTGGAAGAGCGTCGGCAGGCTGGCGGCCGCGAACTCGGACCACGCCTCGCCGCCGCGGTGGGCAGCGACGCCGACGCCGTACGCGGCGGCCTGGCGGTTCGCGGGGACGTCGTCCTGCATGCCTGCGACGAGCGGCTGCATGATCTGCTCGTGGTAGTTCCAAGATTGCGGGCCGCAGAACTCAAGGACATCGTCGAATATGCAGATGGCCCATTGCCGTTGGGTCGGGTCTGGGTTGGCTGCGGAGATCTTGTAGAACTCCATGAGTTGCTCCCAGTGGGGTAGGAAGGCGGTGCCCAGGTTCTTGAAGATGGTGTGGAATGCCTTGTTCATGTCGGAAAGAAGCGTCTGGTCGTCCTCGATGGCGAACAGCGTGTCCTCGCTCACTTCTTCACCATCCTCGGTCTCGGCCTGCTCGCTGAGACGCTCCTTGACACGCTCCTGGTAGTCCTCCAACACGCTGCGTGCCGACGTGATAAAAGTGTCCATGTGCGCGGCGGTCAACGAGTTCTTGCCAATGCATTCCAAGCACTCGTAGAAGCACTGGTACATCTCCGCGAGCGTGTCGATGGCCGGTTCAGTGCTGAGGACCTCAAGCACGCGCTCCACTGTTCGCTCCCACAGCTGGCGAAGCTGTGTCGACTCGGGGCCGTGCGCCTTCTTGTAGGCAGTGAGCAGAGCTGGCACGCACTTTGCACATGCCACTCGTACGGGGTCGTGGAAGAAGAAGGCCAGTCCAGGGAGAGCGATCTTCTCCATGATGTCGTTGACGTATGGCTCAAAAGCCTCCTCCAGAACCTGCGCATAGATGACAATAAGCTCGGTGGCCATGTGCTTGTCGTCCAACGTGCTGGTCTTGATACCAAGGATCTTGCCCTTGACAGGCACGAGCTCCCAGCCTTCCTCCTCTTGAACCTGTGCGACCTGGTCCTCGTCATCCAAAAGCTGAATGTCGGCCTTCGCAGCGGCGAGCTCGGTCAGGGGTGGGATAACGCCAGCCAGGAAGGGAACAAACTCCTTTCCAAGTACACGGCACATGCGGCCCCAGCAATGGAGCAGGTACGAAGCTTGCGGGTCGTCCGGCTCGGAAACGCTGTTCTGGATGCGACCAAGAAGTTGGACCAACGATAAGGCATCGTTGCCCATGCGCTCTTTTCCAACAGCGAGTGCAATGAGCGTGGCACACTCCATGGCCTTGGCACGGAGCAATCGGTACTCCTTAGACTGTTCCTCGTTGAGCACGTTAAAGAGAAGTGGCATCAAGGTATCGTAGTATTTGGAGAACGCGGCCTCGGCGGAATCGGCAACGGTGGCAATTGTGGAAAGGGCTTGCTCCTGGACAAATCGCTTGGGGCTCTGGAGCAACATGAGCAGGTGGCTCAGCAACTGATCCAGGTAGGGCTCCAGGATCTCCTTCTCGGCCTCCTCGCAGAAGTTGACGAGAGCAGCTGCGGCGTGTGCCTGGACACGGGGCTCTGAAGATTCGAGCACGGGAATGATGTTGGGCAAAACTACTTGGTGGTACTTCTCCTGCATGGTGCCGGCAAAATCGGTGCTCATCTGACCAACAGCATTGCATCCAGCCCATCGCACTCGCGGATGCGGGTCTCTAAGCGCGGGTAGGACAAGATCGAGGACCTTGTCAAGCTCTCCAATCATTAGCTCACGGCAACCCTCTGAGATGGCAGAGATAGCCATGAGGGCGGCATGCCGATCGCGCCACGCAGACGAAGTCATCATCCGGGGCAGCCAGTTGAAGGTAGGAGGTAGAATGGCCGAGCCGCCGAGCTTGTTTGCAAGACGGTCCATACATTGCTCACCGGCAACGTGGTTTGAGTCGCTTTCGTCCTGGTCGAGCTTTGCAGTGTTAGCTTTGCTACGAATCATGCTACAAATCGACTTACGTCCTCGGACTCGTTCCACTCTGTAGCGTCGTCGTCGTCAATGCCAACATCGGTCATGAGTGACAGACATTGCGTAACCATGTCGTTGGTAAAGTTCGGGTCTTTGCGGCACATCTGGGGTGAGCAATCGGCAAAAGTTGCCATGAGCTCGAGCGCGTTCTGGCGGGGCGTGTCATCGAGCTCCTTGTCTTGGATAACGGATACGCTGAACTGAACGAGGCTGTTGAAGAGCGGCTTGAACATCTTGGGCGCGACCTCGGCCAGGTCGATCAACGAGACCAGCGCTTTGGTGAGCATTTCACCGTCCCCAGACTCTTTGATGGGTGGCAGAATGTTCAGAATCTCGGGAATGAGAGTGTAGTACTTGGACTGGGCGTTCTTCTTGATGGAGCGGAAAAACGATGCGAATGCCTCCATGGCGGAAATCCGAACCTGGCGGTCTGTGAGCATGCTGTGAGCCAACGGAACCCACGAAGACGTACCGAAGTGTCGCTGTCGCCGAAGCCGCCCTTGAAGGCGGTTATGACGACTTCCTCGTGCTGCTTTTCTATTATGCCGGGCGTAGTAGAGAATATCCTGAAGGCAGTCTCGCGCTGGCCGGCGTCGCTCGATTGGCTGGCCTGGAACAACGCGCCTAGCAACTCGTCCCATGCGACACCTGCACCCGTCAGTATTTGCTCGTCCTGCCGCCGCTGTACCAGAGCTTGGGCACCGCCTTCGCATTGCGGGAAGCCAAGTAAGATCGAGTGTCCAAGTGCTGGTCCTCGACTGCATATCAGGCTAGATCGTACCTTCGTCTGTGTGTTGTCGCGCGAGCTCGGCAACGGCGTCTCCAATTTTGCTCCGCACCGAAGTGTCCTGCTCCTTCCCTAGGCATTGCAGCATACGTGCACGTATGGCCTCGCGCTCGGGCTGGTTGAGGGTCAGGAAGACGTCGGCCGTCTGGCCGTTGGCCGTCTTCCGCGGCTTGGAGGACTGTCGCCTGAAGATGACAGCAGCGAATGTGCGCGTCTGCGGGCTCGGTTAGCTCGAGTCGTGGTGGAAAGAGCAGCTGGTGCATACTGTCGAGTCTGGGGCAAAGTCGATCTGCTCAGAGAGGCCCATCAAGAGCACGTCGGGCCGCTGGCTGAGCCATTCGTCGTTCAACTGCTGCTCGGCGGCTGTGCGCTCCACATTGTCCGACGACTGCAGGCCGCGCAGCAGGTTGGTGAGGGCAGCGTGCACGTTCTCCGGGAGCGTCGCCATGCTGTAGACGAGTGCAAAAGGTGTGTCGTGGGGCTGCTCGTCGCGGGTGCAGGTCCAGCGGTAAGGGACGGGCAAGTCGTGGCGGGGCAGTCGGCGCGTGTGGCCCGTAGCAGAGCGGGTGCGGGCGACGAAACGGAAGAAAAAGGTAGATTAGGTATGCTAGAGCTCCAGGAAGCTGTCCGGAGCGCGTTCTTGGGTCTGTGGGAGCGCAGCGTGGAAAATTGAACAGTCGATTGTTTTGGGCCGACGACTGGTGGGGGAAGTTAGCGTCGCGACAGAAAATATGTGGGCTTGACAGGGGCCACCGCTACCGCACAGCCTCCCCTGGACAACGGCGAGGGCGTCACAGGGCGAGACAACTGGATTCTCCCTGGAATACCTCAAATGATGGTATCCCTCGAGGTCTGTGATGACGCGTTTGCACGCCTGGATCCACTTTGTCTCGCGCCCATCACACAGATGCAGCTATACGTTCAACGTAGACCGCCGCGCCCCACCTGTCTCTTTGATATCACGTGCACCATCTCGCTATACCACTAACATACACAGCAGTGCCATTGACCGTCCAGTCTAGTTCCACCTACGTTCGCGTTCTGCTACCTTCCCAAAACCGCCAGAGCCGGACGAATTTGTCGTCCGCCTCCGAATCACGGCTCATACGATACCCATGGGACTAACGATCTTTCATCGAAAATTATTTCAACCGTACCTTCATAATTTCGAAGGGTGCAAACTCGTCTGAACCAGCTTCGGGTCAACAACTCACGGCCAACAATTTCAAGGCTGAGGAGCTTGGGATTAATGGCAACCATGCGCGCCTGGCAGTTCACCACCCTCAACACGCCCTTCGAATCCAACCTCACTCTCAACACCGTCCCCAAGCTCGTCGCCCCCTCGCAAAGCACCTCGGAAAAGAAACCCAGCATCCTCATCCGCATCCACGCCGCCTCGCTCAACCCCGCAGACCACAAAGTCCCTCTCACCCCCCTCATCGGCCACTTCCTCACCCCCAAACCCGCCACCCCCGGCCTCGATTACGCCGGCATTGTCGAAGCCGTGCCCGACGGCTGTCCCACTACCCTCAAGCCCGGCGACAAAGTCCTCGGCCGCCACGAGTGGCCGTACCAGCATGGCGCGCTGGCCGAGTACATCCTAGGCCAGCCGAACGGCGTGGTGAAGCTGCCAGACGGGCTGTCCTTCGTGCAGGGCGCGGCGATCGGGACGGCGGCCGTGTCGGCGCTGCAGCCGCTGGAACTTGCCAAGATCAAAGAGGGGGACAGCGTGTTCATCAACGGTGGGAGCGGCGGCGTAGGCTCCTTCACGGTGCAGATTGCAAAGCTGCTGGGGGCGGGGCATGTCACCGTCACGTGTGGGCCTGCGAACGTGGAGCGCATGAAGGCTTTGGGGGCTGACGAGGTCATCAACTACCGCGAGGTGGATGTTGTGGATGTGCTCAAGGCCGGCGCGAAGGACAGCGGGAGGTTTTATGACGCTGTGATCGAGAATGTGGGTGCTGTCGACTCGCTATATGAGGAGTGCCATCATTTTTTGAACTCTTGGGGTTGCTTTGTGCAGGTTGCGGGGACGAACGTTTTGTTTACTGCGAAGCGTCTGATACTACCTGGGTTCCTGGGCGGAGGGAAGAGGAAGTATAGGACCTATCTGGCGTCCAATGTGCCCGAGGAGTTGCAGAGGATTGCAGCGTGGGTCGACGAAGGGAAACTCAAGGTGGAGATTGACGAGGAATTTGCGTTTGAGGATGCGAAGGAGGCTTTTGCAAAGCTGCGGGGTGGGAGGGCACGGGGGAAGATTGTGGTGAGGGTGCCTAGGGAGGGGAGGGCCTGAGTGGACTTGCTGGATCATTTACATCCGTGGGTGATTACAACCGTAGGTGAAACGCAGGGGCTAATGTAAACATGTCCGTAGGACTATACAAAAGTCCAATCATTCGAGTACGGTCACGCTCTCGCGAAAACTACGCCTGGCTTACTCTATGCATACCCCTTCAGGAACTTGCCCAGATCCCCAGCAAAAATCTCATGCGTCCGACTCGTCAAATGCCCCGAATTGTACCAAAAATACGTCTCAAGCGGCGCGCACCCGTACTTCCCCGGGTCAGTCAGAATGTCCGGCTGATCGTACGCCTTGCAGTACCCCGTCACGTTCTGAAACCCATACGCCTCATATCCATCCAGCACCCGATTCAGCACGGCATTAACATCGAACTGCAGCACCGTCGCATCCTTCTGCGCTTGCTGGAACCCATCCGCATGCGTCTTAAGTATGGAATTGAACTCCGCGACCATCGACGCATTCACAGACGGCGAAGGCCCACGGTCCAGCGGTGGGAGATTCATAAAGAGGAAGTGGCGGTAGCCTAAGTCATACACCTGCCTGACAAGCTCGAATTGGCGCTTCTGAACGCGCTCATACAGCGGCGCAAACGTCGCATTGCGGCCTCGCAGCTTCGAAAGGTCGTTGATGTCGTTGATGCCGATCCAGAACGCAATCAAAACGTCCCCCTTCTTTTTCACCGTGTGCGTAGACGTCAAGGCGGGATCACCGTACTCCACAAACTGCTTTACTTGCTTCTCCAGCGCGAGCGTGTGATTATGATGCAGTGGCGTGAAACTCGCATCTTCAATCGTATTTGCGCCCGCATAGGCGAAATCCCAGAGCTGCTTGTCCTTGCAGCTGCGTGGATTGGTGAGGCCGGGCTTAACACCGCAGGATGTCAGGAACTCGACCCAGTTTGGCCCACCTTCTGCGGTGCCGGTGAGATTCTGTACGATGCGGTCGGCGAGGAGGTCAGACGGGTGGAAGGAGGAGGAGAGTGCATCGCCGATGAAGGAGTAGTTTGCGTGGCCGGCGGTGCCTTGGATGAAGGTGTAGGAGTCACCGAAGGCGATCAACTGTTTAGTTTGAGACCAATTGAAGGAGGGTTTATGGCTGTTGTGTGTTGGCGTTGCAGAAGCAGAGGCACCAAGCGCCGCTGCGATGACTGGCGATGGTTTCATGGTCACAGCGGGTGTGCCAAAATGTCTCAGAATAGTCTTTCATACCCATCGTAGAGATGGGCTTGGCTTTTGTTACGGACGGGAGATGCGTAAATGATGCTAGTTTGCGGAGAAATTGTGCCCGGTGGCCAGGTTCGGGGTATTCGAGGCCTAACAAGCGCTGTCGCGAGACGGGATGTTGGAAATCGATGCGGGGTACGACCCGATTGACGTGCTTATTACACAGCTCCAGGCTGAAGTTTGCCCTACCATAAGGTTGTCACAATACATGATAAACAAGTAATAATTGGCTGTCTGCTCGCAGTATGTTGATTGAGCATGGTAAAGTCGGCAGGTATGAACACCTAGCTAGTGCAAAAGCAGTCTAGACTGCTTCCGACACATCAGGCAACCACCCATGCTCCCAAGACAACAATAACAACAACAACAACAACAACAACAACGACGACAGCCGTAAACATCACATCTATAACTCCAAAACCTGCCCCTTTGAGAAGCACAAACCATGGATCTCACCGCCCCCGCCACCGCAGAACCCGAGCACTTCTCTCCCGCTTCCCAAGTCTCTTCAGTCGCCGCCACCCTTGCCTCCCTGATCCGCACCTCAAAGCACTTCATTGTGTACACGGGCGCAGGCGTCTCTACGTCCGCGGGTATCCCGGACTTCAGGGGCCCCGAGGGCGCGTGGACGAAGCGCGCGCAGGGGAAAGAACTGGAATTTGATGGGAATAAGACGCTGACTGCGGTGCCGACAGCGACGCACATGGCGCTTGTGGCGCTGCAGGAGAGAGGGTTGTTGAAGTATGTGGTTAGTCAGAACTGTGATGGGTTGCATCGGCGGAGTGGGATTTTGCCTGTTAGTCTGAATTCTTAGTTTTTCCCATGCTACGAGCGCAAGTGTGTAACGAGATGCTGATGGATGGTATCATGCTGAATCGTGATGATTACTTGAAAGTTGTTCTAGAGGGTAGTAAAAAGGGTGAATGTGATTGCTAAGAAATGATCGCTTAGGATCGGATATCAGAGCTCCATGGAAACAGTAACAGAGAGTACTGCAAAGACTGCGGAAAAGAGTATATACGAGGTACGCTTCCTCAGATCCGCAAACACCTCTTTCTCCTGCGCGTTGGATCTGATTGACAAGTTGAAATTTCCAGACTTCCGCGCCGTCTCAACCTACGAGAAGTCCTACTCAGACCACCGCACGGGGCGCAAGTGCGCAGTCCCTGGCTGCAACGGCGCCCTCCACGACACTATTATCAACTTCGGCGAGCAGCTCCCCAAAGCAGCGATGACGCGCGCAACAACGCACGCCAAAAAGGCGGATCTGTGTCTCGTGCTCGGCTCCTCCTGTCGCGTCTCCCCCGCAAACTCCATCCCCGAATCGGTTGGCCGGAGCAAGAAAGGGAAATTAGCTATCTGCAACCTGCAAGACACACCACTTGAAGACGTCGCCGATAAAGGAATCCGCATCTACACCCGCACTGACAACCTGATGACGCAGGTCATGGCGAATCTAGGCATCCTCATCCCGCCCTTCCTCCTCCACCGCCGCCTCATCATCTCCATAGCGTCGCAGAGTAGCGACCGCCACCAGCTCACCGTGACCGGCGTCGATGTTGACGACACGCCTGCGTCGTTCCTGCGCTCGGTCAAAGTAGAAGGAAGTAGGAGGGCGGTGCGGACGGAGCCGTTTATGTTGGGAATCCGCGAGGAGCTGGAGGAAGGAGCGGAGGTGAAGGTCGAGCTGGAGTTCATGGGGCACTATGGCGAGCCGAATGTTGTTGTAGCACATGCGTATCACGGAGCGGCTGGCGGTTCGAATGTGTACGGTTTGGAGTATGATGTTTGGACGAAGGCGTGGGAGGTGAGGAGGGTATGAGTGGTGTGGATTCGCTTATTGAGCCGACGATGAGACTCGTGTAGGGCTGGGCGGGATCGCGAAATGGGCGATATTCATCCATTATTGAGCGACGTCGAGGTCTCATTGCCTTCGAAGCTGAGCGTCAGCGCTCCCATACTCCGCATATGATGGAGGAGAGTATGCCAGCAGCCAGGAACAGTTTCCAATCCAGAATGGTAGGCCATATGGAAGTTGCCGCGGGCTGAGAGTAGCGGCGAGCAACGTCCGGCAGGACCGCCCTCCAGTTGCGCATCCGCGCCATCTGTCCCGGCATAAACTCAGACATACACTGGCCATCAAAGTAATCTTTACGGCTGTGAGAAGTGGTTTCGTCAGGAATTGTTTTCATATACTCATGCATTCACGCCATGGGTCCTTGCCGGGGAGCTTTGAGCGGGTATTTGGCTGTTCACCACCGCACTTGTGTAAAATTCCAAATTCTGGACGTTTCAGGTGGATTGATGTGTCAAAAGCGCCGTTGCTGTAGTATATCTCGTCGGCATTGTCCCAATTGACGCCTTCACCTGCTATCAATGTATGGCGAAGACCCAGCCAATGGCCAACTTCGTGGACGACAGTGTTACCGGCGCGCCCGCCATAAGGTCCAGTCTGGAATCTCCTTTTCGGAAGAGAGTCGACTGAACAATTCGGCGACTGCACAAGGGAAAGGCATCTTGGTGAAACTTACCCGTGGGCGAACAATTGTCGACTTCAAGCAAGCTGGAGTCGTTTTCCGGAAGGTGGCAGATCTGCGCGTAGAGTCAGTACTTAACGGACTTGCGCGTAGCTGCAGTAGCTCACACCTCTCATTGAATGTATGCTTCATGTATTTCTCGGACCGCGTATAGATTCCGTGTCGTGTATTCGCCACGGTGGCGACCCTTTGCCAAGGACTGTATCGTATTCGACTTCGTTATGTTAAGACGAATGAAGTTCTTATCCGTATCGCAAGTCATTCCAATGAGATTAGAAGCGAAGCCTGCGGGCTCGTGTCGACCAGAGAATATTGGTCTCATCCACGATGGCATGCTCATACTAGCAAACGCCGTTACCATATGCACACTCAAGCTTACTCTTGACATACTATTCCGAGGTCCGCGTGCCTGGCTTCCAGCTTATTAGATCATGATACCCTGCGTTTGATATGTCTAATTGGTCACAATCCTCAGGCCAACAAATGGTGACCGCGGTATATCTACACAACCTCCCTTTCTCCATCTCTCCACTGCTTATCCTAGACACCACCATGTCGTCATCCACTCAAGCTCCCCATTCTTCCGTCACAACCCCTACGACGACCCGCACACCAGCTTCCTCCACTATTGTGAAAGACTCGCGGAGCCACTTCGAACGCACATTCTGCAGTGCATCCACAATCACCCGGTCACTCACTCTACTTCTCGAGAAATCCAGCACGCTGCCCAGATCCTAGCGGCGCTTGACAACTTTCAAAGAACAATAAGGGGTGTGGAAAAAAGTGGAGGCAGCAGTGTACATTTCACGCATTGTACAATCGGCCATGAACATGTGCAGACTTATTATAGGGGCATTTTACATTTGCATTATCAGGCAGGTTGATGTTTGATGGGCGGAATATAAATAGAAACCTGCTTTACTCGATGAAACTAGTATATAGATTGGCGGACGGTATATTTGTGGGCTCCTGGTATGGGAAGGACGCAAGATAACGGCGGGATATTAAAGCAGTCTCTACATAGGACTAAAATGAAACCGTATGCGTGATCCAAGGTGCTTTAGTTACCGGCTATGTACTTCAGCCTTTCAGTCTTGTATCTTCAGCACGACCTTCCCTCGTATTCTCCCTTCCTCAAGCAGCACATTCGCGCGCTCCCAAGCCTTTTTCTCCTTCCCTTCTTCCAAAATTCCCTCAATGACCTCCTGCACCACGGCTTTCACCTCTCCCTTATCGGCCAAGTCTGCTACCTGTTCCAGATACTTGGACTTGTTGTACAAGATGACAGCTGCATAGCGCGGCCCAGAAAACCAACTCCACATGTGCCGCAGAATTTGGGCGGGGTACGTAAAGTAGGTAAGAGGTGGACCGGGTACGGTGCGGCTTGTCTTATCGCCGACGATGGTGATGTATGCGCCTTGTTTTTGGATTATGCGTTTCTGAGAACGATTAGTGTGCTGAGCCGTATACATCTTGAGGACATCTTACCCAGGTTCCGAACATGTCCGTACCACCCACGCAGTCAATGTACAAGTCAAACTTATGTCCTTCAGATACGTAATCCAGAAGCAATTCAGGTACACTCGACGTAGTGTAGTCGATGACATCGTCTGCACCGAGTCCCCTCACGAACTCTGCGTTGCGGCCTGAGCAGATCGCTACGACGTGGCAGTTGTACACCTTCTTTGCCACTGTTGCACGTCAGTGGCTCCCTCTCACAGCTACTCCCTAACTTTATAGATGTAGGATGGTTGACATACACTGTATACACCACATTCCAGTACCACCACTGGCACCTGCTACGACAATCCTTCGCTGGGCGGCAGTCGGCTTGAGAGGCGGCAATCGGTCCAAACACGCAAACGCCGTAAGCGTCACAAGCGGAACGGAAGCTGCTTCTTCAAAGGTCCAACCCTTTGGTTTCCGCGCAATAGGAGCTTTGTCTGAGACGGTGAGGTACTTAGTGAATGTACCCCGTGCAGCCTGTTTGAGTCAGCACTGCGCGTATCTCCCTCCTCATGTGTCTCTAGCGTAGCAGAGTATAACTCACAGGCCCCTCACACATGCCAAAGACTTCATCCCCGGCTTCCCAATTTCCCTTCATCTTGTCTCCAACAGCCGCGATTATGCCGGAATAATCCCATCCCATCGTCCCCTCGCGTCCCAATCGGCCCAAGCCTACAAGCGGACTGTGCCATAGCTGAATGTCGCAGGGATTTACTGCTGCAACGAGAACTTTGACGATGAGTTGATTTGGCGTGGGAGGCTTTAGAGGTGTATGAGTAAGGTGTGGGGTGGCGGATGGCAATGAGTAGGCCAAAGATGTGTTGGAAGGCGGGAGAGACATGGTTGTTTGAGAGGAAAGACCAGGACAGGCAGTGTCAACGTTGAAATTTACTTGCTGCTACTGCGTATCGCGCGAGCCCTTACAAGGCGATGTTATGGAGTTCTCGCGTCGTCTTAGTACGAAGCACGCTTGTACCGAGGTGTGCTGCTTGTGCATAAGGCTAGCACTCTTTGGGTTTAGTTTCCACTGGGTCGTGAATCTTATTGTTCTCGCCGGCGTCAAGGATCTGGAAATGTTAAATGTTTTACCGCTGATGGTAAGTTCTCTCTCTTCTGCTCATGTGAAGAGTGATCAAAACAAACCGTCGCGATACGGACAAAAACGCACGTAATCACATCACTCCAGCTTGATAGGTTGTTCTGGTCGCTTGATTTGGTATTCACCAGATCTATGGTAGGTACAAGCTATGCATGAGGAGTGATTGCTTCATGGTGCCTGATTTTATCTTTCGATCGCTCTATTTAGGCTGTGTTTGCCTAAAACATCTTCACAACTTGACGGTACTTCTCGCCCTGATACCCTCGCCATACCGAATGAACAGGAATGGGATCGGTATTAGCGCGAGACTTACAAACCCTAGTAACGAATTCCCCCATCCGTATCCCATGGCCTTGTACATCTTCGAGCTGCTCAGCGGGATCAACGCTGCACACAGACTACGCAGCACAGTGCTTGCAGCCATCGCGCTCGCAGCATGTACTGTAAACACGTCAACAAGATAGGTAGTAGCCGGCATGAAAGCCATGAGGAGTCCGAAGCCGATGAGTCCTGTGCCGAGAATTGGTACAATCCAATGCGTCATCTCTTGCGCAGCCCATCCGTACCAGAACAGGCCGACCGGCAGGCAGAAACCGCCGACACACATGGAAGTTAGGCGGTGCTCGGGCTTGAAGTCGCCTCGCGCGATATGTTTGTTCACGATCTTGTTGCCAAAGTAAGTGAAAGCGAATTGGCCAACCAAGGAGCCGAGTCCGATACCCATAAAAGATAGACCGACGACACCACCCTTCCAGTGATACTGAGTTTTGAAGACGGCCGTGAAGGTGGTGAAGAGGATATACAGATAGGCATAAGTTATAGCGATGTACACAGACATTGCAAGGCAAATAGTCGAGCGCGTGAGCATTTTGGCCGGTCTGATGATGGAAAATTTGAAGAGGTCTGCCGGGGACAGATCAGACGCAAGTTTTGAGCGTAGTTTTGGGTTGTTGGTCTCTGCACGGAGACGTTTCGCCTTGCGTTCGAGAATCACAGGAGCTGAGGTCTCTCTCATGAGGATGAAAGATGCTAACATCAAGGCACCCGCCTGCTAGATGTCAGTCACGATCGGCTAGGAAGGTAATTTCAACACGCACAACGATGGCCACAAACCAAAAGTTCCATCTCCAGCCCTTAGCAACAGTCATAAAACCGCCAATAATAGGACCTACGCAGGGACCGATCGCTAGAAATCATTAGTATGCTGGATGCAACAAAAGTACGTCTTACTCACTAGGACCCATCATCCAAACCACCATAGCAGTACCACGCTGCTCTCTACTGATCAAGTCTGCAATCGTACCTCCTCCCAGCACCATAGGCGCTCCACCAAAGCAACCCATAAGGAACCGGAACACGACGAACTGGCCCATGTTTTGAGCCACCGCTGCCGCAATGCTGAAAATCACGAACAAAGCATTGCAGCTGTGGTACAAGGGCAGTCGCCCGTACATCTCCGACAATGGTGCGATTACTGCATTAATTAGTCGGGTCAAACTTCAGGATTTGTCTAGAAGAGCCATACTCATTGGTCCAAATGCAAACCCCAAGACGTACACCGATACCATGAACTGCTCCAGCATATCATTCGTCGAATCAAACGTAGCCATAACTTGTGGTACACCAGGCGCGAACATGCTGGACGCGAGGGGTGTTAGGAACGTGATTGCTGATATCAAAACCACAGTTCCCCATTTCTTCGTGTACGACCAGTTCATGGGGTTCTGCGGATCGTCCGGGCCATCCCACCATACGACGTTCGGATCATCTTCGTTATTGTCGACAGGCTCTTCGTCGCTGGACATTGATTCTGCCGAGATGCCCTTTTCGATGTCCTTGTCTACTGCTGCCGTTGAAACTTTCTCCGACTCATGATTTTGGTGCATCGATCGAGGCGTGGATGTATGGCTAGGCACTTGATATATGGAGCCGGCATTAGTTGGGATATCTGCATCGTGGCCTTCTGCTATGGCGAGCTCGATGATCTCACTGCGTGTCGGGTGTCGATACATCTCCGGCTTCGCCATGGTAATGATGAGGCGCAATTGAGAATTGGAGGGCTGCAGTAGTGACCGGGGCTCGTCTGCTTTTATATTTTTGTGCTTTGCTGACTGTGAATTGACGTTGTGTGGTTGACAATTGTATTCCGGTTCGCTCAAGCGCGGTTTCTCAGCGCATGCCTGTTTTCAATCGGATGTAGTCGGCCGCAAAGGTAGCAACGTCAAATTGTTAGTCTGCGATGTGGACCATGACTCAAACACGGATTCCGAGTGGAGTGCGCGGAGGGACGAAAGCGTCAGGCTGTTACCAGGTGTGGTATCAATGACCGCGCATAGGAAAACCGATGACTATCATTAACGAAGGAACAGTCCCTGGGGAATGGTCAAAGGGTAGGGGAAAGATCCACGGGTCATGGGGTAAACCCGTTAAGCGGTGCCGCTTTGCCGTTCGAAGACGGAAATTGAGACCCTCCGCACAAAACCCCAGGGCGGGTGCGGAGATAAACGGTGACCACTTTTCTTTTGCGCTAATGACCGTGCTTAATGCCCTTTGGTGGAGGTTGCATTACTATGCTATAACTGATGAGGGGAAACACTAGTGCAATTGCCCGAGGCTTGAAAGTTGCCACGCAGTAATGGTGGGAAAAAAGGGCAAGAGCGCGTAAGTCGCCCAAATCCCCGGCATACCATAACAGCGCGAAGGATTTATTCACAAGTTTGAGAGGAAGCATGCCCAGCTTCCGGTTAAGCTTCTGCCTCAAGACGGCGTGGCTTGAAATGCCACAAATGGCACATGTGCTGGCGTCGCATAATAGTACATCTGACTCCACACTGCTGCCTTCTCAAGAACAGAGCTCTAAGCATTTCTCACTGTTGTGACGGCGGATCGGAGGATGACAGGCTGGGATGGATCGCAAGTTGGTAAGCTCCTCCTCGGAGGTATCGTTAGCCTCGGCCGAGCCTGCACCTCGCTCGTTTGCTTGCTTGATCCGTGACTGATCTACCTGCAAAGATCTGCCGCGTGAGGGTCACGTTCGATGGGCTCGGTTGGTTGGGTCACTCATGATCCAACAGCGTGGATTGACGTGATTCGGGCACGATAGCCCGTCCGAAGAGAACCATCGCAGTCGATTGTGAGCAAAATGCTGCCGCATACAATAAATGCCGCACGGTGGATCCTTCACATCAAACACCTATTCAGCGGTGTCGGGCCTGGTAGAAGCTGACACATTGGCTGCTTGTCGTAGGCTCAACGAAGAAAGACATTGACCAAAGGCCCACGATCTCCAACATTTTGTTTTGATAGGTCCATGTGGTCGGTGCCAAATCAGACAGGCCTTCATAATATCGCATTTCGGGGAACAGCTTGAGTAATGGTGTGCCATCTCATCAGCTACAAGCTCTTCAACCGGACGGATTGCCTCGAAACAAGGCAGGTTCTCCTAGTCAACGACGCCGAATATTCAATTGCGAACGTCTCATGTCTGACCCCAACAATATCAGAGAAGACTTTGGACACAGCTTTGGAGCAGTCCACGAGGATGCCGATTTGGTTCCCCAGGCCCGTTAGTCAGCGTATTTGTCCTCACAGTCGCTGCCTGCCATCTTATTGCCCGATGGGAACGTTTCAGACCTCTGTGTTTTGAATTTCTTCTTGAAAGATACCTGAGCACTTCCGAGAATATCACCGTCGTACCGAGCCAAACAACTGGTGTAGGCTCGTTGAGGCACTTTATCATGCCGCTGAAGACGCTGTAACAAAAGTCCGATGGTGCAGTTGCCGGAATACTTGGATCGCCCATTGAAGAAAGATATCCAAGCAATAGATCCCGACTTGGTGGGTGTAAGGCTATGCGGGTAATGTGAAGATCTGGTTCCGCGGCCGCCCCGCTTAGCGACGGACGAAACCGCTTTCGGAAAGCTCGCATGGCGGCATCACCAGCGCCACTGTTCCACGGCCGTCGTTCTCTACTCTGTTTCCAGAGAGGCCACAGATACATCTTCAAAATATCGCTTACTTCGAGATGACTGAGGGCGCCCCAGCACACGGATCCGTGGCGCATCTGCTTCCGCAGACGTACAAGCGTCAGGTCGCTGAGTGGCTTGAAGAGGACACTCCAAGCTTCGACTACGGCGGCTTCGTTGTAGGCGAAGAAATATCAGAAGCCAAGCTCTTGGGAAAGAGCGAGGTAAGCATTGCCTGGATGCTATTGAAACTCTCTCATAAGTTTATAGGGTATAGTGGCAGGAGTACCATTCTTCGACGAGGTCTTCCGGCAACTTGATTGCACGTGAGTGACGTTCTTGTTACTCTGAATTTGTTCAACTGAGATCTAGCAGTGTTGTTTGGCATGTTAAGGAAGGCGAACACTTCGAGCCGATCAAACACTGTGCAACGGTGCGTGGCCCAGTACGAAAGTTGCTCCTTGGCGAACGAGTGGCCCTCAACACATTGGCACGATGCTCAGGCATAGCGACCAAATCAAATCGCCTCTTACGAATGCTCCGCGAAGCTGGATACCCCAATATACTTGCCGGCACTCGAAAGACAACGCCGGGCTTCAGGCTTGTCGAGAAGTACGGAATGCTTGTTGGTGGTGTTGATGCCCATCGTGTCGACCTCTCCGCCATGACTATGCTCAAAGATAACCACATTGTTGCTGCAGGAAGTATTACCAACGCCGTACGAGCTGCCAAGTCTGCCGGTGGCTTCGCTATCAAGGTGGAGGTAGAGTGCCAAAGCTTTGAGGAAGCAGACGAAGCCATTGCAGCTGGCGCAGATATTGTCATGCTGGACAACTTCACATCAGACGGGGTCAAGATTGCAGCTGCTCAACTTAAAGAAAAATGGGGGAGAGGCACGGGTGATCGAAAGGCATTCTTGGTCGAGGTCAGCGGAGGACTGACCGAGGAAAATGTTGCGCCGTACGTCTGCGCAGATGTGGACATTGTGAGCACGAGCAGCATTCATCAAGGCGTCAAGCATGTCGACTTCTCGTTGAAGATCGTACCCAAAGGCAAAGATACACAGAAGACCAGCGGAGAGAGCCTAGAGGTGTGAGATATACTTACCCCAGCCTCCTTCGCAGATTGTTTGTACAAGTGGCAACGGAACCATGGACATGGAGAACAAATTCCAATCGGATGGAACGACAAGCCCGAGGTCGGACAGCCATTGTTCCAACATTCAAATGATACGTCTACGGTTCTCTCTCATGGCAACGAGGGTGACCGAAGTCAATACCAATTAGAGTGGGGGGAAAGGTATCCGCTACTAGAACAACTTAAGGTACTATGAATATCAATGTTTTTTGCTTGCCGATACTGTATCGCTGGTATTCGCGTTGTCGCGAGCGAGCTCCTCTGTGGGCTGGAAGTGACGCTAACCGTCGGCATCGGTGCATTCGAAGGGATTTCTCCGAGCCTACCCGAATCCACGCTAAGCCCTTTCAACACAATCCCGAACGCAATGCCTCGCTCTTACACTGCCATCGCATCAAGTTTGCAAGTTCCTACATCATATCACATTCAAGATCGGCATCGTTTATCGCGACCAACACAACGATCCACGACCTTTCTTTGACGCATGAACGACACGGCGCACAAACCTATCAACCGCGTTGTCCTGGCTTGTATACAATGTAGAAGCCGACATGTGAAATGCGATGCAACCCAGCCTGCGTGTAATCGATGTACACGAGATGACAAGGAATGTACCTACCAAAAGTCTAGGCGAGGCGGGCTGGACAAGGCCGCTCTAGCCCGACGGCGTGAGAGGCTGCAACAACAAGTAGCAGAAAATGCGCAAACCAGCGGGCAGCTACCTCAAAGTCGATCATCCAAAACTCCCGATGATAGTGTGACAGGGGAAATTCATCAATGGGCAGGCATTTCCATGGACACAGCTGTTGATACCATCCCAGTAATCGATGCAAGCTTACCATCGTCCCAATTGGCTTTCCAGATCAGTACGGAACGACTGCTGGATGTGTATTACGAGAATTACTGGGCAGCGTACCCTATCCCATTACCCAAGCATCATCTGAATCAGCGGAGGCTGGAAAGCAATCACGGCATGGACAAGCTATTGTTGGTTTTACAATACATTGGATCTATCTTCGCTCCATGGACTCATCCTGAACCTCACTATGAGGCCGCTGAAAAAGCGCTTGGGTCGACAGATCTCCCCCGGACGCCCTGGAATGTACTAGCATTGATGATATTTGCCACTGCGCAACTTCATACCAATCGGACACGCGAATCTCGCCGCTCTCTTGACACGGCCACTTGCATAGCGATGGAGCTATGCATGAACACGAAAGAATTCGCCGTAGCGTATGGCGAAGGAAGCCCAGTCCTAGAGGAATCTTGGAGGAGGACGTATCACTTCTTAGCGCTAACGGACCAGCACTTCTCTATCATTGTCAATAACCCGATGTGCGCATTGATGAACGTACCAAATCTGGCTGATCTACCTTGCGATGATGAGTTCTATGAATCAGGTGTAAGTGAAGCGCATGTGCACTCTCATTTTAAGCATGCTCACAGTGGTAGAACATTCCGCCTCCGAAAACGTGGCAACAATACGACATGAGGGAATTCGATGATGTTGAGGTTGTGTACTCATCACTGGCTTACCTAGCCGACATTTCCAGGATCACCCGCTATAGTGAGTCCGGAAACATCATGATGCTCGATCAAACCATGTCTGACCAATGAAACAGTCATGAAGTCTTTCATGGAGACCGGAGTGTTCAACGCGGCCTTCGTAGCAACAGTCGACGCGAAGATTGCTATCTGGCACTCTCTTCTCCCAGCTTCAAAACGAGACCCGATGCGACAAGATGGGACTGTGGATGAAGTTATGTTCCTGGCCCATCTGATGGCTTCAATGTGGGTTCTGGTGCATTCTCGCCTAATTCGGTTACTGATGTCTATAGTCTAACGATGGCATCGCATCGGCCCTTCTCTTCCCTCGAGTACAGCTTTGAGGAACTCACTACATCGAGCTTCTCTCCTTCTGTTCCATTCATGGATGCGCCAAAGCAGGTTCGTCCGGTCCATACAGCGAGGACTCTCAAAGCATGCGATATGCAAACAAAGCTGCTCGCGATACCCTGTGCTTCCGAAAGGCATAACATCATGACTGGATGTATTGTGGCCTCGATAGCCACTGCACAGATAGCTGCATGCAAGCTCCTGGATGACCATGCTCTCTCCATAGCTCGTGATCGTGTGCGATTGAGCATCGGCTATCTAAACGCTATGGGCCAGTTCTGGACAACATCCGCGACAATGGCGAAAGAAGTTCGCTTCGTGGCTCGGAGTGCGCTCACCGGATTGCCTAACCCGATAGCAAGTCACCCGGAGCCCGCTGTAGAGATTGAGATACCCCGGTATGAGTTGGGCTGGCCACTCGATCCCTCAGTGCAGATTGACATATACGCCGGCATGACCATTCCGATGGATTTGGACGCGCAGACGACGGGCTACACATCTTCATCGACTTCGAGTTTATGATGTGTTGCCCAGTCTGCGCCCATCACGAGATCGAATTGCTCTTGTGTCACCATACATATATAGACATGGAACACTGCATCAGCACAACAACACCGACATCTTTGCGCCCGTGATGTCAACGTAACCGGCCTTTGATAATTGGAATTCAACTCCAGCTCCGTGGAATGTTGTCATGTAAGCCGGCTTGGCCGTCAGCATGGAGTCGAATCATGGACTGCGTGTGCGAACCACACCGTGAGCCATGTATCAAAGTCGCGAGTGTTATCGGTCTCAGGCCAGGCTGTAATGCTTCGCTATTGTGGGTGCGCATTGCGATACGACCCACGACGGTGCCGCGCGCAGCACGAGGACCACCAGGCACCCCATGGCAACCCCATTGTTCGCCCATCTTTATCCACCTCCCCACCATTGGCATCACACAGCAAACTCTCGGCATCAGCTGTGTTATCTTCCGTGTTCACAAGGGTCGAACCAATGCGGTCTAACCACCAACCAGCGTCATGCCGAAAGTAGGATAGCCTGCCGCCCCGCCTAAGATCACTTGCACAACGTGGGGTGGATCCCGGCAGCCAGACGGCGAACTTTAAAATGGCCGTCATTTCGCCTTTAACCTTCGTGGCAATAGAAAAACACAGCCATCATCGACATGTCTTTCCCTACCCTTGGCTTTAAGATGCGCACATGCTAAACGTCGTTATCTAAACGGTTTCCAACCTCGCAGACCTTGCCGAAGAGCTAGCGCGAAAACCCAATTGCGCCACCATATCGCTGGACCTGACTCAACGGTAATACAGACAATGGCGACGCCGCATGCAAAGAACGAGATGGGCGTGCTCGCTGAGCCTGGAAATGGATTTGAAAGTGGGAAGCAAGTCGAAGATGGCTCGATTGAGGGGCCTTTGGAAGAGATAGACCCTGTCGCGGAAGCCAAATTAGTGAGGAAGCTGGACGTTCACATCATCCCAGTTGTGATGCTTCTGTACCTTTTCTCTTTCTTGGATCGGCGAGTAATACCACATGTCCTACGAAGCTCCAATGATACTTGAATGGTCCGCCGTTCCTCTGAGGGAGTTCGTTTTGATCTGATCAGGTTCTAACTTTCCCACAGAGTAAACATTGGAAATGCCCGCCTTTATGGCCTCGAAGAAGATCTAGGTCTTAACTCTACACAATGGCAGACGGCCATTTCCATCCTCTTCGTAACGTACATTTTGTCCGAAGTCCCATCGAACTTGGTCCTGAAGAAATTGACTCCGTCCCGCTGGATCGCGTTCATCACCGTCTCATGGGCCATCGTCGCAACCTTGACCGGAGTTGTGCAGAACTTCGCAGGTCTCATTGTATGTCGCCTCTTCCTAGGTGCTGTAGAGGGCGGCCTGTTTCCAGGACTGGCCGTCTACCTTACCTTCTTTTACACGAAGCGCGAACTGGCTCTACGAATCGGATACTTATTCGTGTCAGCCGCACTTGCTGGTGCATGCGGTGGTCTCCTCGCTTTCGCTATTGGACACATGGACGGCGTTGCTGGCGAGCGGGGATGGCGCTGGATTCTGATCATCGAGGGCCTGCCCACCTTCGTGCTCGGGATTGCGACATGGTGGATCCTGCCAGATGAGCCTGCAACTACGTACTTTCTCAATGATCAAGAGAAGAAACTCGCTGTTGCACGCCTGAAGCGCCAAACGGGGTATACCATCAGCGCACAAGAGTTCCACTGGCAGGATGTACGGAACGGTGCTAAAGACTGGAAGATCTGGGCCTTCTCCTTCGCCCAATTCGGCTGCGACACCATGCTTTATGGCTTCTCAACCTTCTTGCCTACAATCATCAAAGGCATCCAACCGCACGCTTCGACTGCTCTAGTTCAGGTGTACACCATCCCTTGCTACGCAGTTGGTGCCATTACCTACCTAATTGTCGCACGACTGTCGGACTACCAGCAAAAACGTGGTGTCTACGCCGTCGCATTAGGTGTCGTAGCTATCGTCGGGTACGCGATGCTGATGAGCAATTCCAGCGCGGCAGTGCACTACGCAGGATGCTTTCTGGTAGCCATGGGTCTCTACGTCAACGTTGGTCTGCCATTGGCGTGGCTGCCGACCAACAACCCGCGCTACGGGAAGAGGACAATAGCTACGGGTCTGCAGTTGAGTCTGGGTAACTGTGCTGGTATCATGTCTTCGTTCGTGAGTATATCACATTCCAGCTGGACATTCGCGAGATGCTGACACACGCACAGTTATACCCCGCCAAGGAAGGCCCGCGCTTCATCCGTGGTCACGCCGTGACGCTGGCGATGGTGGCGTTCGCAAGCGCTGTGTATGCGTTCATGTGGTTCTACTACTCGCGCGTGAATGTGCGGAGAGCAAGAGGAGACGAGGATCATAAGATTCAGGGCATGTCAGATCAGGAGATCAAAGAGCTCGGGGATGATAGCCCGCGGTTTGTTTACACCATTTGAGGGACGCGGCAAGGCAATAGATGGACACTGGTGGTTCGTAGGGCGCGCCTGATCTTGAAAGCGAAGAGCAAGAGTATTAGAACAGTATTGAGAACAAGTTGGAAGTGAAAGATGTGTCTTAATGGGAGATGATGAGCGGGAATATTTCCATGGGGGAATCGTAGACTTGGTGTGCGATAATACACCCGAGGTCAGTTCGCTTCGCAGATTCATGGTGGATATCTAGCTCTATAGTGCCCCAACTTAAGTGATGCTAAACCTCTCCAAGGATATTGAACTCCATCGGGGATCTCTCCTTAAGCTTATTCTTAAGTCAATGAACCTTCGCGAATGAACGGCACCTCCCGATTTCGATCTACTGGAGCACATCAGTTGGGCAACGCGCAATCCGAGCAACTACCACGTGAAAGAGCCGGTGCCACAGAATCAGCAACATGACCATGGAGACACGACACCGACGGATCGATAGCAGTGTTGACCCATGCGTGGTACTAGCAGGTCTGACTGGCGAAGCGCGTGCCCTTTACCTTCACCTTTGTCTGGACCCACGCGTGGTTCTGGGCCAACAAACGCGCTAGCGTGTGTCCTGTCGTTTGTACTGCAACTACATTCTGAGAACTTTCTATCGACCTGATACCCTTTCTGTCTATCCACCTCCCGCTTTAACACTTTATAGATACTCAGCTTGCGACAAAGTGGCCAACACAGGTTACATACTGCCGTCAGTTTTGTAAGCCATGGAATAAAGCATGCAAGCTGATGTTCGTGTAGGGACCTTAGGGACGGATTCGTCACTGCAGTTGTGGGGACCGGTGACAAATGCAAGTCGTTCATGTTGCACAAGAACGTGGTGTACAAGCGCTCCAAGTACCTACGCGGAACTATGAACGACGAGGGGTGGAAGATGCGTCAAGGCATGGTCAGGCTTCGTAACAAGGATCTGGATATCTTCCGTGTCTACATCCAGACGATCCATGGTAACTGTGTGCGCGCAGGCCGGCAACGTTCTTCAAGCTGAACCAGACGAGTCGAGCAAAGACAGCCTCCGCACGCTGAGCCAGCTCTACGTCTTAGCAGAAAACTTGATGGATGTGCACGCGAAGAACCATGTGGTGGAGGCCATCTACGATCGGGTGGAGGCTTCCGTTGTACCTATGAAGCATGATATCTGCGATGGCTTGGCTGACAGACGGACGGTTCACAGCTTGAGCCAATAAATCGAAACTATATCCTGAGCGCGAAACTCAAAAGCCACCACTATGAAAGGACCTCCAGCAACCACTGAAGGACGACCGAGAGGGACTGACACACGTCGTCTCGTCATGTTCATGGTGCATCCTGTTACCCCAAGCTGAGCCGTTGGGTACTTAATGTTTTTGTTGCTTGACATTGGACGGGACCGACATGAACCTTGAAAGAAGTTATGGGCAGAATCGCAGTCGTCGGGCATCCTAGTATCCCCGCTTCTCTCTGGAACAGATTCACGTCTTCAGCTACGGTCTTGTTGCACGGAAGAAGCGTCCATGGCACGGTGCACTTAGTAACCTTTGGAAGTAGTCTAAAACAATGAAATACTCTATATAAAGTACTGCTATGCGTTCACAAGCTGACATACGAAGCCCCTAGAATGAGATTTCCTGCGTTGACTTTGCCGGATCTGGGCCCGTGGGGCCAGAACACTGCGTCCAAATACTACTAGTTACATCTTCTTGAGAAGCATGCTTAGAACAGGCACCGTAAGAGAATTGAATCTTTCTTGTCTTTGCACCGCGTGAATGGCGCATCTTTGTGTCCCTTATCCACCGTTCCTCTCATCTCGCTGCAAATCCTATTCGCGGACATACGTCGCTCAAAGCATCTATCGTACGCATCTACAACCTGCTACAGTCGCATCTTCCTATTCTCTTTATCTTTGGTATGCTCGATGTCGAAAACCCACAATTCAAATGGTTCCCCCTGAATAAGCGTCAACTTTACGAAGCCCCGTAACGCAGAGGAAGGCTTTGCTGTGAGTGCGAATAATGTGATGCATACCTCAGCTGCGTGCGCTGCTTTTGTTGCATCGCTCATCTCTTGCTATAGAATACAATGCTCCTCCCATGTGTGTGGACAATCGGGATAGCCTGGTGCAGGAGGGTTGCATGTTTGTCTATAATATTGAAGTTTCTTGAACCATTCGGGCTTCATACCTATGTCCCTCTCATTTTCTGCAGGTAGTCCTTGCTATAAGCTGGTGACGATCAGCATGACCAAGGCTATCAGTAATCTGGGTTGCATTGTGGATATGGCGCTGTTGGTGTGAATTCTTGAGTATTATCTACGTGAAGCGTGATTACTTTCGGTGCAATCTTCAAGCTGGGGTTTTGAGAGCTTGAAGTTTCTTATGTATGAAAGGAGGTTCGTGGGCGTGGGCGATAGTTATGTTGTCTGGCGAGGCAAGTTCAAACCAGCTGGCACATCGCATCTTCTAATTTCTACCGTCTGGTCGACATATTTGAACAAAGTATGCACTGTAAGTATGCAGTCTGTTGGGTCATGGCCTGCATGGTGGAATGACGCTACGATCGCGCCAAAGGGCTAACCGTGCAATGCGGCCAGCTCCAAGCTCCGCGTGGTGAGTTAAGGGCTAGGCTTGAATAATGATGTTCTTGCTCTGAGCTGGATCAAGCCAATGTAGAGATCAGATGTTCACTGGGAGCTTGGAAATACTTTGATTCAGAACCCAAAAGTGCCGTCGGACTTCACCACGGATCTAATCTGATAGAATATATTATTCTAGTAGATTAGTAAAGATGTTTGCGTTTTGTCATTGGCATATCTTACAGCGTAGTGAAAGTGACGTGCGAGATATACCCTAGATCCTGTGCATATTAATTGAATTGCGAGAATATCTTAATTATAACGATTTGAAACCTTGCACGGGACCAAGAACTAGATCGAAAATAATGACGCATTTTAAACTGGATCGATGAGAATCGAGTTGATCATTTCTCGTCAGAGGATATATAGGCCTTCTGCAGATGAGCATGATGTCTAGGAATGTCAGGATAAGCACAGTTGGATGAGAGATCAAGCTAGAGAGCCCTTCCCGACATCTATCCTACGAACGGAGCCACATATTGTGACACCGACAAGAACAATCATGCCAAAAGAAAGACTTGAGCACCGTAAGAAGCTTGAAATGGAATCTGTTGATTCTTTTCGATTATCTAGAGTCAGGTTCACGGGGCTCGTCTGTGAAATGAGCATATCAGCGTGTGCATTTACGTCTGTGGTAGTTGAAGTCATACAGTTTTGATGTTACGGTAACTCCATAGTCTAGCGAGTCAGCGATACCTTAGAACATGCAGCAAGTGGTGCCAGATTTTCCGACATTTCTGCATCTGTGTGCTGGAAGCAACCGCAATAACTACTGGACGTACAGAACTAGGGAAAACGATCTTGGACGTCGTAGAAAGGTTGCCTGGATCTCTGGATAACGTTGAACTGCAGGTTTTGTTGGTTACATGTTCAATATTGATGCACTACACAAGATGTCTCGCATGCGCGGTCGAGACCTTGTTCACAACACCGTGTAAGTCTCACGCTGCACGTCTTGAGGACTTGGCAAAGTAATATCATGGTACAGAGTCCCTCAGTGTATCTTGTATGCTCTAGATTGGGTGACGGTGCCAACGCCAGTGCCCAATATGGTAACAGGGGCTCGCGTACATCGCCCCGCACCGTACTCACCTGTCCTTCGTTAAGATACCGTACACCACAAGTCGAGACCGTTCTAAAGTGAATCAAATGCTGCAGTACAAGTAGTCTCCAGGTAATAATAGCAGCACAAAGGTGTAAGACTTATCTTATGTGCAACATCTGTTGGGGGCCTGAAGTACATCTGACACCAAGCATCTCGCCCGGAGCATTCTAGCCCCTAGAACCACGCACGCGATGCATACGGAATGCAAAGCATTCTCGGAGTACTAGTACTAGCCACAGGAGCGCCCCGTCGCGCCTCTCGTATTCCAAAACAGAGGCACTATCCGCGTGGCACAGACAACACACCCGACCTAGCCTGCTGCACGCCCCGCTCCCTTCCGTGTCAGGCAGCCGGAAGACCATGCAGTCTGGGGAACACAAGCATGATGCGGGTCGCACGCGGGGCGCCTCCTTCGGGTCTGGGTCTCCATGGGGGTTGCACCCGTCACACGTGGGCGCTATGTCGCGTACATTGGACCATGCCGCTGGCGCTTCTTGAGGCATCCTTCGGTCCGACATCGTAATGGCGATGCAGTGAAGGAGATGAGTGTCGAAGCGAGCAAGAATAACGTTTGAAGATGCGTGAATTATCGTCGGCACGGGATGGGGGAGGTAGGCGTGTGTACCTTTTGTACAGGCCTGGTTGATTGGTTAGCAGTCGGAAGGCGTTGGAGGAGCTCCGATTGGACAGGAGTCGGGTCTGAGATACGCGAGACGCCCAAGTATCGAACCATACATTGTGGCTTCGGATAGACTGTGCTTGGCTTGTTGGCCTCAAAATGTAAGCTTTCTAGCACGTGAAGACATTTGGAATAGACGGCGTTGGAGAAAGGGAACGTCCAGCGCGAGGGTGAAGGACGAGCAGCCGCAACCGCAGCCTCGTGCCTACGACTCAGTGTCGACACGACTGTTAGAGAACATTAGGAAAGCGAGATGGTAGCCACCGCTTGAATATACTTGAATTAATCACGGATTGGTATGTCAGTTAGAGAAGTTGGGTAGGCGGGGATTCGAGGTGTCAAAAATTAGAGTGACGACCGCGTGTAAATTCCTTCACGGCATTTTTGGAAACTTGTTGAGCAGAGGAGACAGGCATACGCCAGCTCCGTGGTATAATAATTGACTATCGATATACGCGATCCACCACAGTCGATGAGGCTTCTCACTATTACATACACAACATCACGTGCACTAGGCATGTGCATCCGTTCATTCCTACGTCCCGACGTGAACCCAACCGTAACGCGTTATACAAGAGGCGATAGAGCGAGAGCTTAAACTTCGGACTTGGGCTCGTGAACCTCCTTGGTGCTGACGGGGACCTCGATGTGCTTTTCGGCGAGATGCATCTCGGCCGCGAACGTGGAGTGGGGCTTCCACTTTCCAGAAGTACGAGGAGTGCTCTCCTCCAACATCTTGTCAACCTGCTCGACTTGAGGGGTGTTAGCGAGGTTCATTGGGTGTAGTTTGTAGGTGGGGTGAACTTACGGGTAAGACCCTTGGTCTCAGGGACGAAGAAGAAGGCGAAGAGGAAGGAGATAACGCAGAGGCTGCCCCACATGAAGAACACCTTGGAGCCCAACTTGGCGGAGTGCGGCTGGTCGGCGACGAGGTAGGGAGTGATGACGCCGATGATGCAGTTCCAGAACCAGTTGGAGGCGGTGGAGAGACCGACACCACGGGAACGGATGGTGAGAGGGAAGATTTCACCAATAACGATCCAGGCACAGGGACCCCAGGTAATGGCGAAAGCGGAGATGTTCAAGCAGATGAAGGCAATCATCGCCTTGGTGGCGTTCGGGTTGTTCTTTCCAGGCGCTCCAGCAGTGACACCAATGATGGCGACGATGTACTGGAAGATAACCATGAGAGCAGCACCGCCGATGAGCATCTTACGGCGACCAATCCTCTCGACCGCCCAGAACGAGACGGGAGTGGACAAGACGTTGACAAGAGTCGTAACGAGAGAGATCAAGAAAGGGTTCGAGATGGTGCCAAGCTGCTTGAAGAAGATGGGGCCGAAGTAAAAGATGAAGTTGATACCAGTGAGCTGCTGCATCATCTGCATGAAGATACCCATGGTGGTGCGGCGGGCGTTGGAAGATGGTGCGCTGATCTTGCCCTTGAAGCAAGCCTTCCACGATCCAAGGTAGCTGGTCTGAGGAATGATGGACATCTCATACTCGTGGTTGGCGATGATCTCAGCAAGTTCGTCTTGGATGTATTCAGAGTCTACAGGCTGGCCACGGACACGGGCGAGTGCAGCAGCGGCCTTATCAAGCTTTCCCTTCTTGACGAAGAAACGGGGCGAGTCAGGGAGCAGCATGAGGCCAACGCCAAGGATGATGGCCCAGAGGAACTGTACGGCAATAGGGATACGGTAAGAACCAGTGTCCTTGCGGTTCTGAGTGGAGTATACAACGCAGTTGGCGAGCAGGATGCCGATGGTGATGCAGAACTGGTAGCCAGCAACGACGGCACCACGAACCTTTTTGGGAGCAATCTCGGACATGTATCTACGCAGGTTAGATTTGTGCAACGGAAAATCGTCAACGGTGTACTTACAAGATGACGATGGACGAGATGAAACCGACACCGAAACCAGCAATGAGACGACCAGCGACCATAACACCGAGACCAGTGGAAGCAGTCTCAAGGATACCACCGACGACGAAGATGAGGCAGCCCATGATGATGGTGAGACGACGACCAATGAAGTCGGCAATGTCACCAGCCATGATAGCACCAAAAAAGGTACCAGCAGACAGAATCGAGGTCGTGAGCGAAGTGTGCGCAGGGCTGACAACAAAGCTAGCAGTGTAGTCTTTCAATGCTTGGCCTTCCAGACCGGTGTCCTCAGGATAGTCCATGCCGGTGTATTGCTTGATGAAGTAGGGCATGGCAAGGACACCACCCATCCAACCAGTGTCATATCCGAAGAAGATACCACCAAACGCCGCGAAAGCGACGATGAGGTAGGCCCTCACGGTGACGGGCGCCTCGACACGATTGACATCGGTCGTGCCGGTAACGGCAACAACTCCTCCACCAGGCATGGTTGCAGATGTATGCTTCTTTTGTAGGAGGAAGATGAAGAAGAGGAAGATGGTTAGGCGGGCCCACGTCGCGAGAGTCGAACAGAGGGAGCTTGAAAGGCCTTCGACAAACAGAAGAGCAAGTGCGAGAGCCTGTACCTTTTAATATATTGGCCCCGGAGCCGTGATACGGCAGCTTCGTGGCTTCTCGATCATGGGTACAGTGACATTGTGCCTAAAGGGCTAGCCCGATTAGGATGCTCCTCCGCGTCCCGTCTTTCTAGAAGGATTCAGACGCGCCCCTCATAAGGGTTCCTCCATACTCTTCCCCGGTGGTTGGGCATCCTTGCGCGGGATCGGATTGCGATGCAAACTTCCAGGCCTAGCATATCATCTTACTGCATTTCATCATTTTGTCTTCTCAAGGTGTTTCCTGACAGCCAAGGCTTCTTGAGACGATAGCTTAGGTGTCCCGGCGTTGTCACTCAAAAGGGATCTGGGATCCAACAGGTGGTCCGGGTAAGAATGGGGCACCCCCCTGGGGAAGGCGTGCGAAGCTGGGGCGTCGCCAAGCTCGCTCAAGCAACCGCCGTCAGGAGGCCTTAGTTCGCACCCGCTGCAAGATTTTGCTTGACATCCCTGGCGCCAGCCGAGGACGCAATTTTGGACGATGTGTTTGGAGATTGCGCCTCGCGTTGGCCTGCGCTCACTGGATCCCTACCCCGAGTCCGAGCCGCTCCTCGATTCCTTTCGTGCAAATCACGTTGCTCATCAAAGAAAGCTGGAGCTGAACACCTGACACGTACCTCAGCTAGCTTATGCGGAGCTCGGTGCAGACACGCGGCGCACGCGATAGTGTAGCCCCGCCTATACTTCCAAAAACATCGGAATTCCCGCGAGCGGAGCCTGCCTGCAGTGACGAGAACGCGGTCGCTGGGTGCCGAAGTCCTCTCGGTCGCTAGTGTAAAAGAGATGCATATGCGTCGCACGTTCTGAACACAAAACTCTAGAGCATGGATCTAGCTTTGGAACCGGCCGTACGACTGTCGAATCAGTTTCAATGTCGCCAGGCATTGGTGTTCGCATGCATAACCGCTTGCCTCATGGGCATCCCAATATTGACGCGGTGCTTGATTGGCCTGTCCGCCCGCGTGCCAGGCGTTTGGATCGTTGCGGCGACTCTGTCCGAATGACTGGAGTCGCACCACTCAAGTCCGCATGTCACATGCCTTTCCGGTCTGACGCCTAGGTGAGCCGCCTGGAGGCTGGAGCTGAGAGTTGCCTCCGAGCGTTGCACCCCAGAAGTCGCTCGAATGGGGTACGTCTGGAGCACAGCGCGTGTGGATGCTATGATTTGTTGACGCGCATAAGCGCTAGTGGCGTTGTCACCATGCCCACTTGGGAGAGCCACAGCCGTGCGGCATCTGGAGAACCTGGGCGATCTCATGCTGCCTCTTTCACATGGACTCGCTTACCTCAGCGGGATTTTGCTGTAGTGAAAATCAACAACATGGCCAGGTGGACCTTTGGTGGTTTGAGATGCCCATAACCCTTATTGCTGTATACATCCGTCTACGATGGGCCAAAAATGGCGGAGCGATGTGCGAAGTCAATCTTGACCATCAGCGGCTTACCTTCTTTGGCATGAGCATTCGAAGCCAATGGCGTTTCACCATTTGCGCCTCATAAGCCAAAGTGGTTTGATAGACCCACTGGCCCACCCTCCTTTGTGCGGCGACTAGGAACTGTGCAAGATGCGATGCTACCGTGTGCGCGCCACCCGATGTGGCCTACATTGGCGGGTGAGCGTTGCCAGGGCGCCAACGGCGCCTCTGGGAGGATCTTGACTATACGCGAATACGGTCGCGCATCTGATTTTTCGAGTTTTGTTGATGATGAATCCACCCCTCCATGGGGAAATCGTTAGTGTTGCCTTAAGTTGCAATTGGAACGAACCCCGTAGTGGGGGCTTAAACGTGACTTTGCCTCGGCACGCGAGACCCTTCGTAGGGATCCTTTCGGCATTGGCGACGGGGTTTTGCTTGACAGGCTTGTCTTCTGGGCGGCGCAAATCATTTGGGGCTCCACAACGCCCCTCCGTTAACAGCGACCGGTCACTGAGACCCCTGTTCTCATGAGAAAAATAGCGTTGTGGCACCACCACAGAAACATTGGTCAACGCCGGCGATCCAGAATCGGAGGCCCAGAATCATTTCCCGCGCGAGGTCGAATTTTGAAAATGAAAAATTTTCGACTCTAGAGAGTCATTCGCCATTCCGTAGCGCGTCCTTTGGTATCCCATGCGATTGGAACAGTGGTAAGCTAAGCATGAGGCTCTCCGTCCTTGCGGCGAACTCGGTCGGTGCCGACCCACAACATGTGGATGTGCTCCACTTCGATGCTCTAGAACCCCGAAATGTGGTATTTGAGTCAAGAAACACATGGTCCTGGTCGACGATTAATCAGAGGTGGGTAACAAGGGTCCTACTTCGGTCAGATGAACGCTCATGTGCCACGCGGAGTCCCCAACAAGTGGTGCACCACGATGCTCTGGTCCCGCGGTGGTGGGTTTCTCCACGACCTGGACGCTGGGGACGACACTGCCGACGTCCGAAGATTAACCAACTAGGTAGCATACCACCGTGCAGTTAATAATGTGAAAAGACTTGTCCTTGACCGAAGATGTACCGTCAAGCTCATCAAGCTTTGTGATCGTGCTTTTTGTTCGCGTGCTTGGGTCTACTGCTGTAAACTCATTGCACAAGTGCTGCTAGTATAGGATCATGGCGGGAGCAAATTGAAAGCTTTGGTTTGCAACCTCGACAGCGCACGAACAGCCTATTCTCGGGAGCGTGATGCCGAATGATAGGATTGATTTTGCTGTCAGTGTGGACAGACAAGCATCAGCGGGTGGCGGCTCCTGCGGGCGGGTAGTGCTCCGCAGACACTATCAATAAAGCTGACACGACTCCGTATATTGCGCAGGGTTGAAGTCGGAGATGCAAGCTCCTGGCCGATACACTGAAGTTGATATTTGTGATGCTGCAGCCTAAGGCTCTCTACGAGATCACGTGCGCACTTAAACCCTGGGCCTGGTGACAACTCATGTGGAGCCCGGGGCAAGTCCTTAGCGTGCCTCTCCGATCCACGACACAACTACCCACGATACAACACGCAATACTCCCATCGCACAGGTTCAAGTACACCATGTCGGTAAGCTACCAACCCAGTACTGCGGTACGCCCCCTGGCCGCTAATCCCCCGCTGCAGCCACAACGGGAGACCGTTGTAGTCGAAGCGGATCCACCAGCTTATCCCGGTGGCTATGGCACCATCAGGACTGTTTATCATATCCATTCAACCGGCCACCCCCACAGATCGTGCTCACGCACGTTTATGGTAACGGTCCTTCTTTTGCTGATCACCTTGGCGTTCAGTATCGTGAGCTTCGTGGCTTGGAACTTCTACAATCTATCTGAGTGTGAGAAGAACAGGCTGCCTTGGGAGAAGCCGTGTAAAGACTGGTTGGGCAAAGACTCATTTTTCTGGGGATCTTCTCGTCATCACTGATGCACTTAATGATCAAGATGCAGTTTGAAGGTAACTTTGGCTGTCTACGTACCTATAAAGTTGCACCATTGACCAATCTCAGAGTCGCTGGATTGTACCACGATACATTCAACTTAGCGCTGGTATTGTGTGGGCAGATTAAGTCTTCGTCTTCTGACGCCTGATCTAAACTCTGTCCATATTCCTGCCGTGCCAAACGGGCTCGAGTCATCATTGGAGCTGATCATAAATGCTCCTCGACTCATTTCTCATATCAGTTATCAATCAATTTCTTGTGTGTCCGCCAAGACCTCTACCCGACGCACGTCACAGCGCCATTCGAATGTAGTAACTTCTTATCATTGTGAAACGATAATCTGTAATCTGCACAGTCTCGGTCGCACCTTGAGAAATGGCACACCACAAAATGAGTGGGATCACTTGATCATCGGTCAAACCTGCTGGTCCCTGAGAATTCTCTGCCATACCTAAGTGTCCCTACAACCTCTGGTCAAGTTTTCAGCTTATTAGCGAAGGTCGGCCAGACAATGTAAAGGAAGGAACAAAAACAAGCATTCTTGTATCGATTTCGGTGAAGCTGCATCTGACTCTTTCACGGCACATGCGCAATCTCAAGTACGCAGTCTCGTGGTTCAGTGTCCGAGATGATCGTGATAAACCCGGCAACGCCCTGATATGGATTACAGTAGCTGACACAAATTGGGCTTGTAGAGTACCTCAACCTGTAGGAACTCACTACATGATACAGTAACAGTTTCATAATTCAATATTCTATCCTGAGATCCTATAGCCACAAAAGGCCTGGATTTTATTGTCAGCCACTATGGATAACGAAAAGTCTTGAGACAGTAGGAAAATTATGTACGAATCTTGTCACGATGTTCTAATACGAGGCGAGGGTCGACGATATGTCCTTGGACAAAGCCCCAACGCAGGCCTCCCAGCCATCGCTGTACATATGTCACAGCGTTGCTATCCGTACAGGATGTTGGTATGCTGTCCGTAGTCTGCTAATGCGAGTCTCCTCCAGCAACCTCTCCGCATGACTAAAGCAAAAAGCTAAACATGCGCTATGCAAGACCGACGTCTCTTCCATGATGCGAGTCTCGCGATGTGGTTGAAATGCAATTAGCTCATTCGGCATTTCCTGACTCCAAAGCTTCGTGACTCTCCCATCAATTACCGCCAAATTGTCGAATGGATTCATGGTATGCGCTCAGCTGCTCCAAGGACAACCCCAAGTACCCGTAGCCAGTCTGACCTTTCTCCAGTGAAAGACAAGTGGTCTTCTGGTCGTTTCTTACTATGCTGTCTCGGTTCGCTTGATCCCTGGACAATAGCAATATTCGGTGGTCTTCTTCTCTTCTCAGCCGGACCTCCAAGCTCTTTTTATGTTAATGAAGGTTCGAAGGGACCTAGCTTCTTATCACGCTATGCGAACTTAAGGCTACTACTGGCACGCCTCTCAAGGCGTCGCACTCACACGGCCAACATGTTCGCCTTCCCAGTTTCCGGCGTCGTGTCAAATTCTCACAGTGCTCCGATAGGCCTCGACAGTGGACTCGGGACACATCCATTCCACGGCGTGCGAGCCCAGAACTGCTTCTATTGCCTACCTGTGCTCCCCTTATACCCACTGATACCACTCCGACCCATACCCCAAAAACTTGAGACCAATGCAATCAATGTTTTCTGCTACATCGCCTCCATTCCTCTCTTCGCCCAAACTATATGCTCCACTAGTTATTCTCAACCCCAGATCGCTTACACGACTACACTTCCACGCGCCAAATGTACGTGAATTCTCCATCAGCATCCTCTCGCTTGGCATCAATGCTGCTGGCTCTTCATCTTGTCTACTCCGAGTCCCCGCTCAGAATCTAGAACCACCGTGTCCTTTTCCGTCGCAACCAGTGATATGATGGCTGTTGTCACGGGCATCGCGCATGCGTACACGCATGCGGTGGTACTGCTTGACGAAAGACCGTGCCTGGATCTAAAGCTTGTGGCTGGAGTGGGTCTCACAGAAAGTAGGCAATGCGATATCAGGATAGCCGAGACTACCACACATGAACACCGCACCAGGAAAGAACGGCGGAGGACCGACGCAGTGAGCGGTATCTTGGAGCCATTGTACGCAAACTTCATGGACGAATGGCGCACGTGCACAAGCCGAATTCGACCCATCTTGTGTAAGCCAGCCCGCAGAAACTTTCCAGGCTCGACAGTGTCTTCAAACAAGGCCGTTCATGCACTAGCTGCTCTTTCCCCTCTCCACCTTCCAGCAAACCTCTCACTGCCCCTCGCACACTCAAGATCATCAACATGTACGTTTCGACAGTCGATCTTCCCATCTCTTGACATGTCAAATCCTTGTTTGTCCCCCGCCCTGCTACTACGGTTACTTCGGCCACGTGCCAGGAACGAAATTAGTCGCGAGTTTCTATTCCAGAATCTGCTCACCTTGCGCAAGGGTGGTTCAGCTCGCCATACCCTATGGGGTCACTATGGACATCGCTCAGTTGGTGCATGGTAATGGATATTCAATCATAAGCTGATTGAGTATGGTGCTGTACTGGAACGACATACGGCATCAATCATTCCGTAGGACACTGAATCTGCGACCGACGTTTAACAAGTATCAAGCTGCCATGTCCGTCCGCCGTACTAAATCGCAATAACGCCTAGCTCCGAAGACTGCTTCATACAGTCAACAAGTGTCTACAATTCACCTCATAGTGTTTATTTGGGATAGAAGCTCAGCGTTTTCAAATCTGTATTCAGCTCTACCCTGAGCCTAACAACACAAGAAGGGGGAATCTGTAACTAAGCCAAGCCAACCCAGTCCATATCAAATCAGATCAGATCATATTCCTCATCCGTCTACCCGTCCCATCGTGTCCCTACTAGTACTGAATGCGTCCAGCGACGCTCCTCTTTGCGCCTCCACCCGAGCAAAGCGTCATAGTAATGTCACCGCCAATCTCCCCGGGAAGGCAGCTCTTAGTGGAAAGATCGTCGTTCCAGACGAAGTAAGCCTGACTAGGGTCGTGCGTGTTGGGGGGCAGGTTGGCGACAGCGCAGGTGCCGCCGGTCGCCTCCATGCGGATACCGGCATCGTAGCCCGCGCAGTTTGCGCCGTCGACGCCGCCGTCGGCGCCGAAGTTGACGCAGTCGATCAGAGAGATGTCGTACCAGAGGGTGTCGGCGACGGAGTACTCGAACTGCGTGATACCGTGGGCCCACATCAGGTTGGGGTCCTTGGCGATCTTGAGGGACTGGTGGCCCTGGAGGCCCTCGGACCAGGAGCCGCCGGCGGGGATGGGGGTCTGAGCATTGGTGGCGGTGCTCCTGTGGTTACGGTTAGTGCTGTAGTGTTGTTGTAGATTAGTGGTCGGCTTACAAGACGGTGACATCGTAGCCGCAGTGGTTGTTGATGATTGCGTTACCGGCAAGGGCGGTAGAAACGAGAGTCTGGAGCGCGATGGCGCTGAAAAGGCTGCGGGAGAACATTGTTTTTCAAGAGAGTGTAGAACGTGCAAGGATGCAATGAGTGGACGACTAACCGGTAGTCAAGATTGGGTATAGAGCAAAGAAGATGAGAAAGTTGCTGATGCTGATGCTAGTGGAGATTGGAAGAGCGGCGCCGATCATCCATCTTATAATGAAGAAGAGGCCGTTCAGGCATCCTGCCAACAAGAAATGCCTGGACCCAGCCGGGCCGCATCTGACATTCTTCCAGAATGAAACGACGACCAGGGTTTAGAGGCGTAGGGAGGCGTAGCTTCAGCTTACAAGGGTAGGTGCACCATCTATCTTGCGGTATGGAGTCCTGCGTGAGTCCTGAGTCAGGAGATTAGAGATCGGAGCTCACCCTACAAGACTCCGTCATGGAGGTCATCAGGCTTGACAACACAGTGATGCGAGAGCATTGTGGCTCACGTAGCGACGGACAATGCTTTCGTGGCAATGATTGGTCGGAGATGCTGACATAAAAGTGGCGCGCCCTGTGCCACAGTCCGAAGTTCCATGTTCGAGCGTGCTGAGTGGTTCGCGTAGGTGAGAAGAAGCATAGTCCGTGGGGGCGATGCATCGCACGCACGTTGTTGGTCCGTTGTTTGAGACTTTGTTTTGCAAATTTCCGTATTCCGACGAGCAGTTCAATGGGGCACGTTTACGGTCCTAAAGTCTATAGGCAAACGGAAATGTCATTGGTGACAGCACCTGCAGGTGCTGAATAGGATCGTGCGAATGCTTTGAAACAATCCTTTGCGGCCTGCTTCAGTGCAGCGAGTCCAGCGAACATGCGGGCCGCGAACATGGGCTGTGCCTGGCATGAAACAAAGCACGAACTGAGTCTTTTACATCAAGACCAAGCCCAGCATTGAGTTGGGTTGCCAATGTTGAGAACTGGTCGATTTACTCGCTCCGGTTGGTAACGAGAGATTGATAACACCAAGCGTCGCCTCGTACCTGAGCGGCGTTACTGTGCCGCGACGCTTCTTTGACGCAGTAATACGGCGCTGGCTATAGATGCATTGAAAGCGCTTGGGCCGCCGGAGGGCAGATGGGCCTGAGGATCAACGGGCGAATATGATCCGCGCAAGCATGTCCTTTAGCTGCAAATGCGGGCCTCGTTCGTGAACGCTTCCAGGAGGATCCGAGACATGGGAAGATGCTCCGCCTCGCCGAGACAGCGTGATCTGCTTCAAGCACCCCATGCGACGCTTTGGGAATGAAAGTGGCCAAGCCATTCGTGGTAAGGCGTGCTCCGCATCTTGAGCATAGCATACGGGTCCGTTCTTGTAGATGGAACTCGCATGTCGCATCTCGGTTGACGGGCAAAGCCATGTCGGAACAAGGACAATGGGACTGGATTGTGAGCTCGTATTGCGGGTTGTGGACGCCGTGCCGCAATAACTTCGTTGAGCCCAACAGAACCCGAGCCAAGTATTCGACACCTGCTGGAAACTGCTCTTGGACACCGCCCTGCGAATGCGTTTCCGGCATTGGAGTCGTGAATGGTCCTGGCCAGGCGAATTTTTGAGGTAGACCACGAAACCTCTTACTGGCACTTGAATTTCTCTATTGTTCATGGAGCGGCGCGTTGCGCCGCGCCGTGTCGGAGTTGGCTATGTTAGCACGCGGATAGTCCTTTCAAGCGCACATGGGCATCGGCGGTCAGACAGCTCTACAACCAAGCATAGGGCCATCTCAGATACGTGGAGGGATACACGGTGAGAGCGCGTGTTGATGAGAACACCATAGCGCATTTGCGTGGGGGGTGCAGTGTGTGCAAAGGTGCCATGAACAGACCCGCCCTTGCCTGGCGATGCTACCCCACATCGCGCCTTCCCCCACCTCTCGGCCCGCACCTCTAAACCGCCGGCCCTCACGACAGCTGCACGACGTCACGTCACCCCGCGCCCACACTGAGCACCACAATGGCCTGTATCTTCTGCAAGATCATCAAGGGCAAGTGAGCGCCACAGCTCCAGCCGAGCCGCCGCTAATCCGCCTGCGCAGGGGAGATTCCGTCGCTGAAGCTCTTCGAGTCGGAGAAGACGCTTGCCTTCCTCGACATCGGGCCACTCTCGCGAGGCCACTCTGTACGTTCCGCTACCTTGCTCCCCTCCGCTTCCCTGGCCCCGAGACACGTGCGCAGCTTCTCCAGCTAACGCCCCGCCTGCAGCTCATCATCCCCAAGCACCACGGCGCAAAGCTGCACGACATCCCCGACGACCAGCTCGCCGAGGTGCTCTCCGTGACGAAGAAGATTGCCGTCGCGCAGGGCGTGCAGGACTACAACGTTCTGCAGAACAACGGACGCATCGCGCACCAGGAAGTCGACCATGTGCACTTCCATCTGATTCCCAAGCCGAATGAGACCGAGGGGTTGGGGATTGAGTGGCCGACGAAGCCCGCGGATAAGGGGGAGCTGCAGAAGCTGCTAGAGGAGATCAAGAGTAAGATGTGAGGATATGCATGTGGACACGTAAACCAGTACGAATCAGATACAAGCAATCGCAACAAGCGGAGCCTTGAGCAGCTCTGAGACGCCGTTACATGTTTGTGGATTCTCTAACCTAATGTCCTTTGAACACGGGCTTCCTCTTCTCGCGAAATGCTGCTAAAGCTTCGTCGCGATCTTTCGTCTTGACGACCATCTCGTACGCCGGGTTCTCTGCCTTTTCGCCCAATGCGCAACCCTCTAGCGCAATCAATGCGGCGTTGATGGCAATTGGCCCGCCCTCGCAGATCTGCCTCGCGAGAGTTATAGACTCCGCCAGTACCTTCTTCCGCGCGGCGCCCTCTGTCTTTGCCTCTTCCTCCGTGACTTCTATCAGCCTGTCGCACAGGCCAAGGAAGTATGCCTCTGGACCACCGACTCTACGCCCTGTGAGAATCATGTCTCGCGCTCTTCCCAATCCGATCAGGGCAGGAAGGCGATATGTCCCTCCTGCGCCCGGGATGATAGCCAGGCGCGTCTCCGGGAGGGCAACGGTGGTGGTGGATGCGAACACGCGCAGGTGGGTTGTCAAAGCGAGCTCGAGGCCGCCGCCGAACGCCGGCGCTGCGAGTGCAGATATCGTGGGAATCGGTAGCTGGGATATCGAGTTCAGCGTGCCGCGCAACGTTGTGAGGAAGTTGGCTGTGCTGTGGGATCGTAAGCTTCACGTCGTGGCCGAGCCGGGAGCGAAGGAGAAACTTACTCTTCCTGCGTAAACGTGGCGCGCTCTTTGAGATCTGCACCTGCGCAGAAACTCGTATCTACATCGCTTGCTAATATGAGGGCCCTCGTTGCGCCTTTGCCCCCCTCGTTGTGGATACTGTTGACCTGGTGCGTCAGCTCGGCGAGCAGCTGGCGGGATATAGCGTTCCGCGCGGCCGGCCGGTTGAAGGAGAGAATGCGAATGCTGCCCGAGTGTGGTGCGGGGACATTGGTAACGTTTATGACCGGAGAGGGTGCACTCGAGTATGCGCGGCGTTGGATTTGGAGCGTGTACAACCGGAATGCGGGCCTGTAGAGAGGCATCTTGTGCATATGCTATGCCCGTGTCGGCTTGGAAAAAATCGTCTTCAGGTATTCGACAGTCCTAGATGCGCAAAACTGGGGTGTGGTAGTTGTGGAGTGGGTAACAATGAAAGCGGAGCGGCTATCTACGGTGTACGACGCGGTCGGACCGCGGCTTCATCTTTCTGGGAGCTATGACCACATGCTTTCTTGGGGATGTGGAGCAACTTGAAACCCACTGCTTTTCCATCTCATGTATGCCTATGAGTTCGGATCTAGCTATGGTTATCACGACCATATCCCTGTGGTATTCGAGATCATGTCGAAACTTTCAAGACCCGGCGGACCGCAGAGCGGCTGTTGTTACTACGCTTCCACGGATAGCATTAGCACAAGGCGACTGGAAGCACGATAGAAGGGTTCGACATAAACAAGAAGAAACTGCGAGCCAACGTGTAAGAGTTCGATATGATGGTCTGTACGTAGTAAGATCCGTTACATCCGATATTGGTGCTTGAAGCGTACGTGACCATGCCTTACAGTGCTGAAGTCGCGAAACCGATCAAGACGTTCTCTTCGGGGGCCTTACTGACCTTCGAAAAAGACACGAGTTGACTATGGTAAATTTCAAGTCGACGGAGAACGACGCCGATCGTCGTCCTCGTCCGTCGGCAATCGTGGTATGACTCTTGCACGTTCAAAGCAATAATCCAAGTGACCAATAGAGGCGACAAAACCAAATTCAAAGGAGCACACAAGCAAACTACCGCACGCTACGAACCCCGATCGTGCATGAAGCAATACAATTGCTGCCGGAAATCATCAACTCCGTTCGACAAAAGTACCCCTGTACAAGATGAAAGTATGTTGCGATCACTAAAGGAGTCACAAATCGTCCTATAAGAATGGTTATCGAATTCCGATGGCCGAAAGCAATATATCCCTAAGCGTGAAACTAGAGACATGTAGGCTGGTTGACGCTTGTCCACGTGTTTGTCCACCCACCGGATAAACTGCAGTATGCACCTGCTATTCTAAGCGCCAAGAAGAAGATGGCACTTACCTCATCATCGTGGGGTTGGAGCGGCATTGAGGCGGGAATAGAGGGGACATAAAATCCCCACAATACCGTTGACCCGGTTGCGTCGTCTCACAGATTGCATCCCGTATTTATTCTGCACAGTGAATCTTGCTCACTTAAGCAACTCTGGTTTGGTGGACTTTGACTACTGACATCAACGTTTTCTTTGCATCATGGCGGAACAAGAGTACAAGCTGCCGCAGGAGCAGATCGACCATTTTCTCGAACACGGCTGGATCAAGTTGTCAGGTTGCTTTACGCGCGAGAAGTCAGCAGAGCTTCAATCAGAATTATGGACACGGCTCGGTATGGACCCGAACGACATGTCGACCTGGTAAGCAATCTTGTGCTTCTTCACTGGTAAATCCACTAACAACACATGAACCAGGGACACCAAGAACGAGGCAGGCCGCGTAAACATGCCAATCCACAGATATTTCCCCGCTGCCTCCGTCGCTCCCAAGGCCTGGGCCGCCATCGGCGAACTCCTCGGCGGCGAATCCAACATCAACGACTCCGTCTCCAGCTGGAAAGACTCATTCATCGTCAACGTCGGCACGCCCCAAGGTGCAGGGAAATACGTCAAACCGCAGGACTTGACCAACTGGCACGTCGACGGCGACTTCTTCGTGCACTACCTCGACTCCCCGGAGCAAGCGCTCCTCGTCATCCCTCTCTGGTCCGACATCGTGCCCAATGGCGGCGGCACCATCATCTGCCCCGCGGGGATCCCCATCGTCGCAAAGCACCTGTACGATCACCCCGAGGGCGTGTCGCCGCGCATGACGTCCCGCTACGACAATCCGACGTTCAAATCAGAGGGCTCGGATCTCAGCTTCTACATCAACATCGCGAAGCAGATGCCCGATGAGGCGTTTGTGGAGGTCACGGGCGAGGTTGGCGATGTGTATCTCCTGCATCCGCTGATGCTGCACAGCGCGAGCAACAACACCCTACGGAAGGTGCGGGTTATTACGAACCCGCCTGTCAGCGTAAAGGAGCCGTTCAACTTCAACCGCGCGGATGGGCAGTACAACGTTGTGGAGCAGAAGACGTTGAAGGCGCTAGGAAAGGAGAATCTGGGAGGGTGGAAGATCACGGCGGAGAGGCAGCTGATTGTGCCGGATAGTGCAAAAGTGAGGGCCGAGATGAAGCGATTGGAGGAGGAGAGGTTGGCGAAAATGAAGGGGGTGCAGGTGAAGGCAGTGGAGGTGGGGTCGGAAGCTTAGATGGGTATGTTCTCCTGTCAAAGCAACTTAATATGCATCAAAATTATATGATGGTTATGCCTCTACATACATGATTCTATCCACAAAATCTGAAAGATTTTTTGCAAACTCCTGCATTAGTGAGTTGTAAGATCTCCGTTGACGTTTACAAATGCACTTGACCTGACATTCCATCAAAGGTCATTACTTTGTTCGATCGGCCTACACGCCCTCTTCATTGCCCGATTCTGATAGATTCCACACCCCCTCTTCTTCCCCGCATCCCACTTGTCAAGATCCACGTCCCTATGATCTACATCCTCATGCCCATACCTCTTGTACAATTCATGGCTACCCGGAAGCACCATCAGCCAGCTCGCCAGCCGCGCTTCATCCGCCATCTGCACACCGTGCTGGAGGAGCTGCGAGCCGATGCCTTCCCCCTGGTGCGCTGGAGCGACAGCGAAAGACGAGAGATCTGTGGCCGGTGCGTTGAGTTGTACACTCGAGCGGCATTACGCCGCGTAGCCGCATCTTGCGCGCGTCTCACGCCAGGAGAATTGGAAACGCACAATAATGTTCCTCCCCTCGCAAATGCACCATCATCTCCTCCATCACCTTCCCACTCTCCTCCACAAACTCTTTGTTCATAGTGTCCGGCATTCGCTCGAGCATCTGCCGCGTCGGCACCACCTTCTCGCCCTCGCCGCTCTCCCGCGTCCAGCAGATGAAGCTCAGCACGTCCTGCGAGATGGCGTCAACTGCTTTGAGACCTTGGCTGGTAGACGAGTCGAACCGGATGGCGAGGCGCGCGCTGAAGAAGAGAAGGAGAGCGGTGGTGTCGCGCCAGTTTTTGTGCGCAAAGTGGAAGGCGAGGGAGTAGCTGTAGGCGGCGAGATTTATGGTGGCGAGGGTGGACAGGTTGGTGGGGGTTGCTAGGACTATTGTTATGGACATTGTGGAGATGGGGATAGGGCTGAGGAGGGAGGCTGAAGAGTGTTGTTACGAGCTTAAAGGAGGCGGAGGATTGGGGGTGGTGAAGGGTGTTTATGCCAAATTTTGGACTTGGGACACGATATGAATGTTGGAGTGGTGGCATCTGAACACAATTGGAAATACTTTATGGGTTTGGCAGTGTTAAGGCCGCGGGGTTACGCGCACAAGAATTGGCCCCTTGACCGCGCTCGTCGCATACATAGTTCCACTTTGAAAATCCTCCAGGACATAGCGCTCCGCCGCAAGGGATTGTGTATTACGTCAGATCCAGACTAATTGCATCTCAGCTTACATTCTACCTCCCTGACCACCAGGTGTAATTGTTCGTCTGCTCCGCGGTATCAAATACAAGTTGACTGCTGGAGTTGAGCGGCCTCTCCGGGAACACATTCGCGGTTCCGACCCAAGAAATAAATTCGGGAACCTCAGCGTGAGTGCTGTTGCTACCATCAACGTAGATGCCGAAGCCTGTCGAGTCGGTGCGGCCGGGATAAATACGTGTTGTGAGCCAGAAGCGATCGTTGATGTATAGCTCGACCAACGAGCCATCAATGAAGACGTTCATAACGATGTCTTCCATACCGGTCTTGGCGAAGGTGTAAGGATAGAAGTACCCTACAACTGTGTAGTTGAGGGCGATGTTGTCGATGGTGGATGAATGTGATCTATAGGGAGGTTAGTACATCAACGACAGATCTTAGTTGGCAATGCTTTGGCTTACCTGTCGACGTTGATGGTGTAGTTTGAAGGGTCCCAGTAGATCGTCGTGTACTCTTCCCCTCCTGGAGAACGTGCAATGGTCAGGCCAGCAGGACCAGTGACATTGCGGAATGTCGCCTTGATCTCCATATGGTCAGATCCATTCCCGAGGATGCGGGGGGAGGACACTGGCAAATCCGCCGCGGATCTGTAGTTACGCTGCGTAGTCCCGTTGCGGATGCCTGACACCACTTCCGGAAGCGGACGTGCGGCCAAGGTGTAGGCAGTGTAAGTGCCATCACTGTGTTCCACAACACGGTTGTTTCCCTTCGTGGTCAATCCACCATTTGCATTGATCAGTCCTCTTGTCTTCTTGGCATACATCTCGCGGGGAAGAGCGAAAGCGCCGTTGAAGCCTTGTTGAGTTACGAATTGGTTCAGCTCGTCTACCGCCCAGCCCCACTGGACTCGACGGTTATTTTTGGTATCGTTGAAGCTGGTGACGGCATATAGCAGACCGGAATCGATGGCACCTCCCGCTACCGGAGTAAATTGTGCAGATCCGTTTGCCCGCCTCGTGACTATACCTTCATTCCACAAACCCGCTGCAGCACGCGGATGGAAAGTTGTGTTGCCACCCTCAGCTCCGAAGAGCGTGTAATAGTGAACCTAAGGTAGAAAGTCAGTGTGAGTTATGTGAGAGTGGTGTCTCAATTGAGCGATCATGGGAAGACATCCACGTCGTATACGATGGATTACTTACGTCGCCATCTTCGTCGACTAAAGAGAAGAAATTCGACACTTCGAAGTTGAAGGCGTAAGTGCTGGTCTCTAGAATATCCCCCAGGGTCTCGTTATCTGACGGTTCCCAAAGTGCGCCCAAGAAGGTCCAGTTGGTCAAGTCGTTTGCGGGAGCGCTGTAGAAGGGTATACGGGGACCGACTCCCTTTATACCCGACCCGAAGACTGCATACCAGTGGGGCTCGGACTGTCCGAGGATGGAGTCCATTTCCGGCCATGGTTCGAAGAAGGGGTCGCGCCAGCCTGTAATGTTCCAGCCCTCAGGCGGGTGGCTGATGACAGGATTATTCTCGTACTCCTGCCAAGTCCGACCGCCATCTTTTGATATAGCAAGACTCTGAGTTTCGGTCCCATTCTGGTATGGAATACGCCAGTTGGTCGGGAGTTTCGACACGGAGGTGTAGAAGGCTAGAAGAGTACCGTCTTGTTCGCCCTGGAGATTAACAGGCTGCGCAGTTCCTGAAAATATTCCAAGGCCGTTGTACGAGCCTACGGGTCCAGTGACCAGTGATTCGGCGTCATTTCCTTCCCAGCCGCCGACGTCGGTCCATGTAATCAAATCTTTTGATGTAGCATGACTGGACTTAGTTAGCCTCTGAAACTTGGACTACTGAGCAGGTAACAGTACCCCCATGAGATGTTTCCTAGCATGAGTTAGCCATGGTTGACATCATTCGTCGATAATGACATACCCCAATCGATGTGGTTCGGGTGCCACTGGTACATGAGGTGATACTCGTCTCCAGTCGGATCATACATCATCCCGCATGGGTCCTAACGCTGTGTTAACAACGCAAGTATGTTGATTGGATTGCTTGTACGGCTACGCACGTTCATCCACCCAGCAGGGGCGCTGAAATGTGATATCGGTCTCCATCGTGTGAAAAGGCTGTTGTTTCCGAGTGATGCAATGGTCTCGGCATCTAAAACATCTGGAAGTGTGCTCGTATTTTGAGCAATGCTTCCATGAAGAGTGGAGAGCAAAAAGCTCAACACGGGCAGTGTTCGCAGCATGATTGCCGATGTCCCCGCGGTGCGAAAACAATTGACACAAGATGGGCGAATGTGAAAGCACGATATCATCAATGGGGCGCAGAGCGCCTTTAAGTAGATTTTCGCAGGCCATGGCGAACCTTCCAAGAAGCTGGCGGATCGAGCATCGAGAACCTAGTCAAGTATTGGGAGGGGAACCGGGGTCGAGTAGTAGTAGACCAATAGGCCCCCGCGTCATGGATGCATCTTCCCCGCAACGGCTGGGCGCCAGGTACACGCCCAAGTCAGAATGAGGGCCAGACACTCCAGCTAAAAGAGCGTGATGACGCAGGTGTGCTGAAGACGGCATCGACTGAGCATGCGTGCGGCATCTTGTAGAGCCGACTTGTAGAGCGGAAACGACTCCGAGTTCTGGTACAGGGCAACAGAGCACAGGCCTGAGATGCCACGAGGTCTTCGAAAACTTTGGCTTGGGCTTGGATGGATCGTGCATGCACAAAGCTTGAGGCTCAAGTGGACCAGTGCCGACAATCTGACCGAGCATCGGCTGTTGGACGGAGCCTGGCTCGGGCGCTGGGCCAATATAGCATAGCTGCGCCGAACAGTTTTCCTAGCAGCCGTTTGTCGGTGCCGCCTCGGAGGCTTCAGTGCCTGTGTCCCGCACTGACCGCACGAGTCCTTGATTGATGGAGGTGGTGGGGTGTGTAAGGTGGGTGAGAGCGGAGCACGTGCGGAGGTGGCAGAGTCGGGCTTGGCGCCTTCGTCATTGCCGGGCGTCGACATGGCCTCAGCAAACGTGTCAAGACGTGCCCGCAACGCGCCGCATAACCACCACCGAGGCTTCGACACCTCAGATGGACCTCCGCACATCGCTCGCTCTGGAGTCACGCTAGCATGACATTCACCATGAGTCGGCTACAGATGTACATCGCGGTACGTTTCCGTCGGCGCGCAACTGGTCCCACCTGCAAGCTAACAGCTACAGAGCTCGGCCGTCCTGGCCAACATTGTGCTGGTGCGCGCCTTCGTCGAGCGCCCCAATTTCTACTCGGCCGCCGTGTACATATCCCAGAGCACCGGCTCGATCCTGTTTCTGGCCAACCTCGCCCTGATTGTCATGGGAAGCGTCGGATATGGCCTCCAGCGACTCTTCTACGGCCCCCTGCGCCCCATCGAGACAGAGCAGCTGTACGACAAAGCATGGTTCGCCGTGAGCGAGACATTGCTGGCAATGACCATCTTCCGCGATGACATCGGCCTGTGGTTCTTTGCCATGTTTCTGTGCCTGCTTGCGGGCAAGGTGTGGCAATGGATCGGAGAGGGTCGCGTCGAGTTCCTCGAACAACAGCCTCCGGCGAACCCGAAACTCTTCCACGCGCGTCTGATGAGCTCCCTGCTCCTCTCGGTTGGCTACGACCTCTTCATGGTCTTCTATTGCATCGACTCGGTATTGGCAGACGCGCGAGCAGGCGTCATGGTCATGTTTGGGTTCGAGTACGTGCTCCTGGCCATCGCATCGATATCCACCCTTTTGCGCTACGGCCTGTCGCTCGTTGAGCTCGCCATTACGCACCGCCAAGAACAGGCACGGGATGAAGTCCGCAGGGTTGTCCGCGAACAAGCCAGGCAGCGCAGAGAGGCAGCCGAGGCTGCTGGAGAGCCTGTCGCCGAGGAAGAGGATGAAGATGACGACGATGATGTTCCTGGCTGGGAAGAGAAGGGTCGCTGGGTCTTCTTCTTGGACCTCATGACGGACGCCATCAAATCCATCGTCTACATGGTTTTCTTCTTCCTCCTTCTGACCTTCTACGGCATTCCTATCCATATTGTGCGCGATCTATTCATGACGCTCCGCTCTTTCGTCAAGAGGCTCCACGACTTCTACCAATACCGGAACGCCACACGAGACATGAATGCCCGCTATCCAGACGCTACTGCTGAGGAACTGGAGCGCGAGAACACGTGCATTGTCTGTCGCGAAGAAATGCAGCCCTGGGTGGAACCAGGAGAAGCAGCACAGCCTGGCCGTCGCAGAATGGATGAGCGACAACGAGCAAAGAAACTCCCATGCGGACACATCCTACACTTCAACTGTTTGCGGAGCTGGCTCGAAAGACAACAGGTCTGTCCCACGTGCCGGAGATCCGTACTCGCACAACCGACAGCCCCGACCAACACTCAGAACCAAGCAAACGCAGGCCAAATAAACTTGCCAGGTCCTGGCCTCGACGATCTTCGCCGCTTGCACGGCAATATGCAGCCACCGGCAGTTCCTGCTCAACCAGGCCAGTACCAGCCTGCGCCTCAAGCGGGTCAACCAAACCAACCCCAAGGCAACGTAAGGGTCTTCAACTTTGGCCCCGTTCGCATTGCCCTCGGCAATTTGCGCCTCCCTGCGAATCGACCCGCTGAAGGTAATGCCAATGCTAACAATAACCTCCTGATGGAGAGACTTGCTCAGCAGATTGCTCAGCAACCTAATCCTCTTCAGCCTCAACAGCAAGTCCAGGACCAGGGCATTCCTCAGCTGCCGAATGCCTTTACCTCACTTCCTCTTGGTGGTGTCCCACATCACCCCAATGACATTCAAGGGGATATTCTACGCATCCAACAGAATATCTTAACCTCGATGCAGCACCTGCAAAATCAGCATCATCAACTGGATAATGTACACGCTCTCCTGGCCGAACTGAATCGTCTTCAACAAGTTTCAGGTGCGGCAGCAGTGGGACAAGACTTACCACCCATTGCCTCACTAAACCCCCAACCCATCCCGCCGATTAATCCGCAGGCTTATTTCACGAATGGTCCGGTGCTTCGACAGGGCGATGCTGGTGTGCCTGAGGGATTAACCCTCCCGGACGGTTGGACTTTGAGGCCGATGGCTTTGGCTTCACAAAACGGGAGCACAGAAGCACCCGCATCAACGGAAACGGGCCCATCAGGCACAGCCCGCAGGTATTTCCCGGCTGTGCAAAGCTCACCGGCCCCGGCGCCTGCGTCATCTTCCAGCCCGCCACCGACCTCCAATCCGACAGCCGGACTGCCTTCCACTGCTGCACCGTCCGAGCCAAGCTCTCTGGGTTCGAGTTGGAGCTTTGATAACGCTGGTAACAACGAGGGTGAAGGTTCCAGCTCTGCTGTCGTGGGGAGTGGACCTGAAGCTCAAGGCTCTAACCAGCTCCGCGCACGCCCGTCAGCTGCGGGTAGCAGCGGCCCCCGACCGGTTACCGTAGAGGAGACGGACGATGAGTAAAGTACACGATTGGTTCTAAGTATGAACATATTGGCATTGGCAGCATAGCGAGGCGTTTGGGATGTCGTGTGTGATTGACTGTTCAGCAAGACCGGTCGCGGTCGCGGTAGGGAGGGCACAAGTTAGATTTTTCACGTACGATACCACAATGCACACGACAAGGTCGTCCTATGACTACATTGGACTGGATGCAGTGCCTCCCGTGAATACCTGATCCCGATGCCGCCTCCTGCTCTGGCGGTGGCGTCTTCCCGTATCCCCAGTATTAGTCGAGGTCGCAGCATACGTTTAGTCGACGTGTAGCTCCCACGGACAGGCATTGAAAATATGCCTGGTTAGGGTAGGGTAGTGGCTGATTGGCGCGCATAGGATTAAAGGGTACAGGCTGTGGATCAGTGCATGACTCCACGATTGGCGGTGTGCTTTCGAACTAGTAGTGTTAAGAATGCAACAACTTCGAAGACTTCTTTCTGATGAGCCTGTTGCTCTCGTCAGTATGTTGTAGTCTGGTAGAGTCCCAGCCGGCTTGCTGGATTAGATTAGTGGTCTGCAGAGAGTTCACGCCAGATCGGTCAACTTCTCCACGTCGCAACTTCATCGTCGCTCGAAGCAACACGCTTCCACCGACTGGTTTCTCTATATGCACACTTTATGCTCTCCGCACAGCACACATGGCTAGCCGGGCTCTAATCCCTTTCCAGCGCAGCGAGCAAGGATTCATGTTTCGACTCGGCTGCGCGTCTGGCCACTCAGCAACGTGCATCCCTCCAAGAGTCATACACGGGCGGCTACGCGTGCGCGCAACCACTCACAAATGCAGGAACAGCTCGCTGGCGTGGGCAGCGGGGCGCGAGGTCGAGGCCGGCGCAAGGATGGAGGACACGGTTAACTATGGGTTCGTCCTCGGACGCGGCCCCGTCCCTGTCTAGGTTCCCTTTTCCGAGCAGCTAAAACGTGTGACTCTACCTCCACGATTGACGTGTGCACACCGTCCCGTCCGTTCACCTCTCGCTTGTGCATTCGTTTCTTGGGTATAAAATCCCACAATTGATTTTTTGCTGTTTTTGTTTTGCCTTCAAATGCATAGTTAAACAAGATGAAAGCTCAGGCTGAGAGGAGCGCCGGCAACGGCGAGGTCGCGAGTTGCGTGTCGAACCTCATACATGCCTTTACAGATGGATTGAATGTTTTCAAGCGATTGCGGGAACGGCGCAGGAAGAGGAAGAGCAAGCATAGAGAAAGGGAGTCGAGCGCTCCATTCGAACCGGAGCTGCAATTGAGCAACTCTCTGAGGAAGGGTCCTGTGGAGCTGCGGGAGAAATATGAGAGCTGCTACGGCGATAAAGGCGAGAAGTTTGCGAAAGGTGATGGTAAGTGGTTCTCGTACTACCTGTCATACAATGGCTGCCTGGCGCGCAATAGAATCGTGCTGACCAAGGCAGCAATTGCACATGCATCACTCGTGGAGACCCTGATCAAGTTCAATACTGGCCTAGTGAGGATTATTGCGACCTTTCTGCACCAGGACTCCAAGAGCAGTGATCTGCAGCTGGACTACAAGTCACTGACCAGTCTATCCGATATCTCCAGACGAGAGGCAGTCGACAGTTTGAACTCACTGTATCAGCGGCTGAGTCAGTCGCAATTGCAACTGCACCGAAGGTCAGAGTCGAGGGGCGACCCCGAGAAGAAGAAGCGCAGCAGCTCGCGGCAGCGCTCACAGGGCCCGACAGTGACGCGCGTGTCAGTCAAGACCATCGGAACCACTGGGAGTTCAAAGCAAACGCAGCTAGCCATGGTGCGACCAAGAAATGCCCGCAAAGGGTCGATGAGCAGTTCCAGCGGTTCATCGAAAGCACCATCTACGAACGTGAGCTCGCCGTACACGACGCCTCCAAGATCGCCACCGCTGCCGGAGTACTCGCCCAACGATCCCTTTCCGCCTCCAAAAGCTCCAGCAACCAAAGGCAACAGCACCGCGCCCAAGAAGCCGGCGCTCTCGATTGACACCGGACGGCCAACAACATGGCCGCAACCCAAAGCCACCAAAGCCGCGGCATTCACCAACTCGTTGCCAACACCTCCGGAATACTTTGCGATGAAAAGCCTGCCGCCTCACCTGCCGTTGCCGTTCTCCAATGCGACCCACAACATCCCTAGGCGACGCGCCGACAAGCCTACACCGTCGACCTATACATTTGCTTCCGACAGCACCAAGCTAGGCGAGATACCGCAGCGCAACTGGACGGTGCCATTCAATTACGAGGAGGCAGAGCGTTTGAATGCCGAAGCTGCTGTGAAGGGGCATCCGGTCACGAGAGCTCCTGCTGACCAAAAGGCCAAGACGAGGAAGGGGCTGAGGAGTCTGTTCAAGAAGGGGCAGGCTGCTTGAGGAGGTGGAAGTAATCTTATCTTGTTTTCGGTATTACGGGTATGGGTGTATATTTGCTTCACGACGACGACGAGACGACGATTGACGACTTTCTTTCTCTAGCGAGCATATACCCTTCTTTTACAGCGAGCATGGAGTTTGGGTTTCGTATTGATTGGATTTCATTAGTTGTTTACCGGTTGCCCTGTATTTACTGTTTATCGTAGTGTTTATGAGTACTAGCGTGATCATCATCAAGTCAACTCACAAACACTTGAACTTGAACTATTATGACCCTGACCTAGGAAACGAAGGTATAGTCAAACTGGTGCCACCATGCCGCGAGTCATGCCTTCGGGTGCTATCGATAAAGCTGCGAGCTGATCCCTGTCGCTATCGTCATCCTCTCACGGCCAATGTTTCGCTGCACGTCGTCCCATGGCCTGCATACCACCGTGGCTCGAATACACGTCTTCTTCGACGTAGCTCCATTGTATGCTTCACAAAGTACCACGAAGCTGCTCACAAAGCCTTGTCCTGACTGTCTAGGTGACTCGCTCGAGAATGCATCTCACGACCGCCGCTCTTCCGCTGCTGAGCTTTGCCGCAGCTCTCCGCAGTAGCGGCAATGGCCAGCTCGCACAACCCGCAATAGCACCCAAACGCGTCGCTATAATTGGTAATAGATTTATCCACATCCAGTCTGTACGTTGCTGAGGCGTTCTAGGCGCCGGCGCGGCAGGCTCATCCGCTGCGTACCACCTCGCACAGTTCGCCCAAGACTCTGGGATACCACTACAGATTGACGTTTTCGAACGCGACTGGCACATCGGCGGCCGTTCCACCACAATAAATCCCTGGTCAGACTCCGACCAAGCCGTCGAACTCGGCGCGTCCATCTTCGTCGATGTAAACCACATCCTCGTAAATGCGACCAAGGCCTTCAACCTATCCACAAACAACCGCGAGAACCTCCTCGCAGATATCCCAGAAGTAGGAATATGGAACGGGAAAGAAATCGTCTTCACAATGAACGAGGGAGGATGGTGGGACTTGGCGAAGCTATTTTGGAGATATGGATATGCGCCTGTAAAAGCGAATAAATTGATGCGGGAGACTGTGGACAAGTTCCTGCAGATGTACGAGCGGCCGCTTTTCCCATGGAACAGTCTGAGCGACGTGGTGCAGCTTGTGGGCTTGACTGAGGCGACGGGGCTGACGGGTGAGCAATACATGCAGAACAAGGGCATTTCGCCGAAGTTTGCGAATGAGATTGTGCAGGCGAGCACGCGCGTCAACTACGCTTCGAATCTGGGCACGATTCATGGTGTCGAGGCTATGGTTTGTTTGGCTACGAACGGGGCTATGAGTATCGCGGGGGGCAATTGGAGGATCTTCGAACACATGTTGAGCTCGTCCGACTCTATCTCGACGCACCTGAACAACACCATTACCCGTATATCGAAGCAGGCAGATGGGTCATATAACTTGACAACTATCGCCGGCCGCGTCTCGAGCTTCGACGAAGTCATCTTGGCTGCACCTCTCCAGTTCTCCAACCTTGCCATCGATCCAGCACCGGAGCATACGCCCGAGGAGATTCCCTATGTAAAGCTGCACGTAACGCACTTTGCGACGCCTCATAAGCTGGATCCGTCAGCTTTCGGATTGGAGGCAGACAAGCCGGTGCCTGAGTATGTGCTTACGACCCTGCAGGTCGATGAAGAATATGGATCAAAGCCGTAAGTACTCAATGAGCACTCTGGTATGCCTTTCTTAGTTATGGATCTTGCTGACGGATACCCAGGAACGTGGGCCGCGCCGGCTTCTTCAGCATCTCAATTGTCAGCTCGGGCGTAAATGTCCACGGATCCAAGCCACGCAGCGAGTACATCTACAAGATTTTCTCGCCAAAGCGGATCGATCATCAATTCCTTTCCCGTGTGCTTGGGCTTCAGGTATCGAAGGAAGAGGCTGAGAAGGGCGACGTCGATGGCACGGTTAGCTGGATCAACCATTGGGAGGTCCACTCGTATCCCTATGAGTATCCTCGCGTAACGTTTGATGAGATCAAGCTGGATGAGGGACTTTGGTACACGAGTGCTATTGAGAGTTTTATTAGTACAAGTAAGTACCATCACAAGACATTTGCCCTAGAGATAACTTGGAGGCGGCTGCCTCGCGTATGGTTTAGGGCAATTGCTAACGCTAACACAGTGGAAACAAGCGCGCTCTCTGGGAAGAACGTCGCACAGCTCATCGTCAACGGATGGAACAAGCAATCTGGGGAGAGCTCTGATGGTGAGGGCTTGAAGACTGGGGCGAATTGGGACTTCAAACCCTTGTTGGATAATGGGCAGAGACCAATGAAAGACGATCTGTGAGGGTTGACCGGAAAGTCAAAGTAGTGATGCATGCATTTCCCGTAGATGTGCTACATGAAATCATGATGATGGAAATTATCGAAATTGCCATCGGGTAATCTTTGAGAAAGTGATGTTGCCGCTCTCGGTGGTGGGCAGATGCGCCGCGCAAGCTCTGGGCTGTTGAAACTATGGGGTTCTTAGCTTCTATGGTGTGTACGAGTTCGATAATCGTGTGAGGGATCTCTGATCATGAGGTTTGGATGCGATATTGATTATTTGGACACATCCTGGAAAGCCTATGCACACGCTTCTTGGGTACCCAAATCTGCTAGAAGAACACTACGCCGTTCAAACTGTCGGTCATGATAAGTAGGTGTGATTGGTTTAATAGATAAGCAAAACATGTGTTAGAGTCGGCATCGGCTTTAGTATATTTGCCAGACTTTGTGAAGCCTTCGCCAGTCTGATTCTTGGCAGGTGACCCCAGGCTGAATTGACTTACTGGGGGCACTAGAAACATACTGCATCGCTAGTGTTGATGGGCCAGGAGGCGTCATTATCATCGGGTCACCTTGTTGGCTATACCTGGTAGGTATGATTGGACTATGCTTGATAGATCTTTTCGCTCGCTATCATGACTTTGTAGGAACAACAGAGCAGCGTTGGAAGCACGATAGCGTCCCTTCTAAGACTTGTCTAAGTGCAGTCGCTTCGATACGTCGTCTTCTCTATGGACATAGCCTCGACCTCGCCTCCGTTATGGGTCCGCATCCTCCATATCCTGTATTTCCACACCACGCTGATTCCGCTGTCGTAAGACTAATTTCTTACAAGGCAATGTCGCTGATGAGATTGCTCTGAAGGAAAGTGCTTCAGTGGTACTGTAGCTGACCCAATCAATGCTGCGAACTCAAAAGACAGGCTCGTCGCTGAATGTTTTGGTTAAGGACCTGGCCATAAGTTCAATTTGTCCTCGATGCAGCCATCTGTTGCGCACAGCTAGGCGAAGGCTAAGGTGGCCCTGCGTCCATCGGCGGAGTGAATGGTTGTTGGATTTCGTGTGCTTCTCATTCTCCTTCAGACGTGCAAGACAAATATGACGGTCAATATCTTCTGAGAGAGACCAGAGTTATGATGGCTCCTCGTATCTTCGCTTGTCCAAGGCTATTCGTTGATTGAATTGAAACGTCGAGAATGAGCGATCGCCAGACTCCACGAGCAGCTCAATTGAGGCGTCGATCAAGGCCCGGGTGAATGAGCCTTCACCAGGAAGTTCAGTCATCCGGTCGATCGTGCATGCGATGAGTAGCTCAACCTTCTCCTTTCTGTTCCGATTACCATTGCTGGCGGATTCCCACTTGCTGACGGTTTGCGCAGTCACTGTGCTGTCATTTGCGTATGCCGAATCGAGTATGGCCAGGATTTCTGACTCATTTTCTTCGGCTTGTCGGTTTTTCTCTGCCTTGGTCTAATTCGCTCGGGGCTCATGTGAATAAAGTTTATCCTTATACCTTTTGGTGGCAGCCAGTTTGAGAATTCCGTGGCTCTTCCGATGGAGACCATGCCCGCAGTGATATACAATCAGTAGACTATCAGGACTACCACGTTTCATCACAAAGGTAGTAGGTGACGCGTCAGCTGTAGCTGTGGCTTCGTTGTAACGTTGATTTGAAAAGTCTCAGTGCGAAAGTTGTATCGCTCACGAAATACGGTCTCAAGTTCCTCGACCTTACAGATTTTTAGCAAGATGCAAGATTGAGTACACTGTGCTGCCACAAGGTGAGCAATTTGATCTCCACATTTTTAAGATAATTTTGTCGGAGCGGGCTTTAAGCCAAGGCACCAAGTCCGGTAAAGTTATCCGGAAAGAGAGACTTGCCTCTGGGGAGGTATTCAGATCATCGAGCTCATCCGCCCACTTTATCAATAAGACTGGCACGTTAGAATATCCGTCCAGCCTCAATTTCTGTGCAATCGAATCGTTCCACCATGCCTGCATATCGGTCGTACGCTGTTGATCAAACACCAGTGGCCAAGTTGATGCTACATCGGCAGACGTATCCGCGGCTGCGACATTTCTTCCGCGAGGGACAGCGCCTTTGTTGTCGTGAGTGGATGATAGAGGCTTTTCAGTGATTTTGACATCAGGCTGTAGAAATCAAGGACCTACCAGCGCTTGTTCTAGTCCGGGCGGCATGTCGGCCTCTTGGTCATTTTGTATCTCGCAGAGCAGGCGAATGAAGGCTCTTTCCCTACCTTCTCCGTACAACAGCGACATATGTAGATCGAAGAGACCAAATAGGCAGTAAGCAGCATCTTCGTCGGTCTTGCGCTTCATTGTCCACGACATTCGTTCGTCAACACTGAAGCTCGACAGCGGGTGTCCTTCGAGAGCTCCATGGGTGATCTGCGTCACTTGTTGAAGTTGATGAATGAGCGAGTCCTTGTCGCCTAGCTGCTCGCCCCCTGACGAGAAGGTTCAACAATCGCAGGAGCAAGTAATTTCTGGAGTGTCCAGCCTTTGTAAATCCCTGAGCAGATCACTTTGACGTTCAATCGCCGAGGAGTCACCTACCGCGTTATGTAAGTGTACAAAGTAGTTGCAATCATGCACACACCCCCTTACCATCTACTTTGTTCAAGAATGAGCGTGCGCATATGGTCAATTTCCGGGTCATGTGCCTGGCCCCACCCCAGGATAGACACATCTGTCAACTACACATAATATTTCGCTGCATTCTGGTACCATCGAAACATGGAATTGATCGCTTCCGATAGCTCAGCACTGCTAGACTTGTCAATACAGCAGGTATCGATCCAGAAATATCTCAAGCCATCATTCGCAACTTTCTCAATGCAAAACCGAATTTTCTGATAGCCTGCTTATTCGGTCGCGCTGCCCGCTACCATATCTTGGTCTACGATCTCGTCGACAGCGGCTCCCCAGATATGTGATAGAATCACATAAGCAGGAATGTCGCCATAGATTTCAGCAAACTTGACACCACCATCGTTTTGGAGCTGCAAGGACGCGTAGAAATGAAGTTGCTGCTTGAAGTTTCCAACTACGAGAGTATAAGGGCTGTGGGTTGAAGGTTGTAAACAGAGTTGTGCTTATAGGTGACCTAAGAACTGGTCCGAAGCGAGGACTCGCATGGTTGGGAGATTGACGAGGATCATGAGAACACGTGGGAATTAATTACCCAGTAGTCATTAGCGTCGTGTCCAGACATGACTTTCACCGCGAACACGGAAGGAGTTCACCACTCAAGTACAACCGCGTTTCGTTGTCCATCCCAACGATGTGGCAGAAGCAGCCTACACTGACCGCGCGTCTCGTCCGTATTTGCTAAGCGCCGCTCAGCGACCCCGACAGGCTTCCTTAGGCGACGCCCCATCGTTAGCGAGACCCGGAGACCTCACGCGCCGGCATGGCCTTCTCCAGTCCTAGCGTGGGCTGGAAAGACGCACGATGTGATCTTTGATACTTGATAAGATCAGGGGATGGTCCTTGCCTTAATATTTCGCGAGGTTGGGACTCAGCCTTGCGTTGAGATTCGGAGCTGAACTCTCCACATGATTGCTTCTTCGTCCAAAGCAGGAAGTGATCGGCGAACCACATAGACAATCAGCTCGTGTCTCGGTGCATGGAATGTGCGCCCCCAGTCGTTCGCGCAATGAATCGTACTCTGATGAAAGGCTGCGCCAAAGCCTTCCAGTATACCCTGACCATCAGCAGCCCCCATGAACCATGTGGAATCAGTAATCTTCGGTTTTTGTATTGATTTCTCGATACGGAACATGATTTAAAACATGATTGGCGGTTCCTGGCCATGTTGTGTGTGTCGTCTACTTTGCCTGGATGCGCTAAGCGCTACTTCGTATACCGAGTCCAGATGCCGTCGAGCTGAACAACAGAGCCGTAAATGCGTGGGTGTTGTTATAACACCACTGTTCGCATCCATCCTGGTCTCACATCATTACCTGTACACATCATACCCATTCTGGGCTCTAGCAACATTCTCACTTCTTATAAATCACCGACCAATCTTGTCTTGGTCCTCATTATATCCCGTGCATCATGAACAAAGCGCGGCAGAAACACAAACACAGTGCCATTAACGATGAGGACAGCAAGCAACGAAAGAAACATAGAGGCCCGGAACTCCTTGAGTTTGAATCTACGGACGTTAAGACCTACGTATACAACGCTCTACCGCCAGAAAGAAAACGCATTAGACTTCTACGTCTTTTTGCTGGCGTTTTGGAGAATCCACAGATCAACTGCGAGATGTTTGAGGCTGAGTTCGATGGCCATGGTATACTGAGGCATGTTGGAAATGACGGTCCAACGAGCGGAAGAGTAAAAGGAATATTGAGCCACGCTAGCATCGTGGATACATTAAAGACACGCTTGCCTAAGCTAAGCCCCGAGGAAGCTGGAGACGCATCGCAAGAAAAAGTTGTCGAAGAAACCGTCCAGGTTGTCACTCCTAATTCCCAACCACCAGGTGGTGCAGGTCCTTTACCTACGAATGGCGCTGAAGGCTCATCACATTTGAATGATGAGGCACAGCGAATCCTGGACAAAATCAATGAGATCGTGGAAGGTATTAAGCTCATCTCCTTCCCGGTAGTTGGGGATGTCTTGGATGATACTATCATGCCTCCCTTCGGTTTTGATGATGTGCAACTCGATGATGTGCTTGATAGGGCTAAGCTCAGAAAGGCTCTCGAGAATACCACGATCAAGGACATTGTGGACATGACCAAGCTTAGAAGGGTCTTGAGTAGAGTGGAGAGAGAGAAAAATCCAGACCCAAAGTTTGTTGCAGTGCTCAATGGGGTCAAGCTGGATGAAGTTCTGAAGAGTTCCCGACTAGGGAAGAAAGAACCTTATCATGCACTTTCCTGGCGATGGGGCGACGAGGATGACGGAAAATATGCCATCATGATCAAAAGGAAGGGAAATCTGTTCAAGAAACGCGTATCGAGAACCTTAGGCCTTGCCTTGAAATTCCTTCGTCTCAAGGAAGACCGCGTTCTCTGGATTGATGCCATCTGCATCGACCAGAAGAACTTGGAGGAGCGCAGCTTTCAGGTCTCCTTGATGTCCCTCGTCTACACTGGTGCGAAAGAGATATGTGTTTGGCTGGGTGAAGACGACGATGACAGCACCCAAGCAATCCAGTTTGTGAAAGACGAGATCAGCCAACTCAAAGATTTTGATAAACTCTGCATCGATCAGCAACACTCGCCGAAATGGAAGGCTCTTCTGGGGTTAATGCAAAGAGACTGGTTTTCTAGACGTTGGGTATGTTGCAATGAGACTACATACAGCTGAGCATCTCTAATTGGTATATAGGTAGTGCAAGAAATAGCGTTGGCAGAAAAGGCGCAAGTGTATTGTGGTCCCGACCAAATCCCTTGGGTTGATTTAGCAATTGCAGTGGAGCTTTTTGTTGAGGTCGAAACCGCAACACATCGGCTCTCCGAGCTCATAAAGAAAGACGATGCCCACAATGTAGTTCCATACTGGTTCGAACACGTCTCAGAGCTCGGCGCAAGCGTTCTCGTGAACGCAACGGCGAGAATCTTCCGCGGACACAAAGGGGGTGGCTATGGACCCTATATCGGCGGTAGTGACGATGATGCCGCTGCTGGGGGAAGTTCACCCAGGGACGACTCTACTAGAAGACGCTCTTCGAGGAAGGACCAAGTCCGTCGAAGTCTTCTAAGTCTAGAATATTTGGTGACTTCACTCTCCATCTTCGACTGTGGGCGCCCTCACGACTCGATATATGCGCTTATAGCTATTGCCCGAGATGCTGCTCCTCACCCACCATCGTCGCTGACTCGACGGACGAAAGAAGCTCTCATAGCTGAAGTTTTCTCTGACGCGATCGAACAAAAGCCATATCCTCTTGACTACAATAGTCCATACCCAGACGTGTGCAAAGAGTTTCTGCAGTTCTGTATTAGAGGTGCAGCGAAAACCGACAAGGTTCAGGCACTAGACATTCTGTGTCGGCCGTGGGCCAAAGACTGGCGGCCGAAGGAATATATCGCTACACCTGAGGCGACATCTACGAAAAAAGTTGGAGAGTCTGAGGAAAATCCACCCAAACTACCACCAATACTCAAGCATGAAGGTGGTTGGATGCGAGGGCCAAAGGGAGCCAGGGTGGAAGACAACCGCGACATGACAGAATACTTTTCAAAAGCGACACCGCTTGATTCACCAATGACTACGCGAGGAGCGAAGGAGACAAATGAAGGCGACATACACATCCCTGCGAGTCGAAGATGGTTTCCAAAGGAAGAGAAGACCAAAGACAAGAAGAAAGAGAAGCGGGAAGGTGGCGGTCGCAAGGACCGTAGACCTAGAGATTTTGAGCCACAACATGTTGACGATCTAGCCTTGCCCTCATGGGTGGCAACTATAGCTGGGGCGGCTTTCGACATATTCCCCCATCCAGGTATGGATATGGTGAAAATGGGACGAAAGAACGCGGACCCACTTGTGGGGACACCACAGGATGGTCGTCGTAACTACAACGCTTGCCAGCTCTGGGGAGTGGATGTAGATGACATCAAGTTCCGCAGACGAGCTCGGCTCGGACATTACAGCTTGTATGTCAAGGGCTTTCGATTCGATCAGGTTGAAGAGGTATCGCATGTCTCTCAAGCGGGTACGATTCCATCCGCCTGGCTTGACCTAGCGAAATGGTCCAAGGCAAGAAGGACCAGAGGACTATGGGACGACCCTGGTGACCCACCAGATGATTTCTGGCGTACGCTTGTTGCAGACCGAGGTATGCATAATCAAAATCCGCCCTACTACTATATGCGGGCTTGCAAGGAAACAGTCATGAAAGGAGGTTTGCGCAGCAATGCAGTCGATACATCTTCATTGATCCACAACGAGCGAAACTCTATCGTAGCGGAATTCTGCAGGCGCGTCCAGTCCGTGATTTGGAACAGGGCTTTGATTCGCACAAAAGGGGGAAAGCTAGGTCTCGCTTCAGATGGTGTAAGGAAAGGAGATTGGGTGTGTCTCATCTACGGCTGCACAGTTCCTGTAATCCTGCGCAAGCACGGTGGGCTCAAAAGTCAGCAAGAGTATGACAGAGAGAGGTATGAAGATTGCATCGAAGCACTAAGGCGATGCATTCGCAAAGCCGCAAAAGCCAGGTTCCGTAAAGCACAGTATAGGAATCTGAAAAAAGAGAAGCCCGGGTGGGAGGTGGATGTCCAATCCAAACTCGCAGACTACAAACAAAAAGTCAAGGACAAGCTTCATGAGGAAGAAGAGAGGATTCTTACAGAACTCAACAGAAACAGAACAGACAAATTTGTGCGAACTTCAACCCCTCGGCCGGTAAACGCGGATACGATTGCCACTGAACACCTGGACAATACTGTTCATTCTTCATCCCCTCAGCCTATAAACGGGGATACGTCGACCGGCGCGGACAGTCCAGACAATACCGTCCAGCCTAGACCTCAACCTGCAAACGACGATACGACGACCGGCGCTGAGAATCCGGACAATGCTGTCCCAGCCTCAACTTCTCAGACTGCAAACGAGGGTAGATCCACTCATGATATCCTATTCAAAGAAGATGACCCGGTCATCGTACCAACACTGGACACGGAGCTTGACGAAGAAATAAGTGAATCTGAAAGCGAAGGCGATAGTGAGCGGAAGGAACGACAAAAGAAAGCCTTCGAGATGGATCCTTTTAGATTCTATAATTTTCTTGGGGAAGCATACATCCATGGCATGATGGATGGCGAAGCAGTGCGCGAGAAGTTCTACAAGGGCAAGCCGGACCATATTTTCGAGCTACGCTAAGTGCGCAGGTGCTTTCTAGTTCTATTGTCGAGCGTTCCGCATACATAGTTTTTTCTTACCAAACAAAGTAATGTGTCCCGTGGCAGGTGTCCGTCTGCTCATGTACGCCGAGTTTTCGTGTCAACATGAACACTGCGTACAAGCCGAGGCCTTCGGCAGTCGAATCCAGGACGGCCTGTCCTGATGCAACTTAGTCTGCCATCTAGCCCAAACGTTTCAAGCTGCTACCAGGTACAGTACGCATTTGATAGGTGGAGATGCGGTTTTAGAGGATCATATGATCGAACACAACTCAGTTCGATTGAGGAAGTAATTGAGATCTCTTGATTCGAATTGCGAAGTACTTCAAGAATTGAAATGTATAACTGAAAGCGGAGAAGGGTAGCTGAGGTGAATTGGTGCACCGAGCGCACTCAAGCGCTTCACTGGAAGCGCAGAGCTGCGCTTACCTTGCATGATCAGAGAACTTCCCAACCATCTACCACCCCGCCCTCCCTCGAGCTTGCAGGTGAAAGCAAAGTATCTGACCATTCCTCGTCCTCATTCGTATTATTGTCAAAGCTTTCCCAGTCCGAGACTTTGCCTGTGCTGCGCCGTGGTGGCCGCGAAACATTCAACCTTCGTTCTTCCCCTGGGATAACATCCATGGATGCTTCTCCCTGGGGTGGCGCCTCATCAACATGATCCAGTTGGCGGCTTCCTGCCGACAAATAAGCCCTGAAGCCTTCCACATCCTCGACCTCTTCCACCCACCCATCGTTTTGCCCTCGGTCTAGCTCAATCTTCACACCATTTCTCTGCAGTAGACACTCAAAGACTTTCGCCATACTTGTCAAGCGCGGATGCCACAAATTGAGCCCGAGCACCTGGAACAAAGGCAAGTTATGCTGAACCCACTCCGCAAGATCACGATATGCTTTCGTAATATCTTCAGTCTGGCAGTCTTCCTCGTGAGGCAGGATATTCAGCGAGAATCCCGTGATGTGTACCCGCGCAAACAGAGAGAGTCCGGCGAAGAACCTCTGTGTTGCGTATGCTTGATATCTCCCTCTCGGACAAGGCCCAGTGACGAAGAGAAAGTTGCGTCCACGGTACAAGACAGGGAGTGCTTCTTCATATATTGTCTTGTTTGTACTCAAGATATTGCCACTCGGCCGCCTGCTCAGCTCCTCCTGTGTCGCCGGTCGAAGGAAGTTGATCTGCCCGCTATTCGCATACGCCTGTGAGGGTACCCATAGATCTTCCCATCCGCTTGCAAACTTCACCTCAGGTCCGTGGCATTTGTACCGCGTGTACATGTGGTCTTTCGTTTTGATGTTCGTGGTCCGAGGCTTTTCGCGCGGACAGCGGCACAGGTCGATCTGTGGAACACCGCCGAATGTGGTGTTGCTCGGATTTTCCAGCCAATTCCATTTGAGCGTGTAGTTTATGGTGGTTTCGTTTTCGTCGGGATGAGGTGCAAGTAGGTGTGCGTATATTCTTTCGCGGACTGGCGCTGGGAAGTCTAGGAACGAGAAGTGGGTAGCCATCTAAGGAATGCAGGCGAGAGGTAAAGATACGTGGAAGACTACCGGCACTTGAATTTCAAAAGATTCTTCTGATCCTGCTCGATAGATATGCTCCGCGTAGTCACCAGAGGCCGGTATGCAGTGCGGCTTAGGTGGTAATGATGGCAGCACGTGTGTACCGCCGCACATACCGCTCTTTTACTCCATCAGATCCACCTTATGATTAGCCCAAATGGGATGCGCGACGTTTGCCTGGCGCCTAAATTTAGCGTTGTTGACGCTGCGCGCTGCGTGTGAGACGGACAGCGCGCTCATGCGTCCAGCATCTCCTCCTTAGCGGATGCGCCACATTTCGTGGCTGTGCCCAAAGCACGCGCACGATTGGCTGTTCGGGGCTGCCGCGAGGCTGGCCCTTCGAGAAGGTGTTCTGGCTCGGACAGAAAAGTGATAATCTTCCGAGCCGGAAAGAAAAGCTTGACGCATGCTCTCCGAAATGGACGCAAGGCTTCCAGTCGAGGTGATGTGTCATCCGCCGTAGCTCACATTACTCGCTTCTGCTTGCTCTCTAGCACATGTCGTATCACGAGACACGCATGCGCCTAGAATAGATCCACCAACGCATGCATAAGTCTTATGTCCGCGGACCGACACTGACATCCACGAAACCTTCTCATTAGACTTTCGTACGCTCCCTGGAGTTGATTGTCTACCACGGGAAGTTATGGTACTCGGACTTTGTGCACTATGAAGCAAGAGCAGGATATCTTTAGAGTGATGATCTGACTTTTAGATGAATGACGTGGGACGATGCATCGGTATCAACAGCGGTCAAGAAGCGGTCCAAATCGTCGGGTCCGATAGCATCACATTCCAGTTACAACGGTCTGCGCACTCCGTTTCCAACAATCTCCCAGCCAACCACTGGAGTCGTAGAACAAGCGACCGGAGCCAGGCGTGATAGCACATGTTGCCAGCTCTAGGGAAGCCCTCTCAAAGCAGCTGGCCATGCCTAACGATTCTCCCTTCCTACGTTTATGATCTTTTCACAAGTCTTCGTTCAACCGTCAAACGTATCCTCGAAAATATCGCCCGTAGATCTACTAATCTTAAATATATATGCATTGTCAGGATTATACGGGATTATGACGGTAATCGACACCGAGTCTGCGCAAGTATGTTCAGAAACAGCACTCTGCCCGGCACACGACCCACGACCCTCTCATCGAACCACAACTTCTCTACAAACACTGTCTACCACCACGTGTGAACATTGCCGCCCAAAATAGCACAGCGAGTGAGGTTACCTATAACCCAAAATTCTTGCCCTCGTGTTCCACAGTGCACTGAACATCCTCAAGAATGTATCGCTCGTATCTAATCTTGGAAGAACCCGCGAAGTGACTGGCCACTGTAGACAGTGAACATATTCCGAGCTAGCCCACTTTTGAAGATGGGCTTGATTACGCCACGCAGGGGTGGAAAATGCAGATGTAGCCAACACAAGTGTCAGGACGTACGTTATTCCGACCGAGAGAGTTTCTATAATTATGCGTGGTGTGTGTACATAGTGGTACATGCGAATCCTGCTTTGAGCGCATTGCTCGTATACCTGTCTAATGTTAGACCTTCGAAGATCCATCATGTAAAACTCTTCCGACGATGATCGACTTCGAATTCAGATTTGGAATACGCAATCAAGGCTGTGGTTGCGCATCTGCGCAATCAGTGCATTCTCGACGACCACGTGCCAGTGGATGCATGCTAACATGATCTCCCGCCTCCCCTACCGACTCTTCCACCTGACGCCCCCCACCCACCTAATCCACGCCTCCACAACCTCCCTCTTCTCCGAATCTCCTGTGTACAAGTCAACCATTTCCTGCCACTTTCCACCCCTTTCCCATCACTAAAATAACAATGTACTCACCGTCAACCCCGCCCCTAACAATCAACTCCACCGTATACCACCCCCTCGCCAACTCCTCATTCCCCGCCAACCTATGCACAAAACTATGACACGCCCTACACAGCCACGCCACACTGTTCAGGCTCTCCTCCGCATGCCACCCCCTCTTCCGCACCCTCTCGTGCGTACTCTTCGGTATCAAGTGATGGTACGTCAGCGGGATCCAGTCGCGGGCGCAGAGCTCGCACGCGGATGTGCGCGTGGCGGACCATATAGGTGGTGGCGCGGTCGCGGCGGCGATGTAGGAGGTGAACACGGGGGTGAAGAAGTGGTGGAGATCGAGGGGATCGGGGACGGCGGGTAGGAGGGCGTAGGAGGTTAGGGAGTCGAGGGCGGGTGGGGGGAGGAGATTTAGTAAGTGTGTTTCTGTGAGGTGGGAGAGAGGCGTGGAATAGCGGTCTTGGAGGTGGGGTTCGTCGCGGTATTTGGAGTAGGAGAGGATGCGGAAGTCCGGGGGGAGGGAGGGGAAGATGAGGGTTGAGAGGTACTGTGTGGGGTTTCAATATTCCTGTCAGATGTTGGTGATGGGGTTGGACTCACGTCGATGAAATCGCCGAGATCTTCTGCACTTGTTTGGTCTTCTGTGCTGACGGCCTGTCCCGCATCGATGTTTGCCTTCTTCTTCGGGATCCCGTTTCTGCCATCCTTACTCTTGCGTGGTAGTCTTCTTTTCTTCTTGGGCTTGTCGATGGGTTTGGACAAGGCCTTCAACACAGGCTCGCTGAAGCAATCTCGGAAAGTCTCAAAGTTGTGCTGTTCATTAGGCGCAATTGCGTCGGCCATGACGTCATATAACAGAGGACCTTTGGTAGGCTTGAATGGTCATCAAAATTGTGAAAGATATGTTACCCTTGGTAGCTATGAATGGATGGAGTGGCGCTTAATATCTGCGTTGTGGCAAATCTAGTGTGAACTATGTGTTGACAATGATGTCGTCTTTTGATTGGTCGAGTGGACATGCTCGAGGGCGGAACACGACAAGGGCTCACAATACGACAACACACGTCTGTCAACGGACCACTGTAAGTCGTAGGCAGCTATTTGGCGCATTCTGCGAGTGAGGGCGCAAGAGGCACGGATTTAAGCGAAACAAACAAACTCGAGGCCAGTAAAAAAATTCGTATACTCTACACGGGCCTAGAGATTCGGTCTGGCAATCGCATTGCCAACCTCCACCGACATATCTCATGAATTCGTGGATTCCTCGCTTCTCACAGGCTATGCAAGCAGAACCGCCCCATTCACACCCATGATTCGCAAGACCACACGAGGATCCAGTCATTGGCGTGCCCTTGAGGAAGAGTAAAGCTCCTTCTACTTCTTCGAGCCCTTCTTCGCGCCCTTCTTGGTGCCCTGGGCGGCTATCCTCCGTCGTTCGTCGCGCTCAATTTGCTCCTTCTTGGCCTTCTCATGCTCAGCGCGTTCTTCAGCCTCGGCCTTCTTCCTCGCAGCCTCGGCCTCACGGCGCTCGCGCACCTGCTGCAGGCGCTCGAGGTCGGCACGCGCCTGGTCCGTCTTACCCTCAGCGTGCAGCTTCTCGTACCGCTCCTTGGCCTGCTGTGCCTGGATGGCCTCGCGCTCGCGTCGGCTGAGCTGGCTTAGGTCCTGCTTGCCCTTGCCCTTGTCCGTCGGAGCGGGAGCATCGACGGGCTCGGGTGCCTTTGCGGCCTGGTTGCGGGCCTTGGCTGTGTGGTTTGGGTTCGCAGGCATGTCGTCGTCGTCGTTGTCGGACTCTTCCTCGGAGGAGGAAGGCAGGTCGCCGGCCTCGGGGATCTTCTTGTTCTGTCTTGCGATGGCGGCCTGCTTGCGGGCTTTGGCGGCCGCACGGCGCTCCTCACGGGTCATCTCGGCCTGCGGCTTCGCGTTCTCGTCTTCGCTAGACTCCTCTTCGGAGTCTTCCTCTTCGGACTCCTCCTTCACGGGCTCATCCTGGGTTTATATTAGCAGACGCGCTTGCTGGCTTGATTGGAGTTTGCGTACGCCCCACATGCCGACGACCTCGCCATCCGCGTTGAGCGGCTGGAGGTCTCGCGAGAAGTGCTTGCCGCCTCCGCGCTTGGGCTTGGCGAACTTGCCGCCGCGACCGCGTGTAGAAGCAGACATGACTGGTGTAGATGTTTGTGTGGTGGGTCTGAAGAGACGAGAGGTGCGCTGCGCAGTTCGAGACTTGCGGACTCGAACGCTGCTGTTCGCGGTTGCGTGTGGCGAGGAATGGGCTCGGATTCGAAGATCGTCCGCAGTGCTTTGTATATAAAAAACGAGGTGTGTGCTCGCGTGCGTGCGGTCGTTGGCAGAGTCTCGTGCTGTTGGGTGATTGTTCAAGACGTGAAGGGTGCCTCGGACGCTTTGTACTCCTGCCCGAATATTAGCATTTCACGCACAAGCGCACCTGCTTTCCACGGTACTCACCGAATCAGCAATGCTGTCTGTGTATGACTCCAGCGGCGCAATGCTTCAACAATGACTGACAACAAATAGCCCCGCCTCGCATCTCCAACCCCACCACCAAGAAATTAACCCTTTTTCGCCCACGCGCTATGCCGCATTGCGCCGCCCGCATCCACCCGCTGACTAACCCCATTGCTTCTGACTTTTATTCGGCGCTCGCCTCGCCTCGCTTTTCTCTTCATACATAAAACTACAACCCTTCATATTCACTCTGTATCTCCTGTCAATGAGGCTCCGGAGGGGAAAATGGAGGGGAGAGAGATAACCTTACGGACGTCTACTTACCCCCGATGCTTCTGTGCGCTTCGGCGTGCCTGTGGAGCAAAGGTAAATAATTTGACGATACATGTTTTCCTTTGCGCGCATGCCTCCATGCCCCGGTGTTCTCTGACATGACTTGCTCTTGATTCTGATGCTCCCCAGGTTGGAGGGGCATCTTGACCTGTGCTAAGTTGAAGTAGATGCGTCGATGGCGGAGCTGCAAGAGTTCCCGTAGCTGGCTACACTTCGTGCAATGCACGTCGATTCTCTTCCCATACCATTCATGCTGCAACTTCCTCAGTCGTCTCTCGTTCCTTGCGCATGTTCTTCCTGAGGCGATCAGTCAAGTGTAGCGGTGTGTTTGTCGTGGTAGGCCAATTTGGAGTTGGCGGCAATCTCGCACGCACAGCGTTGAGATGCTTTCTTGCGGTTCGCTTCCTCCCAAGGCATGTTCCTCTTGTATCTATCCCAATCATTTCAAGTCGTCAGTCCTTCAACAAGCCGTTGCCAGCCTCCGTATTCAGCTCAACGCACGCTGTAGCCTGCGCAAGTATCATATTCTACTGTCCTATCTAGGTTTCGGTAACGTGCCTGGCCTATAACGATGCTTTCCTCCTTCTTTCAACCAGTCTTTACTCGCTCAAGCCACCGACTTCAGCACTGTCAATCTATTCTTCCATTTACTCCTTTTTGAACACTCTCCTCGCAATTCTAGGCAACCGTCCCCTACGCTTATTTTATCCTCGCTTCAACCTAGCTCTATCCTGATTATTATACCTCCGTTACAACAACCAAAGACTCAACCCCCACAACCCAGCCTAGCACGTCCACCTCAATTCTCGTTCTCTCTCTCCCGTCTCTATCCCCATGCACATCCTCAAATACCACGCTGTTCCTACAAACACCCTCTTGCCCGTTCTCAGTCCGGCGCCACGCCGAAGCACTCTACCCCGCCCATACCGCGAACTCAACTTAGTAGCACAGGCATCCATAACCCCAAGTTGATATATTCCCTGCTATACGAGGCAAATCCATCCGCTCATCCGCCACTATCGCGTCATTCCGATCATACGCCTCTCCTTCCTCATCTGCGGGCAAATTCCAGCGTCCCTAGCACCGGAATTCCGCCTCTTTTGCCTTTGCTTGGCGCAGTCATGTCTTTCCTTTTGTTCAGAGATTGTACCTACATTCATCAACGACATTTCATCACAATCCTGCGCAAGTTTCAAGCTCCTTGTCATCATCACGCCACGGCACAAGACAATTTTTTTTTCTATCATTTTCCATTGAGTATCCATGGCTCAGTGCTTGATGCAAAGAGCCTAAGCAGAGAAGCTATCGAATTGCCACGAAAATGGTCACCTCCAGACCTTAGCCTATCTCAAATCCGCCCAAATCCGATCGATCACCACCAAGGAAGAAAGAGCAATAAAAATTCTAAAGAAAGGAAGCATTCGCAGCAGGCTGCTTTTGGAGCGGTCATGGTCAGGGTGTGAAGCAGAGCCTTTCACCTGATGTGTCCAAATGGCCAAGCAACGCAAACTCATTTGAGGCCAATTCAAGACTACAATCCATGGCCTGCCCACCTAGTTAAGTGAGCTCAGCTCCGTATCGTCGTTCAGTGGACCATCTAGATGTACCACATGGTCTCGCGGATTCCAGTGTTGGCAAGCATAGGCTGCAGCGGGGCAACCTCGATGACGCGGCTGGACGAACCGGTGGAGGAGCGTGCTGCTTGACCTTGGGCCTCCTTCTTGCCAGATGAGACCGGGCTGTCGCTCACATGGGCCCTAGCACGGTCGGCGGCCAAGTGAGCGTAGTACACAGCAGGGTGGAGGGAAACCGGAGTCGTGGAGCGAATGTACTGGTAGGAGTGCTCAAAGAGGAATTGCTGCATCTCCGCTGCCTGCCAGGACCCGTTCTCGTTGAGGATGCACTGGTAGTGAATAGGGCGAGCGGTGCCCTTGATGGCCACATGTGAGCAGAGGTAGAAGTCGAACTCATGTGGGTGAGTGCAGCCGGTTTCGACCAAGGTACCGGGGAGGGGGTTCTTGTTACGGTCGCCTTGCTCAGGGAAGAAGCGGATGTGGTGGCGCTTGCCAGCAATCATGACACAGAAGTCGGGGGTGGTCTTGCAGCCAAGCTTGGCGAAGACAGACTTCATGTCGCGGACTTCCTCGTTCAGAACAGCGGCGTACTGGCCCTCGCTCACACCGTCACGAATATAGATGACCCGCTTTGGCGGCTGACCCTTACCAAGGCGTTGCATCCAGTTCTTCGCCATGTGGCCAAAGTGCTCCTCGATGTTGGAGGTGGTGACCATCTCAACGCGGTGGCCGTTGGTCTGGACCTCAGCCCAGTAACGCGTGAAGGTCGCGTCGTTAGAAACCGTGATGGCGGCGAACGAAGCAGCCTCTCCGGACCCAGCTCCTGGGGCGGGGTGGGAAACGTCAGCACCGACGACCATGGTGGGGATGGAAGCCGCCTTGGGATTGAGCTTGGGAATGACCTGGGAAACCGCGACATTCGTGGCACCGCCGAGCTTCGCATTGACCTTCATGCACACGTTGGATATGTACTGGCCAGAAGCAGTCTGCGCATGCTTGGACTGAATGACTTGGCTCACAACGCCAAAGCGAATGTCCATGGACTTCTTGATGCGCCGATAAATTTCGATGTTGCGGTCGTTGACAATGAAGAACATGAGGCTCGGGCGCTGCTGGTAACGGTTTCCAGTCGCCTGATAAGCCTTGTTCACCATCTCTCCGCCGTCGGCGAGGTTGCCGGGACCAATCCAAGGCGTTGTGCCATGCGTAGGGTGAGAGGCAACGATACCGCCGTGAGCAGTGTAGATCTTAACGAACTCGGCGGCGAACCTCTTTGCAACGTCGGGTGTAGCTGCACCGCGACCCTGAACGACACAGATGCCCCAGCCCTTGATCGGTCGATCTGTGTTCGGAAGTGCAAACACACGACCATCCAAACGCCAGCGACCCTGTAGTAGATCCTTGTTATCCACCACAGCTTGACGGCTCTTCGCTCCAAAGCAAGACTTGGGCGGTGGGAGCAGCACACCCTTGACCTTTGCCGGGGCGGGGTTGATCTTCAGGCCATAGTGATTGAGGAAGCGGTCTTGCTGCCAGTTGAGAAGTTGCACACCGTTAATGACTGCAGCCCATCGATCTTTGGGTAGGGTGACTGCGAACTTGATCATCTCAGATGTCTGTTTATCGCTCAACTTGGTGTTGTATCGCTGATTCGCATCAATGTTCAGTACTTCGAGGGGGAGGTAGACCTGCTTTCCGCGGATCTTTTTAGTCATCTTGACCACAGGGAACCCAGGCCTCAGATTCTTCTGATATTTTTGGGCGAAGTACTGCCTAAGAGAGACCGTATTACCATCTCGATCGGTGAAGGTGGCTTCATTGACATCTTTCCCTTCAACTTCATCGATGGTGTACTGGACATGTGGTTTGACGTGAGTCGCAGAGACGCCAATCTTCTTGAAACGATGCATATCCTTCTTCATGGAGCTGCCCCTCCAATCTTTCTTCTCGCGCATGAACAAACCGCTAAACCGGTCTGGATCCAAGTTAAAGCTAGAGAACATAGCGGGACCAAGCGGTTGCGAACGCCAGAAGGTGCCATTGGCGACATCGACATTGACGGTCAGACCCTTCTCGAGCTTGTTGTTCAGACAGGGGCGAAGAGACGAGAAGACGCCCTTGAATGCCTCAACGCCGCCGCCAAGGTCGAAGCGTCGCTCGCCACGCTGGAAGAATGACTTCTTGATCTGGGTGTACTGGAGGCTGGGTCCTTCGCGCATGAGGTGGTCTAGGAAGTTGATCGTGTCGATGCACTCTGTGGAGTAGGAGGTCTGGTTGTTGAGGAAGGACTGCAGGGCGGAGAAATCGAGCTGGCGCGTGAACTTCACGTAGAGCTTGTGCTTGTTCTTGCTCGAGTCCCGGGCGCCACGAAGTGGGAGGCCGTGAGCAGCACGATCTTGTGCTTCCTCTGCGTCCAAGTCCACTTCAATGCGGAGTTCATCCCGAGGGAGCCGCTTGCCGCACCTGCATCTGTTAGAAAAGAGCAAAGGCAGCAGCAGAAGACAGGGAAACCTCACCAAGCCAGCTTGTTGCCATCGTAGATCCAGAGATTCTGCGGTTCGCCCAGAGCATCCTTGACAGCCTTCGAGCGCCAGATCTTTTTGACGAGAACGCGCTTGCTGGCATCAGTGCCAGTGCCCCATGATATCTAGAACACATGAGTCAAAGTATAGTGGTGGGAGGCAGGCGTGACTTACGTCATACTGGTAGACGATCTGGGTGGGGAACTTGTCGACATTGAAGGTGTTGAGCGTCACGTTCACAGGCTTGCCGATGGTATTGAACTTGCCCGGGCGGCGAGGAAGCTCTCCGGGGATCTCAAGCTTGTGGATGTCAGTATCGAGGTTGAAGTTTCGATAGCGTGCGAAGCCATCGGTGGGAAGGTGCATATAGCCAGGCATGATGGATAAATATTGATGTGGAAGAGAGAGGATGAAAGAAAATAGGTAGAGGTGATGTGAGAATAGCCGGTTCAAAAGATGGTGTGTAAAAGTGATGTGGGTAAGGTTGAATCAAATGATCTTTGAAAGTGCTGAAAATTGTGTGCTGATGAGGAGAGGGAAAGAAGGAGAGGGTGAGGCCCTGTTTATGCCCTCCGGATAGGTTGAACGGGCATCGCTGCAATTTTGGGCATGAACGCTGCGATTGCAGGACGTTTGAATGCTCTGCATGCGCATCCCAGGTTGGAAGAGTAGGAAGATCATATGGGGAACATGAAGAGAAACGCGTTTGTACTTACTCCACGCGCCACACACCAGCCGGCATAACCAAGAGCCTCAGAGATGTTCTTCAGGTCTTGCGGACGAGAGTATTCGATTACTGGGTTACGGGAAAGTCCCGGACCCGTGGGGTGAGGATCGCGATTGCCATCGAGGCGGGGGATCGACTTGGGGTTGGAACGCTCAGTGGCGTCACGAGAGCGGCCTGACGAGTTGCCCGAAGAGCTGGTGCCCTTCTTCTCCGCTTTAGCGCGGCGTTTGGATGGACCACCCATTGTGACTCCTGCAATGTCATGTCAGCCCAATTCTTTCAGAGACAAACGAATGCGGTCGGCCGTAAGGGCATGCTGCAGGGTTTGCCTGGCCGGCATAATACCCGCAACAATGACCTCTCCAAGGCCGCAGGAGATGGACATGGGCGTTTGAGCGACCGGGCGTTATCGCCGACGACAGAACGTACCTGGAGGTCTTTCAAGGGCGTGATTTGAACTTGGAAGTCAGCGACGATCGCGATCGACGCCCAGTGTCTAGGAGCCGTCAGTAAGAGCTTCAATACCTTCGAGCCACCCCTGATATCGCGCAAGTGATGACGACTCAAAGCGAGCTGGAAGGGAGCATGGGGTGCAGTTGCGACGTACAAAACGCGGATGCCCAAAGGGATGTGATGCGAATGGCGGGTGTTGGAACTGTTAAGGGAAGAGGCGATGAGGAAAGGAAAAGTTCGAAAAGAAGGAGCAGAAGGTCAGGTAATCAAACGAAATGGGGCAGGCGTGTGGGAGATTGCCGTGGTGACCGCGACAGAAAGTCGGGCTTGGCAGCGCATGTGTGGAAAGAGCGCCCACGAACGTCAGTAGGAAGGCGGCGTACTTACAGTGATGATGATGAGCTCCTTCAATGCCTCAAGATGAGGGGCACTAATAGTAGTGGCGTAGTAGACTTGACTAGCAGGCTATCGGAGCTGGGGCTCACAAGAATGTATGCCAGCAGTAGAGGAAGTTTTGTGCGAGTAGTAGAAGGCCGAAGTAGCTTGAAGGTGTTGAAGGTCAAGCACCAAAGAAGATTGTTGATGGGGTGAAGAGAAGAAGGATTCGAGACCGCCAGATTTTGTTTATATAGACCTCAGGCCGGGAGTTGCAGCTGGCGTTCACGATGGTGAGAGACGGGAAGCCCTTCTGACGTCGGTGAACGGGAACAGCTGATGAGCTCGAGTGAAAGGTTTGACGTGAGACCAGAGCACTTTTGGGGATTTGGAAACGGAGGTGATAGAGCGAAATGCCTCCGTGACCGACCTGTAGACTGGAAGGGGGCACTCAAGAAGCTGAGAAGTGATAGCAAAGGTGTCGTAATAGGTGGCGGTAAGTTCAGAGACTCCACAGAATGCTGACACTGGCGAGAATCTTTCATTCAGAGACTTCAATAGCACAAGAGGAAAGGTAGCTATGCACGTATATAAGAATATTCAAGCGACAAAACCAAGACTGAGATGCGCAGAATTACGGCCACACCATACTAATACCAGGGATACGGGGCTTGAATACATAAGAGTCGGCGAGTGAGATCATCGGATGCTACACTACCTTGAAATCATATTAGCAATGTACACTGCAACAGTGCTCGTTTTTGCTTGCCTTCAACAGCAGACGTTCGGCGCGAAGGAGCAATAGCCATGGACCAGCATGGAGTTTAGGACGGACTCGGGGACGTTTGATCATAGTCGGGTCTCCATGCATCAAGCTGGGGCATTCATGCGTTGCACGTATAGGTGACTTAAATAGCCCAAAGGGGGGCAGCTCCGTATGAAGCTGGCCAGCGTGACAGTTATGTCGTTCATAGTGGTGCATTACATAATCCAATCAACTAGTTAAGAACAAACTCTCCTTTGACTATGCCCAGTAGATATTTTGACACCCTGAAACAAGCAGCAGCAGCATCACTATTCACTGCCTATGCAAAATTATTCTCAACCTGTCCAAAAGAGAATGAGAGAACGCCCAAGACAGAAAAAAAAAGAAACGCCGCCCATGCAACGTGCTGCAGATACCACGATATCTGGTCGCCATCGTATTCGAGTTTGGAGGGGGAAAGACTCGGAACCGGAGAAATCAAAATAGTACAGATGTCATCCCCAAACGAAAGAGAATTCACCTGGGAGCCATCGGTTCAAGTCAATGATAGACTCAAACATTGAATGATTCATAAAGTACTACTGGTACCCAGGTTGAACGCCCCCATATCGCGCCTGTATGTTTTGCAACTGCGCGCCTATGTGAGCAGCTGGCGGACCGGCTGACGCTGCTGCATTGCCCGGCAGCGGGAGCGTGATGCCACGAAGGAGGTTGACCATAGCCTCGGGTCGGAACCGCGTCGCTTGATATGTGTGCGCGGGAGGTATGATGCCCAAGAGGAAGTTAACACCTTTCGGAAGAGGGGTGGGTCCAGCCACAGGTGTGTTGCCGCCGCCGACGGCATTGTTACGGCGCGCGGCGTCCAGACGACGACCTGCGGCTCCTTTGAGCGGAGACTCGCCACGTATCATCTTGCGAGGCTGGTCGTTGTCCGCATCTTCGAGTGGCCGCTTCGGTGAATTTGTCGCAGGAAGTAGATGGCCTAGGCGTGGTGAGTTGAAGGTGGCCGGTGACTGCAAACGCTCTGGCTGGGGTGCAGGGACCGGAGGTGCGGCTTGCACAGGCTCTTCCACGGTAGGCATGATGTTCGAGGGCATTGCAGGCCTCATCTGAGTTCGAGGCGAGATAATCGGGCGCACAGCCGTCGGGTCAAACGTGGGAGATTTGAACCGCGAAGCGAATCGGAGCAGTTGTGGATCTTCAGGGAACAACGTCGCCATCCGCTGTTCCAACTTGGTGATTTGGGCGAGCTCGCCGAACTGGGATTCGTAGTCGTGGAAGAAGACGAAGAGCGGCTTCGTCCGCGCAATATTCTCTGGCTTTTGGCAAAGACGAGTGACAACTGTCTCAAAAACAGCACGGGCATCTGAAGAGTATTAATAATGTCGTGAATAGGTTCAAAAGAAAATGCAGCTTACTTGTAGCATCGTTAAGCTTAACGAGATGCTTCACGTATTCCAAGGCGAACACTTCATCGTCCGGGAAAAGCTTCATTCCGCGCTCAAAGATCTTGCCTGCAGCTACGTCTTGATAACAGTGATGCTCGATCAGTGCGCTGGCAACGTATGCATCACTGAGAAGCTTGCCCCTCTTGCGGGCTTCGCCGAACACGCCTCGAAATCCGGGAATGTTCGTGTCCTTGGCCCCGCCTTTGCCTTGTACCCGACGCATAGCCCGCATGAGTGCAATCCAGGCATACGTAAGGGTCTTCTTGAGGACGTGGATCTCGGCATTGGTAGAGGTCGTAATGCCCTGGAGCTGGGCGTCGAAGCCTGCCTGTCGCTCTCGTTGCCGTCGCGCAGCTGCACTATTCTCGTCGTCATCGTCATCCTCAACGTCGGATCCTTTCTCTGAGCCAGCTCGAGCGGCTTCTTCTGCGGCCAGCTGAGCGTTAAAATGCTCTTTGGCCATTGCGATAGATCGCTCTTCTCGCTTCTTGACTTTGTTGATGAGATCATACAACGTATTCAGCACTGTGTCCAAAGGTTCGCGAACGACCTTTGCCTTCGCAATGATACCAGCGTCCCCTTCTTCGAAGTCGGTGCGAAGCTCGAGTTGGTTCGACCTTTTGAACGCCAGCAAGCAACTCTCCGGATTTGCCTCCATACCGCCTTGTAGGAATGTGTTGCCCTCGTCGCTCAGGTTATTCTGGAGCGACCACTCTGCTGCGTCGAACCACATCTCGGGCCAAAAGCGTAGCGCTGCAAGTGCATTTTTGTAGATGTATAGCACACGCTTGTTGTACGTCTCACGATCTTCGTCTCTTATCTCTAGCGGGTCGCTCTTCTCCCATTCGATCCAGTTCTTCCAAGCCTGCACCTGCTTCGTGAAGTCCTCTGCACCGTCGAAACCAGGGGCAGGCGGGAGTTTCGGCAGGGTGGTACGGTGGACGCTACGGGTGATGTTTTCAGCAACCGTGACTGCGCTCCTCGCGGTCATGTAGGAGGCCGATTTCTCCTGCAGATGTTTTCGGCCCTGAAACAAGTCAGTTTGCATACCACGATATATTGTGGAGTTCGCGTACCTGAACCTTGTTCAGGTTCATCTCAAATCTATCGTAGTCGCGCCAGATCTCCATGGTAGCATTCGTTGGCACAGCAATCGCGCGTTGGTACGCTTTGCGCAGTATGTCCATCTTTTGCATGTCTTGCCAGCCGCTTCCGCCAAGATTACCAGGTCCGGACTTGAGGATCTCAATGTAGTCGGTCCACAGCTTGCCGGCGTTGATGTCTATGCCCACGTGAGGAAGCACAAACTCGTAAGCTTGAACAATGATTTTGCGGTTGTCGCCTTCTTCAAGAGGATAACGTCGGCGGACGTAATCAATATATGACGAGAAAAGCAGTAGCGACGGAGTGTTTTGGATGGAGCGGCCGAAGATCTGTTCGACTTGGGCGAAGTTCTCGAGCTCTGTCTCCATGTTCACGTATTGCACCCATATCTCGGCCTAAGACTGTTAGACCCATCTTGTAGCATTTCGTCATTTCACTTACGGCTGAAGGGAAGACTTGGAAGAATCGCTCAAAGACGCCGCGCGCCTCGTCAACTTTGTGTCGCTTGCGATGATCGTCAATCAGACCCAACCACGCTTCGATATCACCGCGCGGATCCTCAGCAACTCGGTCTTCAAGCCGACCCACAGTGTCCTGAGGAAGACGGGGCCTCGGAAGAGACGCTGGAAGTGTCGTCGTGGAAGCTGATGCTGGCGCTGGCGCAGCCTTCAGCGGGTCTGAGGAACCTGTCTTAGTAGCATCTGGAACGGGCGTGCCGCCATTGGGAACAGTAGCAGAAGCAAGTGAAGAGACGACGTTAGGGACAGCGACTGGAGGAGACTGGACACCAGGAACAGGCTGATCTTGTGCACTAATTGACGACATAGCTTGAGGTGCATGTGTATTGTTTGGAGACAAAGTAACGGAACGCTGAGGAGATTCTGACACTCCAGAAGCATTCAGCAATGCAGACCCAGCCTTCGGCTTCGCGACAGACACTTCATCCTCGTCGTCCTCGCTCTCGTCGACAAACCCACCCTTCGTGCGCGGCTGTTTCTGCGGCGTCGGTGCGGCTGGTGTATCGGCGGGCGGTGCCCTGAGCGCGCCCTCGTCGGCGGGCTGGGGCGTGTTGGTAGCCGAGTCTGCCATCGCGACAGACTGCGCAGATGCGGAGCGCGTCTCCTCTGGGGGGTTGCCGAATGCGTTGTCGGGATCGTACTCTTCTTCCTCGTCCTGCTCGGCCTGCTCGGGCGCAAGAGAGAAGTCGGCCGCGGGGTCGTACTCCTGCTTCTGCGCCTCAAGAAAGGCCATCTCGGCGTCCGCGTCGGCCATTTGGGCGATGCGACAGTGGGAAAGGAAATGCTACGGGGGCAGGGGCTGGGGACGTATAGCAGCGCGTTGCGCTAAGCTCACCTACAGCTGTGCTGTCGTGTGCGCACGAGCACCGAGGGTGCAGCCGAGGCAATGTGCGCTGTGAGTGTCTGACTTCTTGGTCTGCGCGGTTCAAGGTGTGGGCGGGGCGGGGCGAGCTGAAGTCTTTGTGCAGAGTCGACGGGGCGACCTGGTGATGTTTGCGAAAGCGACGTGCCCCGATGCGCGAAGGCGCCGCTTTCTCCGAGCTCCAGCCTTGGCGCTGTGGCTGGTGCTTCCGTGATGCGCTGCCAGACTCGACCGATGTCACCGCAGAGCGCGCCGGCTTTCACCGTGGACTGTTTGACTACGCTCCATGAAACATTGACATTCGGCTCAGTGACTTCTCGCGACTATCATCGCGGGACCATCCCCCCATAGACGCTCTCTGACAGCAACGCTGAGGCGGTAACCGCGAGCGCAGGCAACGAACGACCACGTCGGAACATAGCAGTACACATCCACAGCCATGAATCCACACATCTCGCTCCCCAGACCGACGGGTGGCCCCTCAAATTTCGGCAGCACACCATCCTCCCGAAGAAATGAGCTCCGAATGCCGCGCTTCTTCAAGCGCCTGTTCAAGTTCCCGCAGATGGACTTCGAAATGGCAATATGGGAGATGATGTCTTTGATGATTGCGCCCAAGAAAGTCTTCAGGTCAATATACTATCACGTAAGCCTCCAAATACCACCTTCAATACCGCCAATCTAACCTTCGTCCCAGAAACAAACCTCAAAAACCTACCACCGCCCGGACCCCTCCTTCACCTACCTCCTCTCCGCCTTCCAGCTCCTCACCTCGCTCGCCTGGGGCTTCGCGTACGCCTCTTCGGCCCCTTCCGTCCTCAAAATCACCCTTGTTTTCATCTTCGTGCACTTCCTCCTCTCCTCGCTCGTCATCTCCACCATCAACTTCTTCCTCATCAAGTATCTCCTCGGCCCAAACAGTAAGATACTACCGGGAAAGCGGCGCGGGCTGTACGATCTGAGCGCAAATGACGGCGAGGGCAAGGAAGAGCTCGAGTTTGGGTACTGTTGGGATGTAGCCATCCGCGCTTTCGTGCCGGTGTGGGTGTTCCTGTATGTGGTGCAGTTTCTGTGCATGCCGCTCGTGGGGACGGATCATTGGTGAGTTCACATACTCATTCGCCTCTCGCACGACTCCAGCGAAGGGTGCTATACCTGGGACAAGACTAACCATACACAGGGTCTCCCTCGCACTCTCCAACACACTCTATCTCGCCGCGCTGATATACTACTTCATAATCACCTTCTTGGGCTACAACGCGCTGCCCTTCCTGCACCACACCGAGCTACTCCTCGCCCCCATCGCCATAACTATCATCCTCTGGTTCGTCAGCCTCTTTGGTCTGAACCTGAGCAAGCACCTTGCACCCATTTTCCTTTCGGGCGTGGCGTTGCGGAAATAAGGATAAGAACGAGCAGGTAAGAAGCGCAGGGATGCGTTCGTGTATGATCAATGTCTGTAAATATGTGATTGGGTTGGACTAGCATGGCGCATGACATCGCTCAGGTTTGCGTAGGTTGCTTTTGCGATGGACGCATTTTCACGGCGAACTAGCGAGCGCGCATTATCATTAATGTTGATACATGTTTACATTACAAGGTGTGTGTGTACACAGGATCCACTGCGAGATCTCAAGTTATGTGCATAGAAAGCGGGGAAGTGCAGTGCTCCCGGCCGGCCGACCGACCTGCGTCTACTCGTACAGCCGTCTATCCGTCTATATGCAAAGCATGCATTCCATATCTTACAAAGTTCTCTTAATCTTGTCTTCGTCATAGCACTGGATCTTGTCTCCGACCTTAAACTCAGACCAGCCGCCGTCGAACGCGATACCGCACTCGGTGTCCTTGTGCATGGTCTGCACGTCCTTCTTCTGGTTCTTGAGTGATCCAACCGTGCCTGCACTTGTGTTAGCAGGTAGCCTGTGTGGTAAGGGCTTCTCTTCAGAAATGACTCACCATCGAACACCGCCTCATTCCTACGCAACACTCTGACCCTGGAGCCCTTCTTGATCTCGCCATTGCGGACCTTTGATCCAGCAACGAGAATCTTCTTCCGCCCCCCGAGGCCAATCTCGAATGTCATGGCGACCTCTGCTTCACCGGTGACGCGTTGCACGATTCTAGGCGGGAGTCGCTCCTCCAACAGAGCCTTGACATTTTCCACGACCCTGTAGATGATGTTTGAGTCAAGAATCTTGACTTCCTTCCTCTCTGCCAAGGCCTTGATGTTGTTGGGGACGTCGGTGTTGAAGTTGACAATGTGGCCCTTTGCATCGGCAGCGTGCTCGATGTCGAACTCAGACGGCGAACCAACACCATGGCGCAGGATGCGTGTGCCGACCTCGCCGTTGCCGAGCGCAGAGATCTGGTCGATAACTGCCTCGACAGAGCCAGAGACGTCACCCTTGACAATGAACGAGACGAGCTCTGGGCCCGTCTCCCTTTCAGTTGCGACCTCTTCGACGACCTCGCCATTCTTTTGCGCTTCGGCGGCCGCTTCTTCAGCCTCACGACGCCCGGATTCCTCACGTCTCGCGACGTTGATAGCTTCCATGTCTATGGCCATCTGCTCGCGCTCCAGCTTCTCTAGACGTAACTCAGCAACAGCCTGGGCATGCTGCTCGTCGGTGGCTTGGAGGACCTCGTCTCCGGCAATGGGCTGTTCGCGCCAACCGTCAACTTCGACAGGCATACCGGGGCCGACTTCATCGACGACCGCACCAGCTTCATTGTGCAGACTCCTGACGCGGGTCCATGTGTTGCCAGCTACGAGGAGGTCACCTCGACGGAGAGTGCCAGTGCGGACAAGGACCGTGGCCACTTTCCCAGACTTCTTCGTACTACCTTCCAGGACCCATCCTTCGACGTTAGCATCCGGGTCAGCCCGGTGATCAAGCATTTCGGAAAGCGTAGTAATGGCCTCCTCGAGGTCCGGAATACCCTGACCGGTCTTGCCGCTAACGCATACAGCCTGGACATCCCCACCAAAGTCTTCGACCTCGATACCGTGACGGCCAAGGTCAAGCTTGACCGCTTCTGGGTCCGCCTGCGATTTGTCAATCTTGTTGATGGCAACAATCATGGGCACTTGAGCTGCTTGAGCATGCTTGATAGCCTCGATTGTCTGAGGCATGACAGAATCGTCGGCTGCTACGACTAAGACGACGATATCTGTGACGTTTGCGCCTCTGGCACGCATTGTCTCGAAAGCGGAATGGCCAGGTGTATCCAAGAATGTGATCTTCTTGCCTGAAGACAAAGGGACGCTGAAAGCGCCAATATGTTGAGTGATGCCCCCGAATTCGCCAGCTGCGACACTCGAAGAGCGTACGTAGTCCAGAATAGTAGTCTTTCCGTGATCGACGTGACCCATGATGGTGACAACAGGGGGTCGGGCAGGCAGCTTAGCATAGTCCTCAGGAGACAGCGCAGGGGCTGGAAGGAGATCTCCATCGTCTTCGTCTGCTTGAACAATAGGTTCAAAGTTGTACTCTTGAGCAACAAGGCCTGCGTGCTCAGCATTGAGGATATGGTCCGATTGCACCTCTTCGAAACCCAACTCTTCCAGCTTGGCCACGAACTCTTCCAAACGTACTTTCAAAACCGTAGCGAGGTTGGCGACACTGATATACTGTGGAAGGTAGACAGGCATCGGTTCCTTCGTCTCCTGCATCTTCCTCTTAGCTTCCTGCCGCAGTCGCCTGCGTTCTGCTTTGTCTACGTAATCATCATCTTCCTCAAAGTCTTCGTCTCGCATAACACGATGACGTCGGCCAACGTCTCGCAAATAGCCCCCCTTGCGATGCTCTGGTTCATCGTACCGATTGCGTGTCTCCACCGCCTCATCTTCCTCCTCATCACGAGAACGGCGACTCTTCCTGCCACCACGGCGCCGCTCCTCGTTGGAGTTCAGCGCAACCTGTTCGCTTTCGAATTTAGAACTATGCTTTCTGGCGAAGTCAGCCGCCGCGTCGGTGAGATCTGCTTGTTGCGTCGAGTAATTTGGCAACTGGGCACGGGCAGGCGCTGGTCGGCGGAGAACTGGCTGGTCTGGACACAAAGAACTATCATGATCCGTGTTCCCGCAATGCATACAAGCCTTTGTGACAGTATTCCCTCGTTGTACCAGGGGCGTTCGCGGTCGCGATCCTCCCGCTCTTGAATTGCCACCCAATAATTCCTCCAGTTCTGATTGACTCAATTTTGGAGGCCGCGACGCTGGTTGCGAAATAGGCGCACTTGCAGGGGCTCTGGCAGACGCGAGGTTCTGGGAGTCATTCTTCTTGCGCAGTTGTCCAGTGCCGAATGCTGGCAAATCTACAGCAGGCGCAGCTCGCGAGTCCATGTTGACATTGTAACGCGTGTTCTGATAGCCTTGGCCCTCTGATTTGGGGTTAGATCGATATCCAGGACCTTGTCTGGGAGCCTGATGATTGCGCGCAGGACCTTTGAGCATGGAGCTTCGGTACGGCGGTCTCTGATCCATCGGCTGTCCCGGTTGTGGGGACAAAGGCTGTCTCTGCTGGTATTGCGATGGTGGGGGCAGGGGTTGTCTCTGCTGATACTGCGATCGCGGCGACGGCATGGACGATTGGAAGGACGATCTGCCGTTATCTCGCGGCATCGTTGAGTTCATTCGCATGCGGTTCGGAGGAGGCGTTGGCGGCGGCGGAGGGGGTGCTGGAGCCCTTGCTCGAAGTAACTGCTGCATCCTCTCCGCTTGTGACAACATTCGCTTTGGCGCGGGAGGAGCTGGGACTGCCTCGTCTTTAAAAACCGTCCCTTCAGCATGTTGGGGCGCCCGGCTCGATGAATTGAGATGCCTCCGCTGAGACACGCCTGGTGATGCAGCAAGGGCATCCGCCGCGGCGAGTTGGCGAGTGGCGCAAAAGATACATATGTCGCGGGTCGACGAGACCTGGCCTGGTTTCAGCATATGGGGTCCGGAGGTAATGGACAGTGCGGGTGCTTACCCGTAGCACGCGCGATTTCCGCATGGTGGGCGATATGTTGCTGTGATGGCTATCCACAACTCAAAAAAGTCCTGAGTAGAGAACGGACGTGATCACGAATCGGCCCGCCCTGGTCTAGCGCGATTTTCTGCGGCCCCACCCACAATGCGTCCGAAATGATTGGCCCTATGCTCACCTTTCCATTCATCTCAGCAGCATGGGAAGCAGCACTCCTAAAATGACTAGGTGGCTTTGGAGGGGTGCATTCGTATGTGCCAGTTCATACAGATTCAGCAGTGTCACTCACTGGTCTATAATCTTCGGTCGACAGAAAAGTTCCAGGGATAACATATACCATAGTCTGATAAACGAAGCGGCAAAGCCGCAATCGTGTCCAATGTCTAGCCTGGCCCTCGTGCCACATGGGTATCGCGCTGATAAACCATCCTCTTCTTCAAGTCCCCGTCCCTTGTGGTTCACATCTTCGGTATCATTACATCTCTGTCACCAACCTCCTTCCTACTCAACTTTGTTGAACTTCTCCTCGGTTTCCTGCTCGAGTTCGAACTTCTTTTCAGGTCCCTGCCTGAAAAGAAACTCTTCCTGCTCTAGACGTAAATCCCGCGCGGCCAACCATCGTTGGTATCGTTCGCGTATGCCTCGCTTCTGGAAGACGTAGACAATCCACAGGAATATAACGTAAAGGCAGAAAAGGTTTATGAGAAGCAGCATGGTGCCGATGACAATGGTGACACGTGTTTTTCCGTTCAGGCCTGGGTCCTGATATGGAACGTGAGAAAAACCGATGGAAGCGATAAGGGCTTGCCGTACAACTGGATCTTCTGCTTGCAGAGCTTGCTCGATAATCTTGAGGACGTGTTTTCGCTGTGGCTCTTCTAGGACTGGACTCAGGGACTGGGAGAGTACGCCAGAGATGAGGAACAGGAGCAACAGGATGGAGCACATGCTGTTGTACTGGTCAGTATCCAATGCGACTTGATCTTTTCGGGACCGTACCTGGACCAATAGAAGACGCGACGGGGGGGGAGTGCGCGAGCGATGATGTTGATGCAATATCCTTTGGCAATTGGACAGAAGTCAGACTGCTGCATTGGGCGGGACTTCGTGCGTGAACTTGTTGCGAAAGAGGACGTTTTGAAGAACATTTGCAGCAGGTCTTATTGGGCATCTGAATCGGATGACCCGGATGTTATGCTCTTGCCACACGGTGCGACAGCCCACGATACCCTCTGCAAGAAGGTCGATGACGTTGCTGCGATGTATGCACGGCGCCGACGGAAGGCGCGCCCATCAACGCAATCGAAGGAAAGAACGACGCAAAGTGTCTTGTCCCATCACAAAACCCGCTTTTGGGTGGCTGCAATCACTAACATAGGTATGTTCCCATGCTCTCTCCTATATCACTACAGGCCGACTGACCTTGCTGTTTGTGCACTGTCACGCGACTCCAAAGCATCTACTGCATCATCACCTTTCATTTCTGCACGATAGGTCAGAAACCCGGATGTCTACTCGTGCGTGCCTGAACTACTCAGACCTTAGGTACACTGTTGGCCTTGAGCACGACAAGATTTCCCGGACGATTGTATCCCCAGCTGAAGAGTAAAGGATGTTGGTGATTGGCAGGGAATATAAAAGAGGGACTCGGCCAATAGTATCAATGCACCTAGCCAGGCACGACGCCTGGCTAGGTGGAATGCCAGAGAGATACGTACCTGGTACTCTAATGACAGTGAACGTCTCATTCGACATCAAGATGGACTTCGTACAGAACAGCACTTTCGCAAGCATGAGCAGCCCTAGAGGATCGCATGGTTTCGTCCGTGCAATGTCTCATTAGTCGAGTGCCTGGGTTGCCTCGATGACATGCAGACAGCCGGCGATGAGAAAAGAAACGCAGCCAAGAAGGTTTGAGCAGGGACCACGACGTTTCTTGAAACCCCACAACGCGATGGCATGCCACAACGGTTAACCCTGCCAAGAACGATGTTCTCCCCAACACTGACTTCTGACGGCTGCCCTCACTTGTCTTTGCAGACATACTGTGCCGTATCACTTGAGTGCAATTACCATCAACGCACGCACCACTTGGCAAAGCAGGCGGATGGTGTAGCGCCCGTTTAGGCCATTCAATAGCGCGGTTCGCCGGTCCCTGACTTGCCTCCATGGGGTTATGTACAAATGGATCTGCGAGGTGAACCGCGCCAGGGGCAACTCCAGCTGCACAAGCGGAGGTGTTGCGTTTCATCGTGTTGCACGACGCTCAAGCAGGACGAGGCCTCTTGCGGCAGCTGCAGCTGTAGTGGTGTTGGCCTTCGCAGCGTCCAAGTGCGCGGCCCGGGCACGAATCCATGGTCCTGCTGCCGTGTCCTTGAGTCGTGTCCACCTCCACGTGTGAAGGTGTGCAGTAAGGAGCATCCTGGTTCGGTGCGCCCTCCGGCCCTGATGGCGGCTATAGCAGATCAGCAGAATCCAAAATCCATCAAGGGCGCCATAATCGACGCGCGCTCGTCGCGTTGGCTTCCGCGACATCTCATCTCGTGCTGCTCTCCTGCATCCGTCCTGCAGCAGCCGGCTCGCTGCATCTCGCCGCTGCCGTGTCGTGTCCGCACCAATTCACACCCCCTGACGCTGGAAGGCACACCAAACAGCCGCGACGACGCTATCTGCACAGGAGCGAGTCGCGACCCGCAATCGTGCGTCTTGCGTCTTGCGGGCTTCCAGGGTCTCTGTCTGTCGTGTCACACCCCGCCGTCTGCTCGAAGCTACATCTCACGTCCAGAGCCAGGCAGCGCTGGCCTGTCTTCCCCCGAGCGATTGTCCGCGACGAAAGCAGCCGTGACGCGGCGGCTACCCGGCATCGAACCTGCACCTCTCCGCTGCGCATCGAGCGCCCGACCGCGCAGCTTGGCCCAGCTTTTTGGATAGTCTGGCCTTGGTGTTCGAATTGCCCTTTTCGAGGCTTTGTTTCCCGGACGGCATCGGAGTATGCAAGCTGGCGGACGCGCACCACCGACTATACAACTCCGGACCCCAGAGCTAGGGCGCAGCGGCCATGGCACACTTGAGTAGCAGAGACAGGGTGAGGAATGGCTCGCGGCCGTCCACACCCCCGGGCCCGTCAAGAACACATGGCTCAGGCCCCGGGATGCGTGCGCTGGATACTCGCCCCAAGAAATCGGAGACCTTCTTCGACGACGAGACCCTGGTCGACAACAGTCGCAGTGGAGGCACCCAGCGTGAAGCGCTGAGGGACTCGCACGACCTGTCGTTTGCCGATCGCACACGGGACTCTGTCGTTGACAACATGCTCATGTCGCTCGACCAGCTTCCTCTGTCGTCCTACCCAGCAGCGCTGTACTCCACGAGCAATCTCGACGACGACCAGCTATTCTTCATAGACAATTCATACGCCTCACCCAAGGCCCCGCGCGTCCGCGGTCATACGTACGCCTCGTCGCAATCTTCCGATTACGACCTGCATGCCGATGATTCGACGTCTCGATTCGGCCCACATCACGCACGCGGACGGCGAAGCAATAGCAGTAACAACATTCCTAACGCAATGAGCCGACGTGAGAGTCTGAGAGGAGCGTGGGCTGATCCTCGGCAAGCAAACGAGCAAGCACAACAGGCAGTCCACATGAGAGGTGGGAAGGGCAGCAAGAGCAGTATGGGTTCGAGCGTGGACTTCGGGAAGGCGGGTATGGGATCACAACGTCTAGGCCTGGGTCGGCGATCCATTAGTTTTGATCACGGAAACTTGGGTTCAAAGGCATTGTCGGTGAAGACAGAAAGGAGCCGACCGACGTATTCTGGGTACCACCCCGATTACGAGGCAGCACCTCAGCCGACAATTCCTGCTGGACCTCGAAGAGCCCAGGAGCCACAATTGCCCGTCACTTACGCGGCGCAACCATCGTTTGCACCGGCGCAGGCTCCGGCGCCCCGCCGAAAGAATAGCGTTCGATCGGCCGCGAGCTACAGAACCCTTCGCAAAAATAAGAGCCACCAAGAACCAAACATGCGGCTCCAGGCTCAAGAATTCGTCAACGCTGCCAATCTGAGAGATCTCCCTCCGATACCGACGTATCACGACCCGCCCGCACCCTCGCCAAACGTGGCTACACGGAAGCACCCGCTCGTGCCTCTTGGGCCCGTTCCTGTGCCGAAGGAGAAACCTGGTTTCTTCCGCCGTGTCTTTGGTAGCGCATTGCCAAAGTCGGCGCCCCAGATCTCCAACGCGTCTACTAATTCTAACGTTTCATACACGACTACCCCGCCGGCTTCAGCAACCAACCGACCGACTGATGTCGACTCTATGTACTCTAATGGTCGGCCTCGCACCACCCCACACGGGTCAAACCACATCGCATCACAGTTGAAATCGGCTGCCCCAAGGCCACCACAAACAGCTAGCTCAGCACAAACGCAGACCACGCAGCCATCACAGCCAACTCTGGCGAAGAAACACTCGTCTTTCTTCAGGCGGAGAAAGAAGTCCGTGACCGAGCCCCCGCAGCAGCCTCCAATGCCGGTGCAGTTCCAAACCCCACAGAAGCTCGAGGATGTCCAGCCGCAGCCAAGTCCTGGCATCAGTAGCCTGCGCCAGGTCATGAACCCGTACCTAGGCGACACGCCAAGTCCAGTTAAGCAGCAACAAAACGCCTCAGAGTTCTCGCCGGAGCCTGATGATGGAGTAGACCCACAACGCCCGAATGGCTTCTCGCCTGGATACAAGCCGCATAAGGATGCGACTGTGCGAAGCGTCAAAGCAGGATCACGCGACACTAACCCCTCGCCACCATCGCGGCAGGAGCTATTCAAAGAGCAACTCATGGCAGAGCAAGCGGCCAGTACAAGCAGCCCGAAACTCAAATTAAAGTTAAAGAGCCGCAAGCCAAACGTCGCTACCACGCAGGAGGATACCTTCCTTGCCGACAGCAGCAGCTGCAACGAAGGTGGCAGTGGTCGTGCAACACCATCAGGCGAGCTCGGCGCATTTGGCGATGCAGATGAAACGCCGAGGCCCGCTCGCAGCCCCACTGCAGCCGGGTTCCCACTCCCGCCCAATGTTGGAGTGCGGAAGAGCGCCGGTGAGAAGAAGCGCAACAAGCTGTCCAAAACCGAGGGGGATAGTGCCAGTGTATCAGCACCATCCCGGTCCACTTCGGAGGCTGAGGTGGAGGATGGGTGGATTCTCACAGCTCCTGGTGGCCAGGAAAAGCAGACGCCTTCGCGAAAGACGAGCGCAAATAGGCCCCGGCGTGTGTGGCTTGAGCCCACGTCGTCAGAAGAGAGGCTGGCTGGTGACGATGATGCCGAAGACCTGACGCTTCCTTTGGAAGGCGCACGCTCGGCGCAGAAACCGTTTGAGAAGGAACTGCCTGTCCCTCCTCCGCAAAGCACTCCAGCGTCTTCCCATGTCGTTCAATCGACTCCAAGCCTTCCTACTCTGCACATACCGACACAAGATTCCGATGCTATGCCCTCCATTATTGAGCATGGCGTTCAGGACGCTGAGCCCAGTGATGCGGACCGAGAACGCGCTTTCCGTATTTTCAGTGGCGACGACCCATCCGTGCAAAAGGGCACAGCAGCTGCCGATCTGGGCGACATCACGGCAGCCAGCACGCGTATACGGAAGGCGTTCATGGCGCTGTTCGACTGGACTGGCTTCAACATACTCGGCGCCATGCGAGATCTCTGCGGAAAGGTCGTCCTGAAGGCCGAGACCCAGCAGATCGACCGGATCCTCATGAGCCTGTCGGAGCGTTGGTGCGAGTGCAATCCCAACCACGGCTTCAAGGCAGCCGATGTCGTGCATACTATATGCTATTCGATCCTCTTGCTCAACACCGACTTGCATGTCGCTGACATTGAATCAAGAATGACCCGAAGCCAGTTCGTTAAGAACACACTGCCCACAGTCGTCCGCGTCTGCAAAGATGCACTGAAAGACGCACACGACGCAACCCTCAGACCTCAGTCGACTCAATTCAGGAGAGGATCTCTACCTTGGAACAACACCTACAACAACGACAGGTCAGAGCCCAGCTCCCCGGCTGCTGAGGATGCAGCCTTTCCCGCAGATGTTGCTGAGGAGCCCATCGAAAACAGGAGAGCTAGAAGCCGTCTCTCACTCCGTCCTCCATATCGCAGCGGGTCCGAAGGCTTATTGATTGAATCTGGTGTTGCTGAGGGTGAACTTTTGGTCAGTTCGCCATACAATGGGCCGATAAAGGGATGGGAGTTGCATCTCGAAACCGTGCTCAAGGAGTTTTATGATTCCATTCGCAAGCAGCGGCTGCCTTTGCATGGAGTCTCAGCGCTACAAGTCCACGAACAGCCATCAACAAACAACCTTTCGGTTAGTGGCATGCTTCGCCGCACGCCAAGCGTTCTAAGCAAGGCTCCTTCCGACAACATGAGCTACCGGGGGCGATCGCAGACCGATTTCCGCAGTATGGGAAAGAGCTGGAACTCCAAGAACCGTTCGCGACCGCGTCTGTATCCAACATCCACTGTCGCTTCCAGCCGCACAAGTCTGGATGATCAATCCGTTTGGAGCCCAGCAGGTTCAAGTACGTGGAGCAGATACTCGTACGGAAAGACCCAAACGTCCATGTCAATGGAGTCACTCGGCTCACACTTTGCGCATGGCGACTACCAGCAAGCTATTGGCTTTGCCAACGCACTCTCACAAGCTATCATCCGCGAGGAAGGGATGACTATTGCTAGTGACGAGGAATTCACCCGCGTGGCACCGCTTCTCGAGGACGAAACACTGGAACTTACCGGCGCACCATGGGCCAAGGAAGGTATACTGAAGCATAAGCACCATCTCGAAGCATTGGACAAGAAAGCGAAAGACCGGACATGGAACGAGTGCTTCGCTGTCATCGAAAAGGGCTACATGCGACTCTTCTCCTTCAACATGAACGCAAAGTCGATGCGGTCAAAGAAGTCACGGCCCTCCGCTGGCGGTGTTGTTGGTGGTGGAAACTGGATGGACAATGCCGAGGCTCTTGACAGCTTCCTATTGCGACAGACCATCGCAAGCGCTCTTCCCCCACCGGGCTACTCGAAGTCTCGACCGCATGTCTGGGCTTTATCTCTTCCGACTGGAGCTGTGCACTTGTTCCAAGTCGGTACGCCCGACATTGTTCGCGAATTCGTGTCCACTGCCAATTATTGGTCTGCCAGGTTGTCAAAGGAACCTTTGATGGGAGGTGTCAGCAACATCGAATATGGTTGGGGTGAAAACGTTATCAACACAGCCTTGATACGCCCGGAGAGCACCGCATCGACCCATGGCCACGTACCTCGCCCTAGTATGGCGAGCTCAATGCGCAGTTCTATGGACCATGCATCGGGAACGATTAAAGCTCGTCTGCCCGGTGACAAGGTCGCTCTCAATGACTGGAGCCCGCCAACCTCAAGCATGATGGCCAGCAACCTAATGGAAGTGGATCAGCTCCGGGCGTTGACCGACTATGTGAAGAACATCGAAGACGAGCTAGCTCGCCATAATGAAATGAGGGCACCTATGCTTATTGCAGTGAGTGCCTTTCGGAGCCTTGTACTGATCACGCTGACATGAACAGTTTTCTCCACGCCATCCCAACGCCGCAAAGGCAATGGCCAACTGGGAACGCAAATCGTCTTATTTACTACGGGAGATCGTCAAGTTCCGCACGTACATCGACTCGCTCACAGCTGCACAAACTCTGAAGAAGAGAATCTACGCGGAACGCGAGGCAAGCGAGGGACAAGTTGATGATGATGATGTTGACGATGTGAACAAGCCGTTGCCGGCTAAAGACAAAGATGGTGCGAGCGAGGTCATCCAAGCTTCCGAGCCCATCTCGACCTGATATCTCTTTCTTTCGTAACCTTCAAGCCCTGTATTTGCTGACGAGCGACGTTTGATTTGGATAGGGCTCACACCTCTTCGGCGTACGGTGCGGCGCCTGAAGAAGCTTCATTCGTCTCGGCCAAAACTGAGGGAAAGAGAACGACTCAACGCAACTGCTTGATCTTATACACTCTTGTAATCTTTACGTTCAGCTTCACTTTCGGCTCTCGGCTCGTCCACAGCCGGAGGATTTTATGGTTTTCATTTTCACGGCATAGCGTTGCGATTGTTATTTTTGGTCCCATCGGATGATGGGAAGACGATTGAATGTATTTTACGCCTGAGTGTGTCTACATTTACGCTAGCCCGTTTTCCCTACGTTCGAGTACAAGGACACGTTTAGCGGCATCTTGCGGCGCAATTGCGGGGTCGGGCTAGAAAGAGATGCAGTGTAACATATACCCATCCATTGAACAAGGATCACGTTCTCAACGTCTTGACCCGCGCACAAAATCTCCTGCTCACCTACTTTCGCTTCACACCGCAGATCTGACCTACTCCCACGGGGGGAAAAGAGAAATCTTCTCGTTTTCGTTCAGCTTAGGTGAGACGACGCAGGAACATGCGCTGGGTGGGGATGATAATATATTTGGCGGTCAAGAGACAGGTTCTGCTTACGGCGGGCTGAGCAGAACGTTTATGAGGCAAGGGTGGTATGATGTGAGTTCAAGGTGTGTGTGTGCGAATACACTGCATTTGCAAAAGCGATGGAGTTTGTGCATATTAGTGTTGATTGCACGCGGCTCGTCAGTTGTGTGAACTGCTTGCCCTGCTTCTCGAAGGCGATATTCCGGATCGTTACAGTTAGCTCGTACGGCGCTTCTCCCTGAGATAGGAAAGTAGGTGGCATTCAGTCGACGTCATCTATACGACAATCGAGGGTGGGGTGCACCAGGGAGAACACACTGTTCGGCAATCTAATCGAAAGAATAGTCTCCGAGCAATCTGTACGCAATACGTAAATCCACTGCAAGAGCACCTCGAAATAGATAGAAATACCCACGCCAAATCCAACATCAGCGCGCCAGGAGGCGCAGACGGGTTCCCCAGGATCGCGTTATTGCAATGCTGGTCATGACATCGGGGGCAGGGCTGCACGTCTCATGCGATACAACGGTGCCTACGTCCAGCTCCAATGTCCGCCTCCCCTCATTGGCTCCCCTACAAGCCTTTCGACAGCTCAGTGCAACGGCACAAGACACCAGCAAAAGACGGGCCTATCAATCCGGATGCCGGCGCAGCAAATGAGGTTCGCTTTGACATTCGGTCTTGCCCGTTCGCTTAGGGCCGCGACGCAAGCCACAGCAACCCACTGTAGCGGGCCTGGAACATTTAAGACGCTACGAGAGCAGTCTAACCGCAAAGGATGGGCCTACATGGGTCCGAATAGGGAAAGCTGAATCGCAGGAAGTACGGTTTGGGTGGCCGAGGGAAACGATTGGAGGGTCTGGAAAGGTAGAGACATGGGAATTGCAGCTGTCGATGGCATTTTGAGCGCCACGGCAAGTCTACTGAAGGTCTTTGAGGTCACAGAATAAAGTTTGGGGTTGTGTTTGACGACAGCAGACGCGGGTGGTGGTGCTGTCAGTGATGAATTGGGCACACACCAAGTTGAAGTCCTCACCGAGCAAGGATCGGCATGGCCGCGGGTACGAGGTTTTCTCGCATACCCGCGTGCTCGGTCGGCGAGGCTTTGCTCCTCCCTCCGAGGACGCTTATGCACGACAGCGCAGATGTGGTTTTCCCATGCTGATTCGCCAGCGGGCACGATTTTGTAGATTTGGAGCGGTAAGAAGATTGCATCGGGCATGGGACTAGGCCAGGGAGGGCCGGACCGTCCACGTGTGTTTGGTGGAAATGAGCGTGGGTTGATGCTTTTGGCAGTGAGTCTGCATGATACGACGAAACAGGCAGGGTAAGGCACAGAATGCGTGTGGGCGACGGTGGCTTGGGTTGTCGTGGCTCGAGTGAAGGCAAGGGTCTCTCGTGGCTTCTGGGGGCAGCCAGTGCATGCAGCATTCACGGACGGGGGGAGCAATAGCTGCCATGGTTGCTATATATGTCCCCGGGAAGGCACTTCGCGATGGGGGTCTCTGGAAAGGGAAAAACCAACGACAGGAGCTATATCCACCATCAGCACCGCAGACACTAGCAACGGACGCGTAACGCTCGCTCAGGAACCGCAGACGCCCAACCCCACAGAGCCGTACCCCTTAAAGCCCACTCTTATTGCGCGCTTCCCCTTCGCAGGCGATCCTCACTCAGGCTCCCCTTCCCGTCGGCAGCAGATCGTCCCGATCTCGTGGCAGCTCTCCGTTTTCCGTCTTCGCGCGGACCCTCGGACGCTCATCCCTGTGGCGCCTCAGCCTTGCCCGTGCTGCGGCCAATTGCGACGCACCAGCGCCCGACCCCGCCGTCTTATCCGCCTACAGCAAAATCGTCGAGGCACTCGGCCGCCCGTCAGCCGCACAGCTTCTCACTCACCTCACGTCCTCCTCTGTGCACCTTGGGCCTCATCCCTCCCGCGACGCTGTCCAGGCAACCCTCGCAGAGTCCGGCGCGCTTCACTCCACGACAGCTCCTCGCCGCCCGCGCCTCGCTCCCGCCCTCGGCAGCCCCCGCCCGCGCCGAACGACCCCAGCCGCGCCGCGCACACCAGCCACACGCAGCGACGCCCAAACAACCGCGACCTCCGCAACCATGTCCTACTATCCGGGCCAGCAGTACCACAACGGCGCACCCAACTACGGCGCGCCCCCGCCACAGCAAAACTATGGGCCGCCGCAGGCCTATCCGGCACCGAGCTACGGTGCTCCGTGAGTGCTGCCACCGGGAACCACGACGCAGATGCTGACGGCTACCACGCAGACCTCCACAGCAGTACGGCTACCAGCACTCGCCCTCGCCGCAACCCCCCTACAACGGCGGCTACCAGCAGGGCCCGCCGCCCCAGCAGTACGGATACCAGCAGGTGCGTATCCGGTTACGTGAACGGGAGGGACCGTGGAGCTGATGCTTGACCAGACCCCGCCGCCCCAGCAGTATGGCGGCTACGGGGGACCGCCTCCGCAGCAGCACCAGCAACACTACCAGCCACCACGTACGTCTTCACGTTGTTTCTACTGGCCCCGACTGACAGAAGCAGCACCGCAAATGCAGCAGCGTCTGCCGGGCGGCCCACCACCTCCACCAACAGCCCCGCAAAGCTTCGGCCACAACGCTCCCGCCGGCTACTCGTTCCAATACTCGGCTTGCAACGGGCGGCGGAAAGCGCTGCTCATCGGCATCAACTACTTCGGCCAGCGCGGACAGCTCCGGGGCTGCATCAATGATGTGAAGAACATGAGCACATACTTGAACGCACACTTCAACTACAAGCGGGAGGATATGGTCCTCTTGACTGACGACCAACAAGAACCTATGAGCCAGCCCACCAAAGCCAACATCTTGCGAGCAATGCACTGGCTAGTCAAGGACGCTCAGCCGAACGATTCTCTGTTCTTCCACTACTCAGGTACGGCATCCTATGACATCGGTGGTCAGATGGACTAACAGCACCAGGGCACGGCGGTCAGACTAAGGATCTTGACGGCGACGAGGACGATGGTTACGACGAGGTCATCTACCCCGTGGATTTCCGAACGGCAGGTCACATTGTCGACGACGAAATGCATCGTATAATGGTCGGCCCTCTGCAGCCAGGCGTGCGGTTGACAGCCATTTTCGACTCATGCCACTCTGGATCGGCGCTCGATCTGCCATACATCTATTCCACCGCTGGTGTGGTCAAGGAGCCGAACCTGGCCAAGGAAGCTGGCCAGGGCTTGTTGGGTATCATGTCATCTTACGCTCGCAACGATATCGGCGGCATGATGTCGACCGCTAGCAGCCTGTTCAAGAAGGTGACCACCGGCGATAAGGTGCGGGAAATGAACTTGAGGACGAAGACGAGCCCAGCCGACGTCATCATGTGGAGTGGTTCCAAAGATACACAGACATCGTAAGTTGGTCCATTCAAGAAAGTCAGATGGTATAATCCTGACCGACACTCAGCGCCGATGCATCTATCCAGGGTGAGGCCACCGGTGCCATGTCGTGGGCGTTCATCACTGCTCTGAAGAAGAACCCGAATCAGAGCTACGTGCAGTTGCTAAACAGCATTCGCGAGGAGCTCCAAGCAAAGTACAGCCAGAAGCCGCAATTGAGTTGCAGCCACCCTCTGGGTAAGTATCCATTACTTTAGACGTGTCCACATGTGTGCTAATGCATGAAGCAGATGTCGACCTGCAATACCGGATGTAGAGGTGTTTACGTTGAACTGTGGAGCGAGAGACGTCTTACATGAAAACTTTGCGCATGGGCTTGGATCGGAGACAGGAAAAGGGAAAGGCTTTGGGACTCATGGCTGACGAATGGTTTTGGTACTTGGATTGTACATATTGCACTGAGCAAGTGACGGCTTGGGTTGGATCACAACAGCGGCGTATTGGCTTGTAAGGTCGCAAGTCTGGATACCAACGTTGATTCTTTAAATTCCAATTTGGCGTTGTGCTGTTTATGTGGCATAACACCCTTAGATCCAATTCCGGTATAGAAATTAGCTATCCAGCGGAGAAAAAAAAGTTTCTGGGTGAAAGTGTCCAACTAGATTCGTTGCAGATGGCTACACTACGTGCCAAGTTGCGTGTAGCTGAACCGAAACGAACGCCTGAGCACAGGCCACAAGATCGACGTCTGGGATCTGCGTCCAAGACGACCACCCGCGATGCGCCATCTTCACTGCGTCCATCATGCGTCCTCCCGCAGAGCCGCTGGTCCGCTACCATCCCTAGTCCCTGGAGATACCCTTCCCTGCACCTCTGTGCACCTAGCTCCAGTAGCTCCACCTAACACAGGTGCCATTATCCTGTGCACGATTAGCTAAACCTCGCCGGAACGCTGCGGAGCCACACCTCCCACGAGATGCCAACATAACTTTGGAAACAACGCACCCAAAGGCCCTCTTACTCAACCTCCCCCAGTAATATTCAGGCGTACCTGCCAACACGCGCCTGGCCTACAATGCCTCTAGTCTTGTTCACACCAGCCCCTTCCGACACCTCGACAACAATCATCAACGGCGTCTCCTTCAGCATCCCCGCGCTTAACACTTTCCACTACGCGCTCTACACCAACAATACTATTTCTAACGGATCGGAGTGCTACCTCGCTTTCGACGGGTTCAGGCCTAGTATGCTGGATAATGGGACGTGGCTCCATGCTACATCGTGCTATATCCCTTACTTCGAAATGTCGTCACGGGGGGTGACGAGCATTGTATTTGGCGTGCTGTTTGGGGTGAGCGTCATGTTCACTTTGATGAACTTGAAGAAGTAAGTACAGGAGTAAGAGTTGTGGGTACTACGATACTAGGGGAAAGCCTGGGTACGCTGTGTTACCCCGGGGAGAATCATGGAGTACCCAGACTTTTGGCCCAATACTCTACGTCTTGTAACTCGATGGCTTGTACCTAGTCCCACTTTTGCGGCCTGCGCTGACTTGATGCTCGCGAACATAGGCACGGCGCGCAACATCTCCGCGAAGACAAGAGATTCAGGTTAGTCGGAAGACGCTGGCAATGGTACTGGATGCTCTTTGTCTCTGCATGCGCGATGATCAGCCTCTTCACTGGCATCGACGTCGACCGTTACTACCTACAGCAAATGCCCATCATGCTGCAGTGTTTCTTCTTCGCACTAATGTTACCCGTGGCTCTAGCAGCCGTTTGGGAATCCATCCGCCACTGGGGCAGCTGGCAGGAGCGCCAACTCGTCGACGCAGATCCTTACGGCATGCCGCCCAACGCCAGCAGGACCAAGATCCAATTTTACGCCCCGCTCATCTTCTACCTCTTCGCGTGGCTCAACTTCTTCCTCACGATCCCAAAACCTTGGACACCTATCCAAAAGCAAAACACGACCGAGCAAATCCGCGACATCGCCCTCCCCGCCGCAACAAACACCCGCACCAAAGCCGGCGCCCTCATCGCGCTTCTCGCCTGGCTCACAATAGCCTTCACCCTCACGCACACCATCCGCACCTTCCACCAAGGCAAATCCTTCCTCTCTACAGTTCCCAAGCATCTCCTCCTCAACCTGCTCCTCCTCGCCGTCCACATCGCCTACGCCATCCTATCATCCTTCTCCTTCCGCCTCGCCCTCGCCAACCAGAAAGTCCCCATTGCCTACCCCTTCGCGCTGGGCTACGCGCCGCTCCTGCTCATCCTGCTGAGCGCTAATGTCGCGGGGTTCCGCACTGAGAACGAGGACAGGCAGCTCATTGCGCAGCGCGTGGCGCGGGGCCGCGTGCACGATGCGGAGCTGAACCTCATCAAGAAACCAAGCTGGTGGAGTAGGAACATGGCGGCGAGGTTTGCAGGGGAGGAGGAGAGGTTGCGGAATATGGCTGGTGAGGTTGGTGGGAGGCCGACGGCGAGGGCGATGGAGATGGGTGATATGAAGGTACGCCAGAGGAGTGGGAGTAGATCCACCAGAGATCCTTTCAGGGATGAGAGTCCGGAAGGGGAAAGAAGCAGAGGGCGGGGGACGGGAATGCAAGCCCGGGGGGGCAGTGATGCAATTGCGCAGCGGGAGATCGAAGTGGCACCACAACCCGTTGGACCGCCGCAACAGCAGAAAATAAGGAGTATGCTGGATGTTTGATAATGATCCTGACCAAGTCCTGGTCGCATAGACACCATGCAGCCAGTACACGCTCAAGCAGGTCACTACACAGGCGGTCCTGAGCATCTTCCCCCTCGAAGAGAAGAGGCGGCACTGAAGTACCCCGGTTCAGTCTACCCTGAACGTGTATTTTTTGTGCCCATATGAAATGGACCCCAACTTTGCATCCCATCTCGTTGCGATGTCGATGGTGTTGACCTGAGGGCGAAGGGTATGCTTCTGGGTGAGGCTTGTAGTAGCCAAAAATACACACCACAGTTGGAAGGACAGTCTAGACGACTACGCGATTGGCTGTTTCTTACACAAGCGGTAGGAGCGATGATGTCAACCAGGAACGAGACACCAGTCACAGGCGACGCTAACAAATGAATGTCTCGTCGACGTGGGAATTACTTGCGACGCAAAGCAATGTAGTTTGGTAGTAATTTGCGTTTCCTTGCGTCGGGCATGATGCTTGACGGCCACGATGGCTATCTGATTGTGATCGGTCCTATGTCGCGGCCAATCAGACGAGGCGCGCCTTCTGTTTGCGGGTCGAGAAGTCGACGCGGCGGTAGCTTTCCTCCACATCCTCAGTTGCTCGCCGTGCTAGCAGCGTTACCTTACTGATAGCCCACCTTTGCGCTGCAAACACATTGCACCCCAGAGACATCCATATCGAATCCCTTGTCTGCCCCATCAGCTCTCGTCGCGACAGTACACGGCATCGTCACCCCGCGCACCCCGCACCCACGTATCCGTCTGCCATCACGGCCGCAATGGCGGACCACGCGGACCCCAACGGCGGCGGCAAGAAGGACGCACCGCTGCGCTCAATTGCCAATGCAGCCTCGCCGAGGTCGCCGCCCGCACCCCTCCAGATGGCTTCAAGCCCGCATTCGGGCCACCGCTCCAGTTTCGCAGAGAACATGCGCGGACTGCCCAACTCGCCGCGCGCTTCCCGCCAGCCGTCCCTTTCGCAGCAGGCATTGCAGGATCTGTTGAACAACCCACCCACCAAGGGCGGCGACCCCAAGTTTGCAGGGAGGGATTGGAAGTCGGTGCACGTCGGCGAGGTCGTGGACGAGAAGCAGGTGCGATTCGCACAACTTGACACCAGCGTTGAGGAGGCAACAAATGTGAGTAGTCAACGGCTTGGCCTATCTCTGTGTGTGGTAGCGCAGAAAGTGCTTCCTACGACTAGCCCGTGACAGCTGCATGGCAAGAGGTGCTAACCGGGGACAGCTACTCATAGAATACGGTGCGCCCAACGTCATCCTGCTCCGCGAAGATAAATCTTCGTCCACGGCCGTCGGAACGTTCGATTACAGCGACCTGAATAGCTACCTCCTACTCGTCGTCGGCTTAGCACACCCAGATGAAGGCGATGTCAAGTCGTTCGACGAGCTTGCCAAGAAGGGCCGCGAAGGCAAGCCTATACCGCTCAAAGACGTGAAGGATCTGGGCAAGAAAGAACCGCTCATCACACTGCCTGCGTCAGCCGACCTTGCTAAGGCCATGGAGGTTTTCGGCAGCGGTGTGCACCGCCTTCTAGTTGTGAAAGAGGGCACTACCGACGTGATTGGGATTCTGACCCAGTTGCGTCTCCTGCAATTCTTTTGGGACAACAGGCAGAGCTTTCCCGCTGTGAACCAGCTCTATCCTTTGCTCATAAAAGAACTCAACCTCGGGACGCAGTCTGTCATTGCAATCAAGTGAGTGCTCAGCTGATGTTACTTGTGCTGCCATGAGCGAAACAAGATCCCAAGAGTCTGAACCTCGCTAATCAACTTCAGCGGTGACAAACCCCTGACTGATGCGCTCGAGTTGATGAACAACGAGGGCGTCACCTCTCTGCCGGTCCTAGACGCTCAAAATAACGTCATTGGCAACATCTCACATGTGGACGTGCGAGTCAGTTCTCCTTGATCTTATTCTACTCTTTACGTGCTGATTGATCCAGCTCCTTACCAAAACCACATCCCTGCCGCTCCTCCGCTCCTCTTGCATCCACTTCATCGGCGTCATTCTCAGCGAGCGCGGTGTCAACGACGGAAAAGACTCTTTCCCAGTATTTCACATTACCCCCTATTCGACCCTCGCGCACACCGTCGCCAAACTTGTCGCTACCCGTTCCCACCGCATGTGGATCGTGGATGCTCCATCTCCTGCATCATCTGGCCCACCGACTCCATCAGTAAATCCCTCCGTAATGCCCCTTCCCTCGCCCATTACACCTCTCCCGTCCGCCGCGCCAGCACCCGTCTCCGCGCCATCTCCGCTTCTGTCCGGCGCCGCCGCGCCCGCCATCTCTGCGTCCGGTATTCCAGGTGCTAGCCTCTCAGGCCGCCTCAATGGCGTGGTCAGCCTCACAGATATCCTCAATCTTTTTGCTCGTGCGAGTGGCTTGCACCCACACGACCCAGACGAAGCGCGGAGAGCTAGACGGCGCAGCAGTAGCTCTAGCATGCGCAGGAGCATTGATAGCTCGAGGAGCGAGAGTATGAGTCGATCTTTCGGACGCAGGAGCAGTGTGAGCGATAGAGAAGCAGCTCACAGAGGCCTAGGGATCGTCCGAGGGAGGGCGAGCGGTGCTGGCACGGGATAGGAACCTGGCAGTGCCAGCTCGGACGAGATGATCTTCAGATTGAGCATGGAGGAGCGCAGCGAAGAGCGAAAGCCGAAGCAGTGGAAGGGAAAGGAGCTGGCGCGAGACGAATCGGGCTGAATGTTCGCGCATATGAAGAGTGACAAGGGAAATGAAGGGTCATGCTGTTCGGGATCGGTCAGCCCAAATTATAGAGTTCTCGAGTCTTGGTCCTCGAGCTATGATATCGTTCACAAGTGGTCTTTTTCTGGCGTTAATCATAGGATAGCGATTTTGCATGGCGCTTGGGGGTAAAGTCTCAGAATTGAAGCATTGCAAATCGTTTGTTATCAAGGTGCCTTGCCCTCTCGTACTCTGATGCTAGTCTCGGGTGCTTCTCTTACAGGTGCATCTGCGTCACTGAAGACAATACTTGTCAAGGTTCAGCCGGTGGGGACTGTTGATGTCGCCAGGTGCAAGGATATAAGCGCCCATAGGTCTCTGTTTCTGCCAACGAAGATGCGACAGGGTGTTTGTGGTGGTGTCGCAGCCCATGTGGACGTGCGGCTGATACGAGGACCTCTCAGACGAGCGTCCGATTTTGACGATTGAAGTGCAGCCTCGCTGCTGTTGCTGGAGGATGGTACAGTGCTGGGGCGGAGCAGTGCGGGACGTACCAGCATATCTAGCTCTTGTATTCCCGTCGCACAGCTTCCTGGCGTCTTGTACCGCAATCCATAGGACCGCACCGCCTGGTGTGCGGGAGTCGGCTCTCTGGTCCAAATTCAAAAATCTGATCCTGCCAAATCGAACATCTTGCTACCGACTATTCGTTCTTCAAGTTATGTTTCTCCAGCCCACGAGAGATGCGAGGTAGAGGTGGTGGATATGGAGCCTGGAGAGGTCCTCAATGCTTTGTGTGGGCAGCGAACGAAGAAGCCAACCCAGTCACGCAGAATCAGTGCATGGAAATACAGACGAACCATTTTCTCCTGGTCACAACAATATCGATTTCTCCGGATATGTTCTTGACGGCGACTATGCTGCCATAGGTTACGTCGATGGGTTTTATCGTCCCCGCGAGGTGATAAATGAGTCGATATTCAGTACCTTCAGACCAATGGTCAACCTGTTTTCTATCGCAGTGGCCTTGAAAGGATGGGAGCAAGAAGCTGTTTTTATGCCGGCAAGACTGCAAGTCTCTGCATCTATGAACCATACTCTGTAATCACCAATCACAAGATGAAGAGGATCCTTCCGAAATCGCCGAGAAGTTCCAAATCGTCGATCGAGGCTTCGCCGAATATTTCCATAAAGCAATAATAAACTTGGATTGAGACTACGCACGAAAGATGCTGGAAGAGGCGCGCAAGCAGATCGCGGCTAAACAAGAAAGATCACACGACCTACAGACGGCAATGGACACCCCAAGCTCGTCGTTCTGGGCAACTTGGGTCACTTTTGTGAAGATTTTGCACAGAGACAGAGCGAGGGACGACCTGAGCGCGAATTTACCCCGTACAGCCGTGAAGAAGATTTCGTTCACTAGCTGCAAAACGCACATGAAGTCCTGTACTGGGATTTCATGCTTGAAGTGTTTCCTGACTGGAGAATCAAATCGCGATGGCTACGCCGAAATCTCGTCCTGCACGTGCTCAATAGCATCGCCATGGGAGTACAGAATGCATCTCTTCCGTTCAATCTTCATAACTACAACGATACGCTGCTCATGTTATAACTTCGGCACTCGTGATTGGATTTAAGAGGAGCTGAAGATTGTTAGCGAACGGCTTCTTAAGGCAGCCGTTCTCGATTGCACACGAGCCTGTAATAGGAACACGTTTACTCTTTTGCAATCAGCTGTCGTTTCACAAGCGGTTTTCTCGCCATAGTATCAGCTAGACATGTCGTTCCAATCGCAACAAGAGCATCTTTCCAGATCTGGCATGCCTCACCAACGCTCATTTTTTAGTAATGACAGCTTCTTCACTTCTGCTTGCCTGAATCTGCTGTCATAGTTCTTGTTGCTTTCACAAGAAACACAACGAGGTTCAATCTGCGTTCAAAGGTCAGCTCGGTACGCCCTCTTGACGCAATTCGGATGATGATGCAATTGTGATGCGGTCTAAGGCGTAACTGACCATGCGTGATCGTGTTCTCAGTATTTTGAGACCTCTGGTCGAGTCCGGCGCTTAACCTTTCCGACATAGGTGACATTCTAGAGATGAATGAGACGACCGCGGACAGCAACGCTGACGACTTCAAATTTCGCTCGAGTACAAACACGCTGTCTTAATACTTTCTTCGGGTCCATCTAGAACACATGATGTCGACGGAAGCGCCGATGAAGCGGTTCCATCGAATTCTTAGAAAAGCACATCGAGATTAGGAGAGTACCAACTTCTGTGACTTGGCGTAAACGAGATGATCGTTAGCATATTACCAGTTTCTGACCAGCGAATGACGCAAGGCATCGCTCGTTTGGTTTTGCAGCGGGCAAATGACGCGGATGAGACTGGATGGATACAGAACTACATACAATCGTTCTAAATGTTGTGTGTCTTCGGGCAATACAAATTCCTCAGATTCTTGGCCTAGCACTATACTGATACCCACCTATGGTAGTGGTGTGCCTGTAGTGGAAAGTTGTTGAAATGATGATAAAAAGAAGTCTTGCATTCGTGTATACCTAAGATGTTGACCGCCCAAACGCCCAACGATCAAGGAGCTCTAAGCTCTAAATGCAATGTACATAAATTCCATCCAGAACCGAACCGGTCATCTAATATATCTACTTGAGCAGAACAGGTCTGCTCTGCTGAGCCTTCTCAGCCGCGATGTTGGCAAGCTTCTGGAGCTTCTCGGCGCGCACTTGGCGGAGGTATCTGAACAGCAGAATGAAGGAGAGCTCGATACGCTCCTTCGTCATCATGAGGAAACCTTGCACAAGCAGACCTTTCAGGATCTGGGGCCCGATACCCTTGAACAGGCCGAGGGCACCTTCGTGTTCGATGATGTATTGCATAACTTCGATGAAGCTCTTGAAGGGCTTGCCATTCCTTGCTGGCGGGGGCCTCGATTGTAGACCAACTTTAGCGACGATGAGCGGCTGTGTAGCGATGGTAGCGAGTGCCTTGGACATAGCACCGAGGGCTAGAGCAATATATTAGCGACAGTTCTTCTAACCGCGCATCTATACGTACCAAAAGCCTCCCATGGCTTGAGCGCGGTCCTGCCCGGGAACAGGCTCTCCTTCAATCTCTGGTAGGCACCGTATGTGATCGCTGGGTTCACTACGAGCACTAAGCTGGCCTTCAAGCCTCTCCAAAGCCCCGTCCAGCCATCCTCGCTGTCTATGACCTCCTTCCCGGTCGCAAGAAGCCCCTTCCGCTCAAGTTTCGTCGTCGTTTGTTGTCGCGTCGTGACAACAGCTACCGGAATGGTGAATAGTTGGGCAACCGCTCCAGCGACGGCACCAAGTCCCAGTTCAGCAGCTGTTCCTGGAGCGGCCGAGTACTTCAGGTAAAGAGTGCGAACGATTGTATACCAGTAGAAGTAGGCAAAGTTGGTTGATGCGACACCAATCAGTGAGCCTGTCATGCCAGCGTACAGTCCCGCGACCCCTTCTGCCTTTACGATCTTCGTTATCGCATCGAGGGTGGAAGCATAGTGTTCGTGGTCGGGGGAGCTGGCAGCAGCTTCGGCATAGGACCCGGGAGCACGTTTAACCTGTACTTGCAGTTTGGTCTTCACACTGCGCCGGATATCAGCTCATACTGCGCAACGGGTATCTGCAGCGTATCGGAGCCCACTTACATGTCCAACGGGTACACCAGCGCATTCGCGAGCACAGCGCCCGCAGAACCAGCCACGGCGTTGCCCCATGGCGGCAGCTTCTCCAGCTTAGATGCGCCGGCCATTGTGGGATTGTCGACTGCGAAAGTCGCAAAAGCGGAGTGACGACGTTGAACGGCGACTTAGGGCGGCAGTTGGTGTGACCGGGGGTTGTGGGGTATCTTAGTATGCTGTGACGAACTTCCTATCTCATGGCCACAACAAAAGGAGCCAACGGTTCAGACAGGCGGAAGAGAGCAGTAGCAGAAGGATGCGGGGATGGGATCGTGGCGCTCTAGTACAGACGCGCTCCCAGCCGGCGTAGGGGAGCTTCTTTCCATGGCTGATGAGATCCGAGTTGGGCCGAGGTTCATACAAAGGCAGTCCGTACGCAGAATGGCATGGGTCGGCCCGTGCACTGAGACATTGTGTCTGGCTCGGCTGCTTTCTCAACCACAAGTGCACTTCACTAGAAGGGCAGAAGGTAGCCCGACTCGAGTAGCCCAGACATACAGAATTGCATGTGGAGAGACAGCCTCCAGCTGCTAGAGAATTACAATCGAGTCGCTGCCAGTATAACGCCGCCCGATCAAGTAGGCACGTGCCCCGCGGTGGCTTGGCGTGTAGTTACAGCTTCAACAACACCCGACGCTCAGTACCACAGACTGCAGACTGCAATCTGCAGGATCCGTCTGAAAGTGCAACAGCCGCGCCCTCGTGCAGGCCTAATCTGGATAGCAGCTCCGAAGACGGCATCACCGAAGCATCCAGAGGCTCTGTTCGCATCCACTCCGTGCCACTTAGCATGGCAGATCAAGCAGCCCAATTAGAAGCTTTAAAAGCTGCCGCCAGCGTATGTGACACTGACATGGCAGCTTTGGACAACCCTGCGATTTGAGGTTGGGTCTTACTTACTTCTCGCACAGAACCATGAGGCGCGGGTCAAGACTGCGGCAACCAAAGATGAAGCTCTCCAGCAGGCGCTTGCTGCAGCAGAAAATCTCATGAAGGCCGCGAAGCTGACGGCGAGTCCGGCCGAGAAGAAGCAACTGAATCAGAGGTTCAATGCCGTCGCCGATGTTGCACGAAGCGTGAAGAGTAACGAATGGACACCATCGAAACCAATAGTTACAATCCGGCCGCAGCAGCAGAATGTGAATGTGGCATCAAGGCCGAAATCAAAGGCCGACGGGATCGGAGAATGGGCTGCAGAGGTCGCACAATCATTCGGCCCCATTCCTAGCAGCTCTCATCCTCAGCCCGCATATCCAACACAAGACTCATCTTCGGGGACGCGAGTCGCTACCCAGTCTACCCTACCTCACGGTACATCATTCACATCACCCCCATCCCAATCTCCCTCCCAACATCCTACCTTGATATCTGCCCATGCAAATGGAAAACATGAGGATGGTTGGAGGCACTCTGGTGGAGGTATCTCTCATTCAAAATTGGACTTGGCAGCCCAGGACGACTCGAGAAATCGGAAACCAGAACTCACACAAAAGGGACCGCCGCGGGCGGGCTCGACAACTTCGGTATCTCATGTTCGCAAGTTACGTGAGCCCATCTCTTCTCGAAAGCGCACCACAAAAGAGGAGATCATTCTTCTCAAGGCTTCACTTGTGAATGGGGTAAAGTGCCCGCCATGGGACAAGATTCCTTCCACGAACGAGTTTGCCGCGGATGACTCTGGGTTCTTTACGTAAGTGTTTCCTCTCATAACAAAGATCCAGCTCTGTGCGGATGCAAGACGTTGTTAGATGGTTCTTACTAAATTTCCAGTCAATCTCGTGAATTGAGTTTGTCCCCTCAGCAGCAGCAGCATTTCAAGGCCTGGACTCGTGCGAAAGATGCGTTACCGAGGGGTTCATCTGGATCACATGAACATCCTGTCATGTCATCGCCTCGTCCAATCGACTTAGTCCAAGATGCGGCGACAGACTGTTCGGTTGTCGCCAGTCTTTGCGCCGGAATTGCTCGGACTGAGCGTGGATACGACAAGGTGCGTTGCTTAGAAGTCTTTAGTGCATCGTTACTCACTGCAAATCACAGATACTTTCCACAAAGCTGTATCCATTTGATCGGAACTTGGGAAGACCGGTCTTATCTACCAACGGCAAATACATTGTTCGACTGCATTTCAACGGTTGTTGGAGGAGAGTGACGATTGACGACCGTCTCCCACAATCGGAGACACGCGCCCTTCATGTCGTGGATAGGCGAGAACCAGCTCTCCTGTGGCCCGCTCTTCTCGAGAAAGCATACTTGACTGTCCGTGGAGGTTATGACTTTCCAGGCAGCAATTCTTGTAGTGACTTGTGGACGTTGACTGGCTGGATCCCTGAACAAGTCCATTTGCAGGAGTGAGTCTTCTTCTGTCTGTTGTCTGAACACCTACTGACCAACTCAGAACCGACATCGTCCCTGACCAGCTTTGGAATCGGCTCCACAAAGCGTTTGCTTTTGGAGATGTCCTTGCTACTCTCGGTACCGGACAAATGTCTGCTAGGCAAGAGCGCGAGCTGGGCTTGGAGGGCCAACATAGTTATGTCGTACTAGACCTGAAAGAGACAGAACATGATCGATTTCTTCTCGTGAAGAACCCTTGGGTTGAGGGTAGGGGCTGGCTTGGTCCACGTCCTTCCCCGGAAGAATTGTATGCCTCATCTACCATAACCGATAGTTCGAAGGATGGCCTGGCAACATACCACCGCGACACTATACCCACAAAAGACCGGCCTAGCCCGACAACATTCTGGATTGGGTTGGAACAAGTGATAAGACACTTTGATGGTCTGTATCTGAACTGGAATCCTGGCCTGTTCCGCTACCGGCAAGACATTCACTTTGAGTGGGCAGTTGATGGGTCTTCTGAAGAAGAGAACAGATGCATTGTAGCGCATCCCCAATTCCTTTTCCACTCGGAAGACGAGAGTCCTGTTTGGTTTCTGCTAAGTCGTCACTTCCGAGCGACAGTTGGAGATAGCAGAGAGGAATCGGATGCCTTCAACGACGGAAGCATACGTCCGAGTACACTGACAGACACATCGGACGATATACCCAAAGGGTACATGAGCATCTTCGTATGCCCAGGCAACGGGAACCGTCTGTACGTCAAAGACACGTGTCTCGAGCGCAGCGACTACGTCACAACACCACAGTGTCTCTTACGCTGGGATGCCGAAGCCCACTCCACCTATACAGTTGTGTTAGACCAAGATGAGCTGCCTGCGTCGGCGTACACATTCTCGCTTTTCGCTTTTTCGAATTCCAAGATCGAGCTTGAACCAGCGATTCCACAATATCCGCTACAGAAAGTGGTCACGGGCGAATGGACGAAGCAGACGGCCGGAGGAGGTACAGGCTCCAGCCAGTACTTTCAAAACCCACAGTACGCCCTCGAGGTGAAGCAGCGGGGACCTATAGCCATACTTCTCACCAGCACAAATCGGAAGAACGCTCTCCACGTGAAGCTTACCTTGGGACACGGCAAAAGGATATATCGGCTCAACAGCCGGGACGTTCTCGTTGATTCAGGGGACCATCGGGCGCGTTGTGTCTTTGCGGAAGCCAAGGACCTGGAGCCTGGCATGTACACGATTGTCTGCTCTCTCTTCGAGGCTGGACAGACGGGCGACTACAGTTTGCGGGTGGACAGCACCTGCGAGATCGTACTCAAGCAAATACCACGAGATGGCGCAGGGCTCATGTTGAATCGACTTGCGCCAGTGTGCTTTCGTCCAGAGGTCAACGAAGTAGTGGCCCCGATGGTGGTCCGACGCCTTGCGGCATACACTATAGTTGTTCGATTTTTGAAAGCAACGACTTCGCGTTCGGCGGGTGTGTTGCCCACTACCCGCAGCCCCTTGCGATTCAGTGTAGAATACGGAAGGGGTCCAGAGCGGCGGTTTCTCATCACCAGCGAGCGCGGACAATATTCGGACGCAGTCATACTCCGTACAGAGGCTGTCAATATCGACCCTGAAATGTACCCAGGTGCCAATCTGTCCTTGGTCATGGATCGACTGTCTGGCCCCGGAGGTCCCGTCGAAGAGTGGTATGAAGTGGAGGTGTATACTGACATTCCTAATGCCTGCGAAATTGGAGTTTGGCGTGACAGGAAGTGACGACGAGGAGGAAGCATGGGCGGCGTTGTAGGTGGGGAGTTTGTCAATTTTGGCGTTGGCGCAACGTGGTATCAAAAGTTGGTGTCATTTGTGCAGGTCGGATGGTCATGTACGAACAGCAGTGACGCTAGGTTTGGTCACCGGGGGCTGCCGTCGAAGGAGGCCGCACGCTTACGATAAGAGAGTGTGTAGATGGTAGCACGGAGCACAGCATGTGAACGAGGATGGTGGTCTGGCGATCAGCGTGGTCGTGGTGCGGCAGGGTCCCGTGGCTACGCGCGGGCGGGCCGAGTGCAAATAAGGAGGGCCCTGACACTGCATGCTTGGGCGATTGGTTAGAGTTTCACCGCCATCGGTGCATCCTTGCCAGGTTTCAAGCGGTGCACGTCGCGATAGCTATGATAACGGCGCGCCGCTGCTTCTGCTTCTTTTAAGACATTTCCGTTCGCAGTCGCGGTGTTCTTATCAACGTCGTCCAGATCCTCCCCAGCTGTCCCGAGCCCCGTACCCCGCCTCGACAAGGATCTCACCGCATTGCGTCAGGGCTTTGCGCCACACTCGGCACCGCCTCTTCACGATCGATAGCTTGCATTGCGTCGACACTTGCTCGAGCAAACTCGCCTGCACGCGCATCCTAGCTCGCATACTTTCTTTTCTCGAGCAGACGAACTCTCCCTTCGTATCAACACGAGCACAGCCCCGCTGAACCATGGCGGAGTCCTCCGCAAACTCGCTCGCCCCGACCTCGGCTGCTCCTTCGAACGAGCCCTCGAGGGCGTCCACGCCCGCGAATGCGGCCGTTGAGAAGGCGCCAGATGAGGGCAGCAAGCTCAAGACCTTTTTGGGCGTGCTGAGGAGGTACGACACGCGGTTGACTGTCGGCTGCATGCTCTGAGGCCACACTTGGAAAGGGGATCACTGACTGAGTCGCGGCAGGTTTATCGGCGTGTCTGATCTTGCCGCCGTGCGCTTTTCTCTCCCGGCGCAGCTTCTGGAGCCCACGCCGAATCTCGGTACGTACGGACCAGCGCAACAAGGCTTGCCTAGGCCAACAAGACGCTGGGCTGCGAACGCTTTCTGACCAGGGACAGAGTACTGGAATTATCTGGACAGGCCGGAGACGTTTATAAGGTGCGCAAATGGGACCAGTAAGGCGGAAAAGCTAGTGCTAACAGACGCAGTATCGGAGACTCGGACGAACCACTCGGGCGCATGCTGGGAACCCTTCGTTTCTGGTTTACAAAGGACTTGGTATGGCCGAATGCACTACACGGCTAGTTCAGCACTGATAGAGGGCAGAAATACGTCAAGGGCAAGCCTTGCAAGCCGTACAACTCTACTCTCGGCGAGTTCTTTAGGGTAGGCTCCTGCCCTTGCTTACTATGACACCATAGCTCACACGCGATAGTGTACGTGGGATGTTGAAGATACGCAGCCGCAACTGAGACATTCGCCCAACTCAACCACCTCGAGCAGCGCCAGCAGTGTCGCCGGCGATAAGCGCGTCAAGCTTTCCTACCTTACCGAACAGACCTCGCACCACCCTCCCGTCTCCGCCTTTTACATCGACTGCCCTGAGAAGGGTATCTCTGCGCGAGGCTTTGACCAGCTCAGCGCCAAGTTTACTGGTACCAACATCCGCGTTGTTGCTGGAGCTCACAATCTGGGTATCTTTATTACATTAGCAAGCCGGGATAACGAGGAGTACCAGCTGACGCACCCGGCGGCGTATCTGGGTGGTCTGCTGCGAGGTATCTAGATCGATTCTGGCTGGCGTATCAGATGGCTAATTCGAACAGGCTCTCTCAGCGTATCGGTCGCCGACTCCTGCTTCGTCACTTGCACCAAGTCCAAGCTAAAGGTCATACTGGAGTACCAAGAGGAAGGATGGCTCGGACGGACTCAGAACAAGGTTGTCGGTGTCATCTTCAAATACGACCCGAGCAACGACAACAAGACAAAGGTCAAGGACGTGTCTGACAAGGATGTGCTTGTGAGGATAGAAGGATGCTGGCAGCAAAAGGTGTACTACACACTTGGAAGCCAGCCTTTTGCCAAGACCCCCGTACGTATGTCCCCCACCGCCCACATTGGGCAAAACCACTGACTCTCCTCTAGGAGAAAGACAGGAACCTCCTCATCGACCTCGACCCGCTCTTCGTCGTTCCGAAGAACATCCCACCCATCGAAGAACAACTCCCCAACGAATCCCGCAAGTTCTGGGAAGGCGTCACCACCGCCATCGTCAACAAGCAGTACTCGCTCGCCACGACGCTCAAGCAAGAGATCGAAGACAAGCAGCGGAAGAAGGCCGCCGAGCGGAAAGAAACGGGCAAGGAGTGGCAGCCGCGTTTTTTCACGGGGTCCGTCACTCCGGTCGGCAGACCCGACCTCACTCCCGACGGCGAGGAGGCACTCAAGCGTCTGCACGAAGACAAATATGCGCTCGAGCCGAACAAGGAATACGCTGCGTTTTGAAAGGCCAGCCACAGTGCTTGTCTACAGTCGTTCCTTACGCATGCATGGAGTCTGGGTTGGTTGTTGGCGGTTATGAGATTTGATTACATGTCATCTCACATACACTCGCTTTGTGAGCCGGGTCGCATGGATTGATCGAGAGCCTTGTCTTTGCCTTGTCTTACCATTGGAAGGGTTTGCTGCATTCATCGTATGGCGTTGGTCTGCTTGAGTTGAGCCTTTGTTGTTGTGCGGGAGGGCGACGAGCGATATACAGCAGACTGCACTGCGCTCATTAGATGTTCATGCTTGGTTATACGCCGCATGTGCGTTTTGGTTCGCTTCCGCGAGGAATGTAGATATGATTGACTTCTCAGGTCGCTGAATTTATCCATGGTGATGTCTGAGATAACTTCCCGTGTAAGGTGTATTGATGCTGACAGTCACTGCGTTGGGAGTGACCCGCCTGCATCCATCGATGTGAGTGTATGGCTAACATGCGTACAAGTATTGGCTCTACGGTAGACTACCTTTTAAGCTATGATTATCTTGCCAAGCCGAACGTCATGCTACCCCTGGAGAGAAACACTGTCCGACATCTGGAGTCCAATGATCTGGAAAGCTTCCCATCGCGATGGCTTCCAGACGACCCAGACGATATGGAACTCTTACCACGCATAAGCATCATTTGTCGGAGGCGCCACGTTGTGGCATTGTATGCCCACCAGAGCTATTTGCATCGATCGATCCCATCAGAACAGCAGTTTTAGTTGTGCCATCTCCAGCAGTGTCATGTTTCTCTTGGTTCAGATTCTTGGAACATGTCTTCAATGGCATTCGATCAATCGTCAGCGTATTAGCAGCAAGTCTACCAGAATGATCCTTCGGTACCAGAACCATACGATACATACCACCACGCCAGAAGCGGGAGCCATAGTATTCTCACCCGTTCCGAACCACCCAAGGATCATCACTGCAGCTTTATTAACTTGCACAATGAGCCATGCAAATAGTCCATTGGCTGGAAAGCGCCGCTGGCGATGATCTCCGGCTTCATCTTCGCCATTGCCGTTGTAGGACTGCTTTACCTCTACTGTCGTTACCACCATACCCCAAAGCTGGAATCAAGGCTTATCCATTACCTTCCCTCATGCATTTAGCATCACTCTCGCAGCTGCCGCATCTTCAGCATTCACGCAACTCCTATGGTAGTACCTACATGGCAAGCCGCTAACGCTGGCTAAGATTGATGCTTCATTTTGGATGAATATGAATCGATGGAACTAGTACCAAGTCGGTTCTCTACAAAGCTACCCGTGAGCCGAGCCATGAATCCTTATCAACGATCAAGATGCGACATCATCTTTCACTGAAGCCCCAGACATGAATGTTCACAGCGCGTTGATCTCCGTGAAGAAGTGTTCCAAGATAGCTTGCTCGTGATTCAGCTACTATGGTTCTTCTGACTCGTGTTCTCATTGATATCTTTAGCTACTCGATTTTCCCCTGGTGTTTAGTGGTACAACAGTTGGAGACCAAGTTTCCGATTGAAGGGCAGGTTCCTACGCGTAACGTCACCTACTATGGCAATGGAACCGCCGTTGTTATTTTCGATATAGCATGTTGGTACCTGGCATCTTTGTACCGACCCTTACCGTTCTCGAAGACCTCTTGAAAATCGTTACCATATTCATCTTCAACCACACAACAGGCCTATCCTATATATGTCCCCCAAGTCCAAACTACACATGGGAATCTTGACACGAGCGTCTTTTGCGAACCCCACCAGTGCACAACAGCCATAATAGAGGACAAAGACTACGAACAGTCATACGTCTTCAAAAACCTTTCCAGCTCACCGCAGTCTACATATTTGCGCTAGGTGTCTCCGATCTTCATCTTACTAGGGTCGCCATGTTACAGAACAGAATCTCCGCTTGATGGTGTGGTTATTTTCAGTTGCTATACACAACGGCAACAAGTGGTGAGGTAAGACGACTGGTACGGATGGCGTGCTTGGGTGGAGAGTAGAGCCTGGCGAAGGAGCTGCAGGAGCTGGAGGTGAAATTCGGTAAGATGAAGAATGGACCGGGAGGGAAGAGGCTGGCGCCTTCGGGACTTCCGAGGGGACAGTGGGGCTGGACAAGGGTGATAGGATTGGGATAGCGTAATGTACCACGATTTCGCATCATCCACTGAGTACTCTCCTGACCAATCAGACAGAACGGCGGCAGCAATCCCTCCGACGTCGAAGTACGAGTGGCCGTATCACCTTAAGGAACACTGTCACAACTTCTCGTACAACAGAATCTGCGTCTACGGGGAACGGCCGGTCCATCTGGTTAGTCTTCCACAGGCATTCCGGTCACCGCATGCGGTCAATTCCCACCTTCGCCCGTCGCTACCAACACCCAATGATACGTAGAACGTTTAGAAGCAGTGCTACGCTGTCGCAGTCCGGAGCTGACACGCCAGTATTTACCTTGCCCAACAATCACCCATTCGATCTCGACCACCTCCAGATTTCAGCCGTTCCTCACTCATATCTGATTGTAATTATGGACTGCTGCACAGTTGCACCTTCCCATCCGACGTCTTTTCTAGAAGATGAAATAGCAGCCCTCACGCTGCAATTGGAAGAAATCGGAATTTACTCCGAGGCCGGTAAGGGCAAATATGCCGTCGACAACCCTCCAGACATTGAGCTTGCGTATGCCAGCTTCCAGGCTGAGCTGCAGAGCTATCGAGCGTTCCGCTCGGATCAAGATCTTGCTCGCAGTATCGGAGCTGCCGTCTACTCTGATGGTCCAGTTATTGTGGATTTAACTGCACAGGAAGTCCAATCTCACGAGGATCGTTTGTTCGCACTACAAACTAGCAATACCGATTCAGAATATGAGAAAGCCAACATCGTAGCAAACAATGCGGTCAACAAGCTTGTTGATGAATGGATGGCGGTAGCTACTGAGAGCCAATATGCGGGCTCAGTGGTAGATTTCTCCGACAACGACGAGGAAAACGAGATCGAGGCCGGCCCATCCAGATATTATGCCGAGCGCCAGGCAGACGCAATCGCAAAGCTTTCCAAGCAATTCAAGTGCGCCGTGTGTCACGAGTACATCATGTCTGGGCTGATGGTGCATTTACCTTGCAACGACCGCTACTGTGTGAGTTGTTTGAAGGAGCTCTTCATACAGGCGACGAGGGATGAGACGTTGCTGCCCTTGCGATGTCACAAGCAGCCTATTCCCCTGCAGCTCATCGCTCGATATCTATCTGCCGATGAGCTTGCAGCCTATGAGCGAGCAAATATCGAAGTATCCACTGCGGATAGGACCTACTGCAGCAATATTCAGTGTGGAAAATTCATCCCTCGTGACCAGATCGAGCCCGGCACACACAGGGCCGTTTGCGATCTCTGCGACACAGCAACGTGCGCGATATGTAAGAATGGTTTTCATTATGGTCTGGATTGTCCAGATGATCCCGCTCTGCGCGAGACTCGGAGGATAGCAGAAGAAAGCGGTTGGAAGTCCTGCTACCACTGTGGGCGCATATTGATACTGAGAACCGGATGCAATCACATGACGTAAGTGCCCCCCGTCGTGCTACCGCTCAACATCAGTAGCTTACTGGCAATCAGCTGCATTTGCAAAGCGCAATTCTGCTACGTTTGTGGCGAGAGATGGAAAACTTGTCGATGCGACGTCGCAGATATCGACAGGATCGAAGAGAGAGCAGAAGAAGTCGTCGACCGCGACGCGGGAGAAGTACTTCCACCGGTTGAACGGCAGCGTCGCGTCGAACGGGTACGCAACGAGCTCGAGCAGAACCATGAGTGTGAGCACCCAGGACGATTCCAGAAGCTTTGGAGGCATGAAGGCTACGGCGGGCGACGTGGATTCCAATGCGAGATGTGCGACAACAGACACTGGAAGTACATACTGCAGTGTCGGCACTGCTTCATCAATGTCTGTGAGGAATGTCGTCGCCACCGAGTCTGATCATTTTGGGGTTCATTTAAGCAACCCACCGCGGACAAAGTGGATGTGTCTTACAGAAGCAATGGCGCCGAAACACACACCTCCCTGTCGTAACTCGCACTGAATTTGTATCCGCTGTCACTCCTTAGACTCTGCTCAAAAATATACAGTCTGGGTTTACACTGTGAGACAAGTGAGAATTACACTTACCGAACCAGGTCGTGGCAGTGCATGCCCGTGTTTACTGCCTCACTGCTGCCTCCCAACCTCAAGCAGATTCTTATAGACTCCATCATACTTTACATGGTATGCAAGGCTGTTTCCTGTCAGAATGAAGAAACTTAAGCAAATGGCGCGCAAATTTGCAGGACGAGACTGCCAATGGAACAATCAGAGACGCGACAAGACTCTGGTACCACTTCTATAATTCGCTACTTAGGAACGACGTTGTGCAAGCCACTGAATCCATGCAGCAGAGAAGAGACGGCTCTGCCGAGAGTGCGTGCATTGCGCATCTGCCCTGGCAGCGCATTCGAAAAGGCGATCTCGAGGGCTCTCCGCTTTTTAGGCTTCCTCTCCAGCTACGCGGAATGATTTACATTCAACTTTTCGGTCAGTACGAGCAAGTGTGGAATACACGCAAGCCCTTGATCGGATCCGAGAGTCGATAGAAAAGTCACACAAGGACCCAGGAGCTACTAAGAAAGCCACCCCTTGGGGGCTCTCCACCAATCCTCTCCTCCAATCCGGCCACAGAATCTACGCCGATGCAAGCCCCCCACCTCTACCCCATCCCAACAATTCATTTCCAAGCCACCCTCGCCGTCTTTGCTTTTGTAGCCTCCGGCCCGCCCTCGCACTTAAACCGAAGTAGCTCTGTACAAATTAGCCTCACCTACCCCCTCGCTCCACCGTTTCTTTCGCAGGCACTCGCGCGGCGTCAGGGGCACCATAGAGTCTAGAAATCCACAATCCCCACCGAACACATCTGAACTGCAAGGTGCTGTTTCACAAAGGCACGTTCAAGAGAGTGATGTACAATGCGGGAGTTCCCCGGCGCCACAATCAGTTCCTCAATAGTATCGACCTAGCTTACCGGTACACGTGGGACGCAATTGTTGGGGCACTGCAGCAATGTAAGGGCTGAAAACCTTGCACGTCGCACTACCAGGTAAATATTGTGCGACAGCTAATGGTCTAGATAGTTCACGGGTATGAGAATAGCGGGCAGATAAATGCCTTCGAATAATGATGTTGTTGGATAGCGCTGGCAGGGACAACCCTTCAGAGGAAGAAGAGGGTTGCAAAGACGCGAAAGCAGAGAAAAAGGAGACTAAATTTATCTTTGAAAACGTCTAGTCGGATCACACCAGAGACTTGGAAATGGGAGGTCACTGGGCGAGGGGCGTCAGCAGCGACGGAAGAGTGGAGTGTGGAAAGATGGGTGAAGCCGCTGGGCCGGTGGAAAGGGTGCTTCGAAGTCATAGAGTAAACCGTTCGAACCGTACAGCAGAGAGTGCGGCCATAATAAACGTAACATAATATCAGCTACTCATCCCCATGTGGCCGACTTTGTAAGTAGTAACATGTTGCGAGAATAGACCTGTCCATCATACAGCAGATGAAAACCATGCCACCATTATCCCGATTGACCACACCAAAAAAAAACATACGACTTAGTACAGACCCATCTAAAGCTAGGCGTGATAATCGTCGCAAGAATGGCCCAAAAACCTGACACAACACCACAACAGCTTGCCCATTCCTCGTACTGAAGAGCAGATATGAGCCGAAGTTTAGTATCAAGCGCCTTAAGCGAAATGAGCCAAGGCGAGCGCGACGACAACGGCGAGGAGAGAGCTCTTCCCCGATCCGAAAGTTTGTTTGCCCTCATTGTTGATCGGGATCGGGGAGCTCGGGGTGGGTGATATGACAGTGCCATTGGCGGTGGCGCTTGGCCACCAGCTGGTCAAGTTGTAAGCTGGAAGATTCCAAGCAGAGACTCAGGTCTACTTACCCAGTGCCACTCGGAATATACGCAGAAGCATCCGTGCCGATGCTGGTATTTATGCCCTCAGTCTCTGTTGAGTAATTTCGGCTGCTAGTCTGCACCGGTACAGTCACGACAAAAGTCGTTTGGGGATAAGTCACGATGCTCGTGACCTGCATGGTCGTGGTACCCTCTTCAACTGAGGAAGTTGGGTGAGTGATCGTGCTTGTTAAGCCTGGTACGTGCGGATAAGCCGAGGGTGTGGCGGGAACATTGGGATTGGCAGACCCTGCTGGTGATGATGATGATGATGCAAGAGTAGAGGTTTTGATACCTTCGGTACCAGTCTCGCCAGAAACAAAGCCGGATTCAGAGGGCATGGCAGTGGGCTTGGAGTTGTACGGAGTTCCAATGGGCGAAGAACCGGATGGAGAGCCTGGAGAACCAGAGCCAGAGGCGGACGGGTAGCCGTGGCTTGAGCCTGTTGTAGTTGGCACTTGAGGCACTTCGGAAGACGGGCCACCAGAGCCGGGAGTCGGGATCGGACCTGTGTGCGAGGCTGGGGTCAATGGGCTGTTGGATGCCGGGACCGATGGTGCCCAAGCACTTGGTCGCGGGCGTGGAGGAACCTCAGATCCCAGTGAATATGAAGATGGTGGAGCACCAGGAACAATCACTGCGGATGTACCCGGGATTGGAACGTAAAAGCCGCTAGACACTGGGGCTAAGGGTACTGAGGCCGAAACTCCTGGAAGAGAGGGAGAGGAACCCGACCCGGAAGGCGCGTACAAAGCTGTAGAAGAGAGAGCAGTACTAGAACCAACCGGGACTTCAGAGCTAGCTGCTGGTACATTTCCAGGACCAGACGCCGTGGGAAGACTGGGGACAAAACCAGGGCCCGATAACACTGCTGAAAGCGATTGAGATGGAAGGACTGGACTAGGACCGATCGGAACGCCTGAGTTTGGAACTGGTAGATGACCAATGCTCGAACTCGTGGGGGTGCCCGGGTACGGAGCGAAACCTGAGCCGGACGGGATGTTTGGGAGCCAGCTGGATGAAACAGCGGGTACTGGGCCGATCGAGTTGCCAGAGCTTGGATTTGGCGGATTGCCTTGACTCGATGTCAAAGGAGATCCTGGAGCAGGAGCGAGACCCGAAACAGATGGAAGGGCAGGTCCTGGACCGATGTGAATTCCAGAACTTGGGATCGGCAAGGTTTCAGGGCTCGAAGTAGGAGGCAACCCTGGAGCAGGAACAAAGCCCGAGCCGGAAGGATGGGGATTGGCTGACGTGACGGCGGTCGATGGCAATGGGCCTGTTGCAGAAGGCACGCCAACAGAAAGACTGATCGTCAAAGACGCAGCAGCTGAGCCTTCTGGCAGAGCACTTGGAGTCGGCAGACCTGAAGTCAAGCAAATGGTTGTGGTGGTGGTAGCCAACACTGCCGACGTGACCACGTTCAAGGCATTTGTCGGGCAATTGATAGCATCTGAGGCACACTCGGTGATGGTAAAGTAAGAGGTCGTATAGAACGTCGAAGTGGAGTAGACATTCGGACCGACGACGTATGCCGGAGCGTCCTTAGAGAGCGCAGTGACTGGTTCCTGTGAGTGAAGGCGTACGTGTGAAGAGGGCCGGGGTCTACCTTTGTCGTCCGGTCCATCAGGTGACGCAACCGCATTGAGGCCGCTGCCAAGCAGCACAGTGAACAGCAAGACCTTCATGGCGGAGAGCAGATGGTGGGAAAGAGGCTGAAAAAGTGTTGGGTGGGAGAGAGTGTGTGGGTGGGAAAGAGAGAGAGAGAGAGAGAGAGAGAGAGAGAGAGAGAGAGAGAGAGAGAGAGAGACAGAGAGAGAGAGACAGAGAGAGACAGAGAGAGCAACGAGCTGGAGGTTGGTCTCTGGTCGCTGGAAAAGAGCGTGGGAACGAGTGTAGGTAGTCAGGTGGAGGAGACGCGATCATGAACCGCCCGTTCGGGCTTTTGAGGACGGCAGGTGGTGCCAAGCCTTCTTAACGTGGAAGGCACGAGCAAGGTGCGATGACGCTCAACAACAGAGAATCGGAGTGAGCATGGAAGCCCATCGAAAGCAAGAAATGATTGTGGGAAGGTGGATGGAGTTTGAGGAGCTCCAGCCCATGAATAGAAACCCCAATGTTGTATAGGTGCGTCCATGGGCGATGCTGCCTCACGTGCTTGCTCCTTCACTGCATGAAAAAACCGGCAAGAGCATCCCGGGGTGCGGTATAGCGGCTTTCATCGGTATCTGGCCGTGCTACGGCTGCCATCAGATCTGCCTGAGCATACAATGCCAGGTCCAGGGTCTGTATAACTCAAAGAGATGTAACTCAAAGAGGAGCAATGATGTAGCCATACCCTGGGCCCAGCAATAATTCAGCTCTGGCGGAGCGCATGGTCCTGAACACCGTTTGCCATACCAGGTCTTACTCTTCTCGTGGGCCCTGGATCGGCAGTCCTTCCCTCTCCGTCGAGCAAGTTATCGCTGTTCACCTTCACCACTGGTGCCACAGCAACTGCAAACAAGAGGACGCAGGTGTGGTCCACACGCAGTAGCTGCCGCCCGCGCTCTTGAGAGTTGTTTGCTGCCTCACCCCGACTTGCTCCAACCACGACACTTCTTCCCGCCGCATTTCAGCGAACATCTTGCCAGAGCATACATTCCACCCGACATCTCTTCATCTCAGCTACCCAACAGCTTTTGAACAGCTCTTCCTCTCCAAAATGTTCGGTCTCAAGCTTTTTGTCGGGGTTGCTGCGGTTGTTGGCGTTGTCGTGGCCGCCGTGCCTGAAGACAGTGAGTTGTTTTAACATGCAGTGACATGAGGCTCGCATGAACTGACACTATCCCCTACAGGCGTCTGCGCCACGGCTCCGGCTGTCACTACCACCGTCACCGTCACGGAATGCGGCCAGGTGACGACGCCAGCTGCTCTTCCGTCCGAGTCCCAGACCCATAGCACGGCCTCGCCGCCGGTAGAGACGTCATGGCTACCCTCGTCTCCAGCTCCAGCCCCGGTTCCAGCATCTGGCAGTCCTGCTTCGCCTGCGCCAGCTCCACCCGCCTCTTCTGATTCTGCTTCCGGTCCTTCGGAATCTGCCCCTCCGGCTCCGCCCGTATCCTCTGGTGGTCCGTCTGGCAGTGAGCCGTCCTCGCCCGAGCCCACCCCGACCGCCACCGACAACCCAACCCCATCAACAACCAAGCCCGGCATGGTTCCCACGAATGCCGGTTCTCTCCCTGGTGTCTCTCTCGGTATGGGCTCTCTCGTCGTTGCCGGTATGGCAATTAATGCAGCCGTCGCTGTGCTCGTCTAAAGGAAACATGGGTGGCCACCAGGGATGCGCTGGGAAGGTCCGGTACGACCACTATTTCCTCTCTACCAGTTGTAGTACCACTGATCAAAAACTCGCCAGTTCGCTCTTGATGTCGGTCTCCGTGTCACGCTTTACGAGCAATGCAAGACTCCTTCTACCTGTGTAGATCGACATGCATGGGAGTCATTCATGTAATAGTAGCTTAGCTCAGCTATAGCTTCTCTAGTCGTCAATCAGGAACGAAGTGATTTCTGAGACAACTCTTGCGCAATCGTGATGTCGATCCGGACCCGGGAGGCGCCGGCAAACCCCACCAGGTTTGCCGTCTACGATGCCAATGTGATCTCGCTCCGGTGCAGTATGCTTCGCCGCAATAGGAGATATGGGCGAGCCGTGCTTCAACTGTCGACCGTGGCTGTAAGTGTCGATGCATGCAGTACCACGACAGGCACCATTGAATGCCATCCAGCGGCCGGATAGCGGACCAGGTACAACTACAAGTCATCTACGAGGCACAATAGCGCGTTCGAGTACATAGCGGCCTGCACAAAACCCTGTCTACTGCGAATCGAGGCTCAATGAGAAGCACAACCAGCAGTTGTACGGAAGGTTGTCGTGTGTCCCATTGCCAGTTCCTCTGGAGGGATCACGTTCCTTGAGCTAGTAGCGTACGCCAGCGGTCGCGGCATGGAGCTTGTAGCACGTAAGATTGCAGAATCTTCACCAAGCACGCTCGTCCAAGACGCCTTGAGACGCCTTGTTGAGATACAAGGATACGAGGCGGACGCCGCGTTGAGGAACTTCTCCAGGGGTTCGCACCTCGTGCTTGACATCCGCAACGTCATTCGCTCGCTTTCCACCCGCACTTCCCCCACGCCATCCTCAAATTCGCAACCAACCTCGGCTGCATCCACCGGTCTTCACATCGCGGGATGCACGGCGGAGGGAACGCAGCATGCATCTGCATGTGCAAGAGCATCGCACGAGCTGGACAAATGGAGAGAAGGCACGAGCCCTCGCTACCTGATGTGTGTTGCAACGGAACAACATTCACAGGAGGCTGCTGCTTGTGTTTCCAGCACGTCTGCCATGGGAAGGTCACGCATAAAACGGGCAATTAAATGCGTTTTACGAAACATAAATCGCCTTGACGGAAATAGAACCCAAGCACACGCCAGATGACGTTCCCTCATTCGCTGTGCCGTGGGCCAGGGTACTTTGCTTCTGCTGCCTTTCCTTAGGCGACGCGATCAGCAAACCCGGTTCATAAGCCCCAGGGTCCCGCGGCGCCGGAGTTTCTGATCCTGCTACCCTTTTCCAGGAGACTGGTCGTTTTCTTCCGTGCACTTGGGTCGCCAGTGCTGTCTACATTGAGCCATGTCGCGCATTGTCCATAAGTGAGCTGTCATAAGTTTGTTGCGACTACGTTTTAGGACTGACAGTTGGCCAGGACATCAGGCGGAAACGCAGCGTTCCACAATTTCCACAATGACTATGCTCACATTGCGGATCCCAATGAGAGAAGGCGGCTCGCTCTCGCTGAGATTGATAAAGCGCCTTTCGGCTGGTATCATGTTCGCGCTATAGGTATGGAGACGTGTAGCAGGGCACGGTAGAGACCAGAGGTACTGACAATATGTTTCAGTCGTTGCTGGTATCGGCTTCTTCACAGGCATGTTCCCTTGTGATCACGTATATGACTTGATCTGATACCCCACTCAGATGCCTATGATCTGTTCGCTGTCAATATGGTTGTTTCCATGCTGGGTGTGGTCTTCTGGCAGTGAGTGTCCTCACTCATGCTGAAGTTGATACTTGCTCACCGTGCAGGAACTCGGCCCACCCAGGCAAGATACCTTCCCATGCCGACACCGCCATCAAGGTCGCTACATCCACCGGCACTGTGGTCGGCCAAATAAGCTTCGGTATCCTTGCTGACATCGTTGGTCGCAAGAAGATGTACGGCATGGAGCTTATCCTCATCATCTTCGCCACTCTCGCTCAATCATTATCGGCGCACTCTCCCGCATGTTCCATTGTCGGGGTGATCGTTTTCTGGAGGGTCCTGATGGGCATTGGAATTGGAGGCGACTATCCACTCAGCTCCATCATTACGTCGGAATTCGCGACCACCAGATGGAGAGGCGCTATGATGGGATCGGTCTTCGCGATGCAAGGAATAGGACAGTTTGCCGCAGCCATGGTCTCACTGATCGTAACGGAGGCCTATAAATCGACTCTGGAGCAGGCAAAAACTGTGGACAAATGCACTGGTGCTTGCGGGCTTGCTGTTGACAAGATGTGGAGGATTGTCATCGGCTTCGGTGCCGTGCCGGGTTGCATCGCTCTCTACTACCGCCTTACGATCCCGGAAACCCCAAGATACACTTTCGATGTTGACCGCGATGTCATACAAGCTGGCTCCGATGTCAAAGCTTTCAAGGCTGGTATGCCAAGAGGTCATGTGGACGAGATCACACGAGCACGTGCCAAGGATAGCGACGCTCTTCAGCTCGAGGTTCCGATAGCCTCTTGGTCAGACTTCTTCCAATGGGTCAGCAAGTGGAAGAATGGAGGCGTGCTACTCGGAACGGCAGGCTCATGGTTTCTTCTTGACGTTGCGTACTACGGCCTCGGACTCAACAACTCCATCATATTGCAACAGATTGGGTACGCCAAAGGCGACGACGTTTACCAAATATTCCACAACCAGGCTGTGGGCAATTTGATCATAACCTGTGCGGGCGCGATTCCTGGTTAGTTTACAAGTATCCGCCCTGCTCCGAAACTACCTCTAACAAGTTACAGGCTACTGGGTCACAGTCGCAACAGTGGACACTATAGGCCGCAAGCCCATACAGATCATGGGCTTCATTATCCTCACAGGCATTTTCGTCGCCATCGGCTTCGCATACCATCTCCTCTCTGGCAAGGCCCTCCTCGCACTCTACGTCATTGCCCAATTCTTCTTCAACTTTGGGCCCAACGCTACCACCTTCATCATCCCGGGAGAATGTTTTCCCACGCGATATCGCTCCTCAGGCCACGGCATCTCTGCCGCTTCTGGGAAAGTCGGCGCAATCATCGCGCAGGTCCTGATCGGACCGCTACGAACAAGGGGTGCGAAGCCTGGTTCGTCTGATAGCCCGTGGTTGAACCACGTCATGCAAATCTATAGCATGTTCATGTTTGCGGGCATTTTCACGAGTTTGCTCGTGCCCGAGACGAAAAGAAAGACGTTGGAGAGGTTGGCTGGCGAGGTGGAGGGGACGCCGGAGTATGATCCGGACAATGTGCGGAATAGGGATACGGAGAAGGCGATAGAGTTGAGGGAAGGTGTGCGGTTGAGAACCAGGGACAGAGTGTGGGATGGGCAGTAAGTCAGGGGTTCAATGGCTGTACGCATCATTATCTCATTCTTCCAATAGACTTCAAAAGAAGGGCTGGTCCCTGATTAAGCCTTGACATGAGCTGTCTCGTTGACCTCTTCGCTAGCTGACCTGAAAACATCGCCGATAGTAGTGACAAATCGAAATTTACAACTCAACCTGAATCAAGGGATATCGAGCAGCTTTCCTGCTCTGGACTTTGTTCCAGGCCAACAAGGATGCTTTGTCGTTGGATGTTTCCTTTCCCATTGTTTCACCCTCAGTAAGCGACAATGACAATGCAACACCAGAAAGCGCCGGTCAAACACACAGTACTCCAACATAAAATACGCAGAATTTACCAAGGACTACCGTTCCCTCACCAGAAGCAGCTTTTCTTTTCCACCCTGCAAATCCCAAGAAGAATGCGCTAAAACAGCGGTTGCAACCTCGTAGATCCTTCCTTGGACCTCCCCAACGTGCGCGAAGATGCTGCGAGTGAGTGGCCGGACGATGTCTACACCCTGTCGGAATGAAGACAGAAAGATGATAACGTGAATACGTCAGCGGCAGTACAAGGAAAGAAAATTCGAAGGAAGACGACGTGGACGAAGTCGAAGGCCGAAATAGAAAAGGACCTTGAGGAATCTCCAAAAGGTGAGGGGTGGGAAAAGTCGGTTGAAATGTCTAGGGTAATGTGTAAGGATAAAAAGCGAGTCATTTTCTCCGAAGTTGAATCAACGGAGAGCGAAAGTGAACTTAAGAGTGACCCGGGAGAAGATGGTGGAAGACCTTAAAGTCTTCCGACTGGGATGAAGTTGGATGTTCGAACGTCCACGACCCTGGCGATCTTCTCTCACGCTTTTTTTTTTTCTGCCGCAGGGTCTCATCAGCCCTCTATTGACAAAGTAGACTGTCACCCGATGCCCGCTTTCTGCCTCCGAGCAGATAAGTGAAACTACCATGGCCATTACTCTGCCTCAGAAAGGATACGTTACACTGCCATGCGGACCCTCTCCCGCCTTTGAACAGATATGTGACACCATCATGCGAGCACTTCGGCTCTATCTCTTCAAGACAGATGAATTCTAGATTTCAAACACCAGCAAAGTTATGATGACCACAACGGAGTTTACAGTCTCATGCAAGCGTTCACAAGATTGCTCGAGGCTTTCAAGATGTCCCGTAGTAGAACGCACCATGATACCCGAGCTACCACGGCTGCAACCGCAGCTGCAAACCAGAAACAAGACGCTCCTCTTCACAAGGAGAAATTCCAAGACTCGTGCTGATGCTGAGGAAAAGGAAGCCGATCCCTCTCGCCAGAAACAGAGAGGTGTCAAGTCCCGAGGTCAGGTTGAGTATGACGAAGCCAACGATGCTTGGCAGAAAGAGAAGACCGTTGGCCTTCGTGCTCAGGTTGAGGACAATAAAACACCCAGAAAGATCGGACCAAGGCCGCTCCCCAGAAAGAGAAGAGAGCCAAAACGAGCGCCCAGGCCGAAGCCACTACCGGTGCTGCTCTCCCTCAGCGGAAGTAAGGCAAGGAAAGCACTCAGTTTGAGAAGACCAGGCCAGAGGCTTCTCCACCGAAACAGAAGAAAAGAACAATTCCCGCTCAAGTTGACGCCTGTCCTCGGAAAGGAGAGAGAACCAGACATGTACCGAGACTGGCCGACGGAATGGCCTACCATGAACATGCCAATACAAAGAATACTTACAAGGTAATGAGCACCGCAAAAGCTATTGCTCTTGTTGAATCCGACGAAAATGCCGCTCCGCCCATGGCCACAACAGCACTACAGAAAACTCTGGCAAAGACCACTGAGAAGAAGAATATATCACCATCGCGCGGAACTCATAGCCCCGGCCTCGAGCCACGAAGAAGGGAGCTAGAAAAGCAAGCTCGGAGGGAGCTGCAGACCCCTGCAGACATCGAAATCGAAGAGCAGATTACCAAAAGGACTGCGAAGATGGCGGATCGGCTGACCGCGTTGACGAGATCGAATCAGGAGCTGTGGCTGGAGTCACAGGCGGTTTTGGATGAGTTTTTGGGATATGCTGCGTATGTTGGTGATGAAGAGGATGTGAGCGATGCACGGGCCAAGTTTGTTCGGGTGAGAAAGAGGAATATCAGGGGGGAGACGTATGATTGGCCGGTGGCGAAGAGGGTGAGGGAGGATGGTGTGCATGACTGATAGGGTGGCGTCTTTGGGATCGAGTTGAGGGCATGATGGGATTGTAATGAGATTGGAACCCGGTGGAGCTTGAGGCGAGCTTGAGAAAAGACGATCAAGTGACTGAAGAGTGTTGCTGGCATTGCGCAGCAGCTACAAGCCCGTCGAGATGTGTATTCCACGCACTGAAGAGACGTGGTTGGTTCTGGGGGAGGAGGCCCAGGCGCAAAGGAATCAAAGAATTAAAAAGGAATCTCTTTTGACTGGAGAATGGGACTTCACGGGCCGGCATTACGGGCTGTCTCTTGACGTATGAATACAGATCCAATGGGGCATCTGATGAACACGATTGAAAGTTGACGAATTGGTTCAGTGATGTCGAAGTAACGCATCCATGTACGTGAGAAGAACACGGGCTCATAACCATGGATGATGACCCCATGGCGTGACCCCGTGAACAAGTCAGTCCAATCAGAAGTTTCGTGAGTCGAGGTCCTCGTGCAGTCTCCGTGTGGGAGAGAAGGTGATTGTAAGCAAGGGGTGCGGAGGGACGTGGCGAGGCTGGGGGAAGAATGCTGATATTGTGTTGGAGAAAAGTATCTTCAAGTCAATGCAAGCGCAAAGCGAGACCTGCATAGAGCCACAGACGATGGATGGGTTTCAGAGCTGGACGGCGGTGTTGCGGTAGTCGCCGTGTTGGCGTGGTTGCCCTTCGCAACGCGTGTTCTGGAGTGGACAACAGGACGCGTCTATGCTTCTTGGGCCCAAGCGCCAACGGCTTTCTCCCGTTGGTGCTGTCACCGTCACCGCTGCCAGGCGCGCTCTCTCTCTCTCTCTCTCTCGGATACCAGCCAACTACGCGCATGCGCATGCCCGAATCGCCTTTGCCCGCTGCCCGCCATGCGCCGTTTCGCAGAGAGCACGCCGTGCCCTGCGCCGCATCTCTTCGCAAGCCATCGCGACGCCCACGACAGCCGCCGCACGTCCATGTATGCGCCCGCCTACTCGACCGACGGCGACACCACGGCCAACATTGAATACACAACCGAGCTCAAGGCGAGCCTGCGCAATGCGAAGCCCAGGCGCCCCGCGCGCAGCATGCGCCAGTCGACCTTCAACCCCAGCCTGGACATCTTCGAGGACGTCGCACAGGAGGAGCAGGCCGCCTTGGAGACGAAACGACGCAGCAGAGCCTCCGTCATGCCCCCAGGCGTCGACAAGAAGAGCTCCATTCTTGCCCACAAGCCCCAGAGGATACACATCCCCGCGCCCCCGGTCAGCGAGGCCCCGCCGCAGAGGCCGCAGAGGAGACGCGTGTCGCAGCTTCTGGTGGACAGACATGAGGCGCCGGATGGCAATGCTACCGCGCAACTGCAAGAGGTGGCCCTGGACCAGAGGGAGCTGCGGAAGCAAGGCCCCAGGAAAGATCCGCGGCGGAGGACCATATACGTTCCCTCGGACGATACGACCATGTTCACCATCCACCCGGGACAGCCCACCCGCAAACCGCGAAATCCGCGAGAGCACTCGCCCGACACTGGACTGGAACTCGTAACACTGTCGGAAGAGGAGGCTGAGAACCTGGTGTCCGCACTGAAGCAGGACAAGGTCCCGCGCAAATCTCTGGCTGCGCCTCCCAAGCGCGCTCCACTGCTGCAGACGGCGCGCCAAAGCCAGTCCTTCTCCCACGACGTACAAGGCCAGGGTGGTGGAAAGGAGAATGTCCCGCCGGGCATGCAAGTATTCGAGGGCAAGGCTGGCACCCACATCGAGTTCAACTTCGCCAAAGAAGACCAGAAGAAGCCCGCACCCAAGCCATCAAGAGTGCACTTCACCAGCAAGACGTCAGAAGCCAGCTCGCAGACGAGGACCAAGACCGAAGGCACCCAGAAGCGCTTACGACCTCAGTTCAGCCAGGAAGCATCGCCCGCCAAATCCATCAAAGCGAAAGCCGACAGCGTTGCATCCTCCGTTCGTACGATTTCCTCGCGCACTTCGACCACCACCAGGTCATCCGTCAAGACTGTCAAAAGTCGCGCTTCGTCAAGACCAAGTACCGCGTTGTCGTCTTCATCTCCATTCCACACAGACCGATCTCCACCAACCGCCCTTCGTCGGAGGAAAATGGAGCGAGGACCCGTAACCATCACCATGATGCACGAGGTCGGCAGACGAGCGCCACCCAAAGAAAAGTATCCCGTCTTGACCGAGGACCTCGCTCGACCTGAGTTATACGAAGACAATTGGCTCACCTACCAAGAGATCGCCATCACTCAGCTTATCAACTCAATGTTCGATTCTGCCAGCAAAGATCCGAATGCAGAGCAGAGCGCAGAACAGCTGAGGCAGAAACTGCTCGACATGTATCACGAGCCCTCTATGCCATCTTTGCATAAGCGACTGCAAGCTTCGTTGCAGTATGGCGCGTTGAGCATCCCAAAGGACCTCTTGGCACAGACTCTGAGACTCAAGGACGACGTGGGTCTACGTAAGAAATTCCTCAACTTGTGGGTGAAGTCGTACGATCTTACTTCGCTGCGAGCCGCCGCCGAAACCATCATCGGACGTCAGCTTAACGTGCCGTCAAGACTGTCAAGTGGCTCCACCAGTTCAGACGACGGTTCCCGCTTGATGCGAGCAGAGCGAAGGGCCATTGAGAACTTCCTCGATGCTTTTCTTATCCGCAATGAAGACGCTGTTCGTGTTAAGAGTGGCATGGGCAGCATCGCAAGCATTGCTCGCAGTGACCTTGGCGATGATTTTGGCTCACAAGCTTGGTCTTGGAGACGTACAGCACTCCGTAGCTTGATGCTCGTATACCTCCTCGACAAGGCCAAAAATGCCAATCTGCTTTCTGGCTGTCTGTTCCAGTCGACATCGACCTACAAGACCTCCACCGATGTGCTGCATGCCTTGGCCAGCTTGCTTCTTCCATCTCATGGCGACATAACTCGTCCGCTGGGACACCTCAACTACAAAGTCAGTCACGTCCAGTACCCTTTGCAGGAGTACACATACCATATCGACAACATCGCCATCGATCTTCGAGATGGTGTGGTCCTGACTCGCTTGGTTGAGCTTCTAATTTACCCGCCTCCTACACTCACCGCGCAGCGAGAAGATACTGTCACAATCACTATGCCGACTGGTGATGTTCTCACCAGCGCTGTTGACTTCACGTCAAAGGAGAGCTGGGTGCTTTCCCAGCACCTCAAGTTTCCATCTATCGGCCGCGCACAAAAACTCTACAACGTACAGGTCGCCCTCGCAGCTCTCGATGGAGTACGCGGGCTTCCGATCCAAGTGGTCGGCGGCATGACCCCGGAAGACATTGTCGATGGCCATCGTGAGAGGACTTTGTCGCTCCTCTGGTCGCTCATAGGCAAGCACGGCTTGGGAACTCTGGTCAATTGGACACAGCTCACAAAGGAGATCGAGAGGTTCAGGGATGCGTGGTACAGTAGGCGGGATAACTACGGACAGCGCGACCTAGACTCCGAAGACGACGAGCCAACCTCGGAACTTACAGGCCTCGAACACCACAAGCGCCTCCTCCTATCTTGGGCTCGCTGCGCCGCGCGCACATACGGTCTCCGCGTTACGAACCTCACAACCTCCTTCTCGAACCCAAAGGTCCTCGAAGCTATCGTGGACACCTATCTCCCCTGCACGCTGCTAGACACGACACCTTCGTCTTCTCTGAGTCTCGCGGCAAAACTCGAAGCAATCGGCTGCTCCACATCCTTCATCGCGCTCTTCGCCTCGCCCAAGACCTCCATCCTATCCAAAGACTTCACGCTCCTCACGCTCTCCTTCCTCGCCAGCCGCCTCCTCCCCCTCAATGTCACCCACCGCGCTGCATCCACCATCCAGCGCGTCTACCGCGCTCGTCTCGCGCGTCGCGCTCTCCACCAGCGGATCGTAAAGGCGCAGATCGCGCACGAGGCGGCGGTCGTGGCGCAGGCCCGCGAACGCCTACTCGGTGCTGCGATGCTGGTGCAGCGGAGGTGGAGAGCCGTGTTGGACGGGAGGAAGAAAGATTTGGAAGCACATGCGGTGCTATTCCAGAGTTTGGCGAGGGGTTGGGCGATTAGAAGATGGGCGAGGAGGGTCACGGGGGGTAAGGTGGGTGGAAAGGAGAAGGTGAGGAGAGTGAGGGGTGGGTGGTAGATGGCTGGGGAGGAGAAATGTCCGTGCTGCTTTTCTGCACAGGTTCTCTGACGAGTGGGGCGAGCGTGGATAACGCCTGGTGCTTTAACGATTAACGGCCCCTGGTTTCTTCTTTGCTTTCGTACCTAGGGTTTGGAACAGAGTATTTTTTTTCCGGCGTAAAGGGATAGCTAGATACCAGTCTTACGATCAAATTGCGAACGATCCTTGTAACTCAAATACAGATATCCATCTTGAAACAGTGATGTCGCACGTGGCGAGGCCTTGGATGAGGAGGGGTGGTGTGTGAGATGGAGTGGTATCCAGGTGTGTTAAATCATAGTCGCAGTGCGCGGTTCGTGTTGAAGTTCGGCGGTGCCGTGTAAAATGTGAAGAGTTGAAGTGTCAGATGTATAGAGAGTTAACGTCAGAGTGACACAGAGAGTTGCAGTATCAGGTATGTAGAAAGTCGAAATGTGGGATATGCAGAGTTGAACTATGCACATTGTGGGCGGAATACCAAGCAGGTTCTTCTGAGCTTTTGGCGCGCCTCAACGCAGCGCGCTCTGTATGGTGATGTGATTTGAGGTGGAGTCGTTGAGGTGCCGGTGCCTGGCAGGTGCGTACGCATCCATGGCACAGAAAGAAAGGTTTGAGTGTGTGAACGGTGGTCGAGTGCGCGGTACGTGTGGAAATAGTGTTATAGTATGTGAGATATGAAGAGCTGAAGCGTGCACGCTGTGGCCGGACTGCCAAAGTCGCATTCAGGGACTGACTCACTAATATATTAGATACCGTGGGAATGTGGAGTGCGTATACAAGCAGAGGAGTGACGTGAACGATGCAAATCGGTCAAGGTAAGCACCAATGAAGTTAGATGTTATGCTGGCCTCATGACGGCAGGGTCCATGGCGGTACGCCTTTGCTAACCGTTCCGTTGAGTCGAACGGTTGAAGTTGACAGATCTGGTCTTAGGTCACGCTCACTGCGGGTATCGGTTATTGAACGACGCACAACGTGCGAGACATGGACCGCAATCCGAAGATGAAGACCTCTTAGCCTGGGAGCAGAAGATTGCGTCTGTGACGAAAATTTCCACCTTGAATCCGAGTTCATGCGTACTGTACTGCTGGCTGCACTAATAAGTGCTGCACCTGTCGGTGGAAGGCGCTTCGCTCTCAACTGGCAGGCGGGCAGTTTCTCTCGCCATAACGACCCATAACTCTTGAAAGGTACACCTCACTTCGTTACCATATGCTTTGTTAGTGTCAACGCCGGCCTCAACCCTGCGACGTATACTTCATCTCGCACATTCCGGCTTTATTTGTACCATCAGCTATCCTTCGTTCCCTGTTTCCGTACGTGTGCTGCAAAGCTTCCCGGGTCCGTCATGAACAATCAAAACCACCCAAGCCCAAATGGAACAGTTGTGAAAGCAGCAAAAGGCATCCTCGCTTCCAAGGCAGAAACCATGCCGTAAGATTCCTATCTGAGCTACACACGTCAAGGAATGCATGAGATGCTAATTTCCGATGAAAGTTTGGGCTCCATTATCTTGACTATATACGTCGGTCGCCCCCGCAAAAAGTTTGTCATGCACGAGAAAGTGCTCACCGAGCGGTCTAGCTATTTCAGAAACGCTGTGAAGGATAGCTGGGTCGAGGCCACGGACGGAGTCATCATATTACAAGACGTGGACGAGCAGACCTTCGCGCTATACCAACAACTAGTCTATAGGGGCCGCGTCCCATGCTTAGAAGTCAACACTGTGAAGGAATCATCACCAGAACGCCGCGACCCGAACCGAGATTGTGCCCACCCCGAAGTCTGCTCTAACGAGTACGAATCTCTATGCGACCTCTACGCGTTCGCAGAGCGCATGCAGGACCTCAAGGCGAAAAACTCTACGGTCGCTGCACTCATTTTGAAACTCAATGACGAGTTGGCATATACGCACCACAACCAGCCAGGCAAGGTGTGCTTTCCTAGCGCCGAAGCAATCCGGACGATGTACGAGAATACATCTGGGAACTGCCCTGGGCGGGCGGTATTGGCGCACGCATATGCGTTTTACGGACAGGCTTCGACGTGTATGCAACTGCCGTACCTGGACGAAGTTCCCGCTGAGTTCCATTGGGATGTAAACCGCGCACTACTCAGTATCAGGCACCACGTCATTCAGCATTGTTACTTAGATCCTGGGGATTATCAAGAGGAGGAAGGGAAGCAGTGGGACTGCAAGTTCAAGTTGTTTCCCAACCCGACGTGCACTTGTCGCGTTTGCCTCAGCCTCTTCCCAGCGTGCATTTGTCGCGGATGCCTCAACCTCTACCCTTCAGGTGTGGGCTCCTTGCCGCTCAGTTAGAAGTAGCAGCGTCCGAACGCTGAACTGGAACTTTGTTTGTCTGATACTCAACCGTGGCATGTTACCTTGATTGTGTTCGACTCTATCCACCTTCACGTCATGGACGCAAATGTGCTTCGTCGAGCTTTGTTGTGTTTGCGACTAATTCCGATTTACGATCTCCGACCATGCCGACTGGCCCGCGTGTCACAAGTGATTTGGATAGACTGAGGTGAGTTCGCAGAAGGAGAGTGGGCCGAGAAGAGATCGATGAATGGGAAGGGCGGTCTTAATACATTATTCTTGGAGAGGAACTTTGCTATATCCTCGTGGCTGCTATAACAAAACACATGTGTGAATGTCTCTGTACTTCGAAAGACCCATACATCCACGCGTCCACCATGTGCACTGCACACGACTGGCTGGGAGAGTGCCTCGCGTACCAAGTCCCAAAGAAGCCGGCGTTTCTACGCACGTGACAAATGCTCTATCCAGTACGTTGGGAACATTGCTCGGGAGCCTCAGGCAGATACGACGGTCCTCGGAGAACGCATTTCCTTCTCCCGGTGGTACGATGGGCCGGTCTTTCGGTTCACTCCCATCCCTTAATCCAAATCAGTCAAGATGTAGACACAGACTCGATCGTCTACACCTTGAAACCTTCCTCGCCCTCTCTCGGACCCAGGCCCTTCTTCACTCCTTCTTTCAGAGTCTTCCAGTCCACCCCATGATGTGCCTTGCCCTGTTTGCTCTTTCCAGCCACAAAGCTATGCAACCTTCCAGTAGCGATCTTCCTCATCAACACAGTATCCTCCGCGCCCTTCAGCGTCCTTCCTTTGCCCTCGGTCAAGAACTTCTCAACCCACTCTTCCTCCTCCTCGCTGAATGGCAAGCCCACCAGCTCGACAGCCTTCTCTTGTCTCGGGTATATGCTTTCGATGTCGCTCGGATCCCCGGCGCCCCAGGCGCGATGGTCCAGCGTCTGCTCCACGAGTGCTTCTAGCAACTGCCTATGCTCGTGCTCGGGCCGTGCGCGAATCCAGTAGTACGTCTCTGTTACATTCCTCGCGGCCAGATATCGCACGAAGGGTTGCCTGACAGCATCGGTCGCAAGCGGCGGTTTTACGCAGTTGTAGTATGCCAGAGGGAGGATATCCGTCTCGGACATGGTGCTCAGCTGATGGTGTCTCCGGTTGACTAGCGTGAGCAGAATCTCGTCGGGGAATGTGGGTATGATAGACGGGTGCGTCAAGTGGCCGACCGCATTGTCGAACTGGAGGTGATCTAGCTCCCAGATCCCTTCTATAAAAGTCCAGAAACGTGTCTCGAGGTGGACGCTGGTAGCGAATTGTGTCGCCCATTCAGGGCTCGTCTTGTAGTGGGGCGACAAATCTCGCAGCAGGTAGAAGATCAGGCAGTGTTTGTAGTGCAGGGTTATAGGCGCTTCGCAGATGCGATTGTGAAGTTCGCGCAATCCGTCGTCGCCGTTCGGAGGGTAGATCTTGCGCCCTATGGAGATTAATAAACCGCCAGCTTGGCTTATGTGTCTGCGCGTCTCACATTTGATATTGAGAAGCTCCAACAGACGCTCGAAGAAGGTCCGCCCGCCTAGTGTGCTCTGACACTCTGCGATGTCTCTGCGCAAGCCCTCTGCGTAGCTCCCATATGGAAAGATCTGATCGTAGTCTTCGATGTCGAACATTTTGCGGTCTAACTGGGTATCGAATACCCAGGGTGGAGTTGGTGGGGTTCGCGCGCAATTGTCGGCCGTGATTGTTTGGAATGTGGAGAGCTCTCCGATTGAGTCGCGCCGCGCGCTCACGTGATGCTTACATAACATTGCAACGTATTGACGGGTTTGCGGTACAGAATACGTGCCCAGACCCTTTTTCATATGCTGCTTAGACATGAAGGGTGCGTCGATTGACTCGATAGACAGTAAATCAAAGACACATCATGAGCCTGGTTGAAATGCAAGGGTGATGACAGAATGTTTACACGAGACATACACCGCATGACTGGAGATGCACGTTATATAAGATTAAACATTGATACATGTCGATTGTTGTAGTACGAGTGGTCAGGTCTCTCTATTCGCTTTTGCTTCCAGAACCAACCATGCAAACTATTGTACATGCATAACCAAGATGCACTGGTATCATACAAACGTAAACGCAAAATCAGGCTGCCGCTATCCAAACGCCACCACATGCAGACGGGAGTAGAATTGCCCCTCTCGCCAAACCGAAATATGCAAAGTCTTTAAACATACAAGTGTAGCCGCGAAGCTGTAGTATAAAGCGTGTAATGGTGCACCTAGGGGTGGACTATGCGTCTTCACGCAGTCGGCCTCGTCTTTCGTTAACTCTGGTCGCCATCTTCTTGCCTACTTCGTAGCTGCTGATCATGATTGCGCAGGCTGGTGCAACCTTGAGACATCGGGCTGTCCATCCCTTGAACAATCCCGACGCTCCCTGCTCTTTGAAGATATGCCAGAGGAACCGTGGCATGGACTGCTCTTCCGGTCGAAGCGCTCTGGCAGCCGAGCCTACCTCCTCTTTCGTGTGGTGCAAGACCTGCTGCCTTGTCTTTCCGACGTCAAACGGCGTCGTCACAAAAGCCGCCACTGCGCCGGATCCTGCGCCGGCGACAAAGCTGTCCACCAAGGTCTCAGTGTGGTTCTCCCGGCTGCGCGACCGGCTCCTTCTCCTTATTCTTTCTTCGCCTCGGCCCATGCGGAACTCTGACCCGTCATTCCTGGCTTGTGTTCGGCCGCGCAAGTCAGTGATGGCGTTGCGGCCATACTCGTAGCCCCACCAGTAGATGGCAGAGAACGGCACATCTCTCCACAGAGTCAGCGTAAGGCCTCTCCACAGGCTGCGGACTCCTCTGTCTGCCACCATCTCCCGCAGGCCGTCCATGGTTTCGCGGAAATGGCCAACAGCCGTGGCTGTGTGTGTTGCTGCTTGCATTCTTGTCCGGAACATCTCAATGGGACTGACAGCGACTGCGGAGAGGATGCGAGCAGTCGCTCCCGCAGCCAAAGGTATGTACGCGTCGGGCACCATGCGTTTGAACGGCGAGGTCTGCGCGGTCCGCATCCAGTCGTATCCGGCGAAGTAGATGACGTTGGCAGGGACAGCCATGACCAACGTCGGCGAAAGTCCTCTCCATAGTGTGGGCAGCCCTTCATTTTGCGAAATCTTGCGCAAACCGTCCCAGGTGCTGTTGATTGTCCGCCGTTCCACCTCTTCCACAGCGCATGCGGCATCGGCCGGATTCAGCGGTGCCACTGTAGGTCCTGCGAAACACACGGGCGCGGCATTGCTCGACCAGAAGACCTCTCTGCAGCATGTTGTGATCCCGAGGTTCGGGTGCAGATCGCGGAACTGGGTGAGCGACCCAGCGGACAAGGTGGTAGAAGGGCGCTGGAGCGCAGGCGTCGGTACGTGCGCTTGCGACTGAAGGCGGACGCGCACAACATCGAGCGGCGTGACTACATGGTCTGTCAGCTTGCGATGGCCCGTGAGGGCAGCATACACGTACCCAGAAGCGACGTCAGGACGCTGCCCGTGGTCGCCGACAGCATCTTCTGCACCAGCGTCACGCCGTCGGCATCCGGCACATTCTCTTTGCTGGCGGCCATGGCCGTTACCTCGAATCGGTGCGAGGCAGGTCGTTGGAATCCCAGAAGCGCGAGAAGGCGGGCGTGCGCATGTTCTGGGCGGGCGGGCGGCGGTCCAGTTCAGGAGCACTAGTTATGACGCTGTGACAGAAGAAAGCTCCACGGGCCATCCCAAAGTTATTTTTTAGCGCGTCTCGGGGCACCAACACCCACTGCAGTGTGCGCGCCCTGCGCCCTTATCAGATGTGGCGTTGCTTACGCTATGTCATTGATCTTGCTTGTGACTCTTACACTACTCATGCACTTGTGGGTAATTGTCCTCTTGTCCGCGACCACAGATCAATAGACTGGTCGTTTTCGTGGATATGTATTTCTACTGGAGTAGCTCCAAACTTCATTCCGTCCCGAAATCCGACATCGGACTAGCCGCTGATACCCGCCACCCACGTCCCCGTACGTACCTAGGTAACACGCTACCGCTGCCATGGATTCCACCGAGCAAGAGCTCGAGGCCTTCCGCCAGAGATGGCTGGAAGAAGTCAAGCGCAAGCAGCCGGCCGTTGCAGCGCCAGCTCCCGCAAAGACAACGCAGGCGTCGTCAAGCAAAGGCCCCAAGAACAAGGGCCCCGACGTGCCGTCCCATGCGCGCCACCACGGTGAAGAGATAGACGAGGCAGCGCCCCACGTGTACCAAGATCTGGGCGAGAAGCAGCATGGAAGGCGACTGGATGAAACCAGCGCTCAAGCTGCTGCCGCTACCGCGAACAGTGCAGAACCACAGTCTGCATTGGAGCACTACGAGAAAGCAGTAGAGAAAGAAAGCCAAGGCAGCTTGGGAGACAGCCTGAATCTCTACCGGAAGGCTTTCAAGGTACGCCTTCCGGCATAGACGTGTGTTGTGACCACGTGCTCACCCTCCCAGCTCGACGATGGCGTCCATGAGAAGTACAAGGCAAAGCATTTCCCAGCCAAACCTCCTCAGCCCAAACCGAAACCTCAAGATCCCAACCCGTCCGGCGCCCCTGTCACTGTGCCTAATACTGCCCACCACTCCCTAGATGGCCTCCAACCAACTCTCCAGTCCATGCTCGAGGACTTCTCTAGCCTCTCCATCCTAGGCGAAGAACCTCCGACCGACCTGTCTCCGCAGCCCCCTTGTCCCATCGCTACGACCCCTGAAGAGATTCTCGTCGAGATCCTGGAGCACGTGGCCGTCCAGGACGTAGCAGCCTTCGCCCGCCTGGCCCAGGTCTGCAGGCGTCTTGCCTATCTTGTTACCACGGAGGAGCGAGTCTGGAAACGGATTTCCCTGGGGCATGAATTCGGGTTCGCAGCCATGCACTACACCTGGTCCTGCCAGGTCGACGGCAACCCGCTCGGTGATGACGATGAAGGCGGCTACATCCTCGGCCCCGACTTCGAAGAGCCTGTCGTAGCGACACCTCCACCTCAGAACATAACGTCCCTCCTCGTCCCCTCAGCCTACCCCACCTACCGCACTCTCTTTCGCCGCCGGCCCCGGGTCAGATTCAACGGATGCTACATTTCCACGGTGAACTATACCCGCCCGGGCGCCGCATCTCCCATGACCCTAACCTGGAACTCACCCATCCACATCGTAACCTACTTTCGCTACCTCCGCTTCCTGCGCGACGGGACGTGCATATCCCTCCTGACCACCTCAGAACCCGCCGACGTGGTTCCCTACCTCTACGTAGAGCACATGCACAAGAACCACCACAGTCTCCCTTCGGCCCCGATGAAAGACGCGCTGCTTGGCCGGTGGAGGTTGACAGGCCCAGAAGTGCCCGGGGTGGAAGGTGTTGAGAAGGAGGGCACGCTGGAGATTGAGACAGCAGGCGCGACGCCCAAGTACACGTATAAGATGTACCTTGGCGTAGGCAGCGCGGGACGTGCGACTAAAAACAATAAACTTGTCTGGCAGGGCTATTGGAGCTATAATCGGTTAACGGATGACTGGGCTGAGTTTGGTTTGAAGAACGACAGGCCCTTTTATTGGAGTAGAGTGAAGAGTTACGGGATGAGCTGGGAAGAGAGCGGGATGAAAGCATGAGGCTATAAAGGTCGTGGTCTAGTCGAGGACAAATGAGAAATGGGACTCAGGTCATCGTCATCGTTGTCACCATCTTATCTGGCATTCGTGATTCACTATTGTCATTATCGTACTGTGCAGCTTTTCGCTGTCGCACAGCTACGTTTGTGGTATCCCTACATCCACTCCACATATCACACCCTTCTCTATCTCCTAGGCATGCCTCTGCCACGACCCCGTCCACCAAGCGCCCTTTGCGCCGCGCCTGGCGGTAAAGGCTGGTTCGGGGCATTCGGCTGTTGCGATTCTTGATTCCCTGCAGCTTTGTTAGCCTCATGAGCTTATCTTGGGAATTGAGCAACTTACTAATGGTCTCGTCTACACTCAAGATTAGGCACGCTGCTTCGGTGGCAGCCTGCAGAGCGTTGATCTTGACCAGGCTAGGTTCCCAAACGAACTTTTCCATGTTGTTCGCAATGCCCTCATCCACGAAGTCGACACCGGCCCAAATGTTGCCCTTCTTGTGTTCGACTCGTAGGCGGTTGAGGATGTCCGTTGCGTCGATGCCAGCGTTGTCGCAAAGTTGCCTTGGGATAACTTCGAGAGCTTTGGCAAAGGCCTTGATAATAGGCTGCTGCTTGTTCCGTACATCCTTATCGGCAAAGGCGTGTAGGTAGGCCGAGACTTCCATCTCGCAAGCTCCTCCTCCTGCTACGATGTTCCTGTTTTGGATTGCACGCTTGACAATCATGATCGCGTCGTGCAGACTTCGCTCAACCTCGGCGATGAACTGCTCAGCACCACCACGGAGTACAAGGGTGCAGGTCTTCGCTTCGGGGCAGCCCTCGAAGAAGTTGAATCGCTCGCCGCCGATTTGTCGCTCGTCAAACCTCTGGCAGGTACCTAGGTGCTTGGCTTGGATGTCAGAGCAGGTGGACTGGATGCTCGCGCCTGTTGCCCGGCACACGCGGTCGAGGTCGTCTGATGCTACACGCCCAGCGCAGAAAACGTCTCGGTCGGCAAAGTACTGTGTCGCCAAATCGCCAATAGGAAGTTTGCTGAGCACCACCTTTGCACCTGTCTTGTACAGCGCCTCCATCTTGTTGAAGATGATCTGCCACTCTGCGTCCACAATAGCCTGGTATTCTGATACCTGTTCCACGCGGACCTCTGCATTATCCTTTTCGCTCTTAAGCTCCAGCTCGACGTTCAGGCACACGATCTTGGGGTTCGTAAAGGCCTTGGGCTGCTGCTCGAAACCGGCATATGAGAACGTCTTCTTGAACGCCACGCCGTTCACAAAAAGCGAATCCTGTAGTGCACCGCCTGTAATTTTCTTGACACCGATGAGCCTTTCATTGAGGTCGTCCTGGTCGAGGGAGAGCACAGCGTCCACGACCATCTTGGTGAAGAAAGCAGAATTGCGATGTATTAGCTTGCTGCTCATGGCTGTGGCAGCGAGCTTCTGAAGCGTATCCCGCTTGTTGCCCTCGGCGGTATCGACTGCGATCTCCATCACCTTGTTGACTGCAATGTTGGAAGCTCTCCGCAGGCCTTTGATGATGGTTTGGCTGCTCACACCCTGCTCAACATAGTCCTTGATCTCTTTCAAGATCTCACCGGCTAGGACCACAACCGAAGTGGTGCCGTCGCCCACCTCGGAATCTTGCGAGCGCGCAATATCGGTGAGAATGCGGGCAGCCGGGTGCACGATATCGAGGAGTTTCATTACTGTGGCGCCATCGTTCGTGATGGTCTGGCGGCCGTTCTCGTCGACCATCAACAAATCACCGCCATAAGGACCCAGAGTTCCCTTGATGGTCGACTGTACGGCGAGACATGCGTTGATGTTGGAGATAATTTGCCCGCGTCCCTGAGACTGGTCGGTGCCTGACGCATTTAGCTTGCTGTTTGGAGGTTGACAGAGCTCCGCAACCCACCTTCCCGGAGCACCACAATAGTGGGCGTCTGTCCGCCGAACGACATGATGGATGCGGCGTATCGATGCAGGAAGTTGCTCCAGAAACAATGCGCACGAAAAGAGCAGAACTAAAAGCTTGAATGTAGCAGCTGATTGTTGGCGGGAAGTCGACTCGTTCCCCCGCAGGCACCACCAAGCGCGTTGCAAAAAGTGCAGAAGGCGCGACCGACGGGTCTGGGGTTTTTCCGGGCGCCGCGCCCGATTCAGTAGGGGCGATGGCCCTGGGGTGCGCCTAACCACGTTCCACCGCCCTTCCATACATGAGCCGCCCGCCTGTGGTTGTTGCGTGTCTGTCTGCATTCTCACTCTCCTTGACGGTCCCGCGCATAGTTAGTCTTCTCACCCCCAAGCTTGTTCCGAGCTCTGTCTGGAGATACCGCAGGCGAGCGGGTGCTCAGTCTGTCTCGTGACCACTCTAGCGCACCGGCACTTCTGGCGCCTCGTCCCGTCTTGCTGCCCTCGTTCCCGTCATAACTTGCTGTATCTACTCCTGCATTTGTATTTCAGTTGAGCCGTCTCAGCATGCCAGCCAAGACGTTCTCTAAAAAGGTGAGCACGCTGCCCATGGCCTCACCCAAACCCCACTCCGTATTGCTAGCTTACACCCACACTGGTCAAGCCAGCAATCAATGACATCTACTTGTCCAGATTAGATGGCTCTAAGGATTCAGTTGCGAAACAAGCTTCGATCCCAGAAACAATAACTGCTTTGGACAACTACCCGCCTCTACTGCGCATCCCCTCAGAGATTCGAAGAGAGATATTCCGCCTTGTGCTCCCTTCCTCCACCCAAAGATTCACCCTTTACACCGATTGCGACTCAACCGCTATCAGCAAGAAATGGAACCGCAAATGCAGGCCACATCCCGACAAGCTCACACTCGATATTTTGAGGACAAATCGCCTTATCTACCATGAATGTTTGTCCATACTGTACTCAGAGAACCTGTTCCACTTCTACGCCTTTAATTATCTACCTGTTTTGGACTTCATACGACACCTGAGTCCCGAAGCCAAGAGCCTAGTTCGGAAGGTCCGCCTCACGCCTCTGACAGAAAATGGCGAGGAAGAGCCGGCAAACCACAACGCATTTTGCACCGTTGTTCACGATAGCCTTCCAGGCCTCAGCGAGCTACAAGCCGATCCCCTAGTGTTTTTTTGAACTCACACTTGGGGCCGCCAAGAAGATGCGCGCCGCGGAGTTGGGGCCAGCAAGCATGTCCCAGTCGCTTAATCGACTGGCTTGCATAACCAGCAATTTTAACCCGGGGTCTTTCGAACATCGCAGCATCAACTATGACCGAGTGCAAGGGCGAAGTCGTCAAGTTTCTTAATTAATAGATTCCGTCTTTAGAAGAGAAGAGCACGGGTATGGAACTCAAGAGCTATACTCGACCATGCATCTAGCCCGGATCGGCCATGAAGGCGAACCCTGTCCGTGATCGGCAAAGGAGCATGGTTGTCCGGCCATGCTGTCGACATACGTATTTTAACGATCATGTTTTCGCCACTCCCTTTAGAATGCCGTCGGGGATATCGCTGGCGATGCTGGCGAAAAACCATTGACCTTCTAGAAGCAGTCGTCCGCTAGGATCACACATATGTAGCGACACGCTAGGTATCCATGCATGAGCCTCACAGGCGACGCAATCCTATCAGCTGTTCTTGCGAATCATCATTGCATATATACCTCATGCAACATGCAGTCAGCGCGCGTCCTTCATTCAGTTTTATTCCACGTGTGCTGCCACTAGCTCACGCTATTGTCCTCACAAGACCAGGAACCACTCCCTCCTCCTTCATGAATGGCCTTGCCACTTGCGTATAGGCCAATGCCGCAAACGGCTGCGCCGAATGCAACAACGAAGAGATTCAGGGCTGTCAAGGCCATCTTCTTCCAGTTTCTCGCATAGCAGCCCCAGTTGAGGAACAGCCAGAACACGCCGCTCATGCCGTATGAAAACCTGTGTGCCACCGTCAGCCTAAGCTTCAACTCAAAAGTCGGTCCCAACCCTGCACCTCACTCCAGCCACGGCCGGACCCTGTCACAGCCTGAGATCGGAAATGCAGTACGTGCTTACCACGATGCGAATAAGGCAGATATGAGTGAGAGCAGGTTGTTGAAGTTGGGTATGGATTCAGCGATGATCCATGCAATGAGCCAGAAGGTCAACGTGATCGCCGCCCAGGACCCAATCGAAAGCATTGTGCGTCGGCTCATATGCTTCGTGCCTCGAAATATGCGCACATAGACGTATTTGGATGCTACGTGACCATAAATAACGCCCGCCAGCAGGATCTATTTCATTCAGTACCCCATCAGTGTGAGAGAGGCCATAGAGAGAGCTTACCGTTGGCAGCGCGATTCCATATGCGACCTTCATTACGACGTTACTTGCACTCCCGAGTGCAGGGCTCGTGACATCTTGTCCAGTGAAGCGATAGATGACTGTGGCAACCACGATGTACATGGATACGTCGGTGGCTTGCAACAGGAATAGCGCTTTAGGGAACTCCCGTGGGTCGCGAAACTCGCTGATAAACGAAAAGAAAGCGACATGGCCAGCGTAGGCAAACACGATGTTTGTCACCGAGAGGAACGCCGCCGAGAATCCTATAGTGCGCGTTGCATCAAGATGCAGTTTAGGTGACGGTTGGACACCTACTGCTATCATTGTAACGATAACAGAGCCGCATATGGATATGAACGCTGCTCAGGTCAGTGTCATCTGCCACCTTGCCTTGATGTGACATTCAGATGCTTACAGCCAATACTGAGATATGACACCTTCTTGAGCGTTCTCGGCAAGGTACATATCCAGAGCACAATAAACCCGATAACTCCCCAGACGATTGAGCACGTAGCATGTCCAGTAATCGTGTTCATAGCTATTGTGAACGTGAGTATGTGGCTGCCCATGACGAATATGAGGAAGATCGTTTGCGCGGCCCCGCCAAACTCGCGACCAAACGGCCCAAGAAGCACTTCGCCCGCATCGGCCATGTTATGAACCTTCGCATTTTGTTCAGTAGTAAAATAGATCTTGTGGAACACTGGATACTTACATGGGGATACGCTGCTTTGAATTGGCCTAGAACATATCCAGTATATGTCGCCAAAGCTCCCAACCCCACAATCAAAATGATTGCAGGAGCCATTCCGATCCTCGCAAGTACTGAGGGCAGCGAAAGTATACCCAATGAGATAGTCTCCGCGATCATGACTGGAACGTCTCAGCTTCTCTAAATGCTTAGTCTAACGTTCATCAAATAGGTCTTACTCAACGCTGCTTGCCTGTTCCAGTCAGCAATTCCATCTAATTGATCAGTCTTGTCCACGGCCGAACGTACCACCATCTCAACGTTCTGTACTTTACTGCGGCGCCTTCCTCATCACCGAATGGGTCTTCCTTAGTGTTGGCTAAAGAAGCTCGCCTACTGGAGTGATCGGTGATTGGCGTCTGTTCATCGGCCTTTTCTGGGTTTCTGATTTGGCTTGCAGGACCTGGTTCGCTTTCCATTGACTCCTTGTACCAACTGCGCTCGTTCATTACATTATCTTGCGCAGCCGGCCTCATACCACGCCGAACCGGCGAGCTGTCGCGAAGGGTATGTCGCATCGTTGTTCAAGCGATTCAGAGTACTTAAATCGCGAGGACTACACATCAAAACACAGACGGCACACTTCCAGAGTATAGGATCATAATGGTTTGCGGACAGCAACGTGCTGCATCACGCTTGAGCACGTCATGGCGTGCGCCGCGCATCCCGCCTCCAGGCCATCTAACGGCGAGGAGCACAGCGCTATGGTTGACGAACTGGTACGTGATAGGACGCCAACGCAAGCTAATGGCGACCCTGCTCTACCGATATCTTTGATCCAGTATTGAATAGAGATCCGCGTACCTTGCGCCTCATGAGACTTACTTGAACCTAAGACCGTAGCCAAGCCGATTGCGATTAGTCGTTGGGTAGGGGAAAACACGAAATAGAACAGTTCTCGACCCTCTCGGCATATTATGGCGAGCACGCGATGTTCTATATCAAGGTTCCAGTCGATCGGGCCTACCTCCAAAGTTCACGAACGGTACGGATTACGTCATGTCTACATGTCCACAAATAAAGCTTGACATCAGAACAAGCACCAGATGAAATTCTCAACGATAGAGACGCAATTCAAATGGACCCATGGCTGCTCGGGTTTTTGGGAAGAACATAAGACGACATACCATGGCAGGCGTTGAAAGGCTCTATTTAGAGCAACGAATGGAGATGATGTCCATATGGCGTGTCCCCAAGGAACACACTAATCATGCCCGTTCCACTTAATTTGCCTTCGAAGAGATCGGAGGCGGAGCGCGTACAGTAATACCGGTGAATACTTGTGCACAGCTAGGCAGATCTGGATGCGCGTAGTTGGGACAAGGCAGAGCCTTGTTAGGTGGTTTTTTTCAAATCAAGGCATGTCAGTGATACAATCAGACTGGTGGGACCCGATGAGATTTTTTGAGTTTCGGTGCTAGCTACGGACCGGACCGCATATCCCAGAAATTGCAATGAACGCACGCTTTGAGACAGGGATGGTAGAGCATAGCAATGCAACCATTGACTTGCTGATAACCTGCTCGGGTTCGTTGCAGTTTCTTCCCATACAGTATCCATTACTAACTACATCGTTGCTTAACTAAGGGAGGTCACCTGCTCCAGCTTTCAAGTGATCGACGTTGATATTCTCGTTATGTTCGAGAAAAACCGTCAGCTTTCCAAAGTGGTTTAAGGTGGGAGATGACTAACCTCATTCGGTTTGGCAGGATGCGACACCAACTCAGACCACTATCTTTCGATGACAACGCCCGACGCCGACCTGCTTAAATGATCCTCCACTCCCTGATACTGGAGTCCTTCGAAACTGATCCCAACAACAACAGCCTAGGATTCTGACGCAGAAGACACAACGCAATATGTCGACGAGGAGAGAATCGTTGGGAGACGAAAAGTCGGTCAGCTGTAGTGAAGACGTCCCATTACGCGGGCGCATTGAGCACTTCACTTGGACTTGGTTCACCTTGACGATGTCGACTGGCGGAATTGCGAATCTGCTCAACGCACAACCAAATACCTTCGCTGGCCTTACAACTATCGGCAAAATCATCTTCATCGTTTTCATCGTGATGCTGGTGTTCAACTTCATGATGATAGCGACGCGATTTATCCAGAGCCCTGGAGCCCTGACAGCCTCTCTTACACACCCGACCGAAAGCCTGTTCTTCCCGTGTATGTGGCTATCACTGGCTGTTCTTCTCATGAACACACAGGCATTTGGCGTACCTTCATCCGGCCCGTGGCTCGTAACGGCATTGAAAGTGCTCTTCTGGATTTACCTCGCATGTACCTTGCTCGTGGCCATAGGGCATTATCACGTTCTGTTCACGGCAGGCAAGCATGTTTCGATCCACTCGATGACCCCGTCCTGGGTACTTCCCGTTTTTCCAGTGATGCTCTCAGGAAGCATTGCTAGCAGCATCGCCTCCTCCCAGCCATATGAGGACAGATTGCCGATTATCGTCGCGGGGGTCTCCTGCCAGGGCCTCGGATTTTTCGTCTCGCTTATAATGATGGCACTGTATCTCGGCCGGCTGATGGTCGATGGTCTGCCTGCCCCGAAACTACGACCAGGCATGTTCATGGCAGTGGGACCACCATCCTTTACATCTTTGGCCCTGATCGGCATGTCCACCAGCATCCCGCAAGGTTACGGCTACTTTGCAGAACACCCAATGGCCATGGACGTATTGCAACCTCTGGCTCTGGTCTTCGCCATCTTCTTGTGGTCGTTCGCCTTCTTCTTTTATGGTATTGCATTGGTCGCTTGTGTTCAGGGGTACAAAGACTTATATTGGAGCCTGGTGTGCTGGACTTTTGTGTTTCCCAATACTGGGTTTGCGATCGCGACCATAAAAATAGGGGATCAGCTCAACAGCGAGGGAATCAAATGGGTCGGAAGTATCATGACGATCCTATTGGTAGCCGTCTGGCTACTCAACCTGGGAATGCAGGCCCGGGCAATCTACAAAAGGACTATGCTTTGGCCTGGAAAAGACGAGGATCGCGACGAGTTGAGGGACAAAAAGGCTTGAGAAAATAGCGAATCTAGTCTTCTGAACAGATCTCAAAGCCCAAAAAATACATCAGTATTAGCACAAGGGTGTTGAATGGACCTGCAAATGAAGAAACATATCGGTACACCGCGGGACAGAGCTAGATCGAGTTCAATATTTACCGCCTGCGGTGTGCCACGGTGTTGACCACAGCATCTGAATGGCACTGTTGATCTCTAATCGACATGAACATCTGACATGACTATACCAGACAGCTGGCGATTGCTCAGTGAGAGCGAAGCCTTTACCATCGTTAGCCCATCGTCTCACGGACACAAGCCTCCCATACGTCTGCAAATACCGCATAAGATGACACCCCTAGCGATGGGTCTCTACTCTACGTGCGTTCGCTTCACATGATCTAGATTCGAGGGTCGCATCGGCCCTTCCGTTTCCTGCAGCAATGATGCTCTACGACATTCCAGCTGGACCTGATCCGAGGAAGGCAGAATTGACCAGGGGCGAGCTCATGGATAGGGCCGAGTTTGTGAGTAGCTGTCCGCATCAAGTTGTGTTATTTTCTGTCTTCTTGGAAAACACAAAACGCTTTCTTCTTTTGCGAATTCCGCTCTCCAGACCCTGTGGTCACCATCTGTGTACTGCATTGAAGAAGCACTGAACTCTGACCTGGCTTCAACGGAATGTGCCTTTGGTTTTAGAAGCCACGCAATAGCAAAGTATGCGTAAGCGGTCGGAGATGATGTGGAATTTGACGCGCCGACACGTGCACTGTGTGACCAGATGCCGCAGACACCATACTGCCCAGGTAAAGAAGTAGCAACACAGCTTTCCTCTACAGCTTTCACGCATATAATCGAGATGCAAGCGTACTCAGACATGAAAGAAGTAACAATCGTGACGACACAGCATGCCCCAGGTCGCTGAGCATGCGGACTGGAAGAGTCGGCCCAGAGGTGGAGCCATGGAATCGCGGCAACATAATACGGAATGACGGCGAGATGTTTGTTTGCAGGTGAGACAAGGCGCGGGTCAATGCCCAGATGCCCAGCCGTGCGCGTCTCCTCCACGGGGCATAGCGCGCTTGCGGGGTGGCTGCCCCACAAACCATCTCGACTCGTAGTCCAGCACTACTTTCACAGCGTGCTCTCAATTATACGATACCTTTACTTATGTGCGCATCCTCCTGCTTCATTGCGCGGTGTGGTGGTATCGTGACTGATCCTCTTGGCTGTGCGCAGTGGAGCACGTGGGCTACTCAACAAAAAGCGGTGCGGTGGATCGGAGACAAGAGCGACATTTCCCAGCGAGTCAATTCCGGCAGACTTTGACGCGCGAGTCCACAGGCTCAACCCTCCAGCAACAGTGACTCCAACTCTCTGGCCAGTACTGCGCACCTCGAGGAAGAAGGCGCTCTGACGTCTACCTGGACACGGCTTTTGTCCCTTTGTGTTCCCGTGTTACGGTGCCGTGCTATATCGCGTATAGGCACGTTGGCGCCGGCGACCTGGTTGCACAGCAGCATGCACACAACCGGCGCCGCTGGCAGTATATTAACCGCAGCCTGGGCCTCTGATCTGATTGCAGTCATCTGGATAAAGGTCAGATAACGCCCTCCATCTAGCCGACGCAGCCTTCACAGTCACTTTGCTTTCTTTTCCAAAAGCGAGCGATGTCTGCTCATCGTGTGTTCCAGGCATGCCGGCTCTTTGGTCAGTTTTCTACATAGAACATCAGTGCCATGGACAAGTGCCGCACAATGGTAGAACAACCCGCGGCGACTTCCCCGTTCCGCTCTGCCAAGCACATGGCGCCCACGCAAACCTCTAGGTGCTCCGCTCCACCCTTGTAGCCAAGTCCAGACCCCGCATCAAACATGCATCCAGAGGACACCGTTGGACCGGTGCACATGGCCTTCGCTCGCTATGTGGATTCGGTAAAAATTGATACGCCGCATTGCAGTCCCAAGAGGGCAAGGCCCGCCGGACGGCGAATCGCGGTGCGTTTAAAGTTGCCTCAAGTCCGAGGCAAGACCCTTTTTGTCCCTGTGGCTGGCTTCTGTACAACTGCCGACTTTGACAACCAGAGCTCTTGTACGCCATCCGAAGCACACCTGGGCAGAGACACGGACGCACCGTCTGTGTATATGTGGAGAACTTTCCCCGGATCTTCTCCCCACACTCACTCTTCGAGCGCACAGAGAATTTTCACCGAAGTCTCTGCCATCGATTAGGATAGCAGTCTTCGTTGTGCACCCAGGATGGCGACTGTAGAACCAGTGTACGGTTTCAACAAGACCAGTGGGAACGCTGAAAAGGACAACGCTGGAGCTGAAAAGATTCTCTGTACGAACATCACCCATCCATCAATACGCATGCTCATTGCAGTACAGATAATGAGCAAACCACGTCCAGTCTCGGCAGCGATTCCGGCGACGGTTTCACCTGGACTGAAGAGGAGGAGAAGGCTGTTCGTTGGAAGCTAGACAAGGTCATCGTACCATTGACGACCTTTTTGTACATGCTCTGTTTCCTGGATCGGTAAGTCCAAGGCTCGATCCGGACTTCGGTTGCTGCATTCTCGCTACTCTAAGCCCGCACGGTTGCGTGCTGTTTTCGGAGCTCAACCTTCTAATGTTACGCGGCACACCAATACCGTTGATTTGTTTGGTGAAGTATTCAACGTGCTAACTGAAGGCAGTGCAAACGTCGGGAATGCGCGCATTCAGGGTATGGGAGATGATCTCAAATTGGTTGGTGTCCGATTCAATTGGGTCACCTCCATTTTCTATATCATCTACATCTTTGTAGAAGTGCCCAGCAACATCCTATTGAAGATCGTCGGACCAAAGTACTACCTGCCGCTACTGGTGTGTGGCTTCGGCCTCGTTTCCCTGTGCTCCGCTTTCGTCCACAGCTTCGAAGGGCTGCTAGTTGCTCGCGCTTTCCTCGGAGTATTCGAAGGAGGTGTAATGCCGTAAGTTGGTCCCAGACTTCTCAGTGCTTGGTCCCAACTGAACACTAATTAGTGGTATTGCCTTCTTCATTACGTGCTTCTACAAACGAGAAGAACTATTGCTACGTGTTGGTATCTATGTCTCGGCGGCTTCCATGGCTGGTGCTTTCGGTGGTCTCCTCGCTACCGGGTAAGATACCATTCAGCTCCGATAACTCATCACATACTGATCAGGTCTTAGTCTTGCGCGAATCCCGCCGTGGGGTGCTTCGGGGATGATCATCCACGATTGGCGAAATGTACGAACCCCAGGGAACAAGTTGGTTATTTTCTGCTGCGGTTACCGTCTGAACATATCAGATTTTAGTAACAAGCTGAAGCTTAACCACTTCTTTCCGCCTAGGAACCTTGGTTTTTGATCAATTTGCTAACCTTGTACTCTAAACTTTAGATCTTTTTCTTCGAGGGTCTGGTCACGGTTCTTGTCGGCCTGGGCTCGCCATATTTCATGCCAAAAAGCCCTCAAGAATGCTGGTTTTTGAACGAGCGCGAGCGCCGAATCGCATCACAAAGACTGATCATGAAGAACGCTGGCGATGAGAATGAGAAGGTTTCGCCCCACCACGTTACTAGGGCGTTCTTGAACATCAACAACTACATCTGTGCCTTCGGATTCTTCTTCATCAATATCACGGTTCAGGGTATCTCGCTATTCCTGGTAGGCCACCATGAATATGTTATGAATTGAAGCCGCGCTAACAAATCCAGCCCACGATTTTGAGAGACCTTGGCTGGACTAGAACACAGGCTCAACTATACTCGGTTCCTCCCTATGTATGCGCTTGTGTTGTTGCGATCGCGGTCGCGTTCTTTTCGGACAGGGTGAACCGCCGCGGAATTTTCCTCGCAGCGTTCACACTTCTTGGCATAACTGGATTCGCGATCTTACGATGGTCGACTAACGCTAACATTCGCTACATGGGCGTATTCTTCATTACGCTTGGGGCGTTCCCGGGTGGCCCGGGATTTTTGTCGTGGGCGATGAACAACGCATCTGGTCCGGCCGTTCGGGCTGTATCTGGTGCTTATGTGGTTACTTTGGGAACTGCTGGAGGTGTTCTCGCTACATGGTAAGCTGAAACAACTGATCAACAAACGGCAACGGCTCATAACTTCTTTCAGGGCGTACGTCGCAAGCGACGGGCCGGAATACCACACCGGACATACCATCAATCTCGCTGGTCAAATTGCTGTCTTGGTCCTGTCCCTCGCCGGTATCGCTTACTGCAAGTGGGAGAACAGGCAACGTGACTTGGGCAAGCGCGATCATCGTCTAAATGGCCTTAGCGAGGCTCAGATCAAGGATCTTGGGTACCGACACCCAGCTTTCCGCTACATCACTTGATGGAAAAGATGGATAGGGCAGTTTATGTAGAAGGCCAATTTCTCAACATACGATGATGATGAAAAGCCACACACTACACCGTAGAATCATTCAACATATGTTTCACTTCAATGCTTACATCAAGCACCAAGACATCATTGCTCTTCCCACACTGTCTCATTCATCAATCGCCAGGGTGATTACCAGGTCCGTGAATGAGATCTGACGGGCACTAAAACATATATACGAACTGCGCATCATATGTGCATACAAGCGTTTTTCTATCGAACTCCACTATGTCACCACCCTCACAGCAGTAAACAAGTGTATCAAAGATGTTCACACTGCACAGCTACATACTTCCGTGCGGGCATATGAAGTACTCGCATATTTGCCCCTGTCAGGACAATTTCGCACTTCCGACCATCGAAGATCTGGAAGTTGAGTGGAATGCGACTTGCATTTCTTGCACTGACCCAGCGATACAAGCCGAGATAGGGAGGCTTGATAAGACATCACCACGGTGTTCGATACTGCAGCCGCCCCAACAAGGTAGTCCCCGGTCTATGCCAGAGGTCTTGAGTTGCCCCAATGAGGACAAATATGTGGAGCAACATAAAATTGGCTTCGGTCTGCATGAGCAAGGACCTACACAGAATCAAGCGGGGGAACACACAGAGACGGACATGGGGTCGTTGAGGAGACAAGGCTTTGACGACGAGTGGATGGAGTGGGTAGTCGAGTGCAAGGAGGCGGGGATGGATCTAGAGCTCCTCCTGATGCGGGGCCAAGATGACGAAGCAACCGGATCAGAAGAAGAGGATTGTCAATCGCACCGTTGTTGAGGGAGATGAATGTGGTACTGGTGATAGTGGTCAAAAGGATGTAGTACGTGATCATGTTGAGTGATATCTCGTTGTGTTTTGTGTAGCAAGCATCAAGGAATGCAGAGAGCGAACACGCTACGAATAAGGTCTACCTCTGTTAAGCATGGAGCACATGGTGCACACCCACATAGGCAGAACGACTTTTTCTGACCTTACAGCAAGCCACCCAGAACTCTGTACCCGTTGGAACTCGATTGGTGCTCAATTTGTTCGCTACCTACCCAAAAATATTACCTCCCTCCCACGCACATCGCGCTCTTCGCCCATTCCATCCCCACCTTCTTTCCTTTCATCGATTCTGCAACATGATTTACCACCACATGCTCCACGGATTACTAGTTCGATCCATAACTAGTTGACTCATTGATGCTCGGCTGTGTTCTTGTCGACGATACATGTTTCGAGTGGTACCGGCATTGCTGTCGACGCAATCCCAGTCGTACTGGAAGGCCACGAGGATGAACGGTCGGATGAGGTGGGTATGCTAGACATTTTGATTTTGCTTGTGGTATACAGGGGCCATATGTATGTATTCCCTACTTCCGTTGTCGAGAATCAGTAGTACTTACCTGGATTGCAAGAATCGTAGAGAGTGTTCTCCTGGTTTAGAAGCCATGAAGCACTCACTGAGAAGCTAGACAGCCATGGTTCGATTCATTGGCCAATCACACGAACAAAGAAGTGGCTGATATGTTATGAAACACAAATCCAGAAAAGTAAACTATTTGTACGAGTGATCTCATGAACCCTTGCATAGTCGCCTATCTACAAGTGCGTGTCGTCCAAACCTTTTCAGTACTCTCATCACACGAAGAATTATGTCACAGCATCGAAACTACACAATAGAACATAAACTGCTGGTAGTATGCAAGGAGCGTTTTCTCTGCGTGATCCCCAGAGCGTAGCACAGCACAGTGTATAAGTATTGCGTACCACTGGTACCGTTTGTAATACCTTGCATTGAATTTCAACTTCTTCAGTATTACGCGCAGTCCTGGCCTCTTAAGGCAGATAACGATACGTGACCAAGCCCGTAACCAGTTGTCTGAACACCATACACAGTGCTTACTTCGAATGTGGCCACTTCGGACTTTCAGGAACTGCCACGCTTGGTGACGGTAACACACTTGGTGACATTGTTTTTAACGCGCGGAACGACACGGTGCAGATCAAGAGCCCTAGAAATACTGAATACAACATCACAGCAATGAAAGAGGAATGCAGATATAGCAGGGGACGGGGTAACGCCGAGACTGGCTGTGGGAGCGTCGGATCAAGCGAAGGATCGAACATCGGGTCGAGTAATATGCAAGTTACCGCACGAGTGATGAGATTAAGGGGGACACGAAGCCCATAGCTGTGGGTGATAAGACTGGAACTGGCTCAATAGCGGGGAACATGGTTCGTACAGATAATTGAACCTGGGAAATGAGGTTGAGTCGGTCCGACCAACAATGCGCCACAGCAGCAGTCTTGGATGGGGGAGCAAATTATGATCATATAATGGATATTATATGGTGGATATCATTCGATATAATAATTCGAAGTGAAACGACAGGTTCGCAGTGTTGTCCTGCGTATAGACGGGTATAAAAAGTTGTGTACAAGAAACGGATCGGATCATTCACCCCCGCCACTCTTCATCCAGACCCACATTAAGTAGACAGTCATACTTGTGTCGCAAGATGTACACAAGAAAAAGAATTCCAGAACGCCCTGTAAATGCTATACTCTGAGAGATCCCCTCATATAGGTTAAGCAGCCTGCGTCCAGAGCACAGTCTGGTTCAGGTTCAAGTCGCACTCGTGCGGATGCTGAAGGCAGAACTTGGGCATCAATGGCGCAGCCTGGACGCCGCTGGCAACAAGGTACTCGCGGAAGTTCAAGATACGCTGCGTAAGCTCCGTAGTACGTTTGTTGCCATCCTTGTCGCGGTTGCCGGACCACACGAGTTCAGCTAGCGCAGCAGCGCGCGGCCACATCTTGGGACTAATGACTACGTCGTCAACTTGCTCTGACCAAAGCGGGGCGATGGAGCCAACAACAAGCTTCTTTTGCTCATCAGACAGGCCTTCCGTGAAGTCGTAGTCATAGATTCGCTGCCATGTTTTATAGGGAGCGCACCAGGAGCCACCATTCCCACCATAGTTGAAGTTGGGAGAGCCGTCCGTTGCGTCGGGGTTCACTTGAACGTCGTAGCGCTGGTCGTTGCCGACCCAGCCGCCATAGCCACAGTCGAGGTACATGAAGTCGGATGAAGAGACAATGACGCGGTGGCCCAAAGCTGTGGCATTGTTGATGTTGGTAATGCCGTTGTTCCACGCCTGGATGATAACGTCCTTGGGCACTTCTCCGGTGGCAGCAGCGTCGGCAGAAAGGAGGACATCGTCCCACATGATGAAGGTCTTGTTCGCTTGCTTCTTAAAGTTAGGGAGGGCCCTGTCCACCCAGACCTGGAAAAGGTCGCCCATGGTGTGGTTCTGCGCAAAGAAGTCACGAGCGAGACTGCTGAAGTTGTAGCAGTTCATGTGCAGCTCGTCACCGCCAATATGGAACCAATTGTCGGGAAAGAGCTCAGCAAGCTCTTTGTAGACCTTGCCGGTAACCTCATAAGTCTTGTTATTGAGAATGTCGAGCTGACCAGGATTAGGCTCGACGGCGGTGTGCGTCGGCCAATTGTCGTTACTCCACCAGGAGTTGATGCAAGCCAACATGCCCTCGTCCACCTGCTTCCAGCCTGAGCTGGCGTGGCCAGGCATGTCGATTTCTGGCACAATGCGAACACCACGGGCCGCTGCGTACTCGATGATGCTCTTGAGGCAGTCCTTGGTGTAGACCTCGTTGGCCGAGTAGGCGTCTTCGATCATATCGGGGTAGATATCAAGCTCCACGGGCCAGGATTGGGCATCAACCATGTGCCAGTGAAGCACATTGAGCTTTGAAAGAGACATGCCGTCGATTTGCTCAAGGATCTTTTTCTTGGACAGATAGTTGCGACCAGAGTCGATCATGATTCCGCGGACAGGGTAAAGAGGGGCATCTTTGATGGAAACGGGAGCCTCGACGATGAGCTGGCCGCTGCCATCGTTGATGACGATCTGCTGAAGTGTAGTGAAGGCATGGAGGGCACCGTACACGGTCTCAGCGGTGATATCGATGGAGTTGGAACCCTTGACAATCTCCAGCGTGTAAGACTCATCTACGCCGTGCTGAAGAGGAGCACTTGTATCCTTGACCTGGCAGTTGACTGACAAGAGCGTTCCCGTCGAGTTGGTGCCTGTGTTGTATTGTCGTTTCCTGATCTTCCTCTTGGCAGCAGCGGAAGCGGTCGGGAACGGCTCAAAGCTGCGAACTGGTGCTTCTGTCGCCTGGGGTATCCATTTCAGGTCTGTGATAGCCTTGACCGCACGGTCGAACCCATCTTGAACGATCTGCGAGTCCACACCGCCAAGTGTTAGTGACCCGACCGCAAAAGGGCTTTCAGAACCCCATGTGATTTCCGTGGGCTTCGGCAGCGGGTTAGCAGCAACAGCCTCCGCGCTTCCGGCGAGGAGGGCCGTGGCCAGCGAGGCCAGGATGAAGTCGCGCATCGCGTTGTATTAGCCTAGTTGAATGCGTAGTAAACAAAGAAATGCGGTGCTAAGGAGCGTTGTAGATTAAGTAGTCGATGGAAGTGGGCAGAGGAACCTGGGGAAAGGAGAGAGATATATAAGGATAGACGTTAGGGCATCCGAACTGGGCAGTGAAGTGCACAATGCAGCTATGATTGGTGGTGACGGGGGTGTTCCATGAACAGGGCGGCGACATTGGCCACGGACCCCCGACTAGGGACTCAGCATCCAAGGTGCCCGCAAGCCAGGAACAACGCGCGTGCTCCCACTGCAACCGTCCGTGCCACTCAGCACGCCGCCGCTGCGCTGGCCAAAACCGTGGCGTTGAAGATGCAACACCCCGCTCTTCACACAGCTCGTATCGCGAAAACGCGGATGCCACAGTCACGCCGACGGCCGGCGCGTGGACATCTCGCAACCACCAGCTCTACGCTGCTATCGAAGTCCATGTTGACCTCCTCGATTCGGCTTCGTCCCGCCCGGCGGCAGATCACCCCGTCTGATACCCTGGCGTTAGTGCGAGACTTTGGCACTAAGACAAACGGCTGTCACCTTGGAGCCCATGTTTTGTGCAACCTCGCATCTCGCAAAGGCGCCGCTGGGCCCACACCCAAGCAGCAGCTGCAGGGAGCCATGATGGCGAAGTGAGGACTGCGGCTGCGCCTGGTCATCGCACTTTGTGACTGTTGACAGAATTGCCTTTGAGACTTCGAGGAATGGTGCCGTGTGGGGATTCCGGTCTTGGGGACGTTACGGTCCTCTCTCCGCCGACGGAGTGGAAGCTAGCTAGCTGTGACGTTCGTGCAGCAACTTGCATTCTGCTGACGCTCTGCAATGCTCCCTTCCGTGGTGTTATTTGCTCCCAGTGCTACATAACGCACGGGATCACCCTGGCTACATGCAGGCGCAGAGTGAGATGGGATAGAGATCGCTGGTGCAGGAACTGCAGCGCCCCGCCTACACCCCTGCGGTTCTAATCTTACCACCATCCACGCCTCAATGCGCCCTTTAAGAACAGCTCCATGCACGCTGATCACCCTTACCCATCCTCTTGGAAGGTAGACCGGAAATGGAAACGAACATGGGGCGACCCACACGTTCCAGGGAGGTGCCGACAAGTCTCTGATTTCCCCGACCCGAAGGATCAAAGGAGCAAATGAGTAAAGGAAAACTTGCGTACGGGAATGCCCTTTGGAGACATGGACACCTTGAAGATGACGGGCCGATATGTTTCAGGTATACATGCTGGCTGATGATGTGCCGACGGATATTCCCCGATCAGCAGCGCCAGAGGCACAGGTATGGGGCGGAGCCGGCGTCGGACAAGTACAGATATTATCTACACGGTACAATCCCGCATAAGCGCGCACATGGTCACAGACAAGCATTCGTGATCACTAGAGTAGGAGAACAATACGAGAACATCGACATTGCAGACGCGCAGTGCGAGAGTGCAACAGACCTCCAATGTCCTATGCGTCGTGTGCAACGCCCTGCTCAGTGCTGGAGTCGCTGCGAGCATCCGCCTCGCCTTTTGCGTGAGGTGCTTGGTGCGTTGTGCCATCGGTAGCATTTGAGCGCGCCGCGCCCCGGATGCTGTGCCAGTCGGGCGCAGGCACGCTGAGCAGACGACAGATGTCCTTCCTCCTCTGCCTGAAATCCTCGTACAGATGCTTCCAGATGACCCTTTCCAAACACGTCCCTTCATGGCTGCCCCCACAGTCAGGCTGCACCTCGGCCAGCCCTTCGGATGGCCACATGATCCAGGGCTTGGGCAGCGGCCAGTCGCTGAAGTGTACGAGTTTTGCCTCCTTGAAGACCTTCTCGGGATCCCACGCCTCGAATGTATTTCCCAAATACGCCGAATGATTGCTTCGCCGGAACTCTCCCGTCAGCAGGGCGTACGGCCGATGCGGCAAAACCATTGCGCTGTGCTCGAAGCGATCGTTGACTAGCTCCATGTCAAACTTGTGCGCGTTGACAAGCGCAGGATTGCCGCCTCCATATATGACCTGCTTGAACCGCTGGAACTCGTCCAAGTCCGGCTTTATGACCATGAGAAGGGATGTGAGCGGCTGTGGGAGCGTCTCGTACCAGTACGCGCGAGGCATGGCAATCGGTGTGGGTGGAAGCGCAAAGAGCTCATCGAGCGAGGACAGCAATGTGATGTCTGAGTCGAGCGCAATGACGCGCTCATAGGACGCGAGGGAAAATGCCATAAACTTCGTGACCGATTTGTCCCAGGTACCCGTCCACTCGTCTGTAAGGCGCAACTGTCATTTCTCTGTCTGGAAAGCGTGATGCAAGGGAGGCGGGTGTCCGTGTGACGTACCTGTAGTCCGACCCTCAACGCTCAGTAACGTCGTCGGGTGCAGCTTTACTTTGTATTCGTCCCGTGCCATAACCAGCAGCTGGCTGTCCCGATCTTTCGAATCGGATATCACAAGGTCCCAGCTGGCTTGCATCAGATCTTGCTCTGCACCACGAATACCACAATACGTACTGTTTGGGGTAGAACAACACACGATCTGCTTTGCTACCATATCTAGCCAGCGCGTCCAGCAGTAGCAGCGCATGGCACAAGGTTGCGCTATCCGTCGCGTACAGGCTGTATGCGTGCTTCGATCCCTTTGTCTTGGTTGTACTGCTATCGTCGTACGAAGGTCGGCGTGGGTACAGTATCCAACATGCCAGGAGGAAGATGCCAATGTATATCCAAGAGCGGCGTCGCCATCGGAATGCCCGTGGCTCCACCTCCCTCACAAACTGCGGGAGCTCATCCGAGCGCCGTCGACGCATTCTATATCTGTAGGGAAAACACTAGCCCGCATGGCGGATGCATACTGAGACGTGAAGTCGGCGGAGCGCTCGGAGATGCACTGCGTTGCTCTGGCCAAAGCTTACACGTGACTTCGGCACATTAGAAAGCCGACGCCTCAGTGCTCGTCAGTATGATGTTTCTTTCACAAAGTCGGCGAACAGGTCTCTTGTGTATCAGCTCCAGCATTGAGGATATTAGCCGGCACATGAGAACTTGTACGTCACTTGGTTTCAGGAGAGGTGTTGTACATGAAGGGGTATCACGGCTTGCATTGCCATTGCCTCTACCAATATATATGGTGGTACGCGGTATCGTTGCTCCAAAAGCTGCATCTAAGGTACATGTAATCCAGTGTTCACTTTTGCATTCGACACCGGGACCGCCTGAGCTGTGCAGCAACGCCCTCTTGAGATATTACTCCCATTCAGAGCGGTTCATCCTCATTCAAGCTACGTAGAGCCCTTGAGCCTTGGTCATTCCATCATTACTCCGTGCCATGTTGCGCAAATTTACTCGTCGTCAGGGATCTCGATCTCGCCAGACTCGATGTCATCAGAGACGTCCTTGGGGCTGCGACCATCGACCTGGCAGCCGGTGCTGAAAGCAGTGCCGAGAATCTCCTTGACGGTACCCTTCAGATCCTTGGCCATGGACTTGAAGCGCATGGTCTTAGCGATGGCAATGATCTCATCGAGAGGGATGCTCTTGGTGTGCTTGATGTTCTTCTCCTTCTTCCTGTCACGCGGGGGCTCCTTGAGGGCCTTGATGACGAGCGACGAGGCGGAGGGAACGACGGAGACCTGGGCTTGACGGTTCTGGATGGTCAACTTGACCGTGACGCGGAGACCCTTCCAATCGCCAGTGGCCTTGGCGATATCTTCACCGACCTCTGCGCGATGTTAGCCCTGTTCGCTGTCGCGCAGTCTTCCGCAGGTATCGCCGGCACGTACTCTTGGGCGAAAGACCGAGGGGACCGATCTTAGGGGCGAGCGCGGAGGAGGCACCGACTTCACCACCAGTGGCGCGCAGGTGGATGACCTTGACCTCGGAGGGATCGAATTTGGGAGCTGCATATGTTTAGCCTGGCTGTGGCAGCCGATCAGAGGGACGATACTCACGCATGGCTAGTGCGGGAGGTAGTCTGTCTCGACTGATCCGGTTTCTTGAAGGGAGGGTGAGGTTGAGGAAAAAAGTTCGAGGCACAGGGCGAGATGTGATTTTGGAGGGGCTGCGTGGGTGGGTCATCTAAGCGAACCGCCTTCCCCGTTCGGGTCAAGCCTCGGTCGTCGGTCTTTCTACGGTGTCATTCTACTCCTCTCCAGCGGTGAAATGCAGGAAGTGACTACGCTTGCATCAAGGCGTATGTGTAGAGCAGGCCGACCAAAGCCTTGTGTTCGAGCTGTCGATCCACCTGTACGACTTCGTGAATGGCAGCAATTCGATATAGGTATTCAAATGAAGGCCCATTGCACCCTACGTCTAGAATCTGGTGTCAATGGCTGTGCCCCCAAGGTTGCACCTTTTCAAAGGCTATCTACTCAAAGGTAAGATGCCTGAATAGCGCTCGATGAACCCAACTCTTGCAAAAGCGAACGCGGTAAATATATCGCGCCGACACAGTCATTCGGCTGTGCCACCTTCATCCTAGCATTGCGAGTCTGTCGTCTACTGCATGTGGAGACGTAGCCTCATATATCTCACAAATTCCTGTCAGAGCTTTTGACCCCTCGAAGGCATCTTATCGCGACCGGGTCGAACGAGTCATCTTTTCGTACAGGCACCTGGGCCTACAAAAGATGTTTTACCATTCAAAGCAGAGAAACGCATGTGCAGGTAGCCACGGAGCCATCAGATACTAGAAAAGGAGTTTTACTTCCAGCTTACCGCTCAAGTACGCCAGAAAAAGGTACATCCCTGTAAAGTCTTCGATGTTATTGCTATTACTAATTATGCGCTAGTCACTATGGCTCCCGATCTTTTTTCAAGTCTGCATCAATTACAGACTTCATCAATTCGGGTGATGCGAGTATTAGTCAGGAAGTTACATCGGACTCCGCCATTTCCACGTTCCATTTGGTGGCGAGCCTTTGAAAGGACTTGACGGTTATCTTGCAATTCTCGACATGATGCGCGGTGCCTTCCCCGACATCCACTGAATGTTGCAAGAAACTGTGTGCGAAGGCGAGAACACATTCACACGATTCAAAACTCACGGCACGCACCGTGGTCCTTTTCTGAACTTTCCCGCCTCTGAAATAGCAATTAAGAGAAGACTAGTAGTTTATATATAGATAAGTAGCTTTAATACTATAACGAACTTCGTGATCTACTCGTTACACTTGGGTAGTGTTTCGTTATAAGTAGCCTACGAACCTGTAACGGGGGTCGCTTGGCTTTGGGCTAAGCTAACCTCGAATGGGGTTCTGGTGGGAAATGAGGGCTTCAGGAAGCGGTATAGTCGCGTTAAGTTGATGCGTCAATCAACTACGGTGAGGTTGTGTTGCCAAAACGTCACGAGTAATCTTTCCTGTAAGGAAACTGGATGCAATAACTGTATCGTGGATTGACGATGATGGATTACCGTGGGAATCCGTCATCTCTATATACTGCTATCGGACCTGGCTCTGTAGGCTCTGCCTCGCAGAGCCCGCAGAGCCGTCACGTGACCTTGTCACGTGCCCTGATGCTTACGTGTCCATGTTGTGGTAAGCATCGTCGCCATAAGCGATGTTGCCCGGGTCGGAACCCCAGTCACCGTCATCGCTATCATCGTAATTACCCTGCAGGTCATTCTGTTGCGGCGTAGCCGTAATAGAACCTATTAGATCCTAAGATCTTAATAGATAACTAGTATATAGTTAAGGATATTCTCTAAGTATATACTAGGATTAATAGTAAAAGAATAGCTTAATAGTATTAAATAAATAATACTTAACTTCCCTAAAGCTAATATACGGCGTGGGTTATATATAGCCAACTTACTTTGTAAGGTCTAGCTATAGGCAATAGTATTTGCTTTACGCTAGAATTAATAGTAAAAGGATAACTTGATGGTATTAAGTAAATAATACTTAACTTCCCTAAAGCCGATGTACGGCGTGGGGTATACGCAGCCAATTTACTTAGTATACTAGGACTCTATTAGGCCTTAGCGCCATATGCCATAATACTATAACGAACTTCGCGATCTGCT